AAGCAATTCCAGGTGGCTGGGCAAGGTGCACCAGCAAGCAAGTGCCGGCCAGCCAGTGAGCGGACGCTTATACGACACACGGCGCGAGCAGATCGGGGGGCCACCCTTGGAAACGGGGCTGACCCGAAGCTCATCTGTGCCCGAGAACCCAAAGTCGCGTTGCCATGTACCAATCAGCAGCGCTCGACCTGGGCAGGCTAACATCCAAAGGGCTAAGGGTCCACTGCCGCCGGCCCTGCTCTTACAGTACGTTAGCGTACTCATTTTGATCAAGGCCAGATCCAGCAAGCCCAGGACAGGACGGGATGGAGGTGCGGGTGGGACCGTGCAGTCGGGCCTCCAACAACTCAGCGCCATGTCCCTCCAGCGTTGGCTCTGCGATGGTGTCTTGCTTGCTCGGTCGCAACGAACAACCTTGCTGGGTCACTCGTCATGGGTCCGCGCGATATGCGGGTATTCAGCAGCTGTGAACCTGCGAGGCTGCGGGGATTGGCTACGACCCACGATAAGGGCCGCCCCAGCTTCGCACCTTGTGCGACGGCTCCGTTCCGCGAGGCCTCTCTCATGCAGCTCTGCCACGTCAGAGCATTTCGCCACTGGCGCACTTGCGCATGCCTTGCAGGTGCTAGTCCCTAGAGTCAAGTCGCATCGCATCCTGCTCCCCGGGCAGGTGGATGCCCACAAGGACAGAGTCCCAGCACAATGCTATTGTGGATATCAGGTCTCCATACGCGTGATCGGGCTTTTATACATGCATGGATCTGCAAGATGATAGCAAAGCCAGGCTCGTAGGGTGACAGCAGTTGTTTCCTGTGATGTGCTTGCTTGAAGATTATATTGTGGCTGATGCCAGAGGTGCCTGTCATGCTACCCCAAATGAGGTATACAGACATCACAGGGCGCGAAAAACACAACAGCATGTTGTGCTGGTTAGATGCCCGATGCACTCCCATTGGAGGCTGGCATATCTGCCGATGGATGGGAGCATGACAGAGGACACTACCGAGCCTGGTAGTCCCGTCTCGTTTTGAGCTCCCTTGTCCTCCAACTCGAGACCCTGTGTTTTTAGTTAGGGGAACAAATTTTTGGCTGCAATACTGATAAAGCCCGGTGATAAAAAGAAAGAAAATGGAATATGCGGACAAAATGGACACTGGACAAGACTAGAGAGCTAATGCTAGAGGCCCGTGGAATTATCACAATCAAAACGTAAATTAACAACACCTGCATTTTCTTCATGGATTGAATGGATTATTTGTAGAGCATCCCTGATATGCATCCAGTCCTTCGGGCACAAGGTTACGGCCACGGCTAGCAAATACATATCCTCACGTTGGCCCCGTCCAAAATATCGGAGAACGCAAATAATTATCCTGGAACGCCAGGAGATGAACTGTCCGGGAAACGTGTAGTCGTCAGCAGAAAACCTACGTCAAAAGATGTTTGGATTTATGACTCAGCCAACAAAATCATTCGCTAAGGTTGAGGACCATTGGCTTTCATGAAGAAAAAAAAGAATTGAAGACAATTCAGCATATCGAACCCCCCCCCAAGGCTTGAGCCAGGCACGAGATAATGACAGAATTCTTTTTTTTTCTTTTTTTTTCTTTTTTTCGTGTGAGATGGCACCGTCACCAGGCGAGTAGGGACCCAGGAAACACACTGAGAGGCTGGAAGAGAGCCAGCCTGCGTTGAACGTCGAGGTTGTTGCAAGAAAACTCTGCTCTTCCTCCGCATAAAATAGATTATTTGTTCCAAAAGCAATGAAAGGAAGATAAAGAAGATGCAGGTCATCCTGTGCAAATGCTTGACCGAGGCAAATATTTATTATTGCTCTATTTCCACCATTCATTCTTGCTGACCATGAAGGAGGCAAATTTCTGAAGATTCGACATCTTTGCCTCGAGGTCCGAGTTCAAATGAATCGGAACCAATCACCAGATCATACAGTGGTAATGTAAAATTACCATGATGAAGAAAGCGTACGTCCCGGGTGACCAGGGGACGACCATTGTGATCATATGTCGGGTCATCAGAACCCTGGCACATCATCGTAGGCTGTGGCGACAACTACTCCCTGGAGGATTGCAATTCATATTGGTGATCCGGGGTCTTCCAAGATTCACAGATTTCAATGAAACGTGAACCTCAAGCCTCATATTCCAATACTATGGCGGGCGCCATCTAGGTTACGCGGTCAAACCCGTGGCGCACTACCATCCTTCAAGGAGACACTTCATTGAACTGACCTCGGTTATCTAATATTACCAAGCTCACACCTGATGCTTCGTGGTCCTGAATCTTCCGGAAATCTACGTGGCTGCTAACATGATCGTATTTCGTGATTCTACAAGCTATCGTGTGCTCCTTGGACTGGATTCTACCAAACTGATTCATGAGGAGTACATGGTGCAGTATGGTTGCATCTATGCAACATGCTGCAGCTCATTCCCCGACAACTTGGGTTGCATGTCTGGACGTCAATACCTGATTGCTCATTTTTGACTTGATACGGAAACAAAGCAAGGATACGAGAATGCGGTTCTGATTGTGTGCCATCTTCGTCACTCCGTGGCCGGGACAATAGGTAAGTCGCCCATATTATGCCCACAGCTGGGAGACCAGGAGCCGAATATACGTCGCTAAACGGAGCACATCAAGTAGAAGACAAGTTGATTACAAGACCATGGGGTTCAAGAATGCGCCGTGGTTGTATTATATCTCCTACTCTTCCGCGTGGCTGAGAAAGAGTATCATGTCTGCTTGTTCCTACGATTTCCGGCTGCGTGGCATACACAAGCTACAAAATCGTGATCCGACGGCTTCAATCAATACCGGCAATAAGAACACATCACGCGTCATGACGTTGAACACCATCTGTGGCCTAATCTGGGGAATGTCCGCGTGTGGCATGTTGACACTTAATATGTCTCAATTTCCTGGGGCGGGTCGCTGAAATAAACGTGAGATGTATCGCGTAAGGTTTTTTGGACACCGCGATCGAGTTTGTGCGGGATGTCTCAAATTCTGCGGCCCGTCAAAGGATCGCGGGCAAGACATTTTCTTTCCTGCCGTGTTGTCGTCCCAGCTGCCGCGTTCTGATGATGATCAATATTTGCCCGGGAAATAACCGTATGTTGCGGACGTATGCGTCGTAGAAAAGCGATGCCGGGTATGACTTCCCCAATCGGCTCATCTCACTTGATCAGAGTACCTCGAGGTACCTAGGTGGACCTTTTGGCGTATTTGCTTCCGCTTGACGATCGGCGCTGTCATCCGGACGTTGGGGCTCTCTCGGATGTGAAGTCTAAGTTTAGCATGAGTCGTGCCGTCACTGACACGCAACGATTCACTGGAAGCACTTGAAGCTTGGAATCACTGGTCAAAGCAGAGCAGTCTACTGGCGATCAAAACCCGATCACCTCGATCGATGGACATTGCGTCTCTTGATCACTGGGTCTTCTCGTCGTTGGAACGTTGCGAAAGAGAGATCCGCAGACGGCTTAGGGCACGGCCCCCTGCCAAGTCTGCACAACCACGAGGACGACACCATACACAACCCCCCTTTCTGTCCAATTTTGAGAAGCCTGAAGGTCTTGATACGAATTTACAAAGTGTGATCGCAGCTTGTTGTCATCGTTGTTTCGCGCATGAGAAGGACGTAAGCAGTGGGGCGTGCCTGTCCTGGGCAGAACCAAATGGAGGCTTTGGAAATGAATGCCTTGATGGCTGTGGGGGCCAAGCGTCGCTGGCACAAGCCATTTGCGCTAATTTGGCCAGACGCAGAGTTGCGTGCCAACGCGCTTGGTGGCGCAGTTAGGCTATTGGCTCTCGTCGGGCCGGGTCATGCAATGCCAAAGTCAGCGACGGTGGCCTGATGCCCGCCGATGCATGGCGTTCGAGATTGTTCTCGTCGGCGCCGATATTGTGAGACCGCGCGGATGCGGCTTTGTGACTGATGCAGCGATAAACGTTTGACAGGACGGACGAGTCGAGAAGGGGCTTGATTCAGGGGTACCCTGGCCGAATAGACCTGGCGAGAATTAACGTGGGTACCATATAATGCAGCGTCCATTCTTTGATAGGTTTGTTGCATCCAGTGGATAAGACCCTGACCTGACCCAATCTGCGGGTTCGAGCCGGGCGACCCCCATCCTGGGACAAATTGGCAGCACGCTCACTCAATGGACGAGGGCCTGGATCGTGATTGTGCCAGTAAAGGTGTCCTCCAGCCTGTGCTAGCGGTCTGCGCAGCGCCTGCGCTCGTGTCTGCGACTGATTACGGTTTACGCCGCGCGGACCTTTGACACTGCCCCTCCTCGCCTTGTCGGTTTGCAGCAGCAACAGCCTTGGTCTGCTCACTCGTGGCATTTGCCTCGTGGTTCTGCAGCCCCGGTTGTGAGACATACCCATCACGATACTTTGTTTGACCCGTGGCCGCCCTTGTCCACCTGCAGCAACCGTCGCCATTACCACCACCACCCTCACCCAGCCAAGCCACCGCTGCCGTTTCGGTCCAGCCTGCAACCTGGCCAGACCCTTTCCCGGCGTCGCCAGTGTCCAGTGTCACTCTGCACCGTCCGTTGCTGCCACTGCTGCTGCCGCTGGACCTCACCTCAGCGCTGCCCTCTTCCAGCCCGGCGTGCTTCCGCCTTGCTTTTTCACCTCCACGATCCTGGCGCCCCCAACTCTCCAGGGCGGCGATACCGCCTCGACGTCGTCAGCTGCTTCCTCCGCTCCGCACAGCCACCGGCGGCGCCGCTCCTCCGCTTCCGACCAGAACAACTCGTCGTCGCTGGGCCACCGCCCTGCTGCGCTGCCTCTGGGCGCGCAGACCATTCGCCAGCCTCTTCTCAGTCCAATCCCAGGTATGTCTTGCCCGTCCGAGAGCTTGACTGGTCGAGGAACTACGGTTTCCGCAGAGGGCATGAGACGCCCAAGCCTTGCACGATGGCCGTACTGACAACATTTTGCGGCATGCAGGCACACCCAGCGTACCCATGTCTCTGAGCAGGAGTCCGTCGCCGATCCCCGGGGGCGGCTGGTCGTCTCCTGGACTCATGAGCTCCAGCGGCCGGTCGTCACCTGCGAAACAAACCTTTGGCGGCTCCAATGGCAACAATGTGACGTGGGAGTCTGCGAGGATGAAGACTCAGGGCGTCTCGAACTATCCATCCTTCTCGACACAGAACCAGGGCTTCTTCACCCGGCACATGCGCCGCATCTCGTCCAGCTTGCCCTCCTTCCATGCACCCGACGACGACAAGTATGCCGACAAGGAGAAACTCGGGCGAGGACGGTGGGCGGGTCCCGTGCTAGGCACGGCCGCAAGAATATCCAGCAAGGCGGGCAGGAAAACCAAGATTGTTGCCGCCATTATTGGCGCCTTCATCGTCCTGCACTGCCTCTTCTACTGGACTCGTAAGTACCAACTGCCTTGAATCTGGCTGGAGCTGTTGGCTGACCATGGCCACGTAGCCCTCGTTCACTACTGGAGGAGAAGCCCCTTGCTTGGTGGTGGAGAGAAATTCGTCATTGTCCTTGCCGCCAACATTGGCGGAGGAGTCATGGAGTGGAAAGGCGCACGAGAGTGGGCCATAGAACGAGACAGTGTGCGAAACAAGCGCAAATACTCCGATAACTGGGGATACGACCTTGAAATCGTCGACATGAGCACCAAGAAGCGATATGCGCACGAGTGGCGTGAGAGCTGGGAGAAGGTCGACAGCATCCGCAATGCCTTTGCTAAGTACCCAAAGGCAGAGTGGTAAGTGTTTTCAAGACGCATCATGAACGGGACAATCTCGCATGGAAAAACACCACTGGCTAACTAGGGCTTATTTGAACCGCAGGGTATGGTGGCTCGACCTCAATACATACGTCATGGAACCGCAGCGGTCTCTGCAGAAGCACATCTTTGACGACCTCACCAAGAACATCTACCGCGACATCAACGTGTACAATCCCCTCAACATAACACACCCGCCCACGGACATCTTCCTCGATCCCGACTCGCTGAGCCCCATAGGCGACGGCAATCCAGCTTCGATCAACATGATACTGTCGCAGGACTGTTCTGGCTTCAACCTTGGCTCGTTCTTCATGCGCAGGAGCGAATGGACGAACCGCCTGCTGGATATCTGGTGGGATCCCGTGCTGTATGAGCAGATGCATATGCAGTGGGCGCACAAGGAGCAGGATGCTTTCCAGCAGCTGTACCGCTCTCAGCCATGGATTCGCAAGCACACGGCATTCCTGCCGCAGCGGATGATCAACTCGTTCCCACAGGGGGCCTGCGACACCACGGCGGTGCCCGACCTCATCCACTACAACCAAAAGGAGCGCGACTTCCTCGTCAACATGGCGGGCTGCGAATGGGGCCGCGACTGCTGGGGTGAGATGTACAACTTCCGCGAGCTCAGCTACTACCTGAACCGGAACCCGTGGGAGCGTTTCAAGGAAGATCTGATTGCAGAGATCTGGTACAAGATCACAGGCCATCGTGTCAAGTTATGATGACAAGGAAGTAATACTGTCACGTGGGGAGAAGCTCACGGCACGATTGGAGGCGGTCCGAGATGATGAGAAGAAGATGGTGCGGCGCTCGATGATGGAGCGGATGAGCCATGTTTGCAGCATTTTCCCAAGCCATGAAACGTGTATAGACGAGTACCGCATCTGAGGCGTTCTAATATATCGGAGCTATCTGCTTTCTGCTGGATCAATAGGAGGAATATCTTCAATATTTTATATCCCTGGAAGCCGCCATAGGCGCAACCTTTGTCCCTGAACATTGATGGCGCATACATGTCCTGGCACTTGAAGACGACATCGTCGTGGACTACTCTGGAAGACCCGAGCGGTCGCGCGTTTGTTTATATAGTCGGAGAGGTCGTCGATGAGGATGACTGAGCGGAAACCTGCCCAGTCGTCAATCATCACCTGCCGCCGTGCTGATTGGTACGCGTATGCAGACAAGACATCAGATCGGGGTACGTACCAAGCACGCTTTGGTAAGGTATCCACTAAATAAAGCCCCAGCCGCCCAGCGTGCCCGGGGGCTCTGTGAGGACCAGCCAACCAGGGCTCGCCACTGCATGTGCCAGCAGGGAGTGGTTCCATGCCAGCGATTGGCTGTGGTTGATTCACTTTCAGTCTGCCGAGACAACGACCAACAGATGGGTGCTTGTGACCTGTTTGGATTGTTGGAATCTTCTCCAGTCCCAGGACAGATCGGCCCCAGCCACGACCAATAATCCCCACGCCGCAAGCCCAGCCCCTGTCGCACCAGAGATCACGATACAGACGTCGACGGCCTAGATGGCCAGTGGGCGGCGGGAGGCGCTTGTGAGGAGGAGCACGGGCTGGCGTGGGCGGCTCTTGTTTCTTTGCTGGGATCCCAGCCCCCGCCGCGCGCGTTTCCGGCGTTCCACATGGCTCCTCCTGGCTTGACCCGTGATGTTTCGGTCGGCGAGAGCATATACCCAACCGTTGTGGGAACTTGGCTGAATGGTGCGGAAAGTGCCATGGCGAGTGGCGGCTGGCTAAACCAAATATCTGTCAGCCTGAGCTTAGGAGTACGGACTCCATACAACAGCAACTAGAGGTTGGCGCTTCTAGTCCCCAACATGCCACCGCGAACACCTCGATGGAGCCGCTCTCCGAGTCGTCGTGAAACATGCTTGGCGCTTTGCCATAGAAGTGCCCTGGTACTTGCCTATTGATCAGGGCCCAGCAAACGCTTCTGACAAGCAGTGGCCTCGACGGCGCGAGGCCCAGCCACGAGTTGTCGTGCCAAGCGATACATGCACACAGCGTGGCAGTTGAGAGCCGGTGTTCCGAAGGGGCAAGACAGACCGAGCCCGATGCTATCTTTGTGGCGTTTCGTTTCCTCCGGCGGTCCTTGTCGTCTTGGCCCATTCTTCCTCATGTCCCCGGCAGCACAATTACGACAGGTGAATCATTTGGTGGTGTATAACTGATTAGTGAGTTGTGGGGGTCGTGATACTTGTGTTTCTCAACTTGCCACGCCTTCACTTGGTTATTATTTTTTGTCACACATCCAACCCACACATTCTCCCACCATCTTCTTTCCTCTGGCATTTCCAACCTCGTCTGTATCGTGGTGGCTGTACATACCATTTCCATTCTTGCACTCATTCATCGCAAGGTATCGAGACAAAGGCTGTTCCGGCTGAGGTTCCTTGAACACATTTTCAAACATAACTAGCGGCTGGCCCGAGATCATCGTAGACATTTGCCCGACTGGTTCACTCAAGCCACGACATTACGACCAACAACCTCATTCTTGCATACTCTTTTCAGGACATTGATCGCCGCTACACTTTATAGTGCACATATATCCGCGTCAAACTTACACCATACACCAGGAGCATACGATTTGGGTGATACAGTCACGACCGCCTCACTGGCAATACTCGCTGTCGATACTGTTTGGGCCCTTGCGCGCGCTCAGTTACGCCGACAAACATTCATGAACCCTCTCGCGTTTCCATGACAGTTTCTCTTGAGCAATCACCAAACAGTTTGGCAGCCGTCTGACACCATAAATTCTCACAGTACGTGCGGCTTTGAGGCGGCACTTCCCCACACAACTCACTTAAGGCGCTGGTCGCCTCGGAAGCAGCATCTCGACCGTCACTTCCTCGTGTGTAAACGCACGTCCTATTCGCGACAGCCTTGCACATATTCCCACAATCTACTTTCCGCATCTTCTTTCTCGCGACGTGCACTCTGCCACAGCCATCTTAGTCATGCTGTTGAACAAATCCTCCTGGCTGTTGCCAGCAGCACTGGCTCAAGTGCTCCTTCCCACATCAGCCCTCGCCGGCCAGGACCAACACCTCCAACAGCGCGGCACACCAGCATACCAGATCGAGGACTCGTACGACGCCACCAACTTCTTTGACGGATTCGAGTTCTACTCGGGCCCTGACCCCACCGAGGGCTTTGTCCGCTACCAGACCGCTCTGGAAGCCAATGCATCATCTCTCGCAGGCTACGCCAACGGTGGCGTCTTCCTCGGCGTCGACCACCAGACCGGCAATGTCGGGTCGCCCGGCCGGGCATCGACCCGGGTCAACACCAAAAAGACATACACGCGCGGCCTCTTTGTCGCCGACATTGCACACATGCCGAGCTCGACTTGTGGCGTTTGGGCAGCCTTCTGGTCCTTTGGCGATCCCTGGCCGTCCGCAGGCGAGATCGACATCATCGAGGGCGTCAACCGCGACACGTCGACCCAGTTCACCCTGCACACGGCCTCGGGCTGCACCTTTTCTAGCCAGGGTGACTGCAACGCCCCCGGCGACGGCACAAAGGGCTGCTCCGAGCCAGGCTTCGACAACCCCCAGTCCTACGGTGACGGCTTCAACGCTATTGGCGGCGGCGTCTTCGCAACCGAATGGACCAGCGACGCCATCCGCATGTGGTTCTTCCCGCGCACAAAGGGCATCCCCGCGGACCTGGCGTCCGGCCAGCCGAACCCGGCCTCGGCAAGCTGGGGTCGTCCCGCCGCCGAGTTCGCCTCCGCGCCGGGCGGGAGCTGCGACATTGACAGCCACTTCCGCGAGCACCGGCTCGTCTTCAACACGGCGCTCTGCGGGCAGTGGGCGGGCAAGGTGTTTGGGCAGGACCCGCAGTGCGCCAGACTCGCGGGCTCGTGCGAGGAGTTCGTCGCCCAGAACCCGGGGGCGTTCAAGGAGGCGTACTGGCTCATCAACTCGGTCAAGGTGTACTCGCGGGAGCATCCTGCGGCCGCCGGTGGCGGCGTTGTCCCTGTCCCTGTTCCCGCCCCGTCCACAGCACCGGTCTCTTCCGGCTCGGGAGACGGCTCGTCGTATGCGGCTCAGTACGCCCCGGCTGGCAGCGTGGCAGGAGCCCCGGTCGCCGTCATCGCACCACCGCCAGGAGCACCCGCAGCAGCAGCACCAGTTTCAGGGCAGTCCGGGGGCTACAAGAATCAGTTCGCGCCGCAGGGCGTAGTGCCGGTGGTCGGAAGCCGGGATGTCCACACGAAGCGAGAACGACGCCAACGGCGACAACAGCAGCAGCAACAGTCGGGGCGGAGGCTGGATGCCTGGCCGCAGACCTTCCACGCGTAGCACATGAAGACCTATATACGTCCGCTTGCACACCGACAAGGAGGCGCGAGCGCGAGCACCATTTCCTTTCCTTCTACGGCTTATATTGCAGGGCACTCACATATATCCCCTCGGTCTTGAGGATTCTCATATCCATTTCCTGGCGTTCAGGTAGTATTAGTACGAAAACCACGCAGCGCGTTTGTCTTTGGTTCATTCCTTCTACCTTCTCCTATCATTTTCCCGTCTTCTCCACCACCTATTTACGAATCTCTGTCTCCCTTCAGATGCAGAACAAGCCCGTTCCTGAAAGAGGGACGAGTACATAGAACATAGAAATTTCTCGATTTTATATGACATTGACTCAATTGTCCCAAAAATGCTTGGCCAATCATGGTCTCAATCACCATGCAGTGCTTCGTTTATGCTCCCAGCACAAATCATTGGTTGCCCCGACTGCGCGGCTGCGACCATGAATACACACTCCTTGTTCGTGTTTGGCCCCCTTTCTCTTAATCTCGCCCATGTCATGTCACAGTGGGAGAGAAGGATAAGCCCATGGTGTGTGTGTTGGCGGACGACGACCTTCGCAAGCCCCTTGCCACGAGGGAAACACCCCCCCTCCATCGTTTGTTTCCCACGCTTGCTTCCGCCATACAGTGAGAATGACACGTGTGGATACTGCCACAACTACTACTGCAAAGTGTCACGACAAAAACAACAAGGGCCAGAGTGGGCATCGATGGATGTGCTGGAAGTTTTTGTATATTTCTGGGCTGCGGGTCATGGGCAGCGTTACTGGATTCCTCCTCCTCCTCCTTATCCTCCACCTCCACACCGTTTCCCAACCCTCGATTACCGCCGAGATATAAGTCAAGTCCCCTCCCCCCTTCACTTTCGGAATGAGCGCAGGATGAGACGAGACCGACTGGTGCCAGGGTGTATCCGATGATTGAAAATGGTATTGGAGGGGAGAAAGGAGAAAAAAAGAAGTACTGCTGCCGATTGTCCTGGGGTTGCGGGAATATGCCCTGAAAAAAAAGCGACGATGGATACTAGGCGACAACAACAAAGGGGGGAATCCCGTGTGCAAACAAATAGCAAAGGCTTTCTCATTTTCGCTCGGTGAAATCCCATTTCGCATAAGTCGTTCAGGCAAACAGCCACAATCAAATGACTGCACCTTTCATATTAGACACGCTCCGGGGGATTCAACGAGAAACAGAACAGCCCGCCATGTTTTGCCGCGAGAACCGTTGTGCGAGGACTCCAATCGTGCTGGGCGGGGGTTTAAGTTCCAGGGAGTGTTTGTGCTGTATCATAAGACATGAAGAGATGAACGAAAACAGAGATATCTCTTTGGGAAATCACAAAACAGGAAAGCGACCGCAAAAGGAAACTCCCCCTTCGTCAAGTTACAAGAGCGCGAGCGCACTCTTTACACAGGAGGTGGTGTTTAGAAGCACAACCCAGAGAGGCCATGGGATCTAATACGAGCACGTCAGCTGGCGCGAGGAAGCAGGCGACCACTGGCCCGGGCCAACAAGACGGACTCCTGCCATCAAAGACGAGAGAAACAAGGCAGCAAGAGGCTGAGACTCCAAGAAACCACAATCTTTCATATTTGAGGCAAACAACCAACTCCCTGCCAGCCAGCCAGACCGAATGCCACAAAACTCCTTCACCCACTCAGGTATCAATGAGAAAAGACACGGACCCTCAAGAAGACCACTGGGAGTATGCAAGCTTCAGCTTGAGACAAGCAGGCTACCTGAGAATGGAGTGCTGGCATTTGTTTAGGACTGCTCAGCGGCGGGGGCGGCAGGCGCAGCCTCCTCCTTCTTCTCGGCCTCCTCGGGAGCCTTCTCCTCCTTGGGGGCCTCCTGGGCAGCAGGCTCACCCTCGGCGCTGTCGGACGAGGTCCACAGGGTCAGGTTGTCGCGCAGGAGCTGCATGATGAGAGTGCTGTCGCGGTAAGACTCCTCGGACAGGGAGTCGAGCTCGGCAATCGCGTCATCGAAAGCCTGCTTGGCAAGGTGGCAAGCACGCTCAGGCGAGTTGAGGATCTCGTAGTAGAAGACGGAGAAGTTCAGGGCAAGACCCAGGCGGATGGGGTGGGTGGGGGTGAGCTCAGTCTGGGCGACATCGGTGGCGCTCTGTAGAGGTACTAGTCAGTCATCTGGCAGCTTTGCGCAATGGCCCTACAAGCCCCCCGGACATCGACGACATACCTTGTAAGCCTCGTGGGCGGCGGTGGCAGCGGTCTTGCGCTTCTCGCCAGAGGCGAACTCGGCAAGGTAGCGGTGGTAGTCACCCTTCCTGTGAAAGGAAAATGCACATATTAGTGAGGTGTTTCGACAAGGGTCGTGATGGCCCTCTGGGAAATGGCGGTAAATGCCCAGCCTGCACGGGAGCCATGACTTACATCTTGTGGTAGAAGACCTTGGACTCGCCGGTAGCGGCGTTGGGGATCAGAGCCTCGTCGAGGACGTCGAGGACATCCTGGCAGACTCTCTCGAGCTCAGCCTCGATCTTGTTGCGGTAGTCGCGGATGGTGCCAACGTGCTTGTCAGAGCCCTTGGACTCCTCCTTCTGCTCGATGGAGGAGATGATTCTCCACGAGGCACGGCGTGTGCCGACAACGTTCTTGTAGGCGACGGAGAGGAGGTTGCGCTCGTCGACGGAGAGCTCACCGCCGAGCTTGGCGACCTCCTTCATGTAGGTGACCATCTCATCGTAACGCTCAGCCTGCTCGCAGAGGCGAGCCAGGAAGGTCTTGCTGTTGGACGAGGATACGTGTTAGTGCCCGAGTAAACGTTGGCAAGGTGGTTGTCAGCGGCAAGCAAGGGGACGCCTTCGGGTCACGAGAGACGACGCAGTCCTCCATTGCTTGACTCTTGACCGGGTCGAACGGGAACGACGAACCTTTCACGCTATGGTACACAAACGTCGGTCAGTACAACAGGTCAAGACGAGATGAGGTATGATCAAGTGCGACTGAAGAGGGCTAGCAGGGCAAGCAAGTCCCGAGGGCGGCGCGTGATGAGAGCCCATGGGCATGGCAGAGACTACAGCCAGGCCTAAGGGGATCACGAAGCGGGGGCGTGCTGGGTGCAAGTGAGGGAGCGCAGCTGGCAGCTGGGAAGCAGCGAAAGAGGCAGCAGCGGACAAGAAGAGCAAGGAGGAAGAGGACGAGGAGGGAATACTGACCTCGGTAGCCATATTTGGGTATCTGGGAGGGACGAGGATTGGGGGACGGGATGTTGAGGGTTGGTTGATGCGGATGCAGAAGAGTAAAGGTCGGGAGGTGGGTTAATTTTTGGGCTCTTTTGATTGTTTGAGGAGGGGGCGGTCGCGGGTGCTTCAAGGAGTCAAGTGCAGCAGGTGAGGGAGACCTGAGCGGCGCATGCATGCGTGTGTGTGTGTGTGGCCACTGCACTGCTGGGCGGCCGGCCGGGTAGGATGTCTGCTGGTGCTGCGGGTGCTGCTGCTGTGCTGGTGGTGGTGGAGCGTGGGGTCTGTCCAGCCCAACCCAGCCAGCATTGTGCCTTTGTCGTCGTCTGTCTGCCTTGTTGTTGTTGTCTAAGGCTGCCCGCGCGTGCATTGGGCAACACCCCGCGCCTGACAGCTCACCACAACACAGCTCACCACAGCGCACCACGGCGAGAGCACAAGCAACGACTAATTACCAGCCGCCCGGCGAGGCGCTGGTGTGCTCATCATGATACATACAGCAAGCATGGCCATCACGAGGCGGTACTCGTCGAGTCAATCAAAACCACCCCCCCCCCCATCCCAGCCGGGGAGCTTGTCCGCCATGCGGCAGCCTCCCATCCGTTCGTGTATTGTATTATTGCAATATCTGCCAGTGCCTTCTTCCCAGCCGTGCTTCGGCAGTCATGAACAATAAGCTCTCGTCCAATCTCCCATGTCCTGAAGAGAGCCCCCGGTCTCGAGTCACCTCAGTCGAGCAGTCCATGCTGTCTCTAATCATTTGTTGACAGGCCGTTGTCGTCCATCCCACCAGGGGGCGCTAATTGCACGGGCGGCTCTGCAATTTAAGCCATGGGCACCACGCCCTGGGCGGCTCGGGGCGATCGTCTCATCTCAGCCTGCCTGACGCCTGCGACTGCATACGTAAGGTAGGCAGCTGGCAATGGCCGAGTCTCGCAGGCTTCAGGTGGCGACCCGACGAGCCGCAGCGGGCTCCCAGCTTTGTGGCAGCGTCGTCTCGACTGCTGAGCGCCGGAACCTCGACATGAACTCGAGCTCTGCGTGTGTGTGTGTGTGTGGTGCGTGTGCCATGTGAGAAGGCCTGGTCCGAATGCACACGCACCAGGCGCTACGTGGCTGGGCCTTGCCCCACCTGCCTCGCTGCGCCAAAGGAGGGGTAGTTGCGCGGGCACCCGGCTCGACTCGAGCTTCCAGGATTTTCACTCGGGACACGAGGGCTCTCTCTCTCCCCTAGGCCCAGAACCTGACAATGCAGCAGCTCGCTCCCTCGCACCGCCGCCGACTGCTCCACAGACCAGCCCAGGCGAGACACCGACTTCTGTGATCCTCGCCGTGCTCGCTCTTCCACGGGCTTCGCTACCCACCCGGCGGGGCGAGCCGTGGACCCTGGAGACTCTGACGGGGCTGGAAAGGGGGCGCCCGCCGGCACGGGCCTTGTCGACTGCCACATCTGATCTCCTGGCCCTACTCGCTGCTGTTGCTCCCAGCGTCCCAGCGTCGAGATGAGGCTCGTGTAGATGCTCAACATGTCAAAGGTGATAGAAGGCGTGGTCGTTCCTACAGTATGCGACGATACTACGCGCACCTTCACGACAAAATCTATAGCCACCAGTAGCGGCACGGATGACATGTGTGTTGCGGCAGGACGTGCCCAGCCGATGTCGCATGGCCGGTTCGAGACAAAGAAGACATCGTTGTTGCGTTGGTGCTGATCAGTCCATTACTCTGGCCGCCTTCTCCCTCCTGAACGCTGGACAGATCCCTGTCTAGGGAGGACCTCATGCTGCGCCCAGCTCAACAGGCGCCAAACCTTGGCCTGGAAAGTACCTGAGGTGACGCAGCACGCCTTCATGCCCGCATGGAAAAAGAAACGCAACGCCAACAGAAGCACGCCGGCTTCTCTGCTCGTGGGGGCGGCCGTAGAATGGTCGACCTGCCACCACCCCGAGCATCTTGTGTTGGTGAACGCTTATTGATTTTAGCGGCGCGGAATGTCAAGAATCTGCTGGAGAGACGCTCGAGCGCTTGGTTCCTTGTAACCCTGTCAGCCGAAAATCCCTGGAGCTGGGTAAACACCGAACAAGAAACCCCACCTCTGCTGGCTGCCCTTGGTGATTCGTCTGGGCCTTACCGATAGACCGGAAGTGCAAGGTACAATAGGTTCAACGGTTCGACATCCATGCAGTCCGACACACCCCATCGACAGACTCGAGCCGCCCCCGGGGACGTTCCCAGCCTTCATTTTTACCATGCACATCCCATGCGTTTATGACTGAAGCCTGGACTAGTTAATTAGCACAACACCGCCAGTTTCTCCACTGTATTCAACGGGTCGGCTTGTGGGGTATGGGACACATCCGCCGCCGCTTGCATGGGATGATTCCACGCCGAGGCCCAGTGTCGACCCTGGGAGTGTTCACCGTGTTGATCAGACGAAAATTGTATGACAATGTTTGCACGACTTTCGTCGGGACGGTGAACGGGCCGCGTATCTCGGAAACGTGCCGGCAATCACAAGTTATAAGTGATACTCGATCCGCAGTCTCTTCTCTATCACTGCAAGATGCGACCGATAACAATAATAATCGGTGGACCACATTCACGTCTTGTCCAGCCTGTCAAGAATAGCATTACATTATTATTCTCGCTGAACGCTAAAAATCAGTTTTCATCAACCTCCCCTAGCAGCAAGAGTCGAGCGTGTCTGGTTGAAATTCAACGTCTGAAGGTTTCTTATGCCTTCCACCAAATCCATTCTTTTGCTCCTTTCCGCTTGGTTCATTTTCCTTTTCACCTGATCACTTAAAGCTCATCGCCAGTCGTCGTGTCTGGGTATCGGTCCCTGCCCCAGTCCAACGGGTCTCCTCCAGGGAGACACACGCCAAGTCTCCAAAAATAGTCACGGTGAGCAAAGAACAGTTGCCAGAACTTGTATCGCGCCGGTACGGCCCAGGCGCGAGCCTCCATGATCCCGTTCGGGCCTGACTCCTGGGCACCGCCGTCACGATCTTTGAGGGCCTTCCCCGCCCGCGCAGTTGGCTCTCCCTCGGATCCAGCTATGCAGTCTGGATCGTAGTCGCCGACACAGGGCCATATGTCTTCAGGCTCTGGCGATAGGCTCGACTTTGAGATGAAGATCTCGCCCGCGTGCGACATGTAGCCCCATTCCGAGAGCGGCAGCAAGGGAACTGGGTCGTCGGTGTGAGTAAGTCGTCGGAACGCTTGCGTCTCAACCTCTGTCTCGGCTTTGTCAAGATCAAACACCGCGTCGAGGTACTTGACGAAGCCCTCGTTCCCTACGCGTGGCTCTCCAAAGGTTGTGACGATGACATTGTCCCAACCAAGGATGACCTTGACCTCGAGTGCCGCCAGCGCCGCAACGGCACCGCCCAGGCTGTGTCCAAGAAGATGGACAGGATAGTCCGGGTACTGGTCGTGCAGGAGCTTGAGTGTCGGCAGTACAACCTCCCTCGCCTCCTTCCAGGACGACAGGAAGCCCATGTGCACGGTACAATTAGTGCAGCGGTGTAGGGGCTCCTTGGGCGGCTTTCCGCCTCCTTCCTCTGGCGACGGGTAGGGAACGTACTCCTGTGGCACGGTGCTGAGGTCCACGACAGTGTTGGCGATGCTGTACGTGCCGCGAAACGCCACGATGATTGCGCCCGAGCCCTTGCCATGGAAGCTGCTATCTACGGCAACGTAGCCGCAGCTGTCGCTCATCAGGATTCCCGTGTTCCATGTTGTGATGAGTGATAGCGTTGGAAAATCCTTGCACCTCGAAGCGCACGAGAAGGGCTTGGACAGGCCCGTCGAGCCGACGCAGTACGCAATATCTACGAGCCGCGAGAGGCGCTCGAGCGATGCGAAGAATGGGAGCGAAATGCCCTGCTTGGGCTTGGTGACCGGAGCTGGCGCCGCTGGCAGTCCATTATCATTATGCTGGAGGGTGTTGAGGGGTCGCTGGAGGGCTTGAGGCTCAATGATGGCGAGGGTTGCGGCTGTGTGAATGAGCCAGGCTGAGATGATCGTGAGCCAGGCGAGACGTCTCATTGTTGATGCGCCTGTTTGTCGTCGGCACGACAGCGATATATGTGATGCGACGCGAGGCAGTGCGCTCTAGAGCCTCAAACAGGCACAAGTTGAGGTGCGGAGTCCGGTGAAGCAGCGCGAAGGGGAGTTGGGTTGGCGTAGGCGAGCGACAAGAGAAGTGACTTCTATGAGTCAAGGCGACGCTGCATCTTGCGCATAGATGGATGGCGGCAATGCCCGCGACGACAATGGACGTGCTCGTGGCCCGAATCACACACACGCTAGACGGGTGGAGGAAGAGGGTTTGTTGAGGTTGGCTCGCCGATCACGAGGGTGGCTGGCTGGCTGCTCAGCCTAGCGAGGCGGGCGCTTGTGACGTCGCCGTCATGCGCCCCGGATTTGGCGGATCAGTGTTAGAAAGGAACTTCTGGTTTCTGCTGACTACCAGCACAAATAAAAGTCACTTGTTATTTGAGTCTAGTGTGCTTCGGTGCCTCCAAAGTGGATCCTAGACCCAGAGCGGCTTGGGCTCTTCGAAAACCTGGGGAAAGAGCACCTCGTGCCGAATAGACCAACATTGAGACTATGTGCTCTTGTTCAACTCTGCCCTCGCATGGAATGAATGAGATACTTGGCTTGGACTTAATTGTGTCCATTCAGGTCCCGGTTTCATCATGCCCCAAGAGAAAATGCCACTTCAAACCACCATGCCTCTTCACTGAATACCCGCAGAGCAGATGACTCTCCCTGCCCATTCAAAGATTGACAGAAGCAGCCACAGGCACAGGCACAGGCGGAGGCCCCAAGCTCACAAAGTCCCCAGCAACGACCTGCTCGCCGCTCTTGCAAACCACAGCGGCGTCTCCTCTGGTCGTTGTGTCCTCTGTTGTGGCGCATTGGAGCTTCAGCGCATCGAGCGGGACAGAGCCTGCTGCTTCGACCGGCGCACTACTGCGGAGTGTATCATCATTGTCAGCGGCCTTCGCACGTCAAAGTATGCTTCTTATGCTGCAGAACAACCGGTATGATTTGAGTCAAGCATTCAGAAACTGGAAGGGGGGGGGTTGCTTGGAAGGAGATTGAGTAAGTACCGAGGGACGACATACCTCTTCCCAAGACAAGCCTTCTCAACAACAGTCAGCCCAGTCCGATCGTCAAGGTAAAACCCCACCTTGTCGTTGTCACAGCGCTGCTGCTCCGCAGTCTCGAGCGCCATCAGCAGAAGAGCCTTGCTTTGTTGATATCTGTCCTCCTCGGCAGCCTGGTATCCGGGACGACGATGCGCGAGGTCGTACATGCGCATGATTTCATCGTCGTAGTCTGGGTCTAAATCTCCGTCCTCACTCGTGGTGGTGGTGGTGGTCTTCATATTTGCCATCGTCATCGCTGTCATCGCTGTGGATGTTGTTGCCGTCGTGCTGGACGAGGTCGTCTCTTTCCCAACGCACATGGTGTCGATGCCCGTGTCGAGGTCAACCAAGCGGAAAGAAACAGATACTTCTTTCTCGTCTACCCGCTCCCTAACCAACTCATCGTCGCGGTTGTCGGCACGAGGAGCCACTGTAGTAGTGCTGTTCCTCTGAAAGCCCAGTACATAGAAATGCAAGGGGTACACGCATTCTTCCCCCCTCAGGCTGTGACCTCGGATGAGATGTCTGTAGTCATTGCTGTGGTGATGAGGGCGATTCTCAACAGCCATGGGTGTAGGAACGCCAAGCAGCAAGCTGGCAATTGTTACGTAGCGCATCTTGGCTGCTCGAATGGTGTTGTTCTCGATGTAAGGGAAGAACGACGGCTCTGAAGAATCAATGTGCAAGATCCTGGTTGTTGCAAGACCAATGCAATGAAGCTGGGCTCGCGGAGACCGGACAACTGTGCGTGGACGTTCATAAAAGCTTCTACTACCAATGAGGATGGTGCAAGAAACCTCTGCACGTCTCTGTTGATGCTCGAGCGACGAGCAATTTATTCTTCGATGTCGAGCCACAGCATCCCTGGAATGACCACGTGGACGAGCCTTTGAATTGTGTTCCCTCACTTTTGGATTACCTCAGAGTAGAAAACTTCCCGTTGGATGGCGAGTACCTGTAGAAATGGTCGGGATTTGTCTGACTGCGATTGCACAAACCCGCTTCCACTTTCTCAAATGAACCAGACGCCACGGCGCACCGGGTGCACCTTTGCTCACTCCGTCAGTGAAAATGGGTCCCACAATCATGTATTCTTTCCCAGTAGAACGGAACACGATCCATGCCAGAAGCTGTGCAGTTGTCAAATCGTGTAAACTCAGCCTATTCGATTTTAAGCGAGTGTGGAGGGTATCCTAGAAACAACGAAACGCCGGCATGTGTCCAAAAACGCCGCCCTCCTCTGAAACGATGAGGGCTCTCCACCTCTCTGAACCTGTGGTACTGAAGTTATTTACGGTGCCGTTCCCGGTCCATCTCACATGTGCCGGTGAGCTCGATCAGTATCTTGCACAACAGGCTCTCTTATGATCTTGTACATCTGCCTCCTGTTACCCCAGATCATTCAGTCTAGAGAAAGACCTTGCGTGCTTTGGAGCACCCTCTTTGTGCGACCCGGACCACTCAATCCACATCTACAGCCAACCAGACGAGCGGGCGATAAGGCCATGCAATCTGACACGTACCAGCAGTACCATTGACACTGGCGAGTGAGGAGGCACGACCGGCAGCGGATTCGGCTAAATGCAGTCTGGCCGGTGTTATGATGGCTTGTCGTGCCAACACATGCTGCCATGATGTGTCATGTGGCCTGTCATACACTCGCTGCTGAGTGGCAGACAGTTCCGACGTCTGTCATCAGGTAGTGAGCTGTATGGGACGATTATGGCGCCCACAGCGACACCTCGGCAGGCGTTGCGCCTGGTCTTGTCACAATCGACACCGTTTCGCAATACCGCAAACCTGACGGCTCAAGGTATGACGAGAGTATCGATAGAGCGACGGGCGATCTCAATTACCTTTTGGCATGTGGGCGTTTCTCCATCTTCGTGCAGCTTGAAACCAACATTTTCACCGCAGTCAGATAAAGAGACCCCGTTGGCAACCATGGTGTCCATATATGCATGCCGGGCTTTCGACTTGGCGTCCATGAGATTGACGATGTCTCTGAGCCCGAGATGAAACGGCTCGCAGTGAGCAGTCGGTGTGGGGTCTGCTTTGTTGTGCGACAAGCCATATACATCGATTTTGAGCAAGGCCCGTACGGTGAGGCGCCATAGAGTAGGATCCATCTCGCGGAACTGGTACTGCTTCGCCATGCTACCGGTATCACAGGCGGACCCCTCGTTGCCGAGGCCGCCCCATATGCCTCCCAAACCGTCCAGCATAAAGACGAGCTGCCGACGTTCTGCACGTGCCCTTTGGGCCTCCGCATCCACCAAGCGAAGAATCTCTGAGTAGGCGTGGACCAAACTCGGTATGAGCGTCGCGAGCAACATCATATTTTGGAAGCCCTGCATGGGATTAAACGCCGCGAGCTGAGGCATGGTGTCGATCCGGGCTGAGCACACTGTGCAGTTGACAACCTCGTAGGCCGTTTTGGCAGCTAGGCGGGCTTGTCGGACACCACCGGCCACGTCGTTTTCGAGGTTCTGCAGCGAGCTTAGGGCTAGGTACAGGCTCGCGCTGCAGGCACATTTCCTCTTGGGCACAGTAGTGCATGTTGACGTCGTCGCTGGGCTGTCGGGATTGCTTGCGGAATTGTTGGTGTTTGGCGACAGTGCTGGGACTTGCTCTGCGGGTGGCGGGGTGTCCGTGGAGGTCATGAAAAAGGCCGGTTCCAGGTCTGATGTTGCGAGGCCATGGCTATGGCCTGGCAAGCCAAAGTCGAGATCGCCAACATCGCCGCCCCACTGGAACTGAAACGGGGTGGTAGTTGTATCCTTGATCGGCTCCATGGGAAGATTAAAGTCTGGCATCACCGTCTGTGACGACAAGCCCATGAAGTCGAGCGAGGATGACATATCGTACAGATTCTCCTCGCTGAGCAGCAAATCAATCAGACCCATTCCAGGGTCCGCGACATTCGGAGGGATCTGGGCCATGGTGGTCTTCGCGGCCGGTTCCTCATCCGGGACCGCTGGCTTAGCGTCGACAGTATTGTCCTCCCTGGGCCGCTTCCGAGGGCGACCCATGGGTTTCTGGAGAGAATAGTGGCAGGTGATGCTTTCGCGTTTGCAGCGTGAGCAGCCATCAGGCTCTTTGGTACAAGCAAGTTTGCGCGCTCCTGGGGTGTCACAGACTGTGATAAGCAGGCCGTCTCGTTTTCTGAGGACGTGCGCACAAAACGCCAACTACAGGACATGGTAGGACTCACTGCACTCATCGCAGGCTCGATGCTTAGGAGCAGGGGCCGCTGGTGCTGGTTGCACGGGGACTTCGGAAGGCATTGGAAGCGGTTGTGCTGACGCCATATTCGAGATTGCTGGGCCGAGAGTTATAAATTGTATGCCATGAACTTGTTCCAGAACCCAGACCCAGGGCAAGATGCAGTGGGAGAAGTTGGGATGTGAGACCCCAAGACCCTTGGAAGGAATGGCGCGCGGCGTAATCAGGCAGCTCAGGCAGGCGCAGCCTAGCAGCCCTGACGAACCCTGAGGAACGTCGCAGCCCCAAGGCGCGGGGTGAGTCGACACCCTGCGCCTGGCACTTTCCCCAGCGCGGCGCTAGCCACCAAGCATACCGCTTTGTCAGCAAGGTAAGACCAAGACCTGACACTACTTATCGAGAACTGTCGAATGCACTCGGACCGTGGCTCGAGCCTCCAAGGACTTGCTTTGTGCATAACTTTGACACTGTGAGGTCTCTATCCCGGGCGGTGTGTAGACTGCAATCGGAGAGTTTTCCTGTTCAGTTGTCGGAACATATCAAACACGTACCGCTGCTTGTGTGGTCGGCCATGGCCATGCACACGGGCTGGGTTTGAGCAGGATGAAACGTGCCCGAAAGGTCTGTACCTTGCTGACCACCATTGCCAAGCGCTCTAATGCAATTTCAAAGGCAATGTATATGTCTGAGGCGAAGGCTGAATGCTACGTAATGACCTATTGGAGACAACTTATGAAAAAGCCTTGCCGCCCGTTCCCTCGCATGATGTGTACTGAAATCGGTCCGTGGCCACATCTCAAAGAAACTATCTGTGACCGATATCCTCATGGAGAATATCAACCGACATGAGATCCGCCAGGAACCGTCGGATTCTTAGACCAGTTGTGTTTCTGATATGCGCATCGTACAAGTCATCAGCAGCGGCCTGCACCGCCACTTGCAAACCCTTCAGAATATGGCCTTTGTCAATCTCAGCATCATCGTACCCAAAAAAGGCATCAAGCTCATCGAGAAGGAGTTCCTGAGACGTGGGCCTGAGCCGACAGCCGTAAGCTGGGGAGCCGTCTCCTGCATGACCAGTGGACGCCGTTGGTGGAGCTAATGGTGCGTTTCGGCGGCCCATTTGGGAGTCCCGGCTCTGGTATACCAAGTTTTGAAGCTGTGGTGGGTTGCCGCAGGCTCGCTCATGGCGTGTGTGAAGTTGCGGTTGCGACTGGTCCGGCAAGTGAATCGCATCACCCATGTAGTCGAGAGTTTTCGCAACGGCGTCCAGGGCTCGATCCAATGACGACGGGTTACTGCCAGCCAGCCTGGCTATGCTCGGTAGCGAAGGCACGGACGAGACTAAGCCTGATGAGCCATCCCGCCGAGAAGTAGGTGGAAAGGAGCTTAAGCAATGGCCCGTTTGCCGTTCTTTGTCGCCGGTGTCGCGCAAAGCCAGATTTCCTAGTGTCTCGCCTTCCTCTTCGATAGGACACGGGCGTGGTAACTGCATCTGTGCATTTTCTCGCGGAACCTGCACATGCGTTGCGTGTCTCGTGAGTTCACGAATTGGCGGATTTCGAGGTTCGCTAACCACGACAACCTGTTCTCGTCCTTGAGTCTGCCTCGAAACGCTCAATTTGATATGGGACCCAGAGTTGAGGCTTCTACTTGCGCACGAGCCCCGATGTGCTTCAGGCTTGCGTGCCTGAAGGACTGCCTGACTTCGTGGCAAACTGTCCTTTGGCAGTCGAGGGCTCCTCTCATGGCGCTCGCGAGAATCAGCATTCTCACGAAGCTTCGGACCTAGTTTGTCAAGAATCAGTCGAAATCGACTCCACCTGACGCTGTGGTCTCGTGCGCTCTTATTCTTCAGGCCCTGCTGTTGTTGCGCCATGTCGGCAGTGCGAGAACCGTCAGTAGGACCGGTCGACGGGGTGAGGTTGATACTGTCAGAAACCAGACCGGGTTTTTCGATTGCGTGACCGGGTTCACGAATTCGGCTTCGACAAGAATCACCTCTGTGTGCTGCTGGTTTCCTGCGCGGAGCGCCATCAATCAGGGCGTATCTGCTGCCCAAGCGTCTCTGCTCCGTAGAGGTCACTGCTAGACCGGCAGCTTGAAAGTCCTTGTGGAACGGCATGAGTGGCTGAACTGTGTGAAGCGAGGCTCGAGACTGAGACTGGCTGGGAGAGTCGATGGTCATGTGCCCAGCCAGCTGCGACTTGTGGGCGAATTTATGAAGCTGGTTGGTAAAATGATCAAGGGCTTTGCGTTCGCTTGGCGACCGCGACGAAGTGGCGACGCGATCCGATTCCGGTGCCTTGGTTTTCGACGAGAGAGCAGACGTGAGCCGTTGCTGCTGAGCAAGGCCCCTGTTGATGGCCGCCCAGACTACGGGATCTGAGAGGCCAAATCGCTTCTGCTGCGTCTGCGTTCTAGTCCAGCATCTTTCAAAGTCGTCGATGTCCTTGGGAGGTATGGGCAAAGCCGGAACAGATGGCGTGGTTTTCTTATTCTTCGTCGGGTTGTCACGGTCCAGATAGGCTGAAGAGCTATGGTTGACAACCGAACGGGCTTTTACCGACTGAGTTGACTCTGCTGGTATGCGTGAACCGTTGCGGGCCTTAAGGTCACCCCAATACACTCCAGCAGAACTATGGTTCTCTTTCTTGGGATCACCTGATGTTTCACAAGTGCTAATCCGCCGAATTGATCTGGCATTGGTTGGAAGCACTCTGCAGACATGAAGGTGGCTGCCGCTGCGACTGATCCTGCGCTGTTTAGAGGCGCGTCGAGTCAAGCTAGCGAGTATGGAAGTATATAGAGCACCTCTGGTGATTCGTCTTCTGTGGATATTCTTGGCTTTCGGCGGGAGGGCTTGCTTGTCAGCGTGGGCACGCTGCCGAGGACTCCCCTTCTAAGGCAAACTGAGTTTAGGCATCGTTCTTATTCCAAAAAAGCACAAAATCCCAGATAGGACGTTCCAAAAAAACAGGCGCGAAAGCTGAAATCTATGTCGGCAAATGTTTGTTGTACATGATGAGAGAACTCGTAGTGATGCTAGATCAGGTTTGTGGTGCTGGCGTCCGAGGGGATGCGAGGCAGCTGCGGGCCACACACCAGCGGCAGGAACCACCACGGTACCTTGGATGCGACAGTGCCGATACACAAGGTCGTTCCGTGACTAGGATGAAGAATGTCCGTTCTGGGGGGTGCCGCAAGGTTGCGTACCGGCGTGTTTACGCCTCGAATGATTGCTTGTTCTTCAGGCGAGCAGATCGAGGGCTGCTGGAGGCGCATAACAGACAAGCGACCAGCATGGCAAGCATGGGTCACCGAATGTCTCTGATGTTTGGCTGGGAGTAGAGATCAAGCTGACGCCTTCCTTTACGCAGGAGGAACTCTATGGCCGAGAAGTCCTTCTTGCTGATCAAAATACTCTTGCCAAACTCGGCCCTGCAGCGCATGGTCAGCCTCAGTCCAACACGGCAGCGATTGCGGGTGTTCTCACCTAGCATAGGCTTTGAAGTGACTTTGAGTTGCCTGCATGGACTCCCTCGTCAGCATCATCGTCGAGTAGTTTGTGCGAGTTTGTTTGTGTGTGTTAGCGGGTAGCAGGCCACATACCTCGGGCTTCTGGCGCGCTGCACGCAGGCATTGCCGGTAGAGGGCAAGAACTTCTTTCTGCAGCCCGGACAAAGCCATGGCCACGGAACAGGAGTCGCAAATGAATCCCGGTGGTAGTGGGTTATACTTGGCACAGGAGAGTCTGCAAGGCTGAGAGTCTGTCAGGAGTTCTGTTCCCCGGAAGTGTAGGTGGATGCTTAGCGTAGGTGTGCCTCCGATGACCCGGCTCCTGCGCGGCCGCCCCGGCCGCCAAAGTCAATGACGCTTACCCTGCAAGGCGGCCAGAGAATATCACAGCATCTACGAACATTCTCCGTTTGGTCATGACAGCAAATTGAGTCCTCACAACTGCGTTCAAAACATGGATGGAGTGATTGAAAAGTCTCATTGTCTGGTAGAAATTTGGACTCATCATATCCTGGAAACCCATCCACTTGCAGCATCCTGCATGGACGAGCAACGTGCACCTGTCCTTCTATAAGCCGCGAGCACAAGTCTCGCAGGGCGATGCGCAGCTCGCTTCTTGTTGCGCCCACCAATTTCCAGCCGAGAACATGTTGTGTGTTGTGGACGTCGTTTCAGTGTCAAAGAGCAGGTCGGCAGCGACTTTGCTTATAGAGCTATAAGCAGGTCCTCACGACCTGCGGCTTGCGGACCACGTTCTGATGCCAGTGACGGCCACCCAACCAACGATGAGAACAGTCACGGCCAGTCGAATTTCCCGGGCAACATTGGCGGTCGAAGCGTCGAGGCTGATGGCGTGAATGTGCTTGATTGCGCCAGAGTGCTGGGCCGTGACACAGAAGGTCTCCATGGCAGGGCAAGAATCTGTAGGGGACGTGATTCCGGTACTATGCTTCCGCCGCCTGGCTTGTATCGTCAAGATGAGAAAGTCGAGTTGGTGATGCACTGCCCTTGTTCGTCAAGACGGTCGACAGGACAGGGTCCACGGGCGCTTTGATGGTTGATAGCGCCCCACTAACAGCGCTGAACGGGGCGGTCAGCCACGCCGCATGCTGGCACTGGACCAACCACCAACGAAAGTAAACAAAACACACAAACGAGCGGCTTATAGTCGGAGCATGTGAGCAGGCATTGGGCCACGCACACGCTTATTTGACGTCCCAGCAATTTTTCCTTCTTTTCATTATGATATACGGAATACAAGATTGATCACTGAGCAGCCCTCTTTCCAGTCCTTTGAGCGGTGGACCAACACGCCGACATGGAACCACTGGATCCTGCAACGAGGCAGGCCTTTAGAGCGGCGTTGGAAGAGGTCTTGAGGCCGCGAGACGAAGTCCTCGACTACCAGAAAGCCCACGAGGAGATCCTGGCCCAGTCCTATGGCGAGGACATTCTCAAGCATCCCTTGGCTCTCCTACCACCAGGTCTAGAAGTAGCTCGAACAGAAGGCACCACGCCGTCGAGGCTCGAGGAACTTATCGATGCAAATATCCGGCTGAACAAGGAACTCAGGCAGCTACAAGAGGCCTCAAGATTGGCTCCAGACATCTCGGCAGAAGACAAAAACGCACACAAGTCGGCGCAAAGCACGCCTGGCAACGTCCAGGACAGCCAAGTCATCGACCTGCAACTCCAAGTCAACGCCCTGGAGGAGAAACGCACCCGCCTCAACATCTTCCTCAATGCCCTCGACAGACTGGAGAGACTCCCGGCCGCCGAGCCGGGCTTCATGCATCCAGCCGCCATGTTCCAGGATTGCAGTCCTCTGCCGGATCTGCCCAAGGAGCTCATGGAGGGCTTCACCCGAGACACTTCGGCGCCGCAGCACGAGATCGAGACCATGATGCGAGGTCTGCACAAGGCTGTACTCCGCAACAAGCTCCTGGCGCAGCGGGAGAAGCGGAACCTCGATGCAATGCGCGCGGAGAGCAACATCGACCCGGCCGGCTTGCCTGCAGATGTGCAGCTCCATGCTCTTGGTGCCGTCAAGGACCACCTCATCGGGTGGATCGAGTCGCAGCTCATGCAGGCTGGCGATGACGAGGACGAGGACGTGAACGGAAATCTCGAAGATGGCTCAGGGTCAGCTCCAGCCACCAGGACCAAGAACCACGGCGATGACGTTGATCTCGACACAAAACTGGCCAACATCCAGAATCAGTACAGCAAACACATCAGCCTGCGGAAGGACATCTCAACGCTTCTCGCCGAGGCCGACCACATCAGCCACGACCTCGAGAGGTTCCGCGGCATGCGTATCGCCGACGACGCGCCCGCCACAGCTGACACGCCTGCCTCAAACTCGGCCGCGGGCTCAGCATTGTCCACTCTGAATCCCCCAGCCACACTCATGCTCACACCATACCTGGAGAAGCTCCAACAGACCTCCCGCGAGCAGAAGGCCATGGTTCAGGAGAAGTCATACATCAATAGCTCCTTCGCCAAGCAGCAGCAGCACATGAGCCAGACGATTCAGGACCTCGTCGAGGAGAGCCGCCTGCTCGCAACATATCCCAGTGCTGCCCCTCCAAGCAGCAGCGCCAGCCTCAACGGCAGCAGGAGGTCCAGCAAGAACAGGTCCCTCGGCGAAGCCACGCGCAGGTCTGCGGCGGGCACCAGGGCCAATGTCGCAAGCCAGGTTGAGCCGTTCGTGTACTCTGCCGACTCGGCGAAGATCGCAACGCTCGAGGTCGTCGTGGAGAACATTGAGGTGGGCCAGATGGCGGTCGACGAGGCGAGGGCGCAGTTGGATGTGGTGCGCCGATTTTTGAATAAGAGTGATCAGCATGACGAGCCCGTTGGCGATGATAGTAGGTCGCCCCACAAGCAGGCTGCGACTGCTGCTGCTTCAGGGCATAGGAGAAGGAACACAGAGGGCAAGATCATGGTCGAAGATCACCACGAGAAGAGTATATGGTCCAAGCTTGACGGGAATCTGGGGCTGATCAATGATTGATATTGTTGATGTTTGTCTTCATAACTTTAAATCATCCTCTGCTATGTAGCAAGGTCTGTCGCTAAAATCTGGATCAGTCAATCCTCAAGGCGCTTGGCGTCAGGTTTCCCATGCTCTCTGCCATTGTGCTCATTGATATCAGCCTAGATGCACCCCAGCGCATGTCTTTTGTTCCGATGGTCCCTCATATATTCTGCCCGCTTCTCGTATGTCCAGATCTGCTGCCGTAGCCTCAGCTCTTGCCTGCAAGGATATTCGAGATGCGCAGAGTCAGATCTAATATCGACAAGTGCTCGTCCGCACCGTCAACCAGCCGCTTATCCACCTCTGAAAAGACCAATGTGATCTTATTTTTCGCCGCATCAGGGATCGTCTCGTCTTGAAGGACCGCGTGATATAGCTGGCAGTCGGGCCAATGGTGTCAGCCAAGAAATGCTCTTCACAGGGAAGAATTGAATGGACAAGGCATAGAACTTTACCTGAGTTGTGACCTGCCCGGCGCTCCACCCATCGGCCACCATGTCTTCCACCACCTTTGAGACGCCTGCGTACGCAGCAGCTCCAGAGCTTGGTTGCATGGCCTTGCGCAGCTTCTCGATCGTTGCCTCGGGGATCACGCCTGCGATATCCTCGATGATCTTTATCGTTACTTTTCTTGATGCCGACGCTGTGGGAGCGTCGCCATCCACGTCCATCTTGTCCGCCTTCTCACCACCGCCGCCGCTGTCATCGTTTTCTATGGCGCCAACCAGCCGCGCCGCCGACTGGAGGTACGTGATGGCCTTTCTCAAGTCTCCTTCTGCGCACTTGATGAGCACCTCGACCACGCCTTCCTCGAGGGCGACCCCTTCCTTGCTGGCAATCTCCTCGAGCCGCTTCTTGGCGTTGCCCTGGTCGAGGCTCTTGAAGCGGAACTTGGAGCAGCGCGAGGCGAGAGGGTCGATGATGCGCGTGACGTAGTTGCAGATAAGGCAGAAGCGGGTGATCTTGCTGTACGTCTCCATCGTGCGGCGGAGCGCGCTCTGGGCGTCCTGCGTCATGCTGTCGGCCTCGTCGAGGATGATGATCTTGAAGGGCGGGCACGGGTGCCGGGACTTGTAGTCGCCATGCGTCGGCGGGTTCGTGAGCTGCATCCGCGCAAAGTCCTTGACCTTCTCGCGCACAATGGATATGCCGCGCTCGTCCGAGGCGTTGAGCTCGAGCACCCGGGCCTTCATCATCTCGGGCCCGTAGAGCTCCTTGGCGAGCGCGAGGATTGTGGATGTTTTGCCCGTGCCAGGAGGGCCGTAGAAGAGCATGTGTGGGAGCTGCTCCGACAGATTGCATCCAAAAGTCAGTTTGCTTGTCCATACAACTGCCTGCTTCTACACTGGATACGCACGTTGGAGGCCTGCAGTGTCCGTTGCAGCACGTTTACAGTGTGGTCCTGGGCTGTAACATCGCTCAATGTCTTTGGACGACTGTATGCTTGTCAGTCGTAGCTTCTGGCGCTTGAAAAGGTGTCCCAATATCTCGACGTACTACTTCTCAACCCAAGGCTGTCGTCTCGTGCTTTGTTTCGTCTCTTCTGGCTTGTTCGTGCTCGCCCCGTTCGCTGCGGCCGCCTTCCGGGCCTTCAAGTCGAAGAAATTCGACATACTCGCAATCCGGATGTGTTTTCGTGTCGAATTGCTGGGTTGCTCAACGAGATCTACTTGTCGATGTCGTGTGTCGTGAGGATGAGAGAAAAAAAGAGCTTATGACGACGGCAATTGCATTGCTGGAGCTTTGACGCGTCCTTGAGACGCGCTTGAGTGGCGGGCGGGGCCGAAGTCAATTAAACCCACTTTGGTACTAGCCTGACATTCTGGTTGTCGAAGCCAATGCTTACATAATGCATACTTCCTCTTACATTTCGAGGAAGGTGATGAGAAACAGAACATGCATGCAATACTTGACGTGGTCTTTCATCCTCACCATGGAGAGTGGCATCGTGAGACCCTGGTAATCCAAAGACCAAGTTGCTTTTTTTCATTCTTATCGTTCTCAACGTACACGCGTTCCCCAGTTCCCATCCAAACACGATCAAAAATCTGCAATCGCCAGAAGTCCCAACAATTAACGCCTGCCGAGCCTAATCCAGGCTTCGGCGATAGTGAACTAGGATATATGCCTTCCACCTCTCTCATGGGTACGGGGACCGAAACTTTTCCGTAATACTCCGCGCTCAAACGGGGGTAACTGCCCCACTTACAAAGGCTTACCACCGATGAACTCAGACCACCGACGGACCTCAGGCGGGATGCCGTCCTTGCGGGGCAGCTTCTCAGACATGCACTGAGCAAAAAGGCGGGCAGTCTGGCAGGGAAGCTATTAGCGCATGTCTTGTGTGAATTAAGGACGAATCATCAACTTACCTGAGGCTCCATGAAGAGCGGCACGCCAAAGTCGACAGCGTTCCGGCGCATGACATAGTCAACATCCAGAGTAGTCTTGCCACGAGCAAGAGCGAGGTTGAAGACTCCGCGGATGTCGTACTTCTTGAATACTTCACGGAGAGCACGCTTGTCCTCCTTGGGGAACTCGATGACCTCAACGGCGACCTTGTCCTTGCTGGTAGACTCAACAAACTGCTTGACGTCGTTACCAGCAGCGTAGAACTTGTAGCCCAGAGGCGACAAGTAGTCGACGACCTGGGTGAGCCAGGGCTTGGTAGTCTCACCGCCAAGGAGGATACCCTCACCGGGCTCGGGTACACGGAAGTTCATGGCGGACTGGAGAGAAGTCCAGTAGGCCTCAACCAGGTCCTTGCCGAAGCAAGCCATTTCACCCGTGCTAGACATTTCGACGCCGAGGAAGGGGTCGGCACCAGCAAGACGGGTCCACGAGAATTGAGGAACCTTGGTCGCAACGTAGTCGCGCTTGACAGCCATGAGATCCGTGGGCTCGGGAACGTCCTTGCCAACCAGAGCCTTGGTAGCGACGTCAATGAAGTTGGTGCCGAGGACCTTGCTCACGAAGGGGAAAGAGCGGGAAGCACGGAGGTTGCACTCGATGACCTTGAGCAGGGGCTCGCCACCCTCTGGGTTGTCGGCCTTGATGATCTGCATGTTGAAGGGACCAGTGATCTTCCAGGCCTTGGCAACCTTCTGGGCAATCTCCTTGAGGCGGGCCATGGTGTTGTCATCAAGGTTGGCAGGGGGGAGAACGAGAGTAGCATCACCAGAGTGGACACCAGCCTGCTCGACGTGCTCACTGACAGCGTGGATGATGAGTTTGCCTTCAGAGGCGACACCATCGACATCAATCTCGTCAGCACCCTCAATGAACTTCGTGATGACGACAGGGTGGTCGGGCGAGACGTTGCTGGCAGCCTCAAGCTTGTCCTTTAGGTCCTCCTTGCTGCGAATGACAGTCATGGCAGCACCGGAAAGAACGTAACTGGGGCGAACGAGAACGGGGTAGCCGACAGTCTCGGCGAACTTCTCGGCCTCAGCAACCGAGGTAAGCTCTTTCCAGGCAGGCTGATCGACGCCGATGCTGTCCAAGATCTCAGAGAACTTCTGGCGATCCTCCGCCTTGTCAATATCCTTGGGGTCGGTGCCAAGAACGTTGGCCTTGCCAGTCTCCTGCAGGCGAAGTGCAATGTTCTGCGGCAGTTGGCCGCCAACAGAAACGACAACACCGGTGGATTGCTCAAGCTCGTAGATGTCGAGCACTCTCTCGTAGCTCAGCTCCTCGAAGTAGAGTCTGTCAACGACATCGTAATCTGTCCGTAGCATTGTCAGCATTTGTGTACATCAAGACCATCAAAGTATTTCGTTGGATACACACCGGTAGATCTGGTCTCGGGGTTGTAGTTGATCATGACAGTCTTCTGTCCCATTTCGCGGAGAGCTTCTGTAGCGCTGACGGCACACCAATCGAACTCGACGGAGCTGCCAATGCGGTAGACACCGCTGCCAAGAATGACAGTGCCCTTGTCTTCGAAAGTGACGTCGTGGGAGCTGGCGTTGTAAGTGGTGTACAAGTAGTTGGTATCGGCAGGGAATTCGGCGGCGAGTGTGTCAATCTTCTTGACCCACGGGCGGATGTTGAAGCTCAGACGAAGAGCACGTACGGCGTCCTCGTTGCTCTTGACGGCAGTAGCGATCTGCTTGTCAGAGAAACCGTACTTTTTAGCCTTAAGGAGGAGGTCGCGCTTGAGCCCCTCGATACTGCCGACAGCCTCCATCTCGCGAGTGCAGTCGACAAGGTTCTGGAGCTTGTAGAGGAACCATTTGTCGATCTTGCTCAGTGCGTGGATCCGCTCGACAGTGTAGCCCTCGTGAAGCATGGCCTGACCAACGGCGAGCCAGCGGCGGTCGGTGGGGTTGGCAAGCTCGTGGTCGAGGTCGTCGAACTTGTCGCCCTGGAAACCGACAAAGCGAGGGTCGACCTGACGGATGGCCTTCTGGAAGGACTCCTCAAAGGTACGGCCGATAGCCATGACCTCTCCGACAGACTTCATGGCACTGCCAATGTCACGCTTGACGTGCTGGAACTTGGACAGATCCCATCGAGGAATCTTGGTGACGATGTAGTCCAGAGAAGGCTCGAAGTTGGCTGTGGTAGTCTTGGTGACGGCGTTGGGGAGCTCGGGCAGGCTGTGGCCAAGACCGATCTTGGCGGCAGTGTAGGCCAAGGGGTAGCCAGTCGCCTTGGAAGCGAGCGCCGAGGATCGCGAAAGACGGGCATTGACCTCGATGACACGGTAGTCGAGTCCATCAGGCTGCAGGGCGTACTGGACGTTACACTCGCCAACAACTCCGAGGTGGCGCACGATCTTGATGGCGGCAGAGCGAAGCATGTGGTACTCCTCATCGCTCAGAGTCTGACTGGGAGCCACGACGATCGAGTCACCAGTGTGGGTGCCAAGAGGGTCGAAGTTTTCCATGTTGCAAACCGTGATGCAGTTGTTGTTGGCGTCACGAACAACCTCATACTCAACCTCCTTCCAGCCCTTGAGCGACTTCTCAACGAGGATCTGAGGGGACAGGGTCAGGGACCGAGCGGCCATGTTGCGGAGCTCCTCCTCGTTGTTGGCGAAACCGGAGCCGAGACCACCAAGAGCGAAAGCGGCACGAACGATGATGGGGTATCCGACTTTCTCGGCAGCATCCAGAGCATCTTCGACCGTCTCGACGGCGATTGACTTTGCGATGGGGATATCAATCTCGTTCAGGGCCTTGGCGAACATGTCTCTGTCCTCAGAGAGCTCGAGGGTGTGGACGCTGGTACCGAGAACCTTGACGCCGTACCGCTCGAACAGACCCATACGCTGCATCTGAACACCCAGGTTCAGGGCAGTCTGGCCACCAAAAGATAGGAAGATGCCGTCAGGACGTTCTCTCTCGATAACGTACGTGACGTACTCCGGGGTGACTGGGAGGTAATAGACTTCATCGGCAAGCGAGTGGTTGGTCTGGATAGTCGCGATGTTCGGGTTGATAAGGACGGAAGAAACGCCGGCCTCCTTGAGAGCCTTCAAGGCTTGGGATCCTGTATCGATTGCTCTATATCAGCCGCTGCAAGCCTAAGATTTCGTGCTCGGCCAGATGCTGTCTGGTTGTCATTGACCGCCAATTGGAGCGGTTCTCATCATCAAGAAACTGGGGAGGAACAAACCTGAGTAGTCAAACTCTCCAGCCTGGCCGATGGCCAGACCGCCACTGCCAATGACCAAGACCTTCTTGACATCGACAATGTCCTTGGGCTTGATGACACCGCTCTCCAGGTAGGCCTTGGGGTTGGGGGCTTCCTGCGAGACAGAGGCGTTCAGGGCACGAGCCGAAACAGTGAAGCTCCGCTGCTGCTTCTGGAAAGCAGGCAAGCTGCTGTTCGAGGTGGCGAGGAGCTGAGAAGGGCCCCGAGCAGTGGCAGCGACGAATTGCCTGCGAGGAAGGGCGGAAGGCAGACGGCGGCCATGGCGAAGCACGGAGGGCGCGCGGCCGGCGAATTTCATAGACATCGCCATGTTCGCAGAGCAATTGGGATCGAGCCAAGGCACCACGAGACCTGTAGATCCAGTTACCCTTAGCCCAGCTTCAGCCGATTGGCGATTCGGGTAGAGCTGGCTCCTGAGAGGACAATTGAGTTTGGGGTTTATAGGAAGAAGAAGCACCAGCACGGCGGAGGGCAGGACGAGGTCACAAATGGAGGCCGGTCCAGGAAGTGCGCTGCAGGGCTTCTCCACCCAGCCAATTGGGAAACTTTGACTGCGCAGCCAGCCAATCCGCGCGCTTGGGAAGCACCCCAGCAGAGTGCGGGCACGATAAGATAATGTCCATCTCGATAAAATTTTGAGAGTGGGCTCCGTTTTCGCACAGCGGGCGCCAGTGCGGCGCCAGGGTTGCCCGGCCAGGCTGGGGCATGTGTGACTCGAGCTTGTGCTGCTGTCTTATTGTTCCGGTGCTGGACCACCCGTTCTGTGGGCTGCCCGCGCAGCGATCCCGGCGCTTCGGCAGACTCATCATTGCGACAGGCGGGGCATGGGCCAAAGAATTTTTTTCCCAGCCCAGTCACCTCGATCGGGGAGGATGCCTTCCCAGTGAAGCTATCGTGGGAGGGACCGTTGGCTGGTGGGAGCGATCGACGCGTAACACGACTCGTGCATGTCCACTAGCATGATCCTAGACACAAAGGCACAGCTTCCGTCCGCGCCGTGATTGTGTTCTCTTGCTTGTGATGGATGCTCTGGCAAGCTTGGGACCCTCGCCTTCGGATGTGCGACCGGATACTGCCTCCCTCAGGCCAATTCGACGTTACAATGTCTCCCTGAAACCCTGGGAACACGGACAGCTGCTTGCCTCTTTAGGCAGGTCCATCGCGCTGTCCCATGAGCCACAGGCCTCAATGATGCCGGGAGTCGATGTCGACCCACGACCGCATCTGATCTGACAGCCCGGGAGACCCAGGAGAGCGCGGGGTCCTGGCAGCTACGTCAGTGGGCACGAGAGCTGGAGCTGAGCTGCAAAAAAGCACAACCTGGCCAAGCGGGTGGAAATCCACAGTAGTAGCCACGATGATTGCTTTTCTTCCTGCAAGAGGTGAATAGTGGCCCCCACCCAAACCCTCTCCGAAGATGGCAGCAGCTCCGTGCTGCCATGCTGCCATTTCACCAAGGAGTTTTGAGAATGAGAGCAGATTAGCTGGGTGTTGGAACGTGCCATCGCCCACCTTTATTCTTGTCCATGTTCATGGGGGTCTGAGGAAGGCCGGTGTTTAGAAAGATTAGTTCTGTGTTTTGAAGCATAATTGAGTGGCGCGCTCTAGCTGCGCCCAAGGTACTGCACATGAGCTCCCAGAGTGCGTGTTCCTCAGGAGAATGCCGGGCCCCCGAGAGACTACACCGGAGGACTATTCCGCGGAGGGTCTCTCCATGCATAGGGACGATAAAGGGGACGATAAAAGGGTAGAGCGGGTGTCGCCGCCGCGCTTAGCCAATGCAACCATGTCAAGTTGCCGCAGCGATGATGGCTGTCTGTTGTGGCGATGCCGCTCCTAGTCTTGCGTGGGCTTTTGGTCAATTGTGCGCTCTCCCCCCTCTGGCTAAGTAGGAGGGGATGATTCTTGTCGGCGCCGTTGGTTACACAAGTCTGACAGCTACGATCTGGAGTCTTTACAGTGGAGCTGCCAGCGTAGCAGCCAACCAGCGCGGTGCGCGTCCCACGCGTGCCTGGCGCCGTTGCAGGGATGATCGCAACTCGCGTGCTTGACCAGGCTACCCTCACTGCGCTGTCAACCTGACCAAGGATGAACATCATCTGCCAACTCGAATGCCATCATGTCACCCCAAGGTGTGGGTGTCGACACGACGGGATACTGAGTCGCTCCCGAGTTGCACAAAGGATGGGCTGTAACGTATCGTTTCCATCAATGCCTCGTGCCCATGGGCTCTTGCGACCTAAAACGACCCAGCCTCAGCCAGCCTTGGCGTGACGTCGTCGAGCCATGCACGGCCGCCCTTGGCGAGTCGACAACCTGATTTGGGCCATTCTTCAGGGACGCATGCTTACCGACCTGCTGGTGCTGGACCTGCACTCTCGAGCCCGTGGAGGCCCCAGGAGCTTCTTGTCCGGTGCGACCCTCCTGTGCGTAAGCTTAAAGTCAAGCTTGTTTCCCTGCTTATTTTGATACTGGGGAACTTTGTCCACGTGCCACTCCAACAGCCTGTCGCGACAACCACCAGACTCTTGAACACAAACATGGCCTCCGGATTTGGTGTCGCTTTTGCTGGCGCCCTGCAGGCGTCACTATCGGTCCTGCTCACCATCGGCGTTGGCGTTGTGAGCGCCCAGTTTGGTCTCGTGAGCACACAGGCCGCCGAGGACATCTCCCACCTCTGCGTCCAGATTCTGCTGCCGTGTCTCTTGATTGAGAATCTGGGCCAGAACTTGGAGGTCGACACAATCATCGACTACGTGCCGCTAGTCAGTAAGTTTGTGACTTTGCAGTGGTGGAGGAGGAGGACCACCACGTGCTGATCGGCGAACCTTTTGCGCAACTGTAGTCTGGGCGGCATTGTACACAATTATCAGCATAGCCATCGGTCGGGTTTTGACCATCGTCTTCAAGCTTCCCGCGTGGGCCACGCCGGCTTTGGCGTTCAACAACACGGAATCGATGCCCTTGCTACTTCTGCAGGCTCTCGGAACAACTGGCACGTTGGCCACGCTCACTGGCGCGGGCCAAGAGTCGGCCGCTATTGAGCGAGCACGGTCCTACTTCTTAGCCGCATCGGTCATCACCAACACAATCACCTTCGGCGAAGGACCGGAAATCTTGAAAACCTCGGCGGGCCATTCTGGGGTTGGAAAAGCCTGGCGATGGCTGGCGGGGCGCTTGAGTACCGAGGGAGACGCCGAAAACGCCTCAGGAGACGAGGGCGAGAACGAAGACGATGATGAGGATGAGAATGCCGACCAGAATGGCTCCAGTGATCAAGGTGATGCAGACGAGCAGACATCGCTCCTCCCTCACCAGGTCCGCCGGGGCGGCCGGAAGGCAAAGCAGGCGGTCCTGCCCGTGCTCGAACGATGGCACGCAGCTTTGCCTGGTCCCGTCCAGTATGTCGTGTCTGGCATGGGAATGCTGATCAACGCGCCCTTTATTGGTGCCTTGATCGGTATCATCATCGGCCTCACGCCGCCTTTGAAGAAACTCTTCTTCGCTGACATGAGCGAGGGTGGCTACTTTAATGCCTGGCTGACGACGTGCATCAAGAACGTGGGCGAGCTCTTCGTCTCTCTACAGGTTGTCGTGGTTGGTGTCAAGCTCAGTCTGAGTCTGAGGAAGTGGAAGGAGGGTGACGAGGCCGGATCGGTGTCGACGCAAACTTTCCTGCTCGTCTCTCTGGTCAGATTTATCGTCTGGCCTGCGTAAGTTGTTCCATCCAGACCAGGCCCAAGACACAGAGCACTACTGACGGGACCTATCTTCGATATATAGCATCAGCATCCCTCTAATCTGGGTCCTGGCCGCCAAGACGGACATCCTGCCAAACGATCCAATCCTCTGGTGGACCCTGATGATACCGCCCACTGGCCCTCCTGCGATGAAGAACCTCGCCCTGGCAGATGTGTGCGGCGCATCCCAGAAGGTCAGGATGTCCATTGCCCGCTTCCTCACTGTAAGTCAGCTCTCCCTTTGATTTGAAATGTCTAAATTCTGCACCGTGCATCGGGCTAACACATGTCACCTGGCAGATGTCATACATGATCACTCCTCTGATCTCCCTTTCGGTGGTTGGCGCGCTCGTGGCTGCCAAAAATGCCAAGGAGGAGTAACAATGCGCCCCTAGTGTGGTGCAGGGCTTGAGCCATCTGATATGGCGATGTACGATATGCGAGACCCATGGTTTCTCGTTGTGCGACTGTCGCGAAGTTCCAAAGTTGAAAGTTAGGAAGCGATTTCCAGCAGAGCATACACAAGGACGTCCACGATGAGACACGGGTAACGTGGACACTCGGCATTCACGAAGCATAAGCAAGGAGACAAAACCAGGCATAGCAATTGTCCTTTATGTGCTGTTAGAGACTTTGCCCGTAATGCTTTGAGATAATAGGCTGTTGTGCACTCCCATAAAATCGTGTAGCGCCAAACGCCCGGTATGATGCCATCCGTGCCCGCTCTGTCCCGCTCTGGACGGCACTGGGACAGATAGTGAAAATGCTCGTCCCTGAATACATGCACTTCGCTAAGTGCGACACCCTCAGCCACGTAGCTCTATGGGCAATCCCTCATCGCGCAGCCACATGTCCCCCGGTTCACCCCGATGCTACTTCCAATAGTTGCTCTGGCCTACTTCTTGTTTCCCTTCTTCTTCTTGCCGGAGGGTGTGGACGGCGCGGGCGCGGGCGGTACGCCCGCATCAACCAGAACAGCCTCATCATCGCTAGCGACAACACTGGCCTTGGCGGGAGAGTCGGTCGTTGGTGCTGCGATTTCTGGTGCGGTTGACGATACTGTCGCAGTACCAGCTTCGTTATCCAGCTCCTGCATGAAATCCTTTCGAATCGTCGCCCGACGCTTCTCCCACCACTCCTTCTCCGAGTCGACCTTGGCCTCGATCTCGTCCAGCTTCTCTGTGAGCATGGCTCTCGCGTTGATCTCGTTGGCGGACTGGAAGATGATCTGACCCCATCCAGGGTAGAGGGCATTGGCCTATGTGAGTAGGGTGTGGTTAGCATTTCCAGTTGACCGGAGAACCTTAAAACCCGGTGGAGATGAAAGTACCTCGGAGACAACATCCTTCAGCTCCTCCTCAACCTCCTTTTCGGCGCGCGCAAATCTCTGCGCCAGGTCATCGCCGATGCTGCCGCGCTGAAGCAGGCCGTTGAGGGCTTGTTTGGAGGTGCGAATCTGGATAATGCGTTGGATGTCCTCGACAGCCCTGCGCAGGAGGGCGGCTCTGATGACACTATCCGGGACCTTTGGTGCCTTCTCCTTGCCGTCCTCTGGGTCGAGGTGCAGTAGTGACAGGTAGATGTTGCGTGAGAGGTGCTGGCCGAACCAGGGCTCGAGGCTGGCGCTTCGTGCTGTTCCATGAAAAAAGAGCACCAGTCAGTGAGCGGCACTGGGGAGGATGCGATCGCAGATTGTCTGCATGCGGAGTACTCACAGGCTTTTCTCTTTCTGTAGATTGTCGAAAAGGTATACAGAGATGCAAACAGAGTGCTCACATATGCGAGCGGGAGCACGAGGCTCAACCAGTCTATACTGAACATGCTGGCGCGAGCTGTGCTGTACCCCTCGCACGGCTGTGACGTGTAGTTGGTGGACTTCGGCGAGACGAGCGGTACAAGAAGAGCCGGTCTAGTGGATGGTGCCGTTCGATCGCAAACAAGGCTAGATCCTGTGCTCGATATGGTGCGCGATGCAAAAGGAATGTGGTGTTGACGATTGCCACGAGCGGGACTTGGGCTGGTGACTTCGAGGTCGCAAGTGGGCTGTGATGTGATCTGGCCACTGCGCACCTGTTCGGTGGGCACACTGCCGACCCTTGGGATCTTGACAGCTTTCCTGTCCCTTGCCTTACGTCGGCGGATGGCTCCAGCATGTCCAAGTGGGGCCTCACCCCCGAAACAGGCAGGCCCGGCAACACCGCCTAAATTTTCATTATTCTGCCGGTCGTTCCTGCTGCGCCTAGGCAAAACACCCTGTTGCAAAGTTCCAAGGCTGCATTGCTCTAGCAAGCCGCCTTCTATTTATCTTGGTTTGCGATAAAAGCTTTCAATTTGGTCAACTCTGAGAACTTTGAGAACCTTGGGATTCTTGGGACGTTTCGCGCCGTCGCAGACCGAGCGACTGGCATCAATCATGTCGACACAACGACCCGAGTTTATCAAGTTCACAGGGCACAAGTCCTTCGCCCTGCGCCTCGTGCTTTCGACCCTCACGGGCCGGCCGATACATATCTCGAAGATCAGATCCTCGTCGCCCACCAACCCCGGCCTCGCTCCTCACGAGGTCTCGCTGCTCCGACTCCTCGAGGCTGTCACAAATGGCAGCTCCATGCAGATCTCGTACACAGGTACGACAATAACATACCAGCCGGGTCTCATTACTGGTGCAGCCCCAGGCTTCGGCGCAACGGGCGACGGAGATGTCGTCGAGCATCAGCTGCCGGCTACATGCACGCGAGGAGTCACATACTTCCTCCTCCCGCTGTGTCTGCTTGCACCGTTTTCGAAAGCGCACATGAACGTCCGTCTCACTGGACCCGGCGTAATCACCGCGGCGACCGACGCAGGCGATCTGAGTGTCGACTCTTTCCGGACTGGTTTGCTGCCAATGTTCGACCTTTTCGGAATACCAACGGCACGGATAGAATTGCGGGTTCTGCAAAGATCTTGTGCTGGTCCGAGGGGAGTCGGTGGTGCGGGTGTGGTGGAGCTGAGATTCGCCAGTCAGGTCCGGCTGCCCAAGACATTACATCTCAACAGAAGCCCTGGCAGGATAAAACGCATACGCGGTGTGGCGTATGCGACCGGCGTGTCTGCATCAAATAACGCTCGCATGATTCACTCGGCGCGAGAAGTCCTGAATCAGCTGGTGTCGGACATCCACATCGCTGCCCAGTACGACCAGGCGCCACTCACGCCAACAAAAGACGGAGGCAAGAGGAGAATGGGCATCGGCTTTGGCCTGAGCTTGGTTGCAGAATCGAGCGCCGTGGGTGTCTTGTACACCGCAGACGTGGTTGCGCCCGCGACAGGAGGTGTCGTTCCTGAAGACATCGGCAAAAAGTGCGCCTACCAACTATTGGAGACGATAAGTCGTGGTGGTTGTGTTACGGGCACCGCAGCTCCTATAGTTTTGTCCCTCATGGCCATGGGCTCCGAGGACGTTGGCCGTCTTCGACTTGGCAGAGAGACAATCGGCACTGAAGAACTCATTGGATTGGCGAGAGATTTGAAGAGCTTTGGAATGAGCAGCTGGGGGCTCCGGGATGTGGATGAGGATGATGAGACAGACGACATTGTCATCTCAGTCAAGGGCACAGGGGTTGGAAATGTTGGCCGGAAAATAGCGTAATGCTCGATAATGATATCCCCCTTTCACGATTTGCACATCATGGGAACTCCATTCTGGTAAATGCATTAGGTTTGTCCTTGCTGCGCAGCTGCTCGTCTAGCTCTCCTTTGAGCAGCAAGTGCCGCTAGCGTGGCATTGTAGCCCATGCTCTGGAGCGTATAGGCCGCGGCATTCTGAGGTGTGCTTCCTTGCGTCCTCCACGAAGTCCTTAGCGCCTGAGGTATATTAAAATTGGACAATGTGGCATTGCCAGATCTCAAGACATCTGCAAGCTCTCCGCTCTCGCTCATTCGCGATCCCAAGCCATGAGATCCCAACAACGCTGCCCGCTCTCTCGGACCAAGCCCATCCCGGTCCAATGCATGCAGCCCCAGCTCTTCATCGTCGGCTCCTTCGGAACCGTTACGAAGCACTCCTCGCTCGGCGGCGTCCAGATCTTGTGCGGTGGCGACTGTCTCAGCCGTGGCAACCGTTTCCCCGGCAGCGTTCGTCATTCGAGGAGGGTTGATAATGGCGCGCACTCTTTCTCTTTCGGAATTGACGGCCAGCATAAAAGTCTGAAGCGCGAATATGACCACGTCGAGCAAGATCAGCGTAAGCTTCGATGATGGCGGTTTCTGACCGATGAAGTCAAAAAGAATGCCGCCATGCAGGTAACCTCTAGAAATCTCGGTCGCTTGCGGGAGGGAGGTAATGGCGTGTAGCAGGAAACAGAAAGCGTTCGGACCGAATATCGCAGGAACGTGGAAGTTGGGCACGACGAGAACGGCATCGCCAGCTCGCGGGCTTATGAATAGGGTCTGCGCCATCCATCGTATGGCTAGTCGGAAGAATGAACAGCTAGAGGGCAAGCCTGTCAGCTCTGTCCCGGGCCAGATTGTCACCTGATGGCCTCAACACAAGGCCACTTACTCCATATAATACATCGCACACAGCTCAGCGAAGACCAGCATGTCCAGGTTAGCAGCTAGGTTCGTCAAGAACTGCAGCTTCTTGGTGAGACCCTCCTTGGCCTTCCCAGAGGTGGATGCCTGCCCATTTCCAGCATTGGTGTCGTTGGCCGGCGTCGCCCCCGATTGTGCCCTCGTCTCTACGCCATCAGGAACCCCATTGCGTCGAGTGCCGGCGTCGGGGCGAGGTCCTGGATTCGCTGGCGGGGATGCATCGATCGCATTGTTCATAGCTCAACAGCCTCTGCTAGCAATCGGAAAGCTATCAGGACGGAGTAAGAACCGGGCGCTCCCTCACATGCTGTGAAGATGTCGTCTGAGGATATGTCGGACGTGGTTCGAGATTCTGCGTAATCCAATCATGCATTCGTTTTCCCAAGAAATCCTAACACGGCCCGGCGCACAAAGGCACGTAGAGAACGACGGGATGATCAGGCAGGGGAACTTTGATGCTTCGTGCTGCGGCCTGTCCTCGCAGATGTGAGAAAGTGGCCGTGGTCGATCACTCCTGGGCTGATGATCCTGTCAGAGGATGGCTGTCGTGACAGTAGCAGGGGAGCTTGGTGAGCTGTGCCTAAAGTACGTACCTCAAGGGGAGTACCTAGGTCGCGACCTAATTAAGGCCGGCATGACGGAACCCTGCCGTCTTCAGGGCCCCGGCCGCTAAACGTGCGTCTCAGCAGCAGAGAACACTTCACCCTTGAGTCCTTACGTAAGGGACGAGACCCCTTGCGCGCGTGCCCCTCGTTCTGTGGCAGCCCACCTTGAATTTTTGGAGGGGAGTGCGGGACGGCGGCAGCATCCACGCCGCGATCGCTCTGACTCAATTCGCAGCCCAGCACACGGAGACTGCCTGCAACGACTTGCGCAACGTTCCGTGCAACTTCGAGCTTCACAACCACTCTGCCCGCCATCGAGAGCGACTAGCGTGCTCACCGCGTTGGTCTTGGACGGATCAAAACCGCAACCATGGCGACCCCCTCCAAGGACCTCACCTCGCAGATCCTTGCTGCCCTCTCCGACAAGGACTCCCTTTCGTCAAAGGATGCCTTTCCCAACGTCGAGTTCGCCGAGCTCAAGGCAGCCCTCGACCGACTCGGCTCGCGCTCCATGGTCACATACAAGCAGCTTGATCAGGAAGAAGCCGTGCTCCAGCCCGAAGGAAAGCTAGTTGCCGAGAATGGCAGCCACGAAGCCCGCGTTTTCGAGGCTCTTCGCCAGGCCGTCGAGGGTCTTTCCGTGCAGGACCTGGAGAAGGCCATTGGTGACAAGACTGTCACAAAGGTCGGCCAGGGCAATGCCTTCAAGGCCAAGTGGATTGCTAAGAACAAGGATGGCAAGCTTGTTGCCTCTGTATGTGGCACCTGGAACCATCCTAGATCGCACCGGCACGACTAACACACCTCACAGGTTGACTCGATCCAAGATGTGACCCGGGAGCAGCTACAGACTGTACAGAACACTCGCACGCATCCCGATGCGTCCGTCATCGCCGCTCTGAAGAAGCGAAATCTCATCAAACTGCAGAAAATCATCAGCTTCGAGGTCCAGAAAGGACCCAAGTTTGCACTCGAGCTTGTCAAGGAGGAGACTGATCTGACAGCCGACATGATCGAGTCCGGTGCCTGGAAGACAGCCACCTTCAAGCCCTACAACTTCAACGCTCTGGGCGCGGACCAACATGCCGGTGCACTCCACCCTCTGATGAAGGTTCGCCACGAATTCCGCAACATCTTCTTTGAGATGGGCTTCGAGGAGATGCCTACAAACAACTTTGTCGAGTCTGGATTTTGGAATTTCGACGCCCTCTATGTGCCTCAGCAGCATCCTGCTCGCGACTTGCAAGATACCTTCTACATTTCAGATCCCAAGACGGCAGACAAGCCACACGCCGTGGACGAGAACGACAAGAAGGACTACGATACTTACTGGGACAACGTCAAGGCTGTACACGAGGACGGAAAGTTTGGATCCATTGGCTACAGGTATCCATGGGCTGCGGACGAGTCCTTAAGGCTTGTGCTGCGCACACACACGACCGCGATCTCTACTGCCATGCTTCACAAGTTGGCGTCGCAAAGAGGCCCCGACGGTCGCCCCCCGCCTGCGCGCTACTTCTCGATCGACCGAGTGTTCCGGAATGAGACTGTCGATGCCACACATCTGGCCGAGTTCCACCAGGTGGAAGGTGTCATTGCCGACTACGACCTGACGCTTGGAGGTCTGATGGAATTCATGAAAATCTTCTTCACAAAGATGGGTATCGAGGACCTGCGCTTCAAGCCTGCCTACAACCCTTACACTGAGCCGAGTATGGAGATTTTCAGCTACCACAAGGGCCTTGGCAAGCTGGTTGAGATTGGCAACAGTGGCATGTTCCGACCAGAAATGCTCGAGTCTATGGGCCTGCCACCAGACATGAAGGTGTACGGTTGGGGTCTGAGTCTGGAGCGGCCGACGATGATCAAGTACAAGATTTCCAACATCAGAGAGCTCTTGGGTCACAAGGTCGACCTTAACTTCATTGAGAGGAACGCTGCTGTGCGACTAGACAAGAACTAGATGAGGTTTAAAGAAAAGAAAAAGAACAAATGAAAGCAAACGCTGTTTAGAGCGACGTCGGCAATACCATCCCAACAAATGCGAATAGATTACAAGAATGCCAGCCCAAGCATAAAAGCATTCTATGGCATGACATAACGATATTGTTGTTCGCCGCAATGCAAGGCAAATGCCCTGTTGCCCATGCTTTCTCCCGAACGCCGTGTAAGTCGAACAGCTGCCATCTGACAAAGGACCGCATGTTGCACGACAGCGTAGCATCGTCACTGCCTCCTTATTCCCTGCCCTTATATAGTTGTCGAAAGGCATCCTCCTGGGCAACCATAGCGGCCTGGCGAGCCGCCTCGGCGATCTCCTCGGTGCTGGGCACGTATGGCGGAGCTATTGGCGACTCACAGCCCCTGAGGCCAATGAACCGGCCAAACTTGCGTCTCTTGTCCGCCGTCGTGAGGGTTCCCGTCCACTTCACCGGGCACGGGTACTGCCCCGACCATTCCGAAGGTGAGCGCTGGTGGTAGAAGCCCGCCAGGTCGTCGAGCTGGGCATCGCTGAGCAAGTGGTACTCCAGTATCGTCTTTGGGAAGGCAGGATGACGATGTCCTGTTGACATCTGGACCAGGGGACACAGCACGATCGAGAGGTGACGGAGTCGAGCTTGCAGAGCTGGATTCCGCGCTGCCCGACGGACTGCGACTGTTGTCAAGTTTCGTGCAGCCGGCCTGGTGGTTGCTGCTGATCCTCTTGCTTTGTCTGTTCTTTGGCCTATATCCAGAAAAGAAGCCACCCCTACAGTAGTGTGAGTGTCGCCTCGCTCGCTCGAGCCAGTGTTCTGAACACTGGCGACACCACGAGTTGTGGTAGTCTGCCGCCCGCTCAAGCGCTGTCTCTGGATCCGTCTGCCTCGCCTGAGTCGTTGCGGTCGCGCGGACTCGCGGTCGCACTGCATCTCGTGGCAGTATGTGCTATCCCATGCCATTGTGTCGATCGGTTCTGTGTCCACAACGCCTATTTGTAGTTCTGAGGGTTCTTTGTCTTCGTCCTCCTTCGGTGTGTTATCGCCTAACCTTGTGGTATCTTGGTCTTCTTCGTGCATTGGTGTCCAATTAGAATAGATTGGAGGGAAATCTGGCGAGGCCGGGCTTGTGATCATGGAAATATAGCCATTGTTCTGACTACCAGCTGGCCTGTCCATTGTCCTATATAAAACTCCCCAGGGGCAACCGCTATGCCGCTATGCACGAGTCGTTTTGAATCAGTCCTGATGTGGGCATTCGCATGGTTGTTAGTCCCTGACACTCAAGCTTGCTCAACGCAGCCAGGTAATGTGTTTGCCAATTACTCACTTGTGAGTGAAAACGAGTCATCGACAACGATACTAGATCGTGAAACTACTCAGTAGTGGCCTTCAGAGCACGGTGAGTGTCGAAGACAAGAGTGGCAGCAGCTAGAACATGGAAAAGGGGTCCGTAAATTAGGGGCGCGTGGTACACACAATCTCCCTAGCGATGCGAACAACAGACAATTGAATGGAAGAGCAATAATGAGGAGCAATAAGAAGGCAGCAAGAACTGGGTTGAGAATAAACGGATTGAATGGTCATGCCCTGGCAGTCACGCACTTCCTGGGGTGGGAGCCGGCGGTTGATGCGCCGGCAGATGAGCAGACTTCAGAGAGCAAAGATGGATGAGCTAGCATCAAAAGACGTTGCAACGATACCAACGGTAAGTGATCATTTTCCTCGGATCTTTAAAAGAGCTTTGGAAAGCCTTTGTATAAGGTTTCCGATCATGGCCACTGCGCAGACTTCTCTGGCAATGATGGTAGCCGTTGCAGGGAGGGACAATGGAGACCAACGGTACTGCCATCGTTGAACCATGAAGATTCTTTGATCGCGTGCAAGGTGGGTTAACATTTGTTGGTACGTCAAATTGTGTTCGTACAGCGAACAGGTGAGGCAAGGACCAAAAGAGCACACTGGTTGCGATTTCTCAAAGAGTGTTGGTTTGTTCTGCGTTCTGTTCTGTCGCTCTTTGTTCGCTCTGGAGGGACGTGCACAAATAACGACCGAGGACATTTGTGTTGCCTCAACCCATGCGCATCGATTATCTAGTGATTTATCAATGCCTTTCAAATGTAGGCAGCAACTTTTGCGACAGGGTCACAAACCACATGACACCAAAATAGCGACTGTTTGATTTCTGGGCCTTGACAATGAGGAGTAACAAACAGAGTGTTCGTACATATGTACAAGGAATTGCGTGATTAAATGTACGAGTTCCTGTCAAAGGACGAGGTTTTGCCTCCTTGTTAGTGGTCAGTCACCATGTTCTACAAGCCCTTCCAAGCCAGCTTGGCAATGTGGTCGGCTTTTTTGCGCGTTTGCTTGACAAACCCCATGGTCTTGAGCTCTGCCAGCGCGCGATAGAACAAGACGAGGGCCGTGCGCTCGTCCAGACCACCTTCATTGTCTTCGCCAACAATAGCGAGGTAAGCCGACCACAGATCGGCCACGTTGATGAGCGACCCAGTCTCCAGGTACAACTGATAGACGATTGCGGTGGCGGGAAGACTGGGTGCGAGCTGCCCATCTCCGGACTTGCAGCATGAGCAGCCCAGATAATCATGTGGCTGTGACAAAGCGCGCTCGATGACGGTACGGGGTCGCGGGACGAAAACGTCCTTGTGGGGCGATTTCGTGTCGTAGAGCCATATCTCATGGAAAGGTAGGTCTTCGGCGGCGTCGATGTGCACCAGAGCACTAAGTTCGGTATTCAGGCGCCGGAGCAGCTCTGTGTACTCATTGTCTTCGTCCGTCAGTGTCGCCGTGTCGTGACTGAGCTGGACCTTCTGCGCAACCACGGTCGTCCGCAGGACCTTGGCTTGGCTGCTGTGCTTGCTACGGAGCGCGTGGCCGTTCGCTTGAGCTCTCGACTGGAGACCCTGGATACCCAGCGATGCCGACTCCAGCAGCTGCACCATGCTCTGCTCATCACCCGCCCAGCCTTCCAGCCCGAGCGCCTCGTCGCCTTCCTGAATTACGCGCAATAATCTGTTCGACAAGTCAATCGCCTGGCCTGGATCAAGCCGCTCGATGGAACCTAGAGAAGTTGAATCCTTGGCATCCGGCCTTGAGCCTTGTGACAGAGCATCCAAGTAGAGCTCGGTGAAGCCATGTTCGCCATCCTGAATGTGTTCCAGAATTTTGACCGTGCGCAGCAGCTTGATGCGCCAGGCGCGTAGCGAGTGCATAGTTTCCGCCACGAATGAGGACAAGTAGCTATCGTCAACCAACAGCTTCTTCGCGTGCGTGCTGTCTCCGTTGCCGACAGCAGTCTCCACAATATGTCGGAATGAGCTCAAGGATCGCAGCATATCGAAATGCTCCTGCTTCAACAAGCCCGTGTTGACATCTTCCTGAAGCAAAAAGGACAATGGATTCGCGTAGTAGTGACACATGTGCAGATACTAGATGGCATCAGTCAAAACGTGCGCCTTTGTTGATGGATGGTGCTGACATACCTTGAGAGACTCAACGAATACAGACATGCCCGCAACTTGATCTCGCTGACGATCAAGTAAGGCCTGGGTTGTGGAGGGGCCAAATCGCAGGGGGAGATCAGCGTGACATATAGCAGTCTTGAAAATGCGATTGACAATCGACGCTGACTGTTCGACGTCGAATTGGGCGCCATGAAGATATCTGCACGTGGACTTCAATAGACGTGCTTGCAATAGCTCGACTGACGTGGCGACTCCGAAAACCAGGGCGAAAGGGATGCGATCGAGCCAAGAACTGCATGTATTGTTAGTGCCCGCCGTTGTGTGGTGGTGTCCTCATCGTTTCAATGACATACTGAAACAGCATGATCAAGTCAGATAAGAGGCCGCCGTCGAAACCCTCACTGTCCTGGAAGACTATTACGACATTGCGACGCTCGTGGTTTCTCAACTGAACATGCAGCGCCTCAAGGTCATATTTGAGGAACTTGCGCCCCTACGAGTTGTTAAACACAATTTCGTGCGACCATGGCGGGGCTACTCACATCTCGTGATGTGGTCAATTCCTGGTCCTCATCGTCAGGGGCCCCTTTTGAAGTGGCACTCTGGATAATCTTGGTGAGTGTAGATCTCAAATTGGAGACGTCGCTAGACCGAAGGCGAACCACGAGGGATTCTGCTTGGGTCTGGAGAGTTTCTGAAAGCTGCTCGAAGAGCAGATCTTGTGACGCTATACTTGCTCCAGTGATGATGAATGCCGTGGGGATCTTGTTGCTCGGGATTTCTTCCGCTGCTGTCTGGAGGTAGCCGGCGACCTCGTCCAAGGTCTTGTGATTGGCATCCCGGAGTACTTTCTACACTCCGTGCGGAAGCTGGTCAGTGGAGCCCTCTTTGCTCGGCATGAAAGAAATAAAACCAACTGACTTTGATGCGATCTTCTATCAGACCCCACGGCTGCTCGAATAAGTCCTGTCGTATCCGGACGAGAACCTCATCCTCGGCACCGTCAAGCAGGGGGGGGAAGTGTCGTGGCCCATCCGCGTACCTCCCAGACTTTGAATCTGGCACGCCATTGAAAGCAGTTCGATCTTGCTTTTTGGAGACCTTGCGACGTTTAGATGGCCTGCTTGAGCCATCTAGCTCATCCTCGTCAGGGTTGTAGATGTAGGCAGCCTGTTTGGAGTCAGCTCCCTGAATTACGCGTCGGTGGAGTGTTGTAGTACGTACCTTGTGCTCAGTCTCCTGAATGGCCTCATCGAGCTCCTCAATGACTGCCATTGGCGAGTGCAGGTCTCAATGTCTTGCAATAAAAAGCTTTCGGCTTGATAGAAACGATACTTGTGCAGTGTTTATTTGCCTGAGTATCTGGCGACCTTGCTCGGTAGGTTGAGTCCAGCCTCGACCAGCCCTAGGACCAAGCGCAGGTACACACACAGTACCTCTGTGCTGGGACGCGCCTTGGCTCGCGCACCCGTGGACCCTGCGCTAGATGCAGTTATGGAGCAGGCCTGGCCAGTGGGACCATGGCTTACATAACCACCCTGCCCAAGAAATTTCCCCATCCTCCCTGCGATAAGCAGCACTTTACACATGTGAAGAGCTTTATCGCGGGGGATCATCTCGTCATCTGTAGCACTTTTGCCAAGCCTTGACTCTCCATGACAGATGAGTAACACGACACTCCCACTCCGTCGACAGCGGTGATGCCACCAAGAAGCGTGTTGGTCGATTTCAGCGCTCGCGATTTCATTTGCAGATCCTGTCGTCTGGGTCTTCAGAAACCGAGAGCATTGCCACGATGGACGGCTCGACCAGCGCCTTCCCGCGTACTTGCCCGACAGTCGTCAAATGCGGCTATCGCCCAGCCCAAACCACCACCGAATACGACCAGCGCCGGCGTAGATCCAAGCTCTGGAGACGATGAGAGGCGCGAGCTGATGCAGGCTTTGGGCCTACTGGACGACGAGAAGACGGTCAGGGTGAACTACTTCGAACAGGACAAAAGCGGAGGTGTACGGCGCCTCGCATCTGCAGAAGCTTTTGGAGACTCCCTACACGGAGATCTCACTAGTGGTGCTGGCCAGGGAAAGGTCGAAGACATGATTCAACAGCTCGAAGAAGCCTCTCGCCTCTTCAAGTTACTGGAGCAGGTCGGCGGCAAGGACCAGGTCGCCAAGCTGAAGAAACGTCTGGCGGAAGATCTAGTTGAAGTCGACGAGGACGAAAGCGAAACGAGTCTAGAGCTCCCCGGTCATATCACAGAAACGATTCTCATCAAAGAAGAAGGTTGGGCGGGTCCAGATGTTCAGAGGATCTCGAGGCTTAATCGCAAGCTCAAACGGGTGGCCCACCTCGTCACTCGCCGAGAAAGCGACATTTCAGAACACCAACGGAGTGCGCTATGGAAGGGGTACATGAACATTCGCAAGGCACTGGTCAGTAGGAGGAATGCCGTGCCTCCAGCTGCATGGGATCTGTTGTGGCGGGCACTGGCTAGCGAGCGAGAGGACAATCCAAACCGCATAGCGCATATTGCTGTTCTCGCTCGAGATATGCAGAACACAGGAGCGACACTAAGCGATGAGCAACAGCTGCTGGCTATTGAGGCAATGTTTATAGACGGACACGAAAAGGAGGCCTTCGACAACCATCGGAGGCTTGTGACGACACTCGGGGCTAGGAAGGAGACCGCTCTGGACTTTTGGCAGCTAGGTCTTCGGATGTACTGCTTGGTTGGTGACCTGGAGCGAGCGGAACGGGCCGTGGAGAACATCGCAGAGCTGCCTGGCTCCAAGGATCCTCGCTTTCTCTTGCCCTTTATCCGAGCTTGTGCGGAGAATCCTGCATCGGTCGAAGTCGGATACGATGCTTATCGACGAATGCGAGACATGCTCGGCGCCGGTATGAACATTGAGGACTACGACCAGGTCATCGCCTACTTCCTGGCTTCGGATCAGACAGATCATGCGTTATACATTTTTGTTGACATGATGTCGTCTGGCTCCACAAACATCAAGGACACGAGAAAGCTGCCCACGACCATCGCCAATCCTTTCTTCTTCGGCAAATGGATCAAGCGCCTGATCGGGCTCGGAGAGGTGGAGAATGCCCACAAAGTGTTCTTGCTGATGATAAACAAAGGAATCATACCGCGGCCAGTGCAAGTAAACGGATTGCTGGGAGCTTGGCTGCGCTCGGATTCCGCTCATTTCATGGCGCAAGCTGATTCGGTGGCTTGGGAGATGATCAATGCCCGAATTCAGTTCGTGCAATTGCGCAAGCAAGCTGCGAACTTCGGTTCAAATGTCCACCTGAGTCCTTCCGGAACCGGGTGGCCGAGCGCGACTCTGGAAACATTCTCCCTACTTGCAGACAGCTACAACCAGCGTGGTCTTCATGCGAAGATGGAAGACCTGTGGAAAGCATTCCGCCAGGCTGAAATGGCGCCGGACGCCTTCATGATGAACCAGCTGCTCTTCTCGTACATCAAGGACGGGCAAGGCAGGCAGGTGGCAGATCTTTATCACGCCTTGACGGACGAATACGCCATCAAGCCTGATCCGCTGACTTTCCGGGCATTGTGGATGGCGATTCCTGCGAACCGGCTGTACACGATCCGGAAGCGGGAGTATCAGCAAGAAATTCCTCACGGCCGTACCCTGTTTGCCGAAATGGTCCAATTCACTTCCGCTTTCGAGCATCAGGAGTTTGACTATCAGCTGGCTCGAAAAATCGCACACTCTTTCCGGAAGCTCGACGACAAAGTTGGTCTTTTGCTAGCTGTTCGTGGCCTTCGACAGGTGTTCGGGTTCTACCCACCAGAGCCTCTCGTTCTGGAACTGTTGGCTGATACGGTTGATTTGGAAAGAATGTCCAAGAGCCCTCGGGCGCGGAACGGCCTCCTTCGTCACACTCAGCGTATGGATCGCTTCCTCGAAGACAGACGTCTCGAGCTCGTGAAAGCTGGCGCTCTGGATAGTGGTGCGCAGCTGAGTACTGAAGCAAGAAGAGAAGCGTTGAGCCGATATTTGGAGGGACAGCTTCAGGAGTCGTGCAACAAATCGAACCTGTATCCTCAAGGTGTGGAGTCGGCCGAGGCCGAGGCTGCCACGCAGATGGGTCTTGTCGACCTTCTTTCGTCCCAGTAGACTCTGGGTACGAGCCAGCGGCCTTTGGGTTTGTGTACGATTGAGCTTGTACATTACTGTACTTCATTATATTACGAAACTTACGATGGACAACTTCATGGCGTATAACTTTATATATCAGCATCCATATACAGCATGGCAGGTGGGTCTGGGACGATATCCAGATACACTGCTCAATACAGGCATCCCGTCAAAATACCCACACACCTGGTAACGCATTGTCAGTTTCTTGTACTTGATGTTGAATCCTGCCCACACGTAGCGCTCCAGCAAGAGTCCGCAGGGCTGTTAGTAGACATTTGTGGGCCCTGGCTTGGTGTGGGGCCCAGTGAACAACAAGGGGAGGGGGGCCGTGGCCCTTCAGCCGCTGCGCAGCCACATCGGCTTATCGATAGCCGTAAAGAAGCGAGGCGTGGCCCGGCCGCGGTCGTCCACAACTGGTGAATATCGAGCGGAAATTCCAGGACGCTGGCCCAAATGCGCCCCACGGAAAAAGTTGGGCGGCGGAGAGCCTGCCTTGGACATCACCACCAAAACACCATACCAACCACGAAAACCGCCATCAAGCCTTTAAACATCCTAACTTCACGCAAAAGAAGAAATGGGAGGCTTGAAATCTGACAAGGGAGCTTACTTCAACAAGCTGAAGAGCTTGTTGGAGGAGTACCGCTCCGTCTTCATCGTCACCGTCGACAATGTCAGCTCTCAGCAGATGCACGAGGTCCGCCAGGCCCTCCGCAGCGAGGCTGTCGTCCTGATGGGCAAGAACACCATGGTGAGTAGCTGCGATGGCTGCGTGGCGCGCCTTGGCGCAATGGCCAGAATTGCCGCCAGTGAAGGCGGGAGAGCGAGAATGCTGACCAGGCTCTGTTCGTCGCAAATAGGTTCGCCGTGCCCTGAAGGGTTTCGTCGCTGAGAACCCCGATTACGAGCGTCTCCTGCCCCACGTCCGTGGCAACGTCGGTTTCGTCTTCACCAACGGTGACCTCAAGGACATCCGTGACAAGATCCTCTCCAACAAGGTCGCTGCCCCTGCCCGTGCTGGTGCCGTCGCTCCCGCCGATGTCTGGGTCCCTGCCGGCAACACCGGTATGGAGCCTGGCAAGACCTCGTTCTTCCAGGCTCTCGGTGTCCCCACCAAGATCGCCCGTGGTACCATTGAAATCACCACCGACCTGAAGCTCGTCGAGGCTGGCGGCAAGGTCGGCCCCTCCGAGGCCGTCCTGCTCAACATGCTCAACATCTCGCCCTTCACCTACGGTCTCGGTGTCGCCCAGGTCTACGACTCTGGCAACACCTTCTCCCCCGATGTCCTCGACATTGGTGAGGAGCAGCTCCTCAAGACCTTCACGAGCGCCATCACCACCATCTCGTGCATCTCGCTCGCCATCAACTTCCCCACCCTCCCCTCCGTCATCCACTCGTTCTTCAACTCCTACAAGAACGTCCTGGCCGTTGCCATCGAGACCGACATCACCTGGGAGGGTATCGAGGCCCTCAAGGACCGCATCGCCAACCCCGACGCCTACGCCTCGGCCGCGCCCGTCGCTGCTGCCACCGAGACCGCCGCCGCTACCGAGACCAAGGCTGATGAGTCCGAGAAGGAGGACTCTGACGATGAGGGCTTCGGTGGTCTCTTGTGCGTATCCCCGTGGTGGCATCCGAAAGGAGCCCGTCCCCCATGTGTGGACGATGTAATGCTGACGATCCTCACAGTGACTAAACGCTCCAAATCACGAGTGTTATGCCGAGATGACTATCACGACGATGAGCTGGAGCTTATGCTACAGGTACAACGCGACATGAAGAAGGCTAAGGTTCATCATCAACAAGTCCAAATACAAAAAACATATGAAACCGAGCACATATACGCGCGCGCGCGCGTGCGCGCAAAGCGAGACGATCAGTCCCGTCGTAGAGTGACAATCAGTGATGAAAGAACCACCGTGTGACTTGATCCTGGATCCAGTCCCACCTTTGGGACAATCGACTTAACAACAAAACACAGGACGAGCTCCCGTTGGCTTCACATCCTTCCCTAGGAAAAAAAGGTTAGTTCCGCCATATTTATTTTCCCATTTCACTACACGACCACGGACAAAGAAGCAAGTGTGTTTTTCTGTGATTAAACAAAAAACTCAAGAGCTTTTTAACCCTGAATCATTTTCATTGATGACACCAATTTTAAACAACAACACCTTATGATGAAATCCACCTTGTCTTGTCCTGGTCCATTATCCTACACATGTTCTACACTTCCAAAATTGTACATGATAGCTAACTCGGCCATCAGCCATCTTTTAGTCGTCTTTCGTGCCCACTTGATCGGTTGATGTTCTTTCAAAAAGGTCGTCCAAATGTTTCGCTGAATGATGCTCATGATATGACAGCATGTCCTTAATCCCCATAATGCCTTCCCACTCAACTGTCGTCAATCGTAGTCGGCACTGCCCTTCCTGCTGTCCTCCTGCTGCTCCTTTGCTAGAACCTCCCGAGCCACCTCTACCGCAGCCTCAGGCAGCCCAGCCAGGCGCGCTACTTTCAACGCATGGCTCTGCCGATTGATGCCCTTCCGCAGCTTGTGCACGTAGACAAACCCTCCCCTGTCGTCCTCTGCCACATCAGTGCAGTACATCTCAACCGCGCCATGCTGCCCAGCCTGCCCTCGCTTTGCTACCTCACCTTCGCTGCTGCTGCTGTCCTCGCCGGGACTCCTGACGTGCATGCCCTTCTCGCGCACAAGCTCTGCCAAGCCGTGAAAGTGCGTCGCAAACAGCGCCCGGCACCGGTTCACCGTGACGAGGTGGTGCAAGCTCGCGAACGCGACGGCCGTGCCGTCCTCGGGCGTGGTGCCGCGCCCGACCTCGTCCATGATGACGAGCGACCTGCCCGTCGCGCCGTGCAGGATCTGCGCCGTCTCGAGCATCTCGACCATGAAGGTGCTCTGGTCGCGGTACAGGTCGTCGGCGGAGCCAACCCGCGAGAAGATGGCGTCGACGATGCCAATCTCGGCGTGGTCCGCTGGCACGTAGCACCCGACCTGCGCCAGGATCGTGATGAGCGCGTTCTGGCGGAGGTAGGTGCTCTTCCCGGCCATGTTGGGCCCGGTGATGAGCCAGACTCTGCCCTGGCCGGGCGTCCCGACCAGGCAGTCGTTCTTGGTGAATGTGCGTCCCTGCTCGCGGAGCCCTCCCTCGACGGTAGGGTGGCGCCCACCGATGATGGTGTGGGCGGTGCCGTCGTTCAGCACGGGGCGGACGAGCCCTTGCTCGATGGCGAGCTTGGCGAAAGAAGTGGCAATGTCGAGCTCATCTAGCACGGCCGCGTTCTGCCTCAGCTTGACGAGGTTGACAACCACGAGGGCTCGCAGGTCGGCAAAGATGCGCTGCTCCTCGACGCCGATCTGGTACCGCGTCTGGTGAATGCGCTGGCCCAGCGAGGTCCACTCCGGGATGTGCATCGCGCGGGTCGACCGGCTCGAGCTGACGGCGCTGTACTGTTGCGACGATGCTGAGAGTGCGGCTGCCTTCCTGGCATCCTTGCCCTTGACGTGCCCAATGTGGCCCAGGTTCGGCGTCCAGCGGAGCGTCAGGCTCGCCGCGCCCATCTGCTTCTGCAACGACTCTGACAGGTCTGCCTTCTCCTGCATGAGACCGTCAAGCTTGGCGTGCAGCTTCTGCAGGCCCCTGCTCGCCTCGGGCCTCATCATGAACACGGTATTTTCGTCCGAGTAGTGGTCCCGTATGGAAGTTGGCTTCTTGCGTTTTAGTACGGTCTTGGGCAGGATGGCGGCGTCGTCAAGTGTGCCCTCTGAGGCAACGACGTCCTCAGCGAGACTCGCAAGCATGGTGGCGTTGTTTTCTTCGGTCTCGTGTTGCTGTACGAGCCCTTCCTCGTCGATGGAGGTGCGGATGCGCTGCGCGAGTGCGAGGGGGTCTTCGAGCTTGATCCGGGATGTGAGCGACGCACAGCAGTCGTTTGTGTTTCCGGCAGGCGACTGCTCGTTCAATAGTTGAACAATATTCTCCGCGGCACGAATGGTGTCGCAAAGTGCAACCATGTCGTCGGCGTCGCCTCGCCCGAACGCGAATTTCTGCACGAGCCGCTGAGAGTCATGGCTCCGGCGAAGGAGAATGATGATCTGATCGCGCAGGTCTTCGTTCTGGATAAAGTGCTCGACCAGGTCCTGCCGTGCGTGAATCTCGTCAAGCGAGGTCGACGGCGCACTCAGCCACGTGTTGAGCAGGCGAGCACCCCCTTTTGTGACGGTCCTGCGTATTGCGTGCAAGAGGCTCCCGCGAAATGTCACGTCCCTTATGGTCTGCTTGATTTCGAGCGCTCGCATGCTATTTTTGTCAATTGTCAACACGGACAGGTTCTCGTGGCGGAGCGGCGGCTGCAGCTTGATGCTCAGCCCGAAGAGCCGGTCCTTCACATATTGCAGCAGGAGACTGCCCGCCGCAATCTCCTCCCCGGTAAAGGCGGTCGACGTGTGCAATGGCACTTCGGTCTCAAGCATGGGCGTCCACTCGGAGATGGGAACCTGCTTGGTATGCGGCGCAAAGGTGATCAGATGCTTGTCCTCTGCCAGAACGGAGAAGATGCTGTGATTCCTCCGGCTCTCGAGCACATCATCTACCACAACCTCTCGAGGAGCAACCCTAGATAGTATCGCTGATAACGAAGAGAGCGTCGTGGACTGCGTGTAGAACTGGCCGGTAGAGACATCAACCCATGCTAGACCAATGGACTCGGCCGCATCGACAGGGGGAACCTCAAGAGGTACTGGCTGGACAAGTTCTGAAAAAGAGGTGTCGCTCTTGCTCTCATCTACCGGGGGCTCGTCACGGAGCCGGCTGTTGACATGGATGGCCATTACATAATTATTAGCATACGGGTCAATGAAGTTCTCGTCGATCAGAGTCCCTGGCGTGATGACGCGGTTGACCCTGCGATCATGCATGAGGCCGCCCGACTTGATCTTGTCGCCAGCATCATTGGGGAACTCCTCGGCAATAGCGACATAGCAGTTCATATCTAGCACGAGGGTCTTGAGGAATTTGTCGAGCTGAAAGAAGGGGAAGCCAGCCTAGATCACAACACGGAGAAATCAGAGACTGTTGGCAAAGCAGAGAAAGCGCTACAGCGACAGAATAAAGGACAGCACAGCTGCAACACAGCTGATTGACCACATTGTCAAGACGACACATCAAAACTGTCAGCACCAGGGGAAAGGCAGGTCTAACCATGGATACCGGGCCAGCGCTGGTCTTCTTCTGGGCGACCTTGAGATTGAGCAAGGGCCCGTACTCGTCAGCCTGGCCAAAGTAGAGCTCATAGAAGCCGCCGACACGGGTCAGCAGGACACAATTGTCAAACTTTTGCATGTTGCGACGTGCCTGCATCACGACAGTCGGATACTGTGGGCCATCATCTTGCTCGTCTTGCTCGTCATGTTCTCCTGGCTTGGGTTGCTCTGCGCCTGGGTCTGTGACGATGTCATCCCCCGTCTCTGTCACTTGGACGACGGAACTCCTGCGCGGAGCACGTCTCCTTGGTGTGCTAGTTTCTGGCAGTGACGGCAGCGGCCCTTGAGGCAGATCATCGAGACTTAGTGTGGTCCGGGTCTTCTTGCCACGAATCAGCTGGCCATGTGACGACTCTAGGGACAGCCACCATCCGGACGGCCCCGACAAGCGCGCCAAGGATGGTGACACGAGACGTGAGGACACGGGAGAGCAGTGGCTAGTGGTCAGTGGAGGGTGCTGTCGCCGCCAGGGGAAAAGTAGCGGTCGAGACAGGGAGCGTGACATGGACGACGGCGGGGGGCCCTCGGGAGAGGCGTGAGCATGCGAGCCCAGGGTTCATAGCTGGCGGCGCTGCACGGCGCCGGACAGGGACTCGCAAGGAGGGGCGGTGGAGAATGAGATGATGTGTTGCCTTGCTGCAGAGGTGAGCTGGCGTGTGCCGTGGTGGTAGTGGTGGTAAGTACGTCAAGTTGTGGTGGTGGCGGTGGTGGGAAGTGTGCTCAAGGTCTCGGTTTGATGTGGAATCACAAACGTCGAGTCAAACGAGCAATGTGCGTCCACGGTTGAGCCACTGTGCAGCTAGAGCAGGCAGGCGCTGAGGTTGGAGCAGTGTGCCAAACTGTATGTTTGGAATCATTGCAGGTCAACTTTGTCGACTAAGGACGGATTGCAGCCAATGCAATGCCATTGATTCCACGCATGCATGCATGCAGGCACGGCCGGCCCCAGCCCAGACGCAACCCGTCGGCTCCCCCACATTTCGGATGGCGAATGTCACGATACGATTCCACATCCTCTCCAGCCGGCGTTGACACCGGGCCCCCCCTTTTGGCCAATCATGGCCCTACGCCTTTAGGCAATCACGGAGGTTTTCATCCTCAAAAAGGAGGCTATGGCTTGGGGGAGACCACTCACGTCGAAAGTCTAGCGTGCCGGAAGACAGCAAACCCTGTTCCGGTTCCGTGTCGGGGGCGAGCGAGCTTGCCCAGCAAGTCAAAGTGGGCCGCCCATGACTTACATGAATGATCCTTCCTGCAAGTCCCTTGATTCCTCATACCGGTGCATTTTAGGCCTTGCGTGCCAGGCGCAGATCCCTCCTGTCTGTGCATGCGCATGAAACTGCCACTGCCATTTCCCTGCCGTCACATCCAAGCACAGAATCGCTCAAAAGCACGCCGTCTCCTGGCTACCTCTTTGCTAACCTCTTTGCAGCTTTCCCCCTTGTGACTGATTGCATCTCGAAAGCAAACTAAACTCTGAACAGCTCTTTTCCGAAAGGAAAGAGAAAACAGAACAAAAAAGAAGAAGACCCCTCATCTTTTTGGATGTCCCGTTCCCCCCAATTATTATTATCATTATCTTGAGTGACCAAAAAGCCAACCCACCCGCCTCATACCAAAGACTGTCAAGGAACTTTTTTTGTTTTAAAAGGGCGAAAGGAAAACCAAAAGAGGAAACTATGTCGTCACGCAAACAATCAGGCTCATCTGCAGCATCTTCATCCTCATTCTCGTCCTCAGCAACAACAAAATCAACAACGACAGTCTTCTCCTCCTCCACCCCACCGCCGCCGCCACGGCCACACTTCCCTACACCCTCCACATCTTCTTCAGGCCAGATTCCACCGACACTCCTCCACCTGCAGAGTAGCTATGCCTCTGTCGACGACGTGGCGGCACACTACAGAGCCCTGATGGGCCTGCTTGCCACGAGCAGCAGCAGCAGTAGCAACAGCAGCAGTGGGAATCACGGGTGAATATCCCGGGAGGAAAAGGAGCGAGCATGAGCATCAAAGACACGGCAGCAAGGGAGTGTGGAGCAGCAGCGGCATGACGACCCCGTCATCACCATCATCACCATAACCATATCCATATCCACCATCACCACCCAGCCCGCACGCCCACCAGCGAAATACACCAAGATGGCGCAAATGACAATACGGCTACAGCAGCAATCCCCACGTGGAGATATAAGCACATTCGGGGCCCGTACTAAACTACCATGCAGAGTCCATGGGTAGACGGCATCCACTTACACACAGAAGGGCCATGGAAGAGTCGCCCGCGTGGGGCCCTCGCGAAACTGGTTCTAGATGGACGACTGTATCAAAACATGCCAGCGAATGCTGGCAGAATCAAACCACGAATACTGGATGCACGATCAACGATTTTATGAGACACGTATCGTCACCAATGGGTATGGTGTAATTTTGGGCCAGCGTCGATTCAAGAGTATCACCATCATGAGCGAAATGAGCGAGGCGTTGGTCAAGATTTATGTTTCCTTACCTCTTGGCGTAAATGGGTAGACGACTCGCGATGTCGGTCTGAACGATCGCAAAAGGGCGGATGACGCTATTGAAAGCGATACCTGCGTGCCATTGACTGCCGGGACTAGAGCTTAATCTTATGCGTCTGCAGTAGTTGCCGCTTCTGGCCCCCATCCGTGAACCCAGGAAAGCTGTTTGAGTATCAAGCTTGTGACTCTCGTGGCAAGAAAAGTGCCGAAGGACATTCAACTTTGCAGCCGATTCTGTCAAATACTTCGAGATTCAGACAAGGCGGAAGCTGTACCCGGGGCTACATGGTCTGTGTCGATAAACATGACCAGGGGGTGGCAATGAGCCTTGTCAGAGCCAAACACAAGGCCATCTCTAATCGAGATCTTGTCGCATCCTCATTAGACGCGCGACAGAAGCCGCCGTACTATCATCACCGTCATGTGCATCTCCCTCACACTGACAAAACCACAAGAGCGACACAGATGACTTGGACATGGCGCACGCGATAGACGGCGCGCCCGGCCCTTGGCAAACGAGGGAGGTAATGATGATCAGGAACACGAGGAGCATGAAGCAGGTGCCGCGTGTTTGGACGAAGTGAGGATTAAGGGGTTCGCGAGTCGCCGGAAGATTCTAACGTGGTGTGGTCTGTGATAGGCAATTTAAGTGAACTCGTGGAGCGCTCCATCCTAATACTACGTATCTAGCGAGAGAGAAGAAACTAGAGGCCTGCGATCGCACCAGCGAAGGGCCAAACAGCGCCCCTCCCCCTTCATGTACAGGAGTATCATTAGCGATACCCATAGCCATGTCTTAAAACAAGTAATGCAAAGGCCCTCAAGACAATTTATCAGACACTTTGTACAATTTCTCGCCATCGCCGCTGTGCCCGTCTCCCCCCCCTCAGAGCTGCAATCTGTACGTGACGACCTGGAACGGCCCCACCACGATATCAAATGAGTTGTCCTTGTTCAGCTTCACCTCCTCCTCGTCATCCTCCAGAATGTTGGTCTTGTAGACCTTCTTGACGTCCCACTTCGTGCTTACAGTGCCGGTGCTGCGGCCGCCCAGGCTGTCAAAGATGCGCACAATGACGCTTCTGCCCTTGCGCCTCGGCAGCTTGATGTCGGCATCGCCGGAAATATCCTCGTCGTCCTCTCCACGCTTGACACAGTCGAGGACAAGCGAGTCGTCGCCAGTGAGCTTAATGGGAAACTCCGCTAGCGACTTGACGTCGCAAGATGCCGAGGCAGACACCGCCCTCATAGGGTTGTTGAAGTTGTATCCAGCCCGGACAGTCGTGGCGCCCAGGTCGCCCTTGTGAGGCAAGATCGCCCAGCGGATTGTGTGCTTGCCCATGTCTGCATGTGCGTCAGGGGCCTTGGGAGAGCGGAGAAGGGACAGACGCATTAGGCTTCCGCATGTGGCGAAGCCGTACTTGCTGTCATTCAGAATAGACACTCCGTAACCACGCTCAGACAGATCGGCGAACTTGTGGCAGCACACCTCAAACTTGGCCATGTCCCAGGTCGTGTTGTAGTGGGTGGGGCGCTTGACGAGTCCATATTGTGTTTCGTACGATGCCTCCGTGTTGCGAACATCAACAGGGAACTCGACTTTGAGGAACTTCATCGTCTCATGCCAGTCAACAAAGGCCGTGCACTCCACATACGATTGATAACCGTCGAAGGCAGCGTCAAGACTCAGTATCGTCTTGATCGTGCTGTTCTCACTGATGCGAGTCTCTGTGACCACGCTGACACGGTGCTCTTTGTCCTCGAAAATGCTGCTCTTGCCCATGGGGAGCTCCTTGCGGGTGTCGAGATGGTAGACCTCGACGTCCCAGGCCTGCCAGTACAGAGGCTTGTCGTCGAAGATGACAAGCTGATTGGCTTTTCCGCCCTTGATGAGCTCACGCTCGACCTTGCGGTCTACAAGAGACGTGATGCAGCCATCTTTGACTGTGGCTGTAAGTTGTTCGTTCTGCATGACAAACACGCCATCGGAAACTTCTTCGACGGAAACAGCACGCTTCTCGGCAATCTTGAAGGGCTTGATGGTCAGAACGCTGCCGCTTCCACAGGCAATACCGATCTCGTTCTGCGAGGTGGCCACGATCTCCTTCCGGTGCCATGGCAGTGTGTTCAGAGCAATCGCTTGTCCATCGCCGGTCATGTCAGGAGACATGCCAAAGAGCTGGTACAATTCCTTGAAGATCTTGCGGCCAGTCTTATAAATTTCGTCATAGAGCTAGGAGAATCGTCAGCCATGGTGTCCCGGCAGCGTGGATTTCGCAAAATGACTTACCTCGTTCGAGTCATCGTAGCACATTTCGATGGAAGAGCCAGGCAAGCAGTCGTGGAACTGGCAGAGAAGGATGCCCTCCCACATGGTGTCAAACTCCTTCTTCGGGTACTTGTAGGACTTGTGCTTGATAGAGGCGATTGTCGCGAGCAACTCCAGGTCGCGCATCAGGAACTCGGTCTTGCGATTGTTGAGCTTGTTGTTCGCCTGAGTAGTGTATGTGCCTCGGTGCAGCTCGAAGTACAACTCTCCGTACCACGTGACGAGAGAGTCCGCTTTCTTCTCGAGATCATCAAAGAAATCATCAACTGTGTTACCCATGTGCACAGTGGGAAGGCGGCCCACCGTGTCGCTCATACCGCGACACCGGCGAAGCTTCTCGATGTGTTGCCAAGTCGGCCCGCCACCACCATCACCCTTGCCAAACACCAGCAACGAGGTGTGGTCTTGATCCATCGACTTGTGCTGGCTGATGCTGCGATTGACATCGCCAAAATGGGCTTCCGCTGTATACGTCTCTGAGGGTGGCATATGGCAAATAACCTGGCTGCCGTCGAGAGACACCCAGTTGAACGTCGTGTGTGGGAAGTTATTGATGTTGTTCCAGCTGAGCTTTTGGGTGAGGAAGCGCTTCATCCCAGCTTGCCGGCAGAGCTGAGGCAGCTGACTCGAATATCCAAAGGTGTCGGGTAGCCAGAAAGTGTTGCAGCGCTCGCCAAAGTTGCTCTCGAAGAACCGCTGTCCGTACAAGAATTGGCGAACAAGGGATTCTCCGCTAGGCATGTTGGTGTCATGTTCAACCCAGCTGCCGCCGATTGGGTTGAACCGTCCTTCCTTGACCTTTGTCTTGACTCTGTCGAACGCGTACGGGTAGTACTCCTTGAGCCATTTGTACTGCTGAGCTTGGGAGCAAGCGAACTTGAGCTCCGGGTAGCGGTCCATCAGGTCACATTGGCTCGACCACGATCTGGCAACCTTGCGCTTTGTTTCAGCCCAGGGCCACAACCAGCAGGTATCAATGTGGCAGTGCCCAATGCCGAAGACCTGCGCGGTCGTGCCGGTCTCGTACACTTTGGACGAATTCACATTCGATCCAATGTACTCTTCTGCGATCTTGCGGCATTTCTTCAAAGACTCCTTGTCGCCGAGGACATAGCTGTCGATGATGTTGGTGGCGACGTTCAGCGCCTTGTGCTGCTCCCACGAGTCCTCGGGAAACTCCCTCGCGGCATCACCGATAATCCAGGTATCGATCCACAGCTGCCGAGCGTCGAGGTTGACAGCAACGATTTCAGCCTTGCCGAGCTGAAAGTAGCGATTGGGGTCCGGTGGCTGGATTGTGTCTCCACCTGCTGGGTTACCAAACATACTATTGCAAGCCATCTCAATGTATATGGTGTGCTCCTTGCCATCGCGGAATGAAGAAGGCAAGATCCATTCGGTACGCTCGCCCCCACCAGTGAGACCCTGTAGGGGATGTCCTTCCTCCGACCAGACGAGGCCTTCGTTGTTGGCATCCCAGTGCAGCTCGAGATGCTCCTTGTCGCGGAGTTCGCTGGGCACTTTCAAGACCAGCTTGAACCAATGCGTCGCCCAGGAAGGGCCAAAGACGTCGCCAACACGAGTCGGCCTATACTCGCCCTTGACGGCGTCCTTGAAAGGCGGGCGGGTCAAGCCAGGCGCGGCCCAGGTCGAGAGTTTGACGTGCGACTCTCCACTGGCGACGCCCTCGTTCATCATGGCGAGGAGATTCTGCTTCTCCCATTGTCCGTGGGAGTAGAACTGGTTGATGCGCTCCTTGTAGATCCTGGTGATGCGCTTGCCCACCGGGGCAGGAGCGTGGATCGGATAGCTCGAAGCCAGCTTCGGCGTGGCACTCCGTTCGCCGCCCATGGTGATGACGCTGAGCAGCTCACCAAGAGATATCAATGGTCTTTCACTAAGAGATGGAGCGTAGCTGTCAGCTCAATGATCTCGCCGGGACTAGGTTGAGCACAGAGCTGTGACGAAAATGCAGCGACGGACAAATGCGACGAGAAGAATGAGCCGTGATGCAACGAGAGGGGATGAGAGTTCCGGAAAGCTGAGGCTGGTGAAGGTGGGCTGGCTGCAGGTGTCTGGGGAAGCTCCAGCCACCCCGCATGAGGCCCCTGCTCGTGACCACTGGCACGCACCAGAGCAGCCGGTTGTCGCGGGTATCGTCGCTAGCGCAGAGGGTCAGGCACACCCACCACACACAGCCGTTCGACCAACCAAGACTGGCCGATCTCCGCAGCTTGGCACGAGTGGATCCGGGAGGATTGCTCTGAACGACCGCCGAAAGAAGTCGAGGCTAAACCATTGTTCGGGTGCCGTCCTGTTCATACCACTCAACTGCTTACCTCAGTGTTCTATCATGCTCAACCTGCATGGGACACTGGTCCATCTGGTTCTCCGCGATGTAGTCGAGCCAGGAAGAGTGAGTGAAGGAGAGAGAGATTGACGTCGATCCTGGCCCCGCCTGCCTACCTGAGCGGCCTTGTGTCTCGACTGGAGGTGGGTGGTCAAGAGGTGGTGTGCAGTGATTTCGGCTCGTCTTCTCCGGGTCCCGTGCTTGGCTTCTGGCTACCCAGTCGACCTGTCAATAGTAACAGGTACACTCTTGGCCCATACAGGTTAGAAGTTGGGAAAGGCTTAGGACTAGAAAAAGAAGAAAGGGGACTGGGGACTGCTTAGGATTCAGGGAAGAAATAGGACTTGAAATATACCAGATGGGGCAAAAGCGAGATCGGCTGCCTGGAAGTTGTGCTTTGGACTAGATCGGATCCGCCATTGTTGTGACTCTCTGTTGAGTTCGCGTGACAACAAATTGACGCAGGCGCTCCTTGGGCGCGCGCCGGCGTTGGGAAGGTGGTATGAGCAGACCCGGCACCATATATTCGCATTGTTGCGTTGCTGCCTGCGCGTGGCCTTGCATAGATGCACGTGGAAGGAAGGGTCGATGAATCCAAACAAAGAGCAACATCACACGCATGAAGTCGCCACATGTCATCCAAGAGCATGTCTCAATGCGCCTACGTCACTCGGCAACGCAACGTCAACAGAGCCAGGACTTGACTTGCTACAAGAAATCGTACACAATTAACAATAATTAGAGGCGCATCGCCTTGACTGGTCCATAGTACATGCCCTTCTTTGACAAAACGCCAGGCCCCATAACTTGCAGTCTATGTCATGTCAGGTCATGCTCGTTGCTCCACGCACTGGGTATCTTCCGCTCTTGTTTCGATTCCAATCTCATGATGAAAGCCCCTAGAAAGCATCCTCAAACGGACAATCGATGCTGTCGTGGCCGTCACGCTCACATAGAGCACACCACTTTTCGGGGTCGATCGTGCCACTGTCCTTGCCTGCCAGAGGGCCCGTATCCGCTGGGTTGGGCAGGATGCGAATGCCAGGCGGAGGTCCCGACTGGACTGAAGTTGGGTCCGCTTGCGCCGGCTCTGCAACCTTTGGCGGTGACATCGGTTCGGCCTCTGCAGCTGGTGCTGGAGAGCGCTTGATAGGCGTCAGTGGCCGCGGCCGGTCCTCCTCATTCATTTCGCCAGGAATGGTCAGCGTCGGCCTCGAGCTATCGATGGGGGACTTGTCATTCGCGCCATCTCCCGTAACACCATTCTGATCTTGTTGCGGGCCAAAGACATTGGTGCAGGTCAGGATGTCATGCCCGGCAGTCTCGCAAATCTCGCACCAGAGCGTGCTGTTCTCTGTGACGGAAGAGAAGTTGTCCATGTCAGCTACCGATTCGAGAGTATTGTTGCGGTGATGGCCACTCTTGGGGGGCGAAGCGGGGTCCCGAGCGAGGATCACCGTGCTCTTTGAGTCGCGAAAAGATGACCGGCCTGCGCTTCCGAGGGTCATGGTGCTACCACGTTGTGTCGACGCGCTGCCGCGACGAAGGGTGGCGAGCTCACGCTCAAGTTCCTCCTCACGCACGCTCTTGGTATCGAGGAGACCCCGCAATTCCGAAACCTCCCGCTCCAGCTTTTCCTTGGCCATGCGAGCACCCATAGACTCGGGTCTTGACTTTGCAAACGAGTTGGGGCGCTGCGACTGCACGGACGATCGGTCCGCAGTAGGTGATGTCTCGGCGCCGGGTACGGAGTCTCTGCTCAGGGAGTGGATGATGGCTTTGAGACCTCTAATCTCATCCTCCTTCTGTTCCAGCTCTTTCGATACGGAGGAAGAGGGTTTGGCACCTCCCGCCTTGTCGCCGTTTGCGGCGGATGCCTTCTCCTGTTCCCTGCGGAGTTCGGCTCTGGTCCGTTCAACCTCGCCACGAAGGAACTCGACTTCGCCGCGAGCCTCGGCTTCGCCACGCCTGGCGTCTTCCAAGCCCTCCTCGAGTTCCTGAACGAGCTCCTCGAGCTGTTTGAGCTGACGTGCAACACTGTCGAAGTCGTCTGTCCGATCCTGGAAACCATGGATTTCTTCCTCGAGCTCTCTGATCCTGGCATCGTAGACCCGCTGCGTCTCTGTGCTGGCCATTTCGAGGGTGTCAATGGTACTCCGGAAGTCGGCCCGGTGCGCATCGAACTCGGCAGTCAGCATGGCAATCTTTTCGTTCTTCTCCCGCAGCATTGCTCGCAGCTGCGAAGTATCCTTGCCGTCTATGCTATTTGGCCTTGGCGAAGTCAGATCATTCTGCCCGATAAGCTCTGTGAGTTCTGTAAGGCTGCTTTCCATCTCTGCAAGGGTAGACGCCTGATCCTTTAGTTGCCGGTCGCGGTCTTCCAGCTGTGTCCGCAGACGCTCTATCTCCTCCTCATTTACGTGAGTGGTGCGGGATGCCGGCCGCTTGAAGTTCAGTGACGAGATGGACCGGACACTGCCAAATGCCTGGTTCCGCGTAACAGCATTGGGGGTAGTCTCCTCTTCCTCGTCAAAATCTGGGACCTGTCCAAGGGCAGAGCTGCTTCTAGAGCCTAGTGCCGATGCGCTGCGTGGGACAAGACTTGGTTTTCGGTCGGTCCTGGGGCCAGCCTTGGCTGGGTCTCCAGCTGTGCCTCGCACACTCTGGCTGAACTTGGAAATGGTGGGAGTTCCGTATCTTTGGGGTGCCCGCGGCCCCGGGGTAGCCATAATTGAGGGTCGTGAGCCTGGACTCATCTGTAGTCTGCGTACGGGTGATTCGGGTCGATGAACAGAAGCTCGAGGCTTCCTGTTACTGGGGCTGGGTGCACGACCGGGTCCGACAGATTGGCTGAACTTTGGGAGGCCGGGCGTTGGTGGTGTATTGCTACTCGGGCCGCGGAGCGACAGCTTGAACGCAGACACGGAGCCGCTCGTCGGGGTAGAGGGAATAGTACTATTTGGACCAGGCTCGCGCTTGAAGAGCTTCCCGACAGGGACGAATATTCCGGCACCAGGAGCGCTCGTCGTGAAATATTGTACACTATTGCGCAAGATAAGCAACATGGTCAGTCGTCTGCAAACTGCTTGCGAGTATGGCAAAATGTGATGGCGCCGCAAAGCATTTTACTTACCCGTCAACGTCGCCACTGTTCTTGCCGCGCGCCGAGAACTCTGGGTGAAGCTCGATACCGGCGAATGTGCCCTTGCGACCGCCGACAGAACCGACGAAGCGTACCGTGCCAGCCATGTTTCCGGGGACGTCTACGATGTCGCCCTCACGGAAGTCGTCCATCGCAGCGGCGGCGGCGGCGCGGCCGGGAGTGATGGGGCCCATCCTGTTGTAGAGCGAGCTGGACTCGCGCAGGATGTTGTGGAGCGCGTCAAGGTCTGCGCTGTCCGGGATGGGAGCGAGGCCGGCGCATGAGTTCTTGCGGCTGAGCGAGGGCGTGCGGGAGCCGTGGGCAGAGTAGAGGCTGTTGAGGTTTGGGGTCGAGGCGGCACCAGAGGCGGGTTTTCTGGGGGTCCGCGACAGGGAGTGTTGTTGTTGTTGCGGCAGGGCCGACGCCATGGTGACGGGCGGGCGGCGGGCGACGGGCAGCAGCAGCCCAAGGGCGCAAACCTTTCTGTCCTCGGCGGGCGGGGTGCTCAAGTGGTACAGTGTAGGGCCGGGCAGGGGTGCGTTGCTGCCGATCGACCACACAGATAGGTAAGCGTAGATGGGTGCGTGTACTGCGTCCACTGACGTCTGCGCTGCTCTCTGCTCCTTCCCTGAAGCGGCCAACCGCAAGCACACCAGCGCAACCTCGAACAGGGTCGGCTCTGTGCGTGACTCTTTCGGCGCGGCAAGTAGCCTCAGTCTGGATGGCCAATAGTGGGAGCGGCCTGTATAAAAGCAGCGGCCCACGCGGGCTGCACTGGGTATAGCGGCTGCGAGCTAAATTTGATAGCTCTCGCTGGGCGCGGGAGCAGAGGTGTGCCCCTGAACGCGGCTGCAACGGGCGTGCAAGGTTTGTGGGAGCACTGACTGTGGGTTCCCGCTGGCGACTTGTCTGGATCCAAACCGCCTTGGCGGATGAGTGTGAGTGGGTTGCTGTGCTCGTGGCTGCTGGTGGAGGGGATGGCGGGTGGTTTGTGCGACAGCCGTCCCTGTCAATAGCGTTGAAGTGCTCTGGGGAAGCTGTCAAAGTGAATCCTTGGAAGTTTTATGTTTCGGGGTTCAATTCCAGAAGGAATGCTGCGGTGTGGTGCGGATCAATCGAGTATGGAGCAGGTCTGCCGTCAAAGTCCTGTTGGCGTATGGCGAGACCGGGAGCTGAAATGCGCGGTGAGCTCCAGGTGAGTAGCGTCTTCCCGACGACCCCCCAAAAATTTCAAAGAAGTCAAAGGAAAAAAAAGTTGGCAAGGGAAGTGCCGGGACGATGGCTCACAGGCCAGACGGTGACGAATCTGTTGAGGTGAGCAGAACGAAGGGAAAAGGACAAGGAAACCAGAGCAGGACTGGGCAAGACAGAAGAGGTCGTCGAGGTGGTGGTTGAAGAAAGGTGCACGAGCAAGTCCTGGTTGCCGCGGGAGCAGAAGTGAGTGACGAACGGACAACGAGGGGCGAAGAGGGGGTGCGCAATGTAATGCAATGCCATGCGTTCGACCTGCAGCTGGAGAAAAGGAACAAAGCCAGTGACGGCCTCGCAGCTCTTTGATGATCTGTTCTTGCAGACCGCCTCTGCAGGAATCAGCGTCCAGCGGGCAAGGGTTCGCGAGGGTCGGTCAAGGTGTGAGAAGACCCTGGTCTGGCGTCGCGAAGAAACCCACAAGCAGAGATGTCAAAAGGGAATGAATGGATGAATGGCTACGAGAAACTTGCCAATTTGCAGGCGGCTTGACCAAAGAAAGGGAATAGGTACAGTTGCCACACACAGTCAGAGAGCCTCGGAAAGCATTGCTCGCGTCGCCTCCTCTGAGACAAGACGTCGCCACGACTTATAAATATCGTCCCCCAATTCCAGCAGGGCGCGGCGGGCACGGCAACTTCCACAACGCCAGCAATTCATCAGCAAACGCTGCCCTGCCACAGCTCACTCCGTCGCTGGCAAACAGAAGCTGACGCTGCAGGATCAGCAATCTTTTGGGTGCTGTCCTGTGACGCTGCAGGCGCCTGCGTTCCCAAGACAACCATGCACAACAGTCGCCAGCCGCACACTTGCAGCACCACTCCTGGGCCTCTTGCGCGCGTCGTCATTGTCAGCCCGCCGGGACGTTCCAGGGTCGGCGCGCGCAAATGGGCCAAGACATTGGGTTTACTCTGCGACACAGGGCAAGAGGCAATAAGAGAGGCCACGCCATCGGGCAAGTCCATTGGCTCTGTGGATCTGATTGCAGGCACTGTTGATTCGCTCTTATTGCTTAGAGCTTCGGCCTTTTGCGCCGTCCTGCGTGGACATAGTATGTGTGATCCGTAAGGTCGCATGCAGTGGCCTTTTGTTTACAACAACTGCTGTATTGCCATTGGGTAACATTGTCGATGATCACCATGTCTACCTACCTACCTAGATAGGGAACGCCCATGACTGGTGACAGCTGCTGGAATGCTACGCAGTGTCAGGCGTGTCTTACATGTGCGAAATGTAGGTTGATGCCGTGAGACCTTGGGGTTGACTTTCAGAAGCGGACGAGCCCGTTCTCGCCATCTGTCCCGTACTTGATACATCTGTCATTCAATTCACAACTCTACCACGGTGAGACTTTCAACATAGACCTCCTAGTGTTCAATCGCCCAGTGAAGGAGGACCTTTCCAACGCATGAGCGTCATTGCACCCCAATGGTAGCGACAAGGTGGCAGGCCAGGGTGTCCCTGTTCTATGGGGCGTTGTTGCTCGGCGGCAACCATGCAGACCCCTGCTCCACGTCCCCTGTGGGCCTCGGGAGAGGTGTCGACAACACATGGCACCCTCGGGAGCTAATTCGTCCCATGTGGTTGTGTGGGTGGTTGGCGCATGTGATGGTGGATCATTCGGTGTCACAAAGCCAGAGTCTAACCATAGCGTGTCTAAGATGGTCCAGATAGCGGCACACGGAATCAAGAAGAAAGTCGACAGACCATCGAATGCTTTTGAACTCTCTATCATGACTGGTATCTCCGCTGTAGTGAACACACATGTACGACAGCGGCCACTTTCCACCTTTTGCGCTGTGGCCGTGGCCACGATTACCGCTTTTTGTTGGCTCGCTTTCGCATCTCCTTCTCCCGCTCGTACTGGTTTGCCTCGCGACCCTCCTCGCCTTGGATCTCCGCCACAAGTCGCCGATATTTCTTCTCGTACGCGGCGTCCTTGACCTTCTTGACCCGCAGCTTCTCGCGCGCCATGAAGTTGGCATCCTTGCGCAGCTCCCGCAACGCGCCCTTGCGCTCGCGCTTGTGCTCCTTCTTGAGCTTCGCCAGCTCCGCACGCTCCCGATCCGGGTCGTAGTGCTTGGTTGGATCGAACGAATCCTCAAACTTGGGGATCGCCGTCTTGATTGCCAGCGGCTTGTGGTGGTGCAGCTCAAGCGGTCGTCGCGCCATTTGCGCCAGGCGCAGCATGCGCTCCAACTTGGTCTTCAGCTTTTCGACGGCGTCATTAAGCGCTGTAGGAAGCTCTGCGCGGCAAGTCTTGGAGCCGTAGTGCCCGAGGACGCGTGTCACTGGTGTGAATGACTCGAGGAATGCGGCTTTGCCGGTCCACAGGTCGGCTGCGGCATCAAGAATCTTAAGTGTTGTGCATACAATCGCCACGCCTGTAGCAGCAATATCGCTCTTCTGCGTCTCCACGCAATCCGTTGGCCGTAGTGACCTGACACTAACGTTCTTGACCTGCAAGATGCGCATCTCCGATGACATCTCATGTAGAGGTGACGGGACAAGCAAGGCCTTGGCTCTTATCGGCGCAAGTGCGCAAAGCGTGTTGAAGCTGAAGTTCATGACCTCAGGCACATATCTTTTGGCCACTTTCTGGTATTGCAGTGCCAATGTTGACATGTATGTGCCTCTTGTCAGATCTGTTAATTCTTTTGGTACCTTTTGACCAAGATAGCGGGCGATTGAGAGCATCGCTGGGGTTGCTACTTGGTGGAAGTGGTCTGATGTAGGGAAGATTGTCCCTATCGCTGTAAGCACGACGAGGTCACCAAGCAGAGGGCTCAACGCCCTCGACTGTCCCATCTCTTCAAGGTGCTGGCGGAAGGCGGTCGCGATTTCCAAAGCATATGTCTTTGCGAGAGAGTGCAAGTGCCGCGTTAAGCTCTCAAGGACGCTGAATGGAGGTGGCGAGGGCAGGTTTCCGAGGTGAGCAAGGTGCTGCACCAGAGCCACCGAAAACTTCCCAAGCTTAGCCTTGTTGTCGGCATTGAGCTTTGGATGGTAGAGGGCTCTTATCCTTTGCACGACAACTGGGAGATGTTCGGCTGGAATGTTCTCTGTTATCGAACACAAGTCGGCATGGGTTTCTGGGCAGGCGAATGTGTAAGGGATGCCACGAGCATCATCGACGGCTTCGGCGGTCTGGTCAGTTCCGTTTAGCCGACTGCTGAACACGGGGTTGTTCGTTTCTTCGTCGTTGAGCAGCCCCTTGGTAAACTCGTCGTCGTCTTCCTCTTCCTGGGAGTCTGACGCGCTGTCATCATCCGCGCCCATCGATTCGTCCTCAATGTCCTCGTCACTGTCGACATCCAGTTCTGATCCGCTGGCCACTAGATCGTCCTCGATGAGGAAATCATCTTCGTCGTCGAAGCCTAACTCCGCAGCGGTTGGGCGCGTCTTGATTCCGCTGCCCAGTCCAAAGTCATCCTCTTCCTCGTTTTCCTGGAAAATGATGGGCCCATTTGTGGTGTCGACATCCGGCTGGTCGTTCTCGTTTTCACTTTCGCTGTCGTCTTCTCCTTGCATCCGCCGCATCCGCTTCTCTTCCAATTGTTTGAGTCTCTTCGATTCCTCCTCCGCCTGCTCCTCTTCCGTCTTTGTCCGCTCTGTCGGTTGCGCTTTGCGATCTTGTGCCAGCTGTCTCAGTCTCATGTCGTAATCGCGCTCCAATTTCTCCATCTGCTGAGCTGCGGTGTCTGGCGCGAGGCCGTCTGTGGTGGCTTTCGTATCCTTCGAACGAGACTGGAATAAAAGAGCATGTAGGTCCGGGAGCTCCTTATCGAGCTCTTCTCGTAGATCTTCGTCGGCATCCTTGGCTTCCTGGCGTTGGTGCTTGTAGGCTTTAGACTTTGCGATGAGCTCTTTCATGACCTCCTGTTTCGATTTTTTCCTCTCGGGCTGTCCGTCATCTCCATTAAAGGTGTCAAGCTCTCGCATGCGCTTCAGAGCTGCGCGGCCATTATCTGAGCCGTCCTCGTCAGACAGACCCTCGAGGTCATCCTCATTGAAGTCGTCTACGAGAGCCGGCCCGTCGAGAGAAAGGGACTTGCCCATGTGAGTAAGTCCAAAGGTAGGTTCATCGTCGTCTTCGAGGTCGAACATCGATCCTCTCTTGTGGGATCGTTGCTTTTCACGTGCGAAACGCTCCAGCATTTTGTCCTGCAGTACTCACTGTCAGTGCTCCATCCCAAACTACAACACATACCAGTCAACGTACCTCTGGTGCCAACGTGGGGTCATTCTCTCCGAAACGCTTGTCCTCGATCCCTCCGACCTTGTTGCGCCTGTTCATCTCCACCAACAGTGTTTGTCGGCGTCGCTCCTCGCCCAGGGCTTTTGCCTCGCTAGGCCTTCCGTGGATGCCTTTCGCAGCATTTCCAATCGGTGCTCGGTTCGTAGTGACGTCGAACTTGGGGCCGCGGACATTATGCTTCAGATCGAACGGGTTGAACTGCTCACGAAGTCCAGCGAGCTGGGCATTCTTGCTGTGGCGATTAGCGACGGTACCGTTGCCACCCTGAGCTTCCTGCTTGCGCTGCTTCTTGGACTTCTGGGGCCCAATGACTCCTTGCTCTCTCAGCGAGGCTTTCAGCCTCTTGAGCTGCGAACCTGCCATCTTGCAGTGGTGTCGCTGTTGCCGTTGGTTTGCGTACTGCTAGGAGGGGTCTCAAAAAAAAGTTCAGATCGCGACCAGACGATAGCCAGACAGAAGCACGGTCGCTGGGAATTTTCTTATCTTATCTTAGTTTGTCCCACACAGTGCTTCTTGACAAGCTGTGCTCCATTTATATGCTGAGGATTATAGTGCACCGCACTGTACTACCCCCATGTCGTGCACTTCGCAGTGCTCACGACCTTGCCTGCGTCCAAAGACCTGGCGCATAGTTGATGCACGGCCCCTTCAAGATACATGCACTATCTTGCCGAACTTCCAGTCTGACCGACTCTCATCCGCAGCTACGGCGCCTTTCTCGAAGCTGATAGGCGGTCATGGGCGCAACCTTCGACTATGGGGTATCTCTCCTTCCTGCGAGATGAGCGGTTGTACTTGCTGGCCTTTGGGCTGACAGCCGCGGGCTTCGTCGCGAGCCTGCGCACGATACTCGAGTACTACCGCGACCAATGTGAAATCAAGCCGCAGGAACCCAAAACGCAGTATATCACACAGGATACAGAGGACTCTCTGAAATCATCCACCCTTGCGAGTTTGCTGGACCACTACAATTATTCAATCCGTGAGACCGCGCTCAAGATCGTTGCGGGAAGAGCTGCGAATGACAGGGCGACTATCGACGAGCTGCTGTGGGGCATCACGCTCGAGGACTACGATGAGCGCGCAATGTACCTAAAAGCCCTGGTATGGGCCATCGAGGACAGTGAGTTGAGACACACGAATCCGTTCATGTACTACCAGTCTAACACATTACAGATGCTTTCCAAGATCCTCTCAGTGTGCTCAATACGCCCAAGGCCTACGAGGCACTTGTTCGGTCATTAGAGCTTTCCCTGGAGCACTCCTACTCGGACAAGCTAGATGACCCGTTGTATGATGAGTACTATCTGCGAGACTCTCTTGAGCGGCGCTGCCTGATGATCCTCCTGCAGCTTGCGAAGAAGTACACCATCGATAAAGTGATCGAGGCTCGCTTTGTGGAACGATGGCTCGCCAAGCAAGCCTGGGGCGACTCGGTTGAGGAGCGGCGCAGAAACTATGCCGATTATGTCGAGCGGAAGAAGAACCGGCTTCGCGACCTTTGCTACCTAATCCGAGCATCCAAAATCGGGCGCCGGGCCTTAGTGGACGCGAAGCTCATCACTAGAACCCGCCGGTCTAAGCGCGACAAGTCGGAGGCGATCAAGGTCTTGCTGGAAATTAGTGTGGATGGAGACGAGCCGGAAGGCATCAGGGTTCATGCCGGCCCGTCAGAGCCCATGCCGCGGGTGGTCGAGCAAAGCGCCGCGGAGCAGCGCTTACGGAGACGACACCGAGAGGCCATGGTCCTGAACGACGGAACACATTCTCTCGGCAGAGGTGACATAATTCAGCGCGAGCACGATTCTAATGGATGAAGTTTTGATGCTGTCGAACTGTCACATCACTTTTGCGTTCCCAGCGGCGGCCCGCTTGAGCTAATGTGGTCAAACGCCATTACTGGCCTCCATGGAATGCTGGAGATCATGAAAATACACCATCTGTAAATGAGACGATGACCTTCACTTCACTTGGAAGCGGCCAAGTGGCATTCTCCACGTCCACCAAGGCAGTCTTTATCGCCAACGGCCACAGGTTTATCGAGATGGCGGTACATGTTCCGGGAGCTTCGCGTTCGCGGGCTTCCTGCCTACCCGCTGGGGAGCCGGGGGCTGCGCAAGCCACGAGCGATTATGAGTGGGATATTGCATAGTTCTATGGTTTGGGTGCGCTTCACTTGGTGGCCAAAGAAGATCTAGCAGTGAGCAGGAGGATGCTCATGTGAAAAATATTGAAGGGGTAGTCACTTTCAACAGGGCGAGCATGATATCATCACAGAGATCTGAAGTGCCTTATGATCCTTGATTCATGGTTTACATTTTTGGCTTTAATCATGCTCCTCCTCTGTCAGCCCAGGACAACCGTCCAGAGTATCGTCGTCGTACTGGTACTTGCACCAGAAGCAGTAGTTGTGCTCCTTCCGTAGGTATAGAATGATTCGCCGCAGCTTTTCGTCCGCCTCGAGGCCCGTGAACTCCTCCAATTCCTCGTCGTCGTCCTCAAGATCCTCGACGGGGACATACGCTGCAGCCGCCGTCTTGCCCAGCGCTGTTCGATCATCAGCATCCTCCGTGTCGTCTTCATATGTTGGCAGGCGCGTTCGTGATGTCTGCTCCAGATCGTAGCGCATTCGTCGGTCCCTTTCTGCCTCCTCACGCGCTCGCACAAGGCCCCTCCACTCGATCGGGATACTCTTCAGGGGTCGCGATGACAGCGCAGCGCGCGCCCGTTTATCTCTCTTGGCGTTTCTGGCGTCCTCGTCCCTGTGATCGTCGGCTGCCCCTAATTCCTTTCGCTCGCCTCCCTCATCAGAGTCCCCACCCCGCAGCCGGTCCTCGTACAGCTTCTCACACACCTTCATAGCAGCATGACATTGCCGCTCCGCCCGCGCGAGCTCCCTCTCCCTGCGTACACGGTCGCGGAACTCGTCCGGGTCGAGCGTCCGGGCACGCTTGTCCTGCGCGGCGTACGCCTCGTTGATCTTGCGCTTGCGCTCGCTGTCGAGCCCTATGCCGCCCCGGTCTTCTTTCATCTCGAGCCTAATGGGCTCCGTGCGGGGACCGTCGTGTCTAGAGCTCACCGGCGCGCTGTTCTCCCGGCTGGTGTTTCCATTGCTGTCGCCGCCGCCGCCGCCGCTGTTCGCTGCACCTTTCGCATCCTCCAACCCCGGCTCTGTGCCTTTTCCCCTGCCGCCGCCGCCGCCACCTCGTCCCTCCCCGTCCTCCTGTTTCCGCCCGAGCGCAGAACCAGGCTTGTACCCCATCTTCGCCATCATCGCGAGACCTTTGCTCTTCCTCACGGCCGTGCGGTCCTGCTCAATCAGTGACCTCGAGAGCGCCGCCTCGCGCTCGGCCGCAGCCTCGGCCGCCAGCTCGGCCTTGGACTTGGGCCGGCCCCGGATCTCGCCCTCGCGCTTCAGCCGCTGGCGCCGCTGGAGGGACGTCTCGGCTGCTGGTTTCGCTCCCTTGCCTGTGGTGGTGCTGCTGCTGCCGGGTTCGTCAAATGTCATATTCATGTAGTCGTCCTCCTCGTCCTCCTCTCCGGCTGCTGCGTTGTTTGCCATCTTGGACGTCGGGTGGTAATTTCCTCCACAACTTTGGCTGGACGTGGAGGAGAATGTGGTTGTCCCCCTTGCTTCTTCCACCAAAAACTCGTCAATTTGATCTCTGCGACCTAATGGCTGCCAGAAGGACGGACGGTCGCCCGTATGGCCCAAGCAATGGCTCCCTCCGCACAGTGGATATTGAGAGAACCGCGGCACGGGTTTGGGTTTTCCCTGGGCAAGGGATCACTCGAGCTCCAGGCGCGCCTAGATTTTTGCCGCAAGAGTGCGTGCCTCCCTGCTCGTTGTCTGGCCAAAAAGTGTGTCCGTCAACTCTCAAGTGTGCGAGCGAGTAGACATGTAGCGCATTCGCGCAGAAAAAAAATATAAGTAAGGTTTTTCCTCGTCCGCGTGGTTGTTTGTTCAGTCTGAGTCTGAATGAAGTAAGTCAGTGCCCCGACCGGGGACGTCACAGGCACGAGGCACTCTCGCTGCTGGCTGGGGTGGACCCACCATGGACCATCACATCACTCTCCAAGTAGCCGAGAGACGCAATCATGGTCTTGCTGGATCACAATGCACAGAAAATTCATGAACCATGAATAACGATTCAAGCAGTAGAGAGCTAAGAATAAAATCTCGGTGGCGCGACATTCCTTTGTTTTCGCCCCCCCCATGTGACAACGACCGTCTCGAATGGCAATTTGGACCCGGTACACACTGACCTGGGAACACCGTGAGTTGTGTGTAAATGAGCATGAGCCCACGAATGGTTTTCTATATCTGAATTGTGATTCTGCACTCTCTGCCACACGTTCTATCATCCCAGAGAATACGAGTAAATTTCCTTGGTCGCCACCCAGGCAAGTTGCCCCTAAAAGTACTTTTATCATTCCACGTCAAGCTCCTGCAGCATTTCCATCTCTGTTCACACAAGGAGGTCAGCACCATCAAAATTTCCTCAGCCATGAAAGATCATGTTCAAGTTCGCCGAAGCATGGAGCACCTACGCCAGAGCCGATTCGCCGACTCGGTGATCACTGTCGCCTTGACCAGGAGCTTTGCCTCGAGATTCTCCTCGTCCTTGGATTTGAGACGGATCTTGTTCGGTCGGGCCTGTGAGGTTCGGCTCGTCAGCTTTGAGTATTTAGACCGAATTGGCTTCCGCGGCCACACCTTGCTTGCTCCTACATGCACGCCTGGAGGATTCTACCAACCTGCATCAAAATGGGGACCAGCTCCCGTGGATCTGCATTCGCAATGGATGCCACACTCCTGAACCCATTGTCATAAAAGACCCGTGCGGTACGGCTCTTGATGAATGTGATGCGTGCAAGTGCCAGCAAGTCTGCTCTTGCGCCAGCCCGGAGGCGATCGGAGAAGTGGTCGAGAATTGCTGCCATTGCACTATTTATCAAAGTGAAAATGATCAGCGGAGCCCTCTCAGTACCTATCCAGCGCCTATTTCTGCAGAACCCAAGTAGATCCTTCAGGAGTTGGCTGGGGCAATTTGAGCATCACTCACCCATGGCCCATCTGCTCGCAAAACTTGATGACTCCAGCCGCGAAGCCCTGGCATGTCTGCGCCAGCGTTTGGATCGTGCCTCTGGGCATTTCGTACTTGCGCGCGACTGTATGTAAGGGCATCTCATGGCACAAATCGCGTAGCTGGAGTGCTAGGTAGAACCGGTTGTAAATCCTCGCCAGCTCTTTCTCCTCAGCGGTAGCCTCGCGGAAGACGGCACCTTGTGCCCTATGAACGAGATCGGAATGTCGTCAGTCAGTCCGGGATCCATTTTGCCCTTTGGGATGAGCCAGCTGGGTGACTTACATCCGGTTGACTACAGAAGGCTTGAGGCCAAGCAGCGTCATGACCCGGAGTTCACTCTCGTCGAGCGACTCCATCTGCCGTCGGAAAATCTGCCAGTTTATTGCAATAGAAAAGTCGTGCACCGGTGTGAAAGTGTAAAGAACGTGCAGCTCGCCATCGAGAACAAAGGCCTTGAGCGCCCGCTGTATCTCGCGATACACGAACGCTCCGTCCTCTGGATCTAATGCCGAGGTGACGATTGCCGACCCCAACTGCGTTGGGTTGTAGGTCTCATTACGGTCGAGCGTTATGAAGCCCATCTCGACAAGGCTAGACAGGCTGGTCTCAACATGTTCTGTCAAGTCAGGACAGCTGCCACTGATGTTGAGCAAAGTGCTCGCAAGGTACTCGTAGATGGCGTCCTTCGAGTTAGCCAGGCGGATGCAGATGATCTCGAGGAGCGCTCGCTGTATCCGCTGCTTGTCAGTTGCCAATCCGCTCGTAACTTTCGGCAGCTCGGCATCCATCAGGCCCACAACGTCCTGCAAGTCGTTCTTTCGGCAGCATAGATATGCCTCGCCGACCTCGTCTTTGCCCTTTCTACCTGCTCGACCGCGCATCTGGCGCAGCATCGAGGGTCCGACCAGATCTCTGCCCATTCTCGCGTTATGGAGAATGACCCTGCGAGCAGGTAAGTTGATACCAGCAGCTAATGAACATGTTGCTGCAATGACTTTGATGGCTCCACGGTCATACGCATCCGCAATCAGATCTCGTTCTTCCGTGGTCAGCCCTGCATGGTGAAACGCGACCCCGAAAGGAATAGTCTGCTCCAATGTAGGATCAAGATCTGTCGGCAGACTTCTTAGATCGCCAAGGAGATCCAGCCGCGCAGCGGCGACATCATGTGCCACTTTGTGCACATCCGGAAGTGCTCGGCTGATGATGCGGGCATCGGCCTCGCACCCGTGCCGACTACTGCAAAATACCAATGCTCCATGACCTGCAAGAGCAGTTTCTACGGCCAGAGCAACAACAGCATTCAATACTGGTTCCTGCAGCTCTTTGGAGGGATTTGGATCAATGACCCTTTCTGGTTGGATATGCTGGAATGGCTGGGTCGCGAGGCTGATATCCTTGTCGTCCTTGTTCAGTTGCGTTGCTGTCTTGAGGAGCGCTTTAGTTCCTGAAGCTGGGTATACGTTGCCCTCGTAAACGAGAAATTCGTCTAGCGGGATCGGACGATACGTGGTGATGTAGGTATGGGCGTTCAGCCATTTAGCCAGAATGCCAATATTCTGTCGTGATGTGCTCGGTCAGCTACGATCAGGACGAGTTCAATCACTAGAGTGACGCACAGATAGGGTCGCACTCATGCCCACAATCTGCACCTTATGCTCGAGGCTGATGAGTTTCGTTGCCATGAGCTCCATCAAGTACCCCCGATGGTCATCGTCGACCATGTGCAGCTCATCCATCACCACGGCCTTGAGGGTCGATATGCTAGCATCCATCATTGCGCCATTGATGAGAGTGTTGGCCTACAGTCGTGTAAGAAACAGAAATTCATGTGTATATATTTGTGTATCACGGTGGGATCCTGACGGACCTTTTCAAATGTGCATACTCCAATATCGAAATCAGCCCAGGTCGCGCGGATCTTGCCGCCACCAAAGAAGCCCACAACCCGGATGTTGTTCTTGTCAGCCCTTCTTCGCCAGAGACCTGGCGTCGAAGCCGGTATGCCGTCTTCTGCCTGCTCGCGTGAGATGCCCTGCACCAAATTCCGCAACCACCTGACTTTCTCTTGGACCAGAGCGATATACGGCAGCACGAGAAGAGCCTTTGCGTTCCTGTCCTCGAGCACTCGCTTGAGCATAATGATGTCGGCGACGAGCGACTTGCCACCGCCCGTGGGCGCCGAGTAGACTAGATTCTTCTCCCCCTTAAGGAGTCCCGGCCCCATCAGGCATTGCTTCTGCCAAGGATAAATCTCTGCGATGCCGAGCTCGCGGAAATTCTGAACAAGCTGCTCGGGCAGTGCATATCGCGGATGCGAGAGCTGCAAAGCATGATCGATGAGTGGCCGCTGCGAGCCGGAGGCGGATCCTTGAGGAAGCGAACTGGCAGCTCTGCTGGCAGCGAGTGATGGCCCATCCGGCACGATTGCACTGGCTTGAAGCCGTGGCGGCCCGTGGTGGTCAAATCGAGGTGGTCTCTCGAACTGAGCGGGCCGTTGAGGCTCGGCCTGTATTGGTCCGATCCGGGCAGGGCCATCAACCGGTTCGCCATGAGGCCGCTTGTGACCAGCTACAGTAGTGGTGTGGTACGTCACTTGCTGGCCTGGCCGCGTCGACACTGTGGTTTCGTGCAGAAGGCCCTTCTGAAAGCTCATATTGCGAAAATGGGGCGGGCTGAAGACGGAACAGAATCGAATATGATGAGCAAGGATCAGCAAAAGCGGCAAGCAGGCTTGACTAGTACATGGTTAGCGGTGACTGGTCCTTAGCACGCAGTTTGTTTGACGCCCACGGCGTGCGTGCCGGCCACGATGGACAAGGAAGAATCACGCAAGTATTGGCAGGACTTTGTCTCGCTCGGCGGGCTCTGTGTCGTGCCAGGGCAGGTTAAGAGAGTGCACTGCAACACCGCTGCTGGGTGCAGGGCGTGAAAGCCAGATTTGGACGGGGATGTAGGCAGGCGGGCAGGATGACTTGTCTGGTGGATTCACATTGCTCATCCAAGGATCATGGTCACTGTACATGTACTGTGCCGCTCGACTGTGCGCTTTGGAGGCCGGGCCTGCAGCCTGCGCCAGAAGGAGCAGCAAAAGACAGGGGATTCATTGGCCACGCCAGCTTGTGGCCCCACACTGCGCTGCACTACCGCACCCTGCCCAAGAAGGGTAGCAAATCCCATTGATGCTCGTCATGCCAAAGGGCCCACGCTGAGTAATAAGCAGGCTAAGCAGCCTCTTTTGTCTCTCGTCCCAGGATACGCCTCAAAACTCAGATGCACAGACAAGACAGATGGCCACCTGCCGCAGAGCAACTGGAAGCATCCGCGGTGAGCGAAATAAGACGAGCATCTTCAGGGACAGCCACATGTCTTAGTCGGGCCTTTCATCTGCGAGCGCCTGGTCATCAGCAAACGATGCAATGCTGCCTGTTTCATGTCGCCTTCATCTTGTCGGGCATGCGACGGGGTATTTCTGGACGGCCTCTGGAGAAGAGCCTTTTGGTCTGTGCCCCACGAAACATTTAAAACCTCTCCGCACCAAAGCATCCGAGCAGGCACTTGACCTGGGCAAGCAGCGCAAAGCAGGTCCACAAAACAGCCAGCTCGGGGATCTGCTCGGGAACCCTGAGCGGCTCCCAAGAGTGCATCAGGACATCGTAATGTGCCGGTGACATTGGATGATATCACAATGCTTCTTGTCTCGCCCGCGGTCCGTCGTGATTAGTGCTGGAAAGGAGATGCCAACAGGCTCTCCTGGGTCGGGGCGACCAGGCACTTCGCAGGGGAGGCGGATATGAGCCCCGTTCGCATCGACATGCTTTCATGATGCATTGAAGGCAGCATTGGTGGTCGTGCGCGAGCCAAGCCGAGCTTTGAAGAAGCTTTGTGCGCAAGGACGGCAGATCCATCAAAGAGGCGTGCCAGGCCCGACCGGATATCTTCGAGCGCGGCGAAGAAACGTGGCCTTGCCAGTCTCCCACTGGCGGTGACGTCGACTCGACTCGACTCGGTTTGCGTGTTTGGTCGTGTTGCGTGCCATGGGCGTAGAGTCCGCGCGGACGTCCCAGGCAGTCGGAAGGAAGGGGGCGGCCAGGCGATCTCCACGGGACCCAAGCCCGCGCTTGGTGGCAAAACCCCTGCACCGGCGCAGGCATCGTCGCGCGGAGCAATGCCAGCTTCTCGCTAGGCGTGCGTCGGCTTTGCGCGACAACAACGACACGCACGGCATGGGCGGGCATGGACCCCCGTGCTGCTCCACAGGTCCCACCGCCCACATGACAGCAGCAGACCTTCAAATCTTGCCTCAAGCGATCAGGAGCTGCAATAGTCGAGTACGGCGGTGGCAGCCTCCGTTAATGGACGTGGGTTGCTTGGGTCCGATACATCTATATGTGAGTGTAATACATAGAGCACGTAGCGACGCGACCCATGGCTGGGAGCAGCAATCTCGTTGGGGACAGGATTGGGACCACGGCATTGGACGCTGGCAATCCAATCTCTGCACCAAAGCCACGAAATCGGCACAAAGGAGCCAAAATATGAGAGTCGCTATGCAGAATCATCATGACTCGTCGAGCTAGCAGCCCGCTAAGTCAGTTTAAGGAGCGGCTCACACAATAGGATGCATGTATGGTCACAGTCCTCCTCTTCCCCTCATCCGTCTCTGTGGGAATAGAAGCACGCGCTTGTTGTAGCGCGAAATTGTGTGCCTCATAAGCAGGGTGGCGGTGTTCCTGCATGCGTGGATCTAGACCGTCACCTGGTAAGCTGCTCTTTGCTTGCGCCTGATGCAATTCAGTCAGAGTCGGAGCATCTGCCACACAAGTCCAGCTTAAAGCATAGGGCACGCCACGCTGAGGGAGCTCATGTGGTCAAGATAGATTGAACCCACACTCTTAACTTTGCACAATGATTGCAGCGCGAACCCACTGGGGACAGAGTTGAACCTTTTTTCTTTTCTTTTCTTTCTTTTTGACGGTCGCGCAGGTTCCCTTTCATTCTTGGATGAGCTGTGCTGCTCTACAGTCTCGTCCACGGTCATTAGTGACGAGGATCATGGGGTCATGACAGAGGTCCAGCCGCGAAACCTGAGATTGTGTATGGCGACTGGAGGGGACTATGTTCTCCAGGTCTGGCCCTGTGGACGTGCTACGGGTTGGCGTGTCCTTGTCGCCGAGCCGGAGCACAGCTGGGCCTTAGTCCAAGGAAAATGACCTCCACATTCTCGGGTCGAGCCACGCAAGAGCCCACCCGCGCTCTCCTGCTCTGCTTCCGCCGCAGGAACCAACATGCAGGTTTGGCGAATGCGCGGTTTCATTGTTCTTGACACCCCAGATAGCCAATTGCACGGTGTCGTCGACTCCATATCGTGGCGAAGCCATGTCTGACGGGAGCGCAGCACATGCTTGGTCAGAGTGTGCCAGCTTGACATGAGGTTGAAAAGAGCTGCCACGGCGGGATCCACAAAACGGGCGACCGGGGGGCCTCGAGCATATTTGTGCCTGCCTGTCCTGCCTGTCTCAAGTACACCATGATCAGACACGCGCCCAGCAGACCCTGCCCCGAGCAGGGATTGATGCCAAGTACTGGGTACTTGGGCGTCTGTCCATGGTTGCTCATAAAGTGAGCACCAAAGGGAGAGCAGAACGATCGCCAGAGAAGGCGACCTGCCGAAGCGATGTCAACGTGGAACTGCATGACTTTCTTGTCTGAGTGCTGCCAGGACGGCCGAGTGTGAGCGTCGCCACGAGTCGAGACGGGGACCAAGCGAGCCAGAGCCAGAGACAGAGCCAGAGACGACGGCCCTCGCGAGAAAGAGCAGGAGGAGGAGGAGCCCGGCCTCGCTGGTCAGCCAGGTCGGCACACCCACATCAGACGTAATTAAGGCGGGCCAGTCTGTCTAGGACCAGTCCCAGCCGTCCCGGCCCTGCCAACGTCAGGGCTCAGGCATTTCCGCCCACCTTTGCCCCGTCCATGATTGGAGTGCTCACTCGCCATCTCTCTTTTCTGGAAGTCCGATCCAGGGGTCCTCTTACTCACGGCAGCTTCTTACTCGCCCGCGCAGGATCCGGCTATTCGCTCACGCGTGGTGTTACGCCTGCCCTCAAGCACAGCTGGGCCGCCAGCGACCAGGCGTAATACAGGCGTGAACGTGCTTTGGGCTGGCAGGCTGGCAGGCAGGCAGATCAGGCCCGGCCAAAATTCAATCAACCACATCATTCCCGGGCGCCGGCGCCCCTGCCACGCGCCCACGCACACCAGACTCGCACACTCTAAATCGAGGCCCAGCCGATCGGCTGGAAATCTGGTCCGCAGGCTGCAATGCCTCTTGCCACGTCGATCGGACTTTGTCATCCTCCTCCAGGCAGGATCCCCAGACTTGACAGCCCACTTCCTCGTCATTCTATCGCTTAACGATGCACACAACTTCTTGAATATGCGGTGCCCCAGAGAATTGCTGACCTGCAAGTGACCCGTGAACTGTCCGTATGAACTGCTTGCCGTCTTGAACTTGGCATCATCATGGCCCTGGCAGTCGCGGCAAGTCTAATCAGCGTGGTGACGGCTATGTGCCCCCTCGAGGCTGCTTGCTCAGTTTTGGGGTTCTAATTATGTCGCCAACCCGTGGTTGTTTGGCATCCTGGGGGCCGGCCCGGACATCGCGAAGCCCTGTTTCAAAGCAGCAGGACAATATCATGTGATTGTCAGGCCTCTCTCTGTGAACCACGCCATGACACCCAGGCAGGACAGGTGATGAGAAGCAGGTCCGCGCTGGAGGGGGGGCTCGAGAGATGGGCACGCGAGATGGAGGAAGGGAATGGAAGAGCCAGGCCCGGCCGGCGAGCAGGCAGGCAGGCAGGCCAAGCCAAGGTGGTAGTCGACGAGGTCGTCGGCCGGTGCTGAATGGACGGGGCCCACTCCCAAATAGTCTTGCACCCTCCCAGACGAGTCTTGCCTGGTCCCAGGTCCCGCCGCGCCGCCGCCTCTGAACTTCCCATGTCTGGCTTGAACCTCAGACGGCCTTCTGCGCACGCTCGCTCGGTCTCCACGCCCGTCCCGTCTCGTCTCGTCCCGACTGACATCTGCCCTTCCCACTTCTCCCTCTTCCCATACATTCCCGTCGCCTGCCTGGCATATATCTCAAACCCCAAAGGCCTACTCTGTCGCCGTTTCTCTTCACTCCTCGCCCTTTCCCCACGTCTGTTACTGCTTCCCGCGGTGCTTGCCCACACGCGTCGTCGCTTCTGACGATTTCTGTACTACTTACACACCTGGTCTCCCGCTCGCCTCCCACACTTTTCCGCACGCCCATGCCAGCAGGGCTTGCCAACATCGACACGCTCCTTTCTGGCGTTTACTTTTCCTTGCTCACCACTCCCACCACTGTTTTCGCTTTTCCCGAGCATACATCAGCGGCTGGCCTCCCTTTAATCCCAGGCACAGTCCACACCCACAGCCTTCCTCGGTCTTGCACGCTACCCGTCGCCCAGAGCCTGACTAGCTGGCATCGCATCACAACGCGCAGGACACGCATTGCCACATCAGCCGTGAGCCACATGGGTCCTCTCATCTAACCCTCACAGCACTTCCTTGGTGGTCTCTCCTGGCATCTTTTTGCCAGCCACCATCAAAGTTCTTCATCATGCCGCTCAAATCTCAGTCAAACGGCATGTCTGAGGATCTGGCCGCGTCGTCGGCAGCCAAGGATTCGCCCGACCCTGGTGTCACGCAACCTCCATCTCACGCCTCTAGCCCTGGCGCTGCATCACAGGCCCCAACTGCTCATGATGCGTCCAAAGATCTAGGTGAGGCCCGTTCGCACCCACTCTTTTCCCGCCCGCTCTTGTATGCACTTGGTTACTGACTACACCCATCAAAGATGCCCTGTCCGGACCGTCGCCATATGGCACACGATCACGCAACAGAGGCCAGGCTCGTCCCAATTATGCCGAGGACAGCATGGATATTGACATGTATGATGCCGTATCTGACAAGAAGGACGACGACTCAAAAAAGACCTCGCGCCAGGTCAGCAGTAGCGCGAGTGCAGTGCCAGATGCACCACGCCCAACAGCCACCAGCACTCGGAAGAGTCTGCTCGGGGACGACAAGGCCAACGGCAGCCAGACACCAAGCGTCAACGGCTCAAGCACACCAAGCAATGTGGCCACGCCTGCTGCGAGCGGCAACGTGAAGAAGCGCAAGGCTGCACAATCCAATGGCAACACCGCGCAAGCCTCAGCGCAAGGCGCGCCTAATGCGACTGGTGGCAGCGCAAGCAGCAGGCGCGGTGGCGCACAGTCATCAGTGCCAGCCAAGCCGACGGGGGGCTACCGAGAGAGCAACATGCTCACGTTTGACGATTGCGGTGGAAAAACCAAGCACGGGGTTCTTGTTGCGGACGATGGAACCTCGATCGCGCAGAATGGTGAGTACCAAGCGTGGATGTGTGTGCGTGTGCGTGTGCGCGCGCGTGGGTGGGAGATGGGGAGCGAGCGCTGTCCTGGTTCGGCGCAAGCGCTGGGGCTGACCCTAGTTTACAGACCATGTATACCTTGTCTGCGAACCGCCCGGGGAGCCGTACTACCTTGGTCGCATCATGGAGTTCTTGCACGCGCAGAATGACCGCACAAAACCCGTCGAGGCGCTGCGCATCAACTGGTTCTACCGGCCCAAGGACATTGGCAAGAAGGTCAACGACACTCGGCTGCTTTTCGCATCGATGCACTCAGACGTCAGCCCGCTCACGTCACTGCGTGGCAAGTGTCAGGTGCGGCACAAGGCGGAGATCGCCAACCTCGACGAATACCGGCAGACTCCCGACTGCTTCTGGTTCGAGAAGCTCTACGACCGGTACATCCAGAAACACTACGAGGTGGTCCCGACGTTCCAGATTGTCAACGTGCCCGAGAGGGTCAAAAAGGTGCTGGACGAGCGGTGGAAGTACATCCTGGTGGAGCAGGGGAAGTCGAAAGAGTTTACCAGCGCCGCCAAATTATGCAAGAAGTGCGGCGGGTACTGTGCAAGGTGGGTTGCCCGTCCCTTTTTCCCTTGCCTCTAGCCTCTGGCGCGCCCCCATCCCTTTCCACCCCAGTCCACACCTCGCTCCCGGCACATGCATGCACACCATGCCATGCATCGCCCCACTTTTCTCCCAACGACAGTCCTTCCTCCGGCGTATCCCTTCCGCGCCTATGCTCAAGGTTTCAACGCCCCGGGGCCTACGCGCTCTTGGCCACTGTGGTGGTGTGGAGAGATCGCCAAGCTGACTTGAGCCACAGGGACAACTCGGTTGACTGCGCCAACTGCAACAAAACATATCATATGCAATGCGTGTCGCCTCCGCTGCTGAAAAAGCCGTCACGAGGTTTCGCCTGGTCATGTGCTGCGTGCGCCCGAGCTCAGGAGCGCAAGCTGGAGGCGCGACACACTAACGGATCACATCCGGATGTCGAAGAAGAAGAGCCGGTCGATGAGGAGGATGACGGTGCTGCGACAGGGAGGACCACCCCCGGCGACGCCGAAGACCTTCACCCGGCGGCAACGCCCGAACAGGTCTACCAGGCGAGCCTCTGGCAATATCGCTACTTGGGCACACATTGTAAACCTGAGGATGCACTCGACTATGACGACCGCATTTATCCGCGTGCTGGCTCTCGCCTTGGTCCAAAGCACCAAGCGTACGTGCCGGTCTGGCCCGGCAGGCCGGTGCAACTGGTCAGGCCCCCAGACAACCGACGTGGTGGGAACAAGAACAAGCACATTGCAAAGGACCTCGTCCCTTCTCTGGAGGATCTAAACTTCAGCCGTGACAACCGTCCGAAATGGGTGCAGGACGCACCAGCTGGGTACGTGGCGCGCGGAGAAGATCTTCCAAATGATTACCCAAACAATACTGCCAAGCTGCTTTGGAAGCCGCCGAGCGAGGTCGACTCAATGATTGAGGATGAGGCCATCGACAAGTTCATGTCAGATGCACAGTCCAAGATCCCGGCCTTGGGTTTGCCGGAGCGGTCTACAAACCTCATGGATGTCGCGAGAGATTTGTTGTTCGAGAATGATTTCGATACAGCGGCAGCACTCAGGAAACTGCCCAAAGTGGACCGTGCAGATTTTCGCGAGCCCGACCTCAGCTCAAATGAGCTCAAAAAATTCGAGGAAGCCGTTGGGAAGTTTGGCTCAGAACTCCTTTCCATCACTCGAGCGACGAAACCCGTCAAGTACGGGAGAATAGTGCGTTTCTACTACGTTTGGAAGAAATCAGAGCGTGGCAAGCAGATTTGGGGCAATTATCCCGGCCGCAAGGGCAAAAAGGAGGCGAAGAAAGCCGCAGTCACGGCCGAGAACAAGTTGCAGGACGACGTCGCTGACGACCGCGACGACTCCGCATTTGACACCGACAAAGCAGTCAAGCACAGCAGAAACTTCATGTGTCGCTTTTGCAATACCAAGTCCTCGCGGCAATGGCGCCGAGCGCCAAATACCGGATCAGCAGTCATCATCGAGAATGGGACCAAGAGTAAGGACAAGGGCATGCAGTACATTGCCGCGCTTTGTCGTAGATGTGCAGAACTGTGGCGAAGATATGCCATCCAGTGGGAGGATATCGACGACTTATCAAAGAGAGTCGCCGCTGCAGGCCCCAAATCGTTCAAGAGGAAGATCGATGAGGACCTCCTCAAGGAGCTCTTGTCTGGTGAGGAACTCATGAATCTTACAGTTTATGATAGCACGACAGCAGTACCAGCACAGACCCGATCTGCTCCTTCCTCTGTGGCTACCAACGGTACTGAAGCTCCACCTCGCAAGAAGCTCAAAACAACCATCGAGCGTGACCCATCCGAGAAACGCGACTCCGAGCCTAGCACGGGCCCCCAGAGAAAGAAGGACAAGGCTGTCGAAAAGCCAGCTCCGCCGCCTGCACCTGTGGTCCCCAAAGCCCGCATCCTGCCATGTGCTGTCTGTGGCGAGTTGGATGGACCCGAGGACGCGAACTATCTCTCGTGCAAAGAATGCCGCCTGACAGTCCACAGAAGATGTTATGGCGTGACGGAGAACCGCGTTTCAACGAAATGGACCTGCGACATGTGCATAAATGACAAGAACCCGCAAGTCGCGATCGTGAGTTTCTTGGCCCTATCCAACCTTCAGACTGCACGGTGACTGACAAAGAAAATGCAGCATTACAAATGCGTGTTATGTCCCGTTGATGACACGGACTATGATGCTGTCCACGGGTCCAAGCTGACCGGCAAGAAGAAGAGCGAAAAGGAGAAGGACAAGGACCGATCCGAGCGGGAAGCAGCCCAGAAGGCAGTCGACTACTGGCGTCAGAAACAACAGGACATGGGTCGACCGATTAAGCCGAGAGAACCACTCAAGAGGACAGCCGACAACAACTGGGTCCACGTCACCTGCGCAACTTTTACCCCCGAGGTCAAATTTGGCAATGCTCGAGCTCTCGGGCCTTCGGAAGGTATCCCATCAATCCCTCGCGCCAAGTATGAGGAGATTTGCAAAATCTGCAAATGCAAAGATGGCGCATGCGTGGCGTGCCATCAATGCCGTGCTCCAGGTAGGTCAAGGTTCACAACCCGCTCTCTCGAGGCATGCATGCTGATAACTTTGTTCAGTACACGTTGAATGTGCTCACCAAGATGGTTATCTGCTTGGATTCGAAGTCACCCCAGTCAAAGGGTCACGGCGTGATCAACACAACATTGTGACCATTAATGGAGAGACAGGCTTCATGTCTGCAGCAATCTGGTGCAAAGAGCACTTCCCCGTCAAAACTGTGGTTCACAGCATGCATGAAATAGTTGCCCAGCCAGAGTCGGAAGGTCCGGAGCCGGCGTTGCCTCTCAACGCCTTGCAGCTCTATGTCCACAACTACAAACAAGCCGACCTTACACTCACCGGCACTGTGAGAAAGGCCAACTTGATCACGCAAGCCTTGAAGAATCCAGCTACCGCACCGGTCGCGAACACCAGCCGACGACAGTCAACCACCGTAGCGTCATCACAGAGGGCCTCATCCACGGATCATCAAGTCGACTCGGCCACTTCAGTTTCCCAGGAAGGCGAAAAAGTCTGCATCACTTGCGGGATCGACGTCAGCCTGAAATGGTGGCCGATCGGCAAAGATCAGGAGAAGGCCCTCGTGAATGGTCACATGGACACTCTTGGGAGCGAGGCGCAGAAGTTTGTTGCCCAGCGCGGCTATCGATGCCATAAGTGCAAGAAGACAAACCGACAACCAGCGCCTCACGTTCCGCCATCGCAACCTGCAGCGCTGCCTGCGCCAATGGACGTGGAGCCTCTCATCGAGCCAACAAGAGCCACATCTGCGCTGCACACCGCTCTTGCCAGCCCGCCTGCTCACGTTACGCATGCTGTCAACAGGATGTCAGATCTCGGAAGCCCATGGGCAAACAGACCTCCTGCGGTCCAGGCACCAGCGGCTCACGTCCCTCTGCCGCCAGTGGCTGCACCACCGATTCATATGCCCACCGGGGGGCCTCCATCGACCATGCCTTTGGCCATGCCTCATCCAGGCCCGTCGCCCATGATTCCTCCAGCAATGCCGAGTGCGCCTCATCACCAGTACGGTCCGCCGAGCACAGCCTATGGTGACTGGCACCGAAGCCCGCCAGCGCCACAGATGAACGGACCACCGCTCTCGGGGTCCATGCAGCACAACCACCTCCGTGACCTGCGCCCTCCACCGATAGCTCCTATGTCTCATCACCCCGGTTCGTCCTTACACGGGCAGCCGCTGCTCAACGGGATTCCGCATTCTCCTCCACGACGTGCTCCACAGCCGCCATTACCAGGCGGCCCATCATATATGTCGCCCTATCACCATCATACACCATCGTCAATGCATAGTCTGACAAGTGGCGGACCTCCTCCACCGCTTCGGCCATCAGACCACTCCTTCTCGCAGGGGCTCCTCCCCCAGCGGGCTTCATTCACAACACCGCACGCCAGTCCGCCACTTTCTCGCGACCCTCGGCCGTTGAGCCGTGACCCAAACCACAGCAACAGTTCAGTTCCACGACCAAACGACGGCCGGCCAGCAAGTGGCGCAAGCGCCAGCCCGTCACTGCGCAATCTTTTGTCTTAATTGCATCTCATCCCATTTACTTTCACGCAAGCAGCGACTTTTATCAGCACAAAGTATTAACGACCTCAGTCTTGCAAGCCGCATTGGCTCGTGTGTCAATAAAATTATGGTGTTCAGAGGGATTCATTGTGGATAAAATTACATTGGCGTGGGTGGGAGAACATTGTGTAGAACTGATCGCATTTTCTGTGGCGCGGAGATAGTTGATACCGATGAACAAGATTCATTCCAATAAGTAAACTTTGTGGGAAATGGTCAATGCGGTGGTCAATTCGTGCGCAACTTGTCGTGATTTGCCAAAACAATCGCAAGCAGAGAGGTAAGGGAAGTCGTCTCTCTTGCTTAAATTTCATCAAAGTGATATCAATGCCCGTCGCAAAAAATCCAATGCCCAAGATCAGTGCGTATGTACAATCCCCATCCTGCAGGAAAGATCCTGCACGACCACCCTCCATACCGCTCCCCCTAATGGCCGATTGCGCATGTCCAACCCAGCTCCGAAATCAAAACCCGATGAATTTTCTCAAGCTTGAGATCCCCCGAGGTTCTCAATGACCTCCTCCACCATCTCAATGAGCTCGTCAATATCTGGCCGTTCATTAGGCTCGACCATCAGGCATTTCCGCACCAGGTCCTTGACGGGCTCGCTGATGGTGCCGTTCGAGACCTGCCCCTCTGTGCTCGCGCCAATGGTGTTCTTGCGCTTGACTTGCCCGCCTGGGCCTTCGTCTGGAAATCGCCAGTCGCCGCCGAGCACGCACATGCTCAGAGAGCCTCCGGTCTCGTCGCTGCGCATTTCAAAGGGCGACTTGCCGACCAGGCAAGCGTAGAGCGTGCAGCCCATGGACCATATGTCTACTTTGGTGTCGATGACAGTGCCCGTCTTGACGTCAAACAACTCCGGCGCGCGGTATGGCATGGTGCTGTGCTCCGCTGCCGTGTCTTGTACGGCGATCGCAATTGATCTGGTTGTGATGGGGACCGGTGACTCGGCCACGGAGCCGAGGTCCATCAAGATGGGCTGCGAACCGGAGTCGTCGATCATGATGTTACCTAGCGAGTGCTTCCGTCAGCAACCCTGATTCCATTTAGGCAGCCCGGGCCCCCTTCTTTGCAGTGCTTACCTGGCTTGATATCTCTATGTGTATATGACCTCCTCTCCCCGGGCGCAACAACTTGCTCGTCCACCATGAGTGGTCTTGCTTGTTCTGTTTCGTCGTCGTCGTCGGCTGCCGCGACAGCTCTGTTTCTCCGGGTCTTGTTCTTGCCGCCGGGGCCAGGGACATCCTCCTCGCCGGCCTTTGCGTTTCCTGCTTCCATCCTCTCACCCCTAGCCGGGCCCTGATATTGGTGCATTGCCCGCAAGGCCTTGCAGACGCCCAAGAACAGCTGCATGAGCTCGGGCTCGGGGAAGTTGGTGTGGTTGACGAGGTTCGCATTGATGATGTCTTGCAGGTTGCCGCGGCGATAGTAGGGCAGCAGCACGTAGACCGTCTTGGCATCCTCGTCGCCTCGCTCGCTGGCGATCGAGTAGTCAACGCTGTGTATGATGCCGGGGGTGTGGGCGAACGTCTTGTAGGCCTCGACCTCGCGCATCGCCTGCTGGACCGACTCGGCGCCGAAGGGGCAGCGGATCTTCTTGAGCGCGAACAGCTCGGCCGTTGACGTGTCTTGGACTAGGTAGACATAGCTGAAGCCGCCCTCGCCTAGAAGCCGGAGGATCTTGAAGGAGCGGCTGTTGATCTTCAGGCTGGGGGAACCCGGGAAACAGTTCAGACAGTTTCCCAACGAATAGACCAGATCGAGTACGATCTGAGCCATGGCTTCGAGGTTTCGGGAGATCGAAAAGTATTATGTCCTTGGTCGCACTTGTGTGTCGGAGCTGTTGTGGTCAAGATGGAACCTCGGCGATGTTTGCTTATCGGTGAGAATGACTTGATTCGGTCTCGATCGTGCGGACAAGTCTGCCCGTTGTGGCGCAAGTAGAGAGGAGTCGTCGTCCTCTGCTCGATTGGCCTGCCAATTTCGTAAGGGAAGTGTGTCAATCGGGTTCAGGTGTCGAGGCTGGGGCAGACAGGCAACATTTGTCGACCTGCGTTGCATGTCCTATGTGAGCCGTATATACATACCACCCATCGTCCACCTTGAAATGGTCGAGCTCCATAAGCTGAGCTGGCGAGCTGGGCGGAGCAACGCGCTGCGCCACCGTGCCAAATGCGTACTGTATGGAACAAGGGTCGCTCTTGCCAACCCTGCGGGTCTGCGTACTTTAGGTACGTCAATCATGGGAACTCGGAGCCGGCCTGGGACAGGCTCGCTCGCCAGGCACACCTCGACACTAGCGGCCGGCCACAGTGCCGGGTAGCTGTGCCGGGGTTGCATCGCCGTATCAAAATAAATCTTCAAAATGTCACTTTCACGATGCCCTGCCAAAGACTGACGAGGGGAGAGACAGCATCACCGACTCTCGACACAACTCGCTGAGAATCACAATGGCGCCTCCTTTCCAACGGCTTGCGGTCCTGGGACCTCAGAACATCATCTGTGCAGCCAGAGGCCCCCAGATTCTGACCTTCGCCAAGGACGGTCAGAGTATTTCGTCATGGACTCATCCCTCAACACAGCAAGCTGCAGACGGACCCAGCAAGAATGAAAATTTAGACACGAATGGCGACATTGAGATGCATGGTGACGAGCCGCCGGCCAAGAAACGGAGAGTCGGCGAGACTGAGTCTGTAGAAGCCAGCGAGTCTGAAACGAAACGAGAGACACCAATTTCAGGACAAACTGCGAACGGCAAAGGCCAAAGAAAGCAACGGGCGCCAGTAGCCAAACAGGAGCACCAGTTCATCATCAATCTTGTCGCGACAAAGGATGGCAGCCATGTGGTGGCAGTCAGTGGCCAGGACAAGGCCTTGTGGGTATTTGAGCATGACGGCTCTGGCAAGCTCACTGAACTGAGCCAGAGGTAATGCCCCAGAGTATCCTTCGAGAGGATGATAATCACTGGGCACAAACTGACTGTAATTCTTAGGATCATGCCCAAACGTCCCAGCTCAATTGATATAACAGGCGACAACAAGACGGTTGTCTGCGCCGACAAGTTTGGCGATGTCTACGCACTACCTCTTGTGCTAGGCGCTTCACCACCCGCAGAAGGCGAAGATGGCTCCGAGGTATCATCAACAATGGCTCAAGGAAAGCTCCGCGTGGTTTCCAAGAAGGGCGCCAACGAGCTTACAGTCCACTCAAAGCGCAACCTACGCGCCCTCGAGGAGCAAAGGCGCCATCAGGAGCAAATCAAGGACAAGCCCAAAGACGGCCCTGAATTTGAGCACAGCTTGCTTTTGGGCCATGTCTCCATGCTTACAGCTATACTGGCTCTTGAAGTGGACGGGCGGCCATATCTCCTCACGGCGGATCGCGACGAGCATATTCGGATTTCGCGGGGTATTCCTCAATCACATGTCATTGAGGGGTTTTGCCTGGGCCACACTTCGTTTGTCAATGCTCTGTGCGTCCCGAGTGCGCGTAATGACGTGCTCATTTCTGGCGGAGGCGACAAAGAACTTTTCGTTTGGAAGTGGCAGGATGGCCTGCTGCTTGCCAAGGTGGACCTGCTTTCACATGCTCAAGAGGTGGTGCCTAGTGTTTCCCAGATCGCGGTCTCGCAGCTTATATCCTACGAGGATGCGGCCAGTGAGAGCTCATTCATACTTGCGACCTGTGAAAAGTAAGTCCTGCATGTGTCAGACAACGTAATAGTGCGGCAAGCTTGCTGACTCTGATCGGTCAGGATACATGCGATTTTCGCATTCAGCTTGCGACAAGACGTTCTGAAGCACGAACAGACGATTAGAACACCAGCCAGCCCGCTCGACGTCGTTGTTGTGCAGCAAGGTGACAGCCGGCTACTCGTCGTGGGAGTCGACGCTGAGAAGGGCGCCGAGTCCTTAATTGCTTATGAGCTCGACACCACAAATTTGGCTTGGAGCGCAGAACCGAAGTACTTATTTGACAGTAGCAAGGCCGACACTGGATCTGGACCTGACGTGCCGCGAGAAGACCTCGACAGGCTCCTGTACACTGTGGAGAACTTGCGCAAGACAGATATGGATGATGCTGGGGAGGAAGGCGGTGGACCTGCCACTCCAGCAAAAGCCGAGGACTCGAAAGCGACAACGCCAGCCGTAGAGGAGGCGTAGTTAGGATGCAGGCAGTGCAAAATGAATGTGTACATGAAATACAAGCCATGTTCCAGCACGTATAGTTACCTAAAGTCGGTATGCTCCGTGACAGGCCGCCGCCTGGGGATGTCAGGCGTTGTGGAGACTTCGGGATGCTTGGCACCTCGGTGCTGGGTAAGATCTCACAGTATCCCCGAGGTCAATGATGATGTGGAAATCCAGTCAGTGACCAGAGCTGGCAGAGTGGTCCCTCCCAGCCTTGCGAGGTGTACTCTTGGGCGGATTGCAAAGCGTGCTCAGGTCCGGGGCCCAGAAGTCGCGACCTGTCTGCCGTTTGCCGCCAAGCAGCAGCTGCGTGGTTCTCGCAACTTCTGACAGGCTGGCCGTGGAAGAGGCGAACGCTGCAGGCAGGCGGGGCGCGCCCAGCCCCGAGGCGGAAAACCTGGCAGCCCATGCCAGGGGCGAGTCGCCGGCGTTAGGGAGTCTGGTGGTGCGGCGGCGGGAGCGCTATTGTGCGTGACTCGGGCGGATGCGCAGGGTCTTACTGGATCGGGCCAGAGGCAGATTCCACGGGTTCGATTGAATTCCATTACACAAGTGGGCTCGGCAGCCCGCCGCCCAATCCAGTCGCCCGCCCAGCGGCCGATTAAACCTGCGACTGCCGCCCGCCGCCATCAGATGCGCATTGCTAAGCCCAGACACGCACGCACACACACACACGGTCACTAGCTCAGTCGCAGCCTTCTCTCGATAGTTCACCTGGGTTTTTTTTTCTTCCTCCTTTGCCATAACCACCAACCGCCAGCGTCGGCTCCTCATAAGTCCCCCCCTACGCTGCATACGTCCACGCAGAACGACCACATCGTCAGCGACCGTGCTTCTGCCCCGCGCACAGGGAACAACGACCGCAGGCGACATCGCATCACGAACACCCTCCGGCTGACCCCTCCAACGGTAGGCTACAATCCCACACCCCGCCATTCCGATAACGAAAGCCTCGCTCCCACGTCCGCACCACCACTCCTCTCCGCCGTTGCTGTCTGCCAGACTTGCGATAATCTCGGGTCGGGCCTACAGGAAATCCTGCCTGCCCTGGCGATACGACTATAGCACGCAAGTGTGTGCTCTCCTGGCATAAGGGGAGTCGGTACTTCACGATCGGTCGCATTGGCCCCCTGTCGCAACACTCCTGGACAGTCGTATCCAGTCCAGTTCGACTCCGGCTGCCGTCCTACTTCCTTGCCTGTCGCAGGACCACGGAGGTTTGCCTTCTCGGTGGCCAGCTCGGCGCTAGTCCCACCTTGCAGTCACCGACGTTCCAGAGTCTTCCCAGAGTCTTCTCAGTCTTCTGGCGGATTCGACGACGTGGATTGTGACTTGCGCACAGCGTATTACGTGACCAGATCTTATGAAACTTCGACTTAACACGAACAAGAAGAAAAAGTTTCTAAGCAACTGACATCCGTGGTCACACATAGACCTCACGACTAGCGAATATCAGCGGCACGACCCCTACTCGCAAAATCCGATTACACTGTTGACGATTCAACAAAATGGTCAAGGAGACGAAGCTCTACGATGACCTGGGTGTAAGTTATGCCAGCCTGGACGCGCGACCGGGTGAAGGTGCCGCTTGAAGGTTCTACTAGCAGTACACGCTGACTCTAATTTGTTTAGGTCTCGCCCACGGCCACTGAGGCCGAGCTGAAGAAGGCCTACAAGATCAGCGCCCTCAAGCACCACCCTGGTGAGTACTGTTGAATCGCGACCAAAACGGTTTAGGCCATGAAATACTGAACCCCAGCTGCAGACAAGAACCCCAACAACCCAGACGCCGAGCACAAGTTCAAGGAGATTTCACACGCCTACGAGGTTCTGTCCGATTCCCAGAAGCGCCAGATCTACGACCAATATGGCGAAGCTGGTCTAGAAGGCGGTGCCGGAGGCGGCGGCGGCATGGCTGCTGAGGATCTCTTTGCTCAATTTTTCGGTGGTGGCTCATTTGGTGGTGGTGGCCTTGGTGGCATGTTCGGTGGCATGGGCGGACAGAGCCGCGGACCGCCCAAAGCCCGCACCATCCACCACACACACAAGGTCTCGCTCGAGGATATCTACAAGGGCAAGATCTCCAAGCTCGCTCTGCAGCGCTCGATCATCTGCCCCAAGTGCGAGGGACGTGGTGGCAAGGAGGGTGCTGTCAAGCGGTGCACGGGCTGTGACGGCCACGGCATGAAGACGATGATGCGCCAGATGGGTCCCATGATCCAGCGCTTCCAAACTGTCTGCCCAGACTGCAATGGCGAGGGTGAGATTGTCAAGGAGAAGGACCGCTGCAAGGGCTGCAATGGCAAGAAGACCATTGTAGACCGCAAGGTTCTGCACGTTCACGTCGACAAGGGTGTGCGCAGCGGCACCAAGGTGGAGTTCCGCGGTGAAGGTGATCAGGCACCTGGCGTCCAAGCTGGAGATGTCGTTTTCGAGATCGAGCAGAAGCCCCACCCCCGCTTCACGAGGAAAGAGGACGATCTCTTCTACCAGTGTGAGATCGAGCTTGTGACAGCCCTTGCGGGCGGCAAGATCTTCATTGAGCATCTTGACGACAGATGGCTCTCCATCGATATTATGCCTGGCGAGGCTATCGCGAATGGTAAGTTTTTCAGGGCGTGTTTGATCCAACAGCCGACATCATACTCACACCACCTTACAGATGCTGTCAAGATGGTCCGTGGCCAGGGTATGCCCGCCCCACGACACCACGACCACGGCAACTTGTACATCCAGTTCAGCGTCAAGTTCCCCGAGCGCGGCTGGACCACTGACGAGAGTGCTTTCGAGGCTCTGCGCAAGATTCTTCCCGCTCCTGCCCTTGAGACTGTCCCCTCAGCGGATGCGGTTACCGAGGACGCCGACTTGGAGGACGTTGACACCTCAGGTGGTTCGCGTGGCTTTGGCGGCGGTCCCATGGATGAGGATGACGAGGACGGTCACCCTCACGCCGAGCGTGTCCAGTGTGCCTCTCAATAAGCGGCTCTTCTGCAAGCCTTTGGCATCACCCATGTTTGCCAAGTGTTGAAACATTTTCTTGGGACGACTTTCACGATTAGCATCATCGGCAAAAGAGATGCTACGATTACTCAACTGCTTTCACTGCAAGAATAGCATTTACGGCGCGATGTTGCAACGTTCCCATGACACGAAAAGGAACGAGTTCCAGCCACGGACGTGCATCACGAGTTGAACGACACGAGAGTGCTGGGCAGTGCGCGCGGCGACATGATGTGCTTCATAGCATAGCGGTCCTGTTCTCCTGTCAGCGAGGGTCTGCGCATGCTGAGTAGAGTTCTTGGGTCGTACTTGGTTTTCTCCTGTTGAAGTCTTCAGGACTTGCCCATTGAGGGTTTTCTTTGCAAGCTGGCGTTTAGAGGGCATAGATGGGAGAGGCTGAGCAAGAGCTTCTGTCTCTAATTGAATGACGTTTGGAATGAGGCTTCCGTGTGATGACGATGTGACGTGACGTTGCTGTAATGTGGAGGCGTGATTCAGCAATATTGACGCAGGTCGATAGCGGTGTTGCCTGGCTAGGAAATCCGCCTGTCATCCAACCAGCGAAATGCACATCTGGGACTGCATGATGCGACCAAGTCCAACGCACTCAGAGACAATGGTGCGTTGTCATACACGGGCAGGTGCTCAGCTCCTTCAAGGGTTGCTGCACAGCAGCGAAGGAGGACAAATGATGCCAAGTCTGTGGAAGGCTGCGGCCAGCTTCGGCCCGAAAAAGACCGTGTCTGCCATCTTCTGCACGAGCAGAGCTGCAGCAGCATGTCGCCCTGCACGAGGCTGCCGTGTCATTGGGACGGCTGACAACATTCCAGCTTTTTTTCAAGCCTGAGCACGCTCGAGTTTTCAAGTAATTGAGCAGAGCTGGGTCAGGGCAGGGGGGTGCCTATTAATAGCCTGCAGCCCAGTCCCGAAGCGGTTAGGCGTCAATGTTTACCACCGCTGCAAGCCGGGTATTATAAAGCGTCCATCCCCTGCCACGCCCTGCAGGAGACCAGGATTCGTCGAGGTCGCCAGCAAGTATTGGCATCTGCAGCGTCGTGTATATACGAGGGAGGTAGTATAGCGAACGGAGGCCTGTGGTGGGTATCAGTAACCTTGGTTACGTGAGCATGCACCGGCTTCTCTCCCGGAGATCTCTTGAGTGCTAGATCGGCATGCTCTCCGTTTGACGGATAATGTCCGAGCCAAGAGCTCGCCCTTGGGGGAACGAGGCAAGCAGAACCGGCTCCGCGGAGATCAATCCTGCGTGGTTCTGCGCCCCGGCGAACGCTGCGCTTTCTGGAGTTCACGGCAAGACCCAAGCTTATGCCATGGGCGGGCAGGGAGATCAACCAGGGAGTCGGATCCAGAGAAATTGACACCCGAGTGATAGAATGGGGTGGAACCGAGGTGTCCATCACCGGATCAGCGTTTTGCCGCATGCGGAGAGAAGGCTTCATGACGCCAGTCTTGCGTTGACCTGTTGGGAACCCGTTGGGCGCTGCGGAAAATAAGCTAAGCCTGGCAAGCAAGAGAGGGAGCACGCAGGCCCCGGGAGAGCCGCTGCAAGTGCCACGACGGGAAAAGGAGCCAAGTCCCGGAATTCTCAGGCTGAATCGATCTGAAGCCGCAGTGCACGGCGTAGAAGATTGGCCAACGACAAACGATGATGGCTGACACAGGGATAGCAAGGGTCGTCGGATTCGACTCGGGAGGGCACCGCAAGCTGCGGGCCATGACGAAGCAAGATTTGGGCGGGACGCAACAAGTCCGCAGGCGGCCTCAGAGGTAACCCCGGTCGGTTCGCATGATTAGGGGTGATCGGTGCGGCGGGGAGGTCCACGACGAGTTTGCAGCACCACGGCAAATATAATCCGCCTGGCAGGAGGAAATCTGAAGACGACGGACCCTTGACAGGCGTCGTGGTGGTGCAGGGCAGCGGGCGTGCCTTCCAGGGAGGGTAATTCGTACGTGGACTAGCCAATCACAGCACGGGACTCGAGTGCCCCACCAGCAGCAACCACACCATGCGGGGACAGGGAAAACGGACATGGGAGGGGGACGGAGGCACCGCCGTTGCCAGCCTGTCTCTCCGCTGGCTCATCTGCTCAACAGCGCCTTCCCGTCCCTCCACGCAACCTCACGCAGACAAGTCGGCACCCGCCAGACATCGACGCATGGTTGCTGACTCCCAATCGGCCCTGCTGGCGTGCGCTCCCGCTCGGCGTACTGCAGCCACGTCAGGCTGCCCACGGTTTAGCTTTGTTCCCCGCCACATTCAGCCCTACAACAGGCGCTGATGTAATCCGGCACCCAGGTCAGGAGCTCGAAAGCCATGTCTAAGATGTCTAAGACCACTGGACATTCTCTATAGCCACCCCTCTCCTGATGGGCGATTTTCGACAGGTCGTCCACACTTGGCAAGGGCCCGGCTTTGCAACTGCGATGCCGTCCTCCTCTCTTCCCGCCAACCAGAAGCACACGACTCGAGGGAACTTATCAAGGCCAGGGAGCCTTGTCCCAAGGGGGGATCTGGCCCAAACCACGATTCCAGCCAGCTCCACTGTCCATAGGCCACGCGGAGCATAGCGTGCCGGTAAAGCCATCGTCGTTCACTGCCGGCCACTAGCGAGACAACGGACGAGCAAGTAGCCAGGGCCACCCCTTCTGTTAGCACTACTTTTTCGTCTACACTCGGCCAAGGCGGTAAGCTCTCCGGTCTTCTCTTGTGGTGCCGGTCTCCTTGTTTTTGGCGATACGCCGTGGTGTCACAAGGCCAAAAGCCGATCTGTAAGCGACCCTTCCGTCGAAGCTGGTGCTCAATCGTGCTGCTTCAGCAACGGCGAACAGAAAGAGTCCTCGTCCACACGCACAAAACGATCCACCGCTTCCTGGACCTGGTGCATGTGGTGTCATGCACACGGATGCAGGGCCGACGCCACCAGTCCGTGCTAGTCTCCGCCAGGAGTCTCCGCTGCCCCGGGATTCTGCATCCTCTTCTATAGCACCATCTCGGCCGTGATCGGGCCCTGGTCCCGTTTCACCCCTGTCGCCCGCCTTTTTGCGCAATGAATTGTCAGGACCTTGACGCCTGTTATTCGCTCAAGCAACTAGTGCTAGCACTGGCTTCCTGACGGGCGGTCGGGGTTGGCCGGCGACACCTGCTGCGTCCTTGCAAGCTCAACCTTAGCACCTCAGCCCTACGTTGCAAGACAGAGTCCTTCAATCACGGCTGTCACGTTCCAACACTGCATTTCACCATCGGAACGGCCACACCCAGCCCTTAGGGTGTGTCCTTATGCGTCTATTTGTGGAAACATCGAGGTCTGAACCTTGTGAACGTACACACAGGACTCCGATAGGCTTGTTCTTTTACGATCTGGTCTTCAGGAACATCTTGCACAACATTCAGACGAGTCTATATATTGACTGCTGAATGTCCTGGATCTCGGCACCGCTGGACCCATCTTGGACAACAACATCTTCAACATCAGGTCCAAAGCACGAGCAGGACTCATTCGCCCGGGAGTATCATCGCCGCTTCTCTCGTCATGGATAAACAGTCTTCATCTTCCAAAAGCCAGAAGGCGCCAAAGCCTCGCAACAGTGAGCTACGCAAGGAGCAGAACAGAATCGCCTCGAGAGCTTATCGTACGTCAATGTTTTCACAGAGCACCTGCAAATTGAGGGGCTAGCCGGAATTGACAAACTTCAATAGGTGAAAAACGCAAGCAGAAGCTTGCTTTGCTTGACGAGATCTTGCGGACCGAATCTCGTGACTCGAGTAGTCCGTCCTTGCCAGACGACTCCGAGGACTTCATATCAAGTCTCGCACCCCCACAAACTCGTCACTCTTCATACAGTCCGACTCCGAGCATCAGCCATGCGAGCATCGAGTCAAATGCACCAGACCATGCACCCGCACAATGGCAATATCGAGATTACGACCAAGATGTGTATCAGAGTCCAGAATGGCACCCTGCAACAAGCCTAGCGACAGCACCGCCAACTCCAAGGCATGATTTGCTGACCCCGGGCATGTCTGGTTCGCCATATCTTGCTTCCTCCGACCACTACTACACCGTACCAGGATCCGAACACTCTTCGTTATCGACAGACTCGTCCTATCCCGCACCTCTGGGAATGGGCGATCAAGCGGTGGTTGATTTGGGTTATTTGGAGCATCCCACTCCTTTTCGCGACGACTACTCGTATGGACAGAGATTCCATGCTACGGGTCATGGCCATGTGGTGCCGACGGTACCGGAGAGCTTCATCAGGCAAGACGGCAGCCATAACCAGCAAATGCTTGCAACACACCGCAGGAACCGGAGCTCATCAAGTCCAGCACATGATGAACACAATTTTGCTTACCCATATGGTACGCTCTATCCTGTGTAAGTCCTGCTGGTAAGTGGTCAAATTCACTTGAAAAGCAGGGAAGCTATTTACAAGCACGAATCACTAACATTGTGTGGACAACGACAGTTGAGAGGCAGTGGCACACAACTCTCCAAAACAAGGTTGCGCATACAACAGCCGTGTTGTGGTGACATGAGCCTGCGTAGCGCAACTACAAGCCGGCAGGACCTTCGAAGGATCAGCACTCGGGCGCCCCTAGCTCTGCAAAAGCAGACGGTTCAGCGCCCGTCACATTGCAGCTCATATCATGTTGGTCGACACACCCGACGTGGGCCTACAATTTGCACGAAATGCTTGCCAAATTCATGATTCAGGGGAGACCTTCTGCTCTGGGCGCTCCAGACCAGGATTCCGGCTGCTGGAATCGGGGCAGTCACACTACAAGACATGCATATCCATTTTGCACTATTCTGCTATTTTTGGCTCTCGCTATGGGGGTCATGGAGTCTTCTGAATAGACTTGGGTCGTCGGTCGTTTAGCCTGTCCGCTCAAAGAGGTGGAAGGAAAGCCTGATGGCGGTGTCCAGGTGTCGGCTAATGCAAGCCCTGCTTGCCCGACCTGAGACTCACCGGCTAGATGCGGAAGCTGGGACAGCGAGTGGACGGCCGTTGCCGTGGGGAGATAGACATAGAACGCAGGTAGAATCTGGTATGCGAGATATCAGCTGCACGTCACGCGCGCCGCAAATAGAAAAAAAATCAGGCCAAATGTCCCAGGATGGAGCCGCGCTCTGGCATCGTTTGTGCTAGGCCGCCCCTAAAGGAGCGCTGCGTGCAAGTCTCGCCTAGCGAATTGGGCTGAAGTCCGAAGACTTGCTTCCACCAGCGGAGAAATATGGAGGCCCCCATGCAGGCATTGGACACTTGCCCAGCCAAGAAACCGTGAGTTCAGCAAGAAACTCCCCCCCAGATAAGAAAGAGCCTTGGTTGGGTGTGGAAATTACAGCGGGTCAAGGCTGGATTGGTGCCTTTCCAGTCCCAGGATAGTCTGCAGTAAATGCTGCAACCTAGACAGTAGGTATGGAGAAGGGAAAGGGAGGGGTGGACGAAAACTTAACACGAGCACCGAATGCAGCCAAGTCGAAATAGGAAAAAGATTATTACAAACGAGGCATGAGAGCACAGCGGAAGACCGTTGAGAGCCCTCGAGACGACGCAGAAGGGCAAGGAAGGGGGTGGTTGGTCGGGTTGATGAAAGGCCTTCCTCCTCCTTCTTCCTCCCCCACTCCCTCTCCACCGGGCCCAACTGACTAACGGTCCACAGTGAAGGTACAGGGCAAGTATGTAATCGGGGTTATTTTTAGCACTTGTCACCCCATCACCCGCCCATGCACCGATATGCAGCCCACCTGGGCATGCACCCACGCACATGCAAGCCCCGCCCGGGGTGGAAATGACATACACTAAGGACCTTATATGCACTCCTGGGCCAAGCTAGGCCGATGGAGTGGAACAGAACACCCACTCAGACACTCGGACACTCAAAGACACACAGACGCAGAGCAGATACAAAAGAGTGCACGGAGGCAGCGCCGTGCTCGTCGTATAGGCAAACCAACAGCGGCGCCCGGCGAGAGCCGGCACCGGGCCCCGGAGGCGTTGCCAAGGTCCACAGTTATCCGCCCTGCTTTCCTTTCCTTTTTTTCCCCCCCTTGACCTCAACTCAACTCCTGCCCCTTCCCCGCACGCCGCGTCCTGCAAGCACCTGCAAGAACCTGCACCTCTATCCCAGCGAGCGAGCGAGCCGAGCTTGGGCACTTCCGTGGTGGAGAGGTCGTGTATTGTCCTGCTGATTGGTCTGCCATGTTCCTCCTCGTCCTTGTCCTCTCCCTCCTCTGGTGTCGCACGGGGCTTGACACAATGTCCACGGTGGAGGTCTCGACCACGGGTCTGGAACGGACTGATGCCGAAAGGGGCATCGTTAGACGAGCCAGGTACCTGAAACCGGACGGGGGAGAACAGACAAAGGACGATCGGCAGATGTAGCGGGTGCTGTCATCAATGGTAGGATTTGACCCGGCCTGTCGGGGTCCCAGAGCAGATTAGCCGCATTCAGACAATGAGACGGACACTTACGGGCAGAGATAATCACTAGCAATATTGGCGTGGTTCGCTCACCTTTGGGAGACATGTTGAATAGTCTCCTGGAATGCCGGGATGAGGTGCCGACCATATCACCTTTGCGTCACGTTTCGTTCTTATTCGCTACACCCACATGCTCATTTCTATCCGAGTCATCTACGATCCAGAGCTTCAAGCCGATCCGAGCTACTCTGAGCTTCTCAAACCGAAAGAGCATCTAATCAATAGTGTCGTCCCTCAGCTTCAGTAATTCTCGGAAAACCTCGTCTGGCTTGCTTCGGATAGCGCCGTGGAACAGCACGTTGGTCTCAAACACCTTGATTCCCTGGATGCGCGAGGCCGTCACGCGCGCCATGTCGCTGTCTACGTACATGTCGTTGTAGCAGGCGGCGTACACAGGCACCTCGTTACGGGCTAGCTGCTCCAAGTCGTACAGCGCCGGCCACTGGTCATACTTTGCGAGGATTCGCACCGTGTCCTTCAACTTCATGAGCTCGGCGCAAGTATCGAGCCTGTATTCGGGCATCATCTCTCCCAGGAAGTACAGCGGTTCGTCCTCCTGGAGAGCTGACACACCCTCCCAGTCTTGTTGGAGCCACTGGTACTCCTTGAAGGACTTTCCAACCCGGTCAGCGGCAAAGTTGCCAGCAATACCCGGCCCGTAAATCCAGCAAGGCTCGTGAAGCAGCATGTAGATCGGCGCTTCGTCGTTGCTGACTTCCTGCTCGATTATGTTGAGAGTCGCTCTTGTGAAGCGACCAAACTGATCGAGGTCGGCTTTCATCCTCACCATGAGGTTGTGGACCTTGTCTATGCCTCCGTCAGCACCAAAGTTTATACCGAGCAGCATCAGCAGTTTCACGGTCAAGAGCCCGCCAGCGGGTAGAGGAATTCCCTTGGCACCACCCAACTCCTCAATCTTTGAGGCAATCCACTTGACAGTGGCGACGTCACCAGGGAATTTCTTGTAATACGCCTTGTTTCTTGTGATCACTGTCTTGTATGTCACGGGGTAGACGTCGTCGGGTCCCTTGTCGAGGGCCGCCAGTCCTCCGGTGATGAAGGACTCGCGAAGCCCCTCGGGAGCGAACGAGAGATAGGTCATGCTCGTCATGCCCCCAAAGGATTGGCCGAATATGGACCACTTCTGCTTTTCGGGAGGATAGTCCTTGGTGAGATAGCGGCGGACGGCCTCGCAGTCCTTGACAATGGTGTCTGCTCGAAAGTGCTTGAGGTAGTCTGCCTGCTCCTGTGGAGTGCCGATAGAAGCCAAGGTGTCTGCCGAGACGGTCGAGCTGAGGCCTGTGCCTCTGTAATCGAGGAGCAGCAGTTCATAGCCACGGTCGAGCATGTACTTGGACAGAGGGCTGTCCTGCGGCAGTGGGTTGCCGAAGCCCGGACCTCCCTGGAGGAAGACCAGGAAAGGCCGCTGGGAGGGCTCCTTGGGCTCTACGATTGGTTTCTCATGGGGCACCGCGCTGCGTGCAAAGAGCGTGATCTGTTTGCCGTCTGGCTTGGCGTGGTCGAGGGGCACCTCGAACCACAGCTCTCGAACCTTGAGCTTGCCTGAGATGAAGTCAGAGGTTGTGCCTGATCTGAGCAACAGCGAGCAAGTCGGGCTCACCAGGGACGATGTACGGTTCGCTCTCCGAGACGAGCTTGGCCGTGACGGGACTCATGGTGGCTTTGGGGCGGGCGATGGGGTTGTGTGAGACTGGCTGCAGTGAGGGGCACCCTGACAACAGCCTGATCCACGGAGCAGACCGTGGTTGGCGGATTGAGACGAGAGAAGCACGGCTCTGGAGCCGAGGAAGGGACAGCACGGAGGGGGCCAGGCGAGGATGAGCGAGCAGACAAGTCAAGCAGGCGATGCTGTGCTGCATAGCAAGGTGAGCACCAGTGATGAACTGTGGCAATGAGGGGTGAGGGAGATGCAATGCTCCACGCCCAGTCCTTCCTGAAGAGGCAGGCTGGGCAGCCGACAGTAGCCCTGGGGCCTCTCCGGCTTACGGACCGCACCTGCCCGGCTTGAGATCTGCTGGCGAGACATGGACATGTCCATTGCACCAACAGTGCAGCAGTAATTACCCTGGGCGTCGATGAGCAGTCGGATACGGGCGTTTTGCGTCAAGGGATCTTTCCCAATGTACGCCAGGACTTATACTTGTGCCAGCTCATTACCTCACGCACTAGGTACCATATAGTGTACTGGCACTGTGTTGGCTCGTGTCACCTCCCCAGGCTAAGGCGTCCAAAGCTTGGTGCTGCTCCGTGCCCGCATCTGGAAACATACTGTGGGCGATCTCCTGCCAGGCTTCACCACGGAGCTTGACCGGCGGCCCGAGGCCGCTCAGCCCATTCATTCAAGCTGCTTGACTACACGTTCGTCCTCCTTCGCCATCCCACAACCCAGAGCCTGCACACTGGACAACCCAACACTGCGCCGCTACCGAGTCCAGAATCAACAACGTTCCCGCAGCCATCATATTTCCAATCACCCCTGCGCATCGAGCCTGCCGTCAGTACCACGGTGATGAGCACCCAAGGCCTCACCCACGTCCTCATCGAGTCCTTCAACGCCCTCGCCGACGAGGTCCAGAGCCTCGGCGACCGACAGACGGTCCTCGAGCATAAGCTACGCTTCGCCCATGAACAGGTAACAACAGCGTCTCCCAGGCCTCACCACAACCCAGGCACGGCCTTTTGCTAATGCCAGCCGCTTCACCCGCCTGCAGTTCCAGTACATCGCCGATAAATATGCCCCAGCCGCCCCCGAGATAGCCGAGACGCTGGTCAAGCTCCAGCTGCCTCCAGAGCTCAACGACCCTTCCCTCGCAGATTCCAGCGCCGTGCCGCTTCCCAGGCGCAAGGCCTCAAATTCGAAACACCAGATCGCCATCGTCATCCGAGAGGGCCGCAAGGTCGCTTCTGCTCTGAGCAGCCCCAGCAAGAGCAGCCGGTCCAGCCGCGGCAGCGCTGCACCGACCACAATGACCTCCCTCTCCACCATCCTCGAACAGGACTTTACCGTCGAGGGCAAGACCAGAGGCACTCTCCGGTGTCCGTTTTCCCAAGCACCGACGCCGCAGAATGAAGACGGGCGAGAGGCCGCGCACCAGGCACAAGACGGGCACCACGATGCTGAGGATCCGATTTGCGCTGCCATGTTTGACGAGGCAGGGTCGCCACCGGCCTCGGCCGCTGCCAGCAAATGCCCTATCCGGTACCTAGACCAACACTCCCCAGAAGAGATCGCACACTACCTCGAGACACATAAGCACGAGCTGCCGCGCAGCCATGAGGTCTGCGTCCGACGATACCAGAGGAACGAAGACGACATCCGCAAGCTGGACGCCAAGTACGGCAATCTTGTCAGCATGGTCGAGGGCCTTAGTCGGATTCATCAGCCGATGCTGCCAGAGCAGGACACGCGGCCACAGAGCGACGTCGAGCGTGGCTCAAACGATCGTGTTGAGACATGGGCACAAACAGTCAGCGTCAGTCTCAGTGACGATGCAGACCAGACAGCCTTGGAAGGGGACAGCACTGATGAGGAACGCCAAAGCCATTTTGACAGGCCGCTAAAGGAAGTGCGAGTTGGAGAATCCCCCAGCAGGCCATGGGGCATCTCGGTCCCATTTGTTGATGTTCCTGCTGGCTTCGATGGTCGCCAGCCGGAACGACCAGAATCCCCGCCACCTGCGCCAGTGCACATGCCTGCTGACCACCCGACACCAGAGACGCCAGCAAAGCAAAGCGGTGCCGGCAAGTGTCCGTTCGATCACACAAAGATGGCGCAGATGATGGGCGGGAAGACACCACAGAAGCCAGAAGACTCTAGAGACGCGTCGCACATGCTTCATACTCCTGCTGCTGCAGCTGGGCGGCGCAATCACGACATGACTCCGAGAGGAGAGGACCACACGATGGAGGACGAGCAGCAATTTCAACCTGATCATCAAACACCAGACTATCGCAGGACAATGCCTCTCGACAGTGGAATCGGGCTACACCAACAGCACGCACAACAGCCGCAGCCTCGTTATGGCATGGGACAGCCTACATTCCTGCATGCAAGCGGACTGAACCGCCCAGATTTTGGACAGGAGCATCAAGGCCAGCCAGCCCCGCCGCCGCCTCCCCCTCCGCAGATGGTCTTCACAGGGCCGGTCTTCATCGGGTATCCTATGGAGCACGCGATACAGTTCATGCAGCAGTTTCAGGGCCAGCAGCAGCAGCAACAGCAGCAGCGACCTTTGTAAGCCACCTGGCTGCAGCACGTCGGCGATGCTGACGACAAAGGACACACTAATCATCCATCCAATATTTTTCAACGAAAACTCTTCATCACGAATTTCCGATTAGGGGCAGCGACGGCGCATCATCATAGCGAGTTCATTTATTTTTTCGACTTTGCTTCTTTTCTTTTTCTTGTTCTCCTTTCGTATTGGTTTGTAGCAAATGCGCAAAGTCATGCGCCGAAAAATGGCGTCCGTTTTGTTGGTAGCACATGCATCTCCATATCAGCCTGGTAGTGCTTTGTCGTCATCCTCATGAATGAAACCTCGATTTATCGTTGTTCTCTTTTTGCACTTCGTCTCTCTTGGGATTTATCGAGTGTATGTCTGTGGGTGTCTGTGCGTGCGTGCGCAGGATAGTTTCGTACAATCTCTGTTGACGGCGGACCAACAATCACGTGTGACGGCAATGCAGAATCTCTTGTATAAGACGAAAAAGGACACAAGTGGTAGTGAAAACCCCATAAAATCGTTGGTCTCGTCTTTTTTACACAAATGACGTAAAAAAGTGAACAAATCTATGTACACGCGGCCAAGTTGACTAGACACCAACGCCTCTCTACCTGCGAGCCAAGGCCTGGCTGTGAAAAGCACCAAACACGGCATGTCCCCCCCGGGCAGCACTGCGCCTCACCTCGCCGGGCGTATAGTCGAATCGACTTCGTCGTCTGACCTGGGACTTTTTCTTGGATTCTTGCTCCCCTTCCCCCCACCCCGTGCCGCACCTGATGGTGACGAGGCAGATGAAGTGCTCCCTTTCGGTGCGCTCTCCGCCGAACTCCTACTGCCGCCACTGCTGCCATCGACGTCATCCTTGTATACCTGGTCAGCCACGCCCTCGGCCGCCCATAAGGAAATGTCGTCCGCATCCATGAGTGCGGCGTCGAGCTCGTCTGGATCGCGCAGTTCCGCATCGTCCAAGTCTGCGTAGTCTACTCCGGGCCCGGAGAAGCCGCCATGGCGACCACCGCTGCCTCCCCTGCTGTGCCCAGAGGCCCCGCTACCACGACCGCCATGGATAAACGAGCCATCCTCGCCGTTCTCGGCTGCCATGCCTTCCTCGCGCATGAGCTCCTCCGCACGCGCCATAGTTCGCCTGTATATCACAAGCCCGAGCACCGTGCCGAGGATGCCGCCAAGGGCCATGCTGGTGTAATTGATGATTTTATCACCGAGGCTCATGGCGTCGCCGCTCTCGGCGAGCTTGGCCATGCGGCTCCCAATAAAGATGTGGATAAAGATCTTGGGAGACGCGAGGGCCGTGGCGAGGGCAAATGCGGGAGGGCTGATACTCGGTATTGTGGCGAGGAAGCCGTTGCTTAAGCTAAAGGGCAGCGGGCACAGGCGGACGGCGGCGAGGACGTAGACACCGTCCCGCCGCAGGATCTGGCCGAGAGCTACGAAGCGCTTGTCCGAGCCGATGAGCGCGTGGACATAGCGGCTCAGGACGGTCCGGCTGGCGATAAAGGCAGCCGTGCTGCCAGCAACGGTCGCGGCAGCGACCACGGGCCAGCCACCGGGGAAGCCGTACACAAAGCCGCTGATGGTCAGGCAGGTGCTATAGCCGATCATGGGCGGGAACGCAGCGACAAAGGTCATGGCGAAGATGATGAGCCAGCCCGCCGGGAGAGCGCGCCACCCAACCGCGATTGGCTGGAGCCACGCGAATATACGATGCGAGTATATGAGGAATACAACCGTCAGAGCGATCGAAGCGAGACCAGCAAGGACGGCGAGGCCTTGCTGCATGGGCGTGAGGGAGTAGAAGAGCCGGAGCGACTTGTTGAGGAAGTTGAGGCTGTACTGGAGGATACGACGGCCAAAGGGGGTGTTATCGGGGCGGCTGTACGGGGTCGAGAGACGCCTGGAGGCCGCGGTCGGTCTGCGGCCACTGCTGTCATTGTTGCTGTTGCTGCCTCGCGCCCAGGGCGGCAGGTTGCTGCCGGGCAGGCCGAGCGGTCGAGGAGAGGCGTCGTCGGAGAGCGGCGAGGTGGGCAGCTCGAGGGCTTGCGCCGCAGAGGCGTAGCCGGCGGGCATTGTGCTGGGAACAACGAGCACGCCGGGAGCTTTGCAATTGGGAAAGCCGCCTGACGGGGTGCGTGCGAATATGTGTGTAGAGGCAAGCTCGAGGGAACCCCAGGGAGCAAGTTGTCGTGAAGAAGGTGTCTGACGGCGCCGGTTCGTAAGCAGGGATGGGTTACTGTGGTGGCCCAGGCTGAAAGCGGCCGAGCTGAGATGGATGGATCCAGGCCCGTGGGTGGACCTTGGTGGCGCAGGCACGCACTCCAGCAGCGCAACGAGACCCTGCAGCCGTCTGGGGGGAAAAGCGATGTAGTGGAAGGTGGCAGCTTGGCCAGCAATGTCTATTATAAGCGTCTAGAGATGATGATGGTGTTGTTGTCGGCAGACAAGTAAGTCATCGGGTTATCTACAGCTCTGGCTGTCAAAGGCCTATGGCCTTCGGGGGGGTGGAATGGGAGCGGACCGTCGCAGGCCCCTGCCCGCAGCGCTGCTTCCTGGACCAATACAGACTGACAGCCCTGGAGGAGCTGGAAGCCGCCATCAGATCAGATCAGGCCCCGCTGCTTCCGCCTGCGCATCCCAAGATAGCAACACCACCCAGTCTGCAGATCACTACGCAGCCAATGCTAGCCAAGCTCTTCCCCCACGGGGGGGACCGCACTCAGCTCTATCTACCCACTATGTCTTCACCACAACAAACTAACTCACATGTCAGTACTCCTAGCATGGCCATCTACGTTGCTGGCCACGAGGGTACTGGACCGCTGCATCGCCGCCGCTAGTCGTTGTGGCTCGGCTTGTAGCTACATGGCGTCAGCAGCCTGGTCAGAGAGTCTTTCTTGGCGAACCTGTAGCCATGGGGGCGCAGTGACCTGCTGGGCGTCTTGCTGCGTCATCCAACGACTCGGATCGGGCGCTCGTTTCCGCACTGAGCCAATATCATGAACCGTCGGGGCCCAGCAAACCAGCCAAAGACAAAGACGCCGATTTCACCACAGCCAGCGAGTCAAACCACGCGATTCTAGCCTTTTAACTAATTCTTCACCTTGGTCGGTGAGGGTTGTACATCTATCGTCTAATGCCTACGCTCTGATGCATCCGGCAGCGGCCAGGCCAGCATCATCGCAGTCGATTACCACTCGGTCCCTTAGGCGGGTCGCGGACGAGCAGCCGTACTTTGCCCACTCCTATCTCCACGCCTTGGCTAAGAATGTCAACTCCGCCCTCCGAGTCGTCCTTGTCCCGATCGCCATCACGCCCCAGCGATCGGTCCCAGCTTCGCGCATCTATCCCTAGTATGCCACCCATGCTGTTGCGATCACCCGGCACCGAGAACTCCCGGAAGGCATACCTCCACTCGTTGAGGAAGTTGCGGATAGCTTTGCCTACCTTGTCCTTGCCGTTCTTGCTGTGATGCCCCGTGCCAGTGATAGCATATACTGGTCGTGCCTCGTTGCTGTTTTCGAGAAGCACTCTTTCTAGGTACTCGACAGCCTCTTCTGGGTGTAAGCCATGGAGGTCAACATATATCTCGGGGCTCGACGCATTGTTCTGGTTGCGCTCCTCGTATAGCTCCCTGGCCGCTTCTCTATGAGCCTTGCGCATGAGATCGTTTTCACTCTGACCTCGCAGGCTCAGTGCCTTGGCTGCGCGGGCATCATTGCGGTTCCATGCTTGGGCGGCACTATACATATTTGATTAGTCTCATGCTGCGGCACGAAAATACGCAAGATTCACATGGGCAGTTGGCCCCCTGGAACATCGCTCACCTCTGCAGAAACTTGTTCCGAAGGCCACCATGCTTGATGGCCTCCTGTCGGGCCTTAAGGTACCCTTTGTTGGCCCGCTCTCCGGTTTCAAGCCAGGGAATATGTTTCGGCATCGGAATCGCCAGTGCTGTCGCACTATTCTCGCCACTCTTGAGTCCAATTCCACTACCGTTGCGAACCAGCTTCTTAGTCTCAAGTCGAGGGCTCGGAAGTGGACTAGGTGACATTCTGACGATGTCGGCCAGAGAACCAGGCATGCCGCCTTCTTTGGGGCCATGGCCATGACCGCCCCTCTTGCCATGGTGCTTCTTGCTTGGTTTGAGAGAGGCTGATCCTAGCGACGGGAAAGCCTCGTTGTCATCTATTGGTGGCGCACTAGGTGGCTCCCTGGACTGCTGCCGGCTGACGGGACGAGACCGGTTGTGCACCAACTCGCCACCATAATGATTTGAGGGCTTTAGGCCGGGCGGAGGGGTCAGAGTCGATCCCGAGAAGGTGAATGACGCAGCATTGGGGTTTAGTTCCGGGGTTCTTGGTCGGAGTGATGGAAACGAAGTCAGATCCTGGACCTGGAGGTTCTGGGATTTGGTCGGTGGTGTGCCGTTCACGTCAAGTGTAAGTCTGTTCATGAGGTGAGATGGATCATGAGAGAAGATGCAAGTCTCTCCAGCGAGACAATTGCCCATGACCCAATATCTGCAGGCGTGAGGGGTTAGATGCTGTGGATTCTCACACGTTTAAATCATGCAGGTTGACATACTTGCAGATGTGATTGCTCAAGTCGTGACTAAAGCGACAATCGGCGCGGAGACATTGGCCTGTAGACAGGTAGAACTTGCAAATGATGCCTGCCTTTTGCTGGGCAGACGGTGTCGATGGTCGAGCATCGGGGGTCATGGATTTGCCAATTAAAACGCTCTTAGCCTCTGGCGTGAGGCCAGAGAGGTTGTTCGGGTCGTTGCTTTGAGCATCCATTATAGCTGTGATCGTGGCACTGAGATCGTACCCGTGAAGGGCGAGAGCTGCCTCTATCTCCTCGTCTGTCTTTGAGTGCCCAAGAATCGATCGAAGCATGTCATACGGTGTCATGTCAGTCTGCTGGGAGGACATGTACTCAGGAGCTGACACACTCAGACTCCCAAGAGTTCCTACGGACGAAGTGACGCTGATGGCGTCGTCGCTGACGAGCCAGTCCACGTTGTCGTTTTGCAAGTCACCAAAGATCTCGTTTGAAGGGCTGGTATCACTGGCAAACTCGTAGGCATTCAGGTTGGGGCTATGCGGGATCACCGGCGCAGCAAACGCGAGCCGTGGCGATGGTCGAGGTGACGAGAAAGGCGAGACGGTCGATGACTTGGTCCGCATCAGGCTGGGCATAAAACCTGGCGGCGCTAGGGGGCTGACCCCTAGACGAGGAGATCCAGACATGGGCGTCGGTGAGCCCCGCCATGGCGATGGTGATGGTCTTCGCAGGATGTTCGGTCGTATTGGTGGAGGAGACGTGGCGAGCCCGTGGCCTTCGCGGTACCGCCAGAGTACATCGAGAATGACATTTTCGAGGCTCACACCTGTGAGCGTCGTCTCTTTTTTTAGAAGATCCTCCAGCCTGTCGGTCTTGTCCTCCTCGTCTATGCTCTCATCCTGCAAGACCGGCAGGCAAAGCTCATATGTCTCGTCGGATACCATGTTCTGCTCAGTCGGCTATGCGACTTCTTGGTTGCGATCCGTGGCAACGCTCAGCGCTGCGCTCTCCTTTGTTGTTTGGGAGTCGGGAAAAGGACCGACTGCTTGAGCGGTCTGGGCAGACAGACGCCGGTCCTCGACTGCGTAGTAGAGGGAGAGAGTTTACGATATCTGACCGTGGAGAGTGGTCGAAGGTCGAGAGGGTCGGATTACGGATGACTCGAAGTGAAGTTATCGAAAAGTGTACGATGTCAAGAGCAAAGGGTACGCGCCGGATGCCAGTCGTCTTGTTGCATCATGCGGAGAGGCATTCGAACGAAGGATAGCTGAGGGTGTGGGAGACCTGCTGACCGGCAGCACGATGCTGACGTGCTTCGCAGGCAAACTGTTCGGGTCGGGTTGGACAGAGATCGAGCTGGACCCTGAGGCGGTCCTCGGGAGGTCTAGAGCTGTCGGAAAGCAAGGGCGTAAAGGCGGAAGCAGCAGCGAAGTGGAGAGGGGCTGGATGGCAGGCAGGAAAAGGCAGGACAGCAAGAGCGGGCTGGCTACGATATGCAGAAGAAGGTCAGCAAGAACGAGGCGGGACGCCAGCGACGTGTCTGAAGGTCGCGATGCAGCACATGGACAGGCGGCTGAGCTGAGGCAGGACTCACGCAGGCAGCTCAAGGAGCGGCCGTGAGTACAGTGGCGTGCAACGTGTGTAATCTGGAGCGGCCTCATGGGGGAAGCATCCAACACGGCTGCGGCTGGGGGGGCTCATGTGGGGGGAACGCGACAGCTCCCCGTCCCATCCGTCCCGAAAGCCAAGAGCTCGCCAGTCCGTTAGAGCTGACCCGGTCTTGCTCCAGGAGGCACGCTCGGGCAACTTAGCGCAAAGGGCACAACAATGGCGTCACCATTACAGTACTAGCCGTGCCTTTTGTCACCTCCTCTGCAGACAGGTACCATAGTAGGACAAAGGGGCATTCCAACAGCTCTCCAAGCAGGGGATACCCCTTGATTGCACGGCGGGCGTTAGGAACATCCCGACTAACGGTCCTGGGAACAGTTTCTCCAGGGGCAAGACCTTTGATGGAAACGCAGTGATGTCTTTACCAGTGATCAGTAGGGGCAAATGCTTGTGCCAAGACCCTGAAAGTGCACGCTGTGCGGGATGCTCAGCCATGCAAAGGACAAGGCGATCAGTCCCCGTGAAACATATGGCGCCGTATGGCGTGGGCAAGCGGCATGACACAAGTGCCATTCATTCGACAGGATCCACGCCCCAGTTGTCTCAGGCTCCCGGGACCCCTAACCCCCTTCCTCCGGGCAGCCTCATTGCCAATTCTTGTGGCCGTGTCCCCAAGAGCTAGACTCTAGTCTTCGAGAAGCCGTGCCCTGCACCTGGAAAACCCCACTGTAACCCTTCCAAACTCAATCTCCCTCTCGTGTGGAGCACAGGCAGTGCGTCAAGTTAACCGTGAGCAAGGTGTAGGCTGCGTGGCATACGACAAGCTGCCGTCTTGAGAGCAGCTGTTTCTCTTGAATTCTGTATCCTTTGACCAGAATACCTTTGCTTCTTAGTCTATGATGAATTATCAAGGTATCTCATCATCACTGTCACCACCAAACCCAAAACTAAACCCGCCCCCTGCGACTCCGTTCTCCTCGATGGGCTTGGTCGCCTCTTCCCACTTCCTCTTCTTGTTCTGGCTCCTCCGGTCCAAATCTTGCAGAGCTTCTTCCAGCAATTCCGGATGTTGGTCCTGCAGACGACTGACAAACAGCTCGTACGGGTTCTCAATGTCCTTTTTGAATCCAGTGACCTGGTCCGGTTTGTCTCTCAGAAAGGACAGAACATCTGCCAGGTGCGACTTGGGCACAAAGTTCTGCGTCAAGGCAATGCCGGGCTCGAGGTTGACAACCAGGTGCCACCAGCCACTGGGCACATGCAATATCTCGCCAGCTCTGCAGATGCCCTCTACGCAGCCAGGTTGTTCTCGGGCTTCCGCGTGAAACTCGAGCAGCCATTCAGCGATGCTCAGCGGACTCGTGACCTCACTGCTGTCCTCGGAGACGTAGACCCCCGGGACCTGCGCCGAAGGTGGGAACATGATCCAGTACTTGGAGCCTTCGACTACAGCGTTCCAAGCGCTTGTTGCGTTGGGATCTTTGTGGAACGTCGAGCCGCTACGCTCCGGACCTACGATAAGCCACCGGTGTGCCGGTCGTTCTTTCCCAAGAAGGGCAAATAGGTCAGGCCCGAAGCAGTCCGGCGGCCAGTAGAGTCCCCCCTTACCGACCTGCACGTGCATTTTCTCCGCAAAAGCCTTGTCAAACAGGTAAAGCGGGCTCTCGTCTTTGCTGTGACTCATATAAGCACTGTAGACGGACATTGGCCAGTCTACGGCCTCAGCCCGAAATGAGACCTGTGAGTAATTCCGCTGCAGCCCTGCAATGGTCCACTCCCGGAGTACAGGCCACGAGTCGATGCTCTTTGTCAGAATGAACGGCCTATTACTCCACGACGCTGAAAACTCGTCAAAATCGAGATCGTCGAGGTGGGCTATCAAGTTCTGTGCAGGGATGTTGCGAATGTGCTTCTTCAGGTTGATGTGGCTGCAGGCGAAGGGACGATGCAGCACGTCCGAATAGACATTTCCACAGTCGATTCGGGCTCCCTGGCCAGTCTCTAATCCCAGGAAAGTGTTACGCCAAGATCCTCGCCATGTGGGTGCAGGAGCAATGTTGTGGTGTGACCTGGACACCGTCAGCCGTGTGCATCGGTATCGATCATGAAGGCTCGATTTGGGGACTAGGTGAGCAACATGCTGATAGTCAGCCGCCTCGGTGACTCATAGGTCATAAAACCGAGGCCCTACACCAACATCTTGGTCCCCAACATCTGCTGTGAAGACAGCTGCTATCCACGGGAAGGTATGACTTACTCGAGGAAAAGGGACTTCCACAAATCATCGAGCTGCCCGAACCCGAACAGAAAGCGGCAAGTTGAGGCCAGACCTCTTAGAGAGGGAGCATCGAGGTAGTCGGCCAGATGTAGAATCAGCTCATCCGGAAGAATGCCCAGAGGTCCAAGAGACCGTCTTGCGGTTGGTCCCGTGGCCAGATATTGGTTCCCGAGTGGCTTGATGCCCAGAGGGTGGGTTGGTATGGCGTCTAGGTCTAGATCGACATTTGTATCCTCTATGTTCAGATATTGGTCTCTTCCCACTGTCCTGCCAGAGCTGGAGGGTAAACCTTGTGCGAGCAGCATCGCGTGTCAGTCCGCGCTTAATACTGCGCAAGCCCACAGAAAGCCTGTGGGACGATCTTGTATTTCTGTTTGAGCCGCAAGCACGGGTTGAAACGCGATGGCCTGAGTGTTTGAACGGCCTGGGTGGCCCAGTAGTCACCAACTTTGTTTTCTTGCTGGCTCGCTGATAATCTGCACGGGTGTCGTCGCTGAGCGTGGTTATGGTGTTGTACGAGAAACCGGCCGTGAAGGGTGGTTTATTCTTGGTCAATGAAAATCTGAAATTCCTGGCCCATGTGGAGTCGGCACGCGTTCTACAGTCGCCTTCGAGATAGACCTGGGAAGTGGGTGGATATGGTTTAACTCGGAATGATACATACACGTCATTTGACGCGACACCTAAGCCATAGAGAGAGAGAGAGAGAGAGAGAGAGAGAGCAATGGGTCTGGAATACTCGGCCAAACTGCGTGACGAGCCTTGTGGTTTGGCATTCTTCGAGTTCTACACTTTATGGATTTTTGTGGGCCCCCCCCCCCGGATACCACTACTGCCCTCTCTGGTGATTTACCAGTGTATGCAGACAAGCCATTGATCTGGAAGATGGAAAATGTAGCTATACTGGCCCAAGGCTCGGTCTCGGTGCTGTGAAGCGACAGTACACCACCACGTTGGCCAGATCAGGTGTGTTTGCCGCTTCCACGGATGCTGGAGGAATGTTTTTTGTGGTTGCGCAAGTGGGCGGAACCCCACGAGAGCGCCCCTCCAAGATATGGTCCTTGTCCGTCATGACCGGCCTCCTGTAAGAGGCATGCAGGTCCGGACCCCCCCGCCGTGCCCTCCGGCGTGCGCCTGTCGATGAATACCTATGCTGCTGCGCCCGCGCGATGCACGGCTGCGTGGCCCCGTGGGCAAAGGCTCGCGATGATGGTTTGTGCTGGTCCACTCCGAGATGGGCTGTCAGCAAAGCAGAGTCATGATGGGGTGGTGGTGACTGTTCAGGTGGCGGGGTGGTGGGCAGCCTAGCACACACACAGCCAGCCAGCCAGCCAGCCGTGGAGGCGGCTCTGAGACGTGGCGTGGGCAGGCGAGGGTGACTCTTTCCATGGGCCAGGGAAGACACCTGACGCAGTTGTGCCTGCCAGGTGCGGGCCCCACTTTCTGGCTTTTTTTCGCCATGGTTGGGTCCTGCTGCCCGGGCTCACTGGAGTGGCTGCTGCTGGCTGGGCTCGCCGTTCGCCGCCGCCGCCAGCAGGGCAGAATATTTTTTTCGTCGACCCCCCCATTCAAAAATTATCCTCTGGTCCTCTGGAACCACCACCTCCAACGACCAAACAACAACAACACCATAAAACACCACACACCTGGACCCGTCCCGCTCTCATTTCTTTGAGAGCCTTCGCGTCCACTTCAGCACACCACTCCTCTTCTTATCCGTCGGTCCTGTCTGCCTCGAGAGCAAACAGCCCGCACGCACACGCCTCTTTCAACCCCACCACGATCGCCCTCATTCTTGAATTCTAAGCTGTGCTTGGAGTTCAGGAATCTCCCCTAGACCAACACCGCAATCATGGCTACCGACAAGGGACTCGAGGACATTGAAGCGTCCCAGATCGAGTCCAACTACGATGAGACCGTCGACTCCTTCGATGAGATGAACCTCCGCGCTGAGCTCCTTCGTGGTATGTAGCCCCCCCTTGCCAGTCGCTGCCCTGCCCCTCTCGTCGCGCACCCCACCGCCAATTCAGCCAGCCGGGCACGCACAACGCCAATCACGCGCAGTATCGTGATCGCTAACATGGCCATCGCTATCTGCAGGAGTCTACGCCTACGGTTTCGAGCGCCCCTCTGCTATTCAGCAGCGCGCCATCATGCCCGTCATCAAGGGTGAGTCTCATCCGCACAAAAAGGCCATCTCCTAAATGGAGTGACCTGTTCACTCGTCGCCATGCTCATCATCTTTGCGTTTCCCAGGCCACGATGTTATTGCGCAGGCCCAGTCCGGCACTGGCAAGACCGCTACTTTCTCCATCTCCGTTCTCCAGAAGATCGACCCCAACCTCAAGCAGTGCCAGGCCCTCATCTTGGCTCCTACCCGTGAGCTGGCTCAGCAGATCCAGAAGGTCGTCATCGCCATCGGTGACTTCATGAGCATCGAGTGCCACGCCTGCATTGGTGGTACCAGCGTCCGTGACGACATGAAGGCTCTCCAGGACGGCCCCCAGGTCGTCGTCGGTACCCCTGGCCGTGTTCACGACATGATCCAGCGTCGGTTCCTCAAGACCGACGGCATGAAGATGTTCGTCCTTGATGAGGCCGATGAGATGCTTTCTGTACGTTGTCCTGCTCTCAAGCGAATGCTGCTTGTTCCGATGCACTTTGGCTAACAATATACCCATAGCGTGGTTTCACCGAGCAAATCTACGACATCTTCCAGCTGCTTCCTCAGTCTACCCAGGTCGTCCTCCTGTCCGCCACCATGCCCCAGGATGTCCTCGAGGTCACCACCAAGTTCATGCGCGACCCCATCCGCATTCTCGTCAAGAAGGACGAGCTTACTCTTGAGGGTATCAAGCAGTTCTACATTGCTGTTGAGAAGGAGGAGTGGAAGCTCGATACTCTCTCCGATCTCTACGAGACTGTCACCATCACTCAGGCCGTCATCTTCTGCAACACCCGCAGAAAGGTCGACTGGCTCACCGACAAGCTCACTGCCCGTGACTTCACCGTCTCCGCCATGCACGGCGACATGGACCAGGGCCAGCGTGATCTTATCATGAAGGAGTTCCGCTCCGGCTCGTCCCGTGTCTTGATCGCCACTGACCTTCTGGCCCGTGGTATCGATGTCCAGCAGGTTTCTCTGGTCATCAACTACGACCTTCCCGCCAACCGCGAGAACTACATCCACCGCATCGGTCGTGGTGGTCGTTTCGGTCGCAAGGGTGTCGCCATCAACTTTGTCACCGCCGAGGATGTCCGCATGATGAGAGAGATCGAGCAGTTCTACAGCACCCAGATCGAGGAAATGCCCATGAACGTTGCCGACCTCATCTAGACGACTTCTTCTCTTTACGTCATACCACTGCTGCACAAAAGTTTTCTGCCTTTGCATAGGAATACATCTCGATTCATTTTTCGCAACAGGGTCAGGGCTCGGGGCTAGACAGTGGTGGTTTTCCGTGCGGCCAGCACTCGGCTGGGAATTTTCCAGCCTCTAGATTCTGGCCACGCACGATACAGGCTCTTTTCACGACATAGGGGCATTTGCGGCAAGGGTTTCAGCATCTTACGAGTCACACGAACGTGATTGAGGTGCCAATATCTTGCCAACGAGGGACGCTTGTGAACGTTTTCACTTTGCCTTTTAGTCTTGTAACCACCAGGATGACGAGATTCTCCTTAATAAAAACTTGCAAACAAATTACCTTGGCTCAATCGTGGCAGTCTGTACTTTGACATGGCAGTTGTGAAAGTGAGGGTCCGACGACGGGTCGCGGCGAGTTCATTTGACCCAACTTTAGACGGGCAGCCAGCGTCAGAATGACTCTACTCTGATTGAGGCGTGGCACGTCCTAGCTGCTCTTTTAGAATGCTCGAGGTAAGCCATGCACGTTGACTGGCCAAAACATCCGGTGTTGGCCCAGCTAGCCTGCGAAGGCGACCAAATCACATTGGGACATGGTCACATGGTTGCTTGAACTATCGTCGCATTGCTCAGATTTGACGGTCTCCCATGTTGAGAACCTGTGCTGCATGTGAGGAGACGATTGTGGTGGTTTGGTGTATAGGCAAGAGCGACCCCCGTGTATTTTCAGGAGGAAGGAGCGATGTTGTTGCCAACCAAGTTTGTCGCACGTCCAAAATAGTATGATGTGGCACTTTTACAACAATCAAGACGACTTTCATTCTTCACTACACACATGTGTAGCTGCTGAGTTTCTCAATGAACTCAGCTTCGAACCCGAGTAGATCTCCGGATGCCAACGGTGTCATCTCCCTTCACTCGATGGACGCACAACATGGACATGACGCTCAGGCACAGCTGCAAATCGCCTCCTCGCGGGACAGCCTACCTTCGCAGGTCTCGACCTCTCAGCTCTCGATGGCTTTCATCTACTATTCCGTTCAACTTCAGAAGGCAGCACTATCCAGACTCGAGGCAAAGTTGACTGGTTTAGCAGCCCAAACACCCGCCAGCAATGAGCACTTCGCAGCTCTGAAGAACGAGATCTCCGCGTTGAGAACTTCCAAGCAAGAGTGCGACAAGCTCATGGCGGAGCACAAAGAGTCGTTGCAGCAATACTCAGGCGCAAAAATCGACGATCTGCGAGCCGAATTGGAGCAGGTTACTACAAGCGTGGCTGCACAAATCGCTAGCAACAAGGCCGATGTCGAGGCCATGGCACTCGTGCAGAAGAGCCTGGACGAGAAGTTCCAGGCGCAGCAGCAGGCCATCCAAGAACTTTCCAGGAGTGACGAGAGTGCAAAGAGGCAAGAGGAACTAATTCAAGGGATCCAAAAACTACTCAGCAAGTGCAACACTATCCTTGAAACGAGAGTGGCGGCCAGAATCGACAATACACCAAGGCGGCATTGCCAGAAACTCCAACACGAGGTGGCCAGGCTCCACCAACAGCTCGCAGACACCATAGAGAAACTTGATTGTTCCATCAAATACCCGGAATCTGTGATATCGCCAAAAAGAAGAGGTATAACCACAGTCTTTGTGTCGCACTCTAAGCGAAGCACTTGTAGCTGACATCATTAAGGTCGAGGCGAGCAGAACGATCGTGTCCCAAGAATCGTACCAGAGGTTGATGAGGCAACAAGACGCCGCCGAGCAGTCTCTTCTTCTTCCACGGCAAGCTATCCCAGCGAGGTCGATGAGTCAGACGACTTGCATATGCGCCGAGGCAACAGCTACCTGAGGTTGTACGACAAATACCGGCGTGCATACCGGATTCAAAAGCCACAGTCGGAGAAGAGGTTCATCCGTAGATTCCTCAGTAAACTAGATCGTGGACAAGCCCATCATACGCAACACAAGATACTTCAGGCATATCCGAGCTTGGTTGTCCGGAGAGAAAGACCACAAGATATCACCTCCAGCGGGGCAAAGGAGTTCATTCGACTTGACAATTTGTCGTGGCCGCTAGTAGCCGATGCCATCGCTAGCATGACTGAGGATGATTTCAAGCTCATGACCGGTGACATGGTTACAGTGTAGCCCGAGAACACAGTGCTAGCGAACGCGCAACATCACATAGTTGAGAGGATGCTCCGAAATCCATTGCTCTCATCAGGAACATACGAGCACGCGGTAGTAGGCAGCAAGCGTGCTGTTGGAATGGAGAAATTTGAATGGCATTTGCTCCGAATGGTCTCAAAGCTCAAAATGGTGTTTCTTTTGGGGGGGTTCTGCCCTATACCTCCAGGTTCTCAGTCTCATCTACCAGGCCCGTCGTGTCCAGGCCCGTGTACTTGTTGATCCAGCCAAGCACCTCCTTGTGCCACACGAGCGAGTTTTCCGGCTTCAGTACCCACTGTTTACAACGGTTCCGATTGTCAGCAATCCAGATTCTTTTGTTGGGAACAGTTTGCAATCGAGGCAGAGTGGGCAAGAGCAAGACTTACGTGGTTCTCGTCCGGGAACACCAACATCCGGCTCTCCACGCCTCTAGTCTGCAGGGCATTGAACGCTGCCAAGCCCTCCGAGACTGGCAACCTGTAATCAAGCTCACTGTGGATGACGAGCTGAGGCGTCTTCCACTCGCCGACGTGTACTGCGGGGTCCCACTTGCTGTACAGGTCGCGGGCGTCCCAGATAGTACCGCCCTTGTCATGCATCGTGAAGAAGAGCTCCTCTGTCCCCCAGTCGGCCATGGTGGTGAAGATGCCATCGTGGCAGACCAGGGCTTTGAATTCGCGGCCGAGGGGATGCCCCTGGATCCAGTCTGTGGGAATGTTTGGTTAATGAGCGAATGGAGAAAAAAGTAGGAAGAGACTGTCCTGGGGAGGGGCAATAGACGAAGGAGGCGTCCCAGAAATTCTTCCCGCTTGAGGGGAGAGAGAGAGAGAGGCAGGCTCAGACTTACTGATCATGTATCCGCCATAAGACGCACCGAGGGCCACGGCGTTATCAGTGTCAACATACGACAGTTCGTTCTTGATGTGCTCGAAACACTTGACGAGGTCCTCGTACGGCCGGCCGCCCCAGTTTCTGGCAATGGCATCCGTAAAGTCCTGGCCGTATCCAGTACTACCCGTCGGGTTGGGCGCGATCACGACGTACCCTTGCTCCGCGAACACAGCCGGGTTCCAGCGCGTGCTCCAGCTGTCTCCCCAAGCGCCCTGGGGCCCGCCGTGGATGAAGAATGCCAGGGGATATTTCTTCTTAGAGTCGAACTTGGACGGCTTGACCACCAGGGCATGGCACTTGTAGTCTCCCGTCGCGCCGGCCCACCAGAACTCGTCGACCTGGCTGGAGGACAGACCAAAGGTCTTGCCGCACTTTGTGGCGGACGAAATGAGCTTCAGCTCTTGGGTGCTCGGGTCAAGAATGGAGTAGCTCGAGCTGTCGACCAGCGAGCTTGTGTTGACAAGCAACTTGTCGTCGTCCTTGGAGAGGTTGAAGAAGGCGCCGACCGTACCTTCCTTCGTCAGGGGCTTTGGCGGACCCTTGGCCGTGGCATCGGCGGGGTTGGCAGGGACCTCGTAGATGAGTGTGCGCGCCTCGTTCTCGGCCGTCACGTAGAGCTTGGAGTCGTCGTTGCTCCAGACAATGGTGTCGGGACGCTGGTCCCAGCCGCCCTTGCCGTCATCCGTCTTGTAAAACTCCTGGACGTTGCTGAGGTCGTAGATGTCCGGGATGAGCAGGAGGCGCGGCTTGTCGCTCTCGTACTGGTCGTGCTGCATGCGGCGGAACGCGACCTTGGTGCCGCAGTGCGAAAAGACAGGGGAGTTGCTGTAGCCGCGCAGCTTGCCCGTCTTGACGACCGTGGGGAACGGGGGCTGCTCTTCTATCCAGGTCGACAGCGGGATGAAGTACAGGTCCGTCTTTGTGTACAGCGCCGGGTTGAGCTCTGGGTCCTTGGACAGGAAGACGATGCCGGCCTTGCTGATGTCGTAGTCCTCTGCACCGCCAAAGTTGGGGACCGGACACTCGAACCTGGTGCCCTGGAAGGCGTTGATGAGCCCGTGCTCGCCTTTCATCTTGTAGGCGCCGCTGCCGTCCTTGACAATGGCGCCATACCATACCGCGTTGGTGTTCTTGGAGACGTAGGAATCCCAGTGGCGGACAAAGAGGCTCGAGTACACCTTTGCGGACGAGTGGCGCTTCTTTTCGTTGGCCGGGTTGTACAGCTTGCCCCAGCGCGTGGTGGGCGCCGTGCAGGCGAACGCGATGGTGTCGTTGCCAATGTCCTTGACCTTGATGTTGCCAATGGCGCCGTCAAAGGTCGCGATCTCGCGGCTGCCCTTTGACGGGTTTGTCGCGTCGGCCACGTAGAGAGTCGTCTTGCCAGAGTTGCTGCCGTTGTTTGCGGTCTTGATGTAGACGTACTCGGTCTCGGTGAGCCAGGTCGGCTCCGACCAGTTGGGGTCCTCGGACAAGATGGTCGACTGACCCGTCTTGATGTCGAGAGCCTTGAGCTTGAAGCTCCGAGAGTGCTTCTCAAACGAGTACTCGGTGACTTTTTCCCTCCCCGGTTACGTTAGCTCACAGCCCACAATGTGCTCGTCGTGAGTAAGGCATGGCAGGCCACGCAGAGGGGGACGCACCGGTGAAGAGAGCCAGCGTGCCGGTGGCATTGGGGACGGCGGCGCTCCTGCGCGGGGCCGAGAGGAGAACCTCCGGCGTGAATTTGGTTGCCATGATGGTCATCTCGTGTGTGAAGGCGTGGACAACAGAGCGTGATGATGATGTCTTGAGACGGGAACTGGGATGTACCGGAAGCCCAGTCAGGGCCAAGCGAGACGTTCCTCGTGCCGCTTTGTTGCTCCTGCCGGCTTGGGTCGCGGTGTCCGAATCGGCCGGCTCGCCCTTGCTGTACAGCAGGTCCTGATCAGTGCCACACGTGTAGTCGAGCTAGCACCCTGTAGAGCTGCGGCCCGATAATCATCAAAGAAGGATATCGTGACTAGTCGTCTCGAACATTCAACAAGAGAGTGAAAGTGGCCTGCGTCTCCTCCTCCCACAGTGAGCCGTGAAAGCCGGGGGCCGCAAGCTCCAAGTCTCGTCCCCCACTGGCGCAACAATGTACCTAAGGTAGGGCGGGAACCTTGCGGGAACCCCGCGCCGGCGGCTCCAAAACAAGCACTCTGAACCCCAACCACACCCGCTGTCGTCCCACCCAGTGTGGAGAAGCACGCCACCGTAGCAACAGCTCCGCCTACTCTAGAGTCTGATATCAGCTGGAGACACCGATGGTTACTTGGGTTCAGCAATTAACCACCTGCCCTTCTAGGGAGGAGCACAAACCCTCCAGGCCCTTCCTGAGCCCGAGGAACGGCCACAGCCCCTGGATTGCACGTCCGGACAGACTGGCATGCACTCCCACGAAATCATGTCCAAACAAGAAAGGGTATCTATTTCTTTTTGCTCCCAAACGCCATTGCATCTTCTGTACTCCACGGGAGAGGCCGAGTTCATCTTGTCGCTCAGGAAGCCTTCAAACAGACAGACCTCGCTACTTGCGCGCCCCCATGCTGACCCGGGCCTTCTTGTTCTCCCGCGCATCGGCCTCGCTGTCATCGTCGCCGCCCGCGCCGCCATCTCCGGCCGTCGTCGCAACGGGCGTCGCCGCGGCAGACTTCTTCTTTGACTTCTTGCTCCCGCCCCCGATGCTGCTGGCGTTCCTCTTGTGGCTGCTCTCCCCCGCCGGCGTCGATGCCCCGGTCCCTGACGCGGCCTCGGACGCCGGCCCGCTCTTGTCCTTGGTCGCTCCGCCATTGAAAGTAGACCCCGGTGTCCCCGCCGTGGCGGCTGGTGTCGACGTCGTAGAGTTGGCTTCTGATGCCTCGGGCTACAAGTTTTCGTGCGCATCTAGGTCAGCAAAAGTGAACACTCGTGGCACTAAAAACGCCTTTTCATGGATCTGTCCTCGAAACGGGGCATCTCGGAGAAGACTGAACAGGCGGGAAGAAGAAAAGGAGGAGGAGGAGGAGGGGGGGGGTCCGAAGCAACCTACATTGAGAGGGTTATACGACAGGCTCGACCTGGAGAACACGCGGTTCTGCTCAATCAGGCCCGTCCGCCTTCGCTGCGCAGCCACGCTGCTCGACGTGCCCTTGGCGTAGTTGTCGAATCCCGTAATGATGTTGCCCATCGGCGTGCTCTCGAGGTACTCGGTCTCGTACTGCAGAATGCTTGCTTCGTGCGCGGCCTGTGTTTTTTTTTGGCAAAAGTTAGATCCTACTCTCCTTGCCCAGCCAAAAGAATCGTCGCTCTCTTCCAATGCGCTTCTTTCCCCCTTATCCTGGCCAGCTCTGTCGTCGCTGGGAGACAACAAAGAGCAACAGCGAGGGCTCCGAAACCTGTACAGAAGAAGGGAGGAGCCCGGAGAAGGCACTCACCAGCTGCTTCTTAAGATCCGCCTGCCGGTTCAGCATCTGCTTCAGGTGTTTCCGGCTCTGCTCGTACGCCGCGAGCTGGTCCGCGCTGGCCGCCGCCGGCGCCGCGTTCGGTCCTCCTCCTCCCGCTCCCGGCCCGCTAGCGGCGGTATTGCTACCTGGCCTCGTGGCGGGCTGTATGTTCTCGTTGTTCGGCGGGTTCGCCATGTTTTTGTTGTGTACGCGACCACCCTTCGATGCCTTTTTGTCTCACCCCCTCTCTCCCCTTCTCTCTCTCTCCGCGCGCGCGCGTCGTATAGAGGCTCCACTGCCCACGGCGGGATCCCGGGGCGATTGTTTTTGCGCGTCGAGTCGGTGTGCTCCGGGCGGTCCCGGCTTGCCAACAATTGCAGCGTGACTCGTCGTTGTCGTAAAAGCGCACAGGTGCTGGGCGGTGCTGAGACTTCGTCCTCGCGCACGCGCCTCCACCGGTCGTGCCTGCAAGTGGAATCGCCGAGGTTTGCTGTTTGAGGCCCAGATGTTTAGTCCGTACGTGTGAGCGGCTGATTACTATGTTCGACCTGGTTGTGTTGTCGTGGTGGGCGGGCGACGATCTTTGCTTTGGCGTAGAACCGGTAATGCAGAGAAGGTGAATTCAATTCCTTGCTGTTTTGGAACGGGCCCGGCTACGGAGCGCGCGCTCAACAGCACTGGCTCCGGGGCGCGCTAAGCACAGCTCGTCCAGTAACTGAGAGTGCAGGGGTCTCAACTGTTACGTTCTTGGGCATGTGGTACAGTGGGACTAACCCATCCATCCCACTGCATAGAATCTCGACGTTCAGGAACCACATCACACTTGAGTTCGTCGTCTCATAGCTCGCTTCTCCCCTCATTCAAAAACGGACCGGCGACTGACTTAGACTCCTGCAGTGATTTACAAGCACAGCACCATAATACACGCTTCATGCAAGACTTTGAGAGGTTGCCCATTTCTCCTAGATCCTTGCCTGCTTGCTAAAAGACCATATCCCTCGAGATCGCCATGGACTTTTTCAGACTCCCCGCCGCAGGCGGTCCAACACAAACAAGGACTTTCTGCGGAGAGGACCAACTCATACAATGAAAGAAACAAAATGACTCCATAAACGACCGTTTTCTGCTTGAAAATGAACATGTACATAAGGGGGTATCTCATGTTACTGTACTATGCACCAACCGAGCTACACAGCTCACTGCCATGATTTGATCAATAGCCTCCCTGCGGCTTGTATTGTCTCTGGCCTGGATAACCCGCTGCAGGACCGGCCGGTCTCTCCGCAGCTGGAGCAGGAGAGGCTCGGGCATAGCCCGACTGGAAGTCGAACCCAGCGTTGTTGTGGAGTGGAGAGGCCGGCTCGGAGTGAAGCTCTGCCGCGCGAGGTGGTGCGATGGCGACAGGAGAGTACAATTCGGCCGGCTGCTGTGTCGAGCCTGCAAACTCGTGATAATCGCTCGCTGCACCGCCCGTCGGGTAGTCATGGCTCTGGCTGGGGGCTTGAGGGTACGGTTGCTGCTGGCGAGCTCCGCTGTACTGCTGTTGCATCGGCCCAGCAGAGTATTGACTCTGCGAGTCTCCCGTGTATTGCCGGCGGGGCGGCGGGCGTCCATAGCCACTCGGCCCCATGCCTTGCTGTTGGCCGTATCCGTTGCCACCCTGGGGTCCTGGTGAAGCACGGTATCCTGCCCCTCCCTGAGGACCCGGGGAATTCATGCGTGCCGGGTTGTTGTCGTAGCCATATGCGCCGGGCGTTGAGAGGCCATATCCGTTTGGCCGCATCTGGGAGCCCGGCGTTCCGCTGCGTGCAGGACCGCCTGGGGTCATGCTACGGCCGTACTCGTCGCCGTACGGTCTTGGTGTCTGTGACTGTGGGAAACCTTGCTGGCCGTACGGCTGAGGCTGGACCTGGTTGCCATATGCGTCTACTTCCATGCCTTGCTGGTTGTAAGGCTGATTCCGAAGAGGTTGGTTGCCATAGGCATGCATGTCATTGCCCTGCTGCTGATAGGGCTGCCGTCCCATGGCCATCGCGCCGGCGCCTCCGCCGTATGCCTGATCCACGCCATACTCTTGACTGTGATTCATACCATGGGGTTGTGCTTGTTGTCCGTACTCGCCGCCATCAAAATAGCCAGTTTCTTGCTGCGCATAAGGATCTGCGGCGGCTCCCATGTATCCGTTCGCACCCGCTCGGCCTGGGGGAGGGCCGTATGGGCTCACGCTTGGTGGTGAACCATGGCCCTGAGCAGACAGAGGGGACACGGTGCGACCGGTCGCGTTCGCTGCCACGCTCGGACTCGGTGTCGGCTTCTTTAGCGGTTCCATCTCGACTTCCTCCTCAACCATGACTTTCTGCGAGCTTCCATCATTCCATGTTGGCATAGCTGGCAGCGAGTCTGCATCCTTCTTGTCCGACTCAAATGTGGCGTATTGCGGGACTTCGCGTTTTGGTGCTGCTGCAGGCTGAGGCGGCGGGTAGTCCATCGGGGCCTGGGGCCTGTAGGCTTGATCGTGATGGGGTGGGATGAAGGGCTCATCTAGGTATTTGTGCTTCCTCCCTCCAGGCGGATCACACATGCCGCAGCACTGTCCGCAGCACTTGAGGCACATGCAGCATTCACAGCAGCAAGATAGGCCGCAGAAGAGACACCTGGCACAGCACCAGAGAATCGAGAAGAGGATAAGCGATCCAAGGATGATGATGCCGATCACGGGCCACCTGTGCTGTAGTTAGCTTATGCCGGCGCAATAAAAAACATAAGGATGTGAGATGTACGTACTTGCAAAATGTCACAGCCATGCAGTTATCCCAACTTGACAGCGCTGTCTTGGCGTCGGAAACGCCGTTTTGCAAGCCCGCCAAAGACTGTCGCGTTCCCAGTGCTGCCACCATACTCCGAGCAATGAGGTTTCTGAGCCCATCAACAACACCTCCACCCTGGAGACTCCGCTCCATGGCTAACCCGATGTGAGGCATGGTGAGCTTTCTTTGTTCGTCCCTGTCGAGCGAAGCAGAAGGCGACGAGCTATAATTCACAATGTGTATTTGTCGAGTTGAAGCGTCCCTATCATCCTCACAGACCGTCGCAAATAAGGAGAGTTTGGATCGAAGTCGATCCCTGCTGGATTCGGCGAGGTCGTAAAGAATAAATCAGAAATGCTTTCCTAGCCCGAGATGTTGATTGTATACGTCGGAGGCCGAATCTCGCTGTCTAGTCAAAAAGCAGGTTTGGATTGCGAGCAAAATGGGAGCGATCGTATGGTGCTTCGTATCAAGAATGCCCTGTCAGGCGGGTACGAGTGGTGGTGGCCTGGGTCGGTGCAGGTCGCTCTGGGGCAGTGCAGAGCCACACGAGAGTAAACCCAGTCCAACGTCAGACCAAGGCTCGGGCAATGCAAAAATATTGTCCTGCAATCTATAAGCAGGATGAGACGACAGCGTCGCTTATGGGCTATTCTCGTGCACAGGTCGTGTGATTGAGCGGTGGCAGGCGCTGGTGCGTGGCGATGTCGGGGGGCGGATCTACGGGGTGAGACACGAGGCGGGCAAGATTTGGAGCACGCGACGGGCTGGCAGGAGAGTGAGAGAAGCGCCCAGAGAAAGGAAGAATGCGAGGCGGAGACGCACAAAGGTGGCGTCGTAGAAAGAGAGAGACGACAAAGATGACAGGCAGAGCTGGCGCAGAAGGAGTGTGGTTGCGCTCGGGAGAGCAAGCAAATATTGCGCCGCACGACTGACCGCCAACAACAGACAACAAAAGGGAGGTCGAAACGAGAAAGCAAGCAAGCAAGCAGCGTCAGGAACGCAGGCGATGAGATGAAGAGCGGCAACGCTGCTGTGCGCCATTGCGTGGGCGTAGGCGCAGCTCGAGGGGACTGGACTGGCCCTGAGAGAGGGACACACCAGACCAGACCATCAGCCCGTGCCGCCCAGCCCAGCCCCCTGCAAGTGCCTGCATTTCAGGGGCCGCCGTCGATCTAGCACCACGCGCGGGCACACATGAAAATGGCATCCCATCCATGGATTCCCGAGGCCGGCCAGACAGGCACCCAGCATTGCTGCAATCCTGCGTCTCCACCCAGCCCACGCGGCCCCCTGACTAGCAGCGCCGCCTCGCTGCACAAGGTTTGCACCTGCCGCCCGTCATCCATGCCGATGCCTCTCTTGGATATGAGATGCTGTTTTGCAGATGCAGCCGAGCACGATTCAGGGTTCTCGGCTCGGTCACCGACGACAACGCGCCTCCTCAACAGGCCAGTTCACCCAAGGAAAGAGTCTTGCTGGGCGCGCAGGCTGTTTCTGGTCTGACTGGCCCTCCTTTGTCACAAAGGCCACCCTGTGAAACATGCCTCAGCCGCCAGCGTGGGTGGCTGTGTCTGTGGCTCCAGCGCCAAAGGCGTGCCAGCAGGTCTTGGAAACCGTTTCGACGGCGGGCCAATGGTACAGACCTTCGTCATTGCTGGCCTGTCCCTGCTACTCGGTCGGCGAATGACTGCCCCTGGAGCATGAAAGGTGGACATTGGCGAAAGGACATGGGCCGCCCCGGCTGCAAGCCGCGCACCCTCATTCATCCACCGGGACTTTAAGCACAGCCAGTCCTATTTTCATGGCGTTGCTACAAGTGTGGCAGTGGCAGCCAAAGACATTTCAAAACACAAAGTGGTACCTGACGATCACGTCGTGCTGATCTGCATGATTTCTGGGTCCGGCAGGATTTGCTGGCAAGGTTGGTCAACTGCCAGGTCTGACAGCAAGAGAATGTTTCCGGGATCCGAGGCGGGCTGGATCCCGTGACGGCGCCGCAGATTCGAGCGTCCGGACGTAATTCTTCTGCCTTAACAATATGGATATGGTTTTCACACACATGAAAGAATGCTTCATTCATCCAACAACAAAACCAATCGTTACGCCGTCTATGCATCTATCATCCATGCACGCCATATACCGTGGTATTCCCACCGTCCCAATATGTTTTCGCCGTCTCGCGGGCTCTCTCCCAGTCCGAATCGGTAGAGACACAAGAACATGGTCGAGGTCCCACCAACCTCTACTTGTTACTTTGAGAGTATTCTAAGCGCGTGGGCCTCAAACAACGCTGCTTCCTGCAAACCGCCCTTGAGGCCGACCGCCACAGGAAGTGGGAGATTGTGCTGCGCGCCTTGCCCAGTAGGAGCAGCCATGCAGCGCCCCAGCAGAGTGTCAGTGCATTGCTACCACCCATGCGGCACAGAACCGATAGCGGGCTGTGGTGTAGGTTCTGGCACAGATTTCTTCATGGTCATTACCGCTCTTCAAGAAAGCAATGTATGCCTGGTTCATGCCGATAACGGGCATTTAGCACATCTTGTACTCGCAAGAGCCCTCGGCCTTGCGCAGAGGGTCCTGGGTGTCAAACTTGTAGTCAATCTTGATATCCAAGTCGCGCCTGTTCTTCTCGTTGGGCTTGACGAGGATGTTGCACTCAACCTCCTCGCCCTGCTGGACGGTCAGAACGTCCTTGAGGTAGAAGACGGTCTGCTTCCAGTGCGTGTACTTGGTGTGCGGGCCGGTCGAGAAACGGATGGGCTTGTGGCACGCAGTGAAGTCGATATCGAACCACGCAACAAGCGCGTGGATGAAGTCGTCCCGGCGCGCAGTAATCTTGAAAGGCACAGAGAAGTCGAGGTCCTTGGTTGTGCATGTGTACAGGTCAAGGGTGAGGACGGGCGTGGGGTCGGTGACGGCGGCCTTGATCTCGACCGTGTCGACGAGAGGCTCGCACAGCGCCGTCTCCTTCAGCGGCGAATAGTCAAATCCGTAGACATTGTCCCAGACTAGCAGCAACCGCGTTAGTCATAGGGAACTGCGTGCGTGATGAAGATAGCAGGCAAGAAGGCACTTACATCCAATTTTCTCATCCTTGTACTCGCCGTCCTCGATACCGCAAAGGTAGATTGTGGCCTTGTCGGGGAAGATGAGACCGTCCTTGTTGAGGTACCGGTCACGGGCGTAGAGAACAGTGTCAAGCATGCTCTCGTAGAGCAGGAAGTAGCCCATCCACTCGGAGATGATGATGTCGACCTTGGGGAACGGCAGCTCAATCTCCTCCATCTTGCCCTGAATCAGTGTAATCTTGTCTGAGAGGCCGTTGCATTCGACAATCTCGCGCGCCTTGAAAATGATCGTGGACATGTCGACACCGATGACATGCTTCGCACCAGCCTTGGCAGCGAACCTGTAAATTATGCCGTTAGACATGGTTCTCATAGCCGAGCGGTCCCTCAGCGATCCCTCGCACAGCGTCTGGCAGACTTACATGGACAGGATGGCGGTACCGCAACCAACATCGAGCACGACCTTGTCCTTGAAGATGTGCTTGTTCTGTACAATGGCGTTCATGTATGACCGTGTGCGGACCTCGTCTTTCTAATTTGCCAAGGGGGAGACAGTCAGTATCGTCAACTGAACACGAGTGGGTGGGAGGGTTGGCATTGAAGCCGAGCTGTACGCACCAGCATCTCCTCGTGAATGCCTGGAGAATAGCAGCATGTTGTTAGTGTTTCATCAAGTTATGCGATCGTGTTCCCTGCAGAGCAGATGGTGTGACTGCGTACCATGGTGGTTGTAACTGTTAAAAGCTGACTGTTAGCTACCATGTCCAGATCAATGAGCTCGGAGGCTTTGCGACATTCTTACCTGTTGAAGTAGTGCTGCTCAGAGTGAGCCATAGCCTTGAGGCTGGCCTCGGCGGTCTCAATGTCCATCTTGTCGTTCGCCATGTTTGCGGTCCTGGCGGGTGTGCTGCTGTTGTTTCTTGTGGTATGAAGAGGTCGAGGAGACAGAACCAGCTTTGCAAGGAAGTGGCAGAACCGCTATGTCTACAACCAAGGTAGGGGACGGTGACGGACGGGCCCCTGTTCTGGGCTAGCTCACGAGCAGGCTCTGTCACTGGGTGTTTTGTTTTTTTTCCGCCCCCTTCGGCCTGCGCCTGAACTTTTCTTGTCCGTCCCGCTGCCCGACTGCAGAAGTTATTGGTGGGGCTTGCATGCCCCGCCCTGCCTGCGCTCCAAGGAAGCCGCGAGCCTGACGTCGCGACAGGTTCAGGGTCCGGCGCAAAACATCTCACCGCTTGCCACGCTCGGCCTTATCGATTACAGTGTCTCACTGCCCCGGGGGAACGCGTCCTAAGTGAGGGCACCCGAGTGATGCAGTTGGAACAGAGTCAGTTGGTCGTGGCACCAAAATAGACACTGTCTTGTATCGAGCATGTCAAGTGCACTGCAGGTGGTGGGCTGTCAAAAGCTCAACAAGCGCGTCGAAAAGTCAATTTTCGGACCTCCGTTTTCCCACAATCTTTTCAAGGGATTAGACAGCTGTGTCAGCAAAAGACATGATCGATTGTCTGCGTGAAAGTTGCTCTCTATACTACTTTGCATGGTCTACAAGGTCGTGTTCAGATACATGACATTGTATCCAACAACATCCCACTCCTGGGTCTCTGTGTTGAGGGTCAGGTTCGTCGGCCTAATCTCGACGCCCTTGCCAAATCCTGCCTCCACTCTGCCACCAGCGATCGGGCGGCTCAGCTTGTTGCTGCCCGCCGCGACGGTGAAGTTTGCCAAGGGCAGATCCCAAGGATTGCGGCTGGCTACACTCGGAGAGCCGTAGTATTGGGCCTCAACCTTGTCGTGCGATGCTGCCAGGATAAAGTAGCCACGATAGTAGCCATCCTGCCATTGCAACTCGGTGTTGTTGCCCACACGGTACTGCGCCTCTCTCCGCGCATACTCAATCGTTCCTTTCACCCCGGACGAGCTTACAGCCGTGCCGGCAAACTCGACGCCGATCGATCCCTCGCCCGTCTCTGGGTCGTACGGCTTCTCGCCCAGCCAGACAAGGTCGGACACCCAGTTCTGGTGGCTGTCACCTGCGAGGAAGATGGTATTGTCGATCTTGTTGTCGTAGAGATGCTTGAGAGTGCGGTTGCGGTTCGCAGTGTAGCCATTCCAGTTGTCACCGTTGAAGCCATAGGACTCCTCGATCCGGGAGAAGATGATCTGGTTCGCAATGACACGCCAGGTCGCGCCACGCTCCTTGGACTTTGTGAGGGACTTGTAGAACCAGTTCTCCTGATGGGAACCCATTAATGACCTCCCAGCGTCATCCCGGATCAGCTCAATGTACTCGTCGTTCCAGTCTGCATCAGTCCAAACATTAGCCATGTCTGACAAGAAAGGACAGCACCCCTTGCTGCATAGCAACGTACCAAGACTCGTGATGCTGCGGTCGTAGTTGCGAGTATCGAGGACCACGAGATCCATGAGGTTGCCCAGCTGGAAGGATCGCCAGATCCGGAGGTTGTCATCGAGATCAACTTGGCTGTGGAAAATGCGTCAGCCTGTCGGTCCGGTTCGTCTGCGCTACACTACGACCAACCCCGAACTTACCGAATCGGAAGCCACTCAAAGTAGGCACGAACGGCATTCATCTTGCGCTGATCGACACTGACTCCGCCGTCCTTGATGAACGAGTCCTCGGTGTTGTTCAGACCGCTGGACCCGTCTCGGTAGCCGTTATTGGACACCTCTGTGCTCACGCAATTAGAGAAGCGTGGCCAATTTTCGATATATGTGCTTCCGTGTTTTGTAGGTGGACTTACCATGATCATCCCACGTCGGGATCCAGGCCCAGTTCTGCGACAGGAGCTGCAAATCGGCATCGGACCTGTACTGTCCGTGGCGAGTCCTGTAGTCGTAGAGAGTGAAGATTTCGCGCGGAGGTTCGCTGGCACGCTCACCCCCAGCCTTGTACTCGTATATGTAATCGCCAAGATGCACCTGCCACCACCGTCAGATCTGGACCAAAGTAGTCCATGAGACGCAAGAGGCCTGCATGAATAGTTACTCACGACGTAGTCATGCTCATCCTTGCGTGCGGCGTTACCGTAAGCGTTGAAGTATCCGTTGGCTGGCGGGGGAAAAGGTGAGCTCGCGACACATCAACACAACACAGACTGACGGCAGGATCACCTACGATAGTTGCTGCAGGAAAACACGGCGAGCTTGACCGACTCAACGCTGGCGTCTGCGGTCGGGGCAGTCTTGGTGCGGCCGAGCGGGCTCTTCTTGTCCGAGTCACAGATGGTGAACTGGTAGTTGTAAGTCGTGAAAGGCTGCAGCCCTCCCGCCTCGACCTTGACAGTGTAGTCGATGTCGCTCGTGGTGTACGCCTTGCCACTGCTCACACTCTTGCCAGTGCTGCTCCCGTCAGCGCACTCGAAGACGGCCCAGTCGACACAGATGGGGTAGGGGTTTGCCTCGATATAGGTCTGCGTGTCGTGGTTGTAGACTGGCACGTTTCCCTCGACTGTGACATTGCTCGCGTCTGACTGTGTCGAGGGGGCAACACGAGTCCAGAGGATGACGCTGTCGGGGTAGGGGTCGCCAGACGCCACGCCGTGGGTGAAGCTCAAGTCCTCGGGCTTGAAGGGTATGGCATCCCGCTTCAGGCTGCGACGGGAGACCAATGGGACGTCTATACCCAGGCCCGCGTGGACATCACGACGCGAGGGACTGTCGTAGTTGAGGTTGCCCGAGAAGTCCGCGGCCACAGCCGGAATGTTGGCCACAGCAAGAAGCCCGATGAAGATTGCCGGTATGGACATTGCGGCTGCTCGAAATTGATCCTCTACTCACAGCACTGGACAAGAAATCCGGGTTGCAGAAGAACTAAAGAAAAGTCTCCTTCGCCGGAGAGCTGCTTCCGGACACGACCGCCACTCGCTTATATACTCAGCATCAAGCTTGAGGTCTAGCCTTGCACGGCAACCTGCAGTGCCAATTCACCAGCTTGACATCAGAGGGCAACCCAACCAGAATGCATTTCACCGATTTGCGCCCGGAAATCACCGGTGTTGACACTGCCAGAGACGGCTGCAGGCAAGAACAAGCCCCGGACGATCCCTCTTCTGATATGACCAATCGCTGCGGCCCCATTGCAGTCGTGCTTCTCAACGACCTTCTTCTTCCCTTGCCTGGAGGGGCGGGCAAGGTTCATCAGACGAAAAGGCTAGCTGCTAGACACGACGCACGAAGGAGCCAGCAGCAGCAGAACAGGCTCCTTCTTCCATCAGACAAGTCAATGACAATCGACATGCAGCAGTCAATGGGCAAAGCTTGACCAACCAGAGCAGGTAGATCCCAGGTCTGCACCGGGTTCTTCGGCAGCAGCACGTGGTCGGGGGCACGCCGTGCCCGTCGGTCGCCCGAGAGCGAATCAAAATACCGGCTTGAAAGAACAGGGAATGTCTCCTCGGGGCCTCAGAGGGGGTGGGTGGTGGCCTTTGCAAGTCAATTCTCCAAATCTGACTTTCCCACGAGGAGTAAACGACCAGCAGACAACGTGCCTGAAGCAAGGCCCCCGATTCGCTTGCTGGAGCAGAATATAAGCAAATGCCGATCTCTCTGACGACGTTGGGTCCGGCAGAGTGAGGGCAACCAATAGCATATCACCCAACTGCGAGTTTGGGGGGTCAAGCTCATCCTGGTCTTCCCGGTCTCCAAACGGCGCGCGCACAGCCTTGCGTGCGGGGAACCCAGGATGACGTAGAGCTCATAGCAAGTTAGTAAGGCGACGGCGTTGGGTGAACTCGAACGTCGACATGAACACGAGCGTGAAAATCAACAAGCACAAGCAGCTAGAGCTGCCTACCAGGGGGCGGACGCGTGCTCCTCATGCAGACTGCGATTGGCGAGCACGATTTCGCAGCTTAGAACGGCTGACTGCCTTTATTGGGGAAGCAGAATCTTGACAAAGACGGGGGGGGGGAGCAGCATGGCTAGTCAAGCAATTTCCATGTACGCCAACGCAAGGCCAAAATCACAAAGTCGAAATCAACATGAAGTCCAGACACGGCGACTTGCTGATAAAACAATTCGACGCACATTTTCTAACTTACAAGCGCAGGTCGGAAAGTATACTGAGCAGTAGTCTTGCTTAATAAATCTTTTCGCTGTTTAATCAACTCAAAAGCAGACTCAAGCACGACCCAAAGGCTAGTCTAGATCCTTTGTTGCATGGCAGTTTCCGTGGTTCCCGTTCACATTCGTCTAAAGGAATGTACGAAGGATTTCCAAATTCAGTGCAAGCAACGATGAATATCGGAGCCATCATGTTTGCAAATGGACGGGGTATATTTTTACTCTCTCTCTCTCTCTCTCGCGCGCAAGGGAAGGCATTCCCTCAATCCGTGCGATCTCACTTTCATACTGAGCCTAGTCACTACTGTAACCCCCCTCCCCCTCGACTGTCCCCACAACACCGAAATCTACTGACACCACCGCTCCGTCGGCTCGCGCCACTTGACCCCGAGGATCTCAAAAATCTTCCTCTCGTCGTGGCCCTCGATGAGCTCGCCTTCAGTCAGCTTGACACGCTTCGGCCCGCGGAGCACATCCTTGTACAGGCCGCGCTGGTTGAGCCGCATGCCCTTCTTGTCCGCGAGAAGGCGCAGGCTGCGGTTAAAGATGTCGTCGCCGGTGAAGTAGATCATGGCCGCGCCGAGCTCGGCGTCGGGAACGAGGAGGAAGTCGATCCTGCGCCATATCGGCTTCCCTTGTTTTGACTTGTCGTCGTTGTCATTGTTACTGGGGTCACCGTTGTAGTGTTCCGCAGCCGCTTGTGGCAGCACGCAGCAGCCGTGCCACTTGCTACCGTGCCCTTGCTTGACCTCGGCCGCCAGCGATGACAGGGTGGCCGTGAGGAAGCCCACCTCGTACAGCTTCTCCACGAGCTGATGGAGGAACGGCACGAGCACATCAGTCGAGCGAGTCCCCTTTTTCGTGACGATGAAGTCTATGTCTCCCGATGAGCGTGCGCCCCGGCGGTAGCTCCCACCAATGATGAGCTCAACGGCTGGGTCAATCTCGGCCGCCATGGCCATGACGAAATCTCCCAGGGCGGCGACCTCCTGGCGCGGGATCCGCGTGTTGAGATCGTCAAAGTGCTCGATGCCAATCTTCTGGCCGGCATTCAGCGAAGCATGAGCCACAAGGTCCTCGAGGGTCTGGTATCCCTTGGTAACCCACTGCTGGGCCTGCTTTATGCCGACGCCGTAGATCTTGAGGAACAGCTGTAGCACCTTGAACTGCGGATCGTTCTGCACAAACTCGAGCTTGCGCAGCGAGTCGGTCCGCACAATCTCTTCAATTTTCTCGCTGATCCCCTGCCCGATGCCCACCACGCCGCGGGCCTGCTCGGCCGTGGTGATCCTGACGGGGTGCCGCTTCAGCGCCGCAATGGCCTTCTTGTACGACATCGTGCGCCACTGGTCGTTGACCTGCTCGTTGTGGTCGAGCATCTTCTGCAGCAGCTCGATCGTGCGGCTGTTGGGGTTGTCAGAGGCCGCGCCCTGGACTCCTGCGCGCATGCACGCAAAGTGGTCCTGCCAAGTGCCCTTTCTATGAGCGAGCATGCCGCTTGGAGGTGTAGCGGTGCTTCGTGTGGTGCGTCGTGTTGCGTCGTCTGTTTGTGAGGCATCCTGTTCTTCAACTTCGTGTGTTACATTTGCATCCGAGTCGCTATTGGTGTCTTCGTCGAGCTCGCCGTCAGAAACAGTATTGAGCATATTGCTGAACTCGTCCGTGGCGCTTCTTATGTCGCGGATGCAGCTGAGCAGCTCGTCTCCGTCATCGTGTTCCTCACCAGCAGCCAGCGGTGTCTGCCCCAGGACCGTCCATTCTGGCGGAAGAATTGTTTCAGAGACGTGCGTGATGTCCTCGATATCGTCTGGTGGAGATGCTGCTGTTGCGATCTGGACCTCGGCCTGATCACTGCTTGCCACCTCACTACGGTTTTCTGGTCGTGATTGTGATGAGCTTCCTTGAACCGAAGTCTCCGCGCTCCTGGGCGGCGTGTTGTCTGGGGGGACATAATCCCAGCGGGCAGGGTTGTTATGTTTGGGCTTGAGCTTGAGTGATCTCTCTGATGATGCCTGCGTCGCCGCCGCCGCCGACGAGCTGCTGGGCTCACCAGCCGGGGCGTCTACTGCTGTCGCAGGGATGATGTCTGGTGTGGGAGCGCCCCTGACGACGTACTGCGACTGGTGCGGATTGATGAGCTTGCGGTAACTGATGCAGTGCAGCGGGTAGTCCTCATTGACGACGATCATCTTCACGGAGGCATCCTCGTGCTGCTTTTGCTCTTGGCGCCAGCCCTGCTCTGCAGTGACATTCTCGTAGCCCAGCAGCTTGTCGACAATGACGTGAGTCGGCCTGTCCGAGAGCAGCCGGACCCAGACCGCGCCGTGCTCGCGCGCCTTGGTGATGCGAGCCTTGCGCACAGCGTTGATGTCGTTGTTGGGGACGTAGTAGAACGAAAGCCCCCGGAAGACCTGCCTGTCCTCGGGCACCATCTTGATCGCGTCCTTGCCTTTCCGCCTGGCGGTGGTGGATGACGAGGAGGAGGAGGAGGAGAAGGAAGGCGCCGCCACGCTCGTGGACGGGGGCATGGTGGCCGTGGGCGACGATGCCGCCAGTGGAGATGAGGAAGTGTTATTGAGCACTCTTGCAAGGGGATGCGTTGCGCGCCTCTTGTGAGACTCGCGGCTTGACGATGACGCTACTGCTGCTGAAGACGGACCCGGTCGGCGAGTCGAGTCCGGAACAACGTCCAAGCCAGAAGACGGGTACGGCGACTCGTCCGCCGTGGCGCGCCGTTTGTTCCTTCCTGGCCGTTGCTGCTGCGGGTGAGGCTGAGATTGTCGTGGAAGCGGCGTGACCTTGATGATCTCGACGTCTCCGTCAGATGACTGCTGCGACGACGAAGACTTGCGCGTCCCTGCCACCGCCGCCGCCGTCCCCGTCTGCCGCAGTGGCGTTGCCGCAGTGCTGCTGCTCACTTGGGTCGCTGGTATCGTCCTCATCGCCGATGTACCGTCTAGCTTATTTGTTACTGGCCTCTTCGGCTTGCTAGTACTACTACCCGTGCTGGTGATAGCGGAAGTAGTAGCAGAAGCAGCAGCCTCCCGTAGAAAGGCTGCACATCGCCGACGATGCACCTCTTCTGATTTGCTGAGGGTGTCGTTGTCGTCGCTGTGATCACCACCACCGCCTGCACTAGGACCAGTGTCTTGCAAGGCCTGGATAGTCTTGAAGAAGGCAATCTTCTCGTGAAGCGGAGGGTCCATGTTTTGTGATATCGCGCTATCTCCACGGGGATGTAGGTTTCCAGATCGCGTGTGAGAACAAGAAAAGGACGGCGGAGTGAGTGGAGGGAGACGACACGCTTCACGACGACTCGCTTGCGACCCGGCCCGCTCACGACCATCTTCACGCCATCCCTCGGCTTAGCTTGGGCGACACAAGGACTGGATGAGAGCCACCACGGTCTCGCACCTGGGCGGAGACCAAAGAACAGGCAGCAATGTCCTAAGCAGCCATCAGACCCGCATTGGGGCGTCGGGTTGTGTGTCTTTCGTCGTCGTCGTTGTTGTCGTCGATAATTAATTGGGTGGGAAACGAAACCCCAACTTTCATCTTCTGGCTGCCGCTTCTGGAAATGCTTGCCCAGGCCAGGCTGTCAAAAGGTGGAGACGAGCCCGCTTGGTTGCCTTGAACATGTGGAGAAGAACCACCTCCACCACAACAAGCACCACTCGATCGACCTCTGGGGTTGCTTCCTAGTAGTCGCGGGCACTTACACGCGAGTCAGTCAGAATCCATACACTGAGTAAGGTCGTACTTAAAACCTTGGGGTATCTAAAGTTCGGTGGGTGGTACTGAGACAGCTGTCAAGCAACTCGGAAGGGCAAGTCAGTGGTGCCCTTGCCATTCCAGGCCTGTCCGGAGTTGCCAGGATGGTCAACACAGACAAGGGGAATAATACAAATAGCCTTTCGGACAAAAAATCAGTCAAACAAACCTCTGCACGCTCATACCGGGACGAGGTGTTGGTCAAAATAATTTGCATTTGCGTGCTAGAAAAAAATGCAACAGCGTCCTCGCTCCTTACTGTACAGCAACAAACAGCAACCATACTTTTGGTCCAGGCATTCCTTGGGCGTCCAGTCTCATTAAGGGCAAAGGAGAAGCAGATCCGCTGGCTGCACCTCCCTCCCACATTCTGGGTTCTTTGTTCCCAACAGCGGCCTCAGCAAGCACCTGCCGCTCATGCCCCCCTCGAGTACGAACCCTGCGCCCTCGCGCCAATGTTGTCCATGAGCGGGATGCTGTTCTTCTCCCTGGGGTCGAACGGGTTGCCGCCGCCGCCGGCACTCACCCCGACGACGTAGGTCCCCGCGCCGGCCCCCGAGAACCGGCTGGTGGTGTCGTCGAGGTCCTGCGCGGCCATGTTGGCGGCCGAGTCGCTCACGACCTCGCGCGTGAGCTCGACATAGTCGTACGCAAACTCGCCAATCTCGGCGTCGTCGATGCCCATCACCTCCGAGTCCTCGCTCACGCGCAGCTGCAGGCCCGGGATCATGTTCATGACGAGCAGGATCGCCGACGTCAGCACAAACGAGTACGCGCCGCCCGTGAGCGAGTCGGCCAGCTGCTTGCCCAGCTGCACCCAGTTCTGGTTCAGCCAGCCGCCCGGGATGCTCGTCACGCCGTCCAGTGCCGCGATCCAGTTTGCCGCAAAGAAGCCCGTCAGGATGTTGCCCACCAGGCCGCCAATGCCGTGCACCGCAAAGATGTCGAGCGCGTCGTCGACGCCTAGCAGGAACTTGAGCTTGGTCGCATAGTTGGCCAGCGCGGCGCCCAGGACGCCAAAGGGGACCGCCGCCCACACCGGGACGAAGCCGGAACCGGGCGTGATCGAGACGAGGCCCGCAACAACGCCAGAGCAGAACCCGACCGTCGACCACTTGCGCTCAAGTCGGTAGTCGAGAATACACCATGTGATGCCGCCGCAGCAGGCCGCAAGGTTCGTCACCACCGCAGCCATGACGGCTCGGAGATTGGCAGCCAGCGCGGAACCCGCGTTGAAGCCAAACCAGCCCACCCAGAGGAAGACGGTGCCAATGACAATGTGGGTGACGTTGTGCGGGCGGAAGTTGAGCTCGTGCGTGCCGTGGCCGCGTCTCTTGCCGAGCATCATCGAGTCTGTAGGTGCCGAGCGGTAGAGTTAGCATTGTGCTTCACTGTGCTTCCAGACCACTGGTGTGTGTGTTTGCAGTTTCTTTCTTTTCCGCAAAAGCCTGCAAGTGGAAAGGATAAGAAAAAGAAAGGAGGGGGTAAAAGCTTACACGCAAGAGCCGCCGTGCCGGAGGCAATGTGCACCGGCGTACCACCTGCAAAGTCCAAGCCGCCCATCTTGTTCGACCAGCCCGAAGGATTCCACGTCCAGCAAGCAATGGGGTCGTATACAATTGTGGCCCAGATGAACATGAAGACAACGCAAGGGAGCATGCGGCCACGCTCGGCGACGGCACCAGTCGCCAGCGCGACGGTGATGCATGAGAACATGCCCTGGTACACGGCAAAAAGAAGATCGGGGATTGAGCTCGAGGCGACAGAGGGCTGCGCTAGGACGTCCTTGAATCCAAAGTTGGCCAGGTCACCGAGGAAAGGACCCGCCGTGTGCGAGAAGGTGAGCGAGTACCCCCAGAAGAACCATTGGAAGGAAGTGACAGCTGTAGCCATGACCGAGAGCCAGATGAGCGAGAGGGCCGACTTTCTCCGCGCGAGACCGGAGTAGAAGAACCTGTGAGAAGAGAACCATCAATACTTCAGGTCTTGCAAAGAAAAAGGAGGAAACCTAGACGATGTCAAAAGAACACTCACCCAACTCCTGGAATCATCAGCAAGACAAGTGCTGTTGAGGTGATTATCCAGCCAATGTCGCCCGACTATCAAAACCCAATGTCAGTTCACATGTTCACTGCTTCAACATTATGCTCGCCATGATGGTTTCCGTCACGTCGTTCTCTACCGTCATATATGTGCACGTGCGTGCGTGTTTTCCTAAAGGAGAAATACACAGAACACCGCGACATGCTAACGCAGGCGGGTACCAAGCCTACAGAAGAAACCGGTTCAAGAGAAGAAGGAAATAGAGAACCTACCTGATACCAAATGTTCAAGTTCTCCGTAAGCGGATCACCGCCCGCCGGTCCCGTGCCATTGTACTCGGCCAGGAAAACGTACGGGAGCGAGTCCAGGTCCGTGCCGTCCACGGTGGCAGCCATTGCGTATGATGTTTTCGTCTGCGAAAGGGCCCCGTCTGTTTTTGTCTTGTTCTAAGACAAGGTGGTTCTTTTGTGTCTCTCAGTGTCGTGGAGAGACACCGTCGTATAGACCTAGAAGCCGTTCAATGTGTGGAGAAGCGGCCGAAGCGTTGTACCCGAGTTGGGGAATGGGGCTGAAGAAGAGGGCGAAGTGCGACTTTTAAGACATTCGATGGTTGGTCGGCAGCCAGAAGAGTTACAGTCTGCTACCAATACTGCGCAGAGATATAGATCACGAGCCAAGAAAGAGTGCTATCCAGGCCGGGTTGGAGCAAAAAAGAAAGAAAGGGCCTGCTGCGTGGGTGGCGGACGGGGCGTGGGATGGGGAGAGGACTCCGTTATTATGGAAGGTTCAGTCCAGTGCCAAGAACGACAAGGTGAGGAGGTGAGTGAGCGAAGCACAAGGGGGTGTGGTGTGAGAATCTTCATCTTAGGATTGCCTGATAATGGGCCCCGATAGGCCGGCGAGACTGGGGCTCAGTGTCTGCAAAGCCTCAATGACGGGTTATGCGTCCCTTTCCACGCTCAGTCATCCGTTTCATGCCGAGGGCGCAGCAGCGAATCTGGAGCATTCGACACACACGCGACACTGGATTGAATAGCCGCCGCCGCGCCGGGAAAAACTTGAAATCACCGAGCTCGCCACGAGGAAGCCCACGCCACAACCCATTCAACGACGATGGAATAAGCAAGCAAGAGCCCCCACCGTGCTTTTTTTGCTGCGATGCTCATCCCGTCGCAGAGGGTGTGTCACACACACATCGCCGGAGACCGGCTAATACTTGCGGCCCCTGACCTCCGCCATGTGGTTTGACAAACAAGACACAGGGCGTCCAGATCAAGGGCCCTTGTTGCCGTTGCACGCTCCGCAAGTGCCGGTGGCTGGTTCCCTTGGCTAGGTATGGGGGGTTCTCGAGCCGGCCATGCTCTCCGTTACCTGCATGTAGTCTGGCCTGCAGCCGAGACACGAGAGATATTGGAGAGAAATGCACATGCGAAAGCGGTGGGCCAATCACAGGGCGTTGTGGGGGTTGCGGAATCCTTATCAGCTAGGTAAACGGCCAGGGGTCGCCGTGATCCTGAGTACCCCTGCCCTGCCCAGTACTAACTGGAGGCGGTTCAGGGCATGGAGAGGATGAGAGCGGCCTAGGAGAACCAATACAAGGTCGGTGGTCGGTCGGTCGGCAGATCTGGAAGATGGCTCAGCGTCGTACTGGATGCTTGTTGGCCGGCGCACTTGTTGTTTCGCAAAGTGCCAAAGTGCCTGCGTGGGTGGTGACCTGAGACTTGTCGGGTTGTCCCACAACCTGTAAGACGTTGTGGCATAGGCTGCGTCAAAGCCAGGCAAGCAAGTGGCCTGGCATGTGACCAGCTTTGCCCCCAAATACAGTGGGAAACAGAAGCCTGGGCGGCCATTTGGTGGCTTCGATGGGAGCCAATGCTGGCAGATCCGAAGACCGAGGAAAAAGCAAGTCGGGGGAGCTTCCAAGTTATGGGTGGGCTCGGGTTACTGGGTTTGGCGGGAGCTAATAGACAATTAAAAGGTAGTGTAGACGAATGTAGTCATCTATCGACGTGAGCATGCAGCCGGGCCTGTCTGACCATTTACAATTACTCACCTCCACAATGGCCGTCAGGGCTCAAATCGGGGACCACGCCAAGGCGAGGAGCATGCTGCGAACGGCTCCCTCGTCAGCGTTCTGCTGTGGCCAGTCTGCTGGCTGACCCCCCTCCCCATCAAGGGACTTCGTAAGCTCCGCTTCCTCGGCCGGCCGACATGCCGGGGTTGATGAGCTAGCGGGACATTGCTGCTCTTTTGGTGGCCTGTCTTGCGAGCACTGGCACATCCCCTGTTGGCCAGGGCCGGATCTCTTTCGATTCCCAGGCACAATGCCGATCTTCCAGCGGGGGCCCGCCTGGCTTGATGCCGGATATCAGGCATGGGACATTGCCGTCCGTCAGCAGGCGGCATGCTGAAGAACCGGGAGTCGAGGCATTGTGTTTGCCGGGCATGGGCGGCGCCATCGTCTTGGAAATTGGTCCAACGCCGCGTTTATGGCCATCCTGGCTGGCAGCGTTTCGTGGCGCGGCCACGCAGACGCACGCAGGTGGCTGTCTTGATACGCGTGGCAGCGGCTAGGGAGGCGGGACGGCATACCGATCGACGAACCCTATTGTGCCTGTCACATCCGCGCACCCGCCTGCCTGACGGGGGAAAGCACGCGCCCAGTGCTGCTGGCTGGGTGGCACCTCGCTTGGGCTGTTGGCTGTGCGTGCCGGCTCCAGCCCTGCAAGGGGCATGCATGCACACATGCACGCACCTGTTTCTGCCGGGGGGCATCGGTAGCATCAGAGGCAGGACGGAGGCCTTTTCCAGAAGTCGAGAGAATGCACCCTGTGCCCGCAAAACATCTCAACATGATCAAGGGTGCTGATGGGCGATCCTGGTCTGTCCCCCCTTGGTCCTGCAGATTTGGGGAAATGGTGTAAGCCGCGTGAATAATCCAGAGATAAGGGCCTGCACGCCTCCCTGATTGGTCGCCGGCCATCACGTACACCCACGTCCCCTCCATCGCCTCTCTTGACTGACCACGAGCCGGGCCACTGTGAGCGCCTTTGATCCCACGCTCCCCCAAAGCTAACAGATTATGGGGACATCTCCGGCTCAAAGTCAATAATGCTCCTAATAGAGCCGTCATTGGCACCGTGCAGCATGCCTTCTTACTTCCTTCGTCGTGCTGCGCTAGAACGTTGTAGCCCTCCATGGTCAAATCTGTTTCAATAATGCACGCCGCATCGGTCCGTGCTGCTGATTATAGGGTGCCATTATTGCTGTGTCGTATTGACCTGGCTAGCCCATTTGCCGGCTTCCCTCAGACATCATGTTCTGTGCCATTGTGTTGGCTCTACAGTCCTCGTGCATGGTGGACGATTGATAACAACTTCATTAATGTGTGAGGTTCTTGTACCTTCCAGAAATGGTCAACGTGACATTGTGCACAGGGCACACTCTGGCCCAGAACGACCCTTTTCAAGTTCAACCCTGTCCAAGACCTCGTCCCCCAAAGTGTTAGAAAGAGTGTCCTCAAGACTTTGGCAATGTGAAGCTGGCAGCGCCATGGATGTATCTCGCCAGCTCGGATGGCTTTCTTGGTGCCCTGATGGTAGAAGTGAAGACCGTGATACTGACTTGGTGCCAGTCGTGATAAGTCACGATGGTGCCATTGGCCAATGCGATTCCATGCTTCAGCCGGGTTTTCAAGTGGGTGTCGACTTCAGCCTTGCGTAAACTATCAATATGGCCCTGTGACATCCTTCGCATAATGGCTGAAGTCAGTGGGATCACCCCAGAGACGAGCTGAGGGGAACTGCCGGCCACTGCTCCCTCTGAAGTGCCAAAAATGCCGAGACTGCCAACCAGGTTCACCGCGACGGGCCATGAAGAAACGTCACTGGGTATCGTATCCCAGAAGAGATATACGGTATACGAGCAGCCGTACGCCCTCTTGTTGGCACGGACGTTGGCCAGCCAGTCGGTGAAATTTTGTTCTGAGGAGACCAGTTCTTTGGGAATACCTGGATGCATTGTGCGAGAAAAGTCGCCCGCTGTTCCCTCTACAACCTTCAACTGCTCCGGTCCGAGCTTAAGCCTGGCTGGTTCGGCATCATCGACGGCGTGTAGCTGGCCGAGTTCACCAAAGCGCATGGAGACAGGGCTGAATGCCGTATATAATTTGTTGACCCACGTCGCAGTCTTGTTGCGGTCCTTGTCCATGACTTCTTCATATGTGTACCCAAACACCTCATGATCTCGTACCGTGTCAGACGTCCAGAACGAGGAGGCGTTTTGCCGGAACGGGGTGAGAGCTGTGGTCGAGTCCTGCATTTCCCCGGCCTTTGAAGTGTGCGTCGCATACACCGCAGGTGTGCGCACGACAAACGAGTCTGGATTCAGCACTTGCCACATGGCAATGATCCGGTCCATGTTGACATGGTGTAGCCAGAAAAAAGGGTCGAATGCAGAAAACCCGATGATGGCCAGGTGGCCGAAGTAGCCGCCTGCTGCGATGTGGATCGAATCGTGCAAGGACTCGATGGAGTCTTGGGTAAAGTTGGCGGAGTTTGTGATCCAACCCTCGTTGCTGAAAGCGGAATAGTTGTCGTAGTGCGCCAGGAGGTTGTAAAGTCGCTGCTGGTATGTCTCGACGCTTAATTCGAACGACCGTGCAACGAACGAATTATTTGAGACGGCATCCGTTTCGACCATGGGTTGAGGGGCCCGTTTCGTTTCTGTCCAGGTATTCCACTGCAAATTTCTCAGACTCGGAATTACCAAATACTCTCTTCTGTGCCACTTACTGGAGACGCTGGAAAGATTGATGCATTGAAGGGCTGGAAGATGTATGAGTAAAGCGGGTTCGCGATTGCTTGGTCCCCATTGGGACCATATGCTGTGATGCCGCGCTGACCGGCGATGTCATCCGGGAAAACGTTCTTGTCAGTCTCGGTCACTCTACCCCAGTCCCAGTAAGGAATTCTGAATCGCCGAGCAGTCTCGCGCCAGTGTTCCAGCTCATCCTCCGGCCACAATTCCGCAATGGACTGGACCAAGTTGTAAAGGGTTTGCTGCGTGGCAAGTCAGCACGGCCAAGCTTCACTCCTGGGTCCTGCTGTGGATTTACCTCGTAAAGCGCCATATAAGGCCGGTGCCACGTTGGGAACAGTACCGAAACATGAGTGCAGTAGCCAATATTCTCACTGCCAGCAATGGAATCAACATCGCCCCAAGTAAGACCTGGAGAACCATGTATGGCTATGAAAATTCAGCAATGCCCATGTGCCGTACATCCGTAGAGTAATGCTCACCTGCTAGCTGGTAGTGGGAGAATAAGCTGTCTTGTGGCGTATACTGAATCCAGTTCAGAGCCAGAATGTACAACGTCCACGAGTCCTTGTCCCGATAGAAATCTCTCAACTCTCTTCTCAGAACTGGCTTGTCGCCGACAAGGGGTAAAGGTGTCACATATGTTGAATACCGTAGTTGGTCATGTCTCTCGCGGAGCCTGTATTCTGCATGTTGTCCAAAGTCATATTTGCCGTGTGTATGAGCTGCCCGGACGGGGTAGCTGACCAGCAAGGGCAAGAGCAGTAGAATATTCGAAACAGGTCGCATCATGACTGGCAGAGTAAGTGCTCAGCTTGAAGCAGACCAGAGTTTTGCGCAGTTCTTGGTCTGCATCAGTCATATATGGATGGAAGCCCAGATAGGGTTCCAAGGCCTTCGCAGTGAGCTCGATCAGACGCCTTATCCCTTGCCGTCGTCGCGACTGGCTCCAGAAAGGCGATGACTGCTAACGTGGACGATGAGCAAGAGCCAGAAGAGTGTCCCCAGCAGAGGTTTGTACGTCGTTCGCCACGTGTCTTCAGCCAGTACCAAGAAGTGGGAGCAATAAGTCGCACAGATGATGACAAGAGGTCACCGAGAGGAAGTCGGTAGTGGCGCTGTGGGCTGTCCTCCACACAGCAGCACGCAAAGGCGGTCCAAAGATGGTGCTGAGGCAATGTGGTAAAGCTCCAGTCGGGAAAGTTCCAGATGTTGTCCCGGCATATTGTGTCTTCACTGCATGAGCATCACATGACAACGTGGCCAGGTGGCATGTCCGATGGCTACCTTAGGAAAGAACACAGGTGTTGAGTCAGGAAGTACGACCCTCCCTCTGATACTGGCAGGCACAAATGACTGGTGCCTCGACATGTCAATGTCAAGACATCTCCAGGTCAACCATGAATTTTGCTCACATCGACATGAGGACACTTAGCCTCAGGAAACTGCAGCCCCAAAACTCAACAAGGTTGTGATGGTCGATTCAGGAGTGACCGAGGAGAAGGATGAGATCACATGAGACCGCCAGTTTGCACTCCTTCTGTGCCGAGCAGCCGTCCCTATCCACGATTCGCCCGTAATGTTTCTGGAGTGCATGATGAGACCAACTCGGCATGAGTCGGCACGCGACATGAAGCAAACACGGAAGAAGCCTTGATGGACAAGCCCCGCAACCTTTGCGAGACGATTTCGAAACATGGGAAGCCTGCAAGCTGAGGCTCTCCCAACGATGACATGCACTAAGCTCTCTATCTAGACTAGACGTCCTTCGCCTGGGCAACCCGAACAATATATACGGCCGAAAATATCAAAAACGCCGCCAGATGCATATACAACAAAAACCACGGACTGAGCACCTCGCGTGCTTCTCAAGCTGCCACCAAGGGCCGCGTCATGTTCTGGCCGTCCCAGCTGCCCGGCAGCAGCTTTCCACGGCGCGGGACGTCCTTGGGGTCAACCTTGTATTTGAGCTTGATGCCCATGGCAGCAAGCTCGACATCAAGGTACTTGAGCGCGCCAGGAACCGCAACCATCGTGGTGTCCTCACCGCCAATCCACTGAGTGCCCTGACCGTCCTCCCATACCTCGCCCTGCACCTTCACAAGCTCTGTATCCTCGACATCGTCCAGCCGTGTGGCACAGTTGCGACAGCGGACGCTGCCCACGGTCTTCTTTTTGCCTCCAAAGGGAGAGACGGTAGGCTGTATAGAGAGGAAGGAGCCACAGGTGCGGCAGATCCACGATCTCGTGTAATCCGAGCAGTTCATCAGGCGATCTTGCAAGAGGAATGCGGTTCCGTGGGCCAGAAGGGCATCACGCTCCATCTCACCAACACGGATACCACCACCACGCTTACGACCCTTGATTGGCTGGCCCGTAGTCGGTACCACGGGACCGGTCGTACGAACCTGATACTTGTCGTTGACCATGTGACGCAGGCGCTGATAGTAGACCACACCAATGTAGATGTCTGCAGCCAGCTCCTCACCAGTGATACCAGAATACATGGGCTCATTGCCGTAGTAGTTGTAGCCAGCCATCTTCAGCTGATGGCCAAAGTAGTCGGCAGCGGGGTTTTCCTCGTCAAACTTGAACGGCGTGGAATCTTGAGCCAGACCATGGAGGGCACCAGCCTTTCCGGCCAGAGACTCGACGAACATGCCAATGGTCATGCGCGACGGGAAAGCGTGAGGGTTGATGATGACATCAGGCTGGATACCAGACTCGGAGAACGGCATGTCGATCGCCGGCCACTTCTGGGAGCAGACACCCTTCTGACCGTGACGAGAAGAAAACTTGTCACCAATGATGGGTGACCGAGGGACTCTGAACTTGATCGAAATCGTCTGCAGAGGCTCGTTTCCTTGCTCGCTACCAATCAGTCTGACCTCGTCGATGAATGCTTGTTCCGAGTCCTTGTATCTCTCGTAGTGGGTGACGCCGTCCCGGTTGACCAGGTTGCCACTAAAATCCTGGGACACGGTGTGCCACGCGTAGATGATGTCGCCTTCTTGCACCATTCGTCCCACGTAGGGGAGCCCATCATCATCAATCATTGTCTGTGTCCAGGCCTTGACAACGCTGCCGGGGGCAGGACCAAACATTTTGGAGATGGACTTGACTGATTTGGTGCGACTCTCGTCCTTGAGCGAGATCTTCTTCGTCTTGTAGATCGTGCCATGACCAAAACCTCTTTCGTGAGCAGACTTGTTGAGAATCATGGCGTCGTCCATGTCGTAGCCGGTGTAGGAAATGACAGCGACAACGGCGTTGGCGCCGTTGGGGAAGTTGTCGAAACCGTAAGCGTTGTGCAGAGGAGAGCGCACGACAGGAGTCTGGCCCGTCTGCAGCCGGTACATCTTGTTGTCTGTCCGGTGCGCCAGAGCAGTTGCAGGGGTGCCCATAGTTTGTTTACCCATTTGACACTGGTACATGTTTCGTGGCGACTGGTTGAAGTCTGAGAACGGCGTCATGTTCGCCAAGATGGAGAGCATGTTGGTGGGATCAAACTCGACATGCGTCGACTCGCCAGAAGTTACTTCCTGCTCCGTCACCGCAATGGACATGTACGGCTGTTCTAGAGGGCCTACGAAATCCTCCTTCTCAAGAGGCAGGTACTTGGTCGGACGAAGCATGCGCGAGGGCTCGGAAGACATGAAGATGCCTGGATACGAGCCACCTCGAGAAGCGGGTACGTATCCAATCTCCAGCTGCACAGGAATGCCATGCGTGCCTTCCACTTTCCAGAACCGGAACGTGTCGGCGATTCGGCGAGATTCCGCGGGCTTACACCAGCCCAGAATCCGGCCGTTCAGCATGACAACGACGCTCTCGTCCGTAGCAGCAGAGGATGTGTCGACAACTCCCAGCTCAGCCGCCAGTTTGGGGATTGCCGAGACGTCAAGAGCTTTGGTGGTGATCTTGCACTTGTGAGCGAAATGGTTCAGAAGACCGCAAGGCGAACCATCGGGAGTGTGGACAGGGCACAGGAAGCCCCACGACTCTGGCAACAGCTTTCTGACAGTTGTGGTCTTGAGCTGAGCGAAGAAGCTGCCTCTGTGGACCATGCGGAAATGGCTGATAAACCTGAGAAAGTTGAGCTTCTCGGCTACGACGGTGAAACCAGAGACTTGCTGCAGGTCCAAGCCAGTAGGACTGGACAAGTTTCCTGTTGATAGGAAGTACTCGAGCGCGTTTCCGATGTTCTCGTTGGTCTTTGCAAACAGCTTGAGCGGGAAGTCCTTGACAAACTCCTCGGACGTAAATGTCTTGCCGGACCTTCTCTGATACTCTCTGAGCGCAAGGCGGAGGCCGCTGGACAAGAGGTCGTCTAGGCGCTCCTTCAAGATCTGGCCGTACAAGAAGCCACCAAGCAGGATCTCCTGATTCTGTACGGCGTCGGGGTTGTCTATCGCGCAGTCGCCAGCCGCAAGGGCGTACAGCTTCCTGATCATGAGCAGAATCATCCGGAACTTGTCGGAGTTCTGCTCATCCGTGACATCAATGTTGCCGAGATGGACCAGGACAATCTTCCGCAGGAATTCCGTGCCCACTTCGTAGTTCGACAGAGTCTCTGGAACACCGAGGACCGGTCTGAACTTCTCGCCAAGGTACGCCCTGGTCTGTTTCATCGAGTAAAGTCCATAGGTCTTGTACGTGCGAAGCAGGAGCTCCACCCGATCCGTCAGGAAGGTGTTCTCGATGCCCTTGGAGTTAGGGGCGCCAACAAGTCCCTCAAAGATTTCTCGGTCGTTGGTCTCGACCAGGGCCTTGAGAATCATGATGACAGGGACGAGGTATTCGTTCTTCCTCCACGAGAATCGGAAAGTCACGTTTCCGTCGTTGAGATAGTGGAGCACGTTGGTCTGAGAAGTTTCGTCCGGCCGGACTGATCTGAAGATGATACCGTAGGGTGTGTAAGATGGTCCTCTGTTGGCGAAACTGGGACGGTTGATGGCCATGGGGAAGTTTCTGCGGTTGACCAAGAGAAGACGGATGATCTTCTCGATGCCGTTGACGATGAAGTAGCCGCCGAGCTCTTCCGACTCTTCCTTCCGAGCCACGAGCTGCGCAGGGCTGTTGTCCTTGAGGTGGCAGTGGCTCGACTTGCAAGGTGTTAGACTCGACATCCCAACTTTCCCTTCCAGGAGCAGAGGCTTCAGCTTACCTTGACCATGATGGGCAACTGGCCGAGCTCGCGAGTGAACTCTTTCGGGTCCCCACCATTTATCCTGTACTCGAAGGTGGCGGAAAGCTTGCCTCGATATGACACATGCCGCTCGCGGCACTCGGCCGGAAGAATGTCCCTGTTCTTGACAGCGAACTTGTTGCTCGGAGGCAGCTGCGACTTGGTGACGTGCACGCTCTTGTAGCGCACAGTCAGCTTGTTTCGGGAGCTCGGGGCCGACGGATCGTTGGCATCAAGGAAGGTCTTGGTGCCAATGTCCACGAGGCTGTGGGCGATGAGACCATTGGGTCCGAACAGAGCATCGAAGGACTCGATATGGGGGTTGACGGCCTCCTGCAGGAGCGGGTAGGCAGTGTGATCCGTCGGAGGGTTGCGGAAGAGATTCTCGCGGCGCAACGTGTTGTACTCGTGGTTCCAGCTCGTGCTGGTCTTGGTGGACTTTGGCGCCATGGCGCTTCGTGGCAGGCGCAATGCCGACTTCTGGCCAGACTTATGGATCGGAAGAGGATCACTTCTTTTGCTGGACCAGGACTGACCAAGAAGGCGTGCACTGCGCAGACCCGGCTGTCGTGGTGAGCTTTTGAGGACGGAGGAGAGCTTTGGACAAAGCCAGCCGAGTGCAAAGAGACGCTGCGCTGCGGGCATCAGTGGCTGGCGCATGCCAAATTTTTTGGACGTCAGGCTTATCGATAGCTCTGCAGGCCGACTAGCCTGCTCCGCCAGAGGGTCTGGCTTGCCCCACCTGGAAGGCTTCTCTCCCGAGGCACACATTGCTGTCGATCTTTTGATCGCACCTTTGTCTGAAAGAGCTGGCTGAAGCATTTACAAGCTCACTGCCGTGATAAAAGGCGACGCATAATTATCTAGACGGAGTATCGTACTATAGATCGTATTGAGCCATGATTCTTTGTACCCGTGGTCCACAGCCACCTTGCCCTCGGATGGGGTCAGTGGTCTGCCAACAGCTTGGTTGGCTTCCGCTGGCGTCGAATATAGTACTATATGCTGGCTCCCGGGTCGCCCGGGGCATGGGAGTAGAGAGGTTTGCGATGTCCCATGGGAATCAATGTTGGAGCTAGGACAAGACTGCTGTTATGTGATGTAAGATGAAGTTTGGCTGCTAGCCAGGATCCTCTGCGCAACAACTTCTCAACTATTATGGCCCTCCATTCTCGGTACTTGAGTGTTCTGGCGGCGGGTACGGGAGGACCGTGGGCCCTTCCACAGATCGACTTTGTGCTGGGTGTCGGGTACCGGCCGGAACCACCCCGAACTCCCAAGTCTCGCGGCGGCTCCTCAGATCATCTCAGACCTGGCTCAGACAAGCTCGTGGAACATGATGCCAGGACCCAGCAAGCCCCCACGCGCGCCGATATTTCTTTAGCAGCTAATTAATACACCAGGAGGAGGCAGCCACCCTGTTGCACCGCTCTGCCTGAGGCAAACAAACCACTCAGGCACTGGGCACCCCATAACACAAAGACGACTCACTGTGACATGTCCAGAAGAAACTCCTCCAACATCTTTTGCCAAGCCTGGAGGACTGAGCTCTGATGGACAGATAGAGACTCCCCAGGGTGGCCGTCCGTGGGGCATTGGAGAGGAGGAGGAATGCTGAGGTTGGTTGGCTGCGCCGGAGCGCACCGAAACAGCGTTTGGCAACCACTTTGGCGCCCGCTGTCTTGCTGGCCCCCACCCGCTCGCTCTCTGTACGTATTCTGGGCGTCTGTGCTTGCTCCCCACGAGACACCATTTCTTGTGGCGTTTCCTTCCTCTGTCCAAACTCGGCAAAGCAAGAGGCAGGCCCCCTCTGACACCATCGACCTAGCAGTCGCGCAGATCTGAAATAGCACTCACTATCTGCTCAGCAGCGCGGGGGCTTCATCAAGAGCACGTAGGCTGCTGCTCTCTGTCGGCGGCCTGTCAGCTCAGTTAGACACTAGTACAGAGGGAGGCCCCGTCCGTTCCCGCTCGCTAGGCCGCACCCGCTTCCAGCCTTGCGAGTTGGTCATCCGCCGTCGGACGGCGGCCTAATCCCCGTCCCAACTCCATCCTGGCCGCGGCCGTCGTCTACGACCTCGCCGTTCCAGCTCAGAGAAACACCCTGCTCCAAGCTCCCATGCTCCTGCTGCCCGTCGCCGCCCTGCGCCTAGCGACCATCTCCGGCATCACCTGCTAGGAACTGCGCGCGCTTCGACCGCACGCCTGCAAGGGTTAGGGGGCCTGCTCCCACACGAATGAGAAGCTCGATCGCCCTCTGCTAGCCGCTGTGGTTTGTCGCAAGGTTGCCGGTCCATCAGACAGATCCCTCCCTGCCCCATCAGGCCGGGCCACGGGACGTCAAAGCACTCTCGCAGTCGTCCTGGTGGAGAACCACCGCCGTCCTTGATCACAGCGTTCGCCGTGCGTCCCGCACCTTTTGCCCTGCTAGGCTGCGTCTCACCACGCTCATCACGGCGGCAAGTCGCGATTGTCAACTTCGACGGCCGTTGCAAGGCAAGCACTGCTGCTCCCTGCCCTTGCACCAACTGCCCACGGCGATCGCCAGTCCCGGTGCCAAGCGGCCTGCTCCTCATCCACTTGACCTGCGCAGGCGCCAGTGTGGACTGCCAGAACCCGTCTCGTCGAAGGGCCATTATAAAAACATCTGCCTGGCCAGCTCTGCTCTCGCATCTTGTCAACCTCGCGCCGATCCCGCATAAGATCTTCGCGCAGGACTCTTGCCTGGGAGCCACATCTGGCAAGGCAGCAAAGCCATCAGTCTCGCGCAATCACCAGAGGCACTGGACGGTACCATAAGCAAAATGGCAGGCTTGTTTCGCAAGGTTTACGACTGGCTGCTTCGCACCTTTTGGTAAGTGCAAGGGCGAGTCTCCTTCAAGAATCACTTCTATAGTGCCCAAATCTCCTCGCAGGCGGCCACTGTAGTCCAGGAGGCGTGTTCTCGGCACGGCCCATGTCTCCATGATACATAGTGTGTTCCCCGCGCGCCTACTGACATTTTCCCGCTCAGGGCGACTGAGATGGACGTGACCATGATCGGCCTGCAAAACGCCGGAAAGACCTCGTTACTGCGCGTGCTCTCGGTAAGATACCCCGCAGCTCGATACACCCACCACCATTCGATGTTTGACTGACTGAAGATTGCCGACTGAAGGGCGGAGAGTTCACAATCGAGTACGTATGAATCGCCATCCCGTTTGGGTCCTTTCTCGCGAGTGTTTCCTGCTACGGGGAGATCGGTAACTAACACTCGGGCCCAGCTCTATTCCTACCGTTGGTTTCAACATGAAGCGCGTGCAGCGGGGTCACGTCACTCTGAAATGCTGGGACCTCGGCGGCCAGCCTCGGTTTCGACCCATGTGGGAGAGATATTGCCGTGGCGTGGATGCGATAGTCTTCATCGTCGACATTGCCGATGTCGACCTCCTGCCCACGGCCAAGGACGAGCTGCATGCGCTGATGGAGCAGCAGAGCCTCGAGGGGATCCCGTTGCTCGTGTTGGGCAACAAATCCGACTTGGCAAATGGCATTAGTGTCGACGAGCTCATCGACACTCTTGACCTGAGAAGTATAGGACACCGCGAGGTGTCATGTTATGGAATCAGCGCGAAGGAGGAAACAAACCTTGATGCTGTTCTCCAATGGTTGATGAAGTGGGCGAACAGATGACCGCTACCTGTGTGACCACGGCGGGGGCGGAATCTCCATGGTCCTTCGCGCAAAACTCGCCAGTTGCAGTTCAGCATGCCATACCACCCGTGCGGGCCGTTCATGGGCTGCGATGTTGGGACCACGGAGCTGGCAGCGGGTTGGGATATACAAGCCGGTCGGCAACGACTTGTAGTGGATGTTTTTTTTCCGGCGGTCAGAATGCGCACTGTTGGCAGCCCTTCTGATTTTCGCACCTCTACGTTCTTCGCATTTGATTCCGACCCTCTTTCCCAGTCAGCGACACAGCTGGCAGCAAGTCCTTGCTTCGGCGGGCTCCAGAACATCGATAGTTGCAGACACCAGCGCGGCTCCGGGGCTGAACTGGTGTCTTTGGAGTTCCCTGTTGCTTGTCTCGACTTGTCGGCAGAGAGATACCATTCTAAGGAGCAGGCATTGGTGTATTCAGGCGCTTAACGAATATTTCTTTCTTCCTTTCTGGCAAACGAGTTTGAGAATGGGTGAAAACTCATTTTGGCATGAGCAACGCGAGTAGCTAAAGCAGCACAGAACCGCTGCGATATGTTGTGAGTGCGATGGCATGGTAACATTATGTGGCTGATCGTCAAGTACGCGATATCCAAGACGTCGAGTTCCGTGCGGTCGCCATCGCGGGACATTTCTCTTCTTATAATAATCCGGGATTGACAGAGCGACATGGCTCAGAGGCCCCGGAACCTGTATCATGCATGCGGTGATGCGTTGGCAAGCAGCGCGGGGAGGGTGGAGTCCAACGAACCCCCCGTCCATGGGGGGATAGGCGACTTTTGCTGTACCATGATTGGCGCGCGGTGCTCGGGTTTGTCTTGCTTTCGAGCCGCGCCTGGTTCTTTGTGCGTACCTGGTCCTGGTCGAGACAGGCGGCTTGTCTCTTTGCCAGCGCATCAGCGCATGCCATGAGTTTCCTTTCCTGTGAATTATTTGCCGAGTTGCTCGTTCGGCACGGGCAGCTGAGGAGTGGAGAATTGTCGGCGGTTTCAGTATCCCCCGTTGGGAGAATCTCACTTGTTCAACACGTGAGGCTGGTTTTCTCAAACCACTGGCAGAACGCTGGATTGGATTGTATATGGGATGTTGAAAGGCATGGCAGCGGTGTATTGCCATAATCGTGTCCATGCGTTGGACAACAGCCCCTTGTTAATTCTTCGGCCCTACCGCTATTCATTCTCCACCAGCCGTAGAACGGGGCTTGTCTGGAATGAGTGAGATGTAATACCCTGCAGCCTGCCGTGTTCTAGAAGCAGACTCGGATAACCTGAAGCCTCTGGTGGATGGGCAACGCAATGGGCCCGTCAGGTCCCTTGTTCGTGGCTAAGGTGTGGATTTGGAATGACCTGCCTGGGGCAAGGCAAGTGTGAGCTCCACACTGGATCCGTCAACCGTACAAACCGTAGCGTGGCTGAGCTCATATGAGTGCGTCGAGGCTGGCTTGCTGGTGGAGGCCTCCAGCACCACCAGCTCCCGTGCTTACTCGCGCGCGGGCTGGTGAACTGTGAGGGGGCCTACTCGATAAAGCCTTAGCAATGGTACGACAGCCAGAATTCCTGCTGCTGCTTCCGTGATTACACAAACAATCTGTCACGTACCAGCATTGGCGTCCAAGGTGGGTGAGCACTGGCCGTGTGCGATGACGGCATTTCCAGGTGATCTTGACTACTGGCCAGGTTAGAGCTAGGACCCTGAATAAGTGCCGCGCGCTCGCGATGATGCAGGCAGTAGATACGGATTACTGGTGTCTGGTCTGCTGTGGGCCTGACGACAAGACTGTCGCGAGCCAAAGAGGACCATCGTGATCGACAAACCAGCATGCAGCCCTTGTTGTAGCCTTTCGGTTCTCTCTGCAACGCTCGGTCAGGTGCGCAAGCACACAAACACACCTGTACGATAAACCTTGAGGAGAGGGGCAGCGAGGACAGAAAGGCAGCACCGAGCACTGCCACGCCCCTGCACCCAAGGTGCGCCGCCAAGCTTCAAGGTTCCAGGTCCAAGCTTGGGCTAGCTGCCCCGAGTTGTTTGCACCGTCGTACAGGCCGTTTGGCATGGGCCAGTGTCGCGCGCCTTGGCGATGGAGCAGAAATGTCGCTGACGTGGTGGCGACTGACTTTGAGGCTTTGCAGCATCCCATGGCACGAGCCAGGGGGGCTGACCGTAATTGGAATCACGGCTTCCCAGCTCGAGTGGTGCGATGCGATTTGGAATGGCATGGTAGCATGTTGGCGCGTCTGCAAAACACGTTGATCTTGAGTCATCACTCGGCTCGTATCTCGGCTGGGCGGGCTTGTGCGAAAATGCGGGCGCCAGAGTGGGTGTGTCCCTTGCTTTTGGGTTTGGGCGTGATTACACCATCAGCCCACGCGGCCTCCAAACGCTGCATGTTTCGAGGAGTCGCGGAAGGCGCAACTGCCATGCCTTGCCAGCGTTGTTAGCGCAAGCTGTGCGTGCCTTGACGGAGTGTGCCCGTCAATTGCGGCCTAGTGACGAAGGTGCATCCACAGCGGCGCACTCTCTGAGAAGTACGCTGCAAAGGGACCCGACGCTGCAGTGAAGTGACTAAACTGACTGACTACTAACTTAGCAGGAGCGTGTCAGGAGGACGTCATTCAACGCCCCTCCCAAGCCCTCTTGGCGCGCCAAGATGCACCCCAGCCAGCATCGCCGGCTCCCGGCACCCGCGCGCACATTCTGCGCACTGCGCTTGACACTGCACAGCCCTGCGGCGACGGGCCCGCTGGGGGCATTCTTTGCTCGCCCTACAGTAGGGTTCCTCGACTGCTTAATAGCGTCGTCCCCTCCGCCGATTGTCTCGCTTTCCCAGTCTCGCCATCCTCTTTACGCCACTCCCGTATACACACAAACAACACAACTGGATTTTGTCCACGTCGCGAAAGCGCAGTATCGTCAGAACTACCTCCTGCGCCAACACGACCCAGTCAGAAAGTACTTCCCAACAACCGCGTCCGCACACATACGTCAGATGGCCCCACACCCAGATCTCATTGCCAACCTGGCCGAGCGCGCCTACTGCCCATACGGCTATGGCTACGGCGGTGGCTGCTACTCGACCTGGGACTACTACGGCCGCTGGATCTTTGCCGCCGTCGCAATCTTTGTCTTCATTGTCGTCCTCTTCATCTGGGCGTAAGTTGTCCTCCTGCGCGCATCTCTCTCCCTCTTTCCAAAATATGGAAATACTGACATACCCCACACAGCTGCATAAACTCTCGCCGTCGTCGCAGGCAAGGAGTCCAACCAATGTACGGAACCGGCTGGATGGCCAACAACAACCGCTACGGCCAGCACCAGCAGAACAACCCCAACGTCTACTACCCGCCGCCCCCGGCCTATGGCGCTCCCCAAGGCCAGTCGTACCCGATGCAGAACCAGGACACGGGCGCCACATTCCGCACCGCCGACGGCTACTACGGCAACGGTCACCAGGAGGGCGTGCAGAACAACAAGAATGGCGGTGGCGACTATGCGCCGCCCCCTGGCCCGCCGCCCGCGCATACTCGCCCGTAAGCAGTGCGTTGTCGTATGGCGGGGAGGTTAACAAGAGCGCTGGAAGAGTTCGAGGGAACCACGCAGCGTCGCAGTCGCTCACACATGATCACGCTTGCTTATATGCGTCATTACGAGTCATGGCGACAAATCACCAGATGTACAAGACCAGGGAGAGGTCCATTGTTTTCATAGCCAAATGTTATACCCTTAGCACCGTTTGATAGAGATCTGACCCTGATGGTTTTGCGGAATGTTATTTCTGAGCACCAGGATAAACAAGACGCCAATAATATGAATCACGAAAATATGCTACGCTCCCTTGTGACTGATAGGGCTGTTTTCACGATCTTAAAATCCTGGGGTTTCCGGTTCCTGTGCCTGGCAAGAGGGACTATGGGCTAAATCGACTGTCACATGCTTTCGCGCACCGCAGGTTTTTCATTCATGTCATTATCTCGTTAAGTTCTGCCTGGTCAAGACATTCTATACTTCAGCCGCGCCGTTTTTGTCCTGTTTCATCCTCCCGTCTAAACGTGCATCTTTTTGGTATATAATAATGGGGTATTTTGGTGACTGAAATATTCTCCACAGCCTCTGCATGCAGGGGATTGTCCCATCAAGCACCATACTTCTTCACGATGTGCGAGACCTTGTTCGCAAGCTCATCGGCTTCAGACCTCGTGGCGGCCTCGGCGTAAACCTACACATATTGTCAGCAATGATATCTTGGTACCAAATCGTTGGGATGAGCTCCTTTCCAAATGGGAAACTTACGCGGCAAGCGTTCTCGGTGCCCGAGGCACGAGCAAATGATCGTGCATTCGTGTACTTCTTGACAACCTGATCAATCTCGTCCTGGCAGCCAACGGGCTTGCTCAGCTTGCGCTCAGCGTCAGTGGTCTCAAACAAGTCCTTGTCACCAACTTCGACGCGGACGAGGCGGTTGGGAAGATCCTGGTAGGTCATGGCCCAGTCTCTCAGAGACCAGCCCTTGTGAGCCAGAATGACCTCAACCATGAGCATGTCGGAAATGGCATCGCCAACAGTCTGGTTGATGAGATCACCGAGGGCGCTGAGAGTGTCAAGTGCATCCTTCTGTGCCGGGGACTGGGGCTGCTTGGCCTTGAATGTCTGCATAGCATTGGACGAGAACAGCACAGTGCCGTGTCCGTTAGCCTCGAAGTACACGCCAATGTCAAACGCGCAAGCAGCATGGTGCAAATGCTTGACTCCCGTCGGGGTGCACACGACGGGCAGCTGGAGGTGCTGCTCAATGTACTTTGTGCTGGAGCCGTTGGCGTATGCCGTCTGCACGACACCAATGCGCAGCTGCTCATCGAGGCCAGCAGCTCTGAACAGGTCGCCGATGAACGAGGCAGCCAACGTAGCAATACGGTCGCCGTCGAACATGAAGAAGCCAGAGTCAGGATCGACCCAGTAGTAGATGAGACGATCCGCATCACCATCAAGGGAGCACCACCGATCGCCAGGGGCCGGCTTGGGGTTGGGTGGTGCCCGCTGCCTTGTCTTGACAAAGTCGGCACCGCAATCCAGGTTGAGCACCTCAGGCCTAAGCACATCGTCATTGTTGACCTTGACCTCAAGGCCAGTCTTGGTCGAGTCAAGGTGCTTGAGCAGCTCGCTGAGCTTGGGCCCGCCCACACCGTTGGCACAGTCCACATTGAGGGCACCGGTCACCTTACGACCCTTGAGTGCTCTGTGGAAGGCCTCTGTGATCTTGTTGTAATAGCCAACCTCGCTGACCTCACCATACGACGAGGGAGTGCCCTCGGTGTTGATGCAGCGTGTCAGGTAGTGCAGCTGAGGTGTCGTGAGGATCTTGAAGTCGACAAAGGCGGTGTTGGTGGCGGCCAATGCATCAGCGAGAGCGGTGACGAGGGTGATGCCTGAGGGACGAGTGTCGCGACCAGCAATCACCTTGCCGGAGGACTTGAGGTCGATCTTGAGGGTCTCGGCGAGCTTGAAGAAGGTATCGGCAAGGTTTTCGTGGCTGGAGGCGTTGACCAGGGTTGTGGCGTGAACTTCCCACTCTTGCTCAAGCATGTCTCCCAGAGGGTCGACAATCTTGACGCCGTTGTCGACAGCCGGATTGTGGCTGGCGGTGACCATGACACCAATGGTCTGGCCACCGAGCTTGCGGCTGCGGAGGGCGGACAAGAGGCCGACACGGAAGGTGACGCCCTCGAGGAGGTCTGCGTTCATGCGAAAGCCGGCGGTGCCATATTTGTACGGCTTCCCAGGGACGATGTCGTGCTTCTTTGAAGCTGCGATGATGGCGTCGCGGTCCATGGCTGCGAAGGTTGGTGGGGGCTGAGTTACTCGGATCCGAATTGGCAGGCTGGTCGGTATGGAGCGGGGGTTGTGGAAGTGATCGGGTCTCGGTCGAGATGCGGACGGGCCAGGCTTTTGAGATTGGAGTCGAGGCGGGCAAGAAAGTGCTCGGTCCTGGGAATAAAGACGCAAGAGGAGTTCCAAGGTTGCCAGGGCGGTCGCTCGCTGCATTCAAGGCCGTGACGCTGGCGGGAGCTCCATCAAGCAGTGCCCCGCCTCGTTTGCCCGCTCGCTGTGCAGCTGCGCCCCACCAATACGAGACAATGTGGGGCCGCATTGATTCCTCCAACAGAAGCCGGGCGGGCGTATTCTTAGCACACCGCGCTCACCTCTGCCACTGTCGAACTTCATAATGGAGCGTACAAATTCAAGCTGGTTACTAGACAATATTGAAAGCCCGTTCTTCGCGGGTGGACGTGGAACGTGTGTCATATCTTGAAAGTGCTGCCTTTTTTGGGACCTGTGCTTTCTGCGTGTCTTGACTCCTGAATAAACGCGGCAGTTACAACCGATGCAGAACTACTCCCTTGGTGTCACATGACTTGGCGCCCTTCTCGTGTCAAGTGCCCCTGTAGCCTTCGATCGAACTCTTTGTCATCACCACCAAGCAACACGTCGACGCGTCTTCATTTGCGCCTTTGACAAACGCCGGACCTTCTCGGCCCTCATTTATCCCCTGGAGCGACTCCGTTGTTCCCCTCCACCTAGTCTGGTCGCCGCTGAAAATCTGCCTCACCCAATGATCGTTTCGCCATGCCCCAGCGGACCGGCCTTCAGCTAACCCTCTTCTTCTTGGCTGGGTTCAAGAATGGGTAGACCAAGCCCGCGAGCGGAACTCAAAGGGCCTGCTTACATACAAGAATGCCTATGCTGCTTTGAAAGCTTGTCCAATCACTTTCGGTCATCCCTCGGAGCTTCAGCAGCTCAAAGGCTTTGGCCCAAAACTTTGTGACCGGCTCACGGAGGAACTAAAGCAACACTGTGAGGAGAATGGTCTGCCCATGCCTAAGAGGAAGCGCCCAAGCAAAGCAGGACAAGCAGCTGGTGATGATGATGATGACGATGATGAGGGTACACATAGACCAGCGAAGAAGCCCCGGAAGGCCAAGCCATACGTGCCAACTCTTCGAAGCGGGCCGTATGCTCTCCTGCTTGGGCTTTCGTCCCTCGATGAGGAAGCAGCTATTGGAATCACAAAAGATCAACTCATTCAAGAAGCTCAGCCTCATTGCGACTCGTCATTCACAGCACCGAAGGATGCCAACAGCTACTACACAGCTTGGAGTTCGATGAAGACATTGCTAGACAAGGATCTTGTCTCGGAGAAGGGCAGGCCAACGCGAAGGTACATGTTGACTGACGAGGGTTGGGAAGTCGCTCGCAGAATCAAGAACACGACCACGCAAACTGGCCGAGCACCGCCAAATCAGTCAGCACAGTCAACGCGTCCACAGCCAATCAACTTGACGGGGGACCACGAAGATGACTGTGTTGAACACGACGACGCTGTGGACGGACCACGTAACATGGGCTTGGATGGTGCCGGCGAGGAGCAAAACTACGCGAATGTTGTTTCTGTAGGGAATGGGTCCACCGATACCTCGACTTTGCCTGACTTCAGACCAATCCGGCTTGCTCCCGGCACCTTCACAGTAGAGCTCGTGCTTGACGTGCGGGAGATTCGTGCAAAAACCGACCGAGATTACATGCGGGACGCACTGAGTCAGAAGGGCGTTGATCCTATCATGCGGTCGTTGGAACTGGGGGACGCACTCTGGGTAGCGAAGTGCAAGGACTCCAACTTCCTCTCTCGTGCAGGAGCTGAGGGCGATGAAATCGTCCTTGACTGGATCGTAGAGAGGAAAAGGCTCGATGATCTAATCGGGAGTATCAAAGATGGTCGTTTCCATGAGCAAAAGTTTCGTCTCAAGAAGTCTGGAGTCAAAAACGTCATCTACATCGTGGAGGAAATGAGAATGGATGCTGAGGGCCTCAGCAAATATGAGGAAATGGTGCGGTCAGCGATTGCCTCCACCCAAGTGGTGAACGGGTACTTTCTCAAGAAAACCCAAGCCATGGACGACACCGTGCGGTACCTGGCACGTATGACGATGCTTCTTAAGAAGCAGTACGAAGACAAGACGCTGCTTGTCATCCCGACAGAAGTTCTCACAGCACAAAACTACCTTCCACTGGTAAAATATCTGCGTCAGGTGGCACCGAATGACAGCCACTACATCACATATCCGGCATTTGCATCACTCTCATCAAAGTCGGAACTGATGACCCTTCGGGACCTCTATCTGAAGATGCTGATGTGCACAAGACAGGTGACTGGCGAGCGGGCGATCGAAATTCAGAAGAGGTGGAAGACCCCAAGCGAGTTCATGCAGGCATTGCGCGATTGCGGCGAGGGATCGCAGGGCGACAAGAAGAGGCGAGAGTTGGTCTTTTCGCAGCTCGGTGCCTTGCCAGTGCAACGCAAGAAGGTTGGCAAGATCCTCAGTCAGCGCATCGCAGATATCTGGAGTTGAAATGATTACTTGATTGGGAACCTCTACTCAAAACCGAGCGCCACTAGGCTGAGTGGCCTCCAGTCGCCTGCGCCACGATGTTTTGCACCATCTTCTCCACGATCGGCTTAAGCAGTTCTTCCTGGGAACTGAAGTAGCCAGCCATCGACTTCTCAGCATACTTTGCGAGAACATCAACCTCGATGTTGACCGTCTCGCCAGCTTTCTTCTGCGCGACAACAACCTTCTCCTGGGTGTAGGCAATAAGCATGACCTCCCACCAGCCTTCGGCATCATTAACCTTGGTTATTGTCAAGCTTGTGCCATCAATGGCAATGAAGCCCTTGAACACGATGTAGCGCATCATGTCGCGCGCCTTCGGAGCAAACCGGAACGTCAGGGCGTTGCCATCCTGCTCCACCTTGAGAATCTCAGCAACGGTATCGACATGTCCTTGGACAAAATGTCCACCCATGCGTGTGTCGGCTCGGACGGCTCGTTCGAGGTTAACCTTCGAGCCCTGCTGAAGCGCACCAAGATTCGTCAGACGAAGAGTCTCTGGTGCAATGCCGACCTTGAAACTTGGTGGCGATGCGTCCTTCTTTAGATCGGTCGCTGTCAGGCAGCAGCCGTTGATGGCGATGCTGTCACCCAGCTGTGCGTCTGCTAAGAGCTGGGACTTTTCTGGCAGCGCGATGGTGAGAGAGGTGCCGCCGGTCTCATCTTGCGAGTTCAGCTTGGCGACGACTGTGTGTATCTTGTTAGAAGTTACCCTGAATCGACAGGTCCTGGATTCCACGAACCGCCGATCTCCTCCACGAGTCCAGTAAACATCTTGAGCTTTTGTGCAGATGGTGTCGTTTGAGTGAGGGAATGGATGGTTGGAGCCCCGCCACGACTTCAAGATGGGAAAGCTTACAGATGCCTATGTGGGGCGTACCAGTCCCCCTGTGCCGAGCAGACGACCCTGCAGGTTCAGTGGCATTCGCATGGGTCCGTAGCAGAAAGATCAACTCATCGACGTCATCAGTTATTCAGTGATAAAATCCCTTTGGTTGTGACCTCAACACGAGCTGCTCAAGAAGGATGTGAAGGCTCCGAGCTTGAGTCATTGGGCTTGGGATGAAGGACTTTGGCGTCCTTTGGGTTCGTTCTCACCTAGGGTCAACGCACCGTTGCGTATACATATTCTGACGTACACGAACATATTGGATTTCAAAACCTTCAAAAGTAACATAGGAGTTCTTGCAAGATATGGTTCGGATTTGGCACTCCGGTATGTCCCACATGGCCATGTCCAACATCCCTTCGCCCCCTGTTCTCATCTCATGCTTCCCGCAATCACTCTCCCTCGAGAATAGGATCCATGATCTGCATGGGCCCTCTTCGAGGTAATCTGCCCACGCGGACTTGCCTGGCCTGCCTGGGTTTATACCTTGTCACGGTGCAGACTCTGGCCAACTGCACAATTGCTTCTTCCTGGCTTTGTTCCAGGACGCCGCCAGTTGGGCTCTCCCCATGCTGTCCCGCTGTCGTCGGAGAGTATACTCTCGGGCGGCAGGTTTGTACTTGGTGGTAAGGATGCCTGCTAGCAAGTGTCTGACTCTCTGTCGTCGTACTGCCCGCACTCGACCTGGGAGCAGTCTCGTCATCTGATCGGAAGGACAACCGCGACGGCGGACGGACGATACATTGTGCCCTATGACGGCGTGGTGTGGCTTCCCGGGAGAAGTACCTATCCCGCAACGACGGGCTGGTCTCCGTTGAGCTCTTGGCCTCGGAGATATCACCAGCAGCGAAGATCGTTGTCGTATTGCCGGGATTCACGGGAGGAGTAGCAATGCTGGGGCACCGTACTCGGATGGCGTTATATATCGTTCTTTGTCCGTCGTGATGGCAGCTTGAGCCCAGACCCTGACCTTCAGTATCCCCCTGCTGCTTCTTTGGCCATGGGATGCACAATGGGATGCAAAAGTGCGTCGGAAAGAGCCGGACACCTGCTTCTCGGGTCTGTAGGAGCTGAAGGCCCTCGCCAAATGGCGGGGAAGAAGAGGCTGGCGTAATCGATTGGATCTCAGGACGGCCACCAGCTTGTCCTGTAGTCATTGGCTCGAGTAAGATTGAAGATGGCGTTGTCGTTGTCGATAAGGCCTCAAGTGAGTTCATCTGGGCACCACGGCAGAGCTTCTTGTGCTGGCGCTTCTGTAGAGCTGTGCGATTGCGGAACTGGCCTGGCCGGGGTACTCGTGATATCGGGCCGGCGGCATCCCCAGGCATGCTGCTCATGTCAGCGAGGTTAGGCTTGTGGTTCGGTCATCTAGGCACGTCCTGTTTCTTGAGGACATTGCTGCCGCGGGCGGTGCTATGGTCCTTGACGTCATTGTCGGCCTGGGAACAAGTCATCCAGCGGAATACTTTGCTCGTGATGACGGGCATGATGGTCATATGGTCAAAGACTGATATCCAGGACTGGCATTGGACTTCAGGCCTGGGGTGGATAGCCGGTAGCGGAAGTGACCTGAGGTTGCGCCCTCACGATATGGGAGTGGCTCGTAATCATATATTTCCTGCTCGGACTCTAAGGGTCAAAGCTTGAGGGCAGGGAGATTGATCTGTCTACAATGTAATGAGTCCGCCGCGACAGGCAGGCCTGTTCGCATATGGTTGGGCTGTGGACAACTTTGTGATGGTCACTTTGCGATGTGAACTTCTGTGCCTCCTACAACGATACATCAAGCTTGCATTGCGAGTATAGGAAACAAACGTTCTCGTAGTGTACATGTCCTTGTTCTGAGCGGCTTTGTTGTACTTTGTCGTTGGCAACAAGCTCCAGTGTCAAACCTTTTGCGTTTCCCTCCAGCAGCGCGTCGATGCTTGCAATCAAGTAGAACTGACGATTCTTTATGATGTTGCATCTTTATCCCGAGCAGATGTTCCAGTTAGCATGCCAGTTTCATTCTCGCAGTGGCGCAATCGAGGGGCAACCCGTTTGCTAGATGCCGGCACGTCTCTGATGCCTTGTTGTGCAGCGTCTTGCCATTTCACAAACCACGCGAGGAATGTGTTTGCTGGACCAACAACTGGCAAAACAGCATGCCCATCTCGAGAGCATGGACGTGGGCAAGAATCTATCGGCCGCCGCAAGCCATCTTGCTGCATTCGATCGCTTAGGCTCGCTCGTGTTCTTGCGGCACTTCCCTTACTCTGATTCTCCTCTCGTCTTCAGAGCTCGGTATACGGTACTCGCTTGACGACGACATATCAGGCAGCTGGGCTGGTGGGCAGAACACGACCAGTACGCGATGCGGATTTCCCCCCCATCGCAATGAAAGTCCAGTCGACATGCCGCTCCGGATTCGTTTACCACGTCCGCGCGTGGTAGCCTTCGCTCCTCGATTTCACCACCACGAACTATTACACTGACGCATATAAAACAGACAGGTCAGTCTACGAAGGTCGAAGTGGTGGGACACTTCGTGGCTATGAATCTCAAGCGCTCACGTCAAGTCAATACCACGAAACCCTTGAAGCCAACAAACACTGCCAAACACGCCCCCAGCAGCCGTCACAATACCCAGCCGATTTGGGCATCCTGCTCAAACAGTCATCTTTGGTCCTTGACGGGAAGCTTCAACCTCTCCTCAGCCTGGTGCTCCTCCTCCTCCTCCTCCCCCTCCGCAGCAGAATACAGCCCACCCAGTCTTAAGCATCCACTGCCTACCTCGAGTTCCGTTGCGATTCCGTTCCGATCGGTGACGGGGGACCCCCCAGCAGCAACCACACCATGCTCTCCTGCTTGGGCCGCCGCCGACGACAACGGTCCAAAAGAACAAGTACCAGGCCCGGCACGAATACCAATAGCAGCCAGTACTACAACCACCACCACCACCGAAACCAGCACCAGCAGACCGAGAACAGCCAGACTCAAGCCCGGAATTCTCCCTACGTAGTAATCCCTCAGCACCACTACCCCAGAGTCTACAATCTCCCCGGACCACAAAGACCGATGATCCTCCCAGCAGCAGCAGCAGCTGGCGGATCGCGGACAGCCCTAGGTAGTGTAATAACCAGGCCTGCGGCCGCAGCAAAGCCCCTCCGTGGCCGCATGGGGAGGGCCTCCAGGAGCTCCAGGAGCTCGATGTTCTCGGTGTGCAAGAACCTCACGGGACTGCCGGGGAGCGAATTCGAGCATCTGCTTGGGGGCTGCCACGACGAGGAGGACGGAGAACATGACGGGGATGAGAGAGAGGCGTCGTCGTCGTCCGCCGCGGAGGGCGGCGTGTCTATACGCGGTGGTGCCGGGATGGGGAGCAAGAGTGGTGGAAGCAGCTCTTCACCATCAGGGACTAGGAGGAGCTTGCTTCGTCGAGGGCTACGGGCTCCGCCGCCACCGCCGCCGCCGCCGCCGCGACCATACCGGCCTGGCGAGCGTCAAGGTCTGGAAACTTCTACGACCCTGCTGAACTCGTTGCCGCCAACAACAACGACATCTTTGAACTCTACGGCATCACCAACAGCACGGAGAACAACAGCAGCACCGCGCCGCCTGCTCCTCCCGCTGCGCGTCAACGCCTCCGCACAAAACGAGCAGCTCTACTCGTCTCCTGCTTCCCAGCAGCAAGTCCGGCAGAGACAGCAAGACGTGGAGACGCCATACCTGCACGGCGACGAGAATGCCGGATTCTATAATCGGTCCCTGCCGCGGAGGGGGGACTCGCTGTGGCGTGCTGGCCTGCGGCAGGAAGGAGAAGGAGAAACAGGAGTACCACGGAGCCACGACAGCGGAAGACGGTATGAGGGCCGGGTGTCGACCAACAGGATCACCTTGTGGCCGACTATACCCGCCCGGCCACTGCTGTCGTCGTCGCCGTCGTCGATGGCGACAAGACGAGAGAGACGGCAGAGGGGACAGGAGGAGCGAAGGCCCACTCGGCAGCCACACTACCAACAGCAGCAGCCATCACCGTTCGCCGACGAGACGCCATGCTCCTTTGAGCCCCCAGGGCCGGGCCAGCACGGCGCACAGAAGTACTACTACGGCAACAATACCAACAAATGCGGGCGTGATCTTACGGCCGCATATTTGCAGCATGACAGAAGCGAGGATGACCGATTCGAGGTGGACTCGAATGGTGTATCGCCGTGTAGTTCGACGCGTGGAGACGAGTCCTGGAAGGCGACATATGTCGTCTCGCCGCTGACTTCACCTCGGTCGTCGTCTGCGTACTCACTTCCGTTGGGATCTGGTGTGTATAACCATCAATCGCTGCCTCGGTAGCGGCGTTTGGTTCTGATTCGACAGAAGCAGGTGTTGACAAGCATTGCTACGAGGACAGCCCCGGATCGAAAAAAGTTCGCAATGGGTTGGCCGGGGTCTCTATTGGGTTGTTTGGTCTCACACATGATTCGCAAGAGCTTGTATACAAATAACGCACCGTTTTGTTTTGGACACCATGGAGGGCGAGCGTTCATTGGCTAGCCGGGGTCGAGCTGAGCGAGTCGTTGTGACGAGCTGCGACGATGTTTACTTACCAGGTGAATTCCCTACAAGTAGACACCGACAATTCTTAGGACAATAAAGCACAAGGCAGGCGCCCAAGACTTTTTGGGAACGCCCAAGTAAAATGTTGAGATTGTTGTAGGCAAACGCCAATGGATCTTGCTAAGGTGGTGCCTGGTATAGTTCAGCTTGTTGCCTGTCGAAGAGTGGATGCCAAAGGCATTCATGGCACATGTTCCTGCATAAGGGGCACGATGATCTCGAGACACAGATGGGTAACAGCCTCGATAGGGCGGTGGTGGAGATACCCGGGGATGTTTCACGGGACGGACCCGAGCTCATGGAGATTCTCACGTGGTGTTCAAGTGGACCGAGCAAGGATCCATGATGTTTACGGAAAGGACATGGAAGACTGTGCCAAGCGTGATGGTCTAGATGGTCTGGACTGACGTTGGGATGTCTTGCGCCAGAGAGTGTGCTTGCGCGAGGATGACGAACAGGGCGCTTGGCAGGATGTGCCAAGAGAGAGACCACGTCGTCAAGCCGTCTACCGGATGTGGTGGGTTACGTGTCCTGTCGTCGTGGCCTTTCTTGCGGCTTACAGCATTTCCCCGTAGGTGTCTCCCCTCAGCCAAAACATTGTCGGAAACAGTCGTCAGGCACCCGAATAAAAAGTCGGGTTCAGGTGTCTTGTCTCTGACGTCTGGCCGTTTCGTCGCAGGGCCGTTTCTGGTGCAGCCACGCTCGATTTGGAGCGACGGGACGTGCGAGGCAGCCGGATTTGCAGGGACTTGATTGGCCAGGAAGTGGCTGGAGAGCCAACCTGGAAACCCGTATAGTGTGAGGGCTGCAGCGCAGAGACTGTGCAGCAGCAGCCAGCGGCGGTGGGCGAATCAGAGCCGAGAGTGTCTCGGATTGAGTCACTGTGGGGTGGTCACGATAGGGCTGATGGGGCATCGTGGACGGCACAAACAGCCATGATTTGATGGGTACGGGAACCGAGGCGCTGCAGCAGGGTGGGTTCATTCACCCCGGCCGGTGGTCAATCCATGGATGAGCATGCAGTCCCCGTTGCTCACCGACCTCGAGATGCAGCACGGCAGTGAGTCGTTGGTGTTGAGCGGCATGCAGTCGTGGCCATTGGTTAGAGAACAGCCCTGCGCGGATAAGCGACAGGGGCAGAAGGGTTGTCCAACTGCCATTGCACGGGATTGCACGGGACCAGCTGACCCGGGGAGCATTCCAAGGTTTGTGCAGGAATGCTCGGGTGTCCGTAGCCAACAGACACAAGCCCAGGGGAGACTGAGCTTGTGCAGTGTCGCACGAGCAAACAGCAAACAGCAGTCCACGGGTCGTTCCAGTCCACCCAGAGACACTACGCTATACCTCTAAAGTAGGCTCGTGCAGGTGGGCCGGCAGACGGATAGGACTGGCTGCAATTGCCCTGCAGGCAGCGCCGAGTGGCCTCTTGTCCTGTCTTCTGGCGTCGAGCTGTCCTTGCGAGGAGGACTCGACTTATGGAGAGCGAATTGGTGGGTGTCCTGATGCTTCGCACCGGTCGGACTGAGTGGAGGACCTTTGAGGACTGTGGTCGCTTGTCCATGGCATGCTCGGCGGTGATTGGCCCATGCTCGTGGAAGACCCCAGAACTCGGTGGACCTAGAGCGAGCCGCCGGACCCGATTTGTCAGGCAACGACATTCGACCCTTTTGAGACCAGCAAGGGAAGCAGAACATTGAAGCACTCCACCGCATCCAGCGCAGGTGCCGCCTGAGCTCTGACCAGAGCAGAGCAGAGCAGCAGAGCAGAAGCTATGCAATGCAATGCAAAGCAATACAATAACATCAGCCAGAGTACATTGGAAGGAGATACATGTCCCTCGCGAGCAATGTCTCGCTCGCATGGGCCATCCGCCAGAAGGAGTGGCTGGGCTGGTACAAGGCGCAGTCGGGCTTTGGCAGCGAGGGCGGCCGGACGGTCGATTCGGCCGTGTCGGGGGAAATCATCATCGCATCATATCAGGGCACATTGGGGCTGAGCAGCTGCCATCAGGACATCTCAGTGGGGCCGCACTGGGCAAACGCCTTCGTTAGTGGCCGGCGAGGCAAGTGCTGCGCCCGGCGAGCTGAGCATAGAAGGCGACAGTACGAGACACCGTGCCTGTCGCTGGCTCTTACAGTGTATGGCACCATCTGGCTCATCTGTCCATAATAGTGTTTTCGACCGATCATTCATGGAGCAGGCTCATCAGGAGGAGAGAAGCATCGTGGTGCTAACTCGAGAAAGAAAGAAAGAAAGAAAGAGAGAAAGGAAAAAAGGTTCAACCACTCCAACCGGACGACCCGAGTGCGAAGGTGCCACAGCTGCCATGGACGAGGCAGCTCGTGGAGATCACCACCACTAGGGGGGAGGCACTGTGCGTCACGGCACGGACCCGCTCTTCAGCTTCGGGGGCGGGCAGGGGCCTGCAGGCTGCTGCCTAAATCCGCTCCTGCTCAAGACCGCAACAACTCCTCGTCTCACGCCCGCCCACCCGTACGTCGCCTCCCAACGTCGCCTCTCTCTCGTCTGCCTCTTTCGAGTTGCTCTGGTCGGTCCTCCTCTGTCCTATCCTGTCCGTGTCTCTTGTTCCTGTCAACTCGCGGCCTGGCCCATCAGGTAGACACATTTCGTCCCTGTCAGCAGTCCCACTCTCGCTGCTCTCGTCCTCCCGCCGCCAGGTCCTGCTTCGACTTAACTGTGTCGACCCGCCCTGTCCACCCTCATCCATCCAACCTTTGTCCACCTTCTCGTCCTGCCTCGACGAGACAAATACGCACCTGTCGCCATCTCCAAATCGCGCAGTCTCCAACACCTGGCCTGCTTCTCGCAAGGTATATGCCGCAACCAGGAAGTTCTGGACCACTCTTACCGCATCTCGCCGCGGTCTCGTGCCACTCCATCTGAGCCAAGGCATACTCGCCCCTGGTCCGCATCTCTCCGGGGCCTTGAGTCATCATCCATCATAGGACACCTCGACTGGTGTCTCTACTGGATTCTACCAACAAGTAAGGATACTCTCTCTTCCTGGCAATCGACGCGTTCGTCCTCGCGGCATTTTCTCGACCATCCCGGCTTGGTGTATCAAGCCGGATCTTCCCTTCCTCGACCTCCTGTGGATTCCTCAGGCCAACAGCTCCTCGGTGTGTCGACAGCACAGGGTGACTCACAGCCCTATCTAGGCTTGGAACTACGCACCAACAGTGCTAACCCCTCTTGCCTCTCGTCATAGCTTGCCAATCAGTTGTCTCGTACCTTGTGCATACATCTATCGCCCTGTCCTACTCCAGGTTTCCTCCCTCCTCTCGCCTTCAACATGTCCTTTACCAACCCTCGAAGGACACCTGCCCCCCACCAGGAAGGGCTCGGTGAAGGCCTCAAGATCAAGACAAACGTCGTCCTCCGCAAAGGTGCAACCTTCCACTCTCCTACTACTCCCCCATCCAGCCCCCCTTCTACGTTCAGAGTGCCATCACTCCCTCGTCGCTCGCAAACAACACTCGAGGATGTTGTCGACGCACACCGGCGCCGCGCTGCGTTGACCATCGGCGACATCGACAAGACTCTGGCCGGTGGCAAATCAAACGCGCCTTCTCGTCGCTCGTCTCGTGACGACACACTCCCCGTTCCTCGTGGTTTCTTGGACAACACTGTCATGCCCGACACGATGGCTGGCAAGCTTCCCGCCCCGGAGAGGCGAGTCCTCCGCCCCCGGAACCGCCGCAGCAACCGCCACGAGTCTGACAGTGGTCTGGGCTCGTCGCTCGACTCGGCAAACCAGAAGCACAAGGACGCTGCCGTCACGGCTGGCGCCATCACACGCTCTGGAGCTTCATTCCGTCACGAGTCGCTCGGACGCCTCAGCAGCCGCGCCATCAACCGCATCACCGAGCACACTCTTCAGCCCCTGCTGGCCAATGAGAAGCTCAAGGACTTCCGCCCTATTGTACTGGACTGCCCGCGGAGGATTCAGGAGCGCCAAATTGTCTGCCTTCGGGATCTTGAGAAGACTCTGATCTTTATGGCACCGGTGAGTGAGCTCGAGAACGACTCTGGTCTCTGGGGAGTTACTTACAGGATGTTGTGTTTGAAGGAGCGGGCAAAGACTGCCGAGCTGTACCGCGACTTCTGCCTTACTTCGATCCAATGCATCCAAGCCACCGTGGAGTACCTCACAGACCGTGAGCAAACCAGACCGAGCGATCGGCCTTACACCAACGGCTACTTCATCGACCTCGTTGAGCAAATCCGCATGCACGCCCAGCAGATGCAGGACGCTCGCGAGAGACTGGCCTCTGGCGAGGCTGCCGATGACCTCGACGTCGACCCGTATGTTTCTCTTCATCAACTCTGCCTGCAACCACCTACTGACATGATCACCACCAGCACCGATGAGGTCAAGCTCATGGGTGGTCTCTCTCAAAACGGACGGCCCGCCGAGCTTGTCAGAGTGAAGAAGAACGGCAAGGCCATCTCTCTGGCGACCGGCCAGCCGATCGAGGACTACGACGAGGAGTCCAAAGATGGTCCTATCCGCGTCAAGCGATCAATGAGCCAACAGCTCGAAGACGAGGAGGAGATCATGCGTTCCATGGCTCGCCGGAAGAAGAACGCCACTCCGGAGGAGCTTGCGCCCAAGAAGTGCAAGGAGCCTGGCTGCAACAAGGAGTTCAAGCGCCCTTGTGATCTCACCAAGCACGAGAAAACACACTCGCGCCCCTGGAAGTGTCCCTTCACCACCTGCAAATACCACGAGTATGGCTGGCCCACGGAGAAGGAGATGGATCGCCACGTCAACGACAAGCACTCCTCCGCGCCTGCCATGTACGAGTGCCACTTCAAGCCCTGTCCGTACAAGTCGAAGCGTGAGTCCAACTGCAAGCAGCACATGGAGAAGGCTCATGGCTGGACTTATGTCCGCACAAAGACAAACGGCAAGAAGGGCGACAGCGTCAAGGGCAGCTCCTCCGCTCAGCCCACGCCTGCCATGGGTAACCTACCAACCCCAAGCAGCGATCACACCAACCCCATCATGACTCCCCCTGAGGACATGATGATTGGTTCGCACCTCGACTTTCCCATGTACCCTTCGCACGAGCAGTTCCAGGCCGACCTCTTCGGTGTCCCCAGCCTGCATGATGACATTCAGCTCGAGTTCTCCCCTGAGGATCTCACACCCGAGGAGCTCTCGTCGCCCCTCGAGCGTGGCACTCCATCCACTGATGCTGGCCAGTTCAATGCTTTCCAGGAGCTCACCCCCGAGTTTACTGGTCAGTTTGAGGACATCTATGGAGCGCACGTGCAGCTGCCCACCCCTCCCAACAACTTCTTCAACAAGGAGTTCTCGGCCAATTTCGCCACCATGGGACAGGATCTGTGCGCGCCCCTCAATGGCAACCAGCCTCACTTCTCGCCATCTGGCCAGGGCAGCGCCATGCTCTACACCCCTACCTCGATGGCAGACTTGGACGAGGGCTTCATTGACGAGTTTGCCGTCAACGGTCAGATCGGCGAAGATTTCCCTCTTTTCCCAACTGGTGGTCTGGACAAGTCTATGGAGCTTGATCCCACCGTGTTTGGCACCATGCCACCAAGCTTGGCTGCTGGTTTTACTCAGCCATCGTCTCAAGACTTTATGGACTACACCACGGTAGACTGGTCTGGCGATTTTGCCACTTTCCCGGAGCAGCACTGAGCTGTTAAGAGTCAGCACTAAAGGGAGATTTCTTACGATGTTACGATTATGAGTAGAAGTTCTGGCTGCGCAGGGTTTCTGCGGCTGCAGGTTGTGCGAACCACTTAGCGACAAGTCTTTCAGTCTTTCGAGGTTGAGTGATACTCCCCGAGACTTTTGTACATAATTTTATGTGTTCTGGTTTCCGCAAGCTTGCCACCTTGTTTTTTCTTGATTGCTCTCGGTAAAGCTGGGCGAGAGTATGGTTGGCAATCAGACTGAAGCCATTTTCGGATTGGGAATAGGGTTTAAGATTTCGAGGTCTATAGCCCCTGGCGGTTAATGAATTGACCACACTCCTCTACCTGAACGTGCAAGTCTCATTATCCGTTGATTCAAACGCTAGTTGTGACTGCCTAGTGACTATTGCGCTCCATTTCCAGAAGGGACACAGGCCAGAAGCAGGGCTCTGTCTTTGTCGTTGGAATCGTCTTAAGCCGGCGTTGTCTTCTGTCGGGTCGTAATGCTGAGTGAGGTTGCTGGTGACCGCCTGCCTGCATGGTGGTCGCAGCTTCCCATACGGCCGTGGTGGATGCGCAAAGATAAGTGGGGCTCAACCGACCTCTGAAATTGCGAGCCTTCCAACGCTGGCCAATTTTTCTTTCCCTCCTGCATGCTCACCCACGACTTCGTGCTATGCGGCGACGGAGCGCGCACGCGCTGCGGCGTGCATCTTTCAGGTGCGCAAGGTCCCGTTGGGCTCGCAAGGCATGATTTGGTTCCAGAAAACACCATCACTCACTGACGGTCACAACTTCGCGAGCCTCGAGGGAATGCGTGCCTGCTCTACGACCAAGCGCTCGCTGGCCCATCTCGAGAGCTCGCGCGGAGCTTCAAACCGTAAGTGTTTCTTTTGTGCTTCTTATTGCCCAGCCTTCTCTGTCGCCTTTATAGGTGTATTAGCACAATGATGCTCTGTCGCCGCCAGGCAAACTCGGCCACAGCCCGCACCTCGCTTCCAAGCGAGTCGATTTGGCTTTCACCTTGGCACGCCATCATCCCCATTCTCCTTCGCCATCACTCCCTCTTTTCCCATTTTCACCTACCACCACACGTCACAGCGGAGAGAAAGAAAGAAAAAAGGCTCGACCGGAAATGATGATTCGGACACCGTCAGGGTCCAACCTACACATACATAACATAGGAAGAGCCGTATGAGACTATCCTCGAGGAGCTCCGGGGCTGGGCCGTCGAGTGGTTTTCCGCGCTGCTCGCGCAGCAAGGAAACCATTCTTCGTCACAACTCCGTCTCCTCCAATATACGGCTGGGCCATGCGGCGATACACCTCTTCCCCACGGCGGGCCCTCGTCCTCGGGAGTGCCGGGTAGAGTGCTTGGACTGACTGCGTGTGCACCGCCATGTGCCTGCCGCAGTCCTGGTCCCGCTCATGCCGGTGTCCCGAGGCGGGAGTTTCGTTGGGGGACAAGTTCAGGGTCCGATGGCTTCGGTGGGGATTTGTCGTGCTTATATCAACTTGGTTTCTGATTCCGGAGACAATTCTCGAGCCTTTTTTCTTCATTGTCTTTACGTCTCCTCTTCCGAGGAGATGAAAGTGGCTGGGATGAGAAGAAGTCTTCTTCCCCAAATACACTCACACTTTTTCACACGCCTTCCTCTCAAACAACTGGTGTACTCTCTGAACCATGACGAGACGACTGACTTGAGATCAGACTTTAGTAGACAGCCATTCATCCTGTCGTTGTGGTCAAGACAGTAGAAAGAAATCCGGTTTGTCTTTGGGTATAATATCGACATAGTACGAGTTAATAAATAATACTCAATTACAACATATAAAGTGAATATGCCATTGTTGGCTTTTTCCCTGTGTCCCCGTGCTCCCGGTCTTCTTCTTGCCGGAGCTGATGCGACCCGATCCCAAACTCCTGAAAATGCCAGCGGGTGGTAGTGATACATTGTACTGTAGGATAGTGTTGTGGGCAGAGATGCGGTGTCAATATGTCACGGCGTGGCAGCTTCCCACCCGTCGCTGCCGCAAACGCCGTTTGCCCGCCCACCGAGTGAGGGAGGGATCACGCCTTGGGCTTGGCGACCTTTGACTTGGCTATATCGTCCTCGGTGTCTCTGATCATGAAGCTGCCAGGCAAAAAAAATTGTAATTAGCCCCCCCGCCCTACCCGGAAAATCCATGCGAAGCAGGTTGAAGTTGAGGGGGGGGGTGTATAGACTCACTTGTACCACATGATGCAGGGAGGAATGGTGCCGAGATGCCACAAGCTGTGAGCGTCAAAGGCGCCCGCGAGGGGCGGGAAGTCGAGCAGCTCGAGGCCCATGACGAGCATGATCCAACTGACGATGAGGCCCGGCCAGACGGACCACCAGGCGTGCGTCTCGCGCCACTTGGCGACGCAGAAGCCGTACCAGAGCAGGTTGTGGACGAGCCCGACGGCGACGTTGGCGGCCATGTTGTACGTGTAGTCCCAGCGCCAGAACTTGAGGTACGAGACGTGCGCGGCGTACAGGGCCGCGCACAGGAGCGTCCACAGCCCGAGCAGCCTGGGGCTCTGGTCGAGGCGGGCCACGCGGACGAGGGCGTAGTACAGGCCGTACAGCACGCTGGCGCCGGCGGCAAAGTAGTCGAGCTGCTCGGTGGAGACAAAGTCGCGCGTGTGGAAGATGGCGCTGAAGACCCAGGACGCCGTGCCGAACCAAGCAAAGAGCACGTAGAAGGGCCGCAGCGGGTACGTCTTGGGCACATGCCTGCGGATCTTGGCGAGCCCTTGCTGGTGGGCGGCCAGGTTGCCCAGGCTGAAGAGCACGCTGAAGGGCTCCTGCATGCCGAGCATGCGGTTAAAGGGCCATTTGCCGTGGAACTGGGTGATCGGCTCGTTGCGGCCCACGCGGTGCGCGGTGATGATGTGTTGGCAGGCGTAGTCGCATTCTTGGGGGCACGTCCAGAGAAGGAGGCGGCGGTGGAGGGCTGCGAAGCAGGAAGGAAATTGGTCAGAACCCCAAAAGACACGCCGCGTGAATTGCGATGGAAGAGGAAGGCCTGGAGGAGAGGCGCTGGGCTTGGGACTGACGAATCTTGCTCGGGTTGGTCTTCGAATTGCAGTTGTCGCGTTCGCAAACCTAAGGGAGGTGGGAAGGAGAACCCGTAGTGGTTAGCTTCTTGGTTGTTCGGGCCGCTGGGAGACGACGTTACACAGCAGCAGCAGGAGGAGGAGGAGGAGAGGAGGAGCAGGAGCAAGCGACGAGTGGGAAGCTGCACGAGCAACTGGAGAGGACCTACATTGACACACTCGCGGAACTCTGGCAGCCTGTCGCCAAGGGACGCCTCTGCGGGTGTGGCGACAAGGCAGAGGACGACAACGAGCAGGACGGCCAGCCACGGCCGTCTCGACCTAAGGCTCGCAGCCATTGTTGGGATTGGGCGGCCCCCTTGCAGCGATCAGAGAGAGCTCGAGAGCTGGCGAGAAGGCGCGGAGAGCAACGATGTCGGGACACTTGGGGTTGGGTGAGGTAGGAGGTGAAGGATCGGGCACGGCCAAACCCGTCCACGGGAGCAGGACGGGGCAGGGCAGGGCAGGGCGGGTGGATGATCGTCAAGGTCGCTCTCCCTGCAGGGTGCTCGCCAGAGTAAGCGTATGCCTTAAGTTTTTTGAGCTCAGGGTCATCTCAGGGGGGACTAAGCCCCTAGAAGGCCTGCAAATTGCGGGGAACTGGGGTGCTCCTGGCCGCCGAGCCTGCGGGCTGTCAGCCCTGGAATTTGGAACCCCTTTGGAAGAAAGACGCAGCCGACCGCGTATCCCCCGCGTCTGCCAAGCACTTGTGACCAGCATCGGTCCCTACCGAGCCTTCACCACAGCGCTCTCCCTCGACAGAACTCGAGGGGCAGTCCTAGCCCGGTTGTGTAACATGAGAGACGACTGTACAGGGTCAACCGCCGTTTAGTCAACTTCTGGATCCCGTACGACGTAATTATCTTTCTGGCGGTCCCGTCCAGGACCATCATCCTGTGTTTCCGCCCATCAAACCTGACAGACACACTGTCATCACCACCTTCTATGTGCTGACTGGGCTGTAGCTCATGACTTTCTCAAACTTCCCCACAGCGTTCACCGAATGACGACCTGCGTGATGGGGAACCTCTTGACCCCATACTCAAGCTGGTTGGCTATGCAGAGCCCAATCCGCTTAAAGGTCCCATCACTTTGTTCCTCCAAAACCAGCATGTATCGCTCGTCGTTGACTCTTGTCACGGTGATAGCCATGCAGTTCCGCGACCGGTGACGATCCAGGTCGAGCACAACGACTCCCCATCCTCTGCTGCTACTTTCGATCTCATCCAAGTAGGCCAGCCCGCCCACATCGCCGTTCTCGGGGTGAGGCAGGTACCACATTCTCTCCGCCGGTGCCCTGATCGTGATACTGCCAGATGATTGGGGGCATGTCGGCTCATCCGCACCCCGTTCCATATCGACGTCCAAGATCTCCATCCACTCTGTTCCGCGTTCCGTCCGACGGGCAAAGTGGTCGATATGCCCGTCCAGGCTGGCCCAGCTCCAGCTCGGAGCGCGGTCTGGGGTGGACGGCAGGGCAAGCTGACTACAGACGTCGTGAGAAGCAGGTCCCCACGCCTTCCGACCCGGATAATGATCGTGGTGCGCGAGCCAGAGCAAGCCCCTGGCAAGGTCTTCTTTCCACAACCCAGCAAGGTACGTCGGCCGTGGCAGCGAGCTGTCTCCAGATTCGCAGAACTGAGCCGCCACGCCTGCTAGAGCAGGCAACTTGTCCCACGCAACGGTCAAGTTTCGGGTACTATACTCCTCCAGCAGACCATACCAGTCCTCCCAGTCCCGTTGCCCCGTGGCCAAGTTATGGCCCAGTCTCGCGCGTCGGTTGATGAACTTTCCCATAACGTGCTCCGTGGACCGACCGTCCACCTCTCTGCCATCCTCGCAGGTTAGAAGCCCCCGGCACTCCCAGAACATCTGCTCCTTGCCGAAGTGGAGAATCGCGTGGCCGAGCAGCCGCTCCTGCATGCACCAGCCCCGTGCCATCAGCGGGCACGTCTGTAGATATTCGTAGACCTCGGGGAACTGCTTCTGCACGGCGTACTCGTCGTTAATTTCGGCCAGGGGGACCCGATCTGGCAGCAAGAATCCCGCCGTGCTTGCCGGCGAGTCAAGTGCCGATATGACCACTTTGGCGCCTGCGTAGACCGAGGCCATCTGCGCCGCCTCGCGGGCCCAGTCTTGTGCCGAGTCCTGGATGATGCAGAGCGCGTCGATCCAGAGGTAGCGGATCCCCAAGGCCTTGGTGACACGAACGGCATGCTGAAAGTTGAGCGGCAGGCTGCCCACGTCCAGACCACCGAGACGTTCACTGTAATTCGCTTGCAATGTCCGTGCGGAAATCTCCCCTCCCCAGCAGTGGCTGAGAGCGGCGTACTCTCCCTCCTCCCCGGGAGATGTCTCGTAGATGGCGATGCTGTCCATGGCCCCTCCATCGAGATCCAGGATTCGAGTAGGCAGTGCGTACCTCTTGGGGTCGTCATACTTGACTTCGCACGGCCATCCATGGGACACCAGACAGTCCCGCCGCCACTTCGCAACTCTAGCGGCGATGTACTCGTCCGTCAGCGTCGAGGGGAGCGCGGGCGTCGGGTGGCTTCCGAGCAAGGCATCATCTGGCGGGGCTTTCCACCGGCGACGAGCAGGTTTCACCTCTTCGACCTGCTCCACGAGAGGTTCGAGCTGCTGCTGGCGACATATCCGGAAGGTATGTAGAGGTGTCGCGCCGTACGAGTCCGAACCCATGATCATCTTGCGCAGCCCTTTGCGGAAACCGGCCCGGAAGTGGCCCTTTCGGGAGTTGACGCCGATCCAGGCTTGCCCCCACCACGGATACAAGCCCAGCCAGCCCTGCGTTATGAGGTCACTGTCTTCTTCTTTGTCTTCTTCTGGTCCTGGGCCGTAGTACTTCTTCGGCGGCGGTACGTCCTTGCTGAGCTGCGAGAGATCGGCGTAGAGCACCCGGCACATGTCACAGTGCGCCGAGCTCTGCTCGAGCGCGGTCAGAGACTCGTGGTGACGGTAGCCGTCACCAAAGTCCCAAGAATCGTCGCCGGCAGGGACCCAATTGCTACCTGTGGGACGAGGGTTCTCGTCCCCAACCCGTAGCTGGCCGCTGTTGTAAGCGAGCAGATCTGTCACGAAGCCTCGGCATAAGGCGCAGAATTTCCCTTTGAAGGTGAGCTCGGCTGGCCTCGTCGCTGTTGTTCAGGATTGCGGTTTACAGAATCTGTGGAGGTTTCTCGGGCGTGGATGTCGGAGTGGACGATGGCCAGGCTGTAACGAAAGGAAAAGGGGAGTCTGGTGGCTTGTAGCTCTGTTGAGATATATGTGATTATGCAGATATCTTGTGGAGTCGTGAGAGTTGCAAGGGTCCAGTTTCTATCATCCTAGGAATCAATCGCTCTGGAGCAGGGATTCTGGCTGACGTTGTCGTCGGAAGCGTTCCTCCTGTTTGAGCCAAGAAACTATAATGTTTCAGACCTGGAAGTGTTTTAGTTTACGAAAAATGGACTGAGGACATGAAGTGCGTGTTGTTGCTCCTGAACAGGTTCTTGTGCCTTACGCAGTATACTTGGAGATTGTTGGACACGCAGCAAATATGTCAGCCCATGCTTTCGCGGAAGTGTTACTCTGCCGAACACGATCAAATCCAGACTCATGCTCCACCCACTATAAGGCGAGTTTCGTTACCATCATCTACGGCATATTGAGACTGGTCACTTCATGTACATCATGATTTATACTGTCTCGGGTGCTTCAAGTTGATCTTCCATTCGAGTGGTCTACTTTTTCTGCCGCAATGTGCTGCAGTTTTCGACAGCTCCCTTGCTTCTTATGACATGGACTCCCCTTTAAGGAAGGGCAATGACCTCAATCTCGACATCGACGTTCTTGGGCAGCTGCTTGACGGCGACGCAGCTGCGGGCGGGCTTGTGCTGGATCCACTTGGCGTACTCGGTGTTGACGTCGGCAAAGTTGGCCATGTCAGTGAGGAAGATGGTGACCTTGACGATGCGCTCGATGGACGAGTCTGCGGCCTCGAGGACGGCCTTGATGTTCTTGAAGACGGCGGCCGTCTTGTCGCCGATGGTGCCCTCTACGAGGTTGCCCTGCGCATCACACGGGATCGAGCCCGAGAGGTAGATCGCCGTCGGGGTCTTGATGGCGTGGGACTGTATATCACCAATGATAAGAGTCAGTAGTTGAAGACCTTTGTGTTCAGGTGGGAAGTTGTGAGTTGCGGGTGTCTAGCAGATGGGTTGTTCTTACGTAGGGTCCCAGAGCTAGAAGGATGATGATTAGCACAAGGGTTTTGAACCGATAAATAGGCTAGTGCAGAACATACCAGGGGCAGCCTCGCTGCTGTTGATGTGCGTGTAGTCGGCCATGGTGCGAGAGTGTTGCGGGTAAAGCTGTGCAGATTGAGGAGGACGTCGGGCAGGTGTTGTAGATGAAGGGACCAAGGGACGTGGGGTAGTAATGGCTGAAGCTCTGGCTAGGCTGGAGCGAAGAGAGAGGCTCCGAAAAGCGGCCCGCATGGTTGCTGTTCGTATGGACGGGGAGGTGGAGAGGGACGAGAGAGTCCCGGGTCAATTGGCAACGCGGAGCTGTTTTCTACTCCAGTATCGGAGCTTCAGCCTGCAATGCAGCTCCAACTGAGGGTTCTCGCGGTGCTGCCCCGGCTCCGGTCGGCCAGGGGAGGAACCCTCATGTTCAACGACGGACCTCCGCAGTTCGGCGGCGTGTGTTGCGGGGACAGTGCCGGTTGAGTTTCCAGCTGTGCCGTCCGCGCACCGAATGCTGCCCGTCGCACTGTACGGCGGTCCAGTCTGCCCATTGAGTTTGCTGCGTGCGCAGCCAAGGCGTCCTTTGAACACAGAGAGACCCCGGGTTGCAATAAAGTGCCCAGGCAGACCAGGCGGGTATGTCTTATCTCCAGTTGCCATCAACGGACACATCCCTCGACATCAAAAAGGTCTGCCCAAGTATTAGTTGACGATGATTGCAATGCGAAGGGCAGGGACCCGGGAACGTCCACGTCGATAGATCAGCCGCTAGCCCCTTTGACTTAGCGTGGGCCCGGTGCTCGAGAAATGCCACCCAGGTACCGGATACTTTCTAGAACAATAGGCCCCACGCGTCCCCTCGCTGCCAGTGGCTGCCGTGACGCGTATCGGGCTACAGCTGTGTGAACAAGTGGCCTGAAGCTCGACAGCTCCTCCAAGGGAGGTGGCCGTGGGACGCCGGAACCCTGCCGCCGCCCGCCAGGGCTAGAGGTCCCTCCCCTGCTTCCAGGCCCAGGACACCCTGTGCCACACTGTACTCCATAGGTGTTCAAGACTTGACGTGAGCTCACAACCCTAGCGCTGGCCAGACACCTGTCAAGGGATGGTGCAGCTCAAGCTCCAGCTACGAATAAGGAGACACGTCCAAATTTCTCCCCTTCTCCTCCTTTCCCAGTCCGCTGCTCGACGACCACGAGCTCACCACTGTACAGAGACGACCCTGCCCATCCCAGGTTGTCGTCAGGCTGGTGCATCCGCAGCGCCCTAGCCTCTCTTTCCTTTCATCCTTTCGTACGTCAATCGGCACCCTTCGCCATCCTGCTTCACCCCTCCCGCCACGGCACCCAATGCTAACGCCCACGGCTCTTCCCACCCACAGATTCCGATTCACTTTGTCTTCGACGCGGCCAAGCCTAGCCACTCGCCATGTCCTCTCCTCAGGGGAGCCTGCGCCAGCGCGGCGGCGTCACCAAGCAGAAGTCGGCGACGGACCTCAAGGCCGGCACAACCCAGACTGCCGTCACCGTCAAGGCGCCCGCCGGTCCGGCTTCTGACTGGGACTACAAGCTCGGCTTCATCATCATTACCGTACTTGCTTTCATTTCTCGTTTCTGGGGCATCAGCCACCCCGACCAGGTGGTCTTCGATGAAGTGCACTTCGGCAAGGTGAGCCATACTTCCACCACAACCTCCAATAGCCTCTCAATCCCAGGCTAACACATTGCCCACGATATCTAGTTTGCCTCGTACTATCTCGAGAAGACCTACTTCTTCGATGTCCACCCTCCCTTCGGAAAGCTGCTCTTTGCCCTTATGGGCTGGCTCGTCGGCTACGACGGCCACTTCCACTTCGAAAACATTGGCGACTCCTACATTGTCAACAAGGTTCCCTACGTTGCGTTCCGTGCGCTACCTGCCCTCCTCGGCTCTCTGACCGTCTCCGTCACGTATCTGATCATGTGGGAGTCTGGCTACAGTCTCCCGGCTTGCATTGTCGCCTCTGGGCTCGTCCTGCTCGACAATGCCCACATTGGCCAGACCCGCTTGATCCTGCTCGATGCCACGCTCATCTTCGCCATGGCATGCAGTCTGCTTTGCTACATCAAGTTTTACAAGTTGCGCCACGAGGCCTTCAGCCGCAAGTGGTGGAAGTGGCTCATCCTGACTGGTTTCGCGCTCTCTTGCGACATCTCGGTCAAGTACGTTGGTCTCTTTGCCTTCGTCACCGTCGGCTCCGCTGTCATCATTGACCTGTGGGATCTGTTGGATATCAAGCGTGTTGGCGGCGCGCTCAACCTCAGGGAGTTTGCCAATCACTTCATCGCGCGTGCCGTGGGCCTCATCATTGTTCCTTTCCTCTTCTACCTTTTCTGGTTCCAGGTCCACTTCGCTATCCTGAGCCGCTCCGGCCCCGGTGACGATTTCATGACCCCCGAGTTCCAGGAAACCCTCTCGGACAACGTCATGCTCGCCAACTCCCTAAACATTGAGTTCTACGACACCATCACGCTGCGCCACAAGGAAACCAAGGCATACCTGCACAGCCACGAGGCCAAGTATCCTCTTCGCTACGATGATGGCAGAGTTTCCAGCCAGGGTCAGCAGGTCACTGGTTACCCTTTCGATGACCTGAACAACCACTGGCAGATTCTTCCCGCTGTCAACGATGGAGTGATGGGTAGACGTGTCAAGAACCACGACCTCGTCCGCCTTCGTCACACCGTCACCAACACCGTCCTTCTCTCGCATGACGTTGCCTCTCCTTACTACCCGACCAATCAGGAGTTCACCACCGTCTCAATGGAGGATGCCTATGGCCCGCGCGCAAACGACGCGCTCTTCGAGATTCGCATCGAGCACGGCAAGCAGAACCAGGACTTCAAGAGCGTGGCCAGCCACTTCAAGCTCATCCACAACCCCAGCAAAGTTGCCATGTGGACACACACCAAGCCTCTGCCTGAGTGGGGCCACAAGCAGCAGGAGATCAACGGCAACAAGCAGATCGCGCCGAGCTCCAATGTCTGGCTTGTTGAGGATGTTCCTTCTCTTCCTGCGGATTCCCCTCGCCGCGTCAAGGAGGAGAAGAAGGTCAAGACTCTTCCCTTCCTTCGCAAATACTTTGAGCTGCAGCGGTCCATGTTCTGGCACAACAACCAGTTGACGAGCAGCCACCCCTACTCGAGCCAGCCTTACCAGTGGCCGTTCTTGCTCCGTGGTGTCAGCTTCTGGACCCAGGCCGACACCCGCCAGCAGATCTACTTCCTTGGCAACCCCATTGGCTGGTGGATCGCTAGCAGCTTGATTGCCGTGTACATTGGTATCATTGGTGCCGACCAGATTTCGCTCCGCCGTGGTGTCGATGCTCTTGACCACCGTAAGCTTCTCTCGAAATGCTCGCTGTCTTGGAAATGCATGCTAATCTTCTGATAGGCACTCGTTCTCGGCTGTACAACTCGACCGGTTTCTTTTTCCTTGCGTGGGCAACCCACTACTTCCCTTTCTTCCTCATGGGTCGCCAGCTCTTCTTGCACCACTATCTTCCTGCCCACTTGGCCTCTTGCCTGGTTGTTGGCTCTCTTGTGGAATTCGTCTTCAACACCGAGTCTACTTTGGCTGAGGAGACCGTCTTCGTCGAGAAGCTGGGCAAGAAGGTGCGCACCAGTGGTCCCCGCCGACATGTGACCGCCAAGGAGCGCTTCGCTGGTCAGAGCCAGGCTCCCGCCTGGATCGCTACTGGAGTCATCTTGGGCCTGGTTCTGGCTGGCTGGTACTTCTTCCTGCCACTGACTTACGGGTACCCTGGCCTGAGTGTCGAACAGGTCCAGGCCCGCAAGTGGCTGGGCTATGACCTTCACTTTGCTAAATAGATGGCAGAGTCAAGACAAATTCGAGACACAGAATTCTCTAAAGGAGACAAAATGGGTGTAGCTCTATAGGGCCTGGTTGGCGGATACCGGGAATAGGTCGGCGCCATGGTTTTGATGACCTGGGTTGAGGTTATTTTGTGATTTAGATAAAAGACATGGCACATGACGCTCCAGGCGCTAGACGCTTGGCACTGTAATACATCTCATATCGGATCTATCGTGAAGCTCTAATCTCATTGTGCATTGAGCGCCGAGTCAAGGTCTGTCGTGTGCCCAGGGTTTTTTGTGAGCTCGAGATCCGCCATCAGCCGAGCTCGTGTGAGCGCTGATTGAGGAATGTGCGGCGAGTATGTGAGCAAACGGCTTCTGTTTCTACGACGCGGTGTTTTGCAAGCTGGTATATCTAGGTAGTTAGGTACTTTTCATGGGGTGCCGCCCCAGTCACCGCAACACAACAGGTTTGCGAGCAATTTCCATCCTGAACTCCGAACGTTTGCCACCTAGACCCGGCTCTCTCTCCCGCTCTCGCTCTCTCTCTTTCTCCTTGCTCACCGAACGCAATCCTCCTCCGCTCACGTTCTTCTTCTAAGTCTCGGCGAACGAGTAAGCGCCCTTGGACGCCTCGACGGGGATCTCAATCTTTCCCTCCTCAATCTCCTTGCCGTCCACCTTGATTCCCGCGCGCATGACGTCTCCGGGGACGACAGGGCCGACGCCCTTGGGGGTGCCGGTGAGGATGATGTCGCCCTTGTGGATGGTCATGACCTTTGAGATGTCGCTGAGCATCTGGGGGATGCGGAAGAGCATGAGGTTGGTCGAGTCGGACTGCTTGGTGGCGTCGTTGACGGTGAGGTAGAGCTCGGCGTTGTGCGGGTCCGGGATGGCCGACTTTGGGATCACGTTGGACATGGGCAGGAACGTGTCGAAGCCCTTGGCGATGGACCAGGGGAGGCCCTTCTTCTTGGCCTCGTTCTGGACGTTGCGAGCCGTCATGTCGATACCGATTGCGTAGCCTGTTTTTGATTGCGAAGAGGTGGTGGTTTTAGTTTTATGGAATATTACGCCCTGCCTCACAGACAAACACACCCGAGACATCTGTTGATTCCACGAATTGGGGTTCTTGGGAGGAGGCTATATGTGTGGGCGGGAACACATACTCTCAATGGCATCCAGGGCACCTTGCTCGTCAGAGGCGTCGAGGTCGCGGACCTCCTTGCCCATGATGAGGGCGAGCTCGACCTCGTAGTGGACGTCGACGCCGTTGGGGCAGATGACAGGGCCAGCGCCGGGGGCTACGATGGACGAGGTCGGCTTGAGGAAGAAGAAGGGCTGTTTCGGGCGGGCGCTGTTGAGCTCGGTGATGTGGTCGCTGTTTGCGCCATGATCGGGAAAAAGATGTCAGATGTGGTCGTCCGAGAAGCCATCCCTTTGGGGAAGCAGGGAGAGACTCACGCATAGTTGCGGCCGATGCAGACGACCTTGCCTGCGTTCTTGAAGGAGGCGGCGTCGGTGATGGAGCGCGACATGATGGTGGTGTGCTTGAACTGGCGCGGGGTTTAGTGGTCGATTTTCCCCCCAAGGCGGGTAAGTCTGCGATGTGGACAGCAGGAGGACGACGACGACTCACGGAGGTGGTAGAGCGGGAGCCGAGACGGAGCAGTGGAGAAAACCGGGAGGCCATTGTTCTTGGGAACAGCAATTGGAGCAATTGGGCAAAAAGAACAACCCGCGACAAGTCACAGGTTAATTCGCAGCAACACAGTCGAGGATTGGGGGGTCGAGGAGAAGTGGGCTATGAGGGGGTCCATCGGGGGGTCTTCCGAGATTCGGCGGAGGGAGCTGGAGCGAGGCCGAGCCGCTGACGCCGAGCTGCGGTTCCGTGCCCTGCCCTATGGGTGCCTTGTCAATGGCTGTCGCATACATACAAGTAAGTGGGCTTCCCCAGAGATATTACTGCCGTCGGGTGCTGGGTGCGGGCCCGGCGCTGGCGACCGTCCGAAGCCGGCGCCGGGTCCGTCCGGGCTGCTGGGTTACTCACGGCGCGGTTGCTCATATATCTTTCTCAACACCTGCACAAAACATGCCTGCCTTTCCAGCGACGAGGCAGTGTAAGGCAGCAACAGACGTGGCGTAGCCATGCTCATGCCACTCATTGCACTCGACTGCTCAGCACAACGAGTTCTTTTGTGGCGCCGTCCGTGTAGACGCGAACGAAATGACAGCAACGGCAGTCTACACTTGTACCCGCGCATAGCAGTCTGGTGCTCAAGCACTGGGTGCTTCTGGGTGCTGTCATAGGTCTTGTAAGCAGACGATCAGCTCCCTCGCTCTCTCAAACACACGCCCACGCAATATCGTACCGGCGTCCGCTGTTCCTGGGGACAGAAGTCATCATCACCACCGAGTTACTTTAGACGCGCCAATCAGTGCCCAGCGCAGCCCTCCAACAGACACAAACTCTAGCCTGCAGCAGTGGAAGAAACAGAGTAGTCTGCGGGGAAAGGGAAAACCGGATACCAAGGAGCTTCGTGGAAGATGACGTCCACTCAGTCATAGCTTCCCATGGCTTGTATAGACCGCCAGAGAGCCCTTGGCGCCAACCCGTAGCGGTTACAACCTGGCCGACGATGTGCAAGTGGGCATATCGAGGTTCATGAAGTGGCTCGCAGAAAGTGCTCGTCTGCCAAGGACGGCCACAAGGCCAGGCCAGCTGATCATACACTCTTTGGACCAAGTGCCCTTGACCTTGCGGGGTTGCCTCGCATAGCTGTGGGCGGTTAGGCTGCACTACCTGCATTCGCGAGTGCTTACCATCCCGAAACCCAGCGCTCCAGGGCGTCCCGCTGCAAGGTCGAGGTGTGTCGAGCTGGCCTGGAACGACCTTCCCCAGAAACTGGGCGGGGCTGGATGGTCAATCCGTCCCTTCAGGCAGCTTGGGTAGGATCTTGTTCCCCACGCCCTGCAAGCGGCCATCTGCCCGACCGCCATCCGCCCGACCGCCCACAGTGCTCTAAGAGCTAGCCCTAGAGCTGCTCCACGCCCAGCAGGGATCATCCCCTCTCCACTCTCTCAAGATTCCTGGCTTCAAACTACATCATCCGTCCCTAATTCCACGGCACCGCCATCGTCGCGCCCACCTCCGTCAACACCCTGATCCGACAATACAAGCATCACGTTCCAGCATCGCTTCTACGCACACAGTCGTCCATAACATCATAACACATTGTGCCACGGAGCGCACCGTCGCCATGGAGGCCCTACAGCTAGCTCAGATGCTAGCCGACCTCAACGACCTCCAAGCAGCCGTACGTACACGTGCTGCTCGAACTCTTCTCACTCTGGCGCTGTACTGATGGTTCGTTCTTTATTTCAGCAAGACCAGGACGCCGCCAAAGCCCTCGTCAGCGCCAACAAGACCCTCGATCGCAGGGAAGATGTCCAGCCTCCACCACGCAGCTCCGGCGGTGCGCCAGCCTCAAACAGCACCCGCAGAATGACGGACAAATTTGGCCGTCGAATCATCTCACCACCAATCTCGAGGACAAACTCGGCTGTCTCAGGCACGCCATCCTCCGCGCCAGGCACCCCGAGGGACGAGGTATGCGCTCTCTCTCGTCCTCCTTGCCTCATGGTGTCCTCAACCAGTGGTTGCATGTGGCTAACATGGTCATCTTCGTCACAATAGAGCGCCGCCGACACAGACATCGATCGAGCATCGACATTGCTCTCGCTTTACGAGCTCCGTGCTAAAGTCAGAGAGCAAAACAACAGCAGCCTCGTCAAGGCACGTGAGAAGGTCAACGCCCTTGCTGCGAAACAGCAGGGGTATGGAAATCCAGACCGGAAAAGGGCCAGCACTGACTTTGCCAGCCGCTTCACGTACCCCAAGTGAACCGGCATCCAACCGCACACATCATGGTCATCTTTCTTCCTTTTAAGCCGGCGTTTTCTGTGGACTTGTCAGGGAAAGCGGGCGGACACGAATTATGTTTTGGTATTGCTCTAAAAGTTTGGCGTTGGGACGGGTCTGCAGCGCACAGGTTTCATTATAGCTCTGGCAGCTCGAAAATTTACCTCCACGTCTCGAGGATGGCCTCGCTGTGGTTCTAAAGGCGATCGCGGTCTACTTTGGTAATCAGCCAGCAGGCGTAATGGCATCGATGGAGGTAATGCTCTTCAGGCGCTCTCCTTGGTTTCGAGAGCGGACCTATATAGCCACGAATGACGTTTTTGCTCTGGGCGAGCCATTTGTATTCTACTGCGAGTTTTGAAAGACTATCGAGATGAGAGTTGCTTTGTGCGCTGCCCAGGTGGGCAGCTTTACACGTGCAGGATGCTGTTCATATTAGCGCTCGGGGCAAAGCGCCCGCTGGTGGACCCACCAACCGGTCCCGCTAGCCACTTTCTACAGCGATCTCCCCGACGTCACGCTTTTCCTCACGCAGCAACTGCGCACCTCTTCACACCGTGCCTCCCCCACGAGAAGACGCGTCGTTGACAGCTCAATTGCTTCACGGCCTCCCTCCCGCTCGGTCACCACCGCCCCTACACGACACATCAACGTCGGCCGCTTGATATTCTGAGGACAAACAGCTGCCATGGCGTCCAGCGTCGACGCCAAGCTTCTTCGAGCTACAAAGTTCCCTCCAGAGTTCAATCAGAAGGTCGACTTTCAGAAGGTTAACCTCCAGGTCATGAAGAAGTGAGCAACCAAGCGCAAACAGAACACAGATACTTCTTGTAAGCACATCAGATCGTGCTGACTCTAGGAACAGATGGATCGCCAGCAGGATCTCGGAGATCTTGGGAGCCGAAGACGATGTCGTCACTGAGCTCTGCTTCAATCTCATCGAGGCCGGCCGATATGTACGTTGTGGATCCAAGAGCCCAATACGCTTCTGTCTATCAAATCGAACAAAACGCTGACCCTGGCCTCCCTTGTGCAGCCAGACATCAAGGCAATGCAGATTCAACTTACCGGCTTTCTCGACAAAGACACTGCACCGTTTTGCTTGGAGCTGTGGAAGCTGTGCCTCAGTGCCCAGTCGAGTCCTCAGGGAGTGCCAAAGGAACTGCTGGAGGCCAAGAAGCAAGAGCTGATTCAAGAAAAGGTGAGTGCTCATGCCCAAGCGCTCCACAACCACATGTTCCGAGCTGATTTCTTGTTGTTAAAACAGCTGGATGCCGACAAAGCCGCTGAAGAATCACGAGCCCGACGGGAGTTTCAAGACCGACGCGATCGCGAGCTCTCAGATGTTCGCGACCGCGAACGACGCGACCGTGGCTTTCGAGGTGGCCGTGGCGACAACTGGCGAGGACGAAGAGGTGGGGACAGGTTTGATGACCGCCGAGGAGGGGGTTTTGGTAGAGGTCGCGACCGGTCCAGATCTCCCCCGAGTCGAGCCAGGGACGCCTATCGTGGAGATCGTGATCGGTACATTCCAAGTGGGCGCCGGGGCGGTCGTCCAGGTGGTGGGCGGGGACGATCGCCCTCACGATCAGTATCGTCTCACTCGAGAAGCTCAGTATCGCGGTCGCGCTCACGATCGTATTCCCGCTCGCCTTCACGGTCAAGGTCACGGTCAGGCAGCCGCTCTGACGCAAGGCGGCGCCGGACTCGGTCCCCTCCACCGCGGAAGCGGTACAGATCAGGCGACCGCGGTAGAGGCCAGAGATCGCGCCGAAGAAATACATCATCCTCTGCCAGCAGATCAGTCTCCAGAAGCAGCAGGTCGCCCTCCCCTGCAAACAAAAGACGCAGGGTCTCTCCAAGCAGATCGAGAACGCCTCCACGAAGGCGCCACAGGCGACCATCCAGCCGTTCACGCTCACGGTCGCGTTCCAGGTCAGCGTCTCGCGCTTCAGCTCGGGATACAAAATTGCAGCAGGACCGCGCAGCTAGAGAGTTGATAAGCCGCAGCCCGTCCCGCGACCGCAGCGGTAGGCTACGGCGTCCTACCTCTCGCAGTCGGAGCGTTTCCAGAACCGGCGATGGCCATAGTCGCTGAAGGAGACAGAAGACCAATGGTAGCCAGCGTCGTACTTTGTCGTGCCCCTGCCAGACAAAGACACATCGAGTCATTTGGCATGCAGAGAGCACATTCCCTTCCCTCTTGGTAAACATGATGCTCTGACTGATCTGTTTGAAGGGCGAAGAGCAGGCACGTCGTAACTTGACGTTTGGGCTCGTGTGGAGGGTATATTGCGGCTCATTATATCCGACAATGCCGCTGGACCAATCTGCGACCCATAAAAGAGATAAATGCGCAGAATGGAGGCGCTGTATGGGAAGACTGGCGAACACTCAAGAATCCTCAACTTGGAGCTGGTCACACGATCTGAAAGGCTAATAACACACTTCTGGTCAACAGATTCAATGCTCCTGTCTCGTCTCTTGCCCTTCCGTAAGGCGCCACAAAGTTCAGTCTGTTCCGGGCGACCCGAGGTCAGTCATGTCACATTTGCTCTTTACCTATGACTTCTTGTATTTCGGGCCAAGCAGCACCGATTCGGACATAACGCAGCGGCTGTGCTCCCCGTAACTGGAAAAGCCAGCTCACAAAAGAATATAAATCTCCATTACGCACTCCTAGAAGCATCGGGTTCGTGAGTGAAGGCACTTGTGTGATCATATGGATGATGGTTGTCCTTCTATGGGGGAGCGCTTCGTTCTAGAAGGGCATGCAGATTGGATGTCGCCGGCCGAACAACATTGGAATGCTTGGAGCGAGCACTCGGAGGTCCGCCAAGGCCGAAGGCGTGCTGTGACTGTGTCACGTGGATCCACTATTTTGCGGGGAAGTGCATGACAAAGCGGAGACGATTGGCGGCACTTGGCGGCTCGCGGCCAAACACCGCACAGTACAATGTACTCCTGGGCCACACGTACCCCTAGCTGCCACCTGCAAAGTCCCGGCGAGAGCTGGCAATGGAGGCGGCAGGCTCCGGTCAGTCCGCCCAGCCGACAGCGCATGTGTGTGGAGCCCTGGTGGATGCCTGCCCGCCTGCCTGTCCAGGTGGTGCGTGGTTGCCCGTCGCCTCACCTTGAAGTCCTGGACTCCCAATTGCACGCCTCTCCTCCGTCTTCAATCCCAATCAAACCACCCATCCTGTCACCCGCCGCCATCCTGGCCGTCTCCCCAGATCGCCAAAACCCTTCGAAATCATCTCTCCCGAGACGTCGCATCATCTACTCCTCATCGAGATATGAGTCGATCCGGCAAAATTGCCCCCGAGCAGTTACCGTACGTTCTTTTACTTGCCCTTTCGCGTACGGACCTGCGCGGTCGAACGGCCCGGGCACACGGGCTTCAGTCCAATGTCTCCTGCCGCCAAGACCCCCATCCACGTATACCCTCATGCGCAATATATCGCGAAGCTTGACATTCTGGTGCTGACTTTTCTGCCGCCGATCAGGATCCTATTCGTCAAGAACCTCAAGTATGTTTTTGCCGCTTGCTCGACTCCCTGTCACCCATCGACACCATACCTCAATTCCTTCCCACGTCGATCGGCCGAGCTCGTCACCATCATACGACCCCGTTCGTGACACATGACTGACTTGCATCGATAGCTACGACGTTGACTCAAAGGCGCTTTGGACGCTCTTTGACCCGAACCAGGAGCGCATTGTTCGGTATGCCAGTCCAGCCTCAGCCCCTGACATCAAGCCGTCTGCTGTATCAGACGTCGTCTTACATGACAATAAACTAATTCGCTGTTTTGACCTCTAGCCAAATTCGACAGGGTATCTCTGTCGACTCCCGCGGCACTGCCTATGTCGTCTTCTGGAATGTAATGGACGCGAAGAACGCGCTTGATAAGCTGAATGGCTTCAACTTTCAGAACCGGTACCTCGTGGGTGAGTCGCCTGTGTCTGAATCCCGCAGGACGAGATTGGCAGCAGGCACATTCACTGACACTGGACGTAGTACTGTGGCACCAGCCAGAGAAGACCCTTCGGTCAAAAACGGACGAGATCTCCATGCGCCGGGAACAGTTAGCGCAGCTCAAGCAGCAGCATGGTATCGATTGACAATCCGACGGGTCTGTAGACAGACTCCAGGCCAATCGCTCTAGCGTTGCGTCTGCAGTCCCGTCGTCTTCTTCCACCAGAGGCTCTCGCGCGAGCCCTGTCGCCGCTACGATATCCATCAAACAGAGCGGAGCCGCGCCGTCCACCACGGCGCCGAGGCAGATTGCCTCGCCAAGGTCCATGAGGAAGGGCTCGTCGGATAGTGGCGGTGGATCCCCACGTAAGGTCATGTTTGACCTGGTGCGAGGAGTTCTGCCTCACAGGTCTGACAAGCTCGTCATGGCTTGACATCACCATCACTCATAATGCTCAAGCCATGTCATGGACGCTCGCTCACTAAACTCGAAGCGAACACACTCGCCCGGACTTTCATTACTGGCTCGGGTCATCTGAAGTCTGCATTGTTCCATTATTTCATGTCGACCATCCCCTACTTCGTTTCAAACCTTTTTTTGGGAGGACCATGGTCAGCACCAGATACGACAAAACGGCATCGACCAGTACTTTTCCTAATGGACGATGATCATCTATCTACCAGGTGGCAGCCAACCTGTCTTGACTTGCCACATCTGCCATGATATACACCTGGTCCATACTCAATCCTTTCACAATGGTTATTTTATGGAATGCCCGATTGTGGCATTTATCAACAATATTGTCAACAGTTTCGAGATTCGCCCGCATCAGTCCGTAAGACAGCTTGCCCAAAATTGGGGCTTCCAGGGGGGCGATGGCAGCGCGCCGATGCTCTATCAGCCGAGAATGAAATCAAGTTACCCAGGACAGAGAAATTACATCTGTGTGTAGGCGATTGAAGTGCATGATTACAAATGATTGTGCCCCGGGTGACTTGTTTCCTGGCCGAGACGATTCAGTGAGCGACCCACGGTGCAAAGACTGTTGTTGCTCAGGGCTGCTCAGTGGACACTATGCGGAGCGTGCAACTAATCAAGATGCCTGTGCCTCAAGTCGAATCATTTGGGGAGAGTGGTGTTGAGTGTCAAAGACATGGGGCCTTGACTTTGACTAATAAATGCTAGCGCAACTGCCGACTGCCCTGGCCTTTATACAGTCTGTGCAGGAAGCCCGAAATGCATGTTCTCGGCTGCAACATTGTCGGCGGGGTTGGAAACTCACGGCTGGGTGGATGCGGGCTTTTAGGCCTTCTGCCGTCAAGTAACATGGCCAGAAAGATGCAGAGAGCACAAGTGGTGACGAGCCAGTCAGTAACGCGGCGCCTTGGGGGCGGTAGGCAGTGCTGTCCAGGTCACCTGGACCCGCCTAGACTAGAGTAGATGACCACACGGGGCAGCCTGCGGCCGCCACTGCCCAGGGACTGATTAGCGAGGCCACCTCCGTAGACCTCCTCCGCGTTTCAACTTCCGCCTGGCGACTCTGCTCATGTGCCTGCGCCCTTTCGCGTCGTGATATTTGCACTGACATAGCAACCTGACGCTCACTTGTCTTTGTTGCCCATCTGCGGACCTGTAACTGAGCTGCAAAACCCCCGTGCTTCGGCAGCTGCGCAAAGCTCAAAGACTGTTTCTCGCCCCTCCGCCTTTGTACCATCGTCGATCGATCGCCGTCAGCTGTCCTAGATTCGCCTCCAGGGTTCAATACCGGGATCTCGTCGGCACTCTTCTCGATACTTTAGAACCTCATCACAGTCCCCCCCCCCCCCCCCACCAATCTCACAACTGGGCTCGCGAGCGTGCGAACGCCGCTCTTCACAGTGCCTCCTCCCGACAGTATGCAAAGGTAGCCGCCGGCCCCAATTCTAAGACACGCCGAAACCGTCGCCGTCCCGAGGCAGCATGTCGGCCTTGACTGCAGCGCTCGAAGCCGCTGCTTCGTCCTCCCTTGCCGCTGCCACGACAGCGGTCGCAGCAACCGCCGCAGCGATAGCAGCCGCCTCTTCAACCACATCACCCACAGCAACATCCATACTCGACGACTCAATAGCCATGGGCTCCGCGGCGGGACCTACATCCTCCTCGGGGGGCTCAGAGGATGGGGAGTGCCGACTGCTCGGACCCTTTGCGCTCATCATCCAGATGGCCCTAGGCGGCCTGGCGCTGCTCTCCCTCGTGTACAAGCGCTACCGCGAACGGCCCCAGCGGCCCGTCAAGATCTGGTTCTTTGACGTGTCCAAGCAGGTCGTCGGCAGCGTCCTCGTGCACATCGCCAACGTCTTCATGTCCATGCTCACCAGCGGGCGCTTCAGCGTCAAGGTCGCGCCGCCCGTCACCGTGCAGACGGCCGCCGCGATGTTGCTGCGGCGGGCTGTGACGGGTCGAGATGACGATACCTACACGCCGAATCCTTGCTCCTTTTATCTGCTCAACCTTGCTATAGACGTGAGTTCTCCAGACCTTGCAGTCCGTCTATTCTTCCATATATGGGCCCTGAGCTAATGGTTGTCTTTTTCTTCTCCGCCTAGACCACGCTCGGCATTCCGATTCTTCTCGTCCTTCTCAGAATCACGACCGGTCTTGTCTCGTACACTCCGCTCGGCAAGCCCATCGAGTCGATCCAGTCAGGCCACTATGGCTCCCCCCCGAGAGCAGTGTGGTGGCTCAAGCAATCCTTCATCTACTTCTGCGGGCTTTTCGGCATGAAGGTCTGCGTGCTCCTCATCTTCCTAATCCTCCCTTGGATCGCGCGCGTGGGCGACTGGGCCCTCGGCTGGACAGAGGGCAACGAGAAGCTCCAGATAGTGTTTGTCATGATGCTCTTCCCGCTCATCATGAACGCGCTGCAGTACTACATCATCGACAACTTCATCATGGAGAAGGATCATGCCGGACATGGGGCGCACAGGCGCCTGCCTGGAGAGGAGCATGAGCCGTTCACGAACGAGCTCACGGACAGCGAGGATGAGCACGAGAGTAGCGAGGACGACGACGACATGGCAAGCGGCAGTGACCAGAGCGTCAAAATGTCCCGCTCGAGGTCCTCTTTGCTGACCCAGGGCAAGAACAACGCCGCCTCGGCCACCACCTCCGCCAGCCTCGGCGGTGGCGCCGGCACGAGCAGCAAGAACAAGAAGAACAACAGCGTGGTACAAGAGCGGAATGAATACGATCCAGATCTGGATGGGCAGACAGTCGTCGGGAGCACATCGAGCCGCCGCGAGGCCAAGCTGCCGAAAGAGCTGCTCCCTCACGAGTGAGCCCGATGGTTTTTTTTGCTGGTCCCACAGCTCGCCCGCCACCATTCAGGAATGTGTACGCGGTCCAACGATACACAAAGCCCTGGGTTATAAACACGCTTTGTCCACACGACGTTGGCTTGGGCTACAATCGACCTGTGCCGTTCGTGTATGTAGCATCCCATGTCCGACCATGGCTCTAGGCTGTGCGAACGAGCGAACTGGCTGCGCGGCACTTGGTGATGGAGGCGGAGATCATATGGCATTCTGAGGGACCTTCTTGTACACGGCATTTATAGCACTATCTATACATGGGCGTTCTTTGGTTCATTTCTTGTTATTTCTGAAGCCACAGCAAGCAAGCAAGCAAGTATAATATATGTGGCGTCTCGCTTGATGTCGTTTGGCGTCTTTATGGATGACCATGTGCTTGGCCTCTCCGCCAGCAGCCTGACCTTGGCCCTGAAAGAAGGTGAACCAGCCCAAATCTCGTTTGGATTCATGGTAGAGGACACAGTTCACGGAAAATGTTCGAGGTTGCACCAGATTGTGCCAACATGACAAGGCATGTGGGGATTATATGATGTATTGCGACTGGTCTAGCTAGATTTGTGTGTTTTCATCGGTCATAACAAGACCAAGCAAGATTTCGAATGCTAATCATACAACTTTCTCCACTCTTATTTCTGCTGCTCCGTCTCTGTATTCGGATTATTGGTGTGGATTGACCGCCAACAAGAAGCCGGCGTTGTGTACCATTGCATTTCGATGTGGCCGATGATCATTATTCTTCCACACTTTCATACCCTTTTGGGAAGTCTTGTTTCTGGCAATTCGTGAGCAATGTAGACGATGTCAGTTCTTTCTGATTTTTCCCAGAGACTTCTTCGCCTCTTTCGCTGCTGCCTTCTCAGCAGCCTCTGCCTCAGCAATGGCGGCATTCTTAATGTCGATGCCTTTCTGGCCCCAAGTGCCTGGCTGGGTCCATGGCTGCAAACACAGCGCGCAGCGGAAGTTGTCCCGGGGGCACTCGAACACGCAGTAGTGGTTAAAGCAGCGTTGGTGAATATGGGCACCACAAGCTGTGCACTGAAGGGTTGTCGAGCCATCATCCGGTGAGCGAAAACACATTGGACAATCGTCACCAGCCAGGTGGTTGCGGTCTGCAGGCATGATGAGCTTCTGATCAGGTGGTCCTAGCACTGGCTCCAGAATATCTGCAAGATCTTCTTTGATGAAGCTCGTCTGAAACAGTAGCGGCGGCTGGACTCTTAGGACTAGAGCGAGCACGACTGCAAGTGTTGGTGGTTAACAATGTACATCAAGACCAACAAGAGATTCAACTTACAGATTGCATGCTTGCATGCTTGCCGGGGATTGAATTTCTGCGTCAAGGACAGGAGTACCGTGGTTAATTACTATCAGAGCATACTTAGGTAGGTTTGCGGGGAACTTACCGCGGCTGGGCAGTCACAACGGATGGCCTTGTCGATGAGCACGCTGTAAGTGTTTTTGCTTTCACTGTAGATGTTGAACCGTGCGGCATGCTTGCCGCCCATGCTCTCATCGAACCACTTGAGGAGATACATGCGATCCGCGTTCGCCTTTGCGAGGTTCTTTTGAAAAAGAGATGAAGCATCCTGCTGCCAGGCGGTGCGGCGTCGTTCCCCAGTCGCGCTTTTGTGGACGCCAACGACATCAGTCCTGGCGGCCAGGGCTGAGAAGTCCTTCTCCTTGTAGTCGGTCAGTCGCTGAACAATTTCTTCTCGTTTGCCACTCTGGGGCATGTCTCGCATGGCACACTGTTCCTTCAGTACCGGTGTCTCGAGAGCAGACCAGTCGATGCCGTCAGGCAGCGGTCCGAAGCCCACGGCATAAGTTCCCTTGCCCTTCTTGGTCAAGCGAGGAATATCAGAAGGGTAATTCAGTCGCTTCTTGGCCCGCTTGGCTTTGGACTTTGGCTCTGGCTTGGCTGGGCTGTCATCGCTGGCGGAGAGCGCATCTCCGCTGGCATGGTCGGACTCGTCATCAGACATGATGGCGAGGCTCTTGCCCATGCAGTGTTCGAACGATTGATGAGTGATTCTGCAGTGGTTGGTGAGTGATCAGTGAGGTATGACGAGGACGACCACGAGGTGGAAACGGCTGCTTGGACTCGACACAAATGCTTCAGACGATTGGATTGGGCAGCCGTGAAAGACGAAGGCAGAAGACGAAGCGAGGTCGGGAAGGTGGTTTGCGGATTCAGTTGGCAGAGAGCATTGCGGTGCCTCGCTGCGTTTGCACCTTCCACTTATTGTGATTTGGGCAGGCACGTATCGTGCTGATCGAGACTCGCACCTTCTGTCAGGTGCCTCGGACACCAGGCCCGCGCCCCTCCCACCCTCAAGGCAGGCACGTTTACACAGAGCCGGCAGGCACTGCTCACCTGTTTTGAGCATGCAACTGTATCATTCGCCTGTCAGTCTCATGGCTTGGACATCAGAGCCCAGGTTGGATTGCAGGCTTGATGTGCTCGGCTTCGTCACGGAAAACAGTCGTCAGCCTTCTGCAAGGATCACGACTTCGACAGGATGGAATGGCAGGTGTCAGGATATTCTCCACGGCAACGCGTAGAGGACTTCACAGTTGAACTTACTACCAATACCCCAGATGATCCTGCTCGGGCAAAGCACCGCAGCATCAACCCGTCTCATTGCTGAGTCGGAAACCTGCATTCCCAAGATCACATCTCTGCTAGACGAAATTGCTTTTCACATCATTTGTGTATCCTGTAACTGGTTTTCTACCTACAGTTTTGAATACATAGACAGGCCAGTCCCAAGCTGTGCGTTGGGCCAAGCCTCCCCTGGTCTTTTCCCGGGTATATCGAATTACCGTGTCAGCGCAATGTCGTCAATTCTGAGGATCATCTTGACTGTCTCCGCCGCCAGCTCGATGGCACTTGTGCTCACAAGTAGCGGCTGCAAGACATTCTCCTTGGAGATGTTGGTGTTGACGCCTCCACTCTTGATGCTCACACCGGCACTCTTCTCGCCCATCTCGTGTCTGTGGCGCAGCTCGGTGACGACCTTGATGCTGTTCAGGCCGGCATTCTCGGCGAGCGTCGTAGGAATCACCTCGAGCGCGTCGGCGAAAGCCTTCCAGCAAATAGCCTCGGTGCCCGTAAGCGAACGGGCCTGCTTGGACAGCTGGGCGGCAATCTCAATCTCCGGAGCACCACCACCAGCAATCAGAGCCTTCTTCTTGACCAAGCACCGAATGACACACAGGGCATCGTGGAGAGACCGCTCGGCCTCATCCAGGATCAAACTGTTGGCACCGCGGCACACAACGGACACAGTCTTGCCTGCCGACTTGGTGCCGGTCACCTTGACCATGCGGGCACCATTTGAATCCGCCTCCTCGACAAGATCGGCGTAGCCAAGCTTGTCTTCCGTGAAAGAGTCGATGTCCGCAATGGGCTTGCAGCCCGTCGACTTGCAGATGAACTCGACCTCGTCACGCTCGATATCCTTGACGGCAAGGATGCCGACCTTAGCAAGGAAGTGTAGCGAAAGATCGTTGACAGCATCGCGGAGGATGGACTTCTGGATAAGCAGGACTGTGCACTTGGCTTTTTTGATCTTCTTGACCATGTTGAGGAGGTATTGCCGTTCCTCCTTGACAATCTTGTCCATCTGTCGGTAGTCGTTGACCTGAATCGTGTTCTCCATCTATTCAGGGGTCAGAACCAGTAATCTTAGGGGGATATGCCTAGTTGAGGAAATATCGTCGCTGTTACGCGTCGTGGGACTTACATCAGGCTTAGGAGGGCTGAGCTGGAACTGGATGAGACCGATCCGAGCCTTCTCCATTCTGACAGGTCCACCAGCAGCCTTGATCACCGACTGGTTCAGAACCAAGCCATCAACAAGCTCACTGTCTTCTATCGTGCCGCCGACCTTCTTAACGATTCTGATGTTCTTGAGGTCGACATTGTCCGCCGTCTTGATATCGATCGTCTTGGTCACCGAGTTGACGGCCATGTGGCCAAGGAGACCAGAGTACTGGGACACAATCTTGGACGACAGAGAGGTGTTGGCAGCTTGCAGGAGGGCGGCAGTATCGGAGAGAGACACGGGCTGGGACATGTCGTGGAGGACTTGAACGGCGGCGGCGGCGGCACGCTGGAAGGACTCGGAAATGACGGAGGGATGGATTCCCTTGCCGAGGAGACGCTCAGCAGCACCAAGAAGAGCACCGCAGATGACGACGACCGACGTCGTGCCGTCTCCAGCCTCGACGTCCTGTGCCGCTGAGAGGTTGACCAGCATCTTAGCGGTAGGGTGCATAACAGACATGCCCTTGAGCATGGTGTTGCCGTCGTTGGTAATGATTGTTTCTCCCCTGCCGCTCCTGATCATCTTGTCCATACCCCTAGGGCCGAGGGAGGTTCGGATCGCGTCGGCAACGGCTGCAGACAGAGCAAGCTTAGCAAAAAGGGGTCTATCGAGGGGTCGCGAGGGCGGGGTTGAGGCATACCTCTGGCAGCGACAATATTGGAAGCTCGCACAGCCATAGGCTTCTCCTTATCCTACAGCACCAGGGAGGTTAGTATCGTGCATGCATAGTGTCGTGCTCGAAGAGGCCGGAACTTGGAAGTATGCCGCGTACCTTGAAGGTGGCATTGCTGCCGACGCCGGCACCGCCAGCAGATTGTGTTGCTGTGGCCATGCTGATGTGCACAAAGTCGTGATATGTGAGAGAGCGTCGATGTACGAAGGTTCGAGGAGGCTCGATGACTCCTTTGCGCGCTGTTGTACACGCCAAGAAAGGATCGCGATGTGTGGTGTGCCTGGGTCGACAGAAGGTGTCCACCGCCAACGGCCTAGATAGCTCCTGATTATTGAGCGCCCCGCGATGCTGTCGCCTGGCGATATTTTTTGAAGTTCACAGCCCAGAGCGGGCCAGGGGTTCTACGGTACTGGACAAGGACGGCGCAGGTACCCCTACGCCCCTTGGGGCAGCAAGTCTACCTCAGCTCCCGGGCAAGCTACCTGAATGCGGGCAGGCAGGTACGCGCTACACATGGCCCTGTATCGATAGCACTACGGCGCTGTGTTTGGTCTAGCGGCTCCAGGTGGGTGGCAGCAGCGACCTGTGCACCAAGCTGAGAGAGCATGTTAGGTAAGCACAGGCAGGCCCGCGTTGCGTATTGCGTCGTCCCGGCCGCCTTGTCGGGGAGCTCCCACCAGACAGCTCTCAGGTCTCGTCACGACCGACGCACCCCAGCCGACTCTATCAACAACTCCCATACAGCCCCCCAGACTCGACGATTTCCAACCCCGACCACGACGCATCAGCGGACTATTGGTTTCCTGTTTCCCTTGCCAACAGACTGCACAGCCTGAGAGTCCTGCGCCTCAGCTCGCCCTCAAGATGGTTTGTCCCCTGCCGTAGCGCCAGGAATGCCAAACATCATGACTAACTCATCATCGTTTCAGCCGTCCGCGACGGGTCAGAACTGGGAGAAGTACCAGAAGAACTTTGCCGATGATGAGGTAGAGGAGAAGAAGATTACCCCTCTCTCTGACGAGTACGTTCAGCTCCTCCTCGCAGGCATCACCAGTCAATCGCCGATCTCCCGCTCCCGTTGGATCCGACTTTCGCTAATGATGTTTACGAATTCCATAGGGATATCCAAGTCCTCAAGACTTACGGCGCCGCGCCCTACGGAACATCGATCAAGAACCTCGAGAAGCAGATCAAGGAGAAGCAACAAAGCGTAGATGAGAAGATTGGTGTAAAGGAATCAGACACCGGACTTGCGCCACCACATCTCTGGGATGTCGCCGCCGACCGCCAACGAATGTCCGAGGAGCAGCCCCTGCAGGTCGCTCGCTGTACGAAGATCATCGCCGACGAGAAGGACGAGTCTAAGAGCAAATACGTCATCAATGTCAAGCAGATCGCCAAGTTTGTTGTTCAGCTAGGCGAGCGGGTTTCACCTACGGATATCGAGGAGGGCATGCGGGTGGGAGTCGACCGCAACAAGTACCAGATCTTGCTACCTTTACCACCAAAGATCGATGCCAGTGTCACCATGATGACGGTCGAGGAGAAGCCAGATGTCACTTACGGAGATGTGGGTGGATGCAAGGAGCAGGTCGAAAAGCTCAGGGAAGTTGTTGAGATGCCTCTTTTATCGCCCGAGCGGTTCGTCAACCTGGGCATCGATCCACCCAAAGGCGCTCTTCTCTACGGCCCTCCCGGAACCGGCAAGACCCTCTGCGCCAGAGCTGTCGCCAACCGAACAGACGCCACATTCATCAGAGTCATCGGAAGCGAGCTGGTGCAGAAGTACGTTGGTGAGGGAGCCAGAATGGTGCGGGAGCTCTTCGAGATGGCCCGCACAAAGAAGGCTTGTATCATCTTCTTTGACGAGATCGATGCAATTGGCGGTGCCCGTTTCGATGACGGTGCTGGTGGAGACAACGAGGTACAGAGAACAATGTTGGAGCTTATCACACAACTCGACGGTTTCGACGCCCGCGGTAACATCAAGGTCATGTTCGCCACAAACAGACCTTCCACGTTGGATCCCGCGCTCATGCGTCCCGGCCGTATCGACCGCAAGATCGAGTTCTCCTTGCCCGACCTCGAGGGCAGAGCCAACATCCTGCGGATCCACGCGAAGAGCATGTCGGTCGAGCGGGACATCAGATGGGAGCTTATCTCGAGGCTGTGCCCGAACGCCACGGGTGCTGAGCTGCGAAGTGTCTGCACGGAGGCCGGCATGTTCGCCATCCGTGCCCGGAGGAAGGTCGCGTCGGAGAAGGATTTCCTGAGCGCGGTGGACAAGGTCATCAAGGGCAACCTCAAGTTCAACTCGACAGCCACATACATGCAGTACAACTAGAGCAACCTGATAGACTCGAACCCGAGGGCAATAGAGGATAATGCTTGCCGATTATACGAGCATATCTGATTCGATTGATGATGCTGATTAAATTGAGCTAAGGACCGTGCGGACTTCGATATTAGCATGCGTGAGCGAGTTGTGGTCCGCTTCATCGATATAATCGCCCCATTTGAATCCGCCCCAAACCCCGTAATTTCATTAACCGATCGGCCAGCATGCTGTGTTCACGTCTATTACTGCTCACCTCACTGCTCATTCATCAGGTAGCGACTATATACATGTTCGCCCTACTGCCATCTTACTGCCTCATCGTTGTATGAGTCCAATGTCTTCCCCCATATGATTCCTTGTCTTTGTGCTTGGGATGTCGTATCTGCTTTGACATGCAAAGCGGTCCGTCGGTTTGTGATTTCTTGAAGTGAGCTGGGTTTCGACTGCCCAGCCAAGGAGAAGAAAGCATTGGCCGCCAGATTATGATGGTAGCGGTGGGATCATATGAGCACCGGATGCCGTTCAAAGTGTGCCCAGTGGAAGAAGGTAATGCGGTGCCGACTTCTGGCATTTTCCCCGCGTGCTCGTGTGCTCTATTGATGGCGTGGTTGAAAAGATAATATGTGTCCCAGAACGCCGTTTAAAAGATGTGGAATATGCCGTATCATTAAGTCGTTCGTGTCGTGATATTGATGGTGGAAAATCTCTAAGGTGTGCTGAAAAATTGGGCCTCTTCAGCTGCGCTACCGCGATACCACTTGTGAAAAAGTATGTAGTCCCGCCTTCGTTCTGCGTGGCGGGTTGGTGTGGTAGAGCCTGCCCGTGCAGTGGGCAGGCGGTAAGTGTTAGAATGGAGCAGTGAGCTTCAAGCACCCTCTATCCTCGACAGACAGCCCAGGCACACGACCTCGCCTTCGCTGCCACGCTCGACGCAACAGCGACTGCAGATGACGTCCCTATGGCCACGAGCGCGCCACGAGCTTGCATGGCGGTTCTCGCGGCCCCCGCCTCTGGTGTCTGGTTGGTTTGGCCGTGTATCCTCGTTCTCCGGGTCGTCGGCATCCTTCATGGTAAATGACGAGCTCAGCACGCCGTCATCGTCCTGTGTTCGTTGGGCTGGCGACTTGGTGAGCCAGTTCTGGCACTGACGTATGCAGATATAGCAAGTTCGCTGGTTGCAACCCATGCAGTCGGCGAAGGAGTCGAGGTCAGATTTCTTGGTCGGTTTGCGGTGGCAGATGTGACACGGGCTCAGCATCACCGCGGAGTTGGCTCGTGAAGGCTCAGTTGGCCTCGCAAGGGACGGAGTAAGGTGTGGCGATAGGATGGGCGATGTCGAGACTGCGTGCGCCGACCCTAGGACTGGTTGCGAGTGGCTGCGAATCATGGTGTTGTGTATATTCTGCTGCTCGATGGGCGTCGGCGGCTGGCTTTCACACTCGTGGATGAGGCGAGACTTCTTGGTCGCGGGCAGCGGCGCCATCTTGCGGTGGACGTTCATGCTGGCCCATGACGGTGAGGAGTAACCGAGGTCGTCGTGATTCAAGCCGAGATGCAAAGGCGACGGCTGATGGGCCTGCGTGCCATCCAAGCCTTGGGAAAGGACGGCCTGTGACGAGCTGCCAGGCGCGGCGTCTGTGGCGATGCTGGGTGAGTCGTTGTCGCCGTCTTGACGCCTCCTCTTCTTCGACGGGACCATGGTTGGCGACAGGGTTATGACAGAGGGCATGGTTCGCGTGGTGCCGTCGTCTGTCTGAGGAGGCGGTGGACGGTCGATTTAAGGAGGATCGGTAGCTCTCTGATGGGCCGCGAAGGTCGGATCGGCGCTGAGCCTGAGGCTGTCAGAGCACGGCGGGTCGTAGGGGAGTCTGCAATCCAGCAATGCGACGCAGCCAGGGAAGTTGTCGTCATGGAGTGTAGTCTGCCCCTGGGCTGTTTAGCAGTGGTTGTTGGATGCAGGCCCAGGCAAGCACAGGGCAACGGTCAGTGCAAGTGCCCGAGGCACAGCGTTCTTGCATGCCCCAGGGTGCCGATGGCGGGTGGCCAGCCAGCCTCTCCACTAAACACATCCAGGTGACCACTAGACTAGCGTAGCCTTCTCCTTAAGAGGTGCATGTCCCGCCTTCTTCCACATTCTGCACCAGAGCTTCATACTGCTGAAGCAACAAGTTGCCAGGCTGTCCAACATAATCACCCAATTACATGCTCACAAATCGCTTGTCCAGATCATCATCACAGAGAGATTCATGTCAATATTTGGCCTATCTACAATGTCCTCAAAGCACCTCTCAACACATAACTCTAGGCTACCCGGAGCATCTTCTCGGTCTCCAGGTCCCTCAGGCCTGATGTAGCAAGTACACGCTTCAGAATACAGCTCAGCAGATGCCCAGATTTTGGCGTCCGCTTGTCGATACCTGCGGCCCGGCAGCAAATCATTCGTTGTGGAGGTAGGACAGATCGAGTCGAAGTAATATGAACAAATAAACATTATGAGATGCGAGCACTGTCGTTGTGACCAGTCGGGGGTGCTGCGTTGTGCGTCAAGGAAAGCTGCTGGCGCATCAGTCGCCCGTTTTGTTAGGTCGGCGCAAAATCTGACATCTCCGTGTGATGCGGGAAGTTCCTGGCTAAAAAGATAGCGACCCTTTTTGCCCCTCCCGTCGTGATCCGGGCCACATATCTCGGGGGTATCCAAACGCCTGTATTGCAATGCAAAATCCGAAAGAGCGAAAGAAGAAGAAATCGACATCAAAGAAATCCCTTGGGGAAAGGGGAGGTTTGTTTTTCAAAGGCTTGGCCTTGTTTCTACACATGCGGTGCACCTGGCCGTCCCTTGTTCAGGGAGTCAAGGAGTTCGTGTGGTGGGATGCGTTGCATGCCGTTTCCGCGGTCCAGCATAGATGTGGGCGCAGGGATATATCCCTCACGCTTCTTGCGGTACCGATCGAGTGCAAGACCAGCCACCACAATGATGAGCATTAACCCAAGTGAGATGGCGAGGGCAATGAGAACAATGAAACCCAGAGGCATGCCAGATTCTGACGAAGTGAAAAACTTCGAAGGGTTCTCCACAAACAGCTTCGAGACGTGTCCAGCCTTGCCATCGGCGTTCGTTGAAAGTATGAAAGGCTTTAGTGATGTTCCGTCAAATAACGCCACGGATGCGGTACCAAAACCCGGGATGCCAATGGACCCCGTAAGCATCAGGACCTGGTTCGCAGGGATGCTTGTGGTATCGTCGTGGTCGCTGGAGAGCCTATACATCTGCATGCTGCGAATGACTGTATTGTCTTCGAAGGAGACTGGCGCTTTCGTCCACGCCTGTCCATCAAATTTCATGAGGAACGATCGGGTCTCGGACTCGGCTCCTGCAATCCAGAGCTGGTTGCCATCACCGGTTGCAATAGTAATGGCATCAACCGGGCCTGGGATGTCTGCAGAGCCTGGATAAGTGGACCAAGTCGAGCTTGATGCATCGAAGGACGCTAGGTATTGGGTTGTGCCGTTGATGGTAAACTGTCCGCCAGCCACAAGAACAGTGTTGCTGGACCAGATCATGGAGCGTGTCTCGCCTGCGAGAGAGAAGCCTGGTCGGCTCCATTGATTCGTAGATGTGCTGAAGACACAAACAGCAGGGCAGGGCAATGATCCAGCAGAAGCAAAAGCGCCGCCGACGAAAACGTCAGTCGTATCCGGGCGGACCAGGATGGACGAGACTGTGACTCCGCCACCGGACAGGGCAGGTGGTTGCCTTCCGAAGGACTTGGAGGGCAGGTTGTATGACAGCACACCGGTGACAATCGAGCCGCCGATGGTGCCGTTCATCTTGCCACCCGCGAAAAGAAAGTCACCCTGTGTAGCAAGTGCCAAAAAGGTCGAGTCGCTAGAGATCCCCTGGGGTAAGCCCGTCACAGCATCATCATCTGCGCCGTCAACAATGACGAGGTTTTGAACGTTAGAGCCATCAGTGGCCTTGGCTGTGAAGTGGCCGCCAAGGATGGTGAGATTGCTGCCTTGGTCAGTCTTGTAGAAGGTTCCAGCCATGACACCGTAGGTATTGTTCACACTTTCAAGGACGCTAGCACGCTGTAAGCGACTGTTGCTAGAGGCTGTCGAGTTGGGTAGAATGTTGACAGGGAAGCTGGAAATGGATGATGTGAAGGAGGCGATGCCGTTCGCACGGAGGGCTTGTGCGGACAAAGAACCAGCATAGAGATTGATGCCGTTCTCCAAGCCTAACAGAGAGGCCGAGAGGGTCCCGCGGAGGAGGGGGGCTGCACCTTGAGCGTTCTGCAGCCAGTTGTTCTGGGATTTCACCCACACAGCAAAGCCGTCGACCTGGGTCTCGCCATTATTTCCGAAGGCGAGTAGTTTCTGGAAATCGCCACTCAGCGTGATGACATCTTCCGAAATACCGCTCATGTTGAATACCATGGGAACAATCTTCTTGACGAGGCCGTCCACACCACCACCCAGAGGCGACCACGACTTTGCCGTAGTGTCGTACACTGCGATGCGGTTGAGATTATTGGTAGAGCCATCCTCAGTGCCAGTGAACGCACCACCGGCATAGAGCTTGCCATCTTCCGCGAGGAACAAACTCGTGACAGCGTTGTTAAGTCCTCCACCTCCAACACTGACCGGGTTCTGCGCGTTGCTGCTGATCGCGGCAAGATGGCTGTCGCCGTTCGAGGAGAAGTTGCCTCCAATGTAAGTGACATCGCCCGTGGTTGTAAGTGCGGATACTGCAGAATTGCGAGCGAATGTTGTAGACAGCTTCACAAACTGCGAACTCTGCACATCCTGATCGTTGATTGTAGCCTGAGCAGGGTCGTACTCGAACAGACCATTGAGTCCCGATGAGGTCGAGTTATTAAGCCAGAAGGCGATCGCCTGCGCAACAACTACCTGGCTGTTCGCACCTTGCTGGAGAGATTGGTTGGGGACCGGCCTGAGCGTGACGCTAGGGCGGAATGAACCTGAGACCGGATCAGCGGGACCGGCGGCAATCTGGTCATATTTGTCAAAGTCGTTGGTTTGGAAGAGCGTGATCGTTGTCGGATCTTCATTCTCCTTCAGCCTGGTAATGACCTCTACTTGTCCACGGCTGAGGCATGTACCGTCAACGATACATCCTGGAGTATACATGACAACGTCGTACGAGCCCGACTCAGAGACGGGAGGGAAGAAGACCACTTCTGGCAGGCCCGATGCCTGAGACGGTGTGATGTCGGCAGAGAGATATTTCGAGTTACTCTGGCCAGAGGCTGTTACCCGCCAGGGACCAGTGGCCGTGGCTCTGGCAGGGGCCGTGGTGTTGGAACAAGCAGGCGTGTTGAAATCGTTGACAGCATGAGCTACCAAAGCATCCTGGAAAACCTGGACGCCGTCCAAGCCGGCACCTTTACCGAACCATTCCAAGATATCCAGACGCAATGCATTCATGCGAACTGGGTTAACAAAGAAAAAATCTTGGTACTCGACTTTGGGGTCATTGCTGAGAGGGCATTCACTAGTGCAGCTTGTGTTCTGGCCTGACGCGGGGTCGATGTATGTGAAGTTCATGATACCGTTCAGTGGTAAGGCGGTCATCCTCCAAGTCTTGGTGCCACGGTCAGGCTGCCTTGTGTTACGGAGGCGAAGTTTTGTAGGGATAAATCCAAACCCGAATTCAGCGCGCCAAGCTCCGGGGGTGTTGTCGAGCAGCAGCCACGACCTACCAGCGCCGGTTTCGTCGTTGGTGTTGCAAATGACGTTGCTTGCATTGCTGAGTCCTGGGGCTGTCGATGACTGGAAACCTTGCACAACTGCGGTAGACAGGTTGATGGGCTCGGAATCCGGTGTAGCCGTGGTGCTCGTGTTTCCGAGTCCTGTAAATTTGCCTCCAAAGACAATATGCCCATTTGGGGCCTTTGTAATTGACGAGACTGGCCCGTTGAAGCCAGCGAAGGGCAAGCTCGCCCAGTTGCCACTTGACACCCATGTGATGGCGTTTGTGGAATCAGCTGCTCTAAAGCTGCCTCCAACGTACACCATGCCGGCGTCGTTGTCGCAAAGAAGACTTGTGATCTCTCCGGAGATGCCAGCAAGCGGTGACAGAGAGCCGGTGGTGAGGTCCAGTGCAGCGACAGCAGGAGACTCTGTTCCATTGACGCTGGTGAAGTTTCCGCCGATGATAGCAGAGGTGCCGAATATGCACATTGCTTGGACTGTTGCATCGGTCGAAGCGATACTGTGGAAAAGTCCGTTGGGTAGCGACGTCAGCAGGGCGTCTGCCCCATTGGAGCTTGGCAGCGTTTCCGTTTGTCCCTCAAATTGGTACAATGACAAGCCGGCAAAGTCTCCTGCGATGCCCATTCGACCCAACTCTGCAGTATCGAGGGCAGGCGTCGGGATTGGATTTGGCGAAAAGAGGCTGCCGTGCGTGGCCGACACAATGGCTGACAACATTACTAGGCCGGTTCGGATTGTCGAGGTCCGGCCGGGTGAAGGCGCGGCCGCGCGGCCAAGCTTTTGCCGCATGGTGAATGCCTGTTGAGATTATTATCGTGATCGAAGTGGTGATTAAGTAGGCAGGTGGCAGTGCGCGTGGCGCGCGAATCTCCGTCCGCAAGCTCGCCGTGTGCGCAGCTGCTCGGCAATATCCTCCGGCGTGTCCTTCAGATATTGTCCATAACCCAAGCCGAATACTGAACGTGTTGATAGAGAGGCGTCAATTGTCGGGCGTTCGCAAAGTTTTTGCTCCTTCTAGGGCGCAGGTCTCGACGTGAATCAGTGTTTGGGCGCCTTGTGGTCGAAGTGCTCGAAGTGCGCGAAATTGCTTGGCGAGAAAGCGGTCTAAACAGTGCGTCGCGTCCGAAACGAGTGGCGGAGGTTGTGATGGAAGTCGAGAATTGAAGAGCGGTTGGGCGGAAAGGAATGGAACGACAGCAGACGAAACAGCCTTGCCGACGGTGGAGGAGGGGGAACTCCTTGTGGTCTGGAGCAGGACGTCAGTCGAACTGGCAGCCGTGTGGGAGGTCGCGGCATGGGAGAGAGAGGAAAAGGGTGAGAAGGGGGGACGGGCAGCGTAGCGGGTGACTGGCTGGCTGGTCTGGGCGGCCGTTGGCTGGTGCTCCGTCTGGGACCCATGAGCACCTAGTCCCACTCGCTCTCACAATCCCTTGTCCACCCTGGGCACGAGCACGGGTACCTGGACTTCTGGAGCCATCCTGCACCGCACCCCATGTCCACAGGCTCTTTTTCCCTGACCTCGCTAGCCTCCTGGGGGCAAGCGTCTCTTGGCCGCGTGGGCTGTGAGCTGTGAGCTGGCCGACACGGAGGCGGAGGCGTCTTGGGAAGCCCCCGGTGGGAGCTGCAAGGTTTACGCCACGGACGTCGATGAGATCGATGCTGAAACGTGCCCGCCCAAGCGAGCCCTTTCGCAGCTGCCATGAAGATCCGCCGGCTCGGGGAAGAAACACGCATGCCATGGTGCGCGAGGCTTCACGGACGCCTGCATCTGCCACCGTGCATCGCAACAGACTGCCACTTGGAAGCACGCTGCTACGGTCAATGTTCGGGCAGAATTGAGTGTCGATGCAATTGGTTGAATGTGGTGGGCATGCGTCATGGGTGCAGCCAGGCCGATCGTGATGCGACTAAACAAGATTACCACTCCAAGCACCTGCAAGGTCATGGCCGGCACCAACGGTGGTCACACCCGGCGCCACGTCTAGTCGCAGAAACCCTATTGTGGTAACAAGAGGAAAACAACATGCTTACTTGCTCTTTTCTGAAAGCAGACGTCGAATCAATGTGGGACAGGCACCAATGTCGGACCTGGCGTCACTGAGTCGAGTCGGGGCAGCGCACTGCTTCGGCAGTTATGGGTGCCGTGTCAGAGAACAGGGTAAGTCTGCAAGGTGTGTCGTGCGACTGCCGGACCGCGGGCGGTTATGATGCGTGGTCTTGTGAAACGTCGAGATCTCGGGGGTGAAAGTAATCGTGAGAATGTGCTGTCTAGTGCTTTCGGTGTGCAAGCCTGCGTTATTATGTAGCACGGCCCGTCAGGCTTGTGGGAACGAAGGGAAGGGGAAGGAGCGATGAGTATTTTGTTGCTTCCAGACAACGGGTCATCTGGACAACATCTCGTTCTTACTCGGGACGATGGCTCGCGAAACAACGTCAAATGCTATTATTAAACGTTGCGACAGGAAGGAGAAAACGGGTGTCTGGACTTCAACAACGCTGCATTCCGCTGTGGCCATTTAGACCTGGAAATCTCCGGACCACGTGAGCCTTCCAACTTCACAATGTCGGAATATTCGGGCCACCCGATCACGTTGATTCCCTTTCGAATCTCGAAGCACGCAGATAGTAGAATTCGCCTCCCTAAATTCCCCGTGTACCGCGACCATCTCGAGTCGCGAATCAGATGTTCTCGTCACAAAAGAAGGGCCATCTGAGACTAGCACAATACAGCCCGGTTTCCTTCCGGCGCAGGCATGCACAGGGGACTGAAACCCCTGGTGCTCACCCTTCCGGGGACACCCGCACACGACTTGTGCTCCGATATGCATGCAAGCTGGGCGCACAAAGGCAGTAGCCATTTATACCCCTGGTAGCAAGAGTGTCTCGAGCGTTGCCTCTCTGTCAGCCACGCTGACTCCGTCGCATGGGCCCTTCGCGCGCGTGTCAGGGGTTGATAGCAGGCAGGCCGCCTTATCTTTCCAGCTGCGTCTGGTCAGAAAGAATGTCGTCCATCTTTCAGAGGGGTATTGGTTATCCCGTGTTTGATAATACAACAAGGAAGTAAGCCTCAGCGACATTTGGTGATTGCGACATACTTTCTGATACCCATGCAGGCAAGTTCCAGGCGGAGGGGCATGTACAGACTCGTGCCTCTGTGGATTGACCTATGGCGCACTATACATGTAGCGCACTTGCATACCTTAGGTAGCTACAGAGTACGATGATCATGCGTTGTCAATCAACTTGCGCGATTCATCGGGCTGTGTTACCGCGGTGACTCGCTGCGCGACAGGGAGATCCCCAGGAGTTCCCCAAGAGATCTGAGCCCCGCGTGGAATGCGCGTCGCGTCAGAAGCGGCTAACAAGTGGAATGCAGGCACCGTCTAGTGTCGCAGCTTGATCATAGACAGGCATATGCGCGTGTTCGCAAGCATCAGCTCAGGTAATTAGTGGTCTCACTATAAAGCAGGATTGTCGCCCAAGACAAAGTGCCATCACAGAATCAGGCGTGACTGTCAGACCATGTGGGTCTGTGCACGAAGCGTCTGAATGGGTGCTTGCATGAACGACAATTACCTGTCAAGGCTTCTCACTTGAGGCCGGCGGGCACAAACTGCTTCATTGCTCGCGCTTAAATTCATTAATTCATAATCGTCGTCTATGTAAGGCATTGCTCATAATACATGTAGGCCACGGTTCCCACGCACCGCTCACAATCACGGGCTTCAAAGCGCCATCTCACCATGCTGCTGAAGCTTGGGTGACGTGAACGACCCTGACTTATCTCCCCCTGACAAAGTGAGATATTTTGTTTCGACGGAAATAGCTGCGGCCACATTCCATACGCCAGGGCTAGTGCTTGATCTCCACAATGCGAGGGCCCACGCATGTTGTCAGGACTCTTCACTGCGCTCACACAACTGGCGGGACTGGCGGCTGACTCTCCTTGGCGGCGTCCTCGGCTATCATGCGGTTCTTGTAGTCGCGCGGGCTCTCAAAGTCGGCAGGCTTGCCACTCCACATCCCCAGCTTGCGCTCTTTGGCAAAGGCCTCCGCGGCCTTGTACTTTGCCTCGAGGCCGCCGAACTCGGCGCCTGTCTTGGCCTCGTATGTCGTCGCGAGACCACGCTTCAGCATCTCGAGTCCCACGTCGCGCTTGATGAACCACTTCCGGGTGAACACGGTCGCTACAATGCGGTCATACTGGTCCCGCCGGTATATCTTGGCGCGAACCCGGCGGCCGTTGATGTAGCTGGTGAGCCAGGCCAGAGCCTCGGCCGAGTATGGCTGCGAAGGACGGCCAAAGTGCGCACCTTCCGGAGCGTCGATGCCGGCGATGCGGATTGGTATCTGTAGTCATCCAGGTAGCATGTCAGTCTCTCTGCGTGCCCGAGCGTCGTGGTAAACCCCATCTTTCCCAGGTGGACATTCGCACGTACCGTCTTGTTCTTCAGCTTGGTCTTCTTGGTCGGCACCCTACGCAGCCAACCCCAGCCCGTTATACGCCCACCAGGCGTGTGATATAGGTGAAAGTTGTCGCCATCGCCAACGCTGGTCACGCGGCCAAAAAGGGACCGCTTTCTGTAGTAGTCTGGGCGGACATAGCTGGTCCCGGGGATGCGGCGCATGTAGGAGCGGTAGATGTGGAGGGAGAAGACGACGGTGGACGTCACGAGGAGGGTTGGCACCCAGTTTCTGGGCTCCTTGTAGTGGTCCCAGTCAATGGCATTGAGGCTGTCAGTCCAGCTCACGGGGATCCGGCGCTCCTCGACCTTTGGCTTTTCCTTCTCGGTCCAGCCGGACCAGGGCCACCGCATCTTTGAGCTCTCAGCGGGCGGGCTCGAGCCTCGCGTGTCGAGAAGAGGGGATGGTGCGGGGTGGGCTCTTTCTCACGACGCCGCCAGGTTGAAGGCGGGCTCGCGGGGTTGTCACTGGGGAAGAGGCACGAGGCTGGGGAGGTAAATCTCTCGCTGGCAACCATCTGCACAGGACCAAAAAAAAAGTTGCAGGGTGCCGAGCACAAAATATCAAGGGTTTGGCCGGCTCGGAGCGCGGTGAGCCGCTGCTCCAGCCCCGCCAATTGTGACTGACTGCCAGCGATAGCGATCGGAGAGGCGGTCTGGGAAGGTCGATTGTGCAGGTGCGGCGTCGGTGCAAGTCATCCAAGCGGGCCCCCGGCACGGGAAAAGCTGGAGCTCAAGAGCCGGCCGCCCTGCCTGTGCTGCTCGTTGCACGGAGGACACCCAAGTGGTGGGTGGGTGGGGGTTTCTTTCCGGCGGCTTGGACAGCCACTTGGGCAAGCAAGCCAGTCCAAAGTGGTTGCAGCCCTGCAGCACCTGCTGTCCAGTACAACCCCCCAGTCAAGGAACAGGGAAACCTTGGCGCGTGTTTGAGGTGGGTGTGGCTACGTCAAAGGAGCGAGGCACGGGTAGTTAGTATCTTGTGCTCGATGCTTGCCCAGGTGCTTCACGATCCTGCTTGCGCGATATAAACACGCCTAGCCCTCGTCCGTGCAGGGCCGCGACCTCGCTGGCGTCTGCTTCCGCGCTGCCATTGACCGCAACCGACTTGGCCCCAGCTGCGGCTGTCCCGTCGCCATAGACCAAGTTCCATTGTCGGCGCTGTTGCAGAGCTATTCTATGAGCCCTATATAACATCATCCTCCACTCATATCGCCACAATCCCACACCCGCAGAGTATATCGTGGCTTCGTCGCGGACATATCAAGGGCACCCGAACATGCACCCCATAGGCCGTAACGCATCTCTCAGGAACGCATACCCTCTCGCGGCCTAGCAGTACACGAAGTACACGAGCCTCTTGGGCCGACGGACAGCCCAGGTAGTGTCCACACCTTCACTGCTTGGCTACCTCCATCAAGGGCGACCGCTGCCGCCGTGTAACTACAGCACACCACACTTTGAGCCCGCATTATCCACGGCAAGGATGGCGGAACGGAGGCGGCGCACGGTGATTCGTGTCCGCGAGCCCAACGAGGAGCGGCGGCCACTTCTGAGCCGTGCCGCCTTCTCCCATACCATGGAGGAGGCGCCCTTTTTCAGCTGCGGCCCAAACGCGAATGCCCATCTGCCAGTGTATACCAACATCCACAGGATCCGCAGAGACGTCATCGCCATTGTCGAGGACTACCTCACCTTCGAACAGCTTAGAGACCTCCGCCTCAACCTGTCTGTGGTGCGGCCACTGGTGGACAAGCTGTATGAGCTCGACGATATTTCCATTGGTGAGCGAAAAGTGCCCTCTTCATCTGTCTTGCATTATACTGACCCGCATCGCCAGTCTATTGCTTACTGGTCAATCGCTACCAGTTCCTGGAAGAGCAAGAGCACCTGGCCAACAGGCAGAATGTGAATTTCACCCGTGCGACTTTGTGCGAGGTCGTCGCGACGAGGATCCTGCGGCGGTTCGGTGAGGACAATCCTGGCGCCCAAGGTTTGCTCTTGCTGGCCAATATCCTCGTTGCCGGCTTCGAGCCCTTCCAGAACGCTCCCCCAGAGATTCGACAAGAGGCTGCACTGGGCTCCGCATGGAACTACTCGAGGACATTGCCTGCACTTGAGGTGGCTATTCTCACCGAGAGCAAGTACTTCCTGAGTTCAACCCATTGTCAAAAAGTGTAAGGTCGCGAACAGAGTCTACTTGGTGAACTTGTGACGTAGTCACACTGACATTTCTTTTTCAGCATAAATGGCATCTACATCGGACAAATCACTTACACCCCATCGACATTTCTCGATGTTATTCCGGATCGTTACAAGCAGAAACCCATCTCGCTCTACGAACCGCGCAACGCTCCGCTGCTCAACCAGTATCGACTCATTGTACCACGGACGCGAAACGCCTTGGAGATCATGCAGTTCTTCATCCTGCTCTTCCTCTACTTCCTGTTCATGATCGAGCGAAACCCCGAGTATTTCAGCGTCTACGAGATTGCCTTTTCGATATACGCATTCGGCTGGGTCCTTGATCAGAGTGCAACCATGTTGGAGCATGGGTGGTAGGTGTTTCTGCAACGTACTCTCTGCAATGTCTGCTACTAACAAGAGCACAGGAGTGTATACACACAGAATCTCTGGTCTTTCCTCGACGTCATGTTTGGCATAGTATTTTGGGCTTATGCCGTGCTACGCCTGCATGGCTGGAGGACTGGCCAACTGGCACCTGCCCAGCAGGCAGTTGATGTCCTCGCAATGGGAGCTCCTGTCCTGGTGCCCCGGCTCGCTTTCAACCTTCTGTCAGACAACCTTGTGATGCTCTCTCTCAGGTCGATGATGGCTGATTTCACGCTCCTCACTGCGTTGGCCGCATGGTATAGGCAAACACCAACAGTCCCTTCTTGTGCTCCATTATCTTGACGCTAACCACTTTGTCATAAGGTGTTTCCTTGGATTTCTGCTGTCTATGGTTTGGCTGGCTGAGAAAAGCCATGACATAGTGTAGGTAATTCCGATATCTCTGGTATCGGGCTGTGACTAACAGGTTTTTACAGGACAATTAGTAAATGGATGCTATGGATCTGGTTTGGGCTTGACGGAAGTGGCATACAACATTCAGTAGGTTGCACCAGCACAATGATGATGCTCGCGCTGGAAGCTAACTCTCGCAGACGGATTTCCACTGGCTACTGGGACCCATCCTCATGATCTCCTTCTCCTTCCTCGGCAATACCCTGTTTCTGACTATCCTCGTGTCGATGTTGTCGAACACGTTCAGCACCATCGTGGCGAATGCCACGGCTGAGATCAACTTCCGCAAGGCTGTGCTGACTCTTGAGGGGGTCAAAGCCGATGCCATCTTCGCGTACCAACCACCCTTTAACCTTATTGCTCTCTTCGTCTATGTCCCTCTCAAGTTCATGGTAACGCCTCGGTGGTTCCACAAGATCCACGTGGCAACAGTGAGACTGGTCAACCTTCCAGTGCTGCTGCTCATCCACGTCCTCGAGCGCCGATTATTGTGGCCGAATTCGACCAGCACCGAAGAGCTGTCGGACCAGATCCGCCCGCTTAAGAAGCGCAACTCGTTCTGGAGGAACTGGAAGATCACCAACCATGGCGCCATGGAGGCCGTATTCGAGATCGACCCGCCAGCCTCTGTCTCGGCCGATATCGCGGTAGATGACCAGCTTACCCACCACGCCATCCGCAGGCAGTTTGGAAGGCAGCAGAGCACAAACATGGTCGAGCAGCGGTCAAGCGGAGCTCCCAGCCAGCGAGCGGATGGGCAGAACGGCGATGGCGCACCGCTCAAGACGGTACGCCGCAGGGACTCGATCGCACAGTACGGTCTAGAGGACCAGGTCCGGAACATTCTTCACGAGACGACGGACATGGAGACGATGCAGAGCCGCCTGGAGACACTGGAGCGGTCAACGCGCCGCATCGAGAAAATGTTGCGCAAGATGTGCTCTGCGCCGCCATCCGAGAACGGCACTATCGAGGATGAGGAGCATCACAAGGACGACGATGACGAGGGCCACCATGAGGATGACGACGGCCGGGACGACGGCCAGGATGAGAGCAGCGATGGCAATAAGCATGATACCCGCAGTGTTATGGACGAGCTGAGCCAGGCGATGGAGACAGAAACGGCGGAGGCTGTACATAGGTTGTAAGGGAGTGATGGCTGGCGCTATGCTACTCATGCATATTTGTTCCTCCTTTTGAAAGACTTTCTGGGACTTGGCCTCCATGAAAAAAAGAGTGCGACCATGACCACATTGCACTGACTTATTTCTGCTGCTCGTGGTATCTGACTAGGCTCACGCCCTATAGAATCGGCTGTTTCTGCTTGTCATAATCACTTTTTACTCACAACCAAGGTTTACCGCGATCGATGGTGTCACATGTGACTGGTGCTGTACCAGGAGGAAGCAGTAGATTCATGTTTGCTTCCTTGAAGCAGAGCGCCTTCCTCCAGAGACGTCTGCAATATTGCTCTTTCCATGCAGACAGAAGCTACAGCTCTGCAGTGATGTCTTCCAAGGTTGCCCAAAGAATGCAGCACACCTGCAAGGCTGCACACCGTCATGTCACAGCATCGAACATACCTGAGCAGCTAAAACAAGAACAACGACTTACCCGTGCACACAAGTCCGTCTCGTCCCGCACCCCAAGGCAGCAACAGATCCCGAACACATCTCACCATCACATATCTAATTTCTGACTCGGCCAGTGCCATAGGATGTGCACAACAATCCACTACCGCAGCCGTAGCTGCGGCCACCACTGGCTGCAAGTCCAGCAAGCGTGCGGGCCGGGGATGGGCTTCACGTACTGCGCACGCTTCGGGGACGGCGTCGCGCGCGAGCCCAGCCCTCTTGTCAGGACGGACAGCGCCTGTCCGAGCTGCGTGCTGCCTAACACCTACGACCGCAACCGCGCGCGCATGATTGTCGATATCCGGGGCCGCTGGCGATGGGGTTTCGGGCCAGGGAGGGGGGATCCTGGGGTTGAGTGTGCTGTAATGTGATCAAAAGTGGGAGGATTCCGAGGGTGCAGGAATATGATGGTGAGTCGATTGCCACGCATTCTGCTCTTCTTGATTCGCAAATTGAGAATCAGGAAGGATTTTTGAGGTACGGGGTTGGTGGGTTGATAAACAGTGGTTGACGATTTATTCCGGAGTAATTTTGTAGATCTTGACAACCGAGCCCGCAATTCTCATTTACACCAACATCAACAACCACCCCACCAGCCCCAAGACGAGCTCAAAATGCTGCCAACGCCAGATACTTCGCACGTATCATACGAGCGAATATACGAACCCGCAGAGGACTCCTTCCTGCTTCTGGACACGCTGTCATCGGAAAGCGAGAAGACTTTCCTCACAAATCGCTTCCGCGATGGGCCCACGCCACATGTCATCGAGCTCGGCCCGGGCTCTGGAGTCGTGATATCATTCGTCAACGCCCATGCCGGCCTCCTATTCGGCACGCCCGCCATACTGAGCTCGGCAATCGACGTCAATGGGCATGCATGCTTTGCCACTGCAGCGACCGCCCGCAAGGCCGCCGCGGAGCACAAGGCTACGGCAGGCACATTCCTTGGCCCGATACAAGGCAACCTTTCCGCGCCACTGCGCGCCGGCAGCGTAGACGTCCTCATCTTCAACCCGCCATATGTTCCCACGCCAGAGCTACCACGCCAGCCTGGCCAGGAGGACCACGAAGTCATGGTCTCCAAGGAGAAGAAGCCTACCTTTGACGACGACTCGTACTTGCTGTCGCTGTCCTACGCCGGTGGGAGGGACGGCATGGAGACGACGGACCGCTTCCTCGAGGAGTTGCCACATGTTTTGTCGCCGAGGGGTTGCTGCTACCTGCTGCTCTGTGCGCAGAACAAGCCGGAGGAGGTCAAGGAGCGGATACGGGGTTACGGCAGTGCGTGGAAGGCCGAGACCGTGGGGTCTAGCGGGAAGACGGCTGGGTGGGAGAAGCTACAAGTCGTCAGGATATGGCGATAGGCCTGGACCAACTGCAAGTATGACAGGAATAAATTTATGCTGCACATCTGCTCGAGGGAAGTATGAAAGGGTCAAGGTGGGCGCAGATATATCATTTTTATCACTTGACGGGACTTCTAGCTGGCGTAGGCATTCGAAATCTGTGCCGGCGAGGCGATATGTAGTCTCAGCGTGCTTTGGTTTTCGCTGGTCCTTTCGAAACGCCTGGCATCATGATCCGGGCCCATGGCATGCTGTTCCTATAGGGTCCAACCACGCACTGGCTGCGGAAAGCGGGCAGATGCCATGCCCAGCGGGTTCAGGCCCGACAACACACCGGAGGAAAAGCCGCCCATGAGAGTTTTCCTCTCTCTCTAGGCTCGAGCATGATGAGCTCCCCTTTCTCATTGACGAGAACGTCACCGCCCGTTGACAACACACCTCTTCCGCCCATCCATCCATCCATCCATCCATCCATCTGAGCAAATCCAGAAAAATTACGTTCATTGCCGAAACCTCAAAGCCTCCTCTCAAAATCTGACCAAACATGATTCGATTTACGGCCTGCCCCGGAAACCACCGCCGCCACGACCCCTGCCGCCGCCGCGTCCCCTGCCGCGACCCCGTGGCCCGCCGCGACCGCCGGCCTTGTCGGCGACCTCCTTGCGGGCCTTGTTCTTGGGCTTGACCGAGTCGTCGATGAGCAGCGTGTCGAGCGGCAGCGAGTCCGGCAGGATGAAGTAGCGGATCATGGAGCCGCGGATGTTCATGGTGTCGAGGGTGATGGGGTCCTGGCCGCGCGACGTCATCTTGACCGTCTTGAGCGCCGTGTTCATCTGCGGGGACACCGAGGTGATTGTGCCGTGGACAATGGTGCCTAATTTGTTTTGGTTCCGCGTGCGTTAGCTGACGTTTTATATATGTATCCCGCCATGAAGCTTTTGTGCAATCCTTTTTCCCCCTCCAAAGAAACAGGAAAGTGGCAGAGTGTTTTGGGCTATAGGCCGATACGATGGCTGCCAGGCTGGCTCAGAGCGTCTCTCGCGCGTCATGCTTGGTCTTGCAACTTGGACCTGACACCCATGGGCCTGGAGCCTTTCGGGAAAACACATTGGGGGCGAGGGAGGGGGGATGTTCGCAAGCCGCGTATGCCCTAGCTTCCATTTACGTACCATTCTTGAGCTCAATCGTCACCGTCTCGTTCGCGCACTTCATAAGAAACCTGCGTCAAGACAACACCATATTAGCATGTCGGCCAACGCTAGAGAAACCGGGTATACGCCGTAATTAATGGAGAAGACTGCCTCTAGGCACATGAGCACAGCGCGGGGGAGGTGAGCCATGTCTTCGCAGGCCCCCAGTGTGGCTGGCAGTTTCTCCAACCCGCTCCGTGTTCCTCCTCCTGCGCGGCGCTCTCGAGAAATTGGACGGGGTGGCGCTCACCTGACGAGCTTCATGGTGTCGGCTGTGTGCGGGCCTTGGGCGACCGCGACTTTCGTAAACTTTGGGGGTGTGTGGGTGATCAAGTGCGTGTGCGTGCGTGTGTGGGCAGGTCGTGAAAGTCGGTCTGCGCAAGAATGGACTGGCCTGCTGGGTCAATTCGTCCCAGTGTTGCCTGACAGTTGGGGGATATCTACTGTCGATATCTTCAGTTTATGGCGGATGTCGGCGGAAAAAGGGCGATCTCGTGCCTGCCGTGGTGTTTGCGATGCGAGCGACGGCGTTGTCGTGCGATGCTAACGACTGCTGCTGCTTGGTTCGAAATTCGGCCGCGCGCCCGCAGCTCGACCTGCGAGCTGCGTTGGAGGAGTGCCGTATCGATAGCGTTTGGAGGAGGCTGCCTGGGCGTCGCAGCCCCCTGGCCTGTAGTGTGCTGCCGCCCAGCACCATTTGGGCAGCGCTTGAGCACATGGGGGTTCCACTTTGAGCAGTTTTAGTGATCAGCCATGTCAAACATGTTGCAAATGGGTTATTTCAGCAAAATGCTTTGTATTTTAAAATGGCAGCAGTTTAGTCCAGCACGTGCATGGAGTCTCACCACAATCGGCTCTCGCGGACAGCCAAGCAAGCATCATCAATAACGCCTTACGCTCATGGACCCTGATGTAAGAGATGTATGTATATAGATCCGGATGTATGTGCTTGTATGTTTCTGGATAGTCACCAGTGTATATCGTCGCTAGGAAAGTCTTACTGGGATGTGTGTCGATGGCATCCCAAGAACCGCCTCAAACGGCGACGAGTGGATGTCTGGGCCCCAGTTCTCGAGAGGCTTCGATCAAACCTATCGTGTCTTTTCAGACTCATTCTCCGAGACCTTCTCCCACTCGTCCTCGGTGCTCACTCCCGACTTTGTTCCGGCGCCCGACTCGCCACGGTGCTTGAGCTCGCCGATCTGCTCTGCGACCTCGACCTCATGGCTCCCAGAAACCTTCTTGGTTTTGGCGATCTTGGTGAGCGCCTCTACCTCGGTGTCGCTGTCATCAGTGGCGCGCCGTGCCTCCCGTTCAGCGAGCGCCTTTTCTTGTTCCTCCTTCAGCTGGGCGGCCTTGAGCTCAGTCGCGAACCAGTTGATAGACCACCACAAGCCACCGCACAGGAAAGAGAGGATGATGAAGTGTATGCTGGACGTGGCGATGAGCAGCACAAAGAGAACGACCTGTAGGCAGGCGAACGTGGCATTTGTGGCAAGCAGGAGAGTTGGGGTTGGGCCGGGGGTGAAGATTGACTCCCAAAGTTGCTCGAAGAAGCTTGCCATGGTCGGAGAGCTTTCTTGCTTGTGCTGTGAAGAGTGCGGTTGTTGGCGGTAACGGGCAAGCAGTCTGGGCGCAAGTATGCTTCAGTCTACTGAAGGTGGGTGGTGGTAGCTGATTGAAGCCAGAACGTCTTGTGATAAATAGTTTCCGCGATGGACGGGGATGTTATGGCCAAGTATGCTGGAGGGAGTGCGTGCCGAAGAACACGTTGAGCTTCCAGTCGGCGTATGTCAAGCAGTCGCTGGGCGGACCGTCGGCGCCACGTGGATGCCTGATCTGCACAAGGTGCTGATGGCGAACAAGATGTCCTGGGAGGTGCCTATGACTTGCTAGATCGCAGATGGCGAGACCTGCGTGGGCAGGTGTAGACTTGACTCTGACAGAGGATCAAACTCGGATGCTGCTGCTGCTGCTGCTGTCTAGAAGGATGTTGGCCTGGGCGCGCATGCAAGCGCGATTGAAGTTGTCGCTAATAGTATGGATGAGTAGAGGTTGACGCACAAGGCGATGAGGGATCCGTCGCAAAGCACGAGCGTGTCCAGCGAGCATCATGTGGCATGCCTGGAAGCGGGGCACGGCGCTTGTGAGCGAGAGCTCCAGGACCCCTGACGTGCCGCCCCACGCTAGTAGCGGCTTGTGGCCCCCCCCAGGCACCTGGGCAGGCTGACAGGCAAGCCGGGGCGGGCAGGCGAGGAGGGTACAACAACCGATCTCTCGGTCTCTCCATCTCATCATGGCTGGCGACCAACCGGCGGCAGCGAGGCTCCCAGGAAATGCCAGGCCGGGCTCTCTCGTTGCGGTGGCGCTGATTGTCCTGCTCTTCAACGGCATGCTGTAAGCATATCCTGCAGTATCGGCTGCGCAATCGTCCGGTGTGGCAGACGGCGCCCAAGGATACGCGGATAGATGCACCTCTTGGTGCATCCACTCCGCCTGCTTGCTGCACCCTCTGCATTTAAGAGTCCTGCCTGCGACCCTTGATCTTTAGCCAGCTGCGCAGGCACGCTGACGCCTCGCAACCGCATCCAGGCGACTCATCAGGTCATGGCCGCGAACGAGAGTACGGGCACCGACCACACCCTCCCTGTCTCAGATCCGCCATCAGGTGCAGGCTCTGGCGCAAACACATCTGTGCCGGCGGCGACGACAACAGAGGCACCGGCCCTGCCGGTCATCATAAAGCATCTCAAGGGCAAAGAAGCCGAATGGAGCACCATTACCCGCAAGGCTGGCCCTCTCGGCCTCCTCGATCTGCCCGTCGACGTCCTAGGCCTCATCGTCCGTGAGGCAAGTATTTGGCCCCCATTTGACTGTTCCGTCTCCCCTCACTGACCACTCAGGTTGCCGAGTAGGTGCAAAGTCACAACGATCTTACTTCTCTGGCACTGACCAACTCCACCCTGTACAACCTCGCCACTCCTCTGATCTACTCGGAGTTTGACATTGTGTGGCCGGATGACTCGTCCAGTTCGGCAGCATCGACTGGCGTTGATGCTCTGACCTATGGCCTTTCCACTCTATGCCTTGGAAGCCGGTTTGCCCACAAAACAAGATGGCTTCGCCGCACGTCCCTGGCACGTGTAGAGAGCTCGCACAGACTTGCGAGCAACCAATATGCAACATATGTCCGCAAGTTTTCACTCGGAAATGGCAAGGAGACCGAGGTCGCTGAATACTCCTTGGGTCAAGATAGTGGCAAGATGCTCGGCACGCTAGTGGCATTGGCGGTGGCCAAGATGATCAACCTGGAGTCTTTTGTCTGGGACATGCCTACGGGAGTGCCCTCGGATGTCTTCATGGGGCTCGCCTCTCTACAGGACCACTCCCCAGAAGGCCGGCACAAGCTCTCGAGGGTCTGGGTCCGCTGGCAAGGTGACGTGACTGTTCGACCAGCTTCCCCATCGACAATCTCTTCTGGCTATGCCCTGCCAGTTCACAGCGAGCTTCTCGACTTTTTCATGGGCGTGGCGCCGCAACCATCCAGGAGCCCCAGTCCGCGCAACCTCCCTTTACCTCCACATCTCCAGCCGAAAGAGCCAACCTCGAAACGATACGCGGAATGCAAAGTGGAATATCCCACGTTCAGCATCTTACCGGCGCTGGAAAGCCTGTCAGTTCTCGATATAACAGAAATGGCATACCTAGACGAGCTTTCCGAGCTGGTGGAGCGCTCGAGGTCAAGCATACGAGAACTTCGCATAGGCCTCGCATCGTCTGCGAAATCGGGCGAGATCAACTTGCTCTGCCACGGTGACAAGTTCAAGCAAATAGATCTGACCGCCACCTGGCCAGGAGAGAGCTCACTCGGGGACAAGAGGCTTGGAGGCGTGCTGGGAGTTGTATTTGGCAGGATCTTTGACCTCAAGACCAATCAACTGTTGGGGTCGCCAGCGATCCTGCACCAAGCGACCAAGTCCGATGTGGCAGACTTGTCTTTGCAGGCAGCACAGGTGGGCATCGTTACTCAAGCCCAGCACCACTTGCATCCCGATAGTCAACCAGTCGACAGTGGCGGACTAGATCAAACATTCCGAGGCCAGCAGGGCCATAGAGAAGGGAAACTCACACTCGGCTTGAGAACACTCGAGCTTGAGAAGCTAGCTGTATCCGTACAAATATGCCAGAACGCCATCGACTGGTCTTGCTTGACGACGCTTACGATACTGGACTGCACGCAGCACGAGTCTCTGTGGCGGATGCTGCGCAAAGAGTTCCAGCTGGACCAACCGGCAGACCTGGCGTCCCACCCAGGCCAACGGTATCCGCTTTCGCTCAAGCATATCCGTACTGACCAGGTTTCTGTATCGCTCATTACTTTCCTGAGAGAAACACTGGCACCAAATAGTTTGGAGGGACTATATCTCCAAGCTCGACGAGCCTCTGGAACGCCAGCGGTCGGACTCACTCAGATCATGAAGGGCCCAGTCAGACGGCATCAAGCAAGTCTTAGAAACCTTCGCCTTGACAGTGTCTTCTTCCGGGAGGGGCCGCGAGTCGATCCAGTGTCCTCCGGTATAGGCCGGTCGCATTGGGCATTCTCGAGTTCCTGGGTGACCTATCTCACCAGCGGACGAATGAGAAGTCTGAGAGAGCTTGCGATATCGTTCGACACCAGGGCATGGGTAAGTGTGCGAATCATCCCATTGAGGCGTGGGTGGAATCCGCATTAGATCCTTTCCCGAGCAAGCGTGCTGACAAGCTGCGATTCTCCCACCTAGCATCCATTTTTGCGAGGATTACCAAACCTCCCTGAATTGCGCACTCTGCATGTACTAGGGCTTCCCAATAGAACTGACCCATCCATACGGAGGGAGATAGCGGTCCAGGTGGCGGACATTCTCACCTTGCGGCCCGACTCGAAGCTCTCTCTACTTGGCATCAATGATATATGCTTTGAGATCATGGAGGCACATACAAGTAAGAAGACGCCACCTGACGTTGATCTCAGCGGCCTTGTTGTGGCGAATGGGGTGATTGTGGACGATCCAGGCACAGATGTCGACTCGACGACGAGTAGCACCTCGGACAGCGACGCGCCCGCAGTGCCTCCGCCCCCTCCGCCGGTGGTGTTTGAGGTGGATGATGTCGTCCAGGAGAATCCAGAAGAGTGGTCGTCTCAGCACTCGTCTGGACTCGACTCGGACACCGACTCTTGGCAGGGCAGTGAGGGCGTGCAGAAGACCCCGCATCGATGGTTGTACCTGCACCAGGTACCGTTCCGCGACGACAAGGTGGATGTCTTTAGGGCACGGCATGCTAGGCTGTAATAATAGACCATGACGCTAAATTGAAATGCTGAGGTTCGTGGCGGTCAGGAGGTGGCCCCGGCTCGCCATTCCGGTCTCTGCGACACAAATCCAACAACAAAGACCTGTGGACCTGAGAGTTATGCGGCACGTTGCGTAAGTGCGTGTCTTGTCCCTGGAGTCTTCTCGTTTGGGTAGTGATGTGTTGGCCTAAACGTGAGATGTGACGGCGGTTTGGCTGTTACTAGCAGAAAGCGAGGTTGTGCATGCGGCATCCTGGTCTGTCGGGCACCGGTTCGCATAAGCCCCTGGAACTGGGCGCCATGGCACTGCAAGGGGAATGGTCATAGCTCTCTCGTAGGAGTGAATGCTGGTGGAGGGAAGTGGTGGTGGTGGTGGTGGTAGTGGTGAGTTGTGTGTTGTGTGTGTGGCCCGAGAGTGTGGGCCGCGTCCACTGTGCCGGGTTGAGGCTGGGTCCCACCATGACATTGTGAGCAACCTTGCTCTTGGAATGTCGGATGGGGAGGGGAGAGGGTGGCAGTCAGTGCCTGACTGACCCTGACGCCAGAAACCTTGAAGAGGGGCCCCTAATGCAGTGCCGACGGGGATGGCAACGCGGACTGGCCACATGGTTCAAATCAGAGCGGGATGCGTCTTCACCGCAAGGCCGGCCGAAGAGCGGAAGCAGGGGTGCGGACGTGGTGCTTACCGCTCATTCACGAGCTGGAAGGCTTCTAGAGCCCCGGCCGACTGGCTGCAGTCGCCCCAGGCCCCGGGCGTCGGGCCCAGGTACCTGCAGGTCTCAGCTTCACCGATAGTTGTAGCAACTGGCGGCCAGAGGCCTTGCTGCAGGCACATTCACGCGCGGACGCACTCACGCCCGCACGCACGCAGCTTGCCCACGATCCAGGTCTAGACATGGAGGCTTTGGTTGGCGAACAGCTCGAGGCCAGCCGGGCAACGGTGTGCTCGCGCGGCTGGGCGTGGCCAACCACAGCGCGTGCCCGTCCGATGTGATGCCTGGGATCTTGGGCACGCAGGTTTTGGCTGTTGCCACCGCCGTGGTCTTTGCTCATGTCTCTGCCCTGGACAAGGGCCTTGGACTTGTCACTTGTTAAAAGGGTTTCCGCCTCCCATCCGCCGTACGCACCTCGCCAGCCGCCCTCCCGCCTCTCTTAAACATTGATCTTGTTCTTTAAACCCTGGGTTCTGCACCGTGCAGTCTTGTTTCTGTCGGCTGGCGCGAGCGTGTTAGGAAGCGGCGGGAAAGGCTACCCTGCTCTCTCTCTCCATCGTTCTCTGCTTTCCGTTTCCGTCGCCTGCCTGCCTAGCAGTCGTTTATCGTTGCTTTTCGCCGTGTCTCGACAGCTCTGTGCCTAAACTTAGTCCGGCGCCGCTGAGCTTGTGCAATCCGCCATCGCCCGCGATCTGCAAGCCTCACAAGCTCCCGGAGAGGTTATCCAAAAGCAAAAAAGCCACGGCAAGGACGGACCCCAATCCTGTAATTATAAGCGTCATCCCACCACTACCACCACCACCACCACCACTTCGGTCCTCAGGACACACACACACACACACCCACCAAGACACACCTGTCAAGCACCACGTGCCGCCAACCGCTCCCGGAAAGCTGGCCCCTCTTCAATAGACTCAGAGCTGCTCTGGCTAGTCTTGGGACCTCGACCTTGGCTGCCAAAACTCCCAGCCGGCCCAACCCCCTTCGTTGACAACACAACAAAAATTATCGTCTTATTCAACTTGAGCTCCTGCTCGGGCAAAAAGGCTCCTGCCTTCATCGCGAGCAATGGACTCTTTGCCTACCGAGCTGCTGCGATACGTCTTCGCTTACTCCGATGCCGCGTCTGTCCGGGCTCTGCGGCGCGTAAGCCGTACCCTCGCCGAGGTTGGCTACGACTTTGTCCTGGGGCCTAACTTCCGCGCGCTCCCGTGGAGGAACGACATCGACCGCCTCCACAACATTGCTCTGCACGAGCGCCTGAGGGGTAAAATCACCTCGGTGGCCCTGTGCATGGGCGAGCTGTCGCCCTATGATGCCAGACATGCTTCTATGTAAGTGCCCCTGTCATGCCTGTGCTTTCCCCTGCCCGGACCGCGCAGTGACGGTTGCAATAAGCGAGCTGCAAAAAGTCGTCATAATGCTGCTGATCGTATGCTAACGGTGTGAGTCTCACAGGGCACATCACTTCCTGATGGACCCCGAGTCACGAGCCCAATTGCTGCAAAGTGCCTGGAAGGAGTATTCCGAGATCGAGAAGCAAAGGCAAGTCGTAGGCGCCTTACATCTCAAGACGGACGACTTGCGAGAGGCGTGCTCGGCGCTGCCCAACCTCCGCGAATTTGTAGTCAACTTCACAGACTGCCCGTTTGACAACGAGGTCTTGGAAAAGGTGTTCCACGAGCCAAACTGCCGGAAACTCGAATACCCAGAGGTTTACCAGAACCTGGATGCCATCATCCTCGCCTTGCATGGCATCCAGCTCTCCTCGTTCAAGATTGATCGATTCCCCCTGGAAATGTTTGGCAAGAACCCGCACCGGCGGCACTGGTTCTCACATGCGCAATCCTTCAACAGTCTTTCCACGCTGCACCTCACCCTGGACCCATCCAAACTGCAAGGCCCCAGTGCAGCTTTCAGGTCGGTCAACGGGCTGGGCGGCTTCCTGCGCCTGGCAATCAACGTGAGCAATCTCAAGATTGCGTTCCACCCTTATGCAAGGGGCAGCATCAAGTCCAAGTTTGCCTTGTCCTTCCGGGAGTGTCTTGACGGGACAACCTTTGGGCGCCTATCCAGCCTGATCCTGGAGGGCATGTCATGCGACGAGGATGACCTCAAGGACTTCCTGGCCAGACACGGCAAGACCTTGACACATTTGCGACTCGGCGGCCGCGGGCTGGCCATGCCATGGGAGGCTTCGAATGGCGGCATCCACCTTTACGAAGGGACCTTCAGGTCTCTGCTTGCCGGCCTGCGGCACAGACTTCCCAAGCTGGAGAGGCTGCACCTGGAGGGTGTGCTCGAATGCGAGCACCGCGACCTCCCCTCGCATGAAGCATACAACTTCTATCCGTTGACAAACGAGGACTGGGAGGACATTCCGCAGCCAGTCTGGGTCCGCCCCGGTCGGCGACTCATCAATTGCTCTCCGTTTGAGCAATTCGTCAAGACGGGCGGACCTTATCCGGGAGATACCCTGATTCAGCAGAGCTTGTGAGCTAGCCAGGGCGAATGCACGCGTGCGTATCGTCCCGGTCACGCATTGTGACTTGCTGAATGGCACTTCGCGCAATTCTGCACATTTCCGGGAATTAACTGTGCCCCTTTGCCACAAAGAAATTAAGCGCTTCGGCATCATACACCAGATTCAACTTCAGGGGCGGCACAGGTGTGCTTTTCTCTCTGCGATCTCAAAGAAGTACAGCATGGATCGGACGCACCATCAAATCGGGACGACTACAGAGACAGCGTTCAAGGAGTGCAGGTCACACCATAAAGACAGCAGGACCATATCCTACGACATATAATGACTCAACTCTCACGACCATTACGACAATGATATTTATACCAAGAAGGAACCAACGAAATGATGAGGACCAAATCACACAATCTGTGTGCAGCAACGGCCAAGAAATACAGAGGAGACCACCAATAATGGAGGCAGGGAAAGATTTCAACTGAACCAACAAAGAATGTACAAACGTCCCCAGGGAACATCTCGCGATCTACCATCAGCCTACTAGATTTCTCACCCCACGCGGGCTCTCACAAGCCGGGAAGAACACCATTATTCACCACTACAAGCGAGCATATATCATGTTTTTTTTCCTTTCCTCCAAGCCTGAATCTAGGCTTTGGGTAATTCTGCATACGTTACGCTGTTCTTTTCTTTCTGGGTCAAGCAAGACTGGCAATGATCATGAGGCGTTCTATAGACTTTTGCATTGAAGAAAAAACAAAACAAAAAGGCATTTGAGACAAGCATGGCGTTTCAATATTGAGGTTTCCACAGATCATACACTTGTCTCGGCCATTATCATGTGATGTGCGCTGATCTATAATTTTCTCCACGATGCTAGCCATTTGCGTTTAGGAATTACGATTGCCACAAGCATGTATGATGATCTGCCGGGGCGAAACCCATAATCTTTTGACACCACAACCATATCTACAGGAGTGACCTATATAGCCAGATATGAGCTACACAGGCGCCCAGAACAAATAGGCATCTTTTTTTGGTGTCGTGGTTTTGTGTCGTGCTTTTGTATATAAAACAAAAATAAAAAAATTCGGTCGACTTTGCTACTACACACACGGAAAGGGCAAACTCCCGCCGGGCATCTCGAGCAAGTCCATGCCCAATCGGACTGCGAGGGGATCAGGATATCGGTATCTTATATTTGTTGTCCACTGCATCATCTCCTCATTGATCTCTTGCATGCACTCTCAGCTCCCCTCGGCACCGTGTCGCCCAGTGAGCCCCCACGCACGGGTGGTGGATTCACCATCATGCATTCAGCGACTCTTGCCGTTGGGGGAGAGGGGGGGGGGGGGCGGGCCCTCCGGCTCTCCTCGTGGGAGGTTATTTTTTCCTTTCTTTGAAGAATTCTATCAAATTAGTGTGCTGGGATAATTGCATGGGAATCCATCTATGGGACTATCACACACGCAGATGGTAGTTAGATACCAAGCCCCAGTATCAAAGGGCCGACAGGGATCACCCTGCCTTTTTTTTCGGGGGGCCAGTTGGCGTCACCCGCAGCCCACTATTAGATACATACTTGTTCCCGCCGGGGCAAGAGGGTGGCTGGTCCCCGGGGAGGTGGATCCCTGTTGAAACATATCTATAGATTAGGTAGGGTTCCTGATAATCTTTTGCTTTGTTCAGGGCTTCACATACAGTACAGCCATCATCAATCTCGTTGACGCGTTGCGAGTTTTGATACACACAAAACATCCCCGCCGCTTTCTTGTCGCGATGCCGTGAGAGCAAAGCGAGCCTCCTCCTCCCCGGGCCTGGGCCCTTTGACGGCCCACCGTTGTTGGTAGAAAGTAGATGTGCCTGGAAGTTCTGCGTGGCTGTCCTGCGTACTACTAGCAGCAAAGCTTGAATCCAGAGCAAAACCTGTCGTAGCAGGCGGGACTGGGCTGGGCGCGCCCAGGTCATTTTCTGGTGCGCCCCCCCTCTGTCTCTCTGTCTCTCTGTCTCTATGTCTACTCTCTCTTTCTCTCTGTGTGTCTCTGTCTCACACGTAAACTATACGCAACACGCGCCGTTTTGGACCCGGGCTGATTTTTTGCGAGATCCGAGTGAAACCAAGACGCCTCAGCTTCAATGGGGAAAAAGGTTGCAGCCGCCCGCGCTAGGATGCTTTTTGGACTTCTCCGTGGCCTTGCTTCCACCCCTTGGGGGAGCATACGTTTGATTGCAGAATGTTTTCTTCCTTTCTCTTTCTTTCTTTCTCCCATTCTCTGGGGAGATCAGTCCATTGGAAAAAGCTGAGACCTGCAGGTTTCGAAGCAGACTATGGCGTGCCAGGTTGGCCGGCCCGTGCCAATCTCGGAGGCATGCAAGGGCAGGCAGGCAGGCAGGGGTCGTCACCGCGAGTGTGTGTGTGTGTGTGTGTGTGTGGGTTGCCAGTTTGCACCGGCATGCTTTTCCGCTTCTCTCTCGAGGCCAAAGCATGCATGCATGCATGCATGCATACTATGGTACATGCTGCATGAAGTAATGCTTCTCTCCTGGAGTTGATGGACGGGACGGGGGACCTGCCGCGCGCTGTGCAGGACAAGGTCTTACATGCCAGCCGTGGCTTTGCTGCTGCTCCTCCTCCTCGGTCCGTCCGCCGAATGATTTGTGCGAAGTTGCGTAGCCTTGAGCAGCCAAACTTTAATTGTCCTCAAAAAGAATGGGCCACGGAGGGCCACGTTGCACATGTGTGTGCGTGTGTGTGTGTGTGTGTGCGTGGGTGGGGGACCACGATGTTTCTTTTCCAGGAACATGCCGCCGCCGTCGCCAATCAGCCGCCGTACGGCAAGCGGCGCGGAGAGGTGACGAGTCAGTTTCTCACTGACTGCGGACGGCCAGACTTGAGAAAGGAAAAGCAGGGCCGGCTTTTTTTTCTTCCTTTGGGTGTGTGGTTGACTGCTGCGCTGTGGCGCACAAAGGGCCTTACTTATCTCGTCTTCTGGCTTTTTTTCTTTCTTCTTGGCCCCTCGTCGTTTTCTTGGCCGGCCGCTGGTCCCCCAAAGTCTCACGCATCGAACAAGCAAGCAAGCAAGTTCCTGATGCAGTCAGATCCGAGACACGGACGGCCCGGGCTGCTTGGAGCATGCAGGCAGTATTAATTTAATTAGCAGTCACGACGACGGACGGGCCGTTGAGGTCTTTGTGGTTTGCCTTGGGTGCCGCGTGTCACACGTCGCGGTTTGAGCGCTAGAGCAGGGGCCTGGACTAGTAACGCGAGGAACCAGACCTGGCCGACTTAGTAAAGAAAGATGCAGGCTGCCACGTTCCGGGCGGAGCAGCAACTGGGGGGGGCGGCTTTCATCCGCTGGTCGGTCGTTAAAGTGCGTGCGCCTCCTTCCACCCCCACCTTGGTTTGGACACGGCACGACCGAGTGGGCCACGGCCGGCCATCAATTGGGCATGCACCCACTCATCATCCAACTCAATAGTGTGCCTGGTGATCGGCAGCCGGGGATTGTGAGCTCAATCGCGACTTCATCCAGCAGCACGGCCGGCCTGCATGGAATTGCGGATGGCGTGTGTGTTGTGTTGTGTTGTGTTGTGTTGTGTTGTGTGTTGCAGCATCCAACACCGTTGGGCGACGTCAGACTGTCGCATACCTACACCCGCACTAGCCGCTTCGTGACGGCTACACTAAGTCCGCTGATAGAGGCTGGCTGCGTTGCCTGTAAGCCACGCGCAGCAACACGACGACCAGACGGTGGATGGTGCCCCTCCCTCGTGCAGCCCGTCCATGTTCCCCGCAACTCTCGCTGCCCACCGTCTCGCTTCCCCAACACAGTCATCCAGCCATCATCACCACTATTAATGAGCAACACGCAGTCCTGTCTCGCTGCTGAGTGTAGCACCCGCACTGGTCATTGTGTCTCCTGACCAGCTAGGCTGCGACTGGTCCCCGAGAGGTGCTTTGTTCTGGGCTGCTTGGACATGTTCATTCATGCTGGCACCATCAAGCGGGCCACCACAAGCCTCGTAAGCATCGCAGAGTCTTGACCGTGTGTGTTGCGGACCCGGGCTCAGTCCAGGCCTCTCGCTCGTCCTCTTTGCCCGCCGCCAGGCCGGCCTCTGGGGCGAGTCATTTCGAACAATTCCAACGCCCTACACCTCGTTGCCCCTTGATGGGCTTGGTCCTCGGCTCGTCAAATTTGCTCCCGTTCCTGAATTCTTAGACATTCCTTCGCCGCATCTGCATTCCTCCCGTCCCCCCCTTCCAAGACATCCCGCCGTTGTGCGACAGAGGACCAACAACAATCACCACGGCCCTCTTGCTCGCCGGATAGGCCATCACGCCGGCTCCAGCGGTAAGTCGAAACCTCCGTTTCGGTGCTCGCACCCATGCCCGCATTCATCGACAATACGACCTGGACCAAGCCCAGATCCCCACTGCCCGCTCGTGCCCCGGGTCCTTGACGGCAACCACTGCGTCAACCAGCAGCAGAAACCCCTGGTCGCATTGACAGCGCGTGCGTGGTGCTGAGCCTCAGTGCAGTGGTCTGGTCCCGCCTGGGCGCTCTGTTTCTCGAGCCTGGTCCCTGTGGCGGGCCGGGGTGTGTGCTGGCGTCCAGGCTTTCAAGGCTGACCCGCTGCCGCCGCTTCGACCCTCTCGTCGTCATTCTCTCGCTCCTAGCCGCACGACCCTGTTCTCCCAGGTGCTGGCTGGGCCGCAACTCGGCCCTCTACATCCTTCGTCATCGATGCCCTCTTTCCACTATCGCGCAAAACTACGTTATTCTGATCTCAACTTCTGACCTTGTGGCCCATCTCCAGACGCCGCGACAGCCTCTCACAGCCTGGCATTCCCGGCGCCCTCATTCTCTAGCGACAAACAACCCTGTTGCCGTTGCTGCAGCCACGGTCTTTGCCTGCTCTGCGGCTCCCCCCGGGCACCAGCGCCGCTTTTCCAGCATTGTCATCCTTCACATGCGGTCCAGAACCACCCGTGCACACAACCTGTAGCGTCGCCTCCGCCGCCGAATATCGCCGCCGTTCGCCATCACCAGCTGCGCGCCTGCCGTGCACCCGTCACGACCCGAAAGTCGAACACGAATCACCAGCCTTGATCGCAGCATTGTTCTCCAACCAGGCGAGGCTGGCTTGCCAGCCAGCAAGTGATTAATCATGCAGCGAGTTTCGGCGCTTCTGCCCAGCTGGGATCGCAGCAGGAGCAACTCTACTGCTAGCAGCAAAACAAGCCTTGACAAGGTCCGAGGATGGGCAGACAAGCTCCCTTCCTCGGTGAATCGGCTCAGCGCTGGACGGCACAGCCGAGATATTCTATCGCCGTCCGCGCTGGACAAGGAATGCGAAAAGGCAGCCCGCATTCTGAAGTCCTTTTGCTGTATGTCACCCACTTGATCAGTCGGACTTTCCTATATATCCGAGCTCGCGGTGCTGACAGTGTGTCTTTTGCTAGATGACGGCTTCGCAATGCCCGATGATCGGCCCGGATCCCCGGCTACTCTATCGACCGGGCAGACTAGTCAGCTCCTCAAGCGCATCCCGCCAAGGATAATACAGAATGCCGTCGGTCTTGCAATCTTCAGCTCTATGCGTCCTGGATTATGGTCGTCTAGCACCGGCGGCAGTGGCATCCTTATTGCCAGGAAGCACGACGGTTTATGGTCTCCACCGTCAGGACTCATGTTGCAGACCGCAGGACTTGGTTTTGTCCTGGGTAGTGACATTTATGATTGTGTTTTTGTCATCAACACTTTCGCCGTCCTCGAGACTTTTCGACGTTCGAAACTTGTCCTTGGAAATGATGTCACCATGACGACTGGACCTGTGATGGCCTTGGGCATGGTCGAAGGTGGCTCCAAGTGGGCAGACCTCAGCGACACTGTTGTGTCTTATGTCAAAACGAAAGGGCAAGCTGTGGATGTCAGCCTGGAAGGCATGGCTCTGCTCGAACGTAGCGACGAGAACGAGAAGTTCTATGGAACAAACACGGACGTCACGAAGATCTTGTCGGGCGATATCAATCTGAGCTTGCCGCAACTTCGACCACTCACAGAGGTCCTGAAGGCTGCGGAAGGGCGCACAGACTACGATACGATATTGGTAGAACAGCTATCATCACAGCCAACACCCGGAGATGCGACGTTCGAGCCGCCCCGGACGGCGTTGGAGCCTGTGCCGACTTTCGGTGTGCCTGATCAGGACGATCCCGACCCTTTCGGGGTATTGGCTCTTGAGATGGCGGGTCTGGAGATTCGTGAGGCTGGCTCCCGACTACGCCCGGAAAGCAGTCAGTTCGAGTACAACCCGAGCCCGACCAGCCCGTTATTCCCCAGACTCGCTCGCCGCAGCGTCGACACCTTTCACTCGCGAAGCCAGCGAGGCAGTTACATGTCGACCAGGACTGTGGCCACCGACCGCAGCCAGACGGCTGATGGCGGAGCCAACACGTACATCAACACCCCTGAAACTACACCGAGCACGAGTCAGAGCCAGAGCGAAGATGGCCATCCTTATAGTGTTCACGAGGATATTCCCGAGCTGAAGGAACCGGAAGAAGTCGACTATACCAAGATTGACATTAGCGCGCTCCGAAGCTTGAGTGCGTTCCCAGACCTTGAAGACGAGCCATCAGTGAATGGCAGTGAACGCAAGGGAAGCATCGCCTCTCTCGACAAGAGCGATACTGAGTCCAAAACTTCAGAGAGCTCACCACGGCCAACCACAAATCCCTCTTCTCTGGGCAGCATAGCCAACGAGAACGACGCGGTGCTCGCTGCTGAGACTGGCAGCACGCACGGGACCCATGACGACGATCTCGATGATCAGGACGTCGAAGATGATAGCGAAGATGACGAAGGCGAAGACGAAGACGATTTTGAAGATGCGGAAGAAGCCGTCGTTTACGAAGTCGCTACTGCGCAGGCACCTCAGCGTATTGCCGTGGGGGGAGCGCATGGCCTTCAGGCCAAGGGCGCTGTTGTCACGATCCCCCGGCGGGTGCCACCTCCCCTTCCCATCCGCAACCCTGGGCGGATGTCGCGACGCAAGAGCCAGATGGGCGGTGATGTTGGCAGGCTCAGCAGCCCGTTAAGGCAGGAGTTCAGCGCTGATGACCATGACAGCCTGGACACGCCCAAGGCTCGGGGGTCTACGTCCCCGCTGACAATCGAAACCCGAAGCTTCCCATCGACACCAGAGCTTGAATCAGACCACGAAGATCGACCACGGTCGACACATGTTTGGACCACTTCGCAGACAAGGAGATCTGGCGATGAGTCCTGCCCCGCAAGCCCTGTCAGCGTTCGATCGTCGACATCGACGTCTGCGCACGACATGAAGGACCTGAAAGTTCCTCGCCGAGCAACAAATGGTGCCATGTCCACACTCTAATTGGCGATGCCTGGCCCAGATATATATCTACAATCTGTAGACACGGAGTTTCGAATTACGCATAGCCAGGGCCTGCCATTTGCAGCCACTGGCTTGAGAGAAACGAATGCATTCTGAGACAGCACGGTGTACTTTGGCGTTCGCGCGGACGGGGGGCAATATTTTTATGGCAGGAGGATTACGAAAGTCGTTTTGGGGCGTTTGCCAGGTGTTCCAATACCCCAAATATATGTACCACGACACAGCGGCGTTTTATCATTTTATGGGATTGAGAGTATTATATGCACTGAGATCACCAGCGGATCGCACGATAGGTAGCGACTGTTTTCATGGCTTGGTAGCGTTTAGCGCGTGGTTACTCCGACCAGCTAGCCTATTTATACCCTTGTTATTGTAATTATATAACAGTAGTGAAAGATGAAGTATACAGCGACCTCAATTCAGTGTTCTTGGTGCCCTCGCCGTGCTTGTTGTGTGTGAACCAACCCAACCGTAAGTAATATGACATACAGTCGGCAGCTGTCGAATCTGTTTTAGCCAGCTGCAACAGTGCTTCGATGTTGGGTAGAAACAGCCAATCACAGCTTCTCATGGAGCAGGTAAATGTGGATACCTGTGCTGGAAGCAAGACCCGCCCGCCTTGCTCTGCGCGTGTCCACTGCTATGCATGCATGCGCGCCGCGGCGTCCAGCCAGCAACGGATTCGCGAAACGAGCTTCAAATTCCCACTCAAGCCCGCGCATTACCAGCTTAGCCACCAACACCCAAGACCACACCACGCGCAGTGCCCGCCACGCCAGTGAACGTGTGTGCCATCCAACGACGCAATTGTACCTCCAATCGCGACAAAAGCACAGCCGATTGAACCCCCCCCCCCCAAGGGAGCACGAGGAGATCGGGGCCTGGAGGGACCTCTTATACCTCGACCCACCGCGGCGCAAAAAGGACGACGACGACGACGACATTCGCACGCACGCAGCAGTGACGGCTGACGGAGTTTCATAAGGAGGCTAGGGGTCAGCAGTTGCGCATTGCAAGGTCTTTGGCGCATCAGCCAACCCGCGACCGAGAAACATTTTGCGACAGCTCGCGCACGCGCGCCGCCGCCTGGATCCAGTGACAGATAGCCGCGACATCCAGCTCGACCACCAAACACCAGCAGCAAAAGGAATAGCTCCGGCCGGCCGGCAACGCAACCGCCACCACCACCAGCGGCAACACGAGGTAGGCGCCGAGAAAGACAGCGGAAAATGTCGGGCCAGCAGGGCAAATGGCGCGAGGAGCAGGTCCTCGTCATCTGCCCGGGGAGCCAGACGACCATGGCGCAGCTGGGCTGCAACGAGCTCACGCCGCCCGCGCACCGGATACCCACGCGGATGTTCAAGGACGACGACGACGAGGGCGGCGGCTACAGGCCGTACTACACCTACAAGCGCCGGAAGAGCGGGGTGCCGACGCCCCCGCCTGGGGACGAGAAGAAGGACGGTGTTGATGATGAGGACAATTATGAGTGGGTGGAGGACCGGGACAGTACGGAAGGCGCGGTGTATCCGTTACAAGGTGAGCTTTTTTTCCTTGTGTTGGCCTTGTTGCCATTAACCTTGGCGGCTATCGCCGTTGTAGGAGCGATCTGGCGGAAGATATCACGTTTTACAGTTTGCAAGACACGTCGCTAACCGGCTCGCGCACTTCAAGGTGGTCGCATTGTCAACATGGAGGCCTTTCTGGCATTTCTCGACCACGTCCACGGCCTGCTTACGACGACATACCACAACACCCCTATAGTACTCATGGCCTCGCCGCAATGGTCGAGACCCGACTGCGAGACGATCACTAGGTACATCTTTGAGAAGACCAAGACGCCTGCTCTGTGCCTCCTGCACAGCGCCGTTGCCGCGCAGTACGGCTTGAAGTGGCCCACCATGACGGTGGTGGACATTGGCTTCGAGAAGGTCGATGTCACGTGCATCTACGACAACCTGATTGTCAGCCATCGCGATCTCGGCTACCCGAACCCGGAGCGGGAGATCTCCGGTGGCGAGGTGTTCACGCAGAAACTGCTCTCACTTCTCAAGGACAAGAACTTCACCTATGACATGGCAGAGCAGTTCAAGAAGAGCCAGCTTTGCGAAGTCTTGCCTTATGCTCCTGACCAGCCCGAACTCATGGAGCTGCCGACAGAGGGCGGCGCCGCCGCCGCGATTGCCCCCGGCGGTGCTCCAGTATTGGATGCCCCGCGCCCTGGGGAGCCTGTGAAGGCTGCTCCTGTGATTGGAGCAGTAGACGGCGAGTTTGGCAATGGGGAGGACAAGGCGGAGGACGAGGGTGTCCTTGACGTTGCCAACATTGTCACGAGCGGCAACACGCGCGAGTTCCTGGCCAAGAAGGAGAAGGAGAAGGCTGAGAAGGCCAAGACGAAGAAGGGCAAGGCGCAAGAGGCCGAGGCCGCGACGGCACGTGCGGTGCGCCTGCCAAACTCGAAGCGCAAGATCGGCGTGTTCCACTACGAGGAGCTAGTGCACGAGGATGTCCAGGTCCCGGTCGCGAACGGCGCGCCTGTCGCCCAGCTCGAGGCCGCCATGGCTGCGGAGGCAGCGCCTGCAGCAGCTGCTAATACTGCTGATGCCTCTGCTCCTGCGGCTGAAGTCAAGCCCGAAGGCGACGATACTGCCATGATCTCGGGAACAGAGGAGAAACCAGCGGCCGCGGCTCCTGCACCTCCCAGTGAGCCCGAGGAAACTGTCACAGAACGTAGGACGAAGCGGGTACGGAGAGACGTGGAGGTTGGCTTGGAGAGATTCCAGTTTGCGGATCGGGCCGAGATCGACCGGATAGCAGAGACCATCTACCGGGCAGTCCAGGGTGTGGACGAGGTCTACAAGCGGTCCTCGTGCTGGGAGCACATTGTCTTTGTAGGCAACGGCAGCCGGCTCAAGGGCCTCAAGGAGAACATCATCCAGACGCTGACGGCGCGCCATCTCATCTCGCCAAGCACTGCCACAATCTTCACCTCGGAACTGCCCTCAAACATGGCGACCCCCATAGGCACGGGCTCGCAGACGCCTACGGGATCGGCTACGGGGCAGTTGCCGACGTCCAGCTCGGTCAACCCGCTCCTCCAGGCCGCCACGACCGGCTCGATGGGCATCCCGGGACAGGTGCACGTGCCGGGCTCCAATGCCGGTGACGCCATGCAGGGCGGGCACCACTCGCACCACTCGCACGGGCAGACACCGATGAACATCAAGCTGGCGACGCTGCCAACGTACCTGGCCGAGTGGGCCAAGAATGGCTTCGAGGAGGCCAACTTCCTGGGCTCGCTGGTGGCGGCGCGGCTGGCGTTCTGCATCCACAACCTGGACATGGCGGGTGTCGAGGCGCAGCGGATGATGAGTCTGAATCGCGTTGATTACAAGTAAGTTTTTGTCCCTTTTTTTTTTTTTTTTTTTTTTTACCCCTCCTTGGATTCCCACGTGCCCCTTTACACATCTGTGTGCGAGATTTGGTCCGATTGCTAACCGACTTGACCCTCCCTCCTCGTAGCGAGTTTGGACCCAAAGCTATCCGATCACACTCGATGCTCGGCTCGTAGCTGGTCCAGCTTGGATTGATATTCTGGGGTGCAAAAAAAGTCAGCATTTTAGACCAGCGGTGCCACTCTCTCTCTCATGTTAGAACAGGTGTGTGAGGATGGGGCTTCGTGCTTGAGATTTGATTGACCATGGTGTTCTTAATGTGCAGCAGGGGCTTGGGGATGGCTGGGTGGCTGTCCTTAGACTTTTTTTCTCACATGCCTAGTAAGGGGTTTTATACAGAAGGCGGGGACAGAAAAGATTATGGGATTGGTGTTTTCAAGTTTTTTTTTCAGAGATATAGCCCAAAGTTGATTGATACATCCATCCATCCCCTATGGCAACCCCTTCCTTTTGGTGTGTGTTTTCAGAGTCTTTGTACAACAGCCATGTTTGTTCCTTCTATCCACGAGACTCTTTTTCTGCAATGCATTTGTGTGTGTGTGTGCGTGTGTGTGTGCGCCCTTGCTACTTTTCTGTTGTGCTTTCCCAACTCTTGGTGTTGATTGGGCACAACCAGCGCCAAGCAACTTGCGATGATGACATGTGCTGCCGAGATGACAACAGCAGAACTATACTATAGTCCTTGTGCCGTGCAGTGAAGTGCATGCGACTGCATACAGATCCCCCTCACCGCCCTTCTCTCTCTGTCTCTCTCTATATATATGTATACATAATCTCCCTAGCAGCCCCGGCTTTCTATCATTTGCGTGCGCAGCTGCAAGTTGGTTGGTTGAGTTCCCTGCAAGACAGCAACATGAGCATCTCTGTCTGTGATGGCACAACATCCCGCGCACGAATATATTCTGTTGCCGACCGGACAGCTCTCCTCAGGAATTGAGTTCGGTTTAGGCTTATACCAAGCACCCTGCCTGGACTCGCGCGGGGTTCTCGGCAGGCGGACGACAATCTGGGGTAAGCAGCCACAATAGACTTGTACGTGGACCTGACACCCGACACCTGCCCGCCCCCGCTTGTGAGTCCGAGGATGCGAATGGGAAGAGGAGCGATGCGACGGCATGCTGACATGGCTTGCGAATAATCGAGTTTTTCTAGCCTTTTCTGGTGTAGCTGTCGCCGCGGCTGGCGTAGCGTTCGAGCGTATAATGGCCAATCAGCTCGCCAGCGAGCTGGGGACGGTATGCATATACGTCCATGGCAGATCATGCGTACAGCCGGAGCGATCAGACTGGTGCAATCTAGACATGTCTCTCGCCTGGCAGATTTGGTATTATAAATGCCGAGGTGAAGGGGTGGAGCTGTCCAGTCTGTAGCTACAAAAGGTTGCTCGCACGTTCCGAGAGAAAGACGTTCTTCTCAAAGACGAAACATTACCAACATTCTGTGACACGGCAGACTTCTGTGAACTTGCACCCAGGTATAACAGAGAGGATCACGGCGGCAAAGAGAAATGCGCTTCCTGCAGGACGACCGCGTGGTCGACACCACGAGCGGCAAGAAGAAGACGCTCCAGGTTATTGCCGCAGGGCTGCCGAGGTCAGTCTCTTTTTCTCATCCACCTAGGATTTTCCTGGTGGTTTATTGCTTGCCGAAGTCAAGCCGGAAGATGGCGAGTAGAGTGTTGTCTGGAAGCTCATGCCCCCCATGTTACAGATGCGCAACAAGCTCGATCCAGGAGGCCTTTGAGTCCAAATGGCTCGACCTGGGGCCGTCGATGCACATGGCACACGTCTACCCTCACACTGACCGAGGCGAGGTAAGTAAGAGTGCCCCGCATATACACAAGATCTTGTTCACCCAGTCGTGCGTGCGTCGTCTGGACTTACACACACACAAACCTCTGACAACAACAACACTGCCACAGCTCATCCTGGCAGCCATCCACGAGAAAGACCGGGCCACGCGCCAGAAGATGGTCCGCAAGCTCTTTGACGGGCACGCCGCGAGCGCCGACTTCCCCGGCATCTGCTTCATCGAGGACCTGATGGACATGTACCCGGACGCCCCCGTGGTGCTCAACCAGCGCGAGAGCCCCGAGGCCTGGGCAAAGTCGTTTGGCGACAGCCTCAGCTTCTTCTACTCGCTGCCGTACCGCGTCGCCACCCTGCTCTGGAAGCAGGACCGCCTGCAGAGCCGTATGGCCCGCGAGTGCAACGCCTACTTTGCCGAGCGCTTCGGCCCGAACCCGGAGACAGGGGACCGCACCATGACCAACAACACCGCGTGGTACGCCGCCTACAACGACATGGTGCGCCGCGCCGCGAAGGCCCGCGGCAGGCCCCTGCTCGAGTGGCAGCCCCGGGACGGCTGGGTGCCGCTGTGCGAGTTCCTCGGCAGGCCGGCGCCGCCTGCTGACGTGCCTTTCCCCAAGGTCAATGACCAGAAGACGATACGGATCCTCAAGGCGATCCTCGTGGCGAGAGGGCTGTTGTCGTGGGCCGCGCTGGCAGGGGTCTTCTATGCTGGCAGTCTGTACGCGCCTGGTCTGGTCGGGCAGGGCTCAAGCTTGTTGAGCTCGTGGCTGCGGTAGTTGTGTTGTGTGTCAATACACTAGTTTCCGAGGCCCGACGAGTGGTATATAGCTTATTTGACTGGAGATATAAACATATATCATGAGATGGGAATGCATGGCCCGGCAGCGGACATGGGGGAGTCAAAGCCTGGCTTCTTGTACGTGATTATGTATCTGAGAGCAGGTTCATCTTGACCCATGAAGAAGCCAACGAGATGAGTCGTTCATTCATGACAAGGACGCCTACGGTGAATACTCATGCGGGCTGGATCAAACTCATCTCAGGATTCCAGCCCGCTTCTCTTCATCCAAGCCACAGCCATGGCGGGTATGAACAACGATTGCGAGAGGTCTCGATCCAGGGTTCCGAATGCACATTCGTGAACCTTCCATAGCAGCTCAGAGAAGAAAGAAAGAAAAGAAAAGACAGGATTTTCAACCACGGCCGTCACACGGCGCATGGGCTTCTCTTCGTTCATGCTGTAGAGCCGCAAGCGACCCTATGAGATACTCAATCTACATCTCTCTCGGTTCGTGTGAAGCTCGGCATGCAATAGACAAGACAAATACACAAATCAATAAACGACACGTATCAGCTTGCTTCCTTGCTTACTTGCTGCACAAAGGTAGCACAGCAAAACACGACGTGTCCCTTGTGTCTACCGGTTCGTACCACGCAGACAAGCCGTAGTCTGGCATATAGATTACGAGAAGATTATCCGCATACAGCAGAGTCACCTCTACCGTCTCCGTTCTCGACAGCGGCCCGGCATGGTATCCTGAATGCAGATGCCGAACCCGAGCGGCATTACGTAGCACTCGGAGAGTGATATATGTCTGCGCCGAAGCAAGTCTGGACCATGACACAGCAGTCTCGGGGTCGAGTCTTTAGCCCTCGAGGCCACGGAGGATGGAATGATACTCTCGTGGTTTACTTCAATCCTTCCCTGGCGCGAGGTCCGATTGTCAAAAGCGAACTTGCCCCGAATTCTCCCTCATCTAGCCTTGTCTTGCCCAGCCATGCTCGCATCTGAGAGATACCTGGTCAGAGGTGTCTCAACGAAAATTGTCTCATCGGAATGTGTCTCATCGGGAAGTTTCTGACTCGAGTCTTGCCGACTCAAAAAAAGTCTTACACCGTCGACCCGGATCCAGTCGCGGCACTTGACCTTCCATCAACATCAGTCTCGGAGAACGGAGGAGTTTCGAGACAACCACGACAGTCCCAGGCCAAGATCGACAGGTTTGGAATCACTTGTGCCATTTACCAGTGCCGAGCAAGAATACAGGGTCCATGCCCCCCAAATGCTTAAATTTTAAGACAAGGGCGGCTAAAGTAATCATTTTTTTGGTGAAATACACGACGGCTTCTTATTTCCCCTTCTTGTTACGACTACGGCGACGATCACATTGCAATATCTGGCCACAAAAACGTTCAATTCGGATGGTCCATGTCGAGGTTCGAGGCCCTTGAATTGACAGTCCACGCCTCTTACTCGAAATGGTCTCATCGTCCACGAGCACATATGCATATGCCGTACACGGAAGGAAAGGCAGAGACAAGCCACAGGTTATGAGCGCTTCTTTGGCCGCCACGATTGTCCCCAACGCAATATATGACACACACTCTTCCAACGGTGATCCGTTCTGCAGCACTCGTGGGATTTCCCCAAGGCCATACGCTCGAATAGTCAAGTCAGACGTACATACAGGACTGGCACAAATTGCCCGACGGCAACACGTGTAAAGCCTGATCTAATTTAAGTCCACCCAGACACTCCGATGGAAAGTCAATCTCGGCTCTACGTCCATCGAAACCCTCATGACCATCCATCGGCATGTATTCCAGACCAGCAAAGACGGTTGCGTTTCGTGAACCAATGTGAGATTTCCAGGCGGTCTGTCTGTCTGTCTGTCTGTCTCTCTGTCTTCACCTTCTCTCCGTGCAGAGCGTACGCCATGTGACCTACACATAGCTGACTACGCACAACTCATGGCCGCTAGACGTCGCCATCACCCAAAGTCGACCGAGTAGTCACTAGGCTCCGACTCGATCGCCTCGCCTCGCCTCGCCTTGATCGGTAGGGATGTCATCTCTTTTTTACCCGTCTACTTCCGCAGGCAGGCCTCCTGGTGTGAATGAGAGTAAAGCGTATCGCACACGTGAATGCAAGCGTTTGGCCCTTCCGCGAGTTCGGCGGACGAAACAAGGACCAATCTGTAGCCTTGACGCCCTATCTCTCCCTCCTCATCCTCAACCCAGAGGGGATTCCATGACTGGCAATACCTTTCGGCGAGATTTAAAATCTAGCCAAAAAGAAGTCTTTCTACTCAGAGTCTCTTCTAAAGACGTCACTATCAACCTTTGACCGTCCGTCATGCAAGACGGGCCAGCCGGAGACTGGGGCGGCGCTCGCGGGAAGAGCCCACGTGCGGCAAGACGAGCCGAAAGCGGCTGCGCCGGTATGGCCCTGGCTGCCCGTCGCTCATCAAACACACAAAACTTACAAACTTTGATGATTGATAACATGGGAGAGCAGCGGAGGGAGGAAGGGGGGAGGGGCGGTGTACGTGCTTCACCCCCCTTTCTGCCATGTAGATCGATATGCTCGAGGGGCCACTCAGCAATGACGCAGGAGGGAGGCTCGACACACGTCCCCTTACACGGCCACCAGCGATGACGCCGCCGCCTCCGAGAGAGCAAAAGAGCGCGGATCACGCACGAGAAGAGTCTGTTGTTTGTTTCCCCCCCCCCCCTTTTCTTTTCCTTCTTTGTGCATGCGTCAGAGACGACGACGATCGGCCGGGTCTAGGCAAGGGATTTGGGGCCACGCAGGTACCCGTTCTTCTCGGCAGTCGAGAAAGGAGATGATCTCGGCTTGCGCACGCGCGCGTGCCATGGAGTGACGATCACTCCCCATCTTTCTTACCTTAAATCTCGAGATCCCAGTCTCTGGCACCAATACCAGCCGAGAGGGTATTGGTTTACCGTTACCAGACCGTGAGATGAGGAGAGATGCAGATCAGACGCAGGCCCTTGATCAGAGCAGGGGGCGTTTCGTTTCGTCGAAGGGGTCCCCCGCTGCCCTTCTTCTTTGACGATGCTAGAAAACCCCGTCAAGTATCTCCATCGTCACAGTCATCAAGGTCTGCTCGGAGAAAGATCCTGGCTCATAACAGATGGCCAGATATCAATCCATCAACCACGGGGTGCTGGTGTAGAGTCGAGATTGCCAATATCACGCGAAACATCCCGGCCTGCTGCCATCGATCGTAGAATATCTGCGCTTGATTCATGGCGGCGCCCGCTCACCGTATTCAGGTCAGAGTCGCATGCGTGTCTCCGGCACGTGTTTGATGGAGTCAAGTACAAGGGGAGGCCCTGGCCAGGCAGGACACCCCCCTGGTCCTCTTGGCAAGCGTGTGCACTATGGCATGCGCGTGTATGCGCTTTGATGGGCTCGACTGCGTACGGTTCATGGGCTGCAGTGACGACCGGGGGTTCTGCGCATAATCACCTTCATGATGGCTGGAGGCGGTCTCGCCCATGTCATGCTAGAAGCTTGTCATGTGCGTGTTTCAATAGTCAAGCATCCATCTCGTTTGTGGCGTGGCTGCTGGCGATTAGTAGGGATATGGTTGTCGAACAATCACAGTCGCAACGTTGCCCTGCCCCTGTGTCGAGACATGTTCGAGATCGGCAAATCCGTTGGGGCGACGGATGAAGGCCTGGCTGGATGAACCTTGCTGCCCATATCGCGAGAATTGTTCCTGGGCGTGCTCTCTAGCTGCCGGAGGGGATGGGCTGGTGGCGCACAACGTTACTGGCATGGCTGTGTGCAGATGTGCCATGGCCAATAGTCGCAATGACAAGTCACCACCACCTTTTACAGGGACCCCCCCTTAGCTACTTGCAAAGCAATACATTGCGACAGCCTTGAGATGGTCATTTCTTTTTTCCATGGCCGTCACGGGGCGGCATGAACCTCTTGGCGGCTTTGGCCCATAGACTTTGGAGGTGCTGACGCTGGCCGGGCATGGACACCAGCGCAATAAATGTCGAGGCAGCTCGCGACTCTCGGGCGCCGCCAGCGCCACGACTAGGCGAGCCACAGTCGTCCCGAGCGGTGATTTTATTACTGTACATATTTTCCGCAGGCTCACGGCTCAAGCGCGTCCAGAGATGATCTCGAGGCGGGCCCTCTCCACAGAGTCTGTGCGGAACAGTGATTAGCTTCCCCCCCCCCCCCACTGCGCACTGTTGATGCCGGGCCCAGATGTTCGGGTCGGGGGCACTCGCGGTCAATTTCCTGTGCGCGCCGCAGAGAAGGTTGGTGCCCAGGAAGGACAAGAGACAGCATCTGCGACCAGGCTGGGCTTGCGAGGTCGGCGCGCACTCGGTGGCGTCGTTGCGTGAGCGTGAGGGTCTCACCCCATTCTAGGCTGTCTCGGACGGCCCTGTACCGGCGTTGCGGTTGATGGGTGGCGTGCACAAGGGTCCCGGCGGCGTCCCAGCAGACGGGACGGACGCCAGGGGGAGCCTGATCTCACTTCTGGTAGACCAGCCAGCACAATGTAATCAGAGCAGTGCTGTCTCTCTCTCGCCAAGTCGACAGTCCATTGCTTTGCCCCCTGGCCAAGAATGATGAAGAAGCCATGGCCGGGCCCTGGCGGCGTCGTGTTTCCGGCAGACCACAGCAGTTCATGCCCGTGGTGCCTCTGGCTGTCAATCCTCTCCCAGCTCAGAGATCGCGCGCAGGGAGCAGGCGATCAGGGTGCCTGCTGGTGGGAGATGATCCGGGGCCACGAGATATCCATCAGGACATGGTTGTTTCTTTGACAGCATCCGCATCACCCCTGCGAGCGGAGACCTTGGGGGTTGCAATCAAACATGCCAGCCGTCAACACGCAGACAGGAGCCGGCCTCGATGCAACAGTCCCCCACAGGCAGGGTTTGTTGCTGTGGCTCATCTGCCACATCGCGACAAGCATGGGGCTACAGGCAGGGTACCTCAGGAATGGAGATTTCCCACTGCCGAGACCCACGCTCCCTATCGTCGAGGCGAGGCGAGGCTGCAGAAAACGGCTGGCTGGGCGATTGACGGGACGGAGCCAGGCTCCGGACTCGGACGCCTGTCGCTCCCCACGCATGAACGGGTTGCCATCCGAGATGTCGAATAGCCCTCCTTCGCTTGTTCTGAATTGAACCATCTCGCCAGGTCCAGCCATGTCCGGCCACGAACTTCTCAGCACAAGCAACGCGCGGTATCGGCCAGATGCCTGCAACAAATACGCCCGCCGCTTCGTATGTTGGCCACAGGGCGCCCCCCTAGTCAGTAGCCTGGGTGGCCAGCGCGTTGCCAATACAGAGGCGCCGTCGGACAATGACCCCAGACGTCCGCCTTCCGCGATCCGGTAGTGCAGGGGATGGCCGGCAGCTGTCATCTCTGGGTCCAAAGGAGACTTTGACGGCACTTGCTCTGCGCTAATTTCGCGGGGCCACACAGGCCATGCGCAAAAGAGGAGACCCGACTCCATTTCCTCACCAGCCGGCTATCTGATTTGCCTGTCCGGCCAGGCGGCGGCAGGGGCTTGCAAAGCTAATAAAGCTGCCGCCCAATCTCGTGAGCACCAAGACCGCCGCATGCGGTGCTGATCGGCGCCGGTGGACAGTCCGTGCTGCGATGCGGGCTTGTTGCGAGCCGCTTTGGGACAAGCCCCCACAGGCATTGGGGAAGAATCCATCCATCTGAAACGTGCCCTAGTCCCCAAGCCTGGCTCCTTGCCACTCTTAAAGCTTGGCCTTAAGGACATGCTTCTAGCGGGACGCAAAAATTATCCATCCAACAGCTCTTGCGCGAGGCTCCGTAGCATAGTGCGTGCTGGCCCGCGTGTCCACTAGCTCTCGCCAAGCCGTGCTAGCTAGGCTAAACGTCCCGGAGCTGCAGAAGCTGACTATCTGCACGCAGGAGGGTCTTGTGGTTTGGTCTGGTCGAGCTTCTTTTCCGCACGCCGTCTGCTGCAATGTGACTGACCTGTGGAGGGAGCAAGCGCAGGCCAAACCAAACCAGGGTCGAGCGTGGATCGAGTTGCCAAACCCATCATTTGTCGCGGCCTCTCCGTGCTGGGTTGTTGCCAGGCGAAGCCTGCCCTTGTCCGTCCCTGATGGAGCATGCCATTGAGTAGGTGAGGGTCTTGACCTTGGCAATGCGGACCGACAATGGCGTAGGTCGCAATCCGTGCTTGGTAGACTCGTCGTGGTATGGGTCCGGCACCGTGGTTTGGTCGGGGGACCTGGCAATATGCGTGCCCGTGGCGCAGTACCGGCTTGTTGGGACTCCTCGCTGAGGCATCAGATGGGGTTTCTTCTACAGCCAGTATCCTCCCGTCGTTGCCGCAAATGCTGCTGCAGAATGCTTGTCGATGCGAAACCAATCGGGGCAAGTTTGCCAATCCCTTGGAAGTACTGTGAATGCTTCCCCCGATGCAATAGGGACTCTCCAGTCGGGGTGGGTCAGCGTCGTCGTGACGATATCCAGAGTCAAGCGACCATGGAAATGTGAAAAGGCGATAGGGGGCCCAGGATTTGGCATTGAAACGGCGGCTGTCGACGGGCCCTCAGCTGCATAGCTTGGGAGAGGGCCTGTCCGGCCAAGTAGCATCCCGCAGTGACAGGCCAGGTAGGATGTTTGGTGGCGTTTTGTGGCTTGCCATGGGGTGGCACCCACTTGAGCGGTGCTGCACAGGCCAACCGTAGCGTGGACATGCACCAGCAGCCCCAGTTCATGAGACTTTGAGAGACACGTAGGTAGTCGATGAGCCCAACACCAGGGACAGGATATTCTTCTTACTTCCGCGGCTCGCTGCTCGGCGTTGTACTAAACACGGTGTGAATCCATATGCTTGGACTGGCTCAGAATTCGCGGAGCGCCTTGGTAGTCGAACACGCTAGCTGACTCGAATACTCCTCGAAGCGCGAGCATCGTGTCGTCGATGGCCGTCGGCGGTTTGTCCCTGAGAATCCACTCGTTCTAGTATGGACACTAGATGCCCTAGAGGCTGCATTGCAGATCTCGAACGGCTAACACCATGGGTTGCCCTTTGGCCCAGGCAAGACATGCGTCAGAACCTCCGCTTTCCCTGATGCGGAGTCATGTGGTGCAATGTAACGCGATGCTGCATAGTCAGGCTCAGGCTGTGACCAAGTCATTGGACCAGTACGGTTTAGGATGGTATTCAGCATAATTTAGATGAGATACGTTACTGTGTTGAATTTTTTTTTAAAAAATCCCGAATGGCTGCAAGTCAGGGTAGGATTAAGCCGACAATGGATCTTGATGTCGGCTTGAGTTGTCGATTCGAGGCCACATGGTTGAGACAAGGCGACGATCTTAGGGTGCACGCCTTTCACCGGGAAAATGCTAACTCTGACACGAAGAAGGTTCGAAGAAGCTCACGTAACAATCCTGCTCCCCGAAGAAAATATACTGCATTTGATTAGTCGACATCTAGCATCACAATCCACGTACCTCGGATGAGTTCGGTTGCAGACAGACGTCCCTGAAGGTCCGTACTTGGTCCACGAGTTACACCTTGGCTACTTGGCACACAAGTGTCGACCGTTCCTGGAAAAATCCGAGGTTTGATCAGACGCATGCGCCCTTGCTAGGCTGTAGAGCATTGCAAGGAGCCCGGTACTCTTTGGCGCAACCTCAGTTCTGGCACCTGATGAGGCGCCTAGCAATTTTAGCCATTCTTCGTCTGCCGCCTTTATCACAAGGCACGAGGCGAGCTAAGCGGAGTCTCATTTGCTGGGCGATGTTGAGCACCGGGCCATTGAGTTGCAGGGACCTCGAGGTCTTCGCGGCTGCGGGGGACAAGGTCTGATGCTGAGCGTACGGAGCACAGCTGGGTGGACCTGGTCACTCCCAACAGCCTCATATGGATGTGCTACACGTGCCATATGGGTCCCGCGTCGTGGGGTTGCGCGCTGAGGTTGTGGATTGAGCAGGGACTGTTGTTGCGCGTAATTGCACGCACCCTCCAGGGCTGGCTTGTGCTGTCTGGCAATGCAACCAATCCTGAAATCACGATGACGTTGTGCATACGCGACCATCCTCATGCTGGATGGATGCAGGCTCGCGGATGGCAACTCGGGCACATCGAGAAAGGGCGGGCGGACCTCAAGGTTAGTTCAGACCTGGGGAAATGCCACTTCAAGATGCAGGCAGTCGGACAAGAGACAGGTGAGGACCAGAGTCAACCACGGACAACCGTGCCATGTGAGCAGAGGCGTAACCAGAGGCCGATGTGCCCGTGACACACAGAATGAGAATGATGGATCAACCACGCATGCAGAGGAGGTGGCCGGTGCGCTCAGCAAGGGGCACCCGTGCATGCGGAGGGGAGGGGCGTCGGCAGGGATGGCCTCCTCCCGAAGGTCGCTTGGGCACGCCCCACAGTCCTTCAGCACGCTCGATCGCTGACTGGCCAATGGAGGGGTAGGCTCTGTCAGTCTGCACCCCTCTGACGTAAGGCACCAGCTCAGACAGCCACCTGGGCACACTGAGGCATGTCCCCAGCAATAGCGCGTGTGCTGGTTCGGACTGCACTCCGGTGGAGGCATCCAGTCCATGGCCCGGCTGTATGGCTCTCGCTCGTCCTCTGTGTCCTCGACACTGCCAGTGCTGCCAGCCTGACTGGTGCCTTCACCACCACAACGGCCCAGGGGCTCGTCATTCACTCCCGGCTGGCTTGTTCTTTTCTGTGGCCCAGATGTCCTGTCTGGGCACTCATCTGCCGGTCTCGGAAGATGCCACATTCGTGCTGTCGGCCACTGCCCAAGAATCCAAGATAGACTCGCAGGCGCCCCAGGCGCCACACCGCACTTCGTGCACCATTGAGCCAGCTGTCGGCCGGCACTTGGTTTTAAGGTATGGACGGAGTGGAGCTCGGCCTGAGACCAAGTGTCTTGTACGCCAGCATTGTTTGTCATCATCATCATCATCATCGTCGTCGCCGTCGTCATTTGCAGCGAGCCGGCAGGCGAGCAGGATACTGCCAGCAAGCTCAGGACAATGACGCTCCAAGGGTCAGCCATGAGAGCGAGTGGGTGCCCATGGGCCGGCCCATGCTCATGATGCCATGCTGCTGATGACATACATGGTCAGGTCAGGTCGCCTTTCACCAATGTCGCCCGCCTTTGGCCGTTTTATTTTTGTTTGTGGCCACATCATTGCCAGACCCCTGCGGATGCACGCACGAGGTGTCAGGCGCAAGGTGTGGGCGAACAAACCAGTGAGCCACTCCCAGAGTGCGTTTCGCGTCTAAAATAAAGTAAAGACAAGACAAGCATCACGACTCGAAAGTGTAGGCTGCGACATCGAAGTGTCTTTACTGTCCTCTGCTATTCCAGGATTGGCAAATGGTTCAACGTGCTACGGAGTAATGGCCGGTGTGCTGCGACAAAAGTGCAGTGCGCAAATTGGGGCAAGACGTTCTCTCCAATCCAAACACCCTGAGCTGGCGAGATAGATGGCACAGGACAGACCGACCCTGCATCACGCAAGCACGTAGCCTCTTGAGGGGGGGGGCAAAAACACATAATCACACACACCAGGACACATTCACCATCGACGGATTGCAAGGAGGACCACATCCGCGTCCCTCAACCTACCTCACATGCCTTCCTCCGCATCAGTGGCGTCGTGACCAAGAGAAGATTTGACTCGCACCCCTTGTCAAGCGACAGGCCAACCTCCAGTCAACGAAAGTCTGTCAATGGGGGCAAAGTGAGCACTTGGGCAGCGCGACTCCCAAGCGTTGCTAGGGCTCAGGGCACTGACCATTAGGACAGGCAGGCGGTCCACCTGTTGGCCGTCTACAGAAGTACCCGACCTGTCAGAAGCAGTGCCGGAGCGCGCTAGCGCAAACTTGCAGGACCGTTCAAGGTGCGTCGCGGCACTGGGCACCTCTAGCACAACACAGCACAGCATAGCACAGCACATCGCTGCACACAGCCCTACCTACCGCCACCCCCGCCCGGCTGTTTAACAACAAAGTGGTGGGCTGTAAGAGGGGCTTGGCGTTGGGCCCTGGCTGGCTTATTCCCGCCCAGCAGTCGGCGGCACAGTGCTAGCACTGAACGCCACCATCTCGGCAGCTCGTCAAGCACAGGACAAGGGCCCCCCTGACTGACGCCTCTGGCTTGCATCAAGCTCCGCGGGTTGTGCGCCGCCACTCCGCCGATAACGTCGTGTGTGGTTGTTTTTGTCTCTGGTCTGCTTTGGCTGCGCGCCCTCAAGTCATGGGGGGGGGGGGCCCCTCCCGCCCGCCGCCCACTACGTGATTTCTCGCCTCCCGGCTGCCGCTAAGCTGTTGCGTAATTGGCCTGCCAGCCAGGAGGGCCCTGCTCGGTGGCTTCCTGTCGTCGTGCGTGCCCGCCCACCCTGCGCCGCCCAGCAGCGTCGTCTAATCTAGTTTACGGCAAAAGGACCCTGGATGCGCTACCGTGAACCTCGTCAGACCCTTTTCTCTGTGCGGGCGGTCGCCTGTTTGGACGCCCCCATCACCAGGTCCGCCTTACTACTCCGGTCGTGGGACCGTGCCTGTGGTACTGTACGCTTACTGTCCGCCACCACCAGCGGGACGCTCCTGCCCTTGCGCTGTGTGTGCTGCATCCATGTTGCCCACCCCCGTCCCTGTGTTTTGCGTGCAGGGCCCCGGTCGCTTTGGCTTCTGCCATTCCGTCACTGCTCGACTTGCGCTGGCCCGCCTTTACGTTAGCTCACAGCACAAACGCTGGCTGGACATGACACTCTCCAAGTCGCCGGCGACCAAATGTATAACCCTTCCGCCACCTGCTCCTTCGCCCTTGTTGTTGATCCCAGTGTCTCTCTCTATCCCCTCTTACTCAGGCATATTCCAACACCAGATCACTTCGCACACAACACACTCCACACAAACATCACCTTGGAAGCTGCCGCAGAAGGACAGCTTGATCGTCACCCACTGCCGGACCTCACCAGACTGCCACGTTTGGTGCCTGGCAATCACTCTGATAAAACCCTATCCCAGCTTAGGGCCACGGGGAAAACAGCACTGATCGCCGCTGATCTTGCGCTCTTTGCGTCCTACGGCGGACCGCATCCAAGCACCCACTGCTAGCTAGCACCACGCAAGCCGTTGGGCGGTTTTCTGGACACCAGGCTTTCGCAGCCAGATTCTTGTCATCCTACCCTACCGTGTGTAGTCAACACAACCCTGACCCGCCCGCCACACAACTTTAGCATATTGGTCTGCCGATCATCGACTCTGCCGTCACCCAGCGCACAGGCGCAGACGACCCAGCTCCACCTCTCCCGTCTGCTGCTTTGGCAATAAGCTTCACTCTGCCTAGCCCTGCCCAGAGGTACCGGCTCCTGTCCGCATTGTACCTCGACTCCCTCGCTGGGGTCTTTCTCTAGCTCCTTGTCCGCATCTACTGCATACGGGGCCAACCACCCTCCGAAAACCACTTAAGGCTCGCTGATCCCATCTTTCTGGATCGTTTAGAGTCCTTCTTTACTGGATCTTAACTATCTCAAGTCAACCTCGGATCTGGTCGCACCTTGGACTCGCGGGATCTACCACACTGATCAGCAATCTTCCCTCCGCGGTTTCTTTCCCCTCCAAAATCACCACCGGATCATCGTCGCTTCTTCCGTCGTCGGTTCTCTTCTCCCCATCCATCGCCAGCGTCGCTGATCGCCATCGTCGGCTTTGTGCTTCTCGCTCTTCGATGGTCGAAAGATGACTATGACACTTGATTCACAATCACGTCTCGGAGCGCTCAACTTCGACCACATGTCTTCCTACTCAAACCCGCCGCACTTCACCAACCCGTGGGCCTCGGCCTCGGGCCCTCCTCACCATCCCGGACACGCCATGTACCCTCAGGGCCTACCGCCGAGTCTCGGCAGTTTGGATACCCTCAGCAAACATCAGCCTCCCCGGCCAGGACCGCCTAGCACGTCGATGGGCTACGGAAGCATCCCAGTCACGTCGGCATCATCAGCAGGTAGCACTCTCATGGCCGATGCGTATGGACAGCAAGACTTACTCAATATGCCCCAAGACATTCTCAGCTTGAACCGCATGCAGACAACTTCTGCTCCCTACGGCGAGCCTTCATATGCCACGGCATCACCTGTACCAGGCGCGTATTCGGCCTCACCGAGCTCGTATGATGGCATGTCTGGATACGCTCCAGCGCCCATGCGCTCTACGTTTGCCATGGGTCCCGAAGCAGACGCCCGTAGATATTCTCACTCGTATGTCACACACTCCTGGTCGCCGATGTATTCAATACACCGCTAATACAAATTCTGGACAGTAGCCTCGCTAGTGACGACAGACGGAGTTTTGCCGATGCCCTTGATGCCAGCCACGGTATGCTGGCCATGAGCCAGGAGACACCCAGAGCCATCTATCCCCCGCGGTCCCGAGGGTCAACAGACTCCTATGGTTTCCCCGCGGCGCACTCGACCAGCTCATCGGTCTCATCTGCTAGCAACTACAGCAGCGGTTACTACGGCAATGGGTCAATCGACGCATCCTCTGTCAGTGACTATTCAACCGCCGGGTCGGACATCGAAGGTTCCGTGACTTCACGGACGCTCCCTCGCCCGAATCTTATGACACAACCACCCCCTGCGCCGCAGTCCATGATGGGCCAGTTTAGCTCCAAGGTCTCGTCCAGCACACAGAAGAAGCACAAGTGCAAGGTGTGCGACAAGCGGTTCACAAGGCCCAGCTCTCTACAGACCCACATGTACAGCCACACAGGAGAGAAACGTAAGTTGATCGAGACTCAGGCTTTTGCTTGCTACGTTCATGCTAACCATTCGACAGCTTTCTGCTGTGAGGTTGAGGGATGTGGTAGACACTTCTCTGTCGTTTCAAATTTGCGCCGCCACCGCAAGGTTCACAAGAATGACACCAAGTCTGAGGCTGGCTCAGAAGACCACCAGGACGACCAATCGGACTAAATATATGGCCACACATCCTCAGCCGACACTTGTGTTTTTACAGTGCTTGTCCGACTCGACACACGAGAAACTGGACGGATCTCCGGATGCTGGCGCCCATGCACCTAACCTTTATCAACCTTCCATGCACATAACATTCACGTCTGTCGTTTTGTTTGCGCAAGCACTGCGCCACGAGTAGAGTGGCCTCAGTCCAGTCGCATTTGGGCCTGCCATTTCCCGAGGGGATACCCTCTATGATTGGAGTTTTTGGAGTTTAGTGTTTCAGAACCCTGGGTATGTGAGGGCGCATCTGATGATTGTGTCGGGGACCAAATTGGGTCAATTTCTTCTCGCATTCGTTTTACATCTTTGCCCTCCAACCATGAGCCTGGGCGTTTTTTCTCTGCAGTGCGAAGGTTCGCATGAGACGAGGTTGTTGGGATACAAGGTTGTACTACTATATCAACATGGCCACGGATATACCCGCAGAGGACTGCTTTCGTCCTCGTGCACTTGGGCTCACGATGCCTGCCAAAGAGAGAAGGGTTTGGATCGTGAGTGGGGTTGTTTAGTACGCTCGCTATTTTAATTGGAAAAACCAGTTGCGACAGAGCAACTGATGATGAACACGCCACAGCCAAAGCCTCTTCTTTGCGTGACCGCGACCTCCTGTGTATGCCCCCAAGTGCTAAAACGAGACAGATTGTCGATCAGGTAACCCACAGATCGTCAAGGTGCCATGCCACATCCCGTCCGGCCACGCGGTCCTTAGTAAGGTTGATCGGCAAGCCCGCGCGCCCGACCGTTCCAATATCCACCAGGTAGATTGAGCATATTCATACTAAACAACTGTCTGAGGCCAAAAAAAACAAAAAAACAAAACACTCGAGGGTTCAATATCGCACGACTTGTAGAGGGTATCAGAAGCGACCTCGGGAGCCTTTCGTGCGGACAGCGATTTCGGCGTGTCTGCTGCTCGTACACACCTCCTCCTACCCAATGGGTTGCCACGTTACATTGACTACTGTGACTTGGACAAGGACTGGATAGAGGCGGGAGGCAAACAAGTGGCTTAGGATTAGCGTGCCCTTTGCCCCCCCCCTTCCCCCCTCCTTTCTCCTGTGTGTGCACTCGGGTAATACTCCAGAACAACCGCGGAACTTGGGTGCAGGGCGCGGAGTCTGTTGTGGTTTGGGTTATGGGTGTGGGTCCAAGCTGGGACGACGAGGGCGACTGGGAGGCTCAAGACAGAGTGGCTCGAGTGGGTACCGGTGGGCTTCCATGACGGTCCAATAGGAGGGCCGAAGCGGGCCATCGTCGGCGACAATGACTCCCAGGCATGTCGAGGCGAGGCGAGGCGAGGGCCGGCGAGGATACAGTGGCAGTATTACAGGCTGGTCTATTTGCAAAACTTGTGGACGTCGTCGTCACCTTGCTGAGAGAACCCTGAGGAGCAGAGATGGCCAATGGCCGTCGAGACTTGGGCTTGAGGATGCCATAGCGCCAGGGAGGGACGGGAGAAAGCTGAAAGTTGAATTTGCCATGCTAAAAACAGCATGCGGTCTTGGCCGCGGGCTGCAGGCCAGGCATTGGTGACCCAAGAAGGCCGGCTGGTAGGGGCTAGGTGGTATGTAGTGTAGTAGTGCTGCGAGTGTGGATGTGATGCATGCAAGGTTGGGTAACGGCAGGATAAGCTCAGGATTTGCCCCGGCGGAGGTGTGTGTGTGTTGGCTTGGTCGGGTATGACGCGGAAATGATCCTCGCTGCCACCACACGTGCCGTGAAGTCAAGGCGAAACCCCGCCCGGCTAGTACAATGGGGGAGACAGGCGAGAGGGAGAGAGAGCAGGCGACTCGTTGGGCGGCGCTGGGACTTTTGCGCGTGCCGAGACATGGTAGGCAGAAAGTGGCTTTGGCAGAGGACGCCATTGCCGGCACGGCGTCATTGTTGCTCGCCTCGGGCAGGCTGGGACCCTGGAAACTCGAGGGCAGGCTGCTGGCGGAGCACTGGGCAGTGAGTGTATGACGCCGTGTCGACGCAAAAATGCAGAGGAGCGGATGAGACGAGCTAGCCTCGCGGCCGCCCCCACGACGACTTCGTCAGCCAAGAAGTGCTGGTGGAGAGGGAGATGAGATGCGGCGGCTGCTTTGCTGTGGCCTGTGGTGGCCTGGCACGCGCTTGACGTGGCCGGGTGGGCTTGTGCAGACAAAGGGATGCAATGCAGCAGCAGCAGCATCACGACCGAGAAAGAGCCCAAGCGCAACAGCCGTCGTCATAATGCCAGCCGGGGGTGGAACCGCCGGCTCCAGGGTATTGCTGTCCCCATGCACATGAAACGCGCCGGGGGAGAGCTGTCTGCAGTGCATTGGCGCGCGATGATCCGGCTTCCCTGACGATCGCAGCTGATCCGCAACGGCAACGTCTCACGTCTCAGACGATACGTAGATACTTACACCAGATAGCGCCCCAGAGAAGGATGTTCATGAGTGCCGCTGGGCACAGTGCGGTCGTTGTGCTGCCACGACTCAAGCAGAGATGTCCTGAGGAATGGAGAACTGCGCGGTGGTTTGGGAACGGGACGTTGGGACGGCGGCGCAGCAGCCAATCAGCGCGCCCCGCGGGAGCTGTCACCAATGACGCCACGGGCCCGCCTTCCCTTGAGACTGGCGGTGCACAATGACGTCAAGGGCAGCCTCGTGTGGAGACGGGCCAGCAAGTGCAACAACGCAAGGGCCTCGAGCCCCCATTGGACAGGCAGGAGCCAGGGGGTGCCGACCCGTGCGAGATCACACTGTCCCCGCGTATCCTCTCGAGGCCTCTTGCGAGATCAGAGACACCGTGGATGGCTTACAGGTCGTCACAGTCCGCCAGATTGCACAAAGAACCACATGCCGCCGACGAATTGATACCAGACAAAACAACAACAAGAATCAGAGACTGAGCGGCCGTGCCACATTGCCTGCCTCTATTCCAAAGAACCCTCGTAGCCCTCAAAAGCCGTGCTGGGCGCGGCACTGCAAATAATCGCAAATCGCATGCGATCTGCAGGGTCCTCCCCCATCGGGCGTCCGCCTACAGTGCACGTCTTGCCGCCCATACAGTGATTCTCCCCCTCCGTTTTGCTCTGAATACTGCAGAGACCATCACCGCCTGGGCGCATACTGGAGCAGCCAGGCATCCCAGCGAGAGTATGGGTCCAGCACACAATGGGCTCAGACAAAGGCATCTCGACATTCCAGCGGCTTCCAAGGGACACGGGCGTAATGCGTCCAGGAGATGGGCTTCTTCGGCGTCCCAGGTGTTCATCACGGACCCCTCCCTCTCCGGACAAAGCCACCCACCCATCCACATCCATGCCTTCTCCGCATCGTGGCGCCCCAATGCCCCTTATGCCATCGCAGCATCGTCGGTGGCGTCCAGGTGCAGAGTCGAATCAGGCCCCTGCCAAAGCACAGTAGACTCTTGACACCATTTCAGGGTCCAAACGCCACCAGGACCCTGCCTGGGGATGGTGTGGATGTGCTTCCTCAATCTTTCAGTGCGAGTTGTTGCACGCCACTCACGATCCGCCGTGGGAAGCGGGCCCACGAAAGGATAATAGCCACCGAGGTCCAACAAGCGAAAAACAGCACGGGACGCCTCGTCAAAGCACAGTAAGCCGGCCCAGGCGAACAATTAATTCGTTCTCGCAGCCGATTCGGACCCCACCAAGGCATGACTGACAGCAGCCAGTGAGGAGAGCCACGACGACCAGAATCGCCATAATTCCCCAATTAATGACAGCACACCAGACCAAAGGATCCGGCCAGGGTCAGAGACGGCCAAGCGAGCCAAGCTTTGCGACTTACGCGTCCCCTCTCCAGTTTTCGCGCGCTTTTGAGCAAGGATTTTCCTTCAGCTTGTGGTAGATGGGATGGCTCCCAGACTTTGACGGAGCTGCCAAGAGCAAAGGAGCAGCTGTGATAGGGGCGGGCACCAGTCGAGCAGGGTTACTGCTCCGGCCCACGTCCTGTTTCATCTCACCGACCTCGGCAGCATGTCAGCAAGGTCATGCTTGACGTAGGTAGAGCCTATCGAACGCACGATTAGGTGTGTGTCGGCCTCCCCGACCCCCGGCTGGGCCTTCACTCGACAGGTCTCAATATTCGGACACCGCAGATTCAAGGGCGCCGGCCTTGTCTGCTTGCTTGCTGATTGATTACTCCACCCACACTCCTCCCTCTCCGACACCACCACGAAACGAGCCCAGGATGTTCATGTGCTTGCACCCACAGTAATGCAACGGCACAATTTGCACGGCCAGCTCTTCCTCATCCCAATCTTACAGTATCGTCCTGGCTGTCGACCAGGGCCGCCGGTGTACCTAACGGACTACGGCAGAGCCGTCCAGTTTGGCGAGTGTTCTACAGCGTTGAGTATTCTCCATCGCGTTCCCCAAGAGTTGTCAAGTGCATGTCACGCTTGCTTGCCATCCAGAAAGACCTCTGCTGCCAATGACGAACTCGTTGGTTTGTGGTGTCACATGCAAGACAGGATAATGACCTTAAGCACCCCAGATATGCTTGACGGTGTCCGAGGATGCGCAACACGATGGGCTTCCTGCCCAAATTGCCATGTTGCAGGACCATGGGAAACGAGCTTTGATTGCCAGGGCCCCCCGGCAGATTGCAGCTGTAACACTGCAGCAGCCGGAAGCTCGTCCGCGCTGTAGGAAACCTGTCTGAGCACGTCATGCTTGAGAATCTGTCAGCAACGAGGCCCAAACCAGCAGCTTCCGTACTTGCCTTCGTCCGTTAGATTGCAACCTGGTGCACTGGCTCAGACTCTGTCTGGTGTTCACCGCCTGTCAGAATGACGACCGCGAGGCAGGGCTACGATCATACAGGATCCCAAGCCCAGGGTCCCTCCGGGCCATAAGATGAGGCGTGGTCAAGGCTCACTCCCAGCCAGTCCTTCGATGTCGCAAATGCAGAAACCGGTCGATCGCTACCAGATCAAGAGGCGTCGCCAGTTTGCTGGCTGCTCACATGGACACGCCTAGCATCTCCACAGCTCTGAGCTCGACAACCAGCCCGTCCCTGTCAGTGCCAGAAGTGGACTCCGTGGGTCGTTCATCGCTGCAATACACGTGAGCTTGTACTCCTTCTCCAGTGTTTCGTCTGTATCCCATTCCTTGTAGGCAAGTCCCTTGCCGCTTTCTCTCGAGAGCGAGAGGGCCATAGGTCCCGTGGGTTCGCGCCCACGCACCCCATATCGTCCCAGGATCTATCGCCAGTCTTCCGACGCTTTGTTACCCCTATCCCGCATCTCAGCACAGGCTGTCCACGCGTCCCTCTCCACAACACCAAAGAAAGGAGGCTGAGATGAGGCGTCGTCTGCTCTCCTCTTGCCCCGTGTTTGGAAGGGGTGTTATGGATGGGCGGAATGGAGTTTCCATTCGGCGTGGTGGACTTAGCCCTAGGGGCGAGTTGTCAATGCATGTTCGGTTGCTGCTTATTTCGGCCCTGCCGTGAGCTGTGACTCTCGTTCATGCTGCCACTGTTTTCCTGCTGGTCACCGTATGTACTTGTCGCTTTTGGCGTTGTTGTTGACGGTGGTTCATGCATTCGCGTCGACCCGTTAGCCATTCGGAAACTGTCATCCTGGCCGCTTTGAGGCAGCACATGGTCATTGATTCGTCGGTAAACATCCTTCTTATGGCTTTGATTGTGATGATTTACCTTTACGAATGGCTTGTGTTTGAATACCAGAGAAGAAGCGTGATCCTCCCCAGGTTACCTTGGCGGCGCCGGGGAATCATCTCGATCTGTCGAATCGCAAGGCTTACAGCCCCATGCACTACTGTGACAGTGGAAAAAGGAGTTACCCCACCGGGCAATCTCCCTACGCTCACGGCATCGATATCTGGCTTTGCCGCCGTAGTTGCCCACGGTGCTGTATAAACGAAGCAACTGTAGGTAGTTGTACCTTGAAGCGAGAAGTCTACAGGAAAAGCCCCAACTGTCTTCGCACTTCTTTTTGAATTTATCTGTGCATTCGAAACTTCTGTTCTCTGCTTGTGTTGGCGGGCACTCTTTGTTCTCGCGGACAGCGTGCTCGACAGATCTGATCCCCGTTGATCCTCGTCATGACGGGGGGAAGTTTCCAAGGTGAAGCCGCTTCCCGCTCGTGGCGTTTGCCCACAGCGCAATTGCTGCCAACAAGAATAACAACCAAAACAAAAACGAGGAGACAAGTTAGCCAGTAGGACTTTTGCACATCATCAAGTTCCACTAGCCCAATGAGCCTTCGAAGCATGATAATACCAAGTAGGCATGCATCAGAGCAATAGATGGCAGTAAAAGTAGTAGTAGCAGGGCCGAACAATAAGGACAACAGCTGAAAGAATGCGTGAGAGACTATTCTCAGCTTGTTCGGCGGGTTGGGGGCTCCTCCTCCTCCTCCTCCTCCTCCTCCTCCTCCTCCTCCTCCTCCTCCTCCTCCTCCTCCTCCCTCTGTTCGGCCGCACCATATTGTCTATTACTCTGCTGATCCTGGATTAGGATCTCGCGTGTCTTTCGGCGCCCCTGAAGTAGGCTGGGGTAAAGGAGGTGGGAGAGTGTGACGGAACGAAGTCCTCATCTGCTGTATTTCTTGGACCATGAACCACCTCAAGACCTCGTGTGTGTGTGTGTGTGTGTGTGTGTGAGTATGTGTGTGGAGGTGAAGTCTTGATGAGTGCCCATTCCTCTTCCCGCGTGTTTCTATCCTGCGATTGCTTGTTGCCGCGATGTTTGAGGCGTCGGACAGAAAGGAAGAACAGCAACAGCAGCGGATTCGCTTGTTCTACAACCTGTGCAGCATATCGGCGAGATCACCACCGGATACGAGGGCGCCATGTTTCCAGGATACTTCTTTCCAAGGCGGGCTATTCGATGGCAGGGGCAAGACCAGGACAGTCCGAGTCAGCCGTGGTCTCGAGCAAGGCCGTGAGATGCTACAGGGGAGGAAAACAGCAGCAGCAGCAGCAGCAGCAGCTAGCCGAGAGGAGACAAGAAGAGACCAAGACGCTCTCGACGATGGTTGCATATCGCATCGCCCGAGACCAACATAGGACATGGCATGGCCTTCATTTCCCGCCAGGGCAGATCGAGAGAATGCATAAAGAGTAAAGAGGCACAGCAGCAAGCAGCTAGAGAAGGAGACAGAGAGTGTGTGTGAGAGCAGGGACAGTCAAAAGACACTGATTATATATTTATTCCCCCCCCATCCTCGCAAAGCCAGTCAGTCCCAATGTGGCTGCTAAGCCCGCTCCTTCTGATGGACTAGCCCCCATTCATCTTCATTGCCTCGCTGCAATGCCTTTCTTTACATAGAAACATGAGAGAAGAAATAAACTTAAAGAACGCCGCTTTGTGCATACAAGTCCGCCCTCCCGTCCAACACAAGAAGAGAGAACAAGAAAGGATCCCATTTTCTTTTTACATCTACAGCACAATAGCCAGCTCGCCCCGGTCGATCCCCTCCGTCAGGTTCGGATAGTACGGCACCAGCGCGTCCGCCTGCCCGACGTATGCGTCATTGTACAGCCTCCAGTACGGGATGCGCACCTTGCGCGCCGGGTGGAAGAGCCCGGCCCAGACGTAGTTCATGACCAGGCCGGGGCCGATGGCCACGCGGACGGCCTCGATGGCCTCGATGATGCGGTCGATGACGTGCGGGCTCGTCTCGAACAGGTTCGGGTACAGCAGGTTGAGCAGGTGGAGGAGCGCGTCCTCGCAGCCCAGGCCCACCACGCCGAGCGCAATGTGCTTGACGACGGACGCCGCGGTCTGGCGGTGCACCTGGTCGCGGTCGATCAGGGCGTCCTCGAGCAGCGGCGTCACGGCGTACACGTAGTCCTTTGCCATCTCAGAGATGTACTCAAACAGGAACGACATGGATTTCAGGATGCCGTTCTGCACGTTGAGCTCGGGCACGCGGTACTCGTTCATGAGCGCCGGCAGCACGGTGAAGGGCGCGCACGTCTCGGCGACGATGCCGATGGCGACGGCGGTACACACTCGCGACTGACGCTCCTGCACGCGCAGGTTGTTAAGCAGCGTCGCCAGGACATCCTGCGGGCCGATGGCCTTGGCGATGAAGCCGAACGTGTTGTTGGCTGCGCGCCGGATGCCCTTCTTGTGCGCCTTGAGCATGTCGAGCAGCTCGAAGCAGATGCGCATCCACTCTCGCGCGTTGACGCTCTCCGGCCCGCGATCCGCGATACGGCCGACGAGGTCGATTGTGTTCTCCTGCACCTTTTCGTGACGATTGCGCAGGATGGGCGTGAGTCGAGGCAGCAGGTCTCGGATCGGCGGCCGCACCTCGCTGATGCCAACCACGGTGACAATGGACCGCAGAGCTCCGATGATGGAGCCCAGGACCTCGGGGTACTCTTCACCGAGGTACTCGTAAAGGACAACGCTGAGCTTACCCATGAGGGCATCTTCGCCGCACTGCTTCATCACCATCGCGATGCGTGAAATGAGGTCGGCAGCTTGCTGCCGCACGGTGGGAGACTTGTTGTTGAGCCTCCACAGGATAGTACTGACAATCTGTGGCAAGTACGGCTTGCATCGACTGCCAAGCGCGTTGACCACTGTGCCAAACCCGTTGAGCATGACAATATCCTCGACGCTCTGCTCCTGAAAGGAGTGCAGAATGCCATCAATCAGGCGCTCCTCGAGGCGCTCGCCAATATCGGCCGCGCCGAGACCGGCGACCACCTTCTCCACCGTCTCCACGGTCATCTTGCGATACGCCTCGCTCTCGTCCTTGAGACTGTTGACGATGCGCTCAAGAATCTCGCTCACGCCCACCTTCTGGCCAAGGTCGACCGTCGTCTCAACGACTTGGCGATAATTGCGCTTGTCGAGAGCCATCCTCCTGACCCAGAAGCTCTTGAAGAACTCGTCCAGAACGTGCTCCTTCAGATAGCCGGCCGTCACACCATCGACCTGCGAGCACTTGGAAATGGCCTGTAGGACAACCTTGCGCATCTCCTCGTCGGGCGACGAAAACTCTCGCAGCAGAATCTCCATGATCTGACTGGTATAGTAGTTGGCGTATTCCTCGTCCATCAGAGGCACAATGTAACCAACAGCCTTGAGGTACGCCGCCAAACTCTTGCCGCGCTGCTTGCGAGCACCAGTCCACAGCGGGTTGAGAATGTCGTCAAAGCTCTCGATACCGTAAGGGTTGGCCGCCTCGGCGAGCGCGGCGATCGCAAGCGCCGTCACCGTGCGGACCTTTGTCTGTTCGTCGTTTAGGTTGGGTCCGATGCAGTCCACGAGTCCCTTCAAATGTGGCAGAATAGCACATCCCATAAGGATAGGTATCTGCTGCACAATCTTGACACCCGTGTGACGCGCCTGCCATGACTTCTTGCTTCGACAGACTGCTCGCAGGAAAGGGAGCAGGGCCGGTATGCCCAATGCCGAGGCGACGACAGCAAAGGCACGCGCTGTGGTGTTTCGCACGTATTCGTCCACGTGATCGATATCTGGACGCATGGTACTAATCATTGTGGCGAGACCGGCAGCCTTACTCAAGTTCGAAATAATCGTCCGACCCTCCACTCTGGCGTAGTAGTCCTGGTCAATAAGAAGCGGCTCGATGACGACCAAGATCTTGTGGACATATGGCCGGACCAGGTCATCAAGCTTGTACAGGACACGATCGATGACCTTGACGAGCAAGTGGCGCTCCTGGTCCTCGAGAGACTTCTCCATCAGTAGCGGGAGGATCTGGTTGAACAGGGCGCCGGCGCCAAAGTTGCGGGCATTGTCGGTCAGCTGGCGAAGCGCGGTCTTGCGCATTGGCGGAGTGCCATTCTTGACCTTGAGCAGCAATCTCATGATCTTTCTCTCCTTAAGCTCTTCCACGGACAGACTGTTCTCGTCAGCACCATCTGTGAGCTTGCCAAAGTATGCCATGTCCTCAGCCTTGAAAAATTGCAGATCTCCAACTCCAGGGATCTCTTTGGGCATCTGGTTCTGTCCCACCCGTCCGCTGTCAGGGTCCTGAATCATGAAGCCGCTGTAGTTGGCGGGAAGCGGCGTGGCGGCCACGCGGTGGATGGGCGGCTGCCCGCCTGTGAATCCCTCTGGCGGCTCGACGATCTTGAAGCCTTGCTCGGTGCCCGGCAGGATGAGATCGAGCTCCTCTTCACTCAGAACACCGGGCATTGAAGCCGTTTCGAGTCCAGTGGCGGGCGCGCCCAGCTGAGAGGTGTGCATCGGGGTGGCCAGGCCACTGACGCCAACTGGGGTCGCCGAGGGCGCTTGATCCCACCGAGAACGCTTCTTGGAGGCATCAGCACCGGGAGGGCCTGGCAGAGCGGGAGCCTGATCCCACCGCGACCGTTTGGTCTTGGTGTCCTCAGCCCCGGCTGTAGGCTCGTCCACGGCCGTGGTAGCCACATCCCATCTCTTCTTGCGCTTCCGTGTGGCGGCGACAGCCTCAGTCGAGCCAGCATCGGCGTTCTCTTTGTCACCATTGGCCTCTCCATTCTGTAGCGTCGGCGCGTGGTGCACGACATCGCCGTCCTCCTCTTTGCCCTCGCGCTTGGCCTGGATAGCGCGCCGCACGCGCTCCTCCTCCCTCTCGAGCTCTCGCCTCTCCATCACATCACGGTAGGTGTCGCCGCCGCCATTGGCGTTTTCGCCGGCCGATGCGCCTGCCTGGCGATTAGCAGCAAAGGCATCGGCGCGCGTGGGCGTGAGGACGCGGTCGAACCGTCGTTTCTGGTAGTCGGTCTCGCGGTCGACGATGCGCGTGCTGTTCTCTCCCCTGCCCGCAAACGGGTCGTCCTCCTCGACGCCGCTGCCACGCGCGAACTCGTCGATCTGCGCCCGGCTCGCCGTGTACTGGCCCACGAGGCGCCGGGAGCCGTCCGCACCCTCCATCTCTTCGTCGTCGTCGCCGCCATCGTCGCCAGCGGGGATCGACGTCAGGTAGCCCGAGTACTTGTCGCCGCCGGCATCGTAGAGCTCCGTGTCGCCCGAGTCGGTCAGCTTCTGCCTGGTGGTGTCTGCGCGCTGCGTCGACGAGTCGAAGCGCGAGCTGCCGCCTCCCTTTCTGGCCGCTGCCGCCTCGTTGCGCTCACGCTGGAGCTTCTGGATCGTCTCGAAGTCAGCGTCCGACATGGTGGTCAACGCAGTCGGGAGCGTTCATAACGGTCTTGCGCATAGAAGTGGTCGGTCGCTGGTCGATGGTGCGAAGCGGCTCTGCCTAAGGGGATGGATGTCTTCTGGCTGGGTGCGGCTTGGGCGGTGTCTAGAGGTGCGGAAATGGCTTCTGTAGATGCCTGGCAGTGTGTGCGATCGTGGGAGATGAGATGAGTGAGATCGTGTGCCAGGATGAACGATGGTGGGAGCTGGATTGCTGCGAGGATGGATGGTTGGGATGGGTGGTCGTTCCACTGCTGTGCAATCAATGAGGCTGAAAAATGCGCGGCGCCCTAAGATTGTACATCGCAACAGGCAAGGAGCGGGTCAGATCCGCGCCTGGACCCGCGCGCTCCAAGGCGCGGCGTGTGAGTCAGCCACAGTGTGGCGCCACACTGCGACTTCAAACAGGCTCTCGCTCGACCCTTGCAAGCAGATGCATGCATGCAGCCAGAAGCATCCATCTCCCAGGCGATCAACTAACTGTATTTCCGAAGCCTCGCAGCAACAACTGTTCAGGAATCGTGTATTAGGGAATCACGCACCACGTGATTCTTTGTGGATAAGTCGCCTCGCGAAATTCCCTTTGCGTCCGTCAGTTCCGTACCAGGTATTCCAAGCTTTTGCCCATGGACACAGGCTTGGCTCCCAAAGTGCTGCTGTGTCTCCCTCTCATCGGGCTGTCTTGGTGTAACACCCGCCTCCCCAGCCGAATTTCACAATGTGCACCTCGGCAAGGCTCTAGAAGCGCGCACACACCCCCATGCGAGCAACAGAAGACAGCTGCTTTCTCAGGTAGGTTCGCATGAACAATTTCAGGAGCTCTGGTGATGACGCCCAGCTCTCTTGAACCACGATCACTTCAGTCAATATCGGTAGGCACGGTGGGCTCGTTGAATAATTTTGAACTTCAAACATGTCTCATTTCATGTATCATGTGTCGCTATGCAATGCCGAGAAAGCAATACTTTTGTGCTTATGTAAAATTATCATTCCGTCTCCCGTGTCCCTTACTGTGATTGCTCCTCCTTGGACACGAACAGCTTCTCCTGCTCCACGGAGCCGTCACTACTGTTGGCTTTGCCCTTCTTCTCAGAGAGAACAGGACCCTTGCCACTAGTTGTACCACGGAAATAGTTGTCAATGTCCTCAGTGTAATCATCATCCAGATCGACGGGACCAGCCTCGTCGGTACCACGAGTAGCCTCGCGCTCCTCCCAGTCGGCACGCAGGTCCCGAATCTTGGCCTTGACGTCAAGATCGGGGTGGTAGCTGCGACCAACACCTGTCCATCGCTCCCAAACGGAGAGATGGGTAGGGTGGATGGCGATTCCGTGGTACTGCTCGGCACGGCCGTCCAGGATGTACTGCCAGCGGCGCTCCTGCTCCTTGAGGTCGAGACCGGTGGTGTCAGGAAGCCACAGCCAGGTCATGAGCATACCCGCAAGACCGAACCAGGGAACGACGTAGAACTTGGTCTGGGTGTCGATGTAGTTATACAGGACAGAAGCCAGGAGAGCGCCGGCCTTGCCAATCATGGCAGAGAAGCCGTGGGCACTGGCGCGGATCTGGGTGGGGAAGACTTCGCCAGCGACGAGGAAGGTGACCGAGTTGGGGCCAAACTGGTTGAAGAACGAGGATAGGAAGTACATGGCCTGGAAGGCGTGCACGCCAGCAGGCGAGGTGTAGTACTTGTAGTTGAAGGCCGGGATGACGAACATGATGAAGCACATGGCGAAGCCGACCTGCTGCATAAGCTTGCGGCCGTACAGCTTGTGGTCAATGAGCATGGACGCGCAGTAGTAGCCAGCAAGAGATACCACAACGTTGATGAGGTTCCAGGTCCACTTTGTGACGACCGAGTCCGGGTTGTCAGCAATGACGGAAATGAACTGGCCCTGGAAGAGCTTGTTGCCGTAGAAAAAGACGTCATTGCAGAACCACGTGCCGGCGGTAGCCAAGAGGCGACCACCAAAGTGGCTCAAGGTGAGCTTCATGGACTTGACGTCGTAGCCAGTGACATTGGCCTTCTTCTTCGCCTTGTCCAGGTGCTTGCTGGCGTGCTTGATCTTCCAGGTACGGTAGTAGGCCAGCCAGAGCGTGCCGAGGGCCGGAATACCGAACGAGATGCGCAGGGTGTACTGAGCAGCGCTCTCAAGGTAGGGAGGAGCGCCACTGCCGCGGTTGAAGATGACGAGCAGGATAATGAGGAGGACCTGGTTGACAAACTGACCCCAACCCTGCATCAGGAAAGCCAAAGTGACCTTGCGGCCACGGTGGAGACGGTCCTCGCGGGTCGAGAGCTTGCCAGAAGCAACAGCGTTCTCCATGGATGCAGTGGCGGTAATTGGATACTCGCCACCAACGCCGAGTCCGTAAATGAACAGGCACCATCCGTAGAGGATGACCCAGTTCTCGAGGCTGGTGCCCCAGGCGGCGGTCAGCATAATGAGACCGAGCAACATGATGAGCGCATCCTGGATCAGGCCCCAACGGCGACCAATCCAATCTCCCATGATCTGCCAAATGAAATACGCGGTCAGCCATGTTTGCTAGTACCCACTGATCACGGGGCCGAAAGAACTTACACCGACGACGACTTGGCCGACCATGATACCAACGACCTCGAGGTAGGTCACGGAGGCGGTCCAGTTCTTGCTGCACTCCGTAGGGTTCTTGCCCCAGCATTGCGGCCAGACAGCAGCAAAGAGAGGCTCGAGGTTTCCAATGGAGAAGAGGACGTAGCCCTCCAGACCGAGACCGGCGCCAGGAAGGATGGCGTTCTGCCAGTACCAGGACAGAGGGCTGAGAGGGTCCTCCTTGATCATGGCCCAGAGGTTGCGGCATTCAGACTTGGCCTCGGCCTTGTCGACCTCGTTGACAAACTTGAGGCGCTTGCCGAGGGGCAGATCGGCCCAGTAGACGCCGTCCGCCGTGTAGGAATCATCGGGCTGAGTGAGCTGACGGAAGATCTGGCGCTCATATTCGGAGGCGTAGGCGCTGGCGAGGTTGGCCTGAGCGCTGTCGCCGCTGCTGAGGACGGGGCCGTCGGGAGCGGGGATCTCGCCGATGGGGATGTCGTCCTTGTTGCGGTTCGAGAAGGGCGACATGATGGGTACGGTCGTGCGTGTCCGCACGAGTGACTGCTCTGGCAGCGGAGAGAAGAGCAAGGAATGTGAAGGATGGAGAGGCTCGGGGGCGAGCTTCCACGACTTTGGGTGTGGACTGGGAGGGGGCAGCACAGCACAACACAGCAAGAAGGGAGAAGGATGAGGAAGGGCAGGACGGCCGTGTCGACTTATAACGACGGGGCTAGTGAGCTGCGATGGAGCCAGGCAGGAGAGGCCGAGGACAGCAGCGGCGGTGCCCGTCCGTTGTGCTGCTGATCAGAACGTATGCATGCGGTGCTCGGTTCCACCAGAGGTAACGGTCTGGGTGCAGTAGCATCGCATCAATCGGGAGGGGCAGCGGGCTGGAGGCGGGACTCGAGATACTTCCCAATCGAGTTTTAGCCGTGGGTTGCCGCCGCGGCAGGCCCTCTGCGCTTGCGGCGTCGAAGGTTTTTTTTTTCCTGCTGCTTTCTTGCCCACTCGGGGTTCCATGTCTTGCGAGAAGCTCGAGTAGTGCCGAGTCTGCGGCGCTGGTGGGGCGTGGCACGCTAGACCCGGCAGGGACCTTTCAAGCCCTGACGCCATGCCGCCGCCCGCCCACACTTCGCAGGTTTGTGCCCGCTCGCCTGCAGCAGGCACACGAGCACTTGCGCGATCTGCTCAAGTGGCAGTCCTCGGCCGCAGCCAATCACAACCCCCAATTCACCCACGTGTGTCCTCAATCGGGTCTGTATGGTTTTCTGGGGTCGACCACGCCCGGGCCCCTGGCACCCTGCTGCATCACCTCCAGCTCTCCGCCATACTGCGAAGTTATTTCCTGGGGCGCACCTGTCGTCTAAGTGCCGGCCTTGCCAAAGGGCAGAAGGGCGGCCGACATGACACCCAAGCTTTGCAGCATCCGCGACATCCAGGCCTCGTCGGTTGACCTGTCAAGTGTTTCTCGCTGTCTATCTGACGGTTCTTGGCTTGCCCAGATCTTGACCGAGACAGTGTCGATGTGCCTACCTACTTTAGGTAGCTAGGACTTAGGTACCATGAAATGTGGGCAAAGACGCTTGTTGACAACCAAGCGGCCTGAGGCTGAGCACAAGTCTGGTGTGCTGGTGGCCTCCAACCCCTCTGCAAAGTCGAGCCGATTCGGTCGCCCCGTGGGTTCGAGTGGGCGGCATCCACCACAGACTTGTGGACATTGTGACCTCGACTCGACTCGGCTCTTCGCCGCCTCGCATGATCCTGGGGGATTGTCTGTCTTTGGACCCGCCCATTGTGGAATTGCCTGGGTCCAGAGCCGGGCAGCACCTTCGAAGGTTCCCTTCCTGCATGCTGTGCTCCTGCGTACACTGGGTGGCTTTGCTCTGCGTGCCCGCCTCGAGACCTCCACTCTCCTACGCGCAAAGCCAACACGTGCTCAGGAGCTTGGCCAGCAAGCCGCCCTCGGACGATGCTCGTCCCGACGAGGCGGGGTCGAGTCGAGCATGCATCTGGTCGTGAGACTGCCCAGGTGTATCTGTGTCCCCGCCGGTTTTGCGGCACTGCCAGTGCATCCCCCTCCCCAAGCCGCATTTTCGCACTGCCCAAAGCAGCAAGGGGGCACGTGCGGTCGCCTTTGCCTCCGTACGGGGCTTCCCCGACGCGTCTGCAGAAATCCAAAGGGTCTCATGGATTCTTCAAGCTCGCGCCAGTTCAATGATACCAAGATTCAGCTCTGCATGCCTCGCAGAAGCGTTTGGGTGCAGATGGCGTCTCCTTCATGTTCCGCGACAGAGGTCGGTGGAAGCTTTTGTCAAGCCTGCCCAGCATCTTGGAGGCCCAGTCCCAGCCGCCTTGGCCCGTCTTGGCACAACAGCGCGACGCACGCCAAGGACGCCCATTTCTGCAAAGCCTGCTCTCTGCTCGCGTGACTCGTTTCCCAATCTGACCAGCACGCATATCCTGGGGCGTGTTCCCGATGTTTTGTGCGCAGTCGCTCAGCGGGTATCTAGAGAGACGTTGTGCGGCCATCTTGGCTCTCGGGCTAGAAGAAAGATCCGGCTTCTCCTATTGGCCGACATGCTCGTACACTGTGGATGAGCACAGGTCAACCTTGGAGTGGTTGGTCGCCAAAGACCAGAAACTGCCAGTTCCACGTCAAGCTTGCATTGCCATTGCTCTGTACTGAGCACTGGGCGGAGTAACACAATGTGGCAATTCAAGGATGGCAAATCCCGGCGCAAACTCAAGTACAAACTTGCAGGTCCGCTGCACTGTGCATCCGATGTGTTTGATGTCAGCAAAGACTGTGCTCAAGCATTCCATATTTTCATCAGCAGCGACGTGACCAACTCTATCCTGCCCTGCCCGGGTGCACTTTGACGAGATAAAGTGGAAGATGACTAAGCACTTATCACCACGTGACAGCGCGCCACGCTAACCTAGTTGGGGCGCGCGATGGACCGCGTTTGAGGTGGAGGCTAGCCTTGAACTGGCATCAATTTCATCATGACTTGACGCTCGCAACAAGCGGTTTGTGGTTTGCAAGTTTCGAAGCCCTCGAATTGCCACATACAAGCTGCCGTTGGAAGTTGAACAACCAGTTACACAAGCATTGGGCTCAGTACAATTGTGTATACGCAGCCATGCCCCCTCGTCAGTCAGCCCGGCAGAAGGCTCCCCTCGCAGTCGCCAAAGTAGAGAAGCAAGAGGTGCTTGCAGAAAGGAAGAAGCCAGCGGCGAGGGTCGCAAGGAAACCTGCTGTCGTGGAAACTGAAGAAGTTGATGTCAAGTTGACGACAACGACAAGTAGCACCACCACCACCACAACGACAACCAAAGCGTCTGTCAAGAGGAAGGCCACGGAAGCACCGGCAGCCCCCAAGGCGAAGGCGGAGCCTGTAGACTCGAAACCAGCGCCAAAGAAGCGCAAAACCAAGGGCAAGGAAGAAGATACGATGCCTCTCACTGAGCGGACGGCAATCACCGCGCTGAAGAAGGCCATGTACATTGGCGCGCACGTGAGCAGTGCAGGAGGTACGTTCCCCCACCCCGAAAGCTTTCTCCCAATGTAGAAGAATACTCATCGTTGTGTTGGCAGGTGTACAAAACTCGGTCGGCAATGCGGTGCATATCGGCGCCAACGCTTTCGCGCTCTTCCTCAAATCGCAACGCAAGTGGGCAAACCCACCGATCACACCGGAGTCACTATCAGGATTCAAGACACTGTCAAAGGAGCACGGCTTTGACGCACACAAGCACTGCCTCCCGCACGGCTCATACCTGGTCAACCTCGCTGCCGCGGAGAAGGAAAAGGCCGACCAGGCCTACACGGGATTCCTCGACGACCTGCAGCGCTGCGAGTCCCTGGGAATCACGCTATACAACTTCCACCCCGGCAACACCAACGGGGAGCCGCGGCCCGAGGCGATCGGGCGTATCGCGGCACAGCTCAACAAGGCGCACGCCGCGACGAGCACCGTGGTCACCGTCCTCGAGAACATGGCCGGGCAGGGCAACGTGATCGGCTCGTCGTGGGAGGACCTTCGAGACATCATCGCGCTCGTAGACGACAAGGCCCGCGTGGGCGTGTGCATCGACACATGCCACGCCTTTGCCGCGGGTCACGACCTGCGCAGCCCCGATGCCTTCGAGGAGACCATGTCCGCCTTCTCCCGCGTCGTGGGCGACGAGTACCTCCGCGCGTTCCACCTCAACGACAGCAAGGCCCCGCTGAGCTCGAACCGCGACCTGCACGCCAACATTGGCACGGGGTTCCTGGGCCTGCGCGCGTTCCACAACGTCATGAACTGCGACAAGTTTCAGGGCCTCCCGATGGTCCTGGAGACGCCGATCGACAGGAAAGGCCCCGACGGCAAGACCGTCGAGGACAAGCAGGTCTGGGCCGACGAGATCAAGCTGCTCGAGAGCCTGATTGGCATGGACCCCGAGAGCGACGACTTCAAGACTCTCGAGGCTGAGCTCCACGCCAAGGGTGCTGGCGAGAGAGGCCGCATACAGGAGCAGGTCGACCGCAAGTCTGCCAAGGGCGAGAAGAAGACTAGCGGTGCTGCAACGGGAAAGAAGGCGGCGGCGGCGGCGGCTGGCAGTGGCAAGGGAAAGCAGACAACGCTGAATGTCAAGAGGGGCCGGAAGAAGAAGGAAGACACCTCGGACGAGGAATCTGAGTAGTAGGTAGTGATGATTCGGTGAGGCCATTTGAGGGCGATTTTGACGTGGTTCTGTGTGAGCCAGGGAAAATCGCGTGCATAGCTCAGATGTAGGCACCAATTCTTGCGGAGGCAGGGCGGGCGTTTAGCGTGTTCTTGTTTTGGCGACCATGCGCCATCAGTCTTACATCTCCAGATGGGTAGCAAGCCCACTTGTAAGTGAAGAAAATTACAATAAGGCTTATTTCAGGTCTATGAGTCTCCTCCGCTTCATCTCCGCGCCCTATGCCTGATGTGCATCCTCCGGAGCCTATGCATGTACCTCTTTTCGCCTCCAAGTCTGAGTCTGTCCCACCGACTTTCTCCCACTAGACTAAAAGAACCTGAGAATGCCCAGGCCCCCCCATCTCCCAAAATTCCAAGAGAAGTCTCTGGGTTCACCAGAGCATAGGGGGATATCCTATCGTGCCAAAATGGTTGACCTGCCGGCTTCCTCTATCCCGTGGCTGACGCACCGCATATGTGATGTCCTTCTTCAATACCCTCACTGAGTTTTGGTGCAGAGTGTCGGCGCTGCAATGGAAACTGAGCATCGCCGCAACACCCGTGCCGGCGCGTAAAATCAAGAGAGATTCCCCCATCGCAGCTTCTTTGATGGCGATCCTTCCTCGTCGTCTGCACCGTCCAGCTGCTGTTGCTGCTGCTGTTTGTCCCGCTCTGCCCACTGACTCCAGCCCGTCTCCACAGAGCTACTAGCAACCTCACTGCCCTGCTTCCTCTTCCCCGGCGACGAGCCGAGCTGCCGGGCCGCGAACGGCGACGAAGGTGCCGAGCGTACCGTGATGCGGTTGAGGCGAATTTTCAGAGGCGAAGACTTGACCGGTGTGGTAGCAGCCTTCGGGCTGCTCTTTGTGGCGGCGCTGCCCCGGGTGCCTTGCATCCTCTCTTGCTGTTCGGGCTTAACACGAAGGTCCCCGCCGCTTCCGGATTTGCTTTTGGTCATCCTGCTCATCTTGTCAGGAACTGGTGATGAGCACAGCTGCGAGCGCGCGACGTAGCGTTCAGGAGACGTGGAATAATCAATATCGGCCATGACCGCGGATGAGATCGTCGAACGCGATTGGTACTGCGGAGATCCGCTCTCTGGCAGAGTCGACGTGCTCACTGCGGCGCGGTTCGCCCGCGCACCATGGTTGCTTTGCTTGGCAGCACTGCTCGATGACGAGCAGCGAGACCCGCGCGACGGCATCTAACCCTTGCGCGCCCCAGCTGCTGCAAGCTGCCTGGCCATATTCTCGACGCGGCCGATGAGGGTCTTTAGCCCGACGCCTCGCTCGCAGTTGGCCTCGAGCCAGCACTCCATCCCCTCCCTGACGCGACGGAGGCTGCGCGTCACGGGCATCTTGCCATCCCCGCCGTCGTCGCTCGCATGGCTCGCCGGGTTGAGCAGCACGTCGAAGCAGTCGTTCCAAATATCCGTCTGCCAGTACCTCTTGAGGTTCTCGCGGATCTTGTATCGCCGCCCGGCTTGTGTTCCTAGACCGCCGCTGTCGGCGCGGACCGTCTCAATGTACTTGCCGAAAAGGAGGGTGTGGATGACGCCCGCAAGCCCGTGGTAGTCGAGCTGCCATGTCCATGGCCTGCCGTCGCGGATCTCGGCACAGTCTTGAGGGGAGACCTGCCAGTCGGCGATGAACTGTACCTCTGGGTCAAAGGCCCGCATGTCGATGCCTCGCCCAAAATCGATTAGCACCACACCTCGCGAGCCCCAGCCGCCTGAGCCATCGGCATGCCACTGGCTTGTCAGAGACTCGACGGATCCCGGAAGGGTGTCGAGGCGGAGAAGGCAGTTGTCCGCCTTCAGGTCTCCGTGCATGAGCTGTTTGCTGTGCAAAGCCTCCACAGTCCGCAGCATCTCAATGGCGAAGAACATGGCGAGTGGCTCGTCGAGAGTGCCAGACTGTTCTTTTCTGAACATGTTGACAACATCAAGCAGAGTGCCATGAGGATGGAAAGGCAAGAAGAGGTAGCCGTCATCCTGATAGAGATGCAACTCATGCACAGCAGAGATCGAAGCCGTGGCCCGATGGTTTGGTCCAAGTCGCGAGGCAGCCAAGCGCATCATGTGGAATTCCCAGGCTGAAGGAGGCTCCTCCATCTTGAGAGCCTCTAGGCTTGCGCGTTTCGACGTCGCAAAGGCGCCCTTGCCCATCGCGATGACTGGGCTGTTCTCATCTGACTCTTCCTCCTCAGGTTGCGAGTTCTCTACCAAGTAAATTGGTGCAAAGGCGCCCTCGCCGAGCTGGCGCCGCACCGTATAGTCGTTCGAGAGCTCCGGGAATTCAAGCTGAACAGGACTTGAGACCCCGCTTGTCCTGTCGCCATTTTTGAGGGCTTTGGCTTGAGCCTTAGTGTACCGACGGATCTCCGAGCCTTTCTCGAATCGCTCATGGCGGTGATCGTAGAATCCAGGGTACGAACTCAACGGTGGCTGTATCTTGGACAGAATTTCCGCTAATGTACCAGGATCGACGGGGTTGCACTGCAGGTCCTTGATGATTGGTCCTTTGGGTATAGCAGGTGCCAGTGGTTGCTTGACTTTGTGCAGTAGAGGCTGGGGGATCTTGACTGGTGAGAGATTATCGTCCACAACTTCCCTGATAGGGCTGCTGAGCGGCTCGTAGTCCTCGTCTTCGTCTTCATCCTCCTCTGTCGTGGTGCCAAGCGAGTGGTTCTTGCTTGGAGTCTTGTAGTAATTCGACCTGGCGTCTGTGAAGCCCATTGACATCTCGGTCCGCTCCGTAATCGGGGTCATGAAAGGCAGCCGATTGTTAGCAACCTCGGCCGGATCCCTATACGGCCTTGTAGGTGCGACGTAGTCTTCTGGTGGGACAGGCATGAAGCGGGTTCTTGGAGCTTCCTGTTCGTCGGGGAGCTCATAGTCTGCTTCGCTGTGGCTAGTCACATCCACATCACCTGTATATTCTTGCGAATATAGTTTCTGCGATGAGATTGTATCATCCTCAGCTCCGCTTTGGCATTCTGGCTTGGATTTGCGCCAGGCGACGTGCTCTCGTGTGAAATCAGACCAATCACTAGCAACGGACTTGTTGTCTGCGGCGTCGTCCTCATCATCTTCATGATCGTTGTCCATTTCGACATCGCCAAGCTCGCCCTCAGTCATGTCAACTTGCCGTGTCGTGGCAGTGCTCTCAGCGCCGCTCGTGTAATCTCCATCAGTCATATACTCATCCTCGTCGCTTTCTTCTCCGGCCATCTTTGATGGCTTCAGTGGGGCGTTGAAGATATCGTAGATGTCGTCAGTGGCTGCTTTGGTGTGCATCGTCATTGTCGGCTCAGATGATGATGACTTCTTCTTGGACTTGGGCTTCGGCTTGGTTGGTGAGTCCAAGTTGACCTTGACTGTGAGGGCGTTAGCACAAGTGTCTGCTATGAGTTTGAGGTGGTCGTGCACGAGCTGGAGGGCATGGACTCACTGATCTGTGTCTCATTCACCTCCATCCCCTTCTTCCGCCTTGGCTTCGAGGGCTTTGGGTCTTGCAGCGGGACACGATTTTCTTGCGATATCGAATCGTCACGGAGTATCATCAGTTTTTCCACCTTGTGGCTGATTTGTTGCATCACAGGTGGCTCGTTCTCGTCGTGCTGGATCGAGTCGTAGAGGTCGTCCTCTTCACTCTCTTCCTCCCAGTTCGTGTCCAGCCACCCCCGACTCGCCGCCCACAGCTCTTCGAAACTTAGCTCGGTGCCCGGCTCCTCGGGCGTGGGATATACGGCCTCGAGGTTGACAAATATCCGCTCTCGCTTGCCACTGTTCGGGTTGACGATAATCTGGTGCTTGGACGGCGCAATCATGATATGAGATTCTGCTATTCTTCTCAGGGACTAATGACGGTACAGACGGCCAAAAAGTATTAGCCTTACTCTTGAACAGTATCCAGCAAACGCGATGCCAGGGGCAGAGGAAGCTATTTAGCTTACAGGATCCCTGAAGATGGCCATCTTCGGCCCGTTACTCTTCTTGACCGAAGTTTCCAGTGTCTCTCCCGCCCACGGCCGTGCCTCCATCACGTTTTCCTTTTTGCGATCGGCCAAAGATCCGATCGTGTCCCAGCCCTTGGTCTCGCCACCTCTCGAGGACAGCGCTGACGGCTGCACGTCTGCATCCGAGAATATGGCCATCTTCGCCTTGCCAGGCTTTGCCGCCGTGCCTCCAACACCCATGTTTGGCCGCGGAGCTTGTGGGTCGGCCGCTGCGGCAGCGGCTGCTGAGAATGGATCGACTTTGGCGGCAAGTGCGTTGCGCGCTTTTGGCAGCGCCGGTGATGATGGCGCCTCGTTTGCGTTGGGCTGCTCTGCACGTCTCCGCTCGAACTCGCCGAACTTGCGGACGAGCCTCTGTACTGGCCGGGCTTCTCTCTCAATGCCGAGCTTATACACCTCCTCGGCTTGCGACCAGCGGCCAACGCTCTCGAGCCAGGCGGCGTATTCCTCGTAGAAGAGGGCGAGTGTCTCGCCTATGCTGTGTCGGGAAAGAAAGATGTATGTCTCGCGGGGTGAGTCCGAGAAGAAGTGGATGTAGTGCAGCCACAGCTTGAGGTATCTTGGATCGTTCTTGTACTGCGCGGAGCCGATAAACGCCTTTGTGGCGCGCTCGAGCAGGGTGTGCAGCTGAGATTGAGAGGTGGCCTGGGCTGACGGGTACGCGTCAAATGTCCAGCGCACGTAGCGGTCGAAAATGTCCAGAGGGTCGTCGGACTCTGAGAGCGCGGCGACCTCGGCCTCGTACTCTGCTCTGATGCAGTCGTTGACACTCTTAGAGTCTGTCGGTGTCGGCGTGTTGAGCTTGTGCAGTGGCGAGGAAGAAAACGTCTCGACAAGTTTTCTCGCGGAGCGGCCACTGGGCAGCGCCTGGATATTTTCCTTCTGGCCCTCGATCACGTCAAAGTCGATCAAGTCTCCTGCGGCCATCGCGCCCGGATCTTATTGTTGGCTTGTGCCTTGCTGAGTACGCTTTGGCAGCACGGTCGAGGCAAAGGAACAGCACTACCGGTCTGAGCTGTCTGTTGTACCTGCTGGTGGTTAGTTGTCGTGATGCGCGTCACGCGAGGTCGCGTTCTGTCGAGAATGCAGAGGTGAAGTAATTAAAGCGCCGCCCGCCATTCCGGGGGTCAGGGGTATGTTGATGTCTGCTGTTGATTTGCAGTGCAGCGGTCAGGCGCCACCACGCAAGACCCTGGCGTGAGGGGCCGAGTTGACCTGGCAACCAATCCATGCTATGGAACCTGGGAATCACTTATGGCGGGGTACAACACCTGTCGCCTGGCCTGAGCACGTCCAACGAAGCATTCTGGAAAGCATATTGGGGAATCGCCGCCAAAGAAAGCGAGCTTGTATCAAATGCTTCTTGGCCAATTCATTCTACCTTTGGCCAGAATCCTTCCTCCAGTGAGAGGACAGTCTTGAACACCTCACTGGCGGCTGTGACCACATCTTCATGCCCCTCCTCGTGCTGCATCCTGGTCGCAAACTGATTGAGACACACTCGAATTTCCTCCACGAACGCCTTGAACTCGTCCGATGTCCAGTTCGGAATAAAGGCCATTCTTAACGCGTCTCCGTCCTCATCTTCGTTGGAATCCTTGGTCCCGTCCCCTCCTCCCGCCGCCGCCGCATACAGCCATGCGTCAAGGTACACTTTCTCTGTAGTCCAGAGCACAACAAGGCCCTTGAGCAGCAGCATTTTGTCGCTCAGCCGCTCGCCGCTCACCCGTGCCTCGGCGGCCCTGATCCTGCCTCCGAACGAGTCGAATAAGTTGATGTATCCCTGCGTAGTCCCGTTCGGCCCAAACGCGTCTCCTGAGCCAGCGCTCTCGACATCGTGTCCTTGTTTGCCGCCGCCAATGCTTGCCAGGTCAATCCCATACTGAGCCGCAGTATCCTCGAAGAACTTGAGCTCGCGCAAGATGTTGTCCAAACAGCCCCTCAGCATCTCGAGGATCCGCCACTCCAGCGTGCTGCTCGTTTCCGTGTCTCTCTGACCCGGCTGCTGCTGCTGCTGCGACCGCGCAGCCGTCGCAAGTGGGAGTTCAACCAACGACGTAAGCCCACCGATGAAGCGCACGTACGCCTGAGCGTACAGCCGGTCCTGGGAGAGCCATTGTGACAGATAGTGGCGCGGCAGTTTGCCCTGGCCTGCGAGCTCGAGAAAGCGGGACTGCGTGGCGCGCGGGTAGAGCTCCTTTGTGCCCGGGAGGTCGAGGAGATGAGCTGTCACAGACTGCTGCTCTTTGGTCGTTGGTCCGGCCATTGCTATCGGAAAATGCAAGGTTGGTAGTCGTAAGCTCTTTCTCAGACAAATTGTCAGGTGAGGGTGAGTCTGTAGATGGCCTGGGGGGCGGTATTTACCGAGGATCTTTCCACGACCAAAGCCTGGACCTGAAAAGTATATGCCGTTACGATGCGGTTATTGCCGGGCATTCAGGCTGTGTCGTCATCCGCCGCCAAGTCTGCAGGAGCACCATACCATGCAGGGGAGTAGCACCCAAAAAAGACCTACACCCGTAGCGTTGTGATCGATCGCATTGGAGACAGCAAACCTTCCCTAAAGACAACCCGACAACAATGCTTATGATACAAGAAGCCCCCCACTCTAACACCTGGAAGAGTCAGAGTCTATAGCTGGGCACCGCTCAGCGCTCAATGATTTTGATTGTGCTTGTTGTCACATGCTTGACCTCAAGGGCCACATCGACGTTTGGAGTTTTGTAATATTCACAAGTTACATGATGGCCAGACTCCAGGACTGGCAAACACTTTGCACTCCCTAAGGTGGTCTTCTCTTCTCACGCAAACATCGAGTCCTATTCCGCACCCGGGTCCTTCCACCTCGACTAGATTTACCACGCACCAACGTCAAAGTTTTCCTGTAGAGTCGCCAATCAGTACTGGAGGGTGAAATGAAAGGGGGGAAAAGTGTAGAGCATACCTCGGGGAAAAACGTGGTGACAACTGTCCTATCAGCGAACTTCCGCCCAGCCAACGCTTGAAGAGCCTTCTTGGTCGACGCAGCACTGTCATACTTGACATAGATCTTGCCGACACCGGCAGACTGCCTGCTGCCCCCTGTTGGTCGAGGGATCTTGATAGCCACGATATTGCCGAACTTCGAGCATTCCTCTTGAACATCCTCAAGGATTTCTAAGAAAGGTCAGCATGTCCTCCACCAAACGCAACGGAGACAATGGCCTGGACTTACCCTCGTAGTCGTCGTTGTCCATAAGCTCATCAGGTGTTACCATGTTAAGCAGCTGAAGGACCTTGCTTTCGTCAAAATCGCCGATGGCGGTTGTGCCAGCAAGCATGGACATGGCGTTTACGCCCATCTCCACGCCCGACACCTGGGTGATGCCTATGCTAGCCTTGACAACCTTGAGAGCTTTGTCGCCAATGCTCATGCCGTTCAGACCTTGAATGGCGATATCTGTGACAGACGGATCGACGAATTCGCAGAACGCGACGCCCTATCATTTACTGTCAGCGAGTCCGCACGTAGAAAGGGGGGAATGAAATAGAGACAATACTAACACGGGACTCCTCAGTATGGCTGTCCTTCACCAAGACCAACGCTTTCAGTTCTCCAAAGGAAACCAAAAGTTCCTGCACCTGTTCCTCAGTCAGGTAAGGAGGGAGATTGGCAATGCTGATCTTGTGCGGCGTGTCGGCAACGATCCTCGATATGACACCGGGTTCATAGGGCGCCTCGTCTGCGATGGCCGGGACGATGTAGTCCTTGGGCCGCGAGATTTTGAGGCCACCAGTAGCATTGCTGGCATCGTCGGCCTCCATGGAGATGCCGTCAAAGGCAAGCGCAACTGTGGCTTCTGAGGGGTGCCTGAACTCGAGCAGCGCAAAGTTGCCTTCTTGTGACAGCTGGCACAGGACGCAAGGATCGGTACTCTCAATGACGTTCAGGCCGTTGAGCTGCAAGTTGAAGAAGGCCATGACACCTTCCTCGGTGGACATTGGCGGGAGGTTGTGTACCACCAAGCGCTTGCTCTGTCGCGCATTTGTCGGCTTGAGTGCAGTGTTGTTGGCAGAACCCGTGGGCTGGTTCACAAGCGCTTGGAGCTTGGAAGGATCAACCTGCTGCTGTCGCGGCGCGCCAGGTAGAGGGAACATGCCCGAAAGCTTAGCTTGCTCGGCAGTCACATTTTCGTATCCCGGAGGCTTGATGTCCCATTGTGTCATCCTTCGCTTGCGCTCAAGCACGGGGGTAATGTCGGTCAGGTCGGGTGTAGGCTCTCGTTTCTTAGGCGGAGGCGTCGGGCTACGGCCGCGTCGGTTCTGTGCAAAGAGGTCTTCGTCGCGATCGCCTCGGTCTCGGCCGCCGGCACCGCGGTCATCCCGGTCTCTTCTCGGGCCGCGCCTGTCGTCGAAAAGGTCGCGATCCCGTCGGGGAGGGCGCGCGCCGTCGCGGCGATCATCTCCTCTGCGGCGGTCACCACGGTCCCAGTCCCTGTCTCTCCTGTCCCTGTCACGTCCGCCGCCGCCGCCGCCGCCGCCGCCACTGCTTCCACCATAGCGATCCTCGCGCTCGCGGTCCCTGTGGTTGCGGCTTGATGCGTACGCGTCGTCATCTCTGTGGGATCGTCGAGGAGATCTGCTGCGCCTGCGGTCGCGTCGGTCGCCGCCTCTGTCGCTGCCGCGGTCGCGTCTATCGTCTCTCGATGGATATTCGCGCGATGAGCCGTGACGGCCGTCTGTGCAAATCAAATCAATACTTCGAGCCTTGCAATACTGTTGATGCTTTTTGATGTGAAGACTTACCTCGCGACGAGTAGCTGTCGCCGTTCATGGTAACGCACGGCACTCCTATTGGATTGAAAGATGAGTCGCAATAAACTCGCCAAGTGCTTAGATCCTGGACTGAAAAGGAGGGAGATCAATGCAGAACTACGCAGCTGTTGGACAAAGCAGCTGGGAGGCGAGGATTGGATGTGGGAATGACGAGGCTGGAGATCCGCCAAAGGTAGGCCAATGGCTATGGAGCTTCACGTCTGCAGCGTAGAAATTTCGAGCCGCGTGCCTCGAGTAGAGGTTGGCGCTGCGAGACCCGGTGCCTTGCGCAGCAAAACCCCTGTTGCTCTAGGCAGTTCCGGGGCTGCAGGGGCCTCTGCGCCGCTGGACTGTAATTGGTTCTAGCGCTGCTCAGCGACTCCACTCCGTCGAGAAGGGGCGACTTATTCCATCCGGGACCTTCTGATGGATGAGACAGACGACGAGGTTCAGAAGGACAATGACCAGTATCTCTTCCGTCTGCTATTCCCAGATCTTTTCTCGTGAGACTCCTGCAGACAATCATCCTCCGGGTCGTCTTCCGCCAACTTTGACCACACTGGAGCCCGCCCACGACTTCGGCCATTATGGTTCCGATTCGTGCACCTGAGTGGCGCAAGTTACCCCTAAGCCTTACCGAACTTTGCATCGAGACGACTCTTCGCTGTGGTCAATCGTTTCGATGGCGAAAAGTGGGTGACGAGTGGTAAGCCTCCAGACTCATTGCAGGCGCTGTGATCCGTAATCACGACATTGGCCGACTCTGACTATTGGGCATCAGGAACTGTGTTCTTCACGGCCGCCTATTATCCTTGACTCAAGATCCGGAAAGCGTAAAGTACAAAGTCACCTGGCCGGACAAAGCCAACACAGGTCTGGGTGATGATACAGAGGCCCTTTTGAGACACTATTTCAGCCTCAAGTACGACCTTGGTGCTTTGTATAAGCAGTGGTCAGCAGACGACGCGAATTTCCGGAAGAAGGCACCTCAGTTTACAGGAATCCGCATTTTGAGCCAGGATGCCTGGGAGGCACTGGTATCCTTCATCTGCAGCAGCAACAACAACATATCGCGCATATGTCAAATGGTGTGTTTCAAACAGCATGCTCGGTGTTTCTTTGGCATCGTGTGCTCACAAATAAACAGGTCGATAAGCTCTGCAAGAACTATGGCCCGTTTGTGGCCAAGGTCGGGGATGAAGCCTTCCATGACTTTCCGACCCCGGCCGCCTTGTCTGGGGACAAGGTCGAGTCACACCTTCGCGAACTGGGCTTCGGCTACAGGGCGAAATACATCGCAGACACAGCACGTATCATAACCAATACCAAGCCTGTCGGGTGGCTCGATAGCTTGGCAAATCCAGAAAATCCAGGCTGGGGAGTTCCGCCACATCAAAAGACAGTAGACGGCGAAGTACCGACATACAAGCACGCTCACGAAGAGTTGCTCACTTTGTCCGGTGTTGGGCCAAAAGTCTCGGACTGCGTCTGTCTCATGGGCTTGGGGTGGGCGGAATCGGTTCCCGTCGACACACATGTGTGGCAGATTGCGCAGCGAGACTACAAGTTTGGAGGCAAGAGTAAGACCAAAACGTTCTCGAAAGTGCTATATGATGCGGTTGGCGACCATTTCCGAGCAATCTGGGGTCCCCAGGCGGGGTGGGCGCAGTCCGTGCTCTTCACGGCGAATTTAAAGTCGTTTTCGGAGCAGCTCGCCGCCAAGCCCTCGGCAGAGGTCGTTGCATTCAAAGTTGAAGTGGAAGAGAAAGCTACGGTGCCCGAGGTACTAGGTCGGACGCGGAGTCGGAAGGTAATCATCTCCGAGGACATCACTATCAAGCGTGAAGCAGATAGTCAGGTTGACAACGGGGCCAAGAAGAGAAGGAGAACAAGGACGTAAGCACATCATAGGACTTTCCTCATGCATAACCTTGCGAGGTAGCAACGTCTGCTCGAGGAAAAGGTGCGTTTTGAGGAACCCTGGGGCCGTTCTCATACCATTAGTTTAAAGCACGGGATATAGGAGCAAATTCACATGGCATCGCGGGTAATGATGGATGGATGGATGGATGAAAATGGGAGTAATCATTATTAGGGGTCCACGTGACTGCGCGATGGCGTCGCGGTGCAGAGGATCTGCGCGTCGCCACTAGGGTGGTCCCTTACCTAAGAGACGTCACCAAGAAACTCCACACCATTTCTCTGGCTGCGTGAACCACAAGTACAGACACCCTCGCGAATCAATAATCGTCTTGCAGGTATCGCGCACGAAGACATGGTCAACTGTCTACTTCCGAATCCGATGCTGAATTGACAGGCCGTCCACCGTCGCCAGGACTTGTGCTAAGCCTCACCGCAGTCCAGCCTTTGTGGCCTTGACACCCCACCATGCCAACCCGAACAACTTCAAAGTCATCAGCGACGACACCGAGGCCAAAAAAGCAGACGCAAGCCAAGCTCAGCTTCGGACCTCCATCAGCGAAGAAGGCCGATAGCGTTGCCCCCACAAAGAAAGGCCCCGCGAATGGCAACATCCTCAACTTCTTCAAAAAGGTTGAGATCGAAGAGCAGCTCTTCTGCGGGGCCCCAAGTGCGACTGTCCCGGCTGCAGATATTGGGAACAAATCTGTCCAAGATGAAGATCTATATGGAGCTGAGTCTCAACCATCCAAAATCGGAGCGAGGTACAACGAAGATATCGGTTCCTCAAAGAGGAGGAAGCTGAGCCATGATGGCCTCGAGAATGTTGAGCCGCTGGAAAAGAGGGACAAGGTTGACAGTATGATAATACCAAACGGGAAGACCGATGTTCCCACAGCTGCGGTACCAAAAGCCAAACGTAAAGCCTCTCGTGGCAAGGGCCCATTTCTGGACGATTCTGACAGCGACGACGGCGATGAGGATGAACAAGAGGAGGAGGAGGAGGAGGAGCAGGTGGCGGAGAAGGATTGCAACCCCGCGGCAACTGATATGCCTGGACAAGGAATGCCAGCCACGAATATGGTACCACACCCCCAACTCCTGGAAATGGACACCAAGGATCTAATCACACCTGCCGAAGAGGTCCAAGCCTCAGAGTGCACGCCAGCCCCTCCAGACCCGCCACAATTGAAACAGGAAGACTCTGCGTATGACCAATTTGGCGACTTAGACGAGATGGAAGGAATGTTCGATGATGAGCCATATGAGGACGGTGACGAGTTTCGTGAAAGACTGCTCATGGAGGAACAAGCGAGGTTGGAAGCTGAAGAGGCCATGGCAGCTGCGATGGATCCCGAACCCATTACAGCCAATTGCCCGCTTTGCAATGCCAGCCTTGCCGGCCTTACACCAACGCAAGCATCACAGCACGTCAACGCATGTTTAGATGGGCAGCCGATCCCCCTCCCATCTCGACACAACTCGGCGAATAACTCGCGGAGCAACTCGCGTCACTCGTCGCCAATGGTCGACGCTCCTGAAGTCAGCAAGCGGTTCTCAAAAGCTGCGGTGCCGCGACCTGGCCAGGACAACCCCATAAGCCTCGGGAGTTCTGCAAACAAGCCAGCGTCCGCATTCGGAAAATTGATGTCGGGCCATGCTGAAGATGCCGCCTGGGCGACAGCAGCTGCGACAGAACATGCTTCACGAGGAAAGCCTGCGTACCAAAGAACATGCCCGTTCTACAAAATCATGCCTGGCTTCTTCATTTGCGTGGACGCCTTTCGTTATGGTGCCGTCAAGGGTTGCAATGCGTACTTTTTAAGTCATTTCCACAGTGACCACTACGTCGGGCTCTCGGCCAGCTGGTCCCATGGACCTATTTATTGCAGTGAGGTCACAGCCAGCCTTATTCGCAATCAACTCAAGACAGACGCAAAGTGGGTGAAGCCCATTCCCTTCGACGAAAAGATCGAAGTGCCTGGTACGGAGGGCGTCTTCATCACAATGATACCAGCAAACCATTGTCCTGGCAGCTCGCTTTTCCTGTTCGAGAAGGGCATCGGGAAAGGCCAGGCTGCCAAGATACAGCGCATTCTACATTGCGGGGACTTCCGTGCTTGTCCTGCACAAGTTAAACATCCACTTCTCAAGCCAGATATTGTCGACAATGTATCTGGCAGGCTCAAGCAGCAGAAGATCGATATCTGCTACCTCGACACAACGTACCTCAATCCCCGGTACTCATTCCCTCCGCAAGACGACGTCATAAAGGCTTGTGCAGACTTCTGTTATTCGCTGTCTGGCGACCCGGCGGCTGCAGACGAAGCTTTCGACTCGCTTCGCAGAGAAAAGGGGAGCACGACAGTCAGCCAATTTTTCCAAAAAGAGGAGAAAGATTCCGAAGGCGGCATTGTTAAGACTGAAGGCAGCGGCAACTCGCCAAATCCAACGAATCGTCTTCTCGTGGTGTGCGGCACATACTCCATTGGCAAGGAGCGGATTTGCAAGGCCATTGCCAAGGCGCTGGGGTCCAAAATCTACGCCATTCCCAGCAAGATAAAGATCTGCCAGCAGCTTGGCGATCCCGAGCTTTCAGCCCTGATGACTTCCAATCCTTACGAGGCACAGGTGCACATGCAGATGCTCATGGAGCTCCGTGCCGAGACACTGCAAGAATACCTCGACGGCTATAAGCCGCATTTCACCCGTATTGTTGGCTTCCGCCCAAGCGGTTGGAGCTTCCGCGGCGGCGGAGGCGGCACGAGTGGTGCTAAAAATGTGACTGCCAATGTCTCACCATCCACGATACCGACTACTCAGATCCTCCACGGGTCCGGCTGGAAGACTCGTTTCAGCAGCGCCGATTTTATAGCTCAGCGGGGTAGCACGCGTGAGGCCATGTGCTTTGGGGTGCCGTATTCCGAGCACAGCAGCTTCCGTGAGCTGACCCTCTTTATTATGTCCTTGAGGATCGAAAAAGTCGTGCCTACAGTCAATGTCGGCAGCGAGCCAAGCAGGAAGCGCATGAAGGCGTGGATCGACAGATGGCTGATGGAGAGGAGAAAGGGTGGGATTGTGAGGTTGCTGGAGGGCGAAGAGGACGACTCTCTTCAGGGTCATGGAGCCGATGGCACGTCAGAGGACACCAAGGACACTAAGGACGTTCAATTGTGGGAAGGCAAGGACGGTAAAGGTGGCGGCGTCTGGTGGTGATCAGTACGCGAAACGTCCAGCTTGTGTGTTCTCAGCAGTACCTCTGCAAAGAGCAGATTGGTTAGTGTAGCGTCTATTCCGTACTTTTCAGTCTTCTCGAATGTGACAACACTTCCATCATGGGCATTGTCCATCCCCAGCTGCAGCATCCCTTGGCATTCGCCTCGTGCTACATCTCGTCCAGCGTCACACGCGACAAGGCCTGCGCTGCTTAGCTTTGATATCGCGGTCCCATTCAGGCTCCTTACCACCACCCCTTTCACTCGCGCCACTCTCATTTGCCCTTGCCGGCTTGATTCGCAGCTTCTATATATGCACGCAAAGAGTCCATGAGGTCAGCCGTCTATGGTATATTTTTGGCACGTTGTGCAAGTAGCGCTTATTGGATGATACCAGAGAGGGAGCCGGATGACGAGGGGCGACGTCGGCTTCAAATGAAGGTGGGTGTTACTTACCTCTCCGCGTGGCATCCTCTAGTAAGGGAATGTCCACCGCGTTGGATGGCAGGTGGACATATCTGACGACAGAGCCGCGAATGAAGACGTTTTTGACGGAGCTCTATCGAACATAGGAGAGAGAGACAATTTTGTCAGCCACAGTTCCAATGCCCACGAAAACGAAAACAAAAATGGCCTTTAGAAACCCCGCTCTCTCCCTCTCTCTTTTGTGAGCCAGCGGTGGAAAAAGACATACCAGGTGAGGATACTTGAGCTCCTCGACAACCTGTATCTCGTCGAGCTTGATGTTGAGATACTGGTCGACGCTCTTGAGCGTGCCGCGGATCTGGATGTCGTTTTTGAGCTCGACCGTGACCTCGTGGTCAATGAGCGTCTTGAAGAAGCTAGTTGCGACCGCGCAAAGATGGATTGTGTTAGCAACCGCGCTCGAAAAGAAAGAAAAAGAAAAAAACAAGTCTTTCTCGCTTTTGAGCAGGGTGAAGCATTGAGCTCCTCCTTTCCACGTCGCTTTCCAGCCTCCCCTCCCCTCCTCCCCTTCCTCGGTTTCATCTTCAAACGCTGGCTCAATGTCGTCGAGGGCTCACGAGGGGTTCGTGGCATGGGAATGCCCGTAAATATGACGCCTGGCCACTGCCACAACGACCGGCCGCGCACCATCCAGTCCACACGCTCGACCCCGTGATCCCAAGTATTCCGGGCGTACCAGCGGGCAAGATACCCCAGAGCCTGCGCTTGATGACACGAGAGAAGGCTCCAACGGGCAGAAGAGCAAGCTTCAGGGACGGAGAGGAGGGATCTCCCCTCCGCGCGCGCCTTGAAGAATCCCGCCCTCATGAAGTGCGCACTGTCCAATGCCTTCTTCTCCCATGGCTCGGCCCAAACAAGTCCGCCCGCCCTCCCGTTTGAAGGCTCCTGTTTCCAGCGAGACGTGTTGTGCGAAGCGGCCAAACATGACTCTGCAGGCCCTCCGCGCCACAGTAGAAACGACCCAAAGCGGTCATCAACCTCCCCTTCCTTCGACCCCGTCCAAAGTATAACACGCACTCCTCCTCCCGTCCCCGACCCTCGTCCGCACCTCGAACGAACGACGAGCCGAGCTTTTGACGGCCCGTCGATACCAAAGGCAAGCGAATGAAAGCCTCTCCTTCTTTTGAGACCCAGAAAAAAAACACGGAGTGCCCTTACCTGAAGAATAACATGTCGTCGGTTGTCTTCCTTTCGCTTCCACTTCCGTTTTTCTTTTCAGAATAGACTCAGGACCGGAGGAAGGGGGGGGGGGGGAATCTGCCTGTCCACGAATACCAGCGCCGCAATTGTCGTCGGTAGTCGGCGGTTTGCCGTGCTTTTGCTGCTGGGTTGTTGCCGGAAAGTCCCACGCAGACGGTCCCGCAGCTCCCGGAAATGGCGCGGAGAGTTAGGTCCTGTGCTTTCTGAGGTGACCCGGCGTGCTGTTGTGGCACGGCTGAAGAGGAGAGGTCTGAAATGCCTAGCGATGTTGTCGTGTGTATGGTTGTTCCGCTACTCCCAGTAGAGAGCTTGCGCCGTAGCCTGCTTGTCTAGCTGCAAGCTAGGTGGGATAGGTGGTGAGGTGCACGGTGGGGTCCCGCAAGGTCAAGCCTGTCACGTGATCCGTCATCCTACCGCATCTTGCTTTACAGATGACGGCAGAAGGGCAATCTGTAAAGTCGCATCCTCACAGCACATGTAGCCCTTTGATCACATCATGCACCGCGTGTTACAACAGGTCATCGTTTGATTAAAGAGAGCAAAGATCGTATTGCGACAAAGCAGGGATCCAACAGAGACTAAAACAGCATGGGTATCCTTCCGTGATCTCGTCCCATTCCCTAGTCCGTCATGTCTTCCCTCTGTGTGGGTGTGCGTTCTGATTCATGGCCCGCCGGCCACCGCGCAATGCATGAAGAAGCGATGAGAGAAGGTGAAAATCGATGTGCCAAACAACAAGCCCCAGGCAGTGGTATCGCGCGAGCGACAAGAGACAAAACTTGTAAAGGAACCGCTTCCCGAAACCGAATGGCCTGGTGCCTCAAACCTGTGCCTTGAGCGTTCTCACTAGCAAAATAAGAAAAATATAACAACAGAACAGAACACTCGTCCAAGCCGGCGCTCATCTCGGGTTTTCAGCCTCGCGGTTGTGATTGTGTAGGTATCTTCAAAAGCAAGCTCGTCGTAACGTCATGAGGGTGTACAATTGGTGAAGAAGAGGTCAGGACTGTCGCAACCGAAGGCCCTTAGCTGTCGTCTTCGGCATCATCTTCATCTTCATCTTCCGGTGTGCTTGTTTCCGTTTTGGTCTTCTTGGTTGACGCACGTCCATCGTTCGTCGACTTTCTCTTGTTTCCACCGGCAGCCGCAGGGGCCTCAGCGGCCGCGTCAGTGCCTTCACCCGCGCCTTTGTTTCTCTCAATCTCTGCAACTTCTTCGGCAGTAAGAAACCGACCGCCAGGACCACGAGGCCTTCTCATCGCATGGTTATGTCTCGATTCGTGCAAGTACGGTTTGCGGCCTTTGCTGGTAAGGCGAAGAGCCTCTTCCAACCTCTGTCGGGCAACACGCCGCTTCAGGATACGGTGGAACTGCTTGGCATTTACATAAAGCGGAGACTCTTCAGCACCGGTAGTAAGTTCGGGTGACTGAGGATGTTGCATTGTCTGCGCCGAGGGCATGTTGGGTTGCTGCACGGCACCGCGGCCTCCAGCATGGTTCATCATGGGAGCCTGCGGCACGCCAGGACTGGTAACCTGACTCATCCGCCGACCAGGCATGGTGTTCATCTGCTGTGGCGATCGGGGATCGCGGGCATCTTTCTTCCCTCCAGTCGTCATGCGAGGCGATGTCTGCGGTAAGCTGGGGTCTGAAGACATGTAGTTGTAACCAGTCCCACCGGCCGCAGCAGCGGTAGCGGCCATGGCCGCTGCTTGGATGCCAGGCACGCCATACTGCATGCTCTGGTGGGGGACGCCGTACTGAGGTTGATACATGTTGTGGTTTGCGGCTGCGACGGGCGCGTGGTGCTGCGAGGGCAATAGGGGGGACGTCTGGACGCCGTGGGCCTGGGATGTAGCTGACTGACTTGGTTGCGCGTATTGGCCGTATTCCATAATACAGCGGCGCAACTCAGATTCGTCGGTTCTGGGGCGCCAAGATGATTATTATCTGTGGTGCGCCAGAGTCCTGAGGAAGGCAGTCGTTGGTCTCGAGGAAGCGCTTCGTGTCGCACGTAGCATGTGATGGCTCAACTCCGATAGCACAGCAATAGAGTCGGGTCCCACGAGTCGATGCGCCGGCTTCGGTGGCTGCTGGAGCGGTGCTGACTGGAGCGTAGAACGATGTCGCGACGAGTGTAGTGCAGGCGCGGGTGTCACGTCGAGTGGTTGACGGTGATGGTTGTGGTTCCGAATGGGTGCTAGAAGGCGGGAGGGTCCTATCCAACCAAAGGCGTCAGCATCTCCCAGTCGGGAAGTCGTGAAAGACGGGGGAGCTCGTGTAGGCCAGGCGGAGGGGTGGGCTGGAGCGTGGTAGTGATGTGCCAGGCCATGCCCATAGCTTGCGCCCACCACTTGATGCGCTGGCATGCATGACGGAGGTTGCATGGGATGGGCCCCACCATGACCAGCTCAGCAGCTAGCTGGTGCTCGGAGCTCAGGGCCCTTTCTGGAGGCGGTGGTGTTGGTGGTGGCGTGGAGTAGCCATGCCCAGCTCGGCTGACCACCAGTTCACGGCCCAAGGCGACAGACGGAACCGTTTGGGTTTTCTAGAGCCGTGCAACACCTTCGGCCCTTTCCAGGGAGAGGGGATGCGGGCAAAGGCCATGTGAGGGGCCGGCTAGATGCCAGATGGCTGTGTGGCAGATAAGGGTGGTGTGGTGCTCCCAAGGCTTCGGGCTCACCTCTTGTGCAACGACAAGCTGCCAGACCCGAGGCAGCGAGTGATGAGCGAGTGATGCCTCCTGGTGGTGGTGGGAATGTTGGTGGTACGCGCTGGCAGGCTCTCCCAGTATTCTCCCGTGCGCTGGAGGGCAGCCAGGCGGCCGAGAGACGGTGGTGCTGTCAGTGACAGAGTTGGGCTCGGCCAGGCTGTCACAGTCAGGCGAGCATGGATATGGGCTTTGAGCTCTCGTTGACCATCTCAGCCAGACGAAAGGGAGCAGAGGTATTGTCCTCGCACGATGTGATGTGAATTATATCGCAGACGCGCGAGGAGACCATATCTTGCCCAGGGCGTCGGCACAAGCAGGACGCGCTTCACCCAGGCAATCACCGTAATGTCCAGGACACTCGTCTCAGACTTATCGCAGATGACTCTCGTCACCTGACAGGCCGGCTGAAGCCAATGGCGACGGCGAGGTCGACGCTCTTGATCATGATAGGTCCTCATCGAGGCCGGGGCATGAAATTCCTCCGCGCGCCAATGTGCTCCTTGGGAGAAGGACGATGGATCGCAGGAGTGGCCAATTGCGTCGACCAGAAGCTCGCGGCACTGACCGGAGGTACCATTCTTGCTCTGGGACTCGACCTGTAGCACTGTTCGACCCAGGCCGTCAAGACTCCGGGCGAGCAGGCCCTGGGGATAAAAGCCTGGGAACGCGAAACGCGTGCTGCCTGCCAGCTAGCGTGCAACAGAAGCTGGGTGCAGAGATGGATATGCTGGGAATCGCAATCCAGAAGTACGAAACATGTTTGAGTGATCGCGAAAGGGATGCTTGCGCAATGAGCTGGTGAAAGAAAGAAGCAATACATACCCTTTGAGAGCCCTGGCGATGCCTTTGGGAGTTGTGAGGATTTGCGCGAGGCTGCCTATTGGCTGGTGATCGCGTAGTGTTTGTGGGAGTTTGGCTGGGTGGAGGAGAGGGCGGGCTTGCTGGGAAAAGCGCGCACTGCGTGAGCGATGTCAGCAAGACGGATGCTGCTAATTGTGCAACGTTGGCAGGTCGACTCTCAGATACACTGGCTCGTCGTTGCCAGAGCCGCAGGGCACACTGATGGACGTCGTCGCCGTCGTCGTCGCAGAGATGCAAACAAGATGACTGTAGAGCGCGGCTTGTCACTGACCTTCTATGTTGGGGAGCTGGGCAGGCTTCTGATTTGACGGCGAAGGGACGGGGAGGAAGCCCAATGAGGGGAGCGGACGGGGTGGTTGGGCAGGAGGTGCTGCTCGAGACAGAAGTGCGGGCAGGCAGGCAGGCAGGCAGGCCAAGGTGGACTTTGGCGAGGAGCACTGATTGGCAGGCGAGAGGACGAGTAAAAATCGAGCACGGCGGAAGGGGCAGAGCAGGTTTTAATGGGTCGCCCAAAAGTGACTAATCAGCGCGCTCGCTCAAATCTTGCCTGGTGGGGCCCCGGCGGGTCCACGGCGGCGCCGCTGGGGATCAGGGAGGAGGATCCGCTGCTGGGTGATTGACGGCTGCCTCAGGCAGGCGGACGATTTAGCCGCAGAACACTCGCTCGGCAAGTGCTCGAAGAGGTGTGAAGCGAGCAGCACGCGGCCGGTATAGTGGTGGCCAGACAGCTCAGAGCCAATGTCAAGGGCCCCATGCCTGTCAACAGGTATGCGAGGGTGCCTGCCGTGGTGGCAGCAGGAGCGGTGGTGCTACATAAAGGTACGTACTCGGCCCTAGCCCTGGTGGTCAAGAGTGGTGTGGTGGCTTGTCGGCGCCAGCACATCACAGTTGGGGCTTCAGCGTCATCCCCCACACCCTCAAGCTATGTAACGGCTTGCTCAGCCCTGCGAGCAGCTCCCCATTGTCGAATCGAATGGTCTTTCCTCGCTCTGTTTGGGACCACGGCACAACAACAGCTCACGATCTGCACGCGGCCTTCTGTCAGTGCCAACATTATGCCCCGTCAGTCCAAACTTAGCCGTGTGGCTGGACCATCAGTGCAGAAGCCCGTAAGCTGAAAGCTAGTAGAGAGAGACCCGGGACCAGGCAGGAGAGGCGCCTTGTCAAAATGGTAGGCACAGTCTTGTTTTCGCTGCACAGTGCTCCAGCTGCTGACAGAGCGGAGCTTCATTACCAGATACAGTACGCACAAGGAGCGCCGGCCGTATTCGGCAAAAGAACTACTGTCTGTCTGGCACCATCAAACTCCGCTCCGCCCGTTGTCCAACACGCCCAAGAGACATCGCGTTTCTAGTCGATACAAAAGTTGTCGCGAGGATGCCTCATCCACCACCCTTTGGGCTCTACACTGCCACCAAGTCTGGGAAGGCAGTATATCAGGTGTTGCGGGAGAAGCGAAACTTAGCCAAGTATCAGAAGGAAGGGGTGCCCAAGCAACACGCGTAGTTCCGGAACCGAGAACCGCCAAGGAGGTGTGGAGCAGTGACGTGAGAAATGCACACCGGCAGCGCGACGGGGCTCAGGGTAGCCCTGGAAGGCATACCATAGTAAGCGCCATATCTTTTTTACAGGACCTTAACACACAGGACGCAGAGCTTTTTTCAAGTCGAGACCTTTGCCAGGAACGGGCCCGACAGCAATCGCGACGATGTCATCCATTCTTGTTCTCACGGAGCGAATTGGCCTGGTCGTTGTCACTCGATCGTCTGCAAGCACGCGCGAGTTCACCCCCGGATGGCGACTGAGAAGCCTCGCGCTGTGCACTGTGCTTGCCCCAAGTACGTACTTGCAGGTCTGGACGTACCTAGGTAGCGCCCAAGTCGCGTCAATAATTACAGCAGCTGCTTGTCTGGGCAGCTTCGGAGGCGCAGCCACCGCCTTTGACAATCCTTGCTCCTGAAAGCGATCCGCGACTCACTATCACTTGCGCGCAGTGGCTTTCGACGTTCAGTTGAGCGTCATTCGGCAAAGTATGCCGGCGCAACGCGGGAGCCCTCACGATCGGGTGCGTTAAAGCTCGTGTGGTCTTTTTGGTGACAATATCTGGGAGCGATGCGCAGCCGTCCGCAGGACCTCGAGTTGGTGACTATTATTAGCGTGTGGCTGCCTCCACTGTGAGCAAACCTGGCGCGTGGAGTTCTACGGGCCCTGGCTTGCAGGCCAGGATCACCGCCAAAGCTGCCTTGTCGGCGGCGTGATACGAGCGTGTTGGAACCCTGGCTGCCTAGGAGCTGACAGTTGCGGTGACCGGGCTGCCACCCGTCGAAGTTGATGCCTGCCTGCCCCGTGCAGTCGGTGTACGAAGCAACGTGCGCTCATGTTGGGCTTGAGACGTCATCTCAAACCGACGCCCTGCTCACCGACACGTCGCAGCGGGCAGGACTTGTCAAGCATCGCGTCCAAGCCTCGCGGACTATGTATCATGGCACAGCTTCAGGCTCGACCGCCATGTGCCGTGCAAGATTGGTTGTGTGCATCGGGCAGCTCTGCAGATGGTCGCCCAGCCGTGAAGTTGCCTCCTCACCTGGGGCGTGCCGGTGTGTCAATCTGCGATGGCTAATGCTAATAGACATCGACAAAGTAAAACCTACCAGCACAGTAATGACATGACATGACGACCCGTCCGCCATGGCGGGAGCTGCACAAAGCAGGGCACCGACTTCTGTCGAAACCTAAAGAGTTCCCCTGCCCAAAAAGTCGGTGTAACCGCGGCTGGACAGCAGCACCACGTCCGCTGGCCGATGGTGGCGAAGACACATTTCGTCACAGCCTCGAGCTTCCTCGGGCCTGCCCAGGCTTCTCCCAACGACCACCGGCTTGTGACGGACGGCCATGGAAGCGGCCTCGTTCAAGCCGCTCCGACTGTGTTTAATGAGCACCGGGCACCAGAGTCTGAAACGCACTACATACTGTGACGAGGCCCCTGACCTCGGCGGTGGTGATCTCGGCTCTGAGTGGCCCGGCGTTTCTGGGGTAAAGCAACCTGCCCAGCATCGGCTCCCCAGTGGCTCGAAAATGCAGAGGGCAGTTTCCCCTTCTATTGGTTGTCGAATTCGCGCCCTCTGTTGCAGTCGTCGCTTTTGAGCGAATCAATTTACCAGCCAATCTTGCTCGACGATCGGCCCTGGGATAACTCTAGTCGGTGCCCACAATCTAGCCGCTGCTCGCCATCGAATGAAAATGCCCAAGACCGTTGCAAGAGCTTCGAGCCTGTAAAGCCCCGTCACATCCATGTAGCAACAACCAATGGGCCGCACCTCCCCAGGGCACCAATCACGATATTGTAGAGCACCAAGGCGGGAGTCCAGGCCAGATCTGATCGTGCGTGACGTCTGGTGATTCGCGGCTTGGTTGACGTCAAGCTCAGTGACAGTGACATCATGTGACTTTGGACAGCGCCTAGTCTCTTGCTGCTTAGGCAGTGTTTCGGGTCACTATCACTCTGTCACTCGTATCGGAGGGGTTCTGGTCCTGCGTTTCATGCTGTCGACATTGTATGGCATCGACGCCCTCTGCGAAAAGCGCTTCGGAGGCACCCGGCGCCTGACTGGACCAGACTGGTCCACAAGCCCTGAGACGATGCGTTACCATGGCCCATGAAGCCTGCACCTTTTGCGAGAGTAACAACGCTGCCTCGAATGATTACTGCGCCTCTTAGCCTGGCTTGCTAATGAATCGATCACAGTCTGGAGCTTCGCTCCAGTCCGGGCAACCATCATCTTCTTCACGTGCCTCACGCCATTGACATATTCTGTGTCGGTTATTCCCATCTAGTCCTCCCTAGAGGAACGCTTGGGCGGAGTAAGATGACTTTGACTCCTGATGAATTCATCGAGCTCGACGACTTGGCCAGGCAACATTGTCATAAATGGTGGATTTCATTTACAACAACCCTGCTGATTGCGTGACTCCCAAATCAATAACGTGCGTGCCAGGCTATGTAACTTTTCTCTGGCCAGTCCGACACTCGAAGGGCCCAAACCCAATTCACAGTAGACCAGCCTGTTGCTCAAATCTACTGCTTTGGATTGCTCATCAGGATCTGGCCCTTGAGTTTGAGGCGCTCCGCAATGCGAGTTTGCCTGCTCAGTGGTGGCATGATCGAGTTTCGTGTATCTTACATATATGAGGGCTACTCAGTGCCCCCGGCGCCATTTGTTCCTAAGCCAAACAGGCCTGTTGGCCTCGGTGTCCTCTTTCCTCCCTGCGCATACATTCCTCGCGGCCACCTCGCCGAAGAGCGCAGCCCTATAACAAAATTTGGGATGATACCCTTCTTCCTGCTATACTCTATCCCCTGGCAGGGTTTTCGCTGGTCGTTTACTGGGTCCAGCAGTCGAATATCAAGGACGATCATGTCTCGCATCAATATCGTATATGCTGTCCATGGGCTCCCCTGCTCAGTTGGTAATCGCTCGAAGACTCGATTCACTCCCACGGAGAGTCGACTGCAAAGTGTGGCTATTTCCCTACGGACTCTTTTCGGTGTATGCCGATATCCGCCAGGACGCAAGCACCCGGGAGACGAGTACATCTAGGCAGCACCAGCAACAAGAAACATCTTATTTTTGTTTTTCTTTCTTTGTCCGCGTACACGCGGAGACTCTGAGGAGCGCCTGCATCTCGGAGAGGACCTCATGCTCCCAGGCCACTTCAACTTGTCTTGGCTGTCCAGGGAACATTCTTTTCTGTCTTCTTGTGCGAATATAGAATGAATACGCTGGGAAGCCGCTCCGCTTTGTGTTGACTGTCGTTTTATGCACATAGGTGTGCGCTTGGCTTTTGTCTGATACCTCGAAGTCGACTTTTTTTTTTTTTTTTTTTTCCCGTTTGCAATTATTCCGCCTGGTCTTTTCATCGCAACGGACAAGCGAGCGGCTGGTCAGCCGCCCTCGTTAGTCGGCGTTACTAAAGGGATTGGCTTGAATGTGAACGTTGCCGAGATTTGAGCCTGTCCATCACCCTCGATCTGCGGCGTTTTTCATCATCTTGAAACGTGCAACCGCAAACCATCTGTTAAAAGTTCGCAACCTTATCTAAGGAAAACCCCATGATCTATGTGACCTCTCCGCTATTTCTTTTCCTTTCTTCCCGTCTTATTGTTATCAAAAGGAATACCAATTAGGACGCGCTGAAATTGGGGCTCTCGTTTGGCTGCTTGTAGCAAGCTCTCACCGGCAACACCCCCGTCCAGAGGGCTCCATTTATAGAAAGCACTGCCCGTAGTGATCAACGTTTTTCAATACTCTTCTCGCCCTGTCTGCGCCTTGAGTTATCGAGCCCAAAGCAGGCGAGAGAATCTGCTTCACGAAGCATGGTTATTAGGCTTGAAACTGCGGGACTACCGAATCCCCCTGGAAGCACGGGCGCTCGTGATATGTACAACATGTGCGCAGCCAGCCTCTCTCCCACCACCGCCAATCCCACCACCGCCAATGGCCCTCTCAGGGTTCCCGCGAGGTCAAACAGGAATCCTCGAGGTATGCGGAAGCTCATGACTGGTGGTCACAGTGGAGGAATACGATCTGCTGATTTACTTTGGAACGAGCAACGCTGCTTATTATTTCGCTGATATGCTCGTGACCATGTTATACAAAGCTGCAGGTGAAGAAGTATTAGTGTGACTGCAATTGGTTTGATTGATTGCAATGGTCCGGGTGTCGTTTCTTCTTCAGACGCGTAGATTTCACACGACGAGCGAGATGCACAGGACGTCGAGCGCAGAGACCGGCTCACTTGAGAAGAATAAACCACGTAACACATCACCCATGTAGCAAATCACTGGGCCACGGCCCCTTTAGGGCGTAGGAGATCAATCCTATTCGAAACTCGATCACGATTTCGAATCGTGCGAAGGAAAAGGAAACACTCCCACATGTTCCCACGGCTGCCCTGGCTCTATCATTTTTGGCTGCACGAGATCCAATCGCTCTGCCCTGGATCTTGAGTACGTGCAGGTGCATCACGTTCATGCAACGTCGATTGGCCAGACAGCAGCACGATACCAATCTAGCCTCGGCTGATCTGCATCTCTCTTATCGAAAGAGATGCCGTAGACCAGCCACGTCTCGGAGAGACATACATGCCTACATGTCATTCTTTGTTGGCCTAGCAAAGACCCTTGCGGAAGGCCAACAGGGTCACTGCCCATCCAGGTGCCCTCATGCCGTGATCTTGGAGACAGAGTATGACCTCCTGAAGTCGAGGCACTCCTCTGATATGGTCCTGCTCTATGCAGCCGCACTGCAGCCCTCTTGAGAAAGTGGTGGACTCGAAACACAAGAAAATGGATTGAGCTTTGGCGCGCGGTTACCAGGATAAATATGGAGTTTGGCGTAGTGATAACACGATGGCCTGGATCGTGTATAGCTCAACATGCTGAATATGGCAAGTCCTCTATAAGCAGTAACTATCAAGCTTAATGCGTGGGTGTGCGAATCACAGGCTGGAGACATTGCACTATCCACAACTGCCTGAACCGCGTTATGAATTTGGCGAAACCCTCTCGAGCAAGTGATTTTCGAGTATAGTGGAAGGCATGAGAAGGGTGCGCGGTTACAGTCACGAAATAATTTTCCGTACTTAAAGTATGGCAAGGGTCGACAGCCAGCACGAGAACTTCATTGGCTGCATGGCTTTCAGGCATGGAAGGACACCTACAGGGTCTTGTCGGAATCGTCAAAGAAGCTTAGCCTGTAGAGCTGAGAGGACAAGGCGGCCACGGGGACGCAGACCGGCAAGCCGCGAAGAAGATAGAGATCTAGACGCGCGCGCTTCTTTGGGCTGCTGGTTGTTGGCACGGCGACAAATAAGGGCACCAAGGGCATCAGGTGGGCTGCAGGAGCCGCCGAAAAATGGGCAATCGTTGGCAGCCAACCAGAGGGTTCAGCGCGGGCAGATGTCGTGCATCAGCTTGCGCGCGCTGCCTCTGCCGCCGGCGCAGGCGCCCGTGCTGGCCTGGTTATTGTGGCCATGCTGTCTCGATCGACTGGCCGGTAGAGAAAGAAACAGCAGAACCGGCCGCGACGGGGAAGGCTGGTATCGTGAGCCGCGCGCTGGCTGAAGCAGACGAGAAATTGAGGGGCAGGAAAAGGGCTACCCAGGGCAGTATTTTGGGCGACCAAAACAAAGCGCGGCGGCAAGAAATGAAAGGCATCGTGACTGATATAAAGGCAGGCGACTGGCAGAAGAATTGGACAGCAGCCAGGAGTAGGCAATATCAAGTCTGCAGCACAGCAAGAGCCACGACACGGCAGGCACGCACAACCGAGGACCACCATTGACCACAGGCGCAAACCGCTGGCTGGTCTGAACATCACCACCCACTCTGTGCATCTCGATCGCATCCATCTTTTTCTTGTCCGCCCGGCAGTTTGCGGCTCGCTGCCACACAGCCTCGTCATTCGCACATCCGTTGAAAGGCAGCTGGTCTGCTTGGTTGGATCCTCAATCTTCTGGAAGCCTAGGATTCCCCGGCGATCCCATCCCAGCTCTGTGGCTCGTCGTGGGGCGAGAGGCAAGGTCAAAGGTTAGCAGCATTCTCAGGACAGGCCCCTGTGGGCATTCCGGTTGGCTGCCTCGGCCGGGCCACTCACTCACCGTGAGCTCGCCTGGCGGACGAGAGCACGCGGGTGCTAAGAATAACCAGCCCCAGGCACTGGCGATCCGTTGCTGACCTCGACGCCAGACCCAGAGACTCGTTGTTGCGCAAGTCACCAGTACCTCTGAGACAGCAGTGGCTCGCTAAGCGCCGACCGACGACATCCCACCCGTCCAAGCCCCTGCTTCAGACGTGCCAACCAGGGGCCTCCAGCCAGGGCCTCGAGCCAATCACCACCGGCCCTCTCGCCGCCCGCCGTGTGCCCACGCAGCGCAGCAGTCCTTGACATCGGCCCCACCAGATCCGGCTTCCGGTACCCGCTACAGCCAGTCTTCAAGAGCAGCTCGAGGAAACGGCCTTCCTTCTCCAAGCCCTCGACTCTTCCAGGCCTGGCCTTTTCTTCTTCTCGAGCAGTTCCAAGCAGCATCTCTCAAGACCAGAGAAGCGCAGTTGGGACGGGTCGAACCAGAAGCCCCCGAGCTATAACTTGTCGCTGGTCACCAGCGTCAAACCCCAGGGCCCAGCAGAGTGGGCGTCACAAGTTTGGATTTGGCGCCGGTTGCCAGATCCTTCTAGGTTGCCCTTGAGCGTGAAACGGCGTCGTGCCATTGGCTGCCTGTGTGCCGCCATCCCCTGTTGCGCTCACCCCCTCGTCTGCGGCTTGTGTCCCACACCCCTCCCACTTACACCAACCCCTGCCTCGCGCGTCCTTCCTCCATCACGACCCGTGAGCTCGCTCGACAGCATCGCCAGCAAGTAGACAGGACCTTGCTGGGGCGCGCTCGTCAACAGGGCTGCTGCACACACCTCTTGCGAGCCGACTTGGTCTTGTCGCCCGCCCGCGTAGGCACGCACCGGCGAGCCCTGCCTCCGAGTCCTTCGCTCGCGTGGCTTGCAAGCACACAGGGAGCCCGCTCCACACGGTTGGCGCCCACGTCTCAGCCCAGCGCACCTTCCGTTGCACACACCACCACCCTTGTCCCTTGTCGCCTCGGACGACCTGTCCCTCTGCGCAGCTGTCTGTCTGCCGCCGGCGGCAACCAAGACGTCAAGACTCTCCCCACGCCAGCTCAATAATATATTCAGTCTTGCGTCTCCCCCAGCGCCCTCACACACTCTCACAGCCTCTCTACGCTGCCGCCGCCGCCAGCTCGTCTCCTCCACTCCTCCACCCTCTCACCCTCCTCCTCCGACACCGAGGCCTATACCACCACATCTCCCCGCGCTACTCTTCGAGTCATTCGCTTGACTTGAACATACACCAAGCTCTGCCAGCCAGCACTCTTTCCAGAAACTCATCGCCCAAACCATGCCTGGCCCACGACCCAAGCTCGGCCTGACGACGCCCGTCACGGCCACGTTCCCTTCAGAGCTTTCTGCTCTCTCGGCCGTCTCGGCCAGAACACCCCTCTCTGCTATCCCGGTCTTCATCAAGGACGAGTTCGCCAACACCACGCCAATCACCCCACCTGTCGCCTACATGGATTTCCTCAAGGCCATGTCACCAGTCGCACCAGAGATCAAGAGGTCGGCCACCATCTCAAGCTCCGAGGACGATTCGGCACACGACTCCATGCCCTCCACCGCCAGTAGCGAGCGCACCGACTGCTCGTGCAAATGTGGCAACCATGGTGCATCTTCCCCCACTGCGGCGACACCGTCAAGTTATCCCACGCTCCCCATGTCGGCGCCTCCAACTGGCGCCACTTCTTTCCCCAGTCTCCTCGTCCCACAGTCTCCTGCGGTTTCCACAGCGGACTCACCTACCGCCATGCGCTCGCCGTTCAGCGCTCGGTCTGTGCGGTCACCATTCGACTGGGAGGCGGCTCTCAAGGCTCGATACTCGACGGATTGCCGAGCCACCAAACCCTCAACCAAGAGCGTCAGACACATTCGGGAAGTGGTGACCCGGACAGTCACTTACACGCCAAGGATGAACCCTGCGCCAAAGGGGAAGCGGCGAAGAACTCACTCTGAATGCGCAAAAGTCCAATCAGCACAGCCGCCGCAAACACAACCGGCACCTGCCACAGCCACCCGGTCCAATTCAGCTTGAACAACTCAGAATTAATGCCCTCCCGGACTGATATCTGGCGCATTTCTCTTCTATGCCTGCATCAAGGCCACGTCACTACCTTGACATTCCTCGCACAAAGCTCCTCACAATTCCTGAAACCAGGCAAACAGACATAATCAAGAGGTTTGGAGCGGCACGCATGGCTGGGCCCGTGCAACCATGTGCTTCATCCCGACTCACACACGGCCAGCTAATTCCAGCTGGACCACCCGCATGCCAATCTCAGCTGCACGAAACGATTTTACGCGAAAGGCGTCATTTGGGTTTTATGTCGTCATTTTCCGAAAAGAAAGAAAATTTTTGCTACTAGGGAAACTTCCAACGGCGTTGCTGGCGGCGTCTCTTGACGATTCGATACCATGGCGTATTCAGACGACGGTTTTCAAATTTTTTTTTTGTGTTCACATAAACAACATCACCCAAGGCCTCGGATCCGAAGCGACGGTCCAGGTCCCTCAAGGGTAGCATTGGAGTTGGTTGGCTATGTTGGATTGACCTACAGACACGTGTTTTAGATGGGCGAATATCCACGGTGGTGGGGTCGGAAGTGCAGCTCAAGGGCACAAGATATGCAGCTTACCTGCATCGCCTACATTGTCACAGCTGAGAGGCATCGTGGACTCCGTCACTTGTAGTATATCTCCCAATGGAGCATTCACATCTACTATTGCCGAACTCTGATCACCCGTGTTACCCGTCATTGTGAAACTCCTCAGCCATCCTTTAATCGCTGGTCTGCCACAGACTCTGATCTTGATAACTTATCACTGGCACAATGGTGTGAGTGCGCACGGAAGCCCCAGAAGTGACAACGCTGGGCCTGCCGCGTACTAGGCGGCCTATAATGCGACCCATCTAGGGAGTGACCTGACTGATCCGGAAAATGCTCATGGAGGGGCTGGGCATGGCAGGCATCGTACCTTGCAACGCCAGCGTCGAGTCAATACCTCATCTCATGGTAGGGCCGCCGGGTGTCTCTTGCACGCACGCACGCACGCACGCACTCACACACACTGCCGTACATGGGCGCCCTCTCTCTCTCTCTCTGGTCGGCTCCTTTTCTTGTCTTTGCCCCTCCCAGCATCCCCTCTCTCGAGACGCTCGGTCGTAATGACTGCCCACCGCCCGCCGATTTTCTGAGGATTCTAATGAGACACAGACCAAGGAGATGGTGTGCTGCGGTAGGTGACCAGGCCGACACGTCAAAGCATGTCAATTTGCAGGGTCATCATCCGACCCCCTCCTCCTCCTCCTCCTTGCTCATTTTGTCTTGTTGCCGCATCTCTCCCCTCCCTGACCGCACTACAAAGAACATCGGCCTGGAAGGAGAAGGTGTGCCTCTCCTAGGAGGACGAAAAAAGGGCGAGCGGGCGGGTGTGCCCGCGCCTGAGCACACCCACACACACCACCTCCATTCAGAGTCCGAGCAGCCACACTCCAACCTTTGCCCTGCATTCGGCGCCGAGGCGGCGAATGGGCAGGCAGGCAGGCAGGCAGGCAGGCAGGCAGGCAGGGCAGTTGGGCGGACAAGGCAACTTACAACTCCCCCATGCAGACGTACTGACTCCTCTACATGCATAGCGCTTGGTCATCTGACCTCTCGCATACGGGCCTCTCCTTTTTCACAATGCGCATGCCCGGCGCGGGTGTTGTATATTCGCGGTTGTTGCTGTTGTGGTCCCACTTGAGGCGGGCAGCTGCACACTCCGCGCGCGTTTTTTTTTTTTTGAGGAGTCTATTTGTTTGTTTTCCTTGTGTGCATGTCCAGTGTTGATGTGTTGTTCCAGACACGAATGGCCTCTGCTTTGGGCCGGCCTGCGGGCCAGACTGCATGAGTAAAATATTTCCCGGCAGGGACGTGTGGGTTTCGACTGCAACGTGGTGAAAGGATCAGTCACGATCTGCCAGGATTTCACCGTTCGCTCCCATACGGTCTGCGCTGAGGGAGCGGAAAGTGGAAAAAAACGGTTGTAGCGACATGCTCGGCGTATAACTGAGAGCGTGCAGGTACGACTTGGCCGGTCAGCATTGGCGCTCCCGCACCTCCTCTAGTACCGCGATCGCACCCCGCCAACCCACCACGAGGGGACTGGTGCGCCGACAAGAGTCTTGGGGCCAGGCAGGTTAGACTCGTGGTATCTGATGGTCGTCAGCCGTAAACCGGCCATCTTCCGCACGGGTTGAGGATGAGATACGGGCCTTCCAGCACCAGCCTGTGTCCAGCGCACGAATTGGGACTGGTATCCGAGGTGGGCGTCGAGTGTGCTTGGAGGCTGGTGACGATGTCCCGCGAGTTCTCTGTCAGTTGCACACTCCCCCCTGCACCAACGGGCACTCCCTGCGGGCAGCGTTAAGCCACGTTGGGCTTAGGGTGGTCCCAGTATCCTGGGAGGTGCATGGGGTTGTGGTCGGAGTGGACGATGTCTAATTTGACAGGGTGATTCCGCAAGCCCCCAGGACATGGCTAAGCGCCGGGACAATGGTGTGTGAGGAGCACAGGCCCGCCAATCAGAGCCGTTTCCTCGCTCGCAGGCAGGCTCAGAGGTGGAAGCCGTTCGCGCTGCATCGCAACGGGACAGGACTGCCTCGCTTTGGCGACGCCCATTGGTCGACGCGAGCAGCAGTTAAGCGCTGGCAGCGAGGGTGACCCAGAAAAGGTGTGGCAGGCCAAAGCCGTTGCGAGGTCGCTCCTCGCCTCTGACTCCCTATAACGTTATACGCCGCGGCAGCTCAAGCATAGGCATTGGCAAATAGGCTCGTCTGATCCCAGCGCCCGCACGGTGGGAAACAACATTCTCAGGCTTGCGTAAGCAGGTGGTTGAGAGGGCGACAAGAGAACTGACGGCACTGAACCTGAAATCGAGCAAGACTGCGGTGGAGCTGATTTACGCCCGAGCCGAGATCGATGTGTCTCCCAAGATGGACATTCTCAGTCGATTGAGTCTGTTCCGTGCCCGCTCATTACATGCCGACAGGGGCAGGCCTGGATTAGGGGTCGGCCCAATGATCAACGGCCACGGACTCGGGGCTGAGCATTGACCATGTAAGGTAGCAAGGTCACGGTGATCAGTGTCCCTCGTGCCCATCGCTTGCAACATTGAGCAGACTTGTGGTCGTCGGCCGAGCGTGGCTTCTTGCCATGGTTAAGCGACGGTGAGAATGCCGGAGCCAAGGTCTCGAGATGCACCAACTGCGTCGGAAGATTTTGCCACGGAGGCTGCCGCGGGGATTTGGCTATCATGGAGGCCATGTCTGCCGGTGTGTAGCGGTGGGACTGGCCTTGATACTGTTACATCGTCGCACGGCGCGCGGTAGCAGTGACATGCACTTGCTGGCGAGGTATTGTCTGCCTTGCGTCTCCCCAGCGGGTACTCGCAATGGCCAAGCAAAGGTTCCTGGGCGACCCTATGATGACTGCGCGTACACATACACGATTCCCGCGTGCGTCTCCGAGTCGAGCTCCAAGATGCGGTGAGTACTGTCCCGCACGGACAGAGCTTGCGAGGTGTTGTACCTGCTGTATTTTGGTGATCCTTGTGCAAGCCTGTGTTTTGTAGGGTGCTTGCGATTCGCCGGTCGGCTGGTATGGACCCGAGCTGTCGGGTCTGGTGTCCCGGTACCGGACAAGGGCGGCCAACCCACGCGGGGCCCTGTCGTTACGATGACTCGGAAGGGCAATGTCGATCCTCGCACGACATGCCACGATGGTGGTTGCTGGAGAGTGTCCCGCGAAAGGAATCAGTGACCGATAGACGCTGATGCCTTCAGAGCTAGTATGTAAGCGGTCTGGTGCTGTGCCGTCACAAGTGACGCTGCGGTGTGTGCTTGCTAAAGCACTCTGCATTAGCTTTGCAGCTGGAAAGAAGCCGTCTGGCTCGTTTTGTGATTGGGCTCCGACAGGCTGGGATCGGGGTTTTAGCTCAAGAATTGAGTTGTGACGAGATGATGGCTTCGTGCTCGTCATACGAGCACGGCTGTGGATTCACTGGGAGTGAGGGGTGAGGGGCCAGCCAGCCAACAAAAGCCAGGGTTGAGTGGCTGGTGCAACGGCAGCTCGGATTGCCTGGGTTTACTCTAGATCGGCCACTGGCGAGCCAAACGACATTGTCAGTCTCCTGGTTGCCAAGCGCTGCACAGGACGACGGCGACAACAACGACATTATTGCGGTGACTTAGGGGCGACAAAAGTGATCGGGACCTTGTCGCAAGAGGTGGCTGGGAGTGCCAAACGTTGTCCAAGACCAGCACCGCCGTTGTTGGAGCAGCTGCAGCCTCGAAACAACGAGCATGGGTCTCGCTGTTCGCGATGTTGATTTGCTGGAACCAGGACTGGCCGGAGCATAGTTGACAAGGAGCAAAGTTAGCTTGCGCGCCGGGCCTGCCGTGGCGGCCTGACACACATGAGCAGTTGCTCACGTGAACAGGCAGACCGAAACAACGGGCACTGCACCAACGCGGCGTCGGACTAGCATCGCAAGAACCAACAGGTTTGACGCACAGCAAGGATTGCCATCCAACTCCTGCCCACCTCAAGTTTGCTACAGGCTGTGTGTTCCATCCGCGAACCACGAGTGCGACAGTGCGGCCCATCGGGCAAGGACGCCTTGTTGTTCGGGTACACGATCCGTCCGTCTGCCATGTGGCCCTCTTCAGGTAGGTCTTTCGTATGGGAATCGTGTCATGCCTCGCAGGAAACAAGCGAGCATTTCCTGGTTTGACTCACGCAAGAAATGCTACTGCGAGCTAGATTGGCACTTTTCGCTCCTTCCAGGATGGATGCACAAGTGCGCCCATGTGAGATCCTGAGCTCCGCCCGGCTCACAGCGCCGTCCAGATCGACATCCCTGACGCTGTTGGTTTAGCCCCTCTATACGTCGATAGTGTGAGCTATTATAGTCTCAGTCTTGATTATTGACTCCGCAGGGTGTCAATATAGTACTGTCTCCCTTTTATGGCTTATGCTTGTGTCATCCGAGTTCATTTGTACTCAGGTTACCGGCATGTACGCCTTCCTAAGCCTCGCGCACTTCATCCGCGATGGCGTTGCACAGGGCTACTCGGATCCCAGCCCCTGTCAAGACGTGTATCCAAAGTCGCTGGGTGTCGCTCAACCTGTCGTTGGCACTCTTCACCTCTGAGAACATGACCTCCCTTTCAGGTTCTGTTTTCCACAGGACAAGGTCTGGGATCCCGCCACCTCTCTGCCCATATTCTTGAGCCATGACTTTGCAAATCGTGGCAAGGGCAGCTCCGTTGAAGCAATTCGCAAGCTCAAGCAAGTCTCCCAGCTCGTAGTCCCAGTTCAAACCAACCACGCAAGTTCGTCTTTCGCGTTCTCGCTCATCTACTGCCTGAATAAGCCGAGCGGCCTGTCCGTTGGCGATCTCGACGAGCCGATGATTGATCTCGGAGCTCCGCGTCGGGAAGAAGGCATCTGTATGCAGGTCCAAAGGACAAGTCTGATATGCAGTCTGAAAGACATTGGGAATGTAGATGAAGAGGATGTCGAAGAACAGGTATGCAAAAAGTGTTCGCACGATACCCCCCTCGGCATGATAGCCCTTCCATCCTTGGGCTCTGTAGTCGCTCAGGCACATGGCTTCCACACTGCACTCGCCGCCACCTTCAGCCTCGTCAATCCAGATCGTCTTCGTGCTTGGACCACGCCCATTTTTGCCAGTAATGTCGTCCTTCTTGAGTTGCGTGCCATGGACATAGTGCTCTTCGGGTTGTTTCAACCGGACGTGGCCGAAATCATGCTGAAGACGCTTCGGGACTCTGAGCTGTTTCTCGAGCTTGACTATTCTCTTCTGAATATCGTAATGGTAGATCAGGTGACAATCCCGATCCTCAAGTGCAATCTCACAAGTAGTAATAGCGATTCGCTTCCAGTGCTTCTTCTGAAGCTCAACGTTTGTGATCGAGGGATTCTCCTCAAGCGCGAACATGTAATGCTCTTCAAGAAGCGCTTTGCGTTGGTACCACGCGCCACGGCGGGCGAGGTGGAAAAGCCGTTGCTCGAGAAGTTGCGATAGCAGCTCGTGCTCGCGCTTGTGTTCCTTGAGCCGACCAAAAGTGTGCGCGGCCTTGTGCACAATTCTGGTGTATGAATGACCAGGGTTCAGTCGGCGTAGATACGCACCCTCGCCAGATTCATACACTCGATCTTCCTTCAGCTGCTCTTCCACCAGCAGTGCTTGCCACCTTGGATAGATCTTTTCAAAGATTTCAATGACCCGGCGGAAGTCGGCCTCCCTGACTGGTCCGTTGAACTCGAGAATATTGTCAATGGCGAACTCCGTCCGCATCGAGGTCTCGAATTCCAGTAGCTGTGTCCGCGAAGCAAAGATATTGGCAGAGCGGCTAACAATGTAGTTGGGAAAATTGCGGCGGGATATCTTGGCCAGAATGATGGCGGTCAAAGACTTGTCTGTCCACTCCGTCGATCGATAGAAGACGAGATGAACCCTTTCGAAGAGTTTGAAGACGGGGAGTGACAATCTGATACACGGCCCGGTAATTGCCAAGATCTTCTCAAGAAAATGCCTGTTCCGATTCGAGTCATCCGGACCGTCGGGAGCTGGTGAGCCTGTTTCGGGCGTGGGAGTGTCGAGAGATGTGGTGGAGTCCAGAGTGCTTGACCTTCGGAGACCAACAGAGAACAACCCGGACTGCTGCCGGCTGTTTCGACATATTGACTTTGCAATATCACCCTTGTTCTTACCTTGAACCTTGGCCTCCTTGGCAAACGCTTTGATCTCGTCGAGGCTGAGAAGAGAGACAGCTTCTTCCACGGTAGTAATGCAATCATCCGATGTGTCTGCAAAGGCAAAAGCATCTGCGAGGCTGGTCTGCTCATCGACATAGTCAACAGAAAGCGAGCCGTTTTCGCCGGCCTCACCGTCGTCGGTTGGCGGCAAATCTCGAGTCTGCTGTAGGTCCAGCACGGCAGCTTCTACGTCTTGAATGTCCGAATGATAGCTAAGCTTTGCTGTGCGATGCCACTGCGCATTCTTCCTCAGGAAGAGTCGAACATATCTGAGCACTGGTCAGCGTTTATTGCCCGCTGAGCACGGGGACGTTGGCGGGGGCATACAAGAATTGACTTTCGTACGGCAGGGCCCTCCACTTCTCAAAGACTGCACATTCGCGGGAATTGAACAGATGAGATTCCTCATCCAACACAGTGTCTAGCGCGAGGTTGAATGCGTCCACATATAATGAGCTCTTGCCTCGGATCCATTTTCGTGAATCGAGCCTCGCCGCAGCTGTCTCTGCCTCATCAGTACCAGCCTCTGACTGCGAGGCTTTGAACGACTCATATTGCTCTATGGCTTCTTCGTCAGAGAGGATGGCTGGCAGGGAACTCTCAATCGCGGTCGGCTGATGTGGTCGATCATCGACATCGGTCTCAGGAGACCCTTCTCGAGACAAGTCAGGTGCTGAAAGCCGGCCCCGATTCTGGGGTGGTCGTGCTGCAGGCGATGTTGGCCGCGGGATGTGACCTAGGTCATCCTCCTCGCCGCCATCATTGTCGTCATCGCTGTCAGCAATCTCAACTCGCTTTAACCGCTTGGCTGGCCGTTCAGGAGATGCTGGCGTAGCTGCACAAGTTGCACCATGGGGCGCTTGCTGACGAGCGGAGCCGACTTTTGTCCTCTTTATGAATGCGTCCATGCCAGAATAGCAAGTGAAGAATCCATCTTCGACACAGCGTGCAGTGGTGGTCTTGGTGTTGGGTCTACGATGACCTCATCAGAACGCACGCGTCGCGTTCACAGGCACTTGGGGGAGAGGGGATCTGGCTGCACGATATCACGGGACCAGGCGTTTTCAATTTGCATTGCACTTGGGTAAGGTACTGTACCTGGCAGGAAGCTCCTCAAAGTGGAGCCGGCGCTGAATGCGCAAACGCCGATCGCAAAGCTGCTTTCCCAAGGGACACACCAATGAAGAGTGCCTTTGGCTTCACCAACCAGTACACCCACCCACCTGGAGCAGGCTTGCGAGCAAATCCCAGCATCTTCTTTTACTCCACGCAGCTTCCCAAGACCACAACAGCACCACTACGTCAATTGGTCCTTGCTACTCAGATTCACACCAAAAACATATCACCACACCAAACACAACCAGCCACGATGGCCGACGACAAGACCCAAACTCCCGTCCCACCGCCCGCACTTCCAACCTTCACGGCCAGCCCAGCTCCAGCGCCCGTTGGACTAGTGTCTTCTACGGCCGCCGTCGATAGCAACAATGACGACGCACAGACAGCTCGAGAGCAGTCCACGAACCCTCCAGATGTCAAAGAGGAGGCCGACGTGGACATGGCCGACGTCTCCACAGCGCCGACACACCAGCAGCAGCAGCCTCTCATCACCACAGAGAAATCCCCCGCGCCGAGCGCTCCTGCCGCGGCGGCGACCTCGGCGCCGTGCACGAGCACGCCACTGCGACAAGCAAACGGCGTGGACGGCGGCGGCGGCGGCACTTCTTCGCGGGCGGCGTCGCAGCACCCCGAGTCTGGCGCTGGCGGCAGCAGCAGCAGCAGTCACCAGATGCCCTCGACTCCTGCGGTGCACGGCGCGCCAGTGCGGCAATACCTGAACCAGAATGTCACAGGAGTACTGCTGGAGGGCATGAAGCAAATCGCGCGCGACCAGTATGTTGGCCCCCATACCGTCCTCTTTTCCACTAATGTGGTCATGGGAACCTATACCCGTTGTTTTCAGCGCTATCTCACTGCCGTGTGACACAGCTAATCGTATCTGCATACTTTCCAGACCCCAAGATCCCCTCAGAGTACTGGGGGAATATCTTTTGAAGGCCTCTAGAGAGCGTGAGAAGATGGTGAGCGCAGCATAGAGAATTCTAGCGGAAGACGCCGCACGGGTATACTGGGACGGGTTCGAAGGGCGGAGTTGCCGGGGACAAACCTCCCTTTCGGTCGAAATTCAAGCAAGCATGGCATGGCCTAGCATAGGAGCGCATCTTTCCCCCCCCTTTTATTCTGCGATTGATAAAAAGCATAGGCGTTTGGTCACACAGGGGCAAAATTCATCAGCACTTTTCAACAGCCAGCTATGCGCGCTAGCTGTCAACGGAGCCACAGTTCCATGACATTTTAGGGAGATGATCTGGACAAGGCGTTCAGCAGATGCAATCATCAAAGTGCTGTTATTTCGAATACAACATAATCGAATTTCACTTCATCCCACGATAAGGCAAGGTGCACTGCAAGTATTTATACGCGTTTTTTATTCATGTTGCCGAATTTCTTTTTCTCTAGTCCCAAACGTCCACCAAAGTCGCTCAGGCGGGACAGAAACAGGGCTCTGAAGTTGTGATATATCATGTCTCGACATTCAGCCGACTAGGCTAAAAGTCTCTTCATTGAAAAATTGTGTGATATCATGAGGCGCCCTGTAACATTCATTTAAAAAAACACAAATGCCATGTATTTTCTTTTGACCCATCCCGACCCAAGAACTCCTTTTGTTGTCGTCGAGGACATCACTTCTTACTCGGCTATTCGCAGCGGGAAGTAAAAGGGTGGTAATATCTCTGAGACAAACAACAGTTTTTGCTAACCACGCCGGGCTCACGGCTGTGCCGTTGCACTCGGGTTTTCTTGATCCGATGTTGCAAGCAGCTACACGGCGGAGCACACGACACCCCCTTTGCGACGCGCGATCTCGACTCTCGACTCTTCGCGTTTCATGGAGAAGATGAATGAGGAGCTCGCTTAAGCGACAATGGTGCTGGCGGTGGCAGACTCGTACTTCCAGGTAGGAGGCAGGACACCGACAGACTTGTAGTAGCGGGCCAGGCGGTGGATACGGGACTCGATGAGAATGAGGCGGAACTTGGCGTCCTTGTCCTTGCGGTTGCGCTCGAGGTGCTTGCGGACGGAGACAGCCTGGTGGGAGGTTGACGTTAGTATGAAAGGTGTACCGAAAAGGGAAAATGTGCTCTTGTCACTGTTCGTGGGCTCGCTAGTGGTCGAGCACAGCGAACAGCGAATATATGAGGGGAGACTTACCTTCTTGATCAGCATGTACAGATCCTCGGGAAGCTCGGGAGCGAGGCCTATATATGGAGAATCACACCGTCAGCCTTGACCAACAGCGGCGTTTTTTTTTGTTTTTGCCTGGAATTGCTTCCACCTGGCCACTCGCATCTTTGTGTGTTTGCACAAAAGTGAACAAGGGCCAGTATGTCCAAGCTCTTTCGATTCGAGGCATGGCAAGTGGTGTCAGGTATGGGTCGGGTGTCTCGTGTCTGATGGCCATCTTGCTCATGCTCTCTCGTGTCCAGAAATCATGTGTATGCTGACATTGACATCGCGTGGGGAGGGTTTGTTGGTTCATGTCGTACCGTTGGACTTGAGAATGCGGAGGATCTTGTTGCCGGTGACGATGCGGACCTGGGCAATGCCGTGGGCGTCACGGAGGACGACACCAATCTGGGAAGGAGTGGCACCCTTCTTGGCGAGCCTGCAGTTGCGCAATTGAAAAGTCAGTCTTGCTGGTCGCCTCGTCGCAGAATCTCATTAACACCCCAGAGAGATCCATCATCCTCTGCCTGCGGCAGCTCTCGTGTGTCCACCGATACGGGAAAGCACGCACTTGCAGATCTGCTCCTCGACCTGGGCGGGAGTGGTCTTGAGCCACGCGGGGGCAGTCCGCGAGTAGGGGAGCGCGGAGGCTGAAATTCCCTTTCCGTTGGAGTGAAGACGACCCATTTTGGCGGTTGTTGTGTGGTTTGTTGCTGGCGACGGCGACGAGTCTGGCTTGCTGGGGGACAAGAACTGGCTGGGCGGATCGGAGTGGTTGGCTGGGCTGGGTGGAATGAGGTCGAGGCTGCTGCACGGCTTGGGAGGGCCAGAGGATTTTTGGCTCCACGAAAAAGTTCACTGCACCGCAGAGCTGGATTGTGTGCCCAGTTCGCGTGGCTGATAGGCGTTGATTGGCCAAGCTGGGAGCGGGCAGGCCCCACTCCGTCCAAGCACCGAAGTTCTTCCGGGCCGTGCCAAGCCTGTCCAGCGCTGCGTCTCTGTTGGGGAGTCGGGGCGCGCCTCTACCAAATTTTCCTCCCTGCCGCGCTGCAGACAAACGTTGACATCTTGACAACAACACATTGCAGCTTCGCTGCGAGAGACGCATCAAACATGCGCTGAGCGTTGTAAAGTCAGCACCGCCTCATCTGCCAGGTGGCTTCATATGCGTAGCATCTTGTGGTCGATACTACTGGTAAGCTCCCCTCTGCCTTCACATCGGCCTCCCCCAAAACGTCACTTGTCACCCTGATGATACACTCCTTTATTTTACTTTTTCTGGTACCTCTTATATCATCGGGCCTTCGGGCCCGAAATGTATTAAACGGACTTCTGATCTCACAAGTTCATCCTTCTCCAACTTGGCACTCGAACTTCTCAATGATGGGGCACACCGCTAATCATCATACAATAATAGGACTCCATCCCAGCCCTCTTCGACTCCATGTCTGTCCCATACTAGTTTTCTCAGCCAACCCAGTGTTATGATGCTCGTGATTGCCTGACTTGTCGCGTTCCCTTCACGGCGTAGTGAATCGTACTGGAGTCTTGTGCTCAATTGCTCAGCTCACATATCCTTTGGTCTCATTATAATCACGATGCGCCAGGCAGGACCTAGGAACGCTCACTCTGCATATCCACACGTGGTGACCAAAATTACATGGGCTTTGATTTGTTTCATTCATTCGTCATAATTCTGCTAGACACGGAGCTGGTGTGCTTCTCGTGTGGTTTTAGACCCAACCTAACCCGGTCCTGTCCGGGGTATCATTAAACTCCTGCTTTTGTTCGAATCGACACAGATTTACATGTTGACAGCGGTGCGGAAGCTCTCGCCAGCATAGACAGCGTTGCTGCCGAGCTCCTCCTCGATACGCAGGATCTGGTTGAGCTTGGCAAGACGCTCAGAGCGGGCAGGGGCACCAGTCTTGATCTGGCCAGCACGGAGACCGACGACAATGTCAGCAATGGTGACATCCTCAGTCTCGCCGGAGCGGTGGGAGACCATGACGCCCCAGCCGTCGGCGTAAGAGTCCTTGGCGGCCTGAATGGACTCGGTGAGGGTACCAATCTGGTTGACCTTGAGCAGGAGAGCGTTGGCAGACTTGAGCTCGATGGCCCGCTTGATGCGGAGAGGGTTGGTGACAGTCAAGTCGTCACCAACGATTTGGGTAGTGGCACCCTGGGTCTTGTAGAAGTAGCTCCAGGCCTCCCAGTCGTCCTCGGCGAAGGGGTCCTCAATGGAGACGATCGGGTACTTCTTGGCGAGGTCGCTGTACATGGCAGCGAGCTCCTCGTAGGTAATCCACTTGGTGGGGTCGCTCTCGGGGTTCTTGAAATCGAGGTCGTACTTCTTGGCGTCCTCCTTGTAGAACTCGCTGGAGGCAACATCCATGGCGATGTTGATCTGGCCAGTGTAGCCAGCCTCCTCGATGGCCTCGGTGATGAGCTCGAGGGCCTCGTCAGCAGTCTGGATATCGGGGGCGACACCACCCTCGTCACCGACGTTGCCGGCAGACTGGCCGTACTTCTTCTTGGCCAGAGACTTGAGCTTGTGGTAGACCTCAGCACCCTGGCGCATGGCGTCGGTGAAAGAGGCGGCCTTGGAAGGAACGATCATGAACTCCTGGAAGGCAAGACGGCCACCGGCGTGGGAGCCACCGTTGAGAACGTTCATGAAGGGGACGGGCAAGACGTAGGGCTTCTTGGTGCCAGCGAGGTCGGAGACGTGGGCGTAGAGAGGGACACCCTTCTCGGCAGCACCGGCCTTGGCAATGGCCAGAGAGACACCGAGGATGGCGTTGGCACCAAGCTTGCCCTTGTTGGGGGTACCGTCGAGCTCGTTGAGGAAGGCATCGACGGCGCTCTGGTCCTTGACATCGAGACCCTTCTCGATGACAGCGGGAGCAATGACGTTGTTGACGTTGTCGACAGCCTTGGTGACACCCTTGCCGAGCCACTTGGACTTGTCACCGTCACGGAGCTCGACAGCCTCGTGCTGGCCTGTCAATTGGGTCGGCACAGTCAGTTTATATGCTTGGGGAAGTGTGTCCTTGTCAGGTGAGCGAAGCAGACATACCGGTCGAGGCACCAGAGGGGACAATGGCGCGGTGGAGGCCGGTCTCGGTCACGACATCGACCTCGACGGTGGGGTTACCACGAGAGTCGTAGACGGAGCGAGCGTGGATCTTCTTGACAGCCATGGTGACAGATGTAGGATTGAGAGGTAAATCCTGCGATGAGTAGGTTCGGAAGTGTCAGTCTTGGTGAGACGATGGGAGGCTGCCAGTCTTTGGAGGGGTGTGGGAGCTTCTTATGCAAAAGCTGGCCGAGTTGGGAGGGGTACGCGACTGGAAGGCACCCGCTAGGACGCAATTGGCCTGGGCGTTTGGGGGGGGTGCGTGCCTGGTGTGAGTGGGATGGGAATATGCCGCAGACGGCCGTCTGGGCAGAGTGATGAGTGTACACGATTGCCAATGTCAACAAACGAGGTGGGTTGGTGGGGTTGGGCTGGCTGGCAGGCAAGGTGGAAGCTAGTGTAGCTACAGCAGTAGTGTGGCTCGAGGCTCGAGGAGGGGAGGAGGGGATTGGGCACTCGCTGAAGCTGCCAGACTTACAATGCTTTTGTTTCGGGAAGGTTTGTATTTGTTCTCACGGGTCCCAATGGCAGAATCGGTGAGAGGAGGGAGAGGATGGGAGGATGATGAGGAGAGGGAAAAAACGCAGGCTGAGACGAGAGAAAAGTAAAGTAGCTTCAGCTCTGGTGTGAGACAGGAGCTGTGTCTAACAGAGATGGCACCTTCTTTCTGTCAAGACAACGCCACTGCCAACCAATCTGTGCTGGCGTGGCAGGGGCGGCAGCGCCTTGCTTGTTCCATTGCAGGCCGGGGCCGCCGCACTCGCCGAGCGACGCGGGACGGCGATCTGCCTGCCTGCCCACTCTGACGCACCAAGCTGCGATGTGGTGGGGCAGGCGAGCTCACCATTCTGGCCAGAGCCCGGTTCCAGGATCTTCCACTCGACACAGCGAGTGAGTGCATTGCGCGCCCGCCCGATCTCGCCGCGCGGGGCGCTGCCCACCAGGGTACCTACTGTGTACCTCACTCCAACGCCTCGCTCAACTTTTTCTCCATCAAGGTCCGCTGCGGCTCTTCGTCGGCCGCTCTGGCACGACGGGCTGGAGGATCTCCTGGTTGGCCCAGCACTCAGGTGTCCTGGGAGCTTGCTGCAGACAGGGTCCTCCTCCTGGTTTGAAGCAGCCACCAACATCGCTTCTCTGTCAGGCGCAGCGACAGCACATCTAGGGATGGCAATGTTCACGATGTAAGATCGGGCGGCTCTGAGAGCTGGACGCCAGTGCATGTCACACAGCCGAGTACCCGCGGTCCTGCTCATTCTCGCCAGGAGCCGCCCGAGCCTCAATCTTCCGACCTCGACCGCAGCAATGGGCAAAGTCGGGACTCTCGGCTCCTGCTCTCGATATCAATGGCCTGGAGACTGCCGACGGCCTCAGCCTGGTCAACGATAGCAAGACTCTTTTCTTTCCGACTGTGGCCCGTACAAACATGCACATGGACACGATTGTTGATGCTCACGATGCGAGCTTACTGAGCACAAAGTATTTGTTTCTGACCAGCACTGCGCGGCCCACTATGACAGCCCCCCACCCTTCCACAGTCGCCATCTGTGGACAATCTTCGAGCATTTGGCATGATACATCGGCACTTGTCAGCGACGATGCTATATCATCCCTTGCTCCATTTGCAGCCACCGCGGGGGTCCAAAATTTGGCCGCCAGGTCTCCGGCTGGATCCATCGTGCTACGGTGAACCCTGTCTCGAATCCTGCAGGGTCCTCCTCCTCCATGATGGATGGGGTTTGTGTCATTGCCCATGGTCACAGCATTGAAACGTGAAGAGCTTGAAAATTTCTTGTCCGTCATAGCAACTGGAAATGTGCAACGAGGAGGGCAGGGTGCATACAACACTACCACCCGCTATTTCTAGTCTCGGTGCAACTCATGCCGTTTCATCGATACCCGCCGGCGTCGTGCCAGGCACATCGAAACACGAAACAAGGCGTCGTTTGAGGCAAATTTTATGCTTGAAGAGAGTTAAACGACTGCGAACCCTGCGTCTCACAATAGTCTGCGTTATGCTGCAGCCAGAAACGCAACAACAGGCAAGGTCAGGTCGTCGATCCGGAAAAGGCGGGTCTCCTTGGGAAGGCACGCCATTTCACTGCAACAATGGGCAGCCGCGACACGGAATCCGCTCCACCGGACGCCGGGCACCGCCGTTCCGGAGTCGCAAAAAGTGAATAAATCGACGATATCAACGGCAAACGCATACCAGCACATCCTCCGTGTACCCCGAGTCCACGAGAACGGTAAAAGGATAGTCCCGAAGGCGGTTCGAACGCCTGACCTTAGGATGATTGCTTGTTTGCTAGATCCATAGGATCGTAGACACTGCAATCCCACGCTCTACCACTGAGCTACCGAGACTCCTAACTTGATTGACAACAACGACAATTGTTCACGTCTATATACATTGTTCGGGAGTGACCAGGGAATTCCGGGATCTGTGGGTTATCGATCCAGAGGTGTCGAGATGGCAGTCAGCCCACCTTCTCCACTCGATCTGTTAGAAGGGCCCCGTCGTGCGCGATGAACTATGCTCCAAGCTACAGTCGCAAATACCTATGGAGTCCAGGTTTTCTCCTGCATGGGATGACCGGCTTCCTCAAGATCGACATGCAAATGCAGGGTGTTAACTTCTTGACCAGCAACAACGACGCATTCATTATATCATGTGGCTTCCTTCATAGCTTTGGCAATTCATAATACCGCAACTAATGTAAGACTCTAACTACCTCCTGAATCGAGTATTGCCAAGATTGATCATTCTTTCACCTCGGCGTGGAAATTCTTTCTTCATATGAGCGCACCAGCCGTGATAGGAGTATATGTTTGTGATAATAAGTTAAACTCTTTTTGGACTGGAGTTGAAGGACCGGCCTGGTCAATCACCGAAGCTCGTAACACGTGTCTGGCGCATTTTTAGTTTTGCAGATTTGACATATATCGTGCTGTTGCTATCCTTTGATTTGGGCTGGTCGATAAATAATCGAACATGCACCTCTGGAATGACGAGTACTTAATTCTTGGCTGTTTTCCAACAAGCGCCACAACCTAGCGCCCCTCCCGCAACAATGCAGAGTGCTCATAAGCCTGTTCGATCCCAGTCCGTCACAATGGCTGTCCAACGTTGAACTCTGTTAATAGAGACACGGTCGATGACGAGTTGTGAGTCCAGGGGATGGGGTTGTTCTTAACGTCCTCGTGGAGGTACAGGCCATTGCTCGGGATGATATCCATGAAGTTCTCGATATTCTTTATCTAGGGGGACTTTGGTCATGTCATCCAATCCATCGTCTCCGCCGGCATCGACCTCATCCTCAAGTAGTGCGATAGATCGGATCTGCGGAGGTGAGGCCCATAATCTGATCCTCAAGATCTTCCTCGACTACACTCTGCACGTCTTGCCCGGATATCTTGTTAGAACCCGGTCTCGGGGTCGCCATTCTCGTGAGGTTCTTCTTCGGAAAGCGCGCTGGCATTCTCGGCCTTGAGAGTCTTCACCGCCAGGTCCAAAAACCTTGTCCATAGTCTTGGACTTGTGCAGTTCGTCAACGCGGCGCTGACACTCCATCTTGGTCATAGTCTCGCGAGCTCTCTGGCACTCCTCAGATAGTAGCGCCTTTGAGAGCGGCATTACGTACACGGTGGCGGTAGTTGCGATCCTCATTCGCCCTACGTGCCTCAGGCTCGTCATTGTGAATGATCTGCTCTATAAGGGCATCGAGAGCTGGGCCGTGGATTCTCTGCAGGCTTTCGGTAGTGAGTGCGTTAAGAGCCAACGGGTGGTTCTTGGCTACCATGTATGTCACTGGACTGGCCACCGGCCTCGATGGGCTCATCCAGTGTGATAGCTATAAGGTCAGTCGTTGGGCCAAGGTCAGCGTAAAAGAGCTGGAGAGTGATAGAGTTGGGTTGATGGTTTAAAACGCGCTTGGCCGCATCTTGGCCGATTTTGCGTATAATTTCCGTAGCGGCGGCAGAGAGAGTAAAAGGTGATGGATTCCTGGAAGCCAACTTTCTCGCCGCGGAGGTTTAGATACTTTGTTGGTGTGTTAGCGCGTACTGGCTTGTCCGAGACTGATAATCCACGAGGTGCTGCGCCAAGGATGACTGCCCATTGAATGAGCCTGACCGACAGAGAAATGAACATTTAGCTTCCCTTCTCAATGACGAGTACCTTACTTGATTGTTGGCCAGTACAACTTCGCGCCCTTCCCGCAACAACGCAAAGAGATCACATAACTGCTCAATCTCGGTCACAATAGCCGTCCAATGTTGAACTCCATCGACAGAGACACGGTCGATGAAGAGTTGTGGGTTCTCACAGCTCACTTTCTAGGCACCTGGCCTCTCCACGATGTCAAGTGCCTCCCTATCTCAAAGGTCCGGCACAGAACCTCCCTCGTGACTTAGCAAGGCAGACCCTTTCCTGGCAGTAACCTCAATCTCAACCTTCATCTCCTCCTCCAGCAGGGCGCAACTAAGCATCGTGGCCGCCGGTCTAGGTCCCTTTCTCCTGCCACTCCCACTCCCACTCCCATCTCCTTGCCCATCTTCACCATCACCACCATCACCATCGTCATCGCCATCGCCAAACCAGCGTCTCAAGACTGGCCACATCTCCTTGAAATCCTCCCTCCTCGGGACAATGTAGCGCACCCGGACGACCTCGTCCACGGAACTGCCCGCTTGCGCGAGTGCGGCCGAGATGTTGCGCATCGTCTGCTCGGCTTGCTGGATTGGGTCAGGCGAGATCTTGCCCGTCGCGTAGTCGTACCTATATGTCATTTCGCAATCATGGGGGAAGATAGTCAGCCCAAAGCCAGTCTTCACTTTTGGCCAGAGAAGGCGAAAGAAAAAAACAAAGAAAAAAAATAAACAGCCCGGCGAAAGTCAGAAAGAGTCAAAAACAACTCAAGGCTTTACTCGCACAACAGGCAATACCAGAAGAAATCCTATGACCACCACGTATCATAAAGGAAAGGCAAAGGAATTGGAGAAAAAAATTCGAAAAGAGGAACGTATCAAGTACCCCGTGCATCCAGACACAAACACCCAGTCCCCCGTCACAACGGCCCGGGAATAACCAATCCTCGCCTCGAACGCAGACCCGGAGCTGACGAGCCGTCTGCTCACTCCTGCCTCGGTGGTCTCGTGGGGTTTCGTCGATGCCATGTCGAAAAACAAAGATCGAGATGCTCTTGCTGCTCGGCTCTGGCGACAGTACTTCTTTTTTGGACCAGAGCTTTTTTTGGTGGGAGAGCTCGGAATGGTTGACGGCGGCTCAGGTCGTAGAATGCTGATCTTTCTCCCGCTTGGGTTGTAACGTCGCCGAGAGCTGGCCTTATGCTGCAAACCACTTCAAGAGCGATGTCGCGCGCGTGTCTGTGAGTCACGCTCAGCTGAACTTCACACTCCGTTGCCTGCTCCACTTTCTCCAACAACAAAAACTCAGGTATCATGTCTTGAATTAAACAAGTCTGGTATTGACCGATGATCGAACCTACTTTTTTCCAGAGGCATAGTGTACACTAATAAATGCAGCTCGCTCTAACCTGGGCATCACATGCTCTGTGTGCTCTTTGGCATGCTTCTCTTTACCCCCTCCTCTTCAAAGAGGACTCCAGGTCTAGTAATTCAATTCGCCAGACCCACCTCCTGCAACGTGATCCAGATCTTCGTAGCTTTTCAGACTACGCCCTTGAACAGCTTCGCGAGGACCAACGGCAGCACCACCGGCGGCGCCATCTCCCCAGCGCCCGGCGCCTCCCCTGCCGCGACCAGCCCCCGGACCATCGGCGCCATATCGGCCCGGTGGACCCTGCCGCCTGTCGTAAGGCCCGCTCCTGTTCTGATAGCGGCCAGTGCCGCCGGCACCTCCGCCTCCGCCACGTCGGATTGGGCCGCCGCTGCGGTCGACACCACCTGCGCTCCATCCTGCGGCTTGCATGGCTGCTGGGTTCCCGGCAAACAGAGGTGGCATGCCTGCAAAGCCAGGGAAGCCAGCAAACTGTGGCATGATGTTGTTCATCGAGAAGTTCTGGAGATTGAAACCTCTAGGGGTGCCTTGCTGCGTTTGGCCATTGGCTGGGGGGAAGTGCCCGTTGCTGTTCGCGTCCGTTCGAGATGGCGCAATGTGGGACGGGTCGAGAACGTAAGCATTGATGAGCTCAAACTGTTGAAAACTATTAGCGAACATGCCTTCGCAACAAGAGGCACTGCATCTTTTGCTTACCTCCTGCTTGAGATTGTCCAGCCAGTCCCCGTGGCGTTTCTCGACGTGCTTCTTCCAGAAATGCTCTTCTTTGAAGAGCTTGGTGCATTCAGGGACCTTGCACCGCCACTTGTGCTCATCCTCTTGCTTGACAAACTTGTTGAGCTCGTCGGCCACAGCCTCATCCGCCGGCTTGCCGCCAAGCTTGCGAAGGTCCACCGTCTCTGGCTCCAGGATCTGCATGATCTTGTCCTCAAAGGTCTTCACCCACTTGTACGCCCGCTCCAGCTGCTGTTCGGACTTTGATGACTGGCCACGGAATTTGCGGTCCGGCTCCGGCGCTTCGCCCTCCTCTTCGCCCTCCTCACGCTTCTTGGCTGGGAACGGCTCTCCGTTGGCACTTGCGCGAGCCACGCCCTTTGCAGCAGTCGATAGCGTGCTGCGTGGGCGCCGGAGGTGGCCGCCTGGACACTTACGAGTGAGCTCGTGAATCGAATCACACTCGAATACGCAGAAGAAGCAGAAGTTGAAGACACGACGGAGGTACTCGGTCGCGAGGTCGAGCTGCTTCTTCTTGACCAGTAGGTCTTCGTCGTCGATCTCATCGTCGTCAATCGCACCTTCCTCTTCTTCGGAATCTCCCATCTCGCCTTCGTCCATGACATCGTCAAAATCAAGATTTCTCTCCTTCTTGACCTTTTTGGCTACAGGCGCTGGGCCGACCGGCTTGAGTTGGCCGGCACTTCGCAGATTTTCGACTCTCTCCTCGATTCTCAGGAAGCCATTGAAATCAGAGCCGTAGTCCTCCTCAAATTTGTTTATGAGGCGCTGCACCAAGGTGAGATCCTTCTCGACCCGTTCAGGGGCTGAGAACAAGTCCCAAAGAGCCTTCTTGCGCGGATTCGTTGGCGGGTTGTGCACACCGACGTGGCATACAAAATCACCACGAACCTCATCTTTGACTGTCTTGCCGTTGACAGCCTCGAGCGCCTTTTCGGCTGTGCTGATCAGTTTGGGAGATCTCGGCTCGCCCTCCATGTCGTCATCCTTGGGATCAGCACGCTCGACTGGAGCGACCGAATCTGGCGAGGGATGAAGCATGACCCAGCCCATGCGGTGATATCGCTTGCTAGGGTTGGGATCACTCAGTGAGAGCCACTTGAAGCCACCTTCTTCCTCACCCAGATTTTCCTTGCAGAATGTCTCAAGGTTCTGGCGGCTGACATGCGGGGCGATAGTCTTGATCAAGAGCGTGGGTTGGTACAGGTTCTCGTCTCTGAGGTCGTTTCCAGACGCCGGGACAAGATCTCCAACACCAAGGACCTCGTTCGCGGCCGTGGCCTCCCCTTCTTCCTTCTCCACAACCCCGCCAGCGCCATTGCTCTCGCTCTTGGGCAGTCCTTCAAGAGAGAAATCATCGAATGTTCCAGACTCAAGGTCTTGCTCCCATTGGTTGTAACCCCCTCGCCGGAACTCGTTGATCTGTGCATTGAGGGCGTCGCGCACTTCTGGTACATAGCGCTCACGGAACCACTGCTCCTTTTTGTGCTCGGCAACAAAAGCTCGGGCCATCTTGGCCTGAAGCTCCTCTTTGTAGACATCGTAAGCAGCTTGGATCTTGGCCTTCTCCTTGTCACGCTCCTCTTGTGACTCGCGTGCACCACGAGGGCGTTCTGGCTCGCGTCGTCTCCCTGTCTTGGCTCTCTCTTTCTCATCCTTGATCTTCTCGTTTGCTCTCCACCATTCACCGAAATATGAGAAGCCAACCTGGAAGGGCAGCTTGACAGGATCGGTCAGGGGATTAACTGCGGGCGTGGCTGCATCGCCATTGCTCTGGCCAGGGACGTATCGGTCAATATTCGCTGGCGGGGAAGTGACGCGGCGTCGGTCGTCGCGTTCGCGCGGATCGCCTCGATCACGGGGACCACCGCCATAATCGTCTCGACCGCCCCGTGCTCGGGGTTCATAGCGGTCGACCTGTTGTGGGGAGCGAGAGCGGTTGCGCCGAGTTCGGTCGTGGCCTAGTAGAAGAAGCCAATTTGTCAGCTAAAGCGAAAACAGATCGTCGATATCCGCTGGGCTGTTACCTGGCGAGCGACCACGGTAGAACGGGTCACGTGGTTCTTCCTTGATCCGATCATCACGTCCGTTGCGGGCACGATCCGGGGGGGAGCGTGCCGCGTCGCGGTATGATGAGGTGTATGAGTCCATTGTGATAGTCGACTGAGCTGCGCGGGTGCTGTATTCGAGAAACGTGTGGCAGCGAATGTGAAGGACTTCAGGGAGGAAGGCCGGTAGGGTCCGTGCCTAATGTGGAAGCACGGACAGATCGTCGCGAGTTGTACTCGTGCCTGCTGAGTGCCGTGTCAGATGCCGTTAGAGCAGCCATGATGGCAGAATGTCTGGTGGACACGCGCGGCCTGGGAGAAAAGGAGGATGGTGCTGAGGAAGTCTCGGCAAGAGCAAGGAAGCTCGATTGCGACAATAGGATTGACAATTGACTGAACAGACAAGAAGTTCGAGCGGGGACAACAGACAAGATGGGATGTAGTGTATCATAGAGTGACAAGGAATGATCTTTATAGGAGCGCAAGAGAGGAGGAGGAGGTGTGAGGTAGAGGTGAGGCCGAAAGTGTCGGGGACGAGGCTGTCTGTCGAGTTGGGGACAAGGCTGCGGCGGACGCTTGGGAGAGAAGGACCAGAGAAGGACCAGAGAAGGAAAGGCGGAGACGAACTGTATGCAAGTAAGGTGAAGCTGCGAAGACAGGAGACAAGACGAGAAGCCTTGCGCTGGAGGCGATTGAAAGAGGCGCAAGGCAGGGGAGAGCGTGGGTGCCACAAGACACGAAGCCAGCTTCTTGCCTCTCGAGGATGATGATGGGCGGTTGACGGGCAGCCTTGCAAACAGACTGGAGGAAGGGGAGCTGCTGGCGATGGCTGGGCCGGCCGGCGGCTGCTCCAACCCGGGGTCCAGCTTGCAGGCGCGCAGGACCCACCCCCTGCCTGCTCCTGAGTGGAGCCAGCCCCGGCGTGTTCCTGCCGGAGCAACCTTGGAAGCATCTGAGCACTCCGTTTCAAAACAGTCAGCCTCTCATCACCAGTTGGTACAAACTGCTGGGCTTTCTGATCCGAAGAAGGGCCCTAATAGTTGCCAATACTTTCCAGCACACAAGCTCAAGATAACTAGAGGCAGTTGCGTGGCAGTGCCATCTTGGCCCGAGCCGCGACAAACCTACAGAGTAAGCTTCTCGTTCACCATCTCGCCCCGGGAGACATGCGTGGCTGCAAAGCTTGAGGCTAGATTTCTAAAGGTATTCAATCAAAGAATATCCCCCAGAGGCATAGCCCTTTGTATTTCTTGCTACGTGCGTGCTGCTCGGAAGAGGACCAACACCGAGGTCCGCTCCCTGCCCTGACTGGACTGGGGGAAGAGAGGGAGAGCCCTGGAGCGCTCTCACGTTGGACGGCTCCGAGGCCGCGCGCTTGTGCCCAAACCCGCCTAGCGTGGCCCCACGACGTCATGCCCATCGAGCTCTGCCATCGTGTGGGCAATCACCAGATCGGCCCTCGCTGGGCAGGCACCAGATCTTGTCTTGAACCTCGTCGTGGCCTTTTCCTCGCCGCGCATGATAAAAGCCTCGGGACCCTCGCATCGGCTCTGCTTTTTTGCCCATCCCAGCACGTTGGACCTACTGCTTGCTTGCTTGCCTGCCTTCCCATAGCCCATCATGACGGCCTTCCTCTCCCACTTGAACATGATCCCGTACCAGGTCTTCGCCAGCCCGGCAGCCTCGATCGTTTTACCCATCACCCTCGGCATGGGCGTCGGCTTCAGCACAGCGCGTAAGTCTGCCTGCAATCTGTCCATGCCCCCTCCCACGTCTTCTCGTCGCGACAGGCTATAAAACTGACCTCACATTCTCACCATAATGATTACAGAGACGACAAAGTCGACCTACGCCCAGATCCGCCAACCACCCTTGCGCCCGCCCGCCGCAGTCTTTGGCCCCGTCTGGACCGTGCTGTACGGGCTGATGGGCTACGCCGCCCACCGCGCCTACGTCGCGACCAGCGGTCCGCTGCCGACCTACCTGAGCCAGCAGGACGTGCGGGCCCTGTACTCGCTCCAGCTCGGCCTCAACCTCGTCTGGCAGCCCCTCTTCTTCGGCATGCGCCGGCCCGCGCTCGCGCTCGCCGACATCCTCGCCCTCGTGGGAGTCAACGGGTATCTGACGTACTCGCTGTTCCAGGTCGACGAGGTTGCGGGCTGGTGTTTCGTGCCGTACCTGGCGTGGCTGAGCTTTGCAACGTACCTGAATGCCGCCGTGGGGTATTTGAACGAGTGGGATATTTCGGATTCCACACTCGCAGTGCGAGCTGTCAAGGACAAGCGCATGTAAGAGCAATCACAAGGCGAGCGAGCCAACAAGAACAGCGAGTGCCGATATGTCCGAGTTCGGACGGTGTTGGTGATCTATGTACTTTTTTTCTTCCAACCGGAAATGACTTGTAACTCTATCCTGGGAGTCTGCCCAATGCCACTGGAAATTAATCAAGAGCGAGGAAAAGGACAATCCATGATCCCAAAAACGCCTAGCATGCTCCCGAAACGCCGTCTAATGCGCCACATCCAAACCAAGTCTATGCATCAGCCATATGTTCAAGTGACAGGCCGCCCGAGTCGTTTTGTGACAGCCCTAGACACCTTCGAACGGAAAGTGTCGCTTCAGCCCGTCAAACACCATGAAGATGAACGCCGAGCTCGGCGCCGATCGTGCTACGGTGATGCCACAACCGCGATACATTCCCCTGACGCCATGCTGCCGCCAGAGCGCCCTCCCCTCTTCCATAAACGTCCGGTTTCTCACCGACCCGCCCACGGGAGCAGTCTGCATGCGAGACTTGATCGTGTCCGCCGGGAAGAAGAGGAAATTGTACGACATGCCAGCCGAGGCACCGGCCACGGCCTGCTGCCAGAGCGGCAGTGGGGAAGAGGCAAGGATCTCCCTCTCGGCCTGCGTCTTGGCCGCCTTCAAGTTGAGCTTATGGAAGAAAGCCGAGGTCGTCTCCTTAGACCCGAACCACGCCGCGCAGCCGCCAGATTCGCGCAGGAACGTGCCCATCTGTCCGTGCCAGAACCCGCGGACACCCTCGTGCTTGTACACGTCCCGGATGACAGACATGATCCCTGGTGCGTGTGGCCGGGTGCCGTCCGCGGCGGTCGCGGGGACTTGGATCTTGCATTTGACCAGCTCGATGGGGGTGAGGACGAAAGATGTGAATGCGCCGGAAAAGGCTCCGGTGAACCATAGAGCGGGGAGTGGGAGCTCTTGGCCGCGCGGGCAGAACCCCGATGTGTAGACAGCCTCGCGGCCGATGCGCTCAAAGAAGAACAGACTGCTGGTCTCGGCAGCGGCGCCGAAGAGTGGCGCCGTGATGCCGCGGTACAGCCCGAGAGCTCCATCTGCCTTGATGGATTGTTTGAAGCAGTCGAGGGGCCCGGTGTAGCGGAGAGGAAGGTGGTCGGGCTGGGATTGTAGCCTCACTTTGACAGTGTCGAAGGGATATTCGATGTACTTGCCCACGATTCCGGCAATCTACAGCAGATGTGGTCATGAGCCGTTAGCTTGGGGACACCAGAAAAATTCTACTGTGAAAATGACGCATACCGAGCCATAAATGATGTCCTCGGCCGACTCTGTGGCCGCCGATTTGGCCTTTGCGGCAACCTTCTCGGGTATCATCTCCATTGCGATTTGGGAAGTGGTAGTCATGGAGCGGCAAGGGGCGTGAACACCCTGGCGACTTGGGACGAGGACGGTTATTTATATGGGCAAAGCTGCAGACTCGGGATACGATGGGGTTGGTGCTCGGCAGGTATGAGTATGCGGAGATGGGTGCGTAGGAAATGTCGCAGTGGGCGGAGCTGTCGAGGGGTTTTCGAGGGCAGGGGAGGAGGGGTTGCGTGATAAATTATCGAATCTGGGAGGCTGTCGTTTTGTTTGTTGGAGGTTGAAGCATCGAGAGGAAGCCCGGCCTTGGAGAAAGAAGACGGCCGGCGACTCCTTGGGTCAAGACTGGGTCATGGTGCGGGCGTGGGCTGAGGGGCGGTCTGGGTCATGTTTGCTCTGAAGGTCCCTGCACGAAAAAAAAGCTGCGATGTCGCTGCGGGTGGGAGGAATGAGTCGGCTGTGACGACGGGCCCGGGCGGAGCGCTAGCGGCAGGCATTTGCGCCTGAAAGGGGCAGCTCTGGGGTGCGCCTGCTGCATGTTCCATCTGATAACGGCCGCCCCCGTCGGCAGAAGAGCCTAGAGTGGGGTGGTTCAGACCCCTGGGCGGCGAGCTGGAGGGGCTGCCCAGGATGTGGAAATTTTGTCATGCCCATCAAGCTTGCACAAGTGGTGATGGTGCACTAGTCTCATGACGGGAAGAAGCAGTGCGGACAACACGAGATTCCCCTAGCCAGCCCAGGGAGCACGCTCAAGTCATACGATCGGTGGACAGGCATCTCTGCCGAGCAGAAACTGGAACCCAAGCAAAGCTCAGCGGCATATGGCATGGTCACCACCCTGCTGGCCGCCCACAGTCCCTGCACAAGCCAAATCGTATAAGTGACGATAGACACCCTTGTTAGTGCTTGCTGCCACCATGGCCAAGGACAAGAAGAAGAGCGAGGGCAAGAAGGCCAAGGCGGCCGAGAAGAAGCTCAAGGCCGAGAAGAAAGGAGAGAAGAAGGCAAAGGTCAAGTCTGCCAAACTGGACGGGAGCGATGCGGAAGACGTCGATCTCGACGATGTCCTCGCCGAGTATCAGCGTCAGCAGGAGCAGTTTCTCAAGGTCACCGAGACCGTGATCGACGCGCCACCAAAGCCGCGTTCTTCTTCCACCTTCCTCGCCTCGCCCTCCAATACCAACCAGCTCCTGCTCTTTGGAGGCGAGAACTACAACGGCTCCGTCGCCCACTTCTACAACGACCTCAACGTCTACTACATTGACCGTGATGAGTGGCACTGTGTTACCTCTCCAAATGCTCCGCTGCCTCGCTCTGGCCATGCCTGGTGCAGGGGCGGCAACCAGAGCAATGCCGTCTTCCTCTTTGGCGGCGAGTTCAGCAGTCCGAAGCAGGGCACCTTCTACCACTATAACGACTTCTGGCGGCTGGACCCAAACGCGAGGGAATGGACGCGCCTCGAAACAAAGGGGAAGACCCCACCGGCACGTAGTGGTCACCGCATGACCTATTACAAGAACTACATCATTTTGTTTGGAGGTGAGTGGACTCCCAAGGCAGATCGATCTGCTCGGGCCCAAGCTGACATGGACGTCCAGGTTTCCAGGATACGTCAAATCAGACGAAATATCTGAGCGACCTTTGGCTATACGATACACAAGTGAGTTTGTCTGAAGAAAAAAGAATAAGCTGGAATTACGTTCTGACCAAGATATGTATCAGAATTTTGTATGGTACAACCCCACGTTGCCGCCAGCACAGCTTAAGCCAGACGCCCGGTCGTCCTTTACATTCTTGCCACATGATCACGGCGCAGTCTTGTTCGGCGGCTACTCTCGAGTGAAGGCCACTGTTTCTGCCAACAAGTCAGCCAAGGGCTCCTCTCAGGGCCAGCGCAACGTCTTGAAACCTCTCGTGCACCAAGACTGCTTCCTCCTGAGGATTACCCAACCTCCAGCCGATGCACCAGCCAATACGCCGCCAACAGTCCGATGGGAGAAACGTAAGAAGCCCGCCAACACTCCGAACCCAGCCAGAGCAGGCGCAACCATGGCCTACCACCGCGGTCGTGGCCTGTTCTTTGGCGGTGTCCATGACGTTGAAGAGAGCGAAGAAGGTATGGACAGCGAGTTCTTCAACCAAATGTTCGCTTGGAACATTGAGCGGAACCGATTCTTCCCGCTCGCGCTTCGCAAACCAAGGGTTCAGAAGAAAGCTGGGGCAAATGAGCAGAGATCCGGGAGGCGTGGCCGTGCGCAGGCGAATGAGGAAGAACTGCTTAAACAGCTTGCCGCTTTGCAGGCTGGGACATCTCTGGAAGATGCGGATGACATCGAGCTCGATAACAAGGCAGAACCTGAGGTGCCGGAAGTACCAGTGCGGGAGATGCCAGTGTCCATGGAGTATCCCCACGTGCGATTTAACGCCCAGCTCGCCGTGCAGGAAGATGTGCTTTACATCTATGGTGGCACATTCGAGAAAGACGATCGCGAGTTTACATTCGACGACTTGTACGCTATCGATCTGGGCAAGATGGATGGCTGCAAAGAGATTTTCAACCGGGAGGTGGAGAACTGGATTGTGAGTCCTTCTCCACAACTTTTCGCGATGCTTTACTTACACAAGTTGCAGGAGTCCGAGGACGAAGATGATGACGACGACGAGGACGATGACGAAGAGGAGGAAGAGGAGGAGGAGGAAGATCAAGACAATGACCTCCGTGCAAAGATCACGTCTCCAAGCAAACGTGGCAAGAAACCTGCGGACGAAGTGTCTGTGGCCGACACTGCGTCGACGGAGGCAACCGTGGAGGAAGATACAGAAGAGGCAGACAATGCGGCTTCTCCGGTGGATGATGGCCTACCTCATCCTCGGCCCTTCGAATCACGCCGGGAGTTCTTCACTCGCACTTCAAACGAATGGCAGGAAATTTTGATGACGAACTTGCGATGGAAGTCGATCCAGCCCGAGAGCCTGACTGTCAAGGAGATCAAGACCAAGGCATTCGAGCTCAGTGAGGAGAAATGGTGGGATAGCCGGGAGGAGATACAGGCTCTCGAGGACGAGCAGGAGGCTGCAGGAATTGGTGAGGTTGTGTCGCTTGCGGATAAGACTGATGCCGCTCCCGGTGGTGCTGGCCGTAGGCGATAAGTAGGGTCTGTGAAAACAAGTTGTTGCCCGAATTACAGCATTTTTGGGCAACAATAAAAGGAATCTTGGCTTTGCCAATCTGCAAGGAGGCATCACTCACAAGTAATGGGGTCTTTGCAGTTTGGCCGTTACTCCAGCCCAGGTAATCTCGGGTTTCCACTTGGAAAACACAGGATCTTCACTCTCAAAGTATTTGAATGCCCGAATTGGAGCAGTTCATGGCACCAAGCGCTCTGTTGACTCCATTGCAGTGAGCGAAAAGGCTGTATAAGTGGTCGCCTGAATGACTGGTGATCGAGACCCACTAAAAGCAGGCACGATGTCGACAACCTCAGGCAGCGACTGCCTATGAAGCACCGAGTCTGAACCGTGTCTCTCGACAACCTCGGGCCGCACAACCTCACAAATATCAATCGATGCTCGCAATTTCTGCACACTGCCCTTGCCACTACCACTCAAGCAAAGCGACGACCTTGGGCAAGCATTGCATATCCCTACAGAATCGAGTCGTCTATCAACTAGTCCACACTAGCCTCTGACCTCAACACTCTTGGCAATCATGCCTGTGGGCATCCAGCGCCTTAACGCGAAGAAGTCGCAGCCAAATCCGCGCATCATCTTCATCAAGCCACTTAAGGGTCCCGATGAAGCCATAGCTCTCGACTTTCTTGAAAGGATTGCTGCACAATGCCGTGAGTCGCCCCGCCGGCCGCCGTGCTTCACACGAGCATACGGGCCTGCTAACACACGCCAACCTGCCAGTCCCCATCATGAAGGAACACACACTGTCAGTCATGACCTTGGAAGAGTACGAGCCCAATAGGGAGTTTGTGGGACGCAACTTCAACGCGGGTGAAGTCGTCCAGCTGGTTCTCAAGTCGCCGTCCACAGGGCGTTGGCTGCCTTTTATTTATGTGCAGATGGTCATGATGCACGAGTAAGTGTTCCCTTTTGCTCAATCACATCGTGCAAGGCGACGGTCGTACTGACAGCACCCGCTAGGCTTGCGCACTGCAAACAAATGAACCACTCAAAGGCCTTCTGGGCAGTCCGTAACAAGTACGCGGAGCAGATGCGTGTCCTCTGGAGCCGGAGCTACACGGGCGAGGGGCTCTGGGGTCGTGGTGCACTGCTAAGCACCGGCGAGTTTGAGCGCAACACCGTGCGGCCCGATGAGGTCTTGCCGGAGCACACCTGCGGCGGGACGTATCGGTCTCGACGGCGGAAGCGAGGGAAGCAGCAGCTCTCGTACCAGGAGCAGAAAGCACGGCGGATACTCAAGAAGTTTGGCCCTAACGGCCAGGCCCTGGGCGATGACGAGCATGTCAAGGCCCAGCTTGAAAAGGGTCGCCGGACGCAGGCGAAACCTCGTGTAGCAGGAAGCCAGCGAGGCAGGGAGCTTCGCGCGGCGGCGGCGCTCGCGAGATTCGAACAGCAGGCGAAAGCATCAAAAACCGACGAAGAACGGCAAACGGAACCACCCAAGGCCGAGGAGATCGACTCTGACGAGACGGCAAGCGGCAGTGACTCGGAGACTGCCAGCGACACGGAGCAGGAGCCAGCAGCTGTGGACGTCAATGGGCAGAGGCTTGTAGATCAAAAGGGCCGAAACCTGGTCAAGGTGTGCGAGGACGAGAACCTCGATGACGATGGAGACGCGCAGAATGAAATGCGTGAGCTGCTGCAAAGTTCGCTCCCACAGCCCCAGCCGCCGCCGAGGAAACCAATCGACAGTTGCTTCCCAGCCCATGAGTCGGAAGCAAGCACAGCCAGAAGTCCAGATGGAGCAGGATCGCCCGAGAGCCGCACCAAATCTAACATTCAGCCCATCGCCAAGGTAGCAAGCCCGGTCATCGTCGATCTCGACTCAGATCCTGACGACGCCGTCTGTGCAATTCCGGCACCCACAACTAAGGGCACAACTTGCGCCCTTTGTTCGTTCGTCAATGAAGGCGATGCTGCGACCTGCATGGTCTGCTCGCATGTTCTGGACGCCAGCCGAGTCCCCGGAGCTTGGAAGTGTGGTTCAGCGGTTTGCAAAGGCAGCCAATACTTAAACGCTGGCGACTCTGGTGTCTGTGGGGTTTGTGGTGAGCGGAAGGGTTGAGGAAGACATACCTTTTTGGGCTGGTCCAAGAATGAGTGGACACCGAGTGTCTGAGCCAGGCTGTCTGATGTATGTTTTGATTGTAGTGAGCGTTCTGTTCAGCGGCGTGTTAATAGAGCCGCGTCTGTCTCCATGTGTACAGTACTCTCCAGGAACGAGAAGGCTCGTAAACAAAAGGGGTATCAAATTGTGTCTGTCTAATATCATTCTCTAGTCTTGGTACCGTTGTCCTGAACTCCAAACCAAAGCAGTCCCTCTCGTCATTGTATATTACAGAGTGACCGGCGCGGAGATCTTCACGGCTTATCCCCACCTGGGCCGACGCGTCCATCAAAAACTGCTCACAACCCGTACCGCGTCACGCACTCCTCCTTGTGCGTGTCCAGGCAGTCCAGCGCGCAGACCCGTGTGCCGCACTTCATGCATTTGACGCGGCCCCAGTACCCGCACAGCTCGCAGAACACGCGCGTCGGGTATCTCTTCCCACTGCCGCCGTTGCTGTCTTCAGCGGGCCAGCTCGCGCGGACCTCGAGGTAGCTCAGCGGCGGTGCGGCGAGAAGCTGTCTGAGCTCTTCGTCTGTCGGGAGTGGAGGAACGCGGGACGCGAGGAGCGGATGAGCGTCGAGCTCCGGATCTGGGGGTGGGCCGGGAATTGCTGGCGGAGCTAGGATTTTGGATGTTGATACCGGCGGAGGGGGCGGTGGTGGCGGCACAGTTGACGACGCTTGCTTGGCGTCTGAGTCGCCGTCCGGTGCCGAGGGATTGAATTCGTCTGCGGGGGCTGGTTCGTCGGCATCTGCCTCAGTTTTCGTCTTTGATGGCGTGAGGGGCGTCGCTGTGGGATCGACATCTGGTTGCTGCTGCTGCTGCTGCCTCTTCTTCGCCGCGGGTGGTGATGTGCCGGTGGGTAGTGCAGCCGGCGAAGCGGCAGCGGCAGCAGATCTCTTTGTGGTACGACCCTTCTTCTCTGGCACCTCTGGGGTAGCTGGTGCCGGCGCATCCGCCATCTCAACGTCGCGACTCTCCTGTTGTTTCCTGCCCGCTCCACGTCCGCGACCAGTCGACGCAGGCGCTTCCGGCTCCGCCTTGTCCTGCCCCTGTTGCGCCATGAGCAGCTTGTGCTGCTCGATCCGCTTCATGAGCTGCTCCCGCCGCGCGTACGACATCTTGCTGTTGATCACCGGGATGCTTCCCAGTCCCTTGCTCCCCCCTCCGCGTCCGGATGACGCACCACCGCCCGCGAGGATGCTGGTAGACTTTTTCCGCGCGAGACTGCTGCCAGATGCTGCCGACGCCCTCGAAGCAGACGGCGCGGGCGAGCTCGCCGCCGAAGAAGTATCCCTGTTTGTAGCTGCGCTTGTCCCCGCGGCGCGAGCACCGCTGCCGCCACCACCACCACTACCAACACCACCACCGCCTCCCGCAACCCCACCTGCCAGTCCAGCTGCTCCAGCGGCTGTCGACCCCGGGTGCTGGCCGTCGTTGAGCGCCAGCAGCGCGATGTAGTCGTCCAGATGGTTCGCAAACGTCTTCTGGCTCTGCACGATCCGCCGCACGTTCGCCATGTTCTTGCTGCTCCCTCCTCCTGCTGCTCCACCTCCGCCTCCCTGCTGCTGCTGCTGTTGTCGCGTGCGCGCGTTCATCTTGCGCGAGGCTGGGACCGAGATCGCCGCATCGCGGGGCTGGTTGTCCCGGTCGAGCCCTTCGAGCTCCTTGCGCAGCTTGGCATCGTGCCGCGCGTCGACGTCTGCGTGGCTGAACTTGGATCCTTGGGAGGCAGCCGCAGCCGCGCGTGCGCCGCGCTTGCGGCCGCCCGGTGCTGTCGCGAGGCTCGCTGCTGCGGCGGCGGCCGGCCCGAGGTCGGGTACGTAGGCCCAGCCGGGGGCGTTGGTTGTCCTCGCGCTGGCTAGCTCGATGACGCCAAAGTTGTTCATTGTTCCGCAAAGGAGAGGTGACGGGGGCTGTGGCTTTCGGAAGGGGGGGGGAGAAAGGATGCAAAGGAGAGAGGTGTGTCGATCTTTGGGGAAAAGTGATGTTGAGCTTGACGCGTGCCCCACTCCGGAATCCGGGGTCGAGCGCTTCGGCATGCTCGCATCTCAACATGCCCAGTCTCCGCGTGCCTAGGTAACTTAGTAATGGCTGAATTTGGGACATGATTACCTAGAAAGTACCGAAGCGGAAATGTGTATTCCAACTTGAAAACATATCATTTTCCTCGTTAGACCAAGCTGGGGAACTTCGAGGGAATCAAACGGCCAATCTTTGACTTTAGGTGTTCAGTCGGCCACTGGAAGAGCTGAGGGCTGGGGCTTGCGCGACTAAGAGCAGGACTGGGCATTTCTGTTTCACGGATACGGCGGTACTCGCATTACTTGACGAACCAACCATATCAGGCAGTATGTATTGTACAACCTTCAAATTTCCCTGCGTGTTATACACTTCCGTCCCCGGAGACACTTAAGTTCGCCTAGCTGTCCGCGCACCTGGATGTAGCTATCCACCCCGAACTCCAAAGATCGTTCCTCTTCGTCCTTCAAACAGATACGGAAAGCGTTTGGTCCTAGTGCCATTAAACCCCGGCGCGCTGCTTCTGGCCTGGTCAAATCCGCGGGAACACCCTGAGCCTATTGGGTTTCTGCCCCATTGATAGCATGATGTCGTGTTTGGTGCAGTTTTTTACTTGCGTTTCCTTTCCGCAGCATCCATCTTCTCCTCCAAGGCGACGACGTAGTTGTTCAGACGCTGGCAAGCGTTCTGCAGAGCCTATGACGCAACCGAAACACAAACTCGTTAGCACCTCAAATCCTGAGACCGGAAGCTCCCAATCTGCAACTCGCACGACCTGGGCGGCTCCCTCGCGGCCCGTAGCGATACCCTGCGACGCCTCTCGGCCAGTGTCGAACCGTCCAGCTATGCAGCTTAAGACTCAGGCAGGGTTACAAACAGCGGATGGGCCGAGGGGAGGGTGCGCTTCGGGGGAGGGCGATATTTTTCTTCGCGTCATCTAATCGCATAATTCGACGTACATAGATGTCCTCGGTCAGGAGCTCGTTGCTCGCCTTGTACTCGCGCAGGATGTAGCCGTAGACGCCGGCGCCTGCGACCGTGCTGCCGAGGAGGAAGCCGAAGAGTCTGTGCATATCCATGGACAACGCCCGCCAAGTCAGAAAGGGTAAGAACAACGGCACCAAAAGGCAGATTTGCAAATCAGGACTCACCCTCCGCGGAAAGCGCCAACCGGTTTCCGCGCCGGCAGAGGAGCAGCGGCGACACCGTCGGCGAGAGACCGCGCAGAGGCGTGGAAGCTGCGTCGGGCCGTGGCCGAGACGAGGGCGGCATGGCGCGCGCCGCTCGCTGTCGAGGATACGAGGATTCTGGAAGCCATTGCGTCTGAGGGATATGCGTGTGCGGATCTCGGAGGCGAGACGGTCGGCGGTTGTGGGCAGTCGATCTCGTGTGTATGTTGCAGGTGGGAGACGGTCGGATTGGGCTTGAGGGGTGTGTGTGCACGCGATTGGGAAGAGCTTGGGTTGGTGGGAAGCTTGGAGGGCGGAGCTGTTCCGGGGGGCGACGTCAGTTGCTCCCAAGCTCCACCAGCTCCAAACCTCGCCGCAAAGACCTCGGCTGGGCACACCGGACCTCTGTCTCGGGAACTTCGGCCCTCTCCAACAATCTTCACCTTGTCATTTCAAAGAAACCCGCCTTAGCTGGATAGAGCCAAAACTGTCATGGACCCTTCGCGGCCCTTCCCAGTCATCATTCGTGCATCAGATTTAATGGTGAAGATGGAAAAGCATTACGATTCCTTGACCCTATGATGAAACTACATTGCAATTGCGCTGCGAACCCTGTTCATAATGTGAAGAGTGGCTTTGACCTATCCACTCGGGCTTGATACTGAAAATGCAAGATCCCATTTTGTAAATTTTACTTCTTTTACTGTCTTTGATTCCGTTCCGTCCAGTCTCGGACCTCGCGCTTACAACTCATCGTGAGTCTCGGCGGCCTCGGCCTCCTCAGACTCGGTGGCAGCGGGAGCGACGGGAGTCTCGGCCTCGTCAGCCTCAACCGCAGGCGAGACGGCGGCCTCGTACTTGCCGTTCTTGGCAATGAACTCAATCAGATCCTCAACGGTGCGAGAGCCGCTGTAGGTAACGGGCTCGCCCTTGGCACCAGCAGCGTAGAGCTTGATGGTAGGGAAGCCCTGGATCTCATCAGGAACGTCGTTGGCGGTGGCGTCAACCTTGGCGATGACGACCTTGTCCTTGAACTCCGAGTTGGCGTACAGGGCACCGAGCTCCTCGTACTTGGGAGCAAGAGCCTTGCAGTGACCGCACCACGGGGCGTAGAACTCAATCAGGACGTCCTTGGTGTCGTCGAGAACAATGTCCTCGTAGCTCTTGCCAACGACAACGGTAACGGGGCTGTCCTGAGTCTCGGGGATGGGCTCGGACTTGACGCTGGGCTCAATCTTGCCAGCAACGAACTCCTCGACGAACTTGGTGATGGCCTCGGCAGTAAGAGCAGAGTCCTGGGAGAAGGGGAACTTCTGGTTCTTGACGGTGTCCTGGAGGGCGAAAGAGGGGAACTTGTCGGTGGGCAGGTTGAGGTTACCAGCGTGGGCACCGTACAGCTTAGCGTCAATGGTGGCGAAGTTGATCTTGCCCTTGTACTTCTCAGCAAGGGTCTTGAGAGCGTCGCCGAACTCCTTGCGCTCCTCCTCGGACTCGGAGAAGATGTAAGCAAGGGGGATGCCGGCAGACATGTAGCCGGAGTAGGTCTCGGGGCCGACCTCGCCGATGAGAGGGGTGGAGGCAGTCTTGGCCCAGGCAGTCAGAGCCTCCTCCTCGATCTTGTCAGTGTAGACAACCTTGCCCTCGTCGAATGACTTGTAAAGGACAATGGCGGGAGCAGTGACACCGGCAGAGGCAATCAGGTCGGCATCGCTGGTGGAGCCGAAGAGGTACTCCTCGCGGAGCTTCTCGGCAATAGCGGTGTAGGCATCAGTGCTGGCCGAGTCGGCGGCATCGATGTAGGCGACGAGGACAACCTTGTCAGAGTTCTTGAAGTCCTCAAAAGTCTCGGCAGTGAGGGCAGAGACGGCAGGCAGAGACTGCTTGATCATGTAAGATGTGATCCTACGGGGCCACTGTCAGTAACAGATTGCCAGAGTTGGTCCTCGAATGGATTGCGACTTACGCAGGAGCCTTGCGCTGGCCCGAGTAGGGAGAGATGTTGTCAGGGCCACGGAAGACCTTGAGGGTAGGGTAACCCTCGACACCAAAGGACTGGCAGAGCTCAGCCTCCTCGGTGCAGTCGACCTTGGCGAGCTTGATGTTCTTCTCCTTGAGCTGGGTGGCAGCCTCCTCGTACTCGGGGGCAAGGGCCTTGCAGTGACCGCACCACGGGGCGAAGACTGTGAACAAGGACCAGAGTCAGTAAGGTCTGCTTGCCGATGGGAGGGGGGAAGGATGGATATCGCTGTCGTCTGGCAGACTCACACTCGGCGAGGACGAGGTCGTTGGACTTGACGAAGTCGTTGAAGGTGTCCTTGGTGAGCTCGTGGACATCCGAGGCACTGGCCACCGCGGCAGCGGCGAGCAGGCCAAAGGCGACTCTTCTGGCAGTCTGCATTGTGTGATGGATATCTGACGACGAGGCGACGGCAGAAGCAGGGTGAAAAGAGGAATGGTGTACAGGAGAAGGCTACGGTCTGCCACGATGTGAGCTAGGACAGCAGCTCTTAAGTGCAGACGGGGCGTTGGCTGGGGCGAGCTGGACAAAGTGGCCACATTGCCAGATAACGGTGGGATGGCGGGCGGATAAGGACAATCAAGGGTCCTCCTCCGCCCTGCTCAAGTGGTGCGGTGGATGCGGTGCGCTATGTACGGTGCGGTGTCGCAGGCAGGGAGAGGCACGTTGCAGCTCCCGCCCGGGGCGGCTGGGCAGTGGGCTGGTGGGGGCCCCTTGGCGCCGCCGGCCAGCGCCTCCAAAGGGCAATGATTGTTAAGCCGGACCTGCGTGCGCGAGGCAGGGGGCCTCGATGTGGCGACGATGGGCATTCTCGCGCACGACAGAAGACAGGTGTTCACTTTGCCGTACCGTCCGCCCACCCACAGGCCATCCCTGCGCCCAGCAACGCCCCATTGTCTATTCGCGGCGCGGCGGCAGTGTGGCAGGGTTCCCCACCTGCGCTTGACAGCTGAGCCGGGATACCTGGCCCATCTCCAACTCCCCAAAGTTAGGTACGCTTGCCTCTGCCCGCCCGCACCTCTACGCAGTATGGTGCTTGATGCTTTACGAGGCTGATATGCACCGGCATCTCTGGTGCCATCGGGAGTAAGCGCGGCGGATCATCAGCCCTTGATTACGAGAGCAGGTTGCCGCTCCTTCTCAGGCCGGCCAGCTTCATATATGGGGCACAGTAGGATCCTTCGGCCAGCCAGGCCCCCTGAGCTTGTTACCTGTGGAGGACGAGTACTGCTGTTTTTAGGCTTGGGTCCGCCCAATCCTGACACCACTGGCCTCTTCTTGACAGATCTCGCTTGACGGCCAGGACCCTGATCGAGACCGAGCGTTACATCCAGCCCTGGAGACGTCGAGTGTGATGTAAAGAATCATGCACTAAGTAGGGTGCTACCAATCTCCAGCAACAGGCATACCTACAAGTAGGTATCCTCCGTGATTGCCTATCCGAGCCACGTTGCGTAGGCTCCGGCTTGTCGGCCCTGGCTAGTCCAACCACCAACCCAGCTCTAGCTCTACCTCCTTGCATTTGTCACCACAGAGTGGACCATTGCTCATTCGAAATTGCGTCTTCGTGGCTATTACGGGACGTTGACCCGGACAGCTCCAGAGTCGACAACGTGTACTCAAGATCGGTAGAAGTTCAGACTACAGAGTTGTGCTTTGCTCAAAGTCTCATTGTTTGTGCGTGCATAACAAGTGCAGCACAGCGGATTGTTAGGAACCTGTGAATAGATGGGTAAAGTACGCTAGGCGACATGTAGATCCACCAGCCAAGGGCTTCGGCTTGCATCAACGACCTTAAAGGGACATAAGCCCACGTCTTTTCTCCCAGTTGCCGAGCCTCAATGGACAGATCGGATACTTGGCTAGACGTAGGGTATCCTTACGAATGCAAACCTCATCAAGTCGGGAAGGAGACTGCATCCTAGTCCTTGGCTCAACTAATTCGCCTCACCTGCATCATGGAATCCGTCGCAGCGTACATACTTCCTAACCATGATGAGTGCTGAATCAGTTTGGTTTCAAAATATTTCAAGAGTCTTGGTGCCGCTCATTATAAGTCAATATCGGAATGATTCGGCCTTTCGCAATCCAGATCGTCATGGAACTGATTGATACCACGATACACGGTCAGCCAGTTGGCTGTGTCGTACCAGGCACGAGACACCCACGATTAGAACTCATGGCACTTGCCGTAAAAGACATGAGATTCCTGCGGCTGTCATCGATTGGGGCCACGCTCGCAGCTCTGCTAATATCGTGAGCCTTATCTCACTGACAAGGACCCAATTCGACCTGAAGGTGATACCATTTTTGGAAAGGGACCTCTGGGAGTGTCACGTCTTCTGACCAACTCTCAAAGAACAATTTAATTCTTCAAGTGGGTTCGTGGTATTGAGTTGTGCTGTGAGCGCTCTTTATATCAGAAATCTAATGCGACAGGATGCAAACGCCTCGATCTTGGTGCTCGCCGTGCGCAGCACACCTCGACACATACAACTCGTCCTGGGTTCTTTGAGCAGGGGGCGAGCTCCATCTACGTCAAGTCTAACGAAGTCAATGAAGCCATGGCATATTCGTGGATGTGACAGGCATATATTTGGGACTTCTATTGTAGCTTCCATCTCTGGTGCAGCTTCGGAGGCTCTGGTCGCGCCTTCCATCATCTGCGTACCTGCCGAGACCACGGTTCGGTCCGTTCAGACATCAAACAGCACTCTGGGCGCCCCGTTCGATGGTTCTGTCACTCGAATCCCGTCAACTCCAGCTTCCTCAGCCAAGCGCTCTTTTTTGATGATCGTTGGACAGTACCTCTTATCTGTTAGTCTACCGCATTCTGGCAGAGCCTGATTCCAAGTCAACCTTCTCCAGCCATGGATCACCAGCGCCTTCCAAGACGATGTGCCAGCCACGGCTCACTAGGTCGTGGGCACGCATCAAATCGAAGACCAGCACACAGCCTTTCGATCCGCAGGCCACTGCACAAGCCCCTGCGTGCTGTCAACGAAAACTCAATCCTGCTGCCGTCCCCTGGTGCCCTGGAGGGTATGCTCAAGACAACCACCGAAACGGGAGACATTGGCATGTGGACAATCAAACCTGTGCTGCCTTCCTCAAAGCGCAAGGAGTCCATCTCGTATATGACCAGACCTCTCCCGTTCCAAGAGAATTCATTTCTCAACGACGGAGCCAAGTGGAACGAGACTCGTGGACTCAACAGGAGTCAGACAACATCTGAAGCACAATCTCTGTATACGTCTGGAAGCCAAAAGTCGGTCAACAGCACGCTACCATCAACCTCGACAGTCGAGCATGGTCACCGATCGTTTTCGATGACTACTTGCGGCTCCAGGCACCTGCCTCATCAAGCATCAAGCCTCACAATGAAAACGCAGGCCAGCAGCCTTCAGCTTCAACGGCCGAGATCACCATTTCCCTATCCGACACGATTGAGGCGGCCCGGTGTGCGACCGGCATCACCCGCGCTCACGGAGACAGGCCTTGTTGACTACAGCCGCATGGTCGAGATTGACCGGATCTCTTCCGTATGTAGCAGGCCGTGGTTTTGAACTGTCAGGGAAAAGGAACTAACTATTCACCTCATGGCTAAAGAGAACTGAACACGGCTCATTTCGTTCCATCGATCCCACAAGATCATGCAACCGTGTACCACTTGGTCTCCGAACGGAGGTGAATGGCTCTACTCCACCGCTCCAGGATCGTGGCATCTTCACGGACGATCGTGCACTACGCGCCCCATATCCCCGAACCATGTCTGCTGCCTCAATTGCATCTTGGAACGCTCGAAACCGCTTTCACACCCAACCGGTCGAGCCCAGAGCTTTCAGCTTGACCTCGGCAGCTCAAATCCCCCCTCATTTCGACCGCAAAGTCACGCCTGTAACTAGCCCACAGCCCACTTCGTCCACAGCGGATGCTCGGTACTATGATTATACCGAAGATTTCGAGAAGAGAGAACCTGGCTCAGAGAGTGCTACTTCCCGCAGGTTGACCAATTTTTACCCCGTGGGCCGCGATGCGAGAGGAGTGCAGAGGCTGAGCGCTTATGAGCTCGATCAGGACACGGAAGATCGACAGTCACACTTTTCCACTGCCAAAAGCCAGATTCCCGGTTCCGAGATACCAAAGCCTCTTGATGATGCCCCTAGTCATACACACGCTCGGCCCGCCAGCTTGAGCTCTCTAGCGGAACAGGATGACAACAATGAACAAGGCATGACTTGCAAAGGGTGGCACGCTATGCCAAACACGCTCAGGCAAGAGCCTGTGTTTCGTGTCAATGACATCGATCTACTTCCCTCGCAGCTCGCTCGCAGCTCGATTGATACATTCGACCCCAACATGGACATGGACAGTAGAGACATGCCACTTTTCAGTTATTCGTGCTATCGACCGTCCACCGTTCAACAAACACATGCGTGTGCTCTAAGCCGCCAAGTCCAGGTCAGGACAAGATCAACGCCCACAATACACAACGAGCAAGGAGTTATCGTCGGCGACGAGACCGGAGAAGATTCTGATTATCAGGATTCCACAGGAGATGATAGTGGTGCAGCACCTCTGAACTGCCAGACAAGCTCAGGGTATATGCTGAAGCCGCAGGTCACACCGGCGCTTCCCGACGGAGGCCCGAGCAGCGATGCTCCTACCGGTGGTCAAAACGGTTACTCTGAGCTGACGACAGAGAGCCGACAAAGTCCCCGTGTGGTTGCCGCCAATGTTGCGTCTCCCACAGATCCAATAAATGTGATGGGGCAAGGAGACCAGGGACTTTGCCCGGAATCTACTGAGCGTCGCTGTCGCATTCCGAGAAGCATGACCGAACCGGGCCCGCTGAATCACAAGGGTTCTAACGTAGTCCTTGCGGACGCCATGGACTCTTCGACGGTACATTCAGTTCTTGTTTCAACTTTTGGGCATAAGCGAGGACGAGGCAATTTCGCCAGAATCAGTGATCCCCTGCCGACAAAAGCTTGCATAGATGGTTCAGACTCAGTCAGTCTTTCGTGCACGCCGATAGCGCTTGTTCAGCCAAAACCAATTTCTGCTAGCCGTCAACTTAAGGTGAAGAACAGCATACCACATCTGATGAAAGCCCTGCCTCCTGCCCCAGGGTGCGACCAAGCTAGCACATCTCCAGATCCGGCATTCAGCGACAATGGGGAGTCCTCAGAGGTTCTCAAGCCGTACAAGTGCACCTCCACAGTAGTAGCACGCTCCCAAGATGGTCCAGAGCAAGACCCTGCCTCAAACCTGGGCAACAGTCATGCTGGCCACCCACGAACAGGCCATCCGAAGTTGAGATTGAAGATGAGACTGTCACCTACCCCTTCGGCAATAGACAATGGTATGCCTGCAAACAGTTCCTCATCACGAGCAGCCCACAAGCCGCCGCAGCGGTTGAGATTGAGATCCTCACCCAGCTCGCGAAAGTCGACATCTCGAGATGATACGACCGAGCACGCTGCCATTTCAGCTTATGTTATGCGACCTGCTCAGATTTTGGGGAATGGTCAACCAAAGGGGTCTGGTGACGGTATACAGGTGCCATTGACAATAAAAGCGTCTCAAGAAGTTTACGAAAGGCCTGTGAAACAGAACGCATGTCCAGGCACCGCAGAAATCTGGGATTCGGGATCAGCAGTGCATGACGCATCTTTACCTAACAAGACCGCGCTCAAGCTCAAGAACCGGATGTTGAGTGTGCTGCGCTGGCTGGACGAAACTCACGACCCACGAAGTTCTGATATCATGACTGCAACAGAAAGCCTTCAAACAGAGCAAAGTCTTCGCTGCAAGAACGAGTCTGTCAAGAACCTGGGCATCAACGGTGGGATATCGCAAGCTGGACCTCCAGACCTAAGATGGCCGCACAAGAGTTTGAGAAAAGTGGTTCGAGCCAGGATTGTCCGGCTGATTGAAGATGCTAAAGGAGCCGTGCGAGGCCGTATCAAAAGACGAGCTTGCGATGTGTGACTCATGGTCACACGACGAGTCTCAGGCGACTCGGCCATTCCTGCAATTCATGCCACAGATCGTGCACACTGCACGAATGTCATAGGTACCTTTTTGGGCTGAAAGCTGCCGCCACGTACTAATATTATGTCTATGCGGGATTGCGGCAGTCTGGATTTTGGTAATACGTGAGGAGAAACGTTGACTGGTGTGGATGAGGCTGAGGCTGAGGTTGGGGAGTTACCTTGGGAACTGGTACGATCCCGGGAAGAGGTACAATGTATCATTGCTAAGAGCTGATAGACTTTTCACTGCCAGTAAGCATAAATAGCAAAATCATCCTTGTCGTGGAACTACCTGTGATCATTGGGCTATGGTGCATGCGGTATTGCCGTCACCGGAACCCGTCTAAGCAGTCAGGGCCAAGCAGTAAGTGGAGGGTGATCTGCGTTGTTGTGAAATGACTACTATCGGAAGACACCAGCGAATTTGCCGTTTATGTTTCCATTTGATTTATGATCGCAGAGGCCTATCTAGCCATTGGTGTGCCTCTTCTAACCAGCCGGCCACAAATATGTTCCCCTCTTTCTCACAAATCGCGCATAAATCTTTGTCTTGCCTTATTTGCTCTAGAACACTCCTCCACCGATAATAAAGATCCGCTCCTCCTCACGGCGAGCCCACTGCATAATCTTGTTGGCGGCCTGCGTGAGAACTGCGCGCGAGGTATTCGGCCCGGCAACGCAGTACAGTTCGAATATGGGCGTGACCCAGGCGAGCGACGCCGAGTGCTCGCTCACGCAGTGCAGGACCTTGAGGTGCGAGTGCCGGGCATGCACGGCCGCGTGCAGCTCGTGGTACAGCGACATGAGCTTTCTCCGCGGGATCGGGTCGCTGAAGGTCGGGTCGAGGCTCGGCATCGTGAATTGCACGTTGGCGCGAGACTTGAAGAGGAAGTGGCTTATCGTGGACGACGGTGGCGCTGGCGTCGCCGTGGTGGTATTGTTGTTGTTGTTGGTAGATGACAAAGGAGCTGCGGCTGGCGGAGCCATAGGGACGATCTCGTGGATCGGAGGGCGGCCGCGCTTTGTCACTTCCGAGATGATACTGAGAAGCTTTTTGCGCTGCAACTCGGTGATGACATCGTCGCGCATCTTCTGCAGGTCGAAAAAGCTCTCCTTGTCCGGGCTGACGAGGATGATTGCGGTGTCGTGATCGATGGAGGCACCGCTGCCTGCGCTGCCGGCGCCGGTGGTGTCGCTACTGCCTTCGGTACTCTCGCTGTTTTCCGTCGTGACCGTGTGTTCTGCTCGTGATTGCAGCCAGCTCACGTACATGTACAGATAGCCCTGGTTGTTGAACGCCGGGAGACACAACGGGATCCAGTTCTCGCCACCTGCAGCCTTGATACCGCCAGACTCGAAAAGCATGTTGAAAATGAGCTGCAGGTCACTCGGATGGAGTGAATGCCTGCGAGGGCGAATCACGCTGACCAGCTTGCCACCGGCCACTATGAGACCATAGAGCAGGTTTGCCGTGCCTCGAGCTTTCAGAAATACATTGTTGATGGCATGCCGGTGTGACTTTCGTAATTTCAAGCATTCTAGTGCGCCAAGAAGCGCCGAGGGCGAGCCTTTGGTGAAAGTATCTGCCAGCGATGATAAAAGGGATTCAGTCCCTTGAAGCGGCTTGCGAAGGTCTGACGACGGCCGATTAACGAATATCCTCGTCAAAGTCGGTAGAGTGAGGGTCGAGAGGATCTGCATATACAGAGCATCGAGCTGAAAGCGCAGTTGCTGGTCGCTCTCGCCCAGGCTGCTGATCGCGACAAAGTACAGCGGCCCCTTGGTAGCGATGACGAACCTGGTGTTGCCCGCAGTGAAGCCCTGGAGAGGGTTTTTCGAGGCTTCATAAAAAGAGATGATGGTCTGAACGACACCCATGGACGAGTTGATGAGTCCTAAGTCCCCGTGCCTGCTCCAGATGGGCTTGCCCGCAGAAGAAAGTACCATGTAGTGCTTCATTTTGGACTTCCACAGCACAAGTCTGTCGTCGTCAGACATACCGTCGACAGTTTCACCAGGGATGGGGTCGAACTCGGCAGTGAAAGAGTCCAAGGGATCCTCATGCCCGTCTGCCGTTCCAGTCTCAAAGGGCTGGACTGCCGCTGACTGAGAACGTAGCAGTGCCCAGGCCGGACTCCTCCTGCTCGCGTCGCCGCCCATGAGACTCTCGAGGTCGACCGGAGCCCTTGCCGTGCCTGCGTAGCTCATGATGCTCATGTTGTCGTCCGGGTCGACGCTGATCGAGCTGGCACGGTCGCGGCTGGAGGAGCCAGGGTCCTCCTGGCCTTGCCCGCCATTGCCGCTGTCAGTGGTAAAGGTGCCTCTGGTACCGTCCGGGAAGCTCAGTGTCTGGATGTTCATGGACGAGACGGCAGTAGTGGGCTTGGACTGCATGCCGGGCCGCGGGGGCAGAGGGGGCCGCGGCCGGTCATGGTCGTCGTCTGTGCCGACGCTGCTGGGCCGCCGGGCATCGTCTTGGCCCATGGTCATGTTGGCGGCGGCGGAGCGCGCACCATCTCGCTGGCTTTGCTGCGGTCAGGGGAGCGAAGCTGTTGCGCCTGTTCGCGTCTGGGAGTTCTGCAAGGACAACCGGTATCGGTCTAGGGCCTAGGTTCAGGCCTGGCCCACGATTCAACCCCGCCGGGCAGCAAGCAGGGTGGCCCAGTCTTGCGAATAAACCCTCTCGGCAACGCCCGCGTGGCTCGGTCAAAGATATGTAGTCGACTTATTACGCAGCGTTCGGTCAATCGATGTGCCCAGACGTCGCTGTCTTGAAAAAGAAAGACATCCCAGGCGCTGGAGTGTAAATTGTTGGGGAATCAGGCACCTCGTCGTGTGCTGGCTGACTGCTGCATGGTTGCGCAGACGTCATGCTTGCGCCAACTCGACACCGACTCAGTTCTAAGGTTCTAGCTTCAGCGGCCTGGGAGCGTGTGGCCGAGGCCGGTGCTAGGGAGCTGCAGGGGGAAGCTGCGAGCTACGGGCAACACAATGGACCCTTGCAGTTCTTAGGGGCACCGAGGACTGGCCTACAAAGTACCGCTACATGCTACAAGCGCATCCCTGCCACAGCTAGCGCCGTCCCTGTACAGCGGTGTCTGGACAGATCGTCCCCTCCATGGATTGCAGATGGTGATTGCCTGCTGCGCGTCTGCGTCTGCGACAAAGGCTGGGATGCTTCTTCATGCCAACGAACACCACCAAGAACGCTCAGACGCCGTCGCAGAACGATACACGATACTGCGGCATGCGGGCAATAACCTCGACGCCTCTGCCTGCTACGAAGGTCGCCTATCATGGCTCTTGAGCCAGGCCCACGCCGCTCCATGTCCCCCAACAGCTCTGGCCGCGCATCACCAAACCCTCGACAGTGGAGGAACCAGCTCAGCGCAGGTCAGTCACAGGCTCTCTTCGTAGAACACAATCACGATGCTGACCATTGCCTTCGATTTCAAGACGACTCTTCTGCTTCCAAGGACAAGCACTACCGAAAGTATGCTTCTGGCGTCGAGCGATCGCTCTCCCTCTTCGAGACAGCCCTGCAGGAATGGGCCGACTACATCTCGTGTCTGAGCAGGCTGCTCAAGGTATGGACGACCCCTCCCACATATCAACACCACAAGTCGACAGAATTTCTAAGTGCCATCTCGATCACTAGGCTCTACAGGCTCGGCCCTCGACTATCACGACGGTCCCCTCGAAGGCACTGGTCTCCAAGCGCCTGGCCCAGTGCCTGAACCCGTCGCTCCCCTCCGGTGTCCACCAAAAGGCCCTTGAGGTCTACAGATACATTTTTTCCTTTATAGGAAGCGATGGCCTATCCCAAGACTTACCTCTCTATCTTCCCGGACTCGCCACTGTCCTATCGTTCGCCTCCTTGACAGTCCGCGCGCCGTTTCTTGATCTTCTCGAGACATACTTTTTGAAAGTGGATGCAAAAGCGCTTCGACCAGCACTGAAGGCTTTGATCCTGGCACTCCTGCCAGGTCTTGAAGAAGAGACCAGCGAGGACTTTGATCGGACACTGAAGCTCGTGGAAAGTTTCAAGGTCGCTGTTCGGGAACCCCATGGCAAAGTGCTCTCCGAAGTGCATTCAACAAGCGACGATTTCTTTTGGCAATGCTTTTTTCTTGCCACAATCACGGGCCATACCCGCAGGACAGGAGCTTTGGTCTATCTTGTTCGGTATCTCCCCAGACTAGGCCCATCCGACGGCACAGGCAAGTCCGAGGACCCTACAGAAGACTTGGCCGCTCTTGTCACATCGCCCGAGCCAGGACTGCTCCTCCGCTGCTTTGCTGCTGGCCTGCTTGATGACCAGCTGCTTATACAGCGAGGTTTCCTGGACTTGCTGGTGACGCACCTGCCGCTGCATTCACGCATTCTCCAGACCAGGGCCAAACACGACGATATCGAGCTCTTGCTCCAAGCTGCCGTCGGGGTTGTGACCAGGAGAGACATGAGTCTCAATCGGCGCTTGTGGGCGTGGTTTCTAGGTCCTGAACCTGCCGCAAATGATCATGACGCCACCCCAGACTCGCCAGCGTCACCAGCAGAGCCCTCAGCCGGCTTCCTTGCCTCGAGAACGACTTACTTTGAAGAGCATGGCCTGCATTCTCTTTGTCAAGCTCTGCTCTCCATGATAAAGTCAGCGGCGACAGAAGGCCCCGCCGAGAGAGCTCGGCCGTATCGGATCTGCTTGTCTTTGATGGACCGGTGGGAGATCGGTGGCTTGGTCGTCCCTGAGGTCTTTCTACCAGTCATCACAAGTGTCAAGGAATTCAAATCTCAAGCAGCGACAAAAGCCGACTTTGCGGAGGTTTTACGAAGTGCTAGTGTCTTCTTTGATGGTGTAGAGAGCGGTTTGATCTACGGCGAGCTTGTCGGTCTTGTCGCTCAGTCTTTCGCGCCTGGCAGCACGCCTTTAGCCAAGCGGGTCGAGTCTTTGGATCTTGTGCAATTCATCATGGCCCACTTCAATATCCGTGAGGAGGAAATGGTCACAATCCATGCCCCCTTGGCAGCGCTTGCGGTTCTGGCCATGCTGGAAGACGTCAGGGAGAGGAGTAATAGTCCCAACCGAACAGCCGATGTAATACCTGATTCACTTGCGGGGCAGGCTCTCGAAATCGTCTTGCAGCTTGTAGACCTAATTCCCGAAAGAGCCTTTCCATTGAAATCTGGCCGCGAGGACTCAGCTGCGTCTGTGGACGCCCCTGTCCTGGCCTCCATTTCAAACGGCGAACTTCTCAAACGAATTCGTGCATTCTACGTCTCGGAGCAGGGCAACCTAGAGGCTAGTCCCGTTCCCTTTTCTGGCAGATCAACAGGGCAAATGCTGCTGCTGAAGGCTTGTAGCCTGACATGCGACAGTCTTGTGTCCAGGCTGCCAGCAGCATCAACATCGATCAGAAGTCGACTGCTGGCATTGCTGCTGTCGAAGGCACCCAGAGAATATCCCATCGAGACCGATCAGCTACTACAGTCGATCCATGCGCAACTGTCCGAAGAGACATTGGAGTTTCTCACTTTCAAATCGATGCTCTTCATATCAACCCAGTTATACACTGGAGAGCGGATATCACCGGCTCTCCTTTCCAAGCTGGTCCCGGGTCTCGTCCGACAAGCATGGAATCACCTCTCCTTTTCAAATCCGAAGTACCATGTCGAGGCTGTCCGGGGCCTATGGCAGCTTCAATCTGCTCTCACACTCTCCAATCGCGAGGTTGAGGCAGTGCTCACAGACCTGATGACAAGACAAGACAGCATTGGCACATTTGCGGTTCGTCGTGCTGATCCTGGGCGGAGTTTTAGCATCCTTTGGACGCATACTTTGCAAGACAATCCGTCCCATTTCGACCGCCGTGGCCTAAGAAGCCCAATATTGGAGGCCAAGCCCAGTCTGAGGCTTGCAGGCATGGACCACTACAAAGTCATGTTGACGCGGCCTCTCTTCTCGATGCTCGATGCTTTGCATGATGAGCGAGTCCAGCTCTTTATGGCTGCCAAGATGTGGCTTGGCCACATGGTTGGCATTGAAAAGTAGGTCACGCCCAACTGAGACCTATGATGTTAAGAGAAGACGCTGACCACCGCAGACTCTTTTTGATATTTGTCGAGAAGTTTGCGGCTTTTACGTTCCTGTATGGTTCTCGAGGATCGGTGAAGGCTACAGTAGCAGCGCCCATGAGCTTTAATGATGATGCCGATCTCGACATGGCTGTTTACTATCTTCGTACACTATCAAATGTGCTGCGATGGGCCCCTGAAGCATTTTGGGGGGTTCTCGCGACACGCGTCATTGAGCACCCTGACCCCAGCCTTATTCAGATAAGTATGTCTCAACGATGGTCCCTCCACCACTCACGATTGCTGACCCTCTTCTAGCCGGATCCGAAGGAGGCTTCTCTCTTCAAGAGTTTTTTATGCACGTCTGTCTACGCTGTATTGCTGGCAATGTTGCTCCGACTGATAGTGGACGACAAGTCTCCGTGGCTCAGTTGCACCGCAGCGCTTTAAGTCTTTTGCAGCAGCTTCTCGGAAGCCCACATACGGAGGCATTGCGCAAGCTCAATATCCAGGATGCTCTAGTTGAGAGGCTATTGCAAGCTTTGACAGGTCCAGACCCGTATATCCAGGTGATGCTCCTCGACGTGGTTGTCTCTTCCATCAAGCTCCAGATGGCGATACAAGATGAGGTCCCTCTGTCTCCGTCAATCGAGAAGCGGACCCTTCACCAGGCTGTAGGTAGCATGAGGCTCTCTACCGCGCAGACCTCAGAACAGGCACCAGAGTCCAGTCCAGTCCCTGCTGCTCTGCTGCAGTGTATACAATCTGCGCTAGTATCACCTAACAGTCGTCCGGTCTTGGACAGCTGGGTCGCGTTCCTTGTTGAAGTTCTGCCACTCTATTCTCGGTCTATATTCCAGGTTCTCATACCACTGGTCGAAACTCTTTGCGCCCAGGTGGGCGAGGCGTTCAACACGCTCCGGGACACATTCAAAGACCCGGGCCTAAGCTCCCAAGTCGTTGGCGCGCCTGAGACGACTCTGATCTCGCTCCTCAATGCACTGGAACAAGTACTGGCAAAGGCGCACGAATGTCTCTTGGTTGAAGAGAGCAAGAACATCGTGGCCAAGAGCCCTGACCAGCCTCAGGGCTTCTTTGGCAATATGGTTTCGGGCGTCTTCAATTCTGAGCAGCAGCAGACTCGCAGCGCCACTGCCAACGACAGGCTGACTGTCCTTCTCGCCTTCCAAGATGCCGTACGAATATGCTTTAGGATATGGTCATGGGGCCAAGGCAGTGAGGCTGGCACGCTGGACGCCGATTCAGCCGCCTCATTCAACTATACGTCTCTGCGCATGAGGAATCGAGCCAGGAGGCTTCTCGAGCACGTCTTTGCAGCGGAGGCACTCGAGTGTCTCGAAACTGTGGTGGGCATCTGGCGGACATCGTTGAAAGACCCTGATACCACAAGGCACTCTGCCGTCTTTAGTCTCCTTCCTGCGCTTGATGGTTCGCGCCCTGCAAACACCATACCTGCAATCTTCAATGCCATATATAGTCGCAGCAACCCTGGGGCCCTCGACCCATCGAGGAAGTCCACTCTGACCATCTCGTTGCAGGACACCGACCTTGTCATCTTCTTAGTCGACTACGCGAAGTCTCTCGAAGACGATGCAATGGACGAGATTTGGCAGGATTGCATGACTTTCCTCAGAGACCTCCTTACCAACCCCTTCCCACACAGACAAACGTTGCCGAGTCTACTCGAGTTTGCAGCGATTCTAGGTGAAAAGGTCGACAACACGAATTTCGGTGAGCAGAAGAGGATGAGGCGAGAGCTTGGCGTAAGTTCTTATGAGCCGTTATTGTCAGGTCGTGACATTTGCTAAGATCAATGTAGGATATCTTTTTGCGACTACTTACAGCCTTGTTCACTACACGTCCGGCGACCTTCGCCGATGCCGTGTCGGTTGACAAGGAGAAGAACGGCAAAGTGGCTCCAGCCACAACAAACAGTCCACAATCCAGGGCGGATGACGTTGTCGGGATTCTCGCACATATCGTGCCAAGCTTGCCCAAAATCCTCGTGGAGTCTGATCGAGTGCTCACAGCGGCCGGGACGATCTCTGCAAACGTTGTGGGTCCGAGTATACGATCCAAGGGGTTTCCCGATACGATCTCGAAGAGCATGTTGACGCTCCTCTACGAGCTCACAAGGTTGCAGAACAATCAAAAGACTTGGAAGAAGGACATTGGAGACGCCTTCAACGATGCTAGATTCTTTTCCTCTTCTACAGAGCTGGTTCGAAGCGATTGGCTGCCGCTCCTGCACCAGTGGACGCGGTCTGACAAGGAGCGTATCACTGAGATTCTCAGTCGCATTACACCACCAACTACTGCCGGCATCGTCTTCGGTGTCGGCGCAACATCTGCGCGCCTCGAGGCAGACCGCAAGACACAGCTCAACCTCCGTCGTGTCGCTACTCTGATTCTGGCGTCAGGGACAGACGCATTCGTTGCAGACCTACCTGCGATACTGGAACGTCTGGTAGAGCTTCTTGCGGCAACGGCAACGTCGTCCCCTTCGTCTACGACCAGGGCCGAGATCTATATGGTGATTCGGGCTTTGACCCTTCGGACGTCTGCCGTGCACCTGTCTCCGCTCTGGCCCATAGTGAATGCGGAGATGCACGAGGCCATCTCCTCGGTCGTTGCCCCCGACAATAGCCCTAGCGCTGACACTTTCAACAACGCCTCCGTCTTGCAGGCGTGTAAGTTGCTTGATGTGCTTGTGGCAGTGGCACCAGACGACTTCCAGTTGCACGAATGGTTGTTCGTGACGGACACAATTGATGCCATCTACAGGTCGCCGTCTTATCAACCTGTTGCTCTCGTTGATGAACTGTCAGAAGAGCTCGGTGCTTCGGTCGCCACACACGGCCACGCCCTCCACACCGAATCGGGCTCTGGCAGTGCTGCTTCGAGTGGCCTACACCGGCGACCACTACTGGGGCCGGGCGGTATCAACGTGGACTTGACCATTGACCGCAAGGACGAGCTGGTGGCGAAGATCCTGAGGCCGTTCTTCGGTCAACTCAGCATCTTCCTGTTCGAATCAACGTATGCAATGGGTGCTCTAGATGAAGAGTGGTGTGTGGAGAGCCTGCTGCGAGATTTATTCGACGAGCGAAGCATTGTAAAGGCGCTCTAGAGAGAAGACCGACCCTAGATAGACTGCGGCTGTAATTTTCAAAAAGTGGGCAGTCGTATCGCTGCTTGCCCTTATCCCCTGCGACTTCGTAGCATATGCCATGGTCCATGGTGTGCCTTGTTTGAGAGATTCTTTATATGGAACCATCCGGAGCCGCGGCAGGTGAAGCCGGAATGTATGCGACAAGAGCTTTACTCGCGCCATGGACACAGTACTGCGCTACGTCAACCTTCTTTCTCACGCCGTCTTCAGACACATCGTCCGCTGATGTGGTTGGGGCGAGCTGGGCGATCTGCCGAAGGTCACTGGTCCGCGGCAGGTACAGCGCGTGGTCCATGATCTTGTAAGCTTCATGCAGCTGTGCGAGGTTGTACGGCTCCATCCCGGACAGGTCAAACACCTCGTCGGTGCTGTATCCCGGCCCGCCCCAGGGCGGGGACGCGAAGATGACGGTGCTGGCGACGTCCACAGCCAGATCTTCTGACAGGAGACTGTTGCTATGCCCCGAGGAGGAGTCGGCGCCTTCCGGCCCCTCGCGGCAGGTGCCACCACCACTACTACTACTACTACTCCGCCGCAGCAGGGCGAGGTACTCGAAGCTGTCCCCGTTGATCCAGGTGATCCTGTCCGCCACCTCGGGGCCGTACAGCGACGCGTTATGCTGTGCGCACGCGAGCGTCGCCGTGTCGCGCTCGATGGCGATGACCCTGTCCCACCGGAACTTGTCCGGGTCGCCGGGCTCCGCTGCGCTGGCAAAGGCGATGCTGTTGTTGCCCACCCCGGCAAAGGCGTCGATGATGATGCGCTTGTGGGGTGGAGTCGTGGAAGCCATCTCTGTGGCAATTTTGCTGTATGGGTTGGTTTTGGGAGGGAATGGTCAGTTCGGAGGGTTCATGCTTTGGGGGACGGTGTAAGTGGTGAAGGAAGCCAATTTGGAACAAGGAAGAATGCTGGGCAGGAAAGGAGAAGAGGACACTTACATTGCTACTGGCTCTGGGGTGACGCCAAACCACGCGTCATGGGTGAGGTGGAAGCCATCGTCGTAGTATGGGAAGATTGTGTATCTCTGTTGCCAGTATCTGTTTCTCGTTGTTAGTGGTGCCTCGAGACGAGCATGTACTTTGTGAGCGTTTCCCTCTGCATTGCCTTTGTCCAGACAGATACACAGCAGTGCGTGGAGCAGTACAAACAGTGTGATAAGACAGGCCTACTCACTTCTGCAAGTCCCACGGGACTTGGCTAATCTCGGTCCAGTGATTGCACTCTTTTGTGAGCGGGAGGTCCCTGACGGACTGTATGGCTGGTTGACTCATGCCGAATGAACCAGAACAACGCATTTCTGCAAGTGCCTTATCTAGAATGTTGCGACTCAATCTGGAATGTCTCAGGGCTGGGTTCGGTGAGAACGAGGCGAGATACTTTCGAAGGGTCCGGGTGTGATGGCTCAGCCAGGCATGAGTTCAAAGCTGCGGTCGCGAAGGCGGAGGTTGACTTTTTGATGTCCAAACATCGACAAGGCAAGATCCACCTGGGCTGGAGCTAGAGCTTGTTAGCGGGTGTCACCCCTGCAGACAGGAGTCGTTCAGGGTCCCCGGCAGCACAAGACAGCGCTGTGGCGCAGCAGCTAGCCCACTGAGCTACCACCCAGCTCAGTGTGCCTGCGCTCTGCTGCAACAGGCCAGGGAGTGCTAGTGTGCAAGCATAGCAGTCAATTTCCACATGCCACATGGAAGCGGACAGCTTGCCTCGAAACATCGTCATGCCCTCAACGCCCACCCTACAACAACCCCGACGAGGACCATGATATAGATAACCACCACATCCCAAGCAGCACAGCCTCCGAATTTTCTGCCTTCCCGACGACCACAACAGCCGCAACCACTCCCAAAGAGCGCGCGCCGCCATGTTCAACGCCCTCAATCGCTTCATATCGCGCCTCGACGGCGATCCGTCCGCCCACCAGCAGCAGGGCCAGAAACAAGACCATGGCTACGGCTTCCAGGTCCTCCGCAACACAAACCTCGAGTTGCACGCCGACCCCTGGTTTGACTATGTCGTCGGCATCAACGGCCGCATGATCGTATGTATTCGCAATCATCCCTGCGGTCGCTTTCCCCCCTCCCAATTACCGTCCTTGACTAACACGGCGGCCCCTCCTCCTCCTCCCTCCTCGCTCCAGGACAATCCCGACCCGAACCTTTTCGCCCAAGAAGTACGCAACTGCGCCGGCGGCAATGTAAGCCTGGGCATCTGGAGCGCAAAGGGCCAGCGCACGCGCGTGCTGCACATCCCCGTGCCCCCGGCCAGCGCCAGCGCCAGCGGCCTCGGCCTCGCGCTGCAGTGGGCGCCCCTCGCCCTCGCCGCAAACGTCTGGCACGTCCTCGACGTCCCCGCCAACTCGCCCGCCGACCTCGCCGGCCTGCTCCCCTACAGCGACTACATTCTCGGCACGCCCGACGGCACGCTGCACGGCGAGAGCGGGCTGGGCGAGCTCGTCGAGGACTACATCGGCCGCCCGCTCAAGCTGTGGGTGTACAACAACGAGTACAACGTCACGCGCGAGCTCGAGATCGTGCCTAGCCGAGAGTGGGGTGGCGAGGGCGCCCTGGGCTGCGTGCTGGGCTTTGGCGCGCTGCATCGTCTGCCTGCGCCGTTGAGCGAGCCTGTCGAGGCGCCTGGCGAGACCATGTTCGACGGGGGAGAGAACAGCAGCGAGTACGACGCCATGTTTGGTGCGAGAGGACAACAGCAAGGAGCGGGCGGGAGCATCAACAGCTTTTCAAACACGTCATCACCAGCGCCGCAAGCCTCGCAATCATACCCCCCTCCTCCAACAGAAGGCGGCGAGTTTCTGGTCCCAGCTCAACTGGCACCACCCCCGTCCACAGGAGGAGCGATACCGACGAGGAACAAGAAGAAGGACAGGCATCACGGGGCAACGAAACGCGGAGGCGGGATGGACGACTACTTTGCTGAACAGGAAAAGAAGAGCAAGGAGCTGGACGGTACAATATCAGCAAGTCGGACACCACCACCGCCTCCGCCCAAGGCCGGTGGTGGACCACCAAGAGCAGGGTCGGGGCTTGCGACACCTACGGCACAGGAAGAAGAGGATAGCTGAGGCTATAAAGCTGCGGTGATATAGTGGGCAGTGCCTACACATCTCTAGCACAAAGCACGATGACAATATATGAAGCTATGCCCTTCACGCGAGGAATGCGTTCAGCCATATACCTGACTCTCGGCTACACAGGTTCTGTTCTGTATACGTACATATCCCTGATGAACGCTGTACCACCGGCTTGAGCGTCTTTGTGACTTGGTCAGCTGTACAATGAGACCTGGGCGGCTGCAGGGGATAGGCCACGCTTTGGGTCCTACGACACGTCGCTGAACAATGAAAGCATGTGGTTTTCGGCTCGGCGACCCCTCCCTCTATAAGATAAGTCGCTCTGCGCTCCTCTGCTCACTTGATGGCGCCGGCTTCGCGGTTGAGTCCGCTTGACTTCGCTTGGTTCGTTCCGTCCCGATCGTCGCACTTCAGTTTATGAAGTTGATGCAGAAGAAATGCAGGATGAGGCTGCCCACGACGTAGTCCGCAAATGATCTGAGTAGAAGTTGTCCGGGTTAGTAGTGAATGACGGTGACCCGCGCACATCCAGGCAAGAAGACTCGCGAGGACTGTACCTTTCTGGTGACACGGAGGGGAACTCGGATTTGTTGGCTTCATTGGTCTGGATGCGTAGAGAAACTATACGGCAGGCAATTGGAGTTAGCGACACGCACTGTGAGTCTGCACGGGTTCCGTGCTGGCGGTGACTCATGCAGAGCCCTAGTTTGCCATGGGACGGTAAAGCTTGCGAGAACTTACCTGTCAAGACGAACTGGCCAACCGTGGCAGAGAAACCGGATAGAAAGGCGTTGAATGGCTAGAAGCAAAGGCGCAGCACTGTCAGAAATTCGACAACATTCTAGGCTCGAGTACCATCAATATTTCGACGAGAACGTACGTAGTTGCCCGCCAGGATACAATAGACGAATTGGAGCGCACCGACAACGGCGAGGAAGGCGAGGAAGACGTCGATGAGCTTCGTGCGCTGCGGTGTCTTCTTCTGGTACTGCGAGATGACACTGACGATGGTGTGTTGGAGAACCGCGGGTACCGACTTGGGGTTGCCGGACTTTGAGGGGACGGACGAAGACGAGCTCGTGGTTGCGGCTGTGGATGGTGTCGTCGTGGTCGCAGGCGCCTGGACTGGGACAGCAGGGCTGGGGGCCGCTGCGGCGGACTTCTTTGGCGCCATTAGGAGGTTCCTTCTTGTTCTGAGTGTGATTCTGCCCGTGGGGTAGGTTGAATATTTTCCGTGACGACTGCGAGGTTGTCGTGTGGCATTGACTTTTGTCAATTGTGGCTGGGATGTTGGATGATGTCGAAAGGTACTACATTTCGCATTGAGAATGGACACGACAGCTTCAACCTGAAGAACGTCCACGCCCAGGTGTACGTTGGAGACCCACTCTCTGGGGGGGTTACGTGGGCAGCTACGGCCCACTGTCTCAAGAGCTTCGAGGGTACGTACTTTATTGTACATCGCAGTTGTGGCGCAGCCTAAACGGGACTAACGTCGCAACCGCCCGGCTCAGTCAAAGCTCAGCCGAGTCGCAGTCACGGCTCAGGCTTTAGCACAGCGGTTTCTGGGCTGCCTAATCCCTTTAATACTCCACCAGTAAAGTCCTGAAACTCCATTTTACCAGAACTGTGAAGACCCTCTTAGCAACTTGGGCGCTCATCCTAGACCCTCTTCAGCCAGCGAGGCTCAGATAAAACTCACCCGAAGCAAGAAGATCCATTAAGCTGACGAGCTGGGGCAAAGAGGACTTGGGTAATCAGAAGCCAAAACAACCCCAAAACACACCAAATCTGCTCCAGGTTCTGTGGTGATGCCACACCCGTGACCGACCGCGTATCGCTGTATGATGGAGTTCCACAGCGACTCCGGACTTTTGCTCGATCCTACCGATTGGAAGCTGCAGCATTCGTTTGCGGATTGGCTTTTGATCGAGAAGGCCGCCACCCGAAACGCCGCCTAGGAAGGATGTCAGTCATTGGACGATGCTGAACTACAGCGTCTTGTCGAGTTATCCGGTCCATTTTGGGGCCGTGTCCTGGGCCAACCCGAATCTCTTACAGCTGAAGAGAAGCACATTGCAAAGGGGTGGCCGCCCCGCGACGTCATGTGCGCCAACCTCGCTGAGGTTACCACAACCACCGACCCCATGACACCGGAAGCTTTCCTAGAAAACGCCGCTACTGGGGCAGAATGGATGACGCTCGCACAGACCAACTTGCTCGATCAACGCTTCAATAAGCTTGCTAAGGGCCAACGTCGAACACAATACAGCACGCAACATTTCGACCGATATCGCGCTGGATGGTTAGTGGCGACCGAGGAGGAGAAACGAGCGTACCGAAACGCTCAACTTCGAGGCCAACACTTGCGCAGACCTGGCGTACCTCTCGATACTGCCGTCTTCAGGGAGAATATACAGACTTTGACCCAGCGTGGCCATATCGACGAGGAGTTGCAGCATCAAGCTCTATGGGTACAAGATATCCTCTCACATCCCCTCCGCAAGTACGGTTTTCCAATAGTCTGCACCACCGATCTTCACGAATATCTCTCAGGAAGGCTTCGTCCGCTAGGCGAGGGTCGTGCCAATGTAGCTCCTGCCGTCTTTGTCAACAACTTTATCAAGTCCAAAATCTTTAGCCCTTTTGGGACTTTCGACGCGACCGCTCGGTTGAGCCCAGGCAGGCTCGGATACTGGGAATACAGCTTACGTGCCGCAAGTGTATATCAAGTATCTAGAAGTCCGATGGATCATCTCGTCGATGATGGTGCCAGGACTCGCTTCATGCATCGTATGGTACGCTATGGCGGAAGTCTCGAACCAGAAGAGGACATAGTGCAGGAGCATAGGTCCGAACTTGACGAGCAGTATCTTGTTGTCTTGGACTCGAGCTTAGTGCCACTTATCGCCAATGATAAGGGGGCGTTGCGCAAGGAGGAGAGATTGGAATTCGAAATCGTTGCATGGCTGTACGATGCGGATTGGGATCCCCCTTCCCTGTCTTTCCCTTTCCCGGATTCCCCTGCGACCAGAACCTCGGACGACATGGTAGTTGCAAACCCCACGAGAGACTCCGATGGCTACGCCGGCCGGATCAAGATCTCTTTTGGTTATCATCTTTATATTGGCATCTATCCATATCTGGTGCAGCCAGGTTTCAACCTGAAGGATATCTGGGCGCTCCACCGATCCGAAGATTATGTATATCATAAACAGGATCTTTCTGAACTTCCGTTGTTTGAGGTTTGATAGTTTCGATAGGGAATAAATCTCGGTATAACACACACATACACACAGACACACACCCCTAGACACGCGGTGTGACACACACACCATACATTTCCAATAGTCAACACTCACTTTTCCTTTGGCGCATTTCTTCCTCTGTAATCTCGTCGAGTTACTTCCTTTCAATTATGGAGCTACATCAAACATGAAAGTTCTTCCTTTCTGTCTCTCTGACCATCCTATCTACACCGGTGCTCGGCTCTCAGATGCCGCATTGTGTGCTATCAAATACCGAATCGCTTCGTGTGCAAGCAGGCCGGCCTTGGGCCCGGCACGGGGGTTCGCCGTGGGCAGAGTAGTTCGAGCCCGGGATTGGAAACAAGGGGCCGGAGTTCACGAGGCCTCGCAGATGCTAATTTGGCATATGTCCTCAGAGCCGACAGAGCTACAATAGATAACGTGGCCCCACAACCCCCTAACTTGATCGGCGGTACTTATCTGCGAGTCAAATCCAGTGATCAGCACACTCTTAAAGGCCATTGTTACGCCATACGGCATACCCCTCTTCCATGGATGATACTTCTTTTCGTGGCGATCTGCTCACAGTTCGAAGTATCGGAGCTAGATCGTTACCTGATTGGGCAATATCCTTGACTGAACAGGTCACTGTAGCTCTGTCGACTCTTAGGACATACATCGCTTGTTGGTGGCGTTCCCGGTTTGTGGGGACAATCACGGAAGAACACGGCCCTGTAAAGAGCACTGATGAGGGAAGCACGATGCCCAACATCAGAGGTTGCCCCCGAATACTTCTGTTGGCCGCTTCGGTAGCCGTCAGAGACCAGCGCGGCGACCCGCTTAGTGCGGTGCCCAAAGGCCGCAAATTTACTCAGACCTCTACTCTGTCCGAAATGCATCTGAGGGTGGACGAGGTATCTATCGCCAAAGAGCGACTGCCAGAATGGGCTGTGAGCGAGTGCAGCGATTGCTTGCGAGGGCCCGCCTCCATGCATGTCGGCACGATTCCTGATCAAGTCAAGTTGGCATGATTCGAGCTTCCCCAGTGGAGACGAATACATTTTTCAAATATGGCAAGACACACACATTGTCACAAACATCAGCCCTGCCCTGCCAACCTCACGCCTGTTCCGCTAAGTTCGACAACCTAGCATACTGACCCCCCCCCTAGTTTTCGACCCCCCATGTCGAGACTAAGTGTAGACGGTAGAAACTGGGGAGAGTCTTGACAATACTTCGGGCCCCTGCTTGATCGCTTTTATCCGATAAGTTGGCGCATGGGGGGGGTTCGAAAACTAGGGGGGGTCAGTATGCTAGGTGTTGAACTTAGTTATGAGGTCCTCCGCAGCTTCCACGAGCTCCAGCCACACATGCGACATACATCTCCCCAAGCAACGAAGAAACGGATGACGTAAGCGTAAGGACCACGGCCCGCAACCACCGTGAACCCCAGTCGCATCTCCGCGCCGCCTCGGCTTCTCCAGGTTGTCCGGGTTGTCCGATGCCTCGTTACAATAGTCCGACGCCCGCCGCGGCACCAGCCAGTACAGCCCCTACGTCACAACCTTTGCCCCCGGCGGCGCCCTCAGCATCCCTGTCAAGCCCGCCGGCGGCGTCAACAACAAGATCAAGGCGTTTGACGTTAGCGAGCAAGAAGGCGGCTCGGGCACCTCGTACGCCACGCCCCAGGTGGCCGCCCTCGCCGCGTACCTGCGCGGGCTGCCCAGCCGCTTCAGCGACGAGCTCAAGGAGCCGGCCATGGTCAAGCGCCTCACCCAGATCCTGCACCGCCGCGTCCCCGTCAACGAGATACGCGGCAAGCTGTACGACCGAGACAAGGTGCACCCAGTCATCTGGAATGGACACTACGGCAAGTCCAACTGCCTGCTCGAGAACAACGCCGACCCAATCCCCGCGGGAGTCTGCCCGGACTTCCGGGACACCATTCGCGAGACAGAGGTCAAGATACCCGTCCCCGACGAAGGCCAGGCACCCGGCCAGCCGGACTGCGCCCCACCGGGGACCGGTACAGGCTCCACCGGCTCCGGAGCTCGTGCTGATGCTTGTCCTATGCCCCCCGGCCCCCCTTCCTGACCACAACCACGACCACCAGCCAGCCACCGGGCGGCCTGCCCACGTTTGCGCCCGACCCCAAAATCTTTGTCGTCATCTCCCTCATCAGCTACTACTCCCTGCAAATCCCCGGCGGCAGGCACGCCGTCGAGCCGCGCCAGGGCGGCGGCGGTGCCATCTACGAGTACTGGGAGGTCTTTGCCCAGGACCTCGGCAAGCGCATCAACATCTGCGGCGCCAACGTCGCCCAGCAGGTCAGGCTAGACTCCAGCACCTACCCTCCACAGTTCACAGACTTTGACGCTCGCGGCTCGCGCTGCACCTATTAAGCCAGGGACGGAAGGCCTGGTCTGCTCATCTGCGGCGACTCGAGGGTCAACTGTCAGTCGGTCCCTTTCGAAGCCGTCAGCTGCAACTCATCCGGGGACCTCGTCTATGGCATTGCCAATGCTGTAGTCATCTGCTCTTTCTAAGGACAAAAGGGGAAACAAGGAATGGAAACAAAGAGAATGGAGGAGAAAAGGGAGGCGCAAAGAGCCAAGGCTTCCTCGCGCGTATGGCGGAGTCTCTTCTCTTTTTAACGGAATTGCCATTCCTTGATACATCTCCTCTTTGTTTTCGACTCTTTCCCCTTATTCACGACTTACTTCGCTCGTCTGCCACGCTGGCCTGAAAAAGGAGCCGGCCCTACATCCTTGCGTGGTAATACTGCTGGTCTCTCGGCTCTCTTCCAGCTTCTGATTCGACGCCTGGTGCCTCCTTGACAACCCCTGAAGACTTCCCCGTTAAGTCACTGAAGCTTTGTCGATCCCGGCTTGTAAGCCGTCCGTGTTGATACATCAACTAGACTCGTTCCAAGCGAGTTACCCATGTCCAGAGTGGTTCCGGCCGTGGACTGTCCACGTGGCAACATGACAAGCCATTTCAATCTCTGAAAATGCTATTCAGTATCGTTGCCATCGTCCGCGATCTGTACCTACGCAACACCGAGATCGCTTGTGTTCTGCCCCGCCTGTGTTTGAAATTGTGCCGTCTTGCCAGTCACATATGACCTACAGCGTCCAGTCTAACTACTTTAAATCTCGCTTTGAACAATTTGGTCGAGAATCGCACGCACTCATGATCCAAACCGGTACGCTATGATAGGTCCACATGTTGGTCGACCCCTGCCTTGCGTTGCATAGGAGCTTTACGTGTATAAATACTCGAGGTTCTCCCCTCTTTGCTTGACCCTAGCCCGGTGCTTCCTCTGCGCATCTTGTCATTCCTGGCAGCAGATTCCTCGTACGTATACGCACTAGAGACGCGGATCCCGTAAAAATCACGTTGCGAGCACGATGCGGGATCTCAGCGACCTGTCGTACCGAGAGATCGACAGCAAGCTCCCTCTGGTTTTTCTTTTTTGTGTCGTTGCAAGACTCGGCCCGGATAACACGCATCGGCCGCTGGCTATCGCCCAAGGTCCGTGCCTCAACAACCACCACCGTGCGGGACCATGCCTCACTGCAAGCAATCTGATGCTCATACACAACTACCTCTCGTCTTCGGGCATTCGCCCCTTCATCAAGGCCGAGCTAGCCCTCGCAGCTGAATTTTACCGTGCGACTGGGCCTGGATCGAGCCTGGCACGTTTCGAAGTGCTCTGCCCCGCAGAAATTGAACCGGCTCTCGATGAGGAACAAGCAGAGAAACTCAGACAGGCACCGGTTCCCGAGGCTGATTTTGAGTTTCCCTTCATCCTCAACTGTCTCCTGACAGCTCTGAGCTCCACAACATCCGGGGACGACTTCATTTGCACCAATGTTCGTCCCTGGCCACTAGGCGCTGTGTACAACCACCTCAATCTCGGACAGGGCCTCGTGGTCTTTGATATCACCGCCTATGACAACGTTGCGTGCGGTGTCCACGCATTCAAGACACAGTGGTTCGGCTGGGTTGACGAGGATTCAGAGTTCGGATGGGATCCCGTGGAAGACGATCCGCCCATGAACACTACTCGCGGCATGCTCCCACCAGGCCTGTCCATTGATCACGTCCCCTTATCAGCTAGAGAATTCGCTGCCAAGTTCTCGCACGGCCTTGGAGCCGATTTCGACAATGCTCTAGATCAGCTGGACCGGGTGCCTGTTGTGGATGCGTGTGCTTCTGACTGTGAGTAACGAGATGTTGATTCCCCGCGCTCGTGTGACAACATGTGCCGTAAGCTTGGGAGCGCTACGTCACTGAGCCCATTGACTTACAAAATACACTCACTTCATAGTTATCTGGCCTCGGACGCAAGATATCCAGAGTGATTCTCATCACCAAAAATTGCCATCATCCGTAGCTTCGACTTCAGAACCTCCTTCGGTCCAGTCTCCTCAGACATCATCAGCACAGCATTTTACAAATCTCAAAGACATGACCATCGCGAGCTTGTTGTCGAATGTGTCTGATATTAACATGTTAGATATGGATGCCTTTATTGGGGTGCAGAAGATCCCCGACTTCCAAGCGCGACTCTTGCACCAGCTCCGAGCTAACCCCAGACAAATCGGAACCTCGGCAGCATCTGCTCAGCTGTTGACTCTCGCCTACGCTGGCGAAAAGGATCTCGACTGGGCTTGTTATCATATCCCTCTCGCCTTGCTGGATTTAGCTCTCGGCAGTCCAAATTTGAGAAGCGGTCGTGCCTTATCCCTGTCAATTGAGACGCTGCAAGCAACATCTGAGGAGCTGCTCAAGACGATCCTCAACGCGCCGGCGACGAAAGAGGGAAACCTAATCCAACTCAATCTCCTGGAGGGTCCAAACAGGTCCAACGATGACTTCAGCGTGCAGTTCCTGCAACTCCTCGTCGATGCCGCCAAGACGTCGCCACATGCTCGACGTCTACTGCAAGCCCCGCCGCTGCTTTCTGGGCTCCTGAGCCACCCGCTCCGCGGGAGCCAGTCAATCGACAAAGACAACGGAAAAACAAGCGAGGCCTCATCACCAGTGCCTTTACTACCGACCGACCTCTTCCCCTTGCGACACTTGCTTGTCAAGCGCACCATCTGCCGATGTTGGCGTCATGGACGGCCTCGCTACAAACACATCTACTTGGGCGATCAATTGTTGAGGCCAGCGCACATAGCCGCTGGCATTTCGGATCTTTTAGCCCCACAGAGTCCGAAGACTCGGCGGGCTTCCTTCCTCTCGCCGTGCCCTGCAGCAAGTGTGCCTTTTCTGGGAGTCGAGGGCCACAATGATGGCGATGATCTTATCGATCGTGGTCATGACAACGATGGCGACGAGACGCTAAAAGCAACATCATTACCCTGGGCACCGGAAAGGATAGAGGACTGCACCGAATTTGTCTCAGCCTCATTGCGGTGTCTCACATCGTGCCCAGGTCTGCTCGAGCCTGGGAGCTGGACGCTCCTCGCGATATACGACAGACGCCCCCGTTCATCGCCTAGATATGCCTTTCTCCGTGCTGCTAAATATAGAGAAGCAGGAGATGATGATGCAACGGTGAATGTCGACACCGCCTGTTCTTCTCAGCCGACATGCACAGCCACTCCTGGCAACAGCACTTCCTCCGGCACGGACCCGCGAGGCAGTGGGGGTGACAAGCAACAGCATTACCATACTGGTCTTTTTGACATGGTCACTGACATCCACGGCTTTCTAAAAGCAACGACCCCAAGCGAGACAGCATCATCATCATCATCCTCGGACACACAGAGGCGACGAGAACAACGCGTCATGATCGAAGGGCAACGAGAGGCGTTTCTAGGGCCGACAGCACACCTGTCCTCGCATGAAGCTGTTCCCTTTCTGAACGATTTCGCTCGTGAGACCAGCACATCGATCAACAATACTGACGAGGCGGGACTTGCAGAAGTCAAGAGAAGTCGAATGGAATATATCGGTGGGTTTGCTGATACAAGCCTTGCTCCTTTTTGGCCGTGCGAGGTGTACTACGCGCACCTGGATAAGTACTGATAGCCGTGATGTAGTGGCCGAGAAGTACGAGCCGCCCAGTATTTTCGACTAAGATTCGACTGTTTGATATATCTTAGACTGTCTCGTCTTATTGGATTGTTTGGCACCACGGAGCGCAAAGGAATAGGGTCGGCACAACTTCCTTTTCCAAGCTTCCCAATACATACTTCGTGGGACAAAGGGGGGGGCGGGGGCTTGATGGAGAGTTCTGTATTCGAGAATTGGTGCATTTTAACACAAGCATTCTTCAATGTGGACGCATTGGCGTTATTGCCGCGACAAACGGCGCGGCTAATCAGTCCATCCTCCAACGCGTGCGAAAATTCGATCCACAGGGCAAACGAACACTTGGGGTCATCACCAAACCTGACCAGCTGCCCGCCGGATCTGGCACTGAGTCCAAATTCCTCGAGCTTGCCTAGAACAAGGACGTGTTCTTCAATTTGGGATGGCACGTCATCCGAAACCGTCGTTTTGACGAGACCAACTTCAGTTTCCACGAGCGGAACACTGCGGAAGCTCACTTCTTCCAAGCGTCGAATTTCAGCGTTCTCCCTCCAGAAATTGTCGGCATCGCGGCACTCAGGGGGCGGTTAAGTCTACTTTTATTTCAGCACGTCAAGGCCGCACTACCGCAACTCAATACCGAGCTCGAGTCAGCACTTGCGAAGGATCTTCGTCAGCTGAAGACGTTAGGAGACTCCCGGGAAAACCCTTCGGCCTGCCGCGTCTATTTAACACAACTCAGCATCGAGTGTCAGGAAATCTGCAAGGCAGCTATCAACGGCAACTAGAGCACGAATACTTCAAGATTGGTGCCGAAGATGTCGACGAAGAGTTTTTGGTAGACGAAGAAAGCACAATCGCCAGACTGCGCGCAGTGTTACAGCACTGTAATGGAACATTCAACGAGAAACTCCGAAGAAAAGGTCACAAGTACCATCTTAAAGCATCAGGGGAGGCGGAAAAGCACGTTGACTCCATGAGTCTAGGGGATTTCCTCTCAAAGTCGAGTTCGCCAAGGCGTCTGTCCAGGGACGATTCCAGGGCCTGGGTGAAAAGGTTGCTTCAGCGGTCTCGAGGTAGAGAACTGATGGGAAACTTCAATCCGCATCTTATTGCTGAACTATTCTAGGATCAGTCCAAAACATGGGAGCACTTGGCAGAGGATCACGTTCACAACATCGGCCAACTTTGAGAAGTTTTGGGCGAACCTCCTAAAGCATAGGGCTCCGCAGGATATCAGAGGTCGCATTTGGTTAGTCACTTCTCGAATGTTTCAGTTGGACTCGAAGCACTGACTGCGAATGGCTTAAGGACGAGGATGATCCATAAAGAGCTTCAACAACGAAAATCGGCGGCCTTGCACGAACTATGCAAGATCCTTGAAGACCTGAGGGGTTTCCCTATCAACTACAACTACCACTATACTGCCGTGATCGGTCGTCGGCGGCAAGAGAGGCTGGAAATGCGACTGAGAAGACTCATGCCAGCCAGGACCCCGCATGAGTCACACGAAAGGTGCAGCCGTGGCAACCATTATGAGAAGTACGGCCCCGAGCTCGGCATTGACCAAGTCGTCCATGCTGTGACGAAGAGCAATGCTACTACCTTTGATATGGACACATTCAGCATTGGGGAGGTACTTGACTGCATGCGAGCGATCTACAAAGTGCAGTATAAGACCTTTGTTGCTAATGTGACAACTCAGGTTATTGAAAGACATCTTGTGAGGGGCTTGGAAAACCTTGTTTCGCCGCTTGTAGTTGTGAAGATGTCGGATAGTGAGGTAGAGGCCATAGCCTCAGAACAGACGACCACAAAGCAGCAGAGGAGTATGCTGGTGAGCCGGGTCCTGATATTGCAAGAGGGGCGTGCTGTCCTCCAGGATTTGATTGGGTCTTAGTCTGCGTTTCTATCAGTCTTTTGCTATATTGCACCAAGTTCTAGCTAATGTCAAAACCCTGGACTTAATGGCATACATGCCTCCTCTTTCGCAACGGCATTCAAAACATGTCACAGGCCGGTCGTTCTAGCTGATCCCCTCTTTCGCGCCGCACGGCATTGTCGACGTCCAGCACGCCAGTCTTGGACCCCGTTTCAGGGCATGGACACGCAGGGCTTGTCTAGCAAGCTGATATCGGAGTTGCTCCTGACAGGACTGCGCATAAGACGCCCCGTGGCGTTCGAGCTTGACATGCGAGTATCCGCGGTCCGATCCAGGTCTTTGGAGGTGACGAGGGTGCCCACGAGGGACCTCGGGACGACGAAGTGGACGAGTTGGCCCGATGCAGCGGAGCGCCAGCAGAGCGCATCGCCTCGTTGTATGGAATGTCCATGGGAGGGTTGTCCGGCTCGCGGTCGAGAAGCCTGGCGAGCTGTTAGTCCAGATTGTCAATGAGCGTCACAGGCAGTGGCAGATGCGAAGGCCTGGGTTGCTACACTACACGCGTAATTTTTGGGACGAGCTGGAGGTGGCGTCAGGCATGGGTGACCGTCGGCTTGTGCAGTTGTTGCTGATGAGCGGTGCAGACGCAGACCGGGTGACCGAGCATGGGAAAGGGGCGCTGATACTAGCCGCTCAAGGAGGGCGCAGCGACATTGTCAAGCTCCTGCTCGACCGGCTGACTCCAGCAACGGCTGATGCTTGTGGCGGTCGTGCCGCTGTCGTGGCTGCCCGCGATCACGGGCGTCTGAAAGTTATTGGGCTTCTGCTGGCCGGCAACATGATTGGGCTCACTGATGACGAACTCTGCGAGGTCCTTGTCGCAGCCTGTGGCTCTAGACAGCTGGCTATTGTCAAGCATATGGTGTGAATGATCACAATCTGTGATGTACATGGATATGAGTGTTTTGGCTGGACGGAGAGGAGTACGTTGAAACGGTATTTGTCCCCATTCAAAGGACCTTTGGTTCCGAGGGGTGCATAAAGATGTGCATGAAGCTGAACATACAGGGGTAACCATAAGCTTAGACTGAGCCTCCACTGAGCTACGACTGAGAAGCACTAAGACCATTTGGGAAATGCCACATCACGCTTGGAAATTGTGCAACCTCCGCAGCTTCCACGAGCTCCAGCCACACATGCGACATGCATCTCCCCAACCTTGAAGCAACGAAGAAGCGGGTGACGTAAGCGTAAGGACCACGGCCCGCAACCACCGTGAACCCCAGTTGCATCTCCGCGCCGCCTCGGCTTCTCCAGGTTGTCCGGGTTGTCCGATGCCTCGTTATAATAGTCCGACACCTGCTCGCGCTTCACTTCGCTCTCCCTAGTCAATTGAAATATACGCCTGACTTCGCACGCCTCCATAAATTCCATATCCACATTCGAATATGGTAAGTACAACATTGGCGAGTTCTTAGCAGGTGGTCTGCAGCTGTGCTTGTCGATTGCATCATTGTCGCTACAAAAGCTGTCGCAGCACTCACGTCAGCTTGGTTCAGCTGAGTTCACCATGCCACCAGGTCTCAAGGTCACACAAGCCGTGATGAGTGTGAGACCTTCTGATGGCTCGATGTTCCCGTTCCTGTCGACATTTGTGTCCATTAATGGCTGACACTACCTCACTAGTCTTCTCTCGACAACATCGCCTACATCCTCGGCGGCCTCACAGCCACGGGCGGCACCATCGGCTTCCTCCGCACTCGGTCCGTACCGTCTATCGTAGCTGGCCTGACTGTCGGCCTGCTCTGTACGTCTCAACTCGTTGCGTCCTCGAGTTCTGCTCAGCCCTACCCCTGCTATCATAGCGTTTTCCCCCTCATTCTCCCCGGCAGACTGAAGTCGCGCATACTTTTTTATTTTATTTTTAATTTTTTAAAAGAAGGCGCTGTATAATCGCTGACATTAGATGGTAAAATTCAAGACGGCCTCGGCGGCTACAGAATTCAGAACCGCGAGCCGTACGGCGTCGAGTTGGCTCTGCTCGCCTCGGTCGTCCTAGGCGGCTCCTCGATCCCCCGCGCCATCCGGCTGCGCAAGCCCGTGCCCATTGTGCTGGGCATCATTGCCAGCTACGGCCTGTACACTTTCGGCACCGTCTTCGGCAAGACTTTGTAGAGAATTGACAGTCTATGCCGCAAGGTGAAACTTGGGAGGGGCTAAAGTAAACAGGACAGGGTAGGGCGTACCGCCCTTCTGTTGGGAAGGGTCGAGTCTGCGCTCGTCGGGAACTGCTGAGGAGTTAAGTTGATCTCAACGACAAATGGCTTCTGCTCGACCTTCGAAGTGTAGTTTGAGTCAGCTACCTGTAAAACACAACCACCACAATTGCATACATAGTTCACACTTTGGTCCACCACACTTTGGCGCAACACAGGTTGTTAAAGAACGGAGATTCTTTCGCTCAATTGAGTGTTTTCAAACACATCGGAACGCCTGTGTAAATGCCGCCCAGAGGAGATGATACTCCCAACTCTGTCTCGTACAAGGTTCTTATAAGTACATGCTTCAACAAGGGGAAGCGCTCTGATAATGTTTCCCAGGATATCTTGTGGATGATGGGTGTGTGCTACTGATCGACGGGAATCGACGCGGTGCTGAGGCCTAATCTGATATCCAAAATGTAGCTGACCATCGAAGATCTCTCTGTCGTGAAGAGTTTGTTATGCGCGCACGCCCCCCGTCTTTCCGTCGATCCTGGCCCGTATTGCCCGTTTCTCGATTCGAACCCAATGTTTCGAGATTTGAAGTGATTGGCGTCATCGTTTAGGGTAGTCATTTTCGTTGTCGTTGTCGTCGTTGTCATCGTCAACAAGCGTCGCGATCGTTGCTCCCCTGATCTTTCTCGGTCTGCTCGTCTTCGACCCTCAGGAGTTCTCGTCAATTTCCGCCCAGACCGCCTTGACCTTCTCACGCTTGACCTTGGCGGCCTCGCGGTTCGTCGCCGTCCGCTTGAGCCGCTCGGCGCGCAGGCACAGCGTCACGTCACGCTTGGCGTCGCTGCACATGCCCATTGCCTTCCACATGAAGCCGCGGGCGTGGCACTCTTCGAGGACGGCGATGACGTCTTCGCAGGCTACATGATTAGGCGCAGAGAACGAGTCAGCAAATCTCACGGTAAAGACAACGTCGGGAATTCAAAGCTGCTGGTGTGGGCGCTGGGCGGCTGAGCGGGTGGTTTACAAGGCATCCTCTGGTCGTAGGGGAACACCAAACTTGATCGGCCAAAGCAGTCGTCCAGTATCTAGGGATAAGCTGAGGTCTTACTCACCCAAAGTCCTGCTTGTATGCAAGTGGGGATGCATATCTAACGACGAGCAGCAGCCAAATGCGCTGTTCTTTGACGTCTGGATGTATTGCTTGGCGGGAGAAGGAACGTCGAGAGCGTGTGGGACGACCTTTGGTGAAGCCGACAGGCCTGTTGGAGATGGAGATGGCGCGCTGCAGGGTCCATCAAAGAATGAAGCCAATCAGCTCCCAGTATAACGCCTCCCGACGCCCCACCAGACATCTGGATATGCCCCACGGTGCGGTTTGCAGGGCCATTTCCACTGCCCCTCGTCTTCATCGAGCAATTCCTCCTGATATCTGGTTCTGGGGACAAATCTTACCCTCGAACGCGGCATCCCATCGAGACTTACTGCACTCTCAGCCACTTCGAACCACTGGCATCGAGGCTCGTCTGACGATCCGTGGCCCAGCATGGCCTCCAAGAACCCCCCGGCCAAGAAACAGCAGGGTGAGTAGTCCAACAGTCGGCCGGCCCTCAAACGACCTTTTTACTGCGCAAGACTCTTATGCTGACATGGCTGCTATCCGGTGTTCCAGAGCTGCAAACAACGTATTCAAACTTCAAAAATACGTTGCAGCAGATAGCACAGAAGATCGGTGACGTCGAGCAGGAGGCAGAGGAACACAAGTAGGTCGTCCTTCACCTTGCCCACATCACTCTGTCCGAGGTCATCGCAAGTCCATCGTGGCTGGTTTGGTCACGTGAGGTGGAGTGGCCAACAAGAGGCGTGGTGGTGCCAATATTGAGAGCCTGTTCAGCAGCGACGTTCCAAGGCCCCTCACCGCATCTTCCAGGGATTCCGCTGGAATTTTTCACCGCTCAGATTCTGATACGTCACCGAGTTATTCAGGCTTGTTCTAGAAACCCTTGCTCCCCTGCCAGGGGACCGCACATGCTTCCGCATGATCAACGGCGTTCTTGTGGAACGGACAGTTGCAGACGTCAGGCCAGCCCTGCAGACAAATGCGGAGGGGCTAAAAAAGGTGCTTGACGATCTAGTCAAGACCTACAAGTCAAAACAGGACGAGCTTGACAAGTGGAAGGTAGGTCTGACCCCGAGCTCTGCATATGGCGCTTTTCGTGCCCATCTGCTGCTTTGCGTCCTCAAAATGGACACAGCATCTGGTGCTGATTCTGGTGGTTCATTTAGAAGAAACACAATATCCAGGTTGTCCAGCAGTAAAACCGGGAAACACAGGAACCGACGATGTGGTTGGGAGCACCTCTTTGCGGCGGAAAGAGAACCAAGACATGAAGCAATGTCACATTTCATGGTGCCTCCCAAATATGACGAGGTTGACATCTGATGATTACATTGGTGCTCGTCTGAGAGACGTCGGGTGCTGGGAGCCAGTGGGCAACCATTGCGGCTCACCTCTTTCCAGACAGGCCGTTGCTGTCTGATCTGTACCGGCACTGCCGGCGTGTGGCTGCTGGCTGATGCGCATCTTGCAGGACCTTTGGGGGGAAACACGATGCGGCAGTGCTGGTGCGCTGTCAGCTTCTTGAAGTTGTTCAGGGGCTGAATTTGTGCTCCATGAAGACTATGGCTGCCTGATTCGCACAGCCCATTAACCACGCCAACACCAACACGAATCTCTTTCTGAATGCTTGGGTGACATCTGCTGGCACACACACTCCTCGAGGCGTGCAACGAGACACGACGGCCATGATCGCAGATTTGTGACGTCCGGCTTGGCGATCGAGGCGCACAAAAGCATTGCCACGAGGTTGAATTGGACAGCGAAGACGTGCATATGCTCCAAGGGCTGAGGGTGGGGGAGTGGACATACAAGTCGTCTACAGTGACATGGAGTTGTCCGGTCTGGTACGGCGCTGCTGAGCATTCCTTTAGTCTTGTCCGTGGTCGTCGGGTCGGCACCCTGCTGTCGCTTGGGGCGTGGGTCGGCAGAGAACTGTGCTGAATGCAGGCTCCGGAGACGAACGATCCGTAGTGTATGTATCCCAGCCCGAGGTCTATGAAACCCGGCGGTGATAGGAAGCGTCGCGGATGCGATCTTGTCCCTGATCTGGAATGACGTGATGCGACCAGGCAAAGCCCACCACAGGCCGGCGGTCGACATGATGCAGGGCAGGGCCTATGAGCTTGGGCCCGATGATTTGGTACCCTGATGATGGGTCTCAGGGAGCTGCGCTTGGAACTGCCTGGGCATGCCACTGACATGGATCGGGTGATGATTGGGCATCAGTGAGGCAGCCACCAGGGTTCGTAGGTCACACATTGGGCTGCAGAAGGCGTTGTTGTAAGCGCATGCGATTGTCAGTCTGGGCTGGAGAGCCTGATTTTCCGCACATCTTGGGAGCTGTCACAAGTCCTGCATGTTGCAGGTGGTCACTGTCGTTGCCTTGATCAAAGAAGCACGGATGTCAAGACGGTGGTGGTTCTGTTCAGGTGTGAACTCGGCACTGGTCAGCCACTTGCGCTGGAGCCTGCCAAATATAGCTCCCGTCCCTATAGTTGCAGGAGACTGCCCGGCAAAAGGCCTCGTATTATCAGGATTGGGAGCGTCCATGGCGGCTGTGACCCAGGATACAATTCAGGACTTGAGTCGCTCGCCCGCAGCTGTTGCCCGCGAGTCGGTTCGCTTCCGTAGATGGGCCTCATCCACTCCCTGGGGCCAAGTACAGAGCTCCAAGCCTGGCTGAAGGGTGGCCGCCACACACCGCGATTCCAGGCCGGCCCTAGCAACGCCCATCTGATTATGACACCCCTGCAAGTGCTGCCGTGTTGACAGCCCAGCCAGGCGGCCGACCGACCGCCGCCCCCGCGTTCACACGCGCCCACACTTGCACCCGACTTGCAAGGCCACCTGGGCAGGTCTTGCGCCTGTGCGCGCCCTCTCCCAACCCCGTCCCGCAGACGACGTCGTCACGTACCCTACCTACATCTCTGCGCGCCCCGTTGCCATCCGCATCTCTCGCCGCTGCACTAAGCAGACCGACTCCTCGAGACAGCTTCGTACTGGTCCCGACTCTGCTCGCCTGCTCCGCCCGCCTACATATCCTCCAGGTACCTACCTACACACACCAGACACATACCCAAGCACGCCCCCTTCCTAGGCGCACTCCTCCACCGTCATCGCCTCCGCCCGTGACGCTTGACCGACTGCCCCGGCGCCCAGGGTTCTACCCAAACCAAGCACCTTGCCATCGCAGCACTCCCGGCTCGACTGACGCACTCTCTGCAGCTCCGCCACGCCCCCGTGCAAGCCTCGCCCTCTGCAACGTGTCAGAGGCAGGGACACATCATCGCCGACAGGACGGCGCGCTCGAAAAAAGAGGGTCTCGCGCTTTCACTCTTAAGCCAGCCGCCGCGGCAGAAAAGCCCAGCATGTCCGACTCACCCCAATCCCCTCCCAAGGATGTCGACCAAGGCGCTCAGTCGCCCGACGATGAAGGCCAGATGAATGATCCTCAGGACCCACATGCCGGCGGCCACGCGTATGAGTTTGATGTCAAGGAGCAGGACCGGTGGTTGCCCATAGCCAATGGTAAGTCCCCGTCTTGCGCTGCTCTCCTTCTAGAGCCATACATGGTGTCCGTCCTGGGAGACATCCTTGGCGTGAATCAAGATCATACTGTCGCTGGGTCAAGACTGTTCTTGGTTCAGCGCGAAAGGATTTCACGATCACGCCGAGACTCAACATGCGTCTTGAGGCGGCATCATGGAAAAAGGATTCAAAGCATATGGCAGATATCCTCAGCTAACCATGGAGCTCTGCAACAGTTGCTCGTATCATGAAGACGGCGCTTCCAGAAAACGCCAAGATCGCAAAGGACGCCAAGGAGTGTATGCAAGAATGTGTTAGCGAGTTCATCTCTTTCATCACCAGCGAGGGTAAGCGAAGCACCAGGAGTCCCCAAGACTGCCAAACTGGTCTTGAACAAGGACACTGACGTTGTTTTGCAGCATCTGAAAAATGCCATCAAGAAAAGAGGAAGACCGTCAACGGAGAAGACATCTTGTTCGCCATGACCTCTCTCGGCTTTGAGAATTATGCCGAGGCTCTCAAGATCTACCTCTCAAAATATCGCGAGGTCAGTTGCGAACTTCATTGACACGATCCTAAGACAATGGCTCATGGTTGGTACGGCTACTGACAATTCACAGCAATCTCAATCAAATCGCGGTGACAACCAACCAGGGCGCCCGGGTAGCCAGGGATACGGTGCAAGTGGCCCTGGTGCCGCAGGAGCCCCAGGTGGCTTCCAAGGTGATGTGAATGAGGCCGGCGAAGGGTACATGTACAGCCAGCCCGCACACAATGGCGCTGCTGGGGATGGCTATTAGCTCGTGGCGGCGTAAGAATTTGTGCCTGCGCTTATGCGACAAACGCTCGAAAACGCCCTCTGCGTGAGCTATCGGAAATTCACTTCCTGACAAGGGTTGCTCTAAATAGTCCGGGGAACCTGGTGTCAGGACGGGGCAAATGGAGTTCAGGTCCATCCATAAAGGATGGTTTGCAATTGCGGCCAGGGACGTGCCTAGGCAGCACATGTGTACATTGAGATAGCCTTACAATTTTCCTCCTTGATACGTTCCAAGCAGAACCAACCCGACCGATGTTGTGAACTTAGATCGGTCATCATGGCTGTGTAGCTTGGGCTATAATTGCTTTCAGGACACATCCGGACACAAAGACACAGAACAATCACAATCTCGCATCATCATATCTTCTACGTATAACTGCTTCAATCGTCATTGTTCGTACCAGCCAACTTTAGTAGAGCATCGTTGGGGCGATTCCACCCGACTTCTAGCGACCTAGCGACCCAGCTACAAGTTCAGATAGTCCACATCACCAAGTATTCTTGGAGGACACAAGTACCTCTACCATCAACGAGCCACATTGTAGTTCGCCGTAATAGATAGCAGAAGTATTGGTACCCGAATCACCCGCCGCTACCTACTCCGGACATCCGCGCCCCGGAGCAGCAACCGCACTGTGGGTCACTCACGCGACTCTTCTCCACCACACGAGACAGGCTCCACCTTTGAGAAACCATCCTCGTCCAGGGTTCATTTTTTTCACGGCAGTACCATCGTCAACTTCTTGCCGCCCCTCACCTGCGACTCACCGCAGGTGCCATCTCCCCCGCAATCGACATCATTTTTGCGAGCGACTCGTCTAATCCAGCATGAGCTCCAGCTGCATGGCCTGCGCTGTCTTGTCCATATTTACGCGGTAACTTTCACGAAGCTGCCCACGCGCGCGTCCGTGCGTTCATCCTCCTCCGCATCGTGTATAGCAGCAAGAGATTCCAGAGAGCACATGCCTTCCCTAGTCATCGGCGCCGATACAACATCGATGCAGGTCGCAACGCCTCGTGGAAAGCACGCCGGGCCGGCGGCGGTCGTCGCCCATACAGCCAAGAACATACGGCCCATACTCAAGACGTCAGCACAAGTTCTCGGCAAGCGGCGAATGAGCGACGATGAAGACACGATGGACGAGCTCAACACAGATGCCCTGAGTGGCGCCCGCAAGCGCCAGAAGGTCGAGTTTGACCTGAATAATATCGAAGTGCACGAGATCGGAGTACGGACCGTCGACGAGATAAAAACTGAAATCAGAAAGGCCCTTGAGGGCCACGAGCGGGGCGATGACGAAGAATATGATATCCTCAAGGACACTCTATCGGGCAAGCAGGTCCTACGGCACGACGACATCGAGGACGGGGACCCCTCTATACCTGAGAAACGACGACAGGAGCTCAAGATCTATCTCGTCGCCCTTGCCAGTTTCGCCCCCCAGCTAGGCCGGTCGAGCTCGGGGCTCGTCAAAAGCGTCCTGCAATGCGAGTGGCTTGGCAGAGACGACCAGTTCGCCAAGATCTATGTGCAGTTCCTCGCGGCTCTCGTTTCCGCGCAGGGTTCATGTCTGAACCCCGTCCTGACCATGATCGTCGACAAGTTCTCCGCCGCGCGAGTATCAGACTGGAGTGTGCCAAACTTCCCACCGGTCAACAAGCAGCTCGTCCAGCGCAGACTTCACCTCGCTCTGCAGTATCTCCTGTCTGTCTTCCCCGCTGCGAAGACGGTCCTAGGCCACGTCGTTGCACAGAAGTATCCCTTCCACGATGACTCGAAACGCATGCATCTAGCCTATGTGGACAACATGCTCCGCCTTCGGGAGTATGCACCCAGTCTCAAGAACGAGATCATGGACCTGATCGTTAGTCGCCTGGTCAAGATCGATGTCGAAATGCAGATGGATCTGGAAGATATGGACGACAGAGTAACTGCCATGGTCGCCATGGCGCTAAAGTCGTCACAAGAGAACAACCTTGAGGATGCCGACGACGATGATGATAGCGATGCGGAGTCGGTCGACAGTGAGGAGTCCGAGGAAGACAACGAGTATGCGAGGGTGAAGACAGCCAAAGAGAGTATCGAGAAGATGGACTACATCCTCGATGCCCTGTTCCGCTTGTACACGCCACACTTTGCCGACCCGGATTCGGACGACGCGATGGACGTCTTTACAGATCTCCTTGGCGAGTTTTCGCACATCATTTTGCCAAACCTCAAGTCCCGGCACACGCAGTTTCTCATCTTCCACTTTGGCCAGCAGTCTGAGCAGCTCATGGATGCGTTCTGTGGCACTTGCATCAATATCGCGTTTGAGTCATCGCGACCACCAGTCCTGCAGCAGGCCGCATCAGCATATCTGGCTAGTTTTGTCGCTCGCGGGGCTCACGTACCTGGGCACATTGTGGTCAAGATTTTCGAAGTTCTCGGGTTTCACCTCGACCAGATGCGCACCAACTACGAGGCAACATGCCGCGGCCCGGACGTCCGACGATATGCCCCGTTCTACTCTCTGATGCAGGCACTCATGTACATCTACTGCTTCAGATGGCAGGACCTTGTTCGGTCTGTACCCGAGGACGTTGACAGGGATGACCTAGCCAGCTACCTGGATCAAGACCTCGAATGGGAACCTGAGATCAGGGAGGTGTTGCGACGGAACATCTACTCAAAGCTCAACCCGCTCAAGGTCTGCTCTCCAGCCATTGTGGAACAGTTTGCGAAGCTAGCCCACCGGTTCCGTTTCCTCTACGTCTATCCGCTACTCGAATCGAACAAACGAGTCCGCCTTTCACAGTTTTCTGCGGGTGCTTACTCCAGTGGGAACGCTCTACGTGATCTCGCATTCGACCTGAATGACGAGAGCTGGCAACAGCTCGACTCGTATTTTCCTTTCGACCCGTACCAGTTACCAGTGAGCAAGCATTGGGTGGAAGGCGACTATCTGCCATGGAGGAGTATCACAGGTCTCGACGATGACGATGACGACGACGACGACGACGTAGACAGCGATAATGAAGACGATCTGGACGAAGAGAACGGAATTGAGGAGGACACGGCAACAGATGACGAGGAAGGTGTGGACAACTAAGTGTAGCATGGATTCGGCGGGCGCGCACTTGTGATTTCTTTGCTCTTTTGATTTCCCTCCTGCAAGGCGTTACGGGCGTTGATGGTGTGGGGAAAAGTCGGCGGGCACATGATTGCGGCATAACGACCCTGCCCTGTTGTGTTGGCTATTGTTTTCTGTTTGCGGTAGCCTATTTGAGGCTTCATGTACAAGAGCACTCGGCTACATGTAGTGGGATTGCGAGTCAAGAGCATTGTCTTGCGGTCATTGGCCTTACAGGCCATTTCAGCATAGCGGAAGGTTGCATTTGCTGCAAATGCATGTCTTAGTCAGTACCATAAAGAATCAGAGACTCAAATTACACGGCTCTTCGTCTAAGTTGTGTTATGAGAGGTGTTGTATCATAGTTTGGGGTCAACCCCCGAGCATACTCGCGCAGTTTGCGATGTGTGCATGCCCCAAAGCATTCTCCAGGGCAAAGACAAGCAGTGTGTGCGTGTGCAGTTTTATAAGCTCAAGAACATATCGATACAACCAGCTTGAATGTAAAAGACTATAAAAAGACCACGGCTGCATATGAGGGGATGCCGCTGGTTGCTTACAGTTACGCCCGCAAACCCCGGTCCACTACCCGTCCCTCCCTGAAAGCTTGAAGATGCGATTTGGAATTGACCGCTTCGCGAATCGCATGTCCGTCCTCAGCCGCTTTGCCCCCCTTTCTTGGTGCTGGCTTTACCCCACACGGCTTTCCACTTCACCATCCTAGATGCTGCGGCGCATTTTATTCAGCGCAAACTCGACGGTTTCACGGTGTTGCAATCACTAAAGGCATCTGCACCACGTTGCGGCGTGGACGACATTCGCCTGGTCATACTCTCGTGGGCGCACGGACAAAGCTTGCGGGCAAAGGTGTCGAGACCATCACCGCCCGCCTGCCCTGTCGTCCCCCCGTTCCTGGAGCGCAACAAAACCAGTCTTCGCCTCGCTCACGGCCGCGGCAACTCCACGACGTTACATGTAGGGAAAGCAACACCAGAACTGGTCAGATACGACGCCATGGACCCGCAAGCCATCTTGAGTGCCGGTGGTCTGGAGGCCATCGAGATCGACACGCAGCGCCTGTTTGAGGACTATTGGCAGCGCGGCAAGTACGATGGGAAACCCCTGGTTCTCGATGCCGCGATACTTGCGCAGGCTACGGGCGGTAACAGCAGTGGAGAGACTGGGGAGCCGGGATCGGGACAAGGGAAGGGCAAGGGGAGAGCAGGTATGTATGTTTGGCTCTCGCTTTTGGTGTTTTTTCTTTTCTTTCTATGCTACACGACCGCGCAGGGAAGTCCCCGTGGGTAATTTCCAGCTCAATGCTGTTAAGAAATGATCCCAGAATAATGAGGCCTTGTTGAGCGCTCGTCCCTAGTCCACGGGTTTGGCCAGGACCAGTACGCCCGTTCCTTGTAATCAGATGGAACTGGACTGTCCACCCTTTGCGAAAGCACTCACATTGCATCTCTCACATACACCCCAAACGTACACGAGCCCTCTGACGGGACTACCTCCGCCAACGGGACATGCCTGACTTTTTCTTGTCCAACAGGATCCAAACCTGATTTGCAGTCCGCCACGAGCAGCGGCAGCACGAGCTCCGCCAACGAAGCCACAACTAGTGAGACTACTCCTGCTTTGACCAAAGCACAAGCCAGGAGGGCTCAAGTCCGGAGAGCTCAGATCCAGCACCGCCAGCGAAAGGCAGACTACACGAAGCAACTCGAGATGGAAACGGCCAAGTACCGCGACCTTGTCGGCCAGACACAGCGCGAGACGTACGCGCTCGAGGCCGAGAACACTGCCATGCGCAAGATGCTCCTTGACAAGCTAGGCTACCTACCACCAGAGGCTCTGCCGTCATCCTCGTCGTCAGATAGTCTGTCGACCGAGCCCAGCGCTGATGCCATGGCCTGGGAGGCAACGGGTGGCGGCCAAGTTGCCCATGTCTCATCGTCTTCTGAACGGTCAAACTCTGCGTCATCCATCCCCACGCCCGTGTACTCGGTGAGCGTGGCCATGTCAGAGGTCATGGGCACTCCTGCAATGCAGGTAAGGAGGACGTCAAGCCCGCCACAAGTATCGTCACGATCAGGGAGTGTGTCAAAGTCACGGACACCACCGTCTGCACACGCGTCGATGGCCTCCGAGGCTGCATCCCAGCACGGAAATCCACAGGTTGCCATCAAGCCTGCCGATATCATTACAAGCCTGACGGAGGAGCAGACTGATCACGCTATCAATTTCATTCTTGGGTGAGTTCTCCCGGCATGTTAGACACTTGTCATGCCGGCCTATAATACAACCTGCAGACTTACTGACCCGAAATTAGGCTCGAGCATATATGCTGGGATCACTGGGACAGGTCCTACTTCACACACCAGGCCTACGACGAGACGGGCTGCATGCATGGCCACGCATTGATGGCAAGCACGATTGCACTACAGACTGCACCTGTGGAGGTCTTCAATCAGCTCGATGCTGTTGGGGAATACTTGCGCTCGAACCCCCTCCAGCAGCACGACCGGTCCAAGCATGGCAAGTGTGATCACAACAGCATGCCCATGGCCCACCTAGACCAGGATCAGCACGCCATGCTTTCAGCCTCGGATGAGACGTCCACTATTTCGTCATCCGCGCACGCAACGTCGCTCACAAGATCCCCGGAATCGGGTTCAACAGCGAGCACGTCAGGAGGCAGTCTTCCGCAGACTTCCACAGCCGAGAGCCAGATGCCGCAGTCGGGAGATGCTAGCCGGGCGTCGGGCCCCAGCATACCCATGCTTCAGGACGGCAACAACATCTCGTGGCCGGCGACGGGTCTGAGTTTGGAGACGCTCCACGCGCTCGCCAGCAAGCTTAGCCCGCCACAGACGGAACTGGCACCAGTGCAGGCATGGTTTGAGATTCTGCGTGAGTACGGCACGGCTGTGGTGCTGGACCACGAGCTCATGGGGCGGGTGCTGGCCGAGTTTTCGGGCGTGGTGAAGTGTCTGCACTTTGGTGCCGTCATTGAGCGCGATGCATTTGACAGTGTTGTGTCACGGGTGATTGCCGCGGCCCATTGGTCGTGATACTCGCCCGCGAGTGCGAATTGAGGGATGGGTCTTGGACTTGCAGTCCTTTCAAAGGATCATGGGAAACCACGACGTCCGTGACCATTTCAGAGAGAGGTCCTGGAGTAACAAAGTGAGCATCCACCAAATAATGAAACCCCAGCTCTGGCTATGAGGTAGTGGCCCACGGAACCCTTCACTGGCAAATTGGGAGCCCCCTGTCGATCTTGAAATGTGGTGGTGACAACCCCGGATCTCAGTGACCCCAATGACGTGCTAGCCGCCAAGTTATGTGCAGGGTTGTTATTCCAGAAGGCCAGCCTTGGGAAGGTTTACTCTGTCCAGTGAGCTGGGATGAGGGACCCGGACCGCCCGCACCGGCACCGGCACCGGGCCCGGACCAGTCAGTCAGTCGGCTTAGGCACGGAAAAGACGGCAGCCCGCCAGCCATGGGTTGACGGGACCCCACGAACACCTCCCGCCCGAGGTCCTTTTTTTGGGCGCACTCTCACAGCGCCACAAATTACCCAGTGAACCTTGGCCAGGCCCCGGTTTTTAACTCTTTTGCATCTCGCGCGAGCAAATCCGTGTGACACATAATTATCCGCGGTGCGCGCTTGGCCTCCGTCATCTTCTTTCAACAAGACACAATCAACTTATTCTCCGCTTGCCACTCGATTCGGATGACGACTTGACAGTTGCGTTTTTTTGTGTGGAGACGTAGGGGGATCGTGAGCATGTTCAACGTTGAAGAAACCGGCACCGGGAGGTGGCGGGCTGGAAAGGGTTTCCGGCCAAGTGACATTGACATCCTGTGCATAGCTCGCCTGCTCTTTGGTAGTATTGGATTTCCATTTTTTTCATGAATAGCACGTCGTTTTAGACATCTCTCGTCTACGAGTTTCACTCTCGTCTTTGGGTTTCACGACAGCCAGCAACCAGAGCCCTCGCACAGCGCTGGGTTGGACGAACGGTAGTGACTCCAGGCTATCTCTGAATCTCTTACAAGAGGGCAACGAGCAAGCCCCTCGCATCGCGAACGAGCATCACCGCCAGTGTTCTCGCAATGGCCCCAGCAGAGGCCCGGACCATCGTGTCCTCTCACCCGGACAGCGTGCGCATGCTCGTCCTCGAGACCGACGAGCCGCACCCGGACACGCAGAGGGAGCGGGGGTCCTTTGGCGAGGTGCTCAACGAGCTGTTCCAGCGGGCCGGCGAGGCGCACGAGCCCAAGCTGGGCATCGAGACGCTCATGATGTACGCCGTCGAGCCCGAGGGCGGGCGGATCCCCGACGCAGAGGAGATTGGGGACGACGTGCACGCCATCCTGATCACGGGGTCCGTGTACGATGCGCATAGCGACGAGGAGTGGGTGCTCAAGTTGTTGAGGTTGATTCAGGGTGAGTTTTCCCCCATTGTGATTGCCGTATTTCAAAGCGAGCAGAAGTCCCGCGTCCAAAAACTCTCCCAATGATAGACTCCTTTCCCGTCCAAGATTTTATAGAAAGCGGCTTGTTTGATCATGATACCCAATTCGCCCAGATAAACCCGTCAGGGCATACAACTCTCGGCGTTTCATGAAAGAAAACGAAAAGAAGAAGAAGAAAAAAACCTAACAACGGCATGCGCAACAGAATTGTGGAAGACGCGCCCAGACATCCGTTTCACGGGCATCTGCTTCGGGCACCAGATCCTGTGCCGGGCCCTGGGCTCCAAGGTGAAGCCCCAGGAGAACAACGAGTGGGAGCTCTCGCACACGCGGCTCACCCTCAACGACGTCGGGCGCCGCCTCTTTGCCATCCCGCCGCACGACCCGCCGCACATCCACCTGCACGAGATGCACCTCGACCACGTCGTCCAGGCGCCCGTGCTCGACCCGGCCGAGCACACGGTGCACGTCTGGGCCACGAGCGAGCACACCGACGTCCAGGGCGTCTACATCCAGGGCCGTCTGTTCACGTCGCAGGGCCACATGGAGTTTGACGAGGACATGGTGCGGCGGCAGCTCGAGATGCGCGTGGAGAGCGGGAGCCTGGATGCACAGGAGGCCAGGGAGGCCGAGGCGCGGGCCGAGTGGATGCACGACGGGCTCGTGGTGGCCAAGGCCGTGCTGAGGTTCTTCCACGGGGACGACGATGATATTTGAGAGCGTGAGAATGCGGGAGCAGGAAGGGAAGTGAGTGTTATCCAGCGTTGGCGGGCGGTGTTTTTTATGTCTCGTCAAGGCATCATTATCGTCGGGCACCCGAACGAGGGTTGAGTTATATGATAGACCTTCAGTATATATGCGAAAAACTTCACCGTGACTCCCAACTTTCAAGGCTAAAGGAAGTATGCAACCAGGCGAAGAAACCCACCCACAAGTCTAGATGCCCCATGTGCATGTTGATGAGCATCGAGCACGTTCTTGATAAGGAGCGACTCTGTGCCGAAGCCGAGGCTTCGACACTGTTATATTAACAAATCTCAACTACAAGGCATATGTAAAGAAGTCTACAGACAAGAAGCAGAGGCAAAACACAAGGACAAGTGCGACGACCTGTATGTGCTCCGATGCAGTGTACCCGACTGGTCCCCGACATTGCTACTACTTCACAAGCACGCGCGTGGAACAATGCAAAAAAGAAAAATCACCAAACAAAGGGCCCCTCACTGGGATAGCGGGCCTACACCGGGCCTGGTGAAATCGTTGCCCGGCGGCCAATTGCCGAGAGCGCCAGGATCACCGCCAATGCGCACATAGCTGCCGACTGCGGGCACGCCATCCCGGAGGTAGAAGAGTTGGTACCAACCAGGTGGAGCAATGTACTTGTTGGGCGGTGCGGTGATCGAGCATGTAGTTCCAGCGCACGAGAAGGTCGGGAACAAGGTACGGGCACCCATGGAGTTGCCGTGCGTGCTCGAGACCGCGCCAAGCAGCGAGATCTTCTGGACGCCTCCAGCGCTCTGCCCAAGGTTGATGGTATATGTCCCGCCGTACGACCAGTCCTTGGAGGCGGCCGGCACAGTGAACGATGGCCTAGAACCCCCAGTGAGAAGATAGGGAGGGGTGAAAACCTCTACGCGGAGCTCTTCAGGGTTAACTCCATCTTGCGGGTCCGAGCCAGAGATGAGGACACGGCCGTCCAGGAGCGTGATCGCTTCACTGTGGTACAGGCGGGCGATTGTGGTGTTGGCCATGACAGACATGCGCTGACCAAGAGGCTGGGTGGGGTCGTAAAGGACGGCGTTCAGGTTCGGGCTCGTAGCAAGACCGAAGCCTGCCACGCCCTGGTGAGCTCCATTGACAATCAGGTAGGTGCCGTCCGGTAACGGGGCCATACAGCTCATCACACGCTTAGACGGCATGCGCTCCAGTGTCCAGGTAGGCTTGGCGGCATCTGGCTGGATTGTGACACAATTGTCTAGGCCAAGGGAGTTCGTAGTCGCACCACCACAGATGAGGATGCCAAGAGGATCAGTGTAGGGCGCTGACTGAGGTAGGAGGACAGCCGTGCCCTCGAGCGGGTATGTTCTGCCGGCTCTGGGGTCTGTGACTGCTCCAGGCGGGTTTGGCAACACCTTCTTGGTGGCAAACGTGACCTCGTCTAGAATCCGGGCTTCGTCCCAATACTGGACAAAGATGCCGCCACTGGGAAGAACAGCCAAGAACGGGTAGAGGTTGTTGGGATCCGTCCGCTCGAGCCAATCCATATAGAGGGGGGCCGTGCCGGTGTAAGGGAGAATTTCAAGCGTCGGGACAGGCCTGTCGTTGGAGCCAATCTCACCGCCAACGACAAGGATGGAGCCGTTGGTCATGACCATGGCACTAGGATACCATCGACCTTGCTGGAGACTGAGCTCGTTTACGTTCTCTTCCCAGTCATTGGTGCCATTGACACCAGGTGAGCCGTTCGGCGAATACAGGCGAACGCCATAGGTTGACTGGAGCGACCATCCACCAATGGTGAGCTGGCGGCCAGCCCTGTCAGGGAGAATGACGCCAGCTGAGCAGAAGATATCAGTGTCGACGTGCATCTCGCGCCACGTCTTGCCGAAATCACCAACGAGGCTAAGATCAAGCTCGTAGGCGCCAGTGCTGTTTGGGAGGCCAGTCCCGTATTTCTCGAGGAAGGTGACCTTGCCTGTGATTGACTGCATGGTCATCAAGGGCGTGACCAGCCCAGGCGTAAGGTAGCTGTAAGCTCCTGCTTGGTTACCAGTTGGGTATTTCCACTTGTAAAGTGGTGTAGTCCCGTTCCAGTAGTACAGACTCTGCCGAGCACCACCACCACATATGATCGTGGGGTCGCCAGTACAGGCTATGTTGCAGTCTGACTCTGGTGCTATCGTTGCTCCGTTGGCAATGACATCAGCAGGATCGCCGCAATAACACTCGCGACCATACTCCATTCCACCAGCTGCGTACCCAAATGCCCCGCATTGTCCCAGACACTCCTCAGGAGAATTTGTATCTGCTAGAATGATTTGCCAAGGCAAGTTCCGGACGTTGTTGACGGTGGACACCCAGCAGCCCTGATACGCCCAGGTATTGTTTAGTCCAGAAGTCTGTGGCGCTGGTGGCTGATAGGCTTTAGGAGTGCCGAGGGACCAGACTGAAAGATAGCCGGCGCCGCCACACATTTGCGTCGAGTTACCGTCGCAAGGGGTCTGGCATCCCGATTCATCAGCGGCCTGATGTCCGCCGTTGTAGATGGCGTTGGAGCAGAAGCACTGGCGGAAGTATTCAGTGCCTGACACTGTGTAGCCCATGCCTGCACAGAGCTGGGCACAACTCTGGCGGGTCAAGCTAGAATTATCTGGAGCCTGGTAAGTCGGGATGATACGTGGGCCAGGCCCATCTTGCCAGCAGCCCTGATAAGTCCAGCCCGCGGGGAATCCATCGTTGGCGGGCGCCGTCGAGCTCGGTGTTGCGGAGCTGCTGACACTGCTTGTTGCAGTGCTGCTGCTGCTTGAGATGCCGCTGCTGCTCGAAGTGCCGCTAGTGCTAGTGATGAAACCGCTGCTGGTAGTAACACTGCTGCTCGACGCTGAGCTGGATATGCTGTTACTCGCAGACACAGTTGTGCTCGTGCTGATGCTACCACTGCTGCTAGTAGAGCCAGCGCTGCTGCTAGTAGAACCGACGCTACTGCTGGTAGAGCCAATGCTGCTGCTGGTAGTACTGGCACTGCTGCTTGTGCTGCTGCTAGAGCTGAGCGTGCTTGATGTGCTTGTGCTTGTGCTGCTGCTGGTGATTCCATGAGCTGCTGCATACTGCCCCTTGTAGTCGTAGATATTCAGCCGGTTTGGACCACCGCAATATTCCGTCCCGTTCCCGTTACATTTCATGTTACAGCCATCGGTAGCCGGCTGTCCGCCATTCATAATGTCATTGGCACAGTCTTTCCATCGTTAGCACCAACTTCCAGCTTGCGTGAGCTCAAATGACATAAGAAAGTTAACCTACAGCATTCGCCCGAGTATTCTGTGCCAGCCAATACGAAGCCCGCAGTCTGGCAAGCCTGTGCACAATTGGCACCAGTCATGTTGTTCGAGTTGACAGGGGCACCCCAGGGCAGAGCCCGCCCAGTTGTGCCCTCGGCGTAGCACCCGAGATAGGGCCAGTCTTTGATACCCGTGTTCGGTTGAGGACCATTGTTGGTCGGGTCGCGATAGAGGGTCAGGCGGTTCGGGCCACCACATGGCTGCGTGTTGTCGCCATTGCAGGGCGTGTTGCACTGCGACGGGTCCGAGGCTTGCTGGGCGCCTTTGGCGAGGCTGATGCCGCAGACTGCAATGAAATGTTACTATGCGGTGGATGAGGCCAGTGGAGGAGGATGTGCAACTTACAGCACTGGCCATAGTACTCCAAACCTGCGTAGGGGTAATTCTGTCCTTTGCAAAATGTGATGCACTTCTGGATGGTCATGTCATTCGTCTCCAAAAATGCGGCCTCGATTGTCCTTCCGATATCCCTATATTGTCACATGTCTGTTAGTCCCTGCCACGCTTCCGGATATGACGATGGTCACCTACGTCCAGCAACCTTGATACTGGTAGGGGGTTGGAACATTGCTAGGGAGCGTGAGCTGTGCCGAAGCCAGCAACACGTGCGAGAGCAAGGAGAGCCCAGCGAGCTTCATTTTGCTGGCCTTGAACAATGCCATGGTGAAGGAGCAGGTACCGCAATGGCACCGGCAACGTCCACTACTTGGTCTTCCGTGTAAAAGTCCTGCCAATCGACAGAATACTTTGAGAAAGATCTACATGAACAACGTGGATAAGAAACTCCGCTCAGATATATAGCCTGCCCGTGAGCCAGGTGGACAGCCAGACTCAACCTGGCAGGGGCCCTGGAAGCTCTCGCCGGGTGGCCCTGATCCCTGCATCAGATCGTTGATCCGGCGCCCCACCACGAGAGCACCGTCGTCGGCTCATTGTGAGCTAGCCGGCTACGAGGGCTTGTGGGAGAATCAGGATTGCTGCAAGCCAGTTCTGGCCGACGCCTTGCATGACAAGCCGGCAGAGTGGTGGATCGCAGCCAGCATACCCAGCAGGCAGGGCAACGCCATCGGACCACACCCCTGGGACCTGGCCGAGTCGACTTCAGGAGACCCGAGCACGGTGCTGGCTGGCTGGCTGGCGGGCTGGCTGGAGATCCGCTGATAAGTCGACAAGCACCCGCAGGATGACGGCAGGCGGAGCAGCAGGGCCACGCCGCGCGTTGGGCAACGGTGGTTTGCAGCGGCATGCAGGTGCAGGGAGGGCGTGGCGGGCTGCGGAATTGTGGACAGCATCGCGACGGTGGTGGTGCTGACTGGACTGAGGCCCGGCCAGGCGTAGGCGTATCTGGGCGCGGTCTGGAGCCGTGGTTGCAAGTCTCGGGCGGGATACGAAGGCTCGCGCATCACCGTAGAAAGCACCCCATTCCGGGCCCGCCCCACCGAGATTGGTGTGCCTGGCAGCGTACGCAAGGCTCGAGCTACCGGGAGGGGCGGGCGCCAGCCGGCGGCTTCTTCAGGCAGGAGCCACCGGGCTGGGGGCGCCGTTGCTCGCCTAGGCCAGATCGGGGCGTGGCGCGCAGGGCCGCCTCCAGTCGCTGCCCACAATGAGCGAGGTTCCCTGCTCTGGCTGGCAAGGCACGACCATCATCAACGCCACCTGCATGCATGCATACAACACACACCCACACACAAGCCCTTGTGCTGCAGTCATTGCCGCACCGCTCCTCGTCTCGCACGCTGGCCACCGCCCTCGACGACGCTGCCTTCCAGTGGGCACGACATGCCGTCGGCTGCTAACTGTCTCTCTTCAGCCCTTTGCTTGCTCGGTGGGGTAAAGGAGATCCATCCGTCATCCTGTCACCCACGTTGCCATGACGGCAGCCTGTTGGACCCTGAAAGTCCATCGAGACAGGTCGGTGGCCGCCAAGTCCGTAACTGCTATCCGAGATATCTGTCAAAACCCACTCGATCAAGGAAAAAAATGGACAGCAGGTGGCTTCTGCTGACAATTGTTGGTTGCACACAGATCTCCCCCACTGTAGCCATGCGGCTCTGATCCCTGCCCCCTGCTTCCGAGATCCCTGAGCCGCAAAGCAGCAGGTCAGCCAGCAGGCAGTTACGTTCCGGCCTCTATGCCGCCATGTCGGCCTCCACCCTCCCAGGGCCGCTCCCGGCCAGGCATTTGAGAGCCTCTAAAGTGGGATGCTTGAACCGCCTCGGAGGCAACGTAAGCATGTGAGGAAGCTTTCTGCTTGCTTCCTCAATCAAGGCACGTGCCATCGGGACGCTTGGGTGGTGATGCTGAGAATACCCACGACCCCGGATTTGTCCTCACTCGGCATGCATGGCCCAGAATCTGGGGCGCCACATCTCGCCTACTCCCTGACGGCTTTCCTGTGACCCCCTTCCCGCCCGCCGGCGTTCTAGAGCACGGCATAACTAAGCGGTGCCAGTCCTGCCCTAGACCTGTGGCTGCATGTAGTAGCTCAAAGTCCGCACAAATGTACTGGTGGTAGGCTATCGAAGTTTATCATGTCATTGACATTGTCCGGCAAGGGTTGGCATGCAGACCGTGGAGATTGTGCTGGAGGTGCAGCTGCAGGTATACGAGCTCTTGCAGGATGACATGCAATCAAGCCAAGCATCTAACACCGCGCGACCGTTACGGCCGCATGGCCTCAGCGGTGCATGACCGGTTGGACCACAATCAGCTCGTCGGGTCGTATCAGCCAAGAGCACAATCACTCTACAACAAGTTCTCGACCCCGACCAATCACGCGAACTGGGTGTGCCCTTCGGCTACCGTTGCCACAAGACCTCTGTCGTGGTTGGCCCTCGTCAAGTTGAATGACGAGCATTTTGTCACATAGCTGTACGTCACCACGGAAAGGCCCTTGTATCGAATCATTGCTAGCTTTTCCGGCTGACTTGGTAGACATAACAAGCTCGGATGGCCTGGTGTATGGTTAGGGTACCACGGTAAGCGGGACGAGAGAAGGGTTTTCCCGCGACTTTTCAGCTAAAGGCAATGCAGGTGGCTCAATCGGCCCAGGCATAGATTCGTACGTGCAGTCGCACAAAACTGGAATCCCGAAGTCAGCTTGAGCACAGTCTCGTGCATATGTATCAGCATCAAGGTTGGCACAGATCCAGACCTCAGTACAGCCCTGCCACCCCACCCACCTAGTCCAGATCGGCCAACCAGCAAGAACTTCACGACTCAGCCCGCCCACTTCAACTACCACCTGCCGCCCGTCTCGGGCAATATATCACGTCTGCATGCTGCAAGACCTCGACCTGGCGAGAAACGCTTCGAGTGGTCATGTCGCGATACATGCAGGTCCGTTATCTGACCGCTTCTGATGATTCAAGGTCGCTTTTGGCGGGTGCCTGGGCTGTCCCACGTGCATGGATTGCAAGCGAGCGCGGACGCATCCCAACGCATTGGCTATCTTTAGAACTGTTGGCCGACCAGTCTTCACACCAAAGGCGCCCGCAACGGTGCTTCGGCCATCGCGATGCGCCAATCTGTCCTCGCTCATTTCGCCCATACTACGCCGGCAATGCAGGACAAGAATCGAGCATAGCTCTATTGCGACGTGTCAGCCTACCGCTGGGGGATTCCCCGTGTGTCCTGAAAGCGAGGCTACTATGCTCCAGTTAGTTCTACGCCACGCCTACCTGGGCCTAGCCTTGGTTCGCTATGGGCAGGAAAGGCAGTGGCTCCGCACTTGGTGCTTTACCTGAGGCTGATGAGATGGCAGAGACGACCTTCTGTCACCTTGCCATTTTGGGCTTGGCCTCTTGGGACTCATCCTGCCCACGCAACGAAGCCGTTGTCTCGGCTCCTGCGTGGTCGTCTGTGCTTGTATCCTGGGAACCCGATGGCACTAGTCGATCACTGGAACAACAGACGACTGATGCAATCCGAGCTCCGGCAGAAATCGTTAAGGGCAGAGACACGATGATGCCCGGGCCCGCGCTGCCGGACATGGAGCATGTCTGAGACATCGGTGCCCTCTTGTCCGACTCAGTCGCATGGTGGAATCCAGGGTCCACCGGATAACTCCTCAGTGGGACAATACACAACAAGCGAAAGCGGCACGCCCGTCACCGTTGACACTTCGCTCTGGTCCGTGCCTCGTAGTTCAGGTGCCCGTCCGGGCCGTCACCGAATCGCGGCGCCACCAAATCTGCCCTGAGCCTGACCCGCTTGTCCCACACCGTTCGCGGGGCCCAGATTGCTGGGCGGAACCATGAAAGGCCCACTCATTTCGTGATACTCGCGGCCAGCCTGCTCGCCTGCCACAACTCCGCAGTGCACTCTGGCAGACAAGAGGCTAGATGCCACCAAATGAACGACTGTCGGAGAGCTGTGAGTCGCCCATTAGGTCATGCATATGGCGAGGAATACCCACGTGGTAGTAGATGACGTGTCGCCTTCTATTCATCAGCACAATGAGCGCCGCTTGTGAGAGCTCCATCGAGCTTCCGATCACACAAGCCAGGTCTGAACGAGGTGTGGAAGACCGCAGCTAGACAATCCTGACCAAATGAGTGCATCCTCGCATGCTCGTCACGGACTATATGGTGCCCGATGTGGCTGCATTCATTACGCAAGCCAGGGAATCTGGAAGGTAAAGGCATGCGCAGATTCGTCATATGCCTCCGTTGACAAAGTTTTTAATATGAGGGACAGTGGCCACCTCAGAAGCGTATCGTAAGCCAGACGAGCTGGGCGACTTGGGCTGACTAATACACCACGCGCCCAGGGTTTCTCGCTAATTAGATCTGGAACGGGAACCTGCGTGTCAAACGCAAGATACCGAGATGAAAACTTGAATGCACGCACTGGTAAACTTGCTTGCTGCGAGGCAGTCTTGAACGGCATACTTCACGATGATGCAGAGTGGTTCAAGGAGGAGGAGGAGGGAGCCGGGTAGCGTGGTTGCAAGCAGGGATTCCATCACTATGAGCCATTCTGAAAGGACGCCATCTGATTGGCTCGCGAGCGTCGAGGCTCTGATGACTCAACCACAGCCGCCACTTCTGACAGCTTCCAGAGCACCTGTTGGTGGGGCACAAAAAATGGAAACGCCAGCAGCAGCTCCCTCGCCACAGCCACAGCAGCGACTTGTGACGACGTCCACGAATTGCTCAAATACTCGCAACAGGAGGTTAGATGGAGTTTCTTCCCTGATCTCCTTGCCAATTTGAATAAGGTGAAATACACTTTCGATCAAGTGTCGGGTATTCGCGCCAGAACCGTGGTCTTTTATATTATACCTCGCCCACGAAACAGTAGTGCCACTTGCGCCAGGGATTTCCAAATAGTGGCGTAAAGACCGACTTTAACGTCATCTACTCAACAAAGCAGGCCACGACTGGCATCAAAAGCTACAGCACTGGCTCCAGAGAGTCTTGAGGTCCTGGCACTCTCGCTGCACCCAAGAACCTCCATCAGTCACGCAGACGACATCATACCTCCCCAAGCACGGGCGGTGTGCATCCCGAGCCACCTGTCTGCCATGGCTGAGGCTGCAGTGCCAAGGGCACCGGCCGCACCTGGTGCAGGCGCAGGACCAGAGCCAAGGGAAGGCTCTGCGCGACGAGGAGGCAGAGGAGGCAGAGGCGGCCGCAGCGGTCGTGGTCGCAGAACTCCCAGGGATGGCGGTGGTGGTGGTGGTGATGGTGCAGACCGGCCTCAGCCCAGCAATACACAGGCGGCTGACCCTGCGCTGGCTCAATCACATCGTGCAGAGAGCAGTCATGACAACGCCAACTCGACAAACGGCTCGCAATCAAGCGGCAGAGGTGGGAGGGGAAGAGGTGGTCGAGGAGGTCGGCCACTGAGGAGAGGCGGCAATCTTGCAGGTGGTCGTCCAGCGAGGACCACGATTGGTGCCATCCCACGGTCTTTCGGAGGACATCTGACAACAGACACTGGCTCCGAAGCAGGAGATAATGCCGGCCTGAACGCTGATGCTCACGAATTTGTTCCAGGCCAGCCTGTCAAGACAAAGTAAGCCTACAGACGCTCTCCTGCTCACATCCCGTTCCGAAACAGCTTGACTAATGACTGAAAAGTGGAAAGAAGGCGCCAGCAAAGCCCAAGGCTACGCCGACCCGGAGGATGTCCAGGTCGACAGCTCCTGATCTGCCGACACGAATCCATGAGGACATTACCAATGGTCATTACGAGTGTGTCATCTGTACGAACGAAGTGCTGCCAAACTCACGAATCTGGTCATGCACCATTTGCTGGACAGTGACACACGGCACGTGCGTCGGAAAATGGTACACGAACCAAACGAAGACTGCCGAAGACAAGTCCTGGAGGTGCCCTGGCTGCAACTCGGGCATGGGCGTAGAGGAACCGGCCAAATATCACTGCTGGTGTGGCAAAGAGCCAAATCCAAGGTCTATTCCGGGGTTGAGCCCACACAGCTGTGGGCAAACATGCTCGAAGCCCCGAGGGACATGTCCACATCCCTGTCCGCTTGAATGTCACGCGGGACCCTGCCCCCCGTGCCTGATGATGGGACCGAAGCAGTCATGCTTTTGTGGAAAGAACACCTCGACGAAGCGCTGCGGCGAGACAGACTACGTCAACGGCTGGAGCTGCCACGAAATATGCGGCGATCTGCTGCCGTGCGGAGAACACGAGTGTCGTCAAGAATGCCATCCCGGCCTCTGCGGTAGTTGCCAGGTGCCAGTGCCTTCACTGTGCTACTGCGGCCGAGTTGCAAAAGATCTCGCATGTGACGAGCGTGGCGACAAGGAGGAATCTTTCAATTACGGTCAGATCGGAAATCCAGACACAGTCATTGTGGACGAGTTTCTCCCCGAGAACGCTTTCTGGGGCTCATTCGACTGCGAAGGGGTCTGCGAGCGACCCTTTGACTGCGGCAAGCACAACTGCCAGCGGTCGTGCCACCCGCAACATCTTGAGGAGGCTCACTGTCCGTACTCGCCCGATATCGTCACTCACTGCCCATGCGGGAAGACCCTGCTCAGCGACATCCTCGACAAGCCGAGAGGCAGCTGCGAGGAGCCAATACCAAAGTGCAAGAAGACCTGCGGTCGTCTGCTGTCCTGCGGCCACGAGTGTGATCGAGCCTGCCACGAGGGCGCATGTCCACCATGTCTCCAAAGCATGGACATCAACTGCCGATGCGGTCGGACGGTTACAGGCACTGTCTGTCACCAGGGAAATGTTTGTGCCCCTGAGTGCATGAGAATATGCCGTGCCCAGCTCAATTGCGGCAGGCACGAGCATGGCGAGCGCTGCTGTCCTTCTGAGAAGAAGGCCATGGAGCGGGTTGCTGCTAAGAGGAAGAACAAGAGCACGGCCACAGCCAACGAAGACGTCGAGGCGGAGCATATCTGCATCAGAGTTTGTGGCCGCGAGCTGAAATGCGGCAGCCACCGATGTCAGCAGATGTGCCACCGCGGACCCTGCCCTTCTTGCCCAGAAGCAGTCTTTGACGAGATCAGCTGTCATTGTGGACAGACCGTACTATATCCGCCACAGCCTTGCGGCACACGGCCGCCTGAGTGCCGCTATGATTGTACAAGATCCCGACCCTGTGGGCACCCTCAGGTCTCACATAACTGCCACACCGACGACAAAGACTGCCCTCAATGCCCTTTCCTGGTGGAGAAGCGGTGTGTCTGCGGCAAGCAAACACTCAAGAACCAGCCCTGCTGGTTTCAGGAGCCAAGATGTGGCAAGCCATGTGGCAAGGAGCTCAAGTGTGGTTTCCACAAGTGCCGTAAACTCTGCCACCGCGATGGTGACTGCGAAGACGTCGATATCCCAGGCTCGCATTGCAGTCAGCCCTGCATGAAAGCTCGGCAGTCCTGCGACCACGTCGATATCGAGCCCTGCCACGCACCATACGCCTGCAAGGAAGACCGCCCGTGCCAGGCAAAGACATTTGTGACATGCGAGTGTCAGCACAGAAAGCAAGAGGTCAAATGCGGAGCGACGAGGACCAATGCGTGGCCCTCGCGAATCACTCTCAAATGCGACGACGAGTGTCTCCGAATGCAGCGCAACGCGCGGCTTGCCGATGCACTCAACATCGACCCCTCGACACATCAGGACGACCACGTCCCTTATTCTGATACGACTCTGAAGCTGTACCGCGAAAACCCGCAGTGGGCACAGACCTATGAGCGAGAGTACCGGGTCTTTGCTGCCGATGCGGGCGAGAAGCGGCTGCGTTTCAAGCCGATGCAGGCCCACCAACGGGCCTTCCTGCACTCTCTAGCAGAGGACTTTGGCTTCGACAGCGAGAGCAGCGACCCCGAGCCCCATCGCCATGTGTGCTTGTTCAAGACTCCGCGGTTCGTTGCGGCGCCGACCAAGACGCTTTCGCAGTGCGCCAGGATTCGTGCTGCGGCAGCCCAGCCGGTGGCCGCTGCTGCATCGTCATCGACGGCTGCCAACATCAGTGCCGAGGCCGAGGCTGCGGCCAAACTGCCATGGAACGCCCTGGTGTTGACGTCTCCGCGATTCGGTCTGACCATTGAGGAGGTGGAAAAGGCGCTCAAGCCGGACTACACGGCACACCCTACAGTGACCTTCTTGACGAGCTTCCTCCCGTCTGAGGAAGTGGTGATCCGCGGCACCGGGCCGTGGCTGCCCACAGCTCTAGAGAACGCGCTCACCTCCCTCAAGGGCGCGGCAACCCCCAAGCTCAAGCGCCTCGACCTGATCAAGAGCGCGGGCGGCGTGTTCCTGTGCCACGCGGACAACTCGCTCAACATCCTGCGGCGCGAGGACGCCAAGGGGGGATCCGGCAGCGGTGCCGGAGGGTGGAGCTCGGTAGTCGCGGGCAAGTCCGCTGCTCGCCCGAGGCAGGTCGCTCCTTCTGGTCCGGCCTTCACGCCCCTCCGCAGCAAGTTCATCGCTCTGAGGAAGAAGCCTGTCGAGGTTGAGCCCGTCGAGGACGACTGGGAGGCCGCTGCGGACAACCTGGACGCCGACGAGGGGCAGTCGGGACGGGCAAACACAGCTGACGTCCACGCCCGAGAGGAGACGGGCGACAAGTCTCTCGAGACTGTAGCATAGCGCTGTTTTTACTGGAAAATGAAAACGTTCTGATCCCTCAAAGCCACACTTCGTGTAAACCTTTGTGAATATGTTGTCCTTGTTAAAGAAACGGACCCTGGTACCTAAATCATGCTCCCACGTTCCCACAGGATCGAGGCTGTTCGGCGTAAGTAGATGTTTTCGTGCATCAAGTGATACACAGCAGGCAGAACAGACATTTCCGGTCTTGGCAAATCACGGTTAAATGTAGAGAATGCTCATATTTGCCTCAAGCTCAGCACCCTCCAAAATGTTGCAGACTCCATTCGCAAGCCGCACAACCTGGCCATCTCGTCCGCATCACTCGTCGACATACGGGTCTATGACGGTACCGCTCCCTCGGCTAATGATGCTCTATGGCGGTCCCAGTTGCACTCTGCATGACGGAAGTTGCCCCGAACGAGCTATGAACCTGTTGACAAAACCAGCTCCGCTTGGCGTCCGCTACCCATCCGCCTCATAATCAACCTCTCCGTCCGCTGACACATGATCTGTTACACATTCCAGTTCAGGCTTCCCACACGACGCCTTGGCCTCCTCCGGATCGATCCAGCACCGATACTTCGGCTTGGGAATACAGTCTGCAATGAGCAGCGGATCGCGACCGCGGCATCGGACAAAGCTGTAGGGCCCGTCACAAACGTCATAGAGCTCGTCTTCCGCCTCCTCTCCTCCTCCGGTTCCGGTGGTGGTAGTAGCCGTCCGGTTGCATGGATTGGCCTGGCCACGCAGAGATCCGGGGAGTCGTGGACCGAGATCACCGAGACGTCCGGTCACGCCGGCGCGGTAGCCGATCGGATGGGGCGGCGAGACTGTTGCGGTCGCCATAATAGGCAAGGCTCCGGAGAGGAGCGAGCCTGTTGATGTCACGGTGGCTGCTGCTGCTAATAGCAAAACCCGGATGAGCGATGGGCCGGAAAGGACCGAGTTGAAGGAGCCGTTGTTCGCCATGGTGGTATTTTGGATGTTGGCTGGATGAATTATGTCCTTCACCGTCGTGCCCGTCAATGCTGTCCGATTGCGGAGGGATGTTGCGGGCCGCTGTGGTGTTCAGCTTCATCCAAAAGTGAAGACTGTTGGGTACGAATAAGAACCCAAAGCCCGTAAGTCAGGCTATGGGGACGTCCTGCGAACTGAAGACAATCAACTCACGACTAATAGCGAGCGAGTCACAACCGTGTTGGACGACCAGCGCTGTCGGAGCGTCGAGGACTTGCTGTGAAAGACAGGCAGTGGCTCTTGGGAATCTCAACAGTGAGCAAAGTGAGCAAAGTGATGACCCGCCAAAGAAGTGCGTTCAGCAGTGGTTGGAAGTCAAATGGTCATATCAAAGCGTGATCCGGATTATAAGGTCATATACTGGCCAAAGGTAGTGGCGTAAACGGCTCCTGCCTGGCGCCGTCATCGACTGTCTACGCGAGGAAAGCACAGGTTACTTCATCGTGCCTACCTCATCGTACTCACGAATACGCGACGACGGGGTTATCATATTTGAACGATCTGGTATTAATGCGGCCATAGCAATACAACTCTGGGTGGTCGTGACCACCACGCAACGTATAGGGGTATCTCTAAACTGAGGACAAGAAGAGAAATGACATGCTCGCTGTTGACGACTCTGGCGAGCGCTCCGGGGCCCAATGCTATAGCTGCTGTCGTCCGCTTGGAACGATTTGTTAAAACAATGCTGGCTTGGTCAAACATGAATTGAGGCTAACGTGTGACATTCTCATCATTTCTCCGTGCCGGCGACGTTGGAGACAAACTCGGAGATGGACTCGAAATAGCCCTCCTCCAGTACGCTCGAGTTGTGGTCGCCGCCAGGCAGGGGTTTCCAAATCTTGGTTGGTGTCGTGGCGATCTCGAAAAGACGCCGCATGTGGACGGGCCTGAGGTTACATCAAGCACCCATGTCAGCTGTCATGATGCTCCCATGACCAGGTGGGGGCCAAGCTTTGGTGAGCTTCCAGGGGTCAGGGGTCCGCGAAATGACTTACGGGACAATTTCGTCTTGAAGCCCACTGATGAACAGGATGGGGACCTCTGTGATTGACGGCAGAACAGTCTCACTCGGCCAAACTTGATGGCAGAGCAGTGTGAGGTACTTGGCCGGCGGAATGACGGACGGGATCAGGGCGCGCATGGAGAGGAATGTGTTCTCGAGCACGAGGCCGACGACGTCTCCCGCATTCTGGTTCTTGGAAACCAGTTTAATGCTCACCGCCCCTCCCAGGCTTTGTCCATAGACCACGATCTTGTGACTCGATGTCTCGGCTCTTTGGCGCAGGTAGTCGAGAGCGGTTTGCGCATCGATCATGAGACCCTTCTCGTCAGGCTCGCCAGTGGACAGACCGTAACCACGGTACTCGAGCATGAAGACGTTACAGCCGACGTAGTTGATCAGCATGCGTGCTATGGGTAGTCTGTGGCCAATGTTGCCAGCATTCCCATGGAACATGAGAATTGTGCATTTCGAGTTGCGGCCGTCGCGTGGGCTGCGGATATAGAATGCCGACAGCTTCTCCCCATCGTCTGTCGGTATGACGAGCTCCTCAAAGTCCCTGATTCCAAACTGTGAAGGTCGCGGTACGTCGGTCCGGGCATTTGGGGGCATATGCGAAGGATAGATCAAGGCTCTATGATGGGTTGTCTTGGGTTAGCTATGGGTCTCCGCCTCAAAACTTGGCCTCTGACCAGGATCCGGGCTCGAGGGCGGGCACATGACCATCAAAACATGCAGCAGCACAATGACGACAGACTGTCTTGGTCGAGGCACCACGAAGCTCGGGGAAAAAAAAAAGCAAGAGCATGGGGGGACAGCAGGTGGGGGACCGACTTTTGCTTGAAGTAGAGTAGCGTCGTCAGGACGGCAGCAACACCCTGTGTTGTACAGGTTAGCTCATGCCGATAGGCCGCACGGCAGCGGTCGGTTATGGCGAGATGAGCGCGGCGACAGGCGCGGACCAGCGAGAAGGACGGGAAAGACGATGCCGGCTTCTTGGAGGCGGCAGGATGGGAAGACAAGGACAAGGAGGGTGAAGGCATACCGTGGACGCCAACGCTGGAAGGCGCATGTACGCTCCCACGGTGCTAAGGAGCGAGGCCGTCTGCTCCAGGTAGCTGCTGGGTTGGGATGAGGAAGCAGGCGGAGGAGACATGGTCCAGCCTGATGAATGGGACGGAGGAGGAAGACGGGACGAGGGTGCGAGTCGGACGGAAGAGGCGGAGAGGACACACGGTCGTCTGGAGTCGCGGGCGGGTCAGCAGAGAAAAGAGCTGAGGAGGCAGGCCGGCAGGGCAAGCGACGGTCAAGGTCAAGGAGGCACAGGCGGTGGGTTTCGAGATCACGGTGCGGCTAGTTGGTGGAGAACCTCGACGCTGGACCCTGGTCGGGCCTTCGACCCAGCTTTCTGGACTGGACCTGTGGCTGCCAGGTCAGCTTCTGCGCTGCTGCCCACCTTTGAGGCAGTGACCTGTAGAAACCCGTGAGCTGGGACAGCTTTCGTGCAATTTGGGGATAGCTTGTCCTCTATTGCTAGACACTGGATCTCGACGCGAAGCAACGGGGCTTTGGGGCCGTACTGCCCAGACTTCCCAAGGGGAAAATTTCAGCCTCAATGCAGCGACTGCTTCAAGAGTTGTGCTCCGGCCTAGAGGATCATTATGAGGTGCAGTGCGTGCCGTTGGGCTGATGTGTAAGCATGCAACGACAAGGGAGAGGAGTCGACAATCTGCCAGCCCTTGTTGGGAATCAATGCGCATAACCCAGGGAGACGGCCGTGGCGGCGGCTGTCCGCGTGGGTGGCGTAATTACTGCGTAGAGCAAGTCAGTAATTAATTAACTACCTAGGTAGGTACATCAGTATTCATTGGCAGCCGCCGCAATGCATTCTTGATGCCCTCCGCACGCCGGCCCCAGCTCGAGTCGAGTGCCACAGTGGTGCGACTCTGGCCTGGCCGTGCGCAAGATGCACGACAGTCGATGGCGTCGCCGGGGAGCCGGGGACGGAGCACTGCCAGGCCCCGTCTGGCGCCCCATGCGCTCCTGGGCGCCCGGCTAGGCCAACTCGAGGCTCGCGCCAGGCACCAGAAGGCGAGCATCGAAGCTTGGAACTGTGCTCACCCGGGCGCTTCTTGTCACCGCGATGGGATAATCCGTACGTACTCAAGGTAAGCACTCCACTGACCGTCACCGTGGTGGAGCACAGACTCCCCAGGCACGGTGGTATCGTCAGGAGCCTCCTGAGACGTCGTCCGCAACAAAAGCAGCACAGCCTTGTCCCGGCACAAAAGAGAGGCAAAGACCGACAGGCAGCCAGCCAGACAGTCAACAAGTCTCGTCAGACGGCCTAGTCTGTCCTTGAGCACCATCGACACATGGTCCTAGGCCATCACTACGTATGCAGCGACTGCCGCCTATTAAAGCCGCAACGCGAGAGAGGGTACATCTCGTCACTGGCTTGATGCTCAACACCTCTCAACATTCTCCGCACTAACTGCGGGCCCGGGATACGCTCCGGGGGGGCCTTGCCGCTCGACAAGGCCACCACGAGCACTCCCGCCATCTCCTGAGCTCCAAGCCCACGAGCTGGTTTGGCTCACCTGTCAAGTCAATGCTCATCCGGCACTTGGCCGGTGCGCCTCATGGCTCTTCCGCTACCCAGCTGACTCCTACTCGTCTCTGCCTGGACTGAGCCAGCGTATGATTCATGACTCCGTTAATACTCAGAGCTTACCTTGTGCCGCCTTCCAGACTGGAAAAGGAATTGTGTGCTGCCCCTGGACCATTGAGCTCCCCCTACCCCCTACGAGGGTCCGATCAGGATGCCACCGTGAGCCTCCGTCCAATGCCACCTTGTCCCCCTTGCTCTCGTCTCGGCGGGCGGCTGCCGAATCGAGGGGCCACAAACCACCAAGTTGTGCACGCAATCATACCACAGCAAGAGAACTGTCGGCACATCACATGTGCAAATTGCCCCCCATGAACATCATTCATGCGCCCACGCGGCCGACAACGGGGGGATGATGACAGCATTCCGGTCTCCTTTCTGGTTCGTGACATATAGTGTTATGCTGCTCTCCATCTCGGACTGAACAGCCAAGTCTTTGAAGGATAAAGGAACGTCACCAAGGTGATGAGAGCGCCGCTGCTATGCCGTGCAGGCGCCTCCTCATCGTGTCTCGGTCATCTTTCCCAATTCGAGATGCGGCATGACGAGAATGCAAGCAACTTGACCACCAAGACATCTCTAGTAGGAGGCGGCAGCTGGAGACACAGCAGCCACTCTGCATTCACTGCCTCCTCAACTGACAAGGAATTAAGCTGCGCTATGCATTTGGAAGTCGAATTCCACGAGCGCGATCAGATCGGCAATGTCTTCAGTCTGGACACGGCCGCATCGCCAGCCGTTGAGGTTGGCACTGTTGACATGCTCAGAAGCAAGTTTTGTGCGGGCTTGGCTTGGCTGTCGTGCCAGGACCACCGTATCAAAATCATATGTCACGAATGCTAAGTATCTGGAGTGTTGCGGCCTTTTATTTCTTTGCTCATAAACAGGATATCTGCCTGCAAAGGAGAGCTGCCATGCTACTCTTATGTGCTCGTATATCAAGTCACGTTACACCACGATCCCGACGACCCCTGGGCCCGCCAGCAGCTATCACGCTTAAGCATGTAGCTGTCCATTTCTTTCTGCTTCCTCATTGCGCCCGCTCGCCGCCCTATGACAAAATGAATCCCGCGGACCACACACAGGCGGGGTAAGGTTGGATTCCGATACCGAGAGCGACGAAAATCGAAGACGGAGGCTTACTACGCAATCGTCCTCGCCCGACTCTCCGCGCTCCGGTCGTGGGACCGCCGCCCAGATCCGACCGCCGCGCAGACGCAGGTGCAGCAAGGGGTCAATCCTTCTATATGCGATTGGCATACAGGGTTGTAGCTCACTGCCGTGCTCGGCAGGTGCTGTTGTGATCATCGTGATCCAGGCTGGCTGGCGGTGGGCTGGTTTGCATGCCCAGATCCATGTGCCTATCTGGCGGTGGGCAAATGCATGTGACAAAAGTGGTCTAGTCAGGAACCAACCAGCTGGGCGGGCTGCGCGAACAGGACAAAGGCCATTGTTCATGTTTCCCCCCCTCTCTCCTGCCGAGGTGCTTGCCTCAGAGCGGATGCCTCTTCCAAGCCTGCACCAGCAAGTTCAGGTCGATATAAAGGAGATTGAAATGGCGGTGCATCCAGTGATAGCTTCATAGACACATTCAGGGTCCTTTCCGGTTGACAAAAGTTCTCCCTTTTTGTCACTCATCCCCCATTCCGGAAGACATTCGTGACACATCGGGCCGGCCCTCTATACTGGAATGTAATCCATCCAATTTTATAGCGTCATGGCGCTGCGGTCCCTTACTTCTTCAAAGTTCTCCCGCACGCCTTTCGCACGGCATCACATTCCGCGAGACATCGTCACAGCAGTGACATAAGTACCATATCGGACGTGTGGTTAGGTCAATGCCAGCTCGGGACATAGGCACGCACATGATATCTCTTCACCTATATTGGCTATTACAGTAGATAGGGGCAGATATCTCCCTCCCTCGTGGAGCAATTACACTTGTATGCATAAGCAATCACAGCTGCGTCTCGAAATCACCAATGGTCATGGGCCGGGATCGTTGGTCAAAGGGAGACAAGGAGAGAGCAAGATAGACATACAAAACAAAGGGACGGAGAGCCTCCAAATGCCCCTCCACGCCACTACAAGCCATCGAGGGCACGTAAGTGCTTGCTGCAGTTCTCGTCTTGTGTACCCTGAGCCAATCAACACTTCAATGGGCTGGTGCCGGGAAAAATCCCACACTCGTCATCATCCCAGAGAGCGCGCGCCAACCCGACTACATGTGGTCTGATTGGCCACCTCCTCCTACCCCCCCCCCCCCCCGGGGACCCATGTCGTGTCATTCTTGCAATGTTGCAAATTGAAGAGATGCATTGCAGTGTTTCGAACATCTTAAGAGGCGGCAAGTGGGCATCGAGAGTGTAAGGTAAGGGGAGGGGGGGTGGTTATTGGTCCGAAGAAGGGTTCGAAGGGGGATCGACAAACTCCTGTCACGGGCGGCATGAACCGCGTTTCAGAAAGGGCCACTGGCGAACGGGGCAGGCGCAGCCGGCACGCAAGATTTCAAAAGGACGAACGGGTTGCCATGCTTCAAGCAAGCAAGCGTGGCATCCGGGGGTTCCCATTTGCTAAGCAGGTATGCTTTACTTTCATCGACGCGTGGAAAAAGCGTCTAGACTGGACAAGACGCGCGCGTCAGATGGCAAAGCCTGGGAACCAATGATGAATGACGGGAGAGTTGGAGCTAAGGTGGACTACGTTGATGGTGCTGCACGTTGATTGGACTTGATGGAATTGCTTTGCATGCATGTCAGGAACTCTGGCGGAGGAGGCGCAGGCAATCAGAGGACGTCTCAACACGACCTGTCAATTGGAGATCAGCATGAGGATGGGTGCTCGACTCCGAAGGCAGGGTGTTCAAAGCGAGATGTAATCAACTCGCGGCAGGGGCGGTGCCATATCAGAGGCAACAAGCACAACAACATACGTAAAAGGGCCGCCTTCTGCGCAAAGTGGTTGCATACGGCTCCGGCCAATGGGCCGCGAATCCTAGGGGTTGCGTTGCCTTGGCCCCTCGTCCATCAAGCCATTCGAGAATCATCGAGCACGGATCAACAGCTCACTTGGAGCGCAGGGAAAGAGGCGTATCAGAATGCTTGCTTGCTTCCGCACATGAAAGGGGAGGGGCGCTTTCGACGTGTCTCAGAACCTTCTTCGACAGGCTGCAGTAAAACCTGGAACACGGAGCTTCGCAGACCCATGCGTCCAGAGAGTCTCCAAACCACCCACGGCGCCTCGACTTCAGCTTGCAGGGCACGGTCAAAGCTGGTGTATTAACAACCGTCCGTCGAAACACATCAGAGCTGTATTTGGTCGTGGCTTTCTTCTTCCGTGACGCATTCAGCTGGCCGCCGCGAAGCCTGGAATGATCACGACAGTGGGACGACTGGCGAAGACAATACACTCTTGCTCCAATGTGGCGTGCTGGTACCTGCTGCTTCGGGCGGCGCCACTCCATTCCGCGGCACAATGCCGCCAGACACATAGCGGCATGTTTCACGCTGCATTTACCAACAAATGCGCGGACTTTGGCAGGATGTGACTGGAGGACAGTCGTGGTAGCACCCAAAGAAACCCTTGGACAACACCTGCCGTGGGTGTGTCTCTTATCTCCTCATCAAGTAGGAAGCCGTCCCGAGAAGACCCCAGAGCTGGGGTTGTCCCTCGAATGCACTGTCGCGCAACCCAGTTGCTTTTGGCAGGGCAGGTTGATCACGAGCCTCGGATGGTCGGTGTTGCGCATGATCTGCATGAGGAAGCTAGCGCATCATGCGCCCTGTATGACGACTAAGCTCTAGAGCAAAAGCCCCCGTCGCGACTCCAAACAAATGGCGATCTTGGCCCGCCAGGCAAAGTAAGGTGGAGAAACCACGGGGTTTGACTTATTGAGCATTCGGGGACGCAGACTTCGCTAGTCGCCTGCCCACCCGTCCAGCTGGAGAAGAAGCAAACTCGCTCGATGCAGGCTCGGCGGGTGCCCGACCCCAGCCCTTTGGTATGCAGGCCTCGTGATGAACAGGCACGCCAGTGCCATTTTAAGAGAGAGTGAGATGAGGCTGCGCATCTGCGTAGGCGCTAAACGTGAACCTGGGCTGAAAAGGATTCATTATGCACGCGCCGACGGGGAAAGTGCTGCACCTCATCGCGGCTGCTTGCTGCAGGAGCTACGGCACCCGCGAGGATCCAGGCACAGCTCCGTCATCGTGCTCAATGGTGTCATGGGCTGCCCGGGTTCAACAGGCCGTCATCACGCGCCTGTCGTTCGCGACTGGAGGCGAACGAGAGCTGGTGGGCTTCTGCGATGGCTGCACACCCTCTTCTTGCTGTCGGGTTTCGAAGGCTGCGGGGCGGGAGCTGCCTTTGGTCATGTGTGGCAGCGTCAATCTCAATCTGGAGCAGCCAGCGAATCAGCGGCCAGGAGCGCGTCAGGTTTGGTCGCCATCGCAACCAGGGATACCCCGGGCAGAGGCGTGGTTGTAGCGGGGCAGGACGAGAGGACGAGAAAGCGCTGGCGAGCCGTCGGTCGCTCGTGGGGGGGCGACGTCGAGCTGCAGCTGCGCCCAACATCGTCAGCATGGATGGCCGTGCATTCTCTGGTGTTGCCCTTGTGCCTGGCGAGGGGAATGCAAGACAGCCCAGGCGCCCGGGAGCCGCCAGGGATGGATCGCGAAATCAGATTTTTTCTGCGAGGCGGCACAAGCCCAAGAATAACGCCGGGCAGCAGAGTCAGGAACCGTGGAGACCCGACGGTGTCTGGATGTCAGAGTGGTGCGATCAAGTAAGCCGGACATGAACGCCGTGCGGCGGGAGGCTCGCCAGGAGAGCGCAGCCCGATTTGTGTCATTGACGATGCCAGGCCAGGCCCCTTGCGCTGAGCTCAGAGGCGCGGAGGGGCAGCTGGAGCAAAACACTTCTAAAAACAAACGCCACCCAGTGCCGCCGTATTCATTTCGACGCCCCTCCAGAAACGGTAGCAACCTCAGACACTTTAACCCCCCGTGCCTTCCTCAGACGTGTTTCCCATCCGCGCCATCCCTCCACTGCTCCTCCCGCCCGTCGTTGCCCGTACCCAGATCTCCCATTCCTCTTATTGTTTGCCCCTCCGCGGACGACATCTCCTCCTCTCTCTGGCTTCTTTCGACCTGAACACCGCTCGACAACACCCGCAACCACCGTGCGCAGGGTCTTTGTGTGGCTTGCTAGACATTGGCATTCCCTCACATCCAGAGCTCCAGCAGCCCACTCCCGGACCCGCGTCTTTGGCCCTGGTGGCCGCGCTTAGCGTCAGGACTAGGTTCTCGCCGGTGCCCAATCCCTAACGAAGCCCGCAACGCTCTGCAAAATTGCGACCTGCTTGAACAACAACAGCATTGTCAACACAAATCGTGCCTTTTTCTCGCCCTTCGCCCATCAACACTTCACCATCGCAACATCCCTTGGCTGTGCACTGCCCCTTGGGTCGAGACAGCCAATCGACAGAACCAGCTCGCCCCTCTGCACCTTGCGTCGGGCACTCCCTGGGCGATCCACCCTGCTCTCTGCATTGCAAGCCCTGCTTGCTGGATCTGCACAGAGACGCAGGAAAAAACCCGTCGACCGCTTCACTGCCCAACTTTGTCGACACCACCAACCACCTCAGTACACACGCACCGCCGTGCGCCGACCCAATCACAGCAACAGCGTGCTCTCTCTGCCAGAGCCTTCCACCAAACAAGATGGTGTCCTTCTCGTGTGAGGTAATGCTCCCCTCAGATCCCCCATCAGCCAGCCATCCGCCGCAGCCCGCCCGGCATCAGCCCTGCGGCTGCCAGCCCAAGCACATGCCTGACGTGCCCAACGCCCGTCCCGGCTTCCCTCCCTTCCCTGCTACCATCACCGCCTGCTCCCTTTCCGCTCCTCCCTCATGCGTACTGGACAAGACCCATAGACACACATGCGAGGCAGACTTCTGCGTGGTGGCATACATTCATCATCCTTGATTCCTGGTCCCTGCTGGCTCAAAGCAATCTCCACTTGCCACCACCTCCGTCGCTTGTCTTAACCTTTGTTCTCTTGATCACGCTGCCACACCCCACGCCGTAGCTCCACCATAGCGGCGCTTCACTCCCCTAGATCACCTCCATTCCACGCCTACATTCCTATCGGGTGTCACTTGACGTTCCCCGTTGCGGACCCTTCGAACACACGATCTAACTCCAGCGCCCCTGCAGAACTGCGGCGATGTTTTGACCAAAAAGAAGCTCGACCCCCACAGAAGCCGTTGTCGTGGTGCTACCTTCACTTGCATCGATTGCATGGTACACTTTCCCGGGACCGACTATCGCTCTCATACTGTAAGTCGCCGACTTCTCTCTCAAAAGTTGGAAGTTCGTCTTCGCATGTCACCTCACTTACACCGCCGCAGAGCTGCATGACCGAGGATCAAAAGTACCAAGGTGCTCTATATAAAGGAAAGAAACAGAAGCCGCAGCAGACGTTCGAAGCCGAAGTCGTCGAGGCCACCGAGCCGGCCACACAACCCAACATGTCACATCACGCATATGTCGAGGATTACAACGAGGAGTACGAGACTTATAGGGACTACCAGATCCAAGAGTCTGACTTCGATGGCGGTTTCCCGCCAGAGGCTCCCACCCCGCCATCTGCCCTGCCACTTGATGACAGAATCAACGTTTTCGACTTCATGCAAGAGCCGACACCAAATGCTTCCCATATGGACTTGCCCGTGCCCGGTGCATTCCCGACGACCGGTGGACGGCAACTCGTTCGCTTCAACAACGACGTCGACACCTACGTGGATCCTGAAGGTTACATGGTGGACCATGAGGACAACGTTCAGTATGGCCCAGGACACGCCCATGCCTACGAAACTCCGGTGCCCAAGGCCTCCCGGAGAAAGAGCAAGGAAAGCGAGGTCAAGAAGGACAAGAAGCGCAAGCGGTTGCACATTGACACCAGCCCTCAGCCTATGACCGCAGCCGACGAGGTCATGACCGACGCACCCCCCGTCCTGCACTCTGGCCTCACCGGCGGACTTAACAGGATGATGCGACCATCTCAATTCCCGCCTTCTCCCGACTATTCTGGTGCCGATGGCGACAACAACTCCCCCGCGCCGACGAGCCCCCTCAAGAAGCCCAAGGACGCGAAACCCTCCAAGACCACTCGCACCGAATCATTCGGAAGCGGGCTCAAGGCGCTCATCAGCGGCAGCAGTAAGCCGAAGGCATCGAAGAAGCGGAAGACCAAGCACGTTGGCGACAAGAAGGATCGGAAAGAACGCAAGGAGCGTAAAGAGAAGAAGGACCGCAAGGAGCACAAGAAGCACCACCACTCTGGCACAGACGACGACAAGAAGCCCAAGCTGATTGAGTATCGTCCTCAATCCAGCGATGGCCCCAAGGAGGGGGAGACGGGCGCCATGGTCTTGTACAAGCCCAGGTCGGATCTCTTCCTCAGCTTCTGCACCAAGGGTCCCGATAGTGAACGTGGCTGCAGCGTGAACAAGGCGCTCAAGCGCTTCCATCGCGAGAGAGACTCGTCTGCTGACAGCCTTGGCAAGTTCATCGAGGAGAAGGAGCTTTGGCGTTCGTTGCGGATGCGCAAGAACGACCGGGGAGAGATCGTCCTCTTCTCGATTGCCGATGCCGAAGAATGAGGTGATGCAGAGAGGAAACTAATAGAAGGGGACTTCATGGCGTTTGTACAGGATTTTTGCTTTTCAGGTCTCCAACACGGTCTTGGGGGGATCAATGATACCAATGGGGGCGTGACGGCCATATCGTCTGGATTACTGGGAAAAGACACACAGACCTTGCGGTCGGGATGAACAACATTTGCTCTCGAGCTGGACTTGGAGCCCATCTACCGGGAGCGAATGATACCTCCTTTTATCCTCCGCCACAATCTTCCTATCTGCGGTTGTATCAGCCTTCGGATAGAGGTCACAGATTGGCGGTGGAGGCGATGCACTGTTCTCAGCGGCAGGGGAGCGTGGGATGTACGATGCCACATTGTTGTCGAAGATTATAATGGGTTGGCATATCCTTTTCTGTTCATTTCCTTTTCTTTTACGAGTGGCCCTGCCATTTCCCTTCAGCCTCTGTACCTTACCTACTGAGCTTTTGTGCGTTTCGAAACGTCGAGTTTTCAATCTATCCGATGCGTTACTGCTCGTTTTCACTTTCAACAAGCCTTTCAAAGCACTGCTACTTTTCTCTCCATTTGTCAGGCTAGAGAGTTCTCAGTTATTGTAAATTAGGTGCAAGCGTTACCTTGTAAGCTTGCGGGTAGTCTAATAGAGGAAGTCTTTGTCATTACGGCCACATCGAAGGATGATATCCGGCGTTGTGGAAAAAAAAAGAAAACCGGAAAGTGCAGGACGGCTCAGTGTCGTTGGCAGGCAGCTTGTATTTGAACGCTTGTGCTATAAAAAGGTGGTATTCGAAACAGACGTGTCTGTGGACAACTTGCAACAATTTCTCGCTTACTATATCAACCCATTCAATGCCTCGCTCTCTCCTCCAAGCGTCTCGTGCGCTGTTCTTTGATTTTCGCCCCCAATTCCCTACTCCCCTTCCTGCTTCAGGCAGCACCTACCGCCCTCAGCGGGAGAATGTGCTGGACGAGCGCCTCGCGCCTACACAGTGGACATTCCGGCTTCTCGCGCACCCAGTCGCCGATGCAGGGCCAGCAGAAGACGTGCCCGCACTGGGTTGCCGCGGGATCCTTGAGCTCCTCGAGGCACAGCGTGCACTTGCGGTTCTGGGACCCCTTGATCCACCGCATGCGCTTCTCGTTGGCGAGGTCGTACCGCGCGTCCGGCAGGAGGATCGGCGTGTGCGTCGCGGCGGCGAGGTTTATCCGGAGCCCTGCCGAGCCTGACGACGTCGCGTCTGCGCCGCCGCCGCCGCCAGGGAGAAGCGCGTTGTTTGCCGAGTACTGGTTCTCGTCGAGGCTCACGTTGACCGGCCCCAAGCCGCCGGCTGATGATGATGATGATGATATCCAGCGGGACGAGGCCTCGTCTGCGGCGGCGGCGGCCGAGTCAATGGACGTCTGCACGTGCAGGTAACCCTGCACACACATCTGGATGACGAGCAGCACGCCGAGGACCTCGTAGCCGGCCCTATCGGCGCTCTCGCCGACCTTGTGAGTGAAGATGTACCGCAGGCCTGCCACGCGCTTGGCAATCTCATAGTAGGAGCCGCTGAAGTAGAAAAGGGCGAGGTTCACAGCGTGGACGGTCGCAGGGGAGGTGATGGTCGTCAGGTTGGCCAGGATGTAGGACTGGGCCTTGTAGGACCACGTCGTGGCCGTGTTCTTTTTTGTGGTCTGCTGCTGGGCGTCCAGGCGCGATATGTTCCGTTGCAGCCGCGTCCGTATCCTCTTCCTCAGTCCTGGCAGTGCCTTGCTCAGGGCATACGGCAGGATGATGCTCCCGGCTATGTAGGTTGCGCGCGAGCTGAGCGCGGGTAGTCGGCCGCCCGAGTCGGCCTCGACCTGGACGAGGCCACAGTACTCCTCGCCGAGGGTGCGGTTCCCTATCAGAGTGGTGAGGCACAGATATAGTAGGTCGGCGGCAGTATGTGACTCGGCAGCCCAGGCATGAGCGGAGCGTGCGCCGAGCAGTTGCCGGTGCAGGTCGGCGATCTGGTTTGTGAGATAGCCTTGGAAGTAGGCGTCTTTCTGGTGCGCACGGATGATGTCTGGCGCAAAGGCGTACGGGTATGGTGAGGATGCTGTCGATGGTAATGAAGGCATGGGCGCAGAGGCAGATGCCGTCGACACGGGTGTGCTAGAGAGGGCCGGCGGCGGCGTTGGCGGCGAGGGCGCGGAGGAGTCCGCCATGGTGTGCCTTGTTCAAGTGGCGCGAACCTGTGAGTAGGACGGTATGTGTGGCTGGTGTCGGTTTGTCGAGGATCGAGAGGAGGGAGAGAGAGAGGGCGATGTGGCGGTTCGGCGTGGAGTTTGTGAGGTTGAGGGTCGTGGCGTGTTTGGGAATGGGGCAAGTGGTGGATGGTGTTGGATTGAACCTCGGCGCAAGGAAGCCCGGCCGGGTGATGGTTTGTATGCTCACGTACCCGGCACATGGCATGGCTGGACCTGCCAACTCCACCAAGGCTGCTGTGCCTGGGGAGGACCCTTGCAGCCTCGGGCAGCCTAGCCCAAATGCAAAGCGCCAACCCCACACCCACGATGTCATGGCCGTCCCACGATGGCAAGTACATGTGCATATGTGTAAGCTTGGCGTCGAACGAATGGTTGACGGCCAGAGATGGGACTGGCAGGGCTATCATCTGGGTGCTGCACAACCTACCGCTGGCAGCATTCCGGGCAAGAGGAGACACTGTCCACTCTAGCCACCAAGTACTGGAATGACCTTGCGGCTCGCTCAACGATGCAGGATATTACGCCATCCGGCAGCAGGGGTTGCTGCTTCTCAGCTCTCGCCCTGCTCAGCACCAGTTCCCCCGAGTTTTCTGAGAAATCGGTCGAGGGTGCTCTCCGGGCGAGGCTTATCCTTCGGCAGTTGCGCACATCAAACGCCGCCTGGGAGCACCAGGGGTTGCTCCGCATGCAGCCTTCTGGAACCTGGCCAGCAGTGGAGACTTGGCCAGGTGGTAATGAATTGGTCCAGTATAAGCCACCTATTTCGGTCCTGCCACCTGGCTAGGCCCTCCTTACCGCAAACCAACTTGTCGCCGTCCAGAACCTCTCCTTCGCCCACGCACGACGACGGGCAACCACCCCCAACACGCCTGTCGCTTCTCAGACCCCGCGAGAACTCGATGATTCATTCCATCTACCTCGCCACAAGCAATGGACGGTGACCCCGCCGTCGAGCCCGAGCTCGACTCTTTCAGCCTCACCTTCCCCTTGCCATATCGCGTGGCTTTCATCGTCCTCCTCGCAGTTTGGGGCTGGGGCCTCAACCTACACTACCTATACTCGCGCGACATTGATGTGCCATCCCTCATCCGCTATCCGGGCCGGACCTCCGCGCACCATCCGACACACCACCTCTCCACCTACCGACTCGCAGTCCTCTTCTCCGCTGTCTTCGCCGCCTCTCTCCTCGTCTTCTGGGTCTTCACTCACCGCAATCCAGCTCTGGTACTTGCCTGGGACTGGCTGCCACTGACTTATATTGTCGTGCTCATCGCCCTCTTCATCGTACCCCTCAAAGACCTCTCGAACTCGGGTCGCGGCCGCTTCCGCTCCACGCTGAAACGGGTGTCGATCGGAGGCATAGCAGAAGCCAAGGATGGCAAGTTCGGGGACATTCTGCTGGCAGATGTCTTGACGAGCTACGCCAAGGTCTTTGGTGACCTGTTTGTCGCGCTCTGCATGTTCTTTCACAGCGGCGGATCCGCGACCGCGCGCCCGGATCGAAATTGTGGTGGCGGCGTCATTGTGCCCCTAATCATCGCCATTCCTTCGCTCATACGACTGCGCCAGTGTCTGATAGAGTACGGGCGGGTGCGGCGAGGCCGCATGACCGAATCGACTGGGTGGGGAGGGCAACATCTGGCCAACGCGCTCAAGTACAGCACGGCGTTTCCTGTCGTCATTCTCAGCGCCTTGCAACGAAATTGGGGAGGCGCGGGGCCGACCACGTACAGGCTCTGGGTCGGGAGCTGCATCATCAATTCGCTATATAGCTTCTACTGGGATGTGGCGAAGGATTGGGACCTCACTCTCTTCAGCAGCGCGAGGGAGCGCAATGCCCCTGACCATGCTTTCGGCCTGCGCCGGCAACTTCGCCTGGGTCCACCCGCCCTGTACTATGGGGTGATCGTCCTCGATCTCATCCTGAGATGCACTTGGAGTCTCAAGCTCAGCCCTCACCTCGACCACATTGCCGACTTTGAAAGCTCCATCTTTGTTATTGAATTCTTGGAAGTGTTCCGTCGCTGGGTTTGGATATTCTTCCGGGTCGAGACCGAATGGATCCGCAGCAACGGGGCCGCCCCAACCATCGGCGTGGAGCCTGGTGACATTCTTCTCGGGGACTACTCGGGCAACAGCAGCAGGTACGAGGATGATGACTGAGGGATCGTTTCATGAATACACGGCCTCCCCCTTCGCCTGTCCCACAGGTCACACGATCTGCCCGGCCCGTCACACAACAGCGTAGTAACGATTCGGCATTATAGACATGGACGGCAAAAAGCACCATAGATTCAAGTGCATTTCACGGCCGTCGTCCACTTCCCACGAAACATGTGTGGGCATCCTGCGCAGTGCTACAGTGGACGATTGCCACATCATCACAATACAACACGACAACCCAGAGAATTTGCGGGGAATGGGGAATCGAGCATTTACAGGCGTTCTTGTCGCGGAGAGTTGCCATATACCCGCCAGAAGCACCTGGCTCAGGTGTCCTGGAATGGAGTTGACGGATTTGAGATTTGCGTTATACCATATAGCAGGTACGGGCGGCCGTAAAGAACCGTTCGAAAGTGTCTAAAATTCTGATAGACCTTGGATGCCAATATCATACATGAGACTTTTTTTATGTTGTGTGTTCTTTGTATTGTTGGCATCCCCGGATGTCCGTGGTCAGCCTGTCCAACATCGCCCGTCGTTATACCCTGTTTGACCACTCTCGTATCACACTCATTTCTCTCCCTCGGCAACGAGCCGGCCGACAACAAGGTATTTGCTGTCGAACCGCTCCTCCCATCCCTTCAAGCTGTCCATCTCCTCGGCACCAAGTCCCTCCAGCTTGTCAAGTGGTCCATCAAGGTCTTTGGTGAGCATGTCCTCGTCGAAGCTGTGGCACGCGAGACCACGACTGGCATCGCGGCCGGCGAAATTCTCGTAGGGGCCGCCGGGGCCGTAGAAGTTGCGCCCAGAGGTGACGTCGAACACACGGCCCCGGACGGCGAGGTAGACGGGCATGCCACCCTGGCCGTTGTAGGGCAACAGGGTGCGCGGGGTGAAGGTCTTGAAGACGACGGCGGGGGGCTCTCGGGGCAGCGTGACAGGCGGCTGCGGCTTGTAGAGCTTGTAGGTGGTGTACAAGGTTATTGCGACGAGGATTGCGTTGAGAGGAGTTGCGAAGGAGGTGCTGTTGCCGTTCGTTATGGGTTAGCTTTGGGGGGGGGGGGGGATGCGCAGAATAGGTGTTGTGCGGATGGGCGCGCCATACTATGTGCTTGAGGCTCGGGCGGCCTCGCCGACAACTCGGTGGTTGACGTAGTCCATGGTGGCGGAGGTGTACCTGTTCTCGTTGCGTTCGTGCTTGGGAATGGCGAAGCCGTAGGGAATGCCGTGGTGGGAGCGAGCGATGGTCGTGGTCGTGGTGATACTCCGGGGACCAGGAAGCTTGACATCGGCGGCTACGGAACCGGGCGGAGCTAGGCTGAAGAGCGGGGGGGCTGAGGTAATCAGGTAATCGTCCCTGTTCAAGTGGCTTGCTTAGAGAGCAACATCGTCCCTGGAGGTGCCCCAGCTGAGGTGGTGGCCGTGCTTGCTAGGGGCCCCGTAATCCTTGTGAAGATTGGTTGATAAATACGTACTCCGTAAGCAAGCATTGACTGCGAAGGACCATACCATCAGCGTTCAGAGCCGGCGTACCGGACAGGTCGACCCGGGCTTGCGCAACCCTGCAAAGCTGTGTGTATTGCTGATCTAATCACTGGGTTGCCGTTACGAGTTAAGTACAGACTTTTGAGCTTGGCGTGTTTGAACGCGCGTGTCGTTCATGGGTTTCCGCCGAATATGGATGCCTGGACCAAGCACCAATGCCTGGTGGCCTCGTGTTTGCCCAGGCTCTTTTGACGACCCATTCGACAAAGCTTGATTCTGAATGGGTTGCAGGGACCTTTTGGCGGAGGTGTTGCGGCAACGCAATGCTGGTTCCTGGTGCCTGGCAGATCTGCGAGACGGTGGTGCTAGCAGGCTCCCGATGCTTCTCCAGACTGGGAGCCAGCCACTCATGTAGAGCCAAAGGGCGGACATGGCATCCCAACCCGAGACTAATGAATGGTGTCGTGGTGTCCCCGCCATGGTCGTGATAGCGAGGCGTGGCTGAGGAGGACTGTTCCTCCCGGCCAAGGGTAGTTGAGGGTCATGGATCTGCCCGTGGAAGAGGACGACCGACTATCGTGGCTTCTTGGCAGACGTTGATGCGTCACCAGCTTGTGTGCTCTCGACAGCACGAGCCATCGCAGATGACTGGAATTGGCTTATTGGAAGCCATGACGCTTTGCAAAGACATGTTTTCTTGCAGGCAGGTGTGCGACGAAGGCACGTTGCTGTCAAGAAGTGTCCAGGTCTATGTCCTCCATACGGGGTCCTTTCGCCCTAAATTTTTAGCCTCGAGGCCGGCCACTCGTACAGTACACTGCCCCCTGCTCCCAGCGCACCTTTGCCCATCCAGACTCACCACCACCAGCACCACGATTGACAGCTTCATGCCCACACCTTGCCGCAACCTCGCTGCAGCCCATACGCACCCTCGCCGCCACGCTCCTCTGCCGCTGTCCTCGACGACCCATCACCTTTCCAAGCTCTGCTCGCCCATACGCTCCTCGCCAGGTAGCATTGGTTGACCATCTAAGCTCCAGCTCCAGCTGCGCTGCTTCTCATCTTCCCCACCCCTATTCGCACTTCGCGCCGCCTTTCGTCCCACCTGCTGCTTCATTCGCCAGCTCCCCGACCACGGCTGCTCACTCCCTGGCGTCACCGTCCTCCGGCATCCTCGGACCAGCACGCCCAGCCGCCGCAGCGGACCATTCGTCGACTCCTCCGCGCCCGCGCCCAGCACCGCACGACAATGCTGCCTGGCATCATCTAGCTTCCACTCCCACCGACCCGACCAATCTCCAGCCGTCACCCGTGACGCTGGGTAAGCGCGCTGCTGGCAAGACTAGGCGACCCGCCTCGCCCCCGACAGACATGCCGCTGTAAACCATAGGGAAAGCTTCCAAAATATGCTCCGGCGGTATCTGCGTCCCCGGCGACGGCTTCCCCTATGGTTCATCCTGACTGTCGCCGCCCCCTTCATCTTCGAGGTCCTCGTCCATCTTTGGAGCTACGACGTCCCGGTCCCGCCCCGCGAGCTCGACCCGCCCTTTTCCACAACATGTCAGGAGCCAGACACCTCGGCCAAGCGCGAGAATGCCGTCCTCGTCATGCTCACCCGCAACTGGGAGCTCGAGCAGGCCAACCGTACCATTGCTTCCATCGAGAAGAAGTTCAACCAATGGTACCACTACCCAATTCTTTTCATGAACGACGAGGAGTGGGATCCAGAATTCATCCGCGTCCTCAACGAGACATCAAGCGGCAAAGCCACATTCGAGGTCATCCCCCCAGAAGTGTGGTCTTTTCCTCGGTGGATGGACGCCAATGCTGCTCGCAAGAGCATCAAGGCCCAGGGGGCGAAGAACATCCCGCATGCCGGAGACGAGGGGTACCACCACATGTGTCGATTCTACTCTGGGTCAGTGATCCGCCGTCGTGCCACGTGTTGTGTTGTACTGACCATTTCCGTACAGAGCATTCTACAACTTCCCCCCCCTGAAACAATACAAATGGTATTGGCGGCTCGAGCCAGACGTCGAGTTCATGTGCGCGATAACATACGACCCCTTTGTCGAGATGGCGCGGAACGACAAAGTCTACGGCTTCACGATATCGCTGTGGGAGGAGTCAGAGACATGCCCTCAGCTCTTTCGCGATACCTCGGACTGGAAGCAATACAATAGTATACCCACGAACAACCTATGGAAGGCCATGGTGCAGGCCTCCTGGATGCCCTGGCCTCTGCGTCGCTGGCTGAGCCTGCTTGGCCATCGCGACCGAAACGGGGACAGCTGGAGCTTGTGCCACTACTGGAGCAACTTCGAAATAGCCAACATGGACTTCTTCCGCACCCCCACATATCAGAGTTACTTCCAGTTTCTTGAACGCAGAGGTGGATTCTACTTTGAGAGGTGGGGCGATGCTGCCGTGCATTCACTGTACGTCGCAATGGCCGCAGACCCTCGGCAGGTTCACCACTTTGAAGATTTCGGGTACAGGCACGATCAGTTGTACCAGTGCCCTTCAAACTCGATCAACGGGCAACTGCCCGAATCTTCTATCCTCAACACCGGCCTGGGCAGAGATCTGGGCGTGCCAGGAACATCAACGGGCATCGGATGTCGCTGCGAGTGTGACGGGCGGAGGGAAACACGAAACCATCCGGGATATTGCCTAAACAAGCTGAAGCAGCCCAACAGCCGCAAACGACCTTGGCTGACGTGGTTGCTCTGAGGCCGAGGAAGCGCGCACACCCCATTTCGCCACTGTGGGCATCAGTCGGGGCCAGCCTTGTTGCATGAGTTTGGCAATGTAGAAAAGTCGTACTGCGCAGAGGATGGTGCCATTACTCGGCGAGGACACCATTGGTCGAAGGTTCCGGGTCATGTCCTAGCAACCCGTTTGTGGGGGGGCCGCGTACGTGCTGTTCGAGGGTCAACACCAGAGGCTAACATTGCCAGCGAGGGAGACCCAGCGAGCGCTGAGCATATTGCAGGCGTTTGGTAGCGGGACTCCGTGTATGCATAGCATTGCATCGTGATTTTTGGTTCATTTTGGCGGCGGCGGCAGCAGCAGCAGCGGCAGCAACAACAACAACAATAACGAATACTACAAGAGATATCCCAGACGCAATCTGGGCGCTGGAAAGGGACAAAACTGGATATACCCGCCACCCGCGGACTGGAATTGATACAGCAGCGGGCCAAAAAATTATACTTTTTTCAAAAGACAACCAGGCTGCTCCTGCCCATCGTGTGAAAAGAAATTGCTGTTCAGAATGAGAAGAGGTCCGTGTTGCTGATGTGCAAGCTTGCACGGCCCAGTATAGATGGAGGTTAAAACCACGTTCTGTGCCTGGTATTCCAGTCCGGTTCTTAAAATCATGTGGCGAACAGGCCAGAGAAAAGCGCGATACGGTTCAATTACGGAATTGTCATGTCCAGCAGGCCAAGCTTTTGTAGGACGAAGCTGGCGCAAAAAGGGGAGTGCATTTCCCATTCCTTGACTCTGTACACTCACGCACGTCTTTCAAACTGACACTGCCACAATAACATGTCAGTTTCGTCGTCCTCCCGTCCCCCTCTTCTCCCTTGCTCTCTCTCTCTCTCTCGCTTCCCTTTGCTTCACTTCGTTTCATCAAACCCGCCTGAGGTTCACCATGAGCGGGGGCTTCTCCCAGACAAAATACGCCCTCTGTGAGGACAGCCAGTCCGCCGCCTTCGCGTCTTCCTGTCCCGTCCCTTGATCGGGAGAGCGGGTGTCGTCCGTCGCGAGGCTCATGTCAAATGCGTATAGGAGGCGTGCGAGGATGAGGCGCATTTCCGCGTAGGCGAGGCTGGTTGGTGGCAATGCGAGGTTTAGTTGAATTGTTGCCTGTGACGAAGCTTGCTCGTCTTTGGGTAAAAAGACATGGGGAAGATGATATATATATAAAAAAGGAGAGGGAAGAGGAAACAAGAAAGAGGAATCAGGGAAGTGGCGCGGACTCACGATTTGCCGATGCAGTTCCTGGGCCCCGTGCCAAACGGCATCAATGCGTCGAGATTGTCGTCAGCAAAAGGCCTGATCTCTTCCTCCAGGCCGTCCTGGTCGGTCTCCGCGCCGGCCATGTTGCGGCGCAGGAAGCGCTCCGGGTGGAACCCGTACGGGTCGTGCCAGAGCTTGTCGTCGTGGTTTGTGACCCATTGCCATACTGCTACCGTTGTCTGTCCCTCGTTTGGTCAAGTGCCATGTCAGTAAGTACTGCATCGACCTCCTCCTATGAATCCCCCCTGTGAGCACGTACATTCTTCGGGACGTGGCTCCCGCAAATCACGGCGCCGCCTTCGTCCGCGACCACCCGCGCCAGGCCGACCGTCACGGGCGGGTAGCGCCGCAGGGACTCGTCGAGGACCGCGAGCAGGTAAGGGAGTTGCTGCTGGACTGAAGACAGGGAGATGCTCTGCTCGTTGTCAAACGTCGTGCGGACCTCGTGGGTCGCCCTGGCGAGCTTGTCTGGGTTGGACAGCAGCAGGTACGTAGCGCCTGTGAGCAGGGTGGCGGTCGTCTCTGAGCCGGCGAGGATAAGAATTGCGGCATTGGACAGGATATAGTCGAAGGACTTTTAATACATCAGAGGAGAGGTGTCAGTAGGCTTCTTTGTCTGTTCAAACGGATGACGGCAGGATCTGCCGTGGATGCACAGTGGCGATTCGATCGCATATTTGGGTCTGGACAGCAAAACTCACCAGAGACTCCTTTGCCTCCACGAACCCTTGGAGGAAGTCAAACCGCTCGCTCGGCGACTCGAGCCGCTCCTTGAGCTTGTTGCGCATGTAAGTCCTCGACTTGACGAACGCCGGCACGAGGTTGCTATCCATGACCCAGCCGAGCAACCTCCCAAAGCCGAGGCTGTTGAGCGCCGCCAGCTTGGCCGTGTGCACGATGCCCCGGCTCATGCTCTCGACCCAGGGGTGGCCGTTGCCGGACTCGAGACACCCGAAATCAGACCCGAAACCGAGATTGCCGATGATGTCAAAGGTCGCCCAGTTGACCCAGCTCTTCATGTCGACGGGAGGGACTACACCCTGCTCAGTGCCAGGACCGGCGGCGCGCTCGCGCAGCCGCTCAACGAGCAGGTCGACATAGCCGTTGATGGTGGGCTCCTGGGCGCGCATGGAGCGGTCCGAGAAGCCCGGGGCGAGCTTCTTGCGCAGGAAGGCGTGCTCCTCGTGCGTGGGCGCATTGAGGATGTTGTTGGGTCGCGTGTCCGAGATGCGCACCTGTGCGTCGAGCTTGGGGAACTCGGTGGCCTGCTTGCCGCGGCCGCCGGGGGCATCGGCCGTGCTGCCGGCCAGGCGGTGGCCGTAGATCTCCTTGACAGCAGCCGGGTCGGCGAAGGAGAGCTCCGTCGGGCTGATGCGGACGATGGGCCCGTACTGATCGTGGAGGTCTCTTAAGACGAAAGGTAGAGTGCCCTTGATGGAGAAGAACGTCTTCGTCAGGGTTGTCAGGCGGAAGAGAAGAGGCCCTGGAAAAGACCGCAGCGGGTGGAAGAAGATGTTATAGATGCCATAGCTGGTGAGGTAGGCGGCAAGCTGAGGAGCGGCAGCGGGGTGATTAGTGACATTGCGCAGTGGATGCAGATGGCAAGCGTACGACTTACACCTGCCGGGACAGCGACGATAAGAGAAGGCGGGTTGTCGCGCAATGTCTCTGCAAGTTTCGCCACCAAGTCGGCCATGCTGGACAATCGTGGGGAGGCAGGTGGCGATTGGAGCGCTGGTGATGGAGCTATCGCGACAAAATCATGGGGTTCATTGCAGAGAAGGAGGAGACGGACCGTGTCCACGGAAAAGTGGGAATCTGGACCGGGAGGAGTGAAGACGGGCCTGGGTTTGACTCCGTCGGGCGAGATATGGCCTGGTTTTATTACGATCACACCGTGGGCTTCGACCATCCGAGGTCGACAAGACGGATGCAACGCTAGGGAGCAAGCGGAGACGGAGCCCCTGCTCTGCGGATTGCCGTTTGGGGGAAGAGTTGCGCCTAATCATCATGGAGGCAACCACCACGATGCCCGCCAGTAATGAGCTCCCCGCCAACGCCCTAGCCGCATGCCTTGCAGTCATGCATGCACATACCTTCATATGCAAGTCACGCACCTGTTGTCCACTTCTAGATAGCTTCGCGGGCGGCCAGGTTGCCATCTCGTCTGTGAAAGTGGACAGTTCGATCTAGGCTCTGTGCGGATGCAAGATCTAAAAACCTGCCAAACAATGACGTCTACTCGACCGCCAGGGCCTGCCGTGACCGTTCCAGCCGAATGGCAATGGTCTGATGCGCCGGGTGCCGATACTCGTCGCTGCGAGCAATGTCCTCGAGGCTGCGGCCCAGCACTCTTGTCGGATAGTACCCTCTCTCCTCGAACAACAGGTCGGCGCTGAGCTCGTGGATGGCAGAATGCGCCACCTCGTCCCGGTGCTGGCCCAGCTCCATGTCCCGGAGCACCCCCCAGGGCCGTGGCTCCTCACCCATGTCGCCTTGCTCCTTTGGTGGCGGCCGCACGATCCGGAACGCATACGACACGTGGTCCCGCGGGAACCCCTCGATCCGGTCCTGGGTAATGTCGTACAGCGCACCCATGGTGAGCCCGTCGGGGAAGGTCACGACGCCCTTCATGACGATGGGCACAACGGCGGCCTCTGCGGGGGAAAAGTCCAGGCCCCACGACAGCCAGCCCAGCTTGGTCGGGGGAGGCTGCTGGACAAACATGCGCCGCCAGCTGGCCTCGGGCTGCATCACGGCGGACCGCGAGGCCTGATCCGCCCAGATGCCAAGCTGATGGAAGCTCGTGATGCCGTGGTGGACGGCAATGCTGTCGATGCGCTCGTGCGGGCGAAGGCGGCGGCCCGAGGCGGCATCGTAGCCGCTCGGGGCGCTGTCGTGCGGGGGAAACCAGAGGCCAAAGGACTCGCGGAGCAGCGAGTTGATGATGGGCGATGGGGCACTGTGCCTGGCAGGCGAGTCTCGTGAGGAGTCGTCTGGTAAAAGAAAGAGAGCCTTCTGTAGCCTGATGGACGAGGTGATGAGCTGCCGAAAGTAAGTGTTGACGAGCTGGGCGTTGACGAGCAGGGTGCGCAGGTCCAGGTGGAGTAGGATGGCCTCAAGCAGCTCCGGTGTCGCAATGACGTCTTGGGTGGCCGACATGGTAATGTGATGAGCTGCCTGTCTATCCTCGTCGCTTGGGAGACCGCGTGCGCCGAGGGGTCTTGGTTTCTTGTTGTTACATCCCGGGGGAAACAGCCGTGAGGGCCATCACGCAGCGGTGTGAGTTGAAGTAAGAAGGGGAGGCTTCACGCCAGCCGTGCGTTGGTCGTTCGTTGGCTGGGTCGAGCCTTCCCGCGGCAGCCCAGGCGGCGTGGCATGCCTGGCCCTATCAAATCTCGCTCGGTTCGGGCCCCACATCCCGTCCCCACCTGCGGATCGGTCCGCCGCCTGGCTTACAACGGACCAGGGCGAGGAGGGCAGCATGCATGCATGCCATTTGTCGAAATGCCGGGCCGGATTCATTTCCCTGCCGTTCCTGGTGATTACGTGCAAAGGAAATACCATTTTATTCTTGGGGAACCGGCTCTCGGGCCACTCTGAACTATCGAACACCGCCATTCACAAGCCATATCCCGTGCCCATCTCATGATTGTCACCATGCCTAGAAACTCTCAATGAACCTGTACTCGGCTGCCGCAGCCGCCTTGGACACGCTCAGCATGGCCATAAAGTCAAAGCCATGTATTACACCGGGGAATAAATGGAACTCGACGTCCTCGTTGGCCGCAGCAAGCCTGGACGCAAACGCCAGACTCTCGTCGCGGAACAAGTCGAGCCCGCCGACATCGACATATGCACGGGGCAGGTTGCTCAGGTCCGTGGCGCGACCAGGTGCGGCATATATGGGGACATTGTCGTCTCCTCTCTCGGCTGAATCGCAGAGAAACACATTTCAATCAGAGTCAGCATGTGCCATTTTTGGTTTTTGGAGTGGGAGTGGAAGTGGAAGTGGAAGTGGAGGTGGAGGGAGGCCATGGAAACATTGGAAAAAGATGCAATTACTCACAACGCGGTCTGCCCAGATAGCACGCCCACGCCAGATCGTTCGACTCAGTCGTGTAGGCCAGGAACGGCTTCAGCGCATCGCCTTCCGCGAGGACGGTCCGGTCGTCCAGCATCGGATACCGCAGCAGCATCCCCGCAATGGGGTGGTCCAGCTTGTGGTCGCGGGCGTACAGCGCGGCAGCGGCAGACAGCAAGCCGCCGGCGCTGGCGCCCGCGATGACGAGGCGCGCCGGGTCCACGCCAAACTCGGCGGCGTGAGCCTGGAGCCAGACGAGGCCCGAGTAGACGTCCTCGAGAGCGGCCGGGTAGGGGTGCTCCGGGGCCAGGCGGTAGTGGACGCCAAAGTGCTGGGTGGAAGTGGCGGCGGCGGTCCTGGCAATGAGGTTGCGGGACTGCTCTACGGAGCCGGCGATGGTGCCGCCACCAAAGACGTAGAGAACAGCACGCTGGGGCCCTCGACGGCGGGGCCAGCATTGGCGGGCAGGAAGCGGGTGATTTCCAGGGTCGAGCCGTCGAGCGAGGTCGTGGTGTGGGTCGACGTCTGCATGCCTGCGGGCCACTCGATGGTAGAGCAGACTTGTTCAAACGAGTCCTTGAACGACTGGCGGAACGACGCGACAGTCGGCACGGCTGGGAATGGGGACTGCGAATCAGCACCGCCAGCTGGTGCTAATGCTGCCATGACGGCGGCCAGTTCAGGGTCGAGTCGCAATGGAGCCATGGTGTCGTCGCGGGTCAAAGTAAAGTGATGGATGAGTTGGATGTTTGAGAACGCAGAGATGTTGGTTGCAGAGATTTTGTTGCAGAGGCGGAAGAGATGTTGGACATGGCAGCCGGGCAGCCTGGTCTTATAACCACCCCATGCTCGCCGAGCAGGCCGGCAGAACGAGGCCGTGGTGTTGTTGTTGTCGACTTGAGCATGGCCTTCCGGGCGTTCCACACGAACTCGAGCAGCAACAGAGTTTCGCGCCGGGACCACGGAGTGCACACAGCCACCCGGTGTTGTTGTTGTTGGCTGTGGCCGTCTGGCTCGACAAGGAGCTGACCAGCGCCACCCCACACCCCTGCCGCCTTCGGGCTTACATAGTATGTCCGCCGCGTGTGCCCGCACTGCGGAGCGCCTTCTCAATCGGGACAGCGCCACGCCGGGGCTAAGACGGCACCCCGGAGTCGGAGCCTGCGTCTCCACCTCTCCCCGCACACCCTCGGCTCCGGTCCTCGACCGTGGTTTCCTCGTCTGATGGCGCCATCATCTCTGCACCGCCCGTCTCAACCTGCTTCTCTCCGAGCACTCCTGGAGCCCGTCGTATTTGCAAATCCAATCGGCCAAGACAATGGGCAAAATCGCAAAGATTGAATACTTCCGCGTGCCCCCGCGCTGGCTCTTTGTCAAGATAACCGACGACTCGGGCGCCGCTGGGTGGGGTGAAGCCTCGCTCGAGGGCCACACGCAGGCCGTCGAGGGCTGTCTCGATGCCTGGGCGGAGCGTTATTTGGGACTAGAGGCAAAGTTCGTCTCCCATTGTTGCTCCGATATTTCTAGGAGCTGAGGGCTGGGGGGTTGAGCCTGGAAACGCCGTCGTTTTCTTCGTCCTTGCTGACAACAACTCTACGACACAACAGTGATATCGAACACATATGGCAGCTCTCGTACCGCGGCGGCTTCTACCGTGGCGGCCCGGTGCTCATGAGTGCGTTGTCGGGGATAGACATCGCCCTGTGGGATCTCAAGGGTACGTTGCTCGTCGAGTTTGCACGAACATTCTCCTCCTCACTGGGAGGTAGCCATGTTTGGCTGCTCACCGCAACCATTTTCCTCTACAGCCAGGAATCTCAACGTCCCGATCTACGAGTTGCTGGGCGGCAAGGTCCGCAACAAGCTCAAAGTATATGCCTGGATCGGCGGTGACCGGCCTAGCGACGTCGAGATCCAAGCGTACGTCCCCCTCACCTCCCTTCCTCCTTCACTCATCCACCAGAACTTTTGATCATGGCATCCGCCCGACTAACACAAGATGGAACCGCCCCTCGTTCCACCTCCCCATGTCTACAGCAAAGCCCGGCAATCCCAGGGCTTCACGGCCGTCAAGATGAACGCGACCGAGGACGTGGCGTGGCTCGACTCTCCATCGTCGCTGGACGCCTGCGTCGCCCGCGTGTCGGCGGTGCGCAGCCTCGGGCTCGACGTGGGCGTCGACTTCCACGGCAGGCTGCACAAGCCCATGGCCAAGCAGCTCGCGGCCAGGCTGGCCCCCCTGCACCCGCTCTTCATCGAGGAGCCCCTGCTGTCCGAGAACCTGCCGGGCATCGCCCAGTTGTCCTCCTCCGGCGGCGGGACCACTGGATCCATCCCCATCGCCCTCGGCGAGCGCCTGCACTCGCGCTGGGACGTCAGGCCTTTCCTCGAGGCCGGCTGCGTCGACATCCTCCAGCCCGACGTCTGCCACGTGGGCGGGATATCCGAGATGCGCCGCATCGCCGCCGCGGCCGAGACGTACGACGTAGCCCTCGCGCCCCACTGCCCCCTCGGCCCCCTGGCCCTGGCCGCCTGCGTGCAGGTCGATGCCGTCTCGGCCAATTTCGCCATCCAGGAGATGAGCCTGGGCATTCACTACAACAACATCAAGGACCGGGATCTGACGAGCTACACGCGGAATCCCGAGGTCTGGGACGTGGACAAAGGATACATCAGCCTGCCGACCGGTCCAGGCTTGGGGATCGAGGTCGATGAGGAAGAGGTCAGGAAGTTCTCGGTCGACTCGAAAGCGTGGGTGAGTCCGTTCTTTACTGGACCAGGCGGGGAGTTTAGAGAGTGGTGAGGCTTGGTCTAGGTGCCAGCAAGTACGGGAAAATCACATCAATGAAACGAAGTGCTGCGGATCAAGTACTAGCATTACTTTCTTATCTTCTATTATGAGAGGTGGAGGCTTAGTACAAGCCAATCCCTTCTATAGGTACTGAAATCAGTACGGAATGCCGTTGGTCATCAGCTGGAACTGGTCGTAGACGACAGTGCTGTAGTTGCCAGCGCTCTTCTTCACCAGGTCCCGAACAAATTCGGCGGCCTCGCGCTCGTTCTTCTCCAGCACAAACCGCTCGCGGAAATGCTTGATGCTCTCGGGCTTGAAGCACGGCAAGCCACTGTCCATCATCAGCGACACGATCTGGCTGAGCTTCTCGGCGTAGGGACGCGAGGCCAGGAACGCCTTGACGCATAGCTCCTCAAAGCACTTGAAAGCCTGGTGGTCCATCGAGCCGCCCATCACGGCGAGCATCTCACCGGTGAGCTTGAATGGAGCACGCTCAAACTTGACACCACCCGGTGCAATGTCAAAGCAGAACCCGAAATCAATGTGGATGATGTGGCCAGCTTCGTCAATCATGATGTTGCCGTTGTGCCTGTCCTTGAATTGCAGGAGGAATGAGATGATGCTGTAAGCCGCCATACTCTTGACGAAACTCATGCGTGCCTTCTGGAAACGCAGCGAGTCCTCATTACCGTATTTGCTGATGAAGTAGTCGTACAGGCCGTTCACTGCCTCGCGACCTAGCATGTCTCGGGATATCGATCCTGGCAGCACATCAATGACACCGCAGCCCGGTGCCGTCGCGGTGACCCGATACGGGAACACATAGACGTCCAAGCCGACATTGTGGAAGATGCCGCGGAATGCAGAGATCATTTGTAGAGCCAAAACATCCTGCCGGCAATCGTCACCGACCTTGAAAATGGCACTCTGCCAGATCTCGTAGGTATTCTCGAGCGCAGCCTCGCCATTCTCGGTCAGCTCTGCCACGGCAGCTTCTGTCTCCTCGACGCCTTGGCGAGTCTTTTGGATGCGGAAGGTGGCCATGTAGGGGGCCTTCGCGTGGGATTGCAGAGGCCTGCCAGACTTGCGATCGATGCCCACCACCACACCATCAGGATTACTCGGCAGGTACACACCAATCTCGACTTTGATCTTGCGTAGCTCCTCGTCAATCTTGAGCTTCTTCTCTGGCTTCGGGCGCTGGATGTACGGCTTGAGCTTTCCAGAAATGCTCGTGACCTCGTCAAAAAAGGAAAACTCTCGCTCGTAGAAGTCCTTGTCCTCGTCGGAGAAGCTGCTGATCATCTTCGCCATGACCTTGTCCAGGCTTGGTTTGATCGTGTCGGGCTGTTATCAAAAGTGTCAGTCGACATTCCCGGATATCAGGTTTGGGTCTTGGCACTTACAATGGTGCCATCATCGTCTTTGTACATGTTGGCTTTCATATTCCAGATGATCTGGTGGGCAAAAAGCTGGGAGAACTGCGCCGTCTCCACAATGTAGCGTTCTACATAGCCAAGCGCATCGTGGCGAAGTGCTTGAACAATCTGCGGTACGTAGAAGAAGGTCACATCGATGGAGTGACTTTCCAAGGCGCGCATGGCATACTGGGTCAAGAATGGGTGCTTCCGATAAGCCGGAAGGAAGTAAGTCACGGCTGTAATGGGATTGACTGGCGCCCAGAAGAGTAGATACTGCGTGCGGTGTCAGCGTAAATGCCATCAATGGAGGTCAAATGACGTCAACTACCTTGAGCTGGAACCGCACGTCGTGCGGCAGCTCGCTGCCCAAGAGAATCGGCAGGGCCTCTGGATCGTGCATGGCCTTGGCCGGGAAGTTGAGCAGTAGCCAGCGCACATCATGGTGGACGCTAGGCAGGGGGAAGCGGTTGACGAGCTCAATCGCAAGCGATGGATCCTCGTTCCACGCCACCCGAACGAGGGGCTTTAGTGAAGTCTGCGAATGTCAGCAAAGAGCCATGGCGAGACAATCGAAGACGTGCTTACCACCAGAACCTCCCTTCCATGCTTGTTCATGATTTCAGGACGTTGGTGCCGGTCCTCGTGCGTAGGTCGAATCCAGACGCCAAGTCGCGCCTGCTCGCTCTGCAGCAAAATCTCCAATAGCGCCTCTTTCTGGCCAATTGACTTGTAGTTCCCACTTGTCTGGCCTGAGATCTGAGCCACGGCCTTCAATCCTTGCATGACGTCGGAAATTAATCGTACTTCGGTCTTCAGCTGCAAGAGGTTGCTACCGAACGACCACTTTGGTGAGTATTTGAACCAGCTCAGCGCGGCAGACAGGATTTTGTCCTTGAAGCGTAGTTGTGCAAGATTCCCCGTGGTGGAGCTAACTCTCAACACCCTCAGGCTGAACAAGACAATGCGAAGGCGCAACTCTCGTGCCATGGGATGGGAGGCCGACTCCCGCATCGCATCCATTGTCAGGTCAAGAAGTCGTAGGAAGGTTCGCTGCGTATCCACGCTGCCGAGACGCGTTGCGTTGAAATGGCTGACGAAAAACTGTACCAGGCGCGTATGAGGCGCTAGGAGGTTATGCACCTGCTGACGCTTGTGTGCGAGGGCCTCATTATCGCTAGGAGCGAACTCCTCTTTCAAAAAGAAAGGATCAGGGTGCCTAAATGGTTAGGATACATTTCCCTTTCAGAGACGTTCGTCGTGATGGAAAACTTACATCATGGCAGGGTTGAATAACCCAAGCTTCTTTTGAATTGTAGCTTCCCACTGCTGAGCGATCTCGGCGAGGAGACGCGGTTCCATCCTGGGGTTTTCGTTCATAACACCAAGCCATAAAGATACACCAAACTTGATGGACTCTTTCGAGAAGATCTTGAAGGGGATGCTGACCAAGGAATGAGCGACGGCGCTCTCGTCCTTCTCGCTACGACAGAGGAGAGCTGCTGCCCGGCGCAGGATATCCCGCACGTCACTGAGGGGCGTCCGTTTGGTCTCATTGAGGCGGGACTCGACATGCGTCAATGCCGCAACCGCGTCCGTCCGATCTGTCGGGGCGGTCCTGATGAAAGACGCCCTGCGCGCCAGGGGCATGATATTGAAGAGGTCACCGCCTTGATCGGGTAAAGCCTCGCCATATCTATACTCCTGTCTTGTTGTATATGATGCGATGAAATCCGAAGCGTTGTTGACTCTCGTGTCACCGACAGCTTCCAAAGAAGTGAGCCGCTGATCGGTTGATGGAACAGAAGAACCCATCTCCACCGCAAAGGAGCGTCCCAGTGAGAGATGGCCGTAGGCCCCATCGTCAGAGTATTCGGAGAGGTACGTCTGCAGAAGGCCCTTGACGTCGGAAGGGGCTAGATCGATGACCAGAGCCACCCAGGACTTGGCCTTCTTGTAGAGGCTATTGAGAGTGATCCTCCTGAATTCATAATCGTCCGAGAGCTCTACAGTGACGTTACCCAGCTTCGAGCTGAAGGTCGACCTCGGCTCATACATGTCCGTCTCTGCCTCCAGGCAACTGGTCCACATGAGCGACAACAGTTCGAGAAGCGCAAAAAGCGACGAACGCTGGCACAAGGCAGACGGCACTTCGCGAACGATTCGATCAGCGCATTCCACAGCAGCCAGTTGAACACGCTTGATCCGGTGGCAACAGGCACAGAATATGGCGGCCAGCTGGGCTGCAGCGTACTGCGCCGAGAATGTCGGTTCACGACCGGCCAGCGTTTTCGCGAGGTATAGCTCGACGATAGAGCTGGTGATACCAATCATGACATTGCTTACATCTTCCTTCTGCATGCTGGGTTCAAGGAAATAAGAGAGCACCTTCGTGCAGTCGCCAGACTCTGCTCGCAGACTTTCGACAAGGTATGAGGCTTGCAAGAAGATGACCTTCCTGTAGCTTAGCGCCCGAATCTCTTGAGCCTTGGAGGGAACAAGCTCGCCAAGCTGCTGCTTCTGCTTCGCCTCGCGCTCCGACGTATTGGCACGACGAAGGACTGTGTTGAGCTCAATGTCACTTTCAATTTGTTCCCCTCTCTGCTCCGCGACCAAAGGAGGTGAGTGAATGGCCATGATCCGCAAATCGTCCAGAACGCGCTTGCCTCGTGGCGTCGTGGAGTTGAAGCCATGCACCACCATGTTGAACCAGGCATCACGGACCAGAGAGTGGCTGTCGTCATCTTCGAAGGCTCTGTCTGCCGCGACTTCATGTGTGGACATAAAAACGGAGAGTGGTTGGATGAGCTGTTCAATCTCCCGTGCAGCAAATTCAAAGTCGGTCTCTTTAGGGTGGTTTGATTGGTGTACATCTCCACGAGAGACAACCTCTTCGAGAATGTGCTCCCAGTAGATTTGGAAGAGAGGCGAGTTGCGCCGCACGTGGGCGGAGATGTAGTTGCGTGCTCCCATAACCTATTGGGTAATGAGCATGAGATTCGCTGCTTGTGAGATAGGGGATGTAAGACTTACAGCCTTGAGAACAATCACGGAGTCCTCTTGCAGCGCAAGACGGCAGATACGCGAGTATGACTTAAGCAGCGATCGGAATTCGAGCTGTCCTCCGTGGAGAGACAAGGTGGCAGCGCCGATGATGATGCGTGCATCGACAACGGGGTTCACCTTCGTTAGCTTCTGAAGCAGCATTGCTTGAGCAAGAGCGGTGATCTTCTCGTCGTTGCACACGCTCGCAATACCACAGATGGCTTGAACAATGTTGCAACAAACGGTAGTGGATTCGTCCTCTCCCTTCAGCTCCAGGGAAATCTCGCTGGCTGTCGACTTTCTTCCCTGGTACACATTGCCCACTCCTGCTTCGTCCGATGGAACATCGCCGTTGATTCCATTCACGGCAGTCTCCTCTGGGTTGGGACTCAGTACGTTCCCAAGGGTGTACAGGGTGGAAATGACGGCGTCGTGTGAGAGCAACTGCAGCGCAAATGCGAGACACTTTGCTGCCATCGCAACGGTGGCACTTGAGGGGGAGGCCTGAACGATGAATCGCGGAAGCATCTTGACGATACCGGGACCCGACGTAGGCGAGATACGGCAGATGATTGCCAGAGCGCGGAGAACAGTGGACGCAAGAGTCTCATCGGCCATGCCGGCGGTGTCCTCGAGGGCTTCTGTCAGCCAGTACAATAACACTTCAGGTTCGGCGGCATCTTCGTTCAGCATGGAGCAATTGAGATAGCTGATGATTGCACAAGACTTGACCGCACAGGCGAGGCTCCGTTGAGTGGGTGCGCTGAGCTGCAAGAAATCCGCGGAAGCTTCCAGCCGGTCCATTTCTTCTTGGGCGAATCCAGCATACAACTCGATCGACCGAAAATCGGCATCCGGCACAGTCGGGGTAAGATGGCCGCCCTTGGCCATGAACAAATCCAGGATGTGCATATTCTTAAGAGCTTTGGCATCTGCGATTAGGAGCGAAGTGGCCGAAGTCATGAGCCACATGAAGCTACGCTCCAGAAGAAGCGGCCCCAAAGGCCGTCCTTGGTGAGCATAGTGGCGCAAGTACCGCTTCCACTCCTTTGCATGGCGATCTGACGTGTGTGAGTTGCGAATGACTGAGAAGGCTCCGTCGACGGCGGTTAGGAAGTTCTGCGAGAGCAAAGCACGAACTCTCTGGACAAGAGCAAGCCGGCCGCCAGTCTTCCAGAAACTTGCCTGAGCGGCCGCGGCATCCAAAAACCCCAGTATCGCGATGGCTATGGTCGCTGTGCGTATTGCGTCCTCTATACTGTGTTCGGCGTCTTCGTCGGGGTTGGCAGGCACGATCCCCTGGATAGCGGTGTTGAGCGAGCCCAAGAACGACCAGATTGCGTCAGACACGGTTTCGTGAAGGTTGTTGTAGTGTGTTCCGAGGGACAACAAAGCCGCAATCAGGTTGAAGGAGAGCGCTTCGATCGGCGAGGGTTCAATGTTGCGGAAGAACGGCGACAGCTGGAACGTCTGGGCATGCGCATCGAGGACATAAGGCACAAGCTGGCTGACGAGCTTCTGAGCGCTCTGACTGCTTTGTACGAGGGGCGCTGCTTTGCAGAGCGATAGGAGGACCTCGAATTCGCGGATGGTCTGGCGAATTAAGTTTCGTCAGCAAGTCGAACGGGAGTGGTGATGGGCAGAAAAGGGGCCGGCTTTTCCTTACCATGGGCACTCGCGCCAGTGACGCGTGCTGACCACCTGCAGAACCATTGGCGCCGACATCTTTAGACTTCCCAGTCGCTCTGCAGAGACGGTCAAGATCCGATCGGTCAAAGGACGTTGTGTAGCTGGAGGCTGAGAGTGCGGCGATCTTTTGCAGTGCTTGCTGGCGGAGGCTGAGTGAAGTCATGGTTTCGCAGAGGTAGCGCTGCAAGGGCGCGGCAAAAGACCCCTGGCTCTTTGTTTGCTCGAAACGAATCGCAATTGTCCCAGCAGTCTGGACGCCGACAAGCAGTCGGTAACACAGCAACCTCGTTGCAGGTTGTCGCGCAGACTGCAATGGTGTCTCTCGCGGGCCAGGAGATTATTTGGGCCTGGAGTTGGATGGGTCTAGGGCTCGGAACTTATGACGACGATGCTTGGCACCAGGGGAGCTGCCTTGGGTCGGGTGCCCAGCTCCTAACTACCAAGGTAGGTAATCTAACCTCAATCTAGGCACCTGCCCTCCTATATGCCGGACATCCAAAAGCCAAGTCTGGTTCCCTATGTTGGTATTGGAAACTTGCAAAGCCTCAATGCAGAGCCAAAACTAGGCGTCTTTAGATTGGAGCCCTGCCATTTGGAACCTTCATCAATGTACCTCAGTAATCCGTACAACAAGTAGCTTCCTCCTGTCACAACCTGGAAGCCTGCCCAGGTGTGGAACTGGAGCTCCAAGAGCTGGCCAGGTTGGTGGGGCCAGTGCGCAATGGGAGAACGAAGTGTCTTCAAGTAGCTTTACGCAAGTTTGCGGTTTGGAGTAACTTACAGATACCAAGTAGCGCGGCAACCAGGCCTACCCGGCACTCACTTGAACCCCCGCCAAAGCCACGCTACCTACCTAGGTAGACCACAGCTGACCTCACCTCTCGACTCCGCTGGAGCTTGCGGCAAGGCTGCAGCTGCTTTGACGCGGCACCAACGACTACACCACTGAACCACCACCAGCTATCACGACGTTGCCCGCCGCCAGCACGACTCCTACGACGACCTCACCACCCCCACCTCATACCAGTCCTTCTTCCCACCAAGACCCGTGCCCGCTCAAGGAGCGCTGCAGTCCTGCCATCATGGCCATGTTCAGCCAGAACCCAGTCCTTAACGGGCCCAACTACTCCTTTGCCGAAGTCCCCAGCAAACAGAACGCCAGCGGCTTCAGAGAGCACAGATTCAACCCGTGAGCAGCTCTCGACCCATATTGCAACCGGTGCATGACCACCGGGACGGCCAGAAAGCTAACGTTCGACTGCCCCTCACCACAGATACACCGACAATGGAGGTTCCACCCTCGCGATTGCAGGCGCCGAGTTCGCCATCATGGCTGGCGACACCCGCCTGACGTCAGGCTACAGCATTAACACCAGATATGCCCCGAAGGTCTTCAAGATTGGCGGCACGACATCATCACAAGAGGATGCAAACATTCTCCTGTCGGTCGTCGGCTTCGCCGCCGACGGCGAGGCTCTCAAGGAACGGCTCGACTCGATCTGCAAGATGTACCGGTACCGGCACGGCAAGCCCATGTCGGTGGGCGCCTGCGCCAAGCGCCTGTCGACCATCATGTACCAGAAGCGCTTCTTCCCATACTACGTCTACGCCATCCTTGGCGGCATCGACGAGGAAGGCAAGGGTGCCGTCTACAGCTACGACCCCGTCGGCAGCTTCGAGCGCGAGCAGGCTCGTGCCGGTGGCGCCGCGGGCTCCCTCATCATGCCCTTCCTCGACAACCAGGTCAACTTCAAGAACCAGTTCATCCCCGGTAGCGGCGTCGGCCACGACGTAAAGCCTCGCCAGGTTGTGCCGTTGGCGAGAGACGAGGTCGAAGTCTTGGTCAAGGATGCTTTCGACTCTGCCGTAGAGCGGCATATCGAGGTCGGTGACCATCTGCAGATGATGATCATCACAAAGAACGGTATCGAGGAGAAGCTGCTGCCGTTGAAGAAGGATTAAGGTTCAAGCAGAGATTAGTCATGGCGAAGTGACAGCAAGCATTGTTCAAGCGAGATAGTGCCTTAAGAACGGCAGCTCTGCAAGAATAGACTCGGGCGAATGTCCTTTGAACTCGGAATCTTGGATAGGCTTCTTGTGAGATGTGATTGAGGACTTTGATTGACTCGACCTAGACACAGCGACTGGCAAGTAGACATGCCCCAAGTACCTTCTGTCTCGGAGTGATTGATGCTTCCGCAATTCCCAAGCCGCTATGATGCTCTTAAATGAATTACCCTCTTCCTATCATAATGTAGAGACAGATATGATGCTGGAAGCCCTGCTCTTGTGCCATCCCCACCATTGGTGCAGTAACGTTATGCTGAGTGATACCCATACAGGCCAATCTCTGCGCCATGGAGGTTCCGGGGTCGCACTAGTTCATTGTTTGAAAACACACCTTGAGTTTGATAGAGGATGCTGGCATTCTCCGATCCCTAGGGGGTAAGCAAACGTTACTACAACGAAGGGCCGCGAGGTAGGGACGGCCGGACGGACACAATACCTGCATATCTTCCTTCGAAACAGCAGTGGGGTTCCCGAGCGTAGAATTTACAGATGTCTAGCCCTGCCACCGTATAAACATAAACACGACCAGATCACAGAAGAATCTCAGGATGCGCAAAGACTGCATAGTACATTAGGCACATAGCTGCATCGGCCACAGGGCCTCTGCCTCGAAGATTGTCGTGACCATCTGAGTACAGAGTCACTCCCAGACGGTGCTGCTGTGCTGGCATCCAGTTCTCTCGTTCGCGCTGTGCCTGTAGAAACTGTTCCACGTATCCTGCCCAGCACTTGAAAGTTGCGATGACGAACATGGGCGTAGGAGCTGATGGTGATGACCCGCGTACTTGAGGGAGACGATAGTGCCCCGGCCCGAAGCAGCCTGGGACGAGTCGGGCGATTCCGCACTTCCATCCCTCTTATTTCTACGTGACTGCACCGGGACACTGCCGGGACACTGTTATTCCTCTTCGTGGTGCGGTACAGCACGTTCAGCCCGACGCACAATCCGAGGATACTGTTTCAATGCAACCGTCGACCGTCCTTCATGTCCGTCTCACGAACACATTCACTCACCGTGTGCACCTGAACAGGCAAAGCGACTTCACGATCAGGCGTATCAGTTCCATCAACTGTTGCTGTCCTGGGGCGGGTGAGGATTCTCCTGATCGGGGACAAAACAACCACCACAACCGAAGGGAGTTCACCGCTTGCCAGTTTCGGCGGTGTTTCCGGCGAGGTTCACTCTGGCCCTGGGCCAGAGTGAGGGCATTCCCAGATAGGGGCCAAACTGGATTTTCGAGGGGGAGCCAGCCACATCAACAGCGCCCTGTTGATGCGACACGTGTGAGGGAATCCCTGATCATGGCATTGTCAGTCGATTGCGTGCAAGAACGGGTGCAGAAGTGCAGGAATTCAATGGGGTGGAAAATCAAGTCGAATTGGTGAAGTGAAGTGGCGATATCTCCGCGCATGCTATGAAAAATGTCGCGATGGCTTCAAGCCTTAAGTAGTACTGTACAAATATGCCCCTGATCAGTCTATCCCGCCCTGCCCTGACACATTGCCTTGGCACGTAACCAGCTGCGTGTGAGCTGTGAGGTTGACTACGGCTTGTAATGAAACATAGTGGCGGCGCCAAGTGGCAGATCGCAGTCGGCCCTTCAACATGGCGATCCAGTGAAGTATTCCCGGTGGCTCTGTGTACCTTGGACTGCTGAGTCCACTGACATTTCACGCAAGTGTAGTTCTAGTGTGCGACCTGGTGCTTCGGTAAGCCTCAGTGAACATATGGTGCATGAGTATGCCTCACAGAGCCCATTAACTCGAATAGCCCCATATCACATGGTCTGAGGGACTTAGCCAGCCACTGCTAGCAATACGGCGCGTAGCATCATGACCAATAGCGAGAGTTCACATTACCAACGCATTAATCTTCGGGGATGAGACCCCCAGTGGAAAAAATAATGAGCGGATGCCAAGTCTATGCCGGAAAATCATGTCGTGCCATGAGCCGCCGCCTTTACTCTCCCTTCATCCAGGGCTGTGCCTTGCCCTGCTTTTCTCTCATCACGACGGAGCCACGCGATATGATTCGCACACAGCACCAAAGCAATAATTTTCAGACTCTGGCGATTGAATAAGCGAGGTGGCGCGCGGTCGACAGCCTCCCCCTTGCGTGTATGGTGTCTTGGAGTGGTTTTTCCGGAGCATCTCGAGCATGGCGGCGGCATTTGCCGTCAGGAGTAAGAAAGCATATGCGGCTGCAGGCAGACGAAGGCTACCGGGGTGTAAGATGAATAGGTAGGTATGGCCTAAAGAACAACTTGGCCATACAGCTGCAGCCATCGCCTTGTTGACAAGGATGAGCAAGCTTGGGGTACGCTGAAGAAACACCCACGACCATAGCTCTTTGTAGGAACGGGAGATCAAGCCGGACTCTGCTCTACCCGAAATGAGCTACACAGGCGAACAGCCAATCACGGGGTTGACAGGCCATGCATGCAACTACACCCGCGGACAGTCGACATCGGGGTCGATGTAAGCACCCTCGAAATGCCTGCAAACGGAGTTCCAGGATTATCGTGGGCCGGTGTAGCGAAAGCACGGCTGTACTGTACTACGCAGTAAGCGGCCTTGGTGCAACACGGCCCCGGCTGGCGAGCTACAAGCTGTCTATCTGGACTATCTGGCTGGGCCTCCACCGTGACAAAGCCTGGCCCTGACGAAGCCAGGTACGTCAGAGATGTACCATCAACTCTGGAGCCGCTGGGGGTTTGCAGCAGCAGCACGGCAGATGTGCTCGTGCACGTGGTGCAGATCCAACATGAAAGCTTCTGACCGGCGCTCTCGGGAACGCCGTTGTGTACAACATGTTCCTGGGACCTCGTCCCCATCACGGTAAAGTGTATTAGCAACAACAACATGATCTGCTGGGCAAAGCTGCCAGGTCTCCCATTGCGATGCCGTTGGAGGCCGCTGGGTGGCGACAAGTGCTAACGCCAGGTGGGCTAGCGCTGCTGGATCCGAAGGCGACATCGTGATGAGGACTGCATCTGTTGAAGCAAGCCCCAGCCGACTTGGAGCCCAAACGTACGATCATGGCAACTTGGAGAGCAGCTGTAGCTCGTGGATCTGCACGGCAAGGGCCATGTCTCGAAGTTTGCACGGAGGGGCGGATGGCGGCACCGCAGTGAGGCTGGGAGCCAACTTTGAAAATTGGATTTCGGGGTTTCCTGATGATCGGACGTGTCAAAAGGCTGCCCGGATTGGCAGGATTGGCAGGGCCTGGCAGGGGATGTAGTGGGTGTGAGGCTGAGCGGGTTCAGATGAGGAAAGTTTTCAGGGTCCTTTGTGCGGCGATCGGCGCTGTCTTCGCGGGAAACGGCTTGGTCTGTTCCTGACGCAGGCCCCTGTCCAGCCCACCAAGCACCACTCCCCAGCGAGGGCTCTTGGGCGCCACTCGTCATGGAGCGATCTAGGCCCGGCGCCCTCCTCCCCGGAGGGAACAAGCTGCTGCAGACTGGTCGACCATGAGTGGGTTTGGTTCATATGCTAGACACAAGCACCATGCGAGACAGGCAACGGCGCTTGAACGGCTGCGTGACGAGGCCGCCTCTGTGTAACCGATGGCGGGGTCCAAGGCGGAGGAAACAATCCGCGCAGGTCGATAGCACCAGCTGATCGGAACCTGGGCCAGACCATGGCCCCTCCTCTCCGGCTTCCTTGCCTGGTTTCCTGCGCCGTGCATGCGTCAAGCGCCACGGCATCGTGTCGGCTGGTGGAGTCCAAGGTTTTTTGCACACTTAGAGGGACAAGGACATCTTGGCGGGTGGGCCAGCCCATGGCAAAGTTCTTCACATGCACATTGCAGTCAGTCTCTGTCTGCTGCAATCGCACATCCAGAGAGCCGGGTCGAGCCATTGGATCCGAGGATATACTGTTTCGTCCCATTGCCCAACGAGAGGCCTTCGAAATTCGTTGCGATGCGCACGCTCCCTTCATGAAGGTGCACTGGCTGTTGTGATAGACGACATGACCACAGTGACGTCATTGTGAGCAAGACATTCTTCTGGTGGTCCGGAATGAAGTGTGCCGAGGCTTCTCGGGGAGAGTGACCAGCTGCCTGTCCCTAATTCATGCCTTTGCTATCCTTGATGGTCGTCCGAGATGTCGTCAGGCAGCCATCAGGCAAAGCCACCTGCGCATAATACGTATTTGTTCCTGGCATGCACGGGAGTGGATAGTCTGAAAAAAAGTCGAGGGTTTTGGCTGTAGTCATTAATTAGTACTCCGTAGCGGGTATCCTTCGTAGGTGAATGATAAAGCAATGTGGATGCATGACCCTGGTCACAGGGTCATGAGTTTGGGGGTTGATCTGAGGCACTACGTCATACCCATAACTCCGTACTGAAGTCCCGAGCCTAGGAAGGCAGTATTGCCGTGCGCAATGGACAACGACGCTCGATACGCATTGTTGGTACGATCGCCAATCGCAATGATTGGGCCCATGGCGGCGCAGAGGTCAGCGTCCCATGTACTTGATCCAAGGAGCGAGGCGGCAGCGCCAGCCAGTTCTATTCTTGCACTGCCTTGTGCTGTGACGTGATTGTCGAAAATGGTTGTTCTTCATGTCGCTGACCGTCTGCGATGACAGTCGAGATATGCTGCACTTCTGCGGAGAGGTTCGCCTTCTGAACCGGTGGTCAGGAGGAATAGGTGCTGGAATCTGGCTCTTCTGATCCAGACTCACGTGTGAGTGGCTGCCATGACAATGCAGCCCTTGTGGCTCTGGGTATGGCTGCATGGCTGCCAGTACGTCGCGATCTCCACGAGTATTCTGCTGCCAGAGGCTGTGTCTCTAGCCAACCCGGGAGAACTGCAACCGTGTTATGCAGCACTCTCAAAGTGACTTCCCAGAATTGTGGCAGCGCAGGGTTTCCAATGGCCATTCGCGAGTCGTGGGCTTCCTGGCAGAGTGCGCCATCGACATCATAGTGCTCGATTGTCCACTTTAGCGACGACGCCAAGGGGTTCTGGGCAGGGGTGTACGCTTGACGTTGGCCGGAAGCTCCGCTTTGTCGTGCAGCTCTGGCTGATGATTGACCAGCTCAATGGGAATTCCCCAAATCCCATGTCGGTCGTGACTGGCTGGCTTTACCTCCGTGCGAGCCTCCCAGGTTGCGGGAGCGGGCGGCTGCCCACGCTATGCGGCCGCACTTGTGTGTCGCCACGCAGCCGCGGACCAAATGGCGTTCTACTGACCGTTGCAGTGCCTTGTACATGGTGAATTTCGACAGGGCAGGTGCGAGAGGGGTTCTCCCGGCAGACGCAACCCGTGGTGGCAGTTATCGTCAAGGGTGGGCTTACCAGGATGCCAATGCCTCGTGCTTTCGCCACTTCTCCCGCCGTCCTCGGCAGGGTGGTCATACTGTACATCCAATAGTCCCCACCGCACTCAGGAGATGCATGCCTGTCTCGCCGGGCCACAAGGCTGGCAATTGTGTCGACAAGTAAGTAGGTATTCGCAGGGGTGTACGCAATCTTTCCATTCGTCATGCAGCAGTGAGAGCGCTTGACGATGCGGTCATAGACACATTGTCAGCGGAGCCAGCCGCCCCCATCTGCACGTCTTCTGTCCGTCTACGTAGCAGGCCTGCGATCTGGCATGTCGCCGTCGATGGCTACATCTCTTGGAGCTTGTAATGTGGTGCTGGACAAACAAGGCAAGTCATGAGCCATGTTGCTGGTGATACGACACTGGTGACTGGTCATTGGAAATACCTGGGGTCGGCTGGGGCATGGAGTGCGCGAAACATTTGCAGATGTTCGATGTCGAGTGCTGACTGGTGCGTTCCTGCCTAAAGTTTCAGGGTCCTTTTTCTTTCCTGGTCTGTTCTTGCTTGCTTTGCTAGTTGAGAGAAAGCATGCGTGGGTACCCGGCAGGCTGAACCATGTCCAATGTAGCAGGTACAAGCCTTGCGCCGGGGCGGGGGGCGAAGTTGAGGACTCTGGTCCGGGTAAGCAGCCGCACACCGGCACAACGACACGCTCGAAGCTGGAGCGAGCTCTACCGTTGTCGTGTCGTGCTTGCGAGGATCACCCGCCGGCGATCGACGCCAACTTACGAGAGCCCCATGTCCAATTCCCGTCCGCCAAGTTCCCAGCCGAGCCAGCCAGCACCGGACGCCGTGGAGCCACCTCGACACCCTCGAACCCATTTGCCGGGACGCCGCCATACGACCCTTCCCAGAGTGGCGACAATGGAATGGGTCACTTTTTGGGCGGAGACCTATCCGCACCACGGCGGTGGGCTCGCTGGCTCCCAGGATGTTTGGGTATCTCCGACCACCTTTGTCAAGCCACTGCAGCCACAAGCCTCCCTTCTCCGCGGGCCGGCATGGACCTTGGGGCCATCCCTATCCTGGTTGGGCTCCAGGTATGACTTCGTTGCGACCCATTGGCCCAGGGGGGTGTGGGCGGCCGCTATGCGAGGCGCGGCGAGCGTTCCTGACAGCTAGCAGACGACAGATTCGCCACTTGTACTTCCCCATTCGAGGGTCGGCTGGGCATTTGTTGTAAAATAGCAATTCGGGACTTTCCCCTTGAAATTCGAGGCTCCGGGAAATCCTGGCAAGCATGACACAGTACTGATCAGCATCATCCCCAAGATTTGTGCCTCGTTACCGAGTTCTCAGGCTCACCAAGCCAGTCCTCTTGATTTATACCTTGGCCAACGGCCTATTGTGATGGCGTATAGCTCCAGTCTACGATCCTACTGTGCTTAGTTGATGGATTCGGTCTGTTGGACACCTACAAGGTCAGTGTTTTGTGCATCCCTTATGACGATTGTCGTTCCCCGCCAGCAGAATTTCTCCAGCATGGCAGCTGTATGCGTGGTGGTCTACATACAATTCACCTTGGACGCACATTGGTTGTGCGTGACAGGCAGCATACCTTTCATAGTGTCTGATCACATCATCGCGCATCTACAAGGCGGCTTGCATGGGACTCAAACACTAACCACGGGTCGTCCGAGACAGCGGAGTTATCGAGGTGTGGCTTCAGACCTTTCTTGTCTTCGCCAGACCCTAGCCTGGCCGGGCATCCCTCCTGCCCACACGGGGCATAAAATTAGCCACATTGCGCCATAATACTGTTGTGTCCCATACGCACCATCTGATCGGCCATCTCACGAGACAGATCTGGGAATCAGCTTCAACACGGGGCATAAACACACTACCGATCGCATCCTCACTTCCGAACAACGACTTACGAAATTCTGTCGAAGAGTTCACACCTAGTAGAACAGAGACAATCGCGTGCAACCACTTCTTCAACCCCCACCTCATGCGGAACTGAAGTAGTCAAGTTCGCAGAGATCTTTATGGTACGTTTCTATTATTTCAATGCCGTTGTAGTATGCCCCCAAAGCCTCTTCTTCTCCTTGTCTTGAACGTCAACCCGGCAGAGAGTCATGGATCAAGCTTGAAGCTGGCGCCCTGGGCCTAGTCAACAATGGTCAACAGGACCTTCGCTTTCGCATGCGAGCATACTGACTATATCCTCATGTCAGAGTGAGGGTGACGTTCGGGATCAGGGTCGGCAGACCGGGTTGCAGTCGGTTCATGGCGATTCCGATCGCTGAGGCCGCCCCGCCACTCTGCCTTCCGCCTCGACCCCCCCGTCAAGTTAGCTTGGTCTCTATAACGAGCCTCACCCAGTCTTTACTAATACATGCTACCGCTCAAGGGTACCCTTATAGGAGTTCAAAACAGTTTAAAGAGTCGCAAAACCTTTTGGCCCGCCTTGGGCATGACACTTGCCTTGACCGACCAAATCTGACCCTTATTTCTTCCACCTCTTCTTTCCAGGCTGTGCTCCAAGCACTACCCGGGCTATGGTGGACCAGACAGAGCCTTTGGCTCCCCCAAAGGAGTCTGAGGCTCCAGAAGTAAAGAGCCCAGCTTACCAAGGACCTGTCTCAAGTCACGACCAAGTCAGAAAAGCACCGACACAGACTGGCTTTGATACACGAGTTCAATTGCCTGACTCGGAACACGGCCAGGCAACGGTCAGTCTTCTTGATGGTAGTCAAGAACAATTCACGCCGACGCATCCTTCTTTCAGTATGGAATCGATGGCAAACTCACTTCCTACACAGACCTACCATCCGATGTTTTCCACCAATGGACACCAACAAGGGTTCCAGCAGCAACACCGTGGTGGTCCCCAGACACAACGATTTCCTCATATACCGCACTCCTCGACTATGTACAACCATGCCGGCGCGCACGCACCTCATTTCTCGACACAGCCCAACATTCTTGGTCAACCTTTCTACATGCAGCCTCAAGCACAGATGCCGCCGTTCTATGGCCACCATCAGATGGCCGGCACGCAGGGTCCGCCGACCCAGCTTGGCGTCGGTCAGTCACGATCAAACCCTCCTTACTATACCGGTCCGATCATGATGGGCCAGCACAACCCCTCAGGCTACTATTATCAACCTCACATGGGCTCGTTTTCACCGCCGAACCATCTCCACGCGGGAAATATGCATGGCAATCACTACGGACGTATGGAGAACGGCGATACGATGAGTCAATCTACCCCTACGCCGCAGCAAAACCAAACTGTCAGCAGCAGTCACGCCAACGTTGTTCGAGGCCCTCCACGGAAACCCCGACAGAATGGTACGTATCAAGTTCTCGCTCGATGTCCAACTCGCCTGGGCCACGTCTGATCTGTGACACTATAGGACATGCCATCTGGATTGGGAATCTTCCTCCACAAACCGACCTAATGACCTTGGTTCGACACGTCTGCGCCGAAACTCAGGGACTCGAGTCTCTCTTCCTCATCTCGAAGAGTAATTGTGCATTCGCGAATTTCAAGGATGAGGAGAAATGCATAGCCGCTCAACAAAAGCTACACGAGTCGAAATTCCAGTCTGTCCGACTTGTCAGCCGGCTCCGCAAGAGCACTGTTGAGGGAGCAGCCGGGCAAACAGCACCTACAGGCCCAGCTTCAATCACGCCGACTGTCCAAGTCTCGGGATCCACGGGCGTCAAAGATCAGATTGCAACTCCACACGAGATCAAACCCACGATTGCTCAGAGCCAAGCAGAGCGACCAAGCAGTCACACCGAACACGAACAGTCTATGACACAAACTTCTGACCGGTCCTTGCAGCGGGACAGATTTTTTGTGCTGAAAAGTCTTACGGTCGACGACTTGGAACTTAGCGTTCGGACTGGGGTGTGGGCTACGCAATCACACAACGAAGAGGTTCTGAACAAGGCTTTTGAGGTATGTTACAACCAGATCAGCGTGGTCAGAGGTCCCGAGCAGTGAAGCTAATAGGGGATTCCCAAAGACTGCTGCGAATGTCTATCTTGTATTCTCAGCCAATAAATCAGGAGAGTACTTTGGATATGCCAGGATGACGTCTCCGATCAACAATGACCCTGCGGCGGCAATCAAATTCGCTCCGAAAGTGCAAAGCACAAACGACATTGACCTTCCGAAATCGATCCCTACCGAGGCGACGGACGTTTGCCCCAAAGGTCGAATCATTGATGATCTGTCTCGAGGCACCATATTCTGGGAGATTGACCGGGACGAGGAAGATGAGGCTGTCAGTGACGCCAACTCGGAAGGCTCAGGAAGCATACACGAGTTTACGGAAGGAGAAGAAGAATCAAAGGCGTGGGGCAGGCCGTTCAAGCTGGAGTGGCAATCAACCACAAGACTGCCTTTCTACCGCACTCGGGGGCTTCGAAACGTGTGGAATTCCAACAGGGACGTCAAGATTGCACGCGACGGTACCGAGCTCGAGACCTCTGTCGGCAGGAAGCTCATTGGGTTGTTCAACCGCATTCACACGCCCGCGCCGCATGGGAACATGGCATATCGAGCAGGCGTGATGCAGCCAGCAGGGTACGGACAGCCTACACCGATGCCGCCGTCATACTGCTAGCGCGGGAAGCATTGCTGCCCTACCAGAGCCGGGGAATGGCAGTTTGGCTGTCCAGTCAACACGAATTCGCCGTGCAATACGCCTAGGTACTCCGCAGGGGGCCGGACCCCGTAGCAGGAGCTTGGGAACGCCAGAGCCGATGGCCAAGCATGTCACTAACGCAAGTATCAAAACGGCACAGTAATGTAGTCATCATCAAAACGAATCATCCGCGGTCTTCTATTTTCATGGGCGACTTTGTCCCTCAGAGGGGGCGCGTCCTGCTGCGAAATAGGCATGTATTTGTGTGACCATGCTGCTGAGTGACGACGGGTGGTCTGCAGATCGACGTCCGAAGATGGATGAGGACGAAGATGACGGGAATGGCAGGCAATGAGCCCACGATGACGATGGAGCATCAGGAGGCTCAAGGGACCGTAAGGCTGTGGCGGGGAGCACGTCGTTGACAATAGGTTGGTGGGAAGGGGGTGGGAGTGGGGCCCCTCAGAGCGGCCTTGGGGCAGGGTCCTCTGGCGACGTCATACTGCAGCCAGGCCCGGAGCCATGGGTGAGCCTTGAGGTCGCCGGCGTCAAGATGATCACAACTAATCTGGAACTGGCGAGAAGCACCAGTGCGGGGAAGGTTTCTTTCAGCAGTCACCCTCTACACAAGCCACATGGTGGTGTAGCATGTGCAATGGAATTGATTGTCTCTGTTGCGGCGGGGGATTCGCCAGGCTGTTTCTGGGGGTTTCCAGAATGCTCCACCAATGGGCGAAGCTGATTGGCCAGCCCCAACCAGCATCTTGGAGAAGCTTCGTGCACTGTCGAGCCAGCACCTCGAAGCAGTCCCAAGGTGCTCGACCGCTTTGTACCACGAAACGAAGCCATCGTCGCCATGGTGTTTCCTGTCTATATATTCTGGACCAACTGTCTGGAGTGGCCAGATTTGGTTTTTCCGACTTCATCATCATCACAGTACACAGTCTCCAGACAAGCTCTCCTCAGAGGACTTACAACCATTACTTGACGCCTTGCCTTGCCTATAAGCCAAACGGCCAACGCCAATATTCCCACCACCACTATTATCAACAACAACAACCTGATCCACCTCCACCCAGCAATCGCAATGGCCTTCTTCAGACCCCACGTCTACTCGGCTCCCTATGCCCAGCCCGAGCCTGCCGCGGAGCCCAGCTTCCACGGGCTCTTCCGCCTGCTCGAGGACTGGGACAACCACCACAGCAGCAATGCTGCTGCCAGCACCGGCAGCAACAACAACAGCAGCAGCAACAGTCACAACCACCCACGGAAGCGCCCGCACCTCTCGCGCCCTCAACACAAGGAGCCCATCTTCACACCCCGCTTCGACGTCAAGGAGACGGAGTCCACCTACGAGCTGTTTGGTGACCTTCCAGGTGTCAAGAAGCAGGATATCAACATTGAGTTCAGTGACCCGCAGACTCTGGTCGTCAGCGGCCGCGTTGAGCGGACTCCCGCCGCCGCCGATGCCCCTTCGAGCAAGAATCTCCTCACCAGCGACAGCCACTCCGACCATGACGACGATGATGCGGTCATGATTTCGCACCACGAGGATGAGCACGCGGAAACCTCCTCGCAGCGCTCGTTCCGGGCCACCGTCGAAGACGACACCGAGGAGACCGGCACCACCTCCACGCCTGCGGCTACCAGTAAGAAGTCCGAACAGCATGCCACCGCCAGCACTGCCGAAAAGCAAGACCTGGAGCAGCAGCAGCAGCAGCAGCAGCCAAAGACCCCCGCAACCAAATTCTGGATCTCTGAGCGGCCTCACGGCACATTCTCCCGCACCTTTGCGTTTCCCGAACGCCTCGACCTCGACGGCGTGACCGCGGGCCTGGAGAACGGCGTCCTCTCCCTTGTCGTGCCCAAGGCGCGCAAGTACGAGGCCAAGCGGATCAGTCTTTTGTAAAATCCAATCTGTTGCCTGTTTCTGGTTTGTCTTTCCGTTTGCCTTGGGATATGGTTTGATGAATTGGACCTGTGAGAGGAGATTCAATGGATTGGTGCCGAGGGATGAATACAGCGAAGACGGCGTATGACCCTGGGATTGCAATCGACTTTTTTTTTTTTTTTTTTTTTTTTGCACACATAGCGATGGGTCTTTTCCTTTCGGGGATCAAATAGGAGTGCCTTTGAATAATATGAAGAAAGTTGTAATGCCAACAAAACAAATCGTTCCCGATATGTCTCCTTGTTCATGTCTCTCCATCAGACTGTCTGCCCAGTGAACATTATGAACACGCGAATATTTTAAATCGAGTCTAAACTGTACTACATCTTCCCAGCTTCGTGTCTAGCTCGCTATTCTTTGATTTGGAAGGGGAATGCACATCTAGAAGACGAACCACGGCCGAGAGCCATGGTTGGCAAGACGCGGGCACGAGTAGAGCGTCAGCTGTTGTACCCTTTTTTAGAACAAATGAACAGATGCCCCTGAGTAGTGGCGCCATCAACATATTCTGCTTTGGCCAGTATATATTTTGAGAAAAAAGTAAATAAAATACAGATCCGCAGTTGAAAGCACAGTGGATCACGTTTATGTGGGCAAAAAAGGTGAAACTTGGACGATGTTGTATATCATCGATTATGAATATGTATTATACATATGTATAGATATGTCCTACTATTTCTTTGTGTCATGATAAAGTTCTATAGTCATTGCCCACTTTTAGGGCACGTTTGCCTTTGGCTGCCAAAATGTCAAAAACGCCTTTTCCTTTCTCTTTTCCCCATGTGAATATTTGCTTGTCCGTACTTGTTTCTGTTCTTCAAGCCGGGCACTGGAGTGAGTAGAACGGCGTCGCGGAGTTGAGCGGTGTGAGGCCAAACGAGATGCCGGCCTGGTCGACGTTTGCGTCGACGAGGGTGTACCAGAAGACGTTGCGGAAGCCAAACTGGTGGCAGCCGACGTCGAGCCAGTACTTGCGTGCGTTGTCGATGCTGGCGACGGCGGCGCCAGAGTTGGGGCCCTTGTGCGGCCAGCCGGTCTCGGTGACCCAGACGCGCTTGCCGTTGGCGATGCGGTTGGTGACGGCGATGCCGGCGTCCCAGTTGGCGCGGGCGTTGGCGATGCTGTTGGCCTTGTTGCTCTCCCAGTAAGGGAAGCCGTTGTGGCCGAGCCAGTCGACGGCGCGGGCGACGCCCTGGTTCTCAGGAAGCTCCCAGGCCGTGTAAGTGTCGACGTGGCCGATGGGCTTGTTCTGGAGCCGCGTGCCGCGGATCCAGTCGCGGAGCCAGCCAATGTAGCCCTCAATCTCGGCGCCGGTGGCGCCGACGCCGGCGTTGTTGGCGACACCTTGCGGGGAGGAGCGGTAGAGGTCCTCGGAGCCGACGCTGATGCCCATGATGAGGTCTGTGAAGCGGTTGCCCCACTGCCTCTCGGCGGCGAGGAGCGCGTTGAGCTCGTTCTCGTAGCCGGCACGGCCGCCCGAGGCCCAGAGGCCGATGAGGATCGGGGTATTTGTGTCCATGGCGGCCTGGAAGGCGGAGATGGGAGTGTTTGCGGTGCCGCACTGGATGGAGGTGTAGAGGCGGGCGGTGGCCTGCTTGAAGGGGCCCGGGGCGTTGGGAAGGTTGCGGGCACGGGTCATGAGGTTGCGGAAGTCGTCGTAGGTGCGGCAACGGCCATTGTTGTCGGTGGCGCCGTAGTTGAAGCCGGACTTTTGGAGGAAGTTCCAGTCGACGGCCTGGACTCCGGAGGCGGCCAGCCCGAGGGCGGCGGTGATCAAGCTGAACTTCATGATGCTTGGGAGGTGTCCTGCTTGCTGGTTGGGCTGGTGAGAGCTGGGCGAGAGGATCCAGACGATCGGAACAGGCTGGGAGGGCCGTCCATCTTATATGACTGGCCAGGGGGCCAAGGCCCCTTTCAACAAGCTGGCTGGGTGTGCCATGTTATTTTTTTTTCTTGCTGCTGGGCACTGCACAAGGAGCGCGCATGGAGATGATGACGGTGGCTGCAGCGAGTTGTGCAGATACGGAGTGGGTGCGGCTCGTATTCCCTGGGGGGCATCGGGCGCAAAGGAGAAGGGATTGGCGGCGGCCCCAGTGCCGGGTGGCGCCGTGCCTGGCACAGACAGGGCTTCCGGCGTCATGGGCCACTTTTGGCTCCCGATCCGCCGTGTTCGAGAAGAGCCCGTCGCAGGGAAGCGAGGCGGAGCACCGGACTGGACCAGGGGAGAGGGCCCACGTCTGCGTGACCAAGGAAATCTGACATGGCAGCAGGTAGGATGGGATGATGGGATGACAGTTGGCATTCCTCTTTCTCCTTCTTCGTGTTCCTCGTCACGGGATGTAGCCGTCGTATGTCGTATAAACGGCAAAGGAGGAGACGTCCACGAGACCCTGTGACCTGGCGGTGGCTGCATGTCTTGCAAGTGTCCAAGGCAGGCACGATGCAGGTGTGCTGGCGCAGGGTCGCACTTGTCTGTCTGTGCCTGTCCAAGTCCGTGATGGTTGTGCTAAAGATAGCCCGGCAAGGCAGGCAAGGCATCGACAGAGTTGGCACTCCCGCCGTCTAATCACACACTGTACCTAGCGCCCGCTGCCTAAAAAACAGGCAGGGCCAATTATGAACTGTTCTTCGTCCCAAGCATAACAAAGGCCAGCGCATCACTGCCCCTTTCGAGGCCAATGCTCAATGCCTGGATCCCTTCGACCCAGATTGAGTTCTGTGCACCCGCAGCCCGCCCCGCCCGGTGATCTGGGCAATCCCGACTGACGCGCGTTGCAGCAGGGATCGGCCAAGTCAAAGCTTGGAACTTCGCTTGTACTGTACATATAGTACATACGCAGTACAGTACATACTTGTGGGCACAGGCACAGCCCGGCATCCAATCTCGCAGGATTGCTAATTAATCACTGGCGGCACTTGGCCAAAGGAGTCCAAGGCCCGCCGTCCTGTCTTCGGAACCAGCCAGGCCCCTGATTGTGTCATGCACTCGCTTGTACACGCACTTACATGTACTGTACCCTACTTTAAGTATTTAGTGCAAGTAGTGTATGCATGCTCCTCCACACGATGCACTGCTGTAGTCAGAGTTGGGTTCAGCACTTGTATAATCCTCCAAAAATGCAAGCTCGCCAACATCATCAGCAGCCTTGGAGTAACGTAGCAACAGGATCTGTGCGCCCACGATTCCTCCTTTTCCACTCCCTCGACATGCACCTTGTTTCCTCCCGTCTCCAACAATGCGCTCCTTTGAGCCTAACGTCCGTCAGTCGCTACATCACTGGTCCGCCAGCTCGTCCGTCCTTGCTGCCAAGCAGGATCGACCGGCAGTGCTCTCGAATAAGCATCTCAACCTTGCAGATATGATAGGCTACCAACTCGCCCATGGGGGTCGATTGTCACTCAGGTGCGATCAGCATATGGCATTGTATTGCAAGATCTGCCGTGTGTAGGATTGTAGAGATCCTCACGACTGTGTATGCCTGACACAATTCAAGAAATAAGAGACCTTAATGTGCTGCGAATCTAGTCGAGATACTTTACCTGAATCTTTCTGTCTAGTTATGACCCCCCCCCACAAACTGGTATTGCACATGCGGGCGTGAAGAGACTCACATATCTCAGACCACTCATCGCCTCCTACTACACTGGCGACTTTGCAAGACTTTCTGACAACATGTGTGCTAATTCTCGATGAGCGCTCTGAAGTCTAGGTTATGCCATCATCCCAATGTGATGAGTGCCCTATGACGAACCCAGAAGCCGTGGTCAATTCATGCTGGACATTTGCAAATGGCTATTACAAACCCATAACTGTTTCCCACCGGAGAGCACCTAGAGCTCACCATCTCCCATTCAGGATGAAACCACCACTGCCGATCAGTACGAGTTTAAGCATTAAGAAAAATAAAATAAAATCTAGGGCTTTGGGCCGATCTGAAAGAGAAATGGCAAACTTCAGCAGACCACCTCTCTGCTTCTTTTCTCAGACGGCATGGGTCCAGAACACGCAAACACCTCTCGTTTCCCCTCGTGTTCGTGAACTAGTCACTCACTGTCCGTAGGATGTGCTTTTATGGAAAATTATGTATTGGGTCTGGGTACCTAGGTATGTAGCCTGCCAGGTGCTAATGCACCCTTCGAGTGAACGGTAGGCAAGAGCGAGAATCGACTGCTCAAGTCCCATATAATTCAGATATGTATATATATATATACATATATTGTACGAAGACTGAACATGCCCCTCTTAGACAGGCAGGTGCCACCCACGCCAGCTGGAGACCATAGCAGTAATATCTCTTACTACAATCTTTCGTAGAGCAAGGACAGGCCGCCGGAGAATGCTCAGAGACTGGCCGATATTCGCGGAATTCGCAGACCACGCTGGTGGGATTGGGCGAGGCGAGTTTGGTAAGGTATGGAGCAGATCCCGAGGAATTTATATTACAGGTACGTTTATGTAGACAGGAAAGGAATACAACATGCTCCAGTTCACGGGAACTACCCGGGTCTAATCTGTTGACCTGTATCCTCCGGACGTGCCCAATGGAGCAACCCCGTTTTAATCAACTCCAGCGTTTCAAAGGAAGGCAGCTACGCCTGCTCAAACTCGCTTCGGCTACGCACAAAGACAAACTGCTCAAGGTTGGAGTCACTGGTTCTCAAGGCATTGGTTCTGGAGACACAGAGATGGCGGATATATACACACTTCTGCACATTCCTGCCTCCCGATCTCTGCTGTTGACCGAAAAGGCGGCCGATGGCAGGGCCGTCACTTACGATGCGACCGAGATCAGTCGATGTGTTGACCCCAAGAGAATGGCGTAAGGAATAGGAAGGGAAAGGCAGCTGGTCCGTCCTTCGTTTCATGAGTAGCCCTCCTATCACCCTGCCGCCACCGCAGAGCATTTCCTTTTCTCATCCTCCGTCTCCGTTTCCCTCCCCAAACGCCGCCCATTCAAACTTTCTCCGTGGCCGCAGCCGCCGCCTGTCTCTGGTTCCACTCCGCCGCCTGCCCGGCCATCCCCTCCATACTCGTGCACACGTGCCTGAACCCGATCCCGCCGTCCGCGATGCTCTTGCAGGCCGCGGCGTCCGTGGCGAGGGTATGCGTGGACGCCGTGAACACCGTGGGCTGGAGGGTGGCCAGGTCCCCCTTGGGCGCGGAGATGAGCCTCCCGAGGACCGGCATGTGCGCGGCAACGTCGAACAGCTCGACAATGTACGATATCGCCAGCAGCAGGGCCGGCTGCAGGGGCTTCACCTGGATGCGGCCCGGCGGCTCCGAGGTGAGCTTCAGGAGGTTGTACATGTCGGCGAATGCGGGCGGGGGCCCGGCGTCGGAGATGTTGTACGCCCGGCCGGCGCATTTGGGCAGAGGAGCCGCCCCCGTGGACGACGACGACGACGATAGGAGAGCGGCCTCGAACTGCAGGTGGCCGAGCGAGACGTGACCGCCGTGCACAAAGTTCTGGATAATGTTTGGCATCCATGTCGGGACCGTGCCCTTGCGCAGGACCAGCCCGACGGCCTGGTCGGCCTCGCTGCTGCCGTAGATGCAGTTGGCCGGGCGGATCGAGCCCGTGCGGAAGGAGGGCGAGTTGGCGTCGCAGACGAGCCGCTCGGCAACGGCCTTGCTGTGGGCGTAGTTGCCAAAGAATTCGGCGTGCGGGCGGACGGGCTTGTCAAAGTCTGTCTCGGCGAGGAACTGGCAGTTGTTCTCGTGCCAGGCGGCAAAGGGGCTGTTCCAGAAGCGCACGGGGCGGAGGCCGACGGACGAGGAGCACGTGTAGACGAGGACCGTGGCGCCGGCGGCCTTGCTGGCCTCGACAATGTTGCGCGTGCCGTCGACGTTGACGCGCTGCACGCTGGCGTACGTCCACTTGCTCCGCCTTCCGGGGTCGATCAGGGCTGCCGTGTGGAAGACGGTCAGCGGCAGGCCGGCGACCGACTTGGCCCACGGCCTGGAAAAGGCCGCGTCTACAGCCTCCCGCGACGAGATGTCGACCTGGGCAAAGTCGACTTTGGTGGCCGGGCCTGTGAGCATGTCATGCCGGCTGGGGCCCCTGAAGTCGACGACGCGAATGCTCTCGGGCGGCTGTCCACGAGCCAGCAGCTGCAGCACTATCTGGCCACCCACGCCGCCATATCCGCCCGTCACGACGTACCGCCGGTCGAGCTTTGGCGGGAGGTGTGAGGTCCAGTCGATCGGATGCTTGCTGATACGCCCGTATGTCTCCCGCATCTCGGTCTCCGTCCAGCGGTGTGGTGAGACGGCCAGGGCTTCTGGCGGCACGCCCTTCATCTTCCCGTTCAGCGACCACAGCCACGCGATGCCCAGCACCGTGAGCGCGAGCACGCCCAGGGCGGCGAGTTTGAAGGCGCCCATGGCTGGATGCCACTCGAACGGAGCGTTGTACTGTGGTGATGGTTGCGGTCACCGACCAGGCCAGTCGTAGAAGGTGCCGTCGACTCACTATTGCGTTGAAGAACGGCTCCTCTTTTGGAAATAAAACTTTTCGCTTTTCTGCTGGAGGTTGACTGTTGTCTGTTGTGCGTCAAGTACCTAGCGGGGGCTGAGCAGTCTTTGCTTCTTATAGTCCAGGGGAGCACATCTGAATATCACCCCCACCCTCCAATCCAGCAAGGAGCGGGTTCAGCCGCTGCCTCCTAATTGATATGCACTCTCGAAGCGCTATTCGCACCTCCCGCTCCAGCGGCAAGAGTCAGTCTGATTCGCTGGCCACCTCGGATACTGTGGATAAGGTTCCTCCATAGCTCCAGTCAAGGATGATGGTCGTAACAGAAAGTGTCTATTACCCCTGCATACGTCCCAGAAAGTTTTCGAGCCGATGCCACTAATTGAGTAGGTCTGCCTATCTGGCGACAGTGCCTGGGGGGCGCCATTGTGATGCAGCGCACTCAGCGTATGCAAAAGCACGTATGTACAAACATGTCTCAGAGCAGACAAAGTGGGAGCCTTGCCTGGTCCAGTCTGATCACGACATCCCTCGAATTCAGAGCGTCTCCAATGGTCACTCTCGACCAGTCGTGCAGCCTTGCGTGGCGTTCAAAGTTGGAGAAATTGCCGGGCTTCCCCACATCCAAGCAAGGATGGCATGCAATCGGCCTCGGACCTTGCTCCAACGAATGCGAACTCGAGGATACGTATCCGAGCTTACGATATAATGATGCCAATCGCCTGAGCCAGAAGCCAACGGGCACCACCACACCATAACCCCGCGATTCCATCTCGAACCAGCGAGCTCAACACTGATCGATGAGTCGCGGTATGCCTATCTCGATTCGACTGGGCGGTGATAAAGGCCAATGCCTCAGTAGCCGCGAACCCTTCAAGGAGAGAGGACTCCTCCGGATGTTTACTTGAACCAGAATGAAGCACACTGTCCTCGGCGGCTCGTCATGCAATACGCTCAATTCATGCTATGTGCTTCCTAAACTCATACCTTCGTCAAGACCGGGTCCAATCCACTCGTCGTGACGCCCCCACCCCAGTACCGGGCATGGCATAATGAAAACTCGGCCAAATGGTGCGACTGGTATCAACAAGAATAAAATCAAAACAATTACGCGCCGCAGCAAGAACACTCGTGTCCATCGCTGCCCAAGCTCTCCATGCCGGCCCACAAGTCACCACTCGCGTCTGGCCCAGCTACTACCGCTGAGGAACCCAGCTGATACGTTCAGACCATGTAAGCCATGGCGGCAATGGCAACAGCCGCGGCGCCGTTTCTCGCCTGCTGCATGTCAAGGACCATGGCAGCGTTGGGAGTCGTGGTCGGCGAGGTGGCGGGGCGAGTGCTGGAAGAAGCCGGGGCAGAGGTCGACGAAGGGGCGGTGGTGGTGGCATCAATTGGGCTCGCGTCCGTCAGGTTCTTGGTGCCGCACTTGTCGTCGATGTTCTTGATGCAGCCTTGCTGGACAGCCGCGTTGCCGACACCGGCAGCATTGCACTGCGCAAAGTTCTCCTTGCAGATGAACTATTGGTTTGGGCTGGGTGTCAGTAATTGCAGGGATAGGCGGGCTTGGATTATGAGCAAGATAGCTCTCAATGCTACTTACCCAGGGCAGAGTGTTTTGGTACTGAGTGAGATCGGGCGACTCATTGTTGGTGCAGGTGCAGTTGTATGTCAAGGTCGTCTATTCGCACAGGCATGCCATTAGCACAAAGATCGCATTTGATGGCATGTCGCCAACACAGGCGACGTCGTGAAGCAGACGTGACTCACCTCGGAGCAGTCGTTGGCAGCAAGCGACTGGCAAAACAGGCCACAGGCGTTCTTCTGGGCGACACACCACGAGACTGGAGGCAGGGTAGCTGGTTAGCATGGAATTTCGAGCACAACAACAGACGGTTGAGCTGTAATGCTGTAGTCCAGGAAAGAACGCACCTCGGTCGCCAAGCTCGACGCTGTTGGGGTTGGCGAGGGTGAAGATGTTTGCAGTCGAGTTGGTCTGGGCCGAGACGAGACCGACGGCCGCGAGGGCGACAGCAGCAGCGGTGCGAGTGAACATGGTTGCTGTCGCGGATCGTTGCCGAGCTTGACAGTGAAAATGTGGGTATGGAGACGGGCAGCTGTTGTGGTCTGCTCGAGTCGGGCGACAATGATACAAGAAGAGCGCGATGCAACAACGACGACGACGGCGACGACGACAGCGGGCGGGACGGCGGAAGACTGGAGGGCTATGCGATTGATGAGGGAAAAGTGAGGCAGAGGAGAGGAGAGAGGTTGGCTTGCATGGGAAGCAGCAGTCGGGCGCGGGCGGGCAGACGGCACGACCGGCGGCGCCCTCGAGCACCTGGCTCAACTTATCTATCGTGGGCTCCACCCCATGCCACGACCGGACTGGGCACCTTCTTCATGGATCCTGGGGCGGGCTTGCAGGCCACTGGACCGGCCATGGATGCGCTTGCAGGCCCGAGCTCGCCTTGCCGTAAGTTACGGAGCCGGCCTGGTGTCAGAGACATGTTTGATCGTGCGCCCAGCCACCACCCTCGACCACCGACCGACCGCAGCCACCCAGTTCTGCGTGGGTTAATTAACCATCGCAACCGCCCGCTGTTCACGGCACCACGATCGATCGTCACAATCCTCCCCGTCACCATTGCTGTCGCCGTCCTCGTCTGCCTCGTCCCTCGATTGCTGCACAGCGCGTGTCTTGGCCCGCGGCCACAACCCCTCTTGGTTCCCACACTACCTACCTTGGAGACAAACCTTGGAAGATAGCAGCACCAAGCAAGTTGGCAGGCACACAAAGTTTGAGGCAACCCAACAAAGAGCGCCCGCACGGCGCCCGCAAGAGCTGCCGACCAAGGCAAGGCAATGCCATTGTGCGTGGTGGTCGGGGCTAGTCCCGAACGGCTCCATGGCTTGGTGTTGACGAAGATGGCCCATGATGGATATCTCGACAGCCCCTAGCGTCCTCGGCCAAAATCCCATCCCACCTCGTCTCCACCCGCCGGATGCATACTGCACCGACCCTGGTCGCTCTCCAACAAGGTCTCGGCGGCGCGTTGCCTGCGCGACCGTGCTCCGGCGTCGTCGTGGCCAGCCACTCACCCGTCACCCTCCCCAAAGTCTCAGAGTGCGCACGCGGCGGCACCTACCGACGTCGTCACCCGCTTACGCAGCAGGCGCTTGCCTGTGCCGTCCGATCAAGTGAGAACAATGGAGTTGCGAGGCCGTTCTGGGAGAAGCGACGTTTGCAGGTCTCATTCCCAGTCACCGAGTGAGCACTCGGGACCACGGTCGGGGCCCCACGTGCTATTGTGACCCCCTCTCGGAAGCCCGCGAGACAGTCTTGCCAGTGTCAGAGCACGGACAACAGCGTCATTTTCCTTGGGTCCCGTCCAGGCCGCTGGCTTAGCTCTGACGTGCTGCGATGCCTACCGCTCCGCGTATTATCACCTCGAAGGTCCACATCTGCCCGCCGAAACGTGCTTTTTGCTCTGCTCATCCGCCGTCGTGGGATTGTGGGAACGCGAACTTATCTGCAGGCGGCGACGAGGGAGCATGTGCCAGGGTATGCCGCCAGAGCCATCCGCGTCCAATCGGGCCGCGTCGTCTGCAAAGTTCTCGTGTTCAGGCACTTTCTGCGAAGCAGGCGTGTGCATGGCCGCCTCCCCCTTCGTGACCAGGCAGTATCTGGGACCAAGTTCCTTTGTGGGAGGGCAGAACACCCCTCAGAACAACCAAAACCCACGTGAAGAGCAAGCGGTTCGAATGAATCTGAAGCAGCCACAACAATCTATCACGATGCATCGCCGGCGCACTCGTCTGGAAAGGGCAGCGCTATCCTGTTCGGGTCACATTGCTCATTTGATGACCCCGGTCTTGTGGAAGAGCCCCCTCAGGCACCAGGGGTCAAAGCTACCACGACCCCCGGCTCAAGTGCAGATTAGCCACACTTCGAGGTTGCCAAGTAATCACCATGGGGCTTCATCCCCAGAGTCAGACACAACCATAAAGACCTCATGCCATGATCGATGCAGGACTGTCCATTGTTTCAAGCTACGATCACTGGAAAAAATTATATGAGGACCTGACCTTGATGCATTGGACTGGGACAATAGATTCGCTCACCGTGGAGCCCTTGGCAGCACACACTTCCGCAGGCTGATCAGTATCCTCGCTTCCAGCGCCGGAGCCAAAATCGCGACAATCCATGTCCACATTACTGTACTTGACCGGCCCGCGCCAACTAAACAACCATGGCCGCCCCAATCTGAACTTCGGAGCACGTCCTCCCCCACAGGCAATCTTACAGCAGGGGGGGATTCAGTACAGGCCGGGATTTTCGACCCTCATGTTCTTTGTTCACCGCTTGCTAGACTTGCAAACCCTCGCGCTCTCGGCACCCGGGTCCGGAGACTTTGGGTGGCCCGAGCTGCAGGCTGTGACGTCGAAGAAGCTCCGCCATCCCCACAAAGCGAGTGGGCGGCCGCCTGACAACCGGAGCTGAACCTCAGGCGCAGGCCCACCACCAATTGATCAACAGAAGCCCGATTGCAGATTTTGGTGTAGCAGACTGTCAACGTTAGGCTGCCATTCAAGGCGAGAGACTCTGTTGGGAGGCTCGCGGGGAGCAGATCATGGCTCGGAACACTTCTACTCAATGTGGAGGACGGGCATTCAATACAAGAAGCAAGGCCCACGGTCCACGATCAGAGAGGTGTGCAATATTACCCGTGGCAGTCGGCCAAATTCGTTCAGATGTCTTTTTTCATGTCAGATCTTGAGAAAAGCTGCTCGCACTGTGGCCAGGACGCCAATCTCGCATACGTCCAAATGATTTCTCGACCGTGATGTTCGTGTGAACGATAACTATTTTACTGGGTAGTGGCTCACCGTTTGCGCTCATATCCTTTAAGGACCTATACAGATAATTCCGCTGTAAAAAAGGGGGGTGAATCAGAAACATCAATGTGCAGTGTTTCACAGGCATCTGTCCTTGATCGTACATAGCTCCTTCAACTTGACATCGGGGTAGTATCCAGCTCGAAAACGCGAGACCTCAAGCAGGTCAAGACACAAGCAGGTTATAAGAACAACCCAGGGCACATCTGCGAGTAAGATACGCATCGAAGCGCCCGCAGCCAGGCAAACCGGAAACCCAACCTCTCTTAGTGCCGCCGCATGTGCGTAGGCAGGTTATACGTAGCGTAGTCGGCGTGGACGAACGCGCGGTCGACGACGGGGACCGACTCGAGGACGTAGCATAGGGACTCGCTGACGTCGTGCACGTCGCGCAGCGTCGTCGACGCGTCGAGCACAATGTCGACCTCGACGTTAAGCTTGTCGCCCGAGTGATACGCCTGCAGGCCTTGGATCTGCTTGATCGTCTTGGCGAAGCGCATTGTGAGGTAGAGCACTACACAGGAGTGGAGGAATGGTGTCAGCGTAGGTGCCGCCTGATTGGCAGAGAATCGTGAACACAATTGACTATGATTTGTATCAAGCCCGACGCTTGGCAGAGACTGGAGTTGAAAGGCGGCAAAAGGGTAATATTGATGCACTCACGTGTGTTACGCTGGTCCGCGGTCGCGCTGAAGCCGCTCAGATTCTTAATGTGCTCCATCGTCGTGTGAGACCATTGATAGATGACGACGAGCGACAGGACGAGACCACCGACGGCGTCGAGCCACCAGATATTGGCATAGAAGCCCACTGAAGAACATGATGACGTTAGCTCTGCTTGCCCTTGAGAAAAGAAAAAACCAGGCATCATAGAGACCACGTACCAATAGGGAACAGGATGGATCCGGTGTTGAAGATTATGTCCGTCATTGCGTCAGACGCTCTGTTGGAAAGGGTTAGCAACCGAGCTTGAGCGTGGTTGTCTGGCACTGCTCTCTGTAATACTCACAACGCCTGGACACTCGAGTTTTTCACTAATCTGCACCAAAGCCAGCACACGCCTTTCACGAGTACTGTGCCTATCATGATACACAAGGAAGGGAGGTCCCTAGACGTTGTCGTACAGTTAGTATGCCGTTGCCAATCCTGCACAGGGCTATTGGAGGCGAAGCCACCTACAACGCAATGACCTCATGATCAGGCTCAAACAGTCTCTGGATCGACTGCAACGCGACTTGGGAAAACGCAGTTATCATGATGACGGAGAACACCAGCACGCCCAGGGGCTCTAGCTTCCGGCGGCCGACCGGGTATCGATACTGGTCCTGCCGGCTGACGAGCCAAGTCGTCGTCCACACGATAGCCGTGGAGAGAAAGTCGAGGATGGCGTCGACCAGACTGGCCAAGACGGACATGGAGGACACAGAAGCCACGACGGCGACCTTGCCGGCCAGGAGGATCAGGTTGGCGGTGAAGTTGACGTAGATGGCGACCATGACGATGCGGTCCGAACTGTCGAGGTCGTCGTCTTCCTCGAGCCAGGGAATGTCTGGCTTCGGCATGCCGTCGTCTTCCTCGTCCTCATCGAACTTGAACAACGGTGTCGTCTCCGTGGGCCGATAGATGTCCTTGGGTGTGCGCTTGACCTTCTTGGTCCGGGACGGCGCATCGATACCATTCTCGCCATCTGCACCTGCCGCCGCATCCATCAGGGATACGCTGGAGCTCCCAGCGCCAGAAGTGAGGCCAGAGACCTCGCCATTGCCGTCGGGGGACACAATGATTGTGGGCTCCTCCGAAATTGTGGCGGGCACCTCAACTCCACGGAACGAGCTCGGCGGCATGTTGTTGTACTCGTTGACAAGGTCGTGCGGGATACTGCTGTCGAGCAATCTGTCAATGTAGAGATACTGCTGGATAAGATAGTTTGTGCGCTCGTAGTACTCGCGGAGAGGCTTCCTGAAGTACTGGAGCTGCTCCTCGGTCTTCCAGTAGCGCTCCCAGCGGTAGCGAGGATTGGAGTTGCCGATGAGGCGCATGGAGCGCATCTGCTCGCTATGCAGGACATCATTCATGCGGCGCTCATCCGAGGGCGCGTGGCGCCGCTCACTGGCATCGGAGTCGTTGGTAAGGAACGGAGAGAGAGTATTTTCCTCGTCATCAGACACACCGCTGGCAGAGCTGTGCCGCCATGTGCTTCCATAGTGATGCAGTGAGGACTGGGAGCGGTTCCGGATCAGGTGGCTGAGGGTGCCTTGGCCGCGCGGTGACAACGGTGGAGGGTCATCTTGCAGAATCAGAAACGAGCGCCGGCGCCCGTTCCGCGATGACGATCTCGCGGCCATTATGCTCTTGCCAGATGCGCTGAGGGAAGTAACGGAAGGCCCTGGTGAGCTTTCGTCGCTTGCGAGCTCAGTGGCTCTCGCTCACGCACGCGACAAGCTCAATTGAGCCGACAAAGGTTGCTGTAGACCAAGCGCGCCGTTCTGATACTCTCTGGTGCGCGACGTTACAAGCTGGCCAGCAAGGGTCGATGCAAGCCAATAAGGCAAGGGACGTGACGTATGTCAGCCGGGGAGCCGTTCCGGCAGGCCCTGAGAGCCACTTGGGATGCGCGAGACTTTGACTGTAGCAAGAAGGCTTCGAGCGTTGACTGAGGGAAACAATTGGTGCTGATGGGAAGCTTAGAGTTCCCTACTTGCGTAGGTTCTTCGAAAGAGGCTGGGCGGACCCTGTTTCAACGAGTGCCGCGCCTTGCAGCAGCTTCGGAGCTCGACTCGGGGGGCCGGGGGCGGTCCATCTGATAAGCTTGAATGGTACCCGGCTCCACCAAGCAGATGTCGTTCCCTTCCGCCGAGTTCTTTTCCAGATAATTGAGTCCGCCTCAGCCTCTACACGTGTTCCATCTTCCGACGGCCCAAGATCTTGTCCAAATCTTGAAACTGGCATGTTCATGGGCTATCCAGCGAGCAGGACCTGGGGCAGGCGAAGGTTTTATTGTCGGCGTGAAAGTCCATATAAAGTTTCATCGACGCTCAAGTGGTGCACCTTAAAAGTAGTTTCATGAGAGGCATTGCTGGTCCGCCAGCTGGGCAGGTTTGCACATCCTGGCCAGGAACATCAGAACTGTGGCGTCAGCAGGTTCCACAACAGGACCTCCCCCTCTACAGAGAGAAGCGGGTGCGGCATGGTGATGATTGCCAAGATCTCTGTGGCGACGCGTCCCTGTGCTCCAGATGCAGATGCAGAACTCTGACGGGCATGCAGGTATGGATTGCCCTCCGTGAATTTTCGTACTGTTGGTATCTTTTCGAATAGCAGGTATTTCCGACGCACCCAGACCTTTTCCCTGAATATCAGCCACCTCGACTCCCAGTCCAATCATGATTGCTGTTGCTTCTGCTTTTTAGCTGTAGCAATCTCTGACGACAGCTTCGTCACCGCCCTGACGACGAGCTCGTGCTCGTGGCTGTGTAATCTGTTTGCAAAGTCGTCCAACGACTCTCCTTGCCTGCACTCAATCTCCTCGACGAGTATCGGCTCGCCCCGGTCGACCTCCGCGATCACGTAGTGGATCATGATGCCCGTTTTGTTATTCTCCAGCTTACCGGCCTGAAAGTCGCTGTATGCTCGCTCGATTGCTCCTGCGCCGTCGTATTTACCTGCCGTAGGGGGGGGGGGGGACAAACATAGTCAGCCACCTTTGAGCATTGTAATTGCTTCGAATTCGTGTGTGGATTTTGCGACATACCTGGCAGCGCTGGGTGAAGGTTGATTATCGGGACGCCAGCCGCCTTGATAGGATTCAGGAAGTTGACGGTGAAGACGTGCATCCAGCCCGCGAGGACCACGAGCTCCGGCTTATCCTGCAGTATCCGCTCGGCCAGCGCGGCGTCGTATGCTAGCCGAGCCTCCTTGAGCTTCTCGGCATCCTTCTCCCCAGCAACCTGGAACTTCTCGGCCACCATATTGAAGTAGGCCGTAGGTATGCCGACCTTCTCGGCGCGCTCGCGCGAGAACGCAGTCTTGCGGTTTACCGTGACCCGAACGATCTCGCCGTCGGCAATACGGCCAGAGGCGCAGGCGTCAATGATGGCCTGCAGGTTGGAGCCGCTGCCGGAGCAGAGCACGGAGATGCGTGTTTTGTCGGACGTCATCGTTGAGGCGCGTAACAGGGCAATGATTCGAGAGACGGATTGACTTTACACTGCCGCAGGCAAAGATCAGGGTCTGGTGTTGCTCGACCACGTAACTGCAAATGAAGTAATCGCGGGGTTCTAGTTTCCCCCACGCCAGAAATATTTCGAGGTTTTTCGTTGCGATTGGCCTTATCGCTCGGCAATGTGGGGTAGCACTACTCTGGCACGATCTCAGCCCTGCGTCATGTACACACTACTTGAGTACTTTTGGCTGCTCTACTCGAGCTTACCACAGCTCTTGCTTCTTGGGTAGTACAGGCATCGGGGTCAAACCTCCAAGACACTCGTCTCCGATACATCGCCAGTGCTGTGGTGGATGCTCTTGGACAGGCTCGCAAGGCCTTGCCGGAGCGCAAACCGGCTCCGATTTCCGCGCTGCCGACAGGGTCTACAGGCAACACTTTCCATTGTCACTGGGACGAAAGACTTGGATATCAAGCCAAGGCTGGAGAGTGTCTTGTTTGATCTCATGGTAGCAGATCATCCGCCAGAAGTGATCTTCAGGGTTGCAGGTTGGCATGAACATCGGGACATGCTTCGATACACAGCCGGCAATGCCTTGATTTGCATGAAGCCAAGACCAGCAGATCTTCTCCGTTCATAGCACTGTCTTCGTGTTGCGAGGAAATGCCGGAGGATGATCGTCCAGGCACAGCGCGCGGCGGAAGGGGATAAGGTTGGCTGGGCCCCAGAATAAAATCAGGCTTTTGCGAGTCCCCTGCCTTGCAACAGTGGTCCATAAATCGCATTGTCGTGTCGGCATGCCGGGTGCGATCTCAGGCGGGACCCGCTTTGGGTAGGTGACGATGGATGCTGGCTCGGCTAGATCGAGATGGGAGGCAGGAAAGTCGGCTAGTGGTACGAGATGGCAGGCCCCACGAGGTGCACCTTGAGACAAATCTGAGGAGCGCAACGGTCCTCTCGCACTCCGCTCCGGACCTGGCGAGATCGTGCTCCGCCGGAAGTGGCAGACTCGCGAGACCTGCCCCTGCCCACGGAAAGCCTCAATGCGTCTGAATGCAGGCACGAGGACCCCTGAGGGCGGACGAGGGTCCCTTGTTCCCGACGTGGGCCACCTGGGTCGAGCCGCTCAGACCCCAGGCGCTCCCGAAATTTTCGTGACTCGTCCAAGCAAGCGCTGGGGATGGTTCTGATCGTTGGCTGACGGATTCAATGTGAAAAAAGAAAGGAAGGCTTCCGGTGTGCTGTCTTGACGAATCTCTCACGAGCAGATATGAAGAGACGTACGGCCTTGGCGTGCGCATTCCATGATGCCTTGTCAGGACTACATGATCACTCTGCTAGGACTTGACGCGACGGGCATCTGGACAGACACGACTGGGACGTCATCGCCAGCCGACCACTCGTACACAAGGCTCGAGTCGTATGGCGACATGCCACAGAACATTGGCAGCTGTCGCATCTGGTCTACAAGCGGATGGCGCTCCAGTGTAGAGTCTTCTCCATTGGTGTTATGAGTGTTCTTTGTTATTGTCACATGCCCGCTGACATCAGGTGGACCGCCGTGAGGTAGTATTGGGCGAGTACAACGTAAGATGGGAAACCTGGAGTGGATATCCTTGAGGGCATTCCCTATCCTGACGAGCGTGTTCAACAGGGCAATACTCTGGTCGTGATCCATAAGACTCCGGGCTGGCGTTACCCACATCTCTGCTCTGGTTCGTGCGACGTGTGTCGTTTTTCCAAGTAGCTGCTGCAGCCGCACAGCCTCGACAAGTTAAACTGCGCCAGGCCTCCATACAGTGTTAACTTGGGTCACACAAGCGGCCCCTTGCCGCGGCTGGACTCGTGGAGTTCTGGGTGATCCGTGAGGTGGACGGGCTCCACTTGGCTGGGTCAAACACGCATTCGTCAACGTGCGTGGTGTCAGCGATACGAACGCATAGTCTCACAATCGAGCACAACGTACGCCGGGAGTGGATATGGACCGTCTCGTTGATCCACAATGGCTCAACTCCGCCGGAACGGACTTTGGTGAAAACGGACGTCTCGACCGCACTCTGCTCGAGGATACACTGCTTTGCCTCCTGCAGCGCCTTGCACGGCTAACGTGGACTGGAGAAGGACCAGAAAGCCAAGGGACGCACCCATGCAAGCAAGGGCTGCTGCCGAACCAACCTTGGGAGCTGTCTCCTGCCCGGGCACAAATACCAGGATCGCAGACCGTTGCCAATAGTTGCAACACATTAAAGCTCCGCGAGACCTGGGTTACTGGGTGTCTCTCAGGCGGTGTCATCTGAATCCAAGCTGGGTCAACCACCAGAGTCTCGTCACCAGCAGAAGCGTTACCGGAACAATCGCAGAGTCAATCGCCCCTGTTGAGTCGGCCCTCCAGCGAACACTGGCGCTGGCAAGAACTTATTGTGAGAGCCCAGTCCCCGCTCCTTTCCAGACAACGCCGGGAGAGATGGGAAAGGATACTTGCCTGTGAAATCTTCGGCTGTTGCCGAGTCTAGCAGGCTTCAAGTTCCAGTGACATTGGTTCTGCACCTGGTCTTGTTCCTGCCCGGCCCTCGGCTTCTTTTTCGATGTCGTCTTGGCCCTCAACTGCCAGAGTTGGCTCATAAAGAGCCCGCTGCAATGCGTGCTGGCACAACCGGCAAGCCCGACAAAATCAATCTGGCGGAACTGGGGCAATCAAGGTTGTGCATTAGCGAGCACCGAGAACCACATTTGCGCAAGCTGCACACCCACTTTGTTGGCCATGGTGGCGCCACACCACGCCGTCCCAGGTCAAATCTCCAGTGTCCCTGGCCGAGCACCAGGCTAAGCCCGGATACGAGCTAGTTGCGCAGAATACCCTGCCGGCGACGACAGCTCCGAAAATTGCATCCAGCTCAAACATTTGGTGGTCCATGCTGCGCAGATCTTGAGCTGCTACGCAGCACACGCCCTGATGGATAGGCAAATATTGTGCACCCATGGGCATGCTCTCTTCACTAAGAAATGCACACAACTAGCAGCATCGATGCATTCTCAGACATGATGACGTCTGGGGCTGCCATGGTATTGTCGTCCCCAGGCCTCCCTGCCCATCGTGCCTGATTCGCACAAGATCAGCGATGTTGATCGGCAGCATGCTTGGGGGGGGGGGGGGGGGATGGGAGCTTGGCCACCTTATTGTCGTCAGCCTTGATATTCAGCTTTGCGACAGCATTGCTCTGTTACATGGTGACCAGCAACCAAGCAAAACGATCCTCTGGCTGGTGTGTGGTTTCCCATATCTGCTGGCAGAGATGGTTCAAAGGTGACGCTTGACGTACATTCCTGGCGCCTCTTATCGTCATTGTTTCTCCAGATCGGACATAGCTGCTGAAACAGAAGCTAGACTGCGTCTCTGGCGACCGTCCACAACAGTGGCTGTCATCATGACAACGGGCTGGAGAACACGTGCGAAAGGGCTACGGCAATTGGAGCTAGAAGCTTCTCTGTGCAAGCAAGCTCACAGGTGAGTGCCCTATTGTAGACGTCGTGCGTGGCTAGGAACGAGCAGACTGCTCCTTTCAAGCACGGTGGCATGGCATGTGGCCAAGTGGTGTACGGAGTAGGATCTCGAATTCGCTTCCGGCGATCCGTATGGGATTGTATTGCATGGCTTTCGAGAGTCCACCCACTGTGCCAATAAACGAGCCGTCAATCCTCCTCGAGCCTCAAGTCATGCCTGCCTGATACTGGCGTCGCCCAATCGGCCCCCCAGACAGCATATTGTTGGCAGACAGAAGGCGGCGATGGCGATGGCGACGGCAAGATCAAGTCTGATACCGGTCGAGAACTGGGCAGGTTCCCTGCGTAATAAGCGGTCGTTGCTAAGGCTCGAGAACCATGACTTGTCAATGACCTGGGCAGCGGACAGGGATGAGGCGCTGGCAACAGCGGCGCGGCTCGAAAGCTCTGTGCGTTGGCTACGGGTGCGGGTGCAGGCACCCCACTGGCGCTGGCTGGCCGCCCGCGGATGGTGCTGCCTCACTTGGAGTTAGCGTCCTGCATTGAGCCCGGGCCTGCCTGGCAAGTGCACCTCTGGACAACAAAGTGGGCGGCGCATGTGCATGGCGCAACCCTTGGGGATCCCACGCGCGAATGGTCCGGCAAAGACAGCCCAGCCCAGCCTGGTCCTCCTTTCCAGCGACTTCCACCTACCCTACCGCTCAAAGCTGCACTCCCCTCTCCTTTCCCGTCTCAAACCACCAACCACTTGCGTCCGGACCTCTCCTTCTTCTGTGCTCGCCGCCCGATCCTTTGTGCAGACATAGAGGCTGCTTCTAATTCTTTCGCCAATATCCTCTTCCTAATATTCGGGCTCGCCCTCACGGTCTTTCCGGCTTCCTAACCGCCAAACCCCAGGCTCCCGTCTCCTGAGCTTGCTCGACTGCTTTCACAAGACGCGTCCGAGCTACCCACGTCGCCAGCCATTGCTACCTTCTCATCGTCTCGTCATTCAGATCGGCTGGCTGCCTCGCTACCGCCTACTCCGCATAATTAGCAAGATCACACCCATCGTTCGACATTCGAAGGTTCGACAGAGGGGCGTTGTCTTAATAAGGGCTGGGCACTATAGTTTGCTGCCATCTGCATTCTCCCAAAGGAAATTGTCTCGAGATGTAAGTACAGTGATCTTGACCAACGTCTTGATGGTTCCGTCATGGTGGTTAAGCCATGTCGCACAAACCATTCGTGAGCTTGCACAACCATTACAACCTCCTGGAATGTCCCCGGATGTGTCTAGGGCGGTGTCTCCCGCTGTGCCCTCAGCCCTGGCATCCGAGACCCTGTGTAAACCTCAGGAATGCCACTCGCCACCACGGGCGCAACCCGCTGGCTCGGGATCTGGGCCAGCGAGTGGAACAGTTCTTTTCTGCTCCATCGGGTTGCACTTCACACGAACGCTTCAAATGATTGGGAAGGCCGACCTTGATCATGGTACTGACGTTGCTGTCCACATGTACAGATCCTTCGGCTCAGGGTCTTTTTCACTGTACACGCTGTAGCGTACAGTATAGCTTGGTTCACGCCTCCAGGACGCCTCTTTGAGCAAAATTCGGATCGATCTTGAGGCCTGTCTTGGTCCTCGCCGATTGCCGAATCCTGATCAGCCGTATATGAGCTTGTAGATTTCATTTCGAGTTCTTCTCGACCTCGCCACAATGCCGCGCTTTCCCGTCAACTTCCGCCGGAAGTCAACCACGGCGGAGGACTCTAATACCGCACCAGCAGGGCCTTCTTTCCGCGTTCTGGAACGACCAGACTCGGGCGCTGGCAAGTCATTCGAGCACGCGCCGAGGATGGGCAATGGCAAAATTGCCAATGCGAGCGTTGCCGAATTGTCAATGGAGGACAACATCTTTGCAGGCCTAAAGAACAACCGGTATGTCACTCTATGAACGGATGTCTCAAACATTCGCTCCCTGATGCTGGCTGTGCGACGTCCACTCTGTGTTCCTGCTGCATTTGATTGGCATGCGTTGCTGGATGTCCGTCTTGCATTCCACCGCCACGGCCCGTGACACCAAATTTCTCTCGCTCGACCGTGAACGTTCCGTGTGTACAGTTTGCTAATCCGCATCAGGAGCAGTGGCGGCTCCAACACTACCAAGACAGCCTCGGACAATTCTTCTCGACACAGCAACGCATCGACCACGCCGTCATCGACTGATAACGGCGTTCCAGCAGATGACGGAAGAGTGCCGGGACGCAAACCCGTTCCCGTGCACTTGTCAGACAGCCAAGCTCCTCCGCGCAACTCTGGCGGCTTCCTCAGAAACGCAGGCAGAACATTCTCGTTCGGCAGTTCTAAAAAGAGTTCGCTGCCCCCCATCCCCGCCGAAGAGCCAGTGCCCCGAATCCCCAGCGAATACGCAGGATCGCCATCCACACCAGTTGGCCGCGCCCGAGCTGAGACCGCATCCACCATAACCACCGCAACACCTCCGCAGGTCGAAGACCGTGACTTCATGTTGGACCTGGGTGGCGACTTGAGCACAATGCTCTCCAAGTTTGATAAGCGCTCAAGTATCATGTCCTTGAAGGACCGCAACTTCTTGGGCGGACGCGGGAAGCAGCCTTCGCCATTGCACCTTGATAAAGGCGTTGCTGTTGAGCCGCCGCCGAAGTCGTGGAACAGTCAGACATCCCACGACGGCCTGCTAGGCTCAGGGCGACTCACTTCGCCGCGAAACATCGACTCGATGGCGCCTCCGCCTGTTCCCAAGCACACCATCGGCAGAGCTGCCGAGAGAGCCGAGGCCGAAGACACTTTCATGGAAGATAGCCTGGCTGCTCGGCAGTACCTGTCGAGTGCTTCGGCGCGGCCCCGCACACAACCTCAGGAGTCTTACAAGCCAGAATTTGAGGCCAACGACGAGAACATGTTCGCCACTTCCTCTGGACGCCAGAACAAACCGGCCTCCCGACTACCTCGCTCGTTCACGCAACCGCAAATGCCAACTCAAAGCAAGGTCATGACAAATGAACAATTCGAGAAGTATAGGCAGGACAAAGTGAGGCAGGAGCGCATGGGTGTTGCAGACAAGGATGAGTCTGATAAAGAAGACGACGAGAACTACGACGATGATGAGGACGAGGCAGAGCGCTCAGCCCAAGCCGCAAAGCAGCGACGGAAGCAGGAGGCACACATGGCAGTTTATCGACAACAGATGATGAAAGTCACCGGCGACAATGCCGCAAGCGGTCCTCGGCCAAGTATCCAGATGTCCATGAGCACACCAAACCTCGCACTCGGCGTCAACACTACGGCTCCTCCCGCGGTTACCCCCACGTCCGATGGGTCGGAGTCAGATGAAGAAGTACCCCTGGCGATTCTTGCTGCACATGGATTCCCAAATAAGAACCGGCCTCCCACACGTCTCACCACGGTCGGCTCGAATCCCAACCTCCGTGCATCCGTTGCGCCCTCATACTCGGTCGGCGGCGGAGGGCCCGGCTCGGTCGTTGGAGAGAGTGGCCCCAAGGGTCCCTTGCCTCCCTTCGCCAGGAAACTGCCCCAAGACCCATACCTTGGTGCTGGCCTTATTAACCAACCGCCACGGGAGTCATTCGCTCTGGGAGGGGGTGCGCCCCTTCGGGAACAGCAACCACGAGCTCTCCCAGTCGGTGGCTTAGTCGGAGTCATCGCAAACGAGGAGCGCTCTCGTGCGATGCGGCGTGGAAGCCCAGCAGCTATGGATCACAAGAATATGATGCCCAATGCCCTTGGCTTTGGCGGTGGCATGGGCGGCAACATGAACGGCGGGTTTGACCCCATGGGCGGCATCCCGCCTCAAATGATGTACCCGATGGGAGGCATGGGCCAGATGCAGCCGCCCATGCTTACACCTGGTGACCAAGCGCAGATCCAGATGACACAGCAGATGCAACAATTCATGCAAATGCAGATGCAGTTTATGCAGATGCAGATGATGTCCAACCAGAACCCGGGCCAGGCCGTTGGCAATATGCCTCAACAACGCCCGCTGAGTCACATGCCTCGTCAGTCGTTTTCCGGATCTACAATGGACATCCAGCGCCAGTCATTCCTTGACCCTCCTCGTGGCGATGCGCAGATGCGCACCATGAGCATGGTTCAGCCCAGTTCCGCGTCCTGGATCCAGCCACCGCAGCCCGGCTACGCTCCTTCGATTCGCCTCCAAGGTGGCTACACGCCCTCGATTGCACCCTCAGAGCGAAGCAACGTCGGGCTTCCAGGCCGCTACCGGCCCGTCTCGCACATGCCACCTGCAGAGAGAACTGAGCGGACGTCAACCATGTCTGGCGCGCTGTCGAGCTTGCCCCAGCACCCGATGAGAGACAACACCCCTTCACCGTTGGCGGGCAAGACGGGCGCCGACAATGATGACGACGATGACGACGAACAAGGCTGGGAGGCTATGAAGCAGAAGCGGGAGAAGAAGAAGGGTCTGTGGAGAAACAAGAAGAGCTTCGGTGCGGAGATCTCGGCTCTAATCAGCTAAAAGGAGCCCTCACAATCTGCTAGACGAATGCCTCCGCCGGTGAGCAAGGCTAGCAACGAATACCAAGCACGCCAATGCCATCACCCCCACTACCATCGAATCTACGCAGGAATAATCTATGGTGCTTTTGTACATCAGTTATATCATTTACATATCAACGGATTGGATAAAATTTTGGCAAGGCGCATAGGAATGCTTTCCATCTTGCATATGAATATTTCTAAGGAATTGGGGCGGGGTGCAAGAGGGTTGAGGCCGCTTATACGTGGTCCTGGATCTCCTGATTGCAGAAAACTCCCCGAGAAAGTAGCATTGACGGCGTCGCATACTAAAGCTATAACTATGCATAATTTAATACATCATAAGCATGCTTGCCACGCCTTATTCTTGACAGCTGGTTGGAAGAAATGATTCCAATGGCGAGTGTTGCCCGCCGTGAAAGCTTGGAGGGCTTTGTCTTGCTCGCGATTCCCAGAAACGGCCTCGGTCCATGCGGGCCTACTCAGGACAATTCCGACGCATTCATCCACTGCGTACTTCGGTGTGCTATATCTCGACTCACTGCGTGCCCGCTGCCAATTAGGGTGTAAATGGTCTCAAGTATTGCGTCTTCTGACCCAAATAGCAGCGTGATGCTGGAACTCGAGCAAATTCTATGGCTTTTGCTTCTTTTTGGATTATTTCTTTGGTTCTCTGATGCTTCTACTCTAGTTTGCCCTGAGCCCAGGCACCCCTCTTGACGCCAAGCTCAACAGCAGCCAGACCCCAATCCTCGCCGTGGTTGTGCGATCCGCTGGTGAGCCCGGCGCGGGCCTTGGCCTGGTCGTCGTTGAGCACGGTGAGGACGCCGAAGATGACGGGAATGCCGAGGTCGAGGCCCACGCGCATGAGGCCCTGGGAGACGGCGTCCGAGATGTACTCGAAGTGCATGGTCTCGCCCTTGATGAGGACGCCAATTGCAATGATGGCGTCAAAAGGCTGCGAGGAGAGCGTCGCCGAGGCGGACATGGCTGTCAGGTCGGTCGTGCTGCTGCCGAGCAGGTCGCCGGCCGAGGCGGAAGAGGAATGCGACTGTTGGACCTGCGAGGCGGCGTAGAGTCTGTAGGAGCACAGATGGCAAGCCTGGTGTCAGTGGATGTGACTTGTGAAGCCAATGGGTCTCTGTCCAAAATTTGGATCTCTGAACTCTTTGGTGGGAATGGTGGGGTTTGGAGGTTAAGCGCTCACCTCTGGACGGCGATGGGGAGCTCCCACGAGCCAGGGACGGACTGGACGACAATGTTGCCGTCCTTGACGCCGCAAGCCTTCAGCTTGTCAAGGGTGCCCTTGAGGAGGGGCTCGATGATGGTTGTGTTCCAGCGGGCGTGGACGATGCCGATGCGCAGGCCACTGCCATCGTGTTCCTGAGCCGAAGGGCCTTTGAGGGAGACCATTGTGATGGTGGTGGATGGGTCTGTGTGGACAATCGAGTTGGGGGAGATGGCGTCGTCGACAGTGTTCTCGTGGGTTCCTAAGATGGTGTGCAGAAGGCAAAGTGGACAGGGGCTGGTGAAGGTTGAGCTGGCGTGCAGCTTACCTCGCGAGACGTTGGCCGTGATGTCGCCCGGCCGAGCTCGTCGTGGGGGCGGGCGGGTGCAGCTTTCAGGGCCTAGTTTGGGGACGCGGGGCTGTGACGTGTGCAGCATGAGTCGCTGGGCGACGCAGATCCCGTTCCTGGATCCCCTGCCCAGGGGTGATGACACTGTGGGTTCTCCAACCTTTTCGATGCTCACGTCACAATCCTCATGTCGCTCGCGGCGTTGTCCCGGTCTCACTCTGGACCCCATTCTGCTGCGCGGCTGTATTTGAGCTCAGCCAGAGGAACATTGTAGCCTCAGCAGGCCGCTCCTTCCTCCCTTGTTGCACCACTGTTCACATCGTGCCTGCCCAGATGTCGTTGAGAAACACCACTACCTCTGCCGTCCATGCTGCACACTGATAGTCTGCAAGTGATCGAGAATCTTCCCATTCTCGCATGAGCCTAGAACCGAGAACTTTGACCGGAATCAGAATCAGAATTCTTATATTGGATGCTCGCGACACTCGAGAAAAATGATCCGCCATGGCCATCACTTGTCTCCCTGATGCCACCAGGCGGCTCCTGAGCTCCATGTCTATACCCAGTCCAGACGGTCTTGTCAAAGAGCTTCTGGACAATGCGATCGATGCGGGAGCAACCTCTATCGAAGTGCTTCTGTCCTCAAACACCATTGACAAGATCGAAGTACACGACAATGGTATTGGCATTCATCTCGACGATTTTGATTCCCTTGGACGGTCAGGTCATACCAGCAAGCTGAGGAGTTTCGAGGAGCTCGACGTGGCCAGTGGCACAACCTTGGGCTTCCGAGGTGAAGCTTTGGCAAGCGCCCGGAAGCTGGCGGCCATCTACATCACTACACGGACAGCGGCTGACAAGGTCGCTACTCGGCTCGAAATCGACCCCATCAACGGAGGCGTGTTATGCCAGAAAATGACCTCGGCCCCAGTTGGCACGACCGTGGCTGCCACTGGGTTGTTTAAGAAACTCGAAGTCCGTGCAAAATGTGCCGTGAAGGAGGCGCCCAAGACTTTGGCTCGCATCAGAGAGATTTTGACCACATATGCCATGGCGCGTCCTTCTCTCCGTCTCACCTTCAAAGTAGCTGGCAGTACAACGACCGGCTGGACATACGCGCCGAAGCCCAAGGCTTCTGCCAGGGAAGCAATCCTGCAACTCTTTGGTGCGGATTGTCTCGCCGCCTGCAGCGAGCGGGCCTGGACGGCCGCCATCAACGAGGAAAGAGATTCAACCTACACACTAGAAGCCTATCTCCTTGCCCCAACATCTGCCGCCATGTCTACTAAACTGCCCAAAGGCCGCTACATATCCGTAGACGGTCGTCCAGTGTCAGCCACAAAGGGCGCCATGAGGAAACTCGTTGCCATCTACAAAAACCATTTAAAGGACGTCGGGACCAAGCTCCACCTTTCGCAACCAGGAGAATACTTCCTGCGCCTTAACATTCGGTGTCCGCCTGGAAGCTATGATGCTAACATTGAGCCCGCCAAAGATGACGTCGTCTTCATCGACGAACAATTCGTGCTGGAACAGTTTGAGGCTCTTTGCGCAAGTATGTATCAGACTCAAAAACAAGGGGACGAGTCATTACCGCGTCAGCAACCGGAGACACTTGCAACTCCTGACTTACCGTCACCAAGTCCTTCACACGAGATTAATCTCACACGTCGAAGCTGGATGCTTAATATGGCTGATGACCACAACGGGCTGCCACGCCCGCCTCTCAACCGCAGGAATCCCGTACCAAATTCTCGACCAACTACGACATACCCACCTCGTCGGACCACGCCTTCTGACGACGAAGAGTTCCCTGTTCTACATCCCCTCAATCAGCGGCCTAAGGACTTGGATGGCCACCCAAGAGCTGACACAGTGATGGCGAACTACTTGCCAGAGCCTCGTCTGCCGACGAATCCAAGTGGTACTGCTTCAACACCACCACGTGTCTTGATGCCGAAGACACATCCAACGGTACGTAGACGTCGACCGGCCCCATCATGGACTCCACCATCTACAGAAAGGTCCACAATCCGTCGACCACCACAGGCGGCCCCGACAGATATGACACAAAGCACAATCTCTTTCGGGCCAGGTGGTCGTCCCGAAATCCACAATCCTACATCTCATCTCGTGAACGCTGGCTCCACGACGCTTTCTAGTTCTGCGGCTGTTCGCAACCCAGCATTCGTGCCCGTGAAGCCCACCACTGCTGTGTACAGACCATCCCCTGAGGCTCCCATTTCACCTGTCGAGGCACTTGTTGATGCGCCAGCGGAGACAACACTGGATTCGGGCGACCCAAGAGCGTACCTCCTGCGACGACAGAAGTCCATTGCCAAACGGCCACACAAGATTAGACGGCTGAAGAGTGCCATGATGCCGCTTGAGATGACCCCGGCAGAAGAACAGCTTCACCTCTTGCGCTATGTCACCACTGTCGATCTGCACACGGTACAGTCTTTCTTGAATGATATCAAGTCATTCGACCAGTATATTTCAGCTGGAGCGAATGCAGAAGGACTCGCCATGAATTTTGCCGAGGGGCTTCTGATTGAAGAGAAAGTCCGGAAGCTGATTCCTGATGAGGGCATGTCTATAAATCTCGTGAGTGTTTTAAAGGGGAAAGCTCTTGCGTGAGGAATCGTGCTGCTAGTGTGAAATCACGACGGTATGGCGACTACGACCAATCGGCAAACTCGCTGTAATTGACTGAAGCGCACAATTTGCTGGAACACGCATGCAATCTGCGGCCCATGTCTGATAGACCGAAGTGTAGAAGACAAGGCAATACACATAGCCATAGCTCATATGGAAATCAGAAAACTCGAAAGCACTGCCACACAACTATTGTTTGCACTTAATATCAGAGTTAAATTCAGAGACTCATTCTATAGAGTGAATGGCTCATCACTCCAGCGTCCTCCGGCGGACAAGGATGATGAAGCATAAGGCTTGTCTTTGGCGAGAGTCTTGATGAGCCAGCTGCCGTTCTGAGAAGTTGCAAAACAACATCTAGTTTGCTATGCAAACAAGTCAAGCTCGTATTATTGCCCCTGGCTTATACAAGTAGTGCTTGAAAAGGACCGTCGAATCTATCATGAGGAGGGTGTCACAATACAGTCTAAGAGCCAAAGTCTACTTACCATAGTAGATCAACTGGAAAGGCATCGTCCGCTGGCAGGACCGGGGCTTGCCTGGGCGCATGGCGCTGCCCAGGGAAGGATCTCGATGCAGGCAGCCCCGCCTTCCTGCTGCACAGCAACTCCAAGCAGGGTATCTTATCCTTGTTCGTCGAGTTCTTGGGATGCAGCGCCTGTTGTGAGTGGGTGAATTGTTGCTCGTTCGGACTCTCAGGTTTCATCATCCTCTCTGCCCTTTTTGCACTTTGTGCACTTTTCTCGTCCTGCAGTCAGACATGGTTGTGCACCTTTCAAGGCTGGGATGCACCTATGAGAGGAGACGATGAGACGCCAAACTCCGGTTCAAGCGCCGGACGTCGTCGCCTCGGAGGATTTTGTTGTTCGATCTTCTGTTAGCTTCCCTTCCTTCCAAGAAGCCTCACACACACATACACGAATGGGCAGCATTACTGATGTGGTGTGGAAAACCAGCCTCACTGGTACACCACGTTTAAGTTACATATCGCCCCGCCCGCCCTTACTCCAACCTTGAAGCCTCTTGAAAGTCGCCCTGTAGGGCCGCGCTTATGCTGTGGAACGTCGGAGGCCCTTGACTATTTGTTGCTGCTCCGCACCTTGCTGGCAAGATTTGACCGGCAAGATTGAGTTTAGCAGGGCCTTTTCCAGCCCCCCCTCGCCCCCAAACATTAGAGTTTAGGGCTCTCCTATGTTTCGCATATTGTGGCCAGGCCAGCGCTGGACGGCGCCAAAGGAACAGGAAAAAGGGCGGAGCCGGCAAGACAAGGAACAAGGGTTGCATGTGGCTCGCGTAGAGACAGCAGTTGTGGAGCCAGGCTGCGGCAGGTGGGTGATACGAGAAGCTTTGTGAGACAGGGCGAAAAATAGAATTGCGCCGCCGCTTCTGAAGCCGAGATGAAGAATGACGAAGCTTTGGGGGGGTTTTGTACGGAGTATGTCGATCTGTTTATGCCCTGGGCGGTCGCCTCGGGGAGCGGAGGACGTAAGAAGTGGGTACAACACGAGCTTGGTAATGCCTGTGCCAGGGCGCGCAGACTCGCAACGGCTTTCAGCCCGCGCGCACCGTGGCCCCTTGCAGGTGCAGAAAATTGCGGCTGTGACGACGATGGGACGTAATTAGCACACTTTGACGTGGCCCATCTGGGTTTGACGATACAGACCCGTGCACGAAACAAAAAAGACGGCAAAAAGGTGGATTGCCTGGGGGAATGCGATTGCGAGGAGGTGAGTGAGGGACATCCTCTGAGGCCCACTTGGCCCAACGTTGTTGTTGAGCAGCCTCCATGGGTTGTTCGCGGAACAACGGATGGCACCACCGGACCCCACCTGCGTCCAAGATGGCCAAGGGCTTCTTTGCAGCACTGGGCCCGCCCTGGGCATAAGTTATGCTCGCAACTCGCAATTTTGCCCAAGCTGAGTGATCGTGACGGTTGTCGGCGGCAGGGCAGGGCAGACGAGCCACGCTGCGCCACCTTGTTCGATGGAGGTGTGCTCTGCCCTGGATGGATGGCCCAGCTCCGGACACCACCACGACTGGCAGGCTGGATGCGGTGCCCAAGTTTCAGGTGCGTTGTCGTCGGAAGCACTGCGCTGGATCAGTGGCTGGCGGACAGCCGCAGGCGCCTCTGGCCTGGAGCGAGGTAAGTCTTGGAGTGTGCGCTGTGCCCCGATTCCCAATGGTTATCTGGGGGCGCATACTTGCAATGCAGAGAGCACTGAGAGGGTGCCTGAAGGGTGTCTGGTGTGCCTGTCCCTGCGCTGCGCTGCGCTGGCCCTGGCGAGTGAGACGGGAGCGCAGTCCGCTCCACGCCGGGGAGGTCCCACCTGCATCTCGTGTTGCCCAGTCTAGCGGCGCGGTCCACCCGCTGGCAGCAAGCTGACGGTTCCGACTCCCTCCTTCCAAGGTTCCCATCCCATCCCATCCATCCATCCATCCACCCAGCAATCGACCGTCTCGTTGGCACCGTCTCCCTCAATCGCCGTCGCATACCTCACGAGTTACCGTTGCCACCCTGTCTGCCGCCGCCCACAGCCTCTCGAACCGTCCATCACCACTCCCGCAGCCACTTCGCCAATCCCCCGTACCGTCACAATCGTCATCATCACTCCCTCTTGCGCTTTGCCGGATACGATCTGGGCAGCACGCCGGCAGCACAAGGCACCTGCACCGCCACCTTGGGCCGGCCTGGTCTGGTCCTTCTCAAGACGGCACCTTTACGGCCAGACAGCACGACCTGGCAATCGCCTGCTCGAAAAGATGCGGGCCTGAGTGATCCAGCATTCAGTCCCGTTGCCCCTGCACCATGGCTCCAGGCAACCGCCGGCAGCTTGACGACATGGCAGAACCCACGATGTGGTCCCGCGGACCAGCTTCAGTCCTGATTCCCGCCGGATCTCAGAACGAACACCCGCTACCACAATGGTCGTCGTCTGCCGCGCCACCGCTGCGGGCGCGACCAGTTCGCCAACGCCGGCCTCCAAAGACGTACGAGCCGACCATGCGCAAAATGCTAGGTGTGGCGGCTGCGCTGTTGGCAACTCAAGCTTCTGCCGCCCTGGTTCCCTTCGAGAACTGCCTGCCGTCCAACTACATATACACACAAGTTTCTGCGAGTAACGTCCAGCTGCAATGGGTGCCTCAGTTTGTCGATGCCAAATTCGACGTTGAGGACCCCGCGCACAACCTTGTGGTCACCGTATGGGGCAATGTTACAGGAAAGACTGGTCGCGAAGACCTACCCCCGCCAGGGAGTCCTCTGTGGGATGATGATGGATATGCAAACGGCAAGATAGTCGACGAGCCGAACCCAAACGCACCCGTTGATGAACGGAAAGCAACGACGTTGTTGAGCAAGGTCAATGTCTTGACATATACGCAGTACTCTGACAGGGACTACTTTTGTCGGAGGATACTGAATGATACGTGCCCGATCGCCCCAGTCTTCAACAAGACTGCACTGTACGTTCTACACCTGGGCCGAATGTCTGTGGACTTGTGCATGTTATGACTGACTTTCTTCTTGTTTTAGAAATGATCCTTTCGGCCGCCCGGCTTTCAACATGTCGCACGACTTTTACTCAGCATATACATTTAGTTCCTTCAACCCAACCTTCATCATTCTGTTTGGCGATTCGGAAAGCACAACAATCGGGTGTATCTCGACCGTGGTGACCCCGAGCTTGGGCTCTTCCGCTGATCTGGTCAAGTATCTTCCGCTCGCCGTCCTCGTCTTTGTTGGCTTTGCCACCATCTTTGCGGCCATTTTCAGCCCCTGGGGGACAAGTAACGTGTTCAACTGGACCTCGAACTATGGCAGAGACCCCGATCTTCTTCGACTTGTCACTCCTGGCTTTGGGGACTGCCTTCAGTACATCCAATTCATTGTCCTTACTGGGTCCTTGACACTGGCCTACCCCGGATTTTACCAGCCCATAGTTGGACAAGGCGCCTGGTCCGCCTTGGTCTTCAACGAAAGCTTTGTCACTCCTAATGCAACATATTATCAAAGTCTCCAGGACGGGGTATACGTTCTCAACGGCGAATTTGGTCTCCAGCGCCTTGTGCAGCTTGTGGGCATGGCCAACGTACAGGACGTCTGGGCTGGCATGATCATCTGGCTGCTCGTCATCATCGCGATTGTTCTTGCGCTCATTCAGGGCGGGTTCCTCTTCCGTTGGCTCCTCCGCTTTGTGACGAATGACACGGAGGAGGACCTCCGGGCGAAGAACTTGCCTTTTTCGCTCGGCAACGTGATTCGGATCGTCTTCAACTACTTCCTCCTCCCAATCGTCGCCATTTCGGCGTTCCAGCTCGTCGTCGCTTCGCAATCAGCTTCTGTACTCGTGGCCATGGCCGCAATCACAATAATCTTGGTTGTTGGCTTCGCCATATGGCTGATGCTCTTCATTGTGCGGACGAAAAACAGAGGGCACCTCTTCGATCACTTACCCACCGTGCTGACATATGGTCCTCTATACAACACATATACGGATGAGGCGGCACCCTTTGCGATCGTCCCGATCGTACTTAATGTTTTACGCGGCATCGCCATCGGTGCTGTCCAGCCTTCCGGCGTGGCTCAGCTGGTCATCCTTGCCATCTGCGAGGTTGTCAACGTGCTGACCCTCTATGCATTCCGCCCCTTCCACCCGCCGACGTCGATGAACCTCTATCATGCCGCCCTGTCAGTCCTCCGCTTCGTGTCGGTCTTACTGATGGTGGCCTTCGTGCCTACCATGGGCGTCACAGAAGGTCCAAAGGGGTGGATCGGGTATGCCATCTTCCTCATTCATGCATGCGCGTTATTGTTCTTATTTTGGCTCAACGCCCTCGCCACAATTATCGAGGTCGTGGCGAGATTGTGTGGTGCTGGCAATGATGACGTTACTGGTCAGACTAGGGGGGGCCTCCGAAAGATTTTTGGAGCTCGACAGCTCGCAAGGCGTGTGGACAGACATGGTGCACAGTCCCGGCAAAGCCAGCTCAGCAGCACAGCCATGCTCGACAGAGTAGAATCGAGAATGGGTTACGGCCGAGTGCGGAGTGAGTCGGCTGCTGATATGGGCATCATCGCGAGCCACCAGCGAAGTTCGAGTGCTTTTGATGCGCGGAGCTTCGACGCTTACGCGAATGCCATGGGCGGGATCACCCCCACGACTCCTGGGGAGAGCAGTACGTTCTCCTTTGTGCCACCGGGGCAGGCAACCAGGCCTCAGGGGATGCCTGAGTCGTACTACCGACAGCCTCGCCCCCGACGCCGCACACTTGATGAGTTTGGCAACCAGACGCCTACAAAAACAAGAGCCTCGATCGGCAGTGTAGATCTTACGGCACGTCGCATGAGTCAGACAGCATACGCAGACACCGATACCGACGGAGCGCCTGGTCTAGTGAGCGGGCCCGGACCTGCCGCCTATGCGCCAGTCTTTGCTCCCAGGGCCGACTATTCAACACGCGAAGTTGATGAGTACTACGGCATGCGAGGTCCAGCCCTTAATTCGGACTCTCCAGGTCGTAAGCTGGGTACTGGCCCTGCTGACCCGACAAGCTCCGTGGCTGTTGCCACGAGCTGGGTGAAGGGGTTGTTTGGCGGCAAGACGAAAGAAAAGGGCAAAGGCTTTGAAGTCGTGCGGAGCGCGAGGATGCCGCCAGCCATGCAGGCGAGAGGTGGGGCTCAGAGTGTTGAGCCTCCTCCAGAGGGCATCCCCGTTGCCATGGGAGTTATCCGGCATGGTCCAATCGATAGTGATGACGATGATGCCACATCCAAGGTCAACAGGAGCCGGCGCGGCACAGTGGAAAGTGTTCGTGGAGGGCTCCTCGATGAAGATGGCCAGCCTAGGACGCCCGCCGAGGACCAAGAATTGGATATCGGAGGACTTGGCATCACCAAGGAGGCACCAGTACTGCCCGATCTCGATGCTGGGGAGAGCTTCGGGATTCCGAGCAGGTTTGCGTCTCGGGCCAGCACGAAGCCTAAACACAAGGCGGTCATTACGGCTGCAGCAGATGCGGATGAAGTGCCGGACGTTCCTAGGAAGAGCTCCAAACGAGACAGCACCAGCCCCAGGGGTTTCCGCCGGCTCGAGCAGTCCGCAGAAAACCACCACCAAGATGGTGCCGATCCAGAGAAGCAGGGCTATCTTCTGCCCGAGGCTGCAGCTTCGACGTCGGCAACGAGGCTTCCCTTTGATCGGACAGCCTCGCAAAAGCGCCTGTCGGGTTCGTCGACCGCCCCGACGGACGATGGAGCTAGCCCACTGCCGTCAGCTGGGTTTGGGCGTGATCACAGCAGCGAGCGTCCGTCGAGCTTCGGACACGTCCACCACCACAGCATCAGTAGAGTTGATCCGAAAGAGCCGGTGGATCTGCTGGGCAGCGCTGCGGAGATTGTCGACGACCCAACGAAGCCGAGCCCACATTCTTCGGTACATCGGCGAAGATGACGGAACGACCATGATATGGCTTGAGCTCAAAATAGAAAGAAGGGGTCGTGCACTAGCCACCAAGCGTGGACATAAGTAATCTCACTATCATAATGACTTTGATTTGGGCTACTTGAGCGTCGGCGCCCCAAAACAACAGATGTTTCTTGCTTTTCCTGGAGCGAAGAGGACAGCCAAGCGTGGTGCAAAAGGCGGCGGTTGGGCCGCCTGCAAGTTTGTCCCCGACGGGACTCATAATTTCCCTACTAGTCCGAATCCATAGCGCCGCCTGCATGTCTATAGCGAAATGACTACATCCGTTCCTGCTCGACCGAAGTCACCTGGGAAGCTGCAGTGTTGTTCCATCCCGCAGAACGTCCAGCACGCAATCTCGAAGATTTGTTAATTGTCGCTCGTAATGGGGGGTCCGTCGGCCGCCCGCGGCCGGCGCTGGGCCCCACAGCGACGTTTGTAGACGGACGTGACGGCCGCGCTCCCGAGATCGGCCTACTGTTTTGAGGTTAGGCAGCGGCGGGTGCTCGGCGGAGGGGGGGTTGTCCCCGGTGTGTGCCATGGCGCATTTTACATACATTTACACTTTCTTCATCTTCCCGTGTCTGTGAGATCTACGCAGTACCAGAAGCCGGACACCTACACGAGTTGAGCATCCCAAAGACTGTGCGAGAAATCCAGTGTGGGGGAGAGGAGAGCATTATAAATCGGCCCCCGGAAGGATCCGCTGGCGGCGACGACCACGACGACGGCATACGTTTGTCAATCCCTTGAAACGAGCGACAGCGCCACGACTTCCCGGCTCCCCCCCAAGGATCCCGAGCCAGGACAGGATATCGCGGATCGTACAAGAGCGTGCCAGATCATACCAGTTTGCACCCGCGGAGATGGCTTCGTCAAATCCCGACCAGCAGCAGCAGCACCTCACAGCCGCGCCGCTGGGCGAGGTCGTCGAGCAGATTGCCCACCAAGAGGATGCCAATTCCAATGCCAATGCCCTCGGCCACAAGCACGAGAACGAGCAGGAGGAGATGGGGCGGCAGCAGCAGCAGCAACACTCACATCTCCAGGGCCTGTCGTTTGCGGCCCGGACGATCCACGCGGGCGACCACCTCAACTCGCACCACGCGGTGGCGCCGCCGATGCACGTCTCCACGACGTTCCGGTATAGCGATGACCCGGACAAGCTGTCGAGCTGGGTGAACGTCAATGTGAGCTTCCTTTTCTCCTTCTCTTTCTTCTTCCTTCGTTCACTCTGGGAGAAACATCTTTCGATCTGTGGCGGGACGTTGTAAGAGCCCGAGCGAGGGGCTTATAACATTTGCTCGAATATGCTCTCCATGGAGATGACAAACGGGAGGAGGTAGTGGCGAACAAGAAGAGCAGGCACCTGGAGAGATCTCGAACGAGGCGGTGGTGGTCGACGAGCTAAAGTTGTCTGGGCTCCGCCTGTTCTCGTTCCGTATCATCTTTTCTGGCTACATGGCATGCAGGACGTCCTTTCGCACACCGCAAACTTGCTATTAATACCTCTTTGGCTAATGATGTACGACCGAAACCCAAACAGCCCGCAAACCCGCACGACTCGCACGTCTACTCGCGCGACTCGGCGCCAAACAGCACGCGCCTCGAGGCGGTACTCACGTCCATCCTTCAGGGGCCCTCGCTGACCTACGCGTCCGGCCTGGCCGCGTTCCATGCGATGCTCGTGTACCTGAACCCGCGCCGCGTGGCCATCGGCGGGGGCTACCACGGCTGCCACGGCGTCCTCAAGGTCCTGACTAAGCTCAACGGGCTGGAGCAGCTCGACCTCGACTGCCCGGACGAGATGCTGCGGCCGGGGGACGTGATCCACGTCGAGACGCCGCTTAACCCGACGGGAGAGGCGCGCGACCTCGAGTTCTACGCGGCCAAGGCGAGGCGCGCGGGCGCGTACTTGACCGTGGACGCGACTTTCGCGCCGCCGCCGCTGCTCGACCCACTGCGCTGGGGCGCCGACGTGGTCATGCACAGCGGGACAAAGTACTTTGGCGGCCACTCGGACATGCTGTGCGGCGTGCTGACGGTGAACCCCAAGCACGCGGACAAGTGGCTGCCGGGGCTGAGGGAGGAGAGGCTCGTCCTGGGCGCAGTCATGGGCAGCCTCGAAGGCTGGCTCGGCGTGAGGAGCCTGCGGACGCTCGAGATCCGAGTGCGCAAGCAGAGCGAGGATGCGACGGCGCTGGTGGCGTGGCTCGCTGCCCGGTGCGCTCAAGGCAACAACAACAACAAGGAAGCAACTAACGCGGGTTCTTCGTCGTCGGCAGACGATGCCATACGCAGGATGGTTGCGGGCGTCAAGCATGCCTCGCTCCAGCCCGAGGCCAAGGATCCCGAGTCCTGGCTGGCCAGGCAGATGCCTCGGGGCTACGGCGGCGTCTTTTCCATCCTGCTCAAGGACACGGAGTGCGCGAGGCGGCTGCCGAGCAAGCTCCGCCTGTTTGACCATGCCACGAGCCTGGGCGGCGTCGAGAGCTTGATCGAGTGGCGGGCAATGACGGACAAGACGGTCGACCCGCGGCTGCTGCGTGTCAGCATCGGCCTTGAGGGCTGGGAAGACCTCCGTGACGACCTCGTGCAGGGACTTCAGGCGCTGATTGCCGAGGGGAGGTGAAGAAAGTGAAAAACATGTACAACGAGCCATCATGTATAATGCATATCCTCGGACAATGAACCTCTCTGGCTCGCTGCAAAATGATGATATCGATGCATGCGATAAACGTCTAGTCGGTCTATGTCGTTTGCTGGAACAAGCTTGTCCGCTCTCTATGTGTATATATGTACAGTTCCGACCGGGTTGAAAGTCCTGTGACCGTGTCGGATAGCTCCCGAATTACAAGAAAATATGTACAAATCAACGACAGACATGTCGTATGTAGTCGTCAGACGTCTAATCATGACACAGGGATGCCGGATTTTCATCGCCGCTCCGCCTTGAGAAGCTGGGTTAGCGACACAACCTTGTAGCCACGTCTCTTGAGCTCAGGCAGGACTGTCTTGAGCATGGGCGCAGTCCAGCTGCGGCGGTCATGGCAGATGATGATGCTGCCAGGTCGAACCATGCTGAGAATGTGCCGGGCGTTTAGCCACGGATGTGCTATCTGGGGGTCATGGGGATAGACGCTGCCCAGGACCATGCGGTAGCCTAGCTTGTCGACCAGGCGGCGCATGCGGTCGCTGAAGAAGCCGCTACCGGGGCGGAAGTACTGCGGCGGCATGCGCTGCTCGGCGGTGTGGTAGGCGGCGCGGATGTTCTCCCGGACCGTCTCGATCTGCTCGGTGAGCTCCGCGTCTGTGAGCGCCCGGCTGGGCTCATCGTGCATGGCGTGGTTGCCGAGCTCGTTGGCGCCTCGCACAATGTTGGCTAGCTGGTCTTCCCGGCCTGGAACCTGGCCGCCAATGACAAAGAAGGTTGCATGGGCATCGTTGGCGGCGAGGACGTCGAGGATCTGCTCGGTGTACTCGGAAGGGGCATCGTCGATGGTGAGGGCGACGACCTTGTCGTCCGTGTCGACCTGCCAGAGGACATCAGGCCAGCGGTTGACAAAGTGGCGGATGAGAGCCTGAGGGGGCTTGTAGATGACGTAGAAGGGGACGGCGAGGATGAGGAGAAGCGCCAGGAGGCCGAGGAGGGTCGTCATCCTCTGCCTGCGGGCGCGGCGCCGGAGCTTCGAGGGCAGCCGGAAGAGGGACGGGCAGCAGCGCGGCATCGGAGGGGCGGAGGCTGGAGTCCAGTCGAGGGTCTCACTGGCAGCGGGGGCTCGTCGTTGTCGGTTGCTGGTCCATTGGGGCGCCTCAAGGTTGTGTCCAGCGTGGGCAAGCTTGTGCTTGGTGATGATGGTGGTTGTGACTGTGGTAGTGATAGAAGGCTGTTGGGGGGGCGTGGAGACAGCGTTGTGCAACTGCCGTGCAGCGACATGCTAACCCCCCTGGGCCCCTGAGTGCCTTGGGAAGGCACGCATTGTGCAGGGCAAGGGGTTCTGACAAGCACCGATATCTCCGTGGCCCTCGCAGGTTGGTGGGGCCTCTTCACTGCTCCCTCCACAGCAACGACACATCAAGCTGGGATACAGCTCTGTCCTATGCAAAGGAAAGCTCTCTTAGCGTTGACGGGAGCCATGGGTCACCAAAAATCAACCTGAGGACGAAAACTGCCTCTGCAGGCCGGCGTTGTTGCAAACCTCACAACAGGAAAGCACAAGTCTGCAGCGCAAAGAGTCTCCATTCGACGACACTCTTCGCTCATCTTGCTAGCAATTGGGCTGCTCAACCATTTCCATGGGTCCGAACCGCGTTCATGACACGGTGAGGGCCTCCTGGCTCCGTGCCCGCCAGTCCATCTACAGTTGAGCGAACCCCGCAGCCGAAGCACGAGTTGTATTGATGCACACCCGCGACAAACCCTCGCAGCGCGGACCCCCACTTCACAGGCACAGCACACCATGGAGACGACGTATATGCGCACACAAGCAAGTCGTCCTGCTTCACCAATCTTGCCCTAATTAACTGCAGTCCGACCCGGGCAGCACGGCGGCCTGCAGATATTAGTAGCCAAGCCTCACTGGAGAAAGGCAAGTGAAATACTCACCAAGCTATTCCAGTGGTGGCTAGGGCTCCCGAGGAGCTGGAAACCCCAGCCTGGGCTGCTTTCCAAGACAGGCATTCCATGTGACGGGCGTTGGACCGACCATCTCACATTGGGATTGCATTTCCAGCACCCCAGCACCCAAGCGGAAATGTTCAATGGTGATCCACTGATGCGCAACGCCCAAAGCTCGTGCTGATTGATCTACACTACACACCACACGGAACGGCCCAGAGTGCCCGTGTTTAGAACCAGCGCCGAGGCACCGCCATCGCGCCTCCGGGGATGCAGATCTTTTGAACCATCACGGCCAAGGCGGATTGCCGGGTCTCGAGATTGTACGGCTTGCGCTTCCCAGTCAAGAAACACGATCGGCGCAGTCTCAGTCATGCCATGCCCGTCGTGGTCAGAAGGATGAATTCAGTGGCGCCGGAGCTTCCGCACATCTCTCCCCACATGGCAAGCTGACGACCACGACTCTGCAGACCAAGAGCTACTCCACTATCCGCAGTCGCGAGCTGAAAGTCGAATCCGCTCGCGCCCTGTTCTGCTCATCGCCGACGCCAGCGGCGCTTCTGTTCAGGCGGGATACTCCTCAGGTGGGATGACGACTACCAATACCCAGGGCCACGAACGCTTCCCAGCTGGGTGGGCGCGTTCCCAGATGGCTCCTAGTGGCAGGCTTCGCGCTGTCGATCTCCCTTGCTCGCAGAAAACGGTTGCCAAATCTGTCTTCTATGGAGACCGCCAAGAACCGATAAAAGGCCATTACTGGCCCGCAGAGTTGTTGACCAGGACCTCGGGCACGGCGTGGCAGTTCTCAGGCAAGGCTTCTCTTTCCACCTGCAAGTGATCGTCGCCGCCGTGCTATTTTTACCGAGTTGCCTCCTCCTACGCTCATCAACCCAGGATCAAGAGCATCAATGACATAAAATCGCGCCACAAGAACAGCCCGGGGCCATGTATGGGCGCCGCTGCTGTCTGTCGGATCGGCGTGCACGCATGCAGGGAGAGTTTTGCGTGGTTTCTATTCGAGGCGTAGTGTGTCCCCGCTTGACTCGATGCGAGCCATAGATGCATCTTGATGACGCCATGTGCCTCACTGACAGATACGCTTTGATTCTCTGCATGACCAATCTCCAGCATAGCGACAAATACTCCTTGCTCCAATTCTTACAATCCCCCGCTCGCGGGATCGTGCATGAGAAGCTCCAAAAAGTGCGCGTGGCCAGAACTTGCAGTTTGTGTAATACATCTTTACATGCAATGCAGTCCCCGGGCACACTAAGCCGTCCACAGAAACCCCACAACGCCAGCGGAGCTCGGGAGGGATCATCACTCCTTCCGCACCACCGGAGTCATGCGGCCGCAATCACCCCATTCGGCCTATTGAGCATGCACATTTGGGAGGGACCCCCCCCCCCCCCCCCCGCTCGTCCCGGTAAAAGGGCCAGCCAACACCGGAAGAAACAATGGCAAAAGCTTGTTGGGCGATCCGTAACTTCCCCCCAAAGTGTCTCTCTTCTGCCTTTGGTAAAAAAGAATGAAAAGAAGATTTTTTAAAAAAAAATCGCCGCAGAAAATTTAAGCTTCGGCTCATCTGCAGCAAGTGGAGTTGAATGCTCACTGAGAAGAGCTCCTTGCTTTGGTTGGTGGTGGCGTATAGGTTCTTCTTAGGCTTTCCCCATATACACTAAGACAATGACCTCGCCAGTTAGTCCATGGGCACCAGATGGGGGCGGCCCATACGCTTCATAGTGGCGCGTTCCGCTTCCATAGTAGGCGACCAAGCACCACACAACCTCCCTGACATTGCGCAGATCTCAAGATTGTCTAGTGAACCAAGCTGCGAAGCTTTGCCCTCTCCTGGCGGCGGCGTGCGGTGACTATTCCGAGAGTGAGAGGGAGAGCTTTTGAACTAAAAAAAAGCCTTGAAGCTCGCCAATCACGATGTCCCGCGCATGCGCGGCTGACGCTGCAAAAGAGAAGTGAGCTTGGCGAAGGGAGTGATGAGGTTGGGGATTCAATCCGGTGATGCACTGGCTCAAATCAATTACGCTGTTGTGTTTGTCCATGCTTGCGCGGGACAGAAAAATGGCGTACGTATGTGGCACAAGGGCTAGACATTGAGCATCGTAATCACCAGTGCGCAGAAGACTGTTGTGCAGGCAGATACCTCGGTTCTTATGATTGTGTGTCTTAACGAAAGAACTCGCCATTGGGCGAAACAGAAAAAGTAGAAGGTGGTATCAAGACGTGTGTAGAAATCGCAAGTTGTCAGTGAAGGCAGTCCTTGCCTCGTAAAAAAACTCCAAGAAGACTCGTTCCCCCAAAAAGATTGTGTCCATGTTTGACAATAGCTGTTCGAAACGCAAGTCCCGGGACAGCAGCAAGCCGTCTGTATGTGCAGCCAACCCCAGCAAAAAAAGTCACCGCCAAAAGTATGTACATTGTGAAGTAGGTCGTTTGTCCAAGACGAGTCATGTCACCTCAGATCCAGATAGGTTCCGGCGCGGCTTTGGTTTCAGGCTGGAAGAAGGTTGTGAAGATGCTCTGCACTTCGTTGATGTAGTCATCAGCCTGGAACTTGAAGAGGCCCTTGGCCTTGAGTTCCTGCTCCTCTTCATCGGTGATCTGGATCTTGTCGCGTATTCCGAATTCTTCTGCAATCTCGGTAACCTGGGCGAGCTCCTGACCAAAAGGGTGCGTGGCTTCAGAGCGGTCGGCAGTTCTCCGCTTGAGCGCTCCCGCACTGGAACGGGCGCTGGGGGGAGCAGCATAACTGGGCGTCGTAGGAATTGACGGCGCGGGCGACTTCATGGCGGGAGAGAGGGCCGAGGCTACAGTGGCGGTTGTTGATACAGACGCTGAGCGGGAGAGGATGGAGCTGGCTTTGGTGGATACGGAGTTGTTTGACTGGTTAGACAGGCGAGTGTTGACATTGGCAGCCAGGTTGTCCATGGAGGCCTTCTTGGTGTGCGATGGTGCTCTCTTGGGAATAACAGGAGCTGGTGTTGAACTGGGGAATGGCTTTTGGCCGGGAGCTGTGAAGTAACATGACAGGTGGTTTGGTTCTGGGGACTCTGCACGGTCAGGAGTGGTGCCAACGTCTGGGCTGGTGGGCGGAGAGGAAGCGTTCGTGGCAGCGTCAGACTCGTCGTCGGACCTGGACGAGGCGATGGAGCTGGCCGACTTTGGGTATAGGTCTGGGGCATTGTAAGCGAGCATGTTGGTGGTGTGTGTAAGTCCGATGGGAGCTGAGATCTTGTGGCGGATGGAGCCCACGCCGCGGGAGACGGTGTTGCTTCGCTGCGGAGTGAAACCCATGTCGACAGATGGCTGCTTTCCGCGCCGTGTAGTGAATGCACGAGCCAAAGACATTGTGAAGAAGAAGCAGTGCGGCACACAGGCTATTATCTGCTTGACTGATACCGGAGGGTGCTAGGTGGCAGCTTGGGTGCTTCCCAAAACGGTAGTGGCCGGAGGCACGGAGATCTGACGTCGACCGAAGGGTGTTGTGGCAGACTAGCAAAGGCCGATGCTAAGGTGTGGGAGGTGGGTGGGGCACCGAATCCTTTGCTTGGCGGGCTTTTTCTGGTACAGGCGCGCTGGGGTGGGGGATCCGATGGCTTTTTCGAGTCGCCTCCGACAACAAGAGCAAATGCTGGCAACCGAAACAATGCGGGTGTGACCTGCTGGACAACGTGCTCCAATCAGGGATGGCTGTTGGTGATGTGCTGCAGAGTCGTGCAGTAAACGGCGGACCAATCAGAGAGCGGCTCGCGGAGCCAGCTAAAAGTGGTGCGAGGAAGCAGGTAACGTTGGCTGCGGTGTCCACGAGGTAACCTGCGTGGCCAAGAAGAGAAATGCCTCTGGTGAGAGAACAGAAAACCAGGATCTGGTGACTAGGCGTCCGGGAAGGCGAAAACCGGAAAGCCGTGAGAAGGAGGCTGCGCGTGGGCAGGAAGAAGCGGGCAGAGTGGAGTTGCAAAGAATGCAACCTTGCAATCGACAGGTCCGATAGATACGTCTGGTGCGCAGGTTGAAGAGAAAAGACGTCGCTAGAGATCCTCTCAAAGGACGGCGACAGTGCTTATAGCAGTCCGAAGGAGGAGAACCGTCAGGTCCAAGTGAGGCGGGAGCTGTGATACGTGAGCCAGGCCGTGAGTGAGACGGTGGTGGGCTTGTCTCGCTTGCTGGTAACACCTCCGGAATGGATGGCTAGACCTCGACAGGCAGGTCTGAGAGAGCGTGCGCGCACAAGGCGAAGATATGGAGAGGACAAGAAGAGGAAGAAGACGAAGGCGATATCTGCCACAGCCTGGGGCGATGCGAGCACTGCGGACGAGTGAAACAACCGGGTTTCGCTGTCTGCGCTGGTAGAGTTTGGTTGTGGTTAAAGGAGAGTTTTGCTGGATGTCTCGAGAGAACAGAGACGGAAGCAGGCGGCAGAAGAAGGACCGTGGCGGAGGCCAAGAGGCGTTTCCAAAGCAATCGTAGCCGGCGACGAGACTGACGTTGAAGTCGACAGAAAGGCACTGGAGAAGGCCGTGGAGAAGGGAAAGTGCTGTCAAGAGGCCGACGGGGGACGAGGAAATTAAAGAGACCAGGCCGGGATGGTGACGGGTATGTGTGTGTGCGCGCCCACAAGGTGGACTGTCTGAGTGGATGCGCCCAAGGCAAGCGTGGGCGGATGGATGAGTGGGCAGGCGGGGTGGGCCGCCCGCGCTAGGGAGGGCCCTTCCTTCCAGGCATGCTCGCCAACAACCCTCTCCAATGTTTGCATGACTCTGTCACCCACCCTTCACCACCAAACACATTCTTGCCCGCCCACCTCTGGCCGGCATCACCCGCCTCCAGCACTGCGACCCAGCGTCACCCGCCTCCGTTGTGTGCCCTCGTGCTCGCGCGACAGCAGATCCATTGCAGGAGGCGAGCCGGGCATGCAGCAGAGCCCGGCGACCGAGCCCCAGAATCCCCGCCCCGACCCAAACCGTGGGCGGACCAGGACAGGCCACCAGCAGAGACAGAGCACCGCCTGCAACACCAGATCGCCGCCCCATCGCTTCTCGGCAGCCTTTGCCCTGGCCGCCATGGAAAAATTCGCGCGCGAGTGCGCTCTGGCTTGGTGCCAAAGGGGGGGCCAACCTTGAGGGGGTTCCACCAGCCTCTAGCTGCAGCATCAAGGGTGGTGCACAGGCTCGCCCACCAGGCACACATCACACATGACTGGCCAGCAGCGATGCCGCCAGCAGGGGTGGGGTTGATAAGTAACCTTAGGAAGTGTCGCCAGCGAGTTGAGTCCCTTGCCAGTACCATGGTGGCGGCTTAGCGCCCTCCATGATCACCCACCCACTACGTCTGTCCACGCAATACTCTTGGGCCATCTCATGAGCCGGGGCCCCCTTGCAAGTCGAAACCTGGGCGTCGAAACAAGCCCCGCCTCCGCCTGCCTCTATCGAGCCGTAAGGGCTTGCAGCAAACGAACATGTTTCTGTTTCTGTTCTCACTCCACGCAATCATGCCCGTTGCTCAACACCAGATTTGCACCGGTCTGTCCTCTCCAGCCACGAACAACAACCAACTTGACAATGCTGCCGGCTAGTGCAGGTACAGAATTTTGCAAGCGCTGGGTCAAACCTTAGGCCCCATGGCCCGAAAGTCTGTCCGTCTGGTGGCGTCTGGGTCAACTCCACTCGCGAAAAAGCCAGTCCAACATCTTAAGAACAAGCCAACATTCTGCGTCCTTGACAAGCCTCGACATATTCTCGCCAGGCCAGAGCTGTCGGCTCAAGCACAAATATCCGTATCGTGACGCAGTGTGATGCCAGCGGGGTCGCGAGAAATCACAGCCAACAACGCAGCGTGCAGCACGACCCGACCACGTGGCATGCTTTGGCCAATGGTGCAGCCACGCACACAATGACAACGACGCGTGTTTTTGCCGATGTGCCAACGAACAACAGACTAGAGTGCCCACCCGACGGGTAGACATGCCCTGACTAGAAGCTTTAGGTTGGGCGCCGAGTGCGCTTGTGTTTGCATGTGCATCAAGCCAAGTCATTGTTGTCCATGATCCAACGAGTCAGCTTGGCGTAGTCGTCTGGCGCTGTGGCTAGCGTAGCTTGGTCGACGGCCTCCCGACACTGCCCTCGGTTCTGCCGATCGCGTCCTCCTCTTGCGCGGCGCGCCTCCGGGAAGACCACAACCGTCTAACTCGGTGCAGGTTTGCTGGTCTTTAGCGCAGAGGTTTCTGCGAGATCCAAGCGAACGCTGCCTCCTAGCGTAAGCCATTCAGGAAAATCGCCCCCAAGAGTGGTCATGGAGCAAAGCTTCGCTCCTATACAGAGAATGATACTCCACAACTCCGCATCGTGCGGCACCCATGCGCAAAGATGCTCATCGCCGGCCCATGCCAGAATCCAGGCAGGCGTGGTGAAGACCCCAGTTCTTGACAGCAAACTCAAGCACACGCCAATTTCCTCGCGCTCACTCGACCATCACACGCGGCTTGGGTGGCGCACTTCCAGAGTTTGGCCCAGGCTTTCCGTGGTATCGCATCGGCACCATCGCAATGATCGTGTTCCAAGCCGCGTCGGTACGTACTCATTCCCTAGCAGCAGGTTTTACAGATAGATTGGTACCAAGGCCTCTGCGAGTTCTGGTACAATCGTGCAACCGGCTTGTCATCCGCTCGTCTACGCCACGCACTGGCCCATGTTCAAGCGGCCGACTCCACGATGGCGGCTGCGAACGTGAAACAGGGCGCCCCCCTGCTTTGTGTAGCGCTTGTCATTGGCCAGATGTTTCCTGGACGCACCGTCTCCGTGTTTCAGTTTTCCTTTTGACCTCCCTACGCTTTGGCTGTCGATGCCTCTCTTGCTGCCATGGGGCTCTCAGCACCCGCGGTGTTTAATGCAGCCCCGCACGGGCTACCCGATTCAACTGATGGCGCCGACCGTGGGAAGGGGGAGCCACGCAAAGAAGCAAAGAACATTGCAAGCACACATGATGTCCGCTCAACGCGGGTGGCAGGCACTGACTGTATGTTGCTTTTGCTCCAGGCCCCAGCGCCATTTCGACCTTCAGAAACACAAGAGCTCCCGAGATCTTTGAAAATGGCGCCGAGTTCAGAGCATATACTAGGGTGACCCATCGCCAGACGGCTGCAACATTGTGCAGTGGCTAACCTGCACAAACCGTCCACTGCATGCCATTGCTGCGTTTCTCAGTAGGCCTAGCTACTCACTGCCTTGGTCGAGGAGCGCCGATGAGCAACTCCAAGTTGAGCCTCTTGTCCATTCAGATCAAGCAATCTAGGCGAGACGTTTCGCCGCATGGCCAGAAGCATAGCATTGTTTCCGTCAGACCAGGTTCAAGGGGAAGACCGCGCGTCGGGGAGAAGCAACCCTCCTGCAAGTCCAGGATGCCGTACCTGTCAATCACTTCCCAGAAGACGGTAGGGCCTAGTCGCAAGGTTCTCTTGCGCTGTTCTTCAGCCGCAATGGCGCCCTTTACCCCGGCTCATGCTCTATGATCCGAGTGGTGGAAAGGGTCGACGGTCTTGCTGCACAGCCTTCCCGCATGAATATGCCGAAACTCCAGGGTTCGATGCTTTTTTAGGCCTGTCGAGGCCCTGCAGGTCCCGACCGTGACTTATCAAGCGACGCATGCGGTCATTCCGATACATCAAGAAATATCCACCACATTGACACTTGGATTTCCACCTGGCTGGTGTGCCAGCATCAACTGTGCGTTAGAAACATTTTCCGCAATGTTGAAGAGGATGCCGGACGGCTTTGTGGTTCCATCAAACCCCCACCCACTCAGGTGGTGGTGCAGCTCTGGCAGCATGGCCCCCGCGGGTGCGCGGGAGGATCCCCCATGTTTCCCAGTAGATCGTTTCAGGATGCACGAGATTGTCCTTGCAAGCGTATAGTTCATCACAAGTACCGCGTCTGGTTGATAACTGCCAATGGGAGTCTGGAGAGTAGTACTCTGCGGCGAGGTGGCATCGGTGGGGCTTCGAGCTGGTATTTGCTCACCGTCGTGGGATTAGCAGATGCGGAAACGGGTCGTCTTCATAGTGGTATTGCTATCCGTCTATATGCCGCTGATGAATATTTGAACTCCAAAAGTGAATCAAAGCCAAAGGAGCACGACGGCGTATGTGTCAATCACCGGTTGCAGTGCTTATGCCGAGCACAATAAACCTTTTCCCGTGCACCGCCAACATCTTACGCGAAAACCGATCCAAGAAGTGCTCTCGCTCGCCTAGCGTCAAGGCTGAACAGAGAGTCACACTAGCTTCCGTCGACTGACCCCGAAAGATCAAAACCTTTTGGCCCTAGACGATCACCATTCTCGAAGACGTCCTGGGCCTCTCAAGCATGTAAAACATCACCCATGACTGTCTTGCTTCTCGTCCGGTGCATTCATCCCGTCCTCAGCATCTCGCTCTTCCGTGTCGAGCTCGGTCATTTTCTGGCTGCATAGCTCAATCGTCTTCGTCCATTGACTCGGCGCCATCTCCGCCGTCGCTCTCCTCGTCATCGTCGGACGCATCGCTCGCGACACCAACGACTCTCTCGCGCATTTCCTCCCCGCTTCCACCGTTGTCGGCAATCTTGTGCGCAAAGGCCTTGCGCACGCCGCCGTTGGTGCTTGTGTCCCAAACGTGCATGGTGCCCTTGCTGCCGGCGACCGCGAGGCGGAAGGCGACCTCTGGGTCCGGTGCGAAAGACGTCGAGAAGATCTTGCCGACGTCGAGATTCCGCGACACCACCATCTGCGGGCCAGACGGCAGAATGTTCCACAACTTGACGGTCTTGTCGGTCGAGCCCGTGGCCATGAAGCCAGGGATGTGCGCATTGATGTCGAATGCGGAAAGAGACTCGTCGTGGGCCTGCAGCGTCCACACCGGCTTCGTCGCCGCTGGGTTGGCCGGCGCGTTGCGGATGTCGTGGTAGTGGATGATGCCGTTCTCAGTCGAGACGTAGAAGAAGTTGGGGTCGTGCGGGTCCCAGCGGACATTCTCGACGTCGCTCTCGACTCCCCACCGTGCGGGCTTCGCGTCGGGCGCGCGCATGTCCGCGGCGACTATTGTCCTGTCGTAGCTGCCGCTGAGAAGTACTGTGGATTCGACGGCGTGCCACGCGAGCGAGCAGACCTTGTCTGTGTGGTAAGTGTAGGACTTTGCGCAAGACGTTGTGTTCAAGTCCCATAACTTGACTGTCTTGTCGGCTGACGCCGAGGCGAGCAGGTTTCTGTGCTTTCGGTTCGCTGCGAGGGACAGCACGGCGTCGACGTGGTAGCTGTCGTTGGCCTTCTTTGACTTCTTCTTTTTCTTCTTCTTCTGAGTCTCCTCTTGCGGGTTGCCACCCTGGCCGAGGACGGCGTTGGGGTACATGCAGTCTACCGTGTCCAGGTCCCACACCTCGATGTCTGGGTCCATAGTTCCTATCGCGACAAAGTTGGCGTTGGCGTCTTTGTCGGCGTTGGGCTTGCCAACCGCAAGGTCCAGCCACTCTACGCAGAGTGGGATGGCGGGAAGCATGATATCGTGGTGGACGTAGAGGTTGTCCGCCTCGTCCTCGTAAACATACACTTCCAAATGGGCCAGCTCGTCCTCCACCTTGGCGGCGAGCAAAAGGTTGTCGGTGGCCAAGATCTGTAGCTCCTCGCGGTCCTCGTCGTCATCGTTCTCTCCATCGGGTATCGTAATGTATGGATCCTCCTTGTTGGAGTCGTAGTATGTGAGAGACTTGATGTTGCCGAACATGTCCATGCTGCGGCCCTCCGCCTCATCTTCGTCGTCGTCGTAATGCTCCAGGTCGTACTCTTTCAGGTCGTCGTCGTCAATGTCCACCCTGGAATTATCAGTCACGGAACCCGGACCCCGGGGAGTGGCGCATGTTGCCGCCATGGATTCACAACTCACTCGTCATCCATCTTGTCATCCTTGGCAGCAGCATCGCCAGAGCCGGCAGCGGCTTTTGACTCGGACTTCGCCTCTGAAGCAACTCCACTAGCTTCGTTTTCGCTGTCGTTGTCATCGTCACTGTCGTCTTTGCCGTTCTTGTTTTGAGCTTCCTCCAGGTCCTCGTTGGCGTCGTCGAGCTGGAGCTTGGCCAAGCTTGCGATTCGTTCAAACTCGTCTTCGTCAAAGTCGTACTTTTGCGGGAAGGGTGCTGCGTAGCCACGCGGCACCCACGCAGCGGTGGTGATCATGGAACTCATGGCGAACTGACTTTGCGCCGATGTTGCGTTGTTCGTGTAGGTACGATACACTGCAAGCTTCCTGCACAGCCGGCACCCCTCTTGGGCAGACACCCAAAAATTAAAACATTTCAGAATTTCAGCGGGGCTTATCTTATCTGGGCAACTAGGGCGGGTACTTTGCAAGGCTGCGAATTGGAGAAGGAGGTACCTCGTGAAAGCCACGTTTTACGTGGTGCGTACAGTACCTAGAACCTGCTCTCGAAGTCTTCGCTGGACCCCAGTTCGGAGAGCTCGCCCGGCGCTCGTGGATGCTGTCTGATCGGATTGTTTTGTTCTCCCGCCCACTCCAGACTGTTGATCCACTCATTCTCGTAGCTTAACTCGGACCACGAACGCACGCCAGCTCGCCTGAATCCACGCTTCGACCAGGCCCAAGCGCCAAGATACTTCTGGGAATCGACCGAGAGTCCATTTTCTCTGCCTGGAAGCCCTCGTACTGCGCGCCATGGATCGCGATGACAGGGCTTTCAGCCCCAAGCGACGTCGAATCGACTTCAACCCGCTGAGGTCCGATGATCGGTACGCATCGTTACCAAGCCGGACCCAGTCTACTTCGCGCGCGCCGCGCGCAGAACCCGCAGAGTCGAAGCAGCCGCCACCTGAAGAAACGCAAGAGGAAGAAACAGCTCTCGACCGCGACTGGTATCTTGGCGACGAGACGGGGCACGTGTTCGGCGACGAAGCACACAATCCCTTTGGCGAGTACGACTCGACATGGGTCGAGCAACAGCAGCGAGATGCAGACCTGGTTGAGAAAAAGGCTGGACGGCAGCTCAATGCGCGCCAGCTTCAAAGACAAAAGGACAATGATGCCTGGGAGACGAACCGCATGTTGACATCCGGCGTCGCGCAACGGAGGAACATGGATGACGACTTCAATGACGACAACGAGGGAACCCGCGTACATCTTCTGATCCATGACCTGAAACCGCCATTCCTTGACGGCCGCACGGTCTTCACAAAACAACTGGAACCGGTGCCTGCCGTCAAGGATTATCAGAGTGACATGGCTGTCTTCAGCAGAAAGGGCAGCAAGGTCGTCAAGGAGAGGAGGCAGCAACGAGAGCGCCAACGACAAGCCCAGGAGGCTACGAACATGGCTGGAACCGCGCTGGGTAATCTCATGGGCGTGAAGGAGGATGAGGGCGACAGCGCACTACCGATAGCGACCGAGCACGATGCGCCAAGGTCGGGAGCCAACAAGTTCAGTGAGCATATGACAAAGAAGAGTGAAGGTGCCAGCAACTTCAGTCAGACCAAGACCTTGAGAGAACAGCGCGAGTTCCTGCCGGCATTTGCAGTGCGCGAAGATCTCCTGCGCGTCATCAGAGACAACCAGGTTGTTATTGTGGTCGGCGAGACTGGCTCCGGCAAGACGACACAGTTGACACAGTTCTTGTACGAGGACGGCTACGGAAAACAGGGTATGATTGGATGCACGCAGCCTCGCAGAGTAGCGGCCATGAGCGTCGCCAAACGTGTCGCTGAAGAAATGGAGGTCAAGCTGGGCAGCACCGTCGGATATGCCATTCGCTTCGAAGACTGCACAAGCAAAGAGACAGTCATCAAGTACATGACAGATGGTGTCTTGCTTCGAGAGTCTTTGAACGAGGGTGACCTTGATCGATACTCCTGTGTCATCATGGATGAGGCGCACGAACGTGCTCTAAACACGGATGTGTTAATGGGCTTGTTTGTCAAGATCCTCCAGCGTCGTCGGGATCTCAAGCTTATTGTCACATCTGCGACCATGAACTCCAAGAGATTCTCGGAGTTCTTCGGCGGTGCGCCCGAGTTCTTCATTCCAGGTAGAACCTTCCCTGTCGACATCATGTTCCACCGGTCCCCTGTTGAGGATTATGTCGACCAGGCTGTTCAGCAGGTCCTCTCCATCCACGTTTCCATGGGGGCTGGCGACATCTTGGTTTTCATGACCGGTCAGGAAGACATTGAGTGTACTTGTGAGCTGGTACAAGAGCGCCTGGCTGCACTCAACGATCCACCACCTCTCAGTGTCCTTCCGATTTACAGTCAAATGCCTGCGGATTTGCAGTCAAAAATCTTCGACAGAGCGGCACCAGGAGTTCGCAAATGTATCGTTGCAACCAATATTGCTGAAACGAGTTTGACAGTCGACGGCATCATGTATGTCGTGGATGCAGGATACTCGAAGCTAAAAGTGTACAACCCACGCATGGGTATGGATACATTGCAGGTCACGCCAATTTCTCAAGCCAATGCCGGCCAAAGAGCTGGTCGTGCTGGTCGCACGGGTCCAGGAAAGGCCTTTCGCCTCTTTACTGAGAAGGCGTACAAGGATGATCTGTACATCGCCACAATCCCCGAGATTCAAAGGACGAACCTGAGCAACACGGTACTCTTGCTCAAGTCTCTTGGCGTGCGTGACCTCCTCGACTTTCACTTCATGGATCCACCACCACAAGATACCATCACTACCTCGCTATTCGATCTCTGGGCTCTCGGTGCCCTGGACAACCTTGGAGAATTGACAGACCTGGGATCCAAAATGAACGCCTTCCCCATGGACCCGTCACTGGCAAAACTGCTCATCATGTCAGAAGAGTACGGTTGCAGTGAGGAGATGGTCACCATCGTCTCTATGCTCTCGGTCCCAAACGTCTTCTATCGGCCGAAAGAGCGCCAGGAAGAGTCTGATGCGGCCCGTGAGAAGTTCTTTGTGCCTGAGTCCGACCACTTGACCTATCTTCACGTCTACTCGCAATGGAAAGTCAATGGCTACTCCGATGGCTGGTGTATCCGCCACTTCCTCCACGCCAAGTCTCTCCGACGAGCCAAGGAAATTCGTGACCAGTTACTCGATATCATGAAGATGCAGAAGATGGAGATGATCAGCTGCGGGACCGACTGGGACATCATCCGAAAATGTATCTGCTCGGGCTATTACCATCAGGCGGCCAAAGTTAAGGGTATTGGCGAGTACATCAACCTCAGAACATCCGTCACTGTACAACTGCACCCCACCTCGGCACTGTATGGGCTGGGATTCCTCCCTGACTACGTCATCTATCACGAATTGATCTTGACATCGAAAGAGTACATGTCCACCGTCACGGCTGTGGATCCCCACTGGCTCGCCGAGCTTGGTGGCGTCTTCTACTCCGTCAAGGAGAAGGGCTACTCTGCACGGGAGAAGCGCATCACCGAAACCGAATTCAACCGGAAGATGGAGATCGAGGCACAAATGGCCGAGGACAAGCGGCGCCACGAGGAGAAGTTGAAGGCTGATGAGGAGCGGACAGTCAAGAAGAAGGTGGTCGTGGAGAAATCCAAAAAGATTGTCACTAGCGGCGCAGTGAAGAAGCCGGTGGTGAAGCGCAAAGGTCGTGGGTTCTAGAGGTTGCATTGAGATGAAGCGATACATTCTGCGTGGCGTAAATTGGTAGATCTTTGGATATAGCGTCATCTATACTCTAGCCCTGACCAGCAACAGCAATGCATGGCCTTGGCGTCAGCCCAGCATGACCAATGTCTCCCAGTCGTGTCTCTGGTAGTCGTGTTGCTAGCCAACGTGACTTTTCATTATCGCCGCACGTCGAAACTGGACTCGCCATCCTTGACATCGAGTGTGTTCCGATCAAGCTGGACGACATGTGCATGTGTCGGGCCCCTATCCAGCTCCTTCATGAACTGCTTAAGGGCTTCTTCGGTACCCTGGGCTTCGCCTTCAACCTGCAGCCATGGCCGAGATTTTCGACGTCAGTCGCTCCACGGTCACGAGACAAGAGCAAGTTTTCAACTACTAAAGGGGTGTAGCAATGTTCATAAGTCATATAGCATACCTTGCCGGCCTCAGTGTTGCGACACCATCCAGTCACTCCGAGCTCGGTAGCCTTCTTGGCGGCGAAGTTACGGTAGTTCACCCCTGCGTCGGTGTTAATCAAAGATTACGGCCCTTCTGGAGGATTTGGGGTGAGGTGTATTGAAACTTTGGAGTACGGACCTTGCACGCGGCCATGGGCGAGGAACGACAGCTTGAGACCGCGGTTAGCGAGCTTCGCCCGGTTTTCAGGAGTCGGTACTTACTCGTTGCGACATCGCGAGCAGTAGTGCCTGTGTTGGGAGATACGGCCAGTATGTCTGGCGTGATCTGTGCTAGGACTTGTTCTGAAGTCTCTGGATGATCTATACCATAAGGTATGTGAAGGCTGACACGTGGGTGGGCTTCGACGTCCAGCGAGACAGGGTTACGTCAGTGCCATAACACATTTGGGTGTTGAACAACCTGGAACCCCCAGAGCGAGCTGCAGCCCCACAAGGCGGATCTGCTGGGTACTGTACGTACCGACGTAGCGCGTGCAGGCAGGCAGGGGTTGACTGCGCTGCTCTCCATTCTCGGGCGCAGGCGATTTTGGCACCTTTCTTCATGCTCATTCCCATCCACCAACGTCACTCGTCTACCCGCCATCCTTTGTGGCGGCCTCTCTGCGTTCAAGATCGCACCGGAAAATGACGAGATAATACAGCCATCTGCCTTGACAACCAACTACCCATTTCGAGTACTGCGGCACCACAATTTCGCAGGAACCCCAGGCAGTTGCCGCCACGATGGAGTCCACAGAGACGGCCTCTGAGGCACCAGCGCAGCCACAGGTCGTATTCCGCGGCAAGAAGAGAAAAGCCTATCGCCAGCGCGCCGACGCTGCGGAACAGCCAAGCCGCGAGCCAGACAGCATTCACAACACAGATGCGGCTGCACCAGAAACGGCAAGCTCGACACCCGCGCCCACCGAATTGAAAGACACAGACTCTGCGGCGGAAGACAAAGACCTGTCAGTAGCAGAACTCCTGCGACGCCGCAATGCGCGCAAAGCGCGCCTCGGGGGCGTCACGTTCGGCAGCGAGGCAGCCTCCCGTGGGGATGATGGTTCTGGAGCTGCAGCGGAAGCCATGGGCGACGACGACCTGAGCCTGATGATCCGAGAGGAAGAGAACAAGATGCAAGACGCGACGGCGGCCGCTCAGAGGCGTTTTGTCCACCAGACCGGTCTGTCCCGGGAGGTGACCAACAAGCACATGTGAGTATGCCGGCTTTGGGTGTCCGATTTTGTTAAGCAGGCATGTTACTGACGTGGGAAGGACGGATTTCATAGAAGCGCAGCTAGCGAGGCGGTACACTTCTTCGCAGGCCGGGTCCGGGGCCAGTTCAGCTGGCGCATCGGTTGATGGTGCCCAGTCTGACGGGCTATCGTTCACGCATGCGCCCGTCAATCCGGCAAAGCGGGAGAAACATACCGCACTCCACGGCAAGATCATTGAGATCGACCTTGGAGACGAGGTGCGTGCCCGAAACGAGGCGCTGACGGAACGCGCACGTCGTCAGGCTGCTGGTGAGGCCTTGGAGGACAGCCAAGGTGAAGGTCCGTCCAAGAAGGTCAGGCTTGGTCGCGATGGCAAACCTTGGCGACCGCGGAATCGGCGGGGAAGTGACGCCATTGCGCGAGACCAGCTTGTGGAGGAGCTCATGCGTGAAAACAGAGGTATGTACATGGCGCCGTAGAGTCTCTGCTGGCACGAGACGTGACTGGTCGACTAACATTGTGCTTGCAGTGGACAATTTCGAGAAGCCGGTGTCTGTGGGGGATCAGTATAGTCACAACGATGACGACGAGATGGGTGCCGACGAGCGCATTGCAGAGGAATTCAAGCGCGACTTCCTGGAGGCCATGTCCCAGCGACGCCAAGCGCGGAAGAGGACGGTGCCCACCAATGCACCGCGGCCTGGACCCAAGAGACCTGATGGCGAAGTGCTCAAGGGCCCGAAGTTAGGTGGCAGCCGCAATGCGAGGGCAGCGATGCGCGACATATTGCTCAAGCAGCAAGAAGCTGCGAAGAAGGGATAGAAGTTGTGTCTGGTCCCCGGGGGCGGGCTGGCGCTCGGCTGACGGGGGTTTTATCCCGGAACTGGCAACAGCCTTTGAAAATGCACCAAGTGTATATATATATACCTATTCATGTCTATATGCACACATATGTCTGCCATGACTTTGAGAGAGTACTGAGGTTCAGATGTCGATGGCTCGAGCCAAGGCCTTCAAAGGGTATGGCTTGACTATCCACACGGGCTGACGGATGCTACACTACGGACCTACACCAGCATGTGCCAGGCTCCCTGTCCAGTCCAGCCTCCAGAATTGAGATGGCAGCGGCCGCCAGGGTCGCGCTAACCTTTAGGCGGCCGACTTTCTGGGGCACCCCCACCTGCGCCTTCCCACCCCGGCACTGGCGAGATCTTATCGACCTTTTTTTGTCCCATTTTTCCGAGCTCGTCGCAAACCCTCCAACTTTTCGGCGGCTTCTGATCGCCGCCACATCTTGGCTGCTGACATAGAGAGCATCACAGCTTGCGGAAACCCACGCAATCGCATACTGCCAGGCAGTTCCTCGCCACGGACTCAACTGGCGCCGGCTCCCCCGCGACCAGACGCAGAGCCATCTCCTGCGACCGTTCCGGCCGCCGCCGCCGTCTCATCTCTAAGCACCCTCGCCGCGTCGTGGTCACATCGTGCCTGCCTGCAACCGAATTCCTCCACACGAGCTCCCCTCTCCCTTCGCGCGTCGGCCATGCGCCACGCCCTTGGACGCGAATCTCACGATGGACGACAATGAGCATCCTCCGCAGGACGACCCCCTGACCGACCAGGAGGCGCTCGCTGCCCTCATCAACAACGCCTCCGAGTCCGTTCTCGGTGAGATCCACCAGAGCCTCGCCAACCTCGCCAATGCGGAGAACCCTCTTCACGCCGACTTTACCCTACCGCAGTTTGACGTCAGCGATGTTCCTGGCCTGAGCGACCACAATGGCGCCGGCGTGGATCTCTCACACGGGCTTGTTGGAGACCTGCAGGCTGACCTTTCGGCGCACCTCCACGACGACCTCTCACATGGCCTCTCGCAAGACTTGTCAAATTCCCTGTCTCATGACATCAGCGCAGACTTGAAATACGAGCTGCCGCCAGATTTGATGGCCCAGATCCACGTTCCCACCGTTACGACAGACTTGCAGTCCTCCATCCCGGCGCAGGCGCACATCCCCACGCCAGACCTGCTTCCCTCCGAGCCAGCCAAAATTGAGCCAACCCACAACGACTCTTCTACCGCTAGCGACGGGAGCCTGAAGCGCTCGGCACCCCACGATGAGGAGGATGAGGGCTGGGAGACTGTAGACCGAAGGTCAAAGAAACTCAAGAAGCCAAAGAAGGTGCCTCCCAAGGACTCGTCGAATTACCCGTCCATCACATTCAACTACAACGCGAAATTACAGTCCAAGATCGCACTTGACCACCTCCGGAATCTGATCCTGTACATCTTCGCCGAAGGTGTGGCGCCGCAGTGGGTGTCAATATCTCACCGGCCACAGTTCCGCAAGCTGGTCGCCATCATGGTGCCTGGGCTCGAGGAGGCGATGTTCAAGCAGGACGTAGACTTCTCAACGTATAACGATGTAGCCGCGAATGTGGGCCAATCGCGGGTACTCACGTCCCCTGACGATTACTACCCACGGCTTCTGAAAAAGGACGAGCTTCCTGACATTCTCAAAGACTTTGCGGACATGTTCCCACACCTCTGGCCTGTCAGGACACCGGGCAGCGAGAAGTTCGGCACGATGCGTTCACCTATGGGCACAATGCTCACAGCACCAGCGGAGCAGTCAAAGGAAGACAAACGCGCCAAGGGTGTCCAGCATGCCAAAGAGCCCAGAGGGTGGAAAGATGACAGGACACGGGTCACCGAGTTCCTGACAATGGCGGAGGACTTTCAGTCGAACGGCTACGTCTTGCATCCGGCCTGCCTACCGGCAGACCGGAGGCAAGATTTCCAGCCATTACCTGGGTGGGTGTACACAAGGATCAACAGCTTGGAAGACGGCGATGTGCCCGAGGAGCACATTCAGCAAGGAAGCATCACTGCGGGCAGGACAATCCTCGCGCTCGACTGTGAAATGTGTGTCACCGGACCGGACGAGTACTCCCTCACGAGGATCAGTCTTGTGAATTGGGACGGCTCTATCGTCATGGACGAGCTAGTCAAGCCAGACAAGCCCATCATCGACTATGTCACGCGGTTTTCTGGCATCACAGAAGAGATGCTTGCACCAGTCACAACCACTTTGGTAGACATCCAAACGAAGCTTCTCGACATATTACATCAGCACACCATCTTAATAGGGCACTCGCTGGATTCGGATCTCAAGGCTCTGAGGCTGTCACATCCTTTTGTCATCGACACCGCCATTATATACCCCCACGCCAGAGGACCGCCACTGAAGAACAGCCTCAAATTCCTTACTCAGCGATTCCTGAAGCGTGAGATCCAAAAGGGTGCCGCCGGCCACGACTCGGTTGAGGACGCCAAGGCGTGCCTGGACCTGGTGCGGCAAAAGTGCGAAAAGGGCAAGTCCTGGGGCAACCACGAGTCGCAGGGCGAGAACCTCTTCCGGCGCCTGCACCGCACCGGCAAGGCGTACCGGGCCAATGGAGGTGCTGACGCGACGGGTGGGAAGGCAGTCGGCAAGACGAGCGCAATGGTGGACTGGGGCGACCCGATGAAGGGCGCCGGCGCCGCCAGCACGTTCCCTATAGGCTGCCAGTCCGACGAAGACGTTGTCAACGGCATCAGCCGCGCCGTGCATGGAGATCCGGTCGCCGAGCGAATCCCAGCCGGCGGCGTCGACTTTGTCTTTGCCCGGTTCCGTGAGCTTGAGGCCTTCCAGGGGTGGTGGAATCGCAACCGTGAGATTGATGGCACTCCTTCATCAGCCCTGCAGCCACCCGACTTTTCGTCAATGAACGGCAATGGTATGACGCTTGAGACGTGCCTCCGCAACCTGGCGGCGCGGATCAAGCGCGTACACGATCTTCTCCCCCCTTGTACTGGTTTCATCGTGTTCAGCGGCTCCGGTGACCCCCGTGAGATGAGCCGCCTCCAGGCCATGCAGGCGCAGTTCAAGAAGGAGTACAACACGCCCGGGAATAAGTGGGACGAACTGACGGTCAAGTGGACGGACCGCGAAGACCAGGCGCTGAAGAAGGCCGTCGGGGTCGCGCGCAACGGCATTGGCTTTATCGGTGTAAAATAAGGTGGCTGGCCCAAAGGCAGAGAACACGATTAGTATCTTTGGTGGCTCGTGGCCACATTGTCAGCCTATAATTTAGCAGAACCGAAAACAGAAAGGATAGGGGGGAGGGGGCAACACATATAAATGTCACAGCCTCGTCGGAACATGAAATTTTGCTTACATGGCGGAAGCAAACCAAAAGTCGGAAAGACGTGGCAGAAGTAATCCAGAGGAGAGAGAGAGGGAAAAAAAAAAAAAAAAGGAAAGATACCAGGCCCGGGACAGGCAAGCGAAATAATACGATACGCGCCGACTTGCGCTCAATACTTTGCTTCGTTGTTTGTGTATTATTGTTTTTGGTCCTTCACCATGGACGGTTGTCCGTTGCGTGACTTTGATCAACATATTTTGAAGCTTCGGCTCGCAAGCAACCTGCACTCTTCTTATATTCTTGGATTGATTGGACATAAGATGGGTTTACTCAAAAGACTGCTAAACTGCTACCAAGGCAGGCAGGCAGGCAGGCAGGCAGGCCATGGCACTCCTCCGAACCTGGAAAGAGAAAGGTCAGACTCCCAATGCCTAGTAGATAGTAAATGATTTTTTTTCTTCTCGGGATATATACAGCTTCACCCAAATTCCCCTCCATGCATGTATGCATCCAAAGGCCGAGAAGAAATACTTCATGACCACAGCCCGTCCGCGCAGACATATGTGTCTTCACTCTCTCACTCTCTCACACACACACACATACAAACTTGCACATATATACTCTCGCTTCCTTCAACCGGACCCGCTAGAACTCGACATCGCCCCGGAAGATCTCCGGGTCGACGCCCGTGACGACCTTGTCGGCGAGGTCGCGCCTGCCCATGCCGCCAAACACGCGCCGCAGCGTCTCGTACAGGTTGGTGCTGCGGTTCTGGGCCATCATCGAGTCGAGCTGGGCGTCGCTCACGTCGCCGCCGAGGAGCTCGCGGGCCTTCTCGCGGCCCTCCTTCTCCACCATCTTGTGCATGTTGAGCGCCGCGAGCAGGTGGCCCGCGGCCTCCTGGTGGCAGCCCATGTTGATGCAGCTCACGCCGAGGTTGTACCTGGCGCGCACAAAGTTGGGCCGCAGGGTCAGGGCCTTTTCGTAGGCCGCGATGGCGTCCTCGCTCTTGCCGCTGTTGGCGAGCGTCGCGCCGAGCCGGTTCCACAGGAGGTGGATCTGACTGCGCTTGTTGACGGCGCCGAGCTCGGACGAGGCCAGCGCCGCCGAGAAGCAGTCGACCGCCTTCTCGTACTCCTCGGCGCCGTAGAACAGAACGCCTAGGCCGACCTGGACGTCCGGGTCCATGTGCTCGCCATCCGGGCTCAGCCGGGCGGCTTCGATGAAGAGCTTTGTGACCTTGTCGTGCAGCACCTGCCGTTCCGTGAAGCCGAGCTCGTTGGCCGGCGTCAGGTCCGCTGGGGATACGATTGAAGGATATCTGACCGACAGCCAGCGCTCTAGTGTCCTGTACGCAGTGCTGTCGTAGCCCTCATTCGTGTAAGAGACTGCCAGAGTCATCAGGGCCTCGCTGTTGTTGGGGTCGAGCTGCCTCGCCTGTTCCAGCGCCCGGATGGCCGCCGTCTCCTTCTCGTTCTGTGCTTGGACCGTACCCAGCTGCACCCAGGCCTCTACGTGCGAGGGCTCCTTCTGCACCGCGGCCTCGAAGGCGAGTGCCGCGAGTGAGAGGTTGCCGCCCTCCTCGACTATCCGCAGACCCTCCTCGAACGGGTTCGTCATGTCCTTGAATAGGTTGTCCTCCTCAAACAGGTAGTTGTCGACCTGCGGGTCGCCGATCAGCCGGTTGTTGGTGGTCAGGCCGTCCCAGTTCATGCCGTTTGCCCACTCCTGGTTCTCAAACTGGTCCACCCACTCGTCCTCATCGAGCACCTCCTGTGCGGCGGCCCGCTCGGCCTGGATGCCCTTCCATATCGAGTCGAGATCGCCATAGTTGGTCTCGCTGTCGTGCAGCTGCTCGTCCATCTTGTTGAGCTCGGGCTCCATGGCGCGCGCGGCCTCGGCGTCGAGGTCCTGCTGCTTGTCCTGCAGCTCGAGCTGCTTGAACTGCTCCTCCCACTGCTTGTCGTCGAGCTCGACGAGCTTGCCTTTGCCCTTGCCCTCGTCCATCTGCTGGTGGTGCGAGTGCTGCCGGTGGAACATGGGCTGCTGGGCATACATTCCGCCGCCCATGCCGCCGTAGCCCATGCCCATCATGCCGCCGTAGCTGCCCATCATGGGGTTCTGGAGGCCCATGGCCGTCGGCATGGGGCTGGCTCTCGACGAGGTGGCCTGGTGGGCACTCATCTGCTGGAACTTGGCGTAGTCGTCGGGGCTGAACTGGGTGCCTTGGGGCACCTTGAAGGCTGCCTCCATGGCAGCCTGGGGGTTGTGTTGGAACTCGGCGGCCCAGGCGGGGGAGGCGTTGTTGGCACGCATGTGGACGCCTTGCGAAGGGTGGTCGAGGCGGATCTGGTTCATGCCCTCGGCGGGCATGCTGGGGAGCTGGCCATTTTGCTGCATGAAGGCGTTCATCATCTGTTTGCAAGACCTGGTGTCAGTAACGGGTCTCGGTAGTAGTGGTGGCGGTGGACAGGAGGGTGAGGTCCGGCAAAGAGACTGACCTCGTCCTGGGGGCCGTGCTGGGCAGCGCTGCGGAAGCCGCCCATTCCGCCTTGGGGCGTGCCATTGCGTAGGCGGTCTCTCTGGAGGCTGTTGTCATCTTGTGTATGCTTGGCGAACTGGCTCAGGGGGTTGCCGGCGGTCGAGCACTCGGCACCTCCCATGAACGACATGGCGGGCGGCGGCGGCAAGTGTCTGTAGAGGTGGGAGCCGAGGGGAGACCTTTTGGAGGAGGATCAGGATGGATACGCGATGGCCGGGCTGGTGGTTCGTCGGTGCCGCGTGCGCAGTGATGTAGGGTAAAGGCTAAGTAGACGTAAGGCAGGAAATGATGCGGTGCGGAGGAGGAGGCGAGCCAGATGTGGAGGGCCGGTGGTAGATGTACAGGAACGGGCCTCGGCGCGCTGTGCTGGTGGGGGAACTCTCTGCCGAAGCGCGGGGACCCCCGGACGCCGGAGCCCTCCAGGGCTGCCCTGCCCTGCTCTGCTTCTCCGCAACCGACTTTTTGTGTTGCCCCAGCAGCCTCTGTCGCCTGCTCGCGGACAAGGCTTTTTATTTTTTCTGTCTTGTAGAGGGCTGCCTTTCAGTCACCAGAGTCTCTGCATTGCTCACTGGTCGTCACAGTCAAGTAGTGGATGCTTTGAGCGCAACGTCCCCCCTATGTACCCTCACGTACACAAGATCACCACTTAGAAGCTGATTACCAAGCCTTCCAGGGCCACAACAGGTGGAGAAAGCCGAGGGTCGACGGGCTGCACCGCCTTGGGCTATCAATCGTGGCCATGGTCAACAGAAATGTCAGGCTCTTCTCGTCCACATCTTTTGTGCGTGTCAGAGAATTGTAGAAATGTGATTCCGAGATTTTGACGTGAATGACAAGGAAGACTTGGGTATCAGGCGAGCGGGAGGATGGAAGAGGCGACTTCTAACGTGTTGGGGTTCCGTGATGTGACAAGAGGCTGCACATGTGAACCCATTACGGGTTGTTCTTACCGATCACAGAACTTCCAAAAGCACTCTGAATCTCCGCTCTTTGCCTTGCCCGTCACATTTCAGTCCCTCGAGCTGACACTGTTGCTTTTTCAAATCATAAAATTTTCCTTCGTTACATAAAATAAGTCTGATAAAAGTACATGGGGATAGTAGTAAAGCCTGCTGCCAGCGTCCGGAACGCCGGCCGCCATGCTCCTCCAGCAGAGCCAGCTGGCCATTTCTTTTCCGGGGATTGTTCTCGTGATAGATTTATACAATGTCGCACCTCGCTCTACAATGTACACGCAGCATCCTGCACGCACTGCTCCTGACCGCCCCACGTCTGACGTTGAGGCAATGCCATCAACACCGTTTAGAAGCTCGCCTCGCTGTCTTCCGCGGGGGCGGCGGAGGAGGAGGAAGAGGAGGAGCGTGAGCCCTTCTTCGGTGTGTTTTGGGTGGTGTAGTCGGCGCGAAGCACGCGGGCGCCCATCTGGCGGGTGTTGATCTTCTCCATGGCAGCAGTGGCGGCCTCGACGGACTCAAAGTCGGCGTGGGCAAAGCCACGGGGCCAGCCAGTGTTGCGGTCAATGGCGACACGGACAGCCGTGAGGCCTTCGAGCTCGTTGAAGAGGGCGTTCAGGTCCGCGTCTGACGTCTCGTAGGGGATGTTGCCAATGTACAGATAGTTCGAGGGAGTGCTCTCGGGGCGGCCGGCAGGCTTGGCACGCTGCTCCTCGGTCTGCCGGCGAGGCTGAACCAAGATGCGGCGGCCGTGCCAGAAGGACTGGTTGGCACCCTCGACGGCGGCCTCAACGGCGGCTTCGTCCTGGAAGTTTACAAAGCCGAACCTGTGCAACAAAAAAGACAAGACCTTGTTAGTGGTTGCGTCCCCATCGATGCTCAATAGCCGGCGGTGGAATGGTGGTTCAGATGGCTTACCCTCTGGCAGACCCGCGACCGTCGCGGGGGATGGTGATGCTGAGGATATCGCCGTACTTGCTGAAGGCCTCGTGCAGGTGTGTCTCGGTCGCGTCATAGGACATGTTGCCAATGAAGACGGTGTGTCCCTTCCTCACAGTCTCGACCTTGGCCTGGACGGAGCCCGGGGCCTCCTCAGCGACAGGGGCGGACCGGGAGAAGGCGCGGGCGAGCAGGAAGCTTGTGGTAGGTCTCAGGTTCTGCTTGCTGATCTGGATGGCGAAGGAGGCGACCTGCTGTCTGGGGACAGCCATGGCCCGCTGGGACGAGCATGCTGCCCGGAGAGCTGCGCGGCGGAAGGACTGCCTGTTTCGTGGGAGTATGGGTTAGCCAGCCGGACTAGTGCTTGGGGTCTGATTGGCAATGCTGCAAAGGCATTCGAGTGACAGCATCAATAGCTGAGCACGTACATTGTGTGAATATGTGCTGTTCTGAGATACGGCGAGTGATTGAAAATGAGACTGCTGGCTGTGTGAAGCGCCGGAGTTGATGCGTGGAAAAATGCGTCTCTAGATGTTGCTGGTGGTAGGTCTGGCACAGGAATCGAAAATTTCCAGCACCAAAGGGCTTGCGACAGCTCCCCGGCCCGCCCGCCTACAAGCCATGCTGGAAGTGCTTGGGGCGCGCTTCTGGGCGAAAAGGCGGACAAGCATAACGGCGCTAGTCCCACAGTGGGTCTAGTCTGCCGTCTATCTTATCGTCGGTTAGCATTCATCTTCTGGGCCATGAATGATCCAGACATTCCCTGGGCGCGGGGAAGCGCATCTTCCGTCTCTTGGAGGCAATTAAAATCTTCTTCCCAAGACTTGAATATATTCCAAGGGCTCGTCGTCCTGTCATGACTCTGTCGTATGGAAAGGGTACCAGGCCCAGATACTCTGTGATTGTCGCTTAAGCCCCGGCTTGGATAGCACCAAAGGATGGCTATGTCCTTAAACGTAAACGCCAACACGGTCAAAGACTTCAGAGCACAGCATCACATTCGACTGTGTCCTGGAAGCGCCATCGTCAGCACGTGTGCGAGGTAGACAATCACCAGTCTCAAGCACCCTCACTGAGAAATTCCTGAATACTGACACTTTGGATATCTTAAAAACAACAGTGGTATTCAACATTCCCATGCCCCAAAGTCAATTCCCTTGACAGTTTTTTTTTGGCCCATCCAACAAGTGACACCTTGGTACCGTCCTTCCAAGCCCCTGGGGGTCCAACGCCAATTAAGATCCAAACACATAGAACAAGACAGAACGCAAAGGTCTACCCACACAAACCCCGTGCCTCGGGGGCAACTCGCCACGTCGCAGGTACTCTGTACAGAAGCCTCCCATGGCTTCGTAACAGCACACACAAAAGAAAACCAAGAAAACCAACATTATCCGAGGACTTATCAGCCACGCAGATCGATGTCAGGATCAAAATGTAGCCTACTGGCTTTCGGGCCTTTGCAACACGTGTTTGGCCTCGTCAAAGCATATCCCTTAGATATGTTACACCGCGGCCAAGGCCAATGCCATTTGCTGCGGAAGAGGATTACGAGATGAATCTCTCGCACAATGCCAGAAAGATGAAAATGGAAGTGGTGGCACAAGAAGCAGTGATGATTCTAAAAAGCTCGTGTGAGACGAGCATTGCGGCAGGTGCTATGTCGTAACGCCGCACACGAAATATTGCGAGAGGCTGGGTCCACGAGAAAGGGAGCAGGTTCGACTCGCCATAAAGAAAGAAAAGTAGTTTCGACCGCGGTTGCATCGCCCGCAACATTCCGTATTGATGGTTTGGGCACTTCCGAGGTGAAAAAAATGGGTATCATGTCCATGAAAGTCAAAGTGAAGAAAGGGTGACTGCTCCGTGAAGAGACAGCAAGGGAACCTGCTTGCCATGCGAGCCCGTAGCGCAATTGGCTCAGTATCTGTCAGGCCGGTACCCATTGGTCCTCTGGGCATCATACTGGACCCCGGTCATCGAGTCAGATTGGCTTGGAATGTTACCACTGAGTGCTCGAAGTGGTGGTAGCTCGGGGCGCGAGTTTCTTCCGTAAGGATCGGACGCGTATGGGTCTGCTGATGGTTGCGGCGGAGCCTGGTGAGTTGGCGAAGTCTGGGCCTGCGGGGTGCCGTTCATGCCGTTGCGCAGCTGCGTGTTCTCCATGCGAAGCATCTCCAGCTCACGACGCATGTTCTCGGCCTCCTGGATCACTGTGTTACAGTGAGCAGATAGTTGCTTGATGGTGTCTGTGTGTCTCTGGTGCTCCGCAATCGCTGTTGAACATGTCAGCATTAGCCATTTCACACTGCACAATGAACCCCATAGTGCCGCCGAAGGGTGACAAACCTCGAGAAAGAATCTCCCACTTGGAAGCTTTTGATCCACGCTCCTGAGGCATGAGATCGCGAAGTTGATCGAACAGATCTTTCATCTCCGTTCTGCGCTTTCGCTCGGCGAGCTTGTGACTGATCCGCAGCTCAGGCGTCCGGCTGTATGGTTGGGCACCACCGTGAGGGCTCGACTCCTCACTGTGCAAGTCGGAAAGCTGCTTGTGCTGCAGGGAATGATGGTGCAGTGAAGGGTAATCTCCGGAAACATTCGACAAGCGCGGGAAATCCGGGCCATTACTCTCGTCCAGGCGTCGCTGGCCTGGAGGCAGGCGCGACTCTGTGGTGAATTGGCTGCTCGCGATTGACTCAGCCACGCTGCTTCTGCGCGAACCAATAAAGCTGGTTGTGGCAATGGACGACGGGACACGCTTGATTTCTTCTTCGGGGAACGCCCAAGCCTGGCCCTTGGTCGGCTCCGCCGCTCGGGCGATGTGACTTGTCGCGGGACCTGTGATCGCGGGGGCAGTGCGAGTAACCTTGGGGTGGCCGTCGGGGGTCCGGTCGATATTTGGCTGATAGCCGTTGGAGATTCTGTGTGAAGCCAGTTGATCAACGCCAGCGCGTGGGTTCCGCTGTTGTGCTAGCGTTCCCTGGATCGAGGTCGTGGAATGATTCTGGCTGGCATATGGTGAATTCCCGAGGCGCATGTCGCCAAAGTGCTGGTTCATTCTGCTGTCGACGCTCTCACGTCTGGATTCCGGGCCGAACGCACCGTTGCCGTTGAAGGCGCCAGACTCGATAGATTGGGGACGGTCGAGACGGCGATTGACTGGCAGGGTGGGGGAGACCATCGACGCTACGCTCATGTTGCCGGTTGGGGACGCAATCGGGACCAAGTTCGTGGTCGTGGGCGATGGGGTGGTATCGTGGACTGAATGGTAGACGTTGAGCCCAATGCTCGAGGCAGCTGAAGTGTCTGCTCACGGTCATGTCAGTAATGGTTCACGGAGGAAATGCACAAGCCATTGCACGCCGGGGAACAGTCTTACGTTTGCTCGAAGCATCAGTGCTCGAGAAATAGGCGGAGTCGCGCGTCTCTTCGGGGGCATTGAGCACGCCAGCGAGTCCAGAAGGGAGCTTCTGATGCGCGAAACCCTGGTGATCGGTGCCCATGACTGCGGTTGTGGGACGCAACTGAGTCCCAGGTGGGTTGGAAGTGATCAAGAGGCGAGATCTCGAGGCTAGCTTTGCCTCCTTGGACTCAGCAAGAAGTTGGGTCCCGAGTATATGGTGGGCGAAGTCCTGCTGAGTGCACACTGAACCTGCTGTCCCTTGACGAGTTGCCGGGTGCGAAAGTCCTGCAGGCGTTGGACTCCGTCGTCGATGCCAGTGTGGGCTCTGGGGCACGGCCGTGAAGTCAGGGTCCAATGACCTGGCAGGTGCTGTACGATGCGCCCTGGGCAAGACCGAAGAGAAACTCCACGGGGCTGAGCAGACGACTGGGACTCTCTGATTCCCTGGTGGGAGTGCGCGGAGCCAGTGGATGTGGCCAGGAGCAGCAGTGCAGTAGTCGTTGGGGAAGGATGGAAAGGGAGTGCTGAAACGCCCCAGGAGAGGGACTGTCGACTGTTGTAGCGGGACGAGTATGTATCGGGACAAAGACCAGTGCCTTGCGAGACCAGAATCAAAGCCAGACGGACGTGGTGGAGAGGAGGGAGTCGCCGGGGAGAGGTGGTGGTGGTAAGTTGGGGCCGGCCGAGACGATGATCGACGACCTCCTAGCGCAGCGTGGAGCGGAGCCTGGGAGACGGACGGCGCTGAGAGGCACAATGACCGGGCGCTTTGCTTTTGTGCCAGGTTAGGAGTCTGGACCCCCGACGAGCAGAGGCTGGCAGTGTATCTGGCTGTCTGTCCGTGAACTGAAGCGACTCAGGCAGGAGACAGACACACATATGATGGGGCCGGGCGGGCAAATGCAGTGAGCGGCGTGCAAGGCTTTGGGCGGGCACGCCAAGTGGAAGCGCAGCAGCCACTGCTAGCTGTCGCCTTGGGGGCAGGGGATCTTGTGTAGCGCGTGTCCCGGGGAATAGCGTGCGTGCCGCCCCTGCAAGCGTGCCGCAGGGTTTGGGCGTGTGCGTGTGGTTGAACGACGCCCCTGCCGCACGGTACCGAGCCAAATGCCCGCACAGTCTGGGTACAGCAGGCCAGGTGGCCAGGGTGGATCGAGGCGGCCCCGGAGGGGGATTGGGCAAAAATAAAGCTCCAGGGGGACCCCCCCCTTTCGGTGAGAGAAGGGATCCCTGGGGGGCCTGTGTGAGCGGCGAGCTGTAGTACTCGCGGGGAACTGTGCTCTGGGCGACGGATGGAGATTGGGACCGCCGTGTAGCACGAGGGGGAGCAGCGGGCGGGATGCAGCTCTGGCGTGACAAAAGCCTGGCCTGGGAAGGGGGGCGGGCACCCAAAGACACTTTGCACACGGTCCGTCGTCCCATCCATCCATCCATCCATCCATCCACGTCGAGCTACTTGCTTGCAGGAGCAGGCCCCGAAGAGGAGCAGATGCAGCGCTGCCGCATGGCAGCCCGCGTGCCAGATCCCTACCCTCGTGCTCGACTCTCTCCCGCCCGGCCCTTCCCCGTCCAGCCTTGACCGGTAGTTGGCACCCTCGCGACAGCACCGCCTCCAGCAAGCAGGGCCGACGGCCGTGGGACGGCCCAAGTGCTACCCGTCCCCCTCTCTCTCTCGTGGCATGCACGGGCGGCCCGAGGGATGCACGCGGGAGACGCTTGACCTGGGTGACACCACCCAGAGACACACCTGGCCACCAACTGCTGCTGTGCTGCCGTGCGGATGAGGCTCGAGGCGCAGGCTGTCGACTGGCGCCCGGCTACGGCCGAGCACGGGGCATGTGGGTGTGGCTCTCGAGCCGGTTAGCGCCATGCAGCTGCGCCGGGCACAGCAGCCAGTGCAGCGCCTGTCGTGGTTCTTCTTCCATGTGGCCGCCAGGATGTTAGCCACGCCGGTTGCCACTCTGCTCGCGGCGCAACGTGTGCTGTGGAGTCCGCCACGGGCCGTCGATCAAAGTCTGATCTCACCTGGCTGCCACACATGTGCTGGCAGCTTACCTAATTGGCAAGATCGGCGGGATGGGCATCTCGACGACTTGCTGACGGACGGTGGTGCAGCCAGCCAGCACATGCGATTTCCGCCCCCAGCCAGCTTGGGGGTCTGGTTTGCCCCTCAGGTGATGTTGTTTCCGACCCCATGACGGCTTGGGGGCAGCCTGACCACGGAAGCCATCCGTGTCGCCTGCTGATGCCGCTGCTGCTGCTGCTGAGATTTCGCAGCGAGCGACAGTGCGGTGCTAGACATGCATGTTTGTGGCCGAAACTGTGGCTTGGGAGACAATTGTCGCCATTGGCCGCTCCATCTCACGTCGAGCCTCATGGGCATGCCAAGCAGCTACACACCTGCGAAGTTAATACTTGGTGCGCGTGCACAAGGAGCAGCTCTGGGGTGCAGTGCAGAAAAGGTAAGGTTTGGCGATGGTGATGGTGATGGACCTTGTTGCGAGCCGTGCCTTGCCGCTTCATACAAGTACCTTCTTAACAGGTGCGACCGCGGCCAGGGGCAGGCGCCTTGTCACACAGAATGCCGGGGCCTCTTGACAACGCACCGAGACAAACTGCGGGTGCTCTGTGGTGGGTGGCCCAGGCCGGCCCTCCAAACCATACGTCAATGCAGCCAGTGTCGTGTTCCAGCTCCTCGGCCATTCCCCTCTGTCAATCAAATTCAAAGCACCTTGGGCCTTTCATTCCTCGATAACATTCAGGTGGCTTCTGAGCGAGCCTTGGTCACCGTAAACCCTCCATCGGCCTCGCCAGGCCCCAGCCGCTTTCCAGTTAGCCTGCCCGCCACGGCTGCGGCCATGAACACTATTATTCACTTCGCGGCGGCCTCGACGACACCCACAATGCCTCGATCCGACCTCTGCAGTCCTTTAAGCCCTGGCCCATAACACACTAAGCCGCAAACGAGCATTGCACTTCTGGACCACGTGTAGCGTAATTACACCAATGTATGCCCCCAGCATTGAAACAAACAACACCAGCCACGGGTCTCTGTCCCGAGCAACGTTGCCTTCGGGCGGCTTGTCGCTAGGTGCCGGTCCCCAGCGGCTCATGCAGGGGCATGCCCGTCTTCACAATCAGCCTAACTCTTGGTGCGATAGTTTGGACAACCCATGTTGCGCCGTAGTCGCTAATTACCTTGTAGACAACGAGAAAGAAGAAAACCCCCAGCCCCCGCCCACACCGGGCCCGCCTAACTCTCGTCACAAATCCACGTGGCCAAACCAACCGTGGACACGGCACGGCTTAAGTGTCACCGGAATGGCAGAGTCCACTCCCAAAGCTGTGCCGTGAGGAGCAGGGCTTTTGGTATTGTCCTCCGCAACGATTCGCGGCATCCAAGTCGTCCCTGGCCCTCCCAGCCGATTCATCTTGGCCTCGCCAATATCATCGACAATCACCACTCCTCGTTCTTGTTTTTATGTCCCGCCTGGTTGCCTCATACAACAGTCTGGAGAAAGGGAATCATGCTTATACACCACTCCCAGCAATGGTGGTTCACGAGGAGATGAGCGAGCATGTGAATTCGCCGGGTACAATCTCCCTAGTACACGAACATGCCACCAGTCTCGAGGCTTGCCACTGTGCCCATGTGATAGTAAACCGGTCTTCAGTTTGTCCCGGCCGGTGGTCAAAATTGGAGACACCAACACGACGGCTCCTTTAAGCAGCATTGAGCTCACAGGATGGTTCGCGACTTTTCCGCATTCCGAAAGAATCTTGCTGCCGCAACCGGGCTTTTTCCCGTTCAATAGATGTTGTCCATCCAGATCTCCTCGTCGCTCTCGACAAGGCGTGGTAATTATCCCTTGACACAGTACCAACACCTCCAGCGAGACGCATCCGGCTTCAACGACCCTGCCCCGCGTGAATGCAATCACCAGGCTCGGCAGGGTTGTGGAGGGGCACAACTCTAATCAATCCTTGTGCTTACGCTAAGAGAGTTCACCCCGTACGAATTAACAGACTATGCTAATGAGGCCCAAATCGCTGCTCAAGCACACAATTGAGCCTCCTGGTCAAACTGCCTGTTGCAGATCATGTCACGCCGGAACCCCATGCCGTAAGGCCGAGACATCGAGCAGTCGATCCCCACGTGCTGCGTTGAAAGGCAAAGTACCTACAGCATGGTACCGCAGATCTTGCAGGCCTTGCCCACTCTGGAGCTCCGGAATTTCAAGGCAGGCTGACTTCGATACCACGATGCAGACCTGATGGCTTCACGTCTCTGCCAACACCGCATACGATTGACAATCCTCCCTTTAAGGGGTTACGTCTTCCTGAGCACAAACGAGGCAGTGGACTTATTATCACTTATTATACCTCGGGTTGCGCAGGGCATCTAGGAACCTTCTGTGGGCAGATGGGGGGTTCATCCTTCAAGCAACAGCGCTGTACCGCAAGGGGCGGATGGACCCATGCTTTTTGCGCACCCCTCTTTGTCTTAGCCGCGCCCAAAATGGTTGCGGACATGGATACGACCACGTGCTTTCAGGACCTGGGACTGACATGGAGAGCCCGCGGCCGCCTCCATCGATTGACTGGCCCGCAACGAACGCATGCTGCTGGTTAGTAGCACGCCGAATCGGCGTTCGTGGCCTAGCTCAGGTCCGATGCATAGTTGCCCCCGTGATGCTCGACGACTGCTTGACACCACAGCCACAAGCGCGCACACGCGTAGAGTCAATCAAGAATCTGAATAGCATGGGCATCACGGCAGCGCATTCGTAGGCGCCCTAGGGGACGACTGGACTTCACCTGTAAGCGAAGCCGCCCTCCATGCAGCCTGGAATGCTGCACTTTTTAGTTCATACCGGGTACACCCTTGCTGCAAAGGTTCCCTGCTGACAAGCCACGGACTTTAACCACTGGCGATTCATCCCGGCCCAAATCTTGCACTGCGTAAAATAATTGGCAAGCGCGCATACCGGGCATTACAGTACGATTTCTTTGTCTCTGGCCGGGTTCCTGGCATCGCATATTCGAGGCCTTTCTGGTTAGGTCCCTCAAGGGGTTGTCGAGTTATTACCCACAGGGCCATGAGAGCCAATGACCAGAAACACATACCCTGAGCTTCATGGCCTGGTTCATAGGAGCTACGCTGCTTTCGGAACTGGTTGTCAAAGTAAGGCAGATAGACAATCACTCAGCCCTGTCGGCCTTCCAGTCCCAAGCTGGCAAAGCAAACCCACGAGAAGACCAATTACTGACAGGATCGGTAAACTACGTGGAGGCACGTGAAGGCGCACTTGCGTTCCGGCTGACCAAAGTCACAAATGATTACGCTTCTGCGGCCACGCAGTGGCTGCAGCCCGATGGTTCGGCATCAACCTGGGATGCCCAGCGTATGCTACAGCGAACAAGCACCCTGCCAAGCAGCCTTTTCTCCTGCCTAGCGGAGTCACCTCCTCCAGATCTCGCCAACAAGGAACTCACCACTGCCGGGCGCATAGAGATATCGCCGGTGAGCACGGCAAGTGAGGTTTCACCACCGTGCAGCGCATTGCCCGGTGGGGGTTCTTTGTCTCGAAAGCGTTCAGTCCTGAGACGGCTCGTCGTGGAGTATCTACTGCAGACTATAGTTCGAGACAGTCGAAAGCTGTATACCTATAGGATCAAGTCCCCATCAGGCTCAGGCACGGGCCGTGCATTGCTTGTGTGAGAACTGACATTCGACAAGCCGGTCGGGAGTGACGCATTGCGAAAATGACGGAGTCATCGCCCACGCAAGTGAGCGTCTCTTCTGACACAACCTCGCTCGCCACGCAGCTTGATCTCGGCCCCGGCCATGTGGGAACCGTCCACGCACGTCTGGGCCAGGGTTTGACGCGAAAGCGCTGAATAGACACTGGACTGGCCACCAGCAACAACAACAAGCCCTACCGCAAGGTAGATTTCACGACGGGGGGGCGAACATCACGGGCGAAAGCTTAATCCAAGCGGTGTCCCTTTTCCGGATCGTCGCGACCAATGAGCTCTCACGACCGGAGATGCAGCCCAGTCGAGAATGCCACGTGCCTCAACACATGTTCTCTGCAAGCTCCCTCCATTGAGTTCAGGCGAGCACTGGCTCTGCACTGATGTTTAATTCGACCGTGTCTGTGGGCACAACGTACAAACGCATACACGTTACTCGCCCACGCACGCACGTATTACTGTGCCAAAGTCCAGCCTGGCGAAGGGCGCGCGGGGACGGGGTGGATTGTGTGTCCTGGAGGCCGGCTAACGGGACGACCTCGGCCTCAACAACCCGGGGCTGGGCAATCTTCGGGATGAAATGACTCGAGAGGGAGGGGGCTCTAGCCCAAGGCCTAAAAAAGACGACAGCATCGCCATTGTCAGAACCCGCCACTAGAACCTCGGGCCCGAGACAGCCACGGCGGGAGCGCCCCCGACGTCCAGGCCCGTTCCTGTTTCCTAGCTGTAGTGTTAGTGGCGGCGGCGGCGGGAGCAGCAGCAGCAGGGCCGGTCTCACCGAATGTCACGTCCGCAATCATATGGTCTGGGAAAAGAGACGTTCGTAATTCTTCCAGTCGGGGCGCTTCGGTCTCATCGAGGAGCGCGGCAGCTCTGTTTGCCCGTTTTGTGTCATGCAGAGAGAGTTTGAGGCTTTAATTTTTCCCACCTCAGTAAAGACAAGCTACCTCTGTCCGTGTGGCGTAGGTCCTGATGGTGGTTGGCAGGTTCTGGGCCAAGCACTCGGCAACTGTCAATAGAGTCGGCCTTGCTGCACATACGGACAGAAACGCCGTCATTTGGGCCTGGAACCGGTTCCTGAATCTCGGGGACCTCCGAGACCGTCATCTGGTCGATATGCTCGGAGACTACTTGGACTTCTAGAGTATTTTTGACGACATTAGATGATTGCATGGGACTACTGTGCGACCAGCGCAGACTATGATGATCCACACACATGTATCATGCCACCTGCGAGGCGTTCAAGCATTTACCATAATCAGCCAGGTTATGGCGTGGGGGAAGAGGCCCGGGCAAAGATTCTCGGTATACCTCACGTCCATATGATAGGCCGTGTTTGGCAGGTGCCGAAGCCGGACACATGGGGGCCGGAATGCCAGATGCGGAAGCACAGCTTTTTCATCTTCGCTCATCGTTGGTCGAACAGGAGGATCGTGCCGGGTCAGGCACGACAGTGTCCCGTTTTTGTTGACAGGTATCAAAGCATTCACGCCCCACGAGTAGATGGTGTTGTAGCATAAGACGTGCAATCAAGAAAAGACAAAGACGGGGGAAGATTTCCTGTACAGAAGCAGGCAGCGGCCACGGCAACAGCATGTGCCGAGACATCGCGTGCTGTTGTTTTTCTCCTCATGCTAATTGCAATGCCATGCCTGTCTCTGCCCTTGTGTACTTAGGTATGTATATGTGTACGCCTCTCTCACACCCACAATCACCCACACAAAGCCTCTCCATTTCTGGTGTGAGTTTGAGTCTGACTCTGAGCCTGATCTGTTTGATTTGATACGTTCACGGAGAACTTACGGCCATGCGTTAACTTTCATTGCATTCTCATGGCTCGGCTGTACCACACACACATACACACATACATATTCAAATACTTCCTGGACGCCCAGGATGGCCTCCATGATTGGTTCGTCGACGACAAGAATGCCATGAGAGAGAGACTTGCGAAGAGAGACATGACCGTTTCTCCGATCAGGGCATGGCAATTTCCGGGACTCACTGGCATGCCTGGTCCGGCGACCCCATGGCGATCTGTGTGGAGACTTCGGCACACGGCAGTTCATGGGATTTACACGGGTACATGGGACCGGAGATTTCATGGCGTAAAAACATCCCGAGATGACTCGCACTTCGCTCCTTGGGGTGTGGAAGATTTCGGCAAAGATGTGTCGATATGATGACTTATGGGTGACCTTGGCTGTCATCATCATGTTCGGGGCAATCACGAGTCTGTGGAACTGTTTGTGGTCAGATCTTCACTCGACAGGGACAAGGTAAATGGCATAAAGGTTGGTGCAGAGAAGACATCAGCAAGCTGGCTTCGTCCCGCAGTATCCGATGGAAAAGAACCATCTAGACCTGCAGCATGGGAAATGAAGCTCTCCGCGATGCTGTTGTGAAAGGAGTCTGAGCAGGCGCCTGAAAGGCAGACCCAATGATATGGCCCCAAACGTTGTTCTTGGGGAAATTGAATAACCAAGGAGCAGCATGTCGAAAGGAAACCTGTCGGAGTAGTGGGGAAAACAGAGAAACCTTTGTCTCGGCGAGAAAGAAAAAGAAAAACCTGTTATTGCGCGTATGCAAGACATGCATCCCGGAAAAAAAAGGACTGAGACATTGCTGCATGGCCAGTCGGGGCTCGTGCTCTCTCTCATGTGCGCAAAAAGAGAGAGCACCACGTTCTCCCTCCCATGTGCTGTTGCGGCTCTCGCTCTGCCATGTGTTCGCGTGGTCTCCCGTCAAGGCATAAAACCAGAAAAAGAAAAGTGAGAAAAAAAAGAAAAGCAATGGTGATGTGGGTGCTCGCCGGGGCGCAAGGATCTTTATGCGCGGTTCGTCGGGATTTATGTGCCTTGCTAGCGTTTCTTTTGCTCCGGTCCCTGTTCTCTCTCTGGACCACCAGTTGTCTTGTCGTCCTCATTTCCGGATGGCAAGTCAAGGTCCCAACCACCACCCAGATCACTGCGTGAAGGCAAGGGTCACGAAAGTAGAGGTTGTGTCCATCAGGTTAAGCTCTTCTGCTGGCTCAGGGCCTCTTTTCATTCGCACGAGATCAGCCTGGTCCCTGCTGTACCACGTATCTTTGTTTTTGCGTTTGACCGGCCTCGTCTTTTGGGAGCATTTCAGAGCATGTGTCGCCACCACCACGTTCAATCAGCTCATGAACCGTATGAGGCAGGAGGTTCAGCGATGCAACACTAGACCAAGATCAGCGGCCATGTTCCCTCGATGACCCGCTGGCTTCTCGTGTGTCATTGATATCATCGCCTGTCCCGCCATACGACTCATGAAAGCGTCGGACTCATCGTGCTGGACAAGTCCGGCGAACGGAGACAAGTCCGGCGGAGCGTGACCCCTGGATGATCCGAGTCGATCGGAACTTGGCAGCACCATTGTCATGGATGCCTATGATGTACCGCACCAGACACGGAATAAGCAGTATTAGGAATGCGTTATCGTCCTGGCGATCGACTGGCCGGCGCTTCCGAGACATTCCATGGGTGCCCACCTACCGATGGCAGCATAGGTAAGCGAGTGCACGCCTCCATGGTTTCAAAGTTACCCACGAGGCAAAGAGTGAAGGCAAAAGGCGGCGGTGGCGGCGGCGGATGACATGACTTGATCGCTGCCATGCCGATACGTTATCAGGACAGAGCTTGGCGCCACGAGGAGGGCGGTGCGTACGCGAACGAGTCGTTCTGCGTCCGGCTCCGGAGCCAATGCTCCTTGTTTTGTCTGTAATATTTCACGTCTACTTGTTCGTCATTGACTTGGAAGTTGCTATGACTGGTAATCAGGGCTCGCTGACAGAAGGGGGCCTCTTTGTGGCTTCATGAAGCGCTGTCTAAACCTGAGGAACAACATCTTCTTCTCCTGGCACGAAGTGAGCGAGTGACGTGTCCTCCAGCAATCGTTGGGATGGACAAGTAAGCACAGCCCATCAATCTTTGGCCTCTTTGATTTGAGGCGGCAGCAGGATTCCAGGCCCTGGCATGGACGGTCTGGGCCCTCCCTTCTGATCGAGCCGGACTGCTCGATGGCGAAGAGCGAAAGCAGCTTCATCGACACAACACAGAGACTAGCGCTGCGGAGATATAGACATGAGCTCTTCATGCAGAGCGATCGAAACCTAATCTCATTTCCGCTGCAAGACTTGCATGCCCATGTGTAAATTTGGTGCGAGGACTCTCTCCACCCAGTGACACGCCTCGAACCACCGGTCTGGACTCGGGTCGCATATGAGCCAATCGATGGGTCGTGATGGTTCAAACCGGAGGCTTCTCCGTACAGTATGTACCTAATGCGGGGGCTAACGATCTCGGGATCGATGGGTGTGAGCCAAGTGAAGTCTTAGGATTGACGCCATTCATCAAAGGGTGAGCACTGTCGTTGTCGTTGCCGCGGCCCTGCTTGTTCGATCATCTGGACCCTAGATTCGAGATGCACAAGGCAGCCGAGGCCCAGACAACATTGCCATCGGACCATAGACTTGATGCAGCATCAACGATGCTTGAGTTGGTGCTCTCCTCTTGCAGCTTGTTTTCCTCGTCCGTGTTGCCATCACGCCAGCACCCTTTCGTTTGGTGTATCAAGCATGTGATGGCTTGACCGTAATCTTTCTGTAGGCATATTCAGAATTTTCTTGGCTCTATATCGGAAACAATTCGCGCATAAGAACCTGAAGACCAGACACAATGAAATAACAGCGACGAAACAGGAAAAGCAAGCCAAAGACTGCCCCTGACGACCGCATGTCACACTGTACGAGGATCGACATGCTTCTGAATGGCCAGCACCAGGCGGAACGGCCCGTATATTTGGAGTTTCGACCAACACCTTGAGACGTCCCGATCCGCATGTTACCGCTCACTCAACTCGGCGCACGCTGCAACCCGTGCTTGACAGTCGTGGGCTCATAGCATCCCTATTGCTTTTTTAGGTCCTTCGTGTGATTCCCTGTTATGATTTTGTTTTTGTTCCGCTCTGGATCCTCACCCCGCGGCTCTAGGCTTGTGGCTCGAGCTCCCATATCTCCTCAGCTGCCACGAATGTTCCATCTGCCAATTCTATCCCGCTGGATATGAACCCCCGCCCCTACACCGGTAAGGATCCCATGCATGAATGTGAACCAGCCCGGTGACGGAAGGTCCCTTGGCATTGCCCTGTTCCAGGTACCAGTGAAGGAAACCCAAGTGCCCGTAGTTCGGGGTTTGGATTCAGTCTCAGGTACTAGTCTTGCGCGATCATGGTCTCTGTAGGAGCCTTTTCTTTTTACGAGACTTAACGAATAGGACAGAGTCAGTGACTACCATACAATGATGCTGGGGAAAGGCCCTGACCCCTTGCAGTCAGAATTATCACCATGGGCAACCAGGTGAATGAAATGGACAGGCTCACAAACCGCCTTCGTAGGCTCCTAGCGTACTGTGCGATGTCCATTTCCATGAGCAAAAAGGAGTTCATTAGTCCTACCTACAAACGATCTGGTGCTTGTGTTGAAGATCATCACCCAGGAGCAAGCGTTTGCCTTGGAAAGCCGGCCAACACAGGTATGCATATACGCCCGCAGACGTCAAGACGAACGAAGCACGACGTTTGATGTCTATATACGTGTATGCTGAATTTCCCAAACCTGGCAACTGCTTCATCACAACTTCGACTTGACCTTGTCCCAAAGCCCAAACGTCTCGAGGTTGGCCGGACCGTTGTAGATGTCTCTCTCCACCATGGCCGTGTTGATCTGTTTTTTTGAATGGTGCGAAAGATCAGCAAGACTGCCACACCAAAGGCCAGGCTCCTCAGGAAGTTGAAGATGTGGCCTGCCCGAAACATGACCGACCGGTAGGGAAGACTTACATATTGCGGACCTAGTGACTTCACGTCTGGGGCGCCTAGAAGCCTCATGCACGTATCGACTTCTGCTTTCAGGACTATTTGCAAGAGGGTCAAAGAGTTAGCAGTCTCTCACCGGGAATTTTGTCAGGTTGTAATAGGCACACTCACTCTCAAACACCCGCTCCACACCAGCCTGACCACCAGCGCCCAGTCCAAAGAGCGCAGCCCGTCCCAGCCCCACGGCCGAAGCACCAAGGCACAGCGCCTTGACAATGTCCGTACCACGCTTGATACCGCCGTCAACCCAGACCTCGATACGGTCAAAGACCTCGGGGCAGTACTTGCGGATCTCGAGGAGCGTGTGGACCGCGGGGGGCGCCGTGTCGAGCGCACGTCCGCCGTGGTTCGACAGGATGACGGCCTTGACCTGCGGGGCGTAGCGGGCGGCAAGGAAGGCGTCCTCATGGGTCTGGATGCCCTTGAGCACAATGGGTAGGTCCGTGTGCTTAGCCAGCCACGGCAGCGTGACCTTCCACGTCAGATCGGCGGCCGTGCCGAAGAAGAGCTGCTGGCCGACACCGCCACCGCCGGGGCGCGCGCCCTCGTCCTTGGTCTTGACGCCCGACGCCACGGTGAAGCTGCCCTTGAAGTTCTGCTTCTCGTCGAGCTCCCGCTTGCCCGGGACGGGGGCGTCCAGGGTCAGCACGATGAACTTGAAGCGGTCCGACATGGCGTTGATGCGTGCGAGCATGGCCTCGCTCTTGGCCCGGTCGTTCTGCACGTACAGCTGCCAGCCAAACATCTGGCCCGGCTTCGCGTCTGCGACAATCTGCTCGGGCGTCATGGAGGCGTTGTTGGAGATGATCTGGCAGGCGCCAAACTTGGCGCAGGCACGGGCGATGCCGGCCTCGCCGTCCGGGTGGCCCAGTCTGGCCATCGCGGCCGGGGCTACGAAGAACGGCACATCGATCTTTTGGCCAACCATTGTGCTTGACGAATCGCACTTGACGACGTCGAGGAAGACGCGCGGCCGGAGGAGGATGTTGCGGTAGACTGCATTGTTGTAGCTCTTGGAGAACGTGTCGTCGGCAGAGGAGTAGTAGTACGCCCAGGCCTTTTCGGGGATTTGTTTTGCGGCCAGGGCCTCGATTTCGTCGAGATTGAGCAGGCTCTCGAGCGGCGGAGGGCCCTCGGTCGGCTCTTCTTTCGGGGGAGCCTTGGTAGCGGTGCTGACTATTGTCTCTGGGTCAAGACGACCGAGCTTGGCCTCGGGCTTGAGGTTCTCCTCAAGCAGGCCGGGCGGATGGATAGGGTCGTACTCCTCGGTGGCATCGGTGCCGGCAAGCTGGAGGATAATCTTGGAGCCGCCCGGGTGGGAGGGCAGGAAGTCGGTGACGTCGTAGACGTTGCCGTAGAGGACAACCCAGCAGCTTTCTGCGGTGTTGTGCTTGAGCACTATGGGCCGAGTTTCTGTCAGCTCGAAGTTGCTTGCGTCATAGGCACGAGGTAAAGTAAATTGCCTGGGCTGGGGGGACAGTTGGGGATAGAGAGACGGTACCTTCTTGTGCGCTGATGACCCTGTCGCCCATGGTGATTGTGATCTGTGAGAATGGCCGCACAATGCACGACAATGATGGATGTCCTGCGGAGGGAAGAACAGGAACAATAGCACCCCAGACCGTGCCTCGAAACGGGTTGGGGAAAACGGGGCGGCCGAGCAGGGCAGGGCCGGGCGCTCGGGGGCTTTTGCCACGAAGCCGGTGCCGGCGCCGGTGAGAAGGGCCCTAACAGTGATGCTGGTGCGGAGGGAATCTGGCGGCGGGATATGCGCCGACCAGCAGTGGGGCCCCACACTGTGATTAAGCTGGTGCTGATTGGGCAGTGTCACCCCAGCCAGCCAGACACAGCTGGGGAAGACCCCGACTCCGACTGAGCTGAGCTGAGCCTCGAGGTGAGGCGAGGCTTCTCTGCCGTTGGTCGATTCCAAGTCCTGGCTCCAAGATCGGAGTCGTTCAGGTGGTGTAGGTATGCCGGCATTGAATATGCCTTTCAGCCCTCGCCGTGAGTCCGACACTCATGCCAGGACACACCGGCAAGAGGATGAGCGCTGCTCGATTCTGCCCCGCCACAATCATGTTGCTTCTTGGCCACGACATCGTGGGTGCAGAGTCCTGGTTGAGATTGACATTCGACGACCCAGGCGACATCGCCGCGGCAAGATTGGGGCGTCGCTCCGTCAGTGGCAGCAGGTCTGCCCGGCACTAGCCAGTTCCGTGCGTTGGTCGTGCTTGAACCATGTGTCCAATTCGCAGACGTGGAATGTGCGATCGATGGCGCATGGCAGCGTTGCGTCCTGACGGTGCGGGTGTTTCGCATCAACGACGGGATGCCCTACCTTGTACGGAACTGCGAACCCTATGCGGACGAACCTGCGCCCTCGAGGTATCAGACGGTCGAAGCATGTAGCTGAGTGATTGTGGAAGACTGGGCCAAATCCTTGGACGCGAGCGGAGCACAAACAGCGAATACCTAAGCGACTACCCGGGCGTCCGACACGATGCTGGCTGTGCCAGTCACACTTGTGGACCACGAAATGAAGCGACTCCACGATGGGGCCTGTTCCTCGGATCAGATAAGCAAGACGTGGGGCGGCCCCGGCACTCGCCAGGGCTTTCCAAGTGTTGTTCACCTTGTCGTGCATACCGAGGACCTCGAAATGGCGCAGTATGGTGCAGCAAGCACGCAATGCATAGACCATCCGCCATTGGTATGGCCAGTCATAAGACAGAAACAACTGCTGAGACGTTGTAGAGACGGAGCCGGAGCAGCCGGCGCAGCAAGAGAGCGTTGTATCGTGTAGCTGCCGTCTCTGAGCAGGTGAGCCAGAGCAATAGCCCGCGGGGTGTCTACTGCTCAACCATCGGACACATATTTTTCCACAAGAAACATCACCCTTGCATTGGACTTGTGAGCAGTGCGCCGGGGCGATTGGTTGTCTGGGTGAACGAACGGCGGCGGCTCCGGGGCGGAAAGCACCCTGAGCTTCCCCACACTCGCAGCCGAGGCAGTCGCGGGTCTTGGAGAGCGGCACTTAAAAACACCTCCGGCTCCCATCCCTGAAGTTTACACGGCCACCTCACCTTGTGTCTCGATCGTCCACATTGCTCGTCCACTGCTACACGAGCCCCAGGCATCCAACCCCAAGTACCGTTCCTCCAGATCCAAAGCTCCAGTTGCCCATCATGAGCGGCCCCGGCGTCGGTTTCGAGTACCCGGCCGTGCCCACGTCATGGCTCAAGCGTGATGTCCTCCTCTTCGCCGCCTCCATTGGCGCCACTGACCAAGAGCTTCACTTTCTCTACGTACGCGGCGGGCCCCTGTCTCGTACCCAATCGCCGTCATGACACTTTCGACTGACCTGTTCGCAGGAGCTGGACCCCAATTTCGCCGTCTTCCCTACCTACTCTTTGATCCTGCGTAAGTCTCAGGGCGCCTCGCATGTCGATCTCGCCCCTACTTTGAGCATTTCTGCTGACGCCTCATAGCTTTCAAGAAGGACACGCAAGAGGTCGTCGACTTCTATGCCGCCCAGAAGGCCATTCGCATCCCCGGTGTTCCAGAGTTCGACGCTCGCCGCGTTGTTGACGGCCAGCGCAAGATTGAGTTCTTCAAGCCCCTGCCCACCACGTCCGAGGGCAAGAAGTTTGAGATTCGCACAAAGGTCGTGGGCGTGTATGACAAGGGCCGCCCGGGCACCGTCGTCGAGACCCAGACGGACATTGTCGAGGTCGGCACGGGCGAGGTCTACTCGCGCGTCATCGGCTCTGGCTTCTACATTGGCCAGGGCAACTGGGGCGGCCCCAAGGGTCCGGCCACTGAGAACTACCCGCCGCCCAAGGGCAAGAAGCCCGACGTCACCTTCGAGCACCAGACCACCGCCGAGACGGCCCTGCTGTACCGGCTCAACGGCGACTACAACCCGCTCCACGCCCACCCGGAGCCTGGCAAGAAGATGGGCTTCGGCGGCGCCATCATTCACGGCCTGTACTCTTTCAACTCGACTGCCCACGGCCTGCTGCAGCGCTTCGGTGGCAGCGACCCGGCCAACATCAAGGAGTTCCAGGCTCGCTTCGCCAGCCCGGTCAAGCCGGGCGACAAGCTCGTCACCTCGGCCTGGAGGACCGGTGAGGTCAACAGCGAGGGTTTTGAGGAGATTCGTTTCTCTGTGGCCGTCGAGGGCGGCAAGCAAGTTCTGAGCAACGGCAAGACGCTGATCAAGGTTGTGGGCGAGTCCAAGAGCAAGTTGTGATTGCTGGCAAGTACTGTAGAAAAGTCTGAGCTGTAGGAACAAAGGGAAATTGCTTCAATTCGGGAGGCGCCTCTCGCAAACCTTCATCTACTGAGTCAATCATGCATAGCCGTGTGCTGCTTCGCTGCCTTGTAGGGCATCCTGGGTGGTGGTTGACCGTGACCCTGCGGGTGCCTGATGGACCCTGGATTGCCCCGACTAGCGCCGTATTCCACCCTTCGTGCCTGTGGTGGTTCCATCAACGCACATGAACTTGCCAGCAGCAACACAACAAGGGCCTAATTCTCACCAATACTGTGTCGCTAACGTGAAATGCCATTCCAATCATAGACAACCTGCACCATGGCCTCTGACCTATCCTCGGTGCAGGTCGGGGACCGCCGCTCCTACGACGGAGCCCCGTGCACCATCCGCTATATAGGCGGCGTCAAAGGCACTTCGGGCGCCTGGCTGGGCGTCGAATGGGACGACCCTGCGAGGGGCAAGCACGACGGCTCTCACAAAGGAGAGCGGTACTTTACTTGTGAGCTCCCTCTCTCTCTCTAGACTATCACGCTCACGTCCTCGCAAACCCTGTTTTTACCGGACGCCTGGCTGACCGTACGCGACCACCCCACCATTGCCTACTGCACAACAGGCATATCACACTCCTCCACAGCAGCCTCGTTTGTACGCCCGACGCGCCCGGCGGAGCCAGCCCGCGGCCTTCTCAGGGCCCTGGTGGACAAATACACGGCGGAGCTCGCCGATGCCGCCGTCATCAAGTTCTCCGGCAAGGTGGCCGAGGAGGTCGGATTTGCCAAGACCCGGCGCAAGCAGGCCAACCTCGGCGAGCTGCGTGTCGCCATACTCGACGGAGAGCGCATCGCGTCTGCATATGATCCGGGCAACGGCGACGAGCATGAGGCTGGCAAAAGCCATGGGTCCGTGTCTATCAGCCAGACGTGCCCGAAAGTGCGAGACCTGGATCTGAGTCGGAATCTGCTCCGCCGGATAGGCGATGTGGTTGGGATCTGTAGTGAGCTCCCGGCTCTGCGAACCCTGAGGTTGAAGTAAGTAACTGGCGCTGTGTTAATGAACTTTCCCTGGGCATGGATGACGAAGGTGCTGATGACCACGGGCTGGCAGTGGAAATCGCTTCGAAGGCGTGCTCGAAGATGAAACCCTACTTGGAGACAGGTGCCTTGACGCATTCAAAGGCCTCGAAGAGCTGGCTGTCGAGGACACACTGATGACCTGGGAGGAGATATGCCATTTTTGCGCAAGATGTGAGAGACTCCTATCGCTGTCGGCGAGCACAAATCAACTCTCGCGATTGCCACCCACGACGGCTTTACTCTCACCGTCGTCGATGACGACAAACCTGGTTGCACTCACTCTCGAATTCAACGAGCTCACTTGCATATCGGACATTGCCAGCCTTGGGGCCCTGAAGGCACTCCGCAACTTACATCTCAAGTGTAACAACATCAGGACCATACTGCCTCCTGGTGACCCGGATCAAGGGAAAGATGCCCACGCAAACCTGAACCCGACGCAATACGCCTCTGAGCTTCCCGTCTTCTCCCCGAGCGTCCAGTACATCGACGTGTCCTACAACAATGTCGATTCCTGGGACTTTGTCGACAGCCTGCCGACATGCTTTCCCGGGCTCACAGCACTACGCTTCGCCCACAACCCGATATACGACAACCCGGACCCAGACCACTCATCCGCCGCGACGACAAAGAACCTCACCGAGGAGGCGTACATGTTCACCGTCGCGCGCCTGCCGAACCTGAAGGCCCTGAACTTTGGCACAATCTCCAAGGAGGACAGGCAGGACGCCGAGATGTTCTACCTGGCGCGCATCGGCAAGCACCTGGCGGCAATCGCAGTGCCTGCTGCGCCGCCTGCAAGCGGCAGCAACACTACCACCAGCACCAGCGACGGTACCATAAACAACACCGCGGAAGAGGAAGACATGCAGACCTCGAAGAAGCTCGTGCGGGACCTCGAGGCCGCTCTCGTCAAGCGTCACCACCCGCGCTACGCGGAGCTGTGCGAGCTCTACGGCGCCCCGACGGTCGTCCGGCGCCGGGAGATCAACCCGGCGTTCATCGAGGCGCGGCTGATCACCGTGCACTTGTCCTATACACCTTCCCCTCCCCATCCCACTTCTTCGTCGCCATCGTCAAATGTATTGGCCCCCACCACCACTTCCTCCTCCTCGTCCACAGCAGCAGCAGCAGCAGTACCGACAGAGCCGGAAATGGTGACCAGGACGGTACAGATCCCCAAATCACTGGATATATACGCGGTCAAGGGCATCGTGGCGAGGATTCTCGGTTTCAATGCCACCACCACTACGTCTGCCCTTTCAGCGGGGTCAGGGTCAGCAGAGGGTAGAAACAGGAGGAACGACGACGGCTTGGGCAGGACGAAGCCGCTCGACTTGCGCCTGGTGTGGGAGACCGGGGAATGGGACCCGGTAGCGGACTTTGACGAGCAAGTCGACGACGACAGCGACGACGATGCTGGCGAAGGAGAAGGAGACGAAGAAGAAGAGGAGGAGGATGACCAGGAAGAGGCCAGGAACGGCAAGAGACAGGAGCCGGAGGCAGGTGAAGAGGGAGATGGGGCCGACCCAAGTCCAACTGGACAAGCAGGCGGGAAGTGGATCAAGCGTGAGGTCGAGCTGCCAGATGGGCCGCGGCAGCTTGGTTTCTGCGTTGACGGGCAGGAGGTGCGGATCCGCGTCGAGTTGCGTTAAGACACTCTCGTGACTGGCATGTACACACACGCGCACGGCCGACTTGAGCCCGCATTGCCATCCCCAAGTGCCTGTAATGGATTGTGAGTCGGAGGTCATGATATGCAGAAGTGGCTGTCGTAACAAAGTGCGAGCAAGTTTGAACGTGGTAAAATGAATTTTGTTTCACAGCTAATACTATACTTGGACATAAAAACTCCAACCATGCTCATCTGACAAAAGAACATGGGCCAAATGATTTACAGACCTCATCAGAAGACCCTGGTGTATATGTCGACCTTTGATGGTACTCAAACAACATCATCGTCAACTGTTTTGTACACCAATTTGCGACTGCACGTAATGCTCTCAACTCCACTAACAGGAGGATCGCTTGCGCACTTTCCCTCTCCCCTTTGCTCCACAGCTTCACATGAAAGCCAGGTTCACACTCCTTGGCCTTTAGAAAGCCATCTCCTTCTTGATCTCGGCAATAGCGAGACCAGGGTTCAGGCCCTTGGGGCAGGTCCTCGTGCAGTTGAGAATCGTATGGCACCGGTACAGAGACATCGAGTTGTCGAGGGCAGCCTTGCGCTCAAGCTTGCGCTCGTCACGCGAGTCGATCAACCAGCGGTAGGACTGGAGCAGGATGGCAGGACCAAGGTACTCCTCGGCGTTCCACCAGTATGAGGGGCAAGATGTCGAGCAGCAGGCGCAGAGAATGCACTCATACAGGCCGTCGAGCTTTCTGCGGTCGGCCTTGCTCTGGCGGTATTCCCGTCCCTGAAGATAGAGTCAGCATTGTCGTCTCCTTTGCAGTGGGTCACACGAAATACGCACATCGGGAGCAGGAGTATCTCTCTGGAGGTAGGGCTTAATGGACTTGTACTGCTTGTAAAAGTAGGTCAAGTCGGGCACGAGGTCCTTGACGACGTAGGTGTGAGGAAGAGGGTAGATCTTCATGTCGGCGCTGGAATCAGTGGGAATGCGGCCTACGGTATGGTCACGTCAGCAATCATTCTTTCTTTCAATGAGTCGAGACGAGAAATTGTCGCCATTCGCGTTGCCCCCCCCCCCCAAAACCAAAAAAAAAGCGTACGAAAAAGAATATAAACTTACACAAGCAAGCCAATGTGTTGGTACCATTGATGTTCATGGCGCAGCTTCCGCAGATGCCCTCTCTGCAACTCCGGCGGAAGGTCAGGGTGGGGTCGATCTCGTTCTTGATGCGGACAAGGGCATCGAGTACCATGGGGCCGGTCTTGTTGAGGTCGAGGGTATATGTCTGCATCTTGGGCTTCTCGGTCGGGTTCTCAGGGTTCCACCGGTAGATCTGGAACTTCTTGAGGCGCGAGTCCGCCGAGGCAGGCTCCGGGTTGTCGGTCTGCGAGTTGACGGTGGCCATTGAGCGAGAGAAGACGGCGGGACGCAGGGCGGCAGGGCGCGCGGCGGCGGCAAAGAGCCGTGACGTGGTAGAGCGGAGAGCGGCCATGGTGATGGTTGTGCGTTTGGCAACGAGGTGTTTTGCGGGCGGACGGGCGGAGGCTCGTGACACCAGCGAACAGGGCACCAGGAAGACGTTTGAGCAGGAGATCAGGCGAGATCGGATCCTCCCAAGTCTGGATTGTCGTCCCGTAGACGGTTTGCGGACGGGGGCTTTGTGGTGGGAGGTTGATCGTGAGTGGCGACGGGGAGGGAGAATGTGTGCATCATCCCAGGTGGTGCTGGCCAACGAGACTCGAGCCGCACCAGCAGCTGTCCATCCGTCCCGAGTGCTCGCCCGCGCTACGGAATCGCCTTGTCGGCCACTCCTGCCTTTGCCGAGGGAGTGCCATGTCCAATCAGCACCTTGCAATTATTCAACTCGCAGAGGGCCGGCGGGGCCTCGCTGGATGCTGCCGTGCAGCTGCCACTCGAGTGGCAGCTGGGAGACCAGGTGGCAGATCTGGGGCCGATTCCAGGCTCGTCCTCCACCCGACCCGAGCGGTCAGCAGTCTCCACTCCCCGGGGAGGGATCTTCCCCGGACCATTCCGCCTGCCCTGGTGACCCAGATTCGGGAAACACAAACTCGAAAACCGTAGCCGCGCGCTGAGGCACTGCTGATCAGATCATCTGCGGTGGCCAGCATCGTATATTCTTAGGAAGCCGTTGTATTGGCTTGGAGTATTGGCTGTACAAGATTGTCTATCTGTCGGGAGAGGGGTGGTGTTGTGAACTGTATGTCCTGTGGATTTGATCATGCCTGCTCATTTTTGGCTAACTAAACAGAAGGATCCGATTTGCGACGTGGTGATGGCGACCTTCGTCCTGGTAGCATCCTGGGCCCTGTCAGCATCTAGGTCTCCCCGGAGAAGCTTCAAGGCTGTTACATAGTATGCAACACCCGCATTGTGTCAAATTTGCAGTGCCTGTTCCAGCCGTGGACATCTTAAATCCCCACCCACTTTGACAAGGCGACGGCGGCGACCGCGCCACGGTTGGTTCATGCATGCCACCCGCCCCTTTGGTAGATCGATTCCATTAACGCGAGCCTTCCCGGGCGCCGGGTCAAAAGCCACCGCGACATAATTTTCTGTCAACCGCGACATCCCCCACGCCTGCTCCTTGCGCCACAGATCAGGCCTGTCCCTTCAAACCTGCAACCACAAGCCTGCCTGTCTGTGCCTCGGTTGTCACCAGAGCCTGCACGCGCCGACGCAGTGTCTCCCTCCACATAAGTCGAGGCCTTACCCCTCCGTCATGGCCACCCGCCTGCCCACCAGGCTGCTTGCGACGGCGACACCCTCAGCTCGACCCTCTACCTCCGTCTTCAGTAAGTGCCCCCGCCTGTGCCCTTGCGATCCTTGCGACGTGCCAGTCTAGTCACTCGCTCGAGAACTGGTGCTAACAATCCGCCCGGCAGCCTGCGCCCAGTGCCACTGGTTAAGTATTGTCGAAGCTCGATCGCAACGCAGATACCTGTCATCACAACCGATCCTGCGGTCCCAGGACATGTCTTCCACGACAGGACGCAAGTTCACCTATCATTCAGCCGCCGCCTTCTCAGGCAAGCACAAGAAGCTCGACCCGGCGACCAACGTCTTCCACTTCAACCCGTACAACCACATCCAGCCCCAGAAGAAACGGCCCAAGGCTAAGCGCCCCGCCAGCGGCCAGGATGCCTTCTTCATCAGTCGACTCGGCGGCTCCAGCAACTCGGTAGCGCTGGGTATTGCCGACGGGGTTGGCGGATGGGAGGACAGCGGCGTCGACCCGGCCGACTTCTCGCACAACTTCTGCGACTACATGGCCTCGGCCGCGTACGAGTACCGCCCGACGGCCGGGACGGCGCCGCTGACGCCAAGAGCCCTCATGCAGAAGGGCTACGACGATGTCTGCAACGACAAGAGCATACCCGCGGGCGGCAGCACGGCGTGTGTGGCCATCGCGTCCGAGGACGGGCGCATGGAGGTGGCGAACCTGGGCGACTCTGGGTTCGTGCACCTGCGGCTCAATGCCGTGCACGAGTACTCTGACCCGCAGACGCACGCCTTCAACACGCCCTACCAGCTCTCCGTGATCCCGCCCAGTATGCTGGCCCGCGCGGCGGCCTTCGGGGGCGCCCAGCTCTGCGACTACCCCAAGGACGCCGACGTGACGAGCCACAGCCTCAAGCACGGCGACATTGTCATCCTCGCGAGCGACGGCGTCTGGGACAACCTCTTCAACCAGGACATCCTGCGGATAGCCAGCCGGCTCATGACGGGGCTCGGCGCGTGGAAGGCGTCGGCAGGGGGCATCCGCGTGGCCGACAGCCTGCTGCCCTTCACGACGCCCGACGCTGAGGGCGGGTCCGGCCCGCGGTCCCTGACGCTGCAGAGCGCCCTCGCCCTAGAGATCCTCGGCGCCGCCAAGTCTGCAAGCACCAACCAGCGGCTTGACGGGCCGTTTGCCAAGGAGGTGCAAAAGTATTACCCGCACGAGGACTGGCACGGCGGCAAGATTGACGACATCTGCATCATCGTCATGGTCGTGTCTGAGGAGGGTGCTGGCGGCAGCGGCGGCGGCAGCTCGTCCGATATCAAGGCGAAGTTGTGATCGGTTCCACGGACGTGGGTGCGACGAAGTGAAAGGGAAATGACCCTTCCACAGTACGAATCGAGTAATGAAATACATCGACTGGCAACAGTACTACCGCGCACATATCGGGTCAAGCATGGTTTCCAGGCAGCACCATAGAAGACCCAGCCGACACGACACCACCAGCCGGGGCCACCTCCACAACCTGTATATACACTTTTCAATCCGGTCAAAGGAGACACATTCAGCATATAGAAGCGGATACATTAGAGCGCCGCGGCAACAGCGGGTCATCATGATTGCGGCGTCCTCGCCCGCAGGAACCAGAAACTTTGGACAGCAAGGGGAAACCACAATAGAACCACCATGAATCAATCATACTGGGTTGTTTGTAATCAGCTTTTTAATCAGCATGGCGAAAGGGTACAAGCTGCCTAATGATACGATAGACTGCATGATATGCAAAGCAAAACAAAAAAGGATACCCAAGAACCCCGTGAGCAAAAAAGTGTCGCGATGACATAGTCTGTTGCCTTGGTTGACGGCCAGGCTGCTCCTGTTCCTGATACACGCAGCCGGCGAATGGAAGTCCAGGCTCGTGCCCAATGCCAATACCAGCTCCCATAGCCAAGGTTTTTTTAAAAACTCAAAGTCCTGGTATCGGTATTGAACTCTTGAGGTTCCGTTCTGTTTCAAGTACCCCCAAAAACCTTTCATTTCTGATACTGCACCCTTGCGTACCCCAACCCTACGCCGCCAAGGGAAGTAAAACGATGAAGCTGGCAAACGAGGTGGATTGTGAATGATGCATGTGAAGTTCATCAAGTGCAGTGCTGGGCAGAGGAAAAATGTCTCCGAAAGTCAAGATCTTGGTTTCCTCGGGGTTTCCTCGTGATTCCACGGCATGCGTCGTTGTTTAAGTCCTCGCGCACAGAATGCACAATATCTGACATGGATTCAACATGATACTGGCATATCAATCACACCCAGACCCGACATGATTTGATAGTCGACTAGCAAGCATCCGACTCACATATTCCCAAAGGGGCGTTGCCGAGATTGAATAGCATTAGACGACCCTATTAAAACATTTCTGTCATACTTTTCGCTGAATTACAGTCGAGCACATCTTCAGCCTTCAAATACTCGGGCAGGGAGCGCAACCTGATTCTCTGTATCACAGCTTCTTGCATCTCAACCAACAACCATCATCTCTGAGCCAGCGGCTTAGAAGAAAGCGGCACCGACAGCGAGGAGAACGGGGGCGACGTAGGCGGGAGCCAGGGTAGCGGCAGCGTTCAAGGGGGGAACAGAGGCGGTGGTGGTGGCCGAGGTGGAGGTAGAGGTCCTCCGAGTGCTGGAGGAAGTAGCTGCGTTGCAAGAACAAATTGTTAGAAAGGGTGTACGTCGTTATATACTGTCACTGTAAAAGGCAACCAAAAAAAACTTACAGGACTCGGAAGCGGAGGAGGTCACGGAGGCAGACGAGGTCACGCTCATGCTGACGGTGGAGGAGACGGTGACGGTGACCGAGGAGGTTGCGCTGGCAGAAGAGGCGGAAGCGGAGGCGCTGGCGCCAGCAATAGAGAACTGCCCGCTGTAGTTCTGTTCAACGCCGTCGGTGATGACGATGGCGTACTTGGTAGGGGGGACATTGGTGGGGGTCCAGGTGTAGCTCTGGCCAGTCAGGCCAGCTGCGAACAACATCAAGATTAGTTCTTGCCCGTGCTGGGTGCTGGCGTCGCCACGAGCGCAGCTCTGTCTCGGGACTACGTACAGGCAATGGTGCTGACGGTCTGGAGGGCTCCAGTGGGACCATCCTTGAGGTAGAGGGTGACGGGCCCCTCGGCATCACGCCACTCGATGGTGAAGGGCTTGCCGACGGCAATGGAAGCGTAGTCCGCCTCATTGTTGGCGAGGAAGACCTTGGCGAAGGCAGCGCTGGCAAAGGCGGCGACGGCAAAGAACTTCATTTTGGCGGCTTGCGTTGTATTAAGCTACGAGAGCGTGGTGAACGAAAGAGGCTGTAGAATGCGGGCGGGGTGTCAGTCTTCTTCAAGTAGTCAACCTTGGTACGTGTTTGGCTAAAGGGACTCGGATGGCACGCAGATCTCATTCCCTGGAGCGGCGAGGCTCACAAGCGTACTTGCGCTTTGTCTGAACCTCAAACGCCTAGGCGGCACCAGCGGCTCGGAGGCGAGCCCGGAGGGAATGAGAGCTGGGGAGAGTGGCGCCGCGGCGCGTCTCGCCCTGACGGTCGTGTCGTGTCGTACGCGTCGTCAAGAAGTAACTTACCAGAGGTGATTACAAAGGCGTAAGCAGGAAGCCGCGGTGAAGAGTAACGAATGTGGGTTTGTGGTGGTGAACGAAACAAAGGAGAAGGAGGCGGAGGAGAAGGGGCGGCCGAGTGGTATTAATCTTGCGCGGCGTGGACGGGTGTCTGGCCAGCCAGGGAGATGAGCCTGTCGTGATTTGCAAATTGGGCGCCTGGTCGGCCGAGGGAGGCCCCTGTCCTCCTGTCCTGGTGGCCACCAACGGGCGCGCACGGTGTCGCCGCCAAACTCAGTCGTGCGCAGGCCCACCACCCAATTGTTTGGAGCACAATGCACGCTCGCAGGCCAGGAGCGGGCTAGCCGGGCGCGGGTGCCGCGCAGCAGTGCCCAAAGAGGCTACGGATACCGTGCCAACAGGTAGTGCACAAACACTGGGGCAGGGGCTGTGCAGGCTCTGGTCCCCTGTCGCCTGCGACTCAAGGCTGGGGTTGCAGGCCTCAGGGGTGCAGGCTCGGTGCAGCTCAATGCCCCCGCGCGCCCAACGAGTGAGTAGTCGTCATCACCCATCGCCAGCTTCTCTCTCGCCTCACGCAATGCCCCCGGATTCCAGACGCCACCCACCGATCGCCGTTCCGTGGAATCCGCCAGGCGTCACAGGGCGTATGTGCTGTAACTGGTAAGAGGGGCCGCCAGCCTGCTCCTGACAGTGACGTCTGGGGTCACGCAGTATCACCAGAGACACCTACTGCGTATCCTCACCATCGTCCGACGGAAATGCACTTTTCTCATGCAGCAACAACAACTCGCTGTCAGTTTTCTCGTGTAGGCAGTCAATGACAGCCACAAATTGCATTTCCCTCATGGTCATCGTCTCACGGCAATGCAGTCATCTTCGAGGCAGATACTCCCTGGGCACCGAGTCACAACGGTTCTTGTCTGCTCAGCTTGCAGCTCCTGAGCCGTGAGACATCTTCCATGTAACGCTCCCCGACCAGGCAACACTGCGACCCCGAAAATTGATTGGAACGGATATGTCATCTTGAACCTCCTTGCATATGGTGGAACAAGTACCCGCCGGCCACAGTCAACGGCTGCGTGCCATATGCCCAGGTGGGTGGGGTCCGAGACAAGAATTGCTATCCCCGTGGCCCCCTGTGGCTTTCACAGTCGAGCATGATACTACAGCCGATCAGCAACTACTTTCAGATGGCCGTTCGACGTGACTAGCTGAACCCTTTGGGACAAGATGGTCAGTCACTAAGGTGGGCACTGCGAGCCAATTCAGTGGAGGACATCCCTTCAAACAATCGACGTCTGGGGAAATCAGGATTTTTGGCGATCTTCGTTCGGGTCACACCCTGGTTCATCGTTGACGACGCACAATAATAGGCCATGACGCATGATGCATACTGTGGGCTGGTCACGTCTGCCCGGCCATGCCATTGCGAGGACAAGTTCCACCAGGAGATCAAATAATGTCGCCGAGCGCTTGGCAGCCTGTCGCATCATCGCTCACGGAAATTGTGCCAGTCCACTACTTGTGGGACTGGCAAGCCGGGGCGCTGGAGGATCTCAATGGACATGTGCGCTCGCTTGCAGGCTCCCCGCCAAGTCACAAGGGATGCTGCTGTCCATCCAAGAAACGACGACGGCGGCGAGCTCGACAAAACTGCTCTGCCCTCTACACCCGCCAAGCGCAACAAGTTTCTTTCTCCAGACCCAGTGAAAAGATGCATGAGCACCACCACACTCCTCTGGACACGAGACCCTCTTGTCAGCACGATGCCACGCACCCTGCGCTTGTAGCAGACATACACAGCCAGTCAGAAGTCATGCAGCTGCCCCGCATAGTCGTCGGCTTGTGTTCCTGCATTGGCGCGCGGTGCTCAGAACTCGTTGGTCCTCCCGAAGGCCTAGTCCAGTCTAGCGACGCCATACGCTAGGGAACCAGCTTCGGAGCTGCGGCTGGCTGAAATGCCTGGAGGGAGCGGTCTGGCTCCAGCAGCAACCCGCCTCCTATTGGGCTATGTGTTGAGACAGGCTTAGGCCCAAGGCAATAGCGGCAGCCATCATCGCTGTCTCTCCAGTGAATGAAATCTCACAGCCCACCCCCATCTCGGTCAAAGCGACGATGCCACTAGTCACAATGGAGCGGCCCAATGAGGACCGCAGCTTTGGCCAGGCAGTCGCGCACATTCCCTTTCCACTGGATTCGGGGACGGATCTAGCGGGCAGGTATTTGGTATCGACTGCCCGCTTGTAAGCAAGTATTCATGCGCCCCAGCTTCATGCCTGTGCGGTCGCTGCCTCGGAATGTCTTTCTGCTTGATGATGATGACGAACTCAATTAAACACCGCCCTTCCTTTTTGCAAGCCGAAAATTCGAGACTCGTTACAAGTAGGTGGCCGTTTCGTTGAGATACCACGTTGAATCGCTTGTAGGGTCCAGCTCCTTTGTGGAAAACCCGTTCCCAAGGTATGCGAACCGATTGCCAGACGGCCTGTCATATACATACTTCCAGTCCTCGCCGCGAAAGGTTTCCAGCATGTGGAAGAAGTGCACTCTGCTGCCTGGATGCAGAGCCGTAACGTAACCCGCGCCTTTGTCCTGGCCACCCTTGAACCACGACCGGCACGACGAGGACCAAGACGTGCGTGGCATGAAGCTTGCGATGTGCTCGCTGAAGTCGTCCACCGCGGCTTGCGTCGGCGCTAGAGACTTGATGCCTTCAGTCTGGCACTTGCGGATGATGCCAGTCATGTATTTCGCAATGTGCTCGCTCAAAGTGAAGACGCTGCCGTGGCCGATTGGGCCGTTTGGTCCCAGGAAAGCTATCGTTGCGAAGTTGTGCGTCAGGACATAATCATCTCGTGCATATGCCCGCAGAGAATCATTCTGTGAAGTGTCACTTACTGAAATAGTTCGGTACTCCCGGCAGAGCACAGGACATGTACCCTTTTGGTACTTCGGCCATTAAATCCTGCACATTGCCATGCCTGCCGATGATGGGGAAGCGAGGAACAAATGATGTGTCGAAGCCCGTGGCGCAGATGATTGCGTCTACCTCGACCACTTCGCCAGACGCAAGCTCGATCCTGTTCTCCATGATTCGGGAGATGCCTCCTGTGTACAGCTCCACGTTTGGTGCTTGTAGACTTTGCAGATATCCCGGCGCAGGCGTCATGCGTCGGCAGCCCAGTGGATAGTCTGGTATCAGGGCCTTGCAGAGTCGTTCGTCGGCGCGCAAGCTGGCTGTCATGAACTCTCGGACCTTTTGTGTCGCGAAATGCTGGACCGGACCGCCGTTGAGGACCTAATACAGGGTTGACCAGTTGGCCGGTCAGTCATACAGTGCGTGCAGTTGTTGAATAGAAGCTATCGTCCTATTCACCCTTTACTTACAACCGGAAAATTGCCGCCGGTGTCCATCTCTATGGTCTTGATAAACTTGCGGTATAGTTCGGGATCAGATCTGAACCTCGCAATCTGCGCCTGAGAGAAGTTGCCAGCCTCATCTATTTCAATGCCCGCCAGGACCTTGCTTGCAGGACCTTCCTTCATCTTCATGGACATGATCAACGGTGGGAGAATCCAGGTGGGAGTGCGCACAAAGTGGCATAGTTTCTCCACGGCTTTGTGATATCGAGAGGTCAGCAAAGAATTCGAGGTCGCAATCCGAAGTGCTCAACTTACTTGGTTGGATGGCTGGTACCAGCTGTACACCTGACGAGCCATTGCCGATCACAGCGACTCTTTTGTTCTTGTACTCGTACTGTTCCGGCCATCTTGCTGTGTGGATCAAATCTCCAGCAAAATTGTGTAGGCCGGGTATGTCTGGCCATTTCCAGTTACTGGAGCGAAATGTAAGTACTCCGCTTGCTCAGCTTTTGAAAAAGAGGCGGAGGAAGACGTACTTGAGTATACCAGAAGCATCAACCAGGAAGTTTGCCTCGTCATCGAATTCGGTGCCACTCTCCAGATTGCGGACTGTCACAATCCACACCCCGCGCTGCTCATCCCATATAGCACTGACAACCTGGTGATTTGTCTTGATGGTGTCCATCATCCTTTCTTCGTGACAAATATCGTCTAGGTACTTTTCAATCTCTGGAGCCGGGGAGCAGAAATTCGACCAAGCGGGGTTGGGCCGCCACGAGAACTGGTAGTTGTGACTAGGCACGTCGCATCGACAGCCCGGGTACTTGTTCTCATGCCACGTGCCGCCAGGCTTGCTGTTCTTCTCGTAGATGACGTGTTCGAAGTTTGTCAATCCCCGGCGTAAAGAGCGGACCATGTTGATGCCACTGGCGCCTGCACCGATACCGATGATTCGTACATGCTTGGCTGTGCCTAGTGGTTGCTCTTGCACCTTGTACGATGCCCTGGCTGCAATGAAGGATCAGTTATTGAACACAGAGCATTTGCCTGCACCGCATACAGCTGGATAAAGTGGGAAGTCCTTCGACATGAGTGAGGTCGACCACGTACCTCGGGTCTCCGAGGGCAGTGGTACAGTCATCTTGCGATGTTGTCTTTACGACGGAGTCTCAATTGGCGCAGAGACACGGGCCTTGAAAATTCGCTACCGGAATGTGTAAACGAAATGAAAGCTCTTGACGCTTCCGCGGAGGGACTTGACGAAACAATGGAGCCTTGAGGTGCTCTGAAGACTAAGACGGCTGTGGCCGCTAATTTGACAGCAAATGGACTGACTGTCTGAGATGCCACAGGTCGCAAAGTAGTCACGGGACCCAGATATATAAGTCTATCTTGGCTACCAGCGCCACTACCGGTACATCCCATCCTGGGCAAGTTGCAAGCAAGGCCAACCGTTCCGGGAGAAAACGGCATTAGCTCGTATGGACTACATATCATATCACTGCGCCCAGCCGTTGCAGAATATCAGAGACAACTCCGGCGGGCTTGACGATCATTGTTGCGGGGTCTGGTGAGAAGGATGGGCGTTGTAAGTCCAGCTGCGTAAACGGTCCAACCAGATCACGAGGATCCACAAGCCCGCTAGGCTCTGGCGAGAACGTTCGGGAAAAGCCTTAAAACCAGGTGAGCTTGACGAATCAAGATAAGGTTCGGTCGTATAGTGCGCAGCCGGAGGCGCTCCCGGGTCTCTATTGTCCTGGTTCCAGTCATAGCTCTTTACGCTCGGCATGGCATTGAAGTCTAGACTGGCGGACTTGGCGTAATGTAGCTGAAGACCGGACGACTAGGCTATAAGTGCAAACGGGCTCCTAGGGGGTTGAGGCCACCTCGGAATCGACGCTGCTCAGTTGGGAGCCCATCACCGACTCTAAATAGCCGATTCTCCATAGAAGATGTATTCCAGTGCCCAAGATGTTATCTTGTCGAGATTGGCCTGCACGAGATGTTGACTAGCCGGTCGGGAGCTTGAATAGTTGCGGCAGGAGCACTCGGCGGCCGCAACGTTTCCACGAGCATGCCCCACCGCCCAACAGGGCAACGGCCGCTCCGCTGTAAATTTAGTACGTTACGCTTCTCACAGCAAGCTCTTCCAGATCCCTGCGAGAACGTCTCGGATCTGGACCTATCGTCGAGCTCGACACAAGGGTCGCACAAGCCCATCACCATGTCCTTCTCTTTCGGCTTCGGCGGTGACGACATCGAGGGTGCGGAGCAGCCGCAGGCTCCCCAGCAGGATCCCGCTCCTGCTCGCGCCAGCGCTTTCCCCGTCGCCGGCAAGCCGCTGCTGCCCGCCATCCACCACGACTTGTCTCATATGCTGGCAACTTTGCCCTCCAAGCTGGTCTACGGTCTTCTCGAGGTTGATCTCGATGGGACCGGGTCGGTCCATCTGCCCCGCCGTGAGCTATGGGACGTTCGTGTTCAGTTGATGGCGGAGGATGACAGCGAGGCAGCTCTGGAGTCTGGGCTTGGCACACACGATGTCAAGACCGGTGTCTACGAGGGCGGCTTCAAGTCCTGGGAGAGCAGTGTTGATCTCGTCAAGACCCTCGCCACATCAAAATCCTTTGTTGCAACTACGGAGCACCGTGCCCGAATTATCGAGGTCAGTTGAACTCCGTCTGCCCGAGAGATGCAGAATGGCGCCACCTCGCTGACTATGAAGGGCTCTCCTAGCTCGGCTGTGGCACTGCACTACCCTCACTTGCACTGTTTCAGTGGGCATGTAGTTTGCGCACAGGGGACGAGAACTCGGAGTTTTCAATTTATCTGGCCGACTACAATCCCTCGGTATTACAGCTCGTGACATTACCAAACTTCCTCCTCAGCTGGGCGCTCAGCGAAAGAGCAAACTCGCCCCTCGTGGAAGCAGCACTTGCGTCTGAAGAGGGAGCACTTGAGCTCAGTGCAGAGGTCCTTACCGCCTTTCAGGACTTCCTTCAAGGCCGCAAGATTACTCTGGATTTCTTCTCTGGGGGCTGGTCGGACGATTTCGTGAAACTCGTCAGTGACGGAGATGCTTCCTCGGCGGCAAAGTGTGATACCATCATTCTTGGAGCAGAGACTATCTACTCACCCTTCGCACTGGACTCCTTCACGCACACAATCTTCACCATGATGGGAAATGAGAAAGATAGAGGCAACAGCGCCGAAGCACTCGTAGGCGCCAAGAGGCTGTACTTCGGTGTCGGCGGCTCTCTAGATGACTTCGTTGCAAAGTCGAGAGATCTTGGCGCTACCGTGGACCAAGTCCGAGAGGAGACAGAGGGCGTCCGGAGGGGGGTTGTTCGTGTGAAGCTTCCTTGAGTAGACGCTGCCAACGGGATGAGGCCGCGGTGCATGCGAAGCGATCTCCGGCACCATATAATGGAACAAGAACCAAGCCTTGCAAGTGCGTCGATGAAGTCCTGTGCGAAATCGGCATCACCAATGCCCAGTTTCGTCGCAAGACACCGAAGGGCAAAGGCCCTGGGTACCATCGCTCACGTCCACGTTCGGAAGAGTCTCCAGGGCCATATGACGAGGAAAGCACTCACGGGCTGTCGCAAACGTACCTGAACGTGTAAGCGCCTGCTGGAGCCAAAAGTCGACGCGACAAGGTTGCCGTTGGCGTGTTCATCGCAAGATATCATAATGATTTATGTGACATTGCATCCCGCCCTATACCTACCTGTTCCGTTTCTAGCGGAACCGCTGGCCTGAGCTAGGATGTTCCAGCAGTTGTCGCTGCAACTTCAACAGTATCCACCAAACCAACGACACAAGTCATCAGAACTGCAGACACAACCTAAGACCCCTAACCCTCTAGCCTACCATCAAACTCAGCCTTCTGCTCGAAGCTGTGACCATAGCTAAAGATTTGCAAATCAATTCATAACCTTGCCTATGATGCATTCAATATTTGAGACGGCAGGCCGCAGGAATAGTAGCCAACAGGGTTCACCTCAGCGCTTAGCCATTGGATATCGTGATTGGACAAACCCATGTGTAGGACCGGGGTCAGGGACATGTGCTCCGCCACGAGGCAGACAACCAACAGCACTTCTAGTGAAGAATGGAATGACCTAGCTTTTCGCAGTCTTCCCCTCACGAAGAACTATTCCAACTGTTTCATCATTACTGTTCTGCTCGTTTCTTCATCTCCTTAGCTCAGTCACGGCTTATTATTGTTGGTGCGGGGCCTAGATACACGTACAAGTGGAAATGAGTGAGAAGGATGGACCTGTTTTCCTGCTTTCGCTCGGTATGTCCAGCAACAAGCCTAAACGTTTATCTCAAATGGCTCACACCAGAACAGACGGTGGCGGTGTTCGTGGAATCTGTGAGCTAGTCATGCTGGACACGATCATGAAGCGGATCCAGAAAGAACGAAACCTCGCAGAGATCCCACGGCCATGCGCCCTGTTCGACCTCATTGGAGGCATTAGCACTGGAGGGTTTGTCAGATCCTCCGATCACCTCAACTACTTGACCTGATTGCACAGTCTGACGAAGCTTCCGGAACAGGCTGGTCTCCATCATGCTCGGGCGGCTACGGATGACTACGACTGAGGCGATCGCTGCCTATCACGAATTTGCAGAAAAGATCTTCAGCTGGAAGAACAAGAACTGGTTCTTCTTGGTACCGCTGGCGCGTGTCCGCATGGGAGGCAACAAGATGTCTCCGGGAAAATTCAAGACCAAGAAGCTGGAAAGAATCATCCAAGAGCTTGTTAAGAATGCCAAAAGCGAGGAGCGCTTGCTAACTGACAAGGATCGCTGCCGGGCCAAGATGTTTGTCTGCACTCAAAGACACAACGATACGGGCGCGAGCTCGCTCGTGGTCCTGAGAAGTTACAAGGTTCCCTCAAGACCACTGCCGCAAGAGTTTGTACAACAGATACACGGATTGTCCTCTTCAACTGACTCGACGAGCTCTCTGCTGGACGGCACGCACCACGGTACGCCAGACGATCTCCAGCCAGTCGAAGATCATACATCCGTCAAGATCTGGGAAGCTGCTCGCGCAACATCAGCAGCTTCCAGCTTTTTCCCCCCGATGGAGGTCAAGGACAGTCACGGCCGGTCAACATTGTTCATTGACGCTGCATTGGGCTGTAACAATCCTGTGAAGCACGTTATTGCCGAAGCGGCGGGGCTTTTTGGCGTGGAGCGTAAGCTGGGGTGTGTGTTGAGCCTTGGCACTGGCTTGGTCGGTGATGGTCTGATATCGACAGGCTCTGGCACACTTGTCAACATTGTAAAAGCGATCAAGGACCAGTCAACAAGTTCAGAGACCACGAACAAGGAGGTGGCAAATCTGTTTGGTGGTGAAACCAATTCATTCTTTCGTCTGAATGTGCCGATGGGGAAGAAGATCAAACTTGACGATTGGAAGGCCGTAGGCCCGCTCGCGGCGGATACTGCGAAGTACATGGAGAGCAAGGAAGCGGTACAGATCGTGGACCAGGTTGTTGAGATCCTTCTAGGAGAGCATAGACCCAAGGTGAAGCTTGGGCAGGTTGGTAAGTGAACAATGATACCCTGGACGTGTGGCTCATCTCGCTGAAAGGATATCAGCCCCTGTGGACAAAGGCCAATTCAGACCAAAGAAGCCACCAACGGGACGTCCTTCCACGACAGCTCACTACATTGGCCGCCAAGATGTCATAAGCAAGCTGGCAGAGACGCTCGTCCCACAGAAGGCTACGAGGACTTCTGCGCTGATCTGGGCAGAAGGGGGCGCAGGCAAGACTACCACTGCGTCCAGATTTCTTGACGAGTATGACAGCGAGTAAGTGAAAGGGTGCCTCTCTAGTTTCCCTTGCTATGCGGACCTGGTACTGACACAATGATACCAGGTTCGACAAGATATTCTGGGTCGACGCCTCCAACGAGGAAACCATCATCGCTAGCTACGCCCTCATAGCAGAGGTCGAGAACATTGCTGTAACTGACAGCAATGTCACAGGAGTAGTCCTGAGCTATATTGCGTCCTTTGACGGCCATTGGATCCTGGTCCTCGACAATGCCCAAAGCGACGTGAGCAAGTACGTACCTCCAGGCCAGCATGGATGTCTGCTCTTCACAAGCAGGAACAGCAGTATAAAGCCTCGCGTGGCCCCCGACAACATCATCAAACTGGAAGACTTGCAGGAAGAGGACGCCATCACGCTTCTCTTCAATATCGCTCAGATAGTTCTTCCGTCCCGCAAAGACAAAGAAGACGCCGTTCGTATCGTCCGGGACCATCTCGCGTACCTCCCGCTGGCTATCGAGCAAGCCGCTGCGCACATACAGAAACAGGAGATCTCCCTAGCAGTGTACGCATCCCGCTTCGAAGAGCAGCGAAGGTCCTTACTGAGCCGTCGTTCTCCAGGTTCTGAAGGGTCAAAATCATCAACTTCGCGGCCTCCGCCCGGGACTGAGGCTGTGCACGTCTCGTTTGATCTTACATACGAGGTCCTGGTCGACACGGCGCATGGCAACACCCTGGAGGCTCACGATGCGAAGAACGCTCTACGCGTGCTGAGCGTTTTTAGTTTCTATGCCAATGAAGGGCTGATGGGGGATATCTGTAAGCCAATTTCCTCCTTTCCTCCTTTGCCGGGATATTCACTGTAACAAAGCTTCCTGGAAAGCCCTTTTCGTCAAGCTGAAACCAATTTGTCCGCGCCTACAGTCAAACGAGCTGCTGAGAACCGACCAGCCGACCGCACGCCAGACCAGCTCGGCGGCCAGACTTTACTCTCCCTTGAGCCGGTGCTCGTCGTGAACAAAGAAACTCAGCAGTGGGATATGAGCGCCTTCCAAGCTGGCATCCTGTGTCTAATGCAGTGGAGCCTTGTCAGGACGAATGATAGAAAGGATAGATTCTCCATGCATCTCCTCACCCACGACTGGGCGCGGGAGAGGTCAACAGATCGGGAGAGACTCGCTCGTGCAGAAACCGCAAGGCACATTCTCTTCGACTCATACGCATGGATGAACAAAGGGACACGGGACTGGCTTTTCAATCGCAAACTGATGCCACACATGAGAGCCTGCTTCGATAACACCAATGCCTATGCAGATCAGAACCCGGTGGTGGATGCCAGTCACAAGGATCGGTACGCAGAGATGCTCATGCACGAGGACCGCCCACACGAGGCAATCCGCTTGCTTGAGCTTCCACTTGCAACCTTTGCCAAAGACGACCGCATCCTCACAGAGGAGTATTGGCATATGCTACGCACCGTTGCCGAGTCGGCCCTCAGCGTCGGCATGTTGGACCAGGCAGAGAAGCTGGCGAAGCAAATTGAGCGACTGCAGGACATCATGATCGGGCTTGGCAAGTTCAAGCCGTCTAGTGTCACAGTTCTCAACACGCAGGTCCTCCTTGCGGACATCCTTGCGCAAAAGCAGGGTCACTGGCCAGAGGCAGAGGCCCGACTCAACGAAATCATCGCAACCGGAGTCGCTGAGAATGGGGAGGGCCATTGGCTGGGCTATTGGCTTAGCACGCTACAGACCAAGTACACATTGCATAACCAGCACGAGGATGCCTATCAGATAGCCCGTAAGACGCACGAATTATGCCATCGGATCTACGAGGCGGGCCACAAGAACGCGCTTGACTCGACACGCAATCTAGCTCGTGCGTGTGTGCAGTCTGGACGGCTGGAAGACGCAGAAGACCTCGTTCTCGAAGTGCTCAAGGTCGAAGAAGCCCACGCAGACGGCGGCACGCAAATACAAACGCTCAACAAGACCAGAGTGCTGCTGGCGGACGTGCTGCTCCGGCAAGAACGGTACGAGGAGGCGTACAACCGCTTCGACGAGGTCGTGCAGGTGCTCCGACTAGAGCCATCCACGTCGGCTCATGAGGACCTCCCGGGAGCGTATCAGGGCCTCGGTGAGGCGGCTCTGTTTCTTGGGTACTGGGAGGAGGGACTGGACTTTGGGCGTATCGCGTTCATGTTCCTGCACAGCCATCTTGGTGCTAAGAATAAGAAGACTAGACAGGCTTGCGCGACGGTCATTTTGTGGCTTTCACAAGCAGAGGCGGTTGGATTCACAGTTAGCGGAGCTCTCTGGGACGAGTTCTGGCAGGCCGCTAATGATGTTGAGCACTGGGAGCCGGCCACGAAAGCTATGACAACTGAGCAGCACGAGGTGCAGTGCTGAGTAGGGCCAGTGATGAGGAATGATGAACCCCGTTTTATGTAGATATACACGTACGCACGATGCCTCGCAATGGTCTCTTTGTTCCGATTCTATCATTGAACATAGCTAATATGTATGCAGCTGGCTTCTATATCGTTATTCATCACAGGCTATGCGCCTGATTACTAGCCTCCACGGCCTCAAGGATCCAGTCGGCTTGTATAGCACTGACCTTCTTTGCGTAGTTCTTCTGTGTGAAGACGTGCTCCAGGAACATAATGGCCTCCTTTTTCTGCCCATGCATGACGCTCGACGGGTGAATCGCGACCACATGTTTGCCCTGTATGGTGACATAGCTGGAATCCGGGGCAAGAAGGGCGGTCTTGTTGACAAAGCCGCGCAAGAAGCACTTGAGGAGCGTCTCGGCCCGCGCCGGCGACATGGGAACAAAGGGCTGGGGGTCCTGCGGCGGCGCCTCTTTGAGAAGTTTCTCCTTCTGGCACATGCCCCTGAGCTGCTTGCGGATGTTGAGCGCCTGCCTCATGTTGCGCACGTTGAGCTTGCGCTTCTTGCACCATTCGACACGGTCCGAGTTCTCTGCAGTATAGAGCTGCATGGCTGTGAGATAGGTAAGGATGTCGCCCTCGCGGCGAAATAGTTCCTTGCGCAGCTCCTCCACCTCCTCTTTCACCTCCTCTGACTGGACCTGGAGGAATATGCTCTCGCCGGCCGTGAGACAAGCGATGATGTCGATAACCTCGAGCAGGCAATCGTATTCGGGCTCGGCGGCTGCAAGCAGCACTCGTCCGTATGGTGCAGAAATCGGAAAGAGGGACAGCTTCTTGCCGATTTCAGTGATGGTGCCGTCGTTGGCAAGCGCCCCAAGAGAATGGAGATGTAAGAGCGCCTTCTCAATCGCCTCGAGGTCTGGGAAGTCCATGAGGGGAAATGCCAGAATGTCGTTGATGCCGCGAGCCTTCATCGTCAGGACGGCGCCGAGAACATCGTTCCTCAGTATCTCTGGGAGATCGGCATCTCTCAGGCCCTTGTAGCCTTCTGTCGTGTACAGCCGGAAGCATTTGCCAGGGCCTTCACGACCAGCTCGACCCGTGCGTTGAATGGCCGAAGACTTGGAAATCGGTTTGGCCAAGAGCGACTCCATGCCCAGTCTCGAACGGAACTGCTTGACCTTGGATTTGCCACAGTCTATCACGTACCGGACGCCTGGTACCGTGACGGAAGTTTCGGCAATGTTTGTCGCCAGCACGACTTTCCTCGTGAAGCCTTTCTTTGCCGGCTGGAAGGCATCCTGTTGCGCTTGTATAGAAAGCTGACCGTACAAGGGAAAGGCGGCCAGCTTGGGTACGTCTGAGGCCAGGGTGGCCGAGTACTCTTCGATCAGCTTCTGCGCAGATTCGATCTCCTCTTGGCCCGTGAGAAAAGCAAGGATGTCGCCCGGCAGAGGTTCTTGCAGATGAATCTTGAAGATCTGCTTCAACAGTGCCTCTTGTATATCGGGCACAGGCTTCTCGGTGTGGATGATATCCACGGGGAACTGGCGGCCTTTGATCCGAAGCAGTTGCGAGGACGGTGACGATTTTCCTTCAAGATGGAAGAAATCCTGAATCTTGTCGACGTCCGCCGTAGCACTCATGACGACCACCTTCAATGGGATGCCACCACGACCCGAATTGTCGCCTGATAAGATCTGTTTGAGGAAGCCAGCGATGAGATCGACATCGACGCTGCGCTCATGGATCTCATCGACTATAACAACGCTGTACTGGCGCAGGTTGGGGTCCCGCAGCAGCTCCTGCAAGAGCATACCTTCGGTGAGGAATTTGATCTTGGTTCCCTTTGGCACATTGTGGTCAAAACGCACAGAGTAACCAACGGATCCTTCCTTGGCTGCACCCAGTGGAGTGCCCATCTCGCGAGACACGCGATTGGCAAGAGTCGTGGCGGCGACTCTTCGAGGCTGTGTGATGGCGATCATGCCGCCTACGTTGACAGTCTCGGAGCCAACCTTGACCTTCTTCCTCCTGCACCATGGCTCGTCGCAGAGGAACTGCGGCGTCTGGGTACTCTTTCCGGAACCAGTCTCACCGACCATTAGAAGGACGTTGTTGTCGCCACCCAAGCTGCTTCTGATTTCGTCCTGGTGAGCCCAGATGGGCAGGGCCTTTCTTGCCTGCAAAAGCGCTGGGTTGTGCTTGCCGATGTGCCTTGATTTTTTCTCCTTCCCATTCTGCTTCGGGACAACGTGCTTATCTGTTGATGGCCTATCCTTGGTTGCTGATATTTCAGAGCCTTCTGCTTTGGATGAGCCAAGCTTCTCTGAGGGCAAGGGCTCATTTTGCTGGGACTCTTGGCCCAAGTTTCTTTGCTGTTGGGTCTTTGACTCCGAGGCCGGCAATTTTTTGGAGGGTCCATTTGCGGTTCCAAGAAACGCGCTTAGGGATATCATTTTGTTGCCGACCTGGATGATATCTCCGGCAGCACCCTTGGCGGTCTTGCGACGCTTTGGCTTGCGCTCGTCGGCATCCATGTTGGCGTTACTACCAGAGACTCGCTTTACGTTCTTGCGGCGTAATGATGAGGCGGTGCGGGATTGTGGCGAATGTTCATGCAGTGATGAAAGCCGATATGCCTTCAGAATAATCCTTTTTTTTTCCTTTGGTAAGGGTTTACGGCTGGCATGAATTTATTGTGGGCCCGGGGGATGGATCTGGGGCACAGGCCGGTAAACTGCACTGTGGAGTCGATGGCTGTTGTCCCCAATACAGGACTTCAGCAACTCTTAGGATCGCAAGCGCATTACGCATTTTCCCATGCTCTACACCCGTATCTTTCGCCATGTGGATCCCTAGATGGAGGAGAGACAATGCACATTCCAGGAATGTAACGATGTACACATTTTCGAACCAGGGTTTCTACCCCTCGTCGCGTACCGGGGTTTCGTACCTTGGACGAAGTCATGGCCATTTGTCTTGTCATCTTTCATCATGGCTTGGGAAACAATTACGAAGGCATTCCTTGGATTTATTCTACACAAAAAGGACGAGTATACAAGACGACACTTGGTCTCAGAACCAGGCCACCCATCACGCCCCATCACCACCTTCTTCATGACGTTTCTGGATAGCTTGCATGAGCTCGTAAAGCTGGCCCATCTGTTCATCTATGAGCGCCGACCACATAGTAACACGTTAGCCGAAGCACCAGCAACCCATGAAATGATGATATGAGCAAGCCCTAAAGACCAGATAGTCGTTCACGAACTTACCACTCATCTTCTGGACCTTGGCCGGGTCCAGCTTCTCGCCCCGCCACGAATCTCCTTCGATCTTCTGCGCATAGAGCTGCCATTCCGTGAGGAAGCCGACCTGCAAGCATGTGCAAGAAGCAGACAAAGGATGTCAGTTCCCAAGTCCCCCTCAGACCGGTCTACAACACGCAGCTACCTGGACCCAGCCGGGCGTCCATGCGTGTGCAGTGCAGAGATTGCGGAGCTGAAGTCAAGTTGGTCTTTTACGTACAATGTGTACCGGGTTGTCAGTGCTCCGGTGAGCGCGGAACTCGGCCTTGATATACTCGTCGCCGAGCACTCGCATCTCGGCCGGGAGGTGCTTGCGATGCGCCCGGAACAGCCGCCGGTAAAGCGGGATCGGCGGGAGCAGCGCCAAGGCTGGCTTCAATCCATTACTGCTGGCGGCGGCGGTGGCCAGGAGTTTCTGTGTCGGCCTCATCGCTGCTGTGGGAGGTGGCTGTCCTGCCTGCCTAGGTTTGGTCTTATAGCAAGTTCAAAAAGCATCATCAGTCCTGCATCTCAGCGTAGGCATCGAAACGTCACAACCAGGTGGAGCATACAGTGTATATTGCACAATAGAACTGTGCGCGCCCGTTGCAAGTGCTTGGAGGAATGTCATGTCAAGATGCAGTATGCTGGTTGAAAAGTCTACAAAGCCCCGATACGGTATATATCTGCCATGATGACACAAGAACCCGACCGATACCAACAATGTGCTCCGGCCACTACGTTTGTCTGTCTGCCAGCTTGACAAACTGTGCCGAAATGTATTCTCCATTATCTTGTCCCAGCGTACTTTCCGCTCCATTCCCTCTAGCCCTTCCGTGAGATCTTGTTCAGCGTTGCTGTGTTCAGTAGCGTTGTGTCGCTGAGTGCATCGCTCTGTCGCAGAGTTAGTATACCAAACAATCTCGGAGGCTCTTCCGCAGGCAGCGCGTACCTTTGTGCCGAGGCGATCGATGAGATCGTTCTGCGAATCAATCTCATTGCCAATGAGCCGGGCAGCCAAATTGATCTTGTGGACATTATTCGACAGCCGCTCGAGACCTTGGTCAATCTCTTCCTCATCTGACTCGCCCTCTTCGAACGTGTACTTTGAGCGCTCAGCTGCACTAGTGGGCTTCCAAGCTCCACGGCTTGGATCAGCTCCAGAGAGCGATTTAAAACCCTGCTCCATAGATTGGTTCGCGGCATAGCCCTCCTTCCGGGTAGTTTCGCGGGTTGCCCGATCCTGTTGGTTTTGTTCCAGGAGAGCCTTCTCGTATTCTTGGTTCCGCTTACCCGACGAGAATGGGTTCTTCATACCGGGATTCCACATGCTCCTGTTGTAATATTGAAGCTCCTTAAGGCCCTGAGTTCTGGCATGGCGCGCAGCCAGCGATCCGTGGTCAAGCTGTTGCTCCGTGTAGTTCAACCGCTCATGCTGAGCACCAAGTCTGGCATATGTCGCGGAAGCGTTCTCAAGAATCTGGTTCGTGATTGCCTCCGAGTTCATCACAGACTGCTTTGACTGCTGTCTGATATCACGGATCTCGTCCTTGATGTCGTCTGCCTCCCGGTCCTCTTGCTCCTCAGCAGTAAGCTGGCGCTCTTCGCCGTAGCCTCCGTATTTGTTACCGCCTCCTACACCAGCATTAGAGGCGTAGGCATCATTGTTGTTGGAGGTCCTCTGCTGTTGCTGTCGTTGCTGGGCTCCCGAGAACAGCGCGTCACGGTTTTCGTCCGTGTCGTTACTGTCGGTGCGTCCGAGGCCACCGTACCCTCCAGGTCGCTGAGACGGGCCGCCACCGTAGCCACCGGAGCCTGCGTACTTGTTGCTGCCATACCCGGACGGCGCGCCATATCTGTCGTTGGAGTAGCCACCGCTGGGAGGAGCGGCATTCGAGTATGGTGGGGGCGCCGTTGCTGTAGAGCTCTGGCTGTCCTGTCGTCTGACACCGGGTCCGCTGGGGAGACCTCCCGGGCGACCCTGTGGTCCAGGGCTGCCTGCTGGAGGGCCGAGGTTGCTGCGAGCTTGTTGATAGGGGGACATGTACTTCTGGCTGTCCATGTACGGGTCATTGGCAGGCTGGGCCTGGGCGTAAGGGTTGTCGGACTGCGGCGGGCCCGAGGCACTCTTCTTGCCGAAGAGTGCGGAGCGGTTGGCGTCATCATCGCCGCCGCCGGACTTGTCCTTCTTGCCGAAACCGAACTTCTTCATGATGGTGTATTATGTGGCGACGACCGGCGCTGCAGTGATAGAAGTACGGGCTCGAGAATTCGAGGTGAGTGGGAGGTGAGCGTGGAAGGAGAGGGAGACAAAGTCAATCAGGGGCTTATGGCAGACGAGACGGCGGCTGTGGCCCTGTAAGTACTGCAAGTGGCCCGCCGATCGGGCAGGCAATGGGTTCCAAGGTTGAGTGGTTGGTCAGGCAGGAGCGGGCGCGACACGGGCATCTCGAGCAGATAAACCGGGGCTGAGGGGCGAGCCCGTCTTGGGGGTGTGTCAGGGCGGTGCTCCAGTGTGTTTGGAGGGCGAGCATGCGGCAGCAGGGAGGGGCTGAGCGTTCGGGGTCCTCCTGGGCCAGGCTAGCCAAGCCACGGGTTGGGCGCCTATGGCTGCAACCTGGGAAGGTTCCCTCTGCGCGAGCACCTTGGAGTCCGTCCGTGCAGCAGTCTAAACGGCGGAGAGGAGGCGAAGGAACTCTGTTTGGAACAAAAGCGCTGCGTTGATGAGATGCAGGCTCAGCCGTCCCTGTTAGAGGCAATGAAGATCCCAGGAAAGCCTTCAAGGGGAGAGCTCATCACAGAAGGGAGGCCTGGATGCAATCAAGCACAAACGGAAACGTGCGGACGTTCTGGCAGAAAGGTCATGGCCTGTGAAGATGCTGCCTCTCGAAACGGCCCAACAGCTAAGCTGACTGTCGGTCGTCCAAAGCCTGCCTGCGCCATCTGTCGTACGTGGCCATGGACCAAGGTCGATTCTGGAGGCCAATGAGGTTACCGTGATATCCTGATCAGCAGTGCTCAAGTTAGAGTCGACGAAGTCATGGCTGTGGCGCGGTTCCACCTCTGGACTCAGGTCCCTGATTCTGCTGCCTGTTGCTGGGGCTTGGGGGAACGATGACAAGCAGCGATGACGTCCACCTCGTATAACCATCGAGGACATCTGTGTGGGAGATCAGCAAGCTGCTCGTGGACAACTACATGTGCTGCTTGAGCACAGACGGAGTGGTGAATTAGGCCATATGGATTCTGCAACAGCTCAGGGTTCTAATGCAGGGCGGGCGGGACAGCGGCTGAAAATAGTCACTCCAAGTCGCGGCAATCACAGCTGCGAAGCTTGTCGGCCAGGCCTGGAGTGCGTGCGGGTTAATTGTCGATCGTGCAAAGCCAGTTTATTTACTGTACCTGGCACAGTCCTGCAGGCGGGAGCACTTGACGGCCATGGCCCCGCTGTTACCGAGTGTTTGTTGGCGGAAGTGCCGTTGCGGAGACGTATCATGACTCCCTGCGGAGACTGGCTTCCAAATCGGTCTGGGGCACGCCGGTATGCGTCACACTCTGTCTTCATGACATTGTCTACATGACTGGGCATCCATTTCATCCCGTCTCTGTCACCACCAACTTCATCTTCTCTGCTGCTCCCTTCAAACTGCCACCTGAAGATGGCGGCTGCCAGTGCCCACTGCTAAGCTTCCACAATCGACACCACGTTCCAACCTGAAGATGCTCATCAGAAAGCATTTCGACCACAGCCCCCTAGCAATACGTAAAAGTAGCTGTGCAATAACGGACGTCAAGTGAAGCCTCGAATTGTCCGCTGAAAATCCGCCGGCAAAAGCCCTTGCGATATCGGTAGTGATAGGTTCTACGGCCTCGTACGAGACATCCAGGCCCGGGAGGCACAGCCACCATGGCTTCCATCTTCACCTTTGACACGGCACCTCCAAGAGTGAACTCGCCGTGGGAAGCAAATCTAGACTCTCGGACGAGACCGCTGCCCGGGCGCTCACTTTCGGCCGGTCCAACGGTCGAGGCCGATGATGGCTCCGATCTGGACCTGGACAGACTAGAGGCCGAGCCTCAGGATGGCCCGATCGAGTACAAGCTGCATCTGTTACTCCGCCCGCGAAGGAGCTACAAGATGATGAGCACGACAACGAAGACGCGGTCTCGTTCGGGGCGTACCTCGAAGCTGGTCAAGGATCCTGGCCTTCCCTTGGCAGCTTCAGCCCAAACTCGCCAGAATCGGCTGCAGCACCTGACTACACAGTTATTATGGAGGTTGCAACAATCTTCACCTTATCATAGCACCGCAAAAAATGACTTGGTCATACCGAAAGCGCCAGATGAAGAAGTCGACCTCGAAACTCTCGAGAAACCGGGGCGACTACTTCCCGGCCTAGAAGAATCCAATGGAGCGCTCTATGAGATCGGCGTCGCCGACGATGGGACCCTTGTCGGTCTCACGAAGGATGAAATGGACGAGAGTATGAGGACGTTGAAAATCAGTAAGTGCTCGTACATCATTTGGGTACAGTGCAGTGAGACTTTGCTGCGATATGAAGCCCTTGAGCTGACATTCTCGCAGTGGCTGCCAGCTTGGGCTGCAGAGTCGAGGTCCAACGCATGAAGGCAGTGGGAACCTGCCAATGGGCAGATGAGGCGCTCGATGTTGAAGAGAAAGTGCATGAGGCAGACTTGTGGGTTGCCGAAGCTCTTGTCAGCCCTATCCTCAACACTCAGTGTGCCAGAGAAGACGAGGCCAAACACGACCGCACCCCTACCGCTAGGCCCGGCTCCTCGACGGCAAAACAACTTCGCGTGGCTCTGACTGGTCCAACGACTTCAGGCAAGACATCGATATTGGGGACCTTATCCAACGGCTGCCTAGACAACGGTCGAGGCAGTAGCAGGATGAATTTGCTCAAGCATCAGCACGAGGTCGCGTCTGGTCGCACAAGCTCAGTTGCACAGGAACTGATCGGCTACCAGGGGGACAAGGTTTACAACTATGCAATGGATAATATCAACGCGTGGCCCGATATTCATGATCAGACGTCCACCGGTCGTTTGGTGTTCTTTCTCGATTCGGCGGGACATCCACGGTATCAGCGTACGACCCTCAGAGCGTTGGTTGGCTGGGCTCCTGACTGGACGGTGCTTTGCATAGCCGCGAACGAGGGAGATTCTCCTTTCTCCAGCGCACATTCGCTGTCAGCAAGCGAAGGGCCCAGTGGCCATGGTATGGGTTACTTGGATCTAGCGATGGCTCATCTGGACCTGTGCCTGAAGCTTGAGATTCCCTTGGTGATCCTCATCACCAAGTACGACTTGGCACAGCGTGGCCCGCTCAGGGAGCTCATGAGCATGATCTTGTCCAAGATCAAGTTGATGCAAAGAACCCCAAAGCTTCTTGCGCCAGCCGCAGGTGCCAGTGTTGACTTGAGCCTGGACGAGATCCCTAGCAGCGATAGCGCCCGAGTGCAGACAGAGGTCATTGACAAGATCAACGAGACGGGGGACCTTCTCTCGATCGTGCCTGTCCTTCTGACCAGTGCAGTCAAGGGTACCAATATCCCTCTTACGCATGCCCTGCTTCGGGCACTGCCGATACCGCCTGGACCAACTGCCAGAGACTTTGTGCCTGCCGCTCTGAATCCAGAACAGCCCCAGACACTCTTCCACATCGACGAGGTGTACGAACTACCTTTGTCGAGGGGCCAGGTAGCGAATATCGATGGTCGGCCAGAACGAGCCCCCGTAGTCACAGGATATCTGCGCTTCGGGAAGTTGACCATTGGCGATGAGATTGTGCTCGGGCCGTTCCCCGCAGAGGAGGACGAGGCTGGGGCTTTTGTGCCTCAAGATCATCCCTCTCCTGGATACGGCCTTTCGTTGCCGCATCCCTCTTCTGCCCAGTATGCTCGCCTCAACTCCCGGCATCCCAGATCGGCGTCTGCCATAGATGGCGAGTGGCGCACAGCCACGGTCGTGAACATACGCAATCTGCGCATGCCTGTGCAGAGTCTCGAGGCTGGTCAGGCAGGATCGCTGCAAATCTCAGTGCACGACACATCGAGCAACACGTCAGAGTCGGAAGGCATGCCAGACCAAGCGAGAACGCCAGCAGTGCGTCTCCGCAAAGGCCAGGTCATCGCCGTGCCGAGCAAGCACATGGTCGACACGGGGCTTACGTTGCAGGCTGCGAGCGGCTTCACGGCGTCGTTCAAGAGTCCTGACGTCAAGGCCCTGACGATCGGCGGCATGATCAACATCTATGTCGGCATGGTTCGCGCGGCGGCGCGGATCCTGCATGTTGCCAAGGGCAAGTCGATGCTCGATCTGCACAAGCCGGGTGCGGATGAGGGCGAGGACCTGTTCGTCATGACGGACCATGTCGAGCTCGAACGCACGCGGTCAGAGGCAGACCTGCAGGATTACCAGGTCGAATATCACGTGTCGTTTGAACTGCTCACCAACAAGGAGTGGATCGAGCTGGGCTCTCGAGTCGTGATCAACGAGGGCAGTAGTAAGGACAAGTCGGGGCTTGACGGATACGTCGGGCAGGTGATAGAGATTTCGGAGTAGTAAGACAGCCAGAATTGTAATGTTTCCAAATAGCGTTAACACCATAGATACCATTTATTTTGCGAGCACCTTTTCACCATGAGGGTACCCAGTTCGACGACATGGTATCAAAGAACAAAACGCTATGCTACCACCAAGATGTATTGTTTCGCCTTCATGCTCTCTGCTTCCCACAAACACAAAGTGTTACCGGATTGCAAGGATTGCAAAGCGACTCCCTGCCGCGCCCTCTCTGCCTTCCCCATCCATCACGCCCTCACCAGCCCGTAAAACAGCGTCCACGTCAAGATGTACCCCGGCAGCCCGCCAAACAGGCCGCCGAACCAAAACTCGTACTGGGAGCGGTAGTACCGGCTCGTGTCCAGCGGTGCCAGGCCGGCTTTTAAGGACGTCGGCGCGACGCGGAGGGCGTAGAAGAGAACGGTGGTCATGATGGTCAGGACAAAGTAGAAGAGGAAGCCGCTGTAGGACTCGAGACCCAGGATGCCGGCGGAGGCGCCGAATATCGACCCTAAGAGGGACTGGAAGTCTGAGAGGACCTGTGTTCTTCCTTTGTCAGTTGAGAAATCACGAGGTGTTTAACGACTGTGTGAGTTGCGATAGCAGGGCTATCTGTGGATCTAAAGTGGTATCGCTCTGGTCGGGGCTTCGATGGCTTGGGACAGGCAGACAGGCAGGACGGCGACGTCCCGTGGACTGACGGACCTTGTTGTTTTGCATGACCGATTCGGGCACGATCGGTGAGATCTGCAACTCCTTTTCTGTCGGCGCCATCTTGTCTCAATGTTTTCCCACTGTTCTTCTGAGAATAGCTGGTCGGGCTAATGTGGTGGTTTCACGTCGGCATGCGAGTGGTCGTCGAGTCGAGGGCCGCAAGCAAGCTGGAGAGTACTTAGTCGCAGGCGGCAGGCGGCTCCGGGCGGTCGACGATAAGGCGGAGGTGATGTCTCTCGTCGGGAATCGTTGTTCCTGGACTTGGTGTGGTCGTTGCAGGTGACAATGATAATGATGCTGATGATGATGGTGGTGATGGCGGCGCTGTTGTGATGCTAGTTGTCGCACACCCAGCCGATAGCCTCTGACGATAAGGCGACGTCGAGCTTGCTGGTGTGGGGGAACCTGCAAGCTCCCCCCCAGGGATGGGTTGCTGAGCTGATCTCCCCGCGAATTGTTCGCCTCGCCAGCTTGCCCAGCTGGAGCTCCCAGATACATCAATTTTCACACACAAACTTCCTGAGGTCGGGAGCAACCTTAAAATCATACTCACGAGGTATTCTGTCGATTGACAGGTTGGCAGCAGAGCTACGGAGACTCCGCTTGTAACAACGATGACAGATCTGTATTCTCATGCAGCACTCTCGTCGTGCAGCACCGTCGCTCGCACCCGACGGCATTGGCACATTGTTGCACATGCAAATAATGTAGTGTACATATCTTGAGGTTTGGGGCTCTCTCTGAGGGTTGACAATGGCCAAGTCCTTTCTTGTGCGTCGTGTGATTCGTGTGTGCAGGCATCACGCAAAACAAGCAGAAGCAACGTTGCTGGCAGCAACCATGATTACCAGTCATCCGAGTGCACACAGTCTGTGAAAGCCACCTGCAAAGTTGCGGCTGTGGCCTCCAGCAGCCAACATGTCCGTTCCAATGTCTCGGCGCCACAAACCCGCCGCGGCTGGGCATTCGGAGTCTTGGGCTGGCTGGAGTATCCACCTAGAGGACCAATGGTCGCCGTCCCGGCGGTTGTGCATGAAACTCCAGGGCTGATTAGGCGCCCGGATGCACTAGGACGGCCAACTAAGGCTATGGCCCTGGCGACCGAGGCTGTGTTGCAGGAACCCTGATGAGAGAGCGAGTCGTGCATATTATTGTGTGCTGCCGGTGGGACGTAATTACTTAGTGTACTCGAGCACTTAAGCACGTGCGTAGTACAGTAATGAAACCAGAGATGTTGAGTTGTTCACCACCGCCTCATGCCATGCCATGCTATCTCGGGGCCCGCCCGTGGAACACGCAAGTAAAGCACGGACTCCAGTCCAAGTGGATGTTGCGGAGTGGGCGCAACTCCCTTTATGCCCCGATGCCAATTTGCCTGGCCAGCCTGGAGCCTCGCCCCGGCGGCCGGCATGGGAAATTGGGAGTTTGATGTCGGCCATCCATGCTGACGACCCGAGAACCCCGGCTCCAGGCGCCGCTGGGGACCCTGACATGTGCCCGCCGGTTCACTCCTCTGCTTGGGGTTCCCCTGAATCGCTCATCCAACGGCACCCGTGGACACTGTGGCTGCTCTAGCTACCTGACCTAGTGCGCTCCACGAGCATGATCGAGCCATGCTGCCAGCTTCCTAATACAGGCGCCAGCAGAGCAAACAGCGAGATTACAAGTTACTGCGGCCCGTCTCTTTAGCGGTTCGACCTACAGCAGCCTTGTCCCACAGCTTAGCTTGCAGCCATTGGCGACGACGACTCCAAGACAACAAACAAACATTGTCATCATCATCAACACATCACCACCACCACCACCACCAACAAGCAGCAATCGCCACAAGCAGTCGGTGCTGCGTCCCACAACTTTGTCACTGATTCGGTTCATGTGACAGCCCTCGGCGCGCTTATTCTTAGCCTCACCTCCTCGTGTCGATCCACTTGGCCTGCCTCCGATCTGCCAACCACCACGACACTCTGCCGAACCAAGACAGCACGTCACACAGCATTCCACGCCGCCGCCCAGAGAGCCTTGGCAGCCACGCGCAACAACACAACTCACCTCGACGATCTCGGCCCAGCCACCGCAACACTCGAGCGTCCGCCAGCAGCCTATGGACGTGGTCCATCGTGCGACCTGAGTGACGAACCCTCATGGAGACCTTTGTCGACGAAGGCACGCCTCTGAGCAATTACCTCGAAGGTGCGACGTCCTCTGCCACCCTGTCCAGCACCGCTCCTTCCGCTTCTGCATGAACTTCCCCGAGCGAACCGCCGTTTACCGCTGCTTCTTCGCGACGCACTACTTGCGCACCATGGCGACCAACTGTCTAACAGTCGTTGTCACAGGCGCGGGCGAGAGAGAAGAGCCAGAATGGCAAGAGCCGACCGATGCCAACTCGGCGGCATATGACGACTCCCCGCCGTCCACGCCCCTTCGCGACTTTGCGCCTAGAGGCCTGCCGAAACTCCGCCAGCGATTCCGAGACCGCCTACCCGCGCGGCTTCAGGTCGACGTCCCTGTGCGGACCGACCTTGGAACCATCACTACAAACAGCGCCCCGCTGGTCGACCTGTTCCAGTTCCTCTACGAGACAGTCACATCGTCCATCGACCACGCCCGGTCAATAGGTTTTCTCGAGCGGCTTCGTCTTGCGATTGTGCAGTCACAACTGCTAGATAATGCTTTGATTCTAGGCCCCCAGGCCGCTGCCGAGTCCGTCATCTCGCCTCCGTCCGAAGAAGCCAGCTTCCACGGTCTCACGGCTTCTGGTGCTGTTGCTGCTGCGCTGCTCGGTGCCGGCGCAGCAGTGCTGGTTCGATGGTTCAGGCAAGGCGGCATCACGCCAACCTGGAAGCGCCTCTTCACGTCCATGTTGGTGCTGGCGGTCTTCCTCGCCCTCGGCAGGACATATGTGCGGCGGCAGATCCTGCGCAACATCCAGAAGCGAGGCCTCTCTGAGGCGTCCACATTCTTTTCCTTGTCGCGGGAGTTTGACGCTGCTAACGGAGCCGCCCTCAACTTCATTATGGAAGTTGAGCTGGTGGCACGTGGTTACCGTTTGTAAGCGTTCTTGCAAAACCGTCCTAATAGTCGCTCGACCTCTTGCTGACATGATATTCTAGGAGCACGCCTATCCCTCCGATCAGCCGTCTCGAGAACAATGGCCAGAATGTCAAGTGTTTGCAGCTTCGGACTGCAGTGCGATTGGGCCTCCTGGAAATCATCCCCAAGTATTACCAAACTGCCCTGGCCATTTGGGGCTTGGCAGAGCAGTTTCAGCTCGCGCAACTCCAGTCGCAATACCAGTTTACACTGGCCGATGTGGTGGAGCGATACCAGCAGCTGGACCTCGATGTCGAGATAGGGCAGGACACCGAGAAGCTGCAGTCGCTCAAAGATGTGGCTTTCTTATTTCATGACATCCGCAAGGTCTTCTTGGGTGGCATATTGGCCCTGCATACAGATGGCACAGAGACCGATCGTGTTCGGTACACTGCCATTTCTGAGGCGTTTGTCGAGCTGAATATCGTTACAAAGAAGTCCCTGAGCAGGGTGCGGGAGGTCCTCGCCGGGACTGACAGTAAGTACAACGACTACAGTCAAGGCGCTGGTCAAGCAATGCTAACACTCATTCACAGTGCCCGTGGCTACAAGCACACCAAAGAGCCCACGATCCCCGAGACATGACCAGTGGCATCATCAAGTCAGGCGGTTGAGTTCGATGACCATGAACATTCGAAGCGTGCAGGCGAAGCTTCATCTTCTTCGCGAGGAGTCCGCACGATCATTGGACAATGCCGACGACATTAGCGACCTTGGACCAATGTTCATGTCACAGTACGAGTCTATTGGACAAGATCTGCGCGACTTGATGGAGGCCTGGCAGACCGGCAAGGCGACCTTGGCTTCTGGAATCAACAGGAATGAGAAGCGGCTGTCATCGATTGGCTCCGTCCTGGCATCGCCCTCGAGCACACTAAGTGGACTGACCATCGCCGAGGAGGGTGACAGTAGCCAGGACGAGAAGGATGGCGTTGAGGCTGCGCTGAGAAAGCTCAACGGCAACATGACACCGCCAGATGTCGAGCCGGAAGTCTTCGAGGCAGTCTCGCTCCCGCGGCCGCGTAGTATGCTGTCGCGAGAAGAGCGCATCGTCAAGATGAAGGAGGACCGAAAGACCAAGGAGGTGGCACGCGCGAAAGCTGAGGCCCACCGTGGTATGATGCGAGAGCTGCAGGGAGTCATCGCAAGGAAACCAGCGGTTTCCCGCATGTCCTTGTAATGCTCCAACGAAGAAGGCATGATCTTCATTACGACAAACTCTAATCATCTTTGCTTTGTATCATTGTCCGGCATGATTTGGGGTTCGCAAGCATTTCAAAGGGCGCAACGGATAAGACATAGAATGATGGCTGTGCCCATCTTGGCCGGCATATATCGACAGGTGTTCATCGGAGTTATGGGGTGCTCGTGGAGATTTCCGAGGTTAGCGTCGCGTTTTTTTTTTTCCACATCAGCATCAGAAGCCATGTCCAAGTACAGACAAAGCGGGCAAACCCGTCTCTCGCTATATAATTCATTTGTCCTTTGCATATCTCGACATTCGCCGTAAATGGTCCTTGCATGACAGCCATGGAGTAGTAACGAGAGTGAATCCACGCCTCCTCGCCAAGATCTGTTCCTTCATCGTTATTGTGAATGCTACGCTCCTCTCTGGACGAGCCTCGCGAAATCTCCACGGCTCCGTCATATTCAGGCTTCTATTTCATCATATTAAGTCTTCCTGTCCGTCAAAGGAGCTACGTGCAGCTAGAAGCCATGTGCAAGTATCAGCGGGCAGCTTGCTCAGGCACAAGTTGTTTTGCGCTAAACCTCTCTTGGTGAGCGCGTTGGCCATGCACTTTACGCGCTCCGGGGCGGCGCGGGCAAGCTCTAGGCGGAAGCGCGTCCGCCCCGCGCCTGCCACACCCTCAGCTACCAGGTATTGCAATCCCACCTTTTGCAGCCGTGCTTCTTTTCCTTGTTACACTGCACAAAACACCACAACAAGTCCTCCCTCCAACAGAACTCGATCTCTGACAATATATCGACTCTCTCCGTAACTTACAATTAGCACCAGTCTCTCAATCATCACATATACACACTGGTGAGTAGCCAAAACGTAGACGGAAGCCCCCAACGATCTACTGCTCACACCGACACAGCCAAAATGCTGGAAGCCAGACTCGAACAGGCGCAGCTCCTGAAGAAGGTGAGTTCTCGGCAATCCCTGCGCCCCCGTTGCGCAACGAAGATCACGGCGGCATATACTGACAACCACAGGTGGTGGATGCCATCAAGGATCTCGTCCAGGACTGCAACTTCGACTGCAATGACTCCGGTATCGCGCTCCAGGCCATGGACAACTCCCACGTCGCGCTGGTATCCATGATGCTCAAGGCGGAAGGCTTCTCTCCCTACCGCTGCGATCGCAACATCGCCCTCGGCGTCAACCTGGTCTCGTTGACCAAGGTCCTGCGCGCCGCTCAGAACGAGGATATCCTCACCCTCAAGGCCGAGGACGCGCCCGACTCGCTGAACCTCGTCTTTGAGAGCTCGCAGAACGACAGAATCTCCGAGTACGACCTCAAGCTCATGGACATTGACCAGGAGCACCTCGGTATCCCTGAGACAGAGTACGCCGCCACCATTGCGATGCCGTCGGCCGAGTTCAGACGGATTTGCACAGATTTGATGGCCATGTCAGAGTCTGGTGAGTATTCTCTGAGCAATCAATTCGCCCTGTAACGCCCAGAGCTAACACTGCACTGCAGTCACAATCGAGGCCAGCAAGGATGGCGTCAAGTTCTCCTGCAATGGCGACATTGGTAACGGTGCCGTCACACTGCGCAGCCACCAGGATGTCGACAAGCCTGAGCAGAACATAGACATTGAGCTTACTGAGCCCGTGTCTCTGACCTTCTCCCTCAAGTACCTCGTCAACTTCTGCAAGGCCCAGGCTCTATCCACCAGTGTGAAGATCTGCCTCTCCAACGAGGTTCCTCTGCTGGTAGAGTACACCCTGTCTGGTAGCAGTTATTTGCGCTTCTACCTGGCTCCCAAGGTGAGTCCATCACAGCTTTTCTCCTGATGTTCCTCCTTCTACCTTGATTTATGGCTGACACATTGGATTACACAGATTGGTGATGAGGAGTAAGCGATTGCTTTGAAATGACGGGCAGGACGAACTTAACGAGACATAATGCAAAATTCAATGGTATTTGAGAGGACAAGATGAGGAAGGGTCGGTTAGAGGGCCACTAAAGAGCAACCGCCTGCGGACCAGGACATTATCGTACAAATGTTGACCGCATCTGAGTCCCGGGCTGCCACCAGGATCACAAGGATGAGCAACGCAGCCAGGCCGTGGATTGCCCTTCTCACAGTCAGGTGAACAGGCCTGATGGCCTGACCTGTATCTTGCAGATACCCTAATAGACATGTGAATACTCCATCACCGATCACACACCTCACTGCGGGTCGTGACGCAGGATGGCGGACTACTGTTGTGCAGGAGCGGGAGACCCTTGACGCGGGGCTTGCCCAGAGAGCTTTTGTCGCCTACGCAGGCGACTGAGCTCATGATGCATAGCGGGGCCACTGTATATGCACTTCAATCTCGAAAGAACGCAGAAACATCCCGGGACGTGTGATCTCTACAATGACACACGCCGGAACCCTTCCGTCCCGTTCCTGCGGTGCCGGCCTCTCCTGACTGAAAGTGAGGAGGGGCGGGCCGTCGAGTCATGGAGATGATTCGGCGCGGCACTGGGCCTGCTCTGTCATGGTGCGACCCCTCCTCCGGCGCTTGCCGGTCCTGACTCCGGGGTCGCTCGACAAGGCTGGCTAGGCTAGTTTGAGCTTTTCAAACTCGGCCTGGGTTTAAGATCTCATTCTCTTGCCTCTTTCCTGGCCCGAAGCTACACGAGCGTGACTAGCGATTGCATTCGAATCCTCGACTGGCGCATCAACGGCCGGATAGATCACTTGCGCCAGGCGAGCCCTCGAGAACCCTTGGTGGGGCAGGATTTTCGCGACGTCATCCTTGCTTGCGCCGACGAGCCGTGAAGTACACGACGACAAACAGCAGCGTTCTCCGACGCCGCGCACGTGGGAGGTCCCGGATTCTCGAACCGTCGCATTGGTGCTCTTCGCCCAATATCCTGCTGTCAGACCAGCTTGAACAATACTTGGGGCGGAGAAGGGCTTTTCAAGACAATGGGTTTGGAACCACCGGTGCCGGAGACCAGCGTGCTGGCAGTGGCGAGCCATGTGAGTTGTTTGATGACCGACTACGCAATCTGAAGGGGGGTTCGCGAGGTAGCGACGAGACTAAGAATACCGGCGAAGAGAACTTGGCTGACTGTTGGCACCTTTGTGCGTGATCCCAGGTTGTTTCAGGGTGAGCTCTTGTTCCTCCTACACCTCTGCGCATCGCCCGGTTCTTCTTGCCCTCCGACGGCGATAGATTGCGAACAAGAAAGCGACTGGCGCCGGCAACCTGGGTTCTGACGATTCCTTTAGAAATGTTGGAAACAAGATTGCCGTCTTCACGTTGCAGTCCATGGGTTGCGAGGTCGCTGCGTTAAATACCGTACAGTTCAGTAAGCATAGCCGCTTCTCTGCACTCTGAACCCTTCGTGTCTGGGATGGAAAGCAAAGACGCGGGTGATTTGCGGGCGCATAGACACAAACACAACAAGTACGACGACCCAAGGCTAATTCACTCATCACCCACCGACTTCCAGGCAACCACACGGGCTACCGGCAATGGAAAGGCGCGCGCGTATCCGCGCAGGAGATCACGGACCTGTGGGACGGCCTGAAGCAATCGTATCTCGACGACTTCGACATGATGCTGTCGGGCTACGTCCCCGGAGCCGCCGCCGTCGAGGCCGTGGGCAACATCGCGAAGGAGTTGCGGGCAAAGTCGACCGCCGCCTCGGGCAAGGGTCGCGCAGGCGGGAGGTTCTTCTGGGTGCTCGATCCGGTAATGGGCGACAACGGCAAGATCTACGTCGCGGAGGACGTTGTGCCTGCATATCGCGGGCTGGTGCCGTACGCGGACTTGATTCTGCCGAACCAGTTCGAGGCTGAGTGAGTCTTCACGTCTATCCTCGAAGGGGGAAAGTCAGCTTGGACGCTCCACTGGCGAGAGAAGGAGGGGGGAAACCCATGGCTAACGACTCCCAAAATAAAACGCACCTGCCGCAGACTCCTATCCGACGTCAAGATCACCGACTCGGCCTCCCTCGAGCAGGCCATCCACGTCCTGCACGAGCGGTACCAGATCCCGCACATCGTGATAACGTCTGTCTCGCTGCCGCTCAAGGGCTCGCAGACCCCCTCGGTGGCCAACTCGCGCGCCCAGTCGCCCGTGCAGTCCGTGCCGCCGTCGACAAAGACCATGTCGGTCGTGGGTTCGTCCATGACGTCCGCGCTCAAGCCGCGGCTGTTCAAGATCCACTTCCCCGTGTTTGACGGCTACTTCAGCGGCACGGGCGACATGTTTGCCGCGCTCATGGTGACGAGGATGCGCGAGGCCGTGTACCAGGCCGACAGCGCCACATCCTCTTCTGCTGCTTCTTCTACGTCTTCTTCTGCTGCCACCCCCTCTCCAGGTGACAAGACACCACCACCGACGACGACGACAACTACAACAACAACGTTACTGCGCGACACGCCATCCTGGCTCAGCCCGGACTCGGTCGACGTGCTGGACCTGCCGCTTGTCAAGGCCGCGGAGAAGGTCCTGGCGAGCATGCACGAGGTCCTGGCGCGCACGTGCGCCAGCATGGTCGGCGAGGTCGAGAGGGCGGTCGCGGCGCGCGGCGGGCCGGACAAGGTGGACGCCCAGACTTTGCACCTAGTGCGGTCGCGCGCCGCGGAGCTCAGGCTGGCCCGGAACCTGGAGTGTCTGAGGAATCCCGAGATTGAGTATCGCGCCGAGAAGATGTGAGTATTTTTTTCAAAAGGGAAGAACTGGCATTTTCTCGTCTGTCGTGAAGTAGACGAAGAAGGGGAAGAGGAAGAAGGGAGAGTGGTGAATTGGGTCGGGGCAGCGTGCGTGTGACATGACTGGAATATACAAGAGCTGCATTAGATATAATACATAGAGGTGGAAGCATTCAGCTTAGTAGGAGCAGATCAGGAAAAAGCTTTCCTTGGGAGCAGGCAAAGCCTTATTGAATGGATTTCAGTCACGGGCACCTGAATATTTAAGATGGAGAGGTTCGGCTTCAAGGCATTGTGGCACCTCTTACTTTCAAGACGCTTTTGGACGATGTGGCTCATGAAGGCATTGCTCATTATATTTCTTGCTCGGCTCTAAATCTAGCTTGCCGCTGCCCTCTCTACCCAGATACTGCCCCGACTTGCGCGCTGCAAATAGTCGGGTCTCATCGTTAAGCGTGGCTCGACCAGGATTCCACAACCTACAGTGTGTCCAACATGGTCGAATGCCCTAGTTCTTGCCAGTGCTGCCAAAACCACCAGCGCCGCGGATGCTCTCCTCCAGCTCCGCGACCTCGACGACCTCAGGGGTGTAGATGCGCTCGATGACGAGCTGTGCCACACGGTCGCCTTCAACGACCGCAAAGTCCGTGTCGGCGTGATTGAAAAGCAGAACCTTGACCTGGCCTCTGTAGTCGGCATCGATGACACCGGCGCCGGTGTCGATGAAGTGCTTGCTGGCGAGGCCGCTTCGGGGGGCGATCCGGCCGTCTGGAGAGAAAGGACAACAAGTAAGTACTTGGTTTGGTGCGGTGGCTTGCTCATGGACAAGTGATCCGATACACAGGAAGGCGCAACTGGGGTGTGGGGGACCATACATGTGCCGGCAGGAACGGCAATTGCAATATCAGTATCGACAAGAGCCTTGCCCCGAGCGGGGATGGTGGTGGCCTTGGAGGCGTAGAGGTCGTAACCAGCAGCGAAAGCACTGCCCCTCGTGGGGAGCTTGGCGGTCTCGGAGAGCTTCTTGATCAGCAACGGCGGTGCCTGCTCAAGAAGTGGCGCGGCAGTGCCATTCTCAGCTGTGGCAACAGCAGTCGACATGTTGGTCTTGTTGTTGTCGGATGCGGCTGTCGAGGAGGCGGCAGGGTCTGTCTTGACTCGCTTTGCTGGAGGGGAATTGGGCGGTGAAGTGATGATGGGGAGCTCGCTGGTGCTCATTCTTCTCTGTAGGCGTCGCTCGAGTATATGTATATGTTGGCGGATGTCCGGATGGCGGTCAGCCTTGACTGAACATATGGCAGGTCGATAGCGAATCAATGTCTGGTGAACAGAGCGCAGGGTGTAAAACTTGCGAGATGATGATGTGATCATTGAGTGTGGTCCCTGGACGGCTGCCGAGTGGGACGAGACGCGCTGCAGACCGCGATTTGGGGTTTCGCGTTGAGGGGTTGCTTTTTTGGGAGCTAAAATGGGGGTACCTTGCAGGACTTCGGCAGCGTGCACCGCCAAGCCACAAGAATCAGTCTATGCAGCAACGAGTCCTTCCAGTATTGCTGAAAGCTGGCATGGCCCACGGAGGCAAGGCTCCAGAAGGTCTGCACTGGCGTGGCATCGGTGTCGAGCCTGAAGGACCGTTCAAGGTGGCCTTGATGGTTAGATGCCTGCATGCATCATACCAGACCCGATCCATATCCCAAGAATCATACTGTAACCGATACACCTCTACCAAAACTCTCGGACTAATGCGTCCGCGTCTTGTCCGCGTGCTTCAGTCGTCGAGCTCGCGGCCGAAATCGATGAGGCGCAACCTCATAGCGTCCTTGGGGTGAAACTGGGCCACCTTGGAACGGATCAGGAACCTGGCTGCTGCTGTTTCGCGAGGGATCTGTACGTAAGCTGCGGAATAGTCTCCTTCGGATTGAGCAAGACCATTCAAGAGCGCCTCCGTAAGCTCCCGCATGTCTGCTGCGGCAGCGGTCGCCTCATCACGTCCGCTTGTGGCAGCATCTCGCGACTCATCCTCCTGCGGCTGTCCCCAGATCTCATCGATACGTCTCTGGCGCTTGTCCTGGTTGGTGCCGTCCTTGGCTTTCTTCAGTCGTCCTTGGGCATTAAAGCCTGCGGCCAAGTCGTCGGTCTCGAAGTCAACCATGTCACCAACGACAGGCCCTCCCATCTCTTCTGCAGCCAGCATCGCGGCCAGGTGCTCGTCTATGAACTTTTTCATGGACCGCAGCAGCTTGGACGTCTCCCGATCGTAGGACTTCGATTTCTGCTTCAGCTCGCTGATGCGCTCCCTTGCGACATCATCGGGGCTCAGCTCCATCTGATTCGCAATGTCATCTTTCAATGTGCGAATCCTTCGTTGCAGGCTCTGATTGAGAGCCTGGTTGTCTTTCAGACCAGTCTGTTCGGCACGAAGACGCTTCTTGGCCTGCTCAACCAAGTCGGCGTGCATCGTGAGGTGAGCTCTTGTGTCCTCGACCGTCTCATGAGTCTTCTGCAGAGCCAGTAAAGCTGGTAATACAGAGTCAGGAAAGGGTAGGTAAGGGGCCTGTGCAGCGAGATTGTCGTATGCCTCTGTCATTACTTCCAACGACGCGACAGGCGAAGCCGGTTGTTGCGCCTTTCGCGAAGGCGGTGGCTGCGCGCGAAGCTGGAACTCATTCGTCAACACGAGATCGTCTCAGTACGAATTAATGCACTGACCTTTGCGAGCGCGACTTCATGTTCTCTGATCCTGTCTTCGAGCTCTGCAATAGTGTCACGGACCTGACTTTCATGGAGCTCGGGGCTCTCGCTATCAAACGCGTCCTCCATTATTGTTTATACTTGTAGCTGCCGACTGTTTCGGGCAGTGCTGCACCGCAACAGAAGGTCGCGAGGTAGAAAGGCACTGAAAATTGCGTCCTGAATGTATGTTGCAAGTATTTGTCACAAAGAAACAAGCCCACCTGATGGGATTGCACGGTGGAGGCTCCAGGCTCGAGCTTCTGTAGCAGCTCGTCGGAGTAGGAAGGTGCTTAAGTTGTGATATGACGACCCGCACGGAGGGCCGAGCATGTGCAACCTCTGAAAAGGTTCACCTGCGGCGCTGCATGTCATGCAAGAATGCTGATGGGGATCCTGCGGCACAGCGAGACCAGTGATGCAAGCAGGCAGCTGTGTTCGTGATACTTCCAAGGTTGTGTCACGGGCTGGACCACCACGCGTATGCACACATCCGCCCACTGGTGGAGCTTTTGCACGACGGTGGCATTCCACAGCTCGAGCCGCACAAGGCCAGCGGGAACGCAGCCAACAACCCGTCTCGCGTTGTCCAATATGCTAGAGGTCCCATTTCTCTCCATACTCTGGATAATCATCACTGATATATTTTCTGGCAAACTTTGCGCTCCTTCAGGATTGCAAACTGCACCTCTTCCGGATCCCCCTTTGATCCCCCCGGCTCCTCGGTCCCCATATTTCTGGGAGCACTGGCCAGTCAGCGCTGATTGCTTTGGGGGCCACCTCAGCAGCTGGAGCTTCCCTTCCCTGCCCAAGCCACACACTCTCTTGGACCTCCTCACAACCTCTCTCTCACATCCTCGGACCGCCCTTTCCATCAATCAAGCCGAGCTACCACGACGACAGCACATCTCGTGATCTCGTCTGCGCATCGCCCATCCTGGACGTGCCCCCAGTCGTCAATTCGCGAAGCGCCTCCCCGGGATCACGCAGCTGAGTCGAGCCACCCGCTGATCGAGAAAGTTGGGATTGCCTCGTTCGAGCGCTTGCTTGCTGCTGGCACACAGGTTTGAGAAGAGGAAGGAACTCTAGTCCACGAGCCCCGTCACTGCTTTTCCTCAACCTCCCGCGCCGCCTCTCCGTCCTCCCGCGATTGGTCCTGGAAGCAAGCTTCTAGCCTCGCCTTCCTGTCCTCTCTTCCAAGCCTACTTCACCGCGGCCGTGTCATTATCGACGCGACGCACGACCATCATCATCATCTCCTCCTCGCCCGTCCACCGAGCCGCGACCTTTGGCGACATTCTGTCACATCACTCATTCTTCTTCGCCTCCATCCGTCCTCGTGAACGCGACATTCACTCGACCTCCTCCCTCCGACCCGACCTCCTGCTCCCGTCTATATCCACACAAGATCACAGCCAGCACGGTCACGACACCAACCCTCCTCGCGTGCCTCCATTGACCTCCGTCCCGAGCCACTACACCTGCACGTTTTCCTTTGGAAACTTTCGTGGTGTAGATAGACCATCGATAATTATCAATTCATCCAAATTGGCTGTGTGCAGCCAGAAAAAAGACTGCCTTACAAGGGACCCATTCCGCAGAGTGAAATTCGCTCAGTCGCGACACATATCAACCAAACAACGACGCCATGTCTGCCTCGCCGACACACCACACCAACCCGGCCAAACGGCCCCTCGAGGATGCCTCTTCGCCGTCGAGAGGGAACGACCAGCCAGAAGCCAAGAGGCCCGCCCTGGACAAGGTTATCCACAACAACGAGGACGAGGATGAGGAGGACAAAGTCGACATCCCCGAGAGCAATGGCGACAAGTCTCCTTCTCCAGCCTCGGTAACCGCTACCCAGGAGACCATTGAAGAGTCCAATGGCGCCAAGACCGATTCCAAGGATGACCAGGGCGACACCGTTGTCTCCGATGCGGGCGAAGGAAAAGCTGTGGCATCCGGCACAGGCACTGGTTCCGCCGCCGTGCCTACTGGCACGCCAAGCAATGTCAATGACGAAACCGCTTGGATCCATATTCGTGCTGTCATCTCCAGCCCAGAGGCTGCGACCATCATCGGAAAAGGTGGTGAGAATGTCTCCAATATTCGCAAGCAGTCTGGTGCGAAGTGCACCGTCAGTGACTACCAGAAGGGCGCTGTAGAACGTATCCTTACCGTGAGCGGCGTTGTCGACGCTGTTGCCAAGGTCAGTCATTTTGCACCCTTGCTTTCTTGTGTGGCGCCTCTGCTAACGGACGGACCTGACAGGCTTTCGGACTCATCATCCGGACTCTCAACAATGAGCCCCTCGCCGAGCCTTCGAGCGCCCAGTCCAAGACGTACCCGCTTCGCCTCCTGATTCCTCACGTGCTTATTGGGTCCATCATCGGGAAAGGTGGTGTGAGAATTCGTGAGATCCAGGAAGCCTCGGGTGCCCGGCTCAACGCTTCAGACTCGTGCCTGCCGCTGTCGAGCGAGCGCTCTCTGGTTGTCATGGGTGTTGCCGATGCTGTCCATATTGCTACTTACTATGTTGGCAGTACTTTGCTCGAGCAGCTGAACGAGAGATTTGGCGGCCCTGCCGCTTCGGCGTATGCCACTCGCAGCGGTGGACCTACCGGCGTCGTGCCTGGAGGACTTCAGGTTGTGCCCTACAACCCCCAGCCTGCCGGAGGAAACTTCGGCCAGCGCGAGATGTACGGCCGTCGCCCCGATCCTCGCTCGCAGCATGCTCCTCCTGGGCCGTACGGACAGCAGTACCCGCCTCATCCCGCTGCGCCTCAGGGCCATCCCACTGCCCCTCTGCATTACACGCCTCAGGCCGGCGGCTACGGAGGTCCTGGCCCTCATGTCGCTCCCCACCACGGCGGCCCGCATGGCGGACCTCAACATCCTCACGGCGGCGCGCCCCATGCACAGCCCCCGATGCACGGTGGCATGGCAGGCGCCCCTCTCACGCAGCAGATCTACATCCCCAATGATATGGTCGGTGCCATCATTGGCAAGGGCGGTCAGAAGATCAACGAGATCCGCCAGATCAGCGGAAGTGTCATCAAGATCAACGAGCCACAAGACAACAGCAACGAGCGTCTGGTCACGATTACTGGCACCGAAGAGTGCAACAAGCTGGCATTGTACATGCTGTACTCACGACTCGGTGCGTAATATTAACCAGAAGAGCCAGCCTCTTCCCGAAACTCAGGAATACTGATTCATGGATTACTGACTACTTGAAACCATACAGAGAGCGAGAAACACCGAATCTGAGTGCCTCCCTCAAGGGCCATCATGGGATGATGGCTTATGGGACCACGCAAGATTGCATCGACGTGATCGGCAACCATTTCTTCTCTGCTCTTGAGGAGCCTTGACTGAAAATTGTATGCACTGGGATTTCATGCTGGGCGGGTGGCGTCAAGGTATTGGCAGCATTTGCACGTAATGGCTTGTTTACAGGCGGCAAATGCAGACATGAAAAAAATTGAGGGTTTGATCGCAGTTTGAATCGCGCCGAGTGTCTTGACTATAGTCGGACCAACCATAATTAAGTGCTTGTGATTATGATATAATCACCACGGCTCGGCACGTGGAGTGTGTGCGGTTGTGTTCGCCGTTCCCGAATTCACTTTGTCGTCGCTCGAGAACACAGATTATTGTGCCTGCTCCCACTATATCGTTGACTCAATGAACTGTACCGCTCCGGGTTTTCCAGGTGTGTCCGCCGACATCTTCGGGTGGTGTGTCAAGAGCTGATGCCTCGAAGCAATGGGCTTTGGAACAAAAGAACGAAACAAAAAACGAAACAAAAAAAAGGATGCGGGAAAAGCCACAAAGTCACGACATAGCAGATTTTACAGGTGTTCTTGGGTATCCGAGCCAAAGAGAAACTCGTGCTCAGACACATAAGCACTACAAGAAGTTACAATCACTAATTAGCTCGGCCACCGTTGTCACCCTCTCCGCCAGTCAGGGACAAGGACCATATGGTATATCCCTCAGCGTGTGTGCTCCAAAAATTGGGCACATTTTCGTCACAATCTGATTCTGGAACAGGAGGAGGGGGGTTTTTCGTCCTTACGCCCTCCCTCGCATTCTCCGAAAACTGGGGAGAGGGAGGGGTGTGTGTGTGTGTGTGCTATATGTCCCGGGCGTGCAGGCGTCCGCAAGGTCTATCCAAAGGGTTTTCGTTGTGGCGTTGGAGGCGGTTACAGTACCCTGAAGAAAAGGTGCAGTTTTGTCTTTTGGCCCCCAGGGCCGGCTCCTGGTCCAGTCTGGACGCGACGACACGTGGACAAACACGTACGCATGAGTGATTGATAGTTCAAAGTTGGAGCGGTGCTGGTGTGGTAGTCGTCTACCTGTCCATTTCTGCATGTGTATATGCTACTGCCGCCGCTGGGGCCCATGCATGGGGTTGTGCATGAGTATCCCCGACTGACCGCCGGGGTTTTTTTTTTCCTTTCTTCATTTTTAGGTGCATGGTATGTATTGCCATGATTACGTACTTAAGGAAAGTTTCCCTTTTCTGGGGTACTGCTGGCTTGGTCGAGCAACACGGGGTGAAGTGCACTTATTGTCTGTTGTCTGCCGGGATGTATCTCCAGGATATATTGCTGACCTGCATACCATGTTACCTTACCCCAAGCATACCTTACGTACTGACGTAGCCAGCCACAGTTCAAAGCTTCTGGTATAGCTGCCGGCAGTGCAGCAGTCTTCGTGACGGGGAAGCCGACAATGTGAGTCACACACACACATACACACACAAACAACATGGCAATCGAGCCCGACGTGGAAATCTCGTGTAGAGAGGTGATGCATCGTGTCCTGGTCCAGCTCTGCCGCGGGCGAGCCGAGGGCGGGCTGATTCTCTTGCACTTTCAGAGAGTGCCCATGACATTATGGAGGGCAAGCATGTGGTAGAGAACCACAAAAATAGCATCAACAGCCACGAGATCTCGGAGCGACGATCTGTTCCTCCGCGGATCTTGACTTGTAGCAGCTATTGCGTCATGGAGTCGCTACTTTTGACCGCGGAGTAGTTGTTGTGGGTTTTCATGGCCGTGTCCGGCTCGTATACCTAGTCCGATCGCGAGAACAGGAGTTGCGGATCTCGAGGAGGCAATCAGCTGTATGTTTCCTCGGCCCCTCTGCAATAGTTACCGCGCGCTAGAGGACCCTTCTTCGCTTCATACTCCGTATCCGTCGTCCATGTGGGTTCTGGGTCTGTCCGAGGACGGGTCCCACCGCCGTCCGTCAGGTGGTTCACCTTGTGTTTGTGTGCGTGTGCGTGTGATGGGGAAAGCCAGAAGTTGGCAACACGACCCTGATCGACATAGGCTGCTGGTCCACTTTGACCGCCAGGCGTCCGTATCGAGTCGGAGCAAAGTGTGCAATCAAGTTTCGACCTAATATGTCTGCCTGGCAGTCCCGGCTGTAACATGCTTTCAAGTCGCCTTTCGGGTAGTCAATGTAGGTTATGGATTTCAAAGTTCAAAGATACGCGCCATGATTGGCCCGTTGGTAGTTGTAATACCACGCAATGTTGGCTGTCATTCGTGCAGCTGGTGAACGTTGCCGATCGCCGTTAAGGCCATGGCTTTTTTCATGCACTGGATGCATTCGTATGTTCTAATTAAAATAGCCTTTGCGTTGGCTTGGTCGGCAGGATCGGCAGAGATCTTCACAACGCCCGACGGGATGTTGCATTGGTGCCCTTCGAGAACAATAAGCTTGGCTGGCCTAGCGCTGGCTGGCGGGTGGTACATACGCGTCCGTACCTAACTCAGCCAAACCCCAAAGAACCTCATTCATGGCCACAAATAACGTGGATTGTCGCACACAAGAAGCGAGGGAACGATTGCCGGCTCTCGGCTCTGTCGACGACTCTCGATTGAAAGGAACTCTGCAGCTCGTGCACAGGGAGATCGACAACACCTCTGCGGGCCTGCGGTGAGCACGTCCCCTCTGCGGCGGGTCATGAGCAAGAACAGTCGGCCCGTGAGCCTGGGGTTCTGTTGGTCAATTACATGGCAAAGTCGCGCCATCTCCGCCGTGTCCTGGGAAGATGAGCATGTCTTCGCGTAAAACGTAAATGTTGGGCGGCAAGAACTGTAGCTTTTGGCTTCCGATGCAGACCTCCCTGCTGCTTCAGTCTGTGCGGGGATAATTAGTTGCCATGGAATGACTCGACGAGCGACATTAACCTTTCCGCAGCCGCGCATTGTTGTCGTGGCCAAGTCTGGCATGATTTAGGGGCCCAGCATCATGCCAGACAAGTTCCAACTTGTCCAATCATGGGCTCACCGTGCAGAGGCACAATCTCGGCCAGCAGCCAAACACTTGCAGCATGTGGGGAATCCTCCGTAGCGCAACCATAACGAAATTCGACCAAAGCTTGCTTTGCCAGAAGGTTTGCGCAAATCCAATATCCATTCAGCACCTGACAAACCTTGTGCTCTGCGACAAGTCAAGTCGAGTTCAGCCACGCCGCCGTGCGACTTGTGCCACGATCTTGCGCGGCGTTTTTTTATAGACTTGTCGCATAAAATCTTCCTGGTGGCCGCGTGATCAACGAGCAATCTCCTTGTCGATCTCAGAAACAGGCTCTTTGTCCTTACGAGGGAGAACCAATCCTGAGGCCACCATACCACGCGAGTGGTGCCTCACCTTTGACCCAGTATTGCACTCTTCATCCCCGCTTAAAGACTCGGCACGAATGCAACAGGGCCCGGGCTAGGCAGGCTTTGCAAGGGGGCTCCCCTGACAACTTTCGGGGCCCTGCTGCAGGTGCTGCGCCTCGATGTCCCCCCCAGCGGGTGTAGCTGCTGGCCCTGCCTCTAGCAGGCTAAAGCTGCCAGCGAGCAGCGAGCAAATGAGGGATGACGACGATGGGGCCTTAAGCTCGGGCGTGAAGGAGGAGGCCTGGAAGCTGGAGCAGCCGACTGCCCAGCTAGGGCTAGCTCTTACCCCCTTAGTCGGGCTCCGCATGCCAGAGCGTGGCCGCCGTTCCGTGCGATGCGACGCGATGTCCAGGCACGACACAGTTTTGTGCAGACTCTGACGGCACCTCCCGGACTGCCCCTCGTCTGCGCCAGCTTTGGTGATTCTCGCTGGCGATGGCGATATGCTGCTTGTGGTGCCGTGGCCCGCTGTGGCGACCGCATTGGTCGGGGTAGCGGCGTCGACAATATGTCGGAATGTCTCGATACTGAACAATCTCGTCGACTCTGAGCATTTCTCTGCCTTCCTCTGTCGGATCCGAGACGCAACATCAGGCCAGGTATGATGATCTTCATCACGGCAGTGCTGGGGCGCGCTGAGGCGTCATCACTCGCCGGGCTATACAACCTGTGCCAGCCAGCCACAAGCAGAAACGGACATTCGGGTCGAAATGCGAAAGCGCGTTCGATTGAGGGGAGCGATTGGCGGGTTGGTTATGGTTGCTGCGAGGCGCGCACGCTGGTCCAGGCTGGAGCAGCTCATCTCACCTGGGGCTATTCTCTTACACACCACTCTGCTCCAGGTCCGCTGGCCTGCATGTCAAGACTGCCCCATTGGGTAATCCCCGGGAGGCTCGAGGCTGCTGTGTGGCTGGGGGCGAGGTGTGCGTGGAGCAAGACTGCATCGAAAGTGCATGTTTGGCAGCATACCCTCCTAGTCCAGCCCAGAGTAGTGCAGTGCAGGTGTAGCCAGGCACGCCCGCCCGTCGCGCCGCCCCGTCTGGCCTGGGCTTAGCGGAGTGCAGCCCTACCAGGTCATTGGACGCTCGGGCGCCGGTCGCTTTGCGCCAACTTGTCGCCCGCAGGCGCCAGGGCTGTCTTTCCTCTGCTCCTCTCGTGACTCTCTCTATTCCTCCTCTCCTCTGCCCAGCACACTCCTTGACCATCATAGTCGGCACTCTACGTCTGTCTGCCTTGCGCAACTTACATTCCTTTCAGCTACATATTCAGCCACACCCGCGCTCCTTTAACAGCCCTCGCCGCCCTCCCGCGTCAACCAAGTCTCGTTCACCAGTCTCTCGTTTCACCCGGCTTCAACGACTCTCGTCGATACTTCTTCACAATCTTACCGGACCCTTCCCAGTAATTTTTTTGATCAGTCACCCGATATTCAAGATGCGCTCCGCCACCATCGCTGCCGCCTTCATGGCCATGGCCTCTGCTGTCACTGCCCAGACGGCCGGCTTCGCCGTCTTCGCCAACCCAGCCCAGGACGAGATCGTTCCTGCTGGCAAGCCCTACACTCTCAAGTGGGCTGCTGGCGACAAGTACGCTGGTTCCGCTGTCCTGTCCCTGATCGGAGGCGAGACCCAGGGCACCCAGCAGTTCATCGCCAACCTCACCAGTAAGTTCACCTAGACGCCCCCCCGCCCTTGTCTTGCGCCATGCCAGTCTGTACTGACTCTGGCTTGTAGCCCTCGAGGTCAGTGCCAACAAGTACGTCTGGAACGTCGACTGCTCTCTCGGCAAGGCCAAGGTTTACGGCCTGACCATCACCATGGTCAACGAGCCCGAGGTCTTCCAGTGGTCTCAGCGCTTCCACATCGACAACTCTGGCTGCGCGGCCGGCTCATCCTCTTCAGCCTCGGCCTCGTCCTCGGCCCCGGCCTCAGTGTCCTCTGTCTACCCGACCACTTCCGTCCCCGAGACCAGCAGCACCAAGGCTGTCACTTCGGCCACCACCACCGCCGCCCCCTCCAGCTCTGCCACTCCTACCGGCATCACCGCTATTACCACCCTGACCCAGGCTCCTGCTCAGACCTCCAGCTCCACCACCAAGCCGACCAGCTCTGCCTCGCAGACCACTGCTGGACCCAGTGGTATTCCCACCGCTGCCGCTCCCAAGGTTGCGGTTGGATCCTTCGCCTTGGCCGGTGCTGTCGTCGCTGCTGCTCTCGCGCTCTAAGTGCTGCAGCAGCAACCCCTATTCCCATTAGTGGGCGGCTTGCCGTCTCCAGGGCCTGGACGCCTTGTCTTCCGGAATACCTACGATCTAGACTTGTGCATAATACGTTCGGTGATTCCTGGATATATCTAGATATCCGCTGTAGCTGATGAAGCTAAAAAATTGAACTCTGTTTGATCTGTCACTGTTTCGCTGGTGATTGCGCTTCTGTCCTTGTTACTTGCAAGTTTCGAATGCCATTGGAATGGACCTGTTGTTCTGCCGAGACAATGGTTCTGGCCACGCGATTCATGTCGACGTTCTTCAGCCGCGTAAGTTCTAGCACATGTCTGTCCCAGAGTGCGTCGGGGGGGCCACCCAGGGACAACTGTGGAATGCTTGAGGTGTCTTACATGTGCCAGAAACCGACACTAGTAGTTGGTAGCTGTGTCTGTGGCTCCGTATTGTCCATATGTAGTTGCAAGAACAAGTCCCTGTGCAGCTGTCCACGTCATATTGCCGATCAAGGGATCACATCCCCAGAATGCACGCGGGCGTTACTCTTGGTGGCTTATGTGGGTCGGTATGTGGTCGCTTTGCTCTTGGATGAGAATGCCTCAGATGGTGCGCTGCCCATCTTGATCGGCGAGGTTTTATCCACACTACTGCTACTGCCCTATTATGAGTTCACGCCAAAGGCCCCCGTTGACTACCTGCATATGATGTCTAATAGCTATGCCAGACATCGAGCTGTACTTATCCGAAGTGGTACGGGGAAGATGATTGCGTGGCGATGCCATATTTACACCACCATGCTCAACTCCTGGCTGACAATGTAGACGCTGCTTCACATGCATGCCCTGTCCAGCTGTGCCTGTGATGCATAAACCAGTGCTCGGCGGGACCGTGGCAAAAGAATCGACAACCATGCTAAATACCAGCAAAACATGTTTGTGCCCGAGTTACCCAAACCAGCGCTGCGCGGGCAAACGGCGAATTACGATGACCAGTGCCAGACTAGCCTAGAGATCACTTCCTATTGTCCAGAAGAAGCCCTCGAGTACAATCTCATGTGCACATGCGGCTCGATTCACGAAAGTGGGCTGCAGACTTACATGAAGGCATGGTCACCTGACTTGGCGATTGGCCGCCTGGGGGGAAATGGGCCTTGGACGCGACTCCGTGCTGCAATTTCCTCAACCAACCCCACTCTTTTGTCACCCGAGGCGCGTAAACTGCCTGCCACTAGTGCACCGCGACAAGCTCGAGGTCAGACAACCAACCCTGCTTGAAGAACCCGACCCAAACTTCAAGCAACATACCTTCGAGAGGTCAAACTGATGACCCATGATTCTCTCATGGAGTCTTCTTGGAACCGTCGTTCCAGCTAGGCTTCATGACTCGAAACAACCTCCGAGAACATCTAACATGGCTCCTGGCTGATGCTGCCCACAATACGCCAGTCGCGCCTCAACTCCCGCCTGCTCGCGACCAGCTTACCGACCTGACGCCTCCCGACTCCGCGCCGATTGCGATCCCGACTCCCGGCGTGACAGTTGCAGAGACGCGGCCGAGCCATAAACCCGTCGCCAACGTGCGGACTTGCCCCCCACCGGACCCATCACGATCTGTGGCAAGTCTGTTTGATGCTTCGGGAACCACCAAGCCTTTCCATTCGAATTCGCTGGCAGAAGGAGCAGGCGCAGAAGCCATGGGACGGCCAGTATCCAGCACGAAATCGAGCAGGCCAGGCCTTCTTCTAAGGCAGGAGCCGCTGTTGACACCAACTTCAACAACCGGCAGTGCCACGACCAGCTCAGCATCTCATTCTCTGCAGAGGGAGTATGCTGCGTTCTTGTCGTCACGGAAGAAATCGACAACACAGGTTCGAGGCCACGCAGAAAGTTCGACTCATCGTCTTATGACGCCAGGCGCCAGTGTACCACCTGAATCAACGCCATACGAGACTGTCGACTTGACCGGAGGACTTGCAGAATCATGTCCAAGTTCACCTTCTCCTTCAGCGGCCTTCGACGATCCGTCCCGACTTGGGAGCAAGGACCGCGTCTCTCGAGCCAAACCGTTATACCCCGAGCTTCCAGATGCCCAAAGTTTCGTGGGTGGATCTCGGCGAAGCCATCCCCCAAGCTCTCAGCCAGCACCGCCACCGGCGACACCTAGAAGGGGCAAGAAGCGGAAAAGCAGCGAAGCAGTGCATCCCTCCTCAGCATTCCTCGATGACGACTTCCCTGATATCGACGACTTCCTGTCCGAAGAGGACATTATGCGTTCGCGTATCAAGAAGACAGCAAGCTCATCCCCGAACAAGAAGAAGCCTAAGATACTCGGAAGATCCAGCCAAACTCCTTCTCGACGCCGTCCAGTCTCAAGTGACGATGATGAATATGGGGCAGCAGATATTGTCCCACGATCTTCTCCTATCGCCTCCTCCACTGAACTATCGGAACCGATGCGCCGAGGACGACCTTCGCCAACGACACTTGCACGTGCTGAACGGCCACCACCCCCTTCGAGCTTTGGCCATGCAGCGATCAACCGGAGGACTACGGAACCGTCAAACGACCCCGCGCCTCGGACAACACAACGCTCTGAGCCAACCAGTCCAGGACTTGCCGATGCCGAAAACCGTGTTATCCAAGACTCGGACGACGAATTTCTTACGCCTCCATCGCGCGCCACATTGCCAGACGAACATCGCAGTGAAGGCTATATCGATGACGACAGTGAGATGTATGAAGTACACACGCCTTCTCGCGAACACAAACTGTCTCGCAATCCTGTTCAGACCGGTCGTCCAGTCGCGCCAGTAAACCACGGATCAAGTCTCCCTCAGTCATTATCACTTAATGATGGTGCCAAATCCGACGATATACTAGAGCTCTTCCTGGCAGATCCCTCGGCGCTTGATAGACAACGGGCGAACCTTGCCCGAAAAGTTACAGAGAACACGGAGTCTTTCCGTTTGGCCCTCAGACTGAAGGATGCAGAGGCGAAGCAGGTCGCCAAACAGCAAAAGGAGCAGCTGAACCAACAACAAAAGGCTCTCGAGTTTGTCGCTACCGAGTATCGCGCCTACAAAGACTTCCTTGCCAAGATGGACGCACTCTTGAATCGGATTTCGAATGCATACGAGCAGGATCTAAACACGGACGAGGATGAGGCCCGGCTGGAAGAGATGCACGAGCAGGAAGACGAGCACAAGCGCCAGTTGCTTGAACGACTCCACGCTGCCGGCATCGACAATGTACAGCTCTTCGCTGTCAACAAGCCAAAGTCTATCTATGGCAACGAGGAGCTGATTCAGTCGACTCAAGTTCTCGCGGGATCGAAACCAACGCGAATGACGTCTGGCCCGATCCATGCCACAGGAAGCAGTGCGCAAGTCATCCTGCAAACTCAAGCCCCCTCTCAAAACAAGTCGAACTCACCCCGTGGTCTTTATGCTCAACCTGCTCCTGTGCAGGCTGACCCATATGACATTCCTGATATGTCGCTACCATCAGAGGATGAGGAGCTGTATCTTATGGAGAATATGTACGGCCAGACAGCCCAACTACCTCCGAACACGACTGTGCGACATCACAACCAACAGTCACATCAAGCAGCCGCGTCTGCGTACCCGCTGCATAGCGTGACCAAGGCGAGAAGTCCAATTCACACAAGAGTCAGCAGAGCGGTTGAGTATATAAGCGACTACAGTGATGATCTAGACGAAAGCCTGTCATTCCTTGCAGAGAACGTCGAAGTCCAAAATGGTGCCGACTCACGACTCCGTGCGAATGGCGCTTCGCGGCCACCTCTATCAGAGACGTCGGGTAATACACCAAGCCATGCGCTGAACAAGGCAACCAAGGCCGTGCCGAGGAAACCACAGAGTTCGTCACTGAAGGGCCAGTATCCTGCTGAAATGATGAAGTTCACATGGTCAAGCGAGGTCAAACGGGCACTGAAAGATCGCTTCCGCATGTCTGGATTTCGGCACAACCAACTTGAAGCAATCAATGCTACTCTGGGAGGCAAAGACGCTTTCGTTCTCATGCCCACCGGTGGAGGGAAAAGTCTGTGCTATCAGCTCCCCGCGGTGGTATCCAGTGGCAAGACACATGGCATCACCATTGTAGTCTCTCCACTGCTTAGCTTGATGCAGGATCAGGTTGAACATCTTGAGAAACTGAACATCCGAGCACTGTCATTCAACGGAGACACGCCGAAGCGAGAACGATCTCACATCATGTCGGCATTCAAGGAGAGCAATCCCGAGCTCATCATTCAGCTCTTATATGTAACGCCCGAGATGATCAGCAAGAGTGAGCAATTCGTCAACAGCCTTGCAACACTGTACGATAAAGGCAAGATTGCTCGTCTTGTGATAGACGAAGCACATTGTGTGAGTCAATGGGGTCATGACTTCCGACCTGACTACAAGGCTCTGGGGGACTTTCGGCGCCGCTTCCCTAAAGTGCCCGTCATGGCTTTGACGGCCACGGCAACACAAAATGTCATAATGGATGTCAAGCACAACCTCGGCATTGACAAGTGCGAAGACTTCACCCAGAGCTTCAACCGATCCAATCTGTACTACGAGGTGCGGAAGAAAGAGAAAGACAATGTCAACACTATCGCCGATCTCATTCTCGAGAAGTTCGAAGATCAGGCTGGCATCGTGTACACACTCTCACGCGCCTCGACGGAGAAGATTGCCAAGAAACTCTGTGAGCGTGGCATAGCAGCACATCATTATCATGCCGCGATGGAGAAAGACGACAAGGTCCGAGTTCAGCGAGAGTGGCAAAAGAGCAACATCAAAGTCGTAGTAGCGACCATTGCTTTCGGCATGGGCATTGACAAGCCAGACGTCCGCTTCGTCATCCACCACTCGGTGCCAAAGAGCCTCGAAGGCTACTATCAAGAGACTGGTCGTGCTGGTCGAGACGGCCTGCCATCTGAGTGCTACCTGTACTTTGGCTTTGCGGACCTTGCCCAGCTGCGCAAGATGATTGCCGATGGTGATGGCAATTATACTCAGAAGGAGAGACAACGAAACATGCTCAACACTGTTGCCAGCTTCTGCGACAACCAGACTGATTGTCGCCGGGTCGAAGTGCTGCGCTATTTCGGCGAGAGATTTGACAAGGCAGACTGCGGCAAGAACTGCGATAATTGTAGAAACGATGATCAGTTTGAGATGACTGACTATTCCGAGGTTGCGAAAGCCGCGCTATACGTAATCGACAGCCAAGATCGCCAGACGCTCACTCAGTGCACTGACTACCTCCTGGCCAAGAAGAAAATGACAGATTACAAGGAGGCGGCCCACGAGTACCACGGTGTAGCAAAACATCTACCAGCGTACGAGGTCCATCGCATCATTGATAAGTTAGCCGCCGAGAACGCACTGATCGAGGAGAACGTGGTCAACAAGAAAGCCAACGTCGCTATCCAATATTTCCAGGTTCGTCCACACTGTTCAAATGTCATGAATGACACGCAACTGACTGAGCTGTCCAGATTGGACCAGCTGCGGATCACTTTTGGAATGACAGGCGCACCCTGTCGTTGAGTACTCGTGTTAAGCACAACGGGGGACGAATCTCTGCTGCCAAAGGAAAGAAACGTGCCGGGAAAGCCATTGCCTCAGAAGCCGTCCCTTCGACAATAGTGTCTTCCCCAGCCGGCAAGGTCAGCAAGACGAAACGAAAGCAGAAAAGGGCAGTGATCGAGAGCGACGATGAGTTTGGGGGCAGTGGAAATGACTATGAGCAGGACGGATTCGTTGTGGCGGACGGTTTCACGGATGACGATTTTGAGGAAATGCCACAGCCCCCGAAACGCCGCAAAGGCCAGCAGCAGGTGCTAGGACCTCCTATCGCCCGCGATGCGAGAGTAGACCAGCTATCTGATCTACACAAGGCCCTTGTCGGCGGCTTCGTTCAGGAAGCATCCATCTTCGAGGAAAATCTGCGCAACAAGAAGGGACTTCGTCGACCACTTTTCAGAGAGCAAGACTTTCGAGAGATGGCAATCCGGCTCACCGTCACACCGCAGCAGATGAGCAAGATTCCGGGGATCGACGCAGAAAAGGTGAAAAAGTATGGTGATAAGTTCATACCGCTTATTCGACAATTTGAGAAGCAAAGTAAGCTGGTTCTCGGTACCGAATCCCGACAGACCGCATCGGCGGGCCCATCAGGCGATGGAGATGTCGTCGACCTCATCTCTGACGACGAAGATGGAGACGAAGCTATGTTTGACAGCGACATGGATGACGATGACGAAGGTGAAACATCCCATCACTTTTCGACGGCAAGCGAAAATGCCGGCGTTCAGGCTTTCTACAATACCCTGAACCGCATACAAACAGAGGAAGCGGCGGTAAAACCAAAGAAGGCCGCGCAGTCGGGAGCAGGAAGTGCCAGGGGCGGCAAGCGCAACAACTCGAGGAGCAGGAAATCATATCCGCGTAAGCCTTCTAGTTCCTCTAGCAAAGTGTCCAAGGCAAGCGCAGGACCCAAGAGCAAGAAGGGAGGGTTCGGCGATGGCCGCAGATCTGCGAGCAGCGGCTCCGCACGGAACTTTTCTGGCCCAGGCGGCGCGGGTGGCAGCGGGCCATCGCGAAGTGGTGGCGGATTCAGCGGGATTGGCCTTATGCGGCATTGAGAGAGAGGAAGCAACCGCCGCGGCACTCGCTTGACGAACGTGGCTCATTGAGGCGAGCTGCGGCATGGGCCGGCGCTTGGAATTGTGAATCACGATCATGACTGATGTTTTGGCATGGCGAAAGGCGTTTTTGGGAAAATCATGTTTACCATCACTGTTCTGCGTTGCTCTGTGGGTCGAGAGTGCGTGCCCACGCACAGAAGCGTGCGGCATTCATCATTTTTATAGAGGAGGTCGAGACTTATATCATAACTAGAAGCCACATGTACATAGAGTGTTGTGATTCAAGGCACATTCTGTTCCAAGCTGCTTTTTGACGGCAGATGACGCCGAAGGGGGTATATACATTCTTACAACTATCCTTGCTCTCTTGTTCTACGCGTCGAACCTCGTCTTGCGCTTGTCCTGCGTCCCTGATGCACTCTGAGCACCGCCCGCGCTGCTGCTGGACGACGGGACAAAGGCCACGGGCGCGCCTTTGCCACGAGCCCTACTCGCAGCGACGTCGGCCTGGCTCTGGCGGAGCTGCTCCTTGTAGCTCGACCTGGGGAACGCGGCCGGGTCCCAGACGGTCTGCGGGAGCGTGTTCGCGTACTGGGCCTTGTGGTCGACGTCGACGAAGCCAAGCAGCTTGTCGGTCAGCGCCGGGTTGCGCATGGCCGCGGACGTGCCGATCCTGCTGTTGAAGTGTACCCCCTGCTTCTTCTTGAGGTCGAGGAAGTGCTCGAACTTGGAGCTCAGCTGCCGCTCTTCTGCGGTCGGGGAGCCCGGCGGCGAGGCCGGGATGTCCATGTCTGGTACTGTCGGGAGGGTCAGGGAGCGCAGGGTCGCGCGGTGGGAGGTATACGGGGATCCTGGGGCCTGTGGTGGTGGTAGTGATGGTGGTGATGGTCCCTGATCGTCTTCTGCCCCTTCGAGGGGCGGGAAGGATGCTGTGGATACGGACGAGTCTTGTGGTCCCGGAGCTGCAGAGGGGCCTAGTTGAGGCCCTATGGGTGCTGGCTGTAAAGGCACTGCTGCTTCTGGTGTAGTTGCAATAGGGGCAGTAGTGGCAACATCTTGTTGTAATGACTGCGATTGCTGCTGCTGCTGCTGTGGTTCATGCTGGGCAGGTTGTGATGAGGCTGTGGCCCCCGAGGATGTGCTTTTGGCGTCTGAAGTGAGGATGTTAGTCTCTGCTGCTGACCCGATGGATAGATAGCCCAATTGTGACGAATGAGAAGACCTACCGCCAAGGGACACGCCTTCATCTGTTTTGGACACTGGTTGTTCTTGTGGTTGCTGAGGCTGGAGCTCGTCGTCTTCGTCGTCACTGCTCCCGTATCCAACGAGAGCCATCTTGAACGTGCACTAATTGATGTTGTGGACAGACCAGCAAAGGTAGCTTGAGCTCAAAATACGAAGAATACTATTGCGAGGAGGAGCGAGCCCCTGCAACTTGGAATAACGTGCCTGACGGCCGACCTGCGACGACTCTGATCAGATATCGAACTGCTTCATTCATCGACGGATGAATATGAAGGCCTCCCACCGCGTGCCAATCAGAGGCGTGTGAGGTTGATGTCTGGCGGGCCCCCGGTGGGGCATGTTCTGATGCCTGTGCGTGGCTCGCTGCAGCGACAGGCAATTGCAAGGCAGAACGCAGTGACGACGCAGCGCGGGTGCCACCAAAGTCACTTTCCATACCATGCTGTGTGGCCAGGTACATGGCTAGGGACCCCCGCTCACCCACCCAAGCTCCCAGCTCCAGGGCGTCGAGAGAGCTGGAGCTCAGCACCGGCACAGACGACGTCGTCCAGCCTGCAGCCTTGAACATCATCAACCTCCTCATCCCACACGCACAGCGACAACGCACCACCCTCCGCCGTACACAACCGCCCTGGTTCACTTTGATAACAGACAGGACGACTGATTGATCAAAGTTTCTGACCACCGCCCTTCCACGCATCACCCACCGCAACCGCCCGCGCCGCGCCGCCTCGCCGCTTCCCCGCCGCAACCATGGATCACAGACCGATGGCATGGGGTCGTGTAAGCCTCAAATCCTGACATCCTGGAGCCATCAGGCCAGCTCGCTGACCCGTAGAGTGTCTCGGCACCGCCCACAGCCCAGAGATGACGTTTACGGCGCCTACGATGCCTCCTACATGCAGCACAACGGCCCCACGACACACACACAGTCTCCCGTCGTCACGGGTACCTCAGTGCTGGGTCTCAAGTTCAAGGACGGCGTCGTCATCGCTGCGGATAACCTAGGTTAGTCCAAATCGTGCTCTCTCTTTCTGCTTGGCCATCCCGATTCGAAAGCAACTGCTTACCGTGTGATCCTCTCTCTTTCGCCCTCCCATGCAGCGTCCTACGGCTCTCTCGCTCGCTTCACCGACGTGAAGCGCATCCGCACCTTCGCAGACACCTCCGTCATCGGCTTTGGCGGCGACGTCTCGGACATGCAGTATCTGGACCGCCACCTGACCGAGCTCGCCATCGACGAGGCCTACACGAGCCAGCCGGACAAGCACACCCTCAACGCCCGCAACCTGCACAAGTACCTCTCCAAGCTCCTCTACCACCGCCGGACAAAGATGGACCCCCTCTGGAACCACCTGCTCGTCGCGGGGCTCGACGAGGACGACAAGCCCTTCCTCGCCGCCGCCGACCTGCTGGGCACCACCTTCACCTCGCCCAGCTTGGCCACGGGCTTTGGCGCCATGCTCGCCCAGCCCATCATGCGCAAGTACGCCCCCGACGAGGAGTCGGCCGCCCGGCTCACCCGCGAGGAGGCAGAAAAGGTCATCCGCGAGTGCATGAAGGTCCTCTACTACCGCGACGCCAGGTCGCTCGACAGCTTCTCCATCGCCGTCGTCACAAAGGCCGGCATCGAGCTCAAGGAGAACGAGAAGCTCGAGAAGCAGAGCTGGGCGTTTGCCGACCGCATCAAGGGCTACGGGACGCAGACTGTATAAAGATACGGCCCATATCTACGTTCGGAAACATTGGTAGTGGTAACTTCGGGCTACGTGTGGTTTCTCGACATCAGGGACACACATACCTTGGTAGTAGCATTTAGAGTCAATACCATCCAAAGAGAGCGTGATTTGATGACTGCGAAATCTGCGATTGTCCTTGACAGTGTGTGTCCGCAGACGGCTTGTTGGTGAATTTATGAACAAACGACTGTGTGCGGGCATGCGTCAATGAATGTTGTCCACAGTGTGACATGTGTTTCATTGGTATTGGACTAGAAATGAGCAATGCCGTTGATATACTCCGCCACGAATCCGACCCCGAGCCCTATGATGGATCATAGATGTGTAAAAACGTTGCCGGGTTCTACAGTCACGTGAAGCCAGGCCCCAAGTCATTTGTTTTGTAATCTTCTATTATACGAGGCCTTTTTTCGCAGGTCGCTTCTTTCTTCCTCAGTCATATCAACATATAGGTATCGTATCGTAAACACGCGTTCCAAGCGTCCCAACTCCCGGCCGAAAAACATCGCATACAACGAGCCAGGGTGCTGGTCACTTCTCCTACTAGACTCGTCATCATCATGAAGTGCCTGCAATTGATCCCTTCTTGTACATGTGCCTCGTACACCCAATCGCCAAATCCCTTCCTTTACTCGACAGTCACAGACTTGGCGAGGTTACGGGGGAAGTCGACATTGAGACCCTCCAAGACAGCGAGCCAGTAGGCGATCAGCTGCAGAGGAATGACATTGAGGAGACCCTGGAGGCAGTCGACGGTCTTGGGAACCTCGATCTGCTCCGCCTGGTTCGACTTGAACTCCTCATCGCCAGGGTTGCAGATGACGATGGGCTTGCCGTTGCGGGCAACGACTATAAGGCAGTAATTAGTATGCAGTCATTAACGAAAAGCCCGGGTATCTGAATTGGAGAGTACATACCTTGCTGGTAGGCGTTGAGGGACTTCTTGAAGAGGCCATCACGGGTCAGGATCATGATGATGGGCAGGTTCTCGTCAACGAGAGCCAGCACACCGTGCTTGAGCTCACCAGACATGACAGCCTCGCAGTGAAGGTAGGAGATTTCCTTGATCTTCAGCGCACCCTCGAGGGCAGTGGAGAACTGGCTGCCACGGCCGAGGAGAAGCAGAGACTTCTGGTCCTTGAAGGTCTTCTTGCACAGCTCCTTGATGGGCTGGTCGAGCTCGAGGATCTGCTTAATCTGGCCAGAGATGTTGGCAAGACCCTCGATAATCTCCTCGCGTCTCTTCTGCTTGGAGGCGCGGTCCTCACTGAGAGACAAAGCAAACATGACCATGGCGATGAACTGCGAAGTGTACGCCTTGGTGGAAGCGACACCAATCTCGGGACCGGCATTGACGTGCACACCACAGTGCGTCAGCAGGGAGATGGACGAACCGACCACGTTGACGATGCCGACAGTCAGGGCACCGCGCTCCAGGCAGTAGCGAAGAGCCATGAGGGAGTCGGCAGTCTCACCGGACTGCGAGACGAAGACGCAGGTGTCGTCACGGAAGACTGGTGCCTCTCGGTCCAAGAAGTCGGAGGCCAGCTCGACGGCAATCGGGATCTCAGCGAGCTCCTCGAAGATACCGCGAACAGCCATGCAGGAGTGATAACTAGTACCGCAGGCAATGAAGATGATACGGCGGCACCGGCGGATAGTGGCAATGTATGACCGCAGACCACCGAGAGTGACGGACTTGTTCTCGACATCGAGGCGTCCACGCATGGTGTTGACCACGGACTCGGGCTGCTCGAAAATCTCCTTCTGCATAAAGTGGTCAAATTTGCCCTTCATGATCTCCTGGAGCTCAAGCTCAAGGGTCTGGATGTTGCGGACGTTGGAGGAACCGTCGGCCTTCTTCAGACGGTGGATGTTGAGCGATCCCTCGTGGATGTGGGCAATGTCGTCGTCCTCCAGGTACATGACCTTCTTGGTGTGCTCAACGATAGCCGAGGGGTCCGAAGAGAGGAAGAACTCGGCGGGCATGGGCTGGCCATCGTCGGTCATGAAAGCTCTCGACTGCGAGCGGTGGAGAAGGGACTTGTCGGGAGCACCGAGCAAGTTGTTGACCGAGAGGAGACCGCCTCCAGCCTGCTTCTTGACGGCCACATTCTGAGAGGCGGCCTCGGCGGGCAGAGCGTTGTCATCAGCGTACTCGACATCGACGAAGTCGACCTTCATGCGCTTCTCAGTCTTGACACCGATGACCAGCGGTGAACCCTTGCGAGCGGCGACGACCTCGTGGGGGTAGTGCACAGACTTGATAAGCAGGCCGTAAGCACCCTCGAGCTCGGAGATGACAGCCTTGGCCAAATCGACGAAGCCCACGTTGGGGTTGCGGTCGAAGAGGTACTTGGCGAGCTTGGCAATGCACTCAGTATCCGTCTCGGTCTCGAACTTGAAGCCCTTGCTGGAAAGCAGGGTCTTCAGCTCCTTGTAGTTGGTGATGATGCCGTTGTGGACGATGGAAAACTCCCAGGTGGGGTCCGATCTGGAGACATTGAAGATTGGAAGTCAGCTCGATGTTCGGTGGCAGCTGTAATGTGCATTCTCGCCTGCTCGTCTTACCTGTGAGGGTGGCAGTTGACTCTGGAAGGAGGGCCGTGAGTAGCCCACCGGGTGTGTGCAATACCGGCGTGCGAGTCGAAGACCTTGGTGAGGTCGGGCTTGGATTCCTCGATCAAAGCCTTGAGCTTGGCAACCTTGCCAACCTCCTTGAAGGCCAAGATCTCCTTCTTCTTGTCGCCATCGATGGCAAGACCGGCCGAATCGTAACCACGGTACTCGAGACGAGCGAGACCTATAGTCGTGGGAAGAAGAAACCGTCAATTTTTGGCTGTTTGGGAGAAGCAAGAATCTGCGACTAGATTGGGCGCTTACCGTTGACGAGGGTGTCGAGGATGAACTTGCGGTCCTTCTCGACCAAGTAGTTGATGTAGCCGAAGATTCCACTGCGAGAAACAACCAGAGTTAGAAAGTTGTGGACGACAATTGATCATCTCGGGCGTGAGACGCGGTCGCCTTTGCTCGCTGCTCGTTGACCCCGCCAAACCAAGCTTCCTGCCCCAGCATGTCTTAGGTTGTGATGCAGGGACAAGGTTTCCAGCAGGGTTGTCTGGCGGCGGATTGTCTGAGGCCAGAGGGCAACGAACACACGATCTTTGGTGGGCGGGCTCAACCTACCACATGGTTGCTGTGCTGGCTGTGTTGTTGGAGGTGTGTGTTGTAGGTGTAGCAAGCTTGCTGCTGGAGCAGAGAGAGCGGTGGGGAGTACCACCCTTCTGATGGAGGAGCTCTGGGGCAGTGCCGGATGCTGGCACCTGAAAGAGGGGTATCTGGAAAACGAATGCAAGAGACGAGGAGGATGAAGATGGGAGAGGAGGAGCAGAACAAGAGGCAGAGAGGATGCAAGGGGGGACGAGGGCCGTGGGGAGCTACTTAAAGCATTGCTGTCTGGGCCACTCATGGACAACAAACAGGACCACAGGCGGTTTGACTACGAGTCGGTCTGCGAGCTGAGCCTCAGCACGACCAGTCACACGTAACACGCCTGCCAGGCACGCCGCACTAAGACAAGCGCAGAGCAGGTCCTGGTGCGACGCCCAGGCGGGACCCAGCAGGGCAGTACATCGTGTCCACGAACCTGGTGGTTAGGGGTACCGGTATAGAGGCTAGAAGTGGCGCGCTGGCTTCGTATCGTGCCGGCCGGCTGCGCCATCTCTGGGGCGAGATCCCTCCAGGGGTGTCAGCGGCGGGGCACTCGGGGACTCCACCATGAGCCCGGCTCTTGCCCTCGCCTCTGTCCCGTCCACCACCCGCCGGCACACCCTCCATCGACGCCATCCCTCCCTCCTCTAACGGCCGATCAGCTCGAGCCCCTTCTTCATCCTGCCTCGCCTGCGTCCGTTGTCAATACACACGCCAGTCAGTGGCCCGAGTGCGGGCGCCAGACGGGCTAGCTGGCCGACTTCTCGCAACTCTGGCGATCCCCCAGCAACAATACGGCAGACATGGCACAGCAGGGAGCGGAACACGACAGTGGATGCAAAGCCCGCGAAATGTCGTGCTGGTGAGTGGTGTGGCATCTGACACAGGCGTGAGGGAGGGTTGCTACGACTACACGCGCATGGCATCTCAAGCCCTGACCCCTGGCCTGTGACCTCATCCGGCCTTGCTGGCCCCTGTTTGCCAGTCCACGGCTGGGTGCCGACAGCGACGCTGTGTTGCATAAGGAGCAAAATATCATAGCCAATCGACCGCCAGAATACCCCGTTGGCGAAGTTGTCGTGTTGCGCACGACGAATCAAAACATCTACGCAAACCAAGGACGCAGTGTAGCGGTTATGCGACTGTCTATTCGCTGCCAATTCGCTGCCAATTCACTGCCGCTTGAAACATCAGCCCTCTGCGAACCCGATTGGGCCCGAAGACCAACCAGCATTTATCATTCTCATGGCCGCCTGTGGTTATGAGCTTCCTGGTCAACTGTGCTGCATGCCTGGTCCAGTTTGTCCAACCAAGGGCTGATGGCGCCAAATGAGATGCTTCCAACTCAGGGCTGCCGTTTCAGCTACAATACGGGCTCATGAGCTGGCAAAGTATCGACAAAGTCTTTTCCCAGCCACAGAGCTGACTGGCGGCTTGCAGCTTGACGTACGCCACACTCGTTGCTATCCGGCTTCTCTTATCCTCCATCAACGGTGCAGTAGGAGCAGCAGATCCGGGCCAGCTCAGGCTTGGCTGTTTGTCCGCCACAACTTTCACGGTGCCTTTCTAGAGTCCTGTGTGCGGCTGATGATGGATGATGCACCCACAAACTCTCCTTGGCTGGTGACTGTACCTATTTCGCTCGTTCCAAGATCAGGAGCTGGCTGTAAGCCAGAGCATACGCGATACTGCCCGGATTCTCTCCGGCCAGCCTCCTCATAGCGGAGTGTACGAGTGTCCGGCCACCTCGGGGAGGTCAAGGTGTCTGGCCACCTGTAATCCGTACAGGCGCTGGAATTGCGGCATCGCCAATAATACTAGAGTGTGCGGGCGAGCTCCTACCTAGACCACAGTAGACCCGATGGTGGGGAATCTGCCACAGCCCCAGCAAGCTGCCTTGTTCTTTTGGGTTTCCGGAAGGGCCGTTTCGCATGAAACCCCACCCCAGAACCCTAGCAAGCTCTGTGGGAGCGTGGAGCGTTGTCCCAATTCAAGATCCGTGTTGAGATCGCCATATAACCAGGGGCAGGGCTCGCGAGGCAGCCAAGCCGCAGCCCTGGTCACAGCGCTCTGACGACATGCGGTACGGTTTCTGAACTGGGAACAATGTCAATCACGAATGCGTCATGGTCAGGTTTTGAGTCAGGACGCCAACGGGAGGAGGGCAAACGAATCATCACCATGCTACGCAGTCTGGGAAGCAACGCAGGCTTGATCTGCAGAGATGTAATTACCTTGGCTGTGAGCGCAGCAAGCTACTCTTCTCGAGGGCGTGAGCAGCCAAGGATGATAGCGGACCGTCTCTACGCATTCTGCGTCATGAATAGCAGCAGCAATAGTAACCAATGACAAATCTGCTTGCGAAAGGCGTATTCATTCTTCGCGATGTGCTCCTCCATGACGATCACAGCCCCCATTCATTTGCCCGTCTCCACTACTTCTCGTGTCGCTCGGGCGGGCGTGCTAGTGCGGGACTGGCCAAGCGAACCCCTGTGTGGAGGCGTTCTGCCAGGGGCAATGACACCCCGTTAGTCGCCGTCTAGGTGGTAGCCAGTCTAAAAGTCTGGCGAGGGCAAACTGCAGTGCCACCGCGTATCTGCAGTGACAAACTAAGGTACGTACCTACTTCACGTAGGCTGGGCCTAGCTAAACGATTTTCGGATCACAAGCCAGCACCGCCCACCGGCCCAGTCCGATCACTCGAGCGCAGCTAAGAATAGCATGTCTCAATACTGACTCTGGCATCGTTCTCCGCATTCCAGGGCGAATCCGTAGCTCGCTGGGTACGCGGCCGTGTCCGCAGCAGCCCAGGGACTACTCTACTAGCCTCAGGGCGGCCAGCAACCCCCTGCAGCCGTCTGGCATGCTTCGAAAGTACGGAACACATGGTGGGCTCAACTGCCGACGATGGTGACCATCTATAGCCGGTAAACGCACGTGGTTCTGGGCCGATGACGAGCGACCGCACCCGATCTCCGGGTCGAGTTTGGCGCCACCATGACAGTAGAGCCTCGAAAGTGAATCAGTAAAACGGGCTAAGACAAGCACACAAAAACTGGAGCTTGAAGAAATTAAAGAGAGGAAAAAAGAAGAATAGGTCGATATGTCGAAACCTTATGGTCACCGATGAGCCTGTCGAACAGGGACACTGCCTTATTTCGCCCTCTGGTCTAGGTCTATATGTTTCTGCTTTTCACTAGCGCGACTGCGAGGACAGAACCCTACTGCAGGACGTGTAAATGTATCATCACTGCCTCAAAGTGCCTTTAATTCCCATACTTCGAAGAGTAGACCACACTGAAGTAGTGAGAGGACCGTTTTTTGCGCTTTGCTTTTACCCAGTGTCATTTCTCGAAAACTTTGGTACCCAGATAACTCTGTTACTAGCACGTCGCCGAACCAGTACATCTGGGCAAACGGGCTGGAATATAGCTTCAGTAATTTCTAGGAGCTAAGTGTCCCCTAACCACAACACACCATGCTCACTATGCTTCATACGGCACGCGCCGTTCGGGAAGCAAATATGATTGCATCAGTCTGTGTGCTAGGCGAATCCCAGTTAGTCTGGATGTATCATTCTCACTTGTTCTGAAGCTTTTTTCTTGGGGGGGGGGGGGGGTGGATTTTTGGAAATCGTGTCGCAGAGGATCGCGGCTCCGGTGCCCCCTCTCAGGGCGTACAGATCGTTCGTGAAATCGATAAAACATTTTGAGTGGCCATTCAACATAACCAGGTCTGCCAAAGAGCGCAACACGTAATTCATCAATATGCAAGTCTCATCATTACGCCCCCAATCTTCCAGTGCAAGACGTGCATATTCCAGGTAAGGATCCGAGATTCAGCACGGCTGCTGAGAGCGAATGGTGATACTGCACCCCACTGGAGAGACGCACAGAAGCTGCCTTTTCTCGTGCGGCAGGGTCGAGACAGGTTTGAAGCCCGAACCGTTCAGTGAGCCATCTTTCAAAGAGGGTTCATTCAGGACGGGACAGAGTCGCAAATGAACTGTCACAGAACGGCAATCACGTGAAGGTATATGCTTCTCACACTCAGTCTCAGACCCAGGCATTCTTGATCTATCTAGAGGTCCACTCTAAGAGCATGCCCTTCACAGATGTCCGAGCAGGATCGCATCATCTATCCATTGTGCCTTGTTTACAGCTTCTGGTATTCCAGCTTGCCCTCAAGCTTCTTCGCCTCAGCCAGCTTCCGCACAGCCTTGTTGAAGTCGTCCTGGTTCACGGCATCTCTGTAGGCCTTGATGGCGAACAAGCCTCTGGAGAGAAGTCAGTACGAAACTCCATGTTCACGGGGATGGCCAAAAGGAGCACTTACGCTTCTGTGACGACGTTTCGCAAGTCGGCGCCGTTGAGTCCATCACTCATCTTGACCACACTCTCAAAGTCAATGTCACCTTCCGTGACCACGCTTTGGGCGTGGATCTTGAGAATTTCCAACCGGCCAACCTCGTTCGGCAGAGCAATCTCGATCTTGCGGTCAAGACGACCGGCACGCAGAAGCGCCGGATCCAGGGTATCGGGTCTGTTGGTAGCCATGATGATCTTGGTCTTGCCGAGGTAGTCGAAACCGTCGAGCTGGTTGAGCAGCTCCATGAGCGTACGCTGGATCTCTCGGTCGGCACTTGTGCCTTCAGAGAACCGCCTGCCACCAATGGCATCGATCTCATCCATGAAGATGATACAGGGCTCATGCTCCTTGGCGTAGCCAAACATTTCTCTTATTAACCGGGCCGACTCTCCAATGTACTTGTCGACAATTGCGGAAGACACGACTACGCGGCAAAGTCAGTGAACAACTCTATCGAAATAACCACGATATGGGTCCAAAATCATATCGTGAAAGACTCCTTACCCTTCAGAAAGTTCGTCTCAAGACTGCTCGCCACTGCTCTAGCCAGCAAAGTCTTGCCTGTACCGGGCGGTCCATACAGCAAGACACCTTTTGGTGGCTTGATGCCCACTCTGAGGAAAAGCTCCGGGTTCTTGAGCGGCAGCTCGATCACTTCTCTGAGCTCACGGATCTGGTCGTTGAGGCCACCGATACCGGCAAAGCTGACCTGCCCGGGGTCCTCGAGGGACATGTTGTAGACGAGAGGATCGACTTCGCGGGGCAGCATGCGCATGATCGTCAGCGTCGTCATGTCGAGGGCGACACGTGTGCCTTGCTTGAGCTTATCCTTGTCGACCTTGGATCTGCAGCCGACGACATAGCGGGGTCCCGAAGAGGCCTTGACGATGACTGTAAAGTGATGAAAAGTCACGATGGATTAGCCAGGCACTGGTCAACATGGGTTTGTGCATTGTGATGTGCTGTTAGCTGCTGAAGAAGGAGGCAGGGAATCTTACATCTCTCATCGTCCAGCTGCTTCAATACCTCTCCGATGATCTGTCCAACACTCTGGAGAGCCTTGATGTTCTCTTCTGTCTGGTCGTAGTCCCTCTGCAAGCCCTTGATGTCTAGCCGCAGCGCCTTCAGCTTGGCCTCCCATTCTCGCGACTCGATGAGTTTCGAGCGCAGGGCTTGCAAAGCGTGCTCCCGTTCTTGGTCTGAAGACATGATTCCTCGTCGTGATCTGGAGCTGCTTGTTGAAGGGATGGGTGGGCGAGGCGAAGCACTCGGAGGGGCTGATGGTGCGCGCAGCGGGCGGCCTTTGCACGCTCGGAAACGCGAGTCTAGATGTTGCTTCCGTCGATAGGTATGAGGGCGTGAGGATCTCGTCGTGGAGAGTGGTGTGGTTCAACGAGGTTGAGGGCAACGTGAAAGGGTGGACGTTGCAGCTTGGATGAGGCGAGAGCACTGGTGCTTGCAGCGAGGGTCCCGCCGATGCGTCGGCTGGCGCTGTTGATGATGAAAGCTCCCGTTTGCCTGGAGCTCCCTGGCAGTTCCCACATAGCCGTTTAGGGACTAGCGCGAAACATCACTACCTTCGCGCCTTCACGATATCATTGAATACAACTGAGAAGTCACAACGACGAAGCAGACATTTTTACAAAGGCACAGAAAGAAACCATTGATGAGTTACCCAATATTACAATTGAACTTTTGTAAGTGAACCCACTTCAACTGGTGCTCGGATCGCTCTCACTCAGGAAAGCATTCTACTAGTCATCCTGTTTAATGTGACCGCAACTTTCACGGCGAACGTATAGAGCTTGGAAGGATGTGATATTATGATTTAAGCTTGCAAAGATATTCTCTCCTCCAAGAACCTCGTACCCATATCCAATCTATACTTCATGATTCGTAGTTGTCGTGGCCGAATGAGAGGTGCTGAGCTCGTGAGTAGCATGCTTGTGGGATGCTAGGGGGGTATATAAATGTGTAACATGCGAGAGCAGCAAAAGGAAAGAGCGTCTTTCCCGTTAGAGTGGTGTGCTCGAACTTTGTGGCGATGAAGCCTGTCATGACTTGCTCCATTCCAAGGTAATCTCCTCCCGAACTGCCTTGCACCATTTCCAAATCGCAGCTTCGAAATCCACCCACACCTGTCGATTGCTGTTGTACACTACTCCCATTACGTCAACCTTGAGAAAAATCTCAAACCGCAGTTCGGCCGCTTTGATCCAGAAGCGCAAGTTCTCGGCTTGCCGGTATGGCTTCTGGGTGTCGGTATGAAATGTCGGAATGGCCCCAAAGCGACGCGGCGACTTTTTGACAGCCGCATTGTGGAGCTTCACTAGCCGTAGACCGTCTGCAAAGCTGGCAAGGAATGGTGTAGGGACTTCGTGTGCCTCACTGACTGGGGTCCAGGAGGGAAACGGCTCTACCTCATCGTCCATTGACTTCAGGAAGGCAATCTCCCTCTCAATCTCCCTGCCGCTCCAGTCGCCCTCAAGCCAGTCCCAACGGAGACGCTCATCGCGTTCCGCCTTCTCCATTGCCTCGTCCCTCTGCACCATGGCTCTTATGCCAGTGATCCATGAGCTCATTGTCTCGAGCTCATCGTCTTTGATCCCGCCAGCGAAATTCCTGGTCGCCATATGCTTCAACACTTCCATGACGGCCAGAAGGTCCGTGCGGATCTCTCGCTCAGACTTGATCGCGTCCAAGCGGTCGGGATATTCGTGGGACGTGTAGTACATCTTCGCAGCACGTATGGCCAATGTCATAACGTCTAGAACTTGCATGCCCTGAATTTCGAACCAGCCCTGGGTCTTGCCGGGAGAAGGGACGTCTGGTCTCGGGGGCGTGTCGTCTACATTCGCCATAGCTCTGTCCAGACTGGTCATGGCTGTGTCCAGAGCTTGCCCGAGGTCGCTCTTGAGCTCGTCGATTGTTGGCGGCCTCGGGACCGGTTTCTCGCGGTGTATGTACGTGCTTGTGGTGGGTGGGAGGATGTCTGGATCTGGAGCTTCGTATTCGTCATAGTAGAAGCCATCGTGGTCTTCGATTGGTGAGTCGACCATGGACCCTTCAAACGGATGTGGGCTGGTGTCCATATTGCTCTCCACGGACAGATCGGAGGAGTCATTGCTTTGAGACTTTGACTTTGGGCTGAGATAGGTCGATGGGTCGAGGTCGGAGAGGTCGAGAGTGGCGCGGGGATTCTTCTTGCGGGCGAACTGAGCACCCTTGCCGTCAAGCAGACCGGTGCGGGCAAAGTAGTATTGAAGGTGGTTGATGCTTCCCAAGCTCAAGACACTCTCTCGTTGCTTCGCGCTGGCGGCGAAGTCGGTCGCCTGGGGCCTGGAATAGCCCCTCCGCTTGGCCGCCTTGTCGAAACTCGCTGTCGACTGGCGGGAGGAAGCAAAGCTGACGTCCGAAAGACGAGAATAGCTAGCCGAGGACTGCCTGGAGTAGGCACCACTGCTGCCCAGGGAGTCTCTAAGCGAGCTATCGGTGCTGGAGATTCCAGACACATAGGACTCCCCCGAGAGACTGCGGTCGACACGCAACCTGGGGTTCATGGCAACTGACGGCGTAGTCTCTGGTGACGGAGAGTCCCGCCGCAGGGTTGGCGCACGCTCACTTGAGGTCGCCATGGTATCGCTCGCGAACCGGGGGCGGGGCGTGGAGGGCTGCTGCGTTGGCGCGGTTGGCGTTGCCGAAGAGAAGTGGTCAGGCGCTTTCGAGATCGGCGGTGGTGCTGTAGAATGGAGGAAGCTGAGGAAACGGCAATGAGGCAGCAGCAAGAGCAAGGGCTGAGCAGAGCCAGTGGGAGCAAACAAGCAGAAGAAGAACAAGCAGGCAACGGCGCAGCAGAGGACGGCGAGCAGGACGGAAATGAGCGTGAGTTGCGAGCTGGCCGCGGCCGAGACGGCTAAAGAGGGCCAGGTGCTCGGTGTGAGGAGCGCATGGGGCTGGCGGGCAGCGTCTGCCATGGGGAGCGACCGGCCCTCGTGAGAGGCTGTACTGGCAGGCCAATCTTAGGGGAGCCGAGCCGGACCAGGGGGTGCGCGTGTGGAGCGCGGGAGCGTAGCTCAATTTAATGCCTGCATGAACTCGACTCGCCCACACCGGAGCTCGTCAGGGCGGTTCATTTCAGCCACCCCACCTCTGCCTGCGCCGGGCATCGCCTTGCCCGTCCTGCACCGTTTTCTGCCCACGAAGGGCTCTGTGTGGCGACCAGCTTCGTCTGACCACGCAAGAGGACAAGTAATACGAACCCAGAGCATCAAGTCGTCGGCAATGGGAACGCACAGTCCAAGCCCACACCACGATTGGTGGTGCGGACCGTGTCAAGGTATCAATCAGCAAGTGGCCACAACAACAAACTAGGGCGAGCTTGGTGAGGCATGTTTGTGTTTTGGCTGTTTGAGCCAAAATGGCCGGACAACCGCTAGATGCCCCAACAACCAGTCTTTGGCTCTTCGCTCTACGAGCCTGTTCAATGACGATGCTCATTCTTGCTGTGCACCCGCACTGACTCTAGTCGGACTGAGCCTCCTTTCTCTCCCGGGAACTTCTAGATCCGTCATGTGTGAGCAAAAGGTTGCATGGCACGTGCCAGGCGGATCCTAAATCGAAATGACAGCTATAACACGCGAATCTTATATGCCCAACTGGCTATTTCTCGAAAGGTTCGATGGTTCGCTCGCACGACGACGACAACAAGTGACAACCATGTCGGACCCCAAGTTATCCTTACCCAACTCGCTGCCAAGATCAGTGGCCGCGAGCCTTGAGCCACAACAATACACACCGGGGAGTGAAGGATTTCAGACAAGACCGCCTTTCATGGTTGAGGCTGACCTGCAAACCCCGCCGGCCGTTGCAACCAACCTCGATCCTCAGAGGGCAGAGCTGAAGAGTTACTTGCTTCCAAGCAGGTCACTACTCCAGTAAATGGCAGATGAATACAGCTGCCTAACGCAGGCAGATTCTGTGCCAGGCACGCGGGTAGAGAAAGTGGGTGCCTGCCATGGTTCCTCAGTCTTTTGCAGATCCGTGGCGGCCTTGGTGGAGGCCCTTCATGTCTTGCAGAGGTGTGCCGTATGAAGCCGGTCTCGTTTGGGGTTGGTCAAATGTGACTTCATACACCGTCTTTCATGTGTTGGCTCGCTGCGAAGCTTGTTGCGCCCAGCCTCTAGTCAACTACCGAAGGACTTTCAAATGCTGCCTTGGGCGCGAAGTGAGCATCAGCCCTACCAGACTGCTGTCCCGCACAGCACGCCGTCAGCCAATTGGCCAGCATGTCACCAGGAACTGCTGAAGCGAGGGGCTAGCGGGCCGTTTCAGTCCTTTCATTTACCCCGGCTGGGTGAGCAGTTCGATTTAGAGCCAATGAGGCCGGCTCGACGCGTCGCGCGCGATCGGCTGTCCTTCGACACCGTGACCAACCTCGAACAGGACCGTGTCCGCAGTTCACCTTCCCACTGGAGACAAGCAGCAGCAAATTAATTAGCCAGCAGACGAAGGTGGTACGGGCCAGCACAGCCGGGAGGGCTTCGACACTAGCCTGGTGGGTGACCCTGGCCACAACCCATGTCGGCGGGCTTCCATTTGCAGCCAGCAACGTGGCCCGGTGGATGCCCTGCAGCACTGTTCCTTCGCGTCGCCGTCCTTGGATCGCCAATCCTAGCCGGGCAGGCAGGGTTCTTATTAGATCATTACCGGTACCTACAGTCACAGGGTACGGGGTACTGGGCGTGTCAAAAGTTTAGCAAGGCCGCCACCCACGCTAAGTGTGACTGCTCGGCCTATCGTCCGCCACGGCCCCCCTTATCCGCACTCGTGCTGCTCAGACAGCTCGACTTTGGTCGTCATCCCCCCAGACCACCGCACCGAAAGAGACCACGCTGTCTACGCTACTCTCGGGTCTACCGCACGTCCTCCTTGCTGGCTGGGTGGCCATCGTCTACCGAAGGGGGATCCAATGACGAACTCGTCCTCGCCTGCCCCTTCCCCTACTGCCTCTCCATCCGTCCTCCCAGGGTCGGCCATTCCCGTGCACCAAGATGCCGGCTTGCAGCCTCCAGCCATTGTGACCTTTCCCGACCTGCCGAACGAATCGCTGCATCTTGACAATCCCGCAGAACAGCAGCGACCCGAGGTCACAGATCCGGCTCCATCGTCGAGTTCGCCCGCTCTCCCTCTCTCGCGCACGCCTTCATATGCCCGAAAGCCGTCACCCGGACTGGCTGCCCGCCTTAAAGCTCTTGGCTTCAGCTCGGGCTCCAATAAAGCACCGCCTCCGGCACCGCAAAACGAGAAGACCGGCAACATCGGCCGCTTAGACGAAGATCAGCTGCGCCAGCTCGATCAGCAGCACATCAGCAACTCGCTGGGTCTTGTCGTCGAACGTCGCGGCCGCCCCTGGAAGGGCCCAGGCGCACCGCTCCAGCGGCTCAGATCAAAGGCGTCGCGACGCGACATCAGTGCGGAATCCGGCGCGAGCGGCAGAGAATCGCTTGTCCCAGACGAACCAGATCTTCTACCAGAGATTGAACAAGTCGCACCCCTGGAAATGGACAGCAATAAGTACCGCTTGCCGGATCATACCAACGGGAATGGCACAAAGGCACAGCTCGACGTCCGGCGGGACCACATAGCACGGGACTCAAGACCTCCTGATGTGGACGAGAAGGAGATCGAGCAAGAGGAGGAGGACGAATTAGCACAAGCGAGGCCACGGACCCCGTCTCCGCCACCAAAGGACACGCCTCCAATAGGCACACCTTCGTCAACCGACTACGTCCCGGATCTTCCATCATACTTCAACCCCCTTGGCCTGCAGCGTGCTGGATCCATTTACACAATATCCCGCGCCTCGTTTGCGAACCAGCTTGCGCAGTTGACCGCGTTACAGCTACCTGATGCGGACCTCCTATCGAGCAAGGTTGCAGCTATCCCGACTGCGCAAGCAGCCTCAAAGGCTCTTATTGGCGCGGCTGAGCAAATCCGAAGCTGGATATCGAAAGCAGCCGAGGTCATTAGTGGCCTGGACAGTGAAGATGATGTCGAGTGGGCTGCAGCCGGAGGCAGAGAGGGCTACGAGGAAGTCGAGAATGCCATCACAAGATTCGAGCAGCTTATCAACGTCTACGTCAGCGCGATTGAGGAGTTGCAGAACCGGCCTGACATTGCCGCTGTTCCCGGAGATGACCTCACTCATGCTGTGATGCAGATGGATTCGATCATGCGCGAGTGGCGGGCCATTCGCGCCACGCTCAACAATGTCAAAGGCCAGGTCGACACGGCGATGGAATGGGAGGAGCTCTGGAACATGGTTCTTGGCGACATACAAAACGAAATGGATGATCTAAGCCGGCTAGTGTTTGAAATGGAGGAGCGGCGGCACAAGTCCGTGCTGGTAGCCTCGGGAAGCGACGGCGTGGATATTGGAGACCTGGCCACCATCGTCGAGGAGACCCCACCAGCTGTGGCTCGAAACAACAGATTCAGCGTATCCGCCTTCCCACCGACACCAAACTCTCCAGGCACTCCGACTCTATCGCAAGATGATTCAAGTCTGCTTGCCCTTTTCGCACGCATGCAACCGCTTCGCGCATCTCTCGACTTCTTGCCAATGAGGCTGTCCGTCTTTGAGGCAAGAGCGCAGAAAGCCTTCCCGACAGCTTGTGAAGAGTTAGAGATGAGGCGCACAGGCCTTGAAGGCAGCTACAAGAAACTCGAAAAGGATGCGGACTCGTTGCGGAAAGAGCTTGGAGAGGACAAGTGGGTTCTAGTCTTCCGAGGCGCTGGCCGGCAAGCTCAGAAGATGATTGAGTCGGTTGACCGAAGCATGAACAAGCTACGAGAGAGCATCGACCAAGGTCTTCAGAGCTCAAACCCTGCTGTTATGGGCAAGAAGATTGAGAGCTACGAGGCAAAAAAGACCCACTATGGCCCTGCGATTGAGCGCGTACTGTCCATCATTGATCGTGGCGTCAAGGACCGGCTCACAGTCAATGGCGAGATCCTTCGCCTCCATACTGAGATGCAATCGAAATGGGATGAGGTCAGGGAACAGATGCTAGAGTTCGATGCTATCCTCGAGGCCCTCAACGCCGATCGTAGAACCCAGCATCTTCGCGATTCCATCTCCAGCATGCTCTCAAACGATCAATCAACACTGGGGAGCGGCATCAACACCCCTGGCAGTTCTCCCCCTTCGTCGGTCATTATGTCAAGCTTGGGTATTGATCCAGTAACTCCGACGGCGAAGCCCAAGAACAGAGTCAGCTCGGGTAGCAGTCTGCCTCAGCCCCAGTTCAGTCGACGGAGCAGCTCTCATCTCTCTACGCCACAGCCTCGCCGCCCTCTGGGATCACGCCTGTCAGCCATGTCCTCGCCGGCTGTGGCCAGCCCCTCAACACCAGCACGGAGCGGCTCCGTAACGCCTTTGAATTCGGGCCATCCCAGATCTGCATCGAGGAATGCGGACAACCGCCCTCGTTGGAGTGTGTCAACAAACACAAGCAAGTCTGATCTTGGCCACAATTTCAAGCCTTTGTCTCTCACCACGCCCAGTCCTTATGTTAAGCGCAGTCCCACGCCTCTTCGTTCAGCGTCGTCGTTGGCAACGTCTTCACGAGACACAAAGCTGCCCATACGAAGCCCGCTCAGCAGAGAGGCGACCGCATCGCCAGTGCTCGAGCGGACACCGTCTCGGAAAGGTGGGTCCCGCCTGAGCTTCAGAGATCGACTGTCGGCCTCGCCTGCGCCTGCGCCGGTCGTGACCCAGTCGACGCTACCCAAGCCACGACTCACCACACAGGCGTCAATGTCGGCACTTCCAAACAGGAGAGCCTCTTTGCAGCCGCCAAGGCCGCAGGAATCTGGCGATGATGTCAGGCAAAGACCTGCAAGCTCGCTAGCGACCGGCAGACGCAGCAGTCTGCTGCCATTGCCGCGGTCAACGAAGGATGGAGAGAGCGGACGGCAGAGCCCCCAGGCTCTGGCAGGCGCCCGAGTGGCCATGCGCAGAGGCGCTAGTGCCATCGAGGTCAAGAAGGACGCCAGACCACGGTGGCACTAGTGAATGCCGCGGCGGGCAAGGTATACAAAGCATGGATTTCCAGAAGATGGACACTTATACATTGCTGCTCTTGATACCCCTTTCCTTTGGTCTCCTTGAAAATCTTACATGGCGCCTCCTCTCTCTTCCGCCCAACTGGAGTGGGCGAACCGAAAGACGGCGTTTTAGCTTGTCACAATGCTCTAAATTGTCGAGTAGAATATGACTGCCAGTGCGCGCGTGGGCGCAAGTGTACATTCTTTATTTTTTTCCTCTTGTAAGGGCGATACCCTCGCCGCAGCAAAAGGGGTTGCGTCCCTAAATTCTCCGGCGTAGGCTACTGGCGCAGCGTGTAATTCAAGGGTGATAGTTTGTACGATTTGCCATACAAAATCTTTTTTTCAAGGTGAACGCCCCCTTAAATAAGGGTACTATCTCTCGGCCTCCCGTTATCACAAGCGTCCCTGGGCTTCCGGTGCACAGTCGCACGTGTTGAAGGACCTGTGGAGACACGCAATTCACGGTGCAAGTCAGGTGTGCAAGTTGAGGAATCAGTTGATAACGGTGGGTTATTGATTTGCAATCTGTCATTTATGCTATATGTGGTATCTTAAGGGGTTGTTTCGTCAAAAAAGTCGTAGCTTTGTGTGGAGGAAAGACTTGTTCCTTTTCTCTTCCTTTCTACCTTTCTTCTGTGCAAAGTACGCGTGTGTGTTCTCCATCTCCTTTGTAGACGCGTCGGCACACACACACCCTTGCGTGGTTTCGTGAGAGAAGCTGGCTAGACTGTGGAGACTTTGAAGGAAACACCTTGAAGAGGAGGAGAAAGCAGATACTTGGCGGAGGGACAAAGGAAAAGGATTCTCGGACCATTTGGGGAACATGTGGAAAAGAGAAATTAGACCAGGAAAGAAACGTGAGTTTAAAAAGAAATTGAGGGATTCTCAAGTAAGGTGCCGTTGCTGACGGCAGCGTAGGTAAGGCTCTGCGCAGGTGGGTCGAGGATAAGGTGGGCGGGTTTCACTTCAGAACCGGTCGCGAGCGCGATCGCACTCCTCGAGGAACCGGTACACGCCCTCCACACCCTCAAAGCTGTTGCTGCTCTCCTGGCCGCGAAAGCTGTTGCTGCTGTTCTGCAGAGTTGCCGACCAGCGAGCACGGAAAGGAGAGGACATGTTGTCGTAGTGCCCGTCGAGCAGGTCCGTGTCGAGGGCATTCAGAGACGGCAGGGACGAAGAATCCGAAGGTGATGCAAGCCAGGGGTTGCGCTGCACAATCTCGCTGAAGCCATCGTCGTCCAGCTCATTGTCATGGTTGCTGTTGATGTGGTTCTGGTCGAAGAACATGGCGGTGATTTCGTCCTCGTCTGTGTCGCTTTCCGTTTCGTCGGTGCCAAAGTACGCCGAGGCAGCACCGGCAGCAGCTCGCTTGTAGCTGCTCTGCCAGGGCAATCCCGAGTGGATGTCCTGGCTCAGCACCGTCGAGGCGAAGGGAAACTTGAGCGCGACGGGTGCATCTCTGCCGAACTCTGGATCCTCCGTCACGATCCCCCGCGTGAGCCCGAGATCGAGACAGAGCGCTTCAACTGTGTCGGCATCGACCCCTGGGAAACGGACCCGCAGTATGTGGCCGCCCTTGGACTCCACGAGCTGGATGGGCAGGTCGCCAAGCGCTGCGAGCTTCTGCAGGTCTGTGAGGGTGGCAGTAAGGTCCTTCAGGGCACGAGCGAAGTCGCCGGAGAGCACGTCGAGGAAGCCCTCGGTGTTGATGCTGGGCTCGACGTTGGCGGTAGCAGTGGCAGCAGAGGGGAATGGAAAGGCTGCAGCGAGAGGGCCGAGGGCAGTAACGGTAGGGTTGAGGCGGAAGTCGAGGTTGGAGCCGGGCGTGCGGTCGGCCGAGGAAGAGCTCGAGAGCTTCCGCATGGTCTGGTCCTGGACAGCCGAGACGGCGCGGAAGCGGGCCTCGCCCCGGGCGTTGAGGCCGTCGAACTGAGCCTTTTGACCCGAGATCCAGAAGGCGCGGACGGCCTGCGAGACGTTCTGGATGACCTGGGCGTGGCTGGCTGGGCCATGGCTGAAGAACCGTGCGCCGCCAATGCGACCGGAGCCGAGGCCGTAGCCGCCGGCGGACCGAGGCAGGGCGCCGCCGGTCAGGTTTGGCCGCAGCGTGCTGGCGAAGGGAGCCCGGCCGGCGAACTGGGAGACGGCACGGCCGACCTTTGTCTTGAGGAACTTTGTGTTGTGAGGCCGGGGTGCGGTGGAGAACTGGCGGGCGGCGGCCGAGGAGGCCCTGGAGTGGATGCTGCGGCTCTTCTGCTGGCGGAGGAAGGCGACGGGATGGATGGGTTGGCGCGGCGGGCTGGCACGGGCGAGGACAGGCTCGAGAGCCGTCTGGACGGGCCTTGCGAGCCTCGTCCGTACCACCTTGGCCGCGCGCGAGGCAGCGATCCGGACAGCCCGCATGGCTGCGGGTGCCCAGATGCCGCCTGCGGCATTCATGGTGACAACGAGTATCGGGGCGGATGGTTGTCCCCAAGCGTGTGGGGAGGGTTGCAGGGTCAACACCAGATGTCAAGAGGGTAGTGATGCAAGTCTAACTAAGCCGCACGCAAAGGGCGGCGGGTGACGTCCAGTTCTAATACCTGATATCTGAGGCGGGATGCCTCACTCCGGCGCTGCCCGGCCGGCGGTCTGGGGCGAGTAGCAGGTGGAGTCTGGGCGCTGCCAGCCAATGGCGAACTCGTCGTCCTCCAGAGTCGAGGCGGGTAGCGGCCCTGGACCATGCAGCGCCAGCGCACCAGGGGCCCTAAGTGCCGCCAGGCCTACCTCGCTGGCTGGCTAGCAGGCGTGGCGCAGTCGCAGCATTCGCCACATTGTTGTGACTGGTCCGTGCTAGTGCTCGGCGGGGCTTCACCCAGCAGTTGCCCAGTCGAGCCACACCTCCAGAGCTCCCCACTTTAATAATTTTCTTCCCTTTTATTCGAGCTTGATTTCGCATCCTGCTTCAGCGCCTCTTCTTTCTCGACATTCTCGCAGCGCGCCTTGTTTGCGCGACTGCTCTCGACAATTGCCTCCGGGCATGGCAGCGAACCTGCGCACGTCGCGCACCGCATGGCATTGAACACGGCCTCATGTCCGGCGTGCGTCAGGTTTGGCGTCTTCTCATACTGTAAGTCATTCTCACAATGCTGCTGTGCTACCACAGCATATACAATGTCCGCCGTCAAGTCCTGCGATGACGATGAAAACTTACGAACAATCCAATTCTTACATAACCACATGGGGATTCTCTTAAGACTCTAGAATTACCCTGAGCAAATTCACTTGTCCCACAGATCACAATTTGAACGTCAAGCCATTGAGCCTCGCGCTGACCTGGAATAGTTATTCTTTAGTCCTCCTTCTGTGCACCAATTGCTGTTCACCCACAAACCATACATGAATCAAAAGGTAAGCCCAAAATGACCACCGGTGACACGCCATCCAGGACCAACCCACCCGAGGGGTGATGATGAAAATCAACAATTCTAGGGAATTCCTCATTCAGAATACATCATGTAGAATTTGTTTAGTTTCAGCCTTGTCTGACCTCACATACCTACCACAATCATTTGTTGCAAGTCTCTGTTGGACTCTGGTGCTAACTCGACTCGCGCATCCTCAGGTACATTCTCACTCTTCCACGCGCCCTGCGTCTTCCCACGCGCCCTCCCAACCATTTCACAATGAGGATATCTTGAACGAACGGGCGGACATAAACGAATCCGAGCGTCCCTTCTCGTAAACCACAAGGACGTACAATCCTTGGAGTCGGGCGCGCGAGGAATTCTTGTTGAGACTTCGTCAGCTGATCGTGTGCCAAGCCGGCATCACTTTTTGACCCGACACGATATGCACGAGATTCACGTCGCAGGGATGACTAACTCGAATTGTGTCTAGGTAATACTTTGCACTATTTGTCACCATGCTATGTTCCAGCGGCTAGATGATGATCATTCTATATTCACACTGTTTGATCCTCTTTCTGGAGGAAATGAACTTTATTCAAAATCTGATTTAATGAGGTAAGCACAAGCGACACAGACACCACCTCTTAGTCCATGGCTGTTGATACTAACAACTGGTTGACAGCCTGACATATGCTGCTTGCATCACACTGCCTTTCAGGGTTGGCCTGCTCGACTTTCTTGCTGACTCGACTGCCGTGCAGGTAATTACATTGTAGACATTCTGTTGGGAGACGAAGTCTTCCCATGAGGTCAGTGCGCGCAAACTATCCCCCTCTCCATGCCTGCCCTGAACTGCCTTGCGGATGAAACCAACCTGCATTTTCTACGGAGTTTTCCATGACGAGAATTGTGATTTTTCACCTTGGAGAACTGAAAAGGCACATCACAAACACGCTCTGTTATAGTTGACCAAATGTGTACTGGTTTCTCAAGACTAACGTGTCGTCCAGGCTTCGTGCGATAGATAGACCCTGGGATCTGGACAGCCTGGATCGGCACGCTGCAAGATCAGCATAGTCCACATAGATAGCCATACGGACTGCTCCTGAATATATCTTATCAAGTACAAAATGCCGCAGATCTTGCCAGTGACAGACATCATTCCCGCGATTGGCCTGTGCTTAAGCACGAGGAGAGACCAGGTGCATTGCTAGATCCAGGGCAACGCGAGCCACCAACGTCGTGGTGATGTCAAGAGTCTCACTAAGGATCAGACGGGTGGAGGAGTGGCAGCTCGGCAGGGTCCAAAAGGTCTTGCCCGCCCGCCAGGGCTGGCCAGCTACGAAAAGTGGACCCGGCTGCTCATCGACGCTTTGCATCATCACCATTGGCACGCCCTCATCTTGCCTGTCTGTCGGGGTGCTGACCACTTGCCGCGGCGTCCTGTCACCAGCAAACTCTAAAGAGGCGGTCATGGCTAGCGGCGATCGAGACCAGTCTCCAGGGCGAGCTGTGATCAGGTGCGGTGCTCCCCTGCGCAGGGCAGGCGAGGATATCAAAGCCGATGACCAGCTTGAACGGGCCGTGGTTGCAGCCATGCATGCTCGATTGCTCGTCGATGATCGACAAAGGGTGCTCATCGAGGACTACACACGTACCATAATAAGACGGCACCTGGGCCTCGTCCCAGATCCCACCTCGTGGATGTACAGTGCCAGCAACATGAGCCATCAGCCGAGCCTCAAGAATGGGGAGAAGGAGGAGGACTGCCTCAGACGATACCCCTCATCATTGGAGACGGCAGACATGACGAGAAGGGGGCGACCAGACAATGCAGGGTTTCCCCAGAAAGTGGGCATGGTTCTGTGGGCGGCAAGGTTTGGACGTGGTGCTGGGCCAAGACGGCTCCGTCCCCCGCGGCGGCACACGCCATTGGTGAACGTCATCAAAGCCCCTCGCCCCCTCCCCTCAGGGAGTCGCTCTGCGTATGGTAGGGTAGCGCCTCGATTGGTCTGCTGCAGATCAAGCTTCCCTCATCACGGCGGCCTAAAAACATGCACCACACAGCACAGGACAGTGTGGATGCCTGAGTCGCAGCGAGGCACATGGCAAGTGAGGGGAAGGAGGAATGTGGTGCGATCAACAGGTCCCAGTGTCGATGGGCGAGATCAGAGGTTTGGGGCTGCTCAGCATGGTGAATCGGGGATTACATATATTCAAGCTCTCCCACCCGGCTACCCTCTCATGTTTTCTCTTCCTATTTCAAGTCACAAGAAACGGATCAATATCAGCAAAGAACTACTCCGAAGCTCTGAACACTACCACACAGCACCTCTTACAACCACCACTACCACCACCGCCAACATGGATAACAAGCCCTCTGGAGAGCAGTCGTCCCCCTCCCGCCGCCGGAGCTCCGGCCCCTCGTTCGAGGGTCTCATGGCGCAGAAGCGTAGCAGCGACCCGGCCAACATGGCTCGTAGGCAGTCCCTACATGACCAAAAGCCGCAGGCCGGCTTCTTCGGTTCGATGTGGCACAAGTACGTTGGTCTTTTCTCTGGCGCTTGGTCACTGGCATTGTTCCCCGCCACGGCTTCCTTACCCGCCATCTCTCATCCCTAGTGTTCACATACTAATCGTACGGTTTCACAGCTTCACCCGTGGCTCGGGTAGCCCGCCCAAGTAAATCATCTGCGTCTTGAGCACGTCTTTACTACTCAGGGGATGGTACGTGTTATACACATGAACATCACACTTGTACAATACCATTACATTACTGGAAGCGCATAGCCATTGAGCATGAGACCAAAGCGTTTGGGAAAGGGTAGCGGAAAGGATCTTGTTTTATCAGAAACCAGCGTAAATTCTTAACAGGCATCGGGTGCACAAAGAAAACCCTTGCACGAAATCAAATCAGATTGATGGACATGAAACTATTATTGTCATCATACGAATTTCTTTAATGCGAATCAAATGTCTAGTATCTGTGCCTGTATCTATAATTGTGAATGACACGTGGTATGAAGGAGAAGAGTCTTTATGTGAATAAAACACTTTTATGACCTCTACAAGCTGGCCCCGCACAATCAACGCGTGACCCGCCCTACGAGCTTCACAAGAACTGAACGTGACGACAAAGAGAAAAAGGAAAGGGGATCAAGGCCAGGCTCTGCTGTAAGCATCAACACCAAAAGGGCGATGATTTCTCTCACCAAAAAAGAAAAAGATGTATCGGGCATATTCTCTCCTGCTCTACACTCCACATTGCTACTGTTCCCAGTTTACCCGTCTGTTCTCAGCTCTCGTCTCAGCCCCAGCGTGCTTTGCTGTGTCTGTTTCGTGTTCTACGAGCGAGCCGGGTCGAACTTTTCCTTGTCTCCAGAATTGGGGATAACGAAATCGACAATCTGAGGGCTGCTTGATGACTTGATGGGCGAGTGCCAAGGTTCAAGCATATCTCCATAATCCAATATGTATTAGAAGATTCCAAGGTGCGTCGTGAGAGCAGTCCCAGAGCAGTCCCAAGACAATGCATATCATTCAGGAGCTTCCCCAAAGACAGGTGTGTGTGTGTGAGTGAGAAGCACACGGGTATCATGGACTGAAGTGCACACATACCATCGCATGCGCGCAACAATAAAACATCCACTGCACTTTCTGCAAACAAGGACGGACCATCACGAAGGGAAAGGGGGGATGGGAGGCAAATGTCAGGATCCAATTTTTTATCCTATACAACAAACCCTGTGTGCCGCAGCTAGAGACCATCGCGAGGAAAACCAAAAGACGACCCTCAAGCCAGGTCAGGCCTGATGCCGACAAGAAGCTATTGTAGAGAATCCTGCTGCCCCCCCATTGCCGTAGATTTTTATTCTTTTTTTTCCCTCCAAATCACTGTTCTGGTAGGGGCTTTTCTGTTTTTGTAGACTCTCCCCCGGATACTCATCCCCAACTCCATGCTTCTCTCTTTTTTTTCTCGTTGTTCTTTTCTTTACCCAATCGTTCGCGCGTTGTCCATCGCACAAGAGCTTGGAAAACAAAAATCCGTAACAGTGACAGCAGCAGTGAATGACTGAGCCTACATGATTTCTCGCGCGCAGAGAGCAATGGCTGAAGACCAGATGAAAAAAAAAAAGGCGAAAAACGCAGGGGCAGAAAAAGATAAACAGAAGCAAAGGAGAAATGAAGCAGGGGCAAGAGAGTAAACAATTACCCGGAATTAATATCAAAAGTCTGCCCCGGCAGCCTGAACTGCGAGTTTCGCGCTGGGGGCTTTTGGGATGTGATACAAAAGAGGAATCTCTCTCGTCACACATCACCGCGGGAGACGCGACCAGCCCAAGCCCCGCATGCCTCGTGGGCGCGCGCGCGCGGACGTGTATCGGACGAGTACACATCTGCTCCGCGTGCCCGTCGTGGCTTTTTCACATCCCATCTGCACCTATCTTTCTCCCCCCGACCGCCATCCGGGAGATCCGTCGAACGGAACCGACAGACCAGGCAGGCAGGGCACAGAGGCCGCCGTCTGCCAGCGACGGGGGAACGGGTTCTCCTCGGCCGAGTCCGAGATGCTGGCTCCGGAGCAAAGTAGCTTCCACCACAAGGTCGGCAGGCGCGGTGACAGGAGAGAACATGGCTTCCTGTTGAAAAGGAAGGCACCGGACTGATGTTCCAGAGCGCTGACAGTTCTCATCCACGCCGCCTGCTGCCGGGTATACGGCTCTTACTATCGCGCTTGTCTCCTTCAGAAAGAACCCAAGCATAGGTGAGCCACAGGCGAGGCTCCTCATTGAGGGGCGAGGCCCCAAGGTGCTAGGTCGAGACCAGGACACCTTGGTGTGGTGGCAGCGCGAGTGGCAGACCCTTAGTTGGATATCGCAAGCTAGAGGCATCAAGGCAGCCCAATGTCAAAACATTGAATCAACAGGTACCCTCCGGCTGACATCCGTCAAAAGTGGCCTTGGTAAGGTTTTTTAGGTCGTTTCCTTTATTGGTACAGTGCAGCCATCAGCGACTTTATACAGCGTCACCTGCACTCGTCGTTAGGGTTGGACGTGTCCCATCCGGTGCAGCGTCCACGAAGGATGCCGACGCGGATGGAAGGTGATGGGTCCCGTGTCGTGGAGTCTTTGACACTGGGAAGGGGACCAACTCCGGTGAGGAGCTGCTGGCGCCCGCGGGTGGACGCCAAAGCAAACAAGGCAAGATGTCAGGACGGGCAAGGCCGAGCTGACTACTTGTATTGCGCTCCCTCGACAACAGTGTCTTGGGTGTAGTCGTGGGTGTCGTGCTTCCATTACTCGCACGTGGCATGAGTGGGTGCCTCGTGCTGCGTTGGTGTTTAAAGGGCCCTTTAACGTCATGCCCAGGACGGCGTTAGGATGCAGTTCTTCTGGCAAACAGTGATGGTACCTGGGAATTGGGGTGTCAGCGCCGATGCAGGTGGACATAAGAGTACAATGGTGGCCTACATGTCCTTTGCGCCTGAAAACACGGCATCCAAAGTTGATACCAATGCAAATCATCGCGAGATGGTTGTATATCTTGCTTCATATGAAATAAGACGTGTAGCTGAGATCGTGACCGAATGGAGATGGAAGGCGTAGACGGAACTCCAAAGCAGGAAAAGATGGCGGACACTTCGGAACAGATGCTCGTCGCTCCGATATCAACAGCTATGTAATCTTCGGTATCGTGCCATTCCGGGACCTATAGGACAATGTGAAAAAGCCCAAAAGCGCTGCAGAGTGACCTTGGGTAAGCCCTGGGAACATTGGTATATGAGCAATGTGACAAGATGGCGGTGGTGCTTACCGGAAAGAGCAATGCAACGCCTACCCATGGATTATTTTCGTGGTACTTTTTGTGGCAAACAATGACCTCTAATGCATCCGGTCGTGCTCGAGGACATTGCCGGAATGAGAGACTCCTTGTTATGACCAGTGAAGGAAATCGTACATCATTTGTCGTTCGTGAATGAACTCGAAAAAGAGACCTCGTGGCGCCGTAATCGTGATCTGGTGCTCGCAAGCAAAGCCAAATGCAAGCCAAACGCATAGACCAGGACGCCTGCAAGCCGGGAATGAGACGTGACTTCCGCGACTCCGTGAGGCCTTTTATCGTCATGCCCAGGACGAGTACCGGCGTTGGGCGTCGTGGTTCCAACGAGCCAGGAGTGTGACCGGATCTGAGCCACAAAGAACATGGCCGCGGAAACAGCTCATCGCCCGGTATGTGCCCACGTGTCAATCCATCAAAGACGACGCCGACGGAGACGACATTGGGTATATGTCCTGAACCAGTCCCTCGCGATTCGTTGCGAGTACGCGAATATGGGATCGAATCATAGGGTCCGGTTCCCAGGCTGTCAAGCTGGTAACAGCACCTCCATGTCGCTGTACTGCCCAGTTGCTGCACGTCCCTCGCGGCAGAAGCGGGGAGCAGCCCCAGATGTCACAGTCAGGCCATGTCGGATGAAGGGCTTCTCTGAAGGAACCGTCAAACAATGCAGGCGTGATTCAGCGATGAAAAAGGAGAAGGGGCTGCTGTAGTAACAGCAGAAGAGGAAGAAGCTGCACAGGTGGAGGAGGATAGGGAATGGATGAGGGCAGCCTGATGCGCCAGCTATATGCCCAAATGAGGGGAAGAGGGGAACCATGGGGGTGCTAAGGAGTGCCCGTGCTCCAACCTTGACTGGTGTCACGCGGTCGGCTGAGACGGGGATCGAGCTGCTTGGGAAACAAGCTCCAACCGGACCCTGTGCTCCCTTGGTTGGCAACCAATAGCACTAATGCTCTGCGAAAAGCTCCCACAGACGACAGTGGTCTCCCCACAGAGCCAGTGCGCAAGTACAAGCACGGTGGAATCACCAAGGCCCTCGCGGGGAAACAGTATCTTCTTCATCCGAACCTCTGATACCATAGGCCACAATATCTGTGTCTCTCCTCATGACATGGTGTTACTTCCTCCCACAGGCTTGCGACGGATCGAAGTAGCCGACGGTACCGACCCGAATAATTCCACGGGCCTCATCACTGGAATGCCTGGCAACTCAGCAGTCTGGGTTTCGATACTGGACAATGGTTGCGCTTGTCCCGCACCCAGTGGCTCTGGGAGTTGGCCAGATCCAAATCTATCCTTGGCCCGGCGCAGTGCCGGATCGCTGATCAGTACCTTGTTCTCCATAAACTCTGGTTCCGAGTATAATGGTGGAGCCGCCGTCTCCCCAGTGAGTTCGGAAAGCTGAGGAGCCGGCTCCGGGGTTTGCCATTGATCCAGGTCTTCGGAGAGAGGGCTGCTGCCTGGCAATTCAGACGCGGCCTCGGCTTCTTTCCAGTCTCGAAGCGCCTGCAGGTCTGTAATACCGTTGCCGGGTTCTGGAATTGGTGCCGGGATGGTTCTGCTCTGGCCCATGTTAGGCTCCAGGGAGAATCTGTTTTCTCGCACCATTCGCCGCAACTCTGTCCGCATGGTTGTCACTTTCAGAGGCTGATGAAGCTTAAAAGTCCATGTTGGTATGAGGGCATCCACGTCGCGGTGGACTCTTGTGCGGACCGAGAGTCCGTTCTTGGCTGGCTTAGTGGAGTAGCTCCGCGATGCATGCTCAAAATCATCACGCATAACCGCTTTGCCCTTGTTGTCAAAGATCGCGGTGAGGATCAATATGATATCACACGCACACTTTAAGACCATCCGTGCAGCAGGTGGCACAGCGGCGAATGGGATGCCCGCCATGAATGGTATCCCACCGAAACCACTAGCGACTGTCAGACCAGCCGCTGTACCCCATAAAAGCACTGTTGTGGTAATGTTCTGACGCAGGAACTTGCCAAGGTTGCTCCAGAGCACCTGGTCTGCAAGCTTCTCAATTTCTTCGGACTTGAGATCGGTCAGTCCAAAGCACTTTACGACGTTGTGGCACAGTACGTGAGAGATTGTTGGCCTGTCAAGCGTCAGCGAGTCGGGAACCACAACCGCAGAGAAGAGGGTGACCTACGTCGACACAGTCGCTCCGAAAATGAGTGTGCTTCCAGCCCTAGCAGACGAGTTTGATTAGCCTCAGCCGTGTGCTTCAAGAAGGCCATGAAAGGATGGCATCGTTCGCTTACATTGCCGTGTAGTTCGATATGTTCAGGAGACGTACTGATTCCTCAATGGCCGCATTGATCTTCTCACCCACGTCCACCAACTGAGCCGCAACCAAATTCAGACATGCGCCTTCGTCAGGTACAAGGCTGATTGTCTTCTTCACCAAATCTCGAATAGAGTTTTCATCGTCTGTGTCGCCTTGTTAGCATCCATCTCGATTCCCGAGGTTAATGATGATGACTGACTGTGCGCGACGTATATGAATGGCGCAAAATCCTTGGCAAGATTCAAGCTTCTCTCCAATTTGTTGATGTCTTCCTCCTGCACTCTGGCAAAAGCTTCTTCGGCTCTGGCCTCTGAAAGACGGTCGAGATCATCTCCGCGGACGCCAGACTGTCTCAGTTCTTGGCGAGAAATGCTGAGATGCTCGTTCATGAACCTATCCTTCATCGTGCGAACGATCACAATGGGTACAGACGCTGCGTATTGGTCCAGTACCTCAAATATCCTGCGATCGGCCTCGTGGATGGTCCTCGTCGATGGCACATCAATGCAGAGCCTGACGTGGTGCGGGTCGCAAAGGTCAGCGCCTGGCTCAAAGCTGGCCACAACTTTGATGAGCAGGGGATCTCACCAAATGGCATCGAGTCTTTCTGAAGCGTCTACTTCGGAGGCCCTTTTCTTGACGAATCTCTCAAGCAGTTCGACTTCCTCTGTGGCACCGCCCTGGAATCCTTTCGAGTCATGCACAATCAGGCCCGGGAAAGTATCTCGAGCAAAACCTTCTTCTATATCGTGTACACCGTGATCGTCGTACGATTCCTGGGTCTGCATGGTGTTTAGTAGACGGGAGCTTGCATTGCAAAGAAGATCAAAACGTGACTTACCACGGGAAAGCCAAACACCTTGTTGATGAGGGTCGACTTGCCCACACCAGCTCTTCCACAGACAAGGACGCGGCAATCTTTCAAGGCCCCACGACCCAGTGCACCAAGCTCGCTCTCCGCAATCCAAGGGTCAAGCGTGTCTCTCTTGCGCTTCATGAACGCTGTTTTACGGAAGGTGTCGAGCGCATCGTTGATTGGTACTAAGGACTCCCCAATCCCAAGCCGGTTGTAAAGGTCGAGAACAAAAAAGACGGACGGGTGTATCACAGCTCCACAAGGGGCTAGTGCCTAAGGGTCAGCATGCGTCTATGAGAGAGCGTACAATGATATTTGACTTGCCATCATCGATGAAACCAATAAGCCTGTCTCCCTTGAAGACTACTCGATCGCCCGACTTCAGGCTGCGAAGAGCTGCACCTGGGTTAATCTGCACAGTATGCGGACGCGGACCGGGGTTCTTGACGAGCTCTTCTGTTCCATCTTGATCCGCTTCTGCCTCGGTGACAAGAGATTCTGGTGGCTGCGGATGCGGACTGTTGGCAGACTTTTTTTTCCGCGAGAACAAGCCTTTGAAACCACTTTTTGGCTTTTCTTTGGTGAGGGTTGCGGCTGTTTTGGGGGGACTCTCTTTTTTGGTCTCTGGCTTTGACACGGTCTTTGTGAGTCTAGGCTTCTTCTTCAGGACATTGCCCTTACTCGCTTTGATATTTCCGTGTCTGTGTGTGGCGCGAAGATCGACCATCTCGAGATGAATCCCATTAGTGTATCTAAATTCCCAGGACTTGATCGGCCGTGTTTCCTGGTTATCCCCCTGGGGCACTGATGGGAAAACGAGACTGTAGGGGTCCTCGGTGATGGTCTGGTTGCGTTCGCGGGAATGATCGTCAAGGATGAGACCGCCCTGAATACTTTCCGACATCATCCACTGAAGAGGATAGAGCGCCAGTCCATCATATCTGGGGCCGCCTCCAATGTCGGCATGAGAACCGACGAACCAGGCTTCAATGATAGATCGACTCTCTATGTCCTGAGAATCTTCAAAAGGACCATACGGGCTGGGCTGGAATGCTCGCCGGGTTTCGGTCAGGGCCAAAGCATGACGGATGCTCCCAATAGAACGATAGAAAGTTTTGTCATGTTTCGTCTGAGACACCTTGAGCGAGTCGAAGAGCCCGATCATATGAATAGCAGGCTGGCCAGAACGTCCTTTGAATTGCCTTGACATTGAAACAGGGCGACGAGTCAATAACGATCCGGGATTTAATGGAGTTTTGCGTATCTTACAGGTAATCGAACAACTTCTCGGCGTCACAATTAGTAAGAGCCACAAGCTGGGACGACATAACGAACATACCTTTGCAGCAGGTTCCCGTCGTGCAGCCCCCAGCTTTTTGACTCGATTATCATATTGCTCGCGGCCTTCGCCGGCCGCAAGACTTAGGTCGTGTATCATATCGGCAACAGCTTGGACAACGTCTTGCAACGTTTTTAGCTTTTAGTGAATCTCGCTAGGAATGCGTTATACATCTCAAAGAATTGACTTACAAGCACCACGGCTGAATCCGTATAGCCAAAGCTCGTCTGTGCCATCCGACAGCTGGGTCGCACACGTCTCAAAGATCTTGTCAACTTGCGCGACCACACCGTCACTGGTCACAGCATCATTGAAGCTGTCAACTGGTCGCTTCGCATACGCAGTACCGGATTCATAGAAAGCGACCTGCTTCACCGATCTGTTGCCGTGCACAAAAGTGCCCTGGCGGATGGAGGCCCACAGGCGAAAGACATTGCTGTTGTTGCCGAAGCGGGTATTGCAGCAGCCGTTGTCGTCGTACCAGGTGCCATCGACGCAAGCAACGACTCGCTTTACGGGGCTGTTTGGTTCCGCACCCAAGCCCACGGGCGCTGGGTGATGAACCCTTTGGTCTTGGCGAAAGACATCAGTGCTGCTCTGCGGGGAAGGGACTGGTTTGCGGACCAGTGAAGATGCCATTGAGAGATGGATCAGGGGCGTGGATGAGCCGCTTGTGGGTGACTACCGTCTCGAGCAGTGGGCAACGCGGAGGCTCGAGTTGTCCGCACGAGGATCAGGCTGCCATTTAAATGGAAGCAACTCCAAGGATGGTTTCTAGTGGGACTCGGGGACGTGTCCCAGAGGGGTTATGCAGGGGTCTAGGGGCACGCACCAGCAGCGACGGCGTAATCAGCCAGCCTTGCCTGCGACCTCGCCTCTGCCTTTGATCGCTGCACCTCAGAAGAGCTCTCACATGGGCAATCCGACGGTCATGGGCGGTCTGCCTTGCTATACTTGGCCGCATGCTGACTATTTCGAGAGCCCGCGAGGCCTCGAGACTGCTTGATAGAGCCCGCTGGGGCAACAGTATTTACCCAAAGCAGTAAGGTGTATGCAGCGCCACTGCGGATCTGTGCATGCAACGGCCCTGCTGCTATTTTCGCCGCCCTGGTAGTGTCCAATCGGCAGCGGCTTTGCCTTGACCGGGGTGTTTGTTGGCGGGCGCTGGGGTCGTACGGCTGATGTGCTTGGTGATGACTTGGCCCGGGAAGGGCTCGAAACTGCCCCGTTCAAGAATTGGGGTCCGATTGTAATCTTTACAACTTGCATCACCTTTGAAGGAAAGAAACAGCGAAAGTGGCGGCAGGTTGATCCAGAGTGTAGACTGGTCGGTGCAGGCTGAGTGGGAGTTGCTCCTGCTAATTACGTCTAGGCAGTGGCCCGCCTTGCCTTCCACATGAGCCAGGCACTGCTGAGCGACTTGTCAACAGCAACCTGGTGTTAAAGTTGCAATCCCCTCGAATCTTCACCACTGGCATCCTGGCCTCACACCACGATATCTGCAGCGCTCCAGACTTCCGTCGCGTCAAAGTCACAGCCTGCTGGTGCACTTTCGCCAGGGACCCGTGATGGTTCTAGCTTGTGCTCAGCCCTACCTATTCGCAACGTTGGCTCTCCAGGCTAACTTGGGGTACAGCAAGACAACTGTGAAGAGCTGCGAAGCTGTAAAGATCCCTTGGCCTTTTCCTTACACTCTCGATACCAGGACCACGCCAACATGAGACATCGGCACGGCAGTCATTGACTAGCCGTGTGTGGGTGAATGCGGTCCTCAGTCACGGAAACCCCACAATAAATAGCCCACTGCCGCCATTGACAACTCTCGTCGTCATCGACTCAGCACACCACGCCTCTTTAGGAGCCTTCACTCGCAGCTTCACATGTACATGTCTAGAATGGGCTGGCCCACCAGCGTGTTAGGTTTCGTGCCTGGAGTGGGAGCCAATAGACAACAGAATGACTTCATAGCAGGTACGTAGTCGAGACGTGCTATATATCCCAGCTTCACCTGGCTCCCACCCAAAGCAAAGTTCTAGACATCTTTGGCCACAAATATCACTGCCGTTGTTCACCTGCGCCAATTCACCAGTTTCCAGCCAAGAAGTGGTCACCATCACAGTCATCATGATTGCAACAAGACCAGTCGTTCGGACAGCCCTCCAGGCCGTTCGCACCACCACCCGCCGCTCGTATGCCACAACAGACCGTCCTCCCCTAGCACAAGGCGGCAGCAACAGAAACGTGTAAGTCGGCGGCCAGCATATTTCCAAGCCATACGACACACCGAGCTGAACTTGTTCTCTTCATCCACAAAACAGCATCATCGGCCTCACCACTGTCTCGGTCACAGCGCTGGCCTACTTCTACACGCGCGAGAAGAACCCCGGCAAGGACAACACCATCGCCAACAGCAGCTCCGCCATCGTCAACAATCCAGAGCCCCTCAAGTTCGCTGACCGCCAGCCCAAGCCCCCAAAGTCCCGCGAGGAGAGGCAGGGCGACGTCCAGCACCCAGAGGACCTGGACGACAGCTACCGGGCACCCTTTGGTGTCCAGCACGCGCGGAAGCGCGTCGACGAGCCACCTAGCAACCGGAACCACGAGACATTGACACAACGGGCAAAGGAGAATGCAAAGGACGACTAGGTCGACTATACTCAAGTGATCGCGAGACAATTCACTGTGCACTCCTAACGAGAGAGCGTGGAGGCGGGGCGTGGGAATGGCAGCATGATTGCATTGCGACGTACGTTCGACGTCATCGTCAGCACGGTGCTGGCTCCGCTCCTCTAATCAGGCAATTCGACAACTGCAAAAGACTCTTTTCCCCTTAATTGGAAATAAAATCAACGGGACACTTCTTTGGGTGCATCGCTTCTGGTGATGCCAGAGAAATGAGGCTTATCTTCAAAAAGTTGAGAGGGCTGGGGATGGTGCACATATGGTGTTCATTGTAAATATCGTGAGAGCCATAGGGCAAACAAACAGCATCATGAGTCAATCTGCCCCATTCCACAAACGACCAGGGCTGTACCAAGTCGATGCACACTCCATCTTTACAGCGTGCCACATACATCTACCTTAAGGTAGCTTTGCGCCAATTACACGGATTTGGTGCTTGAAAGCTCGTTATCGTATTCATTCATGATTGCCGAGGTAATCTCGGGGGTATGAAGTCAAAGGAAGACTAAAACGCCGCTGGTATCTAATCGCGCCATCTACAACCTGGCGTCAAACAGGAGAGGATTACTCCCCTCATCTATACGAAAGATGAAAGAAAAGAACACACTATGAGTTCACAAGAGATTGTCGCGGTGCCGAGACGCATGCCAACAATGAACGCCATGGACCGTGACGGACGAGATAGTATCAGCGGCCGCCATAATCACTGGCGTATCCAATGTCGCCAAAGTTCTGCTGCATGCCGCCTTCCCCAAATCCAGTGCCAGGCCCACTGACGTAGCCTGTGTCCTCGCCTTCCTCATAATCCGAGGCATCGAAACTTGACCGACCACTGATATCGTCGTCCAGATTGCCTCCCATATCGCTCGCACCCCAGTTCATGTTGGCGAGGGCGGGGTATTGAGCCAGCAGAGCAGCAGGGAGAGCATAGTTGTTGGGATCCATGCTAGGGAACGTGCTGGGCTCCATCATTACTTGCTGCTGTGCCATATTCGAGGCCATGTTCTGCATGCGCTGCTCGTTCCACGCGCGCTGCCGCTCAACCATCTCCTCGTCGAGGAGAGGCTTTATGCAAATCCGACCAGCTTCAGACCGGAAGTGACGTCCAAGAGCATCAGCACGGGCGAATCGCCTTCCACAGCCCCACTGGCCGCCGGCCTTGAGGTCCCCCTTGCAAACAAACTTCTTCTCGCCAGAATGCAAGCCTTCATGGCGCTTTCGGTCATGCTGCCGGGCGAATGCCTTGCCACATACCGTGCATACAAAGGGCCGCTCGTCCGTGTGTGTCCTCAAATGGGATCGCAGGTTGTATGCGCGTGTGAAGCGTTTTGGGCACAGAGTACACTGGAATGTCGCTGGGTGTTTCTGGGCCCGCTTAGTGTTGCCACTGTCCTGGGCTGCCTGATAGTCAGGATCCGCTAGTCTCAACGCGATCACGTTATTGCCCGTTGAGCCAACGGATTGACGCCGGCGAGACGCTGCATTGGCACTACCAGAGCGATCGCCAGGGGACAGAGATCTGGCTGATGATTCCGAGCCGGACCGGTTCCGCTGAGCCAAGTCTGCACCAAGGTTGGGTGACAGACTTCCGTGTGTGCCGCTGTTGTAGGGATCCGTCACCGCGCGAGGACGGGCTCTTTGGCGACCTGCAGCAAGTCAGTATGTGCTTGATTCATAGAATTGCAGAGAATCTCACCTCTATCTGGCGGGGTCAGTGAGTGCTGATCAAGTCCTTGCCTCGGACCTTCGAAGCCCAGGGGGCCACCAGAAGGCGCAAGCTGGATATTGATGGACGGGGCGGCCATGGCTGGCCCCATAGAGTCCTGGGGTAGCGATGGGAATTGCTCAGGTACATCGGGATAATTCATGCTTGGTGGCGCAGGATATGTCGTATTGAGCAGCATGTTCGTGTTTGCGTGACCCATATCCGGAATCTGCTGGGGACCAATCCTTGGGGAGATCGCTGGACTGTGCGACGGGCTGCGGCTGCGTGCGAGGTGTGCGTCGGATATGCTGAAGTTGTTCAAGCCTGAGATTCCTTCCTGGAACGAATCGTGCGGCCGTTGCATGGGTGAGTGGCCATGCTGGTCATGGTGCTCAAAGTTGTCGTACCCAGAGAGGTTGGGCGAAGCTGCGGCTGAAGAGATGTCTGAGTACGCCGACTCGGATGGGGTTCTGCGATGACCTTGAAACTGCGTCTGTGTCCAATCGACCTGCCCAGGCAGCAGAGCTGCCTCGGGCCCCAGAGAAGTATGCCGAGAGTGGTGAGCGCCAGTAGGCGGTGAGAATTGCTGCTGGTTGAAGAGAGGTGAATGGTGGTTGGAGGTTGGGTCTGCGCCCAGGAGATGGGGTGGCGTGGGGGAGTGATGTGCTTGAGGCGAAGTCATGTTTCCCAGGTCGGCCGGGTTGAGGCTCTGATCGCTAAACAGAGGCGCGTTGAATTGGTCACCAGGGGCTGTAGAGGACGGAAACAATGGGAAGTCGGTTGTGCTTGATGCGTCAGGGCTGCCGTAGTCGCTGGAGAGGAGCGCCGACGTGAAGGAGGGCTCTGACTGGCCTGTGAAGTCGGGAACGCCGGTGTTGAAAGGGGATGCGCCGCCAATGCCAGACTGCTGGAAGCCTTGCGAGTTATTCATGAATTGTGCGGTGTTTGAGTCAAACGTGTTGAAGTCGTTGGGGAAGGGCGGCGTCGGTACGGAAGGGTCGAGGCCGAGTCCAAGGCCGATGATGGGGTCCGGCTGTGGGAAAGGGTGAGGCGATGTCGAGTGGTTGTTTCTTATATGACCGTGCTGCGGCGCGGCGGCTGGCGACCGGCCACGGGCCGGATCAGCATGCTGGGAAGCTTGTTGATCCATGGTTGATAGTGGTGTGAGAGGACGTGAGTTGCCCGCAAGTGTTCCGACTTTAGAAACGCCGACTTGGGCGAGGTTGACTCTGGAATCCGCCTAGCGTTGTGGCGCAGCGACCCGGAGTCGCAAGACAGAAGGGAGAGGGGCTGTGCTGCGCGATCTGACACAAGGTGCGATGCGGGCGGGCCACACGAGACGAGGCCGGCGAAGGGTCTGTGACGCAAGTGCGCACACAAGTGGCAGTGGCGGCAGTGTGGCCTCGAAGAGGTTGGCCGCGGTGCTCAAAGGCTATAGTCGTGGGTGGAGGAGGTGGTGGTGTTGATGGCTATCGTCTAAGATGACGGGCGGATGCTCGAGGTTGGAGGGGCGGGTGGGCGCTCGTTCTGAGCTCGTGACGGAGCTGGGCGCGCTCGAGACAGGAGCTGCTGTGCTGGGGGAGCTGGGGGCGGTAGCTGCTCTTGGCCTAGTACCCTGGGCAGGATGCAGACTGGCCTCCACGGGCGGGTGAGGAGGGGTCGAGTCGAGGGGTCGCCCGAAAGCCTCCTCGCTTGTTGCTTGCTTGGTCGCCTGCTTTTTGCTGCTCGTCACACTGTTGTTCCTCTCGACAGTTCATGCGCTCGTGGCTCGTCCTTCTGTCTGTCCCTTTACAGGCACCAAGGGAGCTGGACCGGGCTTGGGGGCCTTGCTCAACGTCCAACTCGTCCTTGCAGTCGGCATCAGTTGTGCAAGTCAGGCCACATATACACGGAGACCGACCCGGGCGTCGAGTAGTGATGCGGACGACGAATGGGATGGCCTGATTGACATGCAGACAGACGAGCATACTTGATGGCGGCGCGTGGTGCGCCAGTGCTGGATGCTTCATTGCCCAGGGCCTGCACAGCGTCTAGCTAGTGCTGACATGGAGAAGCTTGGCATCATGGGACAGATGGGCCAGGGCAGGACCAGGGCGGGGTCGTACCTGCCGAGTCCACGGCCTGGGCTGGGGCTTGAGCCAGAGACCAGACCGCCTGGGCAGTGCATCCTCTTTCCCTAATGTGCGACACCTCACCACGCTCAAGTTCTCGGCAACCGAGGGCACGCATGTATGGACTGCGTACTAGTCACGACGCAGGCATGCGGCTGCCCTAGCGGCTGCCCACGCTCATTCGCCAGCTCTCCAACACTGCAAGTGGATCGGATCATAGGGCTGAGATGCCTGCAATCAAAACTTGACGACGCTCTTCGGTTCCGTGCATACGCTACTTAGTACCTTGAGGTAGGTTTCGGCGCAACCGCTGCCGTCGCCCAGCCCCTCCATCGGCGGCCTTGCATTCGCAACTGATTTGTGCCAACGTGTAGCAAACCTGTGCATTCCACTGTTGTGCGGCCGATTGGATATCCAGAACGGGAAGCACCCTGTCTCACGGAGCGGGCACTTTTGCCGGCCTGCTTCCTCGGCGGCCGGAGTAACCCCAGGAGATTATGAGGCATGGTCTCCGCCGCTTTTGTGACAATGGAATGCCATAAAAGTAAAGAGTCGTTGGGCAGATGACTGTTAATGATACTTTGTAGGACCAAGCGTGGATGCGTCGATGACATGCCCCCGGCACGAACGCACCACACCATGGGCAGCCACCAGACACCGGCAACTTCCGCTTCAGCCAGCGACGCTGTACAACGTCTCTGGCAATTGATCAGGCCCGCGACGACACGATCCTGGCTGACTTCGGCGCTGCATTTCCTGTGTACATTTCATCTCGTGCAACGGCACCTGGCTGTTCTCGAGCCGGATGGGCAACTCAGGAAGGCCGCACGCTAGTGTTCAAGCTTAAAACACCCCAGTGCCGAGTTATTTTTAGAGCATATCGAGGGTCCTGTGGAACCATACACGCTCCCCGATCGAAGCTGTCGCGCCTAGAGCCTCATTCCATGATTTTCTCTCACAATGTCGCGCTGTGCGCATTTCAAGAGGGTCATTGCACTGGGGCTGAACCATAGACCCTCCAAATTTATGGCGACATGTCCATCGCAGACATTCCAAAGGCCGTGCATCTGCAATGAGCAATGACGAGACGAGGGAGTGGGATCTGGATGGCCGTGTTACGCACCCCGCATTGAAACCCCAACGACGCCCAACGTGGCTGTGCAGCACACCCATGACACACTCATGCTTCGTTCTCGAAGCATTCCACGGCACAGGTAAGCCTCCTGGACAGGGTACCAGCCAGCCCACGCTGTCTCGTGAGCTGCGTGCTATGGGACTATCTGCAACAGTCCATTATTCTCCGGCGCGGCCGTCTTCAATTTCCCCTCTGAAGCACGCAGCAGATGGGAACAGGGTCCGGCCACGAAGCGAACTGGAAATGCCTTGATTCTGACCCAAGTTCCCGTCCCTGCCGAATTCCTGAACAGCAGTTCCGCTGCCTGGTGACTCATACGGTCTGTTTGTGAGAGTATGGATTCGTGACAGGTAAAGCTGTCGTGTGTCTTCAGGAGCTCCTTTGCTATGAAGCATCTTACGACGAAAAGCAGGTTGCCAGTGAGCTCTCTGCAAATATTGACTGTCCATTACTTTAGAAGCGCTTCGACAACCCGCGATTCTGCCCTGTAAGGATGGACAGATGCACTACGGGTGTGTCCTCTGCCAGTCTTGCAGCACTTCCCACAGAGATACTCTTTCTGATCACGAAGCGACTTGACCTGGCCGCCCTCGCGAGGCTCGCGGATACGTGTCATGTTCTCTACCATCGGCTTGAGGAGGAACTGTACAGTCGCCCCGGCACCGCCAGCAAGGCTCTCACATGGGCTGTCTCTAAGGGCGTCACTGCGACTATTCGTCGTGCAGTTACGTTCGGCGCTGATGTGAGTGCAGTACCAGGAACAGACGGCCGAACAAGATCAACATTATGGCTCGCTGCAAAGAACAATCATCTCAACGCCATCGAGTGCCTCTTGGACCTTGGCGCCGACATGAACATGGCATCCACCCGTCAACGGGATTACCACAAATTTCTCAGGTGGCTGTGTTGGCAGTCGCACTCTGACACAACATTCTTGTTGAAGGTGTTGAAGACCGAAGCAAGCAGGCAGATCATCAAGAACGGGTTGAACAGTCTCGATCTGTGTTTGTATATGAAGACCCGCCGCAAGTCGCCCTCGATGGACGTTGTCCGACTTATTCTGCAACTCGGCGCAAGCCCCCGCAGGCTACAGCTTGCAGAAGCAGACCTAGACTCTCCGGAGCCTTTGGGTCTGGGCAAGCCATCGGGCAAGACGATACAATGCCCACTCGTTTGCGCAATGGTATACGGGGGTTCCCGGCCCCTTTTCGATCTTCTCCTCGAATACGGAGCCGATATCCATGGCAAGTCCGGAACATCTATTGGTCGATCTCGAGACTGCGTCCCAATCTATTGCGCGACATTAATTCATTCTATACCCTATGATCCATCATCCAAAGCCGGCGACATGTCATGGATGCTGGCCTGCCTCGAGGCCGGCGCCGATATCAATCATCCGGGGAACAGAGAATCCCAACCTGGGCTACAATATGATCAGGCCTGCAGCCACAAAGACGAGCACTGTTACCTGTCTTGCTCGTCCACATGGCCATGTCGTTTCCTGAGCCCGCTGACTAGCTATCTCGCCGGAATCAACACCTACAGCAGGGGAGAATTCAGCCAGCACGTATGGCCGGAAGAGCTCGCCGGCGTACAATTCTTTCTCGATCGCGGCGCCGTCCTCTGGCGGCCAGCCCCCAGCCCTTCTCAGCATCATCCACCGGAGCGATGGGGCAACTTTCACCCCTGGAGTCCACTAGGGCCGCCTCCGCTGATACCGCACAAGGCAGACAATCCCATAGTGTACAGCTTCCTCCTCAACCTCCGGGAACACAAGACGAACGCACCGGTGGCCCTCTACCAGATTATGCACTACCTATGGGACAGACAGCCGCTGGACCACATTGACGTCGCTAAGAGGCTCCTGTGCGAGCACAAGTACGTGACCTGGCGCCAGTGGCTCCATAATGAGCCGCCCGACGCAGAGCACGGCTTGTTCGTACGGCGGGTGATCCGGGAGTTCTGGCGATATCGCGGCGAGGACGCCGCCACGGACTTGAGATTCATCGAAACGTTGAAAAGCGGTGACGGGATGGAGGAGTACCAGATCGCCGGAGGGTGGAAAGACTTTGAATGAGTCGTGAAGGGCTCTCCTGCTGCGAATCTTTTCTAGAAGGAGCTGCGGGGAGGGGAGCGCAGGAGTTGCTTGGATATATTTTGATGTTTGTTTCTTAGACTTGGTACTCCGCTTTCACGGGGTGGGCAATCAAGTCATGAGTTGAAGAGTCACCAGAGAGCTGTAAAGTCATTTCCCGGCAATTGATTAGCGAGGAGGAGCAGCTCCCATATCCCACGCATGAGAAAGCGAACAAGTGGGCAGAGAGCAAACTGAGAACGCTTGAAGGTAGGGGGGAGAGCCCAGAACGTGGGAAGAGCCATAAATCCAAAACAGCCCACCATGACAGGAGCCGTCTGTATATGTCATATCCTCAAGCCGTTTTAGCCAACACGACAGTCACGGTAAGTGATGGTACTTTGTTTTGGAAATATTTCATTGGACAATGTCGACCGATCCATGGTCTCATTGTGTGGTATCAATCTAGCACTCTAGAATCTACTTTATGAAGGCAGAGTATAATATACAAGTGGCACTGCTGTACAGTCCAGGAAAATAATCAGAAAGGCAAAGCAAACGCCATCTAGTGGTAACATCCCATAATGTACAAGCCCTAGGTCCCCCGGGCCTCCGAGCCGCCGCCCAGCATGGCCCGATGGCATGAAGCCGAGAGCAGTGATACATGAGCTTACATGACTTCTGTTCGCTCGTACCCCTGTGCCTTGTCAAGAGCCTTTGGCGGCTGTCGATCACCTTTGTACTCGCTGACGAAAGGATTTGGGTCCTCGTCGGTATTGAGATTGCTCAGCGTGTGATTCACGCCACGATGGCAAGCCTCATCGGCTCGGATGTACAGAAGCAGGTCCTTCATGGTTCGCTTGCCCTCGGGCATCTTCCAGTAGTTGATGGCGATGTCAGGCGCCTGAAAGTCTTGACTTGACCACTTCTCCAAGTGGCCAGCCTCGATCTGCTCAATGGCAGTGGTGTATGTGTGTACAGCTTCTTCCTCGAGATAGCCCACAAAGCGATGTGTAATCTTGGGACTGATCAAGTAGGACACAAACAGGGCGTTGAAGTATACGCCCTGAGCTGCCAAGATCATGGTTTTCATGAACCAGCCTGAGCACGACAGTCAGTAATTGTGGTTTATGAGCATATCAATGTATATAAGAATTGTAAGATTCTTCTCAAGACTTACCAGGCTCGCATAAACGCATAAAGGTCAAAAGGTGTAAACGCTCGTTGTAGCTTTCCTCAAGGAGAGTCTCGATCCAGCCGTTGTCTCTCTTCAGCTTACGTAAGCTGTGAAGGTGACGAAGCATACCGGCGACCATGCCTGGAACGCCGGCAATGCTTTCGAGGAAGATGAATCGGATGAGCCACTGAGATTCGTTGAGGATCCGGGGGACCATGACGGTCTTGCCGGTGGCTTTGTCGACGACTGGAATGTCTCGAAGGCCGGTGCTGAAGTCCATGCCCCACCGGCAGAGCTTGACAAACTTATATGCAGCCCAGTCGCCCCAGGTCTTGACGGGGCGATGCTCAGGAACGACGCTGAGCATCTCCTGCTCTGTATAGCCGTGGTGTTGCCATGTTGGCAGCGTCTGACGAATGTGTTCTGTCTCCTTGCGGGGAAACCAGTCTTTCAGGTGAGGTGCCGGAGAAGAAGAAAAGTGGCGGACAGTGATGCTTTGTTGAGGACCGAAGGGTCTGAGGCCAGCATAGGCGAGAGTCGACTGCTGGAGGAGAGGTGTCAGGGATCGGGATAGCAGAGCAGCCAGTTTCGGCGAGCAGAGCTTGACGGTAGCCTTTGTTGACAGCATGGGTGTGTATGTGTGTGTGAAGATGTGTTGACCTATGATGGTACGATGGTGACCGTAATGTCTTGTATGCCTGGTGGCGAGGACGGAGAGCCAATTTATATCAGAGCCCGCCTGGTATCTTTTGTAATCTGACACTCGTGTCCTGGGCAGATTGCGGACGAGCGGCAGCAAGTCGGTGCTGCGTCTGGTAGGGCTGAGGAGTCCCACGTCAAGTGTAAGTCGAAGGAGCAAACTCCACCAAGGACGGGCCGGAAAGGGAAGGGGCGTGGAACGGAGCTGAACGAGAGGGGGCTGCTGATTGGTGGGCTTATAGGGGGGCCGCTGAGAACGGGCGGCGCCGGGCTCAGGGGGGCTGAGTGTGCTGGAGCGCTGTAATTGCTGGAACGTTGTGCTGGCCAGGTGGCCCAGCTGCTGGGGCTGGGGGTCGGGAGAAGCAGGATGGGCGCTGGGTGCGGGTTGGTGGCCAGCTCCGAGAAATTATCTCTGACTGCTGCTCTGTGCTTTGCCCTGACTCACCTCTGCAACTGGCCTCGCCGTCAGCAAACACCATGACCCCGTATTTCGGTGTCTGCTGGCGGGTGCACCCGCGCCGTGTTGAGCACGTTTGCTCATGTGCGATGAGTCCTTCGGGCGAAGGGAAGCGCGGCGTCGGGAAATGCGCGAGGCCGTTTCTTGTCGCCAGTCCTGGCGCATGCGCCGATGCTGCGAAGGTGCTGTCAACGGCCGACCTCTGCCTCTGTTGTCTTGTTGTAACTTGTCGACTGGAGTACCAACGGTGTTGGCAGGGCTGACGGGACAACGTCATTGTGCTGGAGGACAAGAGATGCCAGTGTTGACAGCGCTTGTTACAGTGCTGGCTACAGTGGGCATCCCTGTACCATGCCAGATGCAGTTGGCTCGTGGGGCACAATCGTCACCTCCAAGCCCGCCGAGGCCCGGCCTAGGCACAAAATCTTAAAAACACCAAAACAAGTAAGTGACTCGAAGTGGCCACCATGAAACACGACGGGATGGGAACTACGCAGTACGACCGTCTGCCATATGCCGCCCTTGCGGACCTCGTGTAGCCACTTGCACTTGCACTTGCACTTGCACAGAGAGGGCTGGGCTCAGAGACCAAGCAGTGAGCCAAGAAACTTACCAGTTCGTGGCTTCAGGAGAAATACAAGCCTGCGTGCACGTCTCTGGTGATGACAGAGGAATAGTGCTGTTACGCTTGAGCGACCATATTCCACATAGTGTAGACTAGTCGTGCCTGGTGGTCCTCTTGGGCCTGCTTGGCTGGTGCCCAACTGGATCTCCAGGGCTGTCTGGCGCATCCTCCTCCGCTAGCAGGCGCTGTTTCCCGCCGCGGTGGCGTGCATCTTCAATTTCTGCATGTGCGTCAACGCAGCCTGCGTTTTCCTCCCCCCTCCCTCCTCTCCCAACTCCCACCTTCCTTTAGCCAGCAACCACAAACGTCCTGCGCCCTCGCTTCCGGCAGTGGCTCTCCCAGCGCGTCTGCATCCTCACAACCTCAACAGACATCATCCACCAACTTCGTTTCAACATCCTCCTCGCGACAGAAAACATCCAGCATGCCTCCTAAGAAGTGGGGTACGTACTGCCTCCGAGAAATCCATCACTCTTCCTCGCGTCCTCGCCGTTTCCCTTCCCATCACAGACTTTAAGCCCTCGACAACGCAAGAAAACTCCTCCATATACTTGCGATCACCCAGACACTGCTTCAGACTTTAAAACACATCTTTTGGGTGGAAAAGCAAGGCTGGCGCGCTCTGGCGCACAATCGCGAGGGAGTCTTGAACCAAAACTTTTGTGGTGGGGGGGATTTCGCTGCCCCTCCTCGTTATACGATGCCCCTCGTCGCCCGCGCGTTATCCCTGCCTTTGCCCCGCGACGTGCCGAGCTCTACTTCCCTGGCTTCTGTTGACTGACTTTATACACACGTATGCAGACGACGAGGAGAGCGACGCCTCCTCCAGTGAGGCCTCCTCCTCTGTGCCCGTTGGTGCCCGCCGCGCCAAGTTCGACGACGAAGAGGACGAAGCAGATGTTAGTAGTCTCCCAGCCGAGAAGCAGCACCTGCGCCCAGCTCTACGACTGAAATACTGAGATCGGTCCCGCGTTACAACAACTAACACCAACATCTCTCGATAGGTTCTCGACTCCTGGGATGCCGCTGAAGATTCCGAAGTCGAGCGCGAGAAGGCTAAGAAGGCCGCCGACGCCAAGGCCAAGGCCGAGGCCGAAGCTGCGGCAAACAAGAAGTCCAAGAAGCAGCGCATTGCTGAGCACCAGGCTGCTCGTGCCCGCGAGCTTGCCGAGAGTGGCGAGGAGAGCGAGGAGGAGACTGAGGCTGACCGCCGGGCCCGCATGCGCGCCACCGAGAAGGATTCTGACCTGAAGCACGCTGAGGACCTCTTCGGCAATGCTGGTCTCTCGGTCGGCACCGGCAAGGGCCGCAGCACCACAACCATCGGCTCTGCCGTTCCCCTCGATCCCAAGGACCCCAGCAAGACGGTCGACCTGAGCGCCATGCCCCTCTTCAACCCTCAGACCAAGCTGCAGTTTGAGAACATGCGCGCCATCATGACCCCCATCATTGGCAACAACTACAAGAAGGCGCACTACACCATGTTCCTGCAGGAGTTCTCCAAGCAACTCGCCAAGGATCTTCCCAGCGATCAAATCAAGAAGATCGCCAGCACACTCACAGCACTCAGCAACGAGAAGATGCGCGAGGAGAAGGCCGCGGACAAGTCTGGCAAGAAGACCAAAGCCCAGAAGACCAAGACTACCCTGGTCACAGCGAGGGCCAACACCCAGGACACTGCCAACTATGAGAATGAGGATTTTGGAGAGTACGTCATTCAGCCAGTTCTCCCTCCTCAAATGACCAAGACAACTAATATTGCGTGCAGTGAGGACTTTATGTGAAACCCTCATCTCAAATACATACTCCAGTATGGGACCGCCCGCTGCTAATGTTTCCCCGAGCGGCTCGGTCAGCCTCAAACTGCAACCACGCCGTCCACAACGAGACCCCATACAGGATTCCTCAAGCGCCGCGCCGAGAGTTCCGCTGCTCGCCGTCGAGTGCCGTCAACAGCACGGTTGTGCGTCCCGACGAAGTTTCTGGACATGATTTGCACAGATTTGCCCAACTCCATCACATGTCAGGGGTTGGTTGTGTCTACTTTGCATCAGCGAAAGTGCGAGGATGCTAGTGACTGGCAAAGAAGCCGCACTGCTCGAAACATGAACCACGATATCTGCCAACATGATAGATAGATTTGTTTTGCACAATGACCCAAAAAAGAATGCTGTTGAATCCCCTCGAATGCATATGCATGCAATTCCTGCCCGACATGATGCATAGCCCTGGTAAATATGGAGATTTCTTGCTTGCGTATTGTCAATGTTTACATTGAGTATAGTTATGTATCGTATATATCGTGTATCATCGAAGGGGTATTGTTATCTTTTTTCCCGTTGTAACCCTGTTCATTGTACATGAGGCCCCAGATAGATTGAAAATCAACGCTGCCAACTTAAACGCCGTCCTTTGTTGTTTTTTGTTATACATTGGCAATCAATGCCGTGGGGTAGCGTTCGGGATCTCGACTGGCTGAGCTGTGCGCATGGGCTAAACAACATTGCCTGCCATGCCCATGAACAACGCGTGAACTGCCAGGCTGAGTGTCCAGAACCCAACCTTCTTGAATCGTCGTATGCGACTTTGCTGGTCCTCGACATCGCGCGCGAACGCAGTGTAGACCTCTGCCGAAGCATCGTCCATAAGTCCGCAGTCATAGATGGACCATGACCCATCGAAATCCGAGGCGCGCTTGACGATGCGACACCCGATCGGGATATACGTCTTTTTCGCGTTGATGTAGGCCACGATTGGGCGAACAAGGGCCTGGTTGATGTAGGACAAATTTGATGAGAAGACCGGCACCGAGGCCTTCACGTCGTTTAGGTTGAACCTCATGTCCATGACCAGGTAACGCGGCGGATCTGCCTCATGTTTGTCCTTCGAGGACTTCGATTCGTCCTGGTGGCTTGGAGCAGCTGGAACTGTGTTTATGGTGTCGGCCTCATCTGGGACAAGATTCTCCACAGCCTCTTCAGGAGGATCTCGGAGGATCTGGGTGTGATAATCGCGGCGAGCGGCACCTTCTAGGATATGAATGTAACGATTCGATGTCACGGCTTCCTCTAGGCGATCATAAAATTCGGCGACGACTTTGCCCAGGCTGTCGTCGTCTTCCGCTGGAAAACGGATATCAGCGACGATATCCACGTTGCCTTCGTAGATCCAGCCGAAAGGTCCTTCCACACCGCGATTTAGGTGGTCGATCTTGAGGCCATCGATTCGCAGGCGACTGAACTTTTTCCATGCGCCTGGCTCTTCGAGTGGATCCGAGCCTTGGCGTTGTTGTCCCGCCAGGACTCCGTGTACCTGCCGAGGATGTATCGTGAATAGCGAGCCGTCATAGGAACCAGACATGTGGTTCGCCGACAAAAAGTCGTAAAACAAAAACTGCTTGCGAAGCTGTGGCAGCTCGCATGAGTAGATGCTGACAGAGAAAGGGCGGAAGCCCTTTGGTTGGTGAATGGTTACAAGAAGATCTTCCATCTTGAAGATGTCGATCTCAAAATCACCGGGATGATGCTCGTGCCGATACGAATATGGATCGACGGGCTCGCTCGACCACTGCACAGATGTGCGATCCACGACGCCACGGACTCCCTTGATCTCCACGTCTTTGAGAGGGCCTTTCCCGTTCCACCACTTTGCGAAAGACAAAGTGACATTGACCGTGTCCAGAGTGATGTCGAACTGGGTGTAGTTGCCGTCGTCCACCTCCACGGGCTGCTCACCTTTTTCGGAATCTCTGCCCGCTGCTGCGACAGCTGCAGCATCGGAAGACGAGCCCTTGCTGACAGAAGAGGTTGTCTGGCCGGGCCGTCGCGAGACAAACACGTTACGAAACGAGATGACTCCGTCTTTCCACCTGGGAACGATGGCGGACTCAAAGATGACGGTCAGACCAGCGGACTCGGTCAGGTAATCTCCAACCCACTTGGCGAGTGTTTCTAGAGACATTGTCAGCAAGCTATTCTTTCACGTGTCTGGCCTCAGTTGAAATAGCTCTCACCTTGTGCAACCACAGTATTGATCGAGAGGATGACAAGCGACACAAAAGTCGTTGTGCCAACCAGAATCCAAACGATGTGACCAAAGAGGAACCATGATATAAAGGCACCCCACTCGTCGATGTTCCAAGGGCGCATGCTGCGAATGGAAAACCACTTGAAGCGAACCTTTAGTCTCTGCCAGAACCCCGTCGCCGCCGCCAAGAACTCCTCCTTGGTGGGACGGTGGAGATTCTTGGTCAGATTCGGTATCTGGAAGTATTCGTACATGGAGTGCTGCTCCGGCGACGGGTTCTGCTCCGGCTTGGGTGGCGGGTGTTTGGCGCTGGTCTTCTGTTGCCCAGCTACTGGGTTCTTGTCGTCCGAGGCCGATTTCGTGGACTTGGCTCGTCGTGGGACACGAGGAGATGGGCCCCGAGCCATGTGGAAGCTCCTGGTGCTCCAAGCCTTGCTGGTGGCTTGAATCAGTCGGGAGGGTCGTGGGCTCCGAAGTGCTGCGGCAGATAGTGTCGGACATGTCGCTACCGCCAAGACTGCTCGCGGAAGACCTAAAGTGCTACCAAAAGAGAATGCACTGCTCGCAGACGTGAAGTCGCGAAGCAATCCGGGTGCCAAGAGACCGGATGTCTGAGATGATGGTCGGCATGCTGCTGATGTTACCCGACCTCGGCAGGGCAGCGACGATGCAGGCGATGAAGACGACACTCCGGCCGTCTGTACGCCCAGAGGCACGGCCGAAGCATGATTTCGTCGGGAGAGACCAGGGACAACAACGTCGACTGCTTGGAAGATGGACTGCCGGACATGGCGGCCGTGACCCAAGAGGGTCGACCTACCGGCGGCAAAGGACATTTCTTCTGATCATGATGCCCTGTTGCACGTCGGGCTGGCGGGGCAGGAAGTGTAAATGTATCGCTGGTGCTCGAAGGAAGCGACGGCGAGGGCGGAGCTAAGAGGGCTGATAACGCCGGCGTGGCCGATGACGAGATGCACTCTGACGGAGCGCGCGGTGTAAGCTGTGGCGGAGCCTGTGCACAAGAGAGAGTCTGGCTGGGCGGTGGTGGAGGCAGGAAGCGGCAGAGATCAAGACGGTCGTCGTTGAGGCTGGACCGGCACGGACTGATCCAGTGCTGAGGGGAGGGTTGTGGACGAGCAGAGAGGACTGACTGGCCGTAGAGTTGGGGAAGCCGGCTGGGTACAGAGATGATGATGCAGCAGCAGCGAGGGCAGGTGCGGTGCAGTGCAGAGCCAAGGCGCAGCCCAACCAGGCGGCGGCCGATCGCAACGCCTGCCCAGCTACGCTAGCTAGCGTGCATGCCCTGCCTGCAACCAGCGAAAATCTGCGTTTTGCGTGAGAGTGACGCGCACTGCACCGTCCCCCACCACCACCTACCTGCACTGCAGAACCGACCTGGGCACGCCCAACAGAGCTCCCCTGCTGGCCCTGCGTGCATGGTATTCTGGGCATCACCGACAGTCATGCGTGACGCCTGCCTGTGCTCACTTTTCACGGGCACGGTATCTAGGGTTTTAATGCGGGGTACTCTGTCTGGCATGGTGGTGCTTCGAGATGTTGCAGCTTGAGTGTCTGAGCGTGATCAGCACCAGTGAAGCCCAGGCATGGGTCTCCCCGCCTCCCCCTGCTCTTGGCTCCCGGCGAATTTGCATGGCACGTTTGGCTGTCAGGAAACATCAAGCTCCAAACTTTTTTCCAGCCTCTTATCTTATCGGCACCTGGACCCTCGCGCCCCACCCCCGGCGCAGCGCAGAATGCACGCCTAAACGGCCTTGGGCTCCAGTCAATTTTTTGAGCGGCCCTCCATACTGGTCCCCCATCGACAATCCACCGCCGCTGGTACTGCTTCACGAACGACCTCGTCCAACAGTCTGGATCTTGCCGAGAACAAGTAGCTCAAGTCCACTGGGCACTCACTAGTAGACCATACCATACGATACCCTCACAACCGCCAGATACAAAATACCCAGCCGACGCGATGCCCGCCCCGACCGCTTTGCTCCAACAGCCTCTCGAGGCTGCCCCTCCATCCGACCTCGCCCACAACGATGTCGACCAAGACCTCGGCGATGACTTCACCCTTGAGGGCATAAACGACATGCCAGAGAGCGCAGATATCATACAACCCGCCAGCGCCGGCGCCGAGCAGGGCATGGAGATTGACGAGGAGGGAAAGCCCCGCTTTGCGCCAGTGCAAAACATCGTATGTGTTGCAAACCACTGGCCCATCCTATTGTCCGATGATCCGAGTCTTGCCTGCTGACGAGCTTTTGCAACTCTGCCTTTGCAGGACCCTGTCACACACATCCAAGGCCGCAAGGTCCCCATTCCGCCGCACCGCATGACACCACTCAAGTCAGCATGGCCCAAGGTCTACACGCCCCTCGTCGAGCACCTGAAGCTCCAGGTCCGCATGAACCTCAAGCACAAGCGCGTCGAGCTGCGCACGAGCAAGCACACCACCGACACGGGCGCTCTGCAGAAGGGCGAGGACTTTGTGCGTGCCTTTGCGCTCGGCTTCGATGTCGAGGACGCCATTGCGCTCCTGAGACTCGACGATCTGTACATTGAGACGTTCGAGGTCAAGGACGTAAAGACGCTGACGGGCGATCACTTGGCCAGAGCTATTGGCCGTATTGCCGGTATGTAAACCAAGTGCCGGACAGATCTCTCTGTTTCCATTTGACTTTGAAAGTAGCTAACATGGACCGCTTGCCCTCGCCAACAGGCAAGGACGGCAAGACGAAATTTGCCATCGAGAACGCCAGCAAAACGCGCATCATCCTCGCCGACTCCAAGATCCACATCCTGGGAGGCTTCAAGAACATCCACATTGCCCGCGAGTCTGTTGTCAGCCTGATTCTCGGCAAGCCGCCCGGAAAGGTGTACAACAACCTGCGGACGGTGTCGTCGAGGATGAAGGAGAGATTCTAGAAGGAAGAAAAAAACAAAATCTTTCAAATCGAACGACCAGACCAGCGGAACGAAGGCAGGTGGAGCATCCGAGAAGCAAAACCCGGCATTCTGCTTGTCCAGGGCACGGGCATCATATAGATGACGATCTCGTCAGCATCCAAGCGACATGAGAAAAAGGGAGCGGGAGGGCAGGCATAGCATTCCGGAACACTTTTCTTTTCACCATTCTTTTTCAAGATATCACGACCATACATGGGCAGCGGCGTTCAAGGAGTTTTTAACAAAAGAGGGTCTGGGGGACAAAAGTATGGTTCACGTTCGATGTGTTTGTGGTAGATATCTTTCTCATCATCCAAGAGTTACAATTGAGCAGGAGGTTCGCTTCATTATTTCCCCAGGTTGTTAGCAATGACGTGGTGACCAAAGATTGTTATACTTTCAATAGAAGTGTAGCATTGCGACTGCACCACTTCCTGGAAACGGACACTTGAAGAGTATCAAGAATGGAAGTTGAGGGGTATCTACCTAAAATAAAAAAGAACAAATAATATCCACACAATGCACCGTCTTTATCTCGCTAAAAGAACATCGACGTTTTCGTCGGATTTTTACTTCAAATGAACCTCCACCGAGTCCATGTCCTCAATCTCCGCCTCCTCGACCGTGGTCTCCGGGTCCAACACCTCGCCGTCCCAGTGGATCTCGATCCTCGTGTCTGTCGGCAGCTCCGACATTCTGCAAAACACCTTGATGAGCATCGCGACATTGGTCGACGGCTTGACCGTCAGCGTCTTGGGGGCCAGCTGCTTCGGCTTGAGGGTGATGCGGATCTTCTTCTCCTCCGCCGCTTCTGCTTCCTCGTGGCGGGCTAGCGACTCTGCGCGCAAGCCTGGGTTCTGCGACTGGCTGGCTCCACCGCCCGCGGCGGTGCTGGGGAACGACGACGCAAAGTCGTCGTCGTCGATCTCGCCGAGCGCGCGCAGCCGTTGATACTCTTTCGCCTGCTCGTATTCCTCGAACTGTTCTCGTGTCCAGGCCTCGAAAAAGACCTTGTCCTGGCCATTGTCGCGATCGAAGCCCTCAGCCGCCGAGTCCCACTTGTTGTACAGGTGGCCGTGAGGATCGGGGTTTATGCCCAACGTCGAGAGCGTCGTGTTGGTCCACAGCCTGTTGCGTTTCCAGGTAAAGACCATGTTTGCGAGCACGGGGTCGGGATGGCCGGGCCGCTTCCCAATCTGCCGTGCTATCCACGCCTCGAACATGAGCCCGAGCCTCTGGTCGGTTCGCACTTTGAAGCTCGTCGGTATGAGCGTATCGTCTCGTGACGCAATGAGGACCTCCACGACCGGCATCCTGGCCCGCTTGGCGCTCGAGTCTGGGGTGCTGGTGCTGCCCGCCAGCTGTGCTTCTTTCTCCTTCTGAGCACGCTCCATGGCGCGCTGCACGTAGATCTCGAACTCATCAGAGTCCTTTTCCCTTGGTGGTGATGCGCTGCCCTCCATGATGAGTTCAACTTCTGATGATTCGGCTCGGACCGCTCTGGGCGTTGCCTCCGCCGGCTCACGCTTCGTTTTGGACCGCGGAGGTTGATAGTCTTCATCACGGTCGTCTTCGTCGTCGCTGTCGTCAAGGCTTATGACGGTTGCTTGCTGCTTTACTGCCGTACGGCCAGCGCGCCCGTTTGAGGCGTTCCTGGCAGGCGAGGTTGCCAATGGCGAATTGCTTGTGGGGGATCGGTGCGAAGCACGCGAAGTTCGCATATCGTCGGGTGGGGAGGGTGTGTCGTCGTGACTGTCCCAGAAGCCGGTCCGCCTCCTCTTTGGCGAGGAGCCGGAGTTCTCGTCGTTCTCGGCGTGCTGCGTTGTCCGTGGCGCCCGTCTTCCACCGACGTCCTCTCGCTTGCGCCGCTCGTCCGCGCCCGCTGCCTCCTGGCGCTCCCGCTCGGCCCTGGCAGCCTTCTCGGCGGCCTCCTTTTTCTGATCTTCAATCACGCTGGGGAAGAACTCGCGCGACCGCTTGAAGAGCTCGAGGCCGTCGTCTTCCTTGGGTTCCGGCTGTGCACTGGGCACCTCTTCTACTGGTTTGCGCTTGACGGTTCGCTTGAATGGGAGCTTGCGCGGCTGCGGCGCCGCGGCTGCGTTGGTGTCGGCCATGGTGAGAGGTGCTTGCTCTGATTATTGAGCACTTGGCTGCTGGTGTCGTGCGCGCGCCGTGAGCTGTCGCGTCTCTTGATCTTGATCTTGTTGCGACCGTGTTGTGGCTAGCAGTTCGAGCAGGGTTGAGGTCTGAGTTGCAGAGGCAGCCGTGGGTGATGAGAAGCAGCTGCCGACATCTTTGGCAGCTGGGCTGGGCGGTGCAGATTCGCCTGGTAGCTTTGTGTTTGTTTTGGTTCTTGCGCGGACACACCAAATGGCCGCAACAAAAAAGAAGCCGCAGACCAGGGATGTTTGGAGATATCCGTGATGTACCCATGTGTGAGCGCAAGACCTCGGCGCGGTCGCGCAGGAAACCTGCCCCGCGTTAAGCTGCCCACTATTTTTGTCGCTGTTGCCAGGGTGCGGCTTAACAGGCGCTGGTGGGGGCGGTCGTGCCTGCTGCGCTCAGGTACATCCCAGCACAGTGCCCCTAGGACAGTGGGTGCCGAGCCCTGGAGCTGGAGACTTTCAGCACGACCGCCTGCTGCGGCGTGCGTGCCTGCAGCGGCGTGCGTGCCTGCAGCCCGTTCACATCATTGCTCTCCACTCGCGCATATCCAGAACTTCGTGACAGCTTCATCTTGCACTCCCACACCAGGCCACACCCCACGTTCCCCACAACGCATTCACAGCATGGAGAACGGAACAGCGCCCGCCCAGAACGAGGGCAGAGACCCCTCGGGCTTCCTGTCCGAGATCATCGGCAACAACGTCACCGTCAAGCTCAACTCGGGCGTCGTCTACAAGGGTGAGTCGAGTCGCCCCTGGCACACCGTCGCTGCCGGCATCCAACCAGAGGCCCTGGGCGCAAAGCTGACACTCAGAAACACTAGGCGAGCTTCAGTCGGTTGATGGCTACATGAACATCGCGCTGGAAAAGACGGAGGAGCACATCAACGGCAAGAAGGGCAGGACATATGGTGATGCCTTTGTCAGAGGCAACAATGGTGCGTACTCACTTTGGCCAGCCTTGCGAAACATATTCACTGACGCATGCTCCAGTTATGTACATCTCGGCCGACTGAAGGATCACATGTCAATACAGACTGCTGATGCGCAGCGTGCCCAAGTTTGGATCCTGCGCTGGCCATGACATGTCGTGGCTCCAGATGCGCAGTTGCACCATTAGTGGCGAGCACTTCACGAGGATCTGGAGGCATGCGATTGGCCAAAAAGTGTAAGGCCCGAGGCAGATCAGACACTTGCAAGGCTGTGGATGATCTCTCGGGGAGGACGTGTCCCAGCAGATGAGTCCGAGCCAAATGGAAGGGATCAGCTAAAGGACATCAATGCGACTATATACAGCAATGGACCGCGGCCGTCTATATTCTATCTGTCCACGCAAAATATGTATCACCGTGAAGCTTGAGCTCACCCTTCGAGTTGCGCTCAACATCATCACCCTTGAGAATCTCCCTGACCCTCGCCTCGGCCTTTTCCAGGTCTTCCTGGCTCAGAACGGCAACTTGGCTGAGGGTTCGCAGGCGCGACCACAGGGCGTCTTCTGTCAGCCATACCTCAAAGGGGACCTTGGCCTCGCCGAGCGGGAGACTGAACCGCGGCAGATGGTCCGACAGGGTGTTCTTGATGACTTGCAGGGGGTTGCTGGGGAGCTGCTGCTCAAAGACCTTCTTCCACTCTTGGTCCCTGAACCGGCGGTTGCCATCTTGGAATGTCAAGATCCACTCGTTGAGCTCCTGCTCCCATTTGGTCGGAGTTTCCCATGCAGGAGGCTTGTTGTCTGAAAATGCGTGCGCCAAGCGTCAGCCAGGTATGCTTTGCCAACTGTGTGTGTGTGTGTGTGTGGATGGGTGCAGGAGGAAAAAAAGACTTGCATGAATCAATGTTCCAGATCACGCCAAACACAGCTCCAGCTCGGAGGACTCTATGTATCTCGGTCAAGGCCTCGGGCGTTGCGAACCTGTGTTGATCAACATGTGAATACTTTTCCGAAAATGGACTGAACCAGGAACAATACAAGTGCGCACACAACACGATGATTTTAAACTCACCAGTGGAAAGCCTGGCATGAGGAAGAAACCCCATCATGTTTATCAGCTTTTATTCTGTCTCAAACTCTGACCCTCAAGCGGCATTCAAGTATGAAAAAATGTGGCTCATTTCTCATCATCCTCTTCTTCATTATCGACAAGGCTCACCTGTGCAGCAATGCAAGCATCCCCCCATTCCCCCTCGACAGGCATCTTGTCTGCCCTGCCCTCGAGGACCTCGACGGCCGGCAGGTCCTTGGCGGCGAGGATGCCGCGCATGCCGTCGTGCGGCTCGACCGCCTTGACCAGGTACCGCTTGGGCCGGGCGGCGAGCAGCTCCGTGAACTTGCCCGTCCCCGCGGCGATCTCGACGACCCGCGCGTCCGCCTGCCCCGCAATCTTGAGCCTGCCGAGCAGCTGGTCCACGGCCTCGCGCGGGTACGACGGGCGGTGCGCGTCGTACGCCGCGGCGTCCTTGAAGCCCTCGGATGCCGCGTGCGGGAGTGTCGCGTGGGAGGCCATGGCTAAACGTATGCTTCCCTGGATGTTTGTGTGTGTGTGTAGGGGGTGTGTGTAGGTGTGCGCTGTGACTCAGGTCGATGCATGTACTTCTTCTGAATGCGGGTGGCAATCCTGGGGAGGGAATACTATCAGGTATCTCTCGCATGGGTGGCACGCAACGAAATCTGGGGATAGCACGCCAGAGATCCCGCACCAGAGTCTCCACTCCAAGCTGTGTCAAACATCTTTCCCCGTAGACAGACTACCCTCGACTACCTGCCCAAGTAGCTGAACTAGGCAGTTAGCCGTAACTTATATCTTTACCTGCTCGGCTAATCGCCGCACCGGGAACACATTAAGACACCTGTTGATGTTCATCCTGACCCAAAATAACCATATCTACATCCACGTTAAAACTATTGAGAGATCTATGGAGTCAATGGGTCCCTTATCTTTACAGCAAGCCCCAACCAGAATTCAGGTACTTTGGCCCCCTCCTCGCTGAAATGCTACGTCTGTCCCATCAAAATGATGGACAACAGCAACCTTGGCGTACTAGCACCAAAGTCTGAAGTGTCTTGGGGAGATTATCAATCACTGGGAGCCAAGATCAAGAAGGTGGTCTCCTTTATGCCCTTGCGAGCCTTTGTGAGACAGCCCGCTTCCGATAGACATGGGGGGACAAAGCTCTAGCCTGTGTTTTGGCGACGGTGAGAAGCGGCATCTGCCGGGAGGCATTGCCTGGATTTTGACACAACAAGCAAGACTTGTGGTCTCACTTGCAAGACACCATCCCGGGCCGTCCCTTGAGTGGCTGGCCTATTCGCCACTGTCAAATCCGTCAAGAGCCTTGCTCTAGGTACTAAACCGTGTTTCCCTGCTCGCCTTGCCAAGCATGTCAGAAACGGTGGGCATGAACCACTTAGAGACGCACGGCCACGGCTAAGTCGGGCAGACTAAGTAGTCCATCTGGCACATGTGTCTCAAAGCCATCTTTAGCTCCCTTGACAGGTAGTTTGCCCGCCAAGGCCTGCCTGCCTGCTTGCTTGCCGGCCCGTGAGACAAACGTTGGATCAACAGGCGCGGTAAATACAGGAAACCCCTCGCCAAGAAACCAAGATCACATGCCCTTCACAGCTGGCATACTCGGGCCTTTTGTAGCTCAGTGAGGGTTTCTTGGCGAGAAGTCATGTCTCGCAGGTTGGGTTGATAGCTTCGCCAGATGGCTTTCATATTCTGTTCGAGTCCCCCAGTCACTCGATCAACTGGCCTTGTTCGCTCTCAAAGTAGGCACGATTCATAGCCATCATTACACCTAGCCATGGGCTGTTTCAGCAACAACAATGCTCGTAAGAAGAGCAAAGGGGACGACCCGACGATGGAGTACTATCCGCTCGGCGTACTCGACGTGCGCGCCAACGCAGGCTTCATCCCTGTCGTGCTGATGCGCTTCAACGACGTCCTCGAAGGGGACAAGCTCAGAGACGCTTTGACGCGGTTGCTACAGACAGGAGACTGGCGCAAGCTGGCAGGCCGCTTCGTCGCCGACCCTACCGACAAGAAGCTTTGCCGGGTCGAGGTCCCGCGCGATCCCAAGCGAATCGGAACCGCTGAGTGGCCTGCGGTGGAATACTCCAATGCGCACTTCGACGTCTGCATCGACGACCACCCGCTTGGCCGCAAGATCCCGGCTGCCAACCAAGACCTCAAGGCGCAGGCCGGCATCCAAGAATTCGCCTCCTTCTGGAAGGAGCCTTGGGCGCCAAAGATCCAGACGGTGCAGTGCTATATTCGCCATGGCAGGAAGCCTGTAAGCCTGAGAGTCACAACGTTCGCCGACGCAACACTCGTGGGGGTCTCGTGGATGCATGTTGTCATGGACGGGCTCGCGTTCAAGGCATTCATGACGGCGTGGACACTCTCTCTTGCAGGCCGGCTGGATGAGGTGAAGCCCGTGAGCCGCGCCCATGAAGATGTGTTGAAGCCGCTCTACGAGGCTGACACGGCCGCTGCCAGCGTGGCATCGTCCGTGGCGCTCGACAAAGAGAAGTCATCAGGGACCATCACCCCGGAGGACGCAAACGACGTGCACGACGCGGCCTCCAGGATCCCCCGAGAGCCCTATGCGTTGGCAGACAAGTCCATCTCGGGCTGGTCCAGGACTATCGTGTTCCTCCGATTCATGGTCTATCTCCTCTTGCAACCTGGAGCCACGAGCCGCACCCTCGTGCTGCCTCCGGCGTTCCTGGCCGAGCTGCGCGAAGAGGCCGAGCGGGGACTGCCTCCTGTGGACTCCAAGGATGGCAGCCGGCCCTTTGTCAGCGATGGCGATATCCTCTGCGCCTGGCTCACGCGCCTGGTCGCCCAGTCGCACGGCTGGCGCGGCCCCATCATGCAGCTCAACCTTGTCGACTTGCGCAGCCGCGTCCCCGGCGTCTTTGATCCACAGGCCGTCTATCTGCAGAACATGTGTATACCGGCGATCACGCTCCTGGACGCAGGCGCGCTTCCTTCGGCCGGTGCTGCCAGGTCGACGCCACAATCCTCCCCGTCGGTGCTGGGCAGCTGGGCGGCAGAGATACGCGGGTCCATCGCCCAGCAGGCGACCCCTGGCCAGCTGCGTGCCTTCTACCGGCGAGTCCTGCCAAAGCCGCTCGGAGAGGGCGCCTCATGCATCATGGGCGGGCCCAAGACGTCGATTACTTGCGTGAGCAACTGGGTCAAGGCCAAGTTCATCCTCGAGACCGACTTCAGCCCGGCAGTCGTACCGGCCACCCGTAGTGTTGTCAACATGGCGGCGGCCAAGGAGATTGATGTCGAGGCTGGCCTTGCGCCTCCGCCGACACCATCGGGCAAGATGGTCGGCATGCTGTCTGGGCAGTTCCACAACGCTCGCACGAACCGCGACACGACGACCCTGGTCGGCAAGGACCATCAGGGCAACTACTGGCTTTCGTTGTTCCTGGCAAAGGGCGTGGTCAAGACTGTGGAGAAACACATCGAGCGCGCCGAACAGGCGAGGGCTCGCCGATGATGGGGTTTGGGGGTGGCCGTGGGCTGGGTCGTTAGTGAATTTTTGGCAGCGGGCTTGTGAGCTTTGTGGGTAGGACTCACCATTTACTTTATCCGACAGGAGAGATAAACATGTTTAATTCCCAGCAATTGAATTTCGTGCTTCCATCCGAGGCGCCGCACCTAATTGCTGCTGGTGAGAAGATATGCCGTGCAGTTTGGAGTAGACGAGGCAGTCACTCAGCTCAGCCTTGTTACGTCACCCGGCCGAAGTGGAGTGGAGACGTCCTGCCCAAACCCTTCCAGGTTCCTTCCATGCTCAGGTGCTTACGCACTTAGTGTATGCAGTGCTCAGCAGTGTGCGAATTGCCCTGAAGGAATTAGCTTCACGCACTTGCATATGTCTAACACGGTCCCCGTTTGACGCACTGTCGATGTATTACTGATATTGGCTCCGAGGTGCGGGCTTTGGAACGACATGGCCACAAGAGCTTCCGAGATAGTCAAGCCCCAAGACCCCTCAATGTCCTTTCAGGGGTCTGGCCGCTGGGGCTGTCACCTAAATTTGGAGAAGCACATGCACTAATTAACCCAAACTCCAGACAACGGCCCACGGCACCACAGGGATGAGCCTGCGTGTCGCGATCCTACAACATTATCCATCCCTTTGTCCGGCCTGCACACCCGTCGCCGCCATCTCTTGCGGCTCTCTACGAGCATTCGTTGCGATACCAAATTTACCCTTCAAGCATTGGCGACAGAAACCACATTAGCACCACAGAAGCCGCGCCTGGAGCGCAAGCAGCCCTCCTCAAGGTCCGGTCTTCGTCGCCGCAAGAATGATCCTACCTCCACCACGGATCGAGCCGACTCCCTTCCATTTCGCTTCATAGACAACTACATTTCTCCAGCGACGACTAACTAATCATTTCCGCTTCAATGGTGCTCTCCTACCGCCGCGTAAGGCGGACCTACCTGCGCCCCGCAGTCTACCTCCTCGGGCTCCTCCTCCTCATCGACACGATCCTGCTCGTCCACTGGCGACCGCCGACATACAGAGCACCCCTCGACCACGACAGACAATGGGAAGCCACGCCGGCCCCGCGCAGGAACACCACAGTCTTCATCGCCTCGGTGCACCGCAACAACGAGGCCGTCCTTCGGGGAGGATGGAACCAGGCCCTCCTGTCCATCATCGACTACCTCGGGGCCGACAACGTCTTTGTGTCCGTGGTCGAGGGCGGGTCGCAGGACAAGACCAAGGCGGCGCTCCGCGAGCTCAAGCAGGAGCTCGACGAGCGCGGCGTGCCGAACAAGGTCAAGCTGGGCATGACGGTGTGGCAGCAGATCGAGGAGATTGACGCGCGCCCCAGCGCCGAGGCGCCGCACAAGGAGGGCTGGATCTGGTGGGACGCCGAGAAGCGGTACGACCTGCGCCGCATACCGTACCTCTCGCGCGTGCGCAACCAGGCGCTCGAGCCCCTGGCCGCCCTCGCCCTCGAGGAGCTCGACAAGGATGGTGCGGCGAAGAAGACGAAGAAGAAGCAGGTGTTCGACCAGGTCCTGTGGCTCAACGACGTCGTGTTTGACACGCAGGACCTCGTCACCCTCCTGCGCACAAATGGCGGCGAGTACGCGGCCGCGTGCTCGATGGACTTCAAGTCGCCCCCTTTCTACTACGACACGTTCGCCTTGCGCGACGACAAAGGGTACAAGACTACTACGCAGTACTGGCCGTGGTTCCAGTCCGGCCGCGCCAGGCGGGCCCTGTGGCGTAGCGAGCCGATCAAGGTAAAGTCGTGCTGGAACGGCATCGTCGCGTTCGACGCCACGCCGTTCTACTCGGGAACCAGCAGCAGCAGCAGCATAAGTAGCAGCAGTGCCCAGCAACCCCTGCGGTTCCGCGGCATCCCGGACTCCCTGGCCGATCTGCACCTCGAGGGCTCCGAGTGCTGCCTGGTCCACGCGGACAACCACCTCTCCGCGGTCAAGGGCGTCTGGCTCAACCCCAACGTGCGCGTGGGCTACAGCGCCGACGCGTACAGGCAGGTCCGCACCGACGTCTTCCCGACCGCGTACGAGTCCATCACGGGCACCTGGCTCAACCGCCTGCTGCACTTCCGCATGAGGCTGCAGGAAGGGCTCGAGAGCAGCACCGTGCACAAGAGGATCCGGCAGTGGCAAAAGACCACGCCGGCCGGCGAGCCAAAGAGATATGAGCCGGGAGACTTTTGCCTCATCAACGAGATGCAGATCATGTACCAAAATGGCTGGAAGCATATATGATATCACGTCCCGAGTTGAAAGAAGAAAAGAAAAGCGCTTCTGTTCAATTTGACCTTGTTGGTTCTCTTTTTTGTTTTGGGCGGAATGTGTAGATTCATGTCTATATCCAGGTGTTGTATCCTCGGGTATATATAGATAGATGTATATCCAAATATGACTCTTATCTGATCATGGCCATAGCCGTCATCAGACTCAAGTAGCTCACTGCTCTATGCAAATGCCCCGACAGCAGACGCGCAGTACTCCTCTCCCGCAAAGTACAAAATGAAGAATGATCAGTGTCGCTGAGCAAACCATACTTAAGAAACCCTCTACGCCCAAACGCCAGATCTGCCGTCCCTTTGCTCTGCTGGACGGGGGAAAAAAGAATAAAAAGAAAAATGCGCAGACGACCGACCGACCGACCCTCCCTGGCCGTGATGAGCCCCAAAAGACAGAGAGGCGCTCCAAGTCTCGGTGGTGGCCGTCCGTGGGGAGCGATCTATTTCGAGTCTCGAAACCACCCACACCACATGCTGGGGGGGGGGGGGGGGGGGCGTCTACTGATTGTGCCAGAGCAGGTTGCGCAGCGAATCCCACTCGTTGCTCTGCAGGTAGATGTAGTTCATGCTGCTGCGCAAGCTGGGCTGGAGCTCCTCGGCGTGGTGGCGGAAGAGGTGCATGACAAAGGCCCAGCTGGTCGCGGCAAAGACGGGCCAGGCGTACTTGTTGATCACGGCCGACCGCGCGGGCTCCGAGACGACAGGGAGGCCGTGCCCTGGTTTGACGGCGAGGCGGGCGAGGGCAAGGACCACGCGCGCAAAGACGTAGATGACAATCTGCTGGTTGACCGAGGAGATCTTGCCTGTCCTGGGGGATCGGCCGCCGAAGACAAAGTAGCCGCCGAGAAGACCGGCGATAAAAGTGTCATATGTCCCTGTGACAACGCCAAGAGGCGCGCGTTAGCTGTGTTGAGGTTCCGAGGGAGAGTGCCCAGCCTGTGTGGGAAGTGAGCTGCTTACCCTCCTTTCCTGGCGTTGGGCCGAAAGTCTTGAGCAGGTAACAAGTTGTCTTGTAGATTGTGGCGAACTTTGCCAGGTTTGTGGCGTGCTGGCGGGTGGCCTTGTAGACCAGCTGGATCTTCTGCTGGATGGAGCCGGAGCGGAAGAGGAAGACCATGACGAGGGCATGGGGGAAGCGGACCTTGGCGCCGTAGACGGCGCCGTTGCGGGCGCCCTTGACAATGGTGAGGAGGCCATGGTACTTGGGGTCGAGAATGATGCGCTCGATGGCGGCCTGTAGCGAGGCGAGGGCGGCGGCCATGGTCAGCGACGATGTTCAATGTGGTGAATGTAGGAGGCTGCGCCGTGGACAGTATGTGGTTGTGGTGTTGGACACTTTGGGAATGGGTGATGCAGGACAGACGCACCTTGAGGCTCTGGAGGGCGGCAGCGGCAGACATTCTCGCGGTGCCTCGGCTAAGCGGGAGGACCCAAAGCTTGTGTGGGGAACAGGCCTGAGTCGCGGGAATGGGGGCGGCAGAGCGAGGCGGGTGGACCGAGGGCAGGCTGGTCTGGTGGTGCTCCTTGGCCTGACACTGGCACTGGCAAGAGCATGCGCAATAGGGTCTTTGAAGAGGACGACTGGCCAGCGCCAGGCGTGTCGAGGTCGTCTGGAAGCGGAGCGGGCGACTGATGGTCCTGACACTGACACGTGCCGCTGGAGATTGATTGGGGAGGGCGCGCCGCCTGCTTTCTACTGGTGCTGCTGCTGCTTGCTTGTGCTTGGCAGGATCGAGCTTCGCCTACGGGGCGGCTGGTCTGGGGAAAGGAGCCGCCCCGGAGTTCTGATGCGCCCCGCCACTCGCTCGTGCGCCTGGCATGTGACAGCCCTGAGCATCCATGGATCATTTCCCGTCGAGAGTGACAAGACTTCGAGGTCTGGGTACTTGGCGTAATTATGGCCAGCATCGCCGCGATTCCTGACGCCCGTTTCAATTGCTCCCGGCAGGGTTTCATTCTTTGCACCAGCTCGTGCCTTCATGCTGAACAGAGCACATCCGCCAATCTCGACGCTGAGTCGGACAACCGCGGGCGTCACTTGATTGACAATGACAAGCACAACATCACCCATTCAAGTCCGCACAGCCACTTCCATCACACATGGCCAGAAACCAACACCGCCATGTCCTGTGCTCGACAGCGTTGGACTTGAGGAGACCAGCCAATGCTGGTCTTAACCCGCAAGCCGGCTTGCAACCTGCTGCCAAGCGTCCGTCACAGACAATGCCTTCCACACTGCACATCCACATCGATAGAAAGCAGGCGCAGAAGTAGATTCTGACTCGATTGCACCTTATGCTGCCGACCATGCATCGTTCTTCATCTTATTTACATGCTTCTGTCCAATGGACAAAGGCTGGCGTCCTGCCCGAGCCGCTATTTCGGTTGGCATGGGCTATCCTGGAGGCGTGCCCTCGTTCCCAATACGCTCAAGCTCAGCAGTATATTTTGCGCCCGACACCTCATCTTTCATATCTTGGCAAGGGCTCTGATGGGCCTGCCGCAGACGTCGATGGGCCCGCAAACATGCTCATCGGTGCACGCGCTCCATACTGGTCATCATGGTCGTCTTCATGATGGGTCTCGGGAGTGGCCGATGACTCGCCCCGACTATCCTGACTATGTGCTGGCATTGCATCTTGATACGATGTCAGAATGGAAGCCGGCGGAGCCGATGGGCCAGCAGCTGCGGGCGAGTACGCGACAGGGTTGTGGCCCAGGGAGTATGGCGCGCTGGGCGCCAGAGCGGGCGGCGCAGAAGGCCCTGCTACGGTGGCCGCATACTCTTCTGGGACCTCCGGGGGCGCACTGGCCTCTTCCATCAAACGCCTTCGTTCAAGCTCTTGCTTGTCTTCGACGGCGCTTAGTGGTAGTGCGGCACTCAGATCTGCGAGTGACGGCGCAGAAGGCCCGTCATCGAACACGTCTTGACGTGAGCTCTGTCTTGAAAGCGGAGCGTGTGGAACGCTCAATGCCGTGCCAGATATTGTAGCCATTGGGGTTGCCTCGGCGTCCTCAAACGATGGTGCCACTGGCTGCGAAGGCCCGGCTTCCGAGCTGGGCAAGGCGGGACCTGGTTGACTCGGCAGCAGTCGCTGCTCTGCTCTTCGAGCCAGCTCCTTCTCAGATAAGCCGCTCTGCTCTAGTACCTCAGGCCTTGGAATGTAAACGGGAGTCTGCGGCTCCTCGGACAGATGCGCCACAGCTCGCGAAGTTGCAGCCGGTCCATACAGTTGCGCGGCTTCATCAGGAGGCCGATCGTATGAAGCTGTAGTGGACCGATGGTCTCTACTATAGGTCCGGGAGATGTCTGCCGCCGGCTGCTCATCAGCTTGCCAGAAATCAGGGTTCTCGTCTCCGTAATAATGACTATCGCCGTTTGTTGACGGCTGCTGGAGAGTCAAGGTAGGCCGTACAGCACTTTTACTCTTCCTGAGGCGAGAGCTGTCTGTGGTGCCAACGGTGATCTCCGTAGCCACAGAAATCACTCCCTTCTCACGCCTGAGGTGGTCTGTGTCAACAATGCTCCCCGCAAAGCCAGAGCTATTGTTATCATGGGCGTTGAGAGATGACGCGACGCCGCTGGAGTTGACGCCACCACTTCCTCCTATTCGTGAAGACTGCTGAGTAACAGCGGTCCCCGAGCCTGACAGCCTCCCTCCGAGATCGACCACAACCTCAACATAGTACCTGAAGCTAATCAAAGCACCAGGTACGCCCTTGATACTCGGAAACGCGTCTTCAGGAACCCGGACAGACGTGTTGATGGTTGCGGTCAGAGTTCTCGGATCAACGATCAGCGGATTGACCGTTTGGTACAGATCCTTGCGGAAAACGCTGCAAGAGCCGGCAGAGGACAGTGACAGCCCTCCGAGCCCAGTCTTGGACTTGGGGTAGTATTCGTCCCTCTCCAAGCGTTCTGAGTCTTCCTTGGAGAGATCTGCGAACATATGTATTGGCGGCGAATAGTCGACCCTGCCTTGCCGATATAGCGTGACAATGACACCATGCATGCTCTTCAGTCTCCGATTATGGTGGACGCGTATCCTAACGGGAACCACATCACCGGGTATCGATCCGCCTTTGAGCACTTCGATAGTGGCAGTAATTTCTCGGCCGTCCGCTGTTGATGCTTTGCTTCCAGGATTGGAGTCGCCGGTCGCATCGCCATTTCTGCCACTGCTATTGTTACTGACTGCGCTTTCCCCACTAAACTCGCTCTGAATATCGCTGTTCATCGGGCTGCGGTGGTGACTCCCAGTACTTTGTGATGATATCACATGATCGTCCGCGGGAGGGTTTGCTGGCGGATGTGGATTGTCATGGGCTCGAGTCGAGTCCATGTCTGACATGGCCTCGGATTCCTCAGGGACGGCAGGACTTATTCTGACAGCTGGTGTCGTGGCTGAAGTTGTTGTGCGCCTTCGCTTCGGTTTTCTCCGCATCGTTTGCATGACTACTCGCCTTTCTGTTGGTGCAGGGAATGAACCAACATCGACCTGTTCGATATACGACACTTTCGTCTCGCAAGTCGTGGTGGGGGTGATGGCCGTAGGTCGTGTAATCGTGGCTGTGAGTATGTACGCTATGGTACCGCGTTCGAACTGGAGACAGGTCAGTAAGCTCGACTGTAACCGTGGACTGGAAAAGGCATGGCGAAAAGCGTCGCGTACATCTATACTGCTGGGCAGCCCCTTCTCCGGGAAGACAAGGTCGAACTCGAACTCGAATCTCGAGGGCTGCAGCCTCCCTTCGCCGCAGAGAACCTGCTCATCCTTGAAGAGAGAAACATGTCCATTTCCATGGTATCTATAATTGCTCGATTCGTCCGCCGAAAATGTGCCTGGGTCTATGGGGGAAAGATGGGTCGCCGAGCTTGCGCTCTTGAACGCGCGCACGTGGCCATGGAGGGCTACTGTCAGGTGTGTTATGCGGAAAGGCTTGATGACTGACAGTACGACAAAGCCGCGAACGTGATCGCCGGCGCCGTACTTGCGGTGCGGCTCCTTGAGGCGGATGTGGAAGTCGGCAAGATTGCGCGTTCGTGATCTCAGGGGGGCTGCAAGGCGCGCAAAGAAGGAAGGCCGGGATGGCGCATCATCGACCGAAATGCTGGAGGCTCTCGTGCTATCGGAACCCATCTATTCCGGTATGTGTATCAGTCTCTCGCTCGACAGCAGGACTCGAGTGTTGACTGCGATCAGTCGCAATGCTGGCTTGCGCAAGGCCGGTGCGGCGGGGACGCGCCTAGCCGGTGAGCAGTGCTCGCTTGGAGCAGGTTGACGCGCAATCGACGCCACACCCTGGAAGTTGAAGTTCTTGAGAGACGAGCAAGGAATCTCAATTGCGCAAGTCGATTCTGGTGTCGGCAAGACCAAGACGACGGGTCGCGCAGACAGGGTAGGGATCGAAATGCGTATCTCTGCCACGTGCAGCTCGTTGTACGTGGTGGCCACTAAAGGTGGTCAGCAGCGAAAGTGGCGGGACTGCCGCCCTGTGGGCTGTTGTCGCTGGGGTTGAAACAGGGACTCGGAGTCGCGCGCGCGCAGGGCGCAGTGCACTTGGCTTGCCCGGTGCGCGCCAGCGAGGGTCGCGATAAATCGCGCGTTGCGGTGGATTGAGGCGACGACAACGACAACGGGATGCGTCCGGTCGGCGAGTTGGCAGTTGCGTGAGCGCAGCCCGAATGTCGGGTGTAGCATGCGCCAAGCTGTGGAGGTCTGGGCTTGGGCTTGGGCTTGGGCTTGGGCTGGGGCGCGGAATGCCAATGCCAAGGTCGTTCTTGGCTTCAACTCGTTCACTCCGGAACGGATCGGTGATTGGCGATTCTGATCAATCAGGTCAGGCCACAGTCCAAACTCGAGCGGCGCAAGTGTCTTGACGATGAGGCCTGGAATAGTGAGCAGTCCGTCGGTGTTGGTGTTCAATGTTGGGGCAGGGTCGAGTCGAGCGTCCACGCCACGAACGAGAGAAATGGGCACTCTGACGGGAAACAGGAAGTGGCGGCGCGTGATGGGCGGGGGAAAGGGGGGGGGGGCCTTTAGTTCTAAGATGGGCCTTCACCTGAGGAAGCTGCGACGCAATTGCAAGGTGCCTGCTCCGTGTCTCGCTGGCTGGCTGGCTGGCTGGCTGGCCCTGATCGTGCCGCAGCCACCTCATGACGCGGACGGGCTTATACTGCGCACCCGTGATGATTAATGATCGCAACCATCCCTTTCAAGCCGCGCTCCCACGGCTCAACGACGCCATGCACTTGATGGACGAAACACCTCGAGGACTAGGTACGACCACGAATCCCCAAAGGTGTCCCACCGGGCCGAGACCCTCCACGGCCTTCCAGGTTAACACGCAGGGACACTCCGTACGGGTGCTCCACTGTCAGATGGGGACTCGGAAAGCAGTTTGGTTCGTCGCTGGGCACGCTGGAGAACGATTCAGTATAAGTCCCCGAAGCTAGCCTGCCCCAAGCTCGCTAGTGTACCTGGGGCATTGAACTGAGACCGCCCTTGGACTGGAGGCCCGAATTGATACGTGCCCGTCCCGCGTGACGCAGGTGCCCAACTGCCAGTCCCTTTACAACTGCAGCCGTGATGGAGTGACTGCAGCTGGGCCGGTGGCTTAACCTCGCCTCAACGCCATGTTGGAGCAACCGGGGTTGTCTGCCAAGCGGCGCGGCCTCGGACCAGACCAGAGCAGAGAATCTTAAAAGTCCGGCGCAAGCATCACTCATTCGCTCATCCATCTTCTGTGGTGGTGGTGAGCACCAGGACGGGGACCTCGGATCAGCTCTTGCACCATGAGATTAGATGAGCGTCTGCAACCACTATCTGTCTATCTACTTGTGGGCGAGGCCAGCAGGGGTCTCGGTCGACTTGCCTGATGTGGACAAAGACCTGATTGCTTTTTCAGATTCTTCAGTATCTATAGCCGGGCGGTAAGAGACAACCCGCAAAGACAATACAGTGCATTGTCTTTAGTTTTTGACAGGTTGATCAGAGTAGCGTAGGTACCGCCCCTGGCCAGCGCGTCGAGCTGGATGAACGGCATCACTCACACGCAGGTGAGGAAGGCACACCAAGACAATTTGTTGTTACCCGGATGGACAGAGGGATCCAGACCCCAGCCTCAAAACGGTGTGCCAAGCTTCTCGATCCGCCCGCGGACCACAGGCTAAGCTTTGCATCACAAGACCGCCAAGACGCTCATCTGCTACTGATTAAGCCGTCTGGGCGGCCCTCGCTTGCATGCACAATGACGAATTATTCCTTCAGAGCCGCCTACCAAGGTTAACCACGGCCCCAGGGCGAGGGACGAGGAAACCTTACCTCCTCGACTGTGAGGGCGCGTCAGACTGTGGATTCGGCACATTCAGACACCATCACGGAGGGTGACAGCGTCGTGTTGACTTCATGGTTGTGATGAGGCTTTGTCATAATATAGTGGCTCTGATGGCGTCGTGCGTCCAGATAAACAATTTAATCAAACAAGAACTTCTTGAACACCGTCCCATGGATATCCACCGTACGCCAGGCTATGCTAACAACAAGCAACAAAGATGCACCATCAGTAACCCCAAATCTACTCCAAAGCTTCGCCGCTCAGAATGCTCCGCAGTATATCCGACCCAAGTCCGTCCACAGCTTGCTCCATATCCGCATCTCCTACGCAGCTGGCGACCTTTTTGTCATCAGCCAGCCCAACACTGGCCGCAAAGCTCTTTCTTCCTCTCTTGCTCGGCGTCTGCTGCAGAGCAAGAGATCCTGTCTTGCCATCGACAGCCGCTACCAATGATAGTGTCTCTAGGCTACCCATTACCTCACGGAACTCTGAGCTGGACAACGGGTGAAGTACAGAGTCCTGTCTGCAGAGCAGACAATAAGTATCATACAAAGTTTTAATGCTAGGGGCCGCACTCTGGCCCTTCGAAGGGGTGTTTGCAACGCTGCTGGAAAGCGCTGACCTGTTGCGCTTCTCGAGCGCAACGAGCGAACACAGCGCAGCCTTTTGCTGCAGGTTGAGGTTCTTGAGTCTTTGACTGGTGCCATTGCTGAATGCTGCAGCTGTGATCTTGTTGAGGTGCGCGATGCTGACACGCGGGGCGGTTTCAATCGTTAGGCTCTTGAGAGATGCTGTCATCAAGGCAGGGATGCTTTGTGTGGACTCTCGCTTTGAAGGTGATGAAGCATTTGGGTTCTCGCCCAGGACCTTTCGTGTCGGTGTGGCGAGCAGCATCTTCTCTCTGGCCTCGGCTTCGTGCTTCTGTTTGGTCTCTGCCTCAATCAAGTCAATGGCACGTCGGCAGATCTCGAAGGCCTTGCGCAGATCTCCGGTCTGGCTGGAAACTTTGCGAGAGCAGAGCTCGACAGCGGCTGGATGAATGAATGGCAAGGGGCTTCCTTGCGGGACGAGGCTGGCGAGACGCTTCGTGATGATGTTCTTGATTTGTGGCGCTGTGTATGGCAAGAATGGCAATAGCTCAGGCTTAAGGTTCCTCGACTTGAGGCGAGGAAGGAAGCGGTCCGTAAGATCCAAGGCATTGGCGATGCCGACAAGTGTGAGACGAGAGGCCTTTTGCATGGACCATTCAAAAAGTCGGTAGAGGCTTTCGAGATCGAGGGTGAGGATGTGGTCAATCTCGTCCAGAATGACAAGGAATACATCAGTCGACTTCTTGCGCGGCATGATGAGCTTCTGCAGTGCTGTCGCGGCATCCGAGTCGGCGGCCTCCACGTCACCATCGGCTGCGATCTGTTCCAACAACGTCTCATACAGGTCCTTCGACGACTTAATGCTCATGCAGTTGATGTAAATTTTCTTGGCGTGGGTCGCAGCAGTAGCTGCACTGGTCATCTCGTTGACCATTGCGCTCTTTCCCGTTCCTGGAGGCCCGCTGACGTAGATGCAGCCACTTGGGCTTGGCCCCGCGCACCGCTTGAGGAACGTTTGCAGCTGCTCCCGCTCCTCGTCACGCCCAATCATCTGGCCGGGGTCTGAACTTCGGGAGAAGAGCAGGCGAGCTTGGGAGTATACTGTCTGGATGCCCGAGGGAGTCGATGGCGTTTGAGGGGTCTGTCTTTTCGAGATCCGGCCAGCTGACATGACCCGGTGGCGCGGGGTGACGGGCACCTTGACAAGAACATCCTTAAAACGAGAGGCGCTGGGGGTGACGGGAGTGTATGGCGTAGTTGCCCGTGTCGTGGTGCAAGAGGCATCTTCTGTGATTTCCGAGCAGCTTGTCTCGGCGCTTGTGGCTTCAGGCTCGGCCGTGTCTTCTCTGATCGGGTCCAGATTCTCGTCATTGATCATCGCAGCGCGGCTGATGCGCTTCGATCGCTTCATAGGCGGCAAGGGCTCTGATGATGGGTGTTAGTCGCTACTGTCGTGAATCAGACCTCTTGCGGTTCCAACAGTCGGTCGCTCTTACCAAAGTCCTTGGCGGCTAGCGAGCTTCGCGTCCTCTTTCCAATTGTGGCGGCTGCCATGATGGCCGTTCTTCGAGATATCCTTACGCAAAAGATGGAACGAAATAAAAATCGATGCAAGGCTGGTGATAATGGAGTGGTGCAATGGGGTCAAGGAGAATCGACAGAAATCAAGAACCGAATGTGTTTATGCAGACGTTGAAATGACCTGGTCTGAGGCGCTGGGGCCGAGCTTTGGAGGGTTAAAGCACACCACTCCCTGCCTTGTGCTTAAGTGGCCCACTTTGCCCAGGCCACTTTACACGAGGAACCGCGTCCAAGGCGCGTCCCGGGCGTGTCGTCCTTGGAAGTCGCGGGTGGGCCTCTCTGGCGCGTGCGCGCAAATGGTGTCCCAGCCGTGGCGTGCATGGAGATTAGGTAAGCATAACGCACAGTACGAGGTATCCATAGTTCATCATACACTGTGGGGCGGAGGAGATAACCTTGGAAACCTAGACCTGAATCCAGCGGCCACTTCCGCTCATGGGGCGGCCGGACTGCACCGAGACTACAGCGACGAAGAGGCCAGGCCAAGCCATTCTGAAGAGGACCGCACGTCGCCACCTCAAGCGCGGTTCGCACGATGAGGGCCATGAACTTGTACATGCCCTCGTACAGCAGCTTTGGACAACCAGAGATAAACATGACTTGACTTGTGCGACTCTGCATCTCGTTTTACTCTCCACGGCTACTGCTCAAGCATCCCTGCCAACGCACAGATGGGTGAGAGATGTCCAGCACCATGGCCGAACACCAAGCGGCTTACAATAGCCGCATCGAGGAGCTCCGTTCCAAGGAGTTTCCCATGATTCAAGGTATGGTGTTCGTCTTTCCCAGAACCCACAGCTCATCAGGCTCACGTTTTCAAATCTCAGGCGATGTCTATCTCGACCATGCCGGGACCACTCTTTACCCCAAGTCGCTTATGGACTGCTTTGTGGCGGACATGACGACAAATCTGTACGGAAATCCGCATTCGGCTTCCATATCATCGCAAAGGTCTACAACCAGAATCGACGACATCCGCCTTGCCGCATTGCGCTTCTTTTCTGCAGACCCTGCCGATTTTGACCTGGTTTTTGTGGCAAATGCCACGGCTGGGATCAAGTTGGTTGCTGACGCCTTCCGGGCTGCACCAGAGGGTTTCCACTTCCTTTATCACCAGGCCAGTCATACAAGTGTAGTTGGAGTACGTGAAGAGGCGAAGACGAGTCGATGTCTTTCGAACCATGAGGCAACCACATGGGTGAGCGGGACAAGTTCGCAGAATGAAGCTGGACAGGGAGTGCCCACGCTCTTTGCATACCCGGCACAGTCGAACATGGACGGCCAGAAGTTCCCACTTGATTGGTCTACCAAAGCAAGACAGGTCGGCCGAGAAGCCGGTGGTCAGGTTTTCACCTTGTTGGATGCTGCGGCTCTGGTAGCCACATCTCCTCTCGACCTAGCGAACGTTGATGCAGCCCCTGACTTTTTGGTGCTCAGCTTCAACAAGGTCTTCGGGTTTCCAAACCTCGGCGCGCTCATCATACGCCGACAGGCATATCCGTGCTTCCAGCACCGAAAATATTTCGGTGGTGGAACAGTTGATATGGTGCTAAGCATCGGCGAGCAATGGCACAGCGTCAAGTCAACAAGACCCCACGAGGCTTTGGAGGATGGGACACTGCCTCTGCATAACATCTTGGCACTCGGCCATGCTGTAAGGTTACATCGCGAATTGTTCGGTCCCATGCAAGAAGTGGCGGCACATACGATGTTCCTGCGTCAGCACTTGTCGTCAAGGCTCTGTGCGTTACACCATACTGGCAGCGGACTTCCAGTCTGCACAATGTATTCTGGCGAAGATCCCGGCGATGGTACTTACCACGGACCAACACTTGCCTTCAACATCCGAGATGCGACAGGAGCCTGGGTCAGTACAGCAGAATTCGAGAAGCTAGCGGTCCTAAAACATTTCCATATCCGCACCGGTGGTCTCTGCAACCCTGGCGGTATTGCTGCAGCGTTACAGCTCCAGCCATGGGAGCTCAAACAGAACTTCTCAGAGGGCTTCCGCTGCGACAATGGCAATGACATCATGAAGGGAAAGCCGACTGGTGTCATTCGAGTCAGTCTCGGCGCCATGAGCACAATCTCAGACGTCGACCGTTTCGCGGATTTTGTTGAAGAGTTCTACGCAACAAGCAGTGACACGATTACACCGGGTTTAAGTGCTGCGACGCCCAAACTCTCGGGCCTATATGTCGACCATTTAGTAGTGTACCCCATCAAAAGCTGTGGAGGTTTCCGTGTTTCAGCAGAGACAACATGGGAGGTCAGACGAGAAGGGCTGGCCTGGGATCGAGAATGGTGCTTAGTGCATCTCGGGACTGGACAAGCATTAAGCCAGAAGCGGTACCCAAGGATGGCTCTCATCAAGCCATCCCTGGATCTGGTGCAAGGCAAGCTGAATATCACTTATGTGTGTCCTAAAAGCCCTAACGATGTCCGAGTTTTGTCGGTACCGCTTTCGACGGATGCGACTGCATTCAAGACAATCACTCCTGGCTGCGCTGCATCCTCTCGCGTGTGTGGGGAGAATGTCCTGGCGCGGATCTACGCCGCAGACGAGATCAATGATTTCTTCTCTGGAATTTTGGAGACGCCATGCGCTCTTGCACGCTTTCCTGCCGGCGGCGCTGGTCAAAGCATGCGCCATGCAAAAGCTCATCTACAAAAGCATCAACGATCAACTGCCCCCAAGGCTGCTTCTCAAGCAGGCGTGGACACACCTCCGGATTCGGATAACGAAGTTGACAAGCCAAAAATACTTCTCTCCAACGAAAGTCCGATCCTCGCCATCAGCCTGAAGAGCTTGGACGCCTTGAACAGCGAGATCGTGCGCAGTGGCAGGGGTTCGCCGGTATCAGCTGAAGTCTTCCGGGCCAACGTAGTGATTGGGCACAGCAGTAGCGACAAAACATCGTTCCTCCCTGCCTATGATGAAGACCACTGGTCGACCATTGCCATCGGCTCACACCGCTTTCGAATGATGGGATCCTGCCGGAGGTGTCACATGGTCTGCATCAATCAAAGTACAGCGGAGAAGACTGACGAGCCATTCATCACACTAACAAAAACGCGCAAGTTTGACGGCAAAGTGTTTTTCGGGACGCACATGTGCTGGACGCCGAGGCGTATGGACGACCCTCTACCCGCAAGGATACAGGTCGGTGAGGCGGTCATCGTAGATCCATGATGGGGATGACTTTCATGTAAATATCACTGTTACTCACTGCCATGAACTGTCACCCAAGAGATAGCAAGCGATTCGAGAAGATTAATCATCATGGCCTCATCATCAATGTCACGATCGACCAGCCCGTGTAATCGACTTCAACACCCACATCGCCAGACTGCATGTGGTACGTGTAGACTTCGTTGTTACAACATGGTATTCCACCAGGCTCTCCGTGGCTCCTGAGCCAGAAGCAGGCCAAATACCCTCGTCCCTCCTCATCTCTGACCAATGTGAGAACACCCATGAAAGAGCCGATTATGAAGCGTGCAAAAAGACGATTTGGAGGCCGACCTAGGGGCAATCATCCTCCTCGCCACTAAGTGCCTATCTGCTGCCTGCCCGCCTGGGAAACAAACGAATGGACGGTACCAGAGGCATTGAGCGTCGTCGTTTCAACTACCACTCACTCAGTCAACACCTGGAGCAAGACCAGACAAAATGACAGAATGACTGAAGTGAATGATGGGCACGAGCCAAAAAATATAGCGCGATCCAGACGGGACTCGAACCCGCAATCTTCAGAGTATCCAAATTGCATTGTGCATCTTTGTAGGTCGAGGTAGTCATGGTTTGCCAACCTCGTGAAGATGTCCACCGAAATCTGACGCCTTACCATTAGGCCACCGGACCGGTTTGCGGAGGGCAATATTATGTAATCCTCATCGCATGTAGTTGTATATATAGTGTGCATCTGGCGCGGGGAAGAAGGGAACCCTAGGAAACGCGACTGAACGATACCAATTCGTTCTTGACTTTGCTTGATGAGTGGTTACAGATATGGGTGCTATTCGAGCATGATATGTGTGTGTGGATATCCTGTGATCTTCCAGGGTCATGAGCCACTCAAGATCAGTCACAATACAATGAGCATGAATTGTTGAGCAAAAGAACCTCATCGAATTGTAAGGAGCACTACTGAAGTTGGCATTGTAACCTATGAAAACCCAACCATGCAGGGCGGACATGCACGACACCAGTGCCCAACCACAAGGCTGCCAGAAGCGTTGTGACCTGCATACATTGTCCGACAAAGTGATGATGCATGTTACTATGTATTGCTGATCGCAGTGCTGTTCACATCAATTCTCAGCCCGTATAGCAAATGCGTGGCTGCCATGATTAGCGGCCAAGACGAAGCGCAGACTCTGTACTCTGTGCAAGTCATGATGTTGTCACCAGTAAGTGCGAATCTCGGAGGAGGGGAAAACACCAGGAATCAAGCCACTCGTTCGGGATGATCCGCTGCAGGCAGATGCCGCATGCGGACAACAATGGATTTGCAAGGGCTGTAACTCCAAACAAGAGGGTCATGACAAAACCCGTCATGGCCGAACCCCGAGGATGAACCATGCCTGCTAATGCCAACTTGCACTTTTGCGCCACCGTGGTCCTCGAGGCGCCATCGCAACACGATGAGCCTGTCATTGGGGACGAGCGAAGTACGGAAATACTTGGGCTTGACCGCACCCGGACTGGCGGAGCAGATCATGCTGCATCATCGTGTGGTGATGCGCGATGCTTACGGCATGACAACCGACGCGGATCACTGCCTAGTGACTGCCCGGCCTGACGTGTCGCGTCCAGATGTTCCGAATCTGGCCGGAAGGGCTCGAGTGGCTGCTGTTGTCGCATGAGTCTGACGGCACCGGCGACGCAAATTGGTCAAGAGGTTGAGCAGCCCCGTCTAAGGGACGGAGCGGTGAGGGATTGGCGATGGCTGATTTGGCAACACGCGCATGGAAGATCCGCACTGCGCCAGCGAATGGCGGCTTCTTTTTTTCTGGACAATGTGGGTTTCTGAGCGCCAACCCGAACCCAGCCGCTTAGAACGTCCACTAGAACAGACAGAGGGGCGTGTCGATAATCATAACACCTGCGGCGCGTACAGCGATTCTGTGAGTAATTACATCTTCGTGGCGAAGGCAGGAGGCTTCGCTACGGCGTGGTCATTGGTGTTCCTTTGTGTAGAGAACTTTGCAAGCAATGGGCTAGGTGGGTGGCACCAGTGCTGGAGAGGTTGCGTTGCCAACTCGCCAACCTCCTGAGACAAGCCTGCGCGCACGTCGTTTCGACGGCCTAGTTGGACCCTCATTGGCAGCAGCTTTCACGATGGCAGGGAGCGGGGTGGCAATGTCTTGGTTTGCGGTCGCGTGCCCAGAAGGGATTCTGGAGAGAAACTGGAGCGGCCAGGCTGGTCGGTATGAGAGAGACCTTGAATACAGCTCGCCAGACTGTGAGGCAGGCCAGCCCTGTCATGACCACCATTGCCGCGACCCCTGCCTGGGGGCTAAGCTCGATCTCCATGGCGACGGACCAGGCAGCGGAGATGCTGGGGCAGTTGTCAATTTCGTGGACAGCCATGGTGGGGTAGACTACTACACCAAAATAAATGTCGCGGCCTTTTGTCGCGCTCTTCGAGCTTTTCGGTAGTCGAGTCTTGCGCAAACGAACGCACCGATGGATGCAGATTGTTTTCGGATTGGGTTGACGATGGAAAGCCCGCAGATGCGACGGGGGAAGACACGCTGGTCGCCTTGTGTCTATTGAGAGGGTGAAGCTAGCTCTTTGCCGAGTGCTGGACAGCAGGAAATGTCTGAAGAGGAAGGAGGGGCTGAGGCAGGGGCGAAACACACAAGACATGCAAGGCAGGCGGCCACCACCACCACCACAACAACACACCACCACTTGCACACCACACCACCATCCATGCATCTTCCTCGCCGTCGACCACCCCTCGCGATCAGGTACAAGCGGTTCAAGCGAGAAACGTGAGGAAACATTTTCCTCGTCCAGGCATCATCTCCGGCAAGAGTTGATGATTGTCCTCGAGCGAGGCTCTTCTTGCAACACAGCTCGTGGACAGCGAGAACTCCCATTTGGCCTTTGTGAGGCGGCGCAGACCGAGTTGCAGTGCATCCGTGAGCTGCGCACATGACCTCCCGGTTCTGCACCGTCAGGACACCACAAGAGACCAAGAGGCGTGTGATGAGCCGAGAAGCTTGAAGTCTGCCGGCCGACGCAGCCAATCAGCGGGCCGTGGGGGCCGATAGTTCCCAGCCTCCAACATTTCCCATGCTGTGGTGCCGGTGCACGCGCGAGACCACTTGGGAGGGCCTTCTTGAACTTGGGTATTGGGCGCCCAAGAACATGCGCCGTGGGTATTGTATTGGTACTTCGTGATTCTAGCGCCAAAGACGGCTCACGGTGACGCCCCATTTCTGAACACTTGACAGGCTGATCTGTCTTCGGTTTTCGCCTTGTGAACCGGCATGAAGGTTGCTAGGACCAGCCAGCGACGGGCCCCCCAGTTTGTCTGCCTGCCATGCGCCCATCATGCATCCACCCCTCCCACTTGGCCACGCTGGGCCCTGCCACGAGCCCGCCAGGGTCGCCCGCCCGTGTGAGGGTATCGTCCTGTATCCCTCCCGCCTTGCATTAGTTCCGACCTGCATCCCAAGGGAGGCTGTCGTCCTATATTGTTGTTCCTGCAAAGAAAAGACGTGTCTGGCGTAAAACATCTACACCTTGCTCTTCCAATCGGCTCAAACGTCGCCTCTGCATTCCCTGTTCGCCACGACCACTCGCCGCGACCCAGAGCGACTCGAAGACAGCACAGGCCGCCCAGGGCTGGCTACATGCAGCTCCAAGCAAGTCATCACCCGGCGCTGCCTCTGATACGCTTTTCTTTCCCTCCTGGCGCCTCCCTCTCATTGGGCTTTGCAAAATCTTCTTGCATGATCTCTGTTTCCTCCTTTTTTGCTCTCCTCTAGAACTCCCATCGTCCGATCCGACACCTGGTTGAGGTGGCGGTATCCTTTCGCAGCAAGTCGGTGGTTCACTCCGCCAATACCAACAGCTGCCGCACCGAGCCTGTCGCATCCCTCCCAGATGCCTTTGACTCTCTCAACAACTCGACTGCGCGACTGAGACACCCTGCACCCACGGCTCACGGGCTGTTGACTGGGCCTCCGAGCAGCAAGAGTCCCGTCCTCGCGTGAGCCAGCCCTGCTGCAACAATCGACACGTTGTTGCGTTCATGGTGGGCGCAGGCGAGGACGCCGTTTCGAGCTTTGACATCCCAGCATGGCTGCGGCCACGGTGCTGGGTTTTTGCCCATCCGGGCTAGGGAGCGGTTTTGGCTCCCCAGCGGTGCCCTCGCTGGCGGGCGCAACCGCCACTACATCGATCCGGTGGGAGGACCATGACTTGGGAACACGCCTAAACCTAATTGCTTCCACATGGCTTCGGCTGAGACACGACAATGGCCTTGTAAGTCGGGGTGGTTCTTCTTTTGGCTGTCTAATACTTCCCCCGTGTCCTGGCCACAATGGAGTGTGCCTGTCGGCTGCGCACTGCGCGGTGGTGGACGATGGGGCTGCTGCATTCCTGCCAGCGGCCAGCCTCCTTTTTGTCACTCACTGGCCCCTCTAAGGGCCCATGCAAGCTAACACTGCCATTCGTCTGACCAGGCCACCACTACCACCACCACCACCCCCCGATCCCGTCACCCACCACAAAACGCCTGCCTGAAGGTTGCACCTCGTCCGCTTGTGCTCCCGGACGCAACGCCGCGGCGGTCACGACGGTTGCCCACGCCATGCGAAGCCGAGCCCTCGGTGCGCGAAGCGCCTCTCGACCCCTCAACCACTGGTGACGTCGTCCGCCCACGCGACCCCTCTGATCATCACCAGCCACCCCCAACGTCCACCCGTCGCGAACAACAATCAAGCACATCGAAGTCCTTGTTTGCCGACCCTACCATGGATTTTGGCATTGACTTCGGTTCGAACCAGGGCTTTATGCAGCACGCCAAGAAGAACAACAAGAAGAAGCCTGCTGCGGGAGCCCCTGAACCCGAAAAGAAGAACGATGGCAATGGCGGCGCCGGTGGTAACAACAACACTGGTGGCAACGGCGGCGATGCAAACGGCGATTGCGGCAAGACCGGCACCGGCGGAGGTACTGGTGATGGCAACAACGACCCCTGGGGAAGCCTGGGCTCAGCCAGCAAGTCAAAACAAGAGGACCTCCTAGCCGGCAGCAGTACCTTCGATGCATTCCAGGAAATCAAGCTGGACGATACGGCACCGACGTTGGACCTTAATTTTGGTACAGTCGGCAGTGGATCCGGCTGGGGTGGCACTGGTTCCGGCGGTGCCGGCGGCGCCGGCTCATCGTGGGACTGGGCAGGCACCAAGCCCGGCGGCAAACCCGGCGATAAGAAAGACGACCCAGCAGCGGGGGATAATCCATGGAGCATCGACAGGCCGAAGCCAAAGAAGAAGACAACCACGGGTTTCGGATTCGGGTCGTTCGACGAAGAGGAGGCGGACGACAAGGGCAAGAAGGACGATTTCGACTTTGGCTTCTCATCATCGGCGAAGAAGACAGCCAAGGCTGATGCTTTTGGCTGGGGTGACTCCAAAGACATCCAGAACAAACCTGACCCGCTAGGCGAGTCTGGGGATACCTGGGGCACATGGGGAGCCGCCGGTGCGAATGCGAATGCGAAGAAGCCTAAGCAAGACGACGACTTCTGGGCAGCCTTCGGGGACGACAAGGACAAGAAGAAGAACAGTCTGCTTGACGAGGGCGCACCCAATCCACCAACCGAGTCACAAACGTCACAACCCGCCCAATCTGGGGCCGCCGCGGGATGGAGTTTTTGGGGTCTTACGAAAAAGGTCACCAAGAAGGAGGCCCCTGCTGCGGCTGCTCCTCCTCCGCCGGAGCCGGCTGCGGACCAGTCTGCGGATGATTGGATGAACTGGGGCTCGAAAGCAAAGAAGATGGTCAACAAAACCTCGGCACTTCTCGACCTTGGCAGAGATTCCGAGCCACCGCCAGCAGCGCCAGACCCGCCGGCAGGCGGCGGCGGCGATGACTTCTGGAGTGCATTTGGCACAAAGGATCCGAGAAAGCCCGCCGCGGATGACTTCCTTGATCCCGCGTCCAGAGAAGCTGACGCTTGGGGCCTACCTGGTCCTCCGAATGGTGGCAACAACGAATGGGCCGCCCCGGGAGCACAGGCGCCGGAAACGCTTGATCCTGCCGCGCAGGCTGCCAAGGAGAAGCTTGCGGCCGAAATCGCCGCGGAGGAGGAGGAGCTCGCCCAGCTTGAAAAGAAACGCAAGATCAAGAAAAACAAGCTGCTGAAGAAGGATCAGACGCGCTACGACGAATTAATACAAAGAGCCGAAACACGCGCAGCAGAGAAAGCCGCCTCCGATGCAGCCGCTGCTGAAGCTGCAGAAGCTGCGCAGGCCGCAGCCAAGGCGGCCGAGGAGGCAGCCGCCGCGGAGGCACAAGCTGCTCGTGAGGCGGAAGAAGTTGCAGCAGCCGCGGCGGCTAAGGCAGCTGACGAGGCGTCTGCCCAGGCAGCTGCGGAGGAGACCGAGCTCAAAGCCCTCGAAACGAAGAAGGACATAAAAAAAAAGCTCCTCAAGAAGGAACAATCACGGTTCGACGAGCTTAAAGAGCGTGTCGCTCGCAGAGCAGAGCAGAAGGCGGCAGCCCAGGCGGAGGCTGATGCTGCTGTGGCTGCTGCGACTGCAGCCGAGAGCGCACCAGAACCAGTTCCCGAAGCGCCGTCTCCCCCCGCAGCAGAGGTCGAACAACCTCCAGAAGAAGATCCTGCTGTTCAAGCCGAGGAGCTGGAGATTTCGCAACTCGAAGCCAAGAAGCTTTCCAGAGGCGGCAAGCTTCTGAAGAAAGATCAGGCTCGTCTGACAGATCTGCAAACCCGTTCTGATGCGCGGGCTGCCGATAAAGCAGCAGCAGAGGCAGCTGCCGCAGAAGTGGCGGCGGCAGCTGCAGCTGCAGCTCAGGCCGAGGCCGATGCACAAGCTGCTGCCGATGCTGCCGCAGCAGCAGCCGCCGCAGTGCCCGAACCAGCTATCGTTGATCCCGCTATCGAAGCAGAGCAGAAGGAGATCGAAGAGCTGGAAGCCAAGAAGACGAAGCGCGGCGGGAAGCTCCTCAAGAAGGACCAGGCACGGCTGACAGAATTGCTAGACAACGCAGCACGCCGAGCGGCGGACGAGGCTGCGGCCGAGGAGGCCAAAGCGGCGGCAGCAGCCGCTGCGGAGGCGGCCCAACCTGAACCTGAACCTGAGCCTGTACCAGAACCCGCGCCAGATCCTCCGGCCGAGCCCGAGCCAGATCCAGCCATCGCAGCGGAGGAGGCCGAAATTGCGGAATTAGAGGCGAAGAAAGTCAAGCGGATGGGCAGGCTGCTCAAGCGAGATCAAGCAAGACTCGACGAACTCATCGCAAATGCAGAATGTCGCGCCATGAATGCTGCAGCGGCCGCAGAAGCATTAAGGGCAGCTGCAGCTGTGGATTCGGAGCCCTTAATCGACGTCGTCTCTCCTGAGCCAGAGCCTCAAGTCGATGCAGAGCTAGAAGCCTTAATCGCTGAAGAGACCAAAGAACTTGCTACGTTAGAAGCAAAACTTGTCAAAAAGGGCCGACTACTGAAGACAGACCAAGCGCGGTACGACGAACTCAGCGAGAAGGCCAGCAAGCGTGCAGAGGAGGCTGCAGCTGCCGCCGCCGCTGCCGTAGTCCCTGAACCCGAGCCAGCTGTCGAAGAGCCTGCCCAAGAAACCGTTGCCCCGGTGGACGATGCACTCGCTGCTGAAATTTTGGAACAAGAGGCTGAGCTTGCTGCACTAGAAGCCAAGAAGGAGCGGAAAGGCAAGCTTGGCCGGACGGACTCGGCCAGATACGAGGAGCTGCAGGAGAAGGCTGCCCAACGCGCCAAGGACAAAGCCGCGGAGGAGGATGCTGCAGCTGCTGCAGCCGCAGCCTCAGCTGCAGAACCCGAACCCGAACCTGCCGTCGCTCCAGAAGATCCTGCTAGGTCAGAAGCCGACAGCATTGCGGCTGTTGAGGAGGCTGAGCTTGCCGATCTCGAGGCCAAAAAGCTCAAGAGAGGCAAGCTAGGGAAGACCGACAAGGCTCGCTACGATGAGCTTGTCAAGAACGCTAGCCTCAGAGCAGAGGAGAAGGCAGCTCAAGAAATAGCCGCCGCAGAAGCTGCTGCCGCCGAGCCCGAGCCCGAGCCTGAGCCCGAGCCGGAACCTGCTGAAGAAGTCGATGAGGAGCTTGCCGCTGAACTTGCCGAGCTCGAACAATTGAGTAACAAGCTAGCGCTCAAGGGCAAGCTCGGAAAGACTGACCGGGCACGCCATAATGAGCTGCTAGACCGAGCTGAGCAGCGCGAAAAGGATAAGGCGGCTGCAGCCGTGGAACAAGAGGCGGAACCCGAACCTGAGCCGGAACCTGCTCCTGAGCCAGAAATCGACCCAGCTCTTGCGGCTCAGATCGAAGCAGAAGAAGCTGAACTAGCCGACTTGATAGCAAAGAAGGAACGGCGCGGCAAGCTTGGAAAGACCGATACTTCACGTCTTGAGGAACTGCAGGCACTCGTCGACCAGCGTGCAGCCGATAAGGCTATCCGAGATGCCGCCTCTGCTGCTTCTCCTACAACCGAGCCAGAGCCTGATTCAATAGCAGATGCCGAGCCTGAAACAGAGCCTGTACCCATCGATCCAGTCGACGAAGCTGCAGCACAGGAGGAAGCCGAATTCGCGGCTCTCGACGCAAAGTTCAAGTCGAAAGGCAAGCTCGGCAAGACTGATAGGGCTCGGCATACGGAACTCATGGAAAGAGTCGAGCAGCGTGCCGCTGACAAAGCTGCCGCAGAGGCTGCTGCCGCGGAAGCCGCCGCCGCTGAACAAGCCGCTGCAGAGGCGGCGGCCGCCGAAGAAGCTGCAGCAGCAGAGGCTAGAGCGGCTGAAGAGCTCGCGGCCACAATATTCCTGGAGGAAGAGGAAATGTCTGCCCTGCAGGCCAAGCTGACCAAGAAGGGCAAGCTGGGAAAGACTGATAAAGCCCGCCTGGAGGAGCTCATGGAAAATGCCAAAGTGCGTGCGGAAGAAGCAGCAGCGAAGGAGGCAGCCGCCGCGGACGAGAGTGCTGCCGCTGCCGTCGACGAGGAGGTACCTGCAGACGACCCCGAGCCGGAGCTTGAAGCCTCCCCTTCATCCATCGCTGCCGAAGAGGCTTTACTTGAAGCCGCTGCCGAAGATGAAGAGCGTGAAGGTCTTGAGGCAAAGCTGATAAGGAAAGGTAAGCTTGGCAAGACCGACCGCGCGAGGCTAGACGAATTGAAAGAGCGCCATCAACAACGTCTCGACGAGGCTGCTGCAGCTGAAGCCGCTGCACCGGAAGCAGAAGCCGATGCCGCAGAAGATCTCCCACCTGCTCCGGAGCCTATAGTGGAGGACGTAGACGCGGACTTGGCCGCCGAGATTGCTGCCGAAGAGGTCGAGCTGAAGGTGCTCGAGGCGAAACTTGGCATCAAGGGCAAGCTGGGCAAGACCGACAGAGCAAGGCATACGGAACTTCTCGACCGGGCCGAACAACGCGCCGCCGCACAGGCCGCGAGGGCTGCAGCTGCAGAAGAAGCTATATTTGAAGATCCAGAGCCGGCGCCAGAAGCCGATGTCGAGGCTGAAGACGCTATCGAAGACGGTGTTGGCGCTGAGATTGCTGCCGAGGAGGCCGAGCTGGGTGCACTTGAAGCCAAGCTTGCAACCAGGGGCAAACTTGGGAAGACAGACCGAGCCCGGCACACAGAACTTACAGATCGCGCAGCTAAGCGAGCCGAGGAGAAGGAGGCTGCTGAGGCCGCCGCTGCGGAGGCCGCCGCCGCAGAAGCAGCTGCAGCAGAAGCGGCAGCAGCAGAAGCAGCGGCCCAGGAAGCCGCTGCGGCCGAAGCGGCGGCGGCGGCAGAGATAGCAGCTGAAGAGGCCGAGCTTGAGGAACTCAATGCTAAGCTGAAGAAGAAGGGCAAGCTGCTCAAGACCGACCGAACTCGTCATGCTGAGTTGACTGAGCGAGCAGAAAAGCGCGCTGAACAGGCAGCTGCCGCGCTGGCTGCCGCAGAGGCCGCAGAGGCTGCAGAGGCCGCTCCAGAACCTGAGCAGGAGGAGTTGCCAGAGGCTACGCCTGAAGCCGCTCCCGAACCCGACGATGTGGTTGCCGACGCACTTGCCCAGGAAATTGCTGAAGAGACGGCCGAGCTTGAAGCCCTCGAGGCAAAATTGCAGAAGAAGGGCAAGCTAATGAAGACGGACCGACTTCGACACGCCGAACTCCTCGAACGAGCAGAACAGCGCGCCAAGGATGCTGCCCAGAAAGAGGCTGCTGCATCAGAACCTGCACCCGAGCCTGAAGCGGAGGCGGAACCGGCGGCCGAACCTGAAGAAATCCTAGCGGAAGAACCTGTTGATCCCGACGTCGCAGCCGAGATTGCGGAGCTCGACGCGCTTCAGGCGAAGTTGGAACTCAAGGGCAAACTGGGCAAAACCGACAGAGCCAGGCACGCAGAGCTTACCGACAGAGCAAATGAGAGGGCTGAGGCTGCTGCGGCGGCAGCTGCAGCAGCAGCTGCACCTGAGGTGTCCGCAGACGTCGAGGCAGCACCCGAGGTGGACGACGACATCGACGCCGATGGTGACCTAGATTACGAGACTTCTGCTGAGGAGTTTGCCGATGCTGAAGAGTTCGCGGAGGACCCGGTTGCTGAAGAGGAGAAAGCCGAGCTTGCTGCTCTCGATGCCAAAAAGGCTAGGAAGGGCAAGCTTGGCAAGTCCGACACTAAGCGACACGCAGAACTTACCGAACGCATCGAGCAGCGTGCTAAAAGGGCGGCGCCTGACGACCCTGCACCTGCAGAGGAGCCGTCTCTAGAACCTGAGGCTGAAGAAGAGCCGGCCCCTCCAGCGGACTCGGACCCTGTGGCAGAAGCTGAAGCTGCCGAGCTGGCTGCCCTCGACGCCAAGCGGGAGAAGAAGGGCAAGCTCGGTAGATCTGATCGCGAGCGCTATGCCGAGCTCGTCGAAAACGCGCGCCTTCGGGCCGAACGACCAGCCTCTGGAGATGCTACCGCTGATCCTGATGCTGAAGCTGAAGCAGAACCTACGCCAGAGGAGGAGCCTGCGCCAGAATTACCAGTCGACCCAGAAGCTGAGGCCGAAGCTGCCGAGCTGGCAGCCCTTGACGCCAAGCGGGAGAGAAAGGGGAAGCTCGGGAGATCAGATAGGGAGCGCTACGCGGAGCTCGTCGAGAATGCCCGTCTTAGGGCACAAAAACAAGCAGCAGCTGAGAGTCCAGCCGACCTCGAACCTGAGGTTGACGCTGTGGCTGACGTTGACGCAACAGAAGAGCCACCTGCTGAGCCTGAGCCTGAGCCTGAACTCGAGCCCGAGCCTGAGCCCGAGCCTGAGCCGGAACCCGAAGAAGAGGAAGACACGGAAGCAGCTCTCGAGGCCCTCGACCAGGCTGAAAGAGAAGAAGTCGCAGCATTGGAAGTCAAGAGAGAGAAACGATTCGGCAAGCTACTCAAGACAGATCGCTTACGGCACGAGGAGCTTACTGCGAACATCGCTAGACGCGCCGAAGAAAAGGCCGCCAAAGAGGCTGCTGCCCAGGCTGCCCGTGAGGCCGAGGAGCAAGCAGCGGCAGAGGCCGCGGCAGCTGCGGAGCAGGCCGCGGCTGAAGCAGCGGCTGCTGAGGAAGCCCGCGCTGAAGAAGCTCGCTTGGCTGAGATTGCTGCTCAGGAGGAGGAACTTGGTGCGCTCAAAGCCAAGCTCGATCGCAAGGGCAAGCTTGGTAAAAGTGATAAGAAGCGCTACGAGGAACTCCTCGAGCTGGCCAAACAGCGTGCACCTGAGGCACCTGCAGACCCCGAGGAAGAAGCAGACGGCGACGACGAGCCCGCCGACGACCAGGCTGCGGCCGTTGCTGCCGAAGCCGAAGCTCGAGCCATTCGTGAAGCTGAAGAGCAAGCAGAGCGTGAGCGACAAGAGCGCAAGAGCAAGAAGTCGCGATCAAAAGACAAGGGTAAGTCGGATATTCCTATTTTCAGATTTATGATTTCCCCGATCTTCTAGTTTGCACCAAGGGCTATCTAGGACGGATGCGACTAGTCCCAGCTAGGCTCAAGTGAGCTGTGCTTGGAGCTCAAGGGGATGCAAGCTTCCCCGCGGGCTGCCAAGCATGCAATGCACTAGGCGTTCGTCCGTTGGTCGACTCATCCGAGATGGCTGTGAACCCCTGCAAGGTCAAGCTTGACTGGCCCTGTTACAGTATAGATCCTGCTGAGTCACTGGGAAGGGCATCACCTGTCATCATCATGCATGCAACCACTTGGCGGACATGCCACCAATGTGCCGCGTATCGAAGCTGACCATGCACACACACGCACCATGCAGACCTGCTGCCTGCCGTACCACCACCGCCACCGGCCGCCCCGGATGCGCCCCCGCAGCTTTCTGAGAAGGAAAAGAGAAGACTTAAGAAGAAGGGCAAGCTTGCCGAGCCCGGGGCTGATGCAGACTTCCCCCCCAATTCCGACGACTCACCCACGCAAGCTACTCGTCGTGGTTCCGACATCCCAGGCAGTTTCCCAATGGAAGGAGATGAGAATGAGATCGTAGAGATCATCGATGTCTCGCCCGAGAAGAAGAAGTCCAGGAAAAGCAAGAAGTCTCGTGCGACTGAAGTCGAAGACGATGGAGGTCCGCCTGCTCCCCCGGAGGTCCCCATGGCACCGCCTGCCGTGCCCGATGCACCTCCGACTCCACCTCACGAACACAAGTCTTCCAGAAGAGAGCGGCCCAAGATCAACCGGGATGGTGGCTCCTCTTGGGGAGCGTGGTCTGCTGCCGCCCCGCCTCCTCGCAAGTCTGAGAGAGAGCGCTCGTCCAAGATTCGCTCACCCGAGAAGAGATCAAGCAGGAGAGAGGCCGACGACATCTCGCCTCGCGAATCCGGATCAGACGAGAGACGCGACAAGACCAGTTCTCCGTCCAAGAGCCGGATGGGCAATCTCCTGAAGAGCACGCCTCCGCTTTCACGGACAATGTCCTCCCGCGACGAGCGCGGGAGCCGTCGCAAGTCGACTTCCAATCGCGCGTCCCACGAGATGTCTGGGGGTCTCATGTCCCCGCCACCAGAGGAATTGCCTCCGATGACGTCCAAGGCAGCCAAGATCCTAGGCATTGGCTCAAGCTCAAAGCGCCGCAGCTCGCGCACGCAAGACATGGAGGCTGATGATATGGCGGTCGTCGACCCCGTGGACGCCGAGCCCCCGCGGGAGAAGTCTTCGCGAAGACGTTCACGCGTCATGCCGGAGGATGATGGTGCTGTTTTTGTCGATGCCCCTGATTTAGGCGCGCCCCCTCCCCTCAAGAAATCAGGGTCCAGCAGCGCACGCAAGGCCGCAGCCCTAGCAGCTGGGGCGTTTGGCGGCATGATGTCTGCCCCCAAATCTGATATGCGTGCAGACCTCCGCCGTCGCAGCAACACATTGACCACAGACGACGAGAGCCGCCCAGACAAGAGATCACGTCATGTCCGTTCCTCGAGGGAGAGCGAAACCATGGCTGCGGCGGAGACCGACGCCGAGAGGGAGGCCCGCCGTGCCGCACGGCGTGCGAGAAGAGCCGAGGAGGCTGGTGTTGACGAGGATGCGCGCCGTGCGGAGAAAGAGTCGCGGCGCGACAAGCGCAAGAAGGAGGCCGAAGAGGCCGAGGCCCGTCGCGCTGAGGAGAGAGAAGCACGACGGGCAGCGCGCAAAGCCGCCCGGGCTGCCGAAGACGACAGTGCGGCAGCCAAGGATGCTGAGCGCGAAGAGCGCCGTCGCTTACGCAGGCTCGAGAAGGAGAACGCGGCGAGGGCGGCGGAGGAGGCCGAGGCTGAAGCACGCCGCGCGCGACGCGAGGAGAAGCGCCGCTCGCGTGTTGTCGGAGAGGACGAGGACGAGGACGAGGAGCGGCGACGCCGGCGTGAGCTCCGCCGCGCGGAGAAGGAAGGTCGCGTGCGAGCATCCGCACCACCCGTCATGGACGAGTACGTCTACACGGTTCCCGACGCACCGCCAGTGATGCCGCCGCCACCACAGCGCAGAAGCAGCACCAAGCAGCAACGCCCGCCCGCGTGGCCGCACTCGGGCACGAGCTCGTGGGTCAAGGAGCACTCGGATGCTGGTCCACCTCCCGAAGATGGCGCGCCCTCACAGACGGACGCGCCTCCTGTCACTGATGACGAGGAAGCCAGACGGGCTGCACGCCGTGCTCGCCGTCGTGGCGGAGAGAAGAGCTATGCCGGCGACATGTCCGAGGCCGATGATCAGCGCAGACGTCGCGCACGTCGCGAAGAGCGCGAGCGGCGCAGCGACCGTAACCGCTTTGGTTCTGAGGGCAGCGGCGAGAAGCAACAGCGCGAGTCTGTCTACGCCGAGCCGGTGTCATCAGGACGGAGTAGCTGGTGGAAGAAGCTCAGAGGCTCCTGAGCTTGATCTGATGAATGAGGAGGACGAAAGCGAAGGAACCCACAAAGAAGAAGCACGATAAAGGCAAAGGACACGATGAGGATACAGAGAAAGTCTGTTGAACAGGCTTCCTCTCTCCCTCCAAGAGAATGAAACGAGCCGTCACGAGAATGAGTATGAGACATGAATCGGAAACAGCGCGCAAATACCAAGCATGGCTTTACAGTTTTCGCCCCAGCACTTAGTGGCAACCCCCCCTCCGGGAGCAGAGCACGGGGCATCACCATCCGTCTTCATTGGCTTAGCGAATCATTGCATTGGATAATTCGATTGTGTGTGTTGTGTGTCTATTTGTACCTGAGCGGAGCGAACTTGGATTGACATTTTGCAACATGGTTGCTCACAGTGGTTTCTGCGTGCCTTAGACTAGCGTTATTGAAAAATATGAAGTTTCTGATATTCTGATAATAAGTGCTGGACCCCAACTCCGTCAATGCAATCCCGTGAAGTCTTCGTGAACATTATCGATCAGTTGCAGCCTTGGTATATCTCAAGTCCAGGTGTTTGCTCCTACCTAAGTCGGTATCAATGTTCATGATGATAGTGGTGCGCCATGCCGCAGAATTGTATCGTCCATTGACAAAGCCGAAAGAAGACCAGATGCGAGAACAAATGTGAGAGGGAACACAAGGCATGAACCACAGAGAGAGAGAGATAGAATGTCAAGGAAGAAGGACCACGGAGAACATTCAAGATAACGAGAAAAGAAAGAAACGAAAAAAAAAAAAAAAGAAGGGTCGACTGCGGCCAGCGGGATTTGCACCCGCGTTTCTTCCTTGGGAGGGAAACGAGTTGACTACTACTCCATGGCCGCTTGTGGTTATGTTGCCAGTCCGACGAACTGTCTCGGCTAGGTAAGGTTAGAGAAGAGAGCCAGATAGTGTGCAGTGCTGTGTTTGTGTGTGTCGTTTTTCGACTGCACCATTTGCACGTTTGCTGCCTGTCTCGGTTGTTGGGGTTACCAGTCGGCTTTTTGAGGTTATATGGCCTGCCTACCTGTCTGCCTGGCGTTGTCTCGGGGGGGGGGGGGGGGGGGGGGGGGAGGGAGTGAGTGAGTGACATCAGGAGTGCCTGAGGTTTCCAATCCAGAACAGGGGACCCGAGTCTGCTGGCAAGAGCAACATGCCAAGGATGCAAGGAGGGAAGGAAGGAGCTGGGTCTTCGTTTGTCCGAGCAAGGCAGGGCAGGCAGGCGCCCGCGCAGGGTCTCTCGCTGCAAGCAAACAAAGGCCAGACAGACACCTCATGTCCTCCTCCTGGCAGGACTGGTTGTTGCTGCTCGTGGTGGCAACCTGCGTGTGAGCAAAGTCATTGTACACACACACACACATCTCTCAATGCCACGGATTCTATTTCACCATCGAGCTTGGCTTGTTTGCTATCGATGTCCATCTGTATCCCAGCAGCAACCTGTTTTCTGGGGAACTCAAAGCGTCAACAGGAAATGGTTAAGGGAGGAGGCAAGATATCACAGGAGCATGGATCAGACAGTGTTACCGTCCCCAGGCTTCGTTCACAAATGTACTCCATTTGTCTGCAAACCCGTTCATCGTCTTTGATGGCAGCACGAGACGACAGCAGGGCACGAGGACTCCAAGCAGCACCATCTCATGTCGTCATGTTCAAAATTAGGTTCAATATAGTTATCTTCATAGGGAAGTCGTGCCAGCGTTTCTTGTCCCCGTCCTGCTACCCTTCGAATGCAATCGCAACAAGGGCTATCCCGACAAGAAAAGAAAAAGAACAGCCATGGGTGTGCCACACCATTGATATCCCAAAATGGATCTAGACGCGCCGAAAAGGGAGGAAAAGGAATTCCCGAAAACGCCGTCTCTCCAATGGTCATCAACCCCTTTGTAGTGGGATACACCCTGATATCGCCGAACCCTGGAAATCTAGAGCCCTCGCTCTACGGCCTGTACAGCCATTCTGCATGGAAGCACGCTGCTCGCGCTGTAATTATTGTTCTGCTATATATAGTGGGGCGTGTGCGGCCCAAAACAATCGAGACTCCCCTAAATCATGCGGGTATATGATGTTACACGCGTTCAAGCGGTATCGCTTTCCGTGTCTTCGTCGTCATAGTCGTCAATAGGTCCAAACTTGGCCTTGTACCGTTCGAGCTCGGCCAGCTGAGAAGCCAGGTTATCCAGTATCTGTGACATGGGAGCACGCAGCTCCTCGAGATGGTTGATCTGGCCGCCGCCAGCAGCAATGTGGCGCATCGACAAGGTGGAGACGCACGTCTGAAGGATGATGCTGTTAGCTTATGAACGACAAAATCAGGGACGTGTCACAGAACTCACCTCGATACGGCTCACTTGGTGCTCTAGGAACAAAGTGATGGCTTGCTCAGAAACCTCGCCACCTCGTGACCGTACACGATCCAGCCATTCGGTCTCTGGTGGCTGCAGCTGGCTGCCAGAAGCCTCCTCAAGTGTACTGCACAGCATCTCCAGGCGAAGGCTGATCTTCCAGACGGCCCAGACAACTTCGGGGTCAAAGCCCAGTTCAACACCAGGTCGAAGTTGGGTGGGCTTGCCTGGTTCTGGAGCAGCAACTGCCTGCTGGTTATGGTACTCGATTCTGCCTGCCAACACGTGGGGGTACAGCGAGTAGATGAATTCGGGGTTTTCAAGTCCCTTGAGCTTCTTTTCGCCCATCTCCTTGACTTCGAATCCTTGCGAGCTGAGCGATTTGAGCTCTTTCCTAATCACCATGGCGGTGGCGTCGTCGTCAAACGTGTCCTCAGAACCCACAGAGCTGTTGCGTTCATTCTCCTGGTAGGTCTCAAGACAGCGTTGGATCTCAGAGATGAAGTCTGCCGACACCGTGATTTGGCCCCCGTCAGCCACAGCCGAGATACGAGAGGCCTTGTTGACCATCGGGCCAAAATAGTCCATTCGCCGCGTCACCGGATCGATCTCGGCCACGGGTTCACCAAAATGGATTCCCATCCTTACAGATAGACCTTTGAAGATGAGATTGTTGTCCTTGTCATAGACTTCCTGAGCGGAGACGGAGTTGAGAATCTCGGGAGGCCAGTTCACCTCAAGCAGCTGCGTCTGAACCGCAAAACACCACAGCAGCGCGGATGTAGCAGTGGGGAAGGAGACCATGAATGCGTCACCTTCGGTCTTGACTTCATATCCACCAATCCGCCGAAGCTGTCGACGCATAACCTCGTTGTGCAGTTTGATTGCTGATCGCATGGCGGACGGGTACATCTCCCACAGATTGGTGGAATTCTTGATATCTGTGAAGGCGATCGACGGCTTCTCTGTCGGCGCAGGCACCTCGGCCTCGAGTCTGTGCAATGTCGAATCTTGGACCTCGCCCTTAGGCTTTCGACCACGCTTCGGGACGTACTGGAACTCATCGGGAATGCCGGATGGGTACAGCGACATGCTCTGGCCCCGATGCAGACGAGCGGATCGCTCCTGGCGTCGCTTGAGATCTGCAACACTGATCATCATGATCATGATCTTGCCAGTTGAGCCATAGGCCATCGTCAGATCTCTGAGCTTTTGAGACGCACGCATCAGATCGCCTCTTTCTTGCCTCGCGACGTCGACAACAAGTCCAGGTGTTATGTATTCCCAGAGCTCTTTTGTTGCGATCAGGAGAGTCTCGTCCTGTGCACCGATTGTCGCCTTGGTAATGTAGGGCGCTGCTTGAACTGCAGGCATCAAGTCCACAAAGCCAAAGGCACGAGAAACCTCGAGCTGATCGTTCAATTTGCCTTGACGGGAAACCCATCCACCAGCGTCCCGTATACGTTGGCGCTCGGTCGGCTCAGCCGGATCATGCTTATGTGTCAGAATACGGTGTGATCCATCAGACTGGATCAGCATTGCCTGCGCATCACCAACGTTGGCAACATATAGGTCTTGCGCTTGCAAATATGCCACAGTGGCGACTCCACCCGAGTTGAGATCCTCCTTGCTCAAAGCAACAGATGCTGTCCCGCGCGAAGTCATCGGGCGCTTGCCGCCGTGTTCCAGAGCAAGTGTGACAAGATCTTTGTTGAGACTGAGGAAGGCCCGTCGAAGAGCATCGACGGGTCCCTCATTCTGACGAGTCTTGAGAGCTTTCAGTTCGGTGGTGAAGATGCGTCCGAAGTTCTCATGAAGATACTTGGCGATCTTGGAGCCACCACTCGAGAGTGCCTGACCGTCAAACAGCCCAAGAAGTGTCTCAGAATCTGAAGAATTGAATCGTGGTACGACCAAGTCCACTGTTGATAAATGTTCATTCCGGCCCAGAGTGTCCGCCATCCCGTACGGAAGATGTCCAGCTAGCGATCCTGACGTTCGTACACGACGGTCCTCACTCTGGTCAGGAATGCTCGGCTGAGTCAATGTGACGTCCATTAAACCAAGCACTCGGAGATTGAGCAGCCTGTTGAAGTCGGTGTACTGCTCATCGCGACTCGGTCCCGTGAGACTGGTACCCTGTTGTTTGATCTCAAGTCTCTTGTTGCCAGAGAGATTGAGGTACCTTAAGTTGGGATTCAGATTCCAATTCCAGTCATATGGTACGTTCGCGATGTTGTACTTCAACGAGTTGTTGCCGCAGTCAAGGACCGCAAGTTTCTTGGCTCGCGAAATGTCCGCCGGGAGGTTCGTGAACTTATTGTTGTTGATGTGCAGAACCTGCAACAGGCTGAATTCTTCGAGATCATCAACGGGCAAGCTTGTCAAGTCATTGCCGGACAGGTACAGCTCAACAAGCTGAGGCCAGCTCTTGATGCATCGCTGAGGCATATCGCTGAGGTCATTGTAAGACATGTTTAGAATCCGAAGCTCGCTTAGAAGCATAACCTGGTCAAACGCATCGTCGTCAAGCTGATTGTCAGCGAGATACAAGTTCTTGAGGGAGCCTGCAAAGGTGTTGGTAAGCCGGCCAGAGAGTCCAGAGTCCTTCCTAGTTGCTGGAGCCGCAGTGATCGTGCCATTAGTGCTGCCATTTGTGCTCCGAGACACAACAGAGGTCTTGCGACCACCTTTGCCATACACTGACACCACTGAGCTCTTACGGTCGGGCCCAGCAGGGACCGGGGATGGACCGACACTAAGCAGGGTACTGGAGGAATGGCTTGGTCGCCGAGTACCGTCTGGAAGGAGTTCCTCCATCGATGACGTGTGTGAGAGGGTCTCGGTCGACTGCTTGACAATTCCGTTTGAGCTTGGAGTTTGCGAAGGATCATTGGGCATCTGCGGAGGACGCGAAGCAGGCTTCGGGAAGTTGTCGAGAACGTTGGAGGACGCATTGAGCGTTTCAAGTTTGTTGGCCCACCACAGCTCCATTGGCAGTTTCCTAATATTGTTGCCTCGGACATCGAGTACTCGCAGCTCCGTAAGGCAGCCAATCTCAGGAGGGAGCTCGCCGACTGAATTGTTGGCAATGCTGAAGTGCTCAAGTCTTCTCATGTTGCCGATATGGTTTGGGAGCGAGACGAAATAGTTCCGGTCCAGGATCAGGCGTTCCAGATTGGGCATGTTGTTGAACGAACCGTCGATGCTGGCTAACTGTGCATTGGAAAGGTTTAATACCTTCAGTGTATGCACGGGTCCGACAAGCTCAAACTTTGTGATCGGGTTCGAGTTGAGCTTGAGCGTCCTCACTCGCTCAAAACTGCCAACAAATTGAGATACCATATTGTGGTCGGCAGACAACGTCTCCAGCTTGGGAAGTTCCGAGATTACATCAATTGCAGTGAGCTGATTGAATTTGATGTCAAGCTCACGAATGTTCATGAGGAGGCTGAAAGTAGATGGCAATGTTCCAGACAGCCTGTTATTTGTCATGACGAACTTTTCGAGGTTCTTGAGGTTTCCCACTTGGTCGGGGAGGCTGGCAATCGAGTTGAAGCTGACGTCAATGTCAACGAGAGCTTCGAGCTCGCAAAGGAAGGGGGGGAATTGGTCGAGAAAATTTGAAGACAAGTTAAGTGTCCGAAGCGATCTGAATGCTCCAAACTCTTCAGGGAGACTCTTGAGGCGGTTGTTTGCAAGTGAGAGCTTCAGCAGGCCGCGCAACCGCCCAAGATCTGCGTGGTCAACCTCCTCAAGGCGGTTGTTTGACACATCGAGGTATGTCAGGCGACCAGCTCGTCCGATGCTGATCGGGAGCTTGCGTGCCTCATTGTTGGCATATTTGATATCGCGCAGCTGCTGACAGGCATGTATGAAGTCGCGCGGTAGATCGAGTGACAAGTTCCGTGAGAGGTTCAGTGAGATGATATCCGCAGCTTTGGAATAGAGAGTGATAGGGATGGTGATAAGGTTGCGCCCGGATAAGTCGATGTGGTTGAACTTGGTCAGTTTCTGCAGCCCCAAGTCGTGGTGAGCGCCCGTAAAGTCGCTGTCTCTGGCTGACAGGAAGAGGAACCGACACAAATAGCCGTTATCCTCGCGTCCGATCTCTTCAAGCCGATCCTTTTCCTCGTATCCCATCTGCTGCAGCAGCCTCTTTTGAATGAGCAGTGGGCGCTCAGGGGCGCTCAAGACGCGCGACAAGTCATGTTTCCTGAGCACAATGTGGTAATTCTCCAACCCTTCTGTCACGTATGTCTTCCGCACGACGTTGGCCATGACGTCCTGCACAGTGGCAGTGAGCGGCAGTTGAACCGTGGCGAAAGTACCGTCTGAGCGGAAGACACGAATGCAATGAGGCGCGTGTTTCTCCTCTGGGCGAGGCGGGGTACCGACATCATCATGTTCTGGTACATGAGGATCTCGCTCCTCTGCATTCCTTCGCACACCCCAACTGTCGGGCGCGTTCCACGTGCCGTCTGCCCTTTGTTGCAGTGGTACCGACTCTGGCACTGTTTCCATCTCTGCCGGCATGGCGTTTCCTCCTGTAAAAATGGAAGGATCCATAGGGGTCAAAGGCGGCGGTTGAGCAAGGATGCCCTCCATGTCGTTGAGATTCGTATCCAGAGTAAAAACTTTTCCTCGGTCATCTCTGTCAGTTGGACCAATCTGGTCCTCGGTTTCGTCGTGATGCCGATAACGACCGCCTTTCTTGGAGAAGGGAAACTTGTTGTTGAATGTAGCTTGACGCGACTGCGGAGGAGCTCTGGTCTGAGCAGACGGAACGTCGGCAAAGTCTAGGTTTGGCAGTGGCTTCTCTAACGGCGACGGGAGGGGGGCGTTCAGATTCTGCTTTGACGAAGCACGAGTCAACGATCGCACAGAGCCCGGTAAGCCTTTGAGGTTGAGGGTATGGCTGTCGTCATTATTGTGCTTGGGGTGACGTCGGAATCGGTCGAGTAGACTGCGCTTCCCGTTGTGATCCTTGGGCGACATTTGACCATCGACTGAAGCAAGTCGACTGTTCTGACTGTTGAAGCTTGGCGTGGGACTTTGCGCGCGCGAACGCACAAAGTTGCTCACTGTTGAGGCTCCTCGCTCCTTCCCATAAGGCACCGTCATAAGAGAATCTTCTCTGCTCGCTACAGGTCGCAAAGAGTGGGTGTCCTCATTGCTTTTCTGGTGACGGTGCAAATGATGCCCAGATGACATGTTTACCACAGAGTGGCCTGGGCCTGATCCAGCATGACCAGATCGCCCTGATGACGACGTCTTCGGAGGTGCTTGGTTCTGTTCCCTCTCATAACGCTCCCGGTCGGGCCCAGTCAAGATCTCTCGGACAGGAGCCTCACCATACTTCGCGATATCTTTGGCTTCCTGATACAGGAAGGGGACCACATCGCTCGATGGCACTGGCGTTCTTGGCCGAGAGGAAGCGGGCGACAGCTCTCTCGTGGTCTCGGTAGCGTTGGAGTGGTTCCTCTCGCGCCTGGGCCGCGTAAAGGAGTAAGAGCGCGATTCCTTCTGGCTGGATTGACTCGGCTGTGGTAAGCTTGTTTCGGACCCGTCACGACCCGGAAACTCCTCGCCGAAGAATCCCTGCAGCTTCTTGAAACCACCTCTTGACGCACTGCTCTTTGAGCCTTGGCTGCTGGCCGTAGTGACGCTGGCGACCGAGGGACGCCGATCATCGTTGAACTGCGACATGTCGAGTCCGTCTACAGCCGAGGGCTGTCGTCCTTTAGCATTTCTGAAAGCCGGTGATATCTGCGCGGGCGATGCAATGCTCTCGCCAGAGTCATAATCGTTGTAGAAAGTTGTGCCCACGCCCGTCGAGGGCGCTGACCCAGACGTGCTACCCGTAGAGGAAACCCAAGGTGCTATGCTGTGTTGCGAATTCGGAATCCCAGTTGGCGGGATGTGTTGAATTTGCGGAATCCGACCGCCTCCCTGATCAAGGACAGCGAGGTCGCGACGATAGTTGGCAAGGTCACTCATGCGCCGGCTATCATAAGAGCTAGATTTCGACATTGGGGGCAAAGCGGAGTAGTTGTCGGCAGGTGAAGTTGGGGATGTCTGCGTCGTTTCTCTCGAGGACCTAAATGGAAACATGTCAGGAGCTCCTCCCTGAAGCGCATTACATTCTAGGTCGCTATGTATAAAGCGCGCGGCTCGTTGCAAAAGGCACGAGCACAGAGCAGCGAACATACCTCGTCTTGCCCACTTCGGATGGTCTCTTGAGAGGCCGCGGGGTGGCTCGTAGCTTCTTGGAACCCGATGCGCCTGAGGATGAAGCGGAGCGGCTTGGAGCAGATGGCATTACAGTGGCGTTGGATCGATCGCTGCTGGAGCTCGCGATGGAGCTGAGGCGATCGTGGCGGTCATCTCTCGTCATGGTACTGAGCCCACGCGCTGACTCTATCGGACTAACTCAAGGCAAACGAATCGCCATCAATGGTCGAGGCGTTGCTCAAGTCATTTCCCGACGGGCCAGGTGAAATGGTAATTTTTCGATTGAGCACGAATGTCCCAGGATCGATCCGCTGCTGGACAGACACTGAGCAAAGGTGGGCGGGCGGGCGGAGTCGATCCAGCAGGTGGAAGCGCGGAGCAAGGAGCCGGAGGACGCTTGGTTCGTGGACGACGAAGGCTGGAGCGCGGTGCAGCGAGTTGCAACGAGGGGGCTTGGTCCGCCGGGGACGTGGAAGCGCTGCGTCGTAGCACAATGGGATGTGCTGGATGTGTGGTCGAGGATTCGAAGATGGAGAGCGCGCGTGGCAGCAGGTGTGTGTGCGGCGAGGTATCGTGAATGTGGGTGCGGGAGGGCGTGCAAGATTGGCAGAGCTACCACGGCACCAGAGACAAGGGACCCGCGCGTTGGGCAAGAGCGTGTGTGTGTGTGAAGCGAGTAGTGAAGGGGAGTCCCTGTCGCCCGCCGCATCGACGAAACCAACATTTGATGTGCCACTCCCGCAGGCGCCCGCTTTTGGAGGCCCTAGCCTGGGGGGGCCGCGCTCTTAGGGCAGAGGGGCTCGCCCTAGTGTGCACAGCACAGCACCTGTTGTCCCAATCCGTTTGGCGCCGCCAGTGCTCCATGCCTTTTTACCGGGGGGGGGGGGTTAACCAGGCTCCCCACCACGCAATTGTCATCACTCGCAGCACCCGTCGTCATCCAGGACGGACCTCCAGGCACAGCGTCTGACACGGCGGTATGATTGTGCAAACACACGAGTTGCGGTTCCTGCGCCCTAGACGCACGCAGCCGCCGTGAGGCAGGTCGCAAACGCGCAGCCTCTCAAGCCGATCCGAGCTGCTGGTCACCTGCCGCCTCGAGCGACACAGATGGGACATGTCAGGTCGCGCGCTCTCTATGGGCCCTTCCTACGATCAGTGGGGTTTCGGCTGATCCTGACTCCTCTCGTCTCTGAAGCTCCGTGCAGCGGTCTCGAGTCTGACAATACCGAGTTGGATGGGTGGCTCCCAATAACAAAGCATTGCAGCAGCATTGCTCCCTTGGACAAGTCTTGACTAACTCCGTGTCGGTTTCTCCCCCACAGACGAGCTCAAGGCCCCAGGAGACTGGCCAGCCAGCCACACAAGCACCGCCCACACACCCTCGCACCAAGACCGGATCTTCAAAGCTAGAGAGAGCACGACTCAGCCGCAAAGCCTCTTTGAACCTGCAGCCTGTACAAGGCTCACGTGGCCTGAGGATGGGGGGCAGAGTTCCTTACGGCAGCCTGCTGAAGCTGAGAGCAAATGGTCGTCCGCCACAGCATCCTCTTGGCGCTGCCCATCGATTTCGCCAAGTTGACTGGACGTCCTATTGGCAGCGGCTCGCCACTGGATCGACCTGCTCTCCGTGTCTTTTATTGCGCATCCCGACACCCAGCAGGAACGGCCCGAGATACGAATTTACTCATGCCGAAGCGAAATCACACGGAGCACCACTTGCGACAACATGAATCGTGGGTAATAGCCCCTTTGGCCGTCGACAGGTGAACATGACAACTCGACCAGTTTCATCTTCAGGGTCTCCACTATCCCGCACCAGCGCTGGGGCACCCCTGAAAAGCGACAGGCCCTATGCCAGCCTCAGAACCAGGCCCAGCAGCTCGAGTTGAATGGCCAATATCGCAGCACGGACGCAGCCTAGAGGGGACAGGACAGGCACACGCTCGACGATGGCTGCAAGCATAACGTGCAAAGCGCGTCGCCCACATTGTGCACTCCTAACAGGACCTGTCTGTGGTCGTGACGCCACAGCCGCCAAGCAACGGCCGACGGGTGCGGTCCAGGTTGTGGCGCGGCAGTAAAAGTGCATGTCCCTTGTCACGAGCCCCAATAATCCTGCCGCCGCTCTTCAGGATGGAACAAGACGAGACCATTGGCTGTCGAGGAAATTGGCTGGCGGCGCTGAAGCCGTGCCACTCCGTCTGGGGACCGCTTCAGGTCTTCGGCACATGATCCGCCCAGCGGCGCTGCTGTTCGAATCTGCCAAGGTTGGCAGATCGACGCTTGCTTCCAGGCTCGAGTCCTCGGCAGCTGTTTTGCCAATAATTAACACACGTCTCATCATAGAAGCGTCGTGGATGGGGCCTGTGCATTAGGGATGTCCTGTCCTGTCCACTTCATCGTCAGCTGGGACTGGCTTGCAAGAAATGATGCTGATATCCTCTGGCCCATCTTGCAGGGCGCCAAGCATCAACCACGGCAGCTCGGCGGACTGCTCAGCGAAGCAAGTGGCTCCGCATGTCTCAAGCAAGTAAGCCAACCAGCCAGGCTGGATTGGCCTAGCCATGATATACCTAAACCAACTCATGTGGCAGAAGCAAAACAAGAAAGTGGATCTAAAGCCCAGGTGCCAGAATAAGTGGAAGGAATTCCGCCTTGTGGTACTATCCATTTTGCCCAGCACCAACTGCATCTACTGCCGCGCTTGCACACCTCGTTGACTTCATTTCCAATTTCCATGTACCAGCACGGTACACATAGGCCTAGCGCCTCAGCTGACAAAGGTCCGGATTGAAGAGTGCCGCGTGTTCGACTGTGTTTTTCTAGTCTGAAGCATTGCCACAAAGAGCTGGGCGTGGCGGGAAGTCTGTCTCCATGCATGGGCTACGGTCCGCACGAGTCGTGAACCTTCTCGAGATAGAAGGTGCCTGCGCCAGTCAAGCTGCCTTGGAATGCAAGCTTCCCCGAGGAGTACAACTTTTGACTTTTACCTTTGTCAAATGCGGCTCGCCTGGTGCCGACTCATCTCGCAAGGTCTAAATGACCGACCCCTACCCTTCTCAAAACGGAGGGGCAAGGAAGTGCAGCCACGCACATCCAAGCATCGCCAGGACACAGCAAAGTCCTATGAAGAGTATCATAGGTTTCAGCTGTCACGAGGTTGATAGGCCAAGTTATTCGCCAGCAAAAGTCTCCCGCCGGCACAAATAGACGATTACGAAACCTCTGACGACTAAGCTTGACGACATTGGCAATTGAAGATCACGCAAAGCCCAAAATATGACCAAGTACATCCCCAATTGAAATGCGATAGGGACGGCAAATACACGCCCGCTTCCTGGCCTTTGTCTGAAACACGTCCGTCACAAGCATCAAAGCACTGGGACAGCTCTTTGCATTGCTGCACTTGTGAACAAGAAATGCGATGGAGGGAAGCTAGCCAGCTAGCACTATGCACGCAAGTTGAGGAATGCCTCCAAACTGAAGTTTAAACCTGCACCGGCTCTATGCATGTCGTACGGAAAATTCCGCTCTTGGAGTTGTTCTTCAATTGGGGTCTCCAAAACGAAGACCCGGGATCTTGGCACGCTTCACCAGTTCTCAGGGGGCTGAAGGTCTTGCCTGGGAGATCACAGGATTGGTACACTTCAGAAATCTCGCCGAGGCTCGGTGTTAGTGTGGACCATCCTCACGTCTGAAGACGAGCTGGGCCATCTATTGGAGTGTCATGAAGGTGTGATGATGTCGCAAATGCGAATAACGGCCGTGTACAGGGAAATGAGCTATCTTGGAAACCCCTCCTAGCCATAAAATTGTAGCACTTGACACGCACGAGTATATATGCTCGTACAAGACCAAGCCTATCTTTATTCCCAAAACTCAGGTATAATTTCACAGGAGGTGAGACGACATCTCCGATGCAGCTCGTGAAATATGGCAACTTTTGTGACAGCTTGGTTTTTTTCTTAATCTTTTTATTTACTTTATTCAGGGAAAAGGCCCACCTGATTTTGACAACGTATCCGCGATTGCTACAAAACGAGATTTGAAGGTTTGAAATACAGAAAAGGCGTTAGACCTACACTGCTCCAAGATGACGGCCTGTGAAGGAAGACAGGAAAGATACTTCGTAGCACGACCTGTCACGCATGGACTTTGGCGGGTTTCGCTACGGGCCGGAAGATCACGCTGCTGTCACGGTCTCGCACAGAGGTCACATCTTGTCACATTGTCCTCAAAATGCCACGCTGATGATCAAATTCACATTCCGGTGCTAAGCTTGCCGCGTGATGGCAATTTCTTTTGTCCTGCTACAAGATTTGAAGATCGGCGCGACATCTCGAGACTTGTAGCCATGAGTTAATCATCAAGATCACTGACTACATCAAAAACTACGTCGCCGACATCTTCATTGAGCAACTCCCCGACGCTCTTGCTCTCCTCAAGGACGACCCTTGCCTCTTTCACTGACAAGGACATGTCCTCCATGATCAGACACACAGCCAGCTCAGGTACCAGGACCGACTGAACGTATCGGGTATGCCCTCGAGAAGATACGAGCATGTCCTCGACCGCACGTCGCCGCAGCACGTCGCCGAGATCCCGTACGATGAACTCTGTCATCAACCGCAGGCCCCGAGGTCCGAAGTAACCCGGGGTCAGCGCGTCTCCGCTCTTGAAGAGCGTTCGCTGCATCTTGTCCTTGAGCTTGTCTTGGAACTTATCTGCGTAGTGTGACGCTTCGCGGCCTTCCAGGATCTTCTTGAGAAATCTCCGGTGGTCCTTGAGACGCTGCTCCATGTGCCCCCAGTCGACTTCAGGATAAGCGGCCGTTCGGGAGGCTTCTTTGCGCTGATGGAGCCTACAAAACGCTGTCTGCTGCCTCACCGACATGGGATGTACGCCAGCATGCTTCTTGAGCAGCGCTGGGTCCACCTGGGCACGACACATTGGGCATCTGGCAGTACCGGATGCGTCTTCGGCATCTGAAAGATCGTCGTCCAACGTGTAGCTGCTCGCCACGGGATCTTCCAGAGGCCTCGTGGTATTCGATGCGGCTGTTAGAGATAGCAGCTCATCGTCACTCCCATCCTGGGTAACGGGGAATCTGAGTGCAGGCAACTGTGAAAACTCTTCCCCTACGGGATCACCTTTGTTCATGGTCTTGTCGTCGCTGTCCTTCACAAGCTCCGGCAATCTGAACCTTGTGGGCATTTCCGGACTATCCCAATCGACCTTCCTGCGTGGGCCACGGAGCGATTTCTTATCAGGACTGTGGTCTTGATCATCGAGTGCCGAAGGCCCCCGCTTGAAGCCAGCTTTAGGCGATGCAGGCTCCGGGCTAATGCTCGCATGAGGAATTTTGAGCCTAGACATGACAGGCGATGCAGGTGGCGATGTGGATTGCGATGTAGACCCTGTGCACGAGCTTAGCACGACAAAAGTCGCTTTGAAAGATAGCACGAATACTGACCTTGCTTTTCGGCGGCTGCCTTTCTCTCACGAGCCATCTCTTTAGCAGAATAGCTCCTTTTCAATGTTCGAGCAATTTTGTCGCCGGGCCTTCTGATCTTCGCCGTCTGTGTTTTCGTGAACCCATTCTGGTCAACAAACTGGTTTGCTTGCGGATTGTTCGCCCTGCCTTGAGAGGGGCCCGAGTCGAAAGAGTCGCCGAGCTCTTCTTTCGGCTTTCTATTTGGCTGACCACTTGCCACGGATCTTGGTTGCGTCGCGGTTCCCCGGGTCCCCTGTGCATTGAACATCCTGGGCAGTGCATGTTCCCGAGCTCGCGAAACAAACGTGGATGGTTTGATCTTTGAGACCTCTCGGCGCTTGTTGTAATCGTCATTTTCATCCTCGGATGTGTACAGTTCGGTGTTCTTTTTGGCGCTTTGACTGGTACCACCCAGAAATTCACTCAGGTCGTCCTCATCAGAGCTGGCTTCGGGCGGTGGGACGTCCTTTAAGTCCTCCATGTTTTCTGCATGGGAGCTTGATCTTTGGAGCTCTTTCTGGGCGGGCGAGGTCCGACCGTCGATAGTCTTGAGTAGAGACGTTCTTGGGCGGTCATTTATGCTCAGGCCAACTCTTCTGGCAGACATTGATTTGCTCGTTAAGCCCAAGTGCTCCGGTCATCCCGCCCTGCCATATAATCCGGGAGAGTTGCTGTGATTGCAGCTCAGTCTCGGCAGGGTAGCGGTCCCTATGACGGCATTCTGAGCGATGCAACAAGGGGCACTTGTAATGGCGAATTTGAAATGCGAGACGAGCCAAGGACCTGGCAATCAGTGGCAGCCACCGTTTGATAGTGCGAATATCTTTCCTCCGAGGCGGGAGAGTGCCACTTTGGAGCCGTTCTGCCTGCGTCTGGAGTGAGGGTGCGGGAGACGCGACTCTCCGAGCCCCACTTGGAAACACGCGTTGAGTGGGAAAGCTCCAATTCAATCGTTGTCGCAGGTGGAGAGCTTGGAGGACAGTGCCCGTTCACCGCACAGTACGTCAGGGGACAATCGACAACCGCTCCTGGAGATCTATCCCACGAGTACGCCTCGTCCCAACTGGCCATTGCCTTGAGCAATCTGCAACTTTTCTTGGAGCTGCTGGAGACAGCCCCCGTTTTCACTCGCTGTCACGCGCCAGTCGGTCCTCCGACAAAAAGGCTTTTGCACGAATGGCGCTCAACCGCAAGTATGCCGCCTTGCCAGATCTTGTATGTTTGGTTGCCACCGTCGTGGACGAGCCATGGACTAACCACGATTTTAGGACTCGGCCCCGGATATCTACGAAACTCCCGAACTGACAGACGACAACTCCACAGCTCCGGTCAGTTTCATGGTCTGCAGCGGTGTTTGTCCACCAATTGCTAACGCCCAAGTCCCAGACCACCACTGGACCGCCTCGTTCTGAGGACGACTTCGATGATGACGACGAGGATGACGACGACAACGAATATAGTGAGGGCATCTCTCATACGAGACTTCGCATCGACCAAGCCCGGTCGAGATTCCTACCCTCACAGGTAGATGCTCGCGGTGTCGACTTTTCCGACCGTGTTGCGAGCAAGCGTAAATCATACCGAACATCCAGCAGGCGGCAGCGAGTTCTGCAAGATGACACCGACTACAGCGACGACGAAGAGGACGAGAGCCTGGAGAGGAAAGTCGCCCGTCTCAAGCGCGAGCTGGAGGAAGCCAGGGAGGAGTATGCCAGGCAGCATGCCAATGACGATGAAGACGATGACGAGCATTCAGAGGATCTGGGCGAGGAGCTACGATCTCTCAGCCAGACTCTCGAGGAAATGTCCATGTCGGCTAGTACAAATGTTCTTCGCAATGGGAGCCGGACGGGGAAGAAGCACTCCGAGCCTGTGCAGCCCACGGCTGACGAGACCACTACAGCGTCCAGCGATGGACGCGCCACGTACTCGGTCACATACATGCCAAACTACGAACAAAGCCATGCGCTTGCGAAAGCGGCTGATTTCGACCGCCGGCTGGTCATGCTGGAGAAGGCCATTGGTGTTTCCTCCTCAGACCCTGGCGCCCCTGGTTTACCAAGAGCCATTATGCCCACCATCGACATTTTGTCCAAGCAGATCACCACACTCTCCGAAGCTTCAACCACCTCTCTAGACAGTATGAGTCGACGTGTACGAGCTCTTGCGCAGGATGCGGAACAGCTCGAGAAGTCGCGGCGAGCTGCGAGGGCTGCACAGGAGGCGAATGGGAATCCCGGGTCTGCGCAGGAAGACACCGACGACACGGAACAAACCGCCAAGATCAACGCACTTTATGGAACGTTGCCGACCATTGAGAATCTCGCCCCGATCCTCCCAGCTCTTTTGGATCGACTGCGGTCTCTGAGGTCGATCCATGCGGATGCCGCGATGGCCCACGAGACTCTCGAACGCATTGAGAAGGCTCAGAACGAGACGGCCCTTGAGATTGCGCAGTGGAAAGAAGGTCTTGAGAGGGTGGAGGAAGCGATCGAGGAAGGGGAAACCGCCATGGCGGGTAATATGAACACAGTGGAATGCTGGGTCAAGGACCTGGAGGGCAAGTTGGCAGATCTTGAGTAAGCACTGGACTGTGGTTCTGATTAATGTATGATACCCCAGATTCAGTCAAAGTGCTGCATCAGTCTGTGAGACCAATGTACCGCTGCTGCGAACCCTTCGACCGGAATCCTCTTGCGCAGCAAAACTGCAGGCGCAGGAGGTTCCAGGTTGTCGTCTGAGTTCACCTGTGACAGCAGGCAGAGCATCCCGAGACCCATGTTGATGACCGGGACGGAGTGGGGCCATCATCTCAGCCTGTACCACCCTCGACCCTCAACCTGGAACTTGGTCCTGGGAGAGATGACTCAGCAAGACGCTTGGACCAGCACGCAGAAAACCCTGTGGGGCCACACAAACCGGCCCATTAGCGATTGCCCATCGGTCAAAATCCTACTTGGTGAGGAAAAAAGTATGCGTGAACAACCCCCGACTACCCACCTCTGATACCCAGCGTCAGCGACCGCCTCAGCCTTTATTCACAGCCCGCTCATCCACGCAAACAAGTACGGCACCGCCCCCCCCGATCGCCTTTCGAGCCCGGACAATCACTCTGACAACTATCGCTAGATCGCAAAGATGGAATCCTCCAAGACCCCTGTCAAGCTCGTCAAGGTCACCCGCGTCCTCGGCCGTACCGGTACGACATCTCTTCCCCGAAAGTCGAAGTTCTCGATTGGCGCAGCCTGATGCTGTTCGCCGGCTGCCGCGACCAAACGAGACGAAACATAAAAGCTGATGTGGTGCAATAGGCTCCCGCGGTGGTGTTACCCAGGTTCGCGTTGAGTTCATGGACGACCAGACCAGAAGCATCATCCGTAACGTCAAGGGCCCAGGTACGACAAATCCCCCCATTTGGAGTTCCCGACAAGATCTCGCTCTTCATCCGAGGCGCATTCACCTTGTGCCAAACAAGACACGCAAGCTAACCTTTCTGCGCCCTACAGTCCGTGAGGATGACATCCTGTGCCTGCTCGAGTCTGAGCGTGAGGCTCGCAGACTGAGATAAGCAGTTGACGACGACGAAGAACGAAGAAATGTTTCGCAGTTGGGATTGATCATATCGCTTGGGATCATGGGGCGCATAATCATCGGACCTCAGTTCTAGGGTTACGGGATGCTGGAACATGGCGACACAGAATCGACCACTCCGCACGCGCGGCGCGTCCAAAAGCCCCTTTTGTGAAATACATGGGAGTCACCGGACTATGGGAACTTTGCATTGTGAAAAGAATTGAAGAATAAAAAATATTCACACCCCAACATGCTGGCCGGTGTAGACGTCGAAGATTGATTTGTTTTGCGTGGACCACTCATGCGTAATTGAAATCCTTATAAACGTCTGGCCCCTGTTATTGACCCTGCCGAGGCATAAAGAGAGCCGTACTCGGAAATGTATATTAAACATCGTCTGGCCGTCGAGGACCGACCTGTGACCGGGTGCGGCTGGCTACAGTGCTGGCCTGTGCTGGTTTATTCGAATCTCCACTGAGACTGGCGACGACTGGCGATCCACCGTGGGCCAATCAAAGTGGTTCCTTCTTCCATTTTTCTTTGCATGCCGCCCCCACCTTAGCTCCTCTTCGCGCATTCAAAAGCAGCCGCGCGCCCACGACCGACTTGTCCTCTCCTACTCTGTTTCCTCACAACCGCCAATTGGCGGCCACAAGCGACTGGTAAGTCGAAGGCTCCCACTCCTCTCCTCTTTTCGCTGTCCTTTGCTACCATGATGCAATTAAAAGCATGTATTACCTGAATCATCTTTGATGTCTCAAATTATCACCAAGATCTCTGAAATCTGTACCAAACCACAGCTTCATCACACGTCTTCTTCTACATATGAAGCGAGACCTCCAAGCTAACAGTGGTTTCTTATTCCCAGACCATACTCTACAATCTCTCACACAGTCTCAGCCGATCTCGTGTCGCTGGGAGCACTCGATAAGCCATGGCTGGCACCGCGCCGAGAGCGCCAAAGGGACACTTCAACGTGCTGTACTTTGCGAGCGCCGGATCGTTCACGGCGAAGGAGTACGAGGCTTTCCCGGCACCGCTGGAGCTGAGCAAGCTGTTTGACGTGCTGGAAGAGAGGTACAATGGCATAAGAGACAGGATTCTCTCGTCGTGTCTGGTCACGGTCAACCTTGAATACGTAGATATTCCCGAGGGCTCAAATACGAGTGAAGGAGAAAGCATCGCACCGGTCGTGATCAAGGAGGGCGACGAGGTCGCCATCATTCCTCCGGTCAGCTCGGGTTAGCATGCTGTCAGCTGTATACTTGCTGAATCAATATAATCAAGCCCCATTGTTCCAGACTTCATGATCTTTTCCAATGTGCTCTTCAACTGAAGTGATACTGTCACCTAAACGATGTAAGTCAACACTCATGACTGATTGAGACCATTCCCGAGCAGCGGCTCTCTTTCCCGTGCCACGCCCGTTGCAACACCGTTCGCCTCGACCTCTCGCCGCGCAGCCTCATCGCGGGACTTGTACCACCTTAGCCTCTGGATTAGCCCTTCCATCCGCGCCTGACCCTGCTCCAGGCTCTGCTCCCCGCCTCCTCCGAAGCTGCCCGCCCCCAATCCAGCATCGCCGTCATCACCACCACCACCGCCGAGCCTCCCCCTCCACCAGCGGGGGTTCCTTCTCGTGAAGCCCCGGATCCGCCTCACCCCAAACACGAATACAAAGCCGAGCAGCACGAGCAACAGGGTGCAGGCGATCGTGACTAGCGACGTGAGCGTGGTGATGGTGGACACCTGGCAGCCCAGCGGCCGCGTGCGGAGCTCCCACCGCTCAGCCCAGTGCGGGCATATGTCCTCGTCCCAGGCTGGGGCCAGGAAGGGGACGAGCCGGTTGCTGTTGGGGACGCAGGACCATGACTGTTATACACGCGCGATCAGGTCAGCCGGGGGGGCACATCTTCTTTACTGAATGGCCAATATGTCGTCTTAAGTACTGCGAAAGGGGAGAGGGGGTTTCAAAACATGAGGGGGGGTGTGATGCTCTCGCATGTGCCAAAGACTTACGAAAGGGCACCAGCTGCAGTCGTCCTCCTTTGCGAGACAGTCCTTGCAGTTGGTCAAGTGCCAGCAACGGCGGAAGTGCTCGTCGTGATCCTCATCCTTATTAAAGGCACTGCCTCTGCCGCCGCCGGCGCCGCCAGCCATGTGGTCGGGATTGTGCGGTGTGGCTGTCCCAGAGAGAGGGTTGTTCTTGTTTGAGGTGGTGTTTGGGAACCGCGCTTCTGCTGGCGCATGCGTGACAAAGATTTGTTGCCCGTTTCGAATCGCTTGCTCGTATCCGGGCAGAGTTGAGAGGGGCCGTAGAAATTGAGGACCTGCCTTGGAAGACCGCACGTACTTATCAAAAGCCGGAGATGTACTTTCAGGCTCAGGAGTAGCGCAGTCGCCTCGGGCAAGTATTATTGTGGGGCATCGTGGGAAAGCGTTACTTAGAGTCGTCGACAGCTTCACTCGGAATTGCGGCTAGCGTCACTTGAAATCGTGGATAGTCGAACTCAAAAAACAAGACCTTCATAATGATGGGAAGAATTAGCCTCATTCGACCATAGTTCTAGTGTGTAACAAGTCAGGACATTCACCAGGAACGCAGCCGCTTCGTCGTTGCTTAGAATTTCTTTTACTTTGTTCAATATGCAGAAATGTACTCTTTCTACTACAACCATGCTTGTCCGGAACTTCTGGTAATCGTCCATTGCAGCGCTATGCTTCCCACTATTCCAACCATGAATACACAGAGTCGGTTTCGGCGTGGTCCGTTGCCTGCTTGCCTGCTTCGGAGGTCTTCACTGCGTGAAGACGGGTCTGTACTGAGATGCATGTAGCAACCACAAGCTATTCGCGTCATCCCGGCCCTCTCAGAGCATTGTTTATGAACGCATTGAAACAAGCCAGTGGGCCGTTATGATGCAAGGTGTACATTGACCTCACTACGCGGCATTGGCCAACTTGGCCAGATACTCGCCGGCAGCAGGATCAGCATACTCGTATGCCTTGGACTCGGGAGGAAACGTGCCATTGTATGCCCACAGGTCAATAAGCGGCTGCATTGGGTCCAGTTCAGGGCCTTTGAGCATATCGAGGGCGCAAGCCGACAAGACGAAGTGGCTGAAGCAGCTGTTGAGTTGCTTCTCTAGGTTGAGGTGATAGAACGGGTCGATGAAGTGGGCCCAGTACAGATGAGCATAGACCCGGAACATCTGCCGGAAGATCATCTGGCAGACCTCGATGAAGTTCTCCGGAAACCCGCTTCTCTTGCCAATCCAGTCCTTGTCACCGGGATTCGTCAATTGGGAGAGCGGGTTGCTGGATAAAGCAGGGTTGTGCGAGTATGAAACACCGTTCGTGTCTGTGGGGAAGATGTTGGTATCGTCGATCTTGCCCGAAATCCATCGTTGCATAAGAGTGATATATTCGTAGGCTGGCACCTCCACTGGTTGGCGTTCCTTATTAAGCCATGTGAACGAGTGGTTTCTGTGTATGATTAGTGCCTGTAGCGACAACGCGAGCGGGCACGGAAAAGAAACTCACGCGCCAGCTGACATCCTCGGACAGGTGTTGGGGTTGCAGATTGAAGTCCGATCGTCGTCCTTCTCGTGAATTACACGAACAAAGTTCCAGAGATTGCGGTAGTGTTCAACGACTGCGCAGAAATTAGTACATGCAGGCGTTCCAGAGTACTGCTAAGGCGTAAATACCCTGATGAGCAATCCATTCACCCTGCTCCACCGTCTTTGGTCTCGCGCTCAATGTCATGAAGTTGCCCTTGACAATGTGCTTGGCATATTGAGAATTGAGCCACAATGGCAACGGCCGTGGTAGATGATAGTGGCTGAGGGGGTCATTGCCATTGGATGCATACGCGGCTTGGTCGTCAACTCCGATGTTCTGCGAAAGCGATGGCGAGCTCTGAATGGGAGGGATCCTTGGGGCAGAAAGACTTGAGGACGAATGATTGCCTTGTGCGAGATCTACAGGCGACTGAGCATGACCGCTACCACCAGATCCTGGGCTTTTCGCCTGGCCCCGAAGACGAGCGTTTCTAAATGAAATGGTCAGATCCGCCGTGAACGAACATTAAAAACAAGAAAAATCGCCATGAGCGCATAGAAGCGAATCCGTGTGCATGCTTGGAAGCTGGGAAACAACCCCCCAAAGTTCGGCTACTGGCCGAGCGATCGAACTCTGTTTCCTCTGAGGACCTGCTGGCCCCAAGGGTTGCAGGCTCCTTGATAAGAAAGCAAGGAAGAAGTGTTGCAGAACGATCGTCAATCCCCTTCCGTGCGGTAAGTCCATGCATGTGCTGTAGCTTCCTGTGCAATTTGGAGGACATTCAACATGCCCCTCAAGCCTCAAGCTCTCAAAGAGGCGTGGTTCCGTGAGGACCATTGGCGTCATCCGGACTTCTTCAGAGTTGACTGATACCTTGCTGATTGCCAAGGTTGGCTTTGCAAGCTGGTTCAGCACGCGGAGCGTGGTCTCATGAAGCTAAGCGGGGTGCCGTGGTGAGAACATGGAAGCTTGGCGGGGTCACGTTGAGCGAAACGTGCGTGAAGGGCAAGACGACTGCTTAGCGAAGCCATCGTTGCGCCCAATCATGACCAGCGCGAGTCCGGATCGGTGTTGCTGCTCAAGTAGGCCAAATGTCGGTCATACAAGATCAGAGTTCAACCCGCTTCTCGGCCGCCAGCAGGCGGCCATGTGCCCCTCATTCTGAAGCACACGTGCTTGGGACTTCTGAGTAGGGAGGGCAAGAGAAGACGTTGTGTGGTCGGTATAGCTAGTGGATCAACTGGAGAAGAAACGAAAATGCGATTCACTTACATGCCGGAGAACAAGTTCGACATGGTGACGGTGCTGGACTTCGTGGGATCGGTGAGAGGGGCTGTCCTGGTCACGGGGATGAGCCGCGGGCAGTGTCGATGGGCTCGCTCTGAACGTGTGCGTCCTCGGAGGCTGCGAAGACTAGTGTCTGGACGTGCCGCTGGCGTGTCGATGCGATGGCGTCGCTTCTGACAGTGACGGCTGTCGTGTGCGAGGCAGCAAGAGTTTGTATGGGAGTAAAGCAAGCAAGCTGGCGGTTTCAATATGCTGGATGGACCCTGTGCTAGAAAGGGGTGAGGGAGGCGATCCAGTGAGTGGTCCCGCAGTAGGAGCGGCAGCCCCATACCGTAGACCTCCTGTTCCAGCATTGCGGCAGCGCTTTGTTCCAGCCGTGGGCTAGCTGGGCCCGTCCCGCCAGCAGTGGCTCAACCACCCCCTGCCCGCCCCTTGCCCCCGGCATACGCGCGCGCGCACGGCACAGTGTCTCGCTCTATCGATAGCCGCCAGTCGTCTTTTTCGGGTCTTTCCAGCCAAGGCCAGGTCCAAGCTCCACGCAACGCAACGGGTCCGCCCAGCGCAACTCCCAAGTCGCGCCTTCACGGAGCAATTGAAGATCTCCGTCGCAACGACGTCCCTCGGCAGCATCCCTTCCCACCTTTCCACGCGACGAGGACGCCACGGAGAACAACGATCATATACAATTAGCCTAGTCAGGCTACGAACATCACTTTCATTTCACCAGCGACGACCTCGATCCCGACAGCAGAATCACAATGTCCGATTCCGAAGATCAAGTTGATTTTGTGGACGAGGGGGGTGATGACCTCTTCGGCGACGGAGGCGACGATGAGGATGTCGAGATTCAGTCCGAGGCCGGGCGTGTGCTGAGTGACAGAGACTTGGCATCCGATCACGGAGGAGAGGGCCGTTATGGACGCGACGACGAGGATGAGGATATGGCAGACCAGGCGCAGACGCGCGACACACTGATCGCAAGTGTCGTGGCACACAGACATAAGATCCCCAAGTCAAAAGACGGACAAGTAGGTCGCGAAACGCACTGCTGGAAAAAGGCATTGACTGACACTCCACACTCAGGTGCAATCTCTTAGGGTGCCCAAGTTTCTCAGAATCCACGCGGAAGAGTACAAGCCAGACACTTTCGAGCCGACCGAGTTGGACATGCGCAATGCGCAGTCTGAAAACCCCAAATCCGTCATCCGCTGGCAACGTGATGCTGCAACGGGCGAGCTCAAGAGCAATGCGCAGATCTACCGATGGAGCGACGGATCAGTCACTCTCGCGGTTGGCAATGAGCATTTTGACGTCCAGAAGAAGGACATGGTCCCACCCAAGAACAAGCCCTATGAGGAGAGGCAAGACGCGCACTACTACGCTGCAGCCGCCTCGCTCCGGAGTAACCTCCTTATGACGGTTGGCCACGTTTCGGAGCAATATACTGTAAAAGTCAACAAGGGTCTGCAGGATGAGGCGCTGGTCAACTTTGCCAATGCCATGGCCGCTGCCGCTCGTGGCAAGCGAGCCGATGGTGAGATGATCATCACGACTACAAAGGACCCGGAACTCCAGAAGAAGGAGGCAGAGCTGGCCGAGAAGGAACGCTTGCGCGCGCAAAGAAGACGTGACAATGCGGCGGCGCGCATCGATTCCCGGTCAGGGGGAGGCCGGAGCGGAGGTGGCCTGTCTTCGGGTATGCTGGAAGGCAGATCTGGGGGAGGTGCTCGCAAGAGAGGACCCGGTGGTGCCAAGCCCAAGAAGCGCCGGAACCCCGAGTATGACACGGACGATGAGCAGCCTTCAGGAAACTGGCGGGGCAACGAGTACGACCGTGAGGACGACTTCATCGCGCCAAGTGATGATGAAGGCGGCAGTGGCATTGAGGATGATGAGGAAGAGGAAGACATACTCGACGATGACGAGGATGAGGACGAGGCGCCGCGCAAGAAGAGGAAGAAGGCTGCAGAAGTTGATGACGACGAAGATGCCGAGGGCGACGATGACTTTGATGACCGCGCGCCGGCTCGAGAGTCGAAGGGACGGAGGCGGCACGTCATCGACGATGACGACGACGACGAGTAGGGGCCCTCCCCCCCAGCGGCGTGCTTGGCGTCCCGATCTTCGCATGGTTTTTCTAGCAACTGTTACGCAGACAGTGTACCTATATTGTTCTCATCATTTGATTTAGCACGAGGCATTGGTTTGTCCTTCCTAGGCACTAGATGGAGCAATTCGCAGGGTAATTCCTTGTGCTCTCAACTCCAGGGGAGCGCTACTTGCGTGTAAGACTCGGGTCGCATGATGCAAGACCGGAATTGCGGTGATGGGAATCGAAAGAGAAGAGTCCTATCCTGCACAGAGCATAATTGTCCAGAGGTTGAGGGAACCAAATCAGACACACCACGGAGCACACGTGCGGGCATGTTGGGGTGAAGTTGGAGTAAGCTTATGAGGTACATCGGCGTCAGCGCTGTGGTGGTGGGGCACAATGTACCATGGATCCCTGCCGTGGATCCGGCCTTTGAGACCTTCAATAACCGTCATCACATGCCATCCCCCTCGAGAGGCACGCGGCTCGTGCAGACTGCTTTTCTGTTTCTCTACAGCTCAATTCCATTCATCCTCCAACACAGGAATCGCCACGCATCGGACGCCACCAGCAAAACATGTGAGGCACGTATGCTCTCTTTAACCTGGTCGCTGCTCGTAGGAATCGTCGCGAACCGGCCTGCGAGACTTGTGGTCTGGCAATACTGCCTTAGCTGAGGTAGACAATCGACAGTCACGACCTAGTCGAATCCCCGGTTACACTTTCCTGCAAACAACCTCTATAATCGAGCCTATTGAAGTAAACCGCGCGCTTGAGACTACACCCAGTCTTAGCTAGGAGCTCGCTGGTGCTCCTTCTTCTTAGCTTCCGGCCTGGGCGGAAGAGCAGGCTCGTTCTTTCGAACAAAGCGTCGCTGCAAACCCACGACTGAGTCGGGCGGTCTTCCTCATCAACGTTCCAGCGCATCATCTCTCCCTCGTCGGATCTGTTCCATCTCACATGCCTACACGCTATTGGCCTGCGTGAACGCAGCCCTTTGCACCATGATGGCCTCGGCATTCAAAGTAGTGCTAGCCGTCTGCTCCCTCGTAATCCACGTTGCTGGATTTTGGTACAGGGTGAGTGGTTCTTTGCCCGTCCCAGAGGTCCAGCCAGCTCCCCACAAGCTGACGACAGGTTTCTTCGGCACAGAAATTCCTGCAGAGATGGAGTACAAAGAGCTCTACGAGCGAGTGGTTCGAGGCTTTGCGACACGCCGAGGTCTTTGAGGACTGGGAACATGCTGCTCTACAACTGGACAACATACACCAACTCAATCTTTGGTAAGCTCGCCTGGGAACAGTGTCGCGAGCGTGAAGCATCGCACTTGGAGCATTCTCTAATCTTCGACCTGCACAGGCGAAATGATCCAACGTCGCAGTCTTATGATTGGCGGTTGATCAACAATCGTACTGAAAACATCATTGCTGCTCGCGAAAGCGGCAACGTTCAGGCCCTCATGGACATGATCCGCGCCGGCCTCGTCCGCAACCTGGCTCACATCACATCACCACGTCTGTTCAACCGCTCATTTGCCGGCACGAAATACCTGATCGAGGAGTATATCGCACAAGTTGCGGCCTCAATAAAAGATATCGACGAGGAGGCCGTCATCCCCACAGACGACTTCTCAGGTAGGACGCACGTCCTTTCGAACCAGCGCAAGCTCGATTTCCTGCACGACTCCAGACAAGCGCTGGGTAGGACGACTCTTGTGCTCCAGGGAGGAGCAATGTTTGGTCTCTTTCATCTGGGTGTCGTCAAGGCGCTCTTCCTCCGCGGGCTGTTGCCACGTATCATCACAGGGACTGCTACTGGAGCCTTGATCGCCACCCTCGTGGCTATCCACACCGACGAAGAACTTCCTGCAGTCCTCCGGGGCGATGGCATCGACCTCTCGCCTTTTGTGGACCACGGAAACAAGATGCACGCGAGACAGAAGGGCAAGTCGTCGTTCTTTGCTGGCTACGACACCCTGACACGCCGGGTTCGGCGCTTCTGGCGTGAGGGCCATTTCCTAGACGTCACGGTGCTCGAGGAATGTGTCAAGGCCAATGTCGGTGACTTGACGTTTGAGGAGGCTTATAATCGGAGCAAGCGCGTGCTCAACATCACGGTTGCGACAGAGTCTGGACAGGGAATTCCGACCTTGCTGAATTATCTTACAGCTCCACATGTGGTATGTCACCTATCCACGTTTGCCTCTGGCCATAAACACTGACTTGAGTTAGTTGATTCGCACTGCTGCGGTAGCATCCAATGCCGCAAGCCCAACCCTCTATGGCAGCAGGCAAACGACAGTTCTGTGCAAGGACGAGAAAGGCAACATTGTGCCTTGGGCACCGGCCAACACCTTTCGGCACTGGACTTCAAGCTCAGAAAAGGGGCATAAGTCCCCCATGGCTCGCATTGCACAGCTCTTCAATGTCAACCATTTCATCGTCAGCCAAGCGCGACCGTACCTCATCCCTTTTCTCAGATCGGATATGCATGGACCGTCGCTAGTCTATGCACGCCACAGGCAAGCACAGGTCACCGATAACCTGATTCGAATAGTGGGACTGGAAATCCGCCATCGGCTCAAACAACTAGACACCCTGGGGTTGCTCCCCGTCAGCATAAGAAGATTTCTTGTCGACCTGGAGATGCCCGGGCCGACAATGTTGCTTGTTCCGAAGGTCACGATGGGTGATTTCACACGACTGCTCGACACGCCAACCCGCGAAAATCTGGACTATTGGATAGACAGAGGAGAGCGTAGCGTATGGCCAGCAGTCACGGCATTGAAAGTACGATGTGCCGTAGAATATGAGATCGACAGGGCGTATCAGCGGGCCCGGAGCCTGAAAGCTGGCGGGCTGCGGAGGAAGGCTAGCACGGCGGCCGCCCCAGAACTCCTTGAATCCTCGGCTTCGCTATCCTCCAGTCAGACACGTACGGGTCTCCCCAGATAGAAGCTGAGGTCCCGTTCTACCGAATCGCCCGGCTTGTACCGAGTCGATGAAGAGGACGAAGATGACCAGAAAGGAGAGATGGAGCGTGTCGGAGACGGCGTCAGTCGAAACAGCCACCGGCGACTGCTGCAGGGAGCAAAGACCCTACCAGCTGACTCGAATGGAAGCAGGCAAATACTCAGCCAAGACCGGGGTGTACCCGCTAACGGCACTGCTTGGACCAGCGATACCGGCAACAGGAAATGCCAAGGTAAACGACCAGTAAGATCAGCGAACCAGACCATTGTGCGTCTGTGTGAATCGAGTGTGGAATCAGCTCGACGGCGGTCGTTGAAGCAGAAGAGCGATGAGTCATGAGAATACCTTTGCACTCTGGTAGCTACATGTTTCTTTTTATCACAAGGTCGGCGCAGTAGATTCTTCAAATAGCATAGCGTATAGGAGCATATGTATGTCCTACCTTCTAAAGGAGCACACATATTATCACACTACTCGAGTTGCCAATGCACCTCCTCGTGGGCTTTACTGGTACACTGGAGGACGCACTTAGTGGTCACGGCCATCTTCATATATCGCCATGATCAAACAGTTTGATGATTGCACAAGGAACAAATACACCTAGAGCCTGGATAGACTGAAATATGTTTTGACGAGTGTATCTAATTCAACGCCTTTTGATGTACTGCTATGAGGAAATACAAAACGCCAGATCTGCAAAGCCCGACCGTGTCCTTTCCCCCCGCGCTTCTATCTCTCTCTTTTGCTCATCACCTGCTTGCACCCGCAAAAAATTCCACACACCTCCCCTCAGGCCTGCACCATCTGCAGAACCGCCGGCCTGAGCCGCTGGCATTTCCGCTTGAGCGTCTTGACGGCCTCGACAAAGAGCTCGTCGCTGTCCCACTGGCCGGTGCTCTCGATGGAGAAGATGAAGTGGTTCTTCCTGCGGCCGAGCTTGACTTTGCCCTCGAACTCTGGGTGGCGGAGGACCTCGCGGGAGACGGTGTCGCGCATGGGGTCGGCGACGACGGCCTTGACCTCGCCCTCGTGGCCCTCGTACCCGCTCCCCGCGGTCTTGGCCTCCTGCCTGGTGACCTTTTCCAGCGCGATGACGCCCTCGGGAAAACACGACTGGAACTTGCGCGCGTCGTCGCCGAGCACGGGCCTGGTGATGTTGATGATGGGCATGAGCCGGTAGCTGGCGGTCGAGACGGGGGACCACTTGGCGTGGTCCCACCCGTAGCCTTTGTGCATGTGCATCTCAATGTCGACCTCCTGGCCCGGGCGGAGCTTGGCGACGAGTATGTCCGGGTTGACGGGCCGGATGGCGCCCTCGGGGCCGGAAAAGTACTGCTCCTGCCCGCCCAGGGGCTGGAACTCAATGTCCCGCGCGTACACGTGCGCGTTGTGGTAGAGCTCCTTGGGGTCGCTGCTGTCGGCGGGGGCGTCCTTGTTGTGCTCGCACTTGACGGCGAGCTTGAGCGAGACGGTGTTGTTGTCAAAGGTCGTGTCGTACGTGTCCTGCCCTTCGGCGGGGGGCTTGAAGAAGCGCATCCAGTCGCGGATCCCTCGCTTGGAGCCCGTAAAGGGGATCAGGCCGAGGCGGTGGGCGAGGACCTCGTCCTGGATGACCGAGGTGTTGTTGTGCATGAAGACGATGTCGATGGCGAGGGTGGGGATCTCGGCGATGAGGATGCGGCGGAAGGCGTTGGCGATGGAGGCGTCGACGCCGACGAGCGAGAACTGCGCCTCGTGCTGGTCGTTGGCGTGGAACTGGACGCGGAAGTTGGACCGGAAGTGCTCCTTGTCCCACGCGTGGTCCTCGTCCACGTAGTGGCCCGGGTAGTCGGTCGACACGGTGTTTGTCACCGTCTCCTTGTTGATGCCGACAATCTGAGACGAGGGGGGCACATTTGGAAGGGTTAGCAAAAAGTGTTGTCTCGGTTGCTGAGGTACATGGAGTCGCAAGCTTCAGAAAGCTCTGTCGTGGTGATGCCCTCCCGCTGGATTTGGCACCACGAGGTGCAGTGGTCAAACACTACTTACATTGCTCGCGGGGATCTCGTCAGCAGCAGCGGTGGCCGCCTTGGCGCCTTTGCGACCTGAGGAGGGAGCCATTGTGGATGTGTAGATGTGAATGGGTGTGTGTGTGTGTGGTTGAAAGAGGCTGGTATTGGCGTTTGTCGTGTGCGCGACAGTGTACAGACAGAACAGGCGTGGGGGGTTCGTTCCTCTGGCGCCGGGGGAGGTGTTGCATCACGAATGACCGAGCTGGGAGTTTTTTTTGTTATCGGGGCTGAGGCTGGGCCGATAAGGCGAGCGGCGTGAGGTGGGTCCCGGCAGCGCCGACGAGGGCCGGGGAGTGGAGACCTTGGAAGTGGGGCTCCCCGGAGGTACACACGGAGGAGGACCCTGGCCTGGCCATGCCCAGGTGAGTTTCAACTGTTGACTGAATATTCCCCTTGAGTCTCGAGAGTTGGAGTCAGTTTTCGACAATGCATGTCATGTATTCTATACCGTCCTGGCCAACGGGTCATGGCTCTCGGTGTACAGGATGATGATTGGAATCATCACTTGATTTGTGCATATGCTTGCTTCGGTTACGGAAACCTCCTTGGGATTTATTTTTGATATTCAGGTACGTCTACCACAACTAATCTACCTATTCAAAGCGGTCCAAAATCATACGTCACCTCGTGAATACCGGCAGATCTACAATGCTCTTCCCCTGAGACACGGCACCTGCCCACAGGTCAGATGCCAACTGGGCACAGATTTTGTTTCGTGCCGTAGAACGTGTTTTTTGGGACCTCGGGCTACGACGAGCAAGTCCCGACAAAGTTACGGCACCGGAAGTCAAAGTCACAAAGCTGCGGGATGGGACACCTGCCGCACGCTCCTGGCTCCGACTCGTACACAAACGTGGACTCGTAGTACCTGCCCCGCCCGCTCCCGCAGTCACGGGGCGCGGTGTCGAAGGCGCGCATGGGGAGATCGAACGTCTTGCCGTCCCAGGCGGTGAACTGGATGTTGCGGCCGAGGCCGGTCATCCGGGCGCTGACGTTCTCGATGCAGGTGTTCTGGTAATAGTTGTAGGTGTAGACGGTGTTGTCCGAGGCGCCGCGGTTGTTCACAATCCCGTTGCAGTGGAACCTGCCGTTGTCCCAGATCTGGACTGCCCCGTAGTCGCCATCAAGCCAACAGAAGTCCATGGCGGAGTGGGCGACAATGCAGCGAGGCGCAGGAGGCGGCGGAGGGGGAGGAGGTGGCGGGGGCGGCGGAGGAGGAGGAGCAGTGGGTGTTGGTACACAAACCGTCGAGGGCATGCAGACCGTGGCCGGGGGTCTGCCGTTGCATATCGTCGTCGTGCTGACAGTGCCGGTGCTGCAGCTGCCCTTGCCAGGCAGTCCCGGGAGGGTGGGCGCAGGGAGACAGACGGTGGTCGGCACGCACGCCCCAGCACCAGGCCGGCCGTTGCAGACAGACGTGGTGCTGGCTCCAAAGTCACACTGCTGAGGACCCGACAGGGTGGGAAGGGTAATAGGTTCGCCAGGTCCACCGGGGCCCGGCGCAGTGATGGTGACGCCCGTGTTGGTCGCAGTAGGCGTAGGCGCAGCTGTAGGAAACAAAGTGTCAGCTAAAGGCCGAGAATATCAAAAGGAGGGCCCAGGAGATGGAAAAGCGACATACTGTAGTCTGGAGGACTGCCCGTGGGCGAGGGGAGGCAGTAGTATCCCTTGCAAAGCCTGCCACACCCCACACCCTGGCAGGTTGGACTCGGCTTGCCTGGCCGGAAGGTGAAGCGGTCTTTGACCGTCACATCGCCGCCTAGCTCTTTGAGAAACCCGGGCAGCCAGCTGGGACAGCCTGGCCCTTGAACGACCAGGCAGCTGACGTCCTTGATCTGGCCATTCCAGATGAATGCTCTGGCAATCGGGTCTTCCCCGGGGATTGAACGCCAGTCGATCCAGCGCTGATGCATCATGCGCTGGATCAGCTGCTTCACATCCCGCGGGTCGCGAAGGGCCGCGTATATCCTCGGGTCTTTGATTGGGAGACTCCGGATATAGGCAACCAGGCCTGCGACCTGAGGCGCAGCTGTTGGCAGGAGCAAAGAGCGGACAGTCAGCGCCGGAATGTCTGTGGGGCGATGCCTCGGATAGAGACGACTTGCAGTCGAGACTCACCAAATGAAGTACCGCTAATCAGGTCGTAGCCGTTTCCTGCTGGCGGAACAGAAGGCCTATAGATTGGGGAAAACAAATCAGGCAAGGCAAGTGTCAGCGCATGGTGGAGAATGCAAAGGAAGAAAACAAAATTGAGTGGTGATGGGGAAGGGTTGTGATGCACTTACACGTCCTGCCCGGGGGCGTATATCAGGTCAACATTTGCTGGGCTGAATTGCGTAAAGACACTCGAGAACGGGGCACGCTTGCCATTCATGTTTGTGGCACCGACCACCATGATATTCGTAAGCTCGCCCGTCTCGAGGAAGGCTTGCGGGTAAAAGTTGCTGATGAAGGTCTCTGGACCCCCCGTTGGGCTGTAGTTGTTCCCAGCTGCAAGGACCATGACGACTCCCAGCCTCTCCTCGAGCAGCTTCATGACCTCCACTACCATGCCATGATATCTGTCAGCAAATCAAACTTGTACGCAAAGACAAAGGAAAACCTTGCCTATCGCATGAGCTGTAAGAGACGACATCTTTTCAGGAAACGAGAACTTACGATGAACCTCTGGGAGTGGATCGATGGCCCTGATTGTCGACCTTATAAATCCAAAGGACATGTTGATGACAGCGTTGCCACGGAGTTTCTTTGCCTCGACATCCGCTGCTATCCACAGCAGAGCCTCGACGAGGGCTTCCTGTGGCAGCAAACCATCAAAGACTCCTGGCATCTCGACACCCACCCACGTGGCCCCAGGCGCGATACCAAGTGAACGTCCCACAGCTGCCGATGCCACCCTCGTGCCGTGGTCTTCATTGATCACGGTGTTCGCAGGCAGATTCCAGTAGTAGGGGATTCTGAACCCGTACGCCATCGGAGACCTTGCAAACTCCTGTACACACCGGCTAGATATCAGCGCTCCGCCTCGTCTTGACCTCTTTTTTTGCGGCCCTGCAATATCTGCTAACCACACGTTTCCCGCCACTTACCGGATGGCCCAAGTTCGGAAACCCGACGTCGACGACGTAGATGGTCTGGCCACTGCCATCGGTGTCTTCACGATAGTAGTTGAAAGCAGGCTGGTTTTGCGCATTGGTCTGGAAGTAGTCCGCGTCTTTGCTCCAATCAAGGATCGCGCCCGCGCCCGCCGGGAAGCACACTTGAGAAAGATGCCAGGAGTTGGGGCGAGTCAAGTCAAAGGCGGGCGTGCGATCGGCTAGACGGCGGCCACGCTCATCTTCAGGCCTTGTCGCGGCCGACCTCTTCACGTCATCGACCTCCATTGGATCATCAATTGGCTTATTGGACCCTGGTATGATTCTCGGCGGGATCCAGTCGGACTTGTGCGTCTGCGCAAAGTTCCGAGGGTCATATATGTACCGGACTTGCGACATCAATGCCATATTGTCGCGCATGGATATGGGCATGTTGTTGACCGAGAAGAAAGCCGTGTAGTCGTGCGCGTTGGAACTGATCTCCCTCCACGCGAAGCCCTGCTTGCCGTCGGATGCAGAAAGCCGGGAACGTATCAGGTTCGAGTCGAGGACGCTGTGGCCTCGAGGGTAGATGATGTAGGGCCGTTGGAAACCGCAGACGTTCAGATCATTCTGCCAGTTGGCCGGGTCATCCTGATCGGGGGGGCCAAAGATTTGTCGTTCCTTCAAGCTATGGGCCTCGTCATGATGGCCGGCATGATGGAGATGACCACGACGGTGATTATGGAGATGGCGATGGACGGCACCCGAGGCCGAGCCGTGGTGCTTCGAGTCCACCACGGTGTCGGCAACAGAGGCGGCAGGGACTGAAGGCTCGGCCGTGGGCTCCGCTCGCTTACCAGGGAGGTCACATGCATCTGTCGTGGTGGTGTGTCCGGGCACTTCTTCGCAACCCAAGACCGTCGCCGTCCGAGTGATGGTTGACACAGCCGTCGTCACTGTCTGGCCATTGCTCACGGTCGTACCAGCAGAGACCGTGGCCAGCTCGACATTCTGAGTCTTCATGACGCAGTCCCCGGGCTTTTCAGGGTATACAAGCTGCGGGCTCGGCCCCGGCAGACGAGTGACTCGAGGCCAAGGTGGCAATACGATGGGCTGGATTGGTCGCCAACCACCAAAGTTGATGAAGCCTGGTGGTGGAGGGCCAGGGCCTATGATGCCTGGTGGCAGCGCGAGTTTCCATCGAAGCACTTTGAGCTCGGGAAAGTCGATACAGAAGTTGAAGAACCAGAGAGAGCTACAGCCAACCACGGCAACCACACCATCGTCATCGTCATCATCATCATCATTGTCGTCCTCGTCGGTACCAGGAGTTGGTTCAATGATTCCAGGGGGCCATTCTGTCCAGGTCGGGATGGGGACGGGCACAGTAGTGGTGGAGGAAGGTGAGCCAGTATTGCTTGGCGGCAATGGTTCTGTGTTGTTGCCGGGGATCATGTCCAGCCAAGGGTTGTAGAAGCTTGTCCACTGGCTTGGGGGCCCTTGAGTGATTTGCGGCCACGGTGGTAAGGTCAGGTTGCGCGTGGTGGTTTGCCCATCTGCAGTCAACGTCACAACCACTGGACTGAGCACAAGGCTGGTATCGACGGAGAAGATGGCTCCAGCAATCCCATTGAGCCGATCATGGACCGGCACATTGGAATACTCGATGACGGTGGCGGTGATCGGCGAAGGCGTTATCGTGATGGTGGTAATCGTGCTGGCAGTGCCGACGATGAGTGAGGTTGTGTAGGGGTCGATCGAAATGGTCGTCGGTTCGGACAAGGAGCTGACGGGCATCACCAGAGTGCACGGTATCTCGCATGCAACTTGAGGTTCTTGGAAGACGACCGGGTCAATGTACACAGCACGTCCGGCCGTGCCGCCGAGATCGCCACCTTCAAAGGCAAGTGCGTGCCAGGCATTGACTTGAGTGGTGTAGCCAAACTGATTTCCTTCAGACTGCAGAATCGGCAGTATGCCTCCCCGAGGTGTGAAAATCTCGACGGTGGCCTTGGAGAACGTGTTGTACATCCAGAAGCCTTCTGTGAAGCTGGTCTCGAGCACCCGCTCCTGGCAATTCTCGGGTACCAGGCATGCTTGATCGTACTGATTGAACCACGAGTACAATCCGGCCGTGTAAATGAGGATGTCTCTGGAGTCGAGCACCCGGACGGCCCACGAATCGGCACAGGTTGAACCACTTTCACACTCCTCAAACAGAGGATCGTCTGGCAGGACCCCAGTCTTGTAAGGACCCATTGCGTCTGGCGCGGGCTGATAGTACGGCGACTCGGTCTGGATGTGTGTCATGAAGACATTCTTGGCGCCAGATAATTGGTACTGGTAAAGCTGGTGATGCTCGCTACCGGTGCCGTAGAACCAGCATGGCCCTTGCGACTCGACGAGTACTCCTCTAGCCGTGAAGACATTGATTTGTGCCTTGTCTGTGCTCGGAACACCTCCGGGAACCGCAACGTCCATATCATGATCGGCGGTCCTGCACAAGGCCCAGCCAAAGTCAGCCATCACCGTGTTGTTGGAAGAGAGGATGAAGAGAGGGTGCTTGCTTACCAGAACCAGACATTCTCAAAGTAGCCAGACGCTTCCTTGGTGACGCGGAAAAGGAGGAACGCAGCCATACACTTTCTGTTGACACTCGTGCCCTTGGGGCATTCGTTCAAAGTCAGATCTGTGCCATAGGCACCACCGACCCGGAAGTGCGAGTCCCACATGGCCGCTTAAAATTCAAACAGAAGGTCAATCGATCGCGAACTGTAGCAACTCGGAAGACGGGTGGAACTTACCGCTGCCCTGGGTAGTCTCATGGACATTCCACTCCATCATGATAGCCCCCGCCGTATTGCCCTTGACAGACCACAGCATGTCTGAGATCTCCACCACGCCGCGATCGCCTTTGTTACCGACGCGGACCATGACCTGGGGGTCGTCTTCATTGGCAAAGTATTCGCCATAGCCCATGATCTGAGGCCACAGCTCGCCCACGATGATAGACCCCACAGGTATGAAGACGGTCTTGGCAACCATGTAGATGCCCGAGGGGAAAAAGATGGGTTTCCCAACATTTCCAGACAGGAGAGCGTTGATGGCATCTGACTGGTCGCCGGTTCCATGGTTGCTGATGCCGTGATCCGTGGCAACAATGAAGCCGCCAGTCGCGTAGGTGGGCTTGGACCGGGCGAAAAACGCCCCCGTCGCATCTACAAGGGGCGCCGGCCGTCGAAGTCCGGAATCCAGGAATCCCGTGGCGTACTCGCCGGCTCCGTCGATTTTCTCGTAGCGCCGGCCCATGCCCCAGGCGGGGATAGTGGTTGAGCCGGAAGTGCCAGGCAGGAGAGTCTCGGCGCCATCCACGAGTACTACCGAGGCACAGTTCTCGATCCGCAGGTTCTCGAGCAAGATGGCCGGGCGTGGACCGTCATTGCGGATGACGATTGGGTAGGGCACGTTTCGAAATAGCGAGTCGATGACAGTTAGAGACCCGGTGCCCTGACTGTGCTCGCCGCCCTGCTCGCGGCATGCGATGGCAACCCAGGCGTTTTCCACTACAATGTTGTGCCAGGTGAAGCCCCAGTTCCAGATCATTGAGATTGCAGTGTTGGTCAGCTGGAAATGCAGATTACGTGCCGTGTACTGCTGGCTGCCGGCGCGGAAGCCAATCATGCCGCCGAAAAAGGTGATGTCGCTCAGGAAGCCGCCAGAGCCGTTCTCCATGAAGATGCCCACCGCTGTGACCGCGCCGGTCGAGTCGGGAAGAGGCATCCGGAAGTCAAGATGCTGCAGCGACGCGGCTTGTGAGACTTGCCAGTGAATGCCTGTCGGGACGTAGTTTTGGTCATGTTCAGTGTTGCCAAGGCCCATGCGTTCCAAGTTGAAATTGATGTGCCTGATCTGTCGGAAGAACTGGTTTTGGTTGATGTACCAATTCGCACCGTTGCCACCAGGGATGTATGGGTCGCAATCTACAAGAGCGATGCCCTTGAAGTCTGGAGAGCCGATGAGCGTGGGCCTGTCGTTGGCGTCGCCGATGAACTGGGTGTAATAGTATTGGATGATAGGGCTGCTTATAAGGTAGTTGCCAGCAGGGAAGTACACGATAGCCGCTAAACGTGTAGTCTGACCGCATTCGACACCACATCGTTCGTCAGAGTTGGAGGCACTCATCCAGGAGGCGGCGCGATTGATGGCAGCAGTGTCATCAGTTACACCATCGCCGACTGCGCCAAAGTCACGGATGTTGCGGAACATCTGATAGCCGCTCGGGGCATGCGGCATGACACCGTGACTGATGTCACCCGCCCAATACGCCCGACTCTCAATGACCCCAGAACGCCTTGCTGGCAGTGTAGAGTTGGCAGGTGCTGTATCGGGTGATGAATCTGGCAGGAGGGCCTCGTCCGTGATGGGTTTGGCCAAAGAACCTTTATCCGGAGCCACGCCGAATGAGTTGTGGGTGTTGTCCACCATATAAGAGGGTGCATCCTGTCGAGGATCAGCAATTGAATAGCAAAAAGGTCACGCCGTGTATCGAGCTCACCGGCATGCCTTTGCCAAGGTTCGGCAAGTTGCTAGTGTCATAATCGTCTGGCAATGGAGGTAGATTCCACCCCGAGGCGCCGGCGCCCACGAGGATGGGCAAAAGGGACGCGAAGACCCTCATGCTGTACTAGAACTCGAGGTCCACGAAGAGTCAAAATCCTCCTGGTGAGTTTGTGGTATCATACCGAGTCCTCTCGGTCACAGGGCAACTATCTGAAGCAACATGGGACTGTCCCGTTTATATTTATACATGCTCCTTAGCCTCGGGTTTAGAATCGAGGTTCAGTCGTTCACGCCAAGCCGCATAGAGCGAACTGCGATTGGACTATGCTACGAGATGCACCCAAATGCCGAGCACGGATCAATATATAGTTTTCGAAATGGGCTCACCACTTGAAAAATTCCTTGTAGATGAACAGGGGCGTGCTCGAAAATTCCAGTGGGGGCCACTTCACGGGCCAGCTATACGAGGGGTCACAGGTATGGCTTTACGGCATAGACGGAACAAATGCGGCTACGCCAAGCCGTCTGGGCCTCTCCGTGGAGCAACAACAGTACTGCCCTGGCCCTGTTAAAGAGTCCATTTCCCGTTGGACACGTCTGACTATGAACATCGTACTGCTTCGAAAACTGTTCGTCCCCATGATTTCTACTTGCTGCCGAGATGCCGTTCAACCACCTTCCTGTTCGGATCACTCCTGTGTACAGCTCAGCATGCGTGCTGGACAGAAATTATTGAGATACAAAATACACAGGCTGGTAGCTTAACCAAAGCAAAATTGCGCACAGAGAGGCCGGGTGTGGTACCCTGCGCACTTGCTGCGAGGACTTAATCACGTATAGACCGGACCTCGAAAGAGTATCAGGCGACTTAATTATTACCGGCATCACGACAAGAGTCAGGAACAAGACCATTAACCAATGACACCAACCCCTGCTGCCGGTAGTTGTATTTTCGTAGACGCAGCCAATCAGCACAAATGGAACCAGCAGGGGGTAGCTCCTTGGCATCTCCGGCACCGAGCACAGTCGTTGGACCCTGAATCCATGTAAACCCCAGTGAGCTTGCAGGGGCTTGTTTAGCTGGCCTGCATGGTGGCCGCCGCAGTTTAATGCGCGGGCGTGACAGTTTCGACGCAGAATTGCGGTCAGAGTCTTCCGTACCTACACTAAGTATGCTTCCCTCTGGGGAAAATTCCCTCGACTTGTAGATGGACGGCGTTTTCCGACCTTCCAGTTCATCAACGGGGTTCCTCGCTAGGCCCAACCTGTGGCATGCCATTGCTCTTTAGCGACAGATTGCATCCATTTCCCCACTATCCAGACGGCTCCATCTCGCCTCGAGATGCCACTGTCCATCATTGCCTCTTCGGCCTCGCCGTGTCTTCCTCTGTGCTTGATCCCCGCGCAAATGCTGACGTGAATAACAGTTTTGATGGTTGCTCCACCCCAGCCGCTGAACGAGCCGGCGTTGGCGATACCTGCAAAACTTTGGGGCCCACTTCTCATCGGCACGACTTTTTTCTCACGGCAACGTGTAGGCAACGCAATGGTGTGCCGGAAATTTATCAACCACCATAAATTGTTGTGAGATGGCCGCAACGTCCGATTCTTTTATTTTTGTTTTTGTTTTAGTATTTCTCTTTGTTCCTCGGGATAGCTCAATAGCATGCTTTTTGTTTGCCGTGGGGATTATGACAACCTCAAATGACAAGAAACAGAAGTTGTGCGAGTTCTCCACGATATTACCTGAGGTCGTGTTATTTTTCTTCTCCGGCATACCAGATTCTATCTAGATTTATCATGGCGGTCATGACCACGAATTTCTGCAGTGCAAACACGCAAGATGTGCTACAGTTGGACCGCTGGACCATAGGATGCACTCGGGGCCCATGACAACGACAACTTGGGGGTGTGATCAAACCTGTAAGAGGTCGCCAGGGTGCCTAATTCTATACTTCCTCGGGGAGTAGCTCGCAATCGGAAGTACACAGCCCCTACCAGGAACACAAATGCCATTTGGTCAATTTGGTAAAAGAGTGGTGACTGGCGTAGGCGCCCTCGGGAGGCTTAGAGTCCTTTCGCGTAATCAAGATTCCTAGAAGAGGACATGGGCAGTGCTCTCAGCCCTTGCAACTGTCTCCAGTGTGATTGGCTGACCGCGCACGCAGCAGACAAGGGTTGCACACAAGCTTTAGCAACGTAGGTAGCTCCGCCCTGCCTGTTTATCCTGTCTGGCCTCCAGCTAAAGGACGTACGTCTAGATCTTGGTGGGACTGTTTCCAGAGTTACTTGGGCAAGTTCAACGGCTTGACGTTGTGCCTTGGAGGGCCGAGCATTGTGAGATCTGGTGGGGCCCGATTTGAGTGCTTGAATTGGCAGGGTCCTTCCTATTTGTCAGGGCTGGATCACCTCGGGAAATGCCTGGCCAGTAAGGAGGGCTGGACACGGGCGGTTTGCTCAGGGATTGCATCATCCCGCTTATCTGGCGTGGGTTACTGTACAAGCGCCCCGGACCCTGGTGATGTCAAGCAACATGCACCGCCCAAGAATAGCACTGCCAACACGCCTTGGCCACGCCAGGCCACGCCATAACTGTCTCGAGGCGGGTACAGTAACGGTCCTGGGTGACGCTGACTGCGCATACCGCCGCCTGCTGTTGGCTGAAGGAATCTGGAAGGGGGAGGTATCTTGGTACCTATGCGCACGCACCTTAAGGTTGGGACAAGTACCTTGTTTGCTGCCGGCAGCGACGATCACGCCGTGCAGACAGCCACGGCCGCGAATCAAAACTCTGGTAACAATCATGTCACGCACTGCCTCCAGCCAGACGTGGTTTATTCCCGAGCCCTCCCACAAAGAGCTGCCGATGCCCTCTTTTTCCCTTCTCGAAGTCCCGCCGCTGCCTTCTGATCTCCCCAAAGCCGTCATCATCTCTCGCCTGCTTGCTGCCAATTGTCTCGTCCCATCTTGACTGGCGTCTTCCACGTTCCTCGTGGTTTCCGATCTAGCCGGCCAGCAATTCGGCATATCCAGGCCCACCCTGCTCCAGAACCACGCACACACACTCACACGCACGCACATACTACAACCCGCCCCAGCAATGCCCTCAGTCTCTTTGAGATCCGATGCATTTCTCATACAAGCCAAGAGAGCCGACCCCGACACGACCTGGGGCAGCAATGGCTTCCCCCTCTGGGCCGTTGCCATCGTCATCGTCGCCGCCTTCGCCGCCGTGTCCCTGTCCTCGTGCATGCTGATTCGGCGCAAGGCCCGCCGCGATCAGGAGCGCTACGAGCGCGGTACTGTCAAGCTCGTCGACTACCCGCCGCCCTCGACGTCGTCATCGTCGTCGTCATCGTCGTCGTCCTCTTCCTCCACCAACTCAGTCCCCAGGCAGCCGTCATCTGCCCCAGGCATATCAAACCAGTCGTCCGGCTGGATCAGCACGGCCGGTATCAGCAGCACCAGCATAAGCCACAACGACAATAACATTGTACAAGGAGCAGGTGAGGCCGAAGACCTGCCCGACGTCCCGCCTCCGGCGTACACCCCTCGCGGCGACGACGGCAGCGGGAGCATCAGCACCGTGGCCGCCGTGCCTGCGCCTGTACCTCCGCGGCCGCGGCCGACGACCATCACCACGACTGCATTCTACTCTGGTGGCCGACGACAGTGATGATTGCTGTTTTCGTTGTTGTTGGGTGGTCTGTTCTTCTCCTTGGGGTATGGGGAGGGGGAAAGGACGGGGTGCCCGGGCTTGGAAGTACGGCATGCTAACCCTACCTTGTGGTATTTTTATCCGTCTTTTGGCTTGAATGGCGTTTCACAACTTTTTATTATACCCCTAATGCTCAGGTTTTCCCACTTAAAGACTGTTCACGTTCACCCACGATATCAATTGAGAGATTCCCATATGGGGCATAAAACATTGAGCACTCGACCCATCGAAAAGCTTATTTCGAGCGCAATTTCTGTTGTCGCCCGCGCGCGAGGAGCTTGTTTAGCTACAAATATATTCTTGTCGGTTTGTTAACGTGGATGCGCTATCATAGAAATAAGCTGTCTGAAAACAATGCGGCACAGCACACTGTGAAGCATCTGACCATTTGACAACAACCATGTAAATAGTCCCCAGCTACTACCACTACTTTGTGCCGCCATGTCAACATTATTTCAAGCAAGTTCCAGCCCAGTCTTTACCTGCCCGTCATTCTCCACCGCGCGCTCAATCTCCTCCTTGAGCACCTCCCCGTCCACCTTGCCCTCCACCTCCTGCCTCTTCGCACTGCCGGCAACGTCGACCATCTTGTCCAGCGCGGCCTGGCAGACCCGCAGCAGGTCCTCGGTGTTCTCCTCGAGCCCGGCCGAGATCCGGACCTGCTCCTGCCTCGACCCGTAGCCGGCGTGGTACGCCGCCTCCTTGGGGTCTTTGCCGAACACGAGCGCGTTGAAGGTGATGCACAGCGTCAGGTGCGCGCCCAGGTGTGGCCCCTGGTGGAACGCGAGGTTGTCGTAGAACGCGATTGTCTGGTCCATCGTCTCAAACTCGACGCTGAGCAGAGGGCCGTAGCCCGGCTCGGGCAGCTCCGGGGTCGGCTTGCGCAGGAAGGCCTTGAGGTGCTCGGAGCCCGGGGAGTAGGGCGGGTAGAAGACCTTGCTTATCGGGTATTTCGGGTCTTGCATCTTGGCGTGGAAGAAGCCCGCCATGGCGGCCGCGTTGCGGTTCAGGACGACGGTCCGCTCGAGGTAGTCCTCGCTGTTCGAGAGGAGCTGGTCCGCGTCCGCGACGAAGAACTCGTTGTGGAACTGCGAGTCGACGGTGGCCTTTAGGGTCGTGTACGAGCCATTGTTGTTGATGTTTGGGTTCAGCGCGATAGATCCGGCCATGACGTCCGAGTACCCAGAAAACGCCTTTGTCAAGGAGGACATGACCACGTCGGCGACGGAGAGCAGATCCGTGCTGGCGAACCCGGCCACGGTATCGTCCGCAACCACATAGAAGCCGTAGCGGTCGGCAAGCTTGCGTAGGCGGGCGAGGTTCAGACTGACGAGAATCGGATTGCTGGGGAATTCGGTGAAGACGTAGCTGCAGGAGCCGCCGCCCTCGAGATAGGCCTCAAAGGCGTCCAGGTCGGCGTCGCTCGATTTGCCGTAGTGCTTGAAGCCGTGCGAGTTCTCCTCGAGGAAGTGCCATGTGCTGTGGAAGATGGAGCCAAAAACGGCCACGGTGCCAGGACGGATCTTGACAATGGCCTCGTGGATGCGCACAATGGCCGCCATGCCTGTCTGGTAGAGCGTGATATCGTCCGGCGTGACAGGCGTCGGGTAGTCTTGGATCGTCGCGCGGTTGAGGTAGCCAGCGACACGCTCCCGCAGCAGCTTGTGGCTGGCTCCCTCGGGCAAATATGTTGGCGGAGGAACGCCATCCGCCGCTGGCCCGGGGAACTCGCCGATGTTCTTCAAAGAACCGACCTTGGGCAGGAGAGCCTCTGCTAGGCGGGTGCTGAAGCCAAGGCCACGGTGCGTCCACACGAACTTGGCACCTGCGAGCTTCGTCATGTGGCACGAGACGACATAGAGGCGGATGCCGTCAATCTCGACGACGTGATATTTGAAGTCCTCGGGGGACAGGCGCAGCTCCTTGCGGTGGTGCGAGGTGGCGTGGTACTCCTCTTGCTGCCATGTCTCTGGCGAGAAGTAGGCGACACTGGTGAAGCCTTCTGGGAGGCCGATCTGCTTGCCAATGGCACCGACGAGCTATCCCGGCGTGAGTAGGATATTCTGTGGATGTATGATGAGACAGCAGAGGCTGAGCAGACTCGTAACTTACCTGGCCAGCAAGCCCAAAGGGGGTGAAACGCGGGTAGATGGACTTGACGCGGGCCAGCACGCTCATGTCACCCTCACGGAGGGCGACCAGTGTCTTGTAGCCTGGGAAGTGGGTGGTGATGGTGTGGGGGCCGTATGGCGGCAGCGACTGCCCAATCTCGGTGTTGGTTGCGTCAATGAAGGGCATCTTGGCGGTTGGTATATTAAGAGTGGCTGCTTGAAGTCTGCCAGAGGGCGGGGGATGGAAGTGTCCAAGTTGTTTCTGGGAAATCTATCAAGGAGCGGATATCGACTTTTATAAAGGCTGAGGTTTCTGACACGATAAGACTGTTCTCGCCCCGAGCCACACACCACAGCTGTAAGATATACCTCGAGGGTGATCGCCGTAGAGCCGCCCGCCACAGAGGCAAAAGTGAGATGATGCCAGGTCCACGAGCATGGAACCCAGCTAGCAGCTGCATGTCAGCATCAACGCCTGGCGTCGCCACATCCGGCCGCACAGCTGCTGGCCTGGCCGTCTGGGTCCCTGGAAGAGACGACGCGCCAGGCGACATCCAGTCATCTCCGAACCTTGCCAGCCGCTTGAGGGGGGGGCGGGCGCTGTCTCTGCTGTCTAAACGCCCTTGCAGGGCCATGTCCCACGTACCCGGCTGGAGCGAAAACCCAAACGAATCCCAATCGACCGGGCCAGGCCGCGGGTGGCAGGTCCGTAGGGCTAGAGTCTCTTTCAGCGCAACAAACTAAACGCGCCCTCCCAGTGCATGATGCGGGGCATCAGGTATCCCCGCACACGCACCCACGCACCCACCAGCCCTGGCGGAGCAGCTCCCCTCGGTGGGGTAGCACTGCTGCGCAGTGCGCACTTGCAGGCGCTCCAGGGCTGACACGCACCGGGCCGGGGGTCAAGTTCCCCAACTCGAAGTGGCTTGGCAAGGCTTGCTCTGATGCCATGCCAACTCTTTCCAACAACCTCTTTGACAGCAGGTCCGCCATCTCGGTAACAAACTAGAGCCCAAAACTGCTCTCCGCCGCCGTCAGTCGGGGATAGCGCTTTTGATTCTTTAACAAAGTCCGTTATCCGAGTAGCGGATCCACTGATTCCACTCTCCCAGATGAAGGATTCGGCTTCCTCCGTCGTCGTATAGCGGCGGTGTATCAAAACCGCACAACGTATCAATTGGACCCCCTCCCATGGTTCGACGAGCGTCCTGTAATAATACATGGATTGGATTCTATTATTTTCCCATTCTGCACTTGCCGTCGGTAACTCGACAAAACCCGGACTTTCAATGCATCCATCCCCCCCCCCCCCTGGCTAAAACCCTCGTGTCAGAGTTCCCCAACTTTTGCTTTGGGAACGAGGAATACCCGCAACCAACCACACGCGCTCACTTTGGCGCAGCCAGTATCAAGCCAGCGCTGACACGCAGGCAAAATGATCAAAGTGCACAACAACCCACAAGTCCTAGGGGTTAGGCACACAAATTCGTGACATGTCACCACAGAGAGCGAGCTCACCAATCACCAGTTGAGCCAACCTCAAGGTCTCTCCCCTCCCCCCCTTCTTGAACGTGTACCCATGCTGCCTACCGCCCTCCTCCTCCTCCTTCCTCTCCGGAGATCTCCGTTGACGCCTTTACCATCTCACTCACCCATGCAAAGATAGAAGATAGGTAGGCTACTTGCCCGACGCGGCCTACTTTCGGCCAGTCAGCTAGAATCACACACACTCATGTGATCGGCACCAAAAAGCCAGAAAGGCAGGGAAGCACCCGCCAGGGGAGACGGATTACACCCGGAACCAAACGACGCCCACGAGTAAGCCCCGAAGCACACATCGAGTCCTCCTTCCCGCGAAATCCAATAACCGTTTCTCGGGCACGATACACGTGGCAGGGTTGTGGTAGCTTGTTGGCCCATGTAAGCTGATGCCCCAGAAGAGGGGGTTTAACGTTGCCCACCTTGAGGACCTGACTTGTGAACTCTTGTTGTAATATGCGTCTGATCACCTTATGAATCTCTTGCGTGCAAACTCAGCCAACTGCTTGATCAGATGCCAAGACCTGCACTCTTTGCATGCAGGAATGCAGGAGACTTGCCAAGTTCGACCCACAGATGCTTGTTTGCCCACCCCCAACTTCACGTTCTGTCCCAGCATCTTGCATGTGCACGCAGCTTGGGATCTGGTCGGGGCTGACGTGAGCAGCCTTGCGCGCGCAACCGGACACTCCACGTAATGAGCTACCAGAAGGCCCTCGCATGAATTTCAATCTATGGAGGGTACAATACATGAAGGGAAAAGCCAACCGACTGCTATCAAAATGTTTCATGCCTCGTGGCACCATGAGTTATACGCCACTTCTCGGTTCCCGCTCGCTTGCCCGGCTTACCACAGATTACGCTCCCGACCCTCAAATGCAAAGTTTAGCACAATACCACAGACCACAGCCAGGCAGAGAGCAGTCGTGCCATATCTGTCGTAGAACTTGACAACCCTACGCTCCCGGATAGCTCGGCTCCGGTAAAGATAGATTCCGACAGAATAACACAGAGCCGAGATCGCCAGCAGGGTGAAAACACCAGAGATGACGAGCGATGCCGTCGTGGGCTTCGTGCCAAAGTTGAGCAATGTCACGGCAATGGTGCCAACGTAGATGGAGAACTCGAGCTATTTCACTGGCGTCAGCAGGTTTGCAGCAACGGTGAGGCGCAGGCGGTGCCACTTACCCAACTTAAAAAGGTCCGTTCCGCCGCAAAGTAGACCTTGGGCTCGACCCGGACAGGCACGTATATCTTCTTTCCCTTGGGGGCCTTGATGCGCTTGTTCGAGACCTCCTGATTGCCAAAGAACATCTGCACACGGTTGCTGCGAGGGACTTCTGATCCTCGCGGGTGCGGCGCAATGGCAGACAATCCAGCAATGACTTTGCGGCCAGCGACCTTGGCGTACTTATCGGCAAGCGCCGAGTAATAAGGCCAGCCACCCACGCGTCGCGCCTCCTCGAGTGCGTCATCCTCGTCCTCGTTGTCCGAGTCGTACAGAGGGTAGTCTTCCTCGAGCACAGGCACGGCGCTGCCCGTAGTCTGCTCTTCCATGTCCGTAACAGCCTGCGTAGAGCCGTTGCGTGCACTGCCATGGCCGTTCGTTGTGTGGTTTCGTCGTGGCTGGTCATCGTCCTCGTCCTCCTCGTCATCCTCGTCGAGGTCCGTGTCGGCCTCGGTCTCGTCGTCGTCGGACGTCGTTCCGCTGGCAGACGACATGCCCGCACGTCTCCGGATACCGAAGCTGTGGCTCACTGGCTTACGGATGTCAACGTCCATTTGAGGCATCCAGTATGGCAACAGCTTGATGCGAGTAGGGAACATTGTGGCTGTGCCGTGAATGAATTTGGAAAACTTGGGCACAGCCTCAACGAGGTGGCTGGCGATAAGTGACCTAATCCACTCTGGTGGCTCCTGGCCGTGTTGGGTCTGCAGCTTGACCTCAAGCACGGCGTACGGGAACCGGACCACGTCTTCGTCTGGCAGCTGGTTGAACGGCCAGTCAATCCCAATATCCATACGTCTCCAGTTGTCGCCAGCACGCTTCCGGCCGTCCAAGTTGTCCTCACGAACCATGGTAAGCTCTGTGTCGAGAGAGATACGGACACGAGCGTCGGCAGGAAGCTGGAATGCAGTGCGATGGTAGAATGACCGACAGACAGGCTTGTACTGCTTCTTCAGCACAGAGTACTGGATCTCTCTCGCCAGCTGCTCGTCCTCGTCGAGCTGCTTCGCAGATTTCTTGCCCTCCTTCCGCGCCTTCTCAAAGATGGCCTGCGGCAGAAGGTCACCTCTCAGATAGGCGTTGACATTCTTCTCCTTCATGGAGAACCGGGCTTTGACGGACTGCTCGCCCGTCCAATCCTCACGATGTGTCTTGCGCTCGACAAAGATCTGGTCGGATTGCATACCGCCATACCAGCGTAGACGGATGGCCTCGGCTCCTTCGGTCTTCTTCAGACGGCCTTCATAGAGATCCCACTTATCCGTGTTGTCGTAGTAGATGGATGTGATGGCGCTGTCGGCAGCATCAAACTCTTTGTTGGCATTGAAGACAAGGACGGGCAGATGCTTGAGGATAATGAGCTTGACCTCAGTGATATTATCAGGGTGAACCCAGTATTTGGTCGTCTGGCGCACGAAGCTACCCTGGCTGCCGCCAGCAGCACTGTCGCCCTGGACAGGATTGCCCCGAGTGCGGACGAGGTCGTACAGTTTGGAGAGCCTGATGACTTCGCTGTCAAAATCTTCATTGTAGAACGGCTTGCGCTTGAGGGCGGCATCAAAGGAAGGTCGGAGATGCCAATTTGTCATTTTCTGCAGATCGTATACGGTCAGTCAGTGTAGTGCCGTGACAATTACATGGGAGCCCGGTATAACTTACATCATGCTTCTTGATGATCTTGTAGAAGCCCGTGTAGTTGAGCTGGACAAACTTCGCCAGGTCGTGCACATCCGCGATGATGTCACTCAGATCATCCTCGAGCAGTATGAAATCCTCCTCGGGAGGGCCCTGTTCGTTTAATCCACGCTCGGTGACCTTGCTGACAACCTGCTTGACCTCCTTGTCGGACACGGCGATGCGGCGCTGGATCTCTGATTGCTTGACCTTGGTCTTGGTGTAGACCTTCTCAAGCTCATTGTAAAGCTTCGCGATGAAGCGCTGCTCGTCCTCCTCGCTCCATGTTTTCTGGTCCTGGGCAGGCTTGTTCTTGTTCTTGCTCTTGCCCTTGCCTTTGCTAGCAGACGACGGGCCGGGTTCGGTGTCGAGGACGGGACCGGAGGCGTTTTTGAGGTCGTCCTTAAGGCCGTCGTAGTCGATGTAGTACCATTGGTACTCTCGAATCACGCTCGAGCGCAGCTGCTCGCCGAACTTCATGACGATCTGGCCGGGGCGGGCTTGCCAGCTGGAGCTACGGTGGTCTCGTGAGGATATCCAGGTACGTTCCTTGGTCTGGAGGTTGTGGACAATTAGCATGAAGACATAAGAGGCCGGGCGATCAAAGCCCAGGGAAGGACCGCCGCGTATCCGGATTTTCGGGATGCTGAGTTTTGGGCTGTCGCGGCCTCTCGCTCAAGCGACCGGCACCTCGTCTTTGAGATGTTGGGGCCGACAATATTGGAGAGGAGAAGGATAGACGATGGGCTACGTCGTGGCCGTGTGGCGGATATGCTGAGACACAAACAAGACAATAGATGCCGACGCTAGGGGACTAAGGCCATGTACAACTGGATGCGAGAAGTGTGTGCGACGAGGGAGGTGAAGGACGAATTCCCGTGGGCTTGGGGATGAAACTAGCCAGAGGCCGACCGGGCAGGAAGGGGAGGCAGGGAAATACATACCGGACTTGAGGCTGACCTGTCGGGGGGTTGTATCCAAGCTTCCGTGCGAAGGCGCGAGGCACGATGCAGACCTGGGGTCGACCGGCAAGGACCTCGGAGGTGGGGGCCGACCGATGGGATGTCGTTGAGTGTGTGCGAAGAAGAATCCGGAAGGAGAGGCAGAGGAGGCCGGTCGAGTGCTTTCACGGGAGCTGCAGCGTGGTGCCTGGGATGTCACTGCCGTCGAGTCGAGGTCCAGACTGGGAGAAGCTCTGCCGGTAGAGATTCCCCAAATGCACGTGGGCGGGACCGCGATGCAGGCCTGGCGCAGGTTGGAGAACGGCGCGGCAGGGGCAAAACAACTCAACTTGGGCCAGTCGATTGTCACTAGCAAGCTCGTGCTGAACGCCACGCTCAATTCGCTTGCTGATGGCCTTGGAGACGACCAGGTGCACGAGCAAGCAGAGCAGAGCAGCAGTCTGTTGTCGGGTCTGAAGTGCAGAGAGCAACCGACAGCCTCGCTCGCCGGGCCAGACCAAGCCCAGCCTGGCTGGTTCCTTGCCAGCCTAGCGCCAACTCAAGCAAGCCATGGACTGATCCCTGCCCGGTCCTGCGCTCCGTGACGCCTGGCTGCCGTCGCCCATGCGCTGCATCCGGCGTCATGATTTGCTGTCGGCCCAGGTCCGTGGGCCCTGCCGCATCGCCGTCGCCCCGCCGACTCGCCGTTATGACAGCATCTGCAACGCACCCATTGACCAATCAGTTGGCACGCACGGGCACGTGTTTGCCTGCCCCATCAAGCTTATTTTTTTTTTTCGCAGCGAAGAGAGCAAGCCATGGATGCAGATGCACATCTGACTGCACATTTGACTGTACACTGCACAAACTGCATAGATGACTTATGCATACAGACTCGAGGATGTGCATCGCATGTGATTGAGTACAGCACCCCGCGCAAGTGACTCCAGACATCGTCATACAATGGACCCTGAATGCTGTATCGTTTGCTAGACTCAATGAAATGAACTATAACGTAATCCACGGGTAAGCGGGTCACACGGGTGAACGGGTCACCTTCCAGTAACTCGTACGACAATATATAAGACAATTTAACCACAACGCCTTAAATCAATTCAAACTATTCAGAATCCTCTTCTTCAGAGGCAGATACAACTTTCTGACACGTACGAGCATTATGACCGGGCTCGCCGCAGACGCCACATCGTCGCGCGCGCGTTTCGGGCCTCCTCGTACGACCACTATTCTGACTCGTTTCCGCTATTAACTGCTGCGTCGCATCGATTTGAGCCTTCAAATCCTTTGCCTGATCAATCGTGAGGGACCCTCCTTTCTGTAGCTGCTTTCTTTTCGTACGACGACGGCGGCCGAGGCGGTCATTTGCATCTCGAAGTTCGGCGAGCTCTTGGCGCATAAGGTCCTGCTCGTGTACCATCATTATAACTCCTTTTCTCAGCTGCCGTAGGCTCTCAACAATGGACGACGGTGAGCTATTCTGGTGTCGTACGATGCGATTTTCAATATACTTCGTCTGCGATTCGGTCTCAATTAGGTTGTTCGGCGTCTTTGAAACCCATGGGGGTGGTAGTCCAGCAGAGGAACCTGGTGGTGTCGGCGTATGAAACTTCATATCTAGCTGCGAAATCACATAATTCGGGTCGTACGGTACTAGGCCTGTCGCTCTGAAGCCTGCCTGGATGTTTGATTTGGTCATTGCAGCGTCGTACGCCTTATAAAAGGCTGGGAGGAAGTCCTCCTTTGAAACGTGGGTTACGTGCGCCCGCATTAGACCTTCGATTTCTTTACCGTACGCCCGTTTCAGAGGTCCAAAACACCCAACATCGAGAGGCTGGAGCTTATGCGACGAATGAGCAGGCATACAGAGCGTGACAATATTCTGTTCCTTGCAGTAGAGCTCGAAATCGACGGAATGGTGGCTCTCGTGGCCGTCGAGGATAAGGAGGCGGTGGGTACCCTTCGTACGACTCTTTGTATGGAAATCAAAGTGTTTTACCCATTCTAGGCCTCTCTCGTTCGTCGTCCAACCGTTTTCTGAAAGCGCGATTACCCAGTCGGCCGGTAGAGGGCTATTCGCGGTCCAGGAGTCGAGGTGGACCTTCCCGGCGAAGATAATGTATGGCGGGATTGAATAGCCGTACGACGCGATACCCTGGATTACTGTAACCCATTCCTGATTGCCTTGTTGTACGGCTCTTGGCCTCCCGCGTCGATCGGAGGTCGTAACGACAGTTTCGGCGGAGATCTTGCCCATCGCGAAGCCCGTTTCGTCGAAGTTATAGATATCGTCATCGTGGATCCCGTATTTCGCGATTATGTTTCGTACGAGCTCAAACCACGCGCGATACGCGTCCGGATCCTCGCAAAGGACCCTCTGGTAATCGATTCTTCGATTAAAACGCGTACGGAGCTCAGGTCGTCGTCGTACGAAGGTTGAGGCCCAGTTCGTTCCAACGCGTGGCGCGTCGCGTACGCGGAGGAGTCGATCCGCCATTTCTCGAACACCACTTAACCGCGGTGGAAATGAACGCGAATCTAGGTCGAGTACGTATCGTACGATACTCTCCTCTTCGTATGAGGTTAATTTCTGGCAGGGTGGTCGGGTGTCGTGTTTCGCAGCTCGGCCGTGGTATCGTTGCTGGAGTGTCGTACGAGATACATTATAGATCTGCGCAGCCTTTCGTACGCTTAATTTTGGGTCGGATTGGAGCGCATTTAACGCTAGAACCAAATCACTTTCAATTGATTGTCGTCCCATGATTGGAGGTGGAGAAAAAGGAGAAGGAAGTGAACCTCAATTAAATTGCAGTAAAGTGACCCGTTCACCCGTGTGACCCGCTCACCCGTGGATTACGTTAATCACTATTGCCGGGATACTTTGCCTGTTAACCACCTCACAGCAGTCGAGCTTTCCTCTGGCCAAAACCACAGGTTTTTCCAAAGATGTGCAACTTAGCAATTGTGACAACCGGGCATGGGCCAAATGGGAAAACGCTTCTTGCCAATGTTGCGTGTCGTGCCGTAAATTTTTTGGACGTTCGGCCCCACCACATCTTGAAAGTCGTGAAGCTCCATAAGACCACACCACGACCTGCCCTCGCCGAACTACCGTTCCGCTGAGCTCTTAGAAGAAAAGAAAAACAGCACAAATTAGACCTACCATGGCGCCCATCGACGACAGCCACGACGCCCGGATAACACCCGCCAGCCCGGCCAACGTCGCCGAGCTGCTCAACCATGCCTGGCAGCACGACCTCGCCGCGCTGAAGCCTCTCCTCCGCGTGCCCGGCCCCGCGAGCGTCCAGGACCCCAAGACCGGCGAGACTCCCTTGCACGCCGCCATCCGCGCGTGCGGGCCCGCCGCGGACGCCTCTGCTTCTTCTCCCGATGTCGTTGCCAAGGCGGCCGCCGTGGTCAGCGAGCTCTTCATGAGCGGCGCGATCTGGAACGACGTCGACAGCAACAACGAGACGCCCGGGTGCGTGGCCGCCCGCCTGGGCCTCGAGCCTTTGTACACGGCGTGCATGGAGGCCGGCGTGCGGGCGGAGCTGCTGTTCGGCCTGCTCGACGGGTACGAGGAGCTCGAGTCGGAGGCCGCCGAGGACGAGATGCTCAATGCCGATGAGGAGGGTGGGGTGGGCGGCGATGGCGACATCGAGATCATCGACGTTGATGGCGATGAGGGCGATGAGGCGCCCGAGCTCACCACCGCGACTGCCGCCGGCGAAGCATCCAACGGCCAGGCAAAGGCAAACGAGGAGGACGAGGAGGAAGAAACCAACATCGTAGAGTCAGACCCCGACCGGGCGTTCAAGCCCCCGACCGACCCGCACACCGTCACGTCGCGCGACTACCTGCAGTCCAGCCTGACCTACACCGAGGACGGGAAGCTGCTCGACTCGTCCGACAACGGCGTCATGATGGCCTGGGAGACCAGCATCATGCGCGCGTCCGTCGACTCCCTGCTCACCCCGGCCCTACCCTCCGGCAAGAAGATCCTCAACATCGGCTTCGGCATGGGCATCGTCGACTCCATGTTCGCCGCCACCTCCCCCGCGCGGCACCACATCATCGAGGCGCACCCGGCCGTGCTCGAGCACATCCGCACCAACAGCGACCCCACCTGCTCCAGCAAGGACACTTCCAGGAACTTTGGCGCCAGCTGGGAGGCCAAGGGCTCCGAGGAGGGCGCGTACAAGGTCCACGCGGGCCGGTGGCAGGACATTGTCCCGCAGCTCATGGAGGCCGGCGAGACGTACGACGCCGTGTACTTTGACACGTTTGGCGAGGACTATGCCCAGCTGCGGCACTTCTTCACCGAGCACGTGCCATATCTGCTCACAGAGACTGGTGCATTTGGGTTCTTCAACGGACTTGGTGCGGACCGCAAGATTTGCTACGATGTGTATACGCGCGTCGCTGAGATGCATCTGAGCGATGCAGGCTTGGACGTGGAGTGGCAGGAGCTTGACGTTGATATGAAGAGGCTTGGCGAAGAGGGCAAGGGTGACTGGGAAGGTGTCAAGAGGCGATACTGGACACTTGACAGTAAGTCTCACTCCTATTGTGCCTTTCATGAACCTCTCATGTACTCGCGTCTCCTAACTGACATCCGTGTAGAATATCGTCTACCGAGATGCACACTCATGGGTTAGACTAACATGAACCGGCATTGAATTGCATGATTACGGCACGGACGTAGAGCATATAGACTGCATGGTGTTACTGGATACAACAAATCGATGCTTGGGGTATGGCTATCTATGACGATTTCGCATGGCACGCCAAACGAGTCACGGTCACCCAAGAAGGGTCTATTCGAAGTTCTCGGGGTGCAGAATACCAGCAACGTTGCCCTTCTGCACTCTCTTGAGGGTCAGAGCAGCAATGAGCGCAGCACCAACACCGCTTCCATCTTCGGCAGCAAGAACCTCGACAGGATCATGCTCCTTTGCACTCTTCTTGGCTGGCCAGTCGAGAATCTCGCGGAGCGCCTGCGCGCCCCTAGCCTTGAAGTGAGGATACTTGTTGAAGACAGAGCCGTCAGCACCAACGTGGCACTCTTTGAAGTTCTTCTTTGTGCAGATGGCAGCAACACCGCAAGCAGAGAGACGCGCGGCTCGAGTGCCGATGAGCTCGGCGGTGCGGCGGATCAGCTCAAGCTCGGGTCTTGTGGGGGAAAGCTGCAGCTTGTCCTTGAAAAGGTCGGCGGTCTCCTGCAAGTTCTCGAACGGGTCACTGGCACATAGTTAGCATTTCAAAGCTCCCTCTGAGACCTGGAGGAAACATAGACTTACTCTTCGATAGCGGAGAGGAATGACGCATCAAGAGAGTACGCCTTTCGGAGCTTATCAATGTTCTGACCCTCGAAAATGTGAACGTCCTTGTTGTCATGCAGGTCGACCATGATGAGACGGAAGATCTCGCCTAGGTACAGGCCGGCAATCATCTTCTCGAACGCCTGCTGACCGGGGCGCGGTGAGTCCTTGTCGATGATGATGTCGTACTTGGTTCTGGGCAGCACAACGTGCTCGTTATCGAAAGCACCCCACTCGCAGTTGATGGCCATGGGCAAATCCGGAGGCAGGTTCATGTGTGCCAGCTTGGGGATGGAACCACAGTCCTCCATGTACGCAGCGTTGCAGCCAGTGCCGAAAATGCAACCAATCTTCATCTTCGTATCGGTGTAGGCCGAGGCGATCAGCGTACCAGTAGTGTCGTTGATGAGAGCCGAAACTTTGATGGGGACGCCCTGCATGGGATTAGCGGCCAGTTCATTTCCAGAAGTCCACTCCACCAACTGACCTTGCGGTTCAGGGCCTCCTCAAGCATGGGGACAACGTTCTCGCCTTCGACGCCGTCAATGTCGAAGCCCTTGGTCCAGCGCTGGAGGATACCCTCGTCGATGTAGTTTTGTGTCGCGGGGTACGAGAAAGTGAAACCAAGCGGAATCTTTTCGCCGGCGGCAGGAGGCTCCTCGTGGTGGGTGTCAATGAACTGTTGGAGACAGTCGGCAATGTACTCCCAAAGCTCATCGGCATCACCAGTCTTCAGCTCTTCGGGCATGCGGTACTTGGACTGGATAATGTCGAACTCGGACTTGTTCTCGGTCAAGGTGATCTCGCAAACACGCAGGTTTGTGCCGCCCATATCGAGGGCAAGGTAGGTGCCAGTCTCGTAGCCGTCGGGGTACTCCATGACCCAAGTAGGGTTCATGGGCTGTGATCTGGGTCAGTATGAAGGCCAAAAGTTGGATTTGGGGAAGGGCCCTCTCACAATGCTGCCGCCCTCGACCGTGAGGCCCTTCTCCAGCTCTGATACAAAGTGCTTGGAGATAGCCTTCATCTTGGCCGTGTCAACGGTGAAGGCATCCTCGAGCTGCTTGATCTCAGAGAGAAGATCCTTTGGCACATCGGCCATGGAACCTGCCGAGACAGCCATGTTTTAGTAACGGTACAAGTGAAGTCTCGAAGAAGCCAGGCTCAAGGCGCGGTTGCGGAAACTCGCGATCGTGTCGACCGCTTGCTTATACGGCTCGCTCGCGTAAGACACCAATGACAAGGGAAAATCGTGACGTTCGTATCGGCATGCATGTCGGGAGGTGCGACCTATCAAAGCATGCCCAGCTCTTTCTTGCCTGAGGTTTTCACAACCTGGATAGACCATTGTACATACCCTTGCGGGACGGCGGCTTGCGAGGACCCAATCCGACCATGTTGACCGCTTATCGAGACGACGCCGTAAGCTGGAGAAATATTCGAATTGGCTTTTTCGGTTGTATGTTCGTCAACAAAACGTAACGACTGAAGTCGGCGCAGAAAAGAATACCCAAGCGTGTGACGTCTGTGTGGAGCATGGCGGGGTCTGTCAGCATATCCATGGATCAGAGTATTGTTGGAGAGTGTTGGACCCAGCTATCTGAAAATCTGACAGGCCTCGAATCTGAGGAGGAGCCGGCGGGACTGGATTCTGGATGCACTCACTTGGTCAATGACTTGTCGGGATGGATTGGAAACACTCTCTAGACAAGACTGTGCCAGACAGCGTCTCGGACATGGCGAGCTTCTTGTAATTAGCTAGCAGTGGAGACCGCCCTCGGCGGGCGTGTTAGTGGTTGGGCCCAGCGGTGAGGGGTCGCCTGGCTGGCGCGTGGCGGATGTCTTGATGAGGGAGTGACGGCAGCCGGAGCTGGGGGTGTGCCAATCGTGGCCGTTCCCCACCTCGAAAAAGCAACCAGATGGGCAGATGCCTCTAGCTCTCTGAATCCGTTGAGGTGCGGCCTGGAACCTTCACGGCAGCCGTGTCCGAAACACGGAGGGGAATCTGTTTTGAGCATCGCATTGTCCTGTTCGCCCTTGTCGCCAGCTTTCGGTGGGACCAGACAGGTACCGCATGCTTGGTACTTAGTAATGGCTGCAGAATGCTGGGATATCATTTGGCGTCCTGCCTCGCGCCGACTGGAGGTGTGAGAGCCTTGCCTGACAAAACGGGCTTCCACCTGAAATGGTCCTTAGATCCTACCTTAAGGTACTCACACTTACAGGCCGCTGTGTAATGAAGGCATGCTACCTACACAGTGGCGGTTCATCGATATATCTGACTTGTACCCTGTGATGCCCATGGCGCGACAAAGTCAACGTATTCAAGAATGCCAGGCGTGCCTCGGAGTCGCACGCTGGCGATCAGTTGAACATTTCGAGCAATCTTGACGGCCTGGATTGCTTTGTTAGACACCAGCCGGATCTGCGAGCAAAGACCTAATCCGCAGCTCAGCCATTGCTCGGTCAGTTGGTGTCCTTCAATTCGAGACAAATCTACTACCGATGAACCCAATCCCCCAAAAGTCAGGCCTTCAAGGATGTGATGGGTGCCTTAGGTGGTCGCAGTCGCTGGATGAAGCCATACAAATTTGGGGCATCAACACTGGCTGTAATAGGTCAAAGCTCTCTGGAAGCTTGCCCAGGTGACCCCTGCAGAAGGACAGTCTGTCCGCACCTTGTCTTTGAGGGTCTGGCTTAGCTAATCCCCGCCCCAAGCTTGCGGCAACGTAAGCGTTTCGCTAGCTCCAGTGCTCGTCCCTGAGCAACGTGGAGTCCAGCTTGCCCAGGTGTGACTTGAAGCAAGTGCCTGGTGAATCCCACTCGACATCAAGAAGCCCGACACCAGCTTCCACCACCGCCAATCGTGCCTTCGCGAGCACACGAAGCCAAGGGCATCACGAATTCGACTACTGCTGCGCAGACCGTCGATCGAATTGAGCTCGTTGCGGTATTATTGACACGGCAGAGCCTCCGTCGCCGCCCACGCCGTGACGCTGCATCCGCAGTAGCACCCCAGACTTCGACGCCCAAGCTCGACTTTCCGTTCTCCATTCACCATGAAGCTCCCTACCGTCGTGGCTGCGTGCCTCTCTTTCCTCGCACACGGCGTGGCCTCAGAATCTGCGACAACATCAAGATTGACACTCCCAGTCAACTTCAAACCGCCGCAGGTCTTCAAGAACACGAATGCGGTCCACCTCATTTCTCTCGAGAAAAGTTATGCCAAGGAGACAGTCAATGTAGTCATCGAGAATATCTCTCCCAAGCCACAGCAGGAATATTATGTTCCTTTCACAAGCAACCGTCTGGCTCATGTTGGCGGCTTCGAGGTGAAGGACAAGAAAGATGACGCGCTCGTTGGATTCGAGGTGGAGGCGGTCGAGTTCGACCCCACGAGGTGAGCATGAGCACATCATGCCCAGATTTTCAACCGCGAAAGTGTCATTTTTATAGCATCGAGCTGACCACATACCCTCGTAGCGATGTCCAGTACTTCCGAATCCGCCTTCCTGTCCCTCTTGCCTCGAAGGCGCAGCAGACCCTCGGTATTTCGTATTATGTCCTCGACTCTCTCAAGCCAATGCCTGCCTCCATTGGCCAGGCCGACAAGCAATATCTTGCCTACGACTTCTCGGCCTACTACCACTCTGCTTACCCGACACTGAAGCAGAAGACAGAGGTCAAGCTTCCCGGATCCGACGCTCCCGACTTTACTAAGGTTTCTGCTGGAGCAAAAGAGTTCCCCACGAAGCAGGGCTCGAAGCTCACATACGGCCCGTTCGAGACGGAGATTCCCGCTGGTGTGATCTCCCCTTCCAGGGTCCGCTACGAGTTCACACATCCGGTCGTCTACTTTGCCGAGCTCGAGCGCGACATTGAAGTCAGCCATTGGGGTGGCAACGTAGCTTTCGAGGAGCGCTACACCATGTACAACCACGGCGCCAACCTGACCACCCTCTTCAACCGTGTCAAGTGGGCTCAGTCGCAATACTTCAACCCTCAAACTTTTGCCCTCAAGGAGATGAAATTCCCCCTACGGGTGGGAAGCGAGGATGCTTATTTCACCGACGTCATTGGTAACGTCTCGACATCGAGGTTTAGGAGCAGCCTGCGCGAAGCCGTGCTTGAGATCAAGCCTCGCTACCCGGTCTTTGGCGGCTGGAAGTATCCGTTCACTGTGGGCTGGAACGCGGCAGCTAAGAACTTCCTCAAGCGAGCCAGTGGTGACACATACGTTCTGAACGTGCCGTTCCTGGAGGGCCCGAAGCTGGGCGAGGGTGCTCAATATGAGACAACAACCGTGCGGGTCCTCTTGCCAGAGGGAGCAGAGTAAGTTGAGGCCAGTTTCCAAAAACTTGCTTGGGATGTAGAGCTGACGCATGCCGAGCAGGAAAGTCAAGTACTTCGCCAAGATCCCATCGGACTCCATCACATCTGCCGTTATTGACGTGCAGAAGACCTATCTCGACACAGTCGGCCGCACAGTTGTTACCATCAAGTCGAGAAATTTGGTGGACGACATGCGCGGCCGTGACCTCGTCATCTCCTACGACTACAGCTTCCTCGCTAGCCTCCGCAAGCCGCTGGTCATCTTTGCAAGCACACTTTCGGTGTTTGTCGGCGTCTGGGCCATCTCCCAGGTCGACGTCAAATTTTCCACTAAGTAAGAGCATTGGGAAACGCAGGATTGCATCACGAAGGGGAGACGAAGAGCGATCGTCAAGGGACGACATGGTATGGTCCATAGACACAAAAGGGTGAACTGGCCGGATGATACCACGCATTGGCAGACGTAACAAGAAAATGCAAGATAAGCAAAATAAATCTTTACAGCCATGAAGAAGTTGCTGCCCAGGACGACGGTACCTCCAAACGTAGTGCATGCATGCAACCAGGACATTCCTCTGAGCGCGAGCTCGTCATGGGACTGGGCGACTTGGTCTCGAGGTTGGAGTCGTGCAGGCGGGCGGGGCGGGGCGCAGCAACAACGGCAGATGCAAGCTGACGTCGAGACGCTTCACTTAGGATGGGCACCGCAGACCCCTAGTTGGATCGGCACCTTCAGCGTGTGTGGCGCGAACGACGCCCGGTTTCTGTGTGTTTGGGTTCTTGCCCTTGTCAAGGTTCCATCCCCGAGGTGTAAAGCGCATACGTAGGACCCTTCCTGCAGCAGGAGGAGGGGTGGGCTGCACGGTCCTTTAGGTTCGTGATATGTAGTGCCAGTGCTGCGTATTGTGGGTAGGCAAGCCTGATCACATGGAAATGCCTGATTCACATGCTTGCCTTGTCGACGAGCAATGCAGACTTCACGATACATTGGGTTGAGCTGTTGATGAGTTGTTGAAGTGGCAATACAAGACACGTTCCCTCTCGACAAACTTTCTTCTCCGGGGCTCTTCCCTAGTTTCACCGTCAAGGGCCCATTGCGGATGATACTTCGTATTTTCTCTGAATACCATCGCTGTGACGATCCTCTTGTCTCTCGCATCAGTGTAATGGGGCTCAGAAAAAAAGGTTGACCTGGCTGACGACAAAAAGAAGGGGTCCAACCAAGGAATCCATGGTGGGTCCGCCGAGTTGAGATTGGCGGGAAGAACAATGGCCTTGTCTTTAATGGTTCTCTTAACACCCAGGGTCACATTGCAGATGAACACGTACGTAGTCGGTAGATCCGCGATTCAGGGTGGTGGGTGATGCTGGGCGGGGGGTGGTTGTTCTTTGTTGCACACGACAGCCCGAAAGACGTCGGGAGACCCTTGGGCCCTGACCTGGACAGCAGGGGTCTTTGCCCGTTGTCACCTGCTCGTCTTTCCAAGGCTGTGGACTTCCCAATGCAGGGTCCAAGCCAGCAGATCCAGCCTTTCGCCAGCACCAAACACGAAGTAAGTGGAGGAGGTATGTCGTAATCCTCTTCACATTTCAAGAGCCTTTGTGGGCGTACAGGCTGCGTTGCAAGGCCAGGCTCAAGTGCTCGTGTCCGGCAGTGATGCCTGAACGCTATGGGGTTGAGAATGTTGCCACTTGCGAGAGGCGCCTGCCTCAACAATGGGAGTTGGAGATAAATACCAGAGCTCATCCCGCATTTCAAGATGAGTTTTGTCCTCGTCCATCACATTTCCAATACTATCAAGTTGCCCCCTTCACCTACACATCTGCAGTCCTCTGTCAAAAACTGGGACACGTCCTTGAGTCCTTGACGCAACACCCCTGCACTCCACATTACGCAGTAGCCTTGGCCAAAGCAATAGCCTTGGCCTAAGCAATAGCCTTGCTTCAAGCGCTCACCAGGTCCGGCTGTCAGCACGTACCGGAATACTAGGTTCTTAACAAAGTATATAAGTCGCGTCGAACAACGTCTTTCCAAAATGCCTGGCACCGTCACCACCAAAACCACCTACATCTCGACCAGCCCCAGTCGCTCTTCACAAAACATGTGCTTCCGCGCCGAGCCCGCCCACCACAAGGGCAACTACTACTACCACGAGGAGTACCACCCCGTGCGCAGGCACCACCACCACGGCCACCACCACCACCACCACAGCAGCAGCCGCTCATCGGTGCCCGTGTACGTGACACACAGTCCGCGCGTGAGCACGAGCAGCTACCGCGCCAGCGTGCCCGTCATTTACGAGACCCGGACCTCGACTACCCGCTACCGGCCATGAGTCGAGAGTCCCTGATAGAGACAGTCATGGGGCTACGCTAGCCAGCAACACCAACAGCGCCATTATTATTCACGACACGCCTGCCTTTTGTCTCTGAGCATCATTGTGGGCATTTTTCCCGGCGTCGGGAGCGGTTCTAACGCCAAATGAACGGCGTATCTACTATCGGGAGCGGAAGTCGTTCCGAACCCAGTTTGCTTCGAATTCATTTGGGCGTAATATCTTTAATTTCAATACTACCTGTATCTTCGACTGTATGATTCTTGGCACTGGCCTGTAGACAATAATATCATCAATTCAAAGAAAGCACATGCATCGCATCCTTCCCGTGGCTCGTGGTGGTGACCTGGAAGTTGGGTGTGCTTGTCACTACTAGCGCGAACGGCCAGACCAGGACGGGGCGGGAATGACGTCATGCCCCTCACGACCACCTGGGGCAGGGGCTGTCGTCATCGGTCACCTCTTCCGCCTGCCAGACTACGGCTTTCGACGGCGGCCCCCCCCCCCCCCCCCCTTTCGCATGCTCTAATTATGCGCTTCGGAGAGCGGGTATTCCGTCTGGTCTACCAAAGCTCATATCGAGAGCCACTGGCGCCGAACGACGACTCTATGCTGTATCTAGCATTCTGCTACAACATGGCGCCAGAGCTACAAGCCCCCAAGGTCTCGTAGAAACCTGCAATATTCAGCAAGGACGCCTGACACATTATCACATCATGCTCGCAGCTCCATGCTTGGATGTCTCGGGCCAAAGCCCGTAAATCGCAATTCTATAGAGAAGGCAGGGAACTAGAGCACCCAACCCCTCACCAGCTTGGCGGTGGTGGCAGACAGGCTGCCCGCCTACCCGAGAGTCACCTGGTTCTCCTCTGCGGGCAATGCCATCCTCTTGCCCATCAGCCTGGCACCCAGATGATTGCTCTTGAGACATTCCCGGCCTTCTCCTGCACCCGTGTACCACTCGAGATCTGTCAGCCCCACGCCCGCAGCGATCTGGAGCGTGCCGATCTCCGCGTGTCCGCGCCAAGCACCCCTGTAAGTCGTGCTGGAACTATTTGCACAGAAAACGCCTCTTGACGTCTACATCCCGTCGAGGTGTCCCAAAGAAGCTCTAGAGCTGCCACCGGGTCGGCCGTTCTGGTGACTAGCTTGCCCCAACAGCGTCGCGGGCTGCCAGTGCTGCTGCACCTGTCTCTGGTGCATAAAGGGCGAGCTACAAGATGGATGGCGCCGGGCGCTCTCGAGCTCGGTGCTCTTTCCCGCTGAATAACATTTTCTGACCTCGAGCAAGTGAGCAGTCGCAACTGCCTTTTAGAAAGACACCACCAACATCAAACAGCATTGAAGGACTCTGGGCACAATCGAAATAATCATGTAAGTCTGGCCACATCCATGGCGCGCATCCATCCACTGCAGCGAACCCCGCGAGTAGCAGCAATGGCGTCATCAACTGGGCGCCGCAACAGCTTCTTCCCAAACACAACCTGGTATCTTGCAAAGCCCTTGCCTCGCAGACACAGGCGACATGCACCCCGCATCGAACATGGTCGGCAGGAAAGAAGCAAAGATCTGTCACTGACTTATGGAACTCTGTTGTTCGCACACTGTAGGAACCGTGCTCTGTCAATTCGCTCCAATAAGGGCTCTGGCCAAGCCAACACGTCCGGCGGTGGCCGCAAGGGCTTCTCCTTTGCCTCGCTGCGCGGCTCGGTACAGCCGGAGCTGTCGCGCAAGCTCTTCCGTCTCATCAAGTCGACCAACAACCTCATCTCCCACCACGAGGCCGCCGGCAAGGAGCGCGTGTCCATCGCCACCCAGCTTTCGGAATGGGGCGAGCAGACTGGTGACGACGGCGTCTCCGACATTAGCGACAAGGTCGGCGTCATCCTCAGCGAGATTGGTGAGGTCGAGGAGGCCTATGCCCACAACCTCGACGAGGCCCGCGGGGTCCTCAAGGCTATTCGTAACACGGAGAAGAGCGTCCAGCCCTCGCGAGACAACAAGGACAAGATTGCCGACGAGATCCAAAAGCTGAAGTTCAAAGAGCCCTCGAGCACCCGTCTGGTTGTGCTGGAGAACGAGCTCGTCCGGGCCGAGGCTGAGAACCTCGTTGCCGAGGCACAGCTGTCGAACGTGGTACGTGATGATGGTGGTCGTTGCTAATCGTGCGCGGAGGCTAATTGACTGGGGAAAACTAGACACGTGAGAAGCTCAAGGAGGCTTATGAGACCGAGTTTGCGGCCGTCATTGAACGAGCCGAGAAGCAAATCATGCTGGCCAAGCACGGTCGCCGCCTTCTCGCACTGCTTGACGATTCTCCTGTCACGCCTGGTGATGGTCGCCCCGCATACAATCAAGGCAGCCAGGCGAGGCAGATTCTTGATGACGCCGAAGATGACCTCAAGGCTTGGCAGCCACTGCTCGAGGAACACGAGGCGCAGTACGCAACCTCGTCGCACGAGACACCCCAGGCCACCTCTTCGAGCCAAGCCATTCCTCGCGGTCTGGCGGTCTCCACGGACGGGCAGAGCACATCCCAGGGTGGCGGCCTCGAGTCCAGCAGCATTAACACGGCTAAGGATAAGGAAGGCACTGAGCTCGAGGACCCTGCGGTGCCATCTCAACCGTCATAGTGGACAGGTGTCCGGTGATTTGCCGTCATGGATCAAGTGTGCTGGGAATTCCAGGTGGACATGCGTCGTTATTTTGCTTGATTGTCTTGCTTTTGTCACCCTCAGGTCGGGGTCTCTCCCGCCTGTTCTGTGAACGTTTCCGGGGTTTGAACTAGGAGAGGACGTCGCAGGGGATGTAGTTCAAGCAGCGAGTTGGAATTATCCTTGTACCGACGTAATTGGTAATTTTTGTTAAGAGTCAGTAACTTCGAGGACTTGTGACAGTGTTCTTGACGATCCGAGAGCTGTAAGCAGAACATGCAGTAAAGCAATATATCGGGGTGAATTGTATGCATCAATCCCATCCGGATACTTTATTGTGGGTCACAGGCCAAGCTCCCCCTGTCTAGCTCCGAGATGTCGAACTCCGGCCCTGCATGACGATCGGAGACAATATTGACCATAGCTATTGAGCAGCCCAAGAAATGGAGGCTCTCGTTGTCTCGAGGCGACAGTTGGCACGGCCAATGCTCCAGCTCTGCCGGAGCTGCAGTCGCCATTTGCGGACACGACAAGCTCGTAGAACATATGCGAGCACAACATCACAACCAGATATTTACGATGTGGTCTGCGTGGGCGGCGGCCCAGCCGGCCTGAGTCTCCTCACAGCCCTTCGTAAGTAATGATCTCACAACATGTTTCTGTGTTTGCTCTGATTGCTACAGTCCTCGCCTAGGAACCTTTGGCTAATCTTACCGATTTACAGGCTCGAACCCGACAACAGCAGGTCTCCGAGTCGCCCTCGTCGAGGCGCAGGACCTCTCCAAGACCCGAGGCTGGAAACTCCCGCCCGATCGCTTCTCGAATCGATGCAGCTCTTTTACGCCGACCTCGGCGAACTTTATGAATACCATTGGCGCATGGCGGCATCTCCAACAGGACCGAGTACAGCCGTACCATGAGATGCAGGTCTGGGATGGCGTCAGCGGTGCGCGGATCGAGTTTGACTGGGAGCCGCGGCAAGATGGACATAGCGACGGCGGCGGCAGCAGCAGCAGCAGCAGGACAATCGCCTACATGACCGAGAACCTGAACCTCACTTCCGGACTGCTCAGCAGACTCGACGAACTCGGCGGCACTGTGATCTACGACAACGTCAAAGTCGAGAACATTGCCTTTGGGGAAGAGAGCGAGGAAGACGGCGGCCTGGATCTGCGGGAGTGGCCGATCGTGCAGCTCACGGGCGGCAAGCAGCTTGCGGCGCGGCTCCTGGTCGGCGCGGATGGCGCCAACAGTCCCGTGCGCGCATTCGCGGGAATCGGCAGCCAGGGCTGGGACTATGACCGGCACGGCGTCGTCGCGACGCTGCAGCTCGAGGGCGCCGGATGGGGCGGCGACGACCTCAAGACGGCGTATCAGCGATTCCTCCCCACAGGGCCCATCGCGATACTGCCACTTCCCGGCAACCACGCCAGCCTGGTATGGTCCACCACGCCAAGCAACGCCAGGCTGCTCAAGAGCCTGTCCCCGCAAGACTTCATCGCGAGCGTCAACGCCGCGTTCCGCCTCGGCGTCACGGACCTCGAGTACATGCACACGCTCACGTCGGGCGGGCAGGCGGACGAGCTGAAGTGGCGGCTCGAGCACACGCGCCTCGACCCGTACGCGGTGCCGCAGGCCGTGGTCGGCGTGCAGGAGGGCACCGTGGCCTCGTTCCCGCTCAAGATGCGCCACGCGGACACGTACATTGGCGAGCGGGTCGCGCTGGTCGGCGACGCCGCGCACACGACGCACCCGCTCGCCGGGCAAGGGCTGAACCAGGGCCAGGCGGACGTCGAGAGCCTCGCCAGGACGGTCGAGTATGCCGTGGCGCACGGCATGGACATTGGCACGCAGCTCTCGCTCGAGGCGTACAACTCTGAGCGGTACGCCGCGAACCACGTCCTGCTCGGGGTGATTGACAAGCTGCACAAGCTGTACTCGGTGGGCAGTGGGCCGCTCGTGCCGCTGCGGTCGGTCGGGCTGAACGCGGTGAATGCGCTGAGGCCGCTGAAGCGGTTCTTCATGGAGCAGGCTGCTGGAAGCGGTGGAAAGATGTTCTAAGTGTCCAAGGCGGTTGGGAAAGAGGAGCTGACGGTCCCATGAGGAACGCCGTTGTACTTGATATTGTAAGAAAGTGTGATGTTATATTGTCTCATTGCGCAGGAAGAAGCGATTTCTGTGATCGTCAATGCTGAACTATCCATACACGCATGGATGTCTCCCGGTGAACCCATCTCGCTATATGGTTTGCCAACATTGGCCGTGGCCGTGGGATACTTGCTTGAATGAGCACAAGCTTTGTCAAAGACTAGGGACGGATATTCTCTACTATAGATCAGATCATGGGTCAACGTGGAGTTCTTGATTCGACGATCTCGCTTACGCCTCAAGTCGATGCTTCGCTGGTGCTGAACATGTGCCACGCATGTTCGCCTCGTTGCGGAAACAGCAGAAAGGCCGAACGCAATCCCAGAAGCAAACAGCGCACCTTCCTCCCCCGATTTTGCGTGGCCTTCGCAGTAAGTTCAGTACGGTGAGCGCTTCACAATGAGTCCTGAATCGGACTGCAGCGTGCTTTTCTCCTCCCAATGTTACTGAACCATCCCGTTATGTGAGGACTTTCAAGCGCTGTCGTGAGGGCGAGGAAGCACATGGTTGTCATATTGGCACTGATGTGTGACGCATTTGGCCTGACTCACCTGACTGTGGCAGAAGACCAACTCCTCGCTTATGTCGACTTTCAATATTCCAGCAAACGGCAATTGCTGATTCGATATCGAATCAAGTCGATTTGCTCTGACGAGGAGAAATACCATGCTGGTTCTGATTTGTATAAATGTCGTTTCACGAAACCCTCGTAAAAGTGATCAAGCACTTCGCGTCCACTTAGCTCAACAACATCTTCATCTTCCTTCGCAGGCACACTCCACACAAGGCTGACTTATGGTGGCAATAGTACGAAGAGCGACACACGAAGAATATTCGTCTCTTCTCACGACTAGAAGTATATCTTGCTCAACGGCTGGTAAAGAGCCGCCGCAGTCACAGTTGCATCGTTACATTTCTCCGAGCCAGGTGCCACAGTCACCTTCCGACAGAGACAATACTTTTGGGTTCACCATTACCACTGAAAACCGCCAAGCGCAGAACGACAAGAGCATCTTGATAGTTCGAGCTGCATTCACAGCAAGATGTGTATCGTCGAGTTCATCGCGTATACATGTGGCCATCGGAGTATCCCTGTCCACCGGCCATGTCCGATGACAACACATCTCCACACGAATCCTGTCTGCCCGCCGGTGATTCCTTCTTCAAGTAGCCCTTCTGAAGCCTTGGACTCCGCAAGGACCCCGATGACAGCCGAGGATTCTGGTCATATCAGTGCGGAGGAAAAACGAGTGCAGACATCGTTCCCGGAGACGGTCACGTACGCAGATGCGATGTGCACGGCGTGCTCGCGAATCCTCCATGCGAACTGGGTCAACATCCTCGAGTATGAACATCGCTGGATGCATGAGCGCGGTGCCTGCGGATGTCCGGTGGTGTTTCCGGCGCTGATGGGGCCGAGAGTCATCGACGGTGGAAGAAGTGCTGATCGTGGTGATGACGATCCTCACTCTGAGTATGACAGAGTAGAGAGATATCGGAGCCGGCAACAGCTTGCCGTTGCCGAACCCCAAGTAGGCTACCAGGGGAGCAACATGGGCTCAGATACAACCAATACTCAAGCAGCGAGAAAGGGTCGCAGGGTGAAGGCTAAGAACAAGAAATCAGCAAGAGACAATGGCTATACTACTACTCACCCGGCGGTAGCTCCTCTTTTCCAAGAGCACGGCCCGAACGATTCCCCAGACCCATATCGATCAACGCCGTCGGCTTCGTATAGAAGCCATAACAATACTGAGAGCCCCTATGACGACGACACGCACCAGATATTCCGTGTCGCGATTCGCCTACCAAGCTTATACGCTGCCGAGTGGACCCAGGACCACCGCCTGCGGCACGAGGACGGTCTCTGTCAATGTCCCGTAAGCTTCGAGCGATATCTCGCCGGGGATTATGACTATGGCGATCCCGAGGAAGATTCTGCGTTCGACCCGGAAGCCTATCATGAGCGGGATAGCGAGGTTGAGGTCGAGCCATACTTTTCTCCTACTGGGGATGTGACAGAGTACGAAGGCAGTCCTGACAGTCCTGCAGTCAACCAAGGCGCACATTCTTCAGATGAGCAAGATGAGTCTGAATGTTCAAGTGTCAAAGGTCTCACGGCACAGAATGAAGAAGAGAGCAGTAAGCGTACCGTCCCGCTCAGGATAGACGACCATTACACGTCGACAACTCCGGGTCCATCGAGACGGCGTTCAACAACTTTTCCAAGACGGTCCCAGAACGAGGATCAGGGACTAAGCTTCATGGAACGTGTAGCTGGCCCTGCTGCACCACAACCCGTGGCCACGACACTGTACAGTCGATCGGGAACCGCAGCATATACGCCATACAGCTCACCAAGCAAATCCCACGAACATGCTCATAATCAAGCGGGCCACAGCAACCGTAACTACAATCAGCATGAGCGACGCAAGGTCTCTCGAACGACGTATAACCATGCTCACCGACGACATAACCAGCAGCAACTCTCACGAAATGACTCATCTCCAGGTCGTGATAAGCGCTATGCTCGAGATGGCCAGCGTGGGGACCATCTGCCTACGAACACAACAGGCAGCGATGCAATGACGAATCGGCTTCCCATTGCGGGCTTCCCAATCGGCGCGGGCCCCGAAGGACACTCTCATGCCGGCGACTTTGAGGCATGTTGTCTGAGGCTGCCTAGCCTCAGGGAATCAGCCTCGCGCACAAATGAATCTTCTTAAACGCGAACCGTGGATCATTCACAGCAGTGAATACAGCCCGCCAGGCGAGTACGGCTACCACATCATTTTCGCCACGGACAAACCAAAGGGTTTTATCAGAAAGTATCATGCTGTTTTTACTTGGCAAATCTTGGCTGTCTCCCTCTCTCAAAGTTGTCAAATTTCTTCATTTCTATTCACGCTCAGACCAATCCAAGCAATGGGCCAGTCCGAGATGGTTCTGCTGGTATGAGCCTGCCTCTGATGATGATGTACACATTTTTGACAAAGCTGAAAGGGGTCAATGAAACCACATGCGATTTGCGTCACGGGAGGAGTGCTCATCCTCCCATCCTCTCCACCACTAAACGACTATCTGGCAGAACCAGATATCCACCGACCTCGTCTCCTTATTCACTCTTTCCGCCATCCAAAGGGCCCGATCATCTATCAACCTCACCTAGATGGGGAGTTAGCGAATGTTTTCTATTCGACAAAATTGCAGCTGACGGCGCAGCAGTGAAAGAGACTTACCAAACACCAAGTCCATAGTACCAATGACCGCCACGGCGTCGGCAAGCAAGTGGCCCTTGGCAACGTGGTCGAAACCACCCAAGTGAGCGAAACCGGGAGCACGGATAGCGCACCGGTATGGTCTCTCACTGCCATCGCTGACGACGTAGACGCCCATTTCTCCCTTGGGAGCCTCGATAGCAGAGTAAGTCTCTCCCGGTGGTACCGAGTAACCCTTGGTGTAGAGGAGGAAGTGGTGGATCAGGGCCTCCATGTTCTCCTTCATCGCGGCGCGGGGAGGGGGCGAGATCTTGTAGTCCTCGACACGAACAGGGCCAGCGGGCATGTCGTTGAGGCACTGGTGGATGATTCTTAATGACTGACGGAACTCCTCCATGCGGCAGAGATAACGATCGTAGCAGTCGCCATTGACACCGACCGGGACGTCGAACTCGACCTTGTCATAAGCATCGTAGGGCTGGCTCTTGCGGATGTCGTAGGGGACACCCGATCCACGAAGCATGACACCAGAGAAGGACAGGTTGAGGGCATCGGCAGCCGAGACAACACCAATGCCTTGGAGACGCTCGATCCAGATACGGTTGTCCGTCAACATCTCCTCAGTCTCGTCGATCCGGTCGCCGAACTGGGTGGCCCACTGGTAGATATCATCGAGGAGACCGACAGGGATATCCTGGTGGACACCACCGGGGCGGACGTAGGCGGCGTGGAGACGGGCGCCAGAGACACGCTCGTAGAACTCCTACATGGCAAACGTGTTACTACTCTTGATTCTGCGGTTGATATCACAAACATTCAAATCAAGCGATGCATTCTTACCATGAGCTTCTCCCGCTCCTCGAAACCCCACAGGAATGGTGTCAGGGCACCGACGTCCATGGCGTGTGAAAGGACAGACATAAGGTGGTTGAGGATTCTTGTAATCTCGCCAAACAGTGTGCGGATATACTTGGCTCTCTCGGGAATCTCAACGTTGAGGAGCTTCTCGACAGCCAGCGAGAAGCACTGCTCGTTGGTCATCATGGAGACGTAATCCAGACGATCGAAGTAGGGCAGAGCCTGGAGATAGGTCTTGTACTCGATGAGCTTCTCGGTGCCACGGTGCAGCAGGCCGACATGGGGGTCGGCACGCATGATCTCCTCTCCGCTGATCTCAAGGATCAGACGCAACACGCCGTGGGCAGCGGGATGCTGGGGACCAAAGTTGACCGTGTAGTGGCGGACCTTGCGGGTGGCGACATCGTGCTCCTGCTCGTAGGACTCATCGACGCCCTCGGTCGGGACGATTGTGGTGCGGGCGTTGGGGTCGATGGCGACGGCCCGGCGCAGGGCAGTCTGGGAGAGGGCGCGGCGCGCAACGGGCGTGGTGGTCGAGGGCCGGAAGGAGGATATCCGGGAGGGCGCGGCGGCGGCGAAGTGCTGGAGACGCCGGGCGCCGCAGCCGGCCATGCGATAGAGCGACGCCATGATGCCGTCGAGGGTGGCTGTAGGCGATGGGCGCGTCAGGCGATGCGCAGCTCGGTGCTGGTGGGAGCAGAGACGGTGGCTGCTCCGGGCTTGGCTGGGTCTCGTTGCTCGATATCGTGGATAGTGCTGTAGCTTCGGATGCCTGCGCCCGTGCAGCCAGTAGCCCAGCAGTAGTGATGATGAATTGGGGCAAATCGATTGGATGTGCGGGTCATGGCCAGGCTAGCACTGCCATTTTTCCTAGGCGGGTGCTGCTTAGGCAGAGTTATGCACCAATGGGGGCGAGCCGGGGCCCGTGCCGGGTAGGCGTTCCGTCCCAGGAGGCGGCGGAAGGAGCGCTCGGCGCCGGGAGCTCCACTTTTGACACCCTCGCAGGACCGGAGCACAGGCTCGTGTAAGTCGCCAGCGCTGCACTCTTTCCCATCACGATCCTTGACTTCTGCAGATATCACACCGCATGAATGTCTTTTCTCATATTCTGTCTCGATTCCTCTATCTGTGGTTATGCCGAGTCTTCGCCATGACCGTAATGCTGATACATCTGGTTGCCATGGCCGGAGCCCCTTCCGCCAGCCATCGTGGCTGCTTGGTTCTGTCGTTACCTGACGGAGAAAGGTGACCTTGCGATCAGCAAGGGGAAAGAGCACAGGGCTATCTCCCGTTCCCTGCCTGCCTCTGTATGTGCTACATGGCCGTCTCCAACAGGCACGCAAGATGCCCCTCTTGGCTGACATTAGCTATCGGAGATGAGCCCAATACTCTCTATCCCCAATATTCACATTATGCTATACCACAAGTCGTCTCCGATGCTCCAATCCATTCGCAAAACATACATAATATCCTGATGTTGGCCGACATTCTCATTATGCTATCGAATTCAAACACTGCCCAACCTCTCTCGCCTGGCAAAAGCGCAACTTCAAGTCGAGTCTTCAATGCCAACGCAAAGCCCGGAAACCGAAAGATTGAGAATGAGCGTGCCGCCCATAACAAAAATGGACGGCTCTAAGCATCCTCCCACCGGCTACGTGTTCCGTCATCGTCACGGCGCTTATCGAACAACACCCTGGCGCCCAAATGGACACGCCGCTGCCGACTTGAGCAACAATGCCGTCAACAATGCCACCGATGAGACCACCACCCACAGCTCCCAGCAAACGCTACCGGGAACAAATCGAACAACTCCCCGAGAATATTCTGAGATGACACGATTCTCCAAGCTGTTGGTGATGTACAGCAATGACTTGGACACGTGGTCCAGAGCTTCCTCCTCGCCACGAAACCATGGACGAGCCAGAGAAATCAGACAACACAGAGTGACCGACAAGGCCTGGAAACGCTTCGTTCTGACCTTGGTGCAAGGGGCACTGCCCGGAAAGCTGATCAGCATTCTCCAAGGCCATTTCCCCGCAGCACGGGACAGCAACCAGTCAACTGCCGGGCACACCAGCCAACAAGTCATAGACAATCCGACGACATCGGATGGTGTTCACCTTCTACCATCAGATCTCTTTTCAGAAATCATGTCTCCGGAATCTTCAAGTCGACCTGTGCAGCAGAGCACCACAATAAGGCCTGCACTGCTCCCTCGCCAAATCGCGACAGATTCACCCGACAATGTGCACTTTATTCAGAGTGCGCAGATCGACCGCGAAACCACGCTCTTCGCCCCCCATGTGCTTGAGCTGGTGGTTGAGCTGGCTCAATACAGGATAGTTTGGGATGCTACAACTTTTCAGAGAAACTTTGGACGCGACCACGAGATATTCGAGAGTGAGGCGTCCTCAACAACTATGAGGCTCTCTTTCTCGAAGGACGTTCCCCGACTGTGGCATTTCAAGGCGGCCTTGGCCGACAGAGTCCATTACATTAGCAGATTTAGCCGGTGGTACGCTGAAGCGAAAGAAGGATTCCCGGCTGCAAATCGCCCGTTCATCGACTGGCCACACTTCTCCAGCGCTGACCTGACTTTGGATGCATACCTTTTCCGCACAGGGATTCTGGATGAACAATATGCGCGAAGCAATCGCCCTTTTCGATACCGGGATGACATCCTTTGCCAAATGTATGGTCTGGGTCTCCACGAGCTGGCCTGTATATTGGACGAACCGAACGAAGGCGAGAAAGTGGAGTATATACAGACGCTCGAGACCTTCCACACATTGACTTGTGTCCTTGGACCGACACCTGTAGAGGATATTGCGGAACAGACCACGTGGGTGTCCTTTGCAGTCAGAAATCATGCCCTTGCTCTTAAGGGGATTTCCAAGGCCGGTAACGTATTTCAGACGCGCAAGGCTAAGCAACGCGAGTTCACCATCACGAAGCTCCTTGTGGACGCTGTCGTCAATAATATTGAGTCCGTTGCAAAAGCCACAGGCAGACATCCTTGCCGTAGCATTCAGCAGCAGTGGCGCTGCACCGACGGCTCCATCAAGGAAGGCGACTGGGACAGACTGCCCAACGCGGACAAATACAGACTTCTTGGATACAATTCCGGCTTGATCATGCGCTTTATCGGTCATGGACCACAGCCAACATGGTTGCAGCAGCAGAAACAGCTCCAGGCTACATCTGGTAGGCTTGCGTACAACATGGACGTTCCCACGCCTGATATCAACTCTCGCCATTCACAGATTGCCCTGCGGCCACAATGGGCGGAAGCTGGGGCGAGAAGCCCCCATTCTGTCGCCCCTACAGACCAGAAATCCCAAGTCTACCACGAACGTTCTGGCCGACCATCCTCTATCGGTGGCATGGGAAGCCAGTGGTCTGTGAATCCAAACAACCAAACTTGGCAGACAGCAGCGGCACCCCCGGCAACTCAGTATCAGCAGCAAAGTGCCCAAAGACCTACGACGTACTCAATCCCGCCATTTGAACCACGTCAGTCTCAGCAGACACAGGATTCCGAGCGTGTCGGGTACTCCCATCTCAAGGCTTTGGCCCTACGTCTGCAATCCAATCGGCGCGTTACAACAAGTCAAGCATCGAATATCCAGAGACACGCGAGTGGCACGGTAGCTCATCGTCGATCAACGATTCCTCCAAGCGCTGGGTCTGTTGGTCCAGGACACGGTGTCGCAAGCATGGGCGGCACTTTCGATTCCGTCGGCGACCATGCCAGGCATGAGACCAGCACCAAAAGCCGCAGCAGTACCGAATACAATACCACACATAGTGGCGATGCCAGCACCAACGCTAGCACCTGGACCACCCAAGCTGCTCTCCCTTTTGATCATCCTCGAATCCGCGCCATATGGGGGGTTGGCAACGGTGACAACAACAGCCAAACCCCTTCTAGGACCAACATCTGGGCTCCGACCGCCGAGGAGATCGCGATGCTCTCGCAGCGCCAGACGAACGGCATGACTGCTAGAGTGGGCCTGGGATCAATACTAGCTGCTTATCCCATTGGCGAGGAGGAAAATTAGTGACTATGGTCACTATATGCCTGCGCACGTGCGCTGACCAAGGAATTGAGGGTGGCAAGCCACCATAGACCACGTGAGGAAGTGTAGGATAACCGAGATCGTGACTGGTCCTTGTTGTCCTAGCCTAAACATTCAGTTCTTGGACAGCGAAGTCCACATACGCTAAAAATGTTAATTTAAGCGAGGTTTGGCTTTTGTAGTTAGCAATTTGATATTCTTTCAGTCCAAATCAAGAGTCGTCCTTGAGTGTCTAAGTGCTATGTAGACCCTCTAGCCATCTTCGACGGCTCCTCTCTACTTGACTGGCACAGCCCAAGTTCCTTCGATATCGCATTGTGGTCGTCGGGCTTTGCTCAGCTTGTTCAACCATGAAGCATTGCGTACCAAAAATGCGATACCTGTGTTAACCTCGGTTCTCACCTAGCTCTCGCCAAGCGTTGCCAGGTATGTTTACTTATTCCTCAGTTCAAAGTATGTCGCGGCGGCGGCATCGATGATCTTCTTGACTTCTACGGCTGGAATCTTCTCCTTGCGGTCGAAGGAGTAAAGACCGTTGACCTCCTGCTCAATATCCGTTCTGTTTGGGGTTGCGAGAGATTAACACATGCCTGTTACTTGACTACTAGTATGCCCAGATCACCAACTTTCCCATCATAACAAGATATCTGAACATGATGATGGCAACATGATAGAAAGAGAACGGACATGAAAGGGGGTTGGGGGAACCCAAAGGAAACAACGCAGCCAGTGGCAGATAGAAGAGAGCAACAGAGAGAGCCAAAGACACACAAAAAAAAGCCGGAAAACTCACAATTGCGTGTAAACGAACCCGCAGCAGTGGCCGCCCTTGACCACAGCCATCATGAGCCCCTCGATACGCCTGAGAAGATCACCCGGGTCCGTGGCGGTCGTGTACCCCCAGTCACGCTCGTTCCCGTGCTTCTCCGCGGGCGGCGCGATGTTGACGCCGCCAAACTCGGTACATATCACCGGCGCACCAGGTTTATGGCGGGCGCCCGGATCCTCGCTGTCGCCGCCGCCGCCGCCGCCGGCGTCTATGGACTGCACGAACAAGTCCCGGCCGCCCGCCATCTTCCCGAGGATTCCCCCCTCCAGGTCGGCGCACATCTCTGCGAGCTTCGGGCGGTCCTCGTAGCTGTGGAACGTGGTCAGGTCGGTGACGACGTGCTCCCAGCCGCAGTTGTCGTTGATCGGGCGCGTCGGGTCGAGCGTCTTGGTCAGGAAGTACAGCGAGCGGAGGTGGTTGCGCTGGCGGGCGCTGTCCTTCAGCGACGGGTAGCCCCAGCTCTCGTTGGCGGGCGTCCAGGCCACCACGCACGGGTGGTTGATGTCGCGGCGCACGGCGGCCGCCCACTCGGCGTCAAAGCTGGCCGCGTAGCTGTCGCTGAACTCGTACGCGTTGGCCATCTCGCCCCAGACCAGGTAGCCCAGCTTGTCGGCCCAGTAGAGGAAAGTCGGGTCCTCGACCTTCTGGTGCTTGCGGCACCCGTTGAAGCCCATCTCCTTGCTCAGCTCAATGTCGAGCCTGCAGCTCTCCGGGGTCGGGGGCGTGAGGCCCGTCTCGGGCCAGTAGCCTTGGTCGAGCACGAGGGCCTGGAAGAGGGGCTCGTCGTTGAGGTAGACTGTGCTGTCGCCACGGTCCCATGCAATCTGGCGGAAGCCAGTGTAGGTGTTGACTTCGTCGAGGGTGTTTCCGGCCGCATCTAGAAGACGGATCTTGAGATCGTAGAGGTTAGGAGTTGAGGGCGACCACAGAGCGAGACCATCTCGCCAGGACTCCGCTCCTGATGAAGCCAGCTGGGGCAGGGACGATTTCCAGTCTTCGCTCAGTCTCAATGCCAGGTTGACCTGGACATAGTCCTTCTCATTCGGCAGCTCTACCTTGGCACTGTTGACGACTTGGCCCTGAAACAATCCCTTAATCTCAACGCTGTACTTGTGCCCAGCTCTACGGCCGGGGACAGCAATCTTGGCCGACAGGACGCATTCCGCGATGTTTGTGGCGTCTAGGGTCGTGCCAGCACTCCCGTCGCCAATGCGAGCCGAAGGGACCACCTCACACCACACGGGCTGCCAGATGCCGCTGGTCGGCGTGTAGAAGATGCTCTCCGGCTGCGGCGCCCAGTACTGCTTGCCTCTCGGCTGGGCAAGGTCGTGCGGCGAGTCCCTCACCCGCATGACGAGCCGGACATCGCCCTTGCCCGTCGTAGCCAGGGCGTGGGACAGTGCGTCCGTCACATCCAGCTCAATCGGGACGTGTCCCCCCCGGTGAGATCCCACGAGGACGCCGCTCGCCCAGAGCGTCATGTCGTAGTCGACGGCACCGAAGCGGAGGATGACCCGCTCGGCACTGCCCTCGGGCTCGGCCCGGCCACGTGGATCTGTGAAGGACCGCTCGTACCAGAGCACCTCGTGCGCTTCATTGTCGTGGATGCCCGAGGCCGGGGTCTGGAAGGCGAATGGCACGTTGATCGGACACTTGGCGTGCTCTGTGGCCGAGGCCTTCTTGTGCTTGGTCGTTTCGAACCCCTTCTCTCGCAGCTCGGGAAACTGGGAGAGAGTCTGGGCTTCTGCTTCAGTCAGAGCCGGTTCGTTGGTCGAGGCCGGTGCACCGAATGTGACCTTGTCGGGTACACCCTTGATATGCCAGAGTTGCTCCAGACCGACATCGTCGTCGTCGTATAAGATGGTCCAACCATCGTTCAGGGGCGACCATCGATTGTTAGATCGTACAAAATCAGGGCGAGGGTAGAAGTCTTTTGACTGGTAAGACATTGTGCAGCTGAGAGTGCCTGGGGTTTTCCACGCTTCTATAAATCCGGTTGGATAGCCACAGATTGTCAGCAGATCAGTAGAAATATAAAAATGCGATTTGGTAACAAGGTCGCTTGTAAGTGGTATTTTAAATAAACGTCGTATGGTCGAAGCAGTTGGCATGTGTGGAAGCACAACAACGTGGCTCAAGACAGGCAGGGCGGGGAAACAAGCTGCAACGAAAGTCGCCGTGGATCATTATTGGGTCGACATCTGCGTATCAGAAGTGATCAACCTCGTTGCAGTTACATGACGGATCAATGGTGACCAGCCGTGAGCATACGTAGTAGGCGATGGAGCAGGACGGCGGGGCCTCCTGCATGCGAGCCCTGCAGGTCGGGGTTGAATGAGGGGAACGATGCTAGGACAAGGATCACTTGTGGAGACCGTCCCCGTTCACATCGACTCCTTTGATGTTGCCCAGGCAGTTGGTCCAGAGAGGACAGACTACATGCCCTCGTATGGATTTCACACCCGTTCCAATCACGACGCATTTGGTAGTCAGCCAGCTGGCCAGTGGAAAAGATGGCCGTTGCCGGGATCATGCTCGTCTCGGATTCTGCCTGTCCGTTCAAAGCTTGATAGCAACTCTTGGTCAATTCATAGTACCAGTCCTTGATTTGATACTGATATTATCACAAAACACATCCGGCTTCTTGATCCACATGAATGAGAAGGAATTCCGCATTATTCCCAGCAACGCCAACGCACGATAGCAAGTAATCTAGCCCAACACCATCGTACTCCTCAGGCGTCTCTCATGATCGTCATCTCTTCACATTTACAACCAAAATATCGATCCGCAGATTTGCCCCTCTCCGTTTAGGCCACTCCAGTGACCCGCCGGACACTCTTGCGCGCACCTTCGCCGGTGATCATGACCAAACCTTCCATCTCGAGGGCCCGCATCGTCTCTGCAAAGTCGGCTGGCTCCACCGCGAGACTTGAGCCCTCTGCCAGGCGCTTGCTGACCTCACTGAAGCGAACACTATGTCCACCACTGGTGAGCTCGTCAAGCAGACGAACGACTGCGTCCTTCAGCTCAGACTTGCGCTTACGATCGGCCGCACTGGTGCCCTCAGTAAGCAGGCTCATGTCGATCCTGCCTTGGGAATCTGTAGCAGCAGTCTTCAGGGCAGACTGAATTAGACGCTCGGCCTCTAGAACGTCAGCCTTCGAAACAGTGTCCGAGAGGCGCATCTTGGCATGTGCCTCAGCAAGACGAATCATGGACTCGAGTTGTCTTGTTGTAGCAGTGATCCGCTTTTCAGCCGCCCGAACGTCCTGGCCAAGTTTCCGCATACCCACGTACGCCTCAACCAGCGCAGCTGATGCCTCTTGAGACAGGGACGGGTGGATATTGGATTTGGCGTACGAGATGTAGGAAGTCAGGAACTCGACAGGCTATACTATATTAGAACCGAAGGCCGAGTTGAGTTGTTGTGAGGGGAAACTTACAAGTATATCCTTAGCTGTGGCAGCAGATTGAGGCTTGTCCTCGAGATACATCGACAGCAAGTGACGGGCAAGCCGCCGGTCCGTTGACTCGTTCACGCGATCAAGGACAAGGTATACCAGATCGAAACGAGAGAGCAGTGTCGGCGGCAGATCGATATTCTGGGGAACTGGCAGATCGGGGTTGTAGCGCGAGCCGATGGGGTTGGCGGATGCCAGAATACTTGTTCTGGCATTGAGCGTAGTGATGATACCGGCTTTGGCCACGGAAACAGTCTGCTGCTCCATGACTTCGTGAAGCACAGATCTTGTCGAGTCATTCATTTTGTCGAACTCATCAATACAGCAAACACCGCCATCGGACAAAACAAGAGCGCCAGATTCGAGTACAAGCTGGCGGGTCTCGGGGTCGCGAGTAACATAGGCAGTCAAACCAACTGCGGAAGAGCCCTTGCCACTGGTATAGACGCCGCGGGGCGCGATCTTGTGTACGTACTGGATGATCTGAGACTTGGCAGTCGAAGGATCACCACAAAGCAGCACGTTGATGTCGCCGCGGTACTTCGGGCTGCCTCCCTTGTGGAATGTCTTGTTGGTACCGCCGAACATCTGCAGGAGGATGCCCTTCTTCACGTCGTCCATCTCGTAAATCGATGGAGCCAGAGAGCGGGCAAGCAGATCATAGATGTCTGGTCGAGCCGCGGTCTCCTTGATCTTCTCTTCCATTTCAGGGGTTATTTTGCGCACCTCATCAATGTTGTTGTCGGCATCAACGGGCTCTTGATCCAAGGTCGAGACATCCGCGTCAAGGCGTTTATTGTCCACCTTGGCAACATGAACCACATCCACGAAGGTCTTGAATACACTCTTCACAGAGCGTTGGCGTGGGTTGACCCTGACTGGACTGACACGGAAGATTCCCGTAATCTTGATCCGATCACCAGCTTTGCAGAAATCCACAAGCTCATTGTAGACACATACGGACACAGAGTGTGGAGTCTGGCCAGCAGGCACGGCGTCAGGTGTTTCCTGTAGCTTGATAACCTGCTTGTCTTCAAACTCGCATCGGTTGTGAACAATTTGCATCGAGTTCTTTGAGCCACACATCGGTCGAGGACATTCGGTGGGTTCCCGAATCTTTCCACGATCTAGGCCAACCAAAAGAGAATGGCTGCAGACAGCACATCGGAAGAAGGCCTGTCTCATATCCGGGATGACGGGTGTCGCGCGAATGACGAGTCCCTTAACGCAGACAAGTTTGTCCATATCAGATGGATTAAGGTCCCGCATATTCGTGGCCTTGTCCAGGCCAAAGGGACGAGTCATGTATGTTTGATCCATGACTTGCTCTTCAAGCGTCGGGCCCTGCTGAGGTCTGGCAGCTGTAGGTTCCTCGCTCCGCTCTGAGCTGGGAAACTGGACATCGGAGCTCTGGCTGTTGGTGGGCTGAGAGGCACCATTGCTTTGGCTTCTCTCTCTAGCCATCTCCGCTTGCGCAAGCTCGATCATCACATCATGGACAGATTGATCCATCAGAGGAACAATTTCCTGCGGGTAGTGCTGGATTTGGTGCCACATCTTGCGAGTAGGCGGATACAGCTTGAAGTCTCGGATATCCACGTAGAGAATGCGCTGGCCAAGGATTAACATGTTCTGGAGCTCCTCCCAGTATGGCTTCGATGGTGCTTCGGGATCGGCGTCGGTCTGCTCCGTGGTCATGCCGTCTGCCCACATCCGGTACTTCTTTGTAAAGTTCTTAAGGAAGTCCTTGAACGTCGCATATGTGTCGTCAATCGAGACCGTGGTACCCCAGATGGAAGCGTTGTCTTGGCCACCAATCCGATCCGCCTCTGAAGTGTTTGGGTTTAGGTTGTTGAAAGATACAGCGTCGGAGTGGATCTCGCGGACCACACGTCCGGACTCATCGAGGATGACTCTACTGGAGCGAGGGGTGCCACTCAAGACCTCCGAGTTGATATCGCCTCTGCGTCCTGTCCTTGAGGCTCTTGGCGTGCGGGACCCGACGAAAAGAGCACTGCTATCGCTTCTCAGGTCAGACTGAGGGTGGAGTGCACGACCTGGGCTGGAACTAGGCTCGTATCGAATAGGTGACGATTCTGCTCAATAAAGATATTAGTACCAGGTCGCATGCAAGTCTCAGGAGGCTTGACTCACCACCGAGCAGGCCATGACCACTCGCTCGTGGAGTACGATCACCGTCGTTGCGACTGGCATCGTGCGTGCTTTGGGAGTTGGAGAATTGTCGGAGTGGTGAGCTGGGAAGTGCTCCCGGTGTGCCAGCTGCACTACTTTGGTCGCCAATGTCCACTACTGGCGGCGAGGATGCTTGACTGTCTCCATTCGCAGGTGACGACTGGTAGAACAAAGGACTCGATGCAAGTTGCGAGGAGCGTGTGGCACGGGGAGTTCTTGTGCCTTGCGAAGTACCGTTTCCGTTGGGTGCTGGACTGCTTCGAGCCTGCGAGCTGCGGGTGCTCCGTCTTTGCGAAGGAGACGACATGGTTCTTTCGTGTCACCTAGCTCACGTATAGTAATCGTGGTGCGATTGTCGTGGGTGAAGTTGGTGATGATATGCGGGACAAGGGACAGGGAGATGTTGGAGAGGGGCGGAGAGCGGGACACGATGGTGGCATAATTAAGATGCAGGCCACCGCTGGTTGCTTGGGCAAAACACGCTTTCCAACCGACTTCGCGTCGCCAGGGGTTGGACGCGTCCAACTCGCGTAAAGTGGAAAGTTATGCAAGGCGGGGCATTTTATGTCAAGTATGGCACATGCGGCCGGCCAGTGGGTCCAGGGGTGCCGGACACCGCATTTTGAGGCTACCCTGCACGGTACCTATTGGGACAGGAGCTCCAGCGTGCCACGGAAAAGACACGGGGCAGGACCTCGAAGCAGGCCCCCTCGTCAAGGTATCGGTACCTGCGCTGACGGAGTTCAAGCACCACTTTCGAGCTCGCGAAAAGTAGTAGCTACATCCCTTGTACGCCGAGGGAACACCTCCAGGGGACTATCCACACACTTGCCCAGTGGCTGGCGATACGCAACTCCAAGCCAACCCACTTCCACGCAGCAAGGACACTCGTAGGGCCTATCTACATCGTCGACGACCACTTGCCGATCTGGCTTCGATTCCCCGACCGAAGAAGCAAATACTCAGCTGGACCACCGAACGACGGTTCGCAACTCAGCGCATCTACCCAATACTTGACCGAGCCCAGGCACTGCCAAAATCGCAACAATGGCGGGGATGAGCTTGTACAGCGTAAATGCTGTGTTGATCCTCTCAAACGACGGTGACCGGATATTCACAAAGTCAGTCGCCTATGTCGAGCGCCTTGCCCCCTTCTAGAGATCAACGAATTGACACTATGCCACAGATACTACAGCCCACCTCATAGCGCACCTGGAAGCGTAACAAGTCCCTATGCGGACCTCAAGTCGCAGAAGTCGTTTGAGAAGGGACTGCTTGAGAAGACAGTCAAGCAGACTGGCGACATTATCCTGTACGACAACCAGGTAGTGCTCTACAAGAGCGAGTCCGATGTGATGATGGTGAGTTGACACTGTTTATTCTCTGCACGAGAGACCATACAGCTCTCAGAAGGCGCTTTCCGCTGCTGACCATCGCGTGTGATTATAGTACGTCGTCGGAGGCGCGGCTGAGAACGAGGTTCTGCTCTACAACGTCATCCTTGCCCTACGTGACTCGTTACATCTGCTTTTCAAGCAGTCCGTTGACCGGCGCACAATAATCGAGAACTACGACCTTGTTTCCCTTGCCATTGACGAGATTGTCGACGACGGCATCATTCTCGAAACCGATCCGACGATTGTCGTCCAGCGATGCAGCAAGGCTCCTACACAAGACGTCAACCTGAGCAGGATCGATCTTAGTGAACAGGGTGTCAACAACCTCGCCCAGCTGGGCAAGAGCAAGCTGGCTGACTGGTTGCGACAAGGCTTGTAGAGCAATTTCTTGGAATTGAGAGGCGAATTCTGGATCTCCCTGGACCATATCTTAGTACAGGTTGACAGCCCGAGTAGTGCCATGACGCTCGCAATGCATTCCTGGGGTTTCCTTGCCGGCCTGCAAAAACTGACGAATAACGAGCTTTCCCACATCTTTCGTCCGCATTTCAAGTGGTATTTTGTGGTTTATATCTGGAGTGCATGATCGTTATGTATAATCATCTTCTAATTTGCGAAGCAGCTTTGCGCAACCTGTTCATGACGGCCGCACCGATATCTTCGTCATCCAATGTTCCCTCCACGAAAATGATGTCCACGCCCCGTCTATCAAGCTCCCGTAACGCTGAAAACAGTCCCTTAGCAATGCTCCGGGTATCTTCGCCGATGCTGATGTCTAATGTGCTGTCCAACCCGTTGCCTGTCGTGTCTGATGTAGCCTTGATCTCCTTCACCTCAAATTCGACAGTCTCGGAAAGATCCGTGTCTGAGCTCGCAAGCACAGATTTGCTCGTAGTCTCCGCCGAGTTTAGACCCGCACCGTATGCCCAGAACCGAGTCCGTATGATACCGATCCGAGGTCCCCTCGTCCTTGCATTGTTCGAGTTTGAATCTTGTCTAGCAGACCATTCCTCGTGGAAACTGGCGATGTCTTCCGGAAGCACACCGCGCCTGCCATTCGTAAAAGACGCCTCGTACAGAACGACCTTAGCCTTAGGGCTATAATGCTTGTACTTCATACCAGGGGCTCGCGGTGCCTCCTTGCCAATCTCGGCGGCGTCCTTGTATGCCTTCTGCACATTCTCCCAGCCTGGACAAGCCCGCAGCTCATCAATGCTGACGCCACCTGGACGCAGGACAACGGGCGGGTCGGACATGCCGTCTACCACGGTGCTCTCGACGCCAACGCTGCACGGCCCTCCATCGAGGATCAGCTCGATCCTACCGTCCAGATCCTCCAAGACGTGTTGCGCGGTTGTAGGTGACGGCTTGGTGGAGGCATTGGCGGAGGGTGCAGCCAGAGGTGCTCCTGCGAGTTTGATGAGAGATCGGGCAAGCGCGGACGCCGGCATGCGGACACCAAAAGTCGGCAAGCCGGCCGTGACTTCGGGCGCCAGAACCGATGGCGTCGGGTTCTTGAGCAGAATCGTCAAAGGGCCGGGCCAGAAACGCTCAATAACGGGCTTGTATATCTCAGGCAGAAGATTGACTTCTTGGTGCTCTGGTATCCTCGTGCTGTCATGATGTTCGCCGGACAAAACACTCTGCAGCATGCTAAGATCTGCAATATGAATGATCAGAGGATTGTCCGACGGGCGTCCCTTGGCAGCATAGATGCCCTTGACAGCAGCTGACCGAGTCGCATCCGCACCCAAGCCGTAGACGGTTTCTGTCGGGAAGCCGACTGGGCTATCCTTCAATCGCAGTGCCTCTGCTGCTTCATAGAGGTGTGCTAAACTTTGGGAATCCTGGTTGGCGTTGACATGCCATGTGTAAAGATTTTGTGTATTGTCAAAGCGGCCAAGGTCGGCGCTCGAGACTGGAAGGATCCGAGTCTCCATTTGTATGGGCAAATCCCGGGCCATTTTGGAGTAGGCAACCGAGGATACTCTTACAATGAGCGACCGAAAGCGCCAAGTATTGAAGAGAGCCAACTTGAACGATATCGTGATGTACTTGATTGTGTTCTAAGTGGGATGCTTATTCTCAAGTATGGTGACGGGCGTCAAATTGATTGCAGCCGTACAGAAATACTTGAGTCTTCGTGCTCGTGGATTAACCGAGAAGACAGCAGATTGCGGGGTGTCGTTGGATATGAGAGGAATCTTCTCTTGGTTAACGAGGACTGTACATGCTTTGACTCATCGTAAATTTTCGAGAGTCGCAAACCTCAGCATCTGGACAAGACGTCACGCCCAATCGGGTGGAAACTCTGCCCAAGCTAAATCGCAGGGGTCCGCCAGGGGGCCTGTAAAGGCACTAGCTCCTGCTAGGCTTAGTGCTCAAGCAGTACTTAGCGGATACTTGCAATGGCTGCTACATCTGGCCCACCCAGATAGCTGCTCAGAAGTACCCACCGGGTATTTTGTCGCAGCCTTGTGATGCGGCGACAGCTGTCGGGTTCAGCGTCCACGGTGTTAGTGAGGGACACCACGAACAGGGAGCGCTCAAGTGCCAGGTGTTCGAGCTTCCAGGATCACCACGACCGACTGCAACGAGATTGACCAGCGGCATAGGAGCAAGGGCGTTCGACATGCGCCTCTCGCAATCAGCGCTCCAATGTCCGCCCTCAGCCTCCTGAACGGCGATTCTCTTGCCCCTTCCCCAGGCGGTATCGGCAATGCTGCCTTGCCAGCTTGGAAGCCGAACAGCTCCAGCTCACCCTCGACCGGCCCCTCCATTCACGATGCATCCTCCCTCGACGATGTCCGCGCAACACTCGCCGCCCTACATACACGGGAATCAGCCGTTACGACGCGTCTGAATGCCCTCTTGTCCTCACAAGCCGATCTCTCCCGCGAATTGGGCAGACTCGATCTCTTGCGTGCAAACCTCGGCACACAGGTGATCGCAACTCGATCTATAAGCAATGGCATGCTCTCTTCCGCCGCCGAGACAGCCGGACGGCTCTCAAATCGTGTCAAGGAGCTCGATCTGGAGAAGGACAGAGTCCAGCAGACGCTCCGAGTAGTAGAGCAAGTGGCAGAACTCAAGGCATGCGTGCATGGCGTGGTTGGCAGCATGGGAGCACCGCAGGACTGGGAGGCTGCTGCCGGATACATTGCACGTGCAAGCAAGGTTCCTGAGCAAATCATCCAGGGCGGCTTTGCTTCGACAATGGTGCCCAGCGTTGAAGTTCCTGATGCGCCGTGGATCACGCTGGAGAATGCGAAAGAGAGTCTCTGCGGACTGTTTTTGCGCGAGTTTGAGAAGGCCGCAAACGAGGGCGATGGGGCTAAGGTGACACGCTTCTTCAAGCTGTTCCCCTTGATAGGCCGAGGAGACGTGGGCCTGGACGTTTATGGCAGATATGTTTGTCAGGGTGTTGCCGGCACAGCACGAGCAACACTAAAAGAGATGCCCGGACAAACAGACCGAAAGGACGGGTTCTTCTACGCCAACTCCCTGACGAAACTGTTTGAGCACATCGCACAGATTGTCGAGGGTCATGGGGGCCTTGTAGAGCGACATTATGGCGAAGGGAAAATGGTCAAGGTCGTCGAGAGGCTCCAGATGGAGGCTGACATACAAGGCGGAATCATTCTGGACACCTGGAGCGATGAGCGCACTGTTGACAGGAGATTGACGGACGTGAAAAGTTACCCGTTCTCTTTTCTGGTACAGAGCTTCTTACCGGCACAGAGGGGCATGGGTGGCACGCCACGGACGAGCTCACCAGCTGTCGGCAGCGGTGCCAATCCCCGAACAAGCGAAGACGAAGGCGTCAACATGAAGGAGATCGACGGTCTTCTCAATGAGATTTCAGTGATGCTTGCTCGCTGGTCACTATATTCCAGATTTCTCGCTGGCAAATGTCAAGTAAGTCTTATTCACACCCCATTGTTGACACCCCAGCGTAGACAGACTTCTGACACGACTGTGTAGTCACCAAATGCCGCCCAGGACGACGCATTGTCCGTACCAGAGCTGCTTTCGAGCTCAAATCTCCACAGAAAGGTAGCGGCAAAACTCGTCACACCGTATAATGTGATGTCGACTTTCTTCTTCCGAAGATCTGTGGAGAAGGCATTCCAACTGGACGAGTCCCCTTCGGGCCTCTCGCTGAATCCCAACAAGCCACTCGATGGAAACGCCCCGTTCATAATATCAGCCGTTGATGACGTAATGTACATCGTCAGCGCTGTCATACAACGCTGCTTGGCTACATCTCAGAGAGATGTGGTCGCATCAGTCATTCCTACGATTGGCCGAGTCCTGGGGTCAGACTTTATCGGCATGGTTCAAAGAAAGATGCGGGATGAATCATACCCCAAACCTCTTGTGCAAGGAGGATTTCCTCCCGAGGATAAGATAATATCGTTCATCGTGTTGATCAACAGTCTTGACGTATCAAATGACTATCTCTCACGCATCATAGACTCCCGGCTGGAGCAGCAGACGGAGCAAGCGAACGGTTCTGGGCCTGTACCGCATCCGCTTGCCACATCATTCCCGTTCGAGCAAGACGTTAAATTTGTCACTTCGGCGCTTGCCAACCTCAACTCAACATTTTCGTCCAAAACATCAGAATTGCTTTCTGATGGATTGCTGGTCTTGTTCAACAATGTTATCAAGCCACGGTTGCGGCCTGTCCTGACAGAGACCTTCAGAGACGTTGACTACGGTCTCACAGAAGATGAGCTGGCTGAGATTGCTCAGCAGAACGATGAGGATGAGGATACTCTCCTGGACCAAGTGCCGCGACGATTCGAGCATGGATGGGAAGCACTCATGAAGCCCATTTCACGTCTCATGACACCCAAGACTTATGGCATAATCATGGACAGCACAGCCAAGTATCTCGCTCAAGCACTGGAGAAAAGAGTCACAAGCTACGGAAGCCGGGCGAACCCGTATGGTGCAATCCGCATGGAGAGAGATTTTTCAGGAATTGTCAGCGTTGTAGCCAGGGGCAACTACGGCGCCCGCGAGCTGTTTGCTAGAGTCACGCAAACCCTCATGGTCATCAATATGGAGGAAGAGGAATGGGAAGAGCTTGGAGGTGAGGATGTTGAAGACGGAATCGAGTGGGTTCTGTCCGAAGACGAAAGGAGGAGAGCGCGAAATCTCGTTAAGGAATACTGAATAGACAGTCCACATAACCGATGCGGAAGACTATTGAGAGCTATTCCAAGCAAGTTCATTGTCAGTCTGATTTGCAACAAAGCGCTTCCAATGAAAAAAGCTCAATGGCGGAAAGATGGTGAAAGAGACTGGTGTAAGTACACGGTGCGTGCTGCCGCTCGACCCACGGTGCACTGAGCTTCATGGGCAAATGTACCAGGATCGCTGCACCCAAGCACTTTTGCCAGCTACAAACAATCATTTCGATATCTGCAAACGATTGAGTCGAAAACAAGCACGCAACTCGACTCGCAGGCTTCAACCCACGACTGCGCGACAAATTACCACCTGAAAATTCAGACAGCAAGGGCGGACGCGCCAACCAGCAACAATGGCGACACAGCACTTTGGGCTCCTCGAGGAGCGCGACGAGAACGAGCTGCACAAGACGCGCCTGCTCAATGTCGAGGAGAAGCCATTCAAGCGCATCACGAAACGCCTGATAGGGCCAGGCGCCTTCACAAACCCGAGCGCGCTCAAGCTGCCAACTACACCACCGCCAGAGGCCGGCCCCAACGAGGGCGAAGATCCATCCTCGACAGCGGACACGAACTCCACAGTCCCGCCGGCGCCGCCGGCCGCCGAGATCGCCGCCCTCAAGGAGGACATAATTCTCGACTTTGCGGCGTTCGACAGCGCCATTGCGCGGCTGCAGTTCCTCGCACAGGCCAATGCCGCCGAGCGGGAGCGGTACGCTGCGGACCGGCTGCGCATCCTCGCGACCATGGACAGCGTGCGGGAGAACAACTCACAGCTGCGCGTGCAGCTGGACCAGGCGAAGGCGACACTGGCCCAGCGGAAGAAGTTCGACGACCTGGCGGACAAGATCACGAGCAATCGCATGCTGCGCACTCGGTCGGAGCAGCAGGTCAACCTGGCCAAGCTGGCGGAGGAGTGTGAGGAGCTGCACCGCGAGAGCGAGACGTATAGCGAGACGTGGCGGGAGCGCAGAGAGCAGTTCGGCAGGCTGGTTGATGAGGGCAAGAGGCTGCGCGCGCTGATTCGGGACGAGAAGGAGGAGGTCGAGCGGCGCGAGGGCATGGACTCGGATGCTGAGGACGGCGAGACCGGCGAGGGTGGTAGCGGTGCGACGCCTGGTAAGACTGGCGGCAGCATCAGTGGCAATGCCACGCCGAGACCAGATAGTGGTGCGGTATCGACGCCACGGCCAAGTAGTAGAGGAGAAGGAACACCACGCCCGGATAGCCCAGGTGCTGGCACTCGTGAAGCTGTTGGTGGCTCTGGACTTCGGCCGGTCGGGGAGGAAAGTACAGGTGCTACACCGCGGGCGGAGAGTGCAGAAGAGCAGACAGCAGAGGGTGAGGATGTCGAGATGGGTGAGAGCACACAACAGCAGACACAGTCACAGCCAGGGGATGCAGCCACGCCCGCCCCTGCTGAGTCGCAAAGTACGCCACAAATCACTGTCGACGCGCCAGCTGCTGCAGAGGATAAGATGGACACGACTTGAAGCGTGGTGGACGAGCAAGTGCACGAGAGTCGTTGGAGATGTCTTGCTACAATTTGAGCGCAAAATACCCCAACATTACATGAGCATCATATATAATATGGCCTCCCCTTTGCAGGCTCCTGCTCTCAAAGACGCTGCTCTCACAGCTCGGGACAAAGTGACATAGTGCTGTGATTGTATTTATTGGGTCTATCGGGGCCCAATGGGTATCATGTTTTGTTTTTCAAGAATACATGCGACAGTCGTCACCTTATTCTCCCCACTGGCCGCTGTGAGTACTCTATTTGTCCACAACGTCATGGTATTGCTGTTGGTGCTGTCTCCTTCTCGCCATGTCGACCACACAAACTCTTGCGCCGGAAGTCAAGCTCAAGCTGCAACAGTCTTGCCCTGCTCCAGCGCTTCTTTCGCCTTGGCAATCTCGCCCTCCGGACCACCTTCGCTCTCCGCCGTGGCAATGTGCTCTTCAAGTCTCTGGACTGCGTCGGCAATCTTCTCGTGCAGGGGGCTGAAGACGGCTTTTGTCTCCTCGAGGGCTTTTTGCTGTTTCATAGAACGACACTAGTTGTTAGCATGACGTTGCGTCCTACCAGGTCCTCAGAAAAGGAAAGCACGAAGACAGGGGGGGAAAAGCGCAGTTTATGGTGGGAGGAATTAATAGACGCACCTCCTGCCTCAGCATGTACTCGGCGTTCTCGTCCGTCTTGGACGCCTCGGGCAGATTGGCCTCGAGCTTCTTGATCTTTTCCGTCTGCGCGGTGACTTCCTTCTGGTAAAACTTGTCCTCCTTGACCAGGCGGGTGACGGCCTGCGTGGCGATCGCGAGTGGTGAAGGGGCCGGCATCTTTGGTATTTGTCTTGGGAGGTTCTTGTTGAGAGGATTGCTTGGAAGAGGGGCCGAGTCGAGTGGCGCGGGAATGGCTGTTTTTCAAGAAGTTGAGCAGTGATTGACCCGGTTTAGGCAGACGTCAAGTTTGAGATCCGAAGGGGTCCTTGGACAGAGTGTAATTGTTGACTTCAAGCACTCGGTTGGCGGGGCAGAGGTGGTGGTGGGGGGGGGGTGCAAGGACCCTTGCATGCATGCGTCCTTGTGCCTGGCTTGGTCCGAGTCGTCCGGAGCTTGTCCTCGATCTTCAGCTTGATTTTCGGACTTCTCAAAAATATGGATGAATTTGCCTTGCCAAAGTACAAGTAAGCCCTCTTAAGCATGAACGATATGGAACGGCCAGGTTTTTCTTTATTTAGTCTTACGCTCCCAACCACGGCAGAGCAACCAGAGTGCAGAAACGGCAGTCGACATCTCGGAAGATGTAACGTATGCGACTCCAGTTTCCAAGACGAAACTCGTCTTTGCTCAAGATAGTGATTTCCACAAAATTGCAGCGAAATGATCTCCTCGTCTCTCATTTTAACTGCCAACAGCATGATCCCAGCCCTCACGACTTCACAGTGTTCGTCAGACAGATTGTCCTCCAATCTCACAATGTATTGAGACAAAGACTTCAAACACGCGAGCATGAATCGTAAAAGCAGCCTGGCCACTCTGTAATCGATCCACTGCGCCACAAGTCCGATATTCTTTCTACATGGCGGCAACTCACGCCGACCTCCTCGAGCAGCTTCTGTCGTGTCTGACTCCAGTACTCATCGTCAAGTCGTGGACGATATCGCCAGCAGGTAGAGCACAGCATTACTGTGCGGTCCCGCTTTGCAGGTGCTCGGGTTCGCTTGACGACTGGCCACATTAACCTCATCAGGCGGTAAAGGGCTTCGCAGTGTCTTGGAGTCACGCCTCTGTGGTGACGGGCGGAGGGTATCATAAGTGGCTCTCCCGTGCTAAGCGCTGCATGGAGCATATACTTGCATGATGTCGCGAGACATACGGCGGAGATTGGATCGAGGTGGCCGAGGATTAGAAATGACAGTTCCAGCGGCAATCGAAGCAGTGGCGATGTGTGCCGTGAATAAGCTGGGTTAATGAGAAGCTAAGTTGTCCATCCTCGTCAGAACGAGTCCAAAAGAATGGCTGCTCTCAATTATCAACTCACTGTCTGGGGAATGACGAATGTCTGCCAGCGACCCGGGCTGTGCTCTTTGTGACAACTTTCCAGTTTTCCCAAGAGATCTTGAGGCAAATAGGATACCCGATTTGTCCAGCTAAGTGGCGATCTGCTCTTTTTCTTCTTTTCTCGAGGCATTGTGGTGGATGAGGAGTCAGGGCCAGTGAGCCAAGAAAGTTGTGTTGACTTTGCTGTGGTGCAGCTATTGTGAGGTATGGAAGGACAGCAAAGGACATCCCTCCCTTTGGGTTACCTGAGCAACAGGGGACTGTGGTTGCGCATCAATGAGTCGCTCATGCTACGCTCACTCTGCGCTCACAGATGGTGAATAGAGCCACTTAGCAATGTGAATGTCACTAGATTATTGGGCAAGCACACCCGGAAGATCAATTTCGTCTATGGATTTGGAACGTCTGGAGTAAATAATTTTCGAGCAAGTTATATGCGAGAGTCAGATGGAAAGAGTCAGTTTAAGATTTCTCTGACGCGGCTTCACATTACTGAACATAATTTAAAGTGTTTGACCATGATCATGAGCTCAAATATGCGGACCCTGATAATGGTCTTTACTTTTAGAATCAAGTGGTATTTTCATTCAGCAGAAAGAACTGTCCAGACTTGGCAGCCACGTCACAACTTGTCGATCTCTGTCCTCCACCACAAGATGCTTCTGTGACTGGTAAGCCACCAATAATCTGATCTCCCCGTATTCTGTTCAAGCCGAAGAGTATCTGCGCTTTGCCATAAGGTACCGCCTCACTCTATTCAGTACCATAATACACCCGGGACAGTGGCGCCCCCGGTTCTGATACCACAGGCGTATTTCTTGCCGTGCCCAGTCCAATGCCTTGCCCATGTCAATATCCCAATCCTTCATCTGGGTCGATCTGTGTTTGAGGCACTTGCGGCAGAGAGCAATAGTGCTGACTGGCTCACGAATATCTTCGCCGTGGCTGACAGGCCAGAGAAGCTGCTGAAGGGAGAGCACAGCCATGCACCTCCCTTTGTACACATGTTTTGGGACTGAAGGGATGTACAGCTCTTCATTCGCGGCGTACGTGATCTGGAGGAAGTGCTTGCATGACAATGCAAAGCAGACGTGTGAGACTGGATCAAGTTTCTTGACTACCATGAAAAACAATTCCGTGGGCAGGCACATGAGCAAAGGATCTTGTTGAGATGTCGTCTGATCGAGTAGCTTGGACTTGTCAACTGGGTCGTCACGTATATGTAAGAAAGATGGTCAGCACAATAAACCTACCAGTCTGGGTACTCTGAACCGCTCCCATCGCTGACTATGGTTGACTGAGCAATCTTGCAAGACTCGATCGAGGTATCGTGCCGTATATTGTGTGCGGATTGCTTGTTTTGCCTTTCGTTTGTTCTGCTTCTTTCTCCGTGCCATTGTTGTAGGTCTTGCGAAAATGAGGGAGAGAGAGAGAGAGAGAGAGATCGCCGGTGTAGATGATAGTAGAGCACAGGCCTGCAGGTTGTTGATGACGAAACAGTTGCAAAAGCGAGGGCAAGTCATCATCAATAGATATAGAAATAGGAAAGTGTACTCGCGGCTCATTGATCGCCGTAGCAACAGGGGTCATGCTGTAAGTGTGGGGTGAGAAGTGAGTCTTCCGGAGCATTGTTATTTTGCCACCATCAAAGATTGTACTTGGACGCACTGGAGACCGGACCCTTTGCCTCTGGCCACCTTCGAGCATTTTTCCCTGGGAGAAAAAGCGGTACTGGTCTCCCGAGAACGCCATCACCTCTATGCCTGCCGTGCGGCACGCCCGTCCCTTTCGGTAACAGAAAGCAATTTTGAGGGCGTCGCAGACACCACTCAACGATTGAGTAATCACCATATTATGCATTTGAGTTCAGACTTGAAGGTTTAGAAAATCTTTCATTTTGTCATACAGAACGTGCTTGCTATTGGAAGATTCTGGCCTTGGAACAGAAGCCCGTAAGACAGCGGGCCGACGCGTCCAGCAAGACGAGACACACCCAAGGTCGCACGAGAGGATGTGTTTGCCATATATGCCCTTGAAGCAGCCCATTCATGTAAACTGGAGGAGAAATCGGAAGAGCAACGTTGGGAATGCAGGGTCAGTGACCACTATCTCGTGGTTGACGTCCAGCTTCAGATCCTGCTTCAGCTTCTTTGCAAGGTTTGGCCGGGTCTGCTCCTCTATGCTTGGTGGAAACTGCATGTAGAGAGTCTTACCTTCAGCCCGCAGTGATGGTTTCTTGAGTTGCAGGTCTGCCTTCATGGCGAACGAGTCAAGAAGTTCCTGCAGCGTCCACTCTGGATCGACACTCAGTGGTTTGGCTTCATTGCCACAAACCGCACAGTCGTCCTTCTTCTCATTCTTAAAAGTGTGCGTGTAGACAGACTCGTCACCGGTGTACATCATGTAGCTCTCTTCAAACCCAAGAGCTGGTGCGGCAGAGGTGGCGATCTTGAGTGCTTCGTTGCAACAGCTGGCGGCAATGATGGCGTTTGTTGACGCTATGGCTGGAATGATGTTCTTGACAACGCCTTGCGTTAGAGAATAAGTGACGCCAGATATGCCGAACTCGCTCGCGCGTGCTGTGGCTTTTTGGTAGAGCCAAGTGATGTGCTCAGGGTCATCCTTGTCCAGTGCAGGAAAGGGCTTCTCCTGGTCCCAAGCAATAATGTGCGCCCACTCGATGCAATGCTCAGGTTGTCTTGGGATGGTAGCAAGGGTGCACAGCGGCACCGCGGCACGGGGCGTGTACAGGTCGAGTTGACACTCGATACAAGGGGTCATGGTTGGGAAGACGACACGGGTTTGGCCCTTGAAGCCCTCTGTGCCGCCATCGATGAGAGGCTTCAGGGAGTCTTGGTTGTCCTCGTCCACCATATTGACCAGTGTGGCGTTGATCCAGCGGCGGGCTTCTATGCTGTCAAGTCCGCATACCACAATCTGGAATTGCATGTAGAAATCCTCATCAAACTCCTGGATCTTGCAGTTGTGCGGAGTGATCTTGACGCCCTTGACCCGCTTCTCGACAAAAGCTGCTGCGACCTCGGCCTTGTACTTGCCCACGTCGTCCTTGCGGAACAGGAACTGGCGGTTGAGGTTGGAGATGTCGATCGTGTCCATGTCTATCACGTGGATGTCCTTGAAGCCAGACAGGGCGAGGTTCTTGAGGATTTCGCATCCGAGACCCCCCGCGCCGATGACGAGGATCTTGGCTTGGTCCAGTGCCGACAGCGCCTCCGCGCTGACGTCTGTATCAGGATTGAAAGGACCCGTGGTCTGGCGGATCTGGTTGAGATACTGCCATCGTGTTGAGCCTTCGGCCATGGCTGCTCTGAGTCGTGAAGCGGGACTGGAAATGCAAATAACACGCCGCAGATAGAAGACAAGAGACTAGCAGTAATGCTGGAGGCCTCTTTGCCACACCTTTAAAGGATCGCAGGAAGGAGGCGCCCCACGTGCTATCATGGAGGGGCTTGAATGCAGAGAGTGAGATGGTTTGGGGGGATGTCGCGAGGTGCTCCAGGTGCACGCCATTCATCCAGGCCTACAGCGGCGCCCGACGTCGCTGAGCAATGGAGCTACAGTGGGTCATGCCCTGCCGTCCTGAAGGTGGGGTGGGGTGGTGGACCCTGGAGATGCAGGCACATTGCTCAAACGCAACGATGATGTTTGCCGGGACGTCAAACACCTGCCGCATTCCCCGAGCAGAGCCGCTTCTCCACGGCCGGTCAAGCGCTTTATACCGGACTCTGTGTCTCCATGCACAGCTGCACTGGGACGTGGCTTGGAGAAGTTTGCATGATGCCCTGATATCGCGAACCCATCTGGGCAAACGAAGCCAAGCATGGACGAGCTCCTCACGCCAGTGAGCCGGACGTACAAGCCCTCCCCGGCTCACAGTGACGACTTCCTCACACTCTCGCAACCTCCACCCAAGAACGCCTCAGAAGAGACCAAGTTTACTGCCTCATCCCCAGACGAAGCCCTCGAGGCGCTCAAGAGCCAACCTAGCTATGACAAGCTCGTTTCCATTCTGAGATATCTGCGCAAAGGTATCGAGGGCAGGCATGGCTTCGACATCCGGCAGCCGGGTCCTCAGAGCGCCCAGATTGTCCACGTTTTGGTCGCGGAGATCGTGCCAAATTACTGGGCTGTGCTGAACGAGGAAACCGAGACGCCCAAAAGCGGAGCATTCGAAGCACTTCTGATGGTTCTCAGGAGCGTGACCGGTCTGAATTCAGTTCTCATCTACATGAGAGCACTCCTCAAACAAGCACAGTCAGACCCCAAAGGCTTGGGAGATGCTTACGTGGCTTTGAATCTGAAATCATCACTGGGACTTCTGTCGGCCCTTCTCGACTCGGAACACGCCATTACAGATTTGTGGGCGCCCATCAAGTCTCTAAAGCCAGCGCCACAAGGCCGGATCTTGCGCCAAGACTTACTTGGTCTTTTGACAAACAATAAACTTACCTCCATAAGCGCGGAGGCCGACTTCTTGCTGCGCCAAGCGGATAAGTTAGATGGCGAGCTCTGGGTCTCATCGACAAAGGCTTACATAGACTGGCTACTTCGGAACATCCTAAGATGCTTGCCCAGCACGGCAGACCCAGAAACCGAGAGCTTCTGTGTGGACTTACTGAAGCGTGCCATGAGACTAACGAACTCCGGTGAGTTGCCATACTCTTTTTGTGGTCGTGAATGAATCTGACATGAGCTACAGATGCTATTCCACAGACACTCTTCAATTGCCTGTTTCTGGACAGCGCAAAGGGAAGAGACACTTTCATTAGGCTCATGGATTCCCTGCCTACTTCCGATCAGAAGAAATGGTTGGAGATCATCATCAAGCATATAGCCAAGAATAATCTCAGTACCATCGATGACAGTGCTACCACGGCCGACTACCCCATCATCTGGGCCGCAATTGGCGCGATACGCATCCTAACTGGCACGAGCCAAGGTCGCAAAGCCTATTTGGTGGATTGGTTGACCAATACTGGCGGTGTTAGTATTGGCGAAGGTTGTGGCATCCGTAGAGCTGTGGTGGGCGCGCTGGCAGACGACAGGGAAACACTGTCTACGATCCTCGAGCGCTGCACCAGTCAGTTCGGTGACCAGTTGTTCATCAAACACGCGCCTATACTCCAGCAGGAGGGTAAGCAAAGAATCGCCGCATCAAGCCAACACATTCTGACGTTGTTACAGCTCAAGCACAAGTACTCCTCCTGGCAGCTGGCTATGTACACAGCTTAGCTCCCATCAAGCTGACGCTTTTACTGAGATCGAGTGCTTATCTAAATACCATTTCCAATCGCATAGGCGCATCACAAAACCGAAGCCGTGTCTTGGGCATGGTGGTTGGTGAGGCACTTTCTGGGCTCGTCCATGACGACAAAACGAGACTCAACTTCAAGATCGATGAGGTCGATACGGAAGATGCGCAATGGTACAAGTCACTTGTCAAGATTCGTGACCAAGTCGGGCCATTGGACCAGCTTCGGGAGACGAGAGCGTCTTCGACATCCTCTCGATCGAAAGTGAAAACAAAAGCCACTCGCAGCATAGACAAGCGCCCACCTGTCAAGCCTGCGCAGTCTGGTTTCATCATCGAGGAAATCGAGGATGACGAGGATGTAGAAATGGAAGACCCTGATCTCGTCCCTTACGCAAAGCCTGAATCTGATGACGAAGATTCTGACGAAGATCCGACAATGATCAACCGAGATAAACCGAAAACACCAGTCTACATCCGAGATCTGATTGCATACTTTCGAGACACGGAGAACTTCGACCGCCACAAGATTGCGCTTACCACCGCTCCTGAACTGATCCGGCGCAAAGCGAACTACGGTACGGAAGTCACATCTCACGCTGAGGAGTTGGCTACCCTCCTGGTGGGCTTGGAAAACAAGTACGAACTCGAGGAGTTTGAAAGCCTGCGACTGCAAGGCATGGTCGCGATCGTCCTTGCTCAGCCCAAGAAGATGGCGCCTTGGTTCGGCAGGACATTCTTTGACGGGGACTACTCCCTCTCGCAAAGAGCATCCGTGCTTGTTGTCCTTGGCTTGAGTGGTCGAGAACTCGCGGGCTTTGACATATCTGAGTACTCGGCGGCGGCAGCGTTTCCTTCCAAGACGTTGCCCGCCAGAGTTGAGAAGCACTACTTGCCCGCGACGGAAGCCAGGCTGCAGGGTGCCGTTCGAGGTTCTCATCTGAAGGCACTGCCACCAAATGCACTCGACAATCTCGCACAGTCTCTCTCTCAGTCGTTCCTGGCGCCTCTGGCTGCAGAAGCTGCGGATGCCACGTCCGGGCCCGATGTATTGAAGTTGTCTTCTTTCACTTCCCGCCTCAAGGACGCACAAGGGTCAGGCAGAACCATGAGCAAAAGTACGAGGCAAACCGGAGTCAAGTCTATTCCAAACACCACAGCAGCGATCATCGCATCTTCGTTCTTCTTCCCCCTTACTTCACGTTTCCCAGCTGCCGTGCACTCGCATTCGGCGGCCATGCGGGGCGTATTATTCCAGCCGCATCTCCTCGCTTTGTTCATCAAGACGCTTGCCGTGCTGATCCATGCTGCTGGACCCAGCACGCTCTCGCTTCCGCAGATGACTGCAGAGCTCTGGGACGTACTCCTTGGCGTGCGAGGGCAGTGTGTCGGAGCATTGGACGTTACTCATGCAGTACTGGTTGGCTTCATCTCGCTCTTGGATGTGAACGAGAACAACATGCGAGGTTTGTGTGACACTCATGGCAGGCAGATTGTCGAGACGGCCGAGTGGGTGAGCAACGTATTCGACAACACTCGAGGTGGAGATGAGGCCGGCGGCGGCGAGGAGAACCAGGTCAAGATGATGGCGGCGGGCGTGCTGATCAGGCTCAGGGAAGCAATCGAGAAGCACCAGGCCTTGCTGATGGGCGACTTGATCGGATATTCGTGATATTGGGGACTGTTCACAGCTCTAGAGAGTTTTATGAGAGTGTAATTCTATCGTCTTTACTCAATGATCACGACATTGGTGTTGCGCTATCCTCCGCAGACGTCATATGGCCAAACGTTGAATTGTTACCGCCAGTGTTGTCACCATGGCAAACTCACATAACCATTCTCGTCCTAGGGAGGCTGCCGAGTAGGAGGCATGTTATTTCGAGTCATATTTTGTCTTGTGTATCATTATTTATTCTTCACTTATCGACATGAGCCCCCTTATTGCCAAGTATCCGTGCCGTCACCGATTTGGGCAGACAATACACAGGATCAACAGCCTCGAGCCCTGGGTACCCAAGCAGGCTCAGCCCCGTGATGCCAAACAATGTGTGGAAGACATCCACCATGTCGCCCGGACGATCCGAGATGCCGCCATTCTCCGTGTCCTGGCACGCGAGGATGAACCGGATGAGCTTGTCCCGGTCGATCCAGTGCGTCCTGCCAATCATGGCCAGGCTGCTCAGCACCCACCAGCTGTAGCACACGTCCTCCTTCTTCTCGGGCCGCCCGTTCAGGCCGCCGCCGGGGACCTGCCGCTCGCTCAGCCAGCGCGCGAGCTTGTCCACGTCCGGGATGAGGTCCTGCCTGCCCGCGATGGTCAGGGCGCCGAGGCACGTGAAGATCTGGCCCGAGTGGGATTCCGCGCCGGGCGTCAGGCCGTACCCGCCGTCAAAGTTTGCGCAGGCAGCGACGTGCTTGACGGCTTTTGTAATGTCCACTGTGTCCTGGTCCAAGCGGCCGAGCAGGGAGAGGGCGTTGAAGGCGCCGTACAGGAAGCGCGTGTCCTCCTCGCCCCACTCGTCGCCGGTGAAGCTGCCTGTCTCGCGGTTTTGGAGGCCAGCTATGACTGTTTGTATTTCATGCCGAGTCAGTACGGTATTGTATATACTGTCCAGGCAGCAGCCAGGCAGTGACCAGAGACACAAGGATAAACGACCGACACCATGAACAAAGAGACGAGGGGTGCGAATGATGACTCACACTCGACGACTTTCCCCCTTCCTCCCCCCTTGCCCCGGGCATCAAGAACATCCAACGCATCAACGAGGGCGAAAGTCTGCACCGCGCTCACCGTGTACAGCATGTGCGGGTCATGTCCGGGAGCGGCACCAAAGCCGCCGTTCTCATGCTGACACGACAGGAGGAACTCGATGGTCTCGTCCCTGGGCAAGGCGTCCGGGTGCCTGAGCAGGTGTAGAGCCGTGAGACCCCAGTAGACCCCGTTCAGGCGCAGGTGCTCGGTCAGCCAGTACTCGTACGAGTCCTTGCGTGTATCGAGGGACTGGATATATGAGACGTGGACGGCCGTGGCGAGCTGGACATCCGAGGCAGTAGACATGGTGAACCTGCCGCCGTCTTGGCTCTGCTGTTTGCAATGATCGTATCGTCAATTGATTCGTCCTCCCCAGCTCTCTTGATATTGCGCTTTGGTGATGACCTCGGGAGCGGGACAGCTCGTGGTGGTGGTGGTGGTTGGTGGGGCGTTTGTCGTCGCCCACTTCGTGATGTTAGCCAAAGCAGACAGGCAGACTGCTGCCTACCTGAACACCCTCGAACAGTATCGTACCCTTGTTCCTAATGAAGCCACAATTCGTCAGCCGTTACTTCCAAGACCTTCAGACAGTGAGTCAAACAATGCTCGTCGATGTTTAGGCAGAAGCGCAGATCCGCTTCCACCGAAGCAACTCTCCGTCGTCGCTGTCGTTCAAGGCTGCCCCACTTTTCCAAATGTCTACATAAACTTCCACCATCCTTCCTCACGACCTCACAACTTTTCTTTCCCTTTTCTTCCCCAGCTCTCTTTGCCATTTCTGGCTAAGATCAAGTGTAGTATCTGTTCTTTACACCTTGAAAAGTGTAAGCGAGTCCCTCGAGGCTCGTACTTTTACCCTTTGACGGTCAATTTTTTAAACATCTGAAAATACCATGCTTCTTTGTTTTCCCTTGGAAGCATGGGGGTTGCTGAGAATCATCCCCGTGTGCTTGCATGCGTTGGGATGGTTTCTGGCTTGCCCTTCGTGTCCCTGGTATCACACTGCCTCCAGGCGACGCGATAGTCCTCTTTCTTCCCCTTTTGATTTTCATTGCAAATCTGGGCTACTGTTCCCGGATTGTGAGGAAGATCCGTCGTTTGTGTGTCCGTATTCCAGGAACAGACCGACACATGCACTGGCGCATGCTTTGGGTGACGGCGGCTGATGCGATTTTGCAAGAGGCCCTGACGCGAACCAAAACATCACTGTTATCGATGAAATCGAGAAGCCTCTCAAGTCTTCTAGCATGAATCGTTCTTTTTCTACAGCCTCGTGGACAGCGGTCCAGTTTATACATACAGAGTATACACTTATACAACAGCAGCGCTTGCTGCATCCCTTCCTCGCTCCGTCGCACTTCATCTCGTTTACATGGCCATCCGGTTATCGTAGAGGGCCGCACGCTCCATCTCGGCGACGATACCGCCACCCGCCATGGTCCACTTGTCGGACACGCTATACTCGTTAACGGTGGTCCGCAGCATGCCGCTGGCGGCCCAATACTCCATCAGAGACCGCGCCTCGGACTTGGAGAGGCCCTGCACCTCCTGGACCTTGACGTCCTTCAGACACTCGTACACCCGCTCATCCTTGTCCTTGCAGTACGGGTCGCGCGGCGGGACGGGCAAGCCCTTGGTCCGGGCTGTCGCCTGCTCGAGCGCCTTGACGAGGGATGGGATGATCGGGCAGTTGCTCTGGCTGGTCGTGCCGATGATGGCCGCGCCATTGGGGAACTGCACCCTGCCGGCGAGGGAGTCGGCAAAGAGCCCGACGAGGGCCATGTCGTGCGAGTGGATAATCTCAAACGAGGGCGAGCGGTAGTCGCTCATGCGCATCATGTGCGCCAGGCCATCGAGGGTGAACATGACGGGAGGGCGACCCGGGCGGATGAGCTCCTGCCAGAAAGCCTTGAAGACTGGCCACGCAAATTCGGGATCCTTGGTGGCTGTGAGCATTTGCGCCAGCGTCATACTGCGGGAGATGTTGACGGGCAGGTAGAGGTAGTCGCCTTCGACCTTGTATTGGCTGAGCACGGGGTTGGCCTTGAGGATGGCCTGCATCAGCTTAATTGTTGCTGTTGGCTGAGCATAGAGATTTGAGTCGGGGATCGCCGAGTAGTCGACGTGCGCCGTAGTCAGGTCTTGGACTGCAAAGATCGATGCGATTAGTCTTCGAACGACAAGAGACAGCATCTACATGGCGTCTGACGTACCCTCGGGAATATGGATCACACAGTAATCGTTGAGCAACCCCATGGACAGTACCTGGAGATCTAATATGCTCTTGCCAGAGCCCTTGCTGCCAGTGATGACCGTCCGCAGGGTCTGCTTCTTGTCTACCGCATCCTGGATCTGCTTGGCAAGCTCGGCCGTCTCCTTGCGTATGAGCATGTGCGGCGATCTGAAGAGCGACCAGTTCTGCGTGGGCTTGAAGACCTCAATTGTCCGCAGCTGATCCACGAGGGTCCCAGGCAACCGGACGACCTTTCCGACAGACTCCGGGTCGCTGATGACCTCCTTGCTGAGCTCAAGGAGCCCGGGAACCTCGAGGGCATTGTCGTTGCTGAGCTGGATGCGCTTGCGGAACGCCTTTCGCTCGCCGGGGGCAACGGGCCTGCCCTTCTCCGCAGGCTTTCTCTTCTTCTTGCCGAGCGTCAGCCGCTTGCCGGCTCTGATGTGGCCCTTGCCCGTGGCTTCCTTCTTCTTGCCTGGCAGAGTGGCAGCCAGCGCAGTGGACGTGGAGAACAGGGAGACTGATGCAGGTAGGGTGGTGGCGGGCGTCGAGATTGTCGGGAACGAGAGCAGTCGGGTCTGCGAGGGCCTCGCGAGGCACCGCCAGCAATTGGGAGCTGCCATGGCTGACTGACGTCGACTGCAGAAGCGTCGCTCGCTGTCGTCGGCTGCGAGAGCTTCGCGGGGGGGTCCGGCGGTCGGAGAAAAGCACGCGGCGGAATGATGCCAATGGACTTTTGATATGCCCTGTCGCGCGGCCAGCTCACCAGGCCAGAATCTCAAAAACTCGACATGCGTTTACGGGAGCCCCACGGGGCTGCACCGTTCTGGGCCTGGGTTCACCTGCCGTAGCAAGCGCTGCGCTCTCCATCAAGAGGCACACATACCCAGGGCCGCTTATCGATAGACCCTGGATCCAGAAAAAAGTGAGCCGGCTTGCCAGTCTGCTCGCGCAACTTATCTCTGCCAGATTTGCGACAAGTTCCTCCGCTATACCAAGCAGCATCCAACCAAAGTCTGGCAATCTTGAGACTGCAGACTACACGCGGCAACTAGATATTCGGGTATCGCCTGTGCCGTGAATACCAAGACCACACACACTCAAGACAGTCAGGACAGCCACAACACACAATGGCACCCACAGCAGTAGCAAGCAAACCCAAGCTCGAGGTCTCGGTCGACCGCCCGACGCCCTACACTTTCGACCTGGGCATCCTGCTCGCCAACGACCCGAACCCCATCTCCGCGGCCAGCGGCACGACCTACGACGAGAACGACCAGCCCATCACCACCACCACCACCAGCTCCGGCCCCGCCGTCACGACGACCAGCGAAGCCAAGGAGGCCCAGCTCGCGGCCGTGGCCCGCGACGCCGCGCAGTCCCTGATCAACCAGCTGCTCACGACATGCCCTCTGCACTCGGCGCCGCAGGGCGTCCTGCTCACCCTCCCCCACCCCACGACGCCCATGCCGCGCGAGAAGCCCCTCCCGCCGCCCAAGCAGCCCACCAAGTGGGAGCTCTTCGCCGCCCGCAAGGGCATCAAGCCAAAGACCCGCGAGCAGCGCCGCATGCGGAACCAGGTGTTCAACGAGCAGACGGGCGAGTACGAGCGGTCGTGGGGCTTCGACGCCAAGGCCCACCACAAGAAGAAGGAGGAAGGCATCATCCAGCAGGACTGGCTCGTCGAGCTCAAGGGCGACGGCAAGGGCGGTGCTGCCGGTGGTGCTGGTGCTGACAAGGACGCCGAGGGCGGCAGCGGCAAGCCGGAGAAGGTCAGGAAAGTCAAGGCTGGCGGCAAGCCCTTCTCGAATAAGAAGAGGAAGATGCTGGCAACCAAGTAAAAAAAGGTGGAATTGGAAGACATATTTTGGATTAGAAGTCTTGCACGCGTGAAGGGAGACTACTGCTGCTGTCGCCCTCGGGCGTGGCTGCAGAATGGCTGGCAGTTGCGAATGACATTCGTCTCGAACGCCAATTCGCATGCGCAGCGGGAGAATGTTGCCGTGTTGTAGCGGTCATTGCATCCATCCGGCGTTATTCGGCGTTTGCTGCATTTCAGATCAAAACTCACATGTTCGGTGGCGAAGTTTACGACAAATGTTTTTCGAGTAATGCCAAATATATTGTCGATGCTCCCACCTTAACTACTTGGCCATGTTGGCATTTCCGTTGAGCAGTTTATTCGATCACTTGTCGTGCACCAAAGTATCTTGCAGGGTCGACAAGTCCAAGATTTTGTGTTGGCCGTCATAAAACAAGACGCAATCAATATCTCGAGTTTATAATGGCAAGCGTCTCGTCAATGCAAAAAGAACATGGGACAGGACCGTTACGAAAGTCATCACGCTATGCCATCACCAGTGCATCCCCAACCCCGACTTATATACAAGGCTCCCGAGTCCATGTCCCTTGGTCTCAGCAGAGAAACTAGAGCTTGGAGGCGTCTGTTAAAACGACCCGTATATAGCGTAATCGCCAAAGGGTTCTCTCCATCTATTCGTCACTCATTCCCGTCCCGCGGCAGAATGACAAACCATTTTTTCCATGATGGCTTTGCGATGCCAACAGTTGCGTGCGTCCCAAAGGTTGGTCCTTGCCGGCGTGGAGAGACCGGCCAGTAGGTCCGATAAGAATGCGGAATATATAGCGAAAAGCAAGTGACCGAAGAGCTCATCTTCTTTATCAAGGGGTATAATCGAAGAAGATCGATACAAGAGCATGGTACCATGTATCAATGACAACACATCGCTTCAAGTTGACTCGCCAAAGTCCAGCGGTGACAGAGGTTTGATGGGTGACAAGGGCCGCAATCCTCCCCTTGGCTCCTCTTTAGTCCTTGTACTTCGCTCACTGTTGATGCTCAGGTTTGCTGCAGCGGAGGACGAGCTGCCGTTAGATTGACCGGTAGAGGACGGCTGGGGTTTCCGCAGTTTCCCATTAGCAGACCCTGGCTTGCTGCTATCTGAGGATGAGATGTTGCGTTCTTCGTATGCCGAGGCATATGCCGATGAGGCCTCGTCCCGGTCATTACTGTGGTCCTCAACAGTCAGGTATGTCTGTGAGCGACCATCGGTAACTACTGGCGGAGGCTGCTCGAAGAGGCGATACTCCTCCTCGATATATTTCGCCTCATGCTTGCAGCCCTGCCAGCACTGCCTCCAGTTGCATACGAGGTAGCGGAAGCAGAAAGCGTCGATCTTCATGCAGGGCTGAAAACAGATGCAGAGGTTGCGGAAGTCCATCTTGTTCTTGTCAGAGTGCCCAAGCAGCAGACTCAAATGGCAGGTGATGGCGAACAACAGATAATAGTTGAATGGAGGCAGGTCTGACAGCTCGTCGATGAGCATTTGTGGAACCTCCTCTGTGGCCTCGCATTGGCGAGATACCCTTTCCTGGGCCTCCTTGGGGAACAGCTCGTCTGGTAGCTCGCGGAGCCAGGCTTTCAGCATCGAGCCGATGATGTTAATATCGTACAGATCTTCTTGCTTGAAAAGGTCCACATCATGCTCTATGATGACGCGCAATCAGTATTTGGCCAAGACGAAGCTCTTGCTTAAGATGGTATACTTACCCTCGTCGAACCGCCGCTGCCACTTCTTGATCTGCGGCCCACTGCCAGGAACTCGGTAAAGACCCTCGACTTCGCAACCCTTGAAGTTCAGATAGTCAATGGCTCGCCACGGGAAAGCTGGCATCCAAAACTCCGTCTTGTCTCGCGAGTCCTCAAGACGCTTGGATATCCGCGTTATCCGAGTCTGCTCAATCAAGGGCTTGTTCAGGACTTTGATGATGTAGTGCTCGTCGTCCACCACGTGCTCCTTCTCCGTTGTGCTGCCGCTCCGACTGCTCTTGCCGAAAATGTTGCGGCTGACCATGCCTACCGCGCGGGTACCAGAACTCTTGAGTCCCCCAAAGAACGTCGACCCGCCGTTGTCTCGATACGAGGAGGGCATGGCCCTGCTGTGATCTCGATCATGGCGATTTTCCCTGGGTGGTGGTGCTTCACGAGCCACAGCTCTGTCTGCCGATTGATTTCGTGTTGACGAGTTCATCATGCCTCTGAAGGACCGCTCGGGACCATCCGGGTTCATGGGTGCTGTTTTCAATGGCTGTTGGTTTGAGTAGCCCTGGCTGCGCTCATCTGATTCAGGCATATTATTTGCAGTGAGGCTGCGACCCTCCGGCGCATCCCTGTCCTTGATCGACCTCGTCCGCGCAAGCAGGTTGAACTGCTTCTGTTTGTTGCGTCTGGGATCTTGCGAATCACCCTCAGTCGCCGAGATCGTCTGGGTAAGATCTGATTGCGAACGAGCCAGAGGCTCTAAATCCGGACCCGGAGAGGGGGTATTGGTATGGGTATCCGCTGAATAAACAAGGAACTGTCAGCGGATCGGGGCGCCATAGGATCAAAACACTACAACAACGACTGCCTCGACTGACATCATCCATGCCGCCAGGGTTACCATGATCGGACAAGACTTACCGCTTTGTTTGATGTTCTGCTTTTGAAGTACCCTACCCTTCTCAGACCTTGATTGCTGCGCTTCGACGGTGCGCGAGGAGCCCTCGGGTATTGTTTCCCTTGCGCCGTGCTGCGGCAGCTGGCTGCTTGACTTGGACTTGCTGAAGTTGAAGAAGCGGCTGGCGCTCACGCTCCGGGTATGCTTCTCGTCGTCGGTGTGGTGCTTGTTGTTGTGGAACGCGGTTGGGGGGTGGTCTCCACGACTTCCTTGGGAAGTCTTGGGTGGCCTCGTCTCGCTCACGGCCTTGGGTCTTTGTGCCAGCTGAAGGTCGTCGGACGACTGTTGGCGCGAGCTGCTCCCAAGCGTTTGGTGTGATGGCCGTGAATGTAGCTCGGACGGGCCCTGGGGTTTTCGCGAGGTGTTGAAGCGGCTGAATGGTGAGCGCGGGGACTTTGGCGAGGCCGAGTTGGATGAGGATATTGGCAGTATGTGATGGGCGCTTGCGACGTCGCTGTTGTGCACTCCAGGCTGGGGGCTCCGACCACCGGGCGCGCGCGAAGGGACGACAGAGGAGGAATCTTGGGAGGTAGCAATGCCAGGCGATGATGAGTATGGAGAGTAGGGAGAGGTCTTTGCGACAGAGGCAGGATCCGCGGCGGCGCTGATGGCGGCGGCGAGAGCGGCCGTCTCCTCGGGGCTTGGCTCTGAGAGCGACAGCGGCTGGGGAGCCTGCTTTCGCCCCATGATGGCGTGCCGTGTCAAGGCTGCATACGGCGTGATGATGAGGCCGCTGGGTGCAAAGGTTGAGCAAAGGCGTCACGCTGACTGTTTGCAGCCCAGGGACAGTCCGTACTGATTGGGGTTGTCGGAGGGAATAAAGGAGGGCACTTGAACATTAGCCGGATGTAGTCAGGGGACAGGTGGTGCTAAGACGGGGAGGAGCCCGCCGCAAGCATAGTCGGCTCCAGTGCCTGGGGCGCACCACTTGTTGCGTAGCACGTCAGGGTTCAGGCGTTTGCCAGGGGTAGAAGCAGCGGAGAGCCGTGGCAGCGAGCAAGCAATGTCGGACGGACATTGTGCATGCCTGGCAATGCCGACAGGCAACCAGCAGAGTTATCACCAAGGCCAGGGCAGTTGTACACGCCGACAGCTTCGAGAGGCACGAGGGGCGAAGCTGGCTGGCGTCGGTGGGGGGGTGGCGGGATCCGCGAGTGAGGGACAGCGCGATCGTGACCACCAACTGCAAATGGTCTCAGCCAGGGATGGGTGTCTGTATCAAGCTAACGGGCTAAGCAGGTGGAGGGAGGGGCGGACGTTGCGTCGTCCTGCCGGATCTGACTGCATTTCCATCGGCTCTAGCTGGTCACTAATAACAAGAGCCGACCTGCGCGAGCGGAGCCACACAGGGGCGGGTGGTCGACTGTGTGAGTGCTTCAAGTGCTGTAGCTCTCTACTTACCTTGGCGGGGCGAGGGCCGTTCGTTGAGAGTTGTCCGTCACTTTTAACGGCAAAGCACGCATGCATGCCGTCAATGGTTGGGTTCCCAGCAGCAAACATGATCGAGTCTGGCAGCGCGCGCGAGAAGCTAAAGAGCTGCCCCCAAAGATCTCGAGCACGGACATGCAAATCCAAGTGAGTACGTAGTGTACGCTGGCAACGGAGGCACGCGTATGGTCGCAGGAGAGCGTCGCCCGCAGTCAACTGGGGGGAGTCATGACCAGCCAGGAATGCCAGCAGATGCACACTGAAGGAGGTGGTTGGCGAGGGTCTGCCTCTCTCTGGCGTCAGGCACGGAGAAGAACCCTCCCTCTCCACTCTCGAACTCCAAACTCACAGCTCGCTTAGGAAGGTAGCTGTACAGTGTTTCCAGGCACCAGAGCGTTGCTTGCAAGCTGGCCAGGAAATTCCAGAGGCTGTAGCACACTTTTTTCTCTACGGTACCTGCTGCTGCACGCAGCTCATTCCCGGGCCTGACATGTACCTTGTTATGCAACCAGTACCGCTCTCGTCAACGGCTTTGGGCGGAGGAATGCAGCTGGCGCAACGAGGCAACCACGCGCTCCTTCACTCCTTGGCGTGCGAGCTTACTTGTGCCTGCCCTGGTCTGGGCAGCACCGTATAGGGCGCCCCACTCTTCGTGTCCCAAGGGTCGGGCTTAGACTCAGGTACCGCCGCCCGCCAACAGGGGCCCGGATCCCGGGGTGCCCAAGGATCCCAATCATTCTTTCTGTGTTTCAATCACTTATGCTTCAAGAACCACTTGGGCCAGCCAAGGATCGGGAAGACGCGTCACGCACGTATTTCTCACCATGGAAAAGCACGTCCCGCGCCTGCTACTGGGGTCCCGAGGGGCGTGCAGAGAATTCATATGCTACCCAGCTCGCAGTATGCACTTTGTTATCCTTCAGGGCTCCAGGGCTGGTTCCTTTGGTGGCTCAGCTGACTTACTACTGCAACTCCACAATCCCTTGTCACACCCAGCTGCGCGGGCGAGGCGCCACCCACCACACCCACCCGCCTCTTGTAACCCCCCTGGCCGGCGGCGCATCCCTGAAGCACGACATGCCCCGGCCCAGCGACATGCTGAAACGTCATTTACTGTCCGCCCTGCCCTGTCCAACATGGTCCAGGGCCATGAACTTCTTTCTCCGATGCCGACTGGCCACCCCAGGCACCTGCATATTAACCCCCAAAATATCAAACACGCGACCGTGCAAAGTCAATGAGTGTCTGTCATGGTCAGGCACATTTTCTCCACCCCAGACGTGTCGGGTAGGTGCAGAAAAATGAACTCTCAAACATCGTGGCAAGTATTACATGCTCAAGGGGGGGGGGGGGTTCACCGGCATTCGCGCACGTGCGACAACGTACAGTAAGAAGAGCCGTGACGATTTACGCCGCCCTCCGTTGGTCAATCATATCGCCCCGACGGCTTTGCAATTATAGCAACCTCCGCGTCACCATTAATGTGTGGATGCTTTCTTCATTGTGCGCGGAGAAGAAGGCCTAGAGTCACCCAGATCAGCACTTGCGATTAGACCATGCTCGAGAATTCAAGAATGCAACATGAACGCCAATTTATCAGCACTTCCTCCAAGCATCACCCATCATTGTTCTATCCTGTCAACATGGTATCCTCTGTACTAGTAAACTATTCTTTGCGAAACAAATCTTTGACTGCTCGTCATGCCATCATCTCAGCTCATTCCATGTCGTCGTCATTCGCATCGTCGTTGGATGTGACAAACACCAGGCGGCTGCCATTGCCAGCAGTTTGCCAAACCTGTGAGGGTATATTGTTAGCTGGCATGTCCATTGCCTCATTACAGGCTGTGTGAACGTGGGGTTGGAATGCGGAGGCAGACTTACATCCAGGCTAGTATACTCGTCCAGCGTGCTGAGCCATTGGTCTTCCGTGAAACCCTTTGCCAAGACACGCTCGCGCACCTTGCGCATGCTAAGTTCCACGGTCCCATCCTCATCCTCGTCCTCGTCGTCAGGCCTGCACGCTCCGCTGTCGGCAAGCGTCTTGACGAGGTTGTAAATACGGCTTTGGGCGTTCTGAGTACGCCTGCCACCAGTACCTTCGTGGGCCGCGAGGCTGTCCTTGCTGGCTTCGATCAGGCGCAATGCTTCGTCCACATCATCCTGGCTGACTTCGCTGGCGAACCGCAGACGAGCAAGCGCCTGGGCAAGACGGACGACACCCAAGAGGGTTCTGGGTGTGGTGTGGGTAAACTGTTGATTCTTCTTCTCAGCACGACGTTGCGACTCACGCAGGCGCACGTAGGTTTTGGTCAGGTATTCCGTCACAGACTCCGGGACAGTTGGGCGGTATGTCCTGGCCTGTGCAACGTAGGCGCGGACCTCGTGTGGGGTGAAGACAACGTTCGGTGATGCGCCATTCTCGCCGTTGCCGTTGTCTGCATAGAGGTCAGGGTGCTTGCTGTGCATGTGCACATAGGCTACGTGCTTCGCAAGCTGTGCATCACTGTCGCGCGTAGGCGTGTCCAGCAGGAGGAAGAGGACATCGAAACGCGATAGCAGGGCAGCAGGTAGGTTGATGTTCTCCACAGGGGAGATGCGAGGGTTGTAACGGCCATAAATAGGGTTAGCAGCCGCCAGAATTGATGTCCGCGCGTTCAGTGTGGTCGAAATGCCGGCCTTGGAAATGGAGATCGTCTGTTGCTCCATGACCTCGTGAATCGCTGTGCGATCGTTCTCGTCCATCTTGTCAAACTCGTCGATACAGCAGATGCCGTTGTCAGCCAAGACCAGGGCACCTCCTTCGAGCACCATCTCGTCCGTGACGGGATCGCGCATGACTGCGGCAGTCAGACCGACACCACTGGATCCACGACCAGACGTGTACACACCCCTAGGGGCGACCTTGGAAATGTACTTCATCAGTTGCGACTTTGCCACACCGGGGTCGCCCATCAGCAGGATGTTGATGTCGCCACGGATCCGCATGCCGTCTCCCATCGTCTTTGTGACACCACCAACGAGAAGCAGGAGAAGTGCCTTCTTTACGTCGAGGTGGCCAAAGATCTCGGGCGCAATGGACTTGGCAAGCATCTCGTAGACAGCACCAGACTGGCTGAATGTACTGATGCGCCTCATAAGCTTCTCATCAATGAACATTTCGCTGTACGCCTTCTTGTGCTGAACAATGTGGTGCGCCTCGACGTATGTATCGGTCAAGAGGCCTGCGCGCATTGCCTGGAAACCAGTATATGGCGTTGGGAGGAAGATGCCAGAGATGTCAACGACATCGCCCGGGTTGATCTGACGCACTGCGCTGCCGTAGCACATGACAGTCAAAGTGCGTGGAATCTGGCCAATGGGCACTTGCTCGGCCATTTCTTGGACCTTGACTTCCTGGAATGGCAGAAACTTGGACGCTCGTGAAGACTGGAAGAGCTGGCCCTTGGCCTGATTGGCTTGGCACTCTTGGGACGGACAGACGGTGAGCGGTGTGTAGTGCTTGTCATTCACGGGTTGGAAGATCTCGCAACCACAGCGATCGCAAGTATACGCTCCGACTTGCACGACAGGCTTGACATCCGATACGCGGGTAGCGATACCGCGGATTGTGATCAGGTGACCAAGGTGCTCGCCTCGTACCTCGCGCACAGCCAAGGCCTTGACTGGATGATCGGCAGTCGAGGTTCTTGGCTTGAAGACGAGTGTGTACCGTCGTGTGAGTTGCGCCGGGAACGTTGACTCGAGGAGCTCGGGGTTGTTTGTGCTGGCAGCGATATCTGCGAGATCACGGTTCCGTGCTTGCCTGCGCTCCATAATGACATCGAGAACATCGTCCTTAAAGGTTACGCCTGCAGCCGGAGGGGGGATCTTGCTGTCGATAGCCCTGGAAACGACTTCGACATAGTGCTTGGTGTTGTTCTCGATCGATTCCACTAGCTTCAGGGCTCCTTCCTGATCCGCCTCAAACTGCCAAAGTATTAGTACCGGTGAGTACACAGGCAGCAAGCTCGGCCTCAATGTTATCTGTGGCTTACCGAAGCGACATCATCCAATTCTATGAGCACCTCATCGAGTGTGCGGTCAGCCAGCTTCTGCAGCATGTCGGCATATTTGTATGTTGGCTCTTTAGAGACATTGTTGGTGCGCCGGCGGCTTCGCGACCCTTCGGTCTCATCGAGGAAGTCGTAGTCGTCATCGCTAAGGTCCTCCTCGTCGATGCTGATCTGCCCAATGGCGTGGGCTATGGACTGTTCTGGGGACGTCTTGAATCCCTGGAGGAACTCCTCAAAGGCACCTGACTGTTGTGTGAGCTCGATTGTGTTCGTCGACTGCACCACCATCGCCCTGCCACCCGCCGGAACTTACGCTGCTGCGCCTCATAGTCGACAATGCTCTTGTACTGAAGCAAAGCCATGGCGACGGACTCGCGCACTCTGACTTGTGCAGAGCCTGTGTGCTTGGGTAGTTCGGAATGGAAATGCTGATGTGCTGCGACAGCGATCTATGCTGATGCGCGGTGCTGACAATGCCCTTGCGCCGGAGAGCCAAAGTCGAGAGTCGGGTTGTGTGACGATGTTGCGACTTTTGACGGGGCTGGGCGGGCGCATGAGATCTTGCAGGGTGGAACAGCGTAGACAGGGCAACTGAGGTGGTAGCGTCAAATGAGGGGCTGGCGGCGCTCAAATGTCGGTCACGAAACGCGTCGGGAGACGCGTCCTGGACGTGACAAGCAGCCGCTGCATACTATGGTAACTGCTTCACATTTGGAGGGCTGTGCATGGAAGTGGGGCCAGCATAAAAAGAGCCGCACACTCGGCCTCGCATGGACCCCCAAGTCCCTGCCTGCAGTGGGCAGCCTCGGCTTGACCATCGGCAAACCATAGCTCGAGCTCATTTCCCCAGACTGGAGTTGCTCGACCCGCCATTACACCACATCCGAGGGACAGCGACATTGTACACGGTTCGAGCATCCCGAGGTCATTGCATTTGCTGCTCGTGACGACACGCAACAGTTTGGATCGCCAAGTCCTCTCGAACCATCGACATGTCCTCTTGAAACCGACTCCTTTCAATTCCTGAGCGAATTCCCCTCCACAGTTCGAATCACTCCGCAGAGGCACCAGTACCTGCCGCACATCATGTCTTCACGCAAGAACCTGCAGACGACGTCTGCAGAAATCTCGCTTGTTCATCTCAAGAACTGTCTTGTCAACCTCCCTACCTCTCTCGTCAATCTTCTTGTCTCTATAAATACGGTATGGGCTTCTTCTCGCCTGTCTCTGGCGCCGCTCAGCTAGCTAATAGATCCGTTTAGCCCGCACAAAATGTCATTGTCCAACTCCAATACCGCGTTCCCGCTCCCACCAACGGCACGGCGCTGCCCGGCGTTGCTTCGGTACAGCGAAATATCTACCTAGGCTGGACAGGTATGCCCAGCAGACCCAAAACGGCTCCTCTGGTTGGGCGCGACAGCATCACCAGTGGCCGAGCCGGTGGCCGGGAACAAGAGATCGCATCTGTGGAAATAGACGCGACCCTCGCTGGCACTCTTGGCATCAGCGATGGCACAAAAGTGATGGCCACACTCCACCTCGATCCGCCCCTTGCGCACACGGTCAACATCGAGCCATTGACACCGGAGGACTGGGAGATTATAGAGCTGCACGCGACATTCCTCGAGCTCAACCTGCTCTCTCAGATCCGCGCTCTGCCGAATCCCTCGTTCTCCCCCGCTCCCGGCCAATCAGCGGCTGCGCACCCTTTGACCCTGCACCTTTCGCCCACTTCAACAGCCAACATCAAAATCTTGAGCTTGGACCCGGCGCCAGCAAACGACGTTGCGTTTGTCAAGATCGCGCCGGATGCGGAAGTTATTGTGGCTCCCAAGGTGCGCGCGAAGCCTACGCGAACCAGCCGCGCCGCGGGTAGCGTCGGATCCCGGCGCAGTGGGAAGAGCACGGCAAGCACCGTCCGAAGAAAATCTAATCGGGAAGAGAAGAGACCAAGTTTATTCCTTCGCGGTATCGACCGTACTCTGTGCACGGAATGGTTCGACGAGCAGCCAGCCCCCCACGAGCTCGCGGTCTGGGTCGATAGAGACCTTCTTCAATCCAAAGACTTTCGTGGTGTCAACTGGGTGGCAGTCAGCTTCGTGAAGCCTAGTGGACTGCAGCCACCTCTTGACCCCTCAAAGCAGCAACAGGAGACAGTGGCCGAAGGGGCGAAAGCCAGCGAGAAGATCATTGCTGCTCTGCGACCTTGGGACGACCCTCCTACAAGCCAGACAGCTGCGTTGTCTTCACCACTATGCGCATCCCTTGGCTGTGACGGCGTCGTGGGCGGCATCGTCAAGCTCGAGGCTGCACCTCTACCACTTTCTCGAAGCACCATACAACAGGTGAAGCTTTTTCCCTTCTCGACTATCACGACTACCACCACTTCGAGTCTCAAATTTGGCGGCGAATCCAAGGCTGAGAAGGAAGAGGCCGCCAAGATGATCTCGCGCATCTACGGCAAGGGTCTTCTGCAAGGACCGCTCACGGATGGAATGGTGCTGGGCGCCTACGACGGTCTTGAGCTACCGAAGTCATGGGAAGGCGGAGTCCTTAAAATCGACCCACCGAGCCTGAACACGACAACAAGAGAAAGCTTGAGCTGGTGCCTAGGCTCCGAGCGCCAATATCCCATTGAGGTGCAACCACCGATAACTAGACCGACATGGCTCGAAGACGAGAGGCTGGACAATAGCCTGCCGAAAGAACCACTGAACCTTGTCGGCATCGACTCCCTGTTGGAAAGTGTTCGATCACATCTAGCGCACATGTCCTCGGTCCTCCTGACCGGGGCTCTTGGATCAGGCAAGACGTCCGTTGCACAAAGCCTCGCAAAGACCCTGAAGGAAGACTTCTTATTCCACACCACCTACTTCCCTTGCAGAACCCTTGTCAATGATGAGAGCCGCATTTCAACAATCAAGGAGACTCTCAATCGTGTTTTCATGGGCGCCAGCTGGGGTGCTAGATTAGGTGGTCAGGCCCTTGTGATTCTGGATGACCTGGACAAGCTCTGCCCAGTTGAGACGGAACTACAGGTTGGCAACGACAACGGCCGAAGTCGACAAGTCAGCGAAACGATATGTGCAATTGTCCGCCAGTATTGCAACAGAGAGACAGGTGTCGTTTTACTTGCTACGTCACAAGGCAAGGACTCTTTAAACAATGTCGTTATCGGCGGCCACGTAGTGCGAGAAATCGTCGATCTCAAGGCGCCGGATAAGCAGGCACGAAGACGGGTGCTTGAAACGGTAGTAAAGCAACTCACGATAGAGTTTGAACCGTCTCACAGCGACGACAGTGATCGAAGCCGCCCGACCACAGCTGACGGCAGCAACGACAGCAACATCGGAGACGACGGTGGCGCATGGATGGACACCACCGCGCCGTCAAGCAAAATGAAAACAAGTACAAAGAAAAGATCGGACGGTTTCCTGCTGGATCCAAGCCTCGACTTCCTCGATCTTGCGGGAGAGACCGACGGCTATATGCCTGGTGATCTCTTGCTTCTGGTGTCGCGTGCTCGCAACGAGGCTCTTATTCGATCTGTCAGCGAGTCGACCTCTTTCAAATCACTAGACATCGCCCAGTTGAGCAGACAGGATTTTGACAGCGCACTAAAGGGGTTCACGCCTGCCTCTCTCCGAAATGTCACACTTCAGACGTCTACCACCACATTTGACTCAATCGGAGGACTGCAGGAGACACGCCAGGTGCTGTTGGAAACCCTCCAATATCCAACAAAGTACGCTCCAATCTTTGCCCAGTGTCCTCTCCGCCTACGCTCAGGATTGTTGCTCTATGGCTTTCCCGGCTGTGGCAAAACACTGTTGGCGAGTGCAGTGGCTGGGGAGTGTGGACTCAACTTCATTTCGGTGAAAGGCCCCGAGATCTTGAACAAGTATATCGGCGCAAGTGAAAAGAGCGTTCGCGACCTGTTTGAGAGGGCTTCTGCAGCCAAGCCCTGTGTGCTCTTCTTCGATGAGTTTGACTCCATTGCACCGAAGCGAGGTCATGATTCTACCGGCGTGACTGACCGTGTCGTCAACCAGCTGCTCACACAGATGGATGGCGCAGAAGGTCTATCTGGTGTGTACGTGCTTGCTGCAACGTCACGTCCTGATCTCATTGATCCCGCTCTACTCCGGCCTGGCCGGCTGGACAAGAGTTTGCTCTGCGACTTTCCCAACCAAGAAGATCGCATTGATATCATGAAAGCCCTTGGCAAGAAGGTGAAGCTCAGTGATGAGATTCTTGGGTCAGAAGAGATCCTGGAAGAAATCGCCCGTCGTACAGAAGGCTACTCTGGTGCTGACCTTCAGGCCTTGATGTCCAACGCGCAGCTTGAGGCGATTCATGATGTACTGGCCGATCTCGATCTCAACGCTGGTAGCGGCAACAAGAGGGGGTCTGCAGCAGCAAAGACCTCGGCTAGCTTTCGCTCTGCTCGTAATTTTGTCCAGTTTCGATATGGAGCAGATGCGTCGGCCGCAGAAGCAGATGAGCGCTCCAAGAGGGGATACAATAGGTCGACAGAAATTGCAGAGAATGCAGCCATTGCGGCCAAATTGGCCGAGATCAAGGCAGCTCGTAAGCGGGCAAAGGCTCACCAAGTATCTACTGGTGGAGGGCAGGCTGGCAATTTCGCGAATGGCACGACCGGGAAGGATCACGATGGTGGAGGTGAGGTGAGGATAGCATGGAAGCACATGAGCAAGGCTCTCGACAGCACTCGTGCCAGTATCAGCAGCCAGGAGAGGAGAAGGTTGGAACGCATATATCACGAGTTTGTGGTGGGACGCAGCGGTGAAATGAAGGACGGGCAAGGGAGTATGGAGATTGGCGGGCGAAGCAGCTTGATGTAGACTTGGAGCTCATGATGAATCATAGAAAACCATTCAAACCAGGACATGTTTGACGTTGCCAAGTGAAGTCTGCCATTCCGAGGTTCTCCCCCAAGGATGCTCTTTGGTTGGTATTGCTTGACACCTAGCAGCCTCGCAAGCAAGGGGCGACAGGGGCGCATGAGTGTAACCTCGGTGATTGGCTGGGACGTTTCAGCAGGGTCTGGTGCACAGACCATCCCCACAACCACGACCCTTCGACTCGCCTCGAGCATTCGTGCTTCTTGTTCGTCCAGATCGACAAGACAACGACCCTACGGCGAACCAACTTGGCCTATTTCGGTTTGCTTCATCACTGACCAATACCCGAACCGGTGCGTGTCGACTACTCACTGGCATGGTATATCCTGCTTCTTGGTCGTCTTCGTCGTGACAAGCCATCCATTTGGGTTCAAGTGCTCAACGTAGCAAGCAAGACCCACCCAACGCTAGCCTGCTGCGAACCGTTGCTTGGGGGTTGATGAGATCGCCCGCCACCAGAGGCTCATCGCGACCACAGTCGCCAGCATGTCGCATCTGTCGGTGAGGCCAGATGGCTTCCTCGGCATAAGGGGCAAGGCGTTTGAGGACGCCAAGAAGATGCAGGCCGTGGTCGAGGAGGAGTGCAGGAAATCAGGCAAGCCAGTCCCTGGCTACGATCTGACAGAGCTCATCGGCAAGGGCAGCTTCGGCCGCGTGTACAAGGCCATCGACCACAAGTCGTCAAAGGTCGTCGCTGTCAAGACTATCGACGTGGACGAGAGCGACTCCAGCAACCCGCACGCGGCAGATACGTACAGCGAGTTCCTCAAGGAGATCAAGGCTCTTCAAGTCCTCAATGAAGCCGGAGCGCAGAACATCAACCATGTCATCGAGGCACTTCCCGTGGGCAAAGCAATGTGGATGGTCACAGAGTACTGCGCGGGTGGCAGTGTGGCGACGCTGATGAAGCCCACCGCACCGGGGGGTCTTCAGGAGAAATGGATCATACCGATCCTGAGAGAAGTCGCAACGGCCGTCTTCTGGGTCCACAAGCACGGCATCATCCACCGTGACATCAAGTGCGCGAACGTTCTCGTCACAGAGGTGGGCGCGGTTCAACTCTGCGACTTTGGTGTGGCGGGAATGATGGAGACAAAGGTCGACAAGAGATCGACCTTCATCGGCACGCCTCACTGGATGGCACCGGAGCTGTTTGATCAGAACACGCAATATGGAACGGAGGTGGACATTTGGGCCTTCGGATCCATGGTCTTCGAGATTGCCTCGGGATTGCCGCCGAATGCCACAAACCGGACTGTTGGGTTCACAGAACTTGGCGACTACATCAGAGACCACCTTCCAAGATTAGAAGGCACACGATACTCGAATGAGCTCAAGAGCCTGGTGGCATACTGCCTTGTGGAGGATCCCGCCCAGCGCCCTTCCATTGAGGAAGTCCAGAAGCACCCTTATATCAGTAACACTGCAAGCAGATATCCGACATCCAGCCTGTCCGCGCTTGTCAAGGCTTTCAAGCTGTGGGAAGAGGGGGGTGGTACCAGGAAGTCGCTGTTTGCGATGGGCGGTGCGCAAGGTCCGCTCGACCTTGATTCAACATCACTTGCCGCAGATGAGTGGAATTTCTCCACCACGCTGGCTTTTGACGAGCAATTACACGATGACATGGATATGTCGGTTCCTGAAGCCGTCAGGGACGTCTACGGAACGGCAGTCGAGTTTGAATTTCCCGGTGTCGGCCACGTCAACAGTGGCTTTGAAGAAGAGACAGCACGCGCCAAGATGAAGGGGAGGAGGCGACCACCTCAACAGGTGCTTAATGCTTTCAAGGCACCACTTGAAAAGCTATTTGATCCCAACACCATCTCAAGCTACCACGACAACTCACGCATGTACTATGGACGGCCTCAAGAGTTTGCCCCGCCAGATGCGCCGGAACCACCACAGGCCAGGACATCTGATCTGCCTCTTCGGAACGATTCGTCTCACCAGGACGTCAGGGAGTCTCTGATTGACTTGGATGCTTCTCTTGGGGGTGGTTCAATGTCAGACTTTATGGATATGGGGACTATCAAAGCGCCAGCTCCACGCGCTGCTGGCCCCAGAGCGTCGCTTGACAACGGCTGGTCTTTTGGCTCCTCGATGGCGTCATCGGATACGCAAGAGTACAGGGTGCCAGACTACAGCGTGCCAGATTACAGCGTGCCAGATTACAGCGGTCCACTCACAGACCCTGCGGATTTTGAAGAAGAAAGAGGGACAGGAGGGCCAGCATGGCAGTGGCCAACCACTATTCCGCCTGCATCATCAGACTCCGATATGGGCCAGTTCTCCATGAACGATGACTATGTTCCGGCTTCGGCACGGCCAAGGCTTATTCACCAAAGCACTGAGCCAGCCGGCCTGCCCTCCCAGAACTACGATCTCCAAGTCCCAAAGCCCAGTGCTGCAGACAGGATGTCTACCTCTAGTCTGATCGATCTGGACATGAGCATGCCCGAACCTAATATGCCAGATTTCAGTCGACTGCCAGATCTGACCAGGCCCTCGACGGCTAATTCGGATGTCGCCTCAATGACTGGCTCGGAGCTGGGCGGTGGCGGGCCGTTCGAGCTTGAGCGCCACGCCTCTGTTTATGCTTCACTGCCGGTGACGAATCGGGAGCCATCGATATATGTTTCTGATGATTCTGAATTCGCATCCGCTATAAGGCAGATGCCCACCGACACCCCTGTAGACTTGACGGCAATGACCTCCAAGCCCAGTCATGATGGGTCCAACCAGGCGCGCCCCCAACAGTATCAAGATGAGCCGCTTTATTCTGGCTCGTCACATACATATATTGATAATTTCAGCACGCGGGGCTCAACAATGCTGCCCGCTGTCGCACCGCCATCTGCTAGTGTCTTGGAGGCGCGTGCAACACAAGGCGATGTAGCAAACGAGATGCGCAGGCTGATTGGGTCGCTCAAGGAACATCTAAGTCTGGTTGGGGAACAGGTCGCTGCGATGGAGCCCAGGCGCTACCGTGATAGCATCAACTACGAGTAGACTCTCCATGATTCAGTCTGCCACGGCTGCCATCAGTCGATCCAATGAAGCTGTACAACCAGCCATTTGAGTTTTGTCTTGCAAGCGCAATGTACTTATAGACATCTGAACGATAGAAGCGAGTTCATATCCGGACCAGTCCTCATATCCTCCGGGTTCAGGCATTGCGACCATGCGCACGTGCTCAGAACAGTTGAAGCTTGCTTTACAGTGTGTTCTTTGACCTTATCGAGGATATGTGTACGCCATGGCACAATTGAGATGGTGCATATCCGCGTTGCAAAAGCTGCCGAGCCTTTGGTCGGGGGTTTTTCATGGGGCAGGTCGCCTGTACAATTCGAAGATGGACACATGTCTGTTGTAAGATGCGGTACGAAAGGCAGGAGGAAGTGCATCAATTGCTCCTGCCTTTGGTTTGCCTCTGCGCAGGCGCCAGATCTGGCTGGACAAGGGAAAGTGCCTGAGGCAGTTACTCCTTCCTAGGCTTCTCGACCACTTCTCCCGCTCCTCTCCTCCCATCCAGTCTCTTATCGCCGCAGATCGCATCCTCCCTCTTCTGTTGGCCTGTCATTGTATGACCTTCCATGGTCCATCAAGAGATATTCGACGTGCCCCGTTCTGCACTCTCGGCACCGTATCAACCACCAGCCAGCTGCCGGATTCCACCAGCTCTCCCTGACTGCTCGGCTCTGTCGTCTCGCCATTGACGCGTCCACGCGAATCGTCCTTTCGAATCTATGGTGCAGAAGCGTGTCTCGACGTGTGGTAATCCTCTTTCCTCCTGTGATCTTGCACCACCCTCTTCCTTCTCATTCATCCACACACACACACACACACACACACACACACACACACACACACACGCACCTCCTTATGCTCCATGCACAGCGATCCTTCTACCGTTTTCCCAACTTTGTGAGCGAGCACTCGACGCTGCCGTTTCCCCACCCCTTGTTCTCCTTCCATGCTTGGTATTATGCTTCTAGGCAACACAAAGCTGCACGATTCCGACATATCATCGCCGCTGCATCAAGCGGCATCCAATGGCCATGTTGACTTCGAAGTCGCCATTAGCAGATCTCGCACACCCCACTGAGAACATCAGTTACCTGCATCGCGACTGCTTCTCACTTACTGTTGCTTATTTACACAGAGAAAAGATTCTTTGCTCGCCATGGGGACCAGCACAATCAATCCTTCCTAGCCACCACAATTGAATCAATTCCTGCGATCAACACTGACAAACTGTCATCTGGCTTGTACAGGTCAAGCTTGTCACTTGCCTACAACAGTAGCCTGACGCCCTTCTGCCGACCATCGAGACTGCTCTACTTCTTCCGTTGAAGTCTCCTGTCGCTCCCAGCTTTCCTCTACAACAAGATCTGCGGCCCGAGTACTCCTCGATCAAAGAATCCTCGGATGCCAGAGAGTGGCTCACACACGATCGCAGTTCTGCTTTCAGCCCGAAAATACGATCAGGATCCCGAATGCCACTGGTCTTGATCTTCGTGCTGCGGCCTGACGGTCTTGTACAGGTCATCTCGTTCGCGACCATCCTTGTCGGCCCTTCTGTCCTCTCCGCAATTTCACCTGAATTCCCGTGGAGCGGATGATCAACAAGTCGTGCTGTGATTATCGGACAGCGACCTCTGATTTTGTTACTCGACTCGTGTACGCTCATATTGTTTCAAAGAGGGTTATATACATCCTGGCGGGTGAGAGCTCCCTTCTCCCCTGCTCTGTCGATTCCTGTACCAACATTGGCTAACTTTTTAACAGAATTACACTGTTATCATTGTTATCATGTCCACGTCCGTTGAAGTGAAAGGAAATATTGCAGATTTAATGGTTGGAGAAGATACCGAGGAACACTCCGCGCAAGAGCAAAATCGAGACGATCGGCATTTCGAGCCAATTCTCGATCACAGCATTGTCGGGCCAAACCAACAAACTCAAGATGACCATTTAAGCCAGTCAGAACCCCACGAAGACATATTTGAGCCCAAGGAAGACGTGAAAATTCCATTGCGGTGCGACCTTTGCCCAAACGGCCTCACGTTTTCGGACACTTCCCACCTCCTCACGCATATGAACTCAAAAAGTCACATCTTTCACCATTGGAACCTCGAACTGTTCAAAGAAGTCAATCCTCGAATAAGAACCGCCTTGCAGAGGTTTCAAATGTTCTGGGAGGAGTACGACCTCGCAGGTCGGATCCGAGCCCGCATGATCAAGAGGAATCAGATCCCTCAAATTGCAGCAGACACAACTCGGGATGTGCCCGATTTCCAACCACGCGTTCACAATGACCGGCTAACCACAAATGTCGCCACGAAGACAACCCGACGGCGAAAGTCTCAGCCGGTGCTGGAAGCAACGAGCCCCCACTATGTGAGTGAGCCATGATGCGCATCAGCATTTTGATCTATGTCGACTCCTTGGTGATCAGACACATGAAGTTATATATTATTCTAACGGCTATGTGTTCTCGTGGCTGTGATAAAATGCTGACATGAGTTCCTCATACCAGTCTATCGGCTCTTCACTCCCGTCTAGTCGGAGTCTTCCAGACAAATTGAAGTTCGACCCTGGCCTTTTCGCGAACAAGTTTCATGATCACGACAATTCGAACTATCCACTTTGCGACGATCTTTTCCATCCCCTTGAGCACAGTACTTTAACGCATTCATCCTGGCGCAACCAGCCGCCTGCCCACCCTCGCCATAGTGATTCCAGAAGTCCTGGTCCATACCTTCATCCGGCATTGAGTGCGGCAAACGTTGATTTTCGCTCTTTACAATCCGGCATGGCAAGAACAAACCGACACGTCACCAATGCAGCGGCATGCGAGGCAAATGTGTCAGAGATTGAAACCAAGTACGAGCCATCTGAGGATGATGGTTCATTTCCATCAGAGAATGCCACAGACATTGTTGAAGACGCCAAGCAGGAGGAGTTCAGACCGAAGGGTCTACAGTTTGACGGCATGGGCGGTTTCGACGCCGCTAGCAACGCCCAGAAACGCAAGAGAAACCAACGGAAAGATCCCGAGGTCCTCGTCCAATTGCGCGCCAACTCCGAAATGGTCACGACTGACGAACACGTCTTCGACATCAATTTCAATTTGCAGCGAGTTCGTGATGTGTTCGATGAATCAGATATCAGTGTCGTAGGTCACTCTTTGTCGTGATAAAGCGTGCCATTGATGTTGGACTGACCATCTTAGGATGAGGACAACGACACTTCTGCAACCAAAAGAAGGAAGAAGCAATCCTCGTCCGCGAGAGTAACCAAGTCTACGAGGAAAGGCCGCAAACGACCTACGAAGCTGGCTGACGAACAGGTCGTCCCACCGTCCACCGCTAGGGTCAAAAGAGCCTCGGCACGGGCAGCGCAGGTGGCCATCACAAAGCTGCATCAACCAAGATCAGATCCATTGACAATGGCCAAGAGTCCCTCAGTCTCCAGACCTTCGTCAGCACACAGTGCTACCAACTCGAACCATCAACTTTCCGTGCTTGAAACCCATAATCGCCGCGCCACTTCAGGGGTGGGCAAGTCGCCACTCGCTCTGTCCTCCTCAGGTGAGGGATGGACCTCACTGGGCGACATCTGCCGGCTTTACATATGGCTAACCCCGTCCTTGCAGGCATCAACAGCCGCGGAGGACGAGTAGGTGGAGACGCCCAAGGGTCTTCACACCATCGCTTGTCTAGCAAGTAAGTTGATATAACTTACATTCACTCTAGACAGGGCAATTTCGAGCTGATCCCGCGTCTCAGTCTCAGCCACGACATGTACACAATGCAGGCCAGTGAAAGCATACCGCTGAAATTCTCTGCTCCTGGCGAGCCGCCTTTCGGCTTTCCACTTACCAACGCTGAGAAGGAGAATGATCCGCGCGCGTTCTACGCTGGACATATGTCGGTAAATCCCAATCCATACTTTTCTGCTCAGGAAGCAAGGGATCCAGCAACATACAACCCCTTATACGTCCAGCGCGTTGGCAGCGACAGGGCAGCCATGGTTTCACATTATAATGAGCCCACACGGCCGGACGAATTTGCACTCCATCAGATGCAAAGGAACGCCCCGTTCCCTTTGATGCAATTACCACAGCACGACGGGCTGGTTCATCACCATCATATTGCACCGTCAGACCATCAATTTTGATCCTCGGAAGGCACATCAAGATAGGCAACAAGACCTATCGCGCAGTCGCATGCCGCCAATTTCTATGCCAGTCCGAAATAGTTATTCCATTTTGGGAGGTTCCTTGTTTTGTTCTCTCTTTTTGTTCACGGTGCGTGCGTTGCTTCTTGGACGACATGTTACAGACAACTCGTCAACGCTTGTGACATGGGAGACGGAATGAGTGCATGCATTGGCGGAGTTCTGCATCACAAGGGGGTTCGAAAGAGCATTAGATCTTTAGTAGGAGGTCATCATAGAAATAGAAACCAACTTTAGCTACCACATACTACAGTGTCGCATGCAATGAAGGATTGTGCCAGCATTCTCATCTACTTGCAAGACCTGAGACGAGGGAGAACGTAACGCGATTATACCTCGATCATGCGGCGCAACATAACAATTGCAGCCTACCTGTGATGATATGTCTTTGAACCCAAACGCTCACCCTAAACATACGCCGTGACGCCATTCGTCTCCGTCGAGCCTCTCTCCGCAGCCCCAACCAACACCAATGCCCGAGATTCCGAACACATTGCGTACTCAGAAGTGTTTGTATTTTGACCCATCTGTCTCAATCAGAGCTGCTCAATGCTGGAAATGAGGTGGTCAAGCCCTCCAGGCCCGTTCTGAAGTACATCAGCAAGCAGGCGCACCGAGCCCGCAAGCCTGCGCTTCTTGATCTCGTGCTCCAGCTCCTGCGACTTGCGCGCAGCGACATCAAGGACCTTGCGTGGTATGTGGGCGAGCCGCGCCACGTTGAGCCCGTATGAGCGGTGAGCGACGCCCTCGCCGACTTCGTACAGGAATGTGATTTCCTCGTCTACTGCTGATCCCGGTGCTCCTCCACTCGAGGTGTGTTCTTTATCCGGGGCGGGACTGTCGTTGTCGTCATCATCGTCGTCACGGGTGTCCCGTCCGTTCCTCGTCGCTGTGAAGCGCATATGGACGTTCTTGCAGCGCCCGCCTAGGCCATCGGCCACACGCGAGAGAGACTGGTAGTGCGTAATGAACAATGTGAGACAGCCGACATCCTGGACCACATGCTGCAGAACGGCATCTGCGATGGCAGCACCATCATGTGTGCTTGTGCCACGTCCCAGCTCGTCTAGTATCACTAGTGACCGTGGCGTGGCGGTGCGTAAAATGCTCGATGTCTCCGAGACCTCAACCATGAATGTACTCTCGCCAGTGAAGAGATTGTCGCGTGCTCCCATCCGAGTGAAGATCGCGTCCATCAGTGTGAGGGAGAAGGAATCGGCAGGCACGTAAGATCCAATCTGAGCCAGGATCACGAGGAGTGCCACAGATCGAACAAAAGACGACTTCCCGCCCATGTTTGGCCCAGTGATCAGGTGTGCCAGTGGCGCGGGAGATGAGAGTGTCGTGGTGAACGGAATGTACGAAGTGGCGAGGGTCTGCTCGGCAATTGGATGCCGACCACCGGCAATAGATATCGTTGGAGGATCAGACGACGGGAGGAAAGTCGGCTTGTTGTAGCCTGGAAGCATGGCGACCTTAGACATGGAGATGAGACAATCGAGCGTGGCCAGAGCGGAGACAGCATCTCTCAACGGCTGGTAATCTGCGGCGATCGTGCGGAGAAGATCTGCAAAAGCTTCGTCACAGGCTGTTGATAGGGCCTCTTTGTGTTGGTCTCTTTCTGCAATCATGCGCACAACCTCGGGAGTGTGGAATCTTGAAAGCTTCTTCGTGCCGCTGATCTTGGCCCAAGATGCAGGTACCTTCTTAAGGTCGGTGTTGGACACCTCGATAAGATACTCAATGCCAGCAACTGTGACGTAAGTGACTGGAGACTTCTTGCCTAGTTTGGATGCAGCCTCGTTACGATGGGCATCTAGTTCCTGCTCAACGCATGCGATCCCAAGCTTGTGGTTGGTGATGGCATCTGTCTCTTCGGTCTCACGAAAGAACGCATACTTGTCATCCTTTCGAGCAGCTTCCGCGCTGATCTTGTCCAAGAAAGAGATGACCATTGGCAGAATCCGTGGTAGTGAGGCGATAGCGTTTCCGATAAGTGGTGATGTAAAGCCAGACTCGTCTGCTGACTGAACCTTGACGAACTCGGTGGATATTCCCTGAAGCGTCTGCAATACTGCGAGAAGCTCCGGCCTGGTACACTTGCCATAATAGATGCGGATCAAGCTCCGTTCAAGATCCGTCCGGGTCTTGCGCAGCAGGTGTTCAATCTGATCCACTTTCCTGGTTGACGCGTTCTCGAGCAGCTCCTCAACGGCACTGACACGTTCTTGTAGGCGTTCTCGATCAAGGAGTGGACGGCCGATCCATTTCCGCAATAGCCTCTGGCCGAACCGTGTGAGTGTCTTGTCGAGCGCCCAGAACAGACTGCCTTTCTCGGAATGATCGGTGGCATTTCGATACACCTCGAGGCTTTCCAAGGTTGTGCCATTGATCAGCATGTGTTGGCGAGCACTGAAAGATTGGAAATACTTGGTCAGGTCGAAGATATGTTCGAGTCCGTACTCCTTGAGATGATTGATCATCGATGACAGGCAGATGGTGACGAGCTCTGGCAGCTTCAGGACTTTATCGAGAAGCGTGCTTGCCTGTGCGCTGCTGTCATTATCCTTCAACTTGTCGGCGTAGAACTGGGTAACGTGTGAGTACGACTCCGCCGCCATTGTTTTCGTCTTTGGCACCCGCTCGACTCGACTGCGTTCACCAAAGACATTTGTTGAGCTACCAGACAGGTGCTGTATGAGTTTGTCGGACGCTTTTGTAAGATCTCCAACAATCAAGAACTCGCACGGCGAGATATGCAACAGCCTCGTCTCAATCTCGCTCCGCATGAAGCCATCCTCGAAGCTATCGTAGATGATGTCTCCGGTAGCCGGTTGGACAGCGAGGATGCCCACTTCGACTTTCTCATCTGTTCCCGAACCCTTGGCCTTGGTCTCTGTGATGCACAGCAAGTAACCGCCTGAGGGCGTCGTTGTGGTGCTCTGATCCAGCTCGCCTGCCTCGTCGATATATGTGCCTTTTGTGTAAACATTGGTGAGTTTACGAGTGAAAGGAGCATTCCTGTTGTCGCCGACCTTCTTGAGTGCTGCCGTCTCAACCTGTCGCACGACACCCACTTTGTGGCCAGCGGCCACGAGTCGCTTCGCGTGGACAGGCAGGCGATGCACTGGAATACTGGCTGAGGCAAAGCGATCAAGATGTGCTTCTGAGGGGTGCTCGTCGTAGCGCATCTTGCCCGGGATACAGACGATGCTGAGCTCGCGAGCAGCTATGCGGGCATCCTCGCCAAAGAACTTGAACTTGTAGCCCACTTCTACAATGAGCAGAGTGTCCATGTGGCTCCGCTTGATGTCGAGGAACTGAATCTCCATGGGTGTGAGCTTGCCCGTCTTCGCACCTTTCTTCTTTGCCTTTGGTGCCGGCGTGGACTCCTCCTCCTGGCCATCTTCATCGTCTTCGCCCTCTGCATTCTCTTCAGTGGTCTGCTGACGGACTAAGCTTCCCGGCCGGCCCAGCTTCTGCACAAACTTGCGATGTAGTTCTGCCTTCCTCCGCCGCTCGAACGCGTCGTCCTCGTCGCCACTGTGTGCTTCGGCCGCGGTGGTGGTAGTGCCATTGTCTTGAGACAAACTAGAGCTGTAGATGTAGCGCTCGGTGCGGGCACCAGGCTTGGAAACAGGCGGTTGCCTGGGGCTCGGTCTCGACGGGAGGTCCTCGAGCTTGGAGCGTTTCGGGCTATGAGGCTCTCCTTGATTGCCGTGGTCGGTGTCCTCTTGCAGGGGCCGCTTGCGAGGTGTGCCTTGGGTGTCCTGGGGAGACGAGGATGGCAGACTGTCGATGCCTTTGGTGCTGGTGGCAGGCTTCGGCCTCGTGAAGAAGCTGGTGAGAGACTGCTGCTTCTTGTCCTTTGCAGGGCCAGCCATTCTGGCAGTATAGGGGACGGCAAGCGGAGTTGTGCGAGGTGTCCTACGAAAGGCTCTTGGTTGTGATGGTTGAAATCGTGGGGCAATTCGGCCAGCCCGGTGCCTGCTCTGAAGGGCAGATCGCAGCGTAAGGTTTGGAAGCTCGACGCGTCACAGCAGTGGCCGGAACCGCGTTGCACCTGAGAGGTCCACTGTCGCCACCCGTGCAGCTCGCGTAAAGTGCTGGCCAGCGCTTGGCGGCTCCACTCCCGCACTCTATTTCGACGACCACTGCACGGATCACTCGGCGTCCCTTCCCATGCTTCTTCAAACTGAAGAATTGCGTTGTCAATTCATCATCTCCTCCCTCGTGGCCCTTTGCTCGTCCCGAGCTCAAAATGAGAGCGACGAGCTGTGTGCTTGAGTCATCGCGGTCGTTATGTCACCGTCTGTTTCAACCCTCGGCAGTGCACCCGCAACAGCGCGTGCCTGCCCGGAGTGGCTTGACTGGGTCACCCTGACGCCATCCTTGGTAATAACTCGATAGAGCCTTGGGTCTCATAATTTTCCTTCTTCTAATCTTTGACATTTCGGCACGTTCAGTATTGCTGGGCATCCAGAAGCTGAGAAAATACAGGTGGGAACTATCATGGTTTGTACAAATAAAGGCCGGGGCCATGAAAAAAGACTTTTTGATCGGCAGCTCACTTATGATACGGTAGCTTGTGATAGTGGAGAAGTACAGGTGGTGAAAAGATGAGCGGAATAGAACACACAGCATTGTCAGCTACAAACAAGCTGACAGTAGTATTTCAGACTGTGCGGCAAAAGAAGGGAAGAAATTCAAGAGAGAAAGAGATGAAAAAAAAAAAGTTAGTAAAAAAGGAAATAAAAGGGGTACAGGGGTTGCTAGGCACCAACAGTCCAGTGAATGGATTCTCTCGAGGACCAAAAATCCTCAATTCGAACAAGCTTCCACCGCTATTTTGGAAAGGTGATCACGTTGTTGGGCGCAGGTATTATTTGCACAGGCTACACACATTGCATGATGCAACCCCCCAAGAAACAACCATAGCCTAGCGTGTCGGCATTTCGGGAGCGTCACCGCTAGTCAAAACGTAATTCAACTCTTCACTGTTCTCAGCGAACAGTCCATCGGTTCCCCAGGAAAAGTCGAGAACTCCCATGTCCGGAAAAGCATCGACCTCCCGAAAATGGGGAGAAAGACTGGGTACCATAGGGCTGTGCCGCGGAAACTGACCCCCAATGCCGTATGTTTGCTGGTTCGGTTGAGCAAACCCCATCGTGGGGTTAATCGAGGTTAGGTTAGGCAACAGGGTCTGATCAGGCAGGGCATATGCCATGCTACCAGGTGCTGGCAACATCGTCACTGCCGCGTGAGTGGCACCCGCTTTGCGTTTGGCCGAGGGTTCTTGGTCTGTATAGCCTATTCGACACTGTGAAGGTGTCTGGACCTCGGTATTCTGTATATAGGTCTGCCCGCTTGAGGAAGAGCTCGCTCCAGCCCCAAAGAGCCGGTAGCAGAGATCCCATGTGCTCTTGACGCTCTCGAGCAGAATATGTTGCATTTCTTGGCTCCGGCCTTGGGCGAACTGAATACTGCCGTCCTTGACGAGCTTGGTCAGCTGAATAGAGAAAATTCGCACGAATCTTTGATGGTCCCCCAGCACGGGCTTCATCATTCCTCTGTCCGCTGTCTCCTGTTCAAACCCTTGAATCGTATTATTGGATGCTGTTAGCCACTAACCGCAGCCTTCCTCGACAAAACCTTGACGTGCTCACATGGATGATTTGGCCGTTCCCTCCCTGGGAAGAGAACATCCCAGTTGGCCCACCATTTCTCCACATTGTTCGACTTCGACGGTTTCTTGCCGCTGTTCCATTTCAACTTTGCCCATTGCTCGTCGCTGATTCCTTCTTTCTGCCTGGGATCGCCAACAGCGCACCCTTCTGGCTGTTGACGATGCGCAGCGAGATCGGCTAGGCACTGAGCACGGTCCTTGGTTTGACCGACGAACTTCATATAACAGCGGTCGCATTGCACCGGGTAGTGCTTCCTCTCAATGTGCTCCCTAGTATCGTGTCAGAATTGAGGTTCAAAAGGCTTTTCGGAGGCCAACAACTCACTTGACTCGCTGAATGGTCTTGAACCCCGATGTGCAGACGCGATAATGGTTCCGAGTCTCGATGCAGACGGTGTATTTGTTTGGCTCTGCCTTGTTAAAAGGGCATGCGAGGAGCTTGACAATAGCCCCTGAGCGGGGCTCGCCGGTTCTTTCAACGTGTCCAGGTTCATCGCCGTCCTGTTCGTCCCCATCTCCGTCTTCAGAGTCGCCATGGCGCTCCGAATCTCTCGATGCACGCCGGCGTTTTCGAGGGTTGTGTAGATTAGCCTGTCCGACAGGATGATACTCATTCTGTGGAGGCTGAGAGCCGTGGCACTGGATGATGCTGTTTTGCCAGCGGTTGATCTTTTTGCCCCTGATTGCGGTGTTTTCTTCGTGAAGTTTTACAATCAGGAACGCTGCTAGCTCGAGATCTGGGATAGACGAAAGAACAGCAGTCTCGATTTCGTCCTGTTCACCACTCCACTCTGGGTCGTCCTCGTCTGAGTCTGAGTCGAAAGCATATTGGTCGGAGTCGCTGTCCGTCGAATCGAGGTCTTCCGCAGATGTGGGATGATGTCTTGGGAAGGATGATGGTGATTTGTTGGTGGGGTAGCCTCCAGGGTGATCTGACAGTTTCGCAGGCTTTGGCGATTTCGGTCGCTTTGATCTCCTGCAAGTGTTGTTAGCTTGAGGTGGTGGTGGTGTTGCAGCGATACAGACACCGGAATTGCATGACCAAAGGCCGCCGGAGTGGATAAAGTCGGCCATATCATGATCGCAGGAGTTCAGAACCCAGATACTCACCTGCTGTTTGGTGATTCGCTTCCTGCTTTGCGATCATTGCACATTTCAACCTGATGGAGCTCCAACAAGTCTTCGCTGACAGAAGTATTGCTGGTGTTCGTTGTTGCGCGGCTGGAGGTAGCATGGCTAGTTCGGCTGTAGGAGGTGAAAGGGGTGCCTGCTCGTGATATGGTGTACTCGTCGGCCTCGATACCATCAGCAGAAGCTGCTCGAGCACGTATGTCCAGTTTACCAGGCCATGTTCTGTAGTGGTCATTCGACTTTGAACCAGCATTTTCGTGTACCGGAAGAAGGTCGGAGCATGAATGCCAGGCATCCTGCGCGTTCGCCGGTGAAGGGCCTTTTGCAAGCAAGTCCGTCTGCTGGACAAGATGCGGATGGCTGGTCATCCCCGAATGTCCTTCGCGGGACAACAGTCCCAACCTCACGAAAGAGACGGTGCGTAACAGCGACTTCTCTGCGGTTTGGATGGCCTTGGAAGGGAGCACCACACATAACGTGAAGAAAGAGGATATCGAGGATGCTGGAGTTGTGAGTGTGGCAGAAGACAACGAAACTGGCCGTCTATTTGACGTGCAAGTCTGGTTGCTCCTGTTGGTGCCTTTGCCATTTTCGTGACGTGGCTTGGACTTGTCCTGGGCCCAGAAAGGGATGTGCGTTCGAACCGGGTGACCGTGTTGCCGTGGACCGGATCCTCAGATGCGCATTTGCGCAACTGTCGAGCTGTGCATGAGAGCCAGCCTTGCGATGGCCACATTTTTGGCCAGAGCAGGGGTTCGCCGCCAATCATGAGCGATTGCATGACACCTCCTCGGCCGGGCGACAACGCCTTGGCCGCCACAGAGCTATGGCTGCGCATTTGCGCAAGGCGGATTCGATAGGAGTGTCGTGCTGGCCGTGGCTGGAAGGACTACTTTAGGTTGCGCATCGCGTCCTGGAGACATCTAGGCGATGGCAGCCAAGGACATGTCGGGTAGTGGCACCACGGCGCAACCTGTCATGCAAGGAGCTGCCGGCCACGTGCTTTTCCAGCAGTCCTTGTGTCTCGGCTCCGTGTAAGAAGCATGGCGGCTGCGGAGACAGGCGGGTGGTCACAGGATGGGCAGTTGATGAGGCCGGCCGGGACTGTTTGGGGTGATGCGGAAGTCGAGGCGCCAAGCTCGGAAGACGAGAGACAGCCTTGCGAATGCGCAAGACATGTTGTGGCGGGGCAGAGAGGCGAAGGGAAGGACCGAGAGAGAGAGGAAGAGAGACGGGAGAGAGAAGTCTGGTGTCTCGGAAAGCGCGCCATTGCTGGATCTGAGGGCACCGCCACCCTGCAATCGTGGTGTCCACCATGCAACCCATTGAACTGCCTCTGCACACTACACGCATCTGCGCAGTCACACAACCTGCGCGCTTCTGCGCCCGCCATGGCCCGCAAAGTCTCTGGTCGTCTGCAATGTACGGCTCAGTAGTAGGAAATGGCGTTGTGCGGAAGCAAAAGTGAATCTCCTGTTGCTCGTCCACAAAGGCGCGCCTCGCAAGTGCGCAGATGCAGAGGTCGGCAGCGCTGCCCCTTTGGTTGAACTGGTTCCATATAGAAGAGACTCGTCTGTACCTCGAAACACCGGCTTGCGTTTCCAGAGTCACCGATCCATCTCCCAAACCAACATAGTCCTATACAGCGGTCCAGCAGTTACAATGAGTGCACCAGAGCCTGACACGCCTGCGCAGCCGGTCGACCCAAGTACGTGGTGTTGGCCTGATCCTGATACAAGAACCCGTTACATACAGACGGAGGCATGCCCATGCTGACCCCCCGGGACTAGCCTATGGGCAATGAAAGTACCAGAACCATTCCTGTAACTGCATGCAGGCCTCTTTCGAATGGTGTGCCTGCTCGACTTACACTGGATTTGCCTCCAGATGCCGCCACGCCATGGGGTGGGCCTGGCAATGCGGCGGACCCACCTTGGGCTTGGTCAGAAGACGTCACTCCTGCGACTTCTTCTGTCGCACCCCACAACACCAATGCACCGCTTGCCAAACGTCAACAGAACGACTTCTAGTTGGCTGCATCATCGCCGTACCTGTCGCGCATTGTCGTGCCTTGCTCTCCTCTCAAGTCTCCAGGCCTTCGCGATCCCAAATCTCTCGCCGTATTTCATCCGTCCCGCCGGTCCTCCGAGATGAGCGCACGGCGCTGAGACACCTCTCGATCTCTTCGCCCGCCCACCGCAGGCCTCCCTGGCTTTCGCTCACCATGCGGGACGATCCGGCAACTACAAACCTACCGGACTACTGCAACCCCAACGTGATCGCCGGGCCAAGCAGTACCGACACCTATGTCCAGCTCGTCATCTCTCTGATCCTGGGCTTGTCCGCCTTCATCGCGTTTTGTGTATGGGCCCCCAGCTTGTGACGGCCATACCCATTCCTCCTCCTGGCAGCATAGTGAATCTGACAATGCGTTCTCACTTTAGATCATACGGCCACGATGGAAGACCCTATACTCCGCGCGCAAGCGCCGCCTCGATCCCCACGTCAACCTTCCCGCGTTGCCCGACACTTTCCTGGGATGGATCCCCGCCTTGTACCGCATCACTGACGACCAGGTGCTCGCGTCGGCCGGCCTAGACGCGTTCGTGTTCCTCTCCTTTTTCAAAATGGCGATCAGACTCTTCGCGACAATGTTGTTCTTCGCCTTGGTGGTCCTTCTCCCGATCCACCATATGTACGTGAGACCACCGAAGCAGCCAAGCAATTCGTCCCATGCCCTGCTCGTCAACAAATACAATACCCATCCGGCACACGACCCGACCAGCCCTTTCACAACAAGGGATGACGAGAATCCTGACACCAGTTGGGCTTGGAGCTATCTCTGGGCTTATCTCGTTTTCACATGGTTCTTCTCAGGATTGACCTTCTACTTCATGAACTCGGAGACTATCAAGGTGATCAAGATCCGGCAGGACTACCTTGGCACTCAACGAACCATTACGGATCGCACGTTCCGGCTCGTCGGCATCCCAGAGGATCTCCGGACCGAAGCCAAAGTTAAGGAGTTTGTCGAAAATCTCGAGATAGGACATGTTCGCTCGGTGACTTTGTGCCGGAATTGGTCTGAGATTGATGGTCTTATGGCTGAGAGGCAGTCGACGCTGCGCAAGCTCGAAGACACTTGGACTGTCTATCGTTCTCGACAAGCGACCATTCCGCCTCCACTGTCCAACCATGAGCCGCGAGCGGTGCATGACGTACAGCCCAACGCTGATGAAGAAGCGCCAGAGTCAGAGAGGCTGGTAGCGGGCCAGAGCCTTGAACCGCTGATGCGCAGGCCGACCATCCGTGTTCGTTATGGCCTCCTTAAGCTACGAAGCCGTGTCACAGATGCGCTGGATTACTACGAAGAGAAGCTCCGCCGCCTGGACGAGAAAATTTTGGTTGCGCGTAAGAAGGAGTACAAGCCCACCAATACCGCTTTTGTCACGATGACTACTACTGCCGCGTGCCAAATGGCGGTGCAGGCACTCATGGATCCCCGTCCCGGACAACTACTCACAAAGCCCGCTCCTGCGCCTCAGGACGTGGTATGGAAGAACACGTACGCGCCGCGATGGAAGCGTTTCCTGCGAGCCTGGTCGGTCACCGCATTCATCACAGTTCTTTCCATCGTGTGGCTTTTCCCCGTGGCTCTACTCGCATCACTCATCAACTTCTGCAACTTGGAGAAGGTTGTTCCGCATCTGGCCAAGTCGCTTGAGAAACAAGCGCTCACAAAAGCCCTCGTTCAGACTGGATTACCGACCCTCATCATTTCTTTACTGAACATTCTAGTCCCATACCTCTACGATTACTTGTCGAACCAGCAAGGCATGATCTCTCAGGGCGACGTTGAACTGTCGGTCGTCTCGAAGAACTTCTTCTTTGTCTTCTTCAACATCTTCGTGGTCTATGCCATTACTGGGAGTGCAGCACTGGCTGGCCTGTTGCAGAAGCTGCGCGAATCATTCAACGATATTCAGCAACTTGCACTTGCCCTTGCCGATAGCATCCAGAAGCTCAACAAATTCTACTTCAACTTTATCATGCTGCAAGGCATCGGTCTCTTCCCTTTCAAGCTCTTGCAGTTTGGCAGCATCGCGCTCTACCCAATTCTGCGCATGGGGGCAAAGACTCCCCGTGACTTCTCGGAGCTTGATGTGCCCTCTCCTTTTCAATACGGTTTCTACCTCCCAACAGCCCTGCTCGTTTTTATCCTGTGTTTGGTGTACAGCATCCTGCCTGATGCTTACCTCGTCCTTGGGCTCGGGACGGTGTACTTTGCCCTAGGGCACTTTGTGTTCAAGTATCAGGTCCTGTACTCAATGGAGCAACCCCAGCATGCGACGGGTCGCGCTTGGACCATGATCTGCGAGCGGATCATCCTAGGACTGGCAGTGTTCCAGGTCACCATGATTGGCGTACTACTGCTACAGTCGGCATTCTTCGCGGGAGGACTGATCGCGCCGCTACTCCTATTTACCTTCTGGTACTTCAGGTACTATCGCGAACGATATGCACCGCTCTCGCGATTCATAGCTGTGCGAAGCATCAAGAGGGACTCTGACCCCGGTACAACTAGTCACCCAGACCAGGGAAACGAGCCCGGCAGCAACGAAATGCGCCTGACGCGCAGGATGAGTACTGTCGATGAGGATAGAGAAAAGGGCATGAGATACATGAACCCGAGCTTGACAGCCCCCCTGGAGCAGCCATGGATTTATCAAGATCCTCCGCCCGCGCTTACGCCACAAGAGTCTGTTCTAAGTCAATCGGGCGCTGGCGCAAGCCCGCAGCTAGGGCACGAGAATGGTGATACGCGGCCTCGTGCGCCGCCTACGATGTATCGGGATGAGAGTGAAGCAAGCTCTTTCAGCCTAGGCGATACTCATGTATGGCAGAGCGAGAATGGTCCGCAGCAGGTATAGAGTGAGGATGGTCTGCGAAATGGAAGGGAATTCAAATGATGCCTACAGATACCCACTACTTCATTATTAGACTGATATACTTCTATTCGTATATACAACTGGAACTCATTCTCAGGCATTGCTTGATTCTCTGCTGTTCATCTCTATCGATGATTTTCTCTGTTGATGCGCAGCACACCAAGTTGACAATTCGTGCCGAGTAGCGTGTCTCCCAATGCGCGTTGCCATGTGATCGATCTTGCCCCTAGGATCCAGACCCATCTGACGAATAGCTCAACCCCGTGTCTTTGGAGGAGGATGTGCAACAGAGATGTGCCCAAACTTGACGCCCGAGGCAGTTCCCTGCACCGCAACGCCGTTGGCCCCGGAGCGAGACACATGCGTACTTGCCTTCAGCACCGTGGCCTCTCCGGCACTGTCTGGCCCGGCTTCAGTTCCGACACCGCCGGCAGCAGACGCTTTGACCCGGACAAGAACAACACCTTCCTGGGCAGTGACCCGCACTGCAAGTTCCTTGCCGGTGGCTCTCAGATCAGTCGTGGTGCTGGTCAGAACCGTGGCAGTGCCGTTGACTACTGATCCAATGTTCACCGCGAGTCTTGCCCCAGCTTCGGTCGTCGTTGGACGCAGCCCGACGTAGTTGTACTCGGAATACCCTTCCCGTGCGTTCCCCCGGGCCCAGAAGATAAGCTGCGCGTGCCCGCTGCTGCCGCCGTCTTCTGGACTTATGACCTCTGGGAACCCAATCGTGGCGTCAAAGATGAAATCCCCAAAGTTGGTGTCCAGCATGGCCAGCGTGGCTGTTTTGGGGCCGCCCGTGTTGCTCCCCACGAGTCTATGCTCGATGACCTCCCACCGGCTCTTCCCCTGGTCCTGATGACCCTGCGCTGCCCCTACTGCTCCTTCGCCATGACCACCACCAATATCAAATGTCTTCCATGCAATCATGCCCCCGTCGGCAAAGTTGTCCTTGACGAGCATCTGCACCGGCAGGATAGCCCCGCCGTTGTCATCGTCAAAGAACATGCGGTCGTAGCACACGACGCGGTGGTTCCCGTCCGTCTCGCTCAGCGGCCGGCGGTGGTACACGATGTACCAGATGTCCGTGCCGGGGACGTGGATGACGCCGTTGTGCCCGCTGCCTCTTGCCACCGAGGGGTCCTGCTGCAGGATCTTGTTGCCGCCGCTGCTGCTGTTGTTGTTCCCCGCGGGGAGCGTGAAGGGCCCCAGGGGCGACTCGCGCGACATGGCGTACGAGACCGAGTAGTCCGGCCCCGTCCACCCGCCCTCGGACCACATGTAGTAGTACACGCCCTTGCGGACAAACATCTGCGAGCCCTCGGTGTAGTTTGCGGGCGTGATCTCGCGGAAGACGTCGTTGCCCTCGGCGTCGAAGGAGCCCAGCGAGATCATGTCCCGGTTGAGCTTGACAATGTTGGCGTGCCCGTGGCCGCCGTAGTACATGTACGCCTGGGCATTGTCCTCCTCCTCCTCCTCGCCGCCGTCGTTGCTCTCGTCCCCGCGGCCAGATGACCCGGGCCGGTCGATGAAGACGTCCTGGTCGATTGGCTGCGCGCCGTTGTGGAAGTCCCCGATCAGTGGCTTGCCCAGGGCGTCCTTGTAAGGCCCACCCGGGTGGTCGGCGACCGCGACGCCGATCCCGCCGACCTTGCCCTCTGCGATCTCGTCGACCTGGATGTCGTTGGCGCCAAAGTAGAGGTAGTACTTGCCGTTCCGGTACACGGGGGATGGGGCCCAGACGGCCTTGTGCGCCCAGGGGATGTCGTCGGTGGTGAGGATCCGGGGGTGCTTGGTCCAGTGGACGAGGTCTGGCGAGGAGAAGGCGTCGAGGTAGGTCTGCTCCTCGTAGCGGAAGGAGGCCGTGGGGAACACCCAGTACTCGTTCTCGTAGAAGCCCGTGTCAGGATCGGCGTACCACCCCGAGATGAAGGGATTACCAGCCTCGGACGTGGTGTAATCTGGCATGTTCACGGCGCCCTGGGAATATGGTGTCGACAGAGGGAGTGACGCGCTGTCGAAAGGCAGGGCCGGCAGGGCTCCAGCTGGGGAGAGGTGTGTGGCAGCGGAAGCTGAGAAGCCCAGAACGGCCTGCATTCTGCTTCGCATATTGTCAGCAGGTGAACTCGAAAAAAGACACAAACAGTATGAGACTGAAACTGAGAATGAGAAGCAACAGACGGCAAAGCTCTGAAAGCTCATGAAAGCCAAGGGAACCTGCAGAGATATGCATACTTCACCTCGTTTCTGCTGCCACTGGGATCACCGCCGAGTTCCTTCAAATGCTGCCGCCCAGGTGCACGTGTTCCCAGTTTCAACCCAGAATGCTACCCAAAAAGGATCCCGATGATTTTGAAGGACGGGCAGGACGAAGGGTCATTGGCGGCCGTCCAGATGTTGCGCAAGTGAATGCAAGGCCATTGAATGAGGTTGGTCGATCCGCCGATCAGCCCTCAGTTGCGGGGAACCTTGTCTCTGTGGGGTGTTGGCGATAACATGGAGAAATGCACGTCCAGAGAACAAGTCACACGCAAAACACCCCAAAGGCGAGGAAGTATGTGTTCCTGAGATCCTTGTCACTCTGGTAAGATGCTTACTCTTGTAGTATGCCGTCGCACGGCACTTTTTCAACTTCGAAACGTGGAAGCCCGTCAGCCTTTGCGGCTGCAGTCAATGTGCCTGGTATGAGCTGTAATTAGGTGCCAAAGCCAACTTCGATGTTGTGAATTCCATGCTTGATTCCACCAGTCTGCCACTGAATGATTTCTATTGATCTACCGGTGTATCAATCTAGCTATCTAATTTCCTTCTCGTTCATGAAGACTTCGACTTGTCATATTCCGCCTGCAACCACATCCTCCAGCCTTCGTCTCTCAGAATCGCCCGGACTCGGGCCTCTAGCCAGTCCACATTCCCCCACTGGCCCCAGGACACCTGGAAGCGATGCCAGTCCACCAATGCCGTCTCCCAGTGCCGCACAAACAGGTCCCAGTCATACTGCCTCGTGCCCTCCGCGCCTGCTGTCGCATCCTCCTTCAGCAGCAGCCCGTGATACTCCCGCAGCAGTGCTTCCTCGCCCTTTTCCATGCTCAGCTCGTGCCCTATCATTGCCCTCGCCTTGCTCCTGTCCACGCCGCCACCGATCAGCAGCTCCAGCGGCACAGAGCACGTGAACAGCTTCGCCAAGTCACAGACGCCGAGACCCAGTCCGACGTACTGGAAGTCAAAGAATGCCACCCTGTCGTGCTCAGAGGTCGTGTACAGGTTCTCAGACTTTACATCGCCGTGGATCAGCGTCTCGTAGTCGCGATCGCCACGAGGCGTGAGCACGTGGGCAACCATCTCTGCCACGCAGGGTCCTTCTGTCGCTCCCCGTTGGAGTGGGCGGCAGAGTGCTTGAGCCCACTCGGCCTCGCCGTCATCGAGCTGGTCAAGCAGGCTGGAGAACTCTTTCCGCCGGGTGGCGAGGTAAGTGTACCCGCCGTTGAGCCAGAGCTTGTTGGTGCCGCCGACGGTCTCTTGCCCACCATTCCCCGACCCCCGCCGTGTCTTCCTCCTCTCAAACTCCTGCAGCGGTGGCAGCACCAGCTCTGTCAATTCCTCCTTGCGCGACTGAGCCCACGTGCTCCCGTGAAACCGGGCCAGCCAGTCGAGAGTGGCAGAAACCTGCCGCTCGCTCAGCTCGGACCTCTTCTCTCCAGGAACGGGGAACTCGACTCGCAGGTCCGTCATGAGCACCGCGACCACGCCGTCCAGAATCGATTCATCGCTAGCGTTGTGGCTGTTGTTGACCTTCACCTCACCAGCTCCTGGTCCGTCCAGCTCCGGGGTCCCCGCCGTCGAGGCTATGCACTCGGCCACCGCAACCCCGTGCTCTGCCCGCAGGCGCGGCGCGATGGAGCTGTAAAAGTGCCGCTCGACCTGGTAGCTGAACATCTTGCGCAGGTGGCCCTCATCCTCCTCCCCCTCGGCCCCGTCTTGACCCGCTGGCGGCCGCGTGACGAGCTTCAAGATCATCGGGATGCCCAGCCCGTTGTCGTCCCGCGTTTCGTCGGCCGCCTTGAGCTCGCAGATGAAGCCGTAGCCGGCCCAAAGCGTCTGGTATTTGCGGCACCACATCAGCCAGTGGCCCGCGCGGGCGAGCAGGGCGCTGGCCACACCGTCGGTGTCCAGCCAGCGATCGCGCGTCATTGCGGCCTTGGGGGTTAGAAACGGTTGGGTTTTTGAATTTTTGTTGCTCTAAGCGTATGGGTATTTGAGTTTTTGGCCTTGATTTTTTTTTGGTGAGAAAATCACCTATGTCGAGTGAGAATTGGCAAGAACTGGTACCGCGTGTCATCAATAAATGGGCATTGTTGTTGTTGGCGCTGTGTCGTCTCTCTGTCCAAAGCGTTGAAAGCCTGGATGTTGGCCGCCCTGACTCAGAGCGTGGGGTGTGGCTCCACTGAGGCCCGTTTCAGGGTCTTTACGCCGCCGGCTCTGCTGGCCCCCGCCCCCCGTTTCAGGGCCCCCCTGGAGAGCATCACTGAGGGAGCCCGGAGGCATTGTATTGGAGTCCAACTCGCGAGAGTCAGGAAGGTTTATTGTGCAACGAAAAAGCTCTGGATCATTCACACCAGATATCTCAGTAAACATCTGGAAAGTGGTTCGCTGGTGCAATCCGGTCAGGTACTTTAATTCACAAGTTAATTTACGAATCTATCAAACCAGTCTATGAGACGATCGACCAGAATAATGAAACCGAATGCCCCAAACCACTGCCTACGACCCCAGTATCATGAGTGGCGGAGTCTTTCTATTTCCAGCCATACCTCGAGTCATGAACCCGTTCCGTCAATGCCAATGGCTCATGCGGCGTTGTTGGCACTGTCGGCAAGCTCGTGCAGCCCTTGAAACTCCTTGTTGAACGGCCACCCCACGAGCTGGATGTTGAACTCTTGGCCCGCGGCGATTTCCTCGGCGCGCGTCTTGAGCTCGTCCATGTCCCAGTTCGACCAGAGGTACTTGCCCTTGAGGAAGGCGGCCTCGGGGCTCGCGAGCCAGAGTATCGTGCCTGCGGGGAGGGAGACTGCAAATCGAGCAATTGTGGAATTAGCACAGCCGTGCAATTTGACCAGTGGAAAGTCCCACTATGACTTGGTTCATGATTTGACGGGATAATAAAAAAGGAGAGGCAGGACAAAAGAAAATAACAACATACCATGGTCCTCGAAACCCAAGGCCTCGACTCCTCCTACAGACTTGTTCAGGTCCGTGTTAACCACGCCAGGCTGGAGGTGGTACACCCGCACATGCGCGTGGTTGAACCCGACCGTGTCCCACACGCGGTAGGCGGCGAGCTTGCCCACGCTGTACGAGGCAAAGGCGTCGCCAAAGTTCATGTGCGCGGCGTGCGACGAGACGTTGACGACGACGGCCCCGGAAGGGTTGGCGTGGCGCAGGAAGGCCTGCGCGACGTGCAGCGCGCCCGCGACGTTGGCGTGGATGCCCGAGAGGAAGGCCGTGGGGTCGACTGCCGCGACACCCTCGAGCGGGCCGGCGACGCCGGCGTTGCTGATCAGCACGTCGATCTTGACATTGTCGTTTTGGGAGGCGAATGTGTCGAACGCGGCGTCCACCTGGCCCTTGTCCGTCACGTCGGCCGAGAAGGTCGTCACCGAAGCACTGGGGAACTCGGCCTCGATGGAAGTCTTTGTGGCCTGGAGCGGCTCGAGTCGGCGGCCGACAAGGAGGATGCGGGAGGCGCCGGCTGCGGCGAAGGAACGGGCCGTCTCGGCGCCGATACCTGTGCCGCCACCAGTCACGACGACTGTCTTGCCCTTGGCAGAGTTTTCTGGTCGGGTTGGCGAGATGGTCGGGTAGGCATTGTCATGGTAGATCTTGGTGGGGATGGGGAAGCGATGAATGGCGGACATTGTGACGGGTATGGGTGGTCAAGGCGTGGTAGATTGGTTGGATGGGTTTGATAATAGAATGGTGTTGTTCAAGTGCCAGGAGTGCTTCTGTATGCTGGGAATGTCTGTGGTGATGGTTGTTGTCGTCTTCTTCTTCCTCCAAGCAATGAAGCCATGGCAACCACGCACTTATATACACGTCTTGACCTCGATGTCGCCTTGTCCATGACAAATTGGCGAATTCCACACGCACTGGCTCGACTTGTCGGCTGGATTTGCCAAGAACACCGAGTCCTCGCTCCGGACCAAAGTGTAGAGACGCAGGTTACCCAGCTTGGGATCTGATAACTAAATGTCGAGCCTTGTTGTCTAGATGGTCGGGAGCGGTAGCCGAATCCGTCGGGCCTGGCACCAAGATAGCCAATCACAAGACGCATGCGGGACAAAATGCTCCGTTCACTTTGGTCCGGTGCGTTCTTTGATAGTTGTCTCTAATTGGCTGCCGCAATACGATTACCCCGCCCGCCCGGAGCAATGTTGAACATGCATGGCTATCCCTAGTTCTCATTGCTCAAGCAACTGCAGCTTACAAATGTTAGCACCATATCTATTAGAGTCTTGCGGCTTTGCCCATACATTCTCGGACGGACAACTTTCACCAACCCAGCAACAAACAGTCTCGTGCAATGTGATTTGTATTGTAATTTGTACATCCAAGCGACACGTCAATCATGGATATCACCACCGCCAATACTGCGGAAACTGTTCTGCGATGCCCTCAGTGTCGCAAGCCCTTTGACAACCGTAAGTTCCCCACCTATGAGTCCAAGAGGACATCATCCTAGAGGACGGCACATTCCGTCTCGACTACGACTGCAGCATCTCACATTTGCTGATATTCACCGTGGCCACCAGCTTCCAGCCTGAAGAGGCATGGGTATTACTGTCGCACACGCAAGCCCATCGACAGAGCTTCCAGAGTGCATTCCTGCCTCGCCTGCGTGAGCTCCAAAGTCCGGTGCGACAGGAAGCGGCCTACGTGCTCGCGGTGTCTGGACAAGGGCGCCAGGTGTACCTACACGGGCAAACCTCTCAGAGAAAGCACTCGGCAGGAGGAATCTCGCGATTCTCTGCTGCCAAACTCGGTCGGGTCGCCGAGCTCAGAGTCGTCGTTGCACCCGGATGCAGGCCCCGACGAGGCTGGCAACGCTACCGAGCTCGGCAGTCCAATCCTGATCGACTTTGATGCCGGATATTCAGCCGCGTTGAACTGGGATGATACTTCCCAGGACGACTTTGCCGAGCTTGCTTCCCCATCAGCTACAGGCCCCGACGTTGCTACTATAATGCCCTTTTCGTCTGCAAAGGACGCCATCTCAGCCCCTGCTTTCCAATCGTACAACACTCTTCATCTCCCTGAATTTCTTCTGAACACTCTGCCGGACAACACCATGTCGATACCAAGAACGCTGAGCACTGTTGCGACCAATGACCGCTCTCTCATCCACCGACCGACAAAGCTGAAGCCGGGCTCCCAGAGGGCAGCAAGCCTGATCCGGCATACCCTCAAGTCCTATGCGGTCATGATGCTGCGCGACAACGCACTTCCGCCGTTCATACATCCCGGGACGACAAGTCTCCTCACCCACCCGGATACGCGGGAGGACTTGGAGCCGCTGCATAACTGCATCAGCCTGCTGCCCATGCTCTGCAGTCAGGACGGACTTCGCAGGTCGAACAGAACTTTGTTTTGGAGGAACGTGCGGATGGAGTGTGAGCGTCTCTGCTCGCAGGTATGTAAACATCTTTACCAAGCACGTCCACAGGGGACCGTTTCATGGGGCAATCACCACGCACTTTTAGGCCCTGGCGATTCTGGACGCGAAGCGGCGGTTGGAGAAAACCGACATACTGATCGTGTTTTTCATCGTCTTTAGTTCTCCACACTGTCGCCTCTCGCCATCGTCAGCGCCATGCAGGCTCTTTCGATATATATCATCGTGCGTGCCGACGAGTGTGACGCCGGCGCGGCGGGAGGAGAGGACAATGATAATATCGACAGCCTTTTGATCATGGCGGTTGTAGTAAGCTCCCCTCCCTGTGCCCTCACTCGGAACCTTCACCGCCCCCCAGCCGTACAGTTTAGCTAACCGACTGCTTGTGCGTTATTACAGATCATGTCCAAGGGCCTGGGCAATGCCAAGTTCGCAGACGTTGACGGCCCTGAGCTGGGCGGTTCCGCATCTGCAGATAGCCTGGAAGCAGCATGGCGGCGCTGGGTCCTGGTCGAGTCTGCGCGAAGGTGAGCCAGAGTGTCCCCATTGCCTGAGTTGTGCCTTTCTTTTGTGTTGCCTCCCCAGTCGTTCCTTGTTCTCCTCCCGGCCCGTAAGTTTGGTGCTGACACGCGCTGTCCCTCTACCATAGACTTTGCACGCTCTACCAAGTCGTAAACATGGTCACAATCTTCGAGCCCGCGAAACGCTGTGATCTCTCGCGAGAAGGGTTGGTTCTTTCCCTACTTCCGGCGAGCAAGCAGCTCTGGGAGGCCGGCGACGCAAGGCAGTGGATGTCGGAAAGGTTGAAGATGACCATGAAGACGGGGTCGCGCGGCGCCATAGAGTACGGTATAGCGCTGAACGGCGACCTGGTCAACCTCTCCTCGGGGGCGGCTCTTTCGAGGAGCGACGATCGTGAGAGCGAAGCTGGAGCGAGAAGATGGCCCAAGGCAGATTGGGAGGAGTGGCTCGCGGGCATGGACGGCTTTGGAGGGCTGGTCACGCTTGCGGCTTCCATGGCAGGATAGGGCACGAGGGCACACGTATACTTAATTACCTAGATACCCCGGGTAGGCAATCAATCTGGTTGGCAGCCAACGCTACAAGTGCCATTCGATAATGTGTCTCTCCTGTTCCGCAATTCTTCTCAATGTTGGGACAGACACCCACCCAGCCCCGGATCGACAATAGTCGCCCTCGGCCCCAGCCGCTGCCCCTGCACTATAGCTGACGTGAGCCCCCTTGGTGGTAAGCACAACCAAGCACCAATCTCACGCCCGGCATGGCTTGCCTGGGGCTCATTCTAGGCGAGAGCGGACCTACTGCTCCCTCTGCTTGCTCTTATCAACGAGATCTCGTCGGTAGAAAATGCTCCGAGGAATTTCACAAGCCAGGTCTGCACCACCCATGACGCGAGGCGTTCAAGCTATGACAAGTGCCCGGGGCTACAGGAATGCAGATTGGCCAAAGCACTCGGCTTGGGATTCGGTGGACCGGAGACCATTGACCATTGAGGGGAGTTAGTTCCTAGGCCTGGGATGGTGAATAGCCTATCACGTGTATTGAAAGCTTCATTGACCCTTGATACCCCGGAAAATGCCCAGTATCACACATTCTTATAAGAACCCCGTCACCGGGTGTGTTTGTGTCGACACAATGAAAGATAGTGCCTGTTACAAATCGCAACGCCATCACTTTTGGGAATCAATCTTTTCCGCAACCTCTTCCCGTTGATAGAGGCCTGCACTCCCGCCACTCCAAAACAAAAACTGTCTGCAAAATGGCTGAAACCCCGGAGCCGGAGAAGCCCGTCATCCTCCTCGTCCACGGCGCCTGGCACGCCCCGGGCTACTACAAGGGCCTGATCAACCCGCTCCGCAAGGCCGGGTACACGGTCGTCGCGCCAGCCCTGGCGACTGCGGGCGCCGACGACTCGATCCTGGGCAAGACGCTGTTCGACGACGTGAAGCGCTGCGAGGAGGCCCTCGCGCCGTACCTGCCTGCCGAGGAAGGGAAGGACGGGCGGGAGGTCGTCGTCGTGGCGCACAGCTACGGCGGGATCCCGGGGACGCAGTTCTGCGCGGGAAACACGGTGGCCGAGAGGGCCGCGCGAGGTCTGAAGGGCGGTGTCAAGAGCATCGTGTATCTGACGGGGTATGTGCTGGCCGAGGCGGGGACCAAGTTGGCCGACTACGAGCCGCTGATGGACTTTTTCGATGTCAACGTGAGTTTCTCACACACTCTCTCTCTTCCGTAACTCAACATAGCACAAAACCCCCCACTGCCTGCTGTGTAAAAGTTGGAGATGGGAGCCGCTTTGCTAATCTCATGAAATTCCGCCCGCCCGCACCCATGATCAAACAGTACACAACCGGCGTCTCTACCCTCCACAGCTTCGCGATCCAGCGGTTCTACGCCGCCGACGTCCCGGACGCGTCCACCAGGGACGCCATGTACAGCCTCCTCGGGGACCACAGCGCGGTGGCGTTCATGACGCCCGTGACCCTGGGCGCGGCGGACCTCAAGGACGTGCCCAAGACGTACATCCTCTGCACCAAGGACGAGACCATCTTCCCCGAGGTGCAGCGCAAGATGGCGGACGCTGTAGGCGCGCGGGTCGTCGAGATCGAGGCCGGGCACAGCCCGTTTGCCGTCGAGGGGCATGTCGAGGTGTTGGTGCGGGAGATTGAGGCTGCTGCTGCTGCTGCTCCTACTGCGTAAGCAAGCACGTAATGCCCGCACACCAATCGTTGCTTGAGTTCTAGCAGGTTTTGTGGATGTTGTGGCAACAGATACATCGGCAACACATTTTCCTTTGCGGTTTTGCTGAATGATTAACATTTGGTATAAATTTAAAAAGGAGTGACGATCAAGACGCTAGACTAAAGTCAAATTATATGAATACAGGTGTCGTGTATGAAGCAAAGAATGCAACGGAAATGGAAGACAAGCCCCAGCCCTCCACTCCTTGAAGAGCAAGATACAGGCTTTGAGAAAGTGGAAGAATAGTAGTACAATTCGCGACTGCGAGTAGATGAAAAAAGAAAAATCGACTTGGTGCCCAGCATCCCTGTGGCCACAAGCAAGGAGCCAAAAACCACGACCTTAGGCATCGTTCTTGAGGCTTTCGAGCAACTCATCCACCGCAGACTTCAGATACCCGATATGTGCAATGTACAAGTCCGGCCGCACATAGGCATACCCGGCCTTGTCCTTGAAGCCGTATCGCTCATGCAGCGCGCCGTCCTCGGCATCGACATGCTCCTTGTCTCCTGCCTTCTGCTTCAGAGACTTGGCCGCCGCCTCGCGCGAGTAAATCACGTGCACGTCCACCTTCGCGCCGAGCTCTGTCCCCGCAGCGGCGTTGACAAACCGCTGCTTGACCGACTCAAGGTCTTCTGGCGTCGCCGCCCCAGAGCCACAGCCCGAGAAGAGCAGCAGGCTGTGTCTATCCCCTGCCACCGAGCTGAGAAGCCAGGTCTCGGGAGCCTTCTTGTCGCTCTTCTCGGGGACGGCGGTGACCCTCCCGTCTGGAGCGCGGTAGCCGCCTTTTACCGGCCCGTCGTAACCGCTCCCGGTGCCGACGATGGCGCTCCTGGCATATCTAATGGCGAGCTGCGTAATGTAGCGGAAGAATTTGGTCTGCTTCTTGGCAGAGCTGGCCATGGCGTACGGGAGGACCCAGGGCACCAGCGCATTGCGCAGCGCCAGGAAGATTGGGTTCCCCCAGGTGATCCAGGTGAACATGTAGTCTGTCGACTGGAGCAGCCTCTGGCCGATGGGGAACCGCTCGGCATGGTAGCTGTCGAGGAGCTTCTCGATATCCGTGTCGTTTCCGGCATTGTCTGCTCCTACTGGCCTCGCGGCGTTGTGGTCGGCGTGCCGCACGGCAGCGGCGAGCTTCCAGCCGAGGTTGGCGGCATCCTGGATGCCCGTGTTCATGCCCTGGCCGCCCACGGGGGAGTGGATGTGCGCGGCGTCGCCTGCGACAAAGAGGCGACCGTCGCGGTAGGTGCTGACACCGCGGTGGTGCAGGTGGAAGCGCGTGAGCCACTCTGGGTCGTACAGCTCGCCGAAACCGGGGACCGTGGCGTCGAGGAACTCCTGGAAGTCGCGGAGCGTAGGCTCCTCTTTGCTCTGGGCGTCGGCGGCGAACCGGCCGGCCCGCGAGATTACCAGGCGGATCTTGTTCTCCCCCTTGAGCGGCAGCGCGACGAGCAGGCCCTGGCCGAGGCAAAAGTGGACGCGATTCAGCGGGTGGGAAGCAGGACCAGGGCGGATGTAGGCGTCGCAGAGGGTGAAGTCTTGGGGATACGGTGCCCCTTCGAAGGTCATGCTGGGTGCGGAGTGCCGGACCACGCTGTGCGCTCCATCCGCGCCGACGACGTACTTGCAGCGCACCGGCTTGCCATTAAGGGTCAGGCTGACGCCGTCCTTGTCCGGCTTGATGTCAGCCACGGTGACCCCGCGCTCTGGCTCCACATTGTACTTGTTCTTGAGGCCGCGGAGGAGGATGGTCTCTGTCTCGCACTGGTTGATGAGGATGGGCAGGGAGCGTGCCGCGTCTGGGAACTGGGCTGTTTTGGGGTCCACCTGGATCTTGGCGACCTCCTTGCCGTTGACCTTGATCGACATGCCCTCGGGGGTGTTGCCGGCGTTGATGAGGTCGTCGCGAAGGCCGTGGCGGCTCAGCACCTCGAGGCTGCGGGCGTGCATGGCGAGAGCCCTCGATTTGTCGCTGGCCTTTTCGGCCTTGTCGACGATGCGGAACGACACTCCCTGAAGAGCCAGCTCGAGGGCCATGGTCAGACCAGTCGGGCCTGCCCCAACAATGATGATATCTGCGTTATCAGACATGTTGCGGATCGCGATGGCTGGCACGAAGTGGTTGTGTAGGTGGCGCCGGTGTTGATGCTTGGTTGGGATATTTAGGCGTGCTCGCTTGTCTGGTGATACGAGCCGAGTGACTGTGCTTGTGATGGATTCTTGATGGAGCAGGCATGCCGAAACTGACCAGCATAGGGCGGAGCCGTCCAGAGCTATATATCTCGTCTGACATGGGAACTAACACGGGCAGCGCTGAGGATATTTCCAGCCATGCGAGGTCAGCCCTAAGGCGCGAGCAGTCGCGCGTTGACGCAAAGGGCGCTGGCAGGCTGACGTCGTCGCCGCGGGGCCGCGCTGCAGAACGGCGCGGGCCATGGCGTGGCATGGCATGGCATGGTCGCGCAGGAGGCTCGCTGGCTCGCCGGCTAGCGCGGGCCCGATGGCGTCGATTGGGGACGGCGCTCGCGTCGATTGAGTTGAGTTGAGCCTCGCAGTCTCTGAGGCACCAGTCGACCGTTGAGCATGGCAAACAGAGTTGGGTCGACGTCTCTGGCAGTAAGCGCTACCCAGGAGATCGGGGCCTCGCGTTGCCGATTCGCCGATGGCCCCACATCTGCCCGGGTGGGGTCCACGGGCAAAAGCGGGACAAGCCCCCCGGGAGCTGGTGGGGCCGGAGGTAGATGCCCCGTGCATAGCGCGAGGCCTGGCCCCGGAAGGGGACCTGGCTCTATCACACCCATGAGCCGATCAACCATAATCATCATCGTCGCGAGGCGGGACAGTCGATGTCGCCAGAAATATCTCCGAGCCCTATGCAGGACGGAGTGCGGCAGAGCGACCAAGTGGAAAGCGGCTTTGGTCAGCCAAAGGCCGTGGATCTTCCGCGCTCCGGCGTTGTCTCCGGGACTGCGCGCGAAGCAGCCTGACTGCATCGGTCATCAACCTCGCGGTCTTTCGCAGGTGAAGCCTGAGGCAATGGAACCTATGCAATCACGAGGTAACGTTGCCAAAGGGGTCTGCTGCACCCGCGGATAATCCGGTCGCTGGTGGCAAGTCCGACGTGGAGAGTATTGATTCGTTCTGGGAAATGGGACTAAATGTGTCTTATCTACGCTGAACGTTGCCATCAGTGCATTTCGGTTCAATGTTCTGAGCTCGCAGCATGAAATCATGTCCTTCCAGAACGCTATCTAAAGTTTGTGCTTAATTTCGCTTTCAAAACTTGAACAGTCTTCCTGGTCTACAGTGACTTTTGCGGCGGGGGGGATTACTTCCTTGGGATGTTGTGTGTGTCTAAGTTGTACAGCATGCAGCCTCTCCACGTGCGCGTGTCTTTTAACTCGTGGAATTTCGACCTCGACAGCTCCAGGCTCTCTCCGGAAGGATAGTGCATCATCATACTTTGCTTCCCGCTCGCGCGCCTGCACGCGTCTCGCTTTGCTTTCCCCCCACGTGCTTTGCTGAACCGCACTGTGAGACTCTACGCGAACCAGGCGGGTGACCGAAAATATATCTGGCTGGGGGGAGGAGAGAGGGGGGTGGGTACTATAGTGTGAAGACCGAGAATCCTTGCAGTGGCGTTGCGAGAAGCATTATAACTAGGTCAAACAGGGTCTAAGAAATGAGCATGCATGAGTGGAAGACTGAAAGGAAGGGGAGAGAGGACTTGGCGGTGGTTATATTGACAGGGAATGGCAAGCAGGTTGATATTGTGGCTTTCAATCTGTCAGAAAAAGCAAGTCAACTGTGCAGCTCTGGAGAACCCGTGAGTGGTCGCCTGCATAAAAGTGCCTTGGCGTGCCTGGTGTGGCGCTCGAGCTGGCCCAGACATGACAGGTGACATAGTGAGGGCATCTTGAGCAGGTTCGTAGGCGTCAGTAATGAATGGCACAGGCAGCAACGTGCACGACCTCGTTCTCAGCCCATAAGCATGACAGGATAAGAGTGGACATATACGAACTCGTGTATTTCCAGGCACCGTTGGGCGTAAATCAAGTATGGTACCGCACCAGAAACGAGGGCCACAGCCGATCAAAGATGCTCACAGAAAAACTGACATAATGAGCCCGAAAACTGCTGAATCGATGTCCTAGCCAAAGAGATAGAGCAGCAGCATTAACTACCACCTAGACGATCCTCCCCTGAGGCGGAAAGTCTCGTAACCACCTAGCATGGCTGGCCTCCTCCGACACAAAGGTGTATTTCACCCTCAGCATGCGCGCAACGGCATGCTCGTCCCCGCCCTCGTTGTCCAGCAGCACCTTCTCCAGCTTGCTCACCTGCTCCTTGAACCGGGGGATGTTCTCCTCGGCGAGCTTCTCGTCCGAGAACACGCCCTGGAACTTTGGGCCCCGGTACCGCCCGCGCGACCGCACCGCCTCGAGCAGGAACATCTGCCTCAGGGAGCGCTGCGGCAGGTTTGGCCCCGTGTACTCGAGCCGCACGGCCTCCATGAACTTGTGCTCCCAGGAGTCCCCCGGGATGCGGTGCTTGGTCTGCACGGCGATTTGCTTGAGCGCGGGGCGTTTCAGCAGGTCAATCGAGAACTTGTCCGCCAGGTAGAAAGCGTGACAGGCCGCCGTGTAGACGTTGGAGGCCTTGGCCCATTTTGTCAAGGAGAAGTCTGGTAACCCCCCTCGCAGGACGAGGTCAGTATGCGAATGAGGCAAGGCACCAAGGCAGCTTTGGTGGCGCGAGCGAGGGTAGTACGCACCTCCCGAGTACAAGAAGAGAAGCATAGAGTCTATGTCGTCTGGCTCGCAGTCTGATAGCGTCACGACCCTCTTGCCGGACTCCTGTATCGTGGAGCCAAGTCAGCTTGATAGCCTCAATGACATTGTCATCAGCTCCGTGGAGGGCAACTTACGCTGGACTCCCCATTGAGCCCCTGGTCAAACCAGTCTGATCGTGAGCACACGATCAGACTATGCACCCGCCACGTCCGACTTCGGCAATGTATCGAGAAATCGGAGAAGCGACCCGTCTCAAGTAATCTACTCCCGACCGACACGAGTCAGTCACATATCCTCGAAATTACGGTATCCTTCGACGCCTCTCTCATGCTTCTAGCAGCGTCAGAAGAAGGGATGCACTCACTCGAGATCAGAGTGGACATACGAGTCCGGCAAGTCCATGACGTTATCAACCTCTCCGAATGGTGCCGCCTCGAGGATGCTCGAGGAGCTGCTCCGCGCGGATAAGAGACCCATGATTGCCTTGACTATGCTCCGCAGGCTCCTCCGTTTTCTGGTGGTGCTGCTGCTGCTCTTCTGTGGCTGTGCCTCTTCGGGTATCAGGCCGTATTTACTTGCTCTTGAATGACTCCCGCTATTGTAGGTTCCGTTTCGCCTGTGGTCCTTCTGCCGGCCGAGTCGTATGCTTGATGATGAGCGAAAGGCGGGTGGCCTCTCGGCAGTCAAGCTGTAGCTCCGTCGGAACTTGACGAGTTGTGTCTCGCCGTGCAGAGAGGAGGAAGTGCCGGTAGCGTCCGAGTTGAGACAAGTCCTTGTGCTCAGACTGCGGAAGATCATGATGTCCTGTTTCGGGGCGGCTTATATGCGCAGAGGAGCAGAGAGGAAGCACAAGAGCTCTGGTGGTTGGAACGTGCGGGCAACGTGTGTCTAAGACAAAAGGAAAGAAAAGTCCTCGGCATGTTACACGCGCAGTTTCGCCGACGCGATGACAAGACATGCTAATGGGAGACACTGTATAACCGATGTGGCGAGCTGGACACGACAAGACCAAGGAACCAGTGTTCATCGTGTTCAGCCACAATCTCGCCAGTTCAGACTCGACACCGTGGACCAGGAGGGTTTTTGCTTTTTCTGCAGAGTTGCCGAACCCCTGAATTACTACTACACCTTGCTTTGCGACTTGCATGGCGAGTGGGCACACGTTGGCTGGTCTCAAGGTGCTGCACGAAGCTTGATGTGGACAAACCTGCAAGAAGGAGGGTTCCAAGTGCTAGATGATGGTTGGTGTAAAACGTCTGGTGGCAGGCAGAAGCAACAAGAGTGCATCTGATCTGTCAATTCCTGACCACGGTTTATGCCGCTGGAATTCCTGCTCCACTCAAAGTTGATTACCCGGTTGCTGCACCGCGCGCCAGGAAGGGGAAGCCCAAGAAAAAAGCAATTTTGACCAAGCTACCTTGCCGTCAGGCCAACGCCGTCGAAACTCTTCTAGTTCAGGGGCTTCAAGGGCGGGCCAAATTTTCTCACATTGCTTATCCCTAGGCCGGACCGTATCCTCCAAGAAAAGCGCTGAGAGCCACCGTGAGGCACCAGCTAAGCAAGCTTTGTCATTAAGACATTCGGGACCAACGGTGCGGAGGATCACGCAGTCGCCGCCTGCACAATGGGCCAGAATGTCTGAGATGTTGGGTAGTGGCGAGATTGAATCGTATGATATAGTTACAATTGCTTAAATTGGCATAGTCCCAGCTGGCATTGTCCGTACAGTGATGGGCTGGATTTTGTAGACGATCGGAGCTTAACACCCGGTCAGACGATGCAACCGGTGTCTCGAGATCCCTTGCAATCCCATCCGGTCCAGTACGAAACAGCTGCTGTCCTACCTGCTGTCCTACCTAGCTTACGAGTGTTAAATGAGAAGTGCCCCTCAGCTTAGCTTCGATGAGTTTAGAAGTATACACCTTCGCGATCGCCACTAGTTGTGCGACTGATTCACCTTGAACTCGTAGGTGCTACCATGCTCGGAGACGTGCATCTGAACTCTAGCTGCACAACCCTTTGGCATTGCTACTGGAGTTTCATCAAAAACTTCGTTTGCGAGAGCAGTCGAGAGAGATCACCGAATGGCCAGGGACCAAAACAGAGAAGAACACTTGAGCGTGAGACACTTAAGAATAAAAATGAGAATTCATCATCTAACCATAATTCCGTGTTGCTTTGCCGCCTAGGGGAAAGACCCAGTGCCTTATGGACGCTGGGTTATGAGAAAGTGCGCCATGCGGGGAAAATGCAATATTGTACAACTGCGCCAGTCCAACCGGATACTGGGAGGACATGATGGTCTAATCGCGTGCTTGTGTAATTCGTGCCGTCGTTATGAAGAGGTGCGTGGAGTGGGGAGAGACAGGCGACTGCCTGCTCTTTGATGCATGGTCGAAATAAGGCTTGTTTGACTTGTGAACAGGTAACTATAGGGCCTTGCGCGAAGCTGCTAGGCTGAGTCCGAGCCTAGGCTGAAGTGACGAGCTTCTGTAGTGCGATGAGCACCCCGTTCACACCTTGAGTCAGGGTAGCGGTAGCTTCGGTGTTGCGGTTGCACAGGCTGACTGTAATCACGTTTGGCACCGATGGAGACAGGTCATTCGCCCAGCGGAAGACTTTTTCGTCTTCGCGTCCATCGCCGATGACCATCATAAAGTCAATCGGGTCGTTCGCGGTATGACGCTCGTAGATCTGGGCTGCAGCGGTTCCCTTGGTCCAGTCAATGGCCTCTGCGACCACGCAGCCCTCGAGCTGAGTTGCATGAACCCTCTGGGCTTCGCAGGACTCGTTGATGTGGCCGGTCCAGTCACTAGCCTGACGTTCAGCATTTGCGTAGTCCTCGGCATTCTTGTAGTGGAAGATGACTGAACAGCTTCGATCCTCGATGGCGGATCCAGGCGTACGCTCAAGGTAGTACTGGAGAATGGACGTGACAGATTCTTTCCACGAGTCGATCTGCTGGCGGTCGGCCATCTCAATCCACTGGCTCTTACCGCAGTCCTTGACAAAGCATCCATTCTCGGCGATCAGTCCAATGTTAGGAACCAAACGGAAGAATCTCTCGAGCTCTTGCGGAGTCCGGCCGGACATTACATAGACGATATTGCGGGGGTCCTCCATGAGGTCCCGAAGAACCCCAATCACGCGCTGTGGATTCATGAGGATGGCCTCTGACTGCGATCCGTAAGGAATGAGAGTCCCTTCGAGGTCGAGGATGAACAATCTGCGCTTGCTGTCGCGGCACTTTTGGCTCATGCTCGCGAGATTTAGGCGGGGAACTGAGGTCTGATCGTGGCGATGCTGATCATCGTATGCCGAGTCTAAGCTCTGCAAGAACTCTTGGAACCAGCGGGATCCTGTGTGAAGATCGAGAACCTTGCGGAGTGCCGTCCACCGGGTATCCTTTTCCTCTCTTGGCATTTCAATTGCTTTCTGGATAGCATTTGATATCTGCTGATAGCTCCACGGGTTGATTGAGAGTTCATTGCCTCCGAAAAGCGAAGAGGTGCCTGTAAACTCGGACAGGATGAGCGAGCCATGCTTCTTGTCGGCAAGAGCGCCGTCCTGGCACACGATAAACTCGTGAGAGGTCAGATTCATGCCTTCGCGCTGACTGGTGATCATGAGAGCATCCGCAACAGTAAGCAGCGCGAGGTACTGGTAGTAAGGGATGTCTTGCTTCAAGTAGAGGACAGGCTGATATGCAAGACTGGCCCAAGACGAGTTGATTCTTGTGACAATGTCGCCCACAGCTGCGTCAAGATCAGTCTTTTCGCTGGTCGAAAGGGCAACTTGAATCAGGACAACTTTGTCTCGCCACGAGGGATTCTTGTTAAGAAACAATTCGAATGCGAGAAGCTTCTGTCGCACACCCCGGACGTGATCCAGCTTGTCACGAGCGACGATGATCTTCTTGCCCTTGTAGCGCTCACTCATAATGTCAATCCACTTTTGCACCTCGGCGTTGTTGCGGTGCTGGTCGAGGTCGACGGGGTCAATGCCGATGGGGTGATTCATGACGTTGACGAAGCGATCCTCTAGTTGCACACCTTCAGGGGTAGCTTCGACTGCCAGGATGCGACTGCATGTCTGCAGGAAATGGCGGGCGTACTCGTGGATCTGGAAGCCGATCATATTCGCTCCAAGCATGCCCTCCAAAAGCTGTCTGCGAACTGCGAGGCATCGGAACACTTCCGAGGATGGGAATGCCACATGGAGGAAGAGGCCGATCTTGGCATCAGGAAGCTTCTTACGGATCATGCCTGGCACAAGCAGTAGATGGTAGTCGTGGACCCAGATTGTGTCGCCGCGCTTCCAGTTCTTAATGATTTTGTCCGCGAACGCTTGGTTCAGGTTGACATAAAACTGCCATGAATGATCCTCGTAGGCCTTGCTTTTGGGATTGTCCGGGATCTGATAGTGGAAGACGGGCCACAGAATCTGCTTGCAGAAATGCAGATAATGACCATCAAAGTCCTTGTCGGAGCAGAAGACTGTCAACATGTTGTACTCAGTGGCAAGCCGGTCATGAATGTCTTCCTTCTGCTGAGTGCCTTCCAGCGCGTCCGTGGGCATTCCTAGTGTGCCGACCCAGGTGTACTCGCCGGTGTAGCCATCGCGTGAAGCAGCATCGGCAGCATTGCGCAGCCCACCGTTGCCCTGTTCCGAGTCCACGACAGACCAATTGGCGTTTGCAAAGACTCTGTCATGACTGTCACTACGCACGGCTCTGGGCTGGTGGACACCCTGGCGTCCGAGCTCTTTTGCCTTTGCCAGAGTTCGGGCATTCTCCTGCAGTGAAGCTGGAGGCGGGGAGTTTGCCCGAGATTTTGGCTGGAAGGAACGGCTGCCCCATGTCGGCGATTCTTTGTCTGTTGGCGCTTTCCGGTCCGAGTTGTCGTCAAAGGTGACATGGATGCGGGTGCCGTCTTCATTGATGAACCACCCGTCAATGGCGCCGTTCTCGGTGTCAGGTGGTGTCTCTGGGGGCGTGTTGGGCGCCTTGGGTGGAAAGAGGCTTGGGCGAGCTGTCAACGGCGGCCGGCCGGCCTTAGTACTCGCTACGGCAGCAAGGGTCTGTCCTCGGTGAAGCTGTCCCCTCGTGGGAGGGGCATCTGGGAGTTTGAAGTACACTGTCTTTGGTAAGAACCTGAAAGAGAGGAGTGTCCACGAATTAGCAACTGCTGACGTTCTACAGTAATGCGGTGATGGGGTACTGTTGGTGGCTGGAGGTGCAATCTCAGTAAGAGGATCTCGAGGACAATGACGTACAGGGAAGCGAGAAAGACCGTCATGGTTAGGACGTGCTGTGGTTTACAACCGAAGAGGAGTGTTTGTGCTCCAGCGGGGTATGTTGACTGCGGAATCCGATTTCTGCACGCTCATAAGGCTCGGCAGCACGGCAAGACGAATGCGATCGTGGGAAGTCGGAGCGAAGCGCTGGACAACCTATGCCAGAGGTGGAGCTGGGCACCACTGGAGGGCCACCACTCTGAGGTTTGTTGCAGCAAGGTAGATGTGTTGAAAGATGTTCGGGCGGTGCTGGCACAACAAGAGAGCTCAAGCTTGAGCTGGGTTTGGTGGTGCTGTAGGTAGGCGGCAGGTGGTCAAGCCAGCAAGGTGAGGCGATGGACCTACTGTGGTCTGGACTGCGCAGCAAGGACGCGAACGATGCTGCCTCTTAAGTATGGCGGCCGCGCAAGCGAGCTGCAGATAGACAGCTCTAGGGCGCGAGAGGACGGTGGTGTGGTGGGTGGAGCGAATGTAGGGTTGCGGGAAGCTTCGAGGCCAAGAAAGTTTGCAGCGTTGGAGCTCCGCGCAGAGGTGCTAAGGCACTTGCCTACAGCACCTCGACGGAGGGAGGTGACACCAACCCCTGCAGCAGCCAGCGATTGCTCTGCGCGTGGACAAAGTGGGCAGCGGGAGAAACTGGAGCGCGCGATGCAGGCCGCTTGCTTGCAGAAGCCACTCAGAGTGACGTAACAGCTCGCCGTGACAGCACCGCAGAGAACCGGCGCGGCACCCACCTTGTGCGCACTACCTTGCACTAAAGCACCTACAGTGCAGAACGGCCGGCCTGGGTTGCCTGCGAAGCGTCCTTGCGGCGGGCACGCCCAAGCGCCCAAATGGACTGCCTCATGGAAAAATGTCCCGCAGCAACACAGCCGGAGCAAAGACGCGCACGAGCTAAAAACGCACACAGTCGGCGGGGCTTTGGGCTCCACTGGGGGGGGGGAGGTGCTTGCAGGCGCACTTGCAGGGCGGTCCGGCGGGACAGGGTTTGCCAGCAGGGATGCGGCCAGCGCTAGACCCGAGTCGCTGCTTCTCGTGGCTTCGCCTCCTCCTGCTTGCTGCGCCTTTGACAGTCGCCATGTCCAGTCCCGGCCGACGCGCATCTCACCTTATGCAAGGCCGCCATCACCACTTGCATCACCCAGGCTCCCAATGACAGGGCAATGATGGGAGCCCATCCGGGGGTCCAGACCACCCTTCGCCAGCCTCTGTGCCTGCCACACCCTTTTGCAGCCCCGACCCCAGGCCGCTCGCTCTCATGGTGGCTTCCAGCCACACCACCATCGCAGAGCAAGAAGCACATGTCGAATTGTGCTCCCTCTTCCACGAATGACACCCAATATATGCTCTGTCCGTCTCCCGTTTGGATGCCTCGGGCGTCCACACACCTCAATTTCCCATGCTTTGCGCAGGGTCACCCCTTTGCTGCATGACACCTGCTGTCGACTACTCTCCATTTCCGTTCCAAGCCCATCAGCCCGCCAGGTCAAGCCCCGCGCCAGAGGAAATCAAAGTCAGGAGTGGACAATGGGGCCAGGCGTGCCGTGGGGTAGAACTCTAAAGCTGCCAGGCTGTGGCTGGTGGCCACGACTTCCTCTGAGCTACCAAGACGCCACGCAGTAACAAGGAAATCGTGCAAGCCTATTCACCCATTCACCCTAAGAAGCCAGGCCTGGGCCGTCTCGTGGACTCGGACATCACCAGATCGAGAGACGATCGCGAAAATCCGGCACAAAAGGGCCGTCTATGCCAACGCGATGCCGAAATGACAGCTTCCAGCTCCACCGCCATGGCGAGTGAGGGACCATCTGGTCCGGTATTGAGGGTGTCTGGCAAGCCAGGGCCCTTGCTTTCGCGCAAAACCGGGAAGAGCCTACTCGAGCTGTTGGTGGGAACACGTGGGACAGAGGTTGGACCCAAAACGTCGTCGCACAATCGCCCGCTGGGCAGCCCGGCATGAACATGACGACCATGTTTCAAAGCAACCACTGGCTGGCTTTTACGCTCGCTTTGGAACGGCCTTCGATGGAGGGCAGCAAAGAGAGATACAACTAGAATAGCCAAGGTGTGGTCTTAGCACGACCTCGGCCACGCCCACAACAGCACTCAGCACGGCATTGCGCAGTTCTGACATCACTCCCTCAGACTCCCAAGCTTGCCGGCAAGGATGCGGGCAAATGCTGGCAATGCCAGGGGTTCCACGGCTCTGGCACAGGCCACACCAGGCATAACTCGGCTGGTCTTGCCGGCGTGCCTGATTGCCAGACAGGCCTGCTTGGTGACTAAGCAAACCAGCCTGATGCCAAAGTACAGCAATGCCACAATACATTCCCATGCAACATGAGGAGACCCTTTAGGCACCTACAACACCACTAGGTATGATGGCGCACCTGTTGATGCCACCACATTGAGGCGCGACCTTGTTCTGTGCGTCCTGCTCACACACCACTGATAGGGGCCGGTGCCCAATGAACCGATCTCCCGTGCAGGCAGGGTCCAGACCCATGAAAACGACCACAATAAAGGTGTCTGCAATATGACCATCGGAATTTTGAAGATCCTCACACGCCCTGCATCTCAAGGTAGCAAATACCATACTGCTAAGCGCCGCGACCACCACTCGGATTGTGGCTTGGAAACAGTCTGAGAGAACCTTGACTTGAGCCCTTCACGATGTCAAAGTTGTTGGGTTGACTAGTGCAGCGAGGCCGCTGCTACGCGATGTTTGGAAGAGACTCTAACGCGCCTGGCATGCCCTCGCAGTACGATGTCTACTTGTCGAGACGGGCAGCTTTGGCCTAACGTCGGATCCAGGGCAACCTAGCCACGTCCAAGTTCCCTGTTTGACTCCTAGCTCGGCTAGGTTCAAACTAAGCCTACAGACCATACACTGGGGTACGTCGGAATCCACCATTCACAGGCATGGCGCCATTTTCCCTGCTGTGAGCGTCGCCCTGCCTTCTGCCTGAAGGTTTTGCCTGACATATATATTACGGATGAGCCATTGTTACCCAACTCCACAGGACAATGTTCGCAAGCGGCAATCTGCATCAAGTACTTGACACCCTCATAGAGTGCCACACTCCCTGGGCGACTTACTGATAGGTCGAAACCCTTGAAAACTAGTGCCGTCAGACTTGGAAGCCAGCATCAGAGAGCTCGAAAAGGACGTATCAGGCGTAGCACCCCTGCCCAGCAGCCGGCCATCACAAGACATGCAGCCAGGTATGCAACTGCGCGAATTGATCATCGATGCATGTGGAGCAGAGCTCTGGTTTGCGATTGGACCAATCGATGGGGACAACATGCAGATTTGACGGGAGAGAACCTCGTCAAGTGCGCGGTGCCGTGCCCTCCACTTCAAGCTTGGATTAGACTTCCCGCAATCCTGTCGGGAGCGCAATAGGTCTGGAACCACCTCCATAGTGGCAGTTCATGCACATGCATGTGCTCCAGGCTCGCAGGGGCGTCTATAGTTGCCGACGCCAGGTCAGACACGTTCTCAACGCTCTTTTATTTTATTTTATCAGAGACGGACATGATCTACACCTTGTGTTGCATGCCATAGCTAAGAGATCAAGAAAATCCGGCCGTTGCTCGGCGCAAAAGCTCCGGCCTACCAGTGGGGCCCAAGATCCTCTAGGCCACCAAGGCGAATGCGTCCTGTGTGATGGAAAACATCCCTTTTCAGATTACTTTCGGTCCATCTGACACGTTACCAGACGGCAGTACCCGCCTCAGTTACAGGGCATGGGCGGAGCCCTCGTTCCGGCCGCTATATTCCCCAAGACACATCCTAATTGCATCGAGATGACGGTAATCACGCTTATAACCCGCTTTGAAGCGGGACTCCCATGGTAAAACATACAGAGCGTTCGGTGATGAGTGCCCAATATCAATCCAGACATGGTTTTGGTGACGGCAGCATGAATCAGCCACGGGAAAGAATGTAGTCCGAATGCTCATAGAGTTACGCTGGATAGTGGCAAGGGTATCTCGAATTTCTGGCGCTACCTCATGATATTACATCGAAGTGATTGAACAGCCGGCCAAAACTCATGCTACTTACACGCGCTGATGTCTTAGGCCTATGACCGGTGTAGGGATCGTCATGCGTTCTGTTGGCAGTCTCGTTACCTTGGGGCGATTTCCTCCCAGTCCAGGAAATCCCGAGTTTTGTCTCAAGTGCCGCTCCCACTCTAGTTCCTCCACAGCCGGACAGCCTTGTCCTTGCCGCCACTGCCGACACGCTGTCCGTCGGGGCTCCAGTCAACGGCGTAGACCTCGTCTTGGTGGCCCGGCAGATCCACGGTGAGCTTGAAGGACGACATGCTCCACACTTTGAGGGTGGTGTCCTTGGAGGCAGTGACGAGCAGACGCGAGTCTGCGGAGAAAGCGCACTGATATACGGCAGCCACGTGGCCACGAAGAGTTTGAATGAACTTGCCGTCGCTATTTAGGGATTGCGTGGTCAGCTGGTCATTCCTCGATGTGGAATAAGAGGATGTTTTCGTCAAAATGGTCGCATATGATAGGTCGCGGACCCCTTTGCTGAGGTCTGATGCGGGAAGACGGCCAGGCAATTGCCCAGGTCCACAGCAAAGGGGCCAGATTAAGTGCGGAGAGGGACCGAGCGACGAATTTGACTTACCGAGCACTCCAGATTTTGGTGTGATTGTCAAAGCCAGAACTGGCGAGCAGATTGCCATCCGGGGAAAACGTCACGTAGTTGACCTGCTTCTGATGGCCCAGCATGCGCGCCACAGGTTTCGTCCCATTGTTCTCGGGGTCCCAGAGGTACATTGTGAAGTCGTCGCTGGCTGACACTAGCCGCTCTGTGATCTGGCCGCCGAACTTGGCCGCCTTCTCAAACCGCTCCTTGGCCTTTGCACGCTTCTCCTCCGTCGTGGCGGGGATGTTCTTGGTGTGGTCGTAGAATGCTGTACGCAGGACAAAGTCTGTCGACAACGCAATCTGGTTCACCCAATGCGCGTGCGACGAGAGCGTATGCCGCAGCGTGCCGTCAGCCGCGTTCCAAATCTTGACAGTCTTGTCTTGGCTTCCCGTGTACAAGAGGTTCGTGCCGCCCCACTTCACGCTCATGATGCTCCCCTTGTGCCCGGACAGCACGTGTTCTGTCCGGCCGGTGTTGACAATCCATATCCTGACCGTGGCGTCCTTGCTCGCGCTCGCGAGCCGCGGCGTGTCCTCAGTCCAGAGGTGATACGGCTGAAACGCCAGATCCGTCACCCACTTCGCATGTCCCGCAAACGCCTTGGACACGCCGGCGGGCTGGCCTGTCTCTGGGTTCCATATCCGCACCGTCTTGTCCATGGACCCCGTCGCCAGCACGCTCCCGTCGGGCGCCCACTGCACCGTCAGCACCCAGCCCGTGTGGCCCTTGAGCGTGTGCTTCGGCACGCCCAGGTCCGTGTCCCATATCCGCGCCGTGTTGTCTCCGGACCCCGTCGCGAGCCTGCCGCTGGTCTTGGGCGAGAACTTGGCCGCTAATATGGCCTCGCCGTGGCCGGGGATCTTGTGCGCCATGCGGGTGACTGCTTGCACCTTGAACACGGCCTGCGGCTCTGCGGCCAAGGTGATTGTCGTCTCAAACGGGTTCTCGACGCCATGTTTCCGCAGCACGGCCAGGAACTCTGCGGGGGTCGGGTAGTTGTCGATCACCACGTCCGAGTTGGGCACGTGTATCCTGAACCGGTAGGGCGCGAACTCCTCCCGCTCGCGCTCGAGCAAGGTGTTGAGGAGCAGGGAGACGTTCTTCTCGGTCGCATCGGCGAGCGGGATCTCGATCACGTCGGCCATCTGGTTGCCCTCGTTGTCGACGAAGCGCGCCTTGAAAGATCCGGCTTCTATTGGGGCCGGTGTGACATCTTGCTGGACCTGGGTGCGCTCGAGGGCCTCGCGGCGCTGCCGCTTCGACGGCGGAGGTGCGATGGTCGCCATCGCTGGAGATATACGGGAGTACCAAGGACTAGTTCTGGTGCTGGTCTTGTTGCGGTTGGTCGTGGATTCAGTGGCGTACTTGAACGGAGTTCATACAGTAGGAAGGGCGACTACGAAAATCACCAGCGACTGTTGTTGGGGCTCTGTTCTCGTCTTTTAGAGCAAGACTGATTTGAGCCAGATGGATACTCTATGGCTGCAATTGGCGGTTGGAGGGGTTGAGCATCAAGAAAAAAGTGTTATCGTGGGCTTATCGGCTCCGCCGCGTTTCCAGGGTCCACCCACTGAAGGCTCCGCTGAACCCCGGTGGCGACGGAGCCGCAACAGTGCTCCACCTCGCCCACTTCATGCCGGACGGGCTTACAACAACAGTTTCGGCGAATTAACTGAATGTTTCATGGCTGCGTTGCGGAGAAAGAGCCAAGTCATGTCAACTGAATCGGGGAGGAATTCATGAACTCAAGTCACGGGACTATAGCTCCCCCTTCGGCTGGCTCTGCTGGACTGCGCTGTCCTCCGACAGTCTCCAATTTACCTGTTCGACAGGCATCCAACGTTCTAAGTTCTCAGCAGTGACCAAATTTGAGGGAAGCAGACGGACCTGCAAGTATATTTTCTGCAGAGGCATTTGTGATGCTCAGACCTATGCCGTCAGTCCATGAAGAACTCTTCGAAGGACTTCCTTACGTATAGCTTTCGAGCTGTACCTATGCATGCATGAGTTCGTGAATTACGAAAGCATTGCGTGATAAGGAAGAAAGCGCTTCAGATTATTGAAATGTAGCCGTCGACTTGCAAACTCTCGTTGTTTAGAGGAGACCACCGGACAAGTTTGGCAATCACGGCGGTTCTGAGCTGGCTCGTGTGGCGCCTTCCCTGTTGGCACGCTGACAGCAAACGGACGAACCTCGTCATGCCATGGACATTGCGCCTCCTCCCTTCTCAACGTCAATGTCCCGGTCGTCATCTACGGGCTCCAAGGTTTCACTTTTTCAGAGTCAGGTGGTGTGCATGATCACCCTTGAGCCTTCAAAGCCACGAGAGACAGAACGAGCACTCCATGGCCCAGACCGCAACCAGCAGTTCCAAGGAGAGTGATAACCTACGTCAATGAAATGTCGCACTCTGTTGGCCCTTCGTCTGGGCGAGTCAGCATGAAGACGCCCTTCCGATCCCAGAACACAGCGACCTCGAGGCCCTCAACAAGCTTGTCACAGCACACCACTTCTCATTACCAGCATAGCGCAACTCCAGGGCGACGTTCACGGGCAGCGTCGTCCGTCTGGGGTGGCGAGCAGCACCAGGTAATTTGCGCGATCAGCGAATCCCGCGGCATTTCTCCGACAGTTGGCCTGGCCCTCGTCAACATTTCGACGAACGAGGCCATCTTGAGCCAGATTTGTGACACTCAATTCTTCTTCAAGACCATTACAAAGCTCCAAGTTTACCATCCTTGCAATATTCTCATGTGCGACACGTCCTCTACCCGCGCCCAACGATCGAGGTTGCTTTCTGTCCTTGAACATGACGATCAGCTGCATAATGTGCAGGTCCACTACCTGGATCGAGAGTACTGGTCCGAGACAGCGGGTGTCGAGTACATTCAGACTCTTGCATTCAAAGCCGATCTCGAAGCCATCAAGGTCGCGATTCAGGGTCACTTCTTCGCGACCTGCGCCTTCGCAGCGGTGTGTACCCTAAATTCTGGGCTGGCAAGACAACCGCTGACTTCTCCTTGTCAGGTGATAAAATTTGTTGAGGCGTCCTGCCAATTGTCCATCGCGTCCCACACCCTCAGAGTCAGATATCAGCCGTCGGAACACACCATGATGATTGACGCCTCGACGATTCACTCCTTAGAGCTTATACAGAACCTACACAACCCGAAGTCCAAGGACTCACTATTCGGGCTATTGAACGAAACAGTCACGCCCATGGGGTCTCGGTTGTTACGCAGCACAATACTTCAGCCATCGACACAAGTTGAGAGTGTCCTGAATCCGCGATACGAGGCAGTACAGGAACTGGCCATGAAAGAGGACGTATTCTTTGAAGTGAGAAAGGGTAAGCGCTCTTTTTGGCTGCGGCAAGATTCATTCAGCTGACTATTTTTACAGCATTGAAAGGCTTCATTGACGTTGAGAAGCTTCTCACATCGGTAGTACCTCCAGAACCAAGTGAGGTTCGACCTACTGACTGTCCCACAGCTAGTGATTGTGCCACACGAGCCATGCATTGCCGCCTCCGAAATGGCAATCGACAACGTGCTTGCCATCAAATCATTCATTATGGCTGTCGGCCCGCTCTACGAATCGCTCATGGCTGTCCGTTCGAGCTTACTTGTCCGAATTCGTGATCTCTGCCGACCCGAAATGGTGCATCCGGTGATAGAATTGATACGAGAAACCATCAATGATGATGTGATCTCCATGAAAACGCCAATTGATCGCCGTAATCAAAGAAGTTATGCTGTCCGGGTGAGAAACAAGGCCTGTGCATTGTATTGCCATCTTGCTCCCTGCTAACCTGCAGCCCAGACTGGCGTTAACGGACTCCTGGATGTCGCGCGCCAAACCTACAAGGAAGGCACAGAGGATATCTACCAGCTGGTTGATGAGATCAACAGTAAGGACGTCGTGATATCGTGCCTGAGTTAGCTGCCGTCACTAATGCAGTCTTGTTGACTCTTGCTCAGACACCCACGAGACAGACGCAGAGGTCAAATTCGATGACCGTCGCGGCTTCTGGCTTCGCCTGCGCCGAGCAGACTTTGACGACAAGCCAATTCCGGATGTGCTCATCAACATGACAACCAAAGGGCCCTGGATCGAATGTCAAACCATGTCTTTGGTGCAATTGAGCAATCGTGTTGCAGATTCGCACAGCGAAATAGTCATTCTCAGTGACAGGCTCATCCAAGAACTAATCAACAAGATCCTTGAGCACGTCCCGAGCCTGTTCCGTATCTGTGAAGGCATCTCACTCCTGGACATGCTCGCGGCGTTCTGCCAAACAGCTGCAGCCAGAGACTATGCACGGCCTGAGATGAGTGATACATTGGCGCTGAAGCATGCACGGCATCCTATCTGCGAGCGCGTAAGGACTTCTTCCACGGAAATACCGATGTGAGCCTTAGCTAAGATCTACATGATTTCATAGGTACACCCGGACAGATTTGTCCCGAACGACGTGTTCGCCAACCAGCAGCACCGCTTCCAGATCATTACTGGATGTAACATGAGCGGCAAGAGCACTTATATCAGAATGGTAGCCCTGATACAAGTGATGGCACAGATGGGATCGTTTGTGCCTGCTGAATATGCTGCTGTTCCCATCGTCCACCAACTCTTCGTTCGCATGTCGACTGACGACAGTATTGAGGCCAACATGTCGACATTTTCTCTGGAAATGCGAGAAATGGCATTCATACTGAGGTAATTTTGCTACGTAGACAGCCGTCTCAAGGATTTTGTGGCTTACAAATATGCTAGGAATGTCGACCAATCCACTTTGGCAATCATTGATGAGCTGGGACGTGGAACGAGCACTCGCGATGGCCTCGCCATTGCCGTTGCAATCTCAGAGGCACTACTACAGAGCGGCTCCACAGTCTGGTTCGCGACTCACTTCCAACAGTTGGGTATGTATTCTTGCTGTGGCTTGCTATTGCAACGATAGTCACTTCAGATATGCTTTCGACTAACAACAGCCTCTAGCTCGAATCCTCGGGAGTCGTCCAGGCGTCTTGAACTTGCATCTTGGTACTAAAGTGGAGGATATGTCCAAGGAGCAGGCGAAGATGACCATGCTTTACAAGGTCAACTCGGGTCCTGTTCAAGTGACAAGATATGGTCTCAATCTGGCACGAGCGATCGGATTGCCACAAAGATTCGTCGATGTTGCCGACACTGTGGCACAGCAGCTTGAAGCCGAGAGCACAAGTAGAAAGCAGCAATGCGAATCGCAGAAACTTTCTAAACGACGACGACTGATCCTGAATCTTCATGAGACTCTTTCTCAGCTTCGGACTACGGATATGGACGGAGATGCGTTGCGAAGCTACCTTGAAGGACTTCAGGAAGCCTTTGTGCTCAGGATGGAGGCCATCAATTCAAATGGACATTCAGAGAGTTGAGGTGGTAGTAATGGCCCGAAGAGTATCAGGACTCCCATTATTTCTCGCAGTAAAATTGTTTCTGCCGGGTCAGTTTCAGCTTTCGCTAAGAAGTAATTTTTAAGCAACCATGAAGAAGAAATTTCTCTTCCATCTGCCACGTTGATGGAGGCTAATTCAGCTTCGCCAACTATATTGGCACGTAAATTACTCCACTGTGATTTCTAGCTGAAATGAAATTTTGAATCCTGGTAAGGCAGGAAGTCGGAGGGTCCTGCTTTGCGGATGGCTCTAAACCCCCCGCACGCCAAGTCGGTCCAAGTTCATTAGTCGTCCAACGCGACTTTCATTCGCGATTGCCCCGTCTTGATCTCTGCTTCGGTCGGTCAACGAAATTGGCGTGATGCACCAATTGCGACTAGTACCAGCAGTTGGCTTGGCGCTGCTTGCGAAATTGCGAAGAGCTATCGGTGGGCGACACGTCAGCACTCTAGAACCTTAGTACATGTCAAAGTCGGACAATGACTGTGAATTCATTATCGCTGGTTGCTCGCTGATCCTGTAGGACTGGTGCTGGATCGTGCCTTGCGATTGTCTTTGGCAGTCCGGCATAGCCGAGACCACAGCGATGAGACATGACCAGAACGACGAGACTTGGCACAAACGCCTCAACTATTTCTCGGCCGTAGTGGCAAACACCGTCGCAGACTTGCTCGCATGCTTGACCTCGAACGGCAGGCCAGAGGTCAAACCAACCTCGGCAGACCTCAGGTTGAGACAGATTCATCCTAAAGCCGCCAAGGCGCTTGTGCAGCACAGCCGGCGAGGTCTTTCTGCGCATGAGATGGCAAGGGCGGTAAGTAAAGCATGGCTTGAGTCTGCTAACTGACGCACGGAAGACTGCCAGCTCGCATTTCGCCTTGATGGCAGGTCCGGGTACGCCACTCCTGGCAGCCATGTCATGCCGACAGTGGTGGGATTGAGTTGAAGTTCAAAAAGCAGCATGACAATCATGGGACCAGGAGCTCAGCCACGAGCTGGTAGAAAAGTGAATAATACATGGTGCAACTGGAAGCTGAAGCAAGACGCCGGTCTTGTCTGGGCATTCAGGATCTCCAAGCGATCCAGACCAACCCGTGCGGGGAAAGCATTGGCGGCGAGACTTAAAAGTTGGGCAAGCTATGGTCTAATCTGCATGGAATTGCCTGCGAAGACAAGACAAGGAACAGAACAGCTCCAATGCCAAGGGCTTGGCTCTAAGGCGCATGAGGGGGGAGGAAATCCGGGGGTGGAACCTCGCCTACCTTATAGGGTCGGAATGCGGGAAAGGCGGCGATCAATATGTTCGCCAAGACCTGCAGCTCAGGCGTCCAGGAAGGGAAGAGCTGTGCCGTAGAGACGTCTTGGGTGGTGGGAGACTTGATAGAGTTCTGACAAGGCCACACTTCTTGCCGCCTGGCTGCGGTGTATAAAAGCTGACCATGGATGTCTGATCGACTTCTCGATGAGGGGCCAGGCATCAGATGTGACACTTGAATTTCTCGATTATCTTGATACGGGAAGGATCTACCTCCCCATCACTGGGTCTAGTGTTCGAGAAGTTCAACACCCCGTTTATCATAGCAACTTCTTTCATGATCCCGACTTCTGCATCTTGTGGCCGGAGCCGAAACTTCTTTTTGGCCTCAAAGTGTCGTTCTGCCTCAGGCAATTTCTAAGCGCCATACTTCGAGGAAATTGACCGCTATCACGAGAGGTCGTCCGCAAAGATGGCTGTCAGCATTAAAGACACCGTTGTCTCGGAGAAAGACGGACCTGTCCATCTCGAGGACGTGAAAACTGCCGAGAGCGCTGGTAGCCACGAGCGTCGTATGCTGAACGAAGAGGATACTCGAAAGGTTGCGTTGAGAGCAAAGTAAGTTAAACTACTCACCGTTCATCCCTCGGTGCAATGGAAAATTGCTGTACCAGTACAAGACACTTACACAAGTTCTGAATAGGCGGAAGGTTGACTGGCGGCTTGTCCCAGTCCTTGGTGGTAGGCTCCCTTGCATATGTAATGAGATCCAGAGAGCTGATTGCACACTCTGGCCAATGTCTCAAGCAGCTGCAGCTAACCTTTTCTCAACAGCTTGTTACGCAATCAGTGGCATCGATCGGATCAATGTGAGGCTTTCGCTCCTTCCTGGTTTCTCAGAGCACCCGCACTTAGCCATACGAGTCTTAGTGCTTTCAGCTTCGACTGCTAATCGCGACAGGTCACAGATCTCTGCCGCCCGAATCGCCGGCCTCGACGTTGAGCTCGGCATCAACCAGGGAAATCGATATTCCGTCGTAGTCCTTGTTTTCTTCATTACATATTTCTTGTTTGAAGTACCTAGCAACATCGTGCTTCGCAAGGTTGGCGCCAGCAATTGGCTGTCCTTCTTATGTTTCTCATGGGGTGTGGTGATCCTCGGTGCTGGCTTCTCGCGCCATTGGACTGTAGGTGGAACTTCTATGACGCCGCTCATGCGCTTGAAAGGCTTTTGGTCTTTGCAACAACCGCAAAAGATCTTACTAACCATGCTGTGTTATAGGATGTGGTTGTTTGCCGCCTCTTGCTTGGTTTGTTCGAGGCTGGCTTCTTCCCGGGTTCGGTATATCTGATCAGTTGTTGGTACACCCGCTACGAAATTCAGAAGAGGTGAGCTTCAATCATGTACATGGGGACGCGCTAAACCAACACTTTTCCTGCTCCTTTTTCCGCCACCCTGTCTATTGCTTCTCTTAGAACGCTCTTGAACCGTGACCGTGCACAGGACTCTGACACGATTTGACAGACTTGCTGTATTCTACTCGATCAATATTCTCGCCGTTGGCTTTGGCAGTATCCTCGCTTATGGTATCATGCAACTCAATGGCAAAGGCGGCTACCTTGCTTGGAGGTGGTAAGTGATTATCATCTAATACGCTTGCTCCCCCAAACAAGCTCAACTTTGCTAAGAAGGACACAAATGCAGGATTTTTATCATCAACGGCCTGATGACCATTTTCCTCGCCATTGTTGCCAAGATTGGTATCATCGACTTCCCCGACAAGATTCACCTCTCAAGACGGCCATATCTCACCCCGGCGGAGGTGCAGGCCATCCAAGACAAGCTTGAGAGGGACCGCCAAGACGCTGAGTATGACCCATTGACAATGGCTAAGGCAATGGACGCGCTGGGTCGATGGCAGCTCTGGCTCTAGTCAGTTTTGCCCTTCTTATTTTGTTTCCAATACCGTCGTCTCCGTTTGGAGATCCGGCTTAGGCAATACTTTTTCGCAGCTTCTGTCTCTGACTAATTGAGAATGCAGCTCTATACAGTTTATGTGCATCACCTCCATTGGTAAGTCCCATCCGAGTCTGAAATCTCATAATTCACGCTCAACATTAAGACTGACATGACACGAACAAAAGTCTACTGCCTCGCCTTCTTCATACCCATCATCATCGCGGGCATGGGATACGACACGGGCACCACATTCCTTATGTCCGCTCCTCCGGCCGTTGCTGCCGTGCCGTGGGTCATGTTCGTCTCGTGGGCAGCGGACCGGTACAAGTGCCGCGCCCCCTGGATCGTAGCGCAGGCTCTTGCCTGCGTCATCGGCATCCTCATCGTCGGCTACGTGAGGCAGAGCAACATTCGCTTCTTTGGCCTCATGATGGCCACGGGGGCGGCGAACGGCAACATCCCGACTGCGATTGCGTGGCAGGCTAACAATATCCGCGGGCAGAGTTTGCGGATGTGAGTCTACGGCCGGCGGGTTACCATCATGGCTTTCTTCCTTTTCGGATGTTGTACCAACAGTCTTGGCTAACCTTTCTTGATAGGGTTGCGTCAGGTCTCCAGGTTGGCTTTGGCGCAATAGGCGGCATCTACGCGAGCACTGTCATGATGGAGCGAGAAGCGCCACTGTATAGGACTGGCTTGTGGGCAGTCTGTGTAAGTACAACCTCGCTTTTTCGCCCCTCAAGACTCTTGATCTGGCGTCCATCTTGTAACCTGGACCTCTGTGAGAAGGGGCCTTCTGGTGGAGAGACTATGCTGACGTGCGGGAACCACCTACTAGGGCACACAATTTTTCCTCGTCTTGTCCACAGTCTTCTTGTGCGTCTTTTGCTGGCACAAGAACAAGAAGGCAGACAAAGGCGACGTTGTGATTGAGGAGATGGATGGTTTCAGATACACTTACTGAAAGTCTTTTGTGGTTCCCGGTTCATTCTGAAGTAATGAATATGGTCGCGGGTAGTGAGTGCGTTGACATGGTCGATGAATTTGGACTCTCACTTGGCTGCTGCTCTGTTACACATGTGATCGGAGCTCTAGTTCGATAGTCTCGAGGTGGTCGGAAGGGCCCGAGGGCGTAGGGATAATGGGGCAGCATGCTAGTATTCAGACTCCTATAAGTCCTGTTTTAACAGTGCCCGTGTAGCATTGCACCGAATCCCAGCTTCGCCGTGCCAAACCTACAATCAAGCGATATCTTGCTGCAGCTCAATTCCAAGCAGCCAGACCCTCGAAGCTCATCTCGGATATTTGATTGGGTGGCGGAACATTTCACCCTTCCCGCATCGAGACAAATTACCGTTCTAGGTCAGGACCAGACGTCAGCCCCTGGGCGGTTTGCTCAGTTTGCGAGTTTCCCCTCAATTCTATGCTCACTCGCCTTGAAAGGCGCGCCCTTAAATTCCAAAGGAAAAGCCCCAGAACATGGAGAGTGGGTGCTGACTGTGGATCTCGTATTCGCTGACGCTTGCAATGCAGGGCCTACTGGGGCACAGGGCGCCGAGGTTCGTGAAGTTGTCTTGTGGTTCTGTTCCACTGCTGCACAGCTGGACATTGGTGTAGTGGCGGGGCAGTCATGTCCTTTGTTCAAAATGACGTTGTGCGGCGAGGCAGAGAAGTTATCGCCCCATCAGCCGTGTCCCAAGTCGTCTGTCAGCTACGAACATGGCCCAGGACCCGTAAATTGTCGTTTGCTGTCGCTTGCAAGGGCGGAAGGGCGGGTGTGCTGGAGTTGCAGAATGACATTTGGGCTGCACAGGAGGACCCCAAAGAAGAGCCAGGGGGACCCCGCGGCCGCCGTCATCGGAGCTCCACCCCTGCTCAATTTTGATGCTCACACCGGGAGCTCTGACGATTCGTGTCCGACAGTTTAGCTTTAAGCCCGACACGACGACCCTTGAGAGACCTTCAGCTCCAGCAGCTCTGTCTCTTTAAATCTCCCAGCTTCACCATACACGTCTGAAGAGAGCAATTGGTCTCGCAGACGACCAAACAGCAACCCCAAGGCCCTTCCCACCACGCAATTGCCCAGTATTCCCACTATGGCTGCCTTCCCTCCCCCGCCAGTCAACACGATTGACTGGTCCAATGTCGGCTTCCGTGTCCGTGAGGGTAAGCAGACGTGCCCCAGCAGGTTGCCTCGGTTGTATCCCAAGTCAACAAGACTGATGTTGATCTCATGTATTTCTCACAGTCAATGGCCACATTGAGTCGACCTACTCCAAACAGACGGGCAAGTGGTCACCCCTGCGCTTCGTGACAGACCCCTACATACGCATCCACGGCATGGCGCCGGCCCTCAACTATGGCCAACAGGCCTACGAGGGACTCAAGGCCTTCCGCAACCCCGAGGGCGGCATCCAGATCTTCCGCCCTGACCGCAATGCCGCCCGCCTCCAGCACTCGGCGTCGTACATCTCCATCCCGCCCGTCCCGACCGAGCTCTTCATCGACGCCGTCAAGGCTGCCGTGTCCCTCAATGCGGCCTACGTTCCTCCTCACGAGACTGGCGCCGCCATGTACATCCGGCCCCAGATTTACGGCTCCAGCGCGCAGCTCGGCCTCAGCCCGCCCGAGGAGTACACTTTTGCCGTCTTCGTCCTGCCCACGGGCGTCTACCACGGCACGCACCCCGTCAAGGCCCTGATCCTCGACGACTTTGACCGCGCCGCGCCCAACGGCGTCGGTAGCGCCAAGGTCGGCGGCAACTATGCCCCCGTCCTGCGCCACAGCGACCGAGCCCGCGAGCAAGGCTATGGCATCACGCTGCACCTCGACAGTGCGACACACACCGAGGTCGACGAGTTCAGCACAAGCGGCTTCATCGGCGCCCTTGTCAAGAGCGATAACGATGTCACTCTCGTGGTGCCCGACTCGCACAATGTCATTGCCAGCGTCACCTCCGAGAGCATCACCGAGATCGGAAAGAGCTTCGGCTGGAAGGTTGGGCGCAGATCGGTAAGGCATCTCCCAACAACCAGAGCAGTCCTCGAGCCACGCGCCGGTTGGTGGAAAGCAGCAAGTTAACATGTCTTCTTTTCCACAATCTGCAGATCAAGTACACCGAGTTCCCTCAGTTCTCCGAGGTCATGGCGGCCGGTACCGCGGCCGCGCTGGTGCCAATCCGGTCCATCACACGCAAGACGGCGGCCACGGCGGCCAACTCGATCGCGTCGGCCGTCGGTCAGCACGAGCGGCTCAGCGGCGACGCCGAGTCTGAAACGGTGACGTTCCTGCCGGCGAGCCAGGAGGACGCCGGCCCCATCTGCGCCAAGCTGATTGCGCAACTGCAGGGCATCCAGCTGGGGCGGGTCAAGGACCAGTTTGGCTGGAACTTTGCCGTGTCTCGCGAGGACGGGACCAAGGTTGCCGGCGAGACGAATGGCAGTGCTGCGGAGGGGCAGACAGTGGATCAGCTGGATTAGAGAAGCCCGCATCCGCGTGTGTAAATGAGCACTTGTTGCCATCTAACAAAAGTTGTGTCATAGCTCCTTAAAGATTAAAAAAAGAAACAAGCTTCTCAAATTTCCTGGACAATTGGAGGCGCGTCGGGGTCTTGGGCGGCGCGTCTGCAGGGTCGCCGTTTACACCTTCCTGATCAGGTCTGTCCTGTGAGCAGGCAGGCAAGCGCAGCCGCCCCGGCAGGCAGCTTTTTGAGATCTAGACTTGACGATGCTGGCTGGGGTTCCCGGCCACGGAACAAGGTCCGGTTGGAAACACGATGCACTTTCTCGACGCAGTTCCCACCTGGTTCGTCTCGGGGAAGATCATAGACTTTGTACACAAGGGACGATCGCCTGTTGCATTTTTGGCAGGTATATCACGGTAAATGACGTGATTCAGCCCTTGAAGCCATGGCAGCCAGATAGCTGGTCACGAGCTCGAACCCTGGCGCTGATGAACAGCTGGCGGAGGACAGCCCGGGGAGGGCGGGAGATCGGCGAGGACTGGGCAGGTGCGCATCTTGTGCCCGACCTTGGCCAAGAAGAGAGGGGTTCAGCAACCTGCACATTTTCAAGCATCCATCCATCTGCATGCAGGTCGGATTGTGGAGGGTCTCCACCAGCCAGCTGATCAAGGGTAAGGTCGCGCGGCAAGCACGGATCGATTGTCTTGGGTTTATTTCATCCTCGGTGTTTCTTTTTTCTGCCAGGCAAGTGTGGCTTGTTGCGCTCATGGGATCGCTGTATTCTTAAACGAGGCGCACGTGAGGATTGGCGTTATGAAACGGTGGCGTGGCCTTCCCGCTGTCGATCGAAATCGATGCGAGTAACGCGGTTCTGCGCTAGAAGACTGGATGCACGGAGTCCAAGCAGGAACGGCAACTTAATTTGCCCCGGTCTGCTCTGGTTCGGTCGAGCGGTGCAGATGGGTCTATCATCTACACATTCCTCTGGCTCGCGGTATCCATCACCCGCATCACCAGGCCTGCCTTAAGGCACAGTCAGCGCCACACCCACCACCAGCTCGAAAGACACGGTGATCGAGGATTGTGCACAGCATGCAGTTCATTACCCCGTGTGGAGCGGGCGAGTCTAGCGAGCTCCCCGCGCCACGCGGCGGAAATGGGCGCTGCGACAGGTGGAGCTGTTGTTTGGGCAGGCTCCGAGGACTATGGTGCACCATTAAGGCCACTCCGCCAAAACCCACATGTGCACTTGCGCAAACGTGCAATTGCGCAATTATGCAATTGCACACCCCTGCTTGCACCCGCACCTGCACCAGCACCTGTAACTGCAATCATGATTCTGGACGTACGATGAGATGTAACAGTGATTGAATTGAGCTATCAACTCTGCTAGGACTTGGCTTCATTACCTTGTCGTACGACAAGAGTAACTACTGACCCAGAACACCACGTGAAGGTGCCTAGCAATTGTCCTGGTGCCTCCGCTCACTTGAGCCTCATCGGCTGTGCCCATCGTACGAAGAGAAAGAGAATATATAACTTACGACTGCTATTCGTCGTCGTCGACGACCCATGCATTGGCAGGAGTGCCGCCTGCTTGGCGGGCACTCCGCCGCTGCGGCGGACGCTTCGTACGGCCACCCTCTTTCTTGACGGGCGGGCTGGGCGGACGAGGAGGAGGAGGAGGAGAATCATCATCATTGTCGTCGCCGTCATCGCCGTTCTGTGCGTTGCAGCGAGCACCGTGATCCCGCCATTTGCAATTGCCACAGGCGCCCGACCAGAAGCCAGGAAGGCGCACGCAATTGGGGAACGGCCGAGCCAAACCGTCTTGAGAGGTGCTCATCGTACGACGACAAGCAGAGCAGGGACGCCCAGATGCGGTGCCACGACTCTGAATGAGAAGGGCATTAATGTAACTCGGCCGCGCCGTGGCGACCTGCGCGGCAGTCACGCTGCTTCGTACGAAGGCAACGGGATTGCCTGGCAGGGCTAAGGCGCCACGCTGAGCTGCTGTATGGCAGAAAGGTGCCAGTTCCTGTCCTGCGCAGAAGACAGTACTGGCACCGATCTGAACGGCGGTGCCGGGGACGACGACAGCATTGTTGGGAGCACTAGTCGTACGAAGGGATGTTAGTATAGGTGATAGGGATGGAATGCGCGTACGTACGACATGGTGGTGGTGGTGGTTGTGGTGGTGGTGGTGGTGGCTGCTGCTGCTGCTGCTGATGATGATGATGGAGGAGGGAGGAGGAGGGCGGGAGGTTTCGTGGCGGACGACGGGTAATAAATAGCATTCTGAGCGGTCAGAGCCTGAGGCAGTAGCAGTTTCCTTAGTCGTACGGCAGAAACTGAGGGATATGTGAGATCTTCGTGAGGAAGGAGCGTATAAGTCGTGATAGCTTCACAGCTAGGTAGGAACGACTTACAGCCACAAGCTGAGCCACACTTAACGCCACATATTGTAGTTTATGGTCGTACGACCATACCCTGGCCCCGAGAGTCCTGCTTCCCCGCTCCCTGCTAAGTTTATGGTTGTACGACCATTTCCCCGCCTGCCCCCTTCCATTTTCCCTTCTCACTCCCCCCTTCTCCGTACGAAGAACTTATTACTCTCTCCTCGTACGAAGATGCCTATTTATTACCAGCCTATTATCTGCAAAGAGAGTGGCCTCTCTCATACTGAAATTCGGCAACAGGCCCCAAATCTGCCGCGCTGTGGGTGGTGCGGAACACGCTGGGCAAGCGCACTTGAGATACCGGACGATGAACAGAGTCGTACAGCTGAAACTCAGGGAGGCGAGCCTGGTCCTTCTCGTCGTACGGCTATATCTAGCCAGTCTTCAAACCCCCCAGCCCAGTTTATCGCAGGGTCAAATAGGACCCGTGATAGCAACTTTCGTACGTCTGAAATTCAATCAATCACTCGTACGGTGATAGATGCTCAAGGCGGACGTTCAGGAGCTTCAGCAGCAAATATCCCTCGTACGACAAAACCACCTCTTGGCGTTGATATTGAGCTCAGCGTCTGGGAAGTTGTCCGATATTAACAAGTCGAGCAAACATGGGAGCCAGTCGAGTGGAAGCACCGTGGTTCGTACGAGGATTCCTCTTTACTCTCTCCGTACGAGTATAGCTAATTAGATAGGCTACTGGGGGTTCCAAAACTTCGTCTGGCGATCCCAGCAGGAGACATTGATCCGAGATTGGCTAGAAACCTTCGTACGACCTGCAATTTCAGTAATTGAGGCAAATTGGCAACGCTCCCCCGGCCAGCTCGTGAAGAAGTGCTCACCAATGAAGGCGGTTCACCTACCGGATACCTGTCGTACGATTCATGACCTCTTCGGAGAAAATGGAGCAATCCCGGCAAAACCAAACAGGCAATTGAAGCTATATCTCTATGTCCCTAGTACGACTGATCCTTCTAAGCTTGCTCAGGAACAGCTAAGCCGAACTCCTCGTACGAAGCGAAGAAGACAATCATCTATTGCAATTAAGGAAGAAGACCAGGATACTCTTGAACTAATCCAAATTACAAACTTTACGTCCCGTACGCCTAAAAGACCAGCCAAAACTCGTCGTACGGCTACCCAGGAACAAGACCAAGAAGAAGAACAAGAAGAAGATCGGCGTACGGAGAAGGAAGATAACCTTCGTACGGAAGAGGAGGAGGAGGAGGATATCTTTCGTACGGAAAGTAGCCCCTACCTTCCTAATATTGAGGAGATACTTGAAGACCTCCGGAAGTCTCCCTCTCCTCCTCCTCCTCCTTCTCCTCCTCCTCCTTCTCCTCCTCCTCCTCCTCCTCCTCCTCCTCCTCCTCCTCCTCCTCCTCCTCCTCGGCCTGAGATTGGCCCAGCTAGTCGTACGAGGAACCGTGAGACACGACGGGAATCTCATCTTCCTCGTCGTACAAAGCAGAATTGAAGACCTCACCAATATCTGGAGATAATGCCTGCCCAGATAAATCGGCCTGCTGGAACGGGAGGAAGTCTGCATTTCGCTGGAGGATTTGTAGCTAGAGTTCTGAATTAGTTATCGTACGAAGAGAAGAAGAGAATCCCTTACATATTCTTCACACCCTCCCCGTGGTGGCTCGATAACCTGGAGCTGAGGTAATTGACCTGAGTCAATATGCTGTCGTACGCGCTGTCGGAGTTGGAGATAGGTCCAGAGATATGGTCGTACGAGATCATCTGCCGTACGAAAGACTCCTGTAAACTGGAGCTCTTGGAGCTGACGATTCCCCCAGGTAACTGTCTCTGCGGAGAGAAACTCATCAATCTCGATATTCTGGAGCGGCTCGTACATCGTACGAAGGATACTAAGCTCTGGTGAGTTATCCCGGACCTTTACCCCGTAATCCCGACTCTGTGCAGATAAATAGAGCTCCCACGGAACCCCAGGGTTGACATGCGGACGGTTCTTTTGCTTTCGTACGACGTGACCATTCCAGAGTTCTGTAAACTCAGCAAATTCCTCCCGGATTATGGGCCCATATAGAATATAGACTGCAATCTGGTCACCAATATCTGACTGTACGAAGAGACCGTTCTCGATAAGCTCACGTGAGAAGGCCTGAGAGTATTAGATAGACTCTTATTATCGTACGGAGAGAACTTACAATCCACCGATCACTAACTCCCTCACGGAGGCTTCGCCACCATCGCTCTATTCGTACGTTCCGCTTACTTGGGCCCCATATATGGCAAGAGGAGATGCGATCTCCTTGACTATGCGTACGACTCTCTCCATCTGGTCCGTCGTACGAGATAACTGTACCTGCTGCCCCTGCGAGGCCTGCTTGCGCGGCGACCCAGAGAGGTGTCTCACCACCATGGTCTGACCTTGTGAATAGTGGGCGAATCCTTTTATATTCAACCGTACGAAGGAACTGCTTTAGGGTTGACAGAGCAGTAGTTGCTGACCTCCCAATATAGATCCAGATAATCAGCCGCGAGTATGCGTCAATACAGCCAAAGACCTAGAGGATTTAGTAGGTATTTAGGTAAATATTCGTACGAAGGGAATTACCTCAAACCCAAAGGCTCGGAGCTTCTCATATCCATCTAGACACCACATAAAGTTTGGACCAGGTACTCTGAAGTTCGTACGATGATGCCAGTTCCCGGCTCGCCGCTTAGTAACACTTTCTGGCCATTGCTCTCGATAATAGTCGTACAGCTGGTTCTTTGCGACGCGAATTTGGGCCTGTATCCGTACGAACTGATAGAGATATCCTCGTCCGAAACCAAGGATTGCTGCACTCTGTTGCACATGCGCCTGAAGGAAGGCTTTTGCTAGTTCAAGCGCTTCTTCACTTTCCTCAGTCGTACGATAACGCCTTTTCATCCCATACTCTGCCCGAAGGCGCCGTAAGCTTCGCTCAGAAAGGGTGATCCCGTCCTGCTGGAGCTGCCGTACGATAAGCTGGTCGGAATAGCCTCGTACGAAGAAGTAGAGGCGCACAAGGTCAAGCAATTCATCAGTGACCTCAACGCGGACTTGTCGCTGCAGGCCCCATTCCCGCAGCCGGCGCTCCAGTGTTCTCTTCGTTATAGGAAATCCTCGTACGACAAGATCTTCATGAATCTGAGCTATTGTTCGGCCACTGTCGAGCGCCTCTTGGATTTCGGCCTGCAGGCCGTCGTGGTCAATTGCTGGGCGCGGCATTGTAATGGTCGTACGACGGGAACTGAATGAAATTGCGGGGTGGGGTGTGCAATTGCACAAGTGCGCAAGTGCACATTTGGGTTTTGGCGGAGTGGCCTTTATGGTGCACCATAAGGACCCTGTTTCCGCCCATCCCTGCATCCGTCCATGGGGTGCTGCTGCTGCTGCTTACCTGCGCCTGCCCCGTGAGGAATTAAATGACGCCCCCCAGAAACCACCCACACCCGCTGCCGTTCCCCCGTAGACCACCTTACATACAACTACCTCGCAGTCGTCGTCGTCAGTGCATGTGCTCGGCTCCTCACCTCGTTCACTCCTTTGGCCCCTTGTCAGCGCCCCGGCGGGTTTCTCAGACCACACACCACCTGCGCTCTCGATCCTTCCCAGCTCAGCAATCATCGTGTCGAACACCCTCGAGCAGTTCAAGCGTTGCCAGTCCCTGCCGCTGCCAGCATCAAAATAGTTCGGAATCGTTGTAGTATAGCCCGCAGGTCTTCATGTATCTCCGCGCCTAGCACCACGCGAACGGGCCACTCTCTGCGCCTTTCTCCTGCCGCCCTGCACCGCACCTCCCTAGCTGCAGGCGCTACTCCCCCCCAGCTGAGCCGTGCGATATCGCCCTGCTCCCACAAACACACACCACGGCCACTGTTATATGGCAGGCCCGCCGCGGATCAAGATAGACAATGCCCCAATCCGCCCAGACCGGCTGAGACTTCAGGTCCTCGCCTCCCTCGCCGCCGCAGGCCCGGCCTCGCAGACTACCACAGACACCACTGTGAAGACCAGCACAGAGAAACGGCCCACCGTGGAGGTTGGCTACGATGACGGAGACCTCGGCAAGCAGTCCGTGCTCAGCACCACTGGCCTAGACCGGGACGTCGAGGCTAAAGCCCAGCAGGAGAGCCCCAACGGCTCACTGGGTTTCGACATTGGCGGCGTTTACCATACGCGCAGCTATGCTCATGCCACTGGCGGCGCACTCCCTCGCACGGCTTCGCCATACCCGCGTAACCGCAAGAGCCGCCTGCGCCGCGAGGAGGCCCGGATACAGGACAGCGATGCTGCGGCCGCGGCAGACCCGGAAGACGGCGAGGATTGGCGGCGCGACGACGGCAAGAAGAAGCAGGTGTTTCGTGGCAGGGCTGTGCTGTGGCTTGCATACCAGTCCATCGGTGTGATCTATGGCGACATCGGCACGAGGTGAGTCGGAAATCCAGTTGCGAGAGATCGTTGCACTGTGAAGCTCAAAGATGCTGAATACTGACATATACACCCAAGCCCGCTATATGTGTATTCCTCGACCTTTACGCATGAGCCTGCCAACGATGAGTTGGTCCAAGTACTTTCCGTCATTATCTGGACGTTGACTGTTATGGTCACAATCAAGTATGTCCTGATCGTACTCAATGCGGATAACGAAGGTAAGCACTGTCGATGTGTACTCTGCTTAACCATAGTTGACGCTAATACCTATCACAGGCGAGGGCGGTACTTTCAGCTGCTATTCTTTGCTTGCTCGCTATGTAAGCCTAAAATCAGTCTAGTATTCACCCCGGCAAACTGACTAACATTTGTACACAAGGCCAACATTATCGAGCGGGACCCTCGGGAACAAGTCATCGTCAAAATGGAGCGCCGGGACACTCACGAATTGAGCAAGAGCGGTGAGAAGCTGCGCATGTCGCTCGAGAACAGCCTCTTCGTCCGCGGCTTGCTCAAGTTCATCGGTGTGCTGGCCGTATCCCTTGTCATTGCAGACGGCGTACTCACGCCCGCGCAATCTATCCTTGGCGCGGTTCAGGGCCTCGCAGTCGTCCATCCAAACATCACCGACCCGACCATTGTAGGCACAACGTGCGGCATTCTGATTGCACTATTCGTCATCCAGCCACTTGGGACGACCAAGCTCGCCAATACTTTCGCCCCGATTGTCATTCTCTGGCTGGCCTTCAACGCGGGCTTTGGCGTATACAACCTGATCATCCATGACCACACGGTGCTGCGAGCATTCTCGCCCTACTTCGCGATGCACTTCTTCATGGAGAGGAAAACGGATGCCTGGCGGATGCTGGGCGGTGTACTACTGGCATTCACAGGCGTCGAGGCTCTCTTTGCAGATCTCGGAGCATTCAGTTTGAGAGCTATCCAGATCAGCTGGCTAGGTTGGTGCTATCCGTGTCTCCTTCTCGCGTACACCGGACAGGCGGCGTACATCAGCAAATTCCCTTCGGCGTACGACAACCCTTTCTACGAATCAGTCCCACCGGGCATGATCTACCCAAGCCTCATCGTGGCAATCCTTGCTGCCGTCATTGCGTCACAAGCGATGATCACAGCTGTCTCCCAAGTACGTTATCTCCAAACTGCAACAGTTCGATATGGGAATCCTTCACTGACGCGTGCCTACAGCTTGTGACCCAGCTAATGAAACTGTCCTACTGCCCGCAAGTCAACATTGTGCATACCTCGAAACGATTCTATGGGCAAATACATGTGCCCTTTGTGAATTGGATCTTGATGCTGGGCTGCATTCTTGTGACTGCTGCATACTCAAACACCACGCGGCTAGGCAATGCTTACGGGTAAGGATTGTACCTATGCCCTCGGACGAGATTGTTTGCTAACAGGGGCATAGTGTCTGCGTAATGCTCGTCACCTTCTTTGACACTTGCATGGTTACATTGGTCGCGCTCATAGTCTGGCGTCTGCCCTTGTATCTTGTCTTCATCCCGTGGCTTTTCTATGCACTTCTCGACGGACTTTTCCTGTCTGCCGCGCTGGCGAAAGTGCCAGAAGGAGGTATGTGTCGCTGCTTCAAACTTGATAACTGCCAAGTGTACTGACCAATGCCTGCAGCATGGTTTACTATCACATTATCCGGCATCCTCTCCTGCTTGTTTCTGCTATGGAGATTTGGCAAGGAGAACCAGTGGCGGGCCGAAGCTAGGGACCATCTGCGCCCTGGCGAAGTCATCGAACGCGACTGGGACGGCAAGATGCTCCTATCGGGACGATTTGGCACGAGCAACAGCGGTCCACCCGAGCCGCTGACCAAGATTCGCGGATTCGGCATATTCTTTGACAAGACAGGTGTGATGGCCCCGCACATATTCTCGCAGTTTGCCACCAAGTTTGGCGCGTTGCCCGAGATACTCGTCTTCTTCCATCTGCACCCGCTGGAAATCCCGACTGTCTCTGCCGACGAGCGGTTTGCCATCTCCAAGATTGGCGCTATTGATAGCTGCTATCGGCTCGTTATTCGGCACGGGTTTATGGATCAGGTGATCACTCCTGACTTGGGACGACTCATTTACGAGCAGCTGCGAAAGTACTTGATACGGCGCGCTGGCGGGGACATTATCGCGAGCGACCACGATTCCGACGTGAATCTCAACGCGCGTCCACGGGTCAGCTTCGAACCGATGAGCCGCTGCCGGACCGCTGTGAGCACAGCTGTGCAGAGCGTCGATGGGGAGAACAGGGAGACGAATCAATCGGGTCACAACATGAGGGCCCGGTCGCGCATAAGGACATTGGCTGCCAACAGAGGCAATGGGGCCGACAGCATTTACGACCGTAACGATGATCACGAGGAAAATGACAACACACAGAACGATGGGGACGAAGAGGCACAGGAAGAGGAAGATGAGGACGACGACGATGATGATGAAGAAGAAGACGACGACGATGAAGAAGAGGAAGAAGAGGAGAAGCGGGAGACGGAGCTGGAGAAGCTGGACCGAGCCTACCGCAGTCGGGTCATGTACCTGATTGGCAAGGAGCAGATGAAGATTGCCAAAGGGACGTCACTGATCCGCAAGATCCTGCTCATGAGCTTCCTGTTTATCCGCGACAACACGCGGGCCAAGATTGCTAACCTCCGGCTGTCGATGGACCGGGTCGTCGAGGTTGGCTTTGTCAAGGAGGTCTAGTTAGACTACCCAATCAAATTGAAGCCAGGCTGTCTGGCGGTGTTGTCGGCACGGGCCGATGGACATGAAGGGAACGAAACTATGTACTCTGCGACCAATCGCACCTTTGCAGCTGTTCCTGATGATACTGGGCTGAGATGCGGCCGGGCAAGCATGATGACGAGCCGCGCGTAATGCCGTTTGAAATATACCGACTGCGCCGTCTTGGCAAACGGCACACTGCAACCGGCTGGGCGCTGCGGAACGGGCGTTGGCGGGCTCGGCGCCATGCCCTTGGCGGGGCCTGGGCTGCCCCATCAATTGAAAGGAACTGTGGCGATGCATCCAACGCCGACAGAACAGCATCCGTTCCAACCGTCCAGGACGCAGAGATGGCCGATTTGAAGAGGCCAGCTATGTCCCGCCCGGATCGCCGGCGCGCGACCGCAGGGGGAATGATCACAGGAAAGAGATAAAGTGGCCCTAGAATAAACAAGGCGATGTCAACAAACAAACCAAACCTGAGGCGTTGGCGCACCATGCAGACTGCCAAGAGCGACAAAGTGGCCCAAGATCTCTGGCAATTAGCGTTTAATACCACTCCCGCGCGCGAATGGCAACCCAGCCACCACGTGCTAAGTACGTACATTAGACCTCACCGTTGCCGGGTCCGCCGCCTCCAGGGTTCGATAATGACGTCGTGCCGAGATGCGCCTACGCCAAAGTCTCGCAGAGTCTCTTGGCGCAGGGGGCCAGGCATGCGGATCAGACACGGTTGATTGGCGACGTTGCACGTATCAGTAAGTAGATATCGAGTCGCTGGTGCGTATTCTTGGGTCCGTGAGTGTACGCCGTCTTAAAGCTGATGACGCGCGCAGTTCGAGAGAATGCCGACTCGGCTGGACGGCAGGTGCTGGGATCTTTGATATTTCCTGTCCATCGCGTGCTGGTTTGTGAAGAAACCGTTCCCACTGCCTGCCCCTGTTGATCATTCTCCTCCCGTCCTAACTCATTTGTATCTGTCTCGGATCTCGAGAGAAGTGCAACTGTTGTGGCTGGTTCAGGTTCCCAATCCCCCCTTGGCGCTTCTGACACTGGTGGTTTGTGCTGCCATCTGAATTGATACCTTCCATTGGAGATATTGGCCACCGTGACGTCTCATTTTTCTTATAAGAGAAACGCGGGAGGAAGGGAAGGAGGACAGTTGGGCAGCATGGCCGACCAGGAAGCAGGTTCTTCTCGTCGGGACATATCCCCTGCCCCAATCTCGCAAGATCAGCAAGACCCGACCGGACGCAATACCCATTCATCTACCACTCTCGAGTCATCAACTCGGCAAGACTGCAGCAACCCAGACAACAAGAACGAGGACACTTTCGCGGTTGACAATCAAAACAAGAAAACCACCGGAAAACACAGCAGCAACAACAACAACAGCAGCGACAGCAGCGACAGCAGCGACAGCAGCGACAGCAGCGACAGCAGCGACAGAGTAAAGTACCTCACCGACGACGAGATCGACACCTTTCTCGACGAGCTTGACCACAACAACAATGGGTTCATCGAATACAGCGAGGTCGAGGCCCAGCTGGACCGCGTGCATGACGAGATCGCCCCCAAGGCTGCGCCGCACCTGAGGCTCCATCGCGATGTCGCTGCTTCTTCTCGCAAGGGTGCTTCCGGTGGCGATACCGACGACGGAGAAGCGGCTGGCGCGAGACATGTGTTCCTGTCTAAGATGCTGGCGACACGTGGCGATGCTAGCAACGAGAGTGCATCGCAACAGCAGCAGCAGCCGCAGCAGAAGCAACGTGACCAGCACAGGATCCCCCGGGCCGAGTTCAGGGAGTGCGTGCGGTCATGGAAAATACCCTCCATGAAACAGGACAAGGACGCCGAGAAGGAGGAGCACGATTACGTCGCCTCGATGAGCGTCTGGCGCCGAGTCAGGGCGTACTGGGCAGTCCACGGGCCGGAGATTGTGTTCCTGGGCGTAGTCGTCGCGATGCATCTCGGGTTGGGCATCTGGCAGTGCGTCAAATACGCCACGGGACCACAGTACCAGGCCGCCTTGGGCTGGGGTGTTGTACTGGCAAAGACCTGTGCTGGCGCTGTAAGTGTCTTTTTTCTCGACTTGGAACATTGCGAGAGCCATCTTGCTGACCTGGTGTGGTGACATTGGCAGCTCTACGCCTCCTTCTTCTTCCTCGTGCTCAGCATGTCGCGCTACTTCTCGACTTTCCTCCGCCGCTTCTACCATGTCTCGCGCTTCATCAACTGGGACCTCTCGCAGGCCTTCCACATCCGCATGTCCATTGTCGCCCTCGCGCTCGCGACGCTCCATGCCATCGGCCACCTGTCCGGGTCATTCAACTGGGGTAGCCGTCCCGAGCGGCAAGAAGCGGTCACCGCACTCCTGGGCGCGCCAAAGCCACAGTACGTCGACTTTGTCCGCACGAGACCGGGGATCACGGGGATACTCGCGCTGGGCCTGTTCTATGTGCTCGCGATCCTGAGCCTCCCGCAGGTCCGGAAATGGAACTACCAGGTCTTCCAGCTCGCCCACCTGCTCATGTTCCCCATCATCGGCCTGCTCATCGCCCACGGGACCACGCAGCTGCTCCAGTGGACCATGCTCGGGTACTTCCTCGCGTTCCCCACGCTGCTGGTGACGGCCGAGAGGCTGGTCCGCGTGGCCACGGGGTTCCACCGGATCCCGGCGAAGCTGAGGGTGCTCGACTCGGAGACGGTCGAGATCAGCGCCACGATTCCGAGCGAGCGGCTGTGGCGGTACGAGGCCGGGCAGTACGTCTTCCTGCAGGTGCCGCAGCTGAGCATGTGGCAGTGGCATCCGTTCACGGTGTCGGCTTGCAGTGGGAAGCAGATGTGGCTGCACATCAAGACTGACGGGGACTGGACGGGGAAGCTGAGGAAGCTCGCTGTCGGGGAAGATGCGGACGAGGCGGGAGGAGATAAGGAGAAGAAGCAGAAAAAGAATGATGAAACGGATACGGAGAAGGTGACGGAGATTGACATTGGTATCAACGGCCCCTTCGGTGCTCCCGCCCAGAGGTTCTACGACTTTACGCATTCGATTGTTGTCGGTGGTGGTATTGGAGTCACGCCATTTTCGGGCATTCTGGCGGATCTGCAGGTGAGTAATGGCGTTGACAAATTTCTTCGTCCGTGTATAGACTGTTAACCCATTCCCTAGGCCAAAGACGATGCCGCACACGGCGGACCAGGTGGACAAAGGAAGCTCCCCCTGGGCCCGGGCTCGGCGAGATCCCACAGTGGCGACATCCTCAGCAACCAGCAGGACGACAGCGAAAGCGATCGAGCGGACACCACTGCACGGAATACAGCAGAGCCGGATTCCAGTGATCATACAATCGTCCCGCCAGCCGGCAACCTGATTCACAACGCCCCGGCCCAGACGGACGGCATCGCCCATGACAATCACCGCCACTCCTCCACTCGCAAACCCGGTACCTCTCCCTCTTCTTCTTCTTCTTCCCCGCACGGCCCGACGTACGCCAACGACTACCGCCGCGTCGACTTCCACTGGATGGTCCGGGACCGGAACCAGCTGCTCTGGTTCTCGGACCTGCTCAACGCGGTCTCGGCGTCGCAGCTCTGGCACGCCAAGCACCAGGACACGCACCACGGCAGGCACCTCGACATCAACATCCACACGCACGTCACGCAGAAGCGGCAGGGCATCGCGACGCACGTGTACCGCTGGCTGCTCGAGATGCACCGCACCGAGAAGCACCCGGAGTCGCCGCTCACGGGGCTCATCAACGCGACCAACTTTGGCCGGCCCGACTTCACGAGGATCCTGGAGGAGCATTACGACGAGGTGCGCGCTTTCAAGGCCCGCCGGACCAAAGATGCTGCCGCCGCCGCCGCCGCTGCTGTTCCCAGGGGCAGAAAAAATGCAAGGGGGCAGCAGTCAAGCAGGGCCGGTGCTGGTCGCGATGATGGCTCCGGCGATGCTCACGACGACGACGACGAAGAGGTCAAGGTTGGCGTGTTCTTCTGTGGGACTCCCGTTGTGGGCGAGATCCTGGCGGACAAGTGCTCGGCGCTGAGCGCTCGTGGGCGGGCGGACGGGAGCAAGATTGAGTATCACTTCATGATGGAGGTGTTTGGATGAGTAATGACTGGCGCTCCAAGTTGCATGGAGGCCAGGGTGTGTGTGTGTGCCTCCTGCTGCCTGTGTCTAATGCACAGCCCGTTTCGTAGATGTAGTTGTGCTTAAACAACGGATAAATCCGCACATTTTCAAAGGGCCGCAAGTATTGCCACACAGGTTGCGGCAACCCTTGGCTGTTTACGCTTCTGAGGTCGGTCGCTCCTCCTGCCTGCATGTTCAGGGCTTTCAAGGAGGAGCGGCCTTGTTCCGCAACACCATGCAAGTCTCCATCTCTCCACACACATACACATGCCGAGGTGGTAGATCTCCACAACCAACAAGACTGGGGTGGAGCTTAGCTCTCCATTCCCCCGCACATGCAGGGGGTATCTCATGCTTGAACATGGGGGATGCGGAATCACTCCGTCCCTTCTCTTTTCTTTCTCGCGTACGCATCCGTCGCATTCCTCGCATGTGACGAGTCGAGTCCTAGCGTTATTAGTCTCGGTCGGGCAGATAAAAAAAGAGGGCTGATCCCGTGTCCAGCCAGGCTCAGTGTCATATTGGTTAGCCTTTTTAAGTTCCCGAGAGAAAACAACTGCACGAATTCACACGTCAACACCAATTAATTGACTCCAGGCTTCCTATTCTTTCTCCTTTGGTCCATCGAGCCACAAGGTACTGGGATCAATTCGCAGCAGCCACTTACTTGGGAAATCTGCTGTGAAATAACAGAACATTGGAGCATCAGCCTCCAACTGTGTCAGAATCAAACCGTCATCCTGTGATTTCAAACAAAGAAGCATGGCGTCGTCAACATCGGCAAATCCCACAGGGAAAGCCATCGCCCCGTCGTCTTCGACGGCGGGCTTCTTTCAGGCCCTCCCCGTGCTGGAGCCACAGTTCACGCTGCCCAGCAAGGTGTCATCTACTACTACTACCACCACCACCACCACCACCACGGCAGCAGCACAAACACTGTCCGACGACCCAGTCCTCGCCCGCATCCTGGCGCTCTACCTGCCCCCCTCCGCCCAGGAGTCCGTCGGCGCAAGCCTTCATGACCTCTCGCGCCTCGTGCTCACCCCACAAGTCCTCCAGCACGCCGTGGACGCCGAGACGAACCCGCCGACGCTGCAGCCGCTCAACACTTTTGGCCAGGTCAACGCCGTGGACCCGCTGCGCACCAGCGAAGGGTGGCGCGGGCTCAAGCGGATCGGCGTGCGGCAGGGCGTGGTGTCGCGGGTGTACGCGCCCCAGAATGCCCGGGCGCACAACCGCCGGATCGACCAGTTCGCCGTCGGCCATGCGTGGAGCCACACGTCGACGATGACCGGGTGTCCCATGACCATGACGGATGGGGCTGCCACGCTGGTGGCAAAATCCCTGCGAGAGATGGAAGAGGGTGGGCAGTCCGCACCGGCAGAGGAGTCTGAGGAGGAGCGGAGAGTGAAGAGGGACGTTTTCATGGAGGCCTACCGGCGATTGACGTCCGATCGGCCGTCCGAGAGCTGGACGAGCGGGCAGTGGATGACGGAGAGGTCGGGCGGGTCTGATGTTCGCGGCACAGAAACCGTGGCCCGCAGGCTGACGGGGGAGGAGCTCCAAGCCGAGAAGCAAGGACGAGGACGACCCCAGCTTGATGCTTCTGGCAGACCGCTAGGCCCGTGGCGCATCGATGGGTTCAAGTGGTTCAGCAGCGCCACGGACTCGGATATGACGATGCTCCTGGCGCAGACGGGCAAGGGCCTGAGTGCGTTCATGGTGCCCATGAGGCGCCAGTCCTCGACAGGCCGTGGCGAGACTGAACTCAACGGCATCCGAATCCAGCGGCTCAAGAACAAAATGGGCACCAAGGCAGTGCCGACGGCGGAGCTCGAGCTCGTTGGTAGCCGAGGCTGGCTTGTTGGGGAGGAGGGCAAGGGCGTCAAGCAAATCTCGGTCATTCTCAACATCACGAGGCTTCACACTGCCATGGGCAGCATCTCGTACTGGTCTCGTGGGCTTGCCGTGTGTCGGGCATACTCCAAGATCCGAAGAATCCGGGGCAGCACACTGCTCACAGACAACTCGCAGCATGTCGCCTGGATGGCTGGCGAGACGGTCAAATACTGGGCGTGCACGCAGCTGACCTTCTTCGGCGCCGCTCTCATGGGCTGTGTCGAGCAAGGACGGCAGGTCATGAACGTTACACCTGCTGGTGCTTCTTCCGGGCTGATTCCCCAGGACCCGAGTCACATTGCTGACCTGCTGAGGTTGTTGACGCCCGTCATCAAGGCGCAGGTCAGCATGGCTGCGGTGAGTGGGCTACGGTCTTGCATGGAGTGCCTGGGTGGCGTGGGATATTGTGAGAACCACGAAGACGGCGGCATCCTCAACATTGCCAAGCTGTTCCGCGACTCGGTAGTCAACACAATCTGGGAGGGCACTGGTAGTGTCATGGCGGACGATGTTGGGCGGGTTCTCAGGGATAAGCGGATTGCGGGTGGAAGGATCATTGAGGATGTCTTCGCCAGATGGGTGCGGACCTGTTTGTCTGCCCAAGACTCAGGGGACAGGGAAGCATTCAAACTCGAGACGTTGGTTGTGGACGAGAGGCTGGAGGTTCTTCTCGGCCTTGTCGCAGCGGTCAAGAAGGACCCTGGCGAGCTCGAGTACCGCGGCAGGGATCTGCTCGAGCATCTCGAAGTCCTCACCAGCGCAGTTGTCCTCCTGTGGGATGCTCAGACGGATAAGGACGAGGTGGCAGGCCATATTGCCACCCAGTATGTCTGGTCGAGAGTTGTGGTGGCTCAGAGTTGTTATGCCAGGCCGAGTTCAGACTGGAAGACGTCGGCCGCGATCGATCGCATGATATTCCTGGGTAGTGGCTACTCATCCCCGAGCAAGAGCGCCCGGGAGAAGCTGTAGTTGATGCCATCACTTATCCCCAAAATAGCGTAAAGCTAGACTCCGGGTATTTGGCATGTGTAGCAGTAGCTTGTCAGGACTCGCTCCAGTTGTTCATTGCAGCTTTAAATAGGTGTGCAAGTCGCACTGGACAAACAGGAGGCCCACCAAGAGCACCCTTTGACCCTGAGACCCCTCCCTTGTCCACTGAAGACCCTGCCAGCTGGATGCAGTTTAGCGCCTGCGGGAAGAAGCAATTAATTGACACAGCGACCCACCGTCGCGTCTCCCAGCACGCCTGGCGCATTGTGGCCGCTCCTTCCTCCACCTCCTGCAACTGCTCGAGCAATGACGTCCTGCGATCTTGTCCTATGCCCCTCACTGTCTGATCACGACCATCTGCCCGAAGTTGTGTATCGTTCAAAAAGATGTGTCTAGGGCCCTTACCCTGTACGACATAGCATGTTTACTCCGACCGACAACCCGACCAGCGACTCTCCTGGCACTGTCGGAATAGTGCGTGCTCTCCACGACTGTCTTTACAACTACGATAAATGGCAGGCAGATGGCTGCCTCTATGCTCCGACAATCTTAGGAGACGGCTTCGCGCGCTCCAAAGCTGACTTGCCACCGGTCTGGATCGGTTTTGGACCCCTCTCCGTGCTTCAACAACGATATGCTCAAGGAAGGCTTGGCGATTTCACCGGTGAACTCCCACCGCTTCCGCCTTTTCAGGGTGAGCGGCCGCTACCGTCTTCGGCCAACAGCAAAACAGCGTCTGTGACTGCCAAGCTGGAGTCAACCTCGCCGCGACTGCCAGTCACCTATCCCGCCTTGCCACCATGCTCTTCCCCCATGGAGAGCAGATCAGCCCGCAAGAGGTCTGTTCTCGCAGGTGTGGCATCCAGTCCATTGTCCAAGAAGCAGAAGTCAGATCCTGCCGAGCTCACATCCATGTTGTCTCAGCCGACCACGGGATTGGGCGGCCACGCCACTTGCTTGCCGATCTCTCGTATCAGCCATACAGAGAAGCACAAACTCCAGCGCATCGCAAACGAGCTGGCCGTGCAGGCACTCAAAATTGAGCGGGAGAGGCTGCTGGCTGCATATCATGAATCTGGCTTTTACCCCTCGCACTCATACGAAGTGATGTTTCACCTTCACGAGGGTCGAGGCTGCCCGACACAAAGCGAGGACGTCAAGCCCTACATGCGCGATCCCAAGAAGATCGTTGGCTTCCTTGCCGAGCAACTTGGTATCGAATACCTAAAACTTCGTCTTCCAGACGTGGGCGGACTGAACTTGGTCTACCATCTTTTGGCCATCATGAAGCATCCACAGCCGCGAATGTCCCCTCTGGACGAACTCGTGGCTAATCAAGCCAACATCCACACTACAAAAGGCACAATGCCCGGGGCCTGGCCGACTTCAACGCCGCAGTCTTCACCACTAATCGCGCTAGACCATACCGCGCCAAAGCAACCCTCTGCGTCCTTTCAGCCAGTGCCTCAGGCGATAGCCGACAATCTCGAAGCTGCAACAGTGCCCAAAGCAACGCCACAGGCCAAGAAGCTGCAGAGCACCAGGCTACCAAGTGAACCAGAGCTCTGTGACGAGCAGGCTGCGCTGGTGGAGCTGATAGCGAGCGGGAGAAACGTCTTCTATACTGGTTCAGCAGGCTGTGGCAAGTCCACGGTGCTCAAGGCGTTTACCAAGCGGCTACAGCAGGAGAACAAAAGAGTGCGAATCCTCGCTCCTACCGGCAGGGCGGCTCTACAGGTCAATGGCTCCACCACATGGACCTTTGCTGGATGGCGGCCTGACCATCACAAACGGCCGCTGGATCAACTCAAGAGTGAAGCGCATGGTCGATTCGTGTGGAAGCGCTTCAAAGAGACGGACGTCATTGTCATCGATGAGATCAGCATGGTCGAAAATCTGCATTTCGAGCGGCTCAATGCAATCCTCAAGGAAGCACGAGGTAACGACCGCGCCTTTGGGGGCATCCAGATGGTCGTAACTGGTGACTTTTGCCAGCTCCCACCAGTCAGACCGTTCCAGCACTGTATCACCTGCGGTCGTGAGCTCGTCCGCAAAGTATATGACGACGGAGTAGTGTACAACTGCGTCCGCCATGGCGAATACCGCGACGAAGACAAGTGGGCCTTCAAAAGCAAGGCCTGGGACGAGTGCCAGTTTGAGCACGTGCACCTTCGCAAGATCCATCGCCAGAGTGATGAGACGTTTATCAAGATCCTGCAGAAGTGCAGGATGGGGGAGCGGCTACTCAAGGAGGAGACCGACCTTCTCATGGATCATAAATGCATGGTGCATCATGCCACCAAGCTGTACGCCACCCGTAACGAGGTCAACGAGGTTAACACCAGGGAGTTCAACAAGCTCAGTGGCCAGAGACTAATCTACTGGTGCCTGGACGAGTTCAAGTGGCAGCAGGAGAAACACCCGCATTTTGCGCGCAAGGGCGCTCGGGACCCACGAGGCAGCCGGCCGCCCGGCCCGCTCCTCGAGCTTAGCGACCATCGCTTCTCAGATTGCGTGGAGCTCAAGAGGGGCATGCTCGTCGTGTTGCTGGTCAATCTGGATCTCGAGGCTGGCCTGTGCAATGGCAGCCAGGGCATCATTTGTGGCTTCGAGCCGTATGATCCCGAGAAGATCCCACGCGTCCGCAAAAGCTCCCGCGAAGAACCACCCGAGAACGAGATCCGCGGCGACTTTGCGCACTTCAAAGCCGCGCAGATCAAGCAGTTCATTACGGACCCGACGGTGGCCAACAAAGTGTGGCCGGTTGTGCGGTTCCACAACGGCCTCAAGCGCATCATCTTTGCCGACTGCTCGATAGCAGAGATTGGCGATGAGCAGCCTTACAGCTTGCTGACCCGCACTCAGATCCCGCTCGCGCCCGCGTGGGCGATGACGATCCACAAGAGCCAGAGTCTGACCTTGGACAGGGTCATTGTGAACCTCTCCAAGGCCTTTGAGGAAGGGCAGGTCTACGTTGCTCTGTCGCGGGCGACGGGCTTGCAGGGGCTGAAAATTGAGGGAGACCGCGAGGGACTCCTTGCTGGACTAGGAGGCAACCGGGAGGTGCAAAAGTTCTTGCGGGACAAATTTGGCGTTTTCAAAGGGTTGGAGTAGGAAAGATTTACGGCAACACGGAACTGAGATACCCCTGATATTTTGTGTACAGCGAGACAGAGAGATAGAAGTTGGGAGAGGAAAAGGCCAGTATAAATGTGGAAATCTTGCGCGATTGGGTTGGTATTTAACTGGCTAGAAAAACAAGAACTGGAGAGTGTCTCGCCATCATCATCAAAAACATCTCGCTTTACCAAAGTTGCAAAACACACTCGCAGGCTAAAACAAAAAGAGAAACGCGCCCAAACGCCAGCTTCTTCGCAAACAGTGCAAGTCCCCTGCCTCTTCCCGTCTACATCATGGTCTTTGGCGTCTCCCAATACGTCGCGTGACCAAAGTCGATCTCGGCGTCGTCCATCTTGATGGCGAGCTGCCAGCGGCCCATGCCGGGCCAAAAGTTCTCGCACCCGGGGATCTGCCCCGCCGTGGTCGTCACCGCGCCCTTCTTGGCGGCCCCTTCCCCTTCCCCACCATCGTCGGCAGTCTGCTTCATGTCGAGCCACCCGATCGACGCATTGCGCGTGGACTGGTTGGGGCCGATCTTGCACCAGCGCTGCGTCCCCGGCAACTCCCCCTGCGAGGCGTCCTGGTTGCCCGGCAAGGGGGGTTGCACGAGGCCAATGTCCATCCCGAGCGCGGAGATCCAGGATAAGGACAAGGGGAAAGAAGGGACGAAGCGCTGCGGGTGGAAGGTGGCGCGGAAGAAGGGCACCGTGGCGGGCTGGGACTCGGAGCCTAGAGACTGGACTGAGGGGTTGGCCGTGTCGTCGGTCGTGTCGTGCGGGAAGACCTCTACTGTCGTCGAGTTGTCGGTCGGGTTGGTGGTGAAGGTGAAGCGGGCGAGGTGCTTGGGGATGTTCCAGTCTGTTTTGTTTTTTTAGTGATCTAGTTTCATGGTTTTGGTTTCTTGGGAGGATAGCAGGTTGGTGTTGATTGTTGTTGTTGTTGTTGTTGTTTGGGGGGAACGCTACTTACTCGTCCGCCCATTCCAGCACGTGTACTTTTGCGAGACGTAGATTCTCGAGATGCGCACGTTCTTCTTGGTCAGGCGCTTGCCCGGGCGTGTGGGGTCGTCGACCTGGTAGTTGTAGTAGCCCGGACAGACAATGAGCTCGTCGTAAGGGCCGACGGGGCTGTCGGTGTAGCGGATGATCTGGAACTGGCTGAGGCCGCCGAGGTGGGCGCCGGTGAGGGCCGGGTCTGCGTACGAGGAGTCGCGCTCGAGCGGGGAGTAGGTGTGCTCGGGCAGGTTGCCGGCCTTGTTGAAGAAGGTGACGACGTAGACGTCGCCCCTAAGCCGCCACGGCGCGGGGACCGGGACGATGGGCTTGGTGGTGTCCAGGGTGGTGGGCATCGTGAGTGAAGGTGAATGTATGGCGTGTGTGGTTTCTGTCTGGTGGCACCAGGTGCTCTGTTTGTGGCCACCTTTGGGTGGTGGTGGTTTTGCGCCGCGGGATCGTGTGCCTTGCCTAGGGAAAGCAGAGAATCGAGAGATGGAGAAAGAGAAAGAGACAGAGACAGAGAGCAGGATGCCAGCAATTGAAGCAAGCACGGCGTGGATGGCGCCAACCTCGACCCTAGAAGATGAGGAGAGCGTGGTGTTGTTGGTGGTGGTGGACGGGACTGGACTTTTGTTGCCGAGAGTCCCTGTCGGCCACGAGTCAAGGGCGGACCCCTGCTGGAGCGCTGGGGGATCAGGGGTGTGCTGACCGGGGGGCTAGCAGGGTTCAGGCGCTGCTGTCACCCAATTCCGGCCAGGCGGTGCGGGGGCGGCCACGCCGTTGTTCAGCACTCGGCCTGGATCCGGCCGCCTCGGGCCTCGGACCATTGGAGGACGAATACCTGGAACACTACCTTATGGTTAATAGTAACATCTCATGGCTGGCGTTGGCTTGCTCCTGTGCTCTGCAGCACACATGACGATGCGACAGTCCCGTCTCTGGCAAGCAACATTACCGTGCTGCTCACGACCGCAGCTGGCAGCCATCAGAAACGAACAGCAGGCAGAGAGAGTCCGTCAGAATCGGGGTCCCAACGAGTCTCGAAGCCGCGGGGCGCTAGAAGGACCCAGACCGGCGATAGCCCTGGAGATCCGTCGAGTTGCAGCACCTCGGCTGGCCCTGGTTGGCTGGACCAAGTCAGTGGCGCTTACTTAAGCCGTCCTAGTCTCCCCACGTGGCTGCAGCCGCAGGCGACCCGGCCCCAGCTCCGAATCCTAGCGAGGATCGTGCCTGCCGTTCGTGTGGTGTGGGCGCCCAAAACGGACAACCAAATTTCGGCATGCCCAACAGAGACACTTGACAACCTTTGTCCTGCTGATTTCTATTCCACGAACCCAAATCCCATTGGACGCTTACAGCTGCAAGGGACGGCACGCACCACTCGGATGTTTGATTCACTCTGCACATTTCCTTCGCACAGTGCAGCAGGAGCTCGCGTCGTCGACGTCTTCGCCCTCTCGATCTATATGTGAAGCGTTCCATAGCTCATTATACTCGCTTAAAATCATCATGGTTCATCTCGTTGGTCTGATTAGATAGACACCTTCCTCGTTGCACCTGAGTCAAGCGCCTAGTCCCAAGTGCCGTTGTATATCTTTTCGACTACAATAACAGAGGCGTAATGCATCGCGATAAACTTGTCATTCGCATCAGCAATGAAATCACTACAAGGTCCGCCATCATGGAAAAGCCAAGTGGTGAGCCCACATCAGCCAGTTTCAATTTTCAGATTGAGAATATTGCTGTCGTGAGGGGTGCTTTTGTCTTTCGTGGGTCCCTCTCCTCCAAGGTGGATGGCAGATACTGTCCTACCACGCTGACTCGGGCTTTGGTAACAGCCCAAAATATGCACTCCGGCTCGACCGTTGCGGCTCGTGTGTTGATGTGTGTCATGCAACTTTCTCACATGGACAAGCGCCATACTGGCCTCACACACCACTTCAGCATCCAGTGTCTCCCGTTTCAACGTTCGAAACATGATCTTGATCGAGTAGAGTATCAGGATGATTTATTCCAAGGCGATACCTCGATAGTCTGTCGCTCATCTCGAGGCCGTCTCAGATGTGCATCTTCACACTCAAAAAAGCTGGGTGTATTTATCACGTGGGCTATCTCCGGCTGCAGGATCTCTGGGTACCTGTCCTCCATATTCGGTGGAAGACAGAAAACCCCCTTTCGGAGAAAGCATCATTGGAGAAATGAGTGTACGGGTTCATATATTTACACGTAGTTGTTGTGTTCTCCTCCTCACAGTCAGATCTCTGTAAAAACAGATTGCTCAAGCTACCTGCCAAATACCCAAGAATATAAATGCCAGAATGGTTGCCTTCTCCTTCACACTTCAGGCCACGGCCGCCGCTCTTGGTCTCTCGTCCGTCATCGTGGCACTACCCACGATTTCCAGGGCCGCCGCGAGCGATACCATCACCGCCAACAACTGGGGCCGAGAATGGGAATTCAACTTCGATCCCAAGGCCGCGATCCGACGCGCAGGTATGCCCAAAGGCAGAGTCAAGACCATTGAGATCCCGCTCAACGACGACCACCACCACACCGCGCCAAGCGAGGAGATGATCACGGCACCGCCATTGAAGGCGGCGAGATCCGTCAACACTTCAGCTCTGTACGCACGCTCGGTCAACGGCGTCCGCAACTTCGACATTGTTCATCCGTACGACCGCATTGGCCGCGTGGAATGGGGCAACGGCGTGTACTGTACCGGGTCACTGGTGGGATCTAACCTTGTCTTGACAGCGCGGCACTGCATCCCCGACAACATGGATCCAGTCTCGTTTGTCCCCTTTGCTGAAACTGAGATTGATTCCTCAGTTGCATATTGGGTAAATCTAGTAAAGGGGGCATTCGCGATATAATCCGTGTCGCTGTTATTACCCCCCTCCCTTCCTTTCATAAGCACGAAGTCAGGTAATCATGGAATAAAAGACTGACAAAAAGACGACACACACACAGTCAACCTCCTACGCCCTGCCCAAGGCCACCAACAACACAAACTGCGAAAACGTCGACGACTGGGCCATCATCCGCCTGGCCGACCGCATCGGCGACGCGCTGGGCTTCTTCGGCGCCAGCCCTGTAGACCCGCGCCTGCGCGACGACCCCCGGCTCGCGGTCTGCGGGTACCCGGGCAGCATCGACGGCGGGCGCAACCTGTACTGCCACCGCGGGGTGAGCTTCCACAAGTACGACGCGCGGTGCGAGCGACCGGGTTTGACGGTGACGGGGCCGGAGCAGAGACCTGGTTTGCATGCGGATGCGGCGCTCGCGGGAGGGGAGTCTGGCTCGGCGCTGTGGTTTCAGCAGGCTCGGGGTGGTGGTGGTGGTGGTGGTGAGGCAGAGGAGGATGAGGATGAGGGTTTGGCGGAGTATGTTATGGGTGTAGCGTCGGTGGTTTATGGTGTTGGTCAGGGTGAGGAGAAGGAGACGGTGAGTATCTTTGCTGGGAGCTTGGGGATGGTTAATGCTATTATTGGGGAGCGCGAAAGGGATGATTAGGGCTCAGCGCCGGTGATGGAGATGGGGTGGCTGAGGGTCTAGAAGCCAGGCTTTGCAAAGGTTGACGTTTTCAGGGCCTTGGATGTGTTTGAATGGTGATTTAGCTCTATTGCTGTTGAATTCTTTTTTATTCCCTTCGTACTGTCCTATAAATATTGGTGGCGGTCTCGTGTGCGTTTATGATATCTAGGCGGGGTTTCACTTTCGATCTGGAAGAATACATGATCATGCATGGTGAAGAATGCTCAGCCATGGGCATGATAGAAGCATTGCTAGTTAAACGGTATCGACAACGGCCTTGCATCAATTTGGCTCTACAGACAAACCTTCCCTCAAAACAGTTTCGCACCACCCCCTGGCCGTTTGATATTTTAAGGATACTTACCATAAGGTAGTTTACAAGATCACATTGTATCGACTCTTCATCAGCGTTGACCCTCGGTGCTGGACCAGGGTCTTCATCAAGTGACCCATGTATATTGTTCAACAGTAGAGTCAGCTTCGATGTCAACGAGTGGTAGTTTACATACGATATGGATGGGGGCCCTTCAGGAGCTGGCGTCATCATTGAAGTCGGATGCGCATGCAGCTTACATGCAGATTCCGCCCAGACCAGAAGCGGGCCTGAAACCTGTAGATCACTTGCTGTCAAGCTTGACCTTGCCTACAATTTGTGACTGAGTTGAGCCGTGGGAAATCCTACTTGGGAGAGAGACTGACCAAACAACAACAACAGGCACCAAAGAAGATCGGTCTCGACACCAGAGAGTACGCTGAGATCGAGTACTCGAACAGGTTTCTTTACAAGCAAAGCTATACACTGCCCGACCCGGAAGAACAGCTACAAGCCATATGAGTTGCACCACGTCAAAAATGAATCTGGCCCTGGCGAAATTCCGCTACGAGGAATGAGTCGAACTCCATGGTCAAAACTCCGCTCGGCATCTATTAGATTCTAAGCTCTGCGGTAAGTGCCATCTATGGTATAGTCCTTCTTCGGACCATTGACGGTATATGCGAGACGCCAGTCTTTCAAGTTTACAGCGCCGAAGTTGAACTCGTACTTGACGTTGTACATGTCATCAATGCAAAGATGAGCAGCCTTGGCGTGCCAGCATTTGTGGGCACTGCTTGGCTGCTTGTCCGGAACCAGGAACTCGACATCGTGAAAGAGGTAGTCTGCCCGCGAGTTGTCGTCTGTCCTGGCAAACCATACACTCAGGGTGTCGGTTGCGTCGTTGAAACGCCAAATGTACCGCCGGGTAGCACGGAATTTCATGCCGTTGGAGGCGGTGAAGTCGCCGTCCTCAATGTAGAGATATTCCATCCCAGGGTCGGACTCTTTGTCCAGACTTCGGCCATCAGCAGTGCCTTCTCGCAAGAGGAACTTGGCAACCCCAACAAAGCGGCCGCTAGGGTGGGAAGGTAATTTGGAGATGAGGTCGCGCTCGAGAATCCAGTCTCCCAACAATGACCGAAAGACCGCATGCGCCACGAACTTGGCTTTTGTGAGGCCACCGAGGGCTGCCTCGTTGGTTGATGCAAGATTCTTGTCAACTTCGTCCTGTTGTTCCCGGGACAGGCCCGGCATGACATATCGCGCAGGTGTCAGGATGTCCATGGCCTTTCCCTCAGGCAGCTCGGGAGTTGGCAGGGGTTCGGATATCTGAATGCCAAGAGCATTTCCGAATTCCTGCATGATAAAAGGATAGTCGCCCGTTGGGAACTGGGCAGTCCTTGGGTCGGACCTCAAATGCAGGATATGCTCAATGCTCTTGTCTTGGTCCAATGTATCCTCAAGAGACGCTTTTGCCTCTGAGCCAAGAAGCATCTGGGCCACGAATCTCGCCTGCATTTCCATCACGCCCCAGTATGGCGACCTGTAAAACCCTACAAAGCCCAAGCTTGGGAAGGTGGGATGATGTGTGCCATGGAAAGCAAGCGCAGCAGGTAGGTTGACGTTTGAAGGGTCGAATGAGATGGCTTCCTGGACTGCAGAGGGTAGAAAAGAGATCGAAGCCGCTGGGTCAAATCCAGTTGCTAGGATCACGGCTGCGACATCCTCAATCCTCTCACCGCTTGGAGAAATTGTAACTGCAGACCCGGAGACGCCCGAGACTTTGCCTTTGCTCACCTCAATCAGGCCAGACCGGACAAAGTCCAGGTAGTGTTCGCTGACTGCCAGATATGGCGGCGCATCCAATAAGTCGCCCTGAATCGCAGTCTGCGGGGAGAATTCAGATTGATCTGTCCCAAGGACAACCTTGAAGATCCCGTTGGACTGCTGCGCGGCCTCCTCGCTGATGGAGCCCGACTTGTTGGTCAACGGCTTTGGGCGCCCGGCCAGGTTATACGAGGGAAGGTCGCACGGCAAGAAAAAGGGAGCCGCTTCTTTGGGCTGCAGATCCATGTCAGCCCTTGGAGAAGATAACTCTGGGTCGAGATTGTACTTACAGTAGGTGAAGTGAACAGCGGAAGGACCCATGCGGGACGGTGCGCGACATGATGTATCTTGTACTTTTCTGGTTGGGCAATTGGCTTGTCATCAGGCGTGTTGATGGCGGTAGACAAGTGAGTCGCGACAGTGCCAGCAATCTCAATGCCAGACATCTGGCCACCAACGACCAGGATCTTCCCACCCGCCGGCTTGTCTCGTGGTAGAAGGTCTTGCAGGGTCCTATATCTGCTGCTGTGAATGATGGGCACATCATTCTTCCTGGGTATATCTTCTGGCCAGATCGGCTGGCCGAAGAAGCCCGTCGAGACGATGAGACAGTCAAACACGCTCGTCTCCACGCCTTTCTCGGAGCTGGTCTGTATCTCCCATGACCCACCAGTCTTGACCTCGGTTGCCACGACTTTGTGACCAAGTCGCAGATCAGCAGCCTGGAGATAACGTTGTCGATATCGCTCGAGATACTGTCCGACCTGCCAGGCGCGGGGGAGCTGCGGTGCGGAAGGCTCCCATGCCAGGTCGCTGAACTGGACTGTGTGTTTGCTCTGATTCGCGACCATGAGCGGGTGCACGAGCCCGCCATTGTCTGTCTTGGAGGCAGGCCACAGGCCGCCTATGCGGCTCTGGCTGTCGAAGATGGTGACTTTGAAAGTCCCTGGGCCGACATCATGCAGTAAAGATTTGGCTGCGACGAGCCCCGAAGGGCCGGCACCTAGGACGGACTGTGAGCATGACCGACTCGACGATGGTGCGGCAGGGAAGGGCAAGGTTTAGGCGGGAGCATACCAATGATGCAAACAGACTTGGTCATTTCTGTGTTCAAAGGAGTGATGATGAGGGAAGAGACCTCTAGCCTAGCAAAACGGAATGTGTCCCTGGGATGGTGCACATATAATGCGAGAGCGAGCCACAGCAGCAGCGAGGTGTAAGCGAACCAGATGGCTTGAGAAGTGTTTGCTGCTGAGTGAGCGCCGCTGAACGTTGGTCAGGGACGATAGAGCCGCAGGTGCCGATGCACAGCGTTTGTCGTGCCCCACCACGGGCAGGCTGCAAGCAGCTCAGGTACGCTACATACGCTAAGTACGTTCTTAAGGTAGGCGTCTGCATGATTACGAATATGGGGGGTTGCTTTCCCACACAGGCTATTGCAATTGTTGAGCCTGCAGTGGTGAGACCGGGTCATAGAATCACTGCCTATCTCGAGCCATACCAAGCTAGCATTCTATATGTGACGTGCTCTTGCCACATGTTGAAACATTGTTCCGTGAGATTGGAAGTGACACCAATCAAGACATTGCAGGCACCTGCCTGTGTGGATCCTCTAGAACCGAAGAATTATTATTCTTTGACTGTCAGAACGAGTGAGAATCTAGGTAGCAGTCGAGATGCAGGCAGACCCCGCATCCTGTGCGTCAAGTGCCCCGCACCCCAGCGCTGGAGCTGTCCTGCAGTCCATGTCCCAACGTGCAGATGTGCAATAGTACGTGCTTGGATCGCTGAAAGGCTGTATCAATGAGAACGGGACGACCTGAAGCTATAAAATATGGCAGAATGTACTCATCTTTTGGTCGCCTTGTGTCCGTAAGCCGGCCCAGCCTCGACAAGGCCCTCTAGTCAAGACGACGGCGTGGTCTGAAATTCGCATCCGCTCACAAAATCGCTCCCACTCTTCATTCTCGTTGACCTTGCGTGAGTGGCTTTTATGGGAAAGAGGAGCTGGTGCCTCGTCTTGAGCAAGAAAACCAGGGTGAGACAGCTGTGAAGATCCTGTCTCGCCGAGCACATGCAATGTGCTTCTTGTCTCGTACGAGCCAAGAGGGCGTGCCTGCCAATCGATGCGGCTTCCGGCAACGCTGCTTGCGTGCAACAACCTTGGAACCACTGGGCGCCCAGCTCAATAAGCTCGCCTTGAGGCAACCCCTCTCCTGGTGTACTTGATAGCAAAACTCGAGTTCTTCCCTCGGCCATCTAACAACACATTCCTGACATTATCCCACTGGCTTGAATCTGGCCACACTCACCTGCCTCCAAACCAGCATCAATATCTCTCCATCTCATCATTGTTACTGATATACACCAAGGCCATCATGCCTCAGCTTGCCGTCTTCTCCGCAAAGCCATATGACAGGCTCTACCTCACATCTGGCAGGGCTTCAGAATTGCTCGAGTCCTCAACCTCTGGCGCCCTTGAGATTGTACACCATGAGTTCGCCCTGTCAGTAGACACCGTCAGCGCCTTGCACAAGGACACCCTTGCTGTCTGTGTCTTCGTCAACGACACGGTGGACGCCGCCGTGCTGGGCGCCCTCTCGGAACACGGAGTCAAGGCCGTCCTTCTTCGTTGTGCGGGCTTCAACAACGTCGATCTCAAGACTGCCGAACAGCTTGGACTGCATGTCGCAAATGTCCCTGCGTACTCGCCCGAAGCGGTCGCCGAGTTTGCCGTGGCTCTCATCCAGACTCTGAACCGCAACACGCACAGGGCTTATAACCGTGTCCGCGAGGCCAACTTTAACCTCGCCGGCCTCCTGGGCAAGACCCTGCGCGGCAAGACAGTGGGTGTCATCGGCACAGGACGTATCGGCGTCGCGTTTGCAAAGATCATGGGTGCCGGCTTCGGATGTCGTATTGTGGCGTTTGATCCTTTCGAGAACGACGAGCTCAAGAAGTACGGGGAGTACGTCAAGGAGCTTGATGAGCTACTTCCTCAATGCGACATCATCAGCTTGCATTGCCCCTTGATGGACAACACAAAGCATATCATGAACAAAAGCACGCTGCAGAAAATGAAGACCGGCGCGATATTGGTCAACACGTCTCGCGGGGGACTGATCGACACCAAGGCTGTCATTGCGTCCCTGAAGAGCCGCAAACTAGGTGGTCTGGCCCTGGACGTGTACGAGGGCGAGGGAGGTCTGTTCTACCACGACCACTCTGGGACCATCATAGAAGACGACGAACTCATGCGGTTGACCACATTTCACAACGTGCTCGTATGTGGCCACCAAGCCTTTTTCACAGAAGAAGCCCTGCGAGAAATCGCCGACTGCACGATCAAGAACATGGCCGAGTTCGTCAGTGGTGGGGATTGTAGCCATGCCTTGGTGGGCAAGCCGCAAAGGAAACACTCGATTCCGCTCAGAACATGAATGATCCCTGAACGGCAAAATTGATTCTACAAGATACTAGCATGACTTTCGTAGTCGTATTCTTACTCCGTAGTCATCTCCTACTCAAAAGTCAATCTTCAGTAGTAATACCTGAAAGTGACGGCACGATCGCCCTTCTCCGATAACTCAGCTGAGGAGAGCTCATTGCCGGCTCCCTCTGCCAGACGCTTTGCCCGTTTCTTGTTGATGCCAGTGTATGCCACCACCATGACCGACGCCGAGATGATGCCGGCGCAGATGAAGCCGATCTCGAGAGCGTGACCGAGGATGTACCTTGGCTTGTCAGTCGCGCGGTAAAAGTTCGACGCCATCGCACCGCCCAAGTTGCCGACGCCAATCTGGATGGCCATGCCCGCACTCCGCTTGTAGCTCCCCGCGAGGTTGTTTGACAGCCATGTGATCACGCCTGGGAAGGCAGGGTAGATTGAGCATGCAGCAATGAAGACGCCCGCGTACACGACACCCGGCGTTGAAGAGGCGATACACCTGTTTCGGGCAGAAGCAAAAAAAAGGTCAGCACGAAGAAGAAGTAAAAATGAAACAAGCTCACTAAGATCGCACAGGGAAACGGCAGCAAAGCGTCAGTGAAAGAATAATATGAGGAAGAACCCACATGGCAAACCCGACAAGCATGGTACACAAGAACCCGATGATAAAAGGGCTGCGCTTGCCGACGCGGTCAGAGAACCACGCGACGATGACGGCAATGATGGCGGCGGTGATGTAGATCGGCACGGTGAGCAGCTGGGCGGTGCTCGAGGTGTAGCCGAGCTGGAGGATGATGGTGGGGAGGAAAAGGCTGATGCCGTAGAGGGGGCAGACGATCTATTTGATATATCCCAGGCTTTTCGTCAGCAAAGAGTTTTCTTGGTGGCTCACAGTGTCACTGTCACGAGGCGAGTATTGCTCTGATATGGGGGAGAGAAGAAGGACAGGTGTCGAGGACTTACACCCCAATAGACGATGATGGAGGCCCAGATCTGCCAGTCCTTGAAGGCGTCCCAGACGTACTTCCACTGGAACTCCTCGGCCTCGGCGACCCTGTTGACCCTGACTTCTTCGCCTTCGTTGTTGCTGCTGTTGTTGACTTTGCCATTCTGCTGTTGGCCCTGGTACTTGAGGCGGAAGACCACAAACGCACGCTCCTCCTCGGTCAAGAAGGTGGCTGTCTCTGGGAAGTCATGCATGACGAAGAATGCCATGATCGCGACGAGGATCTAGTTGCCGTGGCGAAGCCTCATATTAGCCACATTCTCGAATAACAGTCAATCTGGTGTGTTGCAAGTGTTTGATGCTGGCTCACAGTGAGAATGCCTTCGAGGATGAAGATCCACCGCCAACCTTCGAGACCGCCCACACCTTGCATTTTGGCAATGCCGAATGCCAGGAGACCACTGAAGGCACCGGCAATGGAGGCGGCCGAAAAGAACAATGCCTGGCGGAGCTGGATCTCGTGGCGGCAGTACCACATTGTCAAGTAGTACTATATATATCACGCTCGGCCATCAGTACCATTCGCTGGAGAGAGATGCAAGTCACAGGACTGGGGGCAGGTACGACGCACCGCGCAACCCGGGAACAGTCCCGCCTCCGTGATACCCAGAAAGATCCGGGCAATCAGCAAACCCTTAAAGTCCCGCACAATGCCCATCAACGTCATGACGATGCCCCATGCGACCATGATCGAAGGGAGCCAGCGACTGGGGCGGAGCTTTTTGAGGAGTAGGTTCGAAGGCAATTCGAACAAGCAATAGAAAAAGAAGAAGACGGTGAGGCACCAGTTATACTGCCATCCTGCGAGTCCGAGATCTTCAGACAAGCCCTGGATGTTGGCGTTGCCAATGTTTCCACGGTCCAGGAACGACATGAGGTACAGTAGCGCGAGTATGGGGACGAGACGGAGGTCCATCTAGTAGCAGTGTTTGGGTCAGTTTCTGGCTCGCTTACCGGCCCGGCTTGTCCTTGGGAGAGGGCGAAAAGAAAGGACAAAGCAAGGAAAATAAAGAAGACAGAGTAGCCAGTACTGTGGAATACCAGGCACCTCTATCTTACCTTTCGGAGCACCTTCTTCTCGTCAATATGTTTGAAGGACTCAATTGTTGTTTCAGGGCTTATTGTCGGGCCATCTGCCCCTCGGATGCCGTCATGCCGACCATGGCGAGGAGCTCTGGCAGATTCAAAATGATCCGCCACGGGCAGTTTCTCCCCATTGGTTCCCTCCTGAGGTGTCATGATTGTCTCGTGGCGTGTGAATATCTGTCGAGATAGGAAACAAAACAAGAGTTTGTTGTTGTTGCAGGTAGTCTTGTCGTACAGACGCTGAGAAAAAGGAAACGTCGACAGCGATATCTACGTCAGACGATCAATGACGATCCTGGTCCCTGCCATTTCCCCTCTTCTATAGGTACTATTTAAACTGCCGATCTTCAGCTCGCGACACGTCGACATCATCGAATAAGTTGGCCTGTCTGGGGAAGACATTTGCGGGGGAATCCACTTCGAACAGGGGTGGCTGTCAAGCTTTCCCCTCTCCACGAGTTTTGGGGCGGAAGAACTCCGCCCTCGCTTGTCGATCATCTCGCTTATGTAGTCTTGGCAGACTTTGGAGATGTTGTCTTGATGAGCATAACGCCCACTTCCAACAGTTGTTCTTAGACATGATGGCGGTAACCAAGCCTACGTTGCGCGCAGATTCCTTACGCAGCGCCAGCTTGGTCTTGGGCACTGATGAATATCGGCCACTTCCACAAACAACCCACGTGCTGGGAACGCGAGTATTCACGGCAGATTTGCTGGTTTCTCAGCGGCTGGGGCAAGTTGACGTGGGTGGCTCGCACTAGGGGCTTTTAGTGGCATCCCCCATTCGTCTAGCTGCACCAAAAACACGTTTATCTGCCCAGGCTATCTCTGGTTGGTAGGAGGGGGTGGACAATAGATAAGCAGAGCAATCGCGAGGTCGGTATTGAGCAGCGCTCGGTGTCTTGTCGCTTGCAACCGAGGAATTTGTGTATCGCTGCGGGACGGATGCCGAGCTGGCAAGGGCGGAGGTTGCCGGTATCATCTCTGCCAAAATTGACTGAGTCCAAACAGAGGCACTGGTACCCAACTGCGAAGCTCCCTTCCCAATGCCCTGTAAATACTCTTGCCGTTATACCGCTCTGCAATCTCTGTTCTCGAAGTTTCTCGACCATGAGAGATATGCAGTCCTGCAGCTGTCAAAGATGGTTCTCCTTGATAGCACATCTTATTGCTTGCATTGCTACCATTTGATCATCTTGGGGCGATGGGTGACGGACATGGATCCGTCCCTGAAGATCATTCAAGTCCCTGGACAAATCGACTTGTGGTTCAACAACGGGACGGAGGCCGGCACGCTGACCGACAAGGTGAGCAAAAAGACCGCAGCGCCTATCTCTCAGAGCACAAACATGGGCTGTGTTGCCGGTGTCAGGCCCGGGAACGAAGCACACAGCGGCGCCCCTTTTGGCCTCAAGCTTGCTGACCCAAACATTATTCTTTCCCAAGATGCTCCACAAAGACGGGCAGCCGCTCATGGACGCTGCGTTTCTTTGCAATTTCTGAGCACGAGCCAATCTGGCCGACATCGCAATCGAGCGTTGCTGCATGCTAAACCATTTGAGGTGTGATCTGCTTGCTCCAGACTCCATGTCTCACACTTGATTGATTGCCGCCCATGCCTTTTACCCAGCTTCCCCGGATCTGTTCTGTGTACAGGCCAGCATGGGACGACCCGCTCTCTATCTTCAACATGCGCACAGACTTGCACCGGCGGGTGGTCCGTGGACGTCCATCTGCACGACGACGGTTTCAGGCCCCATTGAGTGTGGTTGACAATCTCTGTGGCATCCGTCTGTTTCCGGTGACTCTTTTTTTCCACTGTATCGGCGGACAAACAAGAACTTCTCTTTCCCCTGTTGCACACTTCAAGAGGAATGAAAGAGTTGTCTCGGAGGGGAAACCTCGACATGTTCAATTTGTCAGAACGGAGCTAATTCTTACAGGGGACCTTCGGCCGCCGAAACAGTACCATGCATCAACAAGGTTTGTCACGGCTGGGACGGCAACAACCAGGAATGGCAACCACAAAGGATGCTTGTGCCTTGGAATCAGCTGTTCTGAGAGGCGCTCTGCAACAGGTTAAGCGAAGCGACTCGTTTACTACTGGCTGGTATTACCCTGCGTTCAAGGGCGCAGCATGCAATAGAAGGTGGCTCACAACCTTCGTTCAGCTCGCCCCTGCCAAGCAGTGATCCAGCATCTCCCCCCGCCATTGTTGCATGATTGATTGAACAATGTGTCCAGAACTAGAAAATGATCCAGGCGCCTTGCCCTGCCGGTGAGGTGCAATCCGAGGAGCGATTGTGGCGCCGCCTCCGGACTTCCCCACGGACTAGATGAACGGGAGCGGCGCCCCCCTGCCGGCAATTCGGCCACGCCACGCCAGCACAACATGACCCTTTATTGCAGCACATATGCCGGGCATCGGCACACTTCAGCAGCCTCATGTCCTGCATGGCGCGAACACAGTCGTCGGAAGCAGTCCCCTCTGGAGCAGCATGCCTTGATGCGGAGTGTCGGTGATGCCCTACGTTTGCTGGCCGGATTTGGCGGGAGAGGCCCTCTTTGCAGGCAAGCACCAAAAGGGGGTTCGATAGCTCAAAGGGACGACGACACTTTGCCTTAGTCCTTGACCAACGGAAAGGTAGTGATTGTGCCACGTCGTTTCGCGGCGGCTCCGTCAGCCAACCCGACTTACATGGTCACCATGTCGTAGCACCCTTTCCAGACTAGCCTCATGGCACCGTCTCCAGGACGATTGCACATCCGGTGTGCGCGAGGTCACGAAGTCCGGACGGCCTACCAGGATGCCAACCTTGGCGCAAATGTCAGGCTTGCCCCTGCCGATGCCTGCCATCGGCCAGGCTTCGGTCTATCGCCTGCTACTCAAGGCGTGGGCCCCTCTGGTTGTTGTCAGGATCTCCATATAAGCGTCAGTCTGCCTCATGCCGTAGCTCGTTCCTCCCTTTGTCTTCTCATCAGGGTTCATTTTATGATACCAATCTTCTTTACCACTTGTACCTGGAGTCAAGTGCGAGAACTCACACCCAGCAACAATGGAGGGCCTCCGTATCATCATATTCTACTTGGCCGTGCCGAGTCTGTTGTTCTCGGCCATCGGACAGATCCTGTCGTGGAGAAAGAGGGCCCTTGCGCCAAAGAAGGTGTTCCCGGGACCGACGCAATTTCCTGTCGTGGGCCGCGTTCACGACATCAACCGACATGGCTTCTGGAAAGACCTGAAGAGGTGGGCAGACCAGTACGGGCCTGTCTACCGGACCAGTATGATGGGGCAGGAGTTCATCGTCATCTCGGATATCAAGATTGCCGAGGAGATTCTTGTCAAGAGGGGCCACATCTACTCTGGCCGAGCCCAGGTCCGGGCGCTCTACGACCACAAGTCTGGCCCTGCCTATCTGGCTCTGATGGATCGTCATGGTAAAATTGCTTCTCTCCCCGTTCAAGCGTTTCGCGCTTGCATGAGCCGGTTTTCTGACATATCCCCGTGACAGACACTTGGATGCGGCAGCGCAAGTGGGTGCACGCCGCCATGGCCGACTTCCACAGGCAGCACTTCTTTGGCGCCATCGAGAGAGAGACGAAGCGCTTCCTTGCGGTGCTGCTCATGGACCCTGCAAAGTTTCACTCGTATATTCGGGAGCACTCGGGCCGAATCATGGGTCGCCTCGCTTGGGACGACGCCACGCAAGGCAACTACAGCGGGTACAGTGCCGACCGGACTCTGGACCAGATGTCGATCTCGGGCCCGATGGTCAACGTGTTGGAGCCCTTGTGGAAGATCCCCCACGCTCTGAACCCGTGGCGAAAGTACGAGCGCGAGCGCGAAGATACGCAGCGTGCTTGGTGGCTGAACTGCTACAAAGTTGCCAAGAAGCGGTACCTTCAGGGCGACCTCCCCGAGACGACCTGGTGCCACCGCTACTTCAGCGGCCTGCAGAAGCAGGGCAACGTAGAGCTGGTCGAGGAGCTCAAGGACGAGATCTTTGCCAGCTGCATGCTCGGCTTCCAGAACCTCGTGGGTGTCATCACCATCTGCGGGCCCATGCAGTTCTTCTTCATGGCTATGGAGCTCAACCCGGAGTGGCAGAAGAAGGCGCAGGAGGAGATTGACCGTGTCTGTGGTGACCGCATGCCGACCACGGCTGACTCTCCCAACCTCCCAACCGTCCGGGCTTGTCTGAAGGAGGCTCTCCGCTGGCGATCTGGAACACCCCTTGGTAAGATTGACCTGGTTCAGTTTCTTGATGAATTCTAGCTGACCCATGGCAGGCGTGCCTCACCAATGCGAAGAAGACAACATGTGGCGTGGGGAGCTTGTCAAGAAGGGTACCATCATCCTTGCCGTGGAGTGGTAAGTCTGGCATCAACTCGTTATCACGTCACGAGTTTGGACTTCACTGACACTTTTCCCTTCCTAGGAACATCAACCGCGTCCCGGAAATGTACCCAGACCCTGAGAACTACCACCCGGAACGCTACCTGGAGAAGAGCTGGCCGACCTACATGGAGCCGCTGTCGCGCTATCCCAACTTCCGCGAGGGTGTCGGCATGCACACCTTCGGCTTCGGCCGGCGCACCTGTCTCGGCCAGCACATTGTCGATGACGAGATGTTTGTCACCGGCGCGGCCGTGCTGTGGGGGTTCAACCTGTATCGCAAGAAGTGCCCGCTGACCGGGGAGCTCATCGAGTTCGACACCGAGGCGACCAACGCGCACGTCATCCTCGAGACCAAGCCTTTCCCCTGTGGGTTTGAGCCGCGGAGCGCAAAGAGGGCCGAGCAGATCATGGCGCAGTTCGTCGACGTCCAGGGCGAGCTACGTTTCTAAGGACGAGGGAAAACAATGAAATTGGATCGGTGGGCTCTCTTGTTGCAGCACACCCACGCCACCACGCGCACTCTCATTCACATGCGCTGTTGCGTGTGAGACAACCTTTGACGATCAACTTTCGTAGTGGGTATCATTGCTTTTGGGGCGGTGGGCAGGTCTTTGTGTGTGTGTGTTCTGTCTGTGTTACCATTGGCGAACAGCGATCTGGTGCAAGGATACACCTTTGATTGTAATGAACGCGACATGAAATACAAAATATCTCCTCAACAAACCTTGCACGGCTTTGCGCACTAACTTATCCCAAGAGGGCATGAATGCAATGCAGCAAGGGACTGTCATGCAGGAGATCTCCCAAATCTGTGTAGATTCTTGAACAGCTGCGCACTATCCCCAAGACGGCCATGCATGCAATGCAGCAACGGATTGTACTGCAAAAGACCCCTGGACGTCGATGAACTGCCCCAAAAGTTTTCGTCTCAACTTTCCGTCCCAAGTCGCATAAAAGAGCCAATTCAGATGGATGCGAAGAAGGGGCGGTCAGCCTGTAGGCACAACACAGCACAGCTCAGCTCCAGTGGGACGACGGCGGCGCTACCAGGACGACGCCCGAGCCGGGCTTCCCCAACGCCGGAGTCCGCATCGTCTCACCCCCCCTCCCCGTGCCGTGGTGGAGCCCCCTGTGACGTGACTCCGGGAGGCGGGCCGGGTTCAGGGGCCGCATATTTAGGGAAAGCGGGCAACCCCGTATGTTCATCGTGGTCGTGGAGAACGTTGATAGGACCCGATACGACGACGCTCTCCATTTTCGTCTTTTCGCTCCGATGACTTATCATCCTGCGTCCGTCATAGGTACTCATGCTTGCCTCCTCAAAATCATGATTCCCATGATAGTTGGAGAGCTCGCCAGCTATCGTTGCATGGCATTTGAACCATAAACATTGTTGTGGTGCGTCTCCCGTGTTTGCTGCAGTTTCCACATCCGACGACGGGAAACCCCGAAGTGAAGCTGAAACTTCTTCAGCTCTTGTTTGCCCATTGTCACAATTGCCCAAATTCGCCCTCTGGTTTCACATGCCGTCTTTGTGCTCTATCTAGTCTTTGCCCGACACGTCCATCACCTTCTCCCCCACCCGTATGTACCATCACCACTGCCATCTACCTATCTATCTTTCTCTGCTCACTTACTCCCACGCACGCCCTCGACCCAATTCACCGCCCTCCGTTCCCATACTGCATAATCATGCCAAACAGCTGCAAGTCCTGCAGCGCATCGCGCGCCGTGGTCTTGACCTCCTTGCCCTCGACCACAAACTGCCAAAACTCTCTGAGCTCGAGGGTGTACGGGTCCTCGTACGTCTTGCGGATACTCGTCTGCCTCAGAACGCCATCCCCGCCGTTCTCGGTGATGTGCAGCGTCACGGGCAGCGCCTTGACGTACGGCGTGTCGTACTGCACGCGGACAATCTTGTCGGCGCTGTAGACCTCCAGGTGGGCGTCGAACTGCGGGACGTTGATGAGCCCGGACTCGTACGAGATTGTGTAGCCCGAGGCGTGTTTGAAGAGCACGCTGTTTTTTTCGGAACAATGTCCCAGAGGCGGTTAGCGAGAGTGTCGGTGCAGTGCAACAGTAGCAGCTTTTTCCCAGAACCCCCATTGTAACAGATGCAGCGAGAAACCTTGCCGAACTTATCATTCTCATCATCATCATCACATGCTTAAAGAAGATCAGGAAATGCAAAAAAAGGAAAAGGTGAACCTTACTTCCAGACAGGCAGCCCCAGCGCCGCCCCGATCACGCGCTCCGGCATCCCCAGCGCCTCCCGCATGAGGGACAAGTCGTGCGAGCCGAGCCCGCCGAGCACGCGCCACATCCGTGTCGACTCGTCGGTCACGGCGACGCCGCACTCGGCCTCGAGCGCCGTGCGGACCTGCTCCAGGGCGCGGGCGTTCTTGTCAGCCACGTCCCCGGCGGACAAGTCGGTGAACTTGCGCGGGAAGGTGGCCGACTGCGCGACGAATGTCGAGTTGGGGCCGATGATGTCTGTCCCCAACGAAGCGTCCAGAATATGTCAGCAATGGGAAATCGTCGCACATCCACACGCACATCCACACACACACACACACACACACATCCGACAAAAGAAGTGTTTCTAGGACCCGTCCAACAAGAAAGAAAAGAAGAAGAAAAACACTCTGATTAAAAAAAAAAGACTTACCTCGAACCCTCGCGTACAAGATCCTATCTAGCCCTCCAATCTCCCTGACCGCGTCCTCAAAGACGGCCGCATACCGCCGCATATACCCGACCATCACCCTCCCCTTGCCGCCACCCCGAGCAATCTCCTCCTCCTCGGCGCGGATAATGGCCTCGACATCCCTCCGGCACAGCGCGAGCGGCTTCTCGACCAGCACGTGCTTGCCCTGCCGGAGCGCCGCGATGGCGTGGTCCGCGTGGTACTCGTCCGAGCTGGCGACCAGCACCGCGTCGACCTCGGGGCTCGCGCAGAGCTCGGCCGGGTCGCGCGTCGTCTTTACGGGGGACTGGCTCTTGGTGGTGGTGGGGATAGAGGCGGCGTAGTGCTCCAACGCCGCGGGGGAGACGTCGCAGAGGTAGGTGATGCGGAAGTGGCTGCGCATGTAGAGCAAGGTTGGGATGTGGATGACTTGGGCGACCTCGCCGCAGCCGATGAGGCCGATGTTGATGACCCGCGGGGCGCTGGAGGGGTCGGCCATGGTGGTCCTTGGTGTGGTAAATCCGGTTGCTGGCAACTAATTTTATTGTATTTCGTTTCTCACAGTCCCAAGGTTGTCCTTGGTCTCGTTGGATACTTGGTTTGAATATCAAGGCGGAGTCGTGGCGTATTTCATGAAGCGATGTGTTGCAACCGGGGACTGGTGGTTGACACGCAGGCATGCATGCACGCATCCCCCGCATCGCAACAACATCTCCGAGATCGCAGCTCTGCCAGATCTAGAGAGCCCTCAAAACCAAGATTAGCTCGCAGACATTGGACTGCTAACTGTTCGTTGCATCGTACAAGCGCACATCCATCTCTGCAATGTACCCAGCTCTAAATTGTTGGATTGCCGTCACAAAAGTCTAGCCTTGACCTCTGATCCCTCCGGTTGTCTCTAATTGAGGCACCATTCCTTGGTTCCCAGACCCCTCAGAGTCTTAGATTGTGCACCTGCAACAGACACGTAAATTTCCCGAGGATTCTGACATCAGTAGGTGAGAAGCCTCAATGGCACAGACAAGCAGAGATACGCGAGTGTCGAGGGTCCCAACGTGCATGGCTAGAGGAAAACACACACAATGCATTGAGTGCCGAAGCACAATGCTGTCAGGCTTTTCGAAACTTTGTCATCTCAGACAGAATTCGACACCACATCTGTTGGCACTCATTGGCAACGTGGTGGCCAACAATCAGATGAGAATGCCAGGCTGGTTCGACCCAGCCAGTCCCCCGTCGTCAGCACACAACTTAGGCAACACCAGTTTATGTCAAGATAAATGGCGTCATAGTTTAAATTTAGTGGGCTCCGGTATTGGGCCGCGATATTCTCCGCGGGCGGCAGCGGCGCTGAATACTGCAGCCTTGTCCCTTGGCACTCCGATCACCTATCAAGTGGAGAGATCTCTATGCGTCCCGTCTCAAGGCAGCCAATATGGAAGGCCACCACCCCAAATTGAGACAAGAATTTCATCGCAGGCCTGCCACGACGGGCCCAATAACTTGGTGCCTGGTTCACTGTGTAGACATGGACGTGCTATAAAGAGGCATCCGCCATCTTTGTCTCACTTACATTCTGCCGTCGCCGCCTAATGCCCTAGTGCGCACATTGAAACCATCCAGGACCATCACCAGAGATGGCAGATATGTCTCTTCCACCACCACCAGCGGTAGTGTCTCTAACCCAGGGCTACTCCGCACATCCCATCCTTCCCGCCGATGTCCCAGAAATAGCAGAATTCCTTTGCGCCTCGAAGCTCAGTCTCGCCGTCAACAGGCTCCTGTACAAGGACTGGCCGGCCTTCAACGTCCAGAAGGCGCACTACACCGCAGCCTTGCGAGGGCGCGACCCAAACAACAATGGGTGGAAAGTTGTCGAGGACGAAAGTGGTGTTGCTGTCGGGCATTTATTCTTGACGAAATCCGACCCATCAAGTCGCACGGACGGGAGCGGTGATGCGGGCGGGACAGAGAGCGAGGACAAGGTTGCAGCAAGTGCAGGAGAGGTTCCAGGCGGCATGGTGCCCGAGGTATACAGGATGGTGATGGAGACGGTGAAGAACGTCGACGAGCAGAGTGCACTTGCGAATGTTGAGCATCTTCGTGAGTCTATCTCAAACTTCGACCCCCAATATTGTTCAAAGACCCTGATTCCATACAATACCCTCCTCCCCTGGGCGCGAGTAAATGCCCAGGCTTTCGCCTGCCTTTGAGAACAATAGGGTTGCGGACTGTGCCGTCGTCGCTGACTTCTGTATCCGCCACAGGACTCACGCACATCTGGGTCACGCCCTCGCACCGTGGCCGTGGCATCGGAACGAGTCTTATAACGCTTTGCCAGAACAAAGCGAGGGAAACATCTGGTGACGGTCGGCCATTGTTCGTTTCATGTGAGCCACAGCTCGAGCCTTTCCTATCCGGCAAGTGTGGGTTTCAGCATACCGGGCACGCGGATATGGATCTTGCCAGCCACGCCCCGGTGTACTCGGGGTTCGGACCGTTCAGATTGTTTGGGCTGAGGTGGGATGCACCAAAGGATGTGAACTAGGCTGTCCTTGCGTTGCATGCCACGAATCAGTGGCCAGAGCTTGTCTCCAACCGTTCAAAGGGCCGAATCCACTGCTGGTCCGCAGATGGATAGTATCTTGAGCGGCATGGCTGCTGCATAAAACAGTGCCTTTTGCTCGCGCATGGGCTTTGCCTCGAAGCGGACTTCTGTGGTCGTGAAACCGAATCGGTCTATGATGCGGAGTTAGTTTTGCACCAATGCGTGTAGATATCTTCTAGCTAGCCAACAAGCAAACATACTGCACTCTGACAAGAACAGCTCGAACGAGTCTGCTCGCCGAACGACCCCAGCAATGATAACTTCAAGTTGGGGCTGCAGCTTGAGCAGCTCATTCAGCGTGAAAGCAAGGAGCACGACCGCATCCTTGTCATACGTCTTTGGCCGACCAGCCATTAGCCAAGCTTATCCAAGAATCATTTGTTCTCAGGGAAATACTCACGATGTCTGCCCCGAGAACCACATCAAATGGCTCTCGCTGGAACTCCTCCTGCACCCACATCCCGCCAAGTCCTTCTCCCCACCAGAGGACCCTTGCATCAACAGGCAGCCGACAATCGTGTTCGGCATCCGCACTCTCCCCATCGCCAGCACTGTTCAGATCGACATTCTCCCGCAACGCCTCAATAACGTCGCCGTCCCCGTCAGTGCTCAGCACATGCCTAGCCCCAAGAAACTTTGCGCACAGGATTGACAGAAACCCCGTACCAGCACCGAGTTCGAGCACCCGCTTCCCGCGGATATGCTGTTGGCCTCTGCTGGTGAGAAGGTAAGTCGCGAGGTGCATGCAGCCTTCCCAGGTGCGGAAGCCTGTGATCTTGGAACCGACGACGAGGCTGCGCCGTTCGAGGAGGGTGATTGTGGGGTCCTGATCATTTGCGATTTCCGGATCAGAGGTGCTGTCTCGGGCGTGGAGACAAGTGAATGTGATGTATGCTTCTATGTGTTGAGATGACCGGGTTGTGCTGTCTTCCTGGATAGACTTGAGGTGCTCGAGATGGCTTGTGAGACGGCGGTGGACGGCCTGTTTGTGAATGAGCAGTCGGGCCTACGTTTAAATTGTAATGCAAAGATGTTGTTGTTTTGCAATATATCTATGGCACAGCTGTTCCTGGAAAGACACGTACTGAACTGTTTCCAGTGGCTTTCGCTATCCTCTGCACCAAGACATTGAGCACGCAGAGCTGGTACTGGTCGGGGGGGAGAAAGTCATTGCGCGTGGAATCAAAGAGGTGGCGATATAGCCAGGCCTGGACGTCGTCGTTGCGGAGGAGGGCGAGAGGCGGCCATGAGATAAAGTCTGGCTCGAAAAGTTGGCGGTACTGCCTGCGGAGCAGAACGAGCTGGTGGTCGGCCATGAGGTAGGTGAGTGTCGTCAAAGGCGACTCTCAAGCTCGCGAGGGCTCGAAGTCACTGTGTGTTGACCGGGGCAGCTCGTAGGGCTCCGTGGAACTTTCTTTGTGGCTGGAGCAGTGGCGGGCCAGGGCCTCTGGGGAGGGTTGATGCATCGTGAGACTTTCACGCTGTGGGCTCTACAGTGGAGCACTCCAGAGCCTGGCGGCCTAAGGTTGGCTGCTGGAGCACAAGATGACACTACCATACGAGGCTACACCTTATGATCTGGAGTGCACTACCTGGGATTAACACGCGCACTCGAACCGAAATGCGAGGAAAGCGACTTGCCAAGGGACTTTCCATTCGACGTAGCTGGGAGTGAATGTGTGCAACGAGCGATGAGCTGTCGTCGGCTGCCTCCCGCGTGAGCGCGGGGCTCCCTCTCCAGGGTGTGACATCATCCCCACCGCTGCAGGCAGGGGACAAGTGCAGGCACTGGGATCATCATCCTCGCACCTGGGCATCACAGCCCTATCTGGCGGGGAGCGGAATGACCACTCAGCTGGGGCCGGCAGAGATATGCCTGTCAGCCAAGACTCCCAAGATGACCGTGAGTTCTTCCGGGGCTACAATACAGCTTGAGGGCGCGAGGCTTAGTTCGCCCCGGGGGCAGCCTTGGGGGGCTGTGTAGAAGATCTGCCGGGATCACCAATGTTGGCGCAAAGTGCATTTCTAGTACGGAAACACAGGCGCTGGCAAGAGCTGTAAGACAAGACGGTGAATATAAGACGCCTCCCTTCACGAGTGCCTCTCGACACTAGACTTGATGCTCTGCTCATCACTCACGCCCCTGTAAACCTTGCTTGCAGCAGAAGTAGCAACCCACCCAGACCTCAACCATCACACCGCGCCACCAGGACCCAAAGATCTACCAACCTCTGTCATGACCAGCACCACCGCCGACCAGATCAAGGCTGCGGCCTCGCGCAACGCAGAGCTGCTCAATATCCTGCGCAGCAATGACCACGCGCCATCGGCCCTCGAGCAGCAGCAGCGCTACTAGGCAGACATGCAGGCCGAGCTCAAGCGCGTCAACGCGGAGCTCAAGAAGCTCGAGCTCGCGCGCAAGAAGGAGCTCAAGGAGCACGAGAACTACCGCGACTCGGTCATGAAGCGGTTCGCATACCGCGTCGGTGGCAAGACGGACAAGTTTGCGGCCAAGGCGGCCAAGGAGGAGAAGGAGTATTTTGATGTACGTTCCCGAGACTCTTGGCCACCAGCACTTTTGCAGTGTACTGACGAGCTTAATCACCCCATGACCAGGTCCTCCAAAAGCTGCAGCAGCAGACGGACCAGAAAAACACCATTGAGAGCATGATTGCCGATGGGAACCAGATCAAGTCGGGCCTGGAAAACCAGACGCAAGCGCACAAGCAAGCCCAACTAGACCTGGACAGTCTGTACCAGGGCATCTTCCAGGGCACGACGCCCGATTTCCCCGAGGAGGACTCGCTGGAGAAGTCGGCCGAAGCCGCGAGCCAGGCGCACCATCAGGCAAGCCTGGAAGCCAAGAACTGCGAGCAGGTGTTCAACATGCTCAACGACGCCTGGAACGCGTTGCGGCAGGCGGCAGCCTACATCGAGGAGGCGCTGTCGCACAGCCGGATGGACATGTTTGGCGGCGGGACCATGTCGGACATGATGGAGCGCAATGCCCTCAGCAAGGCGCAGAACAGCATCCACCGCGCCGAGATGCTCACCACCCAGGCCCAGCGCTTGAGCCCACACGTCAAAGACCTGCCGTCGGTGGGCATCGATCACGGCAACATCATGAGCGACGTCTTCTTTGACAACATCTTTACCGACATGGCGTTCCACGACAAGATCAAGAACTCGCGGACGCAGCTGCAGCGCGCCGTCGCGGCCTGTGAGCAGCAGATTGACGCGGCCCGGGAGCGGTCGACGGCGGCACAACATGAGATGCAACAGCGGTGGGATGCGCTGCTGACAGCTCGGAACCAACTGCAAAAGGCCCGCGAGCAGATTTTCGAGAGGGTCCTTGGTGGGCAGCAGGGGCAGGCTTCGGCTCCGGCGCCCCCGGGCCCGTCACATGCGGCGGGGACAGACAACAAGGGCAGTAACAACCCTTTCGACCAGCCACCAGCTTACAGCTCATGATTGGATCCGCGCGGAATAGGCCTGGGTACTTGGCGCAATGAACCTTTGAGCGTGTTTTGTCCTGTTTTTATTGTACTGTACAGCATAGCATGTCTGAATGACTCGGAATTGTATGAATCTCGGAGAAAATGGCAGCCATGACTCCGGCTTGCCGTCGCAAACTTGTGGGGGCCCTTCGGTGACCTTGTAGGGCTCTTGTCACAGGTGCATGACTAGCTCATGGCGGAACCTTCTTGCTGTTTTGGGGCATAAGTGTACGTACGTATGGCATTGACGAGACTCTAAACTTTGAATGCCAGTTCCACCACCACGTGCGGCTGATGCTGGACCTCGGAGCTTGTTGGCTTCCTCCTGCTGTACATAAAGGTTGGACTTCTGTAACCTCCCCTTCCAAACTTCACAAACTGCTTCAATTCATTGCAAACATGGCTAACCCGACGCCCTACAAGATCGCCGTGCCCGATGAGGAGCTGGCCTGGATCACAGACCGCGTGCGCACCGCCCGCATCCCGCCGGGCAAAGACTTGCCCACCGAGGAGCTGTGGAAGTCGTGGGGTCTGCCTTCGTCATATGCCAAACAGCTGCACAAGACATGGACAACGACGTATGACTGGCGCAAGGTCGAGCGCCAGCTCAACGAGGAGCTGACGCAGTTCACCCTGCCCATCAACCATGGGGGCGAGGAGCTCACGATGCACTTTGTCCACAACCGCAGCCCTCACAAGGACGCCGTTCCTTTGCTCTTCATGCACGGCTGGCCCGGCAGCTTCCTCGAGGTCCGCCCCATCATCAGGCTCCTCACCCACCCGGCCAACCCAGAGGAGAACCCAGAGGAGCAGGCCTACCACGTCGTGGCCCCCTCCCTGCCTGGCTTTGGCTTCTCCAGCTACCCCAAGAACCCCGTCAGCCCCATGGACATGGCCGAGGTGGTCTACAAGCTCATGACGGCGCTGAGCTACGACAAGTTCATGGTCCAGGGCGGCGACTGGGGCTCCATCATCTCGCGCTTCCTCGCCGCCAACCACCCAGACAACTGCCGCGCCATCCACCTCAACGCCCTCATCTCCGGCCCGCCCTCGCCGATATGGAACCCCGTCGCGATGGGCAAGCTCGTGCTCGCCGTGGCCACGGGCGGCTGGGGCCTGACCGAGTTCGAGAAGAGGGGGCTGGGCCGCATGCAGTGGTGGAACAAGTACGAGAACGGCTACCAGGCCATCCAGGGCACCAAGCCGCAGACCATTGCGTACGGGCTGTCCGACTCGCCCTTTGGGCTGGCGTGCTGGATGCGCGAGAAGGTGCAGTTCCTGACGGACGATGATTTCGAGTGGGACGACGAGCAGGTCATTACGCTCGCCATGGTGAGTCTCACCATTTCCCCCGTACCTGTATACAATCTATGGAGGCACAGCTTCCCTTTTCTTTTTTTAAAGAAATTTATAGAATCGCTGACCATATCCCCATCTACACAGCCGCACATCATCAACGGCACGCCCGGCCACGCCGAGATCTACAAGTGGATCCCCAAGAATGAGGAAAGGTCCTTGCTCGAGGCCTTCAAAAAGGTCATCCCCCGGCAGGTCTCTTTCGGTGCATCAATGTTCCCCAAAGGTATGTTGGAACAGAACGTCCATCGTGGGCTGTTGACTTAATCTCCACAAAAAAGCATTTTTGTGCCAAGATTTCAGCTTCAAAACACTGACTGGTCGAGTATCACAGACATTCTGTATATCCCAGAGTGGTGGGCGCGCGCCAACGTCGCCGAGAACCTCATCTTCTGGAAAGAGCACAAGATGGGCGGCCACTTCCCCTCCATCGAGCGGCCGGCTACCCTGGTCGCGGACATCCGCGAGTTCACGGGCAAGATTGACAAGGGTGTCATCAAGGAGCTCCGGAGGAGCGGTGGTTCGCAGTAGCGGGTTGGCGGTTGCGGAAGTCGGTTGAGGTCTTGCGGGATGGCTGGAAGATGAAAAAAGCATGCAGAACTCTGTATGGACATGTATGACGAAGAGCTTTGAGCGGGATAAGAACAGGTTGCGTCCGATATGCTAAATCTTTTGCTGGGCGTTAAAACAAGGGCAGAGAAACAGTTCTTGATACAACTTTGGGATTTCACGATGTGGACAAACCTCAAGACCGTCACCTGCAAAGCGTAGAGGAATTTTGCGGGCCGCCCTTCTCTTTGTCACCATTTTGGATATCGTTTTTGGAGATTTCGATTTAATTCTTTCTCGTGTTCTTTCAGCAGTCGGCAACTGCTTCGGCAGGTTTGCACATAGGATGGGGAATTTGTTCAGTATTGAAGAGTGAAAAACACAATCCAGGCTTTTCTGGGTCATGTTTTAGAGACGTCGTGCCCTTCGGAGAAGGCGGTTGCAAGGCATCCAATTTAGGAACAGCTAGCCTGAATCTCTTTAGGGAACACCCGTAGTACGAAAGTCTCCACGCCTGGGTTCGAACAATGACATGTCCTGGAATTCGTCCCGTTTTGTGCTCAAAGAGAGTCGCCTTGCTTGGCCCTGGGCATCCGGAGGTAGATGAGAGACTTCCGCAATCAGAGTCTATTCGTGTTATCCCCCCTCCGTGCTTGTCTGTCAGTTTAGACCGAGCGCTGTGATTGTTAAGAGAGTTACACGGCGTCATCCTCTCTCATGAGCTGGTCTCGAGGCGGAATGCCTTGTTGGCTATGGACAAAGATGCGCAGTGAAAATACACGCATCTGGGCAGATCCATCAAACTCCTATATTGGGTTTTGAACACAATGGAGACGTCACACATGCTCAGCGCAAACTCATCACAAGCGACTATTGTGAACAAGTCTTGGTCTGCTTCCCCTTATATGTACTTCGTCCCAGGCCTGGCCATCAAGGTTGCTCAACCCCAATTCCCCTCTCCGAAACCTAGGTCCGGCCATCAAGGTTGTTCCCTCCTCCTCCGCCCATCCCACTTTTTCCTTTCCCCTTTTAGGCAGCATCTACCCTTGTGGCCAACCACACACCACACCACCATGCAAATAACACGTCACGACAGGGCGGACGACGATCACGAACAAGCACGTGCAGGTGAATTCCCCGATTCTGCAGAGTTCTCTCACAACAAGGGGGGTTTTCGGGGAATTTCGTGCAGCCGATCGCTGCGTGGCTAAGGTCGCAGATCTTCGGCCCGGTGTCGTACGGTTACGCTTGTTTTGACGACAAGCGGTCCACTGGGTATGAAGACGGCAATTTTTATTGCAAACTTGCATGGGACTTTGGCCCTGATAAATCGACAGTGTTCAGTCTTATGGAAGGGAACTGGAATGAAGTGAGTCTGTAGCCAAGGTAGTTACAAAACATCGACCCCAGGTCGCGATACTGTTTTGCCCGGGCGCTTGTGCGGAGACAAGACTACGAACGTGGTGTCTTACGCATAATTGGGCAAGTACAAAAACAGCCCAATATCGCAATGCATCATGTTGGTATCAGAGTCCTTGTTCTTTTATCCACGTTGCTCACCACTTCTCTTCTCCTCGTCTCGTGGTTCTCAACAAGATTCACTGAGTTCATGATGCCTCAGAGTCTTAATTCTGGCGTGATTATTGGCATTGACTTCCTTTGGCTTCGGCTCACGGTAGCCAGCAAGCGATATTTTGACCTCTGAGTAATTCCTGCACTTCCCAGTAGACATTGTAACGGGGCCATTCAAAGTACGATAGCATATCCCAACGGCTCATGCGGGCACGAGCACTCAACACAAGGTCTTGACAGCCGTGGCATAATGCGTTTCCAAATAATTATATAAGCATGTAACGACACCACAACGAGAGCCGCCCAGAGACCATTTATAAGGACGACCAGCCAGTATCTAGACTCTCTGAAAGGGGGCGAGGTCTTGTTACGTTCGCAGAGCCTGGCTACGCGTTGACTGCTGTGTAAGTTTCCTCTACCGCAGACGACCATGAGAAAAAACAAGCCATGAGATGCCCCTCGCTTTCCCAAGGGAGGAGAAGAGAGAATCGAAAGGTGCCGTGCCCTGTGCATCATCCTTACGATAACTAAAACCTCGTGGTTGGTCGTCACACGTAATACAAAGTTCGTGATAAGACATATGCCCGCGTCGCCCCATCTGGCTCCGAAAAGGCGGCTCGCTGCCCGTGTGCGACACGGGGGTCTTTTCTCGTTTTGAGCAGCCAATTACAGAACATGTATGCATATGCTGGACGGGACGACCATTGCTACTTTCGCCCGAGGCGCCCGCAGGAACATGCAGGGAGTGCATTCCACCCAATTGGCACCGGGAATGAGTGCGGGATGCGATCAGTCACCTCGAGCCTGGTCCGTCATGGGCCGGCGAGCCCGAGTAGGAAAGCGAGGAAGGAGAAAGAGTGTCGTGAGGTTCCGGGGGCGCGGAGAAATCCGTCGATCTCCGGACGCCTACTGCTAAAGGCAGCAGCACACAATGTATGCGGACGGACTGACTATAGTAGCCGCCGCCGCCGCCAAGGAAGCGGTCGTACTTTTGGGGAGCCTTTTGAACTTGGACAGCGCATGGATGTCTCACGTGCGGAGAAAGGGCACTACTGTAGTCTGTCTCCTGAAGGACTCGTGCAAGCCGTATGCGACCAATAAGGCATGGGGAGGGTGGTTCCGAACTGTACGAGTGGACGGAGATCAATTACTCGTCTCGGCAGGACGAACGAGTAGCGCGCCATCAAAGCGACTCCACTGGCTGGGAAGTGCCTGGCGCGAGGCGGGCCCCGGCAATACTTCAGATAAACGACGTGAGCCCAACCGACCATCTCGGCGCATCGACCGGGGCCAAAGCGCCCTCTTGGTCGAGACTGTGCATTGGGGTAGACCTTTATCTGATCAAGCTCAAGTCTTCCCCCTCGTGTGCGCAAAAAGAATCAGGGTGTGGCGGGCAGACTAAAGTTCATTGGCGGTGGATTCCGCGTTGGGAATCATTCTAGGACCTGTGCAAGGCCAGGAATCACTCCTCCCATCAACTATACTTAACTTGGGTTTTTTATTTTTATTCTCCCTCGGCACACGCACTGCAATAGTGATCGACGGCTGTTTCAGCGCTGTCATTGCCATAGGACGATGTCAGATTAATGGTGTTGTGGACGGTGCTGACCGGACGCCGCGATTGGGCTGCCAACGTCATCCTGTCATCCTGTCAGCCAAAATCCTGCCACGGCTGCGATGCTGCGTCACAAGCCAAAGGGAGAGCTGGGGCACTGTGGCGGAGGAGGAGCCGCAGCAGTGGTAGCATAGCGATCGCCACAGTGGCCCCTAAATATAACCTATGCTCAATTGAGAGCCTCAATTGATGGCACAACGAGTCTTTCTCGCCTCCTCCAGCCGCAGTCCTGTCGGGCCTCAACTACGGATGATCTCCCAAGACTTGCCAAGCTGTCAGCGAGAAGAGTTGGGAAGCATCCAAAAGGCTTGTCCTTGAGCTGCATTGCGTTGCAGTCGGGGTCGCCTGGGCGCATGCTCTTGGCCTCCTCAGCGGTGACATCGACCCAGGTCTTCCAATCTGGCTCCTCTTTTCCCCGCAGGCGAAATCATCACGAGCGTTACATTGTCACACCCCGGTCTCTTGTTTGCATGTGGTAGATTGCCAGGGGCAACACTCACGCACGACTCGCTCCATTAAGCCATGCCGGGACCGGAGTTTAGGCTCCTCGCATATGGCATTCTATAGCAGCCCTTCACATCATTTCGTTTGGCGCAATGGTGGGGGGGGCTTCAATTCATGCGAAACTCCCGCCGACCTGCCTACCTTAAGTAGACTGTTCCTCGCGCCCCAAAATGCTAAACGTAAGCTTAAATGATTTAGACTGGCGACGCAGGACATGGAGGGATGGTTTGGGGCCATGCTAACGGCAATACCCCAGTAAACTTACTTTCCAGCCTGCTTCTTCGGCCGCCACTCTAGATAAGGGCCTTTGTTTGTTGCGCGACGGCGCTGCCCGCACGAGCTGACTCCTCCATACGTAGTCGCTCGCGATATGCAAGTCCCGATAGTAACTCCCAAGCTCAGTCGCTCGGCAGGGAACCTGCGCCACAACACCACCACACCACAGTAAGCCAGTCACAGTCACCCCCTGCGCGATATGCCGCCTGGGCATCCATCATAGAGCGGCTACCCCTGGTTGGCAGGCGAGTGACGGCGTCGTGGGGTGCGCCTGGTGCCAGCACGCTACCCGAGTAACCTCTTTAGGAAGGCATTGGCAAGATCAGCGACCACTTTGATTTTGTGCGCGCTCGCGGGGCCCACTGGCGAGACACTGCCGTCGATCTCTCCATGGCGCTTGCTTTGTCTCCATCCGGTCCTCGGTCAGGCCCGAGGTCTCCAGCAAAGCCGCACAGGATGCAGCAGTCTCCGTGCGAGATGTCGACCACAGATCCCAATTAAGCCGGCGTCCAGTGTTTCCAGGCAGGCAGGCAGGCACCTGTGAGTGAATCTTGTGGACCCCGAACAGGAAAGGGCAGCTCGATCATGCGGCTAGAGATAGTCCTCTCTTCAGATGCCTATTCAGCGTCCCGACGCCCTGACTGCCGGCACCCTAAACCCATAATGGCTACCGCATCGACCGGGTCTTGGTCTGGGGTTGCCAAGGTATGGCCAAGCCATCGCCAAGCTCCTTCCAGAAGTGGCGATTGGCGACGACCCATGGCCTCATGCTGTCGGCCGGACCCCTGCTGCTGCTTGCCGATCGCGCATGGGACCAAATGCCGTGAGGCTGTCCTGTCTGCCAGCAGCTACCGGCGTGGTCACAGTGGCGGTGGCACTGGCTGGGCGCTACGCGGTATTATGACCTGCCCCTTTTTATTTTTGGTGGTTGTCCGATAGCACTGCCCATGCAGCACCTTCGCAGCCGCATACTCCGTTGGGCTTATGCCTGTACCACAATGCACAGGCGGGAGGACTGGAAACACTGGACCTGGCCGAGCCAGGATCAAATCGCGGTCTAGTGAGTGGGTGGAGTAGTCGACCCGGATGAGATGCCCACTACTCGAGTTATTTCCCGTGTATAGCACCGGCGATCATTCATGTATAAAGATGTTGGGCTCGCCGCCTCACTTCAATGACACTCGTTCTTGGCCCCTCACCAGCATCTTGCCTGTTCTCCCAGCCATTTCCTCAAAGCATCTCTGAGTTCCCAGCCGGCCTTCTTTCTCTGTACACTCTCCACGTCGTACTCGCACCGCTACCAAGATGTTCATCAAGACTCTCACCACCACTGCCCTCCTGGCTCTCTATGCCGCCACCGTCTCCGCTCGCGGCTTCGGCTGTGGTGCTCCTGAGCCCGATGCCTACCAGATTGCCGACGCCCGCGCCTTCTACAAGGAGTTCAAGGCTTCTGCGGCCGCTGTCGGCACTGACGGTGTCAGCATCCAGGCTAGCACGCCCTTCACCGTCAGCGTCTACGTCCACGTCGTTGCCACCTCCTCGAGCAAGTACATTACTGTAAGCACAATCTCATCGTCAGCCCCTCCCCTTGACTGTCAGACAAACATTGTACTCACACGACAATCCGTAAATAGCAAACCCAGGTCAACAACCAGATCTCGGCCCTGAACTCGGCCTACTCCCCCCACAACATCTCGTTCAAGCTGGCTGCCACCGACTTCACCACCAACACCAGCTGGGGCAAGGACGGCAACGAGACGGCCATGAAGAAGGCGCTCCGCAAGGGCACCTACAAGGACCTCAACCTGTACTTCACCGAGTCCCTCGGCGACGGCCTGCTCGGCTATTGCTACTTCCCCGTCTCCAAGCCGACCAGCTCGGACATCACCCTGGACGGCTGCACCATCCTGGCCCAGTCCGTCCCCGGCGGCACCGCTGCCCCCTACAACCTCGGCGGCACTGCCATCCACGAGGTCGGCCACTGGATGAACCTCTTCCACACCTTCCAGGGCGGCTGCAACGGCGGCGACTCCATCGACGACACCCCCGCCCAGGCCTCGGCCTCTTCCGGCTGCCCGACCGGCCGTGACTCGTGCCCCAGCCTGGCCGGCCTCGACCCCATCCACAACTACATGGACTACTCTGACGATGCATGCTACACCGAGTTTTCCGCCGGCCAGGATGCGCGCATGCACGCCGCGTGGACCACCTACCGTGCTGGCAAATAAGCGCGAGGCTCGGTTGGAAGCGTCTTTTTATTATCCGAAGACCGCACGCGCCGCTCTGCCAGAGTGAGCCTATATTTTAAAGGGCTTTACTCACTTTCTTCTTCTGCTGCCTCCTGGATACATATGAGGCAGCTTCCTTTTTATTCATTTGCACGGGCGATGAGTTGCAACGAATGGCGTTTGGGACTTTGATGATGATGAGATGAGATGGTGGCTTTGAGGATCTTCCCATGGCTGGGGTACTCTTGAGATGCATGGTACATAAAGATGAGCTGCCGATATAGTACATATCTTTAGTAGATGACGGAGAGAAAAATTTGACATCTTCGACTTCGAATTGCTTTATTGCGAGTGACGTGATGAGTTGTGAAAGAGCTTGCGGTGTTGTTGAGCAGCTTTTGGGAAATGCAAGCAGGGACCGGGCTTCCAAATTGGGAATTGGCCTTCGCGCGGATTGGTCAGGATCGCACCGCTGCAGATTTGTGGCGGTCCCGGTCAGCATCCTCACAGCTCACGAAGGTCTTGGTCACCATCTTGATGCGAGAAATTACTCAAGAGAGCATTGGAATTGTCTCTCGTTATATCTTATATCGTGTGCACTGATGTGCATTCATAGTGACCTTGTTGGGGCGATGCACAACTCGGTTGCACTAGCCCCACTGCCACTCTTGGGACATGACCGCAGGCAAAGTCGCAAGACCTTCTCTTTGTGTCTGAGTCTTGTGTTATGCAGTCTTCGACGGAATTATTGATCAACTGCATGGCGGGAAAGATGAAGAGGGCAGTCATGCCATCTCGGTAACAGTCTGATGTTAACTTTCCTCGGCTCCGGCTGGTTACACAGCAGGCGGCCCGCGAAAGTCCTCGGATCGGTGGCACGCCGAGCGGGGCCGGGCTTATGCCGAGCACGGCAACCAGCGGCCGCCCACGTATAACATTGTCGCCTTTGGTCCGCTGCCATGGAGTGGCTGCCATGCACTCATTCTGTTCTATAGTCCAGGTCATCCCGTCAGGCTGCCCAAGATACACCCTCAGTCACATTTCAAGGTACCGGAATGCCATAGAAGCAGCGACATCACCTTGCAGCAAAAATGACGCTCGTCCATATGGGTCCGTCGCTCACCAGATCCCCCGCCCGACTCGCCACATCCCATCTCCTGTGATGATCTCCAGACACGCCCACATATGCTTACAATTTCGCTGCACTGCACCCGCGCGTGTGTGGTCGGCTCACAGTATTCTTCAAGTTCAAGCCCGGCATCCCCGCCGAGCAGAAGGAGACGTTTGTCCGGGAGCTCAAGAAGCTCAAGGACCTCCCCAGCGTCAAGGGCGGGCGGCTGCTCGTGGGCGGGCCGTCGGTCACCTCGCCCGCCGAGAAGAGCCAGGGGTACGAGTACGCGCTCGTGAGCTATCATGAGGACCTGGCGGCGCTGGAGGAGTACCAGGCCAGTGCCGAGCACAAATGGTGAGCGGCTTCTTTTTTTTTTCTTTTATGTGTGTGTGACGAGGAGGGGGGGGGGGGTCGGTCTCTATTGCGTTCGCGCGCGGGCGGATCGCGTGTAGTAGTGGTGGTGTGTCTTCACACACAAGGTGGAAAAGATGCTGACGAGATCTGGGTATGTCCCAACAGGGTCACCGAGACGCATTTGCACCCGTACAAGGAGGATCTCGTGCGGTTCGACTTTGAGGTGGACGGTGAGGATGAGCACCTTTGCGGGTTTGGTGGGATCATGGCGTCCATGCTGGGCAAGCCTTGAAGGATTCAAGGTCTGTGGATATGCAGCGTTATTCCATTTGCCCAGCTTCAATAGGAGTCTCATCTGGAATCCATTCCAAATCTGCATCTGCATCCCTGGTGCACCAAGTCGCCCATCATTTGTGTAAACATGACAATGCATGAAGAGCGCGCTGAGCGGAGCTCTACCCTGGGACCCGCTTCGGCGGCCGGGCAAAAGCCGACTTTTTACTTTAGTTAAGAACGAGCACATTGCGAACCATGGGACGAGATCCATCGTGCGTCCGTGCCAAGCGTCCTTTGCAAGTGATACTTAATGAGTCCTTTCACGCGCAAGAGTCCGGAGACAGGCACCATGGAGCACAACCGCACTGTTGACATGCTCCGCCGAGCACAAGCGTACGGTTACGCCGTGGGCGCATACAACTGGTGCGTGACCGCTTCACACTTTCAATCTCCCTGGCGGATTGATGGTTCTGACGATCAAAATCCGCAGCTACAACGATGACGGCGTCATGGCCGTCATCCGCGCCGCAGAAGCCAGCAAGTCCCCCGCAATAATCCAGCTCTTCCCCTGGACGCTCAACTTCCAAGGACCGCACTTCATCCGCTGGGTCGTCGAATACGCACACTCTGCCAGCGTGCCCATCGCCGTGCATTTAGATCACTGCATTGAGCCCGAGGACGTGCGACGTGCGCTGGAGCTGCCGTTCGACTCCATTATGATCGATGCCTCGCGGCTCGATCCTGAGGCGAACATTGCCGAGTGCGCCCGGATCGTGGAGGAGGCCAATGCTCGCGGGATTGCGATCGAGGCGGAGTTGGGAAGGATTGAGGGCGGCGAGGATGGGCTCCCGCTTACTGACCTCGAGTCTATCCTCACGAATCCGGGCTTTGCGAGAGAGTTTGTGGACAGGACTGGAGTGCAGCTGCTGGCTCCTTCGTTTGGGAATATCCATGGGAGTTACGGTCCGCTTGGGCCGAAGGCATATTGGAGGCTTGACGTGTAAGTCACGCGTTGGATGGCCTTTCACTACTTACCACTTTCTTTTTCTCTCGGGAAGCTCGCTGACCATGTACCATGTCCGGATTGCCTCCCAACAGGCTCAAAGACTTGAACGAAAATATTCCAAGCATACCTCTTGTCCTCCACGGCACAACGGCCGTCAGCGACGTCTTGTTTCGCGAGACGATCAAGCGAGGAGTGCACAAGATCAACTTGAACAGGACTGTACGGGACGACTACAGCAGATTTGTGGCTGCCAATGCGGGGAAACTTGAACTTACTGCGCTCAAAGAACAGGCTGTTGAAGTGCATGCCAAATCCATAGAGAGGCTGATGGATGTGCTTGGGTCTTCCGGAAGAGCGTGATGTCGAACTTCTCCAGATGGGACTGCGGGGCTCAGGGCAGATCGCCGGTTTGGGAGGGGCTTTCCAACACTTGATAGGCATAATTGGCCAATTTGGGAGTCTCATGGCCCAAAGACTATCCTGTGGGGGTTGCCTTCAATCATGCATCTCTTTCTTGAAGAAGATTCCAATACACGTGGCGGACTGTCGTACGCCAGATCTCCCTGGCATCTCTGCTGAGCGGAGTTTCGGCTTTTCTAGGCAGTGCAGCCATTGGACCTGGCCGGCACCTTGATGTTGATGTCGAAGAAGACAGGACAGTCTCATGATGCGCGATAGAATATTTTCTCATCTTTTCTTTCAACAGAACAAAGGGAGAGATCCCTTTCGTCCGAGGGCTCTGCCGAAACATGGCATCATGGAAGGTGCCATGCCATGCTGGAGTATGAATGCAAGAATGGATGCGAGTCAAGCACGCTAGCTGCTTCGGGCTTAAGCCGACCCCGGCCTGACCGGACCGGCTTTGACCCGGTCCTGTGTCGCTCCTGCCCAAGACGATCCCTCTTGCCTTTCGTGGACAGCATGCAAACTGTGGCAGAGCATCTCGTGACAGCCTCATTTGCCGCACGTGTTGCAATGCATGAATCATTCGCTGTCTCTGCGAGGCACGTCTCGGCCACATCAGCAGCATGAGCAGGTCGCGGACGCCGGAGACTGGTTTCGGCGACGGGCTGACGGGTTTCGGCGGTGGAGGACCCGGAGGCACGCCCACGCAAGACCCGGGGCACCCCAACACCACGCCATTCTCGTCAAGGCGCCGCTCAGCACGGAGATCGCATGGACCCCAAGGCGGCCGGCGCAAGGGCACGGCCTGCGTCCGGTGCAGGATCCAGAAGATCCGTTGTGATGACGAAGAGCCGGCGTGCACCAACTGTGTCAAAGCCGGCCACGCCTGTCTGCGGGCCCGCGGCAATCCCGAGCTGGACAGGTGAGCCCTCAAACTACCAGCATTACCGCCAGTTTCAGGCATCCAGCCCGTGAGTACTGACACACTTCTAAAAACAATCTCAGCTATGTCCAGGAGCTTGAGGGCAAGGTTCGGCGCCTGGAACGGCAGCTTGAAGATGCCCAGCTAGGGCAGCAGAACAGACAGGCGACCGCTTTCGAGGACGGCGCCCACGGGCGCGGTCATGCGACAAGCCCGGGGTTGCTTCGTGCTGCTCATCCCCAGGAAGGCAGTACAGATCTCTCATCTCCTGCATCGACGCAGATCAATCCGAGCGAACCCCTGGCTCACAATGTCGGGCTTTTATCTCTGGCAAACTCGAGGGAGCCCAAGTATCTTGGGCCCTCCTCTGGCGTTGTCTTTGGGCGGCTGGTGTTTGCTGCTGCTCCAGCAACTCAGGGCTTATCCACGTCTCTGACTGAGCACAGTCGAAAACAGCGTGGCAAGACAAAGAAGCAAGCTTCTCAGGACAGCTCTGAGCCACCCAGTACGGCCGACCTGTTTTACTTTGCTGAAACGTATTTCGAAGTATACCAGCCTCTCTACCCCTTCCTTGACCAGTCCGCCGTCTTCGATACGCTGGAACACATCCCCGCCACCTCTCAGTTCATGACAGACACTATTAGTTTGCCGAACAATTCTGTAGCCGCCATCGACCATGTCCACGCTTTGCTTGTTTCCGCGCTTGGAGCTAGGGTTCTGGAGTCTCGCCTTCGCACCGGATTTGGTGCCGAAGCCTTGTACTCGCACGCAGTGAAGCAGCTCGAAGGTGTACCGATCTTTGAGACGATACGAGGCGTGCAAGTCTTGCTGCTTCTCGCGCTTGCGAGTTTCTCCTTCGAGAATGGTTACAACGCTTGGTTCCTGGCCTCGACTATCATCGCAAGCTGCCTGGATCTGGGTCTGCAGCGCCGCTCGCCAGGTATCAACAGTAGCAGGCAGCAGCAAGGTACTGCTAGCTCCACGACCTTGGACGACACCGCAAGGGCTGCCAGAATCAGCGACACAACGCTCAAGAGTGGTATTTTCTGGTCAGCATATTCGCTAGACCGCACACTGTGTGTGGTTCTCGGTCGCCCTTTGACATTGCGCGACGAGGCTCTCGACGCGGACTTTCCAGACGGAAGACGGTCACACAGCGATGATAGCGATACGACTACAGCTGCCCCAGGCAACAGCATCAGCAGTATCACTCCGCAGATCGCCAACGATAGAACTGGGGCCGAGACGACTGATGGCAACCAAAGTCCGCATGGTGACAGACCGGCCAAACGCGTCCTTGTCGAACCTGAACCGTACGGTGCGGCCTGCTTCTCCTTCCGTTATGACCAGATTACTTCAGAGATCAAGCTCATGCTTCATCGGGTTTCGCAGTCCCCTCGCCGGTTTCCCTGGCCGACAGACTTTCCCCGCTGGCAGACAGAAGTACAGCAATCCTGCGACATTCTACTGGACAAGGTCCAAGCCACGTTCCGCGGCAAGACCGCGCATGGCCACTACCGTCATCGCAAAGCACTGCTGCACGAACGCACGACACAAGAACTCGAGCTCAAACACCATGCGTGCATCATGCTTCTCCACCGCCCGTCTCCAGCCATCTCACAACCCAGCAAGGCCAGTATGGCCCACTGCTATGCGTCTGCGCGCGCTACAATCGGGATCTATTCTGCGATGCACCGCTTCGCAAACCTGCCGAACACGTGGCTTGTAGCGCATGCCGTCTTCGTAAGCGGCATCACGATGCTGTATTGCCTGTGGACAGACCGGACGCTCAATATGAGCACAGAGAAGGAGTCAGTACGAAGAGACTGTGAGTCGTGCACCAAGCTATTAAAAGCTTTGGGGGAAACATGGAGTGTTGCCGAGGACGCCATGGTTAAATTCGAAAGGCTTGCAAGTTTGACAGAGAGTAACTGGGATAGTGTCAACCGGAACAGAAGTACCGGTGCTATCCCGCGAATCGGGGGCGTGCAGCAGGCCCAGTACTCTGGCATGGCAGCGGGAGCCGGCGATGCCATTCCCAGTGAAATCGAAAATTTCACGGCCTTCGACCAGCGTACAGCGGGCATGGGAATGTCAAGCTCGCAGGATTCTACTCTCAATGAGCCTGGCATGGACTTTTCAGACTTGTTTTTGGGCGAGCTGGGCGACATGAGCACCTGGTTTGACTTGTCTTGGCTCCACGACACAGAGGATGTTCCAATATTCCCAAGCAGTTGATAGCAGGCAGTGCCCAGTCGGACATTCATTCACAGCATCGTCGGGAAGTTCCCCATGCCTCTGCTTCAACTTTGGCTAAAAACCGTCTCGAAGCAGAGACCGGCAGTCGGCGCACCAAAACCCGACAGAGACACTGTGGTGGTAGGTCCGGGGCAAAGCCGGCCGGCCGGAGGAGCGAGATAGCTCCGAGTCTTTCAAGTGGGCCGCCGATGCGGAGCCGCCACGGGGTACGGTTAGGAACTGAGCAACGTTACCCCAAGTCTTGGAACTTTCTAGTCTGTCAATGATGCCGCAGCTCCGACTGCGGGCTCGGAGGACAGATTCAGCGCCGAGCAGGATTCGTCATTCTCGTCCATATCGTCGTATGAATCGTGGTATATGAGGTCTCGTCGGCCGGGCTGTGTGGGCTGTAATGAGGGACAGTAGCAGAGGCATTGCATCAGACTCACAGACTGGCGATCGAGCTAGAATCCAACCGAAAATCAGCGAGAAGGACGACCAACAATGACCACGAGTTCGCCCATCCGAGTTGCTGTGTTGTATCAGGCCATTGACCCACCCGTGGTCAATGGCGTCAAGAAGCCCATGAAGCCAGGAGGTACCCGTCCCCGTTCCACACGCCTCTGCCTTGTGAAGTGCAAGAACACCAAGCAATGCCCAGATCAGCGGATTGCAGCCAACATCATGTCAAACAGGGTACAAGGACTCATCAGCAGACATCGCTTACTGCCTGAGCACCAGCAAGCCCTCAGCCTCCTCTGCTTCACAGGATATCGCTGCCATAAGTGTAGTCACCCCTGTTGCTCATCCCGACGTGCACGAGAACGACGACTACGCATGGTGTTTTCCCGACACCGAGGCCGGGATCCTTGACGCCATCGCCAAGGGTGCCACTCACCTCTGGGCCAACACTATCCTCTTCGCCTCACACCCCTTGCAGACATCCGTTAGAATCGATGCGTTTGCGGCAGACGTAAAGGTCATTGGCCAGCCCCCGCTGCAGGTAGAGATGTTTGATGACAAGGAGGTTGTCAACGATATGCTACGTCAGCAAGGGTGCTTTACAATGCCAAAGGGGTGGACGCTTTGCGATCCGAACACCTCTGCCTCCGCAAGCAGCAGTAGCAGCAGCAGCGTGCCCAGCGTCGGCACTGCAAGCACCAACATAGATGACGCTACTCTGCGACAGTATATCGCCAGTTTGTCCCTGCCTTACCCGGTCGTCGGCAAGCCTATCCGTGGCCGCGGCAGCCACGGCGTCCGCGTGTGCCATTCTCTCGACGAGATGGTCACCCATGCCGCCGCCTTGTTCGCCGAGTCGCCGCGCATCATGGTTGAGGAGTTCCTCGAAGGAGAGGAGGGGACCGTGACCGTTGTGCCGCTCCCAAAATCTTCCGACACTGCTGCAACTGCCACCACTGAGTTGCCGGCAGAAGCGAGAGAAGGAAAACAGTACTCGGCCCTCCCGGTGGTCCAGCGGAACAATCACCACGCCGGCATAGCGCCATACAACGGCACCGTTGCGGTGTCCACCAACTCCCGCGCGATCACGGCGGCCGAGGCAGCGCAGGACCCGGCCTATGCGCTTGTCCAAAGGGAATGTGAGCGGGCGGCCGAGCTGCTGCAACCGACTGGTGTCATTCGGATCGATGTGCGGCGCCGACACCGTCAACCCGAGATACAATCACACAGTGTCAACGGTGACCGTGGTATCCATGGTGCAGGACCAGACGACGGCGATATTGGTGACCCTGTGCAAGAGAGATTCTACCTTTTCGACCTCAACGTCAAGCCCGTAAGTCCCCTTCACTTTCGCACCCCTTCATCATCTTGCACACTGCTCGCCTATGCCTGCCATCCATCCTATTCGAAGCTTCGTTCTCGTCCGAGCCGGCGCGAGAAAACAACCGCTGCCCCCCCCCCCCCCCCCCCCCCAAAAATCTTCCACTGTTACTGAAGCCATGCATCGAAACACCAGAACCTCACAGGACCCGGCCGCCCCGGCCGCGACGACCAGGCCTGCCTGTCCCTCCTCGCCGCACAGGAACTCGGCTGGGACTATGGGCGGCTACTACGCGAGATGCTCGCGACGGCGGTGCCGCTCGACGAGCTGCGCCGGCGCAAGCCCGCAGACTTGTCAGGCGCTAACACTGCGTCAGCATCATAAGCGGCGCTTGTTTTGTGCCGTCTCCACCATCCAAAAGAAAGCAAGAGAAAAATCATTGGCGTGGCCAGCTGCGATTTGGGTTGCGAAACTAATTAGCGCCGTAATGCGACATTTCCTGTGCTGGGTCTAGTCGTACGGCCCACGTTCTAGATGCAAGCGACGACCCACTGAGCGAAAAGGAGGGTAATCAAATGTCAGGGACGCATGCCATAGGCATATAGATACGTGACCGGTACAGGACAGTGTCACATTACTGACACGACACCCTTCGGCTTACTCGCAAAGCTTGCTTGATAAATTGTCTATTATGGGGATCATTCGTTCATTATGGGAATCATATTTACTATTCCACGGGGAAGTCGTCCTAGAAGCATGTCCAACTGCCTCAACATTGCATCTCCCTCTATTGACCGCGTGCCGGCCGACATGTATTGTTCGAGCGTGCTCGACAGCTGAAGAAAGAATGATCCCTTCGAACAGACACGAATACAGGACATGTGAGGGGCTTCTTGATACCGGGTCTCCAGCCAGGAGCACAATGAGAACAGCAGCAAGACAAACAATCATCACTTTAGTACAGAAACTTGAAGTGGATCTCGTCATCGCGCTCGCGCTCGGCATCCGTCATGCTGGCGCGACGCTTGTCTAGCTGCTTGTTCTTGTAGATGCACAGGAAACAGGCGAAGCAGACGAGGACGAAGCCAAGGACGGTGAAGCCCAGGCCGACGGAGAAACCGGTCGGGTAGTAAGGACGCTCGGTGGTGATGAAGATGTTGGAGGAGATGAAGTTGGCGCAGTTGCCAAAGCCAATCATCCAGCCCATGCCCACGCCGAGGTACTTGTGGCCGCGTAGGTTGGCGGACAGCCAGCCCATCAAGGTGGGCATCTGCGGGAAGGTGCCCATGGACATGAGGAAGAGCGCAAAGTAGCGCACTCCCACCGACCGCACGTAGACTCTCATGATGATCCAGCCGCCGAGCTGCAGGCAGATGCAGAAGAGGACGAATGGCGTCCGCTTGTTGAGGAACGACGAGAGCCAGGTGAACAAGAACGCGGAGACGATACCCGAGGCCCAGACGGGCATGGTCATGAGCTGGGCGACAGTCGAGGTCCAGCCAAGCTCGGTGAGAATAGTCGGCGAGAAGGCAGAGATTGAGGCAGCAGTAATGTCGCAGCAGAAGAAGCACATGGTGAAGAGGTGGATTCTCCAGTCGATCAGAACCTTCCACAGAGGAACATTGTCAATGGCGGAGCCTCTGACCTCGGCGCCACGAGACTGCTCGAGCTGGAAGACGAGCCGCTCACGCTCGTGTGGCTTGAGGAACCACTCCTGCGCATCCTCGGGGAAGTTGGGCAGGACAAAGAAGATTGCAATAGCCAAGACGCTAGTCATGATACCCTCAATGATGAAGATCCAGCGCCATCCGTAGAGGCCACCAGCTCCTTCAAGGCCGGCAATTGCGTAGGCGAGCAGTCCAGAGAAGAAGGGACCTGCCAGTGCGAAGTTGAAGAACCACGCGAACCGAAGGGCAGCCTCGCGCTTAGTGTAGTAGGTCGACATCATGTACGTGGCGCCGGCCGGCAGAGACACCTCGAAGATGCCCATGAGGAAACGACAGGCCAGGAGACCGCCAAAGCTCTTGGTGAGACCTTGACACATGGCGATGATGCCTATCAAGGGGAGTTAGCTCCGCATAGTGGAGTGCGAGGCGGGGTCCCACCATGAGCAAACACTTACCGAGCACAAACATCTGACCACCGAGAAGAACACCAGGACGAACGAAGTTGCGGCTGAGCAGGATGTTTGCTGGTACTTCAAATAGAACGAAAGGGATGTAGAATATCCAGAGCGCAGTGTTGTAGCCGTTGGAGGGCATGTTGAGACTCATCTCGAGGCCATTGGGCTGGCCGATGCCCAGACTGCGGGCGTTGGCAATGTTGGTGCGATCCAGGAAGAGGATCATGTAAAGAATGCCCATGGTGGGAATGAGCACTAGGTCGCGCTTCCATAATATCTTTCGGTCCAGTGCCGGGTTTGGCTCCGCCAGAGCAGCATTGTAGCCCTGGATGCTCTTTGTCGACTCCTTCTCGGAGATTTTCAGGTCGTCCTGGGGGCTCTCCCTCATGATTTCCGCCATCTTTGTCGTGTGCGAGTCAGTCGTGTCCGTGGGAGTGATGACCTGGCCAGTGAAGGCTTGCCGAATGTGATGACGGCGACGGGGCGCACTTTAGCAGCGTCTAGCGACGGTGGAAGCCTGGAGACAACGTCGGCAGTCAAGCTCGACGATGGAGGATGGGGAGGAGAAGGAAAGAATCCTGGAGTTCCGGCGTGGAATGTGAGACCCTGAGCTGAACTGGACTAAGGGGCGACCCAAGGAGCTGGGTCAGTGCGGATGAGTCCAACGCATTGAAATTGGAGAAAGCTGGGGTGGGATTGGAGAATATTAATAATATTGAGGACGGCACAGCATGCATGCGAGCGTTGGAGGTTGCGTTGACTGGAGGAGCGGGATCGTGTCGAAAACCCGGTAGGCCAGGGTTGTCGGGGCAGGAAGGGGGGGCCGCCGCCTAGCGCTGTCCTTCAGCGCGGCAGGGTGGGCCCTTCGCGTGGTGGGCGTGCTGAGCTGGCAGCCAGGACAAGGGCGCCGCATTACCTATCGCCAAGGTTAAAGCTGATATGCAGAAGCACCACCACAGACTGGGGCCAGCGGGAGGACCTCTGGACTCCCGCGCTGGACGTAGGGAGAGTTGGCCCGAGAGCGGCTGGCCTAGCGCAATCAGCAAGGTGGCGCTTTGATAGCAGAGAGCCCCGTCCAGACCCTGGGGAAAACATCGATTTGTCGCCGGCGTGGTGGATACAGCAAGCCGAGGGCCCCCCCTGGTCCCGAATTGCTCAAGGTGCCATGCTACCTCAGGGTTTTCTGATGAGTTCTTTCCGGCAGGCATGTGCTGCAGAGTTCAGGGCTTTCAAGGCTGGACGATGCCGGCTGGTGACTAGACGCACGGCATGACGCTGGGTGGCGCCTAGACTCTCGAAGGTTTTGTGCTGCTGAGTGCGAAGGCTGCCTGCGATCACATCAACTAAGTGTTTGGTCTCTATTGTTTGCTTTGCCGTCGAAGACAGTCCACAATGTCTGTCGCAAGCAAAGTCGAGGCGGGACGCGGGCACGGGCGCGCAGACAGTGGAGTTCGAATCGAATCCGCCCGCCCAATCGCCACGGCAGTCGGCAGTGTTCGCTCGGCAGGGCATCAACAGCTTCGGACGAACGAATGATGGAGCGAGCTCGAGCTATCCCTACGGAATTCTTTAGCGTACATGGACGGGAGCGAGTGGGTGGCGTGCTGTCCCAAGTGGGTGCTCGATGGAGCTTGGTCTGGGGAAGAAGCCCACGACACTGAAGCCCGCAAGGCACCCCACCCGTTTGTTAGCTTGGGCCCACAGAGATAGGACGCCCCGTTATGCAGATATGCTTGGCTAGCCCATTAATAGCACCCCCTCACTCCAAAGCAATGGCTGCTCGTCCCCCATTCTTTCAGAGTGGCCCATTCAATTCACACCCGGGTCACAATTAGAAGCCCCGTTATTAGGAAGGCCATTGCCATCAATCTTGATGAGCCTACCACGCTGCCGTCGGAACCTTCTTTCCGCCCATGCCTGCGGGAGTCGCCCTGCTCCATCGGCACTGCTTCCCACCTCGACAGCTGCCCAAACCGCCCTCCAGCAGATACAGCTGCGCAGAAGCTTCCGTAGCGATCGGCCGCATGTCGCCGCGGCAGAGGGCCTAGGGCTTGCAAACAAGTCCCGAAATACGCTCTCTATCTGTCCACATGGGACTTCGGGGCCGGCGGGGTCATGTCTCCGCCGTCGTGTCGTCCCGGTCGCCGACGACGGACTCCCGTGAGGGGACGCTGCGGGGTCTGCTGTGTGATTGATATCTCGTGGTAGCTGGCTGTAGTTGTTTCTGTTTGCCGTTTCTGCAGCAAGACCATTCTCAGACGTTATTTCAGTGTGGGAGAACATTACATTGACAAAGTCAAGTCGCACAAACTTCCCGTGACCCCTAAATCGAACTTTGACATCGACCTCTAACGAACCCTTCTGAGCCATGGCACCTCCTCAAGCGCCTGTGAGCTGGGTCTCCCCGAGGGCCAGATTTGGCCTCATCGTGTTCGTTCTGTCCTGATGACCATAAAGGCGGTTTCATCTACAGCATGATGCTGACCATGGCGGAAAACTGCAGGCCAGCTACCAACACCGTTGTTGAGGCAGAGTTCAACTGGATGACCGTGCCCGGCGTATCATGGCACAGCGGCCGCATCGAGATTGCTAACCCGGACCTCAGCGACGATGACACCATGGTCGCGTTCCTCGAGCAGCTCAGAGGCACCATCGGCGCCGCCGTTAGCCGTGTGTGCTCGTGTCTACCCACTTACATGGTCAGCCCGCTCTCCAAGCCTCCTCCTGCGTCAAGCCCATCCCGACGCGAAAGCTGACCATTCTTCTTGACAAAACACAGGTCATGGGCATGTCGGCTGAGACATTCTGGGGCGGCGTCGAGGGCGCGCAGCAGTTCGAAAAGTTCATGGGCGAGGCCAGCAACGGCCTCAAGGTTACGACCGGCGCGCTCGCCGCAAAGGCGGCGCTGGACTGCTACGGGGCCAAGAAGATCGGCATCATCACCCCGTACCAGGCCGTCGGGGACCAGCAGGTCGTCGACTTCTTCACGGCCGTGGGCTACGAGGTGCACATGATCCACGGCCTCAAGTGCGCGACCGCGACGTCCATAGCCGAGGTCGACCCCGAGACCATCAAGGACGCCTTCCGCAAGGTCGACGCCCCGGACGTCGACGCCCTGCTGCAGGCCGGCACGAACCTGCCCGTCGCGCGCATCGCGCCCGAGATGGAGGCCGAGCTGGGCAAGCCCGTCATCGCCATCAACGTCGCGACCGTGTGGCATGCGTACCGCACCAACGGCATCATGGACAAGATTTCGGGCTTTGGGTCGCTGCTGGAGAAGCATTGAGACTTTGTTTTCTTGCTCTCCTTTTACTTCCACCTCTCTGTATCTCCAGTTCGCACGTAGTAGATATCCACGCATTGCACCTTGACGAATCACAAAATAGAAAATATAGCACTCCGTAAAAGAGTCGACAAGAAATCCACATACCAAAAAAATGGTTATCTCAGCGAGGAAAAGTCTCCTCTCGATGCAGGGCGTATGCGGTTGAACTAGTTACTTCGTTTCGGCTCGAAATTTTTTTTTCCCTAATAAAAAGCACACGCGCTTCGCTCAGCGGCCACCCGTCGGTCTCGCTTGTTAGCAGCATACAATTGCATGCAAACGAATCGTTGCCACATATTTCTAGCGAGTGGAATGCATCAGTTTGCGAACGAAAGGTTCCCTGCCCAAGCTTTGTGCCGTGTTCCTAATTGGACTTTTCTAAACGCAAGGAAATCCCCCGTGGCAACGAATGGCCACCAGTGGAACGGAGGCAGGGTCTCGACCGATGCGTGTCTCACTCGGTAGAAGCGCAAATGGCCCAGACCCATCGGTCTTTGGTAGGGTTGGCTCACAGGGCTTCAACGGTCTAGACCATCAGCATAACAGTCAGGTGCCCTGCCTTGAAAGGATAGGGTAACTTCTTGGTGTAAACATATGATCGCCAGAGGCGGCACAATCGAGGGGTGTATTTGTTTTGCCAGTCTATATTACGGCAAGATGCTATCGTGGTGAAAATGCAGAATGTACGACGACGCTGACACAACTGCTGCTCTCCTTGTCTCGCAGCTGATATGCATGTACGGCCTCCAACCTTGTCCTCTATTCAGGCAGCTATGCCGACCTCTCTCGTCTCAGCAGCGGGCGACATCTGCTTCCCGGGGAGCATTGGCACAGCTGCACTTGTGCTGTCGCCACCAGTCGCTGCAAGGAACTCCTCTTCGGCCTTTTGCATGTCACCTTTGATGTCATGCTGCCAAATCCAGTGCAGCCGCTCATTTGCGTTGGCCACGATTTTGGCCATGTCGCCGCCAATTTCGGGGTGCTGCCATGTGTAGATGGTGCCGGCCTCGTAGCTCGTGTTGACCACCTTCTGGGCGCGAGGTCGCCGAATCGAGTCGTAAACCCTGAATGCCGCGTCCAGCTGTTCTGGCTTTCTGACAAGGGCGAGCAGATGGGACAGGACGACAGCATCTTCCAATCCCTGACCGGCGCCAGCAGCTTGGTGCGGGCTGGATGCGTGTGCGCAGTCGCCTATTATGGCAACGCGGCTTTTGTAATAAGTTGGTGTGTTGGGGTGATGGAAAGTCGGCCATTTGAGAGGCTTTGCGTAGTCGAGGAGTTGTAAGAGTCTGGGGTCAAAGCCTTCCAGGTCCTGGATCATCTCCTCCTTGGTGCAAGGAACGGGACTGTCGCCTTGTGTCCATGGCTTGTCGTCACAGACGAAGAAGACAAAGTTCTCCTCCTTTCCCTTCGAGATGGGGTAGATGGCCACGCCCTTCCGGTAGGCCATGAACCATTTTGCGTCGCCAGCATGGTAGCCCAGGATCTCCTTGCACTCTTCCATCGGGATAATGCCTCTGTAGATATACATGTTGCTGTATGTCGGGGCAACAAGCTCGGGTGCGATATCGCCAATCACGAGTTGCCGAGTGATGCCCTTGACACCGTCGCCACCAATCAGAGTATCAACCGAGATAGTCTCGCCGTCTTCGAAGACAACGACAACCTTGTCGCTCGTCTCGGTCACAGACTTGGCACGTTTGTTGAATTTGACTGTGCCCTCGGGGATGAAGCTGGTCATAATGTCAAGCAGGTCTTTCCGGTGTGCACTACTTCTTGTGAAATAGTCGGCACCAATGAACCCTTGCTTCCAACCTCTCTTCTCGCCAAACCCTTCCTCGGCGTACATCGCGTCAAAGACGCAATGCTCAAATTCTGGCTTCTCATTGGCAGTCTGCGGATTAGAGTAAGTATGTGGACTGCGGATTTATGTCGGTTGCAGGCAGGCATAGGCTGGCTTACCTTGGCACGCTCATACTCCTGGCGGAAACGTGTGTCGATGAGATCGATGGCATTCAAAGAGTTGGGGCCGAAGCCAATGCCAGCTCCAATGGAGGAAAACTGAGTTGCTGCCTCGTAGATTGTGACAGGCACGCCTCGCTTGATCAGGCCAATGGCGAGACCCAGGCCACCGATGCCAGCGCCCAGAATGGCGATTTCGAGTGGCTTGTCTTCTGTTGCCATGACAGGAGTGGTTACGACTGGGCTTGGAGCTGCCGTGGCTGGTGTTGGCGTTGTCTTGACACTCTGTTTCCTGTTGGCCTGGTTAAAGAGGGAACGAAGCTGCTGGAGCAAAGAGCTACGCTTTGATGGTCTCGAGCTTGCCATGGTTGCAGGTTTGAGGCAGAGGTTGACTAGGAGAGATCAACCAAGGCGGAGAGATGAGGGACAAGTCTTGAAGCAATTCTTCGGAGGCTTACTTGGTTGGTCAAGACTTTTTGAAGTTTTCTAGGACAACAAGAAGGCGGGCCCCCGGCTGAAGGGTCGAGCGATACACTATCGGCTTCGGGACAGTGGCGGCCAGGAAAGCTCTGCCGTTGTTCGACCAGGACCAAGAGCTTGGTGCAGGGATATCGGGAGTGCGTGAGTTCGGCTACGCAGTTTGAGTAGGCGGGCTGAGGGTCCCGTCGATAATGGCGATGTGAGACGGGCCAACTCCTCCACAGCTCGAGGGCTTGGACCGAAGAAAAAAGGGCTTCCGAAAAGAACGTCTGCCACTAATGATGTTGGAAACTAGCAAAGAAGCATGAGCCACGAGAATGGCCTCGGGTCGAAAAGTCGCGCCGGGTCGCCAATCCACGGTTTGCCCCCTGAGGGCAAACTGCATTTCCCACGGATGGGCACGACAACGGCCGCCGTGGAGCTCGGCAGCAGGGCTCGCGGCTCCGGGGCTGATGATTGTGCGTGGATGAGCGCTGCGAGGCGGCGGGGAAGCAGTGCAGATGGGTCCCATCCTCCCAGCAAACGCCAGGCTAGCGGGAGGCGCGTCCCGACGACAGCAACCTCTCTCCGCCCACATAGCAGGCATCGCCACATTGGGCCCTTGGTCCATTTGTCGACGTTCTGCATCCGCAGTGCTGGCCTCGGGATCCGCTTGCAGCATTCCGCTTTTGTGTGCTTGGGCAGCCGACCGGAATGCGACCTCGCCTGCCTGCCGCATGTGCTTCCTTCAGACACCAGGTGACGTGACGCCAGCCTCAACCTCGGAAGCCGGTCAATCGATGACTTCGCGCGCGGACTCCTGATGTTGATCGAGGCCGGCCATGCCAGCGCTCCCCGTCAGCTCTGTTCTCACAGCGTCGGGACACGAGCCAGGGCGTGGCGCTGTTTGCCAACATCGCGACTCGGTCCGATCATTGCTGCTTGGCGCGCATATGCAACAAGAACGCTCCGGAAAAGTCCAACATGATTGGTGTCCGTTACGATGCAAAGAGCAGAGACGCCATGAATGGAAATAGTGATGGGCTTGAAGCAGGGCTCTCACTGCTAAGGCTCTCGTGGTCGAGGAGACGTTGTCAACCGTGGAAGCTGGCCCAGGACTGCCCAGGCTCCAAGGAGTTAGTAAAGTACGCTACGTAGCGTACGTTACACAAAACATGGCCAGGGCTGCATTGCTATAGCCGCAGGGAGGAGACGCAGGTCTATTAGTTATTGGCTGCTCCCTCTTTGAATCCCCATCCCCATGGTGCAGTATCACCGAGTGCAAGCTCGATGTTGTGAATACAAGCCCCTGTTTCATGGAAGCTAATCTTGGTGGTAAACACCTGGTCCGTTCTGGGCCTCTCCCCGTTCTCCACACATGTCGCTGCGAAGCTCGCCACGAAGCAATCTACAGGTACGCCAGCCTGCTGGCCACTGCGACCAGGGATTTTTTTTTTCTTTTGTTCTTTTTTTCTGAGCATGCAACGGCACTGCTCATCCAAGATGTGCCAATGTAAGCACGGCAAGTTAACTCGGGCCGGCCCGTACCCAAATACCCTTCTGACTGCACTTCCAGCACAGTGGCCCAGTGGCACAGTGATTCACTCGCAGAATGAGCAGAGCTTTGGACAATATTGGACTCTACAGTGATCGAGGTGGAAGTATGGCGGAGGCACACGTATTGTGGTTTGCACACCGACCATGGAATGCTACCGTGGCGACATGGCATGGCCTTGCTGTCAGTTATCAACAGCCTCAGAACCGCTTGGCTCGATAGGGTCAGCGCTCAATATAATCAATTAAATCCAAAATGCACCAAGCGGCGCGCCGGCGAGCACTAATGGTTGTTCTTCATGCTTGCGGTTTTCCAGGCCCCGCCGACTGGCAAGAGTGGCTTCATGCCGTGTTGGAACAAGCCAGATGGGAAGGGCGATGCAAGATCAGTGGGGCCACGATGCGGGGATGGATGCGGGCTTCATCCGCCCGCGCCACCTGGGCAGTATCAGGGGCACGGCAGATGTGTCTGGATGGTACCTGGACCTTTATGCTGCGAAGAATCAAGATGTGGCCGGCACCATGGTGGCAGCTTGTGTTTCTTGCAAGAGACCTGAGGCCAAGGAGCACTTGTGTACGAGGGGTTTCGATCATCCAAGCCAGGACCAAACAGGGGTTCCTAGGCAGAGTCCCCATGATTTCCTGGCCACGGCACATGCCGCTGCATTCAATGGGAAGCTGAGAAACCAAAGCTGGCCTGCTACGCCGAGAGATGTGTTGCCTGCGGAGGCAGGTTCGGTGCGCTTCAGACAATCAGCCTTGAATCTTGTTCGTGATCGGCACTGTAAACTTGTCGATAGCACGGAAAACAAGCCGGCTGATAATGGTCTCGAGTCAGGGCTGGACAGTCTGGGCCGTCGGCCTGACTTGTGCGACGAGATCTGGTCCGCAGAAGAAATGCGTGTGCGGGAAGTCGAGACAAGCCTGGGCTAAGGCACGATTGCTCGGTGGCACTGCAATTGACTCATGTAATGCTCACGGTGAATAGCAACCTTTGCCAACTCAGGAAGGACCTGACCTTGCAGTCATCTCGCCCAGCCAGTCAGTGGATTATGTGCAATGCGTGGTTGCAAGGACGATTGTTTTGTGCGCCTGGTGTTCTGTCCACTCGTTCGAGGTCGAGCTTTGCATCCACGCGGCTTGTTTTCTGGCCATGCCGACCTTGTCACGCCGCATGTATTCCCCCCAAGTGGTCCGTCTGCCTTGCCTGTACCTGAGCAGGCCTCCAGTTCGTCGACCCTGTTGCGTGACCACGCTCTTCGCCGGCTCACCTGGCCCCGCGACACTTTCCATGGCGTGCTTGTCCCCGCTTCTGGGACTTTGACACGGTGACACACATCCCAGAGACTGGGTCCTGATTAATTCCGGCAGCCTGGCGCAACCCCCTGGTCGCGGCAAGCACGCTAACGACAGGTCTCGACGCAAGCCGGGTAGAATCCACAGACCCTGGCTGCATGCCACCATAGCACAGCCAGCCAGTCCCTGGTGCTGTCATTACGGGGCTCAAGGTCAAGTGCTCCCCCGGCCTCTAGCAGCGACAAGCCGCCAAAGCCGCCTGCCCACTCTTGCTTGCTCCAGACCAGTGGCCCGCAGCCAACAGGCCTCTCACAAAGCTTCCTTTCGACCTCTTTGCTTTTGCTCTCGACCCTGTGCTCACCAGGTTCCAAGACTGCATACTCTCAGACACCCGCAGAGTCCTTTGACGACCGCGCCGTCAAGCATACGCCTACGTACGCATACAGACTCTCTCGCGCTTCCTTCCAGCCAACCCGTGCCCCTCCCATCAGCAGCCAACCCAGCGACTCCACGGTCCCGACGCACCTGGCCCGACCCCGCCTGGCCACGCCCAAGGTTAAACTTAAGCCCAGAGACGCTGTGGGCTTCCGTAATCACGAGCTTGGGTGTAGCTCCGAGACGACTTCTCCACCACCTGCCACCAGCAACGGTCGTATGCTCGGCCGAAGGACGTTGTCGTCGTCGTCTTCGTCGTCCATCGCGTGTGTAGCTGCCCTCGGCCTTTCAGCAATGCTCATCCCAAGGCGCCCATAACACACACTTCGTGTCTCCGCCCCAGCCTCCCGCCCGCCCCCTGATAGAGATCTGCTGCTTGCCCGCCGTGCGCGAGTTCCCCTCTGCGGCCCGATCTTGGTCCGTGCCGCGAGTGCGCCACCCCTTGTCCATTGCTTCATCCTCCGTGGCCGGCACTGGTTGCGCCGGCATCATTCTTCTGACGTCAACAACCCTTCTGCATCTCAATGTCGGGCTTCGACGGATCTACCTCGTCGCCGGACACGGCCGACACGGGCACTGGCGCCTCTCCGCACCAGCCTGCCCCGGACCAGCCGATGATCCCGCGAAAGGGCAAACGTGATCGTGTGGCCTTGGCGTAAGTCCGCCCCGGCGTGGCAGGTCATGTTCCCATGCGCTGACCGACCTTCGGGTCTGCAGGTGTCAAAGATGCAAAACCAGGAAACAGAAATGCGATGGCCATCGACCGGCGTGTGCCTCGTGCGCTCGCCTGTCGCTCAAGTGTGGTGAGTCTCTGCCGTTCAGCTGCACTCAATGTTTTGCGTACTGATTGCCCTACCCAGTTTACATTGTGCCGTTGGTGCCTGCGGCAGGTGAAAAGAAGCTATACATCAAAGCACTTGAGCAGAGGATAGCAGAACTCGAATCATACCTGGCATCTGTAGGGCACATGAGTGTAGGAACAGATCATCTACGCAGGCTCAGTCAAGCGGCGGCCGGCTCATCAGCATCTCCACCACAGCAGTCTCTGCCTCCGTCGCAACCTGATCAGACAATACGTCAGCCTTCCGAGGATGATGGTGACGATATACTACGTGCTGTGCGGGATCTATCACTGCAAGCCTCTGGCCACTACGTCGGTGCCAGCTCTCACATCACGATAGGTCGCGTGCTCAGTTCGGTGGTAAACAGCCAGCGACCACCGTTCGCCGTTATAAACGAGGAGCATCTAACACAGGGCGACGAAGACCCAGCACCAAAATCTGTATACTCAAACCAGCATGGCGAGATGATCGGTGTGCCTTTCTTGACAGCTGCGGTCGCTACCAGATTGATTCAGGGGTGGTTCAGGTGAGTGCTGCAGTCTAACCATGCTTCCGCTCCATGGCCCCGAGGTTGTGGCTAATGCTAAATCCTGGCAGGCACATCGCAACGCGCTATCCTTGTTTGCATTCGAGCAGGGTGATGGAGTTGCATCGCAACCGCGACAACCTCACCGATGATTATGAGAAGACCATCTTGCACCTTATCTATGCCGTCAGCGGTCGTTGGCTTGAGTCAGCGGGCGAGATGGGCCATTTCTTCAGCGACCAACACTATGACCTCGCTTTCGATGAGATGGACTCCATGCTGCAATTACGAGACTCCCGCACGGTAGACTACCTCCTGCTTATGGCATTGTACTGCACCAGAGCCCCCAGAGACCCGGGCGCATGGACATACATCGGAGCTGCGATGCGGGTATGCATTGAGCTGGGACTACATCGCAAACCTCGGAGACAGTCACCCAGTGTCGCCAATGAGATGAGTAAACGGCGCTTTTGGACGACATATTTCCTGGATCGAGACATTTCCATTGCCATCGGACGACCTCCGAGCATTTCCGATCACGATATCGACGTGGAACTGCCGCTCGACATACCCGAGAACACTCTGGACGATGCATATGTTCGCAAAGCCTCTCTCAACGTTCAAAAGACGCCCGTCAGCCCTGTGAACTCGATGACGTCCTTTGTGCACCGCACGCGACTCAAGATAATTGAGTCGGAAATACAACACACTGTGTATCGCGTGGACCGGACCGACAAAGTCCCGGACGCGACGCTGAACACCTTTCTCGACCGTCTCAATCACTGGAAGGACACGGTACCGTATGAGGCACAGAGCTACGTCCACAGTCATGACACGGCTTTTGAGGGCATCGAGTTTTACACGATTCACTACTACCGCTGTGTGCGATTCTTGCTTTACCCTCAACTGGCGGAAAATCCCGTCAACATGCATTACCTCAAGCTGTGCTCAGACGCATGCGCGGGAATCATCTCGGACTACCGGCGGCTGCACCACATTTTCCCTGTCGGCTTCTCGGCACTATCAATACAATCTGTGTTCATGGCAGGTATGCAATTCTGCTCTGTTTCCAAACCCGCTAACTAGCCGAAGACAGCCTGCTGATATCTCCTAGGCCTCACGATGATATACTGTGCCTGGCTGGCTCCGGTCAATTTCTTGAGCGTCGATGGCCCTCTGACAGACTGCCAACTCCTATTGTACATTGTCACAGAACGCTACCCTTCAGCTCGAAAATATAGGGATGTGTTCGAGCGCATAAAGACGACAATCTCGACGCTGATAGCGCAGGGCAAGCACGAGCCACGCAACCCTGTCCCACTTGACACGCATATGCAAACCGAGTTCCCCCAGATGGCTGCTCCGCAATGGGGCTCTGGCATGAATGCAGACTTATCATTCATGATCAATACCATGACAGGAAACACAACGGCAACCACACCTCCTTTCGATATGAGCATTGACCCTACCGCCAGTGCGATGATGGGCCATAGTATGGAGCAGGCCGATGAGATGGCCTATCACTGGGGTGCTGTTCCTACCAACCTCGGAACTGGGTTGGATACGATGTCTGGCACATTCCACTGATTATACCCATTACTTTGCATGGCATCTTGGCATAAGCACGTGCATTCACGACGACGCAACAGTCGCTATCTCGCACCCATACTTGGCCATTACGGTTTCGATTTCAATCACGATGAGTCATGCGTCCCAGCTCGGTACTCTTTGGCCGTCATTGTGATGACGAAGCCGAGCGATTTGAGCAGCTGGGCCATGGTAGAGAAAATGGCGTTCTCGGTGCTCTGTCTTTTCTGGCGTCTTGAAGGTTGACGGCGTGAGCAACACGCCATTCAACATGGCCCTCGTGCCATGTGTTGCAGATCGGTCATCTTGTCTTTTTCGTATATGGACAGCTGGGAGGGTGGTCCTAGATGGCCGGTCTGTCTCGAATCAAAATATGCAAATCCAAATGCTTGACTCGACTTTTGGGTCCAAAGTTCCCGGTTGTGCCCAGTGTGTTTCCCGTCTTATCGCAGTGCCATCCGCAATCGGAGCCATCTCCGGTAATCGCAGGACCCTGAGCTGTGGCGCTGCGGGGCCGACGGGGTTTGGGTATCGCTGGTATTGGAGTAGCTCTGAAGCTCTCATGATGTGAGCACCATTTTGGTCATCTCTTGTACGTTCTGGGCCGAGCAGGCTCCAAAGAAGTTAGATGCGGCAAGCGTCGCGCCCAAGTGGCGTGCACACACCCCTGACCCGGCTAGCGGGGTCGGAACGATTGGCCCGATATGAGATCTCGGGACTGCGGACGCCTCTGGTGAAGCTGGTGAGTCCCCTCACGCTCAACGATGAGCAGACATGGCGGTTCTCGCTGAGGGGTTGTGGCGGCAGCATGCCTGGACTGTTCACCACATTGGCCATGGATGATCGATGGCCGTGGTGACGAAGCTTACAGGCAATGCAACTCGGAAGGCCAATCTTTGGCCCATGGTTGCATGCTGGAAAACGAAACCCCATGCCTGTCCCAGCTAAGTGGATTCCAGCGAGCCAGACCATGGACACTAGTGGCTCTTGCATGAAGGGACCAAAGTTTCTTAAGTCGGGTCGAGGACGCAAGGGTAGGTCTTTCTCCCCTCATGGGAGCTTGATATCTACCGCTTGTTACCAGTGGTGGTGTATTATCCTTCACATGCAGCTTGTGCTACTCATACCTTTCGATTAAACCGTAGAAAAAATACTGGCGTCCAGTGATGTTGAGCTCCAGATGATCGCCAAACTTGCGCCAGGGACTTATACGCATCTCATCCGTTGCGAGGCTTGAGTCACTTGACTTACAATTCTAACCGTCAACACCACGAGCTTGCTCTTCACATGTGAGCTTTCCGCGGGAGTTCGAGCCGTTCGACAAAACATTTCGCATATACAACATGGCGACTTTGCAGTTGCCAAAGCTCAACATCCCGGCGTCCTCGGCGACGGTGAGCGTGTCGATCATCAACAGCAGCGGCACTCTCCGGGGCGTGCGAGCACGACGGTTCATCGAGCCCGAGATCCCCGGCCACGACTGGCTGGCGACACCCATCTTCTCGTTCCTGGTCGAGCATCCGACGCTCGACCGCTCGATCGTGTTCGATCTCGGCATGCGCAAGGACTGGTGGAACTGGCCTCCCCCCTTGGCCGAGCGGCTGCGGACGAGTGGCTACACGCCGTGCGTCCCGAGGCACGTCCGCGAGATCCTCGACGCCGGCGGTGTCGACACGGCCAAGATCGAGGCCGTGGTCTGGTCGCACTGGCACTTTGACCACACGGGCGACCCGGCCACGTTTGACCCTTCGACCGCGCTCATCGTGGGGCCCGGCTGCAAGCAGCACATTTTTCCCGGCTGGCCGGCGAACCCGCGCGCCGCGTTCAGCGAGGCCGACTACGCAGGGCGGGAAGTGCGGGAGCTCGACTTCTCCCCGGGCCCGGGCCGGCTCAAGATCGGCCGCTTCGACGCGCTCGACTACTTTGGCGACGGGTCGTTCTACTTCCTCGACAGCCCTGGCCACGCGATCGGCCACATCTGCGGCCTGGCCCGGGTCAAGAGCCGCGGTGCCGGGGGCCCCGGGGCCGATCCGGACACCCAGGACAGCTTCATCCTGATGGGCGGCGACGCGGTGCACCACGGCGGTGAGCTCAGGCCACACACATGGCATCCTTTGCCTGCGGAGATAACGCCGCACCCGTTCGATCCGCTGTCGAGAGCGCCCTGCCCGGGCGAGATATTCGACTGCGTGCTCAGAGATGTGCCGGGCAGTTGTAATGGCGGTGGTGGCGGTGGTGACAGTGGCAGTAACAGTGGCGGCAGCACCAAGAAGGACCGGCACTCCCCGATATACCTGCCCCAGGGCGACCCTGCGTACGGCGTCGTGCCGCATCACGACATCCCCGAGATGATCGACTCGATCAGGAAAGTGCAGGAGGCGGACGCGCACAGCAACATCCTGGTCGTCGCGGCGCACGACCAGTCGCTGCTGGACATTGTCGACTTCTTCCCCGCCCGGGCGGACGAGTTTGCGGAGAAGGGGTGGGTACAGAAGGCGCGGTGGGCGTTCCTGATGGACTTTGCCAGGTCGGTCGGGTTTGATGGGGATCTGGAGGCTCTTCGCGGCGGCGTTGGTGCTGGCGAGGAGGGAACCACGCGAGGAGCAGGAGGAGGAGAAAGTAAGGGGTGGAAGCAGGAGAGGATGACGAGACTTGCGGAGAGGACTGGCGACTTCTCAGGCCTGCCCAAGGAGGAGAACGTGAGGGCCTGGGTAGAGAGAGGGGCGAATGTTCACTCTTGAGGCTTCATGGAAATGCCCGTCTTGCGAAAGTACTGGTCAGGGTTTATACAAGTCGTCGTAAAGCACTAAGTAGAGTGGGACTATCTGGTAACGAGTGAGGATGTGGCGAAACCATGTTTTCTGTTTGCGAGGCGTGCAAAATTGGCGTTCATGGTACTCTTAGGCAGCCCGGTGTGGTATTGATGTGCTCAAAGCTGCCCAGCTTGTGTGGTTGCAATTTGGATTTAGGTTTATGCCTGCAGTTTCCACAGTTGCATTGCCCTGGAGCTGAACGACCACCACGGCCGTTCAGGATTCGACAGCCCCAAGATAAAGCGCACACTTTCTACCTCATTTGGAGTCACAGTATTTCAGAAATGGGTTGATTAGATAGAATGCAACTACGAGTATTAGGATATTGCCTGACGGTTTGAAATGCTGCGTGTCTTTACAGCCCCTGGTTGGTTGCGGTTACGAGCACATGGTTTGACAAGCAAACCGTCAGCAATTGAGGCGGCCTTACTCCGCACGAGTGCCTGTCCAACCCCTCAGCGATACCAGATGGGACCCCCGGGGCCCCTGTAAGTGCCCAAGTGGGTGCCCATCCACTGCGGGGGATGGGACATCGGTTCCCACATCCCATCACATCACCTCGGGTTGCCGCTCCCGAACCATGGCTCCCTCATGGCGACGACATGGTGTGTCTAGTGCGCTGCATTGGGTGACCTGCGGAATCGAGTTGGCAGGCGGGCGGTGTTTCCAAGTCTGTAGTGTAGACTTGTGTGTAGAGCTCTGTCCAATGGCATTGCAGAAGGGGTCATAGATACAATACAGTATCTCCGTACTCATTCTAGACCCGAGTTGGGTGTGGGCCACCCGCCCCCAACTTTTACTCATTGGACACTTCCACCACAAGCGGCAATATATTTGCCATCGTCAACCATATATCGACAAAGTCGAATGATGATATTTGGTGTCCTGTACCAAAACCCCCTATCGCGTTGTATTTTAGCGCAAAGACCTCTGCGTGCGTAACACGGACAGGGCAGCCATGTCGGACACTTTTGACTTTATCGTTGTTGGTGGTATGTCGTCTCCAAGGCCAGGTGACATTGTACTTTTGCGCCCGACGAGGTTTCAATTATTGTCTTTCCTGACGCGCCCTCCACGATCATGTAAAAGCTAACGAATCCCCCATCTCTCTTACACACTGGGAAAATAGCCGGCCCAGCAGGTTCAGCCCTCTCCGCGCGCCTAGCCGCAGCCCCGTCCAGGCCCAGCGTCCTCCTCCTCGAGGCGGGCGGCTCCAACGACGGCATCGCGCACCTCTCGGGCGCCGAGCGCTTCGCCGTCGCCTTCCAGCCCGGCAGCCCCCTGAACTGGTCCTACAAGACCACGCCGCAGCGCCACCTCGACAACAACCAGGAGATCGACTACTCCCGGGGCAAGGGGCTTGGTGGCAGCACGGCAATCAACTTCTGCGGATGGGTCGTCGGCCCAGACGAGGACTACAATGAGTGGGATCAGCTTGTCGATGGTCGTGGCAGGTTTGCGTGGAGCAATGTGAGGAGGATACTGAAGGACAAGGTCGAGCGGTTTCATAATGACGTCCCCCGGGAGTACGGGAAGTGGTTTCAACCAAAGCCTGAAGGTACGTTTTGCTCTCTTGTGCCATGCGGGCCACCTCGTCCGAGAGACCATAGCGTCGACTGTCCGGGGGTCTCGTGTGCGCACACGACATCCCACGACATGATGGGTGGGCCTGAGGAGAACAACAAATATTGACGGGTTTACGCTGCAAACCCACTAGATCACGGCACGACCGGGGCTGTCGACGTCTCGTACCAAGAGGACTGGTTCGACATCTGCAAGGACCTCTTCACGGCCGCGGAGCAGACCCCGGGCTTCGACGGCGTCAACCCGGACGTCAACAGCGGCGACCCCATCGGCATGGGTATTGGCACGCTGTGCGTCTACGGCGGGAGCAGGATCACCTCTGCGAGCGCGTATGGGCTGCATGCACCGGCAGAGAACTTGACGGTCGTCACGGATGAGCTTATCGAGAAGGTGATATTTGAGCAGCAGCCTGGTGGCAGTGGTGAGAGTATTGCTGTGGGCGTGCGCTCTGTCTCGGGCAAGGAGTGGTGTGCAATCAAGGAGGTCGTCATCTGCGGCGGCGCAATCAACACGCCACAACTACTCATGCTATCTGGTGTTGGGCCTAGAGAACAGCTGGAAAGGCATGGGATCAAGGTGGTCAATGACTTGTCGCAGGTTGGGCGCAATCTACAGGACCACTGCTTCTCGACGGCAGGCATCGTGATCAAGAAGCGTCCCGGCGAAAGTGAGCTTGGGCCGAAGAAGTTCGCCTCGCCAATGGGCTGGTTCAAGTTACCTGCTGTCCATGCATCCAAGGAGTTTCAAGAACTACCCAGAGAGACAAGAGAGTTCCTGGAGAGGCCACACGTGCCAAACTGGGAGATCGCAGCGGTGAGTCGTGGCCGGTTCTAAATGTCGGCAAGTATTTGCGGAACATCCTTGGACTGACAATGCTCACAGCTTACACCATTCTTCGCCGACACACCACTTGCCGAGGACGAGGAGGTCTTCTCATCCATGGCGCTCATCATGAACCCCCAGTCAAGAGGCACAGTCACATTACAGTCGACAGACCCCCGCCAAGCACCACTCATCGACCCCAAGTTTCTCACACATCCCTATGATAAGCGGAACGCCATCGAGTCCCTACGTGAGATGCTTAGATACCAGCAGGCACCGGCGTGGAAGGCACGCGAGGTGACCAGAACAATAGGCTGGCCCGCGGGGACTTCCTACGAGACTTCGCCAGACAACATGTCTGATGAGGCTCTGTGGTCGATTGTCAAGAGCAAGGTTGGAAGCTCGTGGCACATGTCTGGAACCTGCCGGATGGGGGCCAAGGGAGCCAGCAAGGAGGATGCCTGTGTGGATTCTGACTTCAGGGTGATCGGGACAAGACGCCTGCGGGTGGCTGATATGAGTATTGTGCCACGGGTCAACAACAACCACACACAGACGACAGCGTACATCATCGGGGAGTTGGCAGCCGAACAGCTGATCCAAGAACATGGGCTCAGCCGACTTCAGCGAAGCACCTTGTAGTCACGATAGATTTCCAAGCCATCACAGCCACTGGTCAAGATAGCCGCAACATCTTAGTCGTGTTCAAGTATTTGGGATCACTACGCTGTTGCGGAAGCAAGATATGATGTCGGCATCGGCTGGTGACACTCCATCTTGGACTGTGGTCCAGTCCTGTGCTTGAGACTGATCCCTGCGATACGGTAGACACTAGCCACGCGACACGGCCGTCTCGGAAACTTCTCCGTCGTCGATCGGATGGCTCAAACCAGATCTGGGGTTTTCGGCAACAACGCGCCGGCGCTATCGTTCCCTGCCACAATGAACCTGGCTCTTTTATGTATCATGCAAAGCTGATCCGGCTGGTTCCGATTTGGCGCGATCGAGCATGGACGTCAGACGCGCGAAACCCAGGGGAGCCCAAACTTGACGGCAATACGTGATATGCCAAGATATAGCCATGGCTGCTTGCTTCCTCGGGGATTTAGCGACCTGCCTACGGGCTCGCTGACTGAGTTGAAGCTGTGCCGCTGGTAGATATGGAGAAGAAGAGTATCGCGGAGATCCCTGTCTCCCATGTGTCAGCTCATGCAGGCCAATTGTCACCATCACGCCTGGAACCCCCACTCAGACGATTGGGTATTGTTGTATTCCACGATGCTGTCACCACGATTACCCATCAGGTTTGGTGGACAGGCTCGATGATTGACGCTCGATAAGATCGGGGTGCCATTCCTCTCGCCGTCGGAACATTGCTCGGGCGTGGAAGCCGTCGGTAGCCAGGTCGCCGCCGGCGTTGCTCGAGTAGGCCGGACCGGTGGGTCTCGTCGACCTTATCACGACTCGTGGGCATGATGGTGAAGCTAGAAGATAGGCCTCGGCCGACGTGCTTGGGGAAAGTGACGGCGCTTGCAGGGGAGGGGTGTGTTACCTGTACTTGCATATCTGGTGGCCTTCGCAACAAACCAGCACTATTCTTCATCCGATGTGTGCATGTAGCGATGCCACGGGGGTGCAGAACATCGGCATCGTGGACCCGCTGCCATCGGCTTGCCGATGCGCCCACGCCGTTCCCTTGTCCATGGTGCCGCCGCCTGATGATGCACACTCTCGCAGAATGGGGCCGAGTCACAGATCTGAAGGGTCGACATGGTTCCGAGAGGAGCTCCGTGAAGCAATTAGTCATTGTCCCCTCACCGAGCACAATGCCCAATGCCTGCAGGGAAGGAGCAACCTCCGTCCCGGCTCACGGGCAGCTTGCCTCCCCCGGTGCCGGGTGCCCCGCATCGCATCTCCAAGAGGGGCAGTCGCAAGTATGCTTGGCCTGGAGGCAAGAAGGAGCGCCTTGGTGTCGTGGCGATAGGAGTTATGTGGTTTTCTTCTTTTGACTGAGCATAGAATCCGTTTTTGAGCTTGCCACTGCTCCGTGCCAGTTTGACCTTGACTCTTCCGCATATTCTGCCGCACTTGCTCGCAGCCTGTCATTTCGTGATACCCCTCCAGCACACCTCGAATACTCACACGCCATGGCTGCCACCGAGGTTCAACATTTCATCAATGGCGAGGTAGGCACTAGGCCATGCTCCGGTATCTTCCAGTCCGCTGTTAGCACGTCGCTAACTCAAACTAAATAGTTTGTGCCGTCAAGTGACAACAAGACATTTGACCTCTTCTCGCCCTACACGGGAGAGCTGGTTGGCAAAGGCGAGTCTTAAGTCTGTCCTGCCTCTGGTTCCTGACGAACGCCGCTTGACTTCTGCGCATGGACACGAGCTGACTCCATTGAGCAATAGTCTCTGAGGGTACTGAGGAAGATGTCGATAAGGCGGTTGCTGCCGCCCAGGCTGCTCAGCAGTCCTGGTCTTCTCTCTCGCCTGCGCAACGCGGCATACCTATGGCCAAGCTCGCTCAGCTCATCATTGAACATGACAAAGACCTGGCCAAATGTGAAGCTCTCGCCATCGGCCGGCCTATAAGCATCTACTTTGATGGCTACTACGCCGCCACCCACTTCAAGTACTTTGCCGAGTCTGGCTACGCCGTGGGCACCTCGAGTCTCAACACGCCCGGGTTCATGAACATTTCCCTCCGCCAGCCCTACGGAGTCTGCGCCGCCATCATCCCCTGGAACGCGCCGCTCGTCTTCTTTAGCAAAAAGGTCGCCCCTGCCATTGCCGCCGGCAACACCATGATTGTCAAGACCAGCGAGAAGGCGCCACTATCTTCACACCTCCTCGCCAAGCTCATTGCGGAAGCTGGCTTCCCGCCTGGTGTCATCAACGTGGTCCACGGCCATGGACAAGTCTCAGGCAACGCCATCAGCAAGCACATGAAGATCCGCGCGTTGTCTTTCACTGGATCCGCACGCACTGGGCGTGTAATCCAGAAGGCTGCGGCCGACTCGAACCTGAAGCATCTTATTTTCGAGCTCGGCGGCAAGTCACCTGCCATCATCTTCGAGGACGCCGACATTGAAAAGGCTGCCAAGGACACGCAGCACAGCATCATGTTCCACTCTGGTCAGACTTGCATGGCCAACTCGCGCATCTACGTTCACAAGAACATTGCCGACAAGTTTGTCACCACCTTCAACGCCCATGCTGCTGCACGCAAGCTAGGTGACCCATTGTCTCCAGATACCACAAGCGGTCCTCAGGCCGATAAGACGCAATATGAGACGGTCCTGCGGTACATCGAGGAGGGCAAGAAGACGGGCAAGTTTGTTGACCCCGGCGCTACTGTGCCATCGTCCTCTCCGGGCGATGGTTCCCAGTCGCTAGACCTCTTCGTCGGGCCAGTCGTGTTCCTGCAGCAGCCAGAGGACAGCAAGGTGATGAAGGAAGAGATTTTTGGCCCGGTCGCGTGCATCAACACTTTCGAGACCGAGGAAGAAGCTCTACGTGTCGCCAATGATACCGAGTTTGGCCTGTATGCAGCGCTCTACACCAAGGATATTGACCGCGCATTGCGTGTAGCCAAGGGACTCGAGTCGGGAATGGTCGGCGTCAACTGCACTTCCCCGACGGGTGCGTGGGATATGCCCTTCGGCGGGTACAAGTCCAGCGGCGCCGGGCGCGAGAGCTTCTTGCACTCCCTGGACGACTGGCTCGAGCAGAAGGCCGTGTTCATCAAGGTTGATGGTCTGCTTGGGTCATCTGGGCCGACGAACAGCACGCTTGGAAGGTAGTAGCAAGTATACGGTTCGAGGTTACGAAAGAGCGCAATCTAGCACATATCAGTAACAGAAGGCACATAGTGTATTGGACGTGTTCTTTCTGCCTGCCTCCATCTGCACTAGTTGAGCAACTCTGCATGGCTCAATTTACCCCTTTGAAATACTTGACCACGTCAGCATTTGGTCGAAAGCTAGCCTACAGACTTTTTCATGATCAACATCAGTCGAATCCATCTTGCATTTCATAAATCCAAAGAAGAACTTGAGCGTGACTTATGGGGACACAGAGCCACGGGGACTTGAAAGCAAGAATCGTGTTCGCCACGGCAATGATGGTGGTATCGGTGCATAATTACAAGGTCATACACAATGCGCAAAGCTAACATAAACAAATCAGGATTTTAAGACTTCCGCCGAGCACTTTCCGGGATCTCGCACTTCCCCCTGTTGTTCCTAGGGAAATCGTCCAGTCGGAGGAGAAAATTGACAAGCAAAAGAAAAAAAAAAGGATCAAATCGTCTTGCCAAACATCTTCCACCACGGCCGCCTCTTGTCCTCCTCCTCGTCCCAGGCGTCGCTCTCCTTGACCACGCTGAGGAACACGCTCTCCATGGTCGCCGCGCCGATGGTGTAGCAGTCGAGGCCGAGCTCCTCCTTGCGCGCCTCGAGCGTGTCAATCATGTACCGGACAAAGCTCCGGTGCTTCTCGGCCCGCTGAACGTGCTCGGGCACCGGGGTGTCCGCGGGCACGATGAAGCGCACCTGCCCGCCCAGGTTCTCGCCCTCGAAGTGGATGTCCGGGAAGGTCTGCTCGACCCAGCGCGCGACGCCGGCCATCTCGTCGGCCGGCGAGAGGGGCGCGGTCTTGAGGATCAGGTGGACGTGGTACTCGTTGCTGTGAGCCTTGCGCAGCTCCTGCGTGCTCCCGACGGCGAGCATGCGCTTGGCCACGATGGCCGCGCGGGTCGCCAGAGCGTCGGCCTCCTCCATGCTGTGCGTCGTCATGAGGATGCTGCGCCCGGGGGCCACGGCGTGCAGGACCTTCCAGAGCACACGCTTGCTGGCGGCGTCCATGGCCGAGCTGGGCTCGTCGAGCAGAAGTACAGGGGGGTCGCCGAGCAGCGCAATCGCCAGGGACAGCTTGCGCTTGTTGCCGCCAGAGAGCTTGGAGCCCAGCTTGTCAGCGTGGACAGTCAGGCCAACCTGCGCCATGACCTGCTTGACGTCGTTCTCAATGTCGTCGACGCCCTTGCAGCGCGCGTAGAAGCGGAGGTGCTGGCGGACGGTGAGGAGGTCGAGGGCATCAAACTGCGGGCACACGCCCAGGCGCTGCTGCGCAAGGCGGACGTCCTTGTGCGTGTCGACGCCCTCGAGCAGGATACGGCCCTGGGACGGGTTGAGGTCGCCACGGATGCAGTTGATGGCCGTCGTCTTGCCGGCACCGTTGGGGCCGAGGAGGGCGAGGATCTCGCCCTCGCGAAGACCAATCGACACATTGTCAACGGCAACGTTGGCATTCGCGCCGCTGCCAAACTGCTTAGTGACGTGGAGGAGGCGCAGCAGATCCGTCTCCGTCTCCTCTACTCGCTTTGTCTCGGCGTCGACGTCGGGTCTGCCAGACATCCTCTTGCCTGCTTGCTTCTCGTCGTCTGTGTCGGCTCCCCCAACCCTCGGCTTCAACACCATTGCCAGCCAGGCAAAGGTGCTCCCTTCAACCCAGAGCAGGAAGCAACCGTACCCAATAATCTGGATGATGAGAAGCATAATTGGCCCGCCGTAAGCGTAGATCGAGCTTGGATCGGTAATCTCTACACTACCCTGGCAGCGAATGGAATAGGTGTTTAGACCAACTGCCAGCGAGCGGAACAGATTCAATACCGGGAAGATGAGGCCAAGGCCAAATGCGATGCCGTTCGAGGCAACCTTGTCCTTCGCAGCGTCGACAGTCTATATGCAATCAAGGCAGTCAGCATTCAGTCGGCAGGAGTCGCAACAGGTTGTGAAACTTGGGCAGCGTTACAGGGGAATTTGAACTTACAACCATGGACACCACGGCAACAACATACATGATTGCCATGAACAGGAAAGAAAGCGAAAACGCTGCGACCTCGGACCGTGAGATCAGAGTGATAAGGTAGACGATCTCAATGGCGACTATGCCGAACAAGACCAGGACCAGGAAAACATGGCCAATGCTGAACCAGTTGGCAGTCATGGACATGACTGCGGTACACGCGGCTGCGATGATGAGCACAAAAGTGAAGTCGAACAGGAGATATGCTAGCCACAGAGGCAGCGGCCGCACACCATTGGAAAACTGCAACGCGCGAACCTGGGACTTCCGCTCATATGTTGGATAGAGAGAAAAGAAGCATGGGTACAGGAACATCGCCAGGGAGATGACGGTGATGTAGACGAATGAGAGGCCGACTGTTGCAGGGCGCCAGCCGGCAAGCGTGCCAACTTTTGCCGTGATCGTCGTGTTACTCCGGACAGCATTGGCGAGGTGTGGGATGTCACCGCCTCCGCCGGTGTCGCTTATCATGAGCAGGGGGTTCTCGCCCAGCCAGATTGCTCCCTCACTTACGTTGTTGGGATGCGAGAGAACAAAGTCTATCAGATCCTGTCGACTGTTGTAAACGAAGGGCCCGTACTCCCAGCCAGAATATGAGTAGCTTGGGTAGAGGGAACCGCCATTCATGTCCGCGATGGCATCCGCGGTCGACTCGTTGACGGTTTGTGGCCCGAGAGCCAAATACCCCATCGAATAGAATCTTAGCTCGCTGTCGTAGCCGGGCTCACGGATCACCAGAGTCTCGCACTTGGGAGGATCAAACTTGAGGTTGGTTCGCAGGTCCATGATGAAGCCGCGAACACCCCAGGTGATGATTATGGGCAGGAACAAAACCAGAATGTACGCCCACCAGTACGAACGCAGCACAAGGATTCGCTTAATCAGGAATGCGCGGAGTTGGTTGGAATAAAGGCTCGTGAGAGACAGGGACTTCGGCGTTCGTTTCCCTGGCGCGGTGTTTGTGACTGTGGTCAAAGACTCACTCTGAGAAAGGGCGTCGATGGCTTCGCCAGCCAGAGTATGCGGCTCCTCTGCCACCTTGAGAAAGACATCCTCAATCGTGGGGCCGGTCATGTACAGCTGGGAATCGTCACCCTCAGAGGAGAGGGACGCAAGGAGTTTCGAAGCAGCCACCGAGTCAGGCGTTGTGGCAATGTACCGATCACTTTTTTCCGTGAGGGCCAAATCGACCCTAGAAACGTCTACCGTTTTTGGTATGTGTACCCGGTAACCGCCGCCGTATTCACTCTTGAGCTCAGCCGGTGTGCCCTGGCATTTCATCTTGCCCAAAGTCAAGATTGTAATGTGGTCGGACAATACCTCGCTCTCGTCGAGGAAATGGGTCGTAAGTATCATGGTGCGACGCGAACGCTCTCGGAGAATAGCATTCCAGATGACGCGGCGCGATATCGGATCAAGCCCAGAGGTCACTTCGTCGAGCAGGCAGACGGAGCTGCCACCGACCAGCATACAAGCAAGTTGCAACTTTCGCTTCATGCCGCCGCTAAGGCTCCGTGCCAGCTTGTCCTTCTTCTGCGTGAGGTCACAAGTCTCCATGAGTTCGTCAATGCTAGAAGCATTATCGGCGCTCCCTTTCAGAATGTTCCAAATCGTGAGGTGTTCGCGAACGGTCAGATTGTCCCACATGGTGTTCTTTTGAGGACAAATTCCAATTGAGGAAGGCGAGACGTTGAACTCGATGGATCCAGCAGTCGGGGCTTGGAAGCCTGCGAGCATTTCCAGGGTGGTGGTCTTCCCGCTTCCGTTAGGACCAAGGAGGCACATGATTTGACGTTTGTGGCTGATCAAATCAAGCCCATCGACAGCCTTGACGGTTTTGCCGCGTCCGCAGCAGAAGATCATGCGCCAGAGGCTTGGGGAATAGTGCTTGACGAGACCAGTGGTTCGGATAGCTACATGTGATCCTTCTCCTTCGGGAGAAGTGTCGAAGCTTCTGCGCACACGGTTGTTTCCATGGACTTTGGACTCCACTAGCCAGGCTAGGAACGGGAATAGGAAAATGTGGACAGTGAGGAAGATGAGGAATGGGTAACACCCGATCTCGTTGTACCACATCACTCTCGTTGGTCCCCAGCTGTACTCATCGATGGGGAGTGGTTGAGTCGCGATGACATCCAGCTCGTCAATTTCTGATCTCAACAGGAAGTTGAAGAAAAAGATGAAATCCATAGGGGGGAAGACAGCACCCAGGCCCAGGATCATACCCATGCTGACGTTCTGCATGCTCTCTGACATGGCACCGCCAACTGCGAGAACGAGGACGATGATACCGACCACCAGAGGACCCTGAGATCCTTTTCTGAAGAGGGATGCCAGGAACGCGCTGAAGCTTGCGGTAGCCAGACCGGAGAGGACCATCCATGCCAGGGTGAGACCAAAGTTGACATGTTGGAACAGAAGAGCTTGAAATACTAGTAGGCATTTGATGGTCAGCCACGAGAATGTACGAGAGTATCATGGTGAGAAATATGATCAACTTACAGCCGGCCATGATCAACCACAGGGGCAGGTACAGGGCATCAAAGAATAAGATGTTTGAGAGCACGCGAGCCCATGCTGCACCTCCACCCATCGCGTCGATGAGATGCGACATCCCGGATGCGCGATCTCCACAAATCACACAACTAATGTGATGGGCTACAGAGGCGATAGCGACGTAAAAGGCGAAGTTGATAATGAACAGGCACATCGTCAAATAATCTATCCGCGCGTACTTTGCGGCCTGTTCGACACTCTGGCTGTAAGTCGTGTATAGCATCGTGTCGTACTTGGTGGTTGAGTTCAGCATTGCATTCTCGATGGTGGTGATGAGAGGTAGCTGCAAGTTGTTGTACGCGTTATTCTTGTCGAAAATGTTGGGTGACCACATCTGTATGCCCGGGTCGACGCGTATGACATATTCCCAGCTGGCGTTCACCCTGCCACTGAGGGGAGAGTCGTTGAAAAGAACCATGGCAAAGCAAGGTGAGTTGCCATCAAAGTCGACTGGGCAGACGGTATCGACATCGTCGACACGATCGAGAAACTTGACGAGGTCCGCGTCGAGTGGGCTGGTGATGGTTTCGATAACGTGGTCGATATCAGGACCTACTCCTGGATCTCTGTAGAGGACAAGAGGTTTTGATCCCATCACTTCGGCAAGCGACCGGACGGACGTGACGTCGGAGTGGCCATTGAGCTTGGAAGGACGCGCTGTGAATTTCGGGATGCAGAGCAGTAGTGCAACGAATGCAACGGGTAGGATGGCAGCTCGGATGAGAGTCGAAATCCAAGAGCGGACAATGATGACCATGAGATTCTTCCTCAGCAACGCCAATAATTGGCTTCTGAACAAGCTGGGAGCCGCCATGCTGTACTCTCAGATTGTGGCACCTGGATGAGAGACAAGTTTGTCGACAGCCATGTGAAGAGCTATTCGATATCTTGTTAAAGAAATGGGCAACAGGTCGGATTTGCGAATTATAAGGTTATCATGTGCTGCCAGGGGTCATCTCTTCATCAGTAACCAAGAACCCTTCTTCGTAGGCTATCTCCCATAGGCGGCAAGGGGCATAACCGAGGGACCAGGCAGCAGAATACGAAGGAGAAGCAGATGTCCAGAATGCAAGTGGACTGCTTCGAGGAGCCGCCAAAGGAACAGACTCCACAGGGGTGGTTCCACCTCAGGCCACGGCCTGGGAGCAACCAAGACATGGCACGCAGGGGATGTGATTGCGGTTGTGATGCCGGAGCTTGGGGTCCTGGCTCCACCCTTTTGCTTTGCAGCGGAAGGGAGACAACATCGCGAAGAGGTCATTGGTGCAACCAGGCATCTCCTGTACGGCGGAGGGCCCTTCCTGAGATCTGCCCAATGTCTGTCAGCCTTGTAGGGGCACCGTGTCACAGTTGCTAGCCGTGTTGTCGGTGCTACGTTAGAACGCATGGGTAAGGTTCTGATGGGTCACGCCCAAAATAGTCACCACAAACAAACTACCGTGGTACAGCAACCACTTGCGCTTCCCGCCCTAGCCAGACAATGCGCGCTCATTCAGCCGCTTTGAGAAAAAGGGTTGACTGAGTCGCCACTTCTGATCGTCGCTTCCTGCACACTCTCCAGCTAATGTATCATGTGGTCCAACACGAGGATTGACTGATTCGGCGACCAACCCCAACACTCTGTCAGTGTTAGTGTGGAGAATGCTACGTCCCCTGTCATTACCGGGCCGCAGCGTAGCGCGGAAGAAACCAGGCTGCCAGATTAAACACAGTGTGATTGGCCAATGTATTCGAGCTTCTTCAGATCAGTCCCGCTCTGGAATCGCACTTCTAAGGCCGCAAGAAGTTCCGTGCAGATGGTTAGATTTCTGTTGTGCAATCCATTGTCTCAGTGCCAGAATTGGGAAAATTCCCGAAAAGGTCCCTTGTTTGCAGGCCACAGTCACCTGCCGCTCTTCCTAACGTGCCGCAAGATCGTCAGGCAGCAACATTGAGAGGGTTGCCAGTGGTTTCGCATGGGTCAAGACCCGGCATTTGCCCACGGCGCATTGTTGAGAGGGTTTGGGCACTGTGGACGAGCCAAATGCTCCACGGATATGTGCGCTCATGGTGTGATATTGCTGCACATGTGTCGCCTCGGAAGGAATACTGCGATTGCGACCACGGCCGCTTGAATTCAAGGTTGCTAAGTGTAATAAGGTGGCTGTGGTGCATGAATGCGCTGGTCCTGCTGCGCCGTCAGGAAACTCAATGGGACCTTGAACCAGATGATCAGTGCACTGTCAAGAAGTGCAGAAATTCGTCGCTCAGCCAACCCCTCGATGCAGACTGGTGTTGCGGGCCATCGGTCGGCTCTTGAAGCGGAGCCGTGGACATGCTTTCAGGTGGACTGGAGGTAAGCTGACTGCGGGTATTGGGGAGATGGGATTTCTCGTCCAGCATGAGCAGCCAGGTCTTGGCAAAATGGATCCCGGAGCTTTTCTGTCCGTTGCGTTCGCCCAGATCTGTCTTCGTAGTTCCTATTCACGTTACTTCGCCACATGCGATAAGTCGATGCTGCTAGCCAATGGTCTTGCAGTTTGGAGTCATGACAGAAAATGCTCTTATTGTTTGCTGGAGACAAGACTCGTGCGTGTCTAGAAGCGATCGTCCTTCTTCTTCAATCCGAACATTCGAGTTACCTCTGCGATGCCGTCAAGGACGCTATCGACAACGACCTTGATGATACTCTGCCGCTTGTTCTTGCCCTCGGAGTCTGCCGCTCGATCCGTACTTCCCATTGTCGGCAAAACGTTGTCGCTGGCGGACAGGCTTACGAACAGGGCGAATGGAATGAGCCATACGCACAGCCCAAAATACGAGGCGATCTCGCTGAAGGTCGGCACATCTGGTTGATCATACATGGACGTCATGCGAGAATATGACTGCTGTTGGAGGGTCGAGAAGTGGCGGAAACAGAAGTAGTGGTTGATGAGCACCAACACTGCCACAGAACGATCAGCGCTTAGTGTCCAGAGAATTGCAGGCTGTGAGGGTCGACCATACCACAAGATGCAAGGAACAAGGGGTCAGTCAGCCTAACGAAAGGGAAACGCTTCATGTTTCCCAGGTAGACCACATGGGACCCGATGACCATGAGGCCAAGGAGGAAAGGGAACCTGTCGATGATACATAATATCACTTGCAGAACGATGACTGCATAGATGAGTTGCGTCAGGAGGCGTTTGGCGATGACGGTGTGCTCCTCGACGAGTTCGGATAGATAGTAGAGACCAGAGGCTATGTTCATTGACAACAAGTCAGCACGGTGCTCGATATGGAATGTCAAGTCCCAGGCACTGCCTCCGGTAGTTTTATGCGCTGGCTTACCAATTGCTAAGGTCAAGAAGCAGAAGCCTACTATTGACCCCAGGTATCCCACCAGCGGTAAGATCCACATGTCGACTCAAATATTGTGCTCGCCGAGTTTATCCAATTGTTGCTTGGGAAAAGCTCGTCGGAGTTCGTCAGGGGTCGTCGGCAAAAGCGATGTGGGAGCTTGGAAGGGCGCGAGGCTGAAATTTAGCTGTCGCAATGACGTCGTGCCTGCGATCTCGGGTGGTGCTTGGATTATGGTAACACAGCGTCGGGCGAAGCGCGGTTACGAGGCTGAAATGAGCGAGGGTTGGCTCGGTATGCTCAAAGGCTCGTGATGTTGTCAAGCATGGGAAGCTATGCCAAGCCAAGGCCGCGTGGTGGTGGACGGGGTTGTAGGATTCGTGGCCTCTCAAGCTGCATGCAAGACAAGCCGAGGACAGCCCACCTTCGCCCTAGCTGGACGCGTCCAAGGCCATTAAACACGTCTCCATGAGCGCACCAAGCCTCTGACAGGTGGGGGCGTGCACCCTCTCCAGTTCATGTTATCGATAGGGCTCTCTGAAGGTGCGCAAGGGCGGGCCCCACTGAAAAGTTGAGGACTTCGAGACCGCACTTTGCTCACGGCGACGACGGTTTTGGGTTACAAGAGGCAATCACGCCAGACGCAACGGAGCGCTCTACCCCTCTCATTCCCACTTGACTGTTTGGTCCTCGCTCTCCGGCGTATTCTCCGGATCTCTCGTCATGTCGCGGCCAGAAGACACCCTGTAAGCTCCGCTTCCCTCCTCGTTCTACCCCTCCATGGCAATTAGTGGACAGGTACTGATCCCATATGCTCTCGCGACAGATCTGCCGACGTGCACTATAACGATGTCGAGGCGCGCAAGTACACGACTTCATCACGGATACAAAACATCCAGGCATCGATGACTCATCGTGCTCTGGAATTACTCGACCTCCCTGGCCCGTCCTTCATTCTCGATGTTGGCTGCGGCAGCGGTCTCTCCGGCGAGATCCTCTCGGGACTCAGTGAGGAGGAAGGCGGTCCCCATGTATGGGTGGGAATGGATGTCTCCGCTTCTATGCTTGATGTGGCCTTACAGAGAGACGTGGAGGGCGACCTGCTTCTGGCCGACATCGGCCAAGGAGTCCCGTTCCGAGCTGGTTCCTTCGATGCCGCGATCAGCATCAGTGCCATCCAATGGCTCTGTAACGCGGAAACTAGCGATGTGTCGCCCTTGGGCCGATTCTCGCGATTTTTCAATGGCCTGTACGCCAGTCTTAAACGTGGTGGGCGCGCGGTGTGTCAGTTCTACCCCAAGAACGACGAGCAGAAGAAGATGATTACGGGCGCCGCAGTCAAGGCTGGATTTGGAGCCGGTCTCCTGGAGGATGACCCCGAGACCAAGAACGTCAAGGTCTACCTCGTCCTTACCGTTGGTGGTGGCAACATTGAAGGAAATGGTGGTGATATCACAGGCGTCGTCAAGGGCATGGACGATGTCGACGTCCTTGACGGCCGGCAGCAACGGACCAGTGGCAAGGGCGATATCAAAAAAGGCAGCAAGGCATGGATTGTGCGCAAGAAAGAGCAGATGGAGCGCAAGGGCAAGGTTGTGAAGGCGACCTCGAAATACACTGGGCGGAAGCGGAGGATACAGTTTTGAAGCCACGAAGATATCCCCTGCATCTCACGGCGTTCTGGAGTCTTTATTTTTGACAATACCAATCTCATTCCTTACTGATGGACATGGAAACGCTCCTATCATCCACGCGACCCCCACTGGCCAGGCGATTTATCTGATGTGATTCATTTGCGCTCGAGTTGAGTTGTGTTGAATACTTAAGTATTCTGCGCCTTTTGGTGGCAGATCGACCGGTGCAAGCACGGTTCGGCAAGTGCCTTGGCTGCCTGCGTTTGCGCGACTTCCAGGATTCTGGAGCGTCATTGGTCAAGTGACGCTACAGCGCAGAAATGTCTCTAGGAACCAGCTCGCCAGCTTGGCAATTCGCGGAATCCATCGATCCAACAAAACTCCGAGACATATGGGCGGCGCAGAAGTCGCCCTGGGCAGCCTTCAACGGCACACGTTCTGGACAGTCGCAAGACTTTTCTACATTCCTTCAGCAATCGGCAACCTTTCATTGCACACCTTGTCCCTATCTCAGCTCGTCTCCGTACGACCTCGTCCACTTGAGTAGGGAGGGTAGCCTTGTGCCGTTTGTCACGACCGGAGCATCGCAGCCATCATATGCCAAAGAGCGCCATTTCCACACTTCTCACAACCAACGCAGGCCCGGGTGATGTTGAGCCAATGGCCTTGCACCACATGTTAAGTCAAGTCCTGCAAACTCCTCGCCGAGTCAATGCATTGCAGGTCAAGAGTACTTTGGCGGTAGCCGACCCGCTTGTCGACGATGTTGTCGACTTACATCTCGCTCACGATGCCCTCACCACGGTAATAGCCTTGTTCGAACTCTCCGGCTACCTCAAACCGCTAACATCCCAATAGATCGTCTCTTATCTGAAAGCGAGCAACGTCATCACCGCTGTACAAAGTACAGTTCTAGGGAGTATTGTCAAGAAGCTTGAAACCGCCACCAGGGACTCGGTTTTGCTTGGCCATCAGGAAGAAATCACAAGTGTCCAAGAAGAGGGCTACGAAGGGGACGATGACCATACGCCGATCGAGACGCCCCGCCTCGAGGCTGCCCAGCTAAAGATGAGGCCGACGGCAAAGCCGTTCACGCCGGGAAAGCTACCTTGTGTAGACGCTACTTCCGACAATTCGCTCCACCACCTGTTTGGCACGGCCGAATCGCCCGCCTCGCTGAGCAAACAGCTCGTCGCGAGCGCTTTGGCTTACTCTGATGAAGAGACACCATCACCCTCGGCCGGTGGACAAAGAGGCTCTGTTGATTTACCCATGCGAACGCGGAGCACATACAAAAAGATCACATTCCGGAAGGCACCGCCAGAGACACTTTCGCAAGGGCCCGTGCCTGCGACCATCCCTCCACGCCCAGATTCTCCCATTACGCAATTCCTGAAGTCCAAGACCTTTGATGACCCCGACTTATCTGGCCGTGAAGAGGCCCTCAGTAGAGGCTACGGCTTCGGCGCCAAGATCCTGCAGCAGAGTGGATGGAAGGTCGGTCAAGGTCTCGGCCCTACAGGCGACGGGATCAAGGTGCCCTTGATACCCCGCCGAAACGATACCAACGCTCTCAGCGGCAATGACGGCCATCGCGGCACAGTTCCCCGTGGAAGAGCCATTCAGAACACTATGGACTCGTGGCAGCAGTATGCTGCTGGCCACCGAGAGGGAGACAAACACAGCCTCTCCGAGAACGAGCCTGGCCAGACACATGCGGACAAACACGAGACTGGGCCCGGTGATGCGGAGGCGTCCCGTCTGATCGACGACTCTCCAGAGTCTGCGTCCATAGCCAAGTCAGGGGTAGACACCTGGGTCTCGCACGTGGCACAGCAGAGGATCGAGTTGCAGGAATCTACCGACATGGTGCGGAGCTGGGTCATTACGCAGGAGTCGTCTCCTGACACGACTGAGGAAACAAAGACCAGTATGTTGGCGTTTGGCGACGAGAGCGGAATGCGCCAGAAGCGTGCTTCCAGGCTCCATCTGCGACCGGCTCTCGTGCCCGAGATACCGACATGGGAGTTGAAGGAAGAGGAGCGAACGAAGCAGCTGTACGAGTCGATCTCTCTACCTCTGCCCGAACAGGGGTCTAAGACTCAAAACAGGTGGAAGTAGTCCGGGGCCCCTGAAAGAGACAGGATTTGGTCTCTCAGGAAAAACGAAAGTCTGAGCCTACGATGTAATCCATTCACTGTCGGGGTCAGGGGTTCACAAATGTGTGGAGCGATGCTGGAGTTGTGAGAAGCAAATACCCTACGGAGATACTATGAAAGGAAGGGTTGTCATTACGTTTGAGAGCGATGTTCTACACCCAACTGTCTCGGCAGGCGTCTACCTCGACAGAATGAAATCTCTCCACTCACTCGGTGCGGCAACGTGCTCAAGCGATATGAGACCTGCCATAGTAGACGCCTTGCATGTCTGATGCTGCGCCTTTTCCCTTGGCATACTTGATCGATTTGATCGTATAGGGAGAATTTCTATGACATGGGTTTGTGGAGGCTGGAGGCTGGAAGCTGAAAGCATTGAATAAAGGTGCAGCATGCACAACAAAAGTCGTCTCCACGACTATTTAAGAATAGCACATATCCATGAAACATCAAGAAGCTATCTCACCACGGGAGATTACTTGAACCCAGGCAGATCTGTGCTCAAAGGTAGAAACAACCGGCCTTCGTGTATGCGTCCTCCGTATATCATTGCGCTAGCGAGCCACAGGCTTACCCCAGCGCCAGCTGAGAGGCTCCTCGACGCGGCCGCACCCCCTGTTCTTGTGATGGTACGGGTGAGCGAACCGGAACATCTATTGGTTCCGCAGACCTGCAGCAAGTCGGCCGTGTTTCCGTGTCATGAGACTTCGAGTATGGGCAGCGCAGAGTTTCAGCCCGCAATATATGGTGCAAGGACGATACAGACGTTGGTGTTCGTTTGTGTGGTTCGCCTATAAAACATGGCAATCTTCCGGCAACCTGATGTTCCCAAGAGATTGAAACCACCAGGGGTTTAGTAGTAGTTTCTTGAGAATCTTTCCGAGCTCAACAACTCCAATAAAGTACATGACATGATGGTGGTGTCAAGATCACCAAGATCAGGAGCGGTCCTGCTCAGCCTCTTCTTCTACGGCCACCTCGTCCACTGCACGCAGAACGTGACGACGAGCAGCACGACGACGGCGACCACGACCATGACGACCACGACCACGACCACGACCACCAACCACCATCCACCTCCAAACTTCCTCTTCATCCTCACCGACGACCAAGACCTGCTGCTCGACTCGCTTACCTACCAGCCCCTACTCCAGAAGCACATCACCGACAAGGGCACCCGCTTCGACAAGCACTACTGCACCATCGCGCTGTGCTGCCCCTCGCGCGTGTCCATGCTGACCGGCCGCGCGGCGCACAACACCAACGTGACGGACGTGAGCGGGCCGTACGGCGGGTACGCCAAGTTCCTGTCCGAAGGGTGGAACGAGCGCTATCTCCCCGTGTGGCTGCAGGAGGCCGGCTACGATACGTATTACACGGGCAAGCTCATGAACGGGCTGTCGGTTAACACTTATAACAAGCCTTTCCCCAAGGGGTGGAACAGGACAGACTGTGAGTCATTAGATCAAGCTACCTGCCATGAGTGTGCCGCAACATTGTGCTTGATTGTGTCATGGGCGCCAGCGCTGATTCTTTTTTTCGGGGGGTTCTCCCAAATATTCTGTGAGAATTAAAGTCTTTCTCGATCCCTACACGTACCTCTACAACAACGTGACGGTCGGCCACAACGAGGAGGTGCCCAAGGGGTGCCCTGGCAACTACTCGACCGACCTCGCCTTGGCTCGAGGGCTCGACTATCTCGATGCCGCCATCCCTCGGGCGGGCGAGCGGCCATTCTTCATCGGCGTGGCGCCCATCGCGCCGCACTCCCAGTCTATCGGCCAGCGCTTCGACCCTGCGGTCCCGGCAGACAGGCACAAGGACCTATTTCCCGACGCGAGGGTGCCACGGAGGTTGAACTTCAATCCGGACGAGGTCGGTGCCGTGTAAACCCTTGGCTTTTAGAAGAACGACTTGCCCCAGCTTGCTGGAGAGCTCAGTTGTGCTGACAACACTGACTTGTTGTTGTAGGCCAGCGGTGCAGGCTGGATCAAGACGTTGGAGCGGTTCAACGACACAGCCGTGGACTACTTGGACGAGTTTCACCGGCTACGCATCCGTTCCCTGCAAGCTGTGGACGAGCTCGTCGAGGCGCTCGTCGAGCGCCTCGAGCAGACCGCGCCTCCCGAAGTCGTGGACAACACTTACATCATCTACACGAGTGACAATGGCTACCACATTGGACAGCACCGCCTGGCGCCCGGCAAGGCCTGCGCGATCGAGGAGGACATCAACATCCCCTTCATCGTGCGCGGGCCAGGGGTGGCGCAGGGGCAGAACGTGTCCTTTCCGAGTTCGCATACCGACCTTGTGCCCACGATCTTCGAGCTCGCGGGGATTCCGTTGCAGGAGGACTTTGATGGTGTGCCGATTCCCGTCACTGTGGAGCAGCAGCTCGCGCTCGAGCACAAGGCTGAGCATGTCAACGTGGAGTTTTGGGGATTCGCGGGATCAGAAGGGCAGGTCCTGAGCACCGGGTCTGGGGTCGAGAATGGTTTGTCCCGCCATTCATAGAACCCTCATGAAAAAAGCAGTCTTGTGTGGCGGCCGTCCCGCTCTGATATGTCATGACATCTGCTAAAGAAGGAAAAGAAGAATCCTGCTGACCAGGTGTCCGTGTGTTCAGGTTCTACGGATACCAACACCTACAAGTCACTCCGCATCGTCGCTGACGATTACGACCTGTCATACACTGTCTGGTGTACAAACGAGCACGAGCTTTACGACATGAAGGTTGGGACACCCCTGCCCGCAGGCTGCTGCTATGCTGCCAGTCGGCGCTTGGGCTGGACATTACTGACAAAATGATTGATGCACAGGCGGATCCGGGACAGCTCAAGAACATCTACGCAAACTCGTCGCTGATATACGGCTTCGAGCCGGCGAAGCTCATTGCCCGCGTCGATGCGCTGCTCTTGACGCTCAAGGATTGCACGGGGGTCTCGTGCCGGCTGCCGTGGCAGACACTGCACCCGGCTGGCGACGTGCGGACGCTGGCTGCGGCGATGGATGCCAAGTTTGACGACTTCTACCTGCAGGAGCAGAAGAAGGTGAGCTTCAGCGCCTGCGCGGCAGGCTACCTCCTCGAATACGAGGGCGCTGTTGGGCCAGTGCCCTATGGTGCGGAAGCGGTTGTTCTGGAGCGGGCGAGGTGGGAAGATTGGACGTGAGGTGAGGCCTGACTTGGGTTCTTTGAGCATCGTACGAGAGACAGTTCTCAAGATTCTGCTCGTGTGCACTTGCTTGTGCTCGCAGCTATTCAGGATGCCGTTGTACGTAGACAAATAAATGCATGACAATGAGGTTGTCTCAATGTGGGGCAAACAGTGTGTCGGATGGCCATGTGTCGTGAGAACGCTTACCCGGCACTAACTTGGCACCTGAGTCGGTGGTCGATTGGCATGTGAAGGCTACTCCTCGATATGACGTCGACAAGCACTGAGACAAAGCTGGGGAAATCTGCAAGCAGAGAGCCGGGCATTCTGACGACACTTGTCGCAGACGGGGCGACTGCAAGTCTGAGCGGCAATTGCCATGGGACAGCCGGCAGACACCAAACTGCACAACAAAGAATTATGATACTGCGCAGAAGATGCGGACGAGCTGTGCGTGCTGGGCCGGGTGGAAGGATGTTGTTTGGGCAAGTGGAGAGCGGGAGCATGAAAAAATCTGGAGCAAGCTCGGCTCGGGGAGGGCAGGCGCCGTAACGCCGCATTTGAGCTCCGATGCGCCCACTCGGTGCGCCATTTGCGGGCAGCGGCACGGCCTGTGATTGGGCAGGGCCAGCACCAGGCGAACCACAGCAGCACCTACCTGTTCGTTGCGCCGCGCTGCGCTGCACTGCGCTGCACTGCTCTCGGTGAGCGCACTGCAAGCACTGCAAGCAGCAGCAAGGCAGGTCCTGTCCTGGGGGTGCACGGCACTGCGCGCACTGCAAACCACCGCCGGCTCCACCCTCACCACTCGACCCTTCCGCTCACCTTCCCGGGCAGCCACGAGCCTGCCCTCTTTCCTCTCCTGCCCCGACCTCATTCCTGACCTTGACGTTGCTGCCCTCCTCCTCCTCCACTTTGCTCTTCAATCTCCCCTCTGCTGGCACTCTCCCTCTGCCACCCTCACACTTCTACACTTCTCGGTCCCGCAAACCTCTCAACATGCTGTCCCGCAACTCCGCACGGGCTGCCCAGGTACGTGTTTTTTTCACAATCCCCCGCTTCTCCAGTCCGAGCCCTCTTGGTCGCTTTGCCGTGCCCTCGCGGGCCGCATCCAACCCCCAATGGCTCGTGACGACATCTCGCATGTCCCTCGAGAGATATATCGCAGCCTTTCCATGCTGACAATGCCTCCTCCCTCCAGCGCCTGAGCACCGCCGCTTCCCAGCAGGCCACCCGCTCCTTTGCCACCGTCCAGTCCGACATCTTCAAGCCCACAAAGTTTGGCAGCAAGTACACCGTCACCCTCATCCCCGGTGACGGTATCGGTGCCGAGGTCGCCGAGAGCGTCAAGACCATCTTCAAGGCCGACAATGTCCCCATTGACTGGGAGCAGGTCGATGTCTCCGGTGTCGAGAGCGGCCCTCCCGGCACCTCTGAGGGCGTCTTCCGCGAGTCCGTCGCCTCTCTCAAGCGCAACAAGCTCGGCCTCAAGGGTATCCTGCACACCCCCGTCGACCGCTCCGGCCACCAGTCCTTCAACGTCGCCATGCGCCAGGAGCTCGACATCTACGCCTCCGTCTCCCTTGTCAAGAACATCCCCGGCTACCAGACCCGCCACAAGGATGTCGATCTTTGCATCATCCGTGAGAACACCGAGGGTGAGTACTCGGGTCTCGAGCACCAGAGCGTCCCCGGCGTCGTCGAGTCCCTCAAGATCATCACCCGCGCCAAGTCGGAGCGCATCGCCAAGTTCGCCTTTGCCTTTGCCCTGGCCAACAACCGCAAGAAGGTCACCTGCATCCACAAGGCCAACATCATGAAGCTTGCCGACGGCCTCTTCCGCAACACCTTCAAGGAGACCGCCAAGGAGTACCCCACCCTCGAGATCAACGACATGATTGTCGACAACGCCTCCATGCAGTGTGTCTCGCGCCCCCAGCAGTTTGATGTCATGGTCATGCCCAACCTCTACGGTGGCATCCTGTCCAACATCGCCGCCGCTCTCGTCGGTGGCCCTGGTGTCGTCCCCGGCTGCAACATGGGCCGCGACGTCGCCGTTTTCGAGCCCGGCTGCCGTCACGTCGGTCTCGACATCAAGGGCAAGGACCAGGCTAACCCCACTGCCCTGATCCTCTCCGGATCCATGCTCCTCCGCCACCTTGGCCTCGACGACCACGCCAACCGCATCTCTCAGGCCATCTACGCCGTCATCGCTGAGGGGTAAGTCTTCTTTTTCTGTCAGCTCTCGCATTCCTGCAGGCGCACACTAACAACCTTTGCAGCAAGGTCCGTACCCGCGACATGGGTGGCGAGTCCACCACCCACGAGTTCACCCGCGCCATCCTCGACAAGATGGAGACTTTGTAAATTCTAGAACAGCCAGAGTTCTCAAAGTCGTAGTTGGAAACCGAAAGAATAAATGAACAAAGCCCCAACATAAATACCCCAATTCATGAGATACACATCCACCCACCACGTCAACTTCTCCACATTGGAGATTTCAGCCATGTATATCGTCCAAAAACTATAGAGAGCAGGGAGGAATATGGACGGGGGATCAAGACCGGAGAACTGCCTACGGTCCCGAGCAGCGCACACGGCGCGAACGGAGCCCAGGAGACGAGGGCTGCAACATGCAGTGCACCGTATGGGCCAGGATGATACCTCTCGAAAAAGTCACGAATCGACGACTTTTCTTCTGGATATTATGGCGTCCGCCTCGGCTATTATGCTCCAAGCAAGGTGCACACGCCGGGATAGGATTCTGCCATATGGACGGATGCATGAAAGAACATAGCCTTTTGTTTTTTTACCAATCAATTATCTTGTAAACGAAGCCTGATGACATGGACAATGTGAAGTGACCATGCATCGCCATGTCCTAGCAAGGTAGAGCACAAAAAAGAAAAAATGTCTATTGTCCCGCTGACGCCATGACGCCCCCGCCAAGAAAAGCCTCTTGCTGGAAATGTAACGGCCAGCGAAAAAAAAAGTCAAACGCGTTGTACCAGTGCTGCTCCCGCCTCGGGGAAAAAATATCTACACGTCTTGTCTGTACAAACAGCTCTGGACCAGCTCTTTCCCCCCAGCCCACTACTATACCATCTCCTCCTCATCCAGCGGCTCCACGCGGACAAGAATCTCCTCGAGCAGACCCTCGAGGAACGTGCCGACGTCCTTGCCCATGCCCACCGGCTCGCTCTTGTCGAGCCGGTCAATCTCCTTGCACACGTTGGCCAGCTTGTACACGTGCTTGCGGATCTTGTCGTGGGCCGCCTCGGCGCGCTGCCGCTGAGGCGTGATCTTCTCGTTGCGGTAGATCTGCTGCAGCCGTACTTGCCGCCGTTTCAGGGCCTCCTCGAGCGCCGGGAAGATGACGTCGTTCAGCGCGTCCAGCTCGCCGTTAGCGTTCGCTGGTGACGGCGATGGGAAGGACTCGGGTGGTGGCGGTAGCTGCTTCGGCTGGGCGGCTGCTTTCGAGGCAAATGCCTGTGCAGATCGTTGAGGTGAGCTCTGTGGCGTGATATTCTGGACAGGTTGATGGGTGCCGCTAGCACCACGGAACGGTGGTATCTCGGGAATGATGAATGAGCTGGGTTTCGATGGCGACCTTTGCTGCGGTTGCTGCGGTTGAAGATGCGTCTGGGAGTTCTTGGCTGACAGGATATGCGGCTGTATCGCCCGAGGAGGTGCCTGCGCAAAGAGTGGCTGAATGTGAGGTGACTGCATATTCAACTGCGCCATGTCTTCTTGGAGTTGGTGCTGTAATGCTTGGTCGTAGTCCACAGATGTCATGGTCGCCACTGGTGCGGCATGTCTGGGTGGTCGTGGTGTCTCTCCATCAAGCGGCTGTGGCGGCAGCTTTCTCGGCGAAGCAGGAAGCGGTACTTTGGTTGGCGAGGGCGGTGGCAGTGCGGAGACCGGTTTCCGTTGTGGTGATCCTTGTCTCGAGTTGCCGCCATTTGCCTTCAGGGTGCTGCCCGAGGCCGAGGCAAAGTCATGCGCTGAGACCTTGGACGGCGACGTCGCCCGAGGGCTTTCGCCATGGTTCGCATCAAGTGGCCGAGATGCCCGGGCATTCCTCGCAGAGTCATTCATATCATTGAGACTTGGCCTGGTCACGATCCCTCCGCGGTCGCCGACGAGCCGCACGGTTCCAAAATCCCACATGTCTTCGTTGACCTGCTCTCGCTGAACAGGCTCCTGATTCTCATCGTACGGGTCGTCATCTTCAGATTTGTGCGTCGCGCGCCATCTGCTGTGTCTCTCAATGAGTTCTGTGAGATATGTCGTCTTCTTCGCCTTCCGAATGAAAGGGTGTTTTAATAGTTCTCTGGCTACTGGTCGATCCTTTGGATCTCGCTGTAGGCACAGTTCTATGAAGTCCTTGAAAGCTTTGGTGAAATTGCCCTCAAGTCTTGGAGGCGGGTTCTTTGGGATCAAGAAGAGGACCTTCATCGGGTGGATATCGGCATATGGCGGCTCTCCATTTGCCAATTCGAGTGCCGTTATTCCCAAGGACCAGATGTCTGCCTTGTGGTCGTATCCGGACTGTTTAATGACCTCGGGCGCCATCCAGAACGGCGTGCCTACGAACGTGTTCTTTTTGGTCATTGTGGCAGACAGCTGGCCCGAGACACCAAAATCGGCGAGCTTGACCTGCCCATTAGAGCCAAGCAGCACGTTTGCAGCTATCGTCCTGTCAGCACAAAATCTCCACTGGAAGCCACATCAACTCCCAATGGCCATACCTTTGACATCACGGTGCAGCTTTTTATCAGCATGGAGGTAATCCAAGCCGAGCAGCAGCTCGCGCACAATAATGGCGATGTAGTCCTCTCCGATATGGCCCGGCTTCATCAGGTCGGCGCAGCTTCCGCCCGAGCAGAATTCCATGACGATCCAGAGCTCGGCGCCTTTTGCATATGAGCCATAGTATTTCGTGACGTATGGCGACTGGAGCTCCGAAAGAATCGCAATCTCTTGAATTATGTCCTCCACCTCGTCTTCTGCGCTCTCGATGTCGATGACCTTGATCGCAACAGCTTGTCCTGTCCTCTTCTCTACACTGTAACCGCGAGACCCCTGGTGTTAGTCGAACCGAAGTACGTGACGTGGTTACCAAGATTGCGAAATTGGACGGAACGAAACGAACCCTTTAAAGACCTTGCCGAAACTGCCTCCACCGATGCAAAACTCCTTTGTGTATAACAGCTCCGGGTCCAATGCCTCGTTGGCTCTGCCATCATCATAATACCGGTCCGCCATGGCGATTTGCGGGGGGGGGCCCTTTCCTTCAGGTCGCAGAATTTGAGAATGCTCCCGTCGCGGTAGAGCTTGTATGGTCCGAGGCCGGTTCACGCGGTCGGTTGGAATCTGGTGTGGTAGGTTCACCGGGGTTCGTGATTCAGACGAGCAGTCCCGCGCCGAGCATTACAGGGTGGGATATATTTTGTCGGACAAGAGGACTTCTGGCTGTCCGGATTGGCGGCTCGAGAGAGCTTGGCGAGAGGAAGAAGAAGGTCTGCTGTCCGTGCGGGACGGTTCGCAGTGTGCTGGCCGCGAACCGATTCGGGTTTGCCGTTCGGACGGTGGCCGGTCGTGTTCGGCGGGCGGTGAGAAGTTGATCAGCTTCGACGAGGGCTAGCTGTGAACACGGCACGACATTCCAGTCAGGTCGGCAGGTCGGCAGCTGCTGGGCGGAGGGCAAGAGCGCGGAAATGATGCGCCACAGTGCCGTGGAGTGTAAGTTGGGTGCAATGGGGTGAGACGGAGGGAAAGAAAAGGAACAGTGGTGAGACAATGGCGACGATCTCGAAATGGCCAAACGGAGCCGGGGCACGGGATCTGCGTTGCTGCGGGGAAGGCGGTTGACTGTTTTGGTGGATTCGAATTGCGGACAGGGCAGGCAGTGGCCAAGTGCAAGGCCAGGAGAGGGAGGACTAGGCCCGGGGTGCGGGCTCCTACTTCATGCCCCCAGATATGCGGAAGACTCGACACAGCGGCGGCCGCAAGAGCGAGGGTTGTTTGGCGAACAAGTTGTTGTTTTGTTTTGGTTGGCCGTTGCTGGCGGCCGTTGTTGTGGTGGTGGTCGCAGGCCGTCGCTGCACTTTCCCATTGGGGGATTGGAGAGGTAGTGGAGGGGTAGGTACGTACCTTACGCAGTACGGTACGTAGCAGCCTTGGAACCGACGAAACCGCCAGGCGAGGCCACCAACCAGAGCGCAGGCTTGGAGCCCTGGGCTCCATGCATAAACGCAGGGCGGGCAGTGGCTGGTCAACGCTGTGACGGGGGCCCGGCTCTCGTGCCTCCTCAGCCTGTTGTCAATTGCCATGTTTGATTGGACCAGGGCGGTCCCGGGATGGAATTATGCCTGCCATTCTATGGAATCTCACTCACTAGCCTGGCGACTAGGCCGGTGGCTTTGTGCCTGTCTCATCAAACACACGCCAGCTAGCTCCGCGCTTCACCGTCGTCCTCAAACAGGCCGTCCGTCCCACAGTCGGCGATGGCATTGAATTCGTCATTGGGATTCTCGTATGCCAAGCACCCCTGTGCCTGGCCGCCTGCCCAGGTGGGCTGTGGCAGATCCAGCGATCCGGGGGTTCCCACTCCGCACAATCCACCATCACCATGCATGACTGACAGGCCGCCCCAATCCCCCAATCCCCAGATTAACAACTTGCCAGTCCTTTGGTTCAAAAACACCATTCCTCAGGCCCTGAGCGGCGTGCCTGCCAGTCCCTGCCAAGCCCTGCTTTCGTTGCCGAGTCTGCCCTTTGGCTTGAGCTTTGAGCCATCAGCCACTGTCTATCCTCCCACGTGTCTGTCTCACTCGGAAGCTACTTCCTTGAGACCTACTGTACGTACTCGTGTCCCTTTTCCCAAATGTCTTTCTTTCTTTTCCCGTACCAGTGCCAAGAATAACTCTGTCACGCCAGAGCCAGAAACACGCCAGAGTCCTTCCGCGCTTCCAATGTCAGAAACAATGTTTCCTCGTGGACTAGACAACGAGCGCGGCGTGTCTCCACCCCGGGGAGTGAAGCATGGGTGCGCACCCCAGCGGCTGGTGCCGCTTTTACAGCAAAGGCTCCAGAAGCTTGAAGAGCGGGCTGGCCGTTGAGACGCCTAGGGCGCGACCAAAGTATTCCATCTCGACCTTGTTTGTGTTGATGTGCGTCATATTGCCGAACCACTTGTCGAGCACTCCCTGGCCAATGTTGCGCATGCTCGTCTCCATCTCCAGGCGGAGCTTGTTGATCATCTTGGCGACGCCCTCGCGGCCATAGATGTTGGCAAACATGAAGGGCCGGCCCAGTCCCACCGCCCGGACGCCCAGGGCGAGCAGCATAAGCACGTGGGTGCCATGCCTCACTCCGCCGTCCGCATAAATCTCCAGCTGGTTGAACACCTCGGGGTACTGGCTGTGCAGGTCAAGCAGGACCTCGACCGCCGTGGGCATGTTGTCGACTTGTCTCCCGCCGTGGTTCGAGACATAGACGGCCTTGAGACCAAGATCGGCGCATCTCTTGATGTCGAGCGCAGAGGTGAGGCCCTTTGGCACAATGGGCAGGTCCGTCATTGTGCGCAGCTCCGCTAGGGTCTCCAGGGTGAACGCGTCCTTGTGCGCGCTCTCGCTAGATGTTGAGACACGCTCATTGCGATCACGGAGGCCCTGGATGCCCATGTTATCGACAGTCACGAAGATCGCCTTGAAGCCTGCGGCCTTGATGCGCTTCAGCTCGTTCCGCAGCCGCGTCCGGTCGTCCCACATGTACTGCTGATGGAACATGACTTGGCCTTGCGTGGCAGCATTCGCAATCTGCTCAATGCTGAGCGTCGAGGAGATGCTCGGCACATAAAGGATGCCCGCATCGCCAGCCGCCTTTACGAGGTTCGCCTCTGCTTGGCTGTTGGCGCGCCCAGCCTGGGCTGCAGGGGCGATGAAGAAAGGTGCGGAGAAGTTGTACCCGAGGACGGTGGAGCTATGACGAAAGGTGAGACATTGTTGACCGCCAATCTCTCCTCCGGCGCTAAACCGTGGTGACGACGCAAAGGGGGACTTACTCAAGTCTTGTTGTTGTTACCTGGTTGAAGAGGTACTTGTTCAGAATAATCTTGTTCCAGATTTCCATGTTCTCGATGTAGGTGGTTTCTCCCAACGAGGCGGTTCGGTAGTAGACGTAATCCTTCGTCTGCAAGTAGTTCTTCGCGGCGATCTGGTAGTCATTGATGGCGACCATGTCGCCGATGGGTGGTTTCTGTCCAGCAACCCATGGTCCGGTATTGAGTCCTGAATCCGGGATGCCCTGGAAGAACTCCTGGTCAATGACCGCTGCCGTTGTCGGAAAACCGAAGCTCACAACGAGCACGGTGACCAAGGCGTGTACAAGCATTTTATAGCAATGTGAGGCTTCGTGTCCGCCAAGATAGTCAAGGGATATTAACCATATGACAAACTGAGACCTTCTTGGGCTTGGCCGTGTACCAGATGATGAAAAGACTTGGGAGACACGCTTTGCGGGAAAGAAAAAGGATTGAGATCGCGAGACAAAATGAGCACAGTGGCGTTGGCAAAATAACGGTCTGTCCAGGACCCTTATATGAACTGCTCGAGTTTCCGCTTCTTCCTCAGCCGCATGTGTGCGCGACACCTGACGAGGCATTGGGGCCTGCAGTCTTGACCTGCCCAGCATACGAGCCGCCGTGAGGCCTGGCCCTGGCGCCGATAGTCCGCCAATAAATGCCTGGCTTGTCGTCGAGATAAATCACCGTCCCGTGCGGAGCTAACGAGCTCGGCGGTCTGCTGCGGTAGTGCTCACCCAGCATCATGCATCCGGGACGGGATGGACCCCTGCCAGTGACATTCCAGCGGGCCCGGACCCTGAGTCCAGGCCAGTCTCTTGATGCCTGGTCAGCAGCGAAAAGAAAAAGCAAATAAACCACAGGGACCAGCCTGCCGGGCGGAGTCAGCCGTGCGCGCGTAGAGGCATGCTCAATGGGGCTCACTGATGGCGTCAGGCATGGCCTGGCGGTTCGGGGTATCATGCTGCTAGGCTCTCAACGGTCCCGCGCCAATGCTCGGATAAGAGGGACGGGGTCTTCGAAAGCAGGCCGCGATATCCACCCTGCTGTTGCTTCCCACTCTGCTGCATTCACGGCTACAACCGTCTCGGCAGGAGCCTCGGGGCTGCCACGTCGTACCGTGGAGGCATGGTATACGAGCTTGCTTGCAGTAGATTGCTGCGGCTGAACCGGCTTATCGGACCCAAGCAGGTCTCTTGCATTGGGACCCGGTCCTGCTTCGTGATATCATGGCCATTGGTAGCGATGCTCTTTGGTGTGTGGTGCTGCACCATGCGGTGGTGATGGGAGGTTTGCTGGCAGCAGCTACGTCAGCCGACGTGGTTGTATGACGTGAGTGCACTGCGGATGCTGTGGGCCAACCAGCCAGTGGCATGTAATGCTGCCAACAGCGGCTGTTGGGGGAGGTTTGCAGATCTTTGCTAGGCCGACAGCACGAAAAGGGGAACCGTTCAGTTGCTCCCTGTGGAATGCACCACGGGATGCTCCTTGCTAGTCGGACCTTTGGAAACGGCAAGTTACATATGCCTGCATTCCCACGTGTTTGCCATACCCGCCATGTTGGTCGAGAAAGTATAAAGTGTAGTAAGCAAAAAGAGATAGGATCGTCTCAAGGGCGACTTCGTGCACCGAATCAACTCTTGTGGTTAATCAGCTGGCGGAGTTCCATCAGTCCCCGGCCTGGTGCAGCAGTGACAGGCCCGTATTTGACCACGCATCACCGATGCAGCCGTCGAGGGTCCAAATCCGTCTTGCAAGATCCAAATCTAGCACACCAGTGGTCAGCCAAGTAGCCATTTTCGCGGGAGTTTTAAACTTTCTACTTGCACCAATGCAATGATCAGGCGATGCAATTACCTCAAAGGGGGCAAGCGAATGCAAGATTTTAGGCTCCCGCAAAGAACACGGCTCAGCCCCAAGCACTCAGCCCGCGATCCGGCATGCAATTTTGTCGCTAAAGAATAAGATCATTATTACTCTATGGTATCCATGCTATGCAGAAATCATACGCTTTTTTCAGCCAAATGAAACCCCCGCCCAACGCCTTCCGATACTATGCATCTTTTGTTGAAAATATACAGTGCGTCTTCCCTCTACCCGTCATCATACAACGACGGTAATGCAGAACAAGCCAGGTTCTCGTCACACCACGCCACATAGTTAGTTCTTCTCGCCAGCATGGTCCCGGATCAGCTGGACGTCGTCAATCTTGATCAGAGACCACTTGCGGTCGACCAGCAGCTTGTGGCCCATGAAGAGCACGACGAAGAGAATCAAGCTGATGTAGGCCGCGAAGAAGTCGCTGACATCCCACTCCATAAAGACAGTGAAGCCGTTGGTCAGGATGATCAGGATGCAGAAGAACAGGCCGAACCAGGTGAGGTAGGGCTGGAACCGGGCGGCGTACACAAGGTCGGTCTTGCGCGAGATGCCGCGGTGGGCGAGGATCTTCTGGAAGCGCAGGTGGCAGATGAGGATGCACGACCAGCTGATGAAGCCGGCAATGGCGGTGATGTTGAGCAGCCAGCCAAAGACCTTCTCACCGCTCGCGGACAGGTTGAGGAAGGCCAGCAGGCCAATGGCAGAGGTGGTGGCGACCGCGGCGTACGGCACACCGTGCTTGTTGGTGTAAGTGAGGACCTCGGGGGCGTGCTTCTCCTTGGCGAGGGCGACAAGGATGCGGCTGCCCGAGTAGACGTTCGAGTTTGCGGCTGAAAGCACCGCAGTGAGGAGCACAGCATTGATGATGTGCGGCAGGACCGGGACACCGGCGAGGTTGGCGGCAATGACCAGGGGCGAGGCGGCTGCGTCGGTGGAGCCGAGGAGGAGGTCTTCGGTGTTGTAGGGGACCAGCACGCCGATGAAGAAGATGGTGGCGACAAAGAGCGCGTAGATGCCCCAGAAGGTCCAGCGAATAGCGCTGGGCACGTTCTTCTCCGGGTTTTCGACCTCGCCGGCACCAACACCGACAAGCTCCGCACCCTGGAAGCTGAAGCCGGCAGTGACAAGGACAGACCAGAAGCCGACAAACTTGCCGACGGAACCCTCGACCATGTACTCGGCAAAGGGGCCGGGCTCGACCCAGGCGCTGAAGCCCAGATAGCCGTTCTTGCCCGCGCCAGCGTCGATGCAGATGGCGAAGATGATGAAGCCGACAATCGTGACGACCTTGATGCTCGAGAACCACATCTCGAACTCACCAAACCAGCGGATGGGCATGAAGTTGAGAGCGGTGAAGACGACCCAGAAGACGGCAATAAAGATGCCGACGCTCAGGTCGGCATTCCAAAACTGGATGATGAGGCCGGCAGCAACGAGCTCGAGAGCGAACGTGATGGACCAGCTGAACCAGTAGATCCAGCCCATAGAGAAGCCGAGCGAGCTGTCGAGGAAGCGGGAGGCGTAGGCAGTGAAGGAGCCAGCGACAGGCATGTAGGTAGCCATCTCGCCGAGGGCAGACATGACCGAGTAGACGATGGAGCCGATGAAGATGAAGGCGAGGAGGGTTCCCACGGGGCCGGCGCTGGCGAGGGCCTCGCCGCTGCCGAGGAAGAGGCCGGTGCCAATGGTGCCGCCAATGGCGATGAACTGAAGGTGGAAGCTGCTGAGCCCGCGGTGCAGCTCTGCATTGCCGGCCTCGAGGTCCTCGCGAGAAGTCGAGGCGCTGGCGTTGAAGGCACCCATCTCGGCCGGAGTGGTCGACACGGGCTTGGCCTTGTCGCCTTGAGGGAGGGAGTCGGCACCCATTGGAAGCTGGAGTACAGTGGGGAGAAGGAGATTCGGCGGTCCTCTTGAGCAGGAGAGAAGAGAGGGGAGAGAGCTTTGGGGCTTGAGCACGACGCGACAGAGACTTCACGAGGGGGACGACACGAGCTAGGAGGGATTATTATATTGCTATTAGTCAATGGATCCATCCCGACTCCAGGCGGCCGGTGGAGTGACGGTTGGCCCATCGCGCTACACCTCGACCTCCGGAGACTGGCGAGAACAGGGTCTGGACGGCGAGAGCGAGGTGCACCGAGTGGGCCCACCAGCGACAATCCTCGGATTGCAAGAGGAGAATTTTTCTCGTGCTGGTTGCTGTCGGATCCAGACGGTCGCGAGCAGCGGTTGCAGTCGGGACTTTGGGGAGCCAAGCGGCGTCATGGCTCGGCCGGCCGGGTAGTAGTGGCATGCTGTGGCTACGTTGACCTGGCTTCGGTGCGCGAATGGGAAAACAGTGCAGGCAGGAGAAAGAAAGAGAAAAAGACCCCTGCCAGGGGCGCAGAGCCGCACTACGTATGGCAGGCCTGCCACTTCGCGGCTGGCGGCCAGTCCGGTCCAAGCCCTGCAGCCAATCACAGCTCGTCCTCGAAAAGAAAAACACTCTTTTCAGCCTGCCCAGGTGGCCTACCACCAAAGCCGCGCGGGCCGAATGTCATCGTCCCACTTTTTATCCGCCCCTTGCGATTTTTTTTTCTCTCTAATGCGCACGTCTTCCTTAGCACTTCGCCGCTATCTCAAGGTAATTATCAAGAATCTGATATTGCCGCCGGTCATCATCGCCCGTCTGGGAACCGCTCCAGCAGATATTGCTCTCCCATTACTCGCCACTTTTAGCAACGCTTTGGCTACCCCGGTCCGTCCCAGACGAGTCAATGGTCCACCAGAGCTTTCCGCATGCGCATGCCTGTAAAACAGCAAGTACAACTCCAGCACACCCCCAGGCGGAATTAGCCGACACCTTGCGAGCACTTTGAAGCACTTCCGTGAGCTGCTTGCCCTCCGGACCTGGTGTTTCGGGCCCTGCCGATGGGGCTGGGTTCTTCTCAGCTAGGCCTTTCCCCGTCACCGAGCACCCCGCTCGTCGTCTTGCGGCGACCACTGCTGCAAAATAGGAAAAATTACCACAGATCGACGGAGCCAGAAGAAGATAACTTGCGAACCATTTCCCTCGCGTCAGTGCGCATGCTGCGTAAACAGGGAGCACGTGCCGACAGACGTGCTGAAGCTTAGCCACCCCCAACACCAATCTTCAGCCTCTCTAGCCACTGAGAAATTCCAAACCACAAGTCGAACGAGCAACACGCATCGTGATTTTGCCGAGCCAAGTAGTGCCATGTCCTAATTGTCTACCGCAGAAATACAATCCCCAGACGCAGACATAAGCTCAGGGCTTCTCTCCACATTGACTAAACGTACGCTACTAACTAACGTACTTTAGGTCCTAATCTTTCAGGGTCTTCCCTCCGTGTGCGACCTTTCATGTCCCGCCAGTCTCTGATCGGGCTATTTAGTCCTCAAAAGGTCTCATATCTCCCACATCTCGTGACAAACTCTCCACCGTGCCATGACCTTGGCGCCACGTTCCCCCCTGACTGGGCTCCCGGGCCCGGGATGGGCTTGACGCCGCCCGGCCCCTCCCCGTTCCCGGTGGTGGTGGTAACCCTGCCCCCCGGCGCACCCCCAGTCGAAACAACATATTATCTCCGAGAAAGTCTTGGCATTGCTCTTTTCTCTTTTCTTTATTCTTATTTTTTTTTTTTTTTTTTTGGCTACAAAGCGGGATCTCACACGCCATGGATGGTCTTCTCGTGACTCTGCGTAATGACTGTAGGTAGCGCAAACCGACTTATCTGTGTGTTGTGCGGGGCCATCTCGCAGAGCTTGAGGTGATCCTCATTGTCCATCAGAATTCGTCATGGGATGGGACATTCGACTGGGTCAGTTGATGGCCGCCAATTAAATCAATCCAGTGATCCGCCATGCGCGGAGCATGCTCAGAAGTCTTTGGTGCTTGTTTACGACTCGTTGGCAAGCTACTCTCTAAGCTACTGGTGCGTCTTGGTCGTGTGATTGCATCATGATTGCCAACAACATTGGAGTCGGCGCAGGTGCGAGTGTGCTCGTAGTATTCGTGGAAGAGAACAATGCCGCTTTGAGTCCGATCTGGCCCTACTATGGAGAGACGAGAAACCTCACCAGACGCTACTAACTCCATTTCCTGCATGTTTGAGGCACACAGGACTGGTCAACTTCCATCTCCACCCAAGCCAACCAGATGTGGATGCTGTGGGTTTCGCCTCTATCAGAAGACGCCTGAAAAATGCCGCCCAAGTCTAGTCCTCAATAAATTCAATCATGACTGTGCCCTGCTTCAGACCAGCCTCGTCTATCGTCTTGTCCAGCTCCGTTATCAGATCCCGCCCTGCAGGCATGGCCTTGAGCTCAAACACCACGCCTTCCTTGCCGTCGAGAGGTTCCGCTTTCAGCCACTCGTAGATCCGCCGAACCTCATCCGTCACATTGAAGCGCCGGATGATGCGTCCGGACGGATGACGGAATTGGATCCGCGTCGTCTGCGGGGGTGCATTTTCCGGCTCCGTGTGGGGATTTGCGGACGAGATGGCTGCAAATGCCGCCTCCTCTGCAGGCGGCTGGGAGGACGTGGCTTCAGGTCCGACTCCGTCACCAGTAAGATCGACTGGCGTGGCAACTTCTTTCCCCTTGCCAGTACTTTGGCTCGACTTTGTGAGCGAGTCGGGGTCCTCGACACTAGCACCAGATCCAGAGCCGTTTGCTTCTAGACTGTTCTTGAGTGCCATCTCCAACATCTCCTCCTCCGTCATGCGGCCGTAATCTACCGGCTTCGACTTTGGTTTTGTCTTGGCGACAGGGTTCTTGCTATTGGCCGCTAGGCTGTATCGGTCTAGGAACTCCACCAGATCCGCATGAAACTCTGCCGTTGATGGGAATGGCCTTCCAGACCATACTTTGACCTGCTCGCCTGTTCTCGGGTCGACAATGGACACGTGAGGATAGTTGTCGGCGTTCTCGTGGGATTGGTTGGGAAAGTAGAAGGTCAGGTACGAGTCGGCCTGAGGGTCGTTCTTGTCGTACTGCAGGAAGATGAAGTGTTCCTTGACCAGAGAGATTATACGCTCATCTTTCCAGAGGTCGCGGTTCAGCGCCTGGCACATGAAATCTGACATGTCTTGAAGGTTGACCAGCAGCCACTTTTTCTCATCCTTGCCCTCATCGCGGGCTTGATCCCACGGTAAATGGCTCATCAAATCGTACGGCGGCCGAAACAGGTCGGCCAGCCGCTGCGCTCTAGACTGCGTTTGTTGTGGTGTGTCTGGTCTCGTGCTTGTCGGAACCGGAGGGGCGCTAGAATCATCCCATACAGATCTGCTAAACGGGTTAGGGTTGGCAGAGCCTGGGCGCAGGAAAGTCATGTCAGTCATATATCCTTTCAATAGAGTACATGCGGACAAAAACCACACATCCTACGTACCTCGAGGTCGTGCCATCTGCCTCCTACGCAGCTGCTCAAGGATGGCAGATTCGCGGTCGTCCTCCAGGCCCCAGTTCGGGTCCGGCGCTGCCAGAATCTCTGTCCTCTGTGCTATCGGTGCCCTGACATCTTCGGGACCGCCACCACCGCCAGCGTTCTGCCCGTACATCTCCTCTTGCAGCCGGCGGGCCATGGCGGCATCCTCTTCCTCCTGAGCTCGCTGTGCTACGGCGGCGACATTATCGTCGTCGTCGTCGTCGTCGTCATCAGGTATGCCAAAGTCGTCGTCGTCGTCCTCGCCCATATTGATATCGTCGTCCGAGTCGATGTGAATCACCCCTCTCTCATCCTGCCTGCCAGCATAGCCCGCCGTCGGCCGCCTGGATGGCCGGGAACCTCCGGTTGAGGCAGCCGCCGAGGTGCTGGAGGTCTGGTTGAAGTTTGCGGCGAGGCTGGGATCTTCAAAGAAGAGCTGTATCGCCTGCGCGGAGTCGTTGTTCGAGAGCTCCAGATACCCGCGAGCTACCTGCTCGTTGGCACCCGTGATGTTCATGAACTGACCCACTTCCTCGTCCATCTTTGCGGTAAGTGTTGTATGTTCGTGCTCAGTCGAAGATCGCGACTCTGTCCGGGTGTGAGTGTTGTAAATGGAAGCGGCTGTCTCTAGGTTCTCGCACCAGGATCAGACCAGTGCTTGAGGAAGATATGAGTTCCGGCCTAGAGGGACGCGTCTCCGACCAATGGTATGGTGATGATGGCCTGTTCTTGGCTGGGAGAACTGGAGGGTCGTTGCTCGGTCGTCGCGTGGAAGGTGGCAAACGGGGAGTTCGTGTATGCCTCGGGTGGAAGCAGACAAGCGGTCTCGATCCGCCTATGTCTGTAAATGCAACTGCTGCACGGAGCCCAAAGGCTGTAGAAAAGGCGACTGTGGTCGGGACTGCGTGTATGAGAGCGTTGGCGCGGCCAGCATGAGAGAGACGCCTTGGGGTTTGAGGTTGAAGAGAGCTGCTGCTATTGTTGCTCAGGCACGACGCAGCTGGTGGCAGGAGGCTCCCCTCCTTGTGACGCAACCACAAAAGCTCCACCCTGGATGTGGGGTTTCTTGACCTTGTTCACCTGTCACACCTTTGCCCTGTGATAATGGCCCCCACTCTCGGCAGTGTGTGCGTGCCCCTCGATCATGGGGTGTGTCTGCCCATATGAGCTTCTCTGTCCATGTGCACGATATCAAAATTGCCGTCTCGTGAGTCATATTTGTCTATACTATCGCTCTCTAATCAGCTGCATTCCGCAATGCCTTCTGTACATCCAAACTCCGCTCTGCAGAGGCCATCTCGATAACTTTTGTCCGCATGTCTGCCAGCACAGATTCAAGCTCCTTCGCTGGCCCGAACACGCCTTGCCGTGCAGCCTTGATTGCAGCACCAAGTGCCTTGGCCCGGTCCAGGCGCTGTGACTCCAGGATGACATCGGCCTCATCTGCGAGCAGCAGAGCGAACCACTTCCTCGCTTCCACCTCATGGACACTAGTTGGCAATGACGTGCCGGCAGCTCCAGCTTCTGCCAGGATTTCTACGGAGCCCGCAAACCAGGCATCTCGGGCGGCCTTGAGGGCCAATCTCGACTCCTCCATGGTGGCAACAATGTCCTGCATGATCGCTGCCGGATCTGATCTCATCTTCTCCCGCGAGTAAGCGTTCAGCACAGCCTTGAGCGCAGCTTGCGTTGTCTTTCTCTCCGTGTCCGACTGTGTCTCCTTGACATCTGGGCTGAGGTAATCAGAAACGAGCCCGGCCACTTCCTTGTACATGTCTAAATCGCCACGTGCACTGGCGAACCGTCCAAGGGCCTTAAAGGCGAATGGCCGGTAGTCGTCATTGTTTCTCTTCGCCTCGCGTACAGCAATCTTCTTGGTCTGTGTTGCTACAGCCTTGTCGTTGGCCCACAGCTTCTTGCCGTGCCGGACAAAGAGAGGATACGCGGTGATGAGCTTCTCCTTGCCCTTGAACGTCTTGAGTGCCAACGCTTTGTCCAAGACCGGCCAGATCGTTTTCAGCTCTGCCTCACCAAACTGCCCGTCTTTCCCAGCTGCACTGCTCAACGCCGTCACCATGGACGCAATGGCAAGAGCGCCACCGTGCTGCAATGCCCATTTCGAGGTGTCAAGAGCCTTGATGATGAACTCCGTGATTTCGGGGACAAAACGCTTGACTGTATGGCTACCACCAGCGTGCTGACTCCAGACTTCCTCAAAGGCTTCGGACACATACTCGTCAGTGTCATGCTTGCCTAGGTAAGCGAATGGCAGGAGCCGCGATTCGAGGTCGTTGAATGCATCAGGAGACACCTTTGCGATGGCGAGGACTGCGTCGGCGACTTTTTGGCGCCTGGCGTCTTCTTCAGCACCCATGTAGAGTACTGTCAATTTCGACGTGAAGCGCTCCCGAGTCTCTGAGCTCGCTGTCCTCAACAGGTAAGCTGCACTCTTTGCGTAGGCTCGGTTGACTTCATTATTGCGGTCAAGAACCTGTGTCTCCATGGCCTTCAGGAAGAGTCCATTGTATGGCGGCATCAAGATACTGTGCCGCAGTGCAAGGGTGCTAAGCACCTCACTACATCCAACCTTGGTCTGTAACCCAAGGGCCGACTTTATGGTCTGTACAAGTTGTGGCGCGAGCTCCTTCAGTACTGCCTCATCTGCAAAGCGCAAACAATTCGTAATGCACTCGAAGAGAGGTGACCTTGTTGCAGCACTGCTGCGCAGCTTATCCAGTCCCTCACGGTCTTCTTCGCTAACACGTTGGTAGTGGTAGTTGATCTGCTGAGGCTCGATGGTACTCAGAAGTCCAAGGAAGTGGATGATGATTGTCGGTATGAAGGGCTTGAGCGTGTCACCACCATGTTTGACCACGTCTAGCACTGTCGTGATCGCCATAACCTTGACTTCATCCACGGAGTTCTCAACGCCCTTGTCTGAAAGCAGAAATGGTAAGACTTGGGTGATCATAGCCTTTGCTGAGCCGGAAGAATTGTGCTCCTGGAGTTGTGTGACGAGGGATTTGGATAGTCCCATACACAGCTTCAAAGCTGCTGCCCTGACTGACGCCTTCTGATCATCAATGACTCTCAAGGTGACGCGCCAAATATCGGTGTAGTACTTCTCATACTTTGTGAATTGCTGGCCATAGATGAGGTCTGCAATGGCTGCACAGCTGGCCTCTCTTACGCGCCATTCTTTGCCGTCCAATATGCTCTTGAGCAAGTCAGTCATGATAGCATCAAAGTGAGCTTCAATCGTAGCTGACGAATCCTTGACGACCGCTTTCCAGATGTCATCCATCGATCTGCGCACATTGGAGTTGGGATCGAAGCGATAGCGGAACAATTTGGGGTAAATCTTCGGGTCGAGGTCTGCTTCAGACAGAATATTACTCAAGCCGAAACGACCGAAGGCCGATCGCGCTGTCCAGGTGGCGGCATTGGTAGCCAGTGCCATGAACTTATATACCAGACTCTGATCTCCAACTTCGTTGGCCAGGCTGATGATGTCCTTGTATGAAGTAACAGACTTGCCCTCACCGGTGGGCAAGGCGCCTGCATCAAAGAGTTCGGTGTCATCGTCGACCTTGAGCTGTGTCTTCGAGCCTGTGAAACTGGCAACGAGATCCTTGACGAGATCGCCCTTTAGAGACTCATCTCCCCTTTCATATACCAGTCCCAATCCTCGAGAAGCAGTCTCCTGCACGAGCTCGTCGCGACCGGTCAGTAGGCGCATGAAGGCCACCTGACATTCGCGCAGACGTGCCTGAACTTCAGGCAAATGGGAGCAGTATTGGATGATACAGAAAAGCCAGATGCCAGAAGCCTTCAGGAGAGAAGGCTTGGTCGTCTTGCAGTCGTTGATGAGTTTCTCTAAGACAGCGGCGATTTTCTCTGGTCGTTTCCGCAAGATCGCGATTATTTCGGACTCACCAGCACCTTGCGGCTGAATGTCCAAACCGAGCTGTACGGCATCAGAGTCCCAACGAGCTACAACGGATGCCAATGCTTCACCCGTGGCGAAGTGAACCTCTGTGCGTTTCACCTCGAACAGCTTGAAAAGCTGATTGAGAACTAAGTCCATGAAAGTTGACTGTTCTCTGCCTGTCTCCCGGTCAGCGGCAGCAGGTATTGCCAGCCGACCAATGGCTCTGATCGCCTTCTCATTGTTGGCTTCACCGAGCTTGAACAGGGCTCCCAGGATGCGGTCAAACTCGTCAAGGCTGCCTGGAAAAGACAATCCAACACTCCACAACTGATTCACAGCGTCGATAGCAGAATCCCTGATCGCAGCATCCCCAGCATCGAGAGCAGCAAGGAAACGATCATTCAAGAATTTGACGTGCACCTCGCTGTTTCCAAGTTTGCCGTACAACATGGAGCGCGATGTGAACCCGGCAAGTGACGCAATCGAACCTTGATACTGTGCTGATAATGCCGCAGGGGGTGACGGCCCAGCTGATTCGATGAATGAACGAAGCTTGTTGATGCTGCCGGAAGCCTTGTCATTGAGAGGAGCTAGCATTCCGAATGCTTTGGCTGCCAATTGCCGGATTTTCTGATTGTTGGAAGACAAAACCTCCAGTAATTCCCCCGACCGTTGAGCAAGGCTACTGTGTATAGAGGTGATTGGCATGAATGAGAGGAGCTCAGCCAGACAAGTGACAGAGTCTTCGGCACCAATGTCCGGATGATCCCGGAGGCCATCTAGAGCAGCATGCAGCAACCGAATGAGAACGTCTTGGTCCGCGTCAGAGAGGAACCTCCTGACTTTTTCTCGAGTCTTCAAGTCATTCTGAAGCTTATTCTCCAGTTGGGTCTCCCAGTCAACTTCGATACTCTGTTCATCCAGAGCTTGCAGCAGTATATTCTGCTTGACAAAGCGCAACGCAATCGGGAAGGCTTGGAGGCGCTCGTTGGGGAACAGAGGGTAGTTGGATATTCGATCCACAACCATTTCGCTGTCGCCAACCTCAGGAGGAGTCTGGTCAAAAAATGTTGTGACCATCTGGCTCCAGTCAGGAAGCACTAGCACTGAGTCTGGCTGCAGCTTGGTGGCCCACCAAGGATCCAAACCTCTCTGCCCTTCCTCAAGTACGTCTCGCCTCTCAGAAGAGCCCCCACTGAGAGCGAGAATGTCTATCCATCGAGCCTTGACATCGCTGTATGGGAGACAATTGTTGGCGAAGCGAGCAGCAACATGTCGCGCAGTTCTCAGGCCCTGCCTATCTGACAATGACATGTACTCCAGCAACAGGATCTCGAGATCGCGATGTTCGCTCGTTACTTGAGACTTGAAGAGGCCCATCATGCTCGAAAGAGCACTTTCGATATGGACAACGATCTCCACACTTGGATCTGAGACAAGCGAGTCAAACAGCCACTTCAACAAAGACTCCTTAGCCTTGCTTTCGAACGCGCTCCCCCTTGATAGTGTACCGATTGTTTCGTAGGCATTTGCGCGTAGTCGTTGCTCGTCTTGAAACTGTGATTGGCTTCCCTGAGGAACTGGCTCGGGCCAACCCTGCTTCAGGATGAAATCCTTGAGGATGAATACTAGAGCTGGGCCCATCTCGCGGTCTACCTTCCCCGGAACTGTTGAGCTGTTGCGTGCGATCCATGCGAGGAAGGCCAAAAGAGTCTTGTGGAGCCTTAGGGCTTCCAAGCCAGTGACAACGGCGACCTCGTCTGGGGTCCCATCACTGCTGGTAAGCTGAAAGTCACTGACTACGGCGTCAACAACCTCCTTGTGCAGAGTGCAGGATGCCAGAGACTTCGATAGCAGCCTCAAGATCTGCATTCTCTGAGCCGCAGGAAGCTGATTATGCGCGCGCAGCAGCGACCTCAACACCGTCTCGTCTTCCAAATCGACTTTGGACCTCTTCAGGATGTCGTCCGCCGCATTTGCAATCCTTGAGTCCGCAGAGCCAGCTGCATATATGGTAGGGAGGTGGCGCTCTTCATCGAGAAAGGCCCCACTACCGAGGAAGTTGACGGCTTTCGACTTACACTCGGGCAGACTGAGGCTGTTTGGTGTTCCTGGACGCCAAGCTTGTGGGTTGTTGTTCCTCAGAAAGGCAACATCGTCTTTTGTGAGTCCTGTCGGCGTTCTTGACAGCAACTTTTCAATGTCATTCTCAGGAGCAAGCGCTATATCCTGCCGCAGCAGGAAGAGCTTGCCGAGCCAGGAGGAGACATAGCGCGCGTCAGCAGCTTCGGAGAGACCAATTGTCTCGCGCAGACCAATGTCTTCTTTACTCCCCTTCCCAGGTAAGCTGATCTCCAGCAGAAGTCGCAGAAAGATGTTGAAGAAGCCAGCAGCACCGGCCACGTTCGTCTCGCGGGAGATGCCTTCAATGACGACTGGTAGGAGCTCGCGACGCTTGCTTTGATCTAGCCGAGCGAGGCCTTGTTTGATGAGGTTGAGGTCCAGCTGCTTGACCATTGGTGAGGTCGAGCTCTTGTACTGTCGCAAGAGGCCGGCGACTGGTATCGTGACCCCAGCAGGTTTGACGAAGTTGTTGACGCTAATGAATGCCTGAAAGGTGGCATCGCGGACAGCCTTATGTGGGCTCCCGGCCTTTGCCATAAGCGGGACTAGATGTGATGCCAGTGTGTCGCTGAGCTTCTTCTCATCCCCTGACGCATTGGCGAGCTTGTAGCGGATGGAGGAGACAAGCCTAAGCTCCGCAGCTTCGGTGGACGCCATGTCGCTGAACGGAGCTTCACGGAGCTTCGATGGCGGCCTGCTCTATATGCGGTCTATGATCTTCGTTGTCTATAGGTAACGCTGGACCGGGATTCATGCGCTGGTGGCAATCACCAAGAGAAGGGAGTCGCCTGCTTGCCAATGCAAAAAGGTCGATGGTAGAGAGGGACAAGATGATCAAGTCATATCATGGTTCGTTGCGATGGACTTCACAAGCACTGGAAACCGAAGCGCTGTTCTTGCATGAGTGCCTTCATGGACAGCCACAGTTTGACGTTGTTATACATAGTCGCGTGCTCAGCCGTGAGGCAGCATCGTGGTCAACGTAACTGAGGTCCACAGGCAGGAGCGACCCCACGTCAGCCACAGGTGGCGCAACTCCCGCCCATCAACTTCTTTCGAGTTCCACCCTTTCTGTGAGCAGATAGCTGCGCTCGGATTCAGTCAGATCCTTTGTTGCAGGGCTGAATCAAATCCCACGTGACAAACCAAATGTGTGGTGCGGATGTTAGGCTTGCTTCTTGTCGCAGCCACTGCGCTTTCAAGCATTGCCTTGAGTTGGTAATTCTTGATGACGCCCTTCGGCTCTGGGCCGGATTACTCGCGAGAGATACCCGACACTGACTCACGTTCCGGATGTACGAGAATGGTGCGAAATCCCCAATGGAACGACTAGTAATGATTCGACGGCCAGGCCACTTGGCGGCCGGTGTGTGCCAGGACATGCGAGTAAGTTGGCTAAATAGTCTATGCAAGGGGCGCGCTTCCCAATATATCAAGGCTGCAGATATCCTCGTGGATACTTGTGACCACTTGCCTCGACCAGGGCAGGTGGTCTCGTTCCGCAGTGGCACATGTGGAGAGCTCCTTTGTCTGCCTCTGCGTTCCGGTCGCTCCAATCGTTCCAATCGACGTCAATGCTAGAGCCTACTGTAGAAAGCGCAGATAGTGCAAGTCGACAAAACCTCGAGGTGCTTTGGGAGTACCTTTTCGTGTAAGCGTAGCTTGGGCGATCCAGCATTCGTGCTGTTGTGTTTTCATGTCACATCCTCATCGTCTTGTAGTCATTGGGTGGTGGGGCGTGGCCCGCTGACTCCTCGCCCTGCAGTAGCTTGGCCGCGCACTCTTGTAAGGTGCCTAACAGCTGTGAAGAGCTCGTCGTCACGTTTGTTCAACGGCTACTATGGTAATGTGGCCCTCGATAAAGCTTGCGACCTAATGCACAGTAGTTGCATATCACTAGCCTGCAGTGGTGCGACGTCCAGTGGGGGCTGCCATAACTTAACGAAGTGGCAATAGCTCGTGCCTCGTTCGCCAGTTGCTAATTACCGATGTAGCCTTGATAGACGTAAGTTGAGCTCTCGCATGGACAGGAAGCCAGCGATCCTCGCAGAACTAGGTACCGGTAATTGCCCCATGCGCAGGAGGTCCATAGTGAACCCAGGGTCTCACTTGTCTGTGGAGCATCTGCCTATTCAATATTCACAATCTCGCGGGCGAGGGGCTGCGTTTCGTGCTAAATCAAAGAGAAGAATCAAAGGGACGAATCGAGAGGTATTTTGTCTATGCCTCCCTGAATCCAGGTCGAAAATTGTCAGTCGGTATTCTTCAAGGCCATCGGCCAGGACGTCTTACTTTGCTTGGCATTCATACGCCTGAACGGTTGCCTCTCCCCCAGTCGGATACAATTGTATTGTATTCAATCCGTAAGCCTTGACGCTCACTGTTGTGAGATGTCGTCACATATCTTGGCGCAAAGAATGTCGTGTATGGATACTACAGGCTACAGGCCAGTCAAAGGCTCGCAGAGTACCCAAAGATGCCCAGGGACAATCAAGGCCAACCCAAACTTCCGCTGCCATACTGACCAGTTCGCTTGGACACTTTCGCGGCCGATGTGGAATGCGACTGGGGAAAAGCATATCTTAGCGAAGTATCGCGAGAAGCTCGCTCGCCTGGTTGTTTCCTCTGCATCCTACATGCCTCCAGCTCAATAGTAACGGCATCTTGGAGAAGGCTGGCGGAGTTGTCCTTGTGCATAGAGCGGGTAGTCTTTCCGTCACTGGATGCGGATGAGATGTTGGCACCACTAGCAAGGGAGGCCCTGAGACATGGCGGGGGGAGCCCTGCTGATCGCAGCACAGCGGCAGAATCATACAGTGGCCTAGTGCTGATCTTCTATAACTTCATTGTTCGTCATAGCTGTTACCGGTATTGACGGTGGTTTCCCTGGAAAACAAGACTTCCGAGTATTGGTGGCTGTGGACTGCGAGGAAGCATGCGGGTCAGATTCATGACGAAGCGTCCATGACCCACCCGCGACGTGAGCGGAATCGGTGATATTGAGACTTGAGGACACGACGCAGATTCGTTGGGAATCGAACAGGCGGCGTGCAGGCCGAGGAATGGCGTGCATCGGCTAGTGGCATCCATGAGAGACAGTGCATGGCGACATGACCTGGTGAAGCAGTGCTCTCTTTTGAGTTTTGGAGCCACAGAGTGGAGGGAGGGGAGACACGAGGGAGTAGTGTCGCGCTTGTCTCCGCCAGCAACAGATGTTTGTGCCCAATCAGGGCAACAGGCCGGGATTGTCTTGACAAGCTGAGCATGCGTGCCATCGAGTGTCCAGGGATGCCAGTGACACTCGAGGCGTGCGTTCCGACCAACCCTCGTACCCTCTGCCCACAGGATGCATCGTGCACATAGGTTGCTGGCCCATGGCGAAACCACGACTGCGGCCACGGTCGCCGATACTTGGGACCCAGCTGCTCCCGCTGACGGCCATTGGGGCATTGTCGTCGCCTGAACAGAAGGCGGGCTGGAAGACGTGGACAGGGGTGAGATCCATCCTTGGAAGGCGTGGAATGTTTCCATGGGGAGCCCTGTGGCGGGGTTCCACGCATGCCGGGTCTGCGCGCAATGCCTGCCTGCCCAGGTGCCTGTGCCTGCCTGACTGCCTCACGGTGCTTGCCTGCCCGGGTGCACTTCCAATGCCGCTGGCCAGTGCTCGGCTGGGCACGCAGGGCGAGCATCGCGTCAAAGCTGCGGCACGCTCACGTCGTCGAGCTTGGATCATGACACTCAAATCATGCACCGCCCTGGAACCAGGGCGCATGGGCAGCGGGCACTGCGATCCAGCATGACATGCGCCTACATCCTGGCAGCCGCCCTCTCCACCTCCTCCGCCTTCTCATCCTTGGGCCCGGGCCTGGCGTGCGCCGCCACAAACCCAGTTCCCTTAAGATTCCGCCCGGCTCGTTTCTTCTCGCACACTGTCTGTCTATCCCGACTCGGCACTGGTCTCACTCGAGTGGTGCACGGCAGAAAGTGCGCCGCCGTGTTGCGCTGGGCCTGCCTTTTTCTTTTTCGGTGCTCTCCAGGCGGCGGCGGCCTTGCATTGTCCCTCGCCAGTCCCTCGCGCGACACCGGCACTCGGGCCCAAGCGTGCTTGTCGCTTTTTTGTTTCGTCTCTCTCCCCCCAAGCCCTAATCATCTGATTACAGTAGGCCTTTCGACAGTCTCGCGCACGTGGCATCTCTGTTACACCTGCGCTCGCACGGTCACGTCTCCCGTCATCGCCCGTTGTTCTTTTGTCTTGGGCTTCGAGTCAACCCTTGCCTCGCCCACAGCTGTAGCAGTAGCGTAGCGTCCCCAATTGATCCATTGCCGTGCCAGCCCGTTTTCGGCAGTATCCACGAGGCCCTGTCCGATTACACAGCACATATTGTCGTCACAGGTGCCCACTTGTGCGGGTTTTATTTCCCAGGATCCCCGTGGTGCGGTGCGTGCAGCGGCTTGACTCCCCCAGTGCCAGAAGCTTGCGCAGGCCAGCCTCTGTCTCCCTCTACCACACCACCACCACCACCTCCTCCTCCTCCTCTTCCACCCCACCAGCCGATTTTTTTCTTATGCATTCCGTGGGTCAGATAGCTTTGTTTCTCTGATCTTCATCGTCTGTTCTCCTTCTTCCCGGCGTCTCCTCTCCTCTGCGACTGTATTCCCTATCCAATTGGTCGTCTTGCCGCCTGTTTTCTGAAAGTGAGTCTCTTTTTCATTCAAATCTTCCTCATCGTCATCGCCGCCTGTCCAGCCCGGCCGTACCGTCCACCTGCCTATCCCACCAGCACTTCCCCATGGTACCTACTGTGCGGTGCTGTGCTGCCACACCACTGCTCGTCGCCATGCCTGCCTGCCGCCAGCACCAGCCGACGGTCGCCTGCGCTGCAGTCCAGGGTCCGTCATCCGCTCTATGCCTTATGAGCGTTACCAGCACCGGATAAAGCCCCGGCAACGTCTCGCGCAATCCTCCATCGACCACGCTCCTCATCGGCACATTATACGTTATCACCGAAGTCTGTCGCCACGTCTTCGAGGCACCAGCGAGGCACTGCTGGCACAAGCTCCTCTGGTCATGCGACACCACGGAAAGCCATCCGACCTCGGAGGCTTGACCACAGCCTCTGCCTGCGCAGTGCCTGGTGCAGATATTGGCGTTCTTTCAGTACGAGCGCCATACGCGAGCTCGACAGCACTCGCGACTTCGGCGTTGGATGTGTCGATAGCTACCAAGCTTGCACTAGTTTTGGCTGCCTCCACAACTGGCGCATGACAGGCTATGCCACGACATTCTGTCGCCTGATCCGAGATGGCCGCTGGCTTGGTCGTTTTGGTTGCTGCTCGGGCGGAACAGCTGGGCTCTATTCACCAGCATGATTGTGGATGCGCGGATCGCCACGCTGGCACACTCACTGGACGTTCACGGCCTGGACACTCGCTCGGCGCACGTTCATCGCTTTCGGCTGCGAACGCTCTCCATGTGGTGAATACGAACAACGTTCTCTGACAACACTTGCGAAATAGGTTACAGATACCCCGACTTTCGTTGCGCGACAACTTGACGATTCGGTTAACGAACCTGAGCGCTGGCGTTGGTTGCTGATCTCTAATTCGAAGAATCTGCAAGCCAATTCCCGCGTGTTTTCCGCATATTTCTCGCGTCCCGCAATATCCGAGCACCTTCCGCCTTTGATCCTGCCCCCCTTGTACGTCATGTAACGATCTCCGAAACCCGACAGTGACTGACTTCTTGCTAGTTTGACCATGGACGGATACGGACCCTACAACGGCAAGCCTGCCTCCAACGGCTCCGGCTCGCAGGGTGACAATGGCTCTCAGGGAGCCGGTGGTCCCGGCGGCCCTCCTTCGGGCCTTCCCATTGCCCCTCCCAACGGCCAGTCTGGCGACAACTCCGGCTTCCCTAACCCGGACGCCGCCCGTCAGACACTCTGGATGGGTGAGCTTGCTGGCTGGATGGACGAGGGTTTTATTCGATCCATTTTCCAATCCGCCATGAACGAGAACGTCCAGGTTAAGATCATTCGGGACCGCCACTCTGGCAATGCCGGCTACTGCTTCGTCGAGTTCTCCAACGCCGATGCTGCTCAAAAGGCCCTCCAGCTCAACGGTACCCCCGTGCCTAACACCGATCGTGTTTTCCGCCTTAACTGGGCATCTGGCGGTGGCCTTGTCGACCGTCGCGATGATCGCACTCCCGAGTACTCGATCTTTGTTGGTGACCTTGGTCACGAGGTCAACGAGTTTGTGCTCGTCGCACTCTTCCAGGCTCGCTTCCCCTCGTGCAAGTCTGCCAAGATCATGACCGATCAGCAGACTGGTCAGTCTCGTGGCTACGGTTTCGTCCGGTTTGCCGACGAGCAGGACCAGCAGCGCGCCCTCGTTGAGATGCAAGGCGTTTACTGCGGTAACCGTCCCATGCGCGTGTCTCCTGCTACTCCCAAGAACCGGTAAGCCTCCAGGAATCGCAGGGATCTCACCAGTGCGGACGTGGTATGTACTAACATTTCTGTGCCGAAGTGGACACCAGGGCGGCGGCAACCAGTTCAACCAGTTTGGCGGGCACCACATGATGCAGCCTCAGGCTCCCCACGGCGGAATGGGCAACAACTGGATGCAGCCTCAGCAGCAGCCGAACTACGGATACGGCGGCCAAGGCCAGCAGGGTCCTTTCAACCCTCTGGCGATGAACCAGTTCACCGACCCCAACAACACGACTGTCTTCGTCGGCGGCCTTTCCGGCTACGTCACCGAGGACGAGCTTCGCTCCTTCTTCCAGGGCTTCGGCGAGATCACCTACGTCAAGATTCCCCCCGGAAAGGGCTGCGGCTTCGTTCAGTTCGTCCACCGCCACGCTGCTGAGATGGCGATCAACCAGATGCAGGGTTACCCGATCGGCAACTCGCGCGTCCGCCTCTCGTGGGGTCGCTCGCAGAACAACTCTGGTGTAGGCACTCCTTACCGTCCTGCCCCGCCTCCTCCTCACTACTGGCCCCCGGGACCTCCCGGACCCCCCGGGCCCGGTCCGTTCGGCGCTCCTGGCTTCGGTGGTGCTGGCGGACCACCTCCTTCGGCTGGCATGGGCCCTCAGGTGGGTGTCATGAACGTTGAACCTGCTCTGGTCTGAACACACTCGCTGACCTTATCTGTGGACGCAGTAAACCTCTGATTGCAACGACCCTCGCATATTGGCGTCTCGCGTTGTGGCGTTTCGGCACGCTAATTTGATCTTACTGCATCAACAACTCTGGTTCTGCTTCCTGCCCCGGTTTTCGCCTCCATGGTCAATATTTCCACGGTCATATGTTGATTCCAGCTTGGCGTTGACTGCTATCATTTACACGAGAAAAAAAAGGTTGGCGCACAACACGGGATCAGCTGTACGATTGCATTGCTAGTCACGACGACGACTTCTCCTTTCCTACAATTTCCTTGACTTCGTCTCCACGAAACTCTTCTTCCCTTGAAGCCCGACACGACCGAGATCAACGATGCGCCTTTCTTACTGCTGAACGCCGGATCCTTTTGAGAAGCGACATGTCCAAGAATTCAACGTTTGCTACGAAAAGTATGGCTTTTTGGGTCTTTATTATCGACATGGTTTCCACGGGTGCAGTCCAGGAGTCTCTCTCTTTTGTTCCAGGTCGAGAAGAAAAAAAAAACGGAGACATCTAGTTTTTGATATTTGCGGAATGGCGAAAACTCAAATTTGCTTCCGCGCGAGATATCCCATTTTAGCCTTGTAGCGGGATGGCCTGCCTTTGATCCTGCGTGCTGCCTTGCATTCCTCAATTGTTGACTGTTTTAGAGTTTTCTGCATGCCTTCTATTTGCTCGGCTCTCGCCATGCTTTTGACTTGAACTTTGTTTTGATTTGGCGTGCTTTGCCAGCTTCTGACGACGCTCATTCTGATTGTAGGAGAATCATGAATACAAGTGCTAGGTTTAAGAGATGATGACGATGCTGACAATAAAAAACAAGACGCCTAGGATCCCGGCCGCAACCTGATCCCGAGTTCTCGAGACAAACGGGCGTACAGACGCTTACAGTGCCTTCTCCGTAGCTTCACAAAGATGACCTACCACCTCGCAACACTCCCTGCGATAATACCTTTTTCCTCTCAGTAGCGCACGGCATACACCGATAGCGGCGACACCGCTTCATTCCTGTTGGGGCCACCGGACGACGGCCACGGCTGCGAATCTTGTTGGTCCTGTTGTTGTTGCTGCCGCAGAAGAGATGGCGACGTCGGCGACACGGGAAATGATGTCTGCTGGACCTCGGGCGAGGCCTGTGATGCGTGCTGTCGCTGCTCATATATCTGCGCTGGAGGAAATCCTCGGTTGTTACCACCAGCACGCCCAGCGGCAAGGGGGGCACCAACGGACGCGGGCGTCTCGTAGCGCGGGACATAGTATCGATGATCAGACTCACCACCATCACCGCGGGGATACTGCGGCTGCTGCTGCTGCTGCTGGCGTGCGCCGCCGCCGCCGCCGCCGCCAAACGCACCACCATACACGTTCCCACCGGTATACGTCCCCGGGGTGACCACCATGTCCCTCGGCTTCCGGCGCTCCGCCCGGCGGGCCTTCATTCGGCTGACCTCGCCGTACACCACGGCCGCGAGCCACACGAGCCACACGACGCCCGCGATGACCGAGTACGCGATGATGTAGTTGGTCGTCCCGCCCGAGATGTGCAGGCCCAGGCCGCCGTTGATGATGCCCAGCGTGATGGCCAGGCGGCCGAGCCAGATGTGCACGTGGCTCCAGGCGGTGCGCGGGGTGTACGTGCCGGAGCCGTTGGCGCCGTTGTTGTTGTACTCGCGCTCGTCCTTGGAGCCGCCAGGTGGTGGGGAGGGGGAGGAGGAGGAGGTCACGGTGCGGTCGCTGTCGTAGTTGGCCGCAGCCGCCGTGCGGGCGGCGGCGCTGGCAGCCCTCCTCGAGGCGGCGGCGGAGTTGCGCTTGTACTTGATGTGGTGGACCACGCCCGTGAGCGGCTGGAACAGCAAGACGACCAGGACCACGAGCCCGATGATGAAGTGGTAGTTGATGCTCTGCAGCTCGAGCAGCGACGTGCCGGGCTCCGGGAAGGGCAGGCGGATCGTGCTGACGAGGTATATCCCGATGCCGGCCGCGGCAATGTACGTCGCGTACCCGACGGTCTGGGTGACGGCGTGGGCGAGCCAGGCCGACTTGCTGGGCACCACGCGGATGAGGATCGCGCCCAGCGGGAGCAGGGCGACAAAGGCGATGCTCGCGAGGACGCCGTGGATCACGATGAAGCGCTGGGCGCGCGAAGGGTCCATCCCCAGGACCGAGGCCGCGAACTCGGACGGGTCAAAGGTTGCCGGGGGCCATGACGAGTACGGGCCGTTGTTGAAGTAGTTGTTGCCGAAATTGCTGCTGCCGCCGTTCGGACCATTGAAGGGGAACCCGTTGGTGTAGTAGGCGTTACTGCTAGATTCCCAATCGCCGCTTGATGCAGGACCGCTAGCGGACACTATGGTGGCTGCTGGTTCGAAGAGAGTGAAATGGCATTAGCTTGTGTGGTTGACAGAAATGTCCGACTTCACGAGCAGTGTCACGGCTTACCAAAAGCTGCCATCAAACGCAGTGCGCGTTGCTCCATGTTGATTGTTGTCTTCCCGACCTGCGGTCGTAGCGTTGGGATCTTGCACGAGCAAACAGAAAAACGATATATAACTTATCACGACCAGTGTCGTACAACAGAGTGGTGGTTGCTCAAACACTTCTCACGACATTGGAGGAGAAAAAGAAAGAAGTCGAAGGGCTGTCTGCCATGGCCAACTGAGAGGAACAAGTGCAATATCTACTCTGATCCTCATGCAACTCAAGCCACCACGGGCTCTATTCCGTTACACAACATGTACAATGCACCCTGGCGGAGAAGCACCAAGACCGGTAAGCCAGAGGTGATCGACGGCCCTTCGCCCACCAAACATGCCGCCCGCCCGCCCGCCACTCTTGGCTCAAGCCTTTTTGAGCCCCCCAGAAAGCACTGCCGCAAGCACAGAACCACCATTATTTATTCGTCTTATGCCAATACCCGGCCGTGATGGGGACTGGACGGGGCCCCAAAATTACAGCAGGAATAGTCAGAATCCGCTTATCAAGCAGCAGCAGCTCAGTTACTGCCGAGCGTGCAAGAAGATGACTTTTCCCCTTTGTGTTGAGTTACCTCAGCGGGCGTTTGTGTCAACTATCCGATGACGACGCCCTGTCAGATCAAAGGATCGTCTTTGACGCAAGCGCCGGACTTGTTGTTGGGGATGTGCGCCGAGCCGCGTGTGCAACCCCTCTCTCTCTCGGGGCCGGCGGCTGCAAGCGAAAACCTCCGACCACCGTCTTGGCCGAGTTTGGATGAGGAGATCACAGCCAGGCATTTAAATCGACAACCACTTGCTTGAACCCTATCAGTTTTCCTTGGTTGGGTTAGCAACGAGACAGCGTTCTCCTTCTTAATATCCACTGTGCAGCCTGCGCATTGTTTGAGAAACTTTGCTTACTCTAGTCTGCCGTGTACCAAAAGTCACCCACCTAATTATAGTGCCCAGCAAACGACAAGCATGTGCCTAGTCGCCACTGATTTACAGATCTGCTATTTCTCCCAATTTAGCAATAGTTGGGAACAGGCATTGGCAGTTCACCTGCGCTATCGTATGTACCATTTCTGCCGCCTTGATAATGGGCGCACACAAAACCAAACAATCACGACTCCCACGTTGCGGGAATGATATCTCCGGCGCAAATCAGTGAGGTAAGGCTCATTTGGCATCGCAGGGCTACAGTAGTTCTAGAAATCTTACTGCGGCCGCTCAGCTTGGCAGCTCATGGGCATCAGTCGCTTTTGATCCCGGGCCCGAGCCAGACCCCGATGCCCCAGCGCCACCGCCGCTCCCACTGCCGCCACCGCCGCGTAGCTCCTGCCACTCTTGCATCGACCTCTCAATGGCCTGCTTGAGCTCGTCATCGTCCTCATCAGCCTCATCCCCGCCTGCCTGCTTGCCTTTCTGCTTGCGCGCCTGCTCCTCTGCAAGACTTTGCTGCTTGACATACTCCAACACTTTCTCCTCGTCAGACTGCATGTTCTTGCTCTGCGCGAGTTCCTGCTCGTGGATTTTCTGCGACTCCTCGAGGGCCCGCCGAAGCTCTTCCTCGTCTTCCTGCGGCGGCTGCTGTTCCTCCGCCTGGGATGCCTCGATGGCTTTCCTAAGCGCCTCTTCCTCGTCCTGGGCACTATCCACGCCCTCAAGCTGCGCCGCATGCGCCGCCTCGGAATCAGCGAGTGCCTTCTTGTAGTCTTCATCATCGTGCTCGTCGGAGTGGCTGCGCTCTGTCCGAGACCTCTCGAGAATCTCCCTCATCTTCTCCTCATCTTCCTCGTCCTCTGCCTCGTTGTCGTGCATGCGAATCCCCCAGCTTTCATGGTCTTCGTCGTCGTTCATGCTCATCTGCACCGCTTGCTCAATCAGATTCTGATATTCTTCATCCGAAATCGCAAGGTCGTCAAATACGTTCGCATGCGCTCTCTTGTCGTCAACTAGTGATCTTGACGGAGGTTGGCCAGTAGACTGCTCCGCTGCCGGCGCGCTGGCACCAACAGGGCCCTGCGACACTGACGTAGCACGAGTGTCTCCACGAGGCTCTGAAGAGATGATGGAAGCAGCTGCCGAAACCAGCGAGCTTGTGGATGCCATGGCATGCGATCTCCGTCTGAGTAGTGCAACTCCAGAGCGTACAGCCTGCTCGACACGCGCATCCTCGGCAGCGTCGCCGCGGGACGTTTGCCGGATAGAGTCGAGGATGGCTCGCTCAAAGACGTCATCCTCGTCTCTCGAGAACGTGGAGCTCGAATCTGCGAGGAGCGTGCCGTAAGAGTAGGGACCATAGGGACTTTGTCGAGGATCTCGCTGTGACTGCGCCACGCTCCTCTGGTCGAAGAAGGAACTCGTTGAGGCAGAGGCAGAACCTGCAGGCGGTGGAGAACCAGTGTAGCTGGGTGAAACTGGGCGAGACGAATCCGGGCTTGTATCTTTGCCCTTGCCCTTACTCTTCAGCCTGTCCTTTTGCTTCAGTGCGTAGAAGCTCTTCAAGTGCGACTTTTGCACACCCCAGCGGATTTCAATGTCCTGACGCTCTTCAGGAGTCGACCAAAGCAGCTCGTCGTTGCCTTGCCAGATACGTGACGCAGTGATGTAGTTTTGGGCGCTTTGGGCGAAGAGTCCCCGGATCTCGGCATGCACGCCGGCCATGGTGTAAGCCGGGATAGACCAGAAGGCTAAGTTGTTGTGTTAGCTTGTGTCCTTTTGTGGCATGTCCGTCATCACTTTTTCGATGTGTCATTGCTTACCCGCGCCAGACTTGAACACCAATCCTCCAATGCCTTTACCAATGCCCTTCATCGCACCAACACCGCCTTCCTTGGCAGCTCCTCGCATCGGTTGTGTCACTAGGCCAGAGATGCCATCAAAAAGACCAAATCCAAATTCCTTGCCAGCAACCTTCAGACCGCTGCTGAACGAGGTCACCTTCTCGGTCGGGCGGATCGTATCATCATTGTATAGTCTCGGTGCGTTTCTGAACCCACGCGCCAGGCCCATGCAGAAGTTCATGGGACTCTTCATGCCTGTGGCCACAATGTTGTTGATGCCCTTTGCCGCGTCGAAAGCCTTTTCCAGCCTCTCTGGGGTCAGGCCTTCCGACTTCGTGACAGATGAAGCGGCGGCGGCTGAGCGAGACGAAGAACCACCAGCGCCACTCCCACTACCAATCTGTGTGCTCGACGGGCTCAAAGTCGACTGTGTTTGGTCGCTCGATTGGATTGTGCTGGCAGGAGCGACTGAAGTCTTGCTCGCCGTCTCGGCACCTTCGGATGCTGTGCTGAGCGTGACCTCAGATGGACCACCGCCCATAGAAGTAGCGCTTGCGTTGTTCGAGGTAGTAGTCGCAGCATCATCGGTAGTTTGATCCTTGTCTGATTGTTTCTTGCCTGCGGCCTTTGCGGCCTTGAACACATCGCGAGGGATATCCGCAATGGACATGCCGATGCTACCAATATCTCCCAACAAGGCTGCCGAACAGGCTGAGATTGGGTCTGTGGGATGGTCCTCAGTGCTGTACTCCTTTCCACGGAAACTGTTCGACGGCATTAGTGCTATGCTAGCCACTTCAGAAAGCATCTTATTGCACTTACAGTTTGAGATCCGAGTACGTTAGATACCCCGAGTTCACGAGATGTGTAGCAGCCAGGGCACTGAGGTGACAGGTCGATCGGCGGACTCTCCAGACAGCGACTCTGCTTGGCACTATCGAGCATCGCAGGCTGTCAACGTCGAGGTGGTTGTGGAAGCACTGGCCGCCAACATCTGCGCCCTTCTCTTCTCTAATCTTCGCACCAAGCTCTCGGGCCCGCTCCAGAGTCTCCGGCTTTATGGCCACCCGGATCGCTTCCGCCAAGGCCGAGGCCGTCAGCTGCTTGTACGGGATGGGCTCTGGTCCGGCACCAGCTCTGTGGACCATGGCACCCCAAAAGGGCTGATCACCAAAGAACGGCACTACAATAGTTGGCTTGCCAGCGTTGATTCCAGCAGCTGTAGTTCCAGCGCCGCCGTGGTGGCATACGGCAGAGACGTGCTCGAAGAGCCAATCATGTGGCACGTTCCCAAGCATGTATACACCTTCGGGAATACCCACCGAATCGGCTCCCAGGCCACCCCATCCCTTAGAGACAAGAGCGCGGACACCAGTTTCTGCTACAGCATCAAAGATCATCCGAGTGAGTCCGTTGGGGTCGTCCACGACAATCGACCCAAACCCGATATAAATGGGTGGGGGCCCTGCCTTGAGGAACGCGTCTAGTTCGGGATCTGGTGTGAACGATGACGCCAAGTTGAGGAAGAAGAAGCCTGCGATATCGATGTGGTTGCCCCAATCTGCCGGCTTGGGAATCAAAGCAGGTGACCTGGTCCATGTCAGACATGCTTGCTTCGAAAAGCCAAGGAGAGGAGTCACTTACCAGCAGTACGTATAAGGGATCCGCAGACGAGTCAACACAGCTGGCGCCCATAGCAGGGACAGTGGCTCGAGGTCGAGCACCTTTGTTCTGAAGCGATTGATCACGTCTCCCAAGCCTTGCCAGGTCATCATCTCGACTAGAGCGTATGACACATAATTTGTGGTGACTGGGTCAGTGTTCGAGGATTGAATATTGGCAAGAGGCTGAGGAAAGGCACGGGTTGGCGACCATGGCATGCTTTACAATCTGTCAGCCTGTCTCTCATCCACAACACTCTTGAGAAATGAGGACTTACGTGAACATGAGATGCAGTGGAACACCCAGCTTCTCCGCCACGTGGATATGCGCAAAACTTGGTGGATTGGCAATGATTGCATCTGCAATGAACGGCCTGTTCGTCGGCTCATCGACCTCAAACTGTGGCATGGTAGTTGGATCATCGGTTTTCGAGTGGCGGGGGAATCGCGGTGCGGGCCCAAGTCCCTTTCCGGCCTCTATACACGACCGCCAGCAGCCAAGAACGATTTCCTCGATGCCCTTGCGCCGCTTTGTGATCTCGCCGTTCTTGAGCGCGTCCACGCCTGGCATGAGACCAGGATTCTTGACCATGAAGGCCATGAGCTCCGCCGGGTCTCCGCCAATGCTGAAGAACTCCAAGCCCGCATCTTCGACAAATTTCTCAAATGTGGGATGAGTCGCAATGCGTACGCGGTGTCCATATGTGTCTCTGAGCACTTGTCCGAGCGCGACGAATGGCTGTACATCGCCTCTGGAACCGACGATCTGGATGACGACATTGAGCCGTGGCGGGGGTGTTTGACCCGGATGGCCACCGAGGCTAGGCGGAATGTAGGCCGGCGGGATGGGCAATAGGTCACCGGGAGTAGTCCGGTCCTCGACAAGCTGATTACGCAAGGCTGGTGCAATGAAATTTGCGACGTTCACATTTGTCTGGTTGATGTTGATATTAACACGGCCATCATCTAGATGGCAGGTAGTGAGTCAGCTCTGAATACTCCGATATAACTCAAAGCGGGCAGCAGTCGATCGGGAGCTCTTCCATCTCACCTGTGATTGTCGCACCGGCATCAAAGCCAGCCTGGTGAAGGGAAAGCTGGTCATGCTGCTCGCTGTACGCGGGCGGGACCTGCTCGGAGGCACCAAGCTCAGGGTGCTCCGGTAGGGGACCCTGGCCGTCCTGCGGGGTGAAGTCTTCACTGACGACCACGCCAGGAGCAGATGCGCTTGCAGACTGGCGTTGTTGCTTGCCGCCCTCTCGCTCGCGCGCGGCCTGCGCCCTCTTGTCGTCGAGAATTGTCGGCATAGCGAGATGCTATGCGCACGAGCAGTTGTTGCACGAGTCGCTGGGCAGCTTCTTGGACGAGGCAAGCAGCAGCCAGGAAGGAGACCACACAAACTCAGAGCTGCGTGCGGAGACGTAGCAGAGTGGTGTTTATTTGGTGGCGTGGTAGGCCAGGCATTGACTCAAGATGAACTGGTTGTAGGCGCTGTCGTTGTCGCAAGTGCAGCGCAGTCGTGGTTGGAATAAAGTAGTTGATGCAAAGCTAGGGATGCATGTTCTAGGTGGTGCGAATATCCTTACGGGCTACAGAAACAATCTGGAGCGAATGACTTCCAAGGTCGATGTGTGAAGTCGGGGGAGGAGGTTGGCACAAGCCTGTTTATTTGCGGCAGGGTTGGAGCTGCGATCTACTTAAGGGCCATGACGACGTCAACGGGCGGCGGGTGGTTGAGGTACCAAGTGTGGAACTGCCAGGACGAAACCAGCCCGTGCCTGACCTGGTCTCGCGCTGGAGGGCGCCTGCTAGTAGCTCAAAACCACCCTCTTGGAACAGCTCAGGTGCGCTTTCACGAGCTTCGATCTGGCGTCCATGGTGGGGTAAGGGGGCCTGGCTGTGAGCTGTCTTTCAGGGCCTGGTGTGGCTGCCTCATCTCTGTTCCAGTATGCGGTCGCAGACACTCAGCTTCCATCTTGCACTCTATTGGCTGCTTCATACCATTGCATAATCGGAATACGCTGGCGGTGCCGAACTTGTCACCAGGCAGCCACTTTCCAGATGTCGGTGCGTGGTTCTGTTCCACTTCAAACAGCTAATGCAAACGCCTTCTGTGGAACGAGGATAGTCCGAAGAGTGCGACGATTGCGAGCAGTCTGTCCCAATCCGCTGGGGCACTGCGAGGGTGGTATCAATGCATCCAAAGCCCGCTTGGCCCGCGCCAGGCTCCTGTAATCGACCCCGCAGACAGCTACCTCATTCCTTTCCCTAGAACGTCGAGATATCCATGTCGACCATGTCACACGTCTGCCAAGCGAGGTCGGCTTGATGTTGCATTGTTCCTCGTTTGGGCCAAGGTTCTTGACCCGGCCCTCGACCGAGCATCAGTGGACAATGAGCAGTGACTCCCTGCTCATGACCATCCAGAAGGTAGGCTGTATGAAAACACAAAGCACTGGAAGGGCGCATGCTGCGTAGATCACGGCAACAAAACAAAACGGTATCTCTTTCTAGCGTAAATGGAGCCTGCCTAGGTGGCCTGTTATGATACAGTAAACGATTGTCGAGCGCTTGCGCCGGATCCTTCTGTGTGATCAAGGCACACATTGTTCCCAAGCAGACTCCCCGACCAGCCTCCGGGCCTGCTGGCTTTCGATTAGTCGTACGAATCGAGAGCTCTCGCACGTAACTTGCGGGCTATTAGTCGTGTTGTTGTGTGGTCCGGCTCTGCTCCAGACAGAACCAGAGAGCTTACTGCAGAAGTCTCTGGTGATGTGGATTTCGGCACATGGTGATGATTTTGGCATACTGCTTAGCTGGAGAACCGGCGGGTGACCTTGGCAATGACTGCAGAACACGTTAGCCTTGACGGAACGTAACGCTGCGAGGAATGTCGCGATCAAGAGAAGATGAACTCACTGTGGAGAGCAACAACGGAGAAGATGAACACTAGGGACAGAACGAGGACGACGACCGGGTCAACCTTCAAGCCAGGAGACTCGTCTGTGTAGAGCTCTGTAATCGGGGGGAAGAACATGAAAGGTCAGCGTTCAGTCTACCCAGAAACAGGTCCATCAAGTCCCAGAAGCGGTCGTTTTGAAATTGCTTTCTTCGTCAATTGACACTAAAGCCAGCTCAAGCAAGAGCTTTTGCATGCTTGGGACAGTTGGGACGTCGGCGTCGTGTAGAATGACATACTGAGCATGGTGCTGCTTGAGCCGCCGGCGCCAGCGGCGCGCGTGCTGCTCGGGCGCGCATTGGCAATCTTCTCCTTCTGGTCGGCAGCAGCTCTCCGGCGGATAGCTGTTCGCGCGCCTCCAGGGGCGGCAGGGGATGACGGACGGCCGATGCTGGCACCAGTGGCGGCAGGCGAGGCCACGGGCGATGAGGCGCGAGGGGAAGACTGCAGCACGAAGATGTCGATGGTCAGCAAGGTACGCAGGTGTCAATGTGGCATTGCAAGTGGTTTTTCCCCCGTACGAGACGGTTTGCCGAAGTCGTGCTGTTGGGATGAGCTCGTCGGCTTCAAGAACTACCGTCGCCGCGCCCGTGGGGAGTAAGGGGGCTGGTTGGCGCGAGGAGGAACGCTGCGAATGCGACTTGCACGTACCATGGCGAGGACAGAGATGGACAGGTAACAGGGAAGAGCAGAAGATCCGGTAAGATGCCGCGGACAGTGGTCGAAGGAGCGAAACTGGAGAGAAGAAGAGAGACAGAGGTCGCGTGGGTGTGGTGGTGATGCGCCTTTGGAGTTGCCGACCCAAAAAGCACCTCAGGGTCTCGCTGGCCCAGACATTCAATTGAGGACACGACAGTCAGACCTGGTGCCGGCGGCTGAGCAGGAGCTCCCGACTGCAAGTACCTTGCGGCGCATTCTGTGGTGCTGGGGTACCTAACACAGTTACGGCAAGCCTGGACCCGTCCGTGCACGGCGGATCCACCACCACCACCGGCCAGCTCCCCTTCGCTGCTAAATCGACCCCGGACTCGAAGCTCCACAGCAACACACGCTCGCCACTCCAGTGCCAGGTAGCCGGAACAACAGTCGTCGGGTGCTTGAGCAAGTTATCCGCAGGATGTGGAGGAAGCTCCAGTACTTTCATTGCACACATCACCGTTGTTTACAATCAGCAGTCGTGAGTGAAAATGTTGATTCAAGCTCGTTGGGATCTAGGATAAGATTCCCCAAATTTTGAATTTCATGGCAAATGGCAGACAACTATGGACATATAGCCAGCCAGCCAGTGTGTCAAGAGGAATTCAAAGAAAAAGCCATGCCATGGTCATCTCCTTTAGTGTTCGTGGTTTTTCCAACGCAGTTCATCTGACCATATGCTAATATCCCAGAACGCCAGAGCTTGTAATCCCAACCATGAGCGCAGCTGACGTGCGCGCCAGCAACCGATGCTCTTCAAAGCCCCCGCAACGCTGTGCCATGAGTAAATGTGGATATATCCTGTACGCCGGTGTTGTGTCTTTTCCCAAAAAATCAAAACGACATAGAAAAGTTTTCGAATCTTCGATGACGACCCGGCTGTGCGATGACGTCGCTCGGATAGTAAAGAAAGCGAGGGCAAGGGAAAAGTCGTGCGTTTAAGTTGTGCTGCCATCTAAGGAAAGCCAAGATTTGGAGCGGCTCCTGTGGCGGAAGAAAATTATATAGTAGTGTGTTGTCAAGGAAGTGAGTGTTCATGTAATGAACGAATGGCAGAATGTGATACGTGTTGTACATGGCATTAGTCGCTTGAGCGATGGTTCGTTCACCGATGCGAGGGATCTCTGGGGTCGTTGTGAGGTCCGTGGCGTCGGCCATTCTCGTCCCGAGCTGCAAGCCAGGCAGCATTGCCGCTGCCAAGTGCCGGTTGCTCGGCAGGTACTTTCTGGGCGTCGCTTGAAGATGTGCGCACATGTGGCTGGCCGTTGCTGGAAGTGGTGTTGGATGAGCTGGGGACCATTCTGGTGACGGCTTGCGTGATTGAGGCTACTACGTAGCCACGCAGCTCGCGTTCCTCACGAGTATCTTCTTTCTCGAGTCGGAACCTCTCGTCTTTGTCGAGATTGGCTCTCCGTATATTCCGAATTTCTTGCATGACGTATAGTAGGACCTGTTCCGGACATCGAGTCCGTTCGAGGGAGTGTTCTGTCTTTCTGACATAGCGGCGGGTTACGTCTGTTGCGCCGTCGGCGCCGAATGCAATGCAGTACGACATTTGTTTCCCCCAGCCTTCAGTATAGAGACGCGGGTTGTCCCATGCCTCCTCGCAGGCGTCGACATGAATCCATCGTTGCTTGTGCTCAGAGTAAACCTCGGTCCAAAGGTGATCTTCCGCACTCCAGACCCAACGTACACGTCCGCCAACAGCGCGACAGAGCATGCTGAAGCAGTTTGACCACTCGCCAGCGCGCCCCCTCCTCGTTTGGAGGAGTTGCCAGACGTCGCTGTACCGAGGGAATCTTTCGTAGGCTTGGCAAGCCATGTTGGAGCATTGATAGAGCTCAACGCGGAGGGCACCGCGTGCGGCCTCCTCCGCCGTTGGTTGTGTGATTCCCTTGGCTACGGTGGGAGAAATGCAGATTGGGCAGTTAGGGTTGTTGACCCATGTGAAAAAGGTACGCTTGAACCATCTACAATCACAGTTTAGTTGCGGACGAATTGAAGAGAACAAGGAGCGGCACGACATACCGAAGAAGCGCACGAATCACACAATCCTGATAGCCCCATTCGGGTTTCCTGCCATCACCCATGCTTTCGGCTTGTGCTTGCAAAAGCTGGCATTCCTCCTCGGCCTCGCCGTATATGCGGTCAAACTCGATGGTCTGGAGCGCTTCGTCGAGAAGCCCTGGGTTCTCGTACTTCGTTGGTGTGGCCGATAAAGAGATGAGCATGTTGCGGAATTTCTGCGACTCTCTGTCGTGGGCCGCTGGCGGCGTTGGAATTAATGGAATATGTCTCAATGAAGAATAGGACGGCGGCGTTGTAGTTTGGGCAGATGCCTGCTCATAGGTGTGGCTGTGCGAGGATGTCGGACGCTCGCCGGAAGGCGTTGTCGGTGCTCGCAGATGGGATGATGATGAACGTTCTCTCGGCTCTGAAGCGCTGAGGTGAGTTGAGCGCCCGCTGCGTGACGCGGTAAACTCTGTTGTTCTCTTGGTCCGCAACAGGCCTTCGAATTGAACACGCAGGTCGCGAGCCCACTCCTCGCCGAACTCGCCTTGCCCATTGTCGGACCGTTGGCGATCAGCAGCCATGATGGTGTGTGTGCCTTTAGAGCCTGGTGGATGTCAAATTGTGCAGGGCGGAAGTCGTGGTGCTCGTAGTTTGGACCGCGGAGCCGGTCGTCCCGTTGGGTTGGCGAGGATGCGAATGCTGCTGCTGCTGCTGCTGACGCTCGCCTCTAAGTGATGCAGCCGAGAAGCATCCGTCAACAAAAGGCTGATGTGTTGGCAGTCATGCTATGTGGGAATCCGACCAGGTCGTGTGCGCTGCCGTGTCGCGTTAAGGAACGTGTTGTCGTGCGGTTGAGATGGCTCGAGGGCTCGTGTGTGGATGGATGGGGTATGGAAAGGAAGGAAAGAAGCAGCAGGCGACAACGGTAGGGTGACGGCTGCCCTCAGGGGGTCCCGGCAGAGACGACGGGTAGCGTGCTGCTAGTCTGGGGCGGGCGGGCGTCGCAGCTGAGTGCTGGGCCTGGGAAGAGGGGACAGCAGACGTACAGACGGACAAGCATCAGGCAGACAGGTAGACAAGCAAGGCAGGCAGGCAGGCACCTGTCCTTTGAAGGCGCAGCAGTGCGTCGAGAAGGAAGGGGGGGGGTAGCGTCTCGAGTCAAGCGGGCGAACGAGGAGGGCGGCTGGGCGGTATGGCAAAGGGTTGCGTAGGCCTTGCAGTGCCAAGCCTTGAGGCGACGCAACAGGCGCAGGCATTGGCCAGCCGCGAGGCCAGATCCGCGTCCTGCCTCGTTGCACCCAACGCACGCAGTCCCCGATTGCGTGCAACACTGCTGCCACTCCCTCTGCCCGTGGACCCGAACGCGCGTCTCACTCCGTCGCCCGCTCGCTGTGCTGGCCCCACTCTCTCTCTCTCTTGGGCCGTCCGTCTCGCCCCTCGCCGTCGCCGTCGCCTCTGGCGCACGCTCGCCCGTCACCACCATGCTGATTCCAGGAGGTGCCCCTCCAAGCCGGGCTTTCTAATTCTCTGCCAAGCCTTGACCGGCAGAAGCTTATGTACAACTAACTGCCTGCGAAAAGGCGCTGCGCGGCTGCATCTCGACTTGGAACCTCTTGGGCCGGGCCTTGGTTCCCCACGGCCGACTGCAGGTGGAAATTGCACTTCCCGGCGGCCAGCTTGGTTTGGATTTACCTCTCTGCACACCTAGTTCGGCCTTCCAAGGTTGGTCTTCCCAGCATGCAGAGTCTGGTTGAGATTGAGAGCTTCAGAAGCCCTCCATCTCTAGGTCATACTGCTGACAATTGCAGACCAGATCGCACGCGGCTTCCAGTACAGACCCATTCGCCAAGGATATCTTCCTGCAAGTATGAAACTACACCAGACCTGCCAATCTGGCTTTGACGGAGTGGAGTTTCCAGATCGCGCCCTCCACTGCGCCTGGCGGCGCTGCCTTGCCTCGTGGGTCACAGCCCCAATCGCCGCAAGCTGCTCACAGCCTCAAGACCCTCAAAGAGTACCCGAAACAATGGCGAATGGCTCGAATGGCTGGCCCCCTTCCCCACTCTGCAATGACAGGTTCTTCGAGATGTTGAGCAGGGAGGCAGGGTTTCCGAACCGAAAATCCCCATCGGTGGCGGCGTGATCTGCGTGTCAATCAGTATCTGGCGGATCATCACTTTGGCTGAAGCCGGCAGCCGTGCCTATTTCCGGCCCAGTACATCCCCGAAATGCCAATTACCCTCAATTGGTGCCAGCACTGGTGCAAGCTTATCTGACGAACCACGACACGTTACAGAGTTCCCTCGCACTGGAACAAAACGACGCTGACTGGCATTACTTTGCGGCTGCTGCCTGATGAGCCTGTGCGCACGTATCTGCAGACGCACAGAAACTGGCGTTGAGGTCGCGTTTCGACCTGGACTATCCTTTCCAGCTTTGTCAGGACCCAATGAAACGAAATTATGATCTTTGCTGCGACGCAGAAAGCAAAAGATGGACCACCGTTCGGTAAAGGCGGATGCTATTGCCCACTGAGACTGTTTTCCACTGCACCAGTTTGCAGGCAACCCAGGCGACTTGAATCCATGATCGACGCTCATCAAAAAAACCATCCAGTCCCGGGACTCATGTGTGTCTACCAAAGACACTTGAACTCTAGTACTAGAATATGTTTAGGTATCAATCCGTGCTCACAAACACATCGTCAGGCTTGCAGAACCACACGACTCGCCAGCACAGTTCTGCTTGAATGGTTGACGACTGCTGCCGAGGAGGTCTGCGGCTCCAACGGCGGAGGAGTGGCAGCACAGTCTAGAAGGCGCCACCAACAAAGGGGTGACACTTAAGCATCCACTAGACACCTGGGTTGCGCGTCCTCTGTCAGACTCTGGAGGCACTAGTCCTATCCTGGCCAGCTGTTCGCGCTTGATTGGTCCAGCTTAGCGACCTCAACCATTCACAAGACATCTGGATCCCCACTTGGTGCCATCCTCGATCACCATCGACGTCGACATCGATATTAACCCCTAGGCAGGGACTCTGAGCCCATTCATCCTCATCATTCATCAAGTCCTGGCTGTTGCTCTGCTCTGCTCTAGTCCCGGATCCTTGCCTTGGTTGCACCGGCAATGCTTTGCAGTCCAGACATCGTCAGTTGGGTAGGCCCTGGCGGCATTTGGAGCAGTGACCCTTCTCAGACTGATCGCGAGCTGCTCATGCGTGAAGAGACACGACACATCCCGTTGTACGGATCGGCAAGATTGTGCTTTTGAGAAGCAACATTGTCATCACCACTACCACCACTGGCTCGTAACTAACCGTGTCCGTCGTGAGCTAGGACAGATGGACGAGCACATCCTACCCACGCTACTACAGTTACCCACTCCTAGTTCCCATGTCATGGACAAGCTTGAACCTCGCAACATACCAAATCAGAACCCTGCGACGTCCAAAAGAGCATGCAGGTTGCCATCATCCGCCCAATCACAATGGCGGCTCCGATCTCCGCATGACGACTCGCGGGAGGGGATGATGGCGGTCTGTGGATGTGGATATGAGAAACTCTAAAGCCTACAAGCGTGGAAGGGTGCGTGCGCGTCGTAGAAGCCGCGTGGAACACAGGGATCAACCCCGGGAACTCTCCCCGACGAGACAGCGTCGTCTTCGCCATGCCAGACCATATGGGCAACCGGGGCATTCAGCCAAGATACTCCGCCGGGTTTCTCCGGTGTTGGCCAGAACGTCGGATATCAAGAGGATCTGCTTGCCCACGTCACGCTGCGTACGCAATGCCGTCTATTGGAGCATTTCTTTTTGGCCTTGTAAACTCATTGCATGTGCCGTGTCAAGGTTGCTGGCGAAGCTGATCTACTTCTCCTCTCGCTGAAGCGCGCGAGCCGCGTCCTGGATTACTTGATAAGATGCCCAACAGGTCGTTTCTTGCGCGGACAGTCAGGACAGAAGCGAATCGTTCCCCCCGAAGCGAAGCGGAGTAGTACAGAACGGGCGGACTGGCTTGTTCGGACATGATTGTGTCACGAGAGCTCGTCGCTGACAAAGCTGCTCGTCCGCGTAACCAGGCAGCCACTCCGTCCTGGGACACGCTGACGGCGGCACCTCCCGCTGCCCACACTGCGTCAGATCCGGGCGGATTGTTCGGGTGATTCTACACACACAAAAGGAGGCCCGGGCGGGACCGGTAAAGCATCGCCGCTGACAATACATTACATGCACGCTCGCCTCGCCTCGCTACTCGCTCTTGCCCATCCCAACCAGAGCTAGGGGTTGCCTTCTACGCGTACGCGTAGGGAACCAGATGATGAAGAAGAAGCTCTGCGGAAGCAGAATTACCACGAGTCCAGTTTCGTCAACCCGTAAAAGAGAGCAGTGCTCGTGGGACAAAAGGGGTGTAAAGGGATGATGAAAAGACGCCAAAGACCTTGTGATCGGGTTGGAAAGCTCGTCCGATGATACACACCCCTGCCAAAAGAGAGAAAAAAAGTGCGAGACGGCATACGTCACCGGCGGCAGCAGCAGCAGTCAGCCGAACATGGGAAGCTGGGAAGGCGATACAGTACACGCGTCCGCCCGAGCAACGTTTCCTTTCGGGGCTGCCATATGTTGTGCGCGCCGCCCCTTGCTGGAAGCTTGCTGACTCGGTTCGAGAAGCTTGGAGAAAAGAGCAGAGCGAGGATGAAGCGCTTGTCTAATGGGACTTTTGTACGGAACAGTTAATAGCGCCTTGCAAATTGTTAGCTGGAGTTATGCCTGAATGATCAAGTCCAGACAACCAGACCGCTTTCGAATAAAGAGTGCATATGAGAGACGGAGCAGATAGTCACTGATGCTCTGAGAATTTTAATGCATTCCCCTGGAGTCGAAATAGATGGGAAGAAATTGAAGGTCAGAGCTTCATGATGCGAGCGGTACTTTATCTTTTCAATGTATTGAAACGATGCGAGGTTCGAATTGTCTGACCAGTTGGCGAAGTGTTGGCTGATGTATATTTAATTATAATGTTTAGCACATGACGCCGTCTTCATTAGCTTTTCCACAATCATATGAACATTTGAGCATGAGAATACAATAATTCGTCTTTTTTGGTGAAACTCTATGGGGGCGGGCGACTGAACGCGTGGTTCGTGTTCTCTAATAGATATCGCCTTCCCTATATGCAGTAGGTTGCCCCAGGGCAGCGTCTATGGCATCCTTTATTGCCTTGCACCCAAGATTATCCAAGGAGGAATCCAACTGCTCTCGCTTGCTCGAAACCAAAGTCGACATTTACTTGCCCCATCGGGAAGTTTCATCTCCACCGCTCCACGACTTCTCCACGTAGCCCAGCGTTTTCTTAACCTCGGCAACCGTCGCAGCATCGCCTGTGTTCTTGCCGGCATTGTCGCTGATCTTGACCGCGTGGTTGTTATTCGCAGAGCTGATCTTGATGACGATGTTTAGTGGAGTCGACTTCTCGCCAGTGCCGAGCCGATGGAAGTCATTTGTCAGGTATGTGCCAACACCAAACGTGGGCTGAAATCCTGCCGCTTCCGAAATCTTCTTGTATTCGATACATTTCTCGATGTCCAAGGAATCCGAGAACACAATCACCTTCTTGTCCGTAATCTTCTGAGAATCGTAAAATTCTCGCATCATCTTGACGAAGTTGGCTGGGTCGCCAGAGTCTTGTCGGACACCAGTAAATGTCTCTGCGTAAGACCTGGGAGTAGCTGTGGCTTCTGGTTGGTTTGGCGTGCCAGGTAAGTATCTTACTGGCTGCTTGAACGCTTCGAGAAATGCCGGCGTGCCGAAAGTATCGGTCAAAGCTATGCCGAGTACGCCTTCGCCGTAAGTGCTGACCCAGCGGCGCAGAGCCTCCTCGGTCGCTGTCTTGTAGTCATTGGTTATCGCGGCGATGCCCATGAACCATTCGTGAGCAACAGTTCCCACGGGTGCAAGGTTGAAGCGCATGGCCAAATGAACATTGCTCGTGCCAGTGAGCTTGCCTGGCAACCCTCGCTTTTCGGCTTCCTTGCTAGACTTCACCAGTCCGCGAAATACCAGTGCTTGCGTGTGATAGTCACGCCGTCTACGGGTACCAAACTCGGAAAATGTGCAGCCAGCCTCAAGCAGGCGCAGGCCTTTCTCGAAGGCCTTGTCCTCTTGCCCCTCATAGTTCCAGTCCGTGTCCATGAACTTGAAGTACGCCTCTGAGATGAGGGCAAGGAGCGGAATTTCGTAGAGAATGGTGTCGACCCACAAGCCGCGGACTTCGATATGGGTGTCGCCGACGACATCCTCAGCGCCCGTGTCCTCGGCAACGGGCGTGAAGGTGGGTTTCAATTGCTCTCGGGGAGAGAGGCGGAACTCTCGCAAGAAGTTCAGGTAGTCGGCAGTGAGGTACTTGCAGTGCGTCTGCAAGTAGCGGTACTCGTCGTCGGAAAGGGAGATGTTCCCGAGCTTGGAGATCTGGTCACACAGCCAGTTGTAGGCCTTACGAGACAGCTTCTTGTCTGGAGTTCTGTTGGTGAATGCGTAGGTGACGTTGACGTCGCGATAGTGCTTGAAGACGGCGCATTGCATGGTCAACTTGTAGAGATCGGTATCGAGGAACGAGATGACCCCCTCGGGGAATATGGTGGACGAGTTGAACTCCATTGTCGCGGGGTTGCGAGAGACGTGACGTGGACGAGGACACGGGAGTCGTATTCGTAAGTAAGTTTCAGGCCAGGAGCCTGGAAGAGATTCACCAACTTGGTTCTTTCGAGCCACGTAGGTTTCAGCGGCCGCTGGTACTTGGATCTGAGTCACCTAAAGGGGTCAGCGCTATATACGGGCGTGAATAGGGGCATCCCACACTGGCGAGAATGAGGGATGAGGGGCACTGGAGGCTCCGACGTACTCGTGGACGCTTTATGCGGAGAAGCTTGGGCCTGCTGGAAGTAGAAGAGCGAGGGAAGGGCAGCAGAATGGTCCACGGGACGACGGGTGATTCCAGCTCGACGATGCATAAGAAGCACACGTGGGGCAGAAGTTGGAAGTCGCAAAGCTGCGAGCTTGAGCAAGGGAGCGAGCAGACGCGACATCGGAAGTGGTGGGCTGGTGGGGGCGGCCCTGCCTGGCGGGTGTGACTGCCGCGGTCGCATGGAAGGAAGCATGCCAGCAGCACGAGCAATGCCGTCACAAGGGCCCAGCGGGCTCCGGCACCCTTCACTCAGCACGCATCACTTTGGCACTAGCCTAAGCACCATTCAACGGTATTGACTCATTATCATGCTGCCTTGCAGGTTTTTGAGCCATCCTCTCCGTTTGCTCAACACGGAAGAGGGTTCACAGACTTCTCACAATTGGAAGACCGGGTCAATACTGCGTTCCCTTCACGCTCACATGGGCCCATTGAGCAGCACAGACCTCACAACGCATGCCGTGCAAAGTTGGAGAGCATCGTTCATGTCCATGCTGAATAGGAAAACCTACCCATACGCTGCCTCGTGCCAATCCCGGGCTGTCTGGTTCTGGCGATTGTCAGGATGAGCACATGGCGACTTGGCGCTCCAGAGCTGGGCAAGTGGGGCGTTCCCGCAGGCGCGTTTCCCAGTGCAGCAAGAGCCCCAGCCTAATCCCTGCAGGTTTGTCGCTCCAAAGAAAAAAAAGTTCCCAAGGTCTATCGGGCGGCCTTCAAAAGATTGCCTATCGCAACGCCGTCCGTCTTGCAACAGGACCGCGCAATCGACGTCGCCGCCAACGACTGTCACCACGGCTAGGACACGATCGCTTTCTCGACAACCCCTGCGCCGGCGCCCAAGTTGCGACCATGGACATCCACCGTTGCCGTTTCGTTCCTTATCCACCCTCGGCCATCAATGCCGTCGCCTTTTCGTATCCGGCCTTGACCAAGGCCAACAAGAACGCCCCCGTCCGGCTCGCCATCGGCCGCGCAAACGGCGACATTGAGATATGGAATCCTCTTAATGGTGCCTGGCACCACGAGTCCACCCTTCACGGCGGCAAGGATCGCAGCATTGATGGTCTTGTCTGGGTCAACGAGCCGGACCAGATTCTCAGCGATGGTACGCGTTTGGTAGGCAGGTCGAGGCTATTCAGCATCGGATACACCGCCACAGTCACCGAGTGGGATCTCGAGAAGGGTCGTCCCAAGAAGCAGGCAACTGGCATGCACGGCGACATCTGGTGCCTTGCCGCGCGCCCGCTAGCCTCGAACGCGGCCGCCACTTCCACCACTCCGCAGACCAAGCAACTCGTCGCTGGCACAATAGACGGAAGTCTCGTACTCTACTCGATCGAGGACGGGGATCTCCAATTTGAACGCATCATTGTCAAGTCAACGTCCAAGAAGACCAAGATGGTCAGCATCGCCTTCCAGAGCCGGAATGTTGTCGTGGTCGGCTGTTCGGACAGCGCCATCCGTGTTTACGACATCCGAAATGGCTCGACGCTCCGAACCATGACCCTCGGGTCCGACCTTGCCGGTGGCGCGAAGGACATCATCGTGTGGTCAGTCAAGTGCCTCGCAGGCAAGGACATTGTCTCTGGCGATTCCACCGGCCAGGTCTGTATTTGGGATGGCAAGTCGTACACACAAGCACAGAGATTACAGAGCCACAAGCAAGATGTCTTGTCTCTTGCCACGAGCGCCGACGGTACCACGATCGTCAGCGGCGGTATGGACCGTAAGACTGTCCTGTACCAGCAAACGTCTGGTTCTGGCTCCCGCTGGGGCAAGGTGTGGCACAGGCGGTACCACAACCACGACGTCAAGACCATGGCGTCGTTTGAAGGGCTTGGCATGAGTGTTGTTGTGTCGGGAGGTACGTTTTCACCAAGTCAGAACCATATCTACAGCTGTCAACATGCTTACGCGCGTGTCCAGGACCGGACGCCAATCCGATTGTGCTTCCCCTCAAGGAGGCAGGTATGGAGTACCACCGGACGCTCTCCGCCCTCCCCCAGAACCCTCCCGTTCGAAGCGCAGTAAAGAGTCGGTACATTGTCAGCTGGTGGGATCGCCAAGTGCACGTGTGGCAGCTCAGACGGAACGTGAAGGACCTGGTCGAGTCGCCTGATGCCGATTTGCCGGTCTCCAAGAACCGTAGACTCCTGGCTCGAATTCTGGTCAAGGGCGAAGCCAACATCACGTCCGCCACCGTCAGTGCTGACGGCTCAATCCTCGTGGTCGCTACCACATCGGACGTCAAGGCTTTCCATCTCGACGCCGGCAAAGGCAATTCCAAGAAGGATGAACTCAAGATCAGCAAAGTGGACATCCCCGAGGCCATGGCTTCGAACGGTGCGAAGCGTGTGGACATCTCCCCGGATGGTCAATGGATCTGCATGGTCTTGCCTGATAACAGCGTCTATGCTTTGAGGATAGAGAGGTTGAGTGAAGGTGCGACGCCGGAGATCCTCTCCAAAGCCACAAAATTGCCTCGCCTGCGGAGAAACATCCCGAAGCATGTCCTACTCGGAGGCCTCGGACAATATGACCGGAGCATCACGCATGTTGCATTCTCGCCAGACAGCAAAATGATTGCTGTGGCCGATCTGGCAGGGTATATTGACACCTGGGTGCTGCAAGCGAAGACAGCAGTCAGCAATGACGATGCTGAATCAGGCGGCAGCGACTCCGAAGCTGACGAAACTGATGGCGAGAACGATATCACATCCCCCAAGTGGCAGCGCAACGGAAAGGGCGGGCTCATCCCTAAACTGAACGCTGCACCTACGGTGCTCTCATTCTCCAGCCGCTGTCCCACCTCTCTGGGGTCTGACGGTGACGAGGAGGACGACTACAGATTGCTCGCGGTGACGGCCCGGCCTCAAATCCTCATCGTCAACCCCTTGCACGGCGCGATGAGCTCGTGGTCGAGAAGGAACCCGACATCCCGGTTTCCCGTCGAGTTCCGCAACATTCGCGACCTCGTCAAGGGCGCGCTCTGGGCTGGCGAACGGGTCTGGCTATATGGCAACAGCTTCCTGTTCATGTTTGACACCTGCAAGGATGTGGCCGAGCCCGAAGACCTCGCAAACAACGCGAAGGCCCTTGTCGCCCAGGGTATCAAGCGCAAGCGAGGTGGCGACTCTGGTGCCGGCAGCAGGGCGCACAAGGATGCCACGGGGCCTACCAGAATCCTGCGCCACGTTCCTGAAGAGGGCACAGAGGAGCTGAACATGGAAGGCGGAGGTGACCCCATGGACACGGACGCGACGAGCGGCGCTGGTGAGGACGACGACGATGCCAGCGACAGCGACGACTCCGAGGACGAGCGCCGTGGCGAGCTCGCCCTGCTCCGAACGGGCGGGGCCAAGGCCGTGGCTACCGGAGCTGCCGGCGCCAATGGGGTACAGGAGCAGCAAGAGCAGAAGCCTGGCCTAGCGTTCTGGCACACTTTCAAGTACCGTCCTATCCTTGGCATTGTACCGCTGTCTGGAGCAGACGTTGACGGTGCGGATCACGAGATGAACGGCGTCGACGCACCGGGCAGCCCGCCGCTGCTTGAGGTCGCGCTGATCGAGCGCCCACTGTGGGACGTTGATCTCACAGATCGGTACTACGCTGATGGCGAGCGCGAGAGGTGACGAGTGAATCGACATATTTCGCGTCGTGTGTAGATAGATCTGGATAGCATATTTTGCATGGAGTATAAAAACAACTACGGCCATCTTAACATGTCCCGATTGACGAGCAAAGTGACAGGATCTCTCCCGCTACCTCGCTACAGTCCAGCGTAGTAAGTAGGGCACGGTTGAGACTGACGAACCTGCCTCGGGCTCAGAAATCTGCAACCCCCCCCCTTTCGTTTCGGCACCATTTCACGACCGAGATGGCATTCGCTCGCCCCCATCCAAATAACATGACCACATAATCACAGGCAAAGAAATTATTCTCACGAAGGAATGATAAGAAAAGTAAGTTAAGAGGGGCCGCAGGCGCGCCCGAACGAACAATCCCAGGCTGCCAACCAACAAAAATTGGACAGGGCATGAATGCCCCCCCTCCAACTGACCACGAAAGTGCACATATAGTGGATCATCAATTGGGGGATATATACCCTGCGCCCTGTCCAGCGCGCCCAACTACGCTACCCTGCCTGCCCTGCCCTGCCCTGCCTGAGAAGAGGAACTTTTCTTACTCGTGCGATTTTTATTGACTGCCAACATCGTCCGCAAGGGGGTCGGAGAGATGCGTGCGGCTCTCTCTCTCTCTGTCTCTCTCTCTCTCTGTCTCTCTCTCTCTGAGTCATTGGTGAGAGGGATTAAGTGGGCTTGGAGACTCGGTATTTCATGGGTTCTCTGTGGACTGAGAGGCAGGTCACGTTGTTACCGCTATTATGACCTGGATGGTCGGCTTTGCTTATTCCCCCGTCCCCCGGCGGAAACCAACCGAAAATGTCAGGGGCCAGCCAGGCAAGGGGATTGGCGATGGAGAGTGAGCTTATTGTGAGAGCAGAAATCGCGGGGAGCTCGTGCGCGCGCACGCGCATGAACAGCACGAAAACCAAGGGCTATTACTTAAACTAGATTTTGAAACCGCGGCACGCCGACCTGTAGATCTGCGGACTCGCCGGGTGCTTGAACCTTGTGAAGAAGGAGAGAGAACGCGGGGTTGGCGAGTTTCTGGGTTGATGGCGGTGGTGAGTGGTGTTGGTGGTGTCGTTCATGGTCCAGAGCAGTCTGGGGGCAAGTATGGTATGCAGATCTCTTCTTGGGGTTCTTGAGCTTAACCAGGCTTAGCCTTGGGCACGCCACGATCTGTGCCACGCGTCGATGAATGGCATTGTTCAAGAGCCGGCTATGTACGCAGCTACGCCATCACAGAGTTCAGGCTTGGCTTGGCTTGGCTGGGCTGGGCTGGGCCGGACTGCAGAGCGGCGACACAGAGCTCACAGAATCCGCACGCATGGGTGCAAAGTCAAGTGCCTTTCGCTTGGCTGCGAGCTGACCAACCAAGTTGGACCCCTCCAGGGTGTGACGCCTCTGCGTTTCGTGATGCGTCCGAGATTACGCCCGCCGTATTCTGGAGGAACAGCGCAGGACAGGACATGAACATGGCATGACATGATGGAACAGGCAGGGCGGTACGGGGTCTGCCGGGCGTTGAACCCGCAGAATGGTGCCGGCCTGTCTGTCGTGTGGCTAAGCTGAATAAGAGAGCGAGAGCGAGAAGGGAGCACGAAGCCCGTCCCAAGGTGGAAGCGAAGAGGACGCTTGTTGGCGGACGAGGCACGCTTGGGGACTAGCCTTGGGCCTGGCACGGGCTTAGTGGCGGGCTACCGAGGTTTGCCCCGGCCCAAGCGCCGATTTTGTTTTTGTGAGGATGCATGTGTACGCTTAGATCTGGCCATGCCTGTGTAGTGTGTGGCCTGGCGGCAGGAATAGTTGTTCAATTGCATGTACAAGAGAAACAACCTCATAAGGAGGAAGAGGGGGGACTGACAAGACGGCAAGACGTGGGACTGGAGACCTGGGTCTCGGTGGCTGCCTGGCAGTAATCAGAATGTGAAGGTCTTCACGATGCAGGATGCCCGCGCAAAGTTCCCGGAGAGGCAGGTTTGTGTGAGTGGCCCCGCAAATGTCAGCCAGATCCTGGGCTGGACCCGGAATCACACCACCCAGAACGCTTCTGCGGCCACGCCGCAAGGGGGGCCCAGCAGCTCTGAGCTGAAAGACAGGGGGCCTCATGCAAGGTACCGTACTCCGGACACACACCAGATCAACTCCTCCCATGAGTCTCGCCTCCAAGGCCGCTGCTTGTCTCTGCCCTCCCTACCTTACGAGGTTGTTCTCATGTACATGCAATTAGCACCACGTCACCTTGAAGATGCCGTGACCACACCAAATCGTCGTCACTGCGCCTTCAGTACACCACCTGGGCACCGCCGTCGCGCAATTTCCTCGCGCCCGCCTGCTCGGGTCCGGCTGGCTACCCACCAGCGAGAGCACAGACTCGTAGGGGCGCGCGACAGGACCCTCGAGAGGCTGACAGCTCCGGGCTGCCCACAATAGTAGCTCAACCAGGGGGCCACCCATCGTCGCATCAGGCCTAGCGCTGCCCAGAGCTCCTGCCGAGTCCTGCCCTCCCGCCGCATATCGCGAGATGAGCCCGGCCCTGCTCTCCGCGCACCTGTAGCAGCTCTACGCCTCTTTTGGACTTCCAGCTCGCCAACAACCGCGCCGTCGCTGCCACCTCCTCCAGGCCCCCTGTGCTCACTTGCACTGCTGGCTCGCCCAAGCCGCCCATCGTGCTCCTCGCCCGCATGGGCTAGCAGACGCCACACTCCTCCTATGGCGCCGTCCTTCCCGCGATGCCTGCTCTCATAAGAAGCCGCGCTGGCTCTCTCGCCCTTGAGGCGCCTCTCCCCGTCCCTCTCTGCTCCTCAGCCTGTGGTTGCAGTTGTCCCGACCCCTGTTGCTGTCATTATCAAACTTGAGGGTGCTCTGAGCCCCTCACATCACATTCTTTAATCATGAGGGCCTCTATGCTCGCCGCCGTTTTTCTTCCCGCCGTCCTTGCCCACAACATCAAGATCCCTGCCGTTGAGAAGCTCGTCGATGAGCAGCTCTCCTTGTTTGCCGACTATGTCGACCTCAATGGCACTGCCGGCCACGCCCTGAGCGCCGGCCAGGGCTCCGTCTTTTTCGAGTCGGCCGATGTCCACGCCAAGCGCCAGTCGTCCAGTACCCCTTACTGGTACGAGTCCATCAAGAAGCAGGGCATCTCGGCCTTCAACACGTCTCCGTCGACCTACAAGGTCTTCCGCAACGTAAAGGACTATGGTGCTCGTGGTGATGGTGTCACGGATGACACCGCCGCCATCAACAAAGCCATCAGTGACGGCAACCGCTGTGCCCCTGGCAGTTGCTCGTCCTCCAGCACCACCAATGCCGTCGTCTACTTCCCTGCCGGAACCTATGTCGTTTCGTCCTCAATCGTCAGCTACTACTCCACCAACCTGATCGGCAACCCGAACAACTTGCCCGTCCTCAAGGCCACCCCCAACTTCGTTGGCTTCGGTGTCATTGATGCCGCACAGTACCAGCCCGGTGGTGTGCTGCCGTACGGTGCCACCAACATCTTCTGGCGCCAGGTCCGCAACTTTGTTATCGACCTGACGGGAGTGCCGGCGACTGTCGAGGCCACTGGTATCCACTGGCCAACCGCCCAGGCCACCAGTCTGCAGAACATCGTCTTCAAGATGTCGAGCAACACTGGCACCAAGCACCAGGGTGTTTTCATCGAGGCCGGCTCCGGCGGCATGCTCAACGATCTCGTCTTCTACGGCGGTCTGAATGCTGCCGTCTTTGGCAACCAGCAGTTCACCGTCCGCAACCTGACGTTCTACAACGCCGTCACCGCCATCAACCAGATCTGGGACTGGGGCTGGACTTACAAGAGCATCTCCGTCAACAACTGCACTGTCGGTCTGAACATGGCCACCACCGATCCGAACGCCGAGGTCGTCGGCTCCGTCGTCTTCTTTGATAGCTCCTTCACCAACACCAAGATTGCCTTCAAGGTCTCGCGTACTCCCAACTCGTCTCCCAAGACTGGTGGCTCCCTTGCCATTGAGAATATTGTGCTCCGCAATGTCGACACGGCCATCCAGTACGGACCCAGTCAGACCACCCTCCTCGCTGGTGGTACCCGCACCATCACCAGCTGGGTCAGCGGAAGCCTGTACAACCCCACTGGTCCCCAGATCCGTGATGGTGTCCCAGTATACACCCCCGTCCGTCCTGCCGGCCTCTTGCAGGCTGATGGCAAGTACTACGAGCGCTCCAAGCCCCAGTACAACAACCTGCCCCTCACATCTTTCCTTTCTGTCCGCGCCGCTGGAGCCAAAGGTGACGGCAAGACCGACGACACCGCTGCCATCCAGGCGGTCCTGAACCAGGGTGCCCTGAACAACCAGGTCGTCTACTTTGATGCCGGCACATACATTGTCACCAGCACAATCTTCATATCCAAGCAGAGCAGGATTGTGGGCGAGGCTTACCCTGTCATCATGTCCCGGGGTGCATTCTTCAACGACATGAACAACCCCCAGCCCGTCGTCAACGTCGGCAACCCCGGTGGTTTTGGCACCGTCGAGTGGAGTGACATGATTATTTCGACACAGGGCCCCCAGGCTGGCGCCACCCTCATCCAGTGGAACCTGGCTTCTCCTGCGGGAGCCCCCAGTGGCATGTGGGATGTTCACACCCGTGTCGGCGGCACGGTAGGCTCGGGCCTGACCCTTGCCGAATGTGCCAAGACCCCGGAGTCTACCGCCATCAACCGGAACTGCATCTCTGCTTACATGGGCATGCACGTAACCAAGACAGCTTCCACCCTGTACATGGAGAACGTGTGGCTCTGGGTTGCCGACCACGATGTCGATGACAAGGATTTGCGCCAGATCACCATCTTCTCTGGTCGTGGTCTGCTCATCGAGTCCACCAGTGGTAATCTTTGGCTCGTCGGCACGAGCGTCGAGCACTTTGCCAGATACCAGTACAACTTTGTTCGCACACAGAACATCTTTGCCGGCCAGATCCAGACCGAGACGCCATACTACATGCCGAACCCCAATGCGTTCAACCAGCCTTTCCCGGCTGTCACCGCGCTCGACGATCCTGGCTACGGCGGTCTTTGCCCGGCTGGCTCGCCCGCCACCTGCGCGGAGGCACTGGGCCTCAGAGTCAATGCCTCCAAGAACATTTTCATCTACGGTGCTGGGTAAGTTGATGCTTGGCTGAGCATACTAGTGAAGCGGAGCACAATGCTAACTATACTGCAACAGTCTCTATTCCTTCTTCAACAACTACAGCACCACCTGCTCGGAGCGCGGCAACGCAAACCCGTGCCAGACTGCCATGGTCCAGTACGACGATACCACCAGCAACTTCTTCATCTATGCCCTCAACACCATTGGCGCCTCGGGCATGGTGTATCGCCAGACGACCAAGATTGCAAGCAACTCTGACAACGTCAACGTGTTCCCGAGCAGCATCATTGTCTTCCGCAGCGATGTTGTGACTTCTTGAGTCGTTGGAATCTTTATGGAAAAGACAGGGGCAGAATAATGTATATATATGGTATAGCATGACTATTGCAGTATTGCATATAATAAAAATGAGCATAATGATCTCCCCCTGAATGGCGAGACTCGGCTGTGTGGCTTCTTGTACTTCCGAAGCGCGATAACTGCTCTGCTTTGTTTCCCACCTCGAGCCGTCAACTTCGGTTTCTTGCAAATATCCCTCTCGATATGCCCTTGTGCTGTATCGCAGGTCAGGCGCACGACAAGTCAATCCTTCTTTTCGAGTGCTGGTGTAGTGGGATATATTTCACACAAAGTCAGATATACGTATAGATAGTTGGTGCTCGTGTGTGTAGGTATGCATACAGTGCTCTAGTGGTATCTCGTTGGTTGTTTGTGTGCTAGTCTCGGGCATTTCACCGGACTGCAATGTCAAAAACGAAGAACAAAATGAAGAAAAGAACAAGAAGAAAGGGTAGTGCAGCTCCCAGGTTTTTCTCGTTGGTATTTTTGCCTGTTTGCTGAACAAGGAAAAAGGATTGTGATTGAGCAGCAATCACGTCACTCCACGTCAACTCTGGCGACTTTCTCCCTTCCTTCGTTTCCTTCTCTCTCTCTCTCTCTCTCTTTCCTCTGATAACTATCGATCGAATTTTTTTTTCACGCCCCGCGCCCCTTGGCCGCCTCCGCGGCCCACAGCGTCCTCTCCTTCTTGAGCTCCCTCTTGACATACCAGAACGTGACGAGGGTCCAGATGCCCGCCCATACAAAGGGGAGGCTCCAGCCAATGACGTAGGCAATGTCGGCGTTGGCCAGGGCGAAGACGAGGACCGTCGTGAGCACCGCGCAGCCCTGGGCGCCGACGGCCCAGAAGACGCCCAGGCGGCGGAGCATGGCGCGGAACACGTGCGAGGCCTCGTACCGCCGGTCCAGGGCGACGCGGAACTCGGTGCCCCCGCTGCCGTCGACGGCGCAGATGTCCTCGATCAGCGAGTAGATGCCCGGCCGCATCTGCGCGCCCTTGGGCTGCGACGAGATGCGCACGGGGGCGGGGATCTGGAAGTACCGCATCGTGTCGATGGCGAGCATCAGCGTGCCGAAGACGTAGAGCATGGTCAGGAGTGGCGTGGACAGGAGCCGGATGTACGGGTCCTCGGGGACGGAGCCGCTGTTTTCACACAATGAACATGGGCGAGTCAGCAAATGTTGCTCAATCATTTGTTGTTGTTGGGTGAAATCTTTGAACGAACGAGTACACTTACACAATCAGCTCAATCATGACGATGATCCAAGCGAGCGAGAACATCCAGTGGAACCAGTCCAGAGCCCATCTGTTCTCAACACCTGGAATCTGAATTTCGAATTCGCAATGTTAGCATGGTTCCTTCTTCAAATAGCCCCGGCTGCTCCCTGCCATTACTATCTATCCAGATCGGGTCCAGACGAGCAATCCACTTCCAACACAAAGCGCTTAGGACAGAAAACAGTACGTCACTTACCCGGCATGTACTCCCCTTTCGATACAGCCTCCACCACCTGAGAAAGTACTCTAGGATACTCGCACCACCGAGCGCCGCAGTCACGATGCTGAATACCGTGTTGGCACTAAGTCGCTCGTCCGCCGGGTTTCCCGGGCCGACACCGTACCACAGGCCAAAGTACAGCGCGATGGGCATGGCGACGCTGTCAAACACAATGACCGTCCAGAAAAGGAAGATGGCCATCCTGCGCGTCCGCAGAGTGTAGTTGAGGGGCGGCGGCTCGGGCCGGAACGCCGGGGCTTGGTCGACTGATAATGCTGCGGTCAGATCTACTAGACCGGTCCCGTCGTTGTTGACACCCCCGCCGGGCGAGGTCGGTTGACCGGCGGCTACGTCCATGCCGGACACGAGAGCTTCCGGAATGGCCAGCGTAGCCTGTGACGAGCGCCGGCGGGTCATGCCCAGGCTGGGCCGGCCAAAGGGACCGTCGTACCGACGGTCGAATTCCTCGCTTGGGCGAAGCCGGCGTTGCTGGCCGTAACTGCTGCCGCGCCCACCGTGGCCGCCGCTGTGGCCGGAGCCATTCGAAGTAACGGCTACGGGCCCGTCGGAATTGGCGAGGGGTGCCGGGGGCGGGCGTTCTTGGTGGTGGGTTTGCTTCTCGTTGATGTTGTCGCCGCTGAAGTGCAGTCGGTGCTGGGGCCGTGGCGAGTCTGCGGATGCTCTTGCAGCTGCGGCCACCGGCGTCTTTTCTGACAATGTGTCCGTGTTCCTGTCAGAATCGTTGGTTTGGACCGGCGCTGGTGACGTCGGCAGCGGTACCGAGGCAGGCGTGCCTGTACTTGGAGAAGGTTCGGCACCGTCAGCGCCGCTGGCGGACGCCACGGCGGCTGGCGGCTGTGTTGGCGCCATTGCTTGCATGGAACGATTCGAGACCGCCCGCACGCGGGAGACTGAAGGCTTGTCCTGACTCTGCACAGGATGGTCAGGCGGGAAGACGCCAAAGCCGCAGGATAGAAGCAATTGGTTTGCGTCGCCGCCCGATGTGGATGTGTGGTTGTGTCCTTGTGGGAGAGAGATGTCGTATACGGATCACCCTGGCGCACAGTGTCCGGACTACACACAATCAATAACGTCAGGTCCGCTTCGTCGTAAGTGGACTTGAATCTGAGCACACGTCGATGGGGGAGGTATTGCTCAGGCTGGGGAAAGGTCGGGTCGAGTCGAGGCGATGGGTCAAGGACGTGGTTGGGTTGGAGGAGGGCGCTAGATAGATGGAGGGATATGGCAGACGAGGTTGTGTTGCCATCTCGATGGGAATGGTTTGGATGGCTGCTGTGCTTGCTCACACGGACCAGGCGGCTGGACAGACTGACAGACTGACAGGCAGGCAAGGGACATGGAGCAACTCAACGACGGAAGCCCAGCCGTGTAGTGACCAGGAACCCGGCATCGCCAAGGGCCCGGGTCGGACCAAATGCCCCCAGAGAGGGCCACATGGGGACGCGTCCAAGCCGCGGCGGGTGCTTAGCCTACGTCAACCAGTGCACCACCGGCTTACTTGGCCGGAGCTTGGCTTCTGGTCATAGTAGTGTGGTGTGGTGTGGTCAAGTGTGGGTTCTGCACCGGAGCGGACGGGCAAAACGTCATGAAGGGGCCATGACATCACTGCCAGGGTCCCGCACGTCTCGGCAGCTGCAGCCCCCAGCACCCCACACACACCACCGTCCGGACCGCCCATCAAATGAGCCATGCCGCGTGTCAGGGTCCTTGCCAAATGGGCCATCCGCTCCATATCCTCCGGGGGAGAACAGTCGCGTGCCCTTGGCATCAGGCCCGTCCTTGGATGTGCTCGCACATCACCAAGCATCAATCAAGAACGAAGGCGCACAAAGACGCATGTTTTGATGGTAACTGCTGTTGTCTTCATTTCACTCACAAATCTATACACACCATCATGTGCACATCTACAGTTTGATGGAGATATCCCACACGTCAAGCCCGACAGCGACTAGTGTTAGCGTAGCAGAGTATCCCACCAGGATCGCCATCGTCACCACCGGCCCAACGTCCAGTGTTGGCACCGTCATGTTGACCAGGCCCGTCAGCAAGTTGGCAACCAAGAAGATGGCCAGTCCGTTCCGGTTGAACGCCCGGAGCACCGGGCTCGTCGCTGTTTCGTACGCCTCCTTCTCCGACTTGGCGTCCGTGGCATTGTAATATGCCGGGAAGAAGATCGTGTCCACCACACACACAGCCAGCAGGTTCGCCGTGTTGAACGCCGCGATCCACAGCACATACGGCAGATTCGCCAGCCGCCGCGAGACCTGGACCCCGGCGCCGTACTTGTAGTCTGTAGTAAAAAAGTATAGTGCCGTCCAGACGGCAGTCCACACCCCCATCGTGAGCAGCAGCGTGTGGCGCTGGCTGCCCGCGCTGGATCCGCTGCGCGTGATGCTCCGCGGCAGCACGTACATGCCCGTGTCCTGGCCGGCAAGGAAAATCGCCAGGTAGCCCAGAAAGCTGCAAATGCCCTCACGGTTCTTGGAGAACAAATCCGTGCGGGGGCCGACCAGGATGAATGGCTGCAGGGGTGTGCTCTCAAGGACGACCTGGTAGCCCACGGCGACAATCAGCGCCAAAGCAGCATACGACGGGACAACTTTGAGGGCCGACTGGAATAGGGCCACAAAGGGTGGGAGGAAGCCCAAGGTAAAAAAGAAGTTCCAGTGCACGCCATATTCGGTGACATGCTCTGCATAATCGAGGCCCTTGACACTTAGCAGCCGGATCACGCCCAGAACAAGAAGGGGGAATGAGTGCCGCATAGAGTAGAGCAGTCTCTGCGCCAGAGGCGTGGCCCGTCCTTCAGCTCGCTCCTTGAGGACGGGACGAGCTCCGACCACTCCCGCTGAGAAGACGAAACTGCCAACGCCAATATCCATGAGTGAAGTGCCCCATGTCTCGACCTTGGCGAATCGCCGAGGGAACAGCTTGAAGTCGACTGCGAGGATCGCGAGGCAGGTCATAACCATCATGAGGCCGCGATAGGTCGTTAGGAATGGTTTCGTGGAGAGAACGCCGAGTTTCCCGGTCGTAGCCTGCGAAGACGCATTCGGTGGGAGCTTGGGTTTCTTCCGCGAGCCCGGGAGCTTTGGGGGTAGAGCATAGAGGAAGATGGCGGGGACGAGGATCAAGCCGCTGAGCAGTGGCGTGGTGTTGGCATAAAGAGTGATGGCGAGAAGGCTTGCGACGACGTTGAGAAGGAAATCGACGATGAAGCTCAGTGGTGTGTATGGCTTGAAGAAGGACTGTCGCGACTGGAGGATCGACCAGAGGAGGAAGGCAATCTGTAAGAAGGGGCATCAATCAGCTTGTTTGTCCAACTTGTTGACATCAGAAAGGCAGGACTGACCGGTCCGACAGCGACGACATAGTTGACCTCGGCGACGGAGCCGCCCGAGAGGCCGGACACGAAGTCTTCCTTGCGCTGCTTGTAGCTGGCGGCAGCAGATGAGGCTGTGGTGTCCATGGCTTGCCCGTCAGACTATGTGATGCGAGTGCCGCGGAAAGAAGGGTGGCGGCTAGGATGAGGGAGACAGGGAGATTGTTAGAGTCGCAGACATATGAGGCATCGCCAGGAGGCGCAAGCGCAATGTGTCCTGATGCTGGGCTGCGGAGCTGTTTCGAGGGCATCACCACTCGAGCTCTGAGCTGCCGATGTGCAGGCCAGATTGAGAATGGGCGGGGCGGGGCCCACCCAGCACAGCTCTGGCCAATCACAAGATGAGAGGGCGCACTGTATGCGGCAGCCAGCAGCAAGCCCGGGCGGGCGTGCATTCACGCTGTATCAAATAGGTGCGTAGATGCTCGAGAGCGTCTGCAAAACACGGCGTCTGTGTGTCGAGCGGCGGCTGCCGTCAACCCACAGACGGCATCACGGATGTTTGGAGGGTTCTGGTGGGACGAGCCGAGAATGGCGGATGCCAGCGTCTGTGAGGACAGACCAGGCCAGGTCAATGCAGAGGGTCCTTCTGCCGTGGCTTCCAGAAGGCCAACTCTGGCAAAGGTGCAGGTAGATGCCGATTATCCATTATCTCTCTGCCCCTGACTCATCCGTCAGGATGCACAAAACACAGGCCAAGACTTGACCGTGGGGGGTTTTGGCAGGATGCATGCTCGGGGATCACGCCATGCACGACACAATCTGCCCGGGGATGGCCCCTGCGCGCGGCATCTATTTAGGGTCGGCAGCAGTGACTGACTGGGCGCATCAACACCAGACCGGGAACCACGGGCAAGAGGAGCCGGCATGCACAGCCAACGGGCGTCCAAGCTTAGCGACGCTACCGAGGGACAGACAACAAAACGCGCCGCCTGTGTGGCCTTGTCCGTCCATTGTTCCTGCTTCTGGCGGCGCCGGCGCTGGTCCGCCTCCCTCCTCAAACCCGCTAGCCGGCGCTAGCATCCTGGCCTTGCCCTGTGCCAGCACACATCACGTCCCCTCCAGGCCCGTCCCTGAAGGGCGATATCCACAGATCCTCATGCGCAGCGCCGGGGGGGACGTGTCACCAGAGACGCCCTTCTTGGCGCAGGGCCACCTTGTTCCACGCCGTCGCCGGCTCTGCCTCCCCGCCTGCCCATGCCCTCCAACTCGAGACGAGACCCAGAGGCCCGGGAATGACCTCTTGGGATCCAGAAACCGACAAGCGCGAGTCGTGCGTCTCGAGATAAAGACTGCCGAGGGCGCCCTCGTTTGGTTTCAGCCCCCTCCTGCTATATCCCACCTATACTCAACCATTATACAAAACGCTCTCTCCAAGCCTGCCTTCTTGACCACAGTCATTCCTTCACCAACACCGTCCCACCACCGCCACAGTCCTTGTCATTGCCAGCTTCTGTTTATATTCGTCTCACCAGTGCGAGTCACTGCTCACAAACACTTTCAGTCCACTCAAGCAAACATCATCTCTTTTCCTCTGTTCTCCGGCAGATACAGCACAATCGCTTCCTCATCCACTCAACATTGCAAGATACCCATCCCCATTCCAAAGCTCCAGCTCCAGCCTTGTATCAAACACCACCCAAAAAGATACCCAGCCATCCAGGCCCGCCGTCACTTCAAACCAACCTCTATCAAAAATGTCCGCTCTCCGCCGGCCCCATGCTCCTGCCCCAGTCCTCGTCATCAACGACCACCACTACCCGGCGATTCACGCCCACAGCCTCGACGAGGACTCGTCGAGCAGCATGAGCAAGAAGATCCGACGCCACTCCAGACCACAGACCCCGCCGCCCTCCCGCAGAGCCCTCCAGGCGGCCCGGAGCCCTGGGCTGCCGGTCCCGTCGCCCTTGCGCGAGGGCCCTCTGCCTAGTCCGTTGGTCCCGCTGTTCTCGGCGGCACCGAGCACTGCTTCGAGCAGCAGCAGCAGTAGCAGTAGTACGTCGTCACCTTCGTCGGCACAGTAGCTCCAAGCTCCAGCGCGATAGCGGCCCGGGGGGCTACCTCAACACAATACACGACGGACAAAATACTCAACTCTTGTTTTTGTATCACTTTTTCCACAATACAACGGGATGGCATGAAGAATTGTCATTTCCAATAGACTCGGGGCTCTCGCACGGCGTTTGACTTACTCTGCTTTCCCCCTCAAAAGACTTCGGCCCACTAAGGGGTAAGTAAAACATCCCAGGACACAAAGAAGAGGAGGAGGAGGAAGAAGAAGAAGAGAAGGAAGAAAGAGAAAAGGAAAGAAAAGAAGAGGTGGCGTTGTCACAAAAGGATGGCCCCAACGGCCTATAAGACATACGTCTTACCATGTCAGCTCAAACGCAGGGTATGCGGAAAAGGGAATATATAAATATATATCAGAATTCACCACGAAAGGCTGCTCGCATATATGTCTTTGTACTACTCCAATACACGCGGAAAACAGTCCTTTATCCTCTTTACTTCAAATGATCGGCAGAATGAGTAGGCAACGTGACAAAAGACGGGACCGAACATAGAGAGCCACATTCCTCCAACAAAGGAACATGACAAATTTAAGCCACTCGACTATGCTTGGCTTTCCAGCTGTCATGAATCGGCGACTGCCGACATATAGTCCCGAGCAGAACAGCAGAGTCGTAAACAACGTACTCCAGCTGGCCATGGGCGGTTCCACCTCGGAACTATGTAGTGTTGAACAATTTGTTGAGACTGCCATGCACGCTCAGATGCTGAGGGTCAATAAATCCGTATGAGAGACACTATGAGGCCATGAGAGATTAAATCAATTAGCATTGTGCCATCACCTTTCTCTGCCAAAGCCGAGGCATAACAAAAAAAAAAGCAATGCAAAAAACGCCGTGGCAGCACTTGCCATTCCGAACCCATTTCCATGGCCTGCTGACCATGAACCATTCCTCTTGTACCCAAAAGACCATAATCAATCCTGGTCATGTCATTATGTTTGACGCAATCTACAGCATCCATGTCCTCCAACACGAACAAAACCGCCAAATACTGCAATCACGCACGCTGGCTTTCCCCCTAGTCAAGGCTCATCCAGGTCCAGGCGCCCAGCGCTCCAGCAATGAGTATCGCGGTGGCAATGCCGGCACCAGCCTTGTCGCCAGTCGTGACTGGTGCAAAGACGACATTGACATCTTGTGCAGATCCGGCGTTGAAATTGCCGACAGATGTGCCACCCGTAGCATTCGTAAGCGGAATGTCGGTACCCGGGGTGATGAGAGACATCAGAGCACCCAGGACGTTCATCTGCTGGCCGGCACCGACTTCGCCGTCAAATTGGCCACTGGTCCAATGGAAGCCGCACATGCGCCCATTGCTGCCTCCCGTGCACTGGTTGACCGCGGCCTGCGCACTCTTCTTGAGGACTGGAAGGATCTTGGCCTGAGTGTAGGGCGCCATGACCATGGTTGAGCCCATCCAGCGGTGGAGATAGCCCTTGAACGACTTCATATCCGTGTTGCAGACAGCAGGCTCACACGAAGGCTCATAAGCAACGTCATCGACGAAAAAATCACGCAGCATGCCGGAGAGCAGGCCGTCTAGCTCGTCCTTCCACTTCTGGCTCTCAGTCTGGTGCGACAAATTAGCTAGAAGCTCTCAACTCCCTGGAGCTAGCAAAGCAGCACTTACCATATTGTAGAGGAAGGCGCTTCCTTGGAGGAGCAGGGCAGCATTGTACGAGAACTGCGCCTTGTTGATATCCTTGCAGGCATTGGGCAGGTGGCCACCGTCAAAGACACGCCAGTCGGTGGAGATGTAGCCAATCTTCTTGATCAGGTCGTAGGTGCGCTCAGCAAGATCAATGTAGGTCTGGTTGTTGTTCGAGTACCGCGCCAAGCGGGCACCAAGGTTGAAGTAGCAGGCGTTGGCAATGGTGTTGATGTAGTCGAAACCGTTGTTGGAAGGATACACTTGCCATCTCAGGCCCCATTCGCACTGCGTACCCGCGGGTGCCCGGCGCTCAGCATGCGTCTGTTCATTGAAGACGGCTTGGACGAGAGACAGCCACTGGGGAGCATCTTTTGGTGGATCTTGATAGCCAGTCTCTGCAGCAAGCATCGCAGACATGGCCCAGAAAGCCTGGTCATCATTGCCCATGGACGCCGACCAGTTGCGCGGCATGTAGTCCCTGTCGTCTCCAGTCTGCGCTATCATGGCCTGCGAAATGAGGTCGTTGAACTCGCTGTCATCCGTGTGATGCCAGTAGTCGATCAGAGTACCCCACATGGCACCGCCCTGCCACCAGTAGTAATCACCATTGGGAGGAGGACCGGGAAGAATACCGACTGTCCAGCCGGGAGTGTTGATGGGATAGAAACTGACGAGATCCTGCGCAACGAGCTTGGCGGCCGCCTTGATTGAAGCTGGGAGTTTTAAATTAGTATTGTGGTAAGTGGTGAACAACCACCTAAATGCCGATGTGCTGCCCGTGGTCCACGATCAGGACATACCTTGGTCGTCGAGGTTGACTTGCAGAGCGCCAAGCGCGGTCTGTGCCGCAAGGCCAAGCACGGCCAGCAGGCTTGTTGATGACCTGAGCATTGTGGGCGACTCTGAAAAGCGACCAGTTGGAAACGAGCGGATTTTGGAGGACAGTTGAGATTGGTGTCGTTGCTAGACAGTCGTCGCAGTAATGACAATGTCCTCTCTGGTTGAGACTTGGTTCGTGGTCGCGGGAATCGTTGTGAACGTGGGCAGGTGCCAAGCACGATGGGACAAGGTCCCTAGTAGCGACCGACCGGGGTGGCGTCAGAGAAGACGATGTTTCTTGGGCGTTTTGAGTTCGCCGCGGGCAGGCGAAAGGAGGCAAACGACAAAACGACGGTATGGACTGGTTGGTGAGGAGCGAGCAACCAGAGATTGAAGATGGTCCTGGCTAGGAGGAATGATGCTGGAGAAGGAAGAGGAAAGGCAGAAAACAAGGCTGGGCAGGCAAGCCAAGGCGAGGGAGATCGGGTCAAGCGCAGGGCAAGGGCGGGCCGGAGGGGAGGGTGGGTCGTGCCTGCTAGGGCCAAGGCTGGACATGCATGACTGTCGACGAAGAAATACGTCAATTCTGTGGGGCCCGGCCGCCGGTCTGTCTCCTCGCTCCAACCACTCGTCATCTTCATTGCTGCGTCCCTGCCCTCGTCTCGTGTAAATCACGGCTCAGTCGTGCGCTCCCTCCCCCTCCAGCTCGTCCGCATAACACGCCAAAAATGTACGTCCTCAAGGGAACCGCCGTTCGTGTGCTGCCACCACCACTCCTGCGGCGAGACGACCGCGTCACCACTTCACCACGCATGCGGAGGGGCAGTGAAGGGATGGAATGGGCCAAGCCCGCTCGGCATGTGCAGCTCCATCCCGGGTCCACGACGCTGTACTCGGTCTAAAACCCTTGGTATTCTTTTCTTCGCAGAGTGACGCCGTTAGATCAAACTCAAAAAAAAACATACCATCACCCTCCCTAGGACAGGTCCAGTAGTACTTGCATCGCCCGCTGGAGACATGCTATTCTTGCAAGCTCGTCGAGCTCGTGTCAATTAAGCATATCCGTCGCCAGCAACAGGCCCACAGAGAGCCGCAAAGGTCAATCTCGGGGCCACCGCGCTCCCCGGGGCCCAGCTTGGCCGACGACACGAGAAAAGATCGGGTCTGTGGGTCTCCATGCTCGCGTCCTCCCAACTGCCGATTTGCCTGTTCTTCTACCTTTTTGGGATTCGGCGGAGCACACTCGAAGCACGACACACCAAGCCGCCCGTGGTGTAATGGATTATTTTCTCTCCCTGGGGCCACACTGTCGGGAGCCTGCATGCACATCGCAATCAGGACGACGCATCCTACAAGTCAACCTGAGGACAGTGTGAGCATTTTAGAGTCTGCTGCAACCAAATGTCGCCGCCTAGACCACTATACTGAATCTGAGGATGTCCGACAAAACACCTTGCAGCGAGTTTCATCAGAAAACTCTGCTCGTATCGACGTGGACAATCGCGACCATTGCAGCTGTCGCAAGCCAACTAACTCGGCTATGCTGGTGGTTGGTGGTGGCAATTGTGTTTGTAGTGGTGGTGAGCGTGGTGGCAGTGCACGAAAGCTAAAACTGCCCCCCATGCACACGGCGCTGTCCCAACGCCAAACGGATTTCAGCCCTGGCCAAATGTACGGAGTAGAAAGAGTTGAAACTGCTGCCAATGATTGACCAGATGAGGCCTCGTCTCGCCGCCAAACAGTTCCGCCCCGCGCAGTCCACGCGGGAGGACAAAACTCGATGCGTTCTACTCGAGTCTGAGTTTGAAACCCGGAAGTTTTCCCATTAAGTGACGGGTGTTGAGACGCGTGTGGTGTCAAAGCTCGCAGATCGTCAATCACGGTCCGCTCTCATGGGGTCAGTCAAAAGGCAGAAAGACTGGCCCGAGACATCGGCCCTTAGACATGCCAGGGCTTGAGATAGGACATCAGCATCAAGCGTGATATAATCGAAAAGAACATCTTTCACCAAGTCGTCGTCACCAACTCCACATTGATTTCTCCACTCGCCCGCGATGGACAAGGGATATTTGAAACATGACATATTCCGTCCCGCTGTTGCAGTCACGGTAGTCTCCGCTTCCGAGACCCCTACGACCGCACGCACGGCCCTGCCTCGCGGCAATTCGGGGGTTGTTTCCGTAACCACGTCATTTTGGCGATAATGTTTACAGTTGGCACTGCTTACGTCGAGGATGAGGAACAACATGTGACTCAATAAGCATCTGGGAACTTGACATGCACCGTAACATGATCAGAACGCAATCATGGGAAAGACCGTACTGTGCTCAATTCGATTCTGCCTTTTGAAATGCGCCGCTTTGACGACCACTTCAGGGAGAGCGGTGGTCGCTTCATAAGCCTTCCCCCTGCTATTCGCTACTGCTGGCTAATCCAGCCTGAAGCGTTTGCAAGTGTGCCTGGCAGGAGAGCAAACGAAGATGGTTGCCGTCGATGGGCGATGCGCGGGTAACACTCCGTCGCCTGAAACAAACGCCTGAAACCCTATGAATCATCTATTCCATATCCCAAAAGTGATGGCTATCCAAGAGTCGTAAAAGAAGGGCTGCTATGCTGGTATCGTTTCGTGATGCATGTCGCTAAAAATGATGATAATGATAATTGCAAGAGCTAGTCTTGCGGGTTGCTTTGATTTCGAGCCGCAGGTCTGGCGGGCTGGTGCCAGCACGGTTTGGAAGCCCGAGGTAGCACTGGTCGTATGGAATTCCCGCGACTGTCGCGATGCGTGCTTGAGAAGCACGACAGACACCGGCTATGCACGCCGGGCTGCAAAGTCTAGTTCTTGCTCGCGCGTAGCAGCTTGGTGCGAAGCCACAGGATGAACATGTGCCATTTTCCCTGTGTCTTTTTCTTCGCAGTCTGGCTTCTTGCTACCGGTGGTGGCACAAAGTCCTGTACATTGCCGGCCCTGTCGCCAAATGCCGGAGGGCTCTGAGGGTTGACTGTGTCGTAGTTGTTGCTTGCGAACTTTTCGACGTCGCCCACTGTGTACACGCTCGTGCTCTTGCGTGATGTGCTGGGCCGGGCCAGAGCGAAGCTGTTTCTGCCGCTGCTGGTGGTGCTGATCTTCCGCCGGTGCTTGCCCCGAGGCATGGCCTGCTCCAGCTCGGCCGACTCTTGGCGCATTCGAAGGGCATTCTGCTCTTTCAGGGCCGCCGCCGCCTTCTTCTCGGCGACTTGGGCTTTCTTGGTGTCAGCGCGCTCGCGCCGCTTGATATCCTCGCGAGCATATTTCTCTTCCTTTGCTCGCTCTTTCTCCTCGAACTTTCGCCGAGCCTCCCGCACTTGATCTGCGCGGGTGGCCGTGTCGAGATCGGACTTTGCCCGTAACCTTGGAAATCCGGCATCGAACGAGCTTCGTAGTGGAGACATTGGCGCCACGGAGCTCGAAGGCGAGTTGATGGGATAAGCAGAGCTTAGTGTGATCGACGTGGGCGTTTCAGCTCCGTGGTTGGCCTGCAGGTCGGCCTTGCTAGAAGCATGAGCCAGTCGCGAAGAGAGTGCTGGGGTTGTGGAGAGAGACCGCGATGTATTGATCCGAAGCGGCGGCTGCGGCGTGCTACTGCTATCGGTGAACGATGAAGACGTCTTCTGGCTCACAAGTGATGGCCTACGAAGACCAAGAGCCGGCTGTGAGTGAGAGTACGAGCTGGTCTGCTGACGCTGGAGGTTAAAACTGCTGCGTCCTTGAGAGTCTGCAGAGGCATCGAATGGGTTGACAACGTTGTCGTCCTCGTCCTCAGTAATTGTGCTTGGAGAATAATCGCGCGAGTCGCCGACATATGACGCCAGAGAGTTGGCGTAGGACACTGGAGGAGTTGCACCGCGCGGCACCTGCTGGAACGGGTGGACAAACGTTGCCCCAGCTCGGATGGGCCCAGACATGCCGCCGTTGCTGCTGTTGGAAGTTGCGACTGAGACGTGGCTGGCGCCAGAGATGGAGCGGGAGTGGTGGTAGCGCCTGCCTACCGAAGTGGAAGCCGTTGTGGTAGAGCCGAGACCTGAGCTGCTCCCAGCTGGGGTGGACGAGACGACATCGTCGAAGGTGATGTTGAGGTCCTTTGTGGAGCGAGTCGCACGGGCAGAGTCGTAGAAGGTGCCGCCGCCGTAGGCCGCCTTCTCATATATGCTGTCCTGCACCTCCCAGGCGCGATCGAGTTCGAGAGAGGCCCTTGCCGAGTGTGACAGCTTCTTGAGGATCGGTTTCACCTTTTTCGGCGGCTTGGGCCGTGATTTGCTCACTGCGTCGCCCGCCGCGTGCGACGTCCCGGCCGGGAAGTCGTGAAAGGACGCCATCTGCAGGCGTTCTTTACACACAGGACAGGTGCGACCAAGACTGCTTCTCACGCCCGGCTCATCTACACGTAGTGCTGGGGGCAGTCAATGGTCGGTCGGTGCCGTGGTGAGCCTCTGTTGACGACCGCCTGGCTATCCCTCCGGCAACCAAGAGAACTAGAAAGATGTCGCAAGGAACAGCCGCTGACGAGAAGCCAGGCTGCACACAACACAGTCAGGACGCCCTTTGGATGGACGGGTGTTATGAGTAGAAACAAGACATTGCCGGTGCACAAGGGGGCAGTTCAGGAGAAGCAGAGGCGTCGTCGTCGAGGTGGTCGATGCTGGCGGCGTGTAATCTCGGTACGGCGCGCGGGAGCGTGGGCCAGCAAGGGAAATGGGTGTAATCAAACGGGACAGCACGGTTGGCGGGACCCGCAGGCTGGGGCACGCGACAGGCCGGCAGCTCTCGTCTTGGGGGCTCGTGATGCACGTGGACCTGGCAGTTATGCTGGCTATGACGAGCAGAACAAGAAGAGCAGGAAAGGGACGATGAGCGCCTGTCAGCGAGAGGACGAATGCATATCAGATCTGACGGCGAGGCGGTCGGGGAAATCCAGGCGCAGCGACGGAGCCGGCGGAGACGAGATGGGATGCGAGACAACGGGAGGCGGGCAGCGCTGGAGACGGCGAGGAGGTGATAAGCAAGCCCAGGCCAGGCTGCCACGGGGGGGCTTGCATGCGCGAGCCACTCGGGGAAGCGCAGGCGGCAGGGCCGGCAGTGGGGCGGCGCACTTTGGGGACAGCGCTCCTTCCTGTGGTGCCCCCAAGTGCGGAGAACGAGGATGTGGCCGCCCCGGCGCTGTGGTTGGCCAGGCCACGTCCTCAGCACGGCACCGCCGGCAGCCCTGCCAGCAGCAAAGACAGCCGCACGCACCGTCGGAGCAAGAGGCGCTGGTTGTGTGTGTCGTTGCGCGGCTTCCTGTTCTACCTAGGTAGACGTGCTGGTGCGATGGCTGGCTGCCATTGCACCGCATCGTGCACGATACCAACGCACTTAGTGTAGGTACAACAGTCCCGGTCTGGGACAGGACCCGCCGCTTGCAACCACCCTGTGATCCCGCAGCGTCCGCTTCCATACTCCGGGCCGACAAATGATGACCGCCTGGCAGGACTCTGGTATATTTGGCCAGTCACAAACGCCATCCATCACCTCGAAGGAGACAACCCCTAGGGCGCTTCCCCAGTTGGACAAGACGGCGCGGGGGTTCACGAGGCTGCCGCTTGCCTGGACGAGGACGACGGCGGCCTGGACCATCCCATCTGTCGGGCCCTGCATGCGAGTATTCCACCGGGTGGCTGCGCACATCGGCCAATCATCGTTGCTTCCCAGCACTAGTGACAGCTCTAGGCCCTTTGATTGTATCTCGACCAACCAACACGACGCGGGGTTTTCTTGCCCCCTCTCGGCCCCGATTCCAGCCCGTCCCTTCAAAAGTCACCGTCCCTCGAACGGTGTCTTTCCCGCAGGCGGCCGTGGGGCATGCTCTGTCCCAAAGACAGACGACTCTCCTCTCAGTGAAACATGGAATGAAACGTGCCATCTCACCGACTCGTCTCTGCGCAAGTATATATGACTGCAGCGCAATCTCAAGTCCCATGCCGGCAGGCGACCCAGAAGTGATCGTCCAAGACCCCCCGACCCAGACACACCCCAACCACCTGCGCGCGCAGGATCAAAGGCGGTCAAGCGGCCTCAGGAGCCCAGGAAAACGACCTGGCCAGACGGCGTCAGCAGGCGATAGGGATTTTACCAACAGCGTGATGATAATGAACCCTCTTCGAGTCACAAAATCTGGCCACGGCCAAACTGCGCTTTCACGCAATCATCCACCAATCCCCATCTCTCTCGGCTCTCCCACCACAGTAAACCTCCGGCTTGCAGAGACAATGAAACTGATGGCCTGTACGCCAAAGCATGTCCGCCCGCCCTAGTTTGACCCGTAGAATGCCATGCCTGCAGCTCGCACACAAAGCGCAACTCTGCTTGACACGCACCACATGGAATGAATCGGCAGTGGCTGAACTTTAGACCCGACTTCACCTCCCAGCGCCTCTCTCTCTCTCCCTCACACACACACACACACACACACACACACACACCCAATGGACCTAGCACCGACCTCGCGGACTCGCCTTGACACCGCCTTCTCTCATGTCTCGTGAACCAGTGGAATCAGCGAGTCAGGCGTATCCGGCCCTTTAGCTGAGATGGCGGCACTAAAGTAGCCGCCCGCCCGACATTGAATTGGTTCCCCTCTCCTCATCCTGTTTCGAATGCGGCAGGACATATATATGCGTGAAAGAAAGGGGAGTCTCCGATCATGTGTTAACCCAAACCAAACCCCTTGGCCTCAGCGTCCAATAATGCCAAGACCCCGGCCCGCTCCGCCTTCCAGCAAGGACCTCTTGTAGGCACAGAGTACTGTGTCTATTGGTTTTTTTGCAACAAGGATGAAGCCGAAGTCCCCAGGCCTCGTCACATGGACATCTCGGCAGACTTCTATTTTGTTTCCCCCAGGGAGAGCCGATCGGAAGTTATTACACCCACTTGAGCGATAGTCCCAAAAGGGGGCTGCTGGATGTGGTTTTCCCGTTCGCCAGATGTTGGCTGGCGACATTGATTTGACTAGACCCAGATGGCCCGGACAGATGGCCCAGAGACAGAAAGAGAGAGAGAGAGAAAGGAAGAGTGATGAACCCCCTCCCCAAACTCAGCCTTCCTCAAACAGCGCCCCCACGCCGAACCTCTGGAGAACCAAAGACGCTGAACCGATTGAGCACGGGGGGGGGGGGGGGGGCCACCGCCCGCTCGCGCGCCCAGCGGGAATCACATGTCCCCCGACTCTTTTTCGCTCGCCTCATCCATCCTACAACGTCTGGAAACTCTGGCTTTTCGTCATTAAAGAGTTTGCTGTCAGAAACGTTTTGGGCATCTATAGCTCATGGCGTTATAGAAACACGACGGGAAGAGGAGGACGGACGGTTGCACAACATCGTGTGGGGCCATGTGGAACGTTTGATTTCTGGATGTCGCCATGCTTTGTGCATACGCTTATGCTCCAGCTCTCCATCCAGGTGCATTTGTTCCCTCCTACATTCCCCCAACATTTCCACAAAGTAGTAGTTCTAGTCACATGGCAGACCGGGACCCAGCACGCCAAAGGATTGACACGATGACATGCATGATTTCTCAAAGGAACGGCGCAGGCGTGCAATCGTAACACCCAAATCACGCCATCGCAAACTGTGTCATGTCCGGCGGACTTAGGGACTACTCTGGGTGGCAGAGTATTGGGCTACAAATGAGTGTGATTGTCGCAACACTGACAAGAAGCCACTGCTGTGATAAATGTTGCTACTGTGAATCTGAAAACGCGCTATTAATGACAGCGCGAAAGGATGCCCTGCACTGGTCTTGTCATCTCGACTCTCATGTGCACCGCATGTGGCAGCAGAGGCATGTGTCCATTCCCAGGTCATACCCTCTGCTCCATTCAGTTGGCATGGGCTTCTTCTACCCCAGCTGCCTGCAAGCTAAGACAGCCCATACACCACAGCTCTTACATCCTGCCAAATAACGCCGAGCCAACGTTTGTGGCTGTCATAAACGCCGAGCGACGGACGTGCTCGATGTTCGAGTTGCCGCCCAGTTCGCTGGTATTGTTTTCGTCCGGATAACAGAACGACATGATGGCAATGATGATGTATGTCGAGCACAAGAGTGCTCCTTCGAGGTAGTTGCTCCTGCCGTCTAGAATGAGGAAGTTGATGATAAACGCCGAGACGAACAGGCAGACGGTCTCGAACAAGGTAAAGTATAGGGTCATGGGCTTGTTGATAATCCACCCGAGAATGACCATGAGCGGCGTGAGGAAGAGTGCGATCTGTATCGAACTGCCGACAGCAACACCAATCGCAAGATCCATCTTGTTCTTCATAGCAACCATGACGGCCGTGACGTGCTCTGCAGCATTGCCGACGATCGGCAAAATGATCAGACCAATAAAGAGCTCACTAATGTTGCTAGTTTCGACGACGCCTTCAATGGCGCCAACCATGAACTCGGCACAGACTGCAACGAGAGCTGTAGAGATGAGAAGCATGACAACAGCCGCTTTTTGAGACATGTCTTCTTCGCCTTCCGTGGTCGTGGTGGGACCTGAGACCATGTCGATCGTGGCGCGATTCGGGAGCATAGCACCGGGAGGGCGTAAGTACTGCTGGTTGAGGCGATCCGGCAGTGAGTTGGTCCTGCGAATACCCATTCGTACACGAGGGACAGGTCCAGTAGGTTCAGGCATGGTGGAAGAGTGCGTAGGCTGCGAAAAGACGGGCGGAGCAAAACTGGAAGCCATCGGCCGGATGGAGGATATGGCACGCATACCCGCGAAAGGGCGACGAGCCCCAACGGCTGGTGCTTCAGCGCTCGCATCTGTCGCGACATTGCCCATCTCAGCGAAATCTACGCGTCGGGTCTCGCCATCGGCAACAATTGACCCGGTAATCGCTGACGGGCCAACGCCTGCAATGTTCTCGCCAGAAAGAGTGGCGTCCTCCTCGGGAATGGTCTTCCTTCCCTTCTTGTGGTGCTTGCCCTTCGAGCGCTTATGGCGATGATGACGATGCCGACGGCTGCTCTGGGCTTCTTCAGTGGTGCCATCAAAAATGTCGTCATCATCAAGACGGTTCTTTGCCTCAACTGTGGGGCTGGTAGATGCCGTCGCTATAGAACCTGTCTCCATGGAATCGGCAGAGGCAAAGCTTGACTTTCTGCGACGACGACGGATGGCACGCTTGACTCGGCGCGTCATGGTGTTGCTCGAATGGCTGGAGCCGTCCGAGTCCGAGTCGGAGGAAGAGCTCGACTCAGAGCTCGAAGTGTCCATCCAGGCGGCAGCCGGGCCAGGGGTCGACTCAGCATCAATGATGTGCTGGGGAGTAGACTCATACATATAGGCGTGAGACTTGAGCTGGAATAAGAGGTACACGATGTAGACAATGAGGAGAATCTAGGGTGGAATTAGCGTTAATCTCTTCCAGTCGACGGGGTGGAGGTCTACGCACGATGCTTGTGCCACGGCTCACAATCAGTGACTGTTCGTCCGCCACCTTGCTGTCGGCGAAGGAGGCATGAAACGCAGTCTATGGGCGAGATCAGTCATGTTCACGATCGCACGCCGCAGTTTTTCATTGTGACCTACAGGTAGTAGCAGACTAATGACGCTGAGCGATAGCAGACAAGCGCTCATCTGGGTGACGGTGCTGTTGTAAATCTGCTCGCGGAAGCGGAGGCCGCCGAGGAAGAATGCCATGCCGAGAATCAGGAGCAGGTTTGCCAGGATGGAGCCGAGCAGAGACGCCTGCACGATCCGGATCTCATTTTTGGTGAGGGCGATGCTGTGGTCACGGTGGAATCGTGGTTAGCTGCTGTGATGTGGCGGCCCTATCGTGGCCAAGAGTGGTTGATGCACTGCCGAGACTTGGATGTCTGGGCATTGTGGAGAAGTAATGCTTACATGCTGTGCACGGTGTTAGCCAGGTACCAAGTAGCCAAGATGCGGACCAGACAGCCAAGGCTGGGCAGAAAAGCTTACAAGATGATCAACTCGACCGCATTGCCAAAAGTGACATTTAGTAGAGCGCCAACGGTGTCGCCCATTTTCCGGGCCACGGATTCGGTTGCATGGCTGAGCAGAGCAGCCAGAGGCACAATTGCGACGGCGTTGACACCAAAGATGGCACCTGGGGGCATGCCTGGGATTTCGGCGACGGCGATGCCGACAGGCACGAACACGAGGAACACATTGATCCAGCTATGGAAGATGATCTTTTTGGACACCAGGAAGAAGCGCACAGCAACGTTTGGCTTCTGGCCAGCGGGATCGAAGATGGGTTCTACGACAGCCCCCGAGCCCGCCGGCTGCGATGCCTGGAGGGCCGCGCCGTTGCCATTGGGGCTGGCTGACGCGGGTGCCTTTTCCGAATGGACGGCGTTGCCGAGTGCGTCGTCGGAGCTGGTCGACGAAGGGTGGTTGGCTGCATTGCGGCGGTTGCTGCCGAGTGAAGCAGGACGGGGGTTGTTGCCGGCAGGAATGGCGGAGCTGCTCAGAGGCGCTGCCGGAGGGCTGCCGGCCGCAGTGCTGGTCGGGTCGAGGTTCCCATGCGCATTTGCCTCTGGAATGGAGGAGTCGGCGGCTTGAGTGGGCGAATCAGCTCCCATCGAAGTTTGAAGGGCGTAGGAGGGAGTGGAGGTTGGGTCAGCTGGGCAAGCCGCTTGGTGTATGTCGGGGATGGCTGATGGGAATGGGTTGGATGTATCGACCGCGTGGTGTGTCGATGCAAAAGATGGAGGAGAGACAGAGAGAAGGAGTGGGAAGGATGACAGGACGAGGACGGAGGCCAAGGATACATCGGCTTGGCTCCGATGATGGCGTTGCTTGGACAGGCGGCTCGCGGCTTAGACAGCAAGGACGGGCGGGCGCGCCAATGGCGAGGATGGGAAATGAGCGCCAAGAATGACGGAGGAAGGCGCGATGGCCATCCAGCACGGCGTGGAGCAGGGGCGAGCACGGCAGGCTCCCTCCTGGCAATGACGCTTGCCAAGCCTCGCCGCCCGCAAGGCCACCCCGGCTCGCATTCGCGTGTGCTGGTATCTAATGCTCCGGTCCCCACTTCCTTGGATCTTGCAATCCCAAGCACCTGCTGAATCACAGCCGCATCATAGCCAGTGGCACACGGCACTGTCACGACCAAGTCATCAGAGGCTTGCCTCCTCTGGGCATCCTGTCACGGGGTCTCGCTCATAGTGGTCGCCATTTAGAGTTTAGCCCTGAGCCTCTTAAGCTTTCCCCCCGCGCACAAGCTTATTTGCCTGCCCGTCATCAATCTGAGCCTCATCCGCGTCTCCTCGCGGATAGGAGCTTGGGCCCACGCATCAAGCTGACTGTACCGCCAACAGCTTTTACTCTGGAACAGTCATGGAATCTGCTCCATGACAGAGGTTGGTCCCACGCCAACAGAGGCCGCCGTATGGCATTTCTGCTAGCTCGAGCGATCATTACATCACCTTTCTGAAGCCGCAACCACGTAACCGGTCATGCTGGGCCGGACCGTGCCTCTCGCTCACTGTGATCGAAGCTACTCGAGACGATGAATCATATCAAGAGTGCGCAATCCGTACCGTGTGTGCTTTATATCCCATACTTGGAAGTCCATGCCTGGGAGTAGGACTGGTTGTAATGGACACGGGTGGCGTTTCAATCTCCATACATTTCATGTTTCATACGACTGTTATCAATGAACTCTTGATCGTCTTAGGACAGTGTCAGAGATATCTCCTTCTTCATAATCCACAAAACGAAATGCACATGCTGAGGGTTTCACAACTAGACATTCGTTATTCTCTTCCCACATGTCCGTAGAATAAGCAGAGTACTACATAGTATTAGATGTTTAGATGGAAAGCAGCCAACCAACTATGCAGAAATAATTCGCAGCTAGTGGCATCGCTTTGTGATTTAGGATCTTTCAAGTCGCGTCGGTCGAATCATACGGCTTAGGCTTCGTACATTTAACGAGTAAACAGCAGACCATGTAATCTGAAGTTCAAGATGACCGGAATCGGTATAAAAACTATCAAACACAATTCCGGGAACAAACATCAGCTACCTCAATTATTACAACTTCACATATTTTCATCAATTCATTCTACCGTTGCCGAGAAATACCCAAGTCGACAAGTCCGCATATCAAGATGGGACAATTCTCCCCAGCCACGGTTCCCATGATGAGCGACTACATAGCCCCGAGAATCACCACAATCCCAACACAACCCAGGACAGTATGATAGTCCTACCTGTTACCAGCATTCACAAAACCTACTTCTATGAGCTCCAGGCCGAGCCAAATTTCACAAGTGGGGAGAGCCACTTTGATGTAGATGGGCACAAAGCTACTGAGCACAACCCGTACCCTCAAACAGTAAATGCGTGACGACAAACCACAGCAGCGCGTGCTGTCCCATTGAGGTGGATTTCATGCATGGAGAGGGTCTGCACCGCGGTACCGTTGAAACGTTGCGGGCTTCGAGGCACCAGAGAGGGATATTATGTCTGTCGTCCAAGAGCCATCGAGAGGCCTTAGATTGGAGATAGCCTGCTTAAGACAGGTACTAGGAGAGAGAATGGTATGCCATGTATCCCCATGCCTCTCTTGTCACGTGGATAGTGTCACTTACTTGGCATGGCGAGTTCAAGAAGAAGCGTTTCAAAAGTGCCCCCTTTCCCCCCTTTACCACCGCAACAAAAACTTCTTGCCCGTTTCGCCTCCGACGCGTCTTGCAAGAGACCATGTCGGAAATTGATTGTTGTATATTTCAAGGAAATGTACCGATAGCACTTCAGAGGACGTACCGCTGATCTTATTCGTCCATCCAAGCCGATGGTGTGTGTCTCGTCTGGCGGTATTGCCCGGCTGGTCTCGACACCTCAAGCAGTAAGGAAAGCTTTCAGACATTCCGCGGGCTTGGGCACTGCGAAATATGCCGTCTACGAAAAGACTTTGCCCTCTCCCTGTAATGTGCCCTTGAGCAGAAGGGCGCGAGTCCGAGCAAGAACGGGTGGCGCGCTCCTATATGACATAAAGCTGCTCACAGGCGAACATGCGATCGCGCCGAGTGAGAAGTTTCCACCCAATTGTTCCATAGTGGCCGGGTACCGTAGTTCAAGGATAGCTAAAGACAGAGTTGAGCCGTGTTGACAATTGACTTTGCCTGGAAAGTCGCCATTCCCTTCCTTCCAGTCTATTATCTGCCAGGCTGCCGCTTACAGGACCAGCCCGCATCCCCATTCTGCTCCCCGTTCTCGACACTCCCGAATGCCTCAGGTGTTGATGCCGTCAGTACAAACCATGTTGCGATGAGAGTAGGGTCGCGGTAATGAGCGATCTCGGGGACGCAGGTTCGAGCAGGCCTGCCTTACGATCAGACCCCGAGGCAAGACATACGTGAACAAGCAAGCCAGACTGGGCGGAACTTCGCCAGGGCGGCCATTCAGGAGCTTACCCTCTTATCCGTCCGGTTCTCCTATATGAGCACATCTGCGTAGTCACAAACACAGATGAGGAAGGGAAAGGGAGTTCTGAGGAGCCAAGCACGAGTGTCTTTTATTATTACTCTTCCTTCTCCTTTTCCTTTTTACCACCACTGTATGGCCATGAGCTGGGACTTTCCTTCTCTTGTTGAATATCTAACCGCCACGTGGTCTAGAAATGGTATGGGATAAGTTCATGGAAGCGAAGCTGACCAGATTGCCAGAGTGGTTTACATCGGCCCCGAAGAACTTTTGGAAACGCTCCAGCAGTAATAAGGCTTTGCTTCAACGCTTGAAGTCGGTAGGCTCCCCCGCAAGCGCCTCCAACAACGTGTTGGCTCCTGTTTTTTTTGTTTTTTTTTAAGTAGCGTCGGATCACTTGATGTAAATTAAGGAATAATCGATCATAATCAATGTGACTCATTATATGTATAGCAATACTGGTCTCGTACTCTGGCTCGAATCACTTGAGGTTGCACGACAAGCTTATGGTTCCAATCATACTGGCGAAGGCCGTCCTTATCCTGGTGATTACGATATTATGAACTCGCCCAGTTCCCTGGAATGGCCAGGCATCGAAAGGGTAGCAATTAGCAGCAAGACAAGGGCTGACAGGTTGTGTCTCCCTACCGTCCCATTCCAGGCAACGGTCGTGGTGACGTCGATTCCAGCAATGCTTCCTTGCACACGCTTTCTTCATATGCGCCCTGTTCTCGCCGGCTTTCTGGCTTTTCCCATGAAAAATCCACCTCCCGCATTTCGGCCCACAAGAAAGATGGGCGCCTGTCAAGATGCCTGTCCATGATGCAAGATGCAGTGCCTCTTTTTGTCCCAGCCGCATGCGTCCTGGTGCTGCGCACGCTATGCTTACCATGCATGAAATGCACGTGTCGTTCCATTTTGGAGAACTCGAAGGGGTCGCGGATGCAAGACGGTGCAGCAGGTTGGCACGTCAAAGCTGCATGAGGAGCGGCATGGGGTGGTGGCTGTGGCAGCAACAGGGGGGGCAGGGACGAGAAGGCTGCTCTAATCATTAAAGATGACAGTCGATGGCACGCTTTCGCCTCACGGTAGGCGCATGTGTCAGGCATTGCACGACGCCTCTGTGTAACGGTGGGTGCACCACAGCAAGCTGATACGATTCAAGTGACAAATCGCGTGTGCGGTCGGACCGCGCAACCGTGAGCGAGTCGTCTTATGTCAGTTGAGACCACGACGCGTGTCGGGTGTGATGACTTGAGGGCCATTAGTGATGACTGTGTCTGATGCATGGCGGGTAATCACAGCACTGGTCCCCGGCGCGCATTTTGCCCGGTCCCGACTGTCTGGTGCGACCCTGCTTCACGATGTGCTCGTGTGCACCATGAACCGCATGTTGTATACTGAACATCACTTTGACCGGATGGGGAATATGTCGTGTCACAGTTCCACTTGTGGGATGATGCAGGCCCCGTCTTGCCTATTCCTGCTCTCAGTGGTGATCCATGGGGCGCATGCGTGTAATGCCATCCCCTTCGGTCCACTCCTGGCGGGATCTTTTTTGTAGTTACCATGCAACTCGCAGGGATAGAAACATCAGCTTACAAAGTCCGAAGCGATGTTGAACTTGAGCTGATCTGCGAGGGAAACATGAAGTACCCCGCCAAGGATAATTGCGCGTGTGCGCGCGAAAAGTCCTCGCATGTCATGTATGATCTCTTGGTTGCGAGCAGTGTTCAGACGTCGGGACCAGGCTGCCCCGGGTTGGGTGTGATGAAGACGTGGAGGTTGGTCATCCGTGGTCGGATAAATTATCAAAAACCCAGGAACGCCCTTCTCAGTACTTTGAGCATCCCAGTCCCGACTTGGGGGAAGTTGCTTCGTCAAATGCTGAAGCGTGACACTAGACCGACCCCTGCTGTACCTGTCATGACGCCTGAATGAAGCAGAATATTCCGTCCTTCCTCGAGGTACATGTGTTGTCTGAGCAGGAAAGGGTGACTGGCATCGAGATCGTGCCATTACACCAGGGGCAACTCGAAACGGCAAAGTCGTGGCCATCGTTTACCAGACTGTCCAATTGCATGTCTTACGACCGCTTCTTGTGGAAAGGGAAAAGAGTGTCCAGGCCGAAGTTGCTCCGTGCTTGGAATGCGGTCATCCAGAGGACTGTTCGCATGGAATGAGTCGCGGCTACACACCATCAGTTGTCTTTAGATCTTCATCATTCACAGTGCCGTGCGCACAGTGAAAGTAGAGGACCATACGACATCGTACGACAGGCCGGCAGATTCAGGAGGAGAAAGCCATGAAAGAGCTGTCCCCACAGACCGGGGAAACCCCGTGTGTTCATTGCTTTTCTGCTAGGTAGCCTTTCGTGTTTGCCCTTCTGCCATGGACGCGCCATATGATGCTCGGGACGAATGGAAAAGCGCAAGTCCCGTGACTGGTCCTTCATGCAGGATCCCGTGCCCTACCTTCCCAAGTCTCGTTGCATGGATCGGGTCCTTTAACCGAGCTGGTCCACTGGCACATTTCGCCTCCGGATCGGTGCAATACAAGCCAGATAGGGCCTTGAAGGAGCGTCAAGACCTAGGCTGGAGGCTTCTCAGCGCGGGCGGGCCGAAGGTTATGTGTATCAGGGGTTGTCACGATCCGGAGGCGGGGGACAATATCCACTGTGCGCCACACATTGTTGGTAACAGTTGCCTCCGAATCGCTGGGTGTGCAGCCTTGGCTTCCTAAGGGGGTGTGCGTACACGGACCGGGGCTGGGCCACCCTTGGGGGTTGCCAAAGAGCTCGCAACCATGATCGTGCATGATGCAGCTGCAGGTCCATGGGAATGAGGAAAGGCGCCAGCCACACAGATGGAGAGCTGTCATGGGTCGGCAGTAGTCGGCCTGAGAGCCACCATCGCCCCGACACTACCACCAGCCGATTGGCGATCATGGCAAGGCGTGCAATCAAAGGCCCTTTGCGAATCGCCGACTGCCCCATGTTAGCGCGAGTCTGGGCACGCGCCCCCAAAAGCCCTGCGGAGGGCTCCTGCGATTGTACTTGAAGCCATGTGGGGTGCAAGATGACTGTATTGGACGCCCTGAAGGGAATCCTGCACGACTTGTATGATCTTGCTGAATTTGCCCCAAGAGCGTCCTCGGCGCGAAGTTGGGCAAGCCAGCGCAGAGCAAACCAGTCAAAGTGACTGGTCAATACTGGACCGCGGCATATCCTGCTGCTACCGACAAGAAGCCGCAAGCCAGAGCGCTCGTCGTGATTGAGTGGACGCCAGATGCTGGACGATGATGATTACGACGAGGACGAAAGCACTGTGGGGGATGAGGAGGGATGTCCTGAATCTGGCAATGGTTCGTTGATCGCTGGCCGCTAGCAGAGCTAAGAGGTGCATATGCAAGTAATGCCGCGTTGTTCCCTGCCTGCCTGGTTCTCGTCAAGGTCAGGGTGCTGAGGCCATCCATGTGCGTAGCTAGCATTCGAGGCTCAGCAGCAGTCTGTCCTTCTCGGGGACGGACGACGGGAGGAGTCGTGGGTTCGTTCTGGCCACGGACCGTGAAGGGTTCGTCGGAGGGCGTCGAACGGTTGTCACACGACCTGCTCCGGACACCATGAGCAAAGTTCTGAGGATGGAAGCCACCCAGCAGGCTAGTGGATGCCCGTTTTGGTTGGGAACTCGCAAGTGCCATGTGGCAGGGCTGCTCCTTCGTGTGTGGTTGCGAGGCTTGGGAGGGAAGGCACTTTGGAGGAGGCCAAGGCGGGCAGCATGCGAGATCGTGATGACTGGAGCACCCAGTCCATCACCCTCACTTACACCATGGAACCGCACCAACCTGCCACGGGATGGGTCCTCTCGCCCAACACAATCACCGGCCGTGCCGGATATTGCTGACGAACCATGAGCCGCTCCTGTTCTTGCCCAGCAAGTCTCTGCGATGACGATGCTTACTGTGTACCTCTGACTCCAGTGGCAGCCATCACGGACGAGACTCCGCCCTCCCATCATCCCGACACGAGCACGACCCTTGATCGCTCCCTCAAGCATGGCCAGCCACAGCTGAGCATTATACGGGCAGGTGTCCACCTCCAGCGGCTCTGCGCTGACAGGCGAGCGCCCACCAAGGTCACCTGGCTGTCCCACAGCCCTGCTTACGCTACGTTGTGGACGCTAGACAACCCACAAAGGTGGCTGGCTGGGCGTGCCGATCAACTGTATCTCAGATCTGTTCGACGTATCAGCTCGTCTTCGACATGGCTATGCGAGCACCATTACTGGTCACTGGTACTAGATCTTGGGCGCCGTCGGAGAGAGGCTCTACGCGGAGAAGAACGGAACCCTCGTTATTGCGGCTCGAGGCTCAACCCACCTCCACTTGTACTGCTACTATGCGGAAGTCCCAAAGCCGGCCTCTGTTGTGTCGAGTGTTGTATGCACACCCATCAATGACGAGCAGTGGAGTGCCTGCCCCCGCCCTCCTCCCACTCACACAGAAAAACCTTTCCACGCAACTGCAAGGTCTTGACGCTGCTTCACACCACTTGCGCCCACATGTACACCATCTAATCCCATACGTTGTGCGTCGTCGATAAATGATTCGCATATCCCTGCATGGTGCTGCAGCACGAGAGCCGATGCAGCCCGAGTCATACGCGCCAACACGGAAGAAAGAAGAAGTGGAAGAACCAAGGAGAACCGGAAGAAAGTGTTCGGACAGCCAAGTTTCGCCTGCAGCTCTGGCCAAGCATGTACGTCACGTCAGTCGAGTCAAGTCAGTTCCATGGTCCCAGTTGTCGTTGTTCGACGCCACGTAGCCCTGGGCGGAGAAGCAGGTTTAGTGTGGCTAACTGACAGCCAACACTACTCGCGCCCGCATCCAGCGACAGTGCCAAGTAGTCTCGACGAACATTGAGCAATTTTCAGGATTGCATATGCTCGAGGTCTCCCTAACATATTCGAGTCGTGCGAGTAGAGTCACACCACTCTCTCTGGACGAGCCTTCTCTCCAAGAAGCAGGGAGAAGCGTCACGGGCGATATCGAGTTCGATTCCCCGCTAGCCGAGTCTCTCTCGCAATGTGAAAAGTTCCCCGCTGACACTCAAAGTCGGTTCGTTGGCCTCTGGACTGTTTTGTCAAAAGATCCTATGTCCATTCTTTGTGACATCTCCGCAATCGCGCATTGATGGCCCCCCTCCCCACCTTGGCAACTGCGATCACCCCTCACTTCTGGTGGAGTTCAGGGCTTGAGATTGGTTTCAAAACCTCCATTACCAAGTGCGGGTCATTGCAGGGTCAAGAAGGTGGAAGAAACGCACAGAAACGCTGCTGTGAGACGGAATCACCACGAGACATGCATCCAACCAGTTCGGACGTCAGGCACATGGTTGAGGTTGGGAATTAAATCATATTAAACTCGCTTTTGGCTGGTCGTGAATTACTCAAACACATGTATGGGCATCTAGGGTGAGCCCTTTTGGATGACCAGGGAGATCCGTCTCTCTTTGTCCCTTGGACCAGGTCTTTGTCTTCATCTAATTCGTGTCGTAAAGGCGTTACATTTTCATTCCTTTTACGCAGATGGGCCGAAGCAATGCGCAAAAGTCTCTCCTCTTGTGGCCCAGTTTCTTCGCGCCAGCATCGGCCTGCAAGGATAAACCCGACCATTGCAGGCCGTCGCGATTGGAGAGAGTGGTGGCGAGCCCTGTCGCTTAAGACATAGGGATGCTCCACTTCTTATCCACACGCTAAAATCACCGGTGCGCGGCTGAGCTATCGTCGCTAAAGACAATGGCCGTCCTGAAATGATAGGCGGCAGCTGGGTGGTCCTTGTTGCCTGTCGATCATGGTAGGCCGGCGACAGTCGCAATCTGCGGCATGTCGTTGGTGAGCAAGTCTGGCTTTTCCGCCAGGACGGTCTGAGTATTGCGCATCCGGAAACCGATCATGCGGTCGGAGTCCTCGAAACGCGGCAGAGGGGTGGTGATGCTGTCGCTGCGTCCGGGGCGGGGCGACATGCGTAGTGCATCATTCACGTCGCCATCGGGACGGCTACCCCACGACGTCTGTAGTCGCACAACGGGATGGTCAGGGCTCAGTGGTCTTTGTGCTTTGGTGCCTGTTGGAGACTTACCATGTTCAAGGTGAAGAGCGCCCACAGCTTGATCAGGCCGTGGAACCAACCAAACACAATGGAAATTGGCAGGTAGACGATATCACTCGGGTTGCGCCGGAATAGGCCAATGAGCTTGATGACCTTTGTGTAGGCGAACATGAAGACAACCTGGGCCCAAAACAAGCGCTGACGAGTCTCCGTCTCCCAGCCCTCGGTGCCCCACCACAGGGTTGCCAAGAGAAGCGGGTCGACGAGAAAAGCCAGTGAGGTGAAGGTAGCGATGTGGAGCGCGTAAGTGCACCAGGGCTGCTGACTGCAGGGCAAAGGCCTGTTAGCGCTGCGGGAACCCTAGCAATGGCTTGCGATCACCGGCGGAGGAGGGTCCCCCCCAGTTTTGGCACTTACCGAATCACGTATCGCTCACGGACAAGGCTTGTCCAGTTGCTGCGCCAATTGCTGCGAGCCCAGCGGGAGCACTGATACAGGAACTTGACACCATTCTCCAGGGTCGTCTCGATCTCGCACTCGGGCTCGTACTGGATCCAGGTCTTCCACTGGTGGCTGACGAGCCATCGGGTGACAAAGTTGTCGTCGTCCGCGTTGAGAATGTACTGGCGCCAGCGCTCTGTCTTGAAGCCCTCAAGGAAGGCTTCACTCGACAGAATCTTGGAGCGATATGCGCCAGTCCGGCCTGACATGCACGAAGTGCCGCCGTCCATGTTGTGTGTGGCCGATATCTCAAAGTTTCTGCGCTCGATGTAAGCTGCACCAAGCCAATTGAAGATCTTGGTCTGCCAATCGCCATCGGGCTCGCGGCGAACCCGCTGGCAGGTGCCGACACCTCCGATCTCAGGATCCTCAAACGGTGCCAAGATCCAAGGGATCAGTGTCGAGGGCCATGTGACGTCGTCGTCGGCCATGATGGTGATGGCGGTTCGGACGCGAGGGAGAGCCTCGCATACTTGCAACCGCTTGTTGGCGATTGGGGTCCAAAAGACGCGGATGCGAATCGAAGGAAGAGTTTTGGCGAACTTCTCAAGGGCCTCGAACTTGTCTCTGGTCGTGACCAAAATCAGCTCGTGCGGCTGGCATGCCAGGATGCTCTGAAGCGACGGGCGAAGCTCCTCAAAGACATTGTGGATGGTCGGGATGATGACAGTCACGTCGTCGGCAGTGAATGTGGGCTTCGCAGGGATCGGTTTGGACTTGTAGAACCAGTGGCTGAAGGTGTGCACAATAAGGCGGAGATAACGGTGAACCCTGTGTGAGTTGTGTGTGAGTATTTGGTGAGATCAATCTAAGTCTCCAGGATCGTCAAGCCAGATTGTGGAATAGCTCGCATGTCCGGATACACAGCAAAGGACGTACCAGAGGATGAGAAAAGTCCAGAACCAGAAGCTCGGAGACTCGAGGAAGGCGAAGCTAGGACGCATATGCGCCAGCAGCACAAATATCGTGTCCATGTTCGGAGGCTGGAGAGTCTGGTGCTGTTACAAGCGTCGGGGGCCTGCTGTGGCAAGTCGAGCTGGTGGGAGGTTTCGTGGGTTGCGGTCTTGCAGTTCCGGCTCTGGGAGCAAAGCTGATTCAACTTGGGATGCAGTCTGCAGAAGGTGGCTGATGCCCCAAGGACGCTGTCCGCGAGGGGAATCGTGGGCGCAATGTTTTGTGGCCAAACGAGCCAGACGAACAAAGAAAAGCGTCGTGCTGAACAATGTAAACCCCGCTGTCAATAAGACGAGCCAGTTTGCTATTTTCCAAGCAGACTCGCCGGACGATCGCGGTGATACTGGCAGAAATGGACGGTAGCCAACAACGCCGAGACCAGTGCAGAAGACCCAGAAAAGCCGGGCCGGGAAGAAATGCAGGACGCGATGGAAACAAAACACAAGCTCGACGGCGCAGGCCTGCGCAGTGAGGGATGCAGAGGACGAGAACAAAGAGGCCTGACGAAGTCGCCCAGGCGGGATCGGGAGTGAAGAAAGAAAACGAAGGGACAAAAGGGCAGGCGCGCTGCAAGACAAGGACAGGCGGCGGGGAGGTGCAGGTTGCAGCAAGTCCCGCGTCCCACCAAGCGAGCGAGCGATCGGGACGGCGGAGGTTTGGTTTTGGCCTGGTCCCGGGGTGGAGACACGCCGAAGCCACTAGAGAGCCGTGAAGCACCGAGCTGAGGGGCACGCACTGCTAACCAGGTCTACACACGACTGAGCAACAACGCAGGAGGGCCAGCACGAGGCATTGGGGAAGCAGAGAGACGAGCAAGCCTCGGGGAACCGGGACGGGCGCGGCGCGGATAGTTATAAGCATGGGCCGGCGCGGCTCCGCGCAGAGTAGGAAAAAAATACGCAGCAACACTGCTCGACAATGAGGTCAGTCCATGGTCGAGGCCTGCTCAGGCGACAAGGATGGACACCTGTTGGGCAGGCGGATGGAGGGGCGTTCGCATGGATCCATAACGTGCCTCCACAGCACATCATCTCTGGCCGAACGGTGCCAATCTGCATTGCTCGACAGAGGGCACTCCGCGCGCCACCATCGCTGCGACTTTGACGCCGGCTAAACGCCTTGTCCTGGCACATTTCCCACTCCTGTCCACTTGACCACCGCGTCCGTCGCGGCGCCTCCTCACTCTGCAACAGGGGGCTCTAGCGGAGGAGCATTTGGCCGTCCCCAGCGGCCAGACTAGATGCTGCCACGCGAAGACGCGCCTGAGGCTTCAAAGATTTCCAACCCCAGAGTTTCTCTCGCTGCTCGGACTGGAAGAGGAATCAGAAGCCCCAGAAGGAGGAATGATTGAGGACATGGGACAAAGACAGCCCTGCAGACGGCATGCAGCCGGGTGTGCTGCCGGCTGCAGAATGAGGTACATGCAGTCCCTCGAAAGGGGGGCACGCTCTGGGTTGGTCGTGGGCCGCATGCAAGCCTTGTCCTCGACGCGAATCTTGCGTGCTCTCGAGTACTGTGCGTCCTGGGCCGGCCGCGCAGCACAATCTCAAAGGGGAAATCAGCAGGGTTGTGTGATTGGCAAAGCTCCTGTCAGCAGCTCACGTTAGCTTGAGCCACTTGATCGCCCCAGGGCTAGCATATTGGCGACGGACCAAGAGCGATACTGGACCATTGTCTGTCGGCTGGTCAAGTGCTCCTCCCTCCACTCCGTGACCCCTGCTCGACAGTTACCTTAAGTATAAACGGACTGGTGGGGGAGGCTTGCCGGCTTGCAGACTGGCAGGGATATGAGGGAGGGGGGCGTGAGTGCTTGCAAATCAGTCTGTTACACGCCCTCCCCTCTCTCCATGTACCGACAGACGCAGATGCAATGACTGTTTTGGAGTGTTGCGCGGATCCACGCTCGACGGCGTCCTTGTTCGTGACGAGGCAGTGCGCCGCTTCAAGTGAAATGGAGGAACAAGGTCATTCGATGAGAGGCGCGAGCCCCGAAAGCTGACAGTCATTGCCACCCCTGAACAGCAATCGTTGCCTCTCATCCGCTGGGAAGTGGTCGAGGCAATGCGTCCGGCAATGCGTCCGGGAATTACCCATACAGGTCCAGATTGTGAGGCTCTTGGTCCTCAGACGTACTCTGTACTTGCTGGTAAGTTGGTAGCGCCACACTGTACGTAGTGGGACACACACTCTGCCAACATTTCGTTGGCGAACTTTGGTAGTGGAGCCATGGTCACGTTGCTCGTCGCTGAGCGCTTCGTCCTGTCCTAGGCTCGAGCCTTTGTCGCTCGCGAGGCGCTTGTAAACAACCCATCCACAATCAAAACCGCACCCGGTAGGCTCTAGAGGCCAGAGCGGTGCGAGGATCTCTTCGCCAGGCCAGCGAATCGACAGCCGAGTAGTGGGTGGTGGGGTGGCATGGAGGTGAATGAACCCTGATCCTCGCGCTTACTTTTGGTCCCTGGTCGCACTGACCATCACTTGGTCACTGCTCCTTTTTGACAGCTGCGAGCGTCTTGCATAATGTCAACGGCGCCGAGTTTCTCGGGTAGATCTGGCGATTAAGTAGGCGCCAGGGCTAACGATGAGCTGGAGAATGGATTAAATCTCCCTGCACAAAAAGCAAAAAGGCATCATGGTCAGCTGCAGATTCGGCATTCCCACGCTATGGGCAAACGCCATCTGCATGTCTTGTCTCACACCTGGTCGCCAAAGAGGCTGGAGAGGCGATTGGATCAAGACAGCCGTGTGCAGTATGCATTGCGCAAATTTGAAGCTCGTGAGGCCTGCCGTGCATTTCGGACATCTGGGGAAGTGGCCTGCTTGTTTCATGGCCACCTGCGATACCTCGGAGACCCAAAGCAGCAAGTGATAAAGGTTCCGTCTTCTGCAATGCTGGGCATTGCCTACCTGCTTGATGCGATGCAATGTCTCTAGTTTGTCCCGAGGTCGAACTACGCTGATTGCAGGGATTCCAACAAAGTCCTGAATTGAGGATTCAAGTTCAGGTACGACGATTTTGCACTGTCGACGGGGGAGCTGCACAGTTGGCAGTCATAGGGCGGGTACATGAGCACTTCACTGCTTGCTGATCGCCCGTGGGAAGATCCCTGTAGCAGGGGGGCCGCCCACTCGTCAAGGTCGTCCGTACGTGCCAAGGCACACGGGCAATGGCCCGACCTGGACGGGTGCGGCTCTGCCAATGGAGGGATGCGTGGCTTCTGCTACGCCATTGAGAAGTGGCTGTCAACGTGCCATGGCTGATTGGCAGGAAGCAAGGAGCACACGAGAAGCGTGACGACAAGCATGCTTGGTGTGCCAGAGGATGCCGTTGGTGTCGTGGGAGCCGCCATGTACAGCATGCTGTTCGCCGTGGCCGTGATCTGGAGAGGCCGGAACCACTTTTTAGCCTGATGAGCCGCAGCAAATTCCCGCACAACCTGGCCTGTTGTCAAGACGGCGAAAAGGGAAGACGAACCTGGCCTGGTCTGGCCTGAAGACCTTGCAGATGTTGGTTGCGCCGCAGCGCAATTTCATGGAGGGGTTGTCATTGTCGTCCCCACTTGGCACATCCAGACTGCCATGTACGCTACGCTTGCACGGTTGGGGCTGCAGGGCATCGAGCCCACCTCTGGCGCTAGGGGGGCCGCAGGACCTGCCACTTGCGATCAAGGCGAGCTCGGAGAGGCTGAGCAGGGGTTGTCGGACGACGGCTCGGGCGACCTGAAAGCGACGCGCGTGCACTGGGGTGGTCGGGGGCCACTTCTTATCAACGCGGCGCCAAGGGCAAGGTTCCAGGCTGACATTGCTGATACTGCTGGCGCTCAGGCACGTCTCGGCTACAGCCTTCTGACAGTCGAGGAGCCCGTTGCGTGATTGAGGAGCGGGCCGATGATTATGAGGAGGTCACGGACCTCAGAGCCGTGCGCAGCGAGCAGCTGGGGGAGATCGATCTCGTCCTGACCTGATCGGCCCATGGTAGCTCCGAGTCTCTAGCCTGCATGCGTGATCTGGCCGGTCAGTGCACTTGATAGAAACTGACTGACGCCAGAGGGATTGTCACTGATGAAGATCAGAATGGTGACTTTGTGAAGTGGACGGACGCTCTTGCACCTCTGAGTTGGTGGGGGCCCCGGGGGGTTGCGACTCAGTGAGCTCTCGGACATTTAGCGTCGTGGGAAGTGCAGCAGGCCGCCAAGATGGCAAGAACGACATCCATCCGGCGCAGGTGGAAAATAGGGTCGGAACGTCCACGCAGTAAGTACCCCCTTTCCCTTCGTCCTCCGCGTGCACAACCTCGAAATGGACTACGTGTAGCGGTTGCGTACGCCGTTAACTACGGGCACGAGCTCCTCAACCGAAGCCATCATGTCGGCGGCGTTATGAAAAAGGCAGCTCAGTTGTCCTGGCCACTGCTCTCCGTCCTTCCCCAGTAAACACGACGCAGATCCCCGTGGGTGGGCCCAGGCACGATCGGCACCTCACCGAGGATGGAGGTCCGACCTCCTTGTCGACCGGGACATGTCGCCGTCACGATGCGACCTCAATGGTGTATGCCTGTCCTCCTGGTCAGAGCTCATTTCGGCGCAATCCATGCAAGTAACTCCAAAGATCAGGCGATCTCACCTCAAAGACGGAACCGTCCGGCAAAATCATGCGGCGAAATGAGCTCGCGGCCTGTCATTGAAACGCAAGGCTGATGGGTACAATCACTTGACAGTACTTTGCATAACTTGTTCAACTTGTGAGCGACACGCAGTATCGAACAATGAGTCAATATCGGCACTGTAGGCAAACTACGAGACAGTGATCAGTTGTCCCCCGAAGTGCGTGTTGGGCCGAGGTTGCGGGGAGTCCCGGCGCTTTCCGCAGAAACGTGGGCACTGTCCCATAGAATTTGCGGTGGCAGGGGCTCGTCCTTTTGCCCATACCCCCGAACCAGAGAGAGGCCCGGCGTACCACTTCGAGCCACTACCGTGAACGAGCAGCAACAGAGTGACTCTGGCCAGGTTTAGAATACAGCGAGCTGCGGTCACGAAAGACGAGATAGGTCTCGATGCCAGACCAGCATTTTCCCCACACCAGTGAAGTCCTCTGTGCGACCTCGTCCGATTCTGGTGTTCTTGCGCATTGTATACGCATAACTTTCTCGAACTTGCTTCTCTCGGCTATTCTGTGGAGGAACGGTCGACAGTTATTCGAACAAAGAAAGATCCGGGGGGTCTTACTCGCATTGGCACTCAGTGGGAAGCACCTGGTTTCCTGGTCAGTGGGCGGTTCGAATCGCTCAACAACGATCATCACAGAAAAGCGGGCAAAGCTGACATCTGCCCAGATCAACGCAACGTCGTTCGACATGACAGTTCATCAGGGCCCAGACACGTCAAGTCTCGACAGCGTGATACTAGCGAATTATGGTAACTACTGCGATTCACCGACTGCTCTGATTCTTTCCCTAGCGTTTTACCTTGCTTTCCTCCTTGTTCTATCTATCTACCGTAGGAAAATCGGTGGTCTGGAAAAAGGACGCGCCTGCAGTCATATCCGGTGCAAGTCATACATGGTTCACTCGGCCCGGCGGACTGCACCTCCCGCGGCTCGATTAAGAGGGCTCAAACGGCTGTTCCGAGTTCTTTATGTTACACAGCGCTGAAGGGGAAGCAAATCATGCGCACCGCGAGATCTGCATGTGAAAGACGTCAAGCAAGCATCAAATGGTTACATTGCAGATGCAGACATCAACAGCCAGCAATCCACATCCTATGGATGTAACCTGCGCGAAGACCACTCCACGGGGCTGCACTGAGAGCTTGTGTCGTCGCCTACGGGAGGCAGGGCACGGGGAAGCCAAAGATGCGTCCGGACCCAGTTGGGTCCCATGAAATGACGCGCATGGATGCGTCGGAGTCACGGCCAGAAGCGTGGACTTTCGCAGGAATTTTTAGAATGTAAGTGGTTGCTCGTTTCTTGGCTTGAGTCTCGATGCTAAGACTATAGTCGCTTGCTGGTCCTGCACAGGATCTCACAATCACGGCTTCTTCTCTGCGTCAAGTCCCGGCAGAACAACAACGCGCGCTGGCCGAACCCATCATGGACATTTGCGTCGCAGTCTCTGATCACTATTTCCTCGGGTCCACATGTTCGTCGTTTCATTTTGTGTCAAAATTTGCCAATCGCTGAGCCCAAGCCACGTAGCCTAGTACAGAGTAAGAATGGAAAGACGATGGACAGCGGGGACCCCTCGCAGAACCCTTGTCTGCAAGATGTACGTGCCAGCACCAAACCAGCTTGCATATGTAGGGTGAGTTGTCCACGTCCACCTTTGCAGCACCGGTTTCTGTTGCAATCTGTCAACATAATCTCACGCCACATGAGAGCACCCTTGATCTCTTGTTGCGCCATACGTCTCTCGGGAACAGCGCTGCCACTTCCTATTAGCCTCAAACTCATGATCATGGATCGTCTCGTCTCCAATGCTCTGATTGTCACACAAGGCGGACCTGATTCTCCGTCGCGGAGTCCCTCCAGCAATTCTTTATGCACCGCATCGACAATGATCAGAAGTTGTCCACGGGACGCTTGAACCACAGGACGCTCCAATGTGGGGAACGAAGGGATCTTCGGCACACTCTACATGCTTGGTTCTGCGACATCGCTCCAATTCTGACGCCCATTCGCCGTGGCCCTCACAGCCAACGATGGGGGCAATGCAACCCTGAGTCGCTCTCATCTCGATATAGTCCACACACCTCCGGCCGAAATGGAACTCCCATGCGCATTGTTCCGTCTAACGTCGCGGTGGCGTAACCGTACCCAGGCGCGGCAAACAAATGCGAGGAGACGCGAGTAGAAACCTCATACAGTCCCACGTCCGTACCTACATAGATCAAGAGACAGGACATGGGTCCGGGGCCCACCGAAACAAGTCATCATTGTCCATGCCCCTAACTACACACTGCCTTTGGAACCGCCGCTTGACGTTCCTGGGTACCCAGCATGCGCTGGCGCCCTTCGCGCCACAGAATGGAGTGCGCTCAAATTCACACACACACACTGTCTAGTCACAGACAACCGCGACGGGCATGACCAGGATTTGAGTCCATGCCCTACAAGCAATGGCCCCCGCTAACCTGATTTGCAAGATTACGGATCTGAGACATGGGCTAACCGCCCAGGTTCACTGCATCGTATGATACATTGTGGGATGTGGGAGGGCTAGAGACTCGAGGAAATACTGGCACTGTGGTGTCAAAACGGCGCCCGCTGGAGCTCGGTAACCGGGATGGTCGTTGCAGCATAGGAGCATGACCCTGGGTGCACATCAGTCAGACGGGGGGGAATGAGTGCTGGACGCAACGTCGTTTCGTCCATTCGGTATGGGTTGTCCATGTCATTGTAGAAATCTTTTGCCAATTCTTAAGAGCAGCGACAGGCTGTTTTCGCTGGCTGACGCAAGTTTGAGCGTCCTCCCAGCAGCTGCCACATGCAACGCCGAGTGAAAAAACCGGCCACAAAGAGGCGTTTTTGTCGCTGTTTGGTGTGGTGAGTTCGAAGACCCTTGAAGATGCCACGCCGTGTGCCCTGCCTGTCTTCGTTCTTGGCGAACCACCCACATGAGTCCGGAGTGCGGCAGGCCGCGCAATTGTTGGCAAGGGGAGACTACCCAAAGGAGAAGGAAAAAGAAGCAACACAAACGGTACAACACAAAAGGGCCAAAAAGAAAACGCCATGAAACAAGCCTTCCCCCACCCCATGATCTGCTCTTTGCCTCGCTCGGCCCGACATTCGGGCAGGTATTTGTGCGCTTAGATCCACCCCTTGGCTTCAATCTGCTTGCTTTTTCCCATTTGACATCGGGAGTGCTGCATTTTGGCTACACCTTTTCCACACCCCCTTCATGGTTCGTTGTGTAACCTGGGCATATATGTTGATTGCAATACCTCGGTTTCTTTATGAACCGCCTAGTTGAATTTCTTCAGTGGGATTATTTTGAGTCAGGCAGTTTCACTTCGCGGCCCACTTGTGTGGCTCACACAAAGTATATGCTTGTCATCGAGCAGGATGGACGATTTCTTGAAAAAGAGGTACAGGGCTGCATGCCGCAGGGGTCCTTTTTGTTATTTTCGTGATGCTCGGCAGGACGTCTAGCGAGCCGGGGAAGTGTTTCCGCGGCATGTTGGCTGCACGTTGCAGTAAAGGACAGGACGCATGAACGCCTGGGGGTATTTTGGGACCACTCCCACCTTACTTTGCGTGGGATCTGTAGCTGCGATCAGAATTCTGCGCTCGGGGTTTCGGGCTGCGGGAGATGAGTATCTGCCGGCCTAACGGTGTTATTAGAAATGATATTATTCAAAAGCAAGACTGCGAAACTACTCGAGCGACCTAGACCAGATGTAATGGCCCCATCTGATTGCGTGGCACTGAAAACTCTATCTGGAGCACTCATCCGATAATTGCCGTCAATTCCCAGCATCAACACATCACGTTTCGTAAGTTGGTCTGTTCTGTCCAGCACGCCAGCATATACGTCCTTGTTCTGCACCGTATATGTTCAAAGCATTTGCTGACAGGATACTTCTCTGTTATTGAGTTCGGTCAAAACGACGATCTTGTTTCGAGTTCAGGTGTGACGCTACTTCGGCACATCAGAACAGGCAGCTCAACTTCGACGTCACGGCTTCTAAGGACAGCAAGTCAGTGTAACATCTCGGGAGGTGCCGACACGTGATGCGGTGCACACCACTACCTAGAGACCTCGCTTGAACTACCGACAGAGACTCTCGATGCTGTCACATCTGATCAAGTGTGGCGTTCTCCCATACCACGACACACGTCTCACGAAGCCGGGCTCAGCTAAAAGGCTTTGTACCTGCCTCTGCCGGCGGACAGGCTTCTCGGCTGTTAGTAAAAATGCGACGTCATCTGTGCAACGCATCACTGCACCCTTCGGCAAACCCCGGCTGGCAAGGCTGACTGGCCTTGCCCGCTTGGCGGGTCACGATATGCAGGTCCCCATTGCTCACCGTAGGTACACCGAAACCGGCAAGAGAGTCCTCGAGGAGACGACGAATGTCCGTGACATCCCTGGCCCGGCCTGGCCTGAGAGCTCACGCGCAGCTATCCCACCTAATATATGAGCATCAGCTTATATATGCATTGGGGCGAGGCACGGCAGACCTCGATCGAGACTATGGTTTCAAAACTACCATCAGCAGCGAACGTAGGGTTCAACCTTAAGACCAGCGAGGGGGTGTCAGCAACAAAGGAGCACAGGTTGTCTCTGATGAAACGGAGAATGGTCATCCGGGGCCAATGGTCCTCATCTGGTAGAACTGCTGCGAGAAACAAACCTTCATCTTGCTATTGACTCAAGTACGATGTAAGTGGGCAATGATCCACTTGAGCATTCGAAGCTCTCATCTTGTGATACGCGATGTACACTCCTCCGACAGGAAATGGCAGCCGCGCCCAAAGTAACAAGCGCGTCTCAGGCAGTGTTCGGGTCAGAATACTGAGATGACAAGCCATGTCAAGGCCGGAAAGCGATATCCTCTCAGTCGAATCAGCTGAATGATTAGCTGAATGACAGATATAGTGGGAGCACGGTCTCCTGAGGGTACGTGGAATTTGTCACTTTTTTACTTGGCCCAATTCATGGGTGGATCATCGGGTGACACTTCATGTTGTCAACACCCGTCAGCATGTCATGTGGCGCCACGGCGTCTTCGGTGAGACGCACTGCTTGCCAAGTCGAGTGGGAACTGCATCACTTGCAATGGGCATTTGCAACTATTGAGGGAAGGAATGCGTGGCCAGCAAGACCCTCGTCATGCGATTTACAGAACATAAGAAACGAGGATGGCTATCCGCAATCGCTTCGACGAACATCCACGTCCCACTCAGACTAGCATTCGCAGAGAGCTCTGCCAGAGTGTTTCTGTTCCTTGTATATAGGGATATTCATTATCGTCGTATCTCAAACGCACTGCCTCTATTGGGCGAAAGGTTCGTCGTCGGGCCCGCGTTGCGTGGCGGTATGATTGTCTGACGGTTGTGCGAACCCACTGGCGAACCATTCATCTCTAAAAGAGTCAGGCGTCATCAAATTCCAGACACGTGAAGTGTGCATGAGCAATGTGAACGCGCTGGGCTGGTCCGCGGCGAGCCACGCCTTGGTAATGCCATGATGGCATGGTCGTTGGAAGGCGACAAACCCTCCGGGCCTAGCTCGCGGCTGCGCCTTCCTGTGCACCAGCCAAGCCTCACTGCTGGCTCAAACAGGCAAGCACAGCCCACCCTCTGCTCTTCTCCGTGCCTTCTCCCGCCAAGGCAGCGACCCCTCGCAAATGTGCACTTGTGCAATAGAACAACCTTCCCACTTCCTTCTTTTCCTTCAACCAAGCTCTCCTCCCGGTGCACGTTGCTGATCCCTCACCAAGCACCAAACACATCAATCATCAGCATGCCCGACGACTACGCCCCGCCTCCCGGCCCGCCGCCGTCGTACTCAAGTAGCGGCAGCGGCAGCGGCAGCAGCAAGCCGGTTGGCGATGACTATGCTCCTCCTCCGGGTCCTCCACCATCTGCTTTCAAGAAGCTCGCCTCAAACAACCCCTTCAATCCTTTCTCACACCGGAACAAGGCCGAGGATGACTATGCCCCGCCGCCGGGGCCTCCGCCGTCCGCCGGCAAGCAGCCCGATCCACAGCACGACTGGCAGATGGCCGTCCCGGACACGTCGCTCCTCCCGCCTCCGCCTGCTTTCTTCACCAGTTTTGAGTATTCCCAGGTCAACAATGCCTCCGGAGAGGAGTGTGCCCAGGGCGAACAATGGTGCGCTCGCTACCCGCTGTATCGGCCAGCGCCCCTCGACGGTGCTGCACAAGCCGCCCTCTCCATGGGCAACATCAACCTCTTTGCGCCTCCAGGTTTCCGGGGTTCCGTGACCAACGCCGGCGTCGGAATATGGCACGTCGAAACCCGTAGCAACGCGACAGACACCTGCCTCGCCACATACCCACCACTGTACAGCCCGTCCCTCGGCCCAAGCGCTACTGGCGCCCGCAGGAGGATATACTACGAGGTCAACATCGATCCCAGGAACAAGCGTGAGGTCGATCTAGCCATAGGTTTCACGGCTCCGCCTTACCCGGTCTTCCGGCTTCCCGGCTGGCACCGTGGCAGTCTTGCCGTGCACGGCGATGACGGCAGCCGGTTCATCAACGACAATCGCGGCGGTCAGGCATTTGTGCAACCATTCAAGCCCGGTGACACTGTTGGTTTGGGCATGGAATTCAGCCCTGGCGCCGGTGGCCAGGGCATACAGGTCATCATCTTCTTCACGCGCAATGGCCGGTTCGAGGACAAGTGGAACCTGTATGAGGAGAGAGACACCGAGCAAGACGCACCGTTAGTCGGTCTGCAAGGCTATCACGATATATGCGCTGCTATCGGCGTTTTCGAGGGGGTCAAGTTCGATGCGGTCTTTGCGCCAGGCTTGTGGAAGTGGAAGGGTTTCCACACCGAAGTATTGTAGTGGATTGAAAGCGAAGTGACCGGTTCAGTGTGAGGACATAAATTGCTGGGTTGGATGGTCTTCGAGCAGTAACAGATAGAGGACAGGATCGATGCTGAGTAGTATCTATACACCAACCCTCATAGATCGCATCGTGTGATAGTCTGAACTACAATTAGGCAATGTCGTTCCGGCTCCCTAACTGGTCTCGTAACGTCAATTTCGTCTCATATTTTGCTGGATCCAAGTGTAGAGGAGCTCTGATTAGTGTCTTTCGTTCAGTGATATAATCCATTCTGGAACCTACACGCGATCCCCTTGATTGACTTCCCCTCTCAAGAGAATTCACTGCGGACCTTTTCCTCCCAAGCATTACCATGGTGGAAATTGAATCGCTAAGTTGTCACGTCATAGTACTGCCAAGGCCTATGCGATATTGTGCCGGATCGCTTGTTCGAGCACAGTTGAGATTTACACACACGTGGCTGCGACTCCTCGCCAGTCTTCGGAGCCTCTTACGAGGTACAGTTTTCACGTGGCTCCTCGCCCTCTGGTAGTGCAAACGCTCACCATCTCTGACCAAGGCTAAATTGCAATTCGTCGGAGGCCCATTTGATGATTCGGCCGGTCTAGGCCCAGCCTTGGTGATCTATGGCCCTGGAGGAAGTAGAATTTCACTCCCTTCGCGGCACTTGCCTAGTCTTTCGCTTATGTACATTCTATCGCCGTGGCGCAGGGCTTTCCATCAATCGTTTCGTATTAGATATTTTATTTTATTTCGTTTTCTTAAATCTTTCTAAGTCAACAAGACACCAGGCTCAGGCATTATTGGACGGCTACTGGAACCGCGCCTCGAAAACCAGGCATTTTGTAGTTAATCCTTCTCTGGAGGGGTATAGCTGTCAGACAAAATTCCCACACGAACACACGAGCTGGGTGGTCTAGATCGGGCTGGCACGGCTGGGTAAATCCTCTTTGCTTGTACTTCTTGCCGATGTCCGAGTAGCCCAAGAAACTAATGGCGCTGGACACACGACGTTCAAGGCCGCGGAGAACATGGAGCGGTGATGTACTACTGTCAGCGGAAGAAGGCTTCCTGCTCCTGGGTTATGCTCATGGGAAAGATGGGGGGGTGGGCTGGCAGTGTCCTTCAAGTGATTGTCATATGGCGATAGCGTTCGTCTGCGGTCCTGTACGGTCGAGTGCGTGCCTCCCGAACATGGGCCGGGGGCCAGACACTCACTAGATTCTTGGGGATCAACTAGGATCTTGGGACTCAGCTTGTGGGAAAGAAAACTTATGCGCATAGGCGTTCTGCCTTAGTGCGAGTTTTCGGCTGGAGATCCGGACGACAACTCGAGGCTAAAGGGGTGGGACTGCCACTAGAAGAATCTAGAAGGAGTCCCGCCGAGGAACGGGCTGAGGCAGAATGCGATGCGCGAAATTAGATTATGCGTTCATGGTCTAGGTGGGCTTTCAGCATGTTCAAAAAGTTGGACTTTCGAAGAGAACTCTTCTGTTGATCGAGATCCGTGATGGGACACGGCGCCCCTTGCTCTTGACGGATCCTGGGCCTTGCTTCCTGAAAGCAAGATCCCCATTCGCTTGCTGTCGCTTGCCGAGGGTGTCTCGCTGACCCAACGTGATCGTATGTATGTATTCGTCTAGGGATTATCTATAGCGAGCCGCCATGCAGACGTTCGGTTCGGCACATCCCAGTGCCCCAACATTTCGGCGCCACACGAATTGACGCGAAGCGCCTGATGAAGATTTACAGGGCACAAACGCTGCCCGACTACCTAGTACGCAGGCGGCGATCATATATCATGCGGCACCCGAGACAGGGTCATGCCCCGCTGCCCATCCGCAAGGCGATCAGAGTGTTAATAGCCATAACAGTGGGAGTTGGCCGACGTCATGGCTGTCTGTTGTCTCTGGATCTGTCTCTCGGCGGGGGCGGCAGGTGGATCCCATGTTGCATGAAACAAGAAACAAGACCCAAGGGCGCCCAAACGCGTATCCCGGCACGCTGGCGCGTCGCCTGCCCCGAGGAGTCTTGGCCTGGGCAGGCTTGAAGAAGAAACAAGAGACAGGGCTGATGGAGAGAGCTGGTTGCCAAATTAGCGCAAGGCACCAACGATCCGGCGGAAGAAAGAGGCGGATGGATGGGTCCAAGGCGAGCAGAGGCCATGCCGCGTGTGCAGGGATTCCCGGGCCTGTGGTTTTTGGCTGCTGTGTGGAGATTGAGGTGTGCCTGGCAAAGAAGCAAAGAAGGTTCTGTCGACGTCGGCCGCTACCAACCTGCCCTGCCCTGCCACCACCAACTTAGCCGGCAGATGGATCTCAACGAGATCGAGGGTTCCCAGGCTGGCGACGCGGCCCCGGAGCGGCCGTGCCACCCTTTCGAGACCTCGGGAGGCCACTGCGATGGGTGGCGCCGCATAACTAGCAGATGATGATGCCGCACGCTTGTTTCTCTCACCCGACCCCGGATCCTGAGCGGAGCGAAGCCGTGAGCAAAGCACGCGCAGGTTTGAGTGAGACACGCATGGCAAAGACCCGCACGCTGTCTCTGACGCGGGAAGCACACCACGGTGGCGTCTCGTTTGCAGATGCGGCGCATTTCCTGCATAAACCTTGAGGTGCCCAAAACATCGCCTGCCATGTTTACAACCTGGTCGTTGTCGTAAACACTATTCGGCCCCGGCTTGAGGCCGCTATCGTCGTGGCTGTTTCTCCAGGCCTGGCGCCGGGTTGACGGGCCTTTCCTTGACCTCAGCCCTCAGGGCCCGGGGCAGTCTATCAAAGGCTGCCAGCGACGCCGATTTGGGATTGTGAGTGAGTGAAGTGAGACGGCAGGGGCGCTTCTGTTCAGGCACGGTATCCATGGATGTACTGCCCGGCCAGCGGCCCGCGCGCGTACCTGCATCGCGCCTTTCTGGGAGGTTGTGCATGTGCGTCAGTCAACTTCCTAGGCAGGTTACTCCTGCCCAGCCAGAGTGGGTCGAAAACCGCCCACACACCGCGGGGACCTTGTTCGCTTTCCAGCAACTTGCAGCACCACCTGCCGCCTCACGGGCGTTTGCCTCGGCAAAAGCTCGCCGTCGTGCCTGAAAATGGGGAGCCCTCCTCGGAGCTCTGAAAGCTCACCTGAAGCCGCAGTCGCCCATGTCAGAGTCAGGAGAGAGTCCAGCTCGGCGCACATCCAGCAGCGGACGAGCCTCCACAGCCGGGTTGAACAATGTTATGCTCTCGGCAGAAACGACCAGGATCTGGGCGGAGCCCAGGACCGCATTGTCTGGAAGCGGGCATTTACTTTCATTTTGGCAGCACGAGGTCCTGGGCAGCCAATTTCCCACGAACCCACAGTAGCCGCCTGCTTGACAGGGATCCCACACGCAGGGCATCACGGGTGATTGTAGGGGCATGAGAGGCTACACAAGCTTCATATCCCAAGGCCAGCGCCAAGGCATCGTCCCAGCCTGCATGATACAACGTCCTCGGGCGATCACTGTCGGCCACTCCGTAATCGACCGGCGCGCGACCTGCCCGGCACCGACGGCTGCTGTCGTTCATCGCAGCAGCTGGACGAGCCAAAACGTCACCGCACCAGCGCACGCCCATGTGTGACCGTTTGGCGATGCCTGCAAGATGTTTGGGACAATGGTTGGCCCCTATCTCGCACGACGCGGCTGGCCGCAGAGCACACTGGCGAAACTTGAACAGAAAAGCCAGGCGGTCTGTCCATTCTCGTTGTTCGTCGTTGGATGACAATATCAAAGGGCATATGTGACATGGGCGTGTCTGCACTGCGCAGGCAAAGGGAGAGGCCATGAGTGATGTGGTTGGCGTCATGGACGCACTGCCTGAGCAAGAGTCGTCATGTGAGGTCTCGACTTCCCTTGTTCTGCTGCTAGTGTCGCCCACTCCATTGATGGATTGATTGAGCGAACCGACTGCCACCAGCTAAGGTAGCGCACGTTGCCTGAACAGTCGAGGAGATACCCCTGTGCCTGAACTAGCGCCACTCGCATTGCTCGGCCGCTGCTAAGGGTCGTTCGTCCATGGGATTGACTTGACGGACAAAAGCACCAATGCCGTCTTGTCAGTCCGAGCGAGCCTCGCCGGCGTCGTCAAGTCATCTTAGACGCCCTGCGTCGCGCCTTCTGCGTCTTCGTCCACCCTCTCTCTGTCTTGTCTTGGTATTCTTTCCTTTTTTCTCTGCTGCAAGCTCCTGGCGACTGCTGCGCGTCGCGAACCTCGCAATATTCTCGAGGCCGTCCCTTCGTCAGTCAACATTGAAGCACCCGCTTGCATTGCTGGCCAGGGCCGTTCAACTCCAGTGCACAATCTCTTGGGCGCTGCCCACCTTCCAAGGTTGCTTGCAAAACCCCCCCAGCCCGCATCCACTCTCTGGCCTCCCTTACTCCTCCGCCGTAATAAGCGCGAGGTACCTTCACCGACAGGCCCCAAGCCGGCGCGGCCACTGCGCAGCACTTGTCCTCCCGTAAGTCTCGTCCCTCCCGACATCTCCCCCCTTCTCAACCTCATCCCTCTCCTTTAGCGCTGCTTCAGCATCACGCCCGAGCTGTCGAGCGCGCCTCCACGACGTCTCGCTGCTGTTGCTGCTGCTGCTGTTGTGTTGCACACCGACAGTTACGCGTCCGACCACCCTCGCCCGGACCCGGCCCAGTTCGCTGACCTCTAGAGCCAGTCACAGTGCCTTGTCTTGCCCCTTCTCGGCGGCACCTCAGCACCCAACCGCGTTGCTCGCAACCCAACCTGTGCTTCCCAATTCTCGCAGCCACACACACTGCTTGCACTTCTTTCCGACCTGCAGCTCTCTCTTGCAGGTGCACCTCCGTGCCCGCCATCTCGCTGCAGACAGGAGTCGTCGCTGCTTCGTGGAAAGGAGCATCGTCCATCGCGCAAACGTCTTGTGCCCGACCACAGGCTAGTGCGCCCGCCGGCCTAAACGCAACTCTCGGCCCAAACAGTCGGCCACCGCTGTTTTAGGCTTTTTTGTTTTTGGGCTCTCTTGAGACGTCAACCAAGGGCATCCAATCAGCCCGTTTGGCGAGCGCAGCCTTTTCTCCTCACAATTCCCACGCGTCTGCCGCGTGGACTATGTCTTCGGCTGCCCTGCAGCCTGTTACCCACCAGTCAGCACCGTTGCCTGGCCTCAACGCGTCGTCGCAGTCTCTTGATCCTCGCCAGTACACGCCTGCTCAGTCCCCAGGACGTGACGGTCATTACTGGAACAGGGACAACACTAATGCATCACCTGCCACGAGCCGACACGCCACCAGAAGACCTAGTGGCAGCAACGCCGAACCGATCCAAACATCCCCGATGGCTTCCCGCACTGCGGTCGCAGCCCCTGTCGGGATGACGGCCTCTTCCGACCATGAAAAGTCGAGCCGACGCCGACACGAACCACCGATCGCGCCTCCTCGGACGTCCTCTACACAACAAGGCAGCACGACGGGTAACTCTCGCAGGGCCGCTCGTGCCGAGGAGCGTGAACGAGAGCGTGTTGCCCAGTCACCGCGCCATACCCCTGGGGACTCTTCGAGAAATGGGACTAATGGAACAGAGTCGGCTTCACGGATGGGTGGTGATGAAACCACCCCCCGGAGCAGACGCGCGGTTTCCCAACATGCCCCCGAGCCCCAATGGCAGACGAGCCATAAAGACCACAGACAGACGATGACGACCACCATGCCTATCCGGACAAATCCCGGCACCTCGACGTCGTCATCCTCGAAACAGCCGTCGAGGGAGGCCAGTGAAGTCCTGAACCGAATGATTGTCTCTCAGCCAGAAGTCGACATTGAGCGCGAACGTGAGAGGCTGGACGAGGCCATCCCTCATCCTGTTGGCAGTAAACATGATCCCCGGGATACAGATGTAGACGACGCGATACCGCCACCGATAGCTCGACAGGAGGACGACGGGCGACGAGGGCATAAAAGCCGGCAGGATCATTCCAAGAGAGAAAAGGCCACGAAGTTTGGCGATTATTATCTTGGCAACACCATTGGAGAGGGCGAGTTTGGTAAAGTCAAGCTTGGTTGGAAGCAAGATGGCGGCGTACAAGTATGTTAAGCTCCGCGAGCCCGAGCGTCCGTGGATACAGCTTGGTCAAGAAACTAATGTTCACTGCTCGCAGGTGGCTATCAAGCTGATACGCCGAGACACGGTCGGGAACAACCCTTCTCGCCTTGCCAAGATTTACCGCGAGATTGCGATTCTTCGCGACATTTCACACCCGAACATCGTCAGGCTGCACGAGATGTCTGAGACGGAGCGCCATATTGGCATTGTTCTCGAGTATGCATCGGGCGGCGAGCTTTTCGACTACATTCTCAACCACCGGTACCTCAAAGACAACCCGGCTCGACGGCTGTTCGCGCAACTCGTTTCGGGTGTTGGTTATCTGCACAAAAAGGGAATTGTTCATCGGGATCTGAAGCTCGAGAACCTGCTGCTTGACCGCAATCGGAACATCATCATTACCGATTTCGGATTCGCAAACACGTTTGATCCAAACGACGAGCTCACCGAGGACGAGGAACTGCAACTGGGTGATCGGGATTTTGTTAAAAGATCTGGCCTGGACCGCACCAAGGCCAATGGCATGCGCCGAGGCGATCTCATGCAGACCAGCTGCGGAAGTCCATGCTATGCTGCACCCGAACTCGTTGTTAGTGACTCGTTGTACACGGGCCGCAAGGTGGACGTCTGGAGTTGTGGTGTGATCCTGGTACGTTATTGCTGCGCTGCATGGAAATCTCTCTTTGGCTATGTGGGCAGACATACTGACTTGATATATGCACATTGTAGTATGCGATGCTTGCTGGCTATCTGCCTTTCGATGATGACCCTGCCAACCCAGAAGGTGACAATATCAACTTGCTCTACAAGTACATTGTCAACACGCCACTTACTTTCCCCGAATACGTTACCCCCCACGCAAGGGACCTTCTTCGTCGCATACTGGTCCCACAGCCGAGGAAGCGCGCGGATCTCTTCGAGGTTGCACGCCACAGCTGGCTTAGCGAATATGCTCACGTCGTTGAGTTTATCACAAGCGCGACCACCACTACCAACGAGATACAGAATACGACTGTGCCCGCTGAGGACGGAACATCGGGGCTCGGCAGGAGCGCCTCGGTCCGCGATGCACCGAAAACCAAGCCGGCGCCCACAAACCCCGGTGATCTGGGGCGGAAGCAAGCAAAGATCGAGGGTGAGGAGAGCGGACCAAGCAAGACATCTAGGGACAATAAACGACGCACTGTTCAGGTCGAATATGTCGCTCCCAGCACCTCGACACAACGAGGCAGTGATGCTTCGCCAGTTCAGTCATCTCCCCAAGCGAATCAGCGGCCCGGTTCGTCCAGCCATGGCCCGAAATATGCGTCCCCGGAGGACAAGCCGTTACCCAGGGATCCGCCTTTGCCAAAGCAGACATACGCCTCGTCACCGAGCTACAGGAAACCGCCGACCTCGTACCGAGACCCAACACAAAGTGCACATATCGATCCGTCGGGACGGCCGACAACTGGAGGGTCTTCTCATTCTGCTGGCCATCGGGTGCTGGGTGCCTCTGCCAGAAACTCCTATGCCCAGCCACTCCCGCCCACATTCGCTGATACCAATGCTCAAGGCAGCATCCAGCAGCCAACGAGCGCCTCTCAGTATCCCATGGCCAGCCCGACCTTGCAGGATCAGGCCGATTCGGACTTTGGCAGACCCAGCGCTGTTCCTACCAAATTCGCGCAAGTCTCAGGCTTTGACCAACCACAAAAGCCCTCCTCACACGAAGGCAAGGGTCACAGAAGGTCGAATACGCTCGGCGAGCTCGGCGACAAGATCTTTGGGCGTCGAGGCTCACTCTTCGGGGGGCGTAAGAAGCGCCCCGAACAGCAGCAGGCCGAGAAGGCAAGCAGGAAGTATCCTCCAGTCAGCATGTCGAATACAGTCCCTGGCAACCCCCGCGAATCCCTGGACTCTCGGGCCTCTCGTCGTTCCTTCTCTCTCGGTCTGAACAAAAAGCCGAGTGGAAGCGTGTCTGGCTCACAGACGTCCCAAGAGCGGCCGCAGCAGACTCGTCGATTCTCTTTGATCAAGGCAATGGGCCTAAGCAAAGAACCCCAGACACCGCCCCCGGTGGACTACTCGCAGTCGGATTTGCCCATCCAAGAGCCCGCGGGTAATGACGAGTACAGTCAGTTCCCCGAACCGCCTCAAAGTCAGGGTAACATGTCATCGCGCCATCGCAACGACAGTGACTTTGACGTACGGGATCAGCGCTTGGGGTCAGCGCCTCATATCAGCCAGGCAGCGGACTATGGGCAGCAACAGCGTAGTGCACCGGGACCACCGATGACGGCCGTCCCGCCGTATATGCAGCAAGATGCCGTGCTGAACTCCGGCTCAGAGTCGTCCTTCGACCAGTCTCAACGGAGGAGGCAGTATCAGCCGAACTATGACTCCGATCAGTATGACAGGCCCGGCAGTCGCAACGTACTACAGAAGAACAAGCGCTTTGTCGATGCTTACAACGATGACGATGCTGGAAGGCGCCACGATCATTCTGGCAGCAGCGGACCTGCTAAGAAGGTTATGGACTTTTTCAGGAGGCGACGCCAACAAAAAGAAGTATAAGCGCCGCGAGTTTTGCCTCTGCCCAACGACGGTCTTCGGCCAAGTACGACAAGCCGGGCGTACTTGGGCTGCCCGAAATACCACCACATACAGCCCACACTTTACGACACCCTGCTTTTCTGCGCTCAGTCTGATGTCTCTTTGCGCCTAGAAGTCTTTGTTTTCCCAGCCTTGTTGCTCTCGCAACCGTGCAAGCGAGCCAGATGCGCTCTCCACCAGCGGGTACTTTGTGATTTCTCGCCACGATTGATGTCGGGGCATACATTTCCCAGCAAGCTTAGTATCTGGCAAAGGCATGGAACGGAGTTAAGGACAATTGCGGAGTACTGGTATTCATGGTCAGAATTTATGCTGCTCACGTTTTTAATCTTGTAATTCTTTTTCTTTGTTTGTTGACGATATGACCACTCGAGATGAGCAGGCCTGACGACTGGGACAAGAACTCATTACGTTGCGTGCTGCTCTGGGGACCTCTATTGTTTCTCTTCCACATATATCTGCTAGCATGTAATGCGAATAACCTCCACTTTACTGAGGCCTCGGTGACGTGCGGATATGATAGGTGCTCGAGGCGGACATGCCCAGTGACCGCCAGAATTCGCTAGTTGACGCGTACGTGGATGTGCAACAAGACACGGGCGGGTGGGCGAGCGGGAGGCTCATGGAGGAGCAGTGGAGCCGAGGATTCAGCCCAGGCGATGAGGGGACGAGTGCCAGGTGCCGCGCCAATGGTCAGCGTGACGGGATGAAAGTGCGGAGAAACGGGATGGTGATGCGTCCCACCTGCCTCCGACATCGTTGCTCTTGCGCCATTCGACACCCACATCGCGGCATCCATGACCGCAAGCTCCTATCTCTCTGTTGCTACCTCCCATCGACCAGTGCTCCCAATTTGGAGAAAGGCCAACGGTGCTTATGAAGCAACGTCAGGGGAGCTGCTACCCCGAAAGTCGGAGCTGTCCAAGGGTCGCTTAAAGCTTGCGCGTGGATTTGCACGCAGGCCCCACGCCAGGGAAGCTCTAGCTAAAGCTGTCTCAAGCTCCTCTCCCACGTTCCCAAGCGGGCAAACGCAACTTCCCACAACAAGCTCTGCCTCAAAAGGCCTCTCGACATCTGCCAAACATGTCGCGCCTCCCGCAGAAGCCCGTCGCGGGCCTAACAAAGGGTCTTCGAACCCCCAGCCGAGTGCGACCGGCTACGAGGCAAACTTCGACAACGGCGAGAGCGCCCCAGGCGAGCTCACCATGCACAGCTCTCGGCGGCACCCGATGCTACGCAACGGGCAGCGACAACAAGCCCTCGTTCCAAGGCCAGATGCTCGAGAGCGTGAGCTCCCGTATCGCGCGCGAGAAGGCCGAGCGTGAAAAGTTTGCTCGGCAGAGGATCGAGAGCGCGGGCACGAGACGCTGGGCAACTACCTTTGGTATGCATTCGCCTGATACTCTCCCCCACTAAGGGTTGGCATTGCTGCCCCGTGCTTGCAAGGAAGGATAACAGCTGACACACGAGTCTTTGTATGGTCATAGTCATTCTTGCTGCCAGTCTTGGCTCATATTTCTTGGGCACGCTGAGCCCCCGCGACCCGGCCGACACATCAACAGCGCCACTCGGCCTTGTACGCGATCCGAAGCACAAGGTCGACAAGCACAACCTCGAGGCAGCATGGGCCGACTTCGCGGCCATAGTCGGCAAGGACAATGTCAGCACCCTCTCTTCGGATCTCGACTCGCACGCTGGGTCGGAGTGGTCGAGCTACCGCAACGACGAGGGATACAAGCCATTCATGGTCGTCTTCCCCAGCAGCACAGAAGAGGTCAGCCAGATCATGAAGGTGTGCCATGCGCGCCGGATCCCCGTCGTGGGCTACAGCGGCGGCACGAGTCTCGAGGGCCACTTCACCCCGACGCGCGGCGGCATCTGCGTCGACTTTGGCCGCATGGACAAGATCCTTGCTCTGCACAAGGGTGACCTCGACGTCGTGGTGCAGCCAGCCGTCGGCTGGGAGCGCCTCAACGACGAGCTCGCCGAGGAAAACCTCTTCTTCCCACCGGACCCGGGCCCGGGAGCCATGATCGGCGGCATGGTCGGCACCGGGTGCAGTGGCACCAATGCGTACCGTTACGGCACGATGCGTGAGTGGGTACTCTCGCTCACGGTCGTGCTGGCCGACGGTACCATCATCAAGACCCGGCAGCGGCCCCGTAAGAGCTCTGCAGGCTACGACCTCACCAAGCTCTTCATCGGCAGTGAAGGCACTCTGGGACTTGTCACCGAGGCGACGCTCAAGGTAACGACCAAACCGCAGAGTACGAGCGTGGCCGTAGCAAGCTTCGGCACGATCCGCCAGGCCGCCGACTGCGTAAGCAAGATTGTCGGCCAGGGCATCGAGGTTGCCGCCGTCGAGATCCTCGATGATGAGCAGATGAAGTGCATCAACGCCGCCGGCATGACGAACAAGTCGTGGAAGGAAGCGCCCACGCTGTTCTTCAAGTTCGCCGGCACGGACCGCGGTGTCAAGGAGCAGGTCGCCATCGTCCAGGGCCTCTCCAAGTCCTCGGGCGGCCAGTCCTTCGAGTTCGCCAAGACCGAGGAGGAGAAGTCCCAGCTGTGGTCCGCGCGCAAGGAGGCGCTCTGGAGCACCATGGCGGTCGCGAAGCCCGGCGACAAGGTATGGACGGGCGACGTCGCGGTGCCAATGACCCGCCTCCCCGACCTCATTGAGGAGACCAAGTCGGACATAAAGGCTAGTGGGTTGTACGGCACCATCGTCGGACACGTCGGCGACGGCAACTTCCACATCATCCTGCTGTCCAATGATGAGCAGCGGCACCAGGCCGAGGAGCTTGTACATCGCATGGTCAAGCGAGCGGTCGAGCTCGAAGGTACCGTTACTGTAAGTTGTTCCTTTGAGGCCCTTACTGGGACTCTCAGTGCGGAGAATCTCTGGCCTCCAGCTTGCGAACCCCCTCCTGAACACTGTCGGCCTTCCGATGATGAATCATTCGATTTGGCTGACCTCCAAACTACCACAGGGTGAACACGGCGTCGGCCTCGTAAAGCGCGACTACCTGCCCCACGAGCTCGGCCAGACGACGGTCGACACGATGAGAAAGGTAAGCCAAACACAAAACGGCCACTCTGTCCACTTCTCGCTGTTTCCCTTCTCAACTATATGCCCAATTACTTGCTCGGTCCATGTGCTTTGATCCGTAACCCACTGGGCGGTACCATTCCCACAGAAGAGCATGCGCTGACTAAAGTTGCTGTTTACTACAGCTCAAACTCGCTCTCGATCCATTGTGCCTCCTCAATGCGGACAAGGTGATTCGTATCTCGAAGCCCAAGCCCGGTGAGATTGCAGAGTGGTAAAAGATCCAGTGCATGGCTACCTTCCTCTTGTCGTCATTCGACGCTTCAACTACGGGGGTTTGGATATTTGCTTCGGAATAGCGTTCCGGAGGCTAAGGTAAAGTCGGAAGGAATGTGGCGTCTTCTTCCGTCTGCAGCAGGCGAGAACGATTCTTCTCATTCGCAGTAGAATCTTGGGATGATGTTGTACTTTTACGTATCTAAAAACCCGATGGACGGTTTTGACGCGAGAAACGTGGGATGGTACTAATTGTGACTAGTCCCTGCACGCCCAAATGATCGATGAATGTGTCATGACAATGCCCAAATGCTTACTGCCCCTGTCCTGGTTCTCTAAAGCTCCTGGACAACAACAGGTACATTCACCATGCCGGAACTTGCATTCGGCTATTGGACAAGCTCCGATTGTGCCTCAAGGAATAGAGCGAGCCAGGACCTCGTCCTGGTCATGACCAAGCTGAGAGAACAAGGCGCCGAGAAGTGGCACATCATCGTCCCCTGTCACTACAAGCACACCAGCAGCTAGCTTCTTGCCCCTAGACTGGGAGACAACCTCAGGACTGCAGACAAGTACCTGCCCTAGAGACAGCCGCTCAAAAGAGACCAAAGCCACGCTGTCATCCTCATGTGGCTTAGTGGTTAGGATTGACTCCCGTCTGCTCGCCTGGCCAAGCCGGAGGGCTGGATATGGTAGTTCAGAGGGAACAATGTACGGGGAGATACGCTCACTAATCTCTGATCGTCTGAAAAAGTTCTACCTGCTTCCGCGGACTTTGATGTAGCCTTTTGGCGCGGCGCGGCGCTGGAGCTCTTGAGGAACTCTTACTTGTACGGTTCCGCTGTCCTCGGCTCCAGCATATCTGGCAGCCGCACATTGAGGCCGGGAACAAGGCGCTTAGGTCTGTGAGTTTAAAATTCAAAGCAGCTTCAATGGTACTCGCACTTCATTCTACGGAACGCCAGACCTTGTCAGCAGCATCTCGCGATACAGCTGCAGGCTCTTGCCAAGCATGTTGATGAACGGCCACTGCGTGTTGCCCTTGAAGAAGTGGGACCATATCCTCAACACCGACAGCGCAAGGTGTGACGGGCTCGCGCGATGGGGATCCTGGGAGGTGACCGCGTGCTCGGGAGCGTCTTCCTCGAAGTCGACTACGGCACAGGCCTCGTCGATAATATACCTGGTCCAGTGCAGGATACGGTCTTCACTGTCTGCAAAAGAATTTGGCGCAAGTCAGCAAAGTTCTCCTGGATGTAAAATGGCAGGAACAATGCACCCCATACCAGTCAGAGGCGCGACGGTGGTACCATTCGTACCAGGCTCCAGTGAAAACAGCCACTTGCTGAGGAGCACTGCGCACTCGAATCCGGAAAGAGAGTGCCTGACGGACCAAAAGAACGCCTGGCTCCGGGCCACGCGCTCGATTCCAAGCCGCACGGGGATGCTAAGGGCATGAGCCGAGTACAGGAGGGCCGAGATCAGACCATCGCTCCGCTCGACTTTTGGGGAGCGGCTCAAAGCTTTGGCGATGCGAGTCGGATCGCGGGACTCCAGAAATCGGTAGGGACCCAGATTGAGGTAGATGCGAACGTAGGCAAGGCCGAGGAGAGAGCTGGATGTGAACGGTATTGGCCCGTTCTCATTATTCGGATCAAGCGATGACTCGGGGGCCTGCTGCCAGCCAGATGTCCATAGCCGCAGAGCACGCCTGAATAGATGGCAATTAGCAAAGCTTTGCAAAAGTCTTCGTGCATCAGAGAGACAGCAGATCTTACTCTAGCTTGATGACTTCCTCGGCTGGGAGCGAAGCCGTCTGGTCCATGATGGGCAGAGAGAGGTCTCGCACGATGTGTATTCTCTGGAGCAAACAATGCAACAACACATAGTTGCCCAACGGGGTGGGTATGGGGTCTAGAGGAGCCGCGCTGTCTTCTGAGTGTCGAAGCAGAGAAGACAACGCCGCCTGGAAATTCAGTTGTTCCTTGCCGGCATTCTGTCGAGCCAGTTGCCACTGCTCAGCTGTATGAGCCTTCCATTCACGCGTGGCACACGGCAAGCGAAGATTGACCTCGTTCGTCCTCAGCACAGGGTACACGTTGTATGCGACACTGTGAGTATGCAAGAACGTGAATGCGATGAGCTTCGAGCGCCGAGACGATTCTTGGTTTGCCCACATCAACCATGCAGAATGGAGGCTAGCAGGGTCTGAGGGGTTGAAAGTTGGCACTCTTATCGATTCCTCGTCTTCGTGCAGGCCGACGTCTCTGAGTACTTGGACAAGCAGACTCTGTAACGAAAAGGCTTCCGCTAACAGGGTTCCTTTGACCTCCCAAGTGGCGTAGCCCATGAGAATTACCAGGGTACTCACGGCGTCGATCAGCCGCCAGTCTTCCGGATTTCCTGGAGGCTCTCTTTCATCCAGACTGGAGCGTGAGCCGATACCGAGGTGGGATTGCCTTTTCGTGGCTAGGAACGAGCTCGTGTGAATGCCCAACGAGCTCCTATCCGATTCGAGGCGTTTCGCAAGCACGGCTTTAGCGGCATAAAAGAGCTTTTCCGACACACGATGCTCGAAAGAGTACTGAGCACCGACGGTCGCGACCGCAAGAACAAGCTCGACTGGGCACTTGATGATGCGCCATGTGGGTTCATGCAGAAAAGGCATGTGAAGATGCCAACCCTGGAAGTATGAAATCACATATCTAGTAAGAGCGTGCCGTGACGGCAGTCGAAAGTCAGGGCTGATTACGTCTTGGAATGCCTCCAGCTGAAGTTGTATGTATGCACGCTGTTCGTCATTGACCCTCAAGGGATGGAGCCCTTTCTCTTCTCCTCGAAGGCCTGATCTATGTTAGCCACGCTGGCTCTTGACGTAGCACGCCAAGGGCACTCTTGATAGAAACTGGTCCTGGATGTGGCATGACCAAAACTTACGCGTGTCACTGTAGGGATCAGCAATCCGGCTTCCCCCGGGAACGGATGGGAGCCAGCAGCCGAATGGGGTGCCTGGCCTGCCATTTCGACCACCGGGTGTAGATGTCCCCGTCGCTGGCTGGGCTTGATTATCAAGGACCTCTTCGTTGAAGTCTGGTCCCTGGAAGTATGGGCTCCACTCAGCTGGTAACCCAACTCCGTCAATGAAGTTGGCGAACTCGCGGAAGTGATCGAAACCAGTGACGTCTTGGCCTGGGAATAGTGAGTGAGTGGTCACGAGATGTAGATTCAAGAGAGTTTTATTCTAGCAAACGGAGTTCATTTTCTAATTCTGAACAGCACTTACTGTTATCGAAAAAGTCATGAGCTAGCAGAGGTTGTGCCAAAGGTTGTTGAATTTCTTGATGTGGCAGAACATGCGGCACAGGCTGGAACGAGCCGCCATGTTCCGATCGATGATTCAAGGGCATGCTCTGACTCCACGAGTTCATGCTCATCCCGGAAAGTGACGCCGCAGCCGCGGTCTCGGCAGCAGCATCTGGCTCAGAAGGGTCTGAGGCATGGTTCTGTGTTGGCGCTGACAGGGTGGTGTGGCCTGATGATGACTCTGCGCCGGAAGGACTAGCCAGCTTCTGGTGACGCGTCAACAGATCACGGCGGGTGTACGCAGCGCCACACTGGCAGACAAAGGGCTTCTCCTTGGTGTCTGGGATCGCCGTGTCAGGACAGTGAGAACATCAACATGCCGCCCCAATGGACGGTGCTCGACGATTCAACATACGGATACGGACATGGCGCTCGAGGTGCTCGAGCCGTCGGAAGGCACGGCCACAATGGGGACATGGCTTGTCAGGGACCGCGTCTCCAGTGCGGCGCCGCTTGGCCGGGCGTTGCTCCATGGCTGCAAGTCCCGCTGGTGATGCTGCGACATGCACGAGGGACTGATGCCATCTCCAAGACGCTGGAGAAGGGAGGGATGATGGAGGAGGCGATTGTTGGAGAAGAGGGCAGGCCGGGGTGCATGCCTGAGTCGTGCCTCTCCACGAGTTGGAGGTGGGGGAGAGATAAGCAAGCAGGACAAACGCCAGAGGGTGTGGAGATGTGCGGCGCGGGGACGCAGTGACTGATTATATCCACGCCCGCGATAGGCCGGCTCAGTTGTGGTGGCAGTAGCATGGCATGCGAAGCCTGGTGTAAGTGGCAAGTCGCATCGCGAGTGTTTCTGGTTGAATGAACATCCCAAGATCGCGTTCTAGTCTGGCTCAGTGGCAGACACGCACGCCCATCCCCCTCCAGCATGGCTTCGTCAATGATCCTCCGCTTCCCAGGCGTCGCCTTCATCACTGGTGCTGGCGGCACAGGCATCGGTGCCGCTGTCTCCAAAGCCTTTGCTCGTGCTGGCTGCACGCGCATGGCCATTACTGATATCAACAAGGCCTCCCTCGACCACACACGAGACGCTGTGCTCGCCATCAACCCCAAGATCCAGGTAACAGCTCGTGAGGGCGACATCCAGGACGACAAGTTTGTCGAGTCCTTGGCAGACCAGGTCCGCGACACATTCTCTCGGATCGACTACGCCGTCAACTGTGCTGGCATTCTCGGCAAGGACCAGAGATCGACAGAGACCTCTGTCGCAGACTTCGACCGCATAAACGGCGTCAATTACAGAGGCACATGGCTCACCTCGAGAGCTGCATTGGCGCAGATGCTCCGGCAAGAGCCCCTGCCTGAACATCCGAAGCAGAGAGGAGCTGTTGTCAGCATTGCCAGCCAGCTTGGCATTGTCGCTCGTCCTGGAGCTGGTGAGTCGAATCAAGTCTGCCAAAACACCACATCGTCCTTTTGCTTACATCTTCTCATGCTCACTCTGCCCCAGCCCACTACTGCGGCTCCAAAGCTGCGATTATCAACATGACCCGCGCAGATGCCATAGACTACTCAAAAGATGGCATTCGCGTCAATTGCGTATGCCCTGGGGTAATCGAGACACCAATGACGACAGGCTCCGCCGACGTGACAGAGCGACTGAAGCCAGCCATTGAGATAGCACCCATGGCCAGAATGGGAACACCAGAGGAAGTAGCAGATGCAGTGCTCTTCCTTTGCTCTGAGCGGGCGTCGTTCATCCAGGGTCACGCCCTCGTAGTAGACGGTGGATACACAATAAACTGAGCTCGATAATCAAAGCAAGTAAATCTGCCAGGGCACTCAATGCCACGCCTCTTCCGAAAAAGAATAAAATTGTGTGGGCCAGCTTCCAATGGATGTATTTTACGTCTACTTCATACCACAACTACTTCCTCTCCAGTAGCAACAACAGGAGCAACGCGCACGTCGGAGACATATTTCTCACTGCCAACCCTCTTGCGCGCCTCTGCGTCTTGAATTGTATGCAAAGACGCATCGCAACTGTTGGAAACCAGACTGATCTTTCTCCAGTCAAACCGCGACTCCCAAGCATGCGCGGCCTTGAGGATCTTTTCCTCCTGCCACAGTCCGCCGACAATCTGCATCCCCACCGGCAGCGCCACGCTCGGATCGTCCCGCGCCGGCGCGAAGCCGACAGGCAGCGACAGCGCCGGGTTGCCCGTGACATTGAACACGGCGGTGTTCGAGGTGAGCCCGATGCTCGGCGCGAAGCACGTCCTCGGGGTGTCTCTCGTGCCGTGTCTCGGCGCGACGACAGGGACCGTCGGCATGACGATTAGGTCAAAACCAGCACCGCTGCTGCCGCCGCCACTACCACCACCACTGCCATCGCCTTTGAGCCTGTCCTGATACGCGTCGCGGATCTTGCGGCCGATGTTGACGGACTTCCCATACAAGCCCGGGAAGTTCCTGGACAGGTACAGCCCGTTGATGACGGTGTTCTTGGTCGAGGGGAAGAGCTTGTGGAAGTTGTCCGCCGTCCAGGGCAGCCGCGCGTGCTCAAACTCGGTCAAGTACAAGGCCCGGCGGCCGTGCGCCGTGCCCAGGACGCCCGCGGCGCCGGCGATGCGCTGCTGGATCGTCCAGATGAGCGGGCCGTGCAGATGTTCCGGGATAGACACTTCCTCGACTGTGGCGCCCAGCTGTGTAAACTTGCTCGCCGCACTACGAACCAGGGCATCGACTTCGGGCTGCGAAATATCGAGGCCGAAGCCTTCTTTGAGAACGCCGATCTTGTAGCCTGCCAGTGGCCGCTCTGTGGTGTCGAGGTCCTGCAGGGTCTGGTGAAAGCTGTAACTGCCGTGCGGTGCGGCACCCAGGGATCTATCGTCGATGCCGTCATAGCCGGCAATGGCGTCTAGGCAAGCCGCTGTATCGAGAACAGAGGACGTCAGGGGGCCGGCGTGGTCGTCGATGAAGTCGCCGCTCGTGATGCCTGTGTAAGGGACAAGGCCATGTGTCGGCTTGAAACCAACGCCTTGCGAACGAGTAACCCTCGAGTCAGCAATGCAATCTTGGTAAGCACCACAATGTCGAAGAAGCACAACTCACATCCGCAGAGGCTCGAGGGGACGCGGATCGAGCCGCCCTGGTCCGTCCCGATGGCAACGTCCATCACACCACCACCCACAAGGGCGCCGCCGCCAGACGTGCTTCCGCCTGCAGAGTACCCGGCGCGATGCGGGTTCTCTATCGTGCCCTGCGCGCTCGTGAAGCTCGACGTCGAGTTGCAGAAGGCCTCGCAGACACAAGTCCCGTGGACGTCTGCGCCCGCGTCGAGGACCCGCGTGACCACGGTTGCGTCCGTGCTGGGCGTCCACGCGGGGAAGGCGTCGCTGCCGAAGAACTGCGGCACGTCGGCCACGGCGATGCAGTCCTTCAGGCAGACCTTTCTGCCTGCAAGCGGAGAAGACTTCGCTGGCTGTGTCGTCGTGCCATGAGCCGATGATGATGACGACGAGGCGCCTCTGATCAGAAACCTGTGCGCCCACGCGGCACCAAACTGTTGCTCCGAGTCGGCCGGCCGGCGGATATCCTCTCGCGGATACTGTTTGCGATCCGGCTCGGGCTGGTAGTCTGGCATGGCCTCGAGCTGTTCGGCGCAGTCGTGCACCGCGGCGAGGAGGACATGGTAGTCGTCCGAGTCCTGGGGCAGGATCTCGGCGCCAATGTCTGCCAGCAGTTTCTCGGCATCGCCCTTCTTCACCGGGTTGTTCCTGCATCCCAATCAATGGCAAGTGTTAGGCTTTATGAATTCCAGTTCCATTCAGGGCGAGGTGACCGACTTACTCGCTGACGTCTTTGAAGAAGACAGACATCTTTACGGGGGCCGTCTCTTCGCAAGAAGCACAATGAAACAGATTGATGCTGTAATTCAATGAACAATTGGTGCCCTGCCTGTTTCTCCCTTCATGCACACTGAGAAACCAAAAGATCACGAAATAGATAAATCAGAAGCAGCGGTTCTACCTAGGCTGATCACAAAGCCGACATGTTGTTCGCCTCCATGATACTCGTACGTAACAAGATCAGTCTCCTCACTCCCCATTCGCGGTGACGGCGACTCTCATGGGTGCCGCAATTCCCACCACAAATGGCGATTTCCGGTCTGACCGGGACAGTGCAGTTGGAGATGCAGTGTGGGGGGCGGGAGGCAGGGATTGGGATAGGGACATCCAAAAGGCGCTTGGAGGCGCTCGATTTGCCTGCCTCCCATCACTGTGGGGCGGCCAAGTGCATGGAGACGTGGAGAGAATCTCCAACAGCCACCGGCCAGAGGAGTGTGCATGCTGGGCCAGGGCTGCCTATCTCGGAGGCAACGTGTGCTGGCAATCTTCTTGGTCCCGGCATCTAGAGTGCCAGGGATTGTCAGAGGCTTGGCTGATAGGACTATTGCATCTGCAACTGGAAAATGGCCGGTTGATTATTTGACTAGTTCCTTGACTTGATGGACCTCCCCGACGCTGTTGTCCAGTAAGCCGAAGGGCTCGCTCGCATAAAGAGCGTTTTGGCCCAACTAGCTCGCAATCTTGACAACAATTCTACCGCTGAAAGTCTTGTCCTTGTACATGTCCACAACCTTTGCCACATCATGGAATTCAACAACGGTTAGGAAAGATCTGATGCCATGCTTTTCGACAACCTCCATCATCCGCTCCGTAGACTCCCTGCTCGTCACATAACTGCCACGGAGCATAAGCTCTTTGAACACAATAGCACTAGCATCAAAGCGCCACTTTTCTCTGGGCAGGCCCAGCAGGACCAGAGTGCCTTGGATCCGGAGCAGGCTCGGCGCCCACTCATTCGCGGGCAAAGAATCGGTACAGACCACAGCGGCAGCTATGCCCTCGCCGTCAGTGAATTTAAATATTTCTTGGGTGGCATCCGGTGCGAGCGAGTCGACGATCAGATCAGGGTTGAGAGCTTCGCTGGGAACGTCGGAGGCAAGCCGGCGGCCTGCTTCACGGCTGTCGATGGCGATCGTGCGGAAGCCGAGGGCTTTGGCAAATTGCACGCCAAGGTGGCCTAGACCGCCGATGCCGACAATGGCGACTGTGTCGCCTGGAAGTAAGCCTGCTGTGGCTTTCTCGAGGGCTCCCCAAACCGTTGCCTGTCACGAAGGGCAGATTTAACAAGGGCTCCATCTCCAGACGCCATCGTTTCGGAAGGAAAAAGAGCATGTGCAGGATTCAAGTACTTACGCCAGCACACATTAGTGGTGCCGCCTGCTCGAAGGCCAGCTCGTCAGGTAACCTGACAGTCGTGCTTGGGTCGGCAACCATGTACTCGGCAAAAGCGCCGTCGTGTTTGAAGCCGGCCATCTCGCGGTGGTCGCACCATCTCGGGTCCAGCGCCGTTTGTTGGCAGGGCTCGTTCCGGCTCTTGGCCAGCCTGCATCCCGTACAGCCGCCGCAAGCATTCTTAAAGTTGAGCACCCCGACGCGGTCGCCGACTTGGAAGGTCGAGTCGCATGCTGATCCCTTCTGGACAATTATGCCCGCCGGCTCGTGAGATGGGACGATGGGCAACTTGGAGCTGAACTCGCCCTGTATGACTTGCAAGTCTGAATGGCAAAACCCGGCCGCATGGATTTTGACGAGGATCTCATTGTCGCGTAGGGATGGTGTCAGGACAGTGTTGAGCTGGTATGCATCGTTGAACTAGGTCATATCTGTTAACAAAATGGGAGCGAAATGAATTGTGGCAGATGAACCATTGACGAGGCAGCTCACTTGACAGAGTTGTGCGGCTTGCATATACGGCGGTGGGCTGCTGCCACTCGTCGCCATTCTGATCAGTCTCTTAGACTCTGGGACTGGATCTACAACAACTGGCGTAAGTGATCAATGTGTCTCTGGGGTGAGGTCCAGTGCTTCTTGGCGAATTCTCACGAGTGCTCCAACATTGCTTCGGTGCACTCTACACGTTCTGCCGAAGTCGAGTGCTACGTGGGTCTCTCAGTATGCGTGCAATCCCGCCCGCCCGCCCGGGTCGCACGCGTACGCAGTAGTCAAGCAACCTGCACTCGCTATCTGCCACTAACTTTAACCCTCTTGCCAACGTTGCTTTGAGCTTTGAGACAAGGCGCCGAAGGTGGTTCCTGCATCTCCAAGGGTTGGTCCGCCGGGACATTCTCCGTTGGAGAAACCCCCTGCCGGATTGGAGGTGCCTGATAAGCCGCAGGCGCCGCCCCATGCCGTGTCTCGTGCCATAATTGGCCAGTGGGTTACCAATGCGGTAAGAACGGCGTCATTGACGTAGACGACCCCTGCTTCTCCATGTTCGGCCACGATAAGCCCTGTGGAGAGGCAAACTCTCGTAAACTCCCCCCCCAGCCCACGGCAGAGGGGGAGAGAGAGAGGGGCATGGCAGGTTATCTGCGTGGACTGCAGCTTCCCTCGGGCGAGTTTCCATTACGTACAACAAGTGCCCTCCTGCGGGGGAAAGGGACCCAGGACAAGACCCTGGAGTAAGCTGTCGGATGCCAAACTGCCAGATGCCATATGTTCTGCTCTCTTCTACCTCACAACCCCCTCAATTGATCGCTACGTCGCATCGCAGACTTGCAAAAACCCACCGGCCAAGCCAATTGCGCAAGACTGTTCTACAGTGCAGCATCTCGACTCGAAAACCCCGCCCAAGGTCAATCCACAACCTTCGCTAGCACAATGGTCAAGCGCGTGCTCGTCAGTTATGGCGTCGACGTAGATGCTGTCTCTGGCTGGCTCGGCTCGTACGGCGGCCAGGATTCGACCAGCGACATCAGCAGAGGTGCGCACCTGTGAATCACACGCCGGCAGAACAGGATATTGGACTGACTCATGGCACTTTATGTGTACACGACAGGCTACTTTGCCGGCACAATCGGCGTCCAGCGACTCCTCAAGATGTTCAAAAAGTACAACATGAAGACGACCTGGTTCATCCCGGGCCACAGCCTCGAGACGTTTCCCGAGGACATGGCGGCCGTGCGCGACGCCGGCCACGAGATTGGCCTGCACGGCTACACGCACGAGAATCCAAAGGACATGTCGCTTGAGCAGCAGCGCGAGGTCCTCGACAAGACATACCGCATGCTGACCGACTTCTGCGGCGGCAAGCCCCCGCGGGGCAGCGTCGCGCCGTGGTGGGAGTGCAGCAAGGAAGGAGGGCAGCTGCTACTCGACTACGGCATCGAGTACGACCACAGCATGAGCCACCACGACTGTCAGGCGTACTACCTCCGCACGGGCGACACGTGGACCAACATCGACTACAGCCAGAAGGCCGAGACGTGGATGAAGCCGCTTGTCAAGGGCCAGGAGACAGGCCTCGTTGAGATCCCGGCCAGCTGGTACCTCGATGACCTGCCGCCCATGATGTTCATCAAGTCGGCGCCCAACAGTCACGGATTTGTGAACCCGCGCGACATTGAGGACTTGTGGCGCGACCAGTTTGATTACTGCTACAGGGAGTACGACGAGTTCATCTTCCCGATCACGATCCACCCTGATGTCTCGGGGCGGCCACAGGTCTTGCTCATGCACGAGAGGTATGTCGCATCCCACTTTTTTCAGGCTCGAAACCTTGCTAGTGTTGCATTATGAGAGGACCTATGCTGACAATTTTGTTATTCCCACAGGCTCATCGAGTACATGAAGCAGCACGAGGGCGTCGAATTCGTAACGATGGAGCAGATCTGCGACGAGTTCAAGAGCAAGAATAACCCGGCAGAGGGTGCTGTGCTACCAGCCGCGCCTGGTGCTGCGCTGAAGAAGTGAGTAATTATAATACGTTTAGCGATGAGTTTCAATGATATCGATGATTCACGTTTGACCCTGTGTCTGTGAAAGAAATCAGCACGTCGAGTTTTGGTCAATGTACTGGTGTGGTTCAAGCCCCCCAGATTACAAGCGCGTCCTAACCATACTCCTCAGTGAGAGGGCTAGTACTCAGTTATTGCGAGTGATGAAGAACTCATGAGGCTCATAAACCTTGACAGTGTGAATGCTAGCTGGATATGAGGACCCGACAACCCGGAAAAGAGTGTACGGGAAAGCTCTTTCATCTAAACCCAAATCTTGCCAGCAAAGCAAACTTGACCAGGAACCAACATGAAGACCAGCGGCTGTCTCGGCCTACCAATGGTTAGCTTACGGCAAACAATCTCCCGTTCCGAAGATCTGTGGAGGTGATTCCACCCCAAGCTCGCCGAGTTGGAGATGGATTTTCCGGCCTAGGGAGGCGAAAACCCACTCTCTCCAAGTCCCAGCTGACTCCACCCTCACCAGATCACTGGATGCCGAAGGGCCTTATCAAGGCCCGGCACAGGCTAGCCTCCAAGTAAAGTGGAGAGATAGACTCGTTCTGGGGAAAGCCCACCCCCATTATCTGTACTTCCCCAGAGTCGTTATGTGTGGTTTCCACTCACAATACTGATAGGGCGGGACAAGAGAATGCATGAAGACGGGAACAAGGGCCTGTCACAAGGTTAATGTTTATCAACGGCCTTGATTGCGAGTCAGTGGTCTAATCCTCAGGATTGCGGATTGAGATATTGGCTTCCAACTTCGGACAGGGGGGAACTCAAGACACGAAGATATAAGTCATCTTTGACCCTCCTTTCCTGTTACAGTTCAGACTCACGTTCGTCATCATCATCAACAAGTGGCAATATCAGGAAAGACAGAAGGCTCCTTCTTCTTGCCGACATAATAGCTACCAGGCTCAGCAACTGTGTACACCCCATCACATTTACTGGGGCGGGTTCTCACTTGCCAGGCGGCTTAAGCACCAACCAACCTGTCTAGACATCCACTTCGCCATATCAACGAGCACAAGTACCAGGATGTCGCCCAAGTCAATGTCCGAGAAGACGGGCGATGGTATCGAGCCCGTCGCCCGGAGCAGCAGCAGCATTGAGAACGGCAAGGTAGCAGCACAGGATGACTCGTTTGAGGTTTTCAAGAAGCAGGAAGGCCAGGTCGACTTTCGTACCGTGGGCTGGATCCATGCTTCCGTCATCTTTCTGAAGGGTGAGTTTCCCTGATTTTCTCAACCAACACTGCCTGTTGTTGTTGCACAAGATCATGTAAGCCAGTATCGTTCACGCCGGACGAAGAACTAACAACACCTGGGCCATACTTGTTAGTCATCTTCGCGACCGGAGTCCTCACCATCCCGTCGTCCATGTACGTGCTCGGCGCGCTGCCGGGAGCCATCAACGTGCTGGGGTGGCAGTTCCTCAACACGTACTGCGCCATCATCCAGGGCGACTTCCGCAACAACCACGCCGGGTGCCACTCGATCGCGGACATGGCGCACGTCGTGGGGGGCGCCTGGCTGCGCGAGGTCGTGGGCGTCTTCTTCCTGGTGACTTTCGCGATAGTCGGGGCGTCGGGCATCGTGGGGGCGTCGACGGCGCTCAACGCGCTGAGCAGCCACGGCATGTGCACCAACAGCTTCATGCTGATCTGCACGGTGGCCGTGTTCTTGCTGGCTTCGCTGCGCAAGTTTGAAAAGATTGCGTGGCTGACGTGGGCGGGCTTCGCGTCCGTCTTTGTGGCCGTCTTCATCGTCGTCGTGGGCGTCACGCAGCGTGACCGCCCCGCCGCGGCGCCGCAGACAGGCGACTATGACTTTGGCTACCACGTCATTGGCAACCCGACCTTTGTCGCCGGCATGACGTCGGTCGCGTCCATCTTCTGCTCCGGCGCCGGCACCTCGGCGTTCCTCCCCGTCATCTCCGAGATGCGCAGGCCCCGCGACTACAAAAAGTCCGTCTACCTGTGCATGGGCATCGTCACGGCCTCCTACCTCGCCTTCAGCCTCGTCGTCTACCGCTACTGCGGCAAGTGGGTGGCCTCGCCCTCGCTCGGCAGCGCGGGGGACACCATCAAGAAGGTCGCCTACGGCGTCGGCCTCGCGGGCCTGCTCGTCTCGGCCTGCCTCTACATCCACGTCGCGGCCAAGTACATCTTTGTCCGCCTCCTGCGCGACTCGAGGCACCTCCAGGCAAACTCGCTCGTCCACTGGGCCGTCTGGCTGGCCTGCACCCTCAGCATGTCCTTCGTCGGCTTCCTCATCGGCTCGGGGATCACCATCTTCAACTACCTGCTCGCCCTCGCCGGCAGCCTTACCTTTGCGCCCCTCGCGCTCGGCCTGCCGGGTTACCTGTGGATCTACGACCACAGGGAGTACCGCAACGGCAAGCCCTGGCAGGTGCTGGTCTACTACCTCAACTGGGCCATGATTGGGCTCGCCGTGTTCCTCACCATCGGCGGTACGTACGGTGTCGTGCAGAACATTATCGACGCGTACGCCAGGGGGGAGATCGACCAGGCCTTCTCGTGTGCGGACAACAGCAACTCTTCTTGAGAGTGCTTGGCAGGAGGACATATACGTACTTAGAGACTGTTTGTCACTTGTCGGAGTCACAGCGTTCACGAGCACCATAGAATCAATTCCCACCATGTCACTATTGTCATGATATTGTCAAAGAGCACAACTTAGCTTCGTACAACTGTCAAGAGGGCTTGTGGTGAATCCATCCAGATGTGTCCTAGTGTGACAAGTGAATAGAGCGGCACGGACCGTGTAATTCTCTCAGCCTTGGTGTGTCGTGAAAAAAAAAAAAAAAAAAACCTCAGGAGTATTCCACTCAGAGCTGGCACAAATCGACTCTAGACCGGTACAGCATGTTCATGATACGGGCAATAAGCACACAATCTGGCACGTACGACCATAGGACTGAGAAAATTAGGGGTCCCGTCCGCTCCCCCATATACAAGCTCAGTACCGCCGAACTAGTAGTTGGGTCGGTGACGACCAGCGAATCCTCGGTGTTGTACGTGAATTTTATTTTTGGCCTGGAAGTCAAAGGTTCTCCACGACTTTTTTTTTTCTGTTTCTTTTGTCATTACTTTGGATTTTCATGTGGAAACTACAACCCTTCACCCAACGCCAGACTGTGCTCATGCTGCCACTACTACAAAATTTGAGGAAATCGACTTCAGACCCTAATCCGCTTGACTTCGAAAGGTGCACCCCCCCTAAGCCTTGACGTCCTTCTCGTTGGGACCCGCAATGAGGATCTTGATGACCTGGCCCTCCTTGACCTTGCTGAACGCCGTCTCGGCCTGGTCGAAGGGCACCACGCTCGAGATGAGCTTCTTGACGTCAATCTTGCCCTGGGCCACGAGCTCGATGGCGAGCTTGTAGTCGCCGCTGCCGTAGCGGAAGGAGCCCTTGGCCGTGACCTCCTTGAGGCACAGCGCCATGATGGGGAAGGTGATGTTGTCGCGGCCCATGCCGCCCTGGACGTAGACGCCGCCGCGGCGCACCGTGTGCAGGGCCGTCTGGATCGACGGCTCGGCGCCGCTGGCGTCGATGACGACGTCGGCGCCCTCGGCGGGGAGGCCCGCCGCCTTGAGCAGCGCCGCGGCGTTGTCCTCGGCAGGGATGCGCTGCGACATGTACGTGTGGGTGCTGGAAAAGGACTTTGCGAACTCGAGCTTGGACTCGATGATGTCGACCGAGACGACGGTCGAGGCGCCAAAGGCCCGCGCGACGGCGGCGCACAGCAGGCCCACGGGGCCCGCGCCCATGACGACGACGGACTGGCCCGGGGTGACGGCGGCCTGGCGCACAATGTGCACGCCTACGGCCAGGGGCTCGATGAGCGCGCCCTCCTGCAGCGAGACGTGGTCGGGCAGCTTGTAGCAGAAGTCGGCCGGGGCGCCCCAGAAGCCGGTCAGGGTGCCGTCGTAAGGGGGCGTGGCGGCGAAGCGCATGTCCGGGCAGAGGTTGTAGTGGCCGCTCAGGCAGGGCTCGCAGTGGCGGCACGGGTAGCCGGGCTCGAGGGCGACGCGGTCGCCCTTCTTGAGGGTGGTGACGCCGCTGCCGACCTCGACGACGGTGCCGGCCGACTCGTGGCCGAGGACCATGGGGTCCTTGACGACATAGGAGCCGATGGCGCCGTGGCACCAGTAGTGGACATCGGAGCCGCAGATGCCCGTGTAGTTGACGGCGACGAGAACCTCCTTGTCAGACTTGAGCTTGGGGACGGGGCGTTCCTCGAAGAAAACCTCGTCTTGCTTCTTGAGGATGAAGGAGAGGTTCTGGAGTCGTGCGGGGGATCGTCAGCGCTGCTGTGTCTATGCAAGTACTTGATCGATGAAATTGCCAAAGTGTGGTGGTTTGGGGTTTGACATGATTCTTACGCTTCCTGAGGCCATCTTAGCAGTGTGTCTGTTGTCTGTAATCGATGGTGTAGTTGTGAAAGGTCGTTATGGTCCAGAGGCCCGAGGGGCAGTTGAAGTTGGAGATCTGGGAGGAGAAGGTGGGGAAGCAGCAGACACGGCACGAGGACAGCAAGAATGACGAGAATGCTTTCTGATTGAAAACCTGGCAGAGGGAAACCCGGTTGACGAGAAATGTTTTTATCTCTGCTTCTAGGCTCGGATAAAACCATCTGTTGGGAACCACAGCCCACAGGAGCCAATGCTCCATCTGTGATACAGTACAATGTCCAGCCGACACCGGGGGCGGCATACCGAGACCCGCGATGCGATGGGGAGAGGGTCCAGAGCTAGAGTCTAGCCAAAATCCCAAATAGCCGTGCACTCCAAGGAGCCAAAGAGCGGGTGTGCCTGGCGGTCTGCTGGGGCTACGTCTCTCAGTTGTGCGCTTGTAGATGGGCGGACACGCAGCTTTTGAGTGCCCACGTGCGTGTGACGAGTTTTTCCCGTGTTTCACTCTGGAGCACCACAGACTACGGTTCTAGGAGCCTTGTCTGGTAGGTACTTCTGCCATCTGCAATAGTGAACGATGATGCTGCAAGCCCGCCGCTCCACTTACACCCACGCGCGCATGTGCGGTGAAGTCGACAGCGGGCGTGTGGGGAGCGAGCTACTGTAGAGCCCCATCGTCTTTTATCCGCCGCTTTAGCCGCGCCAATCAGCTTCTGCCCCACGCCAAATCAGAGAGCCCCATTCCTGGGGCCGCTGGACAGACAAGATGCGTTGCTTCTTGCACATAGCCTGCCTCTAATTAGTGGAATCTTGTCCATCTTGCTGTCCAGGAGATGTTCGAGAGAGCTTACCATGGGGCCTTATCCTTGTGTCTGTCGTTGCGGAATCGGGACGAGGACCATGAAGATGAGAAGGAGACATTCCAAGAGGCTGGCAGACTGACCAAGCGGAGTCAAAGCCAAGCTGTATGAATCTTTATCTTTGGCAATTCACGATGCAACCGTCCCGTGTCCAAAGGCTCAATTGATGATTCCTTTGCCGCTCTCGATCTATCCAGACAAAGGTGGACCCCCGTTTGTTGAAATCTTGGTCATGGCCGCTGATGCTGAGAACTCCATCTGCTGTTCTGCTGCACATGCCTGTGAGCAGAGAGCTCTCCACTCTGCTGCCGGCAGAATCCGGCCACCGCCAAAATTTCTCCAGGCACCGCCTTCTCCAGCAGCACAATCCTGCGACTATCAAAGGACAAGCAGATCTGACGCTGTCGCGCGACACACGCACATTTGAGCAGCAGTATCCGGCCAGCACTGTACGCCGCCGGGCAATTCACCGACCGCATCATGGACATTCTCAAAATCCTCTCGCGCGGCACCAAGAAATCGGCAGCCCAGAATGTCCCTGCCGCCGCCAAGCCCACCACGAAAAAGGTCGCCAACCCGCAGCTTTACAATGATCCCACGCGAGGAACGAAGCGCAAGCGCATCGAGCAGCCTCTACCCGAGCAGGCGACCAGCGATGCCGACGAAGATGTGGACTTCTTTGCGCCCAAGGACTTGAACAAGGTCACCTCCAAGGAAGAGGCTGGCGACCACCAAGGCCCGTCCTCGCAGTCTACCGCCAAGCAGGAACCGCAAGCGCCCGCGCTGCTCGACAACGACGAAGTCCGACAAATCCTCAAGTCGCACCGGCTCAAGTTCACCCTCCTCTCGTCCCATGAGGAGGAGCGCGCTGCAAAGGTCAAAAAGTCAAAGAAGAAGCAGAAAACAGCGGTTCCCGCAAAGTCGAAGGACACGAAGCGGTCCCTCTACCCACAGCCCTTGACCTCGTTTACCGAGCTGCGATCCACCTACAACGTCTCGGCGAGAGTATGCAGCAACCTTGCAAAGCAGGGCTTCCGCCTGCCAACCGAAGTCCAGCTGGCAAGCCTGCCGCTGCTGCTCGACCCTTCGCGGGCACTGCGCTCGTCGGCCGACGACCTGGATTACAACAACGGCATCGACTTCCTCGCGGTAGCGCCAACGGGCAGCGGCAAGACCCTGACGTTCTTAATACCGAGCATCAACGACGTCTTGCGGAGGCGCGCAGAGGGTGCGACACAGCAGGAAGGGCCGATTGCCATAATCATTGCGCCGACGAGGGAGCTTGCACACCAGATCGCGAACGAAGGCAAGAAGCTGGCGCAAGGGACCGGTGTCAAGATTGTTGGCATGAAGAAGGGCATGGTGATACCTGCAGATGGTAGCAAGACTGACGATGAGGAGATGGCAACGCAGGAGGACAAGTCAGACGGCGAGGACGGCTCAAGTGGCTCGGAAGACGAGGCAGATTCAGGCGACGAGAGGACGCCCAAGCAACAGACAACGACAAAAGCCGACATTCTCGTGACGACACCAATGATGCTTCTCAACTTCCTCACCAAGGGGTCGATATCCAGGAAACTACCCTCGGTCAGATCACTCATCCTGGACGAGGCCGACGTCCTGCTCGACCCGCTCTTCCGCAACCAGACAATGGGTATCTGGAACGCCTGCAGCAGCCCGTCGTTACGAGTGACGTTGTGGTCGGCGACCATGGGCGCCAACATCGAGAGCCTTGTCGCAGACCAGCTCAAGCCGCGCACCACCGCACCGCTCGTCCGCCTGGTCGTCGGCCTCAAGGACACGGCCGTGCCCAGCATCAAGCACAAGCTCATCTACACGGCCACGGAGCAGGGCAAGCTCTTTGCGCTGCGCCAGCTCCTGCACCCAAACTCGTCCTCCAGCTCGACCGTGCCCGACATGCGCCTGCCGTTCCTCATCTTCGCGCAGACCATCGACCGCGCGACCGCGCTGCACAACGAGCTGCAGTACGACATCCCCGTCGAGGCGGGCGGGTCGACGCGCATCGCCGCGCTGCACTCGTCCATGTCAGAGTCGGCCCGCGCGGCCGTCATCACGCGCTTCCGCGCGGGCGAGATCTGGGTCCTCATCACGACGGACCTGCTCATGCGCGGGATCGACTTCCACGGCGTCAACGGCGTCATCAACTACGACGTGCCCACCTCGGCGGCCGCGTACGTCCACCGCGTCGGCCGCACCGGCAGGGCGGGCCACGGCGGCTGCGTCGCCGTCACGCTCTACACGACCGAGGACGTCGCCCACCTCAAGACCATTGCCAACGTCATTTCCCTCAGCGAGAAGCAGGCCTCCGCCGCCGCAACGACGACTGGGGACGCCAAGTCGTCGGCGTCCGAGATCGACACCGCAGTGCCCAAGTGGCTCATGGACGCCCTGCCCAAGGTCGGCAAGGACTCCAAGAAGAAGCTCCGCGAGCGCGGCGTCGAGTCCCGGCGCAGCGTGCACGCATCATCATCATCCGGCGGGCCCGACGGCAAGAGACCCGGCGGTGGTGGTGGCGGTGGTGGCGGTGGTGCGGCGAGAATCACCTCCAAGAGCGCATGGGAGAGGAGGAAAGAGCACAACCGGCGCGGTGCGATCGAGGGGAGCAAGAACCGCAAGAAGCAGGCCGCCGCTGAGGCGGAGGCGGGAGGAGGAGAAGCCGGTGGCGGCGGCGGTGGTGGCGGTGGTGACGAGTGGGGAGGTCTGGACGATTGAGTCCTTGAATCATGCATACTGTATATCAGGGGTGGCGTTCATGAATGGAAAGAGAACATTTACGTTTCAGCCTATAAGCTTCTGAAATTTGACTTGCAGTTGAAGCAATCAGGTCCGTGATCTCGCACCAGTTTCAGTCACTACGTTTTTGCACGGGAACGCTGAGAAAGCGTGCATTAAAAGGTTGTGATGATTCAACCTTCGGGGTTTTGATTTCTAGCTTGATGTACAAGAACACTATTATCTCTCCTTTCAGCTTTTACCGCCTGTCAATTTTGTGGTCGTCACCTTTTTCGGCGATGCTTATTTCAGATCATACCGAGATACCGCACATCAAACTTGGTGTCCTTGCTCGCACCACTGACACCAATCCTGACCACCTCGCCGGGAACAATATCAACCAGGTTGTCCGCAAACTTGACCACGTCATCCTCGCACTCGACCGCGACGCCCTTGACAGGTACCTCGGCGCTGATTTCGACCGCATTTCCGTCCTCGCTCAGCACGACTTTGAGGTCCTTGGGCTTTTGCAGGTGCAGGTACTTGAGCGGCTCTGGCCAGTTGACGTAGCGGGCAACCTGCTTGCCATTCTTGATCAGGTACGTCGCCACGACTGTGCGTGCCTCGTCTCCCTTGTTCTTGGCGGGCACGGCAAAGGCGGTGATCTCGGTAGACTGGTTTTGCGGAAGTGTCAGACCCTCGGCCACGGTCTTCTCGTGCGTCTTCTCGCCCGTCTCGACGTCCCAGCCGCGCACAACGCAGTCGACCGTGAGGTCCTCGAGCATGAGGTTGCTGCCCCAGATCTCGATCTCGTGCGTGACTTTTACGTCCACGCGGGAGTATTTGTTCTGGGGATTCTCGTGGCGGTGTTCACGACGCGTCATGCCCACAGACAGCGGCGCCATCTCGCGCTTCACTGTGAAGTAGGCGTGCTTCGGACGCAGGTAGTAGTCCACGATGGCCCAGCTTGTCACAGGCCAGCAGTCGTTGATCTGCCATACCAACGCGCCTGCGCAGTACTCCCGGCCGGGACCTTTCCACTGCCGCTTCCACAGACGGTACGCCGATGCCAAACACTCGGCCTGCATCAGCTGTGTGGAGTAAACGAACTGTTCGAGCGGATCAGGGGCATAGCGCATGTTCTCGACCAGATATAAAGCGATGCGGCGCTCATGGCCTTCGGCTTTGTTGTGGAAGTCGATTGTGCTCGACTGAGGATATCGGTCTGGGTCATCTTTGCCCCGAGGCAGGAAAGCGTCGATCGTCTTGACAGACGGGAACGCCTCCATTCCGAACTCAGACACAAACCGCCCTCCAAGCTTGTCGAAGTTCTGGTACTTCTCCTGTGTTCCGTGCCACACATTCCATTGATGTATGTCTCCAACCGTCGGATCTCTGGTGTCGACACCACCCCAAGGGCTTCCGGGGTGGTAGTACGTGCCGGGCACCAAGTCTTTGCAGACGTCTGGAAGGATCTTCTCGTAGATGTATCTGGCCGGGAAATTGGTCTTCAGCCAGCTCTCTGCGTCGTGGTTTTTCTGGTCCCACGTGAGGTCGACGCTCTCCGCAAACTGGTAGTCCTCGTTGTTTCCAGCATAGATGACAATTGAAGGGTGGTGTCTGAGCAGCTTGACGTTCTCCTCTGCTTCGCGCTTGATCGAGTCCAGCAGTTCGGGCCATGCCGGGTAGTTTCCACACCCAAACATGAAATCCTGCCACACGAGAACACCGAGCTCGTCGCAAGCGTCATAGAATGCTTGTTCTTCGAATATACCACCTCCCCATACACGGATCATGAACTGGTTGCCATCCGCAACAAGCTTGACCCAGTCGTAGTAGCGCTTTTTGTCAATCCGAGGGATGAAGTTGTCGGCGGGAATCCAGTCGCTTCCTCCGCAGAAGATCGGGATGTTGTTGACCTCGAAGAAGAAGGACATGCCTGGCTGCTCCTTCAAAGGTCGTTGCACGAGTCGGGCTCTTCGAAGACCAAATTTCTTGCTAACCGTATCGATCTCGTGACCATCAGATATGAGAGTGGCCGTGACCGTATACAGCGGCTGCTTTCCATATCGCACGGGATACCACAGCTGTGGGTTAGAGAGTTTGAACGTTGCACTAGATCCCGCATCGACTTCTTGCGTCGCAACCACATCCTCACCAAGGCTGACCTCAAACTTTGTTGAAGATCCATCGCCCTCCACGGATGCGTGTGCTGTGATGGTCGCCTCCTTGAGGGTGGCGGCAACGTCGATATCACACCACAGATCGGAGATTCGCGACTCAAAGACCTCGAGGTTGATAGGTCTCCAGGGACCGCAAGTCAGCAGAGTCGGACCCCAGTCCCAGCCCTAACAGTTTGTGTACGTCAGCTGCCGTCCCGGCTATTTAAATCCGCAACCCGTGCTCTGGCGGCCATTGCGCTCGGCTACACATCCTTTGGTGCTTACCCAGTGGTACTGCGACTTGCGCACAGCCAGCCGCGAGTTGTCACCGTTCCAGCAACCCCATACATGATCCGGATGCTGCTCCACAAGCTTCCAACCGCGCAAGTACGCGCTCTCGAAGGTGATGGCGAGCTCATTGTCCTCGCCCTCCTCCTGGAGGTGCTTCGTCACATCCACCCTCTCGGGTATGAACATGTTGTCGGTCTCCAAGATCGTGTGCCCGTTGAGCACGACCGTCGCAAAGGTATCGAGACCGTCGAACGCAAGGACAGCCCTGGTAGCGCCACTGCTGCCACCACTACCATGCTTGAGCTTCGGCGTTGCGAACTTTGTGCGGTACACCCATGCCTTCTCACCGACCCACTGGCAGTCGAGCTCGTTCTTGCCGATGTACGGGTCTGAGATGAGCCTGTGGGCAAGCAGGTCGAGGTGGACCATGGTCGGGAACTGAGCGACAGGGAGAAAGGACGAGTCGTGCTTGTCGGCCTGCTTGAACTCCCAGTTCTTGTCGACCGGGTAGACTGGGTGGGCTGTCATCCTGGCTGTGTCCGTGCTGCTGCTGCTGCTGTTCCTCCCACTCTGACGGCTTACGTGTGTTGTTCTTTCGTGTAGTCGTGAAGGGACCGGCGACGGTGAGGATGAAGAGCCCTGGGCAGCCGGATTGTACGGCTCGCCGGCTGATGGGTCCAGGAGCTTGACGTACATGAATGCTGCTCAATTGGAACGATAGCGAAAAGAGTGTGGTGGGAGGGGCCCCGAGTATTTCAGAAATTAGGAGAGCCGGAGAAAGCGAATGTCGCATGAAGGCGGGGTGCAGGATCGAGAGGTCATTTATCCGGGGTTTCGTTCGTGAACTTCCTCATGGGGGAGGGGCGGCGCAGGTCGTGCAAGGTTCCTGCTGCCGGTGCCGGTGCTGCAACTGCATGTTTCCGTGTGAGGCGGGCATTGCCTGACGGCCCACTGCACGCCACGGCGGAGTCTCCGGTTCCTCGGCGCCGCTCTTCGGTCGAGAGTGCTCCGATCATCATCAGCATAGAGATCGTCCCCTGTAGAGTTCGTTCAGAGGAACGATCCCCGAACCCAGGCGAGCCGGTGTGTTTGGAGGAACAGCAAGGAATGGCCCTGGAGAGAGGCAATGTGGGGGCTGCCCAGGGTGAGCTAGGAGCCGACGGCACAGGATGCCGCCAGAGCGGAGAATGCTAAAGCTGCGGCACCTCACGAGATGGGTTGATCTTTGCGAACCAAGCCTTGTATAAATCTACGAAGGATGCCAGCTCCCTGAGCTGTCAAGGCACTAATATATCCAGTGGGAATTTGCCATGTATTTCTCTCGTCGAATTAGGATTACTAAGAAAAAAAGTATGTGAACGATAGTCTATGAATATCTCCGCTGGGAAAGAGAAAGTGCCAGAAGACCGATAAAGCACGGCTTGCTACAGAACGACTGGCTGCCTGAATCAAGTGCCCCGACCAACGCCAGCAAGACGACCTAGAAAGCATGGTGTGGGCCAAACGAATGAGCAACAACGAGTGTGTCCAAGAAGAAAGTGCAGCGCAGAGCAAGCATCCAGCTGCCTGCTCACTGCGGAGGCTCTCAGTTGCTGCCAACCTCAGCAGCAATTGCCCCTACCACGCCCTCTACTCAACGTGAACACGTCTTCCCACTCCCTCATGCCGATGCCCCAGTTCTGCGTCCGCGCACGACTGTTCTTCTTGTTTCCGCCGCGCCTGCGCAGCCCTCCCTCCTCAACCGTGAGGGTGCTCTTGATGCTCGCTCCGTCACTTGCCCCAGCGTTCCACATCCCGCCATCGCCGTACTGGATGCCGCTGAGCGGATCGTCCGGATCGATCTCACCGAGCTCGATCTTTGTCAAGATCATCCGCGCGAGCCGCCCAAATACCTCGTCTACCCCTTCGCCTGTGAACGCAGACACCTCCATGGTGACGGGGATGTTGACACCACTCGCCCACCGCACCGCCTCGGCCGTGTTGATCTCCCTGCCTTCGGGCGCCACGCTCGCCTTGAGCTGCGTGCCCACCGTTGCCGTGTTTATCGTGCTCGCCGAGGTGCTGTAGGGAAAGCTCGAGGAGCTGATGGTGCTGTTTGGCGTGGGCGGCGGCAGCTCGAGGAGGTCCTCGTCCCTGGCGATATCGAGCTTGTTGCCGACCAGCAGCGTGGTGAGGTTGGGCGAGGCCAGCGCCCGGGCGTCGTTGAGGAACGGTTGCAGGCTCGAGAAGGAGTTGTGGCTGGTGACGTCGTACACGAGGATGGCGCCCGCAGCGCCGCGGTAGTAGGACCGCGAGACGGACCGGAAGCGCTCGGTGCCCGCCGTGTCCCAGAGCTGCAGCTTTATCCGCTTGCGCCGGGCGCCGGTGCCGACTTTGATGATCTTGCTGGCAAACTCTACGCCGATGGTTTGGGACGAAAGAATACGCCACTCGTTCTTGACGAAACGGTGCAATAGACAGGACCTGTTGGTTTGGTGCGGCGCATCGGTCAGTAACTGTCTCTAGTGACCTAACGACTGCTTTCACGCCGGGTCGCCTCGTCGATCTTGGTTGCACAGGACTTGTGAGGGGAAACTTACTTGCCCGTTCCACTCGGGCCCAGAAGGATAATCTTGGCCAGGTAGTCGTACATGCTCCCTAACTCCTGGTTCCCTGGCGCCCCTGTGCTCTCCTCGCTCGCCGCTGACGAGCGCCGCGGCCGTGTCATGGCGATCTCTGAAGTGTCTGAGTATCACAGAGCAGTCGGAATAAGTGTCGGTGAGGGCGATGCGCCGACACTGAAGCGCTCAAAGGAGCCGCGCGCAGGGCGGGGGATTGAACAGGGCTCTGGTTGAAAGAGCGACGACAATCAAGGAAGATCGGACTGGCGTGACCGCGACTGCGCAGGTGGTAATGGCGCCGTTGGAGCCAGAGGTGTACCGGCGAGCGGAAGTACGGGTTCTAATATTTCTGTATTGGTATGGTGAAGTGAGGCGATCGCTATCCACAGTTGGGCGCAAGGCGGCGGGCTGCTGTGGTGATGGGGGAGTGGCTGTTGACGGTGGTGGAGGCTGCAACTAGGGATGACGCTAGAGAAGCTCGCAGCTCTGGTCTCCTGGAGCGAGATAGGCGGCCCGCTGGTGATTGGACTTTGTGGTGGGGGCAGTCCCGTCGGGCAGGGCAGGTCAGCTCCACGTGGCGTGGATGCTCAGCAGGCTTTTTGCAGCACCAAGCACACGAGCAGGCGACTCTGCACCGCTCTTTTGCACCATCGCAAGTAGGCCCGTCACGGCCCGAGAATCGTCAGGACCTGGGCATGCAGACTGCACCTGATCGCAAGAGACCACTGCTTGAACCCCTCCTGGGCACCGATACCCTCTTCAAACATGACCCCTAGGGACTGAGACATCATCAACACACCATCCGGATTATTCATCCCTGCCCTGCCATGTTCTGCCGCCCCACACAGCCACAGACGGCACTTTCACCGTTGCGTGCGCTGGCCAAGTCTGTCACATGCGCATCCTGCCGAGGTCAAAGTACTCCACCCACTTCCCCAGATTCGTCGGCACCAGCCAACACGCCGCACGCATTGCGCTTACATGTGTGCTGCCGGATTTTGAGTTCTCAAAGCAGCAGCAGAGGCACATGACCTGCACTACCACAGGCCGTCCAGTGGCAACGACACACCCAGCAGCAGCATAGATTTCTCCAACACGGGCGCAACGCCAGCGGACATCATCAGGATCATCACCCACAGACAACTGAAACCATGAAGATTGAAGGCCGGACATTCGTTGTCTCGGGCGGGTACGTGCCTTACCCCCCAGAATCTCCTCCTGAATGACATATTTCCGTGACGCACGGAGGCATACCTTAAGTACATTCATCCTCTGTTTTTCCTCCAGGACTGACCACGAGTTCTGCAGTGCCTCTGGGCTCGGCAAGGCCACAGTAGAGATCATCGCCAAGAACGGCGGCAATGTCGCGATCCTGGACATGAACGACGACGCCGGTGCCGAGCTGGTCGCCGCTCTGCCCGACGGGTCCGCAAAGTTCTTCAACTGCGATGTCCTCGAGACTGACAGCATCGCCTCCGCGGTCAAGGGCTCCGTCGAGTGGGCCGAGAAATCCGGAAAGCCTCTCGGCGGTGTGATCCCCGCAGCCGGCGTGGGCAACCCGGGAACTGTAAGTCTCCGCACCTGCGGTCCGGCATTTTGTGTCGAAACGGTGTGTGTTTTGGATGCGCAGTGCGAGATTGCTGACACTCGGGGAGCCAGATCCTCGACCGTCATGGTGAGGCCGTCTCTATGGACAGTGTTGACTTTGTCATCAATGTCAACCTTCGAGGCACAATTGACCTCGTGCGCCAGTGCCTGGTGCACATTGCTAAGACTGAGCCTCAAGGCGAGGATGGCGAGCGGGGCGTCGTCATCATGGTCGCCTCATCAGCGGCTACCGAGGGACAGAGAGGACAGCTTGCGTACGCCGCCAGCAAGGGCGCCGTTGCTGCCATGACACTCCCCATGGCTCGCGACCTGTCAGTATATGGCATTCGTGTCGTGACAATCGCACCCAGCCTGTTCGACTCTCGCATGACATCCTTCATGTCACCAAAGGTTCGCGCCAGTCTAGAGCGGTCTATGGAGTTCCCAAAGCGCCCCGGCAAGCCCGAGGAGTTTGCCCAATTAGTGCAGCAAAGCATTGAGAACATCATGCTCAACGGCACTGTACTGAAGCTTGACGGAGGCATGCGTATGCCGAGCAAGTTGTAAAAGATTTCCGAGAGTTTGGAGATAGCACGCTCGTCTATGTAATATCATCCTTTTCCAGCTAAGAAGGGCTTGTCCATTGAGTACACATGAGGAAACGACCCCAGCTCACCAGGCTTCAGTATCAACCGAGTCTCTGCCCAAGCATTTGTCCTTGTCAGTGGAGATATAAAAGTGAACTTTCGACGAAGCAAGGGAGGTGACAATTCCCTTGCAAGACCCCTGGTTCACCAAGCTTGGCCCTGGCTACCAGGTCAAGGCTCGCGGTGCTGATTGCGAAGCGGCGAGCGCTCACGAATCCGCCGGCTGCCCTCCGCCATGGGTGACCGCTCCCGCTCGTGATTCCAGCCTCGCCCTGAGGCGGATGCCGGCTCAGCGGCAGGCATGCCCAAGGAAGGTCTTATAAGGATGTTCTCGGCCTTGAGGCGCTGAGCCGATTCATAGAGCCGTGCTCCCAAAGCGAGGCCTTCTAAGAACGCTCGCGAAGCAATCGGGTTGGAAAGGATATCCGGGCTCAGGGCTGAGGCCGGAGCAGGTGTCTGGCAGGTGTTGTGATTGATCGTGCCATCCTGCCCGGCCTGGCTGCTCTGCACGGCGGGGAGCCAGCCTTTCGGGCCATTTTCCATTGTACTTCCGCGGTGGACGGCTGAGGCAGAGTCCTTGGCCCGTTGCTGTCCTTGACTCGAGGATGCGCTTCTGTTGCCAATCTGAGCCGACTCATGGGCGATACGCTCGGCCCGAGCAGCTTTGGCTGCCGCCCTTGCTGCCGGGCTGGGGCATGGCTGTTTCTTTACCTCCGATACTGCGAGCTTCGCGAGTGCTTGCTTTGCGTCGTTAGCAGTTGAATATGCTCGATTGCCGTTAAGAACGACGCCATTCAGATTGATTGAGCAGTAGTACTGCCCATTGGTGGACCACTCCGTGAATTGCGGGTTGAAACGGCGCTTCTGGCACTCCGCGCTCAGAATCGCCGTATGGGTCAAATACTTGTCCCCGCCATCAACGCCACTGCTCCGGCGGCGGCCGTTGTTGCTGGCATTGGTATCCTGCCCAGTGGCATGCCGTGCGGCATGACCCGCGCTTCCACGGTCGTTCTTCCCAGATTGTACCGCCTGACGTTGTCCAGCCATCATTACGTCCGAATACAGAGAAGGCCTTTTCATCGTTGAGTAGTCGGGCGCTGGCAGTGGAGTGTCAGAAAAGGTCTGGTCAATCACGGCGCGATATGCTGTTGCCGACTGAGTGACTGAGGAGTTGTTGGGGGAGTTTCTGCACGATGCGGGTGTTCATGACAGAACCACGGAAGACCTACAGTAGTGGGAGTGTCCTTGTAATGCAACCGGGTGTGGAGTTGAATGACGCGAGAGGAATTCCGTCTTGACACTCTGCTCGTGCTTCCCCTCTGCGTTTGCAGTCGTGCCCCCCGGCATCAGCATCATCTGACGAAATCGGTCCTGCCCAGAGCCCTTCTGAGGGCTGGGGCCGGCGTCGAACTTGGCCGGGACTTTCCCAGCCGCAGGTGCTGTCCATGGGGACGTGATGACAGAGGTAAGATTGGGATGACTGGAGAGAGTCGCGGTGCCAATGGTGCTGCCGAGCGCCGGCCACCGCTGAAAATTCGTCGACGGGGCTGTTTCCGATACTTCTTTTCAGCAATGTCCTCGAGGTGAGGCGGCAGTGAGGACATAGTGAAGGGATCCGATCTTTGTGGAGGATTACCAACATACCTGCGCCTGACTGTGCCTGTGGTGTACAACCCAAACCAGGAACTATGCTCGTGGCAGGATCCATTGACGACGACATCTTCTATACTTGGCCGGAAACAAGGCCGAACTGTGGAGGTTTTGCACTGTCGAGGTTGAAATCTGTCAGGAGACGGTGGCGAGCGAGGACTGTGATGGATAATCGTTGACCTGGGTCGAAAGGCAGAGGTGGCCTGACATATACGCCAGGCAGCTACCGGTTCCAGTGCCACGAGGGGAAGAGCGAGTTCTTTGCTAGCAATGAAAGCTCAATGCCTGGTCGTTGGGGTGTTAAAGTGGCAGGCATGAATGCTGGCTTGGCTTGTGCAGCAGGCACGACGGCGCAAACACTGGATCCCAGGCACCTAAGTCAGGCACCACAACGATTCAGAGGCACCCGCGAATCCGATGAAATGGAGGATGGAATGACCAAAGGGTGCTTTAGTCATAACACCGTCATCACGACTTTGAGGCTGCCATAAATACGTGAAAGTCTTTTATAGGAGCAGTTCACTCATGATAACGCGCCGATTCAGACTGGTGCTCTTCTTCATTAATTGAAACTGTGACTCTATGCACAAGAGTGACCGCTGGGTCATGATCGCACAATTACAGCTTCGAGAGAGCGGGCTGCCTCGACGCTGTCGCAGCAACACCATTGGCCTGCTTATTCTCAACACTTCTCGCCATGCCGTTGTGCGTTCCGTTGAACTGCAGATCTACAATTCCCTGGTACCCCTTGAAGCCCGTAGCTTTCTCCAGCCTTGTCGCAATATCATCAGATACCTCGCGGAAGATGGCTATTTGGCGCTTGATGATCTCTGGGTCGCGAATGGTGCTCATCGAGCCGGCGACAGTCTTGATGAACCGCTCACGCGCAGGCTCGTCCCAGACTCGTTGCCACAGCGCGCGAGGGGCGTTGAAGTCCTCCGGTCTGATTTCCGACAGCGACGTGACGGCCTGTCCGATGAAGCGGCCATGGATCTTGTCCAGGTCGGCGGAGCGCTTACGGAACTGGATTGGGTCAATAGACGACAAGTAGGCGGGACGTCCGCCCTGGTTGTTGATTGCCATGTTGCCATCACGCTGGAAGTTGGCGACCTTGCTGCTGGACGCGTTGACGGGAAGCTGCTGGTAGTTAGGTCCGATACGGTGTCGGTGAGTGTCCGGGTAGGAGAAGAGACGGCCTTGAAGGACCGGGTCGGCAGAAGGCTCGATGCCGGGCACTAGGTGGCTGGGACTGAAGGCAGCCTGCTCAATCTCGGCAAAGTAGTTGGCGGCGTTCTCATTCAGGGTGAAGTAGCCGACCTTCTTGAGCGGGAACTGCTTCTGCGGCCAGACGTGTGTCAGGTCGAGCACGTTGATGCCCTGCTCTCTCCAGACCCTCTCGGCCTCGTCTTCGGTCATGATCTGCACCTCGACCGACCACTTCGGGCACTCCCCTCTCTGGATTGCCTCGTACAGATCCTTCTGGGAATAGTCTGGAGACTTGGTCGCCGCCTCCTCGGAAGTAAAGAACTTGATGCCCTGCTGCGACTTGAAGTGGATCTGAGCATATACCCAACGGCCGTCCTTATTGATAAACTTAAAGGTATGGCCAGCATATCCATGCATATAGCGATACCCGTCCGGGATGCCCCGGTCACCCATAAGGATCATGACCTGATGTACCGCCTCCGGGTTGTGGCACCAGTAGCCCCATGCGTGCGTGGCATCGTCTCCAGGAGTCAAGTGCGTCGCGGGGTCACGCTTCTGGGTATGAATGAAATGCGGGAACTTGGCCGGGTCCCGAAGGAAGAACACGGGAGTGTTGTTTCCCACGATGTCCAGCACGCCCTCGGCAGTCCGGAACTTGACCGTGAAGCCACGCGGGTCGCGGGCGAGATCATGCGAGCCCGACTCGCCGCCCACCGTGGAGAAGCGCACGGTGACGGGACACCGGGCGCCCTTTGTCGCGAAGAGGTCCGCACAACTCAGCTCCGGGATCGGATCGGTGCACTCGAAGAAGCCATGGGCACCGCTGCCCTTGGCGTGGACGACGCGCTCGGGCACGCGCTCCCGGTCAAAGTGCGAAAGCAGGTCGATCAGATGGAAGTCTTGCAGGAGGAGAGGGCCATTGGCACCAGCTTTTTGAGACTCGTATGGATGCGGGACGGGGGCGCCATTGCTAGTCGTGTAAGTCGAGGATGTAGACTTTGTGTTGCGATCCTCCTCGTAGGAACGAAAGTGTTTGGCGACGTGGGCCTTGAATGAGGTATCCTTGGGTGCCATGTTGGTGTGTGACTAGTGGTTGATCCGACGTGGTGGTGCCGAGAAGAAGTCCTCGGAAAGAAAGTCGAACAGCTATGAGACAAGGCGACACAGCGAGCGAGGCCAGTCCTGTGGCTTGAGAGTAAAGGCCGGCGCGGGCGTCAATTGCCGACTTGGAAAGGACTCCTCGCAAGGTCAAAGGCCGGCAGGGTAGGCATTATTATTGTCGGGCAATGAAGCTTGGCGCCCACTCGACTGACTATGCCGACCAATAAGAACGGGGATGATTGGCCCAAAATGGTGTGAGGCAGAAAAGGAAGCTGATGGCGAGGTCTATCGTGGTGGAACACCGGACCCATCACGTTCCTTGGTCAACTTGGCGCGCGTCAAATTGTAGCGGTTGGGGTTCCTGGTAGGGCTGGCCACTATTACGTCAAGTGCTCCACACTGAGGAATCCAGACATGATTGCGAAAGAGAGCTTCTTCATGTTGTGCACTGCGAAGAATTATAGACTGCACGCATATTTGTTTAGTTGATTGGCTGGTCTGGAGAGAGATCACCTCTGTGGCCTTCGAAGTCTGCGTGTCCGGCATCAATGTCCTGCGATTTGCCCACTTTAGCAGGAGAAAGCGATGGACTAGCTAGTGATTGGCTAGGTGGGGACCAGGGTCCACTTGGTGACAAACCCCTGGTCCAGGACTCGGCCTTTTTTTTTTTGATGCTACCTAGTTTGAAGCAACTCAGGAAGAAGTTCAATTGGGTTGACATGGAAGTGATGCAGATCAAGAAAAAGCCGATTGCGTCAATGGAAGTATGCACGATTGTGACTTGACACCCAATTCCGACCTGTCTAACTCGCTGGCACTGGGTTTGAGCTGATGAGGTTCTGGTACCATAATTCAGGGATCCGAGCTGTCAAAACCTTGGAAGCCGGCCGGCTGTCGGAGTTGCTTCCGCCTGGCCACCGCACAAAGTCCCGACCAGCGGTCGTAAGCCTTTTTGCTCGGCTTGGGACGACATTCACTCTCCCAGGCGATGTCGCGGGACTTACTCTGTCGTAGCACAATGCACTTTTCACTAAATGTCACTTGCTGGTTCACAAACTTTTACAACAATCACATCCTAGAGCAGGCCCTAATACGCTAAGCTCCCTCAAAGCAGCCCAGCTGGCAGACCCCGATGTGCACGCCCGCTTAATAGCCACTATCCTTGTACAGCACCGCCAACTCCTCCCCCTTCTCCCATCTTTGGATGTTTTCCACCTGCTGCTTATACCACCCATGCATCGTCGCGTCCTGGACATAGCCCATATGCGGCGTCAGCAGGACTCGGCTCTTGCCGTCAATCCCCCACCTCGTCGTGCGCCACTCGCTGTTGATCGGCAGCGGCTCAGTATCGTACACGTCCAGCGCAATACCGCTGATGAGGCCCTTCTTGGCGGCGTGCAGCAGGTCGTCCTGCACGACGAGGGGCCCGCGTGCCGCATTGACAAACAGCGCCGTCTTCTTCATCTTGCTCAGGTCCGAGGCGTTAATGAGCCCTCTTGACCGGTCCGAGAGGACGAGCTGGATGTTGACCACGTCGGCGGTGCTGAACAGCTCGTCCCGGCTCACCACCTTGAACGTCTTCTCCCCGTTCTCGTCCTCGGTGGGGAGCCCGGCCTTGCGCGCCTTCTCGTCCACTGCCTCCTGCGTGAGATTCGTGCTCCACGCAATAATCTTCATCCCGAATGCGATTTTCATGATCTTGGACACGGCGAAGCCCAGGCGGCCAAACCCGACGGAGCCGAAAGTCCTGCCTGTGAGGTTCGTGGCGACAGTCGTCTGCCACAACCCGGCCTTCATCGCGGCGTTCTCCTGCGCAATGTTCCGCGCGATGCCGAGGATCAGGGCTACGCAGTGCTGCGTCGTGCTGTCCGGGTCTAGGGGCTCGCCGGTCGTGCCCGCCACGGGGATACCGCGCTCGTTCATGGCCGAGACCTCGAGCGAGGCGTTGCGGCCCCCCGTGGTCAGGAGCAGCTTGAGGTTCGGCAGGTTTGTGACGAGGTCTCGTGGGAAGGGGGTCCGTTCCCGCATAGTGCCTGGAGACAGTGATTAGCGGTTGCACTTGGCTGGTGGTCATCGGCAAAGTTGCTTACAAATGACCTGGAAGGGCTCCAGCCTCTTGATCAGGGCGAGTTTGTCATGTTGGGTGGCATCCGGGTGATTGTAAGGCAATAGAGTGTCGGAGAAGACCGTGACCTCGAAATTGGCCGAGTCTAGGGCAGCGAAGTGTTCAGTGGAGATCTCCTGGTAATCGTCCAGAACAGCGACTTGGACAGGAGCCATTGCAATTGATTCCGAGGAGCTGTGGAATGCGGGAAAAGCTACAAGTGCCAACGGCTCGGGGAAAAAGTCAGTGGTAGGTGCGCCTGCGAGGCTCGAGGATTGAAGGAAGGGAATTTGTGGTGATATATGGCGCTCCGTCAGGCAAGGGTCTGAGATTGACGGTTGAGGCAAAGGATGGCATAGCACTGGAGATGGCAGGGCTCGTGTGTGTTCGGGGATATTGGCGGGGGTGCGCCCCGGACTGCCCCGCAGCTGCCGGTTCTTGGACCGGATCGGGGTGACGGCGTCGCGGCCGGAGCTGGCGCCATTGTCAGCATACCCCAACGTCTCTAGGTTGGAGCGGCCGAGTTCACACCTGGATCTAGGCACTGGCAGGAGGATACGTAATCGAGAGCTCGTTTCAGAGGATAATACGACTCTGGATGTTGATCTCGCACTCATTCAAATACTGGGCACTTGTGAATGATGAGGCTTCAGCATCACCATGCCACACTGCAATGTATGCGGCGGAGCAGTCTGGAGGACTTTGGGCGGGTTTCTGGCTCGGGAGAGTGGTTGTGTAAGGCCACGGACTGACTTCTAAACATGATTCACGCCCTTTGAGTGGCCTGAGACCGCCTTCCGATTCTATCAGAAGGCCGAATGTGCTGTATGAGGCATCACACTTTGCTGCACTCCAGCCTTCGCAGCAGCAAATGCACATGTAAAACAAGGATAGTAGCAAGTGAGTCAGAGTAGCCTGGTAGCCATGAAACATATGAAGCATTCCGCCGTAGCACAGCAACGTGACGATAATTCGGCCCAGGCGGCGGCGCCGTTAGCCGGATCCCGATGTCACATCAGGGACCGACCCGCAGCGGGCTGGTGGGCTGGCGAGTGGGCGGCACTGGATTTGACGCAAGCGTCCCGACGTCAGCGAAAACCGGAGGCAGGCCCCACCGAGGGGCAGCACCCACGCGCAAACCCCCACCATTGGCGTGCGAAATATTCTACATCTCGACGCAGGCCGGCGCTGGCCGTGACGCGCGACTTTCTCTCTTTTTCGACGTTGTAACGCACAGTCTACGTCAAACCCCCGAATCCACCACAGTTCAATCTCTGTCGCTGTTCCCAAGGAAGAAGATCATGGCCACGATCGTCCTTGGTACCGCCTTTGGCGACGAAGGCAAGGGCAAGCTTGTCGACATCCTCAGCAACGATGTCAAGCTTTGCGCCAGAGCCCAGGTCAGTACCCCCGTCCACCCGCGCACCCTTCTCCTCTCGCGTCTGGGCACCGGCCTCTCGCGCAAGCATTGGCGCAATCGCTCCAGGTCTGCAAGAATCTGCGAAATGCGGTTTACCAGGTCATCGCGACTAACGCTGTGCAATTCCAGGGCGGCCACAATGGTACAGTCACTTCCAGGAAAACCCATCCGTAGTCGGCTTAGAGATCACGTCACTAACACGAGCCGTCCACCACCCAGCCGGACACACTGTTGTCGCCAATGGTGTCAGCTACGACTTCCGTACGTTCTCTGCCATAATTGCATACCTCGTACAAAATGCGTGGAGGCAGTAGCTAACACCCATTTGCGTCGTCCAGACCTGCTGCCTTCGGGCCTGGTGAACCCATCCTGCACCAACCTTGTCGGCTCCGGTGCCGTCGTTCATGTTCCTACTTTCTTCAAGGAGCTCGACGATCTGGAGAAGAAGGGCCTGCCCAATGTCCGCGGCCGCATCCTGCTTTCCGACCGCTGCCACATCATCACCGACTGCCACATCCGCGTCGACGGCCTCGAGGAGAAGGAGCTCGCTGGTCGCAACATTGGCACCACCAACCGCGGTATGCTTGGCGTCTTCCAGGGGAGGAAGCGATCTGAGACAGGTCGCATGGTTGCAGCCGGGATCTTCTGACATGATCGACAGGCATTGGCCCCACCTACAGCACCATGGCCTCGCGTAACGGCATCACGCTGAGCGAGATGTTCGATGAGGAGGTCTTTGAGCGCAAGATCCGCACGCTGGCGTACGGCTTCAAGAAGCGGTTCGGCGACCTCCTCGAGTACGACGTCGACGAGGAGATCCAGCGCTTCAAGGGCTACAGGACTGAGCTCCAGGTATGCGCCGGTCTATTCGTCGTACCGAAAATGGTGGATTGCAGACTGACAGATCGATTCGCAGCAATACGTTGTCGATGCCGTCCCGCTCATGGCTGATGCGCAAGCCAAGGGCGTCAAGATCCTGATTGAGGGTGCGCAGGCGCTCATGCTCGACATCAACTTTGGCACTTACCCATTTGTATGATCCCGATCACCATTTCGACCCGGTGCAATGACACTAATCCGCGTGCCAGGTGACCTCTTCCAACACTGGTCTCGGCGGCATCTTCACTGGTCTCGCCCTCGACCCTCGCAAGATCGACCACATCATTGGTGTCGTCAAGGCTTACTCCACCAGAGTCGGCTCGGGCCACCTGCCGACAGAACTTTTCGACGCTGACGGCGAGAAACTCCGTACGTGCCAAACCACATCTCTTGACGGGTATCTTCCCATACTGACAAACACTGCAGAGAAAATCGGCCATGAGGTCGGTGTATCGACAGGTCGCCCCCGCCGATGGTATGCCAAGTATCGCCACTTTTGCGCGGGCGTGCAGAATGCTAACATCTCACATAGTGGCTGGCTCGATCTCGTGGTTATCAAGTACTCGCATGTAAGCATATGACCCTCCTCGACACGCACGTCTGCAGTAGCTGAAAGCTGACGATACTTGCCACAGGCTATCAACCACTACACATCTCTGAACCTCACCAAGCTCGACATTCTCGACTCTTTCCCCGTGATCAAGGTCCGTTTCTCCTTTTATCTCCCCCGGAGCCGGTTGGAACAAAAGTGCTCACAAGAGAGAAATGCAGGTTGCCGTTGCCTACAAGGACCCGCGAACGGCCGAAGAGATCCCCTCTTTCCCCGCAGACCAGAAGCTCCTCGAGAGCGTCGAGGTCGTGTACAAGGAGTTCGAAGGCTGGAACTCGTCGACGACCTCGGTCACGAGCTACTACGGCCTCCCGCCTAACGCACGGAAGTACATTGAGTTTATCGAGGAGTTTGGTAAGTCCTTTCTGATCAGCGATTTCTTTTCTCGGTTGACCTGATTGCCGGCTAACGATTTTTTGTTTGTGTGCGTCTGCCAGTTGGCGTCAAGATTGGCTGGATCGGAACCGGCCCTAAGCGCGAGGACATGATTATCCGCAAGGTCTAGGCGTGATATGCATGCGTGCAGCATGATTCACCAGCTCCTTGTTCGCAAACGACGAAGCTGTGACCATGCGGATATGGTGATGTTTGATCTAGGAGGCCATCACTTGAGATGTTTGAGAAAACTGTGTTTACAATAGAGCGGAAAAATTCCCATGGGCCTCGCAATCAGCGGGTGGGAGAAAAAGAATATACAACAAGATATATACGTGTATACGATGACGGCCGCGGCGAGTTGCACCTGGTACCGCGGCGCCAATGGGAACCACCCGGCGGACAAGCTCCGGTGGCTGTAGTGGTCGGGTACTGTCTCCCGATCTGAGCTAGGTGCGCCACAGGCGCTAGGATACGCTCGTATGTCCTACAGGTCATGATTTGCAACAAAGGGCAGGCTAACGGAACAAGCTTCTAGAGGCGAGGTGGGAGCTGTTCTTAACCATGCCCCAGCACGGAGTCAACAGCCGCAAATGCCGACGGGTGCTCACGCGACGCTAACTATTATGCCTTGAGAGCTCGCGTGGGACTTCCAATGGAATCGTTGCAAGCCGCGGGAGAAATGGTGACTCGACTGCGCCCTTGGGCGGATTGGGATTTTAGTCGCTGTCTGGCTGGCAGCCATCCCCACCTGCTTCCATCCTTCATTCGATCCCGGCCTTCCTTTTTCGGCACGCCGCAGGCCATCCACGCTGGCGAATGACACCATGATGGCATTCTTTGTCAATGAAAAAGACGCCGCGTCTGGTGCGGCGCGCTCCGATCCCCGGCCTCCTGAGGCGGTGGGACTTGCAGGGCTCTCCCCTCCCCATGTTAGTAGCGCTAGGCACGGCGGGCGGAGGGAAGAATCGTCTGGGGTGCATGTCGGTCTCGCGAAACCAAAGCCCAAGCTTTTTTCGTGCGATTCTTGCGCCGTTCGAGCTCCATTGTGCGCGATCTGATCCTCGTGTTGGCGTCATCGACCTGCAATATCCATAACTTCCACTTCTCTCCCCTGGCACCTAACCACAACTTTGCTTTTTTCAGTGGTCCAAGATCGATCAGTCATTGATCTAGACCCGTCGCCATCTTCTCTGGTCGGACAAGCATTTAAAAAGTCCGTTCAAACACTTGGTTCTCGGGAATAATTCTTAAGTGCCACTACATCCACATACTGGCCCATTCCAACCAGCGTCTCGTGACTCGAGCTGTGAGAACATAGTCCTGGCCAGCATCCCTTACTCAGTCCCTCGGGCGTGGACGGTGATGAGCTGAACGTTGTCGCCTGGAAAGTCGCTTCGCCACCGGATATGACCAGCACGGGGCCAAGATCTGGCCCTGTCGAGGGCCCCTCTGAACACGAAACAGACAGTCGTACGTCCACAGACACGACAGCAGCGACTGGCCATGCTGGAGAGGTCAAGCACGGGATCGATGGGCCGTCTTCTCCGAGCCACGATGCAGAGAAGTCGTTGGTGACGGGTGATGGGCCTAACACGACTCCAACACGAGCGAATTTGGGGACCGCCGGTGACACGACAGGGAGCGAGTCAGAAGTGCCTTCGGCCGCCAAGGAACCCGAGGCTCAGCGCACGAGGCTGGAGACAGCCGTGATTGTCCTGGCGCTGGCATCGGGCCTGTTCCTCGCGGCGCTCGACATGACCATCATCACGACGGCCATTCCGACCATCTCGGCACAGTTTGAGTCGCCGCTTGGATACACGTGGATCGGCAGTGCGTACTTGCTCGCCAACGCAGCAGTTGTACCCTTCTGGGGCAAGATTTCGGATATCTGGGGCCGGAAGCCCATCATCCTGGTCGCCGTTGCCATTTTCTGGATTGGGTCGCTGTTATGTGGCCTTAGTGTCAACATGGGCATGCTCATTGGGGCGAGGGCGGTGCAGGGTGCGGGAGGTAAGTGTCGAGACCTTTTCTTGAGTTGGCTGCGGCGGGATTCACGACTTTACGAAATGGAACGAGAATAAGCCTGCGAGTCTGCTCGTCCCGAGCAGAGGCTGCAGCTCGACACTTTGGATAAAAAGGGCCCAGGTGGTCTATGTGGCGTCCGCAGCCAGACAGTTGCATTCGGCTGCTCGCGTCGGGCCTGCTACCCCTTGACTGTGCGACAGTATACTACGGACAACTCCGATCTACCCCTTTAGCTTCGCCATTGGTATGCTGTTCTTTTGCACGGACTGACAGGTCTATTGACTCCAGGTGGGGGCATCATTGTCCTCGTCAACATCTCGATCAGTGATCTCTTCTCTCTCCGGACTCGCGGTGTCTACTATGGCATGATGGGTCTTGTCTGGGCCATCGCCTCGGCCGTCGGGCCCGTCCTGGGAGGTGTATTTACTTCCCAAGTATCTTGGAGATGGTAAGCCCAAGTTTTCATTGCGACGCGGCAGCATCTAACTCTACTGGATTCACCACTCACGCTCACTGCTGTCACAGGTGCTTCTGGGTCAACCTCCCCATCTCCGGTGTCGGCTTTATCGTCCTCTTCTTTGTGCTCAGCCTGCACAACCCGCGGACGTCTCTGAAAGACGGCCTGGCAGCACTCGACTGGTTCGGCAGTCTGTTCATCATTGGTGGCACCCTGATGTTCCTATTCGGCCTGGAGTTCGGCGGCATCACATACCCTTGGAACTCGGCACCAACCATCTGCCTCCTCGTCTTCGGCATTGCCACCATCGGCCTCTTCGTCGCAGTAGAGAAGTGGTATGCAAAATACCCCATCATCCCCTTGCGGCTGTTCACCGACCGCTCGAACATTGTCATCTTCCTCGTCAGCTTCTGCCACGCCGCCGTCTTCATGTCTGGAAGCTACTGGCTTCCGCTGTACTTCCAGGCGGTCCTGCGAGCCACGTCGTTGCAATCGGGTCTGTACATCCTACCGTACATGGTCGTCTTGTCCATCTCCTCAATCTGCTCGGGGGTGTACATCCGCAAGAGCGGCAAGTACAGCCCCGCCATCATCTCCGGCATGGCCCTCACGACACTCGGCTTTGGGCTGTACATCGACCTCGACGCCCACTCGTCGTGGGCCAAGATCGTGCTGTACCAGATTGTCGCGGGTGTCGGGATCGGGCCGAACTTCCAGGCTCCCCTGATCGGGCTACAGTCAACCGTCGAGCCCCGCGACGTCGCCTCGGCCACAAGCACCTTTGCCTTCATCCGGCAGCTCGCGACCTCGACCTCGGTGGTGATTGGCGGCGTCCTGTTCCAAAACTCCATGCAGAACCAGTACCCCAGGCTGCTCGCCGAGCTCGGTCCCGACCTGGCCCATTCCCTCTCTGGCGGCAACGCCGCCGGCAGCGTCAACCTCGTCGCCTCCCTCGACGGCACGGACGGGGAGATCGCCCGCGGCGCGTTCGCCCAGAGCCTGCGCAACATGTACATCTTCTACACCTGCCTCGCGGCGCTGGGCATGGCCCTGACGCCGCTCATCAAGGCCAGGGTCCTGACAAAGGAGCACACGGAGCACAAGACGGGCTTGCAGACGCTGAGGAAGCGTGGCGATCCCGAGAGCAGCCCTTCTGTGCCGACTCGTGGCGGGGCTGGCGAGGCACCGGATCCAGAAAAGGCCGAGGGTGGGCTGGCTGCGGATCCCGTCACCAGGAGCGCAACGGACAAGGAGATGTCGTGAGAGGAACAACCAAACAAGGCTTGGATATCGCGTGCATGGTGGATTAAATCCTAGCATCCTAACGACCACATGTTTCTTGCATAGTATAGCATGATTCATATATTCATATATATACATATTTGCAAAATCTCGTCAATGCCTCAAATTGGGCGGCCGAGTATTTGATGGGTGCATATTCAATATCGGAACGCTGTGCTAGATGATGCCCTTAAAAGCATTGCCTTAAGCCGCACAGTTTATGCCTGCTGCAAACGCACCACGTCCAGCACGTTGTTCGTTCTCACACACATCTTTTCCATCTGAGGCGGGTGACTTCTCGCTGCAGTTTCCCTCGCCAACTGACACCATCTCGTCCTACGAGTTGCTCTCGTCAAACACGTCCTTGAGCCTCGTCGCGCACATCTTGTACAACTTCTTCGACTGGTCCGGCGGCTTGAGCGGGTTCGGCCCTTTATCCCAGCCATGAGTCACCCCCGGAATCATGGTGTAGAATACGTCCTTGCTGATGGGCTTCTTCTGGAGCCGCGTTGCGAAATCCGCGCCTTCTTTGAGCAGCATGTCGTACTCGCACGTGTAGATCTGGACGTGTGGCGGGATGCCGCGCGCCAGCTGCTCGTCTGTCGCGCCCGAGGGTGATACGTACGGGTGGGACAAGTCGAGGTCTGGCGGGAACAGGTACGATGCGTCAAATAAGCTGGTCAGCGTGGGCGAGAGGGTAAGCTCAGGCTTTGCGCTGGTCGCACGCCGCTCGTCGCGGGACAAGGTGTAGTCGATGATGGGGTACCACGCTGCCACTGCGCGGATGGAGTATGGCGGGACCGTGGGGCGAGGGTGTTGGAAGACGTAATCTGCAAGCCGCAGTGTCGCAGTGATGGCGATGTTGCCGCCTGCTGAGAAGCCCGAGGTTGCGAGCTTGAGGGGGTCGATGCGCAGGTCTGCGGCGTTGTTGATGACGTAAAGCAGGGCATCGGCGCCGTCCTCAACGGCCGTGGGAAATGGATACTCGGGAGCCAGGCGGTAGTCGACGGAGACGAAGACGGCCTTGCACGTGTCGACAATGTAGGCGGCAAAGCGCGCGTCGTCGGTTGCGTTGCCGATCGTGAAGCCACCGCCGTGGAAGTTGACCACGGCTGGATATGCAATCTTGAGGGATTTGGATGACTTGTAGTCGTCGGGTACGTAGAATTGCAAGGTAAAGGTGCCCTTGTGGCCGGCCAACGTTGACTCAATCGTCCGTGTGAAGGATGGGCTCGGTGGGCGCGGCGGCGCGAGGAAGTGCAGATTCATGCCGATGCATTGCAGACCACGCCACCATTTTGCCGACTTGCGCAGCGAGGCTCTCGATGGCGGAGGGCCGACTTTGTCGGCCGCGACCTCAGGCTTCTCATGGCTGGCTAGCCTCGCGTCGTCTGCCGCTGTAGGCTCTGGCGCTCCGACCATCGCCGCCATCGTGGATATCGGCTCAAGGCTGTGGATGGAACAATGCGGCTGGGTATTGTTGTCGTGTAAGACTGACCGTGTGCAGGAGGATGGCTGGTGATTTCTTGGGACGCACTGGGACAAGGTGGTGCGATGGAGGATGCGATGGCTTTGACGATGGTCCAAGATGTTTGAAGCAAGGAAGCAATGGAGGTGTATCAGTCACCCAAGCGAGCCAAGGCCATCTCCAGAGGAGACGTCCATCTATGCAGGGGTCGTCACTGAGGCCGACTATGTCAGCGGCTGCAAGTGTTGAGCTCCAGAATAAGGGATCGCGTCTTGAGAGCACACAGTAAACTAGAGCGCGACGAGATGGGCGGGCGGGATGACGTAGTGTCCCAGAAAGTGGGGAGAGTGGGGGCCTCGTGAGGCAAGGTACCCCGGCAGGGCAGGCACAAGCGGTGCATCTCGAAAGCACCTTCAAAGCCCACCGCCACAGCTGGCGAGGCTGGTTGCTGAAGGACAACAAGCAGGAAACACGAGCCGTCCTCCACATCCAATGATGGGCACTCAATCAGACGCTGCTTAGCCGAGCCAAAGCCACTGAGGAAACATGGCTCACGACGCGCGAGGAGGACCGGTCGATCTACCTTCGGTCATCTTGCAGTGGGCCAGATCCAACTTTGAAGCGCACGGTCCCGCGGGTGCGCTAAGAGGAGAGACTGAAGATTCAGCATTGGTCCCTCTCATCAGATCACGAGTTGATGATTGGCGATGGCTACCTCTTTGTACATGGTCGTGGCAGAACATCTGTCGCCACCCCTTCCCTGACAAGTGCTATTTTCAGTACAGACTTGTCACGGAATAATGACGGCATCCTGCTCTCACTGCTCAGGAGGGGGCCTACGAAACCACGTGGTTGGGATAACCTTCTGAGGGCACACACTCGTCCCCTGTTGGCGAGCCGATTGGCCCTTGTTGCGGGGGCTCTTTCACACCCCTACGGTTTTGCCTCAGTTTTTAAAGTGGCTGGATGAGATTTTTACGTTAGCGTCTCGGTAAGTTGATGCAAGAATGACAGAACGGCCCTCGGAAAGCTTAACCCTGTGAGCATCAAATCCAATCAGCACGGCTTTCCCAGCACCCTGCTGCGTGATGCTGAACTGGATTCGCATAACCATAAACAGAACACAGATCCTCGGGAGGCAGATCTCGAGCGCCTCCTGTAGATTCTCGCCAGACTCCAGCCACGTCCCTGGCTCTCCCCCCATCTGGCGGAGCGGAACCTGCTCGAGATTGCCCATCTCGATCGAGCAACATGGACTGCCCGCGAGCCTGGCCTATGACGCTGTGGGGCACCACCGGGTGCGCCGGCTGTGGGGGACCTGACTAGGACGTGCAGGGCAGCACCCCTCTGCCGGTGCCCATCCTCGTGTCTCATTTGCTGCAGCGCTGGGGGGCTGCCATTGTTCCTGCCTTGGTTCTCTGGCTGCTGGTGTGCTAGCCTGGTGCAACTGCTCATCAACTTGAGACAGGACACGACAGGCGGCCCCAGCGCCGGTTCTCAAAGTGACAGACAGTGCCTGGGACGGAGGAGAAGGTCCGTCAGACCCCGGCCTGCCTCTCGCGCGGCGGGTTCCTGGGCCCACAAGCCTGGATGGGCCAGCCGAGCCATCCCTGTATGCCCCCGTCACCTGCCGGTGACGTCAACTGTGACTCCGTGCCCTCGCATACACACACACACACACGCACACACACACCCGCGTCCGTCCCTCGCGCTGGCATGGCTCGGCTCATGCGGATGCACTCGCAGCAAGCCTGGCAGCCCTGCCGAGCGTGCCAGCGCCGGGCAATTCCGCTCGCTGCCAGTCCACCGCCCTGTCAGGCACAGTTTCCTGCCAGGCAACTGCCCAGAGATATATATTCCTTGGCTGCGCTGGGCGTAAGCACCGCGGCTGCTCTTTCCACCTAGCCAGTACTCCCCTTCTTTTGTGCAGCGACACACTACGCGATCGTCGTCGAGATACACCCAAGCCCCTTCTTTGTTTACTCCTGCCGCCTCACCTGCCCTGCAAAGATTTGCCTCAGACTGCAGGAGGCATTCCATCGTCCCGACTGGCTGGTTTACACGCCGACACTTTCTCCAAGTGCAACGCCTAGTAAGTGGCCGCCACATTCCCCGGTGCTACGCCGCCAACCCAGTTGCGCGCGATGCGAATAAGTGCTTACGCCCTAGCAGCGCCACGCTTCCACAATGACCACCTTCAAGAAGCCTCTGCTGGCTCTAAATCGCCTAGTGGGCCACTCGAGCGCCAAAAACCACATGTCAAAACTCAAGCTCGGCAAGACAGAAAATCTCCAGGACGAGCGCCGCGACAGCCACCTCAAGCAAGTCTACGAGAAGACCGCCAAGAAGTCCAGCGAAGCCGTAGAACGCAAGTCGCTGCAGGCCAAACGCAAACAGGAGGAAGCTGAGCGTCATGCCGCGGAGAAGCCAGAGATTCAGTCTCGCTACGGCAGCAAGAACCCACACACTCTACCTGTATCTGCCAAACTCGAGGAGCTCGACTCCTGGGCGGAGGGCCAGACCTTGCGCTTCATTGCCCGCATTCACCATGTGCGCAATGTCAGCGCTAAACTTGCGTTCATCCTGCTGAGACAGAGGACCGTCACTGTGCAGTCTGTGCTCACAGTCCGCGAAAATGCAGTCACAGAGTCCTTTGTGCGTTGGGCTGAGCACCTCAAGCCCGAGTCGCTGGTCTTTGTCGAGGCTGTCGTCAGGAAGGCGCCCGAACCTGTCAAAACATGCAATGTTCACGACTACGAGCTCCACATTGAAAGCATGCACAGCATTGTCGAGGTCGATGAGGCCCTGCCCATAGACGTGTACAACATCGACCAGGTCGAAGAAAATCCCGAAACAAAGCAGGTCGAGCTGCGCGCATCAAACAGGATGCGTACGACCAACCGCATCGCATATTTGCGCACACCAACAATGCAGAGCGTATTCCGCATCCAGTCCACCGTCACAAACATTTTCCGCTCCGTACTCAATGAGCGAGGTTTCACGGAAATCCACACCCCCAAGCTACAGCCTGCTGCCACGGAATCAGGGGCCTCAGTTTTCCCAGTGAAGTACTTTGGGAGAACAGCATACTTGGCACAGAGTCCTCAACTAGCAAAGCAGATGTGTATCTCTGCTGATTTCGACCGCGTCTTTGAGATTGGCCCAGTGTTCCGTGCCGAGGACAGCAACACGCATCGCCACCTGACAGAGTACACCGGCCTCGACCTGGAAATGGCAATTGACAGGCACTACCACGAGGCTCTCGACATGATCGACGCTGTATTCAAGGCAATCTTCACCGCCATATACCGCAAGCACTCCAAGGAGTTGGACCTGATCAAAACCCGCTTTCCGCATGAGGATCTCGTGTGGCTGGACCACACGCCACGCCTCAGTTTCAAGGAAGCCATTGCGCTGCTCAACGAGTCTGGTTGGACGGATGATGATGGTAAGCCTGCACTTGACACGGAGGACCTCAGCACCCGCGCCGAGATACGCGTCGGGCAGCTCGTCAAGGAAAAGTACGGTACGGACTACTATATCATCGACAAGTTCCCAGCCTCGGCTCGTCCTTTCTATACCCACCTCGACGAAGAAGACCCGGCGTACACAAATTCCTTTGATATCTTCCTCCGTGGTCAAGAGATTGTCAGCGGTGGCCAAAGAATCCACGACGCGGCCACACTAGCCGACAGAATGCGCAAGGTCGGAGTCGATCCCGCCGCCATGGAAGAATACTTCCAGGGTTTCCAGTGGGGAGCGCCCCCCCACGCTGGATGTGGTGTTGGTCTCGAGAGATTCCTTTTCCTCATGCTCAACTTGGGTGATATTCGCAACGCATCCCTATTCCCCCGCGACCCCAAGTCTCTCCAGAGCAAGCCCAAGCATCTGCAGGAGGAGTTGCCACATCCTGATGCCGATACAATCAAATATGCCTATGAGGGCTTTGCGAATCGCTCGCCCTTGCCCTCACTGGAAGACTTGATTGCCAACTATGGTGATGCTACCAACACTTCGTGGCTGGACGATCGCTACACTGTATGGAGACACGAGATCACCGGCGCGGCTATTGGCTACGCCAAGGAAAATGGCTACGCTCTGATCATGGGAAACCCTCTTTGCGATCCTCGGCAATACCCCACCGTCATGCATGATTTCCTCCACGATCTGACTGTCAAAGAAGATCTTCGACCCCTCTGGCTCCTGGTTTCTGCCGAGGTTGAAGAGATCCTAAGCAGCAAGCTGGGCTGGCGGAGTCTGGCATGCGTCGGGGAGGAGCGTGTGTCTGTGGAAGACGCTATCAGCGAGAGCGTAGCCAAGAAAGAGAAGCAGGCCAAGAAGGCTGACGTCAAGATTCACGAGCTGGGACTTGGCCAAGATGTTCCGGCAGATGTGCGTGCTCGTATCGACGAGCGCATCAAGGAGTGGGAAGAAGGTCGCAAGAACAGCGGTCGTGTACAAGTCCACATCACTGACGTCCGCCCTTGGGTTGATATGGCTCACCGGCGGTACCTGTGGGCAGAAGACAAGGAAGGCAAGGTCGTTGCGCTCTGCGTGCTTCACCAGCTGGCGCCGGCGCACGGCTACCAGATCAAGTTTGCGCTCGACTTCCCCGGCTCGCCTAATGGATCCATCGAAGCACTGATTGCCAAGGCCATCCAGAGCCTGTCCTCGGCCGGTGTCAAGAATGTCACTTTTGGCGCAGGCGCTATGACCGACATTGTCGTCGGATCCAATATGGGTGGCATCAAGGCCAAGCTCTTGTCCAAGACGTACAAGACGGTCATCAAGCAGCTCAAGCTCGTTCAGAAGAGCGAGTTTAGAGAAAAGTTTGGCGCCCACCAGGAGCCAGTCTTTATCTGCTACCCATTCCTGGGACTTGGCGTGTCTGGTACACGAACCTTGATCAAGTTCTTTGAGGACGAGATGTAAGTGCGGCTTTCGGCACCGATGGTGCGCCTGTGGGTTCTGGAGGCGGCAGCATTTCCCCAATACCCTCCACATCAGTCGATGCTTTCCTAGCGAATCAGCATACAGTTGATTATAGCGTCCTCGCCTTGCTAGACTATTGCAGATGATTTCCCCCGGTGTGTGTAGGATGGGCGTGCGGTAGATGGTGGTAGGAGAGACCAAACAGGTGGCGTGTGCATGGGCCCGTCTGGCAAAAAGAGATAGAGAGAGAGCAAGAGCTCGTGAAGCGTGATATCCATTCTTGCATTGATACCAGATAGCGATTAGTTAATGAATATTTATTTTGTCTCTCAAAACACGAAATTACATCATGATGCACTCAATGTCATGACGATGCGCCGCCGGCGGATGATGGCGAGACAGGCAATGCCCTTTGCGATGCAGTTGAGGCGGTTTGCGTCAGAGCGTTCATTACCCAGTCGTGAAAGCGTTATGATGTGATGTGAGAGGCTCGCTGGACCCACTCTGCGATGTTGATTTCCAGGCAGCCAGACGCGCCAACCACCATTGTTGATGGCTGTTCACAGCCGAGACCTTGATCAGCCTTGCTGAGGGGAGTGCGTGCACATTTCGCGGCGCCTGAGCTGATTGATCTGCAAGCTTGGTTTCGTGCAAGACTAAGGCCACGAGGCTTCATCGTGGTGTCTTCCCCTTCCTGTCTTCCCATTCGTTCCCCACGTCGCAGTAGGTAGTAGAGGGGGGAACCCGCAACTGCCGAGACGACGACGAACGGACGCCTGCCTGCCTACTCGTCCTCCTCCGCCAACGACGACGACGGGAAGAAAGTTTCTTGCTTTGTCAGTCTCCCCTCGTACCACAACTTGCTTAGATTACCCGCAGCTTGCGGGATTTTCAAAAGCATGGCCGCCGCGCAACGACACCAGCACAACCACCGAAGCGGCGGCATTCCACCACCACCACTGCCGCCGACGCCACGCTGGCGGCCCTTGCCGGCGTTCCCGGACCTCCCGCAGCTCTATGTCTCGCCCGTCTTTGGCAGCCCTGGCCAGCCCACCTCCGCCGCCACCTCCACTTCCTACTCGTCCGCGCCGCCGTCATCAGCAGCTGCCGCCTCGTATGCAGTCCACGTGACCGACCTGGCGAGCGTGTGGACAGAGGCCCTCGACAAAAAGGGCATCCTGAAGCGCAGCCTGACCGAGGACACGAGCATCGACCTGATCGACGCGGGGCCGGACCAGTGGGGTGTGTTCCTGTCCAAGCTCGCGGCCGCGTTTGACCCGGACAGCCCGGACCATGGGTCGACAGGGCTGACTCTGGAATCTTCTTCTTCCTCATCCTCCTCCTCCTCGGCCGATCCCGGCGGTCAAGGTCAGGGTGGTGGTGACCTGGTTCTCCGCATCACATGTGCCCTCCCCGAGCCGCTTGAGCCGCTGAAATGGCCGGTCTTGCTGAGGAAGTGCACGCCCGCGGCGGCCGCGGAGCGGCTGGTCGTGCCGCTGCTGCAGAGCCAGCGCGAGCTGTGCAGGGATGTGGACGACCTGGTCGCCCGGCTCGGGGAGAAGGACGCAGTCATCACGAGGCTCGTGGACAAGCTCGAGGCCATGGGCGCCGGGCTCGAGAATGTGTTCCACACGCTCCCGGCCAAGAGGAAGACCAGTCGGGCCGCGGCGGAGGACAAGGTCAAGGGTCTGAAAGTCTTTAGGGAGACGGAGTGGAGGGAAACGGGGAGGGAAACGGACACGGAGAGAGGTGACGGTGACGGTGCTGACAATGGCAGCGGCGAGGATGTTGTTGTTGCTCTCGTGAGGGATGCGTTTCATCGTATCGAGGGCGGGAGTGGACGGCTCGGTCACGGCCTTGGACTGCCGGATGATCTGAACGACTGGTGGACCAGACTGGGGCCCCAACCAGTCAATGCTGTGAAGCCGGAAGCAAACAAGACTTCTGATGCCGGGCAAGACCGTGAAGACAAAGATGCCCACTCAAAAACGACCGGCCTAAATGAGTCCTTCGCGACTGCAGATGACGATGACGACTTCCAGGTCCAGAACACGCCTCCCCACCTGCAGCCCGCACAGAAGAAGCGCGGCCGCGGCCGGACGGCCACAAATGCCATCAGCGAAGACGAGAACGATGACATCTCGATACCAGACAGCCATCCTGCGCCGGCGGCAGCCAAGTCAGCCAAGACATCACACGATCGCGCCGCCCATTCGGCCGGGCGATCATCCCGAACCATACCCATCCGTGACGATGACACGGCTTCAGAGTCTGATGTTCCCGCATCCAAGCCATCAACTGCCCCCCCAACCCGAAAGCCAAAGCTTGGGACCATTGGCGCGAGGAAAGGCAAGGCTGCTCAGCCGGCTAAGGAGAAATCGCCGTCGCCATCATCATCACAGCCGAGTGAGGATGATAGAAAGCCCCAACCGCCAAGAGGAGGTCCAGGAGCAGCAAAGAATGGTAACGACGGTCACAACGACGACGATACTGCGTCCGGATCGGATTCTGACGTGGCCATGCACGAGCCAAAGTCAAAAGCACAATCGCCATCATCGCCGAAACCTCAACAAGTAAAGAAGGGAGCACTAGGCAGGATCGGCGCCAAGGGTAAAGCTCCAGCTCCTCGATCTCGGTCTGCATCACCGGCACAACAGGATGGTCAAGGCAAGTCCCCAGACGATGACCCCCCAGCTGCCTCGACGAGGTCCCACGACGATCCGGCCACCACAGTCACCATGGGCGACGATTCAGACGGAACAGCATCTTCACGCGAGAGCAGTCCCGTGTCTACAAAGACACACAAACCCAAGGACGCGCCGGAGGCCAAACCACCACCGCCGCCGCCACGGCGTACGCTCGGAACCATTGGCAAGATCGGCGGGAAGAAGCAAGCATCCACCACCACCACTTCTGCTGCTGCTGGTGGAGCAACGAGCACAAACTCGGTATCGACGGAGCAGCACGACGATTTGAACAAGAAAAGGACTCGTCAAGACTCGACACCAGCGGGCACACCCGCCACCACGACCTCGGGAAGAGGAGGAGGAGGAGGAGCAGGGAAAGCTGCCCAGCCGCCAAGGGAAGACGAGGACGACGAGCAGCGTGCCGAGAGGAAGAGGGCCGAGCTGGCCAAGGAGCTGGAGCGGAAAGCCGCGGCGCCGGTCAAGAAGAAGAGGCGGTTCTGATCGCGCGCACGATGAGTGTGGTGGCAGCGAGGCATAAGGCACGAAGGAATGAGTTTGTCACGAGAGAGAGACTTCTTTTTCCAGAAAGGATAATATAAAGCAAGACAAACCTGTCTGCAAGCGTGTTGCTGATAGATTTGAAGTACGATGTATATAGCCGAGCAAGCGATCATTATTCAGATGTGTGTGTTTGTGTGTGTGTGTGTGTGTGAGAGAGAGAGAGAGAGAGAGAGAGAGAGAGCAAATTGATAATCTCAAGACCATCAGGGCCAGAAAATTCCAGGAACACAAACACGTCTACCATCTTGCAAGGACAGGTGAATTGGCAGCTCCCTCAACACACGAATAAGCTATATGAGCACCATTCTCCTGAACCTATTCTTCCGGTTTGAATTCGTGACAGTCACAAGAAAAATGATGGGAAGTACAAGAGCTGACGACGATGATGATGATGTCCACCTGGATTGCAAAGTCGCCCATTGGGAATCTTCCGCACACATGGTCCCTTTCCTTTCAAAGTCTCGGGGCTACAAGCTACCTGGCAACCTACCTAGTCTTTCGACCGAAGAGTGTCACGATAGTAGTCCGGACGCGGCCTCGGGAATCGTACGCACGGGATTTGGCATGGCGCTGGACGATAACCTGCGGACTGGCATGATCCATGTTTCTTACGCAAGCAGCACGGAGACAAGACCTGCCCCCTCAGCCTCTCTCCCTCTCTTCTGGAGCGTATGTGCTATTCACACATTTCATCGAAATCTTCCTCCATCCTCCATGATTCTCTCTCAATCTGCCTCAGCAGGCGCACACGAAGCTTCGGATGGACACCACCTCTTTCACTTCAACATGTCACCGCCTTTCTGGTCCCCAACCGAGGCAAACTTTTCACGTCACGTCACACCCGGCAGGTGCATCGAGAAGCACAGGTCGCAAAAAGCCCTAGTCCAGCCCTTCAGTCGCCAATTCCCAGTACACACGGTCAGGGCGGTGGTGCGGCGCTGCAGCAGTATCCCACGCGCGCATGCCAAGCGCGACCGACTCACTTTCAATCCAGTTCGACCGGTCTGAGAACCAACCATAGTAGGTGACAAGACGACGTGAGATCCTGTCTCCGATGTCTCGAGAACAATGGCTGCCAGCAACGCAACGCCTCTCGTAGGCGGGCTCCGATGGTGTGATCCACGGGGAGCGATGGAGACGCAGCCGCAGCCACAGCCGCACGCGCAAACGCCCCTATTATCTACGCCACGTTGCCGCCGTGTGAGCAATATGCCCAGGACTTTGCCTCCTTTCTGGCGGTGGGCAAGCTCTCGTCTCCAGTACAGTCACTCTTTCCCTCTCGAAGCGACTATGATCATGCTTCATGTCACACGGACGCAGAAGTGACGCCTTCCAAGGCAGAGAAGGAGGGGCCGTGTCCATATGTGTGGTGATGGAGATCTTGCATATCCTTACTTGACGAGAGCGATCAGTATGTACGTATGACAATGGAAAGGGGCGTGATGGGCCAGAGGGTGTTTGCGCGAGCCGGCGCCACGCCACTCACTGGTCTGGGATGCTAGCCGCGTGCTGCGTTCCCTTATCGTGACAACAACCCCTCTGATCGCACAGGCTTATCCCTGTTGATAAGAGGAGTGCAGCTGTTCCCTGTCTCTTGCCACCCTCTTCTCAACTTGGGGAGTAGATTTGAGCTCCTCGTGATGTTGTTTGCACGCTATTTTTCATCCTTCGTGTCGCCGTTGTGTACCTTGGCCATGGAGTGCAGGTGCAGGGAATGTCGGCCTGGGCGTCATGCCTCAATCACACAAGTACGGGGACATACTGCTTTGCCGGGCTCCCTTAGGGCGTCGCAGCCTGGTGCAGTGTGGTTGGTTACGGAAACAGCATCGCCCAGCTTACCAAAGACGGGATAGATCGAGGACCAGCATGTGGATTCCCCTGCTCTGCTGCAGGACATACCGACAAGGTTGCCACCAGCTCAAAGACAATCATGACCCAAGATTCCGGTCATTGGCTGGCAATCCAGGCGTGACCAGGGGAGCCGGTAAGGGTATCTGAATGGCGGAGTCCTGGCCCAGTCCGTTCTGATGGACAGGAGTGATTCCCCCGCCAGCTTACAGACATTGTCCTGCGCGGGTTCGGTATCGTTTCCGGACCCAACAGCATATCTCCTGTGAGGGGACCACGTTACTATGGCGAATTCGGCTGGCGATGAGATAGGAATGTGGACTCTATGTTTCTGCCGATGTGCTCCACAAGAGTCTTTCATAATGGCTTCTACATTTCAATCTGCATTATGGGTTGAAACCGAGTCTTTCCGTCGAAGTAACGGGGAGACGGACTAAATAACAGCCAGTTTCGAATGTGCAACCAATGACTCGAAAAGTGACTAATCCTAAATACCAGATCAGTTTGCAATATCCTATCTTCGCTGAGCTTCTAAGGCCCCGGGACGGAAATGAGCCAATACGATCCGTTATGTCTGGATGTTTGTTGCACGGAACGGCAGCGTTTTCGAAGTACTTGCGATCATTACGGTTGCTTGCCACTTCCGCTTGAGCAAGGATTATCTAGGTACTTTGATGAGCGCCAGGAACAACATGGGACGCGTTTGTATCAAAGCCTTGTGGGCTTTGTGAGGATACTCTCTCTGCGACTTGGCGGAAACGTCTTTAGGTGTGGCAGATCTGTCGCCAATCTTGTCAAGAGTCCAGTATGGCCGGAGCGACGAAAATTGGGGCGTTGAATGGGGATAGGTCGTACTGCACATACGGTGGCCGTTTGTATTCCTCCCCATACCGGTGACCACAGATCTGCGACCACCAGGGGGGGCGAAGCACTGCAGGGGATCCTCGCTCGAAGGCTGTTGCTGAGTGGAGGGAATGTTGGTCTTCAAAAGTTCCTTTTTCTCTGACCTTGTGAATATACTCCTGGCAATTCCAGGATGGCTGCATCTGCCATGTCGACATCTTCACTGCGGGGCCATCGTGGAATGACAGATCTGCTTGCAGCATGGACCCAGGGTTGCAATGCTGATTTGGGAGTGACAGAGCCAATCGGGAGGTCGTCACGATCTTCTTTGCAGGGTCCAAGTCATACTCTAGATATTGCTAGGAGGCGTGAAAGAATCGAGGATACTTTTTACCCATGTCACGCTCCATGGCAGGAAATAGGAAGAGGCAGGCCTTGTGCGATGTGGGCGCTCGATCGGGACAAAGACCCTGTCGGGCGTCTTGAAACACTCGAGTCTCGATTTATGGACAGCTCTTCGGCAAAGAATGTGACGTTGTATGTGATTAGAATGTACGCTTCGCCTGTGGTAGGGTGCCACAAACAGACTTGCTGGGAATATCTAAAGGTTCCCAGGCGGAAGAGCTTGCAAGCATAATACATTGGCCATCTCTGCTTGAGGCTCGGGGAATGACTGACTTTTGTGAAGCGCACTTCAAAGTCGCAATGTTTGTTAGCATACACTTCAATGATTTGACTTTGTGCAGACGCCGGTGCCAGTGTTGAATGGACGCAGACTGAAGATGCGCGGGAAGTTGGTCATTGACTGTCTGAGTGTACCGCACGGGGGCAGCCAAGAGCCTGGATCAGGGTGGGAGACGTGCAAGATGGTCGGGAATAATCCGGTTGGCGTTTTGCGTACGCCATTGACCAATCGAGGCCCTAGCCCAGGGACTTGATGCAATCGCACGACCAGAGCATCCTCGATGGTGATGTGATTGCACACGTACTGTAGCTGTGCGCCCCTGCGGAGAAGCCGGTTGGGAGTGTGGAGTGTGAGTCTTGAGACTTGGACGTGTGCGTGGACGTGGACGTCATTTCCATGAGGCAGCAGCAGGTTGGGATGAAGAAAGGCACATCCACAGCCACGAGATCTGCAGCAGTCGGGGGGAGGGCGGACCCTGGAGAGTCGGAAGACGGTGCAGCAAGTGCGTGCGGCAGACCCTGGTATAGCGAGCGTGGCACGGTAGGATCGAGGGCTGGTGGGAAGGGCAGGGATGCTGGAGATTGCCGTCGGAGTGCTTGAGAGGGCGGGGGGGTCTTGTCTGGGGGTGGTGATGTTGATGTTGGTGGTGCGGCCAAAGTTCTTTGCAGACGTGGGTTGACACCTGAGGTTGAGGGGTTGAGGTAGGAGGGTACGTACCGTGGCCGTGCCTGCCTCGTGTTCGGGGCTGCCAAGGTGGTGACTTGGATGGCCTCAAAGTGCTGCTCCTGCCTTGCAGGGTCTCGATGAGGGATGCTAGCGATGCTAGGGATGCTCGATCCCTCGAGCACAAACGCTGCGCATCCATCGACCAACACCCACCACCCCATCGCCCACCCTAGTCCGCCCCCCGGTCTGGAGCCGCTCGGCCTGCCTCTCCGACTTTGCAATCTCAGATGTCGGCCGCAAGGGCCTGCCCGCACCCCGGTCTCTCGGCAGCCGGGGGCCATGAGCCATCACTGGACTGGACTGGACTGGGCTGGGGACGTTCTCTCCGGACCTCTTGTCCCCGCTCACGCGAGAGCCACGCCATTTCGCCCCGATGCAGAACATTTCCCAGCTTGCTTGTGTGTGGCAGCCCGTCCAAGAAAGCAAGCGTCCATGGTCTGGGATGCGCACCTCCTAGTCATGGTTCCTCCTTCTAGAAACGCCTTCAACGGTAGGGGGACAAACCAGTCTCGAACATCCAGTCGCCCCTGCAATTGCAACACCAGCGGTCAAGAGTCTGAACATTCCCAGCAAAAGCGGCCAGTCAACAAGTCTCAGGGGTCTCGCCTTCATCTACTCAATCACGGCTCGTCATATTCCCTGCGCTGCAAGCGCACACAGCACACCCGGTGTGCCTGCCCGGCCAGCTTCATATGCGTCGACCACCTGAACAGCGAGCGCGATTCCAGTGGACTGACGTGGAAGCCTGCAAGTCCCTGCTCTCTTTTTGACCTGTCCAGAATGCAAAGAGACTCCTGCATTTCTCTTCTCACTGCTCGATGGACCAGTTCTGCGTCTAAGCATGCTTGAGTAACCATGCACAATGCAAATCGCCCATAATCGCCCAAGAATGATCAACTATACTCCTCGTTCATGCCGGAGGATCTTACGGGAACCCGCATGAGTTACTCAGCACGTGATCGCGTATGAACCGCCAACAGTGCTTCCGAATCATAGGCCACAGACTCGTACACGCGCACGACCGGGGCCTCAGCCTCGTGGCACGAGAAAAGGTGCGGCTAGCTGTCAAGGCGATAAGCATGCCTGTCTGGGCGCGTCAGGCGTCAAGCACAGACTGTGACACTACAGCATCGACACACACTGTAGCATCGAGATCAAAACGAGAAATAGTTGCGAACAGGGGTATGGCTCGCCTTGGGTCTTGGGCGCGGTCAATGACGATAGGAGATGGGGGGTCAGAGCCCCAGGCGGCGGCATGGTTGAGGGGGAGCTGGTCTGGTCTGGGATCAAGGATATTGGACTTGGTCTATTCTTCACTCGAGATAGCTCTGTGCTCTTGAGTCGTTGTTGTTGTGGATGAATGGCAGACCCAGGGCGAGTGCTGGCAGACATGCATTTATCCTCGCCGATGCAGAGAGGCAACCTGCAGCGACATTGCCAACACGGGACGAGATCGGGCGGGCCATCTCACTACTGATGTGACGGCAGACTTGGGAGACCCGCAGGCAGGCTGCACCAACAAGCCCATACCACCACACACCCTTGCCTGTGGTTGCAGGGCAGGCGTTTATACGTGGTATGTACACGACGTCAACCACAGTACTGAGTTCTGACTGGCTGACGTTGGCAGGTCTAGCGCGCTACCGGTTGTTTGGTACCCAATCACAGGCGTCTCTGCGCCCTGCCTGTCGATCTGATTGGTCTGCCCACAAGGATGAGGCTGGTAGCCAAAAGTGGGACCCTTGACGGGCCTCCCCGCGCCGCTCCATCTCGCCCTTCGCCCTCGACAAAGACCTTTGGGCCGAGACATTGACAGGAGGGCCTGCCCCCCATCCATGGCCGCACATAAGAACCATAATTAAACAACAGCAAGCCTGTGTTGACTGCAGACCGGCTGATTGGAGTTGACCTGTCCCTCTCCTGGAGCATCCGCCATGCTGCTGCCACGCGATTCGTCCTGGCGTCGTGGGATACCCTGGGTTCGGCAGGAACTTCATGCACAGCCCTTTCGCATTGGCTGCCTGCCCCAGTCACACCTCCATTTCGGTCCGCCTTGACTGATCTCGCACCAACTGGGCTGTCGCGTCTGGCCCGGCGCCGCGTTGGGAGCCCGGCCCGCTCGGTGGCCATGTCACTGCTGCAGGCGGGCCATGCTGGAGAAATCACCGCACGTGGTTCGCCTGGCAAGACATCCTTTCGCATCCCGTATAGATCTCGCTCGCTCGATGAGGGGGGAAGAGGGAGGACTGGCCCAAGAATATCTTCCGGATATCAGTAATCATGTTGACAACCTGCCTAGTCTGCCTTCATTCATCTTCCCACGCCCCCCATTCCATACAGGGGTCCATCAACAGCCCGACCAGGATCGCCGATAGACATATTTATCACGCAAGAGGGGAGAACGCCAACGACAGCACAGTCACAATCGGACTGTTAATTCACATGCCCTTTCTCCACCTTGTCCAACTCAGCGCTCGGCCGAGTGGTCCTCATTGCTGGCGCTGTGCGCCCCCTTCCCTGTAATAATAGCCCGTGCTTGGTGGAAGGAGAATTGTTGGTTGGCGACTGCTGCTCTCGTTGCATACCGCCACGCAGGGAAAGGAGAGAGCTGCGCAGATGGCAGGTCTGAGGGCAGGAGAGGAGGCATGCACGGGTCTTTTTGCCGACTCTGAAATGGCTGCGATCACGACAGGCAAGGGCAGCAGCCATGCAAGATCAAAGTGGTCAGGAAATGTGTGAGGGCGTCACCAGACAAGCTTAGATGATGATGATGGGCGGAGTAACGTGCGTGAGCATGGGCTCGATTGGAATCTATCATACGCGCAAATGACAACAACACTGTGCAACCAACACCTCCACCACCACAGGACGACATTACGAGAGATCCAGACCTGTCAAAGAAAGAAAGAAAAACTAAAAGAGACAGGGAATGTGTTCACACACACACAAGATCCCAAGCTTTTGTCAATGGAGAAGATGAAACATGACGAGGCGCCCACAGCCTCTCCTTGAGGGTTTTCCCACTCTGTACCACCATTAAGAAAGTACATTTGAAAGTGGCGGTGACACGACCAACGAACGAAAGCTGTGGCCCATACCAGATGGCGCCGGGGGGTTGCAATCCGTGCCGACCACCGCAGATGTCAACGGCCAGCAGGGGTCCGGTCCTGGGCTGAAGGAGCGCGGCCTTTCCGCGCCTTGGTTGGCCGAGCCCTATGAGGTCGGAGTTGCGGACCCACGTGTCTGCAAAGGGACGGTGCGCAGGCCAGGCCAAATCACCGCCGTTCCTCACTTCACCTCACCACCGACACCGTGCCCAGAGCTACCTCATCTGGGGTATGGGAGCTGTGCCTTGGCTCGATAGAGCTTTCAAGTGTAATGTCGTGGCCTTTTGTTGGTCGCGACGCTGTGGTTGCAGGCAGCCAGCGGTCGAGCGTTCGCGTTTGGGTTTCGCCAGCTTTCAGAGCCATGCACGCGGCAAGCTGAACCCGCTTAGCCATGGTAGGGCATGGGGCCACTCTGATCGTGCCAGTACATGGGCCCATTGTCTTGCTGTGCAAGATCCGCGCCTGGCATCGGATGGATGCCTCCCATCACCGGGAGTGAGTACGTGGAGCTGGGCGAGTCGTGGGCAGAGAGCTCATCGTAGCCTTGGTGCTGGAGCTCGTAGGGGTAGCCCTGGCTCATTGGAAGGCTGTATCCTGTACCAGGGTATGATGAGCTGCGTTGGTGGTACGGGTGGTGCGCATCCAGATCGGCAAAGCTGTGGTGGTACTGAGACAGGCTGTAGTCCTGGCCGAGGCGGCCCTGCCGTGCCTTCTTGCTCGCCAGCCGGCTCCTGCCAGCGTTGAGCCCTCCTTTGCGCCCTGCAGCTGAACGATTGGCCACCTTTGTCTTGGGTCGAGTCGGGCGCGGGGACTTCGGGTTGCCATTTGCATCCAACTTGCGGTATCTCGTGGTGCTCAGGAACCGTTCGATATCCACTGCCCACGGCTCCAGGCACCACTCAGAGATCATCTTCTTGTTCGTACGATCCGACGGCATGGCCGGGCGGCTGTGACGAACGAAAGCCTGCCACGCGCGCTGTTAGAAATCACTTGTAACGTCGAAACGCCAGACATCGCGAGGGCTAGGTACTCACGTGATTCATACTGAGGTTGTGGCGAACACTGTTTGTCCAGCCCTTGGTCTCTTTGTTTTCTGGGTCCAACCCAGGCTTGTTCGTGTGGTCTCTGAACCACTGATAGATGTCCTTCAGCGCCATGGCGTGCCTGTCAGAGCCCATGAGAGCCAGGCGAAGGAGCTTGGCGTAACATGCATTGCCGTCAATCTCTTCTCCATTTAAGCTGTTCCAGTCCTCGGTATCTTCGTCATCTTCGTCATTCCCAAAGCCTTGGTTCATGTGGCGGATTGTGTTGGTCTGAGATTGCAGGGTCGAGGTTGCTGACGATCGAGATTCGTGCGTTCCCTCTGCACCTTGTGTAGACATGTACAGTTGCATGTCGTAAGAGGGAATTTGCGGCTGACCCGCAGGCCACGACTGAGGTAGGCAATCAGCCTCGTGGTGTGTGCTTGACCAACAGCTCTGTGGGCTTGGGACAGACGAAGACTCTGGCGATGCCGCGGGTGTAAGCCAGGCGTGGGCGGGCGCTGGCGAGCCCTGGTACGAGAACGAGTCACCATCCGAGACCATAGACTCTGGTCTTGACTGAGCCTCGCCGGCCGGCCCGGAGGCAGATTGCGAGGTCATGTACTGCTGCGATCCGGAGGGAAGGGAGCGCGGTGGCTCTAAATGAGGCGGGTTGACTGCATTGAGGCGGTGAACCGCCATCGGAGGACCTGCCATATCGAGATGTGCGAAGCACTCCTCAAACTGTTCGGCCGGGTAGAGCACAGGTGCTTTCGAGATTGTGGCAGGAGAAGTTGAGGTCTGGTCCTCAGTGTTGTTTTGAATGGCCTGACCTTGATAGTGGTAGTAGAGCTGCATGGTGAAGATCAAGACACTCGATCGCGACGGGGGTTCAGGGGCTGATATAAGGGTGCGTTCTGTGGTGTGTGACGTTCAAGATGGCTCGTGAACTGCCAAAAGAGTATTTTTGGGAAACCGCGTGGCTGTCAGGTCTGGCTGAGGAGTAATGCTCAGGTCACTCAAGCAACGCGTGACTGGTATCAGCTAGCGGCGGGAGGGCCAGAGCGGTCCAGATTCGGATCTCTAGGAGGCCCGGTGGCAAGTCTGTGCATGTGCCAGTATGTAGGGAACGCTCTGTTGTTTGCGTTCTCGGTTCTATAGATGGAACCAGGACAGTGGTGGGGACGATGCCGTGTTTGTTGTGCGGCCGCTGAGGAACCAGTGTATGAGACGACGGCGAGCTCGGAGGACTAGTATATGAAGTGTTTGCGAAACAAAGTGGAGCTCAGATGTCGAAACGGCAGGAGCAAGCCCAGACGAGACGACTTTGTCCGTTGTGAGGATGGAATGGCTGACGAGGATGAGGAGGGTGAGGAAGAGGAGCATTAGAGATTGTTTTCATGAACGTCAAGTGGGTGGAAGCAGCGATCAAATATCCCGTCGAGCACGTGGCGGCGCACCTCCATGGCAAGGCAACCTTGCGGCTCTGGGCCATGTCAGTGTCGTCGGTTGGCTCGACCGGCCTTGTAGATTGTACATGACGAGAGGCCGGCCCGAGAATGAGACGGCGTGTTAGCCGCAGGGATCCAGGCTGGCGCAGGCGGCACACAGGCCATGTTGGCCCCAACGGTCTGGGGTTCATCGCAGGCATGCCTGAGGCTCGTGGTCATGCCCTCCACGAGGCGTGTATCAGGGTGGACGACAACTGCACGTCGATGGCCCCGGCTCGTCTGGATCTCAGAAAGATCCGTGGTGACATATGCCGGATATGGCGTGTACCAGTCACGATGCTGAAGCCGGGACCCCTGTGTCCACCCCTGCCAACACGATCAGAGGAGATGGCCCCTGGCAGGCCAGGGTGCAGGAGATAGGTACTGCACCTCCACACAGACGACAAGGCATGTAGACTTGCAGCATCACTCTGCCTGCGGGGGCTCTGGCGCTACTGCACGTTCCATGGCTGTCTGCTGTTGGCCCGGGTGTTGGAGGTGGCACTTGGGGGTCCTTTTCTGGTCTCCCAACCCAGAGAATGGCATCTCTAGGGCTGTCTCCACCACCTTCATTCACGATCTGCTCTGGATGGGCAGGGGTTTGACGGCCTGCAAGGGATCTCGCCCACACCAAGCACATCCCTGCTTATGCGGGAGATGCTCGCCTTGCTCGTCCCATAGGTATTTCCGCTGTGTCATGAAGCGCGTGCCGGTGGTCATGGCAGGGCTGCACACTGGGCTTGATGCTTCTCATCTGCTCATCGTCTGTGCGACCCCGGACATGGGTGGTGGCGGGCGTTCTGGTCCCCCAGCCCCAAGCTACAAGGCAGTGCTCCAGAGACGAGACGGTCCCCCCGGCAGATGGTGTAACTGTCCCAGCCCTTTGTGTTCTGCGCTCACACCACCCCATCTACTCTTCCCCTCGCGCTTTCGCTCCCTCTGCCTGCATCTCTGAGGTGGTGGCCATGGTTGGTCAGAGTGCCCGCCCAGACCCGTCTGAGGACATTGTTGCGAGAAAGCGATCCTCACCTGTTCGGACGCCACGATAGCTCTAGCCCCCATCAACTCCCAAACGCCTGCAGGCCTCGTGCTCTTGCCGCCGGAGCGCGCCTCGGGAGCCAATCTCCTGACGCACGGCGTCAACATGTCTCCTCTGTTGGTCCACCTGTGGGCCGCCCTTGCAGGCCTGGCAGTGCTGCTCCGGCGGAATCGGTGGGTGGGCTGTGTGAGTCGGTTGTCCCCAGGTGAGGCCGTCAGATGTCCACTACTGTGATGTCTCCAATGGGGCTTCTCATGGATGTTACAGAGAGCGGGCAGCAGCGAGATTCGCGAGTGGCTAATTCTGAGATCACCGCGCTTGAAATGCCTCGGATAGGCACCCGCGCGGAAAACGCGGAATGCCTAGTTGGTTGGTCGCTTGGTGGCGAGCTCCCCAGCGATCTCGGGAGCATAGCGTCGTGATGATTTTTCAGATCCGCACGCCGCGTATGCTCAATGCCTTCCTCCCGTTGGGGGGAAGGAATTGGCCGTTGGGCGTATGACTGGCATGCCGATCGCGCAACATGTTGTATCACACGACAATCATTTCCTGGGCTGCTGTCAATCTGTTGTAATCGTGGAATGAGATCGTCGTCGTTGCTCCTACAAGCGGCGTGCATGCTCTGGCCGCTCGACCCGTGATATGACACCCCGTTGAGGGAGGGCCGGCTGGACGGAAACGGACTGACAGATGCGACAGACCTCGTGGCAAGGCTACACAGAACGAGCTGCCGCTAATTCTCATTCCATGAGCGGCCACAGGCCGGCAGTGTGACCAAGGATTGTGGTATTCTGCGGCTTGTCCACCGCGGCAGAATGACTCGTCCATACACGCAGTCGACTTGAACAATTACCGCATGGACTGGTCAGATGCATCAGGGGGGGAGACGTCCATACTGCTTTAGCGAGCAGTGATGCTATTGAATGGCTTCTCTTGTCTTCAGTAGGTGCCCCTGGATTGGCCCGATTAGGCCCGTACAGGTGTAAAAAGTTTCTATGTCCTTTGAGTTAGTGTCGACGGCACCCGGAGACCCCGGCACCAGAGCACCTCAGCAGTTCCCCCATTCAACTCCCGATGTGAGGGGCAGCTCCTGGTCGTGTGCCGGTCAACAGCTTTGAGATCATCATCTTCGAAGCAAGGGAATCGGCCGGTTTCAAAATAGTACAGCAAAGGCCCCCAGACGTGGCACGAAATTAGGGGGATTGATGGGGCAGGACGTCCACGCGACTACCTGCGACAGGGGTCGATTGCAATAACATGAAGCGGACTGGCTGGGACGTGCTCGTATCTTATTGATCCATGCGTGACAGATTTAGATCGTGGAGGGCAGCCCAGCGAGGGCTGTATGCTAGCTATGCATTAGTGACTTGTCTTCCTGATGGCCGTTCTGGTCCTCGATCGCCGTCCAAGACCAGTCTCTATAGGCCATTTCTCTGATGGGCAACCGGTTTTCTGATCATCGAAGTCCTCAGGCAGACAGGGTTGTTCAAATGTCACGGAAAGTGACCCTCACAAAGCCTGCAACACACTTTGTGTGACTGCCAGAGGTGGCAAGTTGTCGCTTCACGAGCAGTCTTTGTCTTTTTGATGGACTGCCTGGAGTCATTGTCGACGCGGCCGCGTATATTGCATGGAACCCGTTCGCTTGTGCAACACCTGGGATATGGCGCAGGGTAATGTCCGTGGGCATGTGAGGCTGCGACCTCTCCAGCTGCACCCTTTTCTTACAGTCGGGCTATGACTACTCCACGACGTGCATGGGCCGTTCCCTCCAGGACGAGTGCCGAGAGGAAGAGGGTCCTCTCACTTCCGATAGTAGATCTGGTTTCTCCGTGTTAGCACCAAGAACCTTGCAAGTCAGTGTCGGGGGTGGGGACCAGGCGTGATGTCCACTCACCTTCTTGAACTGAAAATGCAGTTGCAGAATACCCTGTAAACCAACACAATTAGCCGATGCTAAGAATGAACATGCTGCCTGCAGCGCGCCAAAGAGTACATCATGCAAGGATCAGAGCAGGAAGAGCCGATCACCTAGCGAGCCTCAGCCACAGAATTGCCTGCATGGCATGAGGTCGGCAGTGATGAACCAGTGCAAAGAGGGGGGGAGGCCTGGCCAGAGCTCACATCGTGGTGACATGCTGCATCTGGCCACGCGATGCTCAAGCAAGGGAGAGGCTGTGCAGCGACCAGAATAGAGCCCGCGCACCACAAACTGCATAAGAGCACGTACCTTGTCGAAGCTGGACCGGAAACCCCGTTCCCTCTTTGCACTATAGTCCCACTCCTTGTCGACGATTCGAAACGCAATGTCTTCGTAGGGTGGGCCGGCGATGAAGCGGAGAAGACAAGTATCTTCCTCGCCAGCTGGAGCGAATGACTCACCCCGGCGACGGCCGTGCTCGCGGATGATCTTGAAGGTGGGAGCCTTTGTCTTGTCGATTAGGTCAGGGTAGAAGATGTTGAACTTGTAGCCTTGCACGACTTTGGGCGGCGGGTTGTCGTGGTCATAGTGGGTCTGGTTGTACTTGTTCCATTCGTAACCCATCTGCACGCGATTGAAGTATCGGGGCTTCCTGGGGCGATACTTGTTCGCCCATACCGGCTTCGAGCCGGTCGCGACCGACTCTTCTGCTGTAAAGATCTCTTCGTTCTCGCTAATACCTCGAGCCATCTCTCTCTCGTACAAGGCCTTGGTCGCCGAGGAGAAGTCCTCATCTGCGGTGGCAGCAAACCGTGCCGTTCCAGGAGCGGGAGAGCTTGCGCTCTGAGCAGCCGCAAGAGCCATCTTGGCCTGCAACGACGATGTTGTTGAAGACCCAGATGCGGCCGGGCTGACTCTTGAAACATTCGACAGTGATGTGCTTGCGGACGCAACCATCCCAGAAGCAGCGCCACCGCCAGCTGGGGTATCTGCACTGGACATCTGCTCGGCCAAACCGGGGTCCCGCTCGAGCAACTGTTTCGTCCTGGCCTCTTTGATTGTCGCGCAAATCCTCTCCAGCTTCGCCTTTGCCTTGTAGATTGACAAACTCTTCAGCAGCTGCTCCCAGTAGTCTGTGTCCAATACCTCGTCTGATCGCAGCTTGGCCTGGATCTGCCCTTCCAACTTCTCGAGCTGTTCCAGAGTCTTGGGTCCCAAGATCTTGTCCACATCTGCCGAGACCGAACTGACCACCCGCTCCTCGCGTCCGAGGGGTTTCAGGGTGCGTCTCCTGTCCGCACAGATAATCTTGAGCGCAGACCAGTATTCGGCATTCCTCGAGCTCGTCTCGAGGGTGTGATACGAAGCAATCTCAGACTCCAGCTCCTCGAGCTCGGCCTCGCGCAGCTTCTGGATGACCGCGCTCGGGGACGGCACGTCGATCTCGATGTCCTGGTCCTCGTCGTCGAAGACATCGCGATTGGTGTCAATATATCGCAGGTTGAAGGCCAGCAGGTCTATGGGCTTCGCGCGGCCCTCGCGCACGCGGATGTCGGCCTTCTTCTTGGACTGCTTGAGGACAAACTTGTCTTCGTCGGCGACGTACTGCCGCGACTGCTCATCCTGGCTGAGGTAGCTGCCCACGGCCGCCGCGCGGCCGGGCAGTGGCTTGTTCTGCGCCGGCCGTGGCGGCTTGCTGATTCTCGACGAGTTGTCGCGACGCGGAGATGTGATGTCTCGTCGGGTCGGTGACCTCCGGCCGTTGATCATGGCTTGCCGGCCTGGATCCATGATTGGCGGTACCCTATGCTTGCGAATAAATCGGTATGGTCTAGCAGAGGACTGAGCGTGAAGACTTAGGCGGCCAAGAGTCGCTTGCTTTCGTGTTTGTCGTTTGAGCTGGCGTCGATAAGCGTCGATTGTGCTGGTGGAACTGGATTCAGCCTGCGTCACGGACCCGCGACCCCCAGACATTGGATGGAGATCCACTAAAAAGTTGCAGACTGCTGACGTAACACTTCCTGTGCAGTGGCAGCGTTAACGACTCCACCCGTTCGTCTCCCAGGTCAGGTGTATGATAGACCAACCAAAGTCGCGCGCGCATAGTAGATTAGTATGAGCAAAACACTAAGATGCTGGTTCGCGAGGGAGCCGTGAAAAGAGACATCAGTATAACAAGTAGGACTAGTGGGAAGATTCCCAAGGATTCATGTTAAAATGCGATCCGCAGCCTAATACCGTGCCTACGAGTGTTTTGTAAAGAAAACAAAAATAAATGACACAAATCATGACAAAAGACATACACTTATGTGACTGCAGCAGAACGCAGCACTACATTATACCCAGCACGTGCAGTTTTGGTCCTGGCAAGCTAGGTCATTTAAAGGATGAGACAGTTATATACAGGATAACTCCTTTCATTGTAAGTACGAGGAATAAAAGCAGGCATTCTAGTGCGAGAACGCTATACAATAAGAGACTACCCTAGGTCGACGCCAACAACTCCATCATTAATGTGCAAGTCGACCTGCTTGCAAGCACAATATTTACATGGGTCGAGCATCTTGAACACTTGGTCCTAGACTTCACCGCCAAACAATGTTGCCACGGCCATCGCCACGGCGGGCTGCACCTCCCATCGCCGCTCCACCAATAGTGATGCGACGAGTCGTACGTCCAGCTTCAGCAGCATCGCTGTGCTCGCCGGGGCTTCCAATGGCGCCACGAACGCTGCCACCAAAGTTCATGCGCCTAGCTTGACCAGGGGTGAATGATTTGGCTTCCCGGACACTCAGATCAGACGGTGAGCAGCTGATCGGAGGACTCCGACGCCGCTCTGCACTGCCTCGACGAAGGCGAGAAATGCCGTTTGCGCTGGAAGAGAGAGGACCGGAATGGTTGTGGTTCTGTCTATGCGTCGAGCCACCGATCGAGCTGATCGAGGATACGCGGCGATTGCTGGAGCCTGCCGGGACCGTGAACGTAGCAGATGACAGCCGGTCTCTTCGCTTGCTGGCATGAAGGGCAGAGCGTAGCTTGGACGGATCGATCATGCTCGAAGACTCCGAGTCGGATGAAGGAGGCTGGTTTTCATCTACTGTCGACATCGAGGCAATCGCAAAACCGGAAGGAACGGGCAAACTTGAAGAAGGCGATACAGATGGTCGTGGGCTTAGAGAGGCGATTCGCGTTCTTGGCGATCTGATGTTAGCAGCCTTCGCCAAGTCCAAAGACCGCAGCGGACTCGGTCGCTCGTCGGGCTCCGTCGAGTTCATGATGATAGAGGAGTTTCCTGCGTTCGGCGAGCCGATGCCCATAGACGGCCGGGACTTCGACAGGAAGCCCGCTTGGAAGCGATTTGGCTTCGCCGCAGGGAGCGATGTAGCTTCTGGGATGACCAGGGATGGACTTGATTCGTCCATAGAGTCGTTCTCAAGGTACGCCGGCGCAGCAGGGGCGGCCAGAAGAGTTCTCTCGGGTGAGCTCTGTTCAGGCGTGGATTCGTACTTTCGAGGTGTGAGAGCAAAGTCCGCTAATGTCCCTGACTCGCCATCATCGTCGCGCCACCGAACTGCACGCTTGGATGGGGACTTCTTCTTGACCGGCGTGAAGCTCACGCTTTTGCGCGCACTGCCTGCCTTGCGGCGCCGCGGTGACCCCTTCATTGGCGATGCGTATTCCGTCGTTTCGTCTTCTGCAACGGCCGCCAGTCTGGGGTTTTGCACAGCCCGGGACAGCAATTCGCGGGGCGCCGTGGACGACCTCCTTCGTTTCGGTAATCCTCGTTTCGCCGGGGCAAAGGTCTCGACAGGCGGAATGGTGCTATCCGGCTTGACAACGTGGCCCGCGGCGGTGAAGCCGGTGTCAAGAAGCTTGTTTATAATGCCCTTGGCATGGGCAACCGCTTCGTCCTCATTCATGGACGAGGTGTCTGAAAGCGCAGTCAAAATCTCAAACTGGGCAGTCAAGAGTACCTGCAGTGTTCCCGCATCCCCAGTCTTGTCTTGCTGGAGGACTTCTCTGTAGGCCTCCCTTGTGAACTTCGATTTCAAAAGCTCAGCTTCAAGCTCTAATCTCTCAATTTCGCCGAATTCACCTGCACCTGCTGGCAGCTGGTTGATGCTGTGTTGTAAGGCCACGTCAATAGCGCGTTCCCAATGTGTCTTGTCCAGCTTCTGGTGCAAGTGATAACGACTGTTCTCAAGCTCAAGCATGATCCCGTGCGCAGTTTTCCGCAACGCGGACAGATTGGCTGGCATCGCGTTCTCATCGCCCCTGGTGTCACAGATGGTGTCGAACGCGGCGATCCAGGATGAGAGTAAGCCGATGCGGCGCTCGATACCACGGAGCTTCTTCATGTGTGCGACCTTCTCTTGGCGCTCGGATGAGGAGTTATCGTATGCGGCACGAATTCTCTGGACGCCTTCGCGCACACAACCATCGGCCTTTTCTGCCTGCTTCCGGAACTTGGCGAAGAATATCTTCTCCGCGTCCTTTTGCTGCGCCTTGAGCTCGTTGATGAGAGCCATCTGCTCGTCAATCTTGACCAAGAAATCCTTGACGTGACGGTTCACGTTGAAGACATTGCGGGTGACCTTGGTCTGGATGTTTTTGGCGCGATTGGCATAGCGAAGGGTGTTCTGGGTTTCGTCGAAGTGGACGCTCGAGGGGCTGACACAAACAATCATGACCGTCTTGCAGTTGCCGCCAAGAGAGAATTTGAGCAGGCGGGTGAGCTTGCTGTTACGGTATGGAATGTGGTTCTTCTTGCGCGGGTCGCAGAGCGCATTGATGCAGCTACCAAGGGCAAGAAGAGACTTGTTGATGTTTGCACCCTCAAGAAGCCGCTCGCCGCGGTTCTTGGTAGCACTCGCACGCTCGCTTCCTGCAAGATCGATAATGCTCAGAGTGGCCATGGTGTAGGGCTCGTTGACAGGGGCGTTGCGGTCTTTCTGCGCAATGTTGATCTGGATGACGGCGTGTGATCGGGACGATGTGGCGTTGGCCTCTGTGGGCGAAACTGTTCGGTACTCGTTGCCCTGAACAATCATGTCCATAACCTCCTGGACGTCCTTGGGCTTGTGACTTGTGAGACCGGCCACAGTGACGGCCTGATTCGAATCCTCGCGGAGCATGAGACCCTGCTTGCTGCCACCAGGGACAAGCAAATCGCGAATTGTCTCATTGTAGATCTCCAGGTATGACAGAGACACTTCGGTGTGCTTCTCATCGCTGCGGTCTGCAATCTTCTCGAATAATTCTTGCATCGTTAGAAATATGATGCCGGGCATTTGGGCGGTGCCCGTGATGGTGTGCGTCTTTCCACATCCTGTCGCGCCGTAGGCGAAGACAGTGGCATTGTATCCGTCAAGGACGCTGTCGAGGAGTGTTTTCGTAGTGGCTTCGTACACCTCTGATTGTGTCGTGTTGTCGTCGAAGACGCGATCAAAAGCGAAGACCTGATCCTTGACTTTCTTTCCCTGTGGTACTACTGAGCGCGAGAATTTCTGTACCGGGTTATCCTCTGGCGGATCAAATACCCTGTGGAATATGTGTGAGCTTCATCCATGATGGTGTCGCCTACATTTCTCGCCATGGTTTGTATACGTACAGGCACCTCTCGTCGACAACTTTGATCACAGAGCGAATGCCGCTGCTTTTCAGCTTGGGCTGAGGGGCGCCGGCAAGAGAGCCGTCGCCGAGAAAGAGTGTGCTGTCATCTATCCGTTGTCTATTTGGCGTGATGGGCTGTCAGCTCTCTACTCTGGTCGTCCCACACCCTCAGCTAGCAATCACGATCGGGCTTGGGACAACTCACATCTGGGCAGCTTCTCTGATGGTGAAGGGCCGGACGCGGACGACGACAGAGATAGACGAGGCCCCTGGATCAGCAGAGGCCATGATGGATATATCGGAAGTCGATTTCTGTTCTGTTTCCCGGCTATAAGGGGCGCTTGCGCAAGAGTGGGAGGCAATGTATCGTTGTGAAAGAATGGCGTTTTGAAAGTAAACAGTTCAATGTTTACGTTGCAGGGTGGGCGTTGCAAAGGGATATCGTCATTGGTGAAGGCAACGCAAAAAGGACAAAGTTGTTGCCGTGGAACAACTGGCAATGCGATCAAGGCGCAGCTGTCGCAGTCGAGAGGGCGCGCAGGTAGTCGTTGGGCGATGTCGCTGTTGTCGTGTATGCGAGATGGGAATGAAGTAATCGAGGGTCTCGGGCAGATAGCGTGCCTGATAACGGTCGTGAATGTTGACTTGATGCAGGTGGGTCGGGAAGCTTGGTCGTTGTGCCGCCAGGCCCACTGTTAATGTATCTCTGCTGCAAGAGTGGGAGAAGAGTGACTTTGGCGCCCCATCATGACACGGCAAGTGGGCCGTTACGACTAGCTGCAGGGTTCGAGTTGTCACGACAACGAGTACCCATGCCCCTCCCGGCCAGTCAGGTGCATGCACGTTTGCGTCCTGCCAATTTCAACTGAAGTATCGCTCTTGCGAAGAACTACCTAGGTAAATATAATGTCCATGCGAATATGAGCTTTGGCAAAGTCCCTTAATTGAGGCTGGAAATAAGGGGCTGGATTGTTTCATGTGGCGCTCACAATTCTTGCCAATATGTTCACATCTGCATTTCGCTCGCTCGTCCGAACAAGATGGATGTCGCTGAGTGGTTTAGCAAGCTTTATCAATCACACCACATTCACAAATCCTTCTTCTGTACTTGGCCAAGTGTCTGCCGCGACCAAGGTCAGAGCACCCGGACAAGTTCACGCCGGAGAATTTAATATGAGTTTTAATGTCATATCACTGAGCAAATGCAGCTGGTAGCCGGAGTTTTCAAAGTGAACCATTCTTTAAATCGACAAACGATTGCTATGTACACTCCACCCAAAGACCACGTGCCCATGGAACGCCAACAAAGACGTCTGACCGCCAGGTAATCACCCGCGCATTGAGATTTGGGACATTTGTCTACTCGGCTGACTTGACATCAGCTGAGCTGGTGCCGTCGTCAGTAGGCAAGCCCTCCTCATCACCCGGCTCCCGGTAAGTCCCTCTCGGCTTGGCACCACGGGTACGCTCGTCGATGACGTTGCTCTCGTCAATGGCGTCGGCATCGTCACGCTCTGCACAAAAAATTTACGAAAGTCAGTCAACTAAGCGAGTCTTGTCACACCCGGCCCCGCAACGTGGGTTGAACCAAGCCTCACTGGGCGTTTCTCCGTATGAAGCAGGGAATGGGTAAAATGGCTACTCACCAAGCTGCTCGTCAGAGTCAGCAGTCTCGGGGTTGATAGGGTCCTCAACCTGCTCGCGGTCCGAGGTGACTGGAATGGGGCCCTGCTTCTGGCCGGTGCGCGAGACGTAGGACTCGTCAGAGTACTCGCCAGAGGGGGCGTTCTCGGAAGACATCTTGGTGGATTGTTGTTATTGCTGTACGTGAAAGATCCCTGGAAGTTGGTTGTGTATTTTTATGAAAGCGTAAGAGCAATTCAGTTTGACTTGAGTTTTTAGTAGAGAAGCGAAAAAGACTGCGTTGTCTGCAGGAGGATGCCTTGAACTTATACTGTAGCTCCTCCCCCGGAGTATCAGCTCCGACCAGAAGTACTCGTGGCGGGTGGGCTAATTCGAAGCGATTCCTGGCTTCAACTAGGCTATGCGACCTCGACATGTCTCCATCGAATAGATCGCATGTGCATCGACGACCCCCTCAAAGGATGCCTGAGCCGTCAATGATGGCCCAGCCCGTGTTAGTCGGTGTCAATTTCCCAGCCACAAGGAGGTCTCCACCCTGAGCAAGCGCCTCAGAGAGACACTCTGATGACGCCGTGACGAGCACACCATCAATTTGCTTATTCCAATCCCATTTTGCTGGAAAACTACATGTGACGGGCCGACCTCGATGCATTCATAGATTAATTTTAGTGCGGCGCGGAGCAGAATGTGCGCGGTGTGCCAGTGTTGCTTATTCTTAGCTGCGTGGATTCGGAGTGAGTTTCACGGTTCAATGACGCCATGACGCACAGTCGCGGTTCCCCATCACGCTATCTCTGAGCCCGCCATGACGGCGACATGATTCATCGAATGAGAGAGGCATTGGACAACATAAGTTATAGAGAGATATCGAGGGACAGCTGATGCAAATTGATCGACAAGGGAAGTCGCAGTGATTGGACATGATGCTATCGTTGGGGCAATGGCTGTGATTGATTGACCCCGGGGTGCAGGCGCGATCTAGATCGGAACTTGATATCCCCAGAACCATTTAATGATGCATCCGAAGCTGTGCAGGAGCAACAGTATGGGGAAGCTGCGGGTGAATCGATTCGTGCCTGATGCTGTCAGGTTCCGCATGTCAATTCTTTGCGCATATGTTAGGGTAGTCCCGGAGGGCACTTCAGGGTGGCTTGCAACACTTTGCACACGGCGAGTTACAGAATTCTTGACAGTGATTCCATTCAGCCTGTTATCATGCAGCCCAGATAGGGGTTTCCCTTGAATATCTACATGGTATTTACCAAACTTATAGTTTGATGTGCTGATACACTAATCGTACAACCATCGGCTTGCTGACAGATAGCCTGCCTGCCTGCCTGCCTGCCTGCCTGCCTGCCTGTATGCACCCTCAAACGTTTAAGCCTCACTTTCCTTGCGGAACAAGTGATAGGTCTTCTGCTGCTCCAGCGTTGTCTTGCTGGGACTGCCCACCAGCAAGTCCTCGCCCTTATTGCTCTTGGGAAACGCAATGACATCTCGCACAGAGGAAACGTCACAGATCAAGGACATGAGGCGATCAAAGCCTATGGCAAAGCCCGCGTGAGGCGCGCAGCCTGCGCGCAGCGCCTCGATCAAGTGCGAGAATTGTTTTACGCCCGCATCGCTCATCTTGAGGATGTCGCGCATGACGTATTCCTGCAACTCGGCAATATGGATACGACGGCTCCCGCCTCCTATCTCGACACCGTTGAGGACGAGGTCGTAGTGCGCCGCTTTCGCGGCCATGGGGTTTGTGTGCAGCAGGTCGAAATCAGCGGAGGTCGCTGGCGCAGTAAAAGGGTGGTGGGTTGCGCTGAATCCAGCTGCTCCGCCTTGGCCCGGGTCATCTCCGTCGGGGGTGAAGAGGGGAAACTCGTTGACCCAGAGAAACTTGTAAGAGTGGTCGCGAGGCACGAAGCCTTCTTCGACGAGTTTCGCATAAATCGCAGTGCGCAACCTTCCGGCGTCGGTGGACCCGCCTTGGAAAGGTTCATCCTTTCGAGCATGGATCATGACAATGTCGCCGTCCTCGCACTCGGACCATGAGTCCGTGTTCAACTCAAGCAGTTTGCTGGCGGCATCGTGCCCAAGCGCTGACAAGCCGCGAACCGGTCGGCTGGAATCGATGACAAACACTCCTGGCGTGCTGGCAGAATCCAGCTTCAAAGGTGTATTGGGGAGATCGTCCATGAATTTTCTGATGAACTCGGAGTTCGCCTGTGGCGACCGCCCTGTGCGGAATTTGAAAGCCTCGACAGCTGGAGCCTTGTGATTCGTAATCATTCCAGAGAACTCTGCCGGCAGGAAGCCATCGATTCGAACGATCTGTGCTGATTAGCATGCAAACCTTGAACAACGGACGTGACGAAAATACCTACCTCGGAGGCATAGGGCTCTGCAATACGCAAGTCGGGCTTGTCCGAGCCGAATCTGGACATGACATGCTCATAAGAGTATCGTGGAAACGAAGTAGCAGCTGCTACGGCACTCACGGCGGCATTTGCTTGCCGTTCTTCATCGCTTTGAACCTCGCTAGATCGCCGGAAGTCTTTGTACACTATCTGCACATGGCGAAAACCATCCTCCACTAAGACTTGGCATCGCCTCTCGATAAACTCGAAGGCAGCAACCATCAAGCGCTCTACATAGTGCATGATCTTGTCGGCATCAGCAAAGCCGACTTCCAGATCGAGCTGGTCGCGTGTCAGTCATTCTTGTCGGGTTCCATGGCAATGCGGAGACCGTACCTGTGTGAATTCCGGCTGCCGATCAGCGCGATGGTCTTCATCGCGGAAGCATTTAGCGAACTGGTAGTATCTGGGCACTCCACCCGCCATAAGGAGCTGCTTATACTGCTGAGGGCTCTGAGGCAAGGCATAGGCGAGGCCCTGCTTCCGTGTTGGTACCAAGAACTCTCGAGCTCCCTCCGGGGTTGACTTGAACAGGACAGGCGTTTCGACTTCGATAAACCGGCAAGTGCGCAGGCTGTTCCTCAGGGTGGTCTGAATCTCAGACCGTAGCAAGAGCCTGTCGAAAAGCTGGCTGTCGAACCTCATTTGCAGATGCCTTTGCTTCGGTGCCCAAACGGCGTCCTTCGACACGACGATGTCCTTGGGAAAGACGTTGAGTGGCCTGATAGAGCGCAGATGAAGATCCCACGTGGTTTTCAGGCCTGTAGCCTTGTCCTTCACAGCATGCACCAGCCCGGTGACGGTCACAGGGCTATATGCAGGGATATCCCTAAGTGCTCGATGTGCCTCTTCTTGAAAAGGCTCGCCAGGGGTGGCATTCGACACAATCTGCATGGGGAATTTGGCAACGTCCAAGGGACAGAAGCTGAGCTTTGCGCCTTTGTCTCTCCGTTTCCCGAGGAACCCGTGGACTGTCGCCACCTTACCGTGTATGATTGTTGTCCGGTGTGGTATCACGACTGCAAGGCTGTTAAATTAACTTGTTGAGGCCCGGGCACGAGTCAGATGTACTGCTTACAGGAGTCTTTAATGAAGGTCCATTGCTCCTCCGAAAACGAAGGCGGACGCCCGCCGACTGGTGCCGAGACATCTTCATTGATGCCAGGCTCGGCTCGTGGCTGATCCCTCACAATGGCAGGCTGGCTCTCGTCGGGACTCTCAGTAGAGATCTGACGGCAATGCGCCGGCTGACGATATCGAGATGAAGCTCCTGACCCAAGCGGTCGCAATGGGGCTTTGCCATGCGATGGGATTATGTGTCTCGGCGGAAGCCGAGGGAGCAGTCGAACCATGGCGCTGCTGACGATTATATTGCGACAGCTCAAGCCATCTGGGAGGACACTGCAAGCTCCTTCAACTTGACCCTCTGTGCTTCCAAGGTTGCTGAGCATGAAGCTACGCTGTGCTGTGTCTGGCCTGGGACTGATGGATCAAACCACCCCACAGGACAGTGCGCGTTTTGCCCTTGCACCATCCCCCCCAGCTTGGCTGAGCAGGCGGGCGTACAGTGCTGTGTACAGTCTGGCACAGGTTGTGCGCCCGTTGCGCCCCACCGTGTCGCGAATTTATCAAGCTGGCAGCGGGAGCAGCAATTATCAAAAGTTTTCTTTCCTCTTCATCCCTTCCAATTCAAATCAAAGTGAGTCTCCGCGCAACCACCACCGGCCCCTGCCACACATGCTAACTACTCGTCTTCGTCTAGATGATGAAAGCCGCGTGTAGTAGATGATACGTTGCAGCTCGCGGAGCTTCAGAACTCTCCCTCTCGAGGGCTCAAGTGGTTCTGCTGCAAAGCGAGCTGCGACTATGCAATAAGCGTTCGGCACACCGACCTTGTTATACACGGACGCGTTATAGGCAGCTCTGACTTGTCTTTGAATCAGCGAAGGCCCTCCCCCGTCTTTTCTTGTGGTTGATCGCAGCACCCTCCATCCTCGCATTCACTACCCCCTCACCGTACACGCCTACTGAGCGCACAAGTGTGTAGCTTCAGTGCGACGATTTCCTTGTTCGAGGGCGCAATTGAGCCTGTGTTGGCCAACGTTGCGCAGAGCTAAGAGACAGAGTGTTTCCTCCCAATTGTTTCGTATGCCGTGTGATGTGCTCAGTGGACACATGTTGCACGTAGATAACATACCGCCAGATGCAGTAATATAGATTCGTTCCATCAGCAAATGCGTGCCCAGCCGAGCCTCTTGATCTTTATGGGGAAGCAAGTAGGCTCTGTGTCGACGACGTGCTCCGGTGAATCTTGTCTGTTTATATGAGTACCTTACGGTAGTCTTGTGCTGAGCGATTGCGTTTGCTGGGTTGGCCGCTGGCTCGCCGCTTGGATGTGGTCGGAAAGCTGCATTACAGGGACGACCCAGGAGCAGTCACGATTTGGCGCTGACGTAGCTCGCACTAACTTTGGGACGAGTCCCCGACTCTGACAAAGCGCGCCCCGTGTAGCCTTGGAGAACACGAGCCATGCTTGCAATGATTTGGGGATATGCACATTGTCCGAATGACGATTCCAATGAGCTTGGGAAGGTCAAGGTCGACCAAACCAGCTCTGTTCATGCCTGATCGATACCTAAGTAGTTTGGTATGCCTGGGTTGTCCAATTGTCGTGGCAGCCAATTGTCCAGACCACAAGTGACGACTGTCAGACCAGGCAAGGGGCGGGACTGACCGACCTCCAGCTCCCGCCCAATTTCCCACGAGCTCCGCCGCCGCGCACTGCTCCAACCTCCACCTGCGCCCGCGACGCCCTCCCTGGCCTCAACACCACGCCGGCAACGTCGCCTTCCACATCTCCAGCTCTGTCTGCGCGACCCCAGGCGCCTGCAAGCCCGCCGCTGCTCGTCGCCAGAATCACCACAGCTACCGAGCTCCCACCCGCTCGCCGGCAGCACCAACTCCAATCTTCGACATCCACTAGTACCAACATTCTTATCCTCTGCCGACATATCCGCCTGAACCCTGCGCCTGCGACCCATCGGATGCGCCCTTCCTGCTCCCCGAACCGTCAAGCTCGCCGTTGGGACCATAGTCAATCAACAGAAGCTACACGGCATTATTTCCAGCTCTAATAGCAACAGAACGCCCCCCACATCGGCAACAGCCAGAGGCGAACCCCCCACACCAAGCGAGCCAGCCGTCAAGCTCCTGCGTCGCAATCGAGCTCATTGTTATTGCTGCGGGCAAAACGCCACAACAGCACGCGTTCGGACGCTCAAGGTTTCATCCAGGTTGACTATACTACTTGCGCACATACGAGGCCATCGTGTCGTGCAGCCACGTCATGGCCAGCTCGTTTGAGAAGTCGGTCAAGGGCGCAACCAAGATCAAGGTCAGTCTTACAGTGGCAGCCCGGCGCTGGCGAGCAGGCAACTTGTCTACAAGGATGATCATATTTGTGGCCGTGAGGTTCCTCCTCAATACTAATATGGACAAACAGGCTGCGCCCCCAAAGACGAAGTACATCGAACACATCTTGGTTGCGACACATGCAGGTGAAGCCGGCGTGGGCGAGGTCTTTCGTGCCTTGCAGTATCGACTTCGAGACTCGACATGGACTGTGGTGTTCAAGAGCTTGATTACGATACATCTTATGATCCGCGAGGGCTCCCCCGATGCGACACTAGCATATCTTGCGAAACATCGGAACATGCTGGCAATCAGTTCTTTTGCTGATGGTGAGTGGCTCAGATCCGCAACGTACACAAGCCGGCGTGGTCTCTTTAAAAACCCGGGTGCTAATAAGTTGGGTATTCCAGCTCAAATACAAGGCAAGAACATACGGCATTATGCAGCATATCTTGCCGAAAGGACTCGTGCATACAAGGATACTAAGATAGATTGGGTGAGGGCCAAGGAGACTCGCTTGGAGAAGCTGTCAATAGACAAGGGCCTTCTCCGCGAGACCGAGGTCGTTCAGAATCAATTGACGGCACTCTTGAAATGCGACGTAAGGAAGTCTTTACGCCACTCTGCCCGACCACGCTTGAACTAAGCTCTTGAATATAGGTCCTCGACGAGCCAGAAAACGAAATCACCATAACGGTTTTCCGACTCCTTGTATTGGATCTCCTGGCCCTCTTTCAGGTGCTCAACCAGGCAATGATCAATATCTTAGGTGCGTGGGCGACCACTCACTTGTATTCCAAGCTTGACAACGTCTAATGGAGCGCAGGTCAATTCTTTGAGATGTCAAAGCCGGACGCAGAGAGAGCAATGGGGATCTATCGCAACTTTACCAAGCAGACAGATTTTGTGGTGCAATATCTTAGTATCGCACGGCAGTGGGAGCACCACACTAGAGTTGAGGTTCCGAAGCTCAAGCACGCCCCTGTAAACCTGGGGCGCCAGCTGGAGGAATATCTCAATGATGCGGATTTTGAAATTCACCGGAGGCAATACATTGCCGAACAGTCTGCAAAGAGGGCCGGGGGAGCGTCCTCAAAGTCTGGCGGCACATCGTCCACTCCGAATGCTGCGGCAGCAAAGCTGTTTGGATCTGGTGGCACCAACGGGACCTCTGCGGCGCCAGCATCATCTTCGAAGCCGAGCGCGCCCGCGAAGGGTCCCGAGCCCGACCTCATCGACTTTTTCGAGTCAATCGAGCAGAACCAGACGCCGATGGCGCTGCAGAGTAGCCCCGAGCAACAGCAGCAGTTTCAGCAGATGCATGCCATGCCGACGGGGAACCCATACGGCGGGTTCCAGGTGCCCCAACAGGGCCAGATGCCTCCCAATGGATTTGCGCCACAACAAACAGGCTTCCAAGCCAACAACCCATTCCCAGCACAGCCCACGGGTCAGTTCCAGCAACAAGGCACAGGAGCAGGAGTATACCAGGGCTTCCAGTCACAACCTGGCTTTGCCGCTGGGGCCTTGTCCTCGATCCCGCAGGACAGTGTCGCTTCCTTTCAACAAACACCAGGAATGCTGGCTCCCATGCAGACTGGCCTCCAGCCAGGCCAACAGATCACGAATCCATTCCGTGCTTCAATGCTGATGGCGAACCCGACGGGCATGCAGGGGCCCGTGCAAACCCAGCAGATGCCGTTGCAACGGCAAAATACGAACCCCTTTGCGAGGTCATCACCGCAAAATGCGATGCCTTTCAACAACCCTCCTCCCGCCAACTCCTCGCCATTCCAGTCACAGGTTCCGACTGGCACACCGCCGCCTGCCGCACCGCTGCAGCCTACGAAGACAGGGACCAACCCATTTGCGAAGAACTTTGGCGGTGCTGGGGCTGCAGCTGGCCAACAGCAACGCCCGCAGACGAGCGCCGGTCTCGTGCCGCAGCCTACAGGCAGCACCAACCCATTCCGACAGGGCGCGTTTGTCAATCACCAAACTGGGCTCGGTTGGCAGCATAACCAGCAACCAATTGGTGGCGGGTTAGACCAGCTTGAGACAGTGCCTGTCTTCCCAAGGCCGCAGCAGCAAACGCCATGGCAGCAATGATGAGACCAGACGCACGCACACTAGGACTCAAAGTGGGGGAATGTTGACGGAGAGGTCGAAATACGGTTGCTGCGTGCCGGGGTTTCTTTCCGCATCCCCAGGTGGCATGGCGAGCACGGTTGCACATCTTGCAGCACGATGGAGGACAAGGCAGAGTAGTTCAACAAGCGGGCAAAGGGGAGCGCGCTATGTGTGTGTGGGTGTATGAGGGCCATCGACGTGAAAACAAAGCGACGAAAGCATCAAGCGGTGGCGTTTATTGTAATGACATTTCCCTTCAGATCCGCAGGTGGTCAGCTCTAGCGTAGGCTTCTCACTGGTCACTTTCCTGATATTCCTCGCTGTCTAGGATATTCCCGTATATAAATCAATACACCGAACATACTCTAGCGCATACCTTTGCGCTTTCCACGCGCTCAACCATGGGATTTCTTATGTGCAAAAGGACAGCCAAAAACGGGTCCTCGATTCTGTGTGTAAAACGCCATCGCTATGCCATGAACCCGCGTACTGTGACAAATCGCCCAGTAGAAACACACCAAGTTTGTTTTTGGTCCTCGCTCGTGAATCACTGCTCATCAGGCTCTTGTTTCGCCCCCCTTTCCCCCGCTGTCTAGCCAAAAACATCGTCGACCTGCATCCTATTGCTGCTGCCGTTACTGCCGGCGGCCTTCATGGCCGTCTCTAGCGTCTCGTTGCTCTGCGCAGCAGCTTCCGCGCCCGCCGTGCCTAACGCCCTCAGGTCATTCGCCTTCTCGTCGCCAATGTTCACGCCAAGACCTGCAAAGGCCTCGAACATGGCGCGCGCGTAGAACTCGTGTACGCTGTAGCCGGGCACGCGGTGGTTGTCGTTGTGTCGCGCGTCGTCGAGATGGGGGAACTCGTAGCTGTCGTGCAGCACGTAGCGGGCCGGCTCCGCGCGTAGGCCGCCGAAGGGGTCGTAGGGCTTGGACTCGTCCTCGTCGTCCTCGTCGTCATCGTACGGCTTCCGGCCCTTGGCCTTGAGCCCGCGGATGGACAGGCCGCCGCCGTCCAGCAGGGATGCGTAGTGGCTGCCTGAGATCTTTGCGACCTGGGCCTTCTTGCGGGCCACGATGCGCGCCTGGATCTCGGCGGCCGTGCCGGGCTCGCCTCGGGCGAGCGCCTCCATGACCTCGTCGCCAATCTTGGCCTCCTCGGCCTTGGCGCGCAGCTCCTCGTCCCGCTCCTCGAGGCGGCGCAGCCGCGATGCCTCCGCGGCGTCGGCGTCGCGCTTCTTGCGCAGCTGCTCGGCCTCCTTGCCTTTCTTCTTGTTGAGCTCAATCTCCTCCCGGTGCTTCTTCTCGTACGCGGCGAGCTCGGTCTCGGCCTTGGCGCGCTCGGCCTCGTCGCCCTGGATGAGGTTGAAAGTGAGGTCCTCGACGTTCTGGAGGTAGTCGTTCCAGTCGCGCAGGGTCTCAAAGTCGTCCTGGACCATGTTGAAGACGGCGTTGACGCGCTTGCGGATGTCGACCTCGCGCTCGACCTCGAGGTCCTTGTACCACGGCGTGCGGAAGCCGCGCTGCCGCAGCGTCTTGTTGCAACCCGCGTGCGGGCACTGCGTGGGGCCCGACTTGAAGATGTTGACGACGCAGTTGCTGCACATGGGGTGGTAGCACTCCGGGTTGATCTGGAACTCCATGTCCGGGTTCAGGTACTTTGAGCGCTTGCAGATCGGGCACAGCTCGTCGGGGACCTCGTTGCGCTTGCCGCCTACGCCCGCGGGTGTGCCGCCCGAAGGGCGAAACACTGTGGTGCTCACGCCACCGCCCGGAAGCCGGCGGGACGTCATGATGGGGGAGGCACGTGTCTTCTCTATGTGACCAGGAGGTGAGCACTGAAGTGTCGAGTACCCGAGCAGGGGCTGGGGTGATAATCGAGCTGGCTTTCCGAAGTGAAAGGAGGTCGAGATAAGACGACGAGGGAAAAGGCGCCACCGCCAGGCGACTCGTCGAAGAATGGCCTATGGATGCGCTTGAAACATCGGAACGTCGCCAACGAGATCCAAGGATCGTGGGGGTGGCAGGCGGAAGGTGAAAGGCGGAGTGGGCGTTGGTGGCAGTCTGAATGACGCAGGTTGAGAAGTGGAAGCTGCCTCACCAGGCAGAGCTCAGGGACGAGGCTGTCAAATGTCGAAGCCCCATAGTATTCTCTGAAGCTCTGTGATTGGTCATCAACGGCTCCAAATGCAGGGATGACGACAAGGCCCGGTCCCCGCGCCCCTCCACTACGGCACGGCTTGCTCAGCCTTGTCGCATTGTTTCTCGGCCATTCCGCGAAAACCCCCACCAACGGCAGCTCTGAGCATCGTGAATTCTCTCAAGGCAGACTCTGGTCCACCAAAGACAGCAGAAATGGCAGGAGAAGGTGAGTTCTGCTGTCCTGCATGACTTGGCCCCGTGAGGAATGCAACCCCAGCTGACTTTGTCGCCCCAGATCTGAACCCAGAGCAGGAGGCTGCTGCCCGCGCCCAGGAAAAGGCCGAGCAGGACGCCCTTCCCTACAAGTGGTCGCAAAACATCGGCGACCTCGACATCCTCATCGAAGTGCCCGGAAACCTCAAGGGCCGGGATATCGTCGTGGAGATCAAGAAGAACCATGTCAAGGCTGGCATCAAGGGACAGAGCCCGATCATTGATGTACGTCTCCTCTGTCTCAGCTAAGGGAAAAAGAGAAGATGCGAATGCTCGGCTCGGGGGGACACCAGTACATCCTCTGAAGCTGGGTAGAGGTCGTCTCCGGAACAATTATTTCTGACATAAACCCACCTGCGTCACAGGGCGACCTCCCGCACTCGATCCTGACCGAGGATAGCACGTGGACCCTCACGACAAACCCGGGCGGCAGCACAAAGACGGTCGAGATCCACCTCGACAAGGCCAACAAGATGGAGTGGTGGCCGCACGTCGTCACCACGGCGCCCAAGATCGACGTCACCAAGATCCAGCCCGAGAACAGCAAGCTGAGCGATCTCGACGGCGAGACGAGAGGCATGGTCGAGAAGATGATGTTCGACCAGCGGCAGAAAGAGGCTGGCTTGCCCACGTCCGACGAGCAGAAGAAGATGGACATCCTCAAGAAGTTCCAGGAGCAGCACCCGGAGATGGACTTTAGCAATGCCAAGGTCCAGTGAGGTAGCGGACGAGCAAAGGGCAGACAGCCAAAACAGCCAACCGATGGAGAAAAAAAGAAAGATGTATACTGGTGTATTGAAAACACAACGACTTTAATGAATATGACGACTACCCTCCTATGCCGTGAGTTTTCTCTATAGCATACAAGCTTAAGTTGAAGGCCTCGCTAGTTTAAATAGCACCCACAGCCCTTTTGCCATCACAACAACGGGACGCATCTACATCTCATTGTCAGAAAAATGTCAAGGGTGAAACGAGTAGCCAAGTTCATGGTGACCTCATCCTCTCATGCCCACCCGCACAAATCCACATCATGACAATGGGAAATGTGAAGTTGGGTGTCACGAGGTGGAGTCCTCAGTCAGACCTTTGCATCAGAGAGCCCTTGGTGGGATGATTCTTCTTGGAAGTACGCGTTAATGGCAAAGCAGGTTGGAGCAATCATGCTGCTTTGCGATAGTCCTCACAGGCCTGCACCTTTCTCTCACTTTCGCGGGGAGAGGAGTTGGAAAGGCGCAGGTTTGAGTAGCGTTCCAGTGATTGCTAAACACGGGGCTGGAAGGGATTCAGGAATGCATGGATGAGGTTGCACGGTTGGCCTTCTACGTTCCCGTTCCGGTCACGAATCAAAGGGTCACAACAGGCGCAATGGCATGTTCGCAGCTGCAGGATCTTCAGAATACGGATGCCTGCATGGGCCTTGCGCCATGCTCACGTTGGCGGACATGTTGTTCACGATGAGCGAGCCAGCACGAGCCACACAACAGGGCTTGAGAGCGTCGAAGTCCTTCCATTGTGTGGACCAACTTACGGTACCCTTGTTGTCTTTGTCTCTTTTTTTCTTCTTTCTTTTTCCTTCATTGCGCTTCAAGGCTTCTTGAGCCTAGCAGCCTTAAAGCGGCTTACTTTGCGTGGTCCGCCTTCCTCCTCTCCCAATGGCTGCACAGGGCTGTCGTCTTCCTTGGTGAATCCACCCTGGCGGTGCACGAGCTTGTTGCGCATCTTGTAGTACTCCTCCGTGGCCTGCTGGTGCAGTAGGGTAGCGTCAAACTCGTCCGGCTCAACAACCTTGCGGCTTGGCTCGCGCTCTAAAACCGTCTCTGCGAGCGTCTGGCCCTCTGGGCCTGAGGGCGCATACCTAGTGTTATCGACAGGCTCTTCGGGGGCAATAGGTGTACCGTTGAAAGCCACCGGGAAGCTGGCAGCTACAGCAGCCGTCTGTGAGGGGCCCGGAAGGGATTGCTTGAAACGCGAGGGTTTCTTTGTGGGGTTTTGTGGTTTTGTGGCGGCGGCTGGGCTCTTGCGCTCCACGATATCAGAAAGGGGATCGACCAAGGGCTGTGATGAGGGTGTCGATGATGATGTGGCAGGAGGTTTCGGTACAGCTCGGTTGCTCTCATCAGCGATATCTAATTGTGCAGCGAACCGCACGCCCTTCTTGGTTTGAGAATCATCGTCGTTCAGTGCTGCTGCTGATGCTTCCTTAGCTGGATCCAATGGCGCTTCCCGCTTGATGCTTATCCGACCGACACCTTCCATCCGCTCATCTTGGTCGTCGTGTTTCGTGGCGCCATCTGGAGCCGTGCTCGCAAAGGTGTGATTGCTCATGCGCTCCTTGAGTTCGAGCATCTGGCGCTTCCAGTCATCTGTCACGACACTCTTGGTGGATCTGCCCCACTGGTCTTCCTCGTCGTCATCGTCGTCATCGTCGTCCTCAAGGTCGTCCTCGTCCCAGTCGTCCTCGGTGTCGAAGTCCGACCCCTCTTCGAGCTGCAGCTCAGCCACGATCGGCGCCATCTCGTACATCATGGTCTCTCTGTTGTAGCGCAGCATGTCCTCGCGCAGGTCGGCATCCTCAGGCGAGTCGTCGGCGGGAATAACGGGGTCTTCTATTGCGATCTGCTGTACCGCCGCCTCTTGCAAGATATCTTCTATTGTCCTCGCCGGTACGGGGCGGTTGACTTGTGCCTCGGGCTTTGTGTCCTCGCTGAAGGTGACAGACTTCTTTGGGGTCGGTTTGTCGGATGGCAGTGTCTTAGGCACGACGGACTCTTCCTCTGGTTCGAGATCCTGCTTTGGGGCGCTCGAGGACGCGGTCTCCTTGGGAGGGCGCTTTGATTCCTTGACAGGTTTTGAATGGGTGCTTTTATCTGAATTTTGGGCAGACTCGGTGCTCACGGGCGCGCGGACGTCCTTCAAGCCGGCCTTCTCCAAAGCCTCCATCAGCTGCGCCTGACTCTTGCCTGGTGTCCGCAGGCTGTACGAAATAACGTTGTCATCGTCGTCGAGCTGCTCCACAATCTCCGTCATGGGCAGCGAGTCGTCGTCGTCATCGAAGGCTGCACTGGGGTTCTCCGCCTCGGCAAGCTTCCGGCGCGCGTCCTCCACCTTGCGGTTGAGCGTGTCGATGTTCTTGGCGACATAGTCGAGCCGGTTCGTGAGGATGCTGAGGATCTGGTCCGGGGACCGCGAGTCGTCCTTGCCGAAGATGTCGACGAGCTCTTTGGCATCGATGAGCTCGCCTTCGTAGTCTTGCCGGGCGGTCGCGCGGTCCTCGCGCGTGGCGGCTGCCGGGAGGAGCTTGACGTCTTCGCGGAGCGTCTCGTACTCTTCCTTCCACTGCCTCCAGAGGTTGACGGCGTCTGTGAATCTCTCCACCGTCTCCTCAAGGCGCTGCCGCTCGCGCTCGAATGTTGACGGCTCGTCCATGTTGCAGCTGTCGTCTGGCTCGGACGGGAGTCAGTCACATTTCTGTGGTGAAGGGCAAGAACGCCGGAAAGGCTGGAGACCGAAAAAAGTTCTAGAAGCTGGACCCTCCATCGTCATAAGTGGGGAGCGTGAGGCTACGCTAAGGACCAGGGCCAACACCCTTAGCCGACCAATCAGACTCAACCAGCGCCCTCCCAAGGCTGTGATGTTGGTAATGCTCGTATATTGTTCGAGTTGAACGAGCTAAGTGAAGGGCATCTCGAATGAACAGGCCGGTTGGCACTACAGATCTTTTGCAAAATTGCATCCTGTTTGCACATCATTTTCGCTGCTTTCGGCCAGTTATCCGACATGTCGCGACGCAAGACAAGGGTGTAATGCAACGCCTGGACTCGGGCTCCACCTTTGGAGCCAGACAACTCTCCTTACAACCAACACTTCCTCGTATCCGTCTCTGCCTGGCCGATGAGGTCGTTTGTTTTTCGAGCAATCACCAGTCGAAATTGCTGTCAGAATCTTTTAAGCTAGATCACAAATCCTCAGCATGGCAGACTCGCCGCAAATGCTCGAGGCTTACCTCGCTTGGTTTCAGGCCTGCTCAGCAATCGCCTTCACTGCTTTTTTTGCTTTACGCATCCGATCACTGAGCAAACGCTCTGTCGTCGTCCATGAAAGAATCAGAGCCAGGAGCAAGTTGGTAAGCATGTCTGGGTCGTCCCTTGCCGTATCTGGTCTCTATGGCATTGAGCTTAGGATCGCGGTCCACAGTCCACTTACACATCCTCAGGTCTTGGCGGTACTCGTCTTCATCACTACCTCGGCCACGAACTTGTCCCGAGTCACTCTTCGCCATGAAAATGACTTTCTACACAGCTGCGCAGATACTTCTGCTATGTTCGCGGCCTCACTGCTATGCGTGGTGTCGTGGCCGAACCACTGCCGTAATCGCCGACCGTCAAGCCTGATCGCCGCCTATTTGCTGGTGTGCCTGTCGCAAGACTTCCTCACTTTGACCTTCATCGAGGGTCAGAGATATATCACTTGGTTAGTCATTGTGCGGAGCATCTTCGAGGTTCTTTTACTCTTTGTCGAGAGTCTTTCGAATGTGTCCGCCTATCAGACGCTGGCCGAAACTTCGCTAGAGGAGGAAGCAAGTTTACTCAGCAGAACATTCTTCTACTGGGTCAACTGGATCTTGATCGTGGGATACACAAAGCTTCTCACAGTAGCGGACCTGCCATCATTGGACCAGGATCTCAAGGCCGAAGAGGCATGCAAAGGCGTCCTGCAGGCTTGGGACAGGCGAGGTATTTACGACAAATGACATGGACCACGTTTCTGCCATCACTAATCTCGCATGCAGGACAGCCGGAAACAATAAGGACTCTCCCAAGAACAATCCTGCACGCGCTCTGGGCACCATTCCTTGGCGCGATACCTTGGCGAATCCTCCTGATCATCTTCAAGTATATGCAGCCAGTCCTAATTAAGAAAGCGATAACGTTCGTCACCGAGTCGCAGACACAACCTGCCTCGATCGAGTCAAAGACTCTCATCTCAGCAGCAGTGGGCATTTACATGGGACTAGCAGTAAGTCGACCCTCACGGTTTCCATTTTGGGTAGTCTGACTTTTCCTCCTCTGCTAGATCATCACAGCCCAGTACAACCAGTCTTTGAACAGACTGCGGATTCGAACGCGCAGCGCACTTATAGCACTTGTCGAGCAACAGACGATGCGTTCATGGGCTGATTCCTCTTTGGAGGGCAGAGTGGCCACGCTGATCAGCAACGATGTGGACGCGCTCGAGACTATCCTGGAGATGGCGCATGAAACCTGGGCTCAGACGCTCGAGGTTGTGGTCGGATTCTTCTTGCTGTCGCGTGAGGTTGGGTGGCTGTGGCCGGTCCCGCTTGTGATGATCTTTGGTAAGTTTGCCCCCGCGGCTCGATGGCCTCTATTTGTTCAAGGGACAAGGGGTGAGAGGATTGACCGATGGCCAAATGTTGATTGATTGCTAGTGTGCTCGAGAGTGAGCCAGTTCGTCGCCAGAACTCTACGCGCGAAGCAAGGAAGCTGGAACGCTGCGACCCAGGACCGCATCTCGCTCACCAGCTCCATGATTTCCAACATCAAGTCGATCAAGATGCTGGGAATGCAATCTTCCATGGTCCAGTACATTGAGAAATCCAGACTGCATGAGCTCAAGATGGCCAGCAAAGTCCGCTGGTTGATGGTTGCGTACAATGCTTCGGCCAACGCGCTGGGCATGTTCGCGCCCGTTGTGACCATCGTGCTCTATGCAGTCCTAACCAGACGCCATGGCAACCAGCGTCTGGACACAGAGGTGGCGTTCACTGCTGTCGCGATCTTGGGCATGGTCACGCATCCGGCCAATATGGTCATGACTATCGTGCCGAGGATCGTGGCGTCATTTGCCAGTTTTGAGCGCATACAAGAGTTCCTGACCCAGGAATGTCGCGTCGATAAAAGAGAACCGACTGGTGAGTTTTGCGGTTGCATCGTTGGATTTTGAGAAGATCTGCTGACTCACGGGGGAAGATGACGATTTCGAAAATGCAGTCTCGATCACGAACTTAAGTATTGGAAATCCAGAGGCCATCTTGTCACATCTCAATCTAGACGTACAGCGAGGCACATTCGTGGCGGTCATGGGATCCACGGGAAGTGGCAAGTCCCTACTTGCCAAAGCCATTGCAGGCGAGACTGATGCAGGGCCGGACTGCAGCATTCGACTTTCTACGGTTGGCGTGGCTTACTGCTCGCAGAATGCCTGGCTGCCGAATCGAAGCGTGAAAGGTGTCATTACCCAGTATGGCAGCCAAATGATAAACGGAGAGGATTGGTATAGAAAGGTCCTCCGAGCATGTTGCCTGGAGGATGATCTTGCCATGCTGTCTGCAGGCGACCTCACAAAAGTTGGCCCTCGGGGGATGAACCTGTCTGGGGGACAGCGTCAGAGAGTGGTCAGTCATCTTCAAAGTGCCCATTATCCTACCTCCCGCCCCTGCAGAAGGCCTAACTTGTCGCTTCATGTAGGCCCTCGCTCGCGCCGCCTTCGCGAGAGCCAAGCTTCTAGTTCTAGACGACCCGTTCAGTGCGTTAGATGGAAAGACAGAAGGGCAGGTTGTTTCGAATTTACTTGGCCCCGAAGGGATCTTCAGGGCACTTGGGACGACCGTGATTTTGTTCAGCCACGCCAGTAAGTCAACCGGTGACAAGAGGGGCCGTGCTCGAAATACGCATGCTGAAATGTCTCGCAGCTCAACATTTCCACCTCGTCGATAATGTCTATGAGATTAAAGCTGGCCAGCTTCTCAGAACGGAGCGATGGAGTGCCACCATCCGACACGACGGAAAAGGTCCTTTGAGAACCAACGCACAACGTGATGTCGATGAAGCAAGCGATGCAGTCCCGGCTGTGGCAGGTTCGCTCCAGCCTCAGGCTATCAAGTTCACCGAAGCTATGAAACCCAGTTGGCAAAATGGAGATGCCTCGCTTTATGGTAAGCACAAATGGCAAACAGTCGTTAATGTGTACTGACCGCAACGGCGGAACACAGCCTTTTATGTAGAGGCCGCAGGGTACAAGAACTTCCTGTTCATGGCCAGCTGCTCCGCCATCTATTCGTTTTTCATTACGTTCCCGCAGTACTGGCTGAAGATGTGGACCGATACGACACAGAATGATGATGCGCCGTTCGTCTTGGGATATGCTTCGCTGGTGCTCGCTGCTTGGCTCACTACGAATGCGATGATGTGGTAAGTGTGCTGCTAGCTCTTTTTGAATCAATGCGAATCTGTCCAAATACTAAAGGTCGTCAGGTCCACTGTCATCCATATTGCCCCTCACTCAGGCCGTACTTTGCATTCTAAACTGCTATCTATCGTCTCAGAGTAAGTTCGAGCCCGCAGAGTACTGTTGAGCAGGCGCTGATGAAACCGACCAGAGCACCTTTATCATACTTCCACACCAATGGCAGCGGCTCGATCTTGAATAGGTGAGTTGACGCGTGCCCCGAGAAATACAAGAACTTGTTGCTTAGACAGTCTCCAAACAGATTCACCCAAGATATTCAGTTGGTGGACAAACAACTGCCTTCCGCAGTGTCAGCATTAGCCGTGCGTAGGTATTTCCAGGGCACACAATCTTTTGTCTGATCGTCACTGACTCGGCTCAGAAATCTCCAAATTAACCATGCAGGCTGTTCTGCTCTTTGTTGCTCAGCGACTGCTCATGGTGACATTTCCAATATGCATGATCGTAGTGTACTTCGTCCAGAAGCTCTACCTACGTACGTCGAGGCAGCTCCGCCTGCTCGAGCTTGAATCGAAGGCTACCGTGCTGGCAGCCTTCATGGAGACTGTAGACGGGCTATGTACTATCCGGGCGTTTGACGGCGCTCAAGAGTCCACCGTCCACCATCTCCATCAGCTCGACGAGTCGCACAAGCCCCTGTACATGTTGTTGTGCCTCCAGCGATGGCTGAATCTCGTTTTAGACCTGCTGGTGGCAGGTATTGCAGTGGGTGTGATCGCCCTCGCAGTTCTCTTCAGGAGCTCGACGACTGGTGGTGAGATCGGCATGGCCCTCAATCTCGTACTGGTCGCGAACACGACCCTGGTGCGGTTGGTAGAGTCATGGACGAGTCTGGAGATCTCTCTCGGAGCTATCGCCCGACTGAAGTCCCTGGAGTCTGATGTTCCACCCGAAAGGGAGCCTTCCGAGAAGCTGGTACCGCCTGAGACGTGGCCCTCGGCCGGTTCGCTTGAGCTCCGGAACGTCACAGCATCGTACAACACAGAAAACGATGCACTCTGCCAGGTTCAACTTGCTATTGAGCCTGGCAAAAAAGTTGTGCTTTGCGGTCGCACTGGGAGGTAGGTTGAAACCTCTCGAAAAGGCTCTTGTTTTGCTGTGCTGATTCTTGGATACAGTGGCAAGAGCTCATTGTTGCTCACGCTGCTGCGCCTGATTCATGTCAAGCATGGCACAATCACAGTGGACAGCATCGACATAGGACGGGTTCCGCGCTCCATTCTTCGGCAGCGATGCTTTGTCACCATTCCGCAGGACGCCATACTCCTGAGTCAACCCTCTTTGCGTTTCAACCTGGACCCAACAGAGTCGTTATCGGATGAAACACTGCTCACTGCCCTTTCCAAAGTGCGGTTGCGAGACCATCTAGCTCTGCATGAAGTACGGGCCAACGCGTCGGCTGCGGGAGGGTCTGAACAAGCCCGGCTCATGCTTGAGCGACCACTCTCTGCGCTACCAGCGCTGTCCGTGGGGCAGGGCCAGCTCCTCGCTTTGGCGCGTGCTTTGTTGCATGTCTACCGGATCAACACTACAGGTGCCAAGCCTATCGTGCTGCTCGACGAGGCAACATCTTCGTTGGACGCGCAGACGGAAGAGCTCATCCTCGGCATCATCCACGGCGAGTTGACGCTGCAGGGTTTCACGGTCATCATGGTGGCTCACAGGGTCAAAGCAGCTGCGGCATACATGCGCGAAGAGGACGTGGTCGTGTGGATGCAAGACGGAGAAGTGGTGAAGAGAGGCAGTAGGGGAGATATGACGAGCTAGACAGTGTCGGCTGGTATTCCGGTCTGTGTGAAATGACAACAACTGAGGTGAGCACCATGTGTTTGTTCATGGTTCCGTCAGGGTGCCTGATGCGGCGGCGACTCTAGTTAGAATGTGGGCCACCCTCGAAGCGGCTGACTAAGGGGGCCTCAGCGTGGCTGCGAAATGGCCCGAGCTCCAGCCCACCGCCCGCCGTCACAGGCAATCGCGGGCTGCGTCAACACCTCGATTGTGGGGGCAAGCACGGCTGTCAAGTCAAGCTGCATCCGACACAGCCCAGAGCTGACCTCGCCGACGATCGCCTCACCTACAACCTCACGACAGCTTCCTGACGTCGTCCACCAACACAGTACCCCCTTGAGAATCTCGCAGCCAGTCCCCAGAGCCCTGAACCGCGTCGTTGTCGTCAGATCGCCCATCATCCACCCCGACAGATCCCATTCAGCCTACCCACCAAGATGGATCGGCTCAACCGCATGCTCGCTGGCGCCGGCGGCATGGGCGGCCTTGGAGCTGCTCCAGGCACTGTAAGTGGCACTTCCCCCTCGCGATCACCCAAGCTCCAGCGTATCGCCTAAGAACAGAGCTGACCCTTGTACCTCCGGCGGCATAGGACAATGCGAACCTCATCGACAACTCAGAGACCGTCTACATCTCGTCTCTAGCGCTATTGAAGATGCTGCGACACGGCCGGGCGGGTGTTCCCATGGAAGTCATGGGCCTGATGCTGGGAGAATTCGTCGATGACTTCACAGTGAGGGTGGTCGACGTGTTTGCCATGCCACAAAGCGGAACCGGCGTCAGTGTCGAGGCTGTCGACCCTGTGTTCCAGCAGAAGATGATGGACATGTTGACACAGACCGGAAGGTGAGTCCGAATCTCCTTGGTGTCTTCTCTGCGCGCGCGCGGCTAACTGAAAGCGCCTTCTACTGTTAGGCCCGAGTCCGTAGTAGGATGGTACCACTCCCATCCAGGTTTTGGCTGCTGGCTGTCCTCGGTCGATATCAACACCCAACAATCCTTTGAGCAACTCACCCCTCGAGCCGTCGCCGTCGTCGTCGACCCTATACAGTCCGTCAAGGGCAAGGTCGTCATTGATGCCTTCCGCCTCATCAACCCTCAGTCCCTCATGCTTGGCCAGGAGCCCCGTCAGAGCACATCCAACCTCGGCCACCTCAACAAGCCCTCGATACAGGCGCTTATTCATGGTCTCAACAGACACTACTACTCGATCGGCATCGACTACCGCAAGACTGCGCTCGAGGAGAACATGCTCATGAACCTGCACAAGCACGTGTGGACTGAGGCGCTCGAGATGAACGATTTCCGCCACGAGGGCTGCCAGAACAAGGACAAGTTCCAGAGATTAGTAGCACTTGCTGAGGGCTATGAGCAGCGCGTCAAGGAGGAGAATGAGTTGACCAAGGAGCAGCTCAAGACACGATACGTTGGCAAGCTGGACCCCAAGAAGCATTTGGAAGAGGTGGGCCAGCAGCTCATCGAGGACAACATTGTGTCTTTGTCAAGACAAATGATTGACAAGGAGGCTACGCTGCCCAAGAAGGATACGGCGGCGAACGGCCAAGCGAATGGCGACCACATGGAGGTAGAGGATGAATAAGCATAAGAGGAGACCATAGTCTCAAAGCACTACACAATGGAAGATCAAAGAATCCACACATGGATCACCGTAGTGCTGCTTTGCACAGGACAGCTTTGCGTGATAGATCTCTGTGCGCTAGCTTCCAATGACATCCAGATTCACGAAGATCACAGATCCCTTGAAGAATGTGATCATTCTCATAATTCAAGGCGCCGAAAAAGGCCTCTGACATGGGGTTTTTCTGCTCAAGCTATCACCAATCTAGAATACTAGAGCTTCTGTTCCGATTCGCGAGCAAGCTTCTGTAGGGTTTCCGCTGCTTTGGCGAGTGCTTCTCCAGTGGATGAAACCCTCTCTAGGCTTATGCTCATGACCTCAATCACGTTGCCCCATGGGTCTTGCGTGTAGATGCCCTTGTGCCCTTCCAAGCCATATCTCGAGTAGTCCATGTAATCCCCGACACGCTTCCCGCCCCGGGACTCGATCTGCGACAGGAGAACCTCCGGGTTGTTGTCAGTGACGCATATGTGGAAGAACCCGGTCCGGGTGAAGTTGAAGCCTCCTCCCGTGCCCGGTTCCGGGGCCGGGTCGATGAACTGGAAGAGCTCGATCCCGACACCATTTCCCGAGGTCATGATGGCAAACTTAAGCTCCTGCAGCGTCTCCGCCGGGTACGACACGAATATGGTGTCGAACGGTGTCGGGTCGACGGACCGCTTGCAGTGCCGTACGTCGCTGATGACCTGGAAGCCCAGGACTTCCGCGTACCACTGGACAAGGGCATCGATATCGGTACATGATATGGCTACATGGTTGATCGGCCGGTTGAAGGTGCCCTGGGAGTTTGCCTAGTGGGGGGGTTGCTGTTAAAGCGTGCTTTCAGATGAGCCGAGTCCGGGCGGTTGACTTACGTTTGCTGCCATTGTGTGAATGATGACCGGTAGAGGTCTTGAATCGAGATGCTGCTGTTGAAGGAGAACAGAGAGGCTATTCGAGGACGGACACCGAGGGACATTTTTACGAAGCGTGTTGTCAAAGACGGACAAACCCTTTTTCAAGATATCTGCCATGAGCCGTGTGACATGAAAAGCGATGCAAGACACCGGAGCCGGGGAAGGGACCCGACCGACCCAGAGTTTCCCATGTTCGTTGGAAATTAGGTTGCGTTGCCACTAAGAACAAGCAGCATAAACTGTGCGTTTCTTCCGCACCAAATTGGGAAAACATCATCCAAGTACATGCGCTTCGAGGCGGCGCGAGTTGCGTGTTGCAACAGCGTGTGGAGAACTCCCCCAGTTTGGTGAAGCTAAGGTTTGAGAGCAAGAGTGGACGCCACCAAGGCTAACAGGGGGGGCACCAGAGAAAGTTCCTGGGGTTTCAGGGTTCCCGCATTCCAGCTTGACAGTTTGAAGGTGCTGCTTACTCGCTCGCTCGCTCGTTCGAGGAGGCTGAGTATCCTCGGTGCCCGCGGAGCACCGGCATATCCTCCCACTTCCCCAGGGTGGTCTGCAGGTCCGAGAGAAGCACAATCAGCCTTCTGAAAGTGTGGAGGTGAAGACGCCAGGCAACAAACGGGTTGGTTTAAGAACAACGGGTCTCAACCATACAATCCTAGCGTACATGTGTGGAGACACTCCAAACTAAGCGCAAGCTTCAACAATAATTAGGCGCCACGTGCAGCAGAGTCGGGCGCCAAGTTGAGCACAAACTAGGCGCCTGATTCAAGCAAAGTTAGGCGCTGTGATAACAATCGCCCCGGACAACCACGTCGATCTAACGCGGGTCTGATATGGTAGATCAAATGGTTGTGGTTGTGACCATGCGCCGCTACCCGTAGATCCCCAGGCAAATATCAACCTCCCTGCCGAGAATTTTGATCAACTCAATTAGAGCAGATACCTCCAAATCTCCTGTCCTAACTGTATCCTCCCGCCCTCGACATTCATCAAAACCAAAACGATCAGAGACCAAGGTGCAGTCATTCTTGCACACGTCGTCCCCAGCCCAGCATACAACAATAACGACAACAATACACTTTCAGCACTTACAGACGACATCTTGCTTGGTACTCCGATCAACATGGCTCAGTACTTCCAAACACCCAACCTACTTGGCCAGGCATACCAGGCCTTCGGCTACAGTCACGCAGTTGTGCTGCCTCTCAATGCCCAGCTCGTCATCGCCGCCGGCCAGCCCGGTGTAGATGCTAGAGGCAACATGGTCACGTCGTCGCCCAAAGACCAGATCGAGGCCTGCTTTGACAACTGCGACCTCGCCCTCAAGACTGCCGGGGTCACCAGCGGGCTCGCCAGTGCGCACAAGGTCCACTGCTTTGTGACAGATATCAAGGATGAGGCTGCCGTCATGGAGGTGTGGAAGAGCAGATATCCCGAGCATAGGCCGACTTGGATGACGCTGGGCATTAAAGAGCTAGCTGCTCCGGGTATGCTGGTTGAGATCCAGGTTGAGGCACATCTTGTCGCGAACAGCTGACTGGATCTTGATGGGCACCCATAGGAGATAAACACCATTAAAGCATCATTACAATTAACTGAAAAGCCCATATTATTCTTAATATTTCAGACCATAGGTGTCTATTGGCTTTTTAGATACCCCGCGAGTACCCATATGCGGCGGCCGTGGGCTTTAGATGACTCTTTCGAATTTCGTTTCCAAGTTGAAGCCCGGCGCTGATCACTTTGATGCTACATAGCACGCTTCATAAGGTGTCTGAAAGAGATTCCATCACTTGTTGAGTCTAACTGTTATATATACTGAGCTATGCCAGTTTTCCCAATAGCCTCTCGGCAGCTACCTGCCCGCTGATCACAGCGCCCTCCATGAAACCTGCCCACCGTGTAGAGACTTCGGTACCGGCGAAGAAAATGTTTCCAACGGGCTCATCCAGGTATTTCGCAAACGGAGTAATCGAATTAGGCCCAGCCACAGCGAAATGTCCACCTCTCGAATACTCCTCATTGTTCCAGCGTTGGATATGCCACTCTTGAACATCGGCCGCGGCAGGGCCAAAGAACTTGACATAGTCAAGCTTCACAAGCTCCTGGATCTCCTCGTCTGTCTTGTCGTCCAGTTCGCGCAGGTCGTTGCCCTCGAGGAAACCTTGTATCGCGCCAAAGGAACCATCTTCTGGCGTCGAGTCGAACGTGACTTGCACCAAGGTGCCGTTCAGTCCGATCGCCTGGCCACTGAGCCCCTCGTCACGCCAGAATGGTGTCTTGTACACTGCGATCGCTTTGCCCAGAGATCCCATGGCCATGCTCTGTGATAGCAGATCCCGGCGAGCTGGTAGCGGCGGCTCGAACCGGATCCTGACGGCGAGAGGTGGTGATAGCGCGAGGACGACACCTCGGCAGTCGACTGTGGTGATGCCGCTGCCAGTCTCAACGCACACTTCATAAACGTCTTCACGAAGTGTGATGCGCGTAACGGGGCTGTTGAGGCGAACAGCACTGCCCAGGGTTGCGGCGAGTCTCCGCGGGATTTCTTGGGGTCCGCCTCGGACACGGCTCTCCTGTCCTCCGCCCTTGACACCCGTGAGACGCGCCCAGGTGCCCGGGTTCTCGCCGTCAGTGGCGCGGGCCAGGTAGACGAGCATCTGGAGCAAGGATATCTCGGTAGGCTCGGCAGAAAGGAGTGACTTTGCGCTGACGTCCAGAAGCGCGCGACCACACTCGTCGGTGACTTCAGAGTCAAGCCACGATCCAAAAGTGAGTGAGTCCCAGGCTTTGGCGCTTGCGTGCGTCCATGGCGTTTTGATGTCGAGCTGCTGGGCCATGTGCTCGAGTTTCCCCACCGCGCCAATGTATTGTATCAGTGCGGCCTCTGGGTAGACGAGCTCGTCGGCGTCATGTACTTTTCGTTCGCCGTTCTGGTACGACACCCGCTTGCCCTCCTCGTTGTTATCGTATAACCCCAGACCCAGGCGCTCGACAAGTGCCTTGACGTTATCCTGCCCTGGGCCGATATAAGAGCCGCCCGCTTCGACATAGCCGGCAGTAGTCGTGAGCCTTGGGTCATACAACTTGCCCCCCACGCGGTCGCGGGCTTCGAGCACGAGCACGGTCCGGCCAGCAGCAACGAGCCGTTCCGCGGCGACGAGTCCAGATAGCCCAGCTCCAACGACTACTGCGTCCACCTGGGGAAGGGTGGTAGTTGTATAGGAGCGGGCCATTGCCGCAACACGTATGCTGTCGGGAGGTAGGCTGTGATGAATATGCGATTGTTCGAGGTGTATAAACAGCGGAGTTTCAGGAGCACTTTGATGTGGAAGGGAAGTCTGTCCTATTGAAGCTGAAGTTTAGATTTAGCTGGGAGATTTCCCCTGTGATTCCAAATGTGACGCTGGGGAACCCATGCTCACAGAGCTTGTGAATGGCGACCCAGCGAGCTACTTATATAGCTCCCTGAATACGTACAAAGGAAAACTAATCGGATCGTGCAAGGTACGCTCACGAGAAGGAGTGACATGGGAGCTACGGTTGCTTGTTTAGTCAGGAATCCCGATGGATCATTTGCTCCTCCACGTCCAACCCATTCTCTTACTTGGAAAGTGTGTATAGCCACTCAACCTTTGGCTTATCGGACGGATACTCTTGGAATCATCTGCAGAAATCTCGAGCTTCTCCCTGCTGAAGCGGCGCATGGCCGCACGAGCCAGCTACTGTCTACCACCCCCGTCTGGTGATATTTCAAGCCGATTGCGGCTGTAACTTGTGCCATGGCACTTTTGAGGTTGGGGCTTATATGCAGGCAGCGCCTAGTTTCTGCTGCATGCCGCGCTTAGTTCTGATTCTGAAGTGGGGCTGAATACCCCATACCTGGACCGGGGTCCCACGCCACAGGCAGTCTCTCCAATGTCCCAGATAACTGAGTACACAAGACCAAGAGTGTATATGCAGCTCGGTCGGATGCCGGTGCCCGCGCAGCCCGTCAGTGAATCAAGTGCCCAAGCTGACACCGTGTCGATTTCCGTAGCTTCTTGCTGGAAGACCACCCTCTCGGCTCGTGGCAAGGCAGACTCATTGCCGCGGGTCCCGATAGTCTCTTACTTTCGGGGATCCCTAACATGCGCGGCAGAAATCGTTCCATCATCGGGAGTCATCAAGGTTGATAAAATGGCCTGGAAGGTGCACCGTCGACAGGGGACTTGATACCAGTTGTCCCATCTTGATGAGAGTGACAAGCCTCCACACGATACTCAGCCCTTTGCAAAGATGGCCGTGGCTCAACCTTCCACAAGTCTTCTCGAAAGGCTTGAGGAGCTGAGTAAGTCTCATGAACCAAAGAGCAATGCATAGTATGCAAGACCAAATTGCTAACATCGACGCCTTGGCTTGTTACACCAAGTCAACATTGATGCCGATACGCTCGATTATGATTTCATCCAGTCCCTCCCGATAATCCCCCATGATCAGACCAGCAATCCATTCTGGCTGCACATGCAGATGAGCGACCCGAAGAATGCCGGCGTCGTCAAGAAAGTTGCACGCGAGCTTCAGGATGAGGGATTCCTGGCGGTTTACACAAGATTGGTACGTATCCCTGGATCGTGCTACCTGGCATATCGTCACTATGTTGTTTCCGTTCCCGAGACGGTGTCGTGATATTATGGCATCCCATTAGGGACACATCGCTTACTAATATTGAATGACAGGCTGTTCTGTTTAGTAGCCAGAATCTGACCGCTATCAGCGGGAGGGTTCTCGTTCAGACGCTCCCGTCGACAGCGAACGATGTCAACGCGACAGTCGAACACGCACGAGCATACGTCGCCGAGTTTGCACGGGCGGGAGTTCCCCGTGACAGATACTGCATCAAGATCATGGCAACAGGGGCAGGAGTGAACGCAGCAGAAGTTCTCAGCGGTGAAGGGATACCCACGCTGGGTACTGGTATCTTTAGTGTCGAACAAGCAGTTGCCTGCAGCCAGGCCGGTTGCTTGTTCATCAGCCCATACTACAACGGTAGGTTCCGAAGACGGCAAGGACGCTTTCCGATCAAGGCATACATGGCGCGTCCAGGCTAAAAGGATTTGTTCCGAGCAACAGAAATTATATCCCATGTCGATGTCTCGCTCTGGCCAGATGTGGCTGATCCGGCGATCGAACATCCCTTTTCGAACCGGCTGCTCCAGATGGTAAAGGCCTTCAAGGACATGCATACAAAGACGGGTCGTCGACAACCACTGATCAAAAACGCAGCGTACGTTTCTTGACCCCCCAAGACGTCGTGTCTGAGATCTGACCATTTCTACACTTTCAGGTTCCGCTCCTGGCAAGAAGTTGTGGCATCCGCAGAGATCGGTTGTCATTCGGCCACCATCTCTATACAAACACTCAAGGAGCTGGCCGAGACTCCCGCTTGCGATGTCACGCTACCTGCTTTGAGGAAAGTTGCTGCATTGGAAAATCCCTATGCTGCAGATAGTCACATACCTCCATCGAGACTCAGAAGCTTGCTGGAGGGAGACCCTCTTGCTCAGGCAGAATCGTGGACGCCGTGTAATCTTGATATTGATTACCTATCCGACCTGGGGAAGGAATTGGAAAAGGCTTTGAATGCAGACGATGCTGCTAGACGCAGGTTTGGGGATGCGCTTGGGTGGTTTCTGCAGACTGAAGCGGAAAGCCGAAACCTCATCCAAGGGTTTTGGGCCGAAACTCATTTGTAGGTGGTCAGGTGAACAATTAAGTTCGTCAATATTGTTGGACTATGCTACCAGGAATAAAAATTAAGAATCCGTTCATATAACTATTGATACTGCAACCCGTTGAGGCGGGAATTGAGTCGATTATTGAAGAGTCTTTAGGCTCAGCAAGGTCTTACCAGGACTATAGATGTTGACAGCCTCAAGAATGCAGCCATTCACACCCCCAATGCAAGTTTTGACTCGCACGTCCATCCGCAAAAGTACCAATTGACGAGATTATGAAAGCCAATTGTACAAACACAATGATTGGTATGCCCCTTGGAAGTCTAATCAGTAGCAGCACACGAACAGCAAGCCCAGCCACTTTGGACGCAGTTGCCGGGAACATGTGGGGACGAGAGCTATAACCGGTTGGACCCAGTGCCAGGGATATCCATGACAACCAGCCGACAGGTCCAATGTGAGCCCCGCACGGCGCTTAATTCTTGAGACTTGTGGCTTGCGTGACTACTCTAGCGTCTGAAACAGCGCAGGGAAAGCAGAGCGGAGCCATCAGCTTGGCACTCTAGGATGCTCCCCGATACACTATCATGTCCATGGGTCCACGCTGGTCCTATCTAGTACGGGGCACGATTCACGTATTCCGATGCGGGGACCCTGGTTCGCTTGGGATCAAACCTCCAGGTTTCTGCTACTATCTCCACGGCTACGATTAGCCTGCAAATTACGCAGCAAGCTTTCAACGGCGCAACAGCATCCAAAAGGCTGGTGATGGATAAGACTGTTCCGAACGAGTCGGTTATGGCCCTACCGTGTCTCGATAAGAGCGGTTGACCATCGGGCCATATAGTTGAGCATCTCACCCTCGACTGACCCTGGATTGAGCAGACCTTTCACCGGATGAACTTGTCTTGTTGACTTCATCATATTTGACCGTTCTGGTGGCTAAGTCCCCTTTTCTACACCAACATGACTTCCAAAGATTCAGACACCGTGGCTCACGCCATGCCGCATCAAATCCCCCTAGCTGGAACGGATGGGCTGACAAAGGAAACCACGACGGAGACTCTTGAAGCTATGCAGTTGAGGCCTCGATTTAGTGTGCTCGCTGCTATTGGCATTCAGTACAGCATAAGTGCAACTCCTCTTGCAATCGGCGGTTATCTTACCTTCATCCTCGGCGTGGGCGGCAGCCCATTCTTCTTTTACTGTTTCCTTGTCGCCGTCACCGGCCAAATGCTTGTTTGTCTGAGTCTTGCTGAAATTGCGTCGGTATACCCACATGCTTCAGGTTCGACCCCCAGACTGCATCTCTTCTCGAGCATGGGACTTTTGCGATATCCTTTCTAGACAACCGCTAACCACTTTCGGTCGAAAACCAAAAGGCCAAGTGTTCTGGACGGCAGCCCTCGCACCGCCGGAGTGGAAGCGCTTCCTCAGTTATTGCAACGGGGCCGCTACCATGCTGGGTTGGATATTCGCGAACGCGGGTACATATGTCTTTGCAGCACAGATATGGTTGGCAGCAATGACTGTTCGATTCCCGGATTTCCAGAGCGAACCGTGGCAGGCGTTTTTGACAGTGGTGGCCTGCGCAGTCTTTGGTGTGGTGCTGAACGTCTGGCTGTTTCGCTGGTACCCATACATCACCACCTTCATGGTCTTCTTCATCAACGTCGGCACACTATATGTGTTTGTCACACTTCTCGTGAGAGCTAACCCGAAAGCGTCGGCGTCTCAAGTCTTCGTCGATGTGGTCAACGAGACCGGGTGGGAATCTCTGGGGGTCGTCTTCCTGATAGGATTCCTGCCCGGCTGTGTCGCGATTTCTTGCTTCGACACGGCTGCACACATGGCAGAAGAGATGGAGATACCCGAGCGCCAGGTCCCTCAGGTCATGATCGGGGCATCTTCTCTGTGTGCTCTCACCGCTATCCCCATGATCCTGGTGTTCCTTTTCTGCACGGTTGCACCAGAAAACCTACTGGCCCCTCTCGGCGGCCAGCCCGTCTTCCAAGTTTTCATCGACGGCTTCGCCTCGGACGCGCTTGTGGCCATCGCTCTGGCCATATACTGTGTTGTCTACCTTTCTTCAGTCCCTGCCGCAATCGCAACCGCGAGCCGCTTGGTGTGGTCATTTGCGAAACACGGCGGCATCCCTTTCCGAGGGTGGGTAGGCCGTGTCGACCCTGCCCGGGAAATCCCCATCAACGCGGTCTACCTGACCGCCGGGATCTCGACACTGATCGGCCTGCTCGTTCTCGGACCCACGACCGTGCTGAACGGTGTCTTCGGCGCCGGAGGAGTGTGCTTTTTCATCTCCTACGGGCTTCCGGTATGGCTAGTGCTCTGGAGAGGCCGGGGCGTGCTGCCGGCAAACCGATATGTCCATCTGGGCCGCTTCGGTCTGGCCGTCAACGTCCTGACCGTCGCCTGGCAGTGCCTGACGGTGGTCTTCCTGTGCTTTCCGCTGTACCAGCCCGTCACGCTCGACAACATGAACTGGGCATCGCTGTGCGCCGTCGTCGGGCTTTCCGTGTTCGCTGTCAACTGGTTCGTGTACGCCAGCAGGCATTACGAAACACCAAAGGCGCTGTTTGTGAGCGGGATTCATGGGGCTGGTCGTCACCAGGCTTGATCCGAGTGGCGTGTGTTGAAAGGCTCGGGTTCTTGTCAGAGACTCCTCGGGCCACTTACGCAATTCAAGTCTACACTCAGTACGGCATAACTATTATGTTGCACGATAACACAATATACACGTTCCTTTCACACGATTGAGCAGTCGAAGTTCGCAAATGATTACTCCGTGACCAGAAAACGACATTAGTTCTCAGAAAGTCCCGCACGTTTCGTCATCCGGGAAAGTGATTGATTGTATGACATTAGCAGAAGTCCGTCGATCTCGTCTTGTTCAAAGACCCGTTTAGCATGCAAGCAAGACCGAAGTAACCGATACACGGGATTGACATGCCACCCCCAATTCCGGCATGCGTCGGTAGTGTGCCGAGGTGGAGGAGTTGATATCACGCAGCTACAGATCGCCCGCATTGAAAGAGGTTGGGACGACGATACGCACTGTGGGGCTTGTGCCGTACTCTTATAAAAGGCGATGGCCACCTGGGCAGCCCTTGATAACGCGGTTCCCGGGGCGGGCTCGAATCCCAACAACTAGGGTCTGCCGATGCAATTTCACTCATCCAGTCTTGCAATCCGATACGGCGACACAAATGCTGTCACGAATGCCAGAGATTGTCTCGCACAGGACGCCAGGCCTCGTTGCCAAAGTGCTCGTTTGTATGGTCGCGATTGACCTCGAGCTCTGAGCAGGCTGGCTCAATACAGTGCAGTGGGCTGATCTTGCGGTGCGGTCCACGGCGATCGCACTGTACCCGCCGTCGGAACAGTCGCCGGACCCTACGTGCGCTCCCCCGCTCGCCGATTCAGCCTTCACAATGGACGCCTCGTTGTGTAAATGAATCTTGTACTTTGCTCTTCACCAAGAAGAACAGTGCCGGCATTGGCGCTGCGATCCAGCTCGTCACCTTCTAACCCGCCAACCTTCAACAAGGCACATACACACGGCCAAGCAAACTCCCCTGCTCGAGCCGCCCTGCCACCAAGTGATACGACGCATCCAGGACTACGCGCATGGAGCCAACCGAGGCTCCCGATAGTATCGTGCACACAAAGCAGGCGTGCACGAAACAGACCCGTCGCAAGACCGGCTGTGCGTGCTGCCGCCTCCGCAAGAAGAAGTGCGATGAACGTCTGCCCGCTTGTTCCTCATGTCTCAGGCTGGGGCTCATTTGCTCCTGGCCTCCAGTCACCGAGTTCGCCTGGAGGATACGGCTAGGGCTCACCACAAGTAGACGCAAGGAGAGACCCTCAGGTCACAAAGCAGTCTCACCCTCTGCCCGGCCACCACCACAACACACCGCCTCGTACGCAATCCAGGCTGATGCATCGCCATGTTCGCCACCGCCGGCAGCCACAGTGCCGGCCAGCCTCGGCCCACTGTCGCCCATCACCATGCTGGACCCCGGGGCACGGCGGCTATTCCACCTGTACCTGGACATCACAGTCCCGAAGATACTCGCTGCCCCGGCTGGCTATTCCAACCCTTTTGCGTCCGAGGTCGTCAGGTGGGCGTTCGCGGACCCGTTGATAATGAACATTATCCTGGCCCTAGGGGGATTCCCACTGGGCGACACGGATGATCCAGACCTGCTGGAGCGCTCAAGGCTGCAATACTACGGAGAGGCCGTCAAGGCACTGCAAGACGCTCTGACCAACGTGAATGATGGAAGCACACGCAGCACAACCAGACTGTTGCTGGCCACGATGCTTCTCTGCACCTTTGAGGTGAGTTTGTAGCGGCCAGTTCGTCCCCAGCTCGGCCCAGAGCCCGATCCTTCTCGTCTCCGTTCTGTGCCACGACGACCCCAAAGCAGGCAGTAAGATGGGGCTGACTTGATGTCGATCGTGTTTATAGAGTATGCGCGGTAACCCCCAAGGGGTGTTCTGCAGTCACCTTAGTGCCAGTCGCGTCTTCGCTCACGCTCTCGACAGCCCCGAACAAGAGCTTAGGGACGACCAACTGACACGAATTCTCGTCGAGTACTATGCCTTCTACGAGTTGTGCTCCAAGGTCAGACTGGACGTCGACCATCAAGAACCAGGCCTATGTGGCCAGTCCATGCTGCTGCAGGTTGAGCACCTTCGCTCCTTGAGTGGCTTTGGTGTCTTTTTCGGTTCTTCGTGGTCCCTGTACCGAGTTGTGCCCCGGATTTGCGAGCTTGCAGCAAAGCGAAGATGTGAGCTGGCCAAGGACATTGATCTAGGATGCCTCGAAACGTTCCGAGAACTGCAGGACGTCCTTTCGGAATGGCGTTGCGAGGAAGGCCCACAGCCAGTTGCATGCGATCCAGACCATCAGTTCAGTGACGCGAGAGCAGCAGCCGGAGAACTGGTCCGGAATTCGCTTCTTCTGTTTTTGTACTCTTCCATGTTCAGCGATCGCGAGTTCATCCTGGGAGTGTCGCAGCCAATCGTCAACGCGAGCATCAAACTACTGCCGATCGTGCACCCTTCCTCATTCGCTAACACATCATTCTGGCCTTTCCTGGTCATTGCAACGTACGCAACCACCCCAGAGCAGCAGACACGCATTCTCGGATTTCTGCCTCCTATCATGCCTCTTGTGGTTCGGGCCACTCAAATTCTGAGGTGGGTATGGAACAGTTCACAGAATTCCATTGGATTACAGGCGTTGGCGGATATCATCCACATACGCAACATCAGTTACTGCTTCGGATGACCTTTCCTTGCCTTACAAATATGCATATATGTGGTGTGGGCGGGGATCGGAGTTTGCCGACCACGTCGCCAAACATTTCACACTGGATAACCTTGGAGGCTTGCTTAACATCCACGAGACTTTGACCCTGAGGCCTGAGAGACTCGTCAACCAGTTGCAATCTCTTCCGGGTCAGAGAGCGCCACCATGTAAGATTCTGGACAAGGAGGGGAAAAAACCCTCGCAGCGAGGTCCCCAGCTCACGAGACTCACGAGTCCCCTACACCCACACTTAACAAGGGAACTGATTCTCTCCCGATCGCACGATCCGTAGTCATCATGACTGTGTCCTCTGGAGGCCAACCACCGGCCAACGCAACCGACTTAGCCTCGTGGCTACAGGATCCCGCAATCGGACGAGTGAACGGCGTTTGTCACGCCGTTTTCACTCATGGCCACAAAGAACTTTTGCCGTCAACATTCCACCATGTACCCAAGCTCGTTGAAGCTCTACTGGGAAAAGCTCGACAGCACACAAATCACACGAACCGGTACTGTGCTGGTGCAGCTAGTGAGGGTTTCTTTTTTTCCCTCCCAGTTTGGCGTTCTTGAGGCATGAAAACCAACTTTCACTCTGGCCTGCACTGGTTGAGCGACGTTGAAACAACGGCCGAGACAAGCCGGAACCTGTGAAAGAGCCTCCTTGGTGAGCCGTCTCGACAAGCGGTCCTTGTGACACCGCGAAGACGACTCAAGCCCAGTCGGCGTTGTGGTCCTCGCAGCAGGTTCCCGGCGGCCAACCTTGCCTTACTCGGTGCAACGGTGCGCCGCTGACAGCGTATTCCAAAGTTGAGGTTCGTCCCATTGTACCGGTGCAGGAGATGACAGCCGATGAGGTGCTGCTCCGCTGGCCCTAGCAAGCAGCGCGTAGCGCCGCGGCCACAAATGCCGCCAGCCCTGAAGGGTCTCTGGTTAGGCCGCCCCATCTATGGTCCTGGTAGAGGAGGAGCCCTACGCAGTAGCTCTATGCGCGGTGGGCCAGCGCCATGCACGCCTGTATCCTGTTCCTCGGCTGTCCACGTTCCCAACCTCGTTTCCAACGCAACGGGCCCGGTTCCGTCAAAGAGATCTCGACATTCTTTTGCTCGGCAGGAATGGTACTGCTGTGTTATTCCAGATGGGGGGTGAGCGCCTGTCGCAATCACAAAGACCCCGGCCCGGGGAGCGCGCTTGATCAGCATCCAATCACTGGCAGTAGGCAAGGAAGGGGTTGCAGACGAGCCGCGATCGTCCATGCAGCAGCAGGCAGATCAGCACAGGCAAGTCCGTGTGTGCCGCCATTGACAATTTTTCTCCGTGGTGAATGGTTCCAGGGAATAGCGTGTCTTTGTTTGCAGGCAGGGCCCTAGACAATTACATCATGTTGTGTCACGTCGCGCAGAGCCACGCGTTATTTAAAGGCGACGATCTTTGTGCTCAAAGACAAAAATGTGTCCCGCTTGGGAAAAGCGGCGGACACTTACTTTGTGCCGCTTGCTCTGGCAGAAAGCTACGCTCCCGAGATCCCGTCTCGCTGAAGCCCACAAAAACAAACCATAATAAGCATAACTTTGCACGGCCAAGGCACTTCTTGATGGCATGAGCAATGCAGAGATGGGCAGGCATTAGAGAATGATCAGCAGAGTGGTAAGAGGGCAACCTGGGTCATGCATTCACACAGTATTGTAACATCCCGCGAGCAGAAATATTGCCGTTTATGGCGGCTTGGCTCCCTGGGGCTGGCTTGGCCCCTTGCAGCCCTGTTCCCGTCGATTTCTTAAGCTCTGCGTTCCTTGCATAAGGCCCCCGTGCCCCTTCCTGGGAGTTTTGCTAAGGCGAGAAGACCGGGCCTTCCTGCTCCAGGCAGGCTCCAGGCCAGTGCGTGTTGCTATTCCTGGCTGGGCCGCTTGAGGTGGGGTCGACAGTGTCGTCAGGGCTGTGCTGTGCTTGAGGAAGTATCCGCCCTGTGTTGCCAAAATGAGAGCTGCGGGTGATGTGCGTGTGTGTAAAGTACGTATGCATCTGCAATGAGCCTAAAGACCATGCCACCGGGTTCGCTTCACCATGGCACAAGAAGTGTGAGAAAATGCACTTTGACTGAGGCAATCATACCTCAGTCACTCAGGCACGGAGGCAGTGCCGGCGGCCCGGCACTGCACACCCACACACACATACCTCACCAAGCAAGCACCCGGCCTCTGATCCTTGCCATATGGTGAAGAATAGTGGCATGTATTAGGCAATTCATCCACATTGGGACGACCTGGCAAAAGTGGGGACATGGGGAAATTAGGATGACATCGCACCAGGGTAAGGAAGGAAAAAAGATGGAACAGATGGATGGACCAGGCACTGGTTGACTGGATGCACCGGCACCAAGAGTCAACAGGCAGGCAGGGCAGAGAGGTCCCCGAACTAGGTACCCGCATGTGTTTACATGGCTTCCCTGAAGAAAGGATCGGCAGTGGGCCGGTGATTGCGCCTCGTCTATCGGCACGGGTCCATGCCTGCCCGCCTACCTGCCTGCCTGCCTACCTGCATCATAAGGGTATGGATGGGTGAACCTTGTGAGACAATCCCTGTGATTGTAGATCTTTTGGTCTTCGTGTTGAGAGCGTGTGTATATATTCTATGGTGGCCGCCGGCAGCGGTCTCGTACTACGATATCCTGTTTGCTCTCTAACTCTCACTTTCCTGACCCTCAACTTGACCTGCCGCCGGTCTTTTGGATATCCCAGCGAAACAAAAAGTCATTCCCTGCAGATCTACGAGACAAAAGGCATCTGTCGCTACTCTTCTTAACACGGCACGAAATATCTTTTGTTTTTGGAACAGAACGGCAGAGGAACAACCCAGACACCAGAGGCAACAAAAATAAAATCGAACCCGGGCCCAAGAACAAAAAGAAATGCACTTCTCAACACTCCTCACGTCCGCGGCTCTCGTCGTCATGGCTCGCGCGGCTACGCACAGCCCAGATCTTACCACCGACGATTCTTCCGGCACAGAGGGCGTCCTGTCCAAGTTTGATGACGAGCTGCTGCCCATGAGCCGGATCCAGCTGGCTGCCATCAGCGCCCCTCTCGCCCGGGAGGACGGGTCGTTCACTACCTGCCTGCCTGTGCTTGGTGTAAGTCTGCCAGAAGCAATGGGGAGAGAGAGAGAGAGAAAACAAAAAATGGATTTAGCATGAAATATGCACTTTCACCGTGCAAAAATGCTGACGAGTCTTGTCGAAAACTTCTGTAGGGTGCCAACGTGGAAGACTGCAGCACCGTGCTGAGCAACATTGCCGCCAACACCAACGACATTGGCGTCGCCCCCGGGTTCTGCCTCAACTGGTGGTCCGGCACGTGCCTGGCAAAGATCTGCGCCCGCGGCGACGGCTTCGTCAACCTCACCGAGCCGTACTACGAGAAGCCCAGCGTCGTCGTCGAGCGCCTCGGCGGCGACCCTCTGGGTGTCTGTGTTGCAAAGGGCGACAGCGGCGTCGTCAGCGACTGCCCGGATTACGCAGGTGATTGTGGCGTGTACAGATATTATTTGCAAATCCGCCAGTAGAACGCAAGCGGGCGACACCAGTGGGGGACAAATAGACGGAGAATTGCAGTTCAAGTCGTCGATTGCCAGGTGATGTGCTTTCCCGACTGTTCCAGGAGGAATATACTCTCCGTGGACTACACATAGATTCCCATCTAATAATCGTCCCTGGCAGACCAGGGCTTGACAGCCTCGAGCAGCCTCTCGTGAACTGAAATATCAGAGCCCACCACCGTCTTGAAGTGCTCGTAGTTGCCATTGCCAACACGCTGCCAGAAGAGCAAGAACCCCGCCCACTGAAAGTCTGCGAACGAAGGCTCCGAGCCAAGGAAGAAAGGTCCTTCGTTCTCCTTCAGCCATGAGGAAACCTCCTTGAACTCCGCCTCGGCCTCCTGCCAGACCTTTAGGCCTGTTCGCTCGGCCTCGGCCTGCTCCAGTGTCATGCCGATCCGCTCCTCGCGCGTCTTGCGCCAGTAGTCGAAGCTCGCCTCGTTGAGCAAGTTCTTGAACACCTGCGAGGCGGTGATGCCTTTGAGGTGAGGCATGATCTTGGCCACGATATCCTGCACCTTGGCGACATATGGGGCGTCCAGGTGAAGCGAGGGCTCCGGGTGCTCCTTCTCGAGTTTCTGTGCGATCACCCAGCTGTCTGCGACATATTCGCCGTTGGGGAATGCGACCGTTGGCGATGTGTACAGCTCAAGCTCCTGCTTGAAGCTGGAATCACATAAATGGGAAATTAGTACGCAGGCGAGAGGATTATCGTGCAGGCCGTAAGCTGAGGATGGCGCCAGTTTAGTGACTCACTGAGGCTGCAGGTTAGACTTGAGCTCGGGGTAGTCAAGCTAGACGTCATTGTTAGTGCATCAGTCTCGTGGTGTCTGTTCTCAACGTATTAGGACAATCCTTACCCAGACTGTCTTGTAATCGACTTTCTTGTAATTGAGGTTGAGCCGTGCTAATGGCAGTACACATTTGTCAAACATTGTTTCTGAAAGGAAGTCGTTCCTCAAGTCGGGGGGTGTTGCAAGACCTACTCTTCCAAGGGTTGAGGGACCAGGCCTTTTGAGGGGGCTTGGAGGCGAGGTCGTACAAGATGTACTGCTGGGAGGCCATTATGTTCTATTCGTCTTGTGATCTATTACGGTGTTGTGGCAGCCGTTATCATGTAGAAGAAAGTCGCAGGCCCAAAGGAATTGGAGGTGGTTTGGTGGTGAGGACAGAGCGTGGTTCTTATAGAGTGTGACGGGCTCGCCAGCAAGTTATGACACCGGGAGCAGGAGCTGCCCCGCACCCCACTTCCCTATTACGAGATCAGATGGGCAAAGATTCCGCCGACGGGCAACGCTTGAACGGCCTCGAGCGCCCGCCAATTCATGATACCAAATAGTGTACGGTGGTGCTCCATGTCAGGGTTGAGGCTCGAGAGGGATCCGCCGACGCCCTGCGGTTGACATTTGCTGGGCTCAGCTGCCAAGAAGCTTCCCGTAGTTGCTGGGAGTGCACACAGCGGCAGCTTTCCGCACCGTCCATTCCACAGCGCAGAGGACTTTGGACGGCGCAGCGACGTACAGCTTCTGCGGTCTCGGCTCGCTACTTGTTCGTCTGTTCTCTGGCGCTATTTCAAGACACAGACCATTGTCTTTGTGGAAGTGATCCATCGTCTACGGACTTGGGTGGCTAAAAGGTGATTGTAGGTCATGCCCTGCTTCGGAAAGCAAACAATGGGTGATGGCTTGTGCGGTGTGCAGCAAGAACTGGCACGTCCCGCTGTGGATACGAAGTGTTGGAGTTCATGGTCTCCTTCTGGGCGCCATCTTGTAGAAGAATCGGTGATCTCGAGCTGAAGCACCAATCTGTGGTCGTCGAGCCTATCTATTCGCGTAGGAAGTTGGGGGTTGTATCATTCAAAGCGAGCCTCTGATCCCCAGCCTCTCTCGAGCCTGGCTCCAATCAGAGACTCTGACAGGGCCCCACCTTCCCCATCCATGTCAAGGTGCGGTGCCTGCCCTGCCTTCCTGCGGGACCGGCTCATGCGCCAGAGGTTGTAAAGCCGCCTTCGCTTCGCGCTCCCAGAGCTCCATCTTCCATCCTTCCTCAGAACAAGCCGCCGCTCTCCCTCTGGGACCACAATCGCCGCCTGCTGCCTTCCCCCCCCGCGACAAGCCGCTCGCCGACCTCGCGTTCACACGCGCCGCAGTGTCGACTTCATTTCGCGCATGCTCCAGCACTGAACCACAACCCACCGGCCACGATGTCGAACGGGCCCCCCGTCGATATCGCCAACGGGCATGGCGTCGCCCTCTCGTCCTCGGGGCCGAAGAAAGTCGCCTACTTCTACGACTCGGACATTGGCAACTTCGCATACCCTGCCGGCCATCCCATGAAGCCGCATCGCATTCGGTTGGCTCACAGCTTGATTATGAACTATGGCGTCTACAAGAAGATGGAGATTTACGTGAGTGGCCCGCGCATCCACAGGTCAACCACAAAGGGCTCCAGAACCTCGTGCGACTGTCTTTTGATCAGGCCTTACTGACATCGCCCGCTATCCGCCATGTAGAGAGCGAAACCTGCCACGCGACTCGAGATGACGCAGTTCCACACCGACGAGTACATTGACTTCTTGCAAAAAGTCAGCCCTGAGAACATGGAAAACTACCAGCGCGAACAGACCAAATTCAATGTCGGTGACGACTGTCCCGTGTTCGACGGACTGTTTGAGTTCTGTGGCATTAGTGCCGGTGGTAGTATGGAAGGTGCCGCACGGCTCAACCGCCAAAAGTGCGACGTCGCCGTCAACTGGGCTGGAGGTCTTCACCATGCCAAGAAGAGCGAAGCTAGCGGCTTCTGCTATGTCAATGGTATGGCCAAGTCTTTCCACGATATCCATAAGCTCCCCGCATAGGCCCGTATCTCGCTAACTTGTGGATCTTCATGATAAACAGACATTGTTCTCGGCATTCTCGAACTCCTTCGCTTCAACAAGCGCGTGCTCTATATCGACATCGATGTCCACCACGGAGATGGAGTTGAGGAAGCTTTCTATACGACAGACCGTGTCATGACAGTATCGTTCCACAAATACGGAGAATATTTCCCTGGCACTGGTGAGCTTCGAGACATTGGTATTGGCCAGGGCAAATACTATGCCGTCAACTTTCCTCTGCGCGACGGCATCGACGACAACTCCTACAAGTCCATCTTCGAGCCCGTCATTCAGGGAGTCATGGAGTTCTACCGTCCTGACGCCGTAGTATTGCAGTGTGGTGGAGACAGTCTGTCTGGAGATCGGCTGGGTTGCTTCAACCTGAGCATGGAAGGCCATGCTAACTGTGTCAAGTTTGTCAAGAGCTTCAACCTACCGACAATGGTCCTTGGTGGTGGTGGCTACACCATGCGCAACGTTGCGCGTGCTTGGGCCTATGAGACTGGTCTGCTCGTCGATGCCGACATGAATAGACAACTGCCGTTCAACGAGTACTACGACGTAAGTTTGGCATTCTCCACCTCTTTCTATCAATGTCACCATATTGACCTAATGCAGTACTACGGACCCGATTACGCGCTAGATGTACGCGCTTCGAACATGGAGAACGCGAATAGCACCGAGTACCTTGAGAAAATCAAGAACCAGCTAATCGACAACCTGCGCCGCACAGCTCATGTACCATCTGTACAGATGCAGGATGTGCCTCGGCAATCTCTTGGCGCCATGTCCGATGAGGATGATGCCGAGCTCGACGATATGGACGAGGATGAGAACAAGGACGTTCGCATGACACAGAGGCAGTGGGAGCAAAGGGTTGAGCGCGACAATGAATACGAGGATAGCGATGACGAGGACATGGACAAGGCCAACGGGGTGGACCCAAGGAACAAGCCCCGGATGAGGCTGCTCGACTTTGACGACAACAAGCCAGCCCCTGACAGTGGCGACTCGTCTCCAGCTCCTGGAACGAACGCGACCTCGGCCACCTCGAAGCCGAAGGACGCTGACAAGGTCATGGAAGACGCCGACGCCAAGGAAGCAGATACAGCGGGCGAGACCACCGTTACTGCTGGCAATGAAGAAAAGCAGAACGGCACAGCGACGCCAGCTGCCGGCATTGCTGCTGAGGAGGAAGCCCTGAAGCAGGCACAGCAGGCCAGTACGAAGGAGAAGACACCAGCTGAGGCGGAGAAGGCCGACGCCGAAAAGACCAAGCCTGACGCTGAATCCGCAGCCGACACGCAGCAGACTACAAAGGAGACCGAGCCATCAAAAGAGGACGAAGTTATGCAAGATGCACAACCGAAGGAGTCCGAGACCGCCGCGGTCAAGGCAAAGAGCCCTGCGGCAGAAGCCTCAATACCAGAGAAGCCTGCGGAGGCGGCGAAGGTGGACGGCGATGGTGATGTTGATATGGGCGAAGCCACGACGACAGCTGCGGAGCCCGAGAAGAAAGATGCTCCAGAAGTCAAACAGGAGGAGGTGACCGAGCCCGCAGCAGAGCCAGCCAAAGCCACCGAAGAGGCTGAGAAGGCCAAGGAAGAGACGTCCACCTCATGACCACGGAAGCAGGGCGAGAGCAGGCATCTTGCAGGCACGGATGTGAGCGACTGAAAGGGATGGTCTCCCTCTCTATCGTCTACGACATTGTGTATTGCGGTAGATGGTGCCAGCATCCTCGGTCATGGCTGTATATAACAAGCCCAAGCGATCGGCGTTTAGGTTTCACTGCATTCTTGGGGAAGATTCGAAGGGAGTTGGGCTTATGAATCTCTATCGTAGCAAACTGACAACAAGGACTCTCTACCTACGAAGTTGATGATCCAGACTCGTGCATGCTTGTTGAAGTGGGTACACCTTCGTTATTCGGGCCATGATGGCTTTGATAGCTATTGATGTTTTCATAATCGTAGCGCTGAAGAGAGACGGCGGCTATGAGCGAGCCATAACGTGCACCAGGCGTGGCCAAGTGCTTAGGAAGCTCAAATCTTGCCATAGTGTCGTCATGCGACGATCCTCCTCGGTGCAACAGATCCCGTCGAGCTCGGGACAGCTGTGCGGGCAGAGCAGGAGGCAGAAATGCGACTGGCCTGGATTGGCTGGAGGCGGTTCCACTTTTCCAGAGTCCTTGCACAGATAGGTACGTACCGAGATACCTACCTTATCTTATCAGCACATGACACTGGGTTTTTCTGTCTAGTTCGCTTCTAGGGTTTCTCACGCCCACACCAAATTTCCTGGGCCCGGCTCAGAATTTCGCACCCTGCCCGCACGGCACACCCAACGACCGCCCTTGCGCAAAGTGTAGCTACTCTGGAGAAGTCGCAGCAGCCCAGCATCACGACGTCCACGCACCACCCAACCCCGACAACAACACGTCACAACACACACAACCGCAGCAATGGCCAAGACTTCGTAAGTTCTCGCCATGCCGGTCGAGTTCACACTCGACCACCTCGTCACCCGTCAGACCCTCGCTCGAGCCCGATCTGGAGATTTCGTCGTTTCGAAGAAAAAAAATGTCGCCGGCCCCGCAGCACCGAAAATTTGTCACGACTATGGACCAGAGAGTGAGAGAGAGGCATTGCAATGGAGGACAACAATGGGCGACATCTGTTGCCGTCATGCTTGTGCGGCCGGCCAGACTTGAGCACACTCGGGCCCATCCGTCTACGCCAACCGACCTGCTGGGTCAATTTCGACCTTGCCAATTTTCGAGACTGGTACCAACGGGCACGACCTCGGTTGGCCATCGGGACATGCTCCTGACCGACCCCGGCGCGACTTTCAAACGACGAAATCTCCAGACAGACGACAGCGACTGACGGCACGAGGGGAAAATGATTTTCACCAAGGAAATACTGACCCGATGCTCTTAGGCGTGGTGCCCCCGGTGGCAAGCTCAAGATGACCCTCGGTCTGCCCGTGTATGTCTCTCAAACATCCGCATGAGCATCCGCTCTCTTTCCGCTGCAACGAACACACTCTAATCTCGTCACTGTGCAGTGGTGCCATCATGAACTGCGCCGACAACTCTGGTGCCCGTAACCTTTACATCATCTCCGTCAAGGGTATCGGTGCCCGCCTCAACAGACTGCCTGCCGGTGGTGTCGGTGACATGGTCATGGCCACCGTCAAGAAGGGCAAGCCCGAGCTCCGCAAGAAGGTCCACCCCGCCGTCATCGTCAGACAGTCCAAGCCCTGGAAGCGCACCGACGGTGTCTTCCTCTACTTCGAGGACAACGCCGGTGTCATCGTCAACCCCAAGGGTGAGATGAAGGGCTCTGCCATCACCGGCCCCGTCGGCAAGGAGGCTGCCGAGTTATGGCCTGTAAGTTGTCTCGAAGTTTACATCTGCATGACATCAGGACCCCTTTTTTCGCTAACATGTCTGCTTTCCCCCATCTAGCGTATTGCCAGCAACTCTGGTGTTGTCATGTAAATCTGCATTTCGACGTTTGGAGGGGCAAAATGGTTACGGGACGACATGATGAGACGGCTTCGGAGGTGCGGCGTACGAACAGAGGATTCAAACCCAAGACTTGTGGTCGGTCAATAGATGCACAACCATCTTGCGCGTTAGATTCCCCCCAAAAAGAAACGTCCGCACCAAGAATTCACCACCAAAAAAACGAAAAAGGACCCAAGGGGAAGACCAGCAGCTCAAAAGCGTGCTAGGCGCAAAGTCTCGCACCAATAGTATACCAAGCACATCAAAACAATCAGGCAGCAGGAGGTGGCATCATGGAAAGGGGGGAAATGGTGGTGAACCCTTGTTTGTCTGCGTTGGAGGGCATAATTTTGAGCTGGACTGGGTCGACCTTTTCTATTTTTTTATGTTTGCATTTCGGCTTATGGGGCGTACAATGGTGGCAACACATTACCAGAAGCATAGCATCCTGGTCCTGGACCAAAATGAAGAACAAAAAACACAAAGACATCAACGTGTTGCTCCTGTTGAATTGGTGAAACGCATATTGCAGTTGGGGACTGCGCTTTGCAGGCTCTATTCAGAACGACTGAATGCCTGTCGGTGTGAAATTGAAAGAGCAGCCAGCACCCTCGACGACTCGGCGGCATCTGAGTGTTATCTAGAGGTCGCATACCTGACAAAATGGGCTTTCTGGAGGACTGTGGCCGCTGCAAGATTTGTTCTGCACTGTTGCTGGGCTCTTCTCTGGCAGGCTTCGTCCTTGACCGAGGTCTGATACATGTAATGGTAGTATGTCTCCCTTGACAGAGCGCGCGACACAACGGCAGACTTACATTATGGTGACATCGTCACCATCTGCTGCTTCTGGAACGAGACCGGCCTGTCGGGTTCATACTGGATCAGGTAACGCGCATCCGAACAAGAGCTACTTGGCTACAGTCAACTCGAATCTCAACTTGACAATCTTTATCGAGATCGCTTCGTCTACAGTCACCCGGATACGACTGAAGAGGCTAGCGTGAGGTGGGATCTTCCCCAGGCGCTCATGAGCTCCAGGCGCAGGGCTTGGAGACATTTAGTGAAACAGGCAACGCGACCGCTCGAGCATTGACATGCCGAAACATTCAGACGTTCGAAACAGAAGAGAACTTACAAAGGTTCATGTTGAGGGGACTTCTATCAGCACCAGATCGCTCGGGCGTTAACGGGCATGGTCTGTAGCCTCCACGGGAGTGAAGGAGCAATCGAGAACTCATGTAGAATTGGAAGGCCCCAGCCTGGAAAAGAAAGCATTTGGAATCATCTCCAACCCACAATCCCGAGTGGTTTTCGTTATGTACATGGATCGGCATAACTTGGCGTTATCATCAAAGGTCAGCCGCAATGCTGGCGCGGGCGGGCTTCAACCTCCAGGCTCTTCGCGAAACTAGGTGTCAAGTAAATGGGAGGGGCAACATCATGTCGTTACGAAGGCAGCAGTTGCGGCAGGCCGAGATATGGACTTTTTTCACGTGCATGAGCGGGTCGTTAGCTTGCTTTGGCTGAATGTTTTCTCCCTCACTTTTAACGATTCTTCCAATTTCTATTGTGAAGATCTGGAGGAAGGTCATTTTCCCTGTTCGAAAGTGAATCTAGTTCGGTGAAGTGGAGACGCAGATTCCGTTTTGAAAACTCAGTCTCAGTAATAATTAATATGGTCGAACGAGAATCATTACAACAACTAAGATGTTAGAAGAAAAAAAGGAAATGAAATGAAATGAAAACCATTCTAGAAGCATGATAACAGATGATTCTAATATCAACATATGAGCTAGGAACCAAAATGGCGCCCTTCATGCGCACTCATCTCGACCGAACAGACCAACCACTTGAAACGTCTCACCACCTGCCATTCCCACGCCGGTCGTTGCTGTCTCCTTTCTCAACATGTCGGAGAGATACGCTCTACCTTATCCTCACACCGCAATCCCCGCTTTTGTACAAGCACATTGATTGCCTCTATTTCTCATTTACAGACTCCCTTCTCCTCCTCCTGTTCTGCGTCTTCTAATCTCTTGCTGCCAAAAAAACGGAGGTAAGGCACACGACGCGGCCTGCCGGGCGAGGATGCTCGGAGCTTCTGTAGTACAATACATTCTGGCATCCCTCTTTTCTCATCGAGTCTGTCCCCCTTTGTTCCCTCCTTTTTTGCCCTTCTCTCTCGTTTTTCTTTCTTCCTTTGTATTGTCTTTTTTCCTTTTTAAAAAAAAAAGATTTTTTAAAATAAAAAATCTTGTTTTATTCTTCATCCAATTGACACGATGCCGATCTCGGCACACCTTGCTTTTAATTCGACCCCTCCCCTACATCCGAGAACAAGCTCACGAACACTGATAGAATTCACGAGGGAAAAAAAAGGGAGCGATGCAAGCAGGCTGAGAACGACCAGAGCCAACACTCACAAACACTTCCCGCCAACACGCACACGGACCAGAGAGACCAGACCATGAGATGATGTAGAGCAGCCAAACTCACCCACCCCCCCCCCCCCCCCCCCCCCGTTTTCCCGTTTCTACATGCCATAACTGCTCGAAAGAAAGAACAAGAAAAAGGAGTACGGAACATATTCAAGCACGGAACTCAACTGAATGATCATCTCAGGTCTAGTAGGCTCAGTAGACACGGCGTCACAGGCGAGTTCGCTTCGAGCAGCACGCTCTATCAGCAGCCGCAGCAGCCCGTCCGCCCGTTCGTTTCGACACATCTCTCTCCGCCAAAGTGCCGTGCTTTGGCACACGTCTGGGCTGTCCATGTGCCATATTTCCACGTGCAGGGGAACTCTTGAGGTGGGTTTTATGAATCAGAATTGCTCAATATGTAGATGCTAATAAGCCGCAAACGCAATACTAAACGACAGGAAAAAGTGCAATGGCAATGATGGTGATAATGATGACCAATGCTAAAAGACCCTTGCGTGTGTGCGCTCATCTCCATGCTCGCGCCATGGCCCATCACGGCGAGTCCTTCCAGTCAGTAATTCTATTTTCCAGTACTGCTTTTCGTACCTTCTTCACCGATAGATGCTTTCCAAAACCGCGAACCAACAAAGCACGAGTTCCCCTTTCGTCCCAGAAATGAAGGAACCTCTTTGTCGCATGTATGTGTTGTTATAAAAGTACAGAGTATTCCACCTTTGGCGGTGGCAGATGGGCGGGGTCATGACTGCGCGACGACAATGACTCTGCTAACGCTGTTCGTCGTATATATTACACCCACATCACCTGGCTGTGTCGCTCGCATTGCCTATGAGAGACCACCGCATCTTTTTGCACCGGACAGTCACGATCAAGCATGGCTTTTCATCCAAAGCCTGCCTCCTACTTAGCTACCGCAGGAGGTGCCTCGGCCGGAGCTTCAGGCGCAGCAGGCTTGGGGGGCGTGGCCGCCCTTGCGCTCTTCTTAGCCGCGAGGGTGGCACGCCGCTTACTTACGGCCGCAGACATGGAGCCAGAAGCCCAGCGAGCTGCAAAAGAACAAAGAGAGAGCTGTCAACAAATAGCGCTACAAGAAATGTATAATTTTGCAAGAGGTGAAATGTGTCGAACAAGCACGACTGTTGGCATACCTTTCATGGAATAAGACATTTTCTCCGACTTGGTCATCGTGCTGTAATCCTTCTCTATTTCCGGCTCCGTCTGTGGGGTGTGGCCGTTTGAGTGGAACGAGCCGCCCTGAGTCGTCGGGGAGTCCATGGTCTGTGAGGGTGCAGGCGAGTAAGGCGATGGCACATGCCCACCTGTAGAGACAGGAGCGGCAGACCTCGCAGCTGCCGTCGAGGAGGCGCTTGACGGCTGGTAGTTCTTGATCTTGATTTTGGGAGTCGGTTTCGGTGCCACAATCTGGGACTGCTCAGGCTGAGACATGTCGACTGCGTACTCATCGGTCAGAGGCATTACCTGTTCGACGTACGACTTCCTTGGCCCCCGGCGCGCACGCTTAGCTGGTCGTGAGTGAATGGCCGTAGCGCCATCATCGTCTTCGGCCCCGCCGACATCATCGTACTCTCCGTCATCCAGGGAGAACTTCTTCTGCCGCTTCTCTCTAAGTGAGTAGTTGTTAGGCGACGAGTCTGCCGTCGTATTGGACGCGGTGGAGGACGCAGTTGCCGGGCGATTATCCTCATCTGCATAGGCGGAGGACTGAGAGTAGAAAGATCCTGTGGGGACCTCGGACAGGCGTGAGTTGCGCCTCCTGGCCTGCTTGCTGGCTTCAGACGCTGTGCCATTTGCTAGTGCCTCGTCCTCCTCGTCCAGGTCACGCCTGCGTCTCTTACGAACCGGGCGTTCGACAATGTTTGGAGTAGGCAGTGTCGGGCCGTCTTCCGAAGCGGGCCCAGAGGCACCCTCGGTCTGTGAGATTGGGAGCGGGTGCTTCCGCGGCCGCCCGCCTTTGCCCTTCTTGGCCGGCACCGCATCACCGATGGCATCGGCGGACGACGGCAGGAACTCGCCATTGTCGTCACCGCCTTGGCCAGCGCCGCGCCTCCGACGCTTGGGTTGCGATGATGGTGCAGGCGTGGAGCTCCTACTTGCACCTTCCATTCCGTCGAAAAGTGTCGGCGCTTTCCTGGCGCGTTTCCCAGAGACAACGGCAGGGTCATCGGCCTCAGCGGCTTTAGCAGTCTGCTTTGGCCGGTCCCGCAGTCGGGCCTTGCCGGCAGCGCCGGTCCTCTGTGAGACGGGGTCCTGCTGGCTAATCTTGGACTCGCGGTCGTCATAGTCGAAAAGGTAAGCCTGCGCCATGACCTTGTCCTGCTGTCGTAGATAAGCCAAATGAGGGTCCGTCTTGGGTGCTCGAGTACCCTTTACGACAAAGTCCTTGCGTAAGGGATTGGCGGAGGGGTCCTTGCTAAGGGCCATCTTCTCGCGGTGCTGGAAAGCAAGCTCTTCTTGGTGGTAGCGGATGGAGTTGTCCTCGTCCTCTGTGATCAGGCGCAATGCATTGAACTCGCTCTGCCAGGCTTGCAGGGCTCTGTTGGCCACCTCCAGGCGGTAGTACAGCTCCGTATACGATAACCCCTTGAGATCGTCAAACAGGGAAGTAAACTCAGAGGCGTCACGAGTTTTCCGAAAGGCATACTGCCGCTTAGAGGGCAACATGGCTGCAGCCTCTGGCTCTGGTGCTGGTGAGTTAGCAGCCGTCTCAAGAACAAGAGGCGTGCCGATAGGCGTGTCTTCGTCGGCTGCGTCGGCAGGCTCGTCGCCAGCGTCCTCACCAGGCTGTGCTGTTTCGTCCAGGGTACCGTCCGGCTCGCCATCAGGGGCGGCCTCCTGATCGGCTTCAACTTCTGGGTCCGCATCTGCGTCCGGCTCTCCAGTGGACTTGATCTTCGGAAATAAGACAGTCGCACCACTGATATATGGAGTAAGATGGCCGAGCGGGTCGTTCTTGTCGTCCACCGGCTTCTTTGGCTGTGGCTCCGGATGCTTGGATTCAGCAGGAACTGCCACGCTCTTTTGAGGAGTAGGCTTGAGCTCTTCCTTGACGGGAGCAGATGGTGCCGCGGGTAGATCAACAGGAGCTGACTCTGCAGGCGAGGATTTGCGAGGCACCTGTGGTTCTGCTTGTGATTGGGATTGAGGCTGCGGTAGAGGTGATGCAGCTTTGGGCGCAGATTGTGGCTCAGTCTGTAGTTCAGCAGGGGGTTTGATGTCCTCCTCAACGCTCGGGACAGTTGGCGTGGGTGCTACGACAGGTTCGGCCGCAGGCTGGACACTGGCAGGCTGCTCAGGCTCTTCAAGCTTTTGAGGAGCTGAGCTGGGGATAGACTGGCTCTCAGGCTGGGGTGCATCGTCCTCGATTGCGCTTTCGTGAGATTCAAGGACCGGATGACTAGTTGGCGGGGAGACACCCTCGCGCGCCTGCGTGATGACAGAGGCCGCAGGGGGGACGGCTGTGGGCTGCGATGGCTGTGGTGGTGGTGATGATGGCGGTTCAGGGTGGGTGATGCTGGACAGCCGCAGGCCCGCTTTTGGTGTAAGATCATGATGAGAAGAGCCACCTGAGCTGGTGCGGGCGCGAAACGAGTCGTCCGAGTGCATGCTGTGCCGGCCACCAACCTCAATTGTGTCCTGGACCTCGACATCGTCTGCCTGCTGGTCGGGCACATATACCTGGGGCTCGACCGTGGTCTTGCGCGCAGCCGCCTTGCGGCGAGCAGAGCCTGCGGCAGGAAGGGGCTGCTCCGAGGCGCGCCGCTTGACGCGCAGCTCGTGCTCCTCGTCGGCGTCGCCGTCGAGAAAGCTAATGTCCGTCTTGCGCTTCTTGAGGGAGCGGGCCGCCGAGGGCGTGGCCCTGGCAGCAAAGACGTCACTGTCCTCGAGCTGGTGGTCGAAGCTGTAGTCGATGCGTGGCTTGCGGCGCAGAGAGCGGCCGCCCTTTGCGTCTGCATCTTCGGGGGACTGCACTGCAGCCTCGCCCTGACGATGGCGGACGCCTCTTATACTGCGCGAGGACGACGGGCTAGGCGTCTCATACGCAAAGGAAGAAGGGGCCATCTGGTCAGTAGGGGTTGGGGGCAGGTCGGTCGAGTCTGGCGGCCTAGAGGACGAGGACCTGGCCAAGGGCAGCACATGTCGCCTTTTTGTGGTGGAGCGACCGCGCCCGGCACGAGACGCAGCAGCAGCAGCAGCAGCGGCGGCAGCAGGCGTCGCCGATGAAGCAGCAGCAGATGGCGTCTCCATGGCTGCCTTGGGCAAAGGGCTGGCGCTTGGAGACGGGATGCTGCAAAACGCAGCAGCGCTGGTGGTTGCCGTGTAAAAGACTGGGTTGAGGTCGGAGATTTGGTGTTATGTAAGTGGAGCCCAGGTTGGCTGGGAGGAAAGGAGGAATGTCGCAGCTCCCAGCGGCACGGTCCGCCCGCTCCAGCGCTTGTAGCAGCAGCAGCAGCAGCGCTGAGGAGCAGGGCCAGCAGCACCAGCACCAGCAACAACAACGAAGATGACAAGAAAGAAAAGAGAAATAAAAACAGGACAGTAGTGTTGGGGGCGTTGTTATTGTTGTTGTTGCACTATGGCGAGCAGTGCGACGATGATGACAACAGCAGCAACAACAACAGAGAGGACGAACTTGGGGAGAGGCAGGCGCAGTATCTTCACTCTGCACTGATTGCCCTTGCGCGGCGGAGACGCAGCAGGTGGAGCCCGGCGTCGCTTGTCTGGTGTCTTTGGTGCCAACACACGAGTAAATGTGCGCGGTATTGTGTGTTGTTTTGCGTGGTGCGTGTGTGTGTGTGTGTGTGTCAGAGAGAGTGAGCTGGCTGGGCGCTGCGCACCGACTTATTGGCTGGCCCCGAGGGAAAAACCTGGGAGGCGAACAAGAAGGAGAAACGGGACTCAGGCGCGAGGCGCGCACGAGCAGGAGCCGCCGCAGTCGAGACCGCCTGGGAAAAGAAGACAAACAAGAGAGGGCGCGAGGCGCGAGCAGCCAACAACAACCCAACAGAAGGCGGTTGTAGGTGATGGTGACGAGGTCGGGACAAGGACAGAGAGCGCGCTGGCCGTCCGTGTGCAAGCCGAGTCGATGATGGGCCCGGTGGTGAGTGAGGCCAGGCTAATAATAAGAGGTGACGGATGTATGAGTGAGCCTGACTGCATCAGCAGACTGCACCACAACCACCAGGGCGCCCGCGTGTAAGACGACAGCCGCAGACCCTGCCTGCCACGAGGATCTTGCAGCGGCCGCTCTCCCGAGTATGGTTCTCGAGGCTGCGGACGGCGTTTGAATGAAGTGGTGTCGCCGTGCGTGCTGTGTTGCGAGACCGCCTACGTAGTGTACGTGAAGAGACTTGGCCTTGGCCTTGGTGTGTTAGTGCAGCAGGCTCGACTTCAGCCAGTCGAGTTAAGTTATTAGCTGGCCTCCTGAGTCGACGGCATTGACAAGGAATTGTGGGCGCGTCCCAGCAGTGCTGCAGGACTGCCACGTACAGCCCAGGGTTCGCGGCAGGGCCTTTACTGTATCATGATGCTCTCCGACTACGTACGCGGGCACTGTTTGGCCAGTCCCTCCATCCATCCATCGACCCGGTCCAAGGTCGTCAATCCGCAGCTGGCGAGCGTCATGTCTGTTTCCCAAGTCGCTCAACTCTGCACTCCAGGAGGACCAGCTGCCACATCTGATTTTCGGGACAGGCCTCTTACAGCGGCTGGCCAATAGGACAACACGCCCGGGTCCAGCTTGCTTGTCGCCAGGCCATTTTCGGCCCAGAGGAGCCCCACGCCGGTACCGGTACCTCGACCGTTGCGGGACTCCCCGTACAAGGGCGAGGTCCCCTGGGGTCTTGGCCATGGGGCAGCTGCCCGCCGTCTGCAACTGCCCGCCACTCCAACACCTGGCTGCTGGAACAGGCACTTTGGAGCTCCACGCCTGTGACGACAGCGCAGACGGGACCCCCTCCCCACTCTGGGCGAGGGTCCTCCTGTCTCGACTGCAAGCAGCCAGGCACCATCTCGAGATACAACCCCTCTGGTGGTGGGACCTCCCCCAGCTCCGACACCCCTTCCCTCTTCTTGCCTGTTTCTTGTCACTGCCCAGCAGCAAGGCGATGCATCCATAGCGTAGCTTCGCCTGTCCTGTGCCAGTCCATCTACAACCCTACCTGCTGTCCAACCTCGCTGTCCTCCGCGCACGCTGCGTCCTCCCCTCTGACTGGTTCAGAGAGTCCAGCAACCCATTCTTCCTAGAGCGGTAAGCCTCGACCTTGTCTCACTCTACATCCGTGGGGCAATGGGCAAACTCCCATGGCTCTCGGCCTGGTCACGACCGAGCGAGCTTGCGACAGATTGCACAATCGAGACCTTTCCACCCACAATCGTCCAGCCGTCCTGCCGCAGCATTACCATGGCCCGTGGCCAAGCTGAGCTTGCCTTGCTCGTGAAGCTTTACTGGCGACACCCTCACTGACCAGCTGCCTTGACAGCATGGACTAGCTTGTCCCACTTCTCAACCCAGCGATTCGCCCTATAGCAGCCGCCGTTCCCAGACCGACTGGCCGAACCGGCACCCCAAGTCACAATGGCGTCCAAGAAGCCCAAGGGCACGACGGACGATGACATCTCGGATATGTTCCAGGGCATCGGCATCGACAAGTCTGGCAAGAAGCCCGCAGCCAAGCCGAAATCCGCCACCTCCAAGCCTCGCTCGGACAAGCCTGTCAAGGACGTTCTCGCCGACTTCGAAAACGAGCTGGGCAACGACGAGCCGTCTCGCCCTCACACCCCGCGCATAAAGGAGACTGCAGGAGCCAAGGTGCCGGCCACGAAGAAACCTGTCACTGGGAATCCCACTCCGGCCGCAGCTGCTGCTGCTGCTGCTCGCAAGTCGACAGACAGTGCTCGCTCGCGTGTTGGTGTGACGCCCGGCTCCTCTGGCACCCAGGAAGCTGAGGATGACGACGATGACGATGACGACGACGACGATGAAGACTCTGAGGAGGACTCGGAAGAAGATGAAAAGGCGCCACCCCCTGCACCGGCAGCTTCAGCCGGTGGCGGCTGGTGGGGGGGCATACTGGCGACGGCAACGGCCACTGCGACCGCAACCGCTAGCGCTGCATTGAAGCAGGCTGGTGCTGCGTATCAGGAGATCCAGAAGAACGAGGAGGCCAAGAAATGGGCTGAGCAGGTCCGCGGGAACGTGACAAACCTGCGAGAGCTTGGTACGGAAGCCGTCCGCCCTTGAAGTCACAGTCTGAGCTGTCTTTGCTAATCCTGCTTAACCCACAGGCGGTGATCTTCGACAACGCGCCATGCCTACTTTCGCCGAGCTTCTCAACACTCTTGCGCCGCCAATTTCTCAGCACGAGCGTCTCCTCATCCACATCACGCACGATCTGGTGGGCTATCCGTCCCTGGATCCACTCATTTATGGCGTGTTCAACCGGGTCATGTCACAAGTGGAGGGTGGCGACCTTTTGGTCGTGCAGCGTGGCCACGAGAGCACTGTTCGTCGCTCCTCAGATGCCGCCTACCGCTCAGGATCGAGCTCGGCGGGCTGGCGAGACGGCCCCTGGTGGAGACAGGCCGAGATCGCACGCGATCTTGGAGCTGTCCGCGGTCTTGTGGAAGGCACAAAGCTCTGCCGTGTCAGTGCCGAGAGCTACGCTTCAGACTATTTCGCAAGCAGCGGCGGCATTGGAGCGGCCCAGAAGCGTGCCCTTGAGCCCGCAAGCGAGGAGAATCCCGTCCGGACTAGCGACATCTTCCTTGCTGTGCAGGCCATCACCACGGAAAGCGATTCAGTCCTGTTTGCAGGCAGCGCAAGCGGCGGGAAGGAGAAAGAGGAAGAAAGCGAGGAGCGCTCGGAGAACGAGATTGTTTTTGCCGTCTATGTCCACGATCCGATTCACGACATCACCTACAGCTCCCTGAGCCAGGCCATGCCTGCCAAGTGGATTCGGTGGCTCGACGCCGCGAGCCCCCTGACGCCTGCCAGTGGCGAGTCTGACGCCGGCCATAGTCACGAGTTTGACCATGTTCCCGAGGAAATCCGGGAGATTGTCGAGAGTGGTGGCGTAGACCCGCGTGAGTGGGTGGCCGAGTGGGTCGAGGAGTCACTGAGTCTGGCCGTGGGCATCGTCGCGCAGCGCTACGTCGCTCGCCGGATGGGCGTCGGCGATGGCAGCCTGGGCAAGGGCAAGGCCAAGACGGAGTCATTGGTGCAGAGTGGCGCTGGGGAGGCGGCGCGGGCTGGTCTGCTCTGAGTTGCGCTTGGGAGGTTGACAGGCGGTGGATCTTTGTGCCCGTTGGAAGGAGAACATGGTGCAATTGCACCCAATCGCGTAGCAGGATACGAATGTGATTTCTCATCAAACTGGCTCAATGCATGTTTGTACAGCTTGGTTTGGCTTTGCGGAGATGGTGTGTTCTGAGATTTGTGTGCCTGGTGTTGTGCGTCGCAGCCAGTCTGATGAGGTGACCTGCCATTGTTCAAAGGTGGAAGGATTCATATATGCCTTTGCCGATCAGTTTTCCCTGTTCGCAAAGGGCACATTTTCATGACAACTAGGACGGAATTTTGGATCACAGAAAATACGGGCCCTGTCTGTGTATGCGAGAGAGAGAGCACAGTTGCTTGGACGTGGGCTGTATGCAGTTTTGCGCCATCACCACTACCACCACGCCAGATTGCATAGTGCTTGACATTCCCATTCATTACTCTACTGAGACTAAATTGCACGATGAGTACCACCGTCGAAGAAAAGTTCCTGCGAGATCAAAATCAACCTAGGCTGCCCACGACCTTGAGCTCCCCTTTAGCCTCTCTGCTTGCATCCGGTCCCGGCTCGACCCGCCGCAAGGGCCGATACACGGGATCCCACATCTGTTCCCTGATCCACTCGTCCAGCTCCTCGAGCTTCTCGCTGTTCTTGGCGTCGTCGTCTTGTTGACCCTTGACATACGGGATGGCCTTTTCCTCGGCGACGCCCTCCTCCACCGCAGCGATGATGACCTCCCTCGCGACGCGGACGCTCACGGCCCGCACGTCCTCTACCCCGGGGAGAAGCGGCGCGGTGATGTCGTCGGACAGCAGGGCCGGGGAGAGCGCGGCGACGGCCGAGACGGCCGCGCGGAGCATCTTGTCGGTGACCAGGCGGGAGCGGGAGAGGACGGAGCCGAGGCCGATGCCGGGGAAGACGACCGAGTTGTTGCATTCGGCGACCTCTATCGTGACTTCCTTCTTGTCATCATCCCCGCCGCTGTTATTGCTGCTGTTCGTGGCGGCCCCCCAGGGGCCCTTGACCGGGTCAAAGGGCGAGCCCGTGGCCACGAGGGCCTTTCCGTCGGTCCACTTGAGTAGATCCTCCGGGACAGCCTCGTGTAGGCGTGTCGGGTTCGAGAGGGGTAGGATGACTGGCCGCTCGACGTGCGAGGCCATCGCGCGGACAACCTCCTCGGTGAACGCCTTCGGTTTGGTCGACGTGCCAACCAGCACGTTTGGCTTGACGTGGTTGATGATGTTGAGCAGGGAAGTCGTGTCTTTGCCTTCCCACTCTGAAGTTTCCGTCCGCGCATACTGCTTCTGCGCGTTATCTAAAGAGTCGGTACTGGTGAGGAGCAGGCCGGGCTTGTCGACGAGCCAGATTTGCTTGGCGGCACTCTCGGCGGACTTGTCCTCGTTGTCCGCGGCGATGGCGTCCCGCACCATGTCCGCGATCCCCACGCCCGCGGACCCGGCGCCGAAGACGATCATGCGGATATCCTTGAGGTGGTTGCCGCCCGCGTGCAGGCCGGCCATGATGGCAGCCAGGGTGACGCATCCTGTGCCCTGGACGTCGTCGTTGAAGCAGGGAATCTCGGGGCGGTACTTTTCCAGGATGCGGCGGGCTTAGGAAGTCGGCTAGTCAGTCATGGGATGCTTACTTACTACGTTCACTGACCAGCAGGAATGGGTGCTGTCGGGCTGAGAGACTCGGTTGAAGGACTTACCGTTGGTCAGGCCAAAGTCCTCAAAGTGTATATAAGCCCGAGGGAACAACTTGCGCGCAGCCTGCACGAAAGTATGCACAAACTTGTCGTACTTTTCGCCTCTTACGCGCTCCTGGCACAGGCCAAGGTACAGGTCGTCCTCGAGCAACTCCTTGTTGTTGGTGCCGCAGTCGAGCACGACGGGCAGTGTCCGGTTTGGGTGCAGTCCCGCACACGCCGTCATCAGGACCAGCTTTGCGACGGATATCAGGATCCCGCCGGTGCCCTGGTCGCCTATGCCAAGAATCTCTTCCCCATCTAGAACGGACATAACAGCAAAGTCAGCATGTGACGGGCACTTATGAGTTCGCAGAAGACAAAAGGTGGGTGCTGCTGAGAGTAGCCGTCCCACCTACCTGAGACGACAATGTAGTCAATGTCCTCGGGCCGGCCCCATCGCGACAAGTCGTGCTCGACACGATCGATTTGATCGATGCTGAGGAAGCACCCTTCAGGACGACGGAAGATGCGCGAGAAGTTCTGGATTGCCTCGCCCTCGGTGGGTGTGTAGATGATGCTGAACATCTCCTTCATGTGATCCTGCAGGAGCTGCTCATCACGGACAATGTGTCAGCATTTCTGCTCCTCCTCCACAGCTTCTGGCAGCAGTTCGAGATGACAAGGATACACACGCACCCGATGGTACAGCACCAGATTCTGGTCCTTCAACGACGTCATGAACGTGTTCTTGGCCAGGTCGTCGTGCCGGCTGGAGTACTGCTCGTATGCGCGGGCGACCTGCTGTTCGAGCGTCTGCACCCGCTGCGGCAGCAGGCCGGACAGGCCAAAGGCATCGCGCTCCTCGGGCGTGTGTGCAGACCCTTTGTTGAAGTAGGGCGTGTTGAGCAGCACAGTGCCGTGGACGGCGCAGTCGATGGGGCCCGAGGTGCTGAGGGGCAGGTGTGCAAACTTGCCGCCATGTTTTTTGTTGCTGTTGTTGTCCTTGTTGGACGTGGAGGTGCCTGATGGTGACATGCTGGATAGACCGGGTTCTGACAATGACTGAGCAGGTTGTGTATGCCGACGTTCGGTCAAAGGAGATATCGCGATGGCTGGTCTCGAGGAAAATATGACACCTGGACGTAGGTGCCGGTGGTTTTCAAGATCTAGGGGCAGCTGCAGATCTGTGAAAAGCAGCTTTCCATGTCGACAGAAGTCCACAGAAGTCCGCAGGCAGACTATGATGATCTTGATGTCGAGCCATGCACGAACGACCACAAGGATAGATAAGCTCTTGGGCAATTTTGAGGCCCAACCAACAGCAGGGCTTACCGAGGGGTCCAGAACGCCATGCAGGTGCATGCGCGAACCTTGGGCGTGTCAGATTTTGGACGAGAGGCTTGTTCGTGTTAGTCGCGCAGCACCATGACGCAATTGAGCGTAACCGACGGAGCAGATGGAGCAGGTGCGATGCACAGAGGTGGGGGTGGTGCCTCAGTGATCATCAACCCCCATGCATGCCATGCCACCTTGTCGCGGCGATGGGCTGATTCAACCTGGACGCACGATCGTGGTGCCAGTCTCGTGCATGCGTGCTTGCTTGAGCAGGTCAGCGACATGATGGTAATTCACACAGCCTGGCGAGCAAAGCCCAAAGTCTGGCAGCATAGATACAGCATTGATAGTCGTGATGAGTACTGGCTTAGGTGACAGATTTAAACATCATCGCAGATATGGGCACACACCACTCGCTTTGCACGACAAAGTGACCCCGTCTTGTCACCAACGTCTACAGCTCCAACCACGTCGTTCTTTTCAATAAATCACATGTGCAAAGCTACTTGGCAGGATTCAAAACGAGCACAAATTGAAAGGATAGAAATGTAGGAGCTCCTGGAGCCTCGCCCATGTGACGAACCACACCAGCGAGCGTGCCCAGAACCCCCTCAGCCCACGAGGGAGCTGGGAGGGCAAAGGAACAAACAGACTGGGAGATGGGCATGGACTATGATGGCCCTATTCAAAGGTTGAATTCTTGTTGCAGCGCCGATACTATCGACCAGGAAGGAGCGTAAAACTCCTTCCCGCCTTGACATTCCAACCAAGACCATCCTCAGCGCCGCGACACAAGACGTGAAGCGAAAAGAGGACCCTCCGGTTTGACGGGAGGACTCGTGGGAGAGTGTGGAAGCGCAGTGTTCCTGTAAAGGAAGTGCGTCCACGAGCGAGTGATCTGGCGCAAGGAGCGCTGCGTGTGTGTGTGTCTGTGTGTGAAAGAAGAACATGGATGCGAGGGTGCATTGTTGTTCATGGTGTCTTGCGCCTGCGAATCTGCAGACGGGCAGGTTTTCCTTCCCTTGTGGGCACGAGACTGTCTGCTGTGCTATTCTCTTCCACGTTGAGTGTCTCATATCAGATGACTTACCGTGGTGTATCGATCCACTTTCGACCTCGACCTGCACGCAAGGCATATCTCGAGATACTGCTCAGTCCAGTGCTTCAGACACGCCCAGCCCTCGGCCCTCCGCGGCGTCGGCGCGAAACCGTTATCCCACGGCTCAAGCGCTCGGCTCCTGACGGGAATGCAGAGGAGCAGTCCCATCTGGCCAATGAGCTCCAAAGGACTTTGTCAAGCCCATGGTGGCCAGCCAGGCATCGCAAACTGGATTCGTGGACGCGTGCACAAACTAAACCATCGTGCAAAGGCAAGTAGTAGTGCAGTCTAGTCGATGGCAAGTCGTCAACTCCTTGCGCAGTGCAGCAAGATCCATCTCCAAACCACGGGGGCGATTCGCGGGATGAGAGTGGGAAGAAGGAGGAGTGCAGAAGCCGTGACAGCGGACGTCGTCGGATAAAGGAATGAATGAATTTGCACCAGGATGCGCGCCCGCACGGGCCATCAAGGACGAACAGCATGTCGGCCCCCAACCTCGCTGTGGATACCGTGCGGAGCAGACCTCTGGAAGCGATATAGTGGGTCTCGACTTACACAAGGCCCAGCATGGCTGTATTATGGTTAAGTACGACCTGAGAAAACGAATGACCGCTCAAATTCAGGAGACTGTTCGCCGCCATGCACTGAGGCATTTTTCCCGAAGACGTCACTATTTGATCGGACTGTACAACTGACTGCAAGGACTGCCATGCCCGGCCTTCCGAACGAGTGATCAATCTTGAAGTAGAGTGATGGAGGACGTTTTTGAATGGAACCAAACAAACATTCGAGGGTATTGAGCATCTGAAATAGGTGACAGGCGGAAGATAACAATATGAAACGCAAGCATAATGAGCACAAGACGAAGGACATCTCAAGAGCCACCGCCTCCACCACCGCAGCCACCACCACCACCTCCACCGCAACCCCCTCCACCACAAGCACCTCCGCCTCCTCCACAGGCTCCTCCGCCGCTGCACTGTGAAAGATGTTAGTCGACGCATAGACCGAATAGGCTGGAGATGGAAACCACTCACAGTACCGCCGCCGCCGCCACAACCACCAGCCGCCATGGCACACGCTCCAGCTGCTGCAGCACCAGCGCAAGTGCCGGCCACACAGCCTCCCGCGGCTCCCGTACCTCCGGGACAACCGCCCGGGCTACCGCCATAGTACATACCACCAGCAAACACCACTGGCGCGCCAAAGGGCACAGCATACGCAGCACCATATCCCCAGTGGTTGTGGACCTCACTGTCGTTCTTATCAAGCCTGCGGCCCTTCTTCCGGGCCCGCTCCTCGGCCTTTTTATAGTCGGCAAGAAGTCGCAAGTGGACAGCCTCGTTTCTTCGCGTACGGACCATGTTTTTCACGCCATCGACATCGGTAATAACAACCGAGTTGTGTGCCGAGATGTGTGCACTGTTGTCAGGTGGGCACAGCTTTGCCTGGCCAGAATCGTAGAACGAGTCCGCAACTGTCATGTTTGTTAGCACCAGCGTGTCCAATATCAAGGTCCTCTGCGGTGAGAGTGTCTCAATCACCTTTCTCACTCCTGGAAGCGCCAAAGAGTCTTCCCACCGACGACGTATGAGAAGTGCGGATTGCTTCACAATACCAGCAGGTGCATTCCGAATAAACCTCGTTGTAAAGCTTCTGGTATTCTTTGCACGTCCAGGAGAAGGCGTCGTGGAGTTTCAGCTCCTCAATCTTGTCATCATGGTCGATGAACTTCTCAGTCTTTTCCAGCGTGAACGCCATGTATTCCTTTGGACTTAGCTGCTGCGTGTGCCATGCAAGATCAACGTCCAGTGTCGGCACAACAACATGCAGTGAGTTTTCAGCAATCAGCCGCATGAAACGATGATACTTGACCATAAGTCGGGACATGGTCTTCCGGGCCGATGGGCTGTGCAGCCAGTCGATCTATCGCTCAGTATGTCAGTCTAGTGTTCCGGATTATAAATTACACCGGGCTGCATTACCTGGTACATTTTCTCCACGAAAGAGCCCTGCCGGTGTACAGCACCTGCAAGATCCAGTGCGAAGGGATATTGATTGCGCCAGTACCTCGCCATCATCTTGCGGACGTGGACTTTGGATTCCCGAGACAGCCGAGCATTCCGTGACGAAGGTTCTCCAGCCAGCTTGAGCGCCTCACCGTTCGTCAGTGCTTTCTGCAGAATCAGCCGCACGGTTTCGATTGATGAGGCACCTGCTTCTGGGTTGTTGGCGTCGAGAAGTGCCAGGATCTCAGTTCTCAGTGCGTTCTTGAGCAACCTGTTCGGGAATGTCGTGCCCCAGTAAGCCTGCAAGCTGTATGACAGATACTTAGGTAGGCCCGAATCATAGTTGAGAATAGTGCCGGGCATGGGATGGTTGTCCATGAGCAGACGACGGAAGTCCCCAACAAAGCTAGCAACCTCCAAATGATCGTTGGTGATGGGACGAGAACATGATGCGCAAGTATAGAAGAATGACCCGTCGCCGAAGCCCATTCCCTCGAGATCATCCTTGGCGCCGGCACTCTCATTCTCTGGCATGCCGCAAGTAGTCCAGGGAACAGTGTTTGTTGCTGAACATATTGGGCATTTGATGGTCTTCTCCAACGAGTCTTCAGCATTATCCCACGACCGGCCAGTGCTACTGGTCCAGTTGGCTTTGCCGTCACTTGTGACACTGTATTTGAATGTGGTGTCATCAATGCACGGGTTGATGATCTCCCAGGGAAGGCCGGCTGCCCAAAGGCCACCGAATCCGGCTCTGATACAGTCTTCGAGGTAGCAGCGAGGATTGAGCATGTGTGAGTGCCACACTAGAAGAACATCTGTGATCTCGTTAGTTGTTTACCCCAATTTTGAAGCTGGGATATATCACAGAAAGCCTTACCCAAGGGAGGAAGCATTGACTTGGTCCATTGCATCGGAGCCGAATCTGTGTGGAAGCTGTTGTAGTGCGGACCATCGATATCCATCATCTCTTCAACCAACGGCTTGCCCTGGAAGGTCTTCCACCAAGCCTCGTACCTGTCGACAGCACGAGCCACGAAGAGGATCCATCTCTTCTCACGAATCTCGGCGAGCTTCTTGGTGAGCGGACTGGTCTCGTCGTCGACGGCAGCCTTGGCCTTCTCGCCCTTCTCGCCCTTCTTCTCGCTCACGTGCACAGGTTGTGTCTCAGAATTCAGTGCCCTTGCATCAAAGAGCTGCCAGAGACCGTCGGTGTATCCGACGTCAGCCTTGAGCTGCTGGAAAGCGCTGAGGAGCTTGAGATGGGCCAAGCAACGATCCTCAGACAGATTTGGGTTGTCCTTGAGATTGATGGAGGTGAGAGCTGCGTTGAGCTCAGCCAAGGACTCTGGCGAGATGTCCGCGGGACCACGGTACGTTGGCGGGTTTGTGTCAGCAGCACGATATGCTGGCAGCATCGAGTCCTGAGACGCGCGGGGCTGGAGGTTGGGTATGGCGGTGGTAGTCATGGTTTCAGCGTGATGGCTGACAAGGCCACATCAGATGAAATGAAATATTGCGACGACTGAAAAGCGCTGCCTCTTGAACCAAAGCCGGGTGGCCGAATCGGGGGGCGACTGCGAGGTTCTTATGCGACTGGTGTGAAGCACGACCCTGAACCTTGAGCTTGCCGGTTGGCGGACGATAGATGGGCTTCGGCTTGTTCGACCGAGACTACTGTCGAATCAGGCTCCTGATCGCATCGGGCGCAAACGTGGAACGAACAGCCGTGTGCGTGGCGGCGCTTCCAGTAAGGAGTGCTGGCTGTGGTGGAGGTGGAGGAGGGGCCCAATCCAGCTCTTGGAGCTGACACAAGACAAGCTTTGGAAGGGGACCCGAGACAAAAGTGCACTTGCGGTGCTGCTCGTGGGCGGCAGGATAGGAAACATGCATGCATGCCACAGCCACCTGCATGTCCTTAAATGGGTGCCTGGTCAGAATCCCACTTTGGAGCCAACACCTCGATCTGGGACCTTGAGCTGGGGAAGCACGAGAAACACGCTGGGCCTAGTCACACGGACGGCTGAAAGTTCGTGGCGGGTCTGGTGTTCTTAGTTGATCTGGCGCCTGTGTGGGGTGAGCTGTGGACGAGGGAGGGGAGGGGTCGGCTGGGTACCGAGTACGGGTGTTTTCCTAACTGGGCGGCAGCAGCTCTTGGAGATCTGACGTCACTGCAGGCGTCTTTGAATTGTTGATGCCTGTTGTTGCATCTGGGTTGAGTCTCTGGCCGAGACGTGCCGTCGGTCGCCACTTGAGGCTTCTACGGGATACGTCTCGAAGCTCAGCCGCGTTGGCGTGGAGCAGGCTCTTGTGGGAGCAATGCTGGGGTGACAGGCGGGCTGAGCCAGCGTGGCTTGGCTGGAAGCTTGAACCCTGATGATTGCAAGCGGACACTTACACTAAGCAGATGAAACCTGTTGCTGGCACATCACGGGGATCTGCGTGGGTTCGGCTATGGGCGGTGCGCCTTGGCAGGCACAGAGCCGCATGCCCCAGGCAGCAGCATTTCTCTGCTCCTTCTCCATCCGGCCACCGATGGGGTCAATGGTCGTGGCTCATCGGCTGACCCAGTGCGCGCCGCGCCCGATTGTCATGATAGATGGGTCTGGCGAGTGCCGGCATTGCCGTACTGGTGCTGGGCGCCAGAGACACTGGATGGACCCCAAGAGACAGACCCATGGGAATCATGGATGCGCTGCAACATCATCAGTCTATTACTGCCCCGCCAGGTGGTCTGAGAGGGTGAAAGCGCAGCGGCAAGGCTATGCAAGGATATGACAGCGTGTGCCGGAGACAGGTCATCCACTGCAGTACTGTCATGACTGGTGGAAAGACATCTTCAGGGGTCCTTTTGGTTGTACCTGGAAGTAAAGAAGCGACCTCGGGAACGCTGCTCCCAAGATCCGCTTCAGCCTCCCAGTGTTTTGTGGGGTTGCTCCGTCGCGGGCAGGGGTTGGCTTGCCCCACACAGCAAGCTGGAGCTCCGCAGAGGCTCGCGCAACACCACAACGGGAGCCTTCCGCGATCGCGTGTGGTGCATGCATGCCACTTCCGTCGCTTGTCTGAAGCGCGCAGCACCACACCACACCACGCCTGTCCACGACTCAGCACAGCGGTGCTCCAGACACACCACAGCACAGCACAGCATACCACCGGCCACTGCCATGGCGCCATGAGACGATCCCCGGCCTTGCCCAATCGGTCACCCACATCCCTTTTCCCTTCGACCATGAGCGACATCGACCGAGGCTGACCAGCTTGGGCCTTGGTGCGTCCGAGATACCCCTGCGCCGCGGTGTGCGCATCGCGCATCGCGCGCCGCCATGTACAACCAGGGCAAGATCATGCGCCGCCTCCTCGGCCGGCCATCCGCAGACTCGCCGCCCACGACCACCAACGATGCGGCCATTGGCGTCACCAGCTCCCCGACTGTCCCCCTCTCCTATCGGCCGTATGCTTCTCAGACGGCCGTCTTCCCCGCCGGCGACCCCATCGCCTGCATCGACCGCTTCGCCGATGGCCATCTTGCTCTGCTCGGTGGCCGCCACATTCTCCAGACAGTGCACATTGATGGTCTGCAGTTCAAGAAAGGTGTAGACGTGCGGGCTGCCATTGGTGGCCAGCCCACAGGAAAGGCCAGCGCCGCCGCATCCATCGCAGACCAGTTCTCCATCAAGGATGCCAAGCTGAGCAACTCCAGTACCGGTGGCGAGCCTACCGTGTTCACTGCCTGCGCCAATGGCAAGATCTTTATGTACGACCTTAACCGCCTCGGTTCTAGCACAGGTCCCGACTTTATCCAGGCGCGAGAGGATTCGAGGCAGGTCAACAAGCTGGACTTTAATCCTCACCGCGGCAATTGGCTTCTCGCCGGTGGACAAGATGGCGTGGTCCGTTGTTTTGATGTCAAGTCCCCGGTGTCTGGCCGGTCCGGACCGACTTTCCGCACGTTTCAGTCCTTCCGCTGCAATGCCGAGGGCATTCGGGATGTTAAATGGTCCCCCAAGGACGGCATGATTTTTGCTTGCGCGACAGAATCGGGCGTGGTCTTGAAATGGGACATTCGGAAGCACAACACGCCTCTCCTCAAAATCAATGCTCACGACACGCAGAAGGGCGTCACTTCCATCTCGTGGCACCCAGATGGCGACCACCTCATCAGTGCTGGGCTGGACAGCAAATGCCACGTCTGGGATCTCTCCAAGAATGCTGAGAAGCGGCAGAAGCCCAAATGGACCATCTCGACGCCGGCTCCTGTGGCAGCCGCCTGTTGGCGCCCAGCCTTGTGGTCTGCAACGGCCCAAGGCAAGCGCGCTGCCCAGGTCGTGGTCTCATACGACGAAGGGGGCAACACCAAACGTCATGGCATAAGCTCTGTGCATATCTGGGACCTGGCACGCCCTTCGATGCCCTTCAAAGAAATCAACATATTCGACCGCTGCCCAAGTGCTTTGCTCTGGCACGACCAGGACCTGCTGTGGACTGTAGGCCAAGATGGTCTTTTTGCACAGTGCGATGTGGCATATGCGCCAAAAGTCATTGACCGCCAGCCGTTGTCCAATCTGCACTTCTCATCCACTGGCGAAGTCCTGATGCTGCTAGAAGAACGAGCTCGTCCTGCCAGACCACGATCTGCCGTGCCTCAAGACAAGGCCCCCACTTCTTCGTACAGCTCCAGTCCGACTGGACAGATGCTGAGCATCAGTCGCAGCGACTCTGAGGAGGATGTCATGGCGAGCTTTCTCGCACAACGACGGCGTGGGCATCATCGTCGCCGCACTACCGTAAACCGGCCAATCCAAGGACAGCCCATAAGTACAACTCCGCCCTCTGGTTCAGCCTTGGATGACAATCCAATATCTCTGGACCAGGCGATCAGGTTGACCGGCATCTTCAAGCCGCAGCAAGTCATGGCGGTTGGCCATGCCCCTGCTGCAACCAAGGCATCTGTGTACGAATTCATGGCTGGTCAGTATCTCGAGATCCTCCAAAGCGATCTTCCCCATATAGAAGGCGGCCCTCCCTTGAACGTCCGGGTCACTCAAATCCTGGAACAATACGCACGGGCCGCAGAGACAGTGAGCCAGTTTAGACTTGCGCAGACCTGGCGTATTCTTTCATATGCCATGGGACTGCTCCTTACAAGGAGGTCTCAGTTCCATCTAGAGGTCAGGACCACAGGGATCAGCAAACGTCGAACGCGCTCACCAGCCTCTGACTATCGGTCGGATCGGAGAGGGTCGAGTCTCAGAGGCGATGGGTCGTCCTACGGGGACCAGTCCGGAGAAGCAGCCATGCGCAAGGCGTCTGTCATCTCGACAGAAAGTCGACTTTCAGTGAACAAGTCGTTGTTGTCCGAAGAACTTGGCAGCGAATCGAATGTGCCCACGCCGCTTGCTCGTCCAGTGGTGGATGGGAGCTCACAGAATGGGATGGCTGGAGCAAAGAAGCTAACACCAGTGCTCGAGATGGAGAGCTTCAGCTTGCCGCCTGCTGCCCATGGGCACGGAGCCAGTCCCCGGAAGCGGCTCGACTCGACGCCTTTGTCAGTTGTCAGTGAGGACAGCCAGCTTTCTAGTGTGGAAGGCTACGACTTCTACGATGTCGATAAAGTCAGAGACATTCCCGAAGCGATCGATGTGCCAAAGAAACGGGAACCGCTGTCGCTGGATTACGTCGACTCAAAGGCGTCCAGTGGGCGGAGGAGAGCGATGAACAGACACGATTCCGAAGAAAGCTTTGCTCAAATGTTCTCAGTCTCAGATGGCAGCAGGCAGGCGAGCGTGCTGACGAGCTCGTCAAATGGAAGCAACGGTCAAATGCAAAAGATGACCCAGACCGCAGACAGTAGTCAAGAGGCCGATGACGGTGAGTATGGCAGTCGTATCAGGGGCCACAAGATCGACGACGCCCCTGATAAACTCCAGCGGCCAGCGATGCGCCCCAAGCGAGAAGGCTCCGGCAGCTCGAGGGACGACTTCATGATTTCGCAAACCACGATCGACACTCTCGATAGTGATGCCACGATGCCATCGAATGCCAGCTTCCCTGTCCGCCTGCGCACGAGCTCACCGCACTCTTCGCGTCGCATCTCAGATGATCGGACAGGTGTAGACCGCCCCGAGAACCACTTGTCGCCCACCATTACGGAGACAGACTTCCTGCCGTGGACCGACGACCCGCCGTACCCCTATCCCTTGCTTTCTGACTCCAGGGTGGCCAAACGTGCGCCGCCTATCGACCCGTATGACTTGGTGAAGCGAGCGCTGGCCCACGAGTCGAAGCACTCGGCACTGCATGCTTCCGCGATCATCCTTCTCCTGAAGCCTCTTGTGCCTGCTGATGTGATAGACTCATATCAGGCACTTGCGATCCTCCGCCAGCATCACAGCCGCCTAATGGGCATGAAGTGTTTTGTTGAAGCTGCACTCCTGCGAAATCTTTGCGTGCAAGATTGGCCCGACGGTCTAGATATCTGGGGCGAGAATTACAGCGCGGTCTTCTTACCCGCACAGGAGCGCGTGTCTGCGCCGTACGTGTGTTCGACATGTCACAAGCCGCGCGAAGTCAACAAGTCACATCCCTACGGCCAGGGAATCTGGCAGTGCGAGCGATGCCGAGCATCAATGGCGCCGTGCGCGATATGTGGCCATCGCGACATGAATTCGAGCCTTGTACCACCGATCACGATGTCGGAAGCTGCTACCAAAAAGCTCAGTACCGAGGATGATGCCGCAGAGCCAGACCTATCTACGTGGTGGTACTGCCCCGGTTGCGCCCACGGCGGGCACGCAGCCTGTCTGCAACAATGGCATGCTATCACTGGGCCTGGCACGTACACATCGGCAGTCCTTGAACAGCACGCCAGACAACGCTTCTCGGAGTCGAATCACTTTCAGTCCAGCCACCCTCACAACCACTCCCACCATCACCATCGTGAATCACAGTCGGGCACGGCCGCGTCCTCACGCCCGGGCTCTAGACCAGCATCGCGGCCGTCTTCGCGGCCGTCCTCGCGCCCGGCATCGCCGGTCCAGAGCATCCCAGACCATCACCACCCCGAGATGTTGAGCGACGGCTGCTGTCCGCTCGACGGTTGCGGTCACGCCTGCCTGCCTGGCCGCTGGCGCAACGAGACCTTGTCCGCCCGCACCGAGGAGCTGGGTCGCGTGGTTCGCGAGCAGACCCGCGGCACTATCGGCATGGCGGCTTCTGCTCCTGGCAGCGCGGCCGCGTCGTTCTCTGCTGGCGGGGGTATAGCCGTGCCTGGGCACAACAAGACTGGAAGTGTGACGGCTGGTGGCATGGGTGTGGGCACAGGTGGTGGAGGGGGAATCAGCGAGCGACGAGTCAGCGGCAGTGCGGATTCCAGCGCCCTGTTCCGTCCCAGCAGTCTCGGCGGCGGCGGCGGCAGCGGGGTCCTGAGCGGCATCAGCCTCGGTCTGGGCTCCGGAGGGGCTGTGCGTGGTGACACGGTCGACTATGTCCCGCAGAGCAGGGCCGTCGAGTCTGTCCGCGAGACCCTGAGCAGGACTTCTGGCGGCGGCGGCGGCGGCGGCGGCGCCCTTTCGGGATCCACCTCGTCTCTTGGCTCTGGCACTGGGGCTGGGACCGGGACCGGAGCAGGAGCAGGTGGCGTTGCGGGTGGGACGATGCTCAGCTCGAGCCCCGGCATGACGACGCTCGACTCTCCGCTGCTGACCGGCGTGTTGCGGACAGCGTCGTCGTCGCTGAGCGCAGGCTCCGGTTCTGGCAGCGGGACCGGCGCCGGCGCCGGTGGTGGCGGGAGTGCTGGCGGGTCAGGCACGGAAGGCGGCCGAGAGCGCCGGAAGAGCGTCAAGTTTGCTGGCCCGCGGGGCGCGGCTCTGGTCGGCGGTACGGCTGGCGAGTACGATGGGAGTAGTGGTATTCGAGGAGGGGGGGGTGGAGGAGATACCATAGCCGAGTAGACAAGAGAGCAACGGACAGATTTGCAATATTTCGATATTTCTGTATGGCAGAAAGAAAGTTCGCAAGGCAATGGCTATGTCAGGGCATACTGTGAAGTGCTACAACTAGACAAGTCGCGCTAGAATGCAGTCGTTGTCGTTATGTTGTTGTTGTTGCATCTGGCGCTACTACTTTCATTCGCACGACGGGGTTTGATTAACGATTAACTCGCGCCAATGCCTGGGGAACTTTGGCAGAGGGAAAAATTGTTCGTATCATGTGTGTGCATATTTACAATTCTAACCCCGCCTAACCCTCTCTGCCTGCACAGAAAGCAGTGAATGTACATGCTGGTGCCTCGGTTTGTACAGTTCCTCCTTGCTGCTGCTGCTGCTGCTGCTGCTCTCTCCTCTTAGTCTTGATGGCGGCGGGCATCCCGTGTATCATGGGCCAAGAATTGCCTAGGCCTTTTTGTCCCCCCCCCCCCCTCCCTCTTTACAATCAGGGCTGTCAGGCACCCACGTTCTCCCTCAACCCCTTGGTCCGCAGCGTCATGGTCGCGCCGTCGGCAAAGGGTATGTCGAACACGGGCGGCGAGGTCGATACCGAGACTGACGGCGACGACACGGGGCTGATTGGCATGAGGAGGCTCTTTGCGCGCACGCCGCTGCTGGACGTCAATGAGTGATGGTTTGTGCTGGTATTGATGGTGTGCTCCGCGTGGTTGGTCTTCATCCCGCTTCCGGCCGCCCCCCTCGCAACGGCCTGTCGCAGCTGCTCCGCTTGTCGCGCCGCGGCGCCGCCCATGTCGCTGTCGATACTGGCTCTGCGACTTGCTGTGGTCGAGTCGCCATCGATACTGCTCCCGGCGTCATCGGTGACTATACCGGCCAAGGGCGAGAGCGGTCCGCCGCCTCCGCCGGCAGGAAGTCGGCCTTTCATCCTGCCTGCCCACAAGCCGCGGACGCCGCCACGCTTACGCTCGGGGACCTCATCTGTGCCCGCGCTACAGACGTACAAGAGGTATTTGAGGTTCGGCAGGGTGTGGCGAATGTCCACGACCTTGAGGCCGGCAGACGCGCAGAGCGTCTCGATGTCCTTGTTGAGCAGGAACCAAGCGTAGTCGAAGCGATATTGCGCCGTGGCACCTCCACGGAGGAACAGGGGGAAGTCGCGCTGGGCATCGGCAATGACTGAAATGTCGTCGCGAATACTGCTGCGTGAACCGAACGGCTGGATTGGGTACGGAAGTGGGACGGAGAGGTAATATTGCAGCGCATTGACGAGCTGTGCGACGTAGCCAAGTGCCGCGGAGAGGGCGTCCTCAGTAGCAGAGGAGGATGTTGGGTCGTAGTCCGTATTCGGGAGATGGATGCCGCATATGCGAAAGGACAATGGTGTGCCGGAAGGGTCTGGAGTAATGGCGAATATGCGTGACAGATCCTCACATATACGATGCCGCTGGCCGTGTATACTCTCGCGAATCGTGCCGAGCGAAGCGAGGCTCGGGCCTAGCTTGGTTTCGGCGTGCTTGACGTCGGCGTCAGCCGCGGTCTGAGCGGCTGTTCCTTCAGCCATTGCCTCCCGCCGTGCCTTGATGGAGTCCTGCAGCTGCTGGCGCCGTATCTGAGCCGCATTGACTGCGCGGCCTTGGGCGAGAACGTATTTCGAGGCCAAGGCGGCGGACTCCTGAGCTTCCGGGACTGGATCTACAGGGGTGTCGTCGAGAATCGCATTGATCTGGGCGGTTAGCTTTTCTCGGGTGGCCAAGGCATCCTGTATGGAATTCTCAAGGTTGGACAGCTTCATAAGGGCATTGTAGGACGACGTGGCCAGCGGTGGCTGCTGCTTCGGCTTAGGTCGCTTGCTCGAGAGGTCGAGGCAGTACATGCCATCTGCGAGGTGGAAGACTAGGCAGTTTGGTGGGAAGTGACGGTTGCGCAAGCTGTCTAGGTAGTTGAGCGCGCGCAGGTCGACATGCTGGGCAAGGACAAGGGACCAGCTGCCACGACGGCGTGCCCATATCTTGACCTTGAGCTCGGGGAGGCGCGTGACGGCCGGGCCGGCCTGGGAGAGGTCGAAGGCGGCAAAGTTTGCGTTTACAGAGCGCTCGACAAGCTCGCTGATGTAGACGGGGTCCTCGAGGCCCTCGCAGTGGATCGAGAAGAAGATGTCGGCAGCTCTGGCGTCGACTGAGTGCTCGAGCTGGCGCTGGCGCGTGAGGGGGTTCGCGCCGGCGAGGGTGCTGCGGCGGCGGAGTGTCTTGGGCCGTGGGCGCAAGCTCTCGGAGGACTGCGAGTGGTGAAGGACGGGGCCGGAGCCGGGCAGAGCATGGCCAGAGGCAATCGCGGAGGCGTCCTCGGGGAGGGCATCGAGCTTGGAAGGCTTGCTGAGGTCTGCCTCGAGATCGTCGGCGGGCCTGTCGCGGGGGCGGGTAAGGGAGAGGTTGCGGAGGTAGATGCCCTGGAGGTGGCGGAGGCGGCGGTTCTGGGCGAGCATCACGGCAGGCGGGCAGCAGCAGGCGCTGTGCGGTGCATCCGGGGCCCAGGGGGATGCATTGAAGGCCAGGAAGCTGGCTCACGAGCTCGAGGCTGGTGGTGGCGGTGGTGGTGATGGTGATGTGTGTGTGCACGAGGAATAATAAGCTGGGCCCAAGCAGAGCGCGCGATGACGACGCTTGCTTGGGGTCGATCGGCCAACTGGGGGGCGGATCCCTGGGAGCTGCGGCAGTCACGCACTTCCCAAAGGTTAATTACAGCACCTTTCCCGAGGAAACGTTCAGTGGAGGGCTCAGTGTAAGGTTGGCCCAAACTGCAGATTAGATCAGATGGAACATGCGCACAAGAAACGTCTCAGACCCGAGAGTCTCACATACCCAATACACACATATTGTCGACTGATTCATAGCTGACAAACAGCCCTGTCTTGGCTGGATCAATCAGGAAACCCCGCGTACTTCTCGAACAACAACCTGCCTCTCGTGTCTATTCTTTACACTCTCCCTAATCATTCTCATAGCCCAATTTCCAGCAAACCACACTACCTGCTCAGGTCCAGGTCCGGTTGGTCCCTGGCCAAATTCACTATGGGCATAAAGCACTTCTTATCCGCCCACTCCGGCGCCGGGTCGTCGTCGTGCTCCGCCCACGTGCGGACCTCCTGCCACTCTCTCCAGTACCAGGCCTCGCACTTGTCCGGTTCAGTGACCTAGAACCCGATTGCGGGTGTCTGTTAGTAACCGTCATATCGCAGGATGAAGGAACAAGGCGGAGACACTTGTGGGAATACCTACAACGGGCTGAGCATCTGCTTCCTCCATCTCACACAGCACAAACAGGGTAATGTAGTGCTTCTGAAGGTCATGCCACACGCTGTTGGTCACGCCAATGAGCTTGACGGGCCTGACCTTGAGGGCCGTCTCCTCGAGCGTCTCGCGGGCCGCACAGGTGAAGAAGTCCTCGCCATAGTCTAGGTGACCCCCAGGGAACTGCCACGTGCCTGTGAGAACTGTTCGTGAGCACAAACGCAGGCAAAATGGTAGAATAATGGAAGAAAAGGAACAGATGCCAATTGTTTCTTGTGAAGAAGTGGGATGATTGCGTACCTGCACCATGGCTGCTAAGACGCTTTCCGAACAAAAGCTTGCCCTCCGAGTTGCGGATGACGGCTGCCACGCCGACGCGGGGCGGGGGCCCTTGGGCGGTTGTAGTCATGATTCGACGGACGGATTGGTCTGGTATTCGTACGAGGGGGTCCTGGATACGATAGTATTCAATTGAGAGTCGAGGCCTTGGGAAGTATGGCCCCAGGCAGTAAATATCACAAGTTGACATGAGTCAACCTCCCGACAATAATTATCGGCCAGGTGGGATGGACAAGGGCGGCGCGCCACGGCCATGACCCCACTGGGTCCGGGATCACAATCGTGAACCCTGGGACCTGTGGACTCCTCGTCAACAATGATCATCTCCCATCATATATGTATCGGGACAACTAAAAGGCACCAAAGCTGAAACTGGTTGGGAATGGTGACTATTGTAATTGTGGGTGGCAACTGTGTCCTTCATGGGCTGTTGGGACCAAGACAGAAACAATTTGGACATCGCCAGCCCAACGTGTGTTAGACTCATGAAGCTCACCAAACATGAACCTGAGGCATCAATCCCCCTTCCCCCCTTGGGACCATCAGGCGCAGGAGCAACCCCTCGCCGTTGGCGTTTCAGATCCAGTGGCAGTAGTGAGGCCAATGAAGTGGCTGCAGCAGCGGCAAGGTAGGATTCAGCTGAAGCCTCGTTTCTGAGCTTGGCACCACAGAGGACAGCCTTCAGCTGACATGACCTCCACTTCCATCTCTCGCCATGTTGTGGCTATCCCCAGCGACTTCGGCCGTTTCCGAAGAGACCATCTGAGGCGATCTAGCGCTCCACGGTTGTATAATACGAGCCCAGGCTGCAAAACTATCCGTCAGGCCACAACAAATTCCATACTGAGGCTTTCCTGCCACCGTGATGACTTCCACCCTTGATAGCGGCGGCAGCCACGCATCGCCATACCGAATCACCAACCAAGACCGCCACGGCGAACAGGCGTCAGCATGGCAACCACACTCCTGCTCCGTCTGTGAGTCCGTCGCCGTACTCGTCGGGGACCATTCCACGAGTACACACACGTTCCCAATGGCGACCGTAATCGCGGCTCTGCCTGGCGGCGGCCATGGGAACGGGGACATGGGCCCCGACGGAAAGGAAAGCTGCAGGTTCATAGAGTGGTGCATGTACATGCTTGACGTGCGTTGGGGCCGTCCCAAGAGCGGGGAGACCTTGCTGGCACGAATACTGAAGGTGCCTGGCAGAGTCGAGGCTATGAGCCTGGTCATCACGACGTCTGCGATGTCGACTATCGGTCCAACTGTTTCAACGTATTTGGGCAGCACTCGGAAATCATTCCAGGACAAGGTCGGCATTTCGATTGCGCTCAAGGGCGCGTCTGAGCTGGGGAGAATGGTCTCGCAAGACTTCAAAGTGCTTGCTGAAAAAGGCAAGTTGGCTGGCTGTCGAATTCTGCCGTAACTTTTGTTCATGATGGTGAGAAATGCCCAATCTGACCTCAACCAGGAGAGCCGGCGGCATTGCATTTCGCCTCACGGCCTATTGGCCCGGTCATGCAATCTCTCACAGGGTGCATGCTGGGAACCATATCAGCCCGGATGTCCGACTACGAGAAGACTATCAGCAGGATGAAGGCGAACAGGGTTCTTCCAACAAGGCTCGTCGATCTTGGCCCTAATGCCGACGAAGTCAGTCCAAGGCTAATCACAACTACGGCCGAGTGGCAGGGTCATTATCTGTGTCTGAGTCAGTGCCTCGCTTCCACTGTTCCGTCCTGTCCACGTTCATGGATCAAACCGCTGACTTGCCGCTTGGAGGCTACTGCTGGGGCGGCGACCAGCCGCTGAAAGCGACCACCAAGAACATCGCCATGCTGAGTAGCGTCTCGGGCTTCTTGTTTGAGGAACTCCCCAAGACGCTGCGGGATGCGTGTCTGGTAACGAGACTTCTTGGCCATAGGTACATATGGATCGATGCCCTGTGCATCGTGCAAGACGACCCTGCCGACAAGGCGCGAGAGATCCCAAAAATGCGCGATGTTTACCGGGGCGCCTTGCTCACCATTACCGCAAGCCGAGCAAGCAGTGTCTCCCAAGGCTTTCTGCAGGATCGAGCTAGCGGCTTGATAAAAGACGGTTGCGTATTCAGGTTCAGATTTGGCATGCAGGAGAACTCGGTGGGATCTGGAAATTCGAATGAAGCAGGTCACGCTCCCGGCATGGCTGGTGCCCATTCCTTGAGCAGCAGTCCACAGAGCTTGCAGAAGCCAACGAAAATTCAAGGCTCTGTCGTGCTCTTCCTGCCCACTTTCGCCATGAGCAATGAGCGGCTGCAGGAGGCACTCCAGACTCGCGCCTGGGCTTTTCAGGAACGCCTATTGTCTTCGCGCGTGCTCGACTTTGGTTCCTTTCAGACAAGCTTACAGGACGAGACTACAGGCCGCAGCTCGCTGGTCGATGGCGGTTGGGTCACGAACAAGACCACCACGGACAGCCTAGGGGCCCTGTGGGATGTCATCCGCCAGACAGCCGCAGGTATTGTGCCTGGTGACGGTCAAGCGTCGCCCATTCCCTTGTATCTCCCAGATCCCTTGGGCCGCATGTCGACTGATCGACTCTGCGACGACGAGTATCAAAGCAAAGTCTGGGCGGTCGCACTTCAAGAGTATGCCAAGCTCCACCTCACGGTATCGTCCGACAAGCTAGCTGCGGTAGAAGGGCTTGCTGAATGGTTTGGACTATGGCTCAAGGCATCGCGGGCGAAAACAGCAGGGGCCGACTGCAACGACAGGAGCCAGGAAACACCAAACACCTCGTCAAACCCCAGCACAACCACAGGAGCCACAGAACACGGCGACGTTCGGTATCTCGCAGGGATGTGGAGCCATCAGCTCCCTGCTGGCCTCATGTGGCGGGTACATGCGAAAGGGGAAGACATTTATGTTAAGGGCGATGGTGTCTCGTCTTTTACCTCGGGTGACGGCCAGCAGGACGGCTTTGGAAGCTGGGGCTAGGGAGCAACCAGTCTCGTCCCCAAGCGTCCCCAGCCGTGGCGAGAACCGAGCTGGGCTTGGAGTAGTGTCGACGCACCTGTTGGAATTCCGTGCCAGATCCGGGCCTGCCCCGGCAGGACACGCTGGACGGTAAAGACCATCACCGCGAACGTTGTCGAAGCCCATGTCACACCCTGCACAGAGGGGGACGTGTACGGCCCGGTCTCTGCCGGATATCTCGTCGTCGATGCACCGATGTTCCCGGTCCTCTGTCAGCGAGGCTGGGATTGGCCTCGCGGCGACGTCTGGGCCGTTGACGGCTTAGGCGGCGCCAAGTTTGGAACGGTCGTGTTTGACGCAGGCAGTGCCGACGACGAGACACGGCTTTGTGTTGCCACTCGACAGGGGCTCGACGGTTCTCTCCAGGCTTGGGGTGTGCAGATACTCGTACGCCCAGCCGCCGGAATCATGTTGAACGGTCCGGATCCACGCATAACCGAGCATCCCGCTGGCCTGCTGGTCGTTGCTGCACAGGGGCAGCCCGAGGGGACGTACACGCGGATTGGCATATTCGAGTCGGAGCTCCGAGCCACCGCGCCGCGCGTGTCCTTTGAGGCTATCCAGGCGTGGAGGGCCAGCTTCGAGACACGAAGGATCAGACTCATATGATTGTTGGCGTGGCAGGCTTGGATATATAAGATGCACAGGAAAGAACATATGGCGGGCTCCAGACTGAGGCATCACGTCGTGGACCACTCAGCCATGATGGTTCAATCTTGGACGGCAATGAGCTGCACCCTCCTACAGGCATGGCACACCCTTCTATTGACAATGGAGACGAGAAGATTCGGATCGTGGAATCAGGATCTGGCCATCACGTTGCAGAACGCGGGGTTCCCAGCCCCCTCTGCCTCCAAAAAAAAAAAAGGATCCGAACGCGACACCGTGAATCTTTGAACGCACGGCCGACGCCCTAAATACTGTATGCAGGCTCTCTGAGAGGCGCAGAAAACTTCCCGAATAGGCAGAGAAGCGTCACGGCGGGACTCGCTCGGGGGCGTGTTGGGAACCGATGTCAACAGTGGCTGGTCTTCCGAAGCGGTACTTCTACTGTATATGGTCGCATATTCACAGACCAGCTAAGGGTGTGAGACATTGGACAATTTGAGGCTCAGCGGGTGGGCGTCTGTGTCTGGCGCTTATTGGCCGGGGAAGGCACATGTGAAACGAAACATGTTGGCGCCCCGTGCGACGCCATCTAAGCCGCTTCAAAGTGGTGGGGACGACTTTGAGCATCAACAAGAGGGCAGAGTGAGTTATTGTCAACCCTTTGTTGATATGTGCCTCGTTGGGATCGTGCGAACAGGATATCAGACATTCATCTCGGCTAGTCATGAGCAATCGAAAGATGCAGGAACGAGGAGGGCCTAGCGGCGGGGGTCTGTTGGCTGGGCAGATTGCCCTGGAGGCGCTCAGTGGCGATCCCTGTTGGTTGACCCCATCTGGAGCACTTGCCCCTGCAGTGCCAGTCGGGGCGCGCCATTGTCACCCGTATCTCGATCCTTCTGCAACCACCCACAGGTATGTACAACTAATTAATACAACCATCCACTGATCCTCTTGGCAGGCACATCTACACGTTACGTACAACGCACGCATCTCTGCATGCAGGGAACGGCATGGCGCGGTCGAGCATCGCGACGAGACTGGCCAACATTCTTTCGACCGCGGCTTGGAGAAAAGGGCAAGGGACCTACCTGCCTGACCACACACAGGCTTTCAGAGCCGCCATCACATACATGCATAGCTCCACGCCATCGTAAAATCCCACCACCTGACAAGCTCTTACCGTGTACACACTGGCAGGAACCAAAGTCCCAGGCTCGCGGCCGGGTCATGACACAACAGAATGGCTGAGTAGTGGGCAACGTCTAGCCCGGGTGGGAAGAGGCAGAGAGAGCTGCTGGCCGAAGCCCCGGCCGCATTCCCATCCCTGAGGGACTCCCGTGGCCTACAGCACGTACCCACAGGAGCTTGAACCCTGCAAGAGAATCGTAAATCGACCCCGGGAGCCGCCCATGTCTGCGGATCCGCAAATAGCATGCATTGCGGTTGCGGTGGGCTAGAGCGTGGCATGTCAGCGCTACTCCCTGACGCGGGGACAGGCATTCCGCAGTCGGTGCCGTGCAAGGTGTAAGTGAGCAGGCAGTGCCTCATTTACCTAAGAATTGACAACGCAGAGGACACAAACTGACAATGTCTCTGTTTTCGTATATAACTCAAACATGTCCTTCTCATTATTTTCCATTTTGAAGATGCCCAACTAGTTGTTCCAAGCTGTTCAGATCTATTTGATCAGTGGTCCCAACTGCCATCCCCTCTTTTTAACCCTTTGGATCGTTTTCTTTGGGCCCAGTCAAGGCTCTCGTCCAATATGCTCGCCAGCTCCATCCTCGTCCTGGCTACAGCCGGGTCTTTGACCATGGCATCGCCAGTCAATACCTCTCCGCGGGCTGCTTCCCCATCCAGCGTCGAACTGGAGAGCAGGCAAGCCAACCTTCGGTCCCGGACCGCCCTCGAGGGCATGCAGGAATGGTACCGCTCCAACACGGGGCTTTGGGACACTGCAGGCTGGTGGCAGAGTGGCAACCTCCTGACTTCCCTGGGCGACTTTGCTCTGGCCGGGCTGCAGTCCAACGTGCAGTACCGGACAATCTTTGAGAACACCTTCTCCCGTGCCCAGACCAACGGTGCTCGCGTGGTCAAGGAGCGCGGCGACGACAACGACGTCTTCTCCATGGCCAGGTCGACTTACACGTCCTTCCCTGGCTCTTCGACCTCTCTCAACCACCGCGCCCCTTCAGAGATCTTTGTGTCGGTCGAGCGCCGCGCCGCGATGGGCCACAGCGACCCCCACGCCTTGGTTGCCGAGGCCGAGCGCGGCTTCAAGGGTTTCATCAACGAGTACTACGACGACGAGGGCTGGTGGGCGTTGGCCCTCTTCAAGGCCCACGACCTCGGCTACGGGCCCCAGTACATCAACATGGCCAACAGCATCCTCGAGGACATGCAGCGCGGCAAGTCGCCCTGCGGCGGCATCTTCTGGAGCAAGACGAGCGCGTACACCAACGCCATCGCCAATGAGCTGTTCCTCTTTGTTGCGGCGTCCCTGGCGAACCGGATCCCCACGTACAAGGACCACTACCTGGGCATCGCCAAGACGCAGTGGGAGTGGTTCAAGAACAGCGGCATGATCAACGACAAGAAGCTCGTCAACGACGGCCTCTACGACTGGAACGACAGCAACACCGCCCGCCGCTGCAAGAACAACGGCCAGGCCACCTGGTCGTACAACCAGGGCGTCCTCATCGGCGCCCTCGTCGAGCTCTCAAAGGCCACGGGCGACTCGAGCGTCATCCGCGACTACGCAAAGCCCATTGCCCGCGCCACCATGGCCAACCTCTCGCCCAACGGCGTCCTCAACGACCCTTGCGACCCGTCCAACATGTGCGGAGGCGATGGCGCCCAGTTCAAGGTAAGTTTGTCCCTGTCCACCAGCTCATGACCTCCTGCAATTTATTCATCATTTCCTTGAAACCCTCCCCTTCTGCTTCTCTCTCACTGCGGTCACTGTCACAACCCGAACGTTCTCCCCGTACTTTTAGTTCCCATTCGGCGCAAGTTAAGAAAGCCCTTTTCAAGCTAACCCTTACATCTTTCTCATCGTCACAGGGCGTCTTCATGCGCAACCTCCGGTACCTGCACAAGATGTACCCAGAGCAGGACTTTGCCGACTACATCCGCCGCCAGAGCGACTCGATCTGGAACAACTCGCGCAGCGGCAACAAGTTTGGCCTCCGCTGGGCCGGGCCTTACGTCGAGTCCAACGCCGTCACCAACGGCATCGCGCTCGACGCGTTTACCGCCGCCGAGTCGCTCTGAAATATTTAATTTTATTCGGGGATCACACACACGCACACACACACACACACGCTCTCTCTCTCCCCCTATCTCGCTTCAACTTTGTTGTCGAGCCTGGGATTTGAATCTCGGTGCAGAGTGGTGATCTTCTCTGGACAAATAATTTTGCCCCCAACCCGTACATATATGTATATATCTTTCTGTTGGTAAATAACTACCCACCAATTCGGCCACAGGCATGCAAAGAAATGGAAATCAGTCACTTGTGAAGGGGGGGTGCCTTGCCAATTTTTGCAAAAAGTCTAGGCGTTCCCCTTTGCTAAAGCCTCCAAATGTGGAAGTTTTTGAATGAAATCTTTCCAACTCCACTGGCCTCGTGATTACGACATATAACACACACACACACACACACACACACAAGCAGGCATTAGCAGACATTAGCATTCTCCTGGCTCGGCATGGATTAGTATTTCCCCGAACACACTGCTAGACATTCTCTGAATTATCCTTGATTATGGGGAAGTTTTAAAGCCTAGTTGACCGAATTCGGTCTGACAACGTATGTGCCTTAAGGGTTGATCATCCCCGGCAATGAGTGAACGACGTGAGTGCACCTACACCTTGTCCGCTAGAGAACAATGGTCACAGGTGGCCTGGGGGAAAGTCAAGACCTTGAGCAGAAAATGGGTCGTTGCGTGCGCTTTATATTGCTACGGCCATTCACCTCTTGGCCGTTTTGTGCATTGTAATGACACAGGCGAAGAACCATCACTGTTCATGTGGGGGCTGCATTGAAATTGTTGATTCGGCAGCTACTATCCGGTCTACGATTGTCGGACTGCCTCTGCTTCATACAATGACCGTCTACAGTTGGCATTGACATCTGACATGCTTCCGCTTCATCGGCCTTTCTAGGGCGTGCGCTCGCCCCACTGGGTGATATCGTGAAGGCCATTGATAGGCGGCTTCGCGAATGCAGATCTATCTGCAGTTCGACGTCAAGTTTCGCCTGCCAACCTGTAAGCCGTAGATGGAGACCTGGGTTGTGAGCCACAACGTCTTGCTGGGAAGCGGTCATCCCCCTAATCAGCCAACGTCACCGCTCCTCCGGCTCTATTTGCTCCTTGATGCCGGCCGATTCGGATGAGTTGTGCTTTCGGCTTGGTAATGTCTCTAAGCCTTTTGAAGCGTCCTGACTTCCTCGCCGGCCAGTCGCTCCATCAAATGAGTTTTGACCCGTAGGCGTGTTGACCTGACTGCCCGACCCGCCCCTCTGACCGTGGTAGTGCACGACCTGTGGAGGTGGCTGCCCAGCTTGCGTTCCCAGTAGGTGCTGAGGGTATGGGTCTAAGTCCTTGCTCGAAGTGGAAAAGGTGCTCACCACAGGGTGGTGATAACCATTCGAGGCGTTGCTCGAGCTTGGCTTGTGGCCGGACTGCTGGGCCTGGCTGGACGAAGGCGGTGGGAGGTTGGAGATGTGCTCGGTCTGGGTTGGTGTGCCCGCATCATCCGGGCTTGCTGAGAAGTCGGCGGCAATCTCGTTTGTGAGGCTGTTCATACCACCTTCAATATCTCGAAGCAGACGCACGTACTCCTCGGGGACAAGGCCGCTTTCCTGTGTCTTTGGATCCTCCGCTACCAACCAGCCTTGGCCGTGTCTGTAGGAGACCCATATGATCTGTCCCTCCACCAGCGGTAGCTCATTCTCATTCTCGCGCTCAAAGTCGAATAGCGCGACGGCTTTCCCGTGCATTTCCTCGTCAGGAGACGTAATCGTAAACTGGTAGTCCCTCGAATATCTAGACTCATCATGGCCGTTAATGCCAGGGGACGAACAATCGCTTGACCCATCAGAATCACCTGGGTGCGGAGAGTGCTCATCACCGTACCTCTGAGACTGGCGGACCCCGGAGCCATCAAACCCGTCATCGTCCTGGTGTGCATATCCGGGCGGGTAATTAGCATACTCCCCACCCGGTCCGCCGGGTTCGCCTGCTTGGTCGATATAGTATCTCCCACCGCCGTAGCTGCCGTATGCCGCGTGCGACTCGTAGCTGGCCGCGCCGCCGGCGCGGGCTTGTCCATGGTCAAGTGTGGTTGGATTTGACCTGTGCCGCTTGTGGCGCGAACTGACCACCGGGCTTTGCAGATCCTCGTCTTCGCTGTATGGCGGGCCGTCGCCGAAGCGGATGGGCGCGAGATCGTTTCCTCTCCCGAGGCCGCCTTCGGGCGTCCAATTCCAGCTCAGCTTACCACCTTCCCAAGATGCGGGCGGGTCTGAGAACCGCTTCGACTCGCTAGATGGGGTAGTCACACCAGATGGCAGAGGTGAGGGCTCTGGGGGCGGACCATAGTGCATGGGGTTCATCGGCGCATATGCAAAGTCCCGGACTATAGTATAGGTGAGGCTCGAATGGAAGATCGGGAATAAATAGGAGGCGGGTCGGGACCGCGAGGGGATCGAGCCCGTCCCGGCGGAATAAGTGGATAGCCGGTTCCGAGAGGCATGCGACATTGGCCGCGGGGCCGTCGACCGCGGCATGCCTGTGGCCGGCGGGGAGGCAAGGTGATCCGGATTCATTGGTGCTGGCGAGCTCGTTGGCGCTGCTGACGGGGATGTGGCTGGCGAAGCTTTTGGCATGATCGCGAGGCGACTGGCGGCGTAAGAGGACGGGGCACGCCAGCACGCGAGCGTGCGACAAGAAGCTCCGGGGGGTTCAGCCCTTCACGGGAGAGCGATTTGCTCCAGCTTGAGAAGAGCCACAGACTAGGTTGTCCGTGGGGCAATACCTAGCTTTTGGAAGCGAGGAGTATCCAAAAAGGGTGACTTCAAAGCCCACCAGGCAATATGTTGAAACCACTTGACCAGCAAGCTTTTTCCCTGACTATCCTCCCTAGAATGTAATTGATGCAGCGTGGTAGGCTCGACTTGGGGGTCGAAAGGGCGATGCGAGGAGCGCAGTCGGTCGCTCTGGCCTTTGGGTGGGCAGCGAGAGAGTAAGACAGGGCGACGAAGCCGAGGGACCTCTGGTGTTGGTGTGGCAGGCGGTTCGACCGTGGACGGGCTGCGCCGTGGTGTACGCGCAAGATGGCGCGAGTGAATTGACCTGCGGAGGGAGCCAGACGGCGCCTGGAGAACAGGACGAGAGGGCGCCGGGTTTGCGAGAGGACAGCGGGAAGCGTAGGGGCCAGATTGTGGGAAAGGAGTGTCGTGAGGGCACACTGGCGGCTGAGGTGGGCTGCAGTTTGCTGGACAAGCAGCGGGGTTGGGGGAGGGAGGAGGAGGAGGAGAAGGTAGGCGCGGCCTGGGACTTGCGGGCACTTTGAGCAGGCGCAGGCGCAAGGCAGGAGGGGCCAGGGGGTTCCTGCTGGCTGGCGGTGCATGCAGCAGCCCTCCTGGAGTCGGGGTCGTCTCAGGGGAGGTCCGCCGCCCAACACTTGCAGTCTCGCAGCCAGGCTCACTGCTTCGCAAGGTCGGGTCGGGTCTGGACAATGGCATCCGAGAGTCCTGTCTGTGATGCCTGGTGGCCGACCTTGCAAAGCGGCAGGAGATCTCTTAACCGTCAGAAGTACTGGGGACTTTGGTGGAAAGGCAACATATCCCCAAGATTCAAGCCAGACATGTCATGCGTACTTGTTCCCGTCGGCTTTTGCGGGAATTATTATAGCCAGCCGTCAATGGGATACCAAAGTTACGTAGCAGTGCACAACAAGATCCTCCATGTTGGCGGGACTCTCGCAAACACACAAAGCTCCTGCTGCTTCGAGCCGGTGACGCTGGGCCTGATGGTGAAGGTTAACTTGCAAGTCATGATGTGTTGCTCATAAGCACGGCTGCTTCGTCCCTGCCAGGGCACCCGGCGTAGTATGGCCGTCCAGCTCGTGGCGCCGGCGTGGTTGATGAGGAGTTCGCGGCCATCCAAGGTTTGCATTGGCCAGCCGCTAAGCGCGTGGGATCGTCCGGATGCTTAGCCGTTGGCCATTGGTCCTGCAAGCCGCCCGAGGTGCGGCCAGCAAGCCCCTGCATCTGCTCCCGCACTGGGCGGATGGATATTGATGCTAACCGGCTGGCGAGCTCATTCGCTGGGGGCGAGGCAGCTGAAGTGGTCCACGAACTAATTACCGTGCAAGCCATTGCAGTCCATCACGGCTGTTCTGCTGATCCGGACAGGCTTAAGTTATGGGGACTCGAACGACATCTGCGGGGAGTGTTTCGAAACGACAAAGGGCTTGTGCATGCGGGGCCAGCGGCCGCCAGCAGCACACAAATCACATCAGCATAGATCCTACATGGCAGACCAGCATTGCTCTTCTCAGGCAGTTGGGCGCAGATGACAGGTCTGTCAGCCTGCAAGCCAAGAGTCTAGATCTCGGCCGGTTCATCCATGACTATTGCACAAAGGTGCGACTTTGGAGCCCATGTGTTCTTGAAGCGAAGCCGAGGGTAAAACGCAAAAGCATACCTACTACCAAGACACAACACCCCCTCCGTGGCTCAAGCCCTCTTTTGACCATGACTCTTCTTACGTCTTCCATGCTTTGAGTCGGTATGTGGTGCGGGCTGGTGTTCTATCGTTGCACCGCAGAAGAAAGAAGCGCGCGTTCTAATTATAGACGTTTAGGGCGTCAAGAAGTGTTTCAGGAGCTGCACCGCCTTGTGGCACAGTTCCTTCTTACAGTGTGCAGTCCAACATGGACGGTCAATCACGATTAGTCATCGATGCACGAGAAGGCGGTGGGCGATGTCATTTTGAAGCTCCCACTACAAGCTCCATCCAACTTCAGGACCCAGTTCAGAGTTTGTGCTTCCACAATCTTCGCCTACTCTTGCACACCACGCGCCTCGAGACTTCTGCTATCTCCAAGACACGAGCGACAGAGCTTTGTGTTTGAACGCAGCGCTTGCTCTGTGTGCCTGCCCGAGCTGTCTCTTGCGCGACTCCACGACTCGGGAGCAACAACAACTGTCCTGGTCTGTTTGTGACACGATCAACGCGATTCGCGTGTGTCTCATCACAAAGGTAAGCCATCGCATGCAGCTTGGACATTAACGTGTCTTTTATATCTCTCTTTTGCTTTACCCGACAATGATGTAAATCTTATTGGAGCTGTCTGATCTTCGAAATGGTGACACTCAAATTATTACCTATACGCAACTTATCTGAACGTCCTTTCAATCACCATACGAAATACCCACAAGCGCGTACTCTGGTCGTCTTACTAACTGTCATTCGATTGTTCTATGCAGGTTGAGAATCATATTCAGAAGTCTTCCAACCCGTTCGATCACCCCCTCTTTTTCACAACTTCGCAATGGAGGCGACAAACGGCGCATCGGCTGCTGGCACAACACCTGCGAACGGAGAGCGTGAGGAGTCTGGCGGCTTCAAGCTCAAGTTCTGCACAGTGTGTGCCAGCAACCAGAACCGGTAGGTACTTCTACAAGCCTTCGACTGCAGAATATGTCAGGGACCTCGACGGTCGCGTACTGACCTTGAAGCAAAGTTCTATGGAAGCACACCTTCGGCTTTCCCAGGCCAACTACCCCGTGATATCGTTTGGCACGGGTTCGCTTGTGCGCCTGCCTGGACCGTCCATCACGCAGCCCAACGTATACCAGTTCAACAAGACGTCGTATGACTCAATATACAAGGAGCTCGACGAGAAGGACCACCGGCTGTACACGGCCAACGGTCTCTTGAAGATGATTGGGAGGAACAGACAAATCAAGTTCGGCCCCGAGCGGTGGCAGGACTGGCAGGTAGGCGTGCCGCGGCTTAAGCAGTCGGCAGATAGAGGTAGCGCAGGCGTCGAGGGTGGCGTGGTGGATGTGGTCATAACTTGTGAAGAACGATGCTGGGATGCCGTGATCGATGACCTGCTCAACCGTGGCGCCCCTCTGAACCGGCCAGTCCACGTCATCAACGTCGACATCAAGGACAACCATGAGGAGGCGCTCGTTGGTGGCAGAGGTATTCTCGACCTAGCAGACTCGCTGAATGCTGCGGCCAAGGAAGAGCGTGAGATTGTGGGTGCTCAAGTCTTTGACATGGGCAGCGCGTCTGCGAGAGCTTCCTTTGACGACCGAGTCCCGGAGATCATTGGGGAGTGGCAGGAGCGATGGCCAAACCTGCCAGCAACATGGACCTTGGCCTGGTTCTAGCTGCCAGACGGATATCGCATCTGCTCTCTGGCGCAGCATGATAGCTCGGCCGTGGCACACAAACATCTGCGCCACGGCAGTCAGGCACGTTTCGCTGCTCGGCAGCATGCTTTTTGGCGATTTCTCAGCTGGCCATGTAATGATACCCACGAAGCGTTTCTGATAATTTCACACATCCTCATTCAAAGAACCTGATACATGAGTCGTGGAATACCGGAACCTGGCTGCTTCATCACGCAGCACGGGTCCGCATCTGCCGGGTCGGGTTTTAGGAACCCTGCCGCGACCCAAGCTAGATTGAGTGACACCTAGCGTTGGCTGTCTGCCCATGTTATCGAAGTGGTCCTCGCGCAGTGCGCCAGGCGCACGTTACAGCTGACACAAATAGTCGGCTGCGTAACATTGTATTCTAGAAAGCGATGGCCCGACCATGTGTGGCTTATGGTCTCTGGTGGCGTCAAGGGCGGGGGATCCCAGCAGACACCAGGGAAGGGGTCGCTTGGGCTGTGGGCCATGAGGAGGCAGGCTTTGACCGTTTGTTGGAAAGGAAGGAAGGAAAAAAAAGCCAAGGACGAACCACAAGCCACACACTTTACGGTAAATGGGCAGGGGGCAGGTAGCGAGATTTGATAGCCGGTGTCGCTCGCGCCATTGGCATGGTTTGGGAGCTACTTCCGCGGCTTTTTACCAGTCCGTGGTGGTGGTGGATGAGAATTGCTCCCGGCTTGTCTGGCACACTGATTAGAGCAGCAATATGCCAATAACATGACGTAAGGGCCGACCCAAGGGTTCGGTGATCTTCAATGATGGACGGTCTTGTTAGTGGGAGGCCTCGGCCAAGGAAACAGTCCGGCGGGATGTTCTGGTGCGGTCAGATCATGACTATTGTCCGTGGCCTTGGGACTTCGGCCGCCCTCGAGAATGGGGAAGCCGCTGCTGGACAGGCAGGGTTGACGTGAGAGCTTGAAGTGAATGGCCACAGGCCAGACCGAGCAGCGGGCCCTGCGGGACAGGGGTAAAGCCAGAAGCACCTCATCGTGGATCCCTGACCTTGCGCTAAGGTTATGACGGCCGCGTGTCCCAAGCCCCCCCTTTCCACACATTGTTGGTACAACGGGCTGTTAGGCCTGTTGCGAGCTTTGAGAATCGGGGTTCAATGAGCAGCCGTCAATCCGGCCAGAGAAAATGTGAGAATGATGTCGTACATGATAGAACTGAAGGCTCACAAAGAGATCCCTCTATGTGTGCTAGCCGTGCACAGACACACCATGGCGAAGTGCCACGTGCCTGCATTGACGCTTTGGAGACTGCCAACCCTCGCTGCATGAACTGGGCCGCTCGCCAGTCGCCGACTTTTTGGAGGGCCAACCTGGGGCTTGTCGAGCGCGGCAAGGGATCTCTCGAATGAGAGGGCGGCTTCCCTGGCTTACTCTCCACACGCTGCCTGTCTGTACCGCCGCATGTTGGAATGACTCTTATCAGGATGAAAGGAGGAACCGGTAGAACATGCAATCGGAACCAGGACGATGCTCACGACCTCTCGAGAACTGCCGCGTCAACAAGTGATCATCGCCGTCTTGCCGAAAAGGCCGGCCGCCCCGGGATCGGTACCGCTGCAGGTATATCGCACCCACAGGAGGAGAGCCTGGCCTGGGAGGAGGTCAGTCAGTCAGGACGAGGATGCTGGCTGGGCGGGATCGACCGCGCGAAATAGGTACCGGTGTCCAATGAGAGGCGAGGGCCAACGACCTGCCTCCATCTGGCATTCCAAATTCCACCTCATGATCGCAAGCCACTGGGCAATCGAGGACTGGCACCCACCTTGAGGTGCACTAGTCCAGCCCACTCAGGTACCCGAACCGAGCAAGCTTGGGACTGACAGCAGCAGGGCTCCCACCCCTTTCAGTTCCAGATTCACCACTCCTGGCCCTGCATTCCAGCCTGCCTCCGCTGCCAACTCTACTACATGCCCCAACTTTGCCTCTTTTCTTGTCTCTCGTGCCCTTTCTCCGCGGTCACAAGACTCGGTATCGCCTGCTGCTGTCGGGCACACCAGACGACCAACGAACCCTTGTCCCGTGTGTAGAGAAGTGTGTGTGTGCAGCGCGACTCTCTGCCTCTGGGAACCAGGCCGAAACTAGCAACAGCAGCGGCATCCAAGGGCGATTCATGCGAATTACTGTACAGCCTATCCCGTTGTCCATCCTGAGCCTTTGAAACCCCCCCCCCTTTTTGGCCGCCATCTCACGAGCTACTGGCCCCCTTGGTGCGCTCCGGGCTTGGGTGCACATCACACAGCTGCAAGCGCCCTTCCCAGTCCACTTGCAGTCAAGTCCCGCGTGGCGCTCGCTCCGCTGCTCTTTCCACCACCACCTGCCGCCCGACGACCGACCCCCAACGCAGACCCGGCCAGTGACTGCGTGTCTTGCTTCTGCACCACGCCACAACCCTCGGCAGCGCGACCTCCCGCCCGCCCTTCTCACCACCCTCTGTGAGGATGATGAACCCGCGCAATCCTCCACTCTCCCCCATCTCCGTTGGCGGCAGCGAGTTCTCCCCTTCAGTCTATGGCGACGCTGGTCGAAGCATCAAATCACCACCAGGCTCAGTGGTCGGCTCCAACATGAACGGCTTTCCCTCCGGCGCCCGGAGCACCGGCGGCCCCAGCCCGCCCGCCAGCATTGCCAGGACCAGTTATGCCAGGAGCGAGAGCGGCCGCAGCGTGCGCGGCGAGGACACCGAAGCCGTCCTCAGCGAGCACTATGTCGCCCTCAAGCGGTACCTCACAGCAACCTCGAAAGACGGCAGGGCGCAGCCCCCCCCGAACAAGGCTCGCGACAAGCTCCTGCGTCTGTCATCCGTCCAGTTCCTCGAGCTCTCCACAGACGTCTTCGACGAGTTGATGCGCCGTCAAGCCTACGGCCGGCGACCCCCGAATGCTCCGCCCAACCAGGGCCCTCCACAATATCTCCTGCCCGAGGAGAACTTCCACCCGAAGAGGAATCAAGCGCGGCAGAAGTTGTCGACTCTCGGCCCGCCCCGGTTCCGCGACTTGGCCACAGATGTGTTCTGCGAGCTCGAGAGGAGGATACCGCGATTTGCCGGGCCTGACGTGCCCAGGATGGGCAGCGGCCCGCCGAGCAGGTCAGGCACGCCAGCGAATGGGATGCCTCCTCGTGCTATGCGCAGGCCGTCTGACGCCAGCTCCATACGGTCCGGGGTGGCACCTAGGATAAACGGAGACTACCCGCCGCCGCCGTCACCGGGTATGCCGCCGGGTGGATACGACCGCCCGATGCCAAAACAGTTCCAGAGCAATACCATTGTCCCGAATAAGAGCACAATGGTCGAGGAAGACGATGATGGGTCCGAGGAGAATGATTCTTTCAATGCCAAGCGCGAGAGCAAGAGGAGTCAGGCAAGCAATGCAATGTCCGAGGTGAGTACAGCTGTCGGTCTAGCCATTACACTTGACATCATTTACTAATTTGTGTCGTGCTCAGTCCGACAAGCGAGTGATAGACGACTACCAGAACCAAGTGCGAGAACTACGGGAGCAGCTCGAAAGCATGAGTGAGCAGCTCAAGCGCAAAGACGATGAGATGAACGACATGCTGGACGGGGAACGGTCAAGATCTATGCGACAAAAAGAATGGGATGACGCGCGCAGAGAGCTGGAGGCCAAGCTGGAAGACTCGGAGAGGCTCAACGAGACGATGCGGAACGAAATGGATCTAATGAGGAACAGCCGCGCACGAGAGATGCAGGATCTGGAGGACAAGCTCGCCAAGACCAGCATATCTGCTGCACCACAGAGCGGAGACCTTGCACGAGAGAATAACGAGCTTCGTGCGGCCCTTGAAGAGCAGCAGCGAGTTACCGAGGAAGCACGACGGGAGGCCCGCCAGTTTCTCCAAGAGATGAAGGCTCTTGCACAACAACACACGCCATCCTGGGATCGCCAGACCGAGCTTGAGGGGATGGTGGAGAACTTGGAAAAGGAGGTCAGGGACTGGCGAAGCCGTTATGCCAGGACGAAGACCCAACTGCGAAACTTGCGGACATCATCTATCGGCCTGACCATCGAGCAGGATGCGACCAAGTACCTGCAGGAACAAGGATTTATGCAAGAAGGCGGACTGGTCAAAGACGTTCACGTCACCAAATTCCAGATCTCCGTGGACGAACTGCTGCAAGGGGCGAGGAATGGGGCCCCAGAAAAGGTCATTGATCACATGAAATCTGTCGTGGTTAACGTCCGACGGATCATCAAGGACATTGAGACGTCACTACCTGCTGGGTCTGAGCTCGGCCAACCACAGATGAAGCTCAAGAGCCGAGTCTCTGCTACAGCCAACAACCTCATCACGGCATCCAAAAACTTTGCTGCCGCGGCAGGCATGTCGCCGGTTTCGCTCCTGGATGCTGCTGCCTCTCACCTGGTGGCTGCAGTAGTCGAGCTTCTGAGGACGGTCAAGATCAAGGCCACGCCAGCTGGCGAGCTCGAGGACGACGACGATGGCACGGTAACACCGGTAGATTCGACAGGCTTCTTCTCCAACCGAACGACTGCGATGTCACAACCAGATGGCACGGCAGCGATATCTGGCTTGGCGCCCGTCAGGCCGTTTCAAGGGACGCAGGGACAACGCAGTAGTGCTGTGTCATCCGCATACAGTGCCATGAGCTCTCCCAGGCAATCGTCAAATGGCAACGGCACGATGACCGGAACAAGCTCCTATGGCGGACCAGTCAACGGGTATCGGCCCGAGCAGAATGGCAACGATCTTGAGGATCTGAGGCTCTTTATCAGCGGGCAATCCGACAGTCTGGTGCAGAGCATCCAGACACTAGTCGACTATGTCCGACGCGACTCACCGATGGAGGAGATTGACGCGCAGATCAATGCAGTCGGCGATGTGGTCAACAACATCCTCTATGAGACCGAGTCGGTTGGGCGAATAGACGACATCCAAGACCGCCTTTCCGCATGCCGGCAGCGACTGTTTGAGGCGGGCGACCAGGGCAAGGACCTGGCTTCGCGTGGCTTGAAGGCTGGCGATCGCGAATGGCGCATGTGGACTCAGACACTGCCGCCGATTGCCTTTGAGCTTGCTCGCGAGACAAAGGAGCTCATGCAGAGGATCGACCGACTTGCGGACGGCGCTGCTGCCGAGGACTTTTCCTAGAAGGAGAAGGCCGCGGCAGCAAAGGACAAGCCGACGCATATGCCTGGTCAGCAGCCCCTGCCATCGCGGCGGCGTCGACGATATCAGCATTTTTCAGTTCCGCATTGCACGCGCATGTTTTACGATAGGCTCATCGAAAGGGTCAAGTCATGATACCCCCGCACGGAAGTCGGTTCACTTTTAGTCAGCAGCACGGATTTTCCGGAGAGCATTCAGCGCGCGCCCATGTCCCAAAGCCATTAGAGACGAGTTCAGCAGGGGTGGTTGGTCGGAAGGGGTTTCCAGGAACGAGGAGGAAGAAGCGAAGCACATATTGAGAGACGAGTACTCCGAGATGACGACAGCACCATAGAAATTTCTGCTTCGATGGGGATGGTGGTTTAATTTGGTCCCGTACCGCTTGAACATTGGTACTCGGACAGTTTTGTACTGAGTGGGAGGCTTGGGGGGACTTTTTCAATGACCGGAACAACAACCGGGGCTGGGATAACAGCAATACCCAATTCCCTTCTCGCAGGGATATTCGCCCAAGGCGCAAGACAAGGAACAGTCCTCGCTGAACTTCCTAGAACTGTGTTCCTGGACTGCAGCGACGATGGCTGTGGTGGCGGCCGCCCGGGCTCCCTCGATCTGCATGGATCTTGTACACTTCAAACAGTTGTTATTTTTCCACACTCATCACGGGTGTTGTTTCAGGATACAAAGGCTAGGGTTTCAAAAAAGAAAAATGGCAAAAGGCGCAGGTTGTGGCCTTGCTTTTCACTACTGCCTAGATTTGAATGATGGGAAGGGGGGGCCGAAGCAGTGACAAGAAGCTTGGTGCGTTAATGCGGCTGAGCTTGAGGCTTCTTTGCATGATGAAGGATCGATAATTGGTCGTCGAAATGCGTGGTTTGGTGAACAGCCTGCCTAGAACGAACGCATGGTCAAGCGCGCTTGCTGGCCAGTCGCTTCTTTCATATGCACGCGCGCGCGCACACACACACACACAGAGACATACGCCAGGCTTGCAGGACACTGCGGCGGCGGCGCGCAGGCCGTGGTCGTGGGGTTTTAATTCTGATCTGTGTCTTGGGGGGGTGGTACAAGGTCCGTAGCATGTGTGTGTGCACATGCCGTGAGAGAGAAAGTGTGCGTGAGTCGGACATGCACCTGGGAGACCTGTTTTTGGCGCGAGAAGAAAAAGCTGTCCCGTCGTGATATCCATGACCAAGCAGCCAGCACCGCACTGCTAGTATGCCGCCCTGGTGCTGCATACGAAGAACTGAATGGGTCTTCCTGGCATCTCGAAAAAGATGAGAAAGAAGAATTCATGGTCATGGCATAGATTGGACAGAGAGCGTTAGTTTTTTAGTCGGGTCCAGCCGGTATCGTGAGGGAGTTTGGTCATGACAACTACAACAACAAGAACCCTCCTGGTGGGTTTACACGGCCCGTTAGCTTTAATCTTTTGAATATGTCACCTCTCTCCATGTTCTTTTCTTCTGGCTTGATTCTTTATCTGTATCGGGAGACATAACACGCGGACGGATGAGCAGCGAATGATCCGTGGCAATGGAGAGACTAGGGAGAACCGCAATTCTCCGGCCTCCAGGATGAATTCCCGCGGCTCCACCACGGCGTAGACTCATACATGCGTGTATTGCCAGTGAGTGCTTGTGGAGCCAGACGCAAGCCGATCTAGGCGGGAACTTTTCGTCATGCCGTCGTCACTGTAGTTTCTCTGCCGAAGTTCGCTGTCAGGGGTTGTTCCCCGAGGCTTAAAGAACGCGAAGCTGTCTACAATTCCTCACTCAGGCTTGGTGCAGCAGATCAATAGAGATATATATACATAATGGCTGGCGAAGCACGTAGGGAAACCGCTCAAGACCTTGGTACTTACTAACGCAAGCAAACACGCATCATGCAAGCCACGCCGGACGGCCCAAACGGCACCGCTGTACCTAGGAGTCTAGGACTCGTGTGCCAGCCGCCGGAGCTAGTTTGGTGGCGCCGTTGTGGCAGGCGGCTTTGGTGCAGCACCCACACACACTTCCGACCCGGCGCCTCCCCTCCCCTTTGGCTTTGCTGGACGCCGGGTCATGCAAAGAGGAGATTAGATGTAAGTAGTGTGCTCTGTCTGGGGAGCCTGACTGGCTAGCCCTGGTGTGCCGCCGGCGGGGAGGTCGTTAGGGCTAAGGCCGAAAGGAAGCCGTGCAGCCAGAAGGGCGCAGCTACATGGTAGATGGGCAGAGTAAAATTAAAAGCGACCCAGACTCTGACGGCAGCGGCGTGTGTTAGTGCTGGGCGGTGGAGGTGCGCTTGGCGGTGAGTCTAACTGGAGGTTGATCGGGTGTTTTGTGTGGGCAGAGGCGCAGAAGGGTTGGCGCTAAAGAGATTGATGACCCGGCCGTAGGGCTACGGTACCCAGTGCTTACGTGCCCTTGGGTAGCGCAGGCACGTTCCTTGGTGGACGGGAACTTGCGCAGGGTTCTAATTACATGGCATTCTTGTCGTTCCTGTGAGAAGAAAGACTCGATACACTTGACCTGAGGACGCCGGCCGTGGTCTGGCAACCCCAAGATCTTGTCGAGATGAGACAGACAGCCGGCCCTCAGCGCTGCGCGGATCGGCCAGCCACTGTTTCGAGAGCCGTGAGGGGCGGCCTGGCCAGGATTGAGTGCCGGAGGCGGAGGCGCTAGGCAGGGAGGCAGGAGCAGCTGGGTGGGCCGTTTTGTCACTGGCGACAGGGTTCCTTCCTCAGCCGCACTCCCCTCCCTTGATTCCCGCCATGCACCACCACGACGATGCGACACTGACACTGACACTGACTGACACGTCGGTTCGCTTCTGCGTTGCCCATCTCGACACAGCAGCAGCCAGCACCAACATCATCTCTGACAACCGTCGGCGCGAGGCAACAATCTCGACTGGGCACAACACACGCTCATCTCCACAGGGACGACGACACCAACGCCAACCAGCCAGACGTCCGAGCTCCCCCAGGCTATCCAGGCCAAAGACGGACGAGACCAGACGGCACTGACGATCTGCTGGGTCCAAGCGAGAGCTGAACTGCACCCTGCAGATTCATGCCCCACGCCTGGCCACTCATTGGCAAACTCAAACCCGTCCATGTTTCTCCACGTCCAAATGGTGCCGATTCCCCTGGCCGGGCTGAACCAGTCTGCCTTGCGGCTCGATATTGCGAAGGACTCAGGCAGAGGCCGAATCAGGGCCCGGCACGCGTGCCACCGTCACACCATGTCTCGCCTTGCTTAAAATGATGCTCCCTCCCCCAGCCGCGGCGCCGCCACGACTGCCATTTGACTTTCCTTCGGCTGTCCCTGATCTCTCAGTTCCTGCTCGTGTCCCCGGAATCCTGCGTGTCCGGCGTCAAAGGGTCCTGCTCCTCACCCCTCGACGTGTTCCTCACTTGCAAAAGTTTGAGAACCGGGAACATCACTCTCTTCCACCTCCCACAACCACTGGAGCTCATCGACTTATACGGCCAATCCTTGGATCGCCAACCTCGCCGACTTACATCACCGCTGTAGCACCACCATCATGCAGCAGCCAGTCAACCAACCCGCCGCGGCCCAGCCCGCTCCCGTAACCATGATCGTGCCCAAGTATTCTGCCGATCGCGAGCCCGGCATGGAGCACATCCCCCGTCACCCCAAGGGCTTCGTCGCGATCCGCATCATCCAGCTGCTCTTCTGCGTCATCTGCATTGGCCTCTCGGGATACATCCTCGCCGTCGCTGCCTTCCCGGCCGCCGGCTTCATGATCTTTGTTGTAAGTTGACCTGAGCTAGCCACTAAGACTCCTGGCAGAAGCTGATCTGTTCTCCTCTTGATAGTGCGTTGTCACTCTCATCATGTCAATCTACAACATTGTCGCCCTTACCAAGGCCCACAAGTTGTACAACTACTGGGCGGTTCTCGCCTTTGAGATCTTCCTTTTCATCTTCTGGCTCGTCGCCTTTGCCTACATGGCCGCCACTGCCGCCATTGTTCTCGCCTACTGGGCCACATATGCCGACTACTACGACTACTACTACAGCTACAGCTACGGCGACGCCTACAAAGCCCTGGGCGCCATCATGGGCGCAGCCGCCGGCATTGGCGCCTTGACCTGGTATGTTACTGTCGACCTAATCAGTCGTGAAGCTGTAAAAGGCTGTAGACACAGTCGAGGAGCAAAAGGCTAACACGAGCAAAGGATCCTTTACTTCATTTCTCTCGTGATGAACAGCGTCTTCATCTCGCGCCACCGCTCTGTCGGTCTCCACAACACTCCTGGCGCCACCACTGCTGCGCCCGTGGCGGCGGCTGCCGCCCCTGCTGCTGGTGAGAAGGTCGAGATGCGACCCCAGCAGCCTGGCCAGATCTATCCTCAGGCCTCAGGCTACTCGCAGGCGGCTCCCGCGTATGGTGCTGGTGCCATGCCTCCCCAACAGGGCTTCTACCCGCAGCCGTCCATGTCGCCTCCTCCCCAGCAGATGTCGCCCCCGCCACAGCAGTTCCAGCAGTATCCTCCCCAGCAGTACCCCCAGCACTCTGGTCAGGCTGGCTACCCGCCTCAGCCTCAGGGACAGTATCCAGTTTCATCACCTTCCGTTGATGGGAGCTACAACCAGTCCATGCCCGCGCAGACTACCGGCGGCTCGTATGTCCAAGGCAACCCCGTCGCGTTCCCCAACAGCCACAGCGCGGCCGAGCAGCAGCCGGGTGCGCCCGTACACGAGGCGCATGGTCAGTCTTATGACCCGCATGCGCCGAAGGAGATGCAGTCTTAAGTGCCGGCAAACATGTGAGAAAGCTGAGAGAAGCCTTGGAGGATGTAATGGGAAGCCGAGAGTGATTGATAAGTGTTTGGTGACGATTTCAGATTGGAAGAGAAGAGATACCACCGTCCTTGCGAGAGGCACGAAGCAAAATAGTCAGATGAATTTCATATACCCACCCGTTTGCGCATATTGGCTCTTACCGTGAAGCCAGGTGCAGAACTCCAAGCTGGTGTTTGTGTCGTGAGAATCTGTGATCTGATTCGGTAGATCACTCCAGCGACGCGTGACGTGGTGTTGATAGGAGTCCTTACACCAATCTCGCCGAGCCTTTGCAAGAAACGTCAGCCTCCAATCAAGGGTTTTCAATGGTGGCCGGTCAGAGTGAATTAAGTACTCCCTGTGCCGTTGAGGTCCACCAAGGCGAGCATGGGCGTAGAGAGATGGTCTTGGGTATATGTCCAGGTGATGAAAGAAACTCCCTACATCGTCATACTTGACGCTAATTTTCCTCTGGGAGCGTGTAACGAGTTTGAGTGTAGAATCGGGGGCGGTTTCTGATTTCCATTGCGAGCGCGCGTAGGCACGGTGAGTATAATGATAAATATCACATGACTGTGCTTGCTGCACCCACGGGGCACACATGCCACAAGTACACGGTGAATACACAACGAGTACACCAGAACCATACAAGGTACTTTCCAATGTCAGACTTCACAGAGGACTAACAGGACTGCCTCATCCTGAACTGTTCGTGGATCGGACGAATGTGTGGATGTTCCTCTCTTGCAACGCTCTTTGCCATAAAACCCAACTAAGCTACTTGTCTGAGCCCTGTTAGGCGGTTCGACCCTGCGCTCCGTCTTTTCTTTCCCGGACATCGGTTTCACCCTGATATATCTGAGTTCCCGCCTCCAGAGAAGTTTATTCTGCTCATTTCGGACCGCCCGGACGACTGGCTGGACTGACTGGATACGATTCAAAACAAGATCAAAGGACAGCAAGGGGGAGCTCATCAAGACGTGTCGACTCAGATTTGAAGGATATAACATTGAGAGTGAAGTCTGTCCCTTTTACTGCGCCATAATAGCCCCTCGGTCAACCCCGCGCGTGTGTACGTATATATATAGTCGTTTCGAGGCCGTGTATGAGGCCGTCCCCCCGATGTTTACACCAGGTCCGGGTGGCTCAACAAAGAGGGTCCGCAACACCACGTAAAGGAAATGCAGAACACATTCGCTAGAGTCGGTGACTTTAGGATGATGAGTATACACAGCTAGAGAGATGAATTGTCTAGCACCAGCGTTCTTCCACCGAGATGGTGGTCCTGCAGGATATTTCTTGACTTTGCAAACTCATCAACCCACAAGAAATCGGATCGTCCCGCTCCGCTCGCCTCTCAGCTTCAGTATTCAGCAGGGAGTTGGACAATAGCCAAATGGGAGGTGTTTTTCCATGCATCACGTGCTATAAGTGCATGTCCCTGCACTTAGTTGGCCGACGGGGAAGTACGATATCCCCCACTTCCAGCACAACCTTGGGACCTTGGGATGACAAGCTCGGGTAGACCCGAATGGAACTCCACTCCACCCGCAAACTCAAGTGCCCCAGATTGATCCCGCGAGGCCTAGTCTGGTCTAGACCGCCATCAATGAACGTTGGCCTCCCGAGCGGACAATCTGTTTTCAGCCAACGACAAGTGTTCAGCCAGCCCGGGCCGGGCCATCTGACACACAATTCTTCAGCTCGCCTTTGGACGTGCCTGATCCGTCGGACCCCCTTCTCAAGCGGGCCTGGAGTGGAGTCGTGGCGTCCCAACTATTGGAAAGACGCATCGGGGTTTTCAGCTTAGAACATACACTCGCATACGCAAGCCCGGATGAGGGACCAAACCTCGGTCCAGCTTCTAGACTTTCAGACTTTTGAATGTATGCGGCATTTGTAAAGCTTGGGCTTTTTTTTCTTCGATACTAAATCACTCGTCCTCCTTTCCTTCGCTTCACTTTTCTCTGTTCAACTTAGCATTCTGCCTGATCTTGTTGTTCTGCCTTCCCATAAGATAATCCTACATCGAGAACAAGCCCTTGGCTGCTTTAGCCGTCATGACCTTTTCTCAAGGAGGCTTCCAGCCCGACCCCAGATTCCCCGCCCCTCACCCCAAGCGTATAGTCGTCTGCTGCGACGGCACCTGGCAGTCCTCGGTCAGCGGCATCAAGTCGGTGCCCTCCAACATAACCCGTATCGCCCGGTCCATTGCCCGCACGGGGCTCGACACCGACCATGCGCAGAACAACAAGGTGTGGGACCAGGTCGTGTACTACGACGCCGGCCTGGGCACGGGCGTCTTCAGCATCGCCGAGAAGATCAAGCAGGGCGACCTCGGCATGGGCTTTGTCGGCAACGTCATCGAGGCCTACAACTTCATCGCCCTCAACTACTCCCCCGGCGACCAGATCTTCTGCTTCGGCTTCAGCCGCGGCGCCTACACGGCCCGCGCGGTCGCGGGGCTCGTCACCGACATTGGCGTCCTAAGCCCCCGCGACATGCAGGACTTCCCGGAGCTCTTTGCGCTGTACCAGGCCAACACGGACAGCCATGGGTTTCGCAAGAGCAAGGAGTACCGCGAGTGGGTCACCGGCGTGCTCGCGGACGAGCAGCCGCCTCGGGCCCCTCCGGGGGCATACCAGGAGCCTCCCCGGTACAAGACGCCGCCGCATCGCCAGGCGCCCGAGGCCTCGCGCGTCGTCGAGGTCGTGGGCGTCTTCGACACGGTGGGCAGCCTGGGTGTGCCGGACACGCAGAGCGACGTGCTCGACTTTGGGCTCCAGGGCATCAGCAAGCTGTTTGGTGTGCCAAAGGTTGGATTCCACAATGTCTCGTTGAGTCCTTGTAAGTTTCCCCCCACCAGACAGAAACGCCTCGTTTTGAAGACGAAAGATGCGGGAGGAGATATGAGGATTAGGAGGAGGAGCTAGAGCTGACGGGCTCGAAACAACAGACATCAAGCATGCGTTCCAGGCTCTTGCCCTCGACGAGCACAGAGGGCCCTTCACGCCCACGCTATGGCATGTCCCTCCGGCTCCCGCCAAGGACTCTGACGAGCCACCTCGGTCGAAAAAGACCCTCGACCAGCTGCGCGAAGAGAGCCGTGCTGCTCTTGCCAGCGGCAACGAAGACGACATCGACCGCACCTGGGAGGCCATGATTGACTACGAGATGGAGATGCATCTCGAGGAGCTCGACTCGGATCTGCTCCAGGTCTGGTTCCCGGGCGTGCACGTCAACATTGGCGGCGGCAGCACCGACATGTTGAAGGACAAGAAGGGCGACTTTGAGCGTGAGTACACTCACTCTCTATCGCACACTGCTTGTGTGTGTTCGACGAGATCAGCTGCTGACAAAAGGTTACTTGCAGAGCTCTCCACGATAACCCTGGCATGGATGATCGAACAGGCCTCGCCCTACTTGCAGTTCAACCCCAACCTCGCCCAGACCATCGTCGAGGACCGGATGACCCTGATTACCCCGATCCTCAAGACCCTCGCACACACGCGCGCCGAGGAAGCCGCCGCGCATGAGTCCCACTGGGCCATCACCAAGGCCTTTGAGTACATCGCCTCGTCGACGCATCTGTACAAGCCCTCACACTCCCACTCCGCCACAGAGCACGCCGACATGCAGGCGCAGGCCGCCACGCTCGCGGCGGCGGCCTACCGCGCGAGCAACGGCTGGGCTACGGGTCCCATCGTCGACAGCTTCACCGGCGTTATGAAGATTGCGGGATCCGTGACCCGCACGCCAGGCCGGTACAACAAGAAGGATTCCGCGGGCAATGATATCGGGGTCACCAACGAGCAGATCCACCCTTCCGTCAAGTACCGCTTTGACAAGAGGGACGAGTGGAGCCCCGCGCTGAAAGGGTTCCAGAGGAGAGAGACCACTGTGCAAGTGCCTGGGGGCGCCGACGGGCAGACGAGGACGGAGAAGAGGTTTGAGTGGTACAATGCGGACGGCGTGAGGATCCCAGAGTATGTGATCAAGGCCGAGGACGTATTCACCAGGTACGTGGCGAACTTGGATGATACCACAGATGAGAAGAAGCAGCAAGGAGTTCCGGGGAGCGTTATTGCTGCGCCTGGCGACGGCGCTGCTTCCAGGTTCTTGGGCGGGATTGATCGTGTGCTTGGTTTGAAGACACGGGAGAGTGAACTTGTTTGAGTATGATTTGGGAGATGTTGGGGAACAAACAAAAAATCAGGCAGAAATGTACCATGCGTTGAGTCATGCCATGTGGGAAAGCAGTGCTTACGCCGCTCATCGTGGATAGCTACCTTCGTACCAGGGTGGAAGTAATGAATGATAATGGGGGTTCAGGTAGTAGAAATGGCTAGCAACCGGTCGTATTATTCCAAGACTAATTCTTAAGGAAGGAAGACATCTTCATTTTTCCTCCCCGTGATCTCATACAAGTAGTATACTTGTCTCGATCTGCGCAAACAAGGCCAAGGACAAGGGCGGGTCGCTTGTGGATTACGTTCGTAGAACACCAACCCCTGTCGGTGGCGCCTCGGCGGGGTGATCACTGCTGACGCAGAGCTTCCCTCCTAGTCTTCCTCTTCCAGATCGTCAGTCTAATCGACCGCAATGGCACCCACATACGAGTACACCAGTCTCGAGGGACCCGGTTCTATAAGAATTATCCATCTCGAGCCTGGACGCGGCGATGACACTCTCAGCTGCACCCTCGAGACCGCGGCCTTGGGAGATGGTGTCAAATACGAAGCACTGTCCTACGCCTGGGGAGACCCCAGCGACCGCCGAACAATCAAGTGCCACGGCAGAGACCTCGACATCACCACCAGTCTATTCAAAGCGCTACAGCAGTTGCGTCGGGCAAGTGAGACCCGTCTGCTTTGGGCAGATGCTGTCTGCATCAACCAGCAGGATATGGAGGAGAAGAGCGAGCAGGTCGGGCTGATGTCACAGATCTACTCCCAGCCACAAAGAGTCCTGATCTGGCTCGGCGACGACATGGTCGGTTTGGAGGGTGTACAAGAATCTCTAGAGGCAGTGCTTCGAATGATCCCGCCGGTTCATTATGATGCCGAGTCCATAAGAGAGTGCTCTCTTCGGTTTTGTCGCGAGACAGCAGTACGTACGCTCTTCAAAAGTAGCCTTCATGGAATATTTGAGACGCAATGGTAGGCGTTGCCCGAGACTAATACCGGCCAGCGGCTTACGAGAGAAGGTCGAAGTAGCGAGACCCTCTCACACCACGACTGGAGGCCAATAAACGCCCTTCTGGACAGAACGTGGTTCTCGCGCAAATGGATCGTGCAGGAGGTTTCAATGGCGTCAGGTCATGTACCGCGCATAGTCATGTGTGGTTCAATAGAGATCGCCTGGGAGACACTGTCGACAATCGCTTACGCAATGTTCACTTATGGCTTCTTCTCGCAGGCCACGAGCGAATCTCTATGTAAATCATTCTCACAACGCCTGGTATACTTCAAATTCGGCTCGCTGACCTTTTCTCATTCAAATCAGTATACGCCCCGGGTCCTTCGCCCTCGCACCACTTCTCCTGCACCGCAATCCAACCAACAATTGCCGTCGTAAACGCTTACGTTGTTCAAATGATCCAACACTTCACGACCGGCAATCTCCTCGACTGCGCCATGGCGACCTACGCTTTCAAGTGCACCGACTCTAGAGACCACATCTACTCCCTCCTCGGCCTAGCCCGTCGCGGACCATACCCCGTCACCATAGAACCAGATTACAGCAAATCCGCCGAACAAGTCCTGTTCGACTTCGCCAGATCTGTGTTGATACAAGACCAAAATCCAAATCTACTAGGTCTCGCGCCAAACAACGAGTCTGAGATAACGGGCAAGGACACGGAGAGGGGCAAGCTACCCAGCTGGGTCCCGGATTTGGTCTGTGGTGCGCCCGCGACGAGTCTTGTGGGGTTTTCGATTCGGGAGGCTGTTTTTCAAGCTGGCCTGCAGGTACCATCAGGGACCAAAACGGAAATGCAGGCTATTTACGAGGATGAGAGCAAACGTCACTTGCACGTGCAGGGCCGGATCGTTGATGTGGTGCAGGAGGTGGCGTTGTGTCCATTCCTCATTAATGTTCCGGAGGATAAAGATGTCGATGAGGATACACTCCGACGAAAGCGGGCAAAGATTTGGTTTGACGATTGCTTGAGAGTTGCTTTCAGCTATGATGGCGACGAGTATCGTCAACAAGGTGGGACTAATAACGAAGACGACTGCAATGGCGGGGAGAACGCCACTGAGACAACCGTTGGTCTAGACACAGGGGATGGCAGCACAGGTACACTGCGCCTCTGGAATCGACAAACCCCGGACGTAAAAGAGAGGTTCGCCCGCACCATGATGATGGACCACTGTGGTCTTCGCGATCCTCTCCATCCAGACACGGTGGAGGCCATGGTCGACTACGTCGGCCATGTATGCGGTTACTTCGACAAAGACTACGTTGTCTCCGATGAGGCTCTCGAAAGGATGATCGCCAGCGGAGGCATGATAGAGTTTGCCATTTTCGGCACATCAGTTACTCGTCGCTTTTGCATCAGCCGCAGTGGCCGATTCGGACAGGTTCGCACAAATACACAGAAAGGGGATTTGGTTTGTGTTGTGGTGGGAGCGCAAGTGCCTTTGGTCATCCGACCCACTGGCGGCGGTGAGGAAACGTACGAGTTGATTGGGGATTGTTATCTTGATGGGGTTATGCACGGGGAGGCTATGGAGGATCGGAGGTATAAGACAGTTGAGATTGTTTTCGTGTGACGATACTGTCGATAGAGGGGAAATACCTGAATACTTGATGATGACATCTGCGTTCTATAGTGAGGATATTGGCGTATTTACCCTTTCTTATATCTATAGAAATCCCCGAGATCTATAATGTACTCCACTACCCGCATTATATGCCTACCGATCCCTGTTACCCCTGCATCTCAGCCTTGCTACATAAACAATTGTTGACTATCTTGCCCCGCTCCACATGCTGACACGGTCAGGAGCCTCCAGCCGCCCTCACCTCTAGACACGCAATAGTTCTTGCTTGACAATGGCCCCAGGGGACTTCAAAGTGACACTGCCCGAGACACGCAACGTGTGGGAGTTTCACATGGTCACACGCGGCGTCATCATTGATGCCGAAAAATTAACGAGTCTGGACGACGCGACCGGATTGGCCATACCCTCCCTCGAGGAGATTGAACAGCGGGGCAAGACCACCGCCATCATCATTCAGCATGTGAGCCCGGACTGGCAGGCGCAGTTGGTCTCGCGGCTCAGGATCGATCCGGAGTTTTTCCACAGACACCTAGAACCCGGCCCTGACGGCGCCGACCTGTGGTCTGCAGTGTTTAGCAACACGGCGAAGCACCACGGGCTTGTTTCTGGTATGCAGGCGGACGAGCTGTCATTTCGCAGCTCTGATGGGGACCAGAGGATAGCGTTATACACGAGACGGTACTGGCACATTGATGGAGTTCTCGAGCTCGACACCACAAAGCGCTACGTGAGCTACGAAAGCCTGTTCACACCCAGCGGAAGGATCACAACGGCTCCACCAGGGCGTCGGATCTTCTACGAAGGCAGTCAAGGATGGCAGGCCAGCACGAGGATATCGTATCTCCAGCTGAGTAGGTATGTCTGTGAGCATGTAGCCCGCGCCGATCTCTTGCAAACTGCAGGGATGCTATTGCTAATATCCTGCGGGTGCTGGCAGCTCTTTTCCTTGTGGACGCTCCATTCGTTCCCCCTATCTCAGACCCAAACACCGCTCCCACGAGACTCCAGCTCCCCGTCGGGCTCCGGCGAAGCGGGATAACGATCCCCCAGGCCCTGCGAGCAGGCAGCTTCTCCCTCTTCTCCAGCCTCGAACGCTTCTTCTCGCACGCCTGGCACCTGGAGAATCTGGATCACGACGAGCTGTCCCCAGCCGCGTGGCTGTACCTCTTCGCGAGCTCCTGCTGGATGGACAACCTGGCGTTCCACACGGTTCGACTGCAGCAGCTCGCGTTCGAGGAGATCCCGACCGGGCCAAGCATTCAACAGAACACCGAGCTTCACGAGGCTAGGAGAAAGATCGCCATTCTGGCCAAGGACGTCGCAAACATGCTGCATTGGATGCCGTCTTCGGTGCGTGACGATGTAGCCAAGGCTCAACGTGAGGGCGCTTTCGTGTGGTTCCCAGACGACGCGGCGCGGCAGGTGATCAGCGAGGCAAAAGCGCTGGACCAGTTCGTCATGGACACGTTCCAGCTGCTCATGAGCACCATCAGCGTCCTGGCCGCCGAGTCGGGCCTGGACGAGGCCAGGTCCGCACAGAAGCTCATGTGGCTGGCCTCGGTATACCTGCCGCTGACGATGGTGACGGGCATCTTTGGCATGAACATCAGGGAGGTGAATGACTCACTGCTGCCCTGGTGGGCCTGCCTGCTCGCCTTGGTGGCGATGGTCGGGTTCACGGGCACGATCTTGTTCGTTTTCGACAAGATGGCGGACAGAAGGCGGGGCAACAAGGGCTATAGCATTGAGGTGCGAAAACTGTCGTTATCTTCACTGAGCCCATAAGGCTCTGATACGAGGTCTGGTGCGAGAATAGTGGAGAGAGTGCAGGGAATGAGCCAATATGGTCGTTTCTATTCGGGGATACTTTCTTCGTCACGTGAAGGAGTAGCACTTATAGAGGACTCGTGATCGACTTAGTTATCTGCCAATCCCGCGCGATTAAGGATTATCTAGGTACTTTATGAGCGCCAAGAAAGCGTCGGACGCCTTATATCAGGGCCTCATCGTCTCAGCGAGGATGTTGGAGGAAGCACCAGTGCGCGCGCTCCTGGAGAGTGAATTTGGCTGAGCGCTGCGATCGGTGCGTACTATGCTCCCCACGTTCCATCAGGATGACGAATATAGCTTGGCTATTCTCTTGGCGTGATGAGTAAGGATATAACATGAATGCGGACTGATATTTGTGCCTATACTGCAAAGTCTACTAATGCTGTACGATCTGATCTCGCTTGAAAAGCTTCAATGCTAAGGATTATGTCAATATCTACAGGGCGCTCGTCCTTCAATTCCAGCTCCCACAGTGAGAGCTATAGCATTCTTGCCTTGTCGGCATGATCCGTTCTTAATCCATACCAGTACTCAGTCTAGGTCAAACATCTCCGATCGGACCCTTCGCAAAGGTGGCCGTGGCACGAGCAGTCTAGTCCCGTCTGTTTTGGTCCCATTGAAAGCAATGTAGCTTGCCGCATACATACAGTTTGCCACATCGACCAGGGACTTGTGGAAGGTTCCTGACAAAGAAACAAAGTGTTAGTTCCGGAACCAGCCATGCAAAGGTCGTGGTTCTGCCCTACCAGCAACTGACATTTCACCAAGGAGGAAGTGTTACTTACCGAGGATGATGTACGCTGCTCTGAGTATAATGAAGATCATGGCAGCCAACGACAGACACTGCCCGAAGGTCCATTCGTTGTCCTTGCTCTCGGCATCTCCTAAAATCACTTCTCTCCGCAATGAGGAAAAGACGAAAAGCGCCAACCACATAAGAGCGCAACTCGCCAGCGAAAAGCATGACCGGAATGTGCGGGAGTCGTAGAAATCTAGCGCTTTTTGCCAGCGGGTCCTCGTTGAAGATGCGCGCCTATGACGGATGAGCAGCACAACTTCTGAGACCATCGAACACGTGGCGAACAGTATAAGAACCACCAGGGATGGATGGAACATGGCAGAAGCCAGGGGCCAGGTTACAACATAAGACAGACAGGTTGCCTTGGGCTCGGTGTTTCGATCTTCCCCCAGCACGTAATGCCCACTAGTAACAAGTATGTGACAAGGTGAAAACGCCAACAAGGAAAATAGCATGACATCCCAGAGAGAGCTGGTGCGGAATTGGTGACGGTACCAAGGGTAGAGTGCCGTAACGGACCAGACGGTTATGCAGATCTCCAGCATGACCGGATAAGCAGCCGCTTCAGCTGCATCGAGTCCGAAATTAGGTAGCGCATATGATAGTGTCATCGAGAGACAGATCGAGTAGCTCGCAAAAGCGGGCACAACAGCCTTCAATAGCCGGCCTGAAAGCTTCGCCTGCTTGCCTTGCGCAGATGAGGCTTGCATGAGCGGCTCTCCAGCATGTCTGATTATGGAGTGCTGAGATTTTGTCTTTGCCAGCCACACCGTATGCTCCTGGAGGAAGGCAAGCAAACAGAGCAGGGAAGTAATGATGGCTTGGGCAATGTATCCGGCGTATACCTAGTTGCTGATCAGTACGAAACCTTGTGGGATGTCCCATGGCCGTTCAGACTACCTAGGTACATCCGCTGTTCCTGGTTCCCCCATCTGGGCGGAATAAGCCTCAGAAAAGAACTTACGCCAATACCCCACAAGTCAGGGTCGGGCCTCCATTTGAGGCCTTTGCAGTAGTCGCTCAGGCATTGCCTACGCAGTGGAACTTCGATACCGTCTTGGAAACTCATGTTTGATGTGTGTGCCCATTGCTGGAAGACTATAAAGGGCGTGCTATCAGGTTCGATGTCCACTGGAAGCCAGGCCATAAAATAGTCGTACTGCTCCTTCTCTGGTGGCGTCCAGCTGCTGTCGCTCCGGTGTTCTTCGTACTTGAGGTCTATGTATTGCTCGGCCAAGGTACAGTTGCGCTGAAAGTCCAGAGTGGCCCATGTCAGGTTCTGCAGAGATGTGTTGAGCGTCATCGCCATCGTCATCTGATCATCTAGTCACCGAGGAACTGAATTGCTGCAAAAGATGAAGTGTTGCCATGGGGATGCCGCTTCTCCTCGCTGACTGGCTCATAGTATGGGCAAGTAATGGTGGACAGCGTGTTCTGGGGGGAGCGGCAGCGATACTAATAGGAGGCTGGCGAGGGAAGGACCTGCAATCGGCCACGGAGCGTTCCGTACAGCTCGGCTTTTGTTACTCTCATGAGGCTACAGGCCTCCTGCCTGTTGCGGCAACTAGCCTCGGGGACACTATGACGACGAGAAGTGTGCCTCCTTATACCTTCCGCACCAAACCCCGGGCTCGGGCTGTGTCAGCGTATGACTGCCGGTACGCCCCCATCCGGGAGCAGCACCCGCGGCTCTTGCCATTCGCCTGGCGTGCAGATGGCCTCCAACCCCAAGACACTTGTGTTACACGGGACTACCCGCGGGTCTGTTGGTTTGTCATAATATTGCCTGCCCCTCCAGGACCCCCAGCCTCGCTTAGCGCAGCAGTGAGAGTCTTGGAGCAAGGCGGACCCAAGGCTGTGGGTGGTCGATGGGTATGCCGAGGCGTTTTCATGACAGCCACCGACCATGAGCGGGGAGGCGAGGTCGTCGTGGCCACGGAATCATAAATTTCGCTTGGAGCCGAGTCAAGCGTTGGTAGAATATCGTGGCCAAGAGTATTCAACGGGCATGCACGAGAAAGAAGTTCGTGTAACAGCCAAAGAGCACTTAGATCACGGGCCGAAGCACTGTGAGCTTCCTGTCGAGAGACCTTCCACCGAGACCATTCACATTGCCCCGTGATTGCATCTGCTGCCTCCGCCTTCAAGGAAGAGGTATGCTTAGATGTCAACAGGTTGTAAGAGCACAACTATCTTGGTTTCTATTCGATCGGAATGTGAGGACATGAAATTCGTGATTCGTAGTATAGGGGATATCGTGAGCAGTCTAACAATCTGGGATATCTAAGAAAACAAAACAGCAGTGCGCACGTGTCCAGCACGAACACTTCCAACGATATACATCAGACACAAGAGCAACGATAAATTGCCCCCTCGTCTCCCCCCTCGCACTCTCAAATCACCAACAAGGACAAAGAAAATCCGACACAGACTGCGGCCAACAACCCCTGGACCTTGACCGAAGCTCCCAAGCTCCCGGTGTCGCCACTGCCGTCACCGCTCTGATCCCCGCCGACGCTCTCGCCAGGTGTGAAGCCATCGTCTTGCCCGCCGAGAAACATGGCGCCAATCTCAGTCAGCTTGCCGTCTCCGTCGAGCATGGCCACGGCCTCGCCGGCCCAGCCCTCCGCGTCGTCGCTGCCCTCGCGGAAGAGCCCGAACCACGAGTATCCCGACACCCAGCTGGCCTTGTCGAGATAGGGGATGGTCTGGTTGAGCATGCTCTGCGTCGCCTCGGCGTCCTGCTGGGGCAGGCCCATCTCGGTGACGATGATCTCGAGCTCGTTGCCACTGCCACCGCCGCCGCCGCCGCTGTCCCCATTGTTCTGCCTCCGCTCGTTCAACGAGCGACGCTTGCTGCCGGCCCCAACCCTCAACTCGTTACTCTCGTCACCGCCAGACGAGAGATCAGGACGGAACGAGTGCTTCGGGTCGTCGTAGAACTCGCGCAGCTGCTTCAGCCAGCCCTCGAGCCCCAGGAAGTCGCCATACCAGTGCGCGGCGACAAAGTCCGTCGGACACCCGCCGTTGTCGCCGTTGATGTCCTCGCACGCGTCGCAGAAGTCCCGGAGCCAGTCCAGGCCCCGCCCCGAGCCGGTAACCACGGGATGCGAGATGAGCCAGCGCCCGCCCTCACTAGAACCCTTGCGCAGGGGCATGATCTTGTCTACGTAGGCCTGCGCGGTGTCGCGCGGGTCCAGGCCGGAGCCGCCGGTGCTGGGCTCGCCGTCGGGCTCGTTGAAGGTGAGCAGCCGGTGGGACTGGGCGGGCGTGAGCTTGCGCAGGCGCTCGAGGTCAGAGTCGAGGTTGTCGATGCCGTGGAGCAGCGGGATGAACTCGATCTTCTTGTTGTTGGTGGCGGCGGCCTTTTCAATGTACTCGTTGGGCCACGGGGACCAGGTGTAGTACCATGCTATCGGGGAGTCGGCCTGGAGGAAAATGTTGAAGTCTTGCGTCGACGTGCCCTGGTGGATGGACAGGCCGCGCTTCGAGGTGGAGGCGGAGGTGCCGTTATTGGATGATGTGGAATTGCTGTTGCTGTCCTGCGCAGCGGTGGGTGTAGATAGGATTGCCGCGGCGGAGAGCAAAGCCAGAGCTGTTGCGCCGAGGCCGCGAGGCTGGTGATTTTGTGTCCTCATTGTGGGAGGAGGAGTAGCGCTGTGAAGAATTGATGCTATCTAAAATCAAATACACAAGCGTTGTGGGAGATGTGGATCATGTGAAGCGGTGCTGCGAAAGTTTGATGACAGACTCCGCAGAACCGCGAATGCCAAAGGCCAAAAGAATGGAACGTAGATGTGGCAGCACGGTGTGCCACGGGTTTGTTCGGAGTGGCAGTGTCAGCCAAGACGATAGCGTATGTGAGTGAACGAACGGTGTGGGTGGTTGTAGTGGTGTTGACCGCTCGGGCTGGAGGGTTGGCGGATCTTATACTGGCCCGCCCAAAGACGAGGCGGCAGTGATCTTGCCCACGACAGCGATGATGCCCGCCGAGGCTTGGGAGCACGGCACGTCACACGCAGCTGCAAGAACACGAATCAGGGGACCCTGTCACAGCAGTGCCTTTCCCTGACCGTCCAGGCCATCGTGCCTGGCTGTGCTATTGAGTTCAAGGAAACGCAGCCTGTGGGAAGCGAAAGAAGCAGGGGTCCTCTCAAGAAAATGTCCAGCTGGGCGGGTCGTTGGTGATGTCATCGCTCAGCCAAGGGTCCAGGTTCCACGTCGACCCCCTGGTCGGCCCGTCATGGTGAACCGCTAACCCAAGCACGCTCCGCACGAGTCTTTGCAGAGAGATGGGATGGTGGTCTTCTGTGCTGGTTTTCTCGTGAATATCCGACTTCTGCGTCATGGCAACACAGAGGCGCAATCTCCTGTGCGGGGCAAGAGTGTGTCGCAGACTATAGTCATGGTTTAGAGTCACTCTATTGGCCAGTCTCCGTCGTTCCTTGGTGTCACATCCATGCAAACTAGAGATAAGCTCAGACACGAATCATGTCCAGACGAGTCGCATTTCGCGCATTCACGCGGAGCCTTGATTGGGTAAAAACTGAAGCCAAGAACATTCATTTGATGCGACGGGTGCGCTTGTCTTGAGTATCGCATATGCGCAGAGGTACGAATTGGCATTCGCTGCACTGGAGTAAACATTGGGAAAAGAACCCAACTTCTTGCCGTAGGCAATTCGATCGTTCGAGATGCATGCTACACAAGCACCTCGGCACCTGGGGCGTACAAGGTTTGTGGACATAACTCCAAATTTTCCATGGAGATAGGATACATGCTGTAATAGCCCCATGCCAGAAGGGCAGCTATGTTTCATCGCTATAATAAAGATTAAAACGAGCTTATCGTGCACCGACTGCTACAAATATAGTACACATCCAATCGTTCGACTCGTCGAAACATTTTCTTGGCTCGTGACAAGACAGCAAACATGACCAGAACACTATCTTCTACTAGGCTGGAGGTCCCTACCACATCTACCGACCTTTCACCTCACCGAACTTAGTATACAAAGCTCCCCTCGTACATCATGTGCCTCTTCCTCGGCGAGGAGCTCCCCGAAGTGCCGTTCGAGCTGGTTGTGACATTGCCCAGCACCGTGCCCTGCTCGTCCTCGTACTCTGCCCACGCGGACTTGAGCGCCCAGATGGCCACGCTGACCTCTGCGCCGCTCGGCATGTTCTGGGCCTTGAGGTACGCGAGCGACAGGGGCTCGCCCTCGGGGAAGAAGAGCACCGTGGCGGCGTGCACGCCCTGGTCGACAAACACCTCGAGGATCGAGCGGTCGATGACGGCCTGCATGGACCAGTTGGCCGGCGTGCCCGCGGCGAGCACGGGGCCGGACGACGGCGCGCTTGAGGATGCGGCGGCGCTGGAGGTGGCGGTGGCGGAGGAGGAGGAGCTGCCCGAGCTCGAGGCTGTGGCCGAGTATGCGGTGCCGTTACCGCCGGGCTCGGGCGGGTTGTTGTTGTCGTTTGTCGCGTAGCTGCCAAAGTCGTAGTAGATGTCGGAGACGGAGAACTTGTCGGTGAAGAAGACGTTGTCGAAGCCGCGGACGGCGCCGCGGTTGATGAAGAAGGGCGTGTCGCCGGAGAAGTAGAAGCCCGTGTACAGCGCCTCGCCCGAGGTGGGGTTGCTAAAGGTCAGGTTGAGCGTCGTGTACTGCTGCAGCTTGGTCGTGTCGATGTTGGTCACGTTGATCTCGACGTACAGCGCCGCCGAGTCGACGCTGCTGTAGTCCACAATCACGGTGCCGTTGCCAAAGGTCGTCGAGTTGAGCTCCCTGTCCAGCACGGGGCTGATGTCGTAGACCTCGTCAACCATGACGAGACCGATGCGGGGTGCGTAGGTGAGGTAGTTGACGCGAGGCAACGTCATGGAGCTCCGCCAGCCCTCGAGATTGCCCGTGGGCACGGTCTGGGCGTACTGCCAGTTGGAAGCCCAGCCGAGGTTGATGGCGTTGCCGTCAGGGGTGTTGCCGTAGAAGTACTGCGCGGCATAGTTGTCCTTGGCGAAGTCGGTCAGGCGCGTGGCCGAGTCGAGCACGGTGAAATGCGTGCCGTTGAAGTCGCCAGGGAAATACTGCGTAATGGAGCCGCCCAATGGGGCGCCGGGCTGGACTGAGATGGCCAAGACAAACTTTGTGTCGGTCTGTTCCTTGGTCACATAGTCGCGAACAGGGATCTGGACAATGTTTGGGCACTCGTACTGAGTGCCGAGCAGACCGTGGTGGCTGAAGTTGGAGGCGTGTGTCCAAGTCTTGAGATCAGGGCTGGTGAAGAAGCCAATGACGAATTCCTGGGCGTACGAGATGACGGCTACCCAGTGATCCTCGTACCAGATGACCTTGGGGTCGCGGAACTGGGACGACTCGCTGTTGATGACCGGGTTGCCGTTGTAGTACTGGAAAGTGAAGCCGCCGTCCATTGAGTAGGCAATGGCTTGGGTCTGCGTGCCAGCCGAGTTCTTGTTGTAGTGGGCAAGCGTGGTAATGGCGACCACGCCATTCGTCTGGTTGGGGAAGAAGCCCGACGTGTTGTTGACGTCGATGACGGCACTGCCAGAGAAGACATAGGTGCTCTCCTCGGGCGGGAAGAGGGCTATGGGCTGATTGATCCAGTGGTACAGGTCCTGGCTCGTCGCGTGGCCCCAGTGCTGGTTGCCTGCCACGACGCCCGTGGGGTTGTACTGGTAGTAGATATGCCAGGTACCATTGTCATCCACGAACATGCCGTTGGGGTCGTTCATGAAGTGCTGCGGCGGCGAGAAGTGAATCTGAGGCCGCAGGTTGCCCGTATAGTTGCCCGCGATGGGAACACCCGTGGGCACTGCGGGGTTCACATAGGTGCTGACATCCTGGGCGGCAACCACGGCAGCCAACAGGCTGATGGTGGCGAGGGACAGCATGATCAAGACACTCTTCTGTTGTGTGGTGACGGCTGCGGCAGAGGTGAAAAGAAATCACAAAACCAAGAGGGCGACAATGAGTGAATGTGGCATGATTTGATTGAGCAGAATACCTTGATTAAATACCTCCAGCCATCGAGTCATCACCCTGGCTGCCGAGCAATGACAGGCACAAGGCCTGGTCGGTGAGCCCAGACGGAGTATGCCGCCAGATACATTGACTGAATGTGGGGAAATGCCCGTCGGCACACTTGCATCTACCATGCTCCTACTAGTGTGGAGATTGGGTTCGGCTCTATCGGGCTCCCCACGGGCCATGCTGCCCTGCTCAGAGTTTAAGCTGCACGATCGAAAATGTCATCATGCATGGGCCAACGCGGCACTGGTGGACTCCAACTCTGCTTGGCGCAGCTGGGCAGATCCGGGGGTGGCTGCCTCGCATGAAGAGGTTTTTTGGCTTCTCGCTACAACTTTCGACTCTCCGTGGATTCTACGTGATAGCTCACGCCCATCGGCTCCGGAGCTATGGTGTTGGACACATGAGCTGGTTCGCACTTTAGGCTTTGGGCAAAGCTTGCTCAACTGGGGATTGCGAGCTGGCCCCAAAACTACGTAGGTGGTGGGTTGCGGGAGCGGAAGTGGACGCGGCATTACTTGTTCTGGTGTCGGTCCGACAGACCCGTCGGGAGCTTGTTCCTGGTCATTGGTCCACCCCGCATGTTCATCATCATCATCGTAGATGTGGGTTCCACGGCATGAGCGAGATGAGCGGGGTGTGGCCATTTCAAGACGAGAGGCTCCTGTAATGCATCAAGCCACAGCTTGACTGCTGGTCATAAGGCTAGAGACCAGATCGGACATTCCGGATGGCACAGAGCAGGATTTCGCGAGAATGAAGGCGACAGCTCTGCAGGATTCACGCCATCAAGAGAAGATTTGAGCCACGTTTATGCAGCTCTAGGCCAGCAGCATCACAAAATGCTTCAGCCATCGCGGTCGAAGGCGAGGCCTTCATGCATGTGGCCCGCTCAGAAGGGGAAATGCTCGCGGAGATGCTGTATAAACACATGCCTGGCCATCTGAAGCTATACCCGAAATATACCTGGAGGTTGGAGACTAGCAGCAAGGTGAGCGAGACTGATCGGAGTGCGTGCCGAGAGAATGGATGTTTGGGCTTGTAGCAAGCGTCAGCGGGCAGATCCGCCCCACCTTCTCCCGCCACAATTAGACTTGCTCTAGATGGCTTATGCTCATTGTGGTTGATGGTATGCGAGCTGCCAGGAAAGCCAGATGACCTGGATCATCCTGACTCCAAACACAAAACCCAGAGGACGTCGAGTGACACTGGGCGGATAAGAGAAGTTTCAAAAAAGGCACGGCCGACTGCCCGGTTGAGCAACTTTAGATATGTCCAGAATAGATACGATAGGATGGTCCGCTGACGCTTTGGAGTTCACTGACGAACGATCTTATACCATATGTTCGGCCATTCATACAATGAGAGTTTCACAGCATGCCTAGTCTCTTAAAAGTCATGCTTGTACCATTCAGTATAAGTTCCACCAACCAACTATCACACAAGTCCTAGCACAGCTACCACAGCAACGACGACGACCCAATGTATACCAACACCACCGCTCAACCTTCCCCTTAAGCTTGCCGAACCACCACCAAGCGGCTCACTGCCCTCATAAGGTCCCACCATCTCGCCATATTGACCCCCGACATTGCCCCTCGGCCAGTACTCGCACACCAGATACCACCCCGTGCCCCAGCCGTCCCCCGCGGCACACTCTGCACGCGCGCACCCGACGGCCGTGGTGTTCTTCCAGACCAGCTGGCTGAAGTGGCCCGTCTGCATGCTGAACCCGTCGGCCGCGCCGTAGGGGTACCCGAGCTTCCGCTCGTCGCCCCACGCCGAGACGCAGCCGGATGCCGAGTGGCAGCCTATCGCCAGGTTCTCGCCGTAGGGCCCGCCAGAGTGCTCGAATTTGCACTGTGGGAGGTTATTGTCGTCGTCGTTGTTGCCACCTCCTTGCCTCTTGGATCTGCTGTTCGCATTTCCGAGGTTGTTGTTGTTAATGTTGTTGTTGTTATTGATGCGCCCAGGGTCAGGGGCGACCTCCTTGAGATAATCCGCCGCGAAGTCCTCGAGGGTCTTGTTCCAGACCAGATCCCGCGCGCCGTGCTGCGAGCGATAGTGGTTGCTCGTATCCAGCACTGCTGAGGTGAATGTCTTGTCGTCGGTGAGGTCGGGAGACACGGAGGGCGTTGGAGGAGCAGAGGTGATGGTGATTGTGCTAGTATGAGTGTCCCGGCGGCCAGGTTGTTGCGCTCCTACGCCTGCTGATGCTGATACATGCTGGGCAGTGGTTATAGCCAGCAGTGTCATGAGGATGTGGGTTGTCCTGGCCATGTTGTCTGCCTTCAGGTTTCGCTGGGTCGTGGGTATAATGGCAGAACTGTGGTGGGCTTTGAGGAGACAATATCCAGAAGAAGCTCGTCCCAGATGTCACAAGCACTTGTTTCTATTGTGCAAGATGGATCACGGAACAAAATAAACGAGCAAGGTTGTGTGCCAAGCAGGACAGGAAGACGATGGCAATTAAGGCGGCGTACATGAGAGTCCTAGATCCCAACTCGAAGCAGGCCACCACCCATCCCATACTGCACAAGCCCTAGGAAAACACGAGCCAGCCCACCCCAGATTCCCTGAAACAATGTTTCGGCTCGAGGATCGACACAAAAAAAACAGCGCTGATTGCTTGGACGTGCCAGGGGTCGTGACTCGACGGGATCAGCAGCTGAGAAAGCCTTGGTTTCCTTGCTTGCCTGCAGGAGAGAGGGGCCTGTAGACTCTGACGTGTGTGTCGTTCTGTGCTGGCAAGCAGCCTATCAGCGACCCTGGCTGGTGCAGGTTGAGGGGTCCGCTGTGACGTAGCGCGGCCAGCCTGCCCGGCCGCCCAGCGCGCTCGTTTATGGGGGGAAGGGGGAACCCCTGGCTGCGGTACAGCCCACCACCACCAACCATCTTCAGCTCACTCGACTACGCCCCGTGGTCAAATCGCAACATGTTTATCCATCCAAGGCTGTAGCCATCGTTCGTGCTGCTGGTGATACTCTTCCTACACAAATGCAGCCCCATTGACCCCCAGGACCTGCCCGCTCACCCACGCGCTGTCTGCGCCCGCCAGGAACGCCACGACCCCGGCAATCTCCTCGGGCGTCCCGAGCCGCTGGAACGGGCTCGCGGCACTGATCCCTTTGATCATGGCCTCGCTCTTGCCCTCAAAGAACAGGTCCGTCCCCGTCGGCCCGGGTGCCACACAGTTCACCGTGATCCCCTTGGGGCCCAGCTCCTTGCTCAGGCACCGCGAGATCTGCTCCACGGCGCCCTTGGTCGACGCGTAGAGCGCGTAGAGCGGGTTCACGGCGCTCGACCGCACCACGCCCGTCGAGACAAAGATGATCCGACCGCTGGTCTCTTTGTCTGAGCCCATGTGCGGCACCGCCTTTTGCGCGAGGAACAGCGGGCCTTTGACATTGAGCGCGTAGGTGCGGTCAAACAGCTCCTCGGTCGTGTGCGCAAGGTCCTGCAGCGGCATGATGCCCGCGTTGGGGACCAGCACGTCGATGCGCCCAAACTTGGCCACGGCCGCGTCGACCAGCTGCGTGATCCCCGCCACGCTGCCCGCGTCGGCCTGCACCGCGAGCGCCCGGTCGCCGCCTTGCCCTTCCCCCTGGCGGCCCGCTGCAATGTTGTTGAGCTCAAACACCAGGCTTTCGGCCGCCGACGAGTCCCGGCTGTAGTTGATGACTACTCTGGCGCCCAGGCTGGCGACCTTGAGCGCGATCGCCCGGCCGATGCCCTTGCTCGCGCCGGTGATGAGGACTACCTTGTCCTGCAGTGCGAGAGAGGCCGCCATCGTGTTGGTAACCGTGTTGGTAACCGTGTTGTTGTCGTTGTCGGTTGCGTTGCTTTGTTTCGAGAGCGTGATTGAAGCCAGCTTTTGTGAGACAGCCTGTCACTCTGAAGCGTCGGTAAAAGGTGACTTCGGAACAATGCGGACGGTTAGATGACCTCCGTGGCGCCGGTTTCGTGAGACTTGTAATGCGTTGTGTGTTTAATGGTCTGCCAATCGCAGTGTTTGAGGTTCCTACCAGAATGACTGTACAACGCTAAATCTCGAGGTGCGCTTCCCGTTCTTATAGAAATCTCGAAAGCAAAGTGAAAGTTTCCTATCCTCAGCGAACAAAACTCTGGAGAGGGAAGGACGGCCAGTCAGGTGTCCTCCGTTATCTCCGGCAGTGCAACATCCCCAAAACCCTTTTCCGCCCGCAACCCGATTCCCAGGTTGGCAGAAGGTGTACCCAAATTGGCATCGATTAGCAAAGATCCCTGTAGGCTGTCAGCTTCATCAGCCCCATGCTGAATCCCGCAGTTGGGTGGCGGGTGTCGTCATCACATGCAGACGCTTCCCTTCCGTTCGGAAGAATTCACGGCGTGTGAGATTTTAGTGCTCTGTTAAGCCCCCCGGGCAGGCGCACTTAAGCATTGCTGGTGCAGACTGTCATTGGGTCGCCAGGTCCCCGACCCTGCACTCTATTCCTCGGCTCCGAAGGGGCCCGCTTCACACATGACGGTGGCGTGCGCGCGGAGATAAGAACACGGGCTAATCGGCATCGACGGTCCTCAGATTGATATCTGTCCCTCGTGGCTTGGTCTCTCTGGGCGAGGCGAGTTCGCTTGCTGCTTGTCGCAGCTTGGCTCACTCAAGTTGCAACGACCGAGGTCACATCTAGACACCTTCGAACCCAGGCTGGGTGACGTTTCGTGAGTCGCACAGAATCTCACATGCAAAAGTCAAACGAGTGGGGGCATCATCGATTTGCCATCGATTGCAAATATATCTGAGTTCATGTTGGCTCAATGATGCTCGCTATAAGTACGAAGAAGATACAAAGAAGCTGGAACAATGGGCGGTCCGGGCGCGTCAACGATGACAGCCGCCAAAAGGTGGCCGCTATGGCTACTGGGCTCCCAAGGTAGCCAGCGCAGCTCTCAATTCTCTGATTGCCGTGGGCACATCCTCAAAATTCAAAGCAGATATCGCCCACTTGGCGTGCTTCTGGGCTTGCGCCATTGCCACGTCGTCGATAACCCCCGTGGCCACCGGCACCGTGGGGCCATGAGACCGAGTCGCTTGTGCCTGCGGTCGGTGGGCCGTGGGAACGACATTCGCGGGCGCCACCGGTGCTGATGGTTGATGAGCTGGAGGCGGTGCTGATTTCGCCTTGTAAAAGTCCTGCGGTGCTGACGGGGTATCTGGCTGGAAAGCCGGCTGGTCTATATCGACGTTGGGCCTCGTCGAGGGAGGACTGGGAATCATGGGCACACCAGGATCGTGACTGCTCGGGCTGGGGATGCCACCCGCGGGCATAGAGGGCGCAGACGGCAGCGAGAACGGAGGATCGTCTTCTTCGTATCCGGATGTCGACTTGGGAAAGTAACCCTCCGGCTCGGCAGAGGCTTGATCAGAGGGCAGGATTGGTGAGACTTGGTCGGGCGCCGGGGCCGAGGATGGCGGTGGAGAGGTTGGTTCCGATACGGGACCGGGGGATGGCTGTGGCGACGGCCTCATTAGCCTGTTGTAGCTCCCGTCGTCCGGCACGTCCTCGATCTGGACGGACCGAGGCTGCGCCGCATCACCGATTGCCTTGACTTCGGGATCGTTCGGATCCAGGGTGACTTCGAGCTCCTGCTCCTGAGCCGGTTCCTCCTGCTTTGGGTTTGACAGGTTCGGGTCTTCGCCGGCTTTGATGGCCTTGAGGATTCGCGCCGCGTTCCACTTTGCGTACTTGACCTTTTCTTGAGTCTCGGGCTCGGCTTGACCCCAAATGTTGGTGAGCTGGAAGAAGGTCGCAGCAGCCTCGAACGTGACGGCGGTTTGCCTAGGCGCACATTAGCGAAGAGCGAGGACTTGATGGAGCGCGGCGCAGCGCATACTGGGTCACCTTGTCGGCCTTGAGCGTCCGTTGGGCACGGTCGAAGGTCTCCTGCGCAAACTGCTCGACGTAGGCCTGACCGGCAAGGTCGTCGGTGACGGCGTCATTGTCGGCGTTGGCAGTCTTTGTCTGCTCGAGCTGGTCCATGAGGTTTGTAGTAAACTCGAGGCACTGCTGGTCGACATTGTGCAAGCCCTTGCCGAGGATCTGGTTTACGGCCCAGTAGAGACCTGGTGCGATGGAGGACGGGTCAGCGTGAAGTCTTCGAGGAAGTCTTCGAGGAAGCCGGAGGTGAGGCCGGAGGACATACACCAATATGATACGACTGGCTTCGCGGTCTCGAGCTGTCTCGCGCGAAGGATAAAGGGTGTGAGACCCGCGCCCTTGATGGGCGGGGGGATCTCCAACGCCATGACGGTATCGAGTTGCGCTTACGGCAGGTTGTGGATAGCGACAGTCGAGCTGAGTGGTTTTGGTATCGTGGCGGAAGCTGAACGGGTTGGCGGGAACCGCAATCAGTGTCGCGAATGGCGAAAGCAGAGGGTGCTGCCTGTGTCGTTGGTGGTCGTCGCAAAAGTGTCGCAAGTGGGAGCCTGCTGCAGCGGTTGCGTCAATGGAGAGGGAGCTCAGCTCAGGCAGGAGCTCCAGCTCCCAGCCACAGGCGGAGCTGATGACCCCTCGCCAAACCCCACAGTCAACGACTGACAACTCCACACCGGAGCATCTGAGAGCTCTCACTCACCGTGACACCCTCACCCGAGGTCTTGCAACCGGCCATAGGACTTGGAAATCAAGGCGGAAGCACCCTGTCTCCCTTGCTTGAGCGGTAGAAGACTGCAATGTCAGGTCAATTACTGCACAGTCCTACACTAGCTCCAACATGTACCACCAACCTGCATCTGCCATGCCGTCGCATCTGGAGTCTTCCAGTGGACCCCTGCCCCGCTCGACCTGCTTGCCAGTGGACTTGACCGAATCAGACGGCGGGCAGCATCCACCGTGGCCTCTTCCCCAATCGAGCTCCAAATATTTGTTCCCCCAGCCAGCCCATCCGCCAACCTCACTCTCCTCAGCGTCAGTCCATACCGGCCAACCTGGCATCTTCTCGTCTCTGCTGTGTCATTGCTGGCCACCAAAGTTATTATATCTGCTGTGCCCCTCCTGCGGCAGAAGCCCTTCCCACCCGAAGATACCTCCAATCTTCGTCGACGTCCCATTCCCACCCCGGAGCTCGCCCTCCCACTCCCCGAGACTGTCCTTCAACATGCAGAACCTCAACGCCGCCAGCCTGGCCGTGGCAGTCACCGCCCTGCTCGCGGCCCTGCCTGGTGCTCAGGCCGGCTTGTACGCAAAGAACTCGCCCGTCCTGCAGGTCACCGCCAAGACCTATGACCAGCTCATCGCAAAGTCGAACCACACCTCTGTAAGTCCCGTTGCCCCATGAAAGCATTGCTGCATGGCATGATGTCACGGGATCCATCGCACATGCGTACACACCCATACATGAACAGAAGCAGGTACTGACCCTCTGTTCAGATCGTCGAGTTCTACGCTCCCTGGTGCGGGCACTGCAAGAACCTGCAACCAGCATACGAAAAGGCGGCCAAGCACCTCGAGGGCATCGCCAAGGTCGCCGCCGTGGACTGCGACGCAGACGAGAACAAGGCGTTCTGCGGCTCCATGGGCGTCCAGGGCTTCCCCACCCTCAAGACCGTGCGGCCAGGCAAGAACAAGGGCTCCAAGCCCATCGTCGAGGAGTTCCAGGGACAGCGTACCGCCAAGGCCATCGTCGACGCCGTCAGTGACAAGATCAACAACCACGTCACGCGCGTCACGGACAAGGACTTTTTGAGGTTCCTGGCCAAGGACGACAAGCCCAAGGCCATCCTGTTCACCGAAAAGGGCACCACCAGCGCGCTGCTTAAGAGCCTCGCCATCGACTTCCTCGACGTTATTCACATTGCCCAGGCGCGCAACAAGGAGGCCGAGATTACCGAGAAGTTCAACATCAAGAAGTACCCTACTCTTGTGCTACTCAACCCAGAGTCCTCCGAGCCTCTTGTCTATGACGGCGAGATGAAGAAGGCGCCCCTGCTCAAGTTCCTGTCACAGGCTGGCCAGCCCAACCCGGACCCCCCCGTCAAGGCCAAGAAGGCGCCCAAGGACAAGAAGCCATCCTCGAGCTCGAAAGAGGCCAAGCCGTCCGAGTCCTCGGCTGAGGCGACAGAGCCGTCCGAATCGCCCGTTGCCGCCGAGAAGCCTGCCGAGGTCGTTATCCCTCCCCTCGAGACACTGGAGACTGCCCAGTTGACCGCAAAGTGCCTCAACACCAAGTCCAAGACGTGCATATTGGCCTTCGTGCCATCTGCACACAGCGGTGCATCTGACGAGGTGCTCGACATCCTAGCCAAACTCGCTCACAAGCACTCCACTCAGAACCACAAGCTTTTCCCCTTCTACGAGGTCGACATTGACGCCAACCGGGACGTCATCACCACTCTTGGCCTCCAGGGCGCTGCTATGATTCTCGCCGTCAATGGCAAGCGCAACTGGTGGCGCCAGTACGAGGGCGAGCTCACTACTGCCAACGTCGAGGCCTGGATTGACTCGATCCGCCTCAACGAGGGCAAGCGGTACAACTTCCCCGAGGGATTCATTGGCGAAGGTGCTGCGGCTGCATCGTCTTCCAGCACAGCCACCGAGGCGGCGTCTGAGGTGCCGACCGAGACCGTCATCGTCCACATGGAGGAGGAAGTGGATGTCCAGATTGAGCCCGAGACCGACGCAGACCCTTCGCTGGCAGGCACGATTCACGCCCAGCCAACTGCCGAGGAGAATGCCCACGATGAGTTGTAAGCTTGCAAAAAGAATTCTGGTCTAATCAAAACGTAGCGATCTGAGTTAGCACTTTCAGTGGGAGAAATGAAACCCGAGACAATCGAATCTTCTGCCTGCACTTACTTCGTGTGACACTGGTACTTCCGTGCGTGTTTACTCTGATGCAATGCCAATGGTAATTATGCAGCGTGGCGTGCCCCCCGATTAGGCATCGATATCCATCGCCATCGTCGCGCCCTTTTCAATCGTTCCCTCCGCCACCATCTTGGCCCCCTTGTCCCTCACCACCTGGTCCAGGAACTGCCTGATGCCGCCGCAGCCGTCGACCGCCGTGGCCATCATGCCCTCCAGCCTCGTGACCTGAACGCGGCTCTCGCAGACCAGCGCGACGACCTTGCCGCCCGCGCCGAGCGTGGCGAGCGTGAGGTGCGGCAGCTCCTGCTCCTCCTGGGTGTTGAGGTCCAGCAGCGGGTCCGCCGACTCGTCGTTGCTCGCGTACGACGAGGTGCTGCCGGCCGAGCACGCCACCAGGTAGTCGGTCATGGGGATGCCTGCGTCGACGAGGGCGAGCGTGGCCGCGTTGATCAGGCCCGCGAGCAGGCCGCCGTCCTGGCTGAGCACGTGCAGCGAGATTGTGATTGTCGACCGCGGGTACAGGTGTGCGTGTAACGTCGCCGCGAGGGACTTGGAGATAGTCGCCTGGAGTTCCTGGACACGTCTGGGTCGTGAAACTGTCAGTATCAAGACTTCTAGACGCGCTCGGGCGCCGCGTATGTGTGTGTGTGTGTGTGTGGGCAAGCCACTGCTTCGGGGAACAGCCCTCGATGGGCTGTTCCTCTCCTTGGGCAGGCAGCCTTGCCAGCGCGCGGAAGAGGGAATAACACTCACTTATCCGTCCGACTCCTCTTCTTCCGATCCACGGAGCTGAACCCAGCGACAACAACACTGACGATAATATCCGCCGCTCCGCCACCGCCTGAGCTCGTCGTCGCGCCGGCGCCAGCACCACCGGCTGCTCCTCCAGCACCTGCGCCGCCACCACCGCCTCCGCCGCCGCCAGCAACCCCGCGCTTCTTGTCCTCGTTCGGCCCCGACACCGTGCACATGATCTTGGTGTTGCCCATCTCGAGGTAGCTCGACCCGTCGGCGGCCGCCTGCGTCCGGATCTGCCCGTACATCCGGCGCAGCTCGTTCCAGCGCCGGCCGTCGACGCGCAGGAACGCAAGGTTGTACGTTGACGTGTCGAGTGGCATTTTTCCTTTTTCTTGTGGTGGTTCTTGTCGTGAGTTTTGAGGTTTCGGGAGTGTTTGTTGATTCCGCTGAAAAGGAGAGATTATGCAGTTTTGCCTCTTGTTGTCAATCGCTCGGCGGGGTATTTGTTGGACCAGGACAGGAGTCGGGGATGTCGACAGTAATGGCCTCGTCACCGGGAAAGAGCGTCGCTATGTGTTCACGTTTCGAGACTGGACAATTGACCTCGGGGATCTGTAGAGCTAACAATGTGAATGCTCGCCGGGACGACCCCATGGAATTTTTGGAGGGGCGATAAGCGTGGTGGGATCCTTCGTTATCGGATGCTGCGACTCCATTGTGGGCTTGCGCTCTTGCGCCCAATGACGTGGTTCAAATGCAACACCCGCCGGGGATGGGGCATCATCGTAATCACTTGTATACTTAGATATGATTGTCACTGACTATATAGCTCGAGCTTGATATTTACTATTGTCTGTATAAAACCGACAAGAACTCAATAAGGGTCTCATGGCATAAACGAAGGGACTTTCTAAATCTCGTGGAGCAGACATGACAGTAAACTGGCCGGAGGGTGCAAACAGTGTCGCTATGCCGTCGTCACGACGTTCCTCCTTCCATCAGTGCTAGCTATCGGAAGAGGAGCGTACATATTGAGCACCCGGCGTGGCTCTGGCTCGTCGGCGTCCGTCCAGCCCCTTTCTGGGCCCCAGGTCACTTTGAGGTGATGCGATTTGGCCACCTCAATAAGACGCTGAACAAGAGTCCCAGATTTCTTCACGCTAGACCACGCATCGAACTCAACGCGGTCTACCCAGGGCATGTCCTTGAGGACATTTTCGAGCAGACTCTGCGCAAATCCTTCAAAGAATTCGTTGGGTTGGCGGAAGCCGGAAAAGGTGTCGGTGCCGGGGTCGCATTCGACGAATACTGTAATCTTCCGTACGTCGGTACAATCAGCCAGTCCGAGATCCGGGTTCACGACCCATCCACGAGGCGGCTTGCTCCAACCGGGGCCCAGCCGGAGCTCCAGAGCCGTCAAGCTTTGTCGCTGACCAGGTTTCAAGCGAGCAAGCAAAGGCTTCTTGGTCTTGAAAAATCGCCCAGGATGGGTCGGAAACAGCCGGACAGGATGTGTGCTATAGAAGCAGTGAGAAGCTTCCCGGTAGAATGTGCGGCAGGTCCGTAGAATCGCCAGCTTTTGGTGTACTCTCTTGTAATTGAGCGGGTCCAAGTCGAGGACGTGACCCGTGTTGGCGAAATGGTATTTGTACACCTCGACTCGCAGCTCATAAGGTAGGTCGAGGAACCGGAAGGGCTGCGGAGCCGCAGGCCGTGGCTTCTGTGCGTTTGCGATGGGGATATCGTCCGTCAACCCGGCTATTGTGAGCTTCTCTACGGCGCCTAAGATGTCGCTCTGTTGGCTGACGCCACGAGGAATCCCAGAATGCCGCGACTTCGAGCCAACTGCCCTTGCAGGCTTGACTTGAGTAGATGATCGAGGCATTATGGTGGGCTATCAGGGCGGGGTGCAAGTGGAGGCGTCGGGTGTCACCGCCGATGTCGCCGGAAACGAGCCTTCTCGACCAGTGAGCTGACGCGCTCCCTTGATCTGTGACGAGATTGTTCTAAGCCGTTGAGTGTGCGGGATGCCGCGGTCGGAGGATCTAGCGATGTCTTGGGAGGGACACGGACGGGGCAGGCTGCCTTTGGTCGGGTGCGAGGATTGAAGTCGAGGCCGGTGGCGCCATTTTGCTGATCTTGGACCACGGAGGATGGTTTCAGATTAGATGCTCCGAGAGATCATCTTGCCGACGCATTGGAGATTCGCGGGAGAGCAAGAATCTGACAAGTATTCAGATTGCGGATCGTGGTCTGATGGTGTGTTGGATCACTGTCGTCATGCGTTTCACCCCCGCAGACAAGACGAGAAGAGGTGCGAAATAATGGGAAGGGACCTGCGGGTGCTTAAGTCAGCAAGCATGATCTGTGAGAGGCGCCTCATTGTCCAAGTACGAAATAGGTGGGCCTGGCCTCAGATGGCTGACTCAGGCAGCGAACCCTTGCAAACTGTTTCCCCTGGTACACCGGCAATCAAACACCATCTCGGCACTTTCACCACCTGAGTCCTGACCTCGGCGACGAAGTAGACTGCTTCAAACCAGAAGACTTCCCGAATTGCGCACCAGCGTCGAGACGGTACTTCAAGGTAGCTTGCGGCCCAGCAAGCAAGCAAACAAGCAAGCCAGCAATCAAGCGGGTATCTCCTGCTGATTTTCATTGCGTGCTAGGAACCAACTGCAAAACAAGGCACACTACTAGCCACTGGACCACGCCGGTAGTTGTGAAAAGGAGCTCCTAATGGAAGAAGTGAAGTATCTAGGTGCCTGCAACAAGCTGGACACATCCTCTCAGGCTTGAACGTCACTCCAGATCTCCTGATCGTACGCGAGTTCCAATACCAAGCTGACAGGGACCGTCAGCGCCAAATGCCTCTCTCATGTCACACTCCTCGAGACAGGCCGCCCGAATTTGTCCTGTGCTGCCCCAAGAAACAACGCTTCTACCTCTAGCCAGACTGCCCTTGGGGTAGTGATGGCTTCCCAACACGCAACTCGAAGCAGCAACCAAGGTTATGGCTGCGATAAAGCATCTCTACCAGTTGTGTTGCCCAGCTAGGTTTAAACCATTCTTTCTCACTGATCTTCTGGCATTCCCCGTTTCTCGAACCCAGTCACAAGGTAACGGCGGTCTGAAGTCATGCCCACGACAGATTGCTCTTGCGTGGAAGGCTGACTTGATCCCGATCAAGCCTACACAATCGCAAATGGGAAGACCCGTGGGTCCTTGCGACACCCATGCACGACCCTACTCACGGTGTGTCCTTCGCAAACATCACCATGTGACCGACCGAGCCCGGCCTGCAGGCACTCGCAGCGGCCCGAGCCGCATCACACAATGACTTTGGTTCAAGCATCCCCACAGTCATGGGTGAAGCGAGTTAAAGTGCCACTGAGACAGGAATCGTCCCGAGTGGCCTTCTTTTCAACCCCGACCCTTCGGGCGGCTGTGGCTGTCCGGCATAGACGCTAGAGGTGACATTTTCGCCATGGCGAACTGGTCGCCAGCCCCTGTCAAAACACTCGTCAAGGATGACCCTGTCCCAGCTTTGTTCGTCGTGGAACAATAGCGTCTCGCCAAGCATACCGGGCCTTCGCCAGTCCCTCGCTCATCCACCATGAGACACAAGGCACACCTTGCCTTCACATTACTTTCATCTCCCTAGAGTCCAAAGCACAGCACCATGTCGCCCGTGACAGGAGACACACCGCTCACTCCACTCTCGGAACATTCCGGTCGCATGCCTCACGAAGCTGTCCAGGCTAACTACCGTGGAACAGTGGTGGGCAGGCCGGAGGAAAACACGTCTGCCCAGCTGTCTACTTGTCAAGTCGGAGCGACATTTTGGTTGTGGCTGACCAGGGGTTGGAAAAGCCAACGAGGTGGCCTCCCTGAGTCGACATTCTAGACCACAACTGTTTCTGCAACCACATGGATCTGCAGGAGCTATACAGGACCACGTAAATGTGGATACCACGCCACTCACGGCAAGTTCCGTGTCCCTTGGATACAAATACTGGGTCGTCACACAGGCATGGTCATTCCTTGCGAATCATGATGTTAGCCGGAATCACAGACTGGGATGCGCCTGCCGGTACTCCGAGGCCAAGTCATGACACAGTACGAGCCACTGGGCTTAGTGCCATTACTAGACACACATCCCCAGCTAGCCCTGGACATCAGGCTCGGCGCCTCTGTCTGCTCCCCCGACCACGCTGTCCAAGACACACACAGTGACCTGCTGCTCAATTTGGAGCCGGGGGAGGGGTTGACACTAAGGCTGGTCGGTAATTCGCTAACCGAATAGATAGCATGTTGCGATCCACAGGTCGAGACGCCATTTCTTGCGACCCATGTATCGGCAGCCATCCCATTTTATCATAACTCACAACGTTTCGCAAGCGGTGGTGTGAGGCTCTCTCACTCCACGACGCAATCAGCTGTACACCTCAGTCACTCGGAAAACGCCATTTTACGGATAACGACGGCTCGGGGTAATAGGCAACAGTCCCTCGCCTGAGCAGGTTTCATTCGAGAAGCTTGCTAGGGACGCTACCGAGACATCACACTAGCGCCCACTCCATCACCAGTATGGGTGTCTACTACGGCGCGCGGGCTTTGCGAGAATCGTGACGTTTAGAGGAGATTATTTGGCACCTTGATGGAATTAGACTGAGCTGCAGATCTCGACAGCGCCATGCCGCCCGGCCGGCCTTCGAAAAGGACTGGCGAGTCAGCAGACGGCAACTCATCGGACGAACACAGCATCAAAGTCAAGACGCAGCGGACACAACGGGGATCGACGCAGAGCGACTTCTCAAGCGTGGTCAAGAGCAAGCTTCAGTCGTACACCCGTACAGGTCAAGCATGCGATCGTTGCAAGGTGAGCAAAATCGAAGTACCTCGCTCTCAAATCATCGTACCAGCACGCCGGTTGGTTCCCTTCGATTTTGGGAGCGGCCTTGCCCGTTGGAGTAGTATGACGGATCTGGTCACGCACCTACCCGTGGAGGCCAGGCAAGGGTGAATCCTGCACTGGCCTCTCGGCGCCATCTTTTCTCAGATCATGTTGTTGATCCGGAAGATGACATGGCTCAACTCTCCCAGCCGCGCTGCAGCACAATTTCTGCCTTTAGATACCACGACTCTCGACAATTCAAAGAGTAATCTAACATGGCAATGTTGATCAGGTCCGCAAAATACGTTGCGATGCGTTGCCCGAAGGGTGCTCGCATTGCATTAGTCAAAACTTGGAATGCTATGTCACGGATCGCGTCACCGGTCGCACGGAGCGCCGTGGCTACACACAGGAGCTTGAGCGAGAGAAGGCAGCCATGCTGGCACAGATCCGGACGCTCGAAAAGATGCTCGAAGCGAACGGAATACATGCGGCGCGGTTCCAGTGGCCTCAGTCCTTTGACTCCCCAGGGCGCTCGTCATCGCGCTCACAACTCGACATAAGCAACCAGGACGTTTCCCAACAGGCTTCGCACCTCACGACGCCTATGGGTCCTTCCTCTCCCTTTACCAACAGTGAGAGCACTTCTTTGAGTGTTACTCAAGACGCCAATCCAAATCGACCACAGCTTGTTGCATTCAAAAGTTTGACGCTGTCCATTCTTGGAAATGACATCGATCTCGGCGCGTTCGGAGAGACTGATCTCCCAGATCCTTCGCTCCGCGTCCCCGACGTGCCCCACCACTATTCTCCAAGCGAGAAGATGATTTTGCATATGATGCTCAACCTACAGCGTCCCACAGATGTCGAGCTTCCACCGTGGAGTGAGGCACTCCGGTATGCGGAATGGTGGTTCGCAAATATCTATCCGTTCCTGCCCATTCTGCACCGGCCAACCTTCCTGTCGAATCTCAAACTGCTTTACGAAGACCCAGCATCGCCTTCATTAGCGCCCGCGGATATTGTTAGCATCCACGTGGTGTTCGCGACGACATTGCGTCAAATCAGCTTTACCTCGCTCGATCACTCGAAGCGACCACATCTAGTCGCATGGTCCGAAAAGCACTACCACTATGCTCTTGGGAGATTTTCTGAGCTTGTCGCATCGCGGAATCTCCAGGATGTTCGAGCAATTGCACTCATTCTTTTCCACGCGACGAGATTCTCGAAGCCTAGGGTCAGTGCCTATGTCGCAAGTCAGGCCATATCCCTTGCAATGGAACTGGGTTTGAATCGAGCACGCCCCTCGCACGCCCGCACAGGCAGGCTGGAAGAGGAGATGCGCAAGAGATTATGGTGGGCAATCTTGTGGTTGACAATCACGATATATGGTCGCACGGGACGGCCGATGCCGATAGGATTACATGATATGGACATCGATTACCCGGACGCATTGTCCGACGAAGTTCTCGAAGAGCAGAGCGGCAACACTATCGGAGTTCCGGCCTGCCCTTTCCTCGTCGGTCTTTGGATTATGAAAGCCACGAGGATGTACCTGCATATGTACTCCAGCATATACAGCATTCGATCCAAATCATCCGCATATCTCGTCTCGCTACAGGCACTTGAACAACAGCTCAAGAACTGGCAGGATAGTCTCCCTGATAGTCTTCAGCTTACCGAGGCGGATGTCGCAGACGCTGCAGTCAGCGACTTCCACGCACTATATATCCACTACACCAGCCTAAATCTGCAGCTGTACTTGCGCCATCCCATGGCGCTGCCGTCCGAGGATCCCGCGCTCCTGGACAGCACTCTGCAGGCCAACGAAGAGAACTCGAAACGCCTGCTCAGGTGTCTCCTGGCCCTACACAAAATTGGATGGCTTGAAGCCACATGGCTTGCTCTGGGGACGTATACGAGTGGTGCCTTTCTGCATCTGACGTCTTATTGGCACAGAAGGAATATCCTGAACGAGCATGATATGCTTGACCTGCGGCGAGACATGATGTCCTGGTTCATGATTATCAATGAGACCAGCCAACTTCTTGGTGAGGAATAGCACGACACAACAAGGCTGTCAGTATTTGAGACTAACAGTTGTATACGTATTTGCAGACAATGGACAGAGACTATCTGCTGCGATCAACGACATAATCCAACGCGTGCTAACGTGGATCGAACATGACTATCACCGACTGGCAAACGATGCCCGGTCCTTACACACACCACGAGATATGGCCGCCAAGCGCACAGCTCAAGAACCAGGACAGATACCACATATGTCCTCGATGGTATCCAATCAGCGCCTGGCAGATTCTTCGGGCAGGGGCAACGTGACATACGATTTGCCCTCGAGGACTGGCTTCTATCCAGATCCTTCTGTATCCGACCCCGGGGTGTACGGCCAGCCCATGGGCTATCCAGGCACACAACTGCAACCTCCGAATCCCGGGGCGCCCTATAATCCTGGTCACCCATTTACTTACGAGGGACAGATTAGAATGGAACCACCGCATGGCCACGAGCACAGCTCAGGGCCGACTCCACGGACCGGCGCCGCAATGGACCCGTATGCGCCGGGCGGGGCACCACCACCAATGTCCCAAACCTCGCAGTCCATCATGTGGCGCCCTCCAATATCGACGACCAATACACACGATATCCAGGCAGGCATGGCGAACCCGAGCGGAAGCGGGCCTCATGGAGGCGCAACATGGAGCGACTGGAGCACGCCCGTCCCTGGCAGCCAAGAGCACCGTTATGGGTCGCATTCTCTCGTGGGCATGGGTCCGGGCCCGCGACAAGAGACGCGCCAGGACAGTGGCATGCCGGTAGGGCCTGAGATGGAGATGAACATGGGTCCTGGCGTGCCTGTTGCCGGGAACGAGATGCCTTGGCCCGGATTGATGTACCCAGCAAGCTCGGAGCGGCAGCAGAGGCCGCAATGACATGATGAAGGAGCCATAGCAGAAGCGAATAATGATGAACTCTATTGCCGTTTGACTATCCTTTGTGAGCCCATAAGGCTTTGATACTAACGCTTTCCCCGCCGAGGTGCTTGGAGAATTCCTGTCCAAGCTGAAGTGACAAGTAGTGGTGACGATCACAAGCATGGAAGTGCTATGCTTTTTCTGCACTAAAAGTATCCACGAGCACCAACGAAGCTTTCAGCTCAGATCGTGGGACTTGCTCCACAACCTTCAGCCCATACCAGAGAGCCTTGTGGGCTCCGAGAAGGATAGGGCTGTCACACACTGCGCGCTGGTGTCTAGTACTAGACAAAACTGTGTTGGGGCCACGGGATGTGATCATTGTGCCTGCGGGCGGGCGAGTCGCATCAATCGGAGCCAGGTCCGATGGCTGATAGGTTCCAGTGGATCGGGAAAAAACTAGGCTAGGATAGCTGCTAGAAACGCATGGGGGGAAGGGGGGAGGGGAGGGGGGGTGAGATGTATATTGGAACATGGGAGTGGAGAAGAAAACGACACCTTTCACACTCCTTCCTACTGTACCCATGCATTTCTTTGTTTGCCCGACCCAAGCGCGCGCCCTGCAGGCTGAGGATCCCCAGCCTAGAGCTGGGCGCATGCGTGCCGTCGTCTCTGTGGTCTTGTACCGCAAAGCATGCGCACCTCAGCAGGTCTTTCCAAGGCGTGGACGTAGGGAGAGTCAGGGTCATGAGCCAACACACATGATTTTACCTTGAGCTTTTTTTTGTTTTTAGCTGCGACATCCCTGTGTGAGCTGCCCAGGTGTCATGCTTTCCACTACCCTCCAGGGGCTTGGCGAACTCTAAGTTCTGAGTTAGCCTAATGAATCCTTACTATTATCTGAGCGGATGTGATGTGTGGCGCACAAACATCTCTTTGACAAAACGTCCTCCGCAATCGCCTGCGATCCCAAAGCAAGCAGCTGAGATCGCAACGCCGCGCGGAACAACGACTGCAATCGCAACACATATATGAAATATACGTGCATACACCAAAAGAGAGCCCAGGACCAACAACAACACGTCATGTCAGAGACTCCTCGGCTGCTATGTAGGTGGACCCAACCACGCGCCTGGACGCGCCCCCCTCCATCAGGGCATATCCGTGGCATTCCCGGGCGGCACGTTTCCGCCTCCGCCAGATCTGGACTTACTTTGGATGGATCCGTGATCAGATTTGCCCGTTCCATGCGCGCGTATACATAGGTGACTAAGCGTTACTGGCTCCGTTAGTCACAACAAAACATGTCCTCCGCGGAGCACGTCGGTCGAGCACGTGCGGCCACCTACCTATTCTCACCGACCCGCACCGCCAGAGGGAGGGGGTTCCACGTAAACACATTGGAGAGTGCCCTGGCCTGGTCTTTTTTCATGCCCAGTGGCCCGCGAACTGCTGGCCCTGGACCCTTTGATGAGAGGCTCGCAGCAATCTGAAACGAGGCAGGCAAGGGTAATATGCAAGCGAAGCTCAAGGTCAGCAGCAGGGAGAAGGGGGGGGGGGGGGGGGGTTGCTGTCAACGCAGGTCGGTGAGCCAGACAGATCTCGTGGGTCCGCGGCATCGTGGAGCTTTGCTGAGCCCCCCCTTCCGCCTTTCCCCCCTGCCTGCCAGGCCTGCTTGCGCCATGGCACGAACTACTGGGGCCTTCAGTCAAACCCACGTCAAGCCTCGGGATATGTGTCGATTCTCAGAAGCCCGTGTGCCACGCTAGCGGCTTCGAGGAATGGGCTTTCCCACTGTCTCTCTCCCCCCGAAAGGTCTAGCATTGCATCCCAGGGCAGGGCAGGCTGTTAGGCTACGGGCCTACGGCAAAGGGCCTGTATGTGGGCCGGTGGTCCATTGGCTCCGAGGACGTCTCTCACGTACGTTGGTCAATTAATATCAGATCGGATTAGGCATATGTCCGTCGTCAGAAAGCAGCGGGATGCAGATTGAGTGTGCTGTAGTCTCGGACGAGCTCGGACTGGTCGTTCACCACCACGCCGCCTCTCTGCAGACTTGGCGCGGCCAAGCAGGAGAACCACCGCGCACAAGTGGAAAGCAGGGCGACACCTAGAGGAGACCAAAATATAAAATCGGAACTGTCAAAAATAAAATTTCCAAAAAATTGGCAAGCTTGGACCGGCGTGTGGTGGTCAGGCGGCGGGCCTAGCGTAGTCTTCCCCCCCGCCCCGTCACAACCTGTACCCTGGCTGGAAACGTATGCAAGCACGGCCAGCGACATCCAGATTCTGAAGGTGCTTCTCTCGGACCAATCAATGCGTGGGAAAAAACGCCCTTGCCCACCCGCTGGGATGGACGTACCAATGAGGGCCAGCCGGGGCGGTCGACCGGAGCCGGCCCGGATCTTGGGGGTTCTCCCCCCCCTCTGTGGGTGTGTGTGTGGGCGTGTGTTTCCTACCCAGTTAGGACAAAAGTGCCTGCCTGGGCAGATCAACCCGTTGGGCTTCCAGATTGCCTGGCTGGGCACCGACCGGCCACATGCATGGCAGGCGGGCACAGCACAGCACAGGTCCTACGGTAAGTACAGTGGTCATATTCCATCACCATCACGCCAACAATATCACGGACTCTGTCTGGGTCAAAGACTCGCGAGACAAGAGCGATCACGAGACGGCGCCTGCCTCCCGGAGAACTCGGCCTGTCGCGCCATCCTGAGTGTTGTTCATGAAGTCGTCCCAAAAGTTCTGGACGATGCTTGCCGGGCGATCATTGACCCAACCAGCGAGGGCACATTATTTTTCGACAGCGGTCAGGGCTTTCAAGGCCCTCCCCCCATCCGTCGTCCTCCCTCCCTCCCCCTTTGGGGATGTCGATCATCATCGAGCAGGGTCGCCCAAGTCGATTGCTTTTCGACTGCGTATGTAGGGTTGAGCTGGAACGGGCGTGGGCGCGCGCGCGTGCGCACATCAGCACATCCGCACAGGGAGGGTGTGGGTGCGAGGATCGCAGCAACCATGTCCAACGAGCTCCATACAGTATCATGTATCTGTGCGGCGCTGTCCAGGTACCTCACGGGCACGTACGCAACGCCCGCCGGGGGGGGGGGGCGGCCCCTTCAGCGGCAAAGCAAATCGTGCCAGGGGTTACGGCTGCCCAAGTCGGGCATCGATAGAGCGAGAAAACTAATTTATTAGCTTGCCACGGCGGCGGCGGCACACTGGACAACCGATAAGGAGGCGCCGCCACAGCTGTCCAGGTTTCATTCTGGCTGTCTGTCCAGGGCCTTCATGTTGTGCATCGCCCCAAGGTAGTATTCCGATTCGCCTACCCCGCGTGTACCGCGGGACACTGACGGCGGTTTCCATGCTGCTGCTACATTATCAGAGTTGCAGAGAGAGGTGCGCGAAAAGCAAATAGCCAGGTGCCGTCTGTCACGCCTATGCCGGGATCGATCCAACGTGCAAACCATCGCGTCCTTGCTTCAAAGCATCGCGGATAATTAGGCGATACAATACGATGGGGATCCCTCCCCAATGTTGTATGTCTCTGGAAATATTGCATTCACTCGTGTGCGTCCCACTTGCGAAGGGGCGGCCTTGTGGCAGCACCAGGCATGCTCGGTATCATGCCATTCATCTTTCTTCTCTCGACCATTCGAGGCCGTTGTCTTGGAAGATGGACTGGAGGCCCAAAAGGTATGTTCCAGGCCATCGACACACCGCCGCTGCTCCAGTGCCAAGAAATCACGCGGTCTCGTTGGTCACGATCAAGTCTCGTTCTTTCACGATCTGCAAGGGTCCTTGGGTTTCAGAATAAGGATCGCGCGAGTGGCGCCTTGCTTTTATTTTCTTATTCCCTTGTTGGTTCTTGCCCCCCCTCCCCCCCTCACGCGGGGCGAGGCTGTGGACAGAATAAACCGGACAATGTAGATCCATGCTGTACAGCACCTGTTCAGTTTATTCTGTCCACAGCCTCGCGGGGCATCAGGCAGGCAGGTCAGTGTGAGTCCGTCTTGGTGTTGGTGGCTGTGATCCTTGTGTCAGATCCTGCACATTGGTTGCCAAAGCAAGGGCTCTGGTTTCTGTGAGCTGGTGGTTGCTTGTTTTCTCCCAAATGGGCGTGTGCTTCCGGCCCGTAGCCGGAGCTAGCTCCCACGGGGGCGCGGGCTGTCACACAACGGATTCCCGAAAGGGTTCTTGACCTCTGCCATTGCCATTGCCGTCCTGCCGCACCTACCTCCAGGCCTCTCTGCTCACCGCCCCTGTTGGGTCAGCGCGGATTCTGAAGGGCCAGTCAGAACTGTGCTGGCGAGAGTGCTGTCCATCACGGCGCGGGACGTGTTCTGGTGAAATAAGCGAAGAAGATAAGGGCCGTTCAACGAGCGCTGCTTTGGACGTGGGGGTTAGGAGGGCATCGCAGAGCCGAGTCTCGTCGGAGGCCCAGGGGGGCTCACGTTGGCCGACCACATTCCATGCCTGAGGGCCAACTTATTCCCGGAGGACAGAGTGAAAAGCTGGTTCCATGTCTCATTTCGGGATTTGAAGGATAAATTCCTGCCAAGGCGGGAACTTTTCCAAGCAATCAGAGGCCGGCCCTTTGGTGACACTAACGCAGCCTTTGCCCCTCATAAAGGATGACTCCCTCCGCGCGCGTGGAGAGAGGGGGAGGGTAGGCTCCTTGGAAGGGGTGTCGGTGTAAAAAGGACGCACCCTTGGTGGATCTTTGCCAGTACAGTAGCTCGCCGCCCTGGTTTGATGGCTTCCTTGCCGTTTTATGGGGGGGTGTATATGCTGATGTCCCTTCCCATACATTGGTCCGCCCCGCGGGAGATCAGTCATGCACATGTTAAACATGATCAAGACGACGCCAACGAGCATGGCCCGAGGAGCCGCATCCCGGCAAGCAATATTCGGGTATCGGAGCTGCCGCCGTTGGGCGTTGATCTGCAGCAAATCCCTGGCTGGGGCTTCAGAAGTGAAGCCCCAGGCTGGTCAGGCAGGGTTTGAAGGTCAGCAGGTGGAATCAATGTTGGAAGAAGGGGTCGGCCGAACTTTGCTACGCGAGTAAACCATAGTCGGCGGTTTTCACCTGAAGTCTTTCATTGTTGCGGTCGCAAACCAGTGCACGTAGCCTGCCGAGGAGACTGGCAGAGGCGGCTGTTATTACCCATGATTGCGGCTCATTTACGTTTGCACTAGCTCATATTCGAGCTTGAAACAGTAACAATGACAGCAGAAGCATGACAGACATAGTGACGACAACCTCTTCTGGTGGGGGACGCCGCTACACGGACGGGTTGCTCGCCCAGACTCCCAATCTCAAGGGACGCCCTGCTCGAATGGTTCCTCGTCTCTCGGACCGTTGGGCAGGGCCTGGTCGCATGGGCCGAGTGGTATGCAGCGCTGCGAGCTCGCTCTCTACTCTAAAGAGAGTTCTCACCCTTTTGTCTGGCGCATTCTCCGACGGGGCTCCGTCCCGCCAAGAGCATGACAGCCACCGGCCCTACACCCCTCCTTGTCTATACGAGTGGCTCCACAGCTCGAGAGGCTGAAGGTTAGCGTGGCATGTGCTCCTGGCAAACAGCAAAGTCTGAACCTTGGAGAGAGGCTTGAGAGGGGCCACACGAGAGCGTATGGCGTGCCGAGGACGCGACGATGTCCATGCACCAGAGGCCTGTCAGACGCAGGCCCGTCCATTCATCTGGCGCAAGACCTGGACCCTGTACAGTGTTTAGGGTTTACTGGCAATGGGCGCAACCACGGCTTGTGGCTAAACTACATGGGTCGCTGTCGTGGACAAGGACTGACGAAGAGGGGGCTGTGGGAGAAGGGAGTGTAATTAGTGATGTACCGTGTCGATTTGCACGGGCCTTGCACTTTACACCCAAGCCACAAGAACTGCTTCGTCTCCAAGGTGCAATGGTCCAGCCACGCCCCATGTGGCTTGCTGCGTTTATCTTCGATTGACGTGATGATACATACTTGGACTGAATACTCCGGATAGCAATTCACGAGTCACCCACGACCTCAAACATTCATTCGGCCACAACGCGCTAGTCTGTCAGACGTTCGGAGTTTTTTGGGGGCCAGCTGCTGGCAGCACATGGGCACCACTCTGCGGCTGCATCGCTTAGCATGCCTGCGCCGCCGATGGCAAGTTCCGTCTCGGGCCGTGGATCGTAACGAAACCCCTGGCAGCCGCGACACGTCATTAGAGCCCAAGCATTTGCAGCAAGACGAAAACGCCAAAAAAAAGAATCAGGGAACCCGCTGTGGTGATGCTTCTTGCGTGCCCGGGCGCAATCCACGACGAAAATGCGACCAAACTGCCTGGATGGGTCCAGATGAGACTATACTCCAACCGAGCCATGTTATAATCTCACAGGGGCGGCCCCTCGCGCCACAACGTTGCTTCCCAACCTCATCGACTACACATCGTCACAACCATGGAGCCGACAATGAGGCAAGCATTGGAGAGCCAGAGACGAGGGTCAAATTCAGACCGAAAAGTTCCAACGAGGCGGTCTGTCTGATCCCTTTTTGATGGCTGGGACGGTCCACTGGCGGCGTCAGGCGCAGGTATTGAGCCCCAACTTACTCAATAGTCAACCGGGAGGAGGAGTAGACGCAGAGAAAGCTGCTCCACCATGGCTGAGGATCCCAAACGAGGCTGCCGTCGCCTCGAGACGACCGCCGCTTTATCCTGGTGGTGGGTCTGCTCTGTTGAAAAGAGTGGCATTGTCACGATAGGAAGCCAGCCCGGGCGTCTTGGCGGTATACATGGCATCGCCAGCTCTGCAACATGAGCCCCATCTTGGACGTCGACAGCGGCATCGGCATCGACATCGGCGTCGACTCTGCCAATGGCATCACATCACGGGAAATGAGGCCCAGCCAGCCCGCCAGCCTCCCTTGCGCCAACAGCGTGCTGCAGCAGCTCCATGCTACATTCACACGCCGCGCGGCGGCTGCAAAAGCCAGGGTTGTTGGTCTTTGGTGATGCTGCGTACATCCGCCTTCCTTTTCCCAGGCATGCACACTCGGTCCTTGCCAACACTGCAGGTCTGTGTGGGCAGGATACTCCGAGACAGCAGGCCAAGTACCGCGCGTATCCCGGGCCGAGACGAGGACACAAGAAGGACCACATCTGCCGACCCTCATGCGGCTCGTGTCATATTAGGGACACGCCAACAAACACCGAAAGGAGCAGCCTTCCCGAGACCCCGGTGCTGACGCATCTGGCAAGCACGAAGCCGGGCCTGCCTGCCTGCCGCATCCAGCCTTGTCTTGACAAACGGCATGCTGCTCGCCCTTTGCTTCTTGGCAGATTTTTCGAGTGGGGGGGGCACGTGATATGAAGATATTCAGACTCCATCCGGTGCTTGTGTATACTCCATGAGAGCCAGGGGGGCTCGCGAGCGTTGACAAGGTTTGAGCTGACATATTCCGGATGGAGCTGTGATGGTTGGCAGGTGTCACTTTACTGAGGGGAGTGAGTGTCTCGTGTGGCAGAGCAGCAAGGAATGGTTTGATGCCTGGAGACAGTCGCATGACCACCTTCGACTTGGGGATTGCGCGTCTCAATGGAACTTGCCGAAGATCCGGTGGAACTTGCCGCAGGCCCGGTCAAATATCAGCACAGGTATGAGTGCGTTGAGGTCAAGTCAGGCTCTCGGTTGAAGGGTCACTCAAGCCCAAGACGGTGCCCACTTCCTTCTGGCTGAGGGCTGTTCAATATGTGAGCATCAAGCTTTGAGGTGCTTGGCGAACCGGTATTATCATTACATCTGGCAGTGTGGCTCGCCGGCCATCATATTTTATAGGCGAAATAGCGAGTCCATAATCGCAACGCCCTGGCTGTCCTCTCAGGCCGGAATGAATTTTGCTAGAATAGCTTCAGGCAGACTTTATCAATGTTAGTTTTCCTTGCGCCCCTTGCTTCGAAGTTGTCCCAGGCATAGTGCATAACAATATTACTGATAACAATGGCGAACGGGACAGGGCTCATGCTAATTGTACTGCAGAAGGCACATCCGTGGCTTTAGCAGGAATATCTCGACAGCCTCGCAACACGTAAGAGATTCTGTAATCTCTTCTATCAACCCCTTCCCTGACCCTGCCCGCCGAAAGTCTCCCGGATGGCTTCCGCGCGGTATGTATCACACCGAACCAGTCGTGCAACCCCACAAGTGTCTAGGCGAATGCTACCTTGCACGGGCGCCTTGTCCGCCGCCAATGTCGTGTTATATCATCATGACCGCCGTACGAGGCCCTGCTCAGGGTAATCCATGCATAGTACACCATTGGGAGCAACAGTAATAGCATTGAACCAGCTTACCCTCGCAAAGCTCACCTGCACGAAATTGGGCACAAATGGTAGCACATGTCTGGGACGACGGATCCTTCTACACGTGGCTGGGGCGCGGGTTCCGATACGTGGCGGCCGGATTGGAGTACAAGGCTCTCTCAGCATCCACCAGCTGTGGCAAACAAGTTGTAACTGCGTTCGCCTCGTCTGTGAAACTGTGCCCCCTTCGGATGTGCGCACGTGGATGTCCAGTGGGAGCCGGTCCACTGCCACGAGCTCCGTCATGTACCACAAAGGGCCGAAGCTGGCGGTTTCCTCGAAGCGCACGACCTCGTCACTCGTGGCCAACCATTGTGCCTCACATGCGGAGCGATGAGAGGCATGGCGTTGAGCATCGTGAAGCTTGAAGCTCACCTGACGCTCTTGGGCTCTAAGCTCGCTCGCTTGTAATGTTGCTATTGCCACAGATGTCAGCATGTTTGGCCCGGAATCGTTCCCCGGCTGTACGAGGGAGAGGCCAAAGCCATCGTGATGTTCCTTCGCACAGAAAAGATCACATTGCACGTTCTCGTCTACCGGCTTGGCGAATGACTTGTACTTAGATATCAGCTTGGAGATGTGTACAACCAAACACTGCTTCGGACATCTCGCTTTTCCATGGATCAGAGAATCATGTTGTATATAGCTATGGCCAGTAGCTATCTTAAACTCCCGTCTTTGAACCAGACAAGCAAGCCTCACGCGCATCTCGCCTAGCCATCAACCGCTCCATCACTTCAGAGACTGATTCACGAACCTGGGCTTCTTTCATTCCGATAGTCCCATCAAGATGAAGTTCATTGTCCTCTTCACAATCCTGTCCGCCGGCACCACCATGGCATTGCCAGCAGCTCTCCAGCAGCGCGACACAAACGGCGAGAGCGCCTTCACGCCACTACCGTACGGCATGAAGTCGACGCCCGACTGTCCCGAGTGGAAGGACTATTGTATACACTGTGACGAAAGGTTGGTCGCCATTCTGTTTCGGCACACTTCCATGGGATGAGTGAACGTCGAGTGAACCATCTCATCCATCATGCTCTGGAGGGAATTGATGGTTGATAGTCATCTTTGCCGCTGTGTCTATCCTCTCTGTAACGTTTACCCATCTGGTTCAGTTGGGCTTCCCATCCATATCGTTTCTGTCAACCGATACCGTCTTTCCTCGTTTCGACTCAAAATGTACTTCCTCGGGCACTCTTGCTAACCTCAACCCGTCATGAATGACATCAAGCGACTTCGACTGCATCACCAGCCCAGTCTGCGACTGGTGCCGCACGTACGACGCCTCCTGGGGAGGGAATAGAGTCGCCCAGAACTAGGACGGAGAAATCTGCGCCGCGCCGTTTCCGCGCCCGGCGTGGGAATATTTAGGGACGGATCCCCTTCGCAAACCAAGGGGGGGACGCACGCGCGCGCGCAGCGGTAGCGATACTGCTGGACAGCATGATCAGTCCAGGCCTGTCCTGGACACCGCGCCGATCGGAGGTGAGAACCAAGGCTAGGAGCGCTGCTGGGGTTTTTTTTTGGCATTGATTTCGTTTGCGAAGAATTTAGGTTGCAAAGATGGGATGAATCGCTTTCGTGAAACGGAACACACCTTCATTTATCACCTTTTCTTGTTCCCGATTTTTTTTGTTCTTTTTTTCTTTTTTATAATAGCAATCCAATCATCATCGCCTCCTCTTCCTTTTAAATTTGAGAGGAAATGAACAGAGCCGAAGACAGAGATGTCAGCCACACAAACCGAGTTTCCTGACCCCAAAGGACCGTGTAAAAACACTCACCATGCCAGTTCGCGAACCGAGGCCCTGTGAGTGAGCCCAGATAGCTAGCTATCCCAACTCAGTATCCAAAGTCACTGCGCTTTCATAGACACGAGAAATATAACGATCCTTTTACATTTATTCAGAGCCTGTTCTAAAGAGTTCCAGATGCTCGGTAGACAAGGTGTCCTGCCCTGGAGACGTCTCTCGGTGCATAAACTCTCAAAATCTCAAGATAATTCCAGGCCGGAAACCATCATACAATGGGATATCCACCGTACTGGTCGCACGAGTACACGAGCTGCGTGAAGGAAATAGCTATCTCAATATGTGTCCATTCTGTTGGCAATATCCCACACGCTCGTAATTCACCTTCCTGATTACAGTTTCGCCTCCTGTTGAGGCTTGTGACGGATGTCGGACGAAGAATATCCACCGAACCATGTCAGGTTGCCATCTCCCTCGCTCGCTTGTATCCAGGGACATGGACTACTGTCAGATAGCTCCATGTAAGTTGGGCGGATCCCGCAGAGGACAGAGGCCGGGAGGTCTTGGTTGACAATGCCAGCCAGAACTTTTGTATGGCGAGTAGCTGCTGTAATGCCGAGATCCCAAGATGGTGCGACGAGTACGACGGAAGAGCTCGGCTCGTGCGGACCATGTCGACAACACGCAGCTTTTATTGATATCATACAGTCCCATCATGAAAGCAAACGAGAACCAACGTTCATGCAAATGGTGATATACATTTGTTAAATAAACACATGAAAAGTACATGCCTTGCTCCTCTAGAATATGATGTGGGCTTTTGTGATGTACAAGCATTAGGTGGTGGTGTGAGTGGGAAGATGGTCAAGCCTTTTCGCCGCTTGATCTGCCTTGCCGGATTTCCCCCTCCTGCGTTTTCAGGGTGTGTACGGTAGAACCAAACAAAACTTGTGCCGCCCCGTCTGGTGACGAGTTTGATGGGTGCTTCTCAAGAGATGCCTCGCGGCTTGCCACGCCAAGTGGTAAACTCGACATGGCGAACCAAGATCGTGAGCCAGCGCGCCATCCCAAAATGATTTCATGCCATGACATGCTGTCCTCCTCTATATATCGGTACATCCAAACCCTGACAGTCGTAACTCCCCGTTGATAGTACATGCGTGACGTTTGTGGGCTGTGTTTGACGATTTTACTTCTTGCTGTCGTCACCTGAGCCGAACCAGCCAGAGAAGTTGGTCTTCATGCTGCTCATGGCCTCGGCCTGAGCCTTCTCTTGGGCTTCTTGCTCCTCCTTGAGCCACTTCTGGCCGTTCTCGCGGATCTCCTTCTCGAGCATCTCATAGTTGCGCTGGCCACGCTCGCGAGCAATATCCTGGAGCATCTTGCCTGATGCGAAGGCTTCCGACGCGCTCTGCTCACCCTCGGCAGGGACCATCATGCTCATGTTGCTCGGCTTGAGGCCGAGAAGGCCGCCGAGAGCGGCCATGCCGGATGGGGCACGCTTCTTCCGCGCTTCAACCTGCTTGTTGAACTCGGCACGCGCGATTGCCTCACGGCGGGCGAATTCAGTGGGGATGTGCTTGCCCTCAAAGGACTTGAGAACCTCGCGAGTGTCCTTGTACTGCATAGTGTGGATGTACTCGAGGAACGGGATGAGGGACACGAGTTCCTTGTCGCCCTTTTCGCCCTTCCACGGCGGGAGGATGATGGCGTTCTCGGGCTGGTTCTGTACGTGAGATGCTTTGCTGTCGATGATGATGACCTTGGACAGGTCGCGGTTGAGGTATGACAGGTCCTGTACAGGCGCATGTTGTTAGTGTCATGGAGAGAAGGCGTCATACGGCGCAGGGCTTGGTCTCACCTTGACGATTTCACCATTCTTGTACTTGGTAGCCTCTCTGAAGAGTGGCCACACGATAAAGCGGAAAGGATCCAGCTTCCGCACCAAGGGGTCACCCATCTGGAAGGGCACTGTGGTGAACAGGACGAGCTCGTAGTACTGGCTCAGATAGCGCAGGAAGTAGTCGACACCTGGCCGCTTGGCCACTCTCCAGCCGTGCTCTCTAGTCCACTCGCTGTGGAGCAGCATGTCCTCGAGACTGATGCAGAGGGTGTAAGGGCGCTCAAACATCGGGTCCGGGTCGGGCAACAGCTTCTCAAACGCGGGCTCGCGGTAGTAGTCGAGAGACTGATTCTGGCGAGCGACGGCACGCGCCCACCATGACATGGGAGACCAGGAGTTATCAATGTCGGTGTGCTTGGGAGCCTCATCCTCGTCCCACGGCCGGCCGAGGTAGCCAAGCGTGCCGAAAGCGCCGAGGGCAGCAGTGAGGTACAGGACGTTGGCAGTCTTCATCCGCCTCCGGTCTGTGGAAGTCTCATAAGCAGAGGAGGGCATCTCCTTGTGCGGGCGGCCGCCGCTGCTGGGCTGCGGCTCGGGTTCCGACTCGGGCTTGGGCGCAGGCTCTTCGGCGCCAGGCTTTTTTGAGCTGCCCTTCTTCGCCTTGCTGGAGAGCTCATATTCGAGGGTCGAAGGAATGCCCTGTGTGAGGTCGGGGAGCTTGCTGAAATCGGGTATCGGCTCTGACTCTGGGGCGGCGTCGGGAGCCTCTGGCTTTGACGCTGCGGGCTGGCCCTTGTCTTTCTGAGTGGATTCTGGTTTCTGCGGGCCGCCCGTGGCCATTGTGCGCATGGCCACATAGGAGGGGAGCAGGACGGAGGCTGGTGATCTGAGGGTTGTGGTGGAAGCCCTCCATGTGGTGGGCATGCGCGCCGAGCGCGCAATGGCTCGTGACAGCATCTCTGACGGCGGTGTGCGGCAGGTGCGCGGGCGCTGCACTATGCAGAAGTCGCTGAGAAGGGCCGCGATGTCGGGCTGGCGGCAGTCAGTCGTGAGGGTGAGGACGTCGTCGAGGGGACAGCACAGAATCAGAGTGGGCGCAAAGCAGAGCGAGCGAGTGGGTGGATGGATGTGACGCCAGTCCCACCCACCACACCCTGCCTGGGCTGGACTGAGCTGGGTCCGCCAGGCAGGCAGCCCGCCCCAAAGGCTCGTGGTTCCATCTGCACCCAACTTTTTCCACTGCACCCACGCCGAAATTTGACAGCCCTTTTCTTATCGCAATCAGCGTCATAACAGTGCACAGAAGAGTCGACACTGTACATATGCACCGTGCAGGAGGTGGCCTGGTTCACAAGCACTCCAGCGTGTTGTACATGCTGGATGAGTACACCAAAAACAATTATTTTGTTACAGTTTACTCGGGCTAATAAACGGCTACGGCATGGTGCAGCGAAAAGGTGTGTGGAAGGTGCCTGTTATGATGTTGTCCCAAGTGCTTCCCTTAGATCCGAGACGGCATCAAAACCCCACATGAAGAGCCATGCTGGACAATGACCAGATTCTGGAGACACCACGGCCAGGACAAACGGTACTCACAAGCAAACCCTTGATGCTCAAAACGTCATCTTCGAGAAGGAACCGAGCCCCCAACACAAATATAAGCATCCTGTAATCCTGCTGAAGCGGCGCTCTCATCCAGGGCATCTCTCTCACAACCTGGGAAGGGAAGGTTCTGCCCCGCCATCCGACATCGCCTCGGTCCTCAACGGCAGGGGTCGCTCTTACACGCTGCCGGTTGCACACAATTCAAAGCAGTTTCCGCAGGCGGATCTTGAACGTGTCAAGCTCTCCAGGCCTCTGTCGCGGCTCAAGTGTATTCGTCAAGATGGCTTCCCTCGAGACAATACAGCTCGAGCATGTGCCCGCGACGCACTCAGTCCACGTCGCAGTCTACAAGGACGTCCAGAACGCCGACTTCCTCCAGCAGCAGCTGCTCGCCCGCAACCAAGAATTCGAGTATGCCTTCATTGACGCTAGCTGCGTAAGTCCTCTTCTTGTTCTTCTTCTTTCTTCTTCTCTCATTACGCTTCCCTGTGGCCGGCAGATCACATGATGATGTCTGGGGTTTTTGCAAGCAGCGATCCATGCGTACAAGACATTGGAGGGGTGTCTAACTTGACATGACAAACAAACAGGTCGTCTCAAGACTACAAGTCCTCGCGGCCGTGCACAAGGCCATCATGATACAATCCGGCGGGAACATGAAGACGCCAAACATCCATTCCGAGATTGTATGCTCGCTCAGCCCGACCAACAATGTACGTCTCGTGTGGAAGGCTTTTCTTTGCTATCATGAAAGAACAAAATATTTGCCACAGAGAGTCTTCCTGCCAAGCCTCCTCAACTCGTGTCTTGTCCCCTTTGTTGATCAAGATGAACTAACACCCGGCACACACAAAAGATCTCTGAGGCATACAGACGCTTCGGGATAACCCCGACGAGCAAGGACATGATCATCGTCAAGGTCCTCATCTCGTCATCGTCATCGCAGGCCGCGACGACGACAAGCACCTCCACAGCAGAAACGGTCGCCGCTCACCTGACAGCCCACGTGCAGGGGCAGCCGGCGCCGTTCACCGACGCCGTGATCGCACAGAGCACGGACTGGGCCAAGGTGCGCAAGTACTACAAGCTCAACAGCGGCGTGGCCGTGCTGGACGCCCTGCCGAAGGGCGAGGCTGGCGAGGACGCCCGGAGGAGGGAGGTCGAGACACTCGTGCTGGGTGGGATGGCGCTGAGGGGGCTGTAAGGCCGGGGCGACGATGTACTGCTCCTTCACTAGCCTGCCCCAGGGACCGCGGGAGGCGAAGATACCCTGGATCTGCGATGGCTGAGAAGGGGGGGTGAAACGGGAGGAAGAAGAAGAGGAGAGTATTGGAAAAGAGTATGAGCCTGAGCCTGAACCTCAGTTGATACTTGGTGATAGCCATTCTGGGGGAACGCTTAACGACACTTTAGAACAAGTCTTGCATTTGACAAGCAAGTCAAACCAGGCGCAGGATTCGGCCACTTAGGCCAGGAGCCGAATTTGGAGCAAAAGCCGGTGCGAACGAGGAGGGACAGTATCGAGAAACCGTGAAGCAGCACACCACAATCTCATGGCTGCCATGTGTACGCTTTGTCTCTAGACCTTCCCAATTTGCCCTTTTCCCACCTGCTGCAACCATATCGACCGGGTTCACAGTTCCAAACGGATGGCACGTGGCAATGGCTGCAAACAGCAAAGTTGTGTTCAAGACTCTGGATATCTAAATGTACCGCTTATCTTGTATCTACACCGATCATCTACCTCTTCGTGGGAAAACTATCGCCTCGAAAAATTCAAATCGCTATGCTCATGCATTATGTCACCGCTGACCAACCCCTCTCACCCACTCCCCACTACAGTCACCTATCTCGGGCCGTTCACGCAGACGATCCAAACACGCCCCAGAAGCGCCGCTTTGTCTCCTCCCACATCGCGTCCCGCCCAGCCTTGGTGCGCGACACGGCGTCCTTGTTCTCGTGCGCCCGCCGCAAGAGGTACGTCATGCACTCCTTGGTCGTGCCCCAGACAATGTACTTGTACGCCTTGGCCTTGGTGTCCTGCCCGCCGCCTACAGAAGCATCGATGCCGACACGGGTGGTGGTGGCAGTGGAAGCGGTGGTCTTCTCGACGACGGGCTTGGCATTGGCAGCGGCAGCAGCAGCAGCCTGCTCCTCCTTGTTGCCCGCGATGAGCGCGCAGCTGACTTCATCCGCCATGCCCATGAGCTGCGCGATGGCGAGCTCCACGCCCGCGGCGTCCGGGCTCGCGTGCAGCGCCTGGGCCTTCTGCACCGTCTCGAGGTTGTGAGTGCCGAGCACCACGCTCACGGGCGGGAACTCTGCACCCCGCGCGTCCTGCCCCTTCTTCGCGGCGGGCGGCTGCAGGACGTCGTTCCACTTGCGCGTGATCAAGGCCTCGGAGATGCCGTCGCAGCACCGGTCCGTGTCCTCCTTCGTGTCGTGGATCAGGTGTCTCGGGTCGGCACCCAGGTACGCGCCGCGGACGAGCTTGACGCCAAGAGTGAACTTCTCCTTGGCGGCGATGGCGAGGTGCTCGCTCAGCAGAGAGGGGCAGTGCTTGAGGTAGGACTGATACGTGCCGTAGATGAGCGCGTGGTTGGGGACGAGGCTGTTGTACTTGCGGGCGTAGTCGATGGTCCAGTCATCGATGCCGCCCTGCAAGGCCGTTTGCTCGGCGTCGAAGAGCAGCGGTACATTCCGGGCGGCGGCGAGCTCGCAGATCTCGTCGATCGCCGAGGCAAGGGCCTTGGGCGGGGGAAGGCGATTCCGCAGCGCATAGAGGGCCTGGCGGCCCGCCCCGGTGAATTTCAAGGCAACAAAGTCGTGTGGCTGCGCGATCTGGACGGTTGCGAGGGTAGCCTTGAGCCAGGGGTTGATCTCGTTGCGGATACACTCTTCTGCTTCCGCACCCGTGTCGCAGGGAGTGAGGTTCTTGCTCTGAGACTCAGTCAGGACGACCTCACGAGCGTAGTTCAGGATGACGCCCGTGAAGCCGATCTTGTTAAGCCCCGCGAGGGTTGCCTTGACCTCGGCGGCATTCTCGCCGGCACAGTACTGCGCGTAGAAGGTCTTCTTGAGGAACCAGTTGAGCAGCCGATTCCGCTCAGGGTTGAGGATGGCGTTATTGGAGTGCGCAAGCAATGTCATGACTGCGAGCGAGGGCGGCAGGAGCAGGCGGGACGACGATATCGTGCTTGTGACCAGAGTCCGCAGGACAGTCGCCAACGGCAGGACAGCCAATGGCGATCTCTTCGCCATCTTCTGCGCAGGCTTAGTCTCGTGATCTGATGATGCGATTGTTGTGGCGCTGGCAACCTGGCTAGCAAAGTTGTGTACAGAGGAAGCCGTGGCAGCCAAGACCTGATCAGCGGCCGGTGCTGACGATCTTGACGTCGAGGAGGAATGTATTCTCCTCCGTGGCCTCGTCTCCGAGGTGATTGTGCGTGTTTGCGTTGAGCCGTGCTGGCTCTGGTAGTGGACGACGGCAAGAGTCGTGCGAGCTGGTTGCTTGAGGCGCCGTGTAAGGCACGCCGGCCTGCCGATGGAGTTGACGCTCATGATGGCGTGCGTGTATGTGTGTGCGGGATCCGAGGATAGGTTGGACACGCGTATTTCGTCACTCTAGGAACTACAAGAGGTGATGGAGGGTAGCACTCGAATATATAAGAGGTGGATGGCGTCAGTGGGCAAGGTGAGTTGCAGCCACACCAGAGCCGAGCCTTAAGCCGCGCATGAGACAGGGTCAAACTAGGACGTAATGGATCACGCTGCAGGAGGGGCTTTGTTCGGCCAGACGAGGGGATTGTTAATTGTACTGTGATTGTGCTAGTGCCAGGTGACATGGGCGTGGAGAGAGAGGAAGGGGTGGCGCTCGGGGATCCTGCAAACACGGCCTGGCCACCTCCGATATCGAGCCCTCCGGAGCAGACATGCTGTGCCATAGCGTGTTCACCGGGCAGTGTGGCCCTGCAAATGGCCCGAGGATTGCGGCGGCGGTGGTAGCATGGCCCTGACGACATCCAAGGGCTTATCGCGCGCGCCCAGGGCTGGACCAGATGACCAGGCGTTGACGCAGGCACCAGATGAGCACAGTAGTGACGCAGAGCCGCGAGTATCCGCGGGCACTGAATCAGAAGACATCAACCCCCCAGATAAAGAGGCCGCATTGCCCAATCAGCAGCCGTGCCGTCGATTGCCGCCAGCACTAGGACAGCCCCACCGTCTGCCAAATGCGCCGCCAGGCCTCCTCCCCACGCCATGGCTACCCGTGCCTAGAAGTGCCCTTGACGGCTGCTTCCACACCTTGTCTGTCGTCCTTGCGCCCCGTAGGTGTCTCCACAGCGAGCGTCGGCAGAACTGGCCGAGCCTCGCACAGGCCGGTTGGGAAGATTCCAGAGCCCATGGCGGACTGCCCCACCCGCGGTCTGTCGCGGCTTTGTGGTGGTGAGAATGCTTGCTGGTGCTCCAGACCTGCTGATGGTCCCCGGATTCGGCGAGCAGGGCTCAAACCAGACGATGGATCTGCTCCTACTTCTCTCGATTCTGCCTGCCGATATTCGGCCTCTTTCGCTGCTTGGCAAGGGTTGGTTAGGTGGATTTGGGGGAAATCCCCTTGCCGCCGTATCCACATGCGAAGTTGCATGCACGCATCGCGTCGGCTCCTTTGCACAGGCCCGGGGATAAGGCCAACTAGCCGCACCGTTCACGGGAGCGACCATGTCGGATAGATGGCAGCTTCGCAACATTCTACGTTTCAGACAGCAGGACTGTGCCACCGACAATTTCTTCAACGTGAGCGACAGACATTCTCGTGCCGGCTGGCGGTGGTCATGTTGCTCTTCGAGCTGCGGAATTGTTGTCAAAGCTGAGGCTCCGGATCGCTGGAATCTGCTTTTGTCGTGGGTGGGACGAGGAAGAATCGTCCCAGTGCGGCCGACTGCAAGTTCGGAGTGATGCAGATATTCAGCTGAGTTGCTTCTCCTCGGAGGCAGCGTTCTTGCCCAGCTGTCGCCGGATGAACTCGATGTAACCGACTGGACGGCCCTTGAGCAACGAAACGGCATCCTGCACGGCTCCATACACGAAGCCAAACTTGAGTCCCTTCTTGACGGTGCGTGCGGTTTCGGGGGCCGAGAATCGATCTGTCCGACGAAAAGCAGTTAGCGGTCTGTTGAGGGGGATTCGGAAGTCTACGCTTGGCCACAACGTACTCCAGAGACTGAACCCATTTGCAATGGCTACGCTGGCCATGACGGTGTTGAACATGTCCTTGGTGCCTCTGTATACATCGAACAGGTTCTCGACGCAGAACATGGCCGTGCTGAGCACTGCGAGCTTGCCGCCGACCTTGAACCCTTCCTTGAGCCCGCCGAATGCGAGGTGGTAGTTCTTGCTCTTGTGGTAGAGGTACCAGCCAGCCGTGTTGGTGGGCAGGCGGTGCGCGTGTTCGGCGCGGAAACGCAGGCCGGCCATTTGGCTGCCGTGCGCAAGGCCCAGAGACATGCCAATTCCAAATGCCGTCAGGGTCGCTAGGGGGATGCGGACAAAAGGCGGCAGCGAGAGGCGGGAGTCGTGCCAGAGCTTGTCGTACTCTGCGCGGTTCGTGATCGTGGAGGAGCGAGCCATGACGGGCCTCGAGGGCTGCTGCGCGGGGTCTTCGTTGTTGGCCATGGTGGACATGGCTATGCTGTGGACAGAAGAAGCTGCCGAGTGGGCTTCAGTTGGTGGCTAAATACGCTACTAGAGCGACGAGTTTCGTTGTCGTGATCTGCACCTTAGTTTGTTGCCGGCACCGTCCATGTCGAGAAGTCTGATGATGGTTCGTGAGCAGCGTCAATTTCACGCCTGCCAGGCACAAGGGTCTCCACAGTTTTGACCAGAGCTCCGCTGTGGGGCCTGAAGCTGCGATGCGATGCTCAAGGGTTTAGACGCTGCGACAGGCTTACCACAAGGCCAAACGGTCCTCAATGCTTCACGTTGCCACATCTGCATGCCTTGATATTCACACCTCCAGGGAATCACGCTACTGCCAGACAAAGCAAACTCGTCACACAGCGACCTCTCAATTGGTTGCTCGCACAGCAACATACACTGACGCCAGGATTTCGAGGTGATTTATTTGCACGACAGACATCTGACCCAGGAACGCATCATGGTGAGTGCATGCGGGCTTGTTTTCGGTCGTGTCACCACGAAGCCGAGGCCCGAATTGCAAACACTGCCGCATTTCCCCATTTCCATCTCAGATGAACGCATCGCTAACTCACAACCACAGGTACAAAGAGAAGACATCCGCGACATTGACCTATCGCTCCGCTTCAAGCACGGCACGCACACCATCTTCCTCTTTGTCGACCCGCAGGAGCCCTTCTCCACGGCAGCCGCCGAGCTTCTGGAGATTCTCCGGTCGCGCTACCCAGACGGCCTGACCACGTCCACCACGCCACCACCTGGAAAGCAGACGCCCTTGCCCCAGGATGCCTCGCGGATAGAGTTCGCCGTCGCCAAGTCCCCCGCGGATCCAAGCCAAGGGTGGAAGCCACTCGGCGTGAGCGGCGGGAGCAGTGACACACCCGTGAGCAGAGGCGTCAAGGATGGGATGGTATTAGCGTTTGCGATCCGGCCAGAGGGGGTGGATGAGGATGAGGCGCTCGAATTTGAAGTCGAGTACCCCAGCTACGAGGACGAAGAGTATGCCGAGGAAGAAGAACAATGATGACGGTGGTAGTCATGACTGGAGCGGCTCATCTGAACACCACCGGCGTTGTGTGTTTGGAACCAGAAAAGAACGACTTACAGGGCCATGGTTCGGCAAGCTTGACAGCGTGGCAAGGACACGATTTATTGAGAAACACAAGTCTACCCAGCATAGTCATCCAAAGGCACCAGATTTTGGGCGAGTGGCTGATGTCACTATCTCTGTGGTCTGTGGTAGACTGAAGATGATATTCGCACGAATCTTGCCAGTAAATGCAAATTTGTACAGTCCACTGGGCAGAAGGGTAAACCAGAACACCTGACTCGCCCTGCCATATTGCCTTTGTCTACACGACAAAATTCCTCAATTCCGAAGCAGCTAGAAGACAGAATCATTACCTGTGTATGCGGAGAACCACTGGAAATGAAATATATTCGAAGAGAGAGCGTGGCACCAGGCACGCTCCCCAGCGACCACAGTGAAAGACAACAGCCCACTCAGAGCAATAGCATTTACATCAGCATCTGTATCAGCATCACCAAACCGCGTTATTTGGCAAGCTTATGAGATACCCCACTCACCATGTCTAACCTCCACCCAAGCCTCGTCACTCACGATACCCACGGTCCAGAACAATACATACTGCCCACGTTGCCGACGGCCCGTTTATCAAACCATCGATGCGAAAGGGGCGCGACCAGAAAGGAGACATCCGGTGTTCTGCTGTCTGTGAATTTCTTCTCATTGAGCCCTACTTGGTGTCTTTCTGCCTGAATGAGGTTGGGGGATGCAGTGAGCGGCTTGAGAAATTCCCGGATCGGAAAGTGCCCCAGGAGCATAGGCTAGTGGCAACGACCTCGCAAGGAGCAGCACGTTTTAGACACGAGCACTTGCCAACATCTATGGTCTGAGAGACTGTACCACTACAGACGAAAAAGGAGCAACCGTTAAGCAGAGACGAAGACCAAGAACTTGGCGATCTCGGGAAAGCCTATTGCACGTTAGAAAAATGGGCTATCAGGATGGCTCTGGCCAACTACGCCGCAAGCGAGATTTGCATAAAAGCTACAACTATGATCAGTTGTCGCGTGCTTTCATCAGAAGGTCGACTGGGCCACAACCAAAATGTGATTGTGAATGTGTGAGGGTTTACTTGCTTTGACTGGACAAGAAAGCGGAGCTTTCCTTTTGAAGGTATCGCAGAGTTTGGACCCAACAGCCAGTCACATCTTCTACCCGACCGTCTGGTAACTCCATAATTGCACATGGGAGACAAAAGTCGGAGCCCCAGCAATATCCATGCAAGTTTCTAAGCTCGAAAGTTGTCCAGTCAGCATCTCCTGTCGGTACCATCCAACGCCATTGCTCGGTAACGGAGAAAGCCTCTCCAATCACCCAAACTCAGCATCCCGTGGTACCGGCAGAGTTCTCCGATACACAACCTTGAAGCTTTCTCCGACATCATGTCCTCGCGAAAGATATGTGAGCGCTGGTCTTGTCACTCAATACGTTCATGCTGCTTGAACATGCACCGAGCATCCACCACTCTTCAAAAGCCAATGAACACCGAAGAACAAGATCTCCTACACCATAAACACACCGAATAGCTGAAGACTTGAAAGTCAACATACACACACACACACACACACACACAAACCAGGAACCAGAAACCAGGACCCAAAGCACAAGCCAGCACACAAGGAAGCAACACACTTTGGGGACATAATCCAACAAAACGGGGAGTTATAAGACAACACACATAACTCCAGATACAAGTCCAGCACCACTTGCTTCCAACGCAGTATCGAAACCAAGAGTCACGATGTTCAGAGAGCAGCTGTTCGATTTGATTACCACGGACAACCAAAGGGAGGACTCCAAACTCACTGCCACCAAGAAGATGGACTATAAGACCACAAACACCGACATGCCCTCCGAAAATCAACTCTCCAAGGTTTCCACCACCTCCAAGTCCCAGAGCTGGGTCCCGAGCGCCACCAGCAACGAGGAAGAAAACGCCTACCTCGACCGTGGCGACGCCTGCAGTGATTGCGCAGAGGTCTGCATCTGCTTGTCCTGCGTCCCGTTCCTGCCCAGCGGCACCCTTCTCATGTGCGCCGCCGGCATAAATTGGCTGGTCGACGCATACTGGTCGCGCAAGGACAACACAACCACCACCGCTGCCAAGCCAGATGGCAACAACGATAACAACGCGATCGTCACGACTCCCACCAGCAGCAGTTTGAAGATGGAAACCGATACCAGCGCCGCCGCCGCCACCACCACCACCACCAAACGACAAGGAAATGGCTGTCGCCGTGTCGCCTGTCCCGAGTGCCGGGCCCAGCGTCTCGTAGCTGCTAGGGGCTACAAGGTTCAGAACAAATTCGTTTTCAAGAAGAGGGACGGAAAGAATTGAGAGGCAACGAGCCTCTACCAACACTGGTGTACAGGGCTGTACGATCTTATTCCGAGATTTGATGGGAAGGAATTGTGAAGATATTGCGTGGTTGGATGGGAAATGAAGGGACAGCACAGGTAGCGTGGGAGAGAATTTTATTCAAATGGGATTTGACGTCTGTTGTTTGGCTATCTGCAATTGTGCACCTTCTGGATGTGATTTGAAGTGAGATGCACAACTTCATAGTGGCACTAATAGACTTCGACAAGAGGCTAGCAAGCAGTTCGAAGTTGAGGAGACTGTGGCTCGCGACCCTGGTAACGGTACAAGCAGAGTGATGTTTTGATATATCTTGGCTGAAGTTCATACCAACATGACGGACGAGATTTCCCCGCCGGGCAAGTTTATTATAAAATAAACGTCTGATTACGAAAGCTCCATCCCGAGGCAGAGAGCCCGGCCGAAAGGTTGTGGTTGCAGTCGGTCCGTCAGGCGGACCCGGGTGCAGCCGCCCACCAGCACCAGCGGCTCCGCAAGCGGGAGCCAGCCAGCCTAGCCAGCCCCAGCCTAGCGATCGCCAGGACCCCTTTCTCCTTTTTGGCCGATCCTCGATCTCGACCTGGGGCCACCAGCAGGACATCACCTTTTTGTGCCACAACACACCACACCACACCACATCCCTTGACATCGCGAGGGCCGCCACGAGCCATGCATTCTTGACCTTCTGCTTCTCTCCTGCCTCCTCGCCAACTCGCCTGCTGCTGCCCCCCGCAGCCGAGGCCTCTTCACTCCTTTTTTGGCTACGCAGCATCTTCATCCCCACCATCTTGTCCTAATCTTCAGTCCTCATGACCCCCTCATCCGTCCTTCGCCATGGCCTGCAGATCCTGGCCCCCGTGGCCCTCATCCTGACGACCTACCTCTACCTCTACCCCGTCTTCCTCGGCTGCGCCTTCCCGCTGCCGCCACAGCCTGGCCATGTCGCTCCCAGCGGCCACCGCCCCGAGCCCACCAACTCCATCTCCTCGCCCGCCTTCCACGCCACGATCCAGCAGCACCTCAATGTCTCCAACGCGAACCGCGCCCCGTTCCGCCTCCTCACCCTCGGCGACCCCCAGCTCGAGGGCGACTCTTCCATCCCCAATTACGGCTTCGACCCCTTCTGGCACCTCACGTGGGCCATCAAGCACCTCACCTACCAGACGTGGCAGCCCTCGCTGCGCTTCCGCGTCAAGCAGATCCTCCACGACCTGATCGACTTCTGGCTCGACGACATCCCCAACGCCATCGAGGCTGTTCGTAAGCGCATTGACCTCTTCGGCAATGACTTTTACCTCGCACACATCTACCGCACTCTACACTGGTGGACCAAGCCATCACACGTCACCGTGCTGGGCGACCTGCTCGGCAGCCAATGGATCACCGACGAGGAATTCGAGCGCCGCAGCTGGCGGTACTGGAACCGCTCCTTCCGCGGCGGCGAGCGGGTGCCCGACGACGTTGCGATGCCGCCGGCGGACGAGTACGAGATCGCAGGCTACCTGGGGGTCGAGGACGACAACGCGGCCGCGTGGCGGCGCCGGATCATCAACATCGCAGGCAACCACGACGTAGGCTACGCCGGCGACCTCTCGCAAGAACGGCTGGACCGTTTCGAGCGCGTCTTCGGCAAGGCCGCGTACGAGCTCCGCTTCGAGCTTCCCATCACCAACACCACGACCAACTCGACCATCTACGACGCCCAGACGAACCGCGAGTCCGACCGGCTCGTGCCCGAGTTGCGCCTCGTCGTCATCAACAACATGAACCTCGACATGCCTGCGGTCGACCAGGGCCTTCAGGACAAGTCGTACGGCTTCCTCAACTCCGCCATCAACACAGCGTCCGCGGTCGAGTTCAAGGGCCACTTCACCATTATCATGACGCACATCCCGCTGTACAAGCCCGAGGGCATCTGCGTGGACGCGCCCTTCTTCGACTTCTTTGACGAGTCCGAGGGCGGCGGGATCAAGGAGCAGAACCTGCTCTCGCTGGACGCGTCAAAGGGCTTCCTCGAGGGCATCTACGGCCTCAGCGGCAACCCGCGGTCTCCCGGGAAAGGCATGGGGCGGCGGGGCCTGATCCTTAACGGCCACGACCACGAGGGCTGCGACACTTGGCACTACATCAACCAGACTCTGGCCGAGGGCGAGGAAGGGCCAGCCCAGTGGCGCGCGGTCCGCTGGGCAGACGCCATAGCCCCTCTGCCCACGACCGCCACCAATGACCTGGACAGCAACGCCCCGTCACGCATCGCAGGCGCCCCCGGCGTCCCCGGTGTCCGCGAGGTCACGGTCCGCAGCATGATGGGCGAGTTTGGCGGCAACGCGGGCCTCCTGAGCGCGTGGTTCGACGAGGACTCCTGGGAGTGGCGCTACGAGTTCGTCACGTGCGCCCTGGGCAGGCAGTACCTCTGGTGGGCGGTGCACATCATTGACCTGATCCTCGTCGTCACGGCGGTGCTGTATGCCGCGCTGCGGGCCGCCATGGCCAGCCTGGGAGCCGATGTCGCGGACCGCTGGCCGGGGTGGGCTGTCCGGTATGTGCAGAGCTGGCGGGACTGGGTGGTGAAGCTGGGGGAGCGGGCTCAGCGTCTTGCGACGCCGGGAGTGTCGCAGTCGCCGCAGAATGGGGCGCAGAATGGGAGCGCCGCTGCGCGCAAGACGGCGGCGACGGCGACGACGACGACAAAAGCAGAAACGCAAAAGGAGGACCAATCGCACAATTCACTCAAGCAGAAACCACTGCAGCAGGATCATGCGGCGCCCGTGAACGCCCCGGGAACTGCAAGTCCAGAAACCAAAGAGGAGAAGAGGATATGAAAGACGTGCGATATATATTAGTGTACCAAAAAAACAAGCCTCCGATTTGATGAAAAAAGGAACAAAAGCAGAATAGATAATAATAGACAAATAACTTGGCATGTACAACCTGGGCCATGACCTTATATTCACTGAACTTGGTCAAGGTCGTGCAGACATTGGGCACGGGAACATTTCTTTGCTGTGGTGCTGCCAGCAGTCACGACTTGGCGCGCCAAGCATGGGGAAGGAATACGGTGGCTTGCTCTGCCAAGAAGTGACAATGCCTTGAAGGGCAATAGTTCATGGATGGATGTGAACTCTTGCGAGAAAGGTTTTAATTTCTGAACACCGTGTCGCATATCACTAAGCGGAATCAATGTTGTTTGAACATAGCATCGCAAATCGACGGTGCAGCCCGTGTTTTTGAAGGAACAGATCTCTCATCGTCCACGTCTTTTACAACTCTACAATTTCAAAGTCTAGCACGACAACATCTACCCTGCCTTCTCGCTCCTTCGGTTCTCGGCTGCCACTGCCCGCCCCGCTGTCGTCTGAAGTAGCGGCAGTCGGACTATAAGCCCGGACAAACACGGACAGGACTTCATCGTGGTCGAGGCGCGCTTTGTCGATCAGTGGTTCCGTTGGTGGGAAGCGCAGCATCGACGATGACACTGCTGCATCTGCTGTAAGTGAAAGAGCGGCCGTGCCTGCTGCTTTCGTCTCTAGACCGGAGTCGCTGCCACCACGCCAGACGAGCTGGTAGTCCGTGTATGCTGACGTCTTGGTGGCTTTGAGGATTGTGAGCTGCTGTTGGGGGTGTGGCGCCGAGTCTGCGGATGGTGGTGGTGCCGCAAGGGCTTCGGGAAGAACAAAGTACAGGTCGCCGTGTTTGCTGACGGCCACTTGGCCTCGCTTACCGCCGTAACCGGTACGGACGCCGGGTAGAGCCGTTTGTGTCCAGACGCCTGCTTCTCGGGTTTCTCCGTTAGCCCAAGGCCGTCTGCAGCTGTGAGAAGAATAACGTGCGCGATCTCGACGCGCCTTCTCGTGCGATCGCACTCTAGGCATGAGGTTGAGAATGGTACTGACCTTTGGGACTGCGATAGTAGTGCTTCCACCTGATCTGGTTCTCCGGGTTTTCTTCGATCCCATCGCCATCGACGGGCAAGGAGTCTCTATTCAGCACATGCACGCCTCCTTCGTGGTCGACGGCCTGACTCTCCTGGTTGGCCAGGCCGCTGTTCTTGGGAATCTTGAATGCCCGAACCCCTGGCGCCGTCGGCTCAATGCTCTTTCCCTTGTCCGCAATCATGTCTCCAGCACCGTTCCGCCACGTGCTGCCTTCGTCTTCCGAGTAGGCAAAACATAGATCATGGTTGTTCTCGCCCGAGTTGGGACCTGCCTGCGCTTTGTGCTTGGTATCTTCGGGGTCGTCCCAGCCAGGGTACCAGACGAAGCCACGGTATACCCAGGTCGTATGCAGTGCCCCTTGGGCTCTTTGCGCCGAAGAGTCTCTATGTGGGCGATAGTCGAGTCCGTGGATATATGGATTGCTGTCTACACCCTTGAGATGCGTGACTGGCCTGCTGTACGTTGCTGATGCCGGATCATAAATTGCGAGGTGGTCGTCTCCAAGACCGGCCTTCCCCGTGCGGAACGAGAACCAGAGTTTTGAGGTTCCCAGGAGGCCAAAGCGAGGGTATGTGACGTAGCCAAGCAGTGCATCGATTTCAGGGTCCTCCTTTGGCAAGCCCGGCAGGGTTGCCAGGGTGGGAGTGAATTCCAGGGCCGTCCATTGGAAGGCCTCGGGGGTTAGGGCAAGTTTGGGCACCGAGTGTCGATATCGCAGCCTGTGCAAGCTGTGTGAGCGCGGCTCTACTGGACTGGCACGGGACAAGACTGAGAATGCCTACCGGTCGCAATGATGATCGTAAGAGAGGTGAATCGTGCCGTCGCCAGGACAGATGCCGATCTCATCCAAGGTCAGCATAAGTCTAGATGTTCTTGCACGACGTAGCCTGCCAAGGTGCTTCGGGTCTGGCTGACGACCTACTTGGACAGTGTTGTGGCCATCATCGGTTGTCTGCGGATAGTCATCGAAGACGAGCGTCTGCCATGGCCCGGCGGGGAGTTTGCGCCGAGCGAGGTGTACATAGACGGGCTCTAGCGTAGAGGGGGTATTTTCTGAAGCGAGAGGACTGTAGAAACAGACATACTGCCAGCCTGCAAAGGTGACGATGGCATCTTGCTGGAAAGCATTGCCGTTGAGGACATGAGTCCTAGCCCCGGCACCGGCGTGGTGAGTTGGGTCTGGGCCGAGGACCGAGACGCAGGGACTGCCAAGCATGGTTTCTCAATCACGGTCAGGTAGCCTTCCAAAGATGGCCAGTGTGACCCAGCAGTCTCGTGGGACTGTGCTTACATGGTGCTGTCCTAGTCCACTTGCGGCACGCAGGATAAAGTACTCGAGGCCAACAGGGAGGATCGGGCATGGCTAAATGGGAGCGCCAGGGGTGTGATAGGCGGAAGAATCGCGTGGCATTCTACCGGGTGGGCCACCGGACGATGCGGCGAAGCAGGGCCTAGCCAACATTGGAGGTTGGTGCTGCATCTGGCCATCGAGAGGCGGGCTTGATGCCGTCCTGTCAGAGCTCTGTAGGACGTTGATGGCGCGTGCTCGACAGACAGGCCATATGCCACTCATTGAAGTACATACTGGGGTTGACTGCCCTGCACTGACACGACTGTCTTCATTTTCGATGCTAACCTTAAGATTTGACACCCAGGGAAGGAACGACCCAGGACACGCACCCACATTGTTTCTCGCAAGCAACCAAGGCAAGAGCAAACGCGCCCCGTTTGGGGCCCCGCTACCCCAACTCCCCACAAACCTCTGCCGCCCCCTCAAATCGAAGCTTGTCCCGCGCCTCCTCCGTTTCCCCACGATGCCGGCCTCACTCGCTGCTTGGCAGATCTGCCCATGACACAAAGCCCCCTTCTCGTCTCTTCAGCCTCCCCAGCTCCATCATGTCCACCTAGCGATGCCAGCTCGCCTCTTCTCATTGGCGCGAATACTCGCGACAGGCCGCCCAGCCAACGCCATCGGCCATGAGCACAGCCGTCGTGCCTGAGCTGCCGAGGCAGGCCAAGCCAGTGCCGTAGACAGCGCCCATGAGGCTCCGCAGTGCATGATATTGTCCGGCCTCGATCGCAGCACGGTGGTATTGTCGCAACCCTGGCAGTGGCGCCATCATCGCCGGCTCCACGCCAGATGGGTAGCGCAATTTGTTCCGCCTGTCGTCGTATATGCAAATGGTTTCCACGTATCGTCACACGAGCGTGACAACCACTCTCAGCTGAGAATCACACACCTGGTCACGTCTCGGAATGAGAGTGTCAGCGCGTGGCCAGTCGAGATTGCAGTCCCTTGACTCGGATTGGACTCCGGGTGATCCTGGCCAGTGGCAGGCGCGCACACCTAGACCACGACAACCAGGCCTACAACTTTACTAATTTGCTTTCTCCAGACCCCCAGGCGAACTCTTGTGGGCCCCGGGGAGAGCCTGCCCTGCCCGTAGAGATACCCCATACCCCGACCAACAGCATCACCACATCGCTCTGGGGTACCCCATCCCCCCCATTTCCGCCGATGCCGCTGGTTGGTGGAATGCATTTTCGCCGCTCCTTCAAGCCGACACGACCTCCGGCACGACGGCCCATGCACCACTCGCATGGTTTCGTTCAGTAGCGTAGCCGTCTGTTGGTGGTCCACCCGGGTTGCGACAGCCTGGATGCAACTCCAAGGATCCCTCCCGCCCACTGGCTGCGTGGGTTCAAATATCCTCGTCCGGCCACCCATCTCCTTCCTCCTGTCTATCCCTTTCCCCGGCCGTCGCTGCTGCTTGCTTTCCATCACACAACAAGACGCAGCCTTGACACCATTGGCATCTGCGCCCTGTACAACCTCACAATACCGCAGCCATGGCGTCCATTCTTCGCATGATCGTCAAGAACGATGCCATGTTGTCAGATCCAACAGAGATCTACAACTGGCGGGTTTTCGTCCTTGCTTGCTGCGTGAGTTTCCCTTTCACAGTAGCCCCAAGACCTTGAAACAACTGTATGGGTTTTGGCTAACTTTTATTCCTCTCAACTATTCAGGCCTGTTTCGGCGCCATGTCTTTCGGCTGGGACAGCAGTGTCATCGGCGGTGTCGTGGTCATGGACACCTTCAAGCAGTAAGCTCCATTTGCCAGCACCCTCATAGCTCCGGCAAGTCAGTTTGGCTAACCCGACGCACCAACTACAGTGACTATGGCTTGGAAGGCACCAACGACGTCGCCATAGCAAATCTCACGGGAAATATCGTGTCGACGCTCCAGGGTGGCTGCTTCTTTGGTGCCCTTGCCGCCTTCATCATCACCGACGCCATCGGCCGCAAATGGACACTGGTTGGCGCCGCCCTCTTCACCTTGGTTGGTGTGGTCATGCAGGCCGCCGCCTCTGGTCACATTGAGCTCATCTACGTGGGCAGACTGATCGCTGGTCTTGGTGTCGGCTGCTCCAGTGTCGTCAACCCCATCTACGTCAGCGAGAACGCTCCTCGCGCCATTCGCGGTCTTCTCACCGGCATGTACCAGCTCTTCATCGTCACCGGAGGCATGATTGCTTTCTGGGTCAACTATGGCGCCGTCGTTCTGCCTGGCAGCACCAAATACGTCGTCCCGCTTGCCGTGCAGGGCCTTCCTGCCCTGTTCCTCTTCCTCGGCATGCTCCTTTGCAACGAGTCCCCCCGTTACCTTGCGCGCGTCGATAAGTGGGAGGAGGCCAAGAGCGTCCTCGTCAAGGTCCGCGGTCTGCCCGAGGACCACCCGTACGTCGTCGAGGAGTTCAAGGAGATCAGCGACCAGCTCGAGGCTGAGCGCTTGCTCATGGGTGACGCCACGTTCTGGTCTCTGCAGCGCGAGATGTGGACTGTCCCCACGAACCGCAAGCGTGCGTTCCTCAGCATCGCGCTCATGATCTGCCAGCAGATGACTGGTACCAACGCCATCAACACCTATGCGCCCACCATCTTCAAGAACCTCGGCATCGTCGGCACCAGCACCTCCCTGTTCAGCACCGGCATCTACGGCATCGTCAAAGTCCTGTCGTGCATTGCCTTCTTGCTCTTCATGGCCGACTCGCTCGGTCGCCGCAAGTCCCTGCTCGTCTCGTCGGTCGGCCAGACCGTGTGCATGCTCTTCATCGGCATCTACGTTGCCGTGAAGCCCCCCGTCCCCGGCCAGGACGTCCCCCCTGTCGGCTACGTCGCGCTCGTCTGCATCTTCCTCTTCGCCGCCTTCTTCCAGTTCGGCTGGGGGCCAGCCTGTTGGATTTTGATCTCAGAAATTCCACGCCCTCGCATGCGTCCTCTCAACGTCACCATCGGTGCCGCCACCCAGTGGTTGTTCAACTTTGTCGTCGCCAAGGCTGTCCCCACTATGCTGGCCACCATGGGTCCCAATGGCTACGGGTAAGCTTTAGCCCATTGCTCCTTCCCAAAGTTTCCACGCCGCCTTCTTTGGTCTACGAACTCCTCAAGCTGACATTTATTGCTTCTCTTTCTCTAGTACTTACCTCCTCTTTGGCTGCTTCGGCGCCTCCATGTTCGTCTTTGTCTGGTTCTTCATCCCCGAGACCAAGGGCCGCTCCCTCGAGACCATGGACGAGCTGTTTGGCGGCGCCACCGAGGAGATGACCTACAACAAGGACGTCGAGAGCAAGCTGCCCCCGAGCCACGTCGAGGTCACTGCCAAGGCCCACGCCGGCCAGCCTGCGTAAAAGCTGCGTATAAATATATGCCGGGCATGTGATCTGTTCGCGAGGTTTTTCCATTCTTGATTTATGTGTGGAATATATATGGTGCTCGAATTATGTAGACGGGCTTGATATCTAGTCGCTCCTAGTCCAGCATCATCATCATAATAGCTCAAAACCAGACGTCATAAATCCCCCCATTGGCCGCTATTTCGTCCACCGAGTGTCATGCTGCGTCCACGAACCGTACTTGCCAGGACCTGACTCAGGTGCTCGATATGGGAGGCAACGCTTTTTTGTCCTTTGCCCAAGCACTTGTAGCGAAGCAATAAGTATGGTCTACGCATGACTCAAGGGCGAATAATGGCGCCATCGTTGAAAAGCAGAGAAAAGTAACACTCCCAACATGATGCGTACCATGGGCCATCCGTGGTTGTCATTTCTTGGGTATGCCTTGGCCCATGACGAGTCGGCGTGGCGATCGCCGTCTGGGGCTATGTGACGCGACCTACGCTTTAGTATCGTTGTTGAGGTACAGGCTGTCTTATCTTAATGCGCTAGCCCTTTCTGCAATATATACAACTATGACACTCGTCGTCTACTTGATTAAGGTTGCTGGTTTCCGTGACTTATATACAGAGAGCCGACTAGTCTCTAAACCTCTGAACCTCTGAACCTCTATGAACATTGATAGGCAGGCCGCGTCTCTTTTGACGTTGGCTGCACCCATCAGCATATGCATTGCTCATCGGGGTTCAGGGAGCACTTCTTCAACTCGATATCAGTGCAGTCAGAGAGCACAGGACTGCAGAACTCTCCCTCGCCCATCGAGGCAGCTACCAACATCTCTGGCAAGCTTGCGGCTTAATATTCTGTAATGTTGAAAAGGCTGAAGGATTGGGCTTTGCGAAGTTGAGTCCGGAAAAGCCGCAGCAAGATTCGGCGATGGCTCTCTTAGCGGACAATTATTCCAGAACTCGTGACACACAGGGATTGTCAAATCTTCCTCCGTCATCAAGTGTCTCGGACATGGTACCCTAAAACATACACCAGGAGATCTCTGTCAGTGCCGTCAGAGTCTTCACACCTGGCTCGGCGCGGTCGAAGAGTGCGCCCACGAGAATATGAGGCCTATGACCGAGCGCAACTTGGGCGTGATGGGAGTTGGGTGCTAGGCTTTTTCGGTATCGTAATCGGCCTTCCCGCGTCGTCGACCTCCAACGCCACCCATTTTCCAGGCGCGAGCGACCAGCGTAGGTATCCGCGCCAGGGCCACGGGATTGGATGACAATGCCAAAAGAGAACGCCAAACCAATGTTCATTCAGGCCGAGTTTGTATGCAGATCGCAGCAGATCATCGGGTGTAACACCGATCTTGCCACCGAGCTCCTTCATCTCTGCGTGGATGGCGGACCGAAAGGGGCCTTTGGCCAAGGCTTTCTGGATCAGTTCGTCGCATCACGATATTGAAGTGGCTCGAAACAGGGGGCGCTCCTGATGTCCGTCACGGCATCCGGTGACGATTGTAATGCTCGTCGCTTGGTAATAAAGATCATGCTTCGCCACCATGTCTCGAAACGCGTCTGATTTTGCAGAGAGCTGCTTCGAAACATATTCCAGAGGAGCTCAGTCTCTCACACTCGGTGTGGAGTCGAGCTTTATGTGCCAACATGAATCCACCCTTGATCAGCTCATTAGAGTCAATCGGCTGCTTTTCTGTGCCTCCAGAGTTCCGCCGTCGAGGGTGAAGGCCCGCGTGATTCCAATGGTCCACATACTGCCCATGCTCAAGGAGAGCTCTGTCGGGCTGCGTATCGTCGGGCCTCGTCTCCGCCGCCCTCATCGGCGCTATCGTATTCCCAGTCCAGGCCCTCATTCCGACTGCCAATCGCCTAATTGAAGTCTTCGGAGTCGCTGGCAGAAGCTTTCAAGATCTTGCTGATCTGTGTAGCCAGTGTTTTCGGTAACGTCACTGGCGTCAACTGCGTGACTCTTGGCACCAGTGCTGCGATCACCGTCGTTGTACTCGTTCCCCTTTGAGCGGGGTTGATATTCCTCTTGGGTTTGGCTAATATATGCTCGCTTCGACCTTCTGTCCGCCACACTCGTGTTGGTCAAGGGGCGCTTGCGTGTTACCGCACGCTGATTAGTGGGTAGTGCGATCTCGGGTGCAGGTATATCTTCCAACCCCTCAGTGTCGAGTGCGTGATCAGACTCAAGTAGCCTTGTTCGGGTTGCATTTCGGGCCGCCATGGCTGCTGTTTGCAGCTGCTGGGTGCGGCGCCGAAAATTCTTAGAAGCCGCTCGAGTCAAATGCGAATCTGAGCGCCGGATGTCCTCAAGTGAACTTCGATATGCAGCGAGACAGTGACCTGATATGTCTGCACACTGCTACAGGACGACTCGAGCGGATTGCTAATACCCTTTAAACCCTCAAACACTCTGAACCCTCTGAACCCTCTGGACCTCTGATACCTCTGACTCTCTGAACCTCTGAACCTCTGAACCTCTGATACCTCTGATACCTCCAGGCTAAAATTATCGAGCTGCATCGGCTGTTCACGAGGAAAGCTCTGGATAGTAGTGGTGATGGTTTTGTGCCTCTCCACCATTGTGAGACGCCTCGCGCCGATCGGCAGTAGTGCTACTGGTGGTGCCATGGTCGTAGTTGGGCTCGGCGCTGCCGTGTCACGGCTGGGCTTAAACCAAACAGGCCAGACACCGTGGATGGAGGCATGAAGCATTGCAAGCGTGATCGGCTTGACATGGATGCGACGGGGCTCTCTCATACGCTCGTTGGGGAGAACCGGCGTGCCTGTTAGTCCCACGGGCGGATCAAACAGGCCTTTGCCATTCTGTGCCTCTTTAAGGATGACAGCCATTGGACCTATGTTGAAGAGCCAGAGCTGTCTATGCTCGCGAAGTCTGATCAAGGCCTTTTCGATCGATCCGCCCGGAATTGGCCGCCCAGTGCAGGACCAGCTGGTATGCCGTGGGGCACTGGTACCGCTCCGCGCCATCTCATCGAATATGTAGCGGTACTGCCTTGCGCTGCTGGCTGGGAGGGTAGGGTCGTGGTGCTAGGCCTGTCTCAGCAACCAGTCATCCTGCGCGCTCCATGTCTGAGAAACCGCTCTGGTCTAGATTGAAGCTTGAGGCCGTGTTGAAGGAGGTTGTTGGAGACTGCGAGTAATCGACTGCGTGATCGGAGGAGCTGGATGTGTTAGTGGCAGCGTCAGCAAGTCTGCTTTCAGAATATGGAAGGACTGGTGTAGAGAAAAAGTACTTACAGGGCAGGAGCGAAGATGTACTGCTCGCGAATAGAGCTTTGACGATAGTTATCGGATGGGTGCTCTTTGGAGTCGTTATTGGGAAGTCCCAATGTCCGACCCTGGATGCCACCCTTTTCCATCTGTGAGCGACCAGGGCAAGTATCTGCGCCCTTGCCACGGATATCTAATGACAATATCAAAGTTGTTATTTTCTGCTTTCCCGTGGCTTCAATAAGCGCCGTTTGATCTTGCGTAGACCATTGTTGCCTCGGTCGCGATATGGTAGAACAAGCTAGACATGATTCTATCTATCTGGGGTGACCTCTGAATGTACGACAAAGTTCAGGCATGAGGCGCACGATCAAGTTATTCTTAAGTATGGTTGGATAATGTAGAGTATGAGTAAAGCACCGGCTACTTTATAGAACGCTTTTCAAGTAATCTTCATTGAGAATCCTTCGCCTCTTCGGTAAGTTAGGATTGGGGTATTATTAGGAATGGATTTTGTAGTGATGACTCAAGGCTACAATCATTAACTTATGGAGTGTAAATACTGCGGTACAGAGCAGAGACTTTGTCGCGTCGGATAGCGTGACTCTGTCGTGCCGTTAAAGGTTCTCGTATCAAGGTAGTTTGTGTATGCATTACAGCTTCGAAGCCCCTTCAGGTTCGCTCTCCCGCTCCCGATCAGCATACATCTCGGCAAAGATCTCGTCACGGTCGACAATCTCGACGTTGGTTGGACCGGGCCCGCCGAACTTGACAAGGACCACCCGCTCCCAATCGCCCCCGCGGCCAGTGCCTCGCAACTCGGGCCCGGGCTTGTCGAGCGTGAGAATTGCACGGCCATCGGCTTTTCGCAGACCGATGGAGACGGGGCTAATGCACTTGTCCGCCCAGGGGATTTGGGATGCCGCTTGAGATGCGTATTTGTCCTTGTTGCAAGTCGGCGTCGTCTTGAGCCAGGCGAGTAGCTTTTCTCTCTGCGCGGCGTAGTGCGCAGTCTTGTTGTTCTTGTCGCTGTCTTTCGTCGGGTGCGGGCCCTGCACAAACTGCCCGACCATCTGGATCAGAAAGACCTGGGGCGGGAACATGATAGATTTTCCTGCCAGGTTGCGCGCATTCCAGGCGCTCGGGTCGTCGAAACGCGCCGTCATAACCTCGCTTCCGTCCGGGGTGGGGATCTGGGCTTCCCGCTCTGCAGCCTCGATCGCTGGGTCCTGCGGTATGGAGGCGGCCATGTCGGTGCCCGCCGAGAGAGGAAGCATGTAGAGGTACATCTGCGTGGAGAAGCGTTTGGGCGTCGGTTTGGGTGTGAGCCATCGCGTGAACGGGTGAAGGCTGTCCGTGTCAGGTTCGCCGCCGACAGACTTGAGCCAGTCGACGAAGCGGATCTCGTTCTTGTAAATGGCACGGCGAGCACGGTCCCGCTCAGCAGCAGGCAAGCTCAGTAGCGGGCCGTCTTTCTTGCCAATCTCGCGCGCCAGCAATATGCCGCTCTCCTCAAAGGTCTCGCGGATAGCTGCCAGCCGGTATTGCAGGGAGTCCTGGTGCCGTTTTGGATCGTCTGGAGGGGGCACCTTGCCATCGTGGAAGTCGGAGAGGTTTCCACCAGGAAACACGTGTGCTGACGGGAAGGCGGACGACGTCTTGACTCTGCGCAGGAGAAGGACCTGGTTTGTGGGCGACAGAAGGACGACGCTGGCACTTGGTCGCGGCTCTGGCGAAGGACCTCCCTTGCCAGACTGCTTGACCGCCTGCTTGGCCTTTGGGTTGTACATGGCACCCGACATGGGGGGCAATGAGCTGATAAAAGCACGAGTGTCTCGACTCTGGGTTCGATCTGTTCTGTTCCGTAATGGCGCAAAGGGCCGTGGTGGTGGGCGGTGATAACTCTGGTGATCACGAGCCGGCAAGCTTCCGGGGCGTGGACGAACCCGGGTATGTGACGTGTTGGTGACCCAGGCTGGCTGGGGACATGGGATAGAAGTCTTGTGCTGTATGAGGGTCCGGGAAGCTGTGTGAAGACCCGAGAAGGGCCTCATCGACATTGTATGCGATAGTACGGAGCGTGCTAGCCAGCAGGAGCTGGTGCTTAAGTGGTGTGTAACAGCCTGAGCCGAGGCATCGGCACCAAGATGGGGGGTCCGGGTCCGCCGCCAGCGGGGATGCCAGGTAGCCTCAGCGCGGAATCCGGGGTAGACTTGGCGGATCGACAGCTGAAAAGGAAAAAATAGCGGCGCCCATTCAGTTTAGTGGGCGGACTCTGTTCCGTGGGTCGCCAGAGGTTTCAAATGTTCCCATGAGCCCTTTGTGGAGCGATGATGATTTTCTATTGCCGTCGCCTGAGCACATTGATAAGACACCGTGGCAGACGCAACAAGCATGGAATCCGGTGTATCCAGATTCAGGCATCTCCGGCCGTGATTGCAAGGTGATAATCGTGTGAGCGGGCAGTGCTGGGAAATGCGAGGCATCATTCAGGCTGGACGGTGGTGGCAGTAGTAGTTTGACCGTGGAAGCAGCAGGGGTGAGGAGCCTGTTGCCGAGGGGGCCGAGACATGGCGTCACTGCGCAGAGGGCTTGCAATGGCACCAGGAGCGGGCTGGATGGCGAGACAGACTGTGGGTGTAAGGTCGTTTGGTGTTGCGAGCCGGTGTGGAAAGAGTGAGGCCCCCACGATGCACGAGTTGGGCAGAGGCAGGCAAGCACCAGGGCGGAGGATTTGCGCATGCAAGCACCTCCCCCACCACAAGCACGCCACTGTCCCGGTGCGATGTCGACACCAGCGACAGCCGCGCCTTCCTCGCGTGATGTCCTACTTCTTGTAGGGAGGGTATCCTGCCCATCTCCATCTCCATCCCATTTTCGAACTTTTCCAGGCATGCCACCGTGTCTCTTGTCGGCTGAGATACCCTCGCCTACCGTCTCCGGCTCTGGGCTCGCTCATCGGCCTGCAAATACGACGACTGTTGCACCCGGCAGCGAGCCGGTGCAGTTGCATGCCCCCATCCTTGCAGCGTGCATAAGCCCCCGGCTGGACTTCACCGGAACGCCCAACCCTCGTCGTCATCGCGGCCACCCGCAGCCCAGCCCTCGCTGTTGAGCCATTGCTACCCGTTCCTGGCTGGTGTTGAGCTTCCACCTTACCTAGACTACCGTCCGCAATCCTTTCTGTTCCAGTACACATCTTTGGTCCAAGAACAGCGTCCGCCATGGCACCCGCCAGGCGACCAAACTTCCTGCTTGTCGTGGCCCACGACCTGGGCTACACTGACACCGGCCCTTACGGCGGCGAGATCGACACCCCCACGCTCGACCGTCTCGCTGCCGAGGGTGTCCTTCTGACGGCCTTTCACACGGCAGCAGCCTGCTCCCCAACACGCGCCATGCTCATGTCGGGCACAGACAGCCACATTGTCGGCCTCAGCCAGCTCGCAGAGGACATCAAGCTCAACAGGCATTACCAGGGACGCCCGGGCTTCGAGAGCTACCTCAACCACAGAGTCGCCGCCCTCCCCGAGCTACTCCAGGACGCTGGCTACCACACAATCATGTCTGGAAAGTGGTGAGTCGTCTTGCATCAGGAACGCCCTGACACTTCCTCAAACTCCGAGTGCCGTCGCCTTGGCGCACGTCTTGCTGATAGAGTGACTGATTCAGACAGGCATCTTGGCACAAAGGCTCATCTGAGCCCGCATGCCCGCGGCTTCGATAAGAGCTTTGTGTATCTGGCCGGCTCGGGCAATCACTTCAACGACGAACCCCAGCTTGGCGACTTTGTAGACTACCTCTATCGCCACCCCGCAGTAGACAGCGAAGGTCTATGGATGCGGGATGGGAATTTCCTCGATCGGAAACGGGATTTGCCCTCAGGTTTCTACTCAACAACCACATTCACCGACGAATTGCTTCAATATCTGGATGGTCGCAACCAGCAGGAACGGGAGAAGCCATTCTTTGGCTATCTTTCCTTCACGGCACCACACTGGCCACTGCAAGCACCCAAGGAAATCATTGAGAAATACAAGGATCGCTACAACGAAGGGCCCGAGATTCTGCGAGCGAAACGCCTTCAAAGTCTCATGGAACATGGCCTCGTCCCACGTGGAGTGGGAACATCACCACGGCCACCACTGGCTGCTAGTCCAGCAGCAAACCCAGCCTGGGAAGCCATGCCCGAGCAGGACCGGCGCATCTCGTCCCGATGCATGGAAACGTACGCCGCCATGGTCGACGTGATTGATCAGAATCTGGGACGCGTGGTAGAAGCTCTTGAGCGATCGGGAGAGCTCGACGACACCTTTATCCTTTTCATGTCAGATAACGGCGCCGAAGGCCGGATGCTTGAAGCGCTCCCAGTCACAGCCGGTGTGCCGCTCGAGCACATCATCAAGACCTTTTACGACAACTCCGTGCAGAACATAGGGAATGCCGACTCCTTTGTGTACTACGGTCCCCGGTGGGCTTCCGCAGCGGCAGCACCGATTCCTGCGTCAAGCGTATCTTTAGCACGAGGGGGCCTCAAAAGCCCCTGCATAATACGGTACCCCAGCATAACAGTGCCAAAGATGCCTGGCGGAGCAGTCTCTCACGATTTTACTACTGTCATGGACATTCTCCCCACGATTCTCGACCTTGCTGGAGTTTCGCCTCCTGTTGCTCATTATCGGCAGCGCGCAATTGCGGCACTTCGAGGTCGCTCTTGGATACCTCACCTGCGTGGGCTCACACCAACTGTGCACGAGAATGGCTGCCAGGATCTCAGTGGCTGGGAGCTGTTCGGCCGGCGGGCAGTGCGGCGTGGTAAATGGAAGGCCGTCTTTGCGCCTGCCCCAGAGGGCTCAAACTCGTGGGAGCTTTATGATGTTCTGCGAGATCCAGCAGAAGCCAACAACCTATCGCTACAAGAACCCGAGGTGTTGAGCCAGTTGTTGATGGAGTGGGAGAAGTACTATTCGGAGACGGGTTTGTACGACCCTGGTGTGGAAGCGAATAGGCTCATAATCAAGTAGAGATCGTTCATGGATTTTCGAGATAATTGTGAATCTCCAAGCGAAGTGGTTCGCAACTGATTAGTCAAAGGCTTCGATATATGCTTGCTTCTGGTTTCAGCGATCGTGCTAGCTGAACAGTGATTGAGCGTAATTGTGATATTACCCGTTGCTGCTGCAATCCATTGCTTAGTACGGATCGGGAACACTCATTCCCCAGTTCAAGGGGGCCCGTGGAAATGTTCATGTTTCAGCCAAGTCGTGCCAGATCGTGACAATCCTGCGCCAGGAGCCACCAGCAGGCTGGTACGTGTAGATTGTGCCGTACGAAAGCATTTGACCAACAAGGATACCTTTGTCTAAGGTGTGAGCAATTCATAGTATCCTAAGGAAAGAATCGGATGTATGCAGGCGACGGATATTCTGTTTGCAGCCTTCTTCTTGCGCTGCTCAATAAAGAGAGAAAAGGGGGGGGGCGTTGCTTGAGACAGCAGAAATTTGAAAAAAAAAAAAAGGTTCTACAGAGTGTTCATTGCCTCTTCTCCTGAACAGCAACCAACTACATCAAATTCCAGGATCAGCATCATCTCGAGCGCTCGGCGAAAGCATCGAGGTGCGTGACTGGAGGCGGCCAAATACGGGCGGGCCCCACCGCATCAGGCGAATGGGATCACGCATTTCCGAGAAGCCCTCTTGTCTAATCCAGATCATCAGTCCCCAAAGATCCGCGACAAAAAGTCAATGCCGAGAAATCGAGCTCGAGGGCGCGACGTCAGAACAAGCACTCTTGTTGTTCTAGTTAGCAGGCAAATAAGGGACGCGCCATGGCATCAGCCGAATTCAGTGATCCACACGATTGGCTGGGCGATCCAGCGGGTGTTGATGTGTGACAGGGGGGTCCGGGAGGGTTTCTGGCATATAAGCTACGCGGAGATGCATGGCAGTGACATTCGCCAAGGCTTTGTGGCGCCCGGGCACCGTGGAAATAGCATCACCAGAGAGCAATGTCATTCTTTCCCTCTGGGAAGTGGTAAGGTATACGTACTCAAGAGCTCCCGCGCGTGGCAATGGGTTGTTCAAGGTGTTGCTTGTTTTGGGTATCTGCCTGGCAGTAACGAAACGTGAATCAGAGCAAAAACGATAAAGCACAAGCACGTGTGTAGTTCCAACAGCATACACGAGCCGGATTCCCAAGACGAGTCAAGGCAAGAACGCAGCTAAACCGCCCCAGCGTGACGCCGATTTTCACGCCACTCACCCAAATCCAACGAAAAGAAAATCGTCAAAAGCCCCTCAAACAAGACACAAGACACAAGAGACAAGAAGAATGTCAGCCCAGACCGCCACCCTGGCTGCGCGAGCCGCGCTCACGAGCTCCACGACCAACATGACCTGCGCCACCGACGGGCCAGGAACAGGTCTATCACTGCCGTCGCTCGACTCGCTGCCTATTCCTCTCGATGCACACGCGTTCATGATCCCGGGGGGGGGGCAACGAGACGGTGGTACAGGCGATGCTTGAGTGTTGCGCCCCACACGTGCCCAACCTGGCGAACCTCTGCTATCTGTGGTGCGACTTGCCGGAGAAGTACTACAACGGTACGGTGAGCTCGTCCCTCTTGCCGGGCACGGCATTTGCCGGGTGTCTAAAGGCTCAAGGCGTGAAGATGGGGATTTCGGCGTACAGGCCGCCCAGTGCTGCGCCGGGAGAGAGGAGGAGCGTGCCGGCGATGATGACGGTCGGTCCGTGGGCTTTGGTGGTGGCGGGTACTTTGTTAGCGACATAGGCTGGTGGTGTGGTTGGGCAGATGAAAGCTGTGTAGGCCATGGCTGGCGTCGTAGTTCGCATAGCAGATCAATAATCTCTTATATCAAGGCTTATCCCTCTCAATACCAGCCTTGTACATCTTCAGGGCCGCCTCCCTGGCGTTCTTGTGCTCCACAATGCGCTGCGGATAAGCTCCTTCCTTGCCTGCCGCGCTCTTGGAGAGACCGCCCGTCCTGCCATACGGATCGTGTATCGCGGCACCTTGTACGCCCTTGAGTTCGGGAATCCATTTCCGAATGTACTCGCCCTGCGGGTCGAACTTCTCGCTCTGAAGCAGCGGGTTGAAGATGCGAAAGTACGGCTGCGGGTCGACACCGCACGACGCAGAGAAGCCCCAGCCACCATTGTTCGACGCAAAGTCACCGTCAATCAGAGTCTCCATAAAGTACCGCTCGCCCAGGCGCCAGTCGATGAGCAAGTCCTTGCACAAAAAAGACGCGACAATCATCCGGCACCGGTTGTGCATCCAGCCCGTCGCCTTGCACTGCCGCATTGCGGCGTCGACAATGGGGAACCCCGTCCGGCCGTCCTTCCAGGCCTGGAAGTGCTCCATGTCGTACGACCACTCAATGTTCGAGTACTCGGGCTTGAACGGCTTGTTCATGCAGATGTAGGGCCAGTGCACGAGCACGTGCTTGTAGAAGTCGCGCCACGCGACCTCGCTGATCCACGTCTTGATCCCCTCGGCCCCGGCGTCAAGGTTCTTCCCCTTGTTCTTATCGCGCGCGGCCCGTACCGCCGTGCGTGCGCTGAGCGTGCCCGCCGCCAGGTGTACCGAGATTGACGACGTGCACGCGTCGCCGGGGAAATTGCGCCGCTCCGAGTAGCGTGAGATCCGCTCCTCAACGAACTTGTTTAGCCGGTCAATGGCTTCGTGCTCGCCAGCGGGCCACAGCGCGTGGAAGCGCTTCTTCTCCTCTGTGGAGAGGGCCTTGTTCTTGGGTACGTCTGGAATCTCTGAGTCGAAGATTGTGCTGTGCTTGCCCTTCCGCACTGAAGCTGGGTTCTTTGTCGGGGGGTCAAAAACGTCGAGGAGCAGATCCATATGAGAATGCAGATAGGCCACCCAGGCGCGGAACCACGGTGAGTAAACCGAGTACTGCTTGCCAGAGCCCGAAGCCAGCAAGCCCGGGGGCACGATGCACGAATCGTGCAGCACCTCCATCGACATGCCATGCTCCGCGAGTAGGCGTACCATCTTCGCCTCACGCCGTAGCTCGTCGACCTCGTATTCCATGTTGGCGAACAGGTGGCTGGCTCCCCACTCACCCATGAGCGCCAGCATGCGCTGAGGGATGTCCTTGCGCTTGCCCACCGTCTCGACGTGCAGTGGGACGTCGAGAGCCGCAAGGTCCTTCTTGAGCACGGCGAGAGTGCGCATCATGAAGTCTACCCGCACGGGCGCGCGCAGGTGCGCCGTGAAGTCCTCCGGGCTGACGAGATAGACGCAGATGAGGGGCACGCCGGCCTCGGCGGCCTTCCTGCTAGCCATGCTGAGCGCGCGGTTGTCGTACGTCCGGAGGTCCATCTTGAACCAGTGGACGACTGCGTCCTTGACCTCGACCTTGGACCGCACTGAAGAGGTGTCGGCCAGGGCTTTGGTGAGAAGTTCTATGGGCCGGGGGAGGATGTTGTCGTTGTAGGCCTTTGCGCGGACATTGTTCATCTCACGAGGGTAGAAGTCACGCAGGACGATGCCGTGCTCCTCCGCCTCGTCGGCCAGGTGGTGCGGCTCGCGCAGCAGAGCTGAGTTGGGAGCATTTAAAGGTGTTGGGCTGGCATCCTTCTTGATTGTTCTGGGTTTCTTGGTAGGAGGAGGAGGGGATGGAGCCGTTGCGACCTGTGCAAGCTTGCGCTTACTCGCAGAGGGGGCCTTGGTTGCTGGTTGAAGTGCCATCTTCTGTCTTGTCGACGTCCTGGTCGCCATGGTGGGAGTGCGTATCACGAGGGTGGTCGATGGCGGCTGGGCTGCAGTGACGACACGAGACCACATGAATTGCGCGACATGTGTTCTAGGAGGAGTAGAGAACGCATTGGATTGAGAGTAAGACTACTGCGCAACATGAGAGATAGGGTGTACGAGCTGAGACTTCGCGCGGCTTGTGACAGGACGCGGCACTGGGATGCGTGCCTGAGTTCAGATCTGGAGGGTGATTGGGTCACGTCTAGATCGACGGCGCCGAGGCCGATGTCTTGTACGTCACTGATCGGGGCGCTCCCAGCTGGGGTCCAGCCGGATCGGAAGATTTGTGGGCAGACGCACAGCTGCGTCAAGAATGGCATTATGTAAGCCGTGTGATCCACGAGGTCTCCAGGTTCCCTCAAGCTTTCATTGTCACTTGGACCGAATGAGAAAGCGCGTTTGCTTCAATATTGACATCGTTTGACATGATCAAGGACTGGTAGGCATCGAACAGCCGTCAGGTTTGTCTTGTTCGATCACCCGTTGTATCAGAATAACAACTGGCTCAGTCTGCTTCTTTGCCTGAAACTTCTGGGTTGTTCATGAAAAAGTCACAAATGTTACGGCCATACAATGTCGTAATCCGTAACGACGCGTCTGCAAGTTATTTCCGTGGCTACATGATATGCGAGGCAACTCATAAAGACTTAGTCTTCTCAGGTCCGCGTAAGCGCAGATGAGAAGATTGGTGATCACGGTAGAAACATGTCTACGGCACTCGACATCCGCGCAGGAGGCTACGCGACGTGCGAAAAAGTATCATTTGTGTGACCCGTATCTGTACCATGATGGACATCTCGACCATCACGGCTTTTTCAAGGCCAAGCATTCAATCTTCGGCTTGGAGGCTGTCGAGGCAGCCCCAGAGTCCTCGCGCAGTGGAGGCACGACAACACTTTTCTAGCCGTGCAGGACCCTCCTCTTCACGTACTAGTCTGGCGAAAGCACCGACGTCCTAGACCCCAGTTCCGTTGCACCATCAAGTACACACATCACATTGCACCTCCCAAGTGATGCTCTAAATTTGTTGATGTTTTTTTTGATTTGTTTCCTCGCACCGTAGATCAGGCCGCGTAGGATATTCTATCCGGCTAGATGCGAATCAAAAGCGACAATATATGCTGCCTGCCCAAACGCGCCGTCCGCCCTGATCAATCATTTCCCATTTTTTGTCGTCAAAACACCGATGAAAAGCCTGTCGTCATGACCATTTTCCGAGGTCAGTCGTCGAAGAATTCGTTTTTCGTCTCGCGTGCCGGTCTTGTGTGCTCGGCACTCGTACGCGTGGGTATGTGTCGGTGGTGATTTGGGACGTACAACCATGCTACAGCAACCGCTTCCCCTTTTATGGCTAAAGAGGAGAAAGGCGCTTATCGCTGGGCGCTCCAGACGCTCTTGACGATGCCATCACGCTGGACGAGTCTGTTGAGGGAGTCGTCGCTCTCGCCCATGGCGCGGATGAAGCCGCAGAGAGCGTAGACGTGGTTCTCGCCCTGGATCTGGCGACCGTTCTCGTCAACCTTGGCGATGGAAATCTGCACCGAGGCGTGGTCCTTGGCCTTGATGATGCGGTTGGTGGCGCTGCACTTCCGCGGGACGTAACTGTAGAGCGAGGAAAAAATCCCATGTTAGCCAATTGCGATCTTTCTCGGCTTCGCCGGCCGCAGTTGTCTTTAGGCTCGGTACGGGGCAAGCGGTGATGCATACAGGTCGACGATCTCTCCCTTGTCGTTCTCCATTTTGGCGAAATTTGGTGATGGTCTGAAGGGGTATTCGGACGGTGGCTGGCGTGGTGATGGACTGACGGTCGCAAGTCGGGTGGTGTGCTTCAGTGCCTGCAGTGTTGCGACCCCCGAATCCAATTTTGCGAGCCAGTGGAAGAATAATGGAAATGAGGTGGGGCCGTGTGCGCGCCTTCGCTTTCCGGCCAAAGGGTGCTCAGGTGGTCAGTGCACTCGCTCACTCGACTGTCTCTGATGCACGCTGTTTGGGCACTGCTGGACCCACTCCAGTCTGGCACTCTCCTCAATGGTGACTCAGGCCAGGCAGGTCACATGATGTCGTGGCGACCTCGTGAGTGAGGATTTGCCGACAGACTGGTCGCGACACGACCATGCGAGGCCCCTGGTTTGAATGAGCCCCGCTTGCAACCACCACGGCGAGCACTTCGCAAGAATCACGTCTTTCGCAGCCTCACTCTAGTGATTCCTGGCCTCCCACCCCGCCAGCTTATTTGCTCCTGCTGGCAGGTCCACTCATGCAGACAACGACGATGCGATGTTCATGACTAGCGGATCGCCTCCTGGGGGACATCCGGTGCGGTGTCCAATATCAACGGCACATCACCATCGCAAGGCTCTCTAGACACCAAGGCACGGCTTTTGGGAGGCTCTATTCCCTTTCCGCCAACATGGAGTCTCCACCAACATCGGCTCAGCTGGTCATCTCCTCTTCTCCAGATCTGCCTGCTTTGGAGGATATCATAGCCAAGGCACCAAGAAAACCACCGCTGCGCAGTGGTAGCCGCGCTGCCGCGATACCTCTCGATGCAAGGACCACCTTCACTAGCGCTGCAGAGGTCCTGAGGGAAGCACCTGAAATTGACATCGAGACTGAGAGAATCACACGGTCGCCTGCCCGCAAGCCGAAGCCCACACAGCGGATGCGCCAGAAACAACCTGCACAACCACGAGAACGTCCAACGCTGGGGCGAGCTGGAAGTCTTGGGTCTCTGTCTCCTGACGAAAAGCCGTGGCAGCGGTACAGGAGCAGGCAGTCGTCAAACAACGGATCCCCGTCACCATCCAAGTCGCAGGCCGCCCCAGCCCCTCTGATGGAGACTGCAAACAAGTCAGAAGTCAAGGCTGGGTCGGAGACCGTGTCAAGGCACTTCGCAACCAAAGCAGAATCTCCCCCAATTGATCTGACCTCCGCGGATCCAGAGCCATCAGCAGTCCCGTTGCCTCCAGCTGGACCAAGGACGTTCGCCAGACGTCGAGAGTGGACGCCACCGCCTCCGGACTCCGTGGTGGTGCTTGACTCCGAGTCTGACAACAGAGAAGTCCTCTCCTCGGCCGTGAAGCCTTCGGAAGAAGAGACAAGACACAAGGCTGTATTTCAGACACTACAGGATGAGTTCGGATGCAAAGCCGAGAGCTCGGGTGCGGCTCGAAGCAACGTGACTCCATTAGAAGTGCTCGGCAAACGAAAATTGATCGAGACCGTTCCCATGACAGGTCATGGTCAGCGCACGTCTCGTAGTACCTCGCCGACCAAGCCAGCCACGGCAAGGCGCAAAGTCAGAACAATTACCGAGCTTGCGACTGCACCATACGCTGCTCCCATCGAACCCGAATTCGACATCACAGTGGGACACACGCGTGAGTCCCTGCTTGGCTATCTTGACCAGGGCGGCGATGTCAAGGCCTTATTCGAGGTCCAGGAGGCTGCTCTAGCAAAGGCAAAGGATGGGAAGAAGCCATCCAAGGCACCACCCAAAAAGCCACGTAAGAAGAATGGCAAGGTGGTGGAAGTGCCGATTCTCTTGTCTCCAAGCACTGCGCTTAAGCAAAGCAGTAAACAAGATTTCGTCTTTGGTACGTCAAGTCAGCTCATTATGGACGACTCTCCTCGAGCTTTACGAGAGCTGCAGCTTGCCATACAGGCATCAAACAAGCTCGACGACGAGGCAAATCCCGCCGATGACCAGCCAGGTTTGTGGCATGCTGGTGCGCGAGATATTGATGGCTCTTTACTCGAGTTCCGCTATGTCGGCAGCACCTCGCAAGATCCGGTCCGACAGTCGCCATCGCCGCAAGTGGGTACTGCCGCTGTGGCTGCGCAGAGTGACAGCGCACCGGCCAAAACTGTAACTGAGTCAGATGATCTCTCGAATCGACTTGTGGATGAATCGACAATGGCTCCAGTACCAGAAGAGACTCCAGTGGAGAGCGTAGCTGGGCTGGGTACGAAACCACGGACACCCAGAAAGGCAAAGAAGCCGAATTACGAGCTGCTTACAGACGTGCAGCTTGCACGAAAGATCAAAACATTCGGGTTCAAGCCCATCAAAAGACGCTCAGCCATGATTTCCTTGCTAGATCAGTGCTGGGAAAGTCAGCACCAGACGGCGTCTTCACCAGGTGGTGCAAGAGCCATGACGACGTCTGCATCCCCACAGTCTCCCAAGGAAGCCACCCCAATCAAAGCAGGAAAGGGAGACGGAGCAGTCAAAAGGCCACGGGGACGGCCCAAGAAAGTCATCGAAGAGCTCCCATCCGGCGGAAAAGCCAAGGTAAAGTCTCCGGCAAGAACGACAGCAAAGGCATCCCGAGCAAAAAAGCCTGCGACATCAAAACCTTTGGCTCCGATTGAAATCTCGGACTCTGATGACATTTTTGACGAGCAGCTTTCTGCGCCATCAACTCCCAGGGAGGCATCATCGCCAGAGGCCGTCTTCTCGCCCTCTGCAGCACCATTAGAAATATCTACCGGGGACGAGGCCGACTTATCCCTGGCCCTGTCACCAACAGACAATGAAGAAATTCTCTTCAAGCATATCACGAATGTGGTCAAATCGATGGCACGGTCAACTGATCCAGCGGAGCCTTCTTGGCATGAGAAGATGCTGCTCTATGACCCTATTGTCCTCGAGGATTTTGCCGCGTGGCTCAACTCAGGTGAGCTGACGAAAGTGGGTTGGGATGCCGAGGTGGCCCCTTCAGATGTCAAGAAGTGGTGCGAGTCCAAGAGCGTGATATGTCTGTGGAAGCAGAACACGCGTGGGAAGGAGAGAAAGCGATATTGATTGTGCTTGTTCTTGTAGCACCTGTGATGGCTGTGGCCTCCAACACGGTTGCTCAGCAATTTCTGTGATTTGGATTGGCGTCAAGCAAGGGATTTGGTTGGAGCACAGCATGGGTTTGGAACGTTGGCAGCGGCGTAAGCGACTTATATACCCTGCAATTCTTAGAGCTTGAACATGCATTTCTTTCAGAGACGGAGTGTTGATTCCCATCGAGGTTGAGAATTCCAGAATTGAGTGCGTGGCAAGGGGACTTTGCGGGATACTGCGAGAAGGCGCTTGGTAGCACCTGCCCGGAGAGATACTGGGGTGCCTCCACGCGCTGTTGCTCATTTCATCAGTGCATTTGTCTAAAGCGAAAGAGGCCACCAGGCCTTACATACAGCCCTCGTGCACTGTACCACAGGCACCACAGGCCTCGCTTGAACAATCAGCAACACCAACAGCAGCAAGACGGAACACAGCACCGAGAATCGCCGCCCAAACGCGATGGCCACTAAGCGGCGCAGGTCGTCCAGTTCGAACCGCGTCGATCGGCTGCGTGAGAAACGCGTGAGGACAGGTTCATATCAGCCACAGCAACACGGGACTCCTTCGCCGAGCCGCCAAGACCATGACGACGAGCTCGTCCCATCACCCGCGTCGCCCTTGGGAGAGGGACGGATCAAGGTCGAAGATCGTGTATCCGAGGAAAGGGATCTGCATGCTTCTCCACGATCCAGTCGACATTCTCCAAGAACTGAGCCACCACGGCGGCGGCAAGAGGTGAGTCTCTTTCCATGCAACGAAACCATCACAAACAACCTTCCCCTTGGAGCGCATCGTAGCTTGAATCAAATCGAGACTGAGTGGACAAGGAGCTTATGTCACAACAAGCAGCAAACACCCCTCGATCACAACTCTCTCCCGTACAACGACCGGCCCCCTCGCCCGCGGCCTCGGATGATATGCGTCACTCTCTGGAACGGAGACGAGTACAACTGCCACTACCAGCACCACCTACAGCGGGTCTTCGTCAATGCAAAGGGAAGCTAGGACTTTCCCTCTTCCTTTGCCGAACTGATGGAGGTAGCTGATCGGGCGGCAGCTCGCCTCAATGAGGTGGGTATCCCTGTTGTGGTCAAAATGCCGTTGGCGACATACACCAAGATTGTGAGTTGCGCACTTCCTGACGCAAGCCTTTTGAGTCCTGAGACAACGTGTTCATTCGATGCAGGAAGGATACGACTTTGCGTTCGATGTCGTATTTGCGCCAAGGTGGCGGCGTAGGCATCAGGACGCGAGCCCGAGGCAGTCGAACGCAGTGTTGAACTATGATGATGTCGCTCTGGAGAGATGCCCCCGCCGCGTGTCCACAGATGCCACCTCGTGTCAACAAATGGACAAGCTTCAAGGACATCTTGACAAATCGCGCCATGGTCGGGGACAGACACATAACGGCAGCACGGATGCTCAGACACAGACGGATATGCGTAGAGCAGGCACGACCATCCAGCTGGGCTGCTCCGAAACCGATCACCACAGGCACCAGCAGCACGACAAGGCAACTCAGACGTCCCCGAGGCCTCCCAGAAGGGAAATTGACACCATCAACAACAACATTACTCGCGGGAGCCGGAAGCTCACAAAACCAGCAACCACGGAGCACAAGATCGACGGCGTAAATAGGATCCTCACAGCGATAGATTCCGTGTTCAGCAAGTTTGACCAGAGGCTCGAGGAAATGGATGTCATGCTGGATATTGACTTCTCTGCTTTGGACGGTGTGGTCTAGAATCGTTGAAGGAAAGTCATTCACGGGCTTTGCCGAGGACTCTCGATAGTGTTTTCTTGTTTCAATCATGTTAGTAGTTTGTCGAATTCATTGTCAGGACTCAACTCTCCCCCTTTCAGCTGCTGAAATATGTGACGGCTGCAGACTCGACTGGACGATCTGTCCGCACAGAAGGAGCTCATGCAATGACCCAGAGAAACGTGAACACTTTTTGCAATAGATATTCTGTGTGTTGTCAAAATCTTGAGCCTTCAAATTGCATATATACTAGCAGACATTCTTATAGACAATGGAACAATCTTGAGGCACACGATGTCGCCTAGGCGAAAGCACCGACAAGGGCCATGAGCATCGCACCGGCGAGCACCGCGCCACCAGCGCGCAGTCGCTCTTTGCCCTTCAGCGATCTGTAGCTCTTCTCCGTCAGGAAGTCCTCTGCGAGGAGCTGCACGAGGCCTGCAAAGAGCAGCAGCCCGCTCGAGATTGCGTTCATGAAGCCCACCACCAGCAAGCCGGTCTGGCTCATCGGGTCGTACAGCGTGTGCACGGCGAGCCCGATGGCCTGGCCGAGGGGCGTGGTGCAGCCGTACGCGAGGACCATGAGCCACGGCCGGACGGAGGAGCGGGGGAAGTTGATGGCCGCGATGCGGGAGCCGAGCGCCAGCCCCTCAAAGGTCTGGTGGAAGGCGATGGCCGTGAGGAAGACGACAAAGGGAGGGCCCGTAGCGACGGAGACGGCCATGCCGATGAAGACGCTGTGGAACAGGATGCCGGCTTCGAGGAGCATGCACTGCAGCATGAGCCGCTTCTGCTCCTCGGGAGAGCTCGGGCCTTGTGCGGCAATGTCGTGCTGGTCGTCGTGTCGTCGTTGCCGGGCGGCACCAGCAGCCTGCGGCGCGAGGGATCGTGACTCTTCTGCGGTCGTCGGGTCGAGCTCGTCCATGTCGAGGTCGAGATCGTCGTCTTCGCTGTCGCTGTCGGTCTGGAGTTTGGCTCTATGGGGGTCGCCCGGACTCGCTGGCGTTGTGTCGACTACCGGAGTCATGCCGGGCATGGGGGACACGTCTGCCATGAGACCCTGGCTCGCGCCTACATCGCCCATGGCAATGTCGGACGGTCTATGACTAGCGTTTCTGCTCGCGGCAAGGCCGCTTGTCTTGTGGTTGTTGCCGTTCGGTAGTCCAGGCCCTTGATCACTTCCAAACTTATTGTTGACGTCCTCGTCGTCCGATTCCCAGCCATGGTGATGGTGGTGATGCGAGGCGCCTCTGGTGGTCAGGTACGACTCGAGAACGACGACACTCATGGCCGAGATCATGGCGACGAGGCCGGCCATGGGCTGGTAGCCCTCGCTGAAGGCATATGGGAGGCAGGGGTTCGTGAGGGACACGAATGCTGTCGGCAGCAGGTGCACGAACGCGGTCGCGATGAGGACGCCGGTGCCGAAGTGTTGGCACAGAAAGACAAAGTAGCTGGTCCGCCGGCTTTTCGAGGATCGCCGGGAGAAGAGGGGGAATCCGCAAGCTGTTGTACGACAGAGGTCAGCACATTGGTGTTGCTCCTTGGGACTGCCACGCTTTGGTATCGAACGAGAGTAGGGGGCCGCCTACCGATGGTACTTAATGTGAGGATCAAGACGAGTGCAAAGACATGCAAAGGCGTGTCGTATGCACCGCGCTCTTTGGTGCCACAGGCCGGCTGCGGCGGCTCGGCTGTGTCGGTCGCGCCCGCGGAGTCGCCATCTTGGCGCCGGGACAGTTCTGCGAGGAGGAATTCGGTCGGGAGGGAGGAAGCCCAGGCGGAGAGGTCTGAAAGAAGAGGGCAGTGTCTGGGTTAGCAGAGCTCATGAGCTCACAGGGAAGGAAGGGGGTGAGGCATACCGGAGCCGATTTCGGGGAGGGCCATTGTCGCGGGCGCCGGCGGCGAGCGTAGCCAGGGGGAGGAAGGATCTGCTATGGGGAATCACGGGCAGCTTGTGGGCAGACCATGGCGAGCCGAGAGAGGGTGGTGATTGAGGAGGCAACGACGCAGTGATGCTGCCCTCAGGGTTGTCTTTGCAAGATGACGGCGGGCTTGGGTCCGGACACGCGGCCGCCAGGGCAGACAGTGGTGGAGCCAGCTTGCAATTGCTGGAAGGCGCGGGCCCCAGCGTGCGCAGAGCAGAGACCCCACCCCACCACTCGATCCGCGGACCCGCCCGGAGCCGCATCTTCAACTTGCGTCTTCTAGACCATCGTCGGATCAAGCACACAGTCTAGGACTAGAGGCGGGGGTGCCGGCCACTGACAAGGACATCTGCCAGCATTATTCCAAGAAAACCTATCACTCCTAGCCCCTGTCTTCCAACTCTGCGAAACAAACCCCCCGGCTCGTTCGACAGCTTTACACAACATCTCACATTCTTCACTGTGAGACATTCCATTGCCACTCTTGTACAGGCGGCTCAACCTTGGTGAACATTTCGACCTTTATGCGTCGCTTGCGGAGCCCAAGGGCCCGAAGAGCCAAATATCCACGACCAAACCACATTTGAAGACATCTTCAAGAGGTGCACGCCCATGACGTCTTGATTCGGTCGTTGATGGAGCGGGCATGGGAACTGGATCCCGTAAAGATAGTTTAGGCCCTTGGGAACTAGACTCCATTGCTAAAGGGACATTAATACTTGTCGGAAATCGCCCTCCATCGCCAAGACGCCCGGCTCGCATCCCGAACTTGACCTCGCTTCTTGCCTCGCATGCATATAATTCTCCTTGTCAACTCGGATCGTGCTGAATCGGGCTCGAAATGGCAAGTTTGCCTGGCCCGACTCCATGATTCATGCCAGCATGAGGACATTTGGCATGATTTTAAACAAGGACATGACCCAAAACATGGAAACTCAGCTGAGGTAAGTGTGCCACGGGCATGGACCATTCCGGAAGCGAGGACAAGCTGACAAGCATAGGTCATGAATTTTGTTGGGACTGTGAGAGACGATTAACAATGTCTCGAATAACCCTAGGGTATGTTAGTCGTGGGATAATCTCCGGGGACCAAGGGTACCCAGAAGGAATCGGCTGATCTCGCGCAGAAGGGTTCAACGCCTCTTTTCTTTGGCCCATAGTTGTATCCTCGAGTGCCCCAGAAATGGGGTGATGCGGACTCTTCAGGAACAAATCGACCAGACCATCTAACGGGACTGTCGACTGGAGACAGCTGGGGGAGAGGGGAAAGGGCAATAGGTCGAGTACGCTGCCTACACATGGGATTTCTATATTGTGCTTCAGGCTTCCAGAGCTGGCATGCATTTTGTCGCTGTTGGTACAGAATTTGGGTGCTGGGTGCTCTTTCAAGGAACTTTAGTGGACGAATCAGACGAGTTTTTGCCAGCACAAGTTGCCATATCGGGAAGGGTAGAGTGGGGCCGAACTACCTGTGGACTCTCAACTGGGCCCGATGGGCAGAAGATCACAGCACAGTGAGAATGCAAGAGCGAGTAGGATATGTGGCACGAGTGTGCATAATAGTGCAAGGAAAAGAGAGATTGGTTGGAATTCCCCATTGGGTTTTGAAATGGTGGTATCATCGAGAGCTGAAGGACGTAATTATGCTGTTGCTCAGAGGAAAAGCGGGCATGTGAACGACTGAGAGCTGGCTCTGTTCGATTTAGCTATACCTGGGCTCCTCCTTTTTCCTTGTTCTTTTAGGCAAAACTGATGCTGGTCTTGCAAGGCGTGCCAAATAGTGTTGAATATTGTGACACATGCCGCTAGGAGACATTTTGCGTTAAGCCTGACCAAGCCAAGAATGTCAAAATTCCCCTTTTCACATGCAGGCTCAAACTTTTTCTGACAAGGCGAGTAGAGTTGTCAGGACATTTCAAGGCCTTGCGCGGAACTCTATCTCAGCCTTACCAAGGAGCATGTGGCTGGAGGCTGCGGAGATATCTCTATTGCATTTGCCACTGGCCGCTGCATTGACGCAGGACTCATGCTCGTGCAGTGGTATCAAACTCTGCCTGCAGGGTTAGTGTACCGCTGCACTGGGTTCGTGGCTTCAGGGCTTGCAAACCACAGAGATGGCGGGCAGCGTCAAAGTGGTCTGATTCGCCTTCGGTCTGGACCATGACTATTCGAAGGAGGCATTCGGCAGCTTTATTGAAGGTTGCAGTAAGTGGCTTGCAACGTCCCAGAGAGGCGGGTTGAGTATCGCCGGGTCGCCACACACTCGATGCATTTTGACTGTGCCCCTCTGCTGTCTCTAGCACACTGCACACTAACAGCTACTTTACCAGAGTCCTTTGCTTTTGACTGGAAACGCTGGAACGGCCTTTGGAAAGCCCCACGTGACTTGACCTGCCCAGGTGAGCATGATTGACCCTACCGTGCCAGGGCAATGTCGTCTGCAACAGAAAGCGATGCGAAGCTTTGCGGCCATTTGAGCAAGTTTAGTCCGACAAGGGCAAGTGGCGTTGTCCAGGTTCCAGCCTCCCCGCACCACGCCCCTGCGTGGGTTCCACTTAATCCCGGTCCCACAGCAGCAACAGCAGCAGCAATGTACCGCCGCCGCCCAGCACCACCCCAGCGCGAGCTTGTTTCTTTCTTCGACCCTGACGATCACGCCCAGCTGGTCGAGCATGTTGCTTGCAAATAGCTGGAAGCTGTGACTCTTGCGTTGAGGAGACATCTCTGTTGAAGGACTAGTGGGCATCCATGGAGTTGGGAGCTGGAAGTCACAGTCCCCAAGGCGGGTCTAGCTGTACTCGGCAGCAGCAAGTACAGGCTATCACGGGTCACCGCGCGAGAAACAACCTCCAATGTGCCCCTGCGGCCCCTTCGACCTTGTTCCGCTTAAGCATGTTTTCTTTCCCCTTCCCCTATCACCCTCAAATGCTGCATTACCCCTGCTCGCCAGTTCACTGGGCGGGAAGTCTAGCCCAATCCGTAGCCCGGGGGCCTCAGCTCAGGAAGCCCTGGACCAGCTCCCGTGGGGAAACTTGCTCACCCAAATTCACTCGAGCTTGACCTCTCTGGCTGAGAGCCGCACATCCAGCCCACCAACCTGGGTACTACATCTTTGTCCAAAAGCCACAAACGTCCCCACCCGCCGCCGCAACCGCCTCTTAGAGCTCGTGGAGGGCCCAGAGCCCTGTCTGTCCAGGTGCTCGTCCGTGATATTAGACCAGCCGCCGCCTTGGCGGACGGGCTCTCAGCTCTGACGGGGAAGAAGGAGAGAAAACTTGCTCATCGCGCGGAGCTCGGCTGTGGCATGTCCCTGCAGGGCAGGCAGGCACGTCTTACCTCCTCGCTTTCCCACGTGCTTCTGGCCATGAAACTTTTTTGGGACGGATCATGTATAAACATCCCTCGACCACCCCCTTCTGGATCCAGCAATCCGCATCTGGTTCCCTTTTCCTTCTGCCACCCCAGGTCAATCAGCCAGTCCCTTGCCAAACCCAGCTCGAGCCAGCTAGCCAGCCAACCGGTCAATCACCTCCGTGTCCTCCGCCCTTCAAAAAAGAAAGCCAAAGAAATTGTCAGGATGCGTTCCTCCACCACCACCATCACGGTCCTGGCCACCGCCCTCGCGGGCGCCCAGCTCGCCTCGGCGCACTTTGGCCTGGTCTACCCGCCCTGGCGCGCCGACACGCTTTCCGAGGAGAGCGAGGAGATTTACTCGCAGTGGGAGCACCCTTGTACGTGATTTCCCCCGCCGTGCCTGGCCTCCGTGTACTTGCCCTCCTTGTGCGTTTTCCAAAACCACTCTGGTACTGCAATCGCACGGGGTTTCTCTTTCTGCGGGGGTGCACACCAATCATGAGAGAATGAAACTGCGGGCTTCATGCGGGCTTCATATGATAACTTGCTTTGAACAATGGGGTATCTCTTGTGTGTTACTTCTTAAAAAACGCTACACATGCTAACTCACGCCCCTCCTGCTAAAAGGCGCCGGGGTAAACACCACCACGAACCGCACCGCCTGGCCTATCGGCGGCGGCGCCATCGAGCTCGAGCTGCACCACCCCTGGGCGTACGTCTGGGTCAACCTCGGCCTCGGCGACAACACGACAAACTTCAACATCTCCCTCACCCCGGACCTCTACAACATCTCGGGCAAGGGCGACTTCTGCTGGCCCAAGCTGCCCGTCCCCATCGAAATCGCCGACGGCACCAACGCCACCATCCAGGTCGTCACTGGTGGCGCGAGCGGCAGCGCGCTGTACAACGTGAGTTTCTCTTCCTGCCCACCACCGCCTCTCTCTCTCTCTCTCTCTGTCTGTCTCTATATATTCCTCTTTCCCTGTATCTTCTCTACTAACGCTGGCGTCTCATCCCAAAACAGTGCGCAGACATCACCTTCCGCGCCGATGCGCCCGTCCACGAGTGCGCCAACAGCACACAGTTCGACGTCACCGTCATCCGCAACGGCGAGGCCATCGTCGGCGGCACCGCCACGTCCGGCGGCAGCTCCCAGACCCCGGCCGGGTCGAGCGCCACGCCCGCCGCGAGCACCAGCAAGCCCGCCGCCGGTGTGAGCGTCGGCGTCAGCCTTGCGACGCTGTCGGCGGCCGCGGGTGTCGCGCTTGTCTTTGCCCTGGGGCTCTGAGAAGAAAAAGGAGCGAGGTGAACGGTGAAGCTGGAAGGAAGGGGATGATGTGCAGCATTTGGGTGCTGGGTGTGAGAACCTGTCCATTTCGCGGCATTGCGCGGTGGCTGCCTCACATCAGTGTACAGCATTTGTTCTTGAGAGCTGCCTGGTCCCCACGCCAAGCGGCGTGCTTCAGTTCTAGCGTGATTATTGAAAAAAGCCAGCGATTGTTGATCATGAATGCCAGCATGACCCTTCCTGTACTGAGAAGGTCGAGTGACGTTGACCGACTGTGCTGTGGCAACAGACGATGATCCTCAAGTTGGAGTTGATTTGAGCGGGGAGGCGGCTGGCAACAGTCAATCGAGCCTGTTGCTGGCAGTGCTCATCTGGATAACGCCCCAAAGGCTGGGCGCATATGGCTCGACGCACTGTGCAGCTGCCAGACCCGGAAACAACCAAACTGCCGCTCACAAGCTCATGCTCATACACTTAAGGGTGTTTATGCTTTTGCGGCTAATGTATTGTTGATTGAACTCTGACATGGCATTCATGTTTCAGCTGGGTCCAGCAGTGTTTGTGATCCGCCGATGTGACTGTGTCACAGTCAATGCGGTCGTTGCTGTTGTCGTGGTCGGCGGTGCTGGCTGTCGCAGCCCAGGCATGCTACGTGGACGATTGCTCGTTGCGCTCATGGAGCTCGACGCAGACGAAGTCGATCCCACGGCCAGCCGGGCCCTGCTCGCTCTTGGACTCCGCGATGATGTCGCCGCCGCATTAGCATTAGCAAGCTCGTCAGCTGGGAACAGCTCCACGATGACCTTGGCCATGGTGATGCGCTGGTTGGGGTTGGGCGTGAGCATCTGCGCGACCAGGCCCTCAACCTTGTCCCGCGGGTCTAGCCGGGCCTTGGCGTCCTTGACCTCGATGAGCCACTGCTGCATCTGCGAGATGGCCGACGGCTGGCCCCGCGCGTGGTGAGAGTGGACCGACTTGCGGTTCAGGTCGGCAATCATCCAGTACAGCTGCCGCGGGTGGCCCTGGCGGCCGCGCGCGTCGGGGAAGGGGATCTTGCGCAACACGTAGAGCATCGTGACCCCCAACGCCCACACGTCGGACGCGGGCCCGCGCAGCTTCTGCCCGATGAACTCGGGGGGCACGTAGTACGGGGTGCCGCCGTTGGTCGCCGGGTCAGTCTTGCGCGTGGAGAGGCCAAAGTCGCACAGGACCGCGCCCCGGTCCTTGGAATACAGGATGTTGGCGGGTTTGATGTCGTTGTGGATCTTGTTCTTGAGGTGCACGTAGTGCAGCGCGCTCGAAATGTCGCGCAGGATGCGCAGCGCGTCGGCCCGGCCGCCGACAAACAGGTCCGACCGGGCGTCGCGCCAGACGTTGCGCGCGGCCAGGTCCTTGCCGTCCACGTGCTCCATGTATAGCGACAGGTACCGCGCATCCCCGCCGTAGAGCTTGACAATCGACTCGTGCTGCAGGTCCTCCTGGCTCTGGTACTCCCGCATCCAGATGTCCGCCTGCCGGATCACGTTGCGGTGGGCGTCGTGCGGCGCCGCGCTGGGGTTGCGCGTCTTGAGCACCTTGACGGTGATGACGCCCTCGGGTGCGTGCGAGTAGTCGGCGGTGAAGACCGACGACGCTGCCGTCGTGGCAATCTGGTTGCGCTTGGTCAGCTGGTACTGGTCCAGCTCGCACCCGCCGGGGATCGACACGGTGTCGTCCTTTTGGATCTCCAGGAGGGCGTGCCCGTGTGGGATGGCGACCTCCTTGGTCTTGGCGGCGTGTGGTAGTGGGAACACGAGGGACTCGTCCCGGGGTCCCAGGAAGATGATGACGCCGTCCTTGTCCTCCTGCCCAGTCTCTTCATCGACCAGGCTGTCGTTCATGCGCAGCCTCTTTTCAATCGAGGCATTCGCTTGGCCCAGGTCGTCCTCGGAGAACGACCGCTTCACGGACGAGTTGAGCACTTGAGAGGTGGTCACAAAGGATGACAAGTCCGAATCGTCACGGGGGATGCGAAGGGTTGCGGGCCGTTTCTCGAGGATCCTAAAGTCGAGGATTGGCTTGCTCGCCACAGTGATTCTCCATGTGCCAGGCAGCAGCTCCTTTGTGGTCATGGGCACAATCTCCTGGCCAAACGACGGGGAGCCCGCTTCAAGCTGCGACCGCCGGGCCAGGACGATGGGCACATCAGACTTGTTCAAAAGAATCAGGCTGTCGCTGGCCGGGTCGTAGTACAGCTCACACCATAACGGTGGCCGATGCTCGTCGTCAGCATCGCCAGGAATGCGAATAGAGAAGTTGATGTCCTTGGACGTCTGAGTGACGGCGAGGACGGTCGACTTTGGCTGCTTGGGGTCTGCGACCTCTGCGCGGAGGGCGAGCCACTGGCAGTTGTCGTTGCCTGGGCTGACGGAGCGGCTGCGGGTGAGCGGCCTTACGAGGATGCGAATGCCCTTTTTGTGGTGGTCCTCCTCGACAACAAGACTATCGAGTGGCACCTGGTCGTCGTGCAGGTCCTCGAGGTCCTCGACGCGAATGGACTCGCTCAGCCGGAGCTCCATCTCCTCGGCCGTGAAGGGCTCTGTCCTCTCCTCAGAGGGGAAGACTTCGCCCATGGTGGAGATGGCGGTGGGTTGCACCAGCAGCGGGTGAGCAATGGTGGCAGTGGATCTAGTCGCATATGAGATACAGGGACCAGTGCAGCGGAGCGCGGAAGAGGGGGCAGCATATACGTTTATATATGATATGATCTGGGGAGGCAACGAGGGAGCCGTTGCGAGCGTTATGCGTGCGTTGTGTGTGTGTGTGTGTCTGCTTGTGCGTGTCTGTGCTATATGCGGGTGTGGTTTCTGGGGGTTGGAGGTTTGTGTGTGTGGTTTGGGAGTATCAATGATGAGAGGGTAGTAGTGTATGTATGAGCTGACAAGACAAGAAGGAACACAAGAAGACCAGAAGAAGCGCTCGCTATGCAGGCATGCTAATACTCAGCAGAACATGGAAGTGAGGCCGGCGAAGGAAGCCCTGGGCCAGGAACGCAGCAGTCAGGAGGGCAGGCCCGTTGACCAGGACGAGTCGTCTGCCAGGCACAGCAGGCCAGTTTTGAGAGGTGAGACTGACAAAGGGAGAGAGAGATGGAAGAGGTCAGAAGCACAATCCTGTGCGGCTGGTCCCGCGCTCTTGGGGGGGAAGGAGCGGCGGGAGGGCCTCGCTCGGGTGGCAGTGGCAGTGGCAGAGGCAGAGGCAGAGCCCCACCGGCAGGGCAGACTGACAGACAGCAGCACCAGCGCCCGCGAGTACAAGAAGGGCACGCTCTCGCTCGCCGCAAAGTGCGCAATGGGAAACCAAGGCCAGCGTGCTCTGTGCTGTGGGATCGAGCTAGTAGACGGCAAGACCTCAAGACAACAAGGAGAGGAGATCCCAGCGGGCTCTCTGTCGTCATCTGAGGACGCTCCCGTCGTGGTGAGTCACCCGTTCTATTGTTGGCTCTCCTGTCACTTGACTACAGTCTGTCCCAGCACGCGACTCAAGAGGCAGAGGCACACACAAGAGAGCTGCTGCTAGGGCCAGGGGCACAGGAACGAGGCTCAGCCTCAAACGGCTGCCTCTAGCGCGCTGGGAAGAGTATACATTGGTTAGCTCTGTTGCGCCTCATGAGGCTTCCCAGCCCCCAGTTGTGGCTGATCCTTCAACCACAACACGAGCCCTGCCCAGGTGGGAGACAATGGGGTAGTAGCCGCGGTTACAGTATCCGCAAAGGACACATGTCTGTGCTCCTGAGCGTACTCAGCGACCAGACCAGCCGTCATGTGGTCTCTCCAGGGTGGCCACCTGGATTTGCAGGCGGGCGAGGTTGATCTCGTGTTGTGGGTTTCTATTTGTGAGCATCCAGAAGACTTTCACACGGCAACACATCTATCTCATGGTTCGGGAGGAACGACTGTGATCGGGGCCATGCATCCCGTTTCCCATCGATCGAAGGCCATGCCAATACTGCCTTTCGAGAGCGATGACGATGTTCTCGTCTTTATGCTGCAAACAATGCCGTTGTAATGGAGCGGGACCTGACTGTGTCCACGCGGAGGAAGCAGCCTCGCTCCCCATCAGGAGGGGCTGTCTGTCTGTCCTCGTGTGGCGGTCAGCCGGGGACGGCCCAGGCATCGTGACCACTGGGGCATTGAGGAGTCGCTCCTATTCCAACAACTCACGGCGTCTTATTCGACCTCAGAGATGGCTACGGACGCTTATTCAAGGGCGTCACCCCATCCCTCCCAGTCGTGGATTATCGTCATTGCAAAGACTTTGGGCGCTCTCCTGGACACCCTCGTTGGATGGTGGTGATGGTGGTGGTGGGCGGCGACAACACCGACGACAGCAAAGACGACAGACAGGCAACACCGGGCCATTTTCGCACGTCCGCCCCGTCGCTGTCTCTCAGCAGTCAGCAAACCCCCGCCACGGCCAGTCCTACGCAGGCTGATTCCACCAGCCCTCCTTCCGAGCCTTTCTCCCTGGCCCAACCCTGCACAAACCCTGCAAGCCAAGTGCCCGATTGCATAATGGTGGATCACCAGCAACATTCAGACATGTTCATTGGCCCTCGCTGCTAGGACTGGGCCTTCGTGATTGGCCTCCGCCAGCCACAGCCCATGCATGGTCTCAGCAGAGAGACGTCGTAGCGTAGCAGCGGGCCCCTCCCGGCTGAGCCAGGTTCTTCCCATTGGCTCACACCTTGCACAAACCCGGCAGTGTGAGTGGGCCTTTGCTCCTTGACGCGCGCTATTATTGGCTGCACTCGCCCTTCCTTGCTGCCTGAGTTTTCAGGCGCTCGCACGCAACCGTTCCAGGTCCTGCCCATTCCCCCCAAGACCACGCCATCGCCAGGTCGCCCGAGGGCTCAGTGTCGCCAGGTCAGTTCACGGAGCCTCTGCCTGCCAGTTTCACCTTTCTCCTCGCTGCCATCGTCACCAGAGTGCCGTCTTTCACCTCCAGCACAGTACCGCCAACGTCTCTTCCGATCCCCGCCGGTCAGCATACTTGCACAGCAGACGACAGCCACTGTAGCCCAGTGTTAGACACGCCTCTACCCGACACCGCACAGCGACGAGACAAGATGGATCCCTCTGGTAGTCAATAAACGGCTTTGCTGGACAGCAACACCCCTACCACCACCATACAACCAGCAGCAGAGCCCTAGCACGCCTTCGTGTCGATAGCGACCACGAGGGCCCTTTGAGACGAGACGATTTCTTCGATAACGATACCCCCGTGTACACCACTTTCCTTGCGTAGTCGACCTCTTGTTTTCCTTTTCGCAGCAACCATTGATACCCGGTCTCCCTGGACCTCCACTTCGTAGCAAGGCGTTCCGGACTTTGATTGGGACATGGACGAACCGAGTTGGCAATGGCCGGCCTGGAAGTTTGGGATGAAGAGGGAGGACCTCTTCACCAAACTCCATGACCAGTACAATACCATCCCCTCCAGCATCCAGGACCCCGAGGCTTTCCACCACGACGTCTACGAGATCTCGACGACGGCCAGCTCTCCTACAGAGTTCCACCGTCTCCTGGCCGAGCGCAAGGCGCTCCGTCTGCGGGAGCTCAACGAGTCGCTCGAGTCTGCCGCCGTCGAGATCATCGCCAACCCCGACCTGATTGGCACCGAGCAGTGGCAGCACGCCATCCAGCTCTTTCGCACACGCTCGCTGGACTCCCTCGTGAGGTACTACTCGTCATATCTACCCGACGAGCACCCATGGAGGACGTCAAACCACACAACCGCGACCGCCCAAGTCCCTGTCGACGACGTATACATCTTTGACAGCTCTGACGACGACATATATGATCGCGTCACCTATGAACCCAAACACATCACCACCGACATTCCCGCAAGCCACATGCCTCTCTCACCGCGGTCCTCGACGATGTCGTCAGACCTCTCCGGCTCTGCGCTCTCGCCTATTGAGCTCTCTGACTCTGAGCTCGCTTTTGATCTTGCGACGCCATCGCGAGCCGCGTCTTACGCGGACACTGAGAATGACTTGGTGTTTTCCGCGACCTTGACGGCGTACGACGATGAGGAAGACTTCTCCCAGACGGATGACCACCTGTCGCCTCCGACATCTGTCTCAGACTATGACGAGACGCGGTCACTCCCTGACACCTCTGCATCATATACCGATGATGAGGTGCCCACCACTTCTTGTTCCTTCACACCTGCCGCGTGTGATGAGACTGACGATGGTGGTTCAGAGTCGGAAACCCCGACGCCTCGCAAAGAGGCGCCCTCAGACTCGTATCTCTCGTGTCGGTCGGCGGGCAACAAGTTCTCCACGTCATCATCAGCGTCGAGCGCAGCGATGCGACGAAGTCAGTCTGCATCGTCGTTGTATACGCAGGTTCTTGCCGAGTACGTGCGCGGCCACCCACGCAGGAGTCATCGCGACGCTAGCCCGGGAGGTTTCCACGGCAGCGGCAGCAGAAGGAGGAGTCCTGAGCTTGGTCGAGTACAGAAGCCGTCGACAGAGTTCTCAGTATTCCGGTCAAAGTATCGGCGGAGGGCGGATTGAGTCCAGCTGGACTTTCAAGTGTACATACTTGATGAACATAGCGATGTCTTTTAGCGATATACCTTCTTTCTTCTTGATTACTAGCGTCGACACGCATGACTGCTTGACAGATGAGGCCATTCAGAGTTTTGTTCAGCGTTGGTGTGATGCAGACTGACACATTTGGAAACAGGTGGCCTTCCCATGAACTGATGAAATAAGTGATTCTTCATAGACCGTCCTATTCTCGTCGCAAAATAGATAAGTACTGGACTGTTCTCCCCATCCCCCATCATCAACATCACCACCCCCAAGCTGAGATCCGTTGACTTCCGTCCCGCCATTTTGAGATGTGCAGCACATCGAGAGGCCCCAAAAAGAGCTTGGACAGAGAGACATGACAGGAACCAGGACCTCCCACGACGGGGCTAGACTTCAGGTGGGAGAACCCACTAAAACCCCGGATCTTCAGCGCCTTCCCCCAGGGCATTCTCAGGGCAGTCTGTAGCGGGTCATCAACCCCGCCTTTCAGCACTTGACTTCACATGCTCAAAGTGCGTGCGCCCCGGTGACGTCTCGCTGGTCGTGAGGTCATTGACTTTTTCCCACTTGGTGTAGTTGCTACGAGGTCCATCATAGCAAGTAATGTTTAATTTACCGTAATGAGGTCACCGCAGTTTAGAGGAATTGTATATCACGGAGCAAGAGCACTCTATTCGGGCAGGGTTCTTTCCCTTTTTGTGAACCGTCCTCCTTTCTGCCTCTGCCTGTGCCATTCATCCTCCCGTGGCAACTCCCGTGTAACTCCCGTGTAACTCCCGTGCCCCCTGTGTAAAACAGCTTGGAGACGTCACAATTAGGTCACTCACATTGATCAGACATAACATTTCTCCATTCTCGGCTCTCCACCTTAAAAAGAGCATCGTTTTAAACCACGACTCTCGCAGCGTACAAGTCGCCACTTCAAAAACAAAAAGAAAAAAGTAAGAGATAGAAAAGTGTCCAGTCGCAACAATGGCCGGCAAGGACAACGAGACCCTCCGCGAAAAGGCGGCCAAGAAACTGCACGGCCCCGGCGCGAACCCGAGCCAGCTCGGCGACCCGATCAGCCTCAAGAGCGAGACGAGCGAGCGCATCCCGAAGCCCGAGGAGGCTGGCGCGCACGGGCAGAAGGACGGCAACAACAAGGACGGCTCGCCGTATGCGCCGCCCGTTGCTCCGCCGCCGCCCACCCATGATGCGAATTGGGACTCGAACACGCCTTCGAAGCAGCGCGAGCTGGAGAACAAGAAGAAGTTGGAGGACAACAAAGCCGGCGGTAGTGGCGGGAAGGCGGCCAAGAAGGGCGGCGATCCGGCTAGTCTGAAGAAAGAGATCAGTCAGAAGGCACCGACACCGACGGAGGAGGGTGCCAGTCCTGGGGCGAAGAAGGGCAGGGAGTCGAAGCTTTGATTTCACTTTGCCTTTTGCTTTGACCTGGGGCTGTCGAATTTCGTGTTCGCGGTATCATGATATCATTATTGTCCCAGCTGGAGATGTGCCTTGCAAGGCCTGAGATGGGAGCCGAACACGTTATGCTCATGGAGATAGGCGCGCAGTCGGATTCATGAGCTTCTCATTCACGTTCACAGATCAACGATCATCCGACCAGTGTAAGTTAAAAGGACATAGTGCTTGTCGTCAATTTTCAAGCTGGCATGACAACTAGAGTAGCATGGGAAGACTTCTCAAGATTCTGGAGAGGCTTAACCCTCGGTCCTTGATAATGTATGCCATTCCTTCCTGCAATGGCCGAACCAGACCTGGCGAGGACCTATGCCGCTCGACAGCTAGAACACCTAACCGCAAAAGTGATTTGATTCTCTGCTGAACTACCTCAGACACCTGAAGCCACCTGCTCGTTTCTCGCTGCTCAGAGCACAGAAGGTCTGATCTCCAGGCCGGCCGGGCTGGTGCCGTACTCCTTCCCGATGAACTGCTCAAAAGTCATGGCGCCGGTGAGAACCCGAGTCGCGCTGTCCGCATTCTCGTCCGCTAGGTCACGGCCGCCGAGGGCCGGGCGGTTGAGATCATCGGCGGTGAAGCGGCTGAGACAGCGAAACTTGCGGCGGGACTGGATATGGTAGCCCCCGAACCAGCAGGTCACGTCACCCTGGGGGAAGACCATGCAGTCGCCGTACGAGTTGCCGTCGCCTGCAAGTCAGAATCAGTAAGCCTGTATAGACATTGAGCCCAGGTGGGCAGTGTCTTGGACTGCTGTTGCACTTACGTCCGATCATTGACCAGCCACGGTTCTTGGAGAGTGCTACAGAACGCAAGATAATCGTCAGCAATATGCCCCAAAGCTACCGATATCTTGTCACTGCGAAGAAGAGGTTGGAGTGGACATCGTCCCAGTGACCAACGCTGCATCAAGACACGGAACAGTATACTCACTCCAGTCCAAAAGGGGCTCCCGGTTGAGCTTGAGCCTGAGCTCGTCAATGTTCCCAGGTGGGTCTAGCGGAGAGCATCCGCTACCTGTGCACTTGACGCCCCAGAGACTGTCCCAGTTGGGCTTGTTGTTCAGCTCTTCGAATAGCGGCTGCTTGAAGAGTCTGGGACAGTCGTTTGGGGCCTGGGCCTCCCAGAACTGCCAGACGATCGAAGGGCGGTTGCCCCAGATGATCTCGGTTCTGTAAACGTCGAAGTTGGCCTTGACTGGAGTGGAAAACAGAAATACCGAAGCGGCAGAGAGGAGAGCCGTAGAGGCCGAGACAAAGGGCTGGACGAGCATCTTTAGAGGGCTGATGGAAAGTCACACCGACTAGCGACCGTGGCTCTTGGGAAGGGCACTTCTGTGACACTGATGCTGCTTCGTTGGAATATAGCCGAAGAAAATATCTTGACCTCTTATACACATTTCGCGTGGATATTGAAGACACACCGACTTGTTCATGGCAATTTCCATAACAGCCAATATTACCGAAACCGTGAAGTTATTGTCTCGGTCTTCTCCACTAGAGCAATTGCCAAGTGCGCAAATAGTCTAGAAAGAGACACGCGGGCAAAAGGCGCAAAGCGGGTTATACGCCGACAAGGCCAGGACACTCCCCACACTCAGCGGTGTCTTCCTTGAGGCTTTGGGCATAGTCACGGGCCATCCCGATTTTAGCAGAGAGCTATTCTCAAACAAAGCCCTGCTGCCTGTACATAGTATTGGGCCCACGCAACGTGCGGTGCCCACATTGCCAAGGAGTCCACCGTCTTTCCTTTGCTCACTTGCACGGAGCACAGTCCGGATGAAGAATGTCAGACCCTGACAAGGCTGTGTGCAGTGGGGTCTCCATGCTCCCCTGCGGGTCGTGCATCACTGGGATGAGGATACACAAAATTTGATGGGATGTGGGTTTTGTAGCTGGTTTTGAGCGGGCCAGGACTCGCTGCGCCCAATGATCTGGGCCTCTCTACGAATACTTTTTGCCTGACTTGAACAAGGCTGGGCACGGTGCACAGCGCTGCATAGCAGCTCTAGGACATATGCGATTCCACCTTGATCGGTTAAAAGGGGTGCTCGTCTCTACGAGGCACTTTCGTCAGGCCCGCACCTCAAGGAGACGTACTAAGCATAGACTGTCAGCTGGACCCAGAGTGGCTGGGGATCGATTATGAACAAGGTTTGCATAGTTGAGATGAGCGAATCGGGTAAGGCCTTCCCTTCTTACTACGGTATGCACCAGGCAGAAACCTGATCACAAGCACCGGAATACAGAAGTTATCATGATGATAACGTCTGATCCCTCTGACGCTCTGATCCCTCTGACCCTCTGATCTCTCTCGGATACCCGTGCAATCAAGATTGCCTTTTTTGGCCGTGCCATACTACCTCCACTTCACAACACCTTCTCAATCTCGATCAAGTTCTCCACGCCATTTCCGACGCTCCAAAACCTGACGATTCTCAGGTTCGCTCCAGTCTGTACCTCGACCAAGTTCCTCCACTCTGCCTCAGTCCGCTCCTTTGAGCTGAGCAGGCTCATCATGAGGATGTCGAGACAAGTGGCCTCCCAGTGCGCATTCCGAGCGGGGATAACCTGCTCGTTGATGAGCAGCTTGCTGTATCCAGGCTTCATGGCCTCGCTGACACGAGAGAGGATCTTGACGCAGAGGTCATCGGGCCAGTCGTGTAGGACGGTGTGCAGGTAGTAAGCACGAGCGCCTGTTATTATGTTTTTTTTGTCAGCGCGATGGTGATCACCAAACATGCCGTGGATGAACGGCCTGGGGGTTATTGGGGTCAATCAGCGGCATGTACATACCTTTGATGGGATTCTCTGTGAAGAAGTCATGTGGCATCCGCACGATCCCCTCGTCCAGGTGCTCAATCTGGTTTATAACCCGCTCGAGGTCTTGAAGCACCAGCTTTCCAGGATGGTCGGGGAACTTGCGTCGGAATTCATCAAGATCATGTCCGACGTTGCCACCAATGTCGACGAGGAGCACGCCGTCACCAGATGGATCAAAGCCATCGATCATCTTCTCCTCCACTGGGAAAAAGTCCTTGTCCATCCAGCTGGGCCGGCCCTGGCGATAACCACTCATGAGATTGTTGAAGCGCGGACCATTCGGGGGGTTTTCCTGAAAATGTGTGAAAACGTCTGCCTTGATGTGGTGCGCATGTTGGTAGTTGCCGTCTGTCGCGGACGTGGGTTCTGCAAAGTCCGTCTCCCGGAGGTAGCCATGTAGGTTGGCAAGGGCGTTATTGATACTCCACAGACTGTCGTTGTTGACCAGTATTAGCGGTTTGCTCAGAAGCTGACATATCGGGAGAAATCAACGGCAATGAACAGGCTTACCACAAAGGATACGAGTCTGCGATGATGGGCAGTGACAACGACTTGGTGAAGTTGGTAAGCTTGTACTCATCGGGCCCCGTCTCTATGATATATCCCATGGCGCTGATGTGCTTCAGGAAGCGCCCGAGTACGGCTGGATCAAGCCTGAGCTGTGCCGCCAGGCTCGACACCTTCTGTGGGACATTGCTGCCATTCTCGACCCATTGCTTCCACAGGCCAGTGTCCACACCAAAGGAGATTGCTGTGAAGGCCGTGTTCTAGAGGACGTTAGCACATGAGCCACTCGAAGGAAGCCTGAGCAAGAGGACTGGAGCCTTACCTGTGCCCATGTGTGCTTGATCATGGTCTCCCGCGGTGTTTCGAGTGCGCGAACCAGCTCCCTGGCCTTCTCGAGGACCTGTAGACGACTGTTCCTGTCATTGGCTTTCAAGACCTTAGATAAGGCAGAGATGTCACCAATGATGCTTGGGACGGCAGGGAAATCGTTCGGCTCGAGCGCGGTCCGCACATCAATAGAGGCTGTATTGGTGCCCGTCCTCGGTAACATGAGTGGATCAGAGACATTCGTAATCTCCTTGGCCGAGGTAGGTGTAAGAAGGTCTGTCATCTTGTAATATGTTGATTCCGACTTGTGCAGGAAATGTGCTTGGTCCAATTGTGTGGGAAAGGGTCATAAAAGCTGGATGAGGATCCAATCATGGAGTGATGTTCAGCCAATTTGCAGCCCGTGGATGCCAATGCCCTAGTATGGAATCAAAGCAGCAAGTTTTCTACCGAGGCGGTTCTGGCCTGGTGGTATAAATACAGCATCTGTCAAAACGCCAAGATAGACTGTGCGGGCAGCGGAAACGCGGCACCGTCGCTGGTGGTGTCCATACACCTGCTCCGATGCCTCGCATTGTCAGCGCGATACTGACCTTTGACTAGTGTCGTCATTCTCCTCTTTCCTGGTCAACAAGAACACGGCGTGGATGCATTTCAAGCTCCGCCTGGTCAAGAGCGATGGTGTGTAGCCAAACACCAGCATCTGAGAGGCTGACTGCTTGGTACTGCTGTGCAAGCATGTCCTATGCATGTGAAAATGTATAATCTGACATCTTAGACAGTGCTTTGACTCCAAACTGAGACTGTAGCATTCTCGCGCCGGATCTCCTTGTTGACCGTCTTTACGAACTCGACAGGAGCAGCGCGTGTGTCCTGTTTGCTATGGATCGACGCTACGATAATTCGCTGCATGGTTCTGGGCTCCATATATACGGAGGTAGATATGGGAGTAATGACGGCTCGAATTCAGAAAGGCGTGTAGCTAAATTGCTAATGGGCGTTGCCGTTACTGGTACTTAACGTGAAATTCCGTCATGATTGATAATAACGCCGTCTTCATCTCTTGCTCTTACTTTTCTTCTATTCCATTTTGGATGAGGCTCCTCGACTGGGAACATGGGATACGTGGCGCTGGGTTCGGGTTTCGAGACCCCGCTTACGCTATTCTCTCTTTCCGAAAGATTGCTGAAGACAACATGATAGACCCCCAAAACATCACGACTTTCCTCGCGCTAGATATGGCCATCTCTGTCTTCCAAGGTATCGTCGTGCACCTGGATAGGTATCTGCGAATTGAGTATAAGCGTGAATAGGTAAGAAGATATACCGCATACCCTGTGTTCACACAAGGACCCGTACTGTTCATCGCCGCCTGTCTCGTCCTCCACCAGGCCCATATTTCGATCGTCACGGGCCACAGCATTAGGCGTCAGCAGTCTGAACCCTGCTCACGGGCGGATTCCATGGTACGTCGTCCCGGGAGCTTGTGCACGTGCGCCTTTGCCTGACAGCCCACTAGTTGGTACCTAGCCGCAGTGGTTCCGCTGGCGGCTTCTTACGCGCGGGCCTAGGAGGACTGGTTCGCACGGTCTATGTTTTCTGTGATCCTACTTTGATAGGTCCAACAGTCGAAACTACTTCTTGTCTTTGTCTTCAGATTTGAGCTTCATGGCCTCCCCCTCCTTTTTGACCTTGGTAGCGGGCGTGGCGTTGTTCTCCTGCTTGCGCGTCTCGTTGTCGAAGGTGTAGGGAGGTTGCGGACGGGCTGCACTCGCTGAGGTTTCAGCTGTCGAGCGTCACACTGTCCTCGGCACTCTCGGAGTTCTATTTCTTCTAATGCTTCCAAACATATGGCCTCTACTAGCATGCCCGGGCGAGGTTTCCCCCCTGCTTGGCAGGCGTGGCCGTCTATATGACAGCCAGCAGTTCGGAGCAAGATGTAATCGGGGCCCACTTGACGCGTGGAGCCCCCCCCACCCAGGCGCCAGGATGCCGGGTATCAGACCCACGGAAGGTGCCATGCCAAGCTCTGCGCCCATGCGTGTCATACAGCTACTATGCTATGCGCCGTTTCGACGTCACACTGCCCAGTGACTTCAGTCCTGGCCACGACACCCATCACGTAACGTTCCCGCAAACAATGCTCGCAGAGCTCCAGTTTTGAGCTTCCGATACAGCGAGCTGCTCATATGGTTTCTTACCCCCAGAGGAAAAAGCTCCAAGTGGTGTGGGACGCGCGGCAGAGCGTCATGGAGCACTAATTGCTTAGTCAGGTACTGATGTATTCCGGAGTGGACCACGCGCACCACCACGTCTCACGTCGAGACTTGGGCATTCAATCAATGAGCGGCACAAACAGGAGGGATACACTCAGTTGGCAGGACCAGATTCATAGCAGCAGTGATTATCTGCGCCAAGTACGAGCATCCTTCTCGCGCTATGGGAGCCGGGCGGGCGGCCCTTGCAGCGAACGAAAGAATCAACACCAACGCATTGGGGCACTGCACCCGGGCACGGTTAGGACAAATTTGGGCCGGATCGAGTAGATCGTATATTGCCTATTGAAGGGCTGTCTAAACCCTGACAGTGGGGCCTGATGTGTCCAAGCCCCGAATTATACAAACCATGGAGATTCCTACGCAACAATCGTGTTACTGGGGTCCGGCTGACGTCAGAAAATGGCGTCCATCCGCCTGCTGACCTCTGTCAGGGGAGGGGGTTGTCACCCAGAGGACTATTCGGATCTGCCCACTAGTGGCTATTCACAAGCGCTATTCCCTGCTTATTCCCATCTGACAACGGTGCAGTCAAGACCGCCCAAGTGCAGCCCCGTGTACGCAGCTTCCTTATGATTGATCCCTGCCACAGGGCAAAACTGTGATTCTCGAATAGACTGGTATATGATTTACATGGACATGACTGATTCGAGCTGATTAAGCTAGACGAAAATCCAAAGTTGTGGGCTACTGGACTAGTAGGGGAAAACCAGACTAGTGTGGTGGATCCTTATGGTAGCCCCGATCCGAAGGCTGGAGCAGTGGGAATGTCAGCCCTGCAAGGTCATGCTGGACGATTTGAGAACTAAAGCAACGAGGCCTGGGGCCTGCGGCGGGGTGCAAGATAGGCTACGCGGCCAGTTCCCGGAAATCGATCGCATACCGTCGGCCTATCCAAGTTCCACAGCTTGCATGGCTGCAGAGTAAGCCCGAGGTGGACTGGCAAGGCACATGAGCAGCATCCAGAAGGAAGAGTCTCATTTGCTCTTTGCGATGCAAAATCACCTCCCAAGCACAATCCGTACGACGACCGATGTCACTGCTTGGCCTGCTTCAGCAGCTGTAAGCAGCTTACATGCGGCCACCCCAGCAAGAATCTGGTGGCTGCTCACCAAGAGCGTACACTGGTGCCACGAGGAGCAGCAGTACACTGCGCCTACTAGACCAACGTCGGACTCTGTGGTCCAGTGAGCTCCGGCCGTTGATCGTTGATCGTCAAGGCCATATCACAGCTCGTGGAGTACATGTAAGCGCTAGACTTGTGCCCGGGCCGTGCAAAGGAGCCCGACGCATGTGGCGTGGGTGAACCAATCACAACTGACACACATGTTGTCATACTTGCCGAAAATGTCGAGTATTGGTCGCGCCGTAAACCTGGCGCTAAAACAAAAAGCCATGGGGTCGCACCACTTGGTGAGTTCCCTGTTGGCATTGCCCCGTTGTCAGCCTCCTATTGCCTCCGGACTTGCAGATAAAAGGCGGTCATTGTGCCACCCGCAGGCTCGGCCGTCCCAAAAGAGCAGAGGAAAGTACACGAAATCCCCTAATTTTCAGCGCCCACAGAAAACAGAAGCATCATGGCCACCACAACCATGACCACGACGGCCACCACGAATGGCAAGGTTAGCGCCTCAACGATGCCCGTCAAGACCCGCGAGGTGTACAACCACCACCAGAACTCAGAGGCTTGGAACGACTTCCCCTTTCGCCCTGACGACATTGTCATCTCAACGTACGGCAAGTCGGGCACAACCGTACGTACATTATCTCTCGTCACAAACGACAACATCACTGGCAGTACAGCCACTAACCCCAGCATAAACAGTGGGTTCAGCAAATCGTCGGGCAGCTCACACAGAAAGGTGACCCGAGCGTCGCGCCTGGCCTCCTGTCGCCATGGGTCGACCTGCGCATCATTCCCAAGGAGGCGTTGCATGGCATGGTCGAAGCCCAGACACAACGGCGCTTCTTGAAGACCCATCTTCCCCTGGATGCCCTCGTCTGGAAACCGGACGTCAAGTACATCTTTGTCGCCCGGGATGGCCGCGACATGATCTGGAGCACCCACCATCATTTCTCAATCGCCACTCCGGCATTCTGGCAGCTCATCAACGACACTCCGGGCCGAGTAGGGCCCGCTTATCAGCCGCCTACCCCCAACCCGCGGGATCTATTCGTCGATCTGGTCGAGGACGATTCACGGGGCAGCCTGCCGTGGCCATTCTGGAGCCACACCCGTCAATGGTGGGACGCGCGGGACCAGCCGAACCTGTTGCTCGTCCACTTTAACGACCTCAAGAAGGACCTTCCGGGAGAGATGCGCCGGATCGCGGAGTTCCTCGAGGTTCCAGATTTGACCGAGCAGCAGTGGAAAGATGCCGTCGAGCATTGCACGTTCGCGTGGATGAAGGAGCATGCTGAGATGTCGTCCCCGCCGCAGGCGGATATTGCGTTTGATGGAGGTGCTAAGAACTTCATCAACAAGGGCACCAACGGTCGCTGGTCGGATGTCCTGTCGGACGAGGATAATGCCAAGTATCTGGCGAAGGCCAGGGAAGAGTTGGGCGAGGAGGGTGCGCGATGGCTAGAGAAGGGGCGCCTGGCTTGAGCCGAGGCAAGCCAAGTCAGGTGACAAGTAGAACATGCATTCGGCGGATTGAAATTGTTGAGTGTTATGCTCATTTAATTTTACCTAGGAGCTTCCTACGCACGGTCAGTCGCGTTGACATACTTGTCAGAATAGAAATTTGACGACGTAGAAACGGATGACTGTAGCTATTCGCAAAACATTGATCCCAAGAACATATGTGCCTTGCCAGGGCCTTGCACGTATCCGCCAAACTAGGATGATCCACGTATATCACGTGGCGAACTTCGAGCCTGCGTGCCTGTTGTCATCGGCTTGCTCGTGTCTGCTCGCAGCCACCGTCAGCAGCTCGAGCATGCTATACCCCGGGACCCACCGCGCAGAGCAGTATGGTACACCTTAAACTCTCTTTCACAGAAAGGTTTCTCCGGTGCCCTGGTTCCAACGCCGGTGGTGACTTGGTACGAGTTGAACAATTCATTATATAAGCTAGAGCCGATTTTGTTGATGGAGAGCTCGATCCCTAAAGCTAGATCGGCTTCCTTCCCACATATCTCTAAAATTGGCGCACCAAAACGATTCCGTTCTCACAAACCCCATTGGCCAGACCACACCATGGCTCCTCTTACAGGCAACCTGATCGATGCTGCCATTGACGAGGGCAATCAGCGTCGACCCGTTGATGGGAGACGCTTTGATGCTGCAGAATGGCAAAACAACAATTACCGCGCAGACTTCTTCTTTCGACCCCATGCAACGAGGGCAACATCCGACACAACTTGTCCACCTTGGGAAGCCCGCATCATCCTAAGAACAAAAGATCTTCCACGTCTCATGCTACAAGGCTGGCACTGGACAGCTGCAGACAACATAGAATCGAACATCGGTTCCATCGTCCCGGCACAAAACGCTAGCCAGAAGTTCACCAAGGACGGATATGAATTCTGTCGTATCTACTACCTCTCAGACATGCCCACAGACGAAACTGGCAAAAATGCCGAACCACTCTGGGTCGCAAAACTTGAAGTCTACGCCCGGGAGCTCTATGTCTTGAGCCATTTCAACCCAGGCCAAGACTTGTCCAGAGAGGATATGACTCTGGCAATTGCAGGGAATGAGCCGGAATTCTCTGAGTTTTACTACCAATGGGATAAAAGTGGATCAGAACATTGTTTCAATGCGATATACGACCAGAAACCCCTGAGCGGATGGTGGCCATGGCCTAGGAAGAACACAGAATGCGAGGAAATTGGACTCTGAACTCGGGAGCAGTATGCATCCGCGCCGCATCTATGCTCAAAATCACGGGTTTGACCCGAGTCCGCTATGATTTCAATATTAATGGAGGGGAATATCAAGGGTCTTTAGTTGAAACAGGTCAATAAAATTGCTTTCATAGACTAAATTCCGCAAGCTATTCAAGTTCTTTCCTGCGTTGTGTTTCGCCCCTGGAAATGTCAACACAGTCCAAAATGAAGAGCGAACCACCCTTGAAGACATGTAGTTGTGAAAACCTTGTGATACAGCAACAGTGTGAAAGGTCTTCAGAGCATCCGCCTACTATACGCCGGAGGCCTAGCTGTGAGCGGAGGAAACACTCATTCCCTCCTTAAGGGTGTTACTCTGCATGGCATGTCGCTCTTTTGGCGCAGGCGCCTAAGCCACGTATGCAAGTTGCTTCCCGCGTCCTATCACGGAACCTTTTAAGGAGGTGCTAAGGTAAGAAGTATAGCAGACCCAAGAGCAACATTGACCAAATCAGGTGGTGCAACCGCATAACGACCAGTGCAAATCACAGCTTCCAGCTCTCCAGCCACTTTCCCAGTAGCTCTTCATCGAGCACCGGATATCCCACCTCAGATACACCGGCCACCTTGTCATTCGCCCACCTTGCCCCCTCGGCACCATTCCCCAGCGAACTATAGTAGTCAACCATTTTGACGGCGGGAAACTCGGCTGCCACACCATCCTTGTCATTCGTGCCTTTCCCAACCTCCAAGACTGCACGCAGATCCCTGACCCAGGCCGGCAAGCTGACGGCTTTCAAGGGCTTATCCTCTGCCACTCCTAACCTCTTGCTTAGCACGCGGATGAGCAGGTCCCACGGCTGGGGCTGTCTGTGGATGACATGGAAGAACCGCGCGTCGCCATTTGCTCTGCCGGTAATGGAGGCGGACAATGCAACGTCGTGTAAGATTGCGGCCGCCGTATCGACAGGGACCCAGTCAATGTCCATGACGTGCGTCGGGATCGTGCCCTGCTTGCGCGCCGTGCGCGCAATCGCAGAGATCCAGGCCTGGTCAGCCCACGTGCTTGACATAGTGTCTGTGGGTGAGGAAAATCCCCCGATCTGTCCGACGCGCACGATGTCGACGGGCACACCCGAGGTCCTGCTCGCGGCGTTGAGGATACGCTCGGCGACGTGTTTCGACTCGCCGTAGCCAATGTTGAATGTCGCGAGGGGGTCTTCGACAATGGCCTCGGGAGCGGTGACCCGGCTGGCCAGTGCGCCGACGGAGGAGATCGAGCTCACTAATACGATTCGCGCTGGTGTTTGTCTCGCGCCCTGCTCGAGCCCATCAAGACTGAGGTCAACCAGGTCGCGGGTTGTGCGGAGGAATGGCTCGAATGAGCGCAGGGAGATGCCAAAGTCCAGGCGCCATGCATTGTAGATAAAAATGTCTGCAGTCTGAGCCAGAGTGGTGAAGTCCGCGTCCGTGAGACCGATACGTGCTCGCGAAATGTCGATCGTGATATACTTGATCTTGTGCTTGAGCTCGGCGACATCGGTCACTATCTTAAGCAGGGATGTTTCTTGTCGTTTCTGCGCATCTTTGCTCCTGTTCAGGCAGTAGATACGCGAGATACGTTGATCCCGAACCAAATTTGCGAGGAGCTGGGAGCCTAGATATCCTGTTGATCCGAGTAGTGCAACTGTCAAATTGTCCTTCGGAAAAGGGGCGTCGGCGTCTGAGAACCTCACAGGCAAATCTGTAGTGTATCTTTTGACGGCTTCGTTCATGGTGCGGACTCTAGACGCCGCCGAGTCCTGGGCAGGGACAATGCCGTCGTTGAGAAATGCTTGGATGAGCTGGGACAGCTCTGAAATGTTGCTGTGCTTGAAGATTGTGCGGGGCGAAATCCAACTCAGTGGTTGATTCGTATGGTTCTTGAGATTCTGCTTCAGACTTGTGACGATCTCGAGGGTCTGTATCGAGTCCAGACCGTGGATGAACAGATCCTCGTGTTCCCCAATGTTTTCGCCCGGGGGGAAAGACCCGGCCAGTATAGATCGCACGAACTGCACCACAGCAGGACTCTCGAATGTTGTCCTGACTGTTGGCTGAAGGCTGGCCTTGACTCCTGTGGTCTTCGCGGCTATAGCGTAGATTTGCTCAATTTCATCTTTGTAGGTCTCTTGCGTTAGCTTGCGAACAATTGTCCCTTTTCCGGTGCGCGTGAAAGGCTTGTCGGGTGTCGCACAAAGGATCCGTGCCCGGTGAATTCTGCCTTGTCCCGCAATGAGTGAGTTGGACTTTTCGACAACAGGCCAAATCTCATCGATCAACTTGTCCCGTGCCAGCTTGTCCGCTAGGGGCTCTCTTGGCTCAACAAGGAGAAGTGCATTTGTGCGGCTGTCGCCAATCAGGAAGGCGCCCTTGAGGGCACCATGTGAAGCAATACTGACTTCCGCGGGAACGGGATTGAACTTCTCGCCATTGGCCAGGACAATGATGTCGTCCCTGCGACCGTAGTATTTGTACAGATTTGGCTTCGCAGGGTCTGGATGCCTGATGAACAGATCCTTGGTCGCATACTCGGCAATGCCCGGCATGTTGTGATAAGCCCCTGTAGTAGCTCTTGATTCCTCGTCGATGATGACGATGAATTCAAACGTTTTCTCGGATTCGTCGAAAAGCCGCATCTCATGCTTTACGGCAGGGTGGAACTCGTGCCATGCCCAATCCCCATCTGCGGGTGCGAGTTCTGGCTGAGGGTAAATTTCTGTCGAGCCATACGGCGACACGATCTCGACCACCTTCGAGAGCATACCGCCGGTTTCCGGGTTGAGTGGTGCCCCACTACATGCAAGAAAGTCCAAGCCCTTAAGAAGTTCAATGCCTTCAGGCTCCTGAAGGAGCTCTTCGACCACAGCTGGCGGCAAGAAAACCGCTCGCAGCTTCTGGTGGAGCATAACACTCTTCAGGAGGGCCCCGTCAGGAACCAAGTTTGGTGGCCCAAGTACAGGGCTTGCGTTCATGAAGATTGTTTGCACTGTTCCTTCGTGAGAATCAGGACGAACATAAAAGTTCAAGCCACAGGAATGGACTTACAAGTAAGGCAGACAAATCCAGCAAGCTGTGTACATGTTAGCCTTTACACAAGGATCATGAAGATCTACCAAAATCTCACATGGAAGAAAGGAAACACGGTATAGACCCGAGCTTCGCCGTCAAAAGTCCACATCGACCAGTCTCTGTTTCGGCGGCCCGGAACCTCCGGCAAGTTGTGCTCGTTGTCAAGCACAGCGAGCGAACCGTGTGTCATTGTGATCGGTTTTGGAAGTCCTGTGCAGACGTCAGCTTCGAGCTTCCGTGGGTTCCGTGATTATGCTCACCAGTTGAGCCAGATGAATGCAGGATGACCACTGGATCATTCCAGGCTTGCTCGAATGTCTTTGCGAACACGACATGCTCCGGATTGGTATTGAGCATATCGTCGAATGTTGGCACCGTTGTTGCGCTCAGTTGCGGTTGCAGTGACTGCAGCTGCTGCACGATAGGAGCCACTTCAGCGGCATGCAGCAGTTTCGTGCTCTCCGTTTGCGCCATGAGTGACACGTTCACGGTGGACGGGTTCCGTGGTGATGGAAGGAGAAGCTAAACACGAGCGTCAGCTGACGCATAGGTCTACGAGACTTGTTCTTCCAGGGGAGCACATGCCTTGTAGCCAGCCTTGACTGCCGCCAGCGAAACAATTGCTCCCCGCAGATCTGCGGTGCCGATGTAGCTGATGGTCTTGAAGTTGCTGCTACGACCAAAGCGGTCGATGATCCAGCCAGCCATGTAGTCGACACCTCTCGCGATTTCTGCCACCGTGATATCGCGAAAACCATCTTCGACATCAGAAGTCTTGGGGATTGTCGCATAGAGACGATTTGGCGTCATCTCAGCAAGCTCGTCGAGGACAGCGGGCAAAAGCCGCCGTCCATAATTGGGTGTTGTGTGCACCGAACCCATTTGATCGAATATATTTGCTTAGTGGACAAGTGAAGAAGGACAAGTGAAGAGCAAGTGAGGAAGGACGAGTGAGGAAGCACAAACTTTTCCGAGCAAAGGGAGAGAATTGAAATCTTCCTTGGATATTGGTTAGATATTTATTCTGCGTTGAGCAATGACTGTCGGCCGGGAGTGGCAATCCGCAGCTCTGCGTGTTAGTGCTGACATATTCGGCTGATTCAATCCGCTAAACACCCACCGAGCGTCTCCGCCGACACATCAAAAGGCTACTTCTGACTGCAACCCTGTTGGTCAATTTGATGCGGACGAGTATAAGCTCACGACCGCCAGCAGCCGAAGTACGTCCTCGTGACCCACACGGACATCTCGGGCCAATTCTGTCCAATGAAGATCTCGTACTTCCGATGGTGTTGCTGATTCAGAACATACGTGCAGTTGGAGATTTCGTCATCACTAGACTAATCGGGCAGCGATGATCGAGTTCCAGCAGGGATTTCGTTCGTCACCAAGGCCTCGAGCAAGTAGCTGCTCCTGTGTTACAAGCTCTAGAGGCAGATGTTCACAACACTATTTGTCATGTTGCCTGCAGTTGGTGTGCTCACCATGTTAAAGTCTCGTTGCCTAGCCTATGCATGTCGTCCATCCTGGGTCGAGCATGGGTGGTGCTGCATCACCCAAGGATCCCAACAAGGCAGCGTGTCCCGAGCGAATCGGATGCCCTGGCTAGGCAAGCCCAATACCAAGCTTTATGGCTGCGGGGGTCAACCTCCTCCGCACCACTGGCCATTGCATACGAGGCCTTGCAGTTGGGGGCCCACAATGCCCCTATCGCACACTCCTTGTGACACCAGGCCTAAGCGAGCCATGGCCAGACCACCTACAAACAACATTATACCGTATCACTCTACTTGACCACGTTAGCACCAGCGACTTCCACGCACCTACTAGAATTCGCTGTAGAAATGGAAGTTGTTGATCATGCAGTAGTTATCCCGTGGTGCAATTCTTTAGTTAGCCATGTACCGCGTCGGAGGCGTCCTCTATTCTTGAAACCTCCTACCAACATTACTAGCCCACAGACGAATCAGAAACCCATCAAGATAGAGTCTACAGCTAATACGCGTACAGAGAAAATGCAACGGGCGTTTGAACGAGTAGTCGGCAGAGCAAAGCACTCGACGGCGCGATTGGCAGGGAAGCCAGTAGAGCAGCCTTTAGAATAGTCGTTAGAACAGTGGTATTCTTCGCGTTCGGGTACCATGTTTGAAATGGCCGAAGTCATCGAGATAGACGTAGTATTGAATGACTTATATAAGGGCCTTATGTAGGATCATTTTGCATAGGACACTGAAAACCACTACAATAACCCTAGGACTGTTGACGGCGTGACGCCCCCTGTAGCTAATCCTGTAAAACTGGCCTAAAGAGGAAAGGTTCATACGGTTTAATGGGCACCGCAAACAACTGGGGTTGACTTCGCCAAGAACGTCCAATGTGTTTGCGCCAAGGGAGTGGCCACTTATACGATGCGCTGCGATCGCCCCTGCCTTATCCCAGAAGGTCGGCCCAAGGACGGGTGCGCGGGCACATCTCTGCCCACAAAACATCATGCTGGCTTCGACGGCGATATTGGCACCGTGTTCTTGACCAATCTGAAGGTTGCACTGGGGAAGGGGGGGAGGGGGATCCAGTGGATAGAAACTTCAGGTCTGCCACCAATGAGCACAAATGCCAACGTCGGGCGGACAACCCTGCCTCCGCATATTTAGTGATATGTATAGGTGTTTCCCAGAAGGTTGTCACTCTGGCGCTTCCCGGATCTACTAGCAATTTTACTTCGCTTAGTGTCCGGTTCAACATGTGTGAGCTGTTAACGCCAGCGATCTCCGCAGTTACCGGAATCGCATCTCATCGACTCTACTTCAAGCATGGCGAGCACCACATGCAAGCGACATTCTACATCCAATGCTGGATGCTCATTACAGCAACGCTGTGGCTGGCATTTACTGGACTCAACCTAATTCGGAACCCCAGCGAAGCTGTGCCAGCCACGCGGACAACTATTGCGATCAATGCCGCTTTCTTCGCTGGCCTCTATGCGAGTGTTCTGATCTACAGGACTGTCGAGCATCCGCTTCACCACTTCCCCGGTCCCAAACTCGCAAAGGTTTCAAAGCTATGGCACCTAGTGCATGTCTTACGCAAACAGAACCATGTCTTTCTGGATGACTTGCACGGCAAGTACGGACGCATTGTACGCACGGGTATGTCTGGTTTGATTCTCGTTGTACCGACCTACTTAGGAGAGGGATGGATTTTGATCTTGTGGAAGAGGAGACAAGCGCTAACTGGACGGCGATTTCAGGACCCCAGGAGCTCACCGTGTTCGATCCAGATGTTTTCCGGGCCATTAGTGGACCAGGCACAACTTGCATCAAGGCTCCCTGGTATGACATGCTGCATCCATATGTGGCCGTGAACTCAATCCGCCCAAAGAAGGGCTATGCTGCACGCCGCAAGCACTGGGACGAGGCCTTGGGCGTGTCCTCTGCAAGTAAGTCTCAGGCAGCAGAAGTCGATTGGTTTGGTGGCTCTCTAAGGCGCCGGCCTGTTTCAAGCATTACCCCTTGTGACTTGCGAAGGGTTCAAGGCGCGCAGTATCAACTAATATGAGATGCAGATGTTACTGCCAAAACAGAGCGAGTGCAGCAGCTCGTCCAGCAGTTTCTGGCCCAGCTGGACCATGCTGCGGGCAAACCACTGAACGCAACAAAATGGTTCTATCACTTCGCCTTTGACGTCATGGGAGATGTCGCCTTCGGGCAGACGTTTTTCCTGATCCCGAACCTCGCACGTAGCGGTACTGGCCAGGCCAGTATAACCACGAAGAAAACAAGCAAGAAGCAGGAGGGTCACCTCGGCTCTCAACAGTCCGAAAGGAATGGGAAGCCACTTGTTCCAGAGCCGCATTTCGCTCCCGACTTGATATCGCAAGGCATGTCAATGCTGCGATTCTTCACCCCCGTGCCATGGCTAGGCCTCATCATCGCCGCCTCGGCGCCCTACGTTCCCTTCGTCTCTGACGTGTGGAACCGTGCTCTGGGCTGGGCGGGCGCAATGTGCGATGCTCGCCTGTCACGCGAGCAGGACCCTTATCGTGGCCAGGACAATCAGTCTAATTCAAGTGCTCCGGAGCACAAGCCGGCTTGCGCTGATCGAAGTCTAGCTGAGGACGCCTTCTCGCAATTCATCAGGTCGGCACGGAGTGATCACCCCGAGGCCTCTTCCTCGTCGCTGAACCGCAACGCGTTGGTCGGTGACGTCTTTTCCATTACGGTCGCAGGCAGCCACACCACTGCCCAGGTCCTGACAATGCTCTTCTTCGAGCTCGCGCGGCGGCCAGGGATTCAAGAAGTGCTGCGGCGAGAAGTCACAAGCTTTGCCGCATCCGAGCGTGATTTCCCCTCCACGAGCAACATCAAAGAAACAACTTACCTGGACGGCTGCATCAACGAAAGTCTCCGGCTGTATCCGCCTGTGCCTTCCGGTGGAATTCGACAGACCGTCGACAAAGGGGTGTATATTGGTGATACCTGGATACCGCCGTCCACGGTCATTGTTGCGCCTCGGTGGACCATTGGGAGATGTGAGTCTGATCAGGCCAATCCACAGACGTTGGCTGTCAATAATCATCCGAGAGGTGGCTTTGGACTGACAGTAGTTTGAAAACAGTGGAGTCGGCCTTCGTCGACGCCAGCGAGTTCATGCCCGAACGGTGGACCACGCGGCCGGAGCTGGTCAAGAACGCCCAAGCCTTCAACGCGTTCGCGACAGGTGAGCCCTCTTTATTCATTATAAGTCCCAGCAGCACGACTGCCGCTTTTGCCAACCGCCGGCCCCCCTCCTGTCTCGAATTTCGATTGCCACAGGGTAATCGCCATGAACTGAGCAAAAGACAAACTGACATACGGGCTTCCACCTACCCCAAAAATGATATAGGCCGCCACGCCTGCCCGGGAAAACAATTTGGTCTCCTTGAAATCCGCCTCGTGGCGAGGATGATCCTGTCCAAGTTCCGTATACGCATGGCTCCCAGTGACGATGGAGACAGTAGCGCTCCCGACTCGTATCCCGTTGTGAAGGGTATGGTTGATGCTTTTACCGCCACGCCTGGAGACCTACGCGTGGTGTTTGAGAAACTTTGAGTCCGAAGAAGGGAGGGCAGGGGAAGTGAGATACATTTGTCTGTCCCTTCGGGTTCCGTCAGGGTTTGAATGCAGCTTATGCTTAGCATGACCTAAGTCTACTCACGCCTCAGGCACGAGTACTAGGTCTCGAGTGGAGAGAGGCACTCGCAGTGGGTCCCAGCATAGGAAGGAGACAAGAGCTATTTATTGTCGCAGTGCGCTAAGGCGGAGAGCTTTATGATATGATGGCGCCGTTTGATACGATGACGTCTCATATCACACCAGTACATGGCTGTAGGCTTAGGGGTCATATCGTCAGAGGGTCAGAGGGTCAGAGGGTCAGAGGGTCAGAGGGTCAGAGGGTCAGAGGGTCAGAGGGTCAGAGGGTCAGAGGGTCAGAGGGTCAGAGATGTCACTGGTGTCTGAAAGTCTTAGGTCAAGAAATCATTGTCTCATTCGATATATACAGCCACTCCTCAAGGTATGTACCCACTGCACACATTGCATAAAAATTTGTAAGGTCGAAGATGAAAAGACCGCATTGGTCATTTGCCACACGGTCATGCCTGAGGTATACCGTTCTCGTCCACAGCAGTGTGGTCGAGTTCTGGCTTTTATTTTTCTTCTCATAAGCATGTGTCGCTTACGCGCCGTTGCCGTTGTAGAGCTAAGTGCGCAAAGGCAAGTCAGTCAGAACTTCTGTAGATGCATATAGATGACGAACTTGGTTTGAGGCTTGACTTACAATGTAGTTGGGGCTGCCAGAGACATCAGTGACCCGGTTGGGGGTGGCCAGGGCACGAAGGCGGGAGGTAATGGCGGCAGCGTTGCCACCCTCGAGGGCCTGGAGGTACAGAATGAGGCCAGCGACGTGAGGGGTGGCCATGGAGGTACCCGAGATGGTGTTAGTGGCAGAGTTGGAGCCGATCCAGGCCGAGAGGACGCTGGTGCCGGGGGCCCAGATGTCGAGGACGGAGCCGTAGTTGGAAAAGCTCGAGCGCCTCCAGGACGAGTCGATGGAGCCGACGGTGATGGCGTTGGCGGCCGAGGCAGGCGAGGTGTTGGCGGCGTTGGTGTTGGAGTTGCCGGCAGCGATGGCGGACAGGACGCCGGAGCTGTAGGCGCTGTTGACGGCGCTGTTGAAAGCGGACGAGAAGCCACCGCCCAGGGACATGTTGATGACGGCGCGGCTCTGGCGGCTCTTGGAGATGATGTCGTTGACGGCCCAGTTGAAGCCATCCAGAATGATCGAGGTGGACGAGCTGCTGCCAGCGAAGACCTTGACCGCGATGGCCTGGGCGGCCTTGGAAACACCATAGGTTGAGCCAATGATGGTACCAGCGACGTGGGTGCCGTGACCCTGGGTGTCGGCGTTGCTGCCACCGACGGCGTTGTAGCCGAAGCTTGCGCGGCCGCCGAACTGGTTGTGGGTGGTCAGGATGCCAGTGTCCACAACGTAGGCGAAGGTGCCCTGGCCAGCGGTGTTGTCGTAGATGTACGAAGTGCTACCGGGGTTGCGGTGCGAGACCGTGCCCAGACCCCAGGTGGCGCCGGTCTGAGTGACGAGAGCACGCTTGGAAGCGGGCTCTTCGACCTCGTCGAACAGAGTCCAGATCTGGTCCTGCTCAACCTCGAGAACCTGGAGAGGTCAACGGTGGTCAGTTGAAGGCTTCTTGTGTCGGTGACCATATTCGGCACTCACATAAGGGTCCTCCTTGATGGCGGCAATGGTCTCGTCGTCGAACTCGCCGGCGTAGGCGTTGAAGTCCTCGATGGCGTAGGTCTTCTCAACACCGACGGTGTCGCGGCGGCTCAAGCTGCGGGCGTGGATGTCACGGACGCGGTTCAAGTGGGAGGCGACATCAGCAGCAGAAGCACCTTGCTTCAGGGTGACGATGAACTTTCCGGGAATGACCTGCTTGCCGGCCGGGGTTGGAGCGGCCAGCGCGGCGGGGAGCAGAGCTCCGAAGAGTAGTGCAAGCTTGGGGAAGTTGAGCATTGTGATGGAGTGATTGAGATCCGGGAACAAGGAAGCGCTGTGCTGAGTGGAAATGGGACAGCGGACGAGTTGCTGTTGTTGTTCTGGCATTTCTGGCGAGACATGGTAACAGGATGGTCGTTTATATAGATATCAGAACATGATCGCGCCTCATGGCGTCAATGACATCCACAATTGTCTACAGCCGTGCGGTCATGGCGCGTGGACCAGGGCAAAGTGGTGCAAGTGTCCGGATGCGACATTGAGGCTGCGGCTGGGGGAATGAGACATGAGGCTACGCTGAGCAGGGTTGCACGAGCGCCAATGAATTGGCAGGCCTTGACAGAATTAGGAAGGAGCACTACTGGGACCTGAAATCGATGGCGCTAGTTCTGCTTTGTATCACGAGAGCAGCGCGTCGATGTCGTGTCCGAGCCTGATAGTCAGGGTCGCCAGGCAGGTTGCAGTATAGCTTGCCAAGGTCCTAGCAGTCATTGGGAAAGAGCCAAGAGGTATATGCGCTTGCGAGATCTTGGCTGAAATGGCATTGATCAAGGGAACCCTACGGGGCATCCCGCTGCCGACTGGTCGGTGGCTGAACTAGTAGTTCGCATCACATTGCTTGGTGGTGGCACGTCGAGGCTGGATGTCCTGACGGGAGAGACAAGTCGGTGCTCTGCTGATCCTCGCAGTGTCGGTTCCAAGAACGAAATATGTGAGGCCAACGTGACTACAGAGGCAATAACTGTGCTGGATTGTCAAAGGACAGCTCCCGGCCGCCCGTTGCGAGTCTTGTGGACAATACTCGTGAACACTGAGTGCTTGGTGTTAAATGACACGAGCTGTGCATGGCAGCACTGTCACTAATTTGGAAGGTAAATGTCGACCCAACAGACCAGAGCAGGCAAGGCCGGCTCGGAATGAGCGGCCAAGACTCTCCCAGTGGGATCGTCGAGGAGGAAGTAAGCATAGGATAGTACTCTTGCTCTGGCTACTGATAGCAACTGCATGTCCGTGGTGGGGAAAATGCGGAGGTGGCGGTTGGTGGGAAGAGAGGGCCTGACGAGCCACGTAATTGGCGGCATCAGGGGCGAATGCCTCCCCAAGGTTTACTGACTGCCGGGCGGAATGCGGCACTTGGGCAGCCCTGGGAACCCTGTAGAGCGCTATAAGCCGCCAGCAGAGCAAGCTCCACCAGTGAGTGCCAACCAGTGGTAGCTTGTTCAGTAGTCGACAGCAGCCACCCCGGCAGTTGTAGGATGACCATCTCAACAGAAGCCAAGAACCCCGACGTCCTTGGCGGCTCCATGGACTTTGAACAACTTCCCTTCTGATCCGCTCGGCCTGAAAAAACCATGCTGGAGCGAGGCCATGTGAGCATCACAACCGAAAGCTCCCCTTGCCCGACCACGGAAGCCCAGAGATAAGAAGACATCGCAGGCTGTGCCGAGTTCCGGTTCCTGGCTGCCAATTCCCCAGGCGTGTATGTCGCAGAATGTGACTTATGCTGTCCGGGTTGTTTATAGCTCCCGTTCATAATAGATCTGACGCCAGGATGCCGCTGATCGATAAGGACAATGGCATGGCAGCCGCTGACGTCGGCGTCTGTGCGTACGGGCAGTTTGTCGTTTGAGTGACTACCCTTGTAACCAAGACGGCGACGGAAAACAAGGGAGTTGTAGCACCGTACGCCGAGGACGGGACGTAATAATGTGCCGTGTGCCTCCAGCGGTCTGCTGACTCGTTCCGGCATGGCTGCTCTTAGTGCACTGCAGAATCATGGCGCATCTACGCCATCAAGGTTGTTCTCTGGATCCGACTGGACGACGGGAGCCGCGACGATGTGCCCTTAGCCAAAGACCGCGTGCCTGGCCGTGGGACGACGAGTTGAGGTGGATCGCCACAATGCGTCCAAGGGACGAGAGCACGCCTTTGGCCCCTGCAGTCGACTAAGGCGCCAAGAGGGACCAAGAAGCACCAAGGAAAACCAAGACCTGAGAAGAGAAGGTGCTCGGGGCCACAGAGCAGCGCATACTGCAGGGCCAAGCTGATACGGCGCCGGGTTCCTTTGGCGATCCCCCGCGTATGTGTGTCTTGCCAGATTGATTTTCCAGATACAGACAAGTCGTGCCTGCGCTTGCCTCCCGCGTGGCTGAGGTTTCAGCCGCTCAGGTGCACTCCACATGGCGAGCTGACCAGACTATTCAACTTGTTCTGGGCATTTCCAACAATACACGACGAGCTTCTTGATTCTTCTATGGTTCCCGGCTCGGCACGCTCTATCACACACGCTTACAATTGCCGCGTCCATCCACCTTCCTTTTCAAAGACACTGCCGACAGCCTTGGCGACCCTAAGCAGGCGGCGGTCTTCATACCGCGGCCCGACCAGTGAGAGCCCAATGGGCATTCCATGCTCACCTTGGAAACCAGGAACATTGACCACCGGGGTGTGGAACGCCTGCAGATGCGAGGGTCGGTCAGTCATCATCATTGCACCACCAGGCTCGGAATAATCACGCAATTGCACGCCAGATGCTCCTGGCTGGGAAGCGATGGAGACACAGAGACACACATGGACAGAGAGAGAGAGAGAGACTACACATACCGTCCAAATGCTGTTGAAGCACGCGCTGCCCGTCGACTTCTGGCCGAGCGGCGCCTCGTCCGGCACGCTCGGCGTCACAATGGCCGCATACCTCCCAGCGATCTCGTCAATCTTGGGCCGCAGCGTCGCGAGCCCGTCCCACGCCGCGAGCTGCTGCCGCCGGGTGATCTTGTGCTCGTTGTCGACGTGGCCGGTGAGGAACCCGTCTAGCTTGTCCTTGTCCGTCTGGTAGTCGGGCAGGAACGAGACGCGGCCTTCGCTGTGCAGTACGGTGCGGTGCCACTGGGGCGCCTCGTCGAAATTGGGTGGGAGCTCAATCTCCTCGACCTCGGCGCCGTGCTGGCGCAACAGGCCTGCCGCCTTCTCCATGGCCGCGATCGTGCCGGGCCCCGCGTTCGACCAGACCATTGTCTTGAGCATGGCGAACTTGGCTCCCTTGACCTCGAAACTGGGGCTGTTGTTGTCGGGGGACTCGTCGTCGGCGACCGCAAAGACATTCGCCAGGAGGTCGAGATCCTCGACACTCCGGGCATAGAGCCCGAGCGTGTCAAAGAGCAGCGAGTAAATCTTCAGTCCTTCTCGAGTAATCGAGTTCCATGTCGGCTTCATCGCGTAGATGCCATTGAAAGAGCCAGGCCGGATCGTGGAGCCGCCAGTCTGTGTCCCCAGCCCAACTGCGGCCTGGAAGTCGCCGACCGCCGCGCCGGATCCCGAGGAAGAGCCCCCAGGTGTTCTCGAGGGGTCATGCGGGTTGCACGTCTTTGGTCCAACTGTCGTCGCGGCGAACTCTGTGGTCGTCGTTTTGCCTTGGACAAGTCAGTTTAATGCATCTGAGGGCGGCCAAGGACTTGCACAGAGACGGACCCAAAAGCAACGCGCCTGCGTTCCTGAGGATCTGGATGCAGCCAGCATCGACACCAGCCGCAAAGCCTTCGTAGATGGCCGAGTTGTACTGCGTGGGCATGTCTGCGACGTACGTCAGAAGTCTTGTTCTTTGATCACAGGATCCCAACAGATTGGGGGACAACCCTTTGTATGGATGACATCCTTGACAGCTACACTGACGCCATGCAACGGGCCGCGCTTCTCAGGCGGGATCTGGTCGAGCTGTTTGGCTTGCGCAAGGACCTGCTCTGGGTCGAGGTATGCCCATGCCTTGACGGTGGCATCGCGTTCTTGAATGCGCGACAATAGTGATTGGGCATAGGCCTCCACAGTCAAAGAGCCGCCCTTGACTTTGGAAAGTACCTCTGACGCCGTGAGTCTGTAGGGCTCCATTGCTTCCCAGGAGTAGTATGTCTAGACGGCGTTAATCGTCGAAAATTGCAAGATTCTGCCTGACCACGAAGGTTGACATACAGTGTTCGCGATTGTTGTCAGGGCCTGTGAGGTGAGTCTTCACTACATCGGCTCTTGAACTTGTCGCAAAGCTCCAGGCTCAACCATGGGCCGAGCGCCGCGGATGAGCAGCCGGCATCGGCCTCGGAGGAGTCTCCTGGTCCCGTTGCAGACATCGGCGGGGTTCCGACGGCTTCACTTTCCAGGGATCGAGTCCACCAGATAAAGCTCCCCCCGCCGTGGGGTAACGGGCCACATCAGGAAAGCTCTTGTGAGCTTGCGCTTCCTTATCTCGTCCGCCAATGCAAGGGGAAATGCAAAGTGTGTACTTAGCTGTTTGTTTCGATAGGGGGAGCGGCAGGTCTGGCTAACAATTTACTTCGTGATACGCTCCATCATCAGCGCTTGCGTCGCGCTGCAAAGTCATCCAGACGCCAGCCAGACTTCGACATTTCACAAGTTGTCTGATTGACACATTAACCATCCACTCATTTTATTGACCTAAGTGTAATAAGGCGGCCAGCCCAAAAACCAATCCATACGTTTTTGTTTGTTGCGCACAAAAGCGAGAAACCAGTCAATGTCGTGGATAAATTTTGTATTAATCACAAAGCAGCACCAGCCCTGGCTGTGAACTGTTCGCTAAAGGGATAATCTATGTATCCCTCCCTCTTCTTGGGCGTGTAGAATACCGACCGATCATACTTGCTCAGCTCAAGTCCCTCCTTCAATCTGAACACCAGATCCGGATTGGAGATGAAGTGCCTCCCAAACACGATCCCGACATCGTACTCTTTGAGGGTCCCGTCCACAACCTTGCGCGCAGATTCCCCCGTGAACCCGCCTGCCAACAAGACCGGGCTTGCATTGCCCCAGAGCTTGACGAGAGGCGCAACAGTCTCCTGGTCGGCTGCCTCGCCCTCATCGACTTTCTCGTCATTCCCGTGCACCCTCGCCTCAATGAAATGCAGATAGGCCAGATTCCTGCCTGATTCCCCACCGAGCGCTTTCAGCTCGTTGATCAGGTACTCAAACTGCGGCAGCGGCTCCGCCATCTTCATGTCGTTGTACTCGCTGAACGGGCTCAGCCGGATCGCGACTTTATCCGCCCGCCCCGCCAGCGCCGCCACTACCGCCCTGGTGATCTCGAGCGTGAACCGCGCGCGGTTCTCTATGCTCCCGCCCCAGCGGTCCGTCCGGGTGTTGCACGTGTCCTGCAGGAACTGGTCCGGGAGGTACCCGTTGGCCGCGTGGATCTCGATGCCGTCGAACCCGGCGCCCTCCACCGCGTTCCGCGCGGCCGCCGCGTAGTCCCGCACGACTCCCCAGATCTCGTCGTCGGTCAGCGCGTGCGGGGTCCCCGGCCTGGGCGGGTTCGCGATCGCCGTGACGGCCGCCTGCCTGAGCGGCACCGCGCTCGCGGACACGAGTTTGGTGCCCAGCTGGGCGTGGACGTGGGCGTGCCCGGCCCGCCCGAGGTGCCACAGCTGGCAGAAGATGCGGCCCCCCTTGCCGTGCACGGCGTCGACGACCGACTTCCAGGCGCTGATCTGGGCCTCGGTGAAGATCCCGGGGACGTTGAGGCGTCCCGCGGCCGCGCGGGAGATGAGGGTCGCTTCGGTGATGAGGAGGGTGCCCGGGGTTGAGGCTCGCTGGGCGTAGTATTCTGTGAAAGTTGAGAGTATGTTAACCTTTTTGGTCCTTACTCTGAATATACTCGATCGGGCTTGATGGCAGCGTGGTGCGTGAGACGCGGGACATTGACAAGAACGCACCTTGGACCATGGGCAGCGGCACCCACTCGTCGTCACAGCGGTACCGGGTCAGCGGCGCAAGCATTATACGGTGCCCGAGCTCAAATTCCCCGACCTTGAGGGGTTGGAATAGTCGAGACATTGTGTGCTGTTGGTGCGCTTCGCTGGGGTGCAAACTGACCGGATGTTTGCTGCTTGATTTGAATGACAGCCGGGCACGCAACACAGGGCGCGGAGGTCGATCATGGACGCCGGCAGTGGCCCAAGAGGGAATAAAAAAAAAGTCACGAGAAGTCTCGAAGGTCAGGATCGTGGATGTGTTGGACCGGAGGACGGAGCTACTCCTGCCGAGTGTCCGACGTCGCTTGTGCCCGGTGTCGGTCGCTCGAAGTTGTGGGTGATCACTCAGCTGCTGTTAGTTGCAATCGCACTGAGAGTTCGCATCAATTTCTGCCTGTCTGGGAGTTTTGGCACTTCCGACTGCAAGGCGGTCGAGAGCACTTTAGCTCATCGCCTACCTCTTGTAATCACATTGTGGAATGATGCATGGGACCTCGTCAGCTTCACAGTGATGAACTCAGTACGGCCTCATGAGTTGCCCTTAGTCTTACAGTGTTACCCAGACATGCTGCCCGCCTCCGATAATTTCGGAGCACCGCATACTTGCCAGCTCTCATGGCTGCCGACGGAAGCCCGCCGGGGGCTGATAACATGCCACCAGCCTTGCACCCCGGAGGCATCCGACACGACTCGGGCCCTCCGCCTGCTTCCCTGGGGACGGATCAGCGCCGAAGCACGTTAGACTGAACTGGGGAATAGTCTTATCAGCCACCAACAGGCGCTCTCAGTGGAACCACCGCCAGAACGGGCTATCACAACTTCCCGCTAAGAGACAGACCCCTGAAGCGCGGGACAATGCTCCGACGGCTTTGGCTAGGCCCCCTGGCCGTACTGTAATTATCCCACCTCGCAGTTGGGGAAATCGACCCCGCACCAGCAGCGCGCCTCCAACTGGCATGACATCGGCCGAGGAGCGATGCAGGAGCACTGATAAGACGGCTAATCGTGCAAGCCATCTATCACAAGCGTGTCGCTGACAGTCTGACGAGCCTGTCCCTCTTCCGACGGGACCTGGCTCAAGGCGGGGTAGACACAAGCATGAGACAGCTTGCCGACCTCCGGTGCGGAGGAGGAGCCGAGCTCGAGGACACAAGTCCGTTGTAGATAGCTTTGAGCGATTGTGTTGCCCTGTGATAAGATTGCTCTTATGTTCTGTCTGCCTGTCTAGCACTGGCGTAGACTTTCTCGTGCTTGGATCCCCCCCGTAATACCTTAGTATAGCCATTGTCATCTTCAGGCAGAGACTAGCAACACTCAAACCTCGAGCTCGCGATACCATCTACTTGCAGAACAAAACCCAGCTCCCCCAACCCCCCTCATCACGGAATAACCACCACCACCACCGCCGCCGCTACGATGCCCGAGGTCTACCACGCACACCCAGACTACGGCTACGACCGCGACTTCAAGGGCTACGGCGAGGCCGGCATCGACCCCAAGTGGCCCAACAACGCCAAAATTGCCGTCTCCTTTGTCATCAACTACGAGGAGGGCGGCGAGCGCTCCGTGCTCAACGGCGACGGCGTCTCCGAGACCAACCTCCGCGAGAACCCGACCGGAGGCGCCCGGATCAACGAGCGCAATTATAATGCCGAGTCCGAGTTTGAGTATGGCAGTCGTGCCGGGTTTTGGTAAGTGTCTTGGCCCGCCGCCTAGTTATCACGAGATTGTGCGCCCCTCGTTGTTTGGGTGAAGAATGAATTCGCGGCTGCGGCTGAGGCTGAAGAAGTGGAAGCACAACCCGCTGACTTGTTGAAACAGGCGCATGTTCAAGATGTTCAACAAGCTCAAGATGAAGTTCACTCTTTATGCCGTCGCACAGGCCGTCGAGCAGCAGCCCGAGGTCGTGAAGCGGTGCGTCGAGGAAGGCCACGACGTTGCGTCGCAGTAAGTGTACACCCGCATTCAACTCTCCCAGGCACCCTTTTGACAATCAATGCCCTGCTAACATCTCCTTGCAACGCGAACCCCAGCGCCTACCGTTGGATCGAGTACCACGACATGCCCGTCGAAAAAGAAAAAGACTACATCCGCAAGGCCATCACCTCCCTCAAGGCCCTCTCCGGCTACGCCCCTCGGGGCTGGTATTACGGGCGCAACTCCCCCCACTCGCGCACCCTGGTACCCCAGGTCTACGAGGAGATGGGCGAGATGCTCGAGTGGATGAGCGACACGTATGCCGACGACGTGCCCTACTGGACCGACCTCGCGCACGAGCGCGGCCTGCCAGACGACCAGGCCAAGGGCTGCCTCATGGTCCCTTACAGCTACGACTGCAACGACTTCAAGTTCCACGTCGTGGGCAGCGGCTTCCGCGACCCCCAGGGCTTCCTGACGCACATCAAGAACGCGTTCGACGTGCTCTACGAGGAAGGCCAGGAGGGCATGCCCAAGATGATGACAATCGGCTTGCACTGCCGGATCATCGGGCGTCCGGGGCGGTTTGCCGCGCTCAAGGAGTTTGCAGAGTACATCAGTCAGAAGGAGGGTGTCTGTAAGTTGTCTTTCCTCTCCCCCGGTGAAATGGGGTTTTCTTTCTTCGTTGAATTCGCATGCATGCAATTGCTGACTTTGGTCTTGATACACAGGGGTGGCTACGCGCAGCGAGATCGCAGAGGCGTTCAAGAAGAACTACCCATACAAGAGAGGGCAATTGGCCTAGGCGACGCGATAAACCAATTATAAAAACTTCCTCCTTGCAATTAGGACCCCGAGTGACTCAAAAGTCTATGGCACTAATACCCCCTCATTTCTGTTGCACCGGTGACAATGATCTGGATGTGATGCAAGGAGCGAGATTGTACGAGCTCCTCATGTGGGAAAACCGCCATTGCAGTTCCCATCAGTGAGCGCAACCTCAGACTTCTGGCGGCCCGTATTGCTTATCCTAGTTGATGAACAGTCAAGAACGGCAGGACATTGGCATCGCATGCAGTTCTACAACACCCCAATATGGCAAGCATCGCTACAGCACTTGCCCCTCAATAGCTCCAGGTGGAGTAAGCTGAGAACAGCAACACCAGATTGAAACGTAAAGCGACTTGGAATCAGAGCTCAGCAAGCCACTCGGTAACAGATACTCATCTGAGTCATTGCAAAGCATCTCAAATCATCTAGATGGATTGGCGTGTAGATGTGTGTATCGTCAATTCTCACACTAAATGAGATCATCGGACATCCGAAAGATCCCCAAAAGTGCCTTTATCATCAGCCACAGAGAGCTCCCCACCTCCACCTTGCAACCTGCCCCCCAAAAATCGGAACTGCCGACCCACCCGTACACCACATGCGGTGCAGGGCTGACTGACTGGGTCTCTCTTCAAGCTTGGCGCCGAGGCCTTGCCACGACGTGGTCCCACACAACTGGCTGCTCTCCCCCTGGTCAGCGTCTTATCTTTCCCGCCTCCGCAAGCATGGGGAACTGGGAGGCGGTGGTGCTAGAGAGGAGAGAAGAGTGTGTGGTCACATCTCGTTGTGGACCGATCCCGCTTGGTGGGTGCTGGAAGAGAGGAAACTGACATGCATGCTGTACTGGACGTCTCTTCGCAATTCTGACTATTTCCCCCCCTGGCGTTATCTGCCGGGATTCTTGGCACGATCCGGCTCGATCACAGGGCCCAGCCAGGACTGATTCGTGCCAGAGATACCGCAAAACATCCAGGCCTGGGCCCATGCTGATGTGATGGCGTCCCCGATGCGTCTACGCGCACCCGCCGAAGAGGCCCCAGCCGCGGCCGGCCGTTCGGGACTGGTGGAGATAGGCAGCATGATCGACATCCCGACACCTACCTTGGGGGGAGGATATCTATATCGACTGGGCTCGTCTCGTCACCCTGCATGCCCGGTTCTGGAACCTCGGTGAACTACCAAAAGGTCTCGCTTGTTCCTGTGTCGACATCACTGACCAATACTCGGTGTTCCGCCTATTTGCGACCAACTTTACTTCATCTTTTGTGTCAAAGGTCCACACGACAGACAGACAGTCGAAGCAAAGCAGCAATGGTTGCCTTCCCGTCCCGGGAGGCCGTCACGGCGGCTTTCCAGTCCCGTCATGCCTTCCACGAGTTTATTAAGGCACCCGTCGGCAACGGTGACGAGGTCCTCATCGGCGATGAGAAGTGGACAAACCGCGATCTTGAGCCGACGCCTCCGCGGGAGCGGACTTGGGACTGGTAAGTCTACGGTGTCCCTCGTCAAGGGTGTGAGCAGGATGCTAATAAGAGCTCGGAACTCCAGGTACAACCTGCCATTGTACTGGTTTACTGCCGCCTTCTCCGTCACTGGATGGAACGTCGCGTCCTCCCTGATCGCCGTCGGCCTGGTACGTCCACGTCCGATATCATGAAGTACCAGATCCGGTGCCTGGTGATCATCTCAGCTGACGAGCAAGTCTAGACATGGCAACAAGCCTTCGCCTCGGCCGTGATAGGCTCCATCATTGCCGCAGTCGCCGTCGCCTGCATGGCCAGACCTGGAGTCATGTACCACGTTGGCTAGTAAGTCTTGAATTGAGCGCCATCCTTTACGAGTCGGCGGACGGCTTCCCCGTGCAACCCAGAAAGGCCTTGCAAAGAGGAGCGATAGCTGACAAGCCGTGACTGGCTTACAGCCCCTGCGTCGCGCGTTCATGTTTCGGCATGTACGGCTCGTACTTTTTCATCGCGATCCGCGCCGGCGTCTGCATTATCTGGTACGGCATCCAAAGCTTCTACGGTGCCAACCTCGTCTCGCTTTGCTTCCGGTGCATCTTCGGCGACAGCTGGAAGAACTGGCCCAACACGCTGCCTGCATCAGCCAACGTCACTTCCAAGCAGCTGCTTGGATTTTTCCTCATGTGGCTGATTGAGTTTCCATTCGTAAGTCGCATGGCAGTTGTCGAGTTTTAGAGGCCCGAGGGAGCGCAAAAGTTTAATTCTCTTTCGTTGCAAAACTAGATGTTCGTCCACCCGAGCAAGATTCAGCTGCTCTTCACAATCAAAGGCTTTACCATGCCAGCAGCAGCCTTTGGGCTCTTCGGCTGGTGCATGGCATACGGCACTGGTCTGAGCAGTCTCGACCTGGCCAATGCTGGTGGTGTCAAGGCTGCTGGCGCGAGAGCCATCGGCTGGAACATCATGTCGGGTATCAATGTCATTCTGGGCACATTGTCGCCGATGGTCATCAACCAACCAGATCTCGCTCGGTACTGCAAGAAGCCCTGGCACGCTGGATCTCTGCAGGGCGTTGCCGTCTTCGTCACCAAGATTCTTGTGTTCTTCCTCGGCCTGGCGAGCACTGCGTCGATCCAGGGTGCTTGGGGCAAGGCCTACTGTGAGTAATTCATATCTGTCAAACTCTGGTTAGAGCAACATGGATGAGAAGTAGCCGCTTACGCCCGTACTTCACAGGGAATCTGTGGGACCTCCTTGATGCCATCCTCGACCACTATTGGACCCCGGCAGCCCGCGCGGGTGTCTTCTTCGTCTCTTTTACGTTCCTGTTCGGAGTCCTCGGTACCAACTTCGGTGCAAACAGCATTCCGTTCGGCGCCGATCTCAACGGTCTGTTCCCGCGGTACATGACCATCAAAAGAGGCCAGGTTCTCTGTGCCGTTCTCGGTATCGCTGTTGTTCCTTGGAAGCTTCTTGCGAACGCGCAGGCATTCCTGTCTTTCCTGGGCAGCTACAACATCTTCATGGCGCCACTCTGTGCAGTAAGCCTCCCTGCCACGTGCCAGATTGCTCAGCGAATGTCTTTATTCTGACACCAACATAGGTCGTTATTACCCACTACTGGGTCGTCCAAAAAGGCAACATCCACGTGCCGTCTCTCTACGATGGCACCAAAGGCGCGACATACTGGTACTGGGGCGGTGTCAACTGGATTGCTTGCTTCGCCTTTGCAGCCGGTGTCTCATTCGGTCTGCCCGGTCTCGTGGCGAATTACCAGCCGCAGGCTGTCAGCGATGCAGGCAAGAACATGTACACACTAGGCTGGATCCTGACATTTACTGCGTCGGCCGTAGGGTACTCCGTGCTCACGTACTTCATCAAGCTCCGCATTGTGCCAGCTGCATTCGAGTCTGTGCCGATGGGCTACGAGTATCTCGGCAAGGAAGGGCGAGATGGGTTCTTCGATGGCGAGAGGACAGTGTCTGACGGCTCCCCGGTCATGTCGAGCAGTCCGGTCATGACCATGGAGAAAGGCGAGAAGCAGGACGTCTAGATCATGCGCGGTGTTGCCGTGTAGGGGCCAGCAAGATTAAAAGTGGCTGCAATGCATCCGCTTAATCGGACTGGGCGAGTGTGCAGATAATGTATGCCTGAATAGACTATGCCAAATGGCGGCTGCCTAAACTTCGAACCCAGGACCTCATGAACCAAGATCGCTGAAAAGCTCATTGTTCGCTAAATCCATCGATATCACCAGCCAATACAAGTGGCGCTGCGCAAAGAACGATCCGGCTTACTGACCCGAGCCGGTCGCTCTGCGGTTGACAGTGTTGAAGATTTTTTCAACAATTCCGAATCGCAAGTCGAGTATCCTGTCATGATCCGTGTGCGGCACTACGGTCGAGTTGTATTCGATTGCTTTGCCACGCTGTTGCTCTCGCCAGCAGTCGTCGAACCACTTCGGTCCGGCAGTCGTCCCAATCATGTTATCGGCCTCTGAGAAGAACACGTCGACTTTGAGGGAATGCTCCTCGGAAGGACTGTCAGATTCCGCTGTCGCTGTGCCTGGCGTTGCGGTGTTTTGTACCTGCGCGGCCAGAAGCGGCACATACGTGTCCACGTCCACCCACGAGCCCCAAACCTCCTTGGGGCCGGCCCGCTTCAGAAGCATCAGAGCCTCCTGGCCCATGCCTTTACATCCTTGACGGAAAGCGAAGTCGGCAACCTCTGGCATGACGGCGTCCTCGAATGCCGCGTCGTCGGGGTCTGCACCGTCCACTAAGACCGGGGTTTTGGCCAGGCCGAGCGAGCCCGTCAAGGCAGAGAGAATGCCGCCACTGAAGCCCGTGACTGGCCGGAGAGTGCTGTTGAAGAAGCCGGCGAGGGTGTCGACCGTGCCTACAGCTGCAGCGGGCAACATGTGCACAGCTCCCATCATGGGCGAGCCGGAGTGCAGAGGATGAACCCAGGGGACGCAAAGGGCAGCATAGGGCCGCGTTGGGTGCAGAAGATGAGGGAGATAGAGCAGAGTGTTGAGGGCATAGATTGTGCCGGCGCTTTGAGAGACGATGGCGACATGGCGGATGCCCAAGTGCTCGAGGAGGGCGGGCACAATCCTCAGCCAGGCCGTGACGCGGTCTTCAGCATTGGCGACTGGCGTTGTGCCTCCGAAACCCGGGCGGTCGACATTGACGAAGCGGACTCGATGCTTCTTGGCAAGCTTGTCCTTGGTGATGTGGAGGTAGCGGCTGGGATGCGGATGTCAGTGCTGGGAGGGACCGAGGCCGCAAGGATGGCCTGGAGGGCAGGGGACAAGTAATAATTACCTGGCGAAGAGCGGGGCGCAGAAGAGCACGACGTTGTCGTGCTGTGGACCGTCCGGATGGCGGAACCCAAAGTCGCTGTAGGTGATGGTGAAGGGCTCGTGGTGGTCGGCATCTGGGGGCAGCACGAACGTCTGCTGGAAGCGGGGGTCTTGCAGGTACTCGGCCGCAGAGGGGGGCGACTGCGGCTGTGTCATTGTCGTTGTGTTTTCTGGGATGGTGATAGCGGCCCGGTGGACCGTGATGAAGCCTCTGGAGGCCTGGAGATATGGTGCGCCGGCCGGATAGACTAATTATGCACAGGTCCAGAGGTGGGAAGCGATGTTGCTGACGACGACCCTTGGGGAGGCAGGCATCCGTCGAGCGGAAGTGATGCACGCACGTGGAGGTCAGAACCTTGAAAGTCGCAGCCTGGAGTGCAGGGGCAGGAGCACCGGGACCCCTGCGCCTTCCGCGGCTCCCGCAAAACCTCCAGGCTGAAGGTAGACTGCGTACACCGCACCTGCGGCACGCTGTAGACTAGTGAACTACAGCACCACGAGATTCGGCAAGCCCCAGAGGCAATGGGCCCCCCTGGCAGGGTCGCCGACCTCCAGTCCAGGGTCTTCTCGTCTCCCGTGCGGGGCAGCACGCGTCAAATCTCGTGATGTGCCGCCGCCTGTGTCTCATGGCTTCAGCTGTCGAACATCACAACCTCCGGGCATAGATTTTTGGGAATCCCAATCTTCCTTCCGTGAACCTGCTCATACAATCGCAGCATCTCGCCATGGACCACTACGACTTCGTCATCATTGGCGCTGGCATCTCGGGCATCGATGCCGCCTACCGCCTCAAGACCCAGCTGCCCGGCTGCTCATACACCATCCTCGAGGCCCGCGACGTCGTGGGCGGCACCTGGTCCTTCTTCAACTTCCCCGGCCTCCGCTCAGACTCTCAGCTCACCTCCTTCGGCCTGCCATGGCGCCCCTGGATGCACCAGAAGGACATCGCCAACGCCGCCCTCATCCGCGACTATCTCCAAGCCGCCGCCCGCGACGAGGGCATCGACAAGAAGATCCAGTTCAACCACAAGGTCACCGCCGCGAGTTGGTCGTCAGATGAGCAGCAGTGGACCCTGTCCACAACCTCGGGCGGCAATGACAAGACGATCCGTGCGTCCTTTGTCCTCGCTTGTTGCGGCTACTACAGATATGACAAGCCCCTCGAGACCGCCATCCCTGGCATCAACGACTTCAACGGGATTGTCGCGCACCCGCAGTTCTGGCCAGAGAACCTCAACTGGGCCGGGAAGAAAGTCGTCGTCCTTGGCTCCGGCGCCACAGCCATCACCATCGTCCCGGAAATGGCCAAGACGGCTGGCCAGCTCACCATGCTTCAGAGGAGTCCCTCATACGTGCTCAGCGTTCCATCTGTCAATCCTGATGGCAAGTTCTTGAAGCGCTTCCTGCCTTCCTGGCTGGCCTTTCCAATCTACTGGTGGCGCTGCGTCATCGAGGAGCACCTATTCGTGCTGTTCAACCTCTACTTTCCGAAGCTCGGGAGGAAGCTTCTCATGTGGCTCGCGCGCAAAGAACTTCCGTCTTCCGTTGATGTTGACGTGCACTTCAACCCGTACGTCACTTGAAACACCGGCCCCCAGTGTCCATGCTAACCAAGGAGCAGCCGGTATTTACCATTTGAGCAACGCCTCTGCCTGTGCCCCGATGGCGACTTCTTCAAGGCTTTTCACCGCGACAACTGTGAAATCGTGACAGACACCATCGAAAGTGTTGTTGCAGATGGCATAGTCACAAAGTCGGGCCGCAAAATCGAAGCAGACATAATCGTGACCGCTACTGGCCTGCACGTCCAACTCTTGAGCGGTCTCGCGCCTGTGGTTGACGGCAAACCCTTCTCCATTGGGGAGAGCTACGCCTGGCGAGGCGCGATGCTTACCGGGCTGCCCAACATGGGCGCCGTCTTTGGCTACACGACAACCAGCTGGACTTTGGGCGCAGACGCCAGCATTCGGCTCCTCATTCAGGTGTACAAGCACATGACCAAGATTGGTGCTACATCAGCAGTCCCGGTCGTCGAGGACATGGCAAAAGCCACGCCATCCAAGCCAGTCATCTCGCACAGCTCCACCTACTTTGTCGCGGCCAAGGATCGGCTGCCGCGAGTGACCGGCCAGGCACCATACTCGGGGCGCATTCACGCGATCTACGACAACTGGATGCTATGGTTCGGTAGCGTGACGCGTGGGATGCAGTATACTATACCTGCTCGCAAGAAGCTGTGAGAAGGAATAAACATGTTCCGGCGCTCTGTGGTGGGCCAGTTCTCGCAGGACCGTCGAGCTCCCTTGATGGCTGGCAGGAAGGATTGTAGTAATCATAAAGCGGAGCGGGCATGCTGACCGCCGAAACACCACATAGACGCAACTTGAAACGAAGCCAATCTGAGCTTGCAGCCTTCTGTTGCGGCTGAAGTGCATCGCGTCCACCACCAGATGGCTTTTGTGGATATATTTGTGCATTGTGTTGCGCACAATTCCCATCAAATTCACTGCCGGCAGACGGCTGTAGATCACATGCAGCCTGGTACGAAACCGAGCAGTCGGCGCAGGTCCTCTGAACCTCTGAACCTCTGAACCTCTGAACCCTGAGCCTACAGCCTTGTACTTGTCCAGAAGTCTCCGAGTTGAATTATGATCAATACCTCATTGCTCTCGGCAGCCCTTGCCGCTGCCGCATCGATGAACAGCCCTGTACAACTTCATTCGCGCAAATTACGAGGACAAGGTAAAGTAAACGCCGACGTCATGCAGTAAAATGGACAGCTTTCGCCGCCCCTTGGGTATATGAGAGCTACCAGCATACGCTCTAGGTTCGGCTCTATATTTGTCGCAGCCAGGTTCAGCTGTGGGTCAGCTCTTATTCACCGAGGTCGCTAGCCAGAGGTTGAAGGTTGATTTGGAAGACTCTGGCACAAGCCTCAAGCCCCAAGCAGGACCAGACATTGCCAGTGGATATCGTGGGGAGATCTCCCCACACATGTGCATGAGGCGTCGTCGCTTCGGTACCTTGGCTCTGTTAGCTCCGGACGATTGCTGCCCTGGAGAAATCTTACCATGTTCGGCGGGCCTGCAGACGAAGATCTTGGCGCCTGGGACAAGTCACTAGAGCCACAACAGCGGGACAGCCAGAACCCGGTAGTAAGCTGCAGCGCCCACCACATCATTGCTTACACCACTGATTGACATGGCCTTGTTGAGAAGTCCCGGCCGCACTGCACAGGGTTCCTTCCAGCTGGACTGGCCTTGGAGACAAAACCAGCCGCCGCCTGCCCAACAGCCAAGACGAAACGATCGTTGCCTTACGGTGCTCTTGGTTGCAACCATATCACATCCAAAATCCCAGCCCGGTCCTGCGTGCAACCCTGACCACGCGACCTTGTATGCATCTTTGCGGGTCAACTATCCGCCCAAAGTACTGCACAAGCTCCTTCTTGGCCCCGGCCGGTCCTTGGCTTCGCCCAGCCCTTGGCTAAGCACCTCGCCCGTCTCCAGCCTGAGACACCATCTATAACCCGATCTTCTCACATACTCGCAGCAGTGCAGTGGCAGCCCCGGCTACCATCTTGTCCAGCTTGGAGTGAGGGGAAGGCACTCGATTGCGGCATCGCCTGAGCCCAGAGGCCGGTTTCGCTTCCACGACTCTCCACTGCAAGGCTGTGTGCAACCGCCCTCCCGGCTCACGCACAAGCGTCTCCGACCAAGCCTCTCACACCGCGCGTCTTACTCGATTTACGGAGAGTCCCGCTAAACTCCGGCTCGTCATTGGGGCTTTGTGGTTCTTTCATTACTGGCATATACCCAGCCAAGATCCTGCCCGCCTGCCTTTACCGGGCTCGTGTTAGTAGTTTCCTGCCTCTTCAGCACTTTGTGCTTCAACCACAAACATCGTGTTCAACGCGCTCTCTTCACCGAGTGTCATGGACAAGTCCAAGACTACAAGCATCGCGAAATGGGGCGCCGCCTGTGCTGCTTGTGCCCTCGCCAAAGCCAAGTGCATTCGCCCCAACGAGTCACCAGGAGTCAAATGCGACAGGTGCGTGTTGTACCATCACGACTGCATTGCTGTCTGTGCTAATATGTCCTAGGTGTGAGCGTCTGGACAAAGACTGCACAAACCAAGTCCACAAGCCACGAAAGAAGAGACAAAGCAAACCATCGTGAGTAGCAAATCATATTCACAATGCTTGCTCCTTCCATGCTGATCTACTCGACACAGGAAAACTGCACAGCTCGAGGAGAGGTTAAACAGCTTGGTGGATCTGCTCAAAGCCTCCAACTCGGGCGAGATCCCGCCAGGGACCAACCTCCGCGACTACACCAGGGACTTTGACGGTTGCTTCTCTTCCTACACCAGCTCTAGAGCCTCCCCAGCATCCACATCCCCACCAGAGTCGGTCAGGGCCACCTTCCAGCCTTTCAGTGACAATGCCCACATGACGTGTAATTGTCGGCCTGTCGATGTCGACACGCCACTCCAGGTCGAGTCGGACGACGCGCTCTTGGCGATATTCATGACGCAGCTCATGCCGGAATTCCCATTCATCACTCTTCGACCAGGTCTGAGAGCCGCCGAGCTCGCCGCCGAGAAGCCCTTCTTGTTCTCCACCATCAAGATGATTGCTTCGTATCGGAACCTCAAGTCCATGCGCGCACAGAGTTATTACATCATGAAGCATCTCTACGAGCATATGATGATGAGGGCAGACAGGTCGCTTGAGATGCTGCAGGTTGTACTGCTGATCCTTGGCTACTACCACTACCACTGCATGCTGCATGCGCAGATGGGTAACCTGGCGTCTCTGGCCGTCAGCCTGGCGGCCGACATTGGCATCAACCGGGCGCCTGAATTATCAGAGCGGTCGAGGTTGATTGTGCTGCATCACGAGTCGCCACAGCCACGGTCAAATGAGGAACGGAGAGCACTTTGCGGTGTGTGGTACATGAACTCGGTGTAAGTTGGCCCCGCGCCGCGTGGCGCGCTCCATGCATTACGATTTCTGGAAACTGACAAGTTTAAAGGGTTGCGCTGGCGTTCCAACGATTAGACCCGATCCGATACACTCCGTACCTAGAACAATGCATGAAGGACTTGGAGGCAGCCCGCGAATATGAGACGGACTACCTCATCGTCAACCTCGTCCGCGTACAGCACCTGACCGAGCGCATCTCGCAGCTCCATGCCAAGGAACACCTCCCACAGGATCTGCAGGACATATCGCGCGCACCTATGAATGTGTACCTTGATGCATTCCAGCAGGAACTGGACAAGTTCAAGTCTGCACTGCCTCGGTGCTTGCAGAACAACAGTGAGTCGGACGCGATGCTCGCACGCAGTAAGCAAAGTGCTGACACTCTTCCTCGCAGAACTAATCACCTGCCACGTCAACGCTGCCACGTTACGGCTCTGGGAGCCACCGATCATCGACGCCGCGATGCTGGAGAAGCTTGGTTCTTCCTTCCAAACCCTTTCGCTCAGCTCGACCTACGCTTCACACCTGGGCATCTTCTATAAGTGCAATGCTGCTTTAAAGCACTGGTTCTCCTTCTGGCTTGCCCTGGACCCATCCGAGTACTTCCTGCTGCCGATGCCGGCCTGTGCACAGCTGATCAACGCCATAACAATGCTATCGCGATGGGCTAAGCTGTGTGGCACGGAGCCTGGGCTAAGTCAAGTACCAGGTATGACCTTTACAAGGTTCCAATTTTTTGGCGTCACAAAAACTGACTTCTGTGTCTCGACAGCCGTTGCCGCAATCAAGACGCACATCATGACCCAACCAGAGTTGCAGATCGACATTGGCGGCATCCTCGAGGCCATGGTATCCCGATTTGACGAAGCCCGGCGCATGCTGGCATCACAGGAAGGCGGCGCATGGGACAACAACATCTGGGACCTGGCGTCGAAGAAAATGAGATTGACGCAGATGAGGCTGGAGCGCTGGGCTGATGCCGTGGCGGTGCACGAGTCCTTTGCCGCAGGACGATATCTCGACAGCCGGGAAGGAAGCAGCACGGCAAGCACGTCCGCCTTCAGCTCCCCGGCTCTCGACAAGGTGTATCCAATGACCGTGCTGGATACGTCAGTGACGTCAGCGCCAAACTGCCTTCCGGACCACCACGGCAACATGATGGACACGACCGGGGGCCTGCACTTGAACCAGGCTTTGTGGCAGGCGATTGGCATGAACAACCCGGCTGCGACGACGGCCGGCTGGGGCTCGACGGCGGACGTGTTTGACGGCTTGGAGCTGGACCAGAACTTCTTCTTTGACGCCTCGAGCGACTACAACACTGTCGTGCTCAACACCTTGGGCCAGACACCACCGATGTAGGGCGCGGGCCTTGTAGTGAGGGAGAGAAACGGTGTATTACGAAAGAGCTCTGATTTACGTATGGCGTTTCTTGGCGCGACATTGCATGGCATCTGCTGCATCTTATTTGGCGCATTTCCGGCTACACGACAAATCTAAAAGCATTTTTCTGGTCACATTGCATTCCGATGGAGTTGGTGGAGTCTTTTTTATTGTTGTTCTGCATATTTAAACAAAATCATTTTCAGCCCAGTACCGCATGCCATCTTTCTCGAGAACAGCATCTGTCTCTCGCTTTTCAAACCTGTGAATTCGGAGAGGTGAGAATGTCTACAGTATGATATTATCCGAGCCAGGATAGAGCAAAATGATTTCAAAAAGAGCCATTCACGCTGCACATCTCGGTCTTGCGTTAGTCCAATCCCTCGGACAATACAGTATGATTGTAGCGCACAACACTAAACATTAAGCACTGAGCCGTGTGGGCGAAGGGGGCCACCCGAGCTAGGACCAGACTTGCCTTGAAGGCACCAAGATGGCAGGGCGGGGATGGGAGGAATTAAGCCTTGCTTGGCGCGAAATTGGCATTCTTGGGGGGACCAGCCGCACTACTGAGGCCAGCCACGGCAGGGCAGGCGCTCGGGCACATCGACTTGGGACCTTACTAATTGCTTTCACTCTTGATAGCGCGCGCCGTTTGTATCTTATTCGTTGGAACTGCTCCCGTCGACTGTCTATTCCACAAGCGCAGTTTTTATGGCGTGCCGCTGCCACCGCCCGATCCGTCCTGTAGCCGAGCGAATCAACCTCAGAGCGCAGGGAACATAGTGTCAGCCATGGTTCGCTATGAAATGGCTGGGTAGCGTGGAACTGCGGAAAACACGCTTACGTGTAGAGTTAACTATGCATGAAAATATACAACAATAACAACAACAACAACGACAACACAAAACAAGCCGATCCAGCCCCCCCCCCCCCCGCGGTGAACCAAGGTGTTGGTCATAGCTTTCCATATGCACGCCCGGGGAGCCCCCCGGCCAGCATCTGTGTTGTTGTTGTTGCTTGCTGCATGGCGTCGGCGTGGCATTGCTGGGTGTGCTGTGCTTACTACGCACATAAGACTGCTGCTTCTCTTGAAACGAAGCGGAGATGGGGGGCCGATTTCTAGTGTGGGGTAAAAGGCGCATGCAAGAAAGCAGAGTCAACTGAAGTATTCTATGTAAAGACCTACCGGGGCGACTGTGGCTGAGGGATTGCATGACCTCGCGAAGGCCAGCTGTGTGTGTGATATTATCCTGTGGCATGTTATGAGGTGTGCTCCGCTACGTGATACGTAAGATTTTGGTATGCAAAAGGATGCGCGCGCCCCCCCCCCCCCCCCCCCCGCCCGGACCGTCGGTGTTTCACGTTGTGCCGTCGAGATCGGCACGGCTGGACATGCATTTGCAGCAGCAGGTGCAGCAGCAGCAAGGAGAAAGCAGAGAGGAATTTGCCGTCGTCGTACACAGCGCCGAACCAGGGGACTGCAGGACATGCCGATCGTTGAGATCGGGTCTGGCGCCGAGTGCGACGCTATTGCGTCATGGAATTTAATGTTGGGATGGTGAAATGTGAAATGTGCTTCAAAGGGGCAAGTGGGTTTTCTTACCAGCTAAAGATGCATCAGCTCCACGCGGAGAAACGGCCGGCTTAGCAATCCATTGCGAGGAGGGGCTCAGGCTTGAACACGTAAGTGGTGATGGACTGTTGTTGAATCGCGGCACTGGGAGCACAAGGTCATCTTAAGATGCGTCAGCAAACAAAACAAAATCCACCGCGCTGGAACTCCGTTGTCTCCGCTCCCCACAGCCAGTAAGCCCAGACCGCCTGTGTTATAGAAAAACGTGTGGGGAAGCCCGGGTCAGGGTACTTGGTCCGCATGCTTCCTTCATGTTGTTTCAAACCGGAAAATTTCCTGGCGGGGCAGTACTACGTAGACTGTAGGATGTGCTAGATGACAATTTGGTTGGTAAAGGAGCTGGCCAGGTGCAGCATGCCTGGACGGCCGCCCCACGGCGGATCAATGGCCGCTGCAGCACCAGGAATAGCAACCGAGCATGTGCCTTTTGACATCTGATTCGCGTCCGTTACGGCAGATCGATTGCTACACCAAAGTGCACGAAGCTGTCCGGGCCGCTCATCAGGGGCATTTTGCTGCTTCGGTCACAGCCATAGCAGGATTGGCAGTGGAATGAGCCGGTTACCGGATAGCCTGTTGTGGCCACTTAGGATCACCGTGGCGGGTGCAATACTCAGCATTTACTGGTCATTAAGATGCCGACACGAGACACTCAACCAAACCATGGGCTTCTCATACAAATTAAATCCCTGCTACGGTGTGCCCCGTAATCACCATGCTGAAGCTACGATACATTGCATCGATGAGAGGCTCACCACGAGAGGCCCTTGCTGAGGCACTGTCTGTGAGGCTGCGCACATCGAGGATGCGATACAACGCCGTCATCGGGGATCGGGATCAGTGGAGGCTCCACCGCCATTGTGGCGGAGGCGCTGTGCCTGGGGCCAGCCTAGCGGTGCTGGGCTAGGTATTACTGTACCACGCGCTGGCCATTGGGACACGAGAGCATGAGATGTGCAGCATCACAAGAAAATCACCGGCACACGAAAATACCGTGAACTTTTTTCAAAGAACTACATACAATCGAATTCTGCAAATCCCACTACCGGCGCCGAACCCAAACCCGTGATCTTGACGATGTCCACGGAAAGGCCCCCCACTGCCCTGCCATGCAAGCAAGAAACAAATTGCCTGAATTGGTAGGTCCAGGTTGCTCTGATTGGCCGCGCCGTCAAACCTTGTGTGAATGTGTGTGTCGCAGTGAAACAACAAACAAAGTGGAGGCTGCCAAGTCTCGCTCTTGTTGCGGAGCCGCTTTGATGCTCTGGCCAGCCTAATCTCCTGGGAGCTGCTCAACCACCCCTTTCATGCCTCAAAGTTTTACTGGTAAATGGTTGTTCCGCGACCGGCAACTTCCGTAGGGACCTTGTAAAAGGTGGTCAATAATGCAGCTTGGTGCAGTGATGTTGTCAGTCGGCAGAAAGTAGAGATCCTCTCTTTGTCATCAAACGTCCTCATCTCCAGACAAAAAGCTGCACCCTGCGTCATCGTGAGCTTAGAGGCCGGCACTGCGGGCTTGACGATACATGTAGTCCGCCTCTCCATTTGTTGCCGTGTACGGGACTCCATCAATACCCGCCTGTCCCGTCCAGGCCTGGTAGCAGTGTCCCGCGTCACGAAGCAGATTGGCGCCATATGTACCGCGAGGACCACCATCCGGAGCCTGTGCCGCCTCGCTGTCGGGCGGAAACGGGCCGCAGTTTGAGTGATCGTCCTGGCCCTTCACGGCGTCCCGGACCTTCTGCAGGTCGCGGCGGAGGTTGTTTGCGGACCGGGGCACCTCCTCGTTGGGTGGGATGGGGTAGAGGTTGGCTTCGGTCAGGGCGATGAGTAGCTTCACGAGGAGGTTGTACATGCAGCATAGAGCCTCGCCTGGTCCATTGTTCTCGCCAGTGGCCCGGCAGTACTTCAGATGTACGGGTTGGGCGCGGTCGAACTCGTCAAAGAACGCCCTGAAAGGTGCGAGGAGCTGTTCGATGGCTCCAAGGCGACCTGCCATGACTTTCTCTGTAAAAGCCCCCCAACCAAGTCAGTCAGTATTCCCTCATATAAAGTAGTCAGGGGGACGCAGGGGACCGTACCCATCAGGTCCGGCGGCATGACAGGGAGGTAGATCACGTCCGGAGTGTACAGCGGCACCTGGTTGATGAGCACGCTCACGGTTATCTCGTAGTTGTACTTGTGGCCCATCTGGTAGAAGATGAAGGCCAGCATGAAGACCTTGTCGAACGAGATTCTGGTGACCTTGGTGAGGATGTTGTTCCACTGGGGGATGAACGGCCCCAAGGCGAAAATGCAGTCATACTTGTCAGCCACCACGAAGAAGTCGTACATGGCCTGGATGTGTCGGCTCTGGAGCGCGACGTCCCTGAGGAACTCGGGTGTCAGTCGCAGGTTCCCCAGCTGAAAGCGACGCCAGAAGCCGTGCAGGACATTCATCAGCTCGAGCATGGCGATCGAGTCGTCGTCGTGCAGCTCGACGGAGCGCTGGCCACCTTGGTTCTGCGCCTCTTTGAAGTATCCATAGAACATGGCCCGGAACACAACGGAGCCTCGTGCCAAGGCCCGCGAGCACACCTGGAAGCCCGGCCGCATTCTTGGATCGCGCTCGTCCTCATGGTTAATCCACAAGATCAGGTCGCCGTACGGGTCGATGATGATCTTTCGGTACTCGAGGGGGCGATCGATCGTCTGGGGAGACTCATTCTCAAGGGTCGAACTCTCCCGCTTGCGGCCCCTCATGATCTTTCTGAAGATCAGCTGAAGACGGCGACGCATTTTGATTCGAGGCCTGATTGCTGATGAGGAGGAAGTAGAGGGTGATTAGGTGACGGAAGGTGATGAGTGGTGGGTGGGTTGCGTGCGGAAGACGGGGCCTGCGGCTTTGCTGGCGGGACATGAGATTTTCCTTTCCAGAGCTATTGTTTCCCCGGTGATGGTTGACGGTGCCGCTTCAACATTGAGGAGTCTCTTACGCCGCCACTGCTGCCTCGGTCGGCCACGGGGACAATGTCTTCAAGCTTTTTCTTTCTTTTCCTTTCTGGCCGTACAAGCTCTTCAAGACGCTCACCAGGCGCTCACGCGACTGGATACAGGTGAACGCGTTATAAGCAACAGCTTTCCGACCTTGAGACTTGGCAATTCGGAGGAATGTGATGGTTCCGTCATGATATCAGAGTTTGCTCATTTCTCTTGGTTCTCCCTGTAAAGTTATTCTAATTTCCACCATCATGACATGGAGAACTCGTTCTACTTTTCTGTTTGCTCGCCAACCATGAATCTCAATGGTATTGGACTTGAAAAAGACCATTAACCCTTTTGACTCCTGACTCTCACTGCGTCTTGTGTGATTCATGCCTGTTCCCCCAAAAGACAGTCGATATCGCGGTTTATTCCACGAAAAGAACAGCTGCAAAATGATGATGCCCGACAGAAACATGAATCTTGGCTCAATCCAATCCATCAGAATAACCCAAACTGCCCCCCGCCCCCCTCTCTCCTTTCAATTCTTCTTGGCAGACGCGGTCGTCGTCTTCGCCGCACCAGGAAGCGGCTTGTCCTTGGCAGCCTGCGAGCCCATCCTCTCCTTCTGCGCAAACATGAACGCATACTCAGCCTCGGACGCGGTGTACTTCCAGCTGTCGCGGCACTTCAGCACAACAGCGAACCAGCCCTGTGACGGGTCCTGGCCGCCGCCATCGCCGCCGCCGCCGCCGCCGCTGCCGTAGAACTCGCGGTCCGCGCCGCAGTCCACGCACTGCGAGTGGTCGCCCCTGGCGGCCGCCACGACGGCCTCGAACGCGGCGTACACGCTCTGCGGGCTGACCTTCACGACGTCCGCGGCCGCGGGGATCGGCCATAGGCGGTGCTGGGCGAGCACGGAGATGAGCGTGCCCAGGATGCGGTCGGCGCAGGCGTGGTCCTCGTGGATCTGGCCGTCCTTGTCGCGCCGCTGCGTGCGGAACTGGTCCTTGATCACCTTTTCCTCGTGGGTGAGCTGGCGGATAAAGAACCTCGCGGTGTCGAGAAGCTGGATGGTCACCTCTGTGCGAGTGTTGCAAATGATCTCTGCAGTGAAGACAAAAGAAAAAAGAATACCAAGCCGTCAGTTTCGTTTTCATTCCCAAGGATTTTGGAACTGATCATGATCAAATGCTTGAGGCGGATGCTTACCATTGAGAAAAGGCGGGAGGACCTCGGGGGACTTGAATGTGGCCTCTGGATGGACCGAGTAGATCAACTCTGTGACCACATGCTCGTAGCGAGCTGTCTGGCCGAGCTGGTAGTAGATCCAGGCCAAGTAGTACAGCGACGTCGCGGTGGGGGTGTGAGCCGGGACCTTGTCGAACCAGGCGCACCAGAACTGGGCCCACGGCGCCACGAGCGCGATGCAGTCGTACTTGTCGACGACGACGAGGAAGTCGTAGATGTGCTCCAGCTCGATCACCCGAGGTCCCGAGTGGGTGCGGAAGATCCAGGACTGGTACTTGCCGTGCATGAGGATGAAGAGCTGCTCCATCCAGTCCGGGTCGTCGTCTGGGAGCGTGATCTTCCAGGTCTGGGCTGCGTTGTCGGGCTTGGACTCGGTGAAGCCGCCGTACAGCATCGCATCAAAGACACCAGAGTGGCGCGCGAGGGTGCCAGCGGAGACCTGGAAGGTTCTCACAAGTCGCTCCTCGCCCACCTGGACGAGCAGGTCGCCCCGGCTGTCAATGACGATTGGTATGTGAGAGTTGGGGTGTGGTGCCACGCTTTGTGCTCGGCGTCGGAGCGCTCTCTTCCTGGTGGCAATAGCGGCGGAGGCAACATCGGCCGTGCTGGTGGCCGTGCTATTGTCCACATTCGGATCCTCGGCAGCGGGGACCGCCGGGCGGAACGCGAGCGTGTTGAAAAACGACGACGGCATTGTGGTTGGTGCTTGGTGATGTTGAGGTGAAGCTGGTTCAGGCAAGGAGGGGGTTGGTCCTGGTATGAGACTTGGGGTGTAGTGCTGCCTGCTTCTCTTGTTTCTCCGGAGACAGGCTACGCCATGTGGAGTTGCCGCTCACCCACACATTGTCGAACATGCTTTGTTCCAGCGGCAACTCAAGAGCGAGGGAGAGCACATTCAATCATAGATCCACGGATTGCTCGAGTGTGGGATCGCAGAGGCGTAGGCATTGCCGTCACATTGGTACTCTCAAGTTTCAATTACAGGCATCTATCATATTACAAGACTCGAATTCCATTCCTTTCTTCTTTACTCATACACGATTTGTCTTCAATGCTCTTTGCTGAATGATGAGAGCCTCGCCAGATGAACATGATAGCACACAGAGCCCCTGAAATGTCAAGTCATCACAGGCAAGCAAGCGTGAAACCATGCCCCGAAGTCTGATCAGTGAGGCGTACTGGGGTCTGGGAGCCATTGCGGCGCGCCGCCCAGGCGAGAACGACCTGTTCGCGTTCAGAGGCAAGGCGTGCCAGCAGGGCTTCAATCTCGGAGCCAGAAAAGAGGCAGTCCTCCGAGTACTTGGAACCGATCCTCATCCGCCACGAAGCCTCGAACCGCAGGTTGCGCTCCTCCGTGATACCGCCATATCTGTCGAATTGGTACATAGGCGAGTCTGGGATGTCTGCATATCTGAAGAAGAAGCTGGGATAGAGGCCATACTCTTCTAGCGGATCCATGCTCAGAGAGACCTCGAGGTGCTGGCCATACAGGGACTCCCAGGCCGCTGGCTCGTGTGGACGGTACGCCCAAGGCTTCATCTTGTCCGCCATTATTGCCATGACCTTCTTCTCGCCAGCGGACGCTTGGTATCGGAACAGCTTGTCGGTAACCCGCACCACGCCCGGCTCCAGGTTGTGCCTCTTGACGAATTTTTCCGCGTAGTCCAAGCCGCACTTGGCATGAGCGGTGGCACGCTCGGTCTCAGGTACGGTGTTGACTTGCGATAGCCTCTCGTGCAAGAAGCGTGGGCTGAAACGGAGGTTGACAGGGCTCATGACTTGTGGCAGTCCGACTCTTTGAAGCTCACGGCGTAGCGCGCCATGCATGCGGTCCTGGCATGCTTGAGTGTCTCCGCCTACAGGGCAGAGAATGCCCCTGTTCTTACGGCTGGGCTCATGAAAGCGTCCGAATCGGTTAAAGACCGGGCTCAGAAGGCGCTCCATGAGCTTGTCGCGTTGGTCAAAGACCATATCTGGTGGTCTCGGTTTCAGTATCAACAGTTATTGCGAATGGCTAGAAAGGCATCGCGTGCGAGCACTTACCCTGGAGACCCAGACGAGTCGTGCGATCAAGGTCGCGCTCAGGGTCCTCGGTCCCTTTCTCTGGCCTCGGCGTGCCCAATATCCGGAGCGTGACGACTTCTTCGTAGTGGGCCTGGCGGCCCAGTTTGAAGTAGATGCTGGCGAGCATGAGCAGTTGTCGGCGGCGGCGCGGCCTGGGCCGTCCCAGTGCATCGACTAGGCGGCGTGCGAAAGGCTGCAGAAGATACATGCATTCGCACTTGGCTGCGGTGAGGATGAGGCTGTACCAATCTCCGACGAAGCTGTCACTGCCGGCCTCGGCCGAGGTGAAGAGTGAGTCAGGTGTGAACCGATCATCGTTGCCGTGGATGAGGTGAAGCACCTGCTCGGCTGCTCTAGGCTGAAGTACAGCAACAGCGACCCTTCGTGGGGGGCCCTCCTGAGTCCGCTTCGCCTCGAAAACCAAAGAGGTGGTTGTACAAAACAGGTGAGTGGTCCTTGATGGTCTGTGAGCACACTCGAAAGCCGACATATCTCACCCTTTTGCCATCTTTGAGTTCTTGGATCAGCAGGTAGGCATCTCCGTCATCCCGGATGAAGACTTTGGTGGTGGAAAGGCCGGACGAGGTCGTGCCTTGGCTGTGGTGGGCTGTCGACGCCTTTTCACCTCCACCACGAGTGACACCTGACGGGCCAGCGGTCTCGAATTTTGCACTCATTTTGCGATGACCACAGTCAAGGTGAGGAGTGGTGATGCAGTGGGAGGTGCAGCTGGATGGTGCTGGTCTGCGGTATGGTGCTGTGTCGGGTTCGTCGCAGGCCCCTAGCGAGCTTGCTCGTCTGCAACGTGGGAATGGTCTGAAGTGGATAGAAGGAGGGGTTGGAACAATGGCACCAGGCAGTCTTTGTTTGTTTGGATGCCTGGGCGGTTGTGAGCAACTTGGGAACGCGACTAGTCCCCGCGGTCTGTCTCTATCAAAGTGGCCCAGGACTCCCCCTCCCGTTGCTACAGCATCACGAGCAGAACTAGCAGCCCAGAGGCAGTCAGCCAGACCGCGTCATCTGGACAGATACATACATATGTTCACATGGTTGCCTCCATTCTAGCAATCAAAGGCATCTCCTTTTCTGCTGCTTAGCAGCACAAATCAATACGGAGTATGACATGTCCTGTAACTCTTCCAGTAAACATAGACAACATCACTGCGTCTCCTGGCCAGTCGTGGGTAGTTTCTGCCAGACCTTGAGAGCTTGTTTGTTCCTGTGATGTTCAAGTAGCCTTTCTTGACACGCCTGGTCTGATGAGCTTGCTGTTGCCGTCTCTCATTGTTAACGTGATGACTCAGCTTGGAGCAGTTACATGGTTAAGGTACGGACGCAATCATGGGGCAGGTAGTCGCTTGGCAGGCAGCTGGCCAATTGTTTCATTCTGGAGTCCTCCCGGGGTGCATCAGGAGTTGCCACAACTTCTCTTCGTTGTTCCAGTAGCCTGAAAGAAGCCAGGCCAGACATGCATAGTTGAAGAGCAAACCCAAGGGCAGGGGCTCGCCCATGGATGTTGCTCATGGGGGCCACCTGCAATTCATCCCAGCACGTCACAGCTCACCTCGATGTGGTGATGCTGGATCTGATTACTTTGCACACACATGACACACAACCAGCTGCGCGAAATGGAATGATCCTTCTGTTCTGTCTGTCCTGTGTAGCGGGACGGCGAGTTGTCAATTTCTCCATTGTTCTCGCCTGTGTTGTCGTTGCGTGACTGGGTGGGTCCTGGGCCTTACTGTCACGGCGGAGTGCTGACCACACCACGACACCTGCGCAACGATGATCGTCGCCCACACGGTCCCGCCAGTCGCCAGGCGGTCGTCGATCCGACGGAGATCATCGACTCTCCGCCTGTGTCCAGTTTGCTGGCCACCGGACCATCCCAGCAATCTTCTTACCTGCATGGGCTCCAGCTCCAAGCCCGAGTGGCCATGGGCCATTGGCCAGGCTCGCCCTCGAGCCGTAGAGCTAGGCTATCTGGGTTCTGGTGTGCTTGCAGCCTTGTCAGCCAAGCCTAAAGATAGCAGCACTCTTGGGGTGCCAGAAGGCCGCTTGGCTGCCCCAGGATCCGCACATCCTTGCAACCTGCGTGCATGCATGCATTCCACCGTCCATTTTTGGTGCGGCTCTCGACTTACACATACACACACACACGCTGGGCAGCCACATGAGACCGGCTTTCCCCAGACACTGACTGGCCTTAATCATGGCTTTTAAAGCTCTCTTGGAAGCCCATTTTTGCTTTCAGCCTGCATGAACTGCGACCTTGTCAGACATCACGCACGAGACCTAGTCCACCAGTTGAGCTGGTGCAAAGTGCAGCCCGCGTGCGGCCACTGACATACCACGGCTGGAAGTCGACCATCTTTCGTTCTTTCTCTCTTTATTTGCTCCCAGTGTCCTAAGAGTGCTGCGCGGCTCTACCACTTTCTGTGTTTGTCACTCTGCATCGCCAGATAAGCTTGGCAGTTCTCACACACAAAACCACGGAGTTCAACACAAACAAAAACATCATCAACAACAATCGGGAAAAATGGCTCCCCAGTACCGCCCAGTAGCCCGCCTCCGCCTGCGCGTCCGGCGGCGCGTGCAAAACGTCGTGGGCATAATCACGGGCACGCACCCGGGCGAGTCGACCACCGTGGACGAGTACTACTCCTCGTCCTCGTCCTCGTCCCCGCGTTCCTCCTCCTCGCTACACGCACGTCATCGGCAGCGACGGAACAGCCAGTATTCGTCTCGCGGCGCCGGCAAGCAGCAGCAGTCGTACAACTCGCTTGCGTCCATCAGCGAGAGCGACGAGGAGGACAGCATCACGGACACGGATACCAATAGCGACACGGGGATCACGCCGTCGTCTTCAGTGTCCGTGTTTGATCCTGACAGCAGCGATGACGACGATGACAATGACGACGATGAAGACGAGGAGGAGGAGGGACAGCGAGAGAGACGCCACGACGAGCCCCGGAACCCGTTCTCAGACTACTACGAGGCGGATGAGACGACGGCAGCGGCGACGACGGCTACCGGCTCACAGCTGGTCAGGGTCAAAGCTCGCGGCCACGGGCCCAGCAAGACACAGAAGCAGAGACAGAACAACCCCTACAGACGGTCCATGGATGGCGAAGGTCGAATGGGGAGTAAGACGGGAGGCGGCAGTGCGCCGTATCGAGTCACCCTGCCCAAGGGGATGAAGTGGAAGTCCACCCCTGGAGCATACTACGGCTTCGCGACGACGACGACAACAACAAGGCGGACGACACAGCGCGGTGACAAGAACGAGGGCAAGCCCGCACGTGGCCAGAACGGTACGTTTCTTTTTTTTTTTTCCTTCCCTGTACACATTCCAGGGCTCTTCCAAGCACCACACACCACAAATGATCATAAAGTGCTGACAGATCCACTCCTGTGTTTCTTAACTCCAGGTCTCAAAAGCTCGACAGCCACAGCAACCACAGCAGCAGCAGCAGCAGCAACCAAGCCGAGAGTAATAGAGCTGGACTGGAACCACACCTCCCACGGCGCGTACCAGCTCCTCCGCCCGGCCAACCCGCGCTACGTCCGGAGCTTCACGTCGGGCGCCATCGCGGCGGGTGGCGCCGACGCGGGCACCATGATGGCCATGCTCGAGTGCCACACCCCGGCGTGCGAGATCTCTTGGGGGAGCGGGAGCACCACCACCAGCGGGGCGATGATGCGGATGGCCGAGTTTGACGGCCTGGCCGGGCTGGGCTACGGCGGGTTCGGCGCGGGCGACGCCCAGTGGCTCGAGTACATGAGCATCCCGTCTGGGAGCCTGGGCAAGGCCGGGAGATGGGTCGGGCGGAGGCTCGGGCTCTGCGGTGGTGGTGGTGGCGGTGGTGGTAGTGGTAGTGGCCGAGAGGGGAGGAGTACGGAAGAGAAAGGAAGTGGTGGTGGTGCTGCTGGGCTTTCTGGGAAAAAGTCGGCCGTGGTTAGGCCGTCGGCTGGCAATGGCGCTGTCGGGCATGTCGTTGCTCCTGGCGCGGCGGCGGTAAGGGCCGTCAGCGCGAAGAGGGTGCGCTTTGCGTAAGCCAGTATTTCATGTGCGCTGCAGTATGTGCAGACCCTTCCCGGGAGGTGCACAAGCATTAGTGGTTGACGGAATGAATTCGAAGGAAAGGGAAAGGAGTGACAATTTGGCGTTGGCTGTCTATTTCAATATACCAGGGATACTTTTTCTACGTAGCACTTCAAGCCCAACATTTTCAAACTTCTACTGTCGCAAAGCTTTTGGCATACCACGGCTCGCAACTCATTGTGTGCAGCAGCCATGTGAAATCGGTCATTGGGTATCTGTCTAACACATTATCCAAGCGACAAAGACCATAGCCAACGAACCCCTGCTGACGCGTGCTCTATATAACAAAAAAACGCTTCCAAGGTCAACGTTTCCTCGGCCCCCCAGCCCAGTTCGTCCCTGCCAATAAAACGGAGCATTTCTCTCAAAATTGATCCCAGCAGCATTCTCGCGGCCTCACTGGCAACAAGGCTAATGCAGACAGGTCCCGCCCAATCAGACCCAGGTCCGCAGCCGGCTGACAAACTTCTCCGCCTTGGTCTTCTCCGTGTATCCCTCGGCGCTCTCCTCCTCCTCCTTCTCGCGCCGGATCGAGTCGAACTCGGTCTGCAGGTCCATCGCCTCGAGCGAGACGACCTTGGACTTGAGGAAGAACTTGAAGAAGATGTACAGCACTAAAACAAAGTACACATTCGCGCATGGTCAGTGTGCCGTCATTATCAATTGGAGCGGACACCCCTTTGGAGATTGGCAAGAATAGGGATTTCGGACTTACCCGCAAAGATGCCCAGGTTGAGGTAGCACGTCAAGAAATCAGCGGCGGTGAAGTTGCCCTCCACAAAGACGTCGAAGCCTGTTCGGGAAGCCGGGGGTGGTTAGCATTATCTCGTCATGAACAACAATCGCGCCGTGACAGATCCGCGGCCGAAAGCCAAAGACCGAGAGAGGGAAGGGACAGAGAGAGGAGAGAGAGAGAGAGAGAGAAGGAGAGCAAGACGTACCCGAAGTAAGCAGGATCAGCACGACAAAGAACAGCGTGACCCACGCAGTGTATGGCTGGCCGGGGCTGCGGTACGGAAGTTCTGCGAAAGTGAAAATCACGCGATGGTTAGCAAACCCTTACAATTCAAAGAGCCCGGTCTTGCGTATGCAAAGAAGATAAGAGAGGCAGGGGAGACATACCCTTGCGATCATAACCCTGCGCCTTGAGCCCGGCGTAGAAGCGCAAATACGTGACCTCGATCACGACCCAGCCAATCAGGCCCGACACGGTGGTGATGTTGACCAACCACCCGAACACGACGGCCGAGTCGTTGGCGACGTTGAGGTAGACGAGCGGCATGAGGCAGCACGTCAGGCCGACGGCGTAGTGCGGCGTGCCGAAGCGGTTGCAGCGCTGCAGGATCTGCGGGGCGTGGCCGTCGCGGCTGAGGCCGTAGAGCGTGCGCGAGGCGAAGAAGATGCACGACGAGCCCGCGCTGATGGCCGACGTGCAGACAATGGCGTTGATGATGGACGGGACGACCTGCACTCCGGAGCGGACAAAGGCGATGACAAAGGGCGACTGGGCGGCGTTGCCGGTGGACACGGAGAGCGAGGGGTCGTCGAAGCGGCTAATGGCAGGCGTTAGTGCTCGTGTCGGTTGGGAGGGGAGTGTGCTAATCATCATGCAAGGAAGAGGGAGAGAGAGAGAGAGAGAGAAACAACATACACAATGAGGCCGACAATGAGAATGCTCAGCACGTAAAAGATGAAGACGCGCAAGAACGTCTTCTTGGTCGCGGACGGGATGATCTTGCGCGGGTTGCGCGTCTCGGACCCGCTGATGGCGACGACCTGGACGTTGCCGAAGCTGAAGGCCGCCGTGAGCAGGACCTTCCAGAAGGCGAGGAAGCGGCCCGCCGAGCCGTCGAGGATGTAGGCGTTGAAGGCGCCCGGGTCGCGCCAGTAGGTGCCGCCAATGTACTCGTGGTTGGGTCCGCCGCCGAGATCAATGACCAGGCCGCCGATGATGAGGCCGACGATGAGCATGATCTTGAGCGAGGCGAAGACGACTTCAGACTGTTGTGGTGGTCTGCTGTTTAGTAATGCGAAATTGAATCGAGAGTCGTGGCAGAAAATGTGAGGCTTACCTCGCCGTACAGCTTGACATTGAGAAAGTTGAGAATCACAATGAGGACGGAAAACACGGTGATCCACACGACCGACGGGACGCTCGTATTCCAGAACTTGATGATTGTGGCGGCGGCACTCATGTCGGTGGGCACCACAATGGCCATGGTGTACCCTTTCCACCAGAGGTAGCAATATCAGCAACAAAGCTTCCAGACACGTCCAATCCAACACTTCACCACCCGAGACTTAAAACTCACAGAAATTCCAGCCGACGGCAGCACCGAGGGCAGGCTCGACAAATTTGGTCGCATGGCGGATGAAACCACCCGTTCTGGGCATAAAGGTCGTGATCTCGCCAGTGGTGTACGACACGCCGAGGGTGATGAAGCCCATGAACGTGTAAGCCAACAGGGCACCAGCCGGACCGGCGATAGAGAGGACCTTGCCAGAGCCCAGGAAGAGACCGGTTCCCTGCGAGGAGAGGGGGTCGTGTTAGTACCGAGAGACTGCTGGATCCTGCCATGATGACCGCCGTCTGGCTGCTGCCACGTCCATTGGGCCATACGTACAATCATGCCCGCAATGGCAATCATGTTGATGTGCCGCGAGCCCAGGTCGCGGCGGATCTGCTCGGGCGCCTCGGCGCGGACAGAAGCATCATCGCCAAGCTTGTTGTCGGCCGCCGGGCCGGCGCTGAAGGTGGTGATGTCCTTTGGCTCGGACGACATTGCTGCTGTTTCTGGCGGTCAAGACACAATATCTGTGGATGTCGTGAAACCAAGACCGGAGTGTTCCTGCATTAATGCAATGAAGCAAGCCGATGGAACGAAAGAAGTGAGGTCGTTCCTGTCGATGTATGCTCACTCGACCTGGCGAGAGAAAGCTAAACAGTGTGACAGACCGACTGGCTGGCTGACTGACGAGGAGAGCAGGCTGGCGTGACGATCCCCTGCGCGACTTATGAATGCTGGGCCAGCCTGGAGACAATCATATCGGGAGAGGAAGCAAGAGTCACGCACGCGTGTCCGTCGTCGCTAGGGTGCCGCCACGGGCTGGAGAACAAGGATTGCTCTGCCGGTGGAGACATCGCAGCATGGCACACCCAAATACGAAGTGCCGCAGCCGGAGCCCGGGGCCCGGGGGCACGACTTTTTGGTGCTATCGCCACCCAATGACAGCACCCGGCACCCCTTCCGTCGGGCCTCGCACATGCACTACCGGACCCTTATCAACGCACCTTGGACAGCCAGTGTGGACCCCCAAGCCGCCACAGCTCCAAACGTTCGCCGCTAAGCACCTCTTGGCTCCAGCCCAAGACCTCGTAGAAGGCCGGCCGCCTGTTTCCCCAACGGTTTGAACACCGGTCCAGCAACAGCCAACCGCACAACACCCAATAACTGTGGCTTGCCAGCCCGCCGGCGGCTCGTCTCGTCAAGGTGGTTGCATCTCCAGCTTCCGGGTTCCGCAATTCCTCCCATCCGCGTTCACTACGGACCCTTGAAGACTTCCGAAACCATCACAGCCGCCTAACACGAGATTAGATATCAGAGTGACATTGATAACTGGCTTGGTTAGCAGAGTGCCGCTCGACTCGTACCAGCAGCAAACCAGTTTTGCCCGTCACATCTGACCACGACCGACTGAGCGCCACCAGATATCAGCCAGGTCAGGCTTGCAAGTGCCAACGAACACGACTCCGCGAATCGGCGAGGGTAGGGTAGCACAGTTCACCCAACTCCAAGCGATATCGTCAGGTGGCATCGTTCCGTCGTCGACATGACAACTTTGGCTGCTGAAGACGAGTCTTTTGAACTCTATGACCTCCGCGTAGAAGTGGTCTGCCCCCCAGGCAAGAGAATCATGTGTGGCGCAAAGGAGGGCGACTACTTTACACTCGAGGGCGAGATGCTCAAGCTGCCGCCAGGCCAAGGCATCAGCATATACAGCCTCTGTGAGCACCGACTCCTTACTCCAATGGCAACGCCACTCATTACTGACTGACGGGTCCATAGCGTCGGTCCTTCCGCTCTTGCCAGCTAAACAGCGTGTCACCTCCAAGAACGACTGGATGACAACAGACGCTCTCATTGCCTGCCCAGACCCGTGCTGTCCATCACAGCTCAAGATTGTACGCACTGGGGTCCGGACCTTCAAGCACTCAGAGACAACTCTGGTTCCTCTGCAGGGCAGTGGCAAATAGTCGAACCGGGTATATTTTATCATTGATTGTTTCTCATGCTGCATGAAACCTTTGGCCCTGGGCACTTCCGAGGCGTGGATGCAGAGTCGGTTCACATGGACAAAACCCCACCATCTTGCCCAATAAAGACTCCATCTGGGAAGACATTACTCCAGGTCATGTCATCTGCAAAGATGGCCTCGAGGCCAGAAAAGTTGTGGTCGACAAACAGGCCTCCGCCACTCCCAGGCAGGCCCTGGGGATTGTGGCCATCACTGGCCAGCGTGTCCATCGTGTTGGGAGAGGTTGTGGTAGATGGAGTGTTCCCCGTCTCTGAACCTGGTGGCACATTCACGCTCCCCTGTACGGCCCGCTGCTCTAGGGGCCGAGTCTGTGCGCCGTCTTGCTCCTGGGAAGGGATTTTCATAGTGTCTGTGCCTGTTCTGCCAGACTTGGTCTGTCTGCTTCGTTGTTGTCCAGACGCTTTCTTTTCGACATAGTTTGCAGTGACTTTGTATAGAAATGCAGCTTGCAGAGTACAGCTGGCCTGGGCTGGTGACGAGATCCTCTGGTCCAGAGCTCTGGCTGCACTTTCAATCGTTTGGAGCACCTCTGACTCAATCTCATTGGCGATTGATGAAGGCACGGACAGCAGGAGCTTCAACCATAAATAGTCAGCATCGTCTCGTGTATTATTGGGCACTCGGCGTTCGATATAGTGGTGGACATAGCAAATAGACTCACTTTGATCAAGAACTTGGCACAGTACGCCGTCATCACATGAACAGAGTCTTGAGCCAAGTGCGCATGTGTCGGATATCGACAAATCAAGCGAAGCATCTCGATCGCACTGCTGTAGCTGGTCCATAGGGCTTCGAGATTGTACTCGATATTTGCGTTCCGGCGCCCCAAGACTGCCTGCAAGGGTAGTGAGAAGAGTTGTAGACGCAGGTGGGCACCGTAGAAGCCAATCAAGAATGGGTGGCAGCTCTCTGGGTATGCGTGTCAGTGACTTAAGCTGCTGTCATGATACACACACGACGACATACCTGGAGAGACGCATCGTATCCACTTCGACTCCCACTCGTCTAGCCTCCCTTTGATGATAGAGAGGAATGAGTCCAGGCGGTGGACTTGGCCAGCATCATTCCTGGTGCTGCGTGGTCCGAGAAGCTTGAAAACCTCTGAGCTCAATAAGCGCAACGTCACGAAAGCCCCCAAAAGCCGATCGCTCGGGGTCGCCATTGGATCCTTGCACCATGGCTCAATCGACTCGATGAAATCGCTTCGCTCGATCATCCAAGGCTTGCCGGTCTGCAAGCTCATGCTACGCGCTAGTCAGCGGTCGACCTCTGACCTTGGATTACGGCGACGCAGCTTTACCTTCTATCATAGACGAACAAAATGTACCAGGTTCTCTGGATATTTCGAGCTTCCAAGCGTTCTAAATTGCTTCTCAGCTTGGCAAAGTCGTCCGAGGAGTATCTGTGCAAGCGATGCCAGCCAAGCTCCATGCCCATTCTCACGGCGTAACCAAGTGAGATCCAAGCACGATTGTCCTCGGGCTTTTTCCAGTATGTAAGAACCATGACCGCCTGAGCAGTCTCGGTGGACTTGCGGCCTTGGCGGAAGCTGGTGGTCAGCAGGTCCTCGGCGTGGTCGACCAGCCTTTCATAGAGCGGCGTATCGGTGCCTTTGGCCGCCACAGCCAGTACTGCCGAGGTGAGGAAAGAAGATCGCTGGCGCACGTAGCTCAGAGTGTGGAGATTGGGATCTAGCTGATTTATGAATGGATTCTGGCATCTCATGAAGCTAGACGACGAGCCTGGTCAGCGCTGACGGCCAAGCCGTGACATTGAGCCTTCTGCAAGGGAGCAAACACACCTTTGGAAGAGATCTGAGGCTACCGAGAGCGTGACGAGGCCGAGCTTGACAGGATCGTCAGGTGGTATGACGTGGGGTGCAGTGTTTTCTGGATGCCTTAGCAAGGTTGATGACGGTGCGGCGTCGACCGCGTTGAGGATGTTGCGAAGTGAGAACTGCCCATGCGAGACTGCATGCTGCAGCAAGCCCGAGGGCTGCAAAGCGCCTGTCTCCCAGTCTGCATTTTCATGCACACTCTGGCCCCTGGAGGAGGATGCCGACTGTCGATCCTGGTAGGCACGAGGCGTCACATCGTGGGGTGGGTCTGCCGCAGCCGCAGCTGCAGTTGTGGTAGTGGCAGACTCGGGGACGGGCAGGGCCTCAGGCTCGGGCACGTTTGAAGGGAGCAGTGTTTTGTTTCTTGGTGTTATTCTGGAGGAACGGATCCGTGTAAGTGGGTGGCCGCCCACGGCTAAGCGGAAGGGGTGGAACAAGGAGCGCACCTGGTGCCGGGCTTGCGGCCACGGCGATGCTGGCGGAAGATGCAATCGATGGACTTGCGGGCGCAGCGCTGGCACTTTGCCTCGCCGGCGGCTGGGACGATGCATCTCATCTTGATCTTCCTGCAGGCGAGACAGGCATTGGCACCGGCTGTGCTGCCCGGGCCGGCCCTGGGGTTTCCCTGGCCGTCATGATTGGCCACGCCCTCGTCTCTGCAGGACGGAGTCAGCCAGAGGTACAATGCAATGTGCGGGACGACTTACACTGCAGCAGGCATGGTCTGGCTGGGGTCGTGGGACAGGTCCATGGCGCTGCACCGGTGATGGGCAGCCGGTGTCTTTGGCAGGCGGGTGTGTGGGTGTGTGGGTGACGGCGTTCAAGATGTAGTGGCCGTGGCTGGAGGTGCAAGTGGCGGCCACCGGCTTCGGGGCACAGGTGCGGATGAATCAGCACCTGGCCGGGGCGGCCTGGCAGGCACGAGGCCCATGTCCCTGTTTGTTAGTGGGGGCGCACCTTCCGTTCCAACGGTCCCTCCACCGGCCTCTCGATACGTCGAAACTTGAACACCGGGGTCCACCATCCTCCCTGGCCGTCCGTCCGTCGGACCAGGTTAAGCGACGCTTCGGATGACGACCCAGGGCGGCCCCGGAGGCGGCAAGCGTCGCATGCAGTGCCAGTGCCGCGACAAGACGAGACAACCGCGGCTGTTGGACATTCGTGACTTTTTTTGCGACCAGCCGGCCAGTCGCCAACACGTCCTCGACCTCTGGGACTCGTCTCGTCTCTCGCATAGTGCTTGTTGAGCAGTCATCGCCGTAACACCGCCAGCCATGGCTGTCACCAAGCTCCAGGCGGCCAAGAGTGCCCATGTCAACATGATGACCGACACCATCATCAACAACATGGATCCCCAGGGCCTCCGCATCATCATGCGCTCCCTTCTCGCCGCTCACCCGGAAATCACCTCTACCCTCGAGGCCGAGACCACGAGATACATCAACGACGCCGTCTTGCCCGCCATCAGCGCCCGCTGCTCCCAGCCCAACGGCGCCCACGCCACCATCACAGGCGGCCCTTCTAGCCTGGACCTCTTCCAGAATGACCTCCGCACAGTCAGATGCATGGTCGGTTGCGGCCAGGTCCTCCAGAGCCTGTCCTTGCTCGGCAGCCTCGTCAGCCAGGCCACGACTCTCTCCCTCCAGAGCCAGAACGGCACAAGCACGGCCTCTTCAAATTTGGATAGAGTTCTTGCCGCCACGGGTGGTGATGTCGTGCAGACCATGACCGCCATTGAGAAGACACTCTTCACCTCGTCCGGCTCGCGAAAGCTGACCGACGACGAGCGATCCTCGATAAGGCAGCTCTACCAGCCATTACTGGAGTCACTGGACAAGTGCAGGGCCAGTGACAAGGAGTATCCCTTTGAGAGAGCGCTCATCGCCACCGCGAGCTTGTTGGGTGAGCCGCAGCCAGTATTCGAGGCGAGCAGTGCCAATGTGTCACAGAACGGGTCTAGACAAGAGGTCAAGGAAACTTTCTCTCTCAACGGGCGTGCGTTGCCTCGCATCTTCTCGGGGCTATGGCAACTGTCCAGTCCGGCATGGGGTTCGGCGCCAACAACAAAAATCATTGCTCAGTTCTCATCACATGTGGCGAGCGGATTCACTGCCTTTGACATGGCGGATCATTACGGCGATGCAGAGATCTTGGTGGTATGTTTCGCCTATTTTCGTGACTGGACAAATACTGTCAATAGCTACCTTCAGTAACTAACAACATGAATGCAGGGCAAATTTCTCTCATCGTATCCCGCCAAGGGAGACCTTTTTGCAGCCACCAAATACTGTGTCTTCCACCCCATGACCCTCACACGGGAAGCCGTTGAGGCCAACATTTCAGAAAGATGCCGGCGGCTGCAGGTCGACCGTATCGATCTGCTCCAGTTTCACTGGCAATTTGTAGGTCATGGTGGTGTTATGTCTCTCTACATGCCAACTCTGAAGACTGACCATTCTTGTCTAGTACAATGACCCCACATACCTCGATGCCATTCGGTACATTGCAGAAGACAAGCGTGTCGCGGCTCTCGGCTTGTGCAACTTTGATACGGAGCACATGGAGAAATGTCTCCAGCAGGGCGTCAAAATACACAGCAACCAGGTTCAGGTGGGTTATGCCGTGGCTTATACGCCTATTGCGATTCTACATGGGGGCTCACCTAACAAACACTGTCTACAGTTCTCTCTGATTGACTCCCGTCCCGTCGTCCGCATGGGCAAGGTTTGCGAGGCCAACGACGTCAAACTGCTTACCTATGGAACACTGGTACGTGTCCGAGCTTAACTACTGCATTGCTTCTCGATACTAACCTCGCTTCACTACAGTGTGGAGGTTTCCTCTCCGAGAAGTGGCTCGATGCGCCCGAGCCCGACCTCTACGACGAGGCCGTCACTCCCAGCCAGCGCAAGTACTACGGCGTGATCCGCGCCTGGGGCGACTGGTCTCTCTTCCAGGAGCTCCTACGCGCTCTCAAGGCCATCGCCACCAAGCACGCCGTGGACATATCCAACGTCGCCACGCGCTGGGTGCTTGACTTCCCGTACGTCGGGGCGGTGATTGTCGGCGCGCGGATGGGCATCAGCGAGCACACGAGCGAGAACTTGGCGAGTTTTGGGTGGTCTCTGGATCAGGAGGACCAGGCTGCTATTGATGCGGTGCTGGCGAAGAGCCGGCGCATGGAAATGTTTGAGGCAATGGGTGACTGTGGAGGGGAGTACAGGTAATGTAGAAAGTCTGGCGGTGTCTCTTCGGAATGAAGACTCCTATTAATTTTCACCATGCTGGCCCCGTAGCTTGATATTGGCACAACTTTTAAATGCGCAAGGTTAATCAATGTCATCTAAACGTTGTTGATTTCAATTTGCCAATTTTTTCCCTGAATTATATCCATCACTTCCCAAAAAGAAAAACGCCCCGTTTCCCAGATCCAATACCATTTCCGTTCCCAGTTCCAGTTTCATCCATTCCCAGCATTACTTGGCATCATCGCCACCAACAACACTACTACCAAAACCAACAATCAAAAACACCACCCCAGATTCCCCGTTCAGTCTTTCTCTCAAACCCCGAGGCACAACTTTTCCATCACCGAGCACCGCCACCACCACCGCCTCCCCGTCTAAGACTCTTCCCTCTCTCCAGCAGCCCCAGGTCCCACCACCCCTCGACAAGACCAAACAGCGTCTGCCGCACACTCTTCTGTGGCCTGGCGGCAGCCGCAGCAGGAGCAGTAGGAGCACCGCCAGGAGTGCGCGGCGTGAGCGGCGTGACGTCCTCGTACTCGTCGTCGTCATCGACGACGACGTTGGCCTTCTCGTTGACCGGTCGTTGTCGTTGTTGCTGCTGCTGCGGCTGCTGCTGCTGCTGATTCCGAAACGAGGCATAGCGCAGGATCTTGCTGAGCGGAATCCCCAGCGCGTCTCGTGGGCTTAGACCACTACTACCACCATCTCTACCAGCACTACCGGCACCAGCAACGCCCCAGCCGACACGACGAGTGCGAGGAGATGTAGCGGACCCCAGGCCCGTGCCAGGAGTCACTGGTGTGAACCCGTCGTCGTCACTGCAGGGAGACAAAGAGCTTGCCGGTGGTCCCGAGGCCGATTGGGTGGAGGAAGAAGTATCAATCCTCGCGGGCAGTCCGGGCCTCTGTTGTTGCTGTTGCTGTTGCTGCTGCGGGCTAAAAGTGCTGCTATCTGGCGAGAGGATCCCGATGGGGATGAATCCAGCCTCGGCGACCGCGGACTTGGGGCCCGCCATCATATTGTCGTCCCCTTCGTCGGCTTCAGTATCGTTCCTGCTGCCGCCTGGGGCAGGACCCGGGTATGAGATGCTTGGTGTTGACGACGGGACGCTCCTGAGGGTTGGCTGCGGATTTGACAGCGGCATGTTGGATCGGACCTGGGCGGGTTGGTAGATTGTGCTTGTCAAGGACCGGCCTGCAGCAGAAATAGCAGCAGTAGGATGAGTGGACGACAGAGTTGCAAGTGAATGAGGAGTAGGACGAGGAGCAGGCGGGGGATAGAGAGGGGTAGGGAAGGTATTCACACTCGTCGTGCTGCTGCTGCTCGAGTGCATGACTATCGACGGCAAAGGGGGCTGGACTTGGGGAGTGTTTGCCGTCGACATCTTGGGAGGGACAAAAGGAGGAGGAGAGGTGGAAGAAGAAGACATTGGCGGGGACGCGTGATGATCACCACCACCACCACCACTAGTAGGGGACCTCAGAATGGGAAACAGTCCCCGGCTCCTCTTGGGGTTAGACACAGGCACCACTGCCGCAGTGGGCGGTGGAGGAAAGTATGGTACAGGCTGTGTCGTCGTCGTCGTTGTCGGACTGAGCAACGCGCGAGTCCCCAGGGCACCACCACCACCAAGACTACCGCCGCTTTGATTGCTGTGACTGCTCACTCCAGCACGGGCATAGCTGCTGCTCCCGTCGCTCTCCCAGATATTCTTCCACAGCGCGGTGGGCACATCCTTGGCATGGCTGGTAGAGTTGGTCGCGGAAGCAGCGGCGGCGGCGGCGGCGGCAGCGGCGGTGAAAGTGGTGCCCGCGCGCCCCTAACCCTCAATGTCCTTCCTCGGGGCAGACGCCGACGAGGGACCCTTGATCCGGCGCCACAGGCCCGCAGAGACGATCGAGGAAAAGGCAAACAGCACGCACAAGGCGATGCTGAGGCCCCAGATGGTCTTGACCTCGTAGCAGTGCGGCTGGTCTTGGGCGTAGAAGGCGAGGAGGTCAAGGGGGCGAGGATTGGCGGAGGAGGCGGCTGTAACGGCAGCGGCGGCGCGGGCTGCGTACGAGCCGGAGCTCAGATTGAGGCCGTTGCCGCCGTTGGAGACGGAGAAGGTCAATGTCGAAACGGCCTGGCTGGCTGCCTTTGCGGGCAGCACGTCGCAACTGAGCAGGGATAGGGGACCCGGCTTTCCGAGCGTGGCAGCGACGACAATGGTTGCGATGAGCATGAGGAAGTCGACGCCGCTGCCGAGCAGAAGAGGCAGAAGGCTGTCGTAGTAAAGAATGTACGAGATCATGACGTAGAGGACAGCAATGCTAGACTGGTGGCAGGATAGTTTGTGAGCATTGTACTTGCAGATTGTCTGTATGGCCAGTAGTGCATCAGGAAAAGAACTTACAACAGAAATGGTGCCGACAAGCACCTCCGGCACAGCACGCTGGCTGACAACGATCTCGTCGATGAAATGGCCCGTGAGACCAATGACTGTGACCAGTGAGACAAACTGGGCGATCCGCATCGTGGTATATGCCACGCCGAGGGCGCCGAGCTGGGGAGCCTGGAAACGCATCTTGAGCGGGATCTCCTTCTCAAAGTCGGTAATCAGAGACAGGCTGGGACGGGTCGAGTGCGAGGTCCGCGTGACGAAGCGGGCCGGCGGGTACGGAATGCGTGCGGAAGGGCTTGGGGAAGAAATTTTGAAAGGAGCGGTCGTCGCGCGGTCCTGGAAGCGGACTGCGGGCGAGATACTGAGTGGAAGAGTGAATGGAATGTTGGGATCGAGAGCCGGAAACGATGGCGGAGCAGAAAACGATCGTTCTCTTGAATTGGGAGACGTGAGGTGGAAGATGATTCGAGAAATGGACCGAGACAATCAAGGCTTTTTGTCGTACTGAGGAAAGCGATGACAAGAAAAACGCAGTTGACCGGTGAGGTTTTCCGAAGAGTCGTCAAGACACGAGAATGATAGGAGACGTCAAGCCTGTAAGAAGAGAGACCGAGAGAAGAGTGACACTAGGAAACAAGGAAAAGACCTAGGAAATAAAGAGAAAAAGAGAAAACCACAAGGAAAAGATTGTGAGTCTGCTGTTTCAGTTGATCATGGAGAAGGGAGGGGACAAAAGACCGAGTCCAGAGGGGAGACGGCCGAGCCTTAAGTAACCCTCGCTGTTGCGAAAACTCATGTCATGTTAATCCATGATGGAATTGTTTTTGTCAAGGTACGCGTAGGCATCCGTGGTCACCTGGGCCGCATCTCGCGGGCCATACAGGCAGTCGGTACCTGCATTTGCCTGCCTGCGCCTGCCTGCGTGCATGCCGGCCCATGCATCGTGAATGTCGTCAACGGGGCCAGGCCGGTCCACTCATTCTGGCCCAGCGGCAGGCCGTGGGCAACACGCAATCTGGAGCTGGGCGGCTCTGCTGCTAAATTTGTCGCGCAGCCCACGCCGCTGCAGATGAATGGCTGTGGGCGCCGCCTGCCGCGAGGAGGGACAAGGATGCTGCCGAATCAAGAGCCGCTGGGCCAGCCAACCACAGCGCGTCCACCACCCCTGCCTGCTTGCGTTCGGCCGTGCCTTGCAGCTCTGCCTCTGCACCCGCGGGTGGACCCACGCGGCCGCCCCACCCCCGGCCGCCGTTCAGGCAAGCCCTTCCGGAGCCGCTTGCCCCGGTGGCCGGCGCATCCAGGTTCATGCCCTGCTAGACAGACAGGGCACGGTTTACGTCGTGCCGTTCGCCGTGTCAGTAGCCGCGCAGCAGCATCCATGGAGCCAGCTGTCATTCGAGGACTCGGGAAATTAAGGCAGCCTCGCTTCTCCTGGGTGGTACGTCGACAGTTACTGGGTAGAGCTTTAGGGTTACTCACTGAAACCGCCAACCGCGCGTCGCGTCTAACATAGGACCAGTGAGAAGAAGATGACTATACCAATGCTTGCGAGCTGTCCTCACTAGTACACAGTGCATACAATTATCCCTGTGCTCAACAAGCCTCCCTCAGGCCTCGCAGCCACATGCATACATCCATCCTACACAACAACAGGGCGTGTTGCTGGTGGGCCGGGTCCCAAATCTACTTTAACACGCCAGAAATCAAATGGTTGTTTTCTGGCACGACCTTGGTCTCAAGAAAGGCTTACTTCGCCGTGTTTGGATTGACTCGTTTCCTAAACTCGGCTCAACACTAGTGGTGTATCATTTTTGCCCGCAAATCTCCAGCACGTCATACCATCTATAGCAGGTCTCCAAAGCCCCCAGAGTTGCTGTTGTTGTTCTTGGCACCAGTGGCCTGGTTGCTGGCGTTCGCCGGCGCGCCCCACAACGACGCGCTCGTCTTCTCCTTGGCGAGGTCTCCCATCTTGGGTCCAGACCCGGCGGCCGGGGTCTTCTTGGCAACGCCAGAGGCGCCCCAGAGGTTGGCGAATGGGTCGGCTCCAGCAGCGGCTGCCGGCTTCGCTGCCGGCGCGGCCGGCTTGTTAAGGGCCGACATCCCCGAGGGTGTCGACGCGGCCGACATGGACGACATCCCGGGCTTGCTGCCCTGTTGGGGCTGTGCTGAAACAGACTGGAAGTAGTTGGGTTGAGCGGCCTGGTACGCCATGGCGGGTTTCTGGGCCGCAGGCGGAGACGCCATGGGGTTGCTCTTTGGGGCGCTGAACGCAGAGTAGTTCGCTCCAGGGGTGCCGCCAGAGCTCGGCGGTGGCGGCGAGATGGATGACATGAGGTCTGAGATGCTTGCCTGTTGCGGCGCCGAGACGGGCTTAGGCGCCGCAAACTGAGTTGTCGACGAGGCAGTGGACGTCATCATTGGAGGGGCGATAGAACTGCCGCCAAAGTTCGAAGGCTGGCCAGTCGTAGGCGGTGCCGACTGGAAGTCGTCAAAGTCGTCGTCATCAGCCGCTTCAGACAGCGCGCCAAAGGCAGACGAGCCATTCGAGGGCTGCGGAGCAGCAGCTGGTATCGAAGTCGAAGCAGGGACAGGGTCGTCGAAGGAGAAGAGGTCGACCTCAGGCTCCTTCTTCTTGGGTGGCTCCGCGGCGCCAACAGTCTTCTTTACGCCAGCGCGCTCTGTCCGTTTCGATTTCGCGGCAGAGCTTGAGGGCGCGTCATCGGCCTCATCGTACTCCTCAAAACGGTCCCTGCCGCCGCCGCCGCCACTGCTGCTGGCACCGTTATCCCTCCAGTCGTCAGTCTGGCCACCGAAGCCGCCGCCATCGCCGTACACGCCCCCAGAGTAGCCACCGTAGCCAGCATTGCCGCTACCACCGTAGCCTCCAGACTCGCTGCCGAACCCGCCGTATCTGCCACTGCTGCCGCTGGAAAATCCGCCGGCCCCACCCTCCACACCAGTGTACTTGGCCTTATTTGCTCTGGCCTTCTTGCGCTCAGAGCGGATCTTTTCAACGTCACTCAGGAGCTCAGACAGCTCCTTTGCCCGGTTGCGGACGTTGATGCCCTGGTCCTTGCCGTTCGGGTCGATGTAGTGGAACTGCCGCAGCATCTTGAGCAGGGTGATGTGGCCGCGCGCGTCGTCAATGACTCTTTCCGAGCCGTGCTTGATGAGAAACTCGAGAAGCTGCAGTGCCTTGTAAATTTGCCTCCATTCTTCGGCTGACTTTTCGGTGAAGCGGCGGTAGATCATGGGCATAATCTCGTTGAGCGTTTGGCTGGGTCGAGGCGTCCTTGTTAGTACCATTGTACCATGGATGAGGGATATACGGATGCCAACCGCGGAACCTACTAGTTGAACGTTCCATTGGCAATCTCCTGCATTGTTGTCGAGGACGCGCCCCAAGGCTCATTGTTTGTCGCTTCGCGCACCTAGAATCCAGAGTGTCGGTCAGCGAGAGGGCCTCCGGAGGGGCGATTGAGGCGAACACGGACCTTCGCCTCCATTTCTGTGAAGTTCATGACGGCTATGATGGTAAATCGAGTCAGTCGTATCCGGCCTGTCGTGGCATGTCGGCCTGGCGAGAAAGGGGTCCAGCCGTACCATTCTGGACCTTGCGTACGCCCGCCTTGAGATCGTACAAGGTCAGGTTCGAGACCTGGTCTTTCAGGCTGTTGAAGTCCATGGTGAAGGAGATGCCGCTACAGGGACAGGATCGCGCGGTTCGAACGCTGAGCGAGGCGAGGTCGGGGCTGCGAATCGAGTGTGAAGCTGTCGACGTCGATGACGGGCGCGCGTGGATTGAAGTAGTCGTGGTTGCTGGGATGGGCAGCTCCGGGCGCTGCTGAAGCCACCTAAGGCCCGCTCCACATCCCGTCGCAGCTGGGGTCGGTCACCCACGCAAGAGCCCAACTCCAGTTGCTCTGGGGGCAACCTCCTTTCTCACGTCACGTGATTATGTCATCAACCCAGGCTCCTGTTCAGGCCTTGTGCGAGAAGGACCATTGCGACTTGATGATATTTGGAATCACTGTCGACATGCCCGGCATTCAGTTGCATCTATATAGCTTCAATTCAGATGCAAGACCTCTGGCGCTTGTGTCTGGCGATATGGAAATGCCATGAGCTTCGACCTTCAGATATTCCTGCCGTGCATTAATATGGTTGTGTGAGCTCCACAAGGAAGACGGCCGGAATTCGTCGTGCTTTCATCACAGATGGCCTTGCGCTTTGAAAGTCAACGAAGGTGTTTGTGAAAAACCATGTGAATACTGCTCCGCGCGATATTGAGTCAAACAGCAGTCTATAGTTCCCGGAAGAGCCAGCGGCCCTGGGGAGTTGTGAACGACCACTCGTGGGCCTTCCACAAGCTCGAGCTAGAACAATCGAGCATAGTGCACGGGCCAGGACCCGGATTTTCTCAGAACCGCAACGACATCGTCGACCTCACGGCGGCTCTGCCCATCGCTTCACCACGGACAGCACACCAAACATCTGCACCATTGTGGATCTGTACATCACCGTCTCCTGTACCAACACCACCTTCACGTACTGTACTCTATAACGATCTCTTTGCCCAAGTAAGTACCATGGTATCCTTGCTTCAATCCGCCTGAGGACTCGTCCGCGCCTGCACATCTTTCCACGGCCCTGCTTCACCCATTGCCCGGAACCCCAGCGCCATGGAGCGCCTGCATCGGCATGATCAAGCGGACAGGCGGGAAACTCCGTCAAGCACACCGGAGCTTTGTTGAATGTCCGGCCCGGGCAACAACGCATGACCGACCCGGCAACACAGCACCTTGCACTGCACGACGTCGACCTTGAGAGTCTATTACTGCGGTCTGGCGGCCAGTCTGGCAGTGTTGTCACGATGCAGCTCACCCAGCAAGCCATTAGAGACCAGCCTGTTTCTATCTGTGCCTTGCCAGACCGCATTGCCAGACCGCAAGGACCACGGCAAAGCATGACAGGACTCTCGAGAGCGGATCTGGCTTCCAATGCCCTCCCTCACTGGTTGGCTGGGAGCTCTCTGAGAGCTCCCTCTAGTTCTCCCAGCATTGCTCCAATCACGATTCAGTGCTCTCTCCACCAGTTACAGCGTCGTCTCGTCACTGCCGCCTCCGTTGTCCGTCTTCTCGTCTTCTCAAATAGCCAGATGGCCATCACTCGTCGGCTGGTACTTGGCAGACCGGAGAGCAAGCGCGAGACAACTGCATTCAGCTGGAGAGTAGAGCACACTGGAATGGCCTCAGGGCTTGTCGGTTGCCCCATGGCAATAGTGGGAGCGGACGAGCTTGAGGGATCCTGTGTCGTCACGACTAGGACAAGCCGCTGCCGGACGATTCCGGATCAGAGACCCGAGGCCGGCTGCAGTGGGAGGCTGCTGGTCGTGTTGCCGCCACGATGAAATGACGAGTGGTTCGCCGTTGCTGCGAGCAAGCTCCACGCCGGGCGAGCAGTGACTTCATGCAGCCGCAACGGCAGCAGCTGCAGCGCAGCATTGGACCCCGCCCCTCCCCCGCTCCACTTTCCCTCCGAGCTTCACAAACAAACACAGACAGCAAGCAGCAGCAGCGACTGACAACCCCGCACTAGGCGCCCCTTCGACGGAAAAACATGGCTGCTCGATTCGCGCCCCGGTCCCTCTCGTCTTTTTCTTCTGCCTCTTCTCGGGCCGCCCTCTTCCCAAAGATCTCTTCCTCCAACTGTTTCTCTCTCCGTCACTTTTCCGCCTCATCCGCAACCATGGGCAAGCAGGTTTACTTCGTAAGTCGAACCCTTCAACACGCCCCCTGGAGCTCACGATAGCTCCCACCAGCTTCACGGCTCTACCCCTCCATCCCCTCCCGTCCTCCCACCCCTACTCAATTGGGACCTTGACTAACAGGCCACACCTGCAGGACATCACGTAAGAACATTGCGCCGCCTGCCATACCTCGTCTTCCACCTGACTGACAACCTCTCTAGTTGGCAGGGTCCTGTCCTGGACGCCGCTGGCCGCAAGACCTCTGAGGTCAAGGGTAAGTCATTGAAGCCTCTTTCTCGTGTGAACCACCGCCTAGTCAGACCAATTCACTTGGCATCGACTGCGCAGAGTGTTTGGACCAGACCATTCTCCCAACTCTCCAACGCAAACACCAACGCTGACAACCGCTATTCCCTCCCGTAGACCAGTCGGGCCGCATCACCTTCAACCTCTTCGACAACGTCGTCCCCAAGACCGCCGAGAACTTCCGCGCTCTCTGCACCGGCGAGAAGGGCTTCGGTTACGCCGGCTCGTCGTTCCACCGCATCATCCCCGAGTTCATGCTCCAGGGTGGTGACTTCACCCGTGGCAATGGCACTGGTGGCAAGTCCATCTACGGCGAGAAGTTTGCCGACGAGAACTTCCAGTTGAAGCACGACAAGCCCGGTTTGCTGTCCATGGCCAACGCCGGCCCCAACACGTCAGTCCTGAACTGTCCCGCCATTGGAATTGTCCAGCAGGCTCCGTCTTGGAAATGTTACTAACCGACTTTTGTTGACTGCAGCAACGGCTCCCAGTTCTTTGTCACCACCGTCGTTACCTCGTGGCTCAACGGCCGCCACGTCGTTTTCGGCGAGGTCGCTGACGAGGAGGGCATGAAGGTTGTCAAGGCCCTTGAGGCCACTGGCTCCGCCTCTGGTGCCGTTAAGTACAGCAAGAAGCCCACGATCGTCGCTTCCGGCGAGCTCTAGGCTTGAGGCGAAGCGCAACCCGACGACTGCGCATGTGCGTCTGTCTACTGCACGACGACGTGGCGACAGCACCGACTAGAAGTCCAAGCGTCGCCACATTTTGTCCGAAGCATAGCACCGAGAACACATGACACAGATGGCGGCGTGAAGCAAGATAGTGTTTGCTGTGAGAAAAACTACGAATACAGATCTTGAAGACTTTGCTCACATTCTTTGATTCTTCTTGTAATCTGTGCCAGATGGACTCTGTGTCCATAACTTTCAGCTCCAAGCGCCGCCGGGTTTGAGAGTGTTTTTCAATATCACTTGTAAAACAGTACACAATGAGCTCGTGATGTGAAAACTTGGCCTCTGTCTGTCACCAGTCCACCACTTTGCCTTCACAATTGATCAAGGAGAGCACGAGGCTTGCGTGCACTTCTGGTCATGCAGCGCGGATAGCTAACCCTTAGCAGACGGGCTTTCCGGACAAGCAAGAAGGTATTCCTCTCGAAGTTAAAGCAGAGAATGAATTACCCGAGGCGGTGGATTTGATTTTCAATGAACAAAGACATTGTTCCCCATTGGAACTAAAACGCCGGAGCTAGATGCAAAAATTTCCCCAACTCTTCTCTAGGGACCGCTCCCACCCATACCCATTCACACTGCAATCATTGGCGAAGCTAGATATGAATGCCGGGATGTGTGTCCCCGATGCCACGGATATGATTGTCCCACCATGTGCGACATTTCATTTCGCTCGAGCTCACGCCAGCCATTGATCGAAATACTCGCAACCGCCTGCCCACACCGGCCCGCCCTCCTCGCACAGCTCGAACACGGGGCACCGCCCGCAAGGCGCCGTGGTGAGCCCGTTGGTCTGCTTCTCCCAGAAGTCCGGCGCGTCGAGAGGCACGCGGTCTGGGTTCTGCTTGGCCACGCGGACAGCGCGGTAGCCGATCCTATCGCCGATCTTGACCTGCTCGATGCGCCCGTCCCACATGAGCACGTCGAGCAGCTGCTGGATGTCCTTGGGCTCCAGGGGCTGGCCCTTGGCGATGTGGTTGGCCTCGTCGCAGATCTCCTCGGCCGTGATGTAGTCGATGTATCCGGCCGGCAAGGGCAGGCGGACGGTAGACTTGCGGGGTTTCATGACCAGCGGCGCGCTGGAGATGTTGTTGGTAGCGCCGTTGGTGGTGGTGGTGCCGGGCTCGTCCTTTGTGATGGCGTCGGCGCTGCGCTTCTTGCTGCGCAGCGCGGCCTCGGACATGTGCCCGTTGATCACGCCCTTTTTTGGCAGCACGGGGCTCGTGCTGCGCCGCCGGTCCGCGCCCCCAGAACCGCTGCTCAGGTAGCTGCCCTTTTGTCGCGCGAGTTCCATGATGAGGCCCATCAGCGCTTCTATGAACCCCTCGTCGAGCGTCGAGTCCGTGTAGAAGGGCCCGCCGGTGGACTTGGCAGACTGCTTCAGGTTGTACTTGATCCATATCTTCTTCGAGATGTTGGCGACGTCGGTGACCTGCCGGATGAGCCGGCGCGACTCGAGCTCCTTGAGCACCTTTTTCAGCGTGTTCTCCTGGATGTTGAGCTTCTTCTTCATGTCCTGCTGCCATGCGCCGTCCGCGCCGGCATTGTCGATGAGCTCGTACACCAGGCTCTGTTCCTGGCTCGTGAGGAGTTTGTACCTGCGCAACAGAGTTGTTGGACAACCAACATTAGTCCTGAGTTCGCCGCGATTGTCTTTTTTGGGTGGAGGGGCTTAGCAGTGTCTTTAGGACTCACTTTGCCGCTTCTGCCTCTGCGCGGAGCTTCCACGCGAGGCCGCTGTGGAGGTTGACCGGGACGAGGAGACGCTCGTGGGTGAGGGCCGTGATTACCTCCATGAGCTTCTTGATGTCCTTTGGCGGGACGACCTCGAGACCAAAGAGGTCGTCCTGGGTCATGGGCTTGTCATAGTCGGCGCCGAAGGCCTCCTCGCAGGCCGTGTAGAGCTGTGTCTTGAGGAGGGAGAGCTCCTCGGAGCCTCGTAATGACGTTGCCGCCATGGTCGCGGGGGTGCTGAGGGAGAGAGAGGTGTTGATCGCGATCGAGGCTTGTCGCGTGGTCTGCGAGGGCTTGTGAGAGGCCCTTGCTGCTGGCGCAAACCGGCAGTGCGGCTGGCGTCGGAGCCCTTCCTGGGCCGCAGAATCAGGACAGGGACAATCGCTAGGCGAGGTAGGCTATGGGCGAGATTTGCGGGGATGTGGACTGGGCGGAATGCTGCGTCTGCGTTGGGAGTGGCCGAGGGGCATCACTGGCGTGGGGTGGGCGGGACAGTGAAGATGAAGCTGGTTGAGACGGAGGGCCGGCTCCTCAGAGGAGAGGCATTGAAATTTTGGGATGGAGATCTGACTCTTTAGGCGTGCCGGGTTGCCTAGCGCGGCATAGGCCGGGGTGACTGGGCTGGAGCCCAGCGTGCCCCGCATGACGGAGCTCTGGCCGCGCCTATCGATACGGGCCTGCATCACAAGCCGCTCGAGGGCGCTGGGACGGGACGGGATGTGATTAGTGTGTGCAAGGAGGAGGTGTTAGACAAGGCTGTCACGCTTTGTTTGAAGCATAGCATCACCAAGACATGCAGCAAGTGGGAGCCTGGTGGACTGCGTCACGCAAGCAGGCAGTGCGTCTCTCGGAGCTTGTCCTCTGGCTCAGTCGACTTGTGCGTCCATGGTGGTGGCAGTATCTGGCTTAGGCGACATGCAGCAAACGGGAAAACCCATTCGAAGAGGATTTCAACAACAAGGGCGCCATATGAGAGGGTGCAGAGAATACTCTCACCTTGTCGACGGACGAGCGTCTCTACCATAGTAGTGAATTCTCGCCCTTCGGAGGGGCCTTCCCAGGCCAGGCAGGCCAGGGTCTCTGAACACGCAGTGCAGGGGTCTCGGCGGCAACGCACTCACTCACTGACTGGTGGTGCATCCCCGCACCCGCTGCTGCTGCCACAGCCCGGTCCAGCCCAGCAACCCGCCGTGTCGCATGGAAAGCTCGAGAACCTCCGCGGAAAGCCCGCCTCAAAATATTAGAGCTAGGCACCACTACCACCACCACCACCTCCTGCACAGCTCCCACGAGCAACCACACACACGTGCACGGCATACCCAGACACTCGACTCTCTCTCTCTCAAGATACCCCTTTGTGTTTCCTTTCAATCGTGACACCCCAAACTTAACCACTCAACCTTGCCAGTCACAATCTTTAGCGACCCTTCACTGCATCCACAAAGACCCCACCATGTCGACTGCAGACGAGCTCAAGGCTCTCGGCAACAAGGCCATTGCCGAGAAGAACTTTGACGAGGCTGTGTATGTCCTTCCCCCCTTCTTTTGCCTCTGTCCATCCCGTGCTCGAGCTGACCTTTCATCCTCCTTCCCAGGTCTGCCTTCTCCAAGGCCATCGAGCTCGACCCCACAAACCACATTCTCTACAGCAACCGCTCAGCAGCGTACGCCTCAAAGAAGGACTGGGCCAGCGCCCTCAAGGACGCCGAGAAGACCACAGAGATCAAGCCCGACTGGCCCAGAGGCTGGGGCCGCAAGGGCGCCGCCCTCCACGGCTCTGGTGACCTGCTCGGTGCCTACGACGCCTACGAGGAGGGTCTCAAGCATGACCCCAACAATGCCGGCCTCAAGTCTTCCCTCGCCTCAGTGCAGAAGGCCATGGACCAGGAGGCTGGCGGTGCGGGTGGCATGGGAGACCCCATGGGTGGCCTCGGCAAGATGTTCAGTGACCCCGGCCTCCTCCAGAAGCTCATGAACAACCCAAAGACTGCCGGCTTCTTCTCAGACCCCTCCTTCATCGCCAAGGTCCAGGCCCTCCAGCAGAATCCCACAATGACCCAGGACATGTTCAGCGACCCCCGAATGATCCAGGTTCTCGGTGTTGCCATGGGTGTCGACATGAGCATGGCCGATCCCGACAACATGCCCGCCGGTGCCAGCACTACGACCTTCAACCGCGAGGCTGAGGAGGACGTGCCCATGCCGGACGTGAAGGTTAAGGAGCCCGAGCCGGCCAGAGAGCCCACTCCTGAGCCCGAGGACGAGGAGGCGGCCGCGAAGAAGGCTGCCAAGGAGGAGGCCGACAAGGAGAAGGCGCTCGGCACCGAGAACTATAAGAAGCGCAACTTTGACGAGGCCATCAAGCACTACAGCAAGGCCTGGGAGCTTCACAAGGACATCACCTACCTCAACAACCTGGGTGCCGCCTACTTCGAGAAGGGCGACTACCAGGCCGCCATTGAGGCGTGCAACAAGGCCGTTGAGGAGGGCCGCATGATCTACGCCGACTTCAAGATGATTGCCAAGTCGTATGCCCGCATTGGCTCCGCCTATGAGAAGCTGGGTGACCTGACTTCGGCGATTGAGAACTACAAGAAGTCCCTGACCGAGCACCGCACTCCCGACGTCGTCAACAAGCTGCGCGCTGCCGAGCGCAAGAAGATTGAGGACGCCAAGAACGCCTATATCGACCCCGCCAAGGCCGAGGAGGCCCGCGAGGAGGGCAACAAGAAGTTCAAGGAGCTCGACTTCCCCGGCGCGGTGGCCGCCTACAGCGAGATGATCAAGCGCGCGCCTGACGACCCCCGAGGCTACAGCAACCGCGCGGCCGCCTTCGTCAAGCTCTTCGAGTTCCCCAGCGCGCTCGAGGACTGCAATGCTGCCATCAAGAAGGACCCCAAGTTCATCCGGGCGTACATCCGCAAGGCGCAGATCTACTTTGGCATGCGCGACTACTCCAAGTGCGTCGATGCCTGCAACGAGGCGAGCGAGGTCGACCAGGCACACCACAACGGCGCCAACGCGCGCGAGATTGAGCAGCAGCAGCAGAAGGCCCTGCAGGCCATGTACGCTGCGCGCGAGAACGAGTCGGAGGAGCAGACCCGCGAGCGTCTGCAGAAGGACCCAGAGGTGAGTTGCATACGACAACGCCTTCGTCACGTCATTAGAAGAAGTTGAAAGACTAACATGGCTTGTACAAAAAACAGATCATGGGCATCATGCAAGACCCTGTCATGCAGTCTATCCTCCAGCAGGCGCAATCTGACCCTGCCGCGCTGCAGGAGCACATGCGCAACCCTGCGGTCAAGTCCAACATCCAGAAGCTGATTGCTGCCGGCGTCATCCGGGTCGGCAGGTAAGAGTGGGCGGGCAAAGAGAAGCCACGGGATATCAAATCACGGGGATGGCAAAAGGGCGACACGGTTAACTGCATCATGATTGAGAAGGCATGACGGATTGGGATGTACAAATAATTGCAAAGTGCAGAGATAGTAATGACCCAGCATATGACCATCAAACACGACTGAGCCTCAATTGTTTTGCGACTCCCCATTTGCAATTTGCGCTCTCGCTGTACTTGAAACACTGAACAAATAACAGGCGGGCACATGATTTCCCCCCCAAAAAGACAATCAAGGCGATCTTGCTTATTTACGCAAGCAAAGACTGGTGCCCCAGGATATTCAAACACGCCGCCAGGCTCCAGTCCTCCATGTTGCCGTTTCCCGACGGGTCCCCCAGCGCGACCCCGACGCAGTTCCTGACCCTCCAGACCGCCCTCAGGATGCCCAGGGCCTCCTTGGCGGCGCCGAAGACGGCCATGTCGCCCATCTCGAGCTCGACCGCGCTTTCCAGGACCTTTCTCTGGTCCGGGTTTGTGGTGACGCAGCCGGCCACGGTGAAGGCCCAGAGCAGGGTGCGCAGGCAGCTCGCGTGGGGTAGCCGGGTGAAGAGGTGCAGGAGGTGCGCGAGCTCGGTGCGGATCTCGGGCAGGGAGGGCTGGAGGCCTGAGACGGTGGAGGAGAGGTATATCAGCGTTGCACGGGCGTGGATGGTCGAGTGCAGGGCTACCGCGGGGCACATTAGCGATAGTGACGGCGAGGAGGAGGAGGAGGAGGCTGAGGTTGTGGTGGTGGTGGTGGTCGAGGAAGGGGAGGGGGCGATGATTGGGTACATTGAGGTCGGGAACGACGATGGGCTGCCGATGCTGGCGTGCCTTCCCCCCGATGAGGAGTCTGATGGGTCGAACACGATGCGCGGCGGAGGGGGCTGCGGCACGGGGGTTTGGTTGCTGGTGGTGGTGGTGGCACTCGTGGAGGCGCTGGTGTTTCCCTGTTGCGAGGAGCCGGCGGCCAGCACGGGAGCGAGTCGGGCAATGTTGTCGCGGATGCCCTGCTCGATGGCGCCGGCCCTCCGGACGAGCTCCACGATCGAGAGGGTGCCCTGGGCGCGCATCTGCGTCTTCCACACCGATAAGGCGGTGACTTGGGCCGTGGCCAGGAGGGCCCAGTTCTCGATGCCGACGTGCTCGGCCAGGTTTATCGCTGGTTCTTGGCCTTCGTCGTCGCCACCATACTGATCGAACGACGATGGGGACGGTGACGACCCGCCTGGAAGGAGCAGGGCGGCATGGTGTGGCTCGAGGAGAGGGACGCGGTCGAGCGTCGTGGCCGCGATGATGTCAATGTAGAGCAGGCGCGCGGTGTAGAAGTGCAGGGCCGACTCGGCATTGGCGAGGGGCGGCCTGAAGTTTGGGGTCGGCGGGACATAGGCCGGAGAGGCGGCGTGCGAGAGCTGTTTTGTGATCGCGTGCCAGGGGTGCTGCTGTGTTGTGGTGGACTGAGGCTGTGTGTACAGACCATTCGTGGAGAAGGAGAAGGGCTGAGGCGGCGGCGGCGGTGTAAAGGGCAGTGCTTCGTGTCCGCGCTGCTGCCGTTGGCGTTCGAGGATCTGGTTGAACAGCTGGAGCGCGGCATTGAGATGTGGCAGCCAGCTGCTACTGCTGGTGCTGCTGCTGGTGCTCTCACTCCCCCCGCTGCCGTCCGCAATCGTCTTCTTACCAATGGCCACCTCGAATTCGAGCAGCTGGATGATGCTCTGCAGGCCCCTGATCGAGTCGCGCAGGCTCGAGTCCTTGGACAGCTGGGCGACGTCGCGCTGGAGCGTGCGGATGGCGAGCTCCTGGTGCTTGAGCAGGTCGGCCCAGGCGGCGCTCTGGCATGCGTTGTGCGTCTCGCGCTGGAGGGCCGGGCGGTCGCGAGTCGAGTGGAAGGCGACGGTGAGGAAGTATGCCGTGAGGCTGATGGCCGTGTGGAAGATGGTCTTCTCCTTGAGCAGCAGGAACAGCTGCCACCCCCGGCCGCCCGAGATCAGGGGCGGGCGGTAGAAGGGGTAGAAGAAGGGGACGACGTGGTCGAGGTAGTTCATAATGTGGCCCGTCTCGTGCTCCAGCTCAAAGTCCTCCCAGGCGTTTGTCACGACAAGCCTGTCTCGCACCGCCGTGGGCAGCTCGTCGAGCCACTGCGAGGGTGAGTTTGCTCTGCGACCACCACCACCACCACCACCACCACCATACTGACTCTCTGGCGCTGGCGAGTGGTGGCCTGCTGACGTGTTTGGGCTTTCATGTGCGGCCGACGCCTGGTCCATGTTGGTCATGTTCCACGGACTCGACGACGACGACGACGACGACGACGTCTCCATCGCGCTGCTGGTCGCCTGTGGTGCCACTGCAGTCCTGGCCTCATCGTCACCGTCACCATCACCACCAGACGCTCCCGCCGCATTCTCCGCAGTAGCAGTCGTCGTCATCGTCGTCGTCGCTGCTGGGGGGTCGAGAAACAGAGCCCACTTGCGGTCGCGCCGCTCGCTCGCCCTCGCCTTGATCATGGCCTTCATCTCGGCGGCCTTCTCCTTCTCGCGCCGCCCGCCGTCCATCCACGCCGGCTTGGCCTCGCCGTAGTGGCACGTCACCTCGAGCGCGCTGCACGTCGTGCACACGGGCCTGGTCTCGTCGCACTTCTTGCGCCGCAGCCGGCACGTCCAGCACCCTCGCAGGCTACGCAGCCGGTGCGGCGGCGGCTGCCCCTGGGCCGCCGCCGTGGCCGGGGTTGTGGTCGATGGTGCTGTTGCTGCTGACATTTGTGTGCTTGTGGAGAAGAGGGGGAAGGAAGAAGCCACTACTACTACTGTTGTTGTTGTTGTTGCCGTTGTTGTGAAACTTGGAAACAGCCCACTATCGAGCAAAGCGTGCCCTCACTCGCCCCGGCGCTTATCTTTGGTATTGACGATGATGGCACACGGGCATCGTTTCGTTCTTTTGGGAGAGTGAATGAATGAATGCTGCCCTTGCTTGGCGAGTCAAAGGTTGCTTACGTTAACACATTAACGTTGCGGGCAGTGGAATTAGTCAGCTCACCATGTCCTGAAGTCGCCAGAAGCCGAAGCCAAGACAAATTGCCCAAAGGGGCAAGCGGGGGGGGCGGCCCAGGCGCCTTCCCAAGCTCCTCCTGCAAGGTTGTCGGTTCAAATTGTTCCACAAATATCTATTTCGGGACTTACATTGACGACACCAGGCTGACAATTCTCGTCGCAGATGCTCATCGTCGAATGTAATTTAATATTCTCTTCCCCCAAAGCGAGGCGCACGCGAGAGCTTCAAGATTTTGTTCTGGAGGCTAGATCAAACTATAGATTGCTTGAACGACTTTCTATCTATTTTCTTTTTCTTTTTTTTTTTTTTTGGGTTATTTTAGTTCGGGTTGCAATTATCCTCTGAGTGTGGGCAGCTGCATCCTTCAAAATTACAAATGCACTTGTGACAATTATTAACATGTTATTACTGAAAATGATTATGCGACCAGAAATACAGAATCGATACCGCAGTATCTCGAGACCACAGACCTTCAACTTCAAGCGATACAAAGTAACAGCGCCCCGTGGAGTGGTCAGTTCCGCGAAGTACACAGAATGTCGACGAAGAGTCCTCCATCATACCAACTGGCAAAGCCACATAGCCAGGCTAACTGGCGAATAGCGAAAACTCGGACCCCCCCTCCAACATCACATTCCCATGATCCTCGCCAACAAATAATCACTCATCACCCGCACTCAAAACCAAGATCCCGGCGCGCTGCGACGACCTGACCTCCGCGGGGGACCTGGGTCGGATCCCCGGAAGAGCGCCGCGCGGGGTGGCCTGCCGGGCATTTGCTGCGGCGGATCCGAGCGCACCCGGCGGTTGTACTGGGGAATCTGCTGCGGCGGCGGGGCCGGTATCCTCTGGCGCCACGACGACGACGACGGCCTGTCTGGCCGTATATCGCCTGTTTTGAAAATGATTAGCTTGCGTTGGTATTATCATTGCCGGATAGCTTGCCCCGTAGTGCCCATGGCATGGGTGGGTGGGCACAGCGGACAAGGAACTCGGGGCCGTCTGAACTTACCGAGCTTCCCCACGTCGGCCGCGCCTTCGACTGGCGTCAAGTAATTGGTGAGATATGATCCTAGAGTATACCCAATAATCGTGGAGATGATCCACGTGACATTAGACCAGAGGCCGCTATACCAGAACGTCAGCAGCACAAAAACGCGCAATGTGGGACAGCAGGGAACTGTCCGCTCCCTGCCCCCCATCTCTGCAGAGACTCACCACATGATGGTAAAGCCCACCGCGCCGAACCGGACGAGGCCTATCAGAGTACGCAAGGACGCCTCGCCAAGCGTGGGCCTGCTCCCACGACTAGAAAGGCCCTGCCGCCTCCTCTTGAGGACTCTCTCGTACTTCGCGGCCAAGAACGTGATGAACTCGATGAGGAACGACAGCGTGACGATGATGGCGCAGATTCCGGCCATGTCTGCTTCGCTGTCGATCGCCCAGCCCAGGACGCACATGCCTCTGGTCCACACCGTGATACCGGACTAAACACGGCCAAGAAACAAAATGTGTGTGGTCAGATAGGTTCAAGATTCTCTATCAGATTGTAACAGGATATAGGTAACCGGAAAGAGAAAGGGGGGGAGGGACCTTACCTGGCTATTGCACATATCGATCAAAGGTGGCAAAGGGTCTGGTGGAGGCAATTGATCCATCTGGCGAGCCACAAGCTGCGGGAGATTTTGCACTCCAACCACGGAAGCCGTGGTGGCCGCGGCGGCAAGGCTGGTGAAGGGTGGCATGATGCTTCTGTGGACACTAAGATTTCCGAAGATTTTTGTTGTTGAAAAAGGAACAAGCAGTAGAGAACAGAGAATGTGGATGCTTGCGATCGGATTCTGGCTGTGAGATTGGGAAAAGTGAAATGGACTGGCCAATGAAGATGTGGTGTAGAGTCTAGCTGCTGCTCGCTACGAGAAACCATGGAAAATATAGCAAAAGCTCCGTCCTGAAATTTACAGCCAGTCACTCTGCCATGTTCCATCTCCGATGTATGAAGTCCCTCAACCACAGATAGGTAGAGGTTAGCGCTACAGGCGGTAAATTCCGTGGAGCCTGGGCCATCTCCGACGCCATTCCGAGGTTCTCTCACTCCGCAGCGTACCAGATGCAACAGTCAACAGCACAGCAGCAATGATGATGTGATGGTCTTGGTCAAGGCCATGATATTCACGCTTCCCAGCACGTGGTGTTTGGTGCTCATGGCCGCGCAGGATCCTTCAGAAACAGGATTCGCCAATTCTCCACCAGCTATCAGCCGCCAAAATAGCTAGGCAAAGCGATCGTTCATCTCACAAATGTAAGCTGACTTTGATATCGCGCAATCGCGTGCGATGGTGCGGTTTCTCATGCGACGCAAGACTCCGCACTCATGGCAAAAGCGGCAACCATCACAAGCCGACATCAAAATGATATTCCACGCCCTCATTACCACGAGCCAGGCATGCGTGCCGGCTCAGATTGCGGCATGTATCCACGTCTCGGTGCTGGCGGCGGCCGCTGAGGATCCGACCGGACTCTGCGCTTGTAATCCGGAACTGGCTGTGGTCGAGGCCGCGGCGGCAGCGCCTGAAGGTATGTAGCCTGTGACTTCTTCTTTTTGGGAGCTACAGCACAAGAATGGTTAGGATTGTTGCTTCTCTGCTCTTTTGAACAATGAGTTCCCTTCGTCTGTTGGGCGTTGGCAGGTAGTACTCTGGCGTTGTGAAGGGTGGCGTAGAATACAGCAAGAACCGAGGAAGGAAGAGGTTTGGAATGACGGACGCTTACCCTTCTTGATATCCCGGCCGCCCTCGATTGGCGTAACGAAAGCAAGGATTGTCTGGCCCAAAAGAAATCCAGCAGCTGCCGATAGGATCCAAAAAGCGTTTCCCCAGGCACCACTGTGCTGATATGTCAGCCAGCTGACAGTCGAGGGCTGCTCAAGACAGACCCAGAGCAAAAGCGGATTCCCGAACTCACCAGATGACAAGAAACCCCGCGAAGACGTATTTGAAGAAGTTGTAGAAGACGCGGAGGAACACTTCGCCGACGCTGGGACGGCGGCCAAGGCTCGGCTGCGCCTCGCGCTTCTCCCTGAGTTTCTGCTCGTATCTTGCTGCGAGGCACGCGAACGCCTCGGTAAGTAATGCGGCACCGGCGAGCATCACACACACCCAGCCGAACTGTGTGTGCGAACGAATGAGCCAGCCGAGAATGCACATGCCATGACTCCATACGGTGATGCCCGACTAGATATTGGAGGATATTATGGGTCAGCAGACGAAGCACGGCTCGAAATCAATGCGAAGGACTGCCGGGACGGCCAGGGATCTCACCTGGGATTGACATTCATCGAACGTGGGTGCCATAGGCTCCGCGGGTGCATCTCGTCGCGAGAACGGGGCCCCGAAAGCGCCGGTAGCGAGCAGCGCGGCGACCATCAGGCCAGTGAGCTCAACCATGATGCTTTGATAATCGTGATCTTGTTCGTTGGGCGGGGCGAGTTGGCTGAGGGTAGTCAATCATGAAGAATGATACTGCAGCACTAAGTGATGCTTGACGGTCGTGGAGATGAGGAAGAAGCGGCGGGTCGTTCGTGATTGAAAGCGTCATGCCGTGCAGTTGTGTGCCTTTCTCTGTATCCGCATCTCTCGTCGCCGTGGGCGGCGCCGGGCTAAAGCCATCTTGGATACCTGTGGAGTGTCGGCGCAGGTCTGTGGCGACAGGACGCAGCCGAGGTGCGCTTGGGAGTGGTTGAGCCAGTGTCGCAAGCGAAGAGGATATCATGGGGAAGGCCCGGCCCTCTCGGCTGACCAAAGCGTGGTTGTGCTCGGCGACTGGACGTCAACTGGTGCCCTGTGGGCTGGTTGTTCCTTCCCACATCATGGTCCGCAGACGCTTGACCCAAGGATGGCAGTCCGCTTGCCTCTAGTTCGTTTTCTTCGTCCTTGTGCCTTCAGACTTTCACGATCAAGCACACTTGAAGCCAGACTTTCTCATCTCTTGCCTCCAACAAGTCAAAATCGTGGTCGGCTAGATACGATTCAGTGATCTCGCGGCACAACCCCTATTGCGCAGCACACCTGCGCTTCGAAAAACCTCTTTTGTTAGCTGGTATCATGAAAGCCATAGTAGTGCCGATTATATACCAATTTAGTCCAGCAAAGACCTGAGTAAATTTGTACTTGAAGTCCCGAGACGGCTTGCCGCAAACTACAACAACTATCGCCTTCCATTCCAAAGAAAACGAACTGGGAAAGCGATAAAGAGGCCTATATCCATGAACCAGGCCTCGTCTCCATCAGACGATAGGGGGACACCAAGGAGCACCAGCAGGACGATATGTAAGCACCCAGTCTGGAGAAATCCCAGCCGCACTTGTTGTCCCCCGGTGTTGGGCGCAGCCAAGACAAACAAGATCCGACCGAATCACATCAGATCAGATGTGCCGCTCCGGTCAGCCCACGTGTCTTGGGCTCCCCCACTCATGCTCAAGGCAGCGTGGCTGCCGGAGACGTGGAGTGGTGGCACACTTGTCTTTGGCTAGTCTTGCATTGTGCAGGGATGTAGCCTGATGCTTTGCAGCGAAGCAGTTGCTCCATATTGGGAGGACAGTAATCGTGCACGGCATGCTGGTTTGAGAAAAGAAAGGGAAATGCATGGTGCCCGTGTGAAACGAGCATTTGGGATTTAAACCCGCATACTTTGCAATAGCTTGATTGGGACTGGAAAGTGGGTGTTTATGACTGAGCTGTCATGACGGCAGGCTTGTCACAGACGACTTGGTATGTATCGAGTGAGGGCAGCTATATCAACCCACTCAATGGCGAGCACGGGTTCACCATGCCCCGAGGATGGCTGCAATGAGTTGCTGGTGCTCATCTGCAGGTGGAATGGATCATATTGGATTTCAGTGACCATGCACGAGACTGAGCTGGGATATCGAAAGGTAGAGTGAGTGGTCTGCCGATGAAGAAGCGATAGCTGAACAGCCAGGGATGGCCAGAGCTGACGTACGCCAGTGTTGTCACGCTTGAAACCTGCCCAATCCCCCAGACAAGTCTGAGATTGCACATTGCACAGCTTGTCACAGCCTCTGGAATGCATGGCGCTATGCTTGCGAGCCTGTGCCAGCCACATCTGCTTGGGACTGCCAGGTTGGCGTGGTTAGCGCCCGGACCCTGTTAAATGCTATTTTGGTGGTGCTGCTGCTTCTGCCTCAAGGAGTCCACTTTGGCATTGTGGCCGGCATGGCAATTGAGGGATCACCTTGCTGTTCGGCCCAGCACCGGCTAGACTTATTGTGTAGACCAGAGATCGGCTTCAAGTTTGCCATATAGGAAACATGGCAGCTCTTGGCGCCGGACCCTGAACTCCAGGGCTCAGCCACCGGATGGGTTGTGCCGCTCGCAGAATTCATGCTGGACAGGGAAAACAACCATTTTAAGGACTCCATCCGAATCGCACGGTCTGAGCGGCTTCCATTCTTCCAGCGACCCGACTCCAGGAGAGTGATGATTCATGGCCGTAAGCACAAGGCTTCTCCTCCTGTCTCTCGTGCTCAGTGGTGCGAATTGCGCTCACGCCCGAAGAGGTCAGAGCTGGCACTGTTTCATTTTTGGCGTGGCGCAATTGGACCAAGGCCGACCATGGGGGGCTTCAGCAACGAATAGGGTTGTACTGTAGATGCAGGCAGCATCTGCGCAGAGGCAGCTGGCACAAACGATCGTCGACCTTGCTGGCGAAAGCATTTTCGAGAGTGGATGGTAAGATGGGGCCTCAACTTTTCGATGCAGGTGGGTGGCCTGGTGGCCGCAGATCGGACCCGCCTTCAACTGCATGGGCGATGGCGTGGGAAAACCCCTCTCGCACCGCCAGTACGTGAGCCATTCCCAGCAGCGTGTTGGTGCGTGGTATCGTGGGCCGCAGTGTTGCACCCAGCAGCCGTGGCGTCCCGGATGGTCTTCCATTCTGGCGGTGTGGCGCAAGCTCGTCCTCGCTGGTTCACAAATCTGTGGACGGCGAGTGGATTACACCACCCCTGAATGTGCATGGCCTTGACCCGATGCCTGCAGCTGGCTGAGCTAGGCCTGCGGGACAAATTGCTGGAAAGACGGCGTGGCCCACGAGCGTCTAGCACACGAGCGAGAGCCATCTGCAGGTAACGACGGCAAGGCGGCATTGCGACAGGACCCAAAAGTCTCCTGTGTAAGCACATGAAACTGTCAGCAAATCGCCCGTCACTGGATGATGCGCCAATGATTTACTTGCATCGTCATTCTGCTGGTGATGGTATCCACTCGTCAAGTGGTGGGGAGAGGGGACCGGTATCTCGCCCGACCCACGTTCTGAGCAGGGGCACCAAGGCGATTGTACTGTGCATGGCCACGCCATTGGGGAAGGGGAGGGAGGGGTCTTCCGCTGTGATGAACGGCAATTCTGGCGAGGATGCTTTGTAGCCCCGGCGACAACGAGGGTAGGAGATTTTACCCAGCCTGGAAGTTCGTGTTTGGGCAAAGCCATCGATTTCCCAAGCTCTGTCAGCGCAGTGGCATACAAGGTTTGGAGAGGCCATGGTTGAGCTGGCGATTAAGGTTAGCTGGAGACTGGCCTGGATAATAGCTTGGCCGTATCCGAGCTGAGCCGTGGCGCTGCTATTGACTAGTAAGTACGCACCATGGCTGCAAGGTATCAGCTAGCGGCCACGGCCTCGATCTAGCTCACGTGGCAGCCAGGAGAACACAATGCAGCCTGTTCTCCCTTTTGATATGTCCCGACCCGGAACGGTTGGACCGGCCGTTCTTGCTGTTGTGTCGAGAGGCTCATGAGCTAACTGTGAAAACATAGAGGATCCTCCTAGCGCCATTGGATCGCAGGGAGATAATATGGGATGCTGACAGGCTGGAAGGTTTCTCGGTGGGAAGGTCTTGGCATGGTCGCTTGCGTGCGGCGGCGGCAGGGTAGGGCAGGGTCGAAGAACTTTGTGGTGGAGTAAATGCTGCGAAGGCCACGATAGCGCAGGCGCGCACGGCTGTTGTCGGAGGAGAATCATCAGGCAGGCCCACTCGAAGGACGGCTCCCCAGCGACTCCTGGTCTACAAGGCTGGCTGATACAGGCCAGCACGCTGGCTCGCTTGGCTGAGTCGGTGATTTTCCAGAGTATCTTGGCTCGCTGGGCCGCTGGGCGCGACCTGAGCACGCGGTCATGAGCCGTGGAATTTATGAGGCTAGTTGACTCGCCGAAGGAGGTCGAGGATTCTTGTTATGTTGTCCGTACATGGAGGGACAGGGCTGATTGGACGAGAGCCGAGGGGGGAGGGAGGAGGCGCCGTGGAGGCGTGCTGAAGTGGCATTGCATGGGTTGAGCGGCGGGCGTGCAGGGCTGTGAGGGCAGGCCGCTAACTAGAGTATGGACCGGAGAAGGAGCCAGGGAGGAATGGGCGGCAGATCCCACCGGGCCATTCGGGGGTGACTGCGTTGCGCCGGTGCTGACTGTGGCGGCGCGATTGACTGTGTCCTCGGGCGAGGAAAAAGAAAGGCGCCGGGCCCGGAGGCTCGAGTCGCTGATGATGGCTCATGCGATGCGGCACTGGGGCAGTCACGCTCACGTGGAGGTGAGGCAGGAGCAGGCAGTCGGGTACCGCCCAACCGGCAGGCGCAACCTGGCAGCCGAATCTGGCAGGGTGCATGAGGCAGGCGGGCGGGCGAGGGTGCAGTCTGGTCTGGTGCAATGTAAATGTTGACCCCAGGCGAGCGGGTTCGAGAAGAGAAGCACATCCATCCGAGACCTCTAGCACTCGCCAACACACCACGCACGCATGCTCGCATGCTCGCATGCACGGATTCCTCGTTGTCCTCGCCCGAGCTGGATGAGAATCCGGACCCGAAGGGCCCCCGGCACCCCCGGATTGATTGCATGGATATCTGTCTCTTGCCCGTCCGGCCACCACGACGCTACGACTCATCAGACTATTCCCGACCAGCCTACCGCCCAGCCATGCCACGCGATCCAGATCACGACCGCCGCCAGCTGAGCCGGCTAGAGCCAAAGAGGGTATTCGCCCGCCCAGGGCTCAGCGCCGCCAGTGCCTTTGGGGCATCTCGCAGGGTCTGCCCGATGGGCGGCCCCGGGGCCAGGGACAGGGATTCTGGCAATCTCATCCCATCCCATCCCAGCGCAAGCCTATCCAGCATGCCTGCCCACCTGCGGGTGCTGGAGCTGCAGGTGTCGAATGCCCCGCTATTGCCTTTGAGCACATGCGCGGTGGCCCAGTGACCGTCAATCACCGCTCCACCCCGCCCGCCGTCGCTGTCTCTGTCGGTCCAACCCGTGCGGCAGCTCCTCTGCTGCATGCCTCCACCACCAGCCAGGGCCCGCCATCACCACCTCTTTATTATTCTTCGGCTGCCCTCCCCGTCCCGCGAACCCTGCTGCCCGATCCCTTCTTCTGTCCTCTGTCGCTCGACATCGTCCTCTCCTCCTCCCATCGGCCTCTGCCGAACCCAGGCAAACAAACACCACCCTCGTTCCTTGATACGGCCGCAAGCCACAGACCGTGAGTAGATCCCCTCTAGCATAACCTGTCAAACTCACTCCCGCCAGCCTCTTCCGGATCGCCCCCGGCTCCTGCCACACATGTCCCCAAGAGACCTTCCCAAAGCTAACTCGTGCGCTGTTTAAGAGGACCAGTGTCACTATATCAAGCCTTACCTTGTCCCTGGACCCAAGCATCACAGACCACATAATTCACCATGGGTTCTCGCTGCGGAAATTGTGGGACCGAGTTCAGCACCGGAAGCTGCTGGTACTGCCATCCCCAGGCCAAGCTCGACTCGACATCTTTGACATCTTCACACGGAGCTTCGCATTGCTCCTCGAGGCATACGCACCACAGACATTAGCCCAAAAGCTCTCGAAAGTCAAACCTCTGACTTTGAAGGTGTCACGTGCAACACAATATTATGCACAACAGCAACAGAGCCTTCTCAACGACGGCCGCGAACCGGCTCATCACAAAACACCACTCCCGGTTCTGCTTCACACTCGGCCTAGACCCCTGTCTGGCCCATATCGCTGCCCGAATGGGTTATTTCAATATTCAGAGGCATTGACCTCTCACAACCATTACCTTACGACTTACTTCGGCACGACTTTTTGAAATTTACACCAGCGAAAATGTTTCAATGCTCAACATGATACAGGCTCTGGAGTCACAGGGCGGTTTGTTTTGGATGGGAAAAATGGCGTTCAGGCGAAAAGTTGTTTAAGCATCGTGTTTTCAGGGATAACGGGACGCACGAGACTTTCGTGGAATTTCTCCCAGCAGCGCCATTCTGAGGTGTAGACATTAGGCGTGTGCCGTGGAAGAGGCGAGATCTTAGAATCCAGACAAGGCTCTAGGTTGCACACTCGAAGTGCTCCCACCAGTGTCGCGCGCCGAGAAAGATACAATGCTCACGACAAATCGTGCAGCTTCCACTTACACCAAGAAGTCTGCCAGACATGTTTACGTGGATTCACCAAGATGAGGAAAGCCATACAACAGGACAATAGCAAAGGTTCTGCTTCACACAATGCGAAAGTCATCAGTGCACACACCTTTGATCCGCCTTTGACTGTGCCATGTGGAGGCCACCGGGACCACGAGGTCGGGTCATCACGTCCGAGCTTAACAATGGTGTGCGGGGGCCAAAAAGACCAACCAAGGCGCTCATTCGCTGACGTTACGGACGACGACGGGGCTAACAGCACAAGGAAAGCTTCTGTGACACCACCATTCACTAATTTTTCCGGGTACCAACACCGTGGTTAAACGCAAAGCCAGCCCTGAGCTGCCTGCGAGACTAGCCAATAGACCACCCAATCGCTCACCTGCCGTCGAGTGCAGTGCAGGCCACTGTGCCATTCTCGGACGACACCCGCATAAAAGTGAAGCTCCGCGGGGGAGGAAACTCAAAAACCTCAGCTTCTGCTGCATCTCTCGCAAAATTGACTGACCAGGCGCCACGGAGCATGCTCTCTCCTTCCTATTTCCTCGGACCTGCTCGGAAAAAGTGGATGACGTTATTGATCTTTTGGAACAAAAGCACGGCGGGTGCTGTAGTGCTGCTGCTTTAGGGAAGTCCCGCGAGGGAACACACGCACGCACGTCCGCCCCGAGGCTTTTCTGACCACGACAACCAAAACTGCGGTAAAGAGTTCTGTCGTCGGGGGCGCCGCGCGAGGGGGGACGGGACGCACCCATGTGCCACGTGCGTTTTCGTTCTGGACGACTTATGGACACACCCACACCCGCACACACACACAAGTCTTGAGAGGGTCGGCACGAAGCGCACGCTTGTGCTTTCATTCCAGATTGCTGGAACGTTAGATCCAAACCTCCGCGGGACTCCGGCTGGGCGGAGCATCGGGCGTGCGGCTCTCGTCACTGAAGGCGGCGGTGGTGGTGGTGGTGGCGGTGGTATCGCTGGTGTGGGGGCAGGGGACGGGTTGTGCCGGCCCTGAGTTGCGCGCGCGCCAGCTGAGACGTGGTCATTCCTGGAAATCCCCGATTTTTTGGAGCGTCGGGCTCGCCGCTCTTGGTTTGAGGATTCCTCGGCACAGCAACATGACGTTGTAGCAAACGAATGGCAGCAGTTGTCTGAGAAGGTGTAATCAGTGGACCTATGTCGCCGTGGAATGTCCCACTGGTATTACACAGCGCGTTTATCACCTTAAGAATGGCGATGCTCGAATTGGACAACATAGCTCACTCGTCCAGAACCAACCAACGCGCCACTACCTAGGTTTTTCATTGACATCCGGTCACAAATGTCGCAGGGGACTTTGCCGGACCCTCCGCCCCGGAGTCGGGACACAGAGGTCCGGAGCGGAGCAAGGGTCCCGTCCGTCCCCCCATTGTGCAGCAGGGGGGGGGCGCGAGCTGGAGCACGGGCTCGCTCTAGGAGTTTCTTCTGGTCCCTTGAGGATGGATGGGTACAGACAGGGTCCTTGTCTAAAGAGTGGGACGGGTGGACGGTCAGACGGATAACTCCGTTTCCCCGTCTGAATATGGCAGGTTCTTGGACTTCTCCTTCTTCTCACTGGTTGGTTCTCATCACCATGAGAGATGTGGGAATGGCTGGTGTGACGATGCAGACCGCGGCTGCAGGTTGGGCTTTGTGAGTGCATGAACTATGCGCGTGTCGCCGTTGATTGGGATGCGTCCCATGTCAGGTCTTTGGTCGCCCATCTTGGTTGGACTTTGTAGTTGGGTGATTTGGTCGAATTCTAGACTGGGGGATGGGAACGTGTATGCTACGACGGGAACCAGGCTAGCCCCGGCCGCTCCATGATAGCCAGTGGGCATTATATAGGTTAGATCAGATCAACTCCTGAAGTAGTCAAGCTACGAGGCCACCCACCGAACAAACATCACGCGCTGGAGGAGCCGGGCCCCTCCAACACGACATGCGACGACGACGATAGGGACCATTATCGCGCGGCTTGAATGTATCAAGGTTGTCAGCACGCAACGCTCGATACGAGTCCTCAGCATCATGAGACGTGGGAACACAAGTTGAGTAAACATCGTTGTGGGAATGTCGATGGCGGGTTCGAGGGCTGTTTTCGCTTGCACATGTCGATCCGGGGGAAGGGGACAGGGTTGTGCATGCATATAGCAGTTGCTAGCAGCAGGCCCTGATTGGGGTTTTATTTCAGGTCAAACTCATGAGCCAAGGGGCAGATGGATATTCGAGCATGCGAGAAAAGGCCCCGACGTTAAGAGTTGCTCTGCTCCCGAGTGTTTCGAAACTTCGTTGTACGTGGAGTGGCACCAGTATCGGGATGCCTATTTCGGTCTCCAGATCCTCCCGTCTCTCGATCGGTTCGACTAAAGAATCACTGGGCGAATCATCATCATCATCAAGGTGCTCAAAATTCGCCACAGCAAGTACTGATCTCAACACTTCTCGGAGCGACGCTGCACTTCTGTACAGCGTAAAGCGTTGTGGAGGAGAAGCGGGAGATCAGCACAGTCTGCACTCAAAACCGCCTGGTGTTGATGACTAACAAGCTTGGGACGGAACCCCCCGGTTGTGGAGACCCCGCAGCGACCGGGACAGGGATTCTGCCTGATCGAGGAAAGCCTGGCTCGACGGGGAGTGGGGACAGGCTGAATTAGGCAGTTTGAAGCACCCACTCACTCACAGCCAGAAGCCGGAAACGCGCCCCTCACCGAGCATCGGTTGCGGTCCCCTCTGAGACCAGTTGGCAAAGATGTTATTTGCGGTGGGAAGGACAGGTATCAGGGGGGAAAATCCACATCACAACGAGCATTATACAAGGTGAACAATGCTTCTAATGCTTCTAACTATCTATCTGCCAAGGCTTGACAGTCCTGGACCCTAACTCATACCGTGGCGTCCACTTCGTCCACAATCTGGATCTTGATGCTGCCATTGGCTGTGTCGGAGCATATCTCCATGGCGTCGAGAGCCTTCTCGAGCGGCAACGTGTGCGTGACCAGCTTCTGCAGGTCGAGGATCTTGCCGCCGAGGCACTGGATTCCAGCTGGCCATGTGTCGCGGTATCGATTGATGAAGCGGAGGTCGATCTGTGCATGTGCAGAAAGATGGTCAGTGACAGCCCCCTAGGGAGCAGGGTAATAGGAAGTGTATGACGTTTGAATCTGGGAGCCGGACTCACCTCTGCGAGGGAAATGTGCATGAACGGGAGGTTGTTCATGATCGACTTGCCCACACCAATGACGCACACAACGCCTCCTCGACGAACAGCGTAGGCCGCTGTGACCACGGAGCTCTCCACTCCCGTACACTCGAGAACGCTCGGAGGGGCGTTGTACTCGAAGCTCTCGGCATCGAACAGCTTCCTGATCTCCTTGGCGTTGCCTTCCGCGTCCAGATTCCGATTGACTTGGTAAGGTATGCACATGGGCACAAACTCCTTGGCAAAAGCAAGGCGTTTGGGCTCGAGGTCTGTCACCACGATCGGGTGTGCGCCGGACGCACGGGCAGCAGCGAGCGCAATGAGGCCGATCGGGCCGGCACCACAGACAAGCGCGGGACGGCCGAGGCTCAAGCCACACGTCTTGACACCGTGAAGGACGACACTGAGAGGTTCGAGGAGGGCTGCCTCCGCCCAGGAGACGGTGTCGGGAAGCTTGTAGAGCCACTTGGCCTTGTGTGTCTTGTAGCGCTGGAGCGTGCCGTGGTAAGGATAGACACCGGAGAAGGCGACGTCTTCGCACAGGTTGTACCGGCCTTCCCGGCAGAGCCAGCACTTTTCGCAGGGCATGCCGGGCTCGATGGCCACTCTGTCGCCTGCGGCTCAGTGTGAAGAGGTTAGGCACGAGCTCGATGGTTGGGGGCGGATTGAGTGTCTGTTGGGAACTGACCAACTTGGACATTGTCGACGCCCTCACCGAGCTTGAGGACGATGCCGGCCGCCTCGTGGCCGAGAATGCAGTCACCCTCGACCACTAGCGATCCGATCCTGCCATGCTTCCAGAAATGTATATCCGAGCTGTGGCGGGCCCCGAGTCTTGTCAGCTGTCTACTCCTTGTGCTACGATGCAGCGGACAGGAAAGACATACCCGCAGATGCCGGTGGTCTTGATGTGTAGCAGAACCTCGCCTGGGCCGGGCTCGTGGATGGGCGCATCGACGAGCTTGAGCTTGTGGTCGGCAGTGACCTGGAGTGACGGGTTCGGATGCGACGGCTTTAATCTGGTGGCGGAGATGCCGTTTGCTGTAGGAACGACAGTCATAGTGAGGGTGACCAGCGCGATGTGTGCGGATATGAAAGTGGAAGAAGGAGCAGCAAATGCAAACCACAGTCTGAGAAGATGCAGCACGAAAGCCATGGGGATTCATGCGTGGTCCTTTTGCTCTGGCTCGTCCCACTGGCAGGCCCGAGGCCAAGCCTGTGCCAGCGGGTTGACTTGCTCAATGTGGCCAGCGGGGCGGCAGTGATGATGGGGACGATGGGGTCCTCGGGCAAATGCCATGCGCCGCAGGGTCCAGAAGTCCACATGGCAAGTGCCTGTGCCCCGCGGTGCTTAAAATGTCCCAATTGGGTAACCCGGCGCAAAACGGGCGAGGACCGGTGCGGTCCATTGCCGCTTCCACTTGACGTCGCCTTCCTCTGCCGTGCGCAATTCTTCTTGATGGCTTTAAATAACTTGATCTTCTTTACTTTGAGTGCGAAATCACCCTTCGACTACGTCTCTGATATTGGCACTCGACTCTCATTCAAGTCACAGGCACCTCACAAGGCCCGGCGTAAAATCAATACAAAACACCACTTGTACCAAGAGCCGCCCATAATGGCTCCAGGCGTGCTTACTTCCATCAGCCAAAACGAAGGCCCGACTGAGGGATCAGCTCCGTCTGTCTTTGCCTCGAAAACTGCCGTCAAGGCGTCCGAGCCTCAAGATGTCAAGATATCTCTCGCGGAGGACAGGGCGGTCCACCCGATGGTCCTGAAAACATTCCGTATTTTGGTTGCCGATCTATGCCAGCAGTTCAAGGGCGGACATCCGGGGTAAGCTCCAACTAACTTCTCCCAAAACAGTCTCAGGCACTGACCTTTAAACCAGCGGCGCGATTGGCATGGCCGCCATCGGCATGGCCTTGTGGAAATACGTCATGAAATACGCACCGCACACACCCACGTTCTTCAACCGTGATCGCTTCGTCCTTTCCAATGGTAAGCAGACTCGTGTTTCCATTCAGCCGACCAGAGTGGCTGACTTTGGTGCTCTCATCCTGCAGGCCACACTTGTCTCTTCCAGTACTGCTTCCTGCACCTGACGGACTATCGCGACATGACCATGGAGCAGCTCATGTCGTACCACTCTGAGCGGAGCGATGCGCTGTGTCCAGGCCACCCCGAAATCGAGCACGAGGGCGTCGAGGTCACAACCGGCCCTCTCGGCCAGGGCGTTGCCAACGCCGTCGGTCTCGCCATGGCCACAAAGAACCTGGCGGCTACCTTCAACAAGCCAGGCTTCGACGTCGTCGACAACCACACTTGGTGTATGACCGGTGACGCTTGCCTACAAGAAGGCGTGGCTCTCGAGGCCATCTCTCTCGCCGGCCACTGGAGGCTCAATAACCTCACCCTCATCTACGACAACAACCAGATCACTTGCGACGGATCCGTTGACCTCACAAACACGGAGAACGTCAACGACAAGATGCGAGCCTGCGGGTGGGACGTCCTCGAGATTGAGGATGGCAACTATGACATTGAAGGCATCGTCAAGGCACTGCAGGCTGCGAAGCAGTCCACGGACAGGCCCACCTTTATCAACATCAAGACTACCATCGGTCTCGGCAGCAAGGTCGCGGGTACCGCTCCCGCACACGGCGCCGCATTTGGTGCCGACGACGTAGCCAACATGAAGCAGAACGAAGGCTTTAACCCTGAGGAGCACTTCGTTATCGGTGACGAGACTCGCCAGTTCTTCAGCGGTCTCCCCGAGCGAGGCCAGAAGTGGGTACAGGAGTACAATGAGCTGCTTGCCGCGTACGAGAAGGCGCATCCAGAACTGGCCGCTCGCTTCGCTGCCAGGCGAAAGGGCGAGATTCCGGCTGACTGGAAGGATTTCATTCCAAAGTCGTTCCCTGACAAGCCCACAGCCACTCGTGCCGCCAATGGTCTCGTTCTGAACCCTCTGGCCGAGAAGGTCGACTCTTTCATTGTCGGCACAGCCGACCTTACTCCGTCGGTCTACATGGACTGGAAGGACAAGGTGGACTTCCAACACCCTGAGCTGCGGACAGAATGCGGCATCAACGGCGACTACAGCGGACGCTATGTGCACTACGGTGTCAGGTATGACCATATTTCCCGCCTTTTCTTTCCTTATACACCAGGGCGCTTTATTAACCACCTCGTGTGTCATTCACAGAGAACACGCCATGGTCGCCATCACCAACGGCCTGGCCGCTTACAACCCGGGGACCTTCCTCCCCGTCACCTCGTCCTTCTTCATGTTCTACCTGTACGCCGCCCCCGCCGTGCGCATGGGCGCGCTGCAGCGCCTGCAGGTCATCCACGCGGCGACCCACGACTCGATCGGCATGGGCGAGGACGGCCCGACGCACCAGCCCATCGAGCTGGCCGCGCTGTTCCGCGCGATGCCGAACCTGCTCTTCTTCCGCCCGGGCGACAGCGAGGAGACGGCGGGCGCGTGGGAGGCCGCGATCGAGGCAAAGGGCACCCCGTCCATCATCTCGACGAGCCGGCACGCGCTGCCACAGCAAGAGAACACGCGCCGGAGCCTCGTCGCCAAGGGCGCCTATGTCCTGCAGGAGAATGACGCCGCCAGCGTGACCCTGATCGGCGTGGGCGCCGAGCTGTCCCACGCGGTCGACGTCGCGGAGCAGCTCAGGGAGGCGCACGGCATCGAGGCGCGCGTCGTGTCCATGCCCTGCCAGCGCCTGTTCAGCAGGCAGGACCGCGCGTACCAGCGCGAGGTGCTGCGCCGGCACGAGATGCCCGCCATTGCGATCGAACCGTACGCGCCCAACGGGTGGGAGCGCTACGCCGACGCCGCGGCGTGCGTCGCCCGCTTTGGCCACTCGCTGCCGGGCAAGGCGGCGTACAAGTACTTTGGCTTTGACGCCGACGCGCTCGTGGGCAAGATGCTGAAGTACTTTGAGATGATCAAGGAGGACGAGATGCTGAAGCGAGAGTTTGTGGAGTTATAACACAGTGTGGCGCGGAGAACTCGTGACACTTGTAATGAACACATATATTGGTAGATGAACATATTGGGTGGATGGGCTTTGCGTCCCCGAGTTTCCCAGCTGAAATGCTTTATAAAAAAGAATCATTCATCTTCCTTTTGTGATGTTTGCCTGACTTATTCAATCCTTCATCCCGTAATGTACACTGACACAAACTCCTAGCTGATAAGTTTCTACACGAGCGTCGAACTGGATGATATGCAGTCCACTCTATCGCTCTACTGCCACGTCCAGTCTCATTCACTGAATTACGATATAGATATTGCCTGCATAGCACGAAGAGGTCAGAGGCAGGGCAACCCGGCTTTCCGAAAGGGGTAACCCGCCAGCACCAGCCACTATTGTGTCAACCAATATGCCCTCCGTCCCATTGCGGTTAAAAAGTTCCATGGGGTGCTGAAGAGGGCCGGGGGGGGGTGTCTGCTAAGCAATGACGCTCTGATTCCGCCCAGCCGGAATCGAGAGAATCGGGTGATGCAGGCGGGCGAGCGGGCGGGCGGGCGGGTGGGCAGTTTTGGGCACTAGTAGCTCGAAAGCTTAAACGCAGCTCCTTTGGTAACACCACAGACACGTGCCTTGGGTAACGTCAGTGGAGACGAGAGAGTGGGAGATGGAGGCACTATTCAAGGATTGCCCTCGTCGAGTGTTGCACAGGGTTTGACGTGAACTTCTCCGCGAAGACGACAACTTGTGCGACAGATATATACCCAGCTTGCTATGATGCTGCTTGTGCAGGTCAAAAGTCACAAGCGGCGTGGGCTTTAGATTGGCTTTCGTCTCCCGAGGGAGACTTTTATTATTTTTTATTATTTTACGTCTGTTTTTTTCTTTATTTTGAATTTGATATGCTTTGACATCTTCGTCTTGGACGGCCCCTTCAACAGTGCCTTTGATCAGAGGGAGCAAAGGGAACATAATCCTCCAGAGGAAATGCCGGCGGCATAGTCCATGGTGCGTTATTGTCGCCAGAGTCGGGGTCCTGCGCGGTGGACCAGTCCATCGGGGGCTCGAGTGAGGAGTTGTAACCCCACAAATCAGTATCCCCGTTGAACTCCTCGGCTATCGTTGTGGTGTAGTGCTGTGGCTCTGCACAGGATAAGTCTCCTGAGAGAAGTTCCGGGCGGAAGCCCCGGTCGTGTAAGAGTTCTGTGATATGAGAGTCATCGCGTGTCATCGCGGCCATGGCGTTGGGCATGGTTGGCCGCGCCGAGACGGTGTCATTCGAGACAGGCGCCGACGACACTTGTGAGTCGTGTTTGACTTGTCTTGCTTTTCTCCGACGACCGGGACGACGCTTGTGGTCCTTGTGGTAGTGCTCTGCCAGGTCTCTGAACTCGCCGAAACGGTGTTTGCATGGACACTCAAAGTACTGGGAAACGGCCGAGTCCTGCTTGTCACATCTGGCCCAGTGGTTCTTGAAGCTATCCCACCGGGGGTACTTGTTGCTGCAGCGGCATACGTAGCGAGGCTGCTCTTGTCGAGACGCAGTGTAGGAGCAAGCGCCTGCCCGGTGGCGTGTACGATCTTTGAGGAACGCGAACTCCTTCTCGCAGCCGGGCTCCTTTTTTGTATGGCATGGGTGCTTGATCCTGGGAGATTTATCCTTGCTAGTAGATAGGAGGTGCTACTGTCAGCCATAGGGCCGACAAGACTTGACTGTACGGGGGAGCTTGACAGATGATTATCAAACCATTTTGCTTCAGGCAAGGAGGCTTTATCTCAAATAAAAGAACAGGTAACTGACAGTAGACTAGCTTGGTCCGAGACCGGCTCATGGTAAGGTCGACGACCGCTCTCCAGTTGCGTTGCGGCATGGTTCTGGTCTTGCTCCACACCCTGAGTGAGCGAGTAGTTACTTATAGGCGAAACGGTCTGAGTTGCTGGCGAGACGACCGAGCCGAAATGGGTAAACAAACTCGGGGCCCCTGGGCTGAAGTTCTGGGTTGAGGTGAAGCTTTGTGAGTCGATAGGGTCGGCAACAACTTGTTGTTCCTGGTGGCTGGGGAAAATGTTGTGGCCGTCAAGGTGCAGGTCGTCGAGGTCAAAGAGCGCAAAATCCTCGTAGCTCATGGGTGACTCGACGCGATGACAGTGGAAGGGTGGGGATGAAATTGTGGAAGCGGCTGCTGCAGGCGAAAACGCCCGCAGCCTGGAACGATGTCAGGTTGTGGTCAAAGACAGAAGGAAACAGACTGTCACTCCCTGGGAAGCCTGCAGTCTCGGGAATGCCCCTGCGACTGGACAAGCTTCCCTTTCCGGTATTCTTTGTTGTTGTGCTCAATGGAGGGAAGGAAGGAAAATGTGTGAAGGAATGACAAGAAGGATACAGACTGATCGTGCGGAAGGCTGAGCTAAGAGGGTGTACTTGACTCGATGCTTAGCCGGGGGAGGGGAAACCTTTCCCAGTTGTTTAGCTGACGGTGGTGGACTTAGGGGTTTATAGACGGAGTAGAGACAATGGCACAGACCAGGACTGTCTCTGCCTCCCGGGCCGTTTTTCGTTGCGCGGCGTCAAAGAGAGCCTTGCCAACACCCACCCACAGACGTGGAAAGGGCCGCCGTCAGAGGGCGCAGCTTCCTGCTATGCGCTGTAGTCTGCGTGGTCCAATCATCCAGCTGGCGGTCGAGTTACACAGGGCGGGGAGCTTCTTGTCCGCAACCAGGTGGCATGGCGGAGCGCGTGCAGTCAGCCACCACTGAGAAAGAGGCATACAAAAAGGCAGACTAGACACCCTGCTCATTGCTTTAGGTCGACCCTGGCCATCAAAAGCACATTCATACTGCGTCGCGGGACATCCTTTCGCGGAAGAGCCTCATTCCAAGGTGGCAGACGGGGCCAAAGATGGCAAAGGTCGTCCAAAGCTGGCGAGTCCTGTGTGGCACTGCGCAGATGCGCAAAGTGCTACGTCCCATTTCGCGCAGTATCCGACGGGCCAAATAGGCATACATGGCCATATTCAGCAGGTGGTCCGGGTAGCTGTGACGTCTGCGTGTGGGCATGTCACTGCTTTTGGCGGGAGGTGGAATCGTATCACATTTGGGCCGCGGCGCCAAATCCGGCCCAGAGGCCCATTGCTTGACGATTGTTGCCACAAAGTCCCAGAGACGTGGGCGCAATCATGCATAGTCTTGGTCATGGCTGGCAGCGGTATAAATCAGAAAGCGGCTGCATGCTCAGGTTGTGTCTTTCGTATGACGGAGTAGTAGATATCTTCGAGCCGAGAGCACCGACAACCGACCAAACGAGAGCAACCAGGCACACAAAGCCTGACGCACAAAGCCTGAACATCATGGCAGACAGAACGGCGAGCGGCAAGGCTCGCAAGCTGCTTGGCGCTGGGCACGACGATAAGCAGGCTGGCCAAGACGGTAAGCGACCCGGCTACCGTACCCTCTATCGACTCTGGGATGGTTACATGCATTCGCTAACTCGATTGGTTCACTTGCAGCTGTCAAGGGACCGTCTCCGCGATTTCCCGTGGGGAACTCTGGTGCAGAGACAACGATGATGCAACGCTGGGTGGAGGCAAGATTGAGGGACGAGCCGTGGAGCCATGTGCATGTGACTTATCCGCGAAAGAGTTGACGCAGGGCAAGGCTTCGAGAGGCGACCATGACGTCGGCAAGCAGAGAAACGATCGCATGTGATGCAGTCATGTTCCAGATAGATGCTGTTGTAGACTAATGCTGTTTGTATGGAATCTAGCATACACTTGGACATCTGATGGTCTCTACATGCGACCGACCGAATATGTCAGACACATGAGTGCTATAGCCACAGTGCAATCGCTGCGGCGGAACCGTGCCCATATTCTATCGCAACTGACTTTGGAAGTTGTTGTACCTCACTTATTACCCCACAGCCGCAAAGGGACCTCGGGACGGTACGCCCTTCCTCTTCCAGCCAGGCGGGTCGCCCCACAGCAAGCGCCGACCGTCTGGGTCCCAACAACATCAACAGTGGTTATTGAGCCATAGGGCCGGGGAAGAAACACACGAGATTATTCGACGGGACACAGCATGGCCAGTCCGCCAGAGTACAGCCATATGCCGTGCTTGTTGCCCCCAGTCTCCCAATCTAGGCAAGGCCCGCTCACAAGCCCTCATCACCACAACCATCCCCATCGAAGGCCCTCCGGATCTTTCTTCCGCCTCCTGATATGAGCCACGCCACACCAGATGGAAGCGGTGGCCGCCGCCGCCGGGTTCGCCGCCAAAGAGCCACCGATCACGAGCATGGCTCCCAATTCTCCAGGTCCCCCAGCCCCGAACGGCAAGCACCTCAGCCTCCCAAAGAGACCTCTCCTTCTCCCGCCCCCTCGCGACGAGCAGAGATCCCCTCCTTCGCAGACATCCTCCACCCCGTCCCCCCGCCTCCTCACCATGTAGATCCTGCCACGACGGACGTTACTGCTGCCAGCCCGCCGCTGTCTAGAGGACCGCGGCACTCCATACCTCACGTATCCTCTGCAGCGACTATCTCGTCACTCACCAACACGCCTGCCCGCCGCCCCTCCAGTCTCTCCCCTCAGCCGCCTGGCGGACGGCAGGTCAGCAATACTGACAACGAGGACGTCACCATGGCAGACCAGCCGAGCGGAAACAGCGACATGGTCAACCATGACAACCCCCACGATCCCCATCCCCTAGTCAAAGTCACCACCAAGCCCCGGCTGACCAGTACCACCACTTCCACCACTCCCAACACCACCACCACCACCACCACCACTGCCGCCGCAACAGCGCCACCAACAGGCACCGCCCAATCGCCAATATTCTACGCGACAACACTATCCGCCACGACCCCATCCGCAACAGGCGGAGCAGGAGCAGGAGCAAGTCTAGGCGGCAGCAGCAGTAGCCTGTCCGGCTCGTCCCCAAACTTTGCCTGGAAGCCCGACGAGTTCGCCCTCGACCACAACTACCAGCTCTACCGCGAGGAGTTGCGCGACCTCATCTTCACGGCCGCCCAGTCCGGCGCGCCGACGCGCGAGGGCAGCCCTTCGTACGGTGGTGGCGGCGGCGGCGCGATGTCCTTGCTGGATGGTGGTGGTGGTGGGCAGCAGGTGCAGCAGCAGCAGCATGAGTTTCAGTATCGGCAGCATGAAGGTCTCTCAAGAGTGCCGGGCGGGATGATGAACTCGCAGGCCGAGGTCGGGTCGGACCCGCACCAGACGAAGCGCGAGACGGCACAGATCTTGGCTACCGGGAACCGGATGCTGTTCTTACGCAACTACATATCACAGGTTGCCCCATGGGTAAGTCTCGATGCAAGGATCCCTCTGCAATATGTCATGGTCATGGCGAGTGGAAGTATGCTAATTATATGTAAAACGACGCCAGCTCGACATGTTTGACAGCGACCGCGCCTTTGGCCTACAGCTGCCCGCCCTCGCCCGCACAGCGCCGGCCTTGCTATATGCCATCCTCGGCATCTCGGCCCGCCAGATGGAGCGCAAAGAGAACAAGAAGAATGCATTTGAGAGCCTCGAGCTCTACCAGGAAGCCATCCGGCTGCTGGCGCCTTTACTTCTCGACAGAGACCTCATCATCATTCCCGTCTGTGTCATCCTCTGCTGCCTCGAGATGATGTCTGCCAGTGCTCAGGACTGGCGCCGGCATCTCGAAGGCTGCGCCGCGCTCTTTAGTAACTTTGGTGTCCACGGCTTCAGCGGTGGCCTGCTGCAAGCCGTATTTTGGTGTTATGCTCGGATGGGTAAGCTGCGCTTGCCACCAGTATCTTTTCAACGCCCTCGTGTCGTCCCCCCAACTAACTCGGCACTCCTACCAGACCTTTGCGGGGCCTTGATATCAGATGGACTAGAGAGCACACTGGTACCTCCATCAAAATGGCTGCCGCCAGGAAGTGATATGCGCGAGGCACGACAACTGTATCTGAGCTGCAACCACCCAGACATGTATGCCAACTATTCAGTATGGCTCTCCTCTCGTGTATGCGAGCTAGTATCTGAGAGAACTCGACACCGGGAGCTGGGTGAGCCAAATGGCTGCACAGGGCAATATTTCACCGACCGATGGATCACGCTGTGGCAGGAGCTGCAGGCGTGGATCAACGACAGCCCCCCAGAGTTTCACGCCATCAGAGCGGTCGAGTCTAAGCCGTTCCCACAGACTTTGTACCCACACTGGGCTGCAATATCATCGACACAGCTTCACCATACAAGCTGCGTGCTTCTCTTGGGCATCATACCTAAGCCTATCAACCCGGCGCTCACGCCCAACCCGATTGGCTCGGTCGTCTGGCACGCGAAGAAGATCTGCGGCATCTCGCTCGCGAACTCCCATCAGGGCTGCCTCAACAACGCAATCCAGCCCATCTGGCTTGCGGGCAGATTGCTAAGTCACCGCTCAGAGCACGACCTTATTGTCAAGCTCATATGGAGTATCGAGAGCATGACTGGGTGGGGTACGTGCTGGAGAATCAGTGACCTCGAGGCGGCATGGGGATACAAGGTACGCAGGATGTGATGATAGTCACTTCCAGGATGATCTCGGAAGCCCTTCAACTTCCCCACTCGGCTTGCAGGATGGTCTCGTAGCGGGACACGTCCCACTTCGTCAGAGAACCAATGCGCCTTAGTCCGTTTAAAATCGTCCTGTGTTGGTCCTCGTGCGACATCCTTTTCGCGGCAAGCACTAGGGAAGACACCAGGCAGGGATCCCAGCATTCCCGTAGGTCATTATTGAGTGCTATCCCGCAGATCCGACGTGCATGCCACAAGAAGGACGCCGCTGAAGGCTTGAGGTGGCGTGTCAATTGCACTGTGCGAGGCTTATGCCGCAGGAGCAGCAGCATGGCAGTGTGATACATCTGGTTGGCAAAGCCTCCGGCGCCGCTAGTGAATAGTATGGTCGGTAACCCGTCGTCAGAGTCACTTGTCTCGATCAGGGACTGAAACTCCTCAGTGCGAGCCAGATACCAGTCGTTAAGGTCGTCGATGAGTGCCAACCAGGCACCAACCATGTCACCTGGCGTCGCAACGGGAACCTCGCCAAAAGCAAGCGCAAGGGCGCGGATGCAGTAGATCAGCGCTTGCATCGAAGTGGCAAAGACTTCTTGAGCTAGTCGAGATTTATGCCAAGGAGTGGGCATGACACCTAAGTCATACAAGGAGACAGGCAGAGCACGCTCGTCGATAAGGGCAGCTGCTAGTTCTGCGGCACAAGGCATCAGGGGCGAATCCTCGTATTATGTGATCGCATAACAAAGGCACTCACCAATCCGCAGGAGCAATTGGAAACCCAGAGTTCCAACCATGGTCATCGAGCTCTCTAGTCGATATCTGTCCAAGACAGTAGCGAGCGCAGCACCACTGCTACTACTGTCTCTGTAGACCGATCTCGTGCTGCGCAGCACGATACAAAGCAGCTTGACTTGTGAGCTCATGTCGAAACCGTTGCGTAGCACTGAAGTAGTTGAATTCTCTGCCTGAGGAATGATGTGATCATCTGAATGTGAGCTGGCGGCATTGCCAAAATGCTTGTCTTGCGATGCTGAAGACAACGCCACAAGTGCATCTAGCACAATCTTTGAGTGGGATGCCAGTAGAGATACATAGATCCCGAAACCATGGCCAAGGTCAAATAGGTCGAGCTTGAGAATGTGTGGTCAGTCGAGTAACAGTTGGATATGAAGGCAAAGGCAGAGAAACATACCCATGGCGCAACTTCATAACGCCAGTGCTTAAGTAAGACAAGCACACGTTCCTCAGAGACGGTATTGCCGAGTGAGGGCTCCGATACTGCGCCTTTGAGCTCCCCACTCAGTATCAGCTGCTGCAGCCTGTGTTCTCTGTCGATGTCGTCTGGCGTCTGTGGTGAAGGTTTGAATAGAACGGGGCTGTACTGGGCATAGGGTTGTCGTGCCTGGAGAACCGCCGAGCTTCCGTCCACCTCATCTGCGCCAAGCGAGAGCAGGGCATCGAGGGCGTCTTGATAGCGACCGCTGGTGTTTGATTCGAGATCGTGTGTGCCGAATGAAACATTGAATGCTGGATCCGAGAGCTGCTGCTCAATATGACTGAGAGGCGGAGCTTGTGGAGGAGGCATGAGCCGTGAGACCATGCTGTCCTTAGGACTGGAGCCATGTGATGGTTCCGCCAATGAGTTGGCTGGAGGTTGTGCATTGCTCGCTTCATGAGGCAGAGTTTGTGTTGGCATATCCTGAGACTGGCCAGGCTCGATGACGATCTGCATGGGCACCGGCGGGTCTGACCCCGGCAGAGATGAGCTGGCAGAAGCATCGTTGGGACTTGGTGTGCCCGCATTGACGAACTACAAGACAGTGAAGGTTAGCAGAAGACGCAACCCGCCAGTGAGAGACACCTTTTGACCGACCTGGACCTTCCGATAACCTGATCGTGGCGTGGAGCGTGTGGGTGAAGTTGGGTCATCGAGGGTGAAGGAGTTCTTGGCCAGGAAGGAGAGACGCGTGCCGTACTGGCACTCAAACCCGCCAGAGATACATCGTTGGCATTTGGGTTTCCCCTCGTCGCCTGCGGAGGAGGCAGTCAGCTTGATCCTGGCCGATTCCTGCAAGACAGACGTTGGACCTGAAGATGGGGAATGGGCTTGATGGACGTACACTTGCGCCGGCGGACGCGACACTTAAGGCAGCCCGTGCGGACCCGCTTGGTCGCCATGCGGCATCGCCATGCAAGACTGTTTCGGACGTAGTTTCAGCCAGCGACACGCGTTTGTCCGCGCAGTGCTCGAGAAATCAAGAAAGCGGTGGTGATGAATTGGGGAAATGGCGATGTTTGCAGATGGGGGAACTTCTAAGCGCCTTGGCGATCCAGGTCTTCAGGGCCAGCCGGGGGAGGGGCGGTTGTGCCTGCCTGTTTTGCAATGCCCAGCTTCCACCTGCACCTTCCCCGGATCTGCCCCACAGCGCGCTCTTCGACGAGACCTCGGGGCTTCACTACGAGCATCATGTTTCGTGCCTCTTGATGAAGGCATTGGCGCACGTCAGAAGATGCAGTCCTTTTGATCAGGATGGAAGGCTTTTGCATCCGAATCCCGCCGTGTGTCAGCATCGAGCACTCCACATGACTGTGTGTGTCCTACCACCGGTCCAATCCGCGCAAATGCAGTCCAAGCCACCTCCAGGTTTCGGCCCCCGTGCCATTGGAGTAAGCCTATTTTCAGTGTGACATTCCCATTTCCTGCCCATGAATTCCGGGACTGTTGCCGTCGTTCGTTGCAATCTCAATGTCAGACGCCCCCGACTTCCAAAGCGTAATGCGGAGAACTATTTACGGAGAAGGCTCAGCAGCTGACCCTCGACAGCGTCTGGTGGGCTCCTTTCTCCGTATTTCAAGAACACCATCCACTCCCCGTAGCTCGTGGTTCACCATACGCACCGTCCGCGATTCACAAGTCTGCCATGTGGGCGACCTTGGCCAGCTAATCCAGGCATTTCTATCAGTGTCTTCGCCTGCTTACGCTACAGGCTGGGGTTTGATAAAAGCGCTTGCAAAGAGCATGCGGTTACAGGGCAGCAAGATGATGGCCGTGGTTGTATCGTAACGCATGGCATTGAAGAGTGCGAGATTGTCTGACCTGATTGGGCTGGTGGCGCTGTCTGATGCTGGACAAGACTTCAGTGTTGTCTGAACGAGCTGGACCGGGCTCATCGAATGCACGCTGGGGGTTCCTACATGACAGAGCAGTAAACTTGAAGGAACGACGTCAATATCGACAGGCTAGTGGTGTCAGTAGTTATTTTCATGATCGAGCGATATGCCGACTTATTCCAAGGGCCTCCTCGGTCGACCCGCAAGGCCCTGACTCTGACCGGAGTTGCGGGTTTCGGGACGGAATGGGGCTTCGGCCGACAGGGCCCACCCACCCACCGAGAAGCTCGGGCTGTTTCCAGAAATGGTGGTTTGTGGCCTATCCAAAAGATTGGGCGGTGCCGGGTCTAGCAGCTGAAGCGTACTAGCGCCGGAGACATTGTTTAAAGCATGTGGCGGGAGATTGGCTGCGCTCCCAGGCGATAGCTCTCGGCAGCGCCGTAGCTTGCTGAGTCGTGATCGTGGGGTCCTGGATTGGACAAAGGGCAAGAGAGGATACGACACGGGAGAGCCTTCGAGAAACACACAGACGGACGGTTTTTCTGTCCGCAGCGGAGCAAAGCTGGCCCCGACAATAGTCCCAGCTACAGCTGAACTTTGTATCTAGTGTCCGCATCCTTGACGTCACGCAATCGCTCAGGGTCTGATTGGCCGGCCGCCCACGAATCTTCCTTCCATCTTCGGGCCCTGCCGTTCTGCCTCAAAAAAGTAGCAACGGCTTTTCCGCTGGCCCCTCCCCTACTTCATCGCTGCTCAGATCCCCTCCTGACCCGTACTTATTTATACAACTCGCTGCCCCCCTCTGCACCTGTCCAGCGCCCTCAATCCTCGACGCCCGTCCCACTCCGTTCAAGATCAAACACCTGCCGAAATCTTCAACAAACCATCACCATGACGGCCACAGCTGCTCCCAACATGACCGACAAGATGCGCGCCTGGCTCTACACATCGGCGCCCAATGGGCTCGAAAAGGCCCTCTTCCTCTCCGACAATGCCAAAGCGCCACGCATGACGGCACAGGGGCTGGGCAAGTCGGATATTGTTGTCCGCGTCGAAGCCGCCTCGATCAACCCGGCCGACTATAAGCTGCCAGAGATGACGGCCGCCGTCACCCCGCGCTTCCTGGCCTCCTCCTCCTCCGCGTCACTGCCCAAGCCCGACGAGCCCGCCCCCTCTGGCGCAAAGTCCCCCGGTTTCGACTTCGCGGGCACCGTCGCCGCCACCGGTGCCGCCGTCGACACCTTCCGCGTCGGCGAGCGCGTCTTTGGCCGCTGCAAGGTGCCCCCCGCGTTTGGCACCCTCGGCGAGTACGTCGTCGCGAGCTACGACGGCCTCTGCAGGCTCCCCGACAACGTCTCCTTTGAGCAGGGCGCCGCCGTGGGCACCGCCGCTCTCACCGCGTACCAGTGCATCGCCCCATACGTCACCCCGAACTCCAACGGCGCCGGAAAGGTCTTCATCAACGGCGGTAGTGGCGGCACGGGCACCTGGGGCATCCAGATCGCAAAGGCTCTCGGCTGCCACGTCACTACCACCTGCTCGGCTCGGAATGTCGACTTTGTCAGATCCCTCGGCGCCGACGAGGTCATCGACTACACCTCGCAGGACGTCGTCAAGGAGCTCACGGCCAAGGGCAAGGTCTTCAAGCTTGTCGTCGACAACGTCGGCACGCCCGCGAACCTCTACAAGGCCGCCGACGACTTCCTCGTCCCGCAAGAGTCCCACTTTGTCCAGGTCGGCGCCGCCTCGAGCGCCGCGGGCCTCACGAACCTCCTGAGCCGCTCGCTCGTGCCCTCTTTCCTCGGCGGCGGCAAGTCCAAGTTTATCTTCTTCCTCACCAAGAACATCCACGCCGACCTCGAGCAGCTCGCCGCGTGGATGAAGGAGGAAAAAGTCGAGCCCGTGATCGACGAGGTGTTCGAGTGGACCGACGCGCCCGCCGCGTACGCCAAGCTCAAGACCTCCCGCGCCCGCGGCAACATTGTCGTCAAGGGTGCCCCCGCGATCAAGAACTAGACCTTTCAATGACGGACACGACACGACAAGACATGACACGCACTTGCTTTTTTGGAGGGGGATTTCAAGCAAAATATTAAACTTGAACTGCAGGCGGGCTGCGGGCTGTGGGCGATGACACGGTTGGGAGCGGATGCATGAACACGAAATATACAGTATACGACACAGGGATTGCGGCGATTTAATTATTTCAAGGGAAAGCCGGGGAACTCGAGGACGAGTCCAGCCGCGATCACGGGGAAGCAAGAGCGAGACGGAAACAGATGGGCGCGCCTGGGGAGATAATGATACCTACTTGCATTTGCTGTGTTGAGAACTTAGCACACACAATTTTTGAGTTTCAAATCAAACAACCAAACTGTTTGCTTCGGCTTTTCCTTTCCAGATGTGGAAATGATACGCAAGGCACGGCTTGATTTAAGCGTCTGACATCAGCGCCTAGAAATGGGGAAGCCAGCAGCTGCATGGCATGGCATCTGGGGGTGTCCCACCAGCTTGGCATTTCTTGCGTCAACTGTGGGGCACGCACGCGCTTCGCTCACATTCTGTCCCACGTCACATTGCCCTGTGTACGCGCGCCCTCGACCAAGCTGGCCCGGACCGGGTTCATGATGTATGGATCTTAACCTTTCTTTCTTCACTCTATGATTGTATATACACGCACAGACTGTGCGTCTGTGGCTGTGTCTGTGTCTGTCTAACGTCGGCTAGTACTGTGTACAAACTCTCGCCCCGTGTACTGCGATATTAAGGCAATCAGAGCCAAGGACGCATATTACTTTCGTCACCCAGCCATATTACTCCCTTCCCCGCCCTTGACCGACCCTGGCTGTCGGTCATGGCTCCAAAAACGCCAGAGTAGGTCGCAACCTAATGCAAGTTTGTGCGCTTCGCTTGTCGCACTTTGTGTAAGCGAAAAATGCACCACCCCGGTTGCAATGCGGTCTTGAAACAAATCCAAAAGCGGGCGTGGACAGGTGCCGAATATGTCCAGGCACTACCCATATCCTATCACCGTTGACTTGGCCTCCACGGGACTAACGCTTGCCAGCACTCGACCGTTCATGAGCGGCCGGGCTCTTCTGGGTCATGGTAAGGCCAGCCGGCGTAGCTGTCCCACTTGGCGCAGGAGTCGTGCTCCTAGTGGGAGGTTGCGACCGGTTGTGGGCCATGTGCGCCTTGACAAGGTGGCCAGCGGCGAGCGCGCTGCACAGAGACAGCTCACCAGCCAGGACGGCAGCGCCAATGATGCGAGCCAGGCGTCTGGAGTTGTCGCCGGGGTTAGTGGGGTGAGAACCGCGGACGCCGAGCATGTCGAGCATAGCACTCTGAGGCTCCAGGATAGTGCCACCACCAAGTGTGCCAACCTCGATAGAGGGCATGGAGACAGAGATCTGCAGAGATCCGCGAAGGCTAATGGTACTGTTAGTACACGGGTCTCAGGGCAGACTACAGGATTGGCAATGGACTTACTTCTTCATGATGGTGATACAGTTGGCACTCTCTACGACCTGAGCAGGATCCTGGCCAGTGGCAAGGAAGATGGCAGCCACGATATTCGCAGCATGGGCGTTGAAGCCACCCACAGAGGCAGCCATGGCAGATCCAATCAAGTTCTTGGAAATGTTCAGTTCGACCAGGCTGTCAACGTCGCTCTTGAGAACGGCCTTGACAACATCGCCAGGAATAATGGCCTCGGCAACAATGCCCTTGCCACGCCCCTCAATCCAGTTGATCGCAGCGGCCTTCTTGTCGATACAGTAGTTGCCAGAAAGAGAGATGATCTGCATGTCGTCGAATCCGCTTTCGCTAGCCATGACATTCAATGCGTGCTCGACACCCTTGGAAATCATGTTCATGCCCATGGCGTCTCCAGTGGTGGTCTTGAAGCGGATGTAGAGGTTGGTACCAGCGATGGCAGTCTTCATCGACTGCAGACGAGCGAATCGAGAGGTGGAGTTGAAGGCCTTCTTCATGACATTCTGACCGGCCTCGGAGTCGAGCCAGATCTTGGCAGCACCAGCACGCTCGAGGGTCTCGAAGGAAATGCAAGGACCACGAGTCATGCCGTCAGCAGTGAGCACAGTCACGGCACCACCACCAGAGTTGATGGCTTTGCAGCCTCGGCTGGTACTGGCGACCAGGACACCTTCAGTCGTGGCCATAGGAATGAAGTAGCTCTGGCCATCAATGACCAGGGGCCCGGCGACGCCGACAGGGAGAGGCATAAAACCAATGACGTTCTCGCAGCAGGCTCCGAGCACCTGTTCCCAGTTGTAGTTCTGGTACGGCAGCTTCGAGCGGTCGAGCAAGCGGGTGAGGTCGGCCGTGGCCTTCGTCTTCGAAATGATCTCACGACGAACCTTGACGGCACGGGTGCAGTCCTTCAGGCTCTTCTCGAGGGCGTAGCCGGGGATCTTGCCCTTCAGAGACAGGGCGACGACCTCGTCGTCAGACATCTCGTGGATACGCTTCTCGGCCAGCATCTTCTCCAGTTCGCCAGGAGCACGGGGAGTTCCGTTGGGAGCGGCAGGTTCAAGAACGGCGACAGTACCTTCGTCGTCCGTTTCCGCAGGTGTTGGGGGCATAGTCCGTCTGGGCGTGGGAATGTCACCAGTGATCGGGAGAGAAGCAGCTTGAGTATCATTGAATCTCTCCGCGGCGGCCAGCTCCTTACGGTCAATGGGCTGGTAGGGGACGTTGGGATCCTTTATGCCCCAGCGAGCGACATTGAAGAGGTAACCGTTGAGGGCGACACTCATGGCCAGAGCAACCACGATCCACTTGGAGAGAATGGGGTCCTCAAGGCTCTTGAGAAGACTGCCAACCATGCGTCCGCCGACGCCGTAGTCCTCGAGAGGTGCGTAAGGGTTCTCTGGGCCGGCACCGGCAGCAGAGGAGCTGGCGGGCACCGCGTAGTGGATCGAAGGGTACTCGAGCTCGTACTTGATCGGTGAGAGAATGGTCACGACCGTGGGTTTGCTGTGGCTCCTAGCGGTGAAAAGGATCTCGTCAAGACCGTTCGAGGCAACCTTGAAGGGATCCAAGGGAGGGGCATTGACGACAGCGCCAAGGCCGCCAGCCCAGGAGCTGACGCTACCGAAAGAGTGGCTGTCAGAAGCCCGGAAAGGGATGGTGCAAATGTTGACCGCGTTGATGGCGAAGAAACCAACAACCATCCAGAACTTGAACTTGGGCACACTGGAGCTTCGGGCGTTCTCGCCAAAGAGCCGCTCAGTCACAACGTCCTTGGAACCCTGGCGAGGCCAGTCGTTGCTCTTGGCGACGTTCTCGGCAACACGCTTGCTCACACCGTCGTCCTCGAGTGCTCTGCGCATCTCAACGTGGCGCTTGATGCGGTTGATCTCGAGCTTGATACACAAGATTGCCATGTAGAAGGTGAAGAGCAGGAGGCAGTCAAAAAACAGGATCCAGGCGGCCAAGAAGCAAAACTGCTGAAGACCACCTTGGACGCCAGATGCAGCACCCACAATCAGAATGAGGATCTCGAGAGCGTAGTCGCGAACAATCTCAAAACCAACGTCCTTGATGGCCTGCTGGACAGCGTACTGGATCATGTTGTTGGTAGCGTAACTGGCGGGCTTCTTGGAATTCTTGTCCTCAGGACGCCGGTGCTCAATGGCGTGCGACAGGACAGCCTTGGTGAGGACAATGTTCTTCTCAAAGCCAACAGTGACAACCAGGAAAGGAAGGCCCTCTGACAGGAGAACAACAGAAATGGGGACACCAAGTTTGTGGGTGACGTTGAGGCCAAAGAGGAAGGCAAAGGTAGACGAGATGAGGACGGTCGTGGCCAGCCAGACATTGGAGCCCATCTTGCGCATGGACAAGAAAAGGGACACAAAGGTCAAGTGCATGGAGAGATAGCCAAGCACCATGATGATGATGTCCAGGGTCTCGGCGTTCTTGAGCAGATCGAGAAACTCGACCCAGGCGTTTTGGACCCAACGAACAAGGCTGGTGCTGGTGTCGCCCCTGGCCACCTTCATGATCCACATCTTGTGTTCTTTCTTGCCGGCCTCGGTCACGCGAGACTGGGCGGTAGGGTCATCGTTGGGGATCTCGAGCGTGGCAGTGAGAAATTCGGAGGCCTGGCTGTAAGGGACGGAGAAGGCGAGCGAGCTGTCCTGCGAATATGCGGAGAGGCTGTTGGAGGTCGACGGCAGGTGGGAGACGGTGAGGTTCTCGGGAAGAGGCACGATGTGCGAACCGGGGGCGTTCAATGGCCCGTCTTCGGAGGATTCGGGGAAGACAAAGGTGACGAGGGCCAGGTGGTCGGTATCCTTGGCGATGCCGGCGGTGTCGTCGAGAGCCTGCCACTTCCAAGACGTCTCGGGGCCAACGTGAAGGGTGCGGCTGCCCTCGGTGAGAGAAGACCACTCAGCCTTGCGGGCATTGCGAGTGAGGTCGAGCAGACTCTCCTTCATGACACCGACGTAGGTGGTGCTGGCAATGAGGGAGACGAGGCATATCGTGTGGATTGGGTGGGAGCAGGCGAGCTTGGCGACGGCGTGGAGGAAAGGGGTGACCTTCTTGTTGACGTTCGAGGGCGGCTGGCGCTCGCCAGAAGGCTGCTCACCGCGGAAGCGGGAGGGCAGGAAGGACGAGGCTATCATTGCGGTTCTGGCAGTGCTGGGACGGTGTTGCGGCTAGTTGAGAGAGCGAGGCATTGGCGGGCGCTGGTGGACGAGGACCGACACGCGAGAGGTTCGTGTGGACGGGGTGGCGGATGGTCCAGAAGCAGTGCTCGGACAAGGAAATGCACGTTGAGGTGCAAGAGCAGGTGGGTGGCGAGCCTCGAGGGGATCCGACTCGGCTCGTCCTTGTGGTTGAGGAAGCTGGGGAAGGCGAGGGATCGTGCGAGAGGGTCGGGCGTCGAGGCGGAAGGCGGTGATGGAGGTTGGACGAAATCGCACACTTTTGTCCCAGGGAATTGCTTGGGCCCGCGCACGGCGGGCCGACAGGGGGGGTGTACCTCACGGTACTTTGCCTACCTTGGAAATTGCCCGCTGCCGTCGAAAGTTCGCAGGTACCTGAGTACCTGGGGACGCGGACGAGGTGCGGACGGCGCCAGCTTCTTTGCCTTGCTTGCTTGCCTCCCCCCTTCCAAGGTTTCCCCAGGCCGGTGGCAGAGCCTAACCACCCTCCACTACAGGCTTTCTTGAAGTCATCAGCTCCAACTTGTGTGACGATTACATGTACACTGGGTTTTTTCACCTGGCCAAGCCGGCACCCGCTCAGTACGACTTCTAACCCACTCCAGGCAATGGACCCCCCCGAAGCATCGCAGCCGACACGTGGCCTAGGAGTCTTCATGTTGGTAGCAGCCTAGCCTGAGTAGGCTCACGTTGAGCCGCCAACAGACACCCCGCGGCCGTGGTCCACGACCTTGGGAGCGATGCGAGTCTGAAGTACTGCCAAGTACCTGCGTGCCGATCCCCTAGCTTTGGCATCGCGTGGGGCTCGGCCGGTGAGTTTCTCCTTTCAACCAAGACACACCACACCCCTGCGACTTTGAACTCCGACTGTGCGTGCTCATAAGAGACAGGTTCCGCTGCCTGCCTGACAGCCATCGCCTGCTCCTCAACTCCGCTACCCAGAGGCTGAAGTTGTGTCGGATGTCGAGTGGTCGAGCCTTTCGTTGGTGGGAGCGAGCCTGGACGCAACGCGAGAAGCAAACTGTCACCGGGAGCATCATCCCGCCGTTGGGCGGCCCCCTTTCCAGCACAAACAAGCCTGCAAGATTGCAAGATCCACTGGGCCATCCCTCTTCTGGCAGCCGAGCCCACCATCCCAGCGGCCGGGCTTGCGCTGCCTTCGAGAAGGCACGAAACAGGCACAGGGCCGCCTGCAGCTGCAGCCATCAGTCAGGAGCGGTCAGGTCAGAGGGAACCGATAGCCTACAGACAGGACCGATCGTCCTCCTCCGTTGCCGGCACCTCTGCACTAGACGTCAATGGCGCCACATGACGATCCCGCCAGCCAAGCCACGCTGCTCCAAGGCGCCGCTCGCGTACTTGGGCGGCCTTGTTGGGGTCTGCAACAGCTGATAAGCGCCATGATCGAGTTTACTGCGTGGGTGCTCGCAGGCGCCCGGGCGAGGTCGTCTGAGCAGTCGTGCAGCATGCGCATGTCTCGTCCTCGTTGTCTTTCTGTGTCTGACTCGCAGCTCAGGAGCGGTAATCGCTGGCGATGGACCCTCGCTGCATCATGCAAGGCGGCCTTGGTGCCAACCACACACCAGCCGGTTGTCACCACAAGGATCCTCCGCGGGGTGTGGGATGGTGGTGGCAGGTCTGCTTTATCGTGGACCAGGATCCTTGCATGACAAATACCACCAGCGTCCTGCCATTGTGGTAGTAGAGCGCAGCTGTCAAAAGGCGCCCTGGTTAATGCAACAGTGCTATCTATGCAGCGACAAGCATACGATGTGGCCATGGAAGCCCGAAATCCGCTCTCCCTTGCGGGGATGTATTCCGGGCGTGTCAGGCCCCAGGCATTTTGCTGTCGACCCCACCAGCCAGGACAGGCAAGTTCTGTCAGTGACAGATAGCAGACGTTGAACTCTGTCAGCAATAGGCATTGACTAGACCAGACGACCCGCATTCCATAAACATTGCTGGCTGCCTATTTGCTTGCTACTTCCTGGACAGATGCTGCATTAGGGCTTTCAGTCTCCGCTGTCCAAGCGCCTGCAGCTGCAGTCCATGAGCATTTCGGGTTTGGTTGGAGGATCCGCCCACTTTCAAGATGAGCCTCGTTGCCATGCACAAGGGGGGCAGCGGGTTTGAGCGCGACCAGAGGAGCAAGACACTTCTGCCTGAGCCAGAACATCGGGTAACGAGAAGCTACGAGGCGAGTTGATGAGCTGGCTCCACGTTGCAGGTAACAAGTTTTTCTGGTCCCAATGAGAAGCACTGTGGCAGGACTGAGCAGCACAAGTGACCAACCTTAATCCGACGTATGACCAAGGATATACTTTTTGTCTTGCGTAACAGAGCACAGCCTCGATGATGGTCTGCACGTGGTCTTGCTCACCTCTTCCGAACATCCTTACGCTATTGAGACAATGAGGGGGGGGGGGGAATGAATAGACTTGTTCGGGTTATTCTCACTTTGTGGTGGACAATGCGGGTTCTTGAAAATGGTGAATCGAGTGCCGTATTGTATTGGCCATGTTTGGTCATGGATCAATTTTGCCATCAAGATGCGCGTGTAATCTGCATGTCATTGGTCTGTTGCTTAAAGCTTATTTTCTCTCTCTTTTTCTTTTTTTCTTTTCCTCAAAAAGAATTTAAAATTTTATTTCCCATTAATTTCTTGTCCATGTTCTAGAGTTCATCTCCACTCATTTGCTCCGGAGTACTTTTCTTAACATGCAAGTGTCGAATCGTTATAGAGAAGATCTTTATCGTCCAGTTCGGTCTGAAAGGGGTTTGCTCACGATGTTCATGGGAGTGAAACTATATCAAACCCCCCTTCTGCTCCCCAAAGGGAGGGGGAAAAGGAGGAAAATCCTAGCAATTGAGTCCTTCGCCACACTTGAGCCGTAGAGACTCGAATCCTTTCTGTCTGAGCTGTCTCTCTAGCCGAACTGGAAGCTCTCCAGAGGATCAAGATTGCGGAGAAAGTCGCGGGAAGCTTTTGCATATGCTTGTGGGTTGTCACATGTTTGCTTCTGAGAATGATGTCCGCGCTGTTCATCTAATTTCGCGCGATTCCATTTTGTCAAGAAGTGGTCAAAAAATCCAAGCCGCCGTGGTAGGTAGACTTCGAGGTTCTCGTTGCGAGATGCTGTGGTAGGCGGAATCATGTATTCTGCGGTATTGGTGCAAACCACGGTATCCGTCCGTGTTTTATGGGCATCCTGTTGCACGGCCCTGCCGTAATTATCGGGTTGATCTGGCGAATCTGGTGCAATTGGCGTCGCACCGACCCATTGGATGTTTTGTCACGATGCGCCGACAGGAAACGCGAACTCAAGATATACCGAAATTCGTGTTCATATCTTGTGAAGTAAAGTATCTGGGTATCATCATTCGTCCCGTATGCTGGTTCTCCAACCTTCTCATACTCTCCAACGTCTTTCTCCTGGTCCATCCTAGCAACCATGCGTCGACTCTCTTCTCGTTTTTTCGACCCTGTATTAATGTTCAATCACATGTAAAACTCAAATTCACGACGACAGAACCCTCAGGACCTCCTGGTCACCCATCCCGACCAGCCCCACCCCTTTCGCCTGGAGCTCCTTCTTACCTTCCCTGTCCCACGCCTCCGCATCGACAGCCCTCGTCGCGTCCTCGACGACATACGTCACGTAGCCGAGCTTCGCGGCATCCACGGCCGCGCTCTGGACGCAGTAATCCGCAGCCAGGCCGACGACGTAGGCGTGCGTGATGTCATGAGAGGCAAGCAGATCCGCGAGGCCAGAGTCACACACCCTGCGCTGTCCTTGTCCTCGTCCCTGTCCTCCAGTGGCGGCGGGGAGGGGAGTGAACGGGTCGAAGAAGGGGCTGTACATCTCGACGCGCGGGTCCATGCCCTTGTCGACCACCTTGTCCAGCTTTGCGGCGTCGAGCTCCGGGATCAGCTCCGCGCCGGGGGTGTTTTGGACGCAGTGGACCGGCCATAGACGGGACTCTACCGCCTCGTGTTCTTCTTCTTCTCCCTCCTGGGCAGCCGCTTGGAGAGGGTTCACGACGCGCACCGTGTCGACAAATGGTTGTTTGCCGGCATGGTTGGCCGCAAAGGAGATGTGGTTCTCGGGGTGCCAGTCGCGCGTGGCCACGCGCAGAGCGAACGCGGGGGAGGCGAGGAGCTTGTTGATTGCTGGTGCGATGGCCCGGCCGCCGGGGACGGCGAGGGAGCCTGTGGGCGGGCAGAAGTCCTCTTGTAAGTCGACGACCAGCAGGGCCGGGCGGAAGGGGGCCCCGTGGCCGTCATCATCATCTGCAGCAGCTGCAGCTGCTGCCGCCATTGCTGCTCTCTGCTGAGCCAGGCCGCGGATTGAGATATGCGGCGACGTTTGATGGGGCGGGCAGTTGTCCTTGGGGGTTTGTTCCCTGGTTCACAGTGACGGATGGTGCAGGTTGTTATGTCAGCGGGCTGACCTGGTGGTGATAGCGATGTCCAGACTTAGCGCACAGGCAAGATCCACGTGTTGGACGGGCCTGGGTGGTGCATGTGGTTGACGGCCAGTGCTTACTTTGATCGTGAGTCGCAGGGCCGACGTCCGCTGTGGTGCCTTCAATGTGGGCCAGGCACAAGACTTGGGGACAAGATGCAGTCGTCACCTTGCTGACATAAACCGGCTGGTCTCAACTTAATGCACGCCTTAGGTAGTTCCAGCGTCCACCTACAGAGATCTGTGACGAGCAATGCATCGACTCTGTACTGCCGGGACGGATAGATCCATTGCCTAATAAAGTGTAGGCCTTCCCGTTCTCCCCGCCACACCGGGATTCCAGCAGCAGCAGCAGTAGTGGATGGCTTGATTTCATGTCCCCGGACTCGGCAGCGAATTACCATCACCACAAGCCGGGGGCAGCGGAAACCCCGCACTCGGCTCTTACTAGCGCGCCCTAGCGCGGGTGAGATCCTCGGTCGGTTGGAGATGCGGAACTGCAACCTCGAACCTCCTCCCGCCAGCTCGAGCTAGAGCTTGTCTCAGTACAGTAGCACAGCCGGCTGTTGCACCTGCCTCGTTGCCGCTTGAGCACACCCGGCCGCCCTGGCCATCGCCAATGGCCTCCCGCTTGGCCGGCACTTGCCGGCACGCACCTACACTACTTATGTGGACAAGTACTCAGCACTGTCTCGTCCTGGGACGAGGCGCCATCTTGCTCGTTTGCAACAAGTAATTACAGTTCCATCTTTGCGATACCCACGAGATACCCACAGTCCGCGACCATGGCTCCCGTCTACAGCCGCCCGTGGAAGTCGTACCCGCCGCTGAGCATCGCGTACCGGCTCTATAACCTGCTGTGCCTGGCCGGCAAGCTGCCCTTCCTGCTCGTCCTCTACGCCCTCTCCCGCTCTGCCCGCCCGCACCCCACGTTCTCTGTCCAGACGAGCATCGCCATCCGCCTCCTCTACGGCGTCATCGACGGCTCCGCCCGCACCGAGCAGCCCGTCCCGCTCTCCCTCGAGCCCGGCAAGGAGAAGGACCGCTTCAAGGTCTGCGAGCCCTACCCAAGCAGCCTCTACGTCGGGCCTCTGGCTGCCGTGCCCCAGGTCCGTCCAGCCAAGGTCGGCGGCACCTGGTTCCCCAACCTCCAGGTTGTCACCGCCAAGCCCACGTCCACCACCGTCCTCTACCATATCCATGGCGGCGCCTGGATCCTCGGCGACGGCCGCACCGAGCAGGTCGGCGCCGCCGCAGAGGCAATGATCAAGCATGCCGGCGTCGACGCCGTCTTCTCCCTCCAGTACCGCCTCGCCGCCCGGCCCGGCGCCCACCCCTTTCCGGCCGCCCTCCAGGACGTCCTGACCGGCTACCTCTACCTCACCCGCACCCTCGCCATCCCCGCCCACAACATCGTCCTCTCGGGCGACTCGGCCGGCGGCAACCTCGCCATCGCCTTCCTGCGCTACCTCGCCAACCACGGGGACCAGACGTCCCTCCCCAACCCCCGTGCCGCCCTGCTCTTCTCCCCCTGGATCTCCCCCGTCGACAACACCACCCCGCACGGCGACCTCTCCGTGACCACCAACCCAAACTTCAACACCGACTACCTCCCGCCCGCCTTCATCCGCTGGGGCGCCCTCGCCTACTCCGCCCACGTCCCCGCCTCGGACCCGTACATCACCCACCGGGGTCACCCCTTCCGCCTCCCCGTCCCGACCTGGGTCGTCTACGGCACCCTCGAGCTCCTCGAGATCGACGGCACCGCCTGGGTCAAGGAGATGCAGGCCGCGTACCCGGACGACGAGGAGAACAGCTACAACAACAGCGGCCTTGAGGTCTACTACGAGGAGAACGCGCCCCACGACACGCTGCTCCTCGGCGTCATGCTGGGTATGCAGGACAGCTTTAGAAAGGTCGCCATCGACGCGGGGCGGTTTCTCAAGGAGCATCCGGCCAAGACTTGAAAAGGTTTGGAGGGATGTTTTGGTCTCTATACCTTGTCTCTTCCTTTTCTCTCTCTTCCCACTCTCTTTCTCTCTCTCGCTGCAGCAGCTGAGTCCTTTGGGAAAAGCTTTGGTCCGCGCGTGCCGAGATGAAAAAAACATGATTTCTTGTTGCGATTCTGGGGTGAACGTTGAGGCCGTCACAATTTTGGGTGGTGGTTTTGGGGGGGGGGGGCGAAACCGACAGAGCAGCACTAGAACGAAAGAATCGGGAAAGCAGATGATTTCCTGCACGCCGTATAAACGGCTATTCGGTCTGCGCACTCGTATGACTCGTTATGTCTTTGGGAAAGCCTATTCAGAGAAGGGGTTGTATTCAAATAGTAACGACAAAGGTGTATGCGAAGCGTGTTATATACGTGCTCAGTGCCGTCATCACAAGTGATCAAGGCTGGCCAGTCACCCAGGAGTTTTCATAACAAGTCTTCATGTGTGTGCTTATTAGCCGACGCCAATGCCTCCGTAATCATTCGAGACAAAAGGTTGCGCATGGTTGTCAAAAAGACCCAGCATCCAACCTCCCTTCAATACCCATAGAAACAGAGCGGGGGCAAATGGTGGATGTATTGCTCAAGACAAAGAAAGACTAATGTGGTATATTGCGATCGCCCGAAATCAGGCTTGATGTATGACTCGTCTCGCAGATGGCGTCATGCTTGTGACGCCTCGCTGATTTTGAAGCGTCCTTGGTATTGATGTCTCTGTGCGTGCGTAATGTGCTCTCGTCACATCCCTACGGCTGTGCGCGTGCAGGTTGTAATCCAAAATCCAAAATCCATGTTCCCAACGCCGCGCTTTGTGCCCTTCCTTGACCAATTTGACAACCTCCCACCGACCCCGGAGCCTGCTCTTTCCTCACTTCATCAGTGGTACCTGTCTCTTCGGCTGGATCTCCTTGACCCGTACCGTGCTTGATCGCATCTCGTAGGCCTTGCTCACGGCATTGTACCATATCTTGACCTCGCACGTGATGTAGGCATGGGGCGCCTCAAAGCTGACAAGCCCCGTGATGGCTATACTTCCAGGCTGCGGAAGGCACGTCTGCTTCGGCTTCCAGTGCAGGCCCAGGCTCTGCTTGAACTTCTGCCACGGCCCGCTGGTATGTTCCTGCGTCACCTTGATCAGGTATAAGTCCTTGGCGCTGAGCATCTTGTCGCTGAGCGCGCTCGGGTCGGACGGCAGTGGCCGGTCCACACTCGCTGTTGTGGGTTCCGTCGACTTCTCGCGGGAGGCGGAACTCGTGTTGCTGGGCAGGCCGCCGTTGGCTGTGCCTTCCGGCTTGGACCCCGGTGTTGGCGGGAAGTTTGGCGAGGAAAATGTCTTGGAGCTGGCAATCTCCTTCAGTTTGCGGTCGACTTGCTCGACGGCCAGGCTGACATTCGAGCTCGACAGGCCCGACTGCTCGATCCCGAGGAGCCGCGCCGCTGAGTCCATGTTCTGCTTGACGAGGGCGCCCGAAAACGTCCACAGCGACACGGCCAGAGCGGACGGCCAGAGGGCTTGCATGATCCGGGTCTGCACCCATGGATGTACTGGCTTCTCGGTGATCGAGATGGTGGCGTCATCAACCACGATATTCTTGCGCATGAAGACCGACGGCGGTCGGTTGGGGTAGTTGAACGTCAGCATCTTGCGAGACACGCGCATCTCCTTGCCAAGGCGGTTCGTGAGGAACGTCGAGTTCTGGAGCAGGCGCTGTACAACATTGCAGACGTCATCTGAGAGGGCACGGGTGTTAGTACAGGATGCCCAAAAGCGCATGGGTCTTAGGGGCTTCCCCAAAACTCACTTTCTATCTTTGCGCGCAGTTCGTTGTCCTTGCTGAGTTTGACGAACGCTTTCCACTCTGGACTGTTGCCCGCGTACGGCGGCTGCTTGACCATCCTCGTGGTGAAAGGTAGTGGTATCGATAGTATATCTTCTGTGTTCTTGACCTTGCGACCATTCTTGTCAACGCCTGCCAGTTCCCTCCGCTCCTCGGCACTCATGCTGGCCAGCTCGTCATCGAGGAATTTGTCGAGAGGTCCCCAGATGGCCCCTTTGTAGATGTGGTAGCAGAAGAAGACCATGAGGCCGGCGCCGGCGACGTTCCATGGCCTAAAGACTTTGCGCTTGAATCTGACGTGCTGTATCCGGACGACTGAAGGGTCTGCCACGGGCTCTGCAGCACCACCGTTGACCTGTCGACCAAGGGTGAAGACATTGCGCCGTGACCGGAGCATCCGCAGGACCCGGGACATGGTTGAGGAAAGAGGCCGAGCCTCAAGAGGCCGTGTCGAGCGACTTTGAGCAGGCAGAGATGCACCAAGGATTTGTGGGTTGGGCTGTCGGGGATCGTGGTGTTTCGGTCGCAGCCGCTGGTGAAGGCGACCTCGGATGGGCTCGAGGGCGGGGCTATGGCCGGCTCGACAGAGGGACGACTTGGGCTTGTCGACGCAACGACGAGAAGCGGGGTTTTGCGAATCAAGATGTAGGCCGATACTTGTTTCGATCGGAGGAGATGAAGCCCGTCTGCCGTGGCGGTTATGTTCTGGGGGGCGAAAATAGACGAGTGCGGGATCTGGTGAAATAGGCTCAGATGTCAGGGTCACGCAAGCAAACACGGCCTCCGGAACAAAGGCAGCCTGCAGCCGTCGCCAGGCTAAACCTGGAAGAGCATGACAGCAGAGGGCAGACTGTGTGAGACGCACAGTCTGAAGTGGTGCAGCCTCTGCCCACGACTACCGTGTGCCATCAGACAGGCACTAAGCACAGTGCAGAGAGCGCTTAACCAAGGCACAGAACAGTCTCCACACGGCCATCATCCCAAGCAATACGTAACGGCGCATGCATGCACGACCTTCCGTGCGCCCCTGCCTGCTCCTCCAGCTTGAAGCCTTCGACTGCTATCATTGCTGCCACTCCTCCACAGCTCAGCTCCCAGGCAGCGCAATTCCATCCATCGACGTGCCTGCCTCGCGTGTTGCCGCCACCACGACCTCCAGCATCGCAGGACGATCATACCCGACACGATGAGGCTCAACGGCTTTCTTGCATCGACGCTTGTCAGCATCGCTGCTGCAGCCACTGCCGACCAGCAGCCCTCCGAGGCCTACATCCTTCGCAGCAAGCTTCCCGCTGCCGACGATGCCGCCTCATTACCGCACGAGCTCGCCGAGGCCGTACTCCTCCAGCGCCTGAGCACTCCAGACCGTTCCTATCCCCTCGGCAGCCTCCCCGAGTCTGTCAAACCAGACCACGCCCTCGCCATGATCAGCCAGCTCGGCAAGCCCTCACTGCCTCTCTTCCAGCAGACCGAGCGTGTCCAGCCGCACCAGCTCATCATCGAGTTCTCTGGCGTGACCACTGATATCTACAAGACAATCAAGGCCGCCATCCCCCGCGTGCCTCTCGCCTTCACATCGGACCAAGTCGTCTACCTGCGAGCGCCTGCCAACACCAAGAAGTGCGCATTTGGACCTTCAATTAGCACCAGCCGGACCGAGTGCTGGGATGGTACAACACAGTACCTGCGCTACGATGTGACCAAGGTTTGTCGCCCTCGTACTTTTCCATTCGCATGGCCTAGAGAATCATGACCGTCAAACAGCAGCTAATATCACGTTCGCGATTCCGTTTCCAGGACTCCAATGTCATCAAGCAGCTCGCCATCAATCTGGCGCACATCAAGAGCGCCGCTCTCGATGGTCGTATGGAGACGATCTTCCTCATCAACGGCCCCGACTCAGCCCATGCACGTCGCCACGAGGAGAAGCCCATGACCGAGGCAGCCTACACCTTCGACCCCGCGAACCCTGGCTCGACCGGCGTCTCCATTGTCGGCGTGGACAGTCCCGCTCCTGTCGAGGGCATCTCCTTCGCCGCGCCCACCGGCGTCATTCCCCCGTGCTTCAAGAGCGAGGAGGCTTGCAACAAGGGAACCAACAACTGCACTGGCCACGGCAAGTGCGCGCCCAAGTACTCGGGTGAGTCTGCTTGCTTCCACTGCAAGTGTCTGCACACGCGCGAGACCAACTCGGCTGGTACGGAGAGCCTCTACCGCTGGGGCGGCTCCGCTTGCCAAAAGATCGATGTCAGCACGCCGTTCTGGCTCTTTGCAGGCGTGGGCATCGCCCTGGCCGTGACTATCGGCTTTTGTATCACTCTGCTTTACAACGTCGGCGAGGAGAAGCTTCCTGGTGTCATTGGCGCCGGTGTGGCTCGTGGCTCAAAATAAGGGCTCATGAGGGAAAGGATCATTGGTCGGGCATCGCCTAGAAAGCTTGAGGATGCCCGATACATGTAGCTCACCAATGCTGGTCTCATTGTATCATATTTGGTTTAATGTTGTCAAGAGGGAAGAATTGCATCCGCGGTGATGCTTACAGCTTTTTGTCTTTTTTAGCACACGCAATCCAAGGTGAATAGAATGGCTAGCGTCTGTCACTATATAGTCGACTGTTCTTCACAGGGTATCATCGTCGCTCGTCTTCTATGCTTTCTATGCCATGAAATATGCAGTCAACCCCAGCCCAGGGAAACGAGAAAGGACCTAAATCTCCATGTCCACTGGCGGCTGCCTTGTCGGCGTTGTGCCCAAGCTATCAAGGCCCCTTGCGCCACTCATAGGTGTATTCCCACCTCGAGCTCTCTCGAGTAGCGACTGTGCAGCCGCGATGCCACCAACAGCACTTCCACTTCTTGCCTGGTCTCCCGTGACACCATCTGGACCACCGCTGCCGCTGGCATCTGGGGCGGATTCAGTCCCAGCCGAAGGCGCAGTCAGCGCGCGATATCTCTCACCAGCCTCGTTCAGCAGCCGTTGCACCTCTGGCTCTCTGGCGAGGACACTGTTCCGCTCGGCGCGCAGCTCGTCGATCCTGGCGCGCATGCGTTGCAGCTCGGCCTCCTTGCGCGCCATCTTGGCCTTGAAGTCGGCCACAAGCACGCTCAGATCCGGCAGCGGCGTAATCTTTGGCGGCGGGAGCTGATGCTGCTTCTGTGCGGCGCTCGTCTCTGCCCGTTTCAACCCGTCCATGCCCGCGCGGGTCTGCGCCTTCTCGTACGCCGCGCGGCGCTCGGCCTCGCTGTCGTCCGACTCGTCTTCGTCAACATCGTCGCCGATGCCGCCGCCCCCCTCGGCGGTCTGGATCATGGACGCCATCTCGGCGCGCTGCTTGCGCCGGGCCTCGCGCTCGGCCTTGCGGCCCAGAGACAGCCCGCCGTCCTCGACGAACTCGTCGAAGCCTTCGCCGATGTCTTCGTCCTCTGCGCGCAGGCGGGATTCCTTCTTTCTCGACGACGACGAGGAGTGGCCGGACTGCCGGGACAGGACGGTCAGGTAGGACTCCCCTGTGCCCCGGCGGGTGGCACTACCGGTATTGTTGTCGTCATCAGACAGGGAGATGAAATCGTCGCCTGCTGTCCCGGATTGTTTCGCGAGGCGCGCCCGTCGCTCCTTCTTCTCGCGGATCTCGGCTTCTGAGAGGACTGTTGTCGCCTGTGACATTCCCGGGGCCCCGGCCGACGCTGCCCTTGCTGATCCCGCGGGCTCGGTGTCCACGATCATGGCGCCCTCGAGCTCCGACGGGTCCAGGGACATCTCGTCGTCCGATCCGGACACGTGTAGAGTTTTGATGTTTTGCGGCGTGTTGGGAGTCGAGTTCTGCAGCTCAGAGAGATACTCCTTGCTGTAGCGCGGCCTGCCGTCGTCGTGGTCGTCGCCGCTGTCCGCGGACCGCATGGCGAGCCGGTTGAGGCCAGGCAGCAGGTTGTTCCTCGCCATGCTCTTCTTGATCGCGCTGTTCTCAGACGCTGCCTGGAGTAAGTTCGAGGACGGCTTCTTTGGCGTAAATGTCGATTCTCCGAGTAATATCGAGTCCCCGTCCCCTTCCTCACCATCACCAGCACCCAAGGCGCTCGGGCCGAAAGACAGCCGGGAAGACGAAGTCCTGCCCTTCTTGGACTTCGTAGACCCGGACCGCCCCAGCGGCGGCCGCCTAATGACCGGCGAGCCTGTGTCTTCCTCCTCCTCGTCTAGCGCATTGCCCGTTTCCGCCGCCGCCGCTGCTGCGCTTCCTGCCACCGACCCGCCCTCATTGACGTTTATGCTCCTGCGCAGCGACGACTGCTTGAACGGTTTCCGCGACTTGAATGTCGCTTGCAGTAGTGGCGGTTCTTGTTCCGGCTCGGACGCTGTGGGCGGCGAGGCCAGGCCGCTGGACAGGGTGCTGTTGTCGTCATCGTCGTCTTCTTGGACCGTGATCTTGCGCGCCTTGCGCTTCGCGCCGAACGAGCTCATGCTGCAGTCGCTCCCTCTTTGTGTGCGCACCCGGAAGGACAGTTCGGGGGTTGTATGTTGTGTGGGAAGGGGATTGTTGGCCTGGCGTAGGCAAACCTCGTGCTCGGGTGTGTATGCTTGGTGGTGAACGACGAAGGCAATTACAGTTTTGGAGTGTCGATTCTCGGCGCAAGGTCTGGATGAATTTGATGACCACTTCGCAGCAGCGATTCCTTCGCCAAGCCGTAATCGATCTCTCTGGCGGTCTTTTCACAATCTGGACGAATTCGGTCGCTCGCGACGTCGCGATGCTCGCCGTCAAGGCGCCGCTGCCGCTGCCTACAGAAGCTCTTATCGATAAGACCAAAACCACGACATCGAGGCCCTGCCGGCGCCCGCACGCCGCCGCCTTCAGCAGCCCGCCTTTTGAACCATCGCGAAACACACGGGCACTTCTCACAAGCACGCTCAGCCCAGTTCCCAAACGACCGATTACCCAGCTCAGTCCCATTCGTCGTGCTACTGGACCTCACGTTCATTCGTTCGACCGTATCTCTGCGATCCTACCGACACAAATCTCGAGACTGTACGCTTGCAGCCTTAGACGGTCGTCTTCTCTCGCCTTTGCCCGTGCTCCTGCTTCCACGACCTGCATCAGGAAGCGCAATTGTCTCCTTGCGGGCCTCCTGCCAGTAGATCTTCACAGCCGCAGCCATGCCTCAGGCGCAACCAGAGCTCAAGAAGGTACGCCACTCCCTGCCCCGGGTCGACACGGCCCAGCTTTCCTCGCCGAGAATCCCCCATAAAGGACACAGGTGCTAACATGATTCCTTCTTGTGTGTGTTTTAGTACCTCGACAAGCGGCTATTCGTCCAGCTGAACGGCAGCCGCAAGGTCATTGGCGTCCTGCGCGGATACGATGTACGATAAAGAGCCCCTTCTCAAGTCCTTTCCCTTTCCTGCTTTTCCACCACGATCGGCTACTGCATTTCAAACAAAGCGGGGGGATTGAGCGGCTCATGATGGGGGAGCGCGCGTGCGCGCGCGTCGGCGGTTTACCTGCGCACGCACGGTCTCGCCTTGGGCTGCTGTTCCCGTGGACTTTTGCCCGGAGCCCCCCAGCCTTGTTCTGTCCCTTGCAGAATCACCGTCATGCGAATAGGCAACATGAAAGAGAGCCTGTCTTTTGCTAACCTGCACCCCTGCCTCTCCTGTTAGGTCTTCCTGAACATCGTCCTGGACAATGCCGTCGAGGAGAAGGACAATGGCGACAAGGAGACGCTGGGCATGGTGGTGATCCGCGGTAACTCGGTCGTCATGCTCGAGGCGCTCGAGCGGATCGGCGGAGACCGGGATAAATGAGCTGTCTTTGTCTTGTCTGTCTTGACGCGCGCGCGTGTGTGTGTTGGTTATACAGCATGGGTTGGAGGTCCTATGATACCTGTGTCTGGGCATGTGAGAGGGATTGTCATAACGGACGGCGCGGATTGGGTTTTTGTCAGGTCGACGCAAACACGGCGTATGTTGCACGACGACGACGACGATTCTATTGGGGACCAGAACGTCTCTGTCGACACCGGGAGACGTGTCATTCTGGCAGGAACCGCAAGGCTCGAGCCCCGGATCTGACATGGGCAGCAAGCTCTCTTCGCTAGGCGGACTGCAGTCATTGGTTGATGGGACGCGGGCCGAACCGGCAATATATCCCTGGAGGTTGATATACCGGGGCATGCAAAAACTAGACTTTTGAGGATCAAGGGATACCCCAGCAATTTTAACAAGAAAAGCATATTCAGAGCGCTGCTTCTTTCCCTGCATGTCATGGTGCTTATCATTACACACTTTGCAAGATGCTTTCGACGTTCTCGAAGTTGCCGCTGACTACTTTACAGCTACCGAAGTCGGCCACTTCAGTCAGACCAGTGGACACGGACACCCTTCCTTCCCATGGGCCCCCTTGACAACAAAAATCATTATCCCACAGCGCGCACCCCAGTCTCAACAACAAACAAAACTCACAGACTAGCAGTGCCCCTCGACTCGAACGGCAGCGTCAGCACCACGACCCCCGCGGCGATGAACAGCGCGCCAGAGGTGTACACGGGCGCTGCGGTCTGGAGGTTTGCAAACATGGCGACGATGGGGGCCATGATGCCGAAGACGCGGTTGGCGGTGGCGGTGAGGGCATTTCCCGTCCCGCGGTCCTTTGTGGGGAACAGCTCGGGCGTGTAGGCGTAGAGCACGGCATACATGACGTTGCTGGTGAAGCTGTACGCGCAGTTCCAGCCCAGCAGGGACTGCGAGCTGAGCGCCGTGGTCGAGCAGTACAGGAACACCCCCGTGAGGGCCGTGGACAGCGAGAGCGCGCCCTTGCGCCCGAACCGCGGCACCTCGACCAGCAGGCCCCCCACCAGGGCTCCCGGGACGCCGAGCACCGCGATGATGAGCGAGTTGCGGTACGTCGTCTCGGTGGAGCCGTCGCCAAAGTCGACGCCGCGCGAGTCCTGGATGAAGGGCAGGAAGGCGTTGTACAGCGGGTAGCCCAGGCCGATGAAGGCCCAGATGAGCATGAGCGCGGCGGTGCTGTAGGCGAGCTTGCCCGTCGAGAAGAGCGCGCGCACGTGCGTCAGGTTGACCGCCTCGAGCTTGCGCTTGACGGCAGCCGTGGCGGCGTTTGTTGAAGACGGGACGTACCCTTCCGGTTCGCAGGCCTTGAGGTCCTCGATGGTCAGCGGTGTCGTGGTCCCGTTCCGCCGGGCCACCTCGTGCACGATCCGGACGGCCTCGTCGTCGCGGCCTTTGCCCATGTAGTACTTTGGCGACTCGAAGATGGTGAAGCAGAAGAAGCGCACGGCAAACATGAGCAGCGTCATACCGCCCACCGCGAGCATGAAATACCGCCAGCCCATGTTCGCCTCGCGCGTGCAGGTGGCCGCCGAGCTGGACTGGCAGGTGCGGTAGCCGAGCAAAGGCCAGGCGATGAGCGTGGCAATGACCTGCGCAATGGCCCAGTCTATGGACAGGATGGTCAGGAGGTACTGGTGGGTGCCGGGGAGGAACTCGAGGAAGATGGCCGAGTCGACGGGGAGGTTGCCGCCGACGCCAAAGGACCAGAGCGCCGCGAAGACGGCGATGCCCGCAAAGCTGGGCGCCGACGCCGCGACGAGGCCCCAGACGGCAGTAAGACCGAGGGTCAGGTTAAACGCCCACTTGCGGCCAAAGATGTCGCACCCAAAGCCCCAGAACATGGCGCCCACGAGGAGGCCAATGTTCTGCGAGAGGGGTAGCAGCTCCGGCCTAGCTGGGTGGAACTCATTCCGGATGGGCAGTAGGATAAGCGAGGTGACAATGGGCCAGAGGTTGTCTGACGCCCAGCCAAAGCCGACGACGATGAAGAGCTGCCACTGGTATTTGCCCATGCCGATGTCTTGGATCTGTGGGTTTGGTCAGCCTGGTTCACGCTGGAAATCGAGAAGAAGCAGCAGCGGCAGCGGGACACATGCAGCTCGGTTCAGAACGCGGGCCTTTGCCTCGTAGACGGGGTCCAGCTGGCCCTTTGGGATCGCGCCATCGTCATCGTATCCAGCGACGGCGGTTGCTGTCACGGGCTCGGGGTCGCGTGGACGGGCGTCCTCGAGGGACTTTTCAGACACCATGCTGGACTGGATGCAGGTGAAATGTCTAACCCCAAATCTTGCTCAATACTTGGATTGTGTATGACTGAGATGCTTCAGAAGTGTGGCCGCACCAAAACAAGACGTCTTGCACGCTGGATTGGGCTGTAGGGCTTTCGCAGCTGGAACAGGATATGCAAAAAGGGGAAAAAAGGCTGGTGACGCGACCCTGAAGATCGATCTTAGAAGGTTCCGGAGTCGTCCATGGTTGCGGAGGGTCCAACAGTCTGCGACCTCTGGGGATGGCGACAGCTGAGACTGAGCTGAGAGCCTCCCTTGGAGGTGCCTTTGTGTGCGTGCTAAGCGATGCTACCTCAGCTGTATTGGCATGGTGATCGCCGTGTAATCCTTTGAGGGGAGCGGCATGTCTGCCATGCAGCCGTGGCCAATTGCTGTCCGGGCCGCTCAGTGGTGCGAGCAGTGGTCTCGATCGCGTGCTCGCCTGCGAAAGTCGAGGACCTTATTCGCGCCGTGGTACGGGCAAACAGAGGATAGGATGTAGCGGGAGACATGGGACCAAGCTGGCCCCGCCATGGTGAGCGAAGTACTGGGAACTTCCGAGCAGCGTGCTTCCCGGCCAGGAGAGCCGCATCATGACGGGGAGCGGGCGGGAAGAGGGTGTGCTGGTGGAGTGGGGGAGGCCGTTGTCATTTGGCCGATGGCACAGGGCTAGGATGCATCCATCCTGGTGCTGACAGTATCCCCCACGCCCAAACCCTGGGGGATCTGCCGGCGCAAAGTAAGCAGTGGTGCAAGCTGTGCATGCAGAAGAAATGTTCTGGCGATCACGGCAATAAATCAGATTATGCAGAGCTAGTGAGAGACTGAGGGTTTCGCGACCATGCATGTTGCCATGATTGGTTCGACATCAGAGACAGCCTCCTCTGATTCGCCTCTGCCGGCGCATCATTTCACATGTCTTGCATGGAAATGGCAGTGGCACGGGGATGCAAGTGCATTACAACTACGCTCTTGCGATGTGGTGGTTAATCGAGCCCACAGCCGCATCTAGTCATCTTCTCTCTCTACATCTACGCAACATTCACAACAACCTTGCCAAAATGCCCTCCGCTCTGCACGTACTTGAACGCCTGGTCCGCCTCGCCAAACGCAAACTCGCGATCCACAACCGGCCGGATCTGCTTGTCCACATACGTCCCGAGCATCTCCTCGAACCGGTCCTTCGGCCCGTTCAGCATGCCCTTGAGCGTGACGTTGCGCCGCAGCGCCAGCACGTTGGTGTTGAGCTGCGGCTCGCCCCCCGCAGGGTCCAGCTTGCCCGACAGGTAGCCGATGCAGCTGACGAGCCCGCCAAACGCGACGCAGTTGAACGACCTGGCGAGCGTCCCCGCGCCGCCGCACTCGAAGATGACGTCGGCGCCCTTGTTGCCGGTGACGCGCAGGACCTCGTCGTCCCAGGCGGGCGTGGTCTTGTAGTTGATGGTGTGGTCGGCGCCGAGAGCGCGGGCGCGGGCGAGCTTCTCGTCGGACGAGGATGTGACGATTGCTGTTGTGAGATCGGGGGGTTGGGTGATGTTAGCGACAAATGGTTCTTGTGAGTGAGCAAAAAAAGGACTGGGGAGAGAGTGTAAGCAACAATACGCACTCTTGAGACCCAATGCCTTGGCAATCTGCAGGCCCGAAATGGACACGCCTCCCGTGCCCTGCAGCAGGACGTACTTGTCCTCGCCCTGGAGGGGCTGGCCGATGGGCTGGAAGCTGTTGATTGCCATCCACGCGGTGACGGCGGCGATGGGCAGGGTGGCCGCCTCGGCGTCGCTCAGGTAGTCGGGCACCTTGACAAGGCCCGAGGCGGGGAAGACGCGGTACTCGGTCAGGCAGCCCGGGAGGGGCTTGCCGAGCCCTGAGGCCATGTCCTTCTCGACGATCTGGCCGGTCAGGTGGCTCTGGTTGAAGATGGCCATGACGCGGTCGCCCTGCTGGAGGCCAGATGCGCCAGGTGTGGTGTGGGTGATGGTGCCGCATATGTCGGAGCAAGGGACGAGGTTTGCGTCGTCTTGGAGGGACTTGTGGTGCTTGTAGTCGCCCATGACGACTGTTTTTGGGGGGAGGGAGTTGGGAGGGTCAGTTGCTTGCTGCTTGGGCTTCGAAAGGTTGACTGGCGGCAGGCCTACGCACCCTCAGTGTCGCGGTAGTTGAGGGCAACCTGGTTGACCTTGACGAGGACCTCGCCGTCCTTGAGCGAGTCGGCCGAGGGAGCCGGGGCGTTGCCAAACTGCATCTTGTTGAGCCCATCCTGCTTGGTTGTCCACTGCTTCATGGTTGCCATGGTTTTGTGTCCCTCTACGCAATGCTGGGGGGTCGGATGTTTACCAGCGTGTCTGACTAACTGACTGACTTACTGACAGCGACGACAAACGGACGGAGTAGGGCCCGGAGAGTAAATATGTTGTGAGGGGAAGCAATGTTTGATCGACTGCCAGAGTGCTTATCAATCGTCGGCAGTGTTGCTGCAGTGCCGAGCTTTTCTGGAAATATGGAGAGCCCCTCGTCATAGGTCCCCCGGTCGCAGCTATCGTCATGGATGGAGACGAGACAGGGCCCATCGCGGGGCGGGGCAGCGGAGGTGCTGGCCAGCTGTGGTGATTCGGAAGCCGGCCGCCGTCACAATCGGGACCCCGGAGCCGGCTGCCTTTATGTGCTTGGGGCCGACACTCCCAGGTTAGGCCCCTCCGCCCAGCAGCGGATGAGAGGTGCACGCCCGGCGGCTGTGATCTTGGTCATGTCCTGTGCAGGCCCTGCAGAGTCTTCTGACGTTGCAGACATGGCGCAAATCGCCTGGCGAGCCTAGAGTTGTTGCCTCATAGAGACAGTACAAGGCCATTCTTATCCCAGCTCTGTGGCTGCACTCCGGACGATCATGGCTGGGGCAATTGAGCATGCAGCATCGCGGGTGGCATCAATCAAGACCTACTCCGTTATTTGCTATCAAGCCCAGCCGACACGTGCTGTTCCTGCATTGTGCGTCGCAGCTGCAATCTAATAGCACCGCCTCCGGGATTCGAGGAAGCTTTGCCAGATCTGGGATTTTGCTGACGGCGGGGCAGGGCTAGAGCCAAGGGGTCCATAAATGAGCCCATGCGTACCCCAGCAGCAGAGGCACCCTGCGGGAACTCTGGGGTCTTGACGTGGATGTGCCTTGGAGGGAGGGAAAAGGGGAGAGCACAAGGCTGACGACAGTTGAGGGCGGCGAGTCAGGGCGCATCCATCCAGAACGCAGCTGCCCACTGGAAAAGCAGAGCCCTCGAGCGGGCACCCCCTGAAGCCGCCGAGCGACGCCACATGATGGTAGTCAGTATCATGGATTGAACGCGATCCCTTGGAAAAGCTTGAGTCTGCGCCGGCGGGCTTATGCCTGGTGGGCAGGCGGGACCTGGCGCTTGACCAGATGCGGGCGGCTCCCACTCCATCCCAGGTGGATCGTTTAATGAAGGGCCCTGGCAGGATGTGCCTGTCAGGTCAGTCAGCTTGCCAGCCGTCCTGGGCGGAGTAGCCTATGCTTACTTTGCTCAAACACCCGCTCCGTGGACGGCATCCGACGCTTCTGGCCCGCCAGGGGCTTGCAGACGGGCGGACGCCAGTGGCTGCGGGCAATCTCATCTTGGTGCCCGTCCAGCCGCAAAAAGCCAGGGCCTCGTCAATGACCCCTGCAGCCCAACTGTCTTGACCCAGTGCCCTCCTCCACACTTTTGTCTTGGTCGCTCCTGCCCCAGTCTCGTCGTCCCAGACCAGACCAAGACAAGAAAGATCTCACTTGGGGGCGCGCCACCCGCCATTCCTCTTTCTCTTCTCCCGCACTCTCTTCTACACACTTACAGACAGCCTCAACTCTGTATCCTCTCCAGATCATGCACAGGTAGCACCACCACCACCACGCGCCGCTTTGTCCGTCGTCCCGCCATGCTTCTCCTCAGAGCCCTCCTCGCCTGTGCGGGTCTCGTCGCTGCGCTGCCCGCTCCAGACGTTCCCTCGCTCCAGCCACGAGCCGCTCCCACGCCACCCAAGATCAAGGGCAGCCCCGGCTGTGGCAAGCCGTTGGCTACAAAGCTCGACACGTTCCTCTACAAGAACATCACCCTCGACGACAAGGTCGCTCCAAACCGCCGCTACGCCTACTGGCTGCCTCCCGGCTACAACCCGGACACGCCCGCCCCCGTCATCTTTGCTTTCCACGGCGGCTACCAGTCCGCTTTCAAGCAGCACAATCTCGATCACTTCACCGAGCCCGACTTCAATGATGGCAAGCATATCATCATCTATCCCGAGGCCTGGATCAGCCCTCTCTTTGGGCCCGACGGCCGCATCTGGCAGATCTCGCCCGTCATTGCTGACCTTGGTGTCGATGACATCAAGTACACCCTCGCCGTCCTCGACCAGGTCCGTGACGACTTCTGTATCAACGATCGCAGAGTCTACTCGGCTGGCATGAGCCAGGGTGGCGGCTTCACAAACATGCTCGCCTGCGACCCGGTCGCGTCCACCCGGTTCGCCGCGTTCGCCCCGGTGGCTGGCTCCTACTTCTATCGCTCTCATGGCAAGAATGCCAAACCCAAGTGCTACTTCAAGAAGGATCCCCTGGTTTGCAATCCAGGCCGCAAGGGCATCCCCATCATGGCCACACACGGCGGCAACGACATCACGATTCCATACGGTGGTGGATACCTCGAGAAGCACGATGCGTGTTTCCCCGACCTGGATTACTGGCTGGCCCTCTGGGCGCATCGCAACGGCCTCGACAATGCAGATATTCGCGTTGTCGCGACAAATTGGGACAACAAGACCGTGCCGGGACGCAAGTTACTTGGGTCTGACGCGCAGCGGCAGGTCTACGGCCTGAACGACGACCCACGCGGACTGGTCACGATGATTCACTCAGGGTCCAGGGTTCCCCACAACTGGCCTCGCACATTCAGGGACGACGAGATTGGTGGCGGCGAGGCGACATTCAACGTTAGCTCCATCATTTTCGAGTTCTTCTCCAGGTTTGAGCTGCCGTAAGTCAACCTTTCCATTTAAAGTACACATGAGGTAATTTGCTCGTGCTAACAACTGTACACAGAAGCGATGACACTGCAGAAGACGTTCTTGATGGCGCCCATGGTGCAGCCTCAGTTGGGGAGCATGAGGATATGGTCGTCAGTACAACGAGCACGCTGCAGCCTGCTGCCACATCCACTGCGCAAACTCAGCCAACAATAGATGCTCAGGCTGACGCGCATCACGAGCAAGGTGCGAAGCCCGAGATTGCTCAGCCTCCACCACCACCCACTCAGTCTTGGACCACAGGCAGGGTATGGCCCACCCTGGTGCATGTGGTGGTAGAGGCCATCGGCTCGCTGTTTGGACTGCCGTAGTCCACTTCTTTCTGGTCTTCATTTTGAATTTTGTTGTCGTTTGTATATTGCTGTACTATTTGCATCATGGAGCGTTGAGCGTTGCGGGTATTGTTACTTTCGCTGCACATATTCTTTTCCCTTATATGGCCGAGCAACAAAACGGGGTGACTTTTCTCTATCATGAGTTAACTACATTTTCATGGGCTAGATAACGATGCAGCTCGTCATCTCATTGCTGTCAACAAGAATCAAAGACGAGCTTTACAGCGTGCTTGTGACTGCGCCGCACCACATTTGACTTCCTCTTTATCTCTCTTGTACACATCGCGAACTCGATGTATCATGCATGGCCCGAAGAGGATGCGTCGTATTGCATGACTCGTGCCAGCGAACCCTGCCCCTGTGCACAGTCTCTCGTGCCGTTTACTCAAGCTAGCGTCGTGGATCCTGCCCTCCAGGATTCAGGGATCGTCGCGAAGGAACACCCAGCTAATGCCAAATATAGCACCACGTGGTGGGTCTTGAATATCTGGGCCTGGGGTTCCGAGGGGGGGGAAGGGGGGGGGGGTCGGAGCAGAGGAGACAGACGGCGAGCAGGGGCGGGTTATGGTCCGGGTGCCACATGGTCAGGAAAGGCACTTGGCCACCACGCCTAACACTGCAATGTCACATATACGTGTTTTTGCGGTTGTTGTGAGAGCAAAGTTGGATGATTATCAGTTGGGAGGGAGCCGTTTTGGGATGTATCCGCTCTCGGGGCGAAATGATTTGCGTAGCATCATGTTTCGAACAATGATGTCAATACTTTTTTAGCTGCAACCGTGGAGCGGACATGCCACGTTGGAGCATCTCCAGGGTTTCACCATCATAGGTTAATAAGATGGTGGACTTGAGGATTTAATTGTGCCGAATATGCTAGGCAGTGTTTCTTGGAGCAGTGGGTGCGAAACATATTGCGGATGACTCCAGGAGGCAGTATACATAGCCTGGTACAAGGTGATTCCGTTATGGGGTGTAAATACTGCCCATATACTTAATGTACCTGATAAGATCCTACACACTAGCAATTATGTGGACCTCGACGTGCAGTTCCAAGGTATGAGGAAGGTGCTTCCACTAATCGGAAGCAAGATGCGGCCGCTCCAGCCATTGAGCCTCGTGATTTGTTCGGAAGCGCTCAGTCTTGTCGTCATCCCCTGCAGGCCCCATCAATCAAAGCAGCCAGCAAAAACCTGCAGGAGTCAAGAAGACCATGGTGTGTTGGGGCGGTGACGCTCCTGATCTCAAGATTGGATATCGGCTTGGTTCAAAGGAATCTTGGATACCTCAAAGCAGATGCACCAGCGTATGAATTATTGTTTCCCTTTCTTGTGGTAGACAATTGTCTCGTGGTGTGAGGAAACCTTGACCTGCTGGTTTATTAACTGCTGCTTGTTGTATTGGTGATGTCACGTACATTCCCGAGGCATGCTCGACAAGAAGTTCCGTCATTGGAATGTCCATCGTGCTTACACCGCACGTCAATCACCCAATCCATTTGACAACAGTGTGTTCCGGCTAGATAAGCCTTGGACCCTGCCAATTGACAAGCCCGGACGTTTTGGGCCGGTCCAGGGACGACCCAAGCGGGAGGCCCGGTTTTCTATGACGGCGGCCAGTCGCAGTCTGGTAGAGCTGTCCTCCACTAGAACCAAGGTTCTGGGGCGCGGGCATCGAGGATGGCGTCACTCTACTAACAGTGCGGGATGACAACACTAGCTCCGATCCAGTGGCGGCGTGCCTGCCGCTTCCTGGGTGGATGACCATGGTATGATGGATTGATATGCAACGCTGCCCCTGCCTGCAAATGACTTAGGGTCCTTCCATCCAACATTTAACTGCAACCTTTCATGTGTACAATGTCTACATGAACCAAGCGCCTTGTGGATAATGCGAATACAAACACGAAGAGTACCCATCAAGCAACCAGCGCACAGTCAACGGGAGCAGGCATGCACGACGAGACGGCTCCTGTCCGGGAAATCTCAATCACGGTTGGGCACGATGCTCCCGAGCGGCATGATAGAATCACACCTGGCCTCTCGGCGGTACACCCCACGAGTGTGCCAGTCCCCGGGCCGCTTCCGCAAGTCCCGCCCATGAGGGCAACAGAACACCGCAACAGCATTGTCAGTATTGGATGGGATTCGCATGAGCGCGACGGTGGAAGGCTGCCAGAGCAGGTCGTGGAGGGCCTGGACAACGAAGATCTCTGGCACTTGTTGCGGAAGTTCAACAGGGTGTGACTTGGATCCTTCTGCCATACTCTCATATCGCGCCACTGACACTTCATAGCAAATCTTCCACGTCAAGGCTACGACAAGACCCTTGCTGCCAGGGGATGTCGACTTTGACACGGCGGCAGATGAGGACTTTACCGCCAAAAAAGTCCGGGCACACCTTGAGAGGCTCTACATCGGAGTTGTTCGTCAGCCTCCTACGCCAGACATGCTCTTTTCATGCAGGCTAACATCTCATCTATTTCACAAGATCATCGACATGCTCGCTTTTGCGCAGCACATTGCGAGGCTTCGGTCGTGGCGGGAGCCCAGGCGAACGGGGATCTTCTTTTTTGTCAGTCTTAATATTCTTTGCGTCTCCCTCCATCCATGGGATATTGACATTCTCTCAAGATGTATTTTGCAAGCTGGGCTTTTGGCCTCCTCTTGCCTGCAACATTCGCATTTCTCGCTGGCCTCGTCCTTTATCCGCCACTGCGCAGGGTCATGTTTCCATCAGCTCCCCTCTCCATGGTTGATCCCATCACAGGGGATCTGAAGCCCCCGCCCGCAGGAAGCATGGCAACCGCGGACTCTGCCACTGGCGCTCCCGAGGCACACAAAGGCCAGGCTCGCGAGGACGAGGCGGCCAACTTTGCGGCAAGCATCATGTCCATAGCAGTGAACATTGCCGACGACGCCGCCGAGCCGCAAAACGAGGGCCTCGACGAGCGGCGTGCTCTCGAACACCACCCCTTCCACAGCGATGCCGCCGCGCTGGAGGCGGCGAGAGCCGCCAACGCGAATGGAGGTCGCGGGCTCAAGGCTTCGTCCATGGCGCGCGAGTTGGATGCAAGCAGCGACGAGGACGACGGCCATGGACACAAGAAGCACGCGAAGCTGTCAGTGATCGACCCACAGCGACTGACGACCGAAGCTGCGGCGGCTTTAGACAAAGCCGACAGCGCAGATAGGCCTTCAAAGGACAAGTCGAAGCCGGTGATCCAGAAGGTGAGCTGGCAGGCCACGAGGCTCGGCACGCACTGGCTGGGAGTACTGTCGGACTACTGGGAGCGCTGCGAGAAGTGAGCCTTTCTATTCTCTGGCTTGACCAGATTGCCGCGTCACTGACCATTTGTCGCCGCCAGCATGATGAATCCGAAACCACCTTTCTCTAAGTCAGCAGGCCGTCACCGAATAGCCACCGTCCTGCTCGCATTGTGTGCTATCACGCTCTGCGTTACTCCTCGCATGATTTGTCGATCGTTTGGCTTCGTCGTCGGCATGGTCATCTTTGGCCAACCCCTTCTCTCCCGCATGCAAGAAATGCTCGTGGAGAACAATATCACTCTGCGCAGGTAACTATCCTCTCCTTAATCGTAGATCATGGAGCCCCAGCGTCTGGTCTCCTTTCATCCAGGCTGACAACCCTCCCCAGCACCATATTTCATGGCGTCCCTACCAATGCCCAGCAGACAATCACTCTCCTGCGCCTGGGCGAGGCGGCCAGGGCACCGCTCCCACCACCACCGCCAAGCCGCTTCGCCGACTTGGCACGATCGCGGAGCAGCCGCCTCTCCAGCAGGAGCGCGAGTCCGCAAGCACGGGGTGACTCACACCAGGCCGCAAGCCTCGACGACCCGGAGAACCTCGGCGCAAGCTTCAACGACAGGCCACTCGGCAGAACCCCGAGAGAGCTGCAGTCTGCCGCGGTTGATGGTGGCCGCCACCAGCAGGGTGGTCGGACGCAAGGCAACCGCGGCTCGTCCCCTCGCGACCGGTTTGGCGCAGCCGAGGCCCATCGCGGACGGCTCATGGGCACCCTGACTCGGGCCTTCAAGCACGGCGCGAAAGCTGTCGCCAAGACGGCGATCGCGGCAGATGCGGCGAGGGCCAAGGTGCTCAAGACCCCGTCGGCCCGACTGCGCTTGGGGAGTGTAGAGGACGACGATGATGTGCGGGACGCAAAGGCCGTTGGGAAGGGCGGCTTGCTTGGTCCTGTGGAGTTCAGAGCCAGGCACGACGGCCACAAAGGGTTCGTGTACCTGACGACTGATGAAGGGCACGCTGCGAGAGTGTGCTTCACCAGGGGACGCGAGGTCACACTGCACGATGGCGACAGTGATGACGACGGACACTTGCCGAGGGCGGTCGGCACGCTGCAGCCCGTCTGGTCCCTTCCTATCGACGAGATTGCCGAACTCAACAAGTTCGCTGGCTATGGTGGCAAAGCAAAGGTTGCCGCAGGCTGGGCGCTTGAGACGTCCGTCAAGGGGGGCCTGCAGATTGTTGACAGGAACGGGCAGCCCAGGTTGATCACGGCTGTGGCGAAAGGGGATGAGCTCTTTAATCGGTTGTGTGCCATGGGCGAGCAGCACTGGGAAATATGGTAATCTGGAATTGCAAGGTGACAGTATTTAGAAAGGACATCGTGTAGCATACAATCTGTCTTGGCATACATCACACGTCAGCTTTCCCACCAGGACTCTCGACCCTCTCCGTCACCTGAGTGCATGTTTTGGTGCCGGAACCGTAGTAAGTAGTAGGGTGTTCGCTTCTTCTGCTCGAAAGACTTACCACCTACTACTATATCGTCTAAGTATAGCTGGTGTGCTATTGCATAGAGTTTCAGAGGTTCAGAGACCCAGAGGTCCCGAGGTCCAGAGGCGGATTAGGGAGCCAGAGGTCCAAAGCTTTCAAGTCACAACGTTCGGTAGCTGAACCATCACAGAGCGATTTAAAATCATGAACCAACACGCGCACAGCTGCCCTCAGCGACGATGAAGCCCACGCTGCAGCCCTGCGACCTTTGCGCCCACAATAGCATGCAGGGGTTGTGTCAAGAGTACAACACTATACTGCTGACGACTCAGCCCCGAGGCGACTGAGAAGCAGGCTCTTGCCTGATGCACGAGGCCGGCTCACCACCGATTCTTCTGGCACATCAGGTCCGATGGATCAACGACGAGTGACGCCGATTCCAAACCATGTTGGCCGGTGCCGGGGTTCGCGCCGGACTGATCCCGAGCGAGCGGACCTGCTAAAGGGTAAGCTTGTCGACGTTGCTACAAGCGAGGAGCGTAGGGAGAGTCGACGGCAAGGGGTCGGAGCAAGCCCGATCCTAACGCGTACATTGGTCGCTTTGAAGTAGCCTATGTTTGAAGCAAGTGTGTAGGGCCTTATGGACGAGAGCGAGGTTCAGATACGCACAAACCGAAGTTGACCACGTAATGGGCCCCTGAGACGGTAGTCAAGGTAGGCCCGCAAACTATCGAGAGGAACGGACAGCCTAGGCTAACCATAGCTATAGCGAAATAGAATCGGCTCTTTAACCGGCCATATACTATAAGAGAGCAGTATCAAGAGATATGGTAGCCTGGACTTGTAGGGTGATAGTTATTTATAAAGGACACTAGTCAGCTTTAGATTCAAGTCAGAAGCACATACTAGGATTAAGGTGCCCTTATCGTGAAACAGCGCGAGCATCGTTGAACAAAAGGAAAGCCCCCGTGCATCAGCTATCTAGGTTTAGTCATCTGATAAAAAAAACGTCCGAGTCTTTCGCGCGTTATTCTCATATTTCAGAGATAGCCCCATATTTTGTTCCCTGATTTCATATGCTTGATCTCTTCCGCGATTCTTGCGGCATCCTCTTTCTTCCACTTGGCCAAATTCTCTTCCTTGAAATACGTCCCAGTATCTCTCAGTTTCCACAGCTCTTCAGGGTAGAGACGAAGACAGCTGTGACACTTCCCACAGCTGCCGCAGCCTGCCAGCCCCATGCCGGTTGTCGGGCTGATTTGCAGGCTCTGAACCCTGCCCTCCCATCTCCATGGACTCGACTCGAGGTCCTTCTCTGTCACTCCCCTCGGCAGCGATGATATGGCCTGTTCCGAAGCGGGCGTGGCGGCAGTGACGACCTCGATACCGGCTTTCCGTCCGGCTACAATAGCTTTGCAGAACCGGAACCTCTCATGGCTTGGGAGCTCGAGGCTATCAAGGAAGATGGCCTTGTGTTTCCTCTTGCGCCAGATGACTTGTCCCTCCGTGTCGGGCTTACTGGCCTGCATTGGGGATTCAACCTTCTTGGTCTCCGCTTTGTTGTTGTCTGCAAGATTGTCCCTCGACTTATGAGCCAACTCTCTCTCAAAAAAATACGTCAGGGCGTCGTCCAGTACGTCCAGCAGTCGCGTCTTGTCGTAAAAAAGGCCCGCTGCCACAATGATGTGTGGGCTCGGAGCTTGCCGCCAAATCCTGCGAAGGTACTCTGCCAACCACTTGTAGCTTTCCTCGTACGTCTCATAGCTCTTTGGGTTCGCGTAGCTCTTTGAGCGGATGGCCACGCGGAACGCCAGGTGCGCCGCGGAAACAGTCGCCAGTTGCCGAAACCGCTCTGGGTCTTCATTGAACGAATGGATCTCGCATCCGTATGTGGTGAAGCCGGGCAGAGACGGCGCACATTTGTCGAGCCACCCGCTCAGAGTGTCTATTGGAAAGTTTGACAAGTCGCACTTGTCAAAGGCGAGCGAAGTGAGAGCCTTGCATGCGTCGGTAAGCTCCGATGCTACCACCCATGAGATTCTGGACTCTGAAAAGTACAGTTCCTTGATGCTAGACGTGCTTTCTTCGAGAACGGGATCGATGAGCTGGCTGTATGGTGGGGCGTCGTCTAAGAATTGCAGGCCTGCTGCGTACAAGGACTTAATGGATGGCAGGGCGAAGAGGGGTGCGATAGCAGACGCGCCAAGCCACGTTACGCTCCAGCCGTTCTCTCCCCGAGTATTGTGCGGTAGAGCGAGCGAACGGACCCCCATGGCAGCACTACGCAGGGACGCAAGGCCTGGCGGAAACGGCAGTTCCCCTTTAGACCGGACCACCCTGCGGATGCAGTGGCCAATGAACCGCAGGTCCAGCTCTTGATAAGTCACTGATTCGACAGGATTGGCGGGATCTACGAGCTCGTCTGGATCTCTGAGGCCGCGGAAGATATCCGTGCTGCCGGCATCCTCCGCGACTTCCTCGATGACTGGTGCCCAGACGACCCGGAGATTCTCCAGGCGGGGACACATTGCCGCCACGATGCCCTTCAACGCTATGTCGCACCCTGCTTCGATGGAGGCGCGCCACTGCCGTGCTCTCTGGTGGTTAAAGTGTAATTGGGACTCCATGATTCGGGCGAAGTTGTCGAGCTCGTCTTGAGTAAAGTAGCCAGACCCGTATTCGCGCTTGGGCAAGTCCACGCCAGCATCCTCCGGCAGAGACAATGCTGGTGGTACGAGGATGGTGTGTGGCTCCCAGTCGCCCCAGTGTCGTCGAGCGCCCCAGATCTCGAGCGAGCGGACATGCCAGAGCGCAAGCTGGTCGAGCTTGCCGCCGGCGAGGAGCGTGGGGAGAGTCGACGGCAAGAGATCAGAGCAAGCTCGGTACTGACGCTCGCATTGCGCGTGTCGAAGCAGCGTGCCTTTGAGGAAGTCGTGCAGGGCCTTACAGGCCAGGGCGAGGTTCATATGTGCGCTTGGATCGGTGTGTTCGAGCACTTGTGCAAGCAGCTCAGGTGGCAACAGCGGGAGTGATGCGGACTTAGCCATGGCGGTCACTTCGAGGCGGGCTGGTGTGTGTTTTGGGATAACTTGTGCGAGTCTGGAGGAGCGGCACAGATGACCCTTCTGAACCTCCTGTTGGTTGGTTCACCCTCCTGTTGGTTGGTTCATGAGATGTCGATGCGATGGGTAGCAGCCCCGCTGCCTGCTGTGAACCCCCCCTGGCAGGGCTGCATGAGTATGTGGGCATGCAGGGGTCCTGGCTGCTCGCCCCCTGCTCACGCCCTAGGAGCCTGTCGAAAGGTCGACGCAGATCCAGGGGTAAGATGAGCTAAACTGGGACCAGAGCCGCGCCCTGATCCCGTTATGTCAGCGACTGGGGTCATTGTGTCTGTGAAGCTTTGGAGTTTGGCATCTTGAGCGTCGGTGGTGCAGCGCAAAGAAGAAGCAATGTCCAAGATGTCGATCTTCGAAATGCTTGGAAGTCGCCTACTTGAGGACAAGATAGGAAAGGAAAGACGGCCGCCCCAATAGACCAAGAATCTTCGGAGACGGTAATAAGTAGGGCAAAGATCGTGTCTTTGTCAATGGGACCAATCTTGGTTTTATAGCTGGCAACCTTCTTATGAAGTGCTTTGGATGGTGGCTCGTGATCAGTCAGCGTGTAATACATGTCTCCAACAATAGTTGTTGTTTCGCAGACTTCCTCCTGAGCTCAATTCAGATGAAGATTTCCTATCACTACCACAATGTAGCATTCTTCTCAATTACGTATACTACTCGCCCTCAGGACTATGCTTGGGTTATAGTTATGTTATAGTCCGAAAGGCCAAAATGGCCTGAAGAAGAGGTCTCTTGCTCACCACTGTATACGAGAGTTGAGCCACCTCCTAGCTGCAAGCCATCCAATTTTCCAACGATTGCTTTAAGAAACGTTGAACAGCCACTGCCAGGCCGGCCCAGGACAAGCAGCAACTCTCCCTTTTCGAAGACACCGTTGAATCCCTGGGTGATGGGCAAGGGCTTAGTTTCCTTGCGTCGAAGGAAGAACCAGTCATCGCCCTCGTTAAAATTGGCGGATTCGGCGTCATTTGATCGCCATCCTCGTTGGAGACCCCACGCTCCTCGGTCCTCGCGAACACCACACACTTTGGCGCATCTTTAAGGGGGCTACTCATGGTTGGCAATTATATGTGTTCCTGAAAAATCGACTACGCGTATCTCATCGGCGGACTTCAGGATTCAAGTTGCTGTGTTTCATCATTAAGGGTCGAATAAGCCTAATGAGCAGTTTTCACTTCGTCCTTGTGTCACGAATTTGCCCCCAGTGGTACTTCAACCTTGCGCAACGTGACAGGAATTTTATCTCTGGCTTTTTCGGGGTCCAAAAGGTACCAGCCCTCCAAAGGGGTTGAAGGGATCATATAGCACAGGATGGTTCCGAAACACAAGGCTTGATACCGCTCAGAGGTCGTCCTGGATGTAAAAGTACTAAGGATACCCGCCGAGGGAAAGGCATATGGGGTGAATCAATCATGGAAACAGGATTCGGCGATTCCAGCCGTGGCGAGACGCCGCTGGTGTGCAGAGTAGTTTTGTCAGTGTCGCCTGCGTGACGCTAGGCTCAATACAGCGGGCTTGGTAGGTGTTGTATGAGACCCGAGGCGACTAATCATATCACGCCAATTTGACCGAGCGTTTTTAACGTTACACAATCACCGTTTTGCCCTCCCCTTCGTATTGCATGCATGTGATATCTAGGCCATGTCCATCGCCAAGACACTTGCTGTCGTCCTGCAAAAATATTGGCTAAAAAGGCATGAGGTTGCACAACCAACCAACAAGTTATAAACTATATCCCAGCTCTCCTCAAATTCAAATTCATTCTCTCGGCCAAGAAAACGCAAGCATGGAGGATGAAGGAGTGGAGCAGGCGTCGAGCATCGAATGGCCGCCTCAGCCACATCAGCCACATCGAATGATGTTCAGTTGACCCCGCCATTCTCGACTGACAGCCGATGCTCGCTCCGGCCTGAAATAGCTTCGGATCCACGTCTTCCTATATAAGTAGTCCCACTGAATCGGACATTGCATTCCTGCAAAGCTGATTGGATGTATTCACCCTGGCCTGACAGTGAAGCAGATGCGAAGCAAACTTACGCAGACCAGCCATACGCGCAATGCAATCTGCTTATAAGCTCTTAGGGTGTATGGTCATAGGATAACTGGTAAGTCACTGTAGACCCTCTCGGTCTTGGCATACCAGTGCTCGACAAAGTTCTCGGCAGTGGCAACTCTCGGAGTTCAGCCGTGTATCTCCTTCCAAAGTTTGAAGCTGATGGTGCCACATTGTAGCAACTAGCTCGAAAAACTTCCTTGCAGGGTCACCTAATGTTTCCACTCGTAATGAACGATGCCGTCCTTGACAGCTCCCTGAACCATCAATATTGCAATGTATTGCAATGGGTGTGTCTTCGTATCCACGGCAAACGCCGCGTCTAATGTTGGTGGCTACTTTGGCACCCTTTTCGCCAATCCAGGATCCGGGTCGTGGCGCATCCGGAACACTGCGGCAGCAGCAGTCTCGATCAAGAAGAGCACGACCTGGACTTAACAACAACGGTGTGGGTCGACGACACGGGTATCTTATTCGTGGGGCCGTCGGCAGCAGCCAACTGTAGAGCCCTTGAGAGGATCCGCGGGAAGGCCGAGAACTGGGCCTCGAGATACGGCTGCGTGTTTCGGCCCCGACAAGTACGAGATCATGCACTTCAGCACCCAGAGGTCTAAGCTGGGACAGACGGCCACAGCACCCCCAGCGCTGTATGTGTGCCTGCACCTCCCAGGCGTGCCCCTCTTTCGGGACAAGAACTGTCAGCCGCGCAAGCTGATGCTTGGCGTCCCTGAATTACGAACGCGCCATTTTGGGCACAACGTTGCGGCTGAAATACTTCACGTTCTCGATGCCTATGGAATCCGGGATAGAATTGGTTACTTTACTCTGGATAATGCAGAGAGCAACGATAAAGCTCTGAAAGTAATTGGTGGCGAGCTTGGCTCTGTGGAATCGAAAAGGCGCGGCCGCTGCTTCGGCTACGCTCTTAACCTCTCTGCCAAGGCTCTGCATTTTGGCCACTACGTTGAGACGTTCGAGGAGAAGTTGTCAGGTGCAGCAGCCTTGTCCGAGGCAGAGAACACGCTTTGGCGCCGCAAAGGACACGCCGGAAAGTTACACAATCTAGCCGCTGATGATAGAAGGTCGGATCAGCCTACTTATCTGCTGCGGAGTAGACAGCGTTCCGAATTCGACATGTCTTCGGATCCTAGGATAAGAGCGAGCAAACCCATCGATTTGGTTATTGACAACGATACCCGGTGGTTTTCTCAACTGTATATGATCGGGCGGGCCATCACTCTTCGGCCCTACCTCGAACAGCTCTCGCGACCCTGCGCTCTTGCTAAACTTGCTTTGCACCGCATTGACGACAGAATCTGTCACTGAGTTTGCAAGCAAAGCCGCATTGGGTACAATACCGAGCGTTTGAATCTAGAGCCGGCGCTGTGGAACTGATGCCTTGTGCACTCTTTGGCCTCCCATCCTGTGACAGAGACCCTGACAAGTATGCCGGCACCTGCGGAGAAGGGGCTCGCATGAGCTGCTCCGGCTGACGGTTGGGCGCAGCGTTCGTAACTGGTATGTAGGGTTGTCCGGGCGTCGTCATCAAGTGCCCCCTGTCCTGTGTTTGAATTGGCATCGCTGGTTGGGTATTGTAAACCTGCTGCGCAGGTGGTGGCACCATCGCAGGGGCGCTCTGTTGAAGATTTTGGTTGTCTGTGGCTGCCTTCTTCATCGCTTCGTCGACGGCGCGCTGTGTTCGTCGTTCCTGTTCTACCTCTTGGCGCCTCCGCGCCTCCACCTCACGCTGTATCTCGACCTCACGCTGGGCGTCCATAACTGTCTGCTTCTGTACTTCATGCCTGGCAGCTGACTTGGACGCACCGACCAGTACGGCGGCCCCGAGAAGGGGTCTGCGGCGGCGCGGGAACATTGCGGTGACTGGAGGTTGGAAAGCGTACTTGGGACGACAGAAAGAGGAGGTCGGATGGTTAGATGATCAGAGAATCAAGTAACTCGACCTCCTGGTAAGAGCTCGTAGAAATTTCAAATGATAACTTGGAACAAGACAGCCCCCCAAAGCCTTCCCCTGGCATGTGATTGCCCTCTAGGAGTAGCTTTTACACTCAGAGTTCAAGCCACCCAGTCCTTCTGTTAGTCACCCTCTCTCAGCAGTGCGAGCTGGTGTCGCCGTGCTAGCCAGGCCCCTCTGTCCCCCAATTTGATATCGATAGACGAGCAAGCGTAAAGTCATGATACTTCTGGATCCGCCAGAAGCCTCCAATCTCCAATTGATGGACAGATTTTCCTCTTCGCGTGTGATAAAGTTATGGTGAAGGACCTTGCTGCTTGCGCCTGGCTGTACTGGCGTGCAATTCTGTCTCTGCATTGGCTCTACCGATCTCGATCAGTAGGTTCCCAGGCGACACCACGTGGAGGTCGCAGAGTCCGGTCTTCGTCGCCCCTCTGAAGTCTCTTGGGTGTGGAATCATACGTTCAGTGCGGGTTACACTGTAATATAGTGGCTTGGGGCTCATGCCTCTCGCCCAACGATCCGTTTGATTGGTGTATTCCTCTTGACATTGCTGTTGCGTGCTACAAAGTTATTAGCGCGATGCTGTGCAACGTACCACAAGCCCTGCAAATGTGGCTGATCGCCGCATATGCCCGAATGTGCACTGCAGGCGAATCAGCAATCACCTCCTAGGGCATTTGGCTTCGCGTTGGGCTGAAGGGTACCCGCCTGTCCAAGCTCATCACCCTGGAAATGCTAACACGTGATGAACCAGATCGAGATTCTCGGGGCCACGTCATTCTGAAGTGAGGAGTTGTTCTGTGGGATCAATGCCAGAGCCTTGGCAACAGAGTTGCCCGTCCATCTCCCCAGCAAACAAAGAGCCCCGAAGCTTGTATCAGCAATCTCTATATGACCCTGTGCTTAGCAACGCTGCGAGTGGTCCGCGCTTGGTGTCGATCCTGAATTGCTTGGTACGCTCCCAGATCAACATTGATACAATTATTTGCGATGTCTGAAGTGCAGAGAAGCTCCTCGCCTGTCTCGGACATGGGGTTCCAACTGGTCGAGCCATTCTCCCTCTCGCCGCCATCTGCCATTCCCATCCTCCAGACGTCGACTCAGGCTAATGACGAGACCAATCCTAACCTCCAAGGTGTAGTTGATATGGGAAGGTTGGATCAATCCCCACACCTGCCTATTCGCTTGATCCTATGAGTCGCTCTGATGCTCTGCTGTTTGTGCTAACTTACATCAAAATAGTAATGGCATCCGCTTCTCTGTCACTGATATGTCCCCGGAACGTGCCCGTATCCTTCCCACCGTCCACGTCTACCGGGTAGATATTTCGCTCTACGATGCACAGTTTGACCCAGACACAGGGAAAAGGATCCCCATTCCTGCGCATGTGATTCAAAACGTCGTTGCCGCCCTCGTCCGGTTCCAAATTGTCTGTGTGGACCTTAGGGTTCCAAAGGAAAATATTCACATCGTCGCCACTGAGGCCACGCGCGGCGCCATCAACTCGGCCGAGTTCATCGATGCAATCAAGTCAGGGACGGGGTTGCAGGTCGAGCTTCTGAAGAAGGAAGACGAAGGCCGCATCGGCGCTCTTGGTGTCGCCAGCGGCTTCTCCCACGTGCAAGGGCTTCTGATGGATCTCGGTGGTGGCAGCACGCAGATCACCTGGATGATATACCAAGGTGGTACTGTACGCATCAGCGAGAAGGGTTCCTTCAGCTTTCCTTACGGCGCCGCGGCGCTGAGCAGGAGGCTCGACGAGATCACCAAGGGCAAATCAAAAAAGGATGCCGACGAGGCTGTTGCAGGACTGCGCAAAGAGATAGTGAGTAACCTGGCCGATGCGTATGAGAAGCTCAAGGTGCCGTCCAGCTTGATCGACATTGCGAGGGAGGAGGGCGGATTTCCGTTGTACCTCTCCGGGGGCGGTTTTCGGGGCTGGGGCTATCTCCTCCTATATATGGAGCAGACTCACGGCCAACCCCACCCGATATCGATCATCAATGGCTACACTGTCGGGAAAAGCAGATTCGAGGATACCAAAGCCTTGAAGGAGATTGCCAAGACTGCCAATAGCATCTTCCGCGTCTCTGACAGGCGGCGCAAGCAAGTTCCGGCCGTGGCGTTCCTGGTGAACGCATTGGCGGAAGCCATCCCCTACGGCATCCAGAAAGCCCACTTCTGCCAGGGCGGGGTGCGGGAGGGAGTGCTTTTCAAGATGCTGGGGCCAAGCATCCGGCTTCAGGACCCCTTGGAGGTTGCCACTGGACTTGTGGCACCGCCGTCAGCGCTGGAAATATGCCGGCTTCTACAGTCATCCGTGCCCCTACCGTCGCCGGGCCGCTCGCGCCGTTTCCCAGAGACCATCTCCTCGCACGTCATCCAAGCATTCGCCAACACCCTATATGTCCATGGAGTCATGGACAAGGAGCTCGCTTCCACCTCGGCCTTGTATAGCACAAGCACGGCACTGCTTTCGTCCACGCGCGGAGTCTCTCACGAGGACAGGGCACGACTGGCGCTCATGCTTGAATCCAGGTACATGGGGGAGCTTCCCCCACGCGAGGTCCTTTTCAAGGAACTTCTTCGCCAGCTCATCACGCCTGAGGAGGTATGGTGGGCGGCATATCTGGGACGCATTGGGTATCTGATTAGCCGGTTGTATCCCTCTGGCAAGATTCCCGAGGAGGAGCCGAGAGTTGTGCTATCGGCAAATTGGGTCTGGAATATGGGCTCTGCTGGCAACAAAGAGGGCGTGCGGTTGACCATTTCAGTTCAAAAGGTCGAGTCCGATCCCGCACAGCTCGCTCAGGCACTGCGAGACCATGTGCGCCTGATAGAGAAAGTAGGGAAAAGGAAGAACTGGATTGGAGGAGAGAACGGTTGGGGCATGAAGGTCCAGGTCGAAGTAGTAGAGGAAGACCTTGGATAGCTTGTTCCTGGTTGTAAAAACATTCGGTGTCTACTCTGTCGTACCAGACTTCATGCCCCATTGAAGGGGCGCAGCGCAAGACGGGCCGTCCTTCACGTGCAAGCTGTCACGTTTTAGCCTTTCACTCGAAACAAGTCCACTTCGCGTGTTTGGTCTTCCAAGCCAAGTAATTTCAAAACATAGTGCCTGGAGGAGAACTGTGGGCCACATGTACAGCACGCCGGGAGAGATCATGTACGCATCAACAAGAGTGTGCGCACATGGTCTAATCAGGTGCTGAGAAGCTATAGAGGTACGGGTAAGAAGCAAATCAGACCTAGACAACAACAAGATGTCATTCAGCATCGTGGTGACCTCAAAAGTTGCCTAAGCTCGACGTGAGAAAATCCCTGTTGCTTCACGTGGATCTTTGCCGGAGCGGCAGGCCAGCAGAAGAGAACATTTCTATTGTGGGTACTAGACATACACAACCCTTGATGTCGAGGTTGGCGACCTTTTCGCGATCTTGTGCACAGGTGGAATGCTGCTGTCACTATCGTCGCTGTCGCTGCTCAGCCCGCCATCGTCGGCCCTGCTTTGGCCAGCCGACACCCCAGCGCTAGCTGCTCTGGTTGGGGTGGTCCTCTCGTGTTCTTTTGTCTTGGCGGTGGACGCCGATACGGCGGATTTAATAGGGCTCGTGTTCACGCCGTTCACGTGCGTCTCTAGCCTCACTACTTTTTTGCGACTCGGCTTTTCCGTCTCATCGTCCGATATAGGAAAAGGCCCGTAAGAGGTGACGGCACTCGCGGCAGCTCTCATAGGTGGTTTGCGGCGTGGTTCCTGCTCTTCCTGAATCGTCCCGTCACTGGCGCTGGCCGGTTCTGGGATTGGCTGAGCAGTGTGCAGCTTGGCAGCGGTCGAGGCTCCTTTCCAATTGCCTCCCTTGCCCGACAATGGAGACACGTCAGCTGTCCTGGACGACGTTCCAGCTCCAACTGAGCCCAACTCGGGTGACGAGCATCGGTTCAAGATTGAGGCTTCAACGGCCGGATTGGTGCCATGGACAGGGCCCAGCCTCACGCATGACGTCTTGTCCGCAGGGTTGCCGAGATTGCGGTCTTCGATGGCATCAGTGACTGCACATATCACTGCGTTAGCGATTTGTGGTCTTGCATTGCTTGCCAAAAGTTGTTGAGAGTGATGCGGACGAACGTACCTCTGACAGCGTACTTTTCGTAGATGTCTTTCATCTGGCGCAATCCGTGGCCCCGTCCCTTGAAGTGATCAAGAGCGCGGTCACTGTCGAGCGGGTTGGCAGAGAAGTAGACTGTCATTCTGGCAAGATTGCGCGGGCTTGACACTTTCCGAGCGGCGCCTTCTTGTTCCCGGACCCGGTTCTTGCAGGCTAACTTGTTGCATCGAAGGACGTACAGTCCTTTGTGCTGGCCGAAATGGTGCACGCATTCATCCTCATTGACCTCGGTAATGCTGATGGTATTCTTCGTTGTCTGGGAGAGAGACAGGGAGAGAAAATGGTTAGTCCGCTGATATGAAGCACCAAAAGAATGGAAAGGGAGCTTACGAGATACGGTTTTGGCACCATAGGAGGCAGCTTGGGAGCGGCGGCGTCGGACGCGTGCTTTGCTTTCTTGGCGGCAGGCTGTTTTGTGGGCGTGAAGTAGTCTGTCACTGACGCCGAAGGCCTCTTTGCGCCTGCTGACGGATTGGCGGGAGTGAAGGTGATTTTCCCGTCGCGATATTTCGCGCTCACTGAGACGCGATCCTGTTGCCGTGGAGGCTTTGGCTTGGGGTCGGCTGGGCTCTGGGTATCTGGTCCCCGAGCCTGTGGTTGGTGAGAAGCTTCCGGCTGGCGGAGTTTCTGTTCTGGAGCCTTCCCCTTGGGATCGCCTCCCACTGCGGGTTTCGCCGGCTTGAGGTCCTCTGCAATCAGGTTGTCGGTGAAGCCGCTCATAGAACTCAGCCCGGATGAACCTGGGCTTGGAGACTGGGGGACGAATAGTGAGTCCTCCTCGTCACCAGCGTCTGGCACGTCTTCGATTGTAGCTTGGTAGCGTGCGCGAGGTAAATCCTTGATGGTGTTTGCCTGGGTGCCATCTCGTGTCTCCACACCTTTCTTTGGCGTGGGCACAGCAGCCCCCTGGCCTGGAGCATCGCGGATGTCCCTAGGGCCATCGGCCTTCGCCGGGGTCTTCACTTCTGTGAGCCACGAGTCTAGCTCCGTCGTTGCTTGGAGGAGGACATTGTCGATCTGCTCGTGGAGTTGGCGGGCTATGCGCTCCTTGCAGGCGTTGCGGCTGTTGTTGTACAAGTCGGCTTGCCTACCAATGTAGGCGGCAGGGTTTGGCTCTGTTCTTGGGATGTTGCGCAGACTGTCATCGTACTTTTGCTTTAGGGGGAGGAAGTGAAGTCTGAGAAGCTCCGCCTTGAGTGACAGGAGCAAAGTGAGGACTGGCGGGGCTAGTGTTTCTTGCGTTTGGGGCGACTTCCTTGCTTCAGCAGCCATGGCGTCCTGTCAGTTGTGATTGAGATCCAGTCGATCGATGACGGGATGACGACTTGCGGACGAATCTGACAGAAATAGGGATATATACCATTCCGGGAGTGTTCACCACAAAACCCGACAAAGGCCTCCCGCGAATCGGACATGGATTCTGACAAGGCGTATTTCTGAGGTGCGTTGTTGGTTCTGTGGGAACTCCTGGGATAGTTTCAGGCCTTGTCAAAGAACCCCCAGCCGCAACTCCGCCTCACTGCACTGGCGCATATCGTCCAATGAGGTAATTGCCCGCACGACCAACAACATCTTCTTGCTGCAAAGATAGCCGCCGGCATCAGCTGCTTTATCAGTGAGCGACCAGGGCGGTCTCTCAGAAGGCTGGGAGACATGATCGTGCCTATGACCCGGCCATGTTTTGTGGCCTCCGCCACCCTGACCAATACAGCATGGTCTCTAGTCGCCCCAGTGAGTATAGGCCGATGCTCGGTCGCATTAGATCGGAAGGACCCGTGCCCCTGCTTACAGATCAACTCGTGACTTTTGATGACCCAAACGAGGACGCTTCGTGCGTGGCAATTGGTGCCATGCGGATTGATTCATATGACAGCGGATTTCGCGATGGTATGTCAACAGTTACAATCAAAGCGAGGCCCTGTGTATTGACTCATTGCAGTGTAGCAGCCGAGCTGCTCAGGTGTCAGGGTCTGGGCTTGGCGGGCCTACGTCATAGTCGATGACTATCGCATTGCTGTCAGCAGCGCCCTTCAAGTGACAACAACCGGGTCAGCACTTGACTATTCATCGAATTATCTTCAACCCGGTAAACAATACCAAAAGTGCCATTCTGGAACATACATACTCGCCCATCTGTGGAAAACCCACAACATGGCAGCATCTCAATCTGTCGCGATAACATACGTCCCTGCCGACTGTGGTTCCATCATCCCCGGCAAGTCGAAAGCGCCACAAGCCTTCCGTGATGCCGGCATCGTCACGAGACTCGCGGACCGTGGCGTCTCGACCGTCACAGAGCACGAGGCTCTCTCAGCACCCGCCACACACTCCGTCGCCAAAATGGGTCCCCGCGGTGTGCGCAACGAAGAGCTTAACATCGAAGTGTGCAAGCAGGTGCATAGCACCATCTCGGACAACCTGCGCGGGGCGCCCCATGAGGCGGGCGGCCCACTGCCATTCCAGCTCATCCTCGGCGGGGAGTGCTGCATGTCTCCCGCCATAATGTCTGCATTTTGGCAGCACCAGCAGGACGGCAAGAGGGTCGGCCTCATGTATATCGATGCCGACTTGGACCTCGCTTCCCCGACGGATCCCGGGTCCACGGGCGTCTTTGCCGGCATGAACTGCGCCAACCTGCTCGGCTTCCCGGGCACGCTGGAGAGCATGAAGCAGTTCTCGCGTGCTCATGGTGGAGGATTCAATCCAGTCTGTGACAGCTCGAACCTCGTCTTCTTCGGTACCAACATGACCGCGGGTGCCTGCCCGGGGAACAAGACGGAGCACTTTGCCCACCTCTTTGACAACAACTTCAAGGTCGTCAGTGCGGCGTCTGTCGAACGTGATCCGGCAGGCCGAGCTGAGGAGGCTCTGCGGTTCTTGCAGGACCAAGTTGATGTCATTTTGGTCCATCTCGATGTCGACTCGATCGATCCGGTGTCGTTCCCGCTGGCAAACGTGCCCAATTACACCGGCGTGCAATTCGAGTCGATGATGCAGGCGCTGAGTGTGTTCATGGCGAGTTCCAAGGTGGCGGCTCTGACGATCGCGGAGGTCAACCCTGACCATGATCCAAGCGGGAGTATGGTGAGGACGTGGACGGATCGGGTGACAGCCATGCTCGCCGCGAGAGGGCACACATCATAGTATCGACATATCTTTCATCTCACATCTTGTTCTCAAGGCTTCACACTATTTCTACCAATGCAGCTCAGCACTGCGAACGAGGTGTATTCTTGTCTCTATCTCATGAAACTGGCATCAATCATATCCCACACTGCATTTCTCAACAAAAAACAATCTAATTTCCTGCCGCATCCACTTCGCTATCCGGCCCCACGGGGAAATGACTAGCAGCAACATTGCACTGATGGAACAACCGAACCTCGCCCTCGGCAAAAGCCCCCACGACACTGTGCAGCACGCCGCGGTTGTGGAACAGCACAAGATCGCCAACCTGCCAGTCGTGAGCGTACACATTCCTGGGCGCGATGCCCGGGCGCTGCAGGCGGTGGCAGATGTCGCGGACCTCGGCGAGGTCGTCGACCACGGTGCCGTCGGCGAGGTGCAGCCTGCGCACGGCGGACGGGTGGATCTGCAGCGCGAGCTTTCCCGTGAGCGGGTTCTTCCAGCACATGGGCAGGGTCTGGATCTGCGAAGGGTCCGAGGGCGGGAGCTGCTCCGGAGCCAGCTCGAGCCCTTGGGAGACCAGGCCCAGGCCGTCGGCGCGCGACTTAGCCGAGCTCATCCAGATGTATGGGTGCTCGGCGTACTCGACCTTGGTCGTGCGCGCGTAGAGCTGGTCCTCCGGAGACAGCTGGTCGTAGGTCGTGTAGCCGGATGCGAAAGCGGTGGTGCCGAGGGCCACGTCGAGAGTGTCGAGACTGTCGTCGTCGCTCGACATGTCGTCGTCGTAGTGGCATGTCTGGCGGCGGCCACCGCCGGGGACGCTGGCGGCCAGAAGCGTGGTCACGAGGGGCGGCGCGAGCTCACCGTAGAGAGCAGCGTCGATGTGCCAGCGGTAGAAGCGGGTGTGGTCGCGGTCGAGGTCCTCGGGGATGGCGGTGGCATGGAATGTCTTGTGGTGCGGGTGGCGCAGCTGGATATTGGTCAGGCCCTCGTGCTCGGCGACGAAGCCGTGGCCGATGACCTGGACCTGCGGCTGGTGGGGGATGGTCTTGAGGTCTGGGTGGAGGATGCTGCGCTTGGCGTCGAGCGTCTTACCGTGGCCGTACGAGGTCGCCGACGGGTCAAAGCGGCGGGTCAGCTCGAACTGGGCCTTTGGCGAGAGACCTTGCTGGTTCTTGAACACGACGACTTGGTGGGTGTAGAGGGCCTCGCGGATAACCTCGAAGTCGGCATCTGGAAACGTATACATGAGTCAGCCCATGTTTTGACAAAGGCAAGTGTATTGTATTGTGGAGCTTACCAGAGGAGGTTACCGATTCTACGGGTATTCTCCCTCATTGAGGTGGTGTCGTTGGCGAGAGTGTGCACGCCGTCTGCGTGGGTGCTTCATCTCATGGGGCTTTCGTGGCACGCGTTCTCGACGTGTGGTATCGAGACGGAGTGTTCAGTTGCTCTTTCATGTCTTACCCGTCAGGTTCTCAAGATTGGCGTTGGGGACGACTGCTCCAAAGTTGACACCAGACGACTCTGGTGCCTGGAGGGGCTCGACCTGTAGTCTCGACGAGATGGCCATGGTGGTGATGAGGTCTCTTGATGTGCTGGATGTTTGTTTGATGTGTTTGTTTAGAACGTTGTTATGAGAGGACAGGTGTTGCTTGATCAAAGACAGTCAAGAAAAGACGCCAGTGTCTTTATATGTAGTTACGCGTAAGTATGCTTGAAATAGCATGTGTCACGCCGCCCCGGATGCTTATCAGTACCCACCGCGCGGCGCCGGCCCCGGGAGGTGCCACTTTGGGGACCCACCACGGCCGCCGGCGGAACCCGCGCATTCGGTGGGACCGCCCACGCGGGGACCCAGAGGGCCTTATCAGCGGTAGTAAGCCGCACAGCGTACCTCTTTCTTCGTAGTGGTGGTGTGGCAGACTTGGCTGTGTCTTGTTCTGCTGGTGACTAATGGCCCCCCGATACCACGGCTGGGAATCCCAATTTTCCCCTCTTAATGGACTGGCCATCAACCAGAAACGGCGCAACCGTGCGGGTCGGAGCGGTCCGGGCATCCACGCTCGCCCGTCGCCCGTCTCCGGCAGGAGCATTTTGATCCCTGCCAATGGAGACACAGCACAACCACGGCACACCAGCTCGCATCCTCTACGGCAAGCACTCAGCGAGTGGTCACGATTACGCATAGGACTACCATGTTCACGAATGAATGAGGTTTTATGCTAATCTTTGGGTATCTTCATGCAGCATTATTTTCCTACATCCTTCATCCCCAACCTCACCTCTCACCAAGACTTTGCTGGGATCAGCTGTTGTTCGACGAGACGGTCGTGGTTCGCCTCAGCCCAAACATCTTCATCTTGCTCCCACCTTTGATACTCTTTGCACCGCTGCCACTGAAGGACGGCCCCGAGGAGATTGCTGCTGAAATAGACTCGGGCTTGATGTGCGTCTGCGGGAAGAACCCGGCCTTGCCGTTCTTGGTGATGCCCGACCAGCACCACTGCTCCTGGTTGGTCCCTGGTTATCGCTCTTGTTAGTACACCAGGAAAGAGCGCCAAAACACCAAGTCCCCGAGTGCAGCACTTACAGCTGACGTTTGAAATGACGTCGCCCTTGTCAAAAACCAGCCATCCCGCGCCGGCGTCCTTGGGTGTCCACTTCCACCGCGCCTTGAGCGTGACCCCGTCGTTGTTCATGCCCGGCAGCCTCACCTCTGATTTAGTCGGGGGCTCCAGCTCGATGATCTTGCTCGGAAAGTAACCACGCAGGCCGTCGTGCCACCCCCTGCACCACTTCCCATCGTATTGCTCAGGGAACTCGATCCCAATTATCCGCGCGCCGGCGTAGAACCGCAGGATACTGGACTCGAGATTATCAGGGCCGTATCCCTCGATGTGGGTCTTGCGCGCCACCGCGGTGGGCAGGCGCGCCAACTTTTCCGACTGCTCGTCCGTGACGACGCTGTTCGCGACCGCCGCGGACTCGGGGAAGTGCAGGTCGAAGTCCGCCGCGTCAAAGTGGTCCTTCGCCACCGTCCCGTAGAGCACAGTGACGCCGTTCACCGGCGGCAGCGGCTGCGGGTGGCGGGCCAGGTGCTTGAAGAGCTGGTCCTTGTTGCGGAAAACGGTCGCGTCGCCCTCGCGCGTAGTGCGGCCGTCCTGGGCGCAGAAGACGCAGGCAAAGGGCGTCGAGGTGCTGATGTTGGTCGACATGTGGCTCTTGTAGAGGAAGCGCGAGCGGTAGATGACGCCTTCCGTGATGAAGTTGGCGTTGGCTGTTTTGCAGATGCGAGTGTGTCAGGGAACTGGGGTTTCTTGCGTTGCGTCACGTCCTGATTTGCCTGAGGACTTGGGGGCTAGATCTGCTACTCACCTGCTCTGCGCATGTCGTTTTGTATCCGAGCAGTATCTTGCCTATACTCACAGCTGATGCACTGATTCTCAGACTTCTTGTCCAACTACGCCCGTCCACAAGTCAGCACAAGCTTCAACGTCTTCACCGGCCAGGGAAAGCTCACATAGTCGTAGACTATCTTCGTGCCGGACTCTAAGCCATCGGTCCTGAACGCGAGGGCTCCCCTGCAGAACCCGCCCTGCTGATAGAGACTGCTTTCAGGGCCGATCGAGCAGTTCGCCTTGCGACTATACCAGATGGGCGTGGCTGATCGACTCAAGGACTGGCCCTCGTCCTCGCGGGCAAGCATTAGCCCCGTGTCGAAAGACTGTGGGTCCGGATGCTGGATAGGCAGCGGCTGTTCCTCGTGCTCGGCCAAAGCGTCCATTCGTGAACCGGGCCGAGCTTCGACCTGCTCGCCCCTGGCATCAAGATGGACCATCGAGCTTGACCGGATGTTGTGACGCTGATAGTTTTGATCGAGCGTCGTGAAGTCGTCTCCATTACTGTGTGAGGTGTTCGACGACCGGCGCGCGGTCGTCTCTGGACTCGCCGGTCCGTCAAACACGGAGCTCGCCCGTCTTGAGCTGTCACTGGTATACCTGTTGTTAGGATGGCGGATCTTGGCATGGCCATTTGTCGCCGCCAGCCCAGGGATCGTGTCCTCCGGGATGGAGTCGCGAAACCGCGCCTGTGGGGGTTCGACCGAGTTGGCCTGCTCCGTAACCCACGCCGTCGTGCGTGGAATTGTCCAGGGAGAGCCAACTGGGAGTGGTGGTGGTACTCCTCCTTGCAAATGCTGCTGCTGCTGCGGCGGCGGCGGCGGCGGCGGCGGCGGGCTCTGCGCGCCGCCCTGCACGAGCCGAATCTTGTGCATCTCCTCACCTAGGACTTCGAGATTCGGCGACACGCGGTGTGCAGCCTCGGCGACCTCGAACTGCACTGAGCTGTGATGGTTGGTGCCTGCCCGCGATGAGGCTCTCCTGGCCGACCCCTGAGAGCTGTGAGACATGCGGGTGTCGTTCCTCGTCAGGCCATCGGCCCGGCTGCTTCGCATGCTGGTAACCCCATTAGCACGGACGGCCGGCAGAGGAGGCACGTTATGGTGGTTGTGGAACGAGGCGTGCGTCGCCTCATAGGCCGTTTGCGGGCGTGAGGCAGCAGATTTGGGCGATAGTGGCGGCAGCGGTGGCAGTGGCGGAAAGGTTAGCTGTGTAGGATCTGGCGAAGTGGGCGTGATGGGTGTGGATAGTGGTTGAGGCAGCCCCCTGGGGACTGGTGCGTCAATCTTCATTGTCTTGATTGTTTCGATGGCTGATCTGGCAAACGACCTCGAGGCGCTCTGGAGCTGGGTATATCGCTCGGCCTCGAACGTGTCCAACTCTGTATAGTCGTCAAAATCATACAGCAGGTCCTCCAAGACACGACGGCCCTCGGCGATTGTAGCTGAATCGCGCTGTTAGTGTGTCAAGCTCGTCGAGGGTTCGAATGTGTCACGGGTCTTACAATCATCCCGAATTGCTTCGGTAAAGGCATCGCCGTACTTTTCCAACTGCTGCTCCCATAAGGGCTGGAGCCTACCCAGCGCTCTCTCACCTTCCTTGACCACACTTGCAGCCGCCTTGGCCATGACCTTGGCCTGGTCGGGATCCTCATCGGCAGCATCGCCGGCGTTGGCGATTGCCTCCTTACCACGCTCGACGAGCTCCCGGAAGGGCTGGATGACGAGGTCCTCTGCATCGATGGCCATGGCGTCTAGACCGTGCTTGGTCCGTGGAGAGAACCCCTGCCACGGTCCTATTTTCGGCTCTCGTGGTCAGAGTCCCGGCTGGCGGGGTTCTTTCACGTCGCGAGAAGCTGCAGCAGGCCGCAGGTAGGGCCAGGTGATCGACACTGGTGCGGTGGATGCAGGCAATTGACGGGACGGTCAAAGTGAGAGAGAACGGTTGGAAGACGACTGACTCAGGATTGGATCCAGGCGGGACTGGTGGACGAGCGAAGCGGCTGGCTCAAGGTACTTGTTTAACACAAGCGATTGCGCAGTAGCCAGCAGGGGTTTTCAGCGGGCTTCTCCGTCGAAAAGCAGATGGCCTCGGGTCAACTCCAGCTCCAGATGTGGCCTCGTGAATAACGACGCCGGCAGCCGGAATGAGGAGATCGAATGTTTGTCCCCGGTGCCTTTCAAGGGGTACGACAGCACGTCAAGGACCAGGAGGACACGAGTCTGGGTCTGCAATAGATTAAACGCGGCCGCCACAGCCGGGGGTTTGTCCATTTTGGCTCAAGCACCAGGAGGGAGGCTCAAACGAATCTGACACCGAGCTGCCAGCCGCGGCCACCGAGAGAGGCCGTTGAGCCTGTCAGGACAACATCGGGCAGGCACCAGTCGAGGTTGGCGGACTGTTCCACGGGGGGCAGACCCAGGGGCCTAGGGCAGAGTGGCGTGCTCTTGGGGTGCTTATTGGCCATGTCAAGCATCCGGCATCAGGGGCACTACGCTCCCCGGCCGCAGCCACCACCAATCGGCACGCTTGTTGCACACACGTGGTGGACCTGCTCGACCTTATTTGCACCCCAGAATTCGATCGCAGTCGCTCTCCTGGGCGATCTCGCGCGCGGTGGCCCAGGGCTGGAGGGGAGCCCCCAGGTTCTGCCTCGCTTCGAGCTTTTTTTCGGTCTGGACACTGCTTCAGCTGTGTGACTGGCGTGTTTGATTTTCAATGGTCACTGCAGCCTGCCAATCGCTGCTCCAGGCAACGCATGCACGTCATCAAGCGATGCTGCTCGATGCAACCAAACGTTTCTCGCTGCCAGCGAATGATCTCGTTCGGTCCTGGCGAGCCTTGTACAAATATGTGACAGGGCACTAGCGTAACTATCATCAATGTCGGTTTCGGCTGCGTCCTTCAGGGGAGATCAGAGTTCTGCCCTGGTGGAGATTACACCCGCACACTCGCTTCATAACCCAGCAAGCATTTAGCCTAACCTGGATCTCGGTCATGCAGGTCAAGCCCCTGTTGGAACTCTGAACCCGTCCAGCGTCTGGAAGCGGCATCGTCAAGTGAGTCATATCGAGCGAACCTGGTCCAGGCGTGGGACAAAGACACCCAGGGCGGGGTTGGTATGGTGCCTGACGTTCTCGGCCGAGCTGCGCCGTGGCTGGTAACGGCGCGCATGGCGCAAACGTCGTGGCGTCTCCACCGAATCTGCGCGGAGTATTCAATATCGGTTCGAGATTGACAAGCTCACGTCCAAGGTGCATATGACAGAGCCTCGTCCTCCTCCCCTTCCCCCCGCGCCTTGGCCGGCACAACGGCTGGTGGCGCGAAATCCAAGCGCTCCAAGGCTTCCCGCGCCGTGTGGAAGAACGGGCTGTCCTCGCCCACAGCATCTCGCTCCAGATCCAACGCCTTTTTCCCCATTCTCTGCGCGAGCTCTTTGTCGCCCATGGCCATCGCATGCCGTGCGGCAAGCGAGTACAGCGATGCTGTCTCGCGACCAGCAAGGCCCTCGGCCTCGTACGCCTCGGTCAGTCGGCGCACCATGGCGAGCAGCGTGCTCGGGGCCGAGGCCAGCTCTGTGCTGCCAGGCTGCTGCTGCGAGGACCTGGCAGCGTGGGAGTGGTATTCCCGGAGCAGCTTGTGGTGCTGCGCCCTCCGCGCATCGCTTGCTGTGCGAGCATCACTCGCGGCACAGATGGGACACCCGCATTCGAACCCATAGCCGGCTTTCAGACTGGCCTGCCGCGCCGCCCGGGGCGCCATCTCGTCGTGCAGATACGAAATTGTGATTTCCTCGTCGGCGGGGATGTCCCTCAGGGAATGGATGGTGAAGTGCCCCCAGGTGGCGTTGAAGTTACCCTGGGCGCTGGGGATGCACGAGTGGTTGAGCCGCGCGACTGTCGGGAACAGCGCACGGGTGCCGGCCTCGTCGCCGATTGCAAAGTTGTTGTTGTAGAAGACATTGAGGACGCGGCGGTTGCTGGCCAGGGATGCCTTTTTGCGTGTGAGAATGTTGCTCAGAGTCGGCAGCAGGCTCAGGGCGAGACTCGCTTGCCGTGCCCTGCGGCTGTCGTTGGTCGAGAGCTGCAGCAGCCTGGCGACATTGTCGTTGCTGAGGAGAGACGCCGCCCTGAGGACGTCGGGCTGGCCCCTTGTGATGCTCAGCAGGGGCGGCTCTGCGAGGAGGCGCGTGCCGCGGGGGATGTGTCGCGATGCGAAGACGCCGAGCCCCTTGGCTCCGGCGCGGCGAACATGGAACATTCAAGGACCGTGCGTGCGCATGCTTGGAGGTGCTTCTCGGGCGTGCTACTGCTGTGCGTGCCGCCGGGGTCGAAGGCTTGCTGGGGTGGTGCGGTTTGAGTATAAGAAGGTGCTCGCGTGACTTTGCAGACGGCAAAACCTGGTTACGTCTGGGTTTGGTCAGAGCCCGCTAACACCGTGATGAGAGTTTTGCTGCCAATACTGTTAGCGTCCTTCTCTCCAGCGGCAGCGAGCTTCGTGTGGCTCAGGGGTCTTGCGGAGAAAAGGACCCTGAAAAGTCGCGCTCTGCAAGGGGGCCCGCTTTCCATTCGCAGTGCTTCCATCACCAGCAATACGACATCGTTCACTTTTGTGACAACGCGTTCTCAACCATTGTCATGCCGGCAATTAACGAGGCCTGGCATGGAGTCCAATCTTCGCCGGTGCTAAGCAAGGCCGTGTGTGCAAACGATCATTGAAACCACCATGCAATACCTCGGATGTTTAGAGATACTGCTGGGTTGGACTGAAATCTCTGCTTTGCATCTGACCTCTTCTTGATAGATCATGCATCCCAGTGATCATTGTGTATACTGTCATTTGTTCATCGGCACTCAACATCCTTGAGGCTTGTGCATTTAAAACTCCACTCCAGTGTTTCCTTCTGCAGCTCTTTTCGCTGGGCCATACAACCCTAGGACGCTGCATCACTTGTCCCTCTAGTCGAGATGCACTGGCCTGCAGCTTCCGTCCGACTTTTATCTGGATTGCATCACACGATCCGGATTCTCGCCTCTCTTGTGTCATCCGCGCTCTCCAGGGCCGACACCATCAGGAACGTCACGATGTGCTCCTGGCTCGGGATCGAGGCCAGTCCGACCCGCCTGTAGACCTCTCCCTCTCGATCGACTCGCTCCAGAAGCATAACTATAAGATCAGTGCTTGTTCTTGAGGTCATCAAAGCCATGCCGTAGATCGAGTGCTTCGGTACTCCGTCATCCGTATCCTGCTCCTTGGCGTCGAGCTCGACGGGATTGTAGAAGATGCCATCAGCAGTCACCCATCCTGTCCCCTCCAGCTTGGCTATCGCCAGATGGCGTAGTTTGCCAGTAACCTCGACGTAACCGCCCGTCAGATTTCCCGTCGTCGTCCCGCTGTCCGCGTGATCAAGGTGGACCGCCTCGACCGTGATCAGCGACGTCCAGGGCCTGAACCTGTCTCGCACCATGATAAGGCCATCGACACAGGCCCAGGACCAGCTCGGGGCACGGTACTCGAGCGGCCTGACACCTTTGGAGTTTGGCGACACAGTCCAGGCGAGATCGATGGCGAGGCGCGACCGCCACATGCCAGCGACGTACTCGTCGCCGAATATGCTCTGCAGCTGCTGCGCAATGCCGGACAGAGCAATCAGCTTGTCCCCCGCCACTGTCAGGGCGCTGCTGGTATACGCGCTGACCATGCTCGACCAGATGCTGGCCATGGCCTCTGCGAGGTCAAGATCACTATCGGCGCCAGGCTGGCTCTTCAGCCGGGTCAGGTGCTGCTCCGGGTCCTGCACCTTCAATCCAGCCCCCGGGCCTTGACTCCTGATCGTATCGGGCATCCCCTCTGGATACGTCTCGGCAGCCTCGAGCTCGCCGCATTCCCAGAACAGCTGCTCGTGCCCAAAGTACAGGATGCGGGGGGACAGCATCCGCTCCTGGAACACCCACCCTCGCCGGTTCAGCGGGCACCACGGCACGTTCCTGGACCACCCGTCGGCGTCGGCAAACGTCACTGGGAGGTAGGCCTGCGCCTCGTCCAGGCCCTCCATGCACAGGTTGACGCTGGCCTGGATCGTCCTCGGGTCCCGCGCGCGGAAGAGGCCCTCCGTGCTGTCCCTGGCGTCGGACGCCGAGAGGTTGCAGTACGAGTGCGAGTAGACCTTGTGCATCAGCGCGGCCTCGCGGAACCAGTCCGACAGGTCGTCGCGGTCCTGGATGATGCAGAGCGAATCAATCCAGATGTACGAGATGCCGAGCTTCTTGGCTGCGTGAAGAGCTTCTACAAAGGTCTTGGGGAGCTTTGACAGTGGGATGCGGGTGCGGAACGAGGAGATGTTGTCGTTCAGGAGCTGGATCAGCTGCACCTGACCCCAGCGATGACTGAGGGTCACGTACGGAGTGGTCGGAGCCTCCTCGGCGGTATGGATCAGTCGTGTGGTGTCTCCGTCGCTCGTAAGGTCTCCGATATGAATAAGCCTGGTAGGGAACCAAGCTTCCGTTCCACGGCTGCACAAGTGATGGTGAGAGCGGCAGGTCTCAATCCATGCCTTGGCTTGCTCGAAGCTCTCATCGGAGAATGTTGTCGATGAGGTCACCTCCAGCTTTGAAGGTCGTGGAACACCGGCCCGATCAGGCTGGAGAATGAAGCAAGACATCCCCATGGGCATAAGCTCTCTGCTCAGGTACTCGTCGCTCGGGTATACAGACAAACTCAATGTGAGCTTGTCCCCGCGACGATAGCAGTTGAGGGAGCCCACACAGAACGTATGCGCGGCGTTGGCTTCTCCGCGCTCCTCTGCGAGTCGCGCGGAGTCCCATTGAGAAGCTGGATATTGTTTGCAAAGGTCGTGGCACACTTGGCAACCCTCCTGCGCGGATTTCAGGAAACTGCTAGAGGTCTCATGGTGCGAGAAGGTCAACCAGCCCCCGCGATTTGACCTTATGCCACGACGATGCTCGAGAACATTTACGCAGACCTGACAAAGCATCGTAAAGGGAATGGCGATTTTGAAGGGCAATATTCGATCGATTTGGAGGTCTATGGACGGCGGCCAAGCCCTGCCATTCCAATTTTTCTGCTGACAGGTGGGCTGGCCGCGTGCGGGGACTGCCTGACCGACCCCGTCACATTGTTTGCTTGGCATCTTGTCCCTGAACTCCAACTGCGCCCACTGTTGACCTACGGAAACCAAACGCTGTAGCAGAAATCGACGGCCTTGCATCTCGAACGGATCTGTATACTGTTTGACTTACTGTACGAAGGATATCCTCGAACAGTCTTGAACGGGAAAGGTCGCAAGCCCCGAATTGACCGAATTGGCAATAGGTGTAGAAAAAGCAAGTCGCAAAAGTGACCTTTCGTCACGGCTCATCAGCCTTGGCAGCCTCGTCGGAGACTATGATCCTGGATGGAGATCGGCGTGGGTCTCATCTTTGATCTCGTCGGGCTGATCCATACGGAGTCTGCCGTGATGGCCCCCAGACCGGGCGGTTCATAGTGCTCCCTTGCCGAAATCACGAGCAGGAGCCAACAGCACAATGCCAAGGCACTTATGCATTAAAAAGCAGCTCATTGGACCTGTCCCTGAGACATATTGTCGCGCAAGGGGTCAAGTGGCTTGCTTGAAACAATTTTAATCGGGTTCGGATTCACCAGTCTTGGACACTAGTGGCGCCCGACTTGGCTCAGCCTTCGCCCTGCGAGACGCAGGAATCTTGGCCGGGCACAACACAGGTCCGTCAGCTATAGAGTCCTAGCCGGCGGAAGAATCGACTAGATTGTCAGCCGTCGGCGCAGGTTTGAGGAGAATTGAACTAGTAAAGTGCCAGGGATGGCTGCATGTAGCTCGCCCTGAAGGACTATAAACTCTACCACTCGTCTACCGGAGGGCATGACGCAAGATCCCTCTCCTTTGCGCACTTGCATACTCTGCGGAATCCTGTCAACGGACCCTCGGCGCAGATGTTTTTCAAGTCTACCGCCATTGTGCTGCCGCTGGCTGCCCTGCTGGGTAGCTCAGTAGGCAAGCCCTGCAACAAGCCTACCTCCGTTACCACCACAAGGGAGCAAGGATATCCCACCCTCGACAACGGCTTCCCGACCTACACCACGTCAACCGACCCTACTATCAGCGCATCTTCGTTGATACTCCCAACAGAAACCGAGTCGAGCTCCATGTCGGTCACTTCGAGCAGCACAGTCTCTGACTCCAAGTCTTCATCAATTTCAAGCTCTACTGAGTCAAGCACGACATCAGCTTTGGAGACCACGAGCTCTGTGGAGTCATCTTCGACCACTTCCTCGACCACTTCCTCGACCACTTCCTCTACAACTTCCCTGACCACTTCGTCCTCAGTGGCCATATTCACGCCCACGCCCACGCCGCCAGTCTGCACCCCGGCCGGCGGCCCTTGTTCTCTCGACGAGCCCGGTGCATGCTGCAAGTTCATTTGTGTCGATTTTCCAGGCCAGCCTTTTTGTTTGTGAAGCTCAGAAATTGCAGCAGGCAGAGATGAGCATCACTTTTCGAGAGCAGGCAAGGAGATGCCGCCGTTGTAACATGCGCCGGATGCGAGACTTGATACACGAGAGAGCATCATCAATCCACACACCTTCAACTCCACTGCTGTGCATCCATCGCAGTTTGGATGCCGGCGAAAACTGTGCCCACTGGCTTGTTGCCAAAGCTTCGCCCGTGCTACGGCACTGAACGGCAGAGGAGCTACCAGGATTGTCCTGCGTCGATCAGGGAAAGTCGATTTGCGCGAAGTTCGCCGGCCCGTCCCTCATCGCAGTACAAGATCGACCTACGACGCCAGGACCAGGATCACTATTCTAGCTTGGCCACGTACCTGACAGCTGAGCCGACATGTGCGCCCTCTCATGCGTTACCCTGATCTGGTGCCGGGGGGCTCTATTTGGCGCAGACTGTCAATCACCTGGAGCCTCAGATGCTGTCGGGATTATGAAGTTTTCGCTCTGGCATGACGGTCAACTCGGACCTTGACCGATGCACTTGGTGCTTGGTAGCTCAGTGGTTGGCGCAGCAAGACTAAATAAGCTATATATCTTTGATCTTCCTGGATTCTACCATAATAAGACAGGTATATATTTTAGGCCGACGGATATTTTGCCTTTCAGATATTCTGCTATAACGTATAGCTACCTGCGGATATATACTTTCTAGTATCATCTTTTAGAGTCTTTTTGTGAATATATGTTCTAGCAATTTATTTGATCTTGTTTGCACGGATGTCAGCCTCTTAGCTCGGATCTGGAAGATATTGCAACCGACACGAAGACAAATGTTTTCGAAACGGGTTTAGGCCGAGTCCATGGGCTCCTGATGAAGCGGTGTGGACTACCTATCTTGCTAGCATGTGAGACATATTCCGGTAAAAGCCATTTATTGTTTGCACCAAAACTCCGCACGAGCGGCCTTTTCTAGCCATCGCCGCCCTGCAAAGTGGCTCCGTCTCTCTCAAAGAACAGGATAACAACCGGGAAAGGCGTTCCCAGGGTTATACTTGTTCTTGAGCGCCCTCAACCTCGCAACTCCCTCCTCGCCGTAGATAGCAACAACGTCGCAGTCCTCATTCTTCGTAAAGCTCCAGTAGCAGTGGCCCAGCGCCAGCTTCCGCCTGTCGCGGATCTCGCGATTCAGGGCTTCCGCCCAGTTCTGGATCCGCGCAGTGCCCTCCTCGCTCGTGAATCCCGGATGATCCCGGCACGCCAGCAGGCCCAGGACATAGTGCCGATCGCGCAGGCAGTAGGCGGTCGCCGTGTTGTCGTCGCCGCCGTCGTCGTCGTCGTCGTCGTTGTTGGCGAGCATCTTGCCGTGGGCGTGGTGGATGACGATGTAAGCCCCCTCGGGGGCTGGGGATGCCGCGATGGCGTCGATGAGCTCGTCGGAGAGGCCGCTTACCGACACGCTCTCGAAGTAGAACGATGTGTTGTAGGGTGTCGTTGTGTCCATTACCTCGCAGAAGGCCAAGGTCGTAGCTGTGTTTCAGAAGAGATCGAATCAGTGTTACTTCGCTCTTATCGTTTTCCCCCGGTTCTCGTGGACCTCCTCTCTCGTGTCGTCGTCGATGCATCGTCGCCTGCTTGATACGGGGGGACTCACTTTGCGAAACCGTGTCCGCCACCACCGTGCCCAAAGCGCGGTACTTGGCCAGGTACTCCTGGCCCTCGGCGGCGTTCTGCTCGGTTCCGTCCAGGATCCAGTGGAAGAAGACGACCACTGCCGGCACGGCGGGGCCGAAATCCCTGGTGGAAGCCTCGGCCGCGAGCGCGGACGGGATCCCCTGGTCGTACATGTCCTCGAGCCCGCCCAGGACCTGGCGAGCCTCGGCAAAGGGAAACACGAGGAGGCCCGCGAGCACCCGCGGCTGGGGGTACACCTTGACCCGGAGCTCCAGCACGACGCCAAAGTTGCCGAGGCCGGCCCCGCGCAGGGCCCACAGCAGCTCCGGGTCGTCGTCCGTGTCGACAATCTCGCCCCGCGGGGTGACGACGCGGGCGCCGAGGATCTGGTCCGCCCCGGCGCCGTAGTACGACCCCAGCAGCCCGTACCCGCCGCCGGCCGCCCACCCGGCGTACCCGACGCTGATGCACCACCCGCCCGGCGTGGTGAGCCCGTGCGCCTCGAGGGTCCGCCAGACGTGCCGGATCAGACTGCCCCCGCCAATGACGGCATGCCGCCGCTGCGTGCCGTCGTCCTCCACCACGCGCACCGTGTCGAGTTCGCGCATGTCGATCATCACAGCGTCCGAGCGCGCGTTGCGCATCTGCAAGTCGTGGCCCCCGGCCCGGATCGTCATGGGGACCCCCGCGGACGCGCAGAACTTGACCGCCGTCGCGAGCTCCTGCTCGTCGCGCGGCCGCACCACCGCCAGGGGATGGGCCGTGTTGGTCGAAGCGAGGTTGAAGAGCAGGCGCAGCTCGTGGAACTTGGGGTCCGAGGGATGATAGATGGGGATGCCTGCCGGGAACCCGGACAGGATGTCGGCCTCGGCCCCGGCCCGGGACTCTGGAATGTCGCCGCCCATGGTCACGTACTTTGCGGCTTCTGGGGTTTTGCGCTAAAAGTGAGCTTTTTCTTTCTCTTTCCTTTTCAAAGTAAATTGAGTAGTATCCAAGGCATCACCGAAGGCAGTCAGTCCAGGGGAATGAGTCTGCTCAAGGAGGGCTTTACGATGAGAACGAATTCACCTGGACCCGAGAGACAAGCTATCCATTTATACAGAAAGGCACAGGCAACCAAGAAAAAACAAAAGACATTCCAAGCTTGTTACCTGCTACCGGGCGATGAATCAGCCGCCCTCGAGGACCGTGCCGATTGGCACACCGACCAGAGCCACTGCCCGAGTTCTCACGTCAGGACGGGAAGATTGATAGTTTTTTACTTTCTTACGTATGCCATCATCCGTGGCCCACCCATTTTGGTATTTGTAACTAGGCAAGAATGGACTTATGGTTCCTTCCTCCTGCACGACCAATCAGCAATGGGCTCCCGCCACCCACTGCCTATCGCGCGTGTGACACAGAACTCGAACCCCGAGTTTTCTGGGGGACGGGCACCGTGGGTGAGCAGCGTGCTCACACGATTTCCCCGGCTTGCCAACTCACGGCGGTATGCATTGGTCGAGCATGGTAAGGAAAAGGGCAAAGGGGGGGGGGGGGGGGGCATACGGACACATACACCCAGTCCTTGGCAAATAGCGTTCCTTACTGCGTGCATACGCTTGCTTACCATAGACCATCATAAGAAGTGGCATGATTGCTGGGCTTAGAATGGCTGCTAGTTTGACAATTATGTAGCGATGCATGCGGACCCTTCCCAGAGCATCTCCATAAAACAATCGTCTACCACAGCGCCCGCAGATTCTTGAACCCAAGGAGCATGTGAAACTGCCAAAATGTGATGCCGTTCCCAAAGAAAAAAAAGCGCCGTCGGCCCAGCCACGCCATCGTGACTCCAAACACCAAACAAAGCCGAGCAAGCAGCAAACAATGAACAACACCCTGCCCTCACGGATGCCAAATTACAACTCAGATCCCACCCATGAATCCTGTCCGGCCTATGCCAAGGGTCCCTTCCGTGTCAAACCCACGCAGCGTATCCTGCCAGTTCTGCCAACTAAAGTCCTCGTCCATGTTGACGTCTGGATCCACGCCTTCGACATTTCCGCCCACGGGGCCACTACCCCACTGCTCCGTCCACAGCCAGGATGGGGGATTCTCGCTCAGTAAGGGTGTGAGGGCAGCCTGTGGGTTCATCATGTTGTTATTGCTGCCATTGACACCGCTCGTGGCGCCTGCACCATTTGCCGGTGTTATCGGCCCGCTGTACGATTTGCTACTTGGTGAATTGAATGTTCCAGTCAGGTTGGCTGCATTGCCAATGAAGCCCATCGTGTTCTGTTGTGGCTGCTGCTGCTGTGCAGGCTGCTGTGCAGAGCCTGTCCCGTTCGGATCGTAGGCGCCAGGGGCGAAGATGCCTCCGTAAAAGGCTGCATGGCGCAGCTGATCCATCGTACTCTCGCCCGGAAAAGCGGCGTCGAACAAATTGGATGTTGTAAACGACGGGTCCGTCATGACTTGGTTCAGATATTCTTGTTGCTGTGGGGTCGGCTCGCCTCGTGGTACCACCTGGGCTTGAGAAGAGGCTGCGGATGTTGAGTTGTTGCCGCTCACGGCATTTGCATTTTCAGTCTTGGGGTCGAGCCCCTCGCGGCCGACGAGCTTGCGCCATCTTTCTTGGGCCTGCGCATTGCGCATGGAGGCTGAGAGATGCCGGAAACTGGCAGGTAGCAATCGGTTAGATTCCGCCAGGTCGAGCTGTCGCGCAGCCTCGGGGTCTGCGCGCAGGCGCACTAATTCCTTTTCCCGATGTCGCCGGGCTTTGATCATGAGCTTGCGCATTGGAACCCAGACCGAAGCGTGCACAGAGGCCATGGTGCAGTCGGCTGGCTCCGGATCCATGAATGTGGCACTGAGCGCTTGCCAGCCACGCTCGATCGATGCGGACCACGGGCGGCGAATGACCTGGATCAAGACAAAAGCGACGGCGTGCCACTGGGTGTAGGTTTGGAATAACCACCGCCATTGCCGGCATACTGGTTCCGAGTTGAGCACCTTGGTATATTCCACCAGGTCCACCGCTGCGAGGAAGATCCGGTCCTGCATCTCTTGCGAGAGCACTTCTTCCGACTCGCACGTGGAAAACAAGGGCTGGTACATCATCAGGCGGATCTTGGCCATGATGAGTCGATGTATGGTGGCGGCAGTCCACTGCAGCGGATGGTTCGCCTTGTCCGTAGACTCGCGCAAGTATTTTTCGTCTATCCGCTTGTGGAGAGCCTCGAGCGTCTCCTCGCGTTCGGCAACGGTGCCAAGACTGTCTTGGGCGGCGCCTTCGATGCCGCTGTGTGCGATGTACACTTTTCGTGCGAAGCTGCAGATTTCGAAACGCACCAGGCAAAACGTCGAGTCGGTCGCGCCCACGCGCTCCTCTGGAAAATCGGTCGATTCTGGATCAATGTCCACATCATTGATGTTCAGTGGTAATCGTGTGTCGAAGCTACCTTCCGGGATGCTAAGCTCGGTTCCCTGGTCTTCGGCGCCTCGCAAATCAATGACACACATGGCCCACCATAGTCGGCGGCGCATCTCGACGTCGAAAGGTTTGAGCCCCTTGAGCGTGGTGCCTTCGCGATGCAGACCCATGGAGTGGCCCATCCGGGTGAGGACGGCGGTCAGAGTCCAGGCAAACCTTGTCTCGTCGTGGCGGCGCACGAGGACGAGGAAGAGAGCAAAGGCTTGCGCAACGACAATGTCCGTGGATGTGAGAAAGTTGGCTTTGGCGAGGGCCTGCTCACATGCGAAGCGATACTGGTTGATGAGGCCATCCTTCTCCACACCGAGGGTGGAGACCACCTGCATACCGGGAGATTAACCAGATGCTCGGCACGAGGACAGCAGATGCATGATATGGGCGACGACGGGCAACTCACCTCTGCGGGTTCCATGGAAGTGATGGCGGAGTAGTATATGGAGAAAAGTAGGGCCTCCATGGCAGGCGAAAGGTCGCTCATGTTGTGTCTGAGCGCGCGAATGGTTTTGCTCATCGTGGGTACGTGCAAGATTTTGACCAGAGGATCCACGTTGTCGACGTAGACCTGCCAGATGAAGGGAATCTGTGTTTGTGGCGGGTGGAGGGAGCTCAGGTCGACATCAGACGACCGGTAGCCCAGGACGAAGCTATGGTGGTCGCCCTGCACAGCGTATTCGTGCGTCTCTGGCGAGTCTTCGTTATCTGAGAGGTCCGTGTCTGGATCGCTAAGCTGTTGTGTCTGCGCCTTGAGCTCGTTGATCTGGAGAAGAAAGAAGAAAGAAAGTCAGAATGGTTGCGAATTTGTCAGATATGGCAGACACGCCAAACGCTTACCTCATCGTTGACCTTGGCCCAGAACGCATTGCTGATATATTTAGTCTTGCCCCTGTCGTTGACGACGAGGCGGCCAAAGTCCCTGCGCACGCCAATGGTAGGACTCGACACGCCCGAGTCCAGCGAGCGCCGGCTGGCCTTGACGGTATCTCCAGGATCCGAGTGAGGGGCGCGGCGCTGTGAAGCATCGAGATTCAGGCGGCGGTCGTCGTGGGCGGAGTCGGTGGCGGCAGTTGGGGAGCCGTCGTTGCTGCCCGAGTGCTTTGCGGTCTCGATCTCGACCTGGCCGCTGAGGTCCTCGACGATGCCTTCAAGCTTGCGGAGGCGCTTCATGAGCTCGACCTCGCGCTCGCTGGCCTGTTTTGGTGGCGCATTTGGGTCCTTGGGCCTGGGGCGCCGAGGGGCGCGGCCGGGCGCGGGAAAGACGCACTGGATGTTTGCCTTGCGGCAGTTGCCGCAGGGCATGTGCTTGTCGCAGCGGACCTTGCGCTTGCGGCAGACGACACAGGAGCGCGGATTAAGGGCCTCGGAGGGCGGCAGAGAGGGGTCGAGGGTCATGGGCCCCGTTGGAGTAAAGGTCATGGGCATGGTGGTGCGCGGCGGGCCGGCAGTGGGAGCATAGCTGGTGGGCGGGTTGGCCAACGGAGGCTGAGGATGCGGGTCGAAGAGATCTTGGGGCGTCGAGGTGGACGAGACAGTCGAGAAGTCGTAGGCGCCGCCATTGGGCTGGGGCGAGAGGTTGGAGCCGGAGAAGTCCATGGCTACGAGTGCCGCGGCCGAAGCAGAAGATTGATTAGGCGAGGCAAGGTGGTGAGTAGAGGGGCGCAGCCCACCAGTGGGCGCAGGAAGAAGGTGGTGGGGGGAGTCGAGGCTGGCGAGAGGTTGTTAGTTGGGTGAGGCCTGACGAAGTTGAAGTTGGTGTTGATGGGAGGGTGCGACGCGCAAGCACGCGGCAGAGGGCGGCACCAGAGGCGGGCGGCGAGGTTGCGTCAGAGAGGCATGGAGGAGGAGCAGGATTGGAGTGCGGATGGGGAAAAGACTGGTGTTGGTGGTGGTGGTGGAGAAGGAGTAGCGCTGACGGCAGGAGCTGGCCGGGCCAGATCTGGCTGCGAAGGTTGAGTAAAAGGTGGGGCCCAGCTTAGCAACCAACCGGCCGCACTTGCACCCCTGGAGTCTGGAGGGACAGGGCCTTTTTGAGGCTCTCTCTCTCTACTCTGCAAAAAGCTTCTTTGCGCGCGCAGACTGAGCAGCCAGGCACACTACACTAAACTGATTGACGGCAGGACAGGCAGAACCTGAGGCGAGGCCACAGCAGGGCAAGCCAAAGGGCAACCCGCACATCATCGCCATCATCACCAACGCACAAGATGCGACCTGGCGGGCATCACGAGGCATCCCACTGCCTGCCCTGCCGGCCACGACTCCGGCCGCCCCATCCCCAATCCCGTATCCCGTTCTGCCAGCGACAAAACCTTGCACCAACCACCCCCACTCCCGGCACCGGCACTGCTTCCCTCCCCTCTGGACCCCAGCAACACGGGCCCCGACGTCGGCAGCTCCCGGCGCCTGTCACAAAAAAGCGCATGTCAGCATGAGCAAACGCCCAGGTGACTGACTGACCCTGATTGATTCAATCCAGCCAAGGTGCGGCATTTGCTGCCACGAGCTGGTGTTAACCCCGTGGGAGAGAGCACCGACCGTCCCGGCCTCAACCTGCCTCCTGCCCACGCTACCCAAGCTTGACATCATCGCCCGTCACTCGCGCGACCCCAAGCATGCATGCTGACTCACTCCATGCGCCTCCTGTGCGACGTTCTTGCTTAATCTCGGGCACGCCAGCCGACCACTGGCCAAGTCCCAGGGGCAAACAAGGCAACCTTAAGCACCCGCCCAGACCCTTCGGCCTCAATGGACCACCTTGAGCCTTGGGCATTGTTCTATCCTGCCCTTGGGCTATGGAAGGGAGAGACGCGACAAGACGATCTACCTTGGTGGCTTGCCAGGGATGATGACATCCTTGCCTCTCATCTCTTGGCCTAAAAGTGGGGCCTCCGAGGAAGCCTCCTCGGGCCCGGCCCCGGAGGCCCAGCTGCGGGCGGGTCACGGGACTCGTCCCTCTCCGCCGCAACCGGAAGCCCTTCTTTGGCTAGTGTACGACGTACCTTACCTACAGACAGACAGACGTCAGTTGTCAAGAAGCCAGATGCCACGAGCAGGGGTGCAGCGCCAGTAACCATAAGACAACGAAGCACTGGAAGGGGACATTCCCTCTCTTCTCCTATTATCTCTTCAAACAGTCTCCTCCACGTCAAGGGACTGCTGCAGGGCTCATCCCACCGAGATGTCATCTGGAATTGCAGCCCCCCTCCTCCACCCTGCCGTGCTATTTGAAGTTGCCGGTGTAGTATTTGGGCTGTAACTGTGACTTGTCACTTGCACTGCTTACGGTCGATGTTGGATTCTCCCTAGGTTCCACCTGGTCCTGAGAAGTAAGTGGGAGCTCTATCTAGCAAGTCAGCGGTGCGATTCATACAACCTGCACACAACGCAATCACTGTAGCTCTTAATCATAACAGTGTCAGTCTATGCCCCACAGCTCTGAATCTAAATGCAGAACCAGGCTGGGATGATGTCTTCTGCAACTGTGTCGCGGGGCCAATGTACATGCCACGTGATGTTCATCTCCGTGCCTGTCTTGCACTACTCACGCGCGGCAGGGGATGCGAAGCGTTCATCGCGACATCTCGTGCTAGACGATACACCCAAGGTCTTTCCCACCCCCGGTGTCTAACTTTAGGGTCCCGAGTGCTCGGAGGTGCAAAGGCGGATGGACTCTTCCTTGCGCAGACGGAGCGAGTCTATGCTATCCAGGCTAGTTCTCCAATAAGGCACCTACGTAAGAGGCGCCAGGCCTAGACAATTAGAGCAGCGATCCTCAGTTCAAGGGTGAGAAGGCAAACTCATGCGGTCGAACCGAAAAATGCTAGCCGTCAGCACTATGAAACTGCACCAGCCCCCCCCCCCCCCCCCAAACTCTCCACACCTTGTTCAGATTGCTAGCATATGCGCGCTTCTGTGCTAACCTGGTATCGGGTAAGCAAAAAGAGTCTTACCAGTGTCTGGAGCGCGCATCCCACCGGCGGGTGAATGGCACTGGCGTTGACTTCCTCTTCGCGCCGTCACAGATTACAAAGGCAGTCATGATTGGTGGAAGCGGGGACGGAACTTTCGGTGTTAGTGACCTTCCTACCCAGGTTGGCGGCGCCAGTTTTGGGCCTGGCTGGCTACTAGCCATATCTAGCACAAGGGCTGCATTGTCTGTCGGCTCCCGGGACCGAATAGCACTCTCAATTTGGTGTGGCTTCGCTGCTTCTTGTTCACACGACAATTATGTATGATATTTCTAGGCGTTCCGGCGTATTAGTCGTTGTGTCGGACCGAAACTTGACCAGGGCCTGCTCCACCGCGTTGTCCTGATCACTATTGCTCATCCGTAGACTGAGCTGCTGTCTCACTCGTCACCACCCAGACGTCGCTCATGCTCGCGTACTTGAGGGTCGTGGGATAGCGGTATATACAAGTGACCCCAGCGGCGCAGTCTATGAGCGTAGAGACAAGGGAGTGCGGCCAAACAAGGCTGCAAACATGACTGGAACTGCGCATAGTCACAGCTGGTCTAGGTGGATGCCACTATGTAATGCCATGAGGGCGAATAATGGGAGACGAGGAAGCGAGCTGAAGCTGCGGAATAGCAAGCTGATTGGTGGTGCAGCAGGACATCACGAGTCTTACAAGTTGAGATCAGCCTGTCAAGGCGCCCCAAGATGGATGTGGGCGATTGCAGGGGTCTCTGCTGGATTCCGCACTTGGTTCAAAAAAAGAAATGTAGGTCGCCTTCGATGAATCCCGATTCCCATGCAGTGCGTTTGCACTCTGGCGGTGCTTGGTCTTAGCATTCGTGCCTAGTGTCTGTGGATTGCTATTCTTGTCCGCAATGCTGGGATCGGGGCAGTCTTGCTGTAAATGGGCACATCTCAGATCGCGATCGTGACATGCGGGGCCTCTTGGCTGGACGGAATAGTGCAGTTCTGCCCCTTGGCGAGGCCTCGCATTCGCATTCTGCAGCGCCCAGGACTCACAACTCCAACATCGGCTCGTGATTGGCTCAAGGGAGCAATTGAGCTGCTGCCTGCTCGGCATCACCAAGCTGGCGTAGTCAAACTGTTGTTGCATGCAAGGCATACTTAACCTCGGTCGGTGGCTGTTATTCTGCAGAAGCAGCCGCCTGAATACGAAAAGAGCACCAGATTCCCAGGCGCAACCAGTACGCGATCGACATAATGGCTGGAACGACTACTCTCGTCACCAGCCCTCTCCCCCTCTCGCCTTCTGCCCCAACATCAACTGGCTCTCCCATCGTGGTGCCCACCATGTCTGACGAGTCGTATCGATTCGTCGGTACCTCAGCCTTCTACTTTGTCGTCATCGGCATCCCCGTCATCGCCCTCGTCGTCGTCTGCGTCCTGGCCGGTTGCTGTTGCTGCTGCACCAACCTAAGCTATCGCGCCCTGCGCCAAAGACGTCAACAGCGGAGGCGCGACAAGGCCTATGCCGTCAACACCATCCCCAAGGGTCTCGATACTCAGATCCCGGACAGTACTCACGGGATTCCTCCGCTTGCAGAGTTTGATGCCAACACAACGGCTGTCAGGCCACCGCCAAATCTGTATACTAGACCGGACGGCCACATTCCAGAACTCCACGGCTCGATGGACGATCCTCCGCCCAGGTACGACCTGGCCAATCAACAGCAAGGCATAATCGACGGCGAGCCTCAATTCAAGTACAAGACTTCAGACACCGGGCGAGTTTAATGCGCGTGCATTTCAGGTTAGGGCATAGAAGAGAAGGCGCCACGGAACAGCAAACTTGAAACTGGCGGCAATGGAAAATCTACCATGACTTTGACAAGAATGAGCAATTGGAATTTCTGAACGGCGCCTACACATAAATGCGCAGAATCTGCTCCCTGACGCCGGAAAAGCACCTCTACAAGTTCTCTGCAATGACCTCTATCATATGTAGGTAGAGTTTGACTAGGGAAAGAGCACTGGACGCGCTACGGAACAAAAGTCTGATTGGCCATGTGTCACAGGGACAACAAGGAGACTCTTGCACAGTCTGTCCCCAGCGAGCATTGGCCCGGCTGTCCATGTCGAGAACGTCAGCTTATAAACCCAAACACGGCGTTCAGTTAAGGGGGCCATCAACACTTACCCAGGTCCCGGCACAGCATGCTTCCTTGGTTCCGCTAGCACAACTGGTCCCTGCTTGTTCTATTTTTCCAAGTCAGCTTCAACATCTCGAATAAAACTTTCGTGCTCAGGTAGATATATGACTTACTCGGTGCGCAGACAGCGCCAGTCAACATGTTACCGTCTGGTGGGTAGTATCCACACATCCCGCCCCAGATGGCCGAGTTGGTCTTCCATGGCTCAATGGCGCGGCAGCACAGGTTGACTGGCTTGCCAGCAGGGCATCTGTTGGGCGGCGGGGCAGGCGGTGCAACAGACGTCGATGACGAGGACGAAGAGGTCGATGACAAGGTCGAACTCGGCGTCGTGAACACGGTAGTTGTCCCAGTCGATGTCGAGGTCAAAGTCGTGGTCGGCTCGCCGTTCGGGACCGTGACAGTCAGTGTCCCAGTCGACGTCGAGGTTCCCGTCGTGGTTGGGCCTGTGGCGTCAGGGGCCTTGCTGTACAAGTTCAGCCGGTCCCTACCACCACACAGCTCCGTCCGGTTGCCCTTGCACGGCATGTTGCAGCCACCATCTGCGGCGAGCGCGGCACCATTTCGTATCTCGTCATCGCAGTAGCACTCCCCGCCATACTCGAGCCCATAGTACGTCTTCCCCGCACAAGCCTCGGCGCAGAGCACATTGGTCATCGCGTCCTCGCCTCCGGGGACACTCGCCATGGTCCCTAACGTCCGCTTGCTCACTTGATCCGTGTAGCACCCGACGCTGACGAAGCCGCCCACGCCTGGGTTGACCTGGGGCACGAGGCTTCCCGGTCCCGAGTACACGCTCAGTCGGTTGCCCGCGCCACACGCCTGGGTCGCGTTGCCGCGGCATGGGCTTGTGCAGCCATCGCTATCAGAGACGGCTGTATCGGGGAGCTGCGTGGCGCAATAGCACTCGCCTCCGTACTCGAGGCCCGCGACGGGGAGGCCTTGGCTGGTGCAGAAGGAGATGCAGGTCTCGACGCGCGAGTAGAATTGCGAGGGCTGGTAGGCGCCGCTGAGGACCCGATTGGAGACAGAATCCACGAAGCAACCGGTGTAAGCCCAGCCGGAGGGGAGATTGCTGGTCTCGACGGGCGACGGGCCAGACGAGGAGCGAGCGTCGTTGGCCCGAGGGGCTGGAAGAATACTGGCGAGGGAAAGTGGCGTGTGGCCTGAGAGCAGAGCCAGCGCGATGAGTTTCTGCATTCTGGGCATGCGGATGGTTTTCGACGAGCGATGAGATAGTGTTTTTCCGATAGGGTGCTTGCCCCAATGATTTGATTGTAGTCTGGTGATTGCGAGCGCAGCAAGCTCAGATTTATAGCTGTATTCTGACACTGCAGGGAGTGGTGGTCGCCGTACCCCAAAGGGAGGTCAGTGAAGCGGAGAGCACGCACGGGCGTTGAGCAAACAAACAAGCAAACAAGCAAGTAAGGGTGATGAACTGGCCTGGCTATCGTGCCTCACTGAGACCATGGTATCGTGGTGCCGTGCAACGCAGTTGAGTTTCGTGGAACAAGCCGGTCTTGGGAGCGTACAGGTCAATCCTGTATATCAAGAGGCAGCGGTATAATCGCGCGCCGTGGCCATCATGGCGTATGTCATCTCGTGTAATAAGCTTAGGAGCGGGTTTTGTTGACCGGAATGGGATTGAGCACTGGCGACTTTGCCATATTTGGAGGTCGACTTCTGAGACAAGAGCCTTGTCATACCAATATTGCGTTCTTGCACGCCCTGAATGGGAAAACTTAAGTACACCGGATTAGATCTAAGACACCTTGTTCCTCCTAGCCGCGCGACACGAGTGCCGCCTGCCGCCACACCCAAAGCCCGAGCATCGAGGTTCGCAGAGAGTCTAGACCTCTTTGGAAGTGGCTGGCAGTCGAATCATGGCTTGAGAATCCCTGCGTCTGCATCGCTCTGAGACAATGCCATTCTGCACGAGCCAAATTGCCATGTGTCTCGGACACATTCGGGTCCCGGCGGACCTGACTGTCAATGGCAGATTCCGTGACAGCCACAAGGCGGTGTCCAGATGTCGGCTAAGTCGAGCTTCGTATTTACTCATCTCTGTATAACTAAACATAAGCATTGCAGCTGTTTAGTCTTTTTGTACGTGCCGAGGAACGGCCATGGAGGGAGCCCAGCGGGAGGCTAGCGGTGACGCCGGGCGCCCATAACCCCTTGGACCTTCATTTCGACATTGGAAGAAGCCATCAAACCATGATCATTCTATGGCATTGCTTCACGGGGGCGTACCACTCCGAGGGCCCAGACTCTGGTGGCCAGTAGAGCGTGGTGCTGACTTCCCCTTGAACGAGATGCTTGAGGATCTCTTCGAGCAGCCGCCTGATCACGCAGCATCTCGAACCCACGATCCTGCCTGACGGGGTCCGCTGTCCATGAATGTGCGAACCAGGCTAGTGAGTGACAGGAGCCGGGGTCCGGTGCGCCTCCACGCAGGGGGGCTGCGGGCCGTGATGGGGCAGCGGCGGTGTCAGGGAGACAGTCACGTAACTAGGGTGTCTAGTGTCAAGCCAGCAGGAGTACACGCCGGCCACGGTGGTTAGCCTGCTGTTAAGACGAGTCGCTCTTTTCTGGACGTTAGCGATGTTCTTTGCTCTACTCGTCAATTGCACAGTGCTCTCTATCAGCGTGCTCCGCAACGAAGAACGGAGAAGAAGGCAGACGTCCGCGTGACGTCATGCCCGGCACACTCCCGCCGTGGGGACGGATGATTGACAGCTGAGGAACCGGTTCCGACCCCTGCACCCCGCCGACGTCAGGCCAAACCAATGTTCAGATGCGCGTATGTACATGGTCATTATGCCATCCGTCTGCGTCAATCTGATTTCACGACACTTGCGGTTCCTTTTCCTTCTTCGAGGTCTTCTCCTCTCTCCTCGCCTCTCATCTCTCACCTGACGCCAACGCCAGTGATATCTTGATCCCGGCAACACTCCCAACTGCTCACAATGGTCAACATCAACTTCCCCGGCTTCATCGACGTCGCGGCAGAGAACCGCGACGGGCGCCGCATCCAGGTGCTCGGCGGCAGCATGGCCCGCTCCGTCAACCGCTTCGACCAGAGCTTCCTCTCCAGCGACTTCCCCCGCAGCCCCCCCAAGCTCTACATCACCGCCGAGACGGACGATTTCGACAGCCGCGCCCTGGCCCAGTGGCGCAACGAAGGTTTCGATGTCGAGTATCTGCCCATGGGTAAGGGCGGCTCCGAGTATTCCGCCAAGCTCCACGAGATCAGCCGCAGGGAGCTCGGGCCCTGCGAGAGGTTCGGCATAGTCGGTAAGTACAGATGCACTGGTTTTGGACCCAAGAAACATCGTCACGACTAATCCAGAGCAACCTCGAAACAGCATATGGCGACGCGGCAGCAGCATGCCTGCTGCACTTCCACAACCTCGACAACGACCACGAGCTGCGACTCGGCTGCCTAGTGGCATACTACCCGGGGCAGATCCCGGACCCTGAGTCGCGGTATCCCGGCGGCATCCAAGTCCTCGTGCATTTCGCGGGCGGGGAAGTCGGGGTCGTCAAGAGAGCGCAGCTGGCGGGCATACAGGGCAAGGACCGTGCCCGCGCGCGCCAGATCGACAGCGGCCTGGGCGTGGGTGGCAGGCTCCTGGGCATCAAGTACCCTGCGTATAGCTACGACGCGGAGCCCGGCTTTGCCGAGCACGACCTCAAGGAATATGACCCCGTCAGCGCAGAGCTCGCCTGGACGCGCAGCTTGAGCACCGCCAGGAAAGCCTTCCAGATGGACGCGGATCTCGAGACCGTCGTCGACACGAATATACAGGGTGAGTCGTCTCTGAATGCAAGCTTTAAATTGATAAGAGCATAACGTTGGGCACAGAGACTGACAGCCAGTGCAGCCAAGTTCTTCACCCAGGACGTCAAGCAGACCATGTCGACCTTCACAAATACCACACCGCACGTCACCCACATGCCCACGCTCACGGGCGGCATCGGTGCCAGCGAGCTACAGTCGTTCTACGCTGACTTCTTTGTCAACACCCACCCAGAGACCCTAGAGCTCACTCTGGTCTCCCGGACGATCGGTGTCGACCGTGTCGTGGACGAGCTGCACGTGTCGTTCAAGCACACAGAGGAGATGCCGTGGATTCTGCCCAACGTGCCTCCCACGAACCGCCGTGTCGAGATCATGATTGTCAGCATCGTGGCCTTCAAGGCGGGCAGGCTACAGCACGAGCACGTGTACTGGGACCAGGCCAGTGTTCTGATGCAGGTCGGCTTACTGGACCCCAAGCTGTTGCCCGAGAGGGCCAAGGAGAAGGGTGCGACGTCGATGCCAGTGGTTGGCAAGGAGGCAGCCAGGCGGATGCTCGGCAAGGAGAAAGACTACGAGCAGGGACAGGCTGATAATGAGCTCATTCCGTCATTTTGGGGTGACAGCGAGGATGTGAACAAGGGCAGTCGTGACCAGTCATCAAAGAAGAAGGGCAAGGAGCCAGCAGGCAATGACAAGCAGGATCGGCCAGAGAATGAGGAGGGGAATTCCGATCATGAGCAGGATGGCAGGGCAGAGTCTACTTCAGCACTTCCAGACAGGACAAAGGGCAATGCCGAGGAGGAGGAATCGCCTAGTGACGAGCAGAACTAGAGAATCTGCACCAGAGAATGGTGTCAAAAGGTCCTGCTAAGCCCAATTTACTCTTCAGGTCTCATTTCAGACTATAATCATGCAGGTCTGCCCACTCGGAGCATGCCATTGGTTCGCGTTGCGCCAAAGTGGGACAGAAAGACCGTCCTTCCGCTCGAGTGATCATGAAATCAATAAATAAGTATCCGGAGCCGCATGTACTTGGATAAAATCTGTCGGGACGCTCTCTAAGTCGTAACTTCTGCAGGGCTGGCAAGCAGAACAAAGAGCTAGCCCTAGCACTTCTAGGTACACTCACTGCGCTATATTTAACATCATTCTACCACGAGGTCTATGAAGACCAGAAGTGCTCATGGCTTATCACGATTGACGCCTAGCTCGAAGACAATAATAAACCCCATCTAGGGCATTCTGATACTTGAAGCCTTATAATAACCAGGGCAATCTGATCCTCTGCGGTCTTCCACCTTTAATGCTTAGGACACCGAATACAGAGCATAAAGATGCTTTCCAACGAGGAGGTCCGGAATTCATCTGTCGTCCCAACGTTGTGGCCTCTCTGACTTGCCCGGCACAGCAGTGCACTTCAGAATCTCAGGGAGCCCTTGCATTGATTCCGGACTTCGCCGCATAGTGAAGCGAGGGAGATGTTCCAGGCGCTCACCAGCCTTGTATAGGACTGAGAGGTATCGCACATTTGAGCTGGGGGGGTTCTGTGTCCATATCATGACACAGAGTTGGGCATCCAAGACACATGAATATCTCAGATCTAGGATGCATTGCGACTACGACATGACACCGTTGTGCCTCTCTTTTGCACGTGCTGGTCATATTGTGTCAGTTATGCATGCAACACACCCATAATCTCTGGACGCATAACAAAGCTTATCTGACTTGCCCTATCAGAAGCACTTTCACATGCCTATCACATTCGAGATGCGGCCCCTTGCAGCCAGAAGAAAACCCCCGAGTCTCACCCATTTGCAGGCAACTCTCTGTGCGACCGAATTGGGGAGGCTGTTCACCTGCCAACGGCAGCAAACAAGGGGGCCGGCGACCTGCCAGCCACTTTGATAGGCAGATATGTGGCGATGATGATGATGACGCCATGTTACTCCAGGACGACAAAGGAAATGCGCAGAGACGAGTCAGCCCGAAAGCAGCCTTGATGCAGTCTACCTTGCCGACACCTTCCAAATCGAGGCTCTCCTGTCATTCACGAGAAAGCTGAGTGAAGCTGGGCTTGGAACAGCGTATCGTTCACGACATGCAAGCACACGGAATTCAAGCTCACGGCCAATGTTCAAATCGGCCGAGTGGACCGGGGCGGCACGCAAGTCAACACGGCTGGTCTGATACGAGATTCTGTACGAGGCCACGCACGACCCGGAACCCATGCGGCTGCATATGCTCTTGCCTAACAAAGGGCCTTCCTACCGCGTTGGGAAGACTGGGCTTTGCCGCGCGAGCGGATCGTTGGGCGCTTGCAAGTGGTACATAGCGAGCAGCTTTCGAGAGCACGCGCATGCGTCATCCCCCCATAGTAGCATATAGAGCTAGATTGATAGCAGGTTGATGTCAACGAGCCCCGCGTGCATACGAACTATTGCAAAGCGACTCCTGCTGAACGGCATCGTGGCGCTAGACTGGGGGATATTTGCGCAAACGCACGCAAAGGCGTGACGTAGCAGTGTGCTTGCCGTCCATCCGTGCCTGAAAATCATCAATATTGCCACAAGCAGTAGGCTAGTATGGGTTCTGCCGCTGTTTCTGGAAGGTGTTGTCAGGGCACGCTATCCAAGCCTAGCAAACACCTGATGTCTTCATGGTGAGGCGTCGATGGCGTGCTGCCGTTGCCGGCGATCATGGTGGTGGTGGTGGTGGTGGTGGTGCGCGGGGAAATAGCGTAGGCTTGCTTCTGGCCTGCAAGGGCTAAGGGAAAGGACAGAGAGGTGAAGGATCTGGGCCTGTGCAGGACGGCCTGAATGTGACGCTGCGCTGGGCAGGGCGCGAGTAAGGGATGCAGGGTGGGCGGTTGTCAGATTACAAAAACAGAAGCTCGAAACGGCCTTGGCCTTTAACAGTGCGCTTGGCTAAGCTTAAATACGACAAAGAGTTGCTGCAGTCATGAGGGTCCAGGACGGGATGAGGAAACCCGTGTGCTGCGAGCCAATGGCATCGAATCCGGCCAAACTACCTTGAGGGATCCTGCGCGCACAATAACCTGGATCGGGACTTGACGGGGTTCGTGGACATTGACCTAGTGTCGAAAGTTGGGGGCGACATAGAACACGCCGTCTCGCTGTGACTCGATCAAGGCCAGAAGCTAGCGTGGACGACTGCCGATCCTCTAAGCCGGAAGTGGCTGCTGAACAGCAACCAACCACAAGTGGCGCAAAAGAACCTGGTCCTTGTGCCTTGTGGCCAAAGGACACCTGAGAGGGCCACTCTCTGAGCGCGGGAGGGAGCCTCACTGCCGTGAGCACGCCAGGCATCACGGCTATGCGGCCACCATGAGATGGGGAGGGGAGGGTGACAATGCCAGGCCCAGGGTTCCCTGCATCACCAGGGGTGGTGGAAGATCCTGGTCGAGGTATTATCCGGCCGACCAACGGAGTATGCAGGAACTCTTCACTGCTATCTGCCATGCGCCACAGACACGGATGCCCAGGGCGGGCGGGTTGGAGACGTCCATTCCAAGGCACAATCCTCGCAGAATGGCACGATATTTTGAGTTGGATAGCTAGCGCCAACCTTGTGAGGTTATCACGTTGTCGCATTGTCCCTGGAGACCTTGTTTGGTGGGTCGCGGACAATTTCAACCTCACCCTTATCTGTTCCTCGGCCCAACTGCCGGCGAGCGGGGGCACCTTCGACCTGTGCTGGCTTGCCCTCAGGCATGTTCCCTTTGGCATTCTGGCCACTCAGACGCTGTACTTGTGTCTCAATGGGGAAAGGGACTAGACGAAAAGACAGCAGGTCGACCAAGCACTACGCAGACACATTGAAGTGGCAAACTTGGCTGGTGCGAGGACCTTGCAGGACGCATGAGATGCGGATAAGCCGCAGATGGCGTTATCTCTCCCGTCTGGGGTTTCTGCAGCAATCCTTCGCGTGCCCGGCCCGTCCACTCGCTCACCACGACAGGTTGGCAATACACCGCAATACTGCCCGCGCGATACGACCCCCACTGCGCAACAATACCCTGGGACGATCACGACAGAGTGGCCGCAGCATCGTGATAGACTGATAGTGTACTGGAGCGTCTGTGGCGAGGTTCCGTACACAGGCGAGTCCAGGCAGGATCGTCGCCCCTCATGGTATAGGCGCATTACCAGATCGGGAAGGTTACCCACCCAGAACCTGATTGGCTCCCGAAGGCCCCTGCTATACAAGCCCACCATATTGTCCCGTTGACGCTTAGCCACTGATAAGATGGCGGACCCCTGGAATGTGACCATGTGCTTGACCCTCGCCCCGACCTCGCCGGTTTGCCTCTGTCTTTCTCCACGGGTGGCACTTGCGAACCCCGCACCCCGCGGGCGGCATTTGACTGCCGTTGCCGTGGTCGGTCGATCGTTCTTCAGGGCACGCGTCGGTCGACCAAGAGCTGGGCTATCATGCTTCGCTGGGCTTGGCCCTGCCTAGGCGGTGACCAAGCTTTGCCTGCCCAGCCGGTCCAGCGCCAGCACTGATGGTCCAGAGATCGACAGTGATTGATGCCCTCTACAGTCCATCGTTGCTGGCTAACACGAGCTCTGCCGGCTTTACTCTGCCGATCAATCACCTAAACCTTTGCAGTGGCGGAGCTAGGCCGATAAGGTCGTTCCACCCCCAGCTCCGGCATCTGCCAACCTGGTCGTCTGAAGAGGGCCGTCCAGGTCGCCTTCGAGTAGTGCCCTGGCTGGGGCCGCTGATCTTGGCCACTACGCCCAGTTTGCTCTGCCGTTGTCGAGTCTGCCAAGCGCATGCCGACCTACTACCTCGACCAGCAGCTCCAATTTCCTGGTTGGGAAGGTCAGAGGTCCACGCGCTGCACACGACATCGGATGCCTGCAACGACGAAGTGGTAGGCTAGCCTGGCCAGGGCGATCCCCCGGTCCATCAGCCAAGCCCGCAAACAAACACGCAGGTGACATCTGGTCACGACTAGCCATCGAGCTGCTGGGGATATTCACGAGCTGGACAGCTGGACGTTTGCCATTGTGATCGACATGGCAGAGATAAATATCGCGGCTCCCTCCCGCCGATCTCTGCATCTGGTCTTGGTTCTCCAGCTCACAGCTCTCACATCTCCAACAGTAGACGCTTGTTCAGCCTCGTGGTCGTCCTCCCTATCCTCATCAACAACAATCCACTTGTTCCTTGCACTAGAGACGCCGTCACGATGCACGCCCTCTTCCTCATCTCCCTGGTGCTCCCGCTGGTGTCGGCCGCCCCGGCCCGCCGCGCCACGCCCGCTCCTCTGCTCAAGCCCCGCGACGGCACGATCATCGAGAACAAGTACATTGTCAAGCTCACCGACAGCATCAAGGCTGCTGGTGTCGACGAGGCCCTGAACCTGTTCAAGGCTGATGCCGACCACGTCTACGACGCCGAGGGGTTCAAGGGTTTCTCTGGCCACCTCGAGTCTGACGAGCTCACTGCTCTGCTCAACCACCCCGATGTGAGTATTCCCTAGAGACAGCTATCCATAAACCGGGGGCAGAAGAGTCGAGAGTCCCATGTCGAATAGGCACTGATGAGTTCGCGCCCAACAGGTCGAGTTCATTGAGCACGATGCCGAGGTCACCACCCAGGCCTACACCACCCAGACCGGTGCCACCTGGGGCATCACCCGCATCAGCCACAAGTCGCGCACCGCGACCGGCTACACCTACGACACCAGCGCTGGCGAGGGCACGTGCTCGTACATTATTGACACGGGCATCTACACCACCCACAGCGACTTTGGCGGCCGTGCCACCTTCCTGGCCAACTATGCCAGCGACAGCACCACCGGCGACGGCAACGGCCACGGCACCCACGTTGCCGGCACTGTCGGCTCGACCACCTACGGCGTGGCCAAGAAGACCAAGCTCTACGCTGTCCGCGTTCTCAACGCCAGCGGCAGCGGCACCAACTCTGGTGTCATTGCCGGCATGAACTTTGTCGCCACCGACTCGCAGACTCGCTCGTGCCCTGCGGGCTCCGTCGCCAACATGTCTCTTGGTGGTGGCTACTCTGCTGCCGTCAACGACGCCGCCACTGCTGTAAGTTGGACTCTTGGTCAACCCTTTTTGATAGATTGTGTTTTTCTGTCTGGAGTCCAAGAAGGCTAACGATGGATTTATTTGAAATGAAACAGCTCGTCAACGCCGGTGTCTTCCTGGCTGTTGCCGCTGGCAACTCTGCCGCCAACGCGGCCAACTACTCGCCCGCCTCTGCCGCGGCCGCCTGCACGGTTGGTGCCACGACCTCGACCGACGCCATTGCCAGCTACTCCAACTACGGCGCGCTCGTCGACATCTTTGCGCCCGGCTCGAGCATCACCTCGACCTGGAACAACGGCGGCACCAACAGCATCTCTGGCACCTCGATGGCCTCCCCCCACGTTGCCGGCCTCGGTGCCTACCTGCTGGCCCTCGAGGGTCCCCGCACCCCTGCCGCCCTCTGCACCCGCATCAAGGCCCTGGCCCAGACCGGTGTGCTGAGCGGCATCCCCAGCAGCACCGTCAACCAGCTCGCCTTCAACGGCAACCCCTCTGATTAAGCGTCTGTTCTCCTGACTCTGGGAGCCAAGCCTCGTCGTGGCTCCCAAAACAGGAAGCTCACTAGTGTTTTCTCGGCTGAGAATGGCAGTTGATGATGACGACATTTGATGACGGACTCACAAGCAGTGCCTGCAGGGGGGCTTGGCTCTGCTTATGGCCAGGGATCGATCATTTTGATTACACATGCAGAATCTCTGTGTGGTGGCGGCAGACATTTGGATGCCGATGACGACGACGATGATGATGATGTGGGGGACTGATCTTCTATCTATATATATTTCTCGAGCTTAGCGTGCCAATTGGACATATTGAATCTCTTTCCAGATTGCATCCATCCGCGTCTTCTTGTTCGGCTCGGCGGTGAGAGTTGTGAGGGAGAGGGAGAGAGACCTGGGGTTGGCCGAGTCCCGGCGGGATGGGTCCCCAGCCTGTCAGGGTCCAGGCTAAGCCCGATGGGGCAGCTACGATAGCGTAAACCACCTCTGCCAAACTGGCCATGTGGGTCTTTTTCCTTCCTTTTCCACAGCCTCCGGGCGGTGCTGCGGATGCCGGGGCCCCACTGAAAAATGTCGCCATCGGCCGCCGCAGCCAAGCAAGAGCTCCCCTCCCTCGAGCTCCCCCCACCGCGCCTCGTACACACACAATTTGGAATCCTCGACCTCTACATCGTCATCGTCATCATCCGCGCCGCCCGACTTGATCGCATAATCCAGACGGCCACTGCCCAGCTGCTAGCTCCCTCCTTCTATAAATCCAACAACGACTTCTCTCCCTCTGTCCACCACGGCTTCCGCTTCGTCTCCCCAGCCTCACAACCGCTCCCGTTTCCCGCCTACCAGCTCACCCCTCTCCCACGCCTTCATCATCCTCCTCGTCGCCTTTACCATCTCCACTGCCGCTGCCATGGCCTTCTCCAACCTCGCCATGCCCGCCTTCATGGCCCGCCTATTCCGCCCGCTGACCTCCGTCACCACCAACGTCAGCGGCGCCACCAACGGCGCTGCCGGCATCAACAGAGCCCTGCCCGAAGGTGCCGAGCTCGCCACCATCGCCGCCGGCTGCTTCTGGGGCGTCGAGCACATCTACCGCAAGCACTTCAAGGACGCAAAGAACGGCGGCGGCCTCTACGACGCCCGCGTCGGCTACACCGGCGGCACCACCTCCAACCCCACCTACCGCGATGTCTGCAGTGGGACCACTGGTCGTACGTCTCTCTCTCTCTTTCTCCCCATCTCTGTCATCTCTAATCTCGCCTTCTGTGTCTCCCATGCCCTCTGTTTCCTTCCCGGTGCGCTGACTCTTCTCTCTTTCTTGCATTACAGACGCCGAGGCCCTCCAGATCACCTTTGACCCGACCAAGATCTCGTACCGCGAGCTCATCGAGTTCCTCTACAAGACACACGACCCGACCACCGCCAACCGCCAGGGCAACGACCGCGGCACCCAGTACCGCAGCGCCATCTTCTTCCACTCGCCCCAGCAGGAGGCCATTGCCCGCGAGGTCACCGAGCAGGTCCAGGCCGCCCAGTGGTTCGGCTCCAGCCCCATCACCACCGAGATCAAGCCCGCCACCCAGTGGTACGACGCCGAGGACGGCCACCAGCTCTACCTCGAGCGCAACCCCCACGGCTACCAGTGCGAGAACCACTTCCTGCGCAAGTTTGCGCCCTTGCCCGCGTCTTCCTTGTAAACAAGTGGGTTGTGAAAAAGGGACCACTTGTGTGGAGTAGGGACATTGAGACAAGAAAAAGGAGGGGTTTTGACTTGAATAACAAAAGGAACAGGCGTTTTTCTTTTTCCTGGTCTTTCTTTGGTTTCATTCTATAAACATGGACGAACGGCGTTTACGGGGTCATCTACTGCACACAGTTGGGCTGCATCTGATTATGGGATTGGAACGATACCAACAAACATTTCTTGGGGAGAGCAATTCAACTTTTCTACTGGCACGGGGCGGTGGGGGAACACTTAACCCAATCCGGGGTTCACACAATCACGGAGGATAACAAGCACATGAGATTATATAGGATTCAACACCGCTTCAACACTTGTTCTTCGTGGACTCAACTACATTTGCGCCGGCAGTCCTGTGTTTGTGAAGCTGCCTTAAACCCGCCGCGGGCATGCATTACCCGTGGGGAGGCTGGTCTGCCTTTTTGGCTTTTTTTTGCCTGCCTGCCTGCTTGCCTGCCTGCTTGCTATTTCGAGAGAGAGAGAGAGGACAAAGTGGCCGGAGGCATACATGCACAAACAGCTGGTATTTTCCCTCGGCGGCCGTCCGAAAAAGTTATACCACTTACCAAACAACATCTTGACATGCTCCCCAAGTCCGGAACGTGCTCCCTTCCGTCAGTAGTCATCCGCAGTCAGCGGATCGGGATCCAATATCCTCCCCGTCGCCGGGTCCACGGCATGCTCGATGCTCCATGTTCGCAGCGTGCCCCTCGCCGCGGCCGCCGCTGCTGAACTTGGCGTCCCGCTACAATTACTACTGCTATTACTGCTGCTGCCGCCGACGCTATATGACATGGACCCAAAGTTGGTCAACCTCGCCAAGTCGAGCTCCGACACCTGGGGCACGAACCTCACGCCGCCGCCCTTGTTGTTGTCCGCAGCAGCAGGGCTGCCCGCAAGGCCTTCAAACCGTGCACAGATTGACCCGATCGGCTCGTGGCTGCTGCTGCTGCCGCTGTTGTCCCGGGGGTAGTCCCTCCGAGGCCCAGCGCCCGGGCGGTGGCTGTCCCACTTCCTGCTCAGGTCCATGGTGCCAATATCGATCCACGTCGTGAGGGCGAAGCCCCAGCCGTACGGCTCGGGTAAGGGGATGATGGCGAGGTGCATGTCGGTCGTGCAGCGGTCGCAGCCGAGGACGCGGCCGCCGAGCAGGGCGGGTTCTGTCGTTGGGAGACCGCGGCTGGAGGGGGAGGGAGAGGAGGAGGAGGAGGCAGACCCGGACGTCGAGTATTGGCTGAGGCTCTGGGAGACGACGTTGCCCGGCTGCCCTGCGAGGTCTAGCGGTTCACGGCTGAAGCAGGACGTGTTGTGGTCTCTGTGGACGACGGGTGGTAACGATGTTTCTCTCTTCTGGGAGTAGCAGCACAGGGGGTCGAGGATGAGGTCGTCGATGACATGTTTATACATTTGCAACCACGAGACGTGGTTGCAGGGCCGGTGGATGCCGGGGATGCCCTTGAGGAGGGACGAGTTGCAGGTGTCGCCGCCGCGGGAGCTGTGGAGGAGCTGCAGCCGGAAGAGAAACAAGGCCTGGGGCGTCTTGTCGAGGCTCGCCACGACGTGCTGGCGGCGCAGGAGCATGTCGTCCCCGCGGTATCGCATGCGCAGGGAGACCTGGACGACGTGCCCGGCCCTGCAGAGCGTCTTTGTGTTGTTGACCTGCTGCAGCAGGGCCCTGTGGTCGAGGCCGCGCAGGCGGTGCTTTGTGACTGCGCGCAGCAGCTTGCGCGTGGCCCGGGGCGGCATGTGGCTGCTGCCCTCGTCGTAGTCGGTGCACCGCGCAGACTTGGCCGGGACGTACACCCGGTCTGCAAAGGCGTCAAACGGGTCGTGCATCCCCCGGCACTTGTAGCAGTACACGAGCATCGCAGAGTCCAGGTCCAGCGTGCTCAGCAACATCCCTCGGTACCGCCCGCCCCCGCGCACCGCCTCGTCCGCCTGGCTGATGTACCGGCCCAGCACCCGGTACTCCTCCCCGGGCTTGCCTGTGGAGGGCATCGACCGGCAGAACATGGCAAACAGCTCCTTGCTGGCCAGGGCGAGCAGCACCATCGCCGCCGGCGACAGATACCGGGTGATCTCGTCAAACAGCTCCTGCGGCAGGCCCAGAAGCCTCGAGCCTCGGGGAGCCACTGTGTACTGCTGGGCAGCTCGGAGTTGATTGGCCCATCCTAGCAGCAGCAGCAGCAGCAGCAGGAGGAGGAAAAGGAGCTGATTGACCAACACTAGTCTCATCAACGTCACCATCATCGTCCGCGGGAGCCTGTCCTGGATGCTGCTGCCGGGGCGTAACACCACCGCCGCCAACATCGCTGCCGCAGCTCGAGCTCGAGCCCATCGTCGTGGTTGCCGACCGCCGTGACGAGACGAGCGAGAGCGGCCTCTTGATGACGGCACTCAACCTCTTTCTCATACTGTCCCCAAGATTCCCAAAGAGACTCATGTCAGCAGATTGGTCCTTGTCGTTCTTGATATGAAGAAACCTGGCAATTCCGTCCCCGAGAGAGGGCAATGCTTGAGCTGACAAATGGAAGCATAAAGGGGGACGTACCGCACCATACCGGCACTGCTGGGCGCAGGAATCGCCGGCACCTCATCGCCAGTGGCTCGTTTCATGACGCCGTTGTTGTTAGCTCGTGCTTGAGAAGGGCGGGGAGTGAGCAGCTTCCAAGTCGCCCCTGCCGGCTCTATCTTTCAGGCCCTGATCTCGTCTGTCCTTGTTGGGGATGGGCAAGATCGAACGACAGCAAGAGGCACAAAACTCACAACATGGAGGGGGGACGACACGAGGCCAAGCACGTGTGGTCGGTGTGTCCTGTGCAACCTATTTTCGAAAGCGCACGAGGAGAGGGAGCGAGCTTCATATCCGTGGGGTAAACTCGCCTGGAGATAGAAAGCACAATACTGTGGTCCGCACGCGCGCGAACCGCAATCGGGTTAAGCGGAGGGCAGCCGGCGCGTGACGGCAACGACTCACGGCCTCTGGCTCGCTGACGCTGCTAGTCTCCAACCTTGACGAGCGACTATTGCCAATACTGCTCCAATCTACCCAAAGCATGTCTCTTCTTGTATACGCTGTGTGACGGAGGGACCGGATGTACTACAAAGCACAGGAACCTTCACTATAGCAAGACAAGGCTTCGATGGTGATGCACTAGACTACTAAGGTACCCTAAGGTAGGCTGTTTAATTCGGGCAAGCTATGGGAGCAAGTTGCCGCCGTGTTTTTGGTCATACAGAAAATCACAAACACACTGTCGATCAGGGCACAAGCTCATATTGTATTGTAACTTTGTTTGTTTTCATGCTGATTCTGGGCACAAAAAAAAGTATTTTGGAGTCTTTAAAAGACTGCCTGATTTCGGCTTTGGTCTTCCTCCAACGCAATGAGGAGAGGGGAATAATTCACAACCAACAACAACAACAACTCCTCCAAGTGTGTTTCGCTACGCCTTTTCCCGGCTTCTTCAAAGTCCCCCTTTCACGACGGAGCAGACCCACACTCTCTTGCACACCATAATAATACAGAATAATATTGACAAATGAGAGAGCAGTCGACTGACTTTCAGACGACCGGCTCGCCTACTTTCTCCGCTGCTGCATCATGAGGATCTGCACCATGCGGATAAAGATGTTGAGGAAGTCGAGCTCGAGCGAGATGCTCTCGTTGACGGGGTCCTTCTTGATGACGCCGGCCTCGGCCAGGCGGGCGTGGTGCAGCACCTTCTGGGTGTCGTAGAGCGTGAAGCCGCCAAACACGGCCAGGCCGCCGTACAGCCACAGGCTCTCGGTCAGGGCGAGCGTGCGGGCAGCCGTGGCGGGGATGACCAGGGGAGCGAGGCCGGAGACGGCGACGATGGCCGCGCCCGCGAGCAAGGGGCCGCCGATGTAGAGGTACTTCTCCTGCTTGGCGGTGGCACCGACAAAGGCGATGGATCCCATCATGGCGACGGTGTAGAGGCCGGCGCGGGCGAGGAGGGCACCGGGTGCAAAGGCGACGAGGGGAGCGACAAAGGCCGCCTGGGTGGCGTTGAATGCGGTCCAGAGGGCGTACTTGGGCACGTAGTTGTCCGGGTCGATGGCGCGGGTGCCGAGCATGGTGCCGAAGCTGAGGGCGAGGCCGCCGATGGCGACGACCCAGGGGTTGGTCACCATGAGGCGGTAGACGAAGCCCGAGTTGACCATCTGGCGGGCAGTCAGGCCGATGATGCCGACGCCGAGGCCTGTGTGCAGGAAGGTCGAGTTGAGGTACTCGCGCTCAAAGTAGGGCATGCCGCCATCCTCCCGGGTCTCGCGGTTGAAGACCATGTTGATGGCCACGAGCGTGCCACCAAAGATGGCGCCGCCCGTGAGCAGCCGCCGCATCGTGGAGCCCTGGTCGGCCGTCCGGGCCGCCGTCTCTTGCATGTACGTCCGCCGGGCGCCAGCCTTGAGGAGGGTCGATGTCGCAGGCGAGGAGCGAGCGGTGAAGAAGGCCGGCGACGGCTTGTTGCCGGCAGCGCGCTGGGAGAAGGCGCGGATCGAGCTTGCAACCGGCGATGAGCGCATCGTGGACGACGAGGACTGGAAGGTGGCCTTGGAGATCTGGGGTAGCCTCGTGGCCAGGCGGGCTGGGCCGTGCCGCAGCGTTATCGTGAACGACATGGTGTGGGATGTGTGTGCCTGTGGGATTTGGATGTATGTCGAGATGACCGATGGCGAGAAGGGTGGTGGTGGAGGTGGTGTATATATGGCGCGGGACGGCAAATTTTTATGATGGTCGCTGACGGGATGCAACGAGCAGGCAAGCGCTGGTGATGACGAAGAGTTGACAGTGGCGGGGCGCAGACACCCAGGGCCTGAGGCACCTGGGTGCAGGAGCAGCAGGGAGCTTGGACCACCGAGTGATCCGGTGCTGAGTCACCCGCGCTCGGCTGGCCCGTCGCAGATTCGAGAAACCTCCTCGGCCGGCTAGGTCCGGCTGCCCCGATTAACTCCGGGAGCACTTCCAGACGTCTTCTCATATTCCCTCACCATCATACGCTACCTGTCTCTCTTGGTAATGGCTTCCATTGCGCACAGAGGATATGCAAAGTCCCGGCTAGCTAGCTATGTGACAAATGAAAATCAGACCGCACCTGTGAACCACAATAATAACAACGCCGGGGGTTTAGAATGCTCCGTGTCCATGCATCATCTCATCATCTGAGCCCGTTGGGCCCCTTCTCAACCGCAAAGGCCACTGGTCGCCGGGGCCTGCGGTTGCGCGTGCCCCGCGGCGGCTTCATCGTCATCTTCTTCATGGCCGCCTCGACGCTCGACTCGTCGTTCTCGTCGTAGCCCCATTTCTGGACGCCGTCGGCGCGCACCCAGCCCTCGAGGTTGCGGCACTGGCTGATGTCGGCCCAGACGAGCCGCGTGCACCCGTCGAGGATGCGCTCCATCCCGGCGCCCGTCACGCGCACGCACCCGCGCACGCTCAGCCGCTCCAGCTCGTTGAGGTGCAGCGAGATGCTGCCCAGGCTCTGGTCGCTCACCGCGCTGCCGCAGAAGGCCATCTTGAGCTCCCGCAGCTGCGGCAGCCCAAGAGCTACCACCTCGGTAGCTGTGTCCGAGAGCGCGCAGCAGAACGACAGGTCCAGGTGCGTCAGCGCCTTGGCCGCATTCACCAGCGCCACAATCGCATTGTCCGACAGGTAGGTACAGTCCGCCAGGTAAAGGTGCGTCAGCCGTGTGAACCGGAACGGGGCCCAGGCTTGGAACCCCGCGTCGGATATTGACGTGCATCGCGTCAGTGACAGCCACTCGAGCCGGTTCGAAGCGTGCGCCGCCATGTGTGCCATCGACCGGTCCGTAATGTGCTTGCAGTACGAGAGGTTGAGCCGCCGCAGCTTCGGGCATCCAATCACCGTCCCTGGCGGCGGCAGCGTCACCGTCTGCATCTGTTGCTTCTGGCCTCGACCTTTGCCAGAGTGCGACATGACTATCTGCTTGGTCGTCTGCGGTGCGTGCTCGGGCACCACCCAGCCCACGACCCGCGCAAGCAAGTTGTCGCCCACCTTGCGGCAGTTGCTCCAGTCAACTTCCTCCAGCCCCTTGGCGTTGTCGCTCATGTCCAGAATCTGGTTGGCCGACACGTCCCACACAGACTTCATCTTCCACACCTGGATGTCCTTGCCACAAGTCTTCCACAGAGCAGAGAACCCTTCGTCTGTGACGTGGAAGCAGTTGCTGACGTCCATCCTCCTCGGCCGCGTGCCCAGGAATGGAGCCAGGATGTCGGCGAGCACGTGGTCCGTGATGGTGCGGTTGTACTGCGACAGATCGACATCGGTGCATAACCTCGGCGACGTTGACAGCAGCGCGCGCCACTGGCTCGAGATGATGCGCAGCTTGAACAGCTCGCCAATCTCGAGGTGCTGGAAGATGGACACCAGGATGTCGTCGGACAGGCGGCATTGCTGAAGTGGACTTGGGCGGGACGACAGTATCCGCGCCTTCTTTGTGGGACCTTCAACGTTCGGAGAGAAGCCCGACGGCGAGGACGGCGACGGGGCGGAGAACTTTGCCGCCAGGGCAGTATCGAGGGGCCGTTGCCGCAAGACTTTCGGGGATGATATGCTCGACGACGATTCTGCTGCTCCTGTGGAATTGGTAGTACTGTTATTGTTGGGGATTGGCGGTGCTATTGAGCCTCGTCGGCGGCTCCTCATATTCTCCATGTCGACACTGAGGAATGGGTCCGGGTCTTTGGGCTTGAGCTGGTCTGCCTCATCCTTCACCGGGGAGGCAGGTTTTGAGGGCGTCGTAAAGGTCATCTGCGGTGTGATTGTTGTCGGCGTCCCCGACTCGACGTGCCTGTTGGTCTCGCTCGCGTCCGTCATCTCTACGTCTGCCCCTGCTTCTTTGACCTTGATGCGTGTTTTGGCTGTTCGCACAACCTGATCTCTGATCTCTGGCGGGCAGCGTCTCCACAGCTCGTCTAAAGCATCGCCTGTGATCATCAAGCATTCGACGGTGGTGATGGCGCGGACCGTGGCAGTCCGCCGTAATGACAAGCCCAAGCTTGCAACCTCTCCAAAGTATTGTCCTTGTCGTAGTCTGGGTCTTATCAGAGAGGATCTCTTGGGCTTCGACGGTGCCGGCTCCTTCGACTCTTTGTGGATAACCTCCGCCTCGCCCCTGACCACAAAAAAGATCTCGTTGCCTGGGGTGCCCTCGCGTATTATGTCGCTGAAGGGCGCATATGTCTTTGGCTGTGCACTCATACCCAGAAAGTGCAGGATGTCGGGCGGCAACGTCGAAAAGAGCGGGAGCTCCTTGAGAGTCTGCCTAATGTTGACGAAACCACTGCCGAGGGCACTCCCGGCCGAAGGGTCTTCCATGATTCCAGGACTAGGGGACTTGCGCTTCTTATTGTTGACGACTGTACCTTCCTTGATGACTCCCCTATCGCCCGTGGATACCTCTCCCGGCACAGCTTCCCTCGGGGTGGCTGACGAATTCAGCGCCTTGGTGCCATGACCGCTCTCCTGGCGCTTCTTGTAAAGGATTGACAGACGCTCGTTGGCCTCCTCACGAATAGCCCTCTCCATGTCGGGGAACCCTGGGAGCTCGGCCTGGAGATCCTCCTTCTTGAGCACGAGCAGGAGACATTTGGAGCGAGCAATGATGGTGGCGGTCCGGGGCATGTTCATGAGGACGCCAATTTCGCCAAAGAAGGAGCCGGCCTTGAGCTCGGCATAGATGGCTTCTCCGTCCCTCGAGGTGACGGCAACGACGCCTCGCACCAGCCAGTACATGGCCTTGGCCGCCTCTCCTTCTGTCAGCACGTGGTCGTGTGCCGAGTGGACTTGTGGCCGCAGGTGCTTGCCGATGGCAACAAGGAATTCCTCGGGTGCGGACATGAAGAGGGGAAAGGAGCGCATGCGGTCGAGGAGGTCGAGGGGCATATCGGGGAGCGTAGATGCGGTGAGGGGCGACGGCCGCACGGGTCGGGCAGGATTGGTCTCGACATTGAAGGAGCGGATAAGGGAGGCGGCATCGCCAGCCTGGCCGTTGACGGGGTGGTGGGCGAGGGCCCGGTAGGGCGAAGACGGGCTGCGACTGCGGCGCATGGTGGCAATTTGGGCGGGCTGGACGATTCGAGGATGTGCTTGTCGAGGGTCCACGACGGGGAACGCGTATGTACTGGTCCAGTGATGGGACTGCGCTCCGCTCTGCACACGCTTCGAGCGCTCTGCGGGAGAATCAGTAGCGAACAGTGCTGTCCATGCCCAGGACTGCGAGCGACGTGGTTGGAGGGGACTATGAAGAGGCACAGGCCGGCGGAGAGGGGCAGGACGGCAGGCCTGGACCCCAAGGCTTGCTTGGACCCGGCGCCGTGGGCAGGGTCTGCGTCCTGCGCGTCAGGCAAACGTTTGAGCTGTGGACGATCGTGGAAGATGCCGGCGAGCGGTTGTTGTGGCGCAATCGGTTTCAGCGCTGGTGTCGAGGTGGTTCTCTTGCTCTGTGGAGAGCAAGGGGTTTCAAGGGTCGGCAAGGGCCCGGGTATGGAACCTGGGAGGGCGGCTTATTTGGCTGAATCTGTGTCTATGGCTCGTCAAGACTTGGAACTGGCGGGAGAAGCTGCACAGAAGGCCATGAAGTCAGCAGTGGCACAGGAAACGATTACGCTGGAGGAAGAGGGGGGGGAGAGGAGGGGGGCTCAGGGAAGCGGCTGGCGGTTGATATGATGAGGGTGGGATGGACGCACGTCAAGGTCGGGCTCTCTTGTCTGTGGGGAGAGCTGCTGAGCGGGAGCAAACTGAGGCGGAGGACGGAGGTGCCAGTGCCGGTGCTGGTGCTGGTCGCGTCGCCGGTGGCAGAGAGGGTTGTCGAGACGAGGATTTGCTCTGTCGCGAGCAAGCAGAGGTGGACGGGAGGTGGTGGACTTGGGCAAACGGAGGTCAGGGCGGGATGCAGGAGCAAGGGGTACACTGCACTGCCGGGAGGTGCGAAGATCGCGCAGCGACGTGGGGCAGCGTGCCAGCCGGGCAGCCGTAACCACGAGCGCGGGTCGCCAGGGGTCGCGGCCGTGCACGAAGCGAGGAGGGTGCTGGCAGGAGCAGGCGGAAAAAAAATTGCCAGGGAGGAGGGGAGAGTGTGTCTACACCTCGTCCTGCCCGGGGGTTTGGTGTCGCGAGATTGATTGCTTACTGTCCTCCTGTCCTGGCCCCTCGGCGTGGTGGGTGGGAGTGCGTGGCCACAGCTACCGTTGATTGAGCGAGTGAGCGAGTGACGTGGCGTGCAGGCGCTGGAGGCTGCTACGCAGAGAGTCGGCTGCAGTAATTGTCTCGAGATGTCGTCGACGCCAGCAAGCAAGACCCTTGGATGATGTCGACAATGAGGCACCTGAGCAAGTGCCTGTGAGCTGCTCCCACTGCGGGTGGGCAGGGCAGGGCAGGGCAGGGCGGCGGCGGCAGTGGAACTCTAATGACAGCGGGCAGGCCCGGGCGGGTCCTCCGTCCCGAACAATCGTCATGCCCCTCGTGACTGCCCAGCTGCCCGTGGGAGCTTGTGCGGATCCCAGGCCAGTCCTGCTCAACCACATTTTCCCATCCGGTACTAGACCACGCAGGCTAGACTAGCTCGGCACCTTCCTTGACCAACGTGGAAGCTGGGACACGTCCGAGCGGCACCTCATCTTCCATGACTTGACTCAGTCTCGCTTGCAGCTGCCCCCATGTGGAAGCAAGTACTTACCATTATGGTAATCAAGTGCTTACGTACTTAGAGTACCTTATGGTACTCAGTCCACCTGGGCAGTCGTCCACTCATTGCAACAACCACGACACACACAGGCACACACATTCAGACACGCACACACAATGCACCAAGTGCACAGCCACGTCCGTGTCGAGCCGGCGCAAGACGCCGACTTTGCACAACTGGCCGCCATTGTCGCCATGTGCTTCAGCGACATGCCCGTCGAAACAGCCATCAATGGCCCTCCCACATCTTCCAACCTCGAGGCCACAGCCCAGCGCTATCGGCACGCCGACCGCCTGCATCGACAGCAGCACGCCCTGCCAGCCGCCATCAAGTGCGTCTATACTGATCCAGAGTCCGGTGACGAAACCATCGTGGGCACCGCCCAGTGGTACATCTTTCCCCGCCAGAGGACAGCGCAGGACTCAGCTGCTCCGCATTACCTTCTTGCGTGCGACTGGGTAAACAGCGGCCACGAAAGGGCCAAAATCACAAACTTCTTCCAGCCCTTCCTCGAGGGCCGTGTTCGCTGGATGGGTAGCAGTCCGCACGGCACACTCATGTACCTGGCAGTCCTGCCGGCCTGGCGGAGGCAGGGCATCGCAACCAGGTGCGTGCAATGGGGACTCGACAGGTGCCAACAGCTCGGCATCCCTGCGTACCTCGAAGCAAGCGACTTGGGCGCGCCAGTGTATGAAAAGCTGGGGTTCAAGACTGTGGACCGCATCGAGTCCGAATGGGAAACCATACCGTGCGGCTGTCCAATCATGATCAAATATCCAGCCGATGGCAATCAGTCTAAAGGGTGACAGGATAACCCGGCCGAGGCTCGTGGCAACGTCTCATCCGAGACTCGACAACGTAAAGGCCGCTTATACATGTGCAGGCTTTCCTGCCCATCGGTGGGAAGTCTACAGAACGCAGGCCCGTGATGAGGCCGTCTCTAGCCGAGACTCGCCCCTTGCCCAGAATGCGGTTGCTCTTGTTAGCTGATAATGCATCCTCCTGGGCCTTTTAATCATGCTGTCTATGTCCACGTTCCTCGCGGTCCTTCGCGGGCACAAACCCCAGAGCTTGTGGCGCAAACAAGCATGCTGGGATCCAGCCAAGCTCAGAATCTGCACACATACTGGCTCACCTCCTGTCATGGCCGCAGATATTGCTCGATACTCCTCGGAGGCTTTAGTATACCATGCCCATGCCGAATCGCCATGGGTCTCTTCAGGCGCATTCGGTAGCTCAGGCATCCGTGGTAGCTGCCCTGCGGCGATGCGAATCGCCTCACATCACCCCTGGGGCCGGCTTACACCAACTCACACACTCAGAGCATGCCGACCAACGTTTCATTGCCCTGTGAGATCGCACGCTCAGAAACACCGTAGCCTCCAAACTTATCTCTCGTCAATCCATGATACTCCCGTAGTCTGAAGCTGCGTGCTGACACATGCCACTCAAGCAGGTCGTGCCCTGCAGAGCATGGCTGCTTGCTTACCCGATAGGACGAGACAAGTAGGGTTCAAATGGCCTCCCCAACCACCGGAGCTTATTTAAGATCAGGTTCGAGAACCGACATTGCTCAGCTTGGATTTGCTATCCACGAAATCCTGCCGCTAGCATCGTGGTTCCCACTATATGAGCTGGACAAAGTCCGACCAACACTGGCCCAACTGACAGGATATACTTACCGCAAGGGCATGAACCACAAGCGTTCCTACGGACGGTAGCTCCCCGGATCGCTGTTCGGAAACGACAGGTCTTCCAGAGATGCTTAATCCCGTGCCTGATTTAGCAACCCGGAAAACCCCGCATCTCGCCTGTCCAGAGCAACCCCCACCAGCTCGCTTACATCATAGTCCTCAGTCACGTAGAGTCATGCACTGGACCAGTCTTTATAGTCAGGTAGCTGGGCAAATGTTGGCCTGGATAACGAGCCATGGTATGATCTTAACTCCGTCCATAGAGCCGCTGGGCACTTATGCGGGAACAAACTTGACCCTGACTCGTCCCAAGATACGAAGCCGAGCCTGCATTCATCTTAAGTAGTATTGCGCGTGGGGTCGCATGGGATCTGTTATCTCTGCAGTGTTTAGCCGTATGTATGACATGTTGACCGAGCACAGCACCGTCTCTTATCACGACACGATAGATCGTCCAGGCCGACGTCCGCTGCATCGGATCCACTTGCGAACAGTGTGCGACGGTGTGCTGGTGTCGGAGTCTGCCGACGGAGATGTTGAACCCCACACCGGCTCACTGATAAGCACTCTTGCGGGCAGGCAGAACCGCCGGTAAAGCTTCTACGGAGCGCTTCATCCTGGGGGTTAAGCTTTTGGGGTCCAACCGCAGACGTTGAACTTATCGACGCCACGGGTCTCGAGAGCGGGTCGCCCCGCCGTTTTGTGGCTTATCAAAACTTGTCAGTCTCCGCGCCCTTGTCTTGACTGCCATTTGGAACACCTGCAGGTATAATCTGGGGTCTTGAACGCCGGAAGAGCGAGTCAGACAATTTGGCAGGTTACATGCAGGGCGTAGGTCCCCATTGTGAGCCATGCCTGGTCGGAAAATATGGCCATGAGCCATTCATTCCCTAGATAAGGCGCACCGAGAGTACATTTACAGCTCATGTATAAAATAGCCAACATGATCAATTTCACCAAGACGAGTTCCCGAAGACTTCTCTCGGCAGGCTATTGTCATTATTGGATATCCTCGTTGCCATGAAGTGCACCATTCCTCTTGCGCCTCTGCTACTGAGCAGCGCCGTCTCGGCTGCCTCGCTATCTTCTCTACCTGTCGAGCTCGAGACACGATCCGAGCTTGACTCTCGGCTTGCCAATGTCCACATAACTCGCCGTGGCGAGGTCCAAGGAGCCGTGACCTATACTTACGGCGCATGCACCAGCTTAGACAAGCGAGATGCTCACCACACCATCTCCAGAGCCGCGCGACCCCGCAAGGGAGTCGACTCACGACTCGTCTGGGTTGCACCTGAAGATGTCTCCTCGGGAGGGTGCATATCGGCCTGGGACTCGACTGACAAGCTGGTCGGCCGCAGCAGCCCACAGCACTTCACGTCGGACCTCAAGAGACGAAAGCGGAGTGGGCCGAGCAGTATTGAGATGAACCGCGAGGATGGTTTCGATACTTGGGGCCCCTGGTTTGATGGTGTGGCTCTGCTCGAGGCGAAAGCACTCGCCGATGTCGACGTCGCTGCGGCCAAGAGCAAGACTGTCGGCATTGCAGGAGCCGGGATGTCCGGTCTCATGACCTGGCTCGTCTTGCACCAGTCTGGCTTTACGAACCTGACAATCCTCGAAGCTGGCCAGAGACTCGGCGGTCGCGTCAGGACCGAGTATCTCACCGGAGGTCCCTTTGACTACTCGTACCAGGAGATGGGACCCATGCGTTTCCCCAAAGAAATCACCATCAAGAACCAGACCTACAATATCACAGACCACCAGCTGGTTTTCCAGCTCGCCGCCGAGCTGAATGAGCTGAACAACCACGCAGCTAACTGGAGTGTCGACTTCATCCCCTGGATCCAATCTACTCCCAATGGCCTGTCATACAAGAACGGCTTCAAGCTGCCCGACACGGGCATGCCCCCGACGCTGGCACAGATCAAGGCCAATTCATCGCTTGGCGGCCCTCCTATGATCATTGATGCCGCCACACAAACACTCCAGGAAAAGATTGACGCCATCACCAGCGATGAAGACCTCATGATTGCCGTGGCCACAAACATGCACAAGGCTCATAGCGAGTTCCTCGCTGCAGGCCTCGGTGGAAAGGGCGGGGATTCATGGTCCGAATTCGGATACATGGTCAACTACCTCAACGCCACGCTCAACTCGACCGCCATCGTCGGTGGCGACAGCTCCTCCTTCTGGGGGACCATATACGACAACGTCTACTTTAGCGCGTCGGCCTGGCGCACCATTGACGGCGGTCTGTCCCGCTTGCCCGCTGCCTTCCATCCTCTGGTCGACGGCGTCACGCGGATGGGCAACTGGGTCGACGGCTTCTCCTTCGACTCGTGCAAGCAGAAGGTCTCGCTGTCCCTGAAGAACAAAAAGGCAGAGGAATTCGACTACGCCATCATCGCCATGCCCTTTTCGCAGGTGCGCAAGTGGCGGCTGCCACAATGGCTTCCCTCGACGATCACCAGCGCGATCAAGAACCTGCCGATGGGCGGTGCTTGCAAGGTCGCGCTCGAGTACCGCACGCGGTTCTGGGAGCACCTCGAGAACCCCATCATCGGCGGGTGTTCCACGACCACGGACATCCCCGGCGTGGGTAGCGTGTGCTACCCCTCGGGCAACATCAACGGCACCGGCCCGGCCACCATCCTCGCGAGCTATGCGAGCGGGGACTGGGCCACGCGGTGGTTGTCCTTCAGCGAGGAAGAGCATGTGCAGTACATGGTTGACGCGATGGCGGAAATCCACGGCGACGTGGCGAGCAGGGAGTACACTGGCAAGTACAACAGGAAGTGCTGGTTCTTGGACCCCTTGGCGAGTGGCAGCTGGGCAGAGCCCGAGATAGGGCAGCATCAGCTGTACTTGCCAGAGTATTTCAAGACGTACAACAATATCATCTTCGTGGGAGAGCAGACTAGCTATACGCATGCTTGGATCGCAAGTGCACTAGAGTCCGGTGTACGCGGCGCGGTGCAGCTGCTGTTGGAGTTGGGCCTGGTCGATGAGGCGAAAGCTGCTGTCACTAAGTGGATGGCGAGATGGATCGAGGTCTAAGCAGATGAGGAGCGGGATATAGTAGGCAAAGATTAGAGGGAACTCGATGATCTACATGCCTGAAGACGATGCTTCAGGCTGCTTGCGCTTCACTTCCGCTGGCTGCATCGCTACCTGAGTCCTCTTTGTACACGTCATACTTGTACTGCGAGCCAATATGATCGTCTCGCAGCCTGGCCTGGCCCTTGCCATAAACCCTCTCTCTTGCCGTGAGATTCTCCTCACCAGGGCCCGGGAGGTCCTCCCTGTAGATACCTCGCCTCTTGAGCTCCGGGATGAGCAGCTCCACGACGTCCTCGAAACTGCCGGGAGTGGTCACATAGGCAATATTGAAGCCGTCAAGATCGCCCTCCTCGATCCACTTCTCCATGTCGTCCGCGACTGTCGCGGGGCTGCCCACGGCGACGTGTCCCAAGCCACCGATTGATGCCTTTTCCGCCACGACTCGCGGAGTCCACTTTGGCACGTCCGGACTGGTCGCTGTAAAGGACTCGAGCACGCTGCGCACCTTGTTCGCCTCGACCGAGTCGGCCTCGCTGAGCTCCTTGTCCAGCGGGATCTTGGACAAGTCGATGCCCGTCCAGCCCGAGACCAGCACGAGTCCTCCGATGGTCGACACGTGCTTGAGCAGTTCTGCGTGCTTGGCCTGGGCCTCCTCGTCTGTCCTGCCGACGATGGGCGTGTACGTCGCAAAGAACTTTATCGACTGCGGGTCGCGGCCCTTGGAGGCCGCGAGCTGGCGGATCTTGGCAATCTTGGGTTTCAGAAGAGCCGCGGAGTGCGACGACACAAAGATGGCCTCGGCGTGTGTCGAAGCGAATTCGGACCCGGCAGGCGAGGTGCCCGCCTGGAACAGGAAGGGTGTCCTTTGCCTAGAGGGGTCAACAATATGCTTCGTGTCGATGTTGAAGTATGTGCCCGAGTGCTTGATTGTGCGGATCTGGTCTGGGTCAAAGTATGCATCGTTGGCTGCGTCCGCAATTATGGCCTTGTCAGACCAGGAGCCTTCCCATAGCCTAGATGTTGGCCCTTGTGCTTAGTTGTCTCCTTGGATACCAGTTGTGTCCTGGTGATAGATGCCCTTAGGGGCAGGGTGACTCACTTATACAAAACTCGAAGGTACTCGTCGGCCTGCAGATACCGCTCATCGTGCTCAATGGGCGTCTCGAGCCCAATGGCCTTGAAAGCCGCCTTCTTCCATGATGTCACAATGTTCCACCCAAAACGACCCTGCGTGAAATGATCGAGGGTCGAGAAACGCTTGGCAAGAAGGAATGGAGGCTCAAACGATGTCGATGCGGTGATTGCAAATGACAGATTCTTGGTTACTGCTGCCATTGCAGAGATTGCCCGAGGAGATTGTTCGTAAGAATCGATTTGCCGCATCCATCCTCATACAAGCGCTACGTACAATAGTAGGATCGGTCACTGGCCACTGGGCGGCCCTCCTGATACAGTTGTCCAAGCTACCTTCGTATGTATCGTAGCCGCCATATGTGTCGGCCAGGAAGAGGGCGTTGAAACCGCCCCTATCAAGCAATTTTGCCAGCTCGATCCAATACGTCAAGTCGCGTTTAGTCGTTGACTTGTCCACTGGATTCTGCGGGAGCGAGGGAAAAAAAAAAGGAAGAAAAGACGTCAGATTCATATGCCCATGCACAATAGCCTTTTCTCATACAGGATACTCACCTTCCATTGCCCGGGAGAAAGATGCCCAATGGTGGACATGTCAAAGGCATTGAGCAGGATCTTTTTCTTGTCCGTGGAACCCATCTTGGTCGCTGGTTTCTGTTGCGTGTAGTGGACTGTCACCACTGATCTTGTCTTGTGACTAGCGATAGCTAGCAAGAAGATTGTGCTGGCTTAACTCAATCGACGGGTCGTCATAAAGTACCCAAGCATATTTTGGTCAGGTCAAGGTGGACCAATTGCGAGCTGCATGAGCTATAGGAGATGCCATGACGGCGTGCTCCGCGACCGGCTGCAGCTTGCATCAACCGGCGCGGTTCGTCACCACGACCCCAGATTATGTGATTGATAACGCAACCATCCTAGGGCCTGACGCGCTCCCAATCACCATGTCTCGAATACGACCAGGCAGTCTCCACCTCATGCCGGCCGAGGATAGTGGCTTCGGCTCCGTCGAATCTCCATCCAATCATCAAGATGCTGCAAACACTTGTCACGGACGTTGCATTGTGTTGGACCTTGCCGCTGCAAGGTGAGCAGAATCAGGAAAGGGATAGGTGGGGTCGTGCGATGGCGCGATGGCGTGAGGAACACCCCCTATGGTGTGCCAACACTCTCCAAATGATCCCCAAATGATCTCCAAGAAAGTCTCCAATTCTCCGATAGCGATGGCCGAACGCGGTAGACTGAGAGTCATAATAATGTGTCAGGCAAAAACAAGTATTCACCGTGTTTTGACAGGTGTGTTCCGGGGCGTTCTGTTCCCGGCCATCAGCTCTGGTAGGGAAAGGGAACCAGGGACAGTGAAACTGGCTACTGTCCAGATTTGAGAATGCAAGTTCCTGGCACTCAGCTGCCACTGCCATAAGATGCTTGATGGCATGCGAGTCTCACATTGGACAAGATAACCCAAGTATCGCGTCAATAACTTTTGCACGGTTCTCACAAGGATGACTGATAGACACATGATGGTCTCTGAAATGATTTGCGCGCGATGCATGTTGCGGGTGGTTGAATCCCTATTGGTGTAACTCAATGTAACCCAGTCTGTTATATATCCAGGACACATGTGCTTTTTGTCCTGCTTCTGAGCGAGCACTTGGATATCACGTTCTCCCGACATTGTGTGTCCAGCCACTTCTTCCAAAGTCCGACACGCCCAGATTGACTATGGTCCTCAGGTTTCAGATCTTTGTGGGACCAGTTTCCACGTTGTTGACATCCGAACCAGTACCCTCCTCATCGCGATGGTATTCTTCCACGACAGTGGATCGCTCGACTCTGCTCGGGAAGATTAGTGATTAGCATGATACGCGCCCTGTAGACAGGTACTCCATACTCGACGGAGACTTACGTTTCTTTGCGTTTGAAATACAGCCTCAGCCCATGTGTCGCCACAATGAGCGCGATCGCACACCCCAGACAGAAAGCGAAACCCTTGGGGTACCGTGGTGCCTCCACAGTTGGAAAGACCAACAGCGGTATCCAGGCTGTCGAAGATTGCGATACGGCGTTGATGAGAACCAGTGTGAACGCCCGCTCCTCTGGAGAAGCTCTTAGCAGGGTGTTGACCCAGCCGTGGAACACACTTGAGAGTGCGACAGAGGCATAAATTGTCGAGAAGGCGAACCAGAGTCCTGGCTCGGGAATATTCCAAACGGTTAAAAGCAGCAGACCCAAGGCGTTCCACGCCGATGATAGCGTAATGGCCCACGCAGGACCGAGAAGTAGGTCTGACGCAAAGCAAATGAAGATAGTGTAGAATATTCCCAATGCAGGAGCAATAGTGCCCAGCTCGTTCACACGGGATGTGCTATAACGACCGAGACTCTTGATCCAGAGCAAAAAGGTTCCGGCGCTCGTGTGGTCTCCCGCGTTCCAGAACAACACGTCGACTGTAATGATGACCCAAAAGTGTGGGCTAGTGAGGATCTTGCGCAGGTTGCCAACCTTGAACCTGCCATGGGAAACATGGCCAGCCCTTTTCAGACGATCAATTGAGCCGTCAATGTCGGCCTGTTTGAGAACCCGTCGATTCGGCTGGTCAGGTGTGCCGGGAATGACGAAATAGCCCAAGATACCGACAGGGATGGTGATGAGGGCGCAGATGATGTACATCCACCGCCATCCGGAGAGACCCTTGACCCCTTCCAGGCTGGCCGACGCGGCAGCTTGAATAAGACCAGCCGTGAGGGTACCAAGGGAGAGACCAATGTAAAAGATGCCTCCACGCCGACCGATTTCGTCTCCTCTGTACCACGATCCGAAAATGTAGTGCATGGCGGGGAAGAATGCCGCTTCGAACCAGCCGACCAAGAACCGATAGGCTGCCAATTCAGCAAAGGAAGTTACTCGGTACTGGAGGAGCGTAAACACTCCCCAAGCAATGTCTAGAAACGGAATCGTCCAATACATAGGTACGTGTGTGAAGAGGAAAAGGAAGGGGATCTGCCCCGTCACCGCGCCGACAATGTAGAACGTCTGCAGCTGGACCAACTCGTTACCCTTGAAGCCCAGCTCATCTTTGAGCCCGGCGACATAGGCATTGTTGAGGTTAGATTGGTCGAGGTACTTCACCCAGTATGACAAGACGGCATAGGGTACGATGAGGAGATCGAGTTTGTTGATGAGCTTTCTGTCGGCGGCGGTGTCGAGCTCGTCGGAGTACCAACGGAGACTATACCACTTCCTACTACTGGGAGCAGAAGACCCCATGGTGCTCAGTGCTTATTGAAAGAAGATAGTGGTGGAATGTGTACTAAGGACGATGCAGTGTTCGGCACGTTCCCCAACTGGAAAAGAAGAGCCCTGTGTTGGAGGAATGAGGCGTGCTTGTGATGCTACATCATCACACACCACTTCACCACGACAAGAGGTTCTTATCTGCAATTCGGGCAAATCACGGCACGGTTCTAGAACACCCTTGCAGATCTTTTCTCCATGGCAGCTTTTTGCATGGCAATCACCGACATCGCTCTTCAGCTTTGTGCCGTTGAGGAAAGCACGTGGCCGCCACATATTGTGCGATATTCAGGGATGGTGGGACAATCAGTAGCACCAATTTAGGAAGCCAGCGAGGTAGGACGGTGGCCAGCCTGAAAATTACGTGCAGTTGAGAATTCTGTAGGGGCCCGACTACAGGAATGCGTCTTAATCACGTGAGATGATGCGAGGAAGCCTGATGCATGGACACCGGAAGGGGCCCCGGACGGGAGCGCCAACGGAACCCCACGCGTGCATGGGCCCCAAGAGCATCTGCATTGACCCATGTTAATTAGGGATTACAAGTATTTGGCGATCACAGTGCAAGCTACTGAGTTGGTTCATCCACGCGGATGTATTCATCGGCTTGTTCCCTGATCCAAAGCCCCTTTGACACTAAATCAAGCAAAATTTTATTAACAAACTTTGGCAATGGCAATCAACAGCGATGGCTTGCCCGGCTCACGCCTTGTGATTGGAGACAACACCGCCGCGGGCATCAGGCACGAGCCAGGCAAGGAGACAGCGGCTGTAACCACCACTCCTGTCATTGTCAGCCAAGGCGCGGGAAGTCCCAAATACCACAGCCCAGCTTCCTACCCAGTGCCGGACTTTGCGGTGCTAGATCGCCATCTGGACGAGCCCCGCGAGCTCAAAGTTGCTGTTATCGGGGCTGGCTTAGCTGGCATCACAGCCGGAGTCCTGCTCCCCGCCAAGGTCCCGGGCATCAAACTGACAATCTTTGAGAAAAATGCGGATGTGGTAGGTGGCTCTTGAATATTGCTTGGTGCATATATGGCTCGTTCCCTGTTGACCAAGTCGCGATATAGGGGGGAGTCTGGTTCGAGAACGTGTATCCAGGAGTAAGGTGTGATGTGCCGGCGCACGTCTACCAGTCGAGTGTTGAAGGAAATCCACAGTGGTCGGAGAAGTTTGCACAGGGCGCCGAGATTCGCGACTATTGGCAGTCTGTTGCACGCAAGCACAATGTCTACGAATACCTGAAATCGTCCCACGAAGTCAAGGAGCTGCAATGGGACCAGGGGACAGGGAAGTGGGTGATCGACATTGAAAATCTCAAAGCGAAGCAACGGTTTACTGAGAGATTCGATTTCGTCTTGACAGCAATCGGCCGTTTCAATGCCTGGAAGCTGCCCGATTACCCAGGCCGTGACGAGTATCAAGGCCACCTCAGACATGCACAAAATTGGGACCCCAGTGTTGATCCCACAGGTAAACGCGTCGCCATCATTGGCAATGGTGCGAGTGGGATCCAGCTCGTGTCGAACTTGCAGAAGAGGGTTGCGCGTCTTGACCACTATGCGAGGAACCCGACCTGGATCGCAGCCTCGTTTTCTGGGGACGAAACATCTATTGAGGCCATCCCTATTGATCCGAAGGTCAAGGCAACCTTTGATGACCCTCAAGAATACCTGGCCTTCCGCAAGTTACAGACGGAAAAGTACTGGAGGCGCATACATGGTTGGCTAAAAAACCACCAGGACAATACTTCAGCACAGGACGAGTATGCGGATAATCTACGCACCAAGCTAGTCAAGAAGCCCGATCTCATCGAAAAACTCACGCCAACCTTTTCGCCACACTGTCGCCGCTTGACCCCTGGTCCAGGTTACCTCGAGGCCCTTGCGGAGGACCACGTCGAATACATCAATACGCACATAGAAAGATTTACGCCAACAGGAATTCAAACCGTCGACGGCAAGCACCGAGAGGTAGATGCGATCTTCTGTGCCACGGGGGGACACGGCCAGGTTCCGCTCTTCAAGATCCGAGGGCTTAATGGTATAGAGCTCGGGGACATGTGGAGGCCCAAAGGCCAAGGTTCAGTTGATGGTTACGGGTTTCCTTACACATATCTCGGGCTGGGAACCCCTGGATTTCCCAATCTTGGTTTCTTGCTCGGCCCCAACGGCTCGGGGCGATCTGGGACTGTGCCATTCGCTGCCGAGATCCACGCCACCTTCTATGCCAAACTGCTTCGAAAGATCTCTCGCGAAGGGATCAGAACAATCCAGCCCAGCCGCGAGGCGGCTGATGATTTTGTTCGGTGGAGCGACGCGTTCTTCAACACGACTGTACTCTCGGAGAACTGCAGCTCGTGGTACAACGGCGGCCAGCCTGGGGGTCGGGTATATGGTCTTTGGCCAGGCAGTGCAGCCCATTTGGCGTCTATTCTTAGGGAACCGAGGTGGGAGGATTGGGAGTACGAATACCTTGAGGTGCGAGACTCTCAAAGAGATGGTTTGGTGAACAATAGGTTTGTTTGGTATTTCGGCAATGGCAGCACGAGAAAGGAGGTTGACCCGGACGTCGACATGACCGCCTACTTGAAGTTGCCAGAGCAAGTCGACTTGAGAGATCTCCACGAAAGCTGGTGGAGCATTCCGTGAGCATAGAAGGCTGATCTCACAGAGGCCGTGTAGCTGTTAAGCGTGAAGCTCCGTAACTTTCTGGAATACGAGAAGATATTGGTTAGACTGCCATGCAACCCTTTGGCGACCCAGAATCATCGATCGGCTTACTGGCATGCAATTGCCAGCTAGTGATCTTGGCCGTGAAGTCCCATTCCTGGGCAACGTGCCACTCAAAGGTCTGCTCGCAACTCCACCGTTGTCTCTTACCATGGTTTTCCCTTCTTCTCCAAGCGGTGCAGCCACTACCAATCAAGAGACGAAAGATACGGTTACTCGTCCGCCGAGCTCAATGACTGAATGACATGATTACTGGCCTTGTTTGTGTGCGCACTTGTGATCTGCATGGCTGACCCCCCACACGCTTGCGGCATGCGCCATCTCAGTGCATCAGCACGCGATTACGGTGCAGCAGCGCCACGCCCCGACCCCGCTCAGAAAGTTCAGGAGTTTCTCATATCATGTCATGTCATGTCTAGGCCGAGTCCAGCTGTCCGATATGCGGCGGCTTGGTGGCCATGCCCCGTCAAAATTCGGGCAAGAGCCGACGAATAGACACCAATTACGACACGATTGGCTTGATAAGATGAACCAAGATCGCCGAGGAGTCATGACCCCAGTCGCTCGGGCCTAGGCAGGCCTAGACTTCAAGAGCATGCTCCTCGGAGAGTTCGCCATGCCCAGAATTACCCAGAATTGCAATCCCTCTGCTAGCCATCACACGTTGTACGGCACTAGAGCAAAGCTACACAATGTCCTCTCCGGTACCTATCTTACAATCAGCTCTCTTGCTCAATGCTCCGAAACAAAAATACAAAATCACTCGAGAACATCCTGTTCCGAAGCCAGGAGAAGGAGAAGTCCTCATCCAGACCCAAGTTGTTGGCTTGAATCCCCTCGACTGGAAAGCACCGTACGTGGTCCTGCACCGATAAGGAAAGCCACTAGATCGAGACCAGAGCATACATGTCCATGCTGACCACGCCTTCCACGCGTCTCACAGAGACTTCAACTTTGCTCTGCCAGTCCTACCTTATATCGCCGGGAGGGAGCTAGTCGGCCAAGTCGTACAAACATCCGACGAGGCATCGGAGTACTTCAGTGTCGGAGATCGGGTGGTCGTCATCTCTACCGACTATAGAGATCTTCGGAAGGCAAGCTTCCAGCAATACGTAATTGCCTCAGACTTCAACACACTCAGATTACCAGAGAACGTTGATCCGCGGCAGGGCGCATGTGTGGGAGTAGGATTCGTTGCCGCCGCCCTTGCGCTCGGAGTTTCCCTGGGCCTTGACTTCAGCAATGTCCACGATGGGCCGGATCTTTTAAGGCTCGTGCGTAGTCTAGACGCTCAGCGGTTTGCTCCAGACATACTACACGAGTGTCTCTATGGCGTAGAAGTTTCCGAGAGAGCAGTTGCAGGCGATTGGATCGTCATCTGGGGTGGTAAGCTACGAAACCCGAGCGCAGCTGTGCTTTAGCTCGACCTCTCATTACCGGCGTGTATGTGCTGACCTGCGAATTCGAGAAAAGGATCTTCTGTCACTGCCAACCTCGCTGCCCAACTCGCGCGACTTGCTGGGCTACGCGTCGTCCTCGTGTTCAACCAAGCCAAGCACGGTTTGAGAATCGCAACAGACGCAGTCCTGCAGCCCGACCTGCTGGTCGATAGTCATGATCCCGCCCGAGCGATTGAGGTCATCCAAGGCACGCTCGGGCGCAGAGTCCGGTTTGCGTTGGATACACATGGGCACGATTCTACCACTGCCCTTATCGCCGCCCTGGATCCAGCGCGCAACGCAACCTCTGAAATCAAAGTCCATCCTTTCGTTCGCGACACAGCGCCGAAAGATAAGGAATTGCTGTCTTGGAATCCGGCAACTCCGCCTCGAACGCCTCCGAGTCGGCCGGTGACGGTGCAATCACACGTGATTGGATTGGCTGGAGTCCCCAAAACAGGACTTCCATCCGGTGTCTCCTTACATTCCGTGCCGATCAAGCTGTTCCACGAGGTCCCTGAAGTCGGGCGACCCCTAACTACGTGGCTCCATAAGCTGCTTAGCAATGAATCAATTAAATGCCCGGATATTCTGTCCGTTGACCACGGCCTCGAGGGTGTAAATGTTGGACTGGATCGCATGAGGAGCGGCGTGGTTAGCGGTGGTCGAGCTGTAGTCGAGTTCGCCGCGTGAGCAATGGATATGAAAATCGGTCACAACATAGATGGGCTACTTGGCTTCCTTCAAGACTATCTTCAGTAGCACTAGTGTCCCAGTACGGGCCCTTAGCCCATCTTCCCCGGCTCTGTTAGATCGAGTTGACAGGTCCAAAAGGAAGCTTGAGCCCTGTCAAACAAGCAATTCCGAAGGAAGACCTCAAGAGACAAAGATCAACGTCATCATAACTGTATTCCCGCCAGGTGATCTGTGTCTCAGCCTATCTCGCCTTCAAGGACTTCGTGCCGATTACAGTGAAACGAAATATCTGTCTTTATTAATAATTCATTATAGCAAAGCACGACGTCCGATATTCACATTTCCGAGGACTACCGTTTTAACCTGCAAATAATCCTCAATCCCGTACTTACTGCCCTCACGGCCCATTCCGGAATGCTTTACACCTCCGAAGCTAGTTAACGTCCCAGTTGTTAGTTTCAATCGGAACTGCGCATATGCCAGCGTCTTTCAAGCCGTTACTTGATGGGACAAACACTTACGGGGCCGCTGCATCAGACACTACACCACTGTTGATAGCAACCATACCAAACTGGAGCTGCTCTGTGATTCGGGTCGCTCGGTTCAAGTCCCGTGTGAAGATGTACGACGCTAGGCCAACGTCGCACTTGTTGGCGATTTCGATCACCGTCTCTTCGTCCTCAAAACTAAATACTGGGGCTAGAGGGCCAAATATCTCTTCTTTGACAAGGCGCATATCGGCTGTCACGTTGCTTAAGATGGTCGGCGCGAAGAAGTGAGGTCCTGTGGTTTCGTGTTATTATTCGTGCGCACATGTCGTGTGGCAATGATATGAGGCTGCACAACTGAATATAACGTACCCAAATCCTTGAGCGGGAAGCCGCCAGTCTCGACCTTTGCACCCGACAATGTTGCGTCCTTGACTAGCTCGTCCAGCCGATCGACAGCAGCTGCGGAGATGAGAGGGCCATGTGTTGTGGCCGCGTCGAAGCCTGACCCGACTCTGAAGCGGGCTACAGCCTCCTTGAATCTGAGCATGAAGTCTGCGTAGACCCCCTTTTGCACATAGATGCGATTGGAGCAGACGCAGGTCTGACCCGATGATTTGAACTTGCTCGTCACGGCAGCCTCGACAGCAACGTCAAGATCGGCATCGTCGAAAACAATAAAGGGCGCGTTGCCACCGAGTTCGAGGCTGAGCTTCTTGAGGGTATCGCTGGATTGCCCCATGAGGATCTTGCCGACTCGAGTGGAACCCGTGAAGGAAATCTTTCGGACCACATCTGATGCACACAATACCTGTCCGATGGCCGGTGTGTTCTCAAGGGCGGTCACCGAGTTGACGACGCCTCTGGGGATGCCCGCTCGCTCCCCAAGAATAAAGAGAGCGTTCGCTGTGAACGGCGTTTCGCCGGCTGTCTTGACTACCGAGGTGCAGCCAGCAGCCAGGGCCGGGCCGAGCTTGCGGGTGACCATGGCGGCTGGGAAGTTCCAACTGGAAAGCATCACAATATCAGCAATTGATGAACAAATACTTGCGACGGAGAGATGTCATAGGCTTACGGCGTGATAAGACCACAAACCCCGATCGGCTCCTTGAGGGTACTGACCCGGAAATCCGGATTGCTGTGTGAGATGACATCGCCATAGATTCTGGGGGCTTCCTCCGCGAACCATTCAAGAAAACTCGCAGCAAATAGAACCTCACCGGCTGCATCCGCCCGAGACTTGCCGTTCTCCCAGGTGATCAGCGTTGCGAGATCGTCCTTGTTTTCCAGGACCAACTCGTACCAGCGTCTTAGAATCCTGCCGCGCTGCCTTCCTGTCTGTGCTCGCCAGCTCGGGAGAGCGGCGGCCGCGGCATTGATGGCCTGCTGAGCATCTTCAGGAACAGATTCAGGACAGGAACCTATGCGAGCGCCACTCGAGGGATCTAACCATGCCACTTTGGTTAGTCGCTCATCATTGATCCATGGAGGACAGGGCAGGCAGAGAGGGACATCATTGAACTGACCATAGACGTCGAAAGTCTTGCTGGACACAGAAGCAATCCACTGCCCGTTGATGTAGTTATTGCCTACGAGCAAAGAAGCATCTTTTAGGTGCGGAATTGCGGATGGCATGGTTGAATGCTGCGGTGAGAGCGACTTCTGGCGGCTTCAGTGTACCGTACGATATTACTGTCTTTCTCCGATCGGAAGAGCAGATCATTCATACGTGCATTCTATATCGAGTATCACGATGCGCCCTTTCCCAGCTATCAATACATTCTCCCGACCTCGGAATACTGGGTTTGCAATGCAAATGCTAGGGACACCTCCTGGCAGCCACTCGTTTAGCCCAGTGTGGGGCTTTGTCCGTACCTGGATTTGGAAGTTGGCGCCTCGTGTGAAATTACCTTTTTCGAATGGTTGGGGATTGGAGGTCAGCTCCACTTCGGCGTACGACCGGCCGCGGTGTTATCAGTGGGCCAGAGATAGGCCAGGTCGCAGGCATTTGCCCGGCAACGAAAGATAGGCAGAGTGAGCGGAAGTCCGGCCTCGCGTGCATCGTCTCGGCATCTCTTTCTACAATGGGAAATGACGAGTCCAGCCGTCAGGACATGGACGATCATGGGTAGGATGATCGCCGGAAGAGGTGGGTAGTTCCTGCATGCGAGCATTCTCACGATTGCCAAATTGAATTGCCACAGACAACAGGCTGTCCGATCAGTGATAAGGCAACCATTTGTTCAATACCCGGCACTTCAAGTCTCGCGAGACAAGCCTGCTCCGTATCTGATGTTCACAATCTTGAAACGACTTCGGATCGCAATGTCAACTACGATTGTGCAGACTGCTGAGCACCAGCTCGACGGCAGCCAAGCGCCGGCGCCAGTCCGGCTCCAGAACCCCTCTGATAATGGTGCTGCCTCGAAAGAGCCTGAGTCGCAGGTCACCGCGACAAGCAGTGCTACTATGCTTTTAGCAACCGGTGGATACGAGTTCCCAGGCATCCCAAAGATCACAGACTTGTACAAGAAGCGACAATGGCAGCTGGAGCACATGGCTGGTGCCTTCAGGGTGTTCGCCCGCAAGGGCTTCACCGAGGGAACCAGTGGTCATATCTCCGTTCGAGACCCGGTCGATCCCAACACCTTCTGGATCAACCCGTGAGTACAAGATTCCCTCGAGAATGTAGACAGCGAGATGTCGCTAATGATTGATACTGGCAAGGCTGGGCAAGCACTTTGGCATGTTGAAGGCCAGCGACATGGTGCACATCAATGAGCAGGGCCAGGTCATTGGAGGCAACAAAGTCGCTATCAACGCTGCTGGCTTCGTCATTCACAGTGCCATCCACCGGGCCAGACCTGACGTCCATGCCGCTTGCCACATGCACTCGGTCGCGGGTAAGGCATGGTCGGCATTCGGCAAGCCAGTGGACATTATCAACCAGGATTCGTGCTTGTTCTACGGCACTCAGGCAGTCTATAATGATTTTGGAGGCGTCGTTATAGGCGAGGAGGAAGGTCAGAGGCTTGTTGAGGCGCTCGGAAAGACTGGCCGAGTCATCTTCCTGCAGAACCACGGCCTTCTAACCACTGGCGGCACTGTCGATGAAGCAGCATACCTGTTCACTGCACTTGAACGCACCTGCGAAGTGCAGCTGATGGTCGAAGCCGCGGGCTTAGAAAAGAAGATCATCAGTAACGAGGCTGCCGAGTTCACAGCGAGAATCAATGCCGATCCAGTGAGTTACCACCCAGCATGGAAGTACGGGAAGAGACCATAAAACTAATTGATTATCCAGGAAACGCTGTACACAGAATTTCAACCTGATTTCGAGTACGAAATATGGAAGTCGAAGGGGGAGTTGAGCAAAGGAGAATTATGAGAAAAGGCCCCCCGCATAAGAATACCCTAGACAGTAATCAACAGTCCAATTGCAACAGAACTGGTCGAGCGTTCTAAAATTCTTGTTTGGAATAAAAACCCGTTCTTAGAGTGTTATCGCCACCATGGTGAATTTCTATTGATATGGGTTCCCAGGTTTGAACTCAGGCTGCCACAAACCCTTCTCCTCTTTGACTTTCAGCTGCAGCCCCTTCATAATTCCATATACCACTTTCAGGACAGGCAGCTCGACGCCCAATCTCTCGCCTTCTCTGAGCGGCTCGCCAATGATATTCTCAATCTCCATGAAATTACCTTTCTCGCAATCTTGGCACATGCTCGGCTTGAAGCCAGAATCGGTCGGGTCTTGATGTATGACAGCATCGACAAGGTCTTCTTGAAGAGTCACGCCAGCCGCTTCCGCGACCTTACGAATCTCGCCTATAATAGGCACAATCAAGTCTTCCACGATATGCACACTCATGCGCATGCGCGGAGTGTCCATCCGCAAGATAGATGCGATGGGGTTGAAGGATGAGTTGTATGCTAGTTTCCGCCATCGGTTGGCCGCGACATTGGGCTCGTAAATGACGTCCAGGGAGTGATCCGGGTTGTACAAGTTGACATAAGTCCTTGCCGCCTCCTCAGCGATGGCCATAGGGACTCCTGGACTGGAGAAAGCGCCAATCTTTTGCTTGTCTGGGTCGTCGTTAAAGATCTTGCCCGGTGATGTCTCCGTTGCGCCGGTATACGCGACACTACTGATCAGGGGATTGGTGGGGAAGCGCGCAACAAGCGGCTTCTCGATGTTGATGCCGTTCTGCGAGAGCACGATCGCTGTCCTTCCGGGTGTCACAGCGGGATCAATGATGTCGCCCACAGTCGGAGAAATGTCTGGGACATTCTGGTGGCTACAACAATGTAGTCGAATGGCGCAGTGCCGTCTTCAGACACCTTCGGTACTGCATTGACGACTGTACGCGTTCGAGGAGACATGTCAGCACACTCACGATGGAACCAAACGGAAGGACGTACTGTGCGTTGGTCTCCATGATTTAATGGAGCCGTAGAGCACGGAATCGATGTCGAAACCATTTTCAACGACGGCGGCGTAATTGGACCGCAGGACCGCCGTCACTTCCGCCAGACCTCCCTTCTCCAACGCGTAAGCAGCCATGGCGCCAATCCCGCCCGTTCCAATCACCAGAATCCTGCTTTTCGACATGATTGATGTATGCGTGGAAGCTTAGAGCCACTGAAATAAAAAGATCAAAGCGGTATGAAGCAGTTACCTGTGAACGACTTCAGCGGGGAGGACTGCCGTTGGGAACTTATGTATGCGCATGAGTGTGAGTCTTGAAGATACAATCGAAAGTCCTCGGCCGTTGCTCATGATGTATGTAGGCATAGGCACCTACTCCGATTCGCATTACTGTATCGCTGTCAATCATTTCAACATGATAGGGCGATAAGCGGGGAACGAAAAGGTAGAAAAGACGCGAGGTAGTTGTGTCTCGGTGAGGATGCCCCACATTCGTGGCATCCGTGAGTGCTCATTTCCCTTGTGAAGAAGCTCAGAGCGAGAAGTTGCATGCTTTGAGTAGTTGCTGTTGGATCATCGTTTTGAAGCTGATGGATGCTTTCTTTCTGGAATGCTGAAGCTTCGTCTTCTTTCAACCCGTGATTTGATCTTGCATGCCTGACGCATGCTCTAGGCCATGCCAACGAGATCTTAGGAGGACGGTATCGAAGGCCAAGATTCAGCCAGTATCTTCTCGTTTGTTACTTCTTGGCACCGGTCCTTTGGCCACAACACTGGGGATTTGGCAGAGGCCAAGAGCTGTCCTTGGTACGAAACGTTGCATTCAACTCACACTTCAAATGATTACCAGGAGCAAAGAAGACAATTGTCGACAGCATGCGAGTAATCAATTGATGACCGCTACACCAAGTTGGGGACTATTAAACGCGTGTCCCAATTCTGCTGTATGGAATAAATCTCAGAACGAATCAAAGCTTCGAAACGATGCCGCAGTTCAGGGCCTTCATAACCTCATCTGCAGCTCTCTCGCCGCTGCGGACCGCACCTTCCATGTAACCCTTCCACTCTCCGGCAGTCTCCGTACCTGCAAAGTAAAGGCTTCCAAAGGACTCTCTGAGGCCGTCCGGGCCAGCCGCATCCAGCACGCCGGGAGTCAGCGCAGTGCATGGACAGCCCCATCCAGACCAGGCATCTCCTGTCCATTCGTAGAATGTCAGAGAAACAAACAATGCCTCGAGATCAGACCTGCCGTAGAGCTTCTCCAGCTGGTTGAGCAGTGCCTGCTCTTTCTCCCTCGTAGTCGGCAGCGCTCCCCATGCGCGACCTTGATCAGCCGCCATGAAGCATGTCAGCACGTGCTTGGAATCCTTGGGACTGGAGGTGTCGCGGACGACGCTCGCTGGGCCGACAAAGGAGTTGATCAGTCCACAATGGCCAGATTCCACCCAGAAAGGGGACTTGAACTCCATCATGGCCTTGGTATAGTACCCGTAGCTGAGAGAGTCGATCCAGAGCTGCTTGGAAGGTGGCAGCTTGGGGAAGAATGAAATTGTCTTTAGGGCTGGGCCTGGAACTGTGGTGATGAGCTTCTTCGCAGAATAGGTAATGCCACCACCAGCCGACGTCCGTACAAGGACATCGCCGTTCTCTCCACCTTGCTGGACAATTGCGTCCACGGGAGTCGAGAGGTGAACAACACCCTCTGGCAGGGTAGATGAAAGACCCTTCGCCAGGAGTTGTGTTCCTTGGCGGATGCGGAGGTACTGTCCGCCATCCTTCCGGTCCGAACGCATCTGCATCAGGCCCCCTCCAGACTTGCAGTAGTTGAGAAAATACAGAGCCGAGATGTCTTTGGGGTCCTGCCCCAGCATAGCTCGCGTCCAGACAGTTCCCGTGGCGACCGCAGGCTCGCTCGCTCCACGGGATCGCAGGTACGCTTCGAACGTCATGGAGTCTAGGGAGGTGTCGCTCGGCCTCCAGGTGTCTAGAGCTTGGCACTCCTTTTCGGCCAAGTCGCGGATTTCTTGGATGTTCTTGCGTGTTTGCTCATCAAACTAGTTGCCATCTCGTCAGACACGTTCGGCCGCGCAGTCAAGGTAATGATTGGCGTCTCGACATATAATCAGGGCTTTGCTTACATTGGGAATTTCGCCGTATGCGAAAGGACTACAGCTGTCGTCAAAGTCCTGGAGCACGCAGTTGCCATTGGTGTTTTGCTCGATGAGGTCAGCCCCGAATCTCCGGGCGAGAGAAATGACCCTGGACTGGTTGCTGTCGTTGAGCCAAGCTGCACCAAGATCGACCACCCCTGTGCCACCCGGCAACTTCTGGCTCCAGGTCTTGCCGCCGACGCGGTCGCGCGCCTCGAGGACAATGCACGACAACCCGGCGCGAACGATCTCGGATGCTGCTGTCAACCCAGCAAGCCCAGCTCCGATTACTATGACGTCGTAGGAAGCACTGGGCTTGGCGAGCGGTGGGGCGAGGCCACGAGGGATCTGGCTCGTCGGCTGTGCGACGACGGCGTCAATCTCAATCAGCCACGATGGCATCGCGAGCTTGCTGACGGGGACGAGTGTCATTGCTGGGCGGTGGCCCCGAAGAAACTTCTGGATGTGGCGCGTGTGCTTTCGGTTCGCCGCGTCATAATTGACAACGTAGACGGTGAGCTTGGTGATGTCCCGAACCTCGGCTCCAGCACTGATGATGACCTTGCGCAGGTTCAAGAGGGCGAGGTGAATCTGCGACTCATAGTCTTCGGGAACAGACCCGTCCTGGGCTGTCCCAACCTGGCCAGAGATCTGGATGGTGTTGCCGGAGGGCGCAACGGTGGCGGGCGCGTAGTACGCGGCCGCGGTGTTTGAGAGGTCAATTGTCTTGACTTGGCCCATTGTGAATGCTTTTTGGCGACGATGTTCCTTTGTCTGCCGGATCAGGGCCCCTGGATTGCGTTTGAGCAAGAGGTCGCGATGTCAGTGCGACACGCGCAAGTTAAAAGAGCAACCAGTGCTTGCGATTGCGGAGCCCGGTGCCTGGGGCCCGGAATCATCTCCTGCCCATCATGGCCGGGACAGCTGAGTACGAGATCCGCGACATCGAACCAGAGATGCAGTATAATGTTACTAAGGATGTCCCCTGGACCCTACCTATCTACGGGGGCCGAGCTGATAAGGCACGCCGGCAGGCGATTGATGTACGTGCAGGTATGCCCTCGCCAGCTCCTTCCTCTTTCCACTGCAGCCTTGACCCACAAGTTCTTTTGTGGGCCCCGGTCCCACCGACTGCAATCGAAGGCGAGCGTCAAGCATCGACTGATTTGGAGATGAGCGGCCTCTGCCCGGATCGGCTGGGCTAGACTATACGGAGAGGGAACACTGCCTCTGACCGGACATCGTGCGGTGCACATTCTCGGATTCCAAGGAGCGGTAATTATAAACAAGGTCAGACTGGCTCCATTTGGGCAGAAGAATCCGGACAGTGGGTCCGTACACGCTAATCGCGTACCCCTGCGACCACAACAAAGAAGTCGGCGATGACCTCATTTTTTACGTCAACGACGACGACGTCATTTTGCACGTACAATTCAATGATCATTTAATTGCTACGACAAAGGGCAATCGCTGCAAGCAAGTTCAATCCATTTTAGACCTCATTTGAGCTCAATCAAGATGTCGAAAGTTGAGCACGATACTCCCAAGCGTGCAAAGGTGCGGGGCGTACTACAGTTCCTCGCTGACCACCACCAACTTCGCAGCGATAGCAACCCATCGCCGCATGACGATAATGCACGCCCGCTGTACTCCAAAAGAGATGTTTTCCGATACTACAGCGTCTCCAAAACCCAGGGCTATGAATGGCTAAAGATGGAGCCTCTCCTGGACCCCGACAGACCTGATTCTGAAGAGGGTGACAGAAGGCCCCCATCACCTTCACCCGACCGCCCTCCAAAGCAACGCTGTACCGACTGGGCCTCCCGACGACGTACAAACAATATCAACTTTGCTGAGAATCGTGGCCGTTCAATGGCGTTCTCGTTCCAGGACGGTGAGCAGCTTCATCAGTGGCTTCTACATCTCCCAGAAGGTGACAGGTATCAGGCGCATCGCCTGCCCTGGCCCGTCGCTGCAATGGAAGCAGGCCTCGACGTCGAAGCAGCAGAATGCACAATACGACGCAGAATGGCAATGGAACCATTCAAGTACCACACCTGCAACTCCACGGTCAAGGAGGGGCTCAGCGACTCCGTCAAGAGGCAGAGAGTCAAGTACGTCCATCAGCAACTCAAGAAGCCATGGAGGGACCCGCGATGGCGTCATAATTGCTTCTCAATGGACGAGGTTCATTTCGGCTTCCAGCCTGCGTTAACAACAAAGGTCCACCGCCGCCCGGATCAGAAGAACGAACATTGGGTGATACAGCCGGAGAACCCACGACAGAAAAAGCAGAAGCTCAAGAATGCTAAGCAGGCGATCAGAAATAAGGAGAAAGATGCTGCAGGAGCAGATAAGCTAGAGAACGAGAACGAGCAGACAATCCTCCACGCTGTCTGCGCGGTTGGGTACAACTTCAGGTCGTCATTACAATGGTACACGATACCCTCAAACAAGAATGGCAAGATGACCGCAAAGGTCCTCAAACCTCTGCTGGATCAGCTATTTACAGAGATCCATGAACATGTTAAACATACGGACGTTCGCCTATATATGGACAGCGATAGCTCCCATCATGCAAACGAGACTATGGAGTGGGCGAAGAAGAACCATCACCAACTTGTCATTGGGCCTGCCTTATCACCTGATCTTAACTGGATTGAATCAAACGTCAGAAGAGTCAAATGGCACGTCAAAAACACGCCTCATTTGACTGACGACGATCTTAGAGCGATCGTTGAGACAGGGTGGCACTCTGTGAAGCAGGACAAGCTCAACGCCGACCTCGACTCAATACCTACACGATTTACGCAGATTCTGGCTTCAAGTGGAGAAAGGCTCGCATATTGAGGTCTGATAGGTTCAGACGTAGAAAAGTTCCAGTTTTCTTAGCGATTTGAGTGGCCCAGAGAAAGAATTGTTAGTCTAGTACAATCTCTTGTGTGTGTGCCTGTCCGGATTCTTCTGCCCAAATGGAGACTGGCAGCTACGAAGGGTCGGGATTATTCGACCAAACTGCGTCGATCCGAGGTCCTGTCCTGTCTCAATTACGTCATCACAACATGGCCGCACTATCAACGACAGACTCAGCCCCCTTGACCCTTCGTGAAGTCGAGCTTCGAGCAAAGGAGAATCTCCCCAGTCACATTTACGAATTCTATGCATCGGGGTCGGACGATGAGGAGGCGCTGCGTCGCAACGTGGAAGCATTTGGCAGGTAAGTCATGTCTCATTGCTCAAATCCTTGGGTGATCAGTTTCTTACCGTGCAACTACCCAGACTATGCATCAGACCACGAGTGCTCGTGGATGTTTCGCGGGTCGACACTTCCACAGAGCTGTTCGGATGGAAAACCGCACTTCCGATTGGCATAGCTCCTAGCGCCATGCAAAAGCTGGCAGGCGGCGACGGTGAGCTTGACGTGGTAAAGGCGGCTGCTGGGATGTGCATCAACATGACCTTGTCGTCGCAATCCACGACATCGCTCGAGGATGTCCAGAGGGCCCGGGAAAGCGTTACTGCCGAGACACAAGTTCAAGCACCGCCACTCTGGATGCAGCTCTACCTGTATGAGGATATGCAGAAGAGCACACAATTAATTCGGCGAGCTGAGAGTAGGTTGAAATATTCTTCCAACTCATGTGAACGGGGGCACATGGCAAAGCCAACATTTAGCTGACCACTACTTGATATTCTTCAGAGTCTTCGTACGAGGCATTGGTTCTTACAGTAGATACACCAGTCTTGGGGAACCGACTGGCCGAAAGAAAAACCGCAGTCGTCCTGCCGCCAGGAATGAGTTTACCAAACACAACGGCATCTTCTCCTCAATCTAGTTCGCCGAATCTGCTTCCGAGCGTCAACAGACTCCTGATGAATGCGCGGACTGCAGCCGATGCACAGGCCCTGCGGCAGGCGTCGGGTTCTGTAATGCACAGTTCGAGCATGACCTGGGCCAAGAGCCTCGCCTTCCTTCGCAGGGTGACCAAGATGCGGATCATTCTCAAGGGCATCATGACCGGCGAGGACGCAGCGCTGGCTGTCCAGCACGGCGCAGATGCCATCATTGTGTCGAACCACGGCGGTCGCCAGCTGAGCAGCACATGTGCAACGATTGAGGCACTTCCAGAAATTGTTGCTGCCGTGCAGGGTCGAATTCCGATCATTTTAGATGGCGGCGTGCGCACGGGTGCCGACGTGTTCAAGGCTCTGGCGCTTGGGGCCGACTTCATATGCGTAGGCCGCCCGGCGCTCTGGGGGCTGGCCTATGATGGCCAGAAGGGCGTGGAGGCTGTCATCCACATTCTTGAGCGAGAGTTGAGCCGGACGATGACACTGGCGGGTGTTTCTCGGATCAAGGATATCAGCCGAGATCGGCTTGGCATTGTCGCAAGGGACACTTTCGGCATTTCGAAACTATAGACTCCTAATGTTGACTCGTGCTTTCACTATCGTTGGATATGCATTGAACCATACGTTCATGAAACGAGCTGAAGTTCTGGGAAAGGTGTTTCGCGAGGTCGAGCCCAGTGCCTGGTTCTATTTGTTCTTCCTCAAGTTCAGGCGCGAACTCTTGAACTGCGCAGTCCAAGGGGTCTGACATACCCCGACTAAGGCCAAGACATGATATATTCCGTGAGCCATATTGCAATAGGCGAAAGCCATCAGATCGATCACTTCTTATTATTCTCACACAGTCGATGCTTTGAGAAATTTGATTTCGTGTAGTTAACGAGCTTCTTCAAACTGGCGAAAATAGGCACATGGAATAACAGGCAGCTATCTAAAACGAAAATCAGATCCCATCCACCGCCTGTTCCTGTACAGGTGTCACAGCAATTGTCGTGTACGACATTTGACTGAAGGCCGCATCCTCATTCTGGCATGGTCGATCAGTGGGACAGACCCTTTGCCCTAGCGCGCTCGACATCACGCCAGTATTTCTTCGCCGTCCACTGCCTCATAGCGCGGCCATATCTTGTCATCACGAACAAGCTGGCGTTCCACACAAAGCCAATGCCAGCCACCGTACAGTACACGACGAGATAGCTGCTAGCGTTCAGCCAAGGAGTAACGCCAAAGTTGGTGGCGAAGGACATGGTGTTGCGAATCAGCACGCATGTCGTGACCATGTCTCCAGATAGCTCGGGGTAGCTGCTGATGGCGTAGTTGAGCGCGCCGGCGACACAGAGCGCCGCGTTGATAGCCATGAAGAATTGGGTAATGGCCAAGGCGAACCAATGCCAGTGGTAGGTGACGCCGAGACCGTAGATGATCATGGCCAGAGGGACCAGAATGATGCTTGCAATGAAGAGATACAGGGTGTGTTCGGGCTCCGATATGCCGCCGTTCCGGCGAGCCATGCGGACCGTCAACATGGGACCCAACTTTCCACAGTAGTAACCGCTATTATCAGAAGGGGAACGAATTAGTTTTCCCGCACAGCCACTGGAACAAGATTATGCTTGACCTACCCGATGATAGTGCCGATGACTCCTCCTCCGTAGGCCCCAGCGACGCCAGCAGTGCTGAAGCCATATCGAAGAGTGTAGATAGTACCGATGGTGGCGTTCTGAAAGCCTTGCCATACCAAGCTGTTGGCTCCGTACATCAACCTGGAATCCCCAATGTCATTAGTCTGAGCTCCTCTTGAGGTTGATGACAACTGGTGATCAGGTCGGTCCAACTTACCCTGCGTAGACAACTGCCGGATAGGTGAAGCCCTTGAACGGTGCAATGAAGATGTCCACCAGGCGATTCGGCCGCTTCTTGTCCTTGATGCTGAGCTTGTCCAGGAATGTCTTGCGGGGCCAGTGAAGCTCTGCAGACTCTCCGAGATCCATGCTTGCCGATCGGGCTGGGACTGACTTCTCATTGGCACTGTCGTCCGCGCCAGATGGGGTTGTGGTTGTGCTTGGGGTTGTCTGTTGCGGCGGTGAGATATGGGCGTGGTGTCGGTCGTAGTTTGTCTCTTCGAGAAGGAAGAAGCAGTACACAAAGCACATGGCGTTCCAGATGGCACACCAGTATAGCGTCCACTCCCAGCCCATGCCAACGTTGATGAAACCAGAGAGCATAGGAGCCAGCTTGCCGCAAAGGGCCAAAGACCAGCCGTACCACGCCATGTACTTTGGCCGCTCGTGCGAGAACCAGATGTCTGTGACCGAGATCTCGCACAGCGATTCAACGGGAGAGCCAAAGAAGCCGAGAATGATGCGGTTTGCAAGGTACGGTCCAGGTGTCTTGCACAGAGGAGCTGTCGCGAGAATGATGACTGATGAGAGTAGCGAGAAAAGATAAACCGGGCGCTTGCCATACTGCAAGGCTATGGCCTGCCAGAAGACGCATCCCCAGCCATAAAAGAGAAACTGTCGATACAGGTTGGTTGGTCAGCTTCATCGTAGGCAGGCGAATCACGGAACCGGTCTTCCTTGACATACCATGATACCCGTCCCGTTGTTGATATCCTGAAGTCCAAGCCCGGTGGCTTGGCGCAGGGGCGTGACGATGGAGTAGACGGCACTCGACGGGATAGCGATCGTGATGGTGTAGAGAACCACACAGCTGGTCGCCAAGACCTTACGCCGAAAGGTCCAGTTTAGAGGGTCTTCGGGATCAGCAGATGGCCTCGGCATAAGCACGATGTCCTCTTCGCCCTTCTTGTCTCCGTGCTTTCCTCGAATCGTTCCCTTGGCATCAATGAGCTGGAAGGTGCCCGGAGGGTAAGCCTCGATGGCATCATTGTTGCCAGAGGCTGGCTGTGTGGCCGTCGGTGTGGAGGCCATGCTGCCTACGACAACTTGCGTAGTACGCAAGCTGGAATGCGTCTGTGAGAGACTTCGGGAACAGAGTATCGAAGTGTGGATGAGCGTTCATTCAAAAACTGGGTGCCCACCGAGGTGCGTCTCGATGAGGTTTATGTAGTTGGTTGGAAGGTCCTCCTGAGGCGCATCGCGCGCAGTTGTGTTCATTGAACTTATCACCTCAAGTCGTAGCCCCCGATGCCAGAGGCGCAAGGATAGCCATCCCGTTATCATGGCTGAGTACCACTACTCCAGGTTTTGGAGCGGATATCGGTGGATGATCCCCACAATCCCAAGGGGTGATGGGCGCGATTCCATGGCCCACTGGCCTGCGCTTATCTGTGGAACGGTTATCTTTTGGCCGCGATTACACATTTTTCAATTACAGAAAGAGTTGGCGACGGCGAGGGCCCCACCTGACGGGATCAGGAAGGACATCCCCTGAATCTTGTGCATCCAGTGCCTCGACTCAAGCCACAGCGCATGTCTACCTGCGGCGTTTCCGCTAAACAGTGTTGGTTTCATTCAGCCGGCATTCGATTGTAGTCTGAGCTATCGGAAGTGCGTTCTTTTCACAGCGACCAAAGATAACACAGGCTTCCCCACCCCCTGCAGGGGCTGGCCAATTGCCTCTTCCACGCCGTAATCGGCTGCAATCCTATTGATCAAAGGTTTTGCACCATGTCGCATGCCAGCTCCGACGAGTCAGCCAACGACATGCCCGACGTACGCTGCTCGCATTTGCCATCATAATGCGAGTCGACAACTTCACGGGCTGGCCTTCCATTCGTTCGTGATAACGCTTGTAGTAGACCTGATTCGTTAGCACACATGACCGCCGAATATTGATGTGACCACGACCTGAGCTCGGGACTACGACAGAAGCACCCAACGACGGACATGATCCAGGATGAAACTATACCATACAAATGACTGATGGTGGGCAATAATTGTGTCTATTCTATCCTATACAGAGACATCCTACACAAAATCAAGATCGGCCCATGGCTCTCTCAACCTCAACCAATGCTGCCAACACTTTCTCCTCCTCCTGCCGACGTCCTATGAGTTGCAAGTTGATTGGGCAGTTTGCAAACTTTTCTGCGTCATACAAGTCATAAACAAATTTATCTTGCTCGTTGCATGGGACGTAATCCAAGTCTTTGTGGTCTCGGCTCGGGTCAACCTTCGTCACTGGGAACACAGCTCCGGGATAGTCGAGCAGGTTCCAATGCGAGGTATATCCCCAATACCGCGATTGCTCGTGCGGTGGCGCACTCCCGAAGGACGGCGGGCAGAGGATGACGTCAACCTCCCTTCCGCTCGCGGCTGTATCTGACCACGCTCGGCAATAAAAGGCTCTGTACGCGTCGCGTTCGCGAGATAACTGTAACAACATCATCAGTATTCTGTTTTCTTGCTGAACTCTGCTCCGGGAGACCACCTCTTACCTCCATAAGCTCTGCCGGATTCCGGGTCTTGACTGACGGCTGTTCATGTAGGATGTGTTTTGTCAGGGGCAAGGCCGGCTCTCCAGATTCCTCCAGGAGGTCCAGGAGCTCTTTGCCCCCATCAGGCCAGTAGAGAGCGGAGATGATTTCCCAGCTCTTCCTATGGTCGAGCTCTTCACAGTTCCAGTCGACGACTTCCATCCCTGCCTTTTTGCAGCACTCCGCTACCTCGCGCAAGGCACGAAGCATCGGTGGATGGGGTCTTACGACACCGTCCCACCATTGGATGGCGATCTTTAGAGGCCGAGTGAACTGATATGGGGTCCAGTCCTTTACCGTGAGCAATGGATCGATGCGCCAAGGCTTGGCCGCCAGTGCAACTTTCATCAGGAGCTCGAGCCCTTCACGATCGACAGTCATCGGTCCAGGACAGCCCGCAATAGTGTCCCTTCCCGCATAAGGGGCCCTGAGACCCATCGTGGATATCCTCTTCATGGACGGCCTGTTCATGTCAGAACCTTTTGCTCGTGTCGACATGTACACTGTTTGAGCGAATTTGAAACTTACTTGAAACCGTACACGCCAACATTGGACGAAGGCAGGCGAATGCTGCCACCAATGTCGCCTCCGATACCCTGCAATCGCCATTTTGGTTAGCCCTCTGTAAAGTCACGGTGTGTGAGGTTGTCTTGTGCCGTTACGTTAGCGTACTTACCAGTAGACTACCACGGAACCCCAACAGTGCCGCCTCTCCACCGGAACTTCCACCCGGTGTCAGACTTCGGTTGAGGGGATGAACGGTCCGTCCGTACACATTGCTCTCTGTCTCGAGATGCATGATTGCCTGAGGTTGAGTGGTTCTAGCAAAGAAAACACAACCTTCGGCCCATAGTGTATCAAATAACAGATTTGACCCATGGGGCTTGCCGACCCATGCTGCAGCAGAAGCCGTAGAGGTGACGTTGCCGCCCACCATGCCCAAGTGCTCTTTGGTCGAGATAGGGAGTCCAAACAAGGCTCCTTGAGGCTCAGGCAGCGAGTCGAGATACTTCGCTCGTTCGACCGCCAGGTCCCAGAGAAGCTCTGTAAGACAGTTGGTCTGTGCCAAGAATTAGCCATCCCCATGGTAAGTAGCATCAAGTCTGCACAAGTGCCGAGCTGGGTACAAAGGAGATACTTGCCGTTGCCTGCGCCAAAGCAGCTCTTCTCAGAAATGCTCGAGTCGCCTCTTCCACGGAGATTTGCCGCGTGCGCAGCAGCGATAACAAGTCATTGATACTGTATGACTCGGTGATTTCGATTTCGCGGGGAGTGAGGACTTTGCAGGGGAGTTCCAAGGAGTTCATAGGGAGCTGCTCCAAACCAGGAACTCCTTGCAGCGGAGGTTGGACTTTGGACAACGAGGCATCTCGACGAGCCCTGGCCTCACCTGCCTTGGTCTTCCAGGTTTCTATGCTCTTGATCACCATCTTGTCTCGAATCGATTCTCTGGCGTTGTGTCAATGTTCGAGCAGGCCGCAGTGCAGACTCATCCAGCTTTACAGCAGGCGGAGGAGGTCGAGGCTTGACAACACTACATCCTGTATTGAGGTCCCCTTTCTGTTATCAGGTCATGTCGCAGTGGTCCACCTACACGGACCTGACTAGGACGATTCGGTACTAACTCGCCAGCGGTCGAATAGGCAAGGGCTGACGGGACCCTGCTATCAGTGACGCCGGTGTACCCACCTCCGATGCCGGTGTAGCGCTCTATCTCCGCCACGTATTGCCGCTTCGGGCCACTAGCTCCCTGCTCCCCGAGACGAGGCCACGGGCGGCGAGAGACACAGACCCCCATTTCCACTCCCGCAATCTCGACATGCCAGCACCTTCCGCAGCTGCACGCCGCGGCAGGTTGTGGATCAGCAGTTGACGCCCGGAACTGCCCATTCGCGTTCAACTTCCCCTCTTGAGCCAGACATGATGGGCTCGGTGCCACTGCCTGGCCAGCTGAAGAAACGTCACAAGAGCTTCGCTGGCTGCTGGACCTGTCGAGCTCGCAAGGTCAAGTGCGACGAGAGCCGGCCTCGCTGCGTACAGTGTCGCCTGAAGGATCTTGATTGCGAGGGCTATGCTGTCCGGCTGCGATGGATGCCCCTCGAGGCTGGCTCCGATGCCTCCAGGGATGATGACAACCAGTCACAACAGGGCTCAGACCAGCCTGGAATGGCCATTGGCAGGTCACAGAGATCTCTGATCGTATGTGGTAAGAAAGATTTCCCTAGCCTCTGGTGACATTCCTGATCACTTCTGCGGCAGAGCGTTAACAATGTGCTTTCACAGACGAGGATGCCCAATCTCACCTTTCGCCTCTGGATCTCGACGACATCTTCCGTCAGATTGATGGCTTCCCAGTGCAGAAGCAGAGGTCTTCTGCAAATACAGACCATGCATTATTCCTGACCAACTTCGGCGTTTTCCTTCCGTGTCCGGGGTCCAATGAAGCAAGTTCCCCGCTACCTTCGTCTGACGAGCACCAAAGAATCCTATCTCAGTCACTGCTGGACGCATGGCCACCAGACGATGCGCAAGCACTCGATGGCACAGGACCACGCGGTTCCGAGCTGGAATTGAACGGCTCTGCCATTTTGTCTCCAGGGCACGGACAAAGCCTCAGTCCTTCTACTATCGCCACTCTACAGCATGGAACCGCAACAGACTATCCTGCAGAACACGGAGAAGGCGACCATCTAGACGGTGGAGCCTCACCAGGCAACATCCATGGTCTCTGGTGGACGGATGACAGTAGCAATGCTATTACGTACAACCCATCGCCATCCTACATGCCAGAGGTCGAACGGTTCTTGATGAATCACTATGTCCACAGAGTTGTGCATCTCTTCTGCGTCACCGACTATGAGAAGAGTCCATGGAAAACGATACACCTTCCGCGTGTTCTGCAAAGCGCCGGACAACTAAGCCTGTATGGCTCGACATCCAAGATCCGAGACGCTCTCCGAAACGCACTGCTCTCGATCAGTGCCTTCTACCTTGCAAATGACAGCAATTCGCGATCATGTGAGAAGGAGGCAGGAACATGGGCCAACGATGCCATCAAGTTTAAAGGTCGGGCGATAAAATTACTCAAAGAGACAGTTGAGAGCTCCACGCCACACTCGCGCCCAAAGTACAAGGAACTGCTGGCAACTATGCTGTCCATGATCACTATCAACGTAAGTTATGATGTCCCAAACCTTCTAATTATCCTCGCCCTGACAGTTTCATACCATCAGGTCATGTCTGGAGATACAAGCACGTGCGGCATTCATCTGGATGGGGCTTTCCGATTTATGACTCATATTCGAGGCTCCAAGACCAAGTATTCCTCAAAGGCACAGTCACTACATCGAATATACTTCTACTTGCGTGTCATCTATGACAGCACGGCCGCCCGGCATAATAGTCTCGACCAGCAGTCGTCGTCATGTTCGCCGGCGTCTCCAGACTCGTATTTCGGGACGGCTTTATCCGTTGGGCTTCTTGACAGGGGAGATGAGACAGACGGTCAACGGGGCAATTCTCCCCTGTTGTGCCATGTCGCAGCGCCACGATCAACAACGGTCGGCGAATATGAATACGTCTATGGCGTACCTCAAGATCTCTTGATTCTCCTCGCCCGAACAACAGACCTCATTGAACAAATTGACGAATGTCGAAAGAGCGGAAGTACCCCCTCGCATGAGCTCGCTGAATTATGCAATGAGCTCGAGTCCGACATCATGGAATGGGTCCCGGGGTATCCTTTTCCCTCCCCTCAAGGCGATCGTGGTGATGGCAGCAGGACAACGCCGAGCTCTGAGATCATCGAGAAGACTACGGCGGCGTTCCATAATGCCCTTGTCATCTATTTCGCCCAGCATATACGGCTCATGAGGCACAGCTTCCTCAGATCGCACATCGAGATCGTGCTTGGCAGTATCGAAGACATAGAAAGAATCAAGGCAGACAGCGGGATATTGTCGGCACCTCTGTACTGGCCAGCCTTCATTGCAGGAAGCGAAGCTTTTGACAGCAAGTGCCAAGATCGATTTCGAGCGTGGTATGCCCAAGTAGAGGCGTACCGGCTCGCATCAGTCAGGAGCGGCATAGGAGTTCTCAAGCAGGTATGGGCCGAAGGCCCGACACCGCCACACAACAGGACTACTAGTCAGTGGCGCACGGCTGTTCGGAGAACGGGTGCGTGTCTCATGCTTAGCTAGGAGAAGTAGGTTTACAACACTTAATGCGTAAGGCTTGAATTCTTGTCGGTATATTTTATGGTGGTTGTGACATTCGAGAGCTACTAAGTTGATCTTATCTGGTTAAAATCCCTCAAGCCCTTGCCACTATGGGCATGGATGCAGCAGTACAGGGGGCATCTCGATTGCAACTTCCTGTAGCAGAAGCTTTCATAAACGTACTGAACATGACGGACCATAATATGAAGGTTGAGGGGGCCCTCGTTGTAACTAGAAACAAGTCACACCAGGTAGAATTCTTCAACACCAACACCCCTTTCGCGCAGGCTCTCTGGGGACAGCCGCGGGTCGGAACCCATTAACTCTCCCGTGACCGAGTTGCGCCATGGCTCCCAAAGCGCCGGGCTGCCCGTGGGCCTTGCGTCTTCCGCAGCAGTCGCCCGGCTCCAAGGACAGGGCACGGGTCCCATGCGTGGGTCTTCGAGACTGCTGCTCGTCTTCTGTTCCCTCCTGCTCTCGATTGTGGTATGCTGCTGACCGTCACTATCACTCCCATCATGAGATTGACGTCGAGATGTCGTCGTCGGAGAGTGAGGTGGCGTGCAAGGCGGTGATGGAAGTCGATACTGGAAGCGCGACTGCGCAAATCCCTTGTCGCCCTTGACTACCTGAACCGTGTAGCCTGCCGGTAAAGGACCCAGAAGTCCGATGGAGTCGTCCATGCCGTAGATGTAGCACTCGCCGACGACTTGGCACGTGGCCAATGACGATGTGGCTGCGACGGTCCGCAAGGCAGACGATTGTTGAGACGGGGGCAGCGTCGGCGGTACTGCGCGGAGAAGAATGGCGGATTTGCAGCCCAGTATTGAGCATGCCATGTCGCCTGCCCGATGCCAAATGCACAGTCAGTATAAGATAAGCCCTTGAGGTTACAAGACAGTAGAGTACTCAGGATGCGCAAATCCATCTCCCGGTCCGAGGGCTCTCGACTTACCCGGCTTAGCCCAACCTGGAGCGAGACCAATTGCTCCGTCCGTGGTGGTGACAAGACTCCTGCCCTGAATGAGCTTGATTGCCCAGTACAGCTCGCCATGCAGGATTGCTTCATCGTCGTCGTCATCTTCGTCGTCATCTTCGTGGTTGCTCGGGTTTGCTCGAGCCCCTTTACCGCTACCGCGGTAAACCACCCGGAGGTACGTCGCCCGCCATTCGTCGAGTGTCTCGGCTTGGGGCTGCGGCCATCTCTCGTGCAGGTATCCAACGCGCAAGGTCTCGAGGTACGTATCGCGCGCTCGTTCCAGGGTGCTACCGCTGCTCCCAGTGACGCCACTGCCACCCTCATCGAAAGCATTCGGAGGGTCCCACAGGCGCATCATCTTGAGTGCGGCCGTCGGATCATCCGCAGGCACTGGCGCGCTGACCGTAGCTAGCACTGCGAAATGGCGCCCGCTAACGGCGAGAACGTCTGGTGACGACGACGAAGAAGGCCTGCCATCCCCGGCGTGACTTGTGGTTCCGGCGCTTGGAATATGCCGCCACCAGGCCCGTGAAATGCCGCTCGCCGAGATAAATGCCGATATCGGGTGCGTAGATCGCGGCGTGGAGCAGTCCGGTACCCACGATGGCAGTCCCGGTGGCCTGCTGGTGGTGGCGCTCCTAAGACGGTGCCTTGGTGGCTTGAGCTCGCAGTGCATCAGGAGAGTGAGGCGTTCCTCCATCTGTGTACAGGCGAGAAACGCGTCCTGGTAGACCTGGGCGATGGGGAGGTGGTAGTCTGGCTGAGGGAGCAATGTGTTGAACTGGATAGGGGGCAAGCCTAGAGCACCGTAAACTGGGTCGTGTCCCAGGAAGCACTGTCGCTCACGCAACAGATTGAGGACGAATGGCACGGAAAAGTCGGTGTGTCGCCACGCAAGGATGCGGATCGACTCGAGCAAGCGACGGAATGTGAGTGGCAGGAACTCCTTGGTGAGCAGGCATACAATGGCACGGATGAGGTGGTAGAGGAGAATCTGGTCATGGCCACATACCACGACAGCGGACGCCGGGTTTGCCAGGAGAACCTCCTGCACGATCCACAACCTTTGGAAGCACTGCCGCCCAAGGAGGCTCTTAATCGCCGACCACGTCTCTGACGGTAGGGGATTGGACAGATCGAACGAAACCAACCTTCCCCGGTTGCTGCTGGAGCTGCAAAACGTACGGTTGCACGACTGAGCTCGACCTGCTTGCCAACGTGTTCGAGCCGTGAGAGTGCCAGAGTGCTTGAGGATAATCCGTGCTCACCAGGAGGAGCAGCGGGACCAAGCCAGATGACAACCCGTTCTGCTAGTTGGTACAAGGTTGCCATTCGGATAATCTGCCTGCCCTTCTCGTCCTCATCTTTTTGGTTCATGCAGATGGCATCAATCCACAGTGTCCGTGGCCTGTTCAGGTAACGCATGTGTTTGAGCGCTACGAACAGATTCTCCCCTATCCGTAATCGCCGCCCGGGCTCCAGTGTCGCGCCACGACCCGGCACAACATGCACGATGTCAACAGACTCAGGGGTCTCACTGTTCCATCGCCCATGACAGACGAGGAGGCCGCCCACGGGGCACAGATGGACGCCGACATGAGCAACGATGACGATCGCAGTCGGGACGAAGTACGAGCTACCAACGATCCTGCAACTCCCTATGAGCGTGACAGATCTGACGACGACACGCCCGCGTACGATCCCGTCGAGGCAACTAGTGCGCCCGAGTACACCACGCAGCCATCCTTTGAAGAGTGGATGTGAGGAGATGGCAGTGATCATGATTGAACTCGGGACGAAGGATTACCTATAGTGCAGCTACATTTTTGACCCTGAAATGTTTGATATCTCTTTATTGGATTGCTCTATGTTATTCAAGGAAGCTGCCGTTCAGTATGGACGGCAGAGCTAGGTCTCCCGGTTTTGAGCCATGGGCCTTGACCACCTACGTAGAGACGACAACCCAATTCAAGACTTTCCTTGCTGGCATATGACATGAGACTCGGTAGAACGAGGCACGGCCTAAATACAATTTATTCTCGAAGCTCTATATTACTCCTTTATCCTCAAAGAAGATATTCATCGTTCAGACTCCCCTTGATATCCCAGATAGACGTAGATACTCTCCTTGGTGAGACGATGCGCTTCAGGCTTCACCAGACTTTCTATTGGGAGCGTGGGAGCGTGGGAGCGTGGGAGCTGAGACTTACAGCGCTCTCACTTGACACGTTCGTCTCTCTGTGGTTTCTCCAAAGCAGCGCGGCGAGCCCTCGTTGCGACTCTAAAGATATGGCTTTTTCTCTGTGTGGGAGAGAAAAGCGCCGGCATATCCATCGTCAACGGTAGCCTTGTTCATGAGAGCCAAGACGGACCTGGCGCTGTCTTCTACGGGCTCTGGTCCCTGGAAAGTGGGTGAATATTCTTTGAACCTTGCGAACATTTCCATGGCGAGTTTTCCGTCCTCCTCGGTTTCTTGACGCAGTGTTAGCAAAGAATGCACCATTCTAGATTTCGGAAGGACCACATACCAATCTGCAAACCACCGGTAGCCACTGCGCCAGGGCAAATGGCCATGACAAGTACGCCTTCCCTCCGGTAGACAGCGCTGAACTTGGCCACTGCCATGTTCAGAGCTGCCTTGGTGATTGAGTAGGCAGTGGCTTGATACATCTCGGGCTTGAGGGTCATCTCTGTGTCTGCTGCGCCGGTGGAGATGGCAATGACTTTCTTTGCGTGGCCATTCAAGATCAGTGGCATGAAAGCATTGAACAGGTGGATAGGGCCAACGGTGTTGACTCGGAAATGTTCAATCAGATCCTCTTCGAGAGCTGTCGGATCCTGGGCACTGCTCGAGAATTAGCCTTGAACCAAGAACATCCTGCATCCCTTTCACACCAGAGGGAACCTACAGAACATCAAAGCCGACCAAGGCAGTCTTGGCTTGAAGTGCGGCATTGGCGATGAGGTAGTCAAGAGTTCCATTTGTCTTCTCCGAGACGATCTGGGCGGCTTTCTAAAAATTGCACAAACAATCCCCGTGTTAGTTTTGAGTCAGATTTCGGACAATTGGGGCAAAACATACCTCCAATTCAGCCGCGTTGGTAGTGTCGGCTTGGATGATGGTGATGTTGGTTCGTCCAAGCTCGGCGGCAACCTTGGCCTCGACGGCCGTCTTGTCACGGACCAGGCCAAAGACGGAGTTGGCTGGGCTGGCAGAGAGCTGGCGGACAAACTCGAACTGCAGTGCGGTTTCTGTGTTAGCTATGTCTCTCTTCTATGAAGAGACGAGAGCACGTACGCCGAGCCCGCGAGAGACTCCGGAGATCACGTAGGAAGACATTGCGAATCGAGAATATTGCTGTGGAGTGAGATTGCGTGACCGGAAGACGAATTGCGATTGTTGCTATGTAGTGATGCCCTGAGACAATGGTTATCGAGCACATACTTATACTGCTACATAAACAGCCTCACAGCCTTCTGTGCTTCAGTTCAACCATACTTTGACGTTGTGTGTCTCTCAATGACAAATCGGCTACACTCCCTCTGGGTTGGTGTTCTGTTTAACACCTGACCAAGCGTATTCGGACGAATTTGAAAAGTGGGGCTCGGTTCAATTTGCACTCAGCACTCTCTTCCTGCCCAGGTGTGTTCCCCCCTTCCTCATCTGGGTGTGCAGCCACCCACGCAACGCATTTGTCAGCTTGGTGCAGCGAGAGCCAAATGAGAACAGCAATTCTATCGATAGCATTTGCAACAGCTCTGCTTATTGGCACACACTAGAGAAGGGTCAGGTCATACAGTTGGGCTTATTCGATGTACGTCGTTAATGTCAGCAGGCATGATGCCGTGAGCTACCCACGGCTCTCGGAAGTTCTGAATGGCCGAGACTTCAAATCGGTGCTTTGCAAGCTTTCTTCAGCTTGCGGCGTCCAGCAAAGGGGCGCTTGCGCGCACTTTTGGTCGCAGCCCACACAGTTCATACGTCCCTCTCGGCCTCCGCAGTAGATCTGCGTGAGCGCTGCGTTGCCCTTGGCTTGGGCCATTGCTACACCCCGGGAAAGTTGATGGGGGCTATAAAGGGACAATGTAAACATCGTGACGATGGTCCTTTCATAGATGAGCCTATCAGGAACGATACTAGCAATGCCAAGGTGGCTCACGCCTTTTTGACCAACTCAGCGCTGGGCGCCGTTCTAGCCTGGACGTATGCAGTTGTCAGTGAGACTTGGCAGAGCTCGACAATAATGGACTTCAGACTCGACCAGGAGATGTGCTGTTAGTGCAACTGGTTTTAGTTCACATTTTTCACCATTGCATATCGCCTGGATAAAAACGCTCGGCCACGGTGAATTGAGCTTCCCACATACTCGTCATAGCCCCAGCAAGCTGAGTTGTTTGTCTTGCAGCAATTGCACGGCAGGTGTGGGGAAAAGCCAAGCAGGTCAATCCTAAGCGCGACGAGCGGACCATAAGATCGGGGGATCCCCGCACATGTCCTTCAGTCAGACTGTGTGGGCGTAAGAGCCCGTCTATTTAACTGCTACTGGACTTTGTATTCTGGTAGCCTGTGATGATATTTCAGTACTCGATAGTTAGAGACGAGGCTATGCGTCTGATAAGACCGGCCGCTTCAAGCACCTCGCTGACCATTACTGTCTTGAAGCTCATCTTCACATCAACAGTGTGGCTGCTCCATCGTTATATCTCATGCAGACCGTCGAACTGCAGTCGAGACTTACTTGGTGCGGCGACTAGGAAGGACCTCTGCGCTGGGCCCGTTCCACGGTAGGTCTTGTCCGCGAGCGTGCATTTGCACTTCCGAACGGCCGATAGCGGGGGGCGCGGACGAGGGCAAGTTGCGGGATTCAGTCCGGATGATGTATGTGGAGTGCCCGCCTGAGAGCGGCGCGCTCTGGGAGCACTTGACCCCGGGCGGGAGTAGCTGGAGCTTGTATTGTGGGCTTGCTCGTCAGCCCGGATCCCTAGGCAGCTGTCAGCCTGTTCTAAGACAAATAAGCTCGCCATCTGCTAAAATCGAGAAGGACGTGTTTGACAATCAAGAAGCAAGGACTTAGCTATGCCAGCGTGTACAATTTGATAGGTCCTGTCTCGTTACACCATCACTTCGGGAGGCTGGCCGAGATCCAAATGAAGTGTTTGCAGATCATTGCCTGGCGGAGGAACAAGCCACGGCTCGGGAAAAGCCCCGCGTCTCCAGCCCCCTGGGTAGCGTCGCATTGGAGATATGATGTCCGGGGAACCACCGGTAATCACAGGACCGGGTCGACATGTGCAAGCTAATTACGCCGACTATGGCCAACTCCAGCTGTGTGTTGAAGACATTGTCGGGAACCACCGGTGAAGCCCGGCCCGATAATCCGCACAAAGAGCCGTCGGGCCCAAGCGATCCCCGTGTTCTGTGATCGGCAAGATAGCCATGGCCGTCCCCCGCAATCTTATCCCATTACAGTCTCCACGGTTGTCAAGGTTAGTAAAAGTGGATAACCTACTGATTGGAGCGAATCATACGATGTCATGCCTCGTACTGACGGCACTTGTCTGTTGCTTGGCCACCCAGGGCGGAATCGACATGGCCTGGCTTGGCCTCCCGGCCCAGTAGTGTTACACTCGGAGTGGCGCCATCGCAACGCGAAGCCCCTGCCTTGCATCTCACCTTCCAGAGCGAGTCGTGGTTTACCTCCGTTCAACGAGTCACCCAGGCTGGCGGGCCACGATCGTCCCAGTGAGGAGAGTGATCGGCACCCTGCCCATTCGGGCACAGCAAGAGGAGTATATATGTCTTGGTAGTCGCAATGTCGCTCCTCAGCTTAGGATGCAACCGTCCAGGGACATCGTGATCGCCCTCCCTGTCTCCTCTAATCACCGGCTCACTCTCACGTCTCCTGAACAGCGGCGCTCATCCCACATCACGGGCACTGAGATCCACACGCGCCCACAATGCCGCGACAAAGCAAAGGTGCATTTGCACTGGCCGCCCTTGCCGGCCTTGCCGCCGCCTCGCCCGCCGCCACCCGGCGCGACAGTAGTAGCACCTACTCCACTGGTTCCACTCCCGCACCCGGCCCATACGAGGCGACTTGGGAGTCGACCGACAAGCACACGGCGTCCCCAGAGTGGTTCAAGGACGCCAAGTTCGGTGTGTATTGGCACTGGGGTGCGTTCACCACAGCGCAGCACGGCAGCGAGTGGTACCCGCGGAACATCTACCGTAAGATTGACGCACCCGAGACGGAGCGCCCGTGGCACGAGAAGACGTACGGCGACCCGGATACAGTGTTTGGGTACGACAAGTTTATCCTTGGAGGCCAGGATCTCGCCGGGAACCACGTCCAGTTCAAACCCGTGCTAGTATCTGAAGGCGGCGAGTTCGACCCGGAAAGCTGGATAGCCACCATCAAAGCATCCGGGGCAAAGTTTGCGGGTCCCGTAGCGGAGCACCATGACGGGTACTCGTTGTGGGACAGCGAGGTTAACGAGTGGAACTCGATGCGACTCGGCCCGAAGATGGACCTGCTGAAGATGTTTAGCGAGTTGGTGCGTGGAGCCGATATGAAGCTCGTCATCGCGATGCATCAGGCGTTCAACACGAACGGTTTCTTTGGGTCCGCGCAGAACCAGACCGACCCGGCCATGCGGCTCCTATTAGGCCAGCTGTCCCACGAAGAAGGGTCGGAGCGGTGGCTCGCCAAGCAGCTCGAGGCGCTGGAACATGTCAAGCCTGATATGGTCTGGAATGACTTCTCCCTGTGGAGCCCCGGGTGGTGCCAGGACGACGGCAGTCCGATTTGCGGGATCCGCGAGGCCGAGAGGCTGACGTTCTTGGCGCACTACTTCAACCGTGGCGTCGAGTGGGGAAAGGAAGTACTGACCACCTGGAAGCACGGCGACTTTGGGTTCCGTGATACTAGCGCCGTCGTGGACTATGAGCGCGGCGGCCCTGCAGGCTTGACGAGGCCGTACTGGCAGACTGACGATGCTATAAGTGCGTCTTCGTGGAGTTATACGGACGGGATCAAGTACCACTCCTCCAAGTCGATGATCCACTCCCTCCTCGACAGAGTGAGTAAGAACGGCAACATGTTGCTGAACATTAGCCCTACCGCGACCGGACACCTACCGGAAGAGCAAGTCCAGATCTTGGGCGACATCGGCGCGTTTCTTGCGCTTAACGGCGAGGCTGTGTACGAAACACGCGCGTGGGATATCTACGGCGAAGGGCCGAATCGTGCGGGAGGGGGGTCCTTTTCAGGGCCGCTTGAGGGTGACGGGCGAGACCTTAGGTTCACAAGGAGTCAAGATGAGAAGGTGCTCTATGCCACGCTACTTGGCTGGCCGGAAGGCGGCAAGACCGGTATCGCAAGTCTGGGCAGTGACCGCGCTGTGAGCCTTGATGGGCTTACGAGTGTTCAGTTCTTTGGTGCCGCAAAAGGCGAGTACGTCGACATCACCGACTTCACACAAAGCGCCGCCGGGCTCAACATCACTCTGCCAGAGAAGCCCGCGGAGGAGCAGTACGGTTACGTCCTCAAGTTGACCTTCAGCGAGCGCATTCCCATCCCGCAGCCCATCGACGGCGCCACGATCTGGCCCGCGGGTGAGATTACATCTACTACCAAAGGCGTCTCACTCGAGATGGGCGAGTTTACTGGTGCCTTCTTGTCAGAAGCCGGGCTCGAGGGCAAGGATGTCGCCGTAATCCGTGTGTCCAAGGGCTCCGTCGCGATCGTGTATGAGACTGCTGACTTTAGCGGGATCCCGATGCGGGGCTTTGTTGCCGGTGAGCATCACGTGGAGCTGGGGAGTGTCGGGGCGATTAAACTTGTGCCCTATTGATCTAGTGGCGCTGAGGGCCAATGGAGACGAGATTGGGACAAGTGCAGCGGAGTTTACGAAAGACAGAATATGACAAACGCCTGTGCCCGCATGATATTTCCCACTGTCGTGCCTGTGTTTGAAAGGAGTGAGAAAAGGTGTTTGATCCACCCGCGGACGATTCCAACTTTGTCTATCCATCATTAGCTGTACCCTGCTATTCAAGCCGCGGAATCCCTCCCTCCACAGTCCTGTGCCTGACGTGTGACCCAGTCGCTCGAGCTTGCCCGGCCAGGGTGCATCTACGTATGCAACAGACAGTGTCAGCAACCTTGCTTTCGATGAAGAAGGCCGTGGATATTATGCTGTGGGGAGAAGCTCAGTGGCGGTACAGGATCATAAAGCTACTCTCAAGCTCAAAATGGTAGTGATAGGACCATGGCTACGCCCACCGACTTGAACCAGTTTCACTCATTGCCAACGACTAAAGCTCTTTCGGTATAGCCACTATGCTAGAACACCTATCATAGGCACAGTGTCACGGCTGAAAATGTCCTCTTTTCCCATGTTGCAACGTATTATGAAATCAGAACATTGGTCGTGAGGCGCTTTGAGGAATGGCTCAGCCTATGGATAATCAATGCACTGAATGACTCATTCCCTGGAGCCATACCTGGCCTTGTACTCGCCAATCAAACCGCGCAAGCTTTGCGCACGGCAAGGCTGCAGCAAGCCTTCTTTGCCAAGGTGGCTGACTAGGCCCAGGTCGTCAAGCAAGGCGTCTGTGTACGCTACGCAGTCCCAAAGGAACCAGTTCGCCATGGCGCCTTTATCCAAGTACCGCCGGGCGCACCACATGGCCGTGTCCGCCACGTCCTGCCGCATCTGCATCTCCTCCTTGTTCGTAGCCGTGGCCGTGGCCGCAGGGAGCCTCCCGTTCAGAGCCGCGACCGCCCAGAGCGACTGTACTTCCGCTACGCGCCATCCATTGATAATGTTCACGCGGCCTAGGGATACGATGCTCGGATCTTGGATGGGCAAGATGCATCTGTACAGTCTATAAGGGGTCATGGATGCAGTCCTCTTGTTGTATCTTGGCGGATCGGCCAGGATAGGAAATCGCTGCAACACCCGCTTCTCTGCTTCTTTATCCGCCGCGTCCCATCTCTGCCTCTCCACACTGCCAGCGGTACCTGCGATGGGTACTGGGAGGCCCAAGTCCAACGCGGTTTGCGCGTCATAGTGACTCGGGGCCTGCCTCCACCCCGTACCAAAGACCATAGCATCGGTTTCGATCCTCGTTCCGTCGGATAACACGACAGCATTGGGTTCCACCTCCGTGATATCGTCGCGATAAACACGCACCTTGGTCGCAATGGTGTCAAAAAAGTCGTCCCGCTGCTCGACACCGGTATTGTCATTTGCCCAAAACAGCGGCGTGTCCGGAATCAGATTCTTGAACCCATTCTCCACCGCCATGGCGTCATTGCGGTCGTATCGCGCACGTTTCCTGAAGTCGGCCTCGATGCTCTTCCACGCAAAGCGGGTGAGCCATCGCCCGATCGCGGTCCTGTTCATGAAGCGCACAATCAGAGTGTCCTTGACAAAGTGCGACGACATGATGTAATACAGGACCCGGGTTAGGAGAGGCTCGTCGGTCGAGGTAAACGGCGGTTTTGGGTGTAATGGGGCATACCAGCAAGGCCCGCCGCCGGATTTGCGGACCACCCAATGCACAATCTTGCCCGCCTTCGCAAGGGCGTAGGCTGCATCCGCCGCAGACTTGGCACCGCCCGCTACCACTATGCGCATGGCCTTCTCGTTGCTCTGCAGCTGGTTACTGGCCAGTTCTATGGCATGCATGCGCGTGCCTCGGAAAGCATGCAAGTTTGGCAGGTCCGGCAGAGCGGGTTCGCTGGTGATTCCAGACGCGTCAATGACCTTGTCAGCCTGGAAGGTTCTTGACGGCCGACCATCCTTTTGCTCGGTCTCGACAACCCAACAGGTCTTATCATCAGCCAGTTTGCTGACCCGTGTGACACGGCAGGCGAACCGGATCCGATCTGCCACGGAGGAACCCGCATATTTGTGTGAATGCGCATAAATCTCGAGGTAGGTCGTCATGTGTGTTGCACGGAAGAGACCACAGTTGAGTTGATCCGGTTCGAGGGGAAGTCCGACGTCAGAGAACTCGGCGACCGAGTGGCTGTCTTGTGTCCAGAGCGTGTCGTATACGCGGCCCTGGCTCCATGCTCCTCCCAGTTGCTCGCTGCCTTCGAGAATGACTAGTTTGGCGTTGGGATAGACCTCTAGATATGTCCGAGCTGCTTGCAGGCCATACATGCCCGCGCCGATGATCAGCACGTCATACCCGGATTTGGCCGACATGACTACATGAGTGTGCATGCTGCAAGAACAAAAGGAGAAGGACCAAGAAGGAAAAAGACAAGGAGGATCGCATACCCAGGCTCAGACTTGAGGATGCACGAAGCGCTCGCGCCGTTCAGCTTCAAAACTCTAACTAGAACGCAAGTAGCAACGCGAACAAGGATTCGACCACTAGCTGCCGCTTCTCCAAGGCAAATGGGGTCTGTGCGCCACGCCAAACCTAGACAAGTTAAATGGCGTGAACAAGCTCAGTTATCCCCGGAGGCTGACACTCAGCTGAAATGCATCCGGCGACAAAGGGATCCCTAATTCGCCTCGCCTGGTTTCTACACGCCACATCCGAAACCCTGCATACAATAGCAGAGATCGACAGGACGAGACCTACGGGAGATTCTGACGCTAGACGGCGACGCCCGAGCCCGTTTATGGCTCAACATCAAGAAGCAGTACAAGCATGTCTACCTGATTACGCGTCCAGGTAAAGTGCCGTGTTCCACACTGCACATGCATCTGTGCCGATGACGTGTCCGGCACCACTGGTTCCCGCTTGCATTTCGCAGCTATCGAATCGTGGAATTTAGTCCCAGAGTTAGTACCCTGATCTATATTTCACGGCTCAATTCCAGCGGCCATGAGACTACCGCCCACGGTCAGGGCTTGCCAGCAAGTGTGAATGGCAGTGCTGTCGGCAGACTGCTGATCGGCAAACCTATTACGCCAGCCGTGAGAAGTACTCCGAGCAATTTGCCAGTATCAGTATCGTGAAATTCCTGTACCTCCTGTCCCAGGCCAGATGCTCAGGGCTGGTCAAGTGAGCCTTCTAGGTTTTGTTTTCTTCAACAGCATTGCTAATTATGACAGTTCTAACGTCACCCCTGAGCGCACGTGTTGCGCATTCTTACTAGACTCATCGAAATGGGCACTGATCACATTTGTTGTTCTCATATTCATGATCCATGCTTCAGCTAATTACCCACCACGAAAAGAGGCTTCCATCAACCTGATATTACCGAACACCAAGTTGCTGGGCATAAGCATCAGCATCTTGCTCGGGGCGTCAGTGATGATTGGGAATGCTGGCTGATTAGGCTTTCATGATTCACCTGGCATTGGCGTGAGCTTGGTTCTGTATTTTACGTTCTAGACACGAGTATCAGGCCGCTGACTCGCGATACGTTTCGTGCGCAATCACGTGTACCGAGCGCAAGAGATGGGATGGCTTCCCTGGGTGTCCGACTACATCAAAGCACGTATAGTCGAGTGCAATAGTGTTGAGCAGTTTTATCTCGAATCTTTAAGCTGTTGTATTGTGTAGGGCTGCTATGCTGCGACCAATTTGGCGGAAGTGTCAAGAGCAATTACCCTAAGAGTTTCACACGCTGTTTGGTTCAGAACAGATCGTCGGCCTGATTTCGGCTCCCACCGTAGCGCTAATCCTAAAGAATTCTAGTAGAAGGATTGTCCAGAGAATCCCCGACATACTACATGAGGATCGACACACTATCGTTCCTACCCATTTTCATCAATCAGCTCCTTCGGAAAGGTATGTTTGGTACATACATCAACTCTGTGTGTTTTTGACAGTGTGGTATTACGTTAGTGATCGACACCAGCCCTGTCGCAAATCATGATTAAATTGTCACGAGTAGTTTGATTAGCGTGAAGTACTGCCGTATTGGGCCGGTACGACCACGTCGATGGCAAGCCTCGACACGAATTAGCGCCTGGGCATACTGCCTACTTCGGATTCCACGGGCGTGACTTGCGGAGCCCAAAGAAAAATCTCGTGTACCCCAACGAGTACTTCAAGCCGCGATTTCCTGCTTGACTTTTGCCATTACATAGTAACGACACCTCCCAGCACCCAAAATTTGAGATGCGCTTCATAACCAGCTTGGCCACTTTGGTAGCGTGGCATGTACCACATGCTCTAGCTGCTGCACCCACGATAGGATCCTCGCTAGCTGTCAAGTCTGTCGTAGAATACCCGCTTCCAGCAGCTGGCGAAACCCATGAGATCCTTGCCGTGAGCGACGAGCTCTTGCTGATCTCTCAGCAGACGGACGGCAGTTTGGTCAAAGTGGCGCTCAATCAGAAAGGACAACCCGTTGCAGCGCGCAAGTACATTGTGACGAACCCCTGGTCCGGACTGCATGGTCTGGCGCTGCACCTAGGCTCTTCGTCGTCTGGCGCCAACTCGACAGTGTGGGCAACCGTCCAATTCGACAATGCCATCCTTCAGATCGATCCTAACGGCAACGACATCAACTCTCCGCCGCGCGTCCTCAGGACGATCCCACTCCCTGCCCCTGCATTTGGACCCCATGGCATCCTCGAGCACAACGGCAGCCTCTGGGCAGCCTGCAAAGACAGCTCGCACATCGTGCGCATGACTATCGACAAACCCGACGAGGACCATCAAGTGTGGGCTGTCAGCGGGCGGCCTATATTCACTGCTGTGCATCCCACCAGTGGGGATGTCTTTGCTGGCCTGGATCTGAGCAGCAAGATCTGGCGGTACAAGAATGATGGCGGGACAGGCGAGGAAATAGCTGTTCCCCCTGACAAGGGCACCACACCCGTCGGTCTCTTAGCCGGGCCCGATAAAAATGCCTGGGTGGTGTTGTTGGGCAACTCGACCGCCGGCACAGGCACTTTTGGTCGCATCAACAAGGACGCATCCATCGACTGGTTCACCCTCTCCTCGTCTATCGGGAGCGCCGCGCCGCTGATCCACATGGCGTTCAACGACCAAGATCCAACGCAGTTGTGGCTTCTCGGGTCGTCAACCCTGTGCGCTGCCTGTGTCAACGCCGTATTCACTGTGAAGATCGAGGATACGGCTAGTGGGACGGCACGCCCCAGAATTGCAGTGCAGAACACCGTCATGTTGCCTACGCAGCGGAGCTGGACGCACCGCATGATTGTTCACCGCGGAGACCTGTACATCACGGAGCTGACAACTTCAACGCTCGCGCATGTCAGCGGAGGGGCGGTCACCGGGTTGAATATTAGCGAGACGTGGGATCAGTACGCCTTCTCTGGTGTTGGTGCTAGGGTGGATGCCCTTGACTACAGTAATGCTTAGTGAAAGCACTCAATTAATAACTTAGTCAACCGGCGCATCCAGCGATTTTCTTGATTGCATTGGACAGATGCCCATCTTAGGCCACGGACAGGCAGTTAGAGAACCCTTTCGCCTAGATAATTAAGTATGCATCAAGCCTTCCAAGGTTCAACTCCTCGGCAATTCGCTCTTCCCTGAAGGTGCTCCTGCGACGTGCCTACCAACATCTTTCGGATATTAACAAGTTGTGTGCTGCGCCATAGAAGTGGACGAGACCCACAAGCGCCCTCGAGTCTCTCAGCGTCAATAGCTTCAATAACGGCGCGCAGCAAAGGATTGGAAACCCATATGATAGCTGCTCGATGGCCTCTTCAACCTGCAACACGGCTGATTTGGCGACTGTACTGCCTGCCGACTTGAGATTTGCGCAAGAGAAGAGCGGCGACACACGACACATAATGCGTTGGAAGAACAGACGCATTGATTGCGTCGCTTCTGAAGACGATGCGGCCGATATCTGCAGTCGTCCAGTCGAGGCGTGGTCTGTAGTAACGTTTGTGATTGCTGTTTTTGGCCTCTTAAACTCTGCTCATCGGCTCTGTCCGACGTGGTGCCGGTTGTGCGCGGTGCAGAGCGAACTAGTACCAGCTCCCGCTCCAGACCAAGAAGCAGTCGCCAGGCATGTGGTGGAGGTCCACGAGGAACCGTCTCGACAGCCACAGGACGCGGGCTCTGGCAGCACAGGTCATCCCACATCCACATTAGCGGCTCCACGAAGCGTGTTGTATCCTCGCCGCATTCGGTCAATTCATGCTCAATGCTGACCCTAGGGTTCTGATGGATCATCTCGGCAAAGGCGCCTCCCTCGTCGAAGAAGACCGGAATGGCCTGAAACCATACCTGGATGTTGCCAGGGCTGAGCAGAAAGAGCAGATTATGAGCGAGATCCAGCCCGGCTGTGGACTCACCATTCACGGGGCTGTCTAGAAAGCCGAGGTCGGACCATGACATGTAGTTGACAAGCAGGGCTGTGCCCATGAGGGCCTCGCAATTATCTCTTGTGATGGGTCGAGATAGGGTTTCGCGAAACAGGCGGACTGTTCTGGCCGTTAGCTGCATTGATGCACGCGAGTATTTGTGGTTCTGCGAACACAGAGTGGTGAGATGCATGGCGGCGACGCATAGGATGGCAGACATGACAAAGTCTTTCTGCACATAAGTCAACATGTTGTCCTGTGCTTTCAAGATTAACTTAGGCTTCTGAAGGGTTTTTATATAACGGCGGGCCACACTTGGGGAAAAGTCAGAGTGGACATGGTCTGTTTACCCCAGTGATGAAACAGCTCAAGCTGCAGGAGGCTGATCTGAGGCTCCGTATCCATTCGATCCTGGTTCTGAGAGAGAACGGGATTCCGAACACGGGCAAGCTGGGCGTAGTGTCCGACTATGGAGATAGCTGCAGACATTGGATGTCACGCTTGACACAATTGCCGCATGGAAACGCCCCGTTACACTGACCAATTAGTCCGCGTCAGACGGAGAGAGGACGACCACAGTGACATACGTACCTTGACTCTTCGACGTTTACGCGCAAGACACCCTCGCCGGCTTTTGGTATGCGGGAGTTTGAGGCGCGGGCGGTCAACAACTCCGATGGTCAGCAGATCCGAAGTTTGGCCTTCCACTCTGGGCACCACGATAGTGTTGGCAAAGGCAAACGCGCCGGGTGCAGGAGACTCGGCCATGCTATGTTGGTTGGAGGGTTATGGCTCGAGGCATGCACAGAAGGGAGCCGGGTTTCAACAGGGCCAGGCAGCAAAAGCATAGCTTTAGCCCAGCATCAGGCTGGAAGTAGCGGTCATCGGTGGAGAAAGCCTGACATGTAGGGCCACGCGCACTCGATTGAGCCCTCGCATTCCCGATTGAGAATACGCTGGCGTCATCCAGAGAGATTCCCTGCTGTGGATCATTCCGTGCTGCCGAGTACAGGAAAACGGGTTGCCTAGCGGTTCGGCTAAACGAAGAGAACGACGATACGAATGTGGGACGACCATAAACGCAGAAAACGTGCATCCTTGTCCTGGAGCAGGCAACCGGATGATGCGAAGACGCCGCCAGGCAGCACTTGATCATAGCTTGTTCGTAGATTCGAAACACGTATTTGCTCGCTTGTTTAAAACATGCCTATAAGTACCCAGACTGCCTCCTAAATTCGTAGCCTGGAGGGCATCAACAAAGTGGCCACAACAATCCGTCCTGAAAATGTCTTCGGTACCCCCTGGAGGCCTGCTCCTCGATACTGGCGCCAATGGCTATCTAGCCAGCGTCACCATCCAAGTCTTCCTGCAGCACGGCTATCGTTTTCTTGGTACAGTCTGCTCCGCCCAGCCCAATGCCTGGATGAAGGCGTACTTCGGCTCCAAGTTCGAGCTCGTCGAGGTACCCTCCTTATAAAAAGGCTTGGTACTCTGAGAGGGTCCCAAGTTATCTACGTATACCTTAGATACTAGGACAATGTGACATAACAGAGTTATTACGGAAGAATTGCGAAGTTTTATTCGTACATACAACTCGGTATGCGAGGCAACTGAATAGCCTCCCACGGCTCCGACCCCCGGCCAGGACCGCTAATGTACCCCAGATTCGGCTCAGGTCTAACATTCTCTAATACCATACTCGAATCATACCAAGAAGCGTACCGCTCACCCAACTGGTCATTGCTATGTTCCTGGCGGAAACCTTGCGTGCTCGACGCGGTACTTTGGTGGATGGTCGACTTCGTCGCGCTTTTCGAGGACCTTGCGCCTGAGCCAACGAAGCCGGATACCCAAGCCGACAGCCTCTTGATCGATCCACCCCGGAGTTGCTTCAGGAGAGGCCGAAGCCTTGGCAGAGCCACGACGATGATTTGCGTCGCTTGGTCGACGTCGCCGACCAGGTCTTCGCAGGAGCATGCTCTTCGTCAGTCCAAACGTGATTCTTTTTGACTCGGCGGCTGCGGGATGGAGCTGAGTAACACTCACAAGAACCGTACGAGAACTGGCCCTGCACCTGTAAAATGAAGCGTGTCGTGCTAACGAGCAATGTCGCTGAGCCGAACATGAAGATACAGATGAGACCGATCTTTTCCTTGTGGTCGAGTGTTCTCAATCGTCTCAGGAGGCCGAACGGGAGGGCAAAGACTGGCAGATGTCAGAGTGAGCTTTCAGGTCGCCTTGGCCGTCGTGGTTATTTTGTTGCACTGACCTAGGACTTCAGACACGATGCCGACTGGCCAGCTGATAAAGCCCGGGGTCTGAGAGCTGACAAAGGCGCAAATATCAGGGTTTGGGCTCCTGTATTTTTTGTTTTTTTTCACATGTAAGCAAGTGCACTACTGGTTGTCAACAAAGGAACTAACCAGTTCGCCGCGATGTCCAGATTGCACCACATCAAGTCCATAAGGATGACAGATATGAACCCGCAAGTCGTATAGGCCGTGACGAGGTATAAGAAAACTCGCATCTTGTGCTCAGAGGGGGGGAAGAGCTTGTTGTAGAAGGCCAGGAGACTGAATCGGGGAAGGTAGAGCCCCGTGTCGAAGAGTATATCATCCGCGAATTTCCACTAGGTATATGTATTGTTAAAATCTTGGACGAAGCACGGTATGTAGGGCCGGACTGGAATACGTGCCTTAGAATATCCCTCATCATAAAACTCTGCAAATGAAAGATACCCCAGGCTGAAACTGTAGGTGTCGCCAACCACGAGGGCGAGGAAGAACAAGAGCGCTAGCACGAGGAAGATGTCGGATAAGGCGAAGAGCCACATCTTGGTCCATGTACGGACGGCCAGTCGTAGGATCACTATCGCCATTGTGATTGCGACTAAGCACCACTCGGCAATCTGGGAGGCACGATTAGCAGGCATTAGTGGTGGCAATTGAAATGCTGCTAATTGATGGCAGTCTTACAAGGAAGGAACGAGAATCTAGGCTCATCGTGTTCCGGTCATTCGGGTTTGGTCTCTGTCGGCAGAGCTATAATTTGGTCGGTGGTATACGTTGATCACCTGGAGGTCCAAAAGGGTAGAAAATGGACATTGCCGTCGATATTATCGCTTGTGTATCGGCCCGAATGACTGCCTTGGGGCTTATCAATAGTGCAAGGCACAAGCCCCTCAACAAAGCATTTTATGACACACTACGTAGCCCATAGGACATCTCCGAGGCGCGAGGGTTAACATTGGCGCTCGGCCATCCCCCTCATTCAGAGTGTAAGCTTTATCATAGATCGCGAGCAGACTTTGGTTGTGGTGCGGCTTGGATGTAGATTCAGGTTGCGAAGAGTTTAATCTGTCCTCATTTAGTCGTGTGGCTTGCCATTCCTGACCCTTTTACTATAATCGGTCCTTGGCGGATACAAACAGGCCGAACGCATCGTTCGGGCAAGATATCAGAATTTCCAGATGCAGCAATCTATATGTAGTTAGCTAAGATGTCACATGATCGCAAGATCGGCTCAAACGCATTCAGCTTTCATACCATACCCTAAGACCTGGTGTCTAGGTTTTCTGGTTCTTTCTCGCTTATTAGCATGTCTCAAACCCTAAACAAGTGTCAAAAGTGAGACAACGGTGGGTAGTCAAAACCTAGACAGACTACCGTAAGGTACTGATAGGCCATTGTAACATTTAGACTAGACTACTCTTTTCAAGATTCAGGTAGCCAGTCCTGCTAATCCCGATTCTGTCAGTCTCCAGTCGAAGCCCTACACAGGCTCCGATACGGCCGTGTTCAAAAATGCTCAGCCCAGTGAAAGCAGTCCCAGGAAGTCGGGTTTAGAGTCAAATTCGGAGGCTGGGATCGTTAGTTACGCCGGCTAGGCGATTTAACCACGGCTACTAGACGCTGGTCATCTGGTGCTTGGGGGAGTTATTATGGGACGTCGAGGGGGCCGTCGCGGCAGTGTGCCGGTCGTCTAGGAGCGGGGTCCTGGGGCTCAGAGGGACCCCGGGAACGATGCTGGTGCTGTAACTAATGAGATTGACGCCAGCGGCCACGGCTACAGCGGTCTCGCCACTCTGTGTCGGCCCGCAAGCCTGGTGCAGCGCAACGAGCCACGCCGAGGAGGCCGTGTCGAGCGTAAACCTGAAGCCCGTCCAGTCGTAGAACCACGGGACGCGCTTAGCGAGCATAGAGAAGCCGTTACACTTAGCGAATGTCGTAGCGTCGGCGGGAGCCCGCAAAGCACTACAAACTAGCCCGTGGAACTGAGAAGCGGCATTCGCAGTGTGTGCATTTTCGAGGTCAATGATGTTTCCCGATTCTACTGGTGAAGCAAAAAGTCCCAAAACAAATCAAACTGTTTTCGATGAAGATGTACAACCAGGCCACCATCTACTCTAGGCCAAGAAAAAGTTTCACCTCCTGCTTGATGAACTCTGCGTCATCTTTATTCCACCCGCCTCCAGCGAGATGACCCCAGATACTGTCGATAACCCGGAGTTTACCCTTGTTCAAGTGCTCAACCTCGAGCTCGTTGTCCGCGGGCGGGAAGTACTGGTCTGTGCGGCTTGGCATGACCAGAACTTTCGCATCTATTCTGTGGAGCGCCTTGGCCAGGTCGCCACCGTCCTCGGGGTGGTAGACAGAGATGTCGCCCTTCTGCCACGTCGACAGAAGTACGAGGATGTCATTGGCGTCCATGTCCCTGGTCCAGGCGTCACCGAGATAGCCGAGCAGCGTTTTGTAGCCGAGCCGCTCCCAGGCACGCGCGCGGAACCACTCCTGGGACAGTGCCCAGGTCGAGTAGGCACGCCAGAAGGCCTTGATACCGTGGGACGGGTACTCGGTGTAGTTGCCGCCGTGGAAGTCAAAAGCGGTGACGAGGGCGAGGCGCGGGCCCTCGATGAAGGACCAGTTATGCGGGCTGGTACGCGCGCTGGCGGCAATGACGACGGCGTTATCGACGAAACCCGGGAAGCGCGACAGCATGTGGTATGTTTGCTTGCCACCAAGCGAGAAGCCGACTTCCGCGAAGAGCCGGCGCACGCCCAATTTCTCCGTCAGCAGCGCGTGCTGCAGGACTACGTTGTCTTCAAAGCTGACGCGCGGGAAGTTTGGCCCGCTCCAGGGCGCCGGCGTGTTGGACGGTGATGACGACTCGCCCGCACCGAGCAGGGATGTCACAACTACGAAGAACTTGTCGGGGGGAAAAGGCGGCGCCGCTCCTCCGCCTGCGCTCGAGTATAAGAAGGGTGTCGTCGTTGCCAACACGCTACGAAAAGATGACGGAATCAGGACCGCCGGATTGGCCGGCGAGCCAAATGTCCAGTAGGCGAGGGTGGCCGGGAACTTCACCCCAGCGGGCTCGGACTGGCCCGACAGCGTGATCTCCTTGTTGAAGTACTGTGTCTTTGGAATCTCTGGCGTCTTGTCTCCGAGACTCGATTCGATGGTATGGAATCCGAGATGCTCTTTGTCTGCATATCCCGGGACGTATTTCCTTCCCCATGGGGCCACAAAGGTATCTGGCAATCGTAATGTTAGACTTACGCAGATGCACCAAGGAACCTGAGCAACTCACCCCATGTCGTTTCAGGCTTCGTCCGGCATAGACGGATCATGATCCTCCGGACACCCTCTGTAAGCTCGTGGCGCGGGAAAGCCTCGTTGACAGCATTGAAATCATCCCATGTTATAATCCCCGTTATATCACTCTCCGGGCCTCTGAAGTCCGCACCGGCTCCAAAGGTGACTGCACTCACAACGGGCTCCTTGAAACGGGCGATGGAAGGCACTCCGTGTATGGCGATGGCATCCCAGACAAGCTGGAGCCTGCGCTCATCCCAATTCGCCGCTAGCCCATTCTTCTGCTGCTCTTCAATCCAGCTGCGCGCGGCGAACGCGCCATCGACCTCGAAGCGCTTGTCCTTGGACACGAGCTCGTCCGTGACATCCCACCCAAGGTCATGTAGGACTGCGGCAAGCGCGTGTGCCTCGAGATCCATCTCCGATACTTTGCCCTTTGCAAAGAGTCCCCGATGGATGATGACGCCGAAGATCCACGTACGCATTACATGGTTGAAAATCATGTCGTCGCTATGAGCCTGGGCATATTCAATAGCGGCACGGACTATTGGGGTGTCGACGACCCGCACCCCGGCAATGGTTTTCTGGGGAAGTTGAGGAGAAGCCATGGGAAATTGAAGTTTGGGTAGTCTTTGTATCGTTATCGAAAATGGTAGAAAAGAGATGCTCAGTGAGGTCTTCAAGATGCCGGTGAGTTTATGGATATTATGAATCTTTGCATGGTTTCCGCGGGTTAAATATTTCGAATGGCTCTACACCTCAACTTTCACCTTTTCTTAGTTCTCATGTGTGGATGTGTAGCTCCGATGAGGCGCGGATCTATATTGAGTAATCAGCACGTATCACAAGGATCCAGGTAAATGGGACGCTAATAGAATGCCGGTGGGGGTGGGATATGTTTCACTACCCTCGGTGTGGACCAGCGGGAAGCAGTGCGGGACCGGCGAATGCTTGAGTGCAAAAGCCGGCGCTGCAGGGATTAAGTTTGACTGGTGCGGGCGACACGGAAAATCCGTCAGGCGATTGATAGCTGCCCCATTTGACAGCACCCTTTGCCAAGGCATGCGTGGTTGGTAATACCCCTGTACACCATCGGCTGACACGGCACACTGTAGTAGCCTGGCTTCAGAGCCCGGTACCCTGGAACGGCAGACATTCCTGGCCAATCAGCTGTTTCTATACGCCATTCGCTGGCTACCGTCCTTGATTAATCAGTGGTTTTCTCCGAACGAGAACGGAGTTAGAGAATGTTAGCGGTAGAATCACTCACATCAAGTTGCTTGACAAACACGGCAAACTGGCTTTCTGGTGTTACAGCCTGCCTCCTATAGTAACAATGATTCCGTTGAGTACGTAGCAGCGAGATGAGGTAAGGAGAGGAAGCTCGTCGAATGATTTCGATGTGCTTTCATGCAGCCCAGATATCGCTGGATTGGTTAACATCGGAACAAGTATAAGTATAACCACATTCCTTCCAAGGATCTTAATGTTAAACCACTCACAAAGTACTCAACTTTCAACACTCCCCACTCCAACATATTACATTATCAAACACAAAACGCTAGGACAACTTCATCCTCTCGATTCACTTAGTTCAAGCCATGGCAACGACAGTAGCAGACCTTATTGCAGCTCACGAGTACGCCTTCCTTCAACCCCAGTGGAAATATGCAGCATCGGTACTAATATTAAGTATAGGCCTCGTGACTTCACGCCCTTCCCCACGCTTGCTGAGGCAAACGCAAACGGCAAGCCCCGCCTCACAATGCTCGGTAATTGACAGCTAGCCCATTTATGTTTCATACATAGAGTCATCTAATTATTTTTGTTTTTAGTGTCATGCATGGATCCGCGCTGCAGCATTGATAAGTTTGTTAGCTTAAATGTTGGAAGCAAGACAGGCGAATGTAAGTTGTTGACAGCCGTGAGCCACCCAAGATAGTCGTTAATTAACATGATATCCAGTGGTCATGCAGTCTCGGAATGCCGGCGGGAACATTCGATTTGCTATCCGGGATATTCTCTTGATAGACAGACAGTTTGGCCTCGATGAAGTAGTCGTAGTCCACCATACCGACTGCGGCTCCCTAACGTTCACCAACAAGGGGCTGCGCGATGCCGTCAAGGAAAGAATTGACTCAGCCCATTGGGATGAGGTCGATAAGATCGACTGGGGTGCGAACACGGAGTAAGTCAGCAGAGGAGATCTCAGCCACTTAGGAATGCTCTTGTTCCTGACAATCTCTTAGTATGGCGGCCAGCGTTAAGGGAGATCTCGAGTGGCTTCGTGCTACGCCACTGATTAGGGACGAGCTAAAGCTAAACGCCCGTGGATTCCTTTTTGACATCCAAACGGGCGAGGCTGAGGAAATTAAGCTGGCTTAGCTATCGTGTATTCATGTAGGAATGCAACGATAGACAGCAGTTTAATTAGTTATTGCGCTCCAGTGTCTCACAGCTGAGCAGGTCAACTATCACTCTCTATACCTTCATCTATAGATGCTCACTCCCGAATCCTCACGTCCTTTACACCTTCTCCCACTTCAAGAACCCGTACTGCCACAGTGACAGGAAAATGGCGGCGAAGAAGCTGAATGCAGGACCTGACACGGCGTGTTTCTCGTCCAGCGTTGCTGCATCCCACGAGCCTGCCATCCAATAGGCCTTGATTGCATTAGCGCCAGTGATTCCTATAAAAGAACGACCGCGCCTGCTCCAAAGTCTTGGCATTTGGGCTGTGGCTTCATGATCTGCGGCAGCCACTCGGAGCCTGCATAGATGAAGTGCGACCGACGCCAATGATAGAACGATGCAGCCATAATGAGAAGGAATTACTACTGGGAATGTGATAATAGAATTCGGTCATCTTCTGGCCGAGTGGACTTTCCAGACAGACTCAAGGGACATTGATTGCATACTCCTGCTCCGATTTTCAGGCTTCACCACAAATCTGCTTCTCCTCATATCGTCATCCTTGCTTTCTGCACCCAACACTCCAGCATTTTGGAGTTGGTCGGCTTCCTGACATTCCTTGCGCCTACCGGGGACTGCTTCGCAGCTGTTGAGCCGGCGGGGCAAGCGACTGTAGACAATGGCGTGGCAGCGACCATTCGACGCTACTTCATGCCGTTCGGCGATGACCGGATCATCGAATTTTCAAGCTTCGCGAGGCGTCGAGGCCTTCAGCGCGGCAGCAGAGGCCATGGACTGGGAGTGGACGAAGAACATCGCCGCGAAAAACGTTGCAGGATCGACGGAGCACGAATTCCAACTTTACTAGCCCGTTCGAGACACCGAATAGAGGCAGGGCGTTTTATCTCTCGGCCCTGTGATTTGCGCACCAATGGCAGAAGAGGACTACAGAGTCAAGCAGAAATAGACGCCCCCGGTGCAAGTTCTTCATCCCAGTCTCTAGGAACGTGGATTGCTGGTAAAGACCCCTCGTGCTTCGCGCATGAAAGGCTGCCAAGACATTAGTGCACTTTGTGAGGCAAGCAGTTTCGGGGGCTGAATCGACAGCCTGCTTATCCACAGGGGACCATCGTGCTGGCCCAATGGCAGTTGAACGGCCTGGGAACCACGTCATAACATCCCAGAAGCCTCTTCCTTGGCATAAGCTGCTCTGCCCTGTATGGGGGAGGGGCGGCAATCTCAGCTGTCGTGCCGACCTCCAACTTGAGCTGGTGCCATGGGTCTAAAGGCTCATATAAGGCCGATACCACTTATGTTGAACTTGTGCAGCTTCCACCTGACGTACTATCTGCCGAGTTCAACCGACAGTGGCGCCGGGACAAGAACATAACTTGGCAAACCAACCACCACCAACTCCTGCCGCCGGCCTCGCCGTTCAGCCAACACCATGGTGTCAATCCGTTCTGCAGCTGCTCTCCTCACAGCTGCCGCTGCCCAAGCCTCGGCTGAGAAATTTGGCATCTACATGCCTGACACCGCAAACGTCACGGGGATCAATGCGAAGCCTAACGCGACGGCCGTCGTCCCCGTGCCAGGCTGGAACCTAGCCAAGCCGTACCCAGGCTACTGGAACGATGGCGAGACGGTTGACAACAACTCCGGCGGGTGCGGCTGGACGATGCATCTCAACTTGACGGCCAACGTGTCGAGCAGCTATGACGACAGGCCGGGCCGCGTCATGCGGCAGTCCCTCGAGCTGCGGCCTCCTGCGGCCCCGGCCCCCGGCGCCTTGCTCGACCCAGAAACGGGCAACCTCACTGTGAGCAGCAATACAACCGACACGTGGCTCGTCCGGTTCGTGGTCTTCTCAAAGCATGAGATACCGACCGGCGGACAGAACAACGCGGACGGGTCGTGCGCGGGCATCCTCAGCCAGGAATGCACGGACAATATGCGTGCCAAGTACACATCCGAGCTGTCTACTATTGACGGCAGCGAGGACTGGGAGGGCAGCATAGGTGCAGGTGGCTGTCCTATCTCGGGGTGGGCTGTGCTCCGTAAGTTGATCTTTCCCTCGTATTGCTACACATTATCCTGCAACGGAGAAGGAAATGACTAACCTCGAAACGTACAGACCCGTGGGATTTTAATGAAAACTTCATGCTCAACAACACACTCTACTGGGATGAGCCTCTCTCGGCAGACAACAAGTACTCAAACGCCTACGACTTCTACGGGTCCCGCCCTGTGCCCTACGCCATCATCTGGGGCCACAGCAACACTACCGCCGTTGGGCAAAGAGTGACTTACGATCACGTTACTATTGGATGCATCAAGGCGAATGAGACCGTTGGCGATAGCAGGCTGCCCTCTGCGGGTGTTAAGCCCGGCAGTGCGGGAGGAGTGATGATGTGGGCCGTTACTGCTGCCACTGCCGCAGCCATGGGATTTGGTGGTATATTTTAAGTTATATCTGCGACTGCAATTGATGTCTCTCGCCCTTAGGTACTCGTAGCTGCACATCCTTCAATGAGCTAGGTTCGTAGTCCCCAGCATGCCCCTGAAACATCAAACGCCTGCGCGTATCGGCTAGCAAGTTTGCAGGCGACGGTAGTCCCTCATTATCGAGTTCCACCATGGCATGGCCAGACGCGGGAAATCTCCCAAGAAGGATGATAGCTTCCTGTAATCGATCTATGGCCATGTATCCGCTCAACTATGCTTGCACAAGGTCAAGTTCCGTCAGAGCTGATCATGACTGTCTTCAGCCATCGTCCGGCTCGGCACTGTAGCAATACACTCGAAGATGGGTACAGCGTCCGGAGGTCGGAGGGCCGTGATGTATGTATGTGGAAGAAGATTCTCTGCAAATATTCGATCTGAATCGTGTTCGGCCAACGGTCGGCTCGTGCCAATGCAGTCTATGAAATAAGGCGTTCCCGATCGTCTGCAGCTTTGTTTTGACTGTTTGCTACCTGAGTGATGGCATCCGTCACGCAATCAGCTCCCAGGGATGCCTACGCCAGGCCAAGTCCCGGAGTAAACAGAAACTTGTCGAACTCACGCGGTATTGACCTGCGGACATTTTGCACGTTCTCTGCCATAACAATAGGCGCAGCACCCCATCTGACTTCGAAACAGAGTATCGCAAGGACTTGCTGCGCGATCCAAAGGACCTCTCTCGTATCGCCATTAGGAAGGTGGCTGGGTATGAACAACGTCCTCAAATAGCTGGATCGCGTATGCAGTGCGTCCAAGCTTGCCGATAAGTATTTCAATTTCAGAGTAATATGGTGACCTGGTCTTCACCTGGACGATGTGCCCCACAAGGTCGACAGCATCCTGTAATCGCCCCATGTTGGCCCAGCTTGCGGCCATGCATTGCTCTGCTCTGAGCCGTATGGTATCAGGAAATAGAGTAGCCCAAAATGTTCGACCGAGAAGGCGGACATAGCAGGCTCTACTCTTAACGGAAGGCAGGGACGCCCTCGGGAGAGGTCGAAATCGGTTGGCATACGCGTCTGTCCTGTTTCATTTGCAGGACAGGCCCTTCCAGGCAGTTGCGCAATAATCCATAGATTTAGCTTCAAGGAGAATGAGGCGTGTTAGATCGTGACGCGTAGAACCTAGCAGAGAACTGAATGATTGGCTTCCACATTGGTTTTCCTTTCATTTATACCGTCACGTACTAATTTAGGGCAAGTACCTGCTAGAAGCAGACATGTCATCCGCGCATCTGCACCATTCTAGACTATGTGCGCAGGGCATGTCAACGGCCTGCCTATAAAGGACATAGCATATGGAGGGAGGCAGCCGATGGCAAGTTTGAGCTGACCTGTCCCGGGGCGGATTGCTTGGCGTTTGCCCCTGGAAAGCTTGTCGCGGTCAAGCAATGCCGATCGGCAGGGCCCCAAAGCTTGTTTCGCGCTCGTGGCCTGGGTGGCCCCGCCAACTGTTTCCGAGGATTGGCTACGCGACGCGCGGCTTTGGTTTGAGCTGCCGGTTTGGGCCCAGCGGGTCAAACAGGTGACCACGGCAGCACCCGGACAGGCTTGGCACTTGCTCGTTCGCCAGACACTGCAGTCCTCTCATCAAACATGATCAAACATTAGCAGCCAGGCCATGAGGCCATCACGGAGGCGAGTCGGAGACTCCTGCGCCGGGTGAAACAGCAGCTCCCTTATTGGGATTGGGCCATTGGTCGGTGCCCCTGCAAAGGATTGCGCGTTGTGCGGACCGCCACGCGCGCGCTCAATGATGCCGTAGTCGCCCGCTGGAATAGTGGCAAGGGCATCATAAAATGTGTTTACATATATAGAGTGCCAACATCCACCTGCGTTCCTCACTCATTCTTCCTGGCATATCAACGGCATCACAGCAACCTCCTCTTGCTCGAATTGCCATCCTTACCTCCTTTTGCAATAGCAATATGCCTGCTCTTTCCAAAGCCCTTCTCGCGGCAGCAGTCGCGCCGGCCGCTATCGGAGCCGCCCTCCCGCGCTCTGTCGCTAGTGGGAATGTCGGCCCCGGCATGAGCTCGATCAAGACGGCCCGCAAGGTCGACTCGAACGCCGCAGGCCACGGCGCCCGGGCCTTCTACAACGCCCATCTCAAGTTTGGCGCCACTCCCCCGGATGCGCTGGTCGCCGCCGTCGCCAAGGTCAAGGCTGCCAATCTCGAGCGGCGTGACCAGGGCTCTGTGGTCACCACTCCGATCAACAGCGAGGACGAGGCCTACGATGCACCAGTCTCCATCGGCACCCCCGCCCAGCCATTCAACCTCGACTTCGACACGGGATCGTCAGACCTATGGGTCTTCAGCAGCTTAACGCCCTCCAACGAGCGCAACGGGCAGAACATTTACACGGCCTCCAGGAGCAGTACCGCCAAGCAGCTTAGCGGTGAGAGCTGGAAGATTTCATACGGCGACGGCAGCTCCTCGAGCGGCCTCGTCTATTCGGATGTAGTAACCATCGGCGGCCTCACCGCTGCTGGCCAAGCCGTTGAGGCCGCTTCACGAGTGTCCCAGAGCTTCACCAGCGAGTCCGCTACCGATGGCCTGGTCGGTCTTGCCTTCAGCAGTATTAATACTGTCAGCCCGGACCAGCAGACAACCTTCTTTGACACCGTGAAGCCGTCCCTGGCCTCGCCTGTCTTCACTGCCGATCTTAAGCACCAGGCTCGTAAGTACCTCTCCTCTCCACGTAGTCTTCCCTTATAGGTCAGTTCCTAATCAACTATCGGAGCAGCTGGAACATACAACTTTGGCTTCATTGATAAGTCAGCCTTTACCGGCTCGATCACTTATACGCCAGTCGACAATAGCCAGGGCTTTTGGGGCTTCACCTCGACCGGCTTCCAGGTTGGCAATAACGACTTCCAGCAGGAGAGCATCACAGGCATCGCCGACACTGGCACCACCCTGCTCCTCCTCCCCGATGATGTCGTTAACGCGTACTACTCGAGCGTAAATAACGCCCAGAACGACCAGAGCGCTGGTGGCTTCACCGTCCCGTGCGACACCAGTCTCCCTGACTTCTCGTTCGGCGTTGGCAACAATGGCGCCATGATCACTATTCCCGGAAGCCTCATGAACCTCGGTCCATCGGGATCCGGTAATAGCTGCTTTGGCGGTCTGCAGTCCAGCGGCACTATCGGTACTAATATCTTTGGCGATGTCGCTCTCAAAGCCGCCTTTGTGGTCTTCGACAGCGGCTCCCAGGGCCAGCCTCAGCTCGGCTGGGCTTCCAAGAACCTCTAGATGTAGTAATTCAAGTCTTGCGCAATAGAGTGGTTAATAGCAGAGCCTTATTTCTGTCTTGCTTTTCCTCTACCTACTGTGATATCTCAGGGCCGCGTCTATAGATCCTTTGTCCTGACCGTCATTGCCGCCCCTACTTGACCTCACTTGAGCTCAAGTTTGGCTGGGCAGGGGGGTGTCACGATCCGATCTCCGGGGTCAACCGTCTGACCGGGCGCTGTGGGGTTTATGTCCTGACAAGGTAGGTAGGGCCTCGTGCAATACTGACTCCGTGCTGTCGTGCTCTCTGGGGGTTGTCGTTCGTGTCTCTTGCGAGATATCACACTTGGATCAATTGAGTGACTAGGTCAAGTGAAGGGTAAGAGTGATACTTAGATTGATCGCTGAAGTACAAAGGTAATGACTGTTTACAAGGAGATCCTCCGTCCTATATATCTTTGTCCTTCATCGATGTGGTTCCTAGTCATGCGACGACGATGCGTCGCATGCCGACAGCTGGTGGTCGCATCCCGACTGGTTGTCGTCGCATGCCGACTGCCCAGCGTCGGTTGCTGACGTAAGATTGGGTGATTACCTAATGTGCGTCCGTCAACCTTCGCTGACCCGCCCTTGTCCCTGGCCTGATCATGCGGCCTTGTTTGTGCTGCGCTTGTTTGTTACCTCAGCCCCAAACAGTTCCCCTGTTGGTCGGGCCGTCACAAAGGAGTCCAAAGGCAAAGAGTCTAAAGGCAAGCACCGCAAAGGTAAAGAGTCCAAAGGCAAGGAGTCCAAAGGCAAGGACCGCAAAGGCAAGGACAGCAAGCGTAGTAAACTACTGTTCACAAGTCCTGAAGCAGATCTCGAAGCACACAACTTGGTGACTGTTCCCGCCTGCAGGCTGACAGGAATTCATAAATCTCTAAGCCAGCCAATCCTGTTAAATCTGGACTCAGCGACCTTACTTGCAACTTCGCTTTCATGCGCCCGTGCATGAGAATGCGAGCCATCATTCGTGAGAGTGATCAAATGTTGTTGCCCAAGCTCAGGGCGGTGCAACTCCGATTCTCGTGCCGGCGGTTTAGGAACTCGCACATGCTCGCATGCACAGTACCGCCCCCCTTTAATAATGTACATGTAGACACAGTGGTACGTACCCGGGTTTCTAGTTAAGGATGTTCCAAGACAAGAAGAATCCCACCGAGTAGCGTTATAACGTAGTGTGACGACCCGACCAACAGGTCGCAGGATCGGGCCAAGGACAAGGGCAGGTCATGCACGCGGGACGGGCACACCCCAGGTTACGTAAGAAATCTCCTTATGTCAGCAAGGTTATCGATAGGAAGGATCACCGGCTCACTAGGTGAGCCAGTGAGCCTCACACCAGGATCACAGTGATCCACCAACCGGATCACGGTGATCCACAAACCCGGACCAGTGATCCACTGACGGTTTGTTGGTGTTTGTTCGTGTTTGTCACCACAAACATGACATGAGCGATGAGGAGGAAAGAATACATAAAGGGGCTGAATGCCCCAGAGTAATTAGTTTAGCCTTTCATCCTCAGCGATCAATCTAAGTATCAGTTTCACCCACACTTGAACTAGTCACTCAATTGCCGAGACTGGTATCTCTTCCCAGAGACACGAACGACAACCCAGAGAGAGAACGACAGCAGAGTGTTAGTTGATCTTGCGCAGGCTTTACCTATCTGCAGAACAGCAACCCCCAGCGCCCTGCCAGACGGTTGACCCCGGAGGCAGGATCGTGACAGTTAGCCGGTCCCTAAGTTATAAAAAAGAAAATAAATAAATCCGTATTATCTAATAATGAAGAAACTTACTTAGTGCTCCATCTGGCGGTCTTATTTCCCGGGCTACTCACTTAACGTTGGTGGTGCTAAGTTAAACTTCGGTTTTATGCTTACAGAACTATTTTAGTACTTTGGACGGTATGAACAAGACCTAGTTCTAACTTCGCGCGTAATCAGCATGTAAGAAGTGCCGGACTGCCGATAGCCCGATGCCCGGCTCTTTTACTATGGGGACACGCAATGCCGCAAGAGGACGACTGCACAGGCACTTCTTCCCCGGTTCTAACTGCATATTTCGCATGGGGCCGCCGCCCTTGTGACGAGGATCAATTGGACCTGGCCTGGGGCAGCAAATGTCGTCACCGGGGTAGCCAGCGCAGCTCCCCATTGGCGCAAAATTCCACCGAAGCTACCCAACAAGTCATGTGCCTTCATATGGTGAGGCGCCGCTGGTAAGCCCCAATACTTTCAAGTACAATACTGTATTCATGCTGACCGGCATACACTGCATATTTGAATCTATGCCTTGATCATGTAGCCTCTGCAGCGTCCCTGCCCCGAGAGCCCTCTCAGTCCTCGAGAAAAGAGGCAGCGCACTGCGTGCGATACTGCGTCTGTTCCCACCCACAAATATGGTAATCTTGATCATTCGTAACTATATCACAGTTAGTCATGGCTGCACTAGGTCGGTCACACTCTGATATTCCGTTCATGTTGGACAGACTGCCTGTAGGAGAGAGCGAGAATTCATCATTGTCCTTCTTCCACGTCGATCGATGGCATGGGCTGTCCTTATCACAATCGATTGAGCACGGTTTGGCCGAAAGTCTATAGCTATTACCAACCAGAACGGTCGTCTCTCAGGCGCGCGCTGTAATCAAGCATGTACTAAAGCCCAATGGTCTCCTCACAGTTCCTGGCGACAATACAGTAGCCAAGACAGATCTCCATGCAAAGAACTTCATCATCGTTATCTCTAGGCACTTCGCACCTGCACCCACGCCAAGGGCCTATTGCCAAGTGTTCGCTTCGAGGGAGATGAGAGCGTGCACATTTCAAGCACAATATTCCTCCTCAACTTCAACTTTGATAATCTATAGCACGTTTATCCTACTATATATTAAACCATAGCCTGAGGCACAGTTTCATTCAACTGGGGATCTTGCTCAGTACAGAGACCATCATCGCTGGTCATGGCTGTAGCGCGAGAAGGTGCCCTACTAAGATCGGGTACGCAAGTGTTGGAGTTGAAGTAGTGCATTAGGTACCCTTGTTCCCTATGATTATCTCCGAGGCAGGTAGCAGCCGGCTTTCTTTCGCCACGGTCGGCATGCAGGTAATGGTACCCCGTCGGCAGGTTTATGCATAATAGGCTTATGTTAAGCTCGATTATTCCAAGGAGAATCGTGGGCAGCAAGGTTCCGGTGATGTTGGAAGGTTCAATCTGTTGTAGGAATTCGAATCGCAGTGCGCTCAGTATCACCTGTCTGAAGGCCACACTTAGAATCAGTTTTCTGTGGAGATCGAGGGCCAGGAAATGTTGTTTGCTCACACTAAGCCCATCGAGAACCACGCGATCGACTTCATCCTTTTTGCCATCTTCATTTGCAACCTTGACACAGGACGGAGCGGAAGAGCCACGATGAGGACCTCAATACTCATGTGGACGAAAATCAGAACTCCGAGTGCAAGCTGCCTTGCCGCGAGCATGCTCCACTGGCTACGCTGATGTTAAGGACAGAGGGCACCCCGGATCGCTGGAGAAGCGAAAGAGCACATGGTCGCGGCTTGTCCGAACCGCGACGAGACGGACTGGCCAAACACGGCTCGATCAGCTGGATGGATGCCTTTCATCCTTTTCCCATATGGTCTGTGCATGCACCCTCGAGCGCAGAACCTGTGACTTCCATCGCTTGATCACTCTTTGCCTAGAAATGAGCCCAGTCAGTACGAGCGACGACACATCTCGCAGGTCGACGTTACTCATAACATGCACTCCAAGTATCAAAGGCACTAGCTGCTTATTATAGTCCTTAACTTCAAGACGTGGTCGACACTGCTGAGTACAAGAATGGAGGTACGGCACGTAACAATCCTTACGAGCACTAATCGACCACCAGCATAGAACTAATGTCCCCGATCGGCAAGTAGGCAAGCTGTTGGGGAAGATGTGCCGCATCCTAGCTTGAAAACGTAGGCGAATCTCGGGAGTATGCTTCATATCAGGAACTTGGTCAATGGCCAGGCCAGTATAACGAGCGCTGCTTCCTGATGCCACCTTGCCGATGCATATTCGACCGCCCTTGGGCAGCCGAGCGAGACGGGCCGGACTCGGCGTGTGACACATTGATTCTTCCGGCGATTGTGGGAAACCTTGGAACCACCTTTGTGGAGGAGAGTCACCACTGGGCGGAAGGGGAACATGTATTACCAAGAGGGATAATCCCTGCACATTTTCGGCAAGCGTCTTCACTGCCCCTGCTGCCGTGAAAGCATTGTGTGTGTTGACCAACGTCGGGCGAACGGCTGGGATGAATGTGGCACACGACATCGTCTCGAACATCCGTGCGAGATTTAGCCACTCGGGTTTCCAAGATTTAAAGGTTCATGGCGACGTCTCTGGGGCGGGTTGTGTACCTCGATCAAATTCCAGCAGCCGGTTACCATGCTGACCGTACGGTGCTTCCCATGTACCCGCCTAACTAGATAGCCGTCTAGTAGATGACGAGTCGAGAAATGATTAGAAAGGTGAGGACTTCATTGGGAAACTGCCAGACCATGGAGCGTGGCGTAAACGAGCTGGAAGGGGCTGCAAATGCTTGCTGTAGACCTCGGGACCTCTGCAGCCCGCCTCATCCGCGGTGGTCGAACTGTCTTGGGATGGAGGATGTTGCCAGGATCAGCAGATACTCTAGGTAAGGATCATTGACACTGCCTCGGGTGTGCGCCCGTCCATCTTTCCATGGACAATTCAAACCCTTTTCGCGGTGCCTAAGCTCATGCCCACCTCGACGGAAACCTGGATGCGATTCTTACTGAGATCCAGCAAATCCTTGTCGAACAGAATCCGGCCCCTTTCGAAAGCCACGATGATGGAGGAGCCACCAAACTGGAATATGCCAAGCTCCTCGCCCTTCTGGATCTCGGCGCCGGGTTTTCGCCACTTCTCATGCATGCTAGCGGAGAACACCCGTTAGTGTTCTAACATCGCAGCAGGGACGAAGCCAAAAGAGACTCACTTGACGGTCCCCACCTCTGTCGCGCCAATTGCCACGAAGAGCACGTCGCCGAACTCATCAGTCTCGATGACGACGTAGTCCCTCGCATTTCGTGTGAGGATATCGACCTTGCTGTGCAGCGCAATTGCGTCAACCTGGTAATAGTCTCCCGGCATGCTTCGAAACAGCTTGACGCGTCCCTTAACCGGCGAGTGGTAGCGGTGGTAGTCCTGGGGCGACAACCGGAATGATGCCACAGCAGCACCGTCGAACTGGGCGCCGAGGAGCGTGTCCATGACCACGTTCGTGATGCTGAAGTCTGCCCCCTTAATCCAGAGTCGCTTGGTCTCTGCCACCGTCTCGTACGCGACGACTCGGCTGTCGGCTACTACGACGGCGGAGCCTGCGTTGTCAGGCTCATGGATCGGTCGCGAACCCTTGGCATGACACCGGACGAAGAAATCCTCGAAGGTGCCATACCGCGAGATATCCGAGGGGTCGAAGTCTTTCATATTGATACCGTAGGTCTCAACGAAACTCTTGATCTGCTTATGCGAGGCAGGAGTGCCCTCTTTCTTCCCTGGCGCGGATCGCGTTAGTCTCAATTCCTCTGTCCAGCCCCGGGGGTCTGCGAGTTGTACCCTTTTTCAAGGACTTGTTGTGAATGTAAAGCCGCATCGCGTGAGTGGTGTCAATCCATTCAGTTAGGGGGTTGAAGAGAAGCAACAGCCGCAGCTTCTTCGTGAGCGGTTGCTGCTCTCGGACGATCCGCCCGGTCTGCGAGGTATTGGTCGAGCGTTCTTTGGCACAAGAAGTAACGCGGAGACACTCACCTTTCGGTCGAACGACTTCCAACCGTATTCGTTGTTTTGGGCCTTGGCTGCAAGTCAGCTAAACCCACCAAGCTGCTGTTGGATGACCGTTTGGGCCTTACTAAACGAACCCAGGACAGCAGGTAGTCCAGGGTCCAGTGGAAGATCGCTCTGACTCCCATAATCGCCATTTCGTCCTAACGGCCGCTCCGTGTCTGGTCTATAACTTGGTCAATCAATTAAACAACGATGCGGTTTGGGGGACAATGACCCCGAGAATCGGGTTTTGCTTCTCTGCGCCTAAGGATAGAAATGTTTCCGGCAATGGGAGCATGACGTCACATAAGGAAAATGGCTACTTGCTGGGCCTTGACGGCGCTAAACTCGGTGTGAAGTCATCCTCGTGTCACTGCTCCACCGAGGGCATCATAATGACGTCAGGTTTTCAGGTCACATCAAAGTCGTTAACGTAATCTATCACTTTCAGGACCAGACCACCTTGAGGACCACTCAATTTTACACCTTAATTCTAGACTTTCTAAAAATTCTAATTAGTTAATTCAATTCTTTACCAAAACTGATGCAACTTTGTATTTCATAATATTACTTACTTCTAAGAGAGTAACTAACTTACTGCTCTCCACATGCCTGTAGTTTTTCTGGTGCGAGTGGGGCTCCTCCGTTCCTTTAAACTTTGTCACAGACTCGGCAGGGGGCTGTGGCACAGGGGTTCATGCGGGGGAAATGCTGGACCGCACGAAGCGAAAAGGCTTGTATGAAATGAAGAGGGGCTGACTTGATCCGATGTTGCATGATCCGAGACCAAGTAAGAACTCAAAACCCGTAACGAGCCTGTACTAGGCGCCTCGAGTGACGAGTCCCTCCATGACCGCGTTGTCATGGTTGTCTCTGACGATGCAGACGCAGAATCGCTATGAATCCGCCTCGACATTCGTGAAACGTCAGTCGCTATACAGCCATGGCATTGGCTTGGAGTGTTCTACGCGCAAGGATTGTAACGATCTCGTGAAGTGCGAGGACTACCCGCAATGCTTGCTTGTATTATTCAGTGGGCTTGTGGAGTCCTGGCCAATTTCAGCAGGCTCAGCATCCTTGACACAACAAAGTTACACTAACGTTAGCAGTGCTCGTGCAGGCTGTTTTAGCATCAGCTGCGGCGTACGGAGTAAGGTCCTCTCGTGCTATATCCTGCTTGGACCAATCAGATGCCCGTGCGCGCGTGAAATGAGCAGTGGGGGGACCTTACTTTGATCTCTTATGGGGTTCCGAGTCAGGCAAAGACAGCCACGCCGCCCGGCGAAGCCGCCCGACCTGCGGCTTTGGGTCATTGAGGCTGTGCCGCCCGGCTGCGGCGGTCCCAGTGTGTCGCCGGTCTGTAGCGGCCTGGCTATACCGGGGATCCATGTCAGTCCCTCGCGATCAGGGGTCGTATAAGCCATGGCCCATCTGCCGGAGGGCTAAGTCTAGAAGCACCACTAGGCCGAACCTTGACCAGCTCAAAATCCACCGAGCACGGGCATGGCATCCCACAACCGGGGCTGCGTCTCCCGAATGTCCCGCGGTCATATTAAAAGTGTCCCGACGTGCACCCCCCTCTGGCTGATCACTGCCACTCGAGCACCATTTTTTCTATCCTCAGACCACAATGCCATAGTTCCATTCCAAGGTTTAGTTCATGGCGGCGAACGACACGGCTTCGGTTGAGCTGCGCCCACTGCGCACCTCGACTTTCCAGGACGACCATCAAGACGAAATGCCGACTGACAAGACGACCAGGCCAGACATGGCCCTGGCACCACTGGGCCTCGCGACCAAGCGACGCACCGTTCTTCAGGCGACTGCGCGGTGCCTCTCGAGATGGCTGGTGACGCTGGCAGTAGTGGCGTCTCTGGTTGGAGTCCTTTACCACTATTCCGAAGTGCCCGTCATGGACAAGGCCGCCAAGAAGGTCTTCAACACGGTCGTCACGGGGCTCTCCATCGCCCTTGGCCTCGCCATCACCAGCAGCCTCGACGACATTATCCGGGATCTGCGCTGGTGCCTGCTGGCTCAACGCTACCGCTCGCGGCACAAGGTTGAGCGGATCCTGCAGGCCGACAAGCTCACCCACCTGCTCGGCCTGGCGTTCACGTCCCACCGGCTCACGATCCACGTTGCCGTCGCGGCATGGGTCCTCTTGCTGCTCGTACGTCGCCCAGTCTGAGCCATTTGGGCATCCACCACTGACGTCGGGCCTGTCTCATGCGCGCAGGGCTCGCAGATTGCCGTGGCATCACTAGGCCTCTGTTACTCTGTAGACACGGCCACTGGCCAGGCCCTCACGGTGCCTGGGGACATACTCATTGCCGACATGAGCACCGTCCAGACGACCAAGCTCCTGCCGTCAAAGTCAGCCGAGCTCAACGCGCAGCAATTCACGGCGCACAGCTACGGGCTGATCTCGTCCGCCTACACGCTCAGCTCCATCGACGCCATCAAAGCACCAGGAAGCATCTACGCACCCGGCGACGCAATCCTCTTCATCGGCGACAGCTCTTCCCGCTACGTCTTCCGCGAGACGTCAGCCGCCTCGGTCGCCGCAGACGGCACAAACGCGCTCGCCATCATCACCTCGCGCTCCATAGACGCCTCGACAGCCTGCCGCAGCGCACGCGTCACCCAGGGCGGCGACGGCCGCGGTAGCCAGCTCACCATCATCTCCACGGACCCGTCCGATCCGAGCGTCATCAACCTAGGCCAGGCTTCGAACGGCGGCACCGACCAGACATCCTACATGATCAACACGACCCAGACCTGCGGGCCCGGCTGCGTCCCCATCACGGCGTTCGAGGCCTCCGCGACCGACCCCTGGTTCTACACCTGCAACACCACCGTCTCGACCATCGCCAACACGACCCGGCGCGAGCACGAGATCAGCGACACCGTGCGCGTCCTCGCGGCGGGCGCCATCGCCCTGCAAGGCGTATCGACGTCCTCCCTCGCCAACGACAGCGCCGTGTCCCAGTACCAGTCCTTCCCCGCCGAGTCCTTCTTCGGCATGCCGACAAACGGCAGCGCGGCCTCCATGAGCCTCCTGCTCTCGCAGTTTGCCATCGGCACGGTCGCCGCCATCGCCGAGTACAACGACCCACAGGTCATCTCGGGCAGCACAGCGCCCGCGCGCGGGGAGAACCTGACCGTCAAGCACTGGGATATCATCATGGCGATTTTGATCGGCGCCGTGGCCGCGCAGCTCGTGTTCGAGGTCGGCGTCGCCGTGTGGGCGTTCCGCGTGGCGGTGCCGCCGGACGACATGGTCGCGCAGGCGCAGGTGCTGAGGCAGCTGACTATGGCTGCTGGGAGCGTCCGTGGGAGGAGGAGCGGGCGCGCGGTGAAGGGGGAAAAGAGCGATGACGAGGATGGTGACGGGGCGTCTGGGGCTCTGTGGATGTATCGGGCCACGCCACTGGGGAGCTCTGGGTTGTTTGATTTGCATTTTGATAAGCGCAGCGTGTAGCGAATAATAATTTAGTGAAGTTTGGGCTCCATGACGCCGCACACCATCTTGTGCTGGCTCTATACTGCGAGTGATGACTACTAGGAATAATTCCAGAGTGACCACGCGGCCTTCCAGAATCGCACAGAAAGTTCCGTTCGAACAATACTCGAGCATATATGATCAAATGCAACCAATTCCGCCTTAAGCCCATGGTAGCCGGCGACAACCACCAGCCTCTCCAACCGCGCCGTCAGGACACCACCGCAGCATAGGTCTCAGGCGAGCGCGTCTTCGAAGTACACGACCATGTTCCCCTCGCTCACAGTCCTGACATACCCCTTGAGCTCCGCGTGAGCGGCGCAGCCGTTGTCATAGTATGCCATGTCCTCGGCCGAGGCAAACGTCGTCTGCACGGCAAAGGTGTACCCTTAAGAGCGCTGGTCGGGGGCCGCGCTGCCGGCCTTGGCGGCGAGGATGTACGGCTTGCCGTCCTGGGGAGGTGTTTGTTAGATCTGGATGGATGGGGTTGGAGGCATCAAACGTGAGCCGGGACGGGGGGAAAAGCGGGTGGAGGCTGACCTTGAGCGCCCTCTGCTGGAGGGTCTTGTAGATGTCGACCAGCTTTTGCCGGGCGGCCGCGTCGGCAATCTTGAAGAGGGTGATGCGGTTGACGGTCATGATGGGCAGGTGAGCTCGAAGTCTAATGTATGGCGAGCATGGAGATGTGTCCCGTTTTTTCTGCTCTGAACGGTGCTGCGGTTGCTGAGAAGTCGCGCAAGCGCCGATGACCGGCCCGACGCGGAGCCGAGTCATTCGCACGGCGCGGGTCGGGCATCCCGGGAACGGCCGTGCCGGAACTCGAAACCTCCTGCTCCGCTTCTCTCCGCCCGATTCGCTGCAATGCGGGGCATCTTGGAAGCCCTCCAGCGTGCGTCCGACTATTCAGCACAATATTGTCTGTCTAGAGCTGATGGCGAAGCTATTTCTCAATGACATTATGACAACTGGGAAGTTGTGGCCGTTCTAGCCAGAAGTCTCCAGACAACCCAGGAGTCGAAACTAAAGACGAACCGTGCCGAACGCCTTTCTCGCCGCAATGCACCGCGACACAACATCACTTATAATTGGCGAGACCGCTTTGCATCTGTCTGTCATTCCCACTTCACGGGACTGCACATCTGGTCGGAACAACGACCATGACACGAGGAGTGGGCAGGCAGCACGTATGGTGACGAATATGCAGCCAACGTGGACGGTAGCCGCTTGACATCTGCCTAGTTGCAGATTCTGAAGAACGATGAGATGAAAACAAAAGCAGATCACGCGCCTTGTACGCAGCCAGAACTCAATAATGGGCGCATCTGCGTCTCATCGCGTCGCTTCTTGTCAACGCAAACACCAACATTGGATTGATGGCCGCTCGGGCGCCTATGCTGCGCAGACTAATCCTGAGCTCATCCGCCCAGCGGAAAGGGGGCAGAAATCAGCACGTATGAGGAGCGGTCGATGACAACATCTCGCGTCCTGTTCTCCTCGGCTTGCGTGATGCCCGCGCCGCAGTCCCACTGCCGCGATTCCATCTTGTCATACACCTTGACAACGTCCTCGCCCGCCGCGCTCACAATGCGCCGTGCGTCAAACATCATGCTCGTCACCGGATTGTCGTAGGCGAAAGCGTCAAAGATGGAGCCAGTCCTCAGATCCCATATCTAGAAACACAAATCGTCAGCAAAATGGACTTGAGAAACCGGTAGTAGACACAGGACTGGCAAAACTCACCCGCACGCTGCGATCCAGACTGCCCGTCACGAGATGCACATCGTCAAACTGCAGGCACGTCACCGGGCCGGTGTGGCCAACCAGGCTGCGATGAACCTGGCCACTTCGCAGATCCCACAGCCGGACCATGCCGTCAGCCGTGCCGCAAGCCAGCGCAGACTCAAACACTTGCAGGGCGCCCACAAAGTCGGCCGACCGCGAAGCCGGCCGCGTGGGCTGCCTCCATGTCGTCTCGCCCGAGATAACAATTTCCTACATCGTCATTAAGGCACAGATTTCTTGTTCCTCTTCGAAATTCTTCGCAAATTCCTCGTTTGAAGTCCCAATAGCTCGAACGGCCCTTCGCTAGAACGACAAAAAAGTGCTCATCATGTTCTCCTGGCTCTCCAGTGACAATCCGCCTTGGGCGTTGCGATGGCGCTCAAAACGAACTTTTATCATCGCTACAGTGGCCATTAGTCTCGTCACTGATTTGTTCCTTTACGGCCTTGTTGTCCCAGTGCTTCCGTTCATGCTCAAAGAGCGGCTCAACATCCCGGACGGAGACGTCCAAACTTATATCTCTAGGCTGCTAGCAGCTTACGCCGGAGCTTCTGTCCTCTTCTCCATACCTGCCGGCTGGATCGCAGACCGCACAAACTCACGCCAGGCACCCTTTCTTTATAGGCTCACAGCGCTACTCCTTACCACTATCATGCTTACCGTTAGACAGAGCATTAGCGTACTCGTCGTGGCGAGAATCCTTCAGGGGATCAGTGCTACTGTTATCTAGACTATCGGCCTAGCCATAGTGCTCGATACGGTCAGGGCAGAAAACTTGGGCAAGGTGATAGGCTCGGTAAGTAGGAGTACCCATTTTACATAGTTTTATCCCATTACAAGGCATAACAAGTAGCTAACCATATAGCAGATTTTCTCGTTCATTTCCGTTAGGGAGCTTTTAGCGCCTATTCTCAGTAGTATACTATACGACAAGACAAGCTATAGAGGAGTATTCGGTATAGCTTCCGCCGTCCTTACGCTAGACTTCGTTATACGGCTGCTCATCATCGAGCGCAAGACAGCCATTAAGTACGATCCGTCTCTAGACGACAGTTACTCAAACCCTCGTAACTTTAATACGAGGGGCCAGAGTGTTAAAGATAACAGTACTAGCAACGGCGATCCTTCCCAGCCGGACGAAGAGAGTACTCTTCTACCAAAAAGTAACAACGATAACGACGAAAAGTACAAGATCCACGACGAGCCTAGCCGAATCGTCCACGCGCTCCCCCTTCTCTACTACTTCCGCAACCCACGGCTCCCCATAGCCCTCTCCCTTACCTTCGTTCAGGCATCCCTTCTTTCCGTCTTCAACGCGACCATCCCTATAGAAGCCAAAGACCTCCTAAGCTTCTCGTCCCTAGAAGCTAGCTTACTCTTCATCGCCCTCGACATTCCATACTTAATCCTAGGACCGGTAGCAGGATAGGCAGTAGACAAGTACGGCACAAAGCCAGCTGCGGTGATTAGCTTTGGATATCTCGTCCCGACGCTCGCCCTTCTACGCATACCGAGTAAAGCCGCTAAGGCATCGAGCGAGCAGCATACCACTCAACAGTTTTGCGCTATGCTAGCCCTCAACGGTATCGGCCTAGCCATTATCGGGTCTCCGAACATTGTCGAGGCCAGCGACATTGTACAGCGCTACAACAAGGCGAACCCGGGCTTCTTCAGCGCCAATGGGCCCTATGCACAGCTCTATAGCTTCAACTCGGTCTTCTTCTACTCCGGGCTAGCCCTTAGGCCGCTCGTAGCTAGCATTCTCAGGGATAACATTAGATATGGCAATATAAATGCCGTCTTTGCGACGCTAGCTAGTGTTACGGCTGTGCTATCGTTCTAGTTTATTGGACCAAGGCCGAGGCTGTTTCATAGGAAGGGAAGAAAGTAATCTATGTGCCGACAAGTAAGAATTTCTCATGTTCGACCTTAGATGTATAACAAGCGACTGGCTGCCAACAAGGAAGGGTCCAGCTTCATATTCGGATAGCTAGTACGAAGGCTCAGAAATCCGTGTTGGCAAGACGATCGGACAATGTCTAGACCATGCTCGATATGCGAAGTCACCCACCTCTCTACATTGAACCTCTGGTACGCGCAAGGTATCTGCCTCGTGGCGCTGTTCAAGCTTTCAAGCTCGGGTAATATAGTGGACAGTTTACAAAGCTGCGCGCCATTGGATAGTGCAAGTCTGCACCGCTCGTTGGGACAAAGCCTCCTAGAGGAAAAGTTCGATGGCCATCCACATTTTAGTAGGCCCCCTTCCCAGCCGTCCCGCGCAACAAGTCGACTTTCGCGAACAGTCCTCCTCAACCACGCCCGTCTCGCGAACACTCTATCTTTGAGAAGATCCGCTCTTGCAATAACCACGGAGGCCTCAATCATGTTTCGCTCACGCCATCACTAATTTACCCACCACCGCCGCCGCCTCCTGCCGCCTCCCGTTCCCGCTCGGCGGTCTCTTTAGCCAGCGCCTGCTCAAACATCGCGGTCATCCGGGCCAGGCCGCGCGCTACAAAGGACACGTGCTTCCATGGCCGCAGCATGGCGAGCGCGTCGGCAATGTGTTCTGGCTACGTGGTCTCGGGGATATAAGCCAGGGCCGGGGAGCGGTAACATATCAGGAGTTTCGCTAGGAAGGCGAACGATCTTTTTTTGGGGGGCCCCATAACCACATGTCAGCAAGGGTCGCGCGTAGCTACGCGTATGCACAAGGGCGTATTTGAGTTGAATCCGAGAATCCGAAAATGGGGGGTAAGAAAAAGCTGGTCCTTGATTTCAAGGGGGGCGGCCATGTGCAATAGTTCTGGAAAGTCGGGGATGAAATACTAGAGACGGAGAGAACGGGGCAGGGGGGTTTGACTTACGCCCATGTCACGATATATACGGGCATCTTCCACCGCGCGAGCTGCTCCTAGGCGCAGCGGAGATATGCTACCGTATGGACGATGCAATCCCTCGCCTCCGCCCTAGCGACCGCGAGCTTGTCGCTGCTCCTCGCGGGGCTTGATCCTTCGTCATCGCCGGCGGCGGGACACCCCCCTCCCCCTTGCCCGCGAAAATGCGCCTCCATAACGCGCAGCACCGAGGCCCACTCGAGCACGACAAACATGCAGAAGTACTAGCCGCGGAGGAAGTTCTTACGCGGGTCGAACAGCGGCGGCGGCGCGGGCGCGATGACGAGCGGGAACCGCAGCGCAGGCGGGAGCCGGTCGTACCACGCCTAGGTCTGGCGGTGCAGCTCGGCGGTCACGACGGGCGCGTAGACGACAGTACCCTACCGGTAGCCCACAACGTCGAGCACGTCCTAGAGCAGCTTACGCAGGCTGATCATAGCGAGGAAGAAGTAGAAGCCGATATACTCGTCGGTGAAAGTCGGGAGCGGGATGATGTCGTAGAAGGCGCGGTAGCCTTCTAGGTGCATCCGGAGAGACTGCTCAAGCTCGCTTTTGATTTTCAAAGTTTTGTTTTAGGTCGTTAGTCAGTAGTGGTTCTATGTGTGAAAGAAGGTACGTAAGTAATGTGTAAGGGGGGGGGGGGTTGGACTGAACAGAGGTACTTACTCGATAATCAGTGAACAAACCCAGAACGCGCGGTTCCAGCCGTCCTTCAGCGCGGGCGGCAGGCTTTGCGACGTCGTAGAGCTCAGGACATACCTACAGTCTCTGCCCGCCGCGGTAATAGCGTTCCATGCTTATATCGGCCGTATAGCAAGCTTAAAGTACGCTACCTACAAGATACGGTAGTGGATAATCTCGAGACTCTCAATAAGCAGAGAGAACCGCTCTAGCAACTGGCATCCGTTAACAAAGTACGCGACCCCCGCGAGCTTAGCACCGCTACCATCATCATTATCATTGCTAGCCGTCTCCTAGGTAATAGCGCCCACCGCGAGGATAAACATTACCAAACAGCCAGTAACGTCCCGCGAGGGAGAACCCGACGAGCACGCGGTATCAACAACGCAGCTAACGATTTCTGACTTGAGGATCGGGATCCAGCTAAGGTAGTAGTCAACGAAACTCTGCTACAGCCTACGGAGTGTCGGCCTGCTCACGTCCAGGTTGGACGACAGGTATTCGTCAAACATACCGAAGAACTACTCGCCAGCGCGGATCTCGTTACTATAGAAGTCGCCATAGTCGTCCCAGCTAGGAGCATCGATGTATGACGGACAGCAGAATGCCAGAAGACCCAGCCGCGCGGTATACACCTCCGGCCACGTTTTCCTAAAAAGTACACCTTCCCTTGGAGATTCTACTGCACTGCTCATAGCATCACGATAAAGCAGGACTAGGGATAGTGCATCATAGATGCTAGGAACGTTTGGCGTAGGGCCGCCTAATGGCGTCCTGTCCGAAGGCACCTTAGGAGTGTAGCTGTTACAGAGCGACGGATAAGCATCAGTCCGTAGGTAAGCGGACGCATACTACTATGCCCGTAGCTCCCTAACGTCGGCCTCGAGGATCCCAAGTCGGGAGTCGAGAGCCTTGATGGTGTCCTTGAGGGAGGAGGACTATTCGCGTGGCTTCTGTAGCGGCTCTGGCCTGTCTAACTGCGGAGTGCCAGCGTCGCAATAATGGCATTCGACTCCCAGGTCGGTGCAGAAGGAGCACGAGGGGCGGACCGCATCGCATTTCTAACGACAGATGTCAGCTATGGTCCTGTCTCACACGGAAACGGACTGCGTTTGGCGTTACTAGCACCCACCGTCTTTCTAAATCTGCAAAGGTTACACTGGCGGCGCAATAAGGCGCGGGAGTAAGTAAAGAGTCGACCAGCTCGATAGGGACAGGACACATACGGCAATCATTACCCGCTTGCGAGGATACTTATCGACGCTCTCGAGCCGGAGGGGCTCAGGCCGGCCCGCGTCGGCCCCCTCGGGAACGGCACCAGGGTCCACGTCCGGCCCGCGCTTCCTTTTAGGGGTGCCGCTCATTACGACACAGTAGCCGGTCTGCAGGATTATAGTGGCGAGAGACGGCCCATGACGGCGTACTGAGGACCAAGCGCGGTGCGGCGGTCGGTAGTGATTTGGCCCTCGCCCGGGTTTGATAGTCGCTGAGAGGGGTCTGCCAGCATGGGTGGGTGTGCTTGTCAAGAATGGTTCCCGTCGCGGATGCGGCTGAAGAGCGCCACAGGCAGGGAGGCATGCCTGCAAAGCACATCATCCCCACACCAGGCCCCCCCTGCAGAATCCGGGGTAGGTCTCGCTCTCCTGTGGGGGTGGCCTCGACGCCAGGCGCTCGCTCTTCACGGAGCTGCCGCACTGATAGCAGTTGCCCCATCCAAGCCTCGCCCGTCCAGTCTACTCTGGCCAATCAACAGCTTCTAGGCTAGCATGCGCCTTTCTAAACTCGATGATAGCCGGGAGTCTGCATATTGTGGCGCATCATGGCAAACCACCCCATTCAATGTTCCACCAAACAAGGCAAGGTACACACAAGGTACCGTTGAGTGCCGTCTCCCGCGAACCTCCCCCCATTCCCGGCAACTGGTGAAACAACAAGCCTTTCATCACCTGCTGAGCAACAGTGACGGGCCGTTGACAGGTCCGCGTCATGTGTAAGACAAGACCATGTTTGGAGCATGCCCAATTTTTGTGGGGATCTGGCCTGGGATAGCCAACCATGACCGCCTTGTCGTATGGCGTAGACCTACGGCCTCTGGCATCGTGGACGCTCCCTCCGTACACCATCCATCTAGCCGGGACTCATGCGACCCCTAGACTGCCTCTCTTACTACGTGAGCACACAGATTTGCATAGGACGTGGTATGCACTTTGCTCATGGCTTCTATGTGGAGCAACGCATCGGACGACGAGACTGTCCACCGCTTCATATCCGATGTTCTTACTGAAATCACTAAGGAGGCCCGCGCCCGCGGCGTTGATAACGGCTTTGTCTACATGAACTACGCTAGTCAGTTCCAGGACGTTGTTAGCAGCTATGGTTCTGCCAACAAAGCGAAACTCAAGGCTATCGCATGCAAGTACGACCCACAGGGCGTTTTCCAGCAGCTACAGCCCGGTAGCTTTAAGCTGGATCGCGTACCGCTACCGGACCCGCGCTATTTCTCTAACTAGAGGAGCGCGGGGCGCGTTGGTGATCTAAATACTATAACAAGGCGGAACAGGAACGATAGATGAAGTGATACCGAAAAGCTGTCTTTCAAGGCCTCTATTGTAAGAACGGAGCCCTATAACCGCTCGACCAATAGACCAAAAGATCTAGCAGTACGCCGCACGGCGTACTTAGGGCTTCCAGTACCTTATATAGGACCGTTGAGGCCTCTGGCCTTACATCTATATAGACGCGTTTGTAATTAGATAGGTTTATTATCATAGGCTTACATATGATAAGAGCAGATGCTTTAGAATCAATTCCTCTTTAACTCTTCATTCATTAGCATTCAGACTCACTATGCTACCGCTATGATTTATATTGTTTTCCAGACTATTATTCCTAGCTGGATTATCCTCAGTTACACGTATCCCGAGCGTAGACTACATTCTGGGGAACACTCGACGCGGTGGAGGGCTTACTCCAAATACCGACAGAGAGCGGAGTATCCGGGTTATACTCGAAGTCGCTAATCAACCTGTACTACTTCTAGATCGAGCTGCGAATATGCACTAGAACGAGGGAATCCCCCAGTACTCGGCCAGAGTATTAGCGGTAATTGAATTCGACAATACGATTCCGTTAGCACCGATTGGAAGTATGTAGCGGGCGTGGGAGAGGGACAGGGTCTTAGGCTGTTCTCGTTTCGATCGGGGGTTCCCTAGTGTCACGATCCGATCTCCGGGGTCAACCGTCTGATCGGCGCGGTGGGGTTTATGTTCTGAATAAGGCAGGTAGCGACCTCATGCAATACTGACTCCGTGCTTCTCGTGTTCTCGAGGGGGTTGTCGTTCGTGTCTCTTGCGAGATATCACACTCGGATCAATTGAGTGACTAGGTCAAGTGAAGGGTGAGGGTGATACTTAGATTGATCGCTGAAGTACAAAGGTAATGACTGTCTACAAGGAGATCCTCCTGGTGCTATATATCCTTTGTCCTTCATCGTGGTTCCCTGGATCACTTGGTTTCCTCGTGATCCTGGATCGTCTTGGATCCTTGGTGATCCTCGGTGATCCTGGATCGTCTTGGATCTGTGGTGATCCCAGCGATCCACTTCCGTCTGGCTGACATAATGGGATGCTTATGTAACCAGGGGTGTGCTGCCCCGCGTGCATGACCTGCCCTTGTCCCTGGCCCGATCTTGCGACCTGTTGGTCGGGTCGTCACACCTAGTCGTATACGGAGTAGATCAGCTGATCGTTAAACGTATCGAGGCGGTGGTACCGCTCTTGTGTACTAAGGGTTGCAGGGCTTGTCGGGATTATTAGCTGAGAAAGACTAGTGAAAGGTTGCTCGGAGCCTGGCTCGGGACCATGGAAATGGGCTCGCCAGCGAGATATCGGTGTCACGATCCTGCCTCCGGGGTCAACCGTCTGGCAGGGCGCTGGGGTTGCTGTTCTGCAAGATAGGTAAAGCCTGTACAATAACAACTAACACTCTGCTGTCGTTCTCTCTCTGGGTTGTCGTTCGTGTCTCTTGGAAGAGATACCAGTCTCGGCAATTGAGTGACTAGTTCAAGTGTGGGTGAAACTGATACTTAGATTGATCGCTGAAGTACAAAGGTAATGACTGTCTATCTAGAAGATCCTTCTGGCTCTATATATCCCTTTGTCCTTCATCGTGCCCGTCGTCCTGCGACACCGTTGGGTCGCATGCCGACAGTTTGTTGTCGCAAGACCGACGGATGATGGTCGCCGTGCGACCGTTCATCGTCGGCTGCTGACATAAGGTGGGTGCTTACATAATGTGTTCCCCGCCAGCCTTCGCTGGTCCGCCCTTGTCCCTGGCCTGATCCTGCGGCCTTGTTTGTGCTGGGCTTGTTTGTTACCTCAGCCCCAAGCAGTTCCCCTGTTGGTCGGGTCGTCACAAACCGCTAACCAGAGTATACCAGACCGGGAAGGCTTGCTCCTAAGTCCCGGTTAGCACGTTTGCCCTCAGACCCTTGGACGGTAGCTCTACTTTTTACCATGCTTAACTACTATATCGGAACTGTATAGCCGATTACTTAGGTATATAAGGCCGTTATTTGAAGGCGTAGCGATACTAATAGGGTCCAAACGAAGTATACCGGTATTATAGTAGAAAGCATCGCCCGTATACCGAACTAGGCGATATCGTGCGGTTACAGACAGGTACGAGGCAAGGGGGTTTTCCTGGAAACCACGCTAGCCGGGTGGCGGCCGACGGCGTGTCTCGGTAGCTGTGACGACCCGACCAACAGGGGACGGTTGTTTGGGCAAAGAAGAGCACAAACAACTAGGCCACAGGATCAGGCCAAGGACAAGGGCGGATCAGGTGGCAGTGCCGTCACAGGTCTCTTATGTAAGCATGTGCAAGGATCACGATAAGGATAAGGCACGGAGGATACCGGTCATGCATCACCTGCATGACCGTCACGAATGCCAAGACTGATGGTCACGAACAAACCACCATGACCGTCAGACGAGCACGGCATGACCACGATGAAGGACAAAGGATATATAGATGCGGAGGATCTCCTAGATACACAGTCACTACCTTTGTACTTCAGCGATCAATCTAAGTATCAGTTTCACCCACACTTGAACTAGTCAATTGCCGAGACTGGTATCTCTTCCAAGAGACACGAACGACAACCCAGAGAGAGAACGACAGCAGAGTGTTAGTTGATCTTGCGCAGGCTTTACCTATCTGCAGAACAGCAACCCCAGCGCCCTGCCAGACGGTTGACCCCGGAGGCAGGATCGTGACATTTTGATCGCTCTTGTTCAGGTACGTACACCCTGAGCAATATCAACTAACAACAGGTACCACAGTTGCACAACAATGAACAACTTGCCACCACACCTTCTCACTTCAATCGGAAACCTTCTCGAAGACCTCTCACGACAAGTGCACCTCCTTGCAGAACACCTCGATCAGGTTCCCTCGGACACCCCACGCACTCAGAGCGTGACTATCGACTACACCGAGCTACAAAGGGAACGATCGAACTCGTGGATCAAGGACCCAACGTCAGCCGTACTCCCCAAGGCACCACCCATCTGCACCAAACACCTGTGTGGGAAGTACGCCATCTACGTCGGACGTTGCGCGGACCACCAGTGGAACACCCACAGAAGCATCTGCGACACTTGTCACCAACCCGCGTACCAAGGACACAACTCGGAGTGCCCAGGACGCGAATTCACCAAAACCTCACCGGAAGGACTTGCGGAAGCACTCTCCCAACTCACAATTAAGAAGGAGACACCGCAGTAATGGCGTCACAACGAAACCCCGGATCACCAGCACCACCCTACGCTCCAGCGCCGAACCTAGCGCAGGAACTCGGAACTGCCATGGAGACCCCGGACAGCGACGACGACGATGAGGAAGTTCAAAGACTTCGAGACACAGTCGGACAAAACCAGAATCAGATCGAGGAACTCAGACAAATGATTATGTCACTCCAAGGCACCGTGAATGGCAACGCGGCCATCCTTGCCAGAGAACAGGCCGAAAATCAAGCACTTCGGGAGCAACTCCACACGATGCAGACCGCAGCCAACATCATTCAAGCACCAATAGGCGGACGCATCAGATACCCGGCGCCAGGAAAGTTTGACGGCACCCCCGGAAGACTCAAAGGACACATCACCCAAGTCAAGGCCTACCAACGACAGTATATCAACGAGTTCCCAGACGAGATATCCAGGATTCTACACGCGGCAGCATACCTTGACGGCAGAGCCTTAGCCTGGTTCGAACCCTTCATGGCCCGCATCATGAACAATCCCAATCTGGAAGAACACGACATAGAGACACAGGAGATATTCGACAGCTTCGACGGATATGT